TCAGACGTTTCTCGCAAAAAAGTTATTTTTGTCGCCTGCCGACTGCGAAGTCCACAAATTGAACCTAAATTTTCCACATTTGCAGACGCTCTCCACCATCACCACCACCACGAGGATCCACTTCCGAAAGGCGCCTCGTGTCCGCAGTCGATCTTCCGTCCGTCGCTCGTCTTCTATCTGACGCCGTTCGTCTTCGCGTTCCTCATCTTCCACAAAAGTATCACCTCGGACATTCGACTCATTTACGGCAACTAAATTGACACATTTTTTGCTACTTTCTGTTGTTTTCTGTACATTTTGCACTTGTTTTAACTTCTTTGTCTCCGGGTTTTCATTTGAATTTGACCGGTTGAATTATAAATTATTTAAGAAAAATAGTACCGGTCTCGTGTTCGCTTCAACTCTCACTGAAATTAATCAGCTATTAATTGTTAGCTCTGTCTACGTCGTTCCGTGTTTTTCCGTTGAGTTCTTCCGCTCAACTCTGGTGTCTACTATTACGCGTATGGTTACAGGAAATGACTGGAAATCAGGTGCGCCTACTTTTGCGACCCGAGAACATCGAGAACGTTCTGTATTTGTTTCCGATACGTGACCCCAAAGCTTCACCTTCTTTGTGCTCACCGCGTTCTGTTCCTCCGAGAGCACAGAAGCTGGCGTCGCGTCACCGATGTAAGGAATCGAAAGTCGTAAATTCGCTTCAGTTTCGGAAGCGTACGAGATGCCAAACTCATCATTGCGAAACATCCAATGATGTTGACACACTGTCCTAGTTATGTTCTATTAGTTTTGGTTCAACAGGGCCGTTCGGAATACCTCCGTCGGCCGCCACCTCTGAAAACCTGGCAGATTCGGAAGCGATGGTATCCTCAGAAATCGCAAAAGCCTGACGGAATGCCACTTCTTTGTGAACTCTATGACACCTTCGGATGCAGCATCTCCAGCATAAATTTCACACTACATTTTCGAAAACTAAAGGGTTTTTGCTGTAAGGAAGCGAAATAAATGCGATATGGATTCTGAAAATGTATTCTCGAATTTGTAAAATAGTCACTTTCACTTATTCTTGTGTTTTTAGGCTTTTTTATTTTTGCTCTCTTTTGATCTTCAACGAATTCTTTGGCGAAATCTGAAAATACCGCTTTCTGTTAAACCGGGCGAAACTACGACACTCCAAAGGTCGCCGTCGGCCAGTGAGGACCCAGTGCCTTTTTTTTTTAGTTTCTTGAGCATAAAAGAACTCATGCAGAAACTCGGAATTACTAAGAATATAAAAGAGGAGCCGCTTCCGGACACCAACATAGCCCAAGGTCAGCGCCAGAAGCCGCTGACACACCAGTAAGTTGGCATTTTAGACGTTTTTACGAGGTTTTCTGTTTTTCAGAGATCTCATTCCGACCGGGCAACGTGCACTCCAGCCAGGGAAGAAGAAGCAGAAGGAGGACAATCGGGAGTGGCTGAAAGTTAAAAAAAACATAAAGAAGGAGGATTCGACTTCGAGTTTATCCAAGCGCACCGACACGTTCGATGTTGCTCCGACATCAGCTTCAGACTACGTGGGACCTCCATTTGCGCCGACGACTTCTGTTCTGGTTCAGCAGCAAGCGGGCAACCCGAACATCATTGCCACTCCGGTTGCACTCCGAGCCAACACAACACGGAGCAACAGTCAACAATCGAATATTGGAACTCCGCAGGCAAAGAAAAGAAAAACGGATAAGTCTGCAAAGTTTCCCGAACTCAATTCGGATTATCACATCTTTCAGGAAGTGCACGTCGAACTCGATTTTCGTAATCCTCTTCTCTTCGGAGTGTGATCCGACGAAGATCACCGCTGGAATGATCGTTCAATATCTGTCTCGTCTCCGGATTCCGCTCGTCAATATGGACGACGTTCGTCCGGTCGGAACGAACGCTCACTACTTCTCAGCACTCGGATGGGCAGCCACATTCGAATCCGTGAATAATCATCTGACGAGTCTTCTGCATTCGGTCATCGCTCACGATGAGTACGGCAGACACTCTGCCGAGCAGAATATGATAAACGGAGGACGACCGATTTGGATCTGGAGGGCAATGGACGAGCACGAAAAAGTTACGGCGGAATTCTACAGAATCGTTCATCTGTATGTTTTTTTTTAGATCTCCTGAAAATCAGTCGAGTTTGTTTTACAGGGAAGTCGAGAAGACTGCGCCGGCCGCCAAGTACTGGTTCACTCCGAAAGGATTGATTCAAGAGGATGTCACCGGCATCAGAAAGTTCTTGACCATTGGAGAAATTTGCAAACCGCCGTTCGAACATTTCGCGAAATGCGGATACTTGCAGTTCAACCCGAACGCTAAACGCCTCATAAGACAGACTTCCCATAAATTCTCTATTCCATTCTCTTTCTGGAAGATAACAAAGTTTGAGACTTGAGACTCGAACCCATCTTTCATTTGAATTTGCGCTCGCACCCATTCCTCTTTCTGTGTTTTATTGAACGATTATATTTGAATGGAGCGAAACGTCCACCAGTGGCGAAACTTCCTCTAATACACCAAACGTGCTGCTCTTTGAGCTAAGTCCCTTCCCTGCCGCTGCCTAATTATAACTTTCGTTCCTTATGAGCTAGAAGCTCTAAAAGTCTCTCCTCTCTTCCATTTCCTACTTCTCAGTTTCTCCCCCACTCTATTCGCATCAAAAATGCAAAACGGGCGACGCATCTAATCCGATATTCTCTCTATCAGTTTGAGCGCACATGCTCTCCGCTCTTTTCCGGCGGCACGCAACCGAAATTTGTCGTCGACGTCGTTCGACAGAGTCATCGCTCATGTGAGAATCATTTCTCGTATCCGTAGTATCCATCGAAAATGTTCTCGACGCTACAGACCTCCAATTGTACCTCGATCGGACGGGTTGTTGTGGAAACGGTGAGTGGTTTCTAGGCAACCGCTTTTAAGACTTGTATCTCGAGAACCAATGATTATTTTGAAAAGTTGTCAACTGAAAAGTTATTGAAAATTTTGTGCTAAACAACTTTGTAGTTGATCATTTTATTATAAATTCCGTCATTCTTGAGTTATCACTTCTTCGAGAAGGAGTGATAACTTTTTAATTGGCTCTCGAGAGCCAAGTAAAAAGTCTTGCCAAACTTTTTTTAAACTTTGTGCTGAACAATTTTCTTGCTGACTATTTTATCTGAAAACGTTTCATTTGCAAGTTATACGTTGTTTTCTAAACACTACGATTTTTCAGTGCGGCGTCGGTCAGTTCTGCTGCGTAGAAGGTTGTTGCACGGACTACACCTACTTTCTGCTTCTGCTGTAAGTCAATCATTTGAAGAACAAGTTTTCCAGTATTTTGCAGGATCGTGATCTCGATGATCGTCATAGTGGCCGTCTTTATTCACGTGGAAGTGGTGAAGGAACGAAAGTTCAATGAACAGTTGAAGCGTCATTTGGAGTCGTGTGACAAAGGAGACTTGGCTCGCGAAATAGGTGGGTTCAGGTCTTCTAGACTTTGTACATGATTAGCTCTTCCGCTTCAGAAGACACCCGCATCTGTCTGGGCGCGTCTCCGATCGACGGCTGTCCGTTCAACCTGCCGCCGAGTTGCAGTCCTCCGATGAGTGTGCCAAAATTGAAATTGCACAAGAACCGGCCGATTCGACACCTTCTCAACAAGCATTTGTAAATAGTATTGTTACTAGAAGACCACGTGCCTTCTCAGCTTTTTACCCTTTCAGTGTCAGTTTCAGTCGAAAAAGTAAATAAATGAGTGCATGTTTACTCCCCCCTCCTCCACTTGTGTCTTTGAAAAACGTGCGGGCCGTCGTCACACGACGCCGTGTTTTCGTCCGTTTGCAGGCGAAAAACAAGAAAAGCGTGTGATTCGAAGAGACGAAGATCGGGAGAGGAAGAGAGAGAGAGAGAGAGGGTTGGTCAGTGGCGACATGGATCACGGGAATGAGAGGCCGGCCATGAGACTGTTTGCGGTGGTTACCGAAAAGTGAGTGAAAGAACTAAAGATCTGTTCTCATGTTGATAGAAGATACGGGGTTACGGTATTCTTTGAAAAGTTCAAAAGTTCCTGGCCCAATTTATATTGTGAATTCCGTCGATATCTCCTTGAAGACCTGTATCTCGGGAACCAATGATTATTTCAAAAAGTGGTCAACTAAAAAGTTGTTCTCCATTTCATGCTGAACAACTTTGTAGTTGATCATTTTAACTGAAAGAATGTCATTATTGAGATATCTAGACGTCTAGATAGACCATTGAACTACACCGCTTCCTCTTGACAAACGACCTTGTTCAAGTGTATTGTCCAACCCTGAACCCGTCCCCCTCCAAGTCCAAAGACTCTTGTCGCATGACCCGAAAGTTCTGGCGCACCGGGGCCCAAGCGCCAAGAACGATAGTTCTTCACTTTTCGAAAACAAAGTGATTATCATCAATCGGCCACCTAACCGGTTCATGTCGCTTTCACTCGGCGCCGCCCATTCTTCGTCTCCTTCTCATCTTCATCAATCCATTTTTGTTCATTCTTGTAACTTTTGACCCAACCGACCGCCCCCCAATCACTCATTCTCTGTACTTACTGCGTCACGGAAAACTGGCTAAAAACGAGGACTATGCACCAACAGAGTAACGGAGTAATGGAGAGAATTAATTTGGTGTTGTGTCCGGAGAAAGAGAAAGAGAGCAAGTCAGCTGTCCGTTGGATCTATCAGGCAATGCGGTCCCTGAGCGCTGGTCAACGTGGTGCCCGATGAGATCAGAAATCAGTGTGAACGCCGTTATCCGATCGGGCCCGGATGGGCCTAAAGTCTAGGCCCAGACATTACTTCCCCCCCCAACACAAAGGTCGTCCATCTCATCTCATTTCTCCCCTTTCTGTCTATCTTTGTCACGTAGACAGTAGAAAGTGAACTTTCTGAAAATAGAAAGTTCCAGAAATGATACTTCTCTTCCTCTCTGTCACCTTGTTGAATCAAACACACTCTCTCTCTCTCTCTCGCATCCAAATAACAATTTCAATGTGTGCGTGTCCTACCAACAACGATCGAATCTGGTTGACAGGACCCTCTCTCTCTCTCTCTTCTTCTCGCTTCGTTTCGTTTCTACGTGTCACTTCGCATTTTGCATGGTCATGCGCGGCCAAAGTAACTAACTAACCAACTAACTGTCAACAGTGGGCAGTTCAGTTTCCATGAATTCTCACATCCCAATATTGTCCATTCAAGACGATGTTGTATGTTGGCTGTTTGTAGAGGTATCAGAAAGTGTTCAACTGATAACATGTGCAAAATGTTTTGAAGAACAATTTATCGGTTGACAACTTTTTGATATCTCTTCAGACAGATGAGATACGTTGAATTGAACAGTCGATACCCGATTTACTTTCTTTTTTTCACTTGTTTCCTCCCGCTCTTCCCAATTCAAGTCCATGTTTCAGAGCTGAACATGCCCGATCACCACTCGGTCGACATCGAAAGCATTCCGATCACGACGCCGCCGCCGTACATGGACCCGGCGAACGCGCAGGCCAAGAAGAAGATGTCGCGAATCAGAAAAGAGTCGCTGTCGCATCAGAAGGCGTGCGAACACTGCGGAGCTCCGCCTGAGGCCCAAGCCGTCAACCGACCGCACGAACAAGGTGGGTTCCCGATGAAACGTACAAAACGTACAAAACGCTTTTGCAGTGCTCGTCTGGCCGGCGGTCCGTCCGCGCAACCACATCCATCAGGACTCGCGTCAGTTCATCGGCTACGTCCTCGTCATCGCCGTCGTCATCTTCCTTCTGTTCGCCGCGTGCAAGTACCTGCCCTAAACGTCCCCAAACCTTCCATTCCCGCCGCTGTTCACTTGTATTGCCTATTTTAAGGCCTAAAATATTATTTCTATTCCTATCCTTCCCACCAACTGTTGACTTGTGATTCGGATTCCGATTCCGTTGATACATAACGATGAATAAATGCATTTTCTTATGATAACTTTTTGTGTACTCATCAACTGGCTGAGACGTTTCATTTACCCGCACAGAGCGACGATAAAGAGTATAACATAACAATAATAGACTCCTCCCAATCGCTCTTTTCTTATCAGTTAACACAGACGGGCTCCGCTCTGCTCTTCGTCTTCATAATATTGTTTTCAGTCCTCGTACACTATTACACACTTTTAGAATGTCCGAGAGCCCAACCGCCATCGTGATGCCCCCGCCGTACATGGATCCGGCAAACGCGCAGGTCAAGAAGCAGAACCAGCGGTTCCGGCAAGAGTCGATGCGGAAGATGAAGGTCTGCGAGCACTGCGGAGCGCTGCCCCATTCACAAATCAGAAATCTGCCCAGTGAGCAAGGTAAGTTACGTTCGCCGCTTGATGAAATGACTTCAAATATTTCAGTGTTCGTCTGGCCGGCCGCCCGCCCCGAAAACTCTATCCATCAGGATTCGCGCCAGTTCATCGGCTACGTGATCGTGATTGCTCTCGTCATTTTCGGCCTTTTCGCCGCTTGCAAGTATCTCCCCTGATCCAGTTGTGACTTATAATAAAAATAAAAATAAAAATATTGTTCGTAATCGAGTCAGAATGAGGAAGCAGAATGCGCGGCAACTAAATTAACCGAAAACAGAGCAAAACTACGGTCAAGTTGGTGTCGATGGGAAGGGGGTGTCGGACAGAAACCAAAGTTACTGAACGACGGGGTGGCTCCCGAGGGAACCGAGTGCGAACACTCGGAAGTATCGATAACCCACCGACGCCGGACCGAAGCGGGAGAGCGGCTGGCGGCGAGCGCTTATATACCCGCGACCAAGCGAGCAGCCGACGTTTCGCGGCGAATGGCGAAGAACATTGCGAAATAAAGCGAGAGTGAGAGAAAGGAATGTTTATACGTTTTTTTTTGTTTTTGTTTTCGGTCGAAAGAGAAAGAAAGATCAGAAGGTGGAGTGAACTCGATTCGAGAGCCGTCTCATCTCCATCCGAACTTCTCTTGTCACGTACGAAGCACCGGTTGACACGTTTTTGTCTGAACGAGGAAAGCAGTTACGGACTGAGTGAATCGGAGTCTGGAAAATAGGGGCCAGCATCTTATTCACATGTCAGAGACGTATTTCTGAGCGAAACTAGACGCACAGAGTAAATGCTCTCTATTGAGAACTTTCAATGACTCTGGCCTAGTGTCTCGACCTATTTTCGAGTCCAGGCGTTGGTACTCACCGCTACTCCTGTCGAACTTGATGGCGCGAAGCAGAAAAGAGCGATAAGGATGGTGAACGAGAAGAATGACAAGAGTGGAGGCGAACCCGTGAAGAGAGAATACCAGTACGACCATGTTGTTGAACTCCTGATTGTAGTGCTTGAGGTAGATGGACAGAATTGCACCGGCCACCGGCGTCGCTAGGAAGATCAATGGAACGATTGCCTGGACGATGGTTCCGACGAAGAACGCGCGTTGATATTTCCGAGTTTTCGAGGAGATCATGACTGAAGTGGAGAGGTAGAGGTAGTAGATGCAGCAGACGGCGAAGAAGGAGACTTGCACGAAGATGCCGAACACCATGAGTCCCGTCGATGTCCACAGGTACGACTTCCAGAACTCGTCCACTGCGAAAACGAACACTTCCGAGTAGAAGAACTCTTCGGTCGGACATGGCACCTCCTGAAGACGAAATTGGCTAAACGGCTACTGCGAGAATGCCAGAAGATTACTTGAAGCAGCTGGAATTTTGCAGAGACCTGCTCGGGAACATTCAGAAACGGCGGGATGATGTAGGAAACGGTCATTGTGCAGTTGAACAAGTAGTAAATGGTTCGAGTACGTTTCCGGACGATTCCGAATCGATTTGTCGGAATGCAACTACTTCGGTTCTCGAAAAGACCGATCAGCGAAGTGCCCATAACTGAAATTTTGCAAAATAACAGGGAAACTGATGATATCCAAACGTACATAGAGCTGAAATCACTCCTATGTAAACTTGAGTGGAAGTTGGAATGCCTAAAACTCGTAAGAGACCAACCGGAAAACCGGATATTGTAGGGAAGTAAAAGTAGGGAGTAATGAGTGAACAGATGAGGATGTCCACGTAAGAGCACCTGAAATAAATGCTATAAACCCAACGGATTGCTAGATATACTCGTACCATAAATGAGAATTGAGTAGAACCCACTTGACAGAATTCATCGATCTCGGCGTTTTCTTGAGAATACAAAACGCGGTGAACATATAAACGGGCAGGAACACGACGAGCATTGCGTGGGAGTAGAGCGCCAGTCCCTGCCACGAAGCCAGAAAACTCTCTTCCGTCGAACATTTCACTTTCCACTCGGTCTGATAGTAGACGTCGAGGGCAGAAGAAGTCATGTCATTTCAGAAGGATCACAACTCGTTTTGAGCGCGTAATTGCATCAGGCCGACTGATTGACTGAAGGCGGAGCCGCTTGCTTGAGCTTTGATATGCTCAGAAGAGTAAGAAGTGATCAGAGGCATTCTGAGAAGGCAGGTGGAACGCGCGGTCGATCAACACTAACATTCGTGTGGGATACAATGTATTCTAGCTGAAAATCAAATTGACCGAACGTTGGCGGGCGATATGAAACTTTTATAGGAACGGATGGATGCAGATCGGCTATAAAGGAACACTTTCCAATAAAGTATTATCCGAATCCAATAAATACAACTCTTTCGACTCGAAGTGTCCAACTTTTACGACCATTTCGCCGAAAAACGAGCGATGAGCGCAAACTTTTCTTTCAGTAAACGTTGTCAACTATTTATAGGCTATAAAATTATAGGCTTTCCTTCGAGGACGACAAGTAGTTTTTTGTGTAGAATTGTGCGAAAAGGCGCTTGAACATCGTAACTACCGGAGCATTTGACCCATTTTTTGGCAGAATTCGCGGAAAATCCAATAAAGCGTGCTTTTTCAACTAAACTCACAATTTGCCTTCAAAACAAGGGAAATACAACGAGATTTTTTGTATCTTTTTATTTATTTATTATTTTATAAGAATACCATAACTGCACGTTGAGAAGCACCCGTTTGACCGACTTCATACTTTTTGGCGTTTTCATTATGATACAAAAAGAAGTGAAGATGTGAAAGGGAAGGAAAACGACGAACATGAGATGCGCGAAGAACGCGAGACCTTGCCACGAACCGAGAAAACACTTTTTGACAGTGCATGACACTTTATATTCGTTCAGATAAAACTCGTTGATAGTCAGTGACATCTGCTAGAAAACTGGGTCTGGTTCAATGGGAATACGATCTCAGCAAAGTTATAAATCTTGAAAGTACACCTAGACCCCACACGGAACTAGCTGTGGCACTGGAAAGAAACGCCGTGGAGTTGATGTCTTACAGCGCCGACGCTCTGGTAATGCAGGTGCTAGAGTAAATGTTTTAATGCCAAGTGGATATTTTGAACTGATCTAAGCAGCTGAATCCACCAAGATAATAATTGAAACGTGTTGATCAAAAGATGGCGACAGCATGAGAGCAGTTCTGTGCCACCAAAATGAAGGGAAGGAAAGGAAAGAAGTTGTATCTCCGATCGGAAAACAGTAAGGAAATCAAATTTTATTCAAAGTACAAATGTTATGGATTTCTGGACATGTGTGTGGCCCTAAAGAGGGCCGTTGGGTTCGGTATGAAGACGAGCATCTATTCCTTGTCTCCGGCAGTCTTCTTCGGCAGAAGGACGGCCTGGATGTTCGGCAGAACTCCTCCCTGCGCGATGGTCACTCCGGCCAGCAGCTTGTTGAGCTCTTCGTCGTTGCGAACTGCCAGTTGGAGATGTCTCGGCGCGATGCGGGTCTTTTTGTTGTCACGGGCGGCGTTTCCGGCCAACTCGAGCACTTCGGCGGCGAGGTATTCGAGCACTGCGGCCAAGTAGACTGGCGCTCCGGCTCCGACGCGCTGGGCGTAGTTTCCTTTGCGAAGAAGACGATGGAGACGTCCGACCGGGAATTGGAGTCCGGCTCTCGACGAACGAGACTTGGCCTTTCCTCCGGTCTTGGCTTTTCCTCCCTTTCCGCGTCCAGACATGGTTGTTAATAGATATCGAAAATCGATGTCGAGAAATCGAGAGGTCTTGTTAAATACACTCTGTCCGGTGTGGGGGCGGAGTCTCCCGTCCTCTCATCATTGTCTATTCGGCTGCGCGTGCAGTCTGTCACGCGGTGTCCCCGCAGGGGGGCGCAAACTGACTCCGCCCACGCACCGGTCCCCCGAAATAAATACAAACTCCAACAACCTGTCGCAACGAAAGTACAACCATGCCGCCGAAGCCGTCTGCGAAAGGAGCCAAGAAAGCCGCCAAGTCTGTGGCGAAGCCGAAGACCGACAAGAAGAGGAAGCATTCCCGCAAGGAGTCCTACTCTGTCTACATCTACCGTGTGCTCAAGCAGGTGCATCCGGACACTGGAGTCTCCTCGAAGGCCATGTCGATCATGAACTCGTTCGTCAACGACGTGTTCGAACGCATCGCCGCCGAAGCCTCTCGTCTGGCCCACTACAACAAGCGCTCGACGATCTCGTCCCGCGAAATCCAGACGGCCGTCCGTCTGATTCTTCCGGGAGAGCTCGCCAAGCACGCCGTCTCCGAAGGAACCAAGGCTGTCACCAAGTACACCTCCAGCAAGTAAGCTCTCGAGCTGAAAGCCATCCCCCCGAACCAAACGGCCCTCTTTAGGGCCACAAATCTTGAAGAAATCCATCTTTTTATTATGATAATAAATGTTTTTTTTGCCACTTTTATTCAGATCATTCAGACACAATCATATTGAACAACCACCCAGAGCAACTGATAAGAATGAATTGAACAAATAATACAAGTTTATCACAATTTATGAAATATCAAAGCAGTCTGGATTGGGCCCTAAAGAGGGCCGTTGGTAGTAATAGATTCGAAATGAGCTAAGCACGTTCTCCGCGGATGCGTCTTGCCAGTTGGACGTCCTTTGGCATGATAGTGACTCGCTTGGCATGGATGGCGCACAAGTTGGTGTCCTCGAACAGTCCGACCAAGTAGGCCTCGGCGGCTTCCTGGAGGGCCATAACGGCTGAAGACTGGAAGCGGAGGTCGGTCTTGAAATCCTGGGCGATCTCACGGACGAGTCGCTGGAACGGCAGCTTGCGGATGAGGAGCTCCGTCGACTTTTGGTAGCGACGGATTTCGCGGAGGGCGACGGTTCCCGGACGGTAGCGATGCGGCCTCTTGATTGCGTGCATGGCCACTGAACTTCGAGCACTGACTATTTTCTTTCTTGGAGCCTTTCCTCCAGTGGACTTGCGCGCGGTTTGCTTAGTTCGGGCCATTTTGAGTGGAATGAGAGACACTCGGGTCAGGACATTCATACGCGTGGTTTGGTGCAGAGGCGGAGACTGACAACGGGCGAGAGGAGGACACGACAGCATCGCTCACGATGTTGATGATAAATGAGGTGACGGGCGGCAGAAATACGTCTCTTTTCGATGGCAACTTTCGGGCAGTAAATATATATTTGTTAATGAATTCAAAAAAGTGAACCATCTTTTTCATATGCGAGAACGAGGGAAACAAAAGAAACATTTGTTATCAGCCAGCAGAAAACTGTAAGGAATGATTGGACGCAGGCTGATCAAGCAAACAAACTTTGATAAACTTGTACACAGTTCTCTTCATTCAAATTTTATCACACATCAATTACAATTACATACAAAAACAGGATTTCATCAGTTATTTCAATCAAAGCTGTTGTGGCTCTCCAGTCGGCGGCGGTGGTGGAGTTCCAGTTCCTTTTGGCGGTGGCGGAGGACGACGAGAGGCTTTTCCGGCGGAGAGCTCAAGCGGTTCCTCGGAAGGCGGTGGCGGCGGGGTTCCGGTGCCACGTGGATGTGGTGGGCGAGAGGCTTTTCCGGCGGAGAGCTCAAGCGGTTCCTCGGAAGGTGGTGGCGGCGGAGTTCCAGTTCCTTTTGGCGGTGGCGGAGGACGACGAGAGGCTTTTCCGGCGGAGAGCTCAAGCGGTTCCTCGGAAGGTGGTGGCGGCGGAGTTCCAGTTCCTTTTGGCGGTGGCGGAGGACGACGAGAGGCTTTTCCGGCGGAGAGCTCAAGCGGTTCCTCGGAAGGCGGTGGCGGCGGAGTTCCAGTTCCTTTTGGCGGTGGCGGAGGACGACGAGAGGCTTTTCCGGCGGAGAGCTCAAGCGGTTCCTCGGAAGGCGGTGGCGGAGGGGTTCCGGTGCCACGTGGATGTGGTGGGCGAGAGGCTTTTCCGGCGGAGAGCTCAAGCGGTTCCTCGGAAGGCGGTGGCGGAGGGGTTCCGGTGCCACGTGGATGTGGTGGGCGAGAGGCTTTTCCGGCGGAGAGCTCAAGCGGTTCCTCGGAAGGCGGTGGCGGAGGGGTTCCGGTGCCACGTGGATGTGGTGGGCGAGAGGCTTTTCCGGCGGAGAGCTCAAGCGGTTCCTCGGAAGGCGGTGGCGGAGGGGTTCCGGTGCCACGTGGATGTGGTGGGCGAGAGGCTTTTCCGGCGGAGAGCTCGAGCGGTTCCTCGGAAGGCGGTGGCGGCGGAGTTCCAGTTCCTTTTGGCGGTGGCGGAGGACGACGAGAGGCGTTTTCGGCGATCAACTGGAAAGAGATTCGATAGGAAAACACTTGGAAGCAGTAATACTCACCTCTTGTGGTTCCTCGGAGGGCAGTGGCGGCGGGGATCCGGATCCATTGGGTGGTGGCGGTGGAGGTCTTCTAGAAGCGGGCTGTGGAGCTGCCAGAACAGCGCCAGCAATAAGAAGGATGAGAAGAATATGTTTCATTGTGCAAATGAACGATACTCTCTCCTCCTGCCCTCATCCTTTTATACTCCATTCAATTCTGATGCCGATCAGGCCGATGACGTTTTCAGAAAGGCGGAGCACCGGGATTCTCCCGATAATGAGCACAGTTCACGAGCATTTTCATCAGTCGGAAAGCGGAAAAACAGACAATGCGGGGGCGATGCGTAAGTTGTTATCAGTCGGGGTGGACATACGATACTGAGTTCAACATCATTATCACTGATTACCGGTTCATGTGATTAGGTCAGATTGACCAGACGCATCCGCGGAGATCGCAACTAACTGTTCTACTTCGCAATGTTTTCAATCAAAACCCTCCGAACCCAACGGCCTTTTTGAAGGACTTAATCCAAATCCAAACTGTTGTCTGTTGAATAAAATGATTATAAAATTATGTAATAAAGTTCAATTAACAGACGGAGCTTTCAGTTTTCGATGAGTCGGACGGATTACGTGGAATGAGCAGATCAGGTTGTCATCCACGTTCATGATCGCCGCCGCGTTGTCGAATTGTCCGCAGTAGTGAGGCGCCGAGAATATTGTGACGAGTCTTTTGTCGGCGAAGAACTGATATCCGTCCTGAACGACTTGATGAGCACGCGCAATCATATCGATCCCCAGTGCTTCGACTGTTGACTTGACGACGTTTGGACCGAAAATGTAGGAAACGCCACGAATGTTCGGCGCCCAATCGGAAATGGAATCATCGGGATCACTCCAGAGAAGGTCGATGTGTAGGGACGGACTGGGCGGGTCCATGGGACGGGGCAGCTCTCGGAGCACATCGAGACTCGTCAGTTTAGGGGAGAGTCCTCCGTGCATACACAGAATGCGTCCCGCGATGACGCCGGTAAACGGCATCGCCGAGAACGCCTCCTGGAAGGCGAGCCACAGTCGGGTGCTCGCGTATCTCTTGTTGCACTCCTCGAAGAAGCCGTAGACTCGGTTGACGGCCGGGCACTCGTGGTTGCCGCGCAGCAAGAAGAACCGATCGTGGAACTTGATTTTGTAGCAGAAGAACAGCGTGATGACCTCGAGGTTCTGACGGCCGCGATCCACGTAGTCGCCGAGGAAGATGTAGTTGGAGTGCGGCGGAAAACGGGCGATGTTGAACAGACGGATCACATCTGAATAGGTTTTTGAGTGATTAGCAAACTCGAGGATGTGCTCACCCGAGTACTGTCCGTGCACATCCCCGCACACCTTGATCGGCGCCTCCACCTCGAGCATCACAGGTTGCTCCAGGAAGCTTGTCTTGGCGAGACTGCACAACAAAATGAGCTCTTGCTCCTTGACAGTTTTCGTGAAGCTCTTGTCGGGATGGCCGACGGACAAGCATTTGATGATGAGCTCGTCAATGTCCAACTTGATTTGAGGAAGATTTTCTGGAAAAAAACACCAACGTACTTCTCTGTTTCCTCCGAAAGTGCCGCCTACCATCTATACTTTTGTAGCACGACGCCATTTTGAGAATACTTGGGAATAGCTAACTTCAAACTGACACCAAAACGTTTTATTCTTTATTTGAAACATGAAAATGCGTGGTCATCACGTTTTAGTAGAAATGTTTAAGCACTGGAGGTTGTGAAGTAGGACTGACCTCTTTGAGACACTTTTATGCGTGGAGTACCTGCAAGACTGTCATCTGAACGAATGCTGCTCATAGGGATGGGCAGAAGACTGATCGAGGCCTTTCGAACGGGGCTTGCATTGAAATATTTTGGGTTAAAAGTTTCAGACCGATCGAATTATCTGGTCCGGAGATATATGGATCAGAGAGAAAAAAAGGGCCTAGCCTGATCATCCTTCAAACTCACGTAAAATAGTTCTTCGGAACTCTTTGATGCAAATCATTGCGATCATTGGCTCCAGCGATGGGTAGACGGCGAGACTGGCGCTCACGAAGTTGGCAATGCTTCCCACGTACACTTCGAAGATCGGAAGAGTGATCAGAAGGCCCACCGGACTGTACATCATCACAAATGGGAGAAGAGTCTGGAGATTTACCTAATTTTGAAGACATAAACTAGAAAAGGTTACCTGGAAGGTGAGGGTGATGAAGAGTTGACGATTCAAGTCCAACGTTTTTGCGCTCATGTGACAACTGGCACTTTTCATTGTTCGGTAGATGTTGAAGGCGCAGTAGAGAATAGTTGAGAAGCAGATGACAATGATCACGACGCATCCGACAGAAGACATGATTTCCCAGAACTTCCAAACTTTCTCTCCGTCGTCTCCAATCGACCAATACATTGGAGCGATGAAGGAGACTCGCTCCGAATCCTCCTCGTAATACTTCAACAATTCTTCTCTGGAAAAATGACATTCTCGTCTCTTCTTCGGTAATCCGCCTACTTCATGTACAACTGCTTCTCGACGGTGTTCGCCATTCCCCAGTACACAAACTCGAACCAGGCGACGAAGCAAATCAGGCAGGGAACGAAGATGAACGTCAGTTTCCAGCCCTCGATTTCCGGAAGGAATTCCTGTTTGCACATTGCAACGTATCGGTAGAAGAACTGCGCGGCGAGCAGGGAAATGACGAGGGCGAACGAGCCGCAGTACAGGCAGGTGACGTCGTTGCCGATCCATTTGTAGTACTTCAACGGGCTATCCATGTAGACGATGAAGACGGGTCCCTTGATGTGCATCACCTGAAAGCAACTACTTTGCAGAAGAGAGGGGCTGGACTTTTAGGACCAAAGTGTTATTAACTATTATCAATTCTCCGGCCTACATCGCTTAGAATCCAGAAAAGTTATAGCTCAGGCTCCAATTGCTGTTATGCATTTGATTTTTTTCCGTCTAGTCTAGTTGGATTGACACATTTCACCCCCTGACATTCTGGCAACTTACCGGCTGTGTGAGAATCTCAATCCACGTGTACACTAGAGAGTACATGGCAAAAGTGCACATGACATGTCGATAAGTGCCAAAAAGTTTCTTAGCTTTCGTCATAATCAGGAAGACGAGTAGGGCGTTCGTGAGTTGAGCGAAAATGAATCCACCGTACTGAACGACGTGCAGCCAGAGCATCTGAGTGAAACAGAAATAGGAACGTGCAATTCACTCAAGTTGGAGCTTTAAAAGGATTACAATGATATCAAAACAGATTAGGAATGAGGTAGAAACTTAATGCTCGCTTTGTTGAACAATGAATGGGCGAATGCGTGACGATACCAGTTTCGAAATTAGAGCTCGTCATCGCATCGGTTCCAACGATGAGCAACGCCAAACCGGCGGGTCTCTCAAGAAAGCGACACGAGCTGGAGTGCTGCTCCTTTAAATTTGAGGAGGGATACGGTAGATCACAATTTTCCTCCATTGTCTGACAAAAATTTCGGACGGCTTTCTATTACAAATGTGAACAAAATATAGGAAGAGCAGCTAGTCCAATGCGCGTGGCCATCTTGAAAAATTGCGCTCTGTGCGAACGCGCCGCCGTGAAAGGCAACTTTGGCGAATGCATAATAGTGTTGAATGAAATGAATGAAATGAATGAGAACAGTCGGAATCTAATTTGTTGACATGGCCGTTACTTGTATGAGCGGAGGTGTCTGTCTGGGCAATTTCCGAGGGATTGTATCCGATGAGTGTGCGAAGAAAGCACAAAAAATCGAATGATCATACGTGCGTTAGTCATTCATTCAAATATCGTCATTCCTATTTGCACGTTGCCTGGGGAAGAGAAAGGAAGAGAGTGATTAGCGCGGAGAGGCAGAGAAATTGTTAATTAAAGGCGCCCAGTATTCGGGGAGCGGCGGGCCTCGCATCGAAAGTCCCCACGAGAGTCGGGCGGTCGGTCGCTCAAAACCTCTTTCTACGAGTGTTCACGTTCCACCGCCCGCCTAAACAAGTTTATCCATCCTCCCGGCCAAAATAAGAGGAATGAAGAGAGAAAAAAGTGATCAGCTGAACGTTTTTACAGGAGGAAGCAAGCGGGACTACGTGAAAGGAATGAGTGGTTCACTGAGTGAACACTTGCTTCCACTGATATCCATTCAGTCGACACTCTGCAGAAAACGCGGTGAGACGGACAAGGACTTCCTGTCAACGAGCAATCGACTCATGGAAGGCAAGCCACAGTCGGGTGCTCTCCTCGAAGAAGCCGGGCACTCGTGGTTGCCGCGCAGCATGAAGAACCGATCGTGGAACTTGATTTTGTAGCAGAAGAACAGCGTGATGACCTCGAGGTTCTGACGGCCGCGATCCACGTAGTCGCCGAGGAAGATGTAGTTGGAGTGCGGCGGAAAACGGGCGATGTTGAACAGACGGATCACATCTGAATAGATTTTTAAGTGATTAGCAAACTCGAGGATGTGCTCACCCGAGTACTGTCCGTGCACATCCCCGCACACCTTGATCGGCGCCTCCACCTCGAGCATCACAGGTTGCTCCAGGAAGCTTGTCTTGGCGAGACTGCACAACAAAATGAGCTCTTGCTCCTTGACAGTTTTCGTGAAGCTCTTGTCGGGATGGCCGACGGACAGGCATTTGATGATGAGCTCGTCAATGTCCAACTTGATTTGAGGAAGATTTTCTGGAAAAAAAGCGACGTACTTCTCTATTTCAGCTGAGAGTCCCGCCTACCATCTATACTTTTGTAGCACGACGACATTTTGGGAATACTTGGGAATAACTAACTTCAAACTCACACCGAAACGTTTTTTTCTTTACAAGTCTTTTGAATCCTGAGCCCGCTGCGCGGTCTTCGCCGCTTGTTTGTTTCTCATGACAAGGCTGGTCGAACAGGCGCCTGAAAAAACAGGCGCAGGCTCCTGAAATCGCCTGTTCGACCAGCCTACTCATGAGCGTTCGAAAGTTCACGTATTCATTTCTTAGTTTCTCCGCTACAACCTTTTCCGATTTAGAAATGAAAAAATGGCCGGGAAAACGGAGAAAGAAAGAAACAAACAGACCCCGTAAGCTTTTCATTAAATAAGAATGATGATGATGATGATGATGATTCTTTATTTGAAACATGAAAATGCGTGGTCATCACGTTTTAGTAGAAATGTTCAAGCACTGGAGGTCGTGAAGTAGGACAGACCTCTGTGAGACACTTTTATGCGTGGAGTACCTGCAAGACTGTCATCTGAACGAATGCTGCTCATAGGGATGGGCAGAAGACCGATTCAAGCTTTGCGAAAGCCTAATCCTCCCTCCTACAAACTCACGTAGAATAGTTCTTCGGAACTCTTTGATGCAAATCATTGCGATCATTGGTTCCAGCGATGGGTAGACGGCGGCACTGGCGCCCACGAGGTTGGCAATGCTTCCGACGTACACTTCGAAGATCGGAAGAGTGATCAGAAGGCCCACCGGACTGTACATCATCACAAATGGGAGAAGAGTCTGGAAATTCTACAAATTTAGAGGATATCCACTAGAAAAGGTTACCTGGAAAGTGAGGGTGATGAAGAGTTGACGATTCAAGTCCAACGTTTTTGAGCTCATGTGACAACTAGCACTTTTCATTGTTCGGTAGATGTTAAAGGCACAGTAGAGAATAGTCGAAAAGCAGATGACGATGATCACGGCACAACCGACAGAAGACATGATCTCCCAGAACTTCCAGACTTTCTCTCCGTCTTTTCCAATCGACCAATACATTGGAGCGATGAAAGAGACTCGCTCCGAATCCTCCTCGTAATACTTGAACAATTCTTCTCTGGAAAAATGACATTCTCGTCTCTTCTTCGGTAATCCGCCTACTTCATGTACAACTGCTTCTCGACGGTGTTCGCCATTCCCCAGTACACAAACTCGAACCAGGCGACGAAGCAAATCAGGCAGGGAACGAAGATGAACGTCAGTTTCCAGCCCTCGATTTCCGGAAGGAATTCCTGTTTGCACATTGCAACGTATCGGTAGAAGAACTGCGCGGCGAGCAGAGAAATGATGAGGGCGAACGAGCCGCAGTACAGGCAGGTGACGTCGTTGCCGATCCATTTGTAGTACTTCAACGGGCTATCCATGTAGACGATGAAGACGGGTCCCTTGATGTGCATTACCTGAAAGCAACTACTTTGTAGACGAGAGGGGCTAGACTTTTAGGACCAAAGTGCTATTGATGACCTAAACTTAGAATCTAGAAAAGTCCTAGCTTAGGCTCCAATTGCCGTTATCTAGTTGGATGGAGACATTTCACCCCTTGAAATGCTCGCAACTTACCGGCTGTGTGAGAACCTCAATCCACGTGTACACTAAGGAGTACATGGCAAAAGTGCACATTACATGTCTATAAGAGCCAAAAAGTTTCTTAGCTCTCGTCATAATCAGGTAGATGAGCAGGGAGTTCGTGAGTTGAGCGAAAAAGAATCCACCGTACTGGACGACGTGCAGCCAGAGCATCTGAGTGAAGCAAAAATGAGAACGTGCAACTCACTCAAGTTCGAGCTTTTAAGGGATAACAATGGAATCAAAACAGATTAGGAATGAGGTAGAAACTTAATGCTCGCTTTGTTGAACAATGAATGGGCGAATGCGTGACGATACCAGTTTCGAAATTAGAGTTCGTCATCGCATTGGTTCCAACGATGAGCAACGCCAAACCGGCGGATCTCTCAAGAAAGCGACGCGAGCTGGAGTGATGCTCCTTTAAATTTGATTAGGGTTACGGTAGATCACAATTTTCCTGCGTGGCCATCTTGAAAAATTCCGCTCTGTGCGAACCCGAAATGCTATTTTGGCGAATGCATAATAGTGACGAGTGAAATGGAAGAGAATAATCGGAGTCTAATTTGTTGACATGGTTGTTACTTGTATGAGAGGAGGTGTCTGTCTCGGCAATTTCCGAAGGATTGTATCCGATGAGTGTGCAAAGAAAAAACACAAAAAATCGCAGGAGCATACGTGTGTTAGTCATTCATTCAAATACGTTAACTAACATCATAAAAAGGGTGTTCGGTGGTTCATCAGGTCAGACGCGATAACGCTCTTCCAACCGAATAGCCACCGTTTATTCTATTCCGTTGTTTTGAGGTTGAGCCATCAAGAGAAAGGTGTCTCAATGAATACCAACGGGTGGACATCGAACATGCGTCTCTCGCAAGACCGACTGGCAGCGGCGTTTGCCAATAGATCACGCGGCGGGAGCGGAGTGGCGGGGTTTCTTACGTACATATGACCGCTGGGTTTGACGAGGAGCGCTGATCATCGGCCGCATTGGAACCAGAGTTGAGCGGAAATGGAATTTTGAAATCCGGAAGACGGAAGACGGAATTCCGCTCAACACTGATTGGAACTTGTTTCAGATTTGATATTTCCAGAAAAGCATAATAGTTCATAGTACTTTATTGAGATCACTGTGCAATACAACTATCCTACTGAATATAAGAGATCTGCGAGCTCTTTGTTACCGACGCGCTCTCTTTTCCAAGTACGAAAGTGCGGAATCGATCGATCATGACGATGGCGATGATGGGGTTCATTGCAGAGTACAAACAGCATGTCATCCCTAACACATTTCCAATTTTACCCACTTCCACCTCAAAAATGGGCAGAATGAAGACGAGACCAATGGGAATGTACTGGGTACAGCAGGGAAGAAGTGTCTGGAGGCCCAGAGTCCGGAAGAGTTGCTTGTTGAGGGCACGAGTGCGTTCACTCATTTGAATCGAGATGTCGCTGAGCTTTCGGTAGGTTTTAAAGGCGCATACGAGGCAAGTGGTGAAGCAGAGAGTCTGCGAGCGAGTCGGATGGTTTTCCGGTTTAGCTATTGTCAACCAACCATTATGCTTCCACTTATGAATCCACCGAACACGTCTCCGTATCGAACGAGACGTGTGCCATCGGGAAGACGAGTCTGAAGGATGGAGAAATGGAAAGGTACTCACAGTTACACTTACAAAGTACAGAGGGGCTATGAAAGCAATCGTGTCGATGTCCTCATCATACACTTCCATAGTCAGATTTCGAAAGTAATCCCTCTTAAATGCATTGGGACCAAAGTTGAAGTGAAAGGAGATGACCCAAATTGTGAAAAGACTGAGAGGAGGTAGAAACCAAAAGTACACGTTGTTGCCTTCAAAGTAGTACATCTTTTGGGGTCTGAAAAAGGAATTGAATTTGGATTTGAAGTATGAAATTCACTTGCAAACAGCGACATATCTGTAGACAAAATGAGTGGCGAGCATGGAGAGGCAAAGAGCGAACGATCCGCAACAGATTGCTGAAACTTATGGCGCTTAAGGTAGAGGTCGAACAAAAGCAGAGTACTTGCAATGAAGACTCCTGCAGAGATGTGATACTTCAGAATGCTATCGACGTAGAAGAGGATTCCGGCGCCGTGAATATGAAGTACCTGGAAGCCAGCGTTGTGCCACTTGCCAATAGAGCCCAAAAACGGAACTCGCCGGTAAAGTGAGCATCTCGACGGTCGCATAAAAAATGGCATACACTGAGAATGAAACCATCATGACCCGATATCTCCCAAACGAACAGCCTGATCTCGTTTTCAGAAGGTACAGCAGGAGAGTGTTGGCAACTAGAGCCACAATAAAACTAATGTATTGGCAGGAACGGATGTAGGGGGACACCGCCATACTTTTGATATTTTGCTCATCATGAACACCTTTTTATATATATATATAAATGTATAAGCATTGCTAAGAATTGGGAACGCACAATAATGGGAAGACAAAACGACAATGAATGAGAAGCGAACGAAGAGATTAGGGTTTGGCTACTCAGAACCAGATGACGCCTTGTTGAGATGGTATTCCAGGTACTTCTACATCATTGAATGCCACGAAAGTTCGTCGACCATTGGCCGGAGTAGGGTGATGTCGTCGCGAACGATACCTTCTTTGTTCGACCGCCTGAATATGAAAAATATATCGATTAGCAAAGTTGCATGATAAATCTCGGGTCCTTAAAGCACTAACCGTTCATTCAGGACGATCTATCTCAGCGGTTTGTAAAGATTTCAAAAAATGGTAAACTGACAAAATGTACACAATGTTTCATTAAACAATTTATTAGTTGACAACATTTTGATATCTTCACTAGCAGTTGAGATATATTGTCTTGAATGAACGGTATTGGGGGACCCTTCTTCAGAAAAGTCAGTTTTGTCAGGGACCCGGAAACCGTCGAAATCCTCATGACCAAACTCACACAAAACCGTTTTTTTGAATTCTTTAATGCAAAATATGGCAATGAGCGGCTCGAGCGACGGATAAACGGCAAGACTTGCGGCGGTGAAGTTGGCCAAATGGCCGGTGTTGATTTCGAAGAGCGGAAGCGTAATTTCGAGTGAAACCGGGATGTACATCATGAAAAATGGAAGAAGAGTCTGGAAAAAACAGTACGTTTCATGTGAAACCAGCCAGCAAAATAGGACTTGGAAAGTGAGCGTGATGAAGAGTTGGTGATTCAATTCGATCGTCTTTCGACTCATCTGATTCCCGGCGCTTTTCATTTTCCGGTAAATGTTGAAGGCGCAGAAGAGAATTGTGATGAAGCATCCTCCCTGAATTGAATCGATAACTGTGTGTCACCGAAACAAAAACCTACAATAGTGACAACGGAAGCGACCAGGAGCATGAGGTCCCAGAATCTCCAAATCTTCTCGCCGTGCTCACCCACCGACCAGTACATGACTGCGATGAAGGCGACTTTTGTCGAGTCCTCATTGTAATACTTTTTCAGTTCATCTCTCAAAAACCTCTTTTTTTTGTGTTTGTAGCAAGTCATACTCACTTCAGATATTCCTGTTTCTCCGGGCTATTCGACATTCCCCAGTACACAAACTCGTACCAGGCGATGAAGCAGACGACGCACGGCAGAAAGATTCCGGAGAGGATTGTGTGCTCGTTGTGGGCGAGAATATCGGATCTGCGGCAAAAGAGGAAGATTTTAAAAGGCAAGGAGCTCACTTGCAGACGGCCATGTATCGGTAGAAGAACTGAGCGGCGAGCAGGGAGATCACGAGGGCAAATGAGCCACAGTACAGGCCTAGAGGATAAGGGTTGAGAGTGAGCAATCGCGCTCTAACCCAACTCACAAGTGATATTGTAGCCGATTTGTTCCGAATACTTCAAAGAACTCTCCATGAACACCACACACGCGGGGCTCTTGATATGAATTATCTGAAGAGAAATTAGGTTATCGAAGAACGCTGGTAATTCAAGACAATATATCTCAGCGGCCAATAGAGATATCAAAAAGTTGTCAACTGATAAAATGGTCATTGAGAAATGTTGTACATTTTATCAGTTGAACACTTTTTGATATCTCCACCGCCAGCTGAGATGTGTTGTCTTGAAGGAACGGTATATTTATGACTGTACCCACCGGTTGAGTTAGTATCTCAATCCAGGCGTACACGGAAAAGTAGACGGCAAAACTGAACATAACGTATCGATAAGTGCCGAAAAGTCGTTTCGCTCTCGTCACAATCAGATAGATGAGGATGGCGTTGGTGAGCTGTGCGCCCAAAAAGCCAACGTACTGGATGACGTGCAAATAGAGCATGACTGGAAACACGTAACGTTTGCTTTAGAACGGAGAACGACTTCATTAAAATGTCAGAGTCAGCCGGTTGGCTTGTTTTGCTCTCGCCCCACCCTCTCTGACGACGGAACACATTTATAGTTTGCCTTGTGAAGTCTGCGTGTCAAATGATTCATTCAATGGGCGGAAAAATGATTGGATTTGATGTCTAACCTCGTTTTACCCAAGTTATGGTTGTGAAGGAACGGAAGTTGGGTATATGAGGAGCACCATTTCGAACGGTGATCGGCCGCCGACTTTGATGCGAAAATATACGTTTCTCTAGAAAAGTCATGGAACACAAAAAGTTCACACATGTCCAAAAGGTCAAAGTTTCAATGGGAGCTGAGAGAAATGCCTAGAAAACATGTACCAAACAAAAAGTCGTTATAAAATAGCACTAATGCTTGACGGATTCACTCCAGACACTGGCGCTATTGAGAATGCCGCTTGTGAAACGACTCGTTTTCGGTGACGACCTGAAAAGTTACAATTCTACTCATCACAATCAAACCCCCATTCAATGTTTACCCAACAAAACATTCTTAAACTCCTTGATGCAAATCATCGGAATCAGCGGCTCGATTGACGGATAAATGGCCAGACTGGCGGCGGTGATGTTGGCGAGCCGCCCGTTTTGGACCTCGAAGATCGGAAGAGCAGTGGTCAGTCCGACCGGAATGTACATCATGAGAAGCGGGAGAATAGTTTGGAGGGTGAGAGTGATGAAGAGCTGGCGATTGAGCTCCATCGTCCGCTCGCTCATGTGATAACTCGTGTCCTTCATTTTCAGATAGATTTTGGTGGCGCAGTAGAGGATTGTCACGAAGCAACCGGTCTGAAGTTTGCATTTAGGGCGATGCTAGATAGTTTTGTCTCACAATAGTAGCGACGCAAGCCAGCAGCAAAGCGATATCGTACTTCTTCCACACCTTCTCGCCGTGCTCGCCCACTGACCAGTACATAACAGCGATGAAGGCGACCCGCTGCGAATCTTCGTTGTACACGTTTTGTAGCTCATTCCTTAAATGAATCTCGGATGCGAATAATAAGAAAGAGATCGAGAAAAAGAGAAAACACAAGTACTTCATGTACAACTGCTTCTCGACAGTGTTCGTCATTCCCCAGTACACAAATTCGAGCCAAGCGACAAAACAGAAAAGACAGGGGAGGAAGATTAAGAGAAGAGTGCGGCGTTCTCCGTGCGACAGCATTGCGGGTCTGGAATTCGGGGAATTACGTGTTGGAAATAAGGAGAAACTGACCTGCAAACCGCCATAAATCGGTAGAAGAACTGGGCGGCGAGCAGGGAGATGACGAGAGCAAATGAGCCACAGTACAAACCTGAAATAAATTAACTATATCTCAGCGGTGGGTGGAGATATTTGAAAGTAGTCAACTGACAAAATGCTCCTTAACATATTTTGTACATTTTATCAGTTTACATTTTTTTGGTATCTCTACAGATAGCTGAGATATGCTGTCTTGAATGAACGGTGTATTATCCACCATTCTGGGTGAGCTACATAGATTTAGTTTGAGTTCCTTTTGGGAACGAAATGAAGGAACGTTTCAAACGACTAACATGTGAGATTATATCCGATCCACTTGTGATATTTCAACGGACTATCCATGAAAACGATGCAAACTGGGCTTTTGATGTGGATAACCGGCTGGGTGAGCACCTCGATCCACGCGTAGAAGAGGAAGAACGCTGCGAAGCCGAGCATCACAAACCGATACATTCCGAACAGTTTTCGGGCTTTTGTCACAATCAAGTAGATGAGAATCGAGTTGAACAACTGGGCTCCGATGAATCCAGAGTACTGGACGATGGACAGGTAGGACATGACTTTGAAGGCAAGTGGCGCGGGGGGGCGGCTATAGAGATTTTATAGTCACTTTGCGGTCCGTGTACTTTGGCTAAATGGAGTGTATTCAAGGATAGGTGATGTTTGAACGAGTCACATTTAGCAGGGATTCAACGAGTGCATGGAAGGTTCTCAGACAATTGGTCAACGTTGTACTTCATGAACGTCATCACGATGAGCCATACGAAGAGAGTTTGGCTCAAATTGGATAGGTTTGAGAGGATACTTTAGTAACACGTTTTCTAGTTTTTTGCTTGCTTTTCTGTTTCGCGCAACTCTTCGATTCCCGACTTCAAAGACCGATTTACAACTGTGCCGACATGAACCAGAGTACACTATAATCAGTATACTTTTAATCAAGGTCGGCGGCCGCTCTTTAGAAATGGTATACTTTATCCGAACAGTCAGGACCCGCCCGTTTTCCGCGACTATATAAACCGCCTGAACCACCCTTAGACATTCAGTTTTCTGATCATTAGTCTCCAAATCATAATGACTTCTCGACTTTCTCTCCTTGCTCTCCTCACCCTCCTCTTCCCGTTCTGTAACTCAACAGGAATCGTCTGGATCCGTGTCTCTTCTCCGGAACAAGTTGCCGTTCAGTTCGAAGTGATCGACAGGACCAACACTTCCCGCTACGCCATCTCGTTCACTCTGCAAGTGTATCCACGTGTCCCGAAGGAGTTTGTCCTTCCGATGCCACCATCGGATCCGGCAACCCCGTTCCCGATCCTCGACTACAGTATCCAAGTGCGCGGTGGCTCGAAAACCCGGCTCAGAATGCCTCTGTTGGTCAACGAGCCGTGGACAAACGACACTTATCGATCGATTTCCACTGCCATTCGCTTCGAGTGTCTTCCGTTTTTCTACGGTGCCAAGTGCCAAACCTACTGTTCTTCCGGACAAAAGTGCTCAACCGACTTGTGCTCGATGAAGAATTGTCCAATCAGTAAGCATCTACCCTTTGAGTACATTTTCATAGCTAATTGTTTCAGATTCCGAGTGTTCTACCGATAATATCGAGGCCAAATGCACGTGCAGACCCGGCTACTCTGGAGAGAACTGCGATGAGGTGGAAGTCGTGCACGTGTCCGAAAGCCAATCTGAATTGAAATTGCTCATCGTCATTCTCGTCGTCATCATCGTTATTCTATTCAAATTTTTGATGATCAGAGTAATTTTTGGAAGACGGACCCGCAAGGAACGCTTCGTCAGTGAGCCGATTGTCGAGACTGTCGGTGACTTCCAGAAGGATCCTTCTTCGATTGTTTGAATACGTTTCTTTTTTGTGTACTACATATCTGATAATAGTTTAGATTACGACCCTCAATTAAGATACAGACTTTAAATTCAAGTATTGACTTTTTTGCACTGTCATATGCCCCTGTTCCCCTCGTCTATTGCTCCGTCATCCCCTGTATTCAACTATTAGGGATGGATCTGTCAATGTTCCCATTTTTACTGAATTTGGGAATGCTTTTCCATCAAAAAGTCGAGCCTTTAACAAATTTGCACTTAATTTGAGGCCACACGCACGAATAGTGTTCAGTTTTCAAGCAAATCGGTCAACCACAAAGTTGGTGAGCATGAAATTTTCAAAAACTTTTTCAGTTTACATCTTTTCCTGAGAACCAATATCGTCTTTCAAAAATGTTATTGTGAATTAGTCGGAGACTATATTTTGTATCCGGAAACGAGAGTTTTCGAAAAACAACACTGTGACGTCTTCTCCTTCTGTGTGGCCGAACACTCTTCGAGTTTTCTGAAAGTCGAGGAACATTTGCTAGATGTATAATTGAATTTGAATTTGTGAACTTTTGATGAAATCAGCTGTCAAGCTCAAAAGTTTAAGAGAAACAGAACGAGCAGCCGTCTGGGGGAATCGATGACTTTTCCTTTTTTCCACTCACCTTTCTATTCTGCCTCGATGTCGTACGCATCGAGCCATAACGCTTGAAAAGAATCCACGTCATCTCCCAACGTGTCTTACTATCTGAATTCTTTGTTTTTCTGTGAATATGAACATCTTTCGGGACTCATTAAAAGCTGAGACACGTTTACGTGCGCAACTCTTGTGCGGTGTGCACCGCCCGAAAATAACTCCATTATCAGAGAACCGAATATATGGCAGACAATTTTTGCAACTCATTTCTGCGCATTTTGTCATCTTAATTAGCACGAGGAAGTGTCAGACGCTACCATGTAACTTGTTCTCTGTGCTCGAGCTCGCGTGATCCGGGGCACATCATTGCTTTTTGTGTGTACTCGACGGAAATTGAGTTGTGCAGCCTTTATAGGGATTTTGTGAGTGAAAATAGAATATTTGAGCGATTATGTAAGCATAATAACAAGACCTTTGGCACCTGGGTTCAATGCGTGGACCCCAGCTTGTTCAGTTAAAGAAATGGCTAATTTGGAGATTTCTGCAGTTAACCACTTTACCACCACTCATAAAAGTACTGTAGCACATGGAAGTACACTCATTCCAGCGCAGTAATCAACATGAAAAAGTCTTAATTTGGAATAATAAGACGTCTCTGATATCGGGCGTGGAAACTAGGAAACAAAAGTACTGGGTATGACGAAAAGTTCACCCTTGCCTTCTTACCGTGCTCCGTCTCTCCGTTTCTTTGTTTTGTCAGTTCATTACGTCAACATATGAATTCTAACCTCTTTAATTCCAGATGATTTTGCTGGACATTCAACAAACGTACGCGCATGTCACATTCGCGCTCTCAATCTGCACAAACCTACTGCTCCTCTCGTTTTTGGTGTTTCGACGGAACACCAGTCTCGGCGGCTACAAATATCTCATGTTCTCCTTCTCGTTTTTAGGCCTATTCTTCTCAATTGTCGACTTTTTGAACAAACCCGTAAGTTTTCTGGAGATCAGTAGCGTATGGTCGTCGCGTGATTCAGATGGTGCACATCTACGGCGGAGCGTATTTGGTGTTCAGTTTGAACTCTCTGGGTCTTCCTCACTCGTTGGCCAACTGGTTTAATGCACTGAATTGTGCTTGCTATGGAATGACTATTTCTCTGCTCGCAGTTCATTTTATCTACAGGTACTTGACGGTTTGCAGGTGAGCTCTAGGTATTGAAATGCTCTAAATATCATCTTCTTCCAGACCAAACCAGATGAATTGGTTTCTGTGGCCGCACGCCTCCATCTGGATCCTCTTTTGTTGTGAAATCTCGTTCGAATGGTGGATCACTGCGGTGATGTTCGCCGGCGAAACACCGGAAATCGACAAGCTCGTCAAGTACGTGCTCTCCTCACCGATTTCCCTAGACTATTAGGCACTTGTCTTTCAGAGACTCTATGCAGACGAACTATAATCTGATGAAAGGCCAGTTCATCTATGCTTCCTCTTTGTATTATGTTAGTTTTTCAATTTCAGATTGTTTTATTATAGCTGTCGTGTTCAGAGAACCGATGAGAATGGAGCAAAACGAATCTCTTGGCCGGACGTGCTTTTCGCAATAAATATTGTCAAGCTGATTGTGAGTTTGAGATCAAATCCTCCTGGGACTACTACAGTTCTTGGAAGTTTGAATGCTGTTGTAAGGTGGCCCAGCTTCCAGGAACTACAGTACTCTCAGGAGTGGTGGTACAAACGAGTTGTTAACTGGAAAAATAAAATGCGAGGTATGTAGATGACACCCAAAATGATTCACAACAATATAAACCCACGAAGACGCATTGTAGTTCTTCCAAAGTTGTTGCATTCTTAGACTGCTTTGAAAACTTCTAGCTATGCTATGAACCCTTAAAGTTTACCTTTTCTTCAGCTGAAAAAACATTGTTTTGGTGGCCTAGAAATTCTCTTTGTTTTCAGATTCGAGCATTTTGAGCTCAGCACTACTAAATCGGACAATATTTCAGAGCATCTGCATAACAATCGTGTTCTTCTGCGGCATTTCGACGTTCCGCAAACTTCGCTCACTGCGTCACACCTCGAAACGGACCACAAACCTCCAGCAGCAACTGTTCAAAGCGCTGGTGGCCCAGACCGTGATCCCAATGATCACAATGTTTCTGCCGGCCGGCGTCATGTTGTTTGCGCCGCTTTTCGAGGCCACTCTCGGCTCGTACGAGGGCGTCATCATGACCGTAATCACGACGTATCCGTGCGTCGACCCCATCGTCGTCATCTTTTTCGTCAAAGACTATCGACACGCGATCTGGGAGTCGGTGCGCTGCCGACGGTGTCTGTTCAGCCAGGATGTGCACTCGATTCGAGGGACCGCCGTCTCGTTTGTCACTGAGCCCATTTGATGGCGTTCTGAATTCAAAATAAACACGTTTGACCTACCTGAAAAGAGGATTTCGAAACATGTGAGTGGGAGGGCACTTGAAATAGCGAACACTTGCGGTGGCGGGACGACGAAAAATGTTGTTGGTAAACAAATACGGTAGAATGCGGGAGGGAAAAGTGACGGTTAGGATCTGTGGAGATTCCATTTAGGACGTCATAGTCAGAATCCGGCTCAAAAATTAGTATCAGATTTAGGATCTACTCTAAAAACTCCTTATCTTTGAACACGTATATCTCAAGAATCAATGATTTTTCCAAAAACTGGTAAACTAAAAAGTTGTTGCAAATTTTGTGCTTAATAACTTTGTAGTTGAGCATTTTATTCCAAAGTTTGTCATTCTCGAGTTATCGTCTTATTTCTCAACAACATCTCTATCTAATGGTACAACTTGCTTGAACACTTATTTTTAGTGACAGGGGGTCCTTCAAGATCCCTTGAAAATAGTCGAAAAGGATCTTGTTGAATCATATGATCAAACAGTAAGGTTGCTGATTTATGATTGTCTCCTGCTGCTCATTGGACATTACTTTTACCCGCCCGCCCGGCCCGGCTTGTCACCCCCCCTACACCGTGGATCTTTGTCGTCGTGTAATTTCGAGGCAAACACGGCGGGGGGCGGGATAAGTGTGCCGTTGGAGATTTTTGCGGAGGAGTTGCCGTCGGGGAGCAACGAAGGGGGGGGGGGAGATATACAGCAAACAGTAAGCCGGGAGCACGAGCTCCCGCTACTGTCGGTCGGCGCGGCAGGATTCCTCCCACTTATCGCTCGCATGTGCATTCTTGACAGAGAAAGAGGGAGAGAGAGAGACAGAGACAGAGAGAGAGAGAGAGAGAGAAAGAGACTCCCCTCCTTCTGATTCCATTATTTCCACACATTTTCTTTCTCTCTTCGCATCTTTGCTTTTGTTTTCTGAAGTTGCCGACGATTTAGCCGAGCCGAGCGACTTGAGATTCGGATTTGCGCGCGAAGAGCTCAGGCATGTGCTCATTATGCCATTCGTCGGCTCAATTTTGGATCTCCGTGCTTTTGCTCACCGTTAACACTGTAGTAGAAGGACATCCGAATACCGTTCGGCTGTCGGTAGAGATATGAAAAAGTGGTCAACTAACAAAATGTGTACAATGTTTTTTTGAGAAATTTATCAATTTACTACTTTTTCATATCTTTGCCGACAGCCGAGATATAGCAATTTGAGATGAACGGTATTGGGATGCTCTTCTGTTCTTCGTAATCTTCGACGCCTTTCCGTTATTACAATATGAACCTTTCGTCTTCAATCTTTATTAAAAATCGTCCGCCCCGCACATTCCAGACATCGCTCTTCGATCCGGCGCGGTGACACAGAATCAAAAGAAGAGTAGAAGAAGAGAAGGTTGTTGTACAAAAGTTTGAAAGTTGAGAGGAATCAGTAATGTCACACGAATCGGATCCCGGCTGGCAGTACTTGCGCCAGTCGCCAGAACAGGTACGAGATCCTTTGTTTGCATTTATTTTACTTACTCTCTCTCTCTTTCTCTTTCTTTCTCTTTTTATCCGTCTCGAGCCGCTTCTTCTATCCACCACGTACTAGAGTAAACAGCGCAAGAAAGATATCGAGTATTTTTTGATCCATTGCCGGCGCGCGGGAAAAGGGGACTTGCCTGGGGTCGACATAGCACTATATCATTTGTAGCTGTTGGCGGCGACGACGAAGAAGTTCGACTCGAAGAAGAATGTGTGGGTGGCGGATCCGGAGGAGGGATTCATCGCCGCCGAGATCAAGTCGTCGAAGGGCGACACGGTGGTGGTGGTCACCTCGAAGGGCATCGAGAAGACGATCAAGAAGGACGACGCGCAGCAGATGAACCCGCCAAAGTACGAGAAGACCGAGGACATGGCCAACTTGACGTTCCTCAACGACGCGTCCGTCTTGCACAATCTGAGACAGAGATACTACTCGATGATGATCTACACCTATTCGGGTCTCTTCTGCGTCGTCATCAACCCCTACAAGCGTCTTCCGATCTACTCGGAAGCGGTGTGTCAAATGTATCTGGGCAAGCGGAGAAACGAGATGCCGCCGCACTTGTTCGCCGTCGCCGACGAGGCCTACAGAAATATGACGAACGGTTTGTGCACGTTCTTCTCTTTCTCAAGTCGAAAACCCTGTTCGATATTGCAGACAAGGAGAATCAGTCGATGTTGATTACCGGAGAGTCGGGAGCCGGAAAGACGGAGAACACGAAGAAGGTCATCTCGTACTTTGCGATGGTCGGCGCCTCGCAGCAGTCGGCCAAGAAGAAGAGCAAGAAGGACAAGGCACAAGTCTCGCTCGAGGATCAAATTGTGCAGACGAACCCGGTGCTGGAAGCTTTTGGTGAGTAAGGAGCGACGGACAGAGTCAACATGATTACGAGATCAAAAGACTTTGGTTGTGGTGGTGGTGTTTACGCAACACTTGAATGTTGTGCCAAAGTTTTTCCTTTTCTCATTCCCTGAAATAATCAAATTCCGGAAATCTTCATACCTAGTACTTTATTTCTCTAGTTGACAACTTTTTTGCGTCGCCGCTCAAATTCTTTCATCTTTGGAGAAATGGTACAAAAAAGGTGTCAACTAGAAAAATAAAGTACTAGGTTTCATAGTTCTGACCGCTATTATAGTTTTTGTCGAAACTTGTTGCCTACACATCAGCCAGCGCGTTTCCACTCGACAACTTGACACGTGTCAACTCGCGCGTCCTCCTCCTCTTTATCACTTATCTCCCCCCGGGTTGTTTGCTGGTATTTACAAGCGCCCCCCGGTCCCCCGTTGTGTACGGGATGCCGATTCTCGAGTGGCACCACCATCATCATTTTTGTCTGTTTGTACATGAAACATTTCGAGAAAAGAGTGACACACACTTAAAATGAAAAAGGGTGCAAAAAAGAAACAGTGATTGATTGCAGGTAACGCGAAAACGGTTCGTAACAACAACTCGTCTCGATTCGGAAAATTCATCCGAATCCACTTCAACCAGGGCGGAAAGGTGGCCGGTGCCGACATTGAACACTGTAGGAGGACACATTGCAACCTGCTTTAGCAGTTTTTAATTTTTCAGATCTGTTAGAGAAGTCTCGTGTCATCAAACAGGCGCCCGGAGAGCGGTCGTACCACATCTTCTACCAGATTTATTCGGATGCCGTCAAGGGACTCCGCGACAAGCTCTTCCTCACCCGCCCCATCAAGGAGTACACGTTCGTCTCGCAGGCCGAGGTGACGATCGATGGCGTGGATGATAAGGAGGAGATGCTCATCACCGATGAGGCGTTCGATATTATGAAGTTCACCGAGACCGAGAAGTCGGAGCTCTTCGCCATCACCGCTGGAATCATGCATATGGGAGAGCTCAAGTTCAAGCAGAGGCCGAGAGAAGAGCAGGCGGAGTTGGAGGATGGAAAAGAGGGAGAGCTGGCGTGCAAGCTCTACTGCGTCGACTCGGAGAAGTTTATCGGTGCGCTTCTGAAGCCACGTGTCAAGGTCGGCACCGAATGGGTCAACAAGGGACAGAACTTGGAACAGGTGAACTGGGCAGTCGGAGCCCTCGCCAAGGCTCTGTTCGCTCGCATGTTCACCTGGCTCATCAAGAGGTGGGTGAAAACTGAAAAACTAGAAGCTAACATGAATATTTTCAGATGTAACAAGACGCTCGACGCGCAAGACCTCTCTCGCGACTTCTTCATCGGCGTGCTCGACATTGCCGGCTTCGAAATCTTCGATCTGAACTCGTTCGAGCAGTTGTGGATCAACTTTGTGAACGAGAAACTGCAACAATTCTTCAATCATCACATGTTCGTGTTGGAACAGGAAGAATACAAACGAGAGGGAATTCAATGGGAATTCATTGATTTCGGACTCGATTTGCAGGCCTGCATTGAGCTCATCGAAAAGGTATCTCTTTGAGAGCTCTTGTAGACTTCAATTTCACTTTTAATTTTATTTTAGCCACTGGGAATTGTGTCGATGCTCGATGAGGAATGCATTGTGCCAAAGGCCACCGATCTGACGTTGGCTTCCAAGCTCAACGATCAACATCTCGGCAAGCACCCGAACTTCCAAAAGCCACGTCCGCCGAAGGGAAAGCAGGCGGAAGCCCATCTCGCCATTGTTCACTACGCCGGAACCGTACGGTACAACGTGAAGGGATGGCTCGAGAAAAACAAGGATCCGCTCAACGACACCGCCGTCACCGTGCTGAAGGCCAACAAGGGCAACCAGCTGATGGCGGACCTCTGGGCCGACTACAACACTCAAGAAGACGTGGCGGCGATGGCGAAGGAGGGAAAGAAGGCGGTCGGCAAGAAGAAGGGCAAGTCGGCGTCGTTCATGACCGTCTCGATGATGTACAGAGAGTCGCTGAACAACCTGATGCACATGCTCCACCAGACTCATCCGCACTTTATCCGCTGTATTATTCCGAACGAGATGAAGAAGGCGGGAATGATCGACGCGAATCTCGTGCTCAATCAGCTGACGTGCAACGGAGTGTTGGAAGGAATTCGCATTTGCAGAAAGGGATTCCCGAACAGAATGCCGTATTTGGACTTTAAGCAGCGCTACGCTGTGCTGGCTGCCGACGCGGCCAAGGCTGGAAAAGATTTCAAGGACGCTGGGGAGAAGATCGCCGCCGCTCTGACCAAGAACGGCAGTCTGAAGCAGGAGGAGTTCCAGTGCGGTCTCACGAAGGTCTTCTTCAAAGCCGGAGTGCTCGCTCACTTGGAAGAGCTCCGTGACGAGGCGCTCGGAAAGATCATGGCCAAGTTCCAGTGCGCGTGCCGACACTACCTCGCCCAGTGCGAGTACAAGCGGAAGCTCGACCAGAAGATTGGACTGATCGTTCTGCAGAGAAACATCCGCGCGTGGTGCACCCTCCGCTCGTGGGCCTGGTTCAAACTGTTCGGACGTGTCAAACCGCTCATTAAGGGCAACAAGAAGAACGAGGAGTTCGAGGCTCTCGAGAAGAAGTTCAAGACACTTGAAGAGGAGAAACAACAGGAGGAGAGAAAGAGGAAGGACATTGAGGCGGAGAACGCGAGACTCGAGGCCGAGAAGCAGGCGCTGCTCATACAGTTGGAGCAGGAAAGAGACTCGAGTGCCGAGGGAGAGGAGCGATCCGCTAAACTCCTTTCGCAGAAGGCGGATCTCGAGAAGCAGATGGCTAATCTGAACGATCAGTTGTGCGACGAAGAGGAGAAGAACGCGGCGCTCGCGAAACAGAAGAAGAAGGTCGAGCAGGACAACGAAGGGCTCAAGAAGACCGTTTCGGATCTGGAGACTACGATCAAGAAGCAGGAGAGCGAGAAGCAGGCCAAAGATCATCAGATCAGAAGTCTGCAGGACGAGATTCAGTCGCAAGACGAGGTCATCTCCAAGCTGAACAAGGAGAAGAAGCATCAAGAGGAGGTGAACCGCAAGCTTCTGGAGGACATTCAAGCCGAGGAGGACAAGGTGAACCATCTGAACAAGACGAAGGCCAAGCTGGAGTCGACACTCGACGAGCTCGAGGATTCGCTGGAGCGCGAGAAGAGAGGTCGTCAGGATTGCGAGAAGCAGAAGAGAAAGGTCGAGGGAGAGCTCAAGATTGCTCAGGAGCTCATTGAAGAGCTGAACCGTCACAAGCATGAGCAGGAACAAGTGCTCAAGAAGAAGGACATCGAGCTGACATCCCTTCAATCCAGACTCGAGGATGAACAGTCTTTGGTGGCCAAGCTGCAGAGACAGATTAAGGAACTGCTCGCCAGAATTCAAGAGCTCGAGGAGGAGCTGGAAGCTGAGCGACAATCGAGATCCAAGGCTGAGAAGGCTAGAAATGAGATGCAGTTGGAGTTGGAAGAGCTTGGAGACAGACTTGATGAGGCCGGAGGAGCTACTCAGGCACAGATGGAGCTCAATAAAAAGAGGTGAGAACAGAATCAGTTGTTGATAATAGTAAGAATTGATTTCAGAGAAGCCGAGCTCGCCAAGCTCCGTCAAGACCTGGAAGATGCGGCGATCAACTCGGAGACGAGCATGGCTGCCCTCCGCAAGAAGCACAATGACGCCGTCGCCGAGCTCTCCGACCAGCTCGACACTGTGCAGAAGATGCGCGGAAAGCTGGAGAGGGAGAAGAACGACAAGCAGAGAGAGATCGACGAACTGCAGCAGTCGGCCGACGTGGAAGCGAAGCAGAGACAGAACTGCGAGCGGATGGCCAAGCAGCTGGAGTCGCAACTCACCGACATCACTTTGAAGAGCGACGAGCAGGCAAGACTCATTCAGGAATTGACGATGAGCAAGAACAAGAGTCACTCGGAGAACCAGGACCTGAACAGACAGCTCGAGGACGCCGAGTCGCAGCTGTCCGCGCTGAACCGCATCAAGCAGCAACAGCACAGTCAGATGGAGGAACTGAAGAGAACCCTCGACCAGGAGACGCGCGAGAGACAATCCCTCCACTCGCAAGTGTCCAACTACCAACTAGAGTGCGAACAGCTCCGCGAGTCGCTCGAGGAGGAGCAGGATGCCAAGACGGATGTGGCGAGACAGTTGAGCAAGGCCAACTCGGAGATTCAGCAATGGAGAGCCAAGTTCGAAGGAGAGGGAGTCACAAGAGCCGAGGAGTTGGAGGAGACGAGAAGAAAGCTGACGCATAAGGTGCAGGAGATGCAGGAGCAGTTGGAGAATGCAAACCAGAAGATTGGATCGTTGGAGAAGACGAAACAGAGACTCGCCCACGATTTGGAAGACGCTCAGGTCGACGCCGATCGAGCCAACTCGGTGGCAAGCTCCCTGGAGAAGAAGCAGAAGGGATTCGACAAAGTGCTCGAGGAGTGGAGACGCAAGTGCGAGGCTCTCGTCGCCGAAGTCGAGCAGAGCCAGAGAGAAACGCGTGCCGCCGCCACCGAGACCTTCCGTCTCCGCAACCAACTTGAGGAGTCGGGAGAGCAGACGGAAGCCGTGCGCCGGGAGAACAAGGCTCTCGCCCAGGAGCTCAAGGACATTGCCGATCAGCTCGGAGAGGGTGGAAAGAGTGTGCACGACTTGCAGAAGCTCCGCAGAAGGCTGGAAATTGAGAAGGAGGAGCTGCAGCAGGCTCTCGACGAGGCCGAATGTGCTCTGGAGGCCGAGGAGGCCAAGGTGATGCGTGCTCAGATTGAGGTCTCGCAAATCAGAAGCGAGATTGAGAAGAGACTGCAGGAGAAGGAGGAGGAGTTTGAGAACACGAGAAAGAACCACAGCAGAACCATTGAGAGCATGCAAGTATCACTGGAGACGGAAAGCCGCGGAAGAGCCGAGCTGCTCAAGACGAAGAAGAAGCTCGAGGGAGACATCAACGAGCTCGAGATCGCTCTTGATCACAGCAACAAACTGAACGTCGACGGACAAAAGTCGCTCAAAAAGCTGCAGGATATGATCAGAGAGCTGCAGTTGCAGGTGGAAGACGAGCAGAGATCTCTGAACGAGGTGCGCGACCACGCGAACCTCGCCGAGCGCCGTTCGCAAGTTCTGCAACAGGAGAAGGAGGATCTCGCGGTGATCTACGAGCAATCGGAGAGAACTCGCCGACAAGCGGAGCTCGAGCTCGCCGAGGTCAAGGACTCGGTGAACGAGTTGTCGAACAGCAACTCGCTTCTGCTGGCCACCAAGAGAAAGGTCGAGGGAGATCTGCAACACTTGCAATCCGAGATCGAGGAGGCGTTGAGTGACGCGAAGAGCAGTGACGAGAAGGCGAAGAAGGCGACGATGGACGCGTCGAGACTGGCCGACGAGCTCAGATCGGAGCAGGAGCACGCGAGCAATCTGGACAAGTCGAAGCGGGCGCTCGAGTCGCAGGTCAAGGACTTGCAGGCAAGACTCGACGAGGCCGAGGCCGCCGGAATCAAGGGAGGAAAGAGACAGTTGGCGAAGCTGGACATGAGAATTCACGAGCTCGAAACTGAACTGGAAGGCGAGTCGAGAAGACACGGAGAGACACAGAAGGTGCTCAGGAACAAGGACAGAAAGTGCAGAGAGCTCCAGTTCCAGGTACGCGTCTGATACGAAGAAGAGTAGAAAATTGAACCGTTTTACTTTCAGGTTGATGAAGACAAAAAGTCGACCGAGCGAATGTACGACCTCATCGAGAAGCTTCAGCAGAAGATCAAGACGTACAAGCGGCAGATTGAGGATGCCGAGTCTCTGGCTTCTGCCAACCTCGCCAAGTATCGTCAGCTACAGCACGTTGTCGAGGACGCTCAGGAGAGAGCCGACGCCGCCGAGAACGCGCTTCAGAAGTTGAGATTGAAGGGAAGGAGCGCGTCTGGAGTCTTCGGACCACGTGGATTGGCTCATTCTGTGAGGAGCTTTAAAGTTTTTGGAAACACGACTTACTACTTACTTTCAGATGTCAACGACCGGAGTGAACATGAGACGAGGCGGCTCGCGAGGCGCATTCCTCGACGAGGACTTTGCCGAAGAATAATGGAAAGACCCTAACTCTTATTATTTGTACACTTTCTCGGTTTTCACTCACTCCCATTACTTCACTGAATCAGAACCAAATTCATTCATTCATTTCACTTACTTTGCATATCTACACTGCCCCCCTCCCCTCCCCTCTTCACTTTTACGTTTTGTTTAGTTCTCGCATTCATACACCAAATAAAGTTTGTTTCTTTATCTTTCGCTTTTTCGTTCTCGCACTTATCGCAAAGATCTCGCGGCGCAATTCTTCCTGGGCGAGTGAAATGAAGGAAATCCATCCACTCGTCGCCAAAATGAATCGATACTCGCAATTTGTCAAGTTCATCGGGTTCCTTGTACTTTTATTCGCCGCCTCTTTCTTTGTTACTCTGATTTCGTCTTCCATGCCCACTCCAGGTACTTGTGATCGGATTTGTTTGTTGGGGCAACGTCTTATTGTAGATGTTTCATCACAGCAGTTGGAGATTTTTCGGGAGAATAGAACAGAGCCAACTAGTGAAAGTACTACAGTAACCATAACATCAGAAGAAGCCGTGAAAACTACTGCAATTCGAACTATGGAAGACGTTCCGGAGGAGTTTAAAGCAAACTGGACGGATGAAATCCGACTGAGCGAGCAGGAGGACTCGAGGTTTAAAGATTTGTAAGTTCAATAGCTGTCAGATGATTGTGCAAGTCTAGAAGACTACTGTAGCTCAGGGAAGTGTGTTCCGTTTTAGATCTCAATGTGAAGTGGAAGATTGGAACCAGAAGACTATCGACATCATTCCCAAACAATCGGTTCATAGACAATGGATTGATAAGGGTCGATTCTCCCGGAGAGAAAACAGCTCGTCCATTTCCACGTCTCCAGGGCTTTTGGCTGCTTTTGCATACAAAGATCATATAGCGGTCACACTGACGGCTACCAACCTCTTCAAGTAACAATATCATAAGTTTCTAGTTTCATTTTTACTTCTTTTCAGCCGCTCGTTGTATTGTCGTTATTACGATTGCCGGCAGAAAGAAATGGTGCGTCAACGCGCGTCGTTCGTCTTTCCCGAGTCGACAGTTTACTGCCCGAGAAGAGCCGGAGCAAAGTTCATCTCGCTGACCGAGAGCATTGAGGACACGGCCGAATACCCGGTCCCAATTGTGAAGCGACTAACTCCCACGCACTTTTTCACAGTTTGCCTCTCCGTCTCGTTGAACGACTCCAACGCTCTTCAACTGGCACAGTTCATAGAGCATCATAAACTTCAAGGAGCAAGCTTCTTTCACATTTATGTAAGAGGCTCGCGTGCCTACAACAGAGCGATTCTGGACGACTATGAACGGACGGGCGATGTGAAAGTCATTCTGCTTCGGAATGAGGAGAACTTTGAAAGGGACGAGGTGTGGACTAACGACTGCCATCATCGCAACAAGTATTTCGCCAAGTGGACCGCCTTTTTGCACCTAGAAGATCGGTTGGAAATGCGAAATGAGAAGAGTACAGTTGTCGCCTATTTGGAGTAAGTTCCTAGAGAATCTGATCAGAAAACATTGAGTTTTTGAGTGAGGTTCCCGGTCCCAAGGCTAGTGTCTTGAGATGGAAGAACTCTAATAGCACTTCACGATTGGTCGTTCGTCCGGAGCGAGTGAGTTTGGGCACTTTCCACGTGGCAAATACAAAATTTCAGGTGATCGCCATGAACCACGAACCTATTGATGTGTACGTGGGCGAGCGGATGACAAAAGTCGATGACTCTGTCGGAGTTTTGAGGTCCACCTACCCGAGCATTTTATCACTCTCAATGACCAACAATGAGGAGCATTTGACTGATCCAGTCGCTGGAAATGTACTCAACATCCTTTTTCTTGTACAACTTCTGCAAACCTCTGAATTTCAGGTTTTATCCCGCACAAACTGGGTGTACACAACTGTAGACGTGTCGTGTGCGAAGAAACAAGACGCCAATCGGAAGATGGGCAGGAGTGCCACGTGTACATCAAAAATTCTCATGTAGCCAGTACTTTCATATTGTTTTGTGCTGTTCTCATTCGATCTAGATCCGACAAGAATGAATTTCAACTTTTTTCGTCAGGATTTGAAATCGAATGCATCTGTCGATCTATTGGACGATTAAGATCTGTGACAGAGACGCAATTAGGTGGGAGAAATCAGGATATCTCAGCTACCGACAGAGATATCAAAACGTTATCAACTAACAAATTGTTTGTTAAAATATTGAGCACATTTTATCAGTTGACAACTTTTTGATATCTTTACAGGCAGCTGAGATACAAAGTCTTGAATTAGCTGGAAATGAGCACTCAACGGTTATGCAGGCAATAAGAAAACACTTTCAAAGCCTCAAAATCTTGAAATCCACAAAACCTGTCCGATCGTTCCGCCTTCTCTTCGTGATCTTCTGCTTTTCCGATACAATCTTCCGGTATCGATCTCGACGAATCTTCGCAGAAAGCCATTCTCACCATGCTTCTCCGATGGACGATCTTGTCTTTTTCCGTGCTCTCCTCGTGGTCTTTGGCCAGTATTACAGTGGCGTTTCACGAAAAGTATAAAACGATGGAGGACGTCAAGAATGGTCAGTTTGGAGGTAAACGAAACGTCGATGAAAGTGTTGCCTTGCAGCTCAAGAGGAAGTGGTGCAGTACGTGAACCTCGACGAGACGGAACTTCCGGTGACACCCGAACAAAAGCAGAGCACGTTTACGAATGCCCCGTTGGCAGACGAAGAGGACCCTCTTTTCGCTTTCAACTCGTACGTTTCTTTCTGGACAGACATTTCGAATCAAACCAGAAAGTTCAGGTCCGAGTGCCCGGAAGAAGAGTGGAATCGCGTTCGAACTGACTCGATTCCGAACAAGCAATTGCATGAAGAATGGGCGGCACGGAACATTGGCAACCAGAATTATCTGTACAATGAGTCGCCGGGAGTTTTGGCGGCGTTCGCGCACACTGATAAGATTGTTGTCACACTGACGGCCGAGAACTATTTCAAGTAGGTCGATAATATATATATTTTCAAAATCTTTTGTATTTCTAGCCGAACAGTCTACTGCCGCTACTATGATTGTCGGCGAAAAGAGATTCCGGATCAGTTTGAGAGCGTCGTCTATCCCGAATCGACAGTATTCTGTGCGCTTCGAAAGGGAGCAAAGTACATTTCGATTACCGAAAACTTGGAGGAGAAGCCTGAATGGCCGGTGCCGATCGTTCCGAGAGTTGAAAGTGAGATGAGCTCCGTCCACACTCGGCCTAATCTACAATATTCAGAACCCCCGCACTACTTCACCGTTTGCATGGCGACTTTGTACGGCGACGAGCCAAAGTTTCTGCAGATCGTGGACTTTGTCGAGTATTACAAACTGCAGGGCGCCACATTCTTCCACATTTATCTGCGGAATGTGTCGGACTACGACAGACTGCTGCTGGATGACTATGTTCGGACCGGCGACGTTGAGATTGTCAAAATGCACGATCACTACTGGCGGGACGATTTCATGTGGCATCACGTTCAGATCAATGTGAGCATACAATATCAATATGTTAGTAGGTTCGCTGACAATTATCGTGTTTAGGATTGTCATCATCGCAACAAGTACTTCTCTAAATGGACGGCTGTTATTGACGTGGATGAGAGAATCGAGATGAGGAATGACAACTACAAAACTATTGTCAACTTTCTTGAGTGCGCACTCTTACACCTTCATCTTTTGTACTCTATTCCTCAATTCCAGCACAATCCACGACCCGAACGTAGTCAATCTTCACTTCAAAATCCAGTGGGTAATCAAGGACGCGAATACTCCGGCCCGGTACGAGAATGACGAGCAGGTAGTGACTCCAAGCAAACGATGTATAGAATCCATCACTTCTTCCAGCTAACCTCCGAGATGCTCGCCCACAAATATCAGAACCTGTCAACTATTGGAAGTTTCTGGACGCAACCGAAATGTATCATTCGTCCAGAGAAGATTGGAATGATGACGATTCATGGGCCATTGGCGGTTTACACGGGAGTTCGTAGGTCGCTCGTCAATGAGACGATCGGGGTGGTGAGGTACGGTAGCCAAGGGAGAAGTACAGTAACCGAACACCGTTTAGACACTATCGTAATGTGGAGCAGCGGGTGTTTGCGGGCGCGTTGGATAGAATGATGAAGCACGCGCCGTTCAACGTCATTCCGATTGCAGAGTGGCTGGATTTGAAGCTCACGAAGGCGGTACACACTTTTGAAGCGTCTATGCACACAATATTGTGCATCTTTCAGATTTTGGAACGAGTCAAATGGGTCTACGGCACTGTGGACGTTTCTTGCAAGCAGAAGCATGACATCTTTCGCAAGCACGGAGGAATCAGTGCTCCTTGTTGGCTGGAACATTTGGCTCGGAAGAAAAACGATACAAACTGATGTGTTGTACCTAAATAATACGATTTCGAATAAAGAATGATGAACTCGACTGGGCGGAACGATCTGGAACAGGATTTTCGAATCGGAAAGATCGAGATTAAGATCGGATTGAATTCAAAAGATCCGGAGGACACAAAAGTGGAGTGGGAAGCGTTAAAGTCCAGTCTAGAACTCGTTTTCTTTCCGTGGCCAGCAACTGGTGATGAGTGCTCCCTGCTGGTCAGAACGAAAATCTAGAGGAAAAAACGTATGATATTTTACAAAAGGGCCCAAAAAAAAAAGCATTTGACATAGAAAAAGTGCGTATAAAATATGACTAAAACTGATTCGGGAGCTTGGAATCATTTTGCTCATCGGTGTTTGTCTCCATCATCTGTTTGATTCTCTCTTCATATTGTTTCGTTGACTGAAAATGAATAGATACAGTTTAGCGGAGAAATGAGGCGAATGTTACATTTTCAATAACTTCAACGTTTTCCTTGTAAAACGTGGCAATTTGATGCGGATTCTTGGTGCCCATCACATCGGCGACCGCCTCAAAGTCTTTTCCGTACCAATGGAAGCCTGTAAGAATAGAATCGTACGGAGCTCCGAGAGCTTCTCCGCCTACATCTCACAACATCCTCCTGTTCTCTATCGGTCCACATTTGCGCGTACCGCACGCGATGTTTGGAGAACACGAGCGACGGACTGAGGTCGACGTCCTTGTGCATCCGTTCCATTCGCCACCTCAAATGATCCATTTCGGCCTTCCACTTGGCCACTTCACGCAAGTTTATTCGGCTTTCCGCTCGACACGCTTCGAACAGCTTCCGGCGGGAGTCGTCGTGGAGCACACTGCAAAGAAAGAGCATGTTTAAGAGGAAGGGAAAGCCGGGAACGCACTCCATTTCTTCCATGCACACCGAAGTCATCGCCCGGTAGACGTCGAGATTCAGAATTGAACGGCTGTCTTCGAGTTTTCCAAATTTCAGAGGTTCCGAAATTGCAGGCGGCGCCGAATGTCTCGAAAGATACCTGGCAAAATTTGGCATCTCGGCGAGAGTATCTGAATCCGCACGTCTATCTCTGGCGATTTGATCAAAAAAGCCATCTAGAGCGTCAGCTTCTTCTCTTTTCGGCGATTTGAGTGGTTGCTCAGAAGGTTGCCGCGAGATCTCTCGGGTCGGGAATCCCGGAGATTCCGGTTTGCACTGAATTTCTGGCTCTTCTGAATTGCCACGAGTTTCCGGCCGTTCGGGAGTCTTTGAACTTTCACAAACTTCCGAATCTCTCGCGATTTCCGGCGTGTTCAGTGACTCGTCGACTTCTGCTGGCACCGCAGAATTCACGAGCACATTTATCTGAATTGGTTTGTCCAGGGAGCGGATCGTCGTGTTCACAGTCGTGATGTCCTGCACTCGCTGATCTTTTCCCATTTTCCGCGTGTACGTCGATCCGCTCGCTTCTTCGGCCATTCGCTCGTAAATCTGCATGTACCTCGTCATTTCTGCAAAGTATTCGATTGATTGATGGGCGACTTTCTTTCGTACGGACCCTCCGGACACGCCACGATATTCTTGATTCTCCGCGCGAGCACGCAACGGAGCGTCGTCGGCCGGGGACTGTTCGTGATCTCAAAGTACAAGTGACACGCGCGGCACTCTTTCCGCCCCATTTCCGCATTCTCCTCGAGCATTTCCGCTTCCTCGCCACAATTCTCGCACATATTCTCGAAAATCGAGTCTGGGATCTGAAAAGGATCTTCTTCCACCTCTTCTTCTTCTTCGCTGTCGCTCTCGCATTGGCCGGTTGCGAATTTGTTGTACGCGAGACGGCTCTTGTTGCTGTAGTAGAACTGGACGAGGGAGCCGCGCGAGCGGTGCGGCAGCTGAAATTATAGCGAGTTGGAGAGCAGCTTCTCTTTTTTTATGTTTGACCATACCATTAGGCGAATCCGCTTGAAATTCTTGCCGTACACCATGTAGCAGTTCTCGAATGCGATGCGCTCGTCGTGCGTGAACACGTCGCGCCACTCCTTCTTCTGGCGGATTATCGCCATCGCCGATTCGTAGTTCATGTTTTCCAATGCTAAAATTCGCAACGCCTACAAAAACCTGCTATTATTAGGGTATTCCACGTGGCTACGCACATGGTCAACAGGCACTTTGAAGCGTTCGGAAGCTTCTCTGACGTATTCGCTCAACGCCTCGTCGTCCACGTCTTCGGGCGTCTCCCACAACTTTTGATCGGGGTCCGAATGGTCTTGCGAGTAGCTCGGATCGATATCTTCCGGCACGACGGCTTGGAACTCTTCGCCCACGTTTATCGACTTGTTCTTGGCGGACAGAGGAGCGGCTGAATTGGTGGCTTATCGATCGATTGGCTCAGAAGCCTGCTCACCTTCATTTCCCTCGTCGTCGTCTTCCATCGACTCTTCGGATGAGCTGCGCTTCCGCTTCTTCTTTTTCGACCGTTTAGGCTTTTTCTTTAACGAGAATTTTCAAATTAATAAAGCACAAAATACTCGGGAAAACTCACTATTACTTGCACCGGCGTCTCCTCTCTCGACTCCAGATTATCCGTCTCATCGAGCTCCACGTCTCCTTCTAGCTCCGGCGTCACTTCCAGCTCTTCCAGCTTTATCACTGTTTCTTCTCCTTCTTCCTCTTCTTCTCCTTCTACTTCTTCTTCTTCCTCCTCCTCCTCTTCTTCTTCTTCTTCTCCTTCAACTTCTTCGGCTTCAAGGCCTAAAAAGCGGTCTAGATTTTATTCACCGCGCCATTCAAACTACTCACTTCCATTGGCTACCAACTCGTCATCCATTTCTTCTTCTCCTTCTCCTTCTTCTTCTTCGTCTTCTACAACTTCATCGTCTTCTGCCTCATCATCTCTGTACACATCCATTTTCTCCATCTGAAGAAATCAGTATAATGAAAGCAGAAGTGTATGTGTGTATGTGTGTATTTGTGGAAAACGTGGGAACGAACGCTGGTGGCGGCCGGAGGAAGGAGGAAAGGGGCTAGTAGTCATTGTATTGATGCAGCGTGCTGTGCTATGCAAGCGCGCCCCAGCGAACTACCGCGCGGACGTTCCGCTTGCGGATCCAATGCGAAACGCGGAAGAAGAAGGAGAGGAGGGTAGAGAAACGGGGAGAGAAAAAACTGGGAGTAGAGTGTAAAACTAGGATAGGCCTATTCAGTCGGGAGAAAAACAGTTTTTTTTTCCTGATTTGAATCGAGTTTTAGCGGAAAAAACCGTTTCTTTCCCGAGAGACAAGGCAGAGGAACAATTCAGTTCGTTTCAATTCAAAGTCGGTTCCGACAATATGAATAAGATTGGCGAGGAGGAGAAGGGTAAACAAGAAACAGCGGAATGTAATATTCATACGGCTCCAGCGCATTGGCGGCCGAATATTCACGTTGGACACCAAAATGTTTATCGAATTTTTTCAAACTTAACGTATAATTTATTGATCGTGGTGGTAAACTACTGTGGTTCGCATCGTTTCGAACGAAATGAGTTCTGTGGACTTCTGAGAAAAGGAAATGTTTTACCTTTTTCGATTATTGCAAAAATCAAACGGCTTTTCTACGAATGCTGCTTTTTATCTGTCAAAACTTCTGTAAAGTTGTGTCCAACTTATTTTATTACTGTCATCAATTCCGATTCCGTTTTCGTTCCCGATAGAACTGCTCGAAATATCGTTTGGTTATCAGAAGAAAACGCCAAAAATCGAACACGCTTGGCAACCTGTACGGTTTCAGTTCTGATAAGAGTTAAGAGGCACAGAAGATGCAAGGATTTAGAAGAATTTTATAGAAATCTCATTCTGATAAATTTTATCAATTCTTCATGTAGTCTCTGCAATATGAAGATCTGTACAACGCGTGCTAGAAAATTCCGCTGTTGTCCTGACATTTTCAGAACCGCAATTTTCTACTCAAAGGGTGGGCAACGCATAATAAGCACGAAAATAACAAAAAAAAATGCTAGAATTATTGCTGGAAACGAAGTCCTTCTCGTTGTACCACTTTTGTAGTTGGTGGGCGGAGCCGCGTAAATCTACACGCAACTCGAGTGCACACAATTTTCGCAAGTCTCCCGCATGCTGTTCCTCCAATTGTTATTTTTTGCGAAAGAAAAACTCGGATTTCAATCGCCATTGCACAAGTTTCTTTCCACTTTCTCATGTTAAAATCGTTCTTTATTACTAGTTCACTATATTTTGCTTCAAAATTCACCGAATCCACGTCATGAAACACGTTTTCGACAAGATTCTTTTGTATTGACTCGAGAACCTGTTATTTTCTATTTTTAAACTGCTCGCACTCATTCACTCAATCAAATTGTCTCTCTCCTTTTCAGTCTACACCTGCATTGCGAAATGCATACTTCCATTTATTTCTCCGTCTTTCCCTCGCTATTTGTCCATTCCCTTGTCATATTCACATGACTTCTCGCGCGATTGGCCGAGTTTTCCTTGGCCGTTTCGTTTCGCGGCCCTCCGAAAAACGACACGCGACATGAACAAGAATAGGGGCTTCTTCTACTCCGGGGAGCCGCGCGGAGCACGGACCACTGGCCCTCATCGATTCCTTTTCTCCTCCTTTCTCACTGCACACTCAATAACTTCCTCTCTTCGCTCACTCCTTCCTTTTTCCGTTTTTGCTCGCCTCTCGTCATTCTTTTATCTCCGCTTTTCGCTCGTTTTCCCACTGCACTTTTTCTATTGATTTCCGCTCTTTTTTTCCAGAAGTTCGAAAATGGCTGATAACGAAGGAAAGGCTCGCCAAAAGATGGCCGAAGGAAGAAAGAAACTGACGGTAAATAGTTGAGAAAGTCTATAAAAATACTAAAATTCTTCAATTTGCAGGGAGGCGGCGGATTTTTGGGCAAGTTATTCAGTGGTGGTGGCGGTGGAAGCACTGAGGCTGCCGATCTGTTCGTACAGGTGAGATTTTATGAAATTGGAAACCAAACGGGGAGGGCTAAAGAGAATAATAAAATGAATGCCCTTTTCTTCAAAAATAACTGCAATCCGGTGCAGGACGAAGAAGAAGAATCGGCAAACACGGAAATCGAGTGCAGTCACGCAGGATGCGAGTTTATCGCCGCCAATATGCTCGAGTTTGAGCACCACTACGCTCAGCACTCGTTCCAGTGCTGCGAGTGCGGCGCCGCCTTCGACACCGCGCACCGGCTCGAAGTGCACCAGGACGAACGGCACAGTCCGTTCTTCCTCGTACGCGTCGCCCGTGCGCCCACCGCGCCGCACTACCGATGCCTCCATCCGACATGCGATCAATGCTTCTCGAACAGCCGAACACGCGACGAACATTCCCGAATCGTTCATCTGATCGACGGCGAATCGTCGCGTCGACGGAAAGCGGATGGGGACGGTGGAGCGACGACGGCGCTTCTGAGCAGCGCAATGGGCAAAATGAGCATGGGAGATGCGGAAGAGGCTGCCGGATGGACTGGAGAAAGAGGGCATGGATTGGCGACAAGCGGACAGCGGCGGCTAGTGAAAAAGGCCGTTCGCCGACGGGAAAACTAACTGAAATATCAAATATGGGCATTTCTCTGAATAAATGTATCGTTGTACTGTGTTACAGGGAGGCAATCTGTTCAAAATGGCGAAATTGTGGAAAGAAGCCGGCGAAGCGTTCCTCGAAGCGGCCGACGTACACGCGAGACAGGGCGACTCGAAGCACGAGTGCGCGACTCAATTCGCCGAGGCGGCCAACTGCTTCCGAAAGGTTCAGCCGGAGCGCGCGGTCGAGTGTCTCGAGAAGACGTCAGAGATCTACACGGACATGGGACGCTTCACGATGGCCGCCAAAAACCATGTGAGCATTGCGGAGCTCTACGAGACCGAGTTGCCGGACAAGGAGCAGTGCGTGAAGCACTACCAACAGGCGGCCGACTACTACAAGGGAGAAGAGCAGAAGAGCAGCGCGAGCAAGTGTCTTGTGAAGGTGGCTATGTACTCGGCCGAGATGGAGAAGTACTCGCAGGCGATCGCCGTCTTCGAGGAGATCGCCTTCTACGAAGCGGACCATTCGACGCTCAAGTACGCGGCCAAGGGACACTTCTTCCAAGCGCTTCTCTGTCATCTCAACGTCGATCCGGTAACGAATTCTGAAAACGAGAGCCTATAATTTAATGAAATATTGCAGATCAACACGCAGCAGGCTCTGCAGAGATACGAGAACGCCTCGCCGGCGTTTTCGGATTCTCGCGAATGCAAGTTTGTGAAAGAGTTGCTCGCGGCTCTCGAAGAGAAGAACGAGGAGACGTTCACCGAAGGCGTCGCCAACTTTGATAAGCTTACAAAGTGAGAAACGGGTTCAAAGGAAAACCTGAAGAACCTAAATTTCAGACTGGATCCTTGGTCGACTTCTCTTCTTCTCAAGGTGAAGCGCACCATCGAAGGCGAAGACGAGGACGATTTGCGATAAATTTCCACGTCTTTCTGTCCCTTTTTCGCTAATTATTCATTCCTCTCGTTTATTTCCATAATTTGGTTGTAAAATGCATGAAAAGCAGCCTGTAGATTGACTGACTGACCAATTTTTCTGAGCAATAATCCGTATTCGCTTCCTGTCTATTTATTGAATTATTTATATTATAAAGGCCCCCAGATGTAAGATTTTCCACTTTTGAACTCTGGCTTAGTTGCTGCAAATGCATATTTCCTGTTATCAATCGATTTCCGACAGCAGATAGATTCCATTCCAGAGCGTTTCCGATGGTGGATGGAGGGGAAGAAGAAGAAAACGATCAGAATGTGAGATACTGGAAGACAAAGTACGAGCTGCTCTACGCGGATTACGGCAGAACCAAGGATCGGAGCGAAGATCTGGAGACGCGATTGCTGGAAGTGGTGGAGGAGAACGAGCGGCGAGAGGGCGAGAAACAGGAGAGGATCCAAGAGTTGGAGACCGAAATCGGAGAGGCGAATCGACGCATCGAACAGCTCGAAGCGGCGTGTGTGAGTGAGCGGCAGAAATGAGCGAAGAGATGGCAGATTCTTGCAGTTTCGGTACAAAAATCACGGAAAACTGACGAAAACTGAAGCCGAATGCGAAATTGCTCAAAATGTCGAGACGAACAGCGACGAAAGTGTACGTTTTCGGACTTGGTCGGCGAAAATTGAAATTTGTTTTAGAATTTTAGAATCTGGGCCAATTTTCGACTTTTAACCGTCCGTTTTCAGACACCGTGCCCAACCGACGGAATCACTCGCTCTCCGGATTTTCACGCCGGCCAGCATCTCATTTGCGAGTATCACAAGCTGCCGGTTCTGGCGAAAGGCGAAGGATTCATCTACGGGTTCCGGTGGAACGAAACCAACAAAATCCATATCGTCTAGCAACTTTTGCTCCCAATGATTTCAATGTTTCCCCTTGTGCCCTCGATAAAAAGTGTATGTGGGTGTCTTCTTTCTTTCTCAATTGCATTCTTTTTGAATAATTCATCATGCCAAACTCTTTTATTTGCTTTGGAGCTCTCACGTGAATCGCATTCGAAACAGAAAGTCCGGCTCTTTTTCGGAAAAATGTCCTCAGATTGTTGTAGATTTTGGCGCCGCCGGTGTGCACAATTGTGCTAATAAGCGGTGTTGGTGGTGGGGAGCCACGGGGAAAATAGATTCACTTTTGTTTTTTTTCCCTGTTCTCCGCTCCCCAGCCGTAAATATCGGAATAGCGTGCGTGCGAAGGTTCTGACCCGAATCCGTCGCTTTTTTTGGAGTCCAAATGATCTCATTTCGTACGGAGTGATACTCGGAACCAATTCTGGCTATTTTAGGTCAATCGTAAGACTTACCTTTTCCAGAAATTCCGCTTTCTCGTTGCTGACCTCTTTTTCTCTTAAAATGTGGCGAACACGCTCTACCACTCAAATTGGCTAGTTTTTGAAATGACGCGTTGTTTTCAAGTTTTTAGGGACAAATTCCGCGGAACTCGTGACACACAAATCTGCTCAAATTCGCCCCTAATACCTATTCATTAGCTTTTTTCTTCCTTCTCGATCTCTTCTCATCTTTTGAGTTCTAGCCGCCTAAATTGGATTTTTTCTCTTTTTTTTGTCATTTGTTTCGCTTTTCATACATTTTCTGTTGGACAGTAGAAAAAGCTCAACTGGTAGCCGAGAAACGTTCTCCGATCCTCATTTTCCTTCAAAAGATATAACAATTTAATTAAAAACGTGGAAGCAGAAAACAATTACGGAACAAGATATAAATGAGAACATGAGCGGATAAAATGAGCAGAGAATTTGGTACATTACAATAGATGACGGGGTAGGGTAATTTGGTTTTCAAGTGAAAAAGCTGTGGACGGAGAGATCGGCGAATGACGGCCGATCCACCGGATCCATGACGAGTATCTCGCGGAGCAGCCGGAAGAATGGGATCGCCGGAATGTCGTCCTTGCGCAGATTCTTCTTAAATCAAACAACTTCGCCACTCTTTTTTCTCCGTTCGCTCGCTTACCATAAGCGGTTTGACAGTTCTGTATGTGTGGCAGGCATGTGTCTTCAAAGAGACGTGGTTGTCAGTCACCTCCATCAGATCGCTTCTGAAAGAAAATAGACGAATGATAGTGCAGACTCAGCAGAAAAGAGCGGCGCTCACTCGGATTTTATCGCCTGTCTGTACATTCTCGGCGACGGAGGGTGGCACACGATTCGCATCATCATCTGGAGTTGGACGGCCAGCGAATCGGGCGCGCTGTTTCCGTAGAACAGCAGTTTTCCGGTGTACATCTCGTAGAGAACGCACGCCAGCGACCAGACGTCCGCTTTTCCGTCGAATGGAATACCTGCAATGGGATACGGGTTACGTGAAATCAGATCAACAAACGCACCCATAATAATCTCGGGCGCTCTGTAATTCGGCGTCTGCACCACGTACGCTTTCGTTTTGTCTGGCTTGTAAATCTTTGCGCATCCAAAGTCGCCGATGCGCACGTGCAAGTTGTCCATCTGAATGATCGTGACGCCGTCGTCCCTCTCCACGTACGTCCGCTCGGCCGACTCGAAATAGATGTTCTCCGGCTTCACGTCCAAGTGCATGATGCCCATCTCTTCGAGGTGCAACAGTCCCGAAATGAGCTGCGCGCCGACCTGGCAGATGTCGTGGATGGTGAATCCGACCTGGGGCTCGGGTCGAATTCGCTTCCTCGCTTCTCTGATCACCGAGTACAGCGAGCCGCCCATCAGCGGCATGAGGAAACAGAACGGAGTGAGGCCGACAAGGCTGGTGAGCATCTGTCCGTCGTTCAGAAGGCCCAGAATATTCGGATGGTTGGTGGCGGACACACGACGCATAATCTGAAATTATTTTGAACATTTACCAACGATTTGACAGCTTCTCTTACTTTTGATTCGTTTCCCCACACGACGTCGATGTTGGTGTGCCCCTCTTTGAGAATTTTCATCGCGTAATTACTCATCTGAAAATATGACATGCTCTCGATGAACTGAGACGGTCGAACGAACCTGTGCGTCATGAACATCGTAGACATTTCCATAGACACCTTCGCCAATCTTCTTGACCATCAGGACTAAAAAATAAAGAAATTCACACGTCTTTCAGGTAGAAATCTCACAGTCTTCACCCCAGTCGGTCTTGACGAGAACGCCGTATGTGAGCCGATTGAGATCAACTGGCGGAAGTGACGGCGGCGTCGATGCGGTCCGGACCGATTCTGATGAGTTCGACACGCTCGGGATATTCGGGGGTCTGTCGCGTTTGACTGGGGGATTTGTAATTATTTCTACTGCGTCGCTTATTTCCTCGACGTCTTCGTATTTTCGGCGATTTTTTGTTTTTTTCGCACAAGTGCGGATCTCCCGATCTTCTGTTCTACTGCACGAGCGTTTCATCTGGAAAAGCACTAAAAATTGCATCGAAACGAAATAACACGGGGAAACGACTCGAAATTAAGCATTTCACGACAAAAACATGGAAGAAACGAACAATTCTAAAAATGTGCTCAAAGGTTCGCATACACTGTCGCTGTCGCTGGTCCCGACACGATTTGAAATTTACCCGGCGGTAATTTTAATTTTGTCTTGCACATATTTTGAAACAGGCATTTACGCTAACGTTCTATACATACGGGCGTTTTTCAAAGTTTATCAGCTTGCTTTTCTAGAAAATTAGGACTTCAGTGAGCGACGGAGCGATCCGTTTTCTACAAGGGAGAGGAGCAGAAGAGCAGCGCGAGCAAGTGTCTTGTAAAGGTGGCGATGTACTCGCAGGCGATCGCCGTCTACGAGGAGATCGCCCTCTACGAAGAGAGAGCCTAATATTGAATGAAATATTGCAGATCAACACGTTTTTTATAATCCATTTTCTAAAAGCACAGTACCTGAAAGTCAGTCGTTTTCTCATTTCTGCCCGCCAATGCGTCATCAGTCTTTTCGACCGGCCGGTACCGGCTAGAAGCTAGAATCCATCAATCGGTCATCTTAATTGTTGATCGAAGGACTTCAGCGAAACAGCACTTCAAAAGTCGAATCCGCGGCCAATTATAGCCCGAAAGTCCGGATGGTCTCCGACTATCGAATCAGCGAATCAAACACCGCGAACATGTTAGTGAATGGAAGAAGAAGAAGAAGAAGAAGAAGAAACAACTTTATTATTAGTTAGACATCGAAATGTTCCCCAATTAGTCACTGCAAATCCGATCTTTATCAAGCTTTCTTCGACGGGAAAATTATGCGGAAAGTGTGAGAAGTTTGCAAATGTCGGAAAGAGGGAGGGTGGCGCTTTCAAGTGTAACGAGGCAACAAAAAAGTGTGACGTCAGCTGCCAGAAACGGTATAAAACGGAGATGCAAGGAGGGAAGAAGCATCGGAACGTCTTCATTCCTTCAACAATGCAATCCTCGATTCTCGTCCTTCTGGCTCTCATCTCCGTCGCCGCTGCCTGCCCGGGACTGTTCGGCATGGGAGGCGGAGGCTGCGGATGCGGTGCTCCACCACCACCACCGTCCTGCGGATGCGGAGGAAGAAAGAAGAGGTGAGCCAGTGACAAGGAAATCCAGAGAAAACTCTGGACCTTCAGATCGCTCCCGGAAAAGCCGACTTCCCCGGACTTTTTCGGAATCGCCGGCGCCGACAACGATACTCTGTGCAACACTCCGGAACTGAAGAAGATCATTCAGGAGGTGTCCCCGAACCTTATTCCTCTGTAATACAAACAAATTCAGAACATGCACACCTCGCCGACCGACTCCTCGAAGGCCATCAACAGTGTGCTGGAAAGCAGACAGCTCAACCGATTCGTCGTCGTTTGCTCGGAGGTTCTTTCTGAAAAACAACATTTAATTTGGTTTACAAAACGGAAATCGTCCTTTCAGGGTCCGTTCGTGTTCACCGTACGTGCCGACACCGCCTATTGTGGAGCCGCCAAGAACGGTCACAACTGTCACGCGTTCGCCATGTAAAACTGCTATTTATCCCGTTTTTCTGTATATTTCTGATCAACCTCGATAAATATTTCTGCATATTTGAAAATGTATCGGTAACTTTTGCGGTTCGAGCGCTTAAATTTATCATTTTCAAAGCCCATTTCGTCGGAAAATGGTCCGCGGGTTTTTGGTGTCGATCGGCAGCAAAGGGCAGAAAGCGATATTCGCGGAAAATGTACCAAAACAACAGAAAATTTCGAGAATTATTGTTTTCATGGCAAAGTATCATTTTTCAGCGCGTTTGACAACAAAAGTCAGGGAAAAAGTGCTGAATTCTTGAAAACGCTATTTGGCAGAGGCCACACCCATATTTTAAGCTCTGGAGACCGCGGAAGAGCGCCTTCTCTGAAAGCATTGGTTTGAAATCCGTGATTTCGTCCGACAGACCACGGTCTCAAATTGAAATGATTCGAATTTCGAAAAGACCCGCGGCTTCCGGGAATTCGCTCGCACACCGAGAATACCAATTCAGGACGCGAGACTTGTTTATTTTGTCGGTTCTGCTTGACGCCTGAAGCAATTAGCCGAACGGAAGGTCCACGATATAAATAGGCGGCGGCGGACGTGGGATCAGAAGTGATCTGCGGTTGTGGTCGCGTCACGTGGCGCTCAATTCTCATGCATAATTCAAGGGTGGAATGGAAAGGCATGCCGAAACCTAGAGTCTATCTATCTAAAACACACTCGCACCAGAGGTCCGCGGAATCCGCATTCCGTGTTCCGCAAACGTTAAATTTTCACTTCCGCGGATCTCTGTTGTCATCTTCTATGCGCTTGCTCAAAAAGAAACATGTCAATAACCGGACCCTCCTCTCATTCTCTGCTCATTTTATTCTTTTCCCCCGGACCAATATATATATATATCCATTTATTCGCCTCCAGGCATCTTCCATCTTCCCCACAGCTTCTCCTTCTTCTTCTCCGTCGCTTGTGCACTTTCCAAACACAGATCCCGTTTTATTTTCAATTTTTGTGAGCGAATGTTCTTCGGCGAATTGAATGAAGGCGGCCGATTAGTGTTAGTGGCCGGCTGGCTATTTTTTCGGCGGTGACGTCGTCTAGCAACTCACAAAAGTTGATCTTTGAGCACAGACGTGTTCTCGTGCGAGAAGAGATTAGAAAATGCTCTTTGAGCCGAAATTACACGTTTCTACTCAAAGAGCCGACTCAATTTGAATACAAAAAAGGAACAGGGATTCTGTTTTTCCTCATTTCGCTAGTTTTGTACTATCGTTTTCGTGTTCGATATCGATAAAATCAACGGCTTTTGAGCATTTCTCAGTAGCAATGTGACAGAACACAAAGTTGCAAGCAGTTTGTGAGCTTGAGCAGTGAAAATTACCGGAAATTGCCTGAACGTTGAGCAAAACAACTTTTTTTGCCGACCATCGCCAATTCTTCACGAATCTCAGGTTTTTTTTATTTCCGGGACAAAGTGCGGTAGAGCTCGCTTGCACACGGACTTGATTAAAAAATTACCGCGAACGAGTTAGATGTGCCGGTTATCGCCAATTTAGCTACAATGATGTTCTGCTCGTGGTCACGCCACAATTTGAGAATTTGCTCGGAGATCAGAAATCTTCGTTTTCTTTTTTCACTGTGACAATATGCGATTAGAGCGTCTTGCAGGTAGTCTTTAATGCTCGAAAACGCTTCATTCGTCAACACACCGTCAGTTGTTACTCATTCCGTACTTGTCGAACATCTCGTCGACGGTGAAGCAGAATCCGTCGTCGCACACCGATTGGAAGTCGCACTGAGTGCTCGAACGGCAACGTCTTCCACGGCCGAACACCTCGGAAACGGAGGCCAGAAGGACGAGGAGCAGCAGCAGGGAGAGCACGTTCATTTTCAAAGTATTCGCTGGACTGACGGCAGTCTTTTATATAGTTTTCGTGTGGGAAAGGCATTTGCATTTTCCTGAATTCTGGAATCCTAATCGTGTGAATCATACAGTCGTCTCCTTGGCATATCTGACGTCGAAACGCGCAAAAAAGAAAAGGGATAATCCTTCGAGCCCTAAGCACTTCCTACACCGTCAAAATGTCGCTTTTCCAGAATGTGTGTGTGTGAAAAGAAAGCCTTCAAGATAAGTGATTTCTCGGTGACACACGCACTTTCCAACCCATTCCCAGAAACATTGCGGTGCGTGTGCGTGTGTGCCTGTTTTATGTGCTTTTCTCTTCTTTCATCGCAAACTAATTGGAATCATGCGAACTTGGGTTTTGCTCTTTCTTCTCCTTCTCCTTCTTCCCCTCCAACTTCCCCCTGCCCATACCTAATGACACACTTGTGCTCCGCCCGTGCACGTTCTCAACACGTCCTTCCCCGCTTTCCATCTTCCTTCCTTCTTCTGCTCATACGGTAGACTAGGAGCAGAAGTGCTGGTTAGAGTGCAGTGGAGCGCGTTCTAGTCGCCATCAAAAATGTACGCATTTCATCGCATTCATTAGGCTCCTTCCCTCTCTGCGTGTGAGATGACGTTTGCTTTTTTTTTTGGATGTTTTCTGGATTCTAGACGCATTCAATTGTCTACGGGCGTGAGAGAGTCACAGAGCACTTCCATTGTTCCGAAATTCTAGGCCAGCGGTGGGGCAAAGCCCTAGATCATCAGAGTATATCTTCCCAGTAAATGAACCGTCCGGGCTGAAACTTAGACCTACGATACTTCAATGCAAGTCCAGAAAATCTGCAAATTTTGGGTCACATCAGACTATTGCAAGTGGTCCAAAAGTCTGTGCTCATCAGTGTTGAGCGGAACTTTCCGTCTTCCGTGTTGCGGCTTTTCGAATTCTGTTCCCGCCCAAAATTCGATCGCAAAATTCAAAATTCTCTTCGAGAATCGTGTGGAATTGAACTGAAAGTGTGAGAAAACGAACTCTGAATCTGAATATTGCAGACTTTCACCCGACCCGCTCTCCCAGAGATTCGATTATCAGGCGGTGTCTGATTCGTCGCACACCTGCACATTGACTCACTTTTCCCTTATTCCTCTTCTTTCTTTTTTTTTTATTTTTGCCTTCACTCGCCGTCCCCGCTCATTTCCATAGTGCGTGACCGCTTCTTATACGGACAGATAGATAGACATTCGCATATTTTGCATACAAATTGAAGATTCCGAACTGCCCCGAATTTTCTAGAACTCTGCTCACTGGCGATGTGAAAATCATTCTCAACTGGTACAGATCATCCACCCACACGACACCTCATCCACCCGAATAAACATTCTCATCGTACATATTTACCCGCCCATCGGTTGTGGTCCTTGCCGGACATCTCTGTGCTCTTCGAGCTCTTCTTCTTTTCGCATATGATTCACCCCATTCTTGGGGGTCCTATACTTCAGATTCCTGGAGCACAGAACCCCCAAGAACCGAGAATTCCAACTTTCCGCTCAAAAACTTTGTTATCATTATCACTTGGGCCCATTCTTCTTGGCCAGACGAACTATTAAACTTAATTACCGGCTCCGATCTTTTCGTGTTCGCCTGCCAACTCATCCAGCTTCATCCATCCAATTAGTCGGGCTTCCGGGACTATACCTCTTTTATTAATTGGGAAGAGTCTCGTGCACACTGTTTGGGTGGAGCAACTCACCGATTTTTGGTGCTCCGAGACGACGCTTTACTTCTTTCTCTTCAGTTTTTCTCAGACTCAACATGCGATTAGAACGTCTCGTTACCATATACCACTAAATTCTGATAGCCTCTCACAACTTGCACTACCCAATAATTAGATTTCTTTCCAACCTTCCTCTGCTTCCTCCTCTCCTTCTTCTCTTCTTCTGACCGCTTGCTTCCCTTGTTTTGTTATTATCTTTTCTCTTTTCCAGTCGATCATCGGCTTAATTCGCTCGCCTTCTCTCCTCTGTTTTCCTTGTCGAATTCATTCCACTTCCACTCATTTTCAGATGGCCATGAACAACACGAGTGTGCCGTCGGTCTCGCCGCTCAGCCAAACCACGCTCAACATTGTGATGTTCCTCAACAGCAAGGTGCTCCTGCTGCAGATCATCTTCGGCTGCGGCGGCAACATCCTCAACCTTATCGTGCTATTGAGCCGAGCGATGCGCAGTCGAACCAACCTCATTTTCGCGGCGATGGCGTTCGCCGATCTCTTCTTCCTGGTCCTTCACATTCCCTCGGTGCTCTTCTTCATCGGCACAATCCGCGACTCGGCCTGGTATCGAAATGGTTTCTCGCAAGTGATCGCCGGAATGCTCAACTGGTCGTCGGCGGTCTCCATCTGGTACATGATGTACGCGACGATCGAGCGGGTCCAAGTGTTCCGCAGCCCGTTCCGCACCTCCAAACGCTCCGCGTCCACCCGCTTCTTCCTGACGCTCCTTGCCATCGCCATCTTCTGCCTTCTGCTCACCATCATTCACTTCTTCCATCCGAGAACTCGCTCGGCAAACAAGTATGCTCGCTATGTAGTGGTAAGTTCAAAAAACTAACGGCTTCTTCCGATTCTCCTACACTTTCAGTACATCCACATGATCTTCGTGGTCATCATTCCGATGCTCCTCTCCTCCACTCTCAACGCGTTGCTCGTTTGTGCGCTTCGAAAAAACTCGATGCCGCTGCGGATGCTCAACGATTCGCACGTGCACAAAAGTCTCATTGTGCAGAGGACGCGAACGGAGCGGAAGGTCACCGCGATGGTTACCGTCATTCTGAGCTCTTTCATCGCTTGCAACGCGCCGGGAGCCTTCGTGTTTGTCATGAAAGAGCGAGACGAGAAGTTTGACGATGTGAGTCTCTCCGCCGTTGCAACAATCTGCTCAGTGCTCCCAATTACAGAGCCGTCGACACATCCTGATGCAGGCCGTGTGCAACTCGCTCGCCGTCACCGGAAAGGTCCTCAACTTCCTGCTCTTCTGCCTCTCCTCGGAGCACTTTCGTGCTTTGCTCAAGAAGCGACTGTGCTATCTGTTCCACCTGCACCACGACTCGCGCCGCCACAACATGAGCACGACGGCGACGAAGACGTTCAGCGTGCCGCTCAACGACTTGTGACCACTGTCGCTTCTCCTCCTTTTGTACATAACTTGTTGCCGCGCGTGTCACACTGTCCTCTGTTTCTCGCCGATCTCTCGATCTATTGTGATCTCTTCCCCACTTTTCACCGCGTGAACTCCCCCTAGATCCTTGTTTTTTTTTGTGTAGAAAATGCATGCGAAAATAAATCATTCTCGAAAAATGTCCGATGAGATTGTGAAGGTGAGGCGTAACTATTTGATCCCCCCCCCCCTTTAATCGCATCTTGTAGCCCCCTTTGGTGGTGGGCGATAACAATGATAAGAGATAGATCCCATAAGAATTTGCATAGTACACACACACACACACAGTCCTGTCTGACGGACCGTTCCCGAAATGATTGCAAAAATCACGTAAACTAGGCGAATGAGCGATTCGCCAAACGCGGGCGACGACAAACCGCGAAACATCGATCATCAGAGAAGTGAAATTATGATTTGGATTCTGAATACCCTTTCTCGTCATCATTTTCTCACCGTGACGTACTTTTGAGAAACGCAACTCGGATGGTTTTTCAGAAGCCGGCGGTGCCGATGACCGCGTGGACGGAGATGCGCATCGACGAGGTGGAGACGATCGACAAAAAGTGAGAAAAGAGCAGAATCGAAAAGGATCTGGACCATTTCTTTTTAGGATCGGCCGAAAATGGAGCTACATAAAGAAGAAGTTGGAGAAGTTTGAGAAGGAGAAGAGGGAGAAGGAGAAGGAGACGAAGGCGTCGGAGGAGAACGAAAGTATGGATGGCGAGAGCGAACAGGACGAGAAGGATCAGATCTCCAGCCCGTAAGTGTTTTGCTCGCCCTCACCGCAACCCTAACCCAGGGCCAAACATCACTTCCAAGGCGATAATCTTCTGATGATCCTCCTCTTTTTAATCATTGGTCGCCTATTCTTCGAACGTGACCTTTACATGTTTCCAGATCGCCACTGGCACGCCGTCTGAAACAGAAACGTCTCGAGGAGGGAGAGAATCGCGGAAGTCTCCTTCATCGTCGTCGTCGTCAGCCACAGAAATAGTAGTGTCGAACTGTTTACTGCGATCATAAAACAGTTTTATGCGAAACACTCACCTATAAAATGAGAATCTTTTTCGGAAGAACTAACAAGCACTCTTCCAACTACTATCAACTCTACACACAACATCATCATCAAAGAACAAGAGAGCGGAGAACCAGTTTGGTTGTCAGGTTGGTTTTCATTGTTCCCTGTTCTTTACCCTCATCCTTCCGGTCACTTCTCATGACCTCAGAAATTGAGATGAGAAAGAGAAGTGATCGAGAATTCATGTCGAATTCATGCACATCAGCTGCCACTCGTTGTTCCTTTATCTTTCTTTTTTCTTTGTCTTCTCCGGTCGCGGCGTCTGACGTTCACGGATCGTCCGGATCTACCGTACCCCTTCGCTCTTGATGACGTTAAACCGTCGTGAGGCTTCTATTTGCGGCAATCCGCCTTCGTTTTTGTCAAACCAATCCTCTGTTTTAGTCACTTTGGCCTTTAGCCTTCTGCTTCTGCTTCTGCTTCTGCCAGTGCACTCGGATTCTGCAACACTCGAGCAGCACGTCATCATCACGAAATTGACTAAGCCTATCCACGCACATTTCCCGCTTTGGTTCATGTGACGAGTCTAATGAATCGGCTCGGAAAAAAAAAATTGAAGAAGACCGCAGATGGTCGTGAGCACCGCTTGCTGACATTTTCTCATGAGCCATCGCGGAGCATAATCCAATTATTCGGACTGAGATTGAGACGTTTTTGTCGCCATTTCAGTTTTGTTTCATTTTCATTCCAACCGGCCGGAAGAAAGATCGGCTGGACGCGTGCGGTCACAATTTTCGTAAAGTGCACGGAAATGAGCGATAATGATAATGTAATGTGCTTAGCTCAACGATCATTTTGTGAAATGCTCTAATGTACTGATGATAATCCGCGTCTCTTTAGGCGTTTAGGAAAGCTTTTCACAGAGGTTCACACCTACAGTAGCTTTCCGACTTTTGGATGACAGGTGTAGAAGAAGTAAAAGTAAAAGAAGGAGAAGGATGTCGTGAGTGTCTGTTTGCCTCGTCGTCTTTAAATTCTCAAGTGTAGTGCTGGCTCACTGCACCCACTCTTTCGCTCGTACCCGTGCCGCCTAATTACCATTCCCGGTATTCCAGTGGAAGGAAGAGAGCGGCGAAAACATGCTTTTGAGAGGAGGAGAAGCGTGCTTCGTCTCACACAAACTGACCTCTAATCTCTGCGCCCCGATCGAAATTCAAGTTCATCGCCGTGCGGCGCGTGGTGACGCAACGCCGCCTTTTCGTCGCGCTGTGGCTTTCCGTGAGAAGTGTCAAAATCAAAGTCAAAGTGGAATTCGAATCCGAATCCGAATAAGAATATGCGTTTCCATTTCCTGTTTCCAACTATCATCATCATCATCATCATATCTGCCGCTTCCTCTCGCTCCCCTTTGCCCTCTTCCTCTTCGAGATTCTCCGCATTCTCGAGGTGCTGGATTCGCTACCCTCATTCTGCCATCATTGTGACCCTCAGACCCCCCCAGCGACAGTAGGCTTTTGTTTTTCTGATCATCCGCTCCCTTTTACGTAGGCGGTTCTCACGGAGTACACTCGGATTTCATGACACGAAAACGCGCTTGTTTCCTTTTTTCTGTTTCTGTCGCTGACAGATGAAACTTCCTTCTTGCGCACCCGGGGGACGGAACAAAGTCTCTGTGTGTACCCGCAAACCGATAATGTTCACTGACCAGACAGCCGAGCATTGAGTATCACTTTCCAAAACAATTTTCTTCAATGCTCTAATCACTGGTTATACCCTAGAAGAGGTGTTGATCATTTGTGAGCTACGTGAGCTCGAGCCGATTCGGAAACGATCGAGGATTAATCAGTGTGTACCTATATCCTAGAAACTGTTGACTGGTCTGTTTTGCCGAGCGCTTTGCCTCTTTTCGTATAATCGTCACTGGAACGAAAGTGGGTGTGAAGCCGTTTTTCGTTTCGTTTCGTTGAATTCCAAATTGTGAGGCTTCATGAAACTCCTCCTCATCCAGCCAGTCGTACATTCATCCCAACCAACTTACTTGCAGATCAGATCATGTGCCCGGTGAACGTTCTGCTCCTCCTCCTGCTCCTTCCTCTGCACACCGTCCAACAGTGCACGGTTCAGCCGCCGTCACCGCGTCATCCGAACATTGTGGTGCTGATGATCGACGACCTGGGCTACGGTGACATTGGCGCCTACGGCCACCCGACACAAGAGTACACGCAAGTGGATCGGATGGCCTCGGAGGGGACGCGCTTCACGCAGGCCTACTCGGCGGACAGCATGTGCTCGCCGAGCCGCGCCGGATTCATCACTGGCCGCCTGCCGATTCGATTAGGAATCGTGGGCGGGCGACGAGTCTTCATTCCGTACGACGTGGGAGGACTGCCGAAGAGCGAGACGACGATGGCGGAGATGCTGAAAGAGGCCGGGTACGTGACTGGAATGGTCGGCAAGTGGCATCTGGGCATCAACGAGAACAACTCGACCGATGGAGCGCACTTGCCCTCGAAGCGAGGATTCGACTACGTCGGCGTGAATCTTCCGTTCACAAACGTGTGGCAATGCGACGACACGCGCGAGTTCTACGACAAAGGACCCGATCCATCGCTGTGCTTCCTCTACGACGGAGACGATATTGTGCAGCAGCCGATGAAGTTCGAGCACATGACCGACAACCTTGTCGGCGACTGGAAACGCTTCTTGCTCACCCGCATCGCACAGGATCAACACTTGAAACCCTTCTTCTTCTACTTCTCCTTTCCCCAAGTTCATTCCACCCAATTCGCCAGCAAACGGTTTAGAGGATCGTCTGTTCGAGGCATCTACGGAGACTCGATCAACGAGATGTCGTGGGCCGTCGGCGAGGTTCTCGACAGTTTGGTGAACGCCGGAATCGCTGAAAACACCCTGGTCATTCTGATGTCCGACCACGGACCGCACGTGGAACTGTGCTTGAACGGAGGATCGACCGCCGGCCTCAAAGGCGGCAAATCGAACAGCTACGAGGGCGGCTTTCGGATTCCGTTCATCGCCTGGCAACCAGGAACCGTCAAAGCGGCCAGGGTGTCCCACGAGGTCATCACAAGCATGGACCTGTTCCCGACGTTCAGAGCGATGCAAGATGAGTGTCTGTTCGAGAAGGAGCCGCTGATTTCCGACGGAATCAACATTGGCGACGAGTTGCGCGGAGAGACTGACGACGAGGAGGGCAGTTACGGAAAAGCGCGTCCGATTTTTTATTATTGTAACACTCACCTGATGGCGATTCGGATAGGCGACTACAAAGTGCACTACAAGACGTCTCCAATCTTCCTGAACACTTCTGTCGACCCGAATCTCGATTATTTCTGTCCGAATGGAAAGCCAAAGTCGGATTGGTCAGTTGTGTCCTGCCCAACAATCCTGTGTAATAAAATATTTTGTTTAGGTACGTCTCGCAAGTTTGTCCGGATGAACATCTTCAGAAGCACTACCCTCCTCTCGTCTTCGACCTGATTCGCGATCCCTACGAGCAATACCCTCTGCAAAACACTGTCAAGTCACAAGAGGCAAACACATTGATTGATGTGCTTGAAAGGTTGAGTGGTCCTTTTTCAGATTAGATTCCAAGCGATGCAGCGGCTCACTGAGCACAAATCGACGCTGGTCAAAGTTCCGAATGTGCTCGGCAATTTCAACAAAACAGTGAGTGATGTTGAACGCCGTCTACTTCTCACTCGAAACGAAACCACCTATTACAGTTGATTCCCTGCTGCAATCCGCCGAGTTGCAAGTGCGACAAGCTGTCGCGACCGAGCGAGTCCGACGAGAGTCGGCCAGAGTACGTGGGTCTTGTGCCTGATCTCGATCGGACCGAGTACGAACTGCTGCACAGATTCTTCTAATAAGATACCTATCCGATCTACCCCCCGCAAGTTTCAAAGATCTCTGCCCCTTGCTTCCTAGTCCTGTTTCCCCCGATCCGATCTCCAACTTCTCCAGTTCCCAGTTCCAGTTCATCTCCATGATTCTCTCCGTATGCTCTCTTTTGTGTACTTTTTCAAATTTCCATAAAAAAAAAGAAAAAAACAAGCAAAAATAAAAGAGTTTGAAGCGTGAACTTGGTGTGAACGCATTTTTATAATCGTTCAAAAGAACGATGAGAATGGTTATTTTGGTATGATGAAGAAGACATCGATCAACGACGACAAGCGCGGCTTCTACGAACAAGTCATCCAGCGGCACCTGGAGAAGGGACCCGTCGAGCACGACTACACTTTCGGATTCCTTAGCGAGCTGCTCGAAGATGCTCTGGACTTGATGGACGGATCCAGCCGCGTCGAGTACATTTCTCCGGCCATCAACATTTGCGGAGACATCAGAAGTCGTTATGGAGATCTTCTCGACGCATTCAGAGTTTGTAATAGTCACGTGCTTGACGAGAATTCATTCCATTTCAGACCTGCGGCTGGCCGTTCGAACAAAAGTACCTGTTCCTCGGCAACGTCATCAGCGGCGGCAAGTTCACGCTGGAAGTGCTCGTGCTGTTGCTCTCCTCCAAAATCTGCTACCCCGAGAACGTTGTGATGCTGAGAGGCTACTTCGAGGACGAACTCGTCCGCTCGGACAGAAGTTTCATCGGCGAACTGAGAGTGAAGTTCCCCGACGCGAACAAGTGGCAGTCGCTGAACTCGTCGATCAAGGCGCTCCTCGGAAGGCTGCCGCTCGTCGCCATTCTCAATCGCAAATTGATTTGTGTGAACGGAATGGTCTCGTCGAACATCAAGGACGAGAAGAATGTGGTGATCGTCAAAAATGGGGCGGCGTTCGAGAGTCACAACACGAGGCTCGAGGTGCAATTCCCAGATATCGACGCCCCCGCTTCGATCACTCCCAACAAAATCGGTAAAAGATGTTCTGCCGAATTCTCTACAATTCCGTGTTGCAGAAGAAGACTCAAAAGAGATGCGGGAGCTGCTGAAATCGGTGGAGATGAGTCTGATTATCAACTCGAACAACGTGATAAAGCACGGTTATCAGTTCTCTCTTGGCCACCAGCTGCTCACGATCACGTGCGGAACAAAGATGATCAAGACGACAAACAATCGAGGAGTCGTTATGATGGTCAGAACTGTTAAATGATCACATGTCTGTCTGACTATTATCCTATTGCCTCGACCCTCAGAAATGCAAGTTGTGGCCGTGGCTTAGAAAAATCGTATTCCCGTTTTTTTTTTTTGCGTTCGGCACAGTCTTCAGACCCTGAATTTAACTGCGTGCTGTTCGGTTTATAGGCATTTCTGAGAGTTGAGTGGCAATGAAAGAAAAGTTCGACAGATACTTTGGAGGCTTCAAAAGTACTTCGGTCAAAATGAAATAGTAAAGTTAGAATTTTCAGATGGATCGTCACAACAAAGTGACGTTCAAACGGATTCACGGACTGGACGCCGACGAGCGCGCTGATCTGGCGGACTGGGTGCTCCGTTGAGAAGCCGACCGAAACCTGAATGACATGAGACAAAATGGGAGAAAAGGCTAATAAAACTACTGATTTATTCATTCATTTATTTACACCAATAGCGGTTTGTCTAAAAGCTTACTAGGGAATGATCAATAGGTAAGTTGGCCTTATGGGCCGTGACTGACATAGTTCGATAGCTTATACCAAGAGGATAAAATGTTCTGTTGACCATTTTTGCTGCCGACACCTGGATTTCGAGAAAATGGCGCCGGAAAATTTCCACTGAAATACTGTATTTTAGGCAATTTTCCCCCTCGTAACAGTCGCGTGAACTCCCTTGATATCAAAGTATTCGGAAACAACTGAAATCACCGATTGGATGGTGCAGCGGGTAGTGGGTTCGACTAGTAGGCAAGGGTCTGGGTTCGGTCCCCGCTCGCTATAATAATTTTTTGGGGTTTTTGTGTCGACTGAATATCTGGGTCAAACAAGGTTTCATGATGATTTTTACACATTTGATGAATCTCCACAACCGGAGCAACTCAAAAATCGAATAAATAGAGTTTTGAAGAAATATGCATTTTCCATTAAAATCTCCCTCCATACAAAGTATGGGCTTCAAAAAAAAATTTTGTAGTTGGTCAGATTATTATATTATTAGATAGAGCATGAAAAGTTGTTCTAGAACATTTATATATTTGGGCAGAGATGGTGATCTACGACCACAAAATGGTCAAAACAGCGGTATTCCAGGCACCGTGCACATTTAATGAAAGCCATGTTGGCGCATCTGTAACTGATAGCTTTTTCGACCTGCGTATATTTCTAGCTTTACATTTTTCTTCAAATATTACTCACATCGGTTTTGCTGACCCATCGCGAGCCAAAGCGAAAAGTCAAATGAGGGCTTATCATCTCATTATCATCGAGAGGCTCAAATACCGGCGGTTCCCAATCGCCATCCTCCTCGAGGACCAACTTGTCATCCTCTTCAATCTCGACATCTCCGTCGGCAGCTTGTTCGAGCAAACTTTTAAATTTTTCTGCTAGTTTCTTCTCTTTCCGTGTAGCCTTCGGGTTGTGTGGAAGAGTACCAAGATCCTTGAATTGCAGTAGAAGAAGGGAGAGGACGGTTTTTATGTCGACGGACATCACAAGCAATAGAGAGAACCACGAGAAATTCCACGACTGGGTGACTTCATGCGTGATAATGTCACGGAAAACGTGCTCAAAAAACCCCTCTGAAAACCACAGGCCAATGAAAAATCAACATTTTGGCCCTACATTTGTATTTTTTGTGAATGGCAGTTAAAAACAGAAGTATAAAATGAGAATGAAGTGTTTCGGTATAAAATGATCAACTACAAAGTTGTTCAACACAAAATTTGCAACAACTTTCCCGTTGATCTTTTATTTAATTGATGGTGGGTTCTAAAGATATAGGTCTCCGAAGATGAGGAAGTTTTGGACGATGGTAACTTTGAGGCCTCAAATCTGGCCCTAATTGTGATTTTTGAGAAAACTGATGTACTGCACTCGTGTACAACTTTTCATGCTCTATCTAATAATATAATAATCTGACCAACTACAAAATTTTTTTTTGAAGCCCATACTTTGTATGGAGGGAGATTTTAATGGAAAATGCATATTTCTTCAAAACTCTATTTATTCGATTTTTGAGTTGCTCCGGTTGTGGAGATTCATCAAATGTGTAAAAATCATCATGAAACCTTGTTTGACCCAGATATTCAGTCGACACAAAAACCCCAAAAAATTATTATAGCGAGCGGGGACCGAACCCAGACCCTTGCCTACTAGTCGAACCCACTACCCGCTGCACCATCCAATCGGTGATTTCAGTTGTTTCCGAATACTTTGATATCAAGGGAGTTCACGCGACTGTTACGAGGGGGAAAATTGCCTAAAATACAGTATTTCAGTGGAAATTTTCCGGCGCCATTTTCTCGAAATCCAGGTGTCGGCAGCAAAAATGGTCAACAGAACATTTTATCCTCTTGGTATAAGCTATCGAACTATGTCAGTCACGGCCCATAAGGCCAACTTACCTATTGATCATTCCCTAGTTAGCACATTCCCATATTGATGCACATTTGAGTCGGCGAGTTGTTGGCTTGACCGGTAAAGTTCTGAAATCGTCTATTAATTGTCCGTTTCTGTACGTTCGATAGCCAACCGACCGTGTAGAACGCGTTAAAGTTGGTGTTCAACGTGGCACGACACGTCTGACGCGTCTCTTTCACCGGAATCTGGTCACAACCCTGCGAAGCCTGGACTCCCATTTGAGCCTGAGTGTCTGCGGGAGAGGAGAGCACTTGCTGGTTGATCTGAGCCAATCCGGACACACAAAACGCGCACGAGATCGGGGATTGAGCCAGGGTAGATGGGGATAGTAGGAGAGCGGAGAGGAGCAGAGAAATCAGAAATTTCATGCTTGCGAGCGATCGTTGATTGTTGAACAAAAAAAGGAATGGGAAAGGAGAGAGAAGCGTGGCGCCATCACTGTTAAGGACTGATAAGAATTGAGAGAGAGAGAGAGAGAGAGCAATCGATTAGTTTGGCATGATAACTAAAACTATGAGCTTCAAGGTTGAAAGATGTTGGCCACAAAAAACTGGTTCCTCATTCACGACCTCTGTTCTTCGTCCTGTGTTCGTTTATGAGATAAGATGGTCAATTACAAACTTGTTCAGCAAAAAATTGTCAACAGTACTTCAGGCGCACGTTTTTCTAATTAATCATTGGTTCATGAGACACAAGATGTACAACAATTCAATCAATCACACAATTATCGTCTAGTTAGTTTGACCGGAATTCCATTCGATGGTTTCGCGACGATCTGTACAAAAAACGATTGGATTATTCGGTTCCCTGTCCGCATGACTCACTTCATAAGATGGTTTGGTGCCATAAAACGGCAACTTCGGCTCGATTTTGAAGTTTTTGAGCACATGAATCAACATGACTTTCTCGTTGAGCTGCGAGAACTTTTGTCCGATGCAGTTGCGAAGTCCCGCCGAGAACGGAATGTAGTCGTAGGTGTTTCGTTTCGAAATGTTCTCTGGCAGAAATCGATCCGGGTCGAACTTCTCGGGCGACGTAAACACTTTGGGGTTGCTGTGGTAGATAGCCGGAGCGATGCAGACGTTCACTTCCGATGGAATCAGGTGACCGCCTGAAGTTTGAAAGGATCGTCAAGGATTATCGGGGGGGATTTCAAAATAAACGTACCAATCTCCATATCCTCTCTCAGTTTCCTCTGAACTGACGGAATTGGCGTCATCATCCGTTTAGACTCCTTCAGCACTCGTTCCGTATAATCCAATTTACGAATGTCCTCAGAGGAAACGTCGGCGTTCGGATCCTCTCCGAACACTGCGATCAACTCCTCGTACACTTTCTCCTGCACCTCAGGATTGTGTGCCAGATTCCACAACATCCACGAGAAGGAGATGGTGGTTGTGTCGTGGCCTGCGAAAATGAAAGTGTCCACTTCGGCGCGGATGTCCTCCTCGCTCAGTGTGTTCGATTCTTTGCTGGCGAGTAGAATGTCCAAAAAGTTCATGTTCCTTTTCGACGTCTCCTTCTCCACCTCTCCGGATGCGATCGCTGCTCTTCTCTCCGCCAGCACATTGCCTGTGAACGTTTTCATTGTGTTCACGTAGGCGTCTTTCATCTTCTGGTATCCGAGAATCCAGTAGATGAAGTCAAACTGTAGATGGGGGTTTATTGCGTGAGCGACTGACATCTTGTTGAATCCCTCCACCGCCTTCACGTACGGATGTTCCGGATTCGATTGAGCGTCGACTTTTGTGCCCATTGCCGTCTCACAAATTGTGTCGAGTGTGCAGTGTTTGATGAACGGGAACACGTCGACAGTCTCTCCAGAGTCCGCAAACTTTCCGAGATGATCCACCAATATCTGCAATATGCCAAAACTGATGTCTGCCCGAAACATCCCTATCCAACCTGTGATTCATTATTGAAAACTTTCAGATATCCTTCCAACTTGGCGAAATGGAACGTGGGCGTGAGCAACTTGCGATGAGTCCTCCACCGCTCTCCGTATCCATCCAACAAAACACTGCGACCGAGCCACGCCGCCGGAAATCCGTAGTCGTCGCCTTTGTCGAGCTCTGTCGTCGACTCGAGCAGCTTCTGGACCGTCTTCCCGTCCAACGGATACACGTACATTCGGCTCATCATCACAATCCGCATTACCGTTTCGCCCTGCTCTCTCAGCTTGTTGGCAGTCTCCACAAACGTCTCGAGCACTTCTGAAATTGTCCGAATCTAGAGAATGACTCGAACCTGAACAACTGACCATCATTCGTTTTGCCCTGGAAAAACGCGGCGTTTCCAAAGATCGGATGTATCGGCGGTCCAGGCAAAGTTCGGGCGGACTTTGCATATTTGAGAATCAAACGGATTTTGTTCTTGAAGGTCACAAAAAGAATGAGCAAAAGTGCTATAAGAAATGGAAGAATAAAGGCCATTTGTTTGGAAGAGAATGGTATGAGACGGCGGTGGTGAACACCCTTTTATACTCTCTTCGGGTCACACAAACTAAAGAAGGGGGGGCTGATCAGACTACAACCGACACTCTAAAAAGTCTAGCCAAAGTGTGGCAGTTGTGTTGACCAACTGGTGAAGTTTATAGACGCTCAGCGGCGATAAAGTACGTTATCGGATTGTAAGCATCATGTTCTAGTATACATTTATTTATTGAATGCCAATAAAGTAATCAACTGAAAGACGTTTTGTCACCGGAATCTGAGCCCTCATTCCAGGAGAAAGTTCAAATTATTCATCATCAATGCTTTCCATAGTGTACGGCGCGATCCACGGATGAGACATTATTTGGGTGGCGAGCGGACGGCGTTCCTCGCTTTTGTTCATCAGACGAACCACCAGATCTTTCGCTTCTCAAAATGTCACATTTAACGGGGAACTGTTCGATAAGTCAATAAACTAACTAAGTGAAATGCCCTTCCACTCTGGCATATCCATGTTCGGTTTGGCCTGCATGATCAACTTGAAGAGGCGGTTCTGATCGGGAGCCCTGAACGGAGCATAGCCGACGAGCATGACGTAGAGCACGACGCCGAGGGACCAAATGTCGCACTTGGTCGAGTAGCCGCTCTCTCTGAGCACCTCCGGGGCGCAGTAGGTCGGAGTTCCGCAGATGCGGAAGAGAGGACCGAGCACGTGGCACGCGAGTCCGAAATCGCACAGTTTCACGCTGAACTTGTCGACGAGCAGCAGATTTTCCGGCTTCACATCTCGATGCACCACGTTTCGATCGTGAAGGTAGGCGAGAGCAGAGGCCACTTGAAGAGTGATGATCGCCGCGTCGGGCTCTTCGATCCGCCCGTTCTTTCGCACAGTCTCGTACAAGTCTCCGTACTGAAACATACCGTAACGCCCCCAGTTATGATCGTCGTCGCAACAATAGTAAGTACCTGTGCATGCTCAAACACTATGAAATACTGATTTTCCGTACAAAACGCGTCAATAATCGAAATGATGTGATCGTGTTGTATGAGCGAGAGCATTTCGACTTCATTGTCCACGAAAAAGCATTTGCCTCGCATCGCGCGTTTCTCCACTTGCTGCAAACATAACGGAAATTGGTGTGTTTTCCATTTTCCAGAAGTGGCTTTTTGAAGGCGAACCTTTAAGGCGCATTTGGTGCCATCCGCCTTCCGTCGCGTCAAATGCACACTCGAAAAATTGCCTTTCCCAATGACGGCGCCAATCTCGTAGTGTTTTTCAATGTCTTGCCGCCCGTCAACACGTTGGATCCATTTGGAGACCTGTGCGAAAGAAAAGGTTGTGTGGAGAGGAAAGTGAGAAGCACGCGCGCGCGCGCGCGCGTTTCCATTAGATGATGTGTAACGATCCGGAATACTTTTGGGCCCATTACTCATTACTTTTGCATATCCATATCTAGTTGAACCCCAGACGCAATGTACGATTATTGTTGTGTCTCAGACAGGAAATGAGGGGGGACCAGTGAACAACAAGACTGGGCGGGTACACACATGAAAAATGTGTTCGTTTGAATCCGTCTAGAATCTACTCTGTTGTAACTTTTGCGCAAAAGTTACAGAAAATTCACGTCTTTAATTTTAGTTTGAGTTTGAGAGAGTTGGAGACATGAGTGTATGAGTCAGAAGACAAAAAAAATGCAACAACTTGTGGGGGGACACACCATTTCCGGATCCTTTCGTACTAGTCGCCGCTAGTCACACGTGATGCAATAATACACAAGAAGCAAAAAAAGAGCAGGTGGACGGAAACACACGGAATGGACATTCATTCAAAAAGTGCACACATGTACGAAAAAGCGCGCTTGTATAGTTGTTAGTAGTCGTGCCCAAGCCCATTATGTCTGGAGATCACTCACGCCGAAAAAACCCTCGTTGACGTGGCGCGACGAGGTGTGCACCATCCGCGGCTGTTTTTCGACTTCACGCGACGCATAGTTGTTGTTTCGATCGAGTGATACGCCTGAATGCAACGTCTAAAGTTTAGGACAGATCGAGTTCGGACTAAGGGTCATTCAGGAAGTGAACTTCACTAGACATTTTCGTGCGGATACCCATGAACCCACGTTTTGTGCCTTGCATTAACTTTTAGTCCTTCAAACTAATTCAATCGTCTAGAAACCCGAAAAAAGGCATTCTCTCTCTCTCTCTCACCTTTCCGGTTCCTTTTGTCGTATAGCACGGTGACAGAGCTGGAGCGAGCTCGCATCTTTCTTCTTCCACGTATTCCGGACAGCTGCAAATAATACTAATTGTGTCCAGGGGGAAATGAAGATATTTCACCCGAAAATAGTATAGTTCTTTCTAAATACGAGGCCCAAAACACATATGAATTTCACAAAAAAAAGATGAAGAAGAAGAAGAAGAAGAAGAAGAAGAAGCAGTAAACGACGGAGAATGTGTAGAGTGCGGAAGGGGGAGCGGAGACGCCGCGCGGAGTAACCCGGGGTGACGAAGTGAGTGGACACTGCTCGAAAGGGGCGGTGCCGAAGTGACCAAGAAGATGGAAGAAGAAGAAGAAGAAGAAGAAGGGAAAGGAGAAGGAGGAGGAGGAGGAACAAGGAAAACTAACTGCAGCTGCAGCCGGGAGGCTACTATAGTTGGAAGAGGAACGTAGGGGGGCGGGAGTAGGAAAACGAGAAGCTTGTAGAGTCATGGAATGAAAAGCTGATCCCAAGTAAACGTAGATTGTTGCATTTCTAGATTATTCTTGTAGAAATCATGCTACAAACTCAAAAGTGTCAAAGTTGAACACCCTTAGGAGGTTAGCGACGAGCAAGGATCTAATACTTTACATTAGGGTTGTCTAGAGTCCCATAAAATTCTTTAAAGACGTACTTCAAAGAGTCCTAAATAGGGAATGATCCTGAGGATCTAAATGATGGTCCTGAGAGAAGAGTCTGTTGTGATCTAAACTATATACACGTCTGACCCGACTCACTTTAAAGGCGCATAGAAATGTTTGTCAAAATGCTACAAGACCTGGTTTTGAAGAACAATAATAAGGTGAAAAGTCTTGTCATGCCTTTTATTCGTTTTTCTCGGAATTTTCCTTTTTTTTTACGTACCCTGCTCGTTCACCACCATAATCTCGTTATGAAACAACAATCGTTGCACTTTTTCTATTTTCGACATTGCACGTGAATGGCAACCCGGTGAATGTTCACTGTTTTAGAGGGGAGGGGCATGTGACTTGCAAAAGCAAAAGACAAAAAAAGTGTTTACAAAGTTTTGACTTTTAGGACGTCGTGGCGTGTGCCGAGGCAGGTGGGAACACATTGAGATGATCTGTTCTCTTTAGAGCTGTCTGGCGGTTTTGGTCTGTTTGGTAATGACACTTGTAGGGTCCAAAATAGTCTTTTTCGGTGTTTCTATTAAGATCAAAAAGTAGAATACCGTTTCTATGCCGGTTGGCCTAGTATGTAGTGGCTTGAACAAAGTAATAAACCTTTGCTCTTGATTTTCTAAGTCAATTTTTAAGATTTTTTGAGAGTTAAAAACCGAATCGAAAGAAAATCTTATGCTCTACAACTTTGTAGTTGATCATTTTACACAATTGTTATCCAGCGCTTAGATATTTTCATTTGAACACATTGCTCTCCTTGTGAGCTCTTAAACACGATAGCTTGAAATGATCTTCGTTTTGTAGCCAAACCGTATCAAACTCGATTGTGTCATATCATCACATCAGCCCCAAACTGCTCCGTCCGTCACAAGTGCACACACAAGTATATTACACGAAACGCGTCAGCTGATAAGAGCTCCTTTCTTCCTTTCTTTCACTTTAACTTCTTCTCTCCACCCGCTCCCTTTGAAACATTGCCTGTTCTTCCCGAATGTTTCATATCTTCATCCTCTTTCCTCCTTCTCTCTTTCACCTGTTATCATCATTTTCATAGATCGGTTTACACTTTTTTCGTGTTTCGGGTCGGAGGGACGAATCAGCATCATCAAGACTCTCGATACTCTCAATCGATACGTTTATTTATCGCCCAACTTCTCCGCCTTCTCGCTTTTTCACACAAAAATGTTAGAGAGGGAGTGGAGAACCCCCCAGAGTGGCGCCAAGCGTACAAAGACAATGATATCAGCCGCCGTATCAGGAAAGAGAGAGAGAGAGAGAGACACTATATTTCGATTTCGTTTCGCAATTTTGCCAACCAACGCTTTTCATTTTGCCCGTCTCCGGAATCGGCCAAATTCAATGTCTTAGAATGATGGTCCAATTGTCTTTGGCTTAGGCCGTAGGACTAAAAAAACGGCTGTAGTGATGGATCACCGGAGACCCGAAGCCCGAAGAGACCCCGATCGGTTAACAGCTAATCGTTTGCAGAAGACCTAAAGTCCAGGCATAAAAAACGTTCTCTTGTTTATCAGATTTCATTGTTTTTTACTTATAGGTGAGTCCCAAGTGAGCCGATGATATGTGTATTGTTATCTTGGTTTAGAATATAGAATAAGTGTATACATAGATACTTAAAAGTATGGTACGAGTGCCAACTGTCCTGGTTCTTGATCTCTTCCTCTTCTGACCTGAAACTCGTCTTCTTTTGCATTGCAAGACAGACGAACACGTCTGCAAGCGTGTCTTTCGTTTTCGAAAAACGAAAAACTTGATGACGACGTTGAAGATGATGACGATGACGACGATAATCCAAAAAAGTAACATCATCTCTCTCTCTCTCTCTCTCTCTCTCTTTCCCATTTTTCAATTCTCTTCTTCGCCGTGGCGAATAGAGGAGAGTGTCATCTGAATGTCCTTTTGGTCACGTACGCGCTCTTCTGACCCCTTCGCGGCTCTTCCGTTTCTATCCATATATTATAAATATATGTGTATGTAACTCACTTGGCTCCAGCTCTAGCCGCCCGAAAAAACTGAACATTGGATCATTCCTAATTCCGACAACTAATCCCATGTGTATCCATCCCAACGACAATGTTGGCAAACGAGGAGCTGTGTTGTAAAACCACAAAATGTTTGAGCAACTGTTCTCGCACAATCAAACCGTCTTACGGTATGTTATTCTGTGTTTCCGGCCTGTTCTTTGCTCTCGCTGATCTTTTGATATAGACGTGTTAGGCCGCAGTGCAGGGCGCTCTTCCATTTCTAGCGATTATCGATTGGAGGAGAATGGTTTTTAAAAGTTGAACTTTGTTCCAGGATTGGGCTTTTTGACATGGATTGAAGTACCTCAGGAACGAGTTTCATACAGATTCTACAATTTACACTCCAGATCGGATGATCCGATCGGCCTTAAACTTGGACCCTAAATACTTCAATCCTAGTCCAAAAAGCTTGCAAATTTCGGGCCCAGACAAGCCGTCAAAAAGCTCGAGATGGCTATTATGCTTAGGTTTTGGTCCCGAAATAGATGACCTTCGTGCCCCGGATATTATTGAGCCGCCCACCGACCGCTGGCCTAGAATTGGATTGCTTTTCTTTGAAACGCGAAAAAAGTGAAAGTTGTAAAAGTTTAAAAAAAGCGAATGTGTTGTAGAAGTCAGTTGGTGTTGGTGCACACATAAATCAAGATTGAGTACGTTCTGCCGTAACTTCTTCCCCTCTCTCTCTCTCTCTCTCTTTTCGTGCCCTCCTCAGCACTTTTTCATTCATTTTCACCTTCCTCATCAGAAATGCTCCTTCTCTCTCTCTCTCTTTCTCTTTCTCACTCACTTCTTGTGTGTCTCGAGCCGACGTCGCAATGTTTATATGAAAAGAGCATCGCCTCGAGCACAAACGTGGGCGCCTTCCCCTTCTAATTATTTCTTCTTCTTCTTCTTCTCTCTTTTTTGCTTCCTTTTCTGAAACGAAGCGAAAGAGGAGCAAAGCACAAAAAGAGGTCGGAATGCGATCCGAATTCAATTCAAACGAACAGAGTGCCTACGTGCTCCCCCCCCCCCCTCGTTTCGCCGCTCGAAAGAGAGAATTTCTCATTTCCTGTCACTTGTCCGGTGAGAAGATGTATACTTTTGTGTGTGTGCGTGTTTGTGTCACTAATGTCATGCCCCACGTTTCGCTATAATCGAGTTGAGCCACCTTGACCCCTCGAGCTCTGCATTGCCGATAAATAAATCAGCGCGCTTAGAATAGACGCATTTTTCGCGAAAAGATCGCCTTCAAAAGTCACGTAGCGATTTCAGCTCAGTCAGAAGCCGTGTGTTTCACGCCTTCATTCCCCTCTTTGACACTTCCTTGTTATTTGGGTGGAAAGACGACGGAAAAGGCTAATTATTCGGTGTGCGATGTGCCCCGGATCTTCTCAAATAATCCTCTTTTCTTTTGCACACGCACTCTCCCACGGACGACCTACAGTAGCCTTCGCCTTCTTCTTTTTTTGCCAATTCACGTCACGATGTATACAAAAAGATCCGATTTTAAGCGCCTCGCTAACACCCTTTGATCTCTGTGATAGGTGTGAAAGTCTTGAACGGTCCCTGACCCGAGCCTACCTCCTGCCAATTTCAAAAGTTTCCAAGCAAGCCTCCAGTCCGATAACTTTTCCATTGCAACTCAATAAAGTGCCGGAATGTGTCACGAAGGTCACTTGTCAAAGTATGTGCTTTGCTACGGAAATGCTTGTAGTTCAAGAATATCAATTTTTGCGCAACTCTCAGGAACATTGCCGGGAACGTCTTATATCGTAGCTGCGATCTTTTGAACCCCGCAACCTCCTTGTAGCCCCTGCCACAAATCATTCTGAAGCTTCAGGCCGCACACACCAGAACCTCATCAATTTCTCCCTGTCACACTTTCCCTCTCTCTCTCTCTCTCCACAGAACACGCGTTCCCGAAAAAAGAGAAAAATGTTTGAGCGAGTGTCTCAATCTCCGTTTCGTCCTTTTTCGGTGCTTCCCTTGAGGTCAACTCTGAGGACACATCCTTTTGCGCGCAAGTACTATTCTTCTCCTTCTTCTTCTTCTTCTGCTCCTTCTTCTTTTTCGTTCTAGGCTCCGAACATGTTTTCGAAGCTATAGTTATGGGCAAAAGGGGGTGAGAGAATTGAATTGCAGCAAAAAGGTGTAGTGGGACACTGCTCGTGCTGCAAACTGATTATTTGGTGTGCTATTGTACGATGAACTTTTCGATGATCGTCTTTTTCTGTGAGGGGCTGTAGGCGTACACACACACACACATCCCCAGATGACGTTGTCGGGGCAGTGTGTGCAGCACCTGTCCGTTTGCTTTTTCCCACTAATTCATCACTCCTCCCCCTTCCCCCTTCCTCTTATCAATTTCTCGACACGCTTCTTCTTCTTTTTCTTCTTCTTCTTCTTTATCACAAATTCTGTTGTTGCCACGTCACAATCTTGTTAGAGAGAAGCGGCTTAGCGCCACGTGCCACGTCATTGTTTACGTGAGCGGAAAATCCTTTGGCAAATTTGGAAAATAATGAGAAAACTGTGACGTTTACAGATGGGAACTGTCCGACGGAGCTCGTTTGCTGACCCGGATGGTTGGAGCATGTCGATCTCAAGCAGTCAGCGAAAAATGAGAAGCGAAAAACGAAAGCATGCGATTAAGGACATTCATTAACATCTTTTTGGTGCTCTAATCAAATGCAAATGCTCTTTTTCTTTCTCTTTCTTTTCCAAAGAAGAAGAAGAAGATGATTGCTCTCTTTTCATTTCATCTGAAGACGTTGCCTTCAGAAGGTCTTCCCGCTCTCACATATATATCTCTCCCCCCAACTTCTTATTCTTGTAACTTTTTTCATCTTCCTCTCTCTCTCTCTCTCTCTCTCTTCTTCTTCTTCTTCTTCTTCTTTTTTGCTTCCTTCTCGTCGCCCCACACACTCTCCACGTGCCCTTTTATTTACTCGCGCCTGACGGCCAGCCATCAGCGCTCCGCCGCGTCGTCTCGGTCTCGGGCGCCACGACGCTCTCTCGCTCTCTTTTTCCATCTCACTCTCAACCCGGTTGAAACACTGTCGTTTCTTGTGCGCCTGTGTTGCACAGCGGTTTTTTTTGTGCCATCTCTTTCTGTCTTGATCATCCTCACCGTCTTGTGCTTCTTTTTGCTCGGGTGGTACTCTTGTTATATTAGATGAGATGAGTCTGTGAGTATTGACAATTGACAATTGACAATCAGTGTGTGATGAGAGGGAAGATGAAGAAGAAGAAGAAGAAGATGATGATGATGAAGAAGAAAGTGGTACCAATTAGTGACCTCTCCCTTTCTCCCTCTCTCTCTCTCTCTCTATCTTTCTCGTCTTTGCCGTCGTGGCCGAAAAGATTCGGGCGTCTCGCCACACACCGCACCGCCCGTCGCTTTTCTTTTTCTCTTCTCAATAATTCCGGGGGCCCCTCCGCGTCGTCGTCGTCGGCCACGACCACGACGACGTCGTCTCTGCGTCTTCAAAACTTGGCACCTTCTCGACACGAAACAAGTGATGAAGGCGGAGGAGGAGGATGGGGATGGGGATGCACTTTAGATAGACACATCAACTTTTCTTCTTCGTTCGCAAAGAACTTTCCGCTCTTCTCGCATCCCATCCCGCAGATCCTAAAAGAAGAAGAAGAAGAAGAAGAAGAAGAAGAAGAAGACCAAAAGGTTTCGGCAAATAGACGAACCGCAAAAACAAACACAACGGTTCTGGTCGCAACTTTTCTCTCTCTCTCGAGCATTCGTTGCCCCCCGGATTTGAATGGACCTACAGAAGTTTCCTGGTCTAACTCCCCGTATGACGTCATTCTCATCTTGCTGCAATTACCCACTTCCGTCGCTTTTTTTTTTGCCATTCTCTTCTTATTCGCAAGTTCTCGAGATCATATCACCATTTACTGACTGTGAAACCGGTTCTCTCTCTCTCTCTCTCGTTTTCTATCCTTACTTTGCTTTTCATTTTCCGGTGTGACCACAAGAGATACGATGGGTGGGTGGGGTTCGTGGTTATGGTACCGCGCGTATCACGCACATTCTCACATTCCCTTCTCGCAAAAAAAAAACGTTCCAATTTGGAAATGCCGCACTTTTTCATAGATTGCAACCCTGGCACCCACTTTTAGCAACTTGGCCGCACGCGTTGCTCATTTTTTCGCGATAAGGAACTTCGGGGCCATCAAAACCTTTTTCCCCGTTAACCTAATGCACGTAAAAGTCCTAGTTGAAGCTCTAGAATGAATGATTTATAGAATTCATCAATACAAGTCATGCGATCCGATCCAATCCAATTCACCAGCTCTTTTTATTCATTTTCTATATTCGGTACGACTAAATGAACCCGAACATTACTGGGCCGAATTTCAATTCTGCCCCGTTTTCGTATTCTCCCTCGTGTTTTTGCCCCGCTTCGAGAATGCGTCATTATTATTTTTCGGCTCCGTTCGCCTCCCTTCTTCCTCTCACCGTTTCGTTTTTTAAACTTTCCAAAGTTCTTCGCGATCGGTCACGTGATTTACACGTCAGTGCGAAGAAGAAAAATGATCACGATTACTCTTTTTCGCTTTCTCATTAGCGAAGAACTATTCCTATCTCTCCGCCCACTCATTTCTGACCAAGAGTCTTCTAGTTTTCTCAAATTCCTTTCAACTTGATGCCTTCGGAGCAGAGTTGAGCGGAATTCCGCCTTCCGCCTTTTCAAAAATGGATTCCGCTCAACTCTGCTTCGGAGCCTTCTTTTTCGGGTTTCTTAACGATGAAAGTGACTAGAATGCACGGACGGTCTCCCAGGGCGCTAATGCTAAACACCAGAGTTGAGCGGAATTCCGTCTGCCGTCTTCCGCCTTCCGTCTTCCGTGGATGTTTTTGTTCCGTCTTCCGTCTGCCGTCTTCCGTAAAAAAACTTTTTTTCCGTCTGCCGTCTGCCGTCTTCCGGAATTTTTTCTTCTTACCGTAAAAGAGTAATAGCTTTTCAGAAGCCATTTACTAGCCCCGAAGAACGCGAATTTCCACGGGCAGTGACCCAGATCCAAATTTTTTGTTGCTTTAGTTATTTAAAAAAAAAAACCAAAAAAAGGTTCTGCATTGACGATTTTTTTGTTCCGTCTTCCGTCTGCCGTCTTCCGGGAAAAAAATTTTCTTCCGTCTTCCGTTTTCCGTGTTCCGTAAAAAAAATTTTCTTCCGTCTGCCGTCTGCCGTCTTCCGGATTTCAAAATTCCATTTCCGCTCAACTCTGCTAAACACAGTGCGCTCGTAAATTTAGGAGTGTCGTTGTTATTTTTTGAAAATTCGCGAATTGCATGCACCCTCTTTCATCGTGCACTTCACTTCATTTCATTTCCGTCAAGAGTTCACACCCATTTCGGAGACCTCCATCAAATTCTTCAAAAGGCTCCGCTGTATTCTCCACTTTTCGTGTGTTCAAAAAACCAAATGACCCCGTATAATGACGCTCAACGCTCCCCTTTTTATGGATCTTCCGATTTTTGTTGCTCTCCGTATAAAACCTACCGTTTCGGCGCCGTTTTTGCCCGCATTTCCCCGCTTTTCACATCATTCTCTTTTTGCAGGTCAAGGTGGATCAGTTGCACAATCCGTTCGAATGGGGTGCTCCTGATGTGCCCCAGCCGCAGGCGGTCAATCCGATGCCGCCGCCTCCAAACCCGCCCAACTATTATGCGCCGAGAAGATCCATCTCGACGATCACGGGTCCCAGCCGGCGCGACGTCGACGCCTTCTATCAGCACAACTTTCGGCAGAAGGTACGTCTTCGCGAAATTTCAATTTCTGTCATTTTCCGTTCGTTTTCGATGTTGAACATGTCAAAATGCCCGTATTGTACATGAATTGCTACCATGACAGATAATTTGTTACCAAACGCGCTCTACCGAACTGCGTACTCTGGAAAGTGGAAACGAACATTTGAATATTCATAGTCGCGTACTTGTGAGACTGTGTGTGAAAAAGTGAAAAGATAGCTGAAACCGAAGCACTTCATGAATATTCAAACACACCGTTCCCCTCCACTCACTTATACTCTTGACGAACTGCAAACCCAAAACCGAAATGGCGATTTCAGTTGAACGGGGACCAACCGGAGTACCAACCGACACAACAGGGGCCTTCAATAACGTCGGGACACTCGCATCAGACCAATCATTTGCCGGTAAGCACACTTCACATCCAAAATGAGTCAAGTTTGGTTGCAATCTATTTCCGCCTTTCACACTTTGACGTAACGTAACAGGAATTGGGTTAGGACGGGCCAACACCTATATATATATATATATGAAAGAAGGAAATGAAAAGGTTTTCAGACGAAAAACGTCTCGTACGAAGCGCTCCGCTTCTCGCCGCCCAACGTGACACCGCCGCCGCCACAATTCCCGGCCAACAATGTACCGGTTTCCGCTCGAATCTCACATCTCAACCCAATCTGTTCACAGTTTCAGGACATAAGTACGCCGGCGGTGCGAGCGCCACGTGTCCGCTTCGACGAGTTGCCCAACTATCCGACGCCGAACAACTTCTCGGTGCCGCCGAGAAAGTGCTCACTGGCGCCCAACTTTTTCTCGTCTCAAAACTCGCATCATATGTATCCGGATCAATATGTATGTAAACTTTTGATCATTTTCGACCACACGCCTAAACGAATTAGTTGCAGACGCCGCGCACTTGGCAGCACAACGAGTTCATGTCTAATCCACAGCCGCAGCAGCAAATGGCACCGCCGTCTCATCCGTATCCGCCGGTTAATCAGCAGCAGTGGCGCAGTCAGGTAGGATGTTTAGAAAACATTTATAAAGTTGTCTTGCCGGAAATGCAATTGCTCCGCTAATATCTATAATCAGAATAAATGTTTCAGCCGATCGAGAATAGCCAGATGTCGATGAGAAAGCACTCGAGACCGGCGGTCAGTATCAAGTTGGAGCACATGGATCACACGTGAGTTATTCACTAGAAACTAAGTGCTCAATCTACCATTGGATAGAGCTTTTTCAAGAATTTTCCTTCGCCTTGCTCTCACTGATAAATGTCACGTCTCTTTGTTTCGTCGCTATCTTGGGAATACTGTTTAGAAACTGGACTATAACTCAAGAATGACGGATATTCGAATAAAATGATCAACTACAAAGTTGTTAAGAACAAACAGTATACCAACTTTCTAGTTGATCACTTTTTGAAATTTTGATCGATTCTCGAGATATAAGTGTCTAAAGGAAACGCAACGTTCGGAACATTATCAATCCCTTTCTCAGTGGTTTTCTGAACTTTCCCATAAGGTGCGAAGAAGGAAGAAGAACAGAAAACAACGGCGCTGGTCTGAGACTCTGATGAGAGAGAAAGAGAGAAGAAAGAAGAAAACCACGTGAACTTTCAGTCCGAACGCGCGCTATTTTCGATTCGTTCGTCGAAACGCGATAAACAACGGCGTGTTTTGCTCCTGTTCCTGCGATTCGGTGAGCCGACTAACGGCCTACAAAGTTCAGCTCAGCAGAACTTTGGCCGCCACACACTTTTGACTACATTTTCCTCGGAAACTGACCGATTCGTAGGATTCAGAATCCTTAGGACCCTAGATCTAGCATATACTTGAGTGGAATGTCCAGCGAAGTTTGTTGAGAAACTAAGAAAGCAACGAAAATGTTGACTGCGAGTATCAAGTTTTGAAAGTGTTCCGCTGTGTGGGGTTCTTCCGCCTGCATGGCTTCCTCTCCATCTTTTGCGGAAAACAAGCTCCGAAGCAGGCTGAAAGAGGCCATAGTTTGCAGCCTTTGTTCCTTATGCTCCACAAGATCACAACGATTCTCCCTTTCCCTCCCTGTTTCGGTTGGTTTTTTTTTTGCCCGAAGGTGATCTTGAATCCGTTCCTGTTGTTTTTCTCCGTGTTCTCGGAACGTCGTACTTTTGAGGCAGATCAGAAAAACAAACCAAAGAAACGAGGTGGGATCAAGACTAGAGAAAGTCTCCGATAGACTTAAAGAGCTCGCCTTTTGAAGACATCGTTGATCTCGGTTCAGCTAGACTAGTCACGGCAGATGCAAAAACGAGAGACGGGTTTTGTGTCTGAGGAGTTTGTGCTCAAATCACTCAAATCGACGCATTTTCAGAATCCGATTATAATGTGAACTTTTGTAAGCTACTCGGCAAGCCTCTACAACTTTTTCGCAAACCTCTCAACTTTTCTCTCAACTTTAGGGGGTTCCTGGATTGGAAGAAAAGTTGAGTGCACGGAATCTATGCGTTTCTTAGCCGCCCGGGTGAGCACAGCATTTTGCGATTAGTCTAAAATCCGCTGTACTCTCTCTCTCTCTCTCCCTTATCCGACTCTATTCTCATCTTGTTTTGCGACTCCTCCTCCTCCTTCTCCTTTTCCGCTTCTCCAGTATCCCATACGAACAGAATCTCAAGACCCGTTGGATTACCCGAATATCTCATTCCAATCGGCACGTCTACAATTCGAAGAACCTCAAATCAGACCCGAACTATCACGTGTGTGTGTGTGTGTGTGTTCTCGTCACTTTTTTGTTATTCCGTCCCGTTTGTTCGGTTGCAACAGCGTCAGCAGCAGCAGCAGCAGCAACAGACCCATTCGTCGGGCGGTGTTGTTTTCGAACGAGAAAAAGTGAGAAAGTGAAGAAGAGAAAGAGAGGGAAGGGCGTGTGTCTACATGTCTGCGCGCGCCCGACGCCTCTCTTCCCCCCGCGCTTCGTCTCGCCCCGTCTTTTTTCGTTTTGGTGTGGCCTTGCAGTGAACATCATCAGCATCATGCAAACTTTCCAAAAATTCAAAGAATTGCTTTTTTCCCCCACCCCCATCCGTTTTTGTTTATGCCTAGTCGGGGGTATCAGAACAGACATCAGAATTCGTTCAATTTCGAGAACAGGTGAAAAAACGGTTTGACTCATGTCACATGCCAAGAAGTTTGTTTTTTTTCGATTCATAGATCTATAGACCCATAGATATCACTTCTTTCTACAACTTTGTACATGGAAAAGTGAGAACTAGCTTTACAAAAGTACTAACTGTGAGTATTGTGTGTTCTATTCGCCTGGCAGCTCGTCAAATATCATGCACAATACCGTGACTCACACCTCAAAACACAACTATCTCCTCCTCGTTTCACTTTTGTTCTTTCAGTGAGCAAAACCATTTTAGGCCATATCCAAACGAACTACAACGTTCACCTGATTTTGCAAAAAGTCCGGGCTAAGCTGTAGGTCTCATCATCACAAAATATCATCGTAGACTACTAAATACTAGAGAGAGAGCTTGTGGCCGGATTAGATTACAAACTACGGACGGCCTCCTTGCTCTCCAATCGTAATCTATAGAACCTAGAACCATTCGTCCGGCGGCAAATTCATATTCTTCTCGCTCCAAACTCGAATGTTTTTTTTTTCATTTCAGATTCGCCACGCCACAACAGCAGCCACAGCACGACATGATGGAAGTGACAAGTGGGCAGCCGAAAGCCCAAGTCAAGTCGGAGATGCTGTCGCCAATTAAGGTACTTGCTTGATAGACCTACGTGCTTTTCTTTCGACCACCCAATAAGGAAGTGGGTCATCGCAATGATGAAATAGTCGCCAAGTTGAGCAGCAGGGCATGTTGCAACGGTTCAATGATCAACCAAAATTGCGTGTTTTTTTTCATTTCCAACAAGAGTCATTTGGTTAAATTGTACGCGAGCAACAGAACAACGTTTGCAGACGCGTGTGATCGGCGAAAAGTACGTTTCCTTATTATCACAAGACAAGAATCTAGCCTCTTTCTCTTCCACTTCTTTTGTCTAGACCATCAACAACGTTGTGGCGCGTAAGTACTATGCATCAAGGTAGACACAAACGAACGCTTTTCGAGTTCTCAGACCTCCTACCCAGACAAAACAAACACGTTTCGTTTTTTTCTCCTTTTCGGAGAGCACTCGTAAGATGCGCACGTACCCGTAAAGAGCGAAAGAACATTCACAAGCGAATTTTTATCACCTGCTGCCATTACTCCGTTATTGTCACGAAACTGTCTCTCTCACCATTCCATCAGTTTTTTTTGTTCTACAGCGGGGCGCCAAAGGTTTTTGATCATCATCGCTCACTTTCTCTCCACTTTTCACGCACAATTTATCAGCCGGTTTACAGATGGAAGTAGTGGAACAACTCTCCTCGCCGTCCTTCTTACTGCTCAAGCAACAGCAACTCGAGCAAAAGCGATCGCATCACAACGTTCCGTCCCGGAAAGCGTCGATAATGGCTCTGAAAAGGTGAGGCTCTTGGCTCAATTTCTTTCGTTTCGCCTCAAAGCGCGAACTGTCTCTGTTTGCACGTGATCACATCACTCACTCCTTGTCCTTCCTTTCTTCCTTCGCCCCCCTTCTTCTTGCAAGTGAGGAGCGAATGCAGTCTGTTTGTGGGGCGAGGGAGGTCTTCGCAAGTTTTTCCCTTTTCTCTTCTTTCGGGTTCCTAAACTGGTCGTTCATCGATATCAAAACCGAAAAGGGGGGTGAACTTTAGTGTGGTCTTGTGGTCAGTTCACATTCGTCAACAAGTTGTCTGTTTGCAAAGATTTTTGAGATTCAGCAAGTTCACACAATTATTGTTAGTGCCTCAGGAGGCGTACAGCTTTTGATATGAAAAATGTGTTGATAAAGTAAGGATTGTACTTTTAGTCCCCTCCCGCTGTGACTCAGGTTCATCGCACTCTGCAATTCTAGAATCATTCTATTGAGCGCTAGCCTATGCATATGGTTCCCCGCAACTTTCAACTGCTATACATTCGTTGTCATGAACCCTGTTAAGGATCTTGTCATCCTAAACCCTACCCCCTCCCCATCCAAGTCATCTGATCACCCAATGTGTGCCGTTGTCTTCTTCTCGATCAGCGGTCGCCTGCTTCATCTTTCTTTCCTACTCTCCACGAAAATAGACATGTGGAAAGAGAGGAGTGGACGTGCATTTGCAGGCCGCAGAAAAAGAGATAGAGAGAGAGAGAAATGCTGCTGCTGGCTGCTGCAGCGGCGAAAAAACACATTCGGCTGCGGCGGGGCTGTCTCGTGACCCATTGCGTCCGTCTGCCGCCTCTTGAATCACCATGCTACACACACGGCGACGACGGGGACGGCGTTTGGTGTCTGAAAACGGAACGACGAATCGGAGGGGAGGCGGACGCGGATTCGTCATTGTCCAACATCTAATCAGATGTCTTTTTCGTCTTCCGCGCGGTGCGATACACCAACCATCAAGCGCAGTCCTACATTTCGTCGCTTCCCAACGCTATCGTCGCTGCTGATCTTAGCGGGGAGAACTGATTCTCTATAGAGCGCACTTGCACTTTTGTGTACATTTATGTCTCCGGAACTTGGGATAGCGGCGTGGAAGTATCCCAAATCCGTGTTGATCTCAAGCTAATCCTAAGCCCGACATACCCTGAATACAAGATTCATGCACTTTTGCTTTTGCAACGGCCCCTCCCGTTGCTCTTTTCTTCTTCTTTTCCCGCTTCTCTATCCGTTTCCGTCCAACATCTAGCTCGTTTCGCGGAAGGAGATAGCGCAACAAAAAACGTTTTGTGCTTCGATCGTCTGTCTGCGCTCTCCGCGTCCTGTGTGGTCCCTTCGGAAGAAGAGGAGCAAGCCCATGTCCATCCAGTGCTGCTTCTGTCGTTGTTGCACTGAGAGAGAGAGAGAGAGAGAGAGATATCATGTGACACAAACTGATCACTGCTTATCAACACTGTTTCTTTTCCCTCGGCGTTCTTGAGTTCAAAGAAACAACAAACAGACAGTCTGCCGTTAATCTTTGCTCTACCTGCCACTGCGTCTCCCCGACTTCTTCGCTCTTTTGTTTGTTGCATCGGCGGCGGGGCAGGCAGAAAAAGAAGAAGAATGCGAAAAGTGGTTGGTTGCGTGCACTTTTTGGCGCGGCGGCGGCGGCGACGACTGCTGAACAATTGCAAACCGCGACTGTTTGAGGGTGAGGGACTGAACTCGACTCGCTCGTTCCCGACGATTTTCAAGAGGTTTAATCCACGGGTCCGTTTTGACATTTCTCTGGGTAATCCCGCATCATAATACTAAATGCCGCCCGATTTTCATTTCCAATCAGTACTTTGCATTTCTCAGCATTTCTCTAATTTTGCCTGAATTCTACACCATCCCAACGTCATTTTTTGCTCTCTTGCTCGGCTCGTCAAACAAAAACAGAATTTTGCTATTTTCGACGTCTCTGCTGCAACACGATATCCAGTTTTGAGTTTCAGTCCTTGAAGAAGACCCCCCCCCCTCCGTCTCATATTTTGGTTCTTCTATAAATTTGTCCGCTCACTATATATTTATTATTAGCCTTGCCATTCCGAAGAACATACAATAGGGCGTACTCTGACGTCCCCCGCCGGGATATGTATGAATGGCACTCATTTTTCCCGGTAACTCTCGCTGTCTAGAAAAATTCAATTTCCGGACGTAGTATCCGTATTATATACGTGCGTTCATCTGTTTTTTTTAAAGTGTCTCCATCTCTCTCTCTCTCTCTCTCTCTCTCTCTCTCTCTCTCTCTCTCTCTCTCTCGCTCTGTCTCTCTTTCTGTTCCTTTTTTTTCTGTGTTTTGCCCCGTCTTCCGAAATGATCTGAAAAACAGGCACAGCCCGTTGAACTTTGTGTTTTTGTTTTGCCCCCTTTTTCCCCCTATCCAACCCGACCGCCGTCCCCTTTCCTTTCCTCTCCCTCTGCTCTTCGTTCCAACTTTTTTTGTGTGTGTGTGTGTGTGTGCAGTTGTTGTGATTCTAGTTTCTAGTTTCCAGATGCTCCACGAGCATGTGCTCGGCGAGCTCATCACTTTCTGATCCGAGGTCTGATTGCTTTTTCTCTGTTTTTTCTTTGTTCACCCGCTCCGCCCGGGTAGACCAGCTTGGTCGTTGAATTCCAAGAGTACATTAGAGCGCGTTTCAAGACATTCGGCCAAAGTTTATTGTTGTTGCAACACTTAATCCTTCCAGTTCTGCAATCGTCGCCCCCACCAAAACTTCCTTGTTCTGCCTGTCTGATAGCAAAGTGTCTGTCACTTCCAAAAGTTGTTATTGTCCGTTTCACTCTCACTCTCACACACACAAAAAAGCGAAAAGTTTGCTTGTGCAAAACGGCCGCAAGGAAGAAGAAAAGTTTGCAAACTCTGATAACGCTTCTCTTCTTGTTCTTGTGCTTCGCCCGCCCTTGGCAGCAATGTTCATCCAACCGTCGTATTGCAGTCAATTGCGCACGCCACGTGGCACTCCGCTCAACAACAGCGCCGCGCCGGGCACCGAACTTCTTCCCTACACACCGCCGCCCATTCTGGCTCCAATGCGCAACGGCTCTGGCCTCTTTTGCCAGATCGCCAAGTCGGTCAATTCGCTGCCAATTACAGATGTAAGCAATGAGATGGATTGACAGAAAAAACGAAAAACTTTCTCTCTTTTCAGAAGACATCATCTTCCTCATCCGATGCTCCGAGTTGCAGCAGCACGAACGGAGTGAATGGCGCGATGAAGAACGGCAAGAAGAAGAGCGAGGACGGAGACGGTCCGTCGCGCAAGAACGGATTCTTCTACACGGCGACGCAGACGAACGAGTCCAAGTTTGCCAACGAGCTAGAGGCGCTCCGCAAAGAATCGTGGGCGTCCACGTCGTCGGCGGATGAGAAGATGCAAATGGAGAGGAAGGCGTCTCTGGAAGCCATCAGAAAGGAGTCGTGCATGTCGGACAGCTACTACGATTACGAAGGACCAAAGATCAGCGACCCGAATCCGTGAGTAGAACATAACAAGATACAGAAAGTTCAAAACATGCGCTTTTCAGACACATCAACATTGGAAAACAATATCAGGCGCGGGTGAAGAAGTGGTGCGACCGAGAGGTTGTCTCCAGCGAGTTGGACGCCATTGATGACCGCGACGAAATTGTTTTCTCTTCGGAAATCCTTCAAGACATTGACCAAGAGCAAAGTGAGTTACCCTTCCTCTCCTCTAATTGAGTCGTCCCCCGTTCCAGTCAACGCATTCGAGTTGCTCGCCTGCAGTCAGGCTTGTCCGCGAGCCGGAAGAAACAAGGAACTGGCGCTCCACTTGCTCATGGAAAACAAGGGAAACATCGAGGCGGCGGTGGAGGATCTGCTGCGAAGCGACACGCTCGACTGGGAGCACTACTCGACCGTCTTCGGCTACATGTACAACGACTCGGTCTACTGGACCCCGGATGAGATCTACCTGTTCCAGGACGCGATTTACAAATCGGAGAAGGAATTTGACAAAGTCGCCGCGGAGGTTCGTCCTTTTCTCGATTCGTGTCGGTACATTTATTCATTCTTTTCAGCTGCCCGGAAAAACAGTTCAAGAGTGCGTGCAGTTCTATTACACGTGGAAGAAGGCGTGTCCGGACGACTACAGAAAGTTGCGAAATCTGAGAAGAAAGCGGCAGTTGCTCGAGATGAACCTGAAGAACAACAAGCTGCTGGAAGAACCGGCAGTTCCGGCCAAGAAGATCTCGATCGTCGAATCGGGAGAATCGGACAACGAGTCAAACGCCACGGATGCTTCTTTCAACGGAAACGGACACATGGAGTTCAGAGAACGCGCTTTGTAAGTTTGAAAACTCTCCGAAACAACTAACAACGTGGATTTTCAGCACCTCTCCGATCATATCCTCCCCGCGAGATGAAGCTCTCGTCGGTCTCTCCCCATCGTCGAAAGATCTGTTCGGAATTCAGAAGAACTATCAGCCGTCGGCCCCGCGAGCCCATCACACTCCGTCGGCTTCGTCGAGCAAGAAGGGGGCGCAGCCGAGCGCCGATGGATTCTTCCACTGTCGTCTGTGCGACAAATGCTTCGAGAAGGTCAAATCGCTCAACGCGCACATGAAATCGCACGCGATGAAAGCGCGTGCCGAGCAAGAAGCGAAAGCCCACGATGCTCAAATCGCCGCCGCCGCCGCACAGCTCTCGAACGCTGTCAACACTGTCAACACGACGTCGCCGCTTCATCAGTTCACCAACGGCATCAACATTGCGATTCCGTCGGGCATCGGCAGCCTTACTCCGCAGCAATTGACACCACAGCAGATCAGTCTGAACCAACAGTTGCAATCGCAGCTGAGCAGCCTGAGCTCTCAACTCAACTCGCAACTCAACTCACCGCTCACTCCGCAGCAACAACTGCAACAGTTCACGCAACAACAACAGCAGCTTGTGGCCCGCGCCATGCAACAGGTAAGCGTGCAATATACTTTTCATTGTGACAAAGTTTCGATTCCAGAATCTGTTCCAACCGCAAACGTCGGCGCCACTCGTACAACCCTCTCATCCCCTGATCCAGGCGGGTCTTCATTCCATTCACTAATCTCCCACGCCTCCGTTTCTAAAGTTCAATCTCTTCCGCTTACCGGGTTCTCTCCATTTCCACCACCACCACCACCACCGTCTAGTTTCATATTTCTTCCAGTCGCGCATAACTGTGTAGTCGTCCCCGTTAGATTCCACCAACATCATCATCATCATCAGTTTCTGTTGTTAGGATAAATATTGTATTGCTTTTTCGCTAAAGTATGTCATGTAAATATTTATTGAATTTATATTGAATACAAATGCATTTTTTTTGTCTATAAACGACACTGACTTCCGATGATTCTCTCGCGAAGTGCCCGACCGGTTGGCGAGATGAAGACGTTCTGAAATTATTAGAATGGTTCCAAAGGTACCTCGGACAAACCATAGAACTTCCGCCAATATCAGCCAGCTGCGCTTCGTCCGGAGGCGCCAACTTGTCCCTGACCGCCACGGAAATCAACTGCAGCCCCTGAGCACGAGCCACTCTCGCCGCTTCTCTCGGGTTGTCCTGCGAGTATCCGTCCGTGAACACCACCAACACCTTGTTCACGTTCCTCCTAGCCGGATGAGCTCTTCCTCCGAATATCTGGGTCGCGTAGCGGATGGCGTCGGCAGTTCGTGTCGTGCCTCCGTGACGTTCCATCAGGAACATTTCTCTGGAAGTTATATACATGCTTTTCTAGATCTTTCCACGAACATTTCTTCTCAGACCTACCGTAACTACTGTAATAGAAGAGCGCCCGAATACCTCTTCTTTAAGACTATACATCTCAGCTGCCAATGGAGATACATTGATTTGAATGGACAATATTGGGGTGCCCTTCTATTACAATATTTACGGTATATCTCAAGGACGAATAGTTATTTCGAAACATGGGGCCGCTAAACAACTTTGTAGTAAGTGATTTTATTCCAAAACCTTTCATTCTTGCTACTTCCGTTTCCCTTCTCACGTTTTCTTCAACTCACTCAATAAGTTTATCCTTATCGGTGTGTTTATCCAAATACACCCGTACATGAGTCCTCCCACGACCCGAATAACTTATAAGACCAACACGAACGGCTTCCTGAGAAATGGGAAGAGCGTTGATCGCAGACGCAGCAATATCCAAGTACCTGGAAGCGATATCTCACGGAGTTTAGTTTTAACTCCAAAACAACTGACAGTTGACTCTTATCGCCAGTGCCTTTGGAGAAATCAACAAGAAAATAGACGTCGGCTATGCAGCTTTGTGGAACTATCGGTTTCGGAGTCGTCGGAGGAGCCGCTGAGGTGCTGAACAGACTCATCACGTTCACTTTCGTGCTGGACACGACCGCAGGCTTCTCGGTCATTGCAAACTGAACACTCCTCGATCGCACTTTGAAATCCCTTGTTCGGAATTCCTCAACACCGTTCTCCTCTTGATTCTGCTCCTTTTTCTTCTCCGGCGGTACATCGATGGTAGAGGGCGGTGGCGGCGAAGGAGTTGTGTGCCAGAAAGTGGAGTCGGGTCTTTTGGTTGTACTGAAAATGGGAGAGGAATCTTTTAAAAGTTACAGATGTTTTCCGAGAAAGTGCATGGAATGTTGACACGAAAAGAAACTATCTTATACCTGGTCGTCGTAGTCCATTTCAGGGATTGAGGACGTCTAGTTGATGGAGTTCTGAATAGTTTCAATGTGACAGTTGCATTAGAGAGAGAGAGTTTCAAAAAAGATATAGAAAAAGGCTAAAGAAACCTTGTTGTCGTAGTCGATTTTGTCGATTGTGGTGTTTTCGTTGTCAGCTTTGCAGTCGAGGAAGCTCTGAAAAGTGTCGGCTCTATCTGAGTAATCAGGTTTCAAAGGCAGGATCCATAATAAAAATCAGGATCAGGACGGTCACGGGTTCAAGGCATTTTTGTCTTTGGAACCTGATGGCTCAGATAGAGCCAAAGTTTCAATTGTTTGTACATTTGAAACAGAGTTTTCGAAAGCCAAAAAACCTGTTAGTTGTGGTCCATTTCGGTCGTTTTGTAGAGAATGTGGACGGGGTTCTAAAAAGTTTTGCTTCAACAGACTGAGACGCGTCGAAAGTTGACGAAACCTGGTGGTAGTAGATCTTATTGTCGATTCGGGCCGTTTTGTTGCAGTTGAGGTAGGAAAACGTCTTCTGGAATATCAAAGTTGAGAAGTTTTTGAGGAATTCGCAAAAAACCTTGTTGTGAATGCTGAGGAAGACAGTCTTCGTGTTGTAATGATCGTTGTGGAAGACGTTCTGAAATTGGAAAACTTCCTGGCAAGTTATACGGTTAATTGCAAAGAAAACGCTTGTGAGAAACTGAAAAACGACTACTTCAAGCACTTTTTACTCTAATCTTGTATTCTGGCTTCTACTCCTTTGAGAACAACAAAAAACAACAAAAAGGTATTATTAGGAAAGTTCATATATTAGACAACAACCAATTACAATTGCTAGATGATATATTAGTACAAACTCCGTGGTTAATGGATGCATTTCAGAACCTTGTGGGTCTTGTCGACGTCTCGAAGCGTCTGGAAGTGGCAGGATGGAAGGGAGGACTGAAATGTGGTCCGATTGTTGAGGAAAGCTGAAAGCGAACGGACCTCGGATTGGCAAACCATCTGCTCGCGGCTTCTGGTCCTTCGGCCGTCTTGAACAAAATGAATGGACTTCTGAAATTAGCACGTTCTTATCCATTAGGTACAATCATTCAGACCTGGTGGTTGGCGAAAACTTTTTGCTATCAAACTTTGCATTTCCGTTGGTTTTCGCAGTGGAAGGCCTTCTCGTCGTCGTCGTGCTCATCGGCCTCGTCGTCATCTTCTTGAATGTCCTCGTTATAGTGTACTTTGTGTTTTGTGTCGTCTTCTTCTTCTCCTTCTCTTTCTCCGTCGGCTTCTCCTCCAAAAGTGTTCGGGAGGCGTCGTAGAATGTGAGCCGACGGACGAATGGGTCTCGAGTGGAAGTCAACGGGCGGTGCGTTGAAGTGGCCGTCGGTGCTCGCCGAATCTCATTTCCCCCGCTGAATTTGCTGGATTGTGTGTCGAATGGGTTTGTTTGGTTTCGGCCGCAAAGGATCAGCTTCTCGAAATCGGTTTCTTGATCTTCGGAGAGCATCTTTCTGGAAAACAGGTGTATCAAGGCAAAAAGAAGGCGGTGACTGAGCCTACTGCTTCTTCTGCAAACTTCCGATTCGGTAGATATGAAGCGCCGGCGCCAGAGACATTTTTCTCCACATATTGCTCATTGTCTGGTTGACAGGAGTCTCCGAGAAGAGCAGAATTACAAATGGTTGGAACGCTAAACGTTTTCGTTACTGTGTGATCCTCAAAACGTGTACTCACTAGCAGTTCGTCTCGCAATTTCACCAGTGGCAATCTCCAAAAAGCGGTCATAGTCGCCGTGAATCGTGCTCAGCACCGATTGCAGTTCGCCGTTGTTCTACCAAATGCGAAATTTCCACTTGAAATATACAAAGCTATAACTGACCCTAACCACTCTCGGAACATATCGGTCTTCTCTGGAAAGAACGACCCATTTGCGAATCTTTTGATCTTCGGGAAGTTGTCTCGCCACTTGAATGGCTCGACTTCTCGACACCTACAATATTGGATCCATCGAAAAGGTGTTGCCTCACAATATGTGCAAGTTTACAACGTTTCTGTACAACTCTCTTGAAGACAGTTGTACTCTATTAACTCGGCAAACCTCGCGAATGTTTTGCGCAACAGTTACAGACAGATGTGTGCCGAGACAGTGGAGAAAAGTTGCCAACTCATTGTAGTAGGTACCTCCAACGTTTTATTGTCAATCACAAACAGGACATCGATGCAGGCGAGAGTGAGCTTGAGCTCAGCGAGGAGCAGAAAGAATAAGCACGCCCACGCACGGCGGAACATCGTTCGAAAAGAAGATGGTGTGGAAAGAAGGGCGACGGTCCTCTCGCGTATCGAACCGAACCATCTTTTGTTATTATTATTATTATTATTCCGTTCATTATGCATCCTTATCGTCGATCTTCGATCTCGTTCTGAATTCGGACTTTCTCCCGGCGACGAATCTTTGTTGTTCGAATTGAATTCAAATGAATATGAACATTTTATTAGGTGTTGAGGAGGAAATAATAAAGTGTAAAAGTAGGGGTCGAAGGAAAGACTTGAGAAGAGGGAGAGTACCTAGAGGAAGGGGAAGAGGCAAAATAAAAAGTGATATCAGAAGTGTGAGACCTGTGTACAAATTGGTGGTGTGGCGGCGGGAGTGGCAACTCATACGTACCACTCCTTGAAGTCCTTCTTCTTCGCCACGCCGTTCCCGTTTCCGTTACGCATCAGAGTCGCGGCGCCGCCCGTCCCCACGCCGCCGTTTCCGTTCGCTATTACGGCGCCTTTCAGCGGCTCATAACCATTTCCGTTGATCTAAAATGAGAAAGTAGCGAGCGATTAGTAAAGACAGGAAGGGTGACTCACGTGAGGTTTGGCGAGCAACGGCTGAGTGCACGAGTCGTTGCTCCGATCGTGGTTCATCGGAGGGGAGAGTTCCGGCGCGATCGCAGTGTAGCCCGATTGTGTTTTCATTGCCTGCAAATCAGATTCCAATAGACGACAAGAAATATGGATTACCATAGTGTAGTGCTCCGAGTTCGGCGGGTTCTGACGGCATTTGAACACAAAGAAAACGACGGCGGCGATGGCGATAATGACCGCCAGACTCGAGCACATTATGAGCGGAGTGCGCGGGAAATCGGAAACTGTGGCCGCCTGAAATAAAAGGTTTTTAGCTTTCTAGGACTAAACTTTCGACTTAATAGTGGCTATTATACTTAAGAGCTTCCGTCTGTTGAGATCATTTGAACTTGAATATCAATCACCGCTAGAGATTTCAAAAAGTAGGCAACTCATTAAATGTTCACAATAAGCTAATAAACAATTTATCAGTTGACAACTGTTTGATATCTCTACCGGTAGTTCAGTTATACTGTTATGACTGAATGGTATTGAAATACCATTCTGATACAGTGGCTTGCGCAAAAGTTCATGAAGTTCGGCTCAAAAGTTGCTTACACTTACCGAGTACATGAAGTACCAAGATAGGATCATGAAATAAGTGTGTCCAATTTACCTGCATAGTCGTCGTGATTGTGTCTCCCATAGGCGTCGTCGGCCTCACCGGATAGACTGTAAAATGCGGAGTGGACTTTGAGCGCGTCTTCGTTGGCTGCGGCGGAGGAGGAGCCAAACTGCTGGTGATCAGAGCGGTTATCTCGTTGTCAATGTCTGAAAGATCAAAACGCTTATATTCATTTATAAGGCTGTATATAACTGGACCGCCCGGGGTTGAATCGAATCAAAGGGAAACACACGCACAGAAAGCCGAACTGATTGGATTTGACTTGGACTCGGATGTGAGTGAAGTGCAAAAGAAAGGACAAAAGGTATACTCACACATGGTCAATAACAAGCGAGGGGAGAGAGAGAGAGAGAGAGGAAGGGGGGAAACAGGAAAGAAAAAGAAAATGTGGGAGGAGCAGCAACCATCACATGCCACTGCTCATTTGGCTAATTGCGCCCAACACATTTGGCTGGGCGTGAGCAACGGCTTCTAGCTTCTAGCTTCTGCCTTCCAACTTCTTCAGCTGCTCTCGGTTGCCAGGACTACACGGCTGTGTGAGAAAAAACCGAAAGCCGAGGCACACACACACACAGAATATTCTAGCGGGAGGTAAAACGGGCAGGGCCGGATGCGAAGCCATGGCGGGAAATGAGATTTTCACATAATGGATAAAAGGAGGAAAAACGGAGAAAATGGGGCGGCGCGCGCTCCGATTTGTGGATGATTCTCGGACGACGCTCCTCAAAACCATTAGCATAAATGTTTGCACATTTCCGATCGTTTGTCGGTCGGTCGGTCGGTCGGTCGGCTTCGACTTCGGCCAATGGGATTAGGAGCATCATCATCTCAATAACATGCTTGAGAGAGGCCGTTTCATGATGAATTATGAATAGTTTACGAAAAGATATCTCTCTCTCTCTCTCTCTCTCTCTCTCTCTTTTTGACGACATTGATGGATTCATAGAAAAAAAAAACGAAAAGAGCGACGACGAGGACGACGAAAGAGAGGAGCGAGGACCAAGTAATTGGGCCGGCTTTTATCACGCATCACCTGCCTTTTTGTATGGGTTTTTTGGGGTGGACATCGTCAAAAAAAAATGGAGGAGAGTAATAATGAGAGGGAATGGGCTCGGCAAACACCAGGAATCGAACGAGGAGCGATGTGGTTTGTATGAGCGAGATTTTCGTTTTCATGGGTAGCACAACGAGTATTGTTGTTCGGATGGGGAACCGGCCGGCGTTAATCCGCCAAAATTCGTTCTCTCTTGTAGGATTATTATTCGTATTATTACTAACTAATGCATCGGAAATCTAGACACATTTTGTAGCTCGAAGCCATTTCTCAGCTGAAAAACCGACCCTATTGGTTTTTGCACGGTGTAACTCTCAAAAGATCTTACTTTTCTTTTTGACATGGAAACTTGTCTTGCAATTTTTTTTCGAATGATGATGGAAATGCGCTATAATCAGAGAAATAGGCATTTCAAAAAAAAAGGGAAGAAAAGAGCAGGCTCATTCACACAAATAGTAAAGGAACGTAGGAGGAGACGGACGGTTAGACAGTGAGTAGGACGGGGCCAGAAATTAAAAAAAGCATGACACGAAAAAGCTTCTGACGACGATGACGACGCTGAGATGGGGAAAGAAGGAAGGACACGGCAAGCGGAGAGAGTGTGGTTCTCACCGTAAGATTGTCGTTGCTGGAAGCGAATCGTCGTCGTCGTCGTGGCTGTAGTCGTCGTCGTCGTTGTCTTCCGGCTCTTCTTCGGCGTTGTCGTTTTTGTCTGCGTCTGCGTCGACGCCGTCGTCGTCACCGACTTGTTGGTCCGCCACGCGGGACCTGTGACCATAGGTTCAGGCAAAGTGTCGACCTGATTCCAGATGCTCGAGCCCAGATAGTCCGGATTCTGCTCGGCCGCCTCTCTGACGCTCTCGTACGGCCGCGGAAGGACCGTGACTGATGTTGGTGGTGGTGGAGGTGCGGAAGTGCTTGTTGTTAGTACTTTTGCGAGCGGAGTAGTGCTCTTGACGGCGGAGGGCTTCGTGGCGGGTGTGATTCCGAACATATCGTCGCCAGAGCCGTCGAACTCGTCGTCCGACGCGTCGCCGTCGGTGATTTGTGACAAAAAGAAAACAGGCAAAGTGGTGGTAGTAGTAGTCATTTTAGGAGAAGAAGAAGAAGAAGAGGACGTCGCCGCCGAGGCTGGAACTGAGTTTTCACGCCGAGAACAGAGTTAGTTGGATTAGTAGCTAGGCTGGATGGTTTTAAAATGAGAGAAAGAGTGAAAGAACGGCAATCAGAGAGCGGCGTTTTGCTTTTTTATGATACGCGGTCTACAAATCTGGTAGATCGGCGCACCAATAAGCCATGAAGCATATGCTCAGTACGTTTTCTGAGAGGAATAGAGGCGAAGCAAAGCTTGCCACCAGATTTCAGATTTCCAAGCTTGTTTTTCAACTCACGTTCACTTTGACGCGAACTCGCTTGAACGTCGGCAACAGTGGGCAGAACCGGCGAGAAGAATCCTGAAATTTAGCTTCATCACACATACTTGGCAAATCTCTGTAACTTTCGCGCAAAATACGCAACTCCCTCTAGTAAGCTGCACAAAAGTTGCATAAAGTTTGCGCAAAAGTTACAGAGGTTTTCCGAGTCTATCAAAGTCCGTTAGAGATCCCCGGGACACCCTCTCAACACCACTTCTCCCGGCCTACCAGCGGTGGTCTCCGCGGACACATCCGTCATGCTGCGATCGGCGATTCCGTGCTCCTTCTCCTCATAATCGTCGTCATAGGCGGGCAGTTTGGGAGCGACGTTTCGCGAAGGAGCCGCGTCAAAGTTCGACGCAAACTTCGGAATGTACTGTTTGAACTGGCGACACTGCTCGTCGTTCCAGTTCATCAGGCACAGAATGGGAGAGACGGTGGTGGTGGCCACAGGAGGAGCACCGCCACGTAAATGATCAATGAATACCATGGAAGCCTAGGAAGCATTGGAAGAGGTGTGAGAAAAGTATCGGATGACGTGAGGAGAAAACGAAATCGGAGACGATATTGGAGACGAGAAAAAACTAATTGGATCTTAAAAGTAAACAGCCGGCTTTTTGAGCATTTCAGCTACTAGAGGCCGCGCAAAAAAAGAGGTGTTCAAGTGGCGGAGCAGCCGAGAAAGCCAAAAAGCAAATGCACCTTTCATTGTTGTTATTACTATTTATAGGAATAACAAAACTTCCTTGCGGGAATGGGCACAAAATAGATTTGGTACAAAACTTTGAAGGTAAAAAGTAGGAGGCGGAGGACACGAACTTGTTAATGCAAATGAAGAAGAAGACGATCCGCGGAAGGTCTTGGGGGAATCGGATGACGGCGCGAAATTTTTGACGCGTCCTTTCCGCTTTTTCGGCATCCCTCTACTCTCTTTACAAATTTCTTCGGCGGCACACACGAAAACGACGACACATAATTAAAGAAAGCGCGAGAAGACGACGACACTTCTTATTTGATTTCTGCGCCGTCCGACGTCTTCTTCTTCTTATTCTCCGGTTTCTTGCCTTCTTGCAAAGCCAATTTCGAAAAACAACTGATAGGGCAGTAGAGGAGATGTGGGATTAGGAGACGAATCGAGGCCCGACAATAGATGGAATCGAATGAAAAGGGGGATTGTGGTGATATGGACGACTGAAAATATAACGCGTGACGAAGGCAGATGAGTACTGTTAGGACAGGACGTCGTCTGGGCAAGATAACTTGTACTACTTGTTTGTACCGAGAACTCTACAATACTCCAGAAGTCCTAACAGTACTCGTCTGCCTTCGTCAGACGTTATATAATCTAGCGAGTCTGGTTTCCACGAATTCAGGTGGCATATCTCAAAAATGGCGAAAATTGAACCAAATTGATCAATTACAAAGTTGTTCTGCTTGAAAGGTCATTGCATTTTCTACTGCAAAAATAATTTCTCAACAGAGCGCGATTGAAGTGAAATGCGCCATAATAGACATCTTTATAGTACACAACTTTCTCGAGTACTTGACAGAGTTTGGCGCGGATTAGCCTAGTAGGAGTATCATCTCAAAACGGGAAAAAAGTAAGACACGATGCTCTAGATGCTCTCCGGATAACCGGGACCGGAAACACGTCTCCTCCTGCTTCTCATATCTGGGTCAGTTTGAGCTTGCTCCGAGCGCCTCTCTTCTCCACTTTTTGGCCGTATATCGTTCCCCGGGGAGCGCTCACTCGATCCCACCCCCTTTAGTTTTAGAGGCTTCGCGAAGAAGAATAAGGACAAAAAGTCGTCGCGGAAAGTGAGTTTTATGGCAAATGAATGAATTGGGGAAGGGGAGAAACGACGACGACGAAGTGTTTGAATAATTCACAAAGGTAAGCAAAAGTTGAGTCGACGCTGCACCGAAGAAGACGTTCTTTCGGGAGAAGTGCGTGCAAATCGGAGTGGAGCAATCTCGATGTTTCGAAATGAAATTAGCATAAAAAGCGAACCGAATATGATGAGGAGGAGCCTTGTGTTTCCACATGTCTAATCCATCATTCATGTCCGAATTTTGAAATTTTGGAGACGAACATTTCGAAGGAGATTTCCGCTGTGTAATATATGAAAGAAAAGGATGCACTTTGACCAGATTCTCGCGATGAATGGAAGGCGCGCGGATTATCCAATCCTTCTACTATTGAGAGCCGGGAGAGAAGAAGCATGGAGCATCTCATAAACTAATTTGGACACCTACAAACGGCTATACATCTATGTGGAAGGATGAAAAGGAAGAGAGAGAGGGTCAAACAAAAAGTGCGGTGAAGCACTTTGGAAAATGAGGGGGGTCACAGCACAGAGAGTCGCCCCGAGGGGGTCATGTTTCAGCACAATCTATCCATTTTATATTCATATTTCAATAGGAAGAAAGGCGCCGTACTTGTGGTCCAGGAGATAAGGTACAAAAGTAAGAAGCCTGAGCTTTTGACTCATTTGCAATTCTCCGATCGGGCCCAACAATTGCAGGCTTTCAATACTTGGATCGAAATATCTTGGGTCCAAGTTTCAGACCGATTTGATTATCCTGTCCCGAGATATGTCAAATTTCGTGAAAATTGCTCCTTTCGGCTTCAAGCCAGTATATCTCCGGACCAGATGATCCGCTCGGTCTGAAACTTGGCCCCAAGATACTTCAATCTAAGTCCAGAAAGCGTGCAAAGTTAGGATACGATCTGGGTCAAAGGTTAGGCCTCGGCAGGCCCTGAAAAAAGATCTTCTGGACAAACAGATCCCTGAGAGCGGATCAGAACTGAGGTTGTCGAATACTATCATGCTGATTTTGTGAACCTAGATCTTTGAGCTCCATGAATCCAGAATGAAATCATCTCTGTGCGGGCGGCGCGCGCGCAAGACAATGACAACAGGTCAAGCATAAAAAAGTGGTCTTTTTGCACAAGAAGCGTTAGGAAAGACGGCGGCGAAGACGTAAACTGGCAATTTTTCATCGTTTTCACACCTTTTCATCATGATTTGTCCAGCTGAAGCGGCGGCACACACTCGCTTCCGCTCTTTGAAATAATAGGGGGGCCGGCGACAATTTTGCGCGCACAATTTCACACCGCCCCGCGAATTTCTTGAGGCGAGTAAATGAACGGTGCGCGTGAAGAAGACGAGATTGAACGTGACGTGACAACGAGTGGGGATAATCCGGCGTGTGTATATACATTTCCTATTTTCGAACGAAGCCCGACTCTCGAGAAGGAGGGCTTCTTTAGACGGTCAGTAGCGAGGCGGAAATAAATCCGAAAGGTTCGAAATGTCTCGTAAATAAATGATTTGTGCTGCTACTGCTGCTGGTGCGGGAGTCTAGAACGGATAAAAGTAAGAAACGCTCCTAGATAAACAAGGAGCAGCGAAAAAAAAAGAAAATTAATTGCCACTAGGGCGAAGATTGATGAGCTTTACCACTAGAGACAAAAGCGTTTCGTTTCGTTTCGGCAAAAAGTTATGGTCGCATGGCTCCCATGAGGAATCGGGCCATTTCTGGCCACTTCTCTGGAGAGAAGAACCAGAACACAGAGTGGTGTTGAGAAGGGTCCGTGGATGGTGGAAAAGGGAAGAAAAGGGATGGACTGACCTATCGAGTCGTCGGTGTCGATGAAGCACGTCTGTTGCTCCTCGAGGCTCACACAGCTGGGCGCCAGCGACTCGATGAGCGCTTCGTTGGGGTTCTGCAACTGTTCGATTGAAAAAGAAAAAGTTAGACAATGCACGGGATGAGCAAGCGTGCTCCACGGTGTATCAGCGCAAAAACTATTTGAATTTCCTGTCGAAAAATCAGACTATTTGACTGCATAGCGATGCTTTTTTGTGCTTTACGAGCTTTGCGATTCGGAGCATTTTTACGTGACTGTGTGTGCGGATAATGTGCCAGACTTCCCGCAATATCCTTAAAAAGTGCAAAATTTGACGACCGAAAGATTTCGTTTGTCAGAGTTCCAACAGAGCGCATGTTCGGAAATGTTCCAGCAACAACATGTTGCAGTAAAATATTTGAAAGCTCTCAGAGTCTAGAAGCGCTAGAAAAGTGACAGAGTTGACGGATTCGTCAAAAGTGCGGGAGCGCATTCGAGAAGAACTGGAATAAAGATGTGTCAAATAAACATGTCAGCTGACAGAATGTGCCTCAATTCTTCAGAATCTCGCGCCTTCGATGGCGTGTCGCCGCTCTTCTCGGAAATGCATACGCACTGGATTTTTCTCTTTTCGAAAAAATCCTAGCTCCAGGCACTTTTCTCTTTTCTCGTATGCTTAAACGACCAAGAAACTATCTCTCCTAATGACACACAGCCTGTGGGATAGAAACACTTTTTCCCCTTGAGGTTTTGGACCGAAGGTTATGCGGAGCGCAAAAAATTGAGGAGATGAGTATTAAAAGAGACGCGCGGGGAGGGTATGTGTGTCATTTTCTGTAGATTACTAATTAGTTTGGGGGGAGAAAAGGCGGCTAAGAAGCTTTATTGGTAGTAGTAGTAGTAGTGGGTGGAGGAGCCGAAGACGAAGGAGAAGAAGAAGCCGTCGATAAACAGACAAAAGAGTGGCGACAGCCTCCCCAAAACATTTGAATATTCTTGAAACAGAACAGAACACAGAACGCGACGGGTGGTCGTGGCCATTCAAAAGAGTGTCTAAAAGCTCTGAGATTCACGTGGAGAGAAAAAAAAAGAAATTGCCGGGAAAGTAGAAGTGTAGAAGAGGAGACCACAATTACATTAGTGCAAGTGATTCATCAAGTGCCGCCTTCTTCTTCCTCTCCTTTCTTTCTTTCTGTGCAAAAGTGCTTTTCTTCTAGGTGACGATAATGCACTTCACATTTTCGTTTTCACAACGCATACGAGGGTCAGGAAAACCAAATTCAAATGGTGTTTTATCAAGTTTTCGGCAAAATGACACAGATAAGCCATTTTCTATCGGATAACAATAAATTCGATAAAAATTCCAAGAAATCACAAGTATGAGGATAACTGTGCTGGATAAGAAATAGAAGCTGACTAAGACTGCTCTCTGAGCTTTTGAAGTTTTGAAAAGCTCTATTGTGTACCTAACGGATCCTTTTTTTCAAATTTTCTTCGCTACATACACATTTGTTATTCACTCGCCGTCCCCTGCTGTCTGAATCAGAATCTGACTGACTCATCCGTAGAAATGAGTAACGCTCGCTAGTGCTCAAATGATACTCAACGCCATCGTCTCGTGTAAAGACTTCCGGCCATCTCAATAATTCAGAAGTACTAACTGACCTCCTCGAACGAATGAGCCATCATTATTTCGGCGAGCTCGTCGTCTTCGGCTGAATTGCTGCTGCTCGCTGGCTCAGATACGGCTGTCGTTTGGGCCGAGCCGATTGTGTGGATACGGTTGGAGCCTGAAAGAATGATTATAATTGTATAGTTTGTGACTGAAAATGACAGGTTTGAATGGAAAACAAGGAGAAGAAGAAGAGGAAAAAAGGAGGGGAAGAAGGAGACGAGCGTGAGCCGTGTGTGCCCATACTTCAACATTCATTTATGAACATTTTTATGTTCCCCGCCCGTCGTCTTTACTGCTGAAGAGCGGGAGCGAATCCGACACGAATTCGTAGGCTTCACATGGAGCAGCAAAAAAAAAAACGACGGACGGACAGAAAAAGGAAAGGGGAAAGCGATGGCGTATCGAGTTGTATGTGCTTTGAAACAAATTGGGTTTCTTTCCTCTTTCCTCCTGCCTGCCTTCTTCTCCTCTTTTTCAAGGCCAACATATAAATTTTATGGCTCTCCAGAAAACATAAAAGCATACGAGAGACTTATTAGATCAACTTCTAAGAATAGAATGACGAGGTAGAGGTCAACAAGCGCCATATCAAGCGGAATGGAATTTGGGCTTGAAAAAGAAGATATAAGGGTCTCCAGCTAATCACGTGCTCTTTCACACAGCCCTCTTCGTCCTAGAAAAAGCTTTTGCAAAGTAGTAGCAGTAGTAGTAGGAGAAGGTGCGAATGATGGAGACGGAGACAAAAAAAGGAGTGGAAAGAGCCCAGATATCATTTGCATTCGGTTGGAACTGGGATGGAGAAGAAGTGGGCGGAGTTCTCAGCTCTTTTGTTTGCAACTCAGAATTTCATGTGCAATGTTAGCACTGTAGAATATAACTTTAAAATATTCATCTGATTTGGAGTCTCATATGAATTATAGTTAGGCCAAATTTCAAAAGAATCTTAATAATCGATCACTTCATCACAAAATGTTTCATTTCAAAGTTGCAAAATGAGCAAACTGTGGTAGTCAAACGCAAAAAAAACTTTGATCCGGACAGGCGGCCGGCGAAGGCGGCGAGAGTTCTCACACCTCATGTATTTTTCACGTCATCAAGCTGTGGGGGCGATGCGGCTGTGAAAAACGAATATATATACATATAGATTCTGAAGGAAACGGACAATTTTTCACGACGACATTCGCTGATGAAATATGACTCCTGCCATCACAAAAGAATCCTATTCCTTGAGGAATGGAAAGATTTCCACCCCAATTGAAAATGATGCCACACGAGAAGTGGCGATGGTGAGTGTGAACTACGATCAGGTCTCGACGACGGGCTGGGGGGGACTGCTCTGACTGACCACTTTCCTCGTGAATAATTGAGAAGAAGAAGTCGTTGAGAGCCAGAGAGAGAGAGAGAGAGCAAGCAGGAAAAGGAGAAGAGTCGAGTGGAAGAGAGAGAGAGAAGGCCGCCCCTTTCTCGGCTTTTCCGCCCTTTTGCCACAAACCTCAGCACTTTGGCACATTAATATTAATACATGGGATCTCCTCCTTCCTCCTCTCCTAAAAGTAAAAAGCGACACAAAATGAAGGCGAAACGAGGAGCGTCGCGCCAAAACGTGGGGAGGATTAGATGGAAGGGGAACGCACGGACGGGCGAGAAGAAGAAAAATGGGACGCGCGAGATTAGTTTCCCTCGTTTGCCAAAAAGAGGGATGAAGAAAGGGAAGAGCTTCTCGTTTCCTTTTGCTCAGCTCACGGTCGGAATGAAAGAGAAGCTTATAATTTGGCCACTTTCAGAGTAGTCTGTCTGGGCAGGTGGTACTTGAACCAGCGATCACTTGCACCGAAACCATTTGGAAATGTATCCTGAGTACGATTTTGGAACGAGCATTTTTGATGAACTTTCAAGCAAAATTAGGAAAATGCGTGCAGCGGAGCGCGTTTTTTACTATTCGATGAAAATTCGTTCGTGGAGAAGCGAAAAACAAAAACATAGACTTTGAGATTCCAATAGAATGGAGAATATTTGATAATGTTTTCCGATTCTCTTTCTCTATTTTCTCAAAAGCATCAATTAGATGAACGGAAATGCCATCTAATTTGTATTCAAATGTGTGGGGGAAGCGGAGGAGGAGAAGCAACTCGCCATTCTCGTAGAGATCCAAAATCATGAGTCCATTGACGTTGACACCAGAAACCTCGCCCTGGTACGAGTCGAAGATCTCTGCGCTTCTGCGGTGACGCAATCTGAAAAATAGCACTTATTAGGCGTATTCTTGCCAACAAAACTCTCACCTCCGCTCCTCCAAATGGCGAGTGTTGAACGCGGCTCCGATAGAAATGCGCGTCTGCATGTTGAGAAGGACCAAGTCGGTGGCCCGTTTCGGTCGGTACCTCAACGCGGGCAGTCGGTCCACTTGAATCGTCATGTTCGCCTCGTTCCTCGAGATTTTGATGACGTGCGGGAAGCCGTCGTTCAGCGTTCGCGTGTGATAGCCGACTTTGTGATCGCGATTGCCCAGGTTGTAGTGCGCGTTGAGATAGCCTTTGTTGAGGAAGACCGTGAAGTAGTCCTGGTCGGCGGCGCATTCGATGGCGATCAGGACGCCGTTCGGCTGCGTCGTTCGGAACGAGAACACAAAATAGTCCTTGGTGGATGTGGGTCTTTCGTTGGGCGCGTACTCGTAGAAGATCGCCGAGGGAGTGCCGTCGAAACGGACTGTCGTGGAGGCTGAAGATAAAATCGAATTTCAAGTTTCCCTATTGAACTTACGATTCTGACACCGATCTCCAGAATGAGCAGTCAGACTGCAGTCGCAACGAATCGAGCTCCACAGCTGAATACACCTTCCCTGGTTGGCGCACGCATCTTCCACGCATCGGGCGATCGGACCTGAACACTCTTGTTCACTTTTTGAGCACATTGAGAGATTTTCAACTGAAAAGGTGTTCGAACAGAATGAGAAGAGTGGCAGAAAGTTGAAAAGCGATAGAGCAAAGAAGTGTAGAAGGGAACAGGGATACCGGAGTGACGGATTCGATGGACAGGGTGAGAGGGAAGAAGAGACGGAACGAATTCTGATTCTAAAATTTAATGCTCCTCATGACTACATTTGGTGTACAGTTAAAGACCGCCTGTCACTAAAAATAAGTGTGTCAGATATTTATATCATGAGATAGAGCGTTACACAGGAGTACAGTAGTTGAGGCTCCAGATCAGGCCCTAGATGAGATTTTTGAGAAAAATGATGTACTACAAGCTCATGTAACTTTTTTCGCTCTATTCAATGGTATAAATATCCTGTAATGTCCTGATCATCACTCACCACTACAGCCTCTGTTCACGTTCGATCGGCTATCCGCGTCCTCGTACAAATCCAGCGCGTTCTCATTGATTCTCAACGACGCGATGCATCCACGATATCCGTTCGACGGCCGTGAAACGCCCAGCGGATTGCTTCCAAAGTACAGTTTCCCGACCATCTTGCTCTCCACCTTTTTCACCTTCTCCACACTTAGCGTCGTCGTCGAGTTGTCGATAAGGAGCACGTGATCGCGGCTCTTCTCGTCTTGATAAATGAGCACATTGTGCCACCGCATATCGCTTAAATGTTGTCGGTAGGGCAGTTTCGGTGAGGTTGTGTGGAAATCTTGACCGGATATTCGAAAAGTGTACTTGAGGCGTCCGTTGACGATTTGCAGACGGAACGACTGATCGTAGTCGTGTTTGGGGAGGGTGAAGAAGAGAAGGGCGGAGCGCATGAGCGTTTGAAATTTGAATTGTACCCGAAAAGCGCCGGTCAGTGATGATATCTTGTCGCTAGCGAAGGCGACGTAACCCGTCGAGTTGGTGAATGATATCGAGGCGATGCGCGTTTTCACATTCCGCTGTCCCTTGCTCTCGCGGCTCGACGACTTGCCGAGCAGCGCGCTGTTCCGTTTGCTCTTTAGCAGATAATCGTTTCCATTGAACGTCAACTTTGACAGGAATCCTTTGAAGTGTTCGTCTCTGGGCGGAGGCGCCGATGGGTGTACCGAGAAGGCGACGCCGACCTCGTCAATCTCCACGGACACCGGATTCTGCAGGTAGATACTGTGGCTCCAGAATCCGTCCAGGTAAAGGAGGAGCTTCTGGCCGAGTCGACGGACTTGAAGTTCGTGCCAATGATTGTCGGACAGCGATTTTCCCCAGGAGAAGGTCTGAAAACGGTTAGAGTTCAAGTTGGCCAAAACTTGTTCTTACATTGTTCGCGGACGCATCCTGAATGAACAATTGAAGCAGACTATCATTCAGAAACACAGTAATCTTATCGTTCTTCCCGTTCGCTCCCGTATCGAACAGAACGCCACGTGTCGAGGATGTCTGAAACTGTTAATGTCCTCTTCTTTTCATTCCTCCCCCACGTACTCGAAATCTGATCTGAATGTGCTCCGCTTGTGACATTTTCGTGTGCGCCAACACGTGCACTTTCGGCTCTTCTCCGTCCACCTCGACGGCCGTCTGCTCTGCAATTCAATTGAATTCAATTTCGATTACACTCCATCGCATTTACTCTTTGAACTCACCAATCTCACATCGCTTGCCCTCAAAGTTGGTATTCGAGCAGTCACACTCGAATGAATTCAAGTTTTTAGTGCACTTTCCAAAGTTTTGACACGGATTCGGCTCGCAAATGTCGAGCTCGTTCGATAACGCACATCCGAGCTCAATTCCGGTCGAGTTGGAGCTCTCGAACTGCTGGGCAATCTTTGCGGAGACGCCGTTCAATCGAATGTTCTTGATGCATCCGATGTACCCTTTTTGAAGAGATATAGACCAGACTGAGGGCGGATAGATCAGAGAGTTGTTGGGCACGTTTCCGATGTAGATCGGATCGTCGATGATGAGGTTGGCAGAGACTCCGGGCGTGCTGAAGTCGATCTTGATGGCGTCCACGATCACACTTCCGGTCCTCGAAAGTCGGTCCAACTGGACATGATGCCACTCTCCATCGTTCACTTTTCGGGCGGTGGTCTGAAGACGAACGACGCCCGAGCCCAAGTTAATGACCAGAAACAGATGACTGTCGATTAGCTCGAATGCCACGTAGTCGGTCGCATTGTGCTGCATGACGCCGTGGTAGAGGATGAGGCCGTCGGGAAAGGTTGTTCGGAAGTGGAATGCTGAAAACTGGTAGCGAATTTTGAGAGAACTCCGGCCTGAGAACTCACACAAACTGCCGCTCGACAGACTGTTCCATCGCGGCAGCTCGAGATACGACGAAGTGTCGGTGAACGCCAACACATCAGATCGTTGTGAAGGGTTCTTGCACGAGTAGGAAAGATCTCCACCGGTCTTCACCACGCTTCCGCCGTAGCTCTGATCGGCGAGGTTCACGAAGAGAACTCGCGTGGCGTCCACGTCGAACTTCACCTTTTTCATGCAGCCTCGGAACGAGACGCGATTCACTTCTTTCGACGGATTCTGTTTGGGAATCGAGCCGAGGTAGGCGAACGAGTTGGAGATCCAATCGAGCTCCGGCGCGTACTGCCTGATCTCGTCACGTCGACCGTCCACTGTCAGTGTCATCTGAAGTGAGAAGATGTTAAGTAAGAGAAGAGAGGTGCGTCAGAGAGATGTTCGCAGAGATTTTCTTAATGTTAAAAACGAATCGAGAGATAAAGTGATGCTCAACAACTTTGTAATTTTCCGTTTTTTACGATCATGCTTCTGTGCCCAGATAATCGCGTTTTAACATCCAGTACTTGTTTCAGTAACGCAAGAATATCTCGGTGCGGGAACATGATCATGAAACCGAGAAACTAGAATGTTAAAGTCTTTAACTCTCTTTAAAAGATCAGGAAACTGTCTTTCGATTTCTGGTTTTGACAGAAGCCAAGAATCTCTCTGCGAACACCCTCTTCACAACAGAGGAAGGGGGAAAGAAGAAGGTGAGAATGGATTGAACATAGGGAGAGATTGTTGGAACTGCAACTGCAAACTGGAAATTGCGGTGGCGGCCAGGAAATGAGTTGTTTGATTGGAAAGAAGAATAAGGCATAAACATGCGGGTGAGAACCGAATGGAAGAATGGCGGAAGAAGGTGGAAGAGGAACTGAATGGGAAAGCGGTTGGGCAGAACTGCAAACTGCAAACTGCAAACCGTCTGGTGGGATAAGCTCGTGCTTTTTCGTTTTTCTTTTCAAATTCTCTCCGCTTTCACACACAAACTTACATGGATTGCCACCATTTCCTCGGAATGCTAAATGAATGGGGAGAACTAATTGTGATGTGATGACGTGGGCCGGGGGGAGAATTTAGGGGCAGGGGACTTACCATCTGAAGAGACCTCTCGAGGACTACGGTATGCCACGAGTCATCGTCGTATCGCTGCGATGGAAACGAGTTGAACATGCGGATGATGCGAGCGTCGGAGCCGTCGAACTTCGACGTGGAGATGAGGGCGCCGTCTTGCAGCATCAGGTGGAGGAAGCTCTTCTCGTCTCCCGCAAAGAACAGCATCGAAGTTCCGTGCACCGTCTTGAATGTCAGCGTCAGATTCTCCTTCTTGGCCCGCACCGCCGCCGACACATTCATCGACACGTCGTAGCCGACCCACTCGTCGCCGCCAAACGTCAGCTCCCCGTCGCTCTTCTCTGCAACGCCACTCGTTTCAAACATTCCAATCCTTTTTTCAAAACTTCCCCACCAATCTCACAATTCCTTCCGTCATGATCAGAGAACTGGCAGTCGCAGTGCGGTCCGTCGTTGGCCGAATAGCATTCTCCCTCGTTCAGACATCCGAATTGTTCGCGTGAAGACATCTGGAAGAGGTCTTTTATGAAAAGAACGGAAAAGAAAAGAAGGCGAACAGATTTCGATTTGCAATGATCGTCTTCATTGGTGCGTGTGCCGACCGACTCCAGCAGTTGGGGGGATGTGACGCCTGAAAAAAAAAACAAGCGACGTCTTCTTCTTGTTTTGTTCCCATTTCAATCCCTGGCACAACGAATCTACATTCAGAGCACACACTTCTAAGGAAGTCGCTGTGAGGAATCAGTACACACAGAGTGAAGGGTCACGTGTAAATAAATACATATTCATATAATAACTAATTCCGCATTTTCTTACTCTTCAACGATCTCATTATCTCGCTCAACTTGGCCGAGTCTTAAGAAGAAGGAACCGGGAAGAAGTGTACTGAAAAGATCTGACGACGTACCTTGCGGATATTGTCGGTACATTAGATTCCGGACATTCACTGCCAGATGACGGGCGTAGCGACGGAGCGGAGAGCTCATCACCGGCAGCATGTGCATGTTCTGAGGCAAATTTTCTATTTTAGTACTGTATTTGTGGCTTACAGGCGGTAGGCCTCCGATGAAAACATCGGAATTCTTGAGAATGTTCCCGAACACGAAGCTCCTCTGATTCAGAATCTTGAAGACGAGCGTGTAGTCCAACTCGAGCTTCACATTCTCCCACGACTGGAATATCGTCAACGTGTGCCACTTGTCGTCGTCGATCCGAACCTGAAACTGTTCCTTTTCTGACAAATGCAACACTTCCTCTTCCGTCTTCTTCTTTCTTCTCATGTTCTACACCCTTGGGAACTGCTCTCGGAGCTCACTTAAAGTATAAAATATATGGGTTTGAGATGCGGCGGCGGGAGCGAGTGTTCAAAGATCCGCAATTCAGATTTATAGTGGTTGGGGATAAAAATAAAAAGGGAAAGTACAGTACCTCCTCTATCCGAATCGTGTTCACCGGACGTCGCTGCCCGAATTCGTTCGAATTGTCACCTAACCTGCAAGCAGAAACGAAAAGTAGTTTTTCTCGGTCAGTTTTTGAGATTTTTTAAAAGTTCAAAAACGAATCGAAAGATGAACTTGTACTCTATAACTTTCTAATTGACAGTTTTTCATAATCATCTTTCTGCACCGAAATATTCTTGTATTACTGCGTACGTTTCATTCAAACACGAATATCTGGGTACAGGAGCATAATCACGGAAAAAAAACAGTCAATTACAAAGTTATAGAGCACAAATTCATCTTTTGATTAATGTTTCTAACATTACCTGAAATCTAGCTGAATGTGTCCTTCGACGATGGTGAGCGAGTAAAAGTTTCCGTGCGTGCCTCCGTCGTCCGTGTACAGCAGCATTCCATCGGATTGCCGTGTCTTCAATTCCATCGAGAGCGAGTTCTCGAACGAGTGCGCCCATTTTGGATATCTACAATCTTGAAACTGTACGTCTATTCGAACAATCAATCGCTCAAACCTTGCATAAGAGTCCGGCGCTCCGGTGAGTATAATGTTCTCGACGGTTCGAAGAGAGCCGAAAAGGGAGAGGAGCACTAAACATTTCGATAATTGTCCAGTGTCATCGAACTTTCGTCTCATTTTTGTCGCATCTGCAATAGTGGAAAGTGTGCAGAAGCAGAGAGGCATGAAAAGAGCAGCTCTGGGAACTCCATTAAAGAGGAGGAGCACAAAAAACGAAAATGGCGGAGCGGCGCGGCAAATCGGAAGATAAAGCCAACAAGGCGGAGCGGCCCACAACGACGACGTCATGAATAATTAATATTTACAATTAGAATATTCGCCCCGCGAAACCCGAGTGGAGGTCAAAGTGAAAGCGCCGCACAAAAGTAAAGAGGGCCAATTTGGCAGGCAAAAAAAAGGAAAGGAGCAGGTACGCACATTCTTTTTCGATTGCTCTTTTTCTCTTTCTCGCACTAAAAAAGGGAAGGCGAACAAGTACATGCAGTTGGTACAAATTCAGCCACCGTCCCATTAAGGTATCGGATTGCAAAATAAAGAGATCTGCGGGGGATCTGCATGACACATAGTGTACTGCAGGCAAGCAAACGTGCTCCATCGCGCTCTCGAATTCATTACAGTATTTGGAGCACTTTTGGTCACTTTCGTGGCACTTGCCGATCATTCATGAGATTGTCACCACGAGGACAATGAATGATATCCAGGCACGAAAGAAAGACGGCCCAAAAATGGGGACGAATAATAATGGAAGGCGCCCCGGAGTGAGAGAGAGAGACAATTATCCGGACTTCGCGGTGGGAACAAAACAAAGAAAAAACAACAAAAAGGGGACAAAAAGGCGAGTGGTCAAGGACCACTGGTTACACAAATTATGCGAGCGATAAGGAGGTAAAGTTTCCTCATCATCATAATTTGCATTGGATACTTGAGTGGCTTTCGCTTTTCAATGAAAATGAGAGCATAGAAGGACCCTCGATGTATATGATTAGCCTCGTTTTGAACTCGAAACGAAAACGGAAGAGACGGAAACTTTAGTAGGATCTAGCTTTAGTGACATGACGAGATGACTTTAACTCCCATGTTCCGGAAAATCTAGTAAAAGTGGAAAAAGATAAAACAAACGCTGGCGTTTGTTTTAATCCGATTCTCTTTATGTTTCAGCTCGTCCGACACAAAAGTGCATTTGCGAACAGGAGATCGCGGAATGCGATTGAATTCCAATTCCAATTGAATTTCAGTTCAGTTCATGCGTGCTCTCTTCTTTTTTCTAGTTTGGCTTCTTCTTCTACTGCTGCAGCTCCTCACACACACACACACACACACACACCAACTTTTAATCGTTGCGCCGAATCTCTTTTTCGGAACGAATTAGCTGTGAAGACACTCTCTTTCTTTATAGCTTGAGCCAACGAAAAGAGGAAGAGGAAGAAGAGAGCCGGCTCGTTTTCTGAGCTGAGCACAATTATGTGGACGATTGAGGAAAATTCTGAATTTGAATACGTTTGCACAAAAGCATTCAATCTATCAATTGCAGCCGCAGAAGTCTGGCAATCCCGCTCTACCGCTCTCGCCTGGATCACGGTTGGAGCTCGCCACGACACTCACAATATTGTTGCAGTGCTTGTACTAGTCGGGGACTTTGACCTTTTTTCGTTTGAACACGGCAGAATGACAGTGCTCTTCATACATTTATAGTATTGTTGTACCTACGGGAGAGCGAACGCGTCCACTAGACTCGTTTTGGGAAACAATTGGAAAAAGTAGAGTAGAGCGCATTTTCTCATCGGGGACAGTGGCCAGACTTTGGGGATTCTAGAAGAATGTTATTGTTCGGGATCTCGACTATATTTTTGACTTGAATTCACAGAAAATTAGACTTTCGTACGCTACAATGTCTTCTCCATAATGAGCAAGAATAACATTTCGTCTGATATCATAGAGCCGCTGGCTGACGAACAACGATCACATTTGGAACATCCCATCAAGCGGAACAGAACACAAGAAACGAAAACTTTCCAAAAGCCAAAAATCGCGCCAAAGGGGGAGGATAATTAGAGGAGCGAAGGGAGAGAAGGATTTATGGAAATGGACGTGCACCGCGTGTACGTGTCTTTTTGCTGATGGAATCATTCGAAGCAGAAGAAGAAGCCCGAGCAAGGAGGTCGCAAATGAATAGAAAAGATGGGAACGAACAAAGAAAGGTCGAAATCGAAATGAGGAGAGCGAGATTAGGCGACCGGATTTAAGATTTCGATTTGGATGGAAAAGAGAAAAAGGCATTCGGGTGAGCAAACGCGCTCTGCTAGACCGTTATTCAGAAAATCGCTCAGACTTGTCGTCGGTCCGGGCCGGTGGTTAGATCTTCATCGGCCCGGCACGCGACAAGTCTGAAAACCGTTAGTGCAAGTTCTCCATTTTTTCGGAACAAACAAGAAGAGAGTGTTCGTTCGCGTCTTGAGGCGGTGAAAAAGTATGCACAAGGGACATGATGGGTGCCTCCGAAAAAACAACACCTGATAGGCAGTTTCTCTTTGTTTTCGGGTCATGTAGGGGATATAAAACGGCAACAACAAAAACGACAGAAAGATGGGCGCGATGGGGATGGGATGAGCATGGGGGGGACCGTTAATAAATGGCCATTGCGGTCCCAAGTGGGATGAGAGTCAATCGGACGGGATACGGTGGGACCGGAGTGACGTGATTAGGAGAAGGAAAAGACGATCATAGAACAAGAAGTTAATCGGCGCAGGAATGTAATCTTTTGCGGGCGTAATGCCGGGCGACGACTTCAGGGCGAAATATGCGGCAGCACAAATCGCGGACAAAAGAGAGAGCTGGTCCCGAGAGAGACTCTGGAAACTGAGCGCGCCGCCCCGGGCGCACAGAAATGGAGTGGTTTGGCGGAGGAGGAAATGGTGGTTGTGAGAAGAGCGGCGGAAGAGACTAGACACACTTGTGACACTTGATAAACCCAGTGACTTTTCGGTGGTATCACTCAAGAGACTGTGCCCTTTGGTCCCCAAGTGACCGAGAGAGTTTTCAAAGAACCGCCAGCATGGTTTGAAGCATAGTTGCAACGGACCGGGTCGGTCGGGTCGGCGCTTGGGTCTTGACCGAAATTGTTTGCGAAAGCGCACAAATTGTCTTTTTTTTTTCCATGGGGCGGATTTAGCCAAGTATGGTTTGAAGGGTTGCTAAGCACCTGACATCAGTCTTCATCTTCTTCTTTTCATAACAACCAACCACTTATATGAGCCAGAGAACCCCATAAAACTGTCAACGAGCACAAAATGATGTATAGAGTCGAAAGTCGGCGGAGCAAAACGGGAAGTGGCTGGTTTGATTTTGAATTGGGGGCAGTCGGGGGACCCGGGGAGGAGGACCCGCCTAATCAGCACCAAATTGTGTCGAAGGGGGTCCGGAGCTCGTTCCTCTTCTTCTTCTTCCTCTTCATGCTTCATCAATTTGGCGTATCGAATGTTGTTAGTGTTGCGCCGGCTCTCGCGCGCGAGGAGCAACTTAAAACGAGAACAAGAACGTGATTGCATAAATGAGCGGACAGATGACGTCGGGAAGAGGAGGAAGACCTCTAACGGAATAAGTATATCTAGCTTTGCTGCATATGCTCTAAACAAGACTTTTTGCAACTTGGCCCGCTTGTTCATTTCGCAATTTCTCCGTCACAACTTTTTCCGCTTTACAATTAGATATAAGAAAAAGGCCGGACAAACGAATGTGTTTTGCGCCTTGCTCAAAGGTTACGGAAAAACTGTGCCACTGGTTCTCTCGCGCGCTTATATTCTATTCCGTTTCCCCACTAAAACCACGAAAATTTCGATGAACTTTGCACCAAAACTGATGGGAATCCCCATCGGACATCGCTTGCCGCGAAAAAGAATTCATATCCGAGAGGCGTAGGAACAAACTTTTTCGCGAAAGTTTCAAAATGTTCTCTTTGTGAAAAACGGCGCTTCCTCGCCAAATATATGCATTTACTTTCTCAAATAAATCAACGCGATGGTTTTTTGTGCGTGTGTGCGCGCGAGTGAAAAAAGGAGGAAAATCACGAAACGTAGACGTCAGACGGCGGTTTTCACTGCAAACGGGCGGCGAGCGAGGCAGGGAGAAAACCGAAAAAAAAACAATTACTCGCCTAATTACGTGACTAATTATATTCGTTCGTGTTCTACGCGACACGATGGATGGCTCGAGAGTATACTTGAGAGAAAGAGCCAAAACAACAAGAACGAGAGGAATAAAAAGAGGAAAACGAGAGAATGAGAAGACGAAGATCGGTTAATGGCGCACGTCGTCGAGACGACCAATCGAACGCCTACTCTTTTTCTCCAGATGCCCGAAAAGCAACGGTGTGCTGCTCTTTGCCTTCTTCCCTACTACGCGCCTTGTTGGGCGGCTCCAAATCAAATTTCGAATCGCCGTCGTCGTCGCGCGGATGCTCTCGTAACTCGTCGAGGACAAGCGAAAGAGAGGCACAGCAAAAAAAAACTATAAACGCATTGCGAATCGGAGTAAATAATGAAATGTTGCTCTTTTGAAGTATGGCAGCTCCAGAAGCGAATGAACGGATGAATAAATCAGTAAAGGTACACGGCATAGCGCGAAATGAGCGAGCACAGACAATGGCGATGCGCAAAGGGTGTCAATGCATTTACTCGTAATTTTAGCAAACATAGTACAAAAAGTGAGTGTGTATAGGTGCATTACTTATTCGTGAAGTCGTCTGTTGGTCATTAGTCAGAGTCCGAGTCGATCGCCACGCGGGACCGCTTCTTCGCCGGCTGCTTCTTCTTCGCGAAGGCGTCCGAGTCCTCGTCGTCTTCCGAGTCCGATGCCACGACCTGCTTCTTACTCTTCGTCGTTGGAGACGGAATGTCTTCTTTCTTCTCCTTCTTGACGTCTTCTTTCTTGGCAGGTTTCGAGAAGATGCTGGCCACTGGCGCTTTCTTCGCTGCTGTTGATTTTACTGGCGGCTTCTGAAAATTAGAGAAATTCATGTTTCAGTAAACAAATTTAGAGCTCACCTTCTCTTCTTTCTTTGCTGGCGACTTTTTCGGCGACGTCACTTTCTTCCTCCCCCCCTCCTCCTTCACCGGATTCTCCTTCGAACTTCCCTCAGAAGTGTTCGTCTTGTTCATCTCTCCATCTTCTTCTTTTTCCTCGTCCACTTCCATCTCTTCTTCTTCTTCTTCTTCTGCTTCTCCGTCTCCCTTTTCAATCTTCTGATTCGCCACTGCCTCCTGATTCTTGTACATTTCCAGCACTTGCTCCGAAGACGTCGCATCCTCAGCATTCTTGTCGTCGCGGATTCGCAAGAATCGCGGGAATCTTAATGAGATGCCCTTTCCGTCGTCGGTCAGCCCACTGGCAGCCGTATGACGTGGCGAGATGGTGATGTCGGCGCACTTCACCTCGAAGACAAGGGACGGAGCGAAAATGTCGTCGGGTTTGAGCGTCGGGTCGAATTGATAGTAGACTGGCGCTTTGTCGATCTTCTTATCCTGCAGGATTTTGTACTGCTCGGCGAGGTCGTCGTCCGTGAATCCGGTGCCGATCTTGCAAACACTTTCGTACTCTTCGGTCGTCGGATTGTAGCACCCGAGCAGATAGCCTCCGTAGACTCCCGTCCGCTTTCCGACTCCAGAGTAGGCGCCCATCACAACCAGGTCGAGGGTGTCTCCCACTCCATCCACGTAGTCCTTCTTCATCTTCAGCCAACTGTGCGATCGCTTCGAGATCTCGTACGTGGCCTCAGTGTCGAGCGTTTTGATCATGAGCCCCTCGCACTTGTTCATAACGGCCTCGTCGAAGAACGTGTTGATCTCGTCCGTGTCGTTCGTATCGACAGAGGTGGCGAAATAGAAGCTGCCGTCGATCTTCTTGAAGTTGGAGCGCAGCAATTCTCTCCGCTTTCGAAGTGGGTCACGGACGAGTGGTTTACCGTTGAAGTAGAGCAAATCGAAAAGGAACACGCCCACTTTGACGCCGTTGTCATCGGTCGCGTTCTTCCGTTTTCTCGTCGACAACACCTGGAACGGAAGGATCGCCCCAGTGTCGTCGAGGGCTACGACTTCGGCGTCAACGATGAACGATTCGACTCCGTCGCCGATGCACGCAGTGATCTTTTCGATAATGTCGGGATACTTGGTCGTGTTATTCTCCTGATTTCGACTGTAAATGAAAATCTGTCCGTCTTCTCTCTTGTGTATTTGCCCTCGTTCTCCGTCGTACTTCCACTCGCACGTCATCGTCTGATTCCGGAAACGACGCATGATCTCGTCGATTCCTTTGGTCGGGTGTGCCAGCATCGGCTTCAGAGGGATTCCCGGCGTCAATTTGCACTTCTCCACAAGGGCGTCAATGCCTTCCGTCAGCGCCACTTCTATGAGCCGGTTGTAGTTGGGACATTCGCTGAAAAAAGTTACTGTTCGCCAGGAAAAGAGTCAGTAAGAATGCTTACCAGTAGGCGGTTTTGATCCGTTTCACATTCGCGTCTTTCAACGTGTCCAGCTTCTCTCCGCTGATCTTTTTCTCCTCTTCCGCGACTTTTGAAAGAGTGAACGCGTGTGCTAGAGCCGACAGAACACTCTGCTCGCCAAGGCCGATTCGCATTTTGCCAGCGAGCATTCTCACCAGAAAACGAGCTTCGATTCCTTGGCACGCGATGAGCAGGCCTTTGATAACGTTCACCTTCTGGTTCATCGCCGACGTTCCACTGAGCTTGGCGATTTCGGTGAGCTTATTGAAGACGACCGGAACGGTCAACTCTTTCGGCGCCGCGAGCATTTTCTGATTCGAGCGCGATTGTTGGGCGACTGTTCCGAGGTCTCCCTTTGCTCGCAGATCCTCTTTAATCTTTCCTTCTGTTCGTCCTGTTGCCTGAGCCACTGCCTGCAATAATTTTAAGTTAGAGTGTTATGCAAAGAAAATCGACCGATACCTTAATTAATGAATTTTCAGCGATTCCGAGTTCGAGCCCTTCGTAGGATGGTCCGAGTTGATTGACTGACAAATACACGCATGCTGTAAGGTCGTCCGGTGAGAAATCTAGTACTTTTGTGAAGAACTGTGCCAACTCGTCAATTTTCTTCTTTCCGGACAATTCTTCGATTTTCTCCAATGTTACGGCAAACTCTTTGTATGGAACTCTGTGAAATAATTTGTTTTACAAAAAAAACGTATAATTTCCACTTACTTGGTGCCCTTCGCCCATTTCAGTGCTTCTTTCGCAACTTTTGTGCCAAACATCTGAAAAACGTGAATATTACGAAATCTATCAGTAAATACAGGACAGATTAGCGGCGAACTATGTTAAAAATAGAATGCATTTTCGATTCATCAACAAGATTTTGCAAAACTTAGTTCAAAAACTGCGAGCAATTAACCACTAGTAGTAGAAAATGAGGCAACGGAAGTTGTCCTTTTTAAACAGCGCGCGCAAAAACATGCAGTGGAGCGCGTTTGCAACATTTTTAAGAGGGGAAGGTTGAGGTTGAGAACTCGCCCGGTTTAGAACTGTTACGATTTAGAACTCGCAACGAAGTAGAACCGTTCGGAATAGAACTGTACGTACGTTACATTTTAGAGCTCCATAATAGAGCGCGCTTGCATTCATTGCACATTTTTCCCCCGAAAATTGAAGGAATATTCGAGCCCGTGACAGTGCCAAAAAATCGAACCTTTTGGTTTTCCTACCTCATTTTTTCGGCATTTTTTCCGACCTTTTCGCTTTCCGACCTTTTGGATTCCCACCTTTTTGGGCTTCCGACCTTTTGTCACGGGCTCGAATATTCCGTCAATTTTCGGGAGAAAAATGTGCAATGAATGCAAGCTATCGAGTTGCTAATCGAGTTCTAGAACGTAACAGTTCTACTCCGAACGGTTCTACTTCGTTGCGAGTTCTAAATCGTAACAGTTCTAAACCGTGCGAGTTTTACTTCGTTGTAGCCTCACTTGTTGATGTGCTTCAGCGTTCTTCTCTGCACACGCGGATTTTCCTCTCTGTTTTCTTCGGTTTCTGAAAGAAATGAGTGAAATTATGCGGAAAGCAACAAAGATTGTTACCGTCCAACTTGTACTCGAGCAATGCGTTTATTCCCAGCGTTTCAAGAGTGCAGCTCGAAAAGTTGTTCGCGCCTACCAAATTCTTGTTGAAGCGCATTTGCATTGTTCTTGAAAAACAAAGACCGAAATAAGGAATTATAGGTTTTTTCTGGTATTCTCATCAATTTTTATTTTTTTACAGATCGAAGAAGTCCCAAGCAAAATCCTTCTAAAAGCCCGTCAAAGATCAGTCTAGAATCAGACGGTAAGCGCAAGAAAAACGACGGGAGCAATCCGTTCGGATAACCGCCGTTGACGTTCCGCGCTTTGTGCGTGTTGGCAGCTCTGAACGTTACGGACAACACCATCACGTCGTGCCAAGCTAGAACCTGTGTTCTGTTACTGTCGAAAAAAAAGGTTCGACTTTCGAATCGGAGTTGGCAGCGAGCCAAGGACACGCCCCCCAAACAGCCTGCGGCAGTTCCAGTGAAAACTGTTTAGGGGCGTGTCCTTGGCTCGCTGCCAACTCCGATTCGAATGTTGAACCTTCTTTTTTCAACAGTAGTTTTTCCCAATTATTCGAATAAATTAAATTATTTTGCAGACACCACTTTGCCCACTATAGCAGTGCACTATCGATACGCTCAAAGTCATTGGAGCTACAATGTCTCTGCTGCGCTTAGCCGGAAACCTTTCACGTGTGTGGAGTGGAAAAAAGTCGGCTCAGTACGGGCCCGTTATCTTTTGGTTGAAATGGACGTTAACGCTTTCTTGAATCAAGAAGACTGGATTAATGTGAAAGAGGAAGGTAGAAGAGGTAATTTTCAGAGCTTTTCATGCGGTTAGTTTCAAATTTCAGAATTTTTCGAAAGAATGGTAAAAGGAGAACACGGACTGCCTCGCCAATTCTTTTATACGAACGTTGTACAAAGACTTCCGCGCCGGGCCGATCCCAACAATTCGGCTCTCTTCTATGAGTGTGTTCAAAGAGTACAACGAGAAAGAACGTACTGGAATCGAGCCGAAACACGTGGAACTCATTGAATTCGACGACGAAGAAGAGGACGATGATTCGTTGTGTGGAAGGGCGTTTGAAAGACAGGCGGGAGATGAGCGCACTGTCAAGAAACTGATCTCGGCGGTGTACATCGAAGGTTCCACGGAAAAGTCGAGGAGTACTTCAAATTGCTGTTGGATTGCGAACAAAAAGGAGACGAAAACTGGGCGACGCCTTCGATTTCCAACGTCAGGGATATGCTCGATTGTGGAATTTAAAAGTATTCAAATAATGTTGTTATAATTATTTACAAGTTTTTTATGTGCTTCGTCGGGGAAATGCTCAATGCTAACAAAACATTGCGAAACAGAACACTTCTGCTTCATGAAAACATTCCATTGAAAACATATAACTTTACAAAAGTTCACGTTTCTAAACGTTACCCGAACGTCTAATTCGTCAAAAAAAGGAAATCTCAAAAATCCGTCTCTGAAAAAAAAAGTTTTTGATGTGACCTCATTACACTTTAATTTGCCGCCCTGGCCGTGACCTTTGCCGCCCTGGCCGTGACCTTTGCCGACACGTGGCAAGTCCTCTCCTTCTGCGCCACGTTTTCACTCAGTATTCACCAAAAAGCAACCAGAATCTTCCTGCAACACCAGTTTGTGTCTCCGAAAATGCATTTGGGGCCGAGCATTTCGACGGCTGTCATGGTGATCGCGGTACTGATCGCTATAGCTTGTGAGTTTTCCTTCGCACTTCTCAGACTCTCAAAAAATACTTTCAGCGTTAAGCAGAACTGTCTTGGAAACATATTTCTGGGGATCCTCGGAAACCGCCCAATCTCCCTATCAACGTGAGCAAATTGTGCATAGAAGTTTGACTGAAAAATTATTTTTTGCAGGTCTCGTTGAATACGAAGACTCTCTCCGCGACGATATACTCTTTATCCGACACAACAGAAACACCGGAAGTGAGTTGAAATTTCTGGCGACGGTTGCGAAACATTTGCCGGTTTCAAAGTGTATGCGTAAACAAATTAATAATTGCAGATATCGATTTCGAGTTGGTGTTGCTGGACATGAGGAGAATGTCGCAAATTCTGACGGCCATGGCAATCGAAATGAAAAGTATGAAGAACGGAGCACTGCCAATGGATGAGCTGATTGCCGAACTGATGGACGTCAGATCCGCTGCTGACTTGGCCAAGTGGATTCAGTTCGACAAAAACGCCGTCGAGGGATTCGTCACGAAGCTCAGAGACTTCTCGGAGACACTGGCGTCTGTGCAGGTGCTCGGCACGATCGATGCGATGTTCCATGCGCTGGAATCGGCGAAAGAGGAGTACAATACTCTCGGCGATCTCAACGACACATCCGTCTTGCAAACTTTTTTCACTGCGGTCGAAGGAATTAAGTCCAATCCAATCAACGTCAGTCTGATCGACGACTTCGCGAGATCAACCAAAGATGCTCAATTACTATTGACGGAAGTCGGGGACCTCTCTATTTCTGTCAGCTCAATGACTGATTATGAAAAGAAGAAAAAGAAAGTGGCATTTTCGATTATAAAACAGTACGTTGACGCAACTCTCAATAAAATACCGGATATCAAGAGATGGATTAAAAGTTTTGAAGACCACCAGAAGGCCATCAATAATGGTCCTATTCTCGAGTCGCCGCAGATTAAACTCTTCGTGTTCATCCAGGACCTCATCGCTAGAAAGGAGAACGGCACTATCTCAGATCTGGACGCCTCGCAAGTGACAGCCATCAATGAGTTATACACCTCCGTCGCTCAGTTCTTCACGGATAACAACGAGGTGCGCAATCAGCTGAGAGCGATGAAGGAAGTCGCGGAATCTCGAGTTGCTCATCGGAAACCACACTTGCTCAAGCATACCACCGGCTTCTACGACGTGCGCAACGACCTGTCTTCCATGCAATCAACCTGCAACTCGTTCATGGTCCACGAACTCACTGGCGGATATCATCCTCGTTCGTTGGCTGCTGCTGTCGCGTGGCCGATGGAAGTGCTCGAAAAGAAGGTCAGTGAACTGAATGGCAGTTGGGATGGCTTGCGACAGACCGGAGCTGCTCAACGAGTCGACGAACTGGAGAAGATGTTCGAGGAGGCCGGAACTCTTGATAACGCGATGCTGGAAAGGATCATCGAGTGGGTCGGATGGCCGAATACCCCGTCTCTTACACTCATGCAAGCAGCCTACAAAAATTGCGAACAACTGGTAACCATATTTGCTGATATACAGGCAATGATAGTTTCACTCTCTGCTGTCCTGACCGAATTGGAGGATCTATCCACGTTGAGCGATAAAATCCAATTCACTAATGACATATCAAAAGTGGACGCAGAGCTGTCGGCCGTTATGAAAAAGATGGCGAAGTTGGACATCAATAAAACGATAACAAACCTGGTTGACCTGGAAAAGCCACTGACAGGTATTCAAAATAAACTCAGGGCTGCTGAGCGTGGGCGACTCCTCGACATGATCTCGGGGAATCAGACGATGCTGATAGACTTTCCGACGAAGTATGGAGGCAGAAGCTTCATCAGCTTCTTCGAACTGTTCGACACGAGCCGCCCTCAAATCGAAATGTTCAAGAACTTCATCCGGTCTACGCGCAAGATCAAGGATCAGCAGAACGATGTTCAACTGCTCGACGGCATTTCGAAGGACGCCGAGTTGATGTCCGACTCTATCGTCATCCTGGAGGACTTCCGAAAGTATCCGGAGCAGATTAATGCGAATCGGACGCTGCAGATGACGGACTTGTCCGATTTATGGAACTTTCCCTACCATTCGGGACACTTTGGAAGCGCTGTGGCCGCACTGATAGCCTTCGGAAAGATTGAGGAGAAGCGGACTGTCTTCGAGACGTTTCTGAGAGCAGGAGCGAAAGTGGAGCTGATGATTGAAGATATGCAGGATCCCGCGTCGAAGGAGAGAGTCCAGTCACTTTGGGGAAGCTTCCAGACAACCACTTCGGAAGTCCAAGACCTGCTGAGCACCGTCAAGGATCGAATGGACGCGATTCGAAGACCCTCGAGATTCGCACGTTACACTGACCGAAGTGATGAAGTCGGTCTGATACTATACCAAGACGTGTTCACCGCTGCTTACATCCAGAACTACGTCGAACTGGATGCCGAAAACAGGATGCAAGCACTCGACCAACTTCAGATCCTTTATCCGGGCTTTGATGATCTACGCAAATCAAAGGCTTCGCTAGAAGAGCTGTCAGCTCTCGATCTCGACTTTGTCGAGTTCCATGGAGCACTCTTCAAGATTCCTCTTGTGCTTCGTTTTCTGGACATTGCGCTGGAGTTGAAGAGAACAGCCTTCAGTACTCCGCCTATCGAACCGTGAGTTCACAATATAATGTGCCGTTTTTAAATCTCCATTCTTTTTTAGCGCAGCCACGCTGATTTCGGTTCCTTCTTCCGTCGCATCGGTTTTCCGATACATAAAAGGGCAAATGCCAATGCTGTGAGTTCAGAACCCCCTTCAACTAAATCAACGCGTTTTTGTTTCAGGTCAACAGCGACCATTCTGATTCTTACCGTTTGGTTTTTCTGCGGCTGCACGCTAGACAAATCGACAAGCACAGTGTACGAGAAGGGTCAACGAGGACCAAAGAAGAATCTGTTTTCCCGAATGGCGAAACAATTCAAAAAGATGGTGCGGACCGCGGTGATGGAAAAGAAGATGATAAATCTGGAAAAGACGATATTAACGATAGAGAAGAAGCACGCGGAGAATCGGAAAAAATCGGATAAGGAAAAGCTAAAGAAGGAGGACACGAAGCAAATGATATTTCTCAGAGCGTCGAATATTGTTTCTAAAGAAAAGATGGCAGAGATTAATAAGCTTCGGGAATCGAATAGGGAACGTCGACGGACTGTGAAGAACAATGCGCAAGAGAGGATTGACGCGATGGCACGGTTTCGGAAGGAGAACGACGACATCGCCAGGGCTAACGAGTACAAGTACAACAAGAACGACGATGGTGAGAACTTCTGTTCTTTCCCTTTTTCGTCTCATTCCACATTCTTTTCAGTTGACATGTACTTCTACGATCCGGATTGGTTCGTCCGCAACGGCTTCAGCACTGACGCGGCGTGCACCGTTCCCCGCGTCAAAATGGACATTAACAAGACGGTTCTGCAGGGTTATTTCGAGTGGCAACTCCAAAAACCAGGACTCATAGACGACGATTGGAGAGTGGACCGCATGGGAATGTGTACAATGTGAGTGGATCTCTTAAAAGTACTATCAGAATGTTGATACTTTGAGGTACCCGGAAATGCCGCTCATCAGGCAGACGTTGGCGATCGACAGACACGATGAGATCAGATGCTGCTACCACGCGAACATCATCATTTTCCCAATATACGGACGAGCGATCGCGTGCATGGCCCCTAGTGGACGCACAAAAGTACCGTACCGCGACGACATTTGGTTGATGATCACGGAAAACAAATGCAAGATCATCGTTATGTTGTGCAATTTGGTGGAGGACGGCGTCGGCAAATGCTACCCCTACTTCCCGGACGTTATTGGAAGAACTAAGATTTACAACGGAAGCAAAGTGACTCTGGACTCGCAAGAGGAGAAGTTCGACGGAGAGCTCATCATCCGACAGATCACGTACCAGCCAGTGGATCCAGATGTCATAGGGATAGTACCGAAGCAGACGGTGATACATTACCAGATTCCCAAATGGAAGGAAGGATCGATTCCGAAGACGGAGAATCAGATGGAGGCTGTGCGATTCGTTTACTACGCGACCCGGAGAAAGAGTAGAACGGTGAGTGAAGGAGAAATGGGGAAAAAGAACTAGATCTTGATGATTTCAAAATCCCTACTACCGCGACCTCGTTCATATTTTTCAGGTTCCGTACGTTGTGCACAGCTCCAAAGGAACCGGACGTGCTTGCTGCTTTGCTGCTATCGACTACATCTACCAGGCATCGTGCTCGAAACGCCGGAAGTGGACCCTGCCCGGACTGGTGCTGCAGATGCGTGTCATGAGATATATGGCCATCGAGACTGCCGAGCAACTCCACTTTAGCTTTCTGATGGCCTACGAGGCAGTTGTCAGGGTAGGACAAATGATGATCCCACTCTGTTTCCGCTAAACTCCAACTTTCAGGACTTCAAGGTGAATGCGACCTATACGCTGATCAATGACAACCGACAATACATGGCTCATTTTCACGACATGGGACAGTTCAACGCTGACCTACGCAAAGAATATGACGCGAAGTATGAACAGAAACTGGCACGGATCAAAGCGGACAAGACGGCCAAGGAACTGAGCATCAGAAACGATCTGAATAAGAAGAGCAAGAAGACGAAGAAGGAGGTGAAGGCGAAGTCAGAGAAGCCGAAACCAGAGAAACCGAAGCAAGTGAAAGAGAAACCGAAAGGACCAAACCCCGATGAGACCAAACCGAAGGAGCCAAAGTCCAAGGAAGCCACACCGGAAGAGCGGACGCCCGAGGAAGCTAAACCGCAAGAGCAAAAGCCCGATGATTGCCAAAAGCCCGATGATGGTCAAAAGCCCGATGATGGCCGATAATAATACGAAGCCCGAAGAGGGTGGCGAATAATTTACTTGATTTTAACTGTTTTATCTGTTTACTGTTTATACTGTTTATAAATGCATAAAGTTCATAGGAAATAAACTTGCTTCGCGATTGAACACTCTTGTTGAAAGCTTCAGAGCAGTTCATTCGGCGGACACGACAATTACAGAAAAAGAGCAGAAAGTTAGTTTATTTCAGATCGTTCGTGCACTTTCACATAACACTAGTTGGCCTGAGCAGGTCCGAACCCGGCCTCTCTCCTTCAGTAGTATTCGTATCCAGGGTGTCCGGCGTAGGTGGATCCGGATCCGTATCCATAGGCTCCATGAGCTCCGTAACGGGAAGTCTAAAGGACTTCCCGTTACCGGGAACGACAAGTCTTCACACTTCTCGGGAAAGCGCTTCTAGGGAAGTTCTCTCATCACTTTTCCGGCAATTCCAGGGAATTCAGTCTCGGGAGCTCACCCTGGTCTTAATTACCGCCGGAGATTAGTGATAAGAATGCCGACAAAGGACTGTGGGAAAGTATACGAGGCCCACAACAGGAAGAAGCAAAAGCCAGGTGCAGTGGCCACGTCCACTAATTAGAATGGCCACGCCCACAGGGGTATATAAAGGCAGAAATAGTCATTTTATTTGTTCCCGTCTCGTTTGACGTTATTGCAATGCAAGAAGTCAGCTCTCTCTCTTCCAGAAAAAGCGCATTCGTCTAAGCAAGCGCGCTCCGCCGTACTCGGAGTTCTGGCGAAACAGCGGCGGCACTGTGGCGAAACACGGTTGCTCAGCGATTTGAAGTGAGGAAACAGCGGCGAAAGAGGCGTTTTGAGGAAACCGCGGATGACCGCTGTTTCGCCAAGCTCAAATCGTGGCGAGGCCACAGCCGCGGCGCTTTTGTCGAAACGGCGGAGTAACGCCGTTTCAACGGAAAACAACGCAGTGTTCTGGCGGAGTTCTGGCGAAACAGCGGCGGCCCTGGCGAAACACGGTTGCAAGTGTGCTCGACCCGCTTTCCGCCGCTGTTTCCTCACTTCAAATCGCTGTTCTACTCCGAACGATTCTACTTCGTTGCGAGTTCTAAATCGTAACAGTTCTAAGCCGGGCGAATTCTACTTCGTTGTAGCCTCGGACGGTTGCCTCCACTGTCTCTCTAGCTCTGTTCTTAACGTTATCCCCGTTCTCCGCGTCGATTCGCTCCTGCTCCTTGATTTTGACCTTGAGTTCGGCCATTTTCTTTAAATTTTTCTGACTCCGCCCTGTATCTATAAAATCTTTTTACAGCCCTATTCTCATCACTTGTCTACCAACCAAAGAGATGTACACGGCCAAAGATGTCAAAGCGGCCACAGACGATTGGCTCAAGTTTGTTGGCAAATGGCTGGGCGAGGTGCGCGCCGTCATCGCCGTTACCAGCAAAATGCCATCGACGACAGATGCTCAAAAGGAAATTCGCGCTGACGTCTGGGTCGAAAAGATCGGCGAGCTTGCCGATCAGATGGAAGTCCGGCTCGAAGAAACGTCCAAATCCGAGTACTCGGGCGAGGTAAACAGTTAGTCTTGTTTTGTCGTCAACATGCTTGTCTTCATTCAGATAAATGCCGAACAAAACCAGCCAGTGATAAAAACTCTGATCAATGTGACAAACGAGATGAACGTGATAACCGAGCGCATGTACGGAGTACAGAATCACTACGCCAAGATTCGCCTTGCCTCCGTGTAAGCTCCGCAAATACAGAGTGTTTCAATATTTTCAATATTCAGCGAAAGACATCTTCTTGCGGTCTTCGCTGATCAGGAATCCGAAGAGGCGGCGTTGAGAAAACGAATCGCCGAACTCGAGATCAAAATCAAAGAGAAGAAGGAGGAGAAGGCGCGCAAGGAGCAAGAGCGAATCGACGCGGAGAACGTGGCTATCGCTAAGAAAAGAGCGAAAGAGGCAGTCGACGGTCAGTTAAGTTGAAGAAAAGTGGGAAAACGTCCGATTAGAGTTTTACAGGGGATTGTATGCGAAAAGAGCTCTTGCTCTGGAGAAAGGCACCCGCGACAAGAAGGAATCCACGGAGATTGTGAGCGCGTCCGACAACGACAACACCATCATTGAAGACGAGAACAGGAAAATGAGAAGACGTTCGCGAAGTGTCAGCCGCATGATCGTCAAAGCCGTGAAGGTAAGGCAACAAATTTGTACTGTAATCATCGTAAAATCGTCTGCAGAAAACCGTTCGTCGCAGCGTCTCGGCGGTCAACCACTTCCTGGAATACGAGGAGAACCATCACCAGCATTAGTCAATCTCATCCCGTTTGTTAATATTGTAATTTAATTTTCCCCGCCCCACTGTTTCATATTCCCAACATTTATCGCATTTCATGTCAAACTTCATTTCATTTATAATGAAAAGCGTAACACGCTTCAACCTTGTTCGCTTTGCAAGTTCTTCGCTTCTCACTCTGTCCGGTCTCGAGTTCGAGGACTAACGTGAATTAACAGGCAAACCGCTAGATTATTAGACAGGAGTAAAAAAGGTTTTCGCACTATGCAACTCACTTGAGCTGAATCATACCCCACTCAGCTAAAAAAAATGACACAAACAACCGAGAACCACATATTTAGCGGGGGTAGGTCAGAGAGTCTCGCAGCGATGCGACAAAGTTTTATCTAATAGTGGATGCGCCTTTAAAGTGTGCGTGTGTGGCGACCAGAGTTCAGCGGAATTCCGTCTTCCGTCTTCCGTTTTGTTCACCTGGGCAAAGAATCCCGCTGGGGCCCCGCTCGCTTGGGATTTCGGAATTCTAGCTGGTTCAAATGAAAGCACGATACACATTGATGTGTCATAGATATTTTATTAGAAATAAAAGTAATTTTGATGACATGAAAATTCTACTATTGGGGCTCTTCAAAAGTGAACGCGCTCTGTTTCAATTGTCATCTCCAGCCCGGCGCCAATTAAAAACAAAAAATTCATCCAGCCTTGAAAAGAGAAACTGAATTTCGTTTCGCGGCTGCAAAATTAGAAGATCACAAAAAGAAGCATTTCTCAATAGAGAGCACATTCACATTGAAATGCCTTGAGAGTATTTTTCCTAGAATATACAAAAATTACAAGTGTCCATTAGTTTCGTCATAAAGACTGATTCTGTCGCCGAATTTCCACAGAATTTCCAGCGAATTCCGTGAAGTTTTTATAGATCGATCTCCTTCTCTCTAACTCCTGTAGCTTGTAGAAATTCGTACCGATATTTGAGCAGAATAAAGAAAGTGCTGAAAAATGGACATGTTCAAAGTGATTGAATAGAAAAATTGCTTACCAAGTCCCGCGGGAATGTCCAGATTGCTGCCCCTTAAGAACATTCCAGCAATCTGAACAGTTCCGACTCTTGTGCTCGTACCAAGTGTTCTCGTGTATCCAATCGAGACAAAACTAGAAGATCTTAGCCTATAGAAGTAATGGAGACACTTGGGGCAACCTGACAACCCCTACAGTCGAGGAAAAGTCGGAAATGCCCAAATTGCTGCCCCTTAAGGACATGTCAAATAGTTTCCGTTTTTTCCGATGAAACCGATTTATTATATGTTCCGAGTGATCAAGAAGGATCAACTATATTCGGCTCTTGGAGCAATCGGTAGACAGCGAAACCGATCATTATTGCGAGTATGAAAGCGTACAGGTCGTTGTGCTGTTCATCGTTATCATCGAGATCGAAATTCTGAAGCTCATTCTTCTCCCGTGCTCGACCCGAATTGAGATCACTCACGGTGTCCTCTTCTTCATAGAAAGCAGAACCATTAGAAGGCATCTGACTCTGGCTCTTAAAAACGCTGCAATAATTTTTTCCTACGTGGAAGGACACGTTTTGTTTCACATTTCCCGTCTTGTTTTGTGTATTTTTGGCGAAAATTAATGTTGGTCGTTCGCAAATGTGCGGCACACGTGCGAATTTGCGTGCGGCAATTGCATTCTAGGGCTCCACCCACTCTTTCAACGAAATTCGAATTTCTAATGTCTTTAGTTTATTTTTACGCCAATACCTTGCTTTTTAAAACATATTTGTAACGGAAAACATTCATAAGGCTTGAAAAAACGTTTTCAGTATTGATTTTCGTATAAATATTAATTTTCAGGCAGAATAATGTCAGCAACAGCGTCAGACCCGTACGATCAAATTCCAGCAGCCCCAGCAGATGAAGATATAGGTATTGAATATCTTGAAATGGAGTTTAGACAAAAAGGTAATTTCCAGATGATAAACCAGAAGCCGATAAGAAAGCCTTGCTGAATCAGGTGTTTCGATCGTTGAAAAGAGCAAAAGATCTATTTTATCACGATTATACACAACCGCCAGTTCTGCCCGAAGAAAAGTGAGTGTATTTAGTTTTTCATTTCATAGCTCCAACATCGCCTGTTTTTTCAGTGACGGCCTCATTCGATCGATAAAACGAAAGCACGAGTACGGAAGTGTCATAAAGCAAGTGGAAGAGGGGAAAAAGAAGAGAGAAGATGAGATGCTCGCTCTTCCGACTTCTCAGCCATTTAACGGCAGCGGATCAGTGATTGCGGCGGCAGGCACTCCATTGGCTATCACCGACGGAACTGGAAAACTGGTGAATCAGCAGCAAGCAGGCAATAAGGGAAAGATTCTTCCTCTGGTACCGCTCGGAAGCACGTCGAGGGGAGATGACAACACGACTCGCTCGCTTCTTCCGTCGAAGGCGCCGATGATGATGAAGCCGAAATGGCACGCACCGTGGAAGCTCTATCGTGTGGTGTCTGGTCACACCGGATGGGTCAGAGCCGTCGACGTGGAGCCGCAGAATCAGTGGTTCGCTTCTGGAGGAGCGGATCGTATCATCAAGATTTGGGACCTTGCCACCGGACAACTCAAGCTGTCGCTGACGGGTCATATCAGTTCAGTAAGAGCCGTCAAGATCTCTCCAAGACATCCGTTCTTGTTCAGTGGGGGAGAAGACAAACAGGTTTGTTCTCGTAACGATTGAAACGCATACAAAAGTGTGTTTTCCAGGTCAAATGCTGGGATTTGGAATACAATAAAGTGATTCGCCACTATCACGGTCACTTGAGTGCAGTTCAAGCTCTTTCCGTTCACCCCTCACTCGACGTTCTGGTTACGTGTGCTCGTGATTCCACCGCCAGAGTCTGGGACATGCGGACCAAAGCTCAAGTGCATTGCTTCGCCGGACACACGAACACTGTCGCCGACGTCGTCTGCCAATCTGTTGATCCCCAAGTCATCACCGCCTCACACGACGCGACCGTCCGTCTCTGGGACCTGGCCGCCGGCAGATCGATGTGCACGCTAACGCATCACAAAAAGTCTGTGCGCGCTCTCACAATCCATCCCCGCCTCAACATGTTCGCATCGGCGTCGCCGGACAACATCAAGCAATGGAAGCTGCCGAAAGGCGAATTCATGCAGAACTTGTCCGGACACAACGCTATCATTAATACTCTGGCGTCGAATGACGACGGTGTCGTTGTGTCGGGCGCCGACAACGGAACACTGTGCTTTTGGGACTGGCGATCCGGATTCTGCTTCCAGAAGTTGCAGACGAAACCACAACCGGGATCCATCGAATCAGAAGCGGGAATCTATGCGTCATGTTTCGATAAGACCGGGTTGCGATACATTACTGCCGAGGCTGACAAGACCATCAAAATGTACAAGGAAGACGATGAGGCGGTCAGTTTTTTACAGAACTCGTGAAGTTTTCATTGAATTTAATTTTTTCAGACCGAGGAAAGCCATCCGATCGTTTGGAGGCCGGAAATTGTCAAAAAGAAGACGTACTGAAACATCTACTCTGTTTTTTCTCTGTTGTTTTTTATCCTCTTTTATACCCTCCCGTTCCAATTAAATTATTATTTCTTCTTTCTTCTCGTTCCCTGTTCATTTTTAGCATCCTGTTAAATTCGGGAGTATTATTGTCTTGATTTATAGCATAATTTTTTCTATTTCAAACTGTTTTGCAGATGGCGAATCGCACGGAGAAAACTGCAAAAACCGTAAAAGGAACGAATCCGCAGTTCCTTGTCGAAAAGATCATTCGCCAACGTATCTATGACAGCATGTACTGGAAGGAGCACTGCTTCGCGCTTACAGGTAACCCATTTACAATCGTTTTACGCATAATGCGTGTGTTTCAGCTGAACTCGTCGTCGATAAAGGCATGGATCTCCGTTACATCGGCGGAATCTACGCCGGAAACATCAAGCCCACTCCGTTCCTGTGCCTTGCGCTCAAAATGCTCCAAATTCAGCCGGACAAGGATATCGTGCTCGAATTCATTCAGCAAGAAGAGTTTAAGTACATCCGTGCTCTCGGAGCCATGTATCTCCGACTCACGTTCGAATCGACAGAAATCTACAAATACCTGGAGCCATTATACAACGACTTTCGCAAACTGAGATTTATGAACAAAATGGGACGGTTCGAGGTGATTTACATGGACGATTTCATCGATAATCTGCTGCGCGAAGATCGTTACTGCGACATCCAGCTGCCACGTCTTCAAAAAAGATGGGCGCTGGAAGAAGTCACGTCGCTGCCACCGTACAAATCGCTGCTCGACGGAGATCTCGTCGCGTTGTCAGAGTCCGAAGAGGAGGAAGAGGAGGAGGAGAAGAAGGAGAAGCCGCGTCTCACTTCGAGGCGGCGCAGTCGCAGTCGTGATCGTGAGAGAGAAGTGGGCGACAGGAGAGGTGTTCACGAGCGGGAGAAGCAGCGGGAGCGTCGCGAGAAAGGCGACGACGAGCCGGGACCGAGTAGCAGCAGCAGCCGACGCGACGAGAGGGACGATCGGAAGAGAGATCGGGATCGCAGCAGGGACCGAGACAGGGAGCGCAAAGACAAAAGAGGTTCGGATTAGAAATTTTCCTTAATGCTTTCGAATGACCTCGTCTCCTTTCAGACGATGATCGCCGCGACCGCAAGAAAGAATCACGTCGTGGCGGCGGAGACAACGACGAAGAACGCGAGATTGCGGAGGCGAATGCCCTGCGCGCCAAGCTCGGATTAGCTCCACTCGAGCGATAAACACACGATACACTTTTAAAATAACTCTTTTCACTTCATTTCTCTCGATTCGACCCGAATAAATCATAATAATGGTGGCGGTGGTCCCCTCGACATGCGACACCATGTAACCCGACATTTGTCATACTTGCTGGCCAGACACCCCGCCGCTTTTCATTCCATTTCTGACTGAGCGCCCATTTGTCAAAAGTGCACGCGCGTCATGTAAGTGCTCTCCTTTTGTTCGAACCTGCAAAAAACGCGGCAGCAATCGGAAGCGAAGAAAAAGTTTGTCTTCTGCTTTTTCTTCTCTTCCCGTCCGCCCTTTTGGCGAATTCTGAAGTTTTCTAAAAAAAATGTCATTCGAAAAACTTCTGATGAGCCTGCCGGGACACACCGAATGCGCGTGCTTGCCGCTCTGCGTCGACTGCCAATCACGGTACTGTTATTCGGAAAAAATACGTGAAATTTGCTAAATTTACATCGAAATGAACATTTTCAGAGTGGATGAGTGCGTCAGCGGACGGACCGCCAAAAACGACGATATGAAGGCGAATTTCGGCAAAAAAGAGGGCGAATACTCGCGATTGGTGAGCAAATCGAGCAACAAACTGCTAAATTCGCTGTGGGAAAAGGTGAGAGACATTTGTATCGCAAGACATTCAATTTTCCATCCGGGCGACTAAAAGATTCACAGACCCTGAAAGTTATCTCTCTCTCTCGCACTTTGCAAGCCGGACACTCATCTGGTTTTTTCAGGTGCAAGCCGGACACCCGCCTGGCGAATGTCCGGCTTGCACCTCACGGAGCCTCAGAACCAGGAACACGGAGCACTTTTGACTCAGGTTTATTGGGCGCAAGGATGTCCGATCAAAAACCGGGCGAGTGTCTAGCCACCCAAAAACAGACGTGCCCCCTCTGCCGTCCCACCATTTTATGGCTTTCAGAAGAAAATTCCGGAAGAAGGATGGAGCGAGCACACACTCGACCTGTTCCTCTCGTGGCTCTCCTCTCATGACACCAACAATCGTGTTGATATGGTGAGCGTGTATTTGAAACAGCATCCCATATTCCGTTCGGTTCCCTTTTCGCAGATTCCGGTTGGGGCTGGTGAACGAGAAGGACGAGTGCTGACTCCGCTCGTGCAACGCCTTCATTCCAAGTATGACAGACTACACAAGTAATTATAGAAATCTTCATGTTTTAGCTTGACGCATGGCATCGGAAGAAGCGGAAACCTTCTGGAAATCCAACCGAAAGCCCTCGGATCCTCGATGCTCGCGTGTCTCTCCAACGAATTCGCCAAACACGCCCTTCACCTCCTCGGCCTGCACGAAGTGAAAGCCTGTGTCGTGGTGCCCCTTTGCACCGGAATGTCCCTTTCCCTCTGCATGACCTCCTGGAGGCGTCGCCGTCCGAATGCCCGATATGTCGTGTGGCTACGAATTGATCAGAAATCATCGCTCAAAAGCATCTATCACGCCGGCTTCGAGCCCATTATTGTGGAGCCGCAGCGAGACCACGACGCGCTCATCACTGACGTCGAGACGGTCAATCGGATTGTAGAGCAGAGGGCCGACGAGCTTCTGTGCGTGATGACGACGACCTCCTGCTTCGCGCCCCGATCTCCGGACAACATCGAAGCTATCTCGGCGATCTGCGCCGCCCACGACGTCCCTCACCTGGTCAACAACGCCTACGGACTGCAGAGCGAGGAGACGGTCCGGAAGATTGCGGCGGCGCACGAGTGCGGAAGAGTGGACGCCCTCGTGCAGTCGCTCGACAAAAACTTCCAGGTGCCCGTCGGAGGAGCTCTGATCGCCGCTTTCAAGCAGAGCCACGTGCAGGCGATCGCCCAGGCGTACCCGGGAAGAGCGTCTTCCGTGCCCTCCCGAGACCTCGTGCTCACTCTTCTCTTCCAGGGACAAGCCTCGTTTCTGGAGCCGTTTCAAAAACAGAAACAGTACGTTTATATGCATGGGCTGTACGTTAAAATTTTTTTATTAAGGATGTTCCTGAAAATGCGCCGAAAACTAAACTCGTTTGCGGAGAACATTGGCGAGTGCGTTTATGCCGTTCCGGAGAACGAGATCAGTTTGGCGATGACTCTTTCCACCATCCCGCCCACCAAACAAACCCTCTTTGGATCTGTCCTCTTTGCCAGAGGAATCACCGGAGCCAGGTACGGGTCATGTCCGACCCGCTCTCGAACTGTTCCTTCAGAGTCGTCACTTCAACCCCATCAAAAACGTCAATCGAAGGATGCGAATTCGTGAACTTTGGCTCGCACACGGCGGATCAACACGGCGGCTACCTGAACATTGCGTGTGCGATCGGGATGACAGAGCACGAGCTGGAGGAGCTGTTCACTCGGCTCGCCTCCAGCTACGCAAAGTTCGTCCGACAGTTGGCCAGGGGAGAGAGTTCGTCGGGACGGCGGCTTCCGATGAACGAATCGTTCGATATGGAGAACGATTGACCCTTTTTTTTAAACTTCCACCTCATGCTTCCAGATTCTATCCCAGTGCTTTATTCAGTCAGATTTTATTCTTTCAGACGGGTTCTCCATCGTAATAAATTTAAGCTTTCAACCCGCTACGAGCACGGTTTGCTTCGTTGTACATTTTTGATAAGAGAAACTGATAGGCGGGTCGAGAGTCATGTGAAAGCGGTAAGACTCGTGACGCAATCGATCAAAAAAGTTTCATAGAAAGGGAGCAGAAAGCATTCATTGGTACCAGCTGGAAAATGATGAAATTATTAATGTTTGCCAGCTCGTGCTCTTTCTCTACTCCCTCTCCTCGGGCGTCGTCCGGAGCCGGTACTCCGTGCTCGTGACGGAGGTCAAACTTCGGTGATAAGCCGGAGTGGAAGGGAAGGGGCGTATAAATTAAAAATGAATGATATTCGGTGCAAACGCGACCGATTCAGCACGTTTGATAACGGTATTAGCATAAAAAGAGGCGCGGAGAAGTTTTCTTCCGATTTCTTCGTTTCCTCCTAACCCAACACCGTCTTTTTCAACTGATTGTCAGAATGGTAAGTCTCCATTGACTTCGGACCGTTTTAAACCTTTCTTCATTCAGAACTCGCTCGTAATGACCGCCGCCGTCGTCACTTCCTACTTCAATAGTCCAGTCAGCGTGCCCGAAGAGACGGATCTCAAGGAGCCGAAGAGAACGGAAGAGGCGCCGAATGTGATCGATCAGGAAAAGCTTCTCGATGAGAACATGATGGAGTGCTTCTTGGAATTCCTCATCGAATTCTTCAACTAATCCGCCAGGATGTGATGTTATTCCGAAACTGTGAAGTGTATTCACATTCTGTTGTGTAACCTCTATGAGGTGTTTGTGTTTGCTAACGTTTAAAATAAACTTGTTCTTGAAAGCCCTTCACGGTACCATTCAATATTGACCTTTTAATTTTATCGTGAAACGAAAAACGAAGATACAAATTTATTTCGAATTTCTACTCGACTCGTTTGCTCGCCGCTTATTAGCATCTTTGCCCAATGACCAGACAATCGAAGGTATCCTTTTCCGATCCTCTCGAACATCATCCATCCTTCAGAATCATTCTCACATCTGGGACAACGTGATGGGAGGCTCTCGCTTCTATTCATCCGCTTTTTGCGACACGACCGGCGGCTCAACCGTCAGCATTTTGGAGTACTCGCGAGAGGAGACCACCGTGGCCACCGAGGAGAACCGTAATCGGAATCGAGAGCCGAAGCAGCCACGTCACTACCCGACGTACCCGCCGAAAGTGGTGTTCGTCGGAAAATCGAAAAAGAACGAAAAGGTGAATAAGGACGGTTATGGATACGTAACGAACCGGGAGAGAGAATTGGCCGAGCAGCCGACCTCCCTGCCCCCCTGGAAGTTCGAGCCGGAGAAGAAGCAGAAGGTTCGTCCTGAAAAATAAAGCTATTGACAACAGAACACATCAGCTTCAGTACGAGCCACACGCCGCCGCACAGGCTTTCGATGAGTACACCCGCCGTGTGAACGCCAGAAAGTTGAAGTTGGAGAAGGAAAGAATGAGAGTGAACGGGATCTTTGAGATCGAGAGACTGACCAAGAAACGAATCACTGACTGCTCGAAATCCTACCAGCAGCTGAATCTGACCAATTGTCGGAACGATGAGATCAAGATCGACGCGTTTGTAGAGAAAGTTTCGGAAACGTCGAAGCTCGATCTCGGAAAGATTCAGAAGACGCAGAAGGCGAAGCCCGCATTCTACGGAACGATTGAAGCGGAAAAGTGCGCGGAGAAAGCGGCGGTGCACATTTCGATGGCCGCCGACAACCTGGAACGTCTTCAATTCGTCGCCGGCGTCGTCTTCCCGGAAGGTTCTGAGCATCTGAAGAAGTTGCAAGGGATCGAGAACGACATCAAGGAGTTCAACGTGCAGCTGGGTGCGCATCGCGTGAAAGTGCCGAAATCGACGGCGCCCGCCCAAGCCGCTCACTTTGTGATCACTGAAAGTTGCTTTGACTAGACAATGAAACATTTCTCTTCGCGGTGTTCCTTTTTTCAGTCCCTTCTAATTCTGCTAATAACTTCCACGACCAAATCATTTTGATCGACCAAAAACGAATCAAAACATGTCATTTTTCTGCGGTCTCTATCAAACACGATTAATTTAATTACATATTCCAAGCACACTTCTCTGGACAGCTGAAAATTATTCATCTCGGTCGTTTGCTTTTCAGACTCAATTCACATGATTCTGCTCCTCAATGTGCCACAATGAAAGCTTCTTCGCTACTGATCAGTTCTACGCGAGCGCTCTCCACGTGCTCACCGCCATCGAAATTCCCGTTCATACCTTCGGCGCGTTCATCATTGTGGCGCGTACTCCGAAAAAGATGTCGACTGTCAAACGGAGCATGTTGGTGCTCCACTTTGTCGGCGCCTTCGTCGACTTGTACCTCAGCTTCATCGCCACTCCCGTCCTCACTCTTCCAGTCTGCGCCGGTTATCCATTGGGATTTGGCCTGGTTTTAGGCATCCCGACCGCTGTTTTAGTCTATTCAGGAATTAGTTTCGTTGGAGGTAAACCTCTCAACATACTTTGCGAGATAGCTTCAACGCTCTCAATTCAGTGATGGGAGTTTCCATTCTTGTCTTCTTCGAGGATCGCTACCATCGTTTGGCTAATCGCCATGGATCAAATGGAACGAGAAACTGGAGACGGAAAATCTACATTATCTTTCATTACATTTTATCCCTAGTATTCATCCTCCCTGGCTATCAGACGATCCCCGAGCAAACTATGGCCCGCATAGCTGCTCAGCAGGTGAGTTTAGAGCTCGTTGCAAACAGAAATCAGAAGTCAGAAATCAAAAAACGTTCCAGATAATTCCGTGCCTGCCCGCCGACGTGCTAACCCGTCCCGGCTTCTTCGTCCTCACCATTGACAACACAATCCCGTGCCTCTGCATTCTGTTCCTCGTCGTTTTCGTCGTGCTCCAAATCTTCTACTTTGTCATTTCTATCTCAATGGTCCTTTTCCGGACGGTTGCCAAGTCAGAAGTGACTAATCGTCTTCAAAGAAAGTTCTTCGTCGCTCTGTGCCTTCAAGTATTCGTGCCCATTGTTGTTCTACTCGGCCCCGTTCTCTACGTGGCACTCGCCATTTGGTTCGACTATTTTAATCAGGGTGAGTGAACGTTAATGTGATCCGACTCAATGTTCCTTTCAGCCGGGACCAACATAGCTCTCGTCGTGATGGCGCTACACGGAGTCGTCTCCACCGCCACCATGCTTTTCGTGCACAAACCCTACCGAGACGCCGCTCTCCTCATGCTCCGTTTGACCTCCAAAGGAACTGTCCACGACTCGGTGCTTGTTGGAAGGACCATCGGCGCACAATCGCTAGTGCTTTAGCGTTTTGTAGTTGTGGTTTTTTTTAAACATTTTATGCAGAATGAAGAGTGCAAATCACTTAGGCTTCTTTTCGTTCTTCTCGTCGGTCTCTCCCTCGTTTTCGTTCGGCTCGTCGAACTCCTCCTCCTCCTCCTCTCCGTTCATCGGAATCAGCAGCATTTGGTAGGTTCTCTGAAAGTTGAGGTACTTTACACTGACTGAGAACTGTTAATAGTTTGCACTATAGAACCTTATAGGGGGTTACATGTGAACTTCGCCACACGCAATACCCATAACCATATACTCGGTAATGTTCGGCCCAGCTACTCCACGGCTCTTAACTAGAAACTGATTATATAAATCGTATTGTATTATCTTATCTGTATAGAGCTCGTTGATAGAACACATTTCGAACTCCCAACTTGAATGGAAATTCACCTTTTCCCCGCACTCACCGAGAAATGGACGTGACGCTCGGCCTTAAACTTGACCATTTCTTCCGGGAACGGCAGAGCCCCATCTCCGGCCTCCTGTTCCGTCTCGTTCGAAGCGATGCAACCCATTCTGCAGGGAATTGACATTGTTCCTAAACGGACTGCTCGTTTTTCGTGGACTTACATCTGAGCTGACGCGGTGGTTGACATCCCAAAGATGGATTCGAATTCGAATTTGAGACCGGAAACGGAACAAATGTATATATCGAGTAAGAGATGAGGGCGAATGGGAACAAGAGATGGATGATGAGAAAAAGGACGAAGGAAACGACGAGACCGAGCACGTGTTGTTTTGAGAAATGGGGGATGCATAGAAACGGAATGTTTGTCACACTGTTTTCTCTCTTTATCTTTCGGTTTCGAAAGTTTGTTTACTCATGGATGACGGTAATCGATTGGATTTATTCGTTTAATGTATGGGAAAGCGAACGATAACGGAGGCGAACCAAAAGTACAGCACAGCGAGAGGGAGCGAGAGGAATAATGATGGGAGCGGAGAGGGGCGCGGGAGGGAATATGCAGAATCAATCGATTGGCTCAAAGATGTCGGTACGGTCGGTGTACGTCCAAATGTCCGGTAAATCCTAAAATGTTCTCTTTTTCAGGTAACTTTAACAACTGTCTCAACTTACACTAAACCGCACTCTCTTCTTCTTCTTCTTTTTCTTCTTCTTCATCCTCTTTTTTGTCCTCTTCACCTCATCTTCGATATGCTCTTTTTCCTTCGCCTTCTTCGAAAAATAACCGCCCATGCCAAAAAGTCAAGAAGCACACAGAGCTGTTGAAGCAGAATCTGCTAGATTTGAAAAGAGAGGGTGTCTCTCGTTTATTAGAAACCATAAAAGTACCCTAATGGACCACGTTTATTACGTTTTTGAGGGTTTAACACGAGAAGTCGTTGCAGTGTTCATTAAAGGAATGTACTGAGATTTGAATGAGCCACCACGCTTCTACAAGGATTTCAGTACAGGGACCAGGCCCATTCTGATTCGAGTTGAATATTAGTCAGCCACGAAGTTCTTGTTAATCATTGTTTTGTATCCCGTGCTCCCATCGTTCTCTTTCCTTTTCAGATGTGATCGGCGCGGATGCCGACTCGCTCCGATTACTTGCCGTTTCATGGTATCGGCAAATTTTCCGAGAGGGTAAAATTTTGAAGCTTTCTGCAGATTTGCAGAAAATCGATTGGAGGGGCACACCGTCCGCGCATTCTGGAAAAACGATGAATTTCCCCTTCGATTCTCCTGTATTCAGTCAGTTTTTCTTCTAATAATTGCTCTGTTCTATTCTCTTATTATTATGATTCATGTGAGTAAATGAAAAATTTCTGCAGATTCTCTGGAAACTCGATTGCAATCTAATTAGAAGAATTTGCAATCTAATAAGAAAAAGCTCTATTTCGCAATCTAATCAGATTTAATTGAAGTTCCAGTAAAATCGTATTAGATTACAATATATTTTTCCTGAATTGCAATCTAATAAGAAAAAATTGCAATCTAATTAGAAAACATTGTAATCTAATTAGAAAAATTTCAGTGATTGCAATCTAATTAGAAGATTTTGCAATCTAATTGAAGCAAATTCTATTTCAAACGAGTTCGTATTAGATTGCAAAGTTTTCTAATTAGATTGCGATCGAGTTCCCAGAGTTTATCGAAAATTGGCCCGATCCGAGTGAATTTTGGAAAAATTATCGACATTTCTGTAGTCCCCATCAAGTGTCCAGTGTTTCTGAGCTTCTTAATGACTTTTTTGAGTTTGCAAATGAGACAATCGAAGACAAAGAAAATGCTCCCAAAGTTCGAACGTTTCGCGGATGCAAAATTAGGCCCCGGAGATCACGAAAAGAGGGGTTTCTCAACAGAGCGCATTCACATTGAAATACCTATATATATAGGTATACCTCGAGAAAAGTTATTTGCCTTTCGTTATCAGTTCGCAAATAGTCATTTCTTTTTCATTCTTTCTCCGCAATTCCTTTGGGCCTTCAACACTTCCCTTCATTTTACTCTAATAATCATAGATAAAAATTTCAGAGAGAACGAGAAGCCTTCCCAAGCCGTGTCTATTTAAGATGAGCGAACAAGCCCGCCAAGAATGGGACAACGAGAAGAGAGAAGCGAGAGAAAGGCTTAGAAAGTGTCGGAGCAAAGTGGGTTTTGTTTCGCTTTGTAACGGTTTCGTATGTTCGCACATTTCAGCTTCGAGAATTTAACGAGGATCAGTTCAAGGTGGCCAGAGGGCAGCACACGAAGGCTTTGACCAACTTTTTCGAACTCGAGAGACGACAAGCCGAGGGATGGCATCGACAAACGACAGAAAATAGGCAAGAGCTACACTCCCTCGAGAAGAGGATTGCAGACCTCAAGATGCACGCGAGCGTATATCGGCAGAATATTCTGATCACTCGAGACAGTAGTCAAAAGAGCAGTGAGCAGGCACAGCTGTTGTCGCTCATCAAACGAGATTCCGTCTGCGTTCAGAAGAAGCTCGAGCGACTTGCGTCAATTGTGAGTTGAATCCCCAAACTCGAATAAAAAAACAAATTAAATGCTCTATTTGAACAGGTCAAGAAAAAAGAGCACAAGCTTCTGCTTCTGATTCAGTTAGTCATCGACAAGTTGAAAAGCATCTGCAATTGTCTTTTGTTGGATGTGAAGAAACTGAAGGACATTTCTAATGAAACCAGGAAACAAGTGAGTCTTCACAAAAGCTCCCACTAGCATTACCCCTTCAATTCAGAAAATATGCCAACAAGTAGACGACCTTGTGATGGATGTCTTTGACCAATTAGAAATTCTACACACCGAATGCGAGACACACGAATGCGAATGCGAGACGATCGGGGTAGAAATGAGTGGGCGGTAGAAAATGATTGATCTTTCGGTTTTCAGAGCGAAGGAGACAGCTATCCTGAAATGAAGACAGTGATTGGAGTGAGTTGGAGAGAAGTTTTGAAGCTTCTGAATTCGATATGAGCATGAACGCTTTCAAAGGTTCAACAGTAGTGTATGAATTTTTTCTTTTAGTAATATCTGTTCTCTTTACAGGATTCCATTCTTTCCGTTTTTATTCATTCTCGCTTCTTGGCCCAATTCCTGTGTCTTGTTAAAACTTTCGAGTCATTGCTCACCGTTATTTCATCCTCTCACTCTCTGCCGTCTCTGCAGTTTTTTACTCTCCATTTCCACCGCATGCTTAGTTATAAACTGTTTATCAAAGGTGCTGCCCCGAATCAGAACTGCCACGAATCAGAACTCCTTATGGCAATACTTCCTAAATCAGAACTCCTTCTTTTTTTTCATTGGCCAACCACCAATCACTTCTGTGGCGTTTGCCTGTCCTTTTGGCATGCTTCACTCTGTAATTCGACACAATTCTGATACGAACCAGTTATATTTCAGGTATTCGCAAAAGCAAAACGCGCAAAATATAATAAAACTATTGAAAATAAAATATAAACCCGTTTTCTTGTATTAAAGCCTCATTGCTCAGCGAAAAACGCAGTGAGAAAGTTAGTCCGCGGCCAGCTACAATATCCCGGAGATCCTGGATCAGAAGCTTTCCTATTCATTTTCGGTTTTTTTGAAATTAATATTGTCAAGGTGGTATTAATTTGGTCAGTTCTGATTAGTACCAGTTCTAGCTCGAAGAGTTCTGATTCGTGGCAAACGTTTGATCGAATTGGTTGAAGGATATAAACTTGGAAGAGGAAAGGGGAGCATGAATAGTCTCCGAAATACTCTCGAGGAGACTTGTAAAGAGATGAACGAGTAATCGGAATACCTGGAGAAGACGTTTCTGGAGAGCCAGATGCGCTTCGTGCTCACAATTAGAAAATCCCATCCTGGCCATCGAAACACTCTGCCGAGAGTTTCTGGAAAGAAATGATGAGGAATTGCGCTTTGAGATTCTCAAAATATTCTAGAAGAAGAGTTGCGAGAAAAGTACGGAAATATGGGAGAAAGAGAAATCAAAGCTGAAATCGTTGAGGAGGTCAATGAAGACGGACAAGTTGTGCTCGTCGAAAAAGCCTAAATGTTCTTTGCCAATTATTCCCGATTGATCAATTCAGTTCATTCAATTCCGACAATATCAATCACATTTATAAAATAAATTAGAGAACTCTTCCGAGAAGTTTGGCGATGTTGGCGATAGCCACTTGAACGGCCGTCAGTGGGTCTTTGACGAGCGCCGCTTCTTCTTTGGACAGTCCGTCGGTCAGGTCGATCGACTCGATGCTGGCAGCGGTTGCTGGAGCATCGGTGGCGGCATCGGTGGCGGCGTTTGTAGCGGCATCGGTGGTGGCATCAGTGGCGGCATCGGTGGTGACATCGGTGGTGACATCGGTGGCGGCATCGGTGGCGGCGTCAGTGGTGGCATCGGTGGTGACATCGGTGGCGGCATCGGTGGCGGCGTCAGTAACAGCCTCAGTGGTGGCCTCCTCAACAGCCTCTCTCTTCCTTCTGGTTCCACTTGCAGCCAGCACACCGGAGATGATCTGCGCGATTTCCTTGTTGGTAAGTTCGACCTGAAGCCCGACGAATGGCACATTGTTGAGTCCGAGGCACGTGAACTGCGTGATCTTAACGTCATTGGAGAAGTCGCTCTCGGTGCTGTCGATGACGGTTCCGATGTATCTGCGCTCGTTGCGATCGCAGGTCAGACTGAGTCCAGCGGTGGTTCCGAACGCGGCGACGCGCGCAGAACGAATGTCACGGGTCTCGTTGCGACGAGCTGGAATCGGGGAATCATAGGAAGATTGGAGAAGTTGTGATGTTACCGAAGAGGACGTTGGTGTTCTTGGGGTCTCTATCGCAGACAACCAGGGCGGTCAGAGTTCTGCCGAATCTGGCGTAGCGGATGATCGGAGGGTAGAAAGCCTGCTCTGGGATTCCTGGCAACGTTCCCAAGTAGGTGCGGAGATCCGGGCACTCTGAAACAATAATAGAATAGCATTTTTCTGTCTCAGTCAGAGCTCACTCTTGTGGTGACGTTCGCGGCTGTCAAACTCCCAGTAGCGGTCATCAAAGACGATTGGCGGAGCGTAGATCGGGCCCGTTGGGTAAGAAGAAGCGGGAGCATCATTGGATGCTCCGTACTGGGCGGTGACAGTGGTGACTGCGAGCGAGACGGCGAGAAGAGCTAACATCTTCGGCGGTGATGGTTGAGAACGCAACCACGGGGGGCTTTTATATGGAGCAGAGGGGCGCGTCAACATACACGATCACGTCAGAACAGACGAATGTTTTGGGGGAATGGGAGATGTGAACAATGTTTTGTATTGGAAGAAAGCGTCTGGGAAGATTCTGGAAGGAAGGTTCCACGGCGGAGAAAGGACGATAGAATGAAGACAAAGTGACGGCTTCTGCACAATCTAATGATTGTTTGTTCCTTATTCCTTTAAATGAAAACCTGAAACTTGAATTGTTCTCCAGTTTGACCCAACGTCATTGGTTGAAATTCTGACGCACTCCCACAACACAATAGTTCCCAGAATTCAATATCAACATTTTCGTTTCCATCGCTTCCCTAAACATCTTCAAGGCTCGTCATCGCCGGCTTCTAGTATAAAAGGTGCCGACGCCGGCTTCGATCATTGTCCTCGACATGCTTCTGAATCTTCTCACCGTCTCCGTGTTCATCGGCGTCGTCGCCGCCACCGGCTACGGCTCCGGAAGCGCCTACAGCAACGATGCTCCGAGCGCCTACTTCATCCCGCCACGTCATCATTACAGAGGACATCGCTGGCGCAGCAGCAGTGACAGCAGCGATAGCGATGAGAGTTAGTCGGAAAGGTTGAACTCAGATTTCATTTAAAAAAAAATCAATTCAGAATGGCACTGCTCCCGTCTTGGTGTCTTCAACATCACCGGATCGGCCGCCGAATACATTTCCGCGCCGAAGATCGGCTACTTCACGCATCAAGGAAAGGAAAAGGCGATCATTGTCTGCCAGAACCCGCAGATCCAACTGCTCTTCGGACAGTCCCCGGACGCCAACGTGGCCGCTGGAATCACCAACCAGTACAAGGACAACGCCCTGCTGTCCATCAGCACCAAGTCCGGACTCGTGCTCGACTGCAATAGACGCCATGAACGGTATTTGTCACGTGTGGGCGCATAAAACGCATCTCATTTTTCATTTCAGCTACGAGGCCTACAACTTCTTCACCGAGAAGACCATCCCGATCCACGACGTTGCGTGCCTGACTGTTCCCTCATCGCTCGTCACCTCCACCCTCGGCACCATCGCCAGTTCCAGCCTTAGCGCACTTTCTTTGGGTCTTTGAACGCATAATAAGACGAATAAAAGAGTTGATGTTTTCTCGGAAAATAAACAAACACCTCGTGAATATCCTTTGACACCCGATTGGAACGGGAAAAAGGAAAAAGCGAAAAAAGTGAGGGCGCGAGCCGACGAAAAACATTGCTTGATCAAAGCTTGCGACAGACAGCTCGCTTAGACATAGAAACGATGCGCAAAACACATTTGCGGACGGGCCGAAGGGACTCTCTCTCTGTTTGCTCGGCAAGCAGTGACCGGCGGCTCGCCACCCGAGCCGCAACAGTTATCGTTATCATTACGAACGGATGATCGGGATGGACGGGGCGACGGAAAAGATTGCGGAAAGTGTGGATTGGAGGAACCTTTTTCGGGCGCCGAGTGTTCTTGATGTACTGGAAGGGAACGGATTCTCAAATAGCTACTATCGGGGGCGTGTTTCAAAGTGAATGTGCTGTGTTGCAACTGTGATCACAAAAAGAGGGGTTTCTCGATAGAGCGCATGCACATTCAAATGTCCCGATTATATTGGTTTCGTGCTGTGAAAGTAAATACACTATCAGTATTAATTTAAAATTTTGTCTAAATCGATCCGGCTGTTGTTCATCCCTAGCACACATTATTTGAGAAAGCTCTGCTTTTGAGGAGCCCCAATAAATATACGACTAGCAAAAACGAGAAGCCATGAAATTGACGCTTCTTTGTGTCAAAGTCAGACACAGTCAGTGTTTCGACGCTCTTCTCATCTCCGTTAATCACCTAATCTCTTTGTCCTTCTCCCCGTCGCTTTCAAACATGCCACATCGCGTCCCGACTGTTTCGACAGTCCCCCCGATTCCACATCGGGCTCCTCCAGACTGAAGGTAAAGAGGGAAAGAAAAGAAAACAGGCGAGTGCACAAACTGTTTTTTTGGGGTAGGGCGCGCTCTCGCTCTTCCAAAAGCAGTGCTCACGACGCGCACGTCGGCGTCTCGCGGCGCCCTCCGCGCGGCCTCTGAGGGCGTACCGCGCGCGGAACCTACAAAAGCGCGGCGACGCGGAGAGAGCGAGATAAAGCGAGGATCTTGAGTGCTCTGCTCTGCCGTCTCGGCCCTGACCCAACCCCGCCGCCGTGCCTCCGACCCCACCCACATCATTCTGGCGACACAGCACTTGAGAAACTGACCACTGCCTCCTCAGTTCCCATTCCACACTAGCAGCACCTCATTCCGTTATCGTTTTCTTGTCTGGGAGCATCCGCCGAGATTTCAACATCATGATTAGGTGAGTTCAATTTATCACTTTCTTCTCGACTCCAAAAAGTGTCGCAGAAGAAAAAGAAAACAAACAAACAAACAGAACTAGCTAAACTTTTCAAACTTTGTTTGCTCTGTAACACATTTTGAATTGCCTGATCAATTAATTCTATTTTTGAATATCGATACATACAAATAGAATAGAATTCTGGCTTCATTTTAGTCTCCTATACCCGAGCTTTTGACCTTTTTCCACTTGGTCATTTCCACTTATGAGAGTGCAAAGATAAGCATGTGAACATGTCAAGCCACTTCAGAGGGAGAGCGAGGGTTTTTCAAGTGTTCATGTTTTTGTGCTCTCAGAACACTTTAGCGCTGCTAGCGTTTTTGCGAAAAAGCGAAGAACATCAGGGTCTAGTGTTTATCCTGATGGCATTTCTATTTCTATTTCAGGAGTCTTCTTGTGCTCACGCTCCTCGTCGGCTACTCGACCGCACAATATGTGCAGCAGCAGCAGCAGAGATCCGCAGCAGCTCAGCAGCAGCCGAGTGTGCAGGCCGCCCAGCCAGAGGCCCTCGATCAGATTCCGGCGTGGTATCAGATGGCGAAGCCGGGCGCCTCGCGTGTTCAGCAGCTTCCACAGGCCTCTCCATCGTACTACGAGCGCATCGAGCCGACGTACGAGCAGCGGAGAGGAGATCAGGCGACGTATGAGAGACCCGGCATTCAGACTAACCAGTATGCCAAGTGAGCATCGAATTGGAGCATTGGGATCTCCTGAACGTCTCGGTTTTCAGTTATCCATCATACCAGAACCGTCAACCCTACGAGAACCTGAACGCGTTGACATCCGGAGCATCGTTGAGCAACCTGCAGGCGAACCGTCGCTATCCGTCCGGAGCAGCCTCGGCCGGCGGTCAAGATGTGAGTAGGTCGCGGCACCTAGTGATGCACGCTCACCACACACCACCGACACCATCTCCGGCGTCCTACACTAGAACGCAACACCATCATCCGGGGCGCGTAGTGTGGTACACGTCGAAGCGCGTCAGCCCGTACAACGTGATCCGCACCACTCTGCCCCCGTCACTCTCACCGTCCCATGAGATTCGTGGCGTCAAAAAGTTGATAGCGATGACGCCGTACGAGCAGACTAGGGAACAGTTCACAAGGTGGTACGACCAGATGAAGGCGTTCTACTACATTAATCAATTCGTAGACTGGGGCACATTTAAGACAATGTTTCTCAATAGATATTAGCGGCGTTACATAGAATACACAGATAGTTTGTTCATAATCATAGAATAACCAAATTTCGTTCCGTATGTCATATTGACAAAACCAACCATCAACAGTATTACAGTCTACTATATATTCCGGTGTTTTATTGGTTTCCGGTGAGCATGATGTATTATGGGTCATTCTTTTTTCCCCCTACTCCCCCTCCCCCTCCCTCGACAAGTTCTATCGGATAATTCGATTGTATATCTGTAATCATCTGATAAACTGTTTGAATATCATTGTGTTTTGAGAAGTCTAAATCCGAACAAAAACAGACAAGAACGATCAACCGATCAAAGCACAATGATATTCTCTCTATCGCACTTCTGCTTCTCTCGCTTCTTACCACCCCCCACCTCTTCCTCTTCTTACCCTTTTCCTACTCTTTTCCTTCTTTTTTAATCCGCTTCTTTTTTCTGCAGATGCCTTACGACTCGGCGCTCAAACGCTATCATAAACTTTTACTGAAACGCCGTCAATGGACCACCAAGATCGGACGCATCTTGGCGTCCACGACTCCAATGACTCCGTCCACTGCGGTGCCCACTTCTACCTCTACAACCACTACCACCACAACTACCGAGGCTCCGACCACCACCACCAAGAAAATGCCAAAGTCGTTGAAGAGTATCTACTCGACAATCATTCCGAAAACCACAACGACGACCGAAGAGCCGACTTCTAGCACGACCGCCGTTCCGAGTACAACCACCAGAATGAACGGTAGATTGGTGGGAAAGCCGAGAGGAACGTTCAAGCCGCACGGGACTAGGAAGGGGTGGAGAATGTGGAAAAAGGTGACCCCAAAGTACGTGGCGAAATTGAGCTCCACTACTACGGAGGTCCCCATCACTTCTACTACATCTCCCACGGAACCCAGTACCATCTCAACTTCTACTAGCACCACCACCGATCTCCCCCCGACCACCCCAGACCTTCGGTTGATTGAAGAGGAGCAGGAATTGACTACTTCTACCACTACCACTGAGCAATCTAGTACTTCTATCACTACCACTACCACTACCACCGAGGAACCGACCGCCACGAGCGCAACGACGAAAGGATCGGAAGAGCAGCAAGGGGGGAAGATTCCCTCCTCTTTAAGGTATATATGCCGGCACAAGGCCGGCTCGAACGAGCACGATCCGTTCAGCGAACGAAGAGCTTCGACGATTGGCCCATTCAGACCGATCTCAGTCGGACACAAGTGGAAGCCGCTCCGGTTCAAGAAGCCGGAGCCGGTCGACGAGGTGGCCACCGTGCCCGCCACCACAAACCGGACAATCTCGACGAGACCGAAGGGGCTCCGACTTCTCGAGTATCTTTTGGTGGGCTTCTAATCTTTTCTTTCCGCCTGCCCTCTCTCTCTCTCTCTCTTACTCTTCCTCTCTTTCTCTTTGGGTTACCACTCCTTTCTTTCTAATTTTCAGAAGCAGACTGACACGTTTGCCAAGGGATTACAAAAGGCTATTGATGGTGTAAGTGCATCCGGCGTGCCGTCATCGTCCTCTTTACTAACACAAGAAGTAATCATTAATCTTTATTTTATTTTTTTTACAACATACACCCCGTGTCAGAATCATTTGTAGACTACAGAATTAGCTAGTGGACTGTGAAGAATGTGAGAATAATTGAATGATTGTGACTGACTCTGAATGTACCCTAAATGTACCCGAAAACATAATGGAATGCCACGTTGCCAAGTTCCGTTCTAAAACGAAAGAAAGAAACCGTCACTCGCACTTCACCGCTCACAAACCTTATTTTCAGCCAAACACTGAACTGCTGGCCGCTATCAAGGACGTTGTCGCCAAATTCAAGGTACTAAAAGCCAACTGGAACTTTTTGAGTAGCTTTGAAACTATTGCAGGCCAGCTTGGACGAGGCCGGCATCGACCAGGACGTCCGATTGATGGGCAATCAATTGAAGAACACGTGGCAACAATTGAGGACAGGTACGCCGCAACAAGGTTCCGTTTTTGCTCTGTTTCCTCCCGCCCAACCGACTGCACTCTTAACTCCCGCCTGAAATTCATCCTAATTTATTGCACTCTCAGGCCTTGATCGTGGCATGAAAGCGGTGCGTCAGAGTGCCGAGAGCTCAGTGACGCAGTTCAATTACGGACCGCAGCCGCAGTCTGTGGTCCCGCAGCAGCCTGCTCAAATACCGTACCACCATCAGCACCACCATCATCCGACCGTTTCGATGCACCGCTACACTGCCGGTTAATAGCTTTCACTAACTTTGTTCGATGCACACTTCAAACCCTCGCCCACCACCACATTTCTATAAAGAGACAATAAAGAGTTCTATACGTATGATCGTTGCAGGACCCATGAACGAGCAGATCGGACGGTTGTTCGAGAAGGCCGTTGCAGACGCGGCCGATCAGAAGCAGCAGCAGGCGATCCAACAAGTGCAGCAGCAGATGGTCGCCTCGAGACCATAACTTTCCATTCCCGTTTTCCTCCGCTCAAACCCCTTCTGCCAAAGATTGCAAGTTAAGCAGTCTAACCGTACGTACACATTGTACACATTTCCCACCAACTTGTCAGTGACCAAATAAAGCTCAATATAATAATAATAATGTAACTTATGGGACACAAGTGCCAAACCGAACACATTCAATTCAAGCAGCTTATCAATCAAACTTCAATCGTACCATTTTATCATTTGCAGCAAACACAACATGGTGTTTTTGAGGCCAGAAGTCAGCTCTTCGCTGTGGGAAAGACTGATATTTACCCAGACAATGTACATGGCAATTTGATAGGCATGTTTTCGACTGATAAGCAGAAGAAGTTTGAGTATAAAAGGAGCGGACTTCGGGAGGATGCTCCACCATTGACTCCACAATGCAAACTGCTCTCATCCTTCTGGCTCTCGTCGCCGGCACTGTCGCTCAGTTCAGTGCCACGGCTCAACAGAACATTGTGAACTCTCACAACACTCTGAGATCCAAGATCGCGAAGGGAACCTACGTGGCCAAGGGAACCACCGAACCGGCCGGAGCGGATCTTCTCAAGCTGGTAGGTTAATGGCTCGAATGAGAGTTTTCGAATGAGAAACTGCAGAAATGGGACTCGTCGATCGGAACGTCTGCTCAGAACTACGCGAACACGTGCCCAACTGGACACTCTGGAGCCGCCGGACTCGGAGAGAACATCTATTGGTCGTGGACGAGTGGAACTTTCCCCTCTAACCTCGACTCTTACGTGAGTCCCATCCATTCTGGTCCCAGTTGATCATCTTATTTATATTCAGGGAGTGTCTGCCTCCAACTCGTGGGAACAAGAGTTCCAGGACTACGGATGGACCTCCAATGTTCTCGACGTGAACACGTTCAACACTGGAATCGGACACGCCACCCAGATGGCCTGGTCTAAGACCGGATCCCTCGGATGCGGAGTCAAGAACTGCGGACCGGACTCGTCGATGAACAACTGGAACCGACTGGTCGTCGTCTGCCAGTACAAGGCCCAGTGAGTCATTCATCCCAAGGCTTTGATAACTTTCCGATTTCAGAGGAAACGTGCTCAACACTCCAATCTACCAGAAAGGATCCACTTGCTCCGCCTGTCCATCCGGCACTTCCTGCGAGAGCAGCTCTGGACTCTGCGCCTAATTTCACCCGCCGTTCCCTTTTTTCTGTGTATTTTGTGCAACTTCATCAATAAATCTTTCTTGGAGATCTTTCCTTTTTTTTCTCTTGTGAACTCAACATTCCCAGAAACCGATGATCGCTGACTCTTCTCGAACACAAAGTCGGTTGGTTTACTCAAAAAGAAAGTTGCTTTGCGGTAAGGGGGATACGTGAATATCATGACAATACTACACTTGACAGAAAAATGGGTGAACAAAATAGTACAAGATAGACATACTAATGCTGAAATGTCTTGTCATTATTCATATTCATTTTCAAAGATGATCATGGCTACTTGTGGGCCCCTCCAACTTTCGAAGCGTATGATACTTCTTGAGGAAACTGAGAAAAAGTGCAGATAGTTGTTGCATTGAGACAAAATTGTATAAAGTTGAAGTTGCCCTGAATGAGAAACAAAGGATCCGAGAGCATAGCATGCTCGAACCTTAAACATTAGGACTGGCTGATAGAACAGAGTGGAGTAGACATCCATTGCAGTGCAGCTGATCTGAACACGGGTCATATATGGTTTAATAGGCTTTTGAATAGACATTTATTGATAAAGTTGCACAAAATACACAGAAAAGAGGGGACGGCGGGTGAAATTAGGCGCAGAGTCCGGAGCTGCTCTCGCAGGAAGTGCCGGATGGACAGGCGGAGCAAGTGGATCCCTTCTGGTAGATTGGAGTGTTGAGCACGTTTCCTCTGAAATCGGAAAGTCGTCAAAGCTTTGGGATGAATGACTCACTGGGCCTTGTACTGGCAGACGACGACCAGTCGGTTCCAGTTGTTCATCGACGAGTCCGGTCCGCAGTTCTTGACTCCGCATCCGAGGGATCCGGTCTTAGACCAGGCCATCTGGGTGGCGTGTCCGATTCCAGTGTTGAACGTGTTCACGTCGAGAACATTGGAGGTCCATCCGTAGTCCTGGAACTCTTGTTCCCACGAGTTGGAGGCAGACACTCCCTGTATATAAATAAGATGATCAACTGGGACCAGAATGAATGGGACTCACGTAAGAGTCGAGGTTAGAGGGGAAAGTTCCACTGGTCCACGACCAATAGATGTTCTCTCCGAGTCCGGCGGCTCCAGAGTGTCCAGTTGGGCACGTGTTCGCGTAGTTCTGAGCAGACGTTCCGATCGACGAGTCCCATTTCTGCAGTTTCTCATTCGAAAACTCTCATCCGAGCCATTAACCTACCAGCTTGAGAAGGTCCGCTCCGGCCGGTTCGGTGGTTCCCTTGGCCACGTAGGTTCCCTTCGCGATCTTGGATCTCAGAGTGTTGTGAGAGTCCACAATGTTCTGTTGAGCCGTGGCACTGAACTGAGCGGCAGTGCCGGCGACGAGAGCCAGGATGATGAGAGTAGTTTGCATTGTGGAGCCAATGGTGGAGCATCCTCCCGAAGTCCGCTCCTTTTATACTCAAACTTCTTCTGCTTATCAGTCGAAAACATGCCTATCAATGTGTTACGTTGCAGATTTTGAACGTAGAGAGTACCCAAAAACGATATGACTTTCGGCCTGAAAAACAAAAGATCACTCCGTCTGTCTTCTATTGATAAGGTGACAACGACGACAAAGTGGGTAAGGCCAAAACCAAAACTCAGTTGATACTGTTAACAAGTGTGCTTTCTTCATCGTATTAATGTTTATTTGCAAGCGAAACTCTATCTACTCAATCAATTTGGAAAAGTCCTGGGTGTGGAGTCCCATGATGAGCGAGCTTCCACCATCCACGACCAACTGGTGACCGATAATGTAAGCGGAGCTCTTTCTGTCGGCGAGGAAGGCGATCGCCTCGGCGATATCCTGCGGCTGTCCCATGAATCCGGCCGGCACGCACTCCTTCTTCGTCGCCGTTGTCGAGTAGAACTTCTTGGAAACCTCATCCGACATGCCCATCGCCGACCCGAATCCGGTGGCGACGAGTCCCGGACTGATCGAGTTGACGCGGATTCCGTGTTGGATGAGGTCGATGGCGGTGTTGCGCGTGTACTGATCCAGCGCCGCTTTTGCGATGGAATAGTACGGGAATTCTGGAGTCTGAAAAACCATCTTTGTAATGTTGTTAGACAACTTCAATGCACTTACAGATCTGGGCCCAGACGCAATGCTCGAGATGTTCACAATCTCACCCTTGGTCTTCGTTAAATGAGGCACGAGCTTCTTGGTCAGCCCAACAACACTTCTCAAGTTCAGGTTCAGCGTGGCGTCGTAGTTCTCGATTCCCTGGGCGGTTCCAGTTTTTCCCTGAGCATCCGGGATGGCGGCTCCGGCATTGTTCACCAGAATGTCAACCTTTCCGAACTTGGCCAGCGTGCTGCTGACGATCGCATCCTGTCCGGCCTCGGTGGTCACGTCGGCGATCACCGAATTCACATTTTGCTCGGCGACTCCGGCTGCGAGAACCTGTTGGCGGGTCTCTTCGAGACGTTGCGCATGTCTTCCGGTGATGGTCACCTGTGCGCCTTCCTTGGCGAAAAGCACAGCGGCTGCTCTTCCGATTCCATTGGAGGATCCTAAAACGAATGAAATCACAACGAACAGTCATCAATTGAATACCAGTGATAATAGCAACTTTTCCAGTGAAACGAGCCATGGTCCTTTCGGTTTTGTGTCGATGTCCTTTCACCTTTTCTCGCACTTTTATACGCGTCGCCGTGTTGTTCTGCCAATTGTAAACGGAGCGAGAGAACGAGACGCAGACGAGACGAGTCACAAAAGAAATTGTGACCCGAACGACTCGGTGTGTTTGTGTGTATTTCGGGATCAAAAGATGACAACACATCAAAAGGCATATCTTTTTGTGACTTTGTGAAACTTCAAGATGAAGTATTTCAGAACAGTGAGTGAATTTTCGATATCTCCTCCGGCACCGACGGAAATTCATTTGGAATTCGTCAATGACTATTCTAACCAGGATTCTGAGCAGAAAAGAACATCTGGTCGCAATTTTCAGAATATTAACGCAGGATCATCGTGGATTACATCGCTTTTTATCTGAAGACCGCTCCCTATGTAATGAGAATCGAAGTGAGCACATGTTAATGAGAAGCGCGGAAATGAGAACAGACTATCAACAAAGATGCTGCTCACATTATCCCTCCTCATGCTGTACACCGATTGGTCTTCTTATCAGAGATTCACCCAACACATCACCGCTGTGTGCTCGATTCTCATCAACGCCTTCTTGATCATTCTGATTTTGACAAAATCACCGTCCGAATTGGGAGCCTACAAGTACTTGATGATCATCATTTCCATCTATGAGATCACGTATTCCCTCGTGGATGTGATCGTTGAGCCGGTAGTAATTACACTAAACCACCAATAGAAAAGCGGTTGCAGGTTTGGTACTCGGTCGGATCGGTTTGCGTCGTGCTCGCCGTCACCAAAGGCAAACTAATCAACGCGTCGGTGATAGAAGCGATGAATTCCGCTTACGCCGGATGTTTTGGCTTCTCGCTCGCCATCTTCGCTCTACACTTCATCTATCGGTATATGGTGATGAGCGGGTGAGCACTCGATTCTTTGAAAACACTCATCCGATCGTGCTTTTCTAAGAAACCGGCTGCTGAAGTCGTTCGACTCGTGGAAGTTCTTCCTCTGGCTCAGTGGACCGATATTTGTGGGCACCTTCTGCAGCATTGTCGCCGGTGTGATCTGTGGCCGGAATGAGGCGAAAGACGAGCGAATCAGAGCCCCAATTTTCGAAGCATTCGGCCTCAAAACCGACGAGTTCACCTACTTTGGCACGTTTCTGTATTGGGAGTCGGAAATGTCGCCGAACGGGCTCGCCGGCGTCACGACCTACTCCTTTTTCATCGTCCTCTCCATGATCACCGTGGCGGTTTTCAGTGTGAAGTGTTATTTCAAAATTTCGGTGCTCATGAGCCATGCACCGAGCTCGGCACACTTCAAGTCTGTCCAATCGCAACTGTTCTACGCGTTGGTCGCTCAGACCCTCATTCCGATTGTGCTCATCTACATCCCGTCCACCATACTCTTCACCAAAATGTTTCTGGACGAGAATCTCGGCCAGATCAGCGACCTAGTCTCCATCACAATTGCCATTTATCCGGCTATCGATCCGTTTCCCACACTCTTCATGATCAAGAACTATCGGAGAGCGATATTGGGTGTGTAATGCCCTTTTTGGAAATTGATAATTCTATTTGTTATCTAACCAATTTCAACTTTCAGGTTGTGTCAGCGGAGCGTGGAGGAGAGTGAAAGAGACGAGTTCGGCGCCGTCAAGAAATCGCGTGGAACTAGATGCACATTAGTCATTCGCTCTCATTTCAAATGAAACGTGTTCGTTCGGCCCCAAAATGAGTCATGACCTACTACAATTGCACACATTCGACCCGAATCGAATGAATCTGCGTCAGTGGTGTTCTAATCCAGAGAGCTAATCCGACGCGAACTCGTTTCTGACTTCAAGCGCCCGTAAACAGTGTCGGTGCACAGTCTTGCGGCAACTGATAAAGCGAAGCGACTCGAACTTGCTTCCCTGAAAATTGGGTGTGCCTCGTATCGATCGACCGACCGTTTCTACAACTCACATTCCTTCCCCCTCCTATCAGTCTCATCTCAATTGGTCACTAGTTCCGCCTTCGTTATTTTTTCTTCGTTTGTGCTCCCCCCTTCCTTTTTTAATAGTAGAGTGACCACTAGACGGATAGTCTCCTTTTCACTCTCTCTCGCTCTTACTCACAATGCTTGACACTGCCTTCAGAAGGATGCTCAAGTGGATTCAGAAGAAGCCGGCGACGAGCCCGCAGCAAACCGTCGACATTTCGAGGCCCACCAATCTGGTGGTGTCCAAACACAAATTGGTGCGAACCGACGGCGATTTTATTCTGATTATGGAAGGCGAAAAGTGAGTTGGCATCGGGATCTTGTAAGCAAGTACCTCTTTCAGAGTGATCGGTCTTCTCGACAAACGCGATCTGGACATGGTGGTGGTGCAGCCGAACCGCGCCGGCGGAGCACCACCCCAGTTCCCGGCCCCGCCACCGCCGTCCTCGATCTCTCCGCCACCGATCCCTACACCTCCGGCTCTGAATCCATATCTGATGCCGAGTGGTAGTCGGAATTCGGGTACTCGTTCGACTTTTTCAGACGATTGAGTGTTCTGTGAACTTTTTCAGAATCTGCATCGCTCACTTCTCCGCTGGGAATCACGTCCGGCAAGTACCGCACACTTCCGCCGGGATTCGCGTCCAAACAACAGTTTACCACTCCGCATTTCCAATGGAATATGTCAGAAGGAGCCGAGCCCCTTCATTTCAAGGTTAGCCTAACCGTCTGACTGAAAAAAAAGCGCATCAAAACTTCAGGCGGCCAGCATCGGTGACCTCTTCTCGCCCATCATCACGAGCAGCACGAATAAAGATCGACCGCGAGCGGAGACGGGTCTTCATCCGCAAGGCAGCCACAAATACGAGACGGTCTTCTTTCCTCCGATAGTCACCAACTCGAATTCGGCTTCCGCTCGATGCAACGTTGAAATTCATTTGGGAGACGAGCGATGCCCGCCGCCGCCGAATAGAACTCCGCCGATGCCGCTGACAATGTCGCCGTGCCGGTCGGTCACCGCGTTCTTCGCCGAAGAGCTGGATTTCACAGAAGTGCAATCGGTTTCAGTGCACGATCCGGATTTGGCGGCAATGTCGATGGAGGAGTTGCGGAAGCACGCCGAAGAGTTCGACTCTTTCATTGAGGTTTCCGTTGCGCATTTTCGTTTTTTCGGTTGACAATAATCAGCCGTCTTCAGGATCAAATCCAGCAGAAATGGAGCAAGGAGAAGGCTGAAACAGAACGGTGGATTCAGGAAATCGCCGGAAATGTGGCGAAAAAAGAGACAATCGACACAATTCGAGGGGCGATCGGCAAAAAGAGAAGGCCGTCGATATATGAGATATTTCAACCTCGTCTCGAGTCGCCGCTCTCCCCGGATCCGACCGATCCGGAGCCGAACAACGATTACGAAAAGCTTTACGTCTCCAAACAAGACGCGTCCGTGAAAATCCAATCGACGCACGATTCTGACTGTGAAATTGAGGATATTCGATTTTAAATAAACGTGTAAATAGATGATTAACCGTGCATATTTGTTAACACATTACAATAAATTCATTTATCGTTCATTTCTCATACTCCTTGTATTCCATGCACGCCGGCGGCTGCACCTCCACTTTCTTCTTGCTGATCTCTGACCAGTTTGTTGACAAAACCGTTCCGCCCGACTCGCTGCAAATTGATCGGTTTCTTATCAACTGTTATGAAGGGGAAGAGTCGACTCACGAGTAGCTTTTCATCATGGCACGCCGCACGTCGTCCGACGCGTCCTCGTATATCTTGCGGAACATTTTGTTGACGGCCGCGTCGCCCTCCAGCTTCTCGTCCTCGTCCTCTTTAACCACCTGCTTCTCGATCGCATCCCAGTTCTTCTTGACGGTTGTCGAGGATGTGCTGGCAGCTGGGACAGGTGTTGGCGCCACGATCGGAGCAGATCCGTGTCCGTTATGCAGAAGAGTTGGCCACCGCTCGCCGCGAGCAAACTTCGGCAAACGCACTTCAACCTGCAATCTGAAGTTGAAATGTGTCAGAAGATTTAGGTTGTAGTTGTTTAGGGTTGAGGTATAAAAAGAGTACAGTCAGATAATAGTATCGCTTTTGAGGGAATGATCATCACGGAATGAACCGCTAACACTCGGCTTATTGTCACTCTTTGTGAGCGACTCATCATTCTGTCTCAAGGAATCGATCCCGCGGGACTCAGTGTCTCATGGCCTTTCGTTTTCACGGCCCTCTCTCTTCGCCACTACACCGTTCCTTCATCGATTTCGTACCTTTGCAGGCGTGCATTTGACGATCACGTCCTCTTTCTTCACCCCGCTGAAGAGGACTCCTTCGAACAGAACCGTCTCCTCGCTCTGCGTTACTTTTAGACTGTTGTCGTCGGAAATAACGACTCGGCATTCATCGAGAGGCACGCCACGCTTCAGAATCGTCAGAATGACATCCGTGTCGCTTTGAAACCAGTCATGTCTGAAGGAAGTTGTGAAAATTCGAAAAAGCAGTCTCCTTACGAGCTTACCTTGGTTGCGTCATTTTCTTTCTAGTTGCTAGGAACAGAAATAGTGAAATCGATGTTACTTTCAGAAACTATACGATAAAATTAAAGGCTTCTAAAACCTCTAAAAATTTCTAAGAAGAAGAACAACACAATGACAGCGTTCATTGTTCCAATAAAATACCGTAGTAAAGAAGAATTACTACCGGGGACGGATAGATGGGAGAATACATTGAATAAATTAGAGAGAAAAGAAGAAAAAGAAATAAATGGAAATCATTCGGACAACGTTTAGAGAGTGCCGAGATGGTCCTTGACTTGCTGCTTGGTGAGTCTGTGGAAACCGGTCGCGTTGCACACAGCCACCTCCACGTTGTTCTCGTTCATTCCGACGTCGAACGACTCTCTGAGCGTGAGCAGCGCAGTGTGGATTCCGTCGTCGAGCTCGAGGGCTTCACTGAAACGCTTCTCAAGGAACGTCTTCGCGTTGACGTCGTTCTTTCCGAGGGCGGTGGCCTTCCACGCGAAGTAAGCACCCGACGGATCGCACTGGAAGAGCAGTGGCCGAGCCGGGGTCTTATCCCAGCCGGCGATGAGAAGAGATGCTCCGAACGGACGGACTCCTCTGGAAATTACCATTTAACGAAATTCAAGAAGCACAAAGTTACTCACCCCGATTGGGTGTACTCCTGCATGACAGCGGCGATTTCAGTAACAAGCTGGATCGTCGGCATTTCTTCTCCGTACATCATCTCGTACTCCATGGCGATCTTGCGAGCCTTCTTCACCAGAATGCGGAAGTCCGGTCCCATTCCACTGTACACGAATCCAATGTGCTTGCTGATCTGCTCAATCTTCGCCTGGTCATCAGTCAGAACCGATCCGACGTTCTCGGTGGCCAAAACGACTCCGTCTTTTGCTGAAAATCGATAACTTGAACGATTCTGTTCTTCGAAAATGTTCGTTTACCTCTCAATCCAACGGATGGCTGACCATTCTTGACGGCGTTCAGCGCATACTCGATTTGCATCAATTTTCCCGATGGGCTGAAAGATTTGGCTATTTTTCAGTGGATTAATCGAAAACTTACCTGAAAGTGGTGAGAGAGAAGCCGTAGTGATCACCCATTGCGAATCGATGTCTGGAATCGCAAATTTAGAGGAGGAAAATTGAGAAAACGAGAGCAAATGAATAGGAATCGCGGCTAAATTGTCATCATTCGAAACGAGTGCGGTGGAGCGCATTTACTGACCGCAGCCTTTTTGTGCTGACTTTTCTGGACAGAAATTTTTGTTCAAAATGAGAATGTCAGCTAAATTATTAGTTAGACTGAAAGAATTAAAAGGTTTGTAAAAAAAAAGATCTGGCGCACATAAAATATGTTTGAGGAGTTTCAAAGCTCGCTTTGTCGTTCAGCGGATGTGGATTCCTCGGAGCGTATAATTTTGGCGCTGCGAAACGATTAATGCAGGAAAATGACGTAAATTTGTAACAGAAATTCAATAAGACTTTGAAAAAGAATGCTAAATTTGCAGAATATTGCCAAAAAAGTAGATAGGATTGCCGGGGCATCGGCAGGAAGTCTTGTCGCTTCGATTCTAGTGTTGGCACCAGAAAAGTGAGTTTTTCGCAATTTCCGCTTGGAAGCTTCTATTAAGAAAATTAAAAAGCCCTTTAAGTTAATCTCAGACTTGATGCCGCCGTTGAGACACTTTTTTCAATGGCCGACGACGTGCATTCGAAGCCGTTCGGCGCCATGACGCCCGGATATTATTTGAATGAAGAACTTGTAAAAGTGAGGCCGAATTTAGTTAAAATAAAGCAAAAGAACGAAACCGTTTGACAGATTATCGATGAGTTCTTGCCGACAGAAATAAGCAAAGCACACGGAAAACTGCACATTTCAATCACGAATCGCAGAGTAAATTTTAAATGTTTGAAATTGTGAAGAAATTCATCCGGAAGACGTGTTTAGAAATGGGAAAATGTAATGATCAATCAGTTCGACAGCCGGGACCACCTGATCTCGTGCCTTCTGGCCAGTTGCTACATTCCAATGTACTCAATGGGATACAGAGGAGTCCCTCCGGTTATCAATGAAGAGGTGTGACAGAATTCAAATATGTTTAGGCTCGAAAAACTTTCCACGTTCAGGAGTACATTGACGGCGGAATGACGAACAATCTGCCGACGTTCTCCGACATTCCGACCATCACCTGCTCGCCGTTCTCCAGCCAGGCCGACGTCTGTCCGCCCGATCCCTCCGACTGGAACGTCACGTTTGCTAAGCAAGTCTTCAAAGCGAGCACGGCTAATTTGTACCGAGGAACGCGTGCGCTTTTCCCGCCGACTCGCGAGATTCTGAAAGAGTACTATCGAATGGGAAATGACGATGCGGATAGATTTATTCGAGAAAAGAAATAAAATGAGCGTATTTTATATTTGCTAAAGTTAGTGAACAGTTTAGAACTTTGAGTTAGCATCGACGGTCTGCTGGCGGAGGATGCGTTTCTTTTGGACCATCTTTCCAAGCTTTGAATTCATAAGAGCCAACGCCTTCGCCTTGAGTTCGTGCTCCTGAAAACTTCAATGAATCCCCTTAAAGTTTGCCGCTTACCCTCTGTTTCTTCAGCAGATACTTCTTCCGCTCCTCTCTCTTGTACTCCTCCTTGGCGGCCCGCGCATCCAACTCGTCCTTCTCCGTCATCTTCTCGCCTTCGCCCTTCGACACCACCACATAACTCCGGATTCTCTTGTTGATGCCCGTCGGTCTAGTGTATCTCAACAAGTGCATCTTCCGGCTTTCCGGCGACAATCCCATCTCGAGCATCAGAATCACTTGCGCCCACTGTCTCTTCCATTCCTTGCGCGTCAAGAAGATAGTTTCATAGGTACGGGTCATCATGGCGATCAGCAAATTGAACTGGAGAATGGAGACGAACGTCTCGAAGATCAGGAAGATCACCTTCCCGATCCACTTCATCCAGAAGTTGTCGCAAGCCGCCATTTCTCTGTAAAGCACCGAGAACTCTCCGATCGTCATGATGAATGTGCGGAGGAGCGCGTCAATTGGGTTCTGCATTATATTAGTGAACTCCGAGCCGAGGGGATCAGTCTGTCTGATGATGTTGGCGTCGCGTTCGCAAGAAGTGAAGATTAAATAGAAAGCTAAATTGAATTATAGAATCCAAGCTGAAATTGTACTTTCTTCCCCCTACATTGCGAAAATCCGACGAGGAAGATCGAGTAAATCATTGCGAATCTCACGAGATCAGTGGCGATTATAGTGTAAACCATCAACACAAACGGTCCGACGAATGGGATGGCTCTGAAGAGACTCGTCTCGTAGAATTCAATCAATCACAACCCCATCGCTTGCCTCATGTAGTACAAAAAGTGCTGGGTGACCAGAAGGACACTGATTATAGCCATAGTATTGTCGATGGTGAGGAAGATGTCGTGGAAGGAGCAGGCCAGACGACACGGAATAGAGATTAGGATGAAGAGGAACGAGGCCTTGAACATTAGCTTGGCGGGGAACGCTTTCTGAAGAAAGGAAACATTAAAGAGTTGTGTGCTCAGCATGAGTGGGCCTACCAAAAAGTTGAACCATCTCTGGAAGCCGATACGGCGAATGTCACCGAGGTCGAACATGATCTGAAAGAGCATCACCACCACCGTGGCGATCTCGCACGCCAGTCGGAACCATCCGTTGTACCACGGCCACTCGGAATAGTACATCAGATGGCACTGAGTGTCGATGGGATGCCATTGCAAATAGTTTGTCGAATTCGTCGACTCTGTCTCTCCGTCATCGTTGATACGACCACGAGTGATATGCTAAGCGGTACCTGGTTTGACCACACCGTCTCAAGTCATACCTCTGTAGTAGCGGAAGACGGACGGAGCATATAAGCGGCCACGAAGCAGCAATAGAAGAAGATGAAGCCGAAAAGTGAGCGGAGCCACAGCAGTTTACCGTAAGCCTTCCATTTCTCGTCGAGAATCTGCTCGATGAGCCCGTCCATGAGCTCCAAATGTTGAATGGATTCGCCGTAAACGACGAGCGACAACGCGCTCGTGTCGTTCATTTCGCCCGTCATCTCGTCGATTGTGTCAATCTTGGTCAGTGGATAGGCGATGCACTGCGAAGCGCCGTACGTCCACACCTTCTCGCACTCTAGTTGCAGTATTTTGTTGAACATCTGGAACAGAAAAAGTTGAAATCAACGCCTAAGCCCATCATCTTTATAACCGTTTTCTTGGCCAGTCTGGCGGCCAGTGTCAACGCCGTCAAGTTTTGCTTATTTGCGAGGCGCAGACTTCCTCCGGCCTCTAGCACCGCGTCGAGCATTTCCATTTTGTCGTGGATCACACACAAATGAAGCACCGTATTGCCGTTTGTGTCTTGTGCGTTCAAATTCGCTTTCTTAGCGAGCAACATTCGGAACAAGTCGAGATGTCCAGTACAAACCGCAAAAGACAGAGGGTACTCGCCAAAGTACATCGACCTGAACGCGATGTGATCCATTGGATTGATGACTATGATTTGACTACCCCGTATAGTTTGTGTTCTTGGTGAGCTCGACAAACTCGTGCTCCAAACTGTCGGTCCTGCTCGCCTTCTGATCGTCGGCGCAGAAAAACGCGCCATAGCATCGCTGATTCAAGTCAGCGCCAAGACGAAGCAGAAGGGATGTGAATTGAGGATCCTGGTTGACGATGACCAGGTGCAGTGGCGACAAACCGTAGTATTCTTCGGAAGTGCAGATGTCGTTGATCAGTTTGGGAAAGAATTCAATGAGCTTTTTGGCGATAAAGTTGTGAAGAGAGCCGCCTTGAAGTAGGCAAATGCACAGAAGATTCTCGCCCATCGAGCCCCTGTCCTCGAGACTCCACACCATTTCCCTGTACTTTGACTCTGACTTGCCGCCTTTTCCTCCTCCGTCCAGCAGTTTCAACGCTAAAAAATGCATTCTCTATTGTGTTCTCATCTAAACCCCGCTCACCTTTCTTGAGATCTCCCATCTCGGCTTGTCCCTGATCGAACTCATCCAGAATGTTCGGACCGCTCTTCCCCTTACCCTTCTTTCTCGAAAACGCTCCCAACTTTGCATTTCTCTCCTGAAGTCTCAACGTGTAACGATCTCATCATACATTCCAACCTTATTTCGAATTTTGACAAGTTCCGCAATCGGCATCAACTTTCCTTTTCCGCCGTTGTATAGATACTTGCGGACTTCCTGATCCATGTACGCGTCGAGTATCTCGTTCGAGTTCAGTTCTTTGCACTTTCTAAAAACTTCAGACTTCAAGACGACCCATCTGAAGGATTACCTGGCCAATTTGATAAGAGTTCCTCCTCCGTGCATGTCCACCATCTTGTAGATGTCCTTGTTCTCGGTGAAACTGCGAGCCATCGCTTGCTGCGGTTGCGCTTCTTCTTCGCCATTTCCAATCTTTGTAGGTACACTACCCATGCTGAAAAGCTGAAAGCGAATGGCGAAAGAAAAATGGAATTGGAAGAGCCTGAAAGCCAGAAGCCAGAAGAGTATTCTGACAAGAAAGAGCAATGCGATGACTGGCTCGGAGCTCCTCGGGCAGCTGGATTCGTATCCATACATTGTCGTTTCGAATACAAAAGAATGCGCCGGAAGGAGTACGTTTTATTGCCGACGGATTGCGAAGAGAGGGCAGACGAGGTAAACACACTTTTAGTACATCAAATTGGAACATTCTGGAATACCTGAAATCACAGTACTGTGTCAAAAAGTTGTCAAATAATATCGTGAATCTTGTAATAGAAGGGCTCGTTATTCAAGACAATATATCTCAGCCGTCTGTAGAGATATCAAAAAGTAGTCAACTGACAAATTGCCCATTAAGAGATATTGTATATTGTCTCAGTTGACCACTTTTTGATATCCCGTCAGGAAGCTAAAATATATATAGTTCTGAATGTTGAGGCTCCGCACGCGATCTTTTGATTTCAAGAGACTTTTCCGAGAACTTCCTAGTCCCTCCCTTCATTATTGCTCATCTTTTTTTCCATGTTGCCTTTTTTCCCATCATGAGTGACATCAGCTCATCCCTATTATAGAGAGAAACGGGCAGCACATACATATAAACACATCTTCTATGTTTTCAAGATTCACACGTCCTTTCCCTATCAAACATCCCATTTTTAGACACATTGCAAACGTGTTCATGCAGAATAATAACTCCAACATTGTGCTGAGAGAGAGAGAGAGAGTAATGCAAAAATATTGTGTGTGTGTGTGTGTGTCCTCATTATTTGAGCCGAAAGTCGGCGGCGAGGTATTATACACATCTCTATCCGTTTCTCGCCGTGCTCTTCGCTTTTTCCAATTGGGAGCAATACGGGTGAAGACGTTTCGTCCTTGGCCTCGAGATTCCCTTCATCAAAGTTCATTAACCCTTGAATGTAATTAGCGGGGCGCTCCTCGTCCTTCTCCCACTTGAAATTGGTGTACTCCTTGAGACACTCTTCACGAGAGCTTCTCACTTTCTCACACAAGAATTTGCACGCAGAGTATGATGTCGGAAGAACACGAAAACTATCGATTTCTGAGTTTCATCAACGCGACAGTCGTGGAGGAGATCGGATGGAGGCTTCCGCTTCGACTCATCTATTCCGTCGAGACGTTTCTGTTGATCACCAAGTGAGTCCTTGACTATGATGGTATAGATTTACAATGCTTCTTTCAGTTTCCTCGAATACCTCTTCAACTTGTACCTCCTGCTTCGAATCCGCGCGATGCACTGCAACCTCCACGTGATGCTTCTTCTCTACGGAGGCCAGTACTTCTTCTCAATGTTCTCCAGACTCCTCCTCGTCTATCATCAGTTTATTGGATCGGATTCGTCATTCACAAGCCTTATCTATCTGGCCAACTACACCCGCACCATTTGTCTATTCGTCGCATTCATCATGCTTCCCTTCCTGGTTTTTGAAAGGTTAGCCTTTCTTGCTGTTCAAGTCTAACTTATTATCCAGATGTTTTGCAACTTGTTTTGCGGGTACCTATGAAAATGACCGTCACCTTTGGATCCCACTCCTTCTGATTTCGGTCATGATGCCAGTGAGTGTGCTCTTTGCAGTGGCTTATATAAAAAGTGAGTTTGTACTTGTTCTTCCAGTTTCCAAGTTTACCTGTACTTTCGGTCAGATTGGTTCCCGATCTACGCACACTGCACCCTGCTCATACTCCTCAACATCGGCGGCTCCGTGCTTCTCATCATCGTCACAAAGTGCAACGTCCGTCTCCACAAGTACGTGCTCCGCCCTTAAAACAAAACATCCGTCTCATCTTAATTGTCTTCGCTTTCAGCTCTTACTCAGCAATTGAACACTACCGACTCTACTCGCTGAGCGAGCGCTTTCAAGTCTCGGAAAACATTAAAACATGCCAGTGGCTGTCGCGCATCCAGGGCTCCATTCTGTTCTTCAACATCGCCTGCGCCTCCATCCTCATCCTCGAGTACATTTCGATGGATGAAAAGTTGATCATAGTGGCCAACGTCTCGTTTAACATGTTGTGCACGTTGTACGCTGCAATCGTACCCGTTGTAGTCATTAGTTACACCCCGGAATGGTCGAGAGAAACACTAAGATTGGTGAGTCGAATCTGCAGGCTACCCCATGCACAATATTCATTTTTACAGTGGCGTATAATCTTCTCGAGATCCGACGACGAGCGTCGCAACCTGCGGACTACATTCGGCGAAGAAATGAGCTATTCGGACAAAAACATCGAGTCGCAAGTGTACTTTGATCAGCTTCAGAAGAATCTGACGAAACAGGCGATGCACAAGTTAAGGAACAAGAAAAGAAACTCTTCGTTTAACAACAGTGAACAGGAAATTTTTTTGTGATGATGCTCAGTTTATACATATACAAACAAATACAAGATCTGATGCTTTATACTTTCACTTCTTCTTGCTCCCTTTCTGCCCCTTCTTGATCCATTTTTCGCTCAGATTCAACGGCTCCAACTCGACTCCAGTGTCCTTTTCGAAAACCATCAATCGATACGTGGAGGGAAGAAGCCACGAGGCCTCATTGCTCAGTTTGACGTGATAATATCCGGGGAACTCGCAGACGTAGTCGAACAGATCTATAGCTGGCAGGCCACACTTTGGAATCGGAGCCACCGCCAGCTCCATCTCATTCTCGGACGCATTCCTTTCAGTGGAGTAGTAGAGGGTGATTGTGATGTCGTTCTCGTTGTGCGAGTACATCAGAAGCTCCGTCTCCGGCTTGTCGACCTTGTAGACCAGCATTCGGTTTTTGGCTGAAGTTGAAGTGGTTCTCAGAGATTCAGAAATGAGTAGCACTTACACGCAGACACGGACACTTTGTGCAGTTGTTCTATAGCCGGATAATGCGACGGCGCCTTCCAGTACAAACTCTTCGGGACCGGCTCCATAGGTCTCAGACACTGAGCATCCGGAATCAGTCCCCCGTACCTCTCCGGCAGGCAATCTTTGTCCACAATCTCCAACAGCTCCTCTTTCCAATTCGACCCCGCAAACACTATTCTCTGTTTCGACTGTTCCGGAATGAATGGCGAGAGGGCCGACCTGAAAAATGATTTCAATATACATAATTTGTTTACAGACAAAAGTACCATATAACATTGATCCAACTGGGCGAGTTGATGACGATGAACTTGTCGATAAACTCGCGGTAGTGCTGAGCGACAAGCTGCCACGAGACACGGAATGGACCTGAAAATAAGATTTGAGAACATGTCTTGTAAGGTGACTCTTTCTGACCAACCATTAACCACTCCAAGTAACGTTGGGTCGAAATTCAGACCGTCGAGGTCGAAAATGTAGTGCATGTAGCCTTGTACATTGGTTTCCGCTTCCATCTTCAAAAAAGCTCAATCAATCCGGCGGCCATAATCGCCTTCTCACCTTCATAATCCTCCGCTGAATCTCTTCGAACGAACGGAACATTTCATGGAGATACTCGGTCGGCTGCACCGCCTTCATCAGACCGCCCACGTCGATCCTTCCGGCCCGATCGACCACCACGAGCCGATCGCCGCCCTCCTTCCTCTGCGGTCCGACAATATCCATCGGCGCGTGCGTGCGTCGAGCATCGCTGAACTGCAGCAACGACTGCGCTTCCGGCTCGTCGAGCTTTCGATCTTTGCGCCATTTCAAGTGCTTTTTGAGCAGATGCACCGTCTTGGGAATGTTGAAATCGTTCGACTGGAGCCATCGCAGAATGTTCCACTTGGTGTCGTAGCGCGGGTCAATGACGTCGGCGACTTGCAGACGCACCTGCTCCACGGCCGCCTCGTTCATACTTTGAATGTCGAGAGCGGTGGGCGCGTTCGGCGCCATTCACTTCTGAAAAACACTTTGAGAGAATCAGGGAGAACGGAATGAAACAGAATTTTGAAGTGAATTGGAAAAGGAAAATAGAGGCGAGGAAAGGGATTTGAGAAGTGCGGGAAGAGAACTGGTTCGGAAAGAGAGAAAAGAAAGTTAGTTCGAAAAGGGAGGCAGGAAGAGAGAAAATGAATCGAATGGCAGATCGGCAAGTGTATCAAAATCGAATGACAGGTTGTCTGTGACCCGAAACCGGATGTCATTCAATCATCAAAAAATACGTATATTATTTTGTTTGTCTGGCCACGAGCGAAAATGCAACTAAGCAACAAGGCATCAGAGCGCACTTTCCACCTGAAAACACTCGAACATTTGTCAAACAATTTAGTTCATCACACCTTTTATAGCAAAAGAAGAAGAGAACAAAAATAGAGAGAAAGAGGCAGCAGTTTCAAACAATTCAACAAAGTTTTCGTGTAGACAAAGAGGCTAGAAACGGGACGGGAGGTGTAATACAAACCGCAGTGCTATTGTATAATAGAGACGAGGAAATGTGAGGTTGATTGAAGGAATTGAAGCCAGTTCTTACTCTCTTTCCCGCCCATTCCTTCCTACTTTACTACTACTGGCAACTGTTCTCACACCTTCTAGTCAGATAGATTCCGAACCGAATCCAATCATCTGTGACATAGAACCGATAAAGCTGGGCCGAAAAAAGCGCATAACATATGATTGTTGGCTAGGAGGTTACGCAAATGATGATAGAAACGAGAAGATGAAGGTCGGCCGCTTTGATTCGTCTCTGCTGACATTGGCATTGAATGCATCGGATGCGTAAACGAATCGAATCAAATGGTTTATGGTTTGTTGAATCGAAGGACACAAGAACGAAAACGAAGAGGTCTTTCTGGAGGGGAACTCGATTCGGACACGTGTTATTAAGCAAATGTGACAGGTGATGCCGTTCTTTCTCGTTGTCAAGCGTGATGGCACGGCTAACTAGTGAGGAGGACACGACGTGTCGACGTAGCTACGTAAAACATTTTTATTTCGCGCAATGATAGTGACAATGATGTGGGTGAAGGCGTTGGTTTTGTGTGGATTCGTACATGGAAAATATAAAGATAACACTGGTAATTTGCTTCGCTTAACCTATATTTGATGTAATGTACAGAATTCGATGAGAAAATGAAGGAAATCATACGGAAACGGGCGGGCGGTGATCCGAGTTTTCTTCGCGAATACGTCGACGACGCGGGAGTTCCGAGGAGCTTCCGACCTGAAAACTACACGAATCCACCGTACTGTTTCGATATCGCCGACAGGATTCTGACGCATAGAAAGTACGCGGAGTGCACAATGATGTCGGCGGTCAACGGGTTAGCTGTTGGTTTTGATTTTGAAGCATTAGTTGTTGTGTTTCAGGTCGACTCTGCTGTTGAAATCCTTCCCCGCCTACGATCGATTTATTTTCACAGTCGCTTTGTTGGAGTTGAAGAACGTCGAAGTAAAGTTGGAATACGAGTCCGAGCTCACTTACTTGTACTTTTCGTCGTTCCGCAAATGCGACAATTGTCTGTTCAATTTCGTGAAGAACCCCGCTCTCGTCGGCCTTTACTTTACGAATTTGGAGAACAAAACGGTGATTGCTCAGGTTCCTGTGCATTGTGAGCGCCTGAGCACACTTACTTCACGAGACTGAATTCAAATTCAGATCGTCCGAAGATCGTTCTACGTGGCAACTCGCGCCTCAAAATTGTCGAGCATAGAAAGCGAGAACGACTGATGGGATTGTGCAATCCGGAGCTGTGTAACCTTCAGTGGGACACCGAGTGTCATTTCCGTTCGTCGATCCGAAGTTCCGAACAGTACAGTCGCTGCCGCCACGTGTACGGTGACATGTCCTTCCAGCCGAGATTCCAGGAAGTGTTTCCGTTGTCCGCACAATTCACAATCGAAGGATGCTTCTATTTCAACCGCACCGGCATCCGATTCGTCAGAGAACTGCTGAAGGTGAAGACGAACTGCTCACGGCAGCACGTTTTCGAGCACAACGAGTACATGTGCACGGATCAGATCGACGAGATGAAGAGGCATTGGGGCGAGGATAAGGTGAAGGTGATTTCCGATAAGTCGCCCATCCACTGCTACCGTAAGTTTTCCGGAGTTCTCATGTGTCCGACGTACGTCAGTCTCATTTCAGAAGGAGAGTGTCGAGGAGGATTCATAGCCGAACGGCATGGCGACAGACACGTCGGCTGCGAGATCTTCCAGGGCGATGTGTACGTGGCAAACATTAGCGGAAACCTAACGGACGGAATTCGTGATATGTCGATGGCTCACTACATCAACGGACGTCTCCAACTGTCGAACAATCCCTCGATCACCGATCTGCCGTTGCCATTCCTCAGAGCTATTAAATCGAAAGAATGTGAGCGATTTCTGGGTGCAGTGGATCGTTCATGCGCTGTTTAGGTCCGGCGTTTTCGATAGTGAACATGACAAACTTGCGGAACGTCGTCTTCCACCCACACATCGAGTTCAAGTGCGACGGCAAAGGACCGACGGTTTTCATTGAGAACGCTCCGAAGCTCTTCTTGCACAGGGAAATGCTCACAAGAATGAGAATGAGAAGCTATAACTTCACCGAGTTCGACTATGAAATTCACAACTTTGGCCTCGACTCGGTGACGTACACGATGATCGGCTGCTGTGTCGCGATCATTGTCGTTGTGGAAGTGTACATGTTCCTTCGCAACAGCCTCCTCCTCCCCAACTTTCTCTATCGCCTGTTCCCGATGCAAGTGCCACGATACCCGCGACAGAAGCCTGTGAAGAAGAGAAAAGTTCAGTAATTAATTGCATCTTTATGTGATTAGTAATTGAAAATATGCGAATCTTTGACAACATTAACCGTACTCACTCGACCGGCACGCGTTCCGCACGTCAGCAGCGACTTTAGAACTTGACGATAGGGGTTGTAGATCAAAATGGTGCAGAGCGAGGAAAGAGTGCCGTGCGAAGAGAACATGAGCACTTGCACATTGTTCATCGTCTGATCGTAGTGTGCTGTGGGGATAGAGAAGCAGAGGTAAATGGAAGGAACGACGAGGACTACGGTGGGAATGGCGACCTGGATACAAAGGCAACGGAACAGTCTACTCTGCATTGACCTCGTTCGCAACGACACCGATACGTTGATTGTGAAAAAAGAAATGTACACGGTTTTGACGACAAAGAATGCGATTTGTACGATGACTACGGTAGCGAAAATGGAGCAAGAGAAAAAGGCGAGCCAAGTGGATTCGGCAGGGAAGCCGACGACGGCCTGATCGTCGAAGAAAAGCGGTGTTGGACATGGAATCACTGTAAGCGCATTCATCTTCTCCACAATCTGTCGCTCGTGCGGAGTCCACGCGAAGAACGAGGGAAGCAGAAATGTGGAGGTGTAAATGTAGTTGATCGCAATGAAGCATTGCTTCCCCATCGCCCACTTGCTGAGAATGTTGTCTGGTGCGACGGCGTCATAACGCGTCTCGAACAGAATTATGAGTGAGGTGGCGACGCCGGAGATGCCGATTTGGCCGAGATATCCGATGACGACGACGGGAACGCCGTAGTGGTTGAGCACTCCGAGCGAGACGCCGCAGAACGTTGGCACGAAGAGGTAGCCGATGAGCAGAACGTTGAGAGCATTGTCACAATAGAAAAGCCTGTGAGGTGGGAGGAGTAGGTGGAAGTAGTGAGATGTTGAGAACTCACCAAACGTGTAGAACGAGTAACTCTTTTCGAATGCCCTCCATAGCTCGCGGAGTTTTGAAAATTATACAATAGAACGCGAGAATATGAATGGGAAATACGGCGGTGGCGATAGAAGATGTGATTCTCACGTAGTTATTCGGATCATCGAAAAACGAGCTGTTCTGATTACAGTGCCGCAGGTAGTAGCTATTGTAATACTCCTCGAACGCGGGATTCATGATGCCTGGACGATACGTGTCAAACGGCATTGTGCTGCTTTTTCAACTCTACCCATTCCACCTGCTTTCTCGTCAGATCATTTTGAAATTGAATTTTGTTTGGAGAACGAGCAGGTATAATGTATTCGATTTCTCGATCACTCTTTATGAGATTTAGCATGATTCATTCCGATGTTAACATCGACCCGTTCGTTATAACGGAAGTCGCTGAAAACAACAACAACTCTCGAGTTGGGCGCTCTGTAATCGGACTTGCTCTTTGTGTACTTCCGATAGAGAGCATTGATGATGACACACGTGGAGGGGAGGCCGTGGAATGAGAACCAGATAATGATGAGGTATCAGGGTCTCCAGAGCTTATGGGGTTATTCAGGCTGTGAAAAAAATGATTGCATTCCGTTTTTTTCGTTTTTTTACGTCAAAAAATCCTATTCAGCGATGTAAAAAAAACGAAAAAAAAACGGAAAACAAACATACGCTGAATAGCCCCATTACAAATAGAGCGTTACGTTGGCGCGAAATTCAAATTTTAACAGCAAAGCTTGTGTTTTTTGCCAGATTAGCCACGAAAAGCCGATAATTTCTCATTTGTCTCTCGATAGACCGATTGTATAGGCTATTACGAATTTTTTAGGCGCAAGAGCGTTAAATTTGGTCAAGTCGCAAATCACATTTATCCGTTTGAAGGTTTTTGGCTAAAATTGCGTGAATTTCAGTTGCTTTTCGGCAGTTTTCGCGGTTCGAGCGCTCAAAATGCTTGTATTTACGTGATTTATCATTCTCAAAACCAATTCTGTCTGAAAACGGTCAAGAAAGCGCAAAATGAGAAGTGCGGTTTTTAGGCGGCGATCGGCGGCGAAGGCGAAAAAGCAAAGTCCGCGAAAAATGCGCCAAAACGTCATTAATTCTGAGAATTAGTGTGTTTTCCTTGTCGAACAATCATTTTTCATCGCCGTTGACCACAAAAAATCAGAGAAAACCTGCTCAATTCACGTTATAAGAAATCGGTGAGCAGAGACGAGATGAGATGAAGAACGAAGAATTTGTGATCTATCCCGTTAAAAGCTGTTTCAATAAACGTCAGCGACGGCCGCATTCAAACAAATACCGACTATAGATGGCTACTCTCATAATTAAATTCCCATTTCTCTATGTAAAATGCTATCGAAATGTGACATTCAATCAAGAATCTTGCTCCTCTTCGCACTCTCTCTTCTCGTCCTCGCCTCCGTCTTGTTCCTCATCCATTCCACGTCAATCTATGATCTCGACTCGACAATATCCGACTTCTCGTCGATTTATTTGGAGCATGTGAGAAAGTTCAAAGAGCCCTATCCACCTATGCTCATCGGAGCCTATGAAAATGAGCATGGAATTTCGGTTTCAGTGGCTGCGCTCAAACCAATCGGGTATGAAATTCAATTGATGGTTTACAGTTCAAATTGTGTTTTAGGTACACTGTCTACTGTCGATACTTTGACAAAACCGGCAAGGAACATGAGAAGCCCATGAAAAGCTTCGTCTTCCCGTTATTTGTGGTGTTTTGCGATAGAAAGACACCGGAAACGTATCGAATTGCGATTACGGACAGTCCGACAACCTTGGTATACGAACAGTTTCAAACAAACGTCATTAGATGGACCGGTAAGCGTATTTTTCGAGGAAAAGAGCGAGAGAGCGAGGGAAAAGAGTCTTCCAGAAAGTTACACTCGCTTCCTAACGCATTGTGCAGCTCCAATATTCGGAAAAGAGCCGAAATGGTTGCATTTGGTGGAGATGATCGAGCACTACAAACTGATGGGCGTCTCCAAATTCTACTTTTACGTCCGCGAAATCGATCCGTACGATTTGGAACTGCTGCGGCACTACGTTGAGAAACGGGAAGAAGTGGAAATTGTGGAGGTTCCTTCCATTTACATGGATGCGGTCTCACAACAGTTGCTCGCTGTTGCTGTAAGTTTAGAGAAGGACGGTAGAAGGAAGAAGGAACGAGAAGTTTAGGACTGTCACCTACGGAATAAATTGTCTGCGAACTGGACCATATTCTCAGACATTGACGAAAGAATGATAATGACGGATGAGAAAGAGACAATATCCAACTTTCTGAGGAACTCTCTCGGCGACTCTTATGGAGCGGTCATGTTCGCCCAACGATGGATCTTCAAGCTCGATCAGCTACCCGATCACTTCATCAACTATCAACAGGTACTATTCTGTGTTGCGGCAACAATACTCATCTTCTTCAGGTAATGGAACAAATGCCAACACGTAAATGGGAGGTGACTACACGCGCGGCGGTGAACTGTACGGAAGGGAAACACTGTTGGGGGAAGATGATTATAAACAACAGAAAGGTCCTTCAAATGTTGATTCACGATGTGGGCGAGTACGAAAACGGATTCGAGCCGTGGATTCTGGATCCGAAAGTTGGATACATCAGGTAAACAATTCGTTCTATTCGTGTACAGGCTCATACGTTCAGGCACTATCGAGACGTGAAAATGGGCAATTGGTTCAAGAGAAACAAAGATCACTTGGAAAGTCTGAAACCCTTTGAAAACACTACTTACAATAACCATCTCAAATCGACGCTTCTCTCCAATGTTTTGCAAGTTCTTCATGAGGTTTACGATCGTCAATGAACAGTTTTCCATTCGTCACTTTCTTTCTCTCCTATTCTTGTAAAACGGAACTCGAACTAATCAGTCACATGTTCCTGATCTAACGTGTGTGCAATGCAACACGCTGTCTCCGTAAATTCCGGCTGATAAGAAGCGTGTCTTTTCCTGTGCTCCTTCTCTCGCGACAAGTACAAAAGGTGTCGCTCGCCGACTTTTGTGACCCTCTCATTCGTGCTGAAAATGCTGAAACTGCTCACGCTGTTCTGCGTGCTCTACACCGTCCATGGCTTGGTCCTCCCGGCCACCAGTAAGTGTTCATAGTCCTCCTTCCCCTCACACGTTTCTTTTCTTCTCCAGTGCTCGCCAGCTACACGGATGACTTTGCCCGCAACAAGATGCTCGCGCTCGCGTCGGCCGCCTACGCCTCCAATCCCCAACACTGTCTCGATTCGAAGTTCACCAACGCCCAGCTGAAGCGTCAGATTTACGTGAAGAATTGCGCGCTGCTCAGCAACGACGTGTGCTCCGGCTACACGGCCGTGCTTCACGACGACAAGGCGATCGTGGTCAGCTTCCGTGGAACTCAGGGCTTCCTCCAACTGATTTCGGAGGCCAACAAGAGTGTTTTCGAGAGTCAGATGGCTTGGGTGGCCGGAGGAAAGGTGTCCAAGTACTTTGGAGACGCATTCACCAAGGTTTGGACGTCGGGAATGAAGGACGACTTCGCCGCGCTTCTCGCTCAGAATCCCGATTATGAAGTTTGGGTAAGATAACACTATTTGCATTGTGTCGAATTGCGTCAGCGAGCGATACGATAAGAAGTGCCATCTTTTGCCACAGAAGTCACAAAAGAGCTTGTTCAGGTGGCTGGCCACTCTCTCGGAGGATCGCTCGCTTCCCTCGCCGCCTCCTACGTCATCGGCACGAAAGTCGTCGACGGATCGCGCGTGAAACTCGTCACCTACGGAGAGCCACGCACCGGAAACAAGGATTACGCGCACGCGCACGACGCCCAACTCGCCTTCTCCTACCGTGTCACCCACAATCGCGACGTCGTGCCACACGTTCCGAACGAGGACTACATGGGATACTATCACAACAAGTACGAGGTCTACTACCGCGAGACGATGAAGGCCGGCGCCAAGTACACGCTGTGCGACGGCGATGAGGACAACAGCTGCTCGGACGGACTGTGGATCACCACTTCGATCGACGATCATTTGCACTATTTCGAGCACGATGTCAGCGATTGGGGAGAGAAGGGGTGCAACTGACAAGTTGGAGTGTATACTATCGAAGCGTTCTGTCATAATAAATATGAATTGATCGAGAGCTTTATTTGGCGACAGACTGCGCAATATTGGCTACATGAGCATGAGCTCCCAGAACAAGAGTGGTTCCTCCGTCGGCGACAATCGTCTGTCCGATGATGTAGTTGGAAGAGTTGCGGTCAGCCAGGAAAGCGATCACTTTGGCAATGTCCTCCGGTTGACCACAGAATCCACGCGGAATACACGCGCGTTGAGAGCCGAGGTAATCGTAGAACTGAAAACGAGCAATTGTAATGTTGTGCAGTACGCAACTAGTGAGTCGCTCACCGCTTTAGACTTCTCCTCGGAGAGTCCTCTAGCGACGGAGGAGAATCCAGTGACAACTGCTCCAGGGCTCACCGAGTTCACTCGAATGTTCTCGTTGACGAGGTCGATGGCGGCCGTCCGGGTGTACTGATCGAGAGCCGCTTTCGCGATGGAATAGTAGGGGTTGGCGACTTGCTGAATGAGAAATTGTCGTCATAAAATACCGGGAAAAGGGGTAGGCTCACAGCTGCCGGGCCAGCTCCGATGCTCGAAACGTTCACAATCTCTCCCTGCGTCTTGGCCAAGTGCGGACGGATCTTTTGTGTCATTGCAATCACACTTTGCACGTTGAGCTCGAGGGTTTTATGGTAGGTATCCAGTGATTGGTTCACTCCGGTTTTTCCCCCGGCATCGGGGATTCCGGCGCCCGCATTGTTCACCAGAATGTCAATCTTTCCGAATGCATCCAAAGTCGTTTGAATCAACTTGTCCTGATCTTCCGACAAAGTGACATCGCCGACGAACACGTTCACGTGACCCGCCGGGACGTTTGCCTTCAAAAGTTCCTGTCGGGTCTCCTCGAGTCTTTCCTCATTTCTGCCAGTGATTGTCACTTTGGCGCCTTCCGAAGCCAGAAGAATGGCGGTGGCACGACCGATTCCATTCGAAGAGCCTATGATTACAATTATTGCAGCCGTAGAAGTCTGGCAGTCGCGCTCTACCGCTCGATGACTTCGGGCCCAACTACAATATAGTTGCTGAACCTACCAGTTACGATAGCGACTTTATCGGAGAACCGAGCCATTGTTGAACCTAGAGCAAATATATCGTTTCAGAATGGAGCATTTTGATGCTTTTCCACTTACTTATACGGGTTCAAAGACGCAGACAGCTGAGTCCAGCGGTAAACATTGCACAATTTGGTGACAATCTTTGTGTTCTGCAAGTGGATTTGTGACTTTGGGTGTGATTTGGACACAAAATTTTATGTCTTATTGAAAAGTGTTTTTGTGCTCTTCTGGTTCTTCGAATTCTTCCGAACTTCCGATTTTTCCGACTAATCCCAACAAGGCACGGTGATTCTTTGCGAGGGTGTAGTGAGAAACCCGCCGCGAACTCGGCCACCATTCAAAGAAGGGGCGTGGTCTTGCGCAATTGCCGCACGCAATTTTGCAAGTTTGGCGCGCGCGCTTTCTGTTTAGCCGCAATTGTTTCCGACAGCATTTTGAAGACGTTCTTACTGCTTTTCAGGAATATTACACAGCGCTGTTATTGGTTTTTGCTGTTGGCAATTTTTCTCTGTCGATAACAATTACTAAAAAATAATAAAGCTTCTATAAACTGCGTTCTTTCATGTTTGAGATGAAAAAATACAAAACTCAGCCGAAAACAAGCATTAATTGACAGAGAACAAGCGCTAAAATATGAAACAAGCGCGAAATTCGTGAAAAATTCCCCATGGCCGAGTTTCTTCGGTTCGGCCTCCTGGCCTAACTTCTGGCGTGGCCTAATAATTTCTTGTTCAGCCGGGGGACTCGGCGGAAACCGTGGCCTAGTACCACGGCCTGCGACCCCGGGCCAAATGGACTAGAATTTTCCTCGTCACCCTCGCAAAGAATCACCGTGCAAGGAGAGACGAGGCAGTGTGTGAATTTTGGAGGGTGCAGATGCGAAAAGAACAACGACACTCCGTTTGCCGTATTCGCCTTGTTTAGCGAGGCTCATCCAATTTTCGAGTGTCAAAATGTTCGATTTTTGTACGTTTCACAAATAATTTTCAAGTTTTATATGTTTTGAAAAATTCTTCAAGTTCTAAAAGCTTTGTTAGTCACAAATTAAAAAAAAGGAAACCTCATAAAACGCTCTTTTTTGCTTTCCAAAACTTTAACTCGTAATTTTTTTATATTTCATTTTCAGATCATGGGTTTTTCACCTTTAATAGTATTATCAGTACTCTGTCTACTGCCCGTTACACTGGCCAACGTGTACAGCTGTGCGGGATTCGTCAAATCGAAATCAGCGATAAATTATTCTGATCTAAAGGTATTTTGTTCGAATCTCTTCTGAAAACTAATCTTCAACAAGTTCAAGGTTAAACTTCTCACAGTGGAAGGACATCTGAAACACGAGGAGGAGGTGAATCCGTCAAATGGCTACTTCATGATACCGGTGTACAACAAGGGACAGTACATTCTCAAGGTGTCCTCTCCAGCTGGATATTTCTTTGGTTTGGAAATTTGTATTTAAATCAACCTGAAACTCTATTTTTTAGAACCTGACACGATTGATATTAAAATCGATGGAGTGAGTGACGCGTGCTCGACCAACCAAGATCTCATCTTCGAGCTGAAAGGATTCTCAGTTCGCGGAGTTGTCGATGGCGCGCCGCCCGGCCTCTTGCTCGTTCTCACTCAGAATGGAGAGAAAATCGATTCGACAGTCACGCAAGAAGGCGGAAAGTACGAGATGAAAGCGCCATCTGGAAAGTACGAGGTCTCCACTGGAGCCGGAACCTCGCAGTGTATTTCGCGCGGAAAGACGTCCGTTGAAGTGTCGAACGCCCCGGTTCTTGTCACTCCGAACCTCAAGATCTCTGGATATCAACTGTCGATTCACACAGAAACCGCTTCGAAGAAATCGCTCTCGGGTGCTGTCATCAATCTCTACGCCACTTCTTTCATTGATGTAAGTTCACAACTTCAGTGGATGCTACAATTTCCATAGCTCTACTTTCAGCTGCCACACATCAAGTGCGAAACGAGTGAAGGAGCGCTAAACGTGCCGACCACGCATAATGTGAAGTGTGCCATCGGTAAGACCGACGCGAAAGGACTTCTTTCCGTGGCCTGTGTTCCATCTGGAGAGTATTACGTGACTGCTGCTCATGAGGACGGATTCAGCGTCATTGCTTTTGCGCCGAATACTCAGAAAGTCAAGATTTCACAAGCGGCCAGTGACGTAAGCGTGAAAAACATGGCGTTTTAATTTAAAAATGAATCAATTTCAGGCCAAATTTGTGGCGCACTCCACATCTGGACGTGTTCGTGTGCTTGCCAAAGATCTTCCTCTGTCCGGAGTTGAAGTCCTTGTGAATGGAAAGAAGAGCGGAAAGACCGATTCGCAGGGCTATCTGCCTCTGGAAGGACTCAAAGAGAACGATGAGACGACTGTCACGGCCGTTGCGCCGCACACGCAATTCAACACGGTTCGCGTGAATGTGCAGTTCCCGAAGGTCAGCGTTGAAGACGTGAAAGTTCAAAAATTCGAAATCTGCGGACAATTGGAGAAGTCTGAAAACGGAAAGCTCGAAACGCTCACTTTTACACGAAAGGACGACAAGAGATCGCTGGAGATCAGTCCGAAGACCGATGGATCCTTCTGCCAAGCCGTCAGCCCGGGACTGTTCATCATCGAGCCAACTGACAAGACATCATCTCTCACTCCACGCCTTCTGGATCTCAATGTTCTGACGAAGCCAGTCACGGATCTCCAGTTCACCCACTTCAAAACGAACGCCCACGTGCATGTCTCGTGCATCGGAGCCTGCCCGACTTCCACTATTTCGCTCTTCCTTCCCGGACAGACACTTGTGCGAAGTGTGCGTGGAACCGACGTGTTCGTCTTCGAAAACATCGGCCCAGGCACCTACAACGCCCGATTGGATGATAATGGCCGCGGCTGCTGGGAGAACTCGGAGATGGCATTGAATGTCGTCCAGGGCAAGCCACAACCGACCATCCACTTTGTGCAGAATGGATTCGCCGCTCAAATCGAAATCTCGCACCCGGCTGACATCAAATGGACGAATGCCGACAAGAAGCAGCTGAACGGCAGGACTCAAACGAAGGGCGGAGAAATCATCTCCATCTGCGTTCCGACTTCCGGAGTCTACGATGTTTCCCTTGATTCGTGCTACCGATTCGAAAAGCAACAGTTCCAAATCACGGTTCCATATGACGGTGTTCGCAAGGAGAAGGCCGTCGCAGCCAGAATCAGCGGCCACGTCGATTTGGAAGGCGACAAGAGTGCCAGCGTCCAAGTACGTGTCAAATCGAGTGCCGGAGAGAGAGACATTGCTGTATCGGCCGACGGAAAGTTCAGTTTTGAAGAGCCGTTGGCCAGCGCGGGCGAGCCGCTCTCCTTTGTTCCGTCCTCGAGTCTCCGTCTGTTCGAGCCCACCTCGACGGTCATCACTGTTTCCGGAAAGTGCACTGAAAACGCAGTCTCTTTCAAGTCATTCCGCGGAATCTTCCTTGACGGATCCATCAAACCGGCTGTGGAAAAGGCAGTCATCAGAGCTGTTCTCAAGTCGGATAAAAGTGTTTCGATTGAGACAGTTTCGAACAAGGCCGGAAGCTACAAGTAAGTCTTATTGAAAGTGATTCTGATAATAATAGTTTGTTCAGGATTGGACCAGTGAAGAGAATTGAGGACTACGACATCTCCGCCACCCTTGACGGATACAAATTCATTCCGAAGGGAGTTGCCGGACATTTTGAGAGTGCGAAACTCTCGCAACTGTCCATCAAGATCGTGGATGAACTTAACGACGCCCCTCTCGACGGAGTTCTTCTGTCGCTCGTCGGCGGAAAAGGAGCCGGATCCGACTACCGATCGAACAACGTGCTCGACGCCACCGCGCATAAAAACTTTGTCGCCCTGGCACCAGGCGAGTACTTCGTTCGTGCTATTCTCCAGGAATACAAGTTCGCGCCGACCACCTCGACGATCCAAGTGAAGGAGGGACAGCACGAGAATGTGGTTCTCAAGGGAAAGCGAGTGTCGTTCAGTGCGTACGGAAAGATGCGCCTGATGTCGGGATCCGCTGTCCAGGACGTCATCGTCGAGGCGCTTTCGCAAGGATGCGATCTCCATCAGTCAGAAGCCACCACTACCGCCGACGGAACATTCCGTCTGAGAGGTCTTCTCCCGGCCTGCGAATACAAGATTTACGCAAAGTCCTACACTAACGGCACTGCTGCCCCGCACACTTTCCCCCGCCAATTCACCGTTGCAATGACTGCCGAGGACGTGAAGGAGCTCGATTTTGTTGCTACGGCGGTTAAGAAGACGACAGATATCGCCGTGGAAATCGGAATGGACGTTCTTCCGGACATCCAGTCCGTGCGCGTTGTCATTACCAAGAATAACAATGAGCACGTGCAAGTGGTCAGTGTTGTCGCCCCACAACACCTCCATTATCTCGTGAACCTTCCTCGCGACGGCACCGAATATGCGATCCGTGTGGAATCGGAGAGACCTCCACAGGCGTTCACCGCCAAAACGGTGCGTGTGGTGGCCGATCAGGCGATGAAAGTGGCGCGGGTGCCGTTGACGACGTCCAAAAGAGCCAACGACATCGACATCAGCCTCGGTTCACTGCTCTCGTTGCCCTTCTTCATCTCGCTGGCACTCATCTTCTTCAACCAGGTAAGGGCGCAGTTGTTTGATGCATGCTGCTATACAAATAGACGGTTCCGTTGTCAATTATTCATCTCTTTTCTATTTTCAGAATCGGGTAATCGAAATTCTGCAGTCATCGATCGAGTGGGCTCGCAATGCTCTCGCCAATGGAGCCTCTGCTGAAAACAATCAAAGAAGACGGAAATGATCGTCCGCCTGTGTTTTTGACACATTCCTTTCGCCCATATTTCTCAATTTTCTACAAATAGTCTCTTTCCAAATCTCAGACTTGTCTAGTTGTTCAGCTCTTCTTCGGTTTTCGTTTTGTTGTTTTGCTTGACACAGCCCAAAGTATATCGTTTTTCCTTCCAAATTTCAAATTTTCAGATTCCAGACCCCTTCAAAATTCGTGTATTTATTTTCTGATCATTAATAACTATGCCGTCTAAATTATTAAGGATAAATTCATCCCTAGAGCCGTTACTTACTTCTGGAAAATACCGATTCCAGACACGTGCTCTCTGAAAAACAGCGCGAAGGCAAGTACGATCCGATTTGTCTCTTCTCCCCCACCCTTTTTCTTCAATCCTCAGAATTCGGAAAGCCACCACGCAATCCGTTTTGCTACTAATCTCCCGGAAACCTGAGAGCTCCCGCTCATTTTTTATGCATCTTTGCAAATATTTGAAGAAGCGTCGACGGTGTCTGAAGGTGGCACGGGATTCTGAAGGCGGCTCGCAAAGAAAACACGTATCAAAACGCATTGTTCTTTCAAAGAAGGGCCGCCCGAAAAAGCTGACGAGTCTATATCGGGAAGAATGGCGTGGGCGTCCTCTGCCAGCTCAAAAGATTTCTAAATTTGGCTAGCGTAAAGTTAAGTGTGAAAGCCCGTTTTTCGCTGAATTATTAACATTAATTTCGTCGCTTTTATTCCCAAAAGAATCAAAACCAATCCAAACATTCGGCCGTCGGCTCGGTTTGCAAGAATACGTTCTCACGATCGAGCAGCGAAAACAAAAAAAAAATGCGCACTTCTGATCGGTCCGAATTTAAACAACGAAATTGTGGCGAAAAGGTTCGCGCTCGCCCACCTTTTCTGTTTTGATGCGGAAAAAGTGTTGAAATGGAAAAATATGGTGAATATTTAATAGCCCGCGAAGATTTCGACTTTTGCCCCGTCTGCTGCGTGCATTTTTTGCTCCAAAATACGGCCGATCGCTATTTTTAGGATATTTTATGAAATCGAAACCAGCAAGAGTCGGCGAAATTTGAATTTCACTTAACCCTTCGGTTTGACTTGAAAATGTGAAGGAGGGAAATATTATAGGGGCACCGGACAGAAAGGGCGCGCTGTTCGCAATCTGACCGAATTTCTAGGCCGCGAAGTAATTTTTCACTGAAAATGTGGCCTAACTTTTCAAACTCGGCCCCGAGGTCGCTCAATTTGCACTGCAAAAAGAGTTTCTCAACAGAGCGCCATTTCTGTGCGGTGCCCCTATAATATTTCAATGTTTGGTGCCGAAAGATTCAAGAAATGACAAATTTCAAAGTGACTAAGCGTCTTCCACTTTTGTACTTGACATTTTTTCTGTGTTTTTTGGCGGCCACACCCAAAAAAGTGATGACAAACCACGAATTCTCCTCGCCCTCTTTGCACTTTAGCAAACTCGCGATGATCACTGAAACATTGCTCTCCCACGATCCACCAACAAAGATCCCATTGTGTCTCAGTCGATCTGTTAACAATCTCTCGCCACTCTCGCCACTTGCCACTCTCCCTCCCTTATAAATTTCTCATTATTTTGGTGAATCAAACCGAATCAAAAACCGCCGTGTACGGGAGAGGAAGACGGAGACCTCATCGCGGATTCATCGTCCGAACCGCGCCGCTCGCATATGATTTTCCCAGGGCCTTCTGAGGCGATGACGACGACGCGTGCGAGTGAAGGTGTCCGCGCACGCATTGTTTCATTCATTCTATTGCCTACATCCAGTGAGGTCCCGCCCTTCTTTCGCGAAAAGTTTCTCATTTGTGAGGCGATTCTTTCGCTTTTCTGAGGCTGGACGTTTTGCAACCAAAAGTTCTAGTCGCTCCGTAGACTTCTCTACTACATAGCCTTTCATTGTGTTGTAGAGAAATCAACGGAGGACGTTTTGCAACCGATAGCAAGATATCCTCTACTTTCACGATTATCGTAGCATTCAACACAGTTGGAAAGTGTCTTGTAGACAGCCCGCAACCAATACTTTAACTTTGCAAGTTGTATGATAGTTGCAAAACATCCAATAGTTGCAAAATGTCCTGACCTATTTCAAGTGGTTGCCCCCTCCCTTTCTAGACGATTAGGAAACTTCCTCCCGGACGTATACTTTTAAAACCCCGCTCGCCTTTCCGTTTTAATGCCAAACCCGCCTTCTTATCCTCGGATTGAGCTGAAAACGGCCCGATCCGACCTGTTTTCCTGTCGTCGTCTCGTCACTTCACATTTCCACTGATTGATCATCGAATGACGAGGGCAACAAGTCACGAACACACCTAGTGTCGCTGAAAGTTTGAGAGAAGAAGACACTTGTAGTTGTAGTGCCGCACCCGGAAATTGCCTACGTTCGCGAACACGCACTCACTATCAGCTGACGTCGAAAACGAAAACGATTGTGTTTTGACGGAAGTGCAACACCGCAAGACTGCACCTTTGCCAATCTCGCGAAGGCGCACGATCGGATTCGCTGGCCCGAAATCACGAGATTACCCTGTTTTTGTGACAAAGTATTGTATAGTAATCTTTGAAGCCCGGATTCTGAACGAAGATTGATGTCATCCTAATCTTTCAACTCCCACATCGCAACCGGGACTTCGCAAAATTTCCACTCTAGCCAAAGGACATCGCGAATTCCTTGAATTTCTGGTATCCCTCGTAAAAGTACGAATTCAACCGTCTCCCAAGACTACCATTTTTACGATTGTTTTTCCTCGTAACTCGAAAAGCGGCCACAAAGTATTGGCTCACAAAAATTGAGAAACTGAGTCTAGCTCTTGAAGTTTCCGCCCTCCAATTATTCGAGTTCTCACGTCCTTTCGCCACGTCTTCTGACATCATCGGACACGGCCGACTGATTCCGAAATATCTGACGGGGGCAAAATCAGAATTTCAAATTCAAATGCACTTGTCTGTCTTTCTTGCTTTCCAGTCATCAATATTCATTCTATTGTCGCCTTCTTTTCCATCCGCCTTCACCTCCAACACCCCCAGAATTTGCAGGTAATCGCAGAATGCACAGCTTCTTCGCTTCCGAACTCGTCCTCTTCCTCGCCCTTCTTCTTTGTGTCAGGTAATTTTTTTCTCTTCTTCTTCTTCTTCTTGTCCAAAACACATTGTTATTGTGAACAATATGGAGCCCGGAAATGACGCGAGATGCTGAAAATTGATATTGTCGGAGGCCCGCAGGATAACTAATTCTGCAGACTTAATCGGAAGAAGAAGAACATAAAACGAATTGAATTCGTATAGTAGTTGTAGATGACGTGGCACCCATAACATTACAGTACCCTCGCTTTTTATGATTCCCCGTCGCCGCGTTTAGAAAGCATTTTTATGAGAGTGGAGAGGGGGCTCTCGAGCACTTACCATCAAGCCCCGCCCATCAGGCTCGGCGAGCTCTCAGCCCAGAGGTGGCCTCATTCTGTTTTGGAGACACCGATACACTCACTCACTCACAAACATGCAATTCAAACTGTTCGTCGCTCTCGTCGTGGCCGTTGTCACCGTTGCCGACAGGTGAGGGTGGGGGGAGCTAGCTAGGGTTCTAATGGGTCCGCCGCGATTCATCTGTGTAGTCCCAGAAGTTATCAACTAGTAAAAGAAAGTATTAGGACCATAGCCAACAGCTTTTCTCATCCAAACTTTCAGTCTTCATAGAAATCCTAATAAGATCCAGAGGCCAGTAAAGTATACTAAACTGTAAACCTGTAACTTCCGCTGTAACGCCGGGCTGTCGATCAGATACAGTCAATGATCATGTTCAACAATCTCTGAACATCGAATTGCTCAGCAACTGACCGTAATCGTCTTCTTGTTTTTCCCGAGCACAGTCAATGTGCTTCCCCGATTTGCTCATCATCATCGCTGATCCCCTCCCTTCCATCAAGTGTTCGGGTAATCACACGCACACGATGAATAGTGAAAGGAGATAAGTCGGCGCGCATGTTTTTTGTTTTGATGCGTATCAACGAGAATGCACAAATGATCTATGAGCAGGTAGCAAATACAAGTTTACAGCGTGTTCGCCCTGCCGCTCGAGAAGAAGGCCGACATTTCGCAGTTCACGTCGGCCATCAACGGCGCCGGACGCCTTCGGTACGGAAAACGATCGGATCCGGCCATCTGGGAGGAGAAGTAAGTGTGCATGACAGAGTGTGAAGCTTTCGATTCCTTTTGTACCGCCGATCCTAAGCTTGTGAGGCTGTAACTCATGGAAGTTCGCATAGAAATGCTTCTGCGAGTTACTGTAACTAAAACCTTAGGAGCAGCGCTACAAAAACAGTACAATGTACGTACCGGCTTCTCGATTCTAGGCGCTGGTTCAAACCGCTTCCTTTTCTGAACTATTTCCCTGCTTTCGACCGCAAATATAGGTATAAACGCATGGCATGCACCTGAACTTTCGCTCAGTTCGTCGCAGAATATTTCTTTTCAAAAGAGCAATATGTTAACCGGAAGTCGAATGCATAGTTGAGACCCCGATCTCTCACGTCATCACTATGTTTCCTGTTCCGAGAACTCTCTTTTCCCTCCCCTCGCGTAATGTGCATTCTTTTCAGCGCGCCGTCGTCCGTCGAGGAGTACGTCTATCCGGAAGGCCGTTATCCGTACGCTCTGTGAGTGGTGATAATATGAAACGGATTGGGAAATTTTGGGGAGAGATCGGACAGGTGGAAGAGAAACTCATTAGAAACTAGTGCATGGGTGATTAAGAATAGAACACACACGGGCGCCGCTGCGGTAGCAATTCACCTGCAGTTCGGTGAAAGCACCTACATTTCGGGTGTTTTCAGAATCAAACGTGCGTTCAACACCGACTCACTGGTCGCTTCGCTCAACGCTGCCGAGAGATTACGGTAAGATTACTCTCATACTTTTTCCAATCGCTCTTCTTTTTTGTCAGCTTTGGCCGCAAGTGAACAAACAACACCGTCGTCGCCACCATCTCATCTCCAGATAAATAAATTCACTTCAATATCCAAGTAGCGCCTTCCGTGATCTGTGCTGACCGTCCCCGTCCCCCATTTTCTTTGTGTTGTATCAGTCTTTTCAGTCGATCGATCATGAAATTTGTGAGTCTGTTGTGAAAAAGCGTCGCCCATTGTTGAGATGTGTGTGTGTGTGTGTGAAACGGTCGAATGATTGATGAAAGAGGGAAAAAGCTCTGGATTTATTAGAATTCCGAATTTGAGAGAGAGAGAGGAAGAGATCTTTGGAAACAGGAAGGAATTGTGCTTTGTTTACAGAATCGCTCGGCTCAGCTTCAAACTGAACCCATCTGGACACAATAGGTTCTGCTGGTTCTGCGTATGTTCCGTACAATCCTGTTTGCTTTACAACTATACAACTACGAAGTTTGTGAACTCCTACAAACACACTTCCAGAAGTGTGTGCTTCAAAATTTCAAATTGAAACTGGATTAGGCTAGAGCATTGAAATTGATGAAAAATTACGGCGGTTCAAACGACTGTGGTCAACTCAATTGCAGATTGAGAGTTGTCATACATATTTCGTTTATAGAATAATTTATTCACATCGAAGTAACAATAGACTTCCGCTTTCCCCGTTGGCTTATCGAGCTCTTACTCTTGCAAAAACGGCAGAACAGATAGTCGCGATAGTCTCTGACCTGCCAGATCATCAGAATGGTATTCACCGCCGGGTACATTGGCAGAAGAGTGGCGAGAACGAACGGAACTCGCTCACCGAGATCAACGCCAACGAGGCCACTGACCATGTTAAAAGAGCAGGGGAAGATTGTGAAGAGAGCGGGCGCGATGCACTGAACGAGCAGGAGACGGTAGATCGAAGCGTAGTGGTTGCGATTCGAAAGATCCGAGGAGACTTTGACGATGATCCGATGGGCGCAGAACACAATGTTCGCGAGGAAGACGAGGAAGACAAGGAGCATGTTCAGGATGAACACGTAGAACAGGGGGTCGTATTTTTGGAGCTGAAATTGGTGCGATAGAATTCAATCAATGTACAATCGGATCAAGTATGCACATACTTCCAACGAGAATCCCAGGAATGCTCTGCCGTTGATCGAGATTTCCATGTGCTCCCAGACAAACTTCGCCGCCTTCTTCATCTTCTCCTCAGTCGGCGTGAAGCAGTAAACTACGGCGATCAGCCAGTTCGTCAGAATAAGCACGTTGAGAAATGGCGAGAAAAGCACGAGATTGGGAAAAGTGCGAAACCACTCTGCTCTGTAATTTACCATAAAGCTCTAGAAAAAGCTATGATGATTCATGCGAACCTGCACACTTGAGCATACTGAAAAGCGAACGAGTAAGCGATGAGAAACAGTGATTGCATGAAGGAGATGGCGAATGACAATAGAAGGTTCTGACCGAACCTCCCTGTTTTGATGGGTCCCACCGCGAAAAGAACAAAGTCTCCGTCGGAAACGTACCAGTAAGGCACCGCGCAAATCTCGCAGATACTGTACACGACGCCGGTTAAAGCGATCGCGACGAGAATGTGTTGATAGCGAATGAGGTAGATCGGGCGCACTCTGGAACTTTCTCCACTTTCGGATTTATAAGTATATTGTGCTCACCTCAAAGCCACAAAAGTAAGGACGGCACTGAGAAGAGCGGAAATGGATCCGATAATGATAACAACGCATGTTAGGTTCGCTTCCAGTTCGTTTTGAGCCATAATTGGCTGGCCGGCTTCAGAGAAAGAAAAATAAGAAAGACTAGAAAGTAGTAATCGTGATTGAATAACACACCGATTTGGTGTTAAAAATAAGCAAAAAAACACGTGGTGATTTTCGAATCGGGTCCGATTTTATTCGATTTTGTGTGTGCAGAAGGAGTTGAAACTAAACTCAACGTGATCTGGAACAACTCGGGCAAGTGAGTGGAGAGAACTGAAATTGGTGGTTTGAAAGTTCACGATTCTCGAGCACTTTGTACTTTGTTCGTTGATGCTTTAGGAAACTACATAATATTATTTACTTTCGGAAGTGTGGTAGAACTTACAATTTGTTGGCTTTCAGAAATCAGGGGGTTTTGTACGTCTTGTTTTTCGTGCATTGTCAGTATTCCCGAAACCCTGGAGGTTTTACGTCCAAACCAAAAGATAAATATCACTTCCTATTGACTTTCTCTACTGCTAAACTGAAAGTTTGTCAATGTCATTTGCCCTCGTACTGATACCCGCACGACCCGACGTTTCTGTTTCCCGTACACCCCAGCGGGCATTCGTATCCATTAAAACAATGGCCGGGATAGATGTGTAATAAGACACAGACACGCAAAGACGACCAACATCGTTCAAAAACCAGCAACGTCGCGATCGGCTGACCTCCTAAATCATGAGCCCGCTGCTGTCGCTCTCCTCTCTCCCCTTTCTTCTTACCAGTTGTCACTTCTTTTCTTCCTCCTTCTTCTTCTTTATGTTCTTCTTCCTCCTCCTCCTCAAACCGTATTGATTGTTGTCTTACAGATGAGGATGAAAAAGTCACTATTCATCTTGACAATCGCCAGCTTCTCATCGGTTCTGTGCCACGATGGCGCCCCATTCGACTATTTCATGTTCACAACAATTTACCCGACGGCCGTGTGTCGAGCCGACGACGATTCTGTCCCGGATTCGTGTGAAATTCCGTCCGGAACGCCACAATGGACGATTCACGGACTGTGGCCCAACTATGAGAATGGCTCGTATCCACAGAACTGTCAAGGAACACCGAAACACTTTGATGAGCACCTTATCAGAGATATCGAGACGCAGTTGAGGACGGTCTGGCCGAACTTGTACCCGGCAAAGAGCATCCAGTCGTTCTGGAAGCACGAGTATGACAAGCACGGAACATGTGCTCAGAGCGATGATCGATTCGACACCGAGCTGCTCTACTTCAAAGAGTGCGTCCGTTGTTTGAGAGGGTTTTGAGAGATGTTCTGTTGTTTCAGAGTGATGAGAGTGCACGAATCGATCAATGTGGCCGAGGGAATGGCGTCGATCGGACCATCGGACAAACCGATCAACGCGGACGAAGTACTCAAAGCGCTTTCGGGAGTGACCGGAGGAAAACAGTTCCATTTCAACTGTCTCAGAGACAAAAAGACAAAGCAGTTCCTGCTCGGCGACGTTCGGTTGTGCTTGAACAAAGATCTGAGCATTCGGGACTGTCCGGACAGTCGCAATAGCCGCAACAACCGAGTGAGCAGGTTCGGCAGATCCGCCGCGGGCCATCAGCCTCTGCCAAACTTCCAAGTGAGTCAGAAACAAACGCCAGATGTGTTTTATTAGTTTCGTTTCGTTCATAAAACAAAACAAAACAAACGTAAAGATCGCAAAAGGCGGCTGATAATACTTTGACTTGTCCAACTTGTGCATTTTGCGCCTACTCAATGCAAGTGTGCAACGGAGTCGCCAGCTCTGGATTGTAGATGACCGGAGTGGAGCCCTCGTCGAAGATGGTCGTCTCCGATTCCGACTGGGTCGTGTTCGAGTAGGCCATCTTCGACAAAGTATCCGCGCCCGCACCGAGCGCGTCTAAACTCTCGCTGGAATCGGAAGACGTCCAAGAATGGGAAGTGATCGCCCGACCTTCTTGGCCAGTGCTCACAGTTGTCAAGTACTTGGTCTCCGGCATGTACAATTCCTTAAAATGGATTCTTTAAGCACACACTTTTTCGGGAGGCAAACCTTATGGCGACTGATGTGATTGAGTAGGAGCCGAGAAGAATTTCGCTTATCGTTGCTCGCCGCGTTCGGAAGTTTAGTTTCAAAGAGTTTGCACTTGTCAATGAACGGCATCGCGAGAAGCTTCTTCCGCGGCGCCTCTTTCTCTTTCCGATATCGCTCCTTCACCTCCTTCCATCTTTTCTTGTCGTGCACTCCGAACACGCCGAAGATCTCGGCGATCGTTCTGGTTTGTTGGCGAATTTCTTTCAACTCTTCAAGTTCCTCTTCACTAAGTCCTACTGAAATTTGCGATGGAAAACAAACGCTAAACTAAACGTTGACACTAGAAACGAGGGTACCTGAGAGCTCTTTCAGTTTATCGACAGCAGTTTTGAAGGTTGCCATCACTGGTGCAAGGTGCCAATATGAGAATGAACGCGAGAACGGAAAATGTTCCAAAAACACGTCCAAAACAGGCCGGGCCACGTAAATTTCCATTTTTTTCAGCCATGTCCTGCCGAATTCATCTACCTGCCAGCTGAAAATTCTGCCACGTCACCATCGAAATCAGCGGAATCGTCTTCAATTTTCGGGTCCATTTGGAGCGCTATTAAAAAGATTGGAAGCCAGCACTGAAGCCATTGGAAATATTGAAATTTGTATGTAAACTTCGAGACTTTGAATAAATCCGCTTCTTCTCCGCCCATTCTGACCGGCGCCTTCACTTCTTCTCCTCTTCTATTTTGCCCCCTTATTATTATTCGCTTCAAAAATGTCACCCATCTTTGTGTTTTTCTCCCCGTTTTTCAATTATGACCGCTTTCGGAGCGCCCGGAAGGGATCGAAGATTCTTGCGCCAACTTCTCTTCAAAATGAAACGAACTGGAACCAAAAATACGGCTCATTTCCCTTTTTTTTCTGCCGGGATCCTCAAAAACACGCACATACACACACGCACACACTGAATTATCTGCCCCTCGAGTCGAATTTATCTTCCTGCCGCCGCTGCTATTGTAGTATTTTTGAGCTCGTCAACTTTATGGCAACCCCTCTATTAGCGTCAAGGTAGTTGGACAGCTACCGTAATCCGTTCCTCTTTTCCACAACAGTGACAACATGAACACTCATCACTTTTGCTCCTCTTTTGCTCGAAACTCAATCACATCAGCCCCCCTCTCCAACCCCACCCAAATTTACGACGTCACACGCAGAAAACAACGTTTTTGACACCTTCCTTGTTTTCCGGTTTTGGAAACGAAAAGAAAGATTCTGGATGTGTCAGGAGCAGGATGGCTCATGACGTGGCAAATTCGCGATTATCTGGATCATGAACGAGAGAAATCCATTGTGTAGTTGTAGGCGTGTTTTGTAGTAGCAGGTTGATGACGATTTTGATGACGGCGTGCCGAATATGTAGCCAGATTCACGAAGCCAGACTACACGATCTTCTACCGTAACCTTCTGTCTTTGCCCCTTCCCTTGCCCTCATTTTCTTTTTCATTTCCCTTCTTCTGCTTCTTCTTCTGCTTCTTCTTCTGCTTCTACTTTTTCTGTGGCTCCGCCCCATCCATCGTTCAACGACCACCTTTGAAAGAGAGAGAAACCTCCCTCCCTCCATCCCTCCCCCTCATCGGTTTGCTCATTTTATACATTTCAAGGATGCGCGTCCTTGCCGTCGTTCTTCTCCTCCTCAACGTCATCGGCGCCGTGTCAGCGTTTTATGTGTTGAGGACAAGTGGTCGTGGTGAGTATTGTAGATCTACAAATTGTGATTGGGTCTAGAAGCCATTTCCGTTGCCGCTTTTGTTGGTTTTGAATACAAACCAAGAAAAATTTCAATTTCGGAGCCGGAAGTCACGGAAATCTTTCATTAAATCTCTCGCCACATGCCTTCTTGTTTATCCAGTCACCCATCGCCAGAGTCCGGACAATGAACGTCTTGAATCAATTAAGAGCCGCGTCACAATGTCTGCAACATTTCAGCACATGAATAATCTCATTTTTGTCACGTCTCTCTCCTTGCAATCGGTTTGAAATGTGTGAAAAGCGATGAATGAGTAAGAAGGCGCCCACGCCGACAGCGCCCTCTCCCGGGGGAATTAAATCCGCCACAGCTTCCTCTTTGTGATTTGAAACTATACGAAGACATGGGCGGAGAGACGAAGAAGGCAATCATCTGACGTCTTCTCCCATCTCTCTCTCTCTCTCTCTCTCTAGATGACGTTGCCCTTCTCGCGTTCCGTCAAACTCAATTTCCGAAATACATCCGCACAAGTTTGGAGGGCGGGGAGGGCGAAAAAAGTGTGACCTCCGGCTGACATCATGATGATCCATTTTGCAACATCCCTGTGATTGGCCAAATTTTCCGAGCCCACGCTTCGAGCCCCCAAAATTAACCAGTAAGTAGGCCAACTAATGTTGGACCCGTTTTCAAAGTGTTTCCCTGTTTCCGAGCTGTTTTTCTGCTCCGTCATCAGCGGAAATGAGGAGGAAATGAAGGGTAGGAGGGGGGGGGGAGGTGCAACCCACTCATGACAAAATCCAAATCATTTATTCATAAGCCACCATTTTGGAGAGGTGCACGAGAGGGAAAGGTCTCTTAACGTTTACATTCATCCAATATTGTGCCACATTTTCAGACAACACCTCGCCGCTGATCCGTCTCCGTCGCAGCGGAATTCTGTTCGGAAAGCTGGCTCGCAACTGGGCGGCCGACGACAAACGAGTAGTGCTGAGGCCTCTCGTCGAGTACGAACCCGATCCTTTCCAATGAGACTTCGCCCTTCTTTTCTCGCTCGTCTCATGCTGCTCTGAAATGAATGAATCTCCAGTTTCCATCTGTTTTCAACATGACTATGAAGATCCAGAACAGAAAAAAAAACGACGTTTCTGTAATGTAATGAGATTCCAGAAGCTAATTAAATACAGGGGAAAATACGTAGAGAAAGAACACAGAGGCTTTCAGAAGCAAAAAATAAGTGCAGAATGCGTAGGTGGGCAAATTCCATCGCAGACACAATTAAGTCTAGCCTTTCCCTTTAGAGTTATAAATTAATAACAAAAGTTGAATGAATGACGACCGAAATGAGGGAATGCGCGAAGACAAAGATCAATGAACCAGCAGGACTATGTAGTCTGATGTTGTTTTGTAATTGGCCAGAACGTAGCCGCCGGTCGATCGATCGATTGGCCTAATCTCTGTCTCTATTGAGAGAATTTACTTTTTTTTTTGTCTCCGATGAGTCGATACGATGTCGTCGTGTACGGAGCTTCCGGATTCACCGGAGCCTACGTCGTTGAGTGCCTGGCGGCTTCTGAGCAATTCCAACCACTTTCATTCGCGGTCGCTGGAAGAAGCGAGGACAAATTGAGAGAAGTGCTCGCGAGAGCAAGCCAGAAAACCGGGAGTAATGTGAACGGAGCGCCTGTCATCATTGCCGACTCGTCCGATGCGAGATCGTTGAACGAGATGGCCAGACAGGCGAAAGTCATTATTAATGCTGTTGGACCGGTGAGAAAGTGCATGGTTTTCCTTTTCGCACAATAAACGCATTCTTAGTATCGTCTGCATGGAGAAGCCGTTGTGAAAGTCGCCGTCGAGAATGGAGCGAGCCACGTGGACGTCTCCGGAGAGCCAGCGTGGATTGAGAAGATGCAGGCCAAGTACGGCGGCGAGGCGGAAAAGCAGGGAGTCTACGTGGTCTCTGCGTGTGGATGGGACTGTATTCCTGCCGATTTGGGCGTCCACTTCCTCAAAAAGAACTTTGGCGGAGACCTGAATCACGTCGAGTCGTTCGTTCAAATGATCAGCGGACCTTCGGGATACTGTGTGAATGCGGCCACCTATCAGACACTCATTCTGGGTCTGAGCAACCAGAAAAATGATCAACTGGGAGAAGTTCGAAAAGCGATTATGCCGGAACGGATTGTGAGAGGAACGGAGAAGGCGCCGAAGAGAGGGATCATGTGGCAGATCAAGGAGAACGAGCTCGGAGGGTACGCGATTCCGTTTCCGGGTGCCGACCGGTCCGTCATCAATCGGTCTCAGTACTACGACGCGACTAGACAGAACAAGCGGCCAGTTTATGCGGAGACCTACTTCAGAATGGAAAGCAAGATGTGGACACGTCTGTTCATTCTCTGGGCGTTCTTCTTGAGTATTCTGGTCAAATACTCATTCACCCGTGGTATTCTGCAGAAGTATCCGGATCAGTGCAGCTTCAACATGTTCAAAAGCTCAGGACCGTCGAAGCAGCAAGTGGCGGAGGCCTCCTTCGTCTACTGGTTCTTCGGCTACGGGTACAAAGACGCACTTCCGATGGAGCAACAGCATGATGGGCGTCCCGATCGGAAGGTGGTTGCCACGTGTAAAGGACCCGACGCCGGGTACATTGCCACCAGTGGATGCGTGCTTTCCGCTGCTCTCACTTTGATCCTTGACCGAGCGCATCTTCCGAAGCGGTAAGCTTTTGTTCTTGGCATAACTGTATGTGAACGTTTTCAGAGGAGGAGTCTACACAACTGCCGCCGCCTTCGGAAACACCAAGATCTACGAGTATCTCGCCTCGTTTGGAATCACCTATCGGCTGGAAGCAGAGTATAATTTGTGAATGGCTTAGACTCGTATTTTTATTGACCGAGTAGGAACACATTAGCTGTTATGAATTAATTCTAAACTATATACGAATAAATACAGAAAAAGATGACAAAATCAGGGCGTGGTGTGTTCTGAAGTACAGCTCAAACTCACTTTCTGAGACCACTGATAAGCAGCGTTTTTGAAAGACTATAAGAGCGGCGAGTGACGAGAATGTAAAGTTTTTGAGAATGACACAGAATTTATTACTCCTATTGCTTTTCTTGGCGGTTCGTTCTTGACCTTTATCGTTCTTCACATTTTGAACACAACAATATTTAGACGTCTTCGATTGCTCTGCTAACGCCTCAAAATGTTCATTTCAATGAGGCGTTCAAAAGAGGCAAGACAATCGATGGGGAGGCGGGCGTGTCTGTCGGAACTATGTGGCAGAGGCTTAACCATTTCTCGAGAAATGATGAGACAGTATTCGAGCAGAGATACTTTTACTCTGAAAAATACGCGCTCCCTAATAGAACTGTTGCTTTCCTGTTCCTGTTGGACAACACAAATCAGGCGGGGGTGTTGACGGACGATCGAACTCCGTTTGTACGAATTGCCAAGAAAACTGGAGCGGCTTTGTTTGTACTGGAGCATAGATTCTATGGAATTTCGAAGCCATTCGAGTGAGTGATCCTTTCAGCGATGCACTAAATCCATTCAAGTTTAGAACATTTGAGGAGCGAAACCTCGGTTTCTTGAACGCACTTCATGCTGTCATCGATGCCCAAGTCTTCATAGACTTTGCCAACAAACAGTTTGCGCTCGACTCGGATGTTCGGTGGATTGTTTGGGGAGCCGGATACGGAGGATTCCTGGCGACAAACGTCAGACAAAACTATCCGGCCAAGGTCGCGGGAGCCATCGCAAGTTCCGCTCCATTGAATCTTCAGTATGATTTCTGGGGTTATTCTGAACTTAAAAACCAACAGCACACAATGTTCGTCTTCAGAATTCAATGATCACGTCGAGATGGCCATTCAGAAGCTGGGCGGGAATGAGTGTTTTCAGAAGATTAAGACTGGATTCACGAACATTAGGCTAGCGATGACGTCACCAGAAGGCAGGGACAATGTATCGACTGTGTTCCATTTGAGCCCAAAACTGAACGACACGAAACTGGAATCGAATGACATTCAAATGTTCTACTCGGCCATTATCAACCCTTTTCAGCAGATTGTTCAGTATAATAACGACGTGAATTTTTTTGGAAGTATCTAGAAGACTTTATATGTTTCAGTTTGGAATCTCGATTAACGATATGTGCAAAGTGATACTGAACGACACGAAGACTCCGATGGAAAGTATTTATGCCACGTACGATTACTTGAGCATGACTGTCATCGGAGAAGTCTTGCCGTTGATGACTTCATACAAACAACTGGTTCAACATTTGGAAGACGTCAAAGGAACAAGTTCATATAGTGAGTGCTTTACATGATGTTTGTTAAATTTTATGAATTGAAGTTGACCAAAGACTGTGGCTGTATCAAATCTGCTCGCAAATCGGATGGTTTCAAACCACAAACAGCAAAGAGAGCACTTTGTTTGGTGCTGTTCTTCCGACCAGGTACCTTTTCTCTGTCACAACGTCTACACAACTTTTCAGCATATTCCTCGATCAGTGCTTCGACGTTTTCCCAAATGCCAAACAAACTGCTCCATTGCTCAGCAGCTCCGTCCAGTTCAACAACGCAATGTTCGGTGGAGCGGATGGTTTGTCCGGATCCAATTTGGTGTTAACCAATGGTTTCTATGATCCTTGGAGTCGTCTGGGCAAAACTGTGTCGGCAGCGGAGTCCGTGGTCACTTATGTGCTGCCTGACGGCTCTCATGCAAGTGATTTTTTCCCTCGGGACACAAATGATATTCACGTGGAGCAGGCTCATCGGATCATGCTTGAAAACATTGAGAAATGGATTAAAGAGCCGAGGAACCGTTTTGAAGAAAATTTGGTAAAGAAGGCAGTTGTTCATCTGAAAGGGAAGATGAGACCAGTTGTAGAAGGGGCAAATCGATTTGGAAAATTTGAAGAAGTGTCCAAGAAACGATTCGCAACTAGCACAAAAGTCTTTAATAGAAGAACAGTGTTATTAGGAAGACTTTCTGATGGATTACTGCCACAACCGAACAGTTCGGACCTTTCGTCGTCAGTGGAGACGAAGACTTTCAATCAGAACATCGATCATTTCAATGAGACGGACACGCGAACTTTCCAACAGGTGAAATTGCTTTTCATTTCACTTCCAATGAGTTGCATTTTTCAGAAGTTCTTCAAAAACACGCGATGGGCTCGACCAGGAGGGCCAAACTTTCTGCTCATCGGCGGGGAAACGGCAGCTTCTTCAGCCTGGGTCACCTCCAGTGATCTTCCATGGCTCCAACTGGCTCAGACTTACGGAGCAACAGTCTATATGCTCGAGCACAGATACTATGGAGACAGTATTGTTGGGTACGGATCTTGTGCTCCCTCACATGTTATCACTGTCTTTTTTCAGTGATAACAAAGATTTGTCATTTCTGCGATCGCTACAAGCGGTTTATGACATTGCTGAGTTTGTGAATCATGTGAATCAAAACAAGAGAAGCTCTCAAAAATGGGTCACATTCGGAGGATCTTATTCAGGATCCTTGTCCGCGTGGGCACGTGAACTCTTCCCGGAACTCATCAACGCAGCAGTGGCCTCATCAGCTCCAGTCCAGACGAAAACCGACTTCTTCGAGTACCTTGTAGACACGGAGAAAGCCATCCGATTCTACTCCTACCACCAAAATGACCAATGTGCCGACTCCATTTCAAACGGCTTCCACTCTATTCATCAGATGCTTCTCACTTCAAACGGACGGCGCAATCTCTCGGCCATCTTCCATTTGAATCCGGGGTTCGGAGACGTCGTCACTCTCACAGATCAACACTACTTCTACATGAATCTGATATCCGATTTCCAAGCGGCCGTACAATATAACAGAGTGAACGTCGGACGGTTTGCTGGCGGCTATGGAGTCGGAGAGATGTGTCAGATTATGAGCAGCACGGAGCACAGTGACCTGGAGAACATTGCCAGATTTGTAGAGTACATGTCCGATGGAACTTTCGAGATGAACAATCGTTATCTGGACCTGGTGGACTACCTCCGAACTCCTGGATCCACTGCGGCCGAGTCGGATCGCTTGTGGACGTGGCAAACGTGCACTGAACTCGGCTACTTCCAGTCAGCAGACAGTGGAAACGGAATATTCGGTTCAGAAATGTCGCTCAGCATCTATGCCCAACTGTGCGGGGATGTTTTCGGAGAAGACTACGATCGTGCACGATTGGACGCGAATGTAAAGACGACGAACACAAACTACGGGGGAAATATGAACTATCAGGTGACTCCACGAACTTTTTCTTCAAAGGGACAAACTATTATGTTTAGGGAACCAACACAATCTTTCCGATTGGCGCCCAGGATCCGTGGGCTTCACTCCAAATGACGTACTCCAGAAACGAGACTGCAATTTCATTCCGAATGAATGGCGCCGCCCATTGTGCAGACATGTTCCCGGAAAGACCACAGGATGCGTATGATGTGACACGTGTGAGGAGGCTCATTGAGCGTAATGTTGGCAAATGGATCGGTGCGGAGGCGACTAGCACATCGCAAACTTTTGAAACGTCGACAAGGTCTGGCGCTGTGAAATTTCTCATTGTATCGTTCCTGGCGTCCGCTCTTTATGCCATTTTTGTTTGAAATGAATAAATGAATAATAAAGTCTAATTGAAGCCCTCATGATGACTAAAATAACAGAAAACATAATGTGTGTGTGTGTTGTCATCGGAAATGCACCTGCAGTAGCCCTTAGAATAGGCAAAACTCGGTGCCAGTTTGCATTTCGGCGGCAATGTGCTCGCCACAATCCTTCGGCTTTCTATCGTCTCCAGAATCGGTCACAAACGCGTTCCACGTGATCGCCTGCCTCGAAATCCCAATTCACATCCTCGGAACGTTTTGCGTCATCCGGAAAACTCCGCAGAAAATGGCGAATGTGAAGCGGAGCATGCTCATTTTACACACTTCCGGAGTGATTCAAGATGTTCTGATTAGCTCCCTGACCATTCCCTACGTAATGTTTCCATTGTTCGTGGGAAGACCTTACGGTCTTTTGAGTGTATTCGGAGTTCCGATTGCACTTCAAGTATACTTTGTGGTCGTTTCTCTAGCCTGTGAGCGTTTCTAACTTTTGCGGCATGAGTAATGCGCAGATTTTCAGTCACAGGAGTTTGTATATTGTCCGTTTTCGAGAACAGATACTACCGATTGTTCAATGATCACAACTGGGAGCCGGTGCGCAGATATTATCTATCCATCAACTATTTTCTAGTGTTCACATTCTTCACATATCCGATGCTACACATTCCAGAACAGGAGTTTGGTAGAAGTGAAAGCGTAAAGGTTGTTGTTGCTGGTCGCCAAATAATATTGTAAACTTTCAGATACAACCTTGCATAACCGCGGTACGTGGCCTAGAATATCACGACATTTACGTGTTCTCGCTGAACCCAATGCACTGCATCGCAATCATCACAGCAATGCTAACTTTTGTGATTTCACAAATCGTCGCACTCTTCCTCATCATCTATCGCAAACTTATCGCGAAGCATCAACAACTATCCCGGAGAACTTATGAGCTTCAGAAAAAGTTTGTGAAAGCGTTGTTCGTGCAGTTTCTGATAGCAGTGCTCATATTCGCCATTCCAATTCTATGCATCCTCTACACTGTCCTACTCGACATTTACAATCAAAGTACGCCGGTGTTCTCGACTCTGATAGCCTTTACACTTTGGCAGGTATAAACAATATCTGCTGCCTCCTTTTCTCCCTCTACGGACCGTTCTCGACGGTGGCCATGATCTATTTGCATCAACCGTATCGCGATTGGATCAAGCGACTCTTTGTGAAGCATCATCGGAAATTGACACTTTCGCAGGCGCTCGCGGAACATTCGTGAGCTTCTCAGTTAAGTTCAGTGGAAGGTCGAAGCCGAAAACACGACGTTTCACGTTGTTTTCTCAGAATCTCTTCTCTAGAACAACGTCTCGACCGAATAATTACATGGCGAACGCTCGAAACTCATTAGTAACTAACAACTGAACTCGTTTTTTTTTCTCTCTCTCTCATCACAACCATTGTGAGCTTCTGGTTTTGTCGAGTAGTCGCAATGGTTCCAAACTATGTGGAAACAGAAATTGCACCTGTGCCCGCTTCCCTACAATTGTGCAACCCTCATGAGGGCGTTTATCCGATTTGTCACTTCCTAACTTGATTTGTCAATATTGCAAGCGCCTAATGTTTATCCGAGTATTATTGATCTCCAATTTGTTGCAGGAAATGTCCTCTGGATTTCTGTCCTCTCCAGAATCTCTGACCACCGTATTCAACGTGATCACGTGGATAGACTTGCCGATGCACGTCCTAGGGATCTACTGCATACTCGCGAAAACGCCGGACAAAATGAAGAATGTGAAAGTGAGCATGCTCACTTTGCACATTCTCAGCAGTTTAATGGTGTTCTCGATGACTTTCCTGCTCATTCCCTACGTTCTATTCCCCTATTTCGCCGGGAAACCACTTGGATTTCTGGCCAAAATAGGTGTGCCCATTGCCGTACAAGTGTATCTCGGAGTGACTATGATTGCGTGTAAGTGCTTTTGATCACTGTGACAACATAACAGTCTGTGCAGTAACCGCTGTCGGGATATTGTCAGTTTTCGAGAACCGATACTTTCGATTGTTCAATCATTCCAACTGGAAATCTTTGCGCAAGTACTATCTGACCGCCAATTACACTCTGGCTCTCACGTTCTTCGTCTACCCATTCACGACCATTCCGGATCAGGAGTACGGCAGAAACGAGATTTTTAAGGTACGCTCTTGTTCGCCGCACGTGGACCGCCTAATCATTTTCAGAGTGTTCCTCGCCCTGTACTCGAAGGAATCGACCCGAAAACAATCTTCGTGTTTTCTCTGAACCCCGTACCTTCCGTTGCGCTCATATTCTTTGCGGTCGTCCTATACGTGTCCCAAATTATTGTACTCTTTGTCATTATTCTCCACAACTTAATCACAAAGTACCGACACTCATCACAAAAGACATACGAAATACAGAAAAAGTTCATGATCGCTCTCTTCGTTCAGTTCATCGTAACACTTCTCATTTTCGCGACGCCCATCTTTTTTGTTGTCTATTCGATCGTTTGGAGTGTTTACAATCAGAGTGAGTTCTAGTAGGAAACCAATGAGAATTGCATTTTTGTTTCTCTAGGCCTCAACAATATCTGCTTCGTTATATTGTCCCTGTACGGTCTCATCTCCACACTGACTATGATCTACTTGCAACAGCCCTATCGAGAGTGGATTCTTGGCGTGTTCACGAAGAGCACAAGGAAGTTGGCTCTCAGTTATTCTTCCGAAATTCATGTTTATACTGCCAGGCATGAACAAAACTGAAGTTGTCTGAACATATCATATTAATGAACGTGCTTTTTGGTTTTGTTTTCAATTAAAGGTTTTTTATACAAACAGAGAAAACAAGTGTAATGAACACGGGGGCCTCGACAAAAACACGCATCTTTTCGCATTTCGCTGAAGCAATGGCACCGAGCTGGTCTTCTTAATCATTAGAATTCATTGCACTTCCAGACACCGTCTTCCAAGTATTGTAGTGGGTCCAATCGAGTCAAAACTGAATGAATATGACAAAAGGAAGAAATTCAGACAATCGGAACAACCTAGCAACTTGCTACAGTCGCGGTAAAGTCAGAAATGTCTGACACTGTCAGGTTTTGAGGCACGGCGGCCGGTCTTACGTACTTTATATTGTCATTACCCATTCCCCTAACTAGTTGTGTATATCTTCAAATAATATATAAGCTAATTGACCAACCACAGTTGTGTTCCTTGCATTTTTGTTCCAAACATACCCATCTATGCACTTCCAGAAAGCGCAAAAGTGTGTCCTCGTCTCGCCTTCCAAGTCTCTTCTTGCCCAACTCCTGATTCACATTCTGACTTTCTCTTCCCCCCCCTTTTTCTTTCAGTTAGCATCCGACGGAATCTGACGTACATAGTTGGAGAGCCCTCTGTCCACTCATTTCATTTTGCTACCCGCTCATTTAAATGATGGCAAAACGTTTCGGCGAACAGAAAAACTGTGTGATATGCTTCCGACCGGCGATTTGCCACAATTTTGGAGTGAGTTGATTGAATAACTGGTTGGAAATCGCTACGAAACCCTTTTTTAGGTAATGTCATGTGACGCATGTAAAATGTTCTTCCGACGCTCGATGCTATTGGGTGTCAAGTACGTCTGTAAACGCAACAATCAGTGCTTTGAACGTTAGTTTCAGGGGATTTCAGATTAGAATTATCTTTTCATTTTCAGACAACTTCTCGTGCCTTCGACCGCCCTACTGCCGTGCCTGCCGTCTGGAGCAATGTCTAAAAGTCGGCATGAAGCTGAATCTCTCGAACATTCTTGAGATCAGAAACGAGAAAGACGACGCGATCGTCGCCCTGATCGGCAATCTTCTGCACCTGGACAACAAACGGGAACGCGATCTGATCACCACGTTCACCTACGACAATCCGTCGCTGGAGGACGTCGTCGAGAATCGCAAACTGACTATTCGGAGCAGGGTTTGTGTAGAGCAAAGTCGGCAGTCTACCACAATTCAAAGTCAGACAGGCCACAAAGGAATGCTATTTCAGGACCCGAGCTACAAGATGACAAGCGAGGACTGGTGCTTTTTCGGAGCCTACACGGCCGTCAAATTTCTGTTGAGTCTCGGTTTCATGAAAAAGATGGATTCCCAGGATAAAGTCGGTTATTTTGGTATACATTTCAACAGCATGTTCATAACCCCATTTTCAGCTCATATTGCTCGAAAACTTTGTCGCCAAGGCCACTCTGCTGTTCAGCGCGTTACGCACAATGCGGGCGAAGAATGACAAGATGATAAAGCCGGACGGAAATGATTTCTTTCACGAGTTCTTCTCCAGGTTAGGCTTTTCTGCTAGAAGTCACCCTACACTCATTTTCCGTTCAGATGGTCTCATTTCTCTCTTCATTTCACGAACCGCGTCAGAAGTCTTCTGGTCAACCGACTCATCGAACTGCACATAACCAACGAGGAGTTCATTCTGATCACTGTCGTCTTCTTCTGCAATCCGGCACTGGAGAACTTGTCCGAATACGCGAAGAACATTTTGGGCGCGAATCAGAAGGACTACAGTTCTGCACTAATGCAGTATTGCATGCTCACCTACCAGCAGAACGGACCCTCTCGTTTCACGGATCTTGTCGCTCTGTGCACGGTCACCAATAAGTACTTTGAAGATGTCAAGTATCTTTATTGGCTTTTCGAATTTCAGTTTAATGTAAAGTACAAAAAGTTGGTGTCGGGTGTCATTTAATAAACGATTTCTCTCTCCTTCTGATTCACGAGAGTTTAAGGCTTACACTGACTTTATGAACATTGATATTTATCACTTGCACCCATGGCTCTGGAATTTTCAGATAAAAAGGCAGGGAAAAAGTGAAGGCAACGACATATTTGAGTATCAGAAAGGGAATTTGCACTTTGTGCCAGATACTGTCGTGTTGTGTGAACTCTCGAGAATTGTGACAATCGCAGCGGCAACAGCTGAAAAAAAGAAAAAAGAAGCAAGCAACATAATAGTACAATGGAAACGCGTGGACACAGATCATTGCCGCCGTCACGTTTCAGTAGATACGAAGATGTTTGGTCAGATGTCAATTTGTTGTTTTCTTCTTTTTTCTGCATATTAATTACTTTGCAAATGATATGGGTTGTTTCATTCACAATTGTACACAAAGTTCAGTTATCGTTTAGCGTTATGCGCATGGAATCCACTGACCAAAGTGGTTCCTCCGTCCGCCACGATCGTCTGTCCCACAATGTACTCGGAAGAGTCGCGATCGGCCAAAAACGCGATAACCTTTGCGATGTGCTCCGGCTGAGCAGCAAATCCGGCCGGTATCGAGTGCGGATCGGCGCCGAGACTGTTGTAGAAGCTGTCCGATTGCTCGTTATTGAAGCCTCGCGATACGATTGAGAATCCGGTGGAAACGAATCCAGGTCTGACCACATTCACTCGGATTCCTTCGGAAATCAGGTCGATGGCGGCCGAGCGAGAGTACTGATCGAGAGCTGCCTTCGCACTTGCGTAGTACGGAGCTGATGGCTGCTGAAAACTTGAAAAATTAAGAACTTCTGGATGTTTTACTAGTTTTTTTTACCGCCGACGGTCCTGCCGCAATACTCGACACATTCACGATTTCTCCTCTGCTCTTCGCCAAATACGAGCGCGCCTTCTGAGTCAGCTCGATCACGCTTTGAACATTCAAATTGAAGATTTTCTGGTAAGTGTCAATTCCCGACGATGTGCCGGTGCGTCCTTGAGCGTCAGGGATGTTGGCCCCAGCGTTGTTTATCTGCAATGTTAGCCGTTTGGATGTCGCTGTAGCTAGAAGCTCGCCCTACCAGTATGTCAATCTTTCCGAACTTTGCGACCGTGCTCGAGATGAGAAGATCCTGTCCGTCTGGAGAAACAACATCTGCCACGACGACATTGACATTAGTCTCCGGCACTCCTGCCTTCAGAATTGCTTCTTTCGACTCTTGAAGTCTCCCCGAATCTCTTCCAGTTATAGTCACTTTTGCTCCTTCAGAAGCCAACAGAACGGCAGTTGCACGACCGATTCCATTGGAAGAGCCTCAAATAGAAATCGATAATACTCGAAAAGGTATAAATATAAATATAACTAACCGGTAACAATCGCAACTTTTCCTGCAAATCGAGAAGCCATCGTGAGTAGGAAATGAGAATCGTTTGCTTGTTTATATACTGCCGTCCCCGAATGATGACAATTTCTGTTTTCGTCACAAAATATTGTGTCGGCGGCGGAGAAAGACTATGGAAAACGGGGAGGGCAGAGAGAGGAGGGAGAGAGTGGAAACATTTTGGTTTGTGACATTGATTCCATCGGAACTAGAGTGTGTTTGGTTCATTCAACGACCACAGCTGAATGCGTGAACTTTGAAGATGTTGGCAGTTGGTTTTGGTGTCTCGTCGGTGTTCTTCATGTGGAATGAAGTCTTGTTGATCAGAAAAAGAAAGGAAATGAGTGGCATAGTTGGCTGAACGGACTAGAGTGGGCAACGGATTGAAATCTGAAGGCTGTACAAAACAGATGGACACTACCTGAACATACACTTTAAAAACTTGCTGATACAATAGGATCTGAATGTATATACATCACATGTAATGCAATTGTCGCGCGAATAACTTCCGACACATGAAATGCCTATAAACAAATCAAACGGGAGCACACTTTGCGATAAGGCTTGTGAATGATCAGCATGACAATGGTGGAGAAGAGGCCGTGGGCGCCAAGAATGAGCATGGAGAAGTTGTTGGCGGTTTGATCGTAATATTGAAATGATATTGAGAACATTGCGTAGAGAAGAGGTGCGACTATGATGAGAAGAGGGATTGAGAGCTAAACTTGAGCATGATGACTGGCTAATGAAGCGTTGGAAACTACCTGAGAGTAAATGGCCTTCAAGAACTTGCTTTGTAAACTGAAAGTGAGTGGGGATAAGGTCAGCTTTCGCATTTCCTTGCTCATATTTCTATGAATTAGTCCAATGAAGATAAACCACTGGATCACCACAAAAAGCATCGATGTTAGAAGTGAGACAAGCACATAACGACTCTCAGTTGCCAGTACAAAAATATCAGCTTCTCGAATATAGTCTGGCAGTTCTGGCAGCCCCTGGAATGTGTCATGACGGCGAATCTTTGGAAAGTTGCCGACTACTTCGAGTACATCTTTCACCGCAAACTCTTGATTTGGAATATTCAAATAGGAAGGTATGAAATAAATGAAAGCCAGTAAGTAGTTAAAAGACAACACTGGGATCCGAACACGGTGCCACAAACTGTATCTGGCAAATAGAATATGGTATCGATTCTCGATGATGACTAGTACGGCAAGTCCAGTCGCTGAACAAGAGTGTGAGTAATTACAGTGTCTCCACATGTTCCTCACCCGAAACCAATGAAAACATGAAGTAACATTGGAGAGCTGTCGAGATCCCAATTGCTTTCAGAACTCCCATTGAAAATCCGCTCGCCGTCGGAATCAATATGTACGGAGACATGAACAGACTGAAATACATATCCAAGAAAGCGCTCCAGAAGTGAAGATTCAACATGCTCCACTTGATTGATTTCGTCGAATCCGGAGTCTTGTACAGAATACAGTAGGCTCCGAATATATGAACGGGAATCTCGATGCACGTCATCACGTGGAATGCAATTGTTAGCGAACGTGGCGAGTGGAAGAATGTCGTGTTCATCTGAAAAAAGAAAGGCGGACAGGTTGTTTTCTTTGTTTTTCGTTTCCAACTTTAGTTTTTGTCACGTGATGTGGCTCTGCCTAATTGATTACGCCGAGAAGGGTTCAGATGTTTGCTGCAGTCTTGGTTTGGTTAGAATATACAAAGACACGAACAGCCAGGGAAAAAGAGCAAGACGAAAAGACTCTAATCACACAAGTTTTAGAAAAGAAGTTCAAAGACCGCAGTTAGCCACATGCGCTTGTTGATGAGTATGAACGTTGAAGATCTTGGCAGTTGGTTTTGGTGTCTCGTCGGCTCGCCCTTTACGAATCACAGAAGTGCTCTCCTTCACTTCAGATATCTTTGAGCAGAATAAACGGAAGCACACTTCACGATAAGGTTTATGAATGATCAGCATGACAATGGTGGAGAAGAGGCCGTGGGCGCCAAGAATGAGCATGGAGAAGTTGTTGGCGGTTTGGTCGTAATATTGAAATGATATTGAGAACATTGTGTAGAGAAGAGGTGCTACTATGATGAGAAGAGGGATTGAGAGCTAAACTTGAGCATGATGACTGGCTAATGAAGCGTTGGGAAGTACTTGCAGATAAATGGCCTTCAAGAATTTGCTTTGTAAACTGAAAGTGAGTGGGGATAAGGTCAGCGTTCGTACTTCCTTGGCCATGTTTTTATGAATTAGTCCAATGAAGATAAACCACTGGATCACCACAAAACAAATAGCTGAGAGAATTGGAACAACCACATAACGATTCTCAGTTGCCAACACGAAAATATCGGCGTCTCGAATATAGTCTGGAAGTTCTGGCAGCCTCTGGAATGTGTCATGACGGAGATTCTTTGGAAAGTGGTCGACTACTTCGAGTACATCTTTCACCGCAAGCTCTTGATCTGGAATTATAGAGTAGGAAGGTATAAAATAGATGAAAGCCAGCAGGTAGTTAAATGACAGCACTGGGATCCGAACAAGGTGCCACAAACTGTCTCTGGCAAACAGAATATAGTATCGATTCTCGATGATGACTAGTACGGCAAGTCCAGTCGCTGAACAAGAGTGTGAGTAATTACAGTGTCTCCCATGTTCCTCACCCGGAATAAATGAGATCATGAAGTAACATTGAAGAGCTGTCGAGATCCCAATTGCTTTCAGAACGCCCAACGGGAATCCGGACAACGCTGGTATCAAGAGGTACGGAGACATGAACAGACTGAGATACATATCCAAAAAAGCGCTCCAGAAGTGAAGATTCAACATGCTCGATCGAACAGATTTCATGGAATCGGGAGTCTTGAACAGAATGCAATAGGCTCCGAATATATGAACAGGAATCTCGATGGACGTCATCACATGGAATGCAACCGTAAGGGAGCGAGACGAGTGGAAGAATGTCATGTTCATCAGAAAAAGAAAGGTAATGAATAGAAGAATGTTTTCGTTGTTTTTCGTTTTCAATTTTAGCTCTAGTCACGCCTTTGATACAAAATATACAAATTAACCAACTGATCTCACATAATGTTCATTATAAACTCAAAAAAAAAGTGTTTGGAGCTTAATATCCGCTGATTTAGTTAACAAATAAGCAGTGAGCAATATATTTCTCAATCAAAATCATTCGAGAAGTATGAAGTGGAGAGGCGTGAGTGAGAGCTTGCACCCCACTCAAGTTTCAGAAAAGAAGTTCAACGACGGCATTTAACCACAATTGATTTTCGGTATCTGTATGCCGGTTTGCTACGAATCCGTTGGCGCCAGGAATAAGCACGCAGAAGAGAAAGAACAAAGAGCCTTTGAACAAGAATCCCAAAAAAATTCTTCATTCAATGCTATCTATTTATCAGAGTTAAGATCATTCACTTCGTACCTTCAGGCGGTGGCCGAGAGCGGAATGGTGACGGTTCCGGCGGGAGTGATGGCGGCGAACGCGGCCTGAGCGTCGGTGGCGTCGGCCGGAGCTGGCGCGAAGTGAATCACGAGCTTGTCCTCCTTTGGCGGCCCGGCGGTGCGCGTGATGCTAATGTCCTTCGAGCCGGACGGATCGACGAAGCCGAAGACCGGAGTGATGCGGTACTCGTTGTTGTTCGACGATTTGATCTTGAAGATGAGCTTGTCGGCGCCGGCGTTCACGAGCTTGTGGGTAGAAGCACCGCCGGCGGCTGGCACGGTGCATGCTGGTGGATCGGCAGTCAGAGACATCGTTGTCGCTTCCGTTCGCTGGCTAACTTGAGCAAGTTATGAAGCTGTTCCCGCGCAGAAACTCCCTTTTTCTAGCCGTTTTATCAAGATGTTCTAGTGACATTTGGGGCACGTCAATTCGCTTCACTTCTAATCAATTTCGCTGTTTTGTGTGAAGATCACTTCAAACTATTATTATTCATTCACAAATAGTGGTAGTTGGTTCACAATCGAGTTCATACGGTACAGAGAGTTGGGCTCAGAAAACGAAGAAGTGCTAAAAGAATTGGGGACTAGAATCACCCGGGATCACGGGGGAAATCATGACGATGTTTGTTTGTTTCAAACGGGGGGACAAAATATGAGGGACCAAATATGGAACGCACGGAAATGTGGTAGAGAAGTTATTACAACATTCATGGACCGCCAATGAGAATAGTTTCATTCAGTCAGTACTGCTCCTGGGGGTCAATTTGATGATGCGGTTGATAGGAGTGATAGTACTCCTCCGGGTACTGGAACGATCGCTCTCGCGTCCGGAGCATTCGATTGCGACGCATTGTGGAGGACTCCAGGACTGGTTGCGGCTCGACGTCCTGCGAGAATCCACGTAGCATTTGGGAGCGTTTGGTGGCTGCTGGTTGGGCGGCGAAGGCCGTCGATTGACGGGACGGGGAGCTGTGTGCCGATGTTCGCGGGTTGGGAGCGGTGTAGGCGGAATGGACCTAAAAGAAGTGTTCTTCATTGAAAATCGTTTGCATCTCTCTCTCTCTTTCTCCAAACAACTATTCCTATTTGCTCTCACTCGCCCTGTTATCACTGCCCTTCCTCACGTTTTTTTTGCCGCGTTCTCATGCAGTTGTCAGCTGACTCCCTATCTCTCTTTTTCTCTTTCTCTCTCTCGCTCTACTTCGCCAATCGCTCCCAAAGTACAATTATTCTTTTCCATTTGAAATGGGCCATTTCTTCGTCTTTTCTGTTCGCGTGAATGTCAGTCGCAAGTGCGCTCTGTTGTGACGCGTCCATCACGAGTGTTGTCTGCTCTTCGTCATCCACAGCACAACATTCGTCTCACTTGGACGCCTTCCCGTTGTTCCCATTTTCCATCTGTACAATTTCGTTGTTCTCTGACGCACCGCCCGTGTTTTTCAATTTGTGAAAGTGTACAGTTAGCGAAAACATAAAATCCTTCATCTTCTTCTCTCTTCCTTGCATTTCGCTTCATTTTGGCGCGTTCCTCGCACCTGTTTGCTTTTATTGATCGAACCGCGCGCCCCCCTATTTCCCTCGTTTACTTCTTCGAACTCTTTCAGCGATGAGCTTCCAACTCATCGAAAACGAGACCGAGCCGGAGACGTTCGAGGAGTACCGTCAATTGATGATGGGAAGAATCAGGGAAGTGGTGAATGTGAGTTGCGACCTCAACGAAAGCAATGTTTCTAGCCAAAGTGTTCAGGGCTGGAACGATATTCGCAAGGAGAATCTCGAAGAAATGGACATGTTGGTCGCTAAAATGATCAACACGGCGAATTCGGAAGCGCTCAGCCGCTTCGAGGCGGAAGTCTTTCTGCGTGGCAACGACCCGAGGAACTACATTCTCCGCCAAAAGCAGATCACTTCGACGGCCACCATCGAGTTGGGCAAGGAAATCGAGGAGAAGGAGACCGTCCTGCACTCGGATCCGAACTGCGGTGGCGTGCCGGGACACAACGGAGCGAGCGCGTCGACTATGTAAGTGCAAAGAACGTCTAGTTTCTGACAACGACGTAATGTTACAGTCATAGCCTGCGCGGAGGCTTCGGAGTCGACTTAAACCATCCGGGAATCGCTCTCCAATATCTCGAGGACAGAATCAAGCTCGAGAAGCTGGTCAAGGACAGAAACAGACTGTTGAAGCGCAAATGATTATTCTTATCCCCTTCTTCTTCTCAAAAGCCCACCCATCCTCTTTTTCTGTGTTCGCTTCCTTAGCATTCTCCCGTGCGCCATCCCGTTTTTCCAAATCTCTCTCTCTCTCTCTCTCTCTCTCTCTCTCTCTCTCTCGCCCTGTCGCTTCCTTGCTTGCTTCCTCACCTGATACAACGCAATATGTCCGCAGTTTCTGACCCGAAGTCGTTCGCAAATGTCCAGAGCCTGTATGGTGTTGGACGGATGCAAAATGCTTCCGTACTCGCACATCAGAATGTAGGCGAACGGTCGTTGCAATCCGTTTTTGTGGCTGTAAATGCAATCATTATTTCACTTTGCTCACACACGTTCGTTTTTGTGTTTGTAGCACCCTTGTAATAAACGAATTGGAACATTTTACTGACTTGGTCGGACACCTCATCAACGAGATGCGTCTCAGGTTCCACGAGCGCGGAGAGTGCTTGTAGATCTCGCGGGCGCCGCTCCATTGCAGCCACGTCTTCTCGAGCGTTCCCTGCTTTCCGGCGTCTTCGAGCAGCTTGAATCCGATGACAATGTAGCCGGAGTGACGATGCGCCGGCAGACGATTCTCGCCGACACTTGCCGTCTTCTGGATCGAGTACACCTCGTCATAACACCCTGGAACATGAGCCACTTATCCGAGCTCCAACTTGTGTTTTACGGTGATCAAAAGCGAATGAGTGAGCTGTGAACTTTTGCCTAAAAACACGCGGCTAATCCTCTTAACTTTCGACCACCCGCACCCTCTTGAGAGACGCCTCAAAAACCAAACGCAATCTGAATTCGTACACTTCTTCTGTCCATCCGCTCGCTCATCAGCAAACAAACATAGCACTATTTTTAGGCTCGAGAATATGTTTACCTCCCCGCATCCATCCATTTTCATGGGAGAAAGAGGCGAAAGATTTATGAGCTTCTTCGCGTTTTCCGCCGCGTCATTATTCTAGAGAAGAGACGACTGGAAACGATTTGTGAAACTAAAGTCCGCTGCAGTTGTTTGTGTTATTGCAGTTTGTAGCCACTATAGTCTATAGAGCCCGTGTAGTTCCTTCCCGTGTCACCCGTGTTCAACGAACCATAAAGACTGCCGTGAGTGGGCGAGCAATCGCGCGCCAAGTCGGAAATCTGCTTAACTCGGTGCGTGTAGTCCACGTTTTTGAATTGTGCGAAATGCATGTACGGGAAGAGCGCTGCAAATTCGTCGGCTCGATTCGAGTTCAATCTTGGCCTCAGGGTTTGTACGGATTCGACTAGAGAGTCGTCTCTCTTCAGATCCTTACGTTTATTGTCAATGCACTTGAGAAGAACCGCTTCTGCAAAATCTTTGCGTTCCTGGATGACGTGGCACTCGCTGACCGCCTTTTCGTAGGCCGGGTCCTCTTGCGCAAATCTGAAACCATTTCTCGCGTAATTCGACACCGGCCTCTCCCTCTACACGAGCTCATTTTAAATTAGCAAGTTCACAAAATCAACGAGTTGGACCTTGGACGCGATCATTGGGCCGCTCATTTGAACGAGTTGGACGTGTGGCCGACACGTCTGTCAAATGATATCACCGCCGAGGAAGCGGACGGTCAAGTGGGGGAGGAGGAGGAGACGAAATGGCAATGGAATTGAAATTGGAGACATTTGTCTTTTTTTAGAAGAATGTGATTTGTGAGCACAAAACACTAGAGAACCCCCACTTTCAATTAACAATTAGAGAAGTCTTCTGCGACCAGTTCCCGTCAAAAGTTTTCCCACTTTTGCAGAATCTCACGTCTTCAGGCACAAGGTTGCAGAAGCGTCAAGATTAAAGTTTACATATGAGTTTTCACTGGTTTCGTTCAACTCACCCTCCGTAGCTGCATCCCGGATTTCGAGGACCGCCGACGAATCCGATCAACGACGAGAACTCGTTCATTTCGCCCTCCGACACATCGATGACCTCTTCCGACTTCTGCAAAGTACGTCGAGACATAGACGAGGAATAATATGTATGAGAGAGTTGGTTTTGCTTCGTTGAGCCCGGTGTCAAATGTTTTGCGCGCGGACCAGTCGCCCACGGTTACCCCGAATGGGCGGGACACAATGAATTGAAATTCGAATGTCTTTGTTTGCAAACAAACTCAGAAAGAACGGACCAGCGAGTACGCGTTGATCATTGTCGGCGAAGTCAATGAGGATCGGTGATAGTTGACGTGGTTTCGGACCATGTTCATGTCAGGAATAGCCTCTAGCAATGGCGGTTTGCTCTGGACTGAGGGGCTCGTAGGACCTCATCTAAGAAAAGGGGCGGAGCGTAGAAGGAAGGAGAGTCGCAGACGCAGACACTGGCGCCGAGACTAGAAGGCGCACGGGTGGGGAGAAGGAAATTGGAATTGAGATGGAATTTGGATTAGCCGCCCGCCAACGAGGAGGAGATCCCGCTGAAATTGGGTGCGATGGTCCTTTCTCCTCCTCGTCTCTTTTTGTTCGTGACGTGGAAACGTAACCGCTTTTGTAGCATTCTGATTGCATCTACGAAAGACATACATCTCGACGCAAAACATCCATCCCAAAAAAGGGCTGTGACAACCGGAAATTGATGTATGACGAAATAAATCGGCGCCGAGTTCTTGAGCACGGATTTCTGAGGACCGGTGTCTGATCTTGCTTATAGCGGATGAGATGATATGGGCGGAAATGTCAAGGGATTGGGTGCAAGGTTTTGAATTGATTCCAAGTTATTAGGAATTGGGTCCAGGATGAAACTACCTGACAGTACATTTAGTTAGTTTCCACATTCGTACACCTCTCTCATTTTCTTTACGGTCAATCAACTCTTCATTCATATACAACGGAACATAGCCTACCTATTTTTGCAGAAAGAATGTACACAACAACTGACCGACCAATCCCACTTCCGGTCTACTTTTTACTTTTTTACTTTCTCTTTCGCTACTATAGCGTTGGAGCGCGGCTATTTTTGACACACTATTACTAGCCTTTTTTTGGGAAGGAAAAATAGCAAAAAGATTGGTTTGTGAAGTGAATGAATTGAGCAAGGTATTTGCGGAAATTGGAAGGGGTATATATTTCGAGAGAGAGAGAGAGAGAGAGAGAGAGAGAGAGACGAAATTTGATAGGCAGTCTCTTCTGAAGGAGACAATAGAGGAAACGAGCGGCAATTCTGACTTTGCAAGAATGTTTTGATGGTATTTGAAGAGTTCGGAGCCTTGGAATTCGTCATTCATCTGGATCGCGTGAAACCAACCCAACCCATAACTCATTTATTCGTTCTCTTGTCCCCACTTCCTCTCGGTGACGTCATTGAGTCAGTTTTGATCTGGTAGATCAAACACGGCTTCAGTTGAGGGGGTGGACAAGCAAAGTATCATCGAAGAAATGAATGAAAGATGGGCTGTCTGTCAAGTGGCTCGCCCTGCTTCAATTCCTATTAAAGGACCGTTTTGCAACTGGACAATTATTCCACTTTTACACCTCGTGGACATTTCGCAACCAGGTTTCCCGAACTGTGCGTGTACAGTCTTACCTGATGATGACAGACAACTCTCCACGGACTGGAATCTCTAGAAGAATCGGCCATTTAGGTGCGAATGAGTGTTGTGTACTCAAAAACGAAAAAGAGAAAGAGTGTGTCCTGTCAGTTCAATTTGGAAGGGAGCTCTCGTCTCTAATTCATTCAAACATGCGAACAAAGGCACGGGGCGAACAAAAAGAGGCGGGTTCGTCTCGAAAAATTGAAAAATTAGAAGAGAGAAATGTGGACCGACATCTTCTTTTCTCGAGCAAGAGGTCAAATTGGATTCAGTTTTGGGAGCCTTCTGACAGTGTGTGAAATGAATTGGAGCGCATATTTCATGAGTAAGACTAACGGATGACAAGTGATCGGCGTCTAATAGAGCGCGTTTGCCCGGCCAAGACTCGAAAACTTCACAAAGATTCGGTGCGATTCGAAGTGGGCGACAAAAAGTGAGAAGGAGGAAACGAGGTGTCGTTGACAATCTGAACACAACAAATGCATGCATTCTCAAACAGATTCTCCGCCTCTTTGGCTTTTTCCGTTTTGGAGAGTCTGCTCACCTACCTCAAAGTTTACGAGCCTTTTCGGAAAGCTATGAAAGCTGTGTAAGCGCAGCGGTTTCAGACTTGAGAATGCGCACATGTTTATTTCCATTTTCAGTGTGTTGTCTTGTCAAAAACGTGTATCGAATTACACTTACTACGCGTTTCAAGCGACACACACAATGTATTCATTTCGAACCGAATTCGAATTGCGCTTGCCGACGTCTTGGGCGGCGCAAACCAAAACCAAAACAATTAGACCATTCTGTTTTTGGACCCACACATTGGCGGGTGGCATTGAATTTCGGAAGAGTCATGTGGGCGAAGAGAGAGTGGTCACAAATCAGAAGTATTCGATGGGACAATAGATCAGAAGACTGGGGAGCCACACAAAATCATTTAAAATGACCGAACGAGCGCCGGGCTCCTTCAAACCGTTCATTTTTCCATCTTCTCACTCGTTCGATCTCATCTCAGTGCAGGAATTTTGCAGAAACGAACGCGTGCGCGCACGCAAAAAAAGTGAATTTCCGTTAGAGGCGAGAGAGCAAAGCATAAATATGTCAGTGTCGTGCCAAATAATGGAGGCGAAACGGGGGAGAAATTAATTGGAAATGAGTTGGCAGAAGAAGCCGCCGCACACCTTCACAGCTCATATAGGCAGCTCAGCAGCTCACTTCAGAATACTAGGAATAATTAAGTGCGAGCGACATATTATTATGATATCATGAAAATGTGCACGGGAGTGGAGAACAATAGAAATGCTCTGGACATTATTTGGTTTACGAACTCTCGAAACATGTACTTTTAGTGGTGTAATATCGAGGGAAAGATGATAGAAATCAACGTGCAACTCACCTTCTCAACTGGCGGCTTCCGAATTGCGGACTGTGACGCGGGCGCGATTCGAATACTGTCATACTGCGAGAAGTTTCTGGGCAACGGAGTGGCCGGACCCACTCCCGTCGACAGTTCCATGTTCGAGTTGCTTTTGAGCAGCTCGAACGAGTACTGATCTCTCTTCATTTTTCGCGGCATTATCCGTCGAAGGACGTCCATATTCAGAGCTTCTGTCGGGCCGGCAAATATGAGGAAAATGGACGGAAAAACGAGCGAAACAGAGCGAAATATGGAAGAGAAGGGCAATGAATTTGAAGGGCTTTCGGTGAAAGAAGAAAGAGGAAAGGGGGGGAAGAAATTGAAAAAGGGTATGGAAATGGAATGGAATAGAACAGAAGAAGAGCTCATCAATAATGCTTTTTATCAGCGAATCTCAGCTGATCACAAATCGACAATTGTCTCAAATTTCCAGGCAAGAGAAAGAAAGAAAGAGAAAGAGAGGAAGCTATTGTTATGTTCGCAAACAAGCACACATGATAAGTCTCCAGAGATTTGCTCTCCCACTCTCTCTCTCTCTCAGCGAATTGTCCCGCCAGTTCGTTTTTGATTTTTCTCAGCCCTTTAACGTTTTCATTTAAGAGTGTGACCAGGCCGAATGTGTGCTTGGAAAATCAACGGCGACACAAACTGCCCGGCCAGAACTGGTGCTCGCACGGGGGGTGATTGGGTTTTGGAGTCGAAGAGGGACCGAGAGAAGGAGAAGATGAGCCCCCCACCAATCCAAACTTCTTCTTCTTCTTCTTCTTCTTCTTCCTCTTGCTTCCTTCTTTCTTCTTTTCTGTTCTCTTTTCCGGTGATGATGAGAAAGAGAGAAAGGATTAGTATATATATATATATATAGTTATTGTGCCTAGTTTCCATAGCTTTTGTGTAAAGCAAACGTTGGCAAAACGATAAAAGTACAGACAGAATGAGTGCAGTCGGTTGCAAAGTGTCCGTTCAGGAAACGAGAAGAGAAATTGCGGAGGAAGTGGTGTCACGCACCGAAATCGAGACGCCTGAGAACGCGATTTCACGTGGTTTTGTGATTCTGAGAATGGAATGGCGAAAAAGTGTTTACATCTCGAAGAAAGATGCTCCTTCTGATTTGAATTTGTCCTAAACCCAAAAAAACCAAAAAGTTGGCGAGCGGGAGGGGGAACCGACAGACTCTGCAAAAAGAAATGAAACGGAACCGAACCACATGTTGTTCGGCTGATGAACTCGCTGGATTTGAGAGCAGAAAAAGAGAAGAGAAAGAAATGATGTCTCAATGATTTATGCGCATTTTTTGTGCGAATGCTTGTCGATCGCACGCTCAGCCGGGGCATTTCAATCCTACCGGTTACCGGAAAAGCTACCGAAAAGGGGACGGGGAAAAAGCGCCTGGAGAAGCGGCTCCAAACTGAATTAAGAGACTGAAGATGGAAGAACACTCACCCACTCACCCAATTACCATCAAGATTTCTTTTCTTTTTTCTTTTTTCGAAAAGCTCCTTCGCTTCCCCAATCTAGATTCCTCCCATGTTTGCGTAACTTCCTTCTCCGGTCTCAAAACACAGAAAAAGGCCCCAAAACGGCCAATATCGGTGGCCGGGCAAATGTTCTATTTTCCTGCCAGAATGAATGTCGTAATGTCACAATTCTCGTCTATGGATGCGCATTCATATGAAATGTGCCGGTTTTTTGTTCGGATTCGAAGAAATTTGACAGCCAAGTCTTGCGAATCGAGAAATAGAGCAAACGGGTGGACGTTTCGCAACTGGAGACCGTTTTGCAACTTTTAGGAGGTCCGGTTTATAGGTGTCCGCACTGAGAGACAGTTTTTCCGCAAAACTAGGAACAGAACTAGGAACAGAACTAGGAACGAGAGAAGACCAACAATTGTGTGAACATTTCAGTTTCGAAATGTCCGACAGTTCCGAGCCCACCTTGTACCTGTTGCGAAATGTTCCGATTACGGTGGTAATCGCAAAAAACATCATCAAATATTTACAGCATCCGAAAATAGAGAAAAAAAGTGAAGCGTACCTGTTGTGGAAGATGTGTCAGCCGAAGTCTGCTGGCTGGAAACAGATCCATCACTCGTCGGTTGTCTGCAGAAAAAGTTCTCAAAAGTGGGGGGAAGAGATGAAAAACGACAGGGCGGACGGAGAAATATGAAATGAGGCTGGCAGCAAAAATTAAATGAATTGGCGATTCGATTCGACGAGCCGCCGACGGATGGAATGCGCGGCGACGAGAAAACGGCAAAAAACACAACAATTGTTATTTATATGAAGGAGGGAGGTGAAGCGAGAGAGAGAGAGAGAGAACAAAATCGGCATTTTCATTCAATTACACCTCACCGACGGACGGGTTCTGCTCCTTCAATTAGAGAGTTCAAAGCCTATTCCGACACAAAAAGGTCATCGTCTCTTCTTCTTCTCTTTCTTTTTCTCAATAGAAAAGAGAAAAAGAGGAAACGGGAACCACGTGTCGTTCTGATAATTGCACACTTGTGCGTCCGGAGAAAAGGGGGGGCCAGGGAGAGAAGGAAATGAGTCACACGCAAGAGAGGAGGATGTCTTCCCCCGAAATCCGAACCTGATCGCGCTGAGGACAGTTCTGAGCCGCCAAAGACCTCGAAACTTGGCAACTTGTTCTTCTATTATTTAGGGGCACCGCACAGAAATGGCGCTCTGTTGAGAAACTCTTATTTCAGTGCAAATTGAGCGACCTCGGCGCCGAGTTTGAAAAGTTAGGCCACATTTTCAGTGGAAAATTACTTCGCGGCCTAGCAAATTCGGCCAGATTGCGAACAGCGCGCCCTTTCTGTCTCCGGTGCCCCTATGAATAATATTCACACTTTTTGTGTCGAAACGAACCAAAAATCGAAAGCGGGCCATGGCGACAAAACACAAACAAAATGCGGTTTTGTCCTTCCTCTGTCTTTCTCACTCAAACTGAATGGAATTTTCAATGATTTGCCTAGCTAGCCGCCTGAAGCCCCTATTTACTCCTCAATTCGCGCGCGCGCACGCACTTTGGTTTACACGCCAAAAAACCGGGGGGGGGGGAGAAAATTAATGCAACGTCCTTTTTCGATGATGTTCTCGGCGGCCGGGCGCGGGCCCGTATCTCCATGGACGCACTCAAGCCACGCCCCCACTTTTCATGCTAGAAAGGAGCGGGTTTCCGTTTCCGAAAAGGATGTACCCGGTTGGGTGTACACTTCCTTGAGAAACGCGGAGACCAAAGCGGTTCAGGACGATTTGCAACCGCTGTAAAGCAGCAGCTAAACATTCTGAATAATTTAGACTCGCTTCGCAATAGGAAAAAAGTCGAAACGAAATCAGACACCGCCGGCTGCGACCTATTTGGGTCTCTCATGCTCCCTTCTAACTTTGGACTTTTGAATGGCCACTTAAACAACAGAAAAAGGAGGGGAGAGACTGATCTAATCTGACGACTCGTTTCGAGTGGTCCGGCACACACATGTGATGGACGGACGGAAAAGTGAAGACGATTGAATTTCAGATTTTAGGGAGGAAAGTGTCTGGACTCGATGCGACTGAATAGGTCAGTGAGGGCAGAAAGAACAAGACACGGAGAAAGTAGTAAAAGTATAATATCGTTAGGGTCGAGCCTCTCTACTTATTAGTTAGCCCCCCCCCCCCTTTCCTCTCTTTCTTCTTCTCCCTTCCGTCCCACTGCTCCGTTTTTCCAGAGAAAAACTGCTGTCGGAATTAATTTGTGATGGGAAGGGAAGGGAAGGGAAAATAAGGCGAAATAAGAGGTGTTTCGAAATCGGTCAAAGTGTACGCAAAAAGAAAGCGGAGAAAAAGAGGAAGAGGAAGTCGTTCCGTAATGTGTCTGGTTTATGTGGACTATGGACTAAAAGTCTCCCAACACTCTTTTTTCCATGTTTCTTCACGGCTATTTTGGCTCGATTTGGTGGCGTCTGTCTAGCCGTATAATATCGGAAAACGGAAAGCAGATAGATTTGTGATGAATTAGTTATCATTCAAAACACGTGCCCACACCACTGCTCCTGAGCGCTAATCGGTCGAAAATCAAGTGTCTCTCGAGCCGCTTGTCAGCTGAGCAGTAAATCATTTATGAAAATCATTTTTGGAAACGAGCAGAGCATGATTTCTCAGCGACCAACACGAAAAAACTGAGCCCCGGATGCTTCCGCGTCTTCTCTTCCGGATTATTTATCTGCAATCCAGAGTACAGCCCACATACATATCTCCCGCATTCTCACATTCGTATGCATTTCCAATGAGTTTCTCCGGCAGAATTCTTCGAACAAAATCGGACGAGACGAGAAGACGACGAAAAGATTTTAGACAATAGTTTGATTTGTGAGCGCTTGTTCTGACGGTGCTAATTAATTATCCAGGTGTGGGAGGGAAAAGGAAAAAAATGAAATGGAAAAGTAATGGCGTGCAGAGTCATACAAAAACAATCATACTTCAGAAGACGTCGTTTCGTCTCGCAACACACTCATCCGAATCATCAATTATTTATTCAAACTCTCCATAAACAGCTTTTTGTAGTTGTAGGAGCTCGGATGAAATATTTGCAGTATTGTGACCAGGTATTGCGCATCTTCGAAGCACTTCGCCATCACATTGCCCACGGAGAGAATGTCGTGGAACCGTGCCGGACCCTGCTCGTCGCGCCACGTCATTTTACAGTAGTCGAGAAGCGATTTCGTGTACTTTCGCTGATTTTCGGAGACGATCTGCTTCGAGTACTCGGAAAGTCCTTCTAAACCTGAAAAATGAGCGATTGGGGGGAAATGGTGGGCGGATGCTTGACTCGCTTGAATTGCTAAAGAGTATAACTGTTGCGAGAATGTACTCTTCAGACGTTATCTTCAAATCTGTTAGTTTAGTCACCAACAGCTTCTGTAGCCGATTCACATAATTGACGGAACACTGCGGTAGTCTAAATTTACAGAAATAGTCTCGTACATGATATTGAAGAGCACGTACTGCTGAATTGAGGTCGGGTAGACTTCTGTTCCGTCGGGGTTCACCAACACTTCGCTACTTTGACTCGAAGACCTGAACGCAGACGCCAAAAGATAGGCTTTCATCGCGAAACTTTTGAGAAGAACTTGTTTGTCCGAAGGCTGCAAAAGATGCATAAAGTCGAGACTGTTCAGGAACTCGACAGTAGTCCAGATGCCGAAGAATGACCATTGGGAGAGCACTTGCTGCGCTCCGAGCACTTCCGAAAGCGTTTGTGTCTGTAAAAAGTGGGGAGCATCTGATTGGAGTCGCGTATCTCACATTGGTAGCCGGGTTGATTGTGAATCCTCGGGTGGTCCTGCTAATCAACTGCTCAATCGTCGGATCCTCAGTACTCCTCATCATCTCAAAGTTCACCGTTCTTCTCGAGTCCAGATTGAGCAGAGACCTGATCATGTTGCACAGCGCGTCGACAGAAGTGCCGAACGTGGCCGTCGTCGAAGGATTGCCCGTCTCCACGATGGATCGTGCTTCTTCCTCCACACTCAGATACCGCATTCCGACCGCCAAACATTTGGTGAACCGACACGAGCGACACTTCGGACGGCTTTTCGCTGTCTCTAAAAGTGGATGATGTCACTGGGAAGAGGGATTTGTAAAGGAATATGCTCATATGTTCGACAGGATTTCTTTTTGGACTCTTGGTACGAAATGTTCGAAATTAGGGCCGAGTAGTAGAGTCACAAACCACACAATGTAATAAGCTCAAATATTCACAAGTTTGGCAAGACAAGAGTCTATTTCAGTTTTACAGATCATTTTCTAATTTTCAAATTGTCAGCGACGACGCATAAGTATAAGTAGGCCGCTTTTCTATGATCAAAACATGATCCAGGTGAGTCTAGGCTGAACGGGAGATCATTCAAAGTACTCGAACTCTGCCTTGTTCACCGTCGTCGTGGATCGTTGATCTCTGAAGTTTTATCGAAAAGCATCGAGCGGATTGGTTTGGTTGCCTTCCAGAGATCATGACGGTCCACGCAAGTATGGCTTGATGAAATGCTAGAAACTCGACTCGCCGATATTCTGATAGCACGCGTTCTTGCCACGGCACTCGTAGCCCGGTCGAAGTAGGATGACGCGTCGGAAGAACATTTTGCACGCGTTGCAAGACAAGACCTGCGAATGAAATAGTACGTAGGTACGGTAGCTCTTCCCGACTCACTCACCCCATAATTCAATCCAAAAGCATGCTGTCTGCAAACGATGCACTTGAGCGAAGGCGAGCCGACAGCTACCAGAGAATCGCAAGAGTTTGGGAGCATGTTCACGGTTAGCCAGGGAAGGCAAAAATGAGAGAAATGAAATGAAATGAGCAGGGGCAATCAGAAAACGCTGCTGCCGCCGCCGATGCTTCTGATCACATTTCGGAGCAATCCGCTTTGCTCCGCGGCACCGCCCGAGTCATCCTAAGCTTTTTATTTCACTTAAGTGAAAAAGGTTATCTGTGACACTCCTGCTGAGAAGCGTTTCTCATTTTCGAAATGATTCAATTCAGGGGGGAAAGGGTGAGTTTAGTTTAGGTAAAGGGTCATGAGGGGAGTTGAAAATGTGCAAAGGATTTTCAAATTTATCTTCTACTTTGCGTGCGAATCAGGATAATCGCTTTTTCACATCAATCGGATTTGATCTAGACTCTTTGACATTTCTGAAAGAATAGACCCGGAAAAGAAGGATAAGAAGGACACTTTTATTATCTCCGATTTCAGTTCTTCATCACGTCGGCGAACACTTTTTTGAATTTGAAGTCTGGCATGTAGAACTGGAACAGCACGAGTAGGTGATGAACATCCACAAAGTTCGCATTGATCACATCGTACAGCGAGAGCAGGTCCGTGAAACGGGACGGTCCGTTCTGTTGGTACGTCAACAGACAGTACTGCAACAGCACCGAACTGTACACTTTTTGTTGAGCGGCCACGCTCGAACGGGCGGTTTCCGAGAGAGCGCACAGAGCTGGAAGAAGTGAATATTATGAGTCTAGTGAGGCAAATTTGAAAAGTGACCGGGATTGCAGAAGAGAATCACATTGAGAAGCACGTGCTCCTCGTTTCGTATTCTCAGTTCGGTGAGTCTGCTCACCAGCAAACTGCGGATTCGATGCAGAAAATCGGGCGAAAACTTGGCGTAGAGAGAATCGGGATAAACGTTGTCTCCATTCGGAGTCACAATCGTGTCCCGCCCTTCGCATTTCGTCCTCAATGCACTCGCCAACAACATCGACTTCATCGCAAAGTGCTGAAGAAGAACGAACTTGTCCGCGGTGTCCAGTGAATACATAAAGTCCAAGCTCAAAAAGTGTTCAATGCTTGTGTAGATTCCAAAGAACGAGTACTCGTGAATGTCCGGAAGAGTCTTCAGTTGGGTGGTCTTCACAACCATCCGCGAGTCCCTGCTCCTCTCGATCATCTCTTTCAGTGTCGGGTCTTCGGTTGTGAACAAGTGAAGCACTTTGTATCGTCTTCTGGAGTCGTTGTACAATAGTTGGCCAATCAATGAATGCACACCGTCGTCCTTTCGGTTTTTGAGCTCTAAACGAGGTTTTCCAGGCGCAATATATCTCATGCCGGCGTTTAGACAACGCTGAAAACGGCACGCTTTGCATCGTTTCTCCGCTGAAATGCCGTCGAGTCCGTCCGAACAAGTGTTCCAGAACTTGCAAGTGTACGTGATTTTGTCGACTTCCACACGTCGGAAGAACATTTTACAGGCGTTGCACGTCAAGACCTGAGCGATTTAATCGGAATCGGACACGAGACGCACAAGAACTTACACCATAGTTGTAGCAGAACGCACGATTTCCACAAATTGCACACTTTTCCGTCATCACACTCACTTCCGGCACAGAGTCGTCCGAATCGATTGAGGCGGCAGATGATGGAGAACCGGACAGAGACATTTCCTCCCCCGACAAGCTATTATTTCGACTAGAAAGTAGTCCTTCTCTATATCGAAAAGTGGAAGACGGAAAAGAGCAAAAGATGAGCGACGAAGGCGATGTGAGAGTGGACGGAATACACTTATGCAATGTACCCGGCTATTTTGGAGTGAGTAGCAGGTGTCAGAGTGCTTTGAGCAGACATCAGACGAGTTCTGAGAAACGCACGTGACACAGCTGCAATAAGAAGTAAGAAATCTTGCAAAGAACCGAGTGAGGAGGCTTAGAGGAAGTTCAAAGATCAACAATATCTGAGCACTCTTTGCACCTATGCTAATGAACAACATTTTATTCAATTTGGCAACTCGAAAGCTGCATCGGTCAGCTTTTTAGTTTTGATTTCAGTCATATAGCACTGGAACAAGAGTATCAGACCATGAATCTCGTTAAAGTTGGTGTCGAGCACTTGGCACACGGAGAGCAGATCGCCGAATCTCGAAGGTCCCGATCGTTGATAGGACCAGAGGCAGTACTGCAACAGAACCGACGCGTAGCTCTTCTGCTGTGTCGTCAGAATCGTCTTCGCATTCTCCGAGAGCTTTGGAATTCCTGCAACTCTTATGATCTGCGTGTTGCGAAAGAATAGGTGTTACCAGAATTGCAGAAGAAAATGGCAGTGAGTAGCACGAATTCCTCGCGGGTCACTTGAAGTTCAATGAGTTTGACCACGAGAAGACTCCGCGTTTTATTCAGCATTTCCCTGCTGATACTGGCTGATCTGCAAAAAGTTCAGATAGACGAGATGTCAGAAAACGTGGCTCACTCCAAAAGTGCTTTCGGATAAACAATAGTGCCGTCCGGGGTGATTAACTGGTCGCACTTATCAGTCTTTGTTCGCATTGCACACTCGAAGATCGAAGCTTTCATGTAGAAATTCTGTAGCAATTTGAGTTTATCGGAGACTTGGACGGACGTCATAAAGTCCAGACTGATCAGGAACTCGATCGATGTGAAGATGCCCGAATCGGTCCATTCGTAAACATTGAACTGACGATGATTCGCAGTTTTCTTTCTCATTCTCAACTTTTCCATCTCAATCATTTCGAGTAGACTGGGATCTTTGTCGGTGTAGTGTCCGAGCAGACGTTCCTGTCTTCTCGAGTCGAACCACATCAGTTTCCCGATGCATTCCGCCACGTCGGCATTCAGTCGAAGGTCGAGTTGGAAGCTATCAGCGACGGGTAACTTCATACCAACCTCCACACACTTTTGAAAACGGCAAGATCGGCAGAGGGACAATATCGGTGAGCTTGGAGGATCTGAAGGAAATTGTTCAATGTTGAAGCCTGGTGGTGCACTCAATTTGAAAGCACGATGCTTCTCCGTTGATGCAACAGCTCCGATTGTTGTCCGTGAAGCTCCTTTTGAAAAATTCTTTGCAGGCATTACACGAAACGGCCTGAAATACGAGATTATGTGTTAGCCCGGCACGTTGCAAGTCTGAAAATGATGAGTTAGTTGGGTCCAGCGCACAGACTGGACTATTTAGGCTCGAAGAAGAAGAAGAAGACGCTAATTCTTACTCCATAATTGGTTCCAGAAGCCTTCCTGCCGCAAACCAAGCAAGAAGAGACGACGAAACGAGCCGAGTTCATTTTCCAAAAATACTGAGTCACTGATTCTAGCGGTAGACTTAAGAATGAGAGTCTGATTTGTGTAAAACTCCCACGAGGCGTAAACTAGACCAATTCGCGCGCATGAAAACTAGACATTGAGCGCAATTAGTCTGGGAGTTTTGCGAAGAAAGGTTATCAGTTGGTTTGTCGATCTCCTCGTGTTAGTCATCGAATTGATCTAGTCTATGAAGTGACTAAGGGAGAGGACCACCCAAATTTCGGAAACTCGGTCCGTCTAGAAACAATTTGAGTCGGAAACTGACGAAACTTGGGTAGCCCTCTTCCTCGATCACTTCCCAGTGTGCCCCTCTATCGCTGATGTCTGAACAATCCCGTCATTGGAATATTGTGAACACATACTCAAAATAATGGTCATTGAACAGAGATAATGAGGTCAGGCCATAGAATCTAGACAAAAAAAAGTACAAGCATCTACACGAGTTGACACCCCTCCAGTTGCATTGCCCAACTCCAATTTCCGTTCAGATCTCACATTCGTTTCGTGCTCATTCTCACTCCTTTCCCAATGACCATCTCTTTATTTGAGCGCATAAAAACTACCACTCAACTATTATCGCTTCTTTTCTCCGTCATTGTCAACTCTTTCTTGATCTACCTGATTTTGATGAAGTCTTCGAAACGAATGGGTAATTATCGGTTTCTGATGGTCTACTTTTGCGGCGTTTCGATTATTTTCTCTGCGATGGATGCTTGGGTACGACCTGTTATATACTGCCATAAAAATGCGTTCCTGATGATCATGGATCTTCGGAATAGAAGCATTCCCGTTCAATGGGCGATTCTAATGCTTCGTGAGTTGAACACTGAACCTGACCGGCCAAATCTTTAGCTTTAGGTTGTGTTGCTGGATGTTTTGGAGTGGTAATCTATGGAATTGCAATCCATTTCATCTACCGCTTTTTTGCATTGGAAAGGTTTGCAATTATTTCGACTTTCAGGTCCATACTTTTTAAAGAAACGGAAGAATAAGATACTTTGACCGACAATACCTCCCCGTCTGGTTCATGATTCCAATTCTGGGCGGATTCTGCTGGATTACAATCGACTTTTACCTTTTGCCGATGACTCCTGTCTTCACAGAGTACATGAAAGAGGCGATCGAGATCGATTTGGGAATGGATATTAAGCAAGTGGTCTACTCGGGCGCCTTGTTCTACCCGACTGATGCCAGTGGTCGCGTCTACTTTAACTGGAGAAGTGGTCTCGGTTTGGTTCTGTTCATGACAACCATGGCGATTCCATTCAACGTCATCATTTTCATCGGAGCCAAGAGCTGGACAAAAATCAAAACGTTTCCAACGTCCAAGTACGGACAAGTGCTGCAAATGCAATTGTGCAAGGCACTAGCTGCACAGGTAGCAAAGAAAAGCTTCCCCCCCAGTGAGTGGAACTGTAGGTTCATGTTTTACAGACTCTAATACCGGTCACCGCTCTTTTTATCCCCTTCAGCTTCGCTTTTCTATGTCCTATTTTTGGTGTCGACTGCAAGATATTAGCGTTGGGATTGAACTTTGTATATGCTCTTTACCCGGTCGTCGATCCGCTCCCAATTCTGTTTTACGTACAAAGCTATCGGAGAGTGATTTCTGGTAAATATTCTACAAGGTTTCGGTACAATTGTGTTTTGTTTTCAGGTCTTTTCAAGTGTTGTGGAAGTGCGAAAGTGCATGTGCAGGAGGAAGACCTGACTTCTCGTGGAGCTAATTCACTTTCATGACTCTTTTTCAAAATGTACAGACAGATGAAGCATGATGTGATCAGGCACAAAGACCAGACGCCGACTCGCACTTTGTTCCGGACGGGCAGAAAGTGCAAGTGTCTCCCGGCTGGTAGATGTCTTCGTCCAGCACGTTGCCTCTGAAAACTTGAAGCTAAACTTTTTGTTTCTCGGTACAGACGCATTTTAGAGACAAAAGACTCGACTCACTGATCCTTGTACTGGCAGACGACCGTCACCTTGTTCATGTTGTTCATCGACGCATCCTTTCCGCAGTTCTTCACTCCACACCCGACCGCTCCGGTGTTCGCCCAGGCCATCTGAGTGGCGTGTCCGATGCCCGTGTTAAAAGTGTCCTCGTCGAGAGTGGTGGACTCCCATCCGTAGTCCTGAAACTCTTGTTGCCACGAGTTGGCGGCGGCGACTCCGTACGAATCGAGGTTCGAGATGGTGGCGGTGGTCCACGACCAGTAGAGATTCTCTCCAAGACCCGCGTAGCCGGAGTGATCGTCCGGGCACAAGTTGGCGTATTTCTGGGCGGAAGCGGCGACACTGGTGTCCCATTTCTGAATCGTTGCTTTTTGCTGAGACGAAAATCCCTTCCTACCATCTTTTTCATGTTGGAAGCCGGCGGCTCCTGCGTTCCATCAGCCACGTAGTTTCCTTGCGCAATTGCAGATCTCAAATCATTGTGAGCTTTCACAATAGCAGTTTGGGCGGTGGCACTGAATTGAGCACATGCTCCGGCGATTAAAGCCAAACAACAGAGAGTCAACTTCATTTTGAACGACGAGATGTGTGTTTTGGAGTGCAGCTTTTATGGTAGAGCTTATCAGTTGAAGACAATCAAAGAGATGAAAACACAACGTGTTTTGATAATAACAATTTAGTTTTAAACACTTCAAAACACAATAATATCAGCAAACAATCAACTCTGGTCGAGTCGGTCCGAAAAGATATAAAGGTAGTAAGCACAGCAACAACACGTATGAAAGAGAATGTAGGCGGGTGCAATCTTACAATTGTTCCAACAAAATTAGAGATCATCAAACCAATTTTCATCATTTTTCCTCACTGGAACATCGTGTCTTCAAACATTTCCGGATGTGTGAACTCGATTTTCATTATTTTGAACGTTCGCGCAATTTCCATCCAAACACGGCTTTCTCGATGGTTCGCCTAAAGCAAATTCCGTGCATTTTCGTCGAGAGGGCACGCAGAGCGACTCACATTTATCAAGTTGTTCACACTCATCATTTTGGCCAAACGCTGCAGATATCTTGGCATGTTCAGGTCATGCACATAGTAGGTGTGTAAATCGTTGGCCAGCACTTCTTGGAACGCGTCCGTCACTTTCTGGACGTCGCCTCCGAATCTGTTGCCGGCGTATTGAAAGCATAGTTGGGCGAGCATGTAGGTGAACTCGATTTCGGTCGGATTCATTTCGGCTATCGCGTCAGCCACGTCGAAACCCGCGCTAGTTGTTTGTATCACAAAACTGGAATTCAAGAATAGTTAAGTAAAAGTGGGAGCTGACGGAACAAACCCTCTCAATTGTTCGCCCGGATAATTGCTGAACCACGTGGAGTTGAACTTGAACGCGTTCAAATCGATAATCACGTTTCCTTGCGTCACAATCTCCGATCGTTTCGCATCTTTTTGAGCTCTCCGATATTTGGCAGTGGACGCCAGCTTCTCGAGACGCCCCCAAATGTGCCAGACGCTTTGGAGCAGTTGCAACTTCAATATAAGGCTGTTGGGACGGACGAAACGACAACATTTCAGAACCGACCTGCATCTGTGTATCCAATTTGTTGAACTCATCAAAATGCGTCAACCACTTGGCCACGGAAAGAAAGTAAAACTCCCAGTTTTCCGAGATCTCCTTCTCCGTCGCTCGTTCCATCAGTTTCAGTGCGTTCACGTTGAATTGAACGTTTCTCATTCCCAGACTCAACCTTTTCAGTTGGTTATCACAGAAGAACGGACTCTCTGCGCCGGCGAGCAGAATCTTCTTGGCTTCGCCGAAAAGGCGGTGCAAGTCGACGACTGTCTTCGTGTCATCCATCGTGTTCATCATGACGAACAGCGGTTTCCCAATGAACCGATCTATGCTGTCGGGAATGGATGTGATTGTCGAGTCGAGGCATGTGATTGCGTCGCGATTGTATTGGAAATCTGGCAAAATCGAACCGGTTAGAGGGAGGGGGAAGATAACGCTCACTGGACGTTTCCATTCCAACTTCAAAACATCTTTGCAGTCGGCACGGTTTGCACAACACCCTGAAGAGCGGTTTGATAGAGCACAATACCTGTTAGTGTCGCTCACGTTTTCCTGTTACACTTTCCCCGTTGACAGCCTTCTCGACTCCATCTCGAGTGAACTGTCCTCCTGAACATTTCAATTCGTTTCAAACCATACCGAAATAGTTAGTCACCGGAAGAACGCAGCGCACGCCCGACAACTATCCACTCCGAAGTGATTGCCATGAGCCTTTTGAGTTGCACAGCACTGGCAGACCGTCGACGACATTTCTGTCATCTTGAATCGGACAGTTAGAAATAGAGTGGAAGAGGGGGTTGCGAAACACGAACGATCTAAGAGAGTGGCGGCGGGGAGAGACGCGGACGCAAAGTAAAGAGACAAAGAGGAGAGAGAGAGAGAGAGGAAACGACTCGTGTTTCAATGGACGTTTGGTTTATTCATATTACAATGAGACGGAAACGTCTAAGGCTTAGAATGTGTTTCTCGAAGATCGTAAAGATGTTAAAGTCTTCATCGTAGAAGACCCGGATCGTTCGACTGCCACAGAGAGAATCTGAAATGAATCGATATTGTCTGCTCGCTAATTCTCTCTCTCTCTCTCTTACGGATTCTTTTCTCGAAAAAACTCGTTTGCAAGTTTCCCGGTATTGAGAAGACATTAAAAAACAGACGAAGAAATGTGTGGTTGAGTTGACGGTGATCAAGGTTTGAGCGACGACGTAGAACTGATGAACGACCCATCTGAACACCGATTTGTGCGAGTCATATAATAGTGAGACTTACTGTAACATGGGATACACACCAAGAACATAAATGTCTATGATGAAGTAGACGCCAAAGAGAAATGATGAAATGAAGAAAGAGATGGCCAACAGGGCCACCAGTTTTGAAGTGTTATCCGATCTGAAAACTAAGTTCTCAATGGATGACAATCGTCACGTACTTCTCAGCCTTCAGATTCCTCCGTCTCCTACTGGCCCGTCCAAGTTCGATGACAAGAAGTATGGTCACAAACGCGTAAGATACACTCAAAACGACGGCGGTGTACCCGTCAACCAAGTAGTAGAGTCTTTGCAAGTTATCATCAACTGACATACTGTAGTGAGCATACTTGGGCTTGTTGCTCATTGCGCATCTGTAAAAGTTAAAGTAGAAGAGGTTAGACTATTTTCTCACTTTTCTCCTTTTTCGATAGTAAACGTCTTTGTGAAAATGATCGAATACCAGGAAGCACAAGCAGCAGAGAGCGCCAGCACTGCTAGAAGTCCAACAATCGGATCCATTAGTTTCTGTATCCATGAGCTCATCGGGAACTTTACAGAAAACGCTCGGAAAGCCGCCATAAACAAAGCTAACATTGAGGAACACTGTCTGCCGGTTGATCTTCCAATAGCGCCGATCAGATTGGCCAAAATGTGCGAGTAGCGTCTTCCGCAGCCTCCGTCCAATTTGTAAATAACGCCCAACTCCAACAGGTATTCGGACATGGTGCCCCAGAAAAAGAGAATGTCACAAATGCACATTCCGATCATGAGAATGTAAATGACATTGCACCTCAGTTCCTTGCGAGTCAGAATGAAAAGATGGAAGAAGTTGATGAAGAAGCCGGCGAACGAAGCTCCGTTATCAATGGCAGTGAACACTTCGACAAACGGCCACACTTTCTCAGAGTTCACCTCAATCGGAGCTTCGTACTCTTCCGGTTCCTCGACATGATCGCTGTAGTAGTCGTAGAGTGCCGATTGGAAATAATAGAGAGAGGATTCGGTGGTGGTAGTTGTCTTCATCCGGTTAGAATTGAGAAATACATCATCATGAGTAACTGGGTGAATTTTCGGAAGGATAATAACGGGGTTGGACGATCGGAAGACGAAAAACAAGAGATGAAAGTCGAGCTTGTCACATGTTTTGGGGCGGATAACGAGTACCTTTGCTGGCTCTCAGACTATAGACAACTTCTCATTTTGCCATGATTCTACTGCTATTGGCACTTCTCTTGCCCGTCACTTCATATGACTTTGCGGCGGATTTGAAGAGGATCAAAAAGGAGTACTATTGTGGTAAGTTTTCAACGGTTCATTTGTCAGCGTCTAGCAATTTTCAGACCCTGAATGCACCTTTAACAAATCTGAATTGACTTTGGAGACTATTGCGTTTTTTCCTGAAAAGTGTACGTATACGTGCGGAATAATAACTCTCAACGAAAAGTTGGATTTGAGTGTTGCTCAACTGAAGAAGGCATTCAAAAAGATGCAGAAGCTGTCAGGAGGCATCAGAATTGAGAATACCAACTTGACCAGCTTGTCGTTCTTATCGAATTCCTCCTATTTTACCATCAGTTGTGAACTTAGTAGGTGATTTATCCGCTATTAGAAAAGCAAACATTTCTCGTTAATCAGTCGGCATTTCAATAGTGAACAATTCGAAACTCTCGGACGCTGACGTCTTGTACGAGCTCTATCAGTGGCCAGAATGTCCGTTTCAAGTGGAGAACAACTCGCAATTGGATGTGGGCACTCTGTGTGAAAGCAGGTTTTACGAGGCAAAAGTGGGCATGCAAGTGTATGGTAACAAGAGAGATTGCGGTTAGTTTCGACACTTTCAACTGAAAAAAGAACGTGAACGCTCACAGGGTGTAAAGGAGAACAAGTGAATGAGAAATGCACTGCTATATTCGGCGGCCTCATCCTCACCAACTCTTCTCAACTTCCTGCCCTCGCCAATGTGGTCAATATCACCGGGAACTTTGAAGTTCACCACTCCAACTATCAAAATCTGTCGTTCCTATCTAATTTGCGAGTGGTGAAATCAAAAGCAGAATTCAGAAGCCGGACGATGATTATGAACATTCACGACAACAGCCAAATGACTCGATTAGGATTGAGCGCGTTGACGGTTTCCAGAATGATCTTATTTCCGCGTAGAACATTCAATTTCAGCTTCTTATAAACGTCGATTCGGATGTGTTCCCGGTGAATTTAGAGAATTTACACCCGGATTTCTGTCTAACTACCAGTGAAATGGCGCTCTTTCTCCGAATGAACGTGAAGTTCCAGAATGTTCATGCGCATTATTGTGCAGAAGAAGCGAGTGTGGCGAGTGTTCCTAGAACATGCAAGTTCGAGAAAATGAGCAGTCTGGAAGAGAATTGCAAATGGGTACTGGGCGACGTTCTCATCGATTCCGGGGATGAGAATTACGTGGAAAAGTTGACAAAAGTCACACACATATTCGGGACACTCGTCATTCGGAGCACACAACTCGAGAGCCTGGCTTGTCTGACCAGCTTGAAATTTGTCGCCTCTTTGTCCGGCGATTCGCGTCCTGCTATACAAATTCTATACAATAAGAGACTCGAAAACGCCACGATGCCTAATTTTAAGGTAGAGTGAATTGTGAGTGTTGCTCCAAACAAAACTGTTTCAGAAAACGTTGACACAAGGATCGAGCAACGTGCTCATAAAGGACAATGCTCCGAAACTGTTCGAGAAGACATTGGATTGCCTTCAACTTCAGGCCGCTCTGAGAACTAATCTCACTTTTAATGACAGCAATTGCAGTGAGTTTCCGATGACGCCACATTTGTACGATTTGATTTCCAGAAAACTTCAACAAGACTGTAAATGACACGTCGTCTTCGTCTCTTTCAACGCTTTTTCTCGTTTCATTCATCTTAATTGATGCCTGATCTTTTAAAGTTTTCAATAAAATGCAGCGAAAAGTAAACAATCTTCCGGCATTCGAGAATCGCCCGCATCATGTTAGGAAACGTGAAATCTTGAAATCTGAATGAAGGGGTCTCCATTCTGGACATTAGTGACTCTAGTGCTGTGGGTCCAATTGAGTGAAAACTGATCGAATTTGACCGAAAGAAGTAATTTGGAACAAGAAGGATCATAGTGCTCTTTATCTTTTCTTCATGACAACTCTATAGTTCTTGGCTCTCATCGTAACGCCGTAATCTTTTTCCGTGCTTGGCGATGGATTGGACGGGTGCAATGAGATGTCGAACTTGTTGAAAAGGTTGGCGAAGAACAGGAAAAGCTCCATCCGGGCGAGCCCTTCGCCGAGACATTGACGTTTTCCGATCGAGAACGGAACAAATTCTTCCACTTTCTTCAAACTTCCGTTTTTCTCCAAGAACCTCTCCGGTTTGAATGTGTGTGGGTCTGGGAAAATCTGAAAATATAGCTCATGTCTAGGCAATAGGGTTTCTATTGAAACCTCTGGATCATACATGACTGTACTGATCTGTGGCACAATGATCGTATTGCGGAGAATACGGTGTCCAGCAATTTCCACGTCCGCCGAAGTTGCTCTCATCACGTTCAGCGGCAATAGATTGGCGAGTCGTTGAGTTTCCTGAAAGTAGCAATGAGAATCTAGTCTATGGATATATTTTCCAAATCTCCGATACACTCACGTTGATAGTAGCATTGATATAGTTCAACTGATTTCGATCGGACGTTGTGATAATTCGATGACTTCCGATCACTCTATCCAGTTCCTCATAGACTCTTCCACGAACTTCTGGGTTCAGAAGCACATAAAGAAGTGACCAGTAGAGAGTATTCGAGGTGGTCTCCATTCCCGCCACCCACATGTCAAAACACGCGCTGTCCAGTTGCTCCATTCTGAAATTGCACAGTAGTCATAGGCACTCGACAGTGAACTCACTCATAACCGCCGTAGTTCGGCTCGTTTTCATGTTTCTTGCGTTCCTTCAGAAACGCTTCCACATAATCGGAATACTCATCCGAATCGTAGTCGATCGTCGCCAACTTTTGCTTGACTTGCCTCGCAAACATGCTCATCAAACTTTGCCAGTTGTCGATCACAACTAAACGTTGGTGAGTAGCGGAAACGTTGGAAACAATATCGAACCGTCGAAACTAACTGTGTTTGAATTTGCTGAAGACTGGAAAATTTCCAATCCACGGGTAGATTCCCAATAGGAATCCGACTGGCTCGGCGCCCAGTTTGAAGTGTTTGCTCAGGCGCTCTTTCAGTTCCAGAAACTCATTCATATTGCTCTTAAAATTTGGATGCTTTCGCTTGACTCTCAAAAGTATCAACCTCATCATATCTATAGCCGAAGAGGAAAGTGTTGATGATGGAGCCAACGCACGCATCGAAAATGTTCTGCATGTCCACTTGATCAGGATGCGATTCTATTCTCTCAAACATCGTGGATACTTCTCCCAGTATCTGAAGCATCAGTTCTTTTGTGTCTTTCTTCTCTTCTCACCTTCTCCTCCATCAAGTTTTTGCCCAATCCGAAATCTCGGAGGACGTGCAACGCAAACCGTCGCTGTTGCTGCCATCTCGGTCCAAACGACTCTATCACCCCGTAAGATCCTTCTGCAAATATTATAGACTCACAAAAAGCACGGCTCACAGTTGCGTCTCTCACTTCTGATCTCCACAGACAACGGGAACACTGGCCTTCCTGTGTAGCTCGCACCGTCTTTTATAAAGTGTTGTTTGATCAGATTCCAGTCGGACACGTGGACAACTGGCAGTTTTGCCATCCAGAATGTGTGCACTGGTCCGTACTTCTTCCTGAAATATTACACTATGTGCGTGAGCTTTAGCTAGACAACTTACTTGAGTGCTTCAAATAGTTTGTAGCCGGGTTTCACCTCTGAATTCATCAGGTACAAGTTTCCAATGAACGGCAGAGGAATCGGACCAGGCGGCAAGTTCCTTCGTCTCCAGTACAGTTGGTGAAACAAATATATCGAGAGAATCGATAACAGAACCAGGAGAATCATGCTGCAGTGTTAGAAGTTGCTGAAAATGCTAGTGGTCTTAAATACAAGTGAAAATAGAGTGTTCATTTGTTACCGACTGTCCTCATTGACCACCTAATCGGCACACTTTTTGTCTTTTTCGTCTCTTCAAACGACATAGATCAATAGGTGGCAGAACACAAACCACGTGCACAAAACATAAAAGAAGGGGGTGGAGGACACGAAGAAAGAGGCGGCTGATTATAAAGAAATGAGTGAGAAAACGACTTCATTCCTATATTCTCAAGTTGGACTTTTGTCACAATATTATTCTCTTGGCAAGACAGCTTTATTCAGATAAATAAATTATAACCCGTGCGTGATATTCATCCAAAACACACCTTCTTAATCTATCTTTTTGTTCACGTTGATGGTATTACAGTTTCTGATGAACCGCAGAGCGTGTCTTTGCAAAAGATACAATAAAACCATACAAGTGATGGATAGGGCCAGTGCAACAAAAAGAATGTCAAGAGAATAGAAGACGAGCGTGTTCAACTGGCGTCCTTCCGAATTCAAACTCTCCAAAGCGCCAAATTTGACTGCAAAGTCGCAGTGTCTGAGGACGACATCTTTGGGTTTGAACGGCTGTTCGTCGAGTATACTCGCCAACTTTTGCGCGTTTTTCTGGTAACTCTCGTCGCCCAGAACTATTTCAATGGCTTTTAGAATCTCATTCGGTCTGTTCAAGTTGGTCTTTGCCAGTTGGAAGGCTCCTCCGTGTCTGGCGAGCATGTGCGTGTTTCTCGGTTGATCAGCCATCAGCGGAATCTGTGATAAGAAATCGTGTGCGATCAGTGGATCGAATCGGGTCAATCAAACCATAATCGCCGGTTTCCCATGATACGCCAGTTCAATGGTACTTCCCAGTCCTCCATGCGTTATGAACAAGGAGAGACGTTCGTCGGCTGAAAAGAAGAGGCTTACAATATTACAAGAAAGTTCATACCTAAAAGTTCATTCTGAGGCATCCAAGAAGTGAGTTTAACATTCGGAAGGTGATCAGCTATTGTCGAGTTCTCTTGTTCGTACTTCCAAATGAAAGTCGCATTGGGCATAGATGCAAACACTTCCAGCCAGGAATTTCTGGAAAAGGTTATACATAGTTCTAATGAAACAGCCAATAAACTGACTTGAACTCATCCGGCATATCCGACGAGAACGCCATTGTTCCGAAAGACACCAATATGTTGGTTCTCCGTCGACTGAGCAGTTCGTCCCATTCTCCGGACAACTCTGCTTTTCCGTCCTTGCTCGTATTCACTTGCATTCCTCCGACGAACACTGTTTTCGGAAGCGATGGACTTGCGTAGTCGATGAACTGATTCGAGTTGACAAAATTGAAGGCCACCCTCGAGAGATGCTGCTTCCAATCCCTGGATCCCTGATAGCTCGCCGGCAAGGCAGCCACTTCGCTTTTGTATTTGACACAACTGAACCAGTTTCCGATCACGAATCCCATCAAGTTCTTCAGCTTTCCCACAAAGTTCATCTTGTCGTCAACCGGCGAAAAATGACCGGGATAGTGGGAGAGAGCCGCCGGCTCGCCCAGGGCCTCCTTCACCGCGTGTTGGTACAGACACGACTCGGCATTTATGACTGTCCGGATTGCGATTTCATCGAACAGTGCTGCAGATTATTATGTGTTCTCGGAGATGTGCGTGACTTACCAAATGCACTTATGAAAAGCGATTCAGCTATTCCGAGGTCAAACTTTTCTTGTCTCAACTTTTCTATGATTTCCGTGTGTTGAAATAAGTCTGAAACCAAACCGAACATTTCTGAAACAGTTTAAGTATTGCATTTTTCCTACACTCCGTCTGATATCCTACAGTTTTGGTGACGTTCTCGACGTACTGAAACGTTTAAGCACAGTTAAGCTAAATTTCGAAAAAGTACTCACAGACAACATTGAGATGATATTTGAATCCATCTTCCAAATCTTCCTCTTCATAATTTGCTCGATCGAGTTCTCCACATGCATTTGATAAACACGCGGGTCTTGCGGTATTCTGATCACCTTCTTCACCTTTTTCGATCCAATCAAGTGCTTCTTCCAGTCCACGTGGACTGGAATCAGCATCGTCACGTCGTGTCCGGCGTCAATCAGAATATCAGAGAGTTTGCCGAAAAAGTTGGAATGGCTTGCTCCGAACGCCGGGTTGAAAACGAGCACTTTGTAGCCGGCGCGTTGGTCAACGAAGACGGACAGAATGAGAAGAAATGGCAACATCATTTTGTGTGGCGCATCACGGAAACCGTCCAATCACTTTTTATATACAATTTGCTACATCATTGTGTCGGTGATAAGACGTCTGCGTACGTGATAAGTGTGTCCTGGTCGTTGAAATGAAATCATCATCCGGAAGTGAATGTGTTTCTCTATTCTATTGTAAGATTAACACTTCTCGTCCGCACATTTATTAGAATATTATTGCGTCACAGATTATGATAGTTAAGCGGAGAGGAATGAATAAATAACCCGATATACGTATGAAAATAAATTGAGATTAGGACAGGAAGATGTTTCTGACGGATGGATCGAAAGTCATCAGATGGAAAATGTCGGAGACACGTGTCTGGTTGTACAACGCCTTCACTCCGCACCGGATCGAGCTGATGAGCAGCAGGATCTCTCCAAATCGCTCGGCTCCGCAGTGCTCCATGAGCTCCGACATGCACTTTGTATGCAGATCTTCCACGTCTTGGAACACCACTTGTCCCGGGAACGAAGCTGAAACAACGCAACGTTTATTCAAATGTGTTGTGTATGTAGATCACTGACGGGTAAGGAGGAGAACCGTTTTGAGAACGGCGCACTCGAATTCGTCGATTTGCAACTTGCGGAATGGAGTGCTCACGCATTTGACGAGCTCGTTTACAAACGCACAGTGTAGTCTGGAAAACCATTTCTGCCGCAACAAGTTCCACGCCAAATTCGACTTACTCGGCCTTCTTCGCCACATTGTCCTTCTTGGCATCCGCTTCTGGAAGCGCGAGCAAGTAGTTGGGATGCATGAAGGTGCCGTTCTGGAGCACCCAGAATCCTTCGACGTCCGCCTCGTACGCCGTCTTGAAGCCCTGGTCGATGAGCACGAATGCGAAGCCAAACTCGGAGAGCACCAGATTCTTGTCGCCTTGGCTCAGAGCTCGATACGGCTCGAACTGCATCGCCCACTCGTTCGCGTTGTCGATGCCCAACTTCAGAACGAAATTGATGTCGTGAGCACGCGCCCGACGCAGGTGCTTTCCGTTGGCTTTCACTTGAACACAGACGTTCGCATCGGTCGGCACAGCACACAATCCGTCGTGATGAGCGCGTTGGCTTCTTTGCAACAACATCAGAGAATCAATGTCGAATGCTGGCGTTGTGAGCTCAAGATTTTCACAATCACTGCTGCTCATTGAGCTCCGCGAGCTGCTCGAGAAACGTTCCACTTCCACAGATTGGCTCATCTCCAGCTTGGGTATGATTATTTTCGGTTTTCGCGGTCCGAGGAGATCTCGTCGTTGTATGGCTCAAATGGAAAATATTAGAGAGAGAGAAAGATGAGGACGGAACGATGTATGCAAATGGAAAGGAGAAAAAGAAGAGCGAGAGACCCTAATGGTCAAGTGTCTCGGCAAGTGGCGAGACAAAGGCATCGAACGCAACGCGTGTTTCATTGGTTGTTTCGATGGTCACGGAACGCCCTCATCCATCTGCTTGGGTCGCGCGTAGCTGTCTGTTGTCCATCTGTCGCGCGGATGAAGTGCGCGGGCTCTTACTGTACACCCATTTTCAAATGAGGGGTGAAGGAGGGAGGCAAAAGACACGGCTGCTCTTTGTTTCTGCCACGTACCTTCAGCTTTCATTCCGACATTGAAGCACTTTCGGAGTCTGCAACAACGGCAAACACATCGGGAAGCTGAAAAACGAGATTTCAACTGGAAAAAAATTGAGAACTCACCAAAAGTGATGACGCAACTTCCTTTCTTCCAGCACTTGTACTGACTCTGATTGATGACGGCTCTCCGGAAGAAGACGATGCATCCGAGACACGCGGGCGCGCCGTACCTCTTGCCGTTCACCTGATCTCCGCACACTGCACACATCTCTGTGCTCGATGATGAAGAGGAGGACGAGGAGGGTCTCGCATCGAGAATAGACGTCAGCATCCTTCTGCTGAATAACGAATGGAATGGAAAACGGGAGAATAGAATTGAAAGAGACGAACGGTGAAAGCAATCACGGAGGGATTCCATAGAAATTAAAGATCAGAAGAGTAGGCGTCGTTCTAGGTTCGAATGAGCGAGAAGCGGGAAAATGGAAGAGAGTGTCTCTAGATTCATCGCCCAGACCGTTGTTGCCAATTCCTATTTGTGTATGGATGGCCAACGGAATTTTGGAGACAAGAACCGGATATTCTGTTTTCTTGGACTTGAGATCAAGGTGAACTAGTCAGAGAAAGAAACGGTTCTCGATCGACAACAGTTGAGAACGTTTTGAAACAAAAAGACGCGAGAAGAAACGCGAAACTACTTGGAGACATTGATTCTTTTGGTTTTTGCACATCATGCGTTTGTTTTTCCGTTGGCGTCGTGTATTTCAATTTTTATGGTAATTGGAAAGTCAAAATGGGATACTGATAATCGAATTCTAGAATACTATTATCGCACTAAATTTTCGGTGTTTTCAGATGAGTACACATGGGTACAAATAGTAAAGGAGAAAATTGGGTACGGTAGCAGACTGACGTCCGATCGATTGATTGCGAAACGAAAAGAAATGCAATGAAGAATGTCACATGAGAACCTGGAAGTTTTGTTGAAACCCGGCGAAGTTCTGTGTCAAAAGAAGGACACAAACTCTAAAAGAAACTCGAAACTAAAGTACAAACTCTAGCGATATATACAAGTATGCATATTCATGCGAATGTCTTTTCATTCTCAAGGGAATGCTAATTGAACCTTTCAGTCACCATAGCATACCAATAGGATCACTTTTCGAGGAAGAGAGAGCAAACCGATCAAACCGAGCTTGTGTGTTTCAGTTTGAAAGTGAATTTGAATTTGAACAAAAACACTGAGCACTTGTTTCGGAAATGAGCATTTTCATGAGAAAAGTTTAGATTGAGCCAAGCTACATGTGCAATTCTGGTGCCAAAATTGTATTGTTCAATAGTTTGCCTTCTGAATCAGACTATAGTTGGACATGGGCAGCGTTCCGAGTTCAGAAAAACATCATCATCAAGCTCATGAACATGTATTGATATAAATAATGTACCGTGTGATTTTCGGAGCTCTGAAGATTGGAGTGAACTTTCGGTCATGCTCCCCTAGACTCAGGACCATTATTCTAGACGTTTGTTGACTTGAGACTAGACTCAATTTTGTGTTCTTTACTTTAGCCAACGCATCCACAAAGCAAACCGATAAAGCTAACAATATTCCACTCCCCCCTTTTATGAGCACATTGTGAAATTCAACGAAAAAGTGTGGTTTTAAGTTTAAAAACAATAGGGACGGTTTAAAGACTGAAAGTCAACGGTGGGGGAACATGAGTGGGTACGTTAAGTACCGCGGGGCGCCGCCCACCTAACAACACTGTTCGTAGTTTGATGCGTAATGAGGAGAAGGAGAAATGGGCAAAGAAACCGGATACACGACGAGGTGCCTTCGGAGATCATTATCATGGAAATGGGTTTGTTCGGCTTGTGTGTATTGACCAGGGTAACAGAGATCTTCCGTGTTCCGTTTTGATGATGATGATGATGTCGAGGGAGCGAATGTGTGTGTGTGTGTCGTTGGATGATAGTGAAACCCGTATAAAGTGTTCGAGTGCCAACCGAGTACAAGTGAGCATCAGATGAGTTCCAGGCTCGATTCGAAGCCAGAAGCGAGCGATCTATCAACAGAGTTCAGGTTTTACGAATAGTCAGATGCGCAAGCAACAGATCGATGCGGATGATTGCGTGAACGAGACGGCGATCAAGCTACGGAGAGGTGGAGGCACGACTAGAATCTAGTTGCGAAACGAAACGAAACTTCAAAATGCGTGTTTTGAACGGACGCGAGACGAACATCCCGTACATTTCATCGTTTGGTCAAATGTGTTGTGCTGTTTGTGTTTGGGTGAATGAACGAAAGCGGAGGGGGCGGAGATTAGCAAGCTGATTGGAAGGATCATGTTCGCCGGTACAATTCAATTCATTTTGGCTATTAGTCTTCACTAACAACTTCTCAGCTTTGAATTGCAATTGCTCGACCGACTCTTCCAAATCTTTTCCCATGACATTTTCCCAAAGTTCACTCTGATTTCTTGGCTTCGTTTTCAACTAGCATTGTTTAGGGGGTAAAGGCTTCTAGAAGTTTCTGAGATTCAATTCTCGCAAAACTATTAATAGATTTCCATACAGCTTGCAAATTGTGCAAAATTTGAGTCCGATCGAAATATGGTGACTGACTAGAGAATGGCCCACACTTACCTTGGGCTTTTAGAATGGTTTCTGCCTCATTTTCTAGCAAGTTCATCTTCGGCGACCTGTATCTCAAGAACCACGCGTCCGTTGCAAAAGTGGTCAACTAGTAAGTTAACGCAAATTATCTCGTGAATAACTTTGTAGTTGATCGTCTATTTAAAAAAAAATTAGTTTTCGAGTTATGAACTGTTTTCCTAGAGCGACAAGAAAAAAGTTAGTGCTGGGGTCAGAGCGACGATAACTCAAAAACTAATTTTTTTTTAAATAGACGATCAACTACAAAGTTATTCACAAGATAATTTGCGTTAACTTACTAGTTGACCACTTTTGCAACGGACGCGTGGTTCTTGAGATACAGGTCGCCGAAGATGAACTTGCTAGAAAATGAGGCAGAAACAGGCAGATTTTCTCGCCAGCCAGTGCTCTTTAGCAAAAATGGTGAGCAGATTCGGATTCTCCGTGAAATTCTCTTTCGAATCATATAGGTCCCATTCCAAAAGCTCAAGGTAAGTGCGGGCCATTCCCTAGTGAGTCAAAAGTTACCGAATTTTCATCAAGATTAGTCGAGGTACTGTACGAATCGACGTGCGTTGATCTATGACCGCTACCGTATTCCTTTCCTTAATGCCTCTCAAATGTGTGACGTATTCAGGCCGTTTACTATTTCTCTCTACGTCAAACGGTTCAGTTTTCAATTCAGTTTCCACTCGCTCTCTTTGAATGGGCGTGGTCAAGCTACCGTAATCCGAATCCGAATCCGAGTCGCAAAACCCATAACCCATTTCTTTCCTTAACTGATTTTCGAACCTCTCGGATTGGATAGCGCAAAGCGTCACACTGAAATCGATTCCGGTTGAAGCTATCGTATGCGTGAGAGCAAGACCCACCACTTTAGTAACTTTATGTCATCTTAGGGTACTTTTGCTCACATTCGACTTCTACATACGACTCACGAATCATCAGATTGGAAGTGCATGTTCATCAATACTGAAACCATACATCTGAAATGATAACGGTTGACCGTATTTCTAGTATTCCCCGCGATTATCAAAATTCAGTTGTTTTCAGCACACTAGACGATTCGAGAAACTGAGAGTTTATAAAAAACGTGTTGGGATGCATTGTGAAACGGAACGAATATGAATGGCTTGAGGAAAGTCATGAGGACCTAAGGAAACTGGATCTGAACTCGAAAATTGGACACAAGCAAACGACAATTGACTGATGTTTGTTTATATGTCAAAGAATGAGCATGTGGGTCATAATGGCATTGTAATGATACACAAGTAAAGAGATTATTCAATGGCGGGCTTAACAATTGGATCAGAGCTCGAAGAGATAGAGATATCAGAACTTTCAATAGGTTCAATCATCGGAGCGGAACTGGTAGAGGGACGATCGGTGAGTCGAGCTTTAATTTGATCATTCGCGATGGTCATTTGAGTGAATTGAACTGCGAGCATCTCATCAAACGCTGTAGAGGCACGAACATTGAACTGAAAGTTTAGTTCTTTAGCAGTTGAGTACTTCTATGCGCACTTACCTTCAGCATTTTCTCACTCAACGATTTTATAAGTTCCTTGACTTGTTTGTATTTGTCAGCAATAGAGAAGGATTGCTTTGCCGGAGTGTACTGTCCTCCAACTTTCTGCGCTTGTCTAGACGGCGTCCGAGATTCTGTTGTCACCACATCGAACTCTTCGTCTTCCGAGGGCTGAACCGTTTAGGTTACAAAAGACAAAGAATGCTAGAGTGCAAAAACTTACAGTCAGTCGATTTTTACCCGTTTGGCGCGGATCTTGAACGTGTGCTGGTTGATCTTGGAGATCGGCGCAGGCTTTATTGTAACTGATAATATTAGAGCTGACTTCGTTCAGAAAATCTTTGATTTGATCTACAATTTTCACAACTTCGTTACGAAGAACCTCGTAAGTCTGCTGATCTCTGGCTCCTTCTGGGTTGAATCCTTGCAGTTCATCGCTAAGACTCTCAAGATCGCGAAGAGCGTCCGCCAGATCGGGGCCGTCCGTCTGCAACAAGTAAGTAAGTAACATTTGAGGACGCGTGTAAGAACATGATCAGCTTTAGATACATTACAATTCAAGGACAAGGACGACTACACTTACCACGATGATCGCATGCTCAATTTCGTCCCTCGTACCAATCAATCGTATCTCCTCCCTGCTAAAGTTGTCCTTGAATCTGTTGAACAGCTTTATCAAGTTTTTGCAATTCGCGCGGAATTGTTCGAAATTTCTCTCCTTATTGTGCTCCGCTATGAGAGCAACGTTGTTGGACACTGAAATTAGACGAATATACCCACATTTCGGATTATTTCACTCACATTCTATGTTCTGCAACTCAGTGTGCGCCTCATTCACTTCGGCCGCGAACTGTCGGAAGTCCTCCGCCAACGCTTTTTGTTTCTGTTCGCCTTCTATTTGTTCGTTCGTACGATCTTTGTTCAGCTCAATCATTATATCGTGGTGCTCTTTAATCTTTTGCTCTTCCTTTTCTTCTAGCTCTTTCCGCATTCTTCCTCGTTCCTTCACATTTTCCTCTTGCGCTTCATTCAGTTTGTTTAACACTAAAAAAAACAATTATTAAGATGACGTCTGTGCTTCATGCTTGATTACCATAAGCGTGCAGGCTGTGGATCCTCGTCAGTTCTTCCTTGTCCTTTGCGTTTTGTTCCGTTTCAGCGGTCATTAGGTGTTCACCGGATGCCTTTTTGTTTTCAATCTGTTTGTCAACCAGTTCTTTGAGGTCTGTTTCCACTTTTGCCAGGTGCTCAATCCCTTGCATTTTCATTGTGTTGAAATCGTTCACAGCTTTCTTAGTCGCATTCACATTTTCCTCCATTACTCTCTTGAGTTCTTCTTCTTTCTCTCGCTTCTCGGCTGCACTTTTCAAATCGGCCGCCTGCAAGAATCGCATGTTTCTTCGAGATGTCTCTCCATCATCTCGTCGGTCACCTGTTGAATCCTCTTCGTCTCCTCGTCCTCTTCCGCTTGTCGCTTCATTGCGTCTTCTCTCATTTTCCGCTCGTGCTCTTCCACCAACCTCTTCTCCATCGCCACTCTCTTCTCGGTTTCCGTTGTTTCTTTTCCGAACTTTGTTCCCATTGTGTGTAGATCGCTACAATTAAAGTTAGGCGAAATGTTGAAAATGATCAGAAAGAGTTGCGGTGCGGAGAACCGTGTTTCAAGAAAAGAAAACACATCAACAAATGTTCTGTTCTTCGAGGACGAATAACACAGAAGAAAACATTAACTACTCGAAGGTCCCTCAATTTGTTCTTTCTTCTGTTCAGTCTTCGGTTGAAGATGGTCTCTTAGCTGTGCGTGTTTCGGATTAAAGTTTTCAATATCAGTTATCTGGAAAAAAGTGTGGATATTATCATCGACATTCCGTCACTCTGAACACCCACAATAGCTGAAACTTGCACCATCAGACTATCTAATTTCTGCTGGTCCTCCTCGTGTCTTGGTGTTTGCCCGATCTAGGCAATAATAGTTGTGTATGACGACTTTTCAGATTTGGACCAACCATTAACCTTCCCAAAAAACTTGCAATGCAATTTCCGATCGCGAACAGCTTTTTCTGGGCAACTCGAATCCGCTTGTCCGTCTTGATTCGTTGATCATCGTCGTCGATCTCACACAGACTTCTCTGCATGCTTATCAACTGTTGGCGTTGAATTTGGCAATTCTCTTGGAGAGTATTGAATCGTTCTTGAGCTTTGGGAACTTTCTCCGGGGTCCACTCACTGTCATTGACCAAATACGCTTGGCACGAGAAATACGCTTCTTGAGTCCTCTCATTATTATCTCTCGCCTTCTCGATTAGGTTGTTCATCGATCGAGAATTCACTTGCGATTGTCGGATAACGAGGGTTTCGAACGTTTTTTTCCTATCGTCCACCTCCAGATTATTGATGATTTCCAGATGTTTTGTTTTCTAAAAGACTCCATTCACAAGTGCCTGACTAGCAGACAATCAAACCTTATCACACAGTTCCTCTGCCTTCTTCGCTACTTCCGCTTCGATGTTCTTCTTCTCCTCAAGGTTCGTGACAAGTGCAGAAGTTTGTTCTGCACTTCGAGCCGCATCCCTCTTTCTCGCTTCTTCCACAAGACGATCTCGCCGTTCTTGAAGCTTTTCCAACTCCAAAAGTTGTGTGTCTTGGTAGGATTGATGGATTTTTATGAGCTCACTATCACCGTCAATCAGATCCTGAAAATGACATGTTGATCGACAGTTTGTGCCCAAAAAGAGTTACCTTCTCTATCTCCAATCTCTCTATTTTCAGCTCATTTTTTTGCTTCTCGATGATCTCGTTATACTCTTTTGTCCTCGCCGCGATTTCCTCGTCCGCCTTCTTTCTCATCTCAGCTTCCAACGCATCCATTTTTTTCTTCTCATTTATTCCCGCACTTTTTATGTCTGAACTGTGTTCTCATGACGGTACTGATCGTCAAATGGCTCACTGTTCACAGTCTCCACCATCTTCTTATTGATAGCCTCTAAATCATTCTGAAATTTCTTTTCTTGGATTTCGGCTTCTTTTTTCGCAGATTTCTCGATATCCGCTATAAAATCTCTGAAAAGTGACAATTTTTGAAGATCCTTGTGAGTTTATTCTCTTTCTCACCTGACTCTTTTATTCATCTCGTTAGTAGACTGCACACTTTGTCTATTTCTTTCTTTTTGTTGTTCGCCACGTAGATACTGCTCGTATGTGGACATTTTTCACAAGTCCTGTAAAAATTAGGAAGCGTCAAGTGTCGGTAAAAGTGTGATGAAACAAAAATGAAGACGAGAAGTTCGAGATTGTATTTCAAAATGTTCTAAGCTGGTTGAGTCGGTTTAAAAACGAGTGAGTGAAATCAAGAATGAAGAGTGAGAAATTGGAGTGGAATGACAGGAGTGGCTTGCTCATCGCTATTCTGTCCGAAGTCTGACAAACAACATGTTTCGCAACTAGTGTGGCGTATGATAAGGAAGAGGAGCGGGGAAGAACACCGAAATATTTTAAAACACAACCAACAAATGTTGCTATCTGTGTCGCCCGTGGTCACACGCTCCGCCTCGTGTTTTATGCTTAGGAATATTACCTTCAATTGCTAACTCTTAATGAAACACATGTAAACAAAGTAATTTATCAGTGACCATTTGAAAGAGAACGATCTCTGAGGCCTTCATCGTGGTAGTCGTGCGGATCAGCGGAATGACAGATTCCCTTCAGTCTCCACAAGGTAGGAATCGAATACGGATCGATGTCATGCACTGCATTCCGGAGCTGCAAAAGATCATCGCGAGCGTCGATGTGAACTGCTACACTCCACAATTCCAGAATGAAGCAGCGGGCGATGACAAAATCACGGCAGACCTTCTCAAAAGCTGCCACGATAATGTTATCTCCCTCATAATGGTCAGATTCTCAGAATACCTCAGAAGCGGAAGAGTCCCAAAACAATGGAAAACGTCTAACACCACCCTGATCTTCAAAAAAGGAGACAGGGAAAATTTGGAGAACTACAGGCCGATCTGCCTCCTCCCCGTCCTATTCTCTAAATGTGTGCTCAATAGGATTCGGAGAACACTAGAAGAAGCCCAACCAGTCGAGCAAGCTGGATTTCGTCGCTCCTTCTCTACGATCGACCACATCCACTCGACCACTCGAGGTTGGTCGCGAGTACCAGATCCCACTCACACTTGTCTTCATGGACTTCCACAAGGCATTCGACAGTGTTGAGCCAGGAGCTATCTGGGAAAGTCTCCGAAGGCAAGGGATAGATTCGGCCTACATCAACCTACTCAAAGAGTGCTATACCAACTGCAGCACAACATTCACACCCTTCCACCGACTTGTGACGGTCCCAATCACGAGAGGAGTGCGGCAAGGCGATCCTATCTCGCCAAACTTGTTCTCGGCCTGCCTAGAACTAGTCTTCAGCCAAATGTCCTGGAACCATCTGAAAGGACACGACGAGGACCACGCGACAAACCCTGGAATCAGAATCAACGGCAGAAATCTAACCCGTTTAAGATTTGCAGATGATATTGTCCTAGCGGCAAATCATCCAAATACTGTCAGCGAGATGATCCAGGAACTAGTGGAAAGGTGTGCAAAAATAGGTCTCCAAATCAATACTAACAAAACCAAAGTGTTGCGAAACACATTTGCCACCGACCATCCGGTCTGCATCAAAAGTCGCGCAACCACCACCACCGCCATCGAGGATGTCAACGAATACATCTACTTTGGTAGACTACTCAACACACGGAACGAATTGGAGCCGGAGCTCCATAGAAGACGACGAGCAGCGTGGGCGGCATTCAACGGAATCAAGAACACCACGGATGCCCTCACCTGCCCCAAAATCCGTGCCAGACTCTTCGACTCGATCGTCCTCCCGGCGCTCGCTTACGGCTCAGAAACCTGGACCTTTACGAAGGCATTGGCCGAAAGAGTGCGAGTAACCCACGCGTCATTGGAAAGGAGACTCGTCGGACTGTCGCTCTCCCAGCAAAGAGAGAGAAATCTCCATTGAGAAGACATCCGACGACTACCCGGCGTCCGCGACCCTCTACTCCACATCAAAAAGAGGAAGTTAGGCTGGGCCGGACACGTGGCACGAAGGACGGACAACCGGTGGACCACTCTGACGCAAGAATGGATCCCAAGAGACACGAAGCGACCGGTCGGCAGACCGCCGATGAGATGGATCGACGCCCTCAACAAAGAAGTCACCATCCGACAAGGAAGCCGAGTGGTACCATGGAGCACCATTGCCAAAGATCGGAAGGCGTGGTGTGCTGTGATCCGCGTCCACACAACATGAGCGAGGAACGGATCGACTAAGTAACTAAGTAAGACTGCACACTTTGTATATTTCTTTCTTTTTGTTGTTCGCTACGTAGATACTCCTCGTATGTGGACATTTTTCACAAGACCTGTAAAAATTAGGAAGCGTCAAGTGTCGGTAAAAGTGTGATGAAACAAAAATGAAGACGAGGAGTTCGAGATTGTATTTCAAAATGTTCTAAGCGGGTTGAGTCGGTTTAAAAACGAGTGAGTGAAATCAAGAATGAAGAGTGAGAAATTGGAGTGGAATGACAGGAGTGGCTTGCTCATCGCTATTCTGTCCGAAGTCTGACAAACAACATGTTTCGCAACTAGTGTGGCGTATGATAAGGAAAAGAAGCGGGGAAGAACACCGAAATATTTTAAAACACAACCAACAAATGTTGCTATCTGTGACGCCCGTGGTCACACGCTCCGCCTCGTTTTTTATGCTTAGGAATATTACCTTCAATTGCTAACTCTTAATGAAACACATGTAAACAAAGTAATTTATCAGTGACCATTAGAAAGAGAACGATCTCTGAGGCCTTCATCGTGGTAGTCGTGCGGATCAGCGGAATGACAGATTCCCTTCAGTCTCCACAAGGTAGGAATCGAATACGGATCGATGTCATGCACTGCATTCCGGAGCTGCAAAAGATCATCGCGAGCGTCGATGTGAACTGCTACACTCCACAATTCCAGAATGACTTTGTCGAGTTGGCCGGCCACTTTGTTTACAATTTTCTGAATATGGTCATGGGTAACTGATAACAGCGGCGAGCACACTCACGAGAAGAATTCTAAGGAAGAAGTCATCGGAGTATTTATGGAGAAGGGACTCGAAAAAGTCTTGTTCGGTATTGAGGAAAGTGAGGGTGCGGGTGACTGTACGGCCGAAGGAGGCGGATTCCATCTGGAAGCAAACGACTCTATGAGGGCTTCTCATCAAGTTTTCACCTTGTATACGTCCTCAATAAAGTTAACATTTCTCGTGTTGTCCTGCTCGAAACGTTGAATGAAATACCGCTCGAAACTCCAAAACTCCGAGCGAATCTGTGCTAAAGAGTTTCTGAATCATAGCGCCATTCACATAAAAGCTTCCAATACTGAACATTTTCACCTCAGCAGATGCAGTCGATTACTCCAGTACGCCTCATGTTGCTCCCATTGAAAGGTTCGCGTTTTCCGGTTATCAAACAAGTACAGAAGGGCTTCGTCTTGGTGTTCACACATTTCCAGGAGCTGCTCGAGTTCTTCATCCTGTAAAACTGTACTTTCTGACATTCTCGAGCACATTTCTCGCCTGTGTCATCTTCCTTCTTTCTTCAATTTCACCGACCATCTTCCGAAATTCGGCTTGCTGCTGTTGCATAATCTCTTGAAATGCCTGCTCCTCTCGTTTCCGTCTGCTCTCTCGTTCCTTTTCGAATTCTCCGATTCTGGCGGCGAACCGTTTCGTCTGAACTTCCAACCTTCAAGCTATCAAACTGTTGTGCGTACGTTCAGTTGGAACTCACCGAGCACTCACTTCCTTCCGATGTTTATTGGCTTCCTCAATCCATTCCAGCTCTTTCTCCGATAAATGCTTGCTGGTTTCGTGTACCTGTGCATCAAATTCCACGAGTTTTTCGTCAACTTTTTCAACGTATTCAATATCGTAATAGTTGTTATCGCATTTCGAGACGGTTTCCACGCTGAAATATGAAAAGTTCTCGCAGAAAGGTAAAAGTGAGCAAGCTAACCGAAGACGTTCGTTTGACTGGACTCTATTGATTTTCTCGGCTTTTTCTGTTTTCCGCCTCACCGGTTCAATTCTAGTTTTGGACGGAAAGTTGAGAAGAGGCGTGAGAGTCCAGTTGGCAATCGACGCGATCAACATGAAAATGAATCGCGACGGAGGTATTAAATGTTCCGTTTTCGCGCGGAAAACGAGCAAAACGTGAATAATTCTTGAAGTGAATTTCTGTAAAAAAAAACGTTTCCGTTTTACTGCTGCAACATCAGTACAAGTTCATTCATACCTGAAACTTGGATTTTTGCCACAACTCGCCGTGGAAATTCACCTTCCCTTCGCGCATCGCAATCGTTGACACCAGTTTGAAAGTGGCTTCGTGTTTATCAAAGAAATGTCTCCAGTTCTGTAATATCTGTTTCGGAGCACTTAAAAACCAACTGATTACCTTTTGAGCGTCCCGTAGATCATCTTCGAACTTTTGTATCTCATCACTCCGAGTTTTCGGCTTTCTTGTGGATATTCTTCTTGGATTGACGATCAATGTGATGATGAAGAGAAAGTTGTGAAGGAGAAATAAGACGAGTTCGTTTTGACCGATGACTTCATCGCCGATGGTTTTCAATGCTTTGTCAATGTCTCCAATAAGGTTCCAGTTTTCTCGAAGTATTGTTTTCACACTTCTCTAGAAAATTCTTCAGTTTTTAAAGCACCTTTGAACCACTTGCAATATTCCGATCGGACCCAAACTTTGCAGGTTTCTTGGACTTGGATTAAGAGCCAATGGGACCAAGTTTCAGCCTGATCGGATCATCTGGTCCCGAGATATGTGGATCATTGGCCGGAAGCCCGGGCGTTTTGGAAAAAGGCGGCCAATGATCCACATATCTCGGGACCCGACGATCCGATGGGGCTGAAACTTGGACCCAATGGCCCTCAATCCAAGTCCAACAATCCTGCGAAGGTTGGCTCCAATCAGAGTATTGCAAGTGGTTCAAAAGTCCAGGCCCAGTCCTGGTTCCAATGTCTCGAAAACGAAAAACCAAGTAAAAACAAAAGGAAACGGAAGCAAAAGTATTCGGAATCTCTTACTTTTCTGTGCGGATCTCTCAATTCGTTGATCAAATCGTTGGGCACATCAACGTGTCCTCCCATCGAATTCTCTCAATAACCGTTATTTGAAGGCCAGCAGGGAATGGAAATAGAAAACAAAATAGACCGAGAATGGGTAGTCAGGGAGTGTGGAAGGACAGATAACAGCGGTAAACATGTTTTGTTTTTCGAATGTCACAAGTGTTGTGGGTGAGTCAACAGCAGACCGATTCTGGTCAGTTTCAGTTGCTCTCATCTCTCTCTCTCTCTCTCCGTTGAGTCGTTGCGGTGGTGTGGATTGGATAGATTGGATAGTATCGAATGTTTTCCATTATCCACACCCTTTCGTTTTCAGTGAAGCTCGCCAAGTGCATGCAGATTTCATAGAAAAGACTGCGAGATAGCCGAGTGCCCACCAATTCGTTGACACCTACAAACAGGAGGTTTGATAGGCGTCTTCAAGTTTCTCAAATATCGTGGAGAATGTTCAAATTTGCCGAGCCGACAACTACAAGAAAAAATCGATAAATCGGTTGGTTGTTTCAGGAAAGCGGCCGATGAACCAGTTGAATGACGAGCATCTTTCGGTGCCGTTTGCTAGAATGTTCAGATGCAGAATGAGAAAGTCTCGTATTGGTACAAATCCATTTGCAATGGCGTTGTTGCCCAATGATGCTGTGAGCAGGAGCAGAAAAGCCGACTTGGTTGTGATGAACGCATCGGAGTCGTGCGACAACTAGACGACCATACCAACTAGGTTTTTTGACTAACTAATGCCGCGTCCAATATCTCGGAAAAACCGTAAAAACCGCAGATTTTTCTGTCCAAAGTCGGCCGAAATTTGCGTGAAAAACGGGGGTGCGCATAGCTCAACGAATGTAACCGTACCCCTAAAACTACGGTATTTTTTGAAAATTTGTTAATTTCTTGAGGATATTTGAAAATATTCAAATGATTCAAAATTTCTTGCGCAAATTTTCAAAAAATACCGTAGTTTTAGTGGTACGGTTACATTCATTGAGCTGTGCGCACCCCCGTTTTTCACGCAAATTTCGGCCGACTTTGGACAGAAAAATCTGCGGTTTTTACGGTTTTTCCGAGACATTGGACGCGGCATAACATTGCACAAGGTATCTTTTCCAGAGTACTCGTTGGTTTCCTGCAAGCCAACGTTCGATAGATTGGAAAAGTGGTACCGGAATGAAAGACATTGCTGGAGGTCTGTTGTTCGTCTCGCGTTGAAGAGTAGAGTGATGCTTAGAAGAAAGTTAACGACATCACTGGCATTCTCGAGGATATTGTGTCCAGAGAAGACGGGATTGAAGTGAAACGTCTCAATGGAAAATGATCGGTATAATTGTTCAACTTACTGAATTTCAGGTGCTGCCGAATGCATTTCCTATCAGAAAGCGGCTTACTCGAACTCGGGACACTATGTTTCGTGGGTGAAAACCGGGAAAAGATGGATAAGAAGCTCGGTTCGCTCGGTTTGCAAGATCAAGACCAAAAAAGCGATGTTATACTTTGTGGTGATTGACACAAAACACATTTGGCGATTTATTCCACGAAAGCCACATGAAGTTAGTTCAACGGCGAATAATTGAGCATAAGATGATAACCAACGGTTGCATCACATGTCTGCTGCTCCTATCGGAATACTATAAATTGTGCTGATAGTGAGGACGACTGGAAAATAAATGTATGTAGCATCTCCATGTTTCCAGTTTGTTTTTGATTGCTACTACTCTGCGCCTTCAAAAAACATCAGAACAATGAGCAGTTTCAGGCTAATAATGAACCCATATTTGTTGGTATTCGTCGCCTGTGCGGCAGTGGTCTCTGCTGAAGTGCACCAATTTAATATCGGGTAAGTTTGTATTTAGCATCAGTATTCCACAGCATCGATTTGAAGGTACCGCCCAAACGTGCGCCAACGCATGAACGCCGAGGGGAAATTGGCCGAGTATGAGCAGGAAAGACAAGAGAGATTGACAGAGAAAAGCCTTCAATTGGTTCAGTCTTCCTCCCCGATAATTGATTACGAAGATATGGCGTATATGGGTGAGTGTTTTCAAGTCGAAAGTGTCCAGAATTTTTATTTTTGCGATTTTCAGTCCAAATATCGCTGGGAACTCCTGCTCAAAACTTTGTTCTATTCATCGATTCGGGCTCTTCGAACCTCTGGGTGCCGGATATCACTTGCGCCGCTGGAAAAGACGCCACTTGTGGAAGCTATTGTAAATCTACTCCATACGACGCTTGCCTCACTTTCTGTCAAGAAGAGTGCTGTACCAAAACGGTTTCCAAGCGAAAAGTTCTGTCGTGAGTCCAGTTTTCCTTAATCTTAACAGCAATTCTTCTAGTACTGCTGATGCTTGCCAATCGAAGCACCGCTTTAATGCTTCCTTGTCGTCGAGTTATGTAACCAACGGACAAAAGTTCGATATGACCTACAACACGGGTGAGGTTAAGGGCTTCTTTGGAGTTGACACGTTCTGTGTAAGCCAATCCGGGTATTTTTCTGGTTCTCAACTCTTCTCCTTTAGTTCACCAACACTTCCGCCTGCTGCACTGATCAAACGTTCGGTCAGGCCACAACGATCGGAGAAGCGTTCGCGAAGCAGCCAGAGGACGGAATCATCGGTCTCGGATGGCCCGCGCTTGCAGTCAATCAGCAGACGCCGCCACTTTTCAACCTGATGAACCAAGGAAAACTGGACCAACCGTATTTTGTCGTCTATCTCGCTCAGATTGGACCCACTTCTCAGCTGAACGGAGGCGCTTTCACCGTTGGCGGACTCGACAGTGCACACTGCGATTCGAATGTCGATTGGGTTCCGCTGACGACGCAGACTTTCTGGCAGATAAAGCTGTCGGGAGTGGCCTCTGGCACGTATAGCCAATCGCCTACGGCCGGATGGCAATGCGCTGCCGATACTGCCGCGTCGTTCATTGGAGCTCCGAAGAGTGTTGTGAGCAGTCTCGCGAAAGTGTGAGTCAATGTTTTAAGCTTACAAGACTTGGGAAATTGGGTCCGTCGCGCGGACTGAGCTCACGCTGGCTTGAAGGCGGCAAAAGGCCTTTTGTCCCACTCGGAAATATCCGATCGGACCCATACTTTGCAGGTTTTTTGGTCGGATCATCCGGTCCAGAGACATGTGGATCGGAGGCCGAAAATTGCGGCCTTTTCGGCCTCCGATCCATATATCTCTGGAGCAGATGATCCAATCGGTCTGAAATTCGGACCCAATATACTTCAATCCAAGTCCAAAAATCCTGCAAGTGGGTCAAACATCCAGACCTCAACAGGCCTTCCTGGGCCGGCCTTTTGTCCAGCCCTGGGCTCATCGTAGGGGCAATTTTAGAACGAATACTTTTTGATTGTACAATGTATGTAAAACTAACTTTGCAGAGTCGGTGCTACGTATGTGCCAGGAACCGGCGCCTACTTCATTGATTGCGACGCCGTTGTTGCGGACATTGTGTTCACGATCAACGGAAAGACGTACAACATGCCATCAAGCTCGTTTATCGTTTCCGCAGGCCCTGGACCTTGCATGTTCGCCTTCTACGATCTGACGGCCGGCGGATTCTATCCTGCGTGGATGCTCGGACCGCCGTTTATGCGTGCCTATTGCCATGTTCACGATATGCAGAACGGACGGCTCGGACTCGCGAAGATTTTGTAAGAGGAGACGAAGAATGATCTTTAAATGTATTGGACTTAATATGAAGACTCTTCAAAACGCGGTGTTCTTGCTATTTGAATAATTTACCTTTCTCTTCCGTATTCTCTGATGTTCAAGCCGATCGTTCATCACATAATACAAGACTGCTCGGACAGTGTTTACGCTTCTCACATTCTCAGAACCGTTCGAAACGTCCACGTGTTCATTTCTGAATTTCTTCGTAACAACTTTTTCCTATTTAGATGTGAAAAAGCGGTCGGACTAATTGAGAAATAAAACAACGAACAGGCATAGGGAAGTTAAGGAACTTATTGAGGGGGATAGTACAAGTAGATATTTACAAAATGAAGGTGTCACAAAAACATTTGAATGGAAGAGGAAACAGTATAATAATAATAAAGTGAAACAATGAAGAGTCACAATCCGACAGTTTAGATATTACTTGGCGATGTTGGAGAGTACGTGGGTGATGTGTCCGCTTTCGCCTGCAAGGCACTTTAAACAGACCTTCTGCACTGGCGTCATCTTTTGCTTCTTTTCTGCAATACATTGTTCCTGGTTTATGCATGAATGCCTTTTTTTTTAGAATCAGAACCCGTCACAACATGACTCCACCTGCAGATAGGTTCTGATACGGGACAGTTCTGGCTCGTCGTAGCCTCATTACTCCTGAACCTCTCAAATTTCTCCAGAAATAACCGTTTTTGGGGATCTGCGGCACGCGATTAACATTAACACACTGCTCACCCAAATCCCGATCCGCCGGTTTGACCGTATAGACGTTTGTCTTATCGGAGAGTTGCTGCTGCGCGGCCACCGTCTCCGAAGCTACTCTTTTTCGGCTGAATTGTGGAAACGATCGATTGAACATCTGAACAACAAACACGTTGGTTTCTTATTGGAAATAAGGTTTAAAGACGAAATATAGAGAGAGCATTTGATAACGCTTGAAGAATTAAAAAAAGTGAAAAGCAAAAAATAAATTGTTTTATAGTCTTAGTGGGCGGAGCCTATCACAGAAAGAAAAAGAACACCGTGTGATGAAACAAATATAATGTGACAATGAATGAGAACGTGTTAAAAAGACACGTGGTGAAAGAAACACTATTATGGCACATGCACCGAAAATTACCAAAATATAAGTATCAAAAGGAACAAACAACGTTTTGCAGATAAGATAATAGTACTATTGACATCAAGAAACGATAAGACTGTCCTAAAGTTCTCGGTGAACAATAATTTTCTCTTCCAAATATTTCTCAAGTTTTCGTGCCTTGCGATTCAACTTCTCCTGTTTCACGCTCAATTCCAGATTCCCGTACACGTGCGCCCTTCCCTTTCCGTGTTCCTCGGCGTCTGCTTGCAGGCGAATCACTTCTTCCTTAAAAAATATGCGATAATTGAAAGTTGAAAGACGTCGTGTAGTACAAAAACAACATATTTGTGTATGTTACTTTTTCACTTTTACTTTTCACGACACCTTCAAGTTGTTTTTCATTTTTCCTCTATTGCCAATAAGAAAACGAATCACACAAAGGTATATGGTCTTTCAAATGTTTACAGTTGTTTTGCTTCTTATCAGCGTCGTTATGAAACTCAAATTAAAAAAGGGAAACTTGAAAAACAACATGTGTTTCCGGTGTATTTTTTTCAATCAACTGACAAAAAATTAAAAAAGTGTTAGATGAATCTTTTGAGAAATTATCGACACACTGGTATCGCCTTTGTACACTGAATTTTTCCCGCGGAATGCAATTTTTACGCATATACGCTTCAGCACGTTGTGGTAATGTTTTTTAAAGTCAATAATCGGAAAGTCCGCAGTCCAAGAAGTTGTGTACCTTGTGAAATTCAATCTTTTTGAGTTGATTCTCAAAGTGGAGCAATTCCTCTTTCAACGCGTTCAATTCGTGTTGCGAGAGCTTCTTATTTTCCAGCGCAAGCTTCCAGAGCCTTCGTACACGTGGCTCCTCAAAAATGGAGTACTGCTCATCAGTCACTTTCCGGTACACTGCGTCCAAGTGATTGTTCAACTCTCGATTCGCCGATTTCAGCTTCTTTGTTTTTTCCGAGAGCGTATCTGAGTCCATATGATGGACGGAATTCTCGTGCGGAACCTTTTTGAAATCCTCCAATTTATCCTCGTACACTCGCATTTTTCTCTCTACTTCTTCGAGCTCTTTATGCAAAACGAGAAGCTCATTTGGTGAAAATTTTCCGTTTTGAGCTTGTGTCCAGAGCTTCTGAAGAGTTTCGTCTTGGAATTTTCCCGATGGAAGCGGCTCGTTTCGCTCAGTTTGCAGCTGCACGTTTTTGTGTTTGTACTTCTGAAAAAAATTGTTTTTTAACTCGTGATAACTATAATTGAATGATACTCACCTCTTTGAAAGCTTGCACTGCTTTTTCTAACCCGTATTTTTCTAGAATGTTCGCCAGTTTATCATCGATTTTGTCAAATTCTTTGGTGGAGTGAGATCCTTGTCGATTCGCTTTGGATGACAAATAGATGGCATCGTAACCGGAAAGCTCTTCCTGAAAAATTAAAGATTTAAGGAGAACAACAAATTTCAGCAATACCTCTAGCCTGGCAAGATTCTGACGATCGGTAACGTGTTGTAGCGCTTTTTCGTAAATAAAGTTGATTCGTTCCGTTCGATACTGTGTTTTTTTCGCCAACGCTGCCCAGACGACCGAGAAGAAGATTACCAGTGACAGAAATTTTAGCATCTGAAAAAGTTAATTTGGAAATTATTTCTTGTGAAGAATAACAAACGAACACACTTTTAACCAGAAAAGAAACTGTGAAAATTGCACTCAAACACGGATGGAAGAGTTTTCGACGCAGTTGCATACCCCGGCCACCGCGAAAATTTCTAGGCCGGAATTGCGTGTTGACCGAATTGATTGGCCTCGCCTCTGGCAATTCGCTATTAATCTAATTAGACGTTTTATCAATCTAATCGTAGTCTACTCGTGTTGTACGGCGGCCTTTTTAGATTAATATGGCACCTAATTAGATTGATAACATGAAATCGATAAAATTAGAAAAATAAGTGTTTATTGGGCAAAAAACAACAGAAACAACAAAAAAAACGATAAAGCGAGAAAAAAAGGGAAAGACAAGTCACTTTTTGTTTTGAGGAGCATCACCGGCAGAATCATTTCCCTTGCGCATTCGATTCCCCACCGATCTTTGGTGGTTGCTGAAAAGTCCATGTCTCAGTCGGAAAATTCGATGGGAAATCTTACATTGTATTTGTGATATGCTCCGCTCCTTAAACAGAAGTTCCACGTGACTGGAGATGCCGTCGACGACGCCACCTTCCACCGAGAGACATTCGAGTAGAATTCCTGTAATGTCGTATTTTATACTTCAAAAATCAGGAATATGTAACTCACGGACTGGCTCATTCAACAGCTCAGCCGGAATAATAGTTCTTGACGAAGACATAGGCTTCGTGCTGGTGGTGTAATTGCCCATCTCTTCCGGTTTCAAAATCTGAAAACTTTTTTCTGTAATATTAGAAGTAATTGAAATGAAAGACCGCTCCCAGCCACGCGTTGGCGACGTGATGGACGACAGTGCGCAATGTTCCCGACATCGGCGAGGTTCTTTGGAAGACGGTATTGACGCAAACGTCTGAGAATTAATCACAAATGAGCTGGTAAGTGAAAGTAGCGAATGATTACCGTGCCCGTTGGTGATGGTGACGACGGACGGCTCAGCTTTCCTCACGCATTGCGGATTGAGAGTCTGCAATGACCATACATTACTTTTTAAAATTCCCTGAGCTTCATTTCCCCTGTTTCCATAATTGAAATCAATCTATTTCTAAAGCTTTAATTTCTGTCCAAAGTCGGCCGAAATTTGCGTGAAAAACGGGGGTGCGCACAGCTTAACGAATGTAACCGTGCCCCTAAAACTACGGTATTTTTTGAAAATTTGCGCAAGAAATTTGAATATTTTCAAAATCCTCAAGAAATTAACAAATTTTCAAAAAATACCGTAGTTTTAGGGGTACCGTTACATTCGTTAAGCTGTGTGTACAGATTTTACGGAATTTACGGATTTTACGGCTTCTTGAAACCGTTAATGCGACGCCCACAAAGTCGGATCTGCCCTGGTGAAAGCCTCGTCCACGAAGGTATATAAGGTCGCCAAAAGGGCAATTGGCCGGCACAAGCTTTTCGTTGGTTTTATTCAGGAAATGCACGATTTCTCGAAAAACGTGACTATTTTTTCTTTTTTTTTCTAATCTTTTGGTTAAAAAACTTTTCTTACACTTCTGAGAATGTTTTCGAACCAAAAAGAAGTAGAGTGACAGCTCGCTTACCGATAGTTTGCCGGAAGACAGTGAAATTTCGTTGAAAAACATTTTTTCTTGCTTCTACGAACTGTCACTCTACTTTTTTTTGGTTCGAAAACATTTACAGTCATGTAAGTGAACTATGTAAACAAAAAAGTTAGAAAATCTAGAGACGGTTTTTGAGAACAATTTTGTTTTCAATGAAATGTCACTGTTTTCCGGCAAAAGACCAATTCTTACGCAAAAGCGAGCTGTCACTCTACTTTTTTTTTGATTCGAAGACATTCACAGTCATGTTAGTGAACTTTTTAAATCAAAAGATTAGAAGATCTAGAGACGTTTTTCGAGAAATCGTATATTTTCTGAATAAAACATTAATGTGCATTACTTCCATTTACTTACGCGTTTCTTTTCATCGCATCGACTTCTCTTCGCGTATTACTTTATCTGGAATTTGTAAAAAGGTCTAATTGAGGTAGAAAGCAGAGAGAAACGCTTTAAAAAGATGAATATTCAGAGAAAATTCATCAACAACTAAAACAATGAACTTTGCGCGTAACATAAAACGCACTGTACGCAGAGCCACACCGACGCGCAAAAATGCATACCATTTGGCTGCGTATGTTGTGAAAGCCGCGCCGTGCGGCCCTTGACCTGGACTTCCGATCGGACCCAAACTTTGCAGGCTTCTTGGACATGGGTTGAAGCATATTAGGACCAAGTTTCAGCCCGATCGGATTACTTGGTCCCGAGAAATGTGGATCATTGGCCGAAATTGGCCGGAAGCCCGGGCTTTTTGGAAAAAATCGGTCAATGATCCACACATCTCGGCCGCCGACGATCCGATCGGGCTGAAACTTGGACCCAATATGCTTCTATGCTTTTTTTTTTACGTGGCCGACCACTTTGCCACGCTTTTTCACAGTCTAGTGCAAAAGCAGCGATGTGGTGCTTGACGTGCGTCAACTGCAAGTGAGCCACGAGAAGGCCCCTGATTTTACATTTTTGTCACAGCGATCCCGAAGAAATTTTGTGACACACCACAGTTTTCAAACATTTGTTACCACACGAAATCAGAGACGCGTAGTCCGTCTGCCCCGTCTTCATGGTTAAGTGTTTTTGACGTCAGCAACTACACATAAATGTCGTGGACAGTTCGAAAAGACAGTTATCGTGTTTCAAAGAACTACGAAGCGCTGGCCGAAATGGGGAGCAGATGAAAAGGGAGAAGAGCCAAGAGTTGAGAAGTTCAGGTACAGACGGAAACATCGAGACACGACTGAAGGTGTACTTTTCCTGCGCGCGCTTCATAAACAGTTGACTTGTTCCGGATCTAGCTTTTGATAAGAAAAAAGTAATAATCGGCCAGAGTTGTGTCAAAGTTTCTGTGGCGGAAAAAGGAAGGCACAAACATGTCGCTTCCAGGCGTCATCTCAAAAAGAATATTCGGCGATTCCGACGGAAACGGTAAGGAAACTTTCGACGCTCCGTCTCCTAGGACTCTTTTAATGGCCTCCTTCTTCCAGACCTCTTCGACTCTTGTATCCCGCAGATCTTGCCTTGCTCGTGCCTGTTTCTATCGCTCCGTATCACAAACTGTATCCCTTGTGAGTCCACGCAGCCACAAAGCAACAAACGAACACAATTTTTTCATTTTTTTACATCGCTGAATTGGATTTTTTGACATAAAAAAACGAAAAAAAAAAACACGGAAAACACTCATTTTTTCCACAGCCTGAATACAGCCCACAATAGACGTTTTGCAGAAAGAGCGAAGATCGTAACCTCGAGGAGACGAGGGGGGCGGAGCTATTAATTGATGACGTACTAACGAAAAGGACACGGAGGGAACTTGTGGACAAGGAAATGGGTGTATAGCAAGACCCTGAAAGTGATGGTCATTTGGGACAACGTACGTATATTTCAAACTATTAATACAAGTCAAAATGCGTTCAATAGAACAAGTTTCAAAGACGTCACTCTTATCTGTAGAGCTCCCGCTCTGCCCTCCCCCCACTACTTTTACATTAATAATAACAATAACACCCCTCTCTGTCCAGATTTCTTCTCTCCCTCTCTCTCTCTCTCTCTCTTTTCCGTTCCTCTCAAGTTCATGGTGATCTGTGATGCGAAAAAGATAATATTTCCTCTTGTGTCGAATGAATTTATTCACATATTCTAGAGAAGATCAGCATCAAACAGTGTTTGTTGCACGCAAAATCGCGCAAGACGACAATGTCTTTATATGAAAAAGCGGACGGGCTTCTAGGCACTCACGTGCTATGGCAAGACATTGAGACGGAGATGCAAACGGTTCTGGGTACGGAGGCAAAGTTCGGCGAGCACAGGCATGTCAGCGATCTCGGAGAGATGAAGGTGAGTCTCTGTCAGTGCTTTCACGTCCCTTTTTCATGAATCTTTGCAGGGTTTCATGTCGAAAATCGCCCTGCTCAATGTCGATTGGACTGCTCGTTCTCGAGAGATCAATGCTCTCATGAACTCTACAAACTCCAAAAGTCATCATCATTGCGACCAGCTCCCTTCGAGACTCGTCGCCAAAATTTCATCGGAGCTCTCTTTGTACGGTTTCTCGGAGCTCGTCGGCTCTTGTCAATGGGATATTGAGAAGATGCGGTCAATGTCGTCGGTAGTGAAAGAGAGTCACAATCGAGAGGTCGCCATGTATCGGATCATCGCGAGAGAACAGCCGATCGGCTGTCCAACTATTCGGGTGTTTGCTCTCAAAGAGTTTTCAGAGCACAATCCATTGAAGGCTTATATAATATCTGAGTACATTCCCAACTTGTGCCACATTGGAATGCACCAGAACATTGAGATGGACGACTTGAGGCCTGTCGTCGACGGAATCGCTGCTTTTTCAGCGATGGGCGAGGAGATGACTGAAGAGGAAAGAAGTGGAACAGTCGGAGAAGTCTACATCGAGGAGGCTATCAAGTATTTATTTGATGAACATGTGAGTTGCCGGCTTAATTTTGAAGCCCAATAACATTTGGCTCCCGTTGCGGATTTCAGAACTCTGACGGTATGCGACAAAAACTGATTCAAGTGCTCGGGGTTATGTATGAGGAGAAGATCGATGCGGCCATGAATATATTTGATCTGATCTGTGGGAGTACCACAATTCTGCAGAATTACTCGATGGTCTCAAAGTTTTTAGGTGAGTTTGACTGACTGGTTGATTCAAAAATATATCAAATTGTTTGTATTGCAGGCCACAAACCGGTGCTGATGCACTCGGATATCTGGCCGTCCAACTTGCTTTTCACCCGACACTCTCTCTCAAATCGTCTGCAATTCAAAGCTCTTATTGACTTTCAGACTGCTTCTTTGAGCAGTCCAGGACTAGATATTGCGTGTCTCACTGTTACCTGCCTCTCCACAAAGGTACTGTTTCATGAGTTTCATGAGAGAACTCACAAGACCCTTTTTCAACTGTTTCAGGATCGTCGTAACCATAAAACTAGCGTTTTAAACCGCTACTATGAGATGTTCACTAAAAGTCTCAAAAACGCGAGGCCATCTCCGTATTCTCGCGAACAACTGACGAACTCTTATGAGTTGTGTTTTCCGGCTGCCGTCATTCTAATGCTTCCATTTATAATATCTTTTTCTATGAGAGCCTCAGAGACTGTAGGTTTTTTAATTTCTGAAATTCTAAAAGAAAACCTCGTTTTTTCCAGATTCCCGAAGCATCCGTAGACAAAATCATCGGACTTATCGAGGATTTAGCTGATGTTCATCGGTCCAATCTGCTGAAATTTCCAGAATTTTTCACGATGCGTTGAAGCGTATTTGTATGTACGCTTCAACTCGCTGTGATGTTTCCAATAATAAATTGTGTAATCGTTCACATGTAGACAAATACAGAGAGAGAGAAAACAGAAAGTATCATCGGAAAAATATGAGAATTGTCGAATCAGCGGTTCTTTTTTGCCTTCTTCTCGGCCATTTTAGCCGTTTTCTCCTCATCTGCCAACTTCTTTTTCGTCTCTACAGTCAGCGCGCTTTTCGGGTATTCATTCGGCGTTTTTCCTTTGACCGACCAGAGACGCGCGGCACGTTCCGACAGAGATCCGCCGCATTTGAGGCCACGATCTGGAAAAATCAATGAGTAAATGGGCACTTTTTTGAATGAATTTTAGTACCATTGAGCGCACTTTTCAAATGTTCCAACCCAAGCAATTCGAGCTCTTCGGCTCCGTGGAAATTCGCAAGGTCTATGGATGCGTACTCGCACGGCGTCTTCGCATCGATCTTCGGAAGATCGTCCACGTTTGTGCTGCTCTGTAATGTTTCGGTTTTTAGAGCTAAACAAATGCCTAACCAAGGCGGTGTCCAGAAATGGAATAATAGGGGCTTCTTTAACATCAAACCCGAAAGAAAATGTTCGAAGAAAAATTCAAATTCTACCAAAAAATGTTCTAATTGACACCTACATCAAGTCTGGGGCGTTTGGCTGGTGCCTCCTCCTCCTCCTCCTCTTTGTTTCCCTCCAAATTTTCCGAAATTGCTTTCGAATCGACAGGAGACACTCCCTCATTCGCGTCCTTTTCCAGACAGTTCTTGGCGGCAAAGTACTGTCGTATGGCTTCGAGCTCTTCTGGATCAGGCTCATTTTCGGAGTCGTCCTCCGAGTCCTCTTCCTCATCTTCCACTAATTTCGCTCCTTCTCCGACAGTCGGCGCTTCAACTTTGCGTTTTCGTCCCCCACGCGCGTTGAACAGATCCGTCACGCCTACGGCCACGTCATCGTCTTCATCAGAAGAGTCTCCAGATTCATGTCCTTTTTTAATACTCTTCGAAGCCTGCTTTCTCTTTTTGGCCAAGGCAAAGCCGGCTTCACACGCGTCTTCCGTTTTTTCAATGATTTCTTCGCGTCGAGATAGATATGCTTGATCTTCGAATTGATGTTTTGCCGGCCCAGCCATCAGTTTCATCAGCTTCGCCTTGCGTTTTTCCTGCAAATTAATTCAGATCGTGAGACTCGGAAAATGCGATTGATGCTCAATTTACCCTCAACTCGTGCTCCTTTCTGGCCTGTTTCTCCAAATATCTCTTCAGTTTGGCCTCCTCATCAACCGACGCCATTCTTCGTCCGTTCAAATCTCGCATCATCAGTTTATTTGTACTTTTATTGACGCGAAACGAGCGGAGCAAGGAGCCGAAACCTCCTTTTCCACCACGAACTCTCAGATGAAATGAATACTTGACAAGGCCTTGACCCAGATTATCTCCAATGAACTTGTCAAAGTTGTCGACAATTTTTCCGTTATGCATCACATAAAATGCGTGAGCCGGAAATTGGGTACGAATGAACTCGAGGGTTTTGTAGTCGTTCATCCAATAGTACGGTTTATCCGGAAACGGACGATCCTCAGCGTCAGGAACAGGGGGCGGGGAGTCGAGGGTCATACTCTCCAACTCCATGTCCACTTCCGGCTCACAATCGCTGCTTTCCGAAGGTGCCAAAGACCGACCGGACATAGAAACGACCGAAGAGGGGCGGACCATTGGGCGTGGGCGATGGGTAGAAGCGCGGAACGCCGGTAGGTACGGATGACTTCGTTGAGAACCGGATAAATTCAGTTGCTGTTGTTGCTGGGATTGTTGGTTGAAGTGACGACGTTCCGCGCGTAGAGATGGCGAGCGTTCTGGAAAGTATTTTAACATACATTCAAATGCCGCGGGAAAACAAGATACCTGGAAGGCTCGCCTGACGGGCATCCCTCTTCCGATCGTTTCTCCGTCCGACTCTTTCTTGTCCGTTCATTGATTTTCCTCAAACAAGAGTTCAGCACGAGCGTTCGAACTGTTACGCGCATGCAAGCGCGCCCTACCGAACATCGTCGGCGTCTCTTCAATCTCGCACTCTCTAATTTGAATAAATAAACAGCTGGCCTAAAATTTGCGTAGTATCTGGTGCCAAGTACGCAAAATATCTAGAACGGTGTTTGCACAGGGGCGACACGCAGCCAATGGGCGTACGCCGGCGTAAAGGCGGCAAACGAAAATTTTGAATCGGTGCGTAGCGCCCTTCGAAAATAAATTCAAATTTTTATGGCGGGAGTTCTGAATGAACACACGTGGTTCAGCTATGAAAAGAACAAGTACGGGGGTTCAACGAGAAAAAGAAAGATCTAATAATAATCATCGGTTGTCTACCGAAAAATCACAGACAAACATATGCAAAACTCGGAAAGGTTTTCTTTGGAATGACGAGAGGAAAGGTGTAACTTCTAAATGACGACAAGAATAGTACGAAGCGAGTTGGAAAAAACGGATGAGAACACAATTGCACACACTTTTTCGAATTCTGAGCATGGTTGGCGACGGAACTCTCCGCGTCCAACCCTTCACGCGAGTCAGTACGAGAAGGTGAATCGGAAAAAAAATAAGAACACAAATTTTCGGTGCTATCGAAGTTCAATATCATAGGCGACGTCTTGCTGATCCGCCGGAATGAGCTCTCCGTCGATGAATTGATGACCTTCTCCCATTTCTTCATAATAGTCAATAGAATTTTGATCATCCAAATGGTGATGGTGGGGATGATGATGAACAACTTGCACGTCTGGAGGCGTCACATGAGTATCTTAAAAATTATGATGATTTTAGAATATTAGAACAAAAAAGTCAAACGTACAGTAATAAGGTGGCAGTGGCCGAACGGTCAGAGGAATTGTTTCAGGCTGTGAAAGTCTCATTCGTTTCTGCGAAATCGCATCTCCGTGGTCTTCTGCTCTTTGTTTTCCCATCTCTCCGACGCCAGAAATCCCTTCTCCAGAATCTTGTCTATTTATTTCTTCAATACTTTCTTCCGCTATCATGTTCGATTCTCTTTTTCTTTGTAACGTTTTCCGGCGCTTTGAGACTCCCTGAATTAGATCGAGGCATCCTGCATCCAAAGACTTCTGAATCTGCCGTTTCTCTTTTATACTCAGCGGAACTGGTGTGGAAGAGACGGCCTCTCGCGCGAAATCCTGGATCGTTTCCCGCATTCGATCACCGTGGATTTCGTCGTCGCCGTGCCGCTGAACAATTTGACATTGCATTTTTTGCTAAAGAATCTGAAGTATATTCCTTTAAAAGTTGTCTAAATTTTGGGAAGATCAGCATTCCTGTGCAAGCTTGAATTCAGGGGCATGCGTTCTGGACACAGTGCAAATGTCCATCCGTTTCTAAACAAAGCCAGGAAGCATTCACATTTTCGGGTAGCTCCATATGTTTATATTTCAACTTTGTGTGCAATTATACAATTTATACTTACAGCAACAAATTCGAGTTTCGCTCTGCTCAGAACCGCCTGAACGGCCTCTTTTCCATTGCAAAAGTGTTCGGCGTTCAACGGCTTCTCTGGATCCTCTTTAATAATATCGTTGTCCACCAGAATTAATGGCACTTTTCTTTTCAGCTCGGCGCCCAAATTACGGTAGCCGTTTTTTACTTTGGAGCACGAGACACACTTCCACGAGACCATTCCGGGTATCTTGAATTTTGCCGCCTGCATGAACTCGTACACTTTTGTACGATCGGTGCGACTTGTGTAGATGAGCACGCGATTCTTGCGGTGCCGTCCGGTGACGTATGTTGCTTTACCGTAGTCTTGCGACATCTGAAAACAAAACTGTGTGAAAAAAAAGATGTGAGCAGAAAAACACGGTCCACACGAATGCTTCAGCATTTAATAACATGGAAAAACAGAAAACAGAAGCCAGAAACTTTAAGAAAGTTCCCCGCTGTTTTCGGAAAGAATAGAATCACTTTTTTCCAATATGGCAAGTCAACGCCTGGGAAACACCGCAAGAAAAACTGGATGTCTATTCAGATTTTTTTTCAAACAGAGAAGCAATTAGTTTATTTCCTCTGCTTTTTGCCTGTTTTGAAAATAACTTTTTCCGGCTGACTGGAGCCAGGAAGTTGCAAAAAATGTTACGTAAATAAATATGAAAACGAGTAAGGTTTTCAACGATGCTCCGGAATATCGACAGCGCGCTGTTTAGTGGAAGAGTTTTCCAATGGCCTAAGAAGTTTGTGAATGATAAAACTAGTCCCTCGCGTCGTCCGCCCATTTTCGAAGCCTATTTTCAGCGTTCCCCAATGTCAGATCCAGAGTTTTTTTTCGTAAACAGCGAACTTTATCTTTAAACAGCGAACTTTTTAAATTTTTGCTGCTTTACAATGAAAAACACGAGCCTTTTACACTAATCGCATTTTCAATCGATCTTTCAATTTTCAGGTGATAATCCACGGAAGATGTCGTTGACATCGAACATGATGCTCCAGGCGTCTCGCCTAGGCGGTGTGGTGTTCAAACGAGGTGGTGCGACTGGTCTGATGGTCCATCGCGACACCAAGGAGAACAATTTGAATTTGAAGTTCAAATTTACACCAGAAAACGAAGAACGCATTAAAGCAATTATGGAAATCTATCCGGAAGGACACAAAGTCAGATTTCTTGCTATTAGTGCCAAAGTATATTTTCAATTTAATAAACAGTTCAGGCTGGTGCGTTGATCCCCCTTCTCGATTTGGCTCAGCGTCAACACGGGTGGTTGCCGATTTCGGCGATGCATGAAGTTTCACGTATTCTGGAAGTGCCACGTATGCGCGCCTACGAAGTGGCCACATTCTACACAATGTTCAATAGACAACCCGTCGGAAAATACTTCCTCCAGGTAGAGTTATAAAGGCAGTATCAGGGGAGAACATTGAAAAAATCCCCCTTCTTCTCCGAGTGACTGCAGAAATGTACGTTGAAGTTGTTCGTTGTTCGTAGGTTGTTCATCAACCCCAGATTTGTTTTCTACAGTAATTTGTTTTTTTCGAGTTTAAACATATCTAATGACGATTTTTTCACAGACGAACGACAAGGTACATTTCTGCAGTGTCAGATAAATTTTCAATGTTTTCCCCAGATTCCTCATTTGAAACAATCCAAAAAACCTCTCAGCGATTAACTCAACCCCTTATACTGTTTTTGTGATATTGATTTTGTGGGTCTTCAAATTATCCACACAAAAAAATTAAGTCGGACCGGACACAATTTCCGCATCTCGGCGCGAAGTGAACACTGAATTGACGACCGTGACTTAAAGCCGAGTTGCCTGTAGTCTGATTGAAGGCATTGCTATTTATATAACTACGCTTATTTTCAAAAGAATCAACCACATCATTGTGTTTTCAGGTGTGCGCTACAACTCCTTGCATGCTTCGCGGTGCCGAGACGATCACGGAAACTATCGAGAAGAAACTGGGCATTCATGCGGGAGAGACGACAAAAGACGGACTATTCACTTTGGCAGAGGTGGAATGTCTGGGAGCGTGTGTGAATGCGCCAATGATTCAGATCAATGACGACTACTTTGAAGACCTCACTCCTAAGGTGAATAAATTCAATTAATAGCTTCGAGAACAATTAGCTAAAATTTTTCTTACAGGACGTACACGACATCCTGGACGACCTGAAAGCAGGTCGTAAGCCTGCCGCCGGCCCAAGATCTGGTCGATTGGCTGCCGAGCCGTTCGGAGAGCTAACCTCTCTCAAGGAGACCCCGCCAGGACCTGGATTCGGATTGCAGGCGGCACTTAAGTAAATTCGTCCGAAATAGATTCCGAGATATTCATGCTAATCTCTTTTCGTCAATTGTATTGTTAGAAAGTAAAGCGTTTTTTCTTAGGCACTTTTTTTTTATTCTGCCGTGGTTTTGTACCATTTTCATACCGTTCATTTTCTTTTTCTAACTCGATTTAATTTTTTCTATTGCCACCTCAAAATTCTGTCGCTCTGCCGCGATTGCTCGTGCGAACGGGCTGGGACGTTTTCCATTTCATCACGGAATTCATGTGGCAGAGCGACTATCATTCTTACTCTTCCTACTTTGTATCATTATCACCTAACTCGTTAAACTTTTGCAGATGGGTAGAAAAAGCGCTATTGCAACTTCGACCAAAAAGACCGTCGCGGAAAAGGAACTGGTTGTGCCGAAAACGCCGGCGAAATCGCCGAAAACTCGTGCTCAAAAAGCTCTGGCCGCAGCCACTCCATGTCCGAAGATTCTGACTCCAAAAACTCTAGCTCCGAAAGTCGCTAAAACTCCGAACAAGAAGAAATCGGAGACAGCCGTGGTTGTAAGCAGTGACGACGAGGAGGAAACGCAGGGAATTCAGGTATGCATGATTTCGAAGCCACAGATTTGTCAGAGGTCCGAGTTAATTCGTGTCCTTCTTATTCTTCATTCTTACAAACATTTCAAAGTACATACCGATATAATTCATTTTTCTCGAATTACAGACGCTAAAAACGGTCGGATCTGTGGCGGAGGCGGCGAAAAAAGAGGAGGAATTGGAGCATGAAGAGTCAAGCGACGAGGAGGAGGAGGAGGAAAAGTCAGGAAAATTTCTGAAAAAAAGAAATCCGTCTTGTTGCGATGAGGAAGATGCCGTCCTGAAGGCCAAAGAGCAGGCTCCGCATGCGGTCAACTCTATGAAAAAGTATTTTGCTGACAAAAACGAGAAGTCTCTCTTTCCGGACATTGATTACGCTCTCAATTTGTCTGTTGGCTACAAGAAACCGGCACTCACAACCGAAATGAACCGACTTATGATGTGAGTTTCGTCTCGGACTCTTGTTTTTACTGATACTTCATGATTGTGCTCTTCCTAATTTTCTTCCCCAGAGAGAGAGAGAGAGAGAGATAGAAGCGATTAGCGTTCGAAAAGGCAGAGACGCAAGCGCGAAACTGTTTCGTTGTTGTTGTTTGTTGTCATAGGCGCGGGATTTTTGAGAAACACCAAACCATTTTGGGCAACCTGACAACCTCTTACAGTCGGTAAACTCAGAAATTTTTAGATTGCTGATTGCAAATAATGTTTTCCGCCATCTTCTTCCAGAACTCTTCCGCACTCGACGCGCAACATCAACAACACGACGATCTGTCTGATTCTCCCGGATCTTGATCAGTCCGATACAGCGCGTCGCGATTTCGACGTGGAGAAGCAGTCGCGCGAGTGGGCTGATAAAATTGAAGCAGAGCACGGACTGACGTCGGCGCACTACTCAAAGATTCTGACAAAACGTGAGGTGGAGAGAATCGCTCACACTTACGCGGACAAAAGGAACCTCGCCTCATCATACGATTTGTTTTTGGCTGATGGAAGAGTGTATAAGTCAGTGAAGTCGTTCCTTGGCAAGGAGTTTTATAAAGTGCACAAGACGCCGCTGCCGTTCACTTACCACAAACCTCTCAGCTCGCAAATCGAACGTTCATTGGCCACGGTCGTCTATCCGTTGAAGAGATTCATGACTAAAGCGTGAGTTTGTATTCGTTTTACTGATAAACATTAGAAAGATGTACTAATAGTAACGTTCTTGTGATGAATTGCTCAAATTCAAAAGAAATTCAAGAGTTAGAAGTAGAAATATACCTCACCGTTTCATCTCTGTTTTTTAGATGTGTCGCTGTGGGTCATCTGGGACAAAGCTCCTCTGATTTGTCGGAAAACATCAATTTCGTGATCGACCGCATTGCGGCTAAGTGTCCGGGAGGATTCGTGAACGTCCGCAACATCTACCTGTCCACCAGCACCAATAAACCATCGCTTCCAATTCACATTGATCAGAGATCGGCTACGGAGATCAGTCTTCCGACTGGTGCCCCCCACGCTAAGAAACACCTGAAGGAGCAATCGGACGAATGCTCGACTCTTCCAGACGGACTCAAGATCGCTGTTCGTAAGAATTCGAGAATCCGTGTTCTGAAGGAGGTGACAGACGAGGCGGTATTGTTCCCGACGATCCACGACGAGCATTCGGAGCGTGATAGTATCAAGCCAACTATTGACCCGAAGAAAGTGCTCAAGAAGCGGGAGCGTCGTCGCAAAGGAAAAGAGATTGTGAAGAAGCAGATTGCGAAAAGAAAGGAGAAGAAACTGAAGAGAGTCGCCGATGGACCCGTCAACATCATCGTTACCAAGAAAATAAAGAAATCTGTCGCCTAATGTTCTTCTCACCTTTTTGTTGTTCTGTTACCATTTGTTGTTTATTGTTTTTCCCACATTTTATCTTCACCATCATCTCTCCAAAATTAAGAGAATTCCTTGTTGTTTTTGCCGAATAAAGTTACACCGAAATGTTATTTGAAAAGGTTCTCCTGGTTTCATTACCAATTTTTATATTTTTGAGATTAGCATAGTGGAATGTCTCTTTTTACAGTTTAAATGTTGTATCGCAAACGAAAGATTTCAGATGAGCTTACCGTGGTATCATCTGGAGCGACCGGCTCGAATGCAACTTCTCCGAGCGTACTACGCGGTGTGCGCTCTCACTTACCCCGTTTACGTCGGCATCAACTGGCAGAGCTACATCCCCGACAGAACCCAGGTGCACACAGTTTTCTGAGCAAAATCACCTAGAATTTTCGAATAGGAAAATTGAACTAGTATGTGTTTTTTAGGTTCTCGGCGGCAAGTCACTTCGGGAAGAGATTCTGAATCCGAACAACGTGAAGCAGTGAGCAGTTGCCTCCGTCATCTCTCTCCCTACTTTATTATTATTCTCGGCGATGCTCCTGAAAAATTGCGCATACTTTGAGCAACGATAGCTCTGATACTGTTGCCCAATTTTTCAAGATGTCGTTTTCTGTACAACTACGTGTATTTCTTATCGTTTTTAGGCTAAATTAATAGAAAAGCAAGCTATTGTTAATCATAAAGTTTATCAGTGTTTTGATCAAGATCAAATAAAAGCTAGGGATTAATGAAATAATTGGAGTAGCGATACAGTCCCAGCACGGGAGTATTAGGATTATACCCGTAATTCGGGTAATACGGTATGTTATCATCATAAACTGTTGGCAGGTTCTGCTGACGGAAAAGACGATCGTAGAAGCCGGTGCGAGCGAAAGCGGAAGGAGCTCCGCGCAGAAACGCCTGACGATCCTCTTGCTCTTCTACTGCAATTTTTTGTAGTAAAATGACCGCTTGCACGTGCTAAAATCGATAGAAAGCCTCAAAAACTCACAAATTTCCCTGGCGGTTTTGTCTTGTTCGCACGGCCAAACCTTTCGGAAATTGACTCTTTCGGGAAGACAAATCCGATCGTGGGGCATTTGAAGGGAGGAACCGATCAAAGAACAGAGCGTTAAAGTTAGAGATATTGTCCGTTTCATTTCATATACACATATATATATATATATAAGTATACAATCAATTCTTGTTCGGGATTAAGGCGAAATAATGATAGAAAACAGAGATAAAATCGGCAAAGAAACACGATTTTCGGATTGATTGATTAGAGAGATAACTGAACATTTGTCAATTGAAATCACAGGTTCGAAGGCGATACGTGCTTCAATTATGACCGCTTCTTTAACAAAACGTGATTCAGATGCAAAGTGTTTCTATTGCGAAATGTATTCCTCTTGTCTTTGAGAGATGACTTGTGATGCTGCAACTTCCTTTTGTGGAGGCCAGCCTAGCTTAAGTTTGAAACACTTGGCCGGTATTTTGTATGTTTAAAAAGAAGATAAGTATAAATGCAACCATTAAAACGAGAAAAGTGAAAAAAAAAGGCATTGACCGAGTTGTTTGAGGGGCAAAACAATGAGAAACAATTGACTAGGATGAGCAAGCAAATAGAGATTTCTGGTGAAGAAGGAACTAACTTTCAGAACAAGTTTTAGGTTTCAAAAAGAGATCAGTGAAAAGTAAAGGAAGGAACAGAAAGTGGAATGTATAAAAAAAAACGACAACAGAACGATTTCATTTCTTTTTCGTTGACATCAACTTCTTTCGTTCCTCTTCGTATGTACGAAGCTCCTCGTCAATCACGTCATTCGGTTCCACATGCCAGTGCGTAAAGTTGCTGTGCTCCAGCGGTTTGCTCCACGCCGACGTCAGCCTTTCTGTCTTGCGGGCGTCGTCTTTCACACTGCAAATATTTAAGAATTGAAAAATATCACCGATAGAAATGAAAAACGGCAAAACAATATTTGAAATTGGTTTGTAACTTGACTCACTGAACAGAAAGCGGTGGGAACATGTAGTCGACCGTGTCGGTGGCCATCGACTTGTAGCTGAGTTCTAATCCTACCGAATCGGATCGTTTCACTTTTCCCGATGGATCGATGATGAGTATTCTGGCGGCCGGAACGGCTACTGCCTCGTACGAAACGACGTCGGTGATGCGATTTCCAAAGCCGGCGTAGAATGGATTTCCAGAAGGGAACAATTTTTTGAGGTCAGTAAGGGCCGCAATTTTGAACTCCTCCGGACGACGTTCGATCACTTCTCTAAAGAAAAATAGAGGGTTAGCTTAAAATGCCCGCATGGATTTATCTTTTTACTCTACCACTGTGATGAACTATTTTTTCGGCTATCACAAACCTGCGGAAAGCGGTAATAATACTAGTCGGCGAGAGGAGAACCGGCCCATCGGGAAGCTGTTTCGAGTCCTGAGCAATACTCTTCAGGTACTGTTTGGTGGTGTGACTTTGACCGATGGCCCTCGAAGACAGGTAGACCATCTTGTAGCCGTTGTTCTTGATCCTTGTGTACAGCTCGGCCACTCCGGTGTGCGCCCACGTGCCTCCGATTGCCGGGATTACATGTCCGAGCACGTCGGACTTTGTGATTGTGCCGTCAATGTCCGAAATGACTAGCTGCTCGTACCACTTGTAGAGGTAAATGTTACACGAGCACCACGTTGTTCCCTGGAATTTCGTGGTGATCGAGAAACGAAGCTCGTTCGCGCCCAGCACGAGTCCTAGGGATCTGAGCTTCTCCGACGAGAGACGCAGGGATTGCATGTACTGCGGACGGAAGCTCTCGTCCGGTTCATCTTCACTGAGTGGGCTGAAATATTTAAGAACATAATCTTTAGCAGACAATGCGGCATTTTCATAATAAATCAAATTTTGTGAGGCTACGCCGACCCGGTACTGCCCCCAAATCAGAACTAGTTGCAGTGCTAATTGGTTCTGGTTCGGCGTAGCCTCAAAACGAGTCAACTGGCTCGTGGATTAAAAGGCTGAGGTTTGAAAACGGTACAACGTTGTTTCAAGATTTGTGCAGAAGCAATATAATAATTTTCGAGATCACTCACAAAATGTCATCAGACAAGGCACGCGAACGGATTCCATCGGTCGCGTCTTTTGAAGGTGAAACGGCGGTTGCGAAGCGGACACTTTCCCGCGTTGGTGTCTTGTCCTCCTTGACGCTTGCGTTCGGAGAGGTTGTCGGTGTCGGATAGTCTCCGTCGTGATGAGAGATGGGCGAAGACGGCTGCGAAACGCCGCGAGAAACGTGACCACTGTCGATGGACGCACTGAAAATTGCAACTTTTGGATAGTCGGCGGTTAATTGTTTTAAAACCTACACCTTTTTTTAATGCTGAAAAAAAGAACTCACACACTGGGCGGTTTTCCGAGATATTTCTCAATGTTTACAGGATGAGAGGACGCCTGACTGAGTAGTTCATCCAACGGAATTCCTTGATCTTCTTCCACCTCCATTGGTTTGTGATTGTCGGTCGAGGCGGTAATAGGCGCACTTCCCCTCCAAAACCAGCTCCATTTCGAAGTGGATCCGCCCTCCTTTTCAGCTTCTTCCTCTTTTTTCCGCATGTTCTGCTCCCTCGTCTCGGGCAGTTCTCCCCATTTCCAATCGGTGACGTCATGAGGCTCCGGTGTCGCATTCCGATCTCTCTGACGGTCGACTTCTGAATCGGAAAGAGCTCCGTCGGCGATTCGGTCCGCTTCGCGTTGATCCACGAGTGATGGAGACGGGCTAGAATTGACCGATGAGTCCATCTCCGAGTCAGAATCTGTGTATTGCTGCAAGAAAAGTGGTCTTTATATACATTTTTTTTTGTTTTTTTTACATAGCTGAAAATTTTTAACATAAAAGCGGCGAAAAAGCATACATCAAATAACCCCATAAGCTTCTCCATCCCCTTTCTTAATACTTTGCAAGTTTATTTTTAAGGTAAGAAAAATCTTACCACTTTGATATCAATGGGCCTAGAAACGGGAGCCTTCTCGAAGGTGACTCTGCTCTTCTTCCGCATCGGCACTTTTCGGTCCATTTCATGCGTTTCGCGTCTCAGACTTTGAAGGATTTCATCGTTCGATTTGTGGAACATTTTCTTTTCCAAACTAACGGAGCACTGCGAATGCGAATGCACGAATGGGCGCGGCGTTTTTCGTCGTTTCGCGTCCTCTTTCGGCTGCTTTTTCAGCTCTTCCGTATCCAAAGATCCGGATGTTTCTGCAGCCAAAACAGTCAGATCGGGGAGTGAACGATAGCGACGGTCACTGAAGACGGAAGACGAGAATGGAAGAGTCTGCTTGCGTTGCACTTGGCTCAGAGATTGTCTGGAAAGGCAGAACGTTTAGAAAAATATTTACTCTCCCGACTCTCCCGAATCAAAACTGTCCCAAATCAGAATCTATCTGCCGATAGTATTTAGTACGAAGATTTTTGTTGTGGCTTCTCTTATGACCTCATTTTTATAATAAAAAACATTTTGTGAGGCTACACCGAACCAGATTGGTTCTGATTCGACACAGTTCTGTGTCGGCGTAGCCTCCATTTTGTAGACTTGCAAATGGTCAAAGTTGTATCGACACTCGGCAGTTTAAGAGCGCCCTGGGAGACCGTGTTCTACTACTTACTCCTGCTTGGGCTCTCTGGCGGTTCCCTGTGCTCCTCCGTCTGGGCTCGACGATCTGCTCTTCGCCAAGTCGGCCATTTCGCCGGCTTCTCTATTTTCCAGCAGATTCTGAGTCTCTTCGAGTTTCCGAGCACTTTCAGCGAGCACTCTGCCCACGCCACTGCTTCCGCCTTGCGGCGTTTCTTGTTCTGGAAGCGGAGAAGTGAGCAGGTAGTCGGGCACTTCATCATCAGCTTCCTCAACGAAAAAGGCGACTCCACTGTCGGCCAACTTCATTTTTAGATCAATTTCCTCTCCGTTCACGGCAATATCCACGTATTTGTCGCTGTAGCTGAAGACACCATACTTGCCGAAGCGCACGTGGAACGGCGTGGATTTGTACTCGCCGTTCGGCTGCTCCACCACTACCACGTCGATCGCACCTTAATCATCGGATATTGTTTGAATATATATATTTTTTTGAAATATTAAAAGCATTTGCATCAATAACAGTTTTTCAAGTCGCAAAAGTCTTTTAGAGAAACTCGGGAAAGTTCCTACCTGAAAGAGTGGCCGGATTGATTGAATTGTAAAAGTATTTCACATTTTTGAGCATTCGATATGCGTAGTCCATTCTGATCGCTTCACTGAATTCTTAGCACATATCACTTAAGTTGAAGATGATGTGGAGGTGGATAATTTCGAACCCGGATCTGGATGGACCCTTCTGTAAAGAAAATAATACATTTTTAAAGACTAACAGTTTCAAATTAATGCGGAAGAGAAACGAATTACGAACAGTCGAAAAATCAATGTAAAACAGTTTATCGTTTCTATAAATAAAAGTCTTGAAGTATTTGATTAAGAAATAAAGACATGAACTTTCTAATGTTTTGAGAAGCGATTTAAAGGGGTTGTTTCGATGCGGGTAGAGTAAATGTGTGGAGAAAAACAGTTTTTCTGTTTCGCTGTCCCTGATGCAGATGCAATGTCATGAAGAGGAGGCGTGCACACAAACAACAAACTATAGTTAGATGTTTGGCCTTTCCCAAAATTTCTTACTATCTCTTCTAGGTTATACAAGTTTTTGAAATGATTTCGGTGGAGAAATAAACTAAAACAGAGGTGAAGTGAACAAAAAATAAGCTGTGACGAAATTGGGGGGGAAAGAGCAGCATCCAAAACGGGGGGTGGGGGCGCTGGCTTATACTTTGCGGGAGAAGAGAGACTAGATAGTGAAAGAGGGAGTGAAGAAGAAGAAAAAAGAGAGTGAGAGGAAGTCGGCGAGAAGGAAAAGTACAAGTGATCATAGAACAGGAGGCGCAGAGTGCCCCCTAGTTGACTGGTCACTCGTTCTCTCAACACAATCCGGTGGCATGCATTATGGAGGATACGAAGGAGAAGAGGAAACGAGTATTCAGTAGAAGAGACCGAACGGTTAATCGCATTTTCCAGACGTTTTGTTCGTATCTCTATCACAGTGGAAAATCCGCGGAAAAGAGCGAAGCGGCAGGAAACGTTATAGGGCTATCCAAAATACGCTGTTTGAATTTTGAAAACGATTTTTCACCTCTCCGCATTGTGCCAAACTAATCTCGAATTAAGAGAAAACATTGCGAGTACTAAACGAGCATGTGCCAAAACTCGATTCGAAAACCCGGCCGCGGCCACGAATTTTCTCATTTTTTTACGTGTAGAACGGTAAGACTTTTTACATGAATTCATGTAAAATAAATCAAGATTCCAGTGAGAAATAAGAGTATCGAAAAATGGCGTACGCACTTTATGCCTGATTCTTTGGCCTCACGCCAGCCAAATAGTTGTTATCTCTGAATACTCGACACACGGAACACACCACGTGGTGTTGCAGACCACGTGGGACTTCAGGGGGGGGGGGGGTCACAGTTGTCTCTGTACATTTTGTGTCATGGCGCCATCATTGATCAGGTGAGCGAGAAAAAAGAGAGACCTACGAGAACAGGAGGGATCAAAAGTGCTAGAAACAGTTTCGAAATGAAGGCTGTCTAATTTAACAAAACTTAGACGCGTACACGATCATCATGAAGAAGAAATTGCAAAACAAATGTACGCTCCAGCCCTCGCTATACGTTTGTTTTGTGTGTGTGTGTTGGTTTTCGAGACAATCGGAAGGAAAACTCATTCGCACACTCTCTGATCAGCCGATCATTGGCTGACTGACGTCATTTTTTTTTGCGCGGTCACTTTTCCGATGACGGACGTTCCGCGCGAGGCAGCTCCGCACTGTCTCTTTTTGTTTATCAAACATCATGATTGGTTGATCGCTGGAGCTGCTTTATCGATTTCATTACATTTTATTCGTTTTCATAAATTCACAAGACTTTCTGAAACTAGTCCCGCTGTGCGGTCCGAGCTAACGCTTGGAAGCGGCTTTGGCGCTTGTTTGTTTATTATAACTGTTTCAAGGTTCACGTGTTCTTTTTTCAGTTTTCCCGTCAACTTTTTTAGAAATGAACGTGGGGGGCGGACAAACAGAAATAAACAAAAAAAACAAACGGAGGGACACATCCTTTTTAAAAATGATATTTCGCAACAGCTTTTCTGTAATTGAGTGCGAAAACGAAAGATCTCCCGAAATTTCGTCTCTCGTTTTTTGATCAGTCGCGTGATTTAAGTACGTCTCGTAGAAGCGTATGGGCGGAAATAAAATGTGATAATAGCGGCGAAAATGTCTCGGTTGAACTCGCTGAAAACAAAAGTTTCGAGCATTTTTCATGTAAATATTCACAAAATTTTAACGAGAAAACATAAACAAAAGACTGTGGCTGCAGTCTTTTGTAGGACTGTGGTAGGAAAAAGTATAATAAGTATAAAAAGAAATTAGCAAAGCTTACTATAATTTCAAAGGCGCATGTCAAATTCCTTATCGGTGGGTCTCGACACGAAGTTGCCTGTTTTGAGTTGGGAAACGGTTGTTTTAAGAAAAAACTCGTATTCTGAAAAGAGCAGACTTACTTTAACGTGTGCCGACACTATTTTGCAATATAAGGCAAACGTTTCTTCATCAATCAATTAGTCAGTAAGCAATGGTCTCACTTTACTTCACAATAATGTGCAACATCATCAGAAGAATTCATATTCAAAACTCTGGTTTCTTTTGGTCGGAATGATGTCTGATTTCTTCCAGAGAACACTCAATTTAAAGAGACAGTGAAAGTGCGCTCCACTGCTAAAAGTTTGCATTTTCTTCGCAAAGTGCCCATAGGTCCATGAAGAGAAGTTTTATATGTTTGTTTGTTTCCAATTTTTGGCCTCCATTAAAAACGAAATTATTTCAAAACTCAAACCGACAATCAATATAATTATAATAATTTCCTAAATAATTTTTAAATTAGAAGAAAATCTATACACTCATCATTCAGATGTTTTCGGTCAAAAATTCAGAAATAAGTAGTATTGATATCTATAACTTATGCTTTTTCTTTTCAAATTTCGATGAGTTTCTAATTGCGAAATCTCTCATCTTCCCATTTTTCTCTTGCCAATTTTGCGTCATCTCATCATTTTTAGTGATTTTGCAGATATTCTAAAGCGAAGACCACAAGATAGTCGCTATTATTAGACGCACAGACGAAGAATGAGTCTGCGAAACGTCTCGAAGGCTTGCCATTTAGGACGATATGCGTATAGGCACATAATTGCCGGTCAAAGGTAACTTCTATTGCAAATTCTTGTACCTCGGAAAACAAATCGAGCAGATGGGTTCAATAACTAAGAGAAATTGTAAATATAAATTTTTTTTTTCAGAAGTTATCTCTTCCATCCTCAGATTGCCTGCAGTTCACTGCACACAACTTGTTCGAGGCAAGCATTTTTATATTCAAATTTGAGCAGTTGTTGTTCTAATTTTTCAAAATTAAAAAATTCTCCGATACAGTGTAGGGCGAGTTTGCGGTTTGTCCGGAAAGAAAACTGGGAACGAGAGAGAAGCGATTAGCTTGCGAAAAGGCAGAGACGCAGGCGCGAGACAGTTCGCAAGCTAATCGCTTCTCTCTAGTCCCCAGTTTTTTGTAAGCAATTTCTCAATAAACGGGAGCCGAATCGCCCTCCCCGTCCTGCTTTTTTTATAGAATATTGTACTGATGTGGCATTAACAGGGGCAACCTCAAACAGGAACGCTCCCGAATCAGAACTGTGATCCGAATCAAAACCAATAAGGACCGCAGATAATACTGCTTTTGGAGAACTTCCATTGCATAGTTCTGATTCGGGACTTTTAATAACGAGGCCAAGAAATAGTTTTCAAATTACGAGATAGTGAAAAGGCTTTTTTAAATCTCTTATATCTCACAGGTATGCGGCGACAGACAGAAGCAAAGTGGAGTACACTCTGAAAATGTTGCGAGAAGACGTTCAAAATCAAGACGAGGAGGCGCAGAAGGCATTAAGTTTGATGAAGTCGGGAAAGGAGGTGGCGACTGTGAAGCCACCGCTGAAGGATCGAATTATGCACGAGCTGAAGCACTATTACCACGGCTTTCGACTTTTGGCTCTTGAGACCCGGCTCAGCGCCAAATACATGTGGCGAGTGCTCCGTGGAGCAACTCTCACAAGAAGGGAGCGGCAGCAATTGGTCCGAACCGTCTCCGATCTCTTCCGACTCGTTCCCTTCTCCTTCTTCATTATCGTTCCGTTTATGGAACTCGCACTGCCAATATTTATCAAATTGTTCCCCGGAATGCTTCCGAGCACGTTCCAGGAGACAAGCAAAGAGGTGGCCGTTTTTTTCAAATGAAAAAAAGAAAGAAATTATATCTTTTCGAACTGCTCTATTTTCCAGGAAGAAAAGTTTCGAAAGCAAGTGAAACTTCGTGTCGAAATGGCAAAGTTCCTGCAAGACACGATCGAAGAGATTGGTCTCGAACGGAAAACGCACAATAAAGAGGCGACACGGTCGCTGGATTTTGCGCATTTCATTAAAAAGGTACGAAACGAAGGAGGATATGTTTCCAACGAGGAGCTGCTCAAATTCTCCAAGCTCTTCGAAGACGAACTCACGCTGGACAATTTAAACATGGGACAGTTGAGGTAAATTTGTTTAATTCGAGTGGAGCTCCCGCAAATGAAAATTGTTTCTGGAACTCGGGAACTTCAAAATTTTGAGAAACATTTCGCTACAAAACACTAATTTTCCAGATCCTTGTGCCGTCTGATGAGCATCAACTCGCTGGGATCGCCAGAAATTCTCCGTTTCCAGTTGAACATGAAAATTCGCGAATTGAAGGCAGACGATAAGCAAATTGCAGCAGAAGGAGGCGTCGATACTCTGAGTTCCATCGATTTACAGTCTGCTTGCCGGGCACGTGGAATGAGGGCCATGGGAGTGAGTGAGGAGCGGCTCAAAGAGCAACTCGTACAATGGTTGGAACTATCGTTGAACGACAAGGTTCCGCCGTCGTTGCTTCTTTTGTCCAGGTGAGAGTTTTATGGGTTTTTCTAGAAACTTGCAACAGTCCGAGCAGGGCACAGCCTTCTACGACAGTCATGACATTGCAAACTGACCCGTGAACCGTCGGCCAAAAGTTCAGATGCGTGCAGTCGGAAGAAAACTGATTCATCTTAACCATTTTCCTTGGAAATGTATTCATTACGATAGAAACTGATTTTTGTGTCTCTGCTAGTTTCCATCATAATGAACTTCCCAACAAATCAAGTGTGAAGTGAAATGAGTCAGTATTCCTCCGACAGCACGCACCTGAAGCGCTTTGGTTCACAGGAAACTCAATGAAACCAAGTGTTTATTGAAATTTAATTGTTATGTTTAAGAACTCTGTACCTTCCGGAAGATGTTTCGTTCCCCGATCGTCTGAAGGCGATCGTTCAAAATCTTCCGGATGGAATCGCCGAAACGACAAAGCAGAAACTGACGGAGATGGAAGGAGGACAAATTGATCACAAAGCACGTATCGCACTCATAAAATCCATCGAACAGGCCATTGTGACAGAGAAGAAAGAGGAGGAGAAGAAGCGGAAAGCGGCGGAAGAGGCACTGAAAACGAAAGAAAAGGCGGCGAAAGAGCAGAAGATTGCCGAAGACGTTCTGGCGACGGAGCACATTGTTCAGGACACCAAAAAGGAATTGCACGAAGCAGTGGCTTCTGCTTCGGCAACTTCCACGCCTTCTGAAGCTACTGTGGCAATAACAACTTCTGAAGCGGTCAAGAAGGTTGTTGAGGAGATCAAGAAGAAGACTGAGGATATGCAGGTTGGTAATCTTATAAAAACCACTGTCTTCAAATAAATTTATATGTTCTTTTTTTCCAGGTGGACAAGGCGGATCTGTCCCATATCGAAGAGATCATTGTGGGTGGACCGATCAAAGAGGCAAAGCAGGACATTTTGGGGCTGCGCGAGAAGGTTCTTGAGCACAAAGAGGATCTCATGGAAATCAATTCCCTCGACGGTGCATTCGCAGAGACCAAAGTTGCGAAACGTCTTCGTCACAAATTGAATGCAATTATCGAGGACGTTGATTCGATGGTCGGAAAGTTGGAAGAAGAGAAACGGAATATCAGAGAGATGCTCAGTGACCCATCAGCAGAGAACAGTGCCGATCTGAAGAAGGAACGGGAGGTTCGCATCCAGGATGTTATCGATTCGCTATCAAAACTCAAAAAGGGAGAACAGACAGATGTGCAGCAACGTGGGAGAATTGAGGCACTTCTGAAGACGATCGACGAAGACGCCGACGGTATTGTCGACCGACAACTTGTCCTCGAAGTCATTGAACTGCTGGAGAAGCACACGGATGTGCACGTGTCAGCCGCACAAATGGCGTCGATGATCGGAACTCTAAAGAAAGAGGATGAAGTAGCCGGACTCACCGAGGAGATTCGCAAGGTTCAGAGCGGACAGTTCGAGATGCCGGTGCTGCCAACGGTAAGATCGAGAAAGACTTGTTTTGAAAGCGTTAAGAGAGGAGTAAAGTAGCAAGCGGCGACGGCTCCGTTCTCTAGGACATATGCCGCTCTGGCCGGCGTGTGACACACATTTAAGATTGAAGTTGGAACCCCAAAGCCGTTTGGATACCTGCCGTACACAAAAAATTAATAGAGGAAATGGCGGTCTCACTTACGATACGTTTCGGCTAATTTAGGCAACCTAACTGATCTAAAAATGTTCAAATAATTGCATTTTTCGATGTTTTCTAGGGTCCTTCGTCAGCCGACGCGTTCTATCAGCCATCAGAAACGGCGACGACGTCCGTACGAGCATCCACCGCGGAAGTGAGGAAGTCGCAGATGGAAGAGGAGGTGGCGACGAAAACGAAAAAGGTAGAAAACGGAGTTGGCATTCCTGATGTCGACACAAAGGTACTCATGAATGATAATGAGGCCCGTGGCCTCCTAAAGTGTGAAGAGAGGCACATGTGCGTTCATACTCTGGTAAATCGGTTGCAATATGACTGGAAGAATCTAAGCGCAATTTTATTTATTCTTACATCTAATTATAAAACATTTTGTATTTTATACTGCCCCGATCTTTTGCAACTGTGGCGCCTCCTCCTCATACGTTACAAAACCACAAAATGATGCACTTTTGAGAATCTATGAAAGTGCCACACAAATGAATGAAATTCCTCTTTTTCAGGTAACCTCAACCCTCCAAAGCAATTCCTCTTCGAATTCGACGTCGTCCGAAAGCAAATCGGATCCTAAATCAGTGTGAAGTTCAACAAACTCTCGATTATTCTTCTGTTTTTCTTCGATTTCTTCGTCTGGCATTTCTCAGTTTTTAATGTACTATTTCGCTGATTTTTTCCAAATATCTCCTTCTTCCTACACTCTAAATACCGGTGTTGTTGTCCCCCAAATGCTTCTCCAGCCCCTAGTAAAAGTTCATAAATTCGACATGAATCTGATAGCTTCTTTCTCTTTTTTTCTCATCAAGTTTTTTGTACATCAATCCCGAAAAATGGTAGTATTTCATGTCATATTTTGTTTGTGCACAGAAACCATTTTTTTCTTCTTATTCTGCCTATTTTTTAAAGACGTATTGTCGTTGTTTATATCAGACTTGCAAAATTCCGGGCCGGTCCGCCGGTCCGATATAATTTTGAAATCGCGACAGTTTGACGAGTTTTCCAGCTTTGTAGTAATAAAAACGCCGAGTGGACCTGAAAAATTATTTGGGCCAAATATATTTTGGGAGCACGTTTGCAACGCGCGCCCATATACACTGTTTCTCACTTGTAACGAAGAGAGGTGGCAGACGCATCGATTATCGATTCACTTGCCTCTCCCTCGTTTCTCTCGCGTACTTTCTCTTTTTAAATATAAATAATCTTCTGATGTCAATAGAAATTGACCTTTACTCCACGACGCTTTTTCTCTCTTCTTCTATAATCAATTGAGTCGCGGACAGAAAGGCGCAATGTGACCAGTATTGCTCACTTTATCTTGCGTTAGGTAGAGAGCAAAACGCTTATTAAGTAGTTTCTGTTGCCGTCAATAGTTGAAAAATCCTATTTTGGCCGAGAAAAAAACGGCGGGGACTGAGGGCCGTGGACTAGAATGCAGTTGGAGCTGGCCTCTGAAATTTGGCACCGCGCCAACCGCGGCGCAGTGCACGCGACGCGTGTGAAGTCGATACAGCTCGTAAAAGCCTTTCCTCTCACTAGCTATTTCTCTTTTTGTTGCCTACCCAACAAACGCTGCCACGGTCTCCAGAGCTGACAATATGGGCGTGGCCTCGGCCAAATGGCGTTTTCATGAATTGAGCAGGTTTTCTCTGATTTTTGTGGTCAAAGGCGATGAAAAATGATTGTTCGACATGAAAACACACTAATTCTCAGAATTAATGACGTTTTGGCGCATTTTTCGCGGACTTTGCTTTTTCGCCTTCGCCGCCGATCGCCGCCTAAAAACCGCACTTCTCATTTTGCGCTTTCTTGACCGTTTTCCGACAGAATTGGTTTTGAGAATGATAAATTACGTAAATACAAGCATTTTGAGCGCTCGAACCGCGAAAACTACCGAAAAGCAACTGAAATTCACGCAGTTTTAGCCAAAAACCTTCAAACGGATAAATGTGGTTTGCGACTTGACCAAATTTAACGCTCTTGCGCTTAAAAAATTCGTAATAGCCTATATAATCGGTCTATCGAGAGACAAATCAGAAATTATCGATTTTTCGTGGCTAATCTGGCAAAAAACACAAATTTTTCTGTTAAAATTTGAATTTCGCGCCAATGTCTATTGGGCGGGGCGCACTTGCGCCCATTGTCAGCTCTAGAGACCGTGCGCTGGGTGATCCTGGATCTCTTATTTTTTCGTTTATTTGTCCTTCTCCAACGTAGCCAACCATCTTTTTACGCTTTGCTTCAAGACGTCTTCTCTTCTCGTCCTCTTTCTCGCAGAAATAAAACATTCATTTATTTCCTTAATACTGATATTGTGTTGCAGAACCAAAAATGACCGAATATGGTGGATCTTCTCGCAACTTCAACGAGCGCCAAGGCTCTGGAGGAGGAACCGGTGGCTTCGGAGGAGGATCACGTGGTTATGGAGGAGGCGCCGGTGGGTTTGGACGCCAGAACACGGGAATCCGCGAGCAGCACCACGACAATCGCTACGGAGGAGATAATTATTCGGCAACGGACGCAGGCGCAAACTATCGTCGTGATCATCAGGATGCTCGTGACAGTGACAGAAACCGAAGCGGAGGCGGAGATTTCCGCGGAGGACACGAAAACAAGGCTGGCGGTTTTGACTACCGTCAGGGCGCTGGAGGCGGAAGAGGCGGAGGTAATTCAAAGAGTAAACTTGCCCAATTTCTCGAATTTAGTTCTCAATGTATCATACGTATTTTCGGAATTGTTGATCTTAGCAGACTTGAATTGTTTTGCAGACGACCATCGCCGTCGTGGTGACGATCAGCAACTTCCGCGTGAAACTGGTGCTGGTGCACGTAATGCGTATGGAAGTGGCGGAGGTGGCGGTGAAGACCGTTCGGACTATCGTAGAAGTGGCGACGTCTATGGGTCTCACCACACTAACTACAATGACCGTGGAGGACAACGCGACTCGAACAACCGTGGAGGAAGTGCTCGCTACCAGAACGATCAATGTTAGTGAATATATCTCTTTTTTAAGGCATTCCCACATAATCCCTTTTTCATAACAAAATGTGCCTGTCTTAAACTAATAGTCAGGCTTATTTGTTGATATTTAAGTAATTTATTAGTTAAAGCTGTGGACCCTGCATCAAAAGCACGTTTTTTCTAGCTAAACCTTCCCATTTTCAGATGATGATCGCAACACTTCGCGTCGTACTAACGACGACAGTCGCTCGTTTTCCTCTCGCCAGGACGACTATCGTAACAGCGGAAGCAGCAAAAATCTCGGAGATCCGAATATCCGCGGTGGCAACTCATCGAATCAGTACCGTCATGACGGCGACGAGCACAACGGCAGAGTTTACCGTCGTCAAACTGATGATCGTTCCGGGCAGAACGATGACGATCGCAGCCACGGACCGTACAACCGAAACAATCGTGAGTGGCAGAATCGCAGTGGGGGAAACGACCGCGGCGGAAGCTGGAACTCTTCGAGAAACGACAACCAGCAAGACGATCGCAACGATGCGAGCAACAGAAAAGCCTTCAACAACGACGGTGGATATGGACAGTTCCAAAGATCGCCACCACCACCACCACCACCACAGCAGTATGCCAACTATGACAATAAGCAAGACCGTTCACAAGACGAGTGCACTCCGCGCGATTGGATGCCCAAGGACGAGGACATGAACACGGCATTCGAGAACGCGGCGAACAGTGCGCAGGATTTGCAGATCGACGGCGATCAGGAGCTCGAGATTCGCAATTCGGACGTCAGCGCTCGACTGAGCTCCTGGGCGAACTCGGGTTTCCACCCCAAGATCATCGCGAATATTCAACGCCTCAAATACACCCACGTGCGGCCGATCCAAGCAGCCATTATCCCTCAAATCATCCAGGGATATGATGTGATGGGACAGGCGGAGACTTCCGGCGGAAAGACTGCCGCTTTCGGGCTGCCCATTGTCGATTATGTGCTCAAATTGAGTCCTGCCGAACGGGAGAATGCGAAGGATATCGTCGCGCCATTCGCACTGATCCTTGCTCCGACGCGTGAACTCGCCCAGCAAATATACCATTCGATCAGAATGTATGCTGCCAATACGGATATTGTCCCTCGTCTGGCGTACGGACAAATGGACCGTCGAAGGAATATTGCCGAGATTCGTAGTGCGTGCGACATTCTTGTCGGAACCTGTGGACGCATCATGGACTTTATTGAAAAGTCCGAGATTAGTCTGAACTTTATCAAATTCCTCGTTCTCGATGAGGCCGATAATCTGCTCGGCGAGGGTATCACTGGCCACATCGGCGTGATTATGAACGATTACGGCTTCAAAAGAACGGACAAAACGCGCCAGACTATTATGACTTCTGCCACTTTCAACCCACAAATTGAGCGTCTCGCCGCCGAACTGATGCGTCCGGTTCCCGGAATGACGGAATTGGTCCGTGTGGTGTTGTCGAGAGGACGTGTCAATCAGAAAGTGCAGCTCCAGTTCCTCAAGGCTCACGGATTGTCCGGAAAACAGGATAAGCTCAGAGAGCTGCTGAAAGAGACAAATGGTAGGGCGTTTAATAAGTATTGAGTCTACATATACTACACATTTTCGAAAGTTTCTAGCATTTTCAGTAGTGAACAATTCCTGAAGAACATAACATTGACATATTTTAATGGATATTTTTTACAGCAGAGGGAAAGATCCCGAAGACGATCGTGTTTGCCGAACAAAAGTCGCAAGTGGATTTCATTGCGGCACGGCTATCCGCGAAAGGAATCCAAGCGTATCCGCTGCACGGCGATCGCAGTCAGCATATGCGCGAGCAGCTGATCAGACAACTGCGACAAAATGATATCCGAGTGCTTGTGGCGACCGATGTGGCCGCTCGTGGAATCGACATTCCGGATTTGGAAAGAGTTATTAACTTCGATCTGCCAGTAGGAGCTGTCGATTCGGCCATCGATACGTTCATTCACCGCACCGGAAGAACAGGACGCGTCCGCAACGGAGACGCTATCTCCATCATCGACACTGAAAATGAGAGGGACCGCAAATTGCTCAAAAAGCTCATTGAGCTGGTTACTCATCAACGTCGCGAACACACCATTCCGCAATGGATGAAAGACGCTGCTTCTCACTGTAAGTGTTTCTCTTGCTTAAAAATCAACACGAATTTTTTCCAGGTGTTGATGACACTGGATACGGTGGCGGATTCGGAGGTCGAGGATTTGGAGGCGGTGGTGCTGGACGGGGAGGCGGAAGAGGCGGAAGAGGCGGCTACGGAAGCAGCCGCCAAAACTTCAATTTCGGCGGGAATTCGGGTGCCTCATTTGACTTCGATTCGGTCGCAGTGGCTCCGGTCGGATTCGGCGCCCTTTCCATCTCGAACAATGCGTCGTCTACGCCCGCGAACACAGTCGGCGGTGGTTTCGGAGCGTCGAAAGTCGCCACCGGATTCGGAAATGAAGATGAGGACGACTGGGGAGAGGTGACTCCAGCTCCAGTCCCAGCTGCTGCTCCACCAGTCGGAGGTGGCGTCGGATTCGGATACGCCAACAAGATTGCCAGCGAACAAGGAGAAGATTCAGTTAAACCGTCTGAAGCCAAAATCAGTGGCCCGAAGCCGGACGAGCCGAAGGAGAAGAAGCTCGGAACTCTTTTGTTCGGAGCGCCAACGGGACTCGAGGATACGAAAAGCAGCAACAATGATACGGAGCAGCCGAAAAAGCAGGAAGAGGAGAAACCAAGTGCCGAGGCTCAGACTGGTGCCCCAGCTCAGGATCAACGTTTGTAGAAATGTTCAATTCCGGCATTAATTGTTTCTATTTTCAGCCGCTGCCAACAACAACGATGAGGAGGATCCGGAGGACGAGTGGTAGTCAAATGACGAACTGAACCGCTTACCAAGATCGATTTTTTTCACGTGAATATTTATGGGTTTACGCTTTTGTTCTTTTCCGTTTTTTCACATCGCTGAATAGAGTTTTTGAAGTAAAAAAACGGAAAAAAAACATACACTGAATAACCTCATTATCTTCTGCATTAATACTTCGTTGAATTCATCGTTTTTCTGTTCCATCCAAAAACGTGTCTTTAATGTTTCATAACTTTTATTTAAAATGATATTCTTTAATCGCGCATTTTTCATTGTATCTTCTGTCTACATCATCTTTTTTCCGTTCAGTATTCTATACGTGCTTTGTACTAGAAACTGCTTGCCCCACTTTTCATTTAAAAGTGTTGATCACTGTCGCTCCCGAAATAAAGATTGTATTCAGTGAAGTTTTGCTAAATTTGCTGAATGTGTGTACAAGCGCACTCCAGAGATGTAAGAGAACATTCGAAAACGAGGTTTCTCTCGAAACTGTCCAATTTTCCGCCAGAAATGTCCATTGCCAACGCTGAAATTAACATAATCATGGCGTCCACAGCTACACTTTTCCACTACCACTTCAAATTGTTTCATTTTTTCGCATGTGATCTTTTCCGACCGAATTAAACATTTCATCACGCAAACTCGAAAAGGAGAGGACTGAAACTTGTGAAGGACATGCCGTTTTTCCCGGTTTCCCCTCAAAAAGTGCTTAAATTTAGTTTATCTTGGGTAGAAGATTTCCGAAATTAGTATTCATTGATTCGACTTCTTTGCGGGGCATTAGTTGAGTTTGTGAAATGGTACCACTTTTCGGTCGAATTGACACTTTAAGATGCGAGTGATCATCGAGACTTCGTGGGATGTGGTGTACATAAGCGGTTTCTTTTCTTTCGCCATCTACTTTCAGTACGCGATTTTCACGACAATTATGTACATGTACATGACAAAAGTAACGTCAGCGTTTGTTCGTAACAGTTGTACAACACTCGTTATATGTCAGCTCGACCCATCCGTTGGACCGACAACGTTTGGCGTAGCTGTCACTCTTCACGGCATCGGGCATTGTATCGGAGCACTCGCGTCCGCTTGGTGGACAAACAAACGGTATAAGGTGAAAGTTAGAAGATTCAGAGAAAAGGAATACATGGATGTAAAGTTTGTAGACTAAAAAACCACTTTTAATGGGCTGTGTGTTCATGCTATGCTCGAATGGACTGTTCCTTCTAGCCGATCATGTTCCCGCCGCCATGAGCGCCCCGTTTCTCATGCTGTGTCGCTTTGTTGGAGGCATCGGTATGGGTAAGTAAATTTTCTCAATTGATACAAAAAAGCATACAAATAGAAGGTCCCAAACAAGAGTTTCAGGCAACGCATCCACCCTGCGCACATCTGTCACCGCACACTCAATGGCGGTTGATCGCGCGAAAGCAATGTCGGTGTTCATCGGCGGCAGAGCCATCGGATTGGTCATTGGCCCCGGGCTTCAACTCATATTTATTCTTTTCGGAGACGTCGGACTTCAACTCATCGGTCCCCTTCACATTCACTCTCATAATGCTGCGGCATTCGTTTCAATCGTACTCAATTTGGCGTCTCTGCTCGCATTGGTTTTGCTCTATCACGAGATTGTTCAGAACGGCAGTAGTTGCAGTCAGAGAAGTATTGTAAGAGCTCAAGTCTGGTGTCCGGCTCGCAATAGTATAGAATTCACCATACTTATAAAGCCTGGAGACCCAATAAATAGCGAGCCGGAAACCAAATTTGACCAAAATATACAATACTTCTGATGAGAGTTATTGACTACCAGGAAGACGGTGAGAACTATCCGCGTCCTGATAAGCTGGCAATGTTCGTGTGCATGCTCACGAGATACACCCAAAACTTTACCTACTACGCGCTCGAAACGCTCTCCCCCGCATTCATAATGATGATGTTCAACATGGAGAGGGCGGAGGCAGTCGGCTCAATGTCAATTCTTTTCTTCACATCGAGCATTGTCTCCATCTTTTTCTACGTCGTCTTCGTGTTCACAAATGTAGCACGGAGGCTGAACATTGGCAAAGTGAATACCGTTTGTTTGATGGTATTCATGATCTATTTGCTGTCGACGTATCAGTGGAGATTCGTCGATGAGAATGTGGTGGTGAACACGAATGGTACACGTGGCGGATGTGATTACATCACTTACTCGTGGTGCATCGGCCTGCCCAAGACTTCACAAGAGGTACGGTTTTTGAGTGTACCCCCGCGAAATACTGTAAATTTGTACGTCTTTTGCAGCTCTTCTATCTCGGCTACATAATCGCATTCGGCGCGTGTACTCCGTTTATAAACGTCGGCGACGCCACACTCTATTCGAAACTGTTCAATCCAGTGGGACAGGCTTTGGAGCAGAGTTTGTACGACGTGTCTCAGATTTTCGCGAGAGTCGTGGCCCCGGTTTTGTGCACGTGAGAACTTCTAAAAAAAACCGGCTGAAGCCATTAAAAAAAAATTTCAGCGGAATATACTCGTGGTTTGGTCCCCGTCGACTCTGGGAGCTTCTCTTTGTCCAGTTAGTCGTCGTGACGACGTTTTGGATCGGATTCGCTCATCGAATGATTCCACTTCGTCCGAAGCCCCGCCCCGTATTTTATCTGGAATGAGAACAAAAACAGAAGGAAATCGTTCGCCGCCTCGATCGGAAATGTCTGTAAAATATAGACTTCAGCTTGCTTCGCATTAGCTTTCAATAATGTGATCTTCTTTATATATATATATATAAAACGCTAGAGATGTATTGTGTTCGATCTCTGTCGCGTTTTAGGTGCATGTTAACAAAAACAATTCAGACAGTAGAAAAACGGTTCCAATCTTTTTTTGTATAATCAAAAAGTCAACAATTATTGTTCAACAACGGCGGTGTTATTTCCGTCCGAAAGTGGTGCGATCGTGATAAGTGCCGGATCGTTGTTTTCGGAACTGTTCGTACGGATCCAAAGTGCGTCCTAAGCCTGAGAATTGATCGTTTCGATCACGAACTTCGCCTCCGGACACTGGATGTATTATTCCCTGTAAAAAGCTTCGTTGTACAAATATATCCACGTGTTTCACAAATAAAACTCACACTTTCCTGGGATCCGAGTCCTTTCCCACTGCTCCACCCCATTTTTACCATCAGTTGAGCACCTTTGTTGTCCGTTGATAGGGGCTCTGGCGGTCCACCACCACCACAAAACTTGAATTTTCCGATTCCCGCTCTGCAAAAACAATAATTGCGAACTATAAAAATCGCGAAATCCACCTTTCCGCTCCAAATCCTCCTCTTTCTCTCTCCATAACTTCTGGCGAGTTTTTACGGGACGAAGATCTCGAAGATTCAGACGAGGAATCACCAGTCTCTTGAGAACTTGACGAGGACGATGAGGATGGCGTTCTCCTTCTTCTGCTTCTGGGACTCCGACTGTTCCGTTTCGGGCTTCTGGACAACGACTTGCGGTGATAATCTCTTCTTTCTCTTGGTGGACTCTTCGAAGGCGAACGTCTTCGGGAAGGCGACTCCGAAACTTCGATAGTCCCTTGGCTGACATAATAAGCGTCCACGGAGTCTCGATACGCCGCGATTTGCTCATTTTCCTTCCACTTTGTTTCCTTTTCCAGACGTTCTCGTTCGGAGGTGCCAGGTTTATTGATTATCAAATCGTCGAGTGAAGCGCGTTTTCTATTCAGATAATCACGTTTAGCCTGACTTTTCGTGTCTAGCCACTCCGGTAATTTGTAATATTCACAGTCGGGCGGCCTGCAATAACTTTGAAAATCTGTCCGACTTGGAAATGTGTTTGGTTCAAACAGGATTAACTTTTTTTAAATGTCTGCATTTGAGCTCTTCTAATTAGTCTTTTTAACTTACACAGACTCGACCGGAAGCATATCGTACTCGATTCCTTTATAAAAAAATGCCTCGGCGTTTAAAAGACGTTGCGATGGCGGCACAATTGGTGGCATTTCTAGATCATCTGGATTCAGAGGTTCATACTGAAAAATTAAGGATTTTTTGAAAGTCTCAAAGCGAATACTCAGTTTTTTGACAGAATTTCTGATTGTTCAATGTTTCTCAGACTACTTTCAAATTCTTTGTTTTCCAAATTCACCTAGTACCTTAAAAGAATCCATAGACACCAGCGGGACCATAATCCCAGCGGGTAGTGCCAAATACGACTTTTTGGGCTTGAGGACGTTCTCGTCGAACGGCGTTCCGTCAATGTCATCTTCAACTATATTGGGAGCAGAATGCGCTTGTGAATGTCCACCGTCAACTGATCGCCAAGCTTGTTTTTGTTCGTTAAAAGAGGAATGTGAAGAATGGGTAGGAGGAGATCTTTGGGGAGCCTGATCGAATCGAGATCTGCGAAGGTTTTGAGAAGACATAGAAGGAGGGCCACGTTGAGGAGGATGAAGCAAGTGATGGGAGGAACCGTGACGGAGCTCTGCAAGAACCTCATACATGGATCATATATTTTTTCTCTGATATATTCTCGAACACATCTAGACAGATGAAATGAAAAAATCAGTTTTTGTGCTCACCCTCATTCCTCCGTTCCAACTCGTCAATTTGATTACGAATATGTTTGGAATAGGTTAAATGCTGCTGCTCGTAAGCCTCAAAAGTGGCGACGAGGTTGCTCCTCAACTGTTCTCTTACGATTCCGTACGACGATTTCTCAATTTCCCGATCGTTACTGACAATTTGCACCGTATTTCTGAGCTGTTTGAACACCGAGTCGGCAAAATAGCCGCGTCCCTCCCACTCGCCCAACAATTTTCCCTCCAATTTATCGCTGAGCTCATTGGATGACGATAATTCTATGCAGTAGGCGTACATTTTCGGAACGTAACGAGCCAACATCTTCATTTGATTCTCTTCTTTTTTGCGTTGACTGAAATTAAACTTAAGAAATGAATGAAAAAAAAATCCACACTCTTACCAATGAAAAGCCCAATCGTTGATCAAATATAAAATGTGTAGACGTAAATATTCTCCTACTGCCTCATCTTTCACTTTATTCAGCAGATAGGTCAATATTATCTCTCTGAGCTGATCATTGACACAATTATCGAAAATCCATCGTTTAGCGTGCTGAAAAATTGCTTGTTTTTAATGCTAACTTGAAAGGAGAATCGTAAAAAATGTGTGGATACTGACTTAAATTTAAAAGAATTAGATCAATAACATACTGAAATCATGTCTTTTGAACATTTTGAAGTGGTCATAGACTCCAAAAACTGGTTGAACTCTTCCATATTCAAATTGTGATCTGCTATCAACTTTTCGATTTTCGCCGTTTCTGCAGTACGAATGGCACTTTTTAGATGTATCTTAATTAATTTTTTGTTAAAGATAATCGGTCAAAATATGTGCATACAGCCAGCATTGCGTCCATGCCATTTCTGTGAGCTTGCAAATTGTGTTCACTGTCTGTGATTTTTTGTCGCAGCTCGTCGATTGTTTTCCGATTTTCTACAACATCTGGCGGATCCATGAGCGATGGAAGCGATTGTCGATCTGAACAAAAACATGTTTACAACTAAAAATAATAGTAGTAGCAAACCAGTGGGCGGAAGTGGAATATCGTCATTTCTCCACGATTCTTGATGATGAGGAGCCCCTCTCCAACTTGTATTTTCGTTCATTTTTGTTCGATTTGTTCGAAAAAATATTTAAATTCACAATTCGCGCGGAAGATCGACTCACTGGCATGGCAGTCGCGGCGAATAGTCGGTGACCTTTGGAGTGTCGTAATGTCGCCCGGTTTAGCAGAAAGCGCGCGCGAACCGTTGCCTGAGCTAGAGAGAGCTCCCTCTTTCTGCACACTCATCAACCCTCGTGCGAGTTTTCATCACTTTTTTTTCATTAAAATTGGCATCGAAAAAAGGTTTTAGCATGGAATCGATCGCAAGTCCGCTCTATTTTTTGTCAAATTTGCCGTTGAGCCCGCCATCCTGCACAAATGTTGTCAGATTTATCGGTTAGTGAAACGTTATTTATAGGCCTATTCAGTCGGGAAAGAATTATTTGATTCCTGATTTGAATCGAGTTTTTTTTCAAGGAAATAGAAACCGTTTTTTCCAGAGTGAATAGACCCATGAAATGCTGTAAAGAAAAAGTTTTCAGATGTTCTGGAATTTTTCTTTATCGCTCATCCGTCATCAGGAAAAAAGGAAGGCGAGGAGCACAATCGGATAATGTATTTCCATCCAAAAGGAGAGAATTGTGAACGACAGGTAAATAATTGTGGAAACTCGATTGCCGTCAAGGAAAAACCATTGAAAAATTGCAGACAGAAGTGACTGGATTCGCAGAAGCCGTTGTTAACTTCACCGAAAATTTCCTGAGCTCGGCAAAGCGAGAGAGCGTCGTGAATTTCAACGACGACGATAATTTCGATTTCCGGACAGTCTCCACCCAAAGAACGGAACACGTTTACGTCCGAATTGAGCAGAATCAGTTCATTCTGGGCGTTTCTCTTTCGAAACAACTGTGTCACGTCTCCGATTATCCACTTTTCCAGCCTGCAGTCCGAAGCATTCTTTGCGATGCATACAAAATGTTCCGCATGTTTTTCGGCACGTTTTCCTCGTTTTTAAAGTAAGTTGGAAATTATTTTTAGCACTGAACAATGACTGAAGGTACACGGCGCCGAAATATTTTTAAAAATTTTACGTAAATCAAATTTTGATTAACTTTATGCTCTTCTGACAATCGCGCATTACCGCTCTTCAGGTTAATTTAGTGCTAAATTAGACAATTTCTTCCAATATGAATTGCGGTAGAAATTGTCCCTCTACTATGTGTCACTAAAAGAAACCCAGTTACAGCACCATACCGGATGACATCCCAAAGTTCAAGGAACGTCTCGATTTCTTCTTCTCCAAATACATTCCATTATTGAAAGTGCACAAAATGCCGTTGCTCGATCATTTGGGTGGTGTGGAATTCCTCCGAATGTCTGGCCCTCTCTACTTGAATGTCGTTTCCGTTCTCGCAGAGCTCCGAGAAGAGTTCCCGATCGTCGAGAAAATAATGTTTCTCTATCAGGACAAGCTACTTCATTATCAACTTTCGAAGCGAGACCTTCCCTCGTTGTTCCGTTATTTAACGCATAACCTCCTGCCCACCAGTTTGGCGCCGGAACTCGAGTCCTCCGCGGGCAACGCGTCTAAAGGGCGCTACTTGCGTGGGCCGACGGATTTGACGACTGATGCTCCGTTGCTCGGAGATGAATCTCTTTCGGTGGTGCATTTGCATGCGGAGCAAGATCAAGACGAAGAACAACTCGTGGCTTATCAGATGATTGTATATCGGTGCGTGAATGCCACTGTTTGCATGTTTGTCAGGCATAATAGTGTTACGAATGGAGAGAAAAAGACATCTGAGGGTAAGATTTTGAGTATTCATAATATACCGTGAATACTGTATTGGAAGGGCACCCAGCAAAGTGAGCTAGATAATTTTTGAGTCAATTTTCGGGCTGCGGTGTCCTTCACCTCAGCTGTGTCGGGCGTTTTGTGATCGACACCGTAACCCGAAAGTTGCGGCCCGCCGCCGCAAAAGCTTGAGTGATTTTCGCGCCAAAACGCTTAACGTCGCCTTTTGCCCATCTCTGATTCTCGTGGTACAATCCATCATTTTCCAGAATCTTCTTCCTCCCTCTCAAGTCTTCCTCGAAACAGGGTGGTCAGTCGTCGATTATTACGAAATATCGATCAGTTTTTGGAGACAGAATTGGCACAAGTGGCCAGCAAAATTGGTGATGAGTGAGTAGCCCAACAACTCAGAATCTGTCGAAATTGTCTTTACGTCTAGAATCGGCGACGAGAAGGGTCCCGAAGCAACGGATTTCCATTACATTTATTTCAATCCCTCCTCCATGTCAATGACCTCTTCCCTTTCAACGTCGCCGGCACTCTCGGTGGCAGCTTCCGGCACCACTTCTAACTCAAAAGTGCCCCTTCCGCCGATGGAAGTCAACCGTCTCGTGTGCGATACAATGCACAATTTCGTCTCGGAAACAGAAGAGTCTGGCGAGTGTTTCGTCAAATCGTCCAGTGATTGGTGGATTGTTGTCAAGAAGGTATCTAAGCTACAATACTTTGAAACCTGCGCCCAAAAAAAAGCCTTCACCGCTATTCCGAGTGTGACAAACAGTCGAAAGTTCACGTGTTCATTTCTCACTTTTTCCGTCACAAAATTTTTGTAAGAATTAAAAACGAGGCTACCATCAAATCAGAATTGTCCTAAACCAGAACTGCTCCGAGGATAACCAATTAGCACTACGGATAGTACTGATTTTGGAGTCTTGCTGTGGCATAGTTCTGATTTGGGGTAGTCTCCTTCTGTTGAGATCTCAGGAGTTAGCCGTAGACTCAGTCGAGATACACCGATTTTAATATCAAACTTGCCACTTTTTCAGGTGAATTCCCGGCTGCTCGTACTGATCCTACCGCCCTCCAATTACACTTCTTCTCTGGCGGATGTACAATCGAAAACCACTACAATTGTACGGTCACACTTCGAAGCCATCTTTTTTAGTTAAATTTGAAATGCATTGCCTGTTTCTGATTTATTTGTGTGCCTTTTCCTGTAATACTTCATGACCTCTTTTGCCAAGTTGCTTCATTCGTCCTAACTAAAAAGTATTTACAGAACATGAAAAAATAGCGCAACACTGCAATTTTAATCGCTGAACCCTTCTCCGACGACGAAATAGAATTGGAGCTCCGACACGAAACTCGCGAAAATCGGATGAAGAAGCGCACGCGAATCAAAGTGCCAAATGCCCTTTGAGGCTTAAAATTGAATTTGAAGCCTATCTTCCTCTTCTGCGCGAGAAACACTCGAAGCCACTGCAAGCTTCTTTGTTCCGCGATGTCTTGATTTCCAATATTTGAGTTAGATTCCGATAATTTAAAACTGGAGACTGGAGGAACTTTGTAAGTTGCTTTAAGAATAAGGAACTTTAATTTCCGTCGAACTTCCTTTCTCGAAAGTTTCGCCGCCAACACTGACCAAACTTGTCGCTGGCGCGGCAGGACCTTGAGGCATGAAAAAGCTAAAAATCGATCATGTTTTCCAAAAGTTTTCAAACCGGGTCCACACAATTTCGCAGTATAAAATCACTTTTTCTCGGCACTGACTCCCGCCCCCAGCTAATTTTATATACATTTGTGTTGGTGTGTGGCTGTTACCAAGGTGACAAATGCATGTACATTTAAACGCAATGAGAAATGAGAGCGAAGAAGAAGAAGAAGAAGGAGGAGGAAGGAGCAGGTGCTCTAGCGAAAAGAATTTATTGCCTTCTCTCTCTCTCTCTCTCGAGATGGAGCTCCGGGGCTCAGAGGGCCAGGAAGCCGAGAGGAAGCTACCTTCTTCTCATTTTCTGAATAGTATCACTTTGCAAACTTTTTCACGTCCCACTAACAATTACCCGCCTCCCTTTATATGGTAATGTGAACGAATAAACTGGCCAGCAGTCTGCAGTTCGATCTGACTCTGGACAAATATAATTGCTCCTCCTCCTCCCCCCGGGCGCTCGCTCTTTTACCTGGTTGCACTGCACCGGAAATAGGGAACAGGGGGGTAATTACGGGCAACCCGGGTTTCTGTTCGGTTCGACGCATTTCATTTCATGACTCTATCCATATCTCTCTTTTTGTTCTCTTCCATCGGTTTTTGGTAGTTGGAGAGTGAATAACCAGCATGTTTAAGAGCTTGGACAGCAATCGGAACTATTAGCGTCGTTACGGTCTTCTTCTAGTTTTCGAATCAGAAGTCCAGAAGTTATAAAACCTTCTTGTTTCCTTTCCAAGCACCCCCCCCACTCTCTTCAAGTACATTTTCAACATATCTCTCATACATTCATATTTTAACGATGTTTCTCTGTTTTTCAGTTTTTAAAAAGGCATCATTACGAGATGCTCGCTCTCTCTCTCTCTCTCTCTTTTTCACTTGTCTTATATTCTTCTCAAAAACGTTGTAATCCTTTGCCAACGCATTCGAAACGTACTCGCTCTTTTGAGTCGTCTAGCGGCGCCAGTTTTTAAAAACCTTGTTATCAGTCAGCGTTGTTCTTGTTTGAATTCTCAAAAAAAAACGGAATATCAGTCGCGAACATTAATTGTTTTTCCTTTTTTCCGTTTTCAATTTAACAAAAACGTTTGTGGCGTCAAATGTGCATTGGGGAAGGTCTCGAATTCCAATTTGTTTGTCATTTCATTCAACTTTTGAAGCGCCACAACTCAACGCTTTGCTGCAAACCTTTCCAGAAAGTTTTTCCGTAAACTCTGTTCACTTTGTTACAAAATGATTTCTTTACAGCCCAGCGATGGGATCTTCTTTGAAAAACGAGGAAGAAGAGTAGGAAGGGGAAAGTGCCAAGTGAACAAAAAACAAAAACAAACCGATTTTGTTTCGTTGTGAGCAGTCGGACTTGTAGTCAAAACTGCAAATATGTTCAGAAACTTCTAGTGAACCTGGGCGCCGTGAAACTCAAATTTCGGCGCGCAAACGCAAATGTTTTGTACTTAATGCTGCGCAAAAGTTCTCGAATCTGTCTCTCATTCAAACCTCATCACCTATTCCCATGTTTTCATTTTCCCGTCACTCTTCTCTTTTTCGGCTGGACGGATCCAGTCATTTTTACTTCTCAAAACCCCCCAACAATCTGGATAGACCAAAAAACCGATCGACTTTCGTTGTCAGGTCTCTCTAAACTTTGAAACAAAAACGTTAACCTACAATATCTGCCATAATCTTTCTCCTCTGCTTTTCAACTTTTTCCTACTTTCTCTCTCTCTCTCTCCCAAGGGAAAAAGAATCCGTCAACCTTGACACTAGGTCCTAGGAAAAGCTAGGCGCGAAAAAAGCGTTTGTTCTCCCTTTTTTCGTTCGGTTCTCTTTCTTTTTCTGCGTGCGTACCGCTTGAGTTTGGTGAGAAGTAAAAAAAAGCGAACTCTATGCCACCATGATCATAGAAACACATTTCTTGGACCCTCTATCTCTTTAGAACCAAAAGTATCTTTAAAAGCGGAGAGTAGGAGAGAGACGGGAAATGAATGATGGATGATGAGCGCATAAACTTGTCATCGCTTAAAAGAGGGAGAGAGCAAAACATGTTACGTGTTCAAAACTAATCTTAAATTAGTATGCGCTCTCTCTCTCTCTCTCTTTCGCCATTTCCTTTCCGTATACACAAAACTTTCGACACATTCAAATGTTCATTTCTCAACTCTACATCGTCACTTCATATGCGCTTCTTTCTTTCTCCTTTCCGAGAGAATCAATGCTCCGCTGAAAGCCCGTCTTCTCAAGTTACACTCCTGGTTCGAATGTCAACTACCACCAATGCCTCCACAAGTATATAAATTTCATGGTGTTTAGTACTCGTTTTGCTTGAACAAACTGATTTTCGCGTTCCCACTCGCCACCATTTTCTATTCGAAACTCTTGCGCTCCACGCTCCAGAGCAGAAAGAAATATGCAAATTTTTAGTCGGTCCGGGTAAGTACCGCCTGATTTATTTAGTTTGCATCTCGGGCGACCACACGACGACGTCAACACTTAGCCACTCTCGTCTCTTCTGATAGTACACTTCCAAATTTAGTCTCCCGATGAGGAGCCATATCGCTGTTTTTGCATCAGAAAACACTTGAAAAGTAATCAAATCTTCGCTTTTTCACCTCTTCTTCTTCTCAACGACTTCCTCACTCGACCACCTCTCACCTTTTTTTTCTCCGTTTTCCACCATCCACCCTTCTCATGTTTTCCTAATAAGGTGTCCCGCACACAGCATCTAACAGGCGTGGGGTGTCTTGAAGACGAAGAAGGAGACGAAGAAGAGGCATATTATTAACGCTTCGGCCACGCGGCAAGAGTGTGAGAAGCAGAAGGAGAAGGAGAGCAAATATATTTTTTTTTGCTCTTTTCTTCACACACACACACTTCTCCATGTCGTTTTCGTGTCATTGCGTGCACGCCGTCATCATTACCATTTTGAAAAATAGATGTTGGCCAGTTGCCAATTTCTAGTTTTTTTTTAATACGCCATCACCAGCGTACATGAATGATCAGAATGAGCAATAAGATCTCTCTCTCTCTCTCTCTGGGAGAAACACGAATTCAGTAGATTTGTGCGGGATTTGTGTCTCACATTTTTCCTCCCGATTCAAACGCCCCGAATTGATATTGCATCTCCTCTTCGTTTCCTTTGTAATCGGCGGTCTGGAACACATGCCTTCTCCGTTTCAGACGCCCCCGTTTGGATATTATATAATTCCGCTCATTTTCTCGGCTCCCTGCTGCTGGAACTTGTTTTTTCTCTCTGTTTTTCTCCCTCATCCTCTGACGCTTCGCCGGTTTTCTTCTTTCAATCAGGTCGAAACGTTTTGTAGCCGGCTGAAAAAAGAAAACCGGAAAACGAATTGTTCTGTGGAATGAATGATCAAAAATGTATGAAAATCTTGGTGACTCCGATCCAATGAACTAAAAAACGAAGAAAAGTGCGAGCGCACCCTACCTGGCCGAGTCTAGTTTCCTAATGTTTTCCTAAGATCCCTTAACAACACACACCCATTTCCCTTGTTCTTCTCTCCCATTTATCTTGTGAAGGAAAAGGCAAAAAAGCGAGTAGTTGTTGAGCAAATGTACTCTTTTCTCTCTCTCTCCCTTCATCTGTATTCCTTCTTCGGACATCATCATTTTTTATCTGTTGCTCCTCCTCCTCCTCCTCCTCCTCCTCTCACCACTTTCTGCCCTCGTTTAGTCACGACGAGAGAAAAAGCACCCGGCGGGGAGAAGCGTGCAGATAATTGCTCCACACTTTTTTTGTTTTCCTTTTTTTTCTAGATGCTATTCACTATTTCGCGCGCGCACTCGCCTTCAACTTTATCCGTTTTTGCAGACAAAACAACACTTGCCTGTGGAGTATGTAAGCTGAAACATCTGCAATTCGACGAAACAACCATGTTGCGCTTGTCTTCACAAGTCTTTTGTTTGTTTTTGCTACACTTCACACGAGGTAATCAATCAATCGGCTATCTTTTCTTTAACGAACGTTTTCGTCTTTTTCAGTCTCACAATGCGTATTTCTTCGTGTCGAGACCGGACATCAGAACATTGCAATTGATGGCAGAGACACATATTACGGTCACTACACAAAAATATACTTTCACAATGTCACCTGCCTTGACGCCATCGATATTCACTGTCTGAAAGAGTTGACTGGCGCCGAGGAAATGTGAGTTGTCCTGAGTGTGTGTTGTTCTCTTTTTTGCAACACACGATATGTGAACAGAGTGATACAGAGCAATATTTCAGTGATCTGCTCTACTCGGAATGTCAAAAAGGACACTGGAAAGTGGCGCATTACACCAATTCGAAGCATCATTTCAGGTTAAAGGAGGTATGTGAAAAATGGCATCTCAAAGGAAACGCGCTCTGTTGCAATTGTGATCTTCGGCTCAGGCGCCCAATAAAAACAGAGAATGTTCCCCTGTAGATCACAAAAACAGGGTGTTTCGATAATTTTTTTTTGCTTCTCAGAACGTTTAGAAAGTTCACGTAATCAATAAAAACATTTCAGCCGATCCACGCCCAGCTCCTTCTGATTTCCTCTCGTCGTGAGCTGTCCGTGATCGATGTGCAAGTCGAATCGTGCTCGAATCCTCCTGTTAGACTGCTGTCGGAGTGTCATCGTCCCACCCGAAACCACAATCATCGTCACGGAAAGTTCGGACAAATACTGAGAGCCGTTGATCCGAATGGTGATGATGCGAGTGCTAAAGAAGAACAGAAATTGAGTGTGGAAAGTGAGAAGGAGAATGAAACTAGGAGCCGAAAAAGGCGGAAGAGGGAGATCTCGAAGAACGATGTGAAGATAGAGGTTTTGAATGGAAGCCAGGAGTTTGCAGAAGACAAAGTTATTCCGAGGGGTCAAATGCTGAAAGTCGATCCTGGAACTCGTCTGAGGTTCCATAACAATATCGGACTTGTTGTCAACGGTCGGTTCATTCAAGTTTCAACGCTTAAATCTAAATTGCACATTTCAGGCATCCTAAACATTCAAGGAACCGCCGACGATCCGGTCATTCTGGAGCCAGCGAATTCTGGAGAGCGTTGGAGAGGAATAGCTTTTAGAGACTCGCCCCCCGACTCTATTCTCAAGTATGTGAATATCAGTGGAAGTGACGTGGCGGTCAGCATCAAATCAGGAACACCGCCGCTCATGGATCATGTGATCGCCGATGGGAATACGTATGGAATACAAATTGATCAAATGGATGTTAGTAGTTTGGCTCCATTTTTTTAGTGTCTTTTTTGTCGGATAGGAGACTTGTCGCGGGCCGGAAACTCTCACACAACCTCCGAAAACCCGGCCCCGGATTTGACAAGTCTTAGAAATTGTAACTGAAAAACGAAGATGCCTATAATTCACGCCGTCGGATTTCCTTATCGAATCTTTTCAGGAATCCTCTCAAACGCATCTGACATCGGTAGTATCGGCAAACAACGAGAAGACGGGAATCGAGTACCTCGGAAAGGTATAAACGAATTGTCCGTCCCCCCCCTCGCCCACGTCAGCTTCTTCTAACCACCACTTCTGCTCAATGCGCACCTTATCACTGGTTCTTACTTTTTGCACACGATCTCCTTCTCTCTCTCTCTCTCTCTCTCTCTCTCTCTCTCTCTCATCCGTTCCTTATTCATATCGAAACGAATCGCTGAAAACACACTCACAAAGCCACCAAATCACATTTCATCACAAGCACTTTTGTAAAAACAATTCCCACTTTTTGTCTCATTCGAATTTTGAAACAAGCTACTACTACACTTGTCCGCCGTCTTCTGTATCATGAAAGTAATAAATTATCACAAAGCATACAATACTGCATTATTGGTTGATTTATGTACACAAACACAAATACACGTAATCACATATATAGCATACAATGCATGTGTTGCAACCATTGAACTGATTGATGATAATCGATTGAATGAAGAAGATGACTGTAATTTTTAGTTGATTTATGAGCTGTTTCCAAAAAAGGTTTTGGAATATGGGAACTAATTCTCTCTTCAGGGCTCAATTTCAATCGATCGCACAGTGGTGTCCTCCAACGGAGGTCTCGGTATCTTTATAACAAGCGAGCAGAAAATTGTGATAAGGAGAAGCGCGGCGAATTCGAACAACGGGACCGGCATCTACGTGGGCACTTCTGAAGTCACTTTGGAGAATGTGGTGGTCAATGGCAACGGATACTACGGGATTCATGCTGAAGTGGAGAAGCGATTTGAGGTAACTATTGAGAGATTTCGGAAAGTTTCAGCGGTTTCAGAAACTTTGTACCAGGACTGGGCAATTGGCCGGGCCTTGATTAGACATTTGAACCTCTTGCAATATTCCGATCGGACCCAAACTTTGCAGGCTTCTTGGACATGGATTGAAGCATATTGGGACCAAGTTTCAGCCCGATCGGATCATCTGGTCCCGAGATATGTTGGTCATTGGCCGGAAGCCCGGGATTTTTGGAAAAATCGGCCAATGATCCACATATCTCGGGACCCGACGAGCCGATCGGGCTGAAAATTGGTCCCAATAGCCCTCAATCCAAGTCCAACAATCCTGCAAATTTTGGATCCGATCGGTATATTGCAAGTGGTTCAAAAGTCCAGTTCAAGGGTCGGCCAATTGCCCAGCCCTGCTTTGTACAAAAGTAACTTTTAGATGTATAATGTGAACATATCGGCACATCTTTCCGAGTTTGGCGTCGAACTATTTTTGTCGAAAAATGCAAAAGTCGCCATCACCAACTCACTTTTCCATGACAATAAAAGAAGCGGAATTCGGGTATCTGGAAGTTTCGAGAGTCCACAAGTGGGTCGCGTCAATAGCTAAGCTTCGATACCTGAGAGAATACGTTTAATTGCAGATAATCGTTCGAGCGTGTCGATTTTCACGGAACGCTGGAGAAATGATTGTTATGGAGAACTATGGAAACGCCAGTTTGATAGTGAATAAGTGCTCATTTGCAAGCAATATCTATTTGAATTTTGACAATGGCGATTCGGTCATTTCACTTAAAAATATCAAGGGAAGCGGTATGTTAGCCAGTTGCTTGTTATAATGAAAAATAACATTTTCAGATAACCAGTTATTGATTTCTGACTGTCAGTTTACGAAAAACTCAGTCTCCGATGTCATCAAGGTTTTGGAATCCGCTGGATCCGCCACATCATCATCCATAACCGACAATGATTTCATTCAAAATCTTGCCAACTCTGCCATCACCACCAACGCCCAAAACTGCATAATTTCTCGGAATCAGTTTGAGGATCGAAGGTCAAACTGTGAAGTGACCTACCTTTTACCAGCCACACCGAAACCTCACGATTTGGCGAACAATTCGTTTGAAATAGGCGATCAAACGCCGTTTTGTACGGAAAAATACAATTACTTCGCCGCGCAAATGGATGAGCCGAAAACCACGACTCTTCGAGCTTTGGCACAAGGAATAACCGAGAATCCGTTCGAGAAGAGTGCAGATGGGAATCAGATAATAAGTGCTCAAAATGAACCGTACTTGATCAACCAGGAAGTGATGATCGACATCGGGCAGACGGTGGTCATTGAGCCTGGAACCATTTTGGACTTTGCGCCCAATACTGGGATTACGGTTGCCGGGAGGCTAGTGATGAACGGAACAGAGGAGAGACCGGTCGTTGTGAGGTGATTTTTCGTGATAATTCTACAATTTACACAGCTACATTCAGAGGCCAAAACGGAAACACGTGGCGTGGAATCGTGGCGAAGCCAGAAGGCGTCCTCGACGTAATAAACGTGGTGTCTGAGGATGCGTCGATCGGAATTTGGATAGATTCTGAAAAGGTTCGAGTCGAGAAGGGAAGGATCGTTCGTCCGGCAGTGCACGGCATAGAAATCACTCAAAATTCGAATGATGTTGTCGATTTGGGAGGCGTCGTGATAGAAGAGGCGAACGAATCGGCGATCGGCGTCGACGAGCGGAGGGATGATGTTCTCATCATGAATGCAATTGTCAAAGATGGCATTGGGACTGGTATCGACTTCATGACGCCCACAGGCAATATTGAACTTCGAAACATCTCCATCGAAAATATGGGAAAGTACGGAATCCACATCTCGGAGTTTCCATCCTCTCCTCTTCATGCTGTTCTCTTGGATGATGTACAAATTATGAATCAGAAGAGAGGTCAAGCGGGAATTCTGATATCTGGAGGATGGATTCAGAATATAGCAATGCACAATATCGAGTTTTCGGGAAACTCGGTGCCAAGTTTGATCATCGCGATGGAGTGCAATGACGGTAATGAGAAGTTGATTCGACTCGAGAATTGCACGTTTGAAAGGAATACCGATATTGTACAACATGTGCAGCTGGGCAATTGTGCGAATTTACAGGTTGGTGCATTCACTCCTCATCCTTCCTCGTTTCTTTTCTTTTTCAGATGGACAACAATCGCTACACCGAAAACAATGGCGACGGAATCGGCTCCACTCTAGTCATAACCTCCGATAAGAGTACTAAAAAGAAGAACGGCGTTATGGAACTGGCCAAGAACAACTTCACTGCGAACGGCGGAATCTATACGGTCACTCTGGATTCCAATGTTCACGACGTTTACTTTACGGACAATATGCTCACGGCCAATGAGAACTCTGGAGCCGTACTCAAGATTAGTGGAGAAAACGCGAAAATTGTGACTAATTACTTTGACAATAGGGAGAGCAAATATCAGGTTGCGTATTCGGATGATTATGTGAGTTTCTCTTGAACTTTGTTGGGACCCGCAAGCTTCATCTTCACTTTTAGCCCATCGACGCTAGATTCAATGAGTGGAACGGTCTATCAGAAGAAGAAGTGCTCGAAACGATCGACGCCAAAGAAGGTTCCGTGCGCGTGATTCCCTATGGAACCCCAACAGTCTCTGTCGATAATCAACTCGACGCGGTCACCACATTATTCCCTGTTACCGTCTCCGATTATGAGAATGCTCAGTGTGCTCATCTCAGCTACTGCTCGCGTCGTGGCACATGTCGCGATGGAATCTGCGTGTGTCCGCACGGCTTCGCCGGCTTTGACTGCTCCATTCAGCTTATCTGCAATTGCTCGGGCAACGGACTATGCAACTTGCTCAACATTTGTTTGTGTAACGAAGGCTGGACAGGATCGGACTGCTCAATTCCAAACTGCGCGGCCAACTGTAATGGCCATGGAAAGTGCGTTGGTCCGAATAGCTGCGAATGTGCGCGTGGATGGATGGGCGACTCGTGCGCAACGACTTCTTGTGTGGATTCCGAATGCTTGCACGGCCATTGTGGTTCAAATGGACTCTGTTTGTGTGAGAACGGCTGGCAGGGATCCAGATGTCAAGTTTCCGCGTGCTCTAACTGCTCCCTGAACGGAAAATGCTCGGCGCCAGGCATCTGTAGCTGTTTTGAGGATTACGGTGGCGCCGATTGTACCCAATGCGTCGGCGACTCGTGTGAAGCCTGTGATTTTGACTGCAATCACGGAATATGTGAACCGTTGACAAAGACGTGCTCCTGCTCTAAAGGATGGACGGGCGGGGCGTGTGACGTCTGCTCGATTGGAAAGTGTAACGAAGCAATGAGGATATTCTATATTCAACCTTCGACGGCAGAGTTGGAGGATGTGAATGCGGTTGTCAATGTGTTTGGAGATGGATTTTCGACGTGAGTAGTGGGACATTTAGCAACCGGAACTTGTCGCAGACAAAACTGTTCAAATTTCAGCACGGACAACAATTCGTATGTGTGTACCTTCGGTCGAACGACTGTAACCGGCCTCAGAATCTCGTCAGCTATTATCCGATGCCCGATTCCATCCAACTTGACGCTAGGGCGTCATGTCTTCAGCGTTTCGCAACCCGGAAGCTTTAGCTCAATCGATAACTCGGAAGCGAAACCAGTAAGTGTCATGATCATCGAGCCGACAATAAAACCGCTTTACTTCAGATCCACTTCACGCTTTACGATGGCTGTGAGCCCTCTTTGTGCCAGGGTTCTTGCATCGGCCCGCTGTGTATTTGTCCTCAAGGAAAAACTGGAATATTCTGCGATGTCATCGAAATTTTGCCCTCAATCGACAAACGGTTTTTGGAGCATCAAAGAGCGAATCAAGCGTTTGAGGGATTACCCTACGTTCTCATGCTGCCTACCATGAGCTCATCGGTGCTCCGCGTCAATTCTACAATTCCTCACCTCAACTTCATTGCTTCCAAGGGAATTATAGCGTGGCCAGAACCGCTGGGGTCACAAGACCCCTATGAGATAACTGTGACGGCCTTCTCTCCGGCTGGAAAAACTACAATCGCTTGGAATGTGACTGTTGCTCCCGAATATGCAGTGGAAGTGAGAAATGTAACTGTTGAAGCGGGAAAAGCAACGATATACGGAAAATTGATCGGACCGTCGAAGAGAGCGAAACGTCCAGTGGTGATTAGGATTCAGAGGGATAATGTCGTCGACGAAATACTGGCCGAGTCCGATGATAGTGGAGACGTCAACTTTGACTACATCCCAATGCTCCCAGGGACTTTTGAGGTCAGCATGGCTCATCCGAACGTGAACACGGATTCGATCACCCGACCAATCCGGTTCACAATACCAGAGATCAACCTGCCGATCCACGGCGAGTCATCAAACTCTTCTCTCACTCTGGACATTGCCGGACGGCACGATTGTCGAGTGAAATTGTTGCAACCGAGAGTCGAAGGAGCGGATGTAGAGCAGCGTGGAACTCAAAATATCATAAACTTTGGAAGGTTTTGGAGTGAAGAAGTGGTGGCAGCTGTGACTTGTGGCAATGAATCTACGGAAATCGTGAGAGCTCCGGCGATAGAGACTGGATTGGTGTCCACTACGCCGGAGGTGTTGAGCCTGTATGGCAATGAGCATTTGTATGAGGTAAGTGGAGGCTTGTTTGAAGGCTTGTAATGAAACTCTGTTCTTAAGGTAAAAGTACACGCTCCGATGCGCTCATTATTGACTCTAGATGTAGACGTCTCGGGCGACTCCCTCCAATACCTTTCCGCAATACCCGAAGCTCAGTACCTTCGTCTCACCTTCGCAACATCCTCCAGCGTCCCACCGACAAACGGAACGATTCAAGTGAACGATGGCGCGAAACCGCTGAGCACCATTCCCTTCTTTTACGTGGCCGACAATAAGTCTACGTATTATAACTTTAAAATTTGCATTCGTGACGAGTGGGATGGTCAGGAGGGTCCACTCGCGTCTTCCGAGGTAGCCACAATAGCTGTTCAAAATCTGCAAAGAGGCGTTGATGTGATCAAACCGAACGTTCGTTTGAACGTTCAATGGGCCGACTTTACGCTACAACCCGGACTTTACAAGTTGCTCATTAAAAGCGATCTGCACGAGTCTGTCGAAGAAGTTGTCGAGTTGACGCCGTTGAACGCAACGTTCTGCGTCGCCATGACTTCTACAAAGTCTAGAAACGTGCCCTCAATTTATTGCACCCATTCCACGGATCCGGACTCTTGCGACGTCAAGATAACGTCGGCGACGTCTAGTAGCTTGCCATACTTGCACTTCGAGCCATCGGTGGTGACGTCCAAAGGGCAGAAGGTTCTGGTGGAGCCACGAGGAAACTTGAAGGGAACCGTAGGTCTGTGGAACAGCCAACTAGACGGTGTCTCAATTACTCCATCACGAAGATCAGTGGCGATTAATGAAAGCTTTTGGATCACGTTTGACTGGGAAGGCTCTGCGTTTTCTTGTTCCGTACTAGCGTTGAACGTTCCATTCATCTTCCTCCCAACTGCATCAGACATTCCTCTGCACACCAGGTCCACAATACTCATTCGACAGAGCCGCGATGGCAACGACGTCTGTTCGAGCTCAAAAGATGCTCCCCCGAAACTTGCCACTTCCACCATGGTCATGTGTAATTGTGGCGATGGAGCGCGAGCGCGTTGCCGAGAAAAGTATCATTCGGCCACTGCGTGCGGCAGCGCGTGGAGCAAAATAGCCGATGATACCGTCTCCCTGGAGGTCTTAGCCGCTTTTCTGTCAATGATTTTCGAATGCAAAGAGGTGTCGGTGAGCTTTGAGGAACTGCGAAGTTCGTTGGAATGCGTGGCTTCCATCGAAAGCGACTGTCCCGTCAATTCAATGCAGTTCAAAAAGCGGAAACGACAGGCGCAGACACAAGCGCCACAAGCGGATTCTCCATTCGGAATTTTGAGTCAGTTGGGTCCATTGAACTCGGATTTTGGAAAAGTGTTGCCTGTACTCAACGCGTTGGATGTACAGACTATCAGGTAAGCTTACAATAATAGTTTGTCATGTCCATAGTACATCATGATCTTGCAGAATCTCCTCGGTGTTCATCGAGCTTGTGGATCGGATCCAGAAGCTTTTTCCCGCCGACATAACGAGTTCAATGGACAAAGAAACCGTCGATCACTTCATCGGTGCGATTTCCGACAGCTCCGACGAGGGAATGATGATATCGGAAGCGGAAAGGAGGATAATCGGAGACTCTGCGCTCCGACTCATCCAACTCTGGAATTTGACGGTAAAAAGTTGGAAGTCGGGAAAAGTACAAGCGGAAAAACTGGGAATATCTCACCAAGAAGCCAAGTTGCTCGTCTCCGCTGCCGATAAAGTCAAGAGTATATCGCGGCAGAACGTGGCACAAGATCCGTTCTCTATGCTTCACGGGTACATGGAACGAATGCTGGAGACCGGCGAAACCGAACAGCGGGAATGTGCCACGACGACTGTGCTCATCGACGAAAAACAAGTGGAAGAGGACGGACAGATCAGAATTCAAGTGTTCATTCATAATAGGGCGGTACGTCTCCTCAAATAGTTTGTCTTCTACCACTATCCGTTTTTCTTCAGAATGTCACCCTAACCAACATCGGAGTGAGCCTCTCGTTAGTGAAATCTCATATCAAAACGCCGTCCGTCGAATTCAACATTGGACCATCTTGGTCGGCTGGAATTGGAAGTCTCACTGGTCTCGGAACGCTAGCAGCCGGCTCTTCTTTCGAAATTCATTGGACGCGATTTGTGTCAGTGCCCAGGAGGTTGACCACTATTGCTAGGTATCAGGTCAGTGTGAACATGCTCCGGTTTCAATAATTTACACTGTTTTTCAGCCCATAATAATCTTCTCCTATTCGTCAATCGGTCGGCTCAGTCAACAGAAATTGTTCGCGCCAGAAATATCGGTGATTCCAAAGAAGACGGTCCGTGCCATCAACATCATCAAAGACGATTTGTCTCCGAAAGACGTGTCGCCAAACGACTTCTCCATCATTAGCTCGATTATAAATCCGGGCTACACAACGCTCAAAAGTGTACAAATTCAAATGAGCAATCTGGCGTTTTCGGGAGCTTCTCTCGTTTCTTCCGGAGCGCCGACCCGCCTGGAATCCGTGTTCGTCAACGGAAAACTGTCGCATAAAAGTTTGACTCAAAACTTTGACGAGATCCGAAGTGGATCCACAAAATTTGTGCGAGTTTTGATGAAAGAAGCGGACGATGTAGTGCCAGTAACTTTTATGAACTTGACAGTATTGGAGGAAGGCAAACTGTTGACATTGGACTCGATGGAGACGTACGCCATACGGGCGGCTGGCATTTCCGATTTCGGAATGCTTTTGGCCACCCCACAACAGGAGGCGCCGCTTTTTTACTTCCGTCCCTCTGCGGCGCAAATGGTCAATGTGATCAAGTTGGAATTCCTATCGGTAATTAACCACGTAGTGCCTTGCGACACTTTTTTTCATTTCCAGATTCGACTCGTAAACTCTTCGAGCACCGATAGAACCTCATATGTTGTGGCGTTCAGGAATCCGTAAGCGACTGAACACACTTCAAAGCAAAAAGTATGCGGAGAGTTTGCAGAGAATCGGCTAGCTTCGGTGGAGCCTTCTGGGCACGCATGCCCACTCCAGAAGTTGGTGACAATCATAAACTGACAACGATCGTGGACAGAGGAGGAGCACGACCCCGAGAGCTCCAGGCACTTCAGTGGATTTCACCAGAGAATGTTAGTTTGCGTGGCGTTCTCGTCGTTCCCTTCATTTTCCCCCCCCACTTTCAGAATCGCGAAATGCTGAACTGGATCGATGCGGCAACACTTTCTTCCCGTTCACAAATGATCTACGAGCTTCAGTTCACAAATCCGGATGCCAAGACGTCAGAAAATCCGTCGGATCCTCAATTCGACCAATTCGAATACCGCATTGAAATGGCGCCCGGACACTTGGCGCCCGACTCTGAAATCGGATTGATTGAGGCGGATGGCGATGATTTGACCTACTTTTTGTATTCGCCCGACAACGATCGAAGGTTTTCTGTCGATTCGGAGACTGGAAGAATCTTTTTCGATTCTGATGAACCGTTGAAAGACGGGCAGGAGTATTGTGTGGTTTTGGAGGCACGCGATGCGCAGGGAAGAAGTTCTCGGGTGCCGGTAGCTATTAACAATGGTAGTAAACGCAGACTATGAGTGGTGGTGTAGAACATGCATTTTTAGGTGGCGCCAGGCAAGAGTGTGTTCTCTTCAGCACAGTTGGATTGACGCCAATCATTCATTTTGGCACTTATATTCCAACTCCCACACTTTTTACTCTACGTACAAGGATTTATACTACAACTCGTAAGTTGATTTAGAGTCGCTTTGAAAATGCGTACTTTTTGAATAGCACTAACGGTTTTCATTAACTTCCAAAACTTTACATCATTTCAGAGCCCACAACATTGGCGGCAACCACGTCCACATCACTTTTCCCTTCTTTGATTGAAACTTCCACTGGAGCTCCGGTGTCACAATCCACAGGATCATCCTCAGAAGCTTCTACGATTCCTACCAAGACTTCTGATATGACGACGTCATCAGTGTCATCTGAAGAGCCAACTCTGTCACCAGCAGTGATAACACCATCTGAGTCCCTTTGGACAAGCACTGAAAATCCGCATACATCTCCAGAAGCCTCGGAGACGACTGCAACAACGATCACATTCCTGGATTCAACCCTGGAGCCGATCACCACTGCGATACCGATTGTCACTACAACTTCAGAGAGCGTTGGAACGTCTTCTGAGGATTCTACCTTGGTTTCAACACCTGAACGCCTAGAGACGACAACTTCACTCTCTGAAGGCACTTCTGAAGTCACGTCGACACTTTCTGTGTTGGAAACGTCTTCAACAACATTGGAGTTTTCTGAAAGTACACTACCGTCAGAGTATTTCACTTCCGAACGGACTTCAACAATGCAGCCAATCACTGACTTCCCGACACCTCCAGATGCGACTGTGACGGAAACAACTTCAACAGCTCCAGATTTTCCGACTCCTCCTGATTACGGCACCAGAACAACATCATCTGATTCTGGAACTTTGGAGCCCATCTTAAGTACGAGTACAGAAAGCTTTCCAACGCCTCCAGATGCCTTCACATATCCGACGTCTTCTGAAAGCACCACACTAATCACGTGGCCAGACTCGACACTTTCAACACTGACCGTTTCTTCTTCTATTGTGTCTTCAACAGCATCTCCGGAGATGTACCCAACATCTGAAAGTACATTGGAGCCCATTTGGAGCAGTTCAACCCTCAATTACCCAGAGCTCACCTCAACTCGGGCCTGGATCTCCACAACTTCTTCTTCTCTAGAGTCGACAACTGCAGAAGTGACAAAGATCCTTCCCACTGATCCATCCACCTCCACCACCACCGAAATCATCTACACAATGTCTTCCGATGCAACACTGGAGCCGGTCACCGACACTTCTGAAACGTCTACTTCACTTGCCACCTCAACGGATCCAGTCTACACTGTGTCCCCCGACTTTTCTCCGGTGACAGACGCTACGTGGCAGCCACCTGTCCATGCTTCAACTTCTGGCGGAGTTGACGGCTACAGTACCTCCTCGCCGGCTACTGTTGCCACGACTACTCCTGCGCCTACAGAAGACATTGAATGCGTGCCGGATACAGCATTCTCGAGAATCATTTGTGACATTTTGGGAGTGTCGAGAAGACGTCAGCGATCTCAGTTTTAGGTTTTCTTGAAATATTTATTAATAAAGTTAATTGTTGTCTCGATTCATTTTTAGAATAAAACCTTCATCAATGCACTACTTCACTCCCGACGTAATAGGTGCCTTTCAATGGTTCACCCCTCAAGGTCGGATTATTTGAAGCTTAGGAAAGAAGAGAGATGGAGGTGAATGCGACACGCTCCGAAGCAAGGTCGGGACTGTATGTGAGGGGGTAATAGCCGGGTGGAGAGAAGAAGAGGAAACGGGTAGCGGAAGACTGAGGCAACAACAACGCAACTTTTCTATTTTAGATGGCAGTCGGCCTTCCTGTCAAAAAAAATAGTTGTTTCGTTTTTTATGAGGTTTGTTTCTGGTTGCTTTTCTGCAGTCGAACAAATATTGTCTTTTCTCCAAGAAAGGGCCAGTCTGGCCAATTTGGTTGGTAAGGCGAGAATAAGATCTTTCCCTTATAATGTCTCTTGCCTCGCCACTTCCTGCCAATTGCTTGTCAAAACGACGCACCTGTCCCCAGCCGAATGGTTCCTATTTTCGCTGCTCATTTCGTGCCTCGGATCCTATCCCGAACATTAATTTGTTCTCCTCCACCTCTGTCCGCAGAACAACCCTGATTTATAGTGTTCTCCGCTCTCATCTGCCCAAATAGGGATTTGCCGGCTACCTGCCCGCTGTGAACATAATTGCCCCATTCGCCTTCGTTCGCCACGCTCATATTGGTGACCCTAGGACCTTCGAGACTCCTCTCTAGGACACTTTCAATTGTAGGTCAAGAAGTCACGTATCAAGCGTTCATTTGTTGGCAAAAAGTGAAGCTGTGCGACTGAATGCCGCTTTTTTTCATTCTCCTCCTTCTCAGTTCGATATTAGTTGAGAAAAAAGCGAATGGACAACTAAGTGAGTTTAGATTTTGACTTTTTGAATCATTTGTTATACTTTCACTTTCTTTTACAGGGCTTTGTGAAGCCGAAGGATCATGCCGTCACTGTGCGGACACTCGCTACTCCTACTATCGTTGCCGCATGCAGGACGACTGTTTCATCGGCGAAGTGTGCGATAATGGATTCTGCTGTCCAAACGTTGCGCCGACGTTTTTGTTGCAGAGAGAACGTGAGTTTATGCCTTCTTTGCATACTTGTCAAGTTTGGGGACACGTCTCCTCGCGGGCGATGCTTTCAAAGTGATCCACTCCTCCAGCATGCTCATTCACTCTCACCCCCCAAAACATAACTCTTTCACCCTTAACACACTAACTGCTTCACCTCCTCAGCTACCTCACCCAAACCCAAATCCTCACGAAATTCGACGGTGGATCTTCCCGCGGAGGACCCGTGTCCGGATGGCTCCCGCTGGGCACGCAGATGCGCTCGCGACGAAGATTGTACTCACAAAGAAGAAGTGTGTGTCGAGGGAAAATGTTGTAAAAGTGAGTTTCATTTTATGAAGTTTCAAGGTTTATAGTCCCGAGCGGGGAGCGAGTAAAAGTAGGAAAAAAGACGATGCGAGGTCGTTAAACATCAGAGGTGAGGGTCAAAGAATTGAGGTGACAAACGTTATAGAGTCTGTGAATTGTTTCGAAGACATTGATGTGTGTCGAAAAATATTGGATTCAACGTAAAACGTACTACTTGTCTGATTGAGAAGCATACGATAGTAGGGCGTTTTATACGCACCTAGGTTGAAAATGTCAAAGTGCATTTTTGAGATGACTTCCGTGTCCGTGACGTCAATCAAAGAGTAGAAGCTTAGGCCTTTGATGGGCGCATCCTGGTGGTAATAGTTTCGAAGCAGTTGATACGCTCTTTCGTCGGCAAACGTGATGCGGAGATCGATGGAAGTGATGATAACGAACGAGTTGAATGGAATGGTTACTGTAGACAAGACAGGGGTTGGCATCGGGTAACACGCTATCATTCGCGTGTTTGGATTCGGACCCATTGTGATCTCGAGCCGGAGAACTTTGAAGCCGGGCGATGCTCGAACCGCGTCCTTGTTCGCTCTTTTGGTAAGCGATGACTTGATGCGAACATTGCACATTTGGGGCCAGTAACGATCGCAATAGTTTAGCGCCTGGAATTGATTGATATTCGATCAACTGGATGCTCTTGATGTGCTCCGAGAACTGACCGAATTGAAGCAATTCACGTCTTGCTCGTGAATATAATCCACCATCGGGTTGCCCGTCATTTCGACTTGTGACAGTCCCAAATAAATGCTGATCGTCTCACTGATGTACAAAACGTCGCCGCGTCGATCGAGTATCACAAAAAATCCATCCAAAAGCTAGCAACGACGTTATGATTAACCGCTTCCCCCAAAATCTAAATTTACATCCAAGTGATTACTGGTCCACAATGAGTCACTGCCATAATAATAGTCTGCCGAGCTGTACGTTCGTCTCGACTGTCCGAAAATGTTGAACAGTTTGATATAGGCTGTTGCCAATCGGACCATTGTCGTTTTGTCGATGTGTTGACCGGATATTGCACGAGCCAGTGGAAGCTCTTTGGCGAGTTGCGAGAATTCGAAATTCTCCATTTGCCGACGTTGTTGTGCTTGCGATTTCGACGGTTGTTCTGAGAATAGTGGGAGCGAAAATGGAGAAGTAATCGTCAACTTACGTTTATCACGGTAAGGGCTCTCCATAAGGGATTGAAGTGTAAAAGATGTCAAATAAGCTCACAATTACTCGAGCCTATATACGTTGTTGATTATTAGTATGCGAAGCACGACGAGAATTACATCTAATTACGCAATATGGTCAAATTATATTATCCATTCACTTTTCTTCTCCATTCTTCCGGAAATAAAACAATAACACTCTCAAATTTCAGCGTGTGCAATGCGACGAAGAGCGTTGCTCGACGAGCTGCGAACACTCGAAATAGTGGGACAATCGTTGCCAGTCTGCGAGGAGAGTGGACTCGCGTGGAAGCGCCGGTTAGTCCGAGCCGATTCCGGTTGAACCTCGCCCCTTTTTCAGACAATGTCTCGCCGGAACCGACGTTTGCTGGTGTGTGACAAGTCACGGACGGAGGCTGTCGGGAAAAGAGGTCAAGGATGAGAAAGGATGTGAAACGGTGAGAAGGAAGCAGGAGAACTTGGCGCTGAAGGCCGCTGCGTTGCTCCGAGAGCAGCAGGAGAAGAAGCATGTAAGTTTCATAAAACTGATCGAGATAGGGGACAAGAAAGATGTAAATACAATCCCGCCCGCCAACTTCTTTCAGACATGTGCCACCATCTCATCGGGAGAATGTCCCGTCGCCACCAATACCTCGATAACTCATCTAACCTCGTGCAAATGCGATTCCGAATGTGCCAAAGGAGCGAAATGCTGTCCTAGCTCACTTACTAACCCCTTGTACTATGCTTGTTTGCCAGCTTTAACCCGGCTTCGAAACCAGTCCATTTCAAAAAATGATAGTTAGTTTTTCTCGAATTCTGATCGCAGAAAGAACACTTGCAGTAACTCCAACAATCTCAATGATTTGTGGGGCGAATGAGCAGTACTCGGCTTGTTTCTCCTCCTGCCAACCTTCGTGCCAGGACCCAACGACTCCGGCGTGTCCACCTCCCACGTGTCAGCCTGGGTGTATATGTATGCCAGGTACGCTGTTTGTCGCTAAATGCCCGCGCCAGTCTTCTTGATTTCCAGGCTACATCCGTCGGGATAGTTCTCCTCGTTCGGCATGCGTACCGCGTGCTCTGTGTCAGGCATACGACCTGACGATTCGGTGCGCCGACGAAAGGCGACAATATCAAACGTGCGGCAGCGCGTGTCCGATCAGTTGTGAGACGCGGAATCAGCCGAGATGTGCGGAGAGATGTGTCACTGGGTGCTTTTGCAAAGTTCCGTTTATACTGGAGAATACCGACGATCCACTGCATTCCCGGTGCGTTTTTCAAATTTTGTGAAATGTTTCTAACAAGTTTCAGATGCATCCTTGCTTCTCAATGCCCCGAAATTCCCACTCCCGCCCCAGAAATTGTCGAACAATTTGTGCAGCGCAACCCTCAGATGCTCAACTCGTTTGGTAACCTCAATCTACAGTATCCCACTACGCCGAGGACAACTCAGGCGCCGCCCACCACCTCAACTTCTCAATATCCTCAACGACCCACGTTGATACCAAGCGTTTCCAGCTCAGAGCAACGCTGTGAGCATCCTCTGAAGAATTATCTGAGCTGTGGAAGCAAGTGCCCCGCGTCGTGCGACCGTCCGCTCTCTCAGGCGGCCTCGTTGGAGTGTGCTCTCTCCTGTGAGCCAGGATGCTTTTGTCGGCTCCCGTACGTGCTGGCGGACTCTACGGACCCAAACTCGACGTGCATTCTTCCACAGCTCTGCCCCAGAAAATCGGTTCCGCCGTCGACAGCGTCTGAAGCAGCAGAGCAGTCGTGTCAAGATCCACGAAAAGAATGGAGTCAATGCGGAGCTCTCAGCTGCTCCAGATCCTGCGCGAACCCTCTCGGTCGTTGCGGCGTCGATCAATGCTTCTCAGGATGCGTCTGTCGAGAGCCCTACGTGCTGCTCCATCCAAACGATCCGACTTCACGATGTGTGCTGCCGGCGGAATGCGATAGAGGATGTGAGGATCCGACAAAAGAGTTTATCACGTGTGGAAGCTCTTGTCCGATGGGATGTGATAACCAGCATCCGAAGAATTGCGCGCCGTGTCAGACTGGATGTTTCTGCAAGAATGGATTGGTTTTCAAGAGCTCGGCAACTTGGCACACGTCAAAGTGTGTTAGGATTGAGGAGTGTCCGATGGAAGAAGACAAAACTGACGAAGCAGAAGATGTCACGACTTCAACAACTGGTAAGTGGTCTCCAGAATTTGGCTAGAAGTATGTAACTATACAATAACTTCCAGAACTCCCACCAGCACCAACCCTAACCACAACAACAACAACAGTGACGACGGTCATCGCCCAGCTTCATGAAACTCAAAACAGACCGTCAACCCTAACAGGAAACCTTGATCTTCTAGCTGTGAAACCGCCAATCGCTCAATCCGAATGTCCGTCCACAACGTTCGACGTTGGTGGTCGTGGCTGTAACACCGACATGGACTGTCCGATCGAGCAGAGATGTTGTCGACCAATGATCGTTTCGCTCGGAGTCAACCCGCAGAGATGCGTGTGCCCGGACAAGCACGCCGTCTGGTCTTCTTGCGGAACACTGTGTCCCGAATACTGTGGGCAGCCATCTGTGCCGGTGTGCTCTGGCACGTGTTCAGCTGGGTGTCATTGTGCGCCTGGGTTTGTTAAGGTACGTTGGTGCAAAAGGTAGCCAAGTTTTGCCTAGTGTAGAGAAGGTAACCAGGTGATTAGAATTTATATAGTTTTTAGAAACGAATAGATATACACGGTTTCCAGAGATGGCAAAGAGCGCAAGTGCGCCCCGCCCAATAGAGCGATACATTGGCGCGAAATTCAAATTTTAACAGCAAAATTTGTGTTTTTTGCCAGATTAGCGACGAAAAACCGATAATTTCTCATTTGTCTCTCGATAGACCGATTGTATAGGCTATTACGAATTTTTTAGGCGCAAGAGCGTCAAATTTGGTCAAGTCGCAAATCACATTTATCCGTTTGAAGGTTTTTGGCTAAAACTGCGTGAATTTCAGTTGCTTTTCGGTAGTTTTCGCGGTTCGAGCGCTCAAAATGCTTGTATTTACGTGATTTATCATTCTGATAACCAATTCTGTCTCAAACGGCCAAGAAAGCGCAAAATGAGAAGTGCGGTTTTTAGGCGGCGATCGGCGGCGAAGGCGAAAAAGCAAAGTCCGCGAAAAATGCGCCAAAGCGTCATTTATTCTGTGGGAATTAGTGTGTTTTCATGTCGAACAATCATTTTTCATCGCCGTTGACCACAAAAATCAGAGAAAACGTGCTCAATTCGTGAAAACGCCATTTTGCCGAGGCCACGCCCATATTGTCAGCTCTGGAGACCGTGATAGAGCAAGCTATTGCCGACTGTGTTATTCGTCCATCTGTAGATCTTACTGTGACTGTCCGCGTGATGTTAAATATCACAAGTCTACGTTGGTTTCAGGCCCGTAACGATGTCACCGCGCCCTGTGTACCTCGGGAAAGTTGTTCATCCACGTTGGGATCTCTCTCAACTTCCACCACAGACAGAATGAGAATACCGCCAGTTGTTGCGAGTATGGACGACCCTGGATCTTTCACAAGATTCGCGACAATTCGAGAGATCACGCCACAAGATCCTGTTATGGATGACGATGTGGTGAGGGGATTTCGAAACCTGTCATACTGTGAAATCGTTCCTTGCAGATCGCCGTCGCCATCCTAATCACCAGAGAAGGGTCTCACATCGGTCGCTTCACGTTTTCGCAACTCACGACCACCGCTCTTCGCATCCACGGAGAAGTGTACACTCTGCCTGCGGGACGTCACGCCGTCGTCCTCCACCAATTTGGGGATTCGTCGGAGGGATGCTCTCGTGTCGGCGCTCCGTTCTCCAAATCGTTGAGCCCTTCTCTCGGAGACATTACCGAATCGGGCAAATTCGATCGGATCGTGGATTGGCCAGTGGCGGATGTTGTTGGCAGAGCTGTTGTTATCTACTCGTGAGTGGTGGTCCAACATGCTCCCTCTTTTCAAACATCTCTTTCTTTCCAGATTCTCCACAGCCGACTGGGGAATGAGAACGCACTTTGGCGAACGGCCTCTTGCTTGCGGAACGATCGGAATCGCCAGAGTTCGCATTTAACCATGATCTTCATCTGTCGCTATCTCTGAAATTGTCGTGAATGGTACCATTGCTCATATCACTTATCCCATTGTATTTCACTTCTTCCCCCTCTTCAATGAATTCCAGCACGATTTTGTTCAGCTATGATCAGTGTCTGCAAATAGATTTTAAAAGATTAGAAAAGTCAAGTGCATAAAATTATTTGTACGCATTGTCATAGAAAAATATGTACAGAAACCCAATGATAGGGAGAAAAAGTAGAAGAAGCAAGCGGGAGGGAAAAGTAGAGCGGAAAATAAGCCGGTGGGTACCCATAAGCGGAGAAAAAGGAGAAAGGCCTAAAAAAACGAATATCACAATGGAAAGAGGATATAAACACGGGGGAATGGACTAATCAAACGAAATCAATGAGAGTGTCCAGAGGCGAGAATTGCTGGAACGATTGCTCCGCCAATGATCAGTAGGAGCTCTTTGAGTGTGTAACTCGGGCCGGAGGAATGCGAATGTCCTGCGAGAGAAGCCGGGGAGGTAGCGTCGACAACTAGAGAGTACTCCGCTTGCTTATTGTTCGCCTGGAAACATTGACATCACAGAATTCTAAGCGCTTGAGTCTTCACTCAAACTAAAGTAGACTGAATATAAATAAAATTAACTAGCTTTGAAGACGCAAAAAACTGACCAATTCGGGTAGCACGTGAACGGTTGCCACGTAGAGAAAAGTTCCGGCCGAGAAGAGCATAAGCACGCCTGTTGACGATTCGGATCGCATTGACTCGCCCATCTTAACACAGAATTACAAGTTTTAGCCTGTTTTGTTTTCAATTTCGGTCACTCTCTGACTCACTTGCATGATGATCACGTAAGTGATGAGAGCGGCAGTTGGAGCAGCAGCTGAGAACACAATCAAATGCTTGCGAATTGCACGACGATCGATCGATTCCATGAGGAGGAAAGAGACGAGACCGAATGCAGCCGGTGCTTTGTGTAGCATTATGGCCACGAAAACGATGAGTTGCACATCCGACTTATTGATCACTGATGCTGATCCGAGAGCAACGCCGTCCGCTGGAAATGGGATGAAAAATTAATTGTGAAAATCAAAACAAGTTTCAAATTTGGGCACAATTATAAAACAGACCTGATTCTACGACGAAATTTATTAGAAAACAGTAAATAGTTTGAAAAATGTTGCAACAAACAACTTACCAGCAGCGTGTACGACAAGCCCGATGGTGGCCGATATTCCGATTCGACTCCGTCCGGCACGATCGTCTGAAGTTTGTCTTACTTTTAACCGTAAAAATTGAAATTATTCGGATATTTAGGTTTCGAATGAATGTTCTCAAGGATTCCAAAAGCTCACTCCTAGCAACAGTAGCACTGCCGATTTGATCGACAAGGAGCATGAGCACGAATCCGAGCACTAGTGAGTATCCGATCTGCGAATGAATGTTTCCGCCAGCTCCGTGAGCATGCCTGTGCTCTTTTTCCCCAATTTCCTCTTCGTTCGTCGCATGCGTTTCCACGACTGCGTCGCGTTTTCCTCGCTCATGTTTAAGAGGTTTCGGTGATTCGGGAGGCGACCTTACGGCTCTGCCTATTCTGAAAATTTCAAGTGTTCATCTATTTAAACAAGAATATATTCTGAATGAGGTACTTACGCTTCATTAAGAACGGCATCTTTGGGTATAATCCGTGGCAAATTGTCCTCTTTCTCTTTCGCATTCTCCAGAATTTGTTTGGCTTCTGCTGGATTTACAATGGCGCCAACAGGCGAAACGATCGGATTGCTTCCGTGTTCGTGATTTTTATTATGGACGGCATCTGTAATTGTTAAAATTGCAATCTTTTATGGGGTTATTCAGCGTATTTTTGTTTAGGTTCGAATATATTTAAAAATAAAAACGAACCATTTTGAGCCTCATAAAGAGCCTCGACGCCTTCAGGGATAATAACCGAAAGAGCGGTGCCAACGAGCAGTCCGGCGCCGAAAATACTCACTAATCGGATGCGAGACTACAAAAAGAGGAATCTGGCTAACAATTTGATTAAAATTTTAAAAACTTACTTCTGAAAGACTGAACATTAACGGTATTGAGCCGGCGATGTAACTGCCGAAAAACATGGCAGTGGAGAGCAAGAGGAGGAACGAGACGCCCTCCATCGCCTACAAACATTATTGATTTTTCTCTTTACTTTATTATTTTCGCATAAAATGTACTTGTTTTTCTCTAAAACATGCGTTGGCAAAACGATTGTGATTTGCCGATAAAGCGGAAAAATTTCGTTGGGTTCGCGTAAAACGACACAACAGTGCGGTGGAGCGCGTTTGCAACATCGTGTCCCTCGTTCGGGGGGTTGCTCTGGAGTCTAGAGTCTGGACCGGACGCATACCGCTTTGATTTTCAAGCACCATTCGATATTATACAATCCGTTAAATTGAGAACTGATATTGCCCTTTTTTGCGAGTCAATTGTAGAGCTCCCGATAAACTTGTTAGAATACGATTCTGTTTGCGTTTTGTTGTTTCTCGTCGGCCATTACTCACCGTGAAAGCGTGAATGGCATTCAGATTTATCAGCATTGGAGCTCGAGCCTTCCGCAATCTTCTTCAGAAACCAGGCAAAGATCCAGCTAGAAACGGACTACAACCGATTGCACGGAACCCCAGCCTTCCAATAAAAAATTCCCTTGGCGCAATTCAGGTGCGCTAAACAAGGCGCGTAACGCGTAATTTCGGAACGTCGTTGTAGAGTTTCTCATTTCAATTTTCCCTTTTTTTGCATTATTCCCATCTTTTCAGAACCAATCAGTGTCAAAACTTATGATAATGATTAGAAATGAATAAAAAATAAAATTTTAACTGCTTCGTCATCAATTTCGAAACGTTTTATGTGAAAATGACAGAATTTTTTTCCTGTTGGAATCGAAAATTTGCCTCAATTATCTCAATTCTGTATATTTTTCGACGGTTGAGCGCTTAAAAGATGCGCAATAAACTCCTTGTTGACTGGACGGTTCGAATGCTAGTGTCCGAACTCGATTCGGCAAATGATCGTTAAAACTCCGTTTTTTCAGTAGTTTTCGACAAAATCCCTCAATTTGGTCAATTCTGAACGAATCTGCTCCGTTTCGCGCTTAAATCGATGCTTTTACCTCACACAATCGCCCCACGGTTCGCAAAGAACAAAATTTAAGTGTTTATTAAGAGAAAAACGAAAGAATTCTGGGTTTCAATTGAAAAAAGAAACTCCGAGCCGACGGTGGATGCAAGCGCGCCCCATTGACAACTTGCTTGCGCATTGGAATGCTGGGGTTCCGTGGATTGGAGAGCATTAAAATTGTTTATTTGTACACGTGGGCAAAAAAAAAAGACAAGCAACGTCAAAAGAATACATCAATAATGGGGCTATTCAGACTGTGAAAAAAATGATTGTTTTCCGTTTTTTTCGTTTTTTTACGTCAAAAAATCCAATTCAGCGATGTAAAAAAACAAAAAAAACGGAAAACAAACATACGCTGAATAGTCCCATAAGTTCATATCATTGCAAAAAATCATTGAATGGTATCATATTTGGGGAATCCGACAGGTCTTAAGTACATCGAGGATTGTCCCAGCGTTCCTTCGGCCCACCGCAAATACCGTTCACTTTCCACCGGAATGTTCGGACACGTGTAGCGGATTCCATTGAGATTGGCGGCTCCGCACAGTTGATCCTCCACGTACCACCAACCGGTGTTGAAATTCGATTTAGAGCAAGTATAGTACACGGCATCCTGTTCGAATTTGTCGCGGAGTTGTGGCGGAACAGTCGTCTCTGCTTCAATATCCCAGGTGGAGAATTTCGGCCCGTTTTGGCTCAAATCCCATCTTGCCCATCCGTCCTGATAGTAATGATCGTCAGCTTCGGAGCCGGTGCACGCTTCCCGAATAACCACAGAGTATTGGGTTTGCGAGTCGAGAACACTGAACGTTGGATAGGTACAGTCCGTGGTTCGCTGAGGTCTTCCGTTGCTGGCGCATCGGAACAAGTTGAGCCGAAGAGTTTGGGGTTGATAAGTGGTCAGCTGGTGAATGAATTCGAGACCAAGCCATACGGATTGATTGGACGCCGTACCGAAACCGATTATATAGTCCTGAAAAGAGAACATCATTATTTTTCATGAAAAACTAACAGAGTATGTCCGTTTTTCTTATTCCCCCTCACAGTCTCCAGAGCTGACAATATGGGCGTGGCCTCGGCCAAATGGCGTTTTCATGAATTGAGCAGGTTTTCTCTGATTTTTGTGGTCAAAGGCGATGAACAATGATTGTTCGACATGAAAACACACTAATTCTCAGAATTAATGACGTTTTGGCGCATTTTTCGCGGACTTTGCTTTTTCGCCTTCGCCGCCGATCGCTGCCTAAAAACCGCACTTCTCATTTTGCACTTTCTTGACCGTTTTCAGACAGAATTGGTTTTGAGAATGATAAATCACGTAAATACAAGAATTTTGAGCGCTCGAACCGCGAAAATTACCGAAAAGCAACTGAAATTCACGCAGTTTTAGCCAAAAACCTTCAAACGGATAAATGCGATTTGCGACTTGACCAAATCTGACGCTCTTGCGCTAAAAAAATTCGTAATAGCCTATTCAATCGGTCTATCGAGAGACAAATGAGAAATTATCGGTTTTTCGTGGCTAATCTGGCAAAAACACAAATTTGGCTGTTAAAATTTGAAATTCGCGCCAATGTATCGCTCTATTGAGCGGGGCGCACTTGCGCCCATTGTCAGCTCTGGAGCCCGTGGGCCCTACAAACCTGGTACGTCCTATTTTCGTTAAGATTCCCACTATCAGCAGACATTAGCGTGTATCCTCCTCCATTGCTCGCCATATCACAATAGACATCAATCGGAGTGAAGGGTGCCCGTTGTGGAAGCGTGAATGGTGGGTTGACCGAGTAGACTCCGCTGGCTCTTTCTCCCCAATACACATAGAGATCGGCACAGTGTCTTCGCGGCTTGTACGTGTCACAATTGGTTCCGAGCCAAAAGTCGTCGCAGCGGCATTGATAAGATCCGGGCGTGTTGATGCACTGACCGTGTCCACAGATTCCTGGCGTCTCAACGCACTCGTTGATGTCTGTGCAGTTGTATCCGTCTCCTCGGAAGCCAGAGTTACATTTGCAAGCCATGTTGACCGAGTTGAGCGTGCAAGTGCCGTCATCCGAGCACGGACGGTACTCGCTGTACATGGTCCCGTTCTGGCACTGATGCCAGATTGTGCAGTTCATTGTGACCCACGGCTTGCCGGGCGCGTGCGCATTTCCGTTCTCATCCACGCATCCGCACTGATCCAATCGGATGCACTTTACAGATCCAGTGACAGTGTTGTCCACCACGTATCCCGGATCACACGCGCATCCGTCAACGCATCCCTGGTCACAGTATTCAGGGTACGGTTCGGCACAAGTACTCGGACAACTTGAGGTACAAATGGACGGATGAGCATTCAGGGCACAGGCGAGAGGGCAGTTTACTTGCGCTCTCCAGTCCGAGTTTTGTTGCGCCTGCGGCAACGCCAACTGACAGTATTGGAAGAAGTAGGATAGGGCGGTACATTTGTACGCTGGGTTACGGCATACGTCATATATGCAATTGTAGTAGAAATCTTCCAAAGTGTCATTGCCGAGTGCTTGACAGGCTCCAAACGTTCCTCGTCCAAATTCGGCTTGTTGGATCGGGAAACAAATTTGGCTGGCGGTCTCGACGTCCTGAAAAATCGAAAACAGTTTACGAGAGAAGGTGGAGAGGAAAGGAAAGCGGTTGAGCGATGTACCGCGCAACTCGCTAGTGAATTAGTACTGACGCAATTTGTGTTATTGTCGATCGTCTGGCCGTTTAGACAGTTCTCCTGGCCGGGGCGCAGCACAAGGAACTTGTCGGTGATCCATGAGTCCTGAAATTTTGGAAATTGACTAACTCTCGCCTAATCCAATCAACCAACCTCAAATCCCATAAACGCGGCATGATTATTGTTCTCCGGCTGTCGGCTCGACTTGATGCTTAGCACAGTTCCGTTCTTGTGCACCACATCGTCCAGCGCCTTTCCGTCGATATTTCCGGCCAATCCACACAGCGTGCTTGGTCCGTTAAACTGCGGAATATCCGGGACTTCAACACAAAGCGAGTTGTAGGTGGTGAAAGTGACCGTAATCCCCTGATCGTTGTCTATTGTGAAAGTGGATCCGGAAAAGCGGACACGAACGGTCCACGTGTTTTTGTTCGGGTAGTACCATGGCGTGAGCACTTGAACTCCATTGACGAGAGCGGTCTTCGAGCGGCCATCCACGTGAATTGTCAGATTGTAGAGGTCGACTTCAACCTCGGAGACTTGGGAAATACTGAAAACGAGTTGAAGAGCAACAGGTGCTGGCAATCAATCACACTTCAACCACTTACTGATATCCCTTGCCTGGCAGCTCGTTCTTGGCTCTGACCGAGTACCAGAGGTACGGCGCCGGAAGAAGGGAACACGGTTGAGAGAAGACGTAGGGGCAAGTACCCTGATAGTCGAAACGTAGTCCGTCGTACGTCACGTAGTGTGGATCTCCGCTCATGCACGATCTTTGGACTTTCAGGTCACAATCGATTCCGTTGCGCTTGGCGGTGTATCCGGGTTTGCAGACGCAGTTCAACTGATGATTCGCCACGTAACATAGAGTGTTCTGCCCGCAAGAGTTCGCTTTGCACTCGATCACATTCTGACAGTAACGTCCCGAAGTGTTATCGGGGCACACACAACTGAAAATGTTGATGTATTCCATTGAGGATAAGGCACAGCACTCACTAATAATACTTCCATGGCTGCAACAAATCGGCCACGCATTGTCCGCTGTTGCACAATCCTGGCTGCGAGCAAATCGAGCACTGTGGGGCTACTGTAGCGGCAACATCAACCGCCTGGAGTGCTCCCACCTCAAATCAAACTGTTTGAGGCCGAAAAAGCGAGAGGAGAGCAAACTTTGGTCAAGAAAAGCTGCGACTTATCGGCGGTAATCTTCTTGGTGAGCGGTGCCATGTATTCGTCATGCTTCGTCGTTTGGTAGTGACTGATCATTGCCAGAAGGGTTTCTTTCGTTTCACAATCCAGTCCCGAGCATTGTTGACTGGAAAGAGATTGAATTGTTTGGGATTTTGGAGATTGAACGCCAAGTGCTAGTAAATAACCTACGAAAACCGATTAGCTCAAAACACTTGAAAGAAGTAGACTAAACGATATGACTCACGTGTCCTCCATGTATAATGGCTCATCACAATCGGCTCCATAACACTTGAGTTCTTGTGCGTCGACTGCAGCGATGATACACAAAAGTAGAGCTGAAAACCGGAAGAGCACCATCATTTCTGACTGACTCTCTGAAACTTTTCAGCTCTTTCTTTTCTTATAAACGCTCGCCTTATCTCTTCGCTCGTCAGTTCGTCATCGTCCCCGCTGAGTTTGATCTTTTCGCATTTACCGCCACATTTTTCGTTATCAGTGGCAGCGCTCTCGACATTTCGATTTGATTCATTGGAAGACGATTATGTCGAGTGTATTGTATTGGGTGCAACTATTATATATCATCATCGTGCTGAATGGCAAATGGCAAATTACTCATTAGCGGAAAGAAAACTGTATTACATTTCTCGGATCGTCGGAAACAAACAGTGTGCACAAAATTCGGCGAAGCTCTTCAGAACTGCAGTAGGACGAGGTAGCCGAAGTTTGATGAATCGGTCAGGGTTGAAGGATGGCATATTATTGAGTCGTCCCTAACTTCTTTGTGTTCTCTTAGCACAAACGATGGAAGATGGGGTCCAGAGAGAGAGAGTTCAACTGTAGTTCAACTGCCCACTTTTGAAAATAACGTTTTTATGGTTTGGTGATGTCAATTACTGATAACAACGGAATGCTAGTGGATCGGCCGCCTACGCTTGAAACAACGACAATTGTTTTTTTTTGCATCTTTGAAATCGAGAAGAGTATCGTTATTCTGTGTGTTTTTAACGGCAAAACTCAAAGCAATCTGGAATTTTTGACTTTTTGCATCGCAATACTGTCGGATCAGAGGAAGAGAGAGAGAGCGAGAGAGAGAGAGAGAGAGCCCGGGTCATGCAGATTTACTATGGTACAGAGTTAAGCGGTAATGGAACTTTGAAATCCTGAAGACGGCAGACGGAAGAAAATTTTTCTCACGGAAGACGGAACAAAAAAATCGTCAATGCAGAACCTTTTTCTCCGGTTTTTTTTTTTGAAAAAATAAACTAAACAACAAAAATTTTGGGCTTGGGTCACTGCCCGTGGAAATTCGCGTTCTTCGGGGCTAGTAAATGGCTTCTGAAAAGCTATTACTCTTTTACGGTAAGAAGAAAAAATCCCGGAAGACGGCAGACGGAAGACGGAACAAAAAAAAACCACGGAAGACGAAAGAAAACTTTTTTCCCGGAAGACGGAAGACGGAAAACGGAACAAAAAAACCACGGAAGACGGAAGACGGAATTCCGCTCAACACTGGTACTAATGTCAAACAAGAGTCCCCCAGAAAAACAAGGGTCCCCTAAAATAAAATAAAAACATGCCGAAAGATGTACCCGACTCACCCTCGTCGACCCGCCGGTGGTACTGATTTTACCCACGCCGGTTTGGCTGTGTAACCCCTGCGCCCACAGGTGAAATCTTCTGGTGTTCTTTGCTTAAGCTTGTTTTCGCCAAGGACCATCAATGTTTTATCAACCTCTTTTTGTTTTTTATTCTCCAGACAAACTGAAATGAAACACAAAAACAATCATCATTATTATCAAATAGTTGCACCCAGTTCAAAAATAGAGAAACGATTTAGTTGAAAGTTATGAGCAAACTGGCGATAATCAGCAAAAGACCAGCGGAGACGTTGGACGCGGCAGTGGATGTCGTCGTTTGGACAGTCGTCGTGGGCGTGGAGCCGCTCTGAAAATGGGAAAAAGTTTATGTGAAGATCGGACGACACGGTGAAAGAAGACGCGAGCATTTTCAGACTCTTACCACATCAGGGACCGACGCGGTTGAGATCTTTTCGGAAGAGGCAGTTGTTTTAGTTAAACTCAATGAACTTGATGAAGTGATTGTGGAAGAAGAGACTCTGTTCGACAAAGTCGTTGTTGAAGACAATGCACTTATGGTTCTAGGCGGCGATACGGTTGTGGTTGCTGTGGTAGTTGGTGAGATCAGTGGAGAAATCGAGGTGGTTGAGAATAGTCTAGTTGTCAGTGACGTTTTCAGAAACAATGAAATTGTTGGAGCAGCGGTTCTAGTTGACGACATTGTTGGAATCAGTGTGCTAGTTGGTAAGACTACTGTATTAGTTGATGCTTGTGTTGCGGTTGGCGTTGATGTCACTGCTGGTGTCGACGACGTAGAAGTTCGTACTGGCGTAGTGGCCACCGTGCTTGTAGTTGTCAAGCTTTTCGTAGAAACCGACCCGATACTCGACGAGTAAAAAGTACTACTAGTACTCACTTTGGCGCTCAAAGTGGAAAGCTTGGTGAAGGCAGTACTCGGAGAAGGAGTGTTAGCTACAGTGGTGCTCGGTGCAGTGCCACTAGTTTGTGTTAGTGCATTGGTGGTTAAAGGCTGAACTTTCACTATTCTCACACAGTTTATATAGACTCTCACCGTTCCAGTGGATATTGTAAATCCTGTGACTGGTGACGAAGAACTTGCAATCGGTGCAGGATCGATCATTTCAAAGTTAAGAACGATTTGTGAAGTCTTTGTGCCGGTGTAGGACAAAGACAAATACCGGCCGATTCCCGAAATGTGTACGGAACTCATTGAAGTCTTCGTGTAACTGAAATGCAAAACGATGATTACTCATGAAACGTATAGACCGCTCACTTCTCATTCAAAGTAGTCAATCCATCAACACTTCCCACTTTCACACTCAACTCGTCGCCATCATTCACAAGATCAATTGAGTCAAGTTCAATTGAAAAGTTGTAGACTTGAACGGCATCCGAAAACTTGAAATCGAATGTTTGATCTGCGTCCGGATTCCAGAGTTTCGGCGAAAACACGGAACGTTTATGATCGAGTGTAGTCGCAAGCCATTGGGATTGGAGATTCGAGTTTAGGACGTAAGCGATGCTCGCTCTGTAGGAGTGGAAGGTGGCCATTGGAGCGGGGATTAGCTGGGGCAGGCTCATATTTGTGAAGTAAGAGAACCTGGAATCGTAGATTAGGTGTTTGAAACTGATAAGAAGCCAACATAGCCAGTTATCATAGTACCACGAACTAAGCCTACAGAAAGCCAAAGAATCTCACGTGTAGTTGAGCACTGGTTGCATGTCTTGAGTCGGAGACATTCCTCGAATCTCCACATAACCGGACGCATCCTTCTGAAGGTCTGCCTATTTCCAAAAACGTTTAACGGAACTTACGCCACTAGAAAAATCGAGGACATCAATGTAAAAGTTGGAACAAGTGTCACATATGAACGTGTAATACGCGTCTGTATTTTGATTTTCCTCGTTGTACATGTATCCACTCGTGTTCTTGACAGAATCGACAACAATCACATGATACTCGTCGTAGCCTTTCACTTCTGTAACAAAAACAATATTATCCGCTCAAAGTTGTTCCCTTTTTTACTGGAAAAGTCGTTTCCAATGATAAAAGTGTCGGATGGTGTCATGTAGAGGTTCAAAAACGTCAGAGTGTGCCAGTTGACGAAAAATCGATAAGTCGTGTTAGTTCCGATATCCTTCCAATGTACTCGGAGTTCAGAATGTCGGCTCCATCGAACACCATCACTTCATATACAGTATGATCGTAGAAACCAGTGTCACGGCTGGCGGTTTTGAAAGAAACCTGGAAAATAATCACTAATCATACAATTTCAGAGGGACTCAGTCAAATTTATATAAGACAAGACACTTACTTGATCACCATCAGCTGCTCGAATAGTATAGAAATGATTTGGTGCCAGAGTAGAGTTGAAGTAGGTTCCAGTTGGTTTGACGATTTGTAGATAGTTTCTCACTGAAGTTTAGATACTGTAACGTCAAAAAACAAACTCACAGTCGACATAATCGTACTTGGCGAAAAAGGTCATATTTCCGGTAATGGAAACAAGTGTCACATTGAGCTCGCTTCCAACAAACCACTCAACATCTTCATAGGATCCAGAGATAATACTGAAAAATGAACGTTTGCTTTAAAGATTGCCTCTCAACCCACTAAAAGTAATCAAATCTGACAAAATCGCCTGGGGACACATCGTAGACTGTGGATGTCTCCATTTTGATAGCATATCCTTTTGGGACTTCAAACTGAACGTGAAATTATCGCTTTTGTTTGCAACTAGCGCTTCCTTACCGTAAATGTGCAATTGTTGTTGGCAGGGACATGCACCATTGAAGTGGCGCCAGATGGTATCGCTCCCGTGGCACCATCACTTATAGTAATCGGATTTTGAGGGCAATCTATTGTTATTATTATTTGGAAAACTATCAGTAAAAAAGAGGACAATAAAGATGAAACTTACTAAAGTTTTCGGCCGACACTACGGTAACTACCGCGAAAAGTTCGAAGGCTAGTAGTAGAACAAAACCCATTTTTTGTGGATGACGAATCTAGGATGATGATTGAACAAAACCACCCAGCGATAAGGAATGAAGCCCTTTTATAGTGGCCTCGCCCATTTTGATGCTGCTCTCGTCGCAAGGCGTTTCTTGTGTTGACTCTAGAGTTCTTATCAAACCAAAATGACAAGGAAGACGGAGTTCGGATGGAATTCGGAGAGGGTTGAGTGTCTGCGCTTAAAATTCAGGTCGCGATTGGCTCAAGCACTATTATGTATGTCCCCGAAAAAGAAGAAAGCAGCGGTGGAAGCGAATTGCAATCTCCTACGCATTCCTGAAAAACCGTCTTCCTTCGGCTTGTGTGCGGCGGCGTCGTCGCGCGGCAAAAACTTGATGCGCGGTGACCGCTTATCACCGGTCCGTTATCAAGTTTTCTGAAAGACATCCACTTCAATTCGATTGTTCTCGTTTCGTGGTGTACATCTGATGAAAAAAGAGAGAGGCGAAATCTGACGGCAAATCAGATGTTCTCATAACGACGGAACGGATTCGAGGCGGCTTGCCAATTAGGGGGGGTTGAATAACGAGGTGGGAAAGATTCGTGAGTCGCCACTGTATCCGCGCGTGAATCCAGTTTAGATAACATTTCAGAAGATACACATCTTCTTGCCGGAACACTTTCTTTCTTAGTGGGTCACCTTTTCATAGGGAACACACATGCCGATTAGAACACATTTTCAAATAAATAATAATTTATTTGGTCGATCGTTTGCGGCGGACCAAAAAGGTGCCAACGTAGACAACAACGAGATGATGATGAGGTTTGGACTGTGAGAAGAATCGAAAAAGCGAAAGAGAGAGAGAGAGAGAGAGAGGGGTTAAGATGAGGATCCGGGTGCGACGCAGAAAAGGTTGAACATCGTCTACCGGGATCCGCAGACGACGCTCGTTTATCGTCGGGTTCCGTCCTCGAAGAAGACTCCTCCGTCGAGAGCGCAGTATCTGAAAACACGCAAGTTAACATCGGGAAGTCTCGCGTTTCAACTCACTTTGGACAAATTCCTTTCTCTCCTGGGGTTCCGGCTGGTCCTGGTGGTCCTGGTGGTCCAGACTGTCCATCGACTCCTGGTGGTCCGTCTGGTCCTGGGGCTCCCTTTGGTCCTGGTGGTCCTGGTGGTCCGTCGTTTCCTGGAGCTCCTGGTGGTCCTGGTGGTCCTGGCGGTCCGGCGTCTCCTGGCTCTCCTGGTGCTCCTGGGGTAAGTGGCTCCGAGATGGCTGGAGTTCCTGGTTCTCCGGCTGGTCCTGGTGCTCCGGCCTCTCCTGGTGGTCCTGGTGGTCCACGTGGTCCTGGAGATCCTGGGGCGGCGTCAGTTCCTGGACGACCAGGGGTTCCGGCCTCTCCTGGGTCTCCTGGGGCTCCTGGTGGTCCTGGTGGTCCGGGTGGTCCCTGTGGGCACGGCTTGCATGGTGGTGGCGTGGTTGGCTCGCATGGCGCGACTGGCGGCTTTCCTGGGGTTCCTGGAGTTCCTGGCGCTCCTGGTCGTCCTGGCTTTCCTGGCTTTCCTGGGGCTCCGGCCGGTCCTGGCGGTCCAGGAAGGCAGCATCCCTCGCATTGAAGATTTGGAGCTGGGTTGACTTCTGGGCCTCCGTAGGCTTGACGAGCGGTGCGGTTGCGTGGTGGAACTGGTCCGGCGTTGGCCTTCATGTAGTTGACCTCGGCGAAGATGTCCTTAGCGGATCCCTAAGAAAATCGGGTGTTCAAAAACGGTGAAACAAGAGGAAAAATGGTCACCTTGCAGAAGTTGATCTCGTGATGCATCTGCTGTCTAACGTGCGACACATACGAGTAGACCATCGGAAGGGTCAGAAGGACCGAGGCGACGGCGGCGATCGAGAAGCCGACAGCGGCATAGGCCACAAATTTGTAGGCTTTAAGCCTACCGTCAGATTCCATTTTGTGTGTTGCAAAAGGGAAGGCTGATGCGAGTCTCTTATCCGACACGCCGCCCTTTTATATGGCGATGCGGCGGAGACGATCCGCGGGGATACGACGCTCCGCCCCGTGTCCGCGCGGGCCCGCGATATCGACGGGTCGCCGCCGCGCGGAAGACGTGACGAGAGACGCGGAAAGGCGGAGGCGCAGACGGATAGCGGAGGAGATATGGGTCAGGATGGAAGAGAAAGAGATTTGAATGATTTTTGAGGTTCGAGATGCAGTGATCAAGATGCCACGATTTCTTCGGAAGGGAGAGCGGAAGGTACTCGTTTTATAGCTATGGAATTACACTTATCCAACTTCCAACTCTAGCTTTTCCCGCTTTTTCAGTGTCGTCAACCAGGATTCTGTTACAAAACTTTCAAGCCGCTTTCTCCACTGCTACACCTTTTCCCACCTTCTTTCTTCTTCCCCATCGGCAAATCCTGAAACATCGCAACCGCACACGGAAAAAGACGATAAGGATCGTTCCTCCAATTCCTGAAATGCAATAGGGCATCCCCCCCCAAAACATCACATGACCATTCCACCCCCGCTCACGCATTATATTATTGTTCTAGAGGCGTTCGCCGCCCCTTCGGAGGGGTACTCTCGAAAAAAGGTCACTGATTATCTTGTTTATACAATCATTGTGACTATATTTCTAGGATGACCAGGGATGTGCGTAGAAACACGGGGGGAGTGGATTAGACTTCCTCATGAAGACGACAACTTTGAACCGCCGAAGGTTGCTGAACAGTTGAGCAGTTGAGCAGTTGTGTCTGGCTTTCCAACCTCATACAATAGTTCAGCGAAAGTTTGCCGTGAAGCCCTGAAGCCGTGACGTAGCGCGAAACGACCTTGATAACACCCATATTCTGTGTGTTAAGATTCATAAAAATCTAAAATCATCGCTTCACTTTTGATTCCATTCAATTCACGCATAATAATCAATCCAGTCGCGGTCCAGCGTAAAAGGTGTGGCCCTCTTGATTCTCTCATCTTACGCTAATTCTTCGGAAGCCATGGAGAGGAAATGGTCACAGATTATCACCATCACCAGGGGGACCCCCCCCCCTTTTTCCCTCTCTTTTTCACCTTCTCGACGATGGTAGCCAGAGGCGGTATACTTATTTTATTTGGTACTAAAATAGAACAAGATTGTTGCAAAGAAGTGTGTCAGCACTTGGACAGAACACCTTTGGATTCCGACGAAAAATGAAGGGAAGGAGAAGAGAGACATTATCGAGTTTTCCGTTTCTTTTGCCATCCATCCACCATTCCCCATTCCATCCTCAAATCTCTTATCACCAACTTATGGGAAGGGACTGGATTTTTTTCGGAATTCCTCTTCTTCTCCTTTTTTTTTCGCTTTGCCAAATCTTCCGTTTTTCGTGTTTTATAGTTCGGCCTGCCTTTTCGCAACTAGTGCACGTTTTGCAACCATTACTCTTTGTTCAAAGACGTGGACATTCCACAAAACGATTGGTTGCGAAACGTCTCTATAGTCGATTTTTGAACAACTTTCCTTCTCGTTGCAAAGTCAAAACAATAACAACAACAACAATCAACCCGTTTATCTGCAAAACAAAGAGACATATCACTCAATCATATTATATTTGTTCCATTCCCAAAAAGAGTTATATCGATTCGTTGCGTTCCTTCAAATTCAGTCAGCATGAGACAAGGGCAACTCTGAATTGATCTCGAACATCGCCTTGAACATTATCGACTTGTTCATGTTCAAAAAGTACAAGTCGCGATTGACGTCCAGGACAAACTTGACAAGGTTCTTGCGTTGGAGGGCGACACACACCAAAAGCATGGCAACGCCGACGCCAAGGAAAAGGCATCCGGTGATGACGAACGGAGGTTCTTGTTGCTGAAAATGACGGGTACAATATCCGCTTCATTTATCATCCACGCCAAAAAAATCGAATTAGGAAGATGAAGAATGCAGCTGACCAATTTGCGTATAGCTTTTTTTGAGGTTCTCAACGAATGTTTACAAATTGTCTAAAAGATCAGTTGTTCCTGCTTCATCGCTTCAGGCCCGCGCCTTCAAAGACAATGATGACAGGAGAGATGTACAATAGATACGGAGAAGATGTCGAGAATGAACTTTTTTCGTCTTGGGTCTCTCAGTCTCGTACCGCCGAATGCCTTATGGAATCAAAGAGAAGGGGAAAGGGAAAGCGAGAAGTGTATTGTCACTTTCTTTTAGAGAATCCACACCGAAACATGCATGCGACGATGAGACGGATAACGGATGGGGGTCTTAGACAGGAATCGGGCTGTGTTTAAGGTTATTCCAGAACGTTGTTCAGAAATTTTCTACGGTTTGATTCGACTCTCAACCCAAAACCAGCTGATTTCTTCACTGGCGACTTGGCGGAAGAACCGAATTAAATTGAAAACGATAGACAATGCGTTGCTGTCACTCACCACGATCAAAACGATGATGCCGCTGAGAATGAGGGTGGTGCCGACGACGAAAAGACCGGAGAGCGCGAGGACAGTCGCCGCCGACGAGGGCCCTTTCTTGCGGTTCTCTTGTTCGTGCTGAAAATGTGTATAATAATGGCATGACAGTTGGTCAGCGGCGACAAACCTTATCAAATACCGGAGTAGCCATTCTTCTCAACGGATCCTCCTGCGAATACTGCTTCTTTGGCACTTTGATCTTTTGACTGAGAGCCGGCGAATGATCCTGAAATTGAAAACGTTAAAATTGAGATGACGACAACCCGACCTTTCCATGAACTTCATCCACATAGCTAACATGCAGATGATTCGGTCGTTCAGGCGGCGAACCGGATAGATGGCTCATTTTTAGAGAATATTCAGGACGCAGAGTGTACGCAGATGAATCACACGGTTAAGTCAAACTAATGTTACTCTTCTCGGTCGCGGCACATCAATCAATACTTTATCAATCGGGAATGCATCATACACAAGAAGAGAGTCATTTCGTGTTTGCCCTCACGCATTTACCACCTCACCCCCCTCTTCCTCTCCTCCGACAAAGTTTTAGACATGTTTATGTGCCATGTTCGGTTTTCGCTCATTTGAATAATTTGCATTTCCAACCATTTCCGCAATACTGTAGTCTGTGAACCATGTGACTTTCCCAATTGCATTAAATTCCTATTTCTCTGGCTAAAACTCTGTGAGCTACATCACGTCACCGCAAATGAATTATAAACCACTAGTTTCTATTCTCAATTTTAATTTGTCCAAACCCCTCTCTTCCCGTCGTTTTTTGCAAGGTCTAGCCGCACTCGCCTACCAAGCATCTGCCCCTATGTTGTCACTTTTTTGTTCTATTTTCGACGACAAACAAAACGTTTTGCTAATATAATCGATTTTGAGCAGCACAAATTGGTCAGATCGCAACTGATACTGATTGCGAAACATAGTTTGACTTGCGTTACCACGTACTTACCAGAGTTGAGCGGAAGAACTCAACGGAAGAGCACGGAAGAATTTTTATCTTTTTTAGAAAATTTTTTCATCGAATGTGATCAACTGACGAAATGTATAGCAAAGTGAATTCTGCTCATAAAAAAATAATTGTAAATTTAGCTTCTCATACAAAAAAGTTATTCGAGTTGTTCCGTGAAAAAGGGCTAACGGAACACGGAAGGACAACAACTCGAATAACTTCTTTGTATGAAAAGCAATATTTACAATTATTTTTTTTTGAGCAGAGTTCACTTTTTTATACATTTCGTCAGTTGATCACATTCCATGAAAAAATATTCTAAAAAAGATAAAAATTCTTCCGTGTTCTTCCGCTCAACTCTGGTACTTACTACTAGAATGTCTCTTTCGTTCCCTTCTTTCTTCCGCACATTGTGAAGCTGTGGTATGCGAAAGGAATAAAGGTTTTTAGAGTCTGCATCTTAGTAACATTTGCGAGAACATCGGGCCAGTTGGCATACTCAAAAAAGAGCGCAGCTTGTGTGACGCACACCGAAAACTACTCATCTCCTGAGACACACTTCTAAATGTCACCTAAAAACGTGATTCTCGGAGGTCCTCTGGGCACCTTTTTTTTAGGTTATGACCAGAGTTGAGCGGAAGAGCTCAACGGAAGAACACGGAAGAATTTTTATATTTTTTAGAAAATTTTTTCACGGAATGTGATCAACTGACGAAATGTATAGCAAAGTGAACTCTGCTCATAGAAAAATAATTGCAAATTTAACTTTTCATACAAAAAAGTTATTCGAGTTGTTCCGTGAAAATGTCTTTCCGTCTTCCGTTAGCACTTTTCTTCCGCTCAACTCTGGTTATGACACAGTACCGAGTTGGAAAGTTAATTAAAAAACTGCTTTTATTTTTTCCTATTTCGATTCGTTTGTTCTTCTTCTCTGGATACTAATTCACAATTCAATTTTTCGTTAACGTCTTCTGACTCACGTCACAAAACGAAATGAGTGGGAGATGTGCTTTTTGATTTCAGTCAGCACTTGCGTAACTAACTGATAGGATGATGATAATGATGATGATGAACAATTGTACGGGGCAGACCCTACGGTATAATGCGGCTGACGTAAATGCGCATTGTGACAACTGACTAGATGCGGATGATCGGCTACTCACTCACTCACCTCACTCTTTTTGAATCAGTGAGAATATGGAAGAAACGGGGCAGCGCCTTGTCGCGGCGTTTTCCACAAAAAACGATGGCTTTCTTGTGCTTCTCGTTCTCTCTTTTCCCCTATATTTTGTATGTGTCATCGAATGTTTTTGGAGTTGAGAGACAACAAAAACTAGAGTGAACGAACAAATCAAGAGTATTCCTCCGTCTTCTGTAACTCATTTTCACTTTCTTTTCTTGGATACTAGAAACTTGTGACCCGACCAGCGTAATGACTGATTGAAAAAGGATTCAGATTGCATTTAGGGAATACCTAGACCCCTCTACCCATCCCTTTCACACGCTGCTCTCCCTCACCATTTGATAGGGAGATGTCGGCCGAGAAGGCGTCAATGTAGTGGTGTCCAAGTGGAGCGGGCGGCTCACAGGCACCATCAGAAAGTTGTTCGCCGGAGAAGACGAGCTTTCGTTTTGATTGTTCGCCATCGCTGATTTTCGTTCTGAAACAATATGTCTTTTAGCTTTGTACGCTTGTTACGGTGAAGCAAAAGAATGTCCTCTTCATCGGAATCTAGAGGCAAGGACGTCGAGGCTGGAAATGAAGGCGGAGCTCCAGCGGCCGGAAACTCAACCTACGGATCGAAACGCATGCAAATGGCACAGGCGCAAGTCAGCGAAGTCATCGACGTTATGCATGTAAGTCTATAGATTTGCTTGGCTCTTAACAGACGAATCCGAAGCGACTGCATGAGGAAAAGTTTGCCATTTCCGCAAACTAGCAAGCATTAGTTGTCGTGACGGTAAGAGAAAAAGGGTAGGATGCTAAGAAGTTCAAGTTGCGCGGAAAAAAGTGAACACAACTATTGTAGCGTTCGATTTCAGAACAACGTCAACAAGGTGATGGAGCGCGAGTCTCAGCTCAACTCTTTGGACCATCGTGCGGAGGTTCTCCAGCACGGAGCGTCCCTGTTCCAGCAATCGTCACGCACTCTGCGCCAAAAGTATTGGTGGCAGAACGCGCGGGTAAGACGGATCGTCAGCGAATTAGTCTCGATCCAACTTGTTTCAGATGATGATGATCATCGGACTCATCTGCTTCCTCATCATCGGAATCTTCCTCATCTGGCTCTTCAACTAAATTCGAGACTCATCGAACAAATGATCGAACGAAAACGTAACCCGGCCCGCATAAATTCTATTATTCCCCCTCCCAACTAACAACTTCTTAGGCACGGTAACTGGTGCATAGATCTGTATTATCCCGATGTTTAAAACGAACGAATAAAGAGTAATAATAAAGTTGTAGCCGGCATGTCATATGACAAAATGGAGGCCCTCCCCGGCTGCCAACGAAATGAAAATCAATTGAACAAACAGTGAAAATATTCGAGGACTCTCTCCCTCTCTCTCTCTCTCTTTCTCGCTATTAGTTCAGTTTACTTTTCAGTTACATCCGACATCATTTTGTGCCAGGTGTCAGCATACAAAACGCGACAGAAAGAGATAGAGTTGAGTCATTTCTCGGTGGATGCATTGTTCGAAAATGAAAAAATGAATACGAAGAAATTCGCTTCTATTGTTGTGATATGACCTTTGTTAACAGATGCAAACGAGTTTCGCGAGTTTCGCTGTTTGTCAGCCGAGGAAATGTTGCACAAAAACCATTTATTTACATCAAAAACTATACATAAAATTTAGAGGAAGAGAAAAACGAAAACGAGTCTGAAGTTAACTGTGCGCTTCTCGCGTGAAATGCCATTTTTGTGTGGCTCGGACGTTGATAGAGAGTTTCAGATGTCAAATGAAGTTCTCGGCGATCGACTCGACGGTGAGCTCGTCCTGCAGCAGTTGGTGCACACGAATCTCCGCCGTCGGAATGTACTTTTGGATGAGGGTGAAGTTGGTCGGCGAGACTGCTTTGCGGAGAACTTTGAGCAGCGGCTCCGTCTCTCCGGTCAGTGCGATCGCATTCGCCAGGTGCATGGCTCCACGCTCCACGGTCTCCGCTGAAATTCGAATTATAAACTTGTGTACTAGCTACAGTTCTGCTTCTATACACATGTCCAGTGATATAATTTGTCTAAAGCAACGAACCGTCACTCATGTACTCTTCGCCGAGGTCCATCTGCTCGAGAAAGAGCCGCTCGCAGACGACACGAACGTTTTCGTCCGAGAACTTGAAGATATCCGATTTGCCGTCCAGCTCTTTTCCGCCATCGGCTCGCGCAGTCGGATCCGACGGGGTTTCGCTGGTGATGGAGCCGGATGAAGATGCGGTGGCGGTGGCAGTGGAAGGCGGAGTCGCCTCGACGGCCTTCTTCTTCTCGTTATTGCGATTGCTCCAGTAGAAGTAGAAGGCGACGGCAACGGCAGAAGCTCCGACGATGGCGGCAGTCACCAGATACGGGCAACGGAACGGGCGCTTCATTGCGTTAATGACTGTTTTTCTGACTTCAAACCCACGTATCGCTCTCTTTTTTTGTTCTATTTCCCTATTAACCCAGAAAACTTCACGTTTTTACTGATATAAACTGAATTTGAATTTTGAGCGTGAATGGCACGAAACGCGTGCCAACAAATTGCTGACGCACTTTGCGAGGCTGCTGGCGCACTTACAATTTTGCGCAAAAAATTCTGATTTGCACCTGAATTTTGAAGTTTTATGCGGATTTTAAAGTAATTTTTTAATCCGAGAATTATCGAACATTTGCTATTTTACAGTTTGCAGCAAAGAAATAATTATTGCTGTTAGAAATTTCGATATTTCTGATGCAAAATATATTCATTAAGCCCAAGTTATATTGTTTTCATCTAATTCGCTCATCAATTAAGCTACTCTCTTTACAAAAAATTATATTTGCAGAATGTCGGATACAATTTTCGGGTTCAATAAATCTAACGTCGTCCTGGCCGCAGGAATCGCCGGAGCCGCTTTCCTCGGCTACTGCATCTACTTCGATCACAAGCGGATCAATGCACCAGACTACAAAGAGAAAATTCGTCAAAGTACTTTTTCAATTAAAAAAAATCGTAACTGGATAATATTGCAGAGAGACGCGCTCAAGCCGGCCAAGGACTGTCCACTCGCCGTCCAGCCGCCGCTGGAAACGGCGATGGAGAAGCTCCGGACATCACTGATCCAACCCAAATGCAGAGGTTCTTCCTGCAGGAAGTGCAGCTCGGAGAGGAGCTAATGGCCGCCGGAAACATCGATGAGGGGGCCGTCCACATCGCCAACGCCGTCATGCTCTGTGGAGAGTCGCAGCAGTTGCTGTCCATTTTCCAGCAGACGCTCTCTGAAGAACAGTTCGGCGCCGTCGTTCAACAGTTGCCAGCGACTCGTGAAGTACGTAACACAGAGAGTTTAACAGCTTGATAGTATCTTTACGACTTTTGAACAGTTTGCATATTTGCACTTTGCTTACTTTCAAAAAACAATTCCTAAAACATTGGTATGCCTCCGAAGAACACCTTTTGCAGAGAGAAATAAAGATAAGGTGTTCTTGGGTGGATAATACTTTAGAATCCGTCTCAAATCAACCTAAGATGTCGTCTTTTCAGCGTTTGTCAGTAATGTTCGGCCAGAAAGCGGATGAGGCAGAGAACGAGCCGCCACTCGTGCAATACCTCGGAGACGGACCACCGCCAGCTCAGATTCAGGAACTTATCGATGACACCGACGACTTGGAGTAACTATTCTAACTGTTCTCACACTATTTGTTCTCTTCTTTCCCCCGTTTTTTTAGTTTAGGCATCTCCACGGATCCTCAATTGTTTTCTGTTGTTCCCCGTTCCACTTTACATCCCCACCAAAAATATCTCATAAAGTAAAAGTCGTAGCCATTGTTTAGCTTGCATTTCGGAATTTTTCCAAAGTCTATTTTTATTCCCTCGTTTCATCATCGCTGTTCTGCTCCGACGAGCACTTCTAATGAGCTCCTTCTTCCTCCTCCTCTTTCCTCTTTTCGTGCCCGTCTTTTCGTCTCTTATTTCGTTTTGAGGTCGTCTGGGTTTTGCCAGGTGTGGAGAACATCAAGACACCCTGTCATTTACCTCCGGGCCCTCTCTTTTCCTTTTTTTGTGCTCATTTCTGAACGAGATGCTCTTGTTCTCACGCGATGCTCTCCAGAGAATTTGACTCCCTTCCACTTCCAACTTAATTCTTTCCTTGTTTTTATGCCCCTTCTCCATAGTAACAAAAGAGCTCGCGAAAGAGCTCAAATGGACTATAAGCGGCCGAAATGTTCGTCTCAAATGTCCCTCTTCACCGCGGAGGAGCAAGACGAGTGGGTTGTCATGGAACATTTGACGGGCTCGTTGATGAGTGAAGAAAGAAGTTCCTCTCAGTCCAGTCTTATTTTTGCCAGAGATTTTTAGCGCTGTGCTTCGTTTCTTGTGCTACGATAGATTATCCGTACTAAGCGACATTTTTGCTAGAGCCTGCTTCTTAGAAATCAGAAAAAAGCTTTTGATCTTTTGTGTTCGAAAATGAAGCTGTTAAAATGGTTACAAACAACCGTTTTATGAATCATAAAAACTGGTAATGACAGTCTCATTTAAACATGTTAAAAGATGCATTCCGTACGAGCGTATCCGGAAAATAAATGTTTTGAAAACTACTTTAAAAGAGAACGTGTGAATGACTAGTTTGCCAGCCCTGAACTTATTTGGATCATTGGGCAAAAGCACTTTGCCGTCTGGCTCCTCTGACGATTTGTGATTTCTGAGTGTGTGAGCCGCCAATCATCATCATCTGTTGTGCACGGAACGAGAACGAGCGGCGATCGCTAATAACCGCTCGGTCGAGGCGAAGAAAGAAAAATTTAAAAAATTTCAACATTTTCATCATCACCGACGAGGAGAGGAGGCTCTTCGCCGTCGCCTCAGCTCGAATTTCCGTCCAGATCCACATGTTGAAAGAAATAGAAAGAAATAGAGAGAGATGGAGAGAGAGAGAGAGAGATATGAGCGCAATGATGAAGAAGGAAGGCGTTGCACTTTGGCGCATGAGGTGGCGAGAATAGAGTAGTCTACCCCGTTGCACATTTCAATTTCAACAACTTTTTAATTGGGAGTGGATCCGTCCCAGAAATGGGCTTCCAGACTCGTCCAACTATGTTTCATCGTGAATTAATAAGTAATGCTTGCACTGGCCCCAGGTTCTCGAAAACTGCGTGTATAATATACCTTTTAATAATTGTTTCCTCATGTCACATTTGTTCCGGCTTCCCCTCTGATTTTCGTGATGTTACATGTACTAAGAGTGTATCCGAAGTGAGACTCTAACCCGACAGTACCAACTTCTCATCGAGCAGCTCGTTTGACTTGTGTGTGCATACCATAAACCGAGAGTCAAGAATGAATTTAGTTATCTACTGCTACTGTACTTTCCCCAAAAAACTAGAAACATTTTGCTCAGCTCAAACTCTAACCTCTAACCTCGCACTTTCTCCACACCCCCTTCGCCACATAATTCGCAAAATTTGGACCAATTTTTCTGGCTCTCCATGGAGGTGGTGGAGCACACAACCACCGCAAATAATAGGGCATGGGCCTTTAGAAAAAGAAATAGCCCCCGGGAAAGGTGCTCACCTTGGCCATAAGGAGGCGACGCCGGGTCGAGAAGACGTAATTGTGGTGAAATGACAGACAAAGCTCCCCTCTCTCTCTCTCTCTCTCTCTCTCTCACTTTTTCTCTCTCACGTAGCCAGAGAGGAAGACTTTTTCTTCTTCATACTACCGGATACCTTTTCCCGTTCTTCTTCCTTTATGTATTGTCGTTTTTCGGATTCATAGACGATGTACTCGTACACAAAATCCATGTTGGTGTTTGGCTTTTGTGAGCAACAATAATCTAATTTGCCATAGGTGAGCAGGTTCAGCATTCTGACGTTGTGCTCATATCATTCATTCACGGAGATCTAGGCTAGCTTACCCACTTGGCGTTCGAGAATTCTCAGAGAAAACACATCCGTTCTCTCACTGATTCAGCGCAAACATTTCAATTAATAATTCGGCGTCCAATTAGCATCGTTTCGGTAAATATTTACCTACTTATTTCGATACCGGGCTCTTCTGGTTGTCAATACCCAAAAATGCTCATATAGTGACTTGTTTTCGGAGGTGAGCGGAGCAAAATGAGCAATTACTTCCAGAGAAATCCTCTCGAAACCTGCAAAAACTACTGGGGGTGGCGCCCCCCTCCCCATCTCAATGACAAATGGTGGTCCTCCTCGAGACCTCCCACCAGAGACCCCTCTTCCTCAGGTAGATGTACATACGTAGTAGTAGTGGCAGTGTTCTTGACAAGTGCCCGGCCTTCTCCTGCTCCCACTCTTCTCTCCCGATATATTCTCAAAGTTTCTCGTCTCAGTTTTGCTCTTCGCTTCGGTCTCGCTTCCTCTCATTTCAAATAATACAATTAAAGTTACGGGGTCTGGAGACAATTAGGCATGAGAGAGAGAGAGAGAGAAAATGACATGTGCATATGCCACGGACATGTCTAATAATAATCATAAGCACTTGTAAGAGAGAGAGTGAGAGGAAATAGGAGGATGAACTAGAATAAGTTCCTATTTTCAAGTGTCCTCACACGTATCCTGCCCTCTTTCTTCTGTTTTAGCATCATTATATTCACGAGCTTTTCTGGCCCATCGGACTCTGTTCTGGATCATTCCGACTCGCTCTTATACTCTCCTCCTTTACTCTCAGCATTGATAGCTTCTCAATGTGGATTTCAGCTCGAAAATCGTCTTCAAACTGGATGAAACTTCGGATGGATAGCGGCTGAGAAGTGTATGTTTTGTGTTGAACACGTTGCAAATGTAAAGAAATGGCTCGATAAACTAGAGTCTCTCTAAAAAGAGCATGCGGAACATCCGTGACAACTTTCGGTTCCAGCATCTACGTCATATCACCTACTTTCAGCCAGTAACCTCTCATTGTAATCATGAAACAGTTTGTGGCAGTACCGTCGACGAGCAGGAGTGGAACGATAAAACAACCGCTGATCGGCACGTTCATCGCACCTCCTCCGATACCACCGTAAGATTTTCATACTGCTCAATCATCCATAAAACCTGGTTTGACTGTAAAACAACAAAAATTGATTAAATAGGTAGTAGGAGTAGCGCCCACTCCGTGTTCCTCGTATTCTCCCCCTGTCACACTAAAAAATTCATCACAACGGACCGGACGGGGCGTAGTAATAGGCAATAGGCTAGAAGTGGCATCGTGGCGGTGGTCGGAGCGACGACGGACGCGGCGAATAAATAATAACATAAAAGAGGAAGATGTAATAGAGCACCCGTGAGCATTTTTTGGACACATTCGTCCATCGTCTTTTACCACACAAGGAGGGAGGGGGGAGAAAACGGCGTGATGAGCTACTATATGAGCCGCTATTTGACTCACCTGCTCATGCCCAATCTACTCGCGCACCGATATCAGTAAGTTTGAGAAATAGTTTAGTCAGTACACGGCCAGAGTTCACTCTATTTCCGCCTATTACGCATATTTTCAGATCACTGCCGCAAAGCTACCGCGAATCGGACTTTTCGAATCGCATATCGATGCACACGGCTCGGTCGACTCGCCTTGAAGAGTGAGTTTTGTGTCCTCTCCCCCTTTTTCCGGCTTATTCAATAATCAGTTTACTCCTTCTCCGTCGTCCGTTTCGAACAACTCCAACCACACATTTTTGCTAGGACGGACATCTTTTTTCTGGGAGACTCTCCGAGTTTTGACAATTTAGTCCGGACGCCACACATATGTGCATTCAAATCGTCTTGATGTTCTTTTCTTATACTGTTTCCTGCGCTTCGACTTTGCTTTTATCCTTAGGAGGAAGCAAGGCCCACCCAAAAAAAAGCAGAAGCGGGTAGTGTGATGAACGAAACGACGAAACAGGCGGTATAGTTATGAATAAACTATTGACGGCGACGACGACGCACTTTGCGCCCTGGCCAACGCCATCACAATGAAAGCAGTCGAGCCTGCTTCTGCTGCTGCTGCTCCACCACTTTTCTCCCGTTTCGCTTTATCGTTTTCTTCATTAGATTAGTGTGGATAGCCACACAATCTCAAACTTGCCGCCGCACTTTGAAGAGGCTTCTGTAGTGTCTGAATGGGTTATGAACGCAATCTCGATTGTCACCCGGCACAACTGTTATCAAGAGTATCGCAACAAAAACATTCTAATTAATTCTTCCTCTCTCTCTCTCTCGCTCTCTGTTTCTCTGTGCAAAGAGGATAGGAGCAAGTGATGAGGCACCTGACAAGAGGCCCGCGAACATTTCCCGCGACATCCATCTGTTTTATAGACACCCGCTACCTGCTGGACGCTTTTATCTCTTTCTCTCTCTCTCTGCTCGACAACACACGAGCTATGATTCTATGATCGAAATGTCCAGGTCCACAAGACTTGACGTCAGAAAGCAGAGAAGTTTTGAAGGAAACGGTCCTACAATTTCATTCTTAACTCCCTCATCCATCCTTCCATTTTTACGTCATCATTTCACTATGGCTCTTTTCCGCGCGCATCACCGCCTTCCGTCCACTCAATTATTCACATTTCGACTCACGCCTCTCGTGGAGACGAAAAGCGGCGCTGAAAAATGTGGAATCCTGAAAAAAGAGAGAGAGAGAGAGACAAGATATATATAGATGAGTTGAGAACGCTTTTCACTTTTTATTCACATCTCCTCGCTTGCTGAATGAATCAATTTCAAAGATTAAATGATGCTATTGGCTTTCATCATCATCATCATCATCATCATCATAATAGGGTCTGTCTGTTTCCATGACAAAATTGAAAAACTCAAATTTTCCTATCAACTGTCAGCTCTCACAATCAGGAGCCTTCGCGTTTCTTTTGAAGTCCACCGTGTAGGTTGCTCCCGGTCAGAATTAGTTCAGATCGCACGGCTTTCCCACAAGAAGTCTGTTGACTCCATCCGCCTCCCCCACCCACCCAGCCCACTGATATTGAAACCCGATCTAGAAAGAAGTCGAGACACTGTCTGCGCGTCACTCTCTTCCACACACTCTCATGTACCACCTTGTTTCCGTCGCAGCTCAGTCTTAGTTCGGCTCATCTTCTTATTCTGTTACAGAAACGTTTGCTTTACAAAAATTCTTTGTAGCCATGTTTTGCGTCTCTCTCTCTCTTAGTCGTCTTTATTGCATTTTGGTAGGTCCTTCTTCCGACCGCCGCTCAATTATGTTCGAAACTCGGCAGTCTGTCAGACTACAAGGATAGAGAAGTAGACGAGGATGTTCGCACGCGCCAAATTCGCCCATCACATCTATCGACGGTAAGTTGGACCCACTCCCACTGGTGCTAGTTCCCGGCAAATAGTCCCGACCGGGACCGAAACTTTTGTGCCAATTGAAGGCTCACAAGGAGACCGGTAATTGTGCTGTTTCTCAAAACAGGTACCATGTAAAGTCTAGAAAAAGCAAAGCAAATCCTGTGCGAGTTGTGTGAAGTAAAGATGTTTTTCGACTCGGGACTTTTTTCAAACATTTTAGCCTCCAGCAATGTGAAAGTGGATTACTATCCTCTTCCACGTCGCCCTCTTCTTTACTTACACTCAGTACCATTCTATTTGTCCAATGCTACCGAATTCCTCTCCAATTCTGTCCATCCTACCGAATGTGTCCGAAATACGCCGATCCGGTCATTTGATGCAAAGTAAAACGTCTAAAATGGAGCAAAAGATGGGTGAACGTATGAGAATCGCGCAAAGGTTTTCGAGAAGATGCACTAGAAGCCAAAATATGCTCAACAGTCCTTGGGAGCAGAAATATCGAAAGATGAGACTGTCCGTTAGTTATCTGGAGGCGTTGTTTCCTGCGTCCGTTGAGCAAATGGAAAACATGAAGAGGGATGAAGGGTGAGTCAATTAACGGTTTTATAGATGAGAGATTCGACTATTCCACCTATTATCTTGTTGAATGAAAATCAGGGAAATTGTCGACGAGTATTGTAGTCTTGATACCGTGACTGTGACTGCCATAGTGATGTTTGTCTGAAAGAAACGGACTCCCAGAACTCCCGTGTACTCCTCGTCTCCATATCCCCATCTCTTTTTGTCTATGTAAAGAGGGGGGGGGGGTACTCTTTGACTCGACTCTTACTCCAACCAAGTCTGTTGTCTCCCGAAATGTCGAAGGGCGCCGAAAAGTTGCGTATTTGTGGAAGAAGGATGTGTGAAGCGAAGAAGAGAAGGCCCTCTCTCTCTCTCTCTCTCTCTCTCTCTCTCTCTCACACACACACACACACGCTCATATTCATACCCAGATTCCTCCGGGGACGCCGTCGCACTCATGCCAAATGCTGCTGCTGGGGGTGATGCTGGTGGTGGTGGTGTCGGAGGAGAAGAAGAAGAAGAAGAAGAAGAAGAAGAAGGAGGAGAGAACGGAAAGTGGGCGGCGCCAGGTCAGCAAGAAAAGTCGTCTCAAGAAAAGAATAGAGTAGGAGGCTCCTTGGCTCCTTTGCTCCTTCTTTACACTGATTTTTGCTAGACATACTCATACATTTTCGACTTTTTCCTAACTTTTTACTGGAACCTAAGCAGAACGTTGCTCACTTTTTTCGGCTTACCCCATTCTTTGGTTTTAATACACTGTCCGAAGCAGATCTCTCAAAAAAGTCGGTGAACTTAGAAGGGAACATGATCTCGTAAAAGTCTCCTTTTCAACATTCCAACTTCAAGTATCCACCAAAAAAGTGAAGAAGAGTTCTAGTTCTAGTCCTATTGAGTGCTCTCCTCCGCTCCATATTCGCTGCTCTTCTCGCAGCAATCAGATTAGCGTGTGTTTCATATCCGCGCAAGAGAGTCAGTCAAACTCTTTTCTCGCCCTCTTCCTTCTCCGCCGCGCCTCTCGACGATATGAACCGCCTTAAGGCCATATCTGATTATATTTCCGTCTTCCACTCGACACTATGATCCTCCTGCACTTTTCTTTTGTGAAACGATTTTGGGGGATTGTGGCACATAAACGTATAATTTTGGTTGGTCGCCTCGGGTCGGGCCTTCGAATTAGCGAGATTGCACACGAGACGATGATGAGCTCTAACCGAATTCTAGGGCAATAGTCTCACAGCCGCAAGCACGCTAGCTTTCATAGTCTTTCAAGTTCAATTTTGTACGTGTGAACATCCTTCTCTCTCGATACTCTTCATTTGATTGTTCTCTCATAAAACACCGCCCATAAAACTATCCGCTATCGGTCTTAGATTTATCCTCCGTCTCACCTCCACCTTGCACCACCCTTCATCTTCTTCTCGACGACCGACATTCGAATGAGTCGGTTTACGTGCGGATGAGACGACGACAGCCCAGTGAGAACGACGAGAACACCGACGAAGACGACGACCATCATCCGAACCACCCGACATCTAGAGCTAGAAGACGAAGGAAGCGGGCAGAAGTCAGGAGTAGCAGTCGACGACGTCAGCGTCGCACGGCGGCCGTCGTCGGCGTCGTTGCCGCCAGCGCAGAGTCGTGTGCACCGAGCGTAGAAGAAGATGTTGAACCCAATGTACATGAAGCATCGGGCTTCGACTCCCAATCCTCAAATCTCATACCAACCGTCGGCCTCTTCTCTTCACCGCCATCACCGTCCCTCTTCGCCGGGCATCTCGCTCGGTCCTCCGTCCTCGCCGCCTTCGTTGTATAACCTTCAGCAGATCGCTTCGGCGCCGGGTCTTGATCAGCAGAATAATAATAACGATGTGGAGGAGCTCAGGTTAGTTGCACTCCTCAAAAAAAAAAAATGCGAAAATCATTAAACTTGCACCCAATAAGTTTCCACAAGAATGCGCTGACGCTCAACTTAAAAAGCTTCTTGTCTCTTCGCCGAGGCGCCGCTACACCTACTGAATAATTCGGCCCTAAAACTGCCTCCTCACACATTGCTTCTACTTCCCAACCATTATTCTTCTAAATCCTCACCACCTAACAAGGTTCCGCTCCTCACACTGAAAATGCACGTCCAAGGTCGACTGTCCGCCTCATTCTTTGACGCGCCTTCGGCTTCCAGGTTCCGGCTCAGCGAGCACTAGTGAGTTGTCGGATGACGTGTTTCGGTAGCAACTGACATTACGTTGGTCCCGAGACAGGGAGTTTATGACGGTCAAAATGCGTAGTTTTATTGCCGTGAGTGCAGAGGTGAAAATAGAATGGATAATCAGATAGATCGAAGGGAAGGGGGCACTAGAATCTAGGTAACTATGTTGTCCTTTTTCAACTTTTTAAAAAGGCAATTTGTAGAACCCGCTTCTATGAAAACAAACGCGTACGAGTCGCTCAGAGGGTGACCTAATCCTCGCAGTATGGTAATAATTCAAAAATTTGGTGTCGATCGTTTCTTCCGGACCTCCCTCTTCTCCACCCGTTTACTACTAATGGCCTTGTGTGCACGGCTTCTTCTTCTTTCTCTCTCTCTCTCTTTCTCTTCCTTGCTAGGCCGTCCCGCCGATACACATGTTCCGGCAAGAGAAAAAGTGTCTAGTGAGTGATGCGTCGAACTCGCACAATAATCCGTGCGCCCGACAACATTTTGTGGCGTTGGAAGAGAAAGAGAGAGAGAGAGAGAGCAAAAAGAACATCAAATAAGAGGTTTTAACATAAAGGGACGGATGATGATGTAGATATCAGAAACTATGGATCACACACTTTGATAGTGTCTTCATAGGTCATCCACAATTGCATCAAAGGCGGTAGTCGACATGTAGAAGTGAAACAAAAGTGAAATGTTTCAGTGCCGAACGACTCAACTTGTACCTGGACAAGCAAGAGGGAGAGATCGAGAATTTGGACGAGGAGGGCGATGAGCCGGTCGAGAAGAAGTGGTGGTTGAGGACGAAACGGGTAAGTTCAACTGAACAGTCTCCCCCAAAACTCGTTTCATTTCTCTTCTTTCTTTCGCTTCTTTTTTTGGCATCTCACCCAATAGTGGTGGTCTCGTTTGACCACACAAACTTATCCCCTCCGCGTTTCACACAAACTGAAGAGAATCTTCAGTTTTGCACCCCGAAAAAATAAAGGGTCAAGATGCGAGAGGGAGCCCCCCCCGGGGGACTATCTACTCTTGGTAAAACTTGATACCCCCCCTTCCCGATAGTTGGAAGACGCAAAATCAAGAAGTGAGGAGGAGGAGATGTAGAGAAGTGACGTCTCTTCGCTCCTGGAGAAATGCGTTGGACAATCAAGCAATAGAGGAGAGGGATTGAGAATTTGGTATTAAAAAGCGAGTTTATATGTAGTATAGGAATACTGAACATTAAGGAAATAAAGCAAACTGAAATTTGCAGTGGTTTCGATTGGCACTACCTCATTTCGGACTGGTTCTTCTGTCGATTGGGTACACACTCATCGGAGCGTTATGTTTTCATCACGTAAGTTCACGGCTACAGTGGTTTCTCCTCATTAGCCATGTTTTGCTTAAATAAACCTATACGGTTTCCCCCCCAACACCTATGATTCAGTACGAAAAACCCTACGAACAACAACTGCGTAATGAAACGTCGCGTCGGATCGGGGACCTCAAGAATCGAGTAATGGATCAGTTGTGGCGGATGAGCGGCAACGGCACCACTTATGCCACGTGGCGACAAACTGCTAACGATGGGTATGTACGCTTTTTTCGAAATGTTTTCCTGCATCCATCCACACCATCATGATTTCAGAATGGACGAGCTGATACGAGACGTTTTCTGGGACTACACACGGAATTACATGACTCCAGATGATGTGATTTATGGTGATGGGCCTGTGAAATGGTCATTCATGTCGAGTATCTTCTTCTCGTGGACCGCCATCACTACTATCGGTGAGCACTTGTTTCGTAACTTGAAGCCTTTTTGGAAGCAAATTCGCATGTTCATGATGATTCACCTTCAAGAGATAAGCAGCGAAACCATAAGGTTCTGGCGAGCGTTTCGCGTCTGTGAAAGAATCCAATTAATCTTTGCCTCGTTCCTCTCCGCTTCCTCGTTCTTCTCCTCCTTCTCCGTGACGTCTCGCGGGAACACTTTCCGTCGGAGCACTTATGCTATCTGACGCAATCATGTCTCGCAGAAGAAGCCGCCTTCGAGAAGCGAAAAGGGGATGAAGGAGAAGAGAAACACATTGACATGCGACAATATCGGGCGAATGATGAGACCATTTGAGATGGTGGAAAGATGCACTTGGATTGTTGTCCGATTTATTTAATGGCATTGAGATGGGATGGTGGTAGGCATTCTCATTCTAGGACGGTCAACTTGGGCAGGAAAGGAGAGCGGAGAGGGAGGCATTGTTATTGAGAAGGATTTCAGTTGAATACATATGTAGACGTTTCATACATTCTTCAGGATACGGTCACATTGTGCCACGGACCGATGAAGGACGCGTAGCCATCATCTTCTATGCCCTCCTCGGAATCCCGCTGATCCTTGTCACCATCGCAGACATCGGACGGTTTCTAGCCAGTAAGTTCTTCTTCTTCTTCTTGCCGACAAGCCTCCTCGCTTTCACGTTCACATGCTTTCAGCGTACATCATCAAGCTGCACCACGGCTACATGGCACTCATGTCGTTCATCACCAACTCGTGTTTGAAGTGCATTAAATGGGCGTGCTGCTGGATTCGTCTGCCGCGCCGACACATTCCGATGCCGACGTTGGAGTTGTTGCAGCGCACGCAAAAGTTGTATCCGAACAACAACAATCCGACGGTGGCGGCGACGGCGGCGAGTGCGGGCGGCGGAACCGGCGGCGGCGGCAGAAAGAAGAAGGTTCACAGGGATAACGTCAGCGACGCGGGCACTTTTGATGGTACGCTTTACCGCTTTCTCACTTTCTTTCCTACTCGTATGCTTTCGTTACACGTTTGTCAAGCGAGCATAACATTCAAATTGCAGATATCAGTGAGATCAACGACGGCAGTGAAGGCGGCGAGAACGAGAACGAAGACGGTGACGAGGCGCAGCAACAGTTCGAATCGCATTCGCCAGAGAAACGAGTCTCTGTCTTATTTATTCTTCTTATTATGCTCGGTTAGTGGGTTAGCTGATAGTGTGAGCTTATAACGTGTGTTTCAGGTTACGTGGCGGGTGGAGCCTATCTCGTTCGTTGGTGGGAAGAGTGGACATTTTTCGAGGCGTTCTACTTTTGTTTTGTTACGGTTACGACTATCGGTGAGCGAATGACATGCATTTCTGTGCTATGACACACAAATTTAAGGGTTTGGAGACATTGTGCCGGCGAATGTGGATTGGTTGCCGGCGACGTTGGCCTATATTGTGTTTGGACTGATCATCACCACTATGTGCATTGGTAATTGGTTTTTTTTTTCTCTGGTTGCAACGTGTTTAGTTGGAGATTGAACGTTTTCAGACCTGGTCGGTTCCGAGTACATCCGGGACATTCACTTCTACGGTCGAAGCCTCGGACGTCAGTTCATGACGATCGGTGGAAAAGTGGTTCACCTCGGCGAGGTGTTCGGCTACGTGGCGTTCCTCCAGAAAAACTACGGACTGACGGCCGAGCAGTTGACAAAACTGTCGCAACTGCCGGAGGAGTACCTCCTAGACTGCTTGATCAACGGAAGACAGCCGGATTTGAATTGGATCGGAGGACGGCCTTTCGTTCCTCCCGACATCTATTACTTCAAGTGGATCGAGCATCCGCGAACACTCTCTTTCGCGTCAGATCGAGTATTGCAGAGTATGGAGAGCCTCGATTTGAATACCAGCAGGTTTGTTGCCTTGCCAGAATTAATGACGTTTTGGCACATTTTTCGCTGACTTTGCTTTTTCGCCTTCGCCGCCGATCGCCGCCTAAAAACCGCACTTCTCCTTTTGCGCTTTCTTGACCGTTTTCAGACAGAATTGGTTTTGAGAATGATAAATCACGTAAATACAAGCATTTTGAGCGCTCGAACCACGAAAATTACCGAAAAGCAACTGAAATTCACGCAGTTTTAGCCAAAACCTTCAAACGGATAAATGTGATTTGCGACTTGACCAAATTTAACGCTCTTGCGCTTAAAAAATTTGTAATAGCCTATACAATCGGTCTATCGAGAGACAAATGAGAAATTATCGGTTTTTCGTGGCTAATCTAGCAAAAAACACAAATTTTGCTGTTAAAATTTGAATTTCGCGTCAATGTATCGCTCTATTGAACGGGGCGCACTTGCGCCCGTTGTAAGCTCTGGAGACCGTGCACACGCAGGAGCATAAACGAACAATTTGCAGATGTTCCACCGCGCGAACGCTCACACCACGTGAATACTACCAGAAGATACTGTTTCAATACTGCAAACAACTTCAGCCCGAAGAACCGATCGCCGACATCGACAACTGAAAAAAAAAGTGTACCGGTCCATGGTCCCGTAGTTTTAGAAGACCTCTCTCTCTCTCTCTCTCTCTCTCTCTTGCCCGGCGTCTTTCAACCCGTTTCTAGGATCCAATCATGTTTCAACACCGCCAACTTCCAACTCTTTCACTGTTCACAGAAATTTTATCGCACTTGAAGGATGCTACGGGAAAAAATTTAAATTAAAGGAATATATATGTTGACGTTCCGTATATCTACTTTAAAAGAACAGAACTCCTCGACTTTCCGTCCGCTTTTTCAAAACGGAAAATTGATGGACCGGCGTCATGGTAGATTTCTGAAATTATCAAATTTTTGCCCGGGTACCTCCTTTAAAAGAGATTTTCCCCTACATATCCTTATTTCTGTTCTAAATTATTTATTGTATTCTAGGCTTCTGCTTCTTTTATGAATCCTTTTTTCTTTCCTGAAACCACTTTCAACATTGACCAAACCTTACTTCTTCCGAAATGTGATTTAATTTCTGATGACTTCGAGTCATGCTCATCGTATGTTTTCAATTGTCTTGTTTTTAATATATAAAAAGTTCGACATTTACTTAACTTCTTTTCACTATAAAAAATACGAGAGACATTGTAATTTGAAGAAGAATACAATTAAACACTCTATCAAACGACGGCGAACTGTCTTTTTAAATGGAAAGTTCGATAAACTAGGGCAGAAAAAATTAGATTCTTCTGGATTTGATAGAGCGTTCATACGGCCGACATCTTAATCCTCCTTGTAAAGATCGGCAACTCCGAATTGCTTGACTCCCTCCTCGAACGGAATGTTGACGACCTGCAAAACATTTATGAGTTTTTGTACAATTTTGATTATTATAGCGCTTTGACAATAAGTTTTTGTGAAAACAAGATTTAAACAAACTACTTCACAGACAGTGAAACAGTTTTTCCTGGTTAATCGACTCAGAATTGGTGAAAGGAGCCTGGCTCCGACAAAACGCAATTTTAGAAACCTTCCACGAATTCAGCACTTTTTTTTGAAAGTTTCAGTGCAACACTTGACATTTCAAGAAGAAACATTGAAGACATCAGGATAACGGAACTTTCGAGGCTACATGTTTCTTCGAAGTGCAAGGTTTTCATTTAAAAAAAAGCTGAAACCGAAATGTTTCACTGCTTCGACAGAGTCTGACAATATTTATCTCAATAAAATACAAAAATTTTTCACATACCTGCATGAGGTATCTCATCTCGTCCTTGGCAAGCCACTTCTTCTTCTTGGCGGCCTCTTCGGCGGCAGCGACAGCCTTCTCGTGTTCCCACTCACGGAGATCAGCGTGGTACTCGCGGACTTGACGGAGACGGAAGAATCCTGAATGGTTTTTGATTAATGTTTGTGAAAAATTCGGGATTATAGATGTCAGTTTTGCGATGGGCTGGGCAAATTGCCGTTTCAACTTTTTCGAAGGTTTTCTATGCAGATATATGGATGGGAGTCCGAAAAGACCGGGTTTAAGCGCAAGTTTCAGCCCATTCTTTGCCCGAAAAATCTTACCGTACACGATACCAAGGGAGAGAGCCGCATAACGTCCGAAGCGGATCAGTGGCGAGATAGTCACTGTTGGTGCCTGGAGAACCACTGTATTCGGATGTCTGAGAGGGGCCGACATCTGCAAGCAAAAATTATAGAAACAGCGATATGTCCGAACATAATTTTGAGTAAAATGGAAAGAGCAAACAAATTAATATAAGAAACTAACATGGATAAAGCTAGAAAATCGAGCGAGAACTCGACAATTGAATAAATCGACTAAACGGCTTCTTGCGCAGCCAAACAAAATCTGAGCGAAATATCACAAAAAATTAGACGAAAAACGTTTTTACTACCCGGAAAATCAAAATTCGCTCTGAAAGCTATAGAATTATCTTCAAAAATCTGAAAAAAATGTATATTATCCAGAGCACCGCCTATACACGAAAAATCGCACAGCTGAAATGAGTGTAACCGTATACCCTGCCGCGCTGCGAGACCCGCCGTTACGACGGAGTGTCGTTGTAATTTTAAAGCTGTTGTTTTTGAAAAAACACATAGTTTTGCATGATTTTCTGATAAATTCGGACGAAACTGTTGAGTTTAATCAAAGTAGCAAATGTTTTACTTGAAAACCTTTGTTCCGCTAAAAATTGTTATCAGAAGTCAAGCGAAACAACGGTTTTCTTAAAATTTTTGCTCAATCCATTTATTATTATTTCATTTCAGCGTCGCAGATGGCTGCCGCAACAGTCCGTGGGTTTTTCCAAAGAGCCGGAACCAGCATTAAGGACTATTTCAAACGAATGGGCAATGATTATGCCACAGTGGCCAAGGAAACGGTGACCGGATGCAAAGAAAAACCATTAAAAGCTGGTACGTTATCAATTTTAGTAATAAGTTCTTTTAAAAAACATATCTTCAGCCGTAATATTCTCTGGGCTCGGTTTTCTTACGTACGCCTATCACACAAATCCAACGGAGCTAGAAATGATGGATTACTACTGTGCTAAGAGGCAACAATTGGTGCTAGTACCGAATTCCGAGCACAATCCTGCGACTAGTACGTTTTTTTTCTAGGTTTTCAATAAAACATCAGTATTTCAGCCAGAGAACTAGTTTCCCGGGACTTTCTCATTAGTCAGAATCGATTGCACTACTACAATTTGTGGTTTTTCTCTCTTCTAGTTGCCGGCAAACACAACGGCAAGCTTAGGATATACTCCTCACAAGACACGAATCTAAAAGACTATCCATGGGTCGAGTTGTGGCAAAATATAGTGGATGTTGGGTATCTCGGACGATGGCATCGGATGGAGGCCGCTTTTGTGGACTATGATATAAACACGGATGAGATCAATTTGCTTCCCGACGATCAGAAATAATTTTTTTTGTGTTTTATTAGATCGTTTTAGTCGTTTATGTGATACAGGTTCTCTTTGTTTCTCTCGATGAATGACAATTTTCTTACAATTTTCTCTTGCCGCGTCCAAAGTTGTAAAAGAAACCCGGAAATCCCAGCAAAATCCCACGTGAATCCGGGTTTTTTTTAAACTTTGGATGCGGCATAAAAATTCTACTTAGAGTTCTGATGTAAAGGGTATCCGTTCCGTTATATTCATTCTCGTAATTGCTCAGAACAGCGAAGAGTTATTGTGAGTTCAGATGGCGGATAAATACGCCACTTCACTCGACAACGTTGTCGACCCGCTCACTGTTCACAAGTTCAGCGAAGAATGGGCAATTTCACGAAAAGAAGCCGTCAAGTTAGTTTATTGCATTTTTCCAAAAAAAGAATAAGCTGACATAGATCTGATGAATAAATTCGTTTTTACAGGGTTCTCGAAATGTACGTGAAAAACAAATCGACAGCCGTGAATCGTATCTGGGCTCTTTACGAAATCAGCGGAACAGTATCTTCGTCGGAGTTCCCATTTCTGGCGTCCACGGAGAAAATCACAAAGCACCTGGTCGTTCCGGAATCCGATCTCGAGTCGGAAATGGCCAAATTTGAGGAGATCTTGTCCACTTCTTTGCACAGTGTGCAAAGAACAAATCCTAAAGACACACGAGTTTACGGACGAGCGTGGAATAACAACGACGATTTGAAGGGGGTCAGTGTACCACAGCAGGAGCAGAAGCAGAAGAAAGCGGAGGAGAAGAACCCAGCTCCGGAGTCTATTGTGAAAAAGGAAAAAAGCATGATGTCGGAGGTTAGGTTCTGAAACAAGTTAGAACAATTATAATTATTTCAGCCATCTGCTTCTTCCTGCTCTTCAAAACTAACGGAAACTGAAACTTCTGGTGCAGCTGCTGTGTCAGCCAAGAAGAACAAAACAACAACGACGGGACCGCCGAAAAAGCAAGCGAGTGTGATGAATATGTTCGCCCGAAAAACCAAGGAAAGAACTCCTAAAAAAGAGAAAAAATCAGCCTCACCACCGGCTCAGAAAACCCGGAAGCGTCCAATTGTGGAGATAGATGAGGAAGAGGAGAAGCCGGTGAAAAAGGAGAAATCTCCGGAGAGAAGTACAATGTTCAACGCATCGGATGACGATTTCCTGTCGTCGCGGGAAACCAGTGTCGAGAAGGAGCACTCTCCGCAGGCTAAACGACACAAAAACGAGACGAAGGAGAATGTGAAGGCGCAAAAAACGAAGAGAAAGTTGCTTCTGCCAGAATCAGACGAAGAAAAGGAAAAAGCAATGAAAGTAGAAGCCGAAGAGTTGACAAATGAGAAAAAAGTGGAGAAATCGAATGAAAGACGTCGTACTACTCGAATGGAGAAGGTCGTGGAGACTTATGTGGACGAAGATGGATATTTGGGTGAGCTTAAAAATTGCAATGCTCCCATTTTTTGTCCCTGTGGTCATTTTCATTTCAACAAATTAAAATACATTTGCAGTGTCGAAAGAAGTGCAGAAGACAGTTGAGTGTTCGTCGAAAAATTCACCGGAAAAGAAGCCGAAGATAATAACGGCGGCCGTTCCGGGCACCTCGAAAACGACGAAGAAAAATGCGACGATCACTTCTTTCTTCAAAAAACAATGAAATTAGCATTTCATTAGCATTTCTGTCGAATGGGCGTGTTGCATATAACAGTTTCGATCTATTTCTTTAAATGCTTTATAAATAACCAGATCCTCGCTGAACAAGTCAAAAATGTGCAAAAAGTGATAAAAACCATAAATTCTGACGAGGGCTTCCAGAAGACGCAGTTATTGCACAGTTAGGCCAAGCGGCTTTTCCACTTTTCGACGCCCTTCTCAAATGCTCACTTTTCCTCCAGTTTCCACGCTAATATTGTACTTTTCTCAAAAAGGAGGCACACATAGACGCACTCCCGATGATGATGAATCATCAGAATGGACAATGACCTTTTGAAGAGAAAAACACTCGAAAGCCGCTCATTTCTCACTAAATCTTCCGCTTTTCGCACTTTGTCGGATGAGTAAGAAAGAAAGAAAACGAGTGAGAGAGAGAGAGAGAAAATGCAATTGTGCGATGGGTTTTCCTGCTCCACGAGCAAAACGGAAGAAAAGTGATGACAAGTGTTTCTTCACGGAGACATTCTTTTTGCTCTTTCTGTCGCTTCCAAGCTGCTCTGCTATGCAGTTCGGTTGCAGTTTGGTCGTTCTCCCTATCCCCAAAAAAGAAGGCAGTCAAGTTCATTGAGGTGAAGTGAGTTTGATGCCTTCATGTTTTTCATTCGCTTCGTGGAAGGGGGTCTATCCATTTCATTCTCTTTTCGTTCGTTCTTTTTCGCCATTTCCTTCTCATTCATCTGTCCAATTTGACCGATTGGATTCCCGAACGAAACGAGCTTTATTCGGTGTGCGTTTTCTCCGGGGCTCTCTGTTGTTCACTATTTCGCGTATTCAGTTTCTGGCTTCCCAAGAGAGAAAGGTGGGCTTAATTAGATGGAACAGCTGGAAAAAAGAGAAAACAACAAGAAAACAGCTAAGCCGAATCTCTTTCCCAATCGAGAGCTCCGAGTTATTCTGCTCAACCACTGGACTAGCTTTAGTATGTCTGCACAATTTCTCCAGACGAATAGGGCGACCATCCCATCACTTTCAAAATTCGTCAACGTTTCAACTTGATCGCAATGACCTTAATTCTGTCCATTTCCCATACGCATATGTCAACTCTCATTATTTCTTTTCACATTCGCCTTTTCTGCTTCTTTTTCGTGGTCCGCTACGACGAAAAAAGTGATTAATGAAAGTGCGCGGTTTGGTGGAGCATTCGAGGTCCAATTTATTTCCAGCCAGCACCACAAACAATACTCAGCCCTCGTTTGACCCCTCTTCTCCTTTTTCCCATTTCCCCATCATTCTGCCTCCATTTTTTGGCGGCGCGTTGTCCTCCAACTGATGACAAATGTTCGGCCCGTGCATGCGGGGAGATTTCATTCAAGAGCTTTTCCTAAAAAGGTTCATGCATTCTCAATGAGAAACACCTTTTCTTGCATTTCGGAATACTATAGACGTAGAGAGAGAGAGAGAGAGGAAGTAGTAAGTTGAATATTGTGCCCTTTTCCCTTACAAGTCATGCCACTTTTCTCAGAAAACAGGATGCTTTTATCGCTTTCTTTTGTAAATCTAGAAGTTCCTTCTTTCAGTTTTCAAAGTTCTCTCTTCCTCTTTTCCTGTTTAGAAGCGGCGACATGATGACAGATGCACACATTTGAAAAGCATGCAAACGCTTTTTGATTGACACGAGCCCAAGTGCATTCGGGCTGATGATGACGTGGCACTTCTTTCCTTTTCGATTAAACTTTTAGGCTTTGGCGCTTCGTGGAATTCGGCTCCTGATACAAACCGAAAGTGCTCTCTGAACTCTTTGGAATTCCTTTCTCAAGTTCAGGGTTCACGGATTCATTTCGACATTTCCCCTTCCTTTCACGACCATTGCTCGTCTTTCTAAGTGTCAAAAGATAAAATCAGATGGATGGGTGGTGGTTTCGTAATTGTGCCATATGGAGCACTGTTCCTCGAAGCATTCTTGGGCGCAGAGCCGTCCGCTCGATGGACGTTGCTCACAAACTAAGAGCTGCTCGAAAAAATTGGCCAGGACTTTTGATTAGTTTGGGAATTTCTTTTTTAAAAACTGTTTGGCCAGCCTTGGAGTAAACCCCGAGATAGTTGTCGGCTCTATAAAGCAGCTCATAAATCTCTTCTCCGTTCTTCCTTAACTAACCGGCCGCCTCGGGGAGTTTGAAACGTGCCAATTCCCCACTCACTTCTCGATTCCTCTTTGTCTGTCAAACATATATCATCGTCTTTCGGCACCTCATCAACATCATCATGTTTTGCTTTTCCTCCGCACCCAAACCTTTTTGGCTTCTTCTCATTGCTTTCAATTAGAAAAAGGGAGAGAAGAAAAACAACAGAAAAAGAGAATAGATAGTGTGTGCCCTCATTTAAAATCCCTTTTTCCCTTTTGAAGTAGCAAGAAGTCGTTTATGTTTTGCATTCTGACTTGTTTCGTGGATGACTGAAGCAATCACCGTTTTCTTATTACTTCTTCTTCTTCCTCTCCTCCTACTTTTGTACTCTGAAAGTGGTAGAGCGAGAAAGCCTTTTCCGTTCGCGTCCCCCGTCCTCAAGTATCAAGTATCCACTTGATATTCCTTGTGAAACTCAAGAATCTTCTCAGCAGCTCCTCCTTTATACTTGGCACCTCTTCTCTCAATTTCTATCTAATTAAGGCGGGATGCCATTGGCCATGTATAAGTTTCTGCTCGTCACCTCAATATTTCTCATCGTTGCCGGTCTGATTTTAACGGCGTTTTCACTGTTCAGCCCGCTTTGGGAGGTGAGTTCGTCTTTTAAGCCAATTGTTTGCATTTTATGTGAGCATTTCATTGAACGCAACTTTTCAGGTGGTCGACTTCCCGCGCGCACACTTATCCCATCACCACGGACTTTGGTGGGATTGCATCGTTCATCATGGCACTCTCATACCGCTTCATGAGGTGCAAGCCGAGCAGCGAGGTCGGTTTGGACGTTTTGTGGAAACCAACTTTTTATTTTGGTTTAAGGCGATCGATGTGAGAGCAAAATGGATTCGTCGGTGCAGGCCAACTTGAGAGGAGCTCTCGAAAAAGGCGACGAAGAGGCAAAGGAGCTGTTGTTGCACAGATTTTTGCGTATGTTCGACAGTATCGAATGGGTTAGCAGAGAACAAATATTCAGCGCATCACAAAGGCGTCATATTCTTCACTGTATTCACATTCGTTTTCGGCCTCATCTCCATTCTGATCGGCTCGTGTTCCCCATGCTTCCCGCCCAATGCACTTCTCTATGTTGTGGGCGTGTTCATGACGGGAGCGTGCTCTCTGTTGGCCGATATCATCTACGTGTTTGCATTCAATCAGAAGCCGATTTTTGTGAAAGATGCTCAAATTCATGAGCACGATTATGCGTCAATGACAAGAGAAAAACGAGGCATCGGACCGATTTATGTGAGTCGTTATAAAGTAGTACTGTATGGGCTCTATTCAACGTCTAGAAGCAGAGAATAGAGCAGAGTTGCCACGGGCCGGGCCGGGCGGGGCCGAAATTTTCAAAACTCCGGCCCGGTTCAAAAAGCGGGAATCCAAATTTTGAACTATTGATTAAATAAAATGTTTGTTTTTCGTAGAACTAACGAATTTTGCAAGTATCGAGCATAAAAAAGAAATGTAGTTCTCAAAAATAGTTTTTATCGGCATCAAAGCAAAAGTAACAATTAAAAAAGAAGAAAATAATAACGATTTTTATAGAGCACTAGTAGAATTTAATTTTGATCCCCGCAAAAAAAACGAAAAAATAGATTTCCCCCAAAAATTTGAATTCGCGCCTTTTGAGCCGGGCCGGGCCAGCAAATTTTCGGCCCGGCCCGGCCCGTATTTTGGCAAGTCTGGTATAGAGTTAATAAGAAATTTTCAGAAACGTCTGGGACTCGCCAGCTACATTCACATGTTCGGCTCCTTACTTCTTCTCGCCGCCTTCATCATCTCCATCTTTTGCGCCTACTTTCTGATCACATCAAAACACGCGCACGACGTGTGCTGTACCAACAAGAAGGAGTATCGCGAGCACAATAAGTGAGATTCACGCGATTGTTTCACACTTTCTAACACGTGTTTCTTCAGATGGCGAAACAGCGGTCTCATTTTAAAAACTGGCAGAATCACGCATCAATCACACCGTCCTTTTGTCGTGATCGACGATGACAGTAGTATTTAGAGCAAGAGTGCATCTCATTTATTTTCAGGCTTCCTGTGATTGATCTCATTGTCCGAACAACCGGTTTAGAGTTTGAATGAAGCTTCTCGATTCTCGTGCTCCAGTAGTTGCAATTTGTGATAAAAGCGCCACAGTTTATTGTTGAAAACAAGCGTTACATCAACTCAATTAAAGCAATAATAGTACAAGTTTTCCAAGAAATTATGAAAGCATTCTCTTCAGAAAACATCAACGTGTCTAATTATAATCTTCTGCTCGTCTTTGCACAATCTGGCGATGGAAACCAACTTCACATCGTCGGGAATCTGAGCGTCGGCGCTGGGAGTCGCCAAGAACAGCCCGTACTTTGTCACTTCATCGTACTTTCGATTGAGAGCGAGCACAATATGAATAGTTTCGAGAACTGTTGTGTGGGAGGAGAGCAGCAGCGACTTGTAGTTGGATTGCGGGGAGATGTTGTGATCGTAGACTCGGACGAGGAATCCGGTCGGGTTCTGCAGCAGAATGAAGCGAGACATTCCGGCCGGATGACATCTCTGCAGCTCGTACGGTCGGGCATCTGGATCCAGTTTCAGAAGAGTGACAACCGGGGCGCCAGACGCTCGTGTCGTGAGTTCCATCCAAATATCGAATAGGTTCACATCCCGACAGGTTAGCTTCAGCGTCATTAGGAACTTTTCGACGACCTGCCGAGCGGTAGTCGAGCTGGTGACTCGAATAGTTTTGTAGTCGGTGCATTGCTTTACGCTGCGCGTATCAACTTTTAGCACTCCCTGACAAAAAGTGTATGAGATGCTGGGCATCGAAACGAGGAAACGTACAACTTCGGAAGTGTCCGAGAGGTTACTGTCGTTAGAGTTCAGCGAAAGCAAAGAATTGCTACGGGAGGTGGTCGGGATGGCGAGAAGGGTGTCCTCGAGCAGAGAGTGCATCGAGACGGAGCACGGAGAGGACGAGTCTGAACATTAGACAGCGTTTATGGTACCCGTTTGTTGTACTCACTTGACGAAGAAGTCCTAGAAGCTCGATTGGCGGCGGGTCGCAACGTCAACGACGACGTTTTCACTTGGTATTTCAACATTCTCCTGAAAACCTCACCGATCATTTCTGTTTACTTTTTCAGGCAATCAGGAAGAAGCGAACACTGAAGAGGAAGAGTGAAAAGTGTGGGTGTGGCTGGCAAGCACTATAATATCGCGTCGTCGAAATCAATCCCAATCCGAAACGGTGTGTGAATGTCCGTTTTCTTCCAAGAGTGTTTGATCAACATGAAGGGCGATATCATTGCCACGCGTCAAAAGAAAAGAGAGAGAGAGAGAGAGAGAAGTGGGTTTTATTATTGTTTGTTCTTTCTTCTCGACGATATACCGTCGTAGCCGCGTTCCTTTCGATCATATTCGCGGATAATGAGGCAAAGGGAGGGGAGAGATATTATTATCAAGTCGAGTATTATCACAGAAAAAGAATGATCTTCTTCTCGGGCGGAAGGGAAGGTTGTAGGTTCCCATTAGGATGGATTCTTGACATACGTCTTAATTCTCTTCCTCCTCGTGCTGACCAGCCTAACCATCACATTGCAACTTTTTGTCTAATTCGATTAGTCACTAGCCACCCGTCTCTGTGCAGCCGGCGAAGAGAATGAAGACTTTCTGAGACGTTGCAAGGAGGCGAGGAAGACGTGAGGAGATAATCTTGAAATTGTGAAGAAGTGAGTGAAAAAGTCATCCGACGTAATCTTGGCTTATAGGGGCTTCTCAGCCTTCTCAGCCTTCTCAGCTTCTCGCTATGACTAGTAGGTGTGTTGCGTAACAACGTTCGGCGACTATGAGAAAAAGCGGGAAAAAGTATAGGTGTGGCGCAGTGTAGAATGTGTGCCTTTTAGGGTGTAGCTTCTGGAGTGTTTTTAGCAATGAAGTGCTAAACAGAACGGATGTGATATTAGAGCTTATCTATTTTGAGGAAGCCGTGCAAATTGCAAGAGAAACCTGCAAAACCGAAACCAAAATCCGTTCTCGCCTGACGAGACACTAAGAAAGAAGAAACGGTTCCATTCGGTTTGTGAAACGAAATAGATATCGTCGAGGTGGCCGAGTAGCTTTCATGAGGCGTAAGCGAATTGTCATAGACGACGAAAAGGTGCTGTTTCGTTCGAACAACGTATTCTGGCCTTGGATGGACGGATCCACCCCCCAACCCCATCTTTATAAGGACAGCAGGTGTTGATGACAATTGTCCAAAAATTCGGACAGGACAGGTGGCAAGAAGGGGAAGTAAGCGGTAAAAATGAATGGTGTGCGTGTAGGTTTTATTTGTCAACATTCCTTCGGTAAATACTTTGAACATATATAGAGCCATGACCTAGAGGTACTTGAAAATAATATTCTATATATATTCAAATTGTGCGTGTTCTATCGAAAAGTGGATCATCGGATCGGTGGGCGGCGGCGGCGGGGGGCAAGAGGGTAGAGATTAATCGGATCCGAGTATGGCGCAATCCGCCTTCTCCTCCTCATCCTCCCGGTCCTAATTCGAACAGAGCAGGGGAAAGAGGAGAGGGAGGAACAGATGAGAAGGTGACAAAAACACATGTACTTTCAATTAATCTTCTTCCTCCTCCTCGTCGTGCGCGCGACAGCACTGATGGACAGACGGAAAAAGAGTGGATTGAGAGTGAAATAGTGGGATGAAATGAAACGGAAGTTTAAATTCAAAGTCGAATGTTGAACGAGTTTGACACCACTTTTGTGTTTTTGAAGGGGGAGTAAAGAGAGAATGTGTGTTAAAAACAGTTTACAAACTGTACAAGCATGATATACCTACGAGAATCCGACAATGCACACAGACACACCGGTCGAAAGGGTTGTGGAGAAGAAGGAGAGTGGCGAAATGAAATGCAAAACTACCGAACGAACTTTTTGAAATTCGATCCATCGCCGCTCGGACAGCTGTGATGAGCGCTCTTTTTCAATAGCTAGATTTCAGGAACTCATGCGGCACACCCGGAAACGATGGTCGGAAGGAAGACCATCATCGAAAACTTTTAAAAGTCAAAAATGTTAATGTTATAATGAATAATATAGTAAACATAGTCGTTTGCTGGCTTCGGGCTTCTGCTGTATAAAGTAAACATTTGGCGAGCCCGAAGCGAGGAGAGAGCAAATGTGTCATTGCGGACGTTATTTGGAACCGTTTTGCTACTATTTGGAGCCGAAAACCACGTTGTCTTCGTCTTTTCGTCTTTTCGTCTGAAGTTTACTACGACAGTAAAAAAAGAGCTATAGCCCATAGCCTTTATGACTTTGCGTACGGCAACGCAAAGCAACATGTGTTTTGAATTGAACAGAGAGCGGATTGAGATTGCAACAGGAAGTATCGAATGATGACGGTGAAAGAGGAGAGAGTAGGGGTGGTGATTGAGGAGTTTGGAGCAAGGAAAAGGGTACAGAGCTACTAGTAGAACTCAAACGAAACGGTGAACTTTCTGTGAAGCTTCTTCACGAATCACTTAGGTTAGGTACATGAAAATTGAACAAAGCCGCTCAGGAGCGCATAAACTCTAGTCTTCTTCTCCTTTTTTCGCTGAATTCACTTACAATCCTCTTCATTCCACTCCAGAAACGAGAATTGTCAAGAAAAAGGCGAAAGAAGCCGGCGAAATGATCGGAGAACAGAGTGATGGCTAACGGATCCACAAAGACACATCTGGTTTCGATTTTAACCTCATTACAAAAATACTAATGATATCGCGGGGCGGTGCTGGTCACTAATTGTAATTGTAAGGCAAACGAAACTGATGAATCTGTTATAATTCAAGTATTTTATAGATCTCAATGTATTCTGGATTTGCGGGAATCGCCAAGAAACAGCCCTGAAACGTCATTGTCGAAAGGAGAAAAAGTGAGAAGAATGAAACGACTAACGAATTGGCAAAGAACAATAGAAGCAGTTGAACATGCAAAACACACATAACCGTAATGTAGATTATTGTACATTTACATTGCCAAATGATGTACGTACAAATATATACCAAATTCAGAGAATGAGTGACAATGCGCAATGCACCGATTATCCGGTTTAACCCCTCCTGTACAAAATTGCGTTGCGCAACTTCAAATGGACTTTAATTGACAAAACACAACAAAATAGACTTGAAATTGGGACGTGTGTCACATCATCGTCACACAAATGTTCGCATACTTTATTGGAAATAAAACGTACCGTTGAATGATATGGCATAGCCAGGACGACGACAATAGAGGGAAGAAAAGACGTTTGAAATGGAAAGTGTGGGAAAAGAATGCCTCCCCCTATGTAGGTAAAAAAAGGGTTAAGGATGATATTGAGTGAGGAAAGTGATAACATGTTCGCCAAACGAGCGGAACGGACAAAGAATGTGTCTTGAATTGTTGTTGCACAGTGACCTAAGAGCCTTCTCTTCCGGCATCGATCAGATTCACTAAGCGTTCTGAAAAAAAAAAGATTTCTCAACTTCCAAGTTTTAGAACACTCCCGGAAGGTTGTTGCTGATTATTGCTCGTTCCTAGCGCTTAGCATATTTGTGTGTTTTTGTAATGATTTTCGAATGATTAAATTGACATCAGCATTTAATATGATTAAACGTGGTTAAGTCTCTTATATCATCACTTTCCGGCAAAAAATTGAGGCGCAGGCGCTAAAACAGCACTGAAAAAGAACAAACAATGACAATTGGCACAGTTCGTTCGCCAAACTTCGTCTGTCTTCAGTCCTCCAATCGATTGAGTTTGCATTCATCATTTTAGTCGAACCAATACTATTTTCATGTTCTATAAAAAGTACTAACGTGCCCAACACTATGTAATCGATCACATGAAGGACAATTACGGACGAGGCTGTTGTGTTGACCATGGTTGAGAGAGTATGTGAGTGTGAGAGAATGCGGGCGTGTAGCGGGCCCGGGCGCATTGTTTTTGCGTGCGTCTTTTTTTTGGTTTTCAATCGAGGTAGGAAATCTTTGTTTTTACTCGATTCGGCATAAAATTCACTATAACTTTTTTCTCGGATCTTATGCTAGTGGTTCTGGCGTTTTTCTCTCTCATTCTATGCAAAAACTCGCAAGTCTTTTCGCTTTACGCTCTAAACTTTCCCACCAAATCGTGGAAAACTTCCAGAGAAAATGGCTCCCCGCAGTATTCTCATCACTGGTGCCAACCGTGGAATTGGCTTCGGACTTTTGAAGCAATTCCTTAAAGTTGCGGACATTCAGCTGCTCATCGCTACGTGCAGAGATCCGAGCAAAGCTGAAGCACTCAACAGCATCAAAGATCCAAGACTGCACATTCTTCCATTGAACATTGATGACGACGAGTCCATCAAGACCTTGTACACTTCTGTAGGTTATCCTCATCTTGCACCGAAATACCTTTTTTTCTCCATTACTTGAAGGTAGAAAAACTCGTCGGGGAAGACGGTCTGACCGTCCTGCTTAACAACGCAGGGATCCTTGTTCCGTATGATGTAGAGGGCGAGAAAAACCGTCGCGCAGTGCTGCGTCAGATTGAAACGAACGCGGTGTCTACTGCCGTTCTAACCCAGGAGTTCCTTCCGCTTCTCAAAAAAGCTTCCGCTAAGAATGGAGGAGAAGGATATTCGATAAACCGTGCCGCGATTGTGAACATCTCCTCCACTGCTGCTTCTGTCGAGAAGATCGATGGAACCTTCAACGGACCATATGTGAGTTTCGTGTCCAGCCAACCATCTTCCGCTGAGATACACATCTTCAATGTTTGAGTTCAGGTCGCCTACCGCATGAGCAAATCGGCGCTCAACTCCTTCGCCAAGTCCTGTTCGATCGACCTGGCCAAATATAACATTCTGGTCACTTCCTTCTGTCCGGGATGGGTCAAAACTGACATGGGCGGACAAAATGCTCTTCTTGAGGTGAGTTTGACGTAAGGTGCTGTAAAAGTTTCATGATTTTTAGCTCGACGAAGCCACTGACACCCTCGCTGGCAACATTTTGACTCTCGGAGATGCTCACCACGGAGCCTATTTGGACAGAAATCTGGACGTCATTCCGAACTAAAGAAGTTGTGACTAAATGAATACTTGTTACTTAAATAGACATCACTTGTGTATGAAAAATTCTTTGCTTCTATTTTTGTTGACCACGATGCCTGAAAGAAGGTTTTTCCGGGGAAACACGTTGAGTTTGATTAGAACTGACCCCGATCCTCCTATTTATTGCAACTTTCTTTTCTCTCGCCCATCGTTCCGTGATCTTCCGTCTTTACTTCTTAAAAAATTGCTCTTTCCCACTCTTCGGGAATATCTGAAACGAACGTTTTTTCGGGGAAGCATTTGGAGTTCACTCAAACTGACCCCGATTTTGCTTCTCTCCTTCATTTCAACTAGTACTTCCGTTTCTTTCGAGCTCCGATTCTTCTGTTGCTATCGGTCGGTTCCGCAATAAAGGTTTCACGGCGAGTATCTCAAGTCCCAGCCAAACTCACCGCTTTTCAGCAACTTTATCAAGTTTTCAACATGCGAGCCTGAAAGATGTAGAGAACGTTTAAACGATTCGGGTAAAAATTCAATGCGAATTTTGGAAAATTTTTCAACAGCAAAATCAAGCGCGGCGGACACCCGCCGGTTTTTGAAGCATCGTACTGCGCCTTTTTTAGCAGAGTGGCATTTGTTGGATTTTGACAGAGATTTCAATAAAATTCAAGGGAGAATAAATGTGAAGCAGCCAGAAAGCATGAATATGAATGAAAGAAATGCAAGATTACTTTTTCAGAATCCCTATAAAATTTATTCACCTTCTTCACAATCTCTTTCTGTTTGAAAATAGCGTGGAACTGTTACCGGAGTGACAGCTCTCCGAGCACCCGGAATTCTGATGGGCAAGTATTCTGAGACGGCCCGAGAAGGCATCTGAAGCCTTCTGGAAGCAGCAGGAGCGCGTAAAAGGCAGGGAGAGGACGGCGAAATAGAAGGACCCTCTCCTCGCTGGCAGAGGCTGTTCAAGCTTCTCAATGTGGAATTCTAATGAGGAGGGATTCAGAGAAGCCTGGAGAAGGCAATAGACACCTGCTGAAAGCGGCATAAGCGCGTAGAGGGCAAGGAGGAACGGCGAAGTGCCGAATGGCAACGAGATTCGAGCCGCCTATGCGACGAAAGTCGGTTCCAGGCGGAGAAAGTTCTGAAAGTTCTGAAAGAAAAATACAAAAAAAAAACCATTCATTAGCGATTCTTCAGCAATAAGAGTTCAATAACCCTACTCGTCCTTCTTCTCTGTCTTTTCCTTGGAGTCCTTCTTCTCTTCTCCCCCATCCTCCTTCTTTTCCTCGTCCACCTCCTTCTTCTCCGTATTATCTTTCTCTTCGTCGTTCGCCTTATTCTTATTCCGATGCCTGTTCTTCTTCACCTCATCCTCCCAATCACTGGCCACGTCGTCCATCGTCTGGTAGTCTGTTTTCTTCTTCTTCTGTCCGTCAGCAATCGCCTGCTCCTTCTCCGTGTACTTTTGAACTTTGGGCTTCAGCGACGGTTCCTTCTCTTTTTTCTCCTTCTTCTCGCTCTTCGCCTTCTTCTCTTTCTCGTCCTTCTTCGGTTCCTCTTCCTTTGTTTTTTTCTCCTCATCTTTCTTCTCGTCTCCTTCCTTCTTCTTCTCCTCCTCATCCTTCTTCTCATCCTTCTTCGGCTCTTCCTTTTTCTCATCCTTCTTCTCTTCATCCTTTTTCTCCTCTTCCTTTTTCTCCTCCTTCTTCTCATCCTTCTTCTCTTCCTTTTTCTCATCCTTGGCTGCTGGCTGCGCGGACGGGAGCACGGGAGCCTGCTGCTGTGACTTGTTCATTCCGGTCGTGGTCGTTGTGGCCATCGTCGTGTTGTTCGAGGTGCGAGCCTTGGCTATCGGTGCCGGCTTCTTCTTACCACCACACATGTGCACAGTGCCTGTAAGGATAGAACGTTTAGGGAACTTGACTAGAGGGAGAATCTTCAGAAGGGCAATTTAAAACTTTTTAAGCACTGACCGATGATCACGGCGATGAAGTTGACGATCCACACACAGTGACCGAAGCTTTGAATGTCTGAAACCAGCATTACGTTTTTCTCTCGACCGTTCACTTTCGACGACTTACCCAACATTATAATGGTTCCACTGGACCACAAAAAAACGCGTCTGATTCGCTTGCGGAGAAGATTTTTGCTTGCTTCTCTCTCTAGGGGAAAAGTTGGAATAACTGAATCGCACCGAGAGAGCTCCTTTTGTACCCGAGGAGCAACGTGGCATGTGGATCAGAAAAAAGACGTGTGCGAGAAAGATAAGAATCTAAAGTGTCGTCGAACAATTGAAAACGTGATTGGCGTGGGGTTAAGGTTATTAGAGAGTCATTTTCAATTAGAATGCCGTCGTCTGTGCAAGTGCTGAAAAGTTCCGAAAACGTTCTCAAAGAGAATGACAAGATTGTGCGCAACATTGCTCAGTTTTGCCGGTGAGTCGAGCGTCTTGCATATTTGCACAATTTGAACTTCAGGACACTCAATCGAAAGTTTGAAGATCCCGAGTTTCCGGCTGGCAATCAATCTATCGGAGTGGTTTATCACCGTCAACCGGACGGAGAGTATAGGCTGGATCTGCCGGAAAATGTCGCCTGGTTTCGACCGGAGAACATTGTAACCTCCGGCCTCATGGATCATCTCTTAGAATGGGACAGCTGGCGAGACCCCCATCCCTCACAAGTGCATCAAGGCATTCTCGGAGATTGTTGGCTCATCGCCACGTTCAAATCATTGTGCGCCCAAAAAGAGCTGTTTGAGAAGATTCTTCCGAAGCGTCAAGAGTTTGCCGAACTCGGTATTTATCAGGTCAGATTGTGTGTGGACGGAGAGTGGAAGATGTTCATCGTCGATGATTTCTTCCCGTGCAGCTCCGAACGACGCGAGCTTTACGCACATTGTACACATAAGATGTTGTGGGTGCTCATACTGGAGAAGGCGTTTGCGAAGATGACGGGAAACTACGGACGGCTTCATGGAGGACTGTCAAAGTTTGCGTTTGAGGTGTTCACTGGTGCCGTCACTATTGTGAGAGATGATTTGGAAACGAAGAGTGCGAAAGAGCAAGATGAGCTGTGGAAGGAGATGGCTGAGTCGTAGTGAGTCTATTAGCGATCGGTGTGTTAACCGAACAGCGGCACGGTCTCCAGAGCTGACAATATGAGCGTGGCCTCGGCCAAATGGCGTTTTCATGAATTGAGCAGGTTTTCTCTGATTTTTGTGGTCAACGGCGATAAAAAATGATTTTTCAACATGAAAACACACTAATTCTCACAGAATTAATGACGTTTTGGCGCATTTTTCGCTGACTTTGCTTTTTCGCCTTCGCCGCCGATAGCCGCCTAAAAACCGCACTTCTCATTTTGCGCTTTCTTGACCGTTTCCAGACAGAGCTGGTTTTGAGAATGATAAATCACGTAAATACAAGCATTTTGAGCGCTCGAACCGCGAAAATTACCGAAAAGCAACTGAAAATCACGCAGTTTTAGCCAAAAACCTTCAAACGGATAAATGTGATTTGCGACTTGACCAAATTTAACGCTCTTGCGCTTAAAAAATTCGTAATAGCCTATACAATCGGTCTATCGAGAGACAAATCGGAAATTATCGGGTTTTGTGTGGCTAATCTGGCAAAAAACACAAATTTGGCTGTTAAAATTTGAATTTCACGCCAATGTATCGCTCTATTGGGCGGGGCGCACTTGCGCCCATTGTCAGCTCTGGAAACCGTGAGCGGGGCAATTTTAGGGTATGGATTTGCCAGAATCAAAATTGTATGTTTTTCCAGCGCGCAAGGTTTCATGATGACAGCCAGTTCGCCCACTGATGTTGCCCTTCGAGAAAAGTATGATGATGTGGGCCTCGCGCAAGATCATTCGTACTCGGTGTTGGGTGTCACGTATCACAATGAGTACCGCCTAGTGAAAATAGGGAATACGCACAAAAGCAAGGGATGGAACGGCAAGTGCTCCGACTGGGGAAAGCACAAGGATAAAGGTAAGACGGAGCGAGTGTGTCGAGTTGTTTCAACGATTCGTTCAGAATTGTCGAAGGAGACTCTGATGAAGTTGGGGCTTTGGACGAAAGGAGACTTCACGATGGCTCTAGAGGACTTTTGTCAGTGGTTCAAACATCTCACAATTTGCATGTATCGAGAAGGGTATGAAGAGTTTCGGTTCAATCAAGTGCTCGACACGAACGATGAGGTCAATTCAAAGTGAGCGTACAATATAAGCGAAGAGATTGTGTTTGTATTCGTCTTTCAAAGTTGTCTAAGTGTCATTGTATTTTTTCCATTTCAGAGTGCTCCGCGTTAACGTTGACAAACGATGCAAAGTGTGTGTCGACTTTAAGGTGACAGAACCAAGTGATCTCAAATTTTTGTTCTTTATCAACATTCACCACGTGACGCCCGATGACCATGTGGGCGAGCTCGTTCAAACCGCTTGTGTGGAAGGCTGTGAGCTCAGTACGGAGCCTATTCACCTAGAACCAGGCGCGTACTTTGTGTTGTTTGTGCCCAACTCCAGCCTGACGATCTATGGACTCAGATGGGTTATTCGCAGGTAAATATGTGATAGATTTGGGAATTATCCTGTGATTCTACTTGGACGTTTTTCTTAAGACCTCCTGACGAATAACGTTCATGTCACAACTGCAATGGTTTCAGTGAAACTCCGATCGACTGCTCGTTTGTTCGCCTGAACTACACTAAGATGACGTGTGATGCATTGCAACAAATGGTTCTGAAAGAGGGAAGAGTCGAAGAGAAACGCGACGATGGAGTGATCATCCGCACCTTCTTCAACAAGCGAATCGTCGTGATGATGGCCGAGAACAATCGGAAATGGCACCACATCCGCTTCAAAGTGGACGCGTCCGAATCGAAAAATTTGCGAAAATTCGGAGCGGTCGATGATGACTATTGGAGTTTGCCGCCCAAAGCTCGACGCATCATGGCCTTTCTACAACAAGAGGATGATAAAGAAGAGCCCAAGGCGCATCTCACAGTTGATGTGAGTTGGAAAACGAGAAGACATTCTCTGTTTCTGAAACTCTCTCACCTCCTTTTCAGTACTCGTTTCTCTACTTTACGGCACTTCCGTTCTGCCGTTCACTCATCTATCCGGAGCCCGACGATCATTTTTATCAGACCACGCCCATCACCAACTGAAAAATATTATTATTTTTGTCCAATAAATTGCTTTGTTCCTTTCTGCTCTCAACTTCAGATGCACTATTGAATGATAACAGCAGAGTTGAGCGGAAGAACACGGAAGAATTTTTATCTTTTTTAGAAAATTTTTTCATGGAATGTGATCAACTGACGAAATGTATAGCAAAATGATCTCTGCTCTTAGAAAAATAATTGAGAATTTAGCTTTTCATACAAAAAAGTTATTCGAGTTGTTAAAAAGGCTAACGGAAGACGGAAGGACATTTTCACGGAAAAACTCGAATAACTTTTTTGTATGAAAAGCTAAATTTACAATTATTTTTCTATGAGCAGAGTTCACTTTGCTATACATTTCGTCAGTTGATCACATTCCATGAAAAAATTTTCTAAAAAAGATAAAAATTCTTGCGTTGAGTTCTTCCGCTCAACTCTGATTAACAGGCGCGAAAACGATCCTCCTCCTGCTTTTTCCGCCCTAAAAACAGAAACTTGGCCTCATTGGCGGCCAGCGGCGACTTTGCGGTGCTTCGGCGCCGGCGCCGAGATTATCTGGTGAGATAAACTTTGAGGACGTGAATGCCCAGAAGACACCGAAGAAAGAGGAATAGTGACTTCTGTTCTTCTTCTCGCCTCAATTCCGGCTTTTATGAGTGAAATAAGTGAATTTTGAAAGTGAAGCGCCAAGACCTCCTCAGCAGGTGTCTCCAATCCGCCCTCTGTGTCTCTTAGCCGCTGATTGTCCGTATCTCGTCACATCATTCTTCTCCGGTGACTTTCACCCGATTGACCCCCTCTACCCGAAAAGAGAGAAGAAAGCTAACCGCCGCAACCTATTGAGACACTCCTTTTGTCTTGTTCGTTCTTTTCAAAATCCCCCCTCTCATCATGCTTCGTTCAGTCTCGAATTCTCTTTGTTTTCTTGCACCAAAGTTACCCATCTACTGTCTAGGCGATGCAACATCGAGATATTATCCTGTTCTCAGCACTTGCCTCCTCTTTCCTTCGATTTCAATCTTGGGTATCAGGCAGTCACATAGACTCGTTCTTTCAGGATCTAAAAGAAGCGAGCGAGAGAAGCAACGAGGAGGAGGCTTTCAAACTGACAAAGGAGAATGTGGCTGAAGCTTCTGTTCTTTGTGTCAATTGTCGCAGCACAATATGAGCCATGTGAGTATAAATCGATAATGTCCTGACCGAAAGTTGCACGCTTTTTTCAGTGATCTCCTCCACTTGGTCAATGTGGTCTCCCTGGTCGTTTTGTTCCAACAACGTGATGATCCGAGTGCGTGCCTGCTCGACAGTCCGTGGTTTCAAGTGTGTGGGCCACAATAAGGTACAAGTTCTTGTTCGCTCTACCTTCCCAGTTCGGGGCGTTGGTCGACCGGCCTTTTTTTCACTAAAACGATTACTAACCCACTTTCGGAGAAACAGACCGACTGATTGATAATAGACGTGTCGAGTAAAAGTGAAATTGGCGACGAAGGTCATTCAAAACCCAACAGCCAATTTTCAGGAGTTTCAATCGTGTAGCTCGCCACCAAAACGCAATAATTTGGATTATGAGGACCCGGAGGCGAACGATCGAGAAATGGCAATGCGGCAATTGTACCAGGACTACGAGCCAGAGACTCCAGATGAAGCAAAGTGTACGTTCTGCTTTCTAAAGTTTTTAAATCGTGTGAAACGCCCGAAAATCTAGCTCTTTTTGATGGGTGCCCTTCTATTTTTACGGTAGCTTTTGAATATTTCAATGCACTTGAGAATCCATTATCCGTTTTTAGATGCACCAACACGTGGAAACCGTAACTTCCACCTGATCGTCCCGACAGTTGCTCCAACAACACAACGTAAGCGTTCCCCGACCTTTTCTGTCGCATCGAACTTTTAACGTTTCCAGCACCTTCTCCTCCCACAGAAACCGATTCAAACACTCATCATTTCTCGGTGATTGATCGAGCTGGTGCCGCCGGTGTTGGGGTGATGTCCGAAGAGGAGGAGTACGATGAGACGTTGAGAATGTCGGTGCCAACGGATCCATCTCAATCGCAGCCGACCACTTTTGAGTTTGAGAAGTATCCGAAGAGCACAGAGAGGCCAGTGACCACTACGGAAGAGCCGACAACAACTGAATCCACAACGACAACCACCACTATTACCGAGGCGACAACGACAACAGTTTTTGAGGAAATTGAAGGTTAGTTCACAATTCGGACCATTGTAACGTTTAAAAGATTCCAGAGTACACAACGCCGGAGCCACTCCCGCAGACCGTGACCCCAGTTGCCCCACGTATCGTGGAGCATGAAGTCATGGTTGGGCCGGAAGACGTTGGCTTCCGCGGAAAGTACACATTGGAAGAGCCGATGACAGAAGCTAGCCCGCCCGGAACAATGGTCATGGAAGCCACGACAACCGAAACTGAACTTCTGCCCACGCCTTCATCTTTCCCAGTAGAGGTGGAGCCCGAAGAGGAACGGATTGCGGACGGGTCAACACACAGCGTCGGATCCTATTCAATTGGGAGGGAACCAATGTGGGAGGAGGAGCCGGAGCCTTTGATTGAAAGTCAAGAACCGAGTACGCAACAACCGCCAAGAAATATCCCAACATTTTCCATTTCTCCCAGTACCCGAAAGCTTGGCGAGGTGAGAAGAGCGCCAACAGACACGAGCACTCACATTGAAATGCCAATGTCTATGCTGCCTTTCCTGCCGACCGAAGAGCCTGAGCAACCGCCGCTTCAATCACAATCTCCGAAAATTGCACTGGTCACATCGCAACAAAATATGCAAAAGTTTCCAAAGATGATGAATGAGCAGAGAGCTCCTCCACGACCAGTGAGCAGAACGGTGCCAAGCCCGTCCGAGTACATGGAGCAAACAACCAGAAAGCCGAAGATGGTCACTGTCGAAATTACGAATAAGACGTTGAAGAAGAAACGACGGAACAGGAGATTGAAAAAATTGAACAGGCTGGGCAAGATTCGAACGGTGGCAGTTCTACCGACAGAGTACACGATTCCAGCGGCCACGCAGCCTATGGACATGCCGAATTTCGAAGTGCAAGAGGTGAGTTTTGAGCCAACGAGTTCGATCAATTTTATTAGCATTTTGACAAGGATAAGGAGTCGTAATTCGTTTCGTCAGGCAGTAGTTGTTGCTCAGAAAAGTGTACAAGGCCATTCATTGATTGTTCTGTTGGCTGGGTCCGAATCCAGCGTCCCTCTTTCCGTATCCATATCCGTAGTAGCTTCCATAGTATGGGTATCCGTAGCTACCGTAGTAGCTTCCGTAGTAGGATGGATAGTATCCGTATCCGTACACTTGAGCATCGGTCTCGGCGACGAAAGCGCAGATAACGAGCAGCGAGACGAGGATGAGCCTGAAAAAAATGGATTTTGTTCCAGTTTTCAGCACCGGTTCACCACTTACAGCTTAGCGTTCATTGTGAGAGTGGTTGTGTAGAGAAGCAAAGAATGCTGAAGATTTCCGGACATTCCACAAGTTTTATACTTTCTGTTGCTGTTTGCTTAGCACGAAAAGAGTGAAACGGCATTTTAATGCCTGTTGCTCTTTGATTTCGGGGGGAATCGGTTTGAGTTTACTCTGGTCTTGACAGTTCAGTTTAATGCTAGCGCATCAAAGTCTAAGTCTGCGGAAATGTATATACATAGCTCGCCGAAAACGCTTTTTTTTTGCAGGCCTGGGCGTCTGATAACGATCGGAAAGTGTTCGAGGAGAATCGAGAACTCGAAGCGCGAATCGCGGCGTTAAGGAACAAAATGGAGATGAACAGAAAGATTCTGGCGACTATGAAGATTCCGAAAGGAGTTGTGCAGTCGACAGTGAGCCGAACCACGGGAAACCCCCAACCACGACCACGACCACAGCCGGCCGAGCAAGAAATGATCGAAGGAGACACGGCGAGAGCTCTTTCCTGGATGATCAATGATATGGAGCGCCTTGTGGATGACCAGGAGAAGACGAAAGTTGTCGATCGATTGCCAGTGGAAAAGGTTGAAACTCCTGAGGCAGCTGGCTTCAGATTAGGAGAAGCCGAACCGGAAACTGAAGGTCCCAGCCCGACGACAGTGAGCCCATTTCCGTTCCCAGTCCCGGAGGATGGTTTTGCTTTGATCCGATCCAAGAGGAACGTGAAGCAGAACAAGTACAAAAAAGGTTTGTTTTCTCAAATATTGTACAATCCATTTTCTGTTTCTATTTCAGTTCTCTGGTCGTCGTGGAGCGAGTGGACCGAGTGCGAATGTGGCAAACAATCGCGCAAACGAAAGTGTCTCAAATACATTGAATCAAAGTATCCGTCCGATAGTCGTGAGTATTTGCAACGCGAGCGGCCACTGCTCTGACTTATCATCAACGTCAACTAGTTGCCGCAGCTTTTGAATGAAAATGAGAACGAATGTATTTGCAGAAGTCTTCGTGCCAATAGATCAAACCACAAACTCGATAACGTTTGAAGAGCCCGCCGAGTTTCCCGAATCGATTCCAGAACCGGCGCCTATTGAGGAAAGCTTGCAGAGGGTGAAAAGATCTCTGAAATGTCCGCCGCCGCAGATTGAATTCCGATCGTGCTACTCGTCACTATGTTAACACACATTGCAAAACGTCCCTCGACTTTGATTCTCAGAAAAGTGCAGTAATAAGTGTACCAATAATAATTGCTTTTATGTTCGAATCAATTAATCCGCTAGCGATATGGGTATTCGTTACAATTTTTATGTAATAATCAGCGTGTGCTCAAATAAATAGTAATCCTTGATATGTTTTTGTTTTTCCCATTGTAATTTTCTTCGAAATGGATTGTAGGGGCTCTCTTCAAGTGCTCTCACATCTTCCGAGAAGCCAGTAGGTCTGCATGACTCCTTTGCCCTGAAAGATCAATGATAAAGCTGGCGAGTGAGGGTAGAAATCGCGCTCACTTTTATAATAACCTCTCCTCGACTTTCTGTCCTATATTCCTTGTACAGACTGGTGAGAAGATCATGAGCATCAGATGACAAATGAATAAAACCGGGTTTTCCGTTACTCTCCATCCGACTCGCAGTGTTGACAGTATCTCCGAACAGACAATATCTGGGCATTGTCAATCCAACGACTCCAGCAACACACGATCCCGAGTGCATTCCTATCCGAATTTGCACTTTTTCTTGCGGCAAATGGGCGATTTTGTAAGATTGTAGACTCTGAATTTGATAATAGAAGCGAAAGATGTCGGAATGCGCTCACTTCCATCAGCTCTAAGCTCATGTTGGCAATGTTGTTGACGTGTTCGGTGCCGTTCCGTCTTGGCAATCCGGAGACGACTAGGTAGGCGTCACCAATTGTTTCTACCTGGAAGATAGGAGGTTTCTCACAAAAGACCAGAAAGAGGTTCATAGTGCTCGGTTCGAGTACAAACAAAACAAGTAATTCTAAACCTTGTACGAGTCATTCCTTTCAATAATCGCGTCGAACGTGGTGTAAAGATCATTGAGCAAGTTGACAACCTGAAAGAACAAATAACGTCCTCACACACACACACGCTACAGAAACGGTTTCTCGCCTGCAATGGAGTGCTTTTGTTCGCCAACACTGTGAATCCGACGACGTCCGAGAAGAAGATTGTGACACTTTCGAACGCCTCTGGTTCCACAGATTGTCCCAGCTTCAGACGTTCCGCCACTTGTCTGTAAAACAGTTGTTGGAATGTTGTTTGCTCTTTTCTCACTTTGTGTGCATATTGTTAGTTTCCAAATGTTTTTCGATCCGTTCTTTTTCGTGTTTTTTTAGCGCTTCCGCTCGGTTCAAACATTGCGGCTCTCACACAAATAAGAAAGGGGCGGGGTGCCGATGAGTAAAGGTAAACAGTTGTAGATTGGTATAAAACTGCGATGATTTGTTGCGACAAATCATCGAAAGTAAACTCTTTCTTCCGAAATCCTCTATCCACAATGAACGCTAAGCTGTAAGTGGTGAACCGGTGCTGAAAACTAGGACAAAATCCATTTTTTTCAGGCTCATCCTCGTCTCGCTGCTCGTCATCTGCGCTTTCGTCGCCGAGACCGATGCTCAAGTGTACGGATACGGATACTATCCATCCTACTACGGAAGCTACTACGGTAGCTACGGATACCCATACTATGGAAGCTACTACGGATATGGATACGGAAAGAGGGACGCTGGATTCGGACCCAGCCAACAGAACAATCAATGAATGGCCTTGTACACCTTTCTGAGCAACAACTACTGCCTGACGAAACAAATTACGACTCCTTATCCCCGTCTAAATGCTAATAAAACTGATCGAACAATACTTACTGGGGCAACATGCGATACAGCAGAATATCGCTCTTTTTCTTCTCCTCAACCAGCTCCTTCATTCGCTCTTGAACCTCATCCTCGAGGCTTGACGCATGCTTTTCCAGCACCGAGAACACGTGGTCCATGAGATTTGCACTTCTGGAAACGTTGACAGTATTCATTCGTAGTTTGCTCCCTGATTCGGGTGTTCAGTGGCAAGGAACGTGAAAGCAAACATTTGCTTTTCACATTTTCACTAGTCTCTCGATCAATCAGTTCGTTTGTCAGTTGGGGGGGTCTTACCCAGACCTGCCAGAGTTCATATTTTTCATCAGTTTGTTGACCACGTCGATATTGGGCCGTTGCTTCGGCTCCTCGTCCCAACAATCGCGAATTAGGTGCAGCATCGCCGGATTCACGTCCTCATCCGCTTCGTCGAGACTCGGGCGGAATGGCTGGCGCCCGCCACGTTTCACCATGAAAATGATCTCTGAAATATGAACGAATTTTGTGAATTGACACTGTAAGACTCACCATCCGGCTCTTCTTTGCGATTTTCCAGGTTCCACGCGGAGCAGTGTCCGACCAACTCCGAACAAACAATCGCAAAACTATAAACATCACCGGGCTGCGTGCCCGACATGAGACCGTCGCGTAGCACTTCAGGAGCAGTGTGAAGCAGTGCTGAAATGATACAATTGATTTCTTCAGTTCAACTTTCCAATTCAACTACCATCTTCGCTGGGCTTCTCCACACTTTGCATGAACGACAGTCCGTACTGGCCGATTTTCACTTGCCACCTATCATTGATATAGCAACAGTCAGAGGTGAGGCTTCCGTGTTGTCGAATCGGAGAGTTATGGATGTATTGAAGCCCCTGCAAGAGAACTACTTTGTGATCAAATGACGGGATTCTCACGCACACTTGCGATATCTTTCATCAGACAGTAAACGAAGAATCCGTCCATGTTGATTGAACTCTTAGAGATGACGTCCTACAAGTTAATGAATCATATGGCGTATGACCATTACATTTGCAACAAACCTTTATACTGCCACGACTGCAATATCTCCAAAACGACATGTATACCGGTCCGTCAATGGACAAACCGATAAACCGATTCACATTATCGTGCTCAATGCTTCGTAGCATTCGGAGTTCGGCTCTATCGTGCTTGAAAATCGGCACTCGCAACTGATACTTCCTTGCCAAAACCGGCTCATTGCCATAGACAAAATATCCTTGGGTCTCCGTCTCCGGAAAGAAAACAGATTTTGAAGAGACGCCAGTGGTTCCCGTCGTTGTTGTGGAGTTGCTTTGAAGAGATCGCGAAGAGTGGATGTGATGGCTTTCCCGCTTTCCTTTAGATATCGATTGAAGCATAGCATAGGGCACCATCCACTGATCGTCGAGCCTCAGTTCCTCATCCTTCCGGGCCTTGATGACCAAGTAGGCTGCGATGACGGCGGCAGCACAACAGAAAACTATAATCACCGCGACTATGATCACAATGTAGAGATAGTCGACGAAGAAGTTGACGGGACAACTATTTCCAGAATATCCACACTGTGGACGGGTCCGGGGAGTGACTCCGCTGTACGCATCCCAGATGAGTCGCTCATCTACTATGGCAAACGTCCAGTTCTGAAACACTGTCTAGTAACTTTCAAAAGTGAAGTATGCCTCACCACACTGGAAGCATCAATATCCATAAAGGCGACAGTTCTTTGTGTTGCATTAGAGTCGAGATTAGCGAGATTCATGTTTGGGAAGCGATAGCCAATGCCATTCATGCGGACAGTTCCGGACATTCCTTCAAACTCGATTCCGGAGCCTCGAGTGACGATGTTGCTGCCATTGGCGATTTGTTCAATGCCTTGCTCCTCTATTGTTTTATTTAGAATAATTGCATACAAGTAGACTGTGTCGTGAAGCTGATCTGCGTATTCGGCTGCCTAAAGTCTCTCGTTTTCCAGAATATCATTTATTACTCACCTCCTGATACTGTTTATCGCTACACTCCTCAATGCAGTTATACGGCGGAAGCTTCATTCTTTCAATCACCTCCTTCTTGAACGCCGCGTACTTATCGCCCTGGACAGGCGTCGCCACTATGACCATCGTTCTCATAAACGCCAACTTTGCCTCTTCGTCCCGCCCGTCCGGTTTATCACTCCAGTCCACCCAAATGCCCACAACTTCTCCACTTGATGAGGTTTGTTCTGAAACTCTCATAGACATTCGAAAGGTTTGACATGAAATTACGGTAGGCAGTCGACTTTGGGCCAGCGAACAAGTATACATATTCTTCAGAAGTCATTCCCAGATCGTAGGCGGCCAGCATAAACCGACGTTTGATGTCTCCTGCCTCAGGAAGACATACCGTGAAAACTGAAACTGTAACTTTGCAGTCATACACGATTTGAGACTCACTTCTCGAGACAGTCTTCAATTTCTCCAGTTGTTTGTACAAATTCGCGTAGCTCTGGTCGTAAATCTGTATAGTTCTACTGAGCGACGTGTAATTTGAATTCGCAGTGATCTGTTCCAAATCGTCCCGAAAGTATCCGCACTTTTCGTCTTCCACAAACACGTACACGAACTCGTCCCATCCGAATTGTGTCATTACTTCGTGGATCGCCGCGGCGATTCTAAAGTTTATGGCTTAGGGTAGCCGAACAGAACGTTCAAACTCACGACTTAGCCACGGGAACAATGGTGATAGCAGTCGGATATCGCCCCACATCGATAAAATTTGACGATATTGTGAGTCCCCACGTGAGTACAGGTGTGTTATAGTATCCGGCCAAGTTGATCACAGCCAGCCCCGCTTGATTACACGTCGGACCGATTATTGCGCTAACGTTGGCGTCCATCATTAGTTTCGACGATAGTCCGGCTGCTTTCGACTCGCTACAGTCGTCGAACACGTAGATGAAGCTAGAAGTGATCATGTTTTCAATACAAAAACTTGGAGTACTTGATATCGACTCCATCGATCAAGTGTTCCGACTTGATACGATCCATCGCTATTTCGATGGCCGATGCAGAGGTTTGCCATCCGACCGACGACGCCATGTCCTGAAAACAGATAAAGTTTGCAAGGTGTTCGGGTGTTGAGGGAACGTGCAATATAGTGAAGTATTGCCTTATTATCCTTGCACATCATCACACCGACATCGACTCGAACCACATTTCCAGTAGTCACCACTTGTGCGAAGATTGCTCCGTGCAGAAGGTGAAGATAGAGTAAAAACATCTGAAGACGAGCTGATGGTTACGTTAGAAGGCCCGAAGTTTACCCGAACAAAGTGCCAAAGCATCGAGAGCTAACACAATGTTTTCATAAATGAGTGGGCGAAGTGTGAAAAGATTTGAAAAGCCGTCAACCGACCAGTTTATATGATCGTATTTTCGAGAAGCCTCACATTTCCTCTTCTTGTTTTTTTTTCCTCCTTCGTCAAAGTTTGTTCGACTAGCTTCGAAAGGTTTCTCTCGCTTTTCTCGGGTTGATTTTTAAGGAATGAATGATATCAGATTAGCGAGCAATTTTCTAGAGATGTCTGGTTTATGTGCAGTCATAAGCTCTCAAATTCGGACCCGGGAAGCCAGAGCATCAAGACACATGATGTGCAGAAAGGATGACGATCGGTCTAGCACCAAACTGTAACACAATCAGTTCCTCTTTCGTCGTATGGTGTTGCAAGTTTCACGAGACTAGCTGATGTGTCGCTAGATCCGAATCTCCGCCCGTCTTTTCAGAAAGTGCCCGAACATAGCGGATTGTTCCAACGGCCAGATTGATGATGAGATTAGCAAGTACTGTAGTGATCTTTGGAAACTCAATGTGACTCATATTCAGCATAGATTTATTCTCTTTTTTCCCCTCAAACATCCTCTTTTTCAGGCCTGAAAGTTGTTCGTTTAGCTGACGCATACCCACTTGTGGCTCATGCGTCAAAGAAAATGATTGAAATTTTCCATTTCATGAGGGGGCACTCTTGACGGATGACAACGCCGCCCACATCATCAATCTCTCGAGTTTTGAATCCATTTTGGGGCTCAGTGGCTCTAGCCATATTCGAGAGAATATGGACGAGTTTGAGTATCGTATTCTCTGCTGCCACGTGGCTGTCGACGTGGCAATATTGTGTACTCTGGAAATTGTTGTCATTGTGTCAACTTATCTGACAGGTTGGCCCCCTCCCCCGCAACTTTTACATCATCTTCAATTCGCAGGTTTCAAGCACCCGTTGATGACATGTCAGTCGTTCAACGTGTCACTTTTGGAGCGCTATAATGAGCCGACGGTGTTGTCGCAGCACAAAATCTGTACTACAAACGGACCGCTCCTCTTCTGGATCATCATCCACGTGTTCACGGATCTCATGGCGTTGGTCAGTTGATCTTTTTCGTTCTGTCTTCCTCTCAATTGGGTGAGCGGACAAGAGATACTCATCTGTGTCGACGACGGATCGGTGGAGTACGGTAGTCGGAGGAGAAGCGAAAGAAAAAATATATAGGCTATAATTCGAGTTTTGGCGACTTGACTTTCAGATCTCCATCTACACAAAGAACACGAAACTTCTACTCGGCTACTTGTTCGTCACCTCATTGGATCTTCTGATGTCTCTTGCCTACGTCGTCGTTCTGCTCGCTTTTATTGTCGTGAGCGAGCCAGTTGATAAGGTAAAATGTTAATTTCACGACTCGACACGCAACTACTACTACTACACACTTCAGATCCTAATGATGTTTATGGTTGGAATGGTCGTGTTCAAAGTCTACGAGATCCTGAGCGGCCGACGCCTCTACTGGTACCTGCTCTGGCGCCAGGACAACATGATGACTCCGCGTTCGGCTCTCGTCAAACACGACGACAACAATGTATTCCAGTTTTAACCCGTCTCATTCATAGCCTCAGACTTTTGAATCGTGTGAAAGAATAAAGGAAAGCCCGCGGCGATCGTTGATCCATTTTCGTTCTCACATTCTCCGACGTGCACGCTGATCTTTATCGTCTAGGTTGAGAAAAAGGGGGAAGAAGGAAGAAGGATCGTGCCGATATGTGTCAGGATGGTTCTAGTTTCGACTCCGCCCATTTCTTGTCCTTGATGTCACGAAATTGTATGAGTGGCAAGAAAAACAAACTGGAATTTGAGGAAGATGACGTGTTGTTGTTCATATTCTATACATTCAAGTAAACGTTTTGTCACAGAGATACTATATTTGTTCAGTTCGAGTGGAAAGGGCGTTCTGCACCATGTATGGAGGAAACTGAAACAGAAGAAACACAGCCCTTTCGAAGATGATCTCTCACTTAATAAGTAAGTTGTAGACTATTGCTTTAACTCGATTGAACCAATGAACCATCATGATATCTAGGGGCTCCACGACGTTTAATATCAGACTTTTTTCACCCCACTGATTGGTATATCAACGATCGTATGACTTACTACGCATTAGAAAAACGTCGTGGAGCTCGCACAAAAAAGAGGAATCTAGAATGTTCTATTATAGGGGCACCGGACAGAAAGGGCGCGCTGTTCGCAATCTGGCAGAATTTCTAGGCCGCGAAGTAATTTTCCACTGAAAACGTGGCCTAACTTTTCAAACTCGGCCCCGAGGTCGCTCAATTTGCACTGCAAAAAGAGTTTCTCAACAGAGCGCCATTTCTGTGCGGTGCCCCTATAATAGACGAACTTACAGTATCCCTCTCTCTCCTCCACCTGCTTGCTTTTCCTGTGGAACAAAACGAGATCGGTCGTTCAATTCGGAAAAGCCTTACTGATGCGAATCTCAACCGTCGACCAGAATAGATGCTTCTACACGCCGGTCTTGTCGAGTATAAAAGGCGACGGGGAGAAGTGCAGATCAAAAGTTCTCCGAATGGCACTTTCAAACAAACAATACAGCCGGCTGGACGAGGGTAGGTCTCTCTCATCAAACGTGGAGCTGAGTGGCTAGAGAATGTGATATTCCAGCGATGGCGCCTCCGAGATCACTGTTCAAAACGATCGTATTCCTAGTTTTCGTCGGTTGCTCGTTTCTCTTCATACACACTTTGATGAGCAGAAGTGGCGACAGAGAGAACGGCCAAGAGTTAGCGTCGCCGACGTTCAAAGAATTTTATGAGTGCGTCTACCCAAAGCTGTACCCCCTCAAGGGTAACTATGAAGAGGTAATTCCTACAATTCCTTCTTTTTGTCTAATCGCATATTCCTTCAGTTCTGGTACTCGTTTGTCAACCTCACAAAAGAGTGTGATAACTTGGATGCATTAAAGGCTCTGGATATTCGTCCTGTCGAGAATACCGACGAGGTGAAGTATGTGGCGTATCCAAAAAAGGTACGTCAAAATGTCTAGTCGATCTAGTCTAGCTACCGTAGTCTAGAGAAATGTTTACAGGATGAGGACATCACAATGGTCACCCTTGGAGTCGGTCATGACGTGGATGCAGAGGTGAAGCTGAAGGAATTGTATCCTAAAACCGAGTTCTTCGGGGTAGACCCGATCGGAGAGGGAAACAAAGACATTTACGAACGAAAGTTGAACGGAACCTTCTTCCAAATCGCTGTCAGTGGGAGTGGAGGCATGTTCAAGTCGCATGTCTTTAGAAGTGAGTCTTGCCGCATCTCTCCTAGTTATCACAATATCACCTGCAGAGGGTTACGGTAACGAGATGACAATGCACATTGGCGCCGGATATTTCTTCGGCGAAATGCTGCGAAAACCGAAGATTGACGTGTTGTGGATCGACACGGAAGGCCACGAATACACTGTTCTGGAACTGTTACACCGCGGCGGCGAGTTTGAGAAGAGAGGAGTGAAAGTGTGTCAGATGAATGTGGAAATGCACAAGGATACGTACAAAGAGTCGCAGGGCGAGAAGCAGAAGTTCCATGATTTCGTCTGGAAAGTACTCGAAGACGGAAAGTACGTGATGCTGAAACCGTTCTTTGTCTCTTGGAGGAACAAGGGATTCATTCGGACGTTCATCGTCAATGTCGCCGATAAGCAGTGCACGGATTTGTATTTGAGCTAACTCTTTCTTGAGATTGTTTGGAACATCAGTGTTTTCGGGTACTATTTGTTTGATAAATTATTCACGATTGCAGTCAAACTTGTGTCTTTTTGTTTAGCGGAAAGGAGCACAAGTTGCTAAACACTGAATTTTGGCAACTGAGAAACATTCAGCAGTCATTAGTGTCTACAATACTTGCAGGAAATGAGGCTCCGACCATATTTAAGACTTTCCAATTGCGAGTTCTTCTTCAATACAATCTTGCACCTGATCCTGAATGTCCCCCGTACAAATTCTGAATTCAGCTTCTTGTCTGCCCGCCCCCACACATCTACCGTACCTTCTCACTAATGTGTAGCCTCCGCGTGTCCAATGAAACAAATTGTGTTCCGATACGGAAAAGCCGCGATATGTATCTTCTGAAGAATCGCTCAGATTCCAAAAGGATATAAAGGAAAGGACAGTAGTGAGGCAAGAGTGTTTGAACAGAATAAATCGCTGACCCTCCCCCACCCGTTTTCAATGGCCATTCAGTTTTACAGTCGACTAGGACATCCATCGAATCGAGCATTCGCACTTCTACTTGCAGCTCTCCTCTGCTCTTTTTGGCTCTCGATCTCATTTCTACAAGACAATGCTCTAATAGAAGTACGAACTGCATCACCAATTTTCCAAGCGTACAACGAGTGCGTCTACCCAAAGTTGGAGCCATTCAAAGGCAACTATGAGCAGGTGAGTCTATTTGAATTCGTTTACGAAAACTCGAGGTGTCGATTACAGTTCTGGCACTCATTTGTGAATTCAACGAAAGAATGTGACGATTTGGACGCCTTAAACGCGTTGGACATTCGGGTAGTGGAGAATCGAGATGAGGCGAAGTACGTTGCGTTTCCGAAGAAGGTAAGCGAATTTGGCAAATAAGAGGGTTTGGTTGCAAGGCGTTCTTCAGTTTGAATGTTCAGAACGAAGCCATCACAATGGTGACGCTTGGAATCGGACATGATGTGAGTGCTGAGATCAAGTTGAAGGAGGCAAGTCATTTCCGTTAGCGCACAGTCGATGACAAGTCGTATATTTCAGCTCTATCCAAACACAGAGTTTCACGGAATTGATCCGATTGATGAGGGAAATCGTGATTTATACCAGGACAATTTGGGCGGATCGTTCTATCAAGTGGCCGCCAGTGGCAGTAGTGGCATCTACAAGTCGTTCGTCTTCAGAGTGGCATCTGAAAAGTATAGTAGTGAGTACACACTTTTCGCTTTTATACATAGTCTAGCACTCTTCCTTTACTATTAGACACTATGGAATTTTCTTACAGAAGGCTACCGAGACGAGATGACAATGCACATTGGCGCCGGATATTTCTTCGGTGAAATGCTGCGAAAACCGAAGATTGACGTGTTGTGGATCGACACGGAAGGCCACGAATACACTGTTCTGGAATTGTTACACCGCGGCGGCGAGTTTGAGAAGAGAGGAGTGAAAGTGTGTCAGATGAATGTGGAAATGCACAAGGACCTGCACGAAGAGTCGCAGGGCGAGAAGCAGAAGTTTCATGATTTCGTCTGGAAAGTACTCGAAGACGGGAAGTATGTAATGTTGAAGCCGTTCTTTGTCTCTTCGTACAAAGGATTCATTCGAACGTTCATCGTAAATGTGGCGGATAAAGAGTGCACGGATTTGTATTTGACACCTGAATAAACGGATTAAAAATGCGTTGCTTTGTTAGTTTCTATTTTGTATTTCAAAACATGAAAGTGAAACAAACAAAGCGTGAACTTGCCAGTTGAAATTGATAAAATTGGTATTTGTCCATCCGCCGAAAGCTTCTCAAACGACATTCCGTTGTTCCGCACTGGCGCGTTGTTTATCGTAAATCTCCACTAATTTTTTCTCACACTCCGCTTATTTTTTCCCGTTAAAAAGCAAACAAATTGGATCGAAAATGACATCACATCTTATGCAAAGTCTCCCTGTAAGTTATTGTCAACTAGAAAATCTCAAATTTAAATAGCTCCATTTTTCAGGGTGGTTTGAAATTGAGCGAGCTCGTGACGAGGCGGACAGTGCTATCAGTAGCCGCGGGCATCGGAATAGGACTTGTTTTTGCAAATTTTCTCAAAATGTACGTTTCCTGTTTAGTAATTACTTAAGTTTCTTCAGTAATCTGGTGATTTGTTTGTTTCCAACTGAAATCCGTATTCATTTCAGGTGGAGAAAGCGAAGAGAGTTGCGACTTAGCAGCATAGAGCAACAACTTGACGGAATGGATATTTCAAGAGAGTCAGAAGCTTCTCAACCGCCTCCTTCGCTTCGACGGAGTCACAGTGGTCGTGGAATGCGACCGAGCTCTTCTCAAGGCAACGAAAAAGGCAACTCTTTGAGAAATAGTATGAGACAAAACTCGCAGCGCAGCATAAGCCAGAATCCAATCGAAGCAGATATTCATAGCGGTCAGGAACTGTGCACAGATCTTCGAAAAACCATTGAAAAGGTGCATTTCAATCTGGAGATGGTTAAGAATCGAAGCAGCAAAGATATGGAGAGATCGATCAAGATTGAGGCAATTCTGAAGGGATTGAAGCAGGTCGAGGACGAGATCGGACTGCTCATACCGCAAATGGAAGACTTCAGAGATGAAAGTGAGAAAAGCATTTGTCCTCAAGTCATCAACAAAAAATATATTCCAGACGTCGATTTCTATTCTATAAGTGGTTCCGGACACGCGGGAAGTGTTCGAACTGGTCGATCTCGCACCCTTTCCGTACTTTCCGACGATTCGTTCCGATCGGCGGTAGAGGAATTCGCCTGTGACATCGATGATATCGACTTTCCTAGTGAAGCGGCAAATTTGGAGAAGAACGAGTTGAAGCTCCTGGACGAGGGCATGCAGGCGGCCCTCAATGGAGAAGTCAAGTACCGTAAAAGTCGAATGGACTTCTGCAATTGCGAGAGCGAAACCGACTTTGCCGCCAAACTTTATTGCGTTCGACAGGCTCTTACAGTAAGATTTCGTTTTTTCTCGGATTTAAACCCATTTCAACATTCAGAACGCCCTGAAAGACGAGCACAAACGAGTTTGGCTGGCAAAGTGCGGTCGAACATTGCTAGCTGATTTTATACGTCACACAAAACAAGACCCGATGAAGTTCTTCCAAGCGTACGACGAAATGCTCGAGTACGTGGCGACGGAGAGGAATCAAGAGCAACTGCGACAGGATGTCGAGAGCCGCGGTGTCTGCGAGACCGGATTCTACGATGTCGCCATTGATTTCATCATTCTCGACGCGTTCGAAGATCTCAAATCACCCCCGTCCGCTGTGTATTCGGTCACTAAAAACTATTTTATGTCGATGTCGATGAAGTATTCGACGTTGAACACTATCATCTGGTCGATTATCAAATCGAAGCGTCAGAGGCTCAAAAACCCGGATGGCTTCATCGCAAAGTTCTACAACATCTCGGAGACTGTCATGCCGGCGATCACTCTCGGCTTTCTGGGAACAGACGAGCGGCTAGGCGAGCTCTGTCAATACTTCAAAGAACAAGTGGTTCAATTCGTGCTCGACGTCTTCAATACGCAAAGAGTTTGCTATCGTTCACTCGACGAAATGTCCGAAGATGTGTGGATCGTGATGAGGAATCGATTGGAGGCCGTGCAGACCAGAATGAGCAATGAGCTTTTGCCTGCTTAATTTATACCATGTTTCCGAGTTTTAGATTAATAATCATCATTGTAATGCGTCTTTAACTTTTCGGCAAGGCGGGCCATTTCCCCTTTGAGAAAACACGGGTTATCATCACTCTTTCCCCTTATCTCACTCATTGTTTGCTTATTTAATAGGGTATATAATTGAATTAATGCTTTAGTTATCAAAAGGCGTTTCTAGGCGAATAAAGACTCAACTTTTTTCATCATGCAAAATTTATTTGAAAGAAAAATTGTTCTTTTTTACAGAAAAATGATTGAGGGGTTTAGGTTCAGAAGACTTTGCCAAAAAGACGTCTTCTGGCGGATGGATCGGCGTCCAGCGATGCCTCCAAAGCCTCCCATGTATCGTCAACCGATGAGGAGAACGCTGGTGGAGCAGCTGGAGAAGCAGAGGACAGCTCGGATCCGTCGTATCCTGGAAAATAGTGTTCACAGTTGGGGGAGGGTGGGCTTAGGATCCAGATAGTGCAAAGCAGACTAATTGAGCTCATAATATGCCCGAATAGCGTCACCTCGATGAGAAGAATCGACCGGAACTGGTGCTCCGTAAACACCCTGCGCTGGGGGCAGATTTGCCAGGAACGGGTTGGCGGCGCCGTACGAAAGGACTGGTTTGGAGGCGATCATGAAGGGGACCGGGGCCGCTTGCTTATGAGCCACAGCTTGATGTCCTTGACCATGATGATAATGCGCCGGAGCAGAACCGTGCTGATGTTCAAGGAGCGGAGTGGGTGGAGTTGGAGTAGAAGTTGCCACAAATCGGTGTGGAATTGGAGCCGGAGCAGGAGCCGCAAGCCCATAGCTGCTACCGCTTTCCGCGCCTGGAGCACTGGCTCCGTAGATTTGAAACGGACGTCCGACAGTTTGAATATTACTGTATCCAGCGTTCGTCGGCAGGTACTGCGGGTACGGATAGTAGTTGTGCGGCTCCGGAAGCACTTTGTACGACTGGGTGAGCACTGGTGGTTGCTGCTGCTGCTGATGTTGGTATCCGGACTCGGAGACATGAATCGGAGCAGAAGTCACTGTGGGACTACGGTAGTCGGCATTCGCATTGGCTCGGATGAGAAGTAGGGAAAAGAGAAGGCAGAAACGAGCTGCGGATGACATTATCTGGAAAGGAACAATGTTTTTTTGCGTGGACAGATGTGGTATTGATCGGCGTATCACACACAGAAACGTTTTCAAGAAAAGAAGTAGCCTACTCAACTTTGAACCAAAAGTTTCGGGTTGGAAAACCAGAGGAACTAATGCTAAAGAGGAGAAGGAATGGTGGTGTGAAACTCCGAAACCATGTCCTCTTATATAGTAACTTTGCACCATGTCCGCACAAACCTGTATTCATCACAAGTGAAATCGAATTCATTGTCTGTTTAATCCAATAAGCTTCTCCTTCTTCTGGGCTTTCAAATGCTTTTTTCTTCTTCTTCTGCTTCTCTGAAAGTGTGTGTAACCTTCGCATTATGCTTCTTCTGTTCAATGTTCAGTTGAGGCAAAAGTGATGTGACGATCATAATCCGTTTGGCATTCTTTTTCCTCTCTCGAAGTGCGAAACCTTGATCTTCTGTCGCCTTTGGTTTGGTTTGCTGGGGACGACTCTGTGACACACACACACAATTTTATGGCTTCAATTTTGACGAAAAAGGCCAAGGACGCGGAATAATTTAATTTTGAAAAGAAGATGAGTTGTAGTACGTTTGGTAGCACCAACCACATCGATTTGAAAAGTTAACTGTATAAACTTGTTAGGGCAAGAAGGACGCGAGGGACATTTCTGGAGGAAACCTGAAGCCCGCTCTTGGCATTTTGACTAACTCCCGTTTCCGTCTTTCGCCACGTGGAGGCTTAGTCATTGAAGGACTTAGGATCGTCGGCAGACGATCCGTGTACCGGCAAGAAGACGAATTCAAAAACGAAGACGCTTCCAAAACATGTGATACAAGCTCAAAGTTTGTTCAGATTTTAAGTCAAGTAGCTTATCTAACGCTTACAGAAAGGAAATTCTTGATCTCAGATTCTCACGGGATTTCTTTTTTTTTTTTTGAAAAAAAGGAAGCTCTTTCAATGACGTTTCTAATATCCACCTCGATAATATGATAAATCTCCTCGCTGTGCCTTATGAGTGTGGTTGGTTCTTCTTTCACAAGATTGTAATCCAACTCTCATCATGAGCCTCTTCTTTTCGCCGTTTTCAACAACAGCTCGCGTAGTGTTCGAACTGAATTACAGGTCTCTTTTTTCAAGAGTGGTAGGCGATTCGAACATCCGCAATGCCGAGAAATCGTCGGCTGTCGCTTTGGATGACGGACGATGTGCAGTTTTTGAGGAGTTCTCCAGCCAAGAAAGTGAGTGATCTTTTCAGGTAATTTTCGGCAAGTTGCCGCATGAATCGGCATCCGTGCCGTGTTCTGCGGAAAAATGCTGTAAGGGTGCCGATTCCGAGCTTGCTACGCGCTGAACCCTTGCTACTTCCTTGCTTCAACTCCTTGCTGCTCCCGTGCCGCTCAAAAACCTTGCTTCTCCCCCATCCCACTCTTTTTCTCAGTTAATTTTCGGCAAGTTGCCGCATGAATCGGCATGGGTGCCGACTAGAAGCGGCATCCGTGCCGTGTTCTGCGGCAAATTGCTGTAAGGATGCCGATTCGGTGCTGAGCCCTTGCTACTTGCTTGCTTCAACTCCTTGCTGCTCCCGTGCCGCTCAAAAACCTTGCTTCCCTCCCATCCCACTTTTTCCTGTTGCTCGCCCTATCCATGCTGATGCATGCCCACCCCATGCTACCGTAGAAACTTGCTATTCACTTGCCGCACTTGCGGAAAATTTCCTCAGAACATTGTCCAAAAACTTAACTCTAAGCATCTCCAAAGCAACCGAGAATGGTTTCAAAACGTCGCAAACATTGATTATAGCCCTGTGCCCGCTCCCCCTATTCTTCCGTCACTCCCCAACAATTCTTTGCTCTTTCTCTTCCTCTTCTTCCTCCCTCATCATCGTCGTCTTCCTTTCATTTTGTGTTCTAAACGCCCGACACAAAGAGAATCAGTCTCGCTGCCAGTCAGTTCAATTTCTAATTTGTTTCTTTTGCCTGCCCCAACCATCAAACCGAGAGGATAGGAAAGAGCGCAATTCTCGTTCGGTTCAAGTGTGTGCGCCTGTCTAATCCCACGCCTTCTTCTTCTTTGCATTCTTCTTCTTCTTCATCTTCTTCCTCTTCTTCCACAATCACTCGAATTCTAAAATTCGTCTGAAATCGAGCAGAGAATGGATAAATTAACGTTGGGCCCGTTGATTGCACAGCAGCGACGTCGAGGCAAACGAAGAAGTTTGACAGTTACGGTAAGGGTTTTTGGCTTGAAGTTCAGCGAAGCGATCAGCGGTCCCTCCCTCTTCCTAATCCTGACGCTGCTTTCTTTGCAGAACTGAATGTCATTGACAGCTAAGCAAACAGGTGAAAAAAAAAGAGTTTTCTCAGAACCACTAACGTCATTTTTCCGAATATCTTGCTCCGCACACACACACACACATACACATATTGGAAGCAATTCTGTGAAATGTTAAGAGAACATGAATCCAAAAGTCAGAATACATCTGTGTGTGTGTTAGTAGCGTGGAAAGTGGCACACTGCTTCATGAATCGTTTCAATTGGCACTGTGCACAATATTAGGCTGCAAGAACAGAAATGAGCGGAGTTCATCGATTCTAGCCACCAGAATCCAGTGATCCCGATCCCGATCCGGTATTCGCTCCAACCTGAAACCGGATACATTTCAAATACTCACTTCAACATCTACTATATCTACTTGAACCCCGTACCCCCCAGATCTAGGTCATACCTCCCCCTCCGTGTCAATTTTCAATTTCCTATTTCGCTCTCTCCACACACACACACACCACTACTATTATTGTCACGTCACAAAGAATGGTGAGTGTGGTCCGTCATTTTGACACATAAATGGGCGCCGTAACCGCTTATTTCGGAACGAGTGGAAACACGAGTTCAAATAGACGAGTAGAACACCTGTCTGACGAACATGACGTGGCACTGCGGTCGTCTCAGATGATACATTTGTCGTCCCCCCCCCCCGCTCGCTTGTACGATTTTGTTTCAATCGGTGTCTGACACACAACAATTTCATTCCGAAAATAGGAAAACAGCAGGTGCAAAGTGTCTGACATCGTATTTGGCCGCTGAAAAACATTGCTTACGTTTGCTTTCCGAAAAAACGCCTCAAACAGTAATCGTTCTGTGCGTCAACAAGATTTCGAAATCCACTCGATTTGAGTAGTTAGTTGTCTTTACCGAATTGAACCTGGCAGTGACGCAACCGGATCCGAGACTAGAATTCTTGACGTGATGATGACGGAGGCATTTTGACAATCAAGTAAGTGATCAGGAAAGCATGACGTGACACTGTATGGCAGTGAAGCTCATGCGAATGCTCTCGAACACAACAGACTAGGATGGACCGATGACAACTAACTATTGGCTGACAACGTTCTGTTAGACGTATGTTAACAGTGCTCACTGCTCATCTGACTACGTTCCGATGTGGAAGAGGCGTTGGGGTAGATTATGATATTTTGGGCGTGCATAATCTGCTGTAGGCTAGAGCCAAAAAAGCAGGCAGTTAATAGTATTTTTCCTATTCAGTTTGATTAAAAGTCGATGCGGAACAAGCCGGGCTTTCTTTGCTGTTTCGATCTTTCTGTGTACTTTCTATGATCTAGCACCGAGCCGGGAGACTTAGAGAACTCGGAAATCCGTGCGATCATGCCAAATCAGCCCCATTTTTGCCGTGTCTTTTCAAACTCTCTGATCATTTTTCATATCCATTCCTCTTTGCCACCCCCGAAAAGGCGTGTCCATTATTCTCGTTCTCTCTCTCTCTCTTCCTCTTGTCTTTCGCATCGAAGCGACGCTGCGATCTGAGCGCCACAAGAGACGGAGAGTGGCGAGCACCTGCTCCGGGCGTATGCACCTCCATTATATTATCAGCCGCCACCATTGCCAACCCCACACAGAGCTCCGCTGAGCTGGCCGGTTCTTCTCCTCCTCCTCCTCCTCCTCCTCCTACTCCTACTCCTACTTCTTCTTCTTCTTCTCCTTCGTCTTCGTCGTCGGAGTCCTAGCTTATCCGTCTCTTCTAATATTGATCCCCTTCGACGGATTACTGTAGTCACTTTCGAGTCTTGTCGTCCGGACGTGAGCGGCGCACAAGACGAAACGAGAGTCGCGTCGGGCGTAGATGGCTATTTCTCAAACTGTGATGCACAAGTTACAGTTCGCTCGAGGCATCGGCCAACGCGAGATGCTGCGTGCCAACACTCTACCGTCGATCACTCGAGCAAAGGTGAGCCATTTTGGCGGTTTTCTACGCGCCAATGCATTCTGCAGCAGCAGCAGCAGCAGCTACACGTATGCATATCATGATTATTCAGCTCGACCCACTCGCTCTCATGCATTCTTAAAGATTTTCTCATAGAACCGTTTTCAAGAGTGCGTGAGAAAACGAACGAGTGCGTTGCGGTTGTGGCAACAATTATCTGTAATCACACATTCGATAACTTTTTGATAATTTGAATTGCCCGGTCGATTCCAATTCCTTCACTTTTCCAGGTCGGATGCTTCGCCCGTCTCAAAATCTACGAGGAAAACGCGCGATTCGTGCTGATCTGCATCATTCTCTTGAAATATCTCGCGTTCGGCGCCGCTCTCTTCCATTGGCTCGAGTGGCAGAACGAGGTCGAGGAGCGGAACGCGGTAAGACGTCTTGATTGATTGACAACACCATAACACGCGAACAAAAAACCGAACACCTCGGTTTGTATATCTTTGTGCAATGAATGTGTACAATTGAGGAGCTGTGCCTTACACACACACCCAATCAGCTAGACTAGGGCCGAGTGCGGATTAGCGGTGATAATCCTTTGGGGTAGAAAAATCCTGCCGGCTATTGTGCTCGAGCTCGCGAGATCCGGAAAGCAGCCGAATGCATCGCGGGCTTTCTTTTTCTCAATCAACACACCGACCGACCAAAACCCAATCAAATTCCATTATAGCGCTTGGCGTCTGTCGGGAACAGCCAAGATTGATCTTGGGGAAGGGAGGGAAATGCTGATTCGTCGGTGCGTATACAGATATTACTCATTCCTTGTGCGAAAAGCTCCAAACGATAGATATAGGGGGGGTATGAATTTCAAATGTGATACGCCGCCAATACTCTGGAGAACTACGTAACCGCAACGCCCTTTGTGCTCTTGTTTGCTCTCTGTTGTTTTTTGTTTCTGCTGGGTTTCGATTGGAGCGCACGAATGAGTCAGTGCCGGAAACATGAACTTTTTATCTTTTTATTCACACAAAGACTCTCGCGCTCGCACTCTTTATCACCATTGGCAACCGACAATTGTCCAGAGTCCGCTATAGCGGTGTCAGTCGTCCGAGAGAGAGAATGCGCGCGCGGAAAACGACAGAGAATGTAGTAGCAGCGAGGAAAACAGCCCACCGAGACACAAGTGTTATCAGAGAACTTTTGAAAAGACAAAAGAGGGATGTTGGCGGTTTTCGCAGGTATTCTGGGTATTTACAAGCGTGCACGCCATCCCAAGTTTAGAGAGAGAAACTAACAGATTCTACTTACAGATCGAACAAAGGTTGGGCGATTATCGAAAAGAGTACTGCAAGAGGAAACCGTTAAACGAATGCGATTTCGATGAAATGGTCCGGTTCATTGCCGACGGTACAACTAGCGGCCTTTTGAACACACGTGCACGCTTCGATTGGCTCGGCGCCTTGTTTTTCTCCGCCACCGTCATTTCGACGATCGGGTTCGGAACGTCGACGCCTCGGACCCCGCTTGGTCGCTTCATAACCATCGTGTACGGAGTGGTGGGCTGCACCTGCTGCGTGCTCTTCTTCAATCTATTCCTAGAACGGCTCGTAACTGGAATGTCGTATATTTTGAGGTATGCTAGCTGGAATCAGCGGATGAACTATTAGTCGTTTGTAGAAGTCTTCGTGAGCGGAAAATCCGGTTCAGACTTAAAGAATCTGGCAATAAGCCGGTGACGCTTCTCCTCAACAACGAGGACTTTAACGAGTCTTCAAGGTAACTGGAATTTTGTGAAATTGCCACCAACCCCCGCTCTTTCCAGCTCTTGTGAGGGTCACATGGACAATTGGCGTCCATCTGTCTACAAAGTGTTCTTCATCCTCTTCTCCATGTGTCTTGCGCTTATCACCGCCTCCGCGGGCGTCTATTCGATCATTGAGAACTGGCCTTACATTGATGCTCTTTATTTCTGCTTCATCAGGTATCTATCTAGATAATTCCTCTCAAAAACTACTTCAAAATGCTGTGTTTTTTCTTTCAGTTTTGCCACAATCGGCTTTGGTGATTACGTCTCAAACCAGCAAGATGTGACCAAGATGAGCCCCGATTTGTATAGGTATGTCTTCATGAGGGAAGTCCATCAAAGTATTCCGATTCCGATGCCTTCAGATTCGTCAATTTCTGCCTTCTGACACTCGGCGCCTGCTTCTTCTATTGTCTCTCAAATGTATCGTCAATTGTGGTGAGACAACTTTTGAACTGGATGATCAAGAAGATGGATGTAAAAGTGGATGACCGATCGTTTCTTTGTTTCAAAAAGAAACGACGTTACATGGGGCTGGGACTGAGACCGCCAAAAGGTAGACGGATCTCTGGCAGAAGCGAAAGACACCTGAACACACATTTCAGGCTACGACATGACATCGGAAAGATCGTCGGTGGACTACGCAGATGGTCTCCTCTCGCTCAAAGAGTTTCTGATGAACAATCAGAGTTCGATGATTATGCTCCAGAAGCAGCTGATCAAGAGCGCCATGAAGAATGTGGTGGAGAATGAGGAACAGAAAATCTCAGCCACACGAGTCGGACCGATGGGCATTCTGGATGAGGCGTTCGGTGATGAACCGTAGACTGTTGCGGGTAGCTTCACAAGTAGATCTTCTCTATGTTTTCCGGGTTTTCCACACAATTGTTAGCTTATATCATCATCACCTTTTGATCTCATTCGTTTCTCTCGGGTGTCTTTGGTTTGAAAAATAAAGTTTTTGTGACAAATCTTTGACTTTTTTCTTCGATGTTGGGTGAGAACCCTTATGGAATCTTAGCGCAATCGTGAGAGAGTTTGAGAAGAGTGGGATTGTTCACACGCGATCAATGATTATGATGGCATCAGATATATATCATTGATGACGTGGTTTCTTGCAGAAAATCGATAATGATATTGAAAGTCAGCCGAGAATTCAAGTTTCACGTTTTGGTAGATAGTAGGACATTTGAAATTGTCTTTTAGAGATTCCGATCTCTTTGGCGGCTTTGTACATACACAGATATCTCTCTTCCCATCCTTACCCCGAACAACCAAAAAAGAATGCGTTGTTTAGATCTTGGATGATCTCCTAGTACATTTATTCATTTGTTTTCCAAAGGATTGGAAAAATGATGATACTTAGAAACAGAAAAATTAGCAATACATCTCCATTCGTTGTTTTTGCGCTTTCCACTTTCTTCATCTTCAGTTGTATTGTTGTTCTGTAAGTTTACGGTGATTTTGGCAAGAAAGCAAACGAATATTGTAGACTTTCGTTCCTTTCACACCTGGAGAACCAAAGGTCGACGGACAAACGTGTGAGGGTAAAGTCAGCAAAAGGATACGTCACATTGGTGGAACTCAATGAACAGGTTGGCTGCTCAGAACATTAAAAGTGTTATTGGTTGTTCAGGTGTACAAAAAGTATGGATATGAAATTGTGCGGTCAGTGTTGCCCATTCCAAAAGTTCGAATGATCGAAGAGCCGTCTTGTGAGAATGTATTTCGGGGGTGGTCCCGAGTCGCAAAACAGCCACAGCCGAATGAGCCGCCGAAGAGAATACCAGAGCATGTTCGGCGGGATTTTCTGCTCAACGGCTATACTTTTGTCCAGTATGTGAGTACGAATCAGTCTTGTGTTGATCGGATTACGTTCATGAGATTTCAGGTGTACAGCAATGACAAAAACTCGCCAAACGGTCAGAGACCAACGCGTTGGGACGAACTATCGGAGATTATCAATTATGGACCGAGAAAAGTGGCGGATATGGGATATGGAAATGATGGGAGTGCGTGGCATGAATGCAGTAGAGACAAACTGAACAAAAGGTTTACAGTGTCCGTTCATCACGCGATGAACGAATATCGATTGGATGGAATGAGAGGTTTGGTCGTTGGAAGTATGATACCGTGGGTGGAAATATTTGCGCTACAACACGGAGCCAAGCATGTGCTCACAGTTGAATACAATCAACTGAACATTCAACACGAGTTCAACGATCGCATCGCCTCAATTCACCCCAATGAGCTGGTGAATGAATGGCGAAAGTACGCTGATTCGTTTGATTTTGCTGTATCGTTTTCATCAATCGAACATTCTGGAATCGGAAGATACGGTGACCCTGTGGATCCTATTGGAGACTTTAGAGAAATGCTCAAGATCAAATGCTTGCTGAAACCCGGAGGTAACAATCCGGTTTCAAGACTCAACGGTTCAATTCAATTGTAGGCCTGTTGTTCTTCGGTGTTCCTTTAGGTGAGGATGGACTCGTTTTCAACCTACACCGAGTGTACGGTCCTATCCGGTTGGCAATGATGTTGCATGGATTCGAGTTGGTTGCCGAGTTCAATGGAACAAGTTCTCGTCCAATTTCTTTGAATGATTATGCTCAACTTTTTCCGGGTTCGAAAACTACTCTTGTACAAAACACACTTGTCTTGCGGAAGCAAAGCTACGTTTGAATGCGTCTTTTCTCAAATAATAACTTGCTCATATCATCGATCAATCTGTGAATGCCGCTAGTCGAGGCGAAACAAGAATATCTGTTACGTTATGCTAGTTTGTTACAGTACGAATCAGACTACATGGATTTCAAGCGCGTCTAATGCTAACGAAGAAGAACCAGATATTGTCAGCTTCTCCTCTTATCCTCTTATCCTCACCCTGTCAGTTGCCATTGGAAAAAGCGCTGATTGATGACAATGTTCCGCCAATATCAATGGCATTCCTCGCACCTGCCGCTTGTCTGACTTGTGTCTGATCATTGGTGATATTGTGAATTCGGGTTCTGGGTACCGTCTAGATCAGTTTGAAGGTTGGGAAAGTGAAAGCTGAACAATTTTGGGGTATAAAAGCAATACATTTTACGACCAAACCAGATCAGAAAATGCTCTCTCTGCGGTCGCTAATCATTCTTTTCGGCCTACTCGCCGTCGCATTGGCGTGTGCTCCTCACATGCCACAGAGACAGGTGCAGCACGGATATTGCAAGTTCTACGGTAAGGAATGACACATTTCAATTTAGAGTACAAACTATCATAGTTGAACATAGCATCTCAAACTGTTTCTATAATTCCAGTCGACGGAACAAGTGACACGACGACAAGCAGCAGCAGCCGTAAGAAGAGAGATTCTTCTTCTTCTGATTCTTCCGGATCCGGAGAAAGTGACAGCGGAAGCGGCGGAACGACCAAGTACAATCGATCAAAGAAGAAGAAGAACACAAAGTGCTACGAGTATGAGGATGGCACCAAGGACGAGGGAGCCACTCTTAAGGAGGGAGTCACTTACAGTAAGTTACTCATAAGCTAGGTACAGAACTGTTTTACCGTTTTTCAGCCGTCACTGTCACGAAGACGTCCTCTTAAACGTTTCGTTCTTTGTTATGTTTGTACATATCCAGCTATTTATTGTTCTTCGATCGCTCGCCTTGAAATAAAAGTGTATTTCTGTAGCTTTTCTGGTTCTAGTAAAAGCGTGTTATGATTGATGATCCGGCAGGGTACATAAAGATGAAAACAGAAGAAGAAGACCAAGTTTTACGAGTATGAGGATGGCACCAAGACAATCAATAATCACATTAGAACATTAGTACTACAGACAACAAAAGTTAATCAAATAAATATAATTAAATAGTAAAGTCATTAGGATAGACTTCCTTGCGAATTCGTTCGCAATACTCCAGAACCTTCGGGAAATCTTTCTCGAGAACATCAGTGATATGAGAACGGAATGGGTAGTAGACTGCCGCCAATTGTCCGAACACTGTTGCATCCACCTAAACCATACAATAATGAATATTCATTTCGATTCTGAAATACGGTTTTGGCTTACCGGAGTAATCTTGTCGCCAAACAAGTACTTTCCCTTGATAGAGTCTTCGATGACTTTGAGATCTCTGTGAAGCAGCTCGTCCAGCTCTTGTGGCTCAAAATCTCCGATTGCGCTCACTGCTCGAGCATACAATGCTCGTCCAAAAACTGCTCGAACGAGAGGGACAAGAAGGGCGGCAAGTGCTCCGGGCAGCGGGAGCATTCCAACTAACGTCTGGTAAAAGGCATCAACGGCCGACTTGTAGCGGAGCAGAATGCTGAAAGCGGGGAATCATTCATTATTGATCTTTCAGGAAACACTTGCAAAACGACATTCCCTTGTTCTACAACAGAACATCACACAACCGGGAGAAACCGTGAGAACTCACTAGAAAAGATGATTGTCAGCAAATCTGCTCAACGCGACAGCCTGCGCTTCCTGATCGGCCGCCAAAGATGGAATCTTGAAATGTTGTCGAAGACGAATCTCAATGAGATCCGAATCGGCAATGTGCTCTCCGTTCAGCTCAATGAACGGAAGAGTTCCATTTCGTGAGCGTGCAGTAGCGGTTTCCACAACCTATATATATTGGCAAAGTTGTGTTAGTTTCTGTTATTGTATATTGGATCAAATGATACCTCATACGCGATGCCATAAACTCTGCAAAGCACCTCAAGTTTCAGGCAGAACGGCGAGAGGTTCGGGCAGTTCTGGAGTCGTTTGAATTGATACAGGTAGACCGTGTCCTTTTTGTAGTCGGTCTTGCGAATCTACAAAATGACAGTGTTTCGGGCTGCGAGTTGACACGACTTACAGCCGGCTTTGGCCTAATTGTCGGTGCCGACAAAAACTTTTTGTAAACGAAGAAGCCGATGGCTCCGAGCACGAGGACGCTGGTCACTGGACAACAACACGTCATTCTGAAACGAGGATTACAGTAGTGAGCAGAGTTATATAGGCTAAAAAGAGTAAGAAGTACACAGGTAATGTCCATCATCTTAACAAACTAGAGCAACGAAGAGATGAAACCAGAAAGACGCCCGGTCTATTTATACTCGGCGCTGATCAGGGTAGACTCAAAGAGACGCAGGCACAACGATTAGTGTGTCCGCATTGTGTCGGCGATGTACATGACTGTGGCGACTGGCAGTTTCGCAAGAGTTTCTTTAGTTCTTGAGACGTTTACAGAAAAATGACTAGATAAAAACCAAGTGTTAGTGGGAAACGTGCGGTCGAAGAAACGAGAAGAGAATGTGTTTTGTGACAAAGATGGAGTTTGTGATAGGAAAATAAAACCGAATCAGTACTGATAAATCAAATAATACACGTTGTTGTTTGTGGTTGGTTTTTGGCTCCTACTTCGCAAACCGCTTCGCGACTTTTCCGAGTGTTAAAATGAAATGAGCACAAGTAGATTGTAAGTTTTAATGAACAAAACAATTAACGCGTAAAATCATTTGGATAAATTTCTTCGCGGATACGCTCCAAGTACTCCACAATCTTCGGGAAATCCTTGTCGAGAACCTCATTGACGTGCGTGTTCAGTGGATAATAGACAGAAGCCAAGTGTCCGAAGACAGTGGCGTCGACCGGCGTCAATTTGTCGCCGAACAAGAACTTCTGGTCCTGAAGATGATCCTGAATCGCCTTGAGATCTCTGTGAAGAAGGTCGTCCAGATCTTGCTCTTCGAAATCTCCAATCGCCATTTTTGATTTCTGATAAACTCTCTTTTGGAAGATTGCTTTGAAGGGTGTCACGAGTAGCGATTTCAAGACGGCTGGAACGCCAACAACATCGAGAAGCGTGTGGTAGAACTCATTGACAGCAGTCTTGTAGCGGATCAGAATGCTGAAGAAAAGAAGAACATCGATGATAGCCGGGGTTCGGTGAACTTACTTGAACAAGTGATTGTCGGCGAGCCGAGTTAGAGCGATAGAATGAGATTCCTGCACGTCGGGAAGGCACTGAAATTTGTGACTTTTTTAGCCCATCCGACACACAGTTTACACATTTACTCACCGGAATATTAAAGTGTTTCCTCAATCGTTGCTCAATGAGATCCGAGTCAGCGATGTGCTCTCCGTTGAGCTCGATGAACGGCAACGTTCCAGTTCGACCCCAACGACGTTTCTCGTCACAAACCTTCAAAAGAATACATTTTTCATTTGTGCGTAACATGGATAGCCCTCACTAACCTCGTACGGAATGTCAAAAGCTCTGCAGAGCACCTCAATCTTTATGCAGAACGGCGAGAGATTCGGCGCCTTCTTGACTCTCTTGAACTGATACAAATAGACGGTATCCGCCTTGAAATCCTTTTTGTAGGCCGCTGGTTTTGGTCGAATTCCATGAAGCTTGAAGAGCTTTTTGTAAACAAAGTAGCCGATGGTTCCAACGACCAACGCGGCGGTGATGGGACAAGAAGAGCACAACATTTTCAGTGTTCTCTGAAATATCTTTGACTAATAGTTGACAGAAAAAGTGTTACCGAAAGCCAATAAAACATTCTCATTAGTCCGAAAAATCTCATTGTATCAACAACAAAAAAAGATGATAAGCAAAAAAGGGCCAAACTAGTATATATAAATAGTGCGGTGCAAGACGAGAGATGTTGACACAATGGAGACGCAGACTCGGAAATAAGAGTGTTTCGCAATATGTCGACGAGTAAAAAGACGTCGATTTGTGACCAGATGTGGTTAGTGTTCATCACACCGAGGTATGATATCATGGAGGCTATGGATGCTGACGGAACCAAAATGTGAGCACATTATGATAACGGGAAAAAAGTTGTGTACAGCTTTTGTGGATTCACTCCGTGTGTACATAAAAACGTTAGTCCCAAACCTGATTATAAAAACCTCCACAAGTTTGTTTAATTTTTGATTTCAGGAAGCTGGCTCAAACCAAAATGCAAATGAGCAGGCTATTTGAACAGCATACTTCAACTTTGCATTCAAAGATGACTATAAAAGGAGCGTCGAGTAGTCTGTAAGCTCATCGTTTCCTTCATTTCCACATACCGTCCAAATGTGACTTTTTAGGTAACAAAAATGCTGTTCGCAATCGTCCTGGCTTCGACTCTTGTCGCTTCCGTTTCGGCTCAGACGTGTGCTAATGGTCAAGGGCGTACGACAAACGACTTTCATCAAAAGTGTTGATGAAGCATTTCTGTTTCAGAATGTCTTAGCACCAAAGTCAACAACATGGACATCTACTTCTGTCCGGAAGGAATGGCGTGTCTGAAGAATGCGACGTGCTGCGAGTACGCCGATATTCAAGTCTCCACCACCACCACTACAACCGCTGCTTCTACCTCCAGTACGTACGGCTTATAATTAGCAAATGATCATGCAAGCTATCATTTTAGCGTGCGTTGACAAGTTGAACCCATCCACCGGAGTGTCGGATTGTCCGAAGAACGCCAATCTTTGCAACAACTCGGTCTACTACGACCTGATGACTGACGTGGGTCGCTCGCACACTGAAAAGCGTTAGTCAAACTTTCATAAATTGTTGCAGCAATGCCCAAAGACGTGTGGGAGATGCACTGGAAGCAACACGAACAACAACGGCGGATCGACGAGCACCTGCGTTGACAAAGTGAACCCATCGACCGGAGTGTCCGAGTGTGCTGCCAAAGCCTATCTTTGCACCAACTCCGTCTACTTGAGCCTGATGAAGGATCAGTGTCCGAAGACGTGCGGCTTTTGCTAAATGATGTTTGGAGACAGAACAGCTAACACATTCGTTTAAAAAAATGCGAGAAATGAAGTCGTTTATTAGCCAAATAATAGAAGTGTCACAATCTAGACCCTTGGTGTCGATCTGTTTTCATTCACAAGCGGCTGGTCAGCGCCTTCCTCCACGAGGGAAACCGCTCCTTCTCCCGCCTCCCTCTCGCTTCGTTGTCCGTTGCGAAGAGTCCAAATGCGGTGGTCGGTGATGTGCTGCTCCAGATTTCTTCTCCATTCGCGAATGTATTCGGATCGAGCACGCCGTCTGTCCAACTCGAACTGCGAATAAATAAAGGGGGAGAGGACGGCGAAGAGCGTCGCAAACACGGATCCGACGCAGGAGTACATGAGGATTCGAGTGGGATGCACTGTCTTCAGACGATCGTCGCAGCCTTTGAGGTGCGAGTCAATGCACGTCGAGTTCTTGAATAGGGAGTTGAGCGGGCAACGTAGGTCTAGTTTCGACGTGAATGGGATCGATTCCTTGAGGGCCGTACTTTTCTAAAATCTTCTAACTAGACACGGTACACGGCGAACAAAAAACGTAGAAAGGGGCGTGGCCTAGCGTGCACGGTTTATCACCATTTTGGCGCGAAATTCGAAATTTAACCCCTTTTTTTCATTTTTTTTTCGTCAAAAATTACCCAAATTTTGTACGATTTCGACGATGTATAAACTTTGTTAAACTAATCATCGCGCGCACTTTTTGAGCTTAAAACGAGCACGTTTCATTCAGAAATGAATCAATTGAATTGATTTTAAGTTTTGTGCTGCAAATGCGCGAATTTCAGTCATTCGCCGATACTTTTTGCCGTTTGAACGCTTAAAATACTTGTATTAGCGTGCTTAATCACTTCCGACACTCACTTCGTTTCAAAACTATCCAGATCGGCCGGTATGAAAATTCCGAAATTGCGGCGGCGATTGGCCGCGGAGGGCGTATTGCGAAATATGCCAAAAACGTCTCAAACGCGGCGTTTTCACGAAAATTTCGATGTTTTCTCTCGTCGATATCAAACAAAAAAATATCGGAAAAGTGCTGGAATTGCGGCAATTTTCAGAAAACGCGTCTCAGATTAGGCCACGCCAGTTTCTACACTTTTGGTCGCCGTGCGGTACGCACTCCTAGAACTCACGTTATTGAATCCATAATATCTGGCTCCATCCATTCCGCAACAACAATATCGTTTCTGAATATGCGTCACATATTCGTAACTGCTCAACTGAAGAATCAGGGGTTTCAGGGAATCTCCTCACAAAAACTCACCATTTCCGGCGTGATTTTTCTAGTGGGTATTGTTACATTTCGACTTTTCGACGTGTAATTCGGATTAATTGCATGGAACTCTTTGGAGAAATTGTGCATTTTCCCGAAGCTCTCGATCACTCTTCCGGATATTTTGAGGCCCTGATGATCGTGGAACGTGAGGTAGACCCCTAGAAAAACGATTTTCTAACACTTAAAGGATCGTCGTACCAGAGAAGAAGAAAGGCAGAACAAAAATGAGGTTGATGGCGAAGGCGATGACCATGTACGGTTTGCGGAAACGACTGTGACCAATGGTGAAGAAGACGATGAGGACGAGCGAGACGAGTATGAAAAGGGCGGAAATGGATCCGAGCATCACGTCGAACAGGAAGATGTCATTCGTATTAAAAAGAAGTGGATGGTCACTGGAGGACATGGATTCCACTGTTTCTTGGAGGACTGGAAGGACAAAAGGTTGAGGTCTTAACTGATAAAACCGACCTGTGAACAGAATGCATAGCTTGATGAACAGGAAAACGAGCAGAATAGTACGAGGCTTGATCTTCATGGTTCTATCCTTTGGAGAAATGGAGAGGATACAGAACAGTTGATTAGAGACAGGTTCACGTGAGGGTTTCTGGTAACTAGGAACTCGACTTTTGCTAATCTCTATTCTCCGTTGCCAAGCCTGATCGCGGCGTGGCCGGGAGACGAGCACCGCTTCTCGAATACTTGTTGTTGAGGAATTTCCGTCCCCCTCAAAAAAGAGAGGACTCACCTCAAAACAATAGGCAGAAAAGGAATAAGGGGGTAGGAAGAAGCGCTCCCCGGAGAGAGCCTAATCATATTAATGCACTCGCCACTTCACTCCACTCGTCTTCTTCACGCCGCCGAAAAGTCCAAGGTGTCCGAAAGTTTTAGAGTTGCTACTCTAGCTTTTTTCGGAGAAACGAAACGATTTCTTCGAGCTCACACACTTTCCGCCATGGCATTGTTTCTTTTCGAAAGTGTTAGAGCTCTCCTCACCACGTTGAACCTTCTCTTATCACAACAATTTGTGTTTCCTTTGTTTCAATCAAAAAGTGTGTAATAATGATCGAATCGCCCGTACATCCATTGATCGAACCACACGACAGACTTCATTTCTTTTTCTTGCAATGAGGACATTATGAGTATTGGTAAAGCCTGACTACAAACTGTTAGGCAACAGAATCAATGACGTACGTTTTCAAAACGGGCAGTTCCAGATGTTCCAATGCTGTTAATGGCTTTGACACGAGAATTTCGAAGACGTATATTGGATTCAGGCATCAGTTTCGGCGCGGACAGCTTTCAGAGCAACGCGGAGCAAATATTTTTGAAAATTAAAAGAAAGCTCGTTAAACTGAGAGAAAAACGTGCGTTTTGCTGCCATATCCCTTTTCATAACCACATTTTTTATTACTTCCTTCCAAAAATTCTCAATTTCTTCCTCTTTTGTCTGTCTTTGTTTTGAAGTTCGAGCGATATCGTCACTGTTGTGGGAGCCGGACATCATTAATGATTTTACAAGGAAGAGGGGCGGTGGAAGGTGTTGAATTACCGTTTTTGTGTTCACTTTTCGAAAATGAATTGATGCACGTCTTGCCATTTCAAACACAAAACGAGTCATACCCATTTGCATCATTGATAACTGCTCTATGGTGTCTTGTCACTGAAAGCTCAAGAGAATTCCAACCAAGCTAAAATTACAGCCGTTTGGAGAGCACTTTATCATGAAAACGAGTACTCGAGTACATTATTCAGTCTTGATTTCTCGTCTTCACTCTTGATACTCATGAAATATTTCACAGATTCGCACCGCTGACCCTCATCTTTCTCCGTGGTTCCCAAGCTGTTTGAGAGAGTGACCGGCACCACACCTCCCCCTTTTTCCTTTTCCGCTTTACGATGAAATCGGAAGAATCTCATTCCGGACTTGTTGAAGATGAGCGAAGGTTTCAATTTCTTTGTTTGTCCGCACACTTGTCGCGTCATTTTGACCACAGGCTCGATGAGCAAAAACTAAAAGACCCCTGTGATTCTGTGGATCAACTCTTCGGTCGTTCTACCGAATTCTAAAGTCTGTGAGAATGTGGAGACCATCAAAACTAGTCCTCCCCCCAATTTCAAAGCCCTCAGGGCACAATTCTGAATTTCCATCCGCGAAAATGCGTAGCTTGATTCTTCACCAATCCGAATTCCGCTTCAAGTGTGCTCCATTTGCCAACAGCTCCTTCTGCTCCGGCAGCTCTTCTATGCAACGCGAAAGGGTAAATGAAAAATCGCTTCGTTCTTCTCGTTTTCTTCGCCTTCTGAATGAACGACGCCCCTCTTCTTATTTGGCGGAGAGTGTGAGGACGCGGGGAAAAGTGGAACGAATGAGCTGTTTGTCTGCTGTGCTGTGCTGTGCTGTGTGTGTGACCTCCTTTTCAAAAAGCGCCTTATTCTCAATCTATTTTTGTGCTCCTCAATCTCGTTGAGCATTTTTCTATTGGCTACTGTACATTTGCTAATCTAGACACACTTGAAAACGATTGTGAGCACGCATCGAAATTGTCTGACCAAAACACACGTGAACGAACTTTGTGAAGAGATTCTAATCACTAATCACCGACGTTCTTTCATGAAGATTCCACTCATAATCCCTCGTGTTCTATTGTGTTCTCGTGATGTCAGCACTTGTTAGCAGTACTGTAGCTCTTCAAAAAGAACGTGGTGGCAAAAAAATAACACGTACTCTGAAATGCATAACTGTTGCGAGAGCTTTCCGCTTTGTCGTGTTATTGTTTAAGCGTTCCCGATTCTCCGGAGAATACCCCTTCTTCTTTTATCACTTTACGCAACTTTTTGCTGTCGAGCCACCACAAACCACTTTGATTAGTTTAATTGAAAACATTGTCATCGCGCCGAATGAGATTAGGTTGGGACCCAAGTGAACTGGGTCCGCAGTGTCCGATCACATTTGCGGGAGCCCTACTCAACTTCTCAACAACAGGATGACACTCGGAAATTGGACGGTTCGGGGGGAGGCACTGAAACTGAGTGCCGGGAAGGGGGGAGGGGACTAGAAAAACACACACACACACAAGGTTTCTCTTGCTGTTAGCTAACCCGTATTCTTAACTATTGGAGGCTTGAAAGGTATTCTGCAATTGGGAAAAGAAATTTGTTTTTCTAGAGCTTCAGCTTATGATTTCAAATGAAACTTCCTTTCACGATACTTCTCCGACCGTTTCTCGTCGACAATAAGGATGTGTGAACCTTTCTCAAAACGAAAATCTGCGTCAAAAAGCAGAAACTTTCGGTGCTCGCATTCCAAATGAAGAGTAAACAGCCTTCGGGGGGGTCCTCACAAAAAAGCGCTCACTCGGATTTCATGCTCCAATGAGGAAGAATCACATCACACTCAAATAATGCGTATGTGTGTGTGTGTGTGTGTGTGTAGATCCAGAACTCAAGATTCTTCTCCTTTATGGCCACTTCTACTGTCTTGCATCGGACCTACCACCGTTTGCCTCTTTCGGTGACATTATCAGTCAAGATGAAGCCTTTTTTGCAGGCACAATTAGGCTTACAATGATTTTTGTTGAGAAAGTAAATCCTAAACCCTCAAATCTGGTCGTCACTCTAATCCCTCGCCGCCAGATTTCCAGAGCGCTCCTGAGCGAAGAAAATTGGCTCATATCCTCAAAATCAATCTCTCCCTGAGGAGAAACAAAATAAATTCATCCTTTTTTCCCGATTCGAACATTTCCGCTTGATCTCTTACGGCGCTAAAGATAGAAGCGGCGACGAATCAGATGACGTCGGAGAAGAGAACTTGAATGAATGACAGCGAGTACGTGAGTTGCGCTAGTTCTAATTGAAATTCGATACATTTTTGCGCGGATAGGTGACATTTTACAGAGAAAAACCGCAAGGCGTCAACTTCTATTTATTTACATGAAGAAAGTCTGAGCGGGGGGGCACAGTGATAGTGCTCGTTTTGAGCAGTGGAGCTAATTCGGGTGTTCTTCGAATAACATCAAGCACAAAAGTGACTTAAAATCCGTATTCTTCAGCTTATCGCAGACCACGCCCTTCTCCTCTCACTAGACCGCAAAGCTGGATATATTGAGCTGAAAACAAACCGATTTTTCGTCGGCTAAAAATGACGTAGCGGGCGGGTTAGGAAGCTCACAGCTCTGACTCTTTCCTCTACTTCCCTCCCCCGTCGTGATTAGCCTTGTCAATTTTGAGAACGGCACCGAAGAGAGAGTGTACTTCCTTTTAGGCGTTTCGTGAAAGTTGCAAGCGACTTCCAAACGAAACTAGCCTGATAGCAAACGCAAAAAAGGAGAGCAGCAGGTGCGAATAGGCAAATTTCAATTAAACCTACGCGCACGTTTTCACGCTTTCACAGCCTAAACTTTTCGAGTTTTCTCTCGTGATTGCCAAACGCACTCATCTTCTCCCCCTCCCTCCCTCACTCAATTTCCTCTCTTCTCACTCAGTTTGTCGCTGGGCTCCGCGTCGTCAAACTTTAGTGAATGAATAGATCGTAAAATGGTGAAATCGCCATCAGGGCACCGTCCTGATGACGTTGATTGAAGAGGCGGAGCCCGGCGGCCCGGCTTTAACTAGTAACTTACTCATTCGTACTTCCTATCTCTCACAGCACAAAGTTTTAGTACTACATTTCAACCTAACGTGACTTTCAGAACGATGAACTTGACCGTACTCGCTGAACTTTTTGAGGCTCGAAATCGAGCCGAAACCGAACTGATTTGTGCTCATGTAAGTTCTATATTGTAACTCCGAAACTCTAGAAACCAAATGCTTTAAGTATGAAACATATACCCCCATAAGGTTTATCCTTATCACAATTGCGACGGTGGTAGCGTCTTTGGGAACTATTGGCAATATCCTGCTGCTTATCATCTTTTCTGGTAAGCAGGTAAGTAGCAAATGAAGACACATCTTCTCTACCGTGATCTTATTCAGAACTCGAACACCCCAGCGACCCTGTATCCATCTGTACTCGCGTGCTTGGACTTTGCCATTTGTCTCGAATACATTTTGTTGTTCGGAGTGGACGCTTTGGTCAGCTATCTCAAAATTGAGGTAATGTTTCTAATATTTTGGCACATGTAATCCACAAAGAATCTTTCAGAGTCTCTTCTCGCTCTACTATCTCTACATTGTTCCGGCGTACGTCATGGCGCGAATCACTCAATTGGCGATCCCTTATATGCTCATTTTCGCCACACTTGAACGCCTCTTCTGGACCTCGAAAAACAAGTAGGCCGTTTCATTGCAGTAGTCCATTCCCATCTCCCAAAAACAAGACATTGAACTAGAAGATCAATTAGCGCAGTGCTATTCAGAAGTCCACTTCTCAAAGCATTTCACTCGTCCACCGGCCGCCACGTCACCGTCATCGTCTCCCTGATCATGTGCGTTGTACTCCGCTCCCCCAGCGCATTTGCGATTATGGTTGATGACTATCCAAACTGCCCAGACTTTTTCCGCACAAAAACCACCAATCAAAGGTGAGACGAAGAGCGCTATAGCGTAAAACTCGGAACTTTCAGGTTATGGGCACAGAATAGTCCGGTTTACCATTTCTTTGACTTTCAAGTCATGACTATTGCTCAGACCCTTGTTCCATTCATTCTTCTGGTTGCACTCAATTTGATCATTGTTCGCAGAATGTGCTCGGATAGTGTGCAAAAAGAGAAGGAGCCGGAGCATACGGAAGTGTGCTTTCAGGAGGAACGACTGTTGCCTCAGATTACTCCGGTGCACAAATCTTCCACAAGTAAGAGCACTTGCAGAGAGCTACAGTAGTCATGTTTTTCAGCCATCGGACTGTCATTCCCTCCACTGAAAAGCATGGCTCCAGCGGTCAGAAGTGCAGTCTTCACCATGGCCGCTATCGTCACTTCCTACCTGATTTCGAACGTTCTTCACCTGATTTTAACCGTTTTGGAAAGGTGTCTCCTTCTAAAGTACTTGAACTATATGTACTAAATACTATCCGTTTCCAGGTCCGGTCACGAAATCTTAAAATCCGATGAAGACCCCCAACTCTCGTCCACTTTCCACACATACTTCTCCGACTTGGTCTCGTTAGTCTACATGTTCACTTCGGCGATCCGAATCGTCATCTACTACATGTGTAATCCGAAAATCAGAGGAGACTTGATCGACTTTTTTGCTAACCGGAAAAATGCAGTTTATTTGTGATTGAGATTGTTTAACTCTTGAATATCCCAGTGCTACACACGTGCAGCGGGTTCTCCTTCGATCTCTATCATTTCATTTTCATGAATAAAGGTATTGCAAGAGAAGTGTGTTCAACAAACTCAATGGGAAAACAGAGAACAAAGTGATAAGACGGTGAGTATTCCCAAAACGTGTTCATTTTCCGTTCCCTTCGTCCAGCTGACTCCGCCGCCGTGTTGATGGTAGACGTTGTCCCGTTCGTTGTTGCATCTGAAGCTTGAAATTTGAACTAAATTGACTCTACTCCTCATTTTTCGAACCTGTCCTGACTGCAAGTTCTGCACTCCATTCCGATTTCGTAGCCCGGAAGTGTGGCACATGGAAAGTCGGTGCAACCGCGACGAAAAGCACTGCCGTTTGAGGAGAGACGGTAGCAGAATTGTGTGGACGGGGGACACAGCTCTTGGACCCAACGGTCTCGGTCAAAGCACGTAACACCGTCGCATGATTCACACATTAGAGAGGTTATGGTGTCTGAAAGGGAAAACCTGTTGATTTGGGACATGGCGATAGCGGCAACCACGGTCTCCAGAGCTGACAATGGGCGCAAGTGCGCCCCGCCCAATAGAGCGATACATTGGCGCGAAATTCAAATTTTAACAGCAAAATTTGTATTTTTTGCCAGATTAGCCACGAAAAACCGATAATTTCTGATTTGTCTCTCGATAGACCGATTGTATAGGCTATTACGATTATTTTTTAAGCGCAAGAGTGTTAAATTTGGTTAAGTTGCAAAACAAATTTATCCGTTTGAAGGTTTTTGACTAAAACTGCGTGAATTTCAGTTGCTTTTCGGTAGTTTTTGCGGTTCGAGCGCTCAAAATGCATGTATTTACGTGATTTATCATTCTCAAAACCAGCTCTGTCTGGAAACGGTCAAGAAAGCGCAAAATGAGAAGTGCGGTTTTTAGGCGGCGATCGGCGGCGAAGGCGAAAAAGCGAAATCCGCGAAAAATGCGCCAAAACGTCATTAATTCTGAGAATTAGTGTGTTTTCATGTCGAACAATCATTTTTCATCGTCTTTGACCACAAAAATCAGAGAAAACCTGCTCAATTCATTAAATCGCCATTTCCACGCCCATATTGTCAGCTCTGGAGACCGTGGCAACAAAGAACTGACCACAACTAACGTATAGCACCAACAGCACCGAATAAAGCGCATTCATAGTTAAGTCAAAAGCTATGGAACGGAGGGAGAGGAATGAAAATCAATATACATACATTCAAATTGTTATCAGGTGTGTATGTGGGTGAGAAACAAACATTGTTATCTATATATGACTCAATATTTGGAACTAGCCCCACGAAGTTTGACCGCAGACAAGTCACACTGGTCACAAAGATCCCTCGAAACTATAATAACGTTTTGATCACCGACCTCAACTGGGTCTATCGAACAATCCGTTGTCACTTCCACATTTCTACAACACCCTCGATTAATCCGCTGTTTGAGTTTTCAAATTTGGAGATGAAACGTTCCCATGTATCGAAAAACAATTAAAACCGTCTCTCGGCGCGCTAAGCGCGTCGCACGTCCCGCGTATAAAACGGACAAATTTGAACCCGCTCGATCAATCATGTTGTGTCGGTTCATCGTCAGTCTTCTTCTTTTTGTGCAGCTCAGCTATGCGGACAATCGTGTCGATATGTGTGATATTGTCGTTACGAAGCTAGGCGTGACTTTTTATACGTCCGCCGAGCTGCAAACGGTAAGTCTACGGTAGAGTGTTCAAACGGCACCACATGGCATACTTTAAGATTGCGAAATGTGCTGAGCCGCAAATGTACGCCACTCCCAACAATACCACGGCGATAGCCACGAGTGTCAAAAACTGTGTGATTAACAATTCGGGTAACAAGGCCGTCACAGCACTTTCTCTCTATACGAATGGTACGTCGCTACACTACTTTTTGAACGAATACAGTATTTCAGCGAACACCTGCCTTAATCCGGAATCATTGAGTGACGTCGTCACCACACTGATACCTCCCATTCAGAAACTCGCCGCCGCGTTCGTCAAAGAGCTCAAGTCCACTCTGGCGACTTGCAAGAAGAACAACACGAAGACTGGCGCGGCGAAGCAGGAAGCTTGTATTCAAAAGTGTTACGGCGTTGCCAAGGCCGCCGTCACTCTGACCTACGTCGACAACATCTGCAAGAAGGTCGTCAATCAGAACGTGACGAATCAGGAGTGGGGGTGCGGACTCAAGTACATTCCGAGTGTGCTTGACACGACCAAATATGGCTGCTTTACGATTGTCAAAAGTTGAGGAGAAACGCTACTGGGTTCCATGTTAAAATAAAGTTTTCTATGTAGTGTTTTATATGAAGATGACAAGACTTTTGAGCATTGGTAACCCATTCTGTGGTTGTCTTTGCATGGAGAGATGTTCACGGAGTATTAGTAATATGTAATGGTCAAGATTCGAACAGTATTCATAATTTATTATAATAGAGAAAAAAAAGATGAAGCTAGTAAAAGTCTATCTCGAGAAGACAAAGTAGTATTCAGATTATTACGCAAAAGAAGTTCATATAGAAATGTGTGTTTTGTGTCCGGTAAATGTGTCACCGATTTCTTGAATAACTTTCAAAGAAGAGAATTGTGGATGATATATATACACTTATTGTGGGTGAAGAAAGAGAAAGAAAGCTAGTGATCACTGTGCGACGGCAGCGAGAAAAACAGAGAGTTAAAGAAAGAAGGCAGGGTAGAGGAAACGGATGGTTAACGTTGATTTACTGGGAGTAAAGACTGCGGGAAAACGTGACATAGTCGAACGATCGGGGCGGAGCTCCTGGCTCTCGGGACGGAGCCATTCGGGCCATACAATAGGCGGCCTGGTCTCGCGGCAGCTCACGTTCGAGCTCTTCGGCGGTGATGAACGTCTGCAAAAAATGTTTGTGAGAATTGGATTTGCATCATAACGCGTGTCACCTTTCCGGAAGCCAATATTCTGAACGAGTCAATCATCTGTTCGACAGTATCCTGATCCGAATTCTCCTTGGTCATGAAATCCAAGAACGCCTCGAATGGAACTCGTCCCATACGGTTCGGGTCGACATGAGCCAAAACGCGATGCAACTCAGCGTCGCCCTCACGGCCTGGTCGGATGGTGTAGCCGACGGAGATGAGACACGCCCTGAGCTGTTCGGGATCAAGTCCGGCACGTTCCTTATCGAAATGACTGAACGAAGAGCGGAACTCGGCAATCTGCTCTTCGCTGATGCCCTTCGAATCACGAAGAAGCACCTGGTTCTCGTACTCGTTGATGGTTTTGTTGATGCTGGTGAGCAGGGTCTCCCATCCGACACGAAGCGATTCCATCGAGTAGCGGGACTTGCGGTTCTCGAAGACAAAGTTCTCCTGCATCTCCTGATGAATTCTCTCGAGTTCGTCAAGGTTCGGTCTGTAGCCGACGACGTTGCGTTGGATGGAACGGAGCTGTTGGATGGCATCCTCGAGGCGTCCACGCTGTCCAAGGCCAATAGCAAGCACTTGCTCGAGCTCGCGTTCCAGCCACGGGCCCACTTGGTTCGCCTTCTCGGCAAAGATGGTTCGGAGGCGTTCATTGTCTGAAACAAAAAACGTTTAAACACATTAGTCATTCTCTCTTTTCAGCTCACTTTGCTGTCTTCTAAGCTCCGCTTGCAGCTGCGAATCCCTACGTGGCACAGAGCTCTGAACCTCTCCCCACTTTCTACGGATATCGGTGGCCGACAAATCAGTGTACGGGTTGCGCAGAAGCTCTCTGTCAAGACCGTGCGAAGTGACCAGATGCTCGACTTCTTGCTCGATCTGGTTGATGCTTGTGAATTCTCTGTCCGCGTCTCCCAACGTCGACTTGAACTGATCGTGCGAAGTGACCAGCTCCTCAATTTCTCGCATTTCGTGCACAATAACCAGATCGGCAAGATCTTCACGAGCCCCATCGAGCCAGTTGTTGAACGGAGCAGCTCGCTTGGCAAAGTCCAAGTAGAGGGAGTCGAGGCGTTCGGCAATGCGCTCGGCATCCTCGAGGGTCTCACGACGCTTCGAAGAGAGTTGTCCGAGACGGTCCCATTGAGAGCAGATTGCTTGGCAACGAGCGTTGATCGGTCCGATATCCGGGTAGCGAAGATTGTTGAGCTCGCGAGCAATGGCGGCGATTTGCTCAACGCGATCCTGATGGGCGCCAAGGTCACTCTCAAAAGCTTCGTGACGCTTGCGGAGAGCCTTGATCTTGTAAAGCCCGCAGCTTCTCCAGTCGTTGCTACGTAGAGCGTCTTCTTTGCCATGAGCCCATTCCTCGTGAAGTGCGCATTTGCGTCGGAACTTCTCGGCCAAGTGCTCGAGGCGTTCGAGGCGCATAATCTCAGAAAGAAGCCACTCCTCGAATCCTTTCTCCGAATCCTCAAGTCCGGCCCACGCGGCATTGATGTCCTTGATCAAATGTCCGTCGCGTGGTAGGAAAGCAGGACGGTTGGAGAGACGAAGACGGGTCTGAAGAGTGTTGAAGAGCGTCTCCAGACGCCCCTTATCCTCAATACGTGGCGGCTTCTCGTGACGACGGTAGTTGCGGTAGTCTTCGAGCTTCTGCTGAGCCTGCTGTAGAGTGTCGTCGGTGGAACGGTTCGCGAGCCAAGGCATCCAACGGGCGATCCAGGCGAGAAGCTGAAGAACATACCTTAACTAAAGAATCTGAATAATTGTCTTACATCAGAGGCCAGGTTCTCGTAGTCCTCCATCATCTTCTCGTTCTCCTGGTTCACTTTCAGCACACGACAAATGCGGTTCGCAGCGGTTTCAGCCTATAAACATATTTCATTTTTTGAACATCTTAACAATAAAAGACTGGGTTACAGTATTTTGAAGCTACAAAATAAGAGGTACTTCTAAATACCGTAACTCACATTTATATCAAACCACATAGAATTTAGACACAAAACACTACAAACCTTACGCATTCCGCTGAAGTAATGGTAGTAACACGAAACATAGGTCATCACTGCTTTCTCGTCCGGTTGTGAGTTGGCCATATCTGAATGTATTTTGTGAGACAGTTATCGGAAAAACAGCAGGGTGGGTGTTAGTTTGAAAAGAGAAAACCACGTCAATTCACTCATTTTTGAATTCGGTTTTTGGGACAGACACGAACACGATACACTAGAACGCGGCGGCGGCGGACAAATAGCACGTCGTTTGACATCTTCACAGATGCTCACATCTTTTCTCCAATCGCGCTCCGGTGGCGGGGCAACGACGACCCGCTGCGGTGGTGGCTGACGGACGACAGGCGGCGGTGGCGGCTCGCGCATGTTGCGGAACGCGTGGTAGAAACACGAGACATAGGTCATCGTTGACTTTTCGTCCGGATGACGTGCCACGTCTGTGATGGGAGATAGAAGCGTAGGGAAACGGGGAATAGTTGAAGTTAAGAGATTGTTCGAACTGACTATAGGTTCATGGAAGGATTTTCTTGAAGAACCCACTATTCCTCCTTGAAGTACATGACCCCCTACTACCATATTAGTAATACTCACCCTCAGCGTCGAGCATTCTCGGAATGTCCAAGTGTTTCTCGGCAATATCAAACGCCAAGTTCAAGTTGTGAATCGGGTCTCCCTTATGCAGTTGGCTGTAGTCCAGCAGATCAGGACGATGACGATGGATGAGGGCGCAGAAGGCGAGACCGTCCTTCCATGAGTTGTGGAAGTTCTGCACGTTCACATTGTTGTACGGCGCAGTCTTACGTTGACACCAGAGGAGAAGTCCGTCGCGAGCGGACAACTCTTCCACGTTAATATCCTGAATGGCGAATCGGAGAATGATGGTCCAGATCAGACCGAGCGTCATTTTCACATTCCCATCCACAATCTCCTCGGCACCAATCGACACCAGCTTGACTCCTTTCGACTCAATGTACTCGAGAGCTTTGTTCACGTTTGCAATCTTGTGGAAGCGCATCTTTCCGCGATCCGGCTTCGGAAGAGGCTCTCCGGAGATGACCTCGAGAAGAAGCATGAGCTTGAGTCCATTTCTGAAGTCCTCCTCAATTGTATCGATTGAAGTTCCGGCTTTGCGTAGGTGAGAGTTGCACCAGGCGGTGAAGGTCTGAAACGATTTGTTAAATTGTTCTTCGAGGTGTCCATACCAAACGTTTTTTGCCCTAATTCTTAGGTTTGAGCCGTGTGGCTCTTCTCAAATTACAACTTCCCGTCACTTGCTCTTTCCACTCCCACTCGGTTATGAACCAGCACCACACAAATCTCTCGTCAGCCTCTGTTATCCTTATCCTCTCTTTCTTTCCTCCCGCGGTTTTTTTTTGCCATTCTCCTGAGAGAAAGAGCGAGAGAAGCGTGGCAAACGTGTGTAATGGAGAGGAAAAAACATGCTTGTAATGAAAGAGAGAGAGAGAGAGAAGAGATAGAGTCATTTATCACCCCGTGAATTGCAAGTAAATCAAGGTTGGAATGACGGATCATGAAGATGAGCTTGTGGACGAAAGAGAAAGAGGAAAATGAAAGAACATTGGTTCTGAGCCCTGATCATCATCATGCTTGCGGGGGAGTTGGATCTTTGAGGCTAACGTGTCGCATTTTTCAACGTCACGACATACGGTAGCTATCAAAACTGTTGATTCACGGCATAAGTAGTGTAGTGTTATGGCTATCCCAAATTGATTTTCTACTCTTGTGTGAAAGACTCTTCAGGTTGCAATTGTTCTTCGCGACATCTCTTTAGATTGATTGCCCTTTGCTCACCTTCTTCTGTTGCTTCTCCCAGGCGGGATCAAGGAGTCCTTCGCGATCCCACTCCTCTTCCTGCTGGGTGTAGTCGTAGCCCGGTTGATGGTAGGACGGCGGCTGTTGGTAGTAGTCGACCATACCTAAAGTTGAAAGAAGGTAAGACAAAGAACAAGATAAGGTGGTGGGAAGAGGAGACAATTGTGAGTCATCGTAGGAAGAAGCGCAATGGAGGCGCGCTAGACGGCTGCCTTCGCGGCGACAACGACAACCGCAAGAAGCCTATTACTTTTGATTGACTGTTTCTGACTGGATTTGGTAAAAGAAAAAGGAGAGCGATGATGTACACCTTTGACGAAATGTTCAATGGCAAAAGGAAGAAACATTTTTAGCTTCTGGTTTCTGGACGAAAAGGAAGGTGTGTGAGAGGGGGAGATGAAGAGGACAAGAACTACTTGACTTGTGTTTCTGCTACTGTTTCAAATGGGAGACGGTATCCTAAGGGCTGTCTTGTTCTCCATTTTCCGTTCCATTCATCATAATAAGTGTTTCGGAATGAATTCCTCTCTCTCTCTCTCTCTCTTAAAGACGGACGAGGTGGAAGGTCGGAGAATACAAAGGATTCGCCTCCGGTAAGTACGTGCCTCTGTGGGGGATCCGAGCGGACAAATCTTGTGGGCAAAGAAAATGGGACGAGAAAAGAGGGAAAAGAGAGAGAGAAAGAGAGAAGGGCAGCAACGTGAGTGAAAACGACGATAAAATGAAGTGGGAGAAAAGGCAGAAAACAATTGAAATGACCAGATGCACTTTCAGAGCCGGAGCACAGAAGCTCAAAACCTTGTTTAGTGGATTAGGTACGTATATAGCTGGTTTTCTAGAAGATAGCTGAAACAAGTACGGTATGTGCAGCCACGCGCTGTGAAGGGTATACGGTAGAGAACGGTAGCGTAGGAATGATCAACCTAGCAGACGTCATACGGTAGCTGGGTGCGTACGTAGCCTAGGGAAACGGTAGCGGAAGCAGTGTGGGACCTCGTTTGAGGTTCTCGGCACGTGGCATTTAAAAATAGTCTGTTTTTTCTCAATGATAAACGCCGCGGGAAGGAAGCGGAAAGGAAAACAAGAAATGAACCGGCGCGGGCACACTCTCGAGCCGTGCCGAGCTAAAGGCCGAGGCAGGCAGCAAAAAAGCGTCGGAGAAGGGAAGTGAGGCGAGAGGAGGAAGGCGCCGGATCTCTCTGACATCTCTTTCTGCCGCGGCTCCCCCCATCCCTCCCTCGAATCGCAACGCTCTTTCGCCGTGTTCGCCGACTCTCGAGCCCTGCGGAAGAGCCCGAAGGAAAGAGGATGAAAATGAATGAGGATTGTGTTGTGAGTGTACGTCGAGACAAGGAGGGCGAGAGATGAGAAGAGAGGTATTTGAGTGTTGTAATGTAACAAGACTGGCATGCCCCTCTCTGTGCCAACATGATCATCCCGGCGTCGCTTCCTGTGAAGGAGGGGATCCTCGCCACTGAACTTTCACATATTTACCAATGCGTCAGAAGTGGTTGCATAGAGTTTATCGCTAAATCTTTTTCATGGGGGGGGGGGGCAATGATCCTCATCCTCCTATGACTATGCCACGGCATTTGTCACTCATGCACGCCACTCCTTTCATAAACAGACAAAATCGAAAAAAAAAGGTGGAGGGGGTTCAGAATAGAAAAAAACTGTTTTCAAGGAGGCCAAAAAAGTCAATCTGTCTATACGGTCTGTCTCGACACACGGATGGTGTTGTTTCGGTCGGGGGACGAGAGACGCCTGGCTACCGGCCAAAGCAACCCGATATTTTGTCCCCGTCTCCCGGCGAGAGCGCGAGCGTTAACTTTTCCGGTTCCCTCTCGTCTGCGCTTCTCTCGATCCAAAACTGTTTCGGTCGGCGGGAATGGGGAAGCGGCAGACACACTTCTTCGTCTGTCGCTTTTATATGAGCCCAAAAATAGAGAAGAGCAGCACGGAGAAAAGTGACGAGGTGTTCGTTTTGTTGAAAAGAAACGGGAATGAGAGATGTGTTCAGGGGGGAAAGTGAGATTTCTGGTGATTTTATTATAAAATCTATCGGGTAACATCACAAAAAAGGTGACTAATCAAATGTGTCGCTTATCAGTTGATGACTTTAAACACCACCAAATCGAAGTTATTGATATGCACTATTTGAGTGAAGTGAACAGCTCGAGAAGTGTACGAATTCATAGAAATACAGACTCTATGGGGAGGGGGGCGTGGTAGAATATAATGGATTGCCATTTACGTCACGGTGATTTTTTCTCGGGGTGCAGTGGAGAGAGGAAGAAAGTTCGGCCGTCGTCCCGTGAACTGTCGGCTGCTGATTTCGCCGGCCGGTGGCACGCTCCCCAAGCATCTTTCCGCGCGCCAAAACTTCTGATGCGTGCTGTTCGAAGAATACTCATTCATTTTTCCTAATTTTTTGGGAACGAGTTTATTATGATTAAAACTCGCAAGCAGCAACGAGAAACCCGCAGGCAGCAACGAGAAACTCGCAGAAATGTCTAGGGGTGACTGCCGAAACTGTTTTTGTTCGAAATATGACTGCTCGTGCGTGCTTTTTGTGTCTCTTTGTTAGTTTACATCATAATGAACACGTTCTCAAAAAATCAAGTGAAATGAATCAGCATTCATCCGACGGCACGCATCTGAAGTCTCAGAACAGCCGAGGAGCGCGCGGGCGGCGGACGGCGGCGCGCTCTCCAAGCCTTCTTCTCTGCGCCGCAACTTCAGATGCGTGCCGTCGGACGAATACTGGTTCATTTCACTTGATTTTTTCAGAGCGAGTTTATTGTGATGTAAACTAACAAAGAGACACAAAAAGCACGCACGAGCAGCCATTTTTCGAAAAAAGCTATTTTCCCATTGGCCTATAGACATTTTTGCGAGTTTCTTGTTGCTCTTTGCTAGTTTTGATCATAATGAACGCATTCACTATGACAATAAATAAAATGAATAAGTATTTCTCCGGCGGCACGCATCTAAAGTCCCTGGAACGCTGCGTCGGAGCCTTCGTGGACGACCTTCTGCCGTTCGGCCATGTTTTGGGACCAAAAGTAAACTGGTCGGGACCAACTTTTTTTTGCTGTTCTTTTTTTAAAAAAAAAGCTCTTTTAATTTAGAAGAAAAGTATGCGGATGATTAAGAATTGTACGGTCCAGTTTTTGAGAAAAATCTGGAAAACCTGTTTTGGCCTAGTAGAACGGCGTGACCCCGCGGCCAGGGTCGCGGAGTCGCGGACTAGAAACCTCCGCGAGACCCCAAAGAGAAATCACCGTGTACGTACAAATTACTAGTACGAACAGGAGACATATAAATAATAACTTGTAAGCTAAATGCGCACGGAGGCATTGAAGGTAATTGATGAATTCTAGCGGATGATGATGATGATTGATGAACAAAAGTTTGGTTAGCAAGAGTAGAGCATTAAGAGCAGTGTCAAAGAAGAAATCGTACAGAGAGAGAGAGAGAGAGAAAAAAGTGGAAAATTTCGAATATGCGATCACTTTTCCGTCTGTCATGTGTACGCCTGCGCGGGAAGCTTTTCCTTTTTCTCGTCATACCCACCCCGGGAAAAGCTGCGCGCACACACACACAGAGAAGAGTGAAGGGGTCACCACCACCGCCAAGGGGACGGAAAACAATCACAAATATTTGGCACAAGCAGCACCCAGCAAGCAGAAACTATCGCTACCGCTTCCCGCACTGTTGTGACCTATGTTCTACACGCGAGAAGGGCTAGGGAGTAGGAAACGGAGGTGTGTAGATTCAGATTGAAGATTAGATGGCTTCAATAAGAGACATTCGTTTGTTTTTGTAAGGTATTGGTGTAAAATAACAATAGCGCTCCTTTCAACTTAAAGTATCTAATAAACGAGAATTGGGAAAATGAGGAACACGACGCTATAGGTATGGTAATTAGTAATTAGGTGTAATGCAAAAGGACACGACGAAGGAGGGAAAGAGATAGTCTACACGACTAATAGAGTAACATTGTACGGAAAGCAAAGTGCTCGCTCTTTGAAAGTATCACTAAGAGCTGATATATGACGACGGACGTAGGAAAAAAGGAAACAATGAAAGAAGAATAACAAAAAATCGATCAGAAACAGTTAGCGACCATATGCGAGCAGGGAGGGTGACATTTGAATGAGCAGATGGGTTTGAGACACTGTTTACCCGAACCCACCGTATTGCGCGAGATTTGCATCGATCACAGGCCGAGGAATAAATAGAGCAACTATCGAAGCGGTGCTCACACTCAACGTTGTCCCAGTTGTGGCTTTTTGTGATGTATCACTTTGGTGATGCAGTTTGAAGGAACAGTGATTCCAGGATCATTAGAATTAGAACCATATCAGGTAGACCTCAAGATTCTCGTCATTTTCGGTGAAGGAAGAGCACACGAACAGAGCCACAGTTTTCAGTCTAAATTTGTTTGAATATAGCCCTCTGCTTGCCGAATTTCAGACTTTTATTCTTCCCATTCTTCCCATGGATAGCACGCAGTACAAAAAAGTTTTCAAAAACACAATCCAGGCTAAAACGTCATCCATTCACACGAAGATAACAACTTTTTCGGACTTTTAGATGTGTTTTTGTGCAAGTGCTCCTGCCCCGCCATCGCGAACACACGTGTACACAAGTAAGATGCTCACGTGAGCGATTATTTCTCTTTGAAAAAGTGACGGGAAACAGAGCAAAACTTTCCCAGGATGATTTAATTATCAGTGGCTACTTCTGGAATGTAGCCGACAGTTTGAATAATGATAAGCTGGGGGGAACTCGAGAATAGCCTAACTAGGGAGACATCTACAAAACACAGACGCTTCCGTCACCACTTTCACAGGTGTCATCATTATTTGTCACGGCTCGTCGAAGAGTCCCTAAAGACGTCTGGCTCCTCCCAAACAAGGCTATAAGAGTGCCAGAAGCAGGAGAGGAAGGCGTCGACGTCGTCTTCGTTCACTCACGAATTCAGTGTCCTCTTCCTCTTCTTCTTTGCATGCAGAAGAAGTGGCTAGACCCATCCTGGTTTCCTGCTAACGCATTCTTTGTTTTCTCACCGTGTCTTAGCAGTGGAAACACGCTACATTTTCTTGTAATTTTCGTGGAGTGTCATGACCCCAGTTAGCCTAGAATCTAGTCTTGCACCCAGCATTATCTGACAAGTTTCTGTTTGTCTGAAACAGAACCCCTCTCAAGGATCTCAAGGATCCGAAAGGTTTCAAAACAATATCGACAGACCCATTGCTCGTTCCCACTGCTGCACCCTTTTTCTCACAGTCTGTTTGTTTTCTGCTTGTTCTCTCCTCATTCATCACTTGACAAAACACAACTCGATGAAAAAGCCGGCCGCCCGACCAGACACTTTTCGTTCCCGAATTCCATATGTTTTCGATTTATCTTCTCTAGCTTCCTGGTCTTGAGACAAAACACTGAAAACTGGGCAATTTCAACGGCTAAAAGTCATTTGGACGATGGACGACGCTATAGGTTTTGGGGGCGGAGTCCAGGCTCCGTGAAGAACTTCAGTTCCGTTCCTCGATCCGTTAAATAATCCCGGCCTCTTCTTCATCTTTCCGCTATTTCCGGTGTTTTGACTCTCTAATCTAATCCGTGTACAAATCGAAGGTTTCTTTTTGCTGTGACGTCGTGAATGACACCTCCCGGCCCTCTGCTTACCTGTAGTCCAAAGACTGTGAGCGGAATGCGTGTGAAAAGTGTCTGTGTTGTGAGGGAGGAGATTGAGTGCGGGCGGACATTGTTGGCACTCGAACTCTTTTCAAGTGCTCGGCAATCGTGTAAACTGCTACATAGCCCTCATCTCATCGCACACTGGTGAGGAAACCATTCGTTTTGATGGCTACACTTTGCTATCCGAATATTTACCGCGTGCATCAGTTGCGAAATGTCCTGGTTGCAAATCATCTTTCCCTCCGCTTTCCATCTCATCTCATTCCACTTCCTCGTTTGTTGCTTCTGCCGAGAATAAGACATCGAAAACTCCTTAGCAACCCAATTTCTGCTCACGTTTTATGCTTTCCGCAAGATGAGAAAAACATAAACAAGGCCATCCGAAGGCTGTGAATGCTCGGATCGCATCCATCTTTCCAATTGCTCTGACGAGTCACAGGACAACGTTGGCTTCAGGTCTCCGCCTCCCCCTTTTCTCACAAGAACAGCCGCCACCCATCTCTCGATTATTTATTGTGGTCCTTCTTCTTGCTTCTTCTTGCTTCTTCTTCTTCTTCTTTTGATTGTTGTCAGGAGAAAGTGTGGACGGGAGACGGAGACAAATTACATTCTCTCCCGGAGCACCCATCATTCTTCTTTCTTCCACCTTCGCACAACGGATCGCCCCAGACGGTGATGAAATGACTGTTGTTGATGGGTTCGGGATTCTTGTTCACTAATAGCTCATTTTTATCGAATTCCTAACACATTTGCACTTTCGAGCGGGTGCCCTTTTGTTGTGAACGGCAACGTCACCTCGGCTCAAAGCATCGGTCCTTTTTGCCCTCCGTCTAACCTGGAACCCGGCTTGTTGAAAGATAATTATATGTTATAGAAGATCGTAGTTGGCCAGTTTTTGCGATAGTCAATTACATTTCCCTACCGAGCTTTATTTCTGCACGTTTTGACGCGTTTCAAGAAGAAGAACAACGTTACCCGTACTAAAAACTGTTCCCTCTTCGAAACAACAAACAAAGATGAGCATCTGGAGCCCACATGTGACAGCCATAATCATATAATGTTCATGCATTTTTGTTCCGTTTGCTTTTTCATTCTTCCCGCCCGCCAAGTTTTTGCTCAGTTTTTGCCCACGAAGGTGTATCACAAGTACCACTCTGCGTCTCCGTCATTCCGCCCGCCATACTCATTGCCTAGTGGTCTCTTAGACTTAACGGACCATTCAAACAGGTGTTTCCCCCATCTTCTATCTCTTTTTTTCTCGTGCAGCTCAACATTTTTTGAATTCCTGAGAGAAGAGACGGAGTGGATCTTGACGTGGATTTTATTTTGTTGTCATGTAGACCTGTGCCTCGTTTGATGATCTCACAGTGAAACCTCGCAACCAGACTGTCGTCTCGAAAGTTGCATTTTTAAGCATGACAACATCGGTACCAAACTGTATTCATTTCACCCCCCCCCTTTTTTCTCTTGGCGCGTCTCCCCCAAAAAGCTGTCAAAATCGTCGATGTGTGAGTCAACAAAATACACAAATAAACTGTCTCTTGTCGATTTGATTTCTATTCATTTACCTGTGCACTCGTTATTGTCTATTTCTAACCTGAAACCCACTAAATCATGGTCCGATTTTTCTCGTCAAGACTCGCTAGAGATATGGTAAGTTGTATATTGCAAGTTACGCATGGTTTGATGAGATGAACCTAACTGATTTCTCCTAGCTAAGAGGTATCCACGCGTCTTTCTTTCCCGGATATTTTGGTGCCGCGAAGTGGTCCCTAAAAAGGGGGGGGAGAGGGATAATGAGTGGCCCACCCCCGCCTCTTTTGGAGCCAAAAGAATGAAGGAGTTTTCCGGGGGTCTCACTGGCGGAGCCCCGATGGCATCGGATTACCAACAAACTCCTTCATACATCCACATATTATCCGCCTTCTTCTCCTTCTTCTCCTTCTTCTCCTTCTCCTTCTTCTCCTTCTACTTGTCCCCCCACGACTCGCCTCTATTGTGTAAGAAAAGTTGGTGTCAGAAAGAGAGATTCTGTGCAGGGTCACCACCTCAGAGGTGTCACTTTTGCAAGACCCGAGTAAAGAGGAGATGGCACGAGCACACTCGGTCGAAAACCAGACATTCGCCGTTTTCAATAATTCAAGATTCATGTCCATTTCATGTGAGTCAGTGTGCGTGAAATTGAAAACGATTCGTCAATCGGAGATGTAGTATATACGTCAAATGATTTTTTTTCTCTGATTTCGTCTCTTGCTTTCTCCATCTTGCTATAAATTGAGAGCGTCCAAGCAAGTTTCATTACAGAAACCTGTATCGCAACTTGACGACGTTTCAAAACTATTTCATAACCTCCGTCCCCCACGAACGTGCGTCACATGTTTTATGGGACCTTCCTCTCTCAACTAACTCAAATCAGTTGCGGTCTCATTTCTTCTTCTCATTTTTCAAAATTTTTTCGCCACACTCCTCCTCAGCAGCCGGAGGAGCAGCATCTTCAGTGTCCGTGGCGGCCGCTTTTCTATCACTTACCCGCGGCCCCTGCCTGCTTCTTCTATTATCACTATCCATTATCCAATCGTTCGTTATACACCTCGGATTTGCAGGCAATCCGCGCAGAAAGAATGGCGATCCCGTCGAATCTCATGCAATTCTCCGAGGACATCATCAAGCAGCTGACTCCGGAGGAGATTGACGAGTTCCGCGAGGCATTCATGATGTTCGACAAGGACGGAAACGGCACCATCTCCACAAAAGAGCTCGGAATCGCGATGCGAAGTCTCGGACAGAACCCGACCGAGCAGGAGATTCTTGAGATGATCAACGAGGTGGACATTGACGGAAACGGGCAGATCGAGTTCCCCGAGTTTTGTGTAATGATGAAGAGAATGATGAAGGAGACGGATTCGGAGATGATCCGCGAGGCGTTCCGGGTATTCGACAAGGACGGAAATGGAGTGATTACTGCGCAAGAGTTCAGATATTTCATGGTGAGTACTGGGATTTCGGAGACGTTCCAGAAACTCCTCATCTTCTTCCAGGTACACATGGGAATGCAATTCTCGGAAGAAGAAGTCGACGAGATGATCAAAGAGGTCGACGTGGACGGCGACGGAGAAATCGACTACGAGGAGTTCGTCAAAATGATGTCCAATCAATAATCACTTTCCACAAGTGATCAGTACATAATTTTCGATCCCCGCCAGAATCTCACGCATCACGCATGTACACTTCACGAACTGGTTGTACACACTTTTTCTTCTTCTTCTTCTTCTTCTTCGGTATTCCATAGTTCTCTCTCTCTCTCTTCCCACTGAGCTTCACTCACCATTCCTCTAAAACTGTTGTATATAACTTTAATGCATTTATTCACAAAATAAATAATATTTAAAAATACAATCAATACTGTTGGAGGGCATCGGCCACCTCTTCCTCGATATTGACATCCAGGCAAATGTCCGGAAGCGCGAGAAGGATCTCCTCGGCTCTTCGGTGCAAGCACATGTTGTTCAGCACTTTCACGTACTTCATCGCGTACTCATAGCGATTGAAGTCAATGCAGTACTTTTTGAAGATGTTCACGGTCATGTGATGGCAGCGGAGGTCGAGGACCGGGCGAGTTTGGGTCAGCACGCGGGAGATTAGACTGGAAAATGTGGCAATTTATATTTCCGTATCTCGAATTCTAGTTATCTCTCACTCCTCCGATTCTCCCTCGAAAAACTTCTCGACAATCATGTGCACCGACTTCTTGATGGCCCTACGTGTCTCCTTGATCTTTCTAATTTTGTACTCCAACTTGTTCGCAGCCATAACATCATTTTCCTGCTTCAAAAGCAACGTCAAATGGTTCAGCTCTACATCTCTAGACGGCCAGTTCACAGATCTTGAGGCTGAGAGTTCCTGCAAGTTAAAATTTGATCAATCAATTGCAAGCAACACCGTTTCAAATATTACATAGTCATCGGTGTACTCCCGATCCTCTTTATCTCCCTGGAACAGTGCGACGGTCTCTTTCGCAATATCCTTATCACCAAACTGCATGACGTGCGACAAGTTCGTCTCTTTTTTGACCATCTCGTACTGGAACTCCAGAGTCTCCGACTTCAAATCCTCACCGTCCGAGTCTGTCATCCAGTTGACGCTGAACAAATCGCCAAGGCACGGAAGGTTCATGTCGTTCTCACAAAACGTTCCCCAAGAGCTTTCATGACCGTTCGCTGCGGTGATGGCGTAGACTAAAATGAGTTGTGTGAGGATGATTTCATCTTGAACTGGTTCAAACGTACTATCCATATCAGCTCTGAGCACACTGTCAAACATGCTGCCGGACTCGCAAGCTTCCAAATAGAACACCAACTGTGAGTATTTCTTGTTCTTGTGCAGCCAGATGAGCGCGTCATTCAACTGTTTCACAGTCAGAATTCCTTCGGGGAAAGAGATCATTCCGACGGATCCGTGATCGGTGAAATAGACGAACACTCGATCGTTCTCGTTTCTAAAGTTCGCTTGATATATATTAAAATGTGTGGGAGATGGTTCAACTTACGTTTCCAGAACTCTTCCGTTCCCTCCGTCGACACCACTTGCGTTTCCTTTGAGAACATTGAGGAAGTTTTCGGGAGTGACTGCCGCACCCCTGTAGTCGATTTTCAAGCCCTTGTAGAGATCCTTTCCATGAGGACGGTTGAACAGTTTGCCTTTGTACGGGTTTCTGTAATATATGTACATTTTTTTCTCCATCAAAGACTGCCTATCAAAAGAGGAAGACGAATTATTGGAGGACATTAAAACGGTAAACTCACAATTGATTATTGGCCACATCGTCGAACATCATCGTAATAATATTATCCTCTGGGATGCCATGATTTCTCAAAGTGTGGTAGGCGTGCGCGACATCCGCCTGATGTCTGTAGTTGTACCATCCATTGGATCCGGCCACCAGGACAACGAACGCCTCTCCTTCGTCGGCCTCGTCGTACTTTTGACGACTTCTTCCAGCAGCTGCCAAACCTTTTCTCGGATAGTGAATTGCGGCCAGGGAAAGGGAAGTAGCGGCGAATAGAAGCAGTAACTTTCGCATTGTATCGAAAGTAAAGTGAATGGATGGACACTCCGGGTCGCTCGGTTGTTGTGTTATCAGGTATCAAGTTACTGATAACGCTAAGCAGGTGATGATGTTCTTCAAATAAAAGAAGGAAATTGTGTCAGCTGACCACATGATTGACTGGACGCCACACTCAGTTTGAATCTGAAAATACAACATTCTAGAGCACGGTGCACCGCCCATCATACTTCAGGGCCATCGCCGTTCTAAAGAAAACTGGACCGTACAATTCTTAATTTACATCACAATGAACTCATTTCCAAAAAATCAAGTGAAATGAATCAGTACACGTCCGACGGCACGCATCTAAAGTTGTGGCACACAGAAGAAGGCTCGGAGAGCGCGCGCCTTTGCTGTTCCGAGACTTTAGATGCGTGCCGTCGTATGAATACTGACTCATTTCACTTGATTTTTCGGGAACGTGCTCATCACGATGTAAACTAACAAAGAGACACAAAAAGCACGCACGAGCAGTCATATTTTGAAAAAAAAAACAGCACGCATCAGAAGTTTTGGCGCTTGGGGAGCGTGCCGCCGGTTCACGGGACGAGGGCCGAACTTTATTCCTCCCTCCACTGCGGCCCCAGAGAAAATCACCGTGTGATTCTCGAACCGCGAGGTGGGACACAGAACACAGGTGAAATGCGGTTTAGCAATTATACAATTGCGCTTATTCTAGACAAATTCTCGCCAAATTTAAACAAAAATTCCCAAATATTTGTTCGGGATTTGTCTAGAATTGGCGTAATTGTATAATTGCTAAACCGCATTTCACCTGTGAAATTCTGATGGATACAGGAAGATACGCTGGAGTCGCCAGGTTCACAGTGAATGTTTGTAAACAAATAGTTATGATTTTTGTTTCCGACAGTTTTATAAGTATCAGAAGCGAATCAATCGATGTTCATCTCGCAAATTAGTTTTTGTTCGGTTCTTGAATCCGCTAGCAAATAGCCGTTGTTAACACACACGGAAGAGAGAGAAAAAAAAAGCGACGCGAATGAGATGATATAGTCAATGCATCAGATCACAATGCCAAAGCACGCTATTGACCTTCTCTCTTCTTTACTGTCTTTCTTCTTCTTCTTCTTCTTCTTCTTCTTCCTCCTCTTCTTCTTCTCTGTAAAATTAAGAAGGAAGTTAGTTGTTCGGGCAATTATCACATCACACAACATCACTTTTTTCGGTTTGGCAGACTTCACTCTATCAGTTCACTAAAGATCTCGCTATTTTGATGCTATTGATTGCGGCCTTTGGAGTTCTTTCAGCACTAGTTGTGCCCACAGGTGAGTGTGCTGAATAAACCACTCAAAAAAGTGTTGAATATAATTCCGTTCCGATTTCAGTTCAACAATGCTTCGACTCGGATGGGGCCTGCGCATCGTGGGTGGCCTCAGATCGTGGCGCATGTGACCGTAAAGAGTACATCAAGAAGAACTGCCGTAAAAGTTGTGGATCGTGTCCAAAATATGAAGCCAAATTTGATACTCGACGACTAAACCCCCAACTTCAGCCGCTAGTCCAAATGGTTGGGAGGTGGAAGGGAGAGCATACTGGTAAAGTGACGTTCCCAACGATTCCGACGTTCAAGTACAGTGAAGAAGTGGAGATTTCGATTCCAGAAGGAAGTAGCATAAGATCGCTGAATTATACGTAAGTTTCACGTTCTTTATAGCGATCCGATCAGCACCAAAATGTGTTTCTTAGTGCCGCCGCCTGGTCCAGTGATAATGAAGACCTGCACCGAGAGTCCGGATACATAACTATCAAGCCGAATACCCGCGAAGTCATCCTCACAACAGTCATGTCAAACGGGTTCATCACAGTAGAAGAAGGACCGTTGTCCGGAAACAATATCAAGTTTGTGCTCAAAGATATTGGAAGGATCAGTTTTGTGAGAGATGAACATTTGCACAATGTAAGCTACTATAACGAACGTGTCGATTCGACTGCTTTTCCTTTCAGCTGATCCGCGAATGGACGCTGGATCGGACGTACCTCAGAGCTCGCCTGAGCATCCAAACTCTCTCGCATCGGATGCAGGAACACACTTCGATTTTGTACACTAAAATTTCTGCATAGACGTTTGTACTCGTGCGTTTTTTCTATTACTTATATTCTAACAAGAACACAAATGAAATCATACCTCTTCCCGCCGGAATTCATAGAAAGCTGACCGAGAGGCTAAGTTTTAGTCATTCTTGCAACGAAATGGAAATTTTCATGAGCCCGGCCATGCTCGGCACACTGCTCTTTATTATTGTATACAAAATGACAAGAAAGACTAGAACAACTAGAACAACAACAATTTCTACATAAATAAAGAAATATTCTCATCACCAAGTGAGTAGCATTTTCTCACAAGGGTCCGGAAACCAGCGTGACTCCCACATGATTCTCGGAATCGTTGTACAGTTTGCCGGCACTTTTTCGTACACACGCTGCACTCGTTTCACCACGTTCTTTGTCAATTTTGCGACGAATTCGGCGTCCATCGGGCGGTCCGAGAACTTTAAGATGGTCCCGTCGACCAGTGGATTCATGTGCCAGTCGGTTTGATTTATACGGTGTTGCGTTGCTTTCATGTGTCTAGAAATCAATCGGAATTGCATTTGAAATAATGCTAAGATACCTGAGAACCGCCTGGGATGAGCTTATTTTGAGCGTCTCATAGCCGGGATCTCTGGCGATCGCATAATGAATTGACATTATTCCGATCTGAATTATCTTTTCAATAAAGTTCCAAGATCCTCAGAAGCTCACCTTATCCGGCCTGATCAACGCTTTGGAGGCAATCCACGTGGGCTCCTGTGCTCGGACGTACTTTGCCGCCAAAAGTTCCGTCCCAACCCGCTTCGCCCCCGCGTACTCCCTCGGCGAATCGCCACTTTTGATCACATTCACCAGTGGCAATTGGATTTCCGCGTAATTTCCATTATCGACAACCCTCAAAAGGTCTAGAAACGGCCGTCCGCTCGTCGAAATGCGCTCGTCAATGTCTATGAATGCGGTCCATTTCGAATGGAACTTGCTGCGAAGGTGACAATCCTTCAAATGTTGAATCGATAATATTCAGAGCTGACTGGTGCTACCTGAATCTCAAGCAGTTGCCACGCGTAAAACGGACGCTCATACTTGTCCTCAATCACTTTCACCTCGATTTCTCCTTGGCTGAAACACGAATTTCTGGAAAAAGTGAGATGGGCAAAGGATTCTGATACCTTTCATAGTGGTCCAGAATCCGTCTGTCGTAGTCGGTAACATTTCCGATATGGAAGTAAAAGTAGGAAACTCCCTGCAAAACGTTTCAGTTTAATCGGTTACCACTCTTCAGAGTACTGTAGCTCTTGCAAGTCTAGTCAGGTAACCGCCTAACTTCCAAGGGCTACAGTAGTCTTAAGAATGACGGTACAAAAAAGTGGTCAAGTGCAATAATGGAAACATGAGACGTCTACTAGCTCTACAAAACCTCACTTCTAATTTATGATGCTCGATGAACTCGGCAATCTGAAGCCACTTGGGCTCATTTCCGTACAATGGCGCCACACACGCAGACAACTCGTGCACGGGCTCTGAATTCAAAAACGCACAATCATATGGGTCTATCTGCTCAACTCACTTTCGAACACCCGAAAAGTGAGCCTGACAGGCGCGGGGCTCTCGTCTGCCAACCGCCTGGAGACCGACACGAACTCTGCTCCCGCACGTCTCGGACAATGGATCACAGACTCGGGAAAGACGATTCCGTGCCACGCACTGCCCGCGATTTCTCGCCGCTTACAATCAAAATAGCGGCAGTAGAGACGTTGTTTGACCATGTACTGGGCGAAAATCGAGATGGAAACGTGGTCGGGATAGACGTACGCGCCCAGGACGGACAGCGAAGTGTAGTTCTGGTTGTTCTGGAAGCAACGGATATTGTAGGGTTGGGAAAAGTAGAGTACCTCTCGGGACAAGTCAAGAGTCATCCATAACCATCTGGAAAACGAGTTCCAGAAGCCATTTGTGATGGTGTTCGTCTCTTTTCGATTCCATTTCGGAATGAAACAACTATCATTAGCATTCTGTGGATGAGGATCTATATTATGGACGTCTGAAAGATCGCGCAAGTTTCAGAACCGGTACTCCAACTCACATTTGCCCCTCATGATTGTGATTACAAAGTAATTGAACGTGCCGACGACAATAACGATGAGTAGGAGAATGCGAGAAGAAGAGAGCATTCCGGAGGGCTTGAATAAGCTTCCGAAAAGCTTCCTCTTCTCGGATTCTTATCGGAAACGGGCCGGACATTGACCACGCCGTTCCTCCAGTCCGCCCTTTCATTCTCGGGAAAAGAAAAGAAAGGTGTGGCAGCATAAGGGGAAAAAGTTTGGAAATGTTTGATTTTGAGAGTGGGAAATGTATTGATTCTTCGATTCAGGCGACGCAGCATTGAATGAAGAAACTTTCAAATGGAGATATTGTACTTTTCATAATCATAGCCTGTACAATTGGAACATGACTTTGATGTGGTCAACTGAAACTGTGTACCAGAGTTGAGCGGAAATGGAATTTTGAAATACGGAAGACGGCAGACGGCAGACGGAAGAAAATTTTTCTTACGGAACACGGAAAACGGAAGACGGAAGAACATTTTTCTCACGGAAGACGGCAGACGGAAGACGGAAGAAAACTTTTTTCCCGGAAGACGGCAGACGGAATACGGAACAAAAAATCGTCAATTCAGAGCCTTTTTTTCCGGTTTTTTTTTTGAAAAAAATAACTAAAGCAACAAAACTTTTGGATCTGGGTCACTGCCCGTGGAAATTCGCGTTCTTCGGGACTAGTAAATGGCTTTTGAAAAGCTATTACTCTTTTACGGTAAGAAGAAAAAATCCCGGAAGACGGCAGACGGCAGACGGAAGAAACATTCTTTTACGGAAGACGGCAGACGGAAGACGGAAGAAAACTTTTCTCACGGAAGACGGCAGACGGAAGACGGAACAAAAAAAACCACGGAAGACGGAAGACGGAAGACGGCAGACGGAATTCCGCTCAACACTGCTGTGTACTATTGTCAGATTCTGAGATATCAGCTCGTTTCTTCTAGCATTTTGATCCTGATGTTCTGTGTATTAAACTTCGAGGGCGGGCGATCACTTCCGACTCCTTTTTTTCTGTTTTCATTCTCACTTTCATCTAGATTTTGAACCATCCGCTTCCGTTAATCACATCAAACTAACAGGGTCATTAAGGTGAACGACTTCACCTATTATGAATGTCACTTTTGAAAGAAAAAATATTTTACAAGACCTCCTCTGCGCAACCGAGGCTGAAAACACGATAGTCGTCTCAAATCTTTGTAGATTTGATAGCTCACAATGATTTTCATCGACGGCCGCCGCTTTGTTCCGTGTTGTCTCCAGGAATGTCGCTTGCTCACGAGCGAGTTGGCCGAGAACTGGAGGTTCTTCGGGGAAGCGTCGGCGGCGATCAAATCGACGTGGCTTCAGAAGATGGCCGCATCTACAGTCATTTTTCGAGAGAGAGAAGAAGACGAGCCGAGCGCCAAGACGAGTTCTCAGTGGTCGGTGCCGAACAGGAGAACACTTAATTTCGGTATTTTGGACGACGATGAAGAGGAAGACGGCAACAAATTCTTCGACGCGCTGGACATTCTGACACACCGCTTTGGGGAAATGTTTTTGTGATTTTTTCACAATTTCGCCCTATCAACCTTTATTCCCTTCATCGCCTCCGTTTCTGCAATCATCTTCTTGTTCAGCTTCCACCATCATCCCCATCAATCCATCAAAAAGTATGTAGATGTCATCATCAGACGTCTTCTCGCTCTTCTGGATGCTAAAAATGTTGGAAAGTCCAGTCGAGTCCGAAAATAAAGCGAAGCGTTTTGCACGTCCGCTCGCACCGACACAGGACCAGGCAGAGAGAGAGAGAGAGAGAGAGAGAGAAAGAGCGCCGAGTTTTGACCTGCTCTCCCTATCAATTGGGCCAACGGCAGATCGCACGACGTCTCATTATTTATTCGGAAGAGAAAAAGGGATAGGTCGAGCGTTTTACTCATATGATATCATGTATTGAGAGTGAAAGTGAATTAATGATGGATGGGGGATGACTGTAAACATGTATTTCTTTCTTGCTCTTCCGAACTCCTGGTGGAAGATCAATTGAGAAATCTGAATCGTTTGAAAAGTACAGCCCTCAAAACCGAGACTATGCGCTTCACAGTGACAAAATCAAGAGCAAAAGTTGAGCCTAGAAAACTGCGCATTTTTACCAACTAATTTCAGACTTTTCAAAATCCTGGTTCTTCCAGATAAATCGATAGTTCTTGTTAGGTTAGGGCAGATGGAGTTTAAGATGAAATATAGTTAGTCGAGAAAGCACGTCATGTTCAGTAGACACCATCTTTCGCACCACACATACATCATTGCAGCGAGAGTGCACATGACGTCCCGTCCCGAACTTGTCGTCGCTTTTCAATTTGACTATTATGAATGTCCATGACTCACATAACTTGTTTATTATTTCCATGTTAAGGCCAGTGAAAGCAGCTGCATATTTTCGGGCTAATCAAAACTAATGAATTATTGGCGGCGAGGGTGGCGGGTGGCTGTGTGTCTCCGAATAGAGCCGAACGACGTGATTAGTTCCGAGAAATGTGCTGTACATATATCCGGGGGTATTACGTCGAAAGGACATGGTTCGTTGTCCGCACAAGATCTTCTAGGACGGAGAAGTTCGTCCCACTTCTATACTTGAACGACGTGTTTTCGAGATAAGTCGCGAAACCAATCAAATGAATCAGACAGTAACGCTATTTCACTCATTACCGCCCTCATCCTCGTTTCAATGACATCACGCCTCCATCTTCACTCATCATATCCTTCTGATTCGGCTCATCGCTCCTCCTCAACCGCCTCTCGGTTCATTCCATTCATCATTCAAACCCACTCCTTCTTTTCCACCAAAAATGTCAATTTTATCCTATTTATAAACGCTTTCAACCACTCATTCAATGTCATTTTTCTTCCGTTATTGGCGGATATGTTAGCTCGCAACCGTATCCGATTACAGAATTGTAGATATCCTTTTTCACTGAACCTTCAAACTGTTCCCACCATTTTTCAGTACAATGTGTTCTCTTCGCACTCTCTTGGCACTCTTGGTGATTGTTGGCGTGTGTGCCGCAATTCCGTACTTTCGGCTGAACAACGACTACGACGATCCGGTGGATTTGGAGAACGATGTAAGTCAATTCGGAACGGGTTCCCCACTGTGATCGGATCGTTTTTCAGGAACAGAACGCCGCTCTTCAATTCCTTCCCTACATAAAGCGTAACATTGCGATCGGACGCGGAGACGGTATACGCCCTGGAAAGTGAAAATAAAACGACAAGAGCCTCACAATCTTCTTCTCGATTTCCTAGCTTTTGCTCACCATCACCTTCTTTTTCCCTACTCTCTTCTGTGGCGTACTGTAGCCTTCATCCATCCGAATTCCTCTTCTGTGTGTTCAAAGATCTCCAAACCAACAAAAAAAAGCATGTTTGGTCTCAAAACAAAACTTAAAAAGTTTTATTCGGTTTTTCCATAAACACATCCAGTTCTTCATCGGCGTCCGCGTCGACGTTCACAAAATCGGCGTCTTTCAAAATTTCTTCCAGCGTAATCAATTTGAAAGGAAGCGCTTCTGACGAAGGCGTCGAGGCTTCTGATGCGACGGCAACACAGTGATTCTGGCCAATAAACGCCTCTTCGAATAGCCATTGCGGTTGGTGGATTTGGTGATGGAAGTAGCGTGTGGAGGTGGTTGACAGATCTAGAAAAAACGTTTGAAAGTGAGCCAAGCCGTCGCACCAACCTGGCCGTACTTCCTCCGTCACCCGGAACGTGTGATTGTGCAGTCCGTCCGGGAGTCCGACGCCTGTCGCCTTCAGAATCGACTCTTTGAGGCACCAAATTCGGAAAAACGCCGTCCATCTGCTCTTCTCATCTCGATTCCTTGTCACTTGCATCACTTCTTCCTCGCTGAAATGACGTTTCATCATGTTCATTTGCTCGTCGACGCTCGAGTGCCGATCCTCCGAGATTCGCATCACGTCTACGCCTGAATCCTCTTCTTACAGATTGCACTTCTTCAGTTCATAGCGATACCTATTCTCGTGTCTCCACTTGCCAACACCACGAGATCGCCGTGATGGGAAACGTTATAGTTGAAAGATGCTTCGTCACTATCATCATCATCATCCTTGTTTTCGTTCGGTATTAAAAACGGCTTTCCGTTTTTGTTCTGCTCAAATTCCAATGAAGACCATGGGCGAGAAGTTTGCGTTACCGCCGCTTTTCTGCAGAATAATAGTTTTAATTAAACTTCTAATGACTACTGCAGCGAACTCGGCTCAAACAGTGCAATTCGACTTTGCTCGCACCAACCTAGCCATCAATCTGCCCACCAGTGTTGCCAACGCGTCTTGTTTGAATCGAAATCGTCTCTGATGGGCCACGTCTTGCTCCGAAGCGCACAAAATTGCTCTTCGGAACGTGTTCTCGAAAGACGGTGACGTCAGAGTCTCCTCCAAAGAGACCGTCCATCGAAGGCCTGTTCTCATTGAAGAATACTGAAAAGAATCTGTAAAGCAAGTACACTTTGCAACAAAAAAATCGCATAGGTCGCAGTCATCCAGAACAAAAGTACGATAAAGTAATTTTAAATCGATTGTATTTATTTTTCATCGTCGAAAAAATTCGCTGAAGCAGAGGAATAGGTGAAAAAAAACAGGGAGAAAAGAGCTCGTTACGAGTTAAATTTTTTTGGGGGAGGGGGAAGGGTGAAAAATGAACGAGGACATTTTGCGCGTTTTGGGATTGGAAGGAGAGGGTAAAACTTAATCGAGACGGGAAATTCTTAAATGTAAATAAATGCAAAAGAAACGTGGGTGAATGAATATTATATTGTCCGGAGGCGATTGTTAGGTGATGCCAAGGCGACGGGCCTGTCCCTCGTAGATCAACAGTCGCCACATTTTAATCACAAACTGCTCGGCGTCCTCGTCAATGATCTACAACATGATTATATAGAAAAGTAGGTCAAACTCGGTTTTCGCCCAGTTTCAGTGCTCACCACAGCAACATCCTTGAGAATCTTGTCGGGCGAGGTCTGCAACGCGAGTTGCTCACAAATGAAATCGCAAAACGTGGTGTCCTCTTCGCCGAGGAACGAGCTGACTTTCTTGGCGACCCACGGTCGGATGCGGTCGTTCATCCACTGACGATCCAGCTGATCCCATTCTATTTTGTGCAGGAACAACTCTTCTGAAAAAGAGAAGCATCTTATGCTGAAAATCAAATCTAACGTTTACCTTTAGTGAGTGGAATCTTTTTTATAATCTGCTTGGTGAGCTCCTTCTTCTCGTCGGCCGTCATCACTTGCGCCCTTTCCTCTCGGGTAATCTCAAACGGTTTCAGCTTCTTCCTCTTGTGCATCTCATCCTCGTCGTCGTCGTTTCCGAAAACTCCACTGAGCCGTTGGGCTATGGGAATTGGTGATGGCTCTTTTTTGGGCACGCTTGAGCTGCTCGACGTCGGTCGGACAATGCTCGGAGCCGCGTGCGAGTCCCCTCCGATGGCTTTCCATCCTCCTGGCCCGATTGTTACTGATCCTCCACCGCCAAGGCGAGTGGTCTCAGTTACAGTCGTGCGCGCTGGTCCGTCTGTTTCTTCTTCTCCCGGTGCTCCATTGTGCTCTTTCGATTCTGCCTCTTCCTCCTCCTTCTTTCCGTCCGTCTTCTCACTTCCACTCTCATCGTCGCTCGACGACTCCCCGTTTGCACCGTTCGCCGATTGACCGAGTGGTTGATGCGGGTTCGGCGAGCCAGAGTCGGCACGAAGTTTGCGCATCGCTTCCTCCTCCTGAAACTGATCGAGATTGTTATTGAGTTCGACGCTTTTCTTTCAACACAACTCACCTTTAACTGATGCCTTTTCCTGGCCTCCTCGTCCACATTTATTGTCGCATCGCTAGAAGCCTCGGCCATTATTTGTTTCTTGAGCTCCTCAATCTCCAGAATTTCCTGCAATCGATCCTTCTGATCGGCCTCTCGTTCTCTTTCGAAATCTCGTTTCCTTTGGAAGAAAAGGGAGCTCTTAAAGAACTTTGGATCGTCCCGTTCGTCGTCGTAATCTTCCAGGAACAATTTTAGTTTCTTGTGCTCCTTCTGAATGTTCTTCTTCCTGTCCTTCTCTTTCCGCTCTTCCTTTTCGTATTTCTTCGCCATTTGCCGTTCACGTGATTCCCATCGATTCAGACGGGCGTGATATGCTTGCTCCTTCTCTTTCATCATATTCTTTATAATGCGCTTCTCACGCGCGTCGTCGCTGTCTTCAGATGATCGGGAGAGAGAACGACGGCGTTTCGACGAGGAAGCTTTCTTTCGATCCGGCGTTCGAGAGCGGGACGAGTAGGAGGAGCTGCGAGAGGTAGATGAGCCCGACCCTGAAGAGGAGCCTGAGCTCGACGGACTTCGACGCGATTTCCTAGAAGAAAATGACATTAGGCTTAACATTTCAACAATTCCTTAAGGACTTACTTGCTTCTGGGTGAATCCTTACTCCTCGAACGTCTTGATCTTCCATCACGGCTTCTGGTGCGATGACGTCGGCTCCGATCATCCTGAAATTTAAAAGCTTATCATTTGAAGTTCAACATGCTACAAGAATAAATGCAAAGCCTTTACAGCTTTCTCGCAACTTTTCATAATAATAATACTTTTAACAATCATTTTGGTGATGTGAGAGATGATGAGAGTGAAGCAAATTCGAGAGATGTAGATACAAATGATGTAGAGAAACAAGATGAGAATGATGATGATTACATTGATATTGTAGATGCACACAAAGAGACATACACATAGTAGTACCTTTTTGGCATTTTTGTTCGATCAACGACCATCACCTTTTGTGGCTTTTCACCAATCAACTTTTTGGCCATCATATAAGTTTACCAGGGTTAATGTTCCGAACTTGCAAACACACAAATGAGAGGGTGAAAGAGAGGAGCATGCAAAATAAGAGTTAAGATAGAGAAGCCACACTTAACTAGTGATGACAGATGATTCATTTTTTGCGATTTCCAACAAATTCAGACTTTTTTTGTTTTGTTTTGAGACTTACGACTCGGTCTACAACAGTTCAGAATATCCAATCGGGTTTTGTCTGCAAAATGTCACGGAATTTTAAACGAGTTTGTGGTGAGCTGCAACAAAGTGCGTGGGTGGTGGAGGTGAGGTTGGTTCAATTTTTTGATAAGAAAGATGGACGAAGAAGGGTCGGGGGGTGAGTAGAAGTCACACAAGATAAGATTTGAAGCTGGAAGATCAAAGCAAAACATACGATGACTGGCCGACAAAAGTCATTGAGAAAACACGCACTAACGACTCAAAGAGCACAGAAAAGAAGCGAATGTTTCTCACCGATTGTGATGATGAAAACGATGAAGATCGCTCTGCCTACAAACTGTTTCGTAAAAAATAAAAGAACAAAAAAGGATGAAACAAGAAAAGACACCGAGAAGCGAAAGAATGAAGCCGATGAGATGAGCACACTCGAAAAAGGACACACACACACACACAAACACATGTTCAATCACTCAACAACATACCACCAGGATGAGAGGCCTATTTCTGTGTTTGTGCTGACACATCACTTTGTGTGGATGCCTTCTGGAACGACTGTAATCAAACGTACGCTGGTTGCTTAACGCAAAAATTGAAGAAGAATTAGTACTTGGAACATACTTGATGACGACGATTGACGATGACAAAGGGCGCTTTCAGAACTGAATAAGAGTAGAGAAAGAAGAAGTAGAAGAGGAGATAGAAAAGATGGAAAAAAGGAGAAATGAGGAAGAAGAAGCAGTGGGTGATGGGTGAATCTAGGTGGAAAAGTGAAGACCGCATGCAAAAGCAAAGGGGGACTGTATAAGAGAATCGGGCGGTTTTCGATTTCTCGAGCAAAAGCCACCAGAACTCCTACAAGTTCACCGGGACACAAAAAACAAGAAGAAGAAAGACAGATGTTTAGCATGCCAACAGATGTGTTAGTTAGTTAATAGTAGAGGATATTACAATCATTCTCCAGATATGCACATGATTTTGTTTATTCACTTGTTTAGGCAGTTTTGTGCAATTTGAGGGTAAAAACAAAGGATTTCTGTTGTTTTAAAACACCTTTTTTTTAAATACTTTTAAGGCCATCTATACTTGGTTTTCAGATTTTAAGAAATGTTTAATGGAAAAAGGCGGTCAAAACTTACGGTATCGCGATTTTCATCCGTATCTTTGCTGATTATATGCCTATATAGATTTCAGAATCAAAACGGGATTTATGAAGGCTTACGCTTTTCTTTTTCACTCGTAAGTTCAAGCTTTTCGCGTTGGGCGATCGGACGGATGAGCAAAAATTGGGTTTGTTTCAGTAATCACTCACTCTTTTCAGTGTTCCAGCTCCAGAAGATGTTGCCGATTTTTCTGCGAGTTTCCCGTCCTGCGCTCGTGTTTTTTTGAGCTCATCCGACACCTCTCCGTCTGAAAGTTGAGAATTGAAGACGTAAAAGCAATACATTGGCGTTTCCATTCGTTTCACACTCACCTTCGGTAACTGTGAACAGTTCTTTGTGATCCGTCTCCATCCAATGAAGAATTTTGAGCCGAATCTCCTCGTCCTTCTTCAAATCGTCCTCATCGGCAGGCAATTCACCATCTTTCAGCTTCAACTCTTTCTTCCCTAAAATTTGTGCTTATTAGAGAAACAAATTTGGCAATTAAAGCTGTATCTACATCAAAAATTAGGAGAAAAAATAGCAGAAGAGTACAAAAGGAACGTCATGCATTTGTTAACATAAAACTCGACTTTTAGGTGAAGGAAATGCATTCATGCACGAAAACAGTGAACAATGTGTTACCTAATCGGTGATGCAAATAATGCTTCAAAACCAGAAGAAATGTAATTTTGTACGGAAGTTGGGTTTTTTCGTAAAAAGCTCACCTTGACGTTTTCGATTTTCGATAGCGGTTTTACGAAGATCGTGACGCACTTTTTCTTCTGCCTAACAAACAATCAATTGTTGAGAGACAATATAACACAATTTTCTCACTTTGACAGTCAACTTCTTGTCTCCCAAATGAAAGTCGTGTAGGATACGAAGAGCACGAAGTGTTCCTTCCAAATCAGAGAAATTACAAAATCCGAATCCTTGAAGCTTGCCGTTGTTGCCTTTAATGCGCTTCCAACTCGTCACGTGGCCACATTCCTGCGAACATTTAGTTTTATATATAAGGTTGAATTAACTTGAGAAGATTCGAGACAAGAGCTTTGAACATTCCAACGTACATTGAGCATCTTTTGAATGAATTCGTCAGTGCACTTCTCCGAAATATTTCCAACAAACACGGGAGTCGGCTCTTGTTGTCTTACTGGAGCTGCTGCAGGAGGCTGAAAAAATCGAATTCGATTTACGCAACATTTCATTGAAAATGTTACTTACATGCTGCACGGGCATTCGCATCTGACCGAAGACTATCTGTTGTTGTTGTTGTGGATAGTCTAAATTGTTCTTTATGCACTACGTTTCAATCGCTAGAAACTCACGGGGATAGGAAGGCATTCCATAGTTGGGCCGGAAAGCCATATCCGCCGAACTTTCTCTGATGTTTCAGACGGCGTATGAAAGAAACCGATCTCTGAAAATATAGTAAGACTATGTTTTTTACTAGAAAATAAATGAAATGTAAAGAGATCCGATAGAACAAGTAAGAAGACCATTTCATAAGCTTTTCGAGTCTAAAAACCGTATCAATCGTTAGATAATTAGCTAATTTCACTGTGAAACCAATAAAATCAACAAAGCATCTGAGTAACTACTGAACGAACACGATTTCAGAGCACAACTCCCGGCTGTCCGGGGCGAGACACACACATGCACATCGATTTTCGCTTGCGCGTTTCTCGTGCGCTGCTAAACGCGCAAGCACTATTTTCCCTGACGATGCAGAGGTTTTGTGTTATAACACGTAAACGTGAAAAAAATGTACTGCGACAAAACTCAGTTGTTTGACTTTTTGGTTTCTACTGAAAACTTTCTTGAAACAATTAATTGCTAACTCTTCCTGGCAAAGATTTATTTTATAAAGATTTGCAAAATAAGTGAAACAATATGTTTTTCATGTATTACACAAAACGTTTCTTGAATGAACACCTAAAAAATTGCTTTAGAAAGGAAATAAATTGAGAACAGCTTAGCTGTGCATTTGTGCGTCATTTATAGTGCATTGGAGGCACGGTGTTTGCACATAAACATCATTCGATTCCATCTTTGCCGATAAAAAACCGGTTTGGATTCTAATTTGCTCGAGTATTCTATAATCCGTCTTGCTATTTTCTTTTTTATTGATCAGTCGTTGTCTTATGTACATTCAAAGGTGATGACACATTATTTTCGTTCAAGCGTAGCTCTCATCTCAAACACTGTGAATTGATTATCGTTTTTCACAATTTCTGAACGCTTTTTGCAGAATGACAGAAAGTTTGGGCCATCATCATCTTGCAGACGATATGAACGTTGAGACGTACATGGAAGTTCGGGTGAGTAAAATAATTGATGAATTCAGAAGAGTCGAAATTAGTTCCGCTAGGAATTGGCTAACAATTTTAAGCATTCCACGAATAAGCCCAAAATGTTTCAGCCGCACCAGCCGCGTTATCTGTGTCCGTACGGATGTAACAAGCTGATCGCCAGTCGAACAATCGATTATCACAAAAACAACGGCTGCGGACGTCGGCTCAACGACACTGTCACCGCACATCCTGAGCTCAAGAAGCGATTTTACTGTTGCGGAGCATGCTTGGCCGAATTCGTGACGAGATCCGAATTTCACGCACATTTACGCGTCGAACACGATGTCCATCCAGAAGTTAACACCATGCAGTTTGCCGATCGAGCAGCTTTTGAGGTGAACATTTAAGAAAAATTTCCCTGCAAGCACCTGCAAACTATGATCAACAAGACTTTGAGCAAAAAACAAGAGACGACAATTTCCGCGCGCTCTTTTTTTGATCTACGGGACGCGAAAATGTTTCGTTTTCAAACGCCTTTCTGAGTTTTTGGGGAGAATTTTGAGCTTTTGCGGAAAACTATAGCCTCACGGTTGTTCGTGTGACCATGCGCTACAGAATGATATCGGAGAAGTAGTGAAAAACTGAGAAAATGAAAATTCGGCGATTCTAGACGTACCCTTGTGTCCAACGACACTCCACTCATAGCGGCGCGCGATTTTTGAAAGATCGCTTTCGGGAAGGCAGTGCGGCGATGGCAGCCAACCGAGCGATCCGCCGAAAAAAAGAAAATCCTCGGGACGGACGGACCGTCGAGAGGAAAGACCGCAACGCGACACCAGACTACGAACACGTGTGTTTATGGTCGAGGTGTCAGTCGCAAACATCCTTTGATCTCTGTGACGTGCCTCAAAAGTCCATGACCCGGCCAGAAATGCTCGCGCGAGTACCGCAACGCAAGTCTCGGTTGGCAAATCTCTCGGCAGATCGGTCCTTTCTTTCCTCCTCGTCCTGCCTGCCTGCCTTGCCGAACCGCAACGCGTCGCAGCACACGCACACTTTAAAGGCGCATCCACTTTTAGATAAAACTTTGTCGCATCGCTGCGAGACCCTCTGACCTACCCCCGCTAACATTGTAAGTATGTGGTTCTCGGTTGTTCTTCTCGTTAATTGTTAGTGTCACTTTTTTTTAGCTGAGCGGGACACGAGTCATCATGATGATAAGAGAGCGGGGTTTATTTCTTCGAATTAGAGTTGGCAAAAAAATTAGACGCCCCCACGCCGTGGATACAGCGAAACCTTTCAAAAACGGGTATTTTTCAGAGGGGGTCGTCTTCTCGCCCCATTGCCAACCCTACTCCGAATTTCCATGGAAACTCGGGGAAATAAACAGACAAACCCGTGAAGACCTTTATTAATATGAATGTATTTCAATTTTACAGCGCTTCCGAAACTGGCTTGAATCCGAAGGAGGAGCCCATTTCCGTCACAAATCGGGCGCAAAACGTCGCGGACGCGGCAAAGGAATCTTTTTGGCGTGTAATCGCAGTGGATATGTCAGCTCGGATAAGAATGCGCCTCTGGACAGGACAGGACCGTTCCGACTTGGATACACGTGCACGGCATACATTCACGCAACCGAACACGCCGATGGGTAAATAAATTTCAATACTTTCCATTAGAAAATACAGCAGAAGTGGGCGTGCTGGCTATTTTCGGAATTTAAAGAAACCACTCTCATGCCCGTATCTGAGACAGAGTTATCTAGTTTTTTTTGCCACAAATTTATTGAAAAATGCATTCAGACACGTCTCCGCGGAAGTATGCGGCGATCACTACGGCCACGACGCCCGAATGCGTCTTCCCAACGTCATCAAGTATCTGGTGGCCCAAAAGCAGCTCGAAGGGTGCCCGTCGATGGAGATTCTCGGCTACCTACGTCACCATTTCCATCGTTTCGCCGGCGAGAGCATCTTTGCAAATCGCGTCTGTTTCATCGATATGGAAGAGCTAAAAACCATTTACATGTCGTGCACAAAAAAGTGGCAGAAGGAGGGAATCCCGAAAATTGTCGAAATTTGGGAGGAGGAATTGCTGGATAAAGTGGGAATTGTGTGGCCGATTCCTTCGCCGAACTCTTCTCCCGTCTATCATCAGCACCATCATCAAATGCACAACCTTCATCATCATCAGAATCGCATCAGAAAACCGACGACGTCGGAAATCGCGTTGCAGGAAGGATGGCCGCGGCCGAGAGTTTTCACGGCTAAAGTTCGCGGCGAAAACGGAGTTATGGTTCCGTTTGACATTGGCGGAACAACTGGAGGAGTGCCAGATGCTCAGTACGCACAGGAAGAGATGGAAGATCCGTCGTATATAGACATGGAAATGGATGAGTACGAAGAGGAGGCGTACGTACAGGATGGACAAATGGTCGTGGACGAGGGGGAAGAGGTCGTCGAAGAGTATCATCAGAATCATCGGCAAGAAATGGGAAATTCTCAGATTATGTTTGTACACCTCAAGGAAAGTATTGAATAGTTTAGTTTTTCCAGAGAAAACGACGAAATAGAAGTGGAAGTAGAGAGCGAAGTGGTCGTTTCATCGGTGGAAGATGAGAATATTGTGATTGAAGAAGAACAGGAGAAAATAAGCGGAGAGCACGTGGTTCTCGAGTGTGAGTTCATGGAGTAACAAGAGCGTTTACGTGGTAGAACGGAACTTCTTTCAGCTCCTACCAACGAAATTGTGATAGTGGATGGAGATGAAGAAGACGAAGAGGAAGAAGGAGTAGTGGAGGAGGAGCGGATTCATCTGAATCACTTGAATCATCTGAATGTCCATCACCACCATCTCGGGCATCATCAGCACTTCCAAAAGGAGGAGGAGCACGGTCAATCGAGCTCGTCGCAGAGTGAGTTTTCTTAGTTGAAAATTGGAATGTTTCAGTTGAAAGTGTTTAAAAATGCGAGACTGTGACCGACATTTCTCCTGAGAAATTCTTTTCAGTCGGCGAACCACGTTATATAGAGGCAGCAAAAGTGGAACAGATCGAGCAGATTATGGAAGAGATAGAGGCGTTCAAAATTACTATATTGGTAAGCATTTTAAGCGAGGAATAGCACCTTTCTACTTTTTGTTTCAGAAACGCGCCGACCAAATCTCTCCTGGAAATCTGAAATCTCTTCTAATTCGCTTCCAAACACTCCACCAATCGGTCATGGAGAAGGACAGTTCGCAACCGGCCGCCACCTCGCTTACCGTATTCCCAAATCGCGCCAAATACCTGTACAGGCCGGGAAAAGGCCTTGAGAAGCCGGAATCCGAGTATCTGTCCGGACGATGTGGAGATGTCACTTTGCAACCGATCGAGGATGAAATTAGCGACGACGAGGAGCTGATGACGTCCTCGCTGACTGTTTTGCCGTTCAATTCGTGCATTTGGAGTTGAGCATTCGCTAAAGTGCCCTTCAATGGTTTTCTGATTAACCTTTTTTTAAAGCTCTGTACACTTTGAAATTCAGAGTCTAAATTTTTGAACCTCTGAGATCTCATACTTTACTGAAAACTCTGTTATTCTAACGAATTTTATGCCATTCGTGCAATAAAACTTCTTGCTTTTTTTTTACCATGTTACACCTTTTGCAGGTTTTAGCCCTGTGTATCTGTACTTTTATCCATTTTCTCATTGTTTCCCTTTAAAATGTTGTACATTCAACAATATAGATGGCCCTTCGTAAACTGGTGGGAGACCTCGGTCGACTGTGCCTCAAGACTGCCGAATCCTCGGCCGCTCGGAGTCTTTTCGACACGCAGACACAACGCGGAATCCACGCGTCCGTCCGCGCGGCAGACAGCATTCGAGACGCGCATCGACAAGGCACACGGATTGCCGCCAGTCAGGTACTGAAATTGATTCGCTTGGTCACTGTCTGAAAAGACGCCGCGCCTTGGAGCAGACGCCTGAATTTTTCAGGCGAAGGCAGCCGGACGCATTTGAAAATCGGATGCAGGCGGAAGGCGTGATAACGTCTGAGGTAAAAAGGCACAGGTCGCCTTCTCTGTGGACAAGCAGGTGTCTTGGGACCTTATTTATTCCGTTAACGTAGTATTTCAAAATTTCACATTGTCATAATTAAAAAAATAAAGAGGAACAGGCTGTGTCAGGAATAATGTTTGAGCTGATTATTATAGCATTTGTGTTCAGAATTTGATATTCTTTTCTTCTGTCGCATCAGTACTTGACTAGCGATAAGGTTTTAGTCTCTGTAGTCTTCCTTATTGCAAAAAAGGCCGCCGTACACCTTCTTGTCCACAGAAAAGGCGGCAAAACAGAAAAGGTTGTCTTTTTACCTTAGGCGTTATCGCGCCTTCCTCCTTCACTTTCAGGCGACAGTTCGCCTGTTCATCGGAGGCGGACGGCCGCCTGCAGCCGATTTTCAAAGGCGTCAGGCGCGTTGTTTCGTCTATTCTGCCAGCTTACTGTGCCGAAATTGCAAAAAAAAAGATAAAATTCGATAATTTCTCTATTATTCGCTCAGGTGGAAATCATGGAGGGAACGAAGGGCGCCGGAGTGCAGACGGCAGTCAACACCTCCTCCCTGGATGCTCGTTTGCCGACGGCGGAGACGCTAAAACAGCAGTTCGACGGAATGGCCTACCACGACTTGCCGCTCGTCTACATCAAAGCCACAAAGAATAACACACTGGTGACTGTGATGGATCACAAGAACGAAGTGATCACTTCCACCTCGTGTCGACTCGAAGGATTCAAGAACGCACGCAAAAAGACGACGATTGCCGGACAAACGACCGGAATCGCTGCCGGACAACGGCTCGTTCGCAGAGGAATTCGGACAGTTCGAGTGCAGGTGAGTAGTGTCGATTCAGCAAGGAGTCATCGATATTACCTTTGGTTTTGCAGGTAAAAGGTCTGGGACCAGGTCGAATGACGTGCGTGAAGGGACTCGCAGTGGCCGGCGTCCGCGTCGTCAGCATTACGGATCACACGCCGCTCTGTGAACTCGGACCCCGCCCGCGCAAAATTCGACGCATCTAATTTCCCGTTTTTCGGTTGTAAATTTTAAGACTAGTAGATTATAGATTCATTGTTCGTTTTTGTTCCGTTCCTTCTGTTTCCCCATGAACTTTACTTGCTTTTTTTGCTTTACATATGTTTATTAGGATTTATTTAATAAGTGAGATATTTGAATGCAAAGTGAGAAAGTAGGCAACCCGCTGTGAGCTCAAAGTGAAAAGTAGGGCGAAATGTTTAGATGTTAGTAATCGCATTGCTTGTACGTTTCTGATTATCGCTTGACGATGAGGACGATCTCGAGACGTGTTCGTCCTTTTCCGGCATCAAAGTTGTCGTGAATTCACTACCGGGCTGCAAATACTTTAGATTTATTTTTAAAAACTCGAAGAAACTGTCCTACTTTGTACTCAATTCTACTGTTCTTCTTGCTGCCTTTTCTGTGTCGTATCGACGAGCCCGCACCGGTGCTGATCGTCTGAAGATCATCGCTGATCGGGCTGCCTTGCAAATGCTTCTGAAAATTAAAACGCTTTGTTTTCAAATTGATATACCTCTACAAAAGTTACATTTTTATCCTGAAAATCGTACGCCTCATAGAGCGCCTGAATCAGGTCGGTGGCAAAAATGATTCCGGCGTGAGCGGACACCATTCGAAGCACAAATACGCCGTCCTTGTGCAGGTAGTTGGCGACAAACTTCGCCACGTCAGCCTCCTCTTTTCGGGTGTTTCTTTGCGAGAAATTGTGAAGAGAGCTCAGCGCCAAGTGCTGTTTTATGAACCATTGCGAGAAGCACGGGAAGACGAGCACAGTGAACCACTGGATGAACGAGACTGTGGAGGCGAACAGGAGGATTAGGTACCTACAATTTCTTATTCTCGTATCAATTCAATTATTAAATTGCTGTTATCCAAAAATTGTATCGCTTCTCAGATTTTTTCCATCCTCACAATCATTCAGAGAGCTGGGTTTGTTTTCTATCACAGAAGCAATGCGATCGGCTGAGTGGTTGACCCACTGTTTGACAGCAGCCGTCACCTCACGGGTTCCGCGCGCCGCTATCTTTTGCTGGCGAAAGGGGCGGAGCATTGACACTACGCGCCGAAAACTTGTTCTTACCAAAACCAAAGAAGTACGAAGATTTTTTCGTTGAAAATGTTGATGACAAGCACGCATTGTACGGAGTATCGCTGGATGTTGGCTACCTGACGGACCTGAAGAAGGATATTCGAAGAAGTGAAATTTTACGAGGAAAAAAGTTGTACAAACCTCAAAATCGCAGACAGCCGCACGTGGAAAATAGCCGCTTCTCTCCCAGGGAAGACCCATCACAATGTCCTGAACGACGCCAAATCCGTACCATTGATAGCGATTGGTACCGAGGAAACTGGAATTATTCAACGTTGTAAATATGTTTTCCCCTCCGAACGCCTACTTGTTCATAAGCCACAGCTGTGCGAGGACATTCACAAAATAGAGTGATTTCGTGAACAAATAGATCCACGATATGAATCCGGATGAGTATTGAAAGTTGAGAAAAGTGACCGTTTTGTGTACTTGCACCCTCTTTGACTCCATGTTTGCCTGAAATCGGAGGGCGCACGACAGATGACGCTTCAGAATTCCAATGTTTTTCTCCCGAACTTCTTCTTCCACATTCGCCGCGTCTTTCGCTTTTTCGACCACCTCGTGAATGCGAATTCCTGAAAAACGAACAATGAAAGTGAGCGGATAGATTTTTCTTTCAAAAAGCACCTGAATGGTTGGAAAAATATTTCCAAAGATAGCTGGGAGCTCTGAAAAAGGCGGCCTGGAGGAGGAGAAAGAACGGAACCCATTGGTAGTAGGAGAGTTGGCGTTCGGGGGTGTATCTGCCGAAGTTTTAGGTACAAAACGAGTGCGAACGATAGAATAAGTACCTTTCCTCTTGTTTCAGAAGCGAGACGTCTTGAGTCGGCTCGACAAAGTAGGTATCCTGCGACCAGCAGTAGTTTTCCGCGTACTAAAAAAAACATTTTCGGTGCGTTTCGGGCAACAAATGTTGCATGTTTTTTTTGTTGAACTCGACACCTAGATACGCCGCACCTGTTCCCAACTGCCCGGAAATTTATTGGGGAACATGCACTCGATGGGCCGTCCGCCGAACTGTTTGAACGAAATGAGCACGGAGAAGGCGAGCAGCAGGTTCGGAGTGATCAGATAGTTTAGACGGTCCGACCAATCGTCGTCCTCTCGTGGCGACAGATACTTCGCCATCCCGAGGAACGTTTCGATCATTACCATTTTGGCTGAACACGAATACAATGAGAGGAAAGTAATTGTAAAGTTAAAGAAAAAATCAAGGTTTTCAGTTGAAAAATGAAAGAAAGAGTCGAAATAGTATAGGACTTAGCAACAGAAAACGGATTCTCTGAATAAGCAAACAGACAGTTACGGTAGATTAAAGGCGCATAACGCTCGAAATGAACAAATTGCACACTTTTCGCTGCTGCTTCTTCTCTTTTCTGATGATGATGGTGGTGGGGTAGCGGAGACACGGAGACCGTTTTGGAGGAGCGAGGCAAACATCGAAACGGAGAAGAATATGGGAAAGTGATGATTTGTAAACATGAGAAAAAGAGCGGATCGGATAAGAGAATTAGACGACGAGAAGGAGAGCATAGAGCGATTGAGTTCAGTGGAGACGCAAGCAAGCACATCCATTAGCTCGTTAAAATCCACAGAGATAAATTGTAATTGTAATTTGCACTCGACAGAAAAAAAGTGTTTTGTGTGTGTGTCTCTGCTTCTCTGTGCCTCGTCACTTTGTCGCTCTTTCGTCGCCAAAGGACAGAAGGAACAATAGAAAAATGGTAACTGCGCTGGCGCGCACCCGATGACTGTTTTCTGTTTCTGTGCGCGTTTGTAACATAACCTCACTCATCAATAGAGAGAAATACCATCGAAACAGATGGGTTTTGATGAAGAAATACGACTTTGGAGAGGTGGATAAAGAAAAAAGATGGCGACTGATGAACGTTTCGCAACCGGCGGTATCATATCATTGTGACACGATGATTAGCAGTTTTTCGTTGGCCTCTAAATGCCTGTGTGTTGACCACTTTCCAAAGAGAACCCAGCCCAGCACAGAGAAGCCGAAAAAAAGACAAAAACTTGAAGAGGAGCTTTTAACGACATATTTGTACGGTGTTAACGCAAACATTCAGACAGTTAGGAACTAAACTGATAAAGTCATAAAGCGCTCTCTGCTGCGTGTGAAACTCTACGGCATTTCAAGAACTTACCGCTGCAACACTCTCGGAAAACATTGCCGGAATGGCGCATTCGATCGGCGTCGCTTCCCCAGCCCACGTCTTCCATGCCGTCACCGTGGCCATCGCCAGGAGAAGATTCGAAGTGACAGTTGTGTGCAAACGATCTGAATAGTCCTGAAAAGCGTGCCGTCATGTGAAAAAACACACACACAATAACCTGATCATATCGCCAAATGTTCCGATTGACGGACTCCAGTAGACCTTCGATTGACATTTTCCCACGTCACTTCACATAGAACTCGGAAGAGTATAGAGCAACGGAACTTTCTTTGTTTTCTGTTCAAGTTATCCGAAATTTCACACAAGAAACGCCAAATATTTGTTCAGAGGCACCCGATCGAAAGAAACTGTGAAGCTCTGGAGAAGGCAGAACAAGAACAGGTTGACAGAATATGATAAATGGGATACGATAGCTACAGTAATATCCTATCCCCTAGAAGAAGTGTTTACTATTGAGATTATCCCTCTACTAGCCCCGTTCTCCTGAGGGAGATAAGATGAGGGGGGTATAGCACTTGACGGAAATGGGTGAACACACCGGAAGTCAACAGTGAAAACATTGAGAGCAACCGATGCGGCTCTCCAAATGATTGAGAGGGACATTTGGCAACTCGCGGGCGTTTAGCAGCCTAAATGGAAAGGTAACCGTGTCCGATCCAATGGAAAGGCCAGAGTTGGACACCTCCACGCAATTCTTCGGTGTCTAAGTTCTCCCTCTGGCACGGTCTCCAGAGCTTACAACGGGCGCAAGTGCGCCCCGCCCAATAGAGCGATACATTGGCGCGAAATTCAAATTTTAACAGCAAAATTGGTGTTTTTTGCCAGATATGCCACAAAAACCCGATAATTTGTCATTTGTCTCTCGATAGACCGATTGTATAGGCTATTACGAATTTCTTAAGCGCAAGAGCGTTAAATTTGGTCAAGTCGCAAATCACATTTATCCGTTTGAAGGTTTTGGCTAAAACTGCGTGAATTTCAGTTGCTTTTCGGTAATTTTCGCGGTTCGAGCGCTCAAAATGCTTGTATTTACGTGGTTTATCATTCTCAAAACCAGCTCTGTCTGAAAACGGCCAAGAAAGCTCAAAATGAGAAGTGCGGTTTTTAGGCGGCGATCGGCGGCGAAGGCAAAAAAGCAAAGTCCGCTAAAAATGCGCCAAGACGTCATTAATTCTGAGAATTAGTGTGTTTTCATGTCGAACAATCATTTTTCATCGCATTTGGCCACAAAAATCAGAGAAAACCTGCTCAATTCATGAAAACGCCATTTGGCCGAGGTCACGCCCATATCGTCAGCTCTGGAGACCGTGTCTGGCTCCATTCGCTTGATCTTAATTCCCTTTTTAAAATGCTCAAGGGCTTCAACGATTTATAATAAGATGATGATATAATAACACCTTTTTTTAATGCAATCAACTCAGGACAGTAGGCTGGCTGACCTTGGCGATTGGCGCCATAGAGCTGGCCTCTGTTTGTCGGCCCATACTGACCACACTCATTTTCTGCACAAATCGCTCTCGAATCATTCGGTTCAGCGCCAAATATATAAAGACGGGGGCGCCGTGGATGAACTGCCACGTGAAATGGGCGAACATGATGAGGCCGTCGGGCACCTCCGTCACATTCATCACGACGTAGATCACTGCGCACAATTGATTCGCCGCGCAGATCAGAGTCGATTGGAGGAACACTTGGGTTTTCTTGAAAGAATAAGAAACGAGTCGTTCGACGTGCTGTGCGTCTTACCGTATTCTGCAACCGTGACAGTTGAACTCCACGCACATGCCGCAAATTGGTTCCGATGACCCATCGAAACGGCGTGTACACGATGCAAGTCAGCGTAACAATCAAAAAGTTGTTGGCGGTGTGCGAATGGTTGAAGTACTCGGCAGACTTTTCCGGAAATATCATCGGCTCGTAGAACCAGGCCATGTACTTGGAGTTGAAGATGAGAGGAGCGGTGAACAGGAAGTAGACGAAGTAAAGGATGGGAAACAGCATGGCAATGTACGTTTTGCGCCCATCAAAGAGTTTGGTGGCCAGGGCGGGTTTGGTCATTCCGAGTAGACGATTGGCGACGAGCAAAAGTGCGGTCATGCAGGAAGAGCACCAGAGAGCGCAGACAAGCATTCCGGAGATGTAGATGATGTTCGGGTGGGTGCAATAGACGGCGCCTTTCATAGCGAGCCATCCGGTAAGGATGGAATTCACGTAGGTGATCAGAAAGTCGATGATTCCCAGCAGATACATGATTTTGAAGCACGACATGTTGAAGTTTTCCTTTTCAAAAATGATAGAGAGAATTGGTAGGTAGAGGATCTGAATTTAAACATTAACAAATATAACTGCACATGGCTCACATCAATCATGATCCCATAGGCTAGCTGTCCAGCGCCTAAAAGTGGCCACCGCTCCCCACCTAACTTCGACCACTCGTCAGAAGTGTGTCCGCTGAAATATTTTAAACTTGAGGATTCACTATGTTTCGAGTGGTACCTGCAATTGTACAAAGGGATACGCTCAACAGAGCCGTAAATGATCAAGTTGTCCATTCTGAGACAAGGCAAGAAGATCAGCAAGCTCGTCGTAATACGACTGAAGTGGCAGCAACAGAAAGGGGTGTAGCTTGGCCGCTTAGACTGGTGTACAGCAATCGTACCGGAAATTAACTAATACTGATGGTTATTAAGCCACAAGTTCGTAGAAGAGGTGCCTGCGGGGGAAGTTATTGGCGCGGGTGGGTACTCGGAAATTACTATCGAGGCACTTTAATGTGAATTCACTGCAAAAGCCGTGAAACGAGTATCAGTTGTTTTTCTTTTGAATTTTGGAAGAACTTTCTCTATTTTTAATCGGCGCCGGGCTGGAGGTCACGATCGAAACAGAGCGCATTCACATTCAAATGCCCCGATAGCACATGCTAGAGAAACGTCATCAAAAACAGATTTTCGCTAACAAAAAACCCTTGTGGACTCGCAGATTTCTTGTGCAATGGATTTTGTTTCAGTAACAGACTTTAGGCGTCATGGAAACAGGTGACAATTCTGGAGGAATAGAGGCTGCAACCAGCAAAGATTGCTCTTCCTGAAGAAGATGTGTTGGCCTCCCGTGACGAGGCTCTACTATAATAAGAGGTAAAAGATGGAAAATTTTAATGTATATTCGCACAAACATCGAGAGAATTTCTCCTTCACCAGATGTAAGAAAAGGGCCACTGAGCCTGCGATCACTGCAGTGGCCACAGTTCTGACATCTTGTGACATGCGGAGCACTCTTCCGGTGAAGCACGGGTTTTTACTAGACATTATGTTATTTTCGATTTTTTTAATGCCAATATTATCTCTGAAAATTGAATGAAGCATTACTTGTCGAGGAGATTCGATAGAATAATTGTCACGTAGCCATGCAACGACACTCCGCTATACCGGTTGCGGCGCGGTGTTTAACGTAAACTTCTCTGGATTTTTCCTCACTTGTCCAATTCAGTATTGATAATTATAACATAATCGAAGAATTATTTTATTAGATGTGGCACGAAGCACGTAGACAAGAGAAGCTTCTGCGATCCACGATGATCGACCAGTCGAAAAGAGCCGAGAGAAAGCGGCGATATTTCGACACTGTCGTAAGTTCTTCACGTCGAAAAAGTACCGCAAACAAGAAAAGCAACAAAAAGTCGTTTGAAAAAATTATATTAAGCGAGTTTCTTACAGAGAAAAGATCCGGAACAGTTTATGCAAATACACGGGCGGAAGGCTCAAATCCACGCGGATCTTGGCATCGCGCGAGCCGCTGAAGATGCGAACATTCTGCGTGCGTGGCAGGGCGACGCCAATATCACAATCGACCGATTCGACGTTCGTTCTCATCTTTCCAAAATGGATTTGTTGGACGATGATGATTTGGCCCCGAAAAAGCGTGATGAGACGTCGAATTCCGACGAAAAGGAACACATTGTGACGGATTTCGAACGGTATCGAGTGCTAATCATCAATGATTATAAAGGAGTTTCCGAGAAACAATATCTGCGAAAAATTGCTGATCGAGAGTTTTATTCGGTCGAAAAAGAGCAGTCGAAAAAGTTAGAAGCGGAAAAAAAGAAGAAATCGGCGGAGAAGAAATCGACGATTGGATTCCGTTATGAAGATTCGGACGTTGTGAGAGGCGGAGGAAAAGGGGGAAAAGAAAAGAAACAAGAGCCGTCGGATGAGGATTCCGAAGAAGATATCGATGAGATGGAGGATTTAGGTGAGTTTTTAAAAGAATATTGGCTGAACATGACTTCTTCGAACTCTTTTTTGAAATTAACAGTTGTTCATTCAGATGTGGACATCGACATAGCTCGTCTCAACCCGGAAACGCAGCGAACGGTGAACAAGTGCGGCGAAGAGTTCGGCGTGAAGCGGGGCCTTTTCTGTGCCCTCTTAAAAGCTGATCAGCAGGCGTTGAACGACGCCGCGCAGCTCAAACAGATCGATAGACAAAAGGCGCAGCTCTCTGTCCGTAAATCCTACCATATGTAATTTTGATGTCTTGCGCATTACGCACCTTTCATAATCTGTAAAAGACGGGTAGTTTGCCACGTTTTAGCGGAAGCAGAGATTCTTGTAGGTTATGAAGGGTGTTTTGTGAGTTGCTTACAATGCTGTAACGTAGTTAATGTCATGAATGCGATACCGATAACTGTTTTTTTATAGGGCCGTGAATCGAAGCACGAACGCATGCTTCTGCGACAGCAACGTCAGGCGATCGTCGGAAAGTCGGGCATGACAGTTAGAGAGAACGGCGCAACAGCCACACTCCTCGGGTTCATCAATCAGAGCCAACAGAAATCGAAAATCGATCAAATGATGGAGGATCTCGAGGGAAGCGATGAGGAGGACGAACGGAAGGCCCGTCCTCAGTTCATTCGGACATTTGGTGGTGCGGCGGCTGATCGTCGTGGAGGCGATTCCGATGAAGACGTGAAGAAAACGACAGTCGGACCGGAGCTGCCTTCAGAAGAGTATCGAAAAATTTTGAAGTTGTCAAAGAATCGAGGATCCGAAGCTGATGAAGTAGATTGGGGAGGGCTGAAAGTGAAAAGATCGAGAACTAGATCCAGATCTCCCCGTCGGAGATCCAGAAGCAGAAGCCGTTCGAGATCCAGAAGATCGAGCTCGAGGAACCGTTCTCACTACAGAAGACGCCGAAATTCAAGGAGCCGAAGTCGTTCACGCTCTAGAGATCGTGATCGTTCCAGGGACCGGCGAGATCGAAAACGACGGAGATCCAGGTCGAATTCCAGAAGACGTCACAGGAGCAGAAGCTCGAGACGTCATAGATCTAGAGACAACAGACGGAGAGAACAATCGAGAGATGAAAAAAGTAGGAAAAGGAGAGAAAAGACGCCGGAGAAGAGAAGGGAAAAGAGCCCGGTTCCCGCAAAGCTTGCCGTAAAAATAGAAGAAGCTGTTCAACCTGCGAAAAGTGATAGCTCGGCAGAAGAAAGTGCGGCAGAAGATGTAAAAATGTTGGAGATCAGGTTGGTTGGAAGCTGAACATTGTGGAAATAAATCATTTTTTTCAGATCGAGTATGTCAGAGTCGGAACGGGAAAGAGTCCAGATTGAAAACAGGAAGCGGCGAGTGAAACTGACGAAAAAGTTGGTGAAGGAGAAGAAAGGGCAAGCGACGGAAGAGCGCAATGACAGTACTGGCGATGAGGACGAGGAGCAGCAGAAACGGACGGAGCAGGCCAAACGAATGAAGATGCAGATGAGCCAGGCTCTCAAGAAAACACGACAGGAACTGGCAAAGGAAGAGGTGGAACGGAAGAGAGAGGCCGAACTTGCGCAGCGGGTGAGAAAGAAAATCAGAAGCTAGAGCAACAAGAGATCGAAAATAAGTTTCATTGTATGATTTTCAGGTCCGCGAAGAGCTACGATACATTGAAATCCAAGAGAGACGGGAGCGAGAAAGAGCTAAACTTCGGATGACTGAAGGCCCGACAAGATCCCCATAACCATTTGAAATGTTTTGTTCTTTTTGTTTTTTTTTTCTTTTTCCTAAATAAATCAACCTTCATTCAGACAGTTTTTATTCATAGAGAGGTCATTGCAGACGAGGAAAGTGGGTGTACAATTGCTGTTAGATTAATAATATTAATGCTGCAACATTTCAATAGGGCGAAATCTTAAGTATGCATCTAAATTTGCTATTTTTCTTTGCTCGCAACGATTCCGAATTGAAACCTATTCTTCGTACGTGTTTTTTGTTTATATTTTCAATTATTTGGTAGCACAATTTGCTGGCAAAAGAGAAGAATTAGTAGTTGGAATGCTTCTGAAGAAAATTGGGGACGAAGCAGAGCATTTGTAGAGAGAGAGAGAGAAAGAATTGACATATAAAAAGCGGGAGCGAAAGCAAGCAAATCTCAAATTTCCACGTGGATTTAGGGGCATCATCATGCGGCCGAATTGTTGAAGGCCCGACTCGTGGCGCCAATAAATCCGAGTGAAGTGAACCTGTGCTCTAGAACGAACACTTTTTAAAAGAATGATGGTGCGGAAGCTATAGGAACCCATCTAAAAGCAACCGATAGACAAAGAAAGGAGAAAAAGTCGCGACGTGTCAAAAGTTTAAGTGAACAATATTATAGTTATGAGGGCGCGTTGGAAGTTGGTGAGCAGGAAGATCCTTGTTGGCCGACGTGCAGATTGCTTCGGACAGCGTTCGAGAACGATGGTAAGTTGCCGGTTAGAAAGCCTTTCGGACCTTTTTGGTTCACCTGAAATAATGGATATGGTCGTCTTGCGATGATATTGAGAGGAGAAATAAAAATGTTGGCCGTCTCTGCTTGAGACGGATACCAAAAACCGTGTTTGAGGCGTATCCTTTCTGAGGGGCTCTTTGAGGGCAAATGGGTCACTTGCTCCTCAAACCCATTAGAAAGTTACTGCGGAGAACAAAACAAAAGCAAGCGAAAGAAACACAGTAATCGAGCGGCTTCAAATTCAATCCAAACGAAGCCCCATGCAAAAAAGGGCATGCAAAGTGGAACAGGACATACAAAGTGTGTTAAAGTGAGGTGCGGACAGACAGTGGTGTCATAACCAGTGATAACGATGAACGAACGGGCACCACTGGATGGACCAAGGCTTGAAGGGTCGGAAGAAGAGGAAGGGGGGGCCGGGGAGGAATGAGGAAGGAAGAGAGACACGTACAGATGGTGTTGTGGCGGTGCGAGCAGAAGATTCTGACTCGAGCCTGTCGTCAGCATCGAAGACGAGCCGGCGCCACCGGAAAGAGTCGAGCCGAGAGACGCGCTCGCGTGCAACGTCTTCTGGCTCGGCGCACTGCTCCGCGATATTGTCGAACCAATGCGTCGCGACGCTTTTCGCGCGATCAGCGACGTAAACGTTGTCTGAATTGAGAGTTAAACGGAGAGGCGGGGCATTGGGATGTTGGGGAGAAGACAGAGAAGAAGAAGAAGTTGTGTGGTGTCAAGAAGGTAGAGAACTTAAATGGTGTGAGTGGGAGGTTAGGGTTTCCATGATTCCGGGGATTCCAGAGGGAACGTCATGCTGTTAGAGGTTAGTGATCGAACTTGTTGAGGATTCTTAGCTCGCTGGGTTTTTGCCAGTATTCCCTACTATGTATTGTCATTTTCGAATTCAAGAATGAGACTCAAAATCAGAAGTGTTCAACGTTGTGGCGAGCATTCCTGAAGCTTTCAATCCAATCGGAAAAAGACACATGAATCGCGGGGAAAAGTTGCCGAGGTAAAGGCCGAGACTAACATTCCAAAAGGAAAGGTGAACTGAGCTAAACCATCGCCGACGGACGGTCTCAATAGGATGCACAGAAACTGAAAAAAGAGTGTTTGACTCACTTTTTTCCTAGACTGCATCACCAAATCCTTGTAGATTTCCGAGCGTAAAAATCGCTGATAACTGTCGTTTTTCATTAGGCAATAAATGTGGTCCTATAATATCATCATGTTTATTATCATTCTCTGCAGTGCTCTCACCGCCGCCTCGTCGAAACTCCAGCGATTGGGGTTCTTCAAATTGTCCTCGGTGACCTCCATCACTTTGCAATCCACGTTTACCGGAGACGTGGCCGCATTCGTGTCGATGAACTCGTTGTAAATCTCCGTAACCATCACCGGAACCATTCGAGAGCTGCACTTGCGCAGCTTTTGAACCTCCCACCAGAAGCGCAGATTTTCGCCCGAATACTCTTTGTCCAAGAACTTTTGGAGAGTCTCTCGACCCAGCGAATCGGCGAGAAGCTCTTCGAAGCTGTCCTCCCACAGCTTGAGACGACGGGTTTGTATGTCGCCCGTGCTGAAAAAGTTGAAATCCGAGTGCGGATGCATCCAACTCACATCTTGTCATGCTGCCAGAAGTCGACAGTATCATTGATCCACGGGTTCGGCATGGATTGGAAGGGATCCGCCTGGGTGCCGGGAGGTGTCAGCAGAGAGTCGAAGACGCGGCGGTCCTCGTAGTAGGCCAAGTAGCTGAAAGTTGAACGATTAGTTGATTGATTCGACAGCAGCTCCACTCACTTCTCCACCACTTTCGACGTCCTCAGCACATTTTTCGAGAGTCGACTATTCAGCTGACAAATCTCCAACTTCAACGTATCCTGCACTTGAGTGCATCGTCGCAACCCGGGCCGTGCGTAGTAGTTGTTGCGGAATGAGCCAGAGCTTGCGCTGCTCGTTCTGAGAAAGAAATGTGAGGATCGTTTCAATATTTGTGAATGGCTTACGATGCAAACGCGGTGACCGGTGGCGTGGACGTTGACGGTGCCGACATAGCGGCTCCCGCAGAGGAAGAACACGACGCAGAATCCTGCCTTGGTGACGTGGCACTTCCGTTTGACGTTGATGGGAGACTAGCATGGGCGGCGGCCACACTTGCCGAGTACTGAGTGCATCCAATACCCGAAGAAGAAGCCGCCAACGCCGCATGCCCCCCGCTGCTGTACTTTGGCCGTCCGGACCGTGACAACTTGCGGAAGTCGACCTCGGTGGTGTTCACACATCCGGGCACCGGACGATGCACGTCCCAGAAGGCGCGTTCCTGACTGTCGAGAATCTGACGCTCTTGTCGATCGCGCTTCTTGTCCACCCTGAGCGTCCTGGATTTATTTGTGTGTAGCATTGCTGTTGGGGCGCGCGCAGGGTGGATAAGTTAGTGGGCTAGTAGACAAACCTCGGGTGTTTCTAGGTTTTTATCAGAAATTGTACCACTTGTTCATGAAAACTTGTGACAACACTCCAAAAACGACGGACCAGGAACCAATTCACAAACACAGTAAGCTTTTGTATCTACGATAGCGGCTCAAAATAGTTCACTCTGAAAAGCTGCAATTCGGTTCAAACTTGACTGATGCTACCATGCCGTTAGACGTGAAAACTATTGTCTTAAGTTAGAGTATATTGCACGGATCATCCCGAAACTTTAAAAAGTAAACTTGACTTGAGAGGAGAAGATTGAGTTTAGGTACGGTACTTTAGCTACCAGAAGGCGCTCTCAAAACTTCGAGTATCTCTACAATGTGTACTAAATTAGCGCTCAGAGCAACTTTCCGAGTCTCTACTCCAGTAACCGTCTTCTAATTGCTGACAGAGGTGGATCGATCAAAGTTGAGGCGAATTACAGCTTGTCAAAAAGTCTATTGTCCGCTAATATACTATGGACCCACTTTTCATTGGTCTCCGTCTGTTCGACCGGCGTCTTTCTGGAGAAAAACAAGCTGCGTAACTTTGCAAAAACGCCCATTCTCTCGAGCAAGAGTCAGATGGAATTGAATGCAATGGAGGCTGGTGGGTAGAAGAAGAAGAAGAAGAAGAAGAAGGCGAAGAAGAAGGAACTAAGAATCTAATCTGTTCGCCACGCCTCCTTCTCCATCTCCTTTTATCCATTACTTCCAGCCAAGAGGCGCCGATTTTTCCAATCTTTTCGGATTGTCGGCCACCACCACCACCACCACCCATTCATCTTCTCCTCATTTCCCTTTTCGCTCCTGCGAGAAGCGCGAAGAGATTCCGCAAAAAATGTTCTGACAAGCAAAGTGTCTGTTGTGACAAGTATGAAACATTGCGAACAAATCAGACACTTTCCCTGTAAGAGCATTTCACAAGCTAGATAGTTTCAAAGAAATGACCAGACTCGTTCAAAAATGCGGGGTTGCAAAGTGTCGTGTAGATGCGCGCATACACAGAAAATGTAGTGTTAGATCAGGTGTGAATGAGGTGAGTTCAACGTAAAAGCAAACACTCGCGCCAGAGCCAAACAATGACGAACTTGTACTGAGCTTCGGCCTGCATGAATACAAATTCCCATTTGCGTGAGAACATTTTTTGCAGTTTGGCCAAGTTTTCGGCTTCGAAATCCTCCAGCTCCAGGTGCGCTTTGTTTTGCATTGTTCGCTTGCACAAGTACACAGCTGAACGATAATATCAGAATGAGATGCGTGATATGTGGCTACCGTAATCGGTGTTCTCCGGATCCCAACAGTTTGAGGGCCAAAAGTAGGGCGTTTGAAAGCGATAGAAAGTTCCGTCATTTTTGACGGTCAGCACGTGATCGTCAATTTGGAATAGGTAGCCGTGAGATGCGATGAGATGGGCGAGATGAAGAGCGTCGGCTGAAAATGTGTATTGCACAATGATAGGGCGAGGATATAAAACGTACAAAGATCAGTCATATCCAAGTTCTTCATAATCCACCCGATGAGATCTTGTCCGGTGAACACCGACGGCACCTTCGACAAAAAGCTCTTGACAGTCTTGATCGGCACACCGTGATCGGTATCGAGCATCTGGTTGACGAGCATCTCCATTTTCCGGTAGACCATGTGATTCGGGTGCACCAGACGCTCCTCGTTGCTTGCATTCACCCTGAAATCGAGAGAGAGTTGGTGCTATGCGCGACATGCTTGACAGCTCCTTGCTCTTGTCCTACGAGTCAGTGAACTTTTTCGCTGTGCTCTATGCCATTTTATTTGTGTTCATCGATCAAGAAGCGTTTTAAAGTGACTGTCTATGTCTTATGCTGCTATTCGCAAGAGAAAGGTCCGGAGGAACACACATCACCACAAAAGTCTTTTGAGTTTAGTATGTGAGCGAAGAATGATTCTTTGAGCACAATTTCTATTCAAAATGATGAGATACGAGAAAAAGCGATCAAAAACGAGAAGATGAGAGGAGGATGAGTCAACGCAAGTGCTGAGCCAATTTGTAAGAGGAGGAGGAGGAGGAGGAGGAGCACAAATGGTATAGACTTGAGAGAGAGAGAGAGCTATTGTAGGAATACATTTGTATATGTATGAGAAACGATTGTATTCAAGTGGGGCTGGAAAACGAACCTCAATCTTGGAAGAGCCATGTTGACTAGCAAACGTTCTCTTTGCTTTTTCCTCGTTTCACCAAAAAAGTTGTTCTGCGTGATCTGCTGATAGTCCGTATGAACGTCTTCGTGCTTCTTTTCTATAGTCTACTCCTTCATTCCTGTGGTGCCAACTGGGCGGCCAACAAGTGTGTTGTGTTCCACGTCGTCGCGGAGCAATAGAGACAGTGAGAGAGAGAGACGCCAAGTAGAACAAGTGCTAGAGACGAAAGAGCGAAGGCCTGTAATAACTTTTCTTCATGTACAAGGGCACGAAAAATGAGAAAGGAGAGAGAGAGAGAGAGAGAGAGAGAGAGGGATGGCATCATAAACACTCACTCACTCGCACAAGGAAAGGCTTTCTGCTGGCGTTGTGCGTGAGGGGAGCGTTAGTGAGTGAGTATGGAGCATAGAACGGAGCACACGGAAGAGAGCGTCAGAGAATTGAAGAAGAGGAGGAGGAGAGAAAGAAAAAGAAGAGGAGGAGGAGGGCGACGAAATTCGAGACCGAATTGACGACGGAGAATACACACGCACACGCAGAAGCGAGCGATGACACACGAAGAAAAAAAGGTCCTTTTTCTGACTACATGGCCAGAGAAGAAGGAAAAGGGAAGAGTTGATAAGAGAGTTCTATTTTAGAGCATGACAGCAGAAGAATTAGAAGAATGGACTATAGAGGGTTTTTGACTAGGCGCGGCAAGCGTAGTGCAATCTAGATAGTGCCAAGAAAATTGGTACCTGTGTCAGGCTTTAGGCAAATAACTAGCGGACCTTTCCCCAGTAGAAAGTGAAGCGGTATTTATAGAAAAGTATAGTGGGACCTATAGAGATAGCGCGGAAGTATATGAAGAGGAGGAAATAGCTGCAAAAACAACACAAAAATGCACTTCCCCAAAAAAATTGAAACTTTGTACTGCCTTTGAAAATATCGCTATAGAACTAGGGTTGACGAGTTGGGAATGTGTAAACATGAAGAGCAAGTTGTACTTGGAAAAGTTGTTTGGATGATAGTAGTAGTGACAGAGAGAGAGAGAGGGAAAGAGAGAGAAAGAGAGAGAGAGAGAAGGAGGAAAAGGAACAAATCTATCAACGATTGGGTATATGTTGAGAGGATGAGACGGGGACGAGCACAGAGAGCGAGAGAGAGAGAGAGAGAGAGCGAAAGAGATTATCGAGACATGCTTCTACCAAGTTTTTCGGCTAACAGTTTCACGCTAAATGCATCCCCACGAAAAACAATTGTGGCAAGACTGGGCGCATCGGCAGAAGGATGCCAAAAGAAATCGGGGCGCAGCAGAAGCGGCGGCGGCGGCACAACACTACGCGACTAAGCCCGGAACCTAGACATGCAGAGCTGCTCGCGAGAGAGAGAGAGATTAAGAGAGAGAGAAAGAGAGAGAGAGATCCTGTGAAACGACGAGACGAAGTTATTTGAGGGGCCGAAAACAGCCTGCGGGCGAAGCGCGGGCGGGGCGCAGACGACGTCGTCGCCCCGGCTCGACGGCGAAAGGAGGGAAGGGAGAGAAGCAAGAAGGAGGGCATGAAGGAACCATTGATTTTCGGGCGCCCCCAGCGAGCAAGCCCTGCGGCTCCACGCCCCATTGGGCTCTTTCAGGGCTTCTAGAAATAGCGCGAGTCACGGAGAGGCTTCTCTTCTCTCTTTCCCGCCGACTTTCTGTGTGTCTCATTGGCGTCACGCCACCCGCGCCTACTTCCTCTACGCGCTATCTTACGTCGTTGCGCTTCTCGGCGTCTCCGCTCGAAACACTCTTCTCTCTCAGTGGTGTTTCTTCTCTTTCTCTCTTTTTCTCTCTCTCTGTCCTGGGTTTTCCCGCCACGGCGACGACCTCGCAGGTACATGACCATCCTTCAGACCAACGCGCGGACGCACGCACAAATTCGTGCTTTGCGCTTTTTGCTTCTCTTTCGATCGTTCTGGCTCGGCCTTCAGTCTCCTGTACGTACAACTGAGAGCCTTGATTGCAACTTGAACATGTATCAATCTCAAGCTGATTTGTTAAAATCCAAACAAGAGTTTCGGAGTGTTTCCGCTCATTTTCGACCTTGGCATGTGTTCTATCAATATTCCAATCCTTTCGTGTTTTCCGTCTATACGAAAAAACGTTTCCGTTTTTCAATTCGATTAGCCCTCCCACTACACACTTCCTCTTCCGAGTATCATGTGACCTAGTGTCGACTAGAAAAATTCTTTCTCGATTACAGGACAGAAAACTCGGCAAACGCAGTTGTGTTCCGTTTCTCTTCAAAGTATCAGACGTTTTGCAACTTCTGCAACCAAAACCAAAAACGTCTCTGTTGAAAAATGGCTGAGAGTCAAGAAATCTGACTCTTCGCGGTATATGGCTATAATCTGGCTGAAAAATGAACAATATATGCATGAATGGTATTAGTTGCGAAATAACGTGTTATCAGTGAAAATTGAACCGGTCAATACTGTCACTCAAAGCTTTCTCTGCTGCAGAAAAAGTCTTCGAGTTTACTACTGCCCTACGAAAGTTTAACCTTCATTTAGCTCTTAACGTGGTGTGGCAACCGATTTTAAAGTAGCCAAACTGAGCTTCATGCTAACGTCTCCTTGAGTAAAATTTCTGACTTGCTCCCTGGCTCCACCCGTCATTCGACACTCCATCCGTTCTCCTTATCAACTTTCACTCTTTCTCCTCCATCGCCTTCTCATTTTCTATTCGACATTGTGCCCGATTCTGCGACGCTCCACTTTGGTCGGTCATCGTTTGTTTTTGTCTCTCTCTCTGTCTTCCGTTCGTCTGCGTCTCTCTCCGTTCCTCCTTCTCTCGTCTGAAAGTGGAAAGGGGGGTTAATGTTTGATCGATTATTCATGCGCTATCACTTTCCCGGAAACGTTACTTTTGAGAAACTCTCGCTCTTGTGTGTTGCACGGTTTTGTCCAAAAATTCTCCCCAATGAGCCTGATATCGCTACAAAACTACTCGCATGTGGCTCGGTTGAACACGTTTCATAAAAACAGTAACAAACAATTGTTTTGTGAGGAGCCGCCGCCCCCTCCGCTTGACGCAATTGTCCTGGCGGCAAACGTTGAGTGCTAAATATTTGTGACCGATTTGAGAAAGAGAGAGAGAGAGAGAGAGAGAGAGAGAGAGAGAACACCCAATGTTTTCCGTGCGTCAAACACATTTCCTACGCTACTTTCTATACCACTTTTGCTCTCTTCTACCCCCATCATATCCATTTCGCAACCATCGTTTTTGCAGGTATGACAATTCACTTCTCTCACTGAGATGATCGTCCGGAACGGCCCGTGAACATCAACTCAACTCGACACTTTGTTTCTCGTTCTCTTCACTGTTTCCTCATCGCTGCTACTTTTGGAAAAACTGGAAGTGAATATGTCGATAAAGTTTTTGACGGGTCTACAGGTAAGCGAATTATAAGTGCGTGTGGTGTGTGTGTGTGGAAGAGAGAAAAAGAGCTGATGTCGGTTGATCTTTGGTTTTGCTACCAACCGTTAGGACTTTATATGAACTTTTCGCTCCATTTCGTTAGTTTTCGACCTCAACAACATTGAGCTTCTCGTAAAGTCAATGCCATTTGCAGGATCTTCTTGGTCTGTACGAAACGGGTACCGCTGCTTCTTCGCCGGCGTCTCCGATCCCTCCGACGTCGCCGTCGATGTTCGCAGTGCCTTCCCAGCAGTCGCACTCGGCTGCAACTTCAGTGCGAAAGAAAGTGGTCCAGGACGCGAACAGCTCTACAGAAGAAGCCGCCGAAGAGGGCCGCATCCGACAATGTTCCCACTCTCGAACCGTCTCTTTTCCGGCTGATATGGACTTGATCACAGGCTATCACGAGGCTCCAACTTCTCAATTCAACGCTGTCACTGATTCCGACGCTACCAGGACAGTGGATCCATCAGAAATCTTGAGAGCCTATCGAGAAGCCTGTCAGAGTAGGCAGTGTCCGCCCAGTGCCACGGTCGAGAAGCAGATAGGCTACTTTCACAAGAGCCCATCGACCAGGCAGGAATTGCTCTCATTGAAGGGAGAACGTGTGTCGCATGCTCAGATGGAGGCGTTGGAGGAGATCTTCAAGAGAGTTCAGTTCAATTCAATCGATTTCGAGTACACTTTTCTCGATGATGATGTGAGTGGCTTCACTATTAGAACCAACCAACTTTCATTTTTCAGAGCGCCATCTCCCTTGGCGAAATGATAGAGTTCTATGACTCTTGTGTCCGTCTCAACCTTTCCTTCAACAAGCAAATCGATATGCGCGGGTGGACGACCATATTCCGGGCGGTGCGCAACGCATTCTCCCTCCAAATGCTGAATCTCCGCTACACCAGTCTCAACGACCGTTCGATTCCGGCGCTCTGTCGTTTGGCGCGTGCTCAACCATCGGCTTCTCTAACGTGCTTGCACCTAGAGAACACTCAATTGTCCGGCAAAAATCTTCTCGTGCTCATTTCTGCGCTGAAGAACAATAACGGACTGAAGGAGTTGTACCTGGGCGATAACGGACTTCAGCCGACCGACGGTTCGCATATTTTCCAGCTGATCGTTGGCAATTCGTGCCTGCAATTGTTGGACTTGCGAAATAATAATCTCGCGGATTCTGGAGTCCGCCACATCTGCGATGCACTACGACATCGTCAGTGTCTCGAAGGCAGCGCACTTTCGGCCATCGTGCTCTGGAACAACAACGTGACGGGCGCGTCTATGGACTCACTTGCCGACGCGCTGACGGAGAACACACGAATCGAGACGCTGAACATTGGAAACAACAAACTCGGAGTTGTGGGAATTGCACACTTGAAGCCGGCGCTCGTTTCCAACTCTCATCTCCATCGTTTGGGTCTTCAGAACACGAGACTCAGTTGTGAGGGAGCCATCATTCTGGCCGAATGCATTGCGGATAACAATGCGCTTCTGAGAGTTGATATCAGAGATAATCCTATTGGTTAGTTCTTGGAAATGGTTCACAGTTGTCCTAGACATGAGTATACGAGATATCGGACTTGTGTTTTATCACGTTTACAATGTTTTCAGCTCTTGCCGGTCTTCTGGCTCTTCACTCTGCAATGAAGTTGAACAAATCGATAACCCTTCTGAATATCGATGCGGCGTGTGTGAAGCTAAGCAATGAAAAGGTTAGTTTTGATGGAGAAATGTCTGGTGTAGTCTTGTGTTGGATATTGGTCGAAACGCTTTTTATTATTGAGTTCTAGTACATCATCTGTGTCTCATTTCTTTTTAAGTTCGGTCCTCTGCACGCGGACGTCAACTAAATCTTGACACAAGACTCCGTTCCTTTCTAATGCTTGTGACGTGTTTATTCGTTGTTTTCCAATCTATAGGTTCGCGAATATCAGGACGAGTTCGAGCGATACTTCCGTGACATTCAAATGTATTGTGATCGGAACAAGGACGAGGTGATGAAGAGATTGACGGTCACTTTTGAGGATGACGAAGCAGAAGAGGCCGGAGAAGAAGGAGACGACGGAGAAAAGACTGAAGAGGGCGAAGAGAAGCAGGAGCAGTCTGATGAACAAAGAGGAGATAATGAAGGTTACAGAGAAAGCTAGGGAAACGTTTAAAACTTTATGTTTTCAGAGTCCACAACTGGAGCGGTAATAGCGACAGACCAGTCAAACGCGGAGTCCTTCGATACGCCCACAGAACTGAATTCAACCCTTTCCACACTATCAACCCGAAAAGAGAGCAACAACAACGAGAAGCGACCTCTAATGCTCTCGTCCTCCACTTCCCAAATCAATAGGACAGACAAACAGCAACGATTTGCAAGAAGTTCTTCGCTCACTTGTGCTGAGACCGTGCATGATATTCATGATAGACTGCGTGAAATGTCGGGATCGACTCATTCGCTGGATGCTGGAATCGCCGCCGCTTCGGTGACGTGTGGCCCTCTGGACAGCTCTAGCAATTGCGAATCGATGAAGACGATCAAAAAGTCGTTTACAGTGTCGGCGGCGCAACCGGCCGCTCTCCCGCTTGCCGAATGGGGCTCTCTTCCGGCTCTTCCACAGGCCAGTCCTACTTCAACACCGGTTGTTCGGAAACTCCGACGTTTCTCGGTTTCTCCGTCGTCTTCGGTGTTCGACGTGGCTACAACTTCCTCGTCTGCAACAAATTCTCCGATGCGACAACCGATTCCCGAGGCGTCTTCTTCTTCCGCCACTTCAGAAGCTTCGTTTCATCCCACTCGTCCCTCAACCCTAGCCATCGGAATCCCGCCGGCTGGAAGTGTACCGTCTGGGCCCTCTTCTGCGCCGTTGATTCTCATTGAGGACGACCACAAACACGCGAACACGAACAACGAAGAGTTCCGGGCTTCACCAGAAACTTCCAGATTGCGAGAAGCAGAGGAAACGGAGGGGGAGAAGGAACGGAAAATATGCCAAGCTGTTATCGGGGATCTGTTGAATTATGTGGAGTACGAGGAGAAGTCGCAAGTGGAGAGGAAGGCGTCGCTCTTGCTTCGGAACGCGTTCAGTCGGCCCAACCCGGAAGAGCTTCTTCGAAATCTGCGCTACTCGGAAACATCCGCAACGCCTGGCAGTTCGACTCCACAGAGCAGGACACCGTTAACTCCTTCGAGGTGAGACTGGCTCGTCGTCCATCCAGAAAGTAACTTCACCATTTCAGAGTGTTCGAAATCGCCGAAGAGCTGGAAGGCGAGAGCGACGATCAAGTGTGCCGATCGGTGATGCGTTGCCTCGTGCGCGATGTGCTTCAAGCCGAGAAAAACATGCTACGGTCCACTTTGGACAGGCGTCGTCGGCACGCCAGTGCACGCAATTCGCCAGTCTAATTCGATCTGATGATGATCTCCAAAAAGCCCTTTGTAATATATAAATATATATATATAAATGTTGTACGTTTGCTTTTAAACTTATCTTCTCTTCCTCCCCTACCCCTTTGAAACATGCGGATTTGTCTCCCTCTCTCCAGTGGCCTTATGTATACTTTCTTCAGTCCAGTTTTTCTCCAGCATTTCTCATTTTCACGTTGTTTTTGCTGATGCACAGTATACATTTTGTATACTTGTAATGTATAGGTGAAACGTTCACTTACTAGTTTTTCATGTTGAATACTACCTACTTCTCGAAAATGACGCTTTATATTGTCTACCTGGACCAATTCCCACCACTGCACAGAACCAAATGAACTGTTTTTATTTGCAGCAAGTGCGAAACGTTCTGGATGAGTTGAAAAAAGAACAATAATTTATTTACAGGCACACAAAACAGAAAGGAAACAAGGAGAATCGGGAGAAGATCTAGATCGGGTTTAAAGTGAATATGAAAGCCTAACAAATGTCCGGACAGTGCTCACAACACAGTTTTTCGTTCCAGAAAATTGTACAATATCTCCTCAAGTGGGTCATTCGCGCGGGCATTGCGTCCACGCACGTTTGAGACATTTGCAACTGATTTGCTTGACGAGCCTCGAACGACGGAGTTACTGGACGGTGCGTTGTCGGGACCGGATCTTGATCGGGGAGCGTGTACCGGCTATCTTGGTTCGGGTAGTTGTTCTCACGAAGGAATTCCAGTACGTCTCCGTAGGAGGTCGTCATTCTGAACATCCATTTTCTTAGCCAATTTGTCAGGAGACTATGCTCACCGATAATTAAACTCCACAGTGTAACAAGCAGCGACTTTGGCCGTGTTGTGAAGACATTGAAGAGCCCATCCAGTTTTGCAGTCTTCCATGTTGCAGTACAAGTAGGAAAGCGAGTCGCAATGAGGTGCATTCCGATTGAAACAGCAGTCACACTAAAAGATCACATGGTTTTGATGAAGTGCGAGTAGTTTTGTAAAGTCTATCGTATAAGACTCACATCTTTCGATCCGGCCATCCAGCGATTCCTAGAAATCGGTGGCTTGTCGGAAGTAATAAGGTTCAGGAAGACTTGGAAGCGGCCGCGCTGAAAAACTTTGGTTAATCTTCATCACTTTTCAGTGTAGAGTACCCCTTTGTTAAGCCGTTTCTTAATCTCATCATCCACGCCCTGGGCTTTGCTCTTGATGAGATTCTCCAAGCTGGATCTGCTCGGCAACTGAATCGTCCTCCGGAATTCGTACTCGTTCGCCTCAATGTTATGACACTTTGAGATGGGAGTGTCGGTGTCCGACTGCGAAAGAAACTGATGACCTCTTCCGCTGGCAAGCTCATTCTCAACCGCTTGCGACACTTGACAAAGATCACAATATCGGCAGTAGGTTCGTCCATTTCGCTCGATGACTCCACTGAACTCATCGCACTTTTGAGTGAGCAACGTTGTCTCCGGAACCATTGTATACGGAAGATCGAAGCGGATTCCAGCGGGACCCTCTAGGACGGGTACTTGAAGGGTGACGCCGATTTCGCCGGAGAGAAATCCGAAATTTTGTTTCACTTTTATGCTTTTGAAATTCAGGGAATAATTGCCCGGCGCGCGGATGTAGTAGACCCGATTTCCGCGTTCGTTGACGATTTGGACGTCCTCTTCGTTAACGGTGATCTCGTTTTTCACTGAAAATCGTTCTATTATGATAGAATAACATCGGGGCAATGATTTGAGACAGTTCGGACTTTATAGAAGCCGTATACCATAGAGAACTTATAAAACGAACCTCCTCGACAATTATAGAGACTGACTTCATCAATAAGTATGTACAAATCGTCATGTGCGTTGGTTGCAACACAAAATGAGGCCAAAAGAAGCCATAATGTTTTCATGATCTGAAATGTGAGTTTTCTGTTTGTCCTATTGTCACAAAAACTCACCCAGACTTCCCGGTCGTGAAGTGAAAGTTGGAAAAATGTGTTCTAGACCACCTCTGAAATGTTTATTTCGGAACAAAAGTGGAAGCAGCAGATAACGTCGAAGAGAAAGGAAGAAGAAGGAAAAGAGAACGAGGTTTGGACATTCGACGGAAAGTGAGATCAGAACGCAATTGCATAATCGGGCAGGCGGACAGGATCCGAAAGCGCGTTGGCAGGTGTCTGACCAGTTTGCTGTAAGGGGGTAGACAAGTGGTCGCTTCTATTCTTTATATATCGCCATTTTTTGGAACAAAAATGAGAGAAGCGGAACAACATTTCAAATGCGTAATATCAAGAAAAGGGTGAGAAAAATGTGTCTTTTGATAATACACGAAAAAAAACTGATTAGTAGTAGCGGAGGCGAGAGAAAGGCACGCAAAAGTGAAAACGTGTGAAGAGAGTACAGAAACGGAGGAACCGACGAAACGAAAGGAGATGAAAGCAAAATCGGACAAGGCGAATCGCATTTACGCCTTTTCCTTTTTCATATCCCGCATACGGTCTGGTTATCATTTCAGGGGAGATGCCGCCGGTCCGAATTGAGGTCAGCCAGGTGAAAACTGACGTGTGTGTGTGTGTGTCTTCTTCGTCGTCTTGCATCGTCTACTAGGCTTCTACAAGCAAGCGGACGACGATTTGTTTGAACACTGAAAAGAGAAAAAAGAAACGGATGAGAAGAAGTAGCCGGCCGGATTAGGCACCGGAACGGGTTGGCAGGTAGAGATGGAAGGCTAGGCTAAGCAGTGGAACGAAGCAACAATATGTGCGACATAGGAAGGTGCTTTTTAAATGAACAGAGTGTGGATTCTGGAATTTAGGAATAAACTTTTATTTTCTCATCGGAGCTTGTACTTTGTTAAATGATACCTGCAGCACGGCTCCCCCGCTAAATTACGCACCGGTGTAAGGACGGAGCGTCGTAACAAGATTTGCAGCACTTGCTTTTGCTGCTGAATAATTTTCCAAAATTCGCATTGAATTTTTAGCCGAATCGTTTATGGGGTTATTCAGGCTGTGAAAAAAATTATTTTTTTTCCGTTTTTTTCGTTTTTTTACGTCAAAAAACTCAATTCAGCGGTGTAAAAAAACGGAAAACAAACATACGCTGAATAGCCCCATTAAACTTTTTCTACATCTTTCAGGCTCGCATGTTGAAAACTTAATAAAGCGGTTAGTTTGGTTGGAACTTGACATACTCGCCGTAAAACCTTTGTTGCAGAAACGGCCGTCATTGAAGAATCGGAGTAAGTACGAGTAGATTTTGTCATTTATGCATTTATGTATTCAAAATTGATAATTTCCAGGAGACAAGCGTTGGCGGGTCGTTTCGATTACACTCAACGCTCCCGGTGGTTACGATTTCGGATCGGGACATTCTGGGAACAGTTTGCCACGTGGACAGGGCAACGAGGAGGCGGGACAGTTGTGATAAATGGATAGCGAATAACTGAATGAAGATTGTACAATTCGTGGTCTGGGATTGCGATCCATTTCTTTTGAGCATCTAATGAACACAATTCAAGAAGTGTGAATTCTGGAATAATCTTTTTTTTCATCGGAGCTTGTACTTTTTCAAATGATACCTCCGTACGACGGGCTTTGACGGGCCTGGCTCGGATTATGCAAGTCTGGTTGCCAGTTGCATTCTCTCGTCTGCCTCCCCTCGAAAGTTGAAACATCGGAGGTGAGGGAACGAAAGAGCGAAAGAGCGAGAGAAGGAGACAGTACACGAGTACTTTTGCGCTGTGTCACTGTGTCAAACAATGATGTCCGTTTTTTTTTTGCAGAGGACATTTCCGGAAATTGTAAGGCACAGTGCAACGAATCGTTTTTAGTAGTGTGATTGATCTGCAAGTACTGGTTAAGAAATCAGATGTCTCGTGTCGTGCGGTTGTGAAATAATGTCCAAATATCTGAAATTAGCCTTCCGTTCCTTGTACTGTATCTAGCCCCCTCAATTTCGTTTCGATTAATCCCTCCGCTTTCGATGTTCTCTTGCTCAGACTCCTAGGCTAAAGCTCGAGCAATGGCATGTCGTGTGCCGCCCTCTTCTTTTTCTCTCCTTCTTCTTTTTTTAGTTTTCTCTTTCGTATGTGCCGACGTGACCTCTATCGGCTTTCTGGAAAATAGTGCAAATGCACTTTTGCATGAGGAGGCAAATGTTTGTTTGTAACTCTAATGTTTTATGATCAGCGACTTTCGGAAAAAGCCAAACGCGTTTCGGCTTGAGCATGCGCTGGTTTCGCAATCTGTGACAAACTACTTCTCGTCCGCACGCAACATCTTCCTCCTCGGCCCTTCTCTCCTCTTTTCTTACAAGGACTAGGAGGCTTAGTCTGATGATTCACTAGAGAGCATCAGATTGCCCTTTTCTGCTTACGCTTCACATCTTCTTCTTTTCTATCTCTCTTGGCTGCACAAAAAATGTGCACTTTGGCAAGGAATTGAGCGAGCACATACGCACTCGTGTTGAGCACATTGAGCAAGAGTGTGCATGGGATTTCCGGCCCACAGCTCCTCTTCGATGCTCCAAAAGAGATGGAGCTGTGTGAGGACGAGCAGGATGTGCATCAGAATAGAAGAGAAGAGGAAGAAAGGCAGATACCGTCGCTTCTGAACAATAATAAAGTGATATCTGAAAGTTATGGTTGTTGTGTAGCCGTATTGCTTCTAGACTCTTCGGACCGCTTGGCAACCAAACAGTTTCAACTAATGCAGTGGCTAATTGTTTATTACAATGAGAATTACGCACAACTATCAAGAAACAAGAATGTACTGTTTTGAACAGTTGAAAACGCATGAAAACGTGGCCATCCAAATCGGTGTTTGAACTGTTTTCCATCAAGATCAATGTCCGCATCATTGATCCACGATCCCTCACTTCTCGAAAGTTGCTCCATGTGTATTATAGGTCAACCTAATAATGCCAATAAGTCCAAGTCCAAGTCGGGTCCGTGCCATGCTCCCATGCAATTCTATGCGCTTTTAATTTACTTCTTCAACATGTCCACTCACTCCCCCCCGTTACAATGTTTTCTAATCAAAAGTGTGTGTGTGTTTGTGCTTGGCAGTGTGTCACATGATAACCCGATCGCAAGAAAGAGAGAAGCCTATCACAAGAAACATTTCGGAAAAAAAAGAACCAATCATCATCACTGCCAGGTGCAATTGTGTTGTCTTTGGAAGAAGCACGCCAAAAGTACAGCACTTTCTAATCGAGTTTGCACGCCAACAGAGGGCGAGGCGCGGGGGGAAATTCGATGTGAGAGCAAAAGGAAGTGCGTATTAGTCATGAACAAACCACCTGTTTGATCATAAGTTGCTGGAAATTGTGTAGGGGCGCAAGTCAAGTTGAAGGCCGAGTGTGTGAATTCAAATTTGAATTCGCAACCGTTAGCGCCACTCCACTACCCTTTTTGCCCGTCACTTCACAAAGAACCCGCAGCGCGGCAATGGAGGACAAGACAGTCTTCTCAGTGTCGGTCTCTGTATACGTGTGTGTGTGTCGAGTAAAAGGTCTTTTGCACTTTTTGTGTATACGCGACCCGTCGAGCGCCACATTCGCGCCGATCACGCTGATGATACATCGACGGTTTGGTTCGCGTCAAAGGATTACTGTAGGCCCCCCCACCCAGCAAGAGAGAATCGATGTGATTGATAGTGCCTAGACACGCTCTACGGTTTGGCAGCGAGGTTTCGTCGTCAGATTCGGACCTTGAAATGAATGGACTTTTTTTTTAGATGTATACAGTCACACACAATACGGCAACCTTCAAGAGATTGACGAGAAAAGATAGCAGCCGAATTGACTTGTGATAGGGTTACGGTAGACTTTCTCGTTTTGACCCCTTTTAGGTGCCTCAGAATGAGGTGTGTAAACCCAAAGTGCAGCACATACACAACTTGTCTTGAATATCAAATTTCTGCTGCTCGCTCCTCGCAACGCCCGTTTTTTTTTGCACTCTACGTCCACTGACGCAGACACTTTTACAGGCACACTGATAATAATAGTAAATCGGTTCTCTTTTTCGCTTCTAACTCCCTGATTAGCGTCTTGTACTCGAAGATGCAAAGACTTTTGTTGGTTGGTTGGTTGGCTGGCTGGCTGGCAGAATGACGAATAAAAAGGACACGACGATTACTTGGAAATCGGGCGAGAAGTCTGTTGATAGAGGCGTTTCGTAGCTGGCAAAAGTCGAAAGAACACCTAGATTTGAGAACCCTTTCGTGTTGACGCCGTGCTTTGGTGTCTTGATGGATGCTTCGAGGATTCTTGATGTTCTGCATAGATTGAGACGCATTTCCCTAGCGGGTAGTACGCTGTAAGAGAGAGAAAGAGAGAGAAAGAGAGCATATGCTTTGATCCCATTTAGTTTTTGCCAAATTTTGCTATATTTTCATCTTGGAGTTGGATATTGAGTGCACTCCAATCAATCACGCTTTTCCTCTCTTCTCGTACCACGCGCTTTTTCTAATGTTAAGGATTGAGAGGAGCTTAACGGAGACGACGGCTTGACTCATTTTTTGCACTTTTGTGAAATGTAAAACGGAAAAGATTTGAAGATGTTTTCTTAATCTTGAGAAGATTTAGCGTTATTGCACTCATTGGCAAAATTCCGCATGATTGTGGCATCCAACGCTGAAAATCGGTCTTCTCCTGGTGGTCAACGTCGGCAAAGCTACCGTATTCGCGAAAACTCGATTCGTGCAGCAATTCGCCCACGATGAAGTGGAGAAACGAGTGAAAGAAGAAGGGGGAAGAGATGAGATGTCCTTTCTCTCAGTTCATCAGTTTCTTCTTCAACGCAAAGCACTTTTGTCGCGCTGACGTGCGTGTCCTTCCGTCTTCGTCCGTCTTCTTTGCGCTGCGCTGTATTTTCACCGCATCTTTTGGCAAAAGGACACTTTTTTCTCCGAGACTGTTACACACCGAGTGGCCAAAGTCGGCGTCAACACAGAATTTGGCGGCGGCGGTGTCTTGCGCCGCCGCAAAGTACTTTTGTTTGTAACAACAGACTCGCATTGCATCTCTCTCTCTCTCTCTCTCTCTCTCACCGGTTATTTTTGATGAGAAAGCTACGATTCGGAGGGCGAGGGCGTGATGATAAGCGATTGCCCTTTTCGGGGTACGGTAGGCGCCAGGTCTGACGCGATAATAAAGCGATCGGGTAGGATGATGGAAAGAAAGAGAAGAAGCTTCAGTTTCAAGGTCTGGGCAGTCCAAACGGCCGACAGCCTTCATGTTTTTTGTTCGATTCAGTTCGAAGACGATCCGGCTTCCACTTTTCTATGTGAGAGGGGCGGGGGTACTGTAGGCATTCACTACATCGTTTTCTTCGGTTTGCGCTTTAGAATGAATTGATACGGCATGCAAATTATTCATTCAGTTGAATGAGAGTAGAGCAGTACACGGAAGAGGCATGGAAGCGGAACGTGGTGCATGTTATGATGATCAGGGAGTAATGACGACAATAATGGAGGCGTATACTCTTTTCATATATCCAGATTAGTCTCAATTCGAACACTTTCAGATCTCCTAGCCGTTTAGAATTGGGAGCAACACACCCACATAACCTTGTTGTTACCTGAAGAACCGTGACTCACGAGATCACATTCTCTTCAGCCGATTAGCACCTGTGAGGTGGCCGAACTCTTGCTCACTATCAGGTCACAACTAGTTCAGGAGTCCGTCTACGGCATCTCATGTGAAACGTGTTGTCCTTGAAGGCCACTCAACCGAAAATGATGTTATTATATAGACGCTTTTAGAATAGTGCAGCAACCAGCAGCAGCAGATATCTCCTCTACATGCACTGCCGGAAGGAAAACTTTTCCAGCTCTTAAGACGTTTGTTTGTGTGCTTATAGCTTCGGGGCCCGCCAAAGAACCGTCAGAATGTTGTTTTGGAGCAAGGCAGGCCAAGGAACACAAATACACACACACAAAACATGGCTAGGCTAGAGAGGCAAGCAGTCAGCACATTTTTTGTACTACTTGTACTACTACCTTAATATTTCCGTCTTAAAAGTTGCCAAGAACATGCTCTCAAAAAGTACATGACGTGTCATCGGAGTTTACGTCACTTCAAGCGCTTTTCCAGAGATCTCCAGACGAGTTAGTTCATAAACATTATCCCGAGAATTGAATATTTTCCTTGTTAGAGCGTCAAGTTCGGATCTTGCAAACTTTTGTGTCAAAAATTCAGCTGAACTGCGGCTCCTGTCCTCTTGCCGAACACAGAACACAAGGTTCTAGAGTGATAGAATCTCCTATTCTGAAGCTAACACCCTTCTTGGAATGATCTTCTTCTCCTTGTCGCCACCGCCGCCGCCGTTTGTTTTCCTTTTGCCGTCCCATGAACTGACAAGTGCTTCATCATTCTTTAGCCTCTTTCCACTACCCAACTCATCTTCTCATCCCAAAATGAGAATATGAGCCATTACTACTAGTATATACTTGCAATATATATATATATATTTGAAAAGCGTACGCATACACTCGCCCTTTCTCGCGCCGCGAGACGTTTCTCTATTGCTGCGGCGCAGGGGTGTGTTGCGTTGCGATCGAAAAGCGATTTGCCCTTTGGTTGCACTCGTGGGCCCCCGCTCTTTTTTTCTTCCTCGAAACACCACATTTATACACTCTTCTTCATCTTCTTCCCGACGCAGGGGAGCTAGCAATGGCGCCAGGATGGATGGCAGCAGGGGTCCCCCGAGAGAGAGAGAGAGTGGGGGGATGTTTCAAATGAGAAGGCTCCCCGATGCACTTTTCCACATACTCTTGCGAGACTTTTCTCAAGACGAGACACACACACACACACACACAGAAATGTTTCCCTCTTTCTCACAAAACCGTGGTCAAGTGAAGGGAAGGGAGCAACCAAGAAGGGATCCTATTGTTTTGCAGTAGGTTGCCCTTGAGACACACACACGGGCACTCACGCAAAAACAGATTATGTTTACAACACTCTTCTGTACCAAAGTTAAAAGCGAGAGGAAGAGAAAGAAGAGAGAAGAGATGACCTTCTGAACCGAGAACTTTTTTTTATCTTCGAGTGATGCAACGGTTTGGTGTGGGCCAGAGCGCCTCAGAAGGTCAACACATAGTCGGGCTAGAAGGAAGAGTGAATGGAAGAGGAAAGGATCCGAAACGCAATATTCTGCGTTACTCACTTCTTCAGCTTTATCTTCGTCTTCCTCTTCTTCATTCCATCCTTCCACCATTGACATCAATTCTATGTGACGTGTTTCTCTCTCTCTCTTACAGTAGTCGATCATGCGAAAAGTCCACACACCACCGAATCCGACCCCCCTCCTCGCCGCTTCGCAAAGGTACATTTGCACTTTTAGAAAAGTGGATTGGCTTCCACCTCCTCCTACGCCCAGTTTTTCCACGTCGTCCTTCGATCGTCCTCTTGTCTGGACAAGATAGATGCGCTAAGGCCGTCACCGCCTGTTTCTGCTATTGCCTGCACTTTTGTCTGGGGGGTCGACGGAAGCGCTTCTGTGATTTGATGATGTTATAGAAAACGGCGGACGCCGCGCCTGGAACCGAATCGAAGTGCAGTATTTCAGGTTCTGCGAGTGAGTAGAAGGAGAAGAGCGATGCACGTGAAAGTGCAAACTTTTTGCGAGCGCACTGGGTGGTTGGTCAACTCTCCTCTTTCCTTCTTTCTTTCCTTCCCTCACTCACATAATATTTGTCTACACTTTTGTTTACCTGTTCGTTCGCTCAGCGCCTCACATACAAACACAGAGATTTTCCAACCGTCTCTACTCTTTTAGCCGCTTCACTCTCACTCGTTCCACGTGCTCTGACATTGACTAGAAACGACAAGACGTTCAAAAAGTGCTCCAGAAGTTTATGACGACGGCCATGTCATGTCTGATGTTGTAAGATTTCCGAGTGACTCACGCGCAACTTGTTTTCGTCAATCTGTCCTAGTTGTGCACTTGCTCAGCTGCTCGTCTGCAGAAAAGACTGCCATCGCCAATCCGGGGTACGCTTGAGACAGACAAGCGGGGGGGTTGGCAGTGCGCGCAGTGTTCTCTGAAATTCCAGCCACACCGCTGTTTTTCTTTTCCAATGTGTGTCGGTCATGAACGCCACAGAGTCTAACACGAACAGGAAGTCACCAACTAGTCCCAGGAAAAGAGGGGTGGTGCCACGTCATTTCTAGATTTTTGTGGACAATCACCGAATCGCAGCAAGTCGAGGATCGGATGCTTCCTGGATCACGTTCACATGCCTAAAGTCCTTCTCGACTCAACCGTTTCAGAGAATCAGGTTCGGAATCAGTCCTCAAAGATCTTGTCACACGACGCGTCGCCATCAAACCTAAACCGGTACCTCCTAGCAAGTTTGCTTGCACTTTTGCGGTTCTCCTCCTCCTCCTCCTCCTCCTCCTCCATCTTCTTCTTCTTCTTCTTCTGTGCCTCCTACTTCTCTCCGCCCGCCGTGTCGCTCGCGCTCGTCATGCCCGGTGTAAACCCTCTCTCCCTTACGCCGGGGCGGGTCCTTTTGGGCGCCAAACGTACCGCCCCTTCGGCCCGATCCAAATTTTCATATATTGCATGGGTGTGTGTGTGTGCGTGTGTCTAAGAAGTGCGACACTTTCCCTCTATTTCCCTGATTAGCTCGCCCATTTCTACTGTCGAAGGACATTTCCAGCGGCCGCGACGGTAGAAGCACTGCTCTAAAGATGAGCCAGGGGGAACATTGCTTCTTCCACTTCCTCAAGATTACCGTACCTTATCCTCCTGCCTCTTCCTCTTTGCACTGCTTCTCGAGCGCCAAATCCCATGGGTTTTCCAAGAGGCACTATCCAAAAAAAAGAAGTTTTCCCTTTCTTTCCTCCATGGGCACATCAATTTGTGTGCGCTTGCGTCGGTCGCTCGGGCGGGGACAAGAGGGCCCCATCTCTTTCTCTCTTTCTGCCCAAAGGCGTGTGTCGTCTATCTCTCGCGTACACTCCACATGCCCTTTTGTTATTTTGTCCTCCCTGCCCGGGGCCTGCGGCGCCCCCCACCCTCTGAAAGGTCGACCTTCCTCCGCTGCCTCTGTCACTCGTTTGCTTCCGTCTTCTTCTTCTTCTTCTTCTACCCGTCGGCACCTTGTTCGAAGGTCTTCTCTTGTCTTTATTTTTGCTTCTCGCCAATATCATAGAAAAACAGAACAGCCGACCAGATAATTACGTTGACTACTTTTTCCTTACGTTTATCTTTACACCTGTACATCTGACCAAAACACAACAATATGTGTCCGCGTCTAGTGCAGCCAAAACTGTTTTCTCTCACTTTCCTCACGTCACCAGAGGGCCCTATTGGCGATGTACGTTCTTGATAATGAGTGATAGGTCTCGTGTTTTGGCTCTATGTAGAATTCCTCACTTCCTTCTTCCTTCCCCGTCACTGTGCACTTTTTCCGTCTGCTCCCGGAATGCTCCACCCCCTTCTTCGGGCACCCGGTGGGCGTGGCCTGGATCGAGAGCACGGCGCCCCCGCCGGGCAGTCATTGCCATCGCTCTTTCTCTGTGTGGAGCTTTTCTCGACTACTCGCCGCTCGTCATAAAATCGTTTTGCACTTTTCGTTTCCACTTTCCACTCTTCTTCCACACACTTCTTCTTATCAACAAAAGTGGGCGGAGTCTGTCTTGTGGTGCGCGCCATCGGCGCTAATAAGTTGTCTTAAAGTGCAAATGAGACAGAATCGCCGAGAACGAGAAGGTGAGGAACCGGAATAACCTCTCTCTCTTTTTTTTTGCCAGAAAAAAGTTCATCGTCACTTCCATTCTCTTTCTTCTTCTACTTCTCGGAACCAATTCCGTCTCTCTAAAGCACTTGTTGTTTTTCACATATTGCCGTGAACAGGCAAAGAGGGGTAGAAAAGAGGGAGGCAAAGAAGAAAATAGAATAGAATACTGAATGTGTGTGTATTTCTCGCTCGCTCTAGCTCCGCCGCCGCCGCCGCCATCGACTCCAAGTTCATGTTCAGAACAGCATCGCCGAAATTTGCATTCCAGTTCCCGTCACAGTCTTGTTCATCGATGAGACTCTTAAGTTTCACTGCCCATCCGATTGACTGACGCCCGCACTTTGTCTCCAGATTTTCTGCACTTTCTGTTTTCGCATTTCGCATTTCGACAATCGCTCGTCCGCCGTCCGTCATCGTTCTGCCCTTTCTCTCTCTCTCTCTCTTTTTCTTCGTTTTCTCTTTCATATCCGCACATCTGATTACGGTGCCTCGGTTTCAGATTCGACACGATGGACCAACTGAGCACACAGTTTGGCAACGCCGAACTTCAAGCTCTCATCGCCTCTCTACCACATGATTTGAGCATCAATACGTCGCAAGCGGTAAGCTTTTAGTCTTGGATGAGTACTATTCGTCTGAATTACACTTTTTGGAGCTTGTGACAGTTCTTCTGACCATTTTCATACTAAACAAACGTCTATTTTCAGAACAAACCCTCCTCCGTGTCGAGCAGCGACCTGTCCACAGCCACTAGCTCTTCATGCATCTTCCCGCCACTCAACGACATGGCGGCTCTTTCGATGCTCTCTTTGGGCGCCTATCCCGGTCTGTTCGCCAGTATTCCGTTCCTCACGTCGCTACCGTACCTCAATGCGGCACTGCCTCCACACGCGACTATCGAATCGTTGGGACTCATCAACTCGGCGTTGTACCAGCAACAAAAAGAGGTGCAGGCCGCCATGGCCGCCCCCGCCAATCCGTTAACCGTCGCTCTGGCTGCCGATGGACGCCCGAGAGCGTTTTCGAGTGCTGCCACGCTGCAACACGCCAAAGATCAGAATGAGAAGCGTCGGAAGCGATCGCGAAAGTGCGAACCGGCACCGCCACCGACAACGACTACCATAACGTGCTCTTCGAGCTCGTCGCCAAGCTCGTCGACGTCTGCAATGTCTTCCGTGCTTCGCACTCTTGTGGAGGACGATGATGTGCATCCTAACAAAGTGCGGCCAATCCAAGTGACGAAAGAAGAGGAGGAACAGGTCAGGAGGAAGACGCAAGAGTGTACGTTTTTTGCAGAAAAATCGCGGGCTCAAAAGTAACACTCTATTATTTCAGTGCTCAAAGCGATGCCTCGTCAGGAGCTGGAGCCGGAAGTGAGTGCGAACGGACCGCTCCGGCGTCTGATCCGCGACGAGGATCTTCCAGATGAGGTGGGACCGGACTCGCCGTTCCGTCACTACCCGAAGTATCAGGTACAGAAGTTAGTAGTTTTTGATTCCTTCTTTTTTTTAGTAGAAAAAAGAAAAAAAAAAGTTGTGTTTCGAGTTGAATTCGTGTCTTCTTTCTGTCCATAAGTTGTGTGTGTTTCCGGCACTTGTATCATCTCGGTTTCATTCGTCCAAATTTCACGAAAAATCGAGGCTCGAAGGTTAAAGGTTAGACGGACATTTTTCGGTTTCAACATTGAATTCCATCAATTCTATTGACGAAAACTTACTTCAAACAACAAACTTCCAAAACGGCGCGCACAAACCCAAACCGTATTGTTTGATTTCAGCAGAAACCTCGTTCGCAACTAGTCATGCTCCAAGGAATCCAGGCCGCCGTCGCCGCCATGTGCATTGAAGCGTTTCAGCTGAACGGCAAGAGCGACGACGAGAAAGCGGCACTGCGCGAGAAGCAAAAGGGACAATCGCTGGACGATCTCGTCAACGAGACTGTCCGTCAGGAGCTTATAGCCGCAGAGTGACACTACTAAAAAAAACATTGCCATACGCGTGTGTTTTCATCACCAACTATTCATTTTTTCGCGAATTAGCTTGTAATGTAATGTGACCACCGTAACTTACTTCCCCCCCAACTTTTTCCACAATTTCTCAAGGATTTTCTGTATCGCGTGTATCGTTTTTTGTTTTCAAAGCTTCGAGAACTGTAATCTTTTTGTGTGCGTTTGCGAAGAAACGTCTTCTGGCCAGTTTCCCGCTTCTTCTACCCATACCAGGCTTTAATTTAAACTCATCTATTATCCAACGACTATGACACTATTATCCATCCACCGTACTTGACACAATGCAATTCTCCCGAACGTCTCACACAATGCCCGGCCTTTCAGTTTCCTTTTTTTTTCCGTCTCAACACGTTTTCTGTTACATTTTTGTGTGAAAAAAAAACTCTTGGTATTCTTGTTCGCTTCTCAATCTCTCTCTCTCTCTCTCTCTCTGTCTCAAGTTCATCATGTGTACAAAAAAGGTTTTATTATGAACATGTTTTTTTTTTTTTGGACAGAAACACTATCCATGTGACTTGGATGTTTTTGTAACTCAAAGTACGCCACGTTGGCGTCTGTTTAATGCACTCTCAAAAGTGGTGGCATAGATTGTATAGCCTACGAAAATAGGGAATGTTTACTAGAATCGTGTACACTTTTTACGTGCACTCTTCAAGGTCATTTCAAGAAAAGAGGCACGAGAAAAAAAGGAAAACAAGAGGAAGACAATGACGGCTAATTCTCGTCCTACTGTACTCGCTGACTGGCGGAGTAGCTGCAATTACAGTCGGTTGAGAAGGACTATTCCAGCAGCAGCTCTTCAAGGAGTTTCCATTTCTTCAATCCTCTAAAAAATCAGGGCTGAAAAGCCAGAGAAGAGGCATAAATGGTGGAACGACAATAATCCGCGTCTGCCCTTTTCCAGTCGACAGCCTGAAAAGAGGCGGAGAGAGCGAGCACTACCGTAACCCCCCGAGTTGCCCTCGCCAGCTCAATCAGTAGCCAGCCACAAAGTCGTTGTCGTCCTCGTCCTCGCGTCGAGATAGACAGGGCACTTTTCTCATCCTTATTCGCTCCATCACTGCGACGACGTGTGTGTGTGTGTGTGTGTGTGTGTGTGTGTGTTGTTTTTAGTACACCACATGAGAAACGACAACACCAAGTGCTCCGATCTCAAGCCCCAAAGTACACCACTCGGACCCCGGCTGGCCGACGATAGCGTTGCTGTGAACGCACGGCTGCGTTGAGTGGAGGAGCAGTTGGCAGAAGCCTAAAGACTGTGTCCTCCTGCCGAAATAGTCTCCTTTTCCTTTTTGGAATATCTGTGCGGCGGCAGGTCGGAAATGTACTGCACTCTTGGTCCGACTGAGCGGGAAGAGGAACGTCCTCGTCTAACAACCTTACAGGACTTTTTACGAAGAGTGCACTCAAATTGACCGTTTTCTGAGGCCTCTATGTGCCCAATGTCTCCGTCTTCTTCGGCTCTACCTATGGTTGTGTAGTCATTGAGAAGAAGGAGCAGCTATTAGAGGGGTAGGCACTAAAAAACGGAAGCAAGCGAGTTGGACAATATGAAGAGTTATAGTTTTCATTATTAACTTGAATTATGTGTTTGTGTAGTACTACTGCAGGCAATCATCAAAGAAACCATAATGCGCATCGGGCCTGGGTTCTACAAGTCGTGTTCTTTTTAACTTAACTCTTTCCCAGTTTGTCTATGTGGGACTGGAACAAACTGTGAAGCTGTAACTTCCCACAGAAACCATACATCTACCTCAATCCTAGCTCCATTTGAAGAACATCGCTTTCCAAATTTGGCATGAGCAAAAGAACTTTCGGAAATTTTAGGAAAACGGCTGACATAATCAAAAAACAGTTGCCTCGCGGTTGTTCGGCAGATAGAGGCGGACATTTTGAGCACAGAGACGGCCCATAAAATGCAAAAATGACTGAGAAATTTCAGTTTTTTTCAGGGGGTTCAGGACTAAAATTCACCAGCAGAGTGCAAAAATGTGCGTTTTCTTGTGGGCAAATCGTTAATTTTTAGGTCAAATAATTAAATGTATGCTGATAATTTCTGTTTCTCCTCATTTTATTCATTTTCGCATGAATTTTCGGGCTTTCGGACAAAATCAAGAAATTTCAGACTTTCAGATTTGCTTTTGTTTTCAACGACACTCCGTTTCAACGCGGCGCTCAATTTAGCATTAGCTATTGAGCAGACAGTCAATTTCGCCGCGTAGCGACTGCAATTATTGAGCATTTGTAATTGATGATATGAAATTTGAAGTGACTTCATTATTTTTTGTGTATTTTGTCGTAACCGTAATCGTCGTTGTCACGAACCTGTGTTTGTTTATGTTTGTTTTGCGTGAGTAGTCTTTTTGAAGCTAAAATTTCGAAGTTCAGGCCTTTTCTTCTTTTTACAGGTTCCAGTCGATGGTTGTGAAAGCAATTAGAAGAGCAAAAGTGTTATATTAGATTGGTTAAAATATAAAAGAACAAATTATTTGTGCTCAATTGCAGAAAATGCGCGGATGTTACGGGAAAAGTGGATGACATGGAGTACAAGAGAAGATTGAAAGGGAGATGCAGAATTGAGGACTCAATTCAATCATTTCGACGCGGAAAGAACATGACGGAAAATAAGAGAACGGTAGGCACGGCTCTTCCTCAGTTTCCGATTTCTGGTGTATCTTGCCCGCATTTTCAATTTTTTGAATGCGGCGTGAAACGTTTCGACGTCTTGAACGGCATGACGCAAAGGCTTGCAAGTGGAGCCACACTTCGTCCTGGAAAATAATGTGAAAAGTTTACTCAATGTAGCCGGCCATTTTCTCGATTTCGTCGTCAGACGACGCAAAGCTTTTGAAGATGGCCGAGGGCGATGAGAAAAGCAGAGATGTGTTCTGTTTTTTCAGAGGCTTGGAACACCGTCATATAGTCAGGAAGAGCGCTCTCTTCCAGCAGTTTCACCACGTGATTGCCGATGAAGTTCGCATTTATGACGGCACAATTTCTTTTCCACGCGGCTTCAAGACTCTTTCTCGTGGGGCCATTTCCTTTAAGAGCGTTCATGAGGGAATCATAGCTCTCCGTTGCCTCCCTATAAAAGCAAAATTTAATCCACCGCTTGAACTCCTCGTTCACTGCTTCATATAATATTGCTTTTTCAGATTCTCGAGCAGCTTCGATACTTCTGCCTCTCGCATTTCCAACTCTTGCTCTTTCCCTATCACTGCACTTTTCGCCAGTCGTCTGATTGATAAAATCCCATGGAATTGCCACGAAATTCGACTTTTCTAGCGGCGGCGCTTTTGCTCCCTTTGCAGGATTCGCCGAATTCCACATTTCCAATTGGCTGAGTTTTCTACATACATGTTCATTGCCAACAATTCAAGGTGAAACTTGCGTGAAAAAAGAAGGAAATGGTTTCTGGTATGTGAGTGTGATTGGGGGGGGAGAAACCAGAATAAATATTTTGAATGTTTGTGGAAGGAATGGGAAGAAGAAAGGTCACCCAAGGTCTTTTCTTGGTTTTGAACCGAACCAATTAGCCCATCTATTGTGCGCGTGTCCACGACACATCATCAGTCGTTAATTCGAATCAAAACTGCCCTGAGAGATTTGAAGAACAATCTTTGGAAGAATTTTTCGCAGGAATTCGCCACGTCATCATAACGAGCCGGCGAGCGATGAAACAACGCTCGCGTTCGACAATAGGCTATTTGCGTTTGCGGAAGGAATTTCGAGGACTGTCTCCATGCTTTCACCTCTTCTCAAGAGCCTCTTGAATCTTTGAATTGTCGCTTTTCTGGGAATGAATGTCGTTGATCATCTGGTTTCTGTGATGATTGATGAGTCCCGGAGTATCCAGCAGTTGTTCGGTGATTCGTGAGCCTAGTGCAAAGACGTTGACATTTGCCACACCCAATCCTTTGCGTTGTACCTACCACACAATATCACAACGTTCGTCACTTTTTCTATTCGTTTTTGTAGCAACGAACACGAAAAATTCCACACCCGCATTCCACCCGATTATCACACCTCGCTTCTTTTTTCGCTCCTCCGTCAAGTGCGCGCGAGCGTGCGGTGTTCAAAAACGTCGTTTGGGTGTGGTCAATTCGCCGCCTTTCCATTTATTTGTTGTCTATTAGCACTGATTATGTTGTCAGTTTTGTGGGGAAACACGCGAAAGTTATCCAACAGGATGGGTCAAAGTCTGCTATTCTACTCACATAAACAAAGCAGGATGAACTGACACAGTGGTAATCATTTTTTGGCGCCAGTTTGACGCCGATCTCTCTTCCTTTTATTCTTGGCGCTATTGTCAATTAGAAGAAGAAGAAGAAGAAGAAGAAGAAGAAAATGTCGACAATGGTGCGTTGGGCAAGTGGAATGCGGCTACGAGGACCGATCGATTTGATAACAACACATTCTCCGAACATTCGCTTTACTGACCAGTGAATTGAGGTTTTGAAATGTTTATTATATACACTAAACAATTACAGAATATATTAATAGTTGATTGAAGTTTAAGTACATGAGACCAGTGAGCGAGAATTTTTGAGTTGGGGGGTACACCCGTAGAGGAAAACTTGAGAACTAATATGTACAGTTCAAATGTGAGACTAATCATGCGCATGGCTAGAAATAGTTGATGTCTAAGAAGAAAAGACGCTCGTGTCGACGCCCGACTTGTACCCGAACGTCTTCTTCATCTCGTGGACGAAGGAGTTTGCGCAATCGCAGCACACCGAGCACAGCATGCCCATCGGATAGCCCTTGTTGTCAGTGCATCCGTTCATGGCGACGAAGATCTGAGAGCACGCCTTGTTCTCCAAAGAAGCGGACATGACTGCGTAGGTGCCGTCGTTCGGGATCGGGCCAGTGCATCCGAGCATCTGGCACGACGGCTGTGCCGCCTTGTCAAAGTTCGCGCCGGCCAGGTAGGTGAGCGCTGGATTGGCGACTGGATGAGAAGCGGCGGCTTCTCCGAAGTAGTCAACGTCGTCGGATTCGGAGTCGGAGGCCTCGGACGTGTCAATGTCGTCCGTGCGTTGAGTGGATGGCTCTGCCGCTTCGACACCAGCGTCACTTCCATCCATAAAAGCTCCAGTAAACTCTGGGGCAACTCCTTCTGGCTGCTGAAACTCGGCCTTCATCTTCTTCTGTCCCGGCAGTTTTTCGGTCTTCTTTGGAGTCTGCATCTCGACGCCATCGACGTCGACGTTCGCGAAATGGCCATCACCCATAGAGCCCATGAATAGGTCCACGTCGAATGGTTCGGCTGGAAAAACGAAGAGGTGTAAACAAATTCAGAGCACTGGCAGATGTTCGAAGAGGTAAAGAAACAAGGAGAAGTGAACGTACCATGTGCTCCAAAATCCGGCAGAGTCTGAGAAGTCGTCGGCTTAGAAACGACGAGAGAAGCGAAGAAAGCGAGTGGGATCAATACGTAATAGTTCATTTTCTTATCGAGTTTCTAAAAATAGAAACACAAGGTGCGGGGATGACGTGGAAGGCTAAAGGCGTTCTGGTACGGTGTGCGCTCTTGTCGGTCTCCTTAAATATCCGCTTGCGGGTAGTCGTTGACCGCAGCCGCCGCCCCGAAAAGGCAAGGGGCGGGGATGAAGAACATGGGCGGCGCGAAAATGGATAGACACAAAGAGAGAGAGAGAAAGACAGAGAGAGAGAGAGAGAGAGAGAGAGAGAGAGATATCAACCAGGACACACGATGGGTGATGGAAAATAATGGAATGGAAGAAGAATCTCGTGAAGAGGAGACACGATCATGCGATTAGGTTGATAGTGTTTGTTTTAGGAGATGGAAGGAATCCTCTCCCTCTCTTTTTTCCTCCAGATCTTCTTATTCATGAGCGGGCACAGACAGTTGGCGTCAAGGGGGGATGTATAGAAAGTGAATGATATGATCAATCACACGCTTCTTCTTCTTCTCCTTTATCCGTTTCGTTTGCCATCACGTCATTGAGAAGGAACGCGTGCTCATAGAACCTGCCGTTATTGGACTTTGACTGACCGAATTGTGGTACAGTGAAATGACAAAGTGCCAAGCTAGAAGTTGAGATGAACATTCAACTTATCACAGTGCAAACATTTCTCGTTGAAATTGGCACCTCCATCTCTCTATCTATTTCTTGAGAAAGGCCATCTTCATCGTCTATGATTTAGGTTAGACTATTATCTGCCCACGAGATCTCGGTGCCGCTGACCTCATCATGAAAAGAGGAGTTTTGAAGTTGTAAACAATGTGTACTTTCTTCACTCATAAACTTTGATTTCGGATTGATCATTGGAACAATTTGAATGGCGCCAGTCTGGTCGAACATTCTTTGACCAACAATAACTGGTTTCTAAGCCATTTCACTGAAGTATTAAATTCCAGATATTAGAGAACAGTTTATTGGCAAGGTATGTACAAACCAGCAACTGGACAAGTATAAATCATACATATTTACAGTTTAGAGACCGGCGAGAAACTTGCAATCGAACCCGTCATCGATTGTTTTCAAAAAGCAGTAGACATGAAAATAGAATGTACAAAGCGAATTGTGTTAAGGGCCAAGTGGCTAGTTGAAGGTAGAAGTCGAAAGATTCGACTTGTACCCGAACGTCTTCTTCATCTCGTGGACGAAGGAGTTTGCGCAATCGCAGCACACCGAGCACAGCATGCCCATCGGATAGCCCTTGTTGTCAGTGCATCCGTTCATTGCGACGAAGATCTGAGAGCACGCCTTGTTCTCCAAAGAAGCGGACATGACTGCGTAGGTGCCGTCGTTCGGGATCGGGCCAGTGCATCCGAGCATCTGGCACGACGGCTGTGGCGTTTTCTCAAAGTCGGCGCCTTCCAGGTAAGTGGCGGCTGGGTTCGTGACGGGTCCAGACGCGGAGGCGGATCCCGAGTCGGCGCCAGTTCCGAAGTAATCCTCATCAGTCTCTTCTTCGGAAGTTTGAGTTCCAGTCGTCTTGGTTGGAGCATCAGTGACAAATGATCCAGTAAACTCGGGGACAACACCCTCCGGCTGCTGAAACTCTTGCTTCATCTTCTTCTGTCCCGGCAGTTTTTCGGTTTTCTTCGGGCTTTGAGTCTCGATCCCATCGACTTCGGCATTGGCAAAGTGGCCATCTCCCATGGCGCCCAGGAACAGATCCAAGTCAAAGGACTCTGGATAAATGCAATAGTTAGTCATGCGGCTCTAAATAGAGTAATCAACTAACCATCAGGAGCTTGTGTAGTGCTAGTTGGCTTCGCCGTAACAGAAAACACGAGGAAAACGACGGTGGCAATCAATAGTGAAGAACAGTTCATTTTGGATGGAATTCTAAAAATAGAAGTGAGGTACAGGGTCTTCTCTTCTCGCCTCTTAAATATCGTCGCCGCTACCCTCCCCACAACGGGCGCGCACGCCGTCTCTTAAGAGGCGGGGCCTTTGAACAAGTGGGCGGAGCCTGTGAGGGGGAATCTCGTGAATTATCATAAGATGTTTACATTCCAGCGCCACAGTGTCCATCATGTTCATCAGCTGATATGATACAGTTCCTTATCAGGACACAGAGACGAGCGGCGTTCCTCCTCCCCCCTCCCCCTTCTGGCTTTTTTCTGGTCAAAGTGTCGATGACGATTATTCTTATCACACTTTTTGTAATCGCGATCATGTCGCGCGCGAGCGGGCCAAACATAGAGAGAGAGAGGGAAAAACGCATGTGGAATCGACACGGATCAGATCAGAGTGAGAGGGAGAGGGATGTCTTGTGATTCAAAGTCTCATGAAGATTAATGAGGATTTAGGTTGTGTGGTCGTGTTGAACACGATGTGTTAGATCGCAACTTTGCATTCGTTTTCCAGACGCGCTTACAGTTCTCAAATTCTCTCCGATCTTCCGAGTTCCGGCACACACCGACATAGTCTAGACTAATAAACACTAAAAGTTATGATATGTGTTTGTTTGTCTGTTCCGACAAGTATCGCTTTCATCGCACATGTTTTCTGATACTTTCCCCCCTCTGTCTTCCAACCGACATGTATCCCAATGTAATAGTATCACTCACCCCCCTCCCCCTTCTTTTTTTCAAGGACACCTCGGATATTTATAGGTATTTTCTCATTTTCACCATCTGCCAAGATGATAAGGAAATGGAGATTGGAATGCGGAGATACACGTGTATGTCGTGTACTTGACAGTGCGATTGAATCCAGATCAACACCAAGAGAACGAGAAGAAGAAGAAGAACATGGTGGTGTCGATCAAGGGAATTGTCCTCTGCTCAAGTGGTTGATGATGTTGAAGAGCAGAGAAGAAATACATATGACGTGATTATTGAGAATTTATGTGTCAAGCCCGGCGCGACGGCCATGTATCAATCACATTTTGAACCGTAGGCACGACCCACGGCTACTTTGATCGCTCGTGTCTCGAGATTTTCTGATACACCACCTTTCCTAGCCTAGTTCCTCATGTGAGCCCTCATTTCCAGTGAATTTCAGAGAACAAAGAACATGGAAATGCCTCTTTAGATGGCCGGCTGAATAGAATGAAACGGACAAACAACCCCATTTTCCTGTGTGTAATAACGGTCTCTAGTCGATCCTCCGTTTTCGCAAATTTACAGACGCCTCTTTTCAGCAGATTTCAGCACGATTTTTTCAGGTTTGAAGTTGAAGACGACAAGTTGCGGCACTTGTGTTTTGGGTTCTTGCACTTTAGTTAGTATGCAGTACTTTTCAAGTGTTGATGATAGCCGATACTTGAACTCTTAACTTCTACAGGGGCGCGACTGAAGGGCCTGGAAAGTGTGAACGAGAGTCTAGGAAATGGTGTCCAAGAATCGGCGAACCGAAGGGGTTCATTGAGGCCGAACACGAATGTTCCCGTAGACATTCGGCAACGACAGCCAGAGGGCAAGTGTAGTCTAGCGAGAACGTCTGATAATTTGATCTTTCTCTCTCTCTCTCTCTCTCGAAGCAAAGAAAACCAAAGCGATCGTCGGTCTAGTCTCTGGAACTGAAAACAATCTCCGACCCGCCCTTCACGTCGACGGCGATGATGAATTTCTCTTTTCTCACACAAGAAAAATTGTATAGCGGACCAATCATCAGCTATTGATATGAAGATGACACAAGTGATAGTATGATTCAGCGAAATGTGTCAAAAACATTCCTTGGTTCTCTGTATGCATCCCTCGCTCATCCGTTTTCCTCCTAGCCCTACAAGTGAAGGGGTCAAAGACGAAAACACTAACTCGTTGGCTTTAACAAGTTGGGCGCCTTACCGCTACCACCTAATTGGGAATACAGGGAGACGGCAAGTCATGTGTATGTCTGTGTTCGACTGACTGACGGTAAGAGGTGACCCTTGGACTGTTTTGTTTTATTTAGAAGAGATATGAGGAGATGAGGAAGGAGAATTTGGGGAATGTGGAATGTATGTGGTTATACCAATCGACTTGAGGAGATCACAAACTGGACATGAACAATGCGTCACAGGCGTTTTTTTTTAGTTTCAGTTACACTTGGAATACTTTGAAATATCAAAGAAACCGTAATTATGCCGCGTCCAAAGTCTCGGAAAACCGTAAAAACCGCAGGTTTTTCTGTTCAAAGTCGGCCGAAATTTGCGTGTGAAAAACAGGGGGGCGCGCACAGCTCAACGAGAGTAATTGTACCCCTAAAACTACGGAAATTTGGATATTTTCAAATATCCTCAAGAAATTAACAAATTTTCAAAAAATATCGCGTTTCAAAAAGTCGTTTCGAGAGAAATGGAAATCTGATTCTGCTCCTTTTTTCCCATTTTTCTCAAGTTCATATCGTTTGCTCTCGCGACTCGGCTACTTCCAGAACGTTCCGAAACGTGGCGCCCGTCTCCAATTCAGTCTAGAAGAGACCGTCCGTATGGGGAAAAGAGTGCCATCTCTTTTGATAACCCAACACATCCATCATCAGCCCCCCGCATCACTCGAGGCGGCGGCGGCGGCGGCTTCAAGGCGTGACGAGCGACGTGTGCCAACACGCAGTACGTGGTTGGATTGTCTCGACAACTCTCTTCTTTGGGTGTGGTGGTGATGGCAAGCGATATTTTATGGTACAAGTAGCTATTATCAAATTATTGCGCTGGCATGTCGCAGACAATGATCCGAGTGTACTGTGGTTATGTACTCACAGAATGCCGTCTTCTTATCATATTATCTTCTTCTTGATTTATATCACAAGATCATCATTGTCTGGAATGTGTTTTACGGATTTCTGAGCCCAGGGATCTTTTTTGATGAATATGACTTTAAGCCGTGGTAGAGCAAACCAATTGTCTTCAAATATCGAACCATCAAAATGTGCGTACAAACTCTCCAACTCGAACCTAAAAGCATCAACTTCTGCGATTCTCTTTACCTGAACACAAAACACATAGCCAACTACTCTGGCAGTATGTGAGATAAAAATAGACTGTGCTGTCGAGGCTGCGAACTGTGGCGCCTCGCAGACGCAGTTCATCCATCTTCTTCTTCTTCTTCTTCTTCTTCTTCCTTTGATCGTCCTGGGTACGGAACATTGTTTTGTTCTGTTCCCTTCTTCGGGAGGGGATCGGAATTTGTGAGGACGTCGTCGTCGTCATAATATCTCAAATATTTCAATGTTTTCGTCGCACAGACAGGATGAAAAAGACCAAGATCACGACGAAAACATGTGCACTCATAGGTTCGATGTGTCTTATCTTCGTCTTATTATTATCACATCAACTAACCCGAACCTAAGCCTTCAACACTATGAACCTTTGATATCGATTTGATTTCGAAGCGAATACAAAGGGAAATGCCGATATTTATGAGCGGCATTTAACATGTTACAACCAAAAAAAGAAAAAAAACGAATTAAAGAAGAGACAAATGGGGGGAAAGAAGAATTATTTTATGTCGTGCGGAATTGGGAAACCCAAGATCATCCGAGATAAGTTTTTCAATGTCATTATGAGGGAATTCGAATGGCTGTAAGTATGGAATAATAGATATTTTACCGTTCTGGGACACTTTTTCGACCATCAACCATTTTCAATTTTTTTTTTGCATGTTTTGAGCTTCTAAATGATCATTTTTTGGTCACAATTCACAGAAAATGTGTCGTTTTCAACAATTTTCAAAAATGGACAAAAGGTCGAAATGCGTCAAGTGGATGGTCGAACTGGTCGAAATAGTGCGCTAAGAATATAGCTTTACCGGTATTTTAATAAAACTTAACTATACTGGTACTTGTAATAATATATATATAACTATTACAAATAATGATTGTTATTTTTTATTTTTTTCCAATCAGTAAAATATTGTTTTCTAGACGTTTTTCAAGTCAAAAAGAAAGAAATAAAGGTCGTAAACTCGAATTGAACTGCATTTTCAGACCTGCAAATTTTCAACAGTTATAACGACACTCCACAATTTACGAGCGCACTGTGTTTAGCATTAGCGCCCCGGGAGACCGTGCACAAATAATTTCAAAAAGTAACAAATTGATTCATTCCTACAGAGTCCTCGACTCCTAGATCCGAAGAATTGAATGCTTTGAAGACAGGAAATGGAATTCCAGAGCAAAGTAAAGACATCAAAGAAAAAGATAAAATACTCCTAGAAAAGGCTGTTTTACTCTGAAGAGTATAACAGGCAAAGAAACTGCAGATGCTTTAAATGAAATTTTTACCGCAAGAGCAAGAAAAAGTTTTGTTTGATAATGAAGATACTGAATCTAAATTGTTGCATTTCAAACGAATTATCATTCCTAATTCATATGATACAAATGCTTATGGATTTATGGATTCTTCAATAGAGAAAGAATTGAATGTGTAAATGTAGAATGCTCTTTAGGAGAATTAAACAGTAATATCCACAGTGATGAGTTCCGAATTCTTGTATTTGAAATGTCGAGAGTTCTATTTTATCTTTCTTTTTAGTTTTCAAATATTTTTGAAGTTCTAATAGTGGATCTAATCCGAACGAATCAAAGTAACAACACTTTCAATTATTTTTGGAATAACAAACCCAATGAGTACCTTTATTTTTTGAAGAATCTAAATTCACAATTCCTACTTCTCTTTCTTTAATTTGAGTCGGCAAAGTGTCTCTCATAAAGATTCCTCGGAAATTCTTGATTCCCAGGTGCTCTCTTCCGAACTCCTCTGCCGTACTCTTGTCTGATTTCTGATCATCCAACGTGAGAGGACGGATGAGGAACTCTTCCTCTCATTGCTTTTTTAGTGTCCAGTCATATAACGTTTATCTTGGGTTGGTTTTTGCTGTCCCGCGCGTGAGATTCCTCAAATTGCGCTACTCGTCGTAAATGAAATGACGAACTGCGTGCCTCTCTAGTCTCCACCACTGGAAAAGTAGTGGTTGAGGAGGAGAGGAATGAGGGGCATGCATCGTAAATGGACTGGTGGTGGTGGTGGAAATGAGGATGTCCTTCTGCTGCTACTCAGCACACATTGTTCGAATTCTTCGTGTCTGCGACGAGGAAGGATTCGTTGGAGAAGTCGCTTCTCGAATTGCGAGGGGATCTAATCTGAAATGGTCTTGCACTTTTCTGGTTATCTACGCCATCGTAAAACGGGCAATTCTATGAATAGAACAGAGGGAACATCACAGAGATGTTTCTTTAATTTTCATAGTTGGAGAGCTATTCCAGACACGTGGCTCAATTACCTATAATAAGCCAACAAAGAATAGCGAGATTGATATATGTCTTTAATGGGGTTATTCAGGCTGTGAAAAAAAAAATGATTTTTTTTCCGTTTTTTTCGTTTTTTTACGTCAAAAAACCGAATTCAGCGGTGTAAAAAAACGAAAAAAACGGAAAACAAACATACGCTGAATAGCCCCGTAACAAATGTTGGGGCAGAATAATGAAAAGCGTCAAGCTCTGTTAAACTCTTTTAAAATTGACCGTTTTGCTGCCACAACTTATATACATCCTTATACATTTCTGGAGTACTCATTAACACTTGAACATGTGAAAAACAAGATGAAAAACACATCTGAAACCGTCATTTCTCTTTTCGTGGAGCCAAATTCAAGCAGCCCGCCACTTGCAAAAGTCTCAACGACACTCCGAATTAACGCGTTGGCCCGTGGTTTATCGTAAATGTTCTTTCACGTCAGATTTGTTTTCTAACTGCATTTCTTCCCTTTTTCGGTATTCTGCATGTAAATTCGAGTAAAATAAAATGTTACATGATTTAAATTTTCAAAATGCTTCAATTTCAGGATGATTAAGCCATGCCTTTCTATTCTATTCCTGGCCGCTCTCGCCACGTGTCAGAAGAAGACGGCCACGTTAGTGTCGGCGGAAGGAGAAACGCCGTCGATTAAAGTTATAAAAACCACAGGTGCTCTGAGAAATAGAGAAATCAAAAATTCGATGATTTTGGGATTCAGGATCACTTCTCACTGCAATAGACATTTCGAAAGCCGATTTGGATTGGGAGCAGATTGCGGAGCAGCAGGAAGAAAATCAAAAGTCATCGGAGCGTCCGACAGTCGTAAGCGACGAATATGTGGCCGAAAAAGTCGACGAACCACCGAGGTAAGCGTGTAAAACCTGGTTGAATAAAATTGAATCGACGCTGAAATATTCGCAATAACTATTTATTTCTTCAGCATCGAAAGTGAAGCCGACTTTCATCACGGAATGGCTTTCATTGAACGTGGAAAGGGGCATGGACGTGAAGGACGAGTGGCCGCGCACAAAATGTTCGAAAGAGCCGCCGCTCAAGGACATCAGGAAGCGCGGAAAGTGATGGCGTACGCGTATCTATTTGGAGACTACGCCCGATGGTCCATCCAAGAAGCGAAGACTATTTTTGAGGAACTGGAAGAGAAAGGGTCTCCGGATGCTCAACTCGCCATAGGATTCATGCACGGCGCGGGCATCGGAGTCGAGAAATCGAATCAGGCGAAGGCGCTCATCTATTATATGTTCGCTGCGCTTGGAGGAAATCCGTTGGCTCAGATGACTATGGTAAGTTTTTTAAATTTAAATGTGAATATGTTGATAACAATGTCTTTTCTATTTAGGGCTTCCGGTACAGTCAAGGCGTGGGAGTGCCGCAAAACTGCGAAACGGCACTTTCATACTATCAAAAAGTAGCGAAGACCGTGGTGGATAATGTAAAGTTTACAACGGGCCAGACGATTCAACGTGTCCGCCTCACCGACGAGACAGATCCGACGGTTCACATGCAGCCGGGAACGACGCCGTTGGAGAGCAATCTTCTGGAATATTACCGGATGCTTGCGGACAAGGGAGACACTTCGGCTCAATTAGGACTCGGACAGATCTACCTGACCGGTGGACGTGGCCTCAATCAGAACTTTGAGCTCGCCTTCAAATACCTTCTCTCGGCCGCCGAATCCGGATCTGCAGACGCTTTGACGTATCTCGGAAAGATGTATCTGGATGGAACACCATTTACACCCAAGGATTACCAGAAAGCCTTCGAGTACCTTATCAAATCAGCCGATAAATCGAGTCCAGGCGCACAGGCAGTGCTGGGGGCGATGTATATGAAGGGAAAGGGCGTGAAGAAGAACTACGAGAAGGCATTGAAGCTGCTGACATTGGCGGCCGACAAGAAGAACGCCGACGGACAAATGTATCTGGCAGAATTACATTATAGTGTGTTGTTTGCGTATTAAGAATGTGAAGCCAAACAAATACCATTTCGTTTTGCAGAAGGCGTTCCAACGACCAAAGGAATCCATCGTGATTTCAAAAAAGCGGTTAAACTGTATCAGCTGGCCTCCCAAAACGGTCACATTTTGGCCTATTACAACTTGGCTCAAATGCACGCTGCCGGCACTGGAGTTCCCCGATCTTGCTCGCACGCAGTCGACCTTTTCAAATCAGTAGCCGAACGGGGAAGATGGGGAGAGCGATTGATGGAAGCACACGCCGCGTATAAGGACAATCGACATGACGAGGCGGCAATGAAATATTTGTTCATGGCCGAGCTGGGATACGAAGTGGCACAGACGAATCTCGCGTACATTTTGGATCGTGACGAGGCCAATCATCTGTTCTCCGGACCCAGAGAAAACAATCTGGAGCGGGCGTTCCTGAACTGGCAAAGATCTGCTAATCAGGGTAAGATATTGATAGTTCAAAGTCATTAAAAAGCAATTATTTTGTGCAGAATATCCAACGGCTCGTGTGAAACTCGGCGACTACTTTTATTACGGTTTGGGTACGGAATCAGACCACTCGCTAGCGTTCTCCAACTACAAGTTGGCGGTGGATCGACACGGCGTGGCGCAGGCGATGTTCAATCTCGGATACATGCACGAAGTGGGCGAGGGAATCACCAAGGATCTGTACCTGGCAAAGAGGTTCTACGATCAGGCCATAGAGCACAGTCAGGACGCGTACATGCCTGCGAAATTGGCGCTCATCAAACTGGCGTTCGTGTTCTATTTGGAGGAGTTTAACCGACTTCCGCTCGTCTCGTTCTTGGAAGAGACTGTCGGCCCTCGATGGGATGCGGTTCTGATGCTCGTCACGGCAGCCATCCCGATATATATCCTCTACAGACGAAGGGATCCGAATAGAGCATAATTGTAGTCTGTTGTGTAAAAATTTCATGTAACCTAATGGTTATCAATACATTCCTGTTCCCTAGGTTTCATTGTCAAAATATTGTCGTTATCCATTTTTTTCCATCGGGTCCCCCTTTCTAATCCCTCCGTTTTCCCTCGCCTCCGCCTACACGTGATCAAAGTCATATAGCCCCGCTTCCTTGTGTGATTCTTTTTTTTTTAAATCAGTTCGTCTTCACTCGTTGTCTTGTCTCTACGGTTTTGCCCGCTTTCACGAAAAAATTTAACTTATTGAGTTTATGTTCGCCTTTCGAGGTTCTTCGATCGTTGTTGGGTCCCCCGCCAATATTGTTTATCTTTTCTCGATTAATTTGCACATTTCTTCAAAATTACTATTCAGATGGCTTCTTTATTGCCATTCGTACAATCCCGTCACAATTCGGTGAATTTCTTCATGCGAAGAACGGGGCCGGAGCTGTGGAAGACGCTTACTTCTGTCTCGAAATCCGGACAGAAGAAAGGACGTCGCAACACGCGACAGCCCGTTCGACCATTGCAGCGATTCTATCGCATCGGATCTAGTAAGCGATAATTTGCAACTTGTATAAACGTTTCGAAACCGACAAAGTTTTGGTTGCGAAGTGTCCTCGGTTGAAAAGCGTTAAGAAAACCAAACCAAACGTTTCAGGTCCGATGAAAGTCGAGTTCGCCGGATTGAACGCACCGATGCGTCTGAAAGAGAGCGAAGAGCTGATTCCGATGAAGATTGTCGAGCAGACGGAAGACGAGATCCGCGACTCGATCGGTGGTGTGAAACGCATTCTCGAGGAGAAGGACACGTAAGAATTTTTGAAATTGTTGCCTTCAATTTCTACTCTTACTGAGAACTCACCAACGAAAAGTTTTCAGAGGAAAGAAGAAGCGGAATCGCGAAAAGCTGCACCCGATGGAGCGCGGATTCTCCGGCACTCAACTTGTCGGACAAAAGCTCGGCGCACCGCCACCGATCGACGGCGCAAATTTCGACGATTTTGAGACGTACTGCCTCGAGGTGAAGCGCACGTCTAACATGACAAATGTATTCGGAAGAGTGCACACCATGTCGGCCCTCGTGATCACGGGAAACGGCCGCGGACTCGCCGGATACGCAGTCGGCAAGGCCCCGATCCATCGGACCACTACCGCAATCATCAATGGAATGAACATGGCGTCGCGGAAGCTGTTTCACGTGGAACTTCACGAAGGACGCACCATTTATCAGGATTTCTATGCGGAGTGCAGAAACACGCGTGTTTTTGCGCAACGCCGTCCGCGCGGATTCGGACTCACCTGCCATCCGCGTCTCATTAAGATTTGTGAAGCAATTGGAATTAAGGACATTTATGTGAAGGTGGAAGGATCCACGAAGAACTATCTGGCGCTGACGCACGCGTTTTTGACCGGGTTGCTCAATCAGGAGACACATCAGCAGTTGGCTGAGAGAAAAGGTTCGAAATTCTTCCATAATCTCAGACTTCCTTGAAAACACGAAACTTCCTCATCCACCCTCAATATTCCAGGTCTTCATGTCGTCGAAATGTCTCCATCTCGTCACTTCTTGCCGCAAATCGTGGCTTCTCCCATCTCATCGGAGCTAAGAAGCGAGGAAACGCTGGAAGCACTTGACGTACGTGAAATTAGATAAAATTGAAGTAGACTAGACATCTAACAAGTTTAGCGTCTCAATTTGGACGATTTCTACGGAGAAGGCCGTTACCCGCTGAGAAAACCGAAGGCTCTGCCGTTCTTCACCAATCTGGAGGGACACATAGAGGCGAGATGGAGAAAACATCCGTTCAGAAACCACGAATCGGTAAGAGTTGATTGTGTCGCAATTCCAAAAGCCTCCTTGACTTGCAGACAATGATCCGCCTGATCGCCGACAACATGGTACCACGTTGGACGCGTGACGCACGTGCCGCGTGGGCTGACCAACGCAACGAACGCATGACGACTGGCGTCGAGCCAATGCCGCTCGGACTCGGACTATCGCACGTTGTGCCCAGAAAAGAAGACTAATAATGAAACGAGATAGTTTTTGGTTGTAGATTTAGTAGAATGTTCTCCAGCTCTATTGTTTTTCTTGTTTTTTTCGCCTTTCCGGATTGTTTACCCTTTTGTCTGGACAGATATTTCGAGTGAACTTATCTTTACTCTTTTCTTAAAGCACCTGCTCTTGTTGACTCACAGCCCCCTACACTTTTCGCTGATATTTCGAGAAGGTCAGCAGGTGAGATGCGAGGAATGTACTTGTTAGTTTCAGAGGAGTTGAACTTTGGATGGACACTGGTTTCTTGAACAAAACGATAGTTTTAACACAAAAAATGGTTTATTTTGGTGGGAGAGAGAGAGAGAAGGAGAGAGACGCAGACTGCATGGAGAGAAAAAGATATGGGGGCAAGAGGCTAAAAGCGATGCGACGTGGCACCCAGAAGCTTCTAGAAGCTATTGGAGATTGGGACGGGGAAGGGGAGAAAGTTTAGGGTAGAGGTAGGTGGAATTACGAATTGTCGCGAATATTGTTATTGTCGATCAACGCATACGAGTCATGTAGCTGCCCAGAAAGATCTTCTCCAGATTTTTGAGTCCACCACGCTTTCCACCGCCAAACGACTTCTTCGCTGCTGAAAATGCATTGTGCTCCAACTCTCCAACGTTTCCGTGATCATTGAAACACATAGTCACGAGGCTCCGAAAAAGTTCCCCCCCTCAACTTCTCGGAATGATCTCGCAAGTTGTTTTTGCCGTGAGAGAGAATCAATGAGCATCGCAAATCTTGCGACACTGCCTCTGATTTCCATAAATTATCGCATCTTCAGCCACGTCAAAACAACTTTTGAGCAGTGGCGATACTATTTTCAGTCAACGCTGCACCGTACCTGTTCCGGCGAAGCAGTCGAGTCGGTAGAGACTGGCGAGGAACTCGATGCACTCCCAATTGCCGTCGCATTCGGACAGGATCGAGCAGTCGATCGCTGCGTGCTCTGCAACAAACATTTGTGTCCGTAACTCGATATTTATACTATAGCCCCGCAAATACTGTCGAAAGGTATAATTGAAACTTCGGAAAAGGCTCAAATATGACATCATTCGCGAAGCTAATCCCTACCCCCATCTAACATAAGATTAGGATACTTCTTTTGTTCAGTTCCTCTTCCAATGGCCCACATTTTTGAGGGGGTGAGAAGGGAAACGAGAGGATTATCTTGGAGCCCTAGTGTACTTAGAAATACACTATTCGGCAGCAGGAGCCCAGTTTCATTACCTTGCGGACGGGACGCCAGAGCCGTGTAGAAAACGAGGACGCTAAGCACGACGAGCACTTTTGTGAGCATCAGTATATTTGTGTGTTACCTGAAAGCAGTAAGACACTGATTTGAGCTAAAATACAAAGTGAGCAAGTGGCAAGGTAGAGTGAAAACAATGCGCTGAACCAAAAAAAGGAAGGGGGGGCGGAGAAAGGAAGGGGCGGGGCTTGTGGAAATGAGAAAAGAGAGGCGACTGCGCGTGTAGGAATGAAATGAGTATGAGACAATAAGGAATTAGGGAGGGAGAAAGAGTGGGCGGACGGAACGAGGAACATATCAACAACAATCTGGGCATGACTGATGTTCTGATGACTGAGAAGATTACGAAATAATTGGGAATGACTAGATTCCTGGGAGGTACTCATAATTCAATTTTTGAGCTCGAAAGCTAACAATTCGTCTGGAAAACATGCTCTCCAACGTTGTTTGGCTCAACGAGAAGAAGCCCAACTTTTATGAGCTACAGTGGTCTTGGAGACTAGACTTTTTCGCGAGTTGAATGAGAGCATTTCAATTATAAATTCAGACGGCGAACAAAAATAGGAATAGACGAGACGAGAAGGAGAAACACCTGAATTTGACGAGTCTGGTGTCTGACCAGCGACAATCTCCGTTAGTGCGTCGTCGAGACAAGTTGAATAGTATAATGATTGGTCTGTGTTGGACAGACCAAAGGATTAGTATGAACAAAGATTGGGACAAGGAAGTTGTGGAATAGGCTGAAACTACTGGGCCTCTGACATAAATAGATCATCTGTTGACGTTTCTAGAAGTTAGAAGTCGACAGTAGCAAAACGCCGCCCCTCTCCGCGTGCTCTTATAGAATATCGGCACGTGAGAATTCTAAACGGATTAGAATTAACATATTAACGACAAAAGCAATGAATGACATACATAGAACCCCCTCAAAACAATACGTTCTTCTTCTTCTTCTTCTATATGAAATCCTTGAAAGTAGGCCCATCGCGTGTCAGAAGTAGTACTCGATGCACTTTTTGAACTCTTTCTACTGGCGAAAGGGTAGAACTGCCAAAAAAAAGGGCGATGAGCTATTGTTAACTAAGAATTATCGTCGAGTGGCAATAGCTGTTGAGAAAGAGCACATAATTAGCAGCTCAAAATAAGAGATGAACAGGTTGAGACTGCTAGTTAAACTCCAGCATTTCCACAGTGTAGACGAACTATGGAAAATGTTAGCTAATGTTTGAAACTTCTGCCTCGTCGTCTCACTGGAACTCTTGTAAATGGTACAAAAAGCACACTTTAGCAACAATGTTAGTCTGAAAGGATCAGAGTCAGAGTCAGAATCAGAAGCTATCATGATTTGTGTACGTATACCTCATGAGCAGAACATTTTCGAGTCAAACCATATTGTACCCGAGGCATAGGACCGTCTATTGTGACAACACTTTGTAGGATAGTGATCCAGAAGAGTGGTCAGCTCGTGAACCTCACCGGGATAAGTAAAAATAGCGACGAGAGGAGAAGAGGAAAAATGAAATGAGATGCAAATGAAATCCCAACTATTATTACTGGAATATTCTTTATGCAACACCTTCTCGGAACCAATTTCGCAGCTATTCAGAACGTACGCATTTTGTGAAACTCTCAATACTTCTTCCTCAAATGAGCACAAAGTTTCAAACAAAAGTATAAACATGAATGACAAAATGTTATGTGAATGCGTAGTAGATGGATAATAGTAGGAGTGAGGGAAGGAGGTCGTAAATCAACGTGGAAATGATGCAGCTACTTCTTCCCGGCAATTGTGAACGAAAAACCCGCGATGATGCTTGTTTTGGATCGGAGAAAGAGAAAGTTGGGCTTCCGGCTTTTTCACACAAAGAGAATAAACGAAATCGGGTAAAGTTCTTCCCAGTATGAATATTATAGATGGTTATGAGCCGTGTCAAGTTACAGAGAAGAGAATAAGTACATTTGCAAGAGTTGAATGCGCATAACGCACAAACTACGGAAGCATTTTAGGCAATTTTTCAGATTTCACTTTAGAAACAGATGATACTGTTTATATCAGTTGAACGATTCCTGTCTTTGTTTTCACGCGGAGCGGTGGCATTTCTCAAAGCTCTGTACATTTGTGAGTTGGATCCGCGTCCAGAGCACCGTCGTCCCATTTCGAAACACGTCTTTGATTCCGGTTAACGAATGAATCAATGAACGACTGTAGCTGAATCAAAATAAGATATTCTCCATGACGTGATGTCATTCACAAACGACTTCCGCTACCAAGAAAGGCGAGAAAAGTTAGAGAAAAGTAATGCACCTTAAATAACTGAGACAAAAAAGTTATTGTCGTTAGATATTCTTCATCTATTGTGTGTAACTGAGCTTATAATAGAATAACGACTAGACAAAGAATGAACTATGCGAATTTGTCATTCACTTATTTCGGTCGTCTTTTGAACTGAATCGCTCGAGAACTCGCTACAAAAAATTTAAAGATGATCTCTAGCCCGGCCGATTGGCTAACGTGTCAATGAATTATTGAGGCGAGAGATGTTGGTGTTTCCGAGCAATCGCCTAAATCACGGAATATACATACATATTTCAGTTTCTTGTGCTTTCCACTACTCGGTAGGAGTGTGTATAGTGAGGGGAATGATGAGAAATGAAGTGTGGTTGGGTCAACAAAAATAGAGGAAAGTGCAGAAGAAATAGAAGTTTCTGGGCTGTCCAGCGTTAACCTTGGCTTTTGCTACTATTTTTCTGGGAATGATGCAAACCGGCTAGGGACAGACAAAAACGGGGGATGTTCAAGAGGGAAAAGTGGAAGATTCAATTGGCCCTTTGTCCGCTTCCGCCTACTCAGGTTCGCTCTCATCGGCCATGGCTCTTCAATTGGTCATTCATCTCACTACTCCCACTTTGCTTCTTTTTCAACCATGACATTGAAGACGATGAGATGGGTGGAAACGAGTGAAAGTCTCTCAAAACACTGAACGGTATTAACTTACTTTCGGCAGACAAAATTATCCTTAGCGAAGAGGTAAACAGAAATTTGCAGGAGAATGACTCTGCAGAGAGCTAGCTGAATATCAAAAACTGAAAACCAATCGGCTTGTGATTATAATGAATTGTGTGGGAATCATGTGCAGTTCCGTGGGAAATGATCACGTGGGCAGGTAGAGTTTTGAAGTTTTATTGAATATCAAATCAATTTTGATCATAAATATTTATCACTGGCAAGTTCGAAGACAGGGAGGTTCATAGAGAAGAAGTAGGCGTTCAGTTCTTCTTGGTCTCCTCTTCCTCCTTCTTTGGCTCAAGCTCCTTGACCTCGGCATTCTCGGACTTTTCCTCAGCGTCTTCCTTCTTCGGCTCTTCCTCTTTCTTCTCTTCCTCCTTCTTTTCTTCCTTCTTCTTCTCTGCCTCTTGCTCCTTCTTTTCTTCCTCCTTCTTTTCTTCCTTCTTCTTCTCTGGCTCCTGCTCCTTCTTTTCTTCCTCCTTCTTCGGCTCTTCGTCTTTCTTGTCCTCCTGCTTCTTCACTGGCTCTTCCTCTTTCTTCTTCTCCTCCTCCTCCTCCTTCTTCTCTGGCACCTCTTTATGGTTAACTCTCAAAATGGAGCAGTGAACATTCTCCTTCTGAACCTGACAGTAATCATCAGTCTCGGCAGTGAACACTGTCGGCTTCTCGTTACAGACGACGATGTAGTCCTGTCCGACCACCTTCTCCTTGATAGCCTTCAACGAATCGGCGACAGTCTCCTTGGTGTTCTCGTTGAGAATAATGCGGAGCTCCTCGTTGTTGCACTTGCTCAGATCGTCGTGGCCGATCACGTTGACGGCTTCTCTCTTCTTGCGTCCGCATCCGCCTCCGCATCCTCCTCCACCTCCTCCTCCGCATCCTCCGCCGCATCCTCCGCCACCTCCTCCTCCGCATCCGCCTCCGCATCCTCCGCCGCCACCTCCGCCGCCGCATCCTCCTCCGCAAGATGGTGGTGGTGGTGGCGGTGGTGGTGGTGGAGCACATCCTCCTCCGCATCCTCCGCCACCTCCTCCACCGCATCCTCCTCCGCATCCACCACCTCCTCCTCCTCCTCCGCATCCTCCTCCACACGATGGTGGGGGTGGTGGTGGAGCGCATCCGCCGCCACATCCTCCTCCACCTCCACCGCCTCCTCCTCCGCAGCCGCTGTCACATCCTCCTCCGCACGATGGTGGTGGTGGTGGTGGAGCACATCCGCCTCCGCCTCCACATCCTCCTCCACCGCCACCGCATCCGCCTCCGCCTCCGCATCCTCCTCCGCCTTAAGATCAGAGTTAGAGCCGAAATATCTCGCCGAGACTTACAGCCGCCACCTCCGCCGCCTCCCGCGGACGGGAACAAAAACGCCGAAGCAACGGACAATCCGAGCAATAAGACGACGATCGACTTCTTCATTCTGCAACAAAGAAACGGTCCGAAATTAGATAGACAAGTAGACGATTCTAGTAAATGAAATGCGAGTGGAAATGCCATGTGTTCGTCGTGTGGACTCCTTTTATATGCCGCGGAAGGAACCAGATTGCCGTTGCACGAATCAAGCCTTGTTGTTTTCGCTTGCTGATAACAGATCTACCAGTTAGCCAGACAAATACTGTTCGTTGCGAGTAGGAAGCTAGAGAAGAAGCAGACGATTGAGAAGAGAGGGGGGGGGGATGTTGCGCAATTGTTGTCATGGTCGATTTGTCCATATCTATGATCAATTGTAGACTTGAAGTGAAATGAAAGGGGCCGGTTCAAATTGCCACGTGTTCGATCTTGCTGAAACTGTGATATATTCTCGTACTTTGACACCATATCAGTACTATACTATTCGAGCAGCTGATGGTGATCAAGTAAGTGCATTGTAAGTGCTCTACTTTTGTGTATCATCGCGTGTTATGGAGCCGACTGTGATGAGCCATTATACATGGAGAACACGTGAGTTATATCGTTCAATCAAATTTTAAGAATTGTGACCTGTTTTTTTGGAAAAGTCTCTTCTTTCAAGTGGCTTGAGCTGTAGTCTGGTTACCATGAATAAAGTTTTTTATGCTGCATCTCTGTAAAGACGAACGTTTCCACATCTTTTCCATCATAGCTGTGATATTGTGACATCAAGTGAGAACAATCCTCCAAAATAATACCTACAACGTCTGGCCGCCATCTCCAATCAAATCATCAATTCGCACTTTAACTGCTGCAAGTCACTCATCTCACTTTCACTTTCCACTAATCCCATTTCCTTTCATTGCTCCTCCTCCTCTTCTTCTTCTTCTTCTTCCTCTTCTTCTTCTCCCATCAACTTTTTATAGCGTTTTGTGTCTCATCTTCTCCTTCTTCAGTTCATTTCCTGTGGCAAGTGGCACTTCGACTCTCAATCAACTTTTCCCGCAAAATTGTCCGGATAAAGCTTCACAAACACACACACACACACACAAAACTTTCCCTACTTTTGTGGGAAACAAACACGCGTATTCTTCTTCTTCTTCTTCTCCTTTTCCCGTTTCCTTTCCTGCCATCATATGTCAAAGTTTGGCGAAAACTGCTGAAAGAAAAGAAACAACCAATTTGTCTCTTTCGCTCTTTTCTTCTTGTTATGACGAGCTATTGTTGAGCTACTTCTTCCATAAGTATGTTATAATTTATTTTTCATCCCTCCATCCTTTTCCATTCCATTCAATTCCACACAAACCACCACCCAATCAACTATTCATGCACCATTTATGGATGGACACTGCCGCGATAAACCTTGGACGCCAAAAAGCTCACCTCGTACACATTCTGCACAAAAAACAAACGACTGGCTCCTATTTTCAGTTCACATTTGACTCAATGATGTTTTATGAGTTTCGTGGCGTCTCCATTCACTTGTTAGAACGTTTTTCACTTCAAAGGCAAAGTACGGGAACACATTGACTGCAATGATGTACAAAGCTATATGCACGTTTTGCAACTCTTTGCAAACAAGATCTAGTTCAAACGTGGGGTCCAATCTTTCTTGAGGGACGGCGTTCCCCGGCTACCAATTATTTTGGAGGAAGGTACCTGCAATCCTATCAATTTTGAACGACTTTCTTTTCTTATAAAAGCTCAGTCATTCTGCATTGTTTCTGAATCCCAGGTCTTCCTATTGTCTTCTAGACCGTCTCGCTTTTCACTGAAGATACATAAGATTCTGTGTTTCAAAAAGCCATACATTTCTCGACCCCCTTTTTTGACTCGTTTCCCTTTCTTAATCTTTCCAATAATTGTTATTTATCATTTTCAGTACCCCACTTTGCTCTCAATCAAAACCACAACAATCGCAAACTTGATAATGAGTAGCAAGAGCCGTAAACTGAGCCACAACAATAGTGCCTTCTTCTCTACCTCCTCCTCACCCACGGCCACTACTCCATCACTGATAGGCGGAGTAGTGGTTGCGGGAGGAGGAGGAGGAGGAGGGGGAGTCTTGACAACGCCGACGACACCCGGGGGAGCACCAGCTCCGCAACGTGGGGGCTCATTATCGCTGAGTGTCGGCCAGACGGTGAGCCGGCCGTTCTCGAGAAGCAGCTTTATGTTGCGATACAAAGGCGGCGACAAGTCCGGCAAGAATCATAATGTCATCGATGCGATTCGGGTGAGATTTTGCTCATTTCCTACTGACGTTTGTAAAAGCACCACCACACTTCTGAGGAGCCAGCCTTGTGCATCCTTCCATGCCCAGGACTTTTGGTACTATGCACTTTTCTTTCTCTCTGGAAAACATTATACTTGAGACCAGTTAGATTGAAGTTTGAAATCCTTTCTGATCCAGATTAAAAACGCAGTAAGCGTAGAAGCTTAGTAGCTCCAATTCGATTTATACAAGGTGCTCGACGACGACGGGGGGGAGTATTATGTGCTTGGGCGAGTGACACCACCACATGTCTTGGGAGAGGGCAGAAGCAAAGCGCAAGTGCTCTTCTCCTCATTCTCACTCAGTGCCTCTCCTCACAAAAAGCAAATTCGTTCTCTCTCTCTCTCTCTCTCCCTGTTTTTTCTCAAACAAAAACAGAGATTTATTGCCTAACCACCTCCGTTTTCTTCTCTGAATTGTGAGTGAAATTGAGATTTTTTTGTGGTGGTGGGCGCGTGAGTAAAGTATGATTTTGTGGCTCGGAGAGTGAGCATTCGAGTGAGCACCTACTTACTCACTTCTGTCTTATTCCTTCTCGATTCTTCTGGACAAAAACGCGGAATGCCAAAGGTGAGCGTTGCTTTGTTAGGTTTCATATATTATCAGACAACTTTTTGGTTTCTCGCGCAAGTCTAAACATTTGCGAACACGGAGGGGGGAGCGAAGTTGAGTCTTACACTTGTCTGTTGACTTGTTCACTTGGAAAATTGCCAAAACAGGAGTACCCCTCTCTTTTCTACCACACAAGAGAAGCGGGTCGCAGTTACTGAAAAGACTTGTCAGCTTTGGAGGACAAGAAGTCATCCAGTCCTCCCGAAAATAGCTCTCATCATCATCCGGATGATTTCAGCAAGATCCTGAAAGCCGGCAGCGGCAGCACACTCGCTCACCCTTTTTAATCACTTTTTATTTCTCTCGTTCTTGCTCTCACGACTACTCGCACAATGTTTTTGTGATGAAGATGACGTAGACGGGCGGCTGGGATCTCTAAACTTCTTTGGAAAGCTGTATCTCACTGTCTGATACGGTAAAGCAAAAGTTGTGCGATAATATTCATTGAGCGTTTCGTTTCTTTTCTTTTCTCGGAAAAATGCTTCCCGACCGGACAGCTCGAATAACTCTCGCTACGGCAACCACAACCACAACTACCTTCCTGAAGCTCTGAGCCCTTCGCCCTCTTCTGTTATTATTGGTCTCTGCCCCCTTTCTCTTTTTTTGCAGTCATACACATATTCGACCACTATTGTCTTCTCTGACCGAAAATTGGCCATCCTCCTTGTTCTTGGTCTCTTTTCCGGAGAGAAGACTGAGCTGAGCTGCCAATTGCGCCCCCGTCTGTGTCTCGTTTTTGGAAAGCCAGAAAAAGCCTTTTTCGGACGGGAGAGGGTGATAATCGAATTACTACTGCTGGTCCGTCCTATTCTTCTCGAATCCCATCGTCTTGTTCTTTCCCCCCCGCCAACGTCGTCGTGGACCCGCGAACTAATCCCGACCAGCTGTCTCTGCTCGAAGCACATATCATTTTAAGACTCATAAAGCGTTTCTCTCTTGTCCCGAAAATATATAAGAAAGACAAGAGAAGACATCAATTTTGTGTGCTAGAGAGAATGCCGCTCGAAAATCGTCTCAACATTCGGATGCCCAATGTCAGAAGACGACTTTCTCATTTTATGATCGAAGAGGTATGGTTATATGATATTAAGATTGTTGGGAGCACCTTTGGCTATTATCCGTCTGTTAAACTGCGTTGAAAATCTTTAACGTTTGAAACGTGGATTAGTTGAAATAGAATAAGAAAAGTAGGCCAACTATAGACTCTTGTACCCACCCCCCTCACTTCAACATTAATCAAACTAACAAGGTTTCCTTTCGCTCCTGCGAGCCGTGCTCACGTAGGCTCCACCGCACGGCGTCTCTCTTTCGCGTGTGAATACCTTTGTGCCGTCCCGCTCCATTCTTTGTGAGAGCAAGAGTATAGACCAGCCATTTTTCCGCCTCTATTGCACAAGAATTGATTGATTGTTCGCTCTCACCCCGCACACGTAATGGTCGCCAACGGTTGTTTCACCTCGCCACGTGCTATGCTCAATCAGGGCTCTTTTCGGAAGGTATGTCTGTCTGTGTGGGTGGGTGTGTGTGTTATGCTAGCACACAATATCTCATTCAATTCACTATATGGCGGAGAGTGGCGGTTGCCCTTCCCGCTGTCTCATTTTTTTTCAATTTGTAATTCATCGTCGCCCGACACGCTGACGCAGAGTCATATTTTGGGGAAACGGGCCCCCCCCCCCCTCTCCATTCTTTATATTTCCGCCGTTTTTCCATTTCCCTAGTGAAGCGTCTCCCCCTCTTTTGTTGTTTTTCGACAACTCCCCTCCCTGAACGTCATGAACTTGGATTTTGTTTGTGCAAACCAGAATTCTGATGACAATCAGTTTCTTCTAATTCCAAAGGTAGGCGAGCTCGGAAACTCTACAATAGTGATTGGGAAATGAGATGCGCACAGTAATACATTTCTGAAAGATGGTATGACGTTAAAAGCACAGTTTCCTAATTCAAAAAAGTTTGAGACATTTCGTTCTCAAAAGTCTACCCAAGTATGAGTGTCGCCTCGTTCAATACGTGACATCTTCTCCACTTTTCGCCCATCTTCTCATCGAAAATGCATAAATATCGCCTGAAAAGTGTGGATCTTTTCCCATCTCTTCATCATCGCTTTCAGAAAAGGACAGACACCTGAGAATGAACATTTGCGCTTTTGAAAAGAGAGCGAGAGAGGTAGAGAGAAGCCAGAATAACCGCCAAAGTTTGACACCCTCCCCCTAGAAGGGAAAGAAAGAGAAAGAGAGAGAGAGAGAGAGAGAGAGAGAGAGAGGGAAAGGGAGCAGAGTAGACAGCCTTCTTCTTCTTCTTCTTCTTCTTCTTCTTCTTCATTCTCTCTCCTTTCTCTATTCTTTCGCATTCTCAACTGACTCTCGCGCTTCCCACTCCATTTCACTAGCTCTTCATACATTATCAAGTTATCAAACTGTCGCCCGCAAAGTTAAAATCCAAAAATATGCATGTATTCATGCTTTCCATACGGGATTCCACAAAGTTGGTAGGAAGTCGAAGCGCACTAACGTAATAGTTATATGGTACGTTGCAGCTGAAACTACACTCGGACCGTGGCGACGGGAATTCCCCTCATGGAATCGCCGACCCGCTACTCTCGCAGCACTTGCTCGAAGGCTACTCTGAGGAGGAGCTGCAAGAGTATCGGCAAGTCTTCAACATGTTTGATGCCGGTTCGTGCCGCACTTCCTCTCAAAACGTCTCCGATTTCACTTCAGACCGCTCCGGAGCCATTGCTATCGACGAGCTCGAGGCGGCTATCAAGAATTTAGGCCTGGAGCAGACGCGCGACGAGTTGGACAAGATTATCGACGAGGTACGTTGTCAAGGTGATCGGGAACAGCTGGGCCAAGAGAACAGCTGATTCGATTGGGTTTTGCGGCGCGCAGTTTCGTACCTGGTAGTTATCACAAAAAGTTGTCGTTTCAGGTGGATCAACGCGGAAATCATCAAATCGATTTTGACGAGTTTTGCGTGGTTATGCGACGGTTGACGATGAAGAAGAGCAACTGGAACGAGGTGGTCAAGGAGTGCTTCACTGTTTTCGATCGGGTATCAATCGCATTCCTTTTCTGCGTACACATCTCTTCCTGTTTTCAGTCCGAAAACGGCGGAATTTCGAAGCGAGACTTCCGCTACATCCTGCGCGAACTGGGCGACATAACCGACAATCAGGTCATCGACGAGATCTTCAACGAGGCCGACGTCGACGGAAACGGAGTCATTGATTACGACGAGTTCACCTATATGGTCAAGAATTATATGACCGACGATGATATTGTTTGACAACTGTGATCTACGGATTTTGAATGAATTTGGGAAACGTGAACTCACACACTTCGAATAGAATTTATCTGAAATCATCAACTGATGAGAGATTATTATTAGTTTCACTTGCCCGAATTACTCGATTTGACAACTGACAAGGTGAGCGCCGACGCTCGGAAAATGTGGTTCAACGATAGTCTCAGAAGAGCATGAATCATTTTCTCGAGCTGATGACCGTTCGTAAGGCCAATTGCTCGCCGCCTTCACCCCCACCTCCAGCCGGCTCCGTCCAATTGGCCACTCCGAAATTCTACGCGCTTTGCGGGATGGGCGGCTCGATCTGCTGCGGGTTCACGCATCTCGTGATCACCCCTTTGGACATTGTCAAGTGCCGGATGCAGGTCGATTCTGTCAAGTACACGAGTGTCGTACAGGGATTCCGGGTGACGGTGGCCGAGGACGGAATGAGAGGACTCGCTCGTGCGTGGGCTCCCACTACCATCGGCTATTCGGCGCAGGGATTCGGAAAGTTCGGCTACTATGAGATCTTCAAAAATGTGTACGGAAGCCTGTTGAGCGAGGTGAGTTCGGTGCGTGAGGGCTAGCAACGAACAGTGAGTAGTTCAGGAAAACGCGTACACCTACCGTTCTATAGTGTACACGGTAGCCGCCGCTTCCGCCGAATTCTGCGCCGACCTTTTCCTGGCGCCGTTCGAGGCGGTCAAAGTTCGAATGCAAACGTCTTCGCGTGCTCCCAAGACGATGCGAGAGTGCATGCCGATGATTTACAGGCAAGAGGGAATGAACGGCTTCTTCAAAGGCCTCCCGCCGCTCTGGTGCCGTCAGGTTCCGTACACCACTGTCAAGTTTGTGTGTTTCGAGCGCATCATGGAACTCATGTATTTGCACGTGGTTCCGAAGGCGAGGGCCGAGTGCACCAAGACAGAACAGCTCCTGGTCACCTTCTCGGCTGGCTACATTGCAGGCATTCTCTGCGCGGTGGCCTCGCATCCTCCCGACGTGATCGTCTCCAAACTCAATCAGGACCCGAACGCCACGTTCGTCGGCACGGCCAACAAACTTGGCTGGAAGGGCTGCTGGACCGGACTCGGCGCTCGGATCGTCATGATCGGCACCATCACCGCAATGCAATGGTTCATCTACGACGGATGGAAGGTGCTGATGGGCATTCCGCGTCCGCCTCCCGCCGAAATGCCCGAATCACTTCGCAAGAAATTGATGCAATGAATCACTTTATATCGATCGAAGTTTATGTACAATTATCTATATACAGTAGGCGTCGAATGACTGTTTTTTATTGTTTGGACCGGCTATTGTACACATACATGAAACGGCAAATTAGTCGATGAAAAGTACACGTTCCTCTTTCATGTATTCGAACTCGAGTTGGATAGTTCCCGCGTCCATGGTCACGTTGGGAAACTGGAAATTGGAAAATGGAAAATTGAAATACGCGTAATTGGAGGGATGAAGAGAGGAGACTCACGCGACCGGCGGTTATGTATTTGTCGGGGATTGTGAACTTTATTTTCCGATGTGTCGGCTGTAAACATAACAAATCGAATAATATTGCAAACTTTTGTGGGTTCACTATAGTCGACCTACCAATTTCTCGTCGTTGCAATCGTGATAGATTTTGAAGACAGGATCGATCGGGGTAGTTTCTGTAGTCCATCCGGAGAGCGAAAAGCTGCCGTTGGCTGATGTGTACCCTTGGTCCAGCAAGTCGTCCGGATCCGGTCCCGAGTCTTCATCCCACAGTTTTATGCGAACGTTTGCAGCCGGTTCGGAGCCACACATCAGAGTGCCTTGAAAGTAGGATTATTGTGAGGGGGTTATTTTGTATTTCAAATTGATGTCACTACAAACCTTTGATCGCAACCGACTGATCGCGAAACGTGGCGACTCTGGAGACGAGAATAAGGGCGGTGATGAGGACGGTGGAGACGCCGAGCATGACGCACACTGAAATGGTGACGAGTGAACAACCGCACATAAATATCGTGCGCGGTGTCACCGCCATTATTATCTGAATCTCGGCGTGTCGCCAGCCCCTCCCCGCTCTTTTTTCGGCAGAGTAACTCGTCCGCTCGTTTATCCTCTTCCCACCACGTCATCATTATTCGCTGTCCCCGCATTTTTCTAGTAGTACAATAATACAACAACTGTGCGAAGTAGAAATACATAGTGACTCATTGAAAAAATGTTCGAGAACAACAATATTTAACCTGTTCTATTCGATGGGGTTCATTAAAAAGTACAACTTCTTGGGCGGCGTCACATTTAGGCACTTGTAGAAATGGCGCAGCTTGCCGTACAGGATCGACTTCTCCTCTTCGGACACTTCACGAACTTTTTTGACTTTCCACATCATCTGCTCCAGATGTTCAGCTTCTCCAGACTTTCCAGCGAGTTTGATGAGCTGATCGAGAATCGGAAAGATGCTCGATTTGGGTAGGTGGACGAACGGATCGATTTCCAGAAGATTGAGTAGAGGCATTGGCTGAACGGAGATATTGTATATCGAAGTTATCTATAAAAGGATGTCCATACATATTTCAATTTTCCAGCCAATTCTATCAGAAAAACGACGTCTTCATGGGCGAAAATAATGGAATTTCGTTTACAGAAATCCGCAATTTCTAGCCGTGGGAGTTCGCAGAGACGGATGAAGAGTTTGAGACATTTCAACGTTGATGGCTTTACAAATCCAACTTCGCTCAATTTGGTTTCGGCTGAAAAAGTATCCAGTTTCAACTGCTCCAAATTCCTTTCCGTTCGACTAACCTTCTTCTGCTTCACTATTTCTCCAGGCCTTTTCCAGAATGTAATACACGCTCATTGTCATGTTCTTCGTCCGTTTTTCCTCCTCCATCTGCTGCTTCATCCGACTGAGACCCGCTTTCCAGCCGTGTCTGACAATGTTATTCTCATGTTTGGCACAAAAATTATACTGAACCCACTTTCTAACCGTCAATTCAACAAGCAAACTTAGAAAGACGTCACGATTCGCGCAAAATTTGTACTTCTTGAGGAAATCGAAAAATCGGTAGGCGACGTCGTCTTCGTCTGTTTTTCGGATGACCCGTTCGAGTGAAGCGCAGATTTGCTCATCGCTCACGTCGGCGTTTCTGGCTGCAAATATGACACATTCATTTAAAGAGCGGAGAAGCTGCGTCGCGAACCCTGTCTCCGCTGCGCCCCGCCATACTCTTCCATCTGCTCTTTGAGTATCACTTCGGCCTCTTCTATCCGATTCTGAGCCATTGCGATGCTGCTCATTCGGATGACTCCCCAGTCCGGGGTGTCGTGCGTTTCTCTGAAACAAAATTGATGCGATTATTGATTTTCAGTAAGTTTGGAGCACACTTACCTGAAATCGCGATACTCTTGGATTCCTCGATCGAATTCTGTCTGGCTGCACCGGATAATGTTCTGAATTTTAGCGACTGTCTGAAAACTTTCCAAATTCATTTAATTATCAAAACGTGCCCAGTACATCTTTCTTTTCGGCTGCATTCTCGAATGCTTTTCGAGCTATTCGAGCTACTGCCACAGATCGGAACATTCTAAAAGAACAGTGCAAACATTGTTTTTAAAAAGCAGGAAAAAGATATAAGACACCCACTCTCCAAGGTGGTTCAAAGACTAGAAGAACATTAAGACATTTGACTTTCTCATTACAAAGAAAAACAGAAGCAGTACAACGAAAAACAGGTGATAAGTCTGAAAAACATATAAAAAGTACCTATTACTATTGTCTACAAAGAAAAAAAAAAGAACACTAAAAGCTTATCAATTATTGATAGATTAGGTGCGGAAAATAGGGGTGCCCGTTTGACTCTTTCTCTGTCAAAAACATTTAGAGAAGAAAAAAAAACAAAACAATTCAATCAAAATCAGCATTTTCAGCGGCGAAATGCTTCGATTTGATGTTGTCAAAGAAGGTGCGCACATTGTTTGTCAGTGGGAACGACGTCGTCTCGATCTCACGCGACAACTCGTCCAGCGACTCTAAATCGTTGTTTATCCCTGAAAAAGGAAGAAATTAGAAGAATTTTGAAAAGTTCCTTCCACAACTTACACATCTTCTTCGTGGCCAGCTCGAGCAGTTTGTTCAGCTCCAAAGTCGACGCTCTTCCATTGAACACGATGAACAAATCCTTGAGAAGTCTCGGATTATCCTCAGTCGATGCGATAGTCGTAAAGTATTGCAGGACGCTGTCGCCGACGTTCAGATTCTGTCGTTCGACGAGGTCACGGGCGCGCTTCGTGTGATCCGCATGGATTAGGGCATACGCGAGGTTGATATTAGCCATTTCCGTGTCGTGGGCCGATCGTACCATCGTGTGCACGCTCTCGAGCGTCTGACGATCGTTGCATTTGATGGCTGCGATCATGAGGGGCACTTGTCCGAATGCTCTTCCCGATGCGCTTGTTTCCTCAACGGCAATCCGAAGGGCTCCGGCCAAGTCGTTGGCTTTAATGAGCCTGGTAAGGAGATCGGTCTTCGCTTGCAGCACAACTCTTCGCATGTCTTTCGACCTCAAGTTGAATGTTTTGCCTAGATATTCTGCCAGTTCGCTCATTTTTTCGACATCCACTCCTTTCAGACGTCGACCCATTTTTTCGAGTGTTTGTGGGCGAATCGTCTGCGATGATTGACGCAGCAAAGCACACACTTCATCAGCTCTTTCCAGGTTTCCTTGGATAAAAAGTCGAGACGCGTAGGAGAGGAGGACGTCCGCCTTGAGTTTACGGGGAGATCGAAGCTGCCAGATTCGATCCGCAAGCACCATGTCGTTGGCCGAAAGTGCTTTCGAGAGTGTCATATACTCCAGTACTCCAATCTTATCGATAAGCTGCTTTCTCAACAAGTTTTCCTCGTCCACCTCCTCTTTTCGCCATTCGGAGGCTTTCTCCAAGATCTGCACCAGAAAATCCAAGTCGTCGCCGTGTTCCCTCAATGTTTTCTCTACAATAACTCGTCTCAACGTGAGCTTCACCGCCGGATTCACATCCTCCGAGAAGCTTTGGAGCTCCTTGAGAAGTTGCTCCACGTCGCTCGACCGCCATCTTTGCCACGTCACACTTTTCTTCAGTTTTCTTAACAACTCGAGTTTTTCAGGGGCTCCGGAGAGCACTTTTTGGGCATCGACAAGTTCCTCGGTGCTTAGCGAAACTCGGCCCTCATCTTCCAGGAGTTGCACAAGCTGAGCGGTGTGTTTCGCCGAAATTGCCTCGTTCGAGAAGAATCTGACGAGATTTCTGCCCCCAAATCGCAGTTTTGCGGGTCCGGCCTCTGGCGGACGGAAGTCCAGGGCGAGAATTTTGGCAACGATTTTCAGGCGTTTCGTCGACGTGCTGTCGGCTAATAAATATTTGGTTAGCCATTTGTGCAAGCGGACCGAGTTGAGCTGTCCGATTTTGTTCGATTCCAGAAGGATTTGAAGCTTTTCCGTCGCCAAATGATCAGAAGAGTCCGAGTAGAGCAGCTGATGAACGATTCCGGTGGCGAATTCGCGCTTCTCGTGCCAGACTGTGCTGGGCATTTGGTCGAGCGCTGGGAGAACCAGTTTGATGTCTGTAATACATTAAATGCGGAACTTTCCTACGACATTTCGACACACCTTTGTTGGCAATCTTGTATACTATCTCATAGGCTCGCCAGGGATCGGCTCCTCCCTCCACGGCCGACGGCGCAAAAAGTACGATGGCAATTTTCGACAAAAGCTCCATCTGCTTTGTCGGAGACGTCTTTTTCACGAGCAAATGAGCCAGCTGCCGAGCAATTGGCTTTTTCAGACCAGGATTGTGACCAAGAATAGTTCGAGCGTCACCCGAGTTCTGTACGTGTTCAAAGATTGTCAAGAAGGCTGGAAGTGTGTTTCTCGAGCAAGAAGTGAGCAGAAACTCGTTGGCGCTCTGGAGAAGTCCTTTATTCTCGGCTAACGTGACCGTTTTCAGGTACGATTGTAGACTGTCCGGTGTGACTTGCTTAACGCTCTCCTCGAGTGTTCGTTGCAGATTTTGAAGGAAGAAACTGCAACCAAAAAAAAATAAATTCAGTTCCGACAAAGCCAGTGAGACGTACTCGTTAGAATAGTTGGGGTGGACGCAAGAGTACAGAACTATCGCTTCTTCGATATTTCCTTCGCTAAGAAGTGACTTTGCTCGGGCGACTAACGGCAGATTTAGCTTGTTGTCTCCGAGAGTTGAACCGGACTCCGAGACGATCAGGTATGAGGAGAGAAGCGAAAACGCGTCGAGCTGCCCGTTCTCCACAAGATCCATCAGTACATTGACCACGTAGATGTTATTGTCGAACTGAAAAATTGGTTTTAACAGTTATTGATTTCGGTATTCGTACTGAGTGCATCTTGGCAGTTGTGGGGACGGCTCTCAGCATTTCCGTAACTTCGTATCCTCCTCGTCCCGACTCGTTCTTCTCCCGTTCGGCAATTGCTCTCGCGGCCGCACACCGGAGACGGACCACGTTCATCGATGTGGCAAACGTCTGAAGATTCACAGATTAAATCATAAATTAGCTGTAAAAGGTGATACGTACATCAACAACGCGTCCGACGTGTGAGTAATTTCCTCCTCTCGCCACCGAGTACACCAGTTGAGCGACGTGGTCTTCGGTGAGCGGGATTCCGACACTTTTCATGTGAGCAATGATATCACTGCAAGAAACTATATGGACTGACTCAAAAGAAGATCCAAACTCACGTAATAGCTTTGGTATTCGACTGTTTGGCATAGATTTCGCAGAGCAATGCGTACGACTTTCCGTCCAGCTCAATTCCGCTCTCCTCGAACGCTTGCAGCTCCTCCACCGCATCCAACTGACTTCTATTGTCGATTTTCGCCTCGATCAATTGATTCCGAGCCGAAAGTCCCAAAACGACGCCCTTCTCCTTAAGAATCGCTTCGACCTTTTGCAAATGTTGAGCACGAATTTGACGGGAGAGCGTGTCACACGTGGCACCGAACACCGAGAGAATAACGGCGAGCTGACGATCAGAGAGCGTCGCAAGATCGGAAGACTTCTCCAAAAGACTGATGATTTTGGAAATTGTCTGCGGGAACACAGTTCCGCGCCATTCGATGCTAAAACTCACTAGTTTTGCTGCAAAACTCGGAAATCGCTTACTATTCGACGGCGTCGTGCAGTGTCTCAAATTTGTTGCTCTCCAAACCCTCCTGATACTTTTTCTGCAGGCGAATCTGCTCCACGGGAGTTGGAGGCACATTGTTCGCGAATTTCACAAACGGTTTGCGGTGGGAAGGTGCGGATGAAACCTCTACAGTCGATTTTGGAGGCGGCTGCGAAGTGGCGGTCGCCGACGCCTGAAGATTGTTTTTAAATATAATTTCTATTAAACTCCTTACCTGGGCCGCAGCGGACGAAAGTGCGCGGCGTCCTGCTTTGAAGCCGCTTCTACCCAATCCAATCATCTTTAAAGTCAAAACTAAATGACAGAACAAAGGCAAACTATCGACATCTACTGGAAATAGATAAAACGCGAGATAAATCAACGCCATCTACATAAATTCTTCAAATCGAATACAGTTTCATTCGAGAGGTATTTACACAAAAACAGGTGAGAAGGCACGAAAAAAAAAACAACAAACGGGGAAAACAAGAAGAAAGAATCCTATTAAAAAGTTATCTAACAAATAATCTAGAAGCCTATTTCAGCAGAATTTTCAGCTTTCTCTCCACAGTCTCCTCTATATCCAATCGATTTTTCAGGCACCACTCCGAGAGTCGGCTCGCTGATTCTTTGCTCTCCGCACATTTTATCCACGCTTTCTGCACAGAACTGCACAATTGATGAAGTTGCCCCTCGTCTACACGGTGAATCTTTCGCTTGGCTTTTCCTTTGGGATCGAACTTCTTCTTCTTCGTCTTTCCGCTCACTCCATAGAATTTTTCGAGCACCGAATGCACGTCTTCTCCGAATAGCGTTGATGATTTCTGCAAAAAAAGAAAAATTAAAAATGTATGCCAATTCTTGAACAGAATGCTACACAGATAGCGAAACCGATTGAATGTGACTTGAATCGTCTTGCAGTCAAAGATTAAGCACAAGCGCATGGTGATCGCCTGCGCTACTGAACAACTGCTTCCTAACACTGGCTGGGTATCGAACACGTGACCTCTCAAAATTGTCGGGCACACATGCAACCGCCGCGGACACGAAGGGCATCGCTCACCTTGGCCGTCTCTCCACTTTTATTAGCGCGCTTGCCTCGTTTGCGCTCAACCATCATTCCTCGCTCGATCAGAGCGGCGAGTCGCTCGATACTCGGCAAATCATTCTGAAAATGCGAAATTATTTAGATTGAGCCGATTTTTTCCAATTCCTAGACAGAATTTTGTTGTAGAGTGCACTCACATTTTCGACAAACACCTGCAAAGGCTCTCTGAAATGGTTTCCGGACACGGAGACTCTCTGGAACACTTCCATCGCCTTTTCGAGCTCATCCATTCGGATCAGGGCGCAAATCATCCTGGCCATCGTGGCGAAGGGATGCTCGAGCTTTCCGGAATGTGTCAGAAGCGCGTCGATTCGCTTAGCCACACCCTTGTCGTCGGCTCGCAGCGCTTCCATCCAATAGCTGTCGATTCCCTGTTGATTTCCGTACTTCATCGACAGTTTCTTCCATTCTCCAAAGCTTTTCAGCCAGTTCTCTTCACCAGTTCTCAGTTTTCCCGCTTGGATTTCTGCGTAACACTGTAAAAAAGTGTCTGGAGAGGTGTCGAAATTGAGTTTCCAGCAGAGAGTGAGCAAATCTCCAGCGGTTTTTGAGCAATTTTGAATGGCCTTCGAGTAGAGATGACTGAGTTGCTGGCCAACGAGCTTGTGGCTCGGGCGGAGCTCTCGGGACACTGAGAGTGTGATCAAGGTCTCCAGGGTTTTTTGAATGGACGGAATGGTCGAAGAGCCGGAAATTGAGCGAACTGTGAGCTGGAGAAGCACGTCGTCGGGTACAACAGCCATCAGATGGGAAGAAGCACTGGAAAATTCAGATTTCTGATGAAAATTAATAGAAAATACGGTTTTTCTTAAATCGAAAACGAAAAAGGGGAAATCGAAACGCTTACAATTTGGCAATAACAGCTTCGGCCTCTGCATAATCAGCACTTTTCTCGGCGACAAATCTCAGAATCCAGTTGATGCTCTCCTGAACTCTGCGATTTCCTGTGGTTGTAAAAAAGTGGTCCGGCCAGAATCCGACGGCTTCAAGTTCTTTCTGAAGTTCTGCGACCGTTCCGTCGGCGGCGATTCCTTCGAGGACTTCCAGTGAGAATTCTGCAGATTCTAGCGGCTTTTGAGGTTCAATTAGAGACGGAGAAGATACTGGAGCAGAAAACTCGCTTCCTTTCCATTGACTAGTATAGGATTCTATTGGAATTGTATCCGGGAAGAGGATTCCGGATAAATTCTCAATTCCAGAAGTTTCCGGGAGGTGGAATAGAGATTCTTCTGTAGAATGAACAGTCTCTGGGCTCGCCTTCACCACTTTTTGTTCGATTTTTTCGGTAAAATCGGGTATGAAAAAGGGTAAAGCGCTGACGTCCACTCCAGAAGTGCTCGGAACCTGCTCGTCATGATAAGAAGCTCGAACTGCAAGTCCCTCGTCTTCCACAAGCTCTTCGACTAGTTCCTCGACAGCAGCGCCTTCGGAGAGCAGCTCCGAGACGTAATCGTAGCCGAAAACCTCATTTGTAGAGACTGTAGTCGGAATTTGAACGTTGGAGAAGGTGTTCAGAGTGTCGGTTCGAAATAATTGCTCCAGAAATGTGTGCTCACTGCCCGTTGAGCTCATCGAATCGATCGACTGAGAGCGATTGGTCGAGAGGAGACCGAAATCGTCCAGTGAAAACCTAGAATGTATAAAGTTTTAATAACGCTTGCTTTTTGTAAAATTTCGTGCTCTTGTTCTGAATTTCAGTCTTTTCCGAGCTCAAATGGAAAGCAAACATATTTTCGAGTTTTTGTTTTACAAGAAACAGAAATTTGCGTTCTAATATTTTGGAATTTCACACTCACACTTCACGAATAGGCTGATCTGTTTCCAGACGACTGCTACTGCAAAAAATCATAGTTATTTCAATTTTACAAGTAAAACTCACAATCTAGAGTGATCCGTTTGTCGATCTGTGTGCTTTAGCGCCTGTCGCACTGATTGAAGGCATGTTCTGCTGAGAACTCTGAAATAAAAATAAATTTTCGCTGATTTTTGTTGTTGCTAAATGCTAAATGCTAAATGCTAAATGCTGAAATGCTGAATGCTAAATACTCACGATGTTTTTTGTGTGTAAACTGCAAAGCGCCACATTTTCACCTAATTTTGCGTAGAGCTACACGACTCATACTCCTCTTGATTCCTGTGCAGGAATTGATTACCTGAAATTAAATTTTATTTTGTGAAAATCATTCTTCGAAACTTCACACGATTAAACGGTTTTTACGGCTCTGAACAGAGAGAGGGCACGTAAGAAAAATAGAAAAATCACCCCCAGTTCAATTCCATAGCTATTTTGAGCGGAAACAGCATTGAAAAGTGCATTTGAGCGTGGAAAATTTGACAAAATTGAGAAGAAAGTAATCCGCGCAAGTGCACTTTCGCGTCAGTTGTGCTGTTCGCCGAAGCGGTGTTGACACAGATTGTCTGCGTCTCCTCGTTTTAAGTTTTCTTTTCCCAATTTGCTCACAAGAACTGATTTCTGAAAAAAAAAACAATTTGTTTGGGTGAAGCACAGAAAAACTAGTTCCTCTTTTTAAAAAATTCCCAGAGAAAGCGAACGAGGGTCTGCATTTTGGTTCACTCCTACTGCACGTCTATGAAGCAGGAGTGTTGTGACGCAAATTAACGATAATGTTTTTTTTACAAAGATAAAACAATTTGCTTGTTGGATCAGTGTCATATTATTATTATTATTTATTTACGTTTTTAACACTTTTCTGATCATTTGCAACCTAAAACAGCCGCCGGGCGGCTCAGAAACACTGAGAAAATGCAGGGAAACTCAGGGAGAGTTCCAATTGCCAGATCTGGCCTAAAACAGCCGTCGGGACTCTCTACTCTCTCTCTTTCACCACGTTTCTGACCCAATGATATTTTCTGGAGAAAATATTCGGAGGAGTAGAACTTCGACTTCCGACCGACAATATCGAATATCTCAATGTGGAATCTGGAATCGTCGCAAGAACACGACGAAGATTTATACAAACCAGGCGGTGTAGAATAGAAAACAATGGAAATACAATTTGAAAAATGAGGCAATAATAGTAAGAAAGCTCTTGTAAATGTGTCTACCCGAACGAATATACTGATTTGAAAGACTGTTTAGGAAAAAAAAGAAAAAAAACGTAGAGATTATAGATGAGGAATGATATTGAGATTCTGCACTGCTTGAACAAAATTATTATACAGCCCAACTGCGTTTACGGTTGTAATAGTCAAAATGATATTGTGGAGGGTGTTGGAGATTCAAATTCGGTTGGCTAATATTAACATTAAGATGATTGAGATGATTGAGATGATGATGATGATGATGATGGAATAGAAAGTTTTGGTGATTATGAGGTTCATAGTTCGGCGGACAAGACATGGGCGGCCCGTGTGACAGTTGATGTTGCTGGCTGCTGGATGCTCCGTCGAACAGCGCCGGTCCCAAGTACTTGTAAAGTTCCGCAGAATCGAATGCGTTCGGCATCGAGTGCCGGTGCGACAAATTCGGCGCCATCGTGGGCGGCGGCGGCGACTGCTCCACTTGTCGCAGAATCTCATCCACCTCGTCACGCAGCTCGGGCAGCACATCCGAATCCGCAGAGGGCAAAATGTCCTCCAAAATCTCCAGCGGAAAGTTTTGCGGAAACAGAGAAGTGTGCAACGAGGCCGAACTTTCGGGCGACGACGATTCAGGGGTGAAGAGTGGCATTTGAGAATGAGGGCCTCGCGTCGGCGCCGGTATCTCCACTTTGATGTAGTCCAAAGCGAATCCTTGCGTCGCGGCGACAGGACTCTGTCTCTCTCGTTCTCTCTCCTCTTCGGAAGGCTGCGGAGAGTCCTGACATGAAAAGACTGTGGGGTACGTGTGACGCATACTGTAGATCCATGAGTTGGCTTGTAGCGTCGCCGCTTCGAGGTCCCTGCAATTTAATAGTGGTTGGAGAGTCGAGTGGTAGCAAAACTGACGTTAACTTTTGATGGAAACAATAGATGACATGCCGCAGACGTTTTCCCTCGCTGTTCAGCTCGTTGTTCGGCCGAATCGAGAAGACGGTATGCAGCCAGACCCACTCTCCGTTGGCAGCTTGCAATCGAATCAGCGACAACACGGATCCTTCTTTCTCTTGACACACTGAAAATGTGCATTTCCGCTAGAAACTCGGTGTTTGATCCCGCAACAGTTTCACTTACACAATCTATGTTTGTGAGCCACTTCTGGAACATGAGCCGGATGAAGCATTCCGTACCAGGAGACGCCTTTCAGGTGCTCCCTAGAGTATCCCAAGTGATGGCCGGCCATCGCGTCCGCCTCCTTGAACTTCATATCGAGAAAGTGTTGAGTGCAGAAGACGTGTGTGTTGCCCGTCGACATTCCTTCGGCGTTCTCCGGATTGATGAGCGGTTGGCAGTAGGCCGAGAAAACGGGCTGATCGCAGTCCGGTTGCGAAGTTTGCGAGTTGAGTTGCTGATAGAATTCGGCCGGTTGGATGTAGCGGCCTTGGAAGAGCACAAACTGTAAAAATGATGTTTCTGGAGAAGAGAGAGTACCCGATGATCGCACACACGTGACGTCAGAGTGTCTGCGCGGAGAGAAAGTGCTCCGCAAAACGTTCCAAAGCGAACATTTGTTTAAGAATGACTATTAACCCGCTTACCTTATGATATTGTAGTTGTCGCTTGGCAGTTCTCGCCAAATTGAGCCTGCAAATGAAGACCCTCTCTTCGGGAAAACTTGCGGCTCCGGGCGGTCCGCTGGCCAGCTCCGCTTGTACTGCTCCGTGATCTCGTCCGTCGACCAAGTCGTAGATTGAATCGCCTTGACACATAATCTCTTCGACCGAGTGTCCGAGGTACTCGCTGGCGTTGTCCGACACGTGCAGTATCTTTCCGCTTCTGGTGACCATGAGCATGAAGCCGCGGAGTGCTTTGCAGATGTCGATGCCACGTGGCATTGGAGGGCCCATTTGCATGGGCATTAGTGTCTGCTGGTAGCGCTGTTTCCGGATGAAAATACATCCGAGCGACATGACTTGTAGTTGGAAAAGTCGGTCTTTGATGAGATCGGACAAGGGCAGGAGATCTCGAAGTTTCTGGATTTCCACATTAATCTGATCCCGACGTTGCTTCGACGCGCCGCGAGTTGACCTACAAGTTTATGAAATTTCGATTTGCGTTCGTATGAATGACGCAACCCGACGCAGCAATGCACCAATATGTTAATTTCTTCGCGCACCGGCTCCCGAAATTCTATGCGAAACTTGTTTGCTCTCATCATCATCATCATCATATATAGACAGTCAGATATTGTACCCTCCCCACTTTTTCGCTAAGAAGATCTGACCGCACACATGTGACGTCAGAGTGTCCGCGCGGAAAGAGAGAGAGAGAGAGGGTTCCGCGCGGAATAGAAAAAGGGTCAGCAGCGTTTGGAAAAGCAAATTTGTTTAGGTTTTGTCACTGGTTGTGAATCACCTCGTGTTGAAATCTTCAGGACGATCGATGGGTCTGGGAGCGAAAAAGAAGGAAAAGTTATACTGTATTGCTCTTAATCACCCTGATTACAAAAAAGGATCCAGTCAAGGATAGGAGATGGCTAACAATTTGACACTATTACCTTTTCAATCAAGCTACTTTTCTGTACACACCGAAAAAGATGAAAGTTACGGGTTACGGTATTCCCAAAAGTTGATTTTCGTACAATTTCGAAACGGAAAGGCGTCTTTTAATCACAGAAAATTGAGAGACATTTCGCAACCGGCCTGTTTCACAGTACTGCTTTTACAATCTAAACTATGCCTGGTTGCTCATCTCAACAAAAAAGAACGTTTGATTACAGTTGAGTCTGACTAACTCTTGTCCAGATTCTACCATTTCTATAACGTATTCAAACGGGTCGATTATTGTATAGTCGGCCATATTAGAGAAGATATTATCCACCAATTCAAGTTACAACTTTTTAGAAGCTTACCTCTGTTGACTATTACTCAAAGCGTTCGAGTTTGCAGTAGAAGTAGAAGGCGGCGGTAAGCCGATCCCAATTGGGTTGAGATTATTGTTCGGCACATTGATATTGTTGTTATTGTTGTTGCCGAGACCACTGGCAGCATGATGAGCTGAGGCGACAACTCCGAGGCCATAAGTGGCAGGAGCAGCACACTGTTGGAGGGGGACTCCACCTCCTGTTCCGGAAGAGAACGGATGTTGTAGTAGCGGCGCCGTGCTCATTTCGGAAACGAAGCTCTTCGTGTCGTTTACGCACGCAGAAATGTGCGCAGGCGAGTGCGGGAGCGAGTGAACATCGTGAGGTCACGCCCTGACCCCCGGCGGCGGGAACTCCGCGCGGACACCGCGTGTTACGTCACCGCCTGTCTCCCCTTCTAAGGCTGCGAGGCAAGAGGGAAAGCCCTGGACAGTAATCCAGACGGGTGAAAGTACTTGAGAGCCGCGCGCGCGGCGACTGGCGCGTCCAATGTTTGCTCCCTTCCCTTTTCCTTTTCCTTTTCCTTCTTCGCTCGCCTCCTCTCACGCTTCCTTCGATTTCACTACCATCCACTCACTTTTTCGTGTACTAGGAAGTACTGACCAGTCAGTCGGTGCACTTTTGTTGGTAAACAATTGAAGAAAAACGGAAGACCGAGGCGAAAGTAGCAAAGTGGAGCTGGCAGAGCAAGCGGTGAACAAATATTGCACTTTCACTTTCCGATTTTCTCGCAACACCAGCTTTTCGAGGAAATGGACACCCGGAAAAGAAGAAAAACGTTCAGTTGAATAGAATATCAATGAATTTACTATGTATGACAAACAATCATCAAACACTTTCAATCCGTCGATTGTGCCGCCCTTCTCATTTGCTTGAAAGCCTGCAACAGTATCATTGTTCGATGTGCTACCGTAATCGCCAACCAGTGTCCGATCGACATCCACTGAAATGTACTCGATGTCAGACGGCGTCGGCGATCGTGTCGATGCGGCTACAGTACTCGAACTCGAGTTTTCCACTAGTTGCGTCGGCTCGAAATAGTCCAGATTTCGTTTTTTCGACGGATCAAGGGGTTGGTAGGTCTGGAAGTTTAAGATGATAACGCTTTGCCGGAAACTTATCAAATACCGTAGTCTTCGAGGAGAACGTGGTGGTGTAAACCGTATTATCCGCACTACTGTTCCTACCCAAACTGAAACATTAGGGTCTTCCCATGCCGTATTGTTTCCTAAAAAAGAAACTCACTTTCGGTACCTCATTCCCTCCTCCTCCGCTCTCAAATTCTTCGGTTTGTTGGATCGATCCACGGGTGGCGGCCTCCGGATGAGCGTGCGTCCGTTTCGTTCGAAAATAGGAATACCTTCGGACGACGTGACCGATTCTGAATACGGCTCTTGATGATTGTCGAGCTTCAGCGTCTCTCCACTGCTGTCTTCTGCGTCCACTGTTATCACTTGTCCCATCGAAGTGCTTGCGGGCATGTGAAGGCGGCCAGGCTGGGTGTTCTGAAGGTAATAAAGGTGTGAACTGGGCAAATAATAAAAGGAAAGAGTTAGTGTATGTACCTTCAAAAAGCGATTCAGTGCGTGTTTGCTTCTGGGCGGCGGAACCGGCGGTCCGCTCGTGTAACTAGCACTGTCCTCCTCGGTCCGTCGACTGGAATACATTGAAGAGGTCTCGGAACGCGATTCCGACGGCTCTGCAAGCTGCGAACATTACACGTTTCCGTTGAAAATCTAATCAACCTGGCAAATTGTTATAATTCGGATTTGTGTCCTTCTCCCTGGGTAGACTTTGCTGTGAGTTGACCGATTTGAAGTTATGCATTCGGAGGTACTGCTTTGGATCGGGTATCTGCGAATTGCACTCAAGATTTGGGGAAACAACTCTGGTAATTTTCGGCAAGTTGCTGTAATGATGCCGATTCCGTGCCTGCTACGCGCTGAACCCTTGCCTGCTACCGTTGCTGCTCCCGTGCCGCTCATAAACCTTCCTTCCCTTCCATCCCACTTTTTTCTGTTGCACGCCCTATCCATGCTGATGCCATGCATGCTGTTCGCTTGCCGCTCGCGCGCCCCACCCTTGCCGAAAATTACCTGAGAGCTGGCACCTACATTTTCAGCGTACTGTTGTTGATCAATGATGGAAATGTCGAGTGATTGAGAAGACATTGATAGGCCACTGATTGAGGAGCCTCCCACTTGAGATATATCGCCTTCTAACGAGAAAAATGAAGAAGTGGAGGCTGGCACGCAACACTAACCTTGGACGATAATTTCCTCGTTCTGTCGATGCAACTTGCACGCCTTGCACAATTCGCACACCCACTTGCTCATTTCCGCTTCATTCTTGGCCACCAAATACAAATCCTTTTGTACGACGTTGTGAAATCGAAATCCGACGGAAAAGATCCAATTGAGAGCGTCCGTCGGTTGATGAGTGGACGAGCACGAAATGGCCGGATCCGAGAAGGAGAGGTTCGACTCGAGCCGGACGACGTACTCCAGATTGAAGCGCTTTTTCAGCTCATTCTTGTTTTTCCGACTCGATTTGTACTCGTCGATGGTGAAAAGGCCACGCGACGAATCGCGGCAGTAGAGCACAAAGTAGCGTTCAATCCATTTCGTCTGAAATATGCTGGCTGGCTGTTGGATTCTGGTCAGCCCACTTACTTTGAATATCTTGTGTCTTTTGCACCGTCTCAGAGTACCTTCCAATACTATTTGATCTTTATTTGCTGAACTCATTCTAAAAAGTGGAGAAATTATGAGAAATCTGATGATCGGAGCAAAAAAAGAGATGACGATAGTCTCATCGCACAATTTTGAAGAGTTGTGACAATGCAAGGAACACAAATGCTCAAAATTGGATTCAACGACTTTAACAGTTGACCAACTTTTAGGTTTTAGTTTTTTTTTTCTCCAGAGCTGACAATATGGGCGTGGCCTCCTCGGCCAAATGGCGTTTTCATGAATTGAGCAGGTTTTCTCTGATTTTTGTGGTCAAAGGCGATGAAAAATGATTGTTCGACATGAAAACACACTAATTCTCAGAATTAATGACGTTTTGGCGCATTTTTCGCGGACTTTGCTTTTTCGCCTTCGCCGCCGATCGCCGCCTAAAAACCGCACTTCTCATTTTGCGCTTTCTTGACCGTTTTCAGACAGAATTGGTTTTGAGAATGATAAATCACGTAAATACAAGCATTTTGAGCGCTCGAACCGCGAAAATTACCGAAAAGCAACTGAAATTCACGCAGTTTTAGTCAAAAACCTTCAAACGGATAAATGTGATTCGGGACTTGACCAAATTTAACGCTCTTCCTCTTAAAAAATTCGTAATAGCCTATACAATCGGTCTATCGAGAGACAAATGAGAAATTATCGGTTTTTCGTGGCTAATCTGGCAGAAAACACAAATTTAACTGTAAAAAATTTGAATTTCGCGCCAATGTATCGCTCTATTGGGCGGGGCGCACTTGCGCCCATTGTCAGCTCTGGAAACCGTGGTTTGGCTGGATTCCAAGCGGCTTAGGATGACAAGTTGATGACAAGTTTCGAAAAAAAGGCATGAAGACGAGAGAGAGAGAGAGAGAGAGAGAGATGATTGATTAAAAAAGTCGAATGAGAGTGTGTTGTGTATAAATGTTTTAGTGGTCACAATCGATAACGCTCTCGTTCTTTTCTTCACAATCAGCACAGCATGGACTTGAAGAACGTGGAAACTGTTGTAAGTGAGAGTTACGCTAAAGTACAAAGATCTAAAAGTGATATGCTTTTACTACATAACTACTCCAAAACTGTCAGATACTGTCAGCATATCTGAAAATAGTTATAGAATTGTGCTGTTAGGGAAGACTGTAAAAGTAGACAATCACAATCGTTAACACACGGCAAAAAGGTTGTTGGATTGGCGGGAGGGACTCTCTCTCTCTCTCTCTCTCTCTCTCTCTCTCTCTCTCAAGACTGATAGTAGTATATTAAAAGAAGGCGCGCGCCCGCCTGTCTCAAGACAGAGAGAACGGAGATGCAGACGGCCGAACAAAATCAAAATCAACCGACGACGGCAACATTGTGAAAATTGGAATGGAATGAAAGGGCGGCACGAGAGGATGATGTCGATTTTTAGTTGTTACACTGTGTACCTTCGGGCCACACACACACACACACACATACCAGTCCTTTCTAACCATCTATCCAACGGTTTTGAACTGAATAATTGGCCATTTTTGAATGGTCGTTTTAGTAGCGGCGCGAATAACGCTTACCGAGCTGTTTCCTGTGTTGTCCGTAGAGAAAGTTCGAGAAACTATTGTGAAAACGTGGTGGGGGGAAAGAAGCGACGACGGAAAAGGAATTAGTCGGCGTTCTGTTCTGTAGGTGAAGAATGAAGAGTGGGGGGAGCGTGCGACTGCGAATAACAGCGAGTAAGGTCAACTGTATGAAAATGCCCCTTTGTGAGTATTCGAAGGCAAGTCACACGTGACTTTTCATTTGAACAGTTTCTTATTACATGCCTTCAACAAATGTTCAACACTTTTTCAACATGTTTCAACAGTTCTCCGGGAGATTTCCTCGTAATCCTCGCAAAACTTTAAAGCAAAACTGGTTGCTAACTCATAAAAGATTGAAACCCAAACAAATCCTATACAACAGACATTAGTTCGATCAAAAGTGTTGTTCGGTTTAGCCAATTTTATTCAAAATCAAAAGTAAATTTGAAACAAATCTACACAATACTGTAAATATCATCTAATGTCTCTGCCATGCAATCACTTTGGGAACGGCTTCTGGGCGAGGAAGAAGTTCCAGTTGTGGTTGTCCTTCTCGATGTATCCGAGCTTGTCGGTCCATCCCGACGTCAACGCGTCCTTCTCATACTCCGTAAACTTCTGAACAAAACAAGAGCAACTTTTTTGGTGGACTGAAATTGAAATTTGATAAACTAACCGACAGGAACTCCTCCGAGTTTTGCTCGAGATGGGATCTCTCCTCGAGGAGGATCTCCTTGAATCTTGGCGTCATATTCTCGGTTTGAACGTTGATGAATCCAGTCTTCTCGGCCACTTGAGCAATCTCCTTGAGGTTCTTGAGGAAATAGGCTCGCTGTGCCACGTAGGTTTTGAACTTGTCGCTCTGCTCACCGTATCCCTTTCCGTACATTGTGATGAGCACTTTGCCTCCTGGTTTCAGGGATTTCTGAAAAAAGAAAACATATGAAAACGTGTGAATGAACTGTCCTCCACGCTTACGTAAATTCTGGAGAACAGCTTTTCGGTGTCCGGAATGTGTTGAATGCAATCTCTAGAGAACACATAGTCGAACGAGTCGTTCTCGAACTGATAGACGAGTGCGTCGGTGATGGAGTACTTGACGCGGGCGTCCTTCTGCTCGTGAAGTCTCTCCAACGCAATCGCCAGCATGTTCGACGAGAGATCGATTCCGTGCACGTGCACTCCGAACTCATCGGCAACCTGACGAGCACCTCCTCCGATTCCGACTCCGATGTCTAGCATCGTCTGTCCTGGCTTCAAGTCTCCGAATCGCTTGATGATCTTCAGATTCTCCTGATATCCTCCGGGCGAGATGAAGTTCACACCGAACATCCACTCGTACGCATCGATTCCAGTATTCGTGTACTGGGTTTTGTCGAGAAAATCGCGGAAAGTGATGGTGGCGTCTGTCGATGGAGCGAACGCTTTCTTGCGGAAAACAAAGATGAAATCGAGGAAGTTGTGCTCGACAAACGCAGAATTCTGCACTTGGTCGACCGTGTACAGGTCGAGACCCGCGTTGGTGCCATCGGTGTCGGTGGTGCGGAACACGTCGAAATAGTCAGTCAGACGAGCCACTTGACGCTTCTCGGCGTTCTCTGTAACATTACAGAATCTATTTCTGACCATAATCTCCCGAATTCTTACTCAGATCCTCGCGGATGATGACTATTCCGCCGATAGCGGTGGCGTTGGTGGCCTTCTTCAAGAAGTCGGTGAGGAGATCAGCGTTGTTGACGATCTGCAACAGGAAATTGAAAAAGAACACCCTTCTTCGGGGCGCAGTGGAGGGAGGAAGAAAGTTCGGCCGTCGTTCCGTTATTTCGCCGGCCGGCGGCATGCTTGCAAAGTCTTTTTCCGCGCGCCAAAACTTCTGATGCGTGCTGTTCGAAGAATACCAATCCATTTTTCCTAATTTTTTGGGAATGACTTCATTATGATTGAAACTCGCAAGCAGCAACGAGAAACTCGCAGAAATGTCTAGGGGTCACTGCCCAAACAGCTTTTTTCAAAAAATGACTGCTCGTGCGTGCTTTTTGCGTCTCTTTGTTAGTTTACATCATAATGAGCTAGTTCCCGAAAATTCAAGTGAAATGAGTCAGTATTCATCCGACGGCACGCATCTAAAGTCTCGGAACAGCCAAGACGCGCGCTCTCCGAGCCTTCTTCTGTGCGCCAAAACTTCATATGCGTGCCGCCGGACGATTACTGATTCATTTCACTTGATTTTTTGAGAATGAGTACATTGCGATGTAAACTAACAAAGAGACACAAAAAGCACGCACGAGCAGCCATTTTTCAAAAAAAAGCTATTTTTTCGGTGACCTATAGAAATTTTTGCGAGTTTCTTGTTGCTCTTTGTTAGTTTTCATCATAATGAACGCATTTACTATGACAATGAATAAGATGAATCAGTATTTCTCTTAAGAATAAAGAAAAAATTTTGTAATCCCATTCATAGTTCACTTCCTTCCTTATCACACACACACACACTGGTAATCGTAGCTAACTGTCGCCGTCTCTTTTCTCCTATCGCTATTTTCTTCCGCGGTCATTATTCGCTACTATCTGACCACTTGGATGTCTGCTGATAAGTGTCAATGGTGAAATGATAACAGTTTGCCAAGAATATGGGGTGATTTCGAAGACGGACAAGGCGACACTTTGTTTCCGCGATAAAATCCCCATCTTCTTCGACTATTTGCTGATAGGTCGAAAGTACAATTCATGTTCTTTGGAACACAGTTTATTCTTTTTCGCCATTTCTTTCAGTTATAGAACTGATATTGTGTACTTCTACTATTGCATAAGCCCTACGAAATCAAACAGCTAAAGAATCTCGAGATGGACACCATCAGACAGACAACAAGAAGAAACCACGTTTTTCAATGTCACATCAACTGACCCGACCGCGCATGATTTATCTGACAAATCTGACAACGTTTAGATGAGATTGTCAAAAGAAGAAACCGCGCATACCTTTGAAAGAGCATTGTTGAAAATGAGCACGTCGGCGTTGCGAATAGTGCTCAGTTGCTCCAGAGAAGTGTGCACTTGGGTCTTCGCGTTGAGCACCTCGAATGCGGTCACGTAGCCGTTTCTGAATAGGAAATTGTCGTTTGGGGTCCGTTTCCGCCGTAACTAACCCTTGTTTCTGGCACGGAGAAACCACTTGGACGTTAGAAATGGTTCGCCCCGCGGCTACCTGCTTCACATAGTACACAGCTTGACGTGGAACGGAGAGCGACATTTTTTCTACAAGAGTAGTAGCCGACCAGCAGCTATGGCGGCAGACAGGTAAACTGATTATGAGAGGAGGTAAAGGGCGAAGAGGGGTGTTATCCTACTATACGCTCCGCCCACTTTTATCAATTTCATCTTATCTAGATCATGGTCACTTTGTAGTGGAGCGGTGATGAGGGTTGCAGAGGTGGTTAAGATAAGATGAAAATCGGAGGACAAAAAAGAAACGAGAAGAAATAAGATTGATCAATTTTCTAATCCAATTTCATCGAACCGCGAAATTGCACGATCTTCACACTTTTCCAGCACTTTTTTCTCACCCCTTTTATCATATAAAATGCGAAACCAACAAAAGAGCGTCTTCTCTTTTTTGGATGGATGATAGGTTACAAAAATGTGTGTTTCAGAACCTTCTAACATGTCAACTTATGCAAAAATTTTGAGTGGAAGGGGAAGAGGAATGGGGGAAAAAGGGAACGAAGATAAAACAAAAAGAGAAGCTCAGCTTCGAACAATAATGCTGATGATGACGAAAAAAGTGGGAGAGCAAAAATAACAAAAAGCGGATGGCGGGCTGGGAGAAAAAGGAAGGAATGATGCAGAAATATAAAAAAATTTGGTAATTCTCTGTCGAGTTTTCGGAATGGTTTCCTCAATGCTTAGACGGAATCCGAGTACTATAGCCAGTCAGGATAATATTTTTAGGAAAAAGCTAGGCGATTCTAAATCAACGAGATCGAAGCCGGATCGACGGGTCCACGCGACATCGGAGGTGGCGGAGGAGCCCTCGGAGCTGCCGATGTGGCGGCTGCAATGGCTGCAGCCCGCTCCCGGAAGTCGCCTCGCTCGACGACCCGCTGACTCGACCCCATCGACGCTCTTCGCGGCATATCGTCCGCAGTCGCCACCGTCGATGCCATCAGACTCTGGAACGCCAAAAAGCGTTCATCTGCACGCGGGGATGGAGCTGGAAGAGTTCCCGGACCGGTGTAATACTGCTGATGCTGCGCAGGCGGCTGAGGTTGCAGTGGTGGAGGTATTTCTCTGCAATAATGGATCCAGTTAGAACTGATTGTGAGAGTTGCAAGTCAATTTCACACTCACTGTCTTTTCCTCTTCTGCTCTTCACCACCGGCAACAGTGGCACGTCTTCCGCTTGAACCAACCGGCGACGGAGCCGACGAAGTGATTGGTGAGGTGGCGAACGCGAGTCCAGACAACGCTTTATCACTCTTCAAAAGCGCCGAATCCATGTCAGTCACGTTGTTCAACTCGATCGGCACCAGATCCGCAAGATTCTGTTGACGAACCGCGTCGAGATTGAGGAAATCGAGAATCTTTTCGAGAACCATTCGGAACACGATGGTCTGATTGATACCAAGTCGGACGAGAACAGAAGACGGCACTTGCAGATGGTCGTTCGAGTGTCCGACAACTATCAGTCCCGTCTGTTGGTTGATCATCGACGCGCGGAGCTCTGTGATCGCCTCGTTGTTGAAGTGACGTCCTTCGGCGCCGACGATGAAAAGTGTCGGGCAATAGGTGAGCAGGATCTCGTCGTCGGCTGTCTGCAAAAAACAACTTGATATTTACGGATAACTAAAAAACCACTAACTCCTCTGCGTCCGAACTTTGTCATGACAGGAAATCCTATAGAAATGATGGCAAAGATGCCGCCGACGAGATTGGCGGCTCTGTGTACCGAATACGTGGCTGCTCCGTATCCAACAAGCACAATTCGGCACTCGGGTCTTTCTCTGATCTTCTGCCGCACTTTCTCACAAATCGTCTCCACAATCACGTCGGAAATGTACTCGGCGACAGAGGTCGTCGCTTCCATCTCCTCTTCACCTAAACCAATCGTCTCCGAGTCGAGGTGGCCAATCGTTTGAAGCCATCGAAAAAGGAGCCGTCCGTGATGAGGACGCGGCCGACTGGTGACTGCCGCTTGGCTCGAGCAGAAGCCGTCCCCGAACGCCATCGTCGGGGAGACAAGCAGAAAAACCGTGTCAGACATGCGGTAATACGGAATAGTTTCGTTGAGCACTTCTGAGCCCGGTTCGGGGCCGCGTTTGTAGACGAACGAGCGGAGGAGATTGGTCACTTGTTCCCAATTCGAGTTGAGTTGATCCGTGCTGTCGATGACGCCTCCGAATATTGTTGGACTCTGTACACGAAATATTAGTAGAATTTGAAAAATGCTTGTAAAATATCGAGAACTTAATCTTTTCAGATGGGACACTTACGATTCGTCTAGCGTATCTAACGACACTCAGATATGAGGCGAGCACATGAACCGGCAGGTTCTCCACAAAGAACTTGTGCGTCCAAATGACGGAATCCTCTTTTCCGGTGTCCGTCACCGCATAAACCCTCTTCATTTGCTGTGCGTTGGCGAGAGTGATCGTGTGCCACTCGTGTCCGTGTTCCTCAGATCCTCCAGTTTGAGGAGCCGACTCATGAGCCAGTTGGTCCCAGATCACGACCATCGCTGCCTGGAGAGTGTTTCTTCGTTGTTCTGGCTGCTCCATGGCTTTCAGTTGGATCTGCTCCATATCCATCTCCGAGCCATCTGCCAAACGTGGGCGAGGGACAAGCACGGCAATCTGTTCGGCAATGTCGAGAGCATCAGTCCGAATAGTGATTTCGTCGGGGTTTTCTCGGGAAATCGAAGCTTCTGGATGGATAACACCTCCCTCCACATCAATTTCCACTTCCGCCTCTCCCTCGTTCTCCGCATTCGAATTCGATGGGCTCAACGGATCGGTGAGCAGCTCGTGATAGTAAAAATCATCCGGCACCTGCGACTGCCTCTTTCTCGACATCAATTTGATGCCGGATTTCTGCTGCGCTATCGTGATTTTCGGAGTGATGTACTTTTCAAAAGAGATCTTATATTCTTTTGCCTCCTTTATCTGCGCATCCATTTCCGCGTCGAACATGTTTGATATATCATTTCTCGCTTTCTGCTGTCTCTTCTCATTCACTGTCGGCTCCAGAAACGGCGTTGATAGGGAAGAAGAATCCTCCTCGAACGGTGTGGCACTCTTGCGATAGCTTCTGACGATGGATGACACAGAAACCGGTACCGGGGCCTCTCTGCGCCCTTTATGCGTCGGTGGAGTCCAGTAGATGTCGTCGTTGCGAGGCGCCTGACGCTTGCGTTTTCCAAGCTCCTCTTGTGCCGCCGGGATTTTGATTCGCATTTGAGTTTCCAGCTTTTTCGCCTCGAGACGGACTTTTTTCGCCATATCAATCTTGACTCTAAATTGTTTACATTGTTTCGCGTCAAAATAATACAACAAACTTTATCTTGGCCTTCACCACCTTCGGGTCGATATTATCGTGCTGTTCGACGCCATCTTGGCACACTTTCAGCAGGATCGTGTCCATCGTTTCGGTGACAATTTCATCGAGTTTCACCACATTTCCATCGACTTCAATGTCCGCCAGTGGCACTTTCACGGACGGACGATACCCTTTCAGTACTCCATTTACAATTGGCACCGGCTTCGAAACTACGACTTTTGGTGTTGTCGACGTGGTTGGCTTTTTTCCGACAGATCTTGAGGTCGACGTGGACGGGGCGGCGATGAGAGACGGTTCCGGCGTCTGCGACTTTTCACGGGCTTGCGCCTGAAAAAACGGGTCTAATGTGAACAAAGATGAGCAAAACGGTTACCTCTTTCACCGGATTCTGCTGCGTAATAGTCGTTCTTCCGAGTATTTCCGTGTTGAACGCGTGATCGACGTAGAGCCGATTTGGCTTCGAAACTCGACCAGAAGTGCGCGGAGTGGGCAGAACAGACGGTGTGGAGGCAGATTTTCGGGCAGACGACGATTCCGAAATGGGCGTTTTGACCACGGACTTGGAGTCTGAAGCAGAAGAAGTGGCTGGAATTTGAGCAGGCGTCTCGACAGTTTCCGCAGAATCTGGGGCGTCTGGAGCAGGATTTTCTTGTTTATGCTCCTTTTTCGCGTTTCTCTGAGTGCTTCTTCTCGGCTTCTCGTTGATCTTCGGACGAATGACAATCGGGTCATCCACAACAGCTTCTGGAGCCTCATCTTGCTGTTTCTTAATGCTTCTACGCGTCAGCGCCAATTTTCTCGGTGTTTTTCCGGTCTCCTCGGCCAATGGTGCTGGCTGTTCGACCTCCAACGCCGCCGACTTTCGGGCACTTCTTCTCGTCGCACTAGGAACAGATTTCCGAGGACTTTTTGCACGTGGACCGGCCGAAGAAGACGTGGGTTCCTCCTGAAAATCGTCGACGCCGAGCTCTTTGCTGAAGGAGCGGTTCACGCGAAGCGGCTGTGAATGAGCTGGAGTGGAGGCGTTGGGCATTCTGGAAAAAAGAAAGTAAAGTTGCTATTATACATTATAAGAAAGAAAAGCGTGAGGCAAATTATGCTTAGACGTTTTGAGACGGTCTATCAGCTTATGAGTCATAAGTTATGAGACCTGAGAAAATGAATCGAAAACATAGGCGAAAGTGCGGAAACAGAGAGAGAGATAGAGAGAGAGAGAGAGAGAGTGAGAGTGAGAGAGAGAGAGAAACGACGCGGTCGGGGAGGAATGAAGCACACAGGAAAGAGCGGAGCGTCAGAGAAATGCCAGAGGAAAGAGACCCCGCGTGCGGTGTCTGCGTCTCTTCGCGACAAAGTTCAACAAAAATTTGAATTCGAACCTGGCGGAATTGTTCGATTTTGCCGCTTTTTTGATGGTGTTGGAGGCAGGTACGGTAGTTGAGGATTGCTGAAATAATCTTTTAGAATCGGAATTTTTTAGGTCTAAAGTCTCAAATTGCTCACAACTCTAGTGAAATTCAGTAAACGATAGAAAAGTGGGGACAAAATTCCAATTCCATCTATCCAACCAATAAAATTTGCTAAAATTGTGGGTCTCGCCACGAAAATGAGTAGTTTCGCTGTTCTGTACCATGCTGTTTCGCTTCTTTTCGCATATTGATTCGTGGCGAGACCTCCGGTTGATAGAGCAAACGAAACACTATCATTTATTTGGTTGGAATAGCGGTGATTTCAGACTTATTCTCTAATATCTTAACAGGCACACAATATTCTAAAAACGGGACAAGAAATGGAACGGGATGACAAAGAGTGAACGGGTTGAGAAGAGTGCGTGTGTGTGTGTAAAAACGGATGAAATTCATGACACTCTGCTACTCTTTTTTTGGAAAATGGATATATATGTACATGTACATATATATATCGGTAAGCTATGATATTTGTGAGAATGGAATGGAACTGTGAGCAAAGAGAGACTTATTAGATGAGAAACTCTTAAACAATTACAATATTATTGTTGTTGTTGCTATTGGTGACAGTAGAAGTAGAAGAAGTTGACAATTCGTTTCCGTTGGTCACTGAAAATTGCTGGAATTCGAACTGAACAAAAACAAAAGTTGAAGTTATTCATTCACAAAAAACAGCACACTCGTTTTAATCAATACTCCACATCGACACACTTTAATGCAGGTTTTTTTACCATTCGAAATAAAACTATGAAAAATTTCATTAAAGTCTGCCAATCGCACTTGACCGCTGCTCACGTGATTCAAATGCAGTTAGATAAACTCGCGGTCACGACGGGGTCTTCACGTGAATTATGCAATAGCTCAAAAGCCACTTGGAAAAATTGCTCAAACGTTCTAGGAAACGTACGCTTTTTGATGATTCCCTCGACAATATCGGACGGTCTCGCGCTCTTCCAATCTTCCGGAAGATCGAAATCGACTGGTCCCTGTTGAGTGAGCACTTGTTCAAGTTCCACAAGCTGTTCGGTGAACTCGGCGGCGCTTGTGACACGAGACGACGCTGGTTTGCGAGAAGTTTTGCGCTTTTTAATCGACAGAGTCTCGGGAGACGGCGAGAAACGGATTTTTGCCTTCTCGCGACGGCTGCGCTTCTCCAGAGAGGTCGATCTCGAGTCCCGCTGAAAACTTCCACGAGAAGCCGAGTTGTCAGGGCTGCAAATGTTAAAATTTTTTTTGAATTTGTTATTCATTCTTTGTACCTTTCGGCCTTTGCCTGTGGCGTCTTCTGCTGGGCTTCTTCTGGTTGCGGTTCAACTTCCTTCTTTTTTTTGAGAGCCGGCTTAGGAGTAGCCTTCGCTTTGACAGCGGAAAAGTTTTTTGGAGTCTCGGCAGCTGGTGGTTTCACGGCGGCCGCAACCGTCTTTTTCGGTGCACTTTTGGGTGCTTCAGCAGTTTTCGGAGTCGTCGTCGTCGTCGCCGGCGTGTTCTTGTTTGCTCTGCTTGCTTGCGATCTCCGGGTGACTGGACCAGAAGTCCCAGTGGCGGAGTTGCCCTCGACGTTCAGATCGAGTTCCAAATCAAGAAGATCCATCCCAAAAGTCTGACAAAAAATGATTATTTGTTACACGGGAAAAAGCCACGAAAAAAGAGCAGAGGACAACGATGCGGAGAAAGATAGCGGAGAAAGTCTGTAAACAAGTACAGCGTAGGCAGTACTCTCGCAACCTGCGTTTCTTTTTTGCGCATCTTAACGATCAGAAGATGGTAAAAATTATGATTTGATAATATAACGGGAAATTGAAAAAGTAGAGAAAATATTTGAACTAACGACAAAACCTGACAAAAATTTGAGATGTGAATAGATTGAATCGAAAGGCTCAAATTCCTTGAAAGAAATTTTCAACGTTCAAACGATAAGATAACTAATTTTGTTTGAAATTATGTTCTTTTATAGATAGAAAGGCTCCCACAAAAGTGGAATAAAAGAACCAGAATCGGTGGGAAAACCGATAACTAATCCTTCGCGCGTAATTCGAAGACGAAAACTGGTTTGCGCGTTTCTCGTGCTGGCGCAAACCAAGTGCGCGTCAAGAGTGTCGCTAACTTTGCAAAATAAACAATTTCTAATTCAAACCCGTATATTTTTTGCCTTTTCGAAGATTTTTGCAGTCTTTTCTCAAAAAAAAAAAATTTATTTCAGGTAAAAAAATGCCGCCTCCTGCCCCGTTCGAAGGGCAAAAAAATAAAGCACATAATGGTCAGTTCTGCCCTTATTAGACAAAAAACGTTTTGAACTAGCATGCTTTGCTCATTTTTGTTGTTCGAAGGTCATTTCTTGGCCCTTCAGCTAACTGGAAATTTATCTGAAAACGGATGCTCAAAGTTTTTCTAATTTTCAAGCAAAACAGTTCTTAACGGCCTTCATTCGCGATTTTCACCTATAATAATCGATTTTCAGTGCACAAAACCGGAGGCAAAGCCAAAAAGAAGAATGAGAAAGAGCCGAAAGCCAAGGGCAACAACTTGAAGGCCTTCACTTTCCACTCGGCAGTGGCAGCCGGCAAGGCGATCCGTCGCGCGGCCGATCTGAATGAAAAAAAGAAGCATGTGCTGATGATGGACCGGAAGCCTCTGGAAACGCCGCCTATCATCGTTGCTATCGTCGGACCGTCGAAAGTAGGAAAAACGACATTGTTGCGTGGCCTCGTCAAGTATTATCTTCGGGACGGATTCGGCGAAGTCAACGGACCCGTGACTATTGTGACTGGAAAAAAGCGCCGTGTTCAATTTATCGAAGTCAGAAACGACATTAATCACATGATTGACATCGCGAAAGTGGCCGACTTGGTGCTTTTGATGGTCGACGCCTCATACGGCTTTGAAATGGAGACGTTTGAATTTTTGAACATCTGTCAAGTGCACGGAATGCCCAGAATCATGGGAGTTCTCAACCACTTAGATCTGCTCGACGGCATTTCCCGGGTGAACAAAACCAAGAAAATCCTGAAACATCGCTTTTGGACGGAACTCTATCAAGGCGCCAAGCTCTTCTACATGACAGGAATGGTGCACGGACAATATAAGTATAACGAGATTCACAATTTGACTCGCTTTATTTCCGTCATGAAATTCCGGCCGATGGTGTGGAAGGACGCGCATCCATACGTGCTCTGCGATCGCTTCGAAGATGTGACCAATGCGGAGACGCTCAGATTGGATCCGCTTACAGGTGCCGTCAATCTTTTTTCTAAAATTTAAAAAACTTTTGGGAGCGGCTTGCGTGTTTCACACTACTTTTTGAAAGCTAAGTAGTTCACATTAGCTGCGAAACGTCGCGGTTTCGAAATGTCGGGGAGCCAAATGAACAAAAAAGGTACAGAGGGACAAACCCTCCATGAGTTATATTAAAAAGAACAAGATTTGAGGACAATAACACAGCAGTCAAGAAAGCAACAGGCAAGAATCAGCCAAATAAAAAACAAGAGACGACAATTTCCGCGCTCTCTTTTTTTTTTGATCTACGGGGCGCTAAAATGTTTCGTTTTTGAACGCTTTTTAATTTTTTTGGAGAGAATTTTGTGCTTTAGCGGAAAGCTATAGCCTCACGGTTGTTCGTGTGACCAAGCGCTACAGAATGATATCGGAAAAGTAGTGAAAAACTGACAAAGGGAAAATGCGGCGATTCTAGACCCAACTTTGTGTCCAACGACACTCCACTCATAACGGCGCGCGATTTTTGAAAGATCGCTTTCGGGAAGGCAGTGCGGCTATGGCAGCCAACCGAGCGATCGGCCGAAAAAAAAGAAAATCCTCGGGACGGACGGACCGTCGAGAGGAAAGACCGCAACGCTACACCAGACTACGAACACGTGTGTTTATAGTCGAGGTGTCAGTCGCAAACATCCTTTGATCTCTGTGACGCGCCTCAAAAGTCCATGACCCGGCCAGAAATGCTCGCGCGAGTACCGCAACGCAAGTCTCGGTTGGCAAATCTCTCGGCAGATTGGTCCTTTCTTTTCTCCTCGTCCTGCCTGCCTGCCTGCCTTCCCGAACCGCAACGCGTCGCAGCACACGCACACTTTAAAGGCACATTCACTTTTAGATAAAACTTTGTCGCATCGCTGCAAGACCCACTGACCTACCCCCGCTAAATATGTGGTTCTCGGTTGTTTTTGTCTTTTTTTAGCTGAGCAGGGCATGATTCACCTCAAGTGTGTTAGTACGACGACCTTTTTTTTACTCCTGGCGCTCACTGGGCACTAATTGAGCTTTACTATATATTTACTATGGTACAATTTTGTCTTTTTTGACTAGAGTGGTCCAGGTCAGTAAGTGCTCTTGAACATTTCTAGAATCTAGTAATTCAAATGTGAAAATATCTTTCCCTTCCTAGGGACGGAAAACTTGACAAGTCAGCACGTGAACCTTCAAACAGTTATGAGAATAATAATGAATTTGTATTTTTCCAGATCGCCACGTGGCAATGTACGGATGGGTTCACGGCGCGCACCTGAAAAACCATTCGGCAATCCACGTGCCAGGAGTGGGCGACATGAGAATCGCCAGCGTTGTGAGCTTGCCGGACCCGTGCCCACTACCAGAGGAGCAGAAGAGAAGAGCGTTGAACGAGAAGGAGAAGAAGGTGTACGCACCATTCTCAGGCCTCGGAGGAGTCATTTATGACAAAGACGCCATTTATATTGAGTCGAAAAACGCGCACAATTTCAATCGGAAACGAGACGGACTCGTCGAGGCGTTGGAGGGCGTGAAGAGCGGAATTGATGATAAACTGAAGAAGAGCTCACTACAATTGCTCGGAGATTCTGTGGCCATTGAGAACGTCGACACAGAAGATGCTGAGATGGAAGACGATGAAGAAATTGACTTTGATGAGGAAGAAGAGGAGGATTTTGAGGATGAAGAGGAAGACGAGGATTCCGGAATTGACGAGAAAGACGAAAAAAACGAGTGGTCCAACTTGGCAACAAAGGCTCTGGCTCAGTACAGAGAGGCCAAGAACGTGAAGGTCAATTGGATGAAGTTGGTCTATGGAGGAGGTATCATTTGCAAAATTAGCATTACAGAGTCAACCTTTACGAATCTTTTCAGAAAACGTGATAAAGCAAGAGGAAGAAGAGGCAATCGACGACATGTTCGTTGTCCGCAAACAGAACAAGAAGAGCGTGGACGACCAGGAGGACGGATTCGGCTACCATCAAATTCCGACCGTCTGTTCGACGAGCCAAATCGATTGGAATTCAGACGAGACTCGCTCGTTGATTGCCGATTCGTTTGTGACTGGAAACTGGACAGAAGAGGATGCGGAGGAGGAGAAGCTGAAGAAGGAAATCGGAAGTGATGAGGATGGAGATGGAGACGATGATGAGTTCGATGATGAAGAAGAGGAGGAGGGAGAAGAAGGTGAAGAATCCCGTGGCAAGGATAGCGAAGAGGAGAAAACACGGAAGCAGAAACGTCTCGAGGCGAAGATCAAACTGAAGCAGCGATTCAACGACGATTACGACGAAACGTGCAAGTTCTACAACAAGGCAAAGAATGAGATGACCGAGCAGGCAGACATGAATCGCCAAGTTTTCGAGGGAATGGATGAGGAAGAAAGGGAGAAAATTGAAGGATTCCGAGCCGGAAGATATGTTCGCATCGAGATTGAGAGTGTTCCGTGTGAATTTGTGCAACACTTTGACCCTACCGCCCCTTATATCATCGGGGGACTGCTGCCCGGAGAGCAGAATATGGGAGTTGTTCAGGCGAGAGTCAAGAGGCATCGGTGGTTCGAAAGAACTTTGAAATCCAGGGATCCACTGATTATTAGTTGTGGATGGAGAAGATTCCAGGTGAGAAGGTTTTGGCTTGTATGTGAAATTACTCATTTTCATTCCAGACAATCGCAATCTACTCGGTACAGGACCACAACATGCGTCTCCGCTTCCTCAAGTACACGCCCGAACACATGCACTGCCACGCCACGTTCTTCGGTCCGATCTGCGCACAAAACACTGGTCTCCTAGCTATTCAATCAATTGCCGACAAGACGCCCGGCTATCGTATCGTTGCCACTGGAGGAGTTCTCGACCTGGACAAGTCCACTCAGGTGGTCAAAAAGTTGAAATTGATCGGACATCCGGAGAAGATCTTCAAAAAAACAGCATTTGTGAAGGGAATGTTCAATTCGCCACTGGAAGTCGCTAAATTTGAAGGAGCTACTATTAGAACTGTGGCCGGAATCCGTGGACAGATCAAGAAAGCTATAAAAGCACCGGCAGGCGCTTTCAGAGCCACCTTCGAAGACAAAATTCTGATGAGAGACATTGTCTTCCTGCGTTCCTGGGTGACTGTGCCTATCCCTCGCTTCTACACGCCCATCTCGGATCATCTCCAAGCCGTCTCCGAGCCTTGGATCGGAATGAGAACAGTCGGAAAGATGAGAGCGGAGCTAGGAATGGGCACCCCACAGAACAAAGATTCCGATTACAAACCTGTGGAAAGACGCGAGTTTGAGTCGGCGCCCATCCACTTGCCGCCCAAACTTCAGAAGAGTTTGCCGTTCAAGATGAAGCCGACGTATCAGGAGAGAGAAGTCAAGGAGAAAGACGCGATGATCGCCAAGCACTCGGCAGTGGTGTTAGAGCCGGAGGAGGCAAAACGCGAGAGGTTTATGGAGATGCTCAGAACGTTGAACAATGTCGATTTGAAGAAGGAGGAGGAGAAGAAGGAGGGATACAAGAAGAGAAAGGCCGAGGAGGCAAGTTTTTTTCTATCCTATATTGCAAGGGAAAATACTAACATTTCAATTTTTCAGATGGCGGAAAGCGAGGCGAAACGTGAGAAGAGCATCAAGTCCCGAAAGAAGGAGATCAGTCGTGTGTTGTCGAAAAAAGAGCAGGCCAAACTCAGAAAGGCGCTTGGAACCTCAGCCAGCAGCTCATAATTTTGTTGTTTTGTTTCAATTTCTCTTTTGTTGTTATGATTTTCATACCATTTTGTTTCTTTTCCTTTTTCACTGTTATTGTTATTGTTTCTCCACTCGTTTTTATCCACCAGAATATGATAGTCTACATTTGTTTTGTCTAAAGAATTCTTGGGTTTTCAAACATGCGAATATCTTTAGTGATCAAATTTCTTCTAATTTCCTTACCACCTTTGCACCCAGATGATCGGATTGGAGGCGTGGTTCGCCAACTTTTCGCAAATCTCGAGCCGATGGATCACCGCCCAATCTCTAGCCGACGTTCCCCGGCCCCACGTCGAATACGCGATATTTGCGACGTTCAAAGCAGCTGAGATGATGAGCGTGCTAGGTTAGAGCGATGAGAATGTTCCCATTGAAAGAACTGCATTCAGGCGGTCTTGTTGCGCATCCGATCTACCGCTGGCATTTATCACGGAAATTGCAATCGCGTCCGGAGTTGGTCACTCCAAATACGGAGAAAATTATTCGCAGCGCTTGTCGAAAGCTTCAGGTTCGTATTCAAAATCCATTGCAAAACATTACCATGATCCGTTCAGGGACGTTTCTTGATCGCCGGCCTCGTCGCCGCCCCATTTCTCAGTCGTCTTGAGACCCATTTGTCGGGAATGACGGAGAGCGAACTTAAGAACCGATGTTATTCTATTAGATGCAGCGCCGAAACACTGTCGCTGGTAAGAGCATGACGTTTTTCAAGTGAGGAATGCATAGATGTTTTGAGTTGAGTGCCGGCAGTTCGGGACAGGCTGCCAAATTTACCCGGACAGTAACTGGTTGTCAAGTTGTTTCAACTGTCTAAATTTCTTCTATGGGTCATATTCGTTCAGTTTCGAGTCATTTGAACCCACTAGACTACCTGATACGAGCACTAGAATCACTAATGTCCAGATTGCAGGAGTGCCCTTATGGCGCCGCAATCTGAACATTTCTGACTTTACCCTTTACTCTGATTACAAAGCTTACACTATTTTTGTCTATAACCTAACTGTTCAGGACCGCGCCGTACTCGTTTGCGGCTTCATCGGCTGGTATTGGCGTCGATTCCAGGGCGCGGTTGACGGCATCAACGTGGGCATCGCCTACGCAATGATCAACAGTCAGTTCATCGCGCCTCGCACGTCTCCGGTACTCAAGAACAGTGTCGACGAGGCGGAGAGGTTCGAGACTGTTGAGGCGATGGAAGAGCAGAGAAGCAAGTTGAACAAGTTTCTCGCCGAGCAGGATAGAAAGGAAGAGAAAGCTACAGGAGATAAATGAAATGTTCTGTTGTTCGCTTTTTTGTAAATTATTCTAGTTTCCTAGGTTATTTTCAAGATGTCCTTCTCTTGAGCATGCTTGAAATTTATATTCCCAAGCTGTCTGGCTCACCTTTGATGAAACGTTAGCCGATGTAATTCAAAAGGGCAACGTAGGAAAAATGAAGTTTTTTTTTTGTAAAATTGGTCGATTTCCAATATTTTTCCGGTTGAACCATGCCGAACTGTGCCTTCTAAACGCTTTCTGGGCTTTCTCCTTCCCCAGCGGCGCGATGTTATAACGAAGTGTCGTTGAGAATGAGAGTAGATCATTTTCTACCTGGTAACTTGGACTCACTGATTTTCTGTTGACCGCCTTTTCCAGCTTTGCCGAACGCATTTTCGTATTTTGTTGTTTTAATCAAAAGTAAAGTTAGGGACACAAACAAAGAAAGTAGTGCTTTTGAGTCATAAATATTGATATAAAGAAGCCACCAGCACGCATGCATACGCCCCACAATTTCTATACCAAGGCGCCTGGTGCTACTGAGAGGAAGGAGGCCTCCTCGTCCTCTTGTAGAACAAATAAACATCCCCCCTTCTCCGCCGTCTTCCTCTTTATGCTTAGTATATTTTTCAGAATTTTTCTCTACCGGAAAGGAGTGATGGCATTGAAATGTATATGCGTGCCGGAAATTTGGAAAAATATAGGCTATTTAAAAGTCTTCTAGTTTGTTTAGTACTGATTTTCCACACTATGTTCACGCTCAACTCTAGCACATCTTTCTGCGGTCTTTTGTTTGCCATCGCATCATTGATCCGCTCCAATATTGTAGTCTGACTATTGCGTGCTTCTCTTTCAGTGTTGAAAAAGAATTGGTTATGCATGTGCTTTATGCAATTGCTATATGCTCTCCTCACAGATTTTCTATCTTTTCCACCCCCCTTTACACGCGCTCTGTCTCTCTACTTTATCCTCAAAAATCCATCTATTTTCTTACGTCCACCACTCCTCGTTCGTCACTTCTCAAAAGCGAGCATTTTGTGACCGACCCAATCCGTTGGTGCACTCGACGACGCGACGGCGCACATTATCAATTATTTATCACCTTCTCACACTTCCCAGTGATCCTCTGTCTTTTACTGAAGCATCTCTGAAAGAAGAGGAAGATTTTCGAGATCCCAATATGCTAACATTCCATTTTTTAACTCTATCCATCCACCTCTTCCGTTCACAGTGATAATCAATCATAGATATGCCCTTCATTTCCTTCCGTTCCCATCGCATAGTTCATGTCTGGCGAGAAGCCATTGCTTTTCCTCCAAAACGGATATTAATATTATCCACCGGCGTCGTCATCATCCCTTTCACACACCTCAATTTTTTTGGGATTAGCATGAGATTTTCAGTAAAAACATCATCACCTCAAGCCTTCTTCTTCTTTTAGGCTATTTTTGGAGTAAATATTCGGAGTCTTTTGCGTCGAGCAGAACAGTTCGAAACCCTAACAAGTTGTGCACAACAATACTCGCTTTTCATGCTGACTCAAAAACGTAGTGAAAGGCTAACAATGGATAGAAGAAGCCTAGGGGTTGTGTTTTTGTTGTCCATTCTGCGCCGTCCGTTCCGTCTGGACCCCCACAATTACTGGGGGGACGGTGCCAGGACGTGAGTTTGTTGTTGTTCACACACGGGAGGAAGCGGTCAACAAAGATTTTTATTAGAAAAGAACATATTAACTGCTGGGATCCGAGCAGTCGGCCCACGGCTTCATTTTCTGTCAATGCCTCGTTTTTTGTCATGTGCACCAAGCTCGTGTGAAAAAGTACATAAGCTCTATCCCTTTCTCGCTTTTTCTCTTCACTTTGCAAATCGAATGCGCTGAAAGTGAAAAAGAAGAAAGTGGCGTGGTGACTCATGAGCCGGAAATAGAGAAAAGGGCACTGAAAGGTCAATTAGCTAAGCGGAGAAGCGAGAAGAGCAGGCGAAGTCCTCAACTTGTGCTAACGGAATATTCAGAAGAGCGCTCTCTGCTCACGCCTAGTTAGAAGAGCGGACACTTGAGAAACTGAGAAAATCTCGAAAGTCCGTACACGTCCGGTTCAATTTTCTTGAAATGTTTTACATTGCTAACCAGCGACGACATCTGGCACCATGGCCGGTATACCTTCAAGCATCCGCTATTCTCCTCTCATCTACATAAGTGACCTTCTCCTCTTTCGCTCTCTCTCTGTTCCTCCGTCTCATTCGGTCAATGTTCGCACCTTGTGTACTGCGTGGTGTATAATGTGTGTCAGCCATGGTCTCCGGTTTGGTTGCCCTCTTATTGTCCATCGTTTTCCTCCTGCGCGCTCCTCCACTGACCTCTAGCCCCCTCGGGGGTCGTTCGGGCGGTCCCTTTCTCCCCTACACCACCGACCAACGTCAAATTAATCGTCTGTCTCTGTCAGCCCTCTCAAACACCTGGTGCTGGCTGGTGGTCCTCACACATTTCACTGACAATTCTTTTTTTTTTCGAATCGTCTTGTCGAGCGCCTCAAATTCGTTCACTCCTCTTCGGAAACCGCTTGGGCTCTCAGCTGCCGGAATGAAAACACACTTTTCTGCAGAAACAGCTGTACTCGAGCCGAAAATTGTGTTCAGAATTTGTAATACGTGCGAATTTTTACGTTGCCACAGATATGGGGACCCGCAAAGTGTTTCTAAATTATAAATATCGAATTCTCTGCAAAACGTTATTTTGCTCAACTGTGCTCCGGTAGAATTGCAACACAATTAACATTCGTCATAGTTTGGGTAGAACGAAACGGAATTTGTCCAGAAATGGATCAGAAAAATCGATACAATTTCATCCAATTGCTAGAAATTCCGTAATCAGTCGTTTTCAAAAGCTATCTAAAAATGTAGGAGCTCACATCCAACATTCAACATTAAATTTCACTCTTTCCTGCGTCTCCTACAAAGTAAAAATTTCTCCAATGGACACGCCACATCCAGTGCAGAATGGAATTGCGCTCCCCTTCGTCGCTCCCTGTTATCCGTCGTCCTCACACTCGGCCTCTCCTTCCTTCCTTCCCTCCTTCGTTTCCTTTTGCCCATTCCATTCATAAACTCGTTTATATATTGTAGATTGGTACTAGGACTGCCCGCACGAGAAGTTAACTACGTGCTGGTGTATTGCGCCATTATTCTATTATAAACGGCCCGCTTATGAAGTATAACCTAATGTGTAAATCGTCGGATCATATTTTGTGTGCCTAGCTTCTTTTTCTTTCAAACATGTACTAGTTTCTTGAGTAAAATATGCTTAAAGAGCTAAATTATACGGAGTCCTATTATCCCCGCAAATTTCTGGCAATGTCGCTCTAGCGCAATCTCTCGTAAAAATTCTATCTTTTTCAATTTTGCACTGAATTCACGCCGAGAGCGGTAGAGGGCGAATATCAGACTTCTGCGACTCCAATACGTAATCTAATCTGTTGCAAGTAAATGAGTTTAAAAACGAACCAAAGTTCACCGTGCTGCGACCAGAATTATGTGTTCATTGAGTCGCCAGGGGCAACAATTTCAAAGCATACGTGTGTGGGAGTATTTGCTGGTCGCTTATGGAATTAATTAAACTCTTGCCTTGTTCTTGCTATTAGCTCCTTAGTTGCTTTTTGTTCCAATTCTTTGAAACAACGAGAAAACGGGGGGAAAAACGGCGGCCGCTTGGCGCATTGTTGTCAATTGTCCACAAACATTGAGAGGGGGGTCTAGGAAGGACTGCCGGCCGAACAGAAACGTTTTGCAGTTTTCTAGTCCTTCATTCATTCTTTTTTCAGCTCTGTCTTGTTGTGTTCTACTCTTAGACACACACACACTAAGCGTTTGACCTACTACTATCACATACGCCAATTATTTGTCATCACTGTTGTTTCCGATGTTATTCAATGATTCACGTTTTGTCTCGAGCCACGAGATATCTAGTTCAAATTGTGTTCTTATCACGCCTCATCTTACCTTTTCCTGTTTCTAATTTAAGCTCCTTAATTTCCAGAATGGTGGAAGAAATTGAAGACGAACTGATCCCAAGCCCCCCGGCGTACTCAAACGAGGCTGTAATTGACGACAGTGTTTATGGAGAGATTATTCTGTTGGGGTGCGTTTCATAGACGAACAGTAAGATACTGCTTTGCGTGTTGAAATCTCGTCGACAACCGCCAATTGCAGGTTCAACGGCCAAGTCGAAAACCGTGCCACTTCGAAGCGATACCTGACGAAGAAGGTGTTGCGTCGAAGGGACATTCCGAACGGCATCAAGAAGAGCACTGTGCACAATGTGAGTGCTCCGGACAGCAAACTGATCAAGGACAAAAGACGGCACACCGTCTCGTTTCACAGCGAACAGAACAAGTCGGTGGTGATTGAGTACGGCCCGGATCCAACCAAGGATATGTTTCAGGTAACATCTTCACGTTAAAAAAAAGAAGTTGGCGACTAAGCTTTAACTTAAGACTGTCACATTTTAAAAAGAAATCCGTGTTCAATATATTAGTATGCTTTCAGATTGGTCGCGCCTCGGACGAGCAAATCGATTTCACCGTCATCGACACGTGGATGTTTCTGCCGGAAAACTGTTCGTAACATTGACATTAACTGCTTCTCAAGATTCCTTTTGCAGCCGAAGCAACAGTACCATCTCGTCCACACCTGGAACTTCTGGAGAAGGGCGACAGAACGTCTACAATCAGCCGGTTCGCGTGCCGAATATTGATTGATCGCGAAAATTCGAACAAAGCCTACCTTTATGCTGCTGGATTCGATTCTCATCACAACATTTCAATTAATGTGAGGTCTACTGTTTAGTGAATCATATCGAACTGTATTTTTATAGCAAAAGTCTCTGAAATGGACAAAATCGAACGGCGAAGTGGACGGTCTCACGACGAACGGAGTGCTCATTCTTCATCCGAACAAGGACGATCTGATGGATGACACAGTTGAAAAGCCAATGTACAAATGGAGAGAAGTATCGATTAATGGCGACGTCTACGAGCCGCGTGTCACAAGGAGCTCTTCCTCAAAAGGTGCCTATGTGCCAGAGTGGACGAATATGCTGCAGGACGGCACTCTGATCGATTTGTGTGGAGCCACAATACTATGGCGAACCGCCGACGGGCTTGAGCGATCGCCGAAGATGCGCGAGTTGGAGATGGCGTTGGACCGACTGAACGCCGGCAAACCGCAGTGTCCGGTGAATCTGAACACGCTGGTGATACCGAAAAAGAGGAACGGACGAGCGACCAGCAGAAGGCAACCTTATGTGAGAAGGTTCCAAAAATAATTCTAAACGACCCCATTACAGGTGTACCTCCAGTGCGGCCACGTGCAAGGAAAACACGACTGGGGAGTCAATGAGAGCGGTGGACAGCGAGCCGGCAAGTGCCCGATCTGTCTGGTGGAATCAGAGCGGATTGTGCAGTTGTCGATGGGAATGGAGCCGTCGTTTCACTTGGATTCCGGGCTGTTGGACCATGCGTTCAATCCGTGTGGACACATGGCTAGTAAGCAGACTGTCACGTAAGTTGTGCAAAATAATCAAACCTGGTACACTAGACGAAACTAGACTTTGTCCACTTTCAGGTACTGGTCCCGTATCCCTCTTCCACAAGGCACGTGCCGTTACGACCCAGTTTGTCCGTTCTGCTATCAGCTACTCGCCACAGAGCGCCCGTTCCTTCGCCTCATATTCCAAGACAACTGTTTCGACGATGAAACGGTTCGATTTGTTCAAGACGCTTGAATCATACTTTCTTTGTCTAATAACCATTTTCCTTCTCTTCTCTAACATATTTCCGCCTCCCATCCCCGAAAAAAGACCGGTCAATCTTTTGAATGACGTTAAAAATGTACTATATTCTCCCGTCCCTTATTCTAAAGCTTTATCGGTTCCTCTTGACTGTATATGTATATGAAAATCTCACCTGTCTTCGTAATTTCGAAAAAAATGACAAAAACTGCTTGGCCTTTGCGTGAATGGTCAGTTCAAACTAAGCTACGCGCCACAAAAAGTGTCAGTTTTTGTCCGCTCCTCTCGTCTCTTCGTGTGAAGCGCTCATCGCTGTCCTCGGCAACTTCTTGAAACAGTACTCGAACCAGTTGCCTCTTCGCAACCGCCGCAATTGAAAAGAAATGAAATGACTAACTTTGTTACAATTAAAGTTGCCCTGTCTCTTGTGTCTCCTCCCCCCCTCCACAAATTTATGCTGAAGACGACGGTCCAAATATTTTTCCTTGAAAAAGTTGCCTAGTCGTCATGAAGAAATGGTCACTACAACTCCTCCTTCATCATCTTCTTCTTCTTCTTCTTCTTCTTCTTCTTCCCAGTCTATGCTCAGGTACCCGTCCACCCATTCTTTCATCCTTTCATTCTTTCAAAATGATCGTCATAGGTCTCAACAACTGTCCGACTGCTCCGATAAGGTCGGTAATTCAGCGAGCGGCTGAAACGACACAGGATGCGGTTACACAAATGCAGATGATTCGACGGATACTGGAGGATATCTATGGAGGCACGTGGGGCGTACTGGTCATCAGAAATCCGGCGTTGGTGTCTAAAGGTATAAAATAATAGCACGTGTTGAGAACTTGTGGCTAACAAAGTAGTGTACATCCAGAAGTGCACTGGACTTTTCCCGATCACAACAACTCCGACGGCTCCCCGGCGTTCTGTTTGGCGGTGATCAACCAGTAAGTTCTCGACCACTTCGAAGCACGCAACCAATTTCAGATGGCAATACAACGTCTTCAAGACGGGCCATGTCGACTCGCCACAACGTGTTACCATTGACAACATCATTCAACGCTTCTCGTCGGGAACGCTGCCGAAAACCGGCAAATTGGGCACGTCAAAAAACAAGGTAGAGAGGACACCGCGAAGTTTTTGGAATCACAATTCTTTGATAGGAAACGTTTCTGGACATGGGGACAAAACCAGTTCCGAGACGGTATTCGATTGCACAGCTGGACAGGATGTTAGCCGATGTTTTGGAGGACACTCGTGCTGTAAGACATAATCGATCACCGAGACTTGTCAACTGATATGTACGACTAGATCATTCTCTTTTTTTTGTTCGAAAAACACACGAATGAAACGTGGAATTTATTCGTTATGCATACAGAACTTTTTACAAGCATTGTACGTCAAAAAGTTGTTATAGTTCCCGTCTTGGCCAAAATACGAGAATCGGATGCAGTTGTGAAGGCCCGGTTGATACGCATATCTACCGTAATGCTTGAAGGCTAGACGCTCGGCGCCGGAAGACACTGGCAATGCGCACAAATGCTCTTTCGATGGGCAACAGAAGTTCTTCTTGGTGCATCGGTAGCCGGTTGGACAGCCATTGTCACACTTTTGAACTTTTGCGGCGATTTTCGCGTCGGTGGGCAGTTTGCACATGTTTACTGAAAGTTTAGGATGCTAAATAAATGCAATCGCTCAAAAGTTGGATAGACTAACCAACCAAACTCATATCCTTGTTCTCCACTTGATCTTCCTCTTCCTCTTCGCTTTCCTCCTCGTTCTCTTCCTTCACTTTTCCGTCTTTCTTCGATTTCTTCAGATTTTTCGGAACACACGCCTCGGAACAAGCCTCCCTGCTCTCGAATCGATTCTCATTTCCAGCGCATCCACGGTAGAAGAGTGGCTGACAGACATCTGAAAAATTGCAGAGTGCATGTGCTAAAATGAGCGGAAAACGGCGGACAAACTTGTTCGGACATCAAAATAAAACTTGAGCGTGATCGGTTGATTGTTGCAATTCACACCAGTATCCTTGTCCTGACGGCAATTCACACAAGTCACTGGAAAGTGTAGTCGTTTTACAGATGACTCGATTTGTATGCATACCATATTCAAAAACGGAGAACAAGATGATGAAGTGAATCAGAAGACTAGAAGAAGACATGGAAAGTTGGTGTTGAATGACAAAAGTTGGGTGGTATCTAACAGAAGTCAGAAAGACGACACAAAAACAACTTCAACAATAGGTCTCCTACCACTACAAGGTCTTTTTTGCAGGCAATGGAACAGAAACAGGAAAGATGGGAAGGGTAGAGGTCGAATGGCATTGTATTGTAGTACCCCCTCCCTCCCCTACTGTTGAGAAAAACGAGACAAAGTTCGGAAAGAAGTGTTTACTTTTAGTATTAAACATCGAGATGATTGCAAAAATATTGACAATGAGACTGAAGACAAACAGAAGAGCAGCTATTTCAGAAGCACTCAACTGCTCCTGCTCAACAAGGAAGCTTTCCCATATCATTCCCATTCTCTTCCTTATTCGACGCGGGCGAAACGAAGCCCGAAACTCGCTTCGCTTCGCATCTCAACGCACCGATTCATATCATCAACGTAACGGTCGTTGAGGAAGGCCAACAAGTGTGTGTACATTGTGTGCGTCCTCCTCCCCCATCCTCCCATTAGATAACATTTTGACGATGGGAAGCAGCAGAACCTGCTGAACCTTTCCAACCGTTTTTTTGTTTCGTCTCTGGCCGCCTCCCTCGCGAGTTTGATGCGGAGTCACTAATCAAATTGATAGTTCGACGACATTGTCGTTAAAAAATGCGTGGAACAGGTTCGAGGGGAATCATGGATTTACACACAGATATGGAAGAAAATTGGGTATTGCATATTGGTGAAGGAGGTACGGTATGAGGTACAGTAGGTGTCAGTCGAAAAGTCGACCATTCTACCGTAATCGTACCGTACCCTCCATTGCAGTTTTTGAATCAAATGCGAAAATTACTACTCCTCGTCTTCCTCGTTGCTCTCCTCCTCTTCAGAATACTCTTCGGATTCGTCTTGTCTGCCGCGTGAATAAGAATCGTAGCCGCCGCCGCGGCCTCCTCCTCCTCCGCATCCACAAGACGATGGAGCCGGAGCACACGAGTAGCAGTTCTCGGGTGGACAATCACATTTCGGTGGAAGTGGTGGTGATGGCGGGGGCGGTGGAGCGAATGGAGGAGCAGCGACGCGCGGGCGTGGAGCACAGCCACCGCACAGGGATAGGGACGGTCCTCTGGAATAGGATCAAGTGTTTTTGAGAAGAGAAATATCAGATCAACACCATCTTAGAGTGATTTTTCTGTAGCTCGATGTCTTTAGACACTATTACGCAATGATGATACCCGAAGCGAACCGCGAAACGGATAGGAAAAAAATTGCGCAAAAATTCCATCAGGTTTAGTGTAAAAACCTCGTTTCCGAATTCGACCTCCGCGTGATGACGTAACCATATCATTTGCGATGTAAAGGAGACGATGGAGAAGGAGAAGCTAGATATAGAGACGAAAGAGAACGGACGCATTGATGCATGAGCTTTGGAGTACATGGTTTCATCATACACTAACAAGAGTGCCCAATTCTCGATAGAATTCGTTCGAAAGGGTGCACTGGAACTATAGTTCAGACTTTTTTGAGAAAGAGTGCTTCTGAACATCTTTCCAGATCTCAGATGAAGTCTCTCTCTCTCTCTTCACTCACCCGCATCCACAACCTGAAGCGCCCAGCAGGAACGAGTGAACGACGGTTGTGCCGCACACGATCAGTGCCGCAATTACGGCCAAAGTCGTCCGCATTGATCTTTCGCTCAAAGGTGTTGTGGAAAAAGCGTGGAACGAATCGAAATGATGCCAATGACGGGCGACGGCCAAATTATCGCTCCTCGGCCTCTAAAGCCCTTCTCTTTGCCGTTTTCGATTCACGCGGCTTTTCGTCCGATTCGGTTGCGCGGCAATCTTGCGCAAAAGCTTGTTCTGCGCCAGATAACCAACCCATGGGTGATAATAACACGTTCTACGTGGAATTTTGCGCACCGTTGTACACCTTGAGAGGTTGTAAAAAAGATGGAGGTGGGATTAGATTTGGGCAATGGGTGGGGGGCGGGTTTTTGGAGACATATAAAGGTGGACGGGGATGGCAGGTCACATCATCCAACTCACAGCTTCAGCTTCTTCAGCTTTCGCCTCGTTTTCTGTGCTTTTCAATTTTTATCAACTTTCTCATTGTTCAGAGCTTCGAGCAATCTTCTCACACTCAAACAATTTTCAGCCAAAACATGCAACGACTCATCGTCGCTTTCTGCGCCGTCTCGGCCGCCCAAGCCTTCCTCTTCCCGTCTGCTGGAGGCGGCGGTGGCTGCGGATGCGCCCCACCACCACCACCACCACCATCGCCATGCGGATGCGGAGGCGGAGGTGGCGGCCTCGCTCTTCCACCACTCCCACAACTCCCACCACTCTCCCTTCCATCGCTCGGAGGAGGAGGCGGCGGCTGCTGCCCACCACCAGCGCCAGCTTGCGGAGGAGGATGCGGAGGAGCGCCACCACCGCCACCACCACCACCAGCCGGATACGCCACCGCCCCGGCCGTCGGAGGATACGCTGCCCCACCACCACCACCACCACCGGCCCCGATCGGAGGAGGATACGCCGGAGGAGCTGGACCAATCGGAGGAGGATACGCCGGAGGAGCCGGACCAATCGGAGGAGGATCTTACGCCGGAGGAGCCGGACCAGCCGGAGGAGCCTACGTCGGAAAGTAGATGATGAGACGATGACTAGATTATTCTATTAATTTCGCTCTTTTCACCACATCTTGCTTGTATATTTTGGAACATTGCGTTATATAAATTTTGTTATATTTAAACATTGGGTTTCAAACACACACACACATTCTACTTGCAAAGTAGATTGATTCGATCTACCTGACACGGTTCACGAAGCCTGAAATACTTGAAGCACCTAACTGGGCAACTCGTACGAGTTCAATGACAAGTTTTAAAGGACCAGGGCACTCTCAAAGTTTTTGATTTTTTTGTGTCTTTTCGAATTGTCTCTTATTGCCTCATACACTGGCGAAATGCTGACTCTCAGAAATGCCAATAAACGAAACGGCGTGCAGTTGAAGTTGTGGCCGTGGCCTAGGAAACTCCGGTGTGAAAACTCTTCCCTGTGAGCAGTTTGATGCTCTTGCACTATGCATGGATGCTGATTTGTGCGAAAGATCACAAGGCCTAGGAACTTTTCTGGGCCACGGCCACAACTTTGACTAACTAGCGAATGATCAACAGGTAAGTTGGCCTTATGGGCCGTGACTGACATAGTTCGATAGCTTCTACCAAGTGGATCAAATGTTCTGTTGATCGTTTTCGCTGCCGGCACCCGGATTTCGAGAAAATGGCGCCGGAGGGGCTCGTACAGTGAATGTGGCAATAAGAAGCAATTCAGTCAGACACATATAGGGTTCCCTGGTCCTTTAACAAATGACATCGGATTCAATAGTGCAGCACATTTCAGCGAACATTTTCGATTGCTATGTTGACTCGACTGTTCACAAAATATCAGGTTGCACAGCGTGAGCATATGTACACAACCTTATAACTGATCCATTTTTTTCAGTGACAGTCTTGCAACGGGCCGGGCCAAGAGTTGCGAAATGTCCATGCGTTGGCTGTGTCTATCGTCGATGCCGAGCCGGCTTCCAGTTCATTCCATGCGGATTTGTATAGAGAAACGGCTGAAAAAAGGTTGAAGAATCGAGTGAAACCGCTATCATCATCTTTCCTGCAAATGACCTTGACAAAAAGAGGGTGTACACAAAATCAGTTCAATGAGACAAAGACGTGCAAAAGAAAAAGTCGCATTTACACTTTTCCAGGTAAACTTTTCTCAGTGTAAACCGTGTCTCTACTGCCTACACACTATATCATCCGAACTGCGACAATATAAAAGCGTCGAGGTTCGCCTAAAACTTCACTGCCATCTGCCCCAGTCTCCCGTCTGCAATGGATTTGGATCTGGAACTCAACTCGCGTCTCAAGGCCTACCGTTTCATTGCCTACTCGGCAGTCACTCTTTCTGTGGCCGCTGTTTTTGGAGTGAGTTTGACAAAAAAAAGGTGGCACACCGATCGGTTGGTGATTTCAGATCTGCTTCACTCTTCCGATGCTTCACAACTATGTGGCGGGCATGAAGACACACGTGGGCAAGGAGTTGAACTTGTGTAAGCATACCACGTCTGATCTGTTCGCTGAGATGGCACACATTAAGGTGAGACATTTTCTTCCTCCTCCTTCCTTTTTTCATTTCTTCTTTTGCCAGAAGAGCTCCAAAAACGCGACCCGCTTCGGAAGACAAGCCGGATACGGAGAGGCCGCCGAGTACGACGACGACGCAGCGGTGGAAGTTGGCCCTGCCGCTGTTTCCAGCGGCTCCTGCTCAGGATGCTGTCAGCCGGGACCAACCGGTCCACCGGGACCTCCCGGACAGCCGGGACGCCCAGGAAAGCCGGGAGTGTGCGGAACGCCAGGAAACCCAGGAAAGCCGAGCGGACTTCCTTGCGATCCAGTCACTGTTCCACCATGCAAGCCATGTCCGCCGGGAGCAGCCGGAGAGCCAGGACGTGACGGAGCTCCAGGAGCACCAGGAAAGCCAGGTCAGCCAGGAGTTGGAGGAGGAGCCGGAGCACCAGGACCAGCAGGACCAAAGGGAGCGCCAGGAGCGCCAGGAAATCCAGGAAGAGCCGGACAACCAGGACAGGCCGGAGAGCCAGGAGCCAGCTCAAATGAGGCCGGACAGCCAGGAGCACCAGGACAGCCAGGACCACGTGGACCACCAGGATCCGCCGGAAGCCCAGGAGCCAACGGACAAGCCGGAGCGCCAGGACAGCCGGGATCCCGTGGAAACGATGGAGCACCAGGAAACGACGGAAAGCCAGGAGCTCCGGGAGCACCAGGACAGTCCGGAGGAGCCGGAGAGAAGGGAATTTGCCCCAAGTACTGCGCCATCGACGGAGGTGTCTTCTTCGAGGACGGAACTCGCCGCAGACGTTAGATTTACCAGCATTTTTACGAACGGTAAAAACGAAAATAAACTTTCTGATATTCACCTGTTTTATCACACTTGTTTTATCACAAAAAGCAGGCTCGGATAATAGTCATAATCTTGATCTCTTAATCTTCTATTTTTCAACCTACATATCAGTCTTTGGTAAATAATCGAGGTAACAATAACGAAGATTCTAGGGGCCTGACGCGCTTCTTTTGTGTTCTTTGAGAACTTTGCTCCGGACGTCTGCCTTCACACGACACTGGATTGTGATTACAATAGCCCCCTCCCTATATATCCCTAAAGACCCAAGAAAAAAGATCTCTCAACACTATTTGTTTTTTGGTGTCAGCACCTACCTGCCTTAGCCTTAGACATCCTCGCATCCTATAAAAGCGAGATTAATTCCGGCAGACGCATTGCAATCGTCATGATCGACCCAATCTCCTTATTTTTCGTCACTTTTCACACTTTTGCGGCACTCGTCGGATGCTCACTCAATGCTATCGTCGTCTTTTTGGCTATCTTCCGGAGTCCTAAGGTCGAGTGCAACATCAGCGAACCGTAGGCGTACTTTCCGTGTTCAGGCCATCGCCGCCTACACCACAATTCTGCTCAACTTTGCAATAACCGACTTCCTCGCGTGTTTCACCGACCTTTTCATTCAAATGCGTCACATTCCGGCCGGATTCACGCTCGCCTACACGTCCCGAGGATTGTGCACACTTGTCGGCCCGCACTTTTGTTTCCTCGTGTGAGAAACATCCTCTAGATGGTAGAAAGAACAAGCAAAACCTGAGATCGTTTCAGCTACAGCATCAACATCTCGCTAGTGGCGCACGGTCTGTGGTCGTTACTTTTGGGCTTCGCCTACCGATACTACATACTTTTCCATCCCGCGCCTACTAGAAAAATGCTGATTTTCGTGTTGCTCCTCATTTATATACCATCGTTCGCACAAATGGTGAGAGGCTCGGTGAAACTGAAACACACCACTTGTCGTTTAGTTCATTTTCCTGCTCGCCGACGATGATCCGGTGGAGATCAAGCGAATTCTGATGGAACGATTGCCAGAGTATGAATTCGAGAACGCGACAGTCTACGGAACTATCGATATCATCGAGTTCCCGGCAATGTACACGATTCTTCATATGACGTGTCCGATAACTCCAGTCTACATAACTATTTGGATACTACGAAAGAAAATTATAGGAAAACTGGTGGCAAACACGAAGGATATGTCTACAAACACCCGAGAAATGCACAGACAACTCTTAAAAGTGGGTCCAAGTGCCCGCCGCCGATTTTGTCAAGCAAAAGTTTCAGGCGCTGACGTGGCAAGCGTTGATTCCCGGCTTCTACTTAATGAGCATCGCTTCCTACGTCATTGCTCAGTTCTTTTTCAACCATCCAATCTTCGAGTACACCACACTCACCGGATTTTTGTTCATGCCCGTGCTATCCCCGTTGTCCTGTTTGATTTTCATCCAGATCTATAGAAAGCGAGTACTCTCATGGTTGGTTTATTTGAAAGCGTGCATGTCATTCCGAGAATTTGTGCTATTCAGGTGGTACACTTTGATCGGGAAGCCAATACCCGAAGAATGGCATGCGGTTCTCAATAGCGCCGTGAAAGTAGCCACAACTCCCGGACATGTCTCTAGTGTCATGCAGTCCACCGAAATCAAGTCTAAACATTGATGCTCACAGTGAAATAAACGTTTGAATGTTCGTTATCATCACGTGCTCTCGTCTCTCCTCTTATCGGGTCGCTTCTTCACATTTCCATTCACTTTTCCGTAATATGAAACTTCAATTTCTCCTATTCCTAATCTTCTCGTTCTTTTCACTTTGCCAACCGGCTCCGCGTTTCAACTGCTTCCCAGAGCCCAAATCCATAAGTCAATCTGCTTGTGAGGCAAGAGGGTGTATTTGGAACTCGCTAAGTGCCACTACTGTAGAAGGAGAACCTGTCTGTTATTTCAAAGACGGAGTTGGCTACAGGGTAGCAAAACAGAATGGAACAGTCTACGATTTGGAGAAGAATAATGGTCCTCGCAATCCGTGGGGCGACGATTTTCGGGTGCTCAGCGTTCTTAATGTGGAGTTGATTTCGAGTCGTCTTCCAGAATATTCAACTTTCCACCACAACACTTGGAAGCGTGTTGAACATCAAAATCGGAGTGGACGGACGGTATGAACCGCCCGTCGACTTCCCGAGAACAACGTTGACTTCGCCCGATACTCTCCTATTCACCACCACCTCTTCTGACGACCTTTTCTGGTTCTCGGTGATTCGAAATAGCACGAATCGGAAGATTTTCGACACTTCCCTCGGCGGCCTCATATTTTCCGATCAATTTCTGCAGCTGGCCACCTATCTTCCGAGCGAGAATATGTACGGATGGGGTGAGAATGCGCATCAAACGTTGAAGGTGAGTGGCCATCTCAAACGATATTCCATCGTCATATTCCAGCACAACTTCTCCCGCTATCTCACATGGGGCATGTTGGCTCGTGACCAACCGCCCAACTCCTACACCCTCGACACAATGAATCTGTACGGTGTGCATCCGTTTTTCATGATTCTGGAGCCGGACGGAAACGCGCACGGAGTACTCGTATTCAACTCGAATCCACAAGAGCTCACAACTGCACCTGGACCGTCTTTAATTTACAGAACTATCGGCGGCAACCTGGACTTGTACTTTTTCCCAGGACCGAGTCCGGGGGAAGTGACTCAACAATACTTGGCGTTTATCGGCAGACCATTTCTGCCCGCGTACTGGGCGCTCGGATATCAGTTGTCGAGGTACGGATACAGTGGATTGGATGAGATGAAGCAAAGGATCGGAGCTGTGAGAGATGCCGGCATTCCGTTGGACATTGCGGTCGCCGACATTGATTACATGAATCGGTACAAAGATTTCAGTACGAACGAGGTGAGCGAGAGATGCTAACGAATGAGAATCGAATAGAACGTTCAGAAGTGGAGTGGTTTCGAGGACTACGTGAAACAAATGCACGGTTGGGACATGAAAATGATTCCGATCTTCGATCCGGCCGTCGAAGCCGACTATCTACCCTTCCAACGGGCTCAAGCTGCACACGCCAAGTTTATCGAATGGGAATCGTATTCGCAAGTTCAGCACACGATTCAAAGTCTCTATCCGATGGCGACGAACACGAAAATAATGTTGGGAGTGGTTTGGCCGGATCAACACGTCGCATTCCCGGATTTTTTGGATTCGACGGGACGGACTCAGGCTTGGTGGAAGGACGAGTTGGAGTTGTACCATAGCCGAATGCCATACGACGCGATATGGATTGATATGAACGAGCCGGCGAACTTTGGCACAAATGAACAGCATCCTTGGTACTTTGACAGTGCCGATCATCCGAATGATGCTCCGTTGTTCTGTCCAACTAATGGTTCCAACCGATGGGATCTACCCCCCTATCAGACGCATTCCGTCTACTATTATGGAGGAAATTCGAATGTGAGTAACGCATTGGGCTCATAGACTCTACTTAGAGCGTCTTTTCAGAATGCATACCTCTCCTCGAAGACGGTGTGCATGACAGGTGTCCAGAACAACGGAACTTACCGATTCTACGACGTGAAAAATATTTACGGACTCACAGAAGCGATATATACGCAGCAGGCTCTGTTGGATGTGACCGGAAAGAGAGGAGCTGTGGTATCTAGGTCTGAGATTGCTGATAATCTCACAAACACTCTACACGGTCTCCCAGGGCGCTAATGCTAAACACAGTGCGCTCGTAAATTGCGGAGTGTCGTTGTAACTTTTGAAAATTTGCAGGTCTAAAAATGCAGTTCAATTCGAGTTTACGACCTTTATTTCTATCTTTTTGACTTGAAAAACGTCTAGAAAACAATATTCTACTGATTGGAAACCGTTCTTTACAGAATTTAGAGTTTTTCATGTTTTTAGCGTCTTTTTCGCATTTCGTCAAAACTTCAAACCTATATATTTCAGCTCATTTTGCATTTCATGAGCCCAACGAACGATAAAAATGTTCGCCGAATCTTTCTTCACAAAATTCAGGTTCCGGCGGTTAGTTTTCTTGAGCAGTTTTCGAAAACTATTCGAAAAACATCAAAATCCAGGCCAAAACCTTCAAATCTAAATAACTCGGCTAATTCTCAACGATATGCGAGATTTCTGTTACCAAAACGTAGCCAGTGCTCCAATTATTCGAATCCATGTTGCAAGCGTACAAAAAAATAGGTGTATTGTACAAAAAACATGGAAAGAACGCGAACTCCCGTTGAAAATTAATTAATCGGCCGCCGCGTAAATCGACACAGCCCGCCTGTTGCAAGTGCGCCCCATTGAAATCAGACCGTGCTCTACTTTACTTTTCTTCTTCAGGTCAACGTTTCCCTCGGCTGGAAGATATACTGGACATTGGCTGGGAGACAACACCGCTCAGTGGGAAGACTTGAGAACTTCAGTGATTGGTGCGCAAGAGTTCAACTTGTTCGGAATCCCGTAAGTCATTATCGCAAACGCCAGAAAAGTCGTGATCCTTTTTTCACTCTTGCAGATATGTCGGCTCAGACGTTTGCGGATTTCTGGGCACCTCCAACGAGGAACTCTGCTTGCGTTGGCAACAAATGGGCGCGTTTCACAGCTTCTTTCGCAATCACAACACCCTCGGAGCGCCCGCCCAAGACCCGGCCGTGTGGCCGTCAGTCGCGTCTGCCACAAAAACCGCGAATCTCTTCCGTTATCAGTATCTCCCGTACCTCTTCAGTCTCCATTTTCAAGCCTCCAAAGATGGTCTTACTGTGATTCGTCCCCTCTTTTTCGAGTTTCCAACTGACTCAGAAGTCGTCGATTTGGGATATCAGTTCATGTGGGGTTCGAGAATTTTGGTGTCTCCTGTCGTGTGGCAAGGGGCTGCCAGCACAAACGTTTACTTGCCGAATGTTTTGTGGTATTCTCTGTTCGATTACATGTACGGAAGCAGGATCAGTGCAGGATACAGTACGCTTCCGTCTCCGACCACTTCCAGGATTCCGGTGTTTGTCAGAGGTTCTTATTTGAGGTTGTTCAAATCAAAAACATTGTAATTAATAATTTCAGGCGGCAGCGTAATTCCCCGTCAAACACCAACCGTCACTACCACAATGAGCCGTCTGAACCCGTTCGAATTGCTCATTGCTCCTTGCGATTTGGGCGCCGCCGCTGGAGTTTTGTACTGGGACGACGGACAGCGAATCGTCGACTCTTTCGACTCGCACGACTACCATCAACTCAACTTTTCGTTCAACTCATCAAAGAGCGGCGCAGTTTTGGAAATCACACGCGCTCGAAAGGCTTCCTTCCCGCTGCCGACTCTAAATATTCTGGAGATCTTCAACTATCCGGCGCCGCCAAACTTCCGCTCTTTTCTGCTCAACGGAAAATCGATCAATGTCAATGTTCAGAGCTCAACGTACTCTGGAATTACAAAAACGTTATACATCTCAACAAATGGGCTCATTGATTTGATGTCTGCCGATGTAATCACTCTCCAATGGTCCAACGTTTGAATGTTTTCGATTCTGAATAAAATCAAACGTTTGTTCACGTTAGTAAGCCTCCAATTCTATCAAAACAGAGTGAGTCAAATCTTCATCATAATTGCGACGCTTTGGGGGGTGAAAAAAGCGTGCGACTTCTATTAATTTTTACATTAGCATAGAAAAATCGAAAGTGTTGAAGATGTGAGAATGTTTACATGGAGTGAACTGGTTACAGTGAATGACAATAAATAATCGATATAAAAGTACACTTTTTATACATTCAGGCGTGATTACTTGTGCACTCCGACCAGCAGCGGCGACTTGTTCTGGAGGACAATCGCGTACATGAACGGCTGATCGGCGACGAACAGCTTCACGTTGGGCGTCGGCCTCAATCCGTACTGTTTCAGTTCTTGTTCCGTCGCTTCGTCCTCACTGTTCGGGTGCGTTGATGCGCGAGTTTTGGACCGATTTACTTGAACTTCAATCTTCTGTGTCATCTCCGATATCCAGCAGTCTCGATTGCGGTACAACGAAAAATGATGGGATCTCTCGATGAACACGCCCACGTTTGGATGGAGGGTCTCTAGCATGCTTTTCAGATCAATCCTTTCGTCTATGTTGAACTCGGGAAGAGAGTACTGAAAAAATTAATGAAAAGCGTTGAAATGTGAAGTGATGGTCGAGAAATGTGTTAAGCAAACGAACCCTGACGGGGTGCTTCTCCTTGTTCTGTATGTATTCCTGGAACTTAGTACTCGTCAACTGCTCTAGTTCCCGTTCCAATTTGAATTCGTCTTTCGGCAAGAAGACGTGCAATGCGAGCTGCGGTTTGATGTACGGAATGCGCAGCACCCGGAAGTGTTCGTCTTCCACGTAGAACAACGTGTCGGATTGACACATGAACTGCATTCGGCGCGACGTCGTTGTCGACTCACGAAAATCGGTGATCTCCTCATCGCGATAGAGCGGTTTTCGCCACCTTGCACGAAATGAAATATTGAAGCGAGAGTACGCGCAAATCGGCGGATCTGCTGCGTAGTCGTCGAGACTCATCCGGAAGGTGACCTTGTTCACGACGACGGAATTCACGAGATCATCCGGCAGTTCGCGTCGCCCGAGAGTGCGTACCGAGTGGTTGATGGCCAGGTGCTCTTGAAATGCGACCGTCACTCGCATTTCAGGCGGTGGCGAATTGCCGACTCTGGAAAACGTTGATGAATTTTTTATTCGTGCAAGAAACCGCTCGAAAAGATCAACTCACTCGGTGAAGAATTCGATAAGAGTTGAAAAGTGAAATTTGTCGTTTGCCGGATCTGTGTTGAGCAGCGTAGCATCGGTGAACTTCTCGGACAGAGCTGTTATGTCGATGTCGGAGGTTCCCACCAGAAACCTTGCAATTTCCTCTTCGGTTGTGTGGTCGCATCTCATATTAATTTGTAGAAGTGTTATGGCTACTGCAAGAGGCGAAATGGCGAACGAGCCGTTTCTGCTGAGCAACTGATTTTTCACCATTTTTAGGGCGAATGCCAATTCCGCATCCATTATTGCTGAAAATGACAATTATTAGGAGGAAACGCGTTGAAAAACATTTATCTTTGTAAAGTAAATTCAAAAAGCCGAAAAAGGTAAACAAACAACAACAACAACAACAACAACAACAACATTTAAAAAATTGGCGCCGTTGGCGCGTGTGGCTTGCTGCTTGCGTACTTCTTCAATTAAAAATTTCGTCATGCGCCTTTAATGAATGGTACAGTAATCTGTAAAACAAAATCGCCGTAGACAAAAATGCCATTTTTCCAGTTGTATTAACTCAAGGAGTGTGGGTATTTTCGAAACACGTGTACCAGTTGATAATCAAGATGAAACACAACTTTATACAAACAAACAAAGTGAGTTATTGATGTTTTGGTGTTCGGAATCGGCTCCAGATCCGTTGATACTCCAAATATCGCCTTCGCGCTTCTTCACTCCATCGACCGTCTTGAGCTTGGACTTCTGAGCGTTTATTTTTGGCTTTAAAAGTAAATGACTTCACCATTACCATTATTAAGATCATTCAGAGCTTGCAACAGCTTTTGAAGTTCAATACATTGAGAGCTCTTTCGTACGCCTTCGTTTAGAGAAACTTGCTGGAAAAAAGAATGTCTTTGGCTTTCAAAAACGGCTCATAAGTAAGTTACCGGTCGATCAGTTACCAGAACTTGTTCCATATCCGGAATCTCCGGCCCAATTTCCTCGTTGGCACTTCGAACCTCACATGGTTCTTCTAAAGTCTCGGCGAGCGCTTCCTGATTCACAGAGATTATTCGGGAGTCGGTGGAGCGCGAATACGGTACACGAATGAGCATTTGACGTGAGCCGCATGAGACTGAAATGTGGACAGACACACTCGAGAAATTAGTTTGCAATTCAGAAACAAATCACTTGGTTGGTTGGGTGTCAGAGAGCACGGCATCACAGCAAAGAAAACATCAGTGTGTGTGTGTGTGTGTGTGTGTACGTCGAGGAAGAAGAACCATGCTGGAAGTGATGCGGAAACGTAAAAATGCAAGATACTCTCAACGTTTTTATTATTTTTTCGATAGAAAGAAAACGAGTTCGAATGAGGGGGAGGGGCGGTATCATGCTCACAATTAATTGCACTTTGTGTGTGGATCTATCAAAGATCGATTTCCCGTTTGCACAACATCAAGTTCAAGTTGAGTTCAATGCCAATGTCAAAGTTCAAACCATTCAAATTAGAATTCGGAATAATAGTTACGGTTGGATTGCAGTGTGACCAAGTCGTCGTCGTCCACATAGTGCATCGAGCCGCTCTCGATTGCTCGCCAATAGTTCGAGTTCATCCACGCACGATCATTCTGAAACGAAGCGACAGGCGAGGTTTGAGGATGACTGGCATAAAGGGGCTAACCCTGAGTGTGGCCAGTTCGCCGGCTTCCACTTTGATGGCGTCGTCGACAAACTTGGCCAGGTCCAGGTTCTCGAGTTCTTCGACTGGCACATTGAGTTGATCGCCGAGGTTTTTGACTAGAGCTTTCATAGAAAGTCTATAAAAATTGTACGGATTTTTGCACTACGAGTAAACTCACTTTTGACCTCCAAACCAAATCTGCACATTGTGCACATTGTCCAACTTTCTTCCAAAGTAATGCAACTTTTTCAGTGTGTCGGCAGCGATTTCAATTGCGATTGTGGTGAGTGCAAGCCCGATCGCACAGTATACCAGTGTCACAAACTACAAAACAGTCGTCGTCTACCTGCTCCAATATTGCCTAGAAAACGTACGAGCCAATCGGTGGACTGTGGCACCAGATCGCCGAGGCCAATGGTTGTGAGAGTGACAAAGTTGAAGTAGATGGCGAGTCCGAATGTCATTCCCTCTTCGTAATAGCTCATCAAAAGCGATCCGGCAATGATGTAGATGAGAAAGGCGACAAACAAGACGATGGTCTCAGTGACTGCAAAAAATGAGCTTACAATATCAAAGTCTGGTGTCAGTGTTTGAGCAGAAAAGTGGTGAAGAAAATGAGCGCAAAACGACGTGAAAGTGAGTGAGAGATGTGCTGCTGCTCAACACTTACTGGTAATCACACTGTCCTCATCTTTATCTCCGCGTTTTTCGTTTTCTTTTTCTTTTGAAGTCTGACCTAGAAACTGGCGCCTAACTTGACGTTCCCTGTTAACTTACCATCACTCTCCTCGACGTCCTCTTCCGCTTCTTCGTCTTCATGCGATGATATGTCATCTTCAATCTTTTTCGCCTTCTTTTTCGAGTTCTCCATCAGCCTCTGCGTCTCTTTCACTTCATTCCCGTTCGGATCTTTCCTTCTCATTTTCTTCTTCATCCTCCGGCACATGAGCAAAAACGGTCGTGTCCACGACTTCAGTAGGGTTGCCAAAAACTTTCCGACGTTTGCGATCGCCATCATCGCCGTTGGAATGCCGATTGTACCGTAGATAATGACGAACACGCGACCCCAAAACGATTGAGGAGCTACGTTACCGTAACCTGAAACAGGAAGAGTTGAGTTTGAGTTGGAACCCCCACAAACCGATAGTAGTGATGACGGTGAAACAGAAAAGGATAGCGTCCGTCTTGGTCCACTGCTCGTATCCGTCCACAACTTCAAACTTCTTCAAAGCGACCGCCGCCTTTGTTTCCTTGGCTTCGTCTTGAAAAATTGTGCTGATAATCATAGCTCATCACATGAAAATGTGTCCAAATCTCGAGCCTCCGGGGACCGGTTTTCGGACACATAAAGCGGCAGACAAAAAAAAATGTGTTGAAGTCAAATCTCGATATGATCGAAGAACTGGCTGACTCGTCGGCGAAAAAGAGCGAAAGACTAGCCGAAATATTGCAATACCTTGGGGAGAAGCAGTAAAATAACCGCTTTCTTCGGGGGGAGTGGTGAACCCCAGTGCCTTTCCAAAAAAACCTTACTGACCTTCTGAACTTTTGCTCTCATAAATCGCCTCCAGATTCCGAAGGTCTGACGCGTAGCATGCGTCTAGCAGTGTCACGTTGTTTTGAAGAGAAGTACAATTGCCCATTGAGATTTGCACCATTTTGCGAAGAGCTCGCAGCACGCATTCTTTGGAGCGATCCACTGAAAGAAGGTCAACTTTTTAAAACGCGTTTAGGCCCGACACCACACCAGCGGACAAAGACACACGGCGCCGGTTTAATCTCAGTCATATGTCATCACATCCCTTCCCCTCCGTTTCCCTCTCTTTTTTTTGCCAACACGTGCTCTGTAGTTTGTTGCAAAGCCCCCCGGAGGATCACAAAGCATTCGATGCCAGAAACTCACAAGGAACAATTGGTGGCATCTCATCATCGCGACTGTGCCTCCGCAGTCGAAACGATTCTTCCATCTGAAACGTGACATTGATCTTCTTCGGCGAGCCGAACGCTCACCCACCTTGACTGGAACTTTTTCGATGTACTGGATGAGAAGTGCGCCCACATAGACGTAAATTCCGACGAAGAGCACGATACCCGCGTTGAGAAGATAGGGTTTGAACTGGAAACGGAAACGGATAATATTGTCGGTCGGTGACTTGAAGAAAGGGAAGAGGAAGTGGAACTGCCCCCCAAATCCCTCTCTAACTAGATTAGGACCAGCCCAGTTGTTGTCGTGTGGTCAAAGAATCGCAAAAAGTTTGGAGGACCGTTAGTAGTAAATAAGTGTGACACACTTTGTCACAAACCCATTCCAAAAGCGATACTCGAATGACATTGGCCGTCCTTCTCCCGAGGGTGCTCTCAGGAATCCAATGTTCAGTGGACGGCTCGAAAAAGAGAGAGAGAGAGAGAGAGAGAGAGAGAGCACCCAATTGTTTCATATTTGACGGCAAAGAACTGAACACCCTGAAGGAATTTTGGGCGATTCGACGACGGTCCCTGGGGAACTGTGGGGCCTCGAAGATAGAGAGAGAGAGAGATCTGGTACGTCAAAACAGAATGAAGACTCGGCCGCGTATCTCGACATCTAATCAAGCCGCAATTTGTGCGACATGATAAATTTTTGGAGCGGCAGCTAGACGAACATCCCCCCGCTTTTTTGTCGGAACTTCGAAGAAGGTCGCTCTTAGCAGAGGAGGATCCGCGCGGCGATTTCATTTCAAACGGATTAGGAGAGGAGACAAAAGTCGGACTTTAAATCGAGTTTGGGACGTGTTGTGTGTGCACTAAGCCTCGACGGCGCAGCAAAATACGCTTCAAGGACACTTTTGATAGTCGGTTGACCTGTTCCTAGTTTGCAATTTTTGAGGCGGCTGAGGACGTGTACTAGCAGTCAGCTTCAGGAAGAATGTGAAGACACTTTGAGAAGAACTTCATAGAATCAGAATCTTAAACTGACCTTGGCCAAATCAATTTTCTTCTTCGACACCTTCGCCGACCTCGAATGGAACACCATTTTGAGCAGACAGTTTCAGAATACGCGCTCGTCACACACACATTGACGGTCGGCTTTTTTCCAGAATAGGAATGGAGTACACACACACACACCCAAACACAAAGTTGTGAAACGCCACGAGAGAGAGAGAGAGAGAAAGAGCGCTCCCGCGTTTCCCACCAAAGGGGCGGAGTTCAGAAGACGTCCGCTGTCCACTACGGGTCCATGTTGCCAACGAGGACGATGAAGACGGAGAAGACGAAAAAGAACGAGCAACTATGTAAATCCCTTTGCTTTTTTCCACTCCAAGTGATTGAGTGTATAATCCTCGGTGGTGATAATGTATTATTGGTTTTTTGAAAAACAAAGGGAAAACAAACACCGAACCCAGAATTGTTGATCGCATTTTTGAGGCAAATGTGGGAAAGTGGAACAGTTTAGAATCAATCCGCAAAATCACAAGACCCCCCTCTTCCTTTCAATTGAATTAGTACCCCCCGCCCCTTTTCTAAGCCAATCTCCAATTAACCACCCTCGAGGCCAACTTCTTGCTACACAAGTACACCCTACCAAAGTGTTTTGTTAATCCGGTGGTGATGGTGATGAAGTGAGTGAGTGAGTATCGAATTGCACACTGCACCCAAACGTTTTCACACCACGCAGTTTATGCATGAATCGAAGAACTGAAGGGGGGGGTGTCTAGTTTCATATGTACTTGGTGTGCAAGCGAAGAAACGCGTCGTCATGAAAAGTGTTTGTTTGAGATTAGGCTCTTAGGGAGTTTATCCTTGACTCTTTGACTCTCTCATTCAAGATCAGTCGCCACCACAAAAGGCAATGAATTTAGAAACAGTGATGATCGTCGGACCAAAAAACATCACAATAGCGTGTTCTTTCTGGACCGAGAATAGATGAAAAATAGTTGTGCGAGAAGGAAAAGAGCACACTTTTTTATGATGTGATAATAAATCTTTAGGGAACGAATGCGCGGTGAAGGAGGAGGAAGTTTTGCAGGTTTCCAAAAGCTGGTGGCCGATTCGGTGCCAGACTTCAGGATTTCTCAATGACCCATCTAAAAAGCTGAGAGCTCTTTGACGTCTAGTTCATGTATTCCATCGTTTTATTTTTCAAATGGCCTTGCTATTGGATCTGAAAGCGCCGTCAAAGATTTAGAAAGTCATGACCATTTTTCATCGTCATCATCATCGTCTTCCGGAAGGAATTAGGTATAGGGGGTAGAATTGGCAGAAAGTTGATCCCTCATGACTTACGACCATGTTTTTGTGTTTGTCTCTTCTCTTGAGCCAAATAAGAAGCTACTCACTTTCTCAAATCGATCTTTAAATGAGCCCATTTCGCATATCTCCTCAAGTTCGTTGATGTTGACAAACCTGGAAAAAAAACGACGATTGAGACGGGAAAGGAAGAAGAAGAGGAAAAAGTTGGAGCATAATTAGGAGAAGCCGGGCAGCTTTCTCTAATGAGCTCACTGCTCTTTTCACCTCATCTAGACAGGGGGGGGGGGCGAATGAAAGGCGAAAAAGAGTAGAAGAAAAAAGACAAAAAAAAGTTATGAAGTAGATGGTGTGGGGAAGGGAGAGCATGAATGATAAAATAGAAATGGAGCAGTGGAAGGAGGATGTACTCGCAAAGAAGATCGTCGTTTTTGGGGGGGCCTCGTAGACGTGTAGTGGTGGTTGACTAGCGACAAGTTACAGTAGCCCAATGCGCAGTCCATGACCAGTTTTGCAAAGTGACCAGAGTTGAGCGGAAGAACTCAACGGAAGAATTTTTTATCTTTTTTAGAAAATTTTTTCATGGAATGTGATCAACTGACGAAATGTATAGAAAAGTGAACTCTGCTCATAAAAAAATAATTGTAAATTTAGCTTTTCATACAAAAAAGTTATTCGAGTTGTTCCGTGAAAAAAGGACTAACGAAAGACGGAAGGACAACAACTCGAATAACTTTTTTGTATGAAACGCTAAATTTACAATTATTTTTCTATGAGCAGAGTTCACTTTGTTATACATTTCGTCAGTTGATCACATTTCCTGAAAAAATTTTCTAAAAAAGATAAAAATTCTTCCGTGTTCTTCCGCTCAACTCTGAAAGTGACCGATTTCAAGCCAACCCCTGCCACCGGATGTTTTCCTTTTGACCACAATTTGGAAAATGAAATGCAAATCAAATCAAATCCACTTACTGCTTCTTGATAGACGGTCTAGGCCGTGGATTCACTATTAGATTCACCATCTCACACTCGTCTGTTATTGTTGTCGACCGCCTGTTAGAGGTAGAGATAGAAGACGAGGAGGAAGTCGTTTCGTCTCGCATTGTTATCACAAGTGCACTGATTGACAGAAGGGCGAGGGGGGGGGGGGGTCTAACAAAACCTCATTAATCATTGTGTGGCCCGTCCCGGCAGGACGAAACAATGAAACATTATTTCGTTACAACAAAACACATATTGCGTATGTGGCAGGAGTGATGCTCCGCCAAGCGGCCCCGCCGGGCCTTCGCATCGACCTTTTGATGGAGATTTATGAGGAAAGAGCGAAAGAGCGAAAGAGTTGAGTTACTGTACGATCTATGTAGCTACTAGCTAGTAATAATCTTGAGAAATTCGATTTGTGAGCAACGAGTAGGAGTGAGGAAGCGATAAATAATGTGAGCGGAACGGAATGTTGTAAAAAAAAAGAAGTCGTTACAGGCGATGCCCTCCTCCTTGCGAACAACACAACGACATTATCTGCTTCAAAAACAGACAGCTGACTAATGGCCGACAATTAATGGATTACGAGAGGCGAAATGGAGGGGGGGCTCCACACAAGACTCGGATCTCCAGAGGAAGAACTTGAAGAACAGAACCGAAAAAAACAAAAAGTTTTATGACGTACCTTCCATCCGAGTCCAGTATTTTTATCGGTTCGTCATTGGTGTTATCGTCGTCTTCCATATGAATTGGAAGCATTTTTCCAGCCACTTGTACTAGTGAATGTGCAAGAAATGTCAAGGAAATCAAATATGAGGTGTCAAATGTACATTTACATTTCGAAACGTCCTACAAGTCCGAGCACGCAATCTAACAGGGGGGAAGGGTCTGATTGTAAGCGAGCTCAAAGTGCATATGACTCTCTGGCGCTGAGAGCTATAAACTAGGCGGCAAAACGAGTTGGCGAGGTGATTCATCTATCTTTCGTTACAAAAGTTGTCAAAAGTCAGTTCTTGACAAACAGGCTGAAATATCCAAAGATCTGTGACTCGTTGCAATCGAAAAAGCTCCATAAATATTATTTGAAAGCAGGCCGGAATGCGGAATAAACTTCGTCGAATCTGAGAAGTGTCTGGGAGGTTTTCCGTAAAAATATAAACTAAAAACAGAGGCATATGGATGGCGGTGGGGGGGCTGGTGGTCCGGCGCATGTTCGATGATAATGACACGTTTTGAGAAGGGAATGGGATGAGCGCATATATAAAACACATCTAGGTATCTTTTTGTGCTCTGCGAGTGAGTAAAATGAAATCGAGCATATGAAAAGGGCTCAAGCTCCCAAAATCGAAAAGCTTTTATTTACGTCACACACACACAAAAAAAAGTATAATCTATCTGAGAAAAAGCGACTCTATTTCGAACGAAACTATATGTATAGGAGTAGGAGAAAAGTGAGCGGCAAAAATGGTGGTGAATGAGCCGACGGAGTTGAAAGTGATACGCATGGGAACACGGGGATGCTGACTTTTGTGATCATTGTGTGCTGGGGGAGAATATTATTATGAAGAGGAGGAGGAGGAGGAGAAGAAGAAGAAGAAGAAGACGTTAGCCGACTTTGAATCCGTAACGAGCCCAGTAGATGATCTGAAAAGTTGGCGGATACTGTCTTTGACACAACTCGGCGCCTACATTGAAGATACTGAAGCCGGCCGGAAACGCAAATCGCGCAATTCTGTCGACTTTCTCAATAACATGCTCTTTTTCGCGTTGCATTTGAAGTTTGTAGCCGACAATCGCCAATTCGATTAGCGAGAGGAAGACGAATGTCATCGAGCTGAGCATCCACACATCTGGAAAGTGTTTTGAGAGTTGGTTGAGAAATGAAGTCGGTCGGTCCCTGCTCACCGATAGCCTTAATATACGAGACGCGTGGCAAGTTCTTCATGATCGATCCAAAGTGGAAGATCATCGAAAGCAACGCGTTGACGCCGATCATAGTCCTGGGTGTGATTGCCTGCGGTCCCAGGGAGAATGCGATCCAGCTGTAAGAATTGTGTTCCAGCATCCCGAACGATCACGTTACCTAATGAATATGGAGAAGAAGGTCGGCAGGTAGGCTTGCAGGAAGTACCACATGTAGCGCCGTTCGAACACGAATGTGACGACGAGTTCGTCCCAGAGACCGGCGGGGTAATCCTGGAAATGGCAACGCTCAAATAGTTGTGATTCTCTAATTATGTAAGTGTCTGGGCTGTACACATTTAGAATGTGAATAAAGATGACGTACGTTCGTCTCCATTTTCATCACATTCACACTTCCACTTTTACGATTTACTAAATGTTCATCCCTTCATCTCAATTTGGCCAAGTACACATCTTCCCATTGATCCGATTTACGATCGCCGACCTACTCGCTTGATGACAGCCGGAGTGATGTCCTTGAGCCAGAAGTCTGCGATTCGTATCTATTCAAAAACGACAAACATCCTGTACGGAATGCGTTTTTTTGAGGTGTACCTCTTGCAATGTGAACACGGGCGATCTTTGACTGTTCCACTGGAGGCGCACCTCGTCGTTGTTGTAGGAAAAACTTTAAAGGGAAACTATACAAAAATACACCTATATACGCCACAATAAGCTGCTCTGTGTAATACCTCTGATAGTTGAGCCGGCATGATTGTGTGTCCATGGGGAAATCCTCCAAATCCATACTGCAAGGCCCTTTGACACGAACTCTCTGAAACTCACAAGCGTCGTGTCACAACGCTCTAATCCCTCGTGCCAACTCACATAATTGACCCAAACGGTTCCGTTATCGAACAACGTTAAAAAGACGTTTTGGAACGGTGACTCGTAGATTTCCGCGAATTTCGAGTTCACAAAACATGTATTAGGTGTCCAGAGTCTGTGGAAGGTTCATTTACATTGGGTCTATGAGAATTAGTTACTTTGTGAGTGTCTGCTGGTCCAACGTCAGATTCGCTTTACACGCGCCCAAGTGGGAGAAGCTGGAAATGGGATTTTAGAGCATACTACGAAGGCAGAGTGCTTGTTCTCGATTATCAATTATACCCAAGGCGTGCCTATTACCCCTTGTTCCGTTCAAAACTCACCGTAAATTCGGATCCGTCCACATTTCATTGATAAACATTTCCAACTCGAAATCATTAGTCATCTCGGAAATCGAGTTGATCTCCTGTATCCAAAACTCCACACTGACCGTAATTCCTTGCTTCTCTGAATAGTGTTCACAATCTGCCATGAATCAGCTAGCATACTCACGCGGCAGTTTATGCTTACTGTAGTCGTTTTGTCGAATTAGCGTATCCATGAGTTGAGCCTCGTTGAGACACTCTGGACGCAACTCGTAGACGTCATGAGCGCCCACGGAAGTTAAAAACGAGTGGAAAGGCAGGGGAAGAACAAGAAGGGAAAGGAGCATGTGTGGTACGCACATCTAAAAGTGAATGGCTCGGCTTCTGAAGAAAGGGAGGGAGGGGGGGGGGGTCTTTCCCTCACCTCACATAAAAATTATAATTGGAAGGCGCGGCGCACACGGGAATGGCGGAAGAAAGCCATTGACATCCGGCTCTCCAATTTCAAAAACAGGAAGTTGATACTTTGACCGTAGAGTCTTTGAACACGAATAAAGTTGATGTGCTCTGTGGGTGCAAAAATACACCTGTCTTGAGTTTCGACCAATCTCCCCATAACATTTTTGGGTGCCCTTGGGGACTTGAGACTCTGTCCCGTACATTATCATTATTTTTTCGAGCTCGCCTATAATAACTGGCTAGACTCGTCTTCGCCCCATTCAAACTTTTCGGTCGTCGAACCATGTCGTCACTCTATTCGCTGGAATGGTCGTGTCTCGCCTCGCAAATCGGATTCGTCTCCACCTTGACCGTCAACTCGTTCCTCGTCTACCTGATTTTGAGGCATACGAAGCAGGTGTTCGGCGCCTACAAGTATCTAATTGTCGCCTTTTCCGTAATGGGCATTCTGTTCGCCACCGCCGAGTTTATTGTGAAACCGGCAAGTGTGGACACCACTGTAACACTCTGTAAACTTCTATTGTAGATGACACACAATTACAACGCAAGCTTCACATTTTTCACAATCTCCACACCTTTTGGTTGTTCTAAAGAAGTGGCCATGATTCTATTAGGTCAGTTGTCGCCTTTTCACTTCCCTTCACACACGTTCTCCTCATTTTCAGCTGCCTACTCGAGCACGTACGCCGCCACTATTTCCCTGCTCGCCGTGCAATTCGTCTACCGCTACTGGGCCGTTTTTCAGTAATTACATTTCCGCTCGACCTGAAAACGTGTGACAAATTGTTCAGTACTCGCCGCATTGCTCATTTCAACGGTGTCCGAATATTGGCGTGGGTGTCTGTTGCAATGCTTTTCGGTGTGGACTGGAGCTCGTCGGTCTACTTCCTCGGAATGTCGGATGCGTTTTCTGACGAATATTTGAGGTAGGCGATCAAGTTTGAGTCCTGGAACATGTCATTTTCAGCGCTGAATTTGCCGACAAATACAACCTCAACATGTCTACTCTGGCCTATTTTGCAGCCGTCGTCTACGTGAATAACATTCTCCAAATGCTTAGTTAACGTGTGTTTAGGATCAGCCTGAAAAGCGCATCAGATGGCGAAGCGTGATGGTGATGGTGAGCGTGTCGAAAGTGGTCGCCATACAATACGCAGTCATGATATTCTGCGGAACACGAATGCATCGAAAAATGGGCGAGAAGCTGGAGCAGTTCTCGATAACCAATCGGAGAATGCATCAGCAGCTTTTCAAAACGTTGGTCGTACAGATTACTGTACCGACGTTTGTGCTCTTTATGCCAACAATGCTCATGTTTCTAGTTCCATTCTTTGACTGGAGTATTGGAGTCGCAACCGGAACAATTCTGTGTGCTCTTTCTTTGTATCCGTTCATTGATGGGATAATAGTCATTTGTATAGTTTCAGACTATCGCAAGGCTACGAAAGGTGAGCGGTTTTATACAGTTTCAGTGGATAAACAAGTCATTCAAAAGTCATAGTCCCCTGAACCTGATTGTTTTACAGAAATCCTCCAATCTCTTATTTTCGGTATCACGTGTCAGCGTGTAGTCGTTGTCCAACCTCAAAAGTATGACATTTCAACAAGCGCCGCCAATGAGACAATCAGACGGGCCAATCGGGTGGAATCCAGTACGCGATTCACTGCTTCAAGTTTCTGATGACATTGTTTTTTTTTTTTTGAAATGAACAATTTTTTTAAAGTTTCGCCATTTGCTCGTTTGCTCGAACGGCGTTCAACAGGGTGTCTAGCTTCTTTTGAATGTTTTCGTCCAAGTTGAAGTAGTGGTCGGCGTCAGGGATGCGGATGAAATCCTTGTAGTTTGAGGTTATTCGGCTCAGTAGGTCTACAGAGTTTCCAATTGGAACGATCTGAAATAAGTGATACTGAAGGATTGCAATTCCTGTTTCAAGTTTACATTATCCCGTTCCCCATGAGCAATCAAAACCGGGCAATTGATCTCAATTGGTCCGTTCCGCGCACAGATATCAGTCTTCACATACTCCTCCAGAGACGGCACATTCAACAGAGCCGGATGACCGTTTCTCGATGCTGGATACTCGATGAACCCGGTTTCTAGAAGCCGCTGAAATGAATATTACAGATCAACTGAAATGAGTGTTAGTGAGTACCTGAAGAGTTCCGGGCGCGATACCTTCCACAAACTCCAATCCTAACGCTGTCCCGGGGCACATGAGAAAAAGTGCGGAGACTTTATCCGGCTGCGACTTGGCAATGTTTAAGGCTGCGTGAGACGCTCCACTTGTAGCCATTAGGATCCAGTGTTCTTTGTTGGCGCCTGAAATACTCTGTGTTCACTTTCAAAGAATCTATTTTTTCCGGCCAACCGACAACCTCTCTATTGTTTCTCGGCCGCCCACTCACAGTGGTCGCAAGGTCTGATCAAATAACATCACTTTTGTACTAACTATCCTTCGACCATCTATCTATCATCCGGTTCTTTGTCATGTGCCTAATGTGTCTAGGGGGGAGGCTAGAGGTTGAACCTTGGGATCAGGATAGTTTTGTCTACCATCTACTTTTCACTTTCATGAGAAACGGCTGATCAAACGTTGAATGGATAGGCTGTCCATCCGGAAGTAAGCATTAGGCATTACTCACTATTTCGTTTTATGAAACGTGGTATCTTAGCGGAAAGAAAAGCGGAGGAACGTGGGGGTAAAATTCGATTAATCTTTAGGCTTTAGACTAGCAGGTATTGACGGAAACAAAGTTAGTTTCCTTCATTCACATACTGCTGTACATATATGCGGGTTAGTTAGTACATTCTTGATTCAATTTCACTGGAGTAAACCTCGTCGTTATCCAACAAACGCTGCTCAAAACCTCATTCCCTTTCGCACCTATAGGCTTCGTTTGGTTGCAAAACGTTTCAGAGTTGCCCCCCGAACAAACTATATTCTCCAGACATCAAGAGCGCCTTAATTCGGTTTTAAGTCCTCCATCTCGCTTCACACCCACCTAGACGACACACCTCTCGCATTCCCGCCCACTCTTCCTTGTCCGAAGCTAAAGAACACTAGAACTCAGCGATCGCGAACCTATTGGTGCTCTTTGATTGAGAGCGGAGACACTCTTTGCTCTCTTTCTCTTTCTCCGTTTCGTTCACATTTCCTTGTCGCCTGTCTGTGTCGGAATGACGATATAATCCTTTCCGCTCTTGATAATGATATTATCACTATCATTTTTCGGCCGACAAGACGTTTGTTTTCACCTTTTTCGCGGATCTACATCACGGTGCAACTCACCAATTCGTTGCTCGATATCACTTCTCCACTCGTTGATATTCCACACGTGATCCAATGATCCCGGATTCTTGTACACAAATCTACAATAGCAGAACATCGCGTTTATTTTTCGACTAGACTTGTCAATAGTACCTTTCAAATAACACATCCTTGTGCTGTTGAAAGTACGCCTGAAGCTGAGTTGCATGACGGCAATTGATCGACGATCCAAGGCCGTGACAGTAGAGAACGTTCAGTTTTTTGAGAATTTTTGGCATTTATCGTATGAAATGATTCTGAATCAACAACAAAGTCACGCAAAAAGCAAGCATTTTTTCAAGATTTGAAACACCTTTGCGGAAATTTACTTGTCTAGCAGAGAAAAGAGCAATGTTTGCAATGTCCTGAATTTTTTTCCGAAACCTACTTACCGAAAAGCAGTCTGGAGACGCCGACAACTTCCCAATTGATAGTGGAATTGAACGTCTTCGGCTACACGAGTTGGTCATCCGTCTTCCGACGAATCGCGGTCGTTTCTCCTCCTGCGCACGTTCTATTGACCTACTCTCTCGTCTCGGATGACCATTGGTCGTAGCGAACATTAACGGGACTACATGGAAGAGAATTAGAGATGGAGAGGACGAGAGAAAGAAAGAAAGAAAGCGGGAATGATTATGAAAATTAGGAATAGTATTTATTTGATTTAGTATGCTCTTTCCCCCTCGGCGGCCGCCAGGAGCAGCTGGAAAAATGAGCGCAAAGTCAATAAGCACCTAGTTTGTCCTCCAATAAAACATCGACCTACTTTGGACTTCTCTCTTCTGCTTTCTGCTCCGAAACAATATTGCAACTCAAGTTTCCGAGTAATCTTGTGACTCATTCGCCCATTTTTCGCTCTCATGAACTTTTTATGCTTTTCACACACTCACACACACATCACTTTGTTAGCTCCCAAAGGGGCGAATAACAGAGATCCGCTTGGCGTTCACTTCTCTCAACGGCAAACTCGAACGGCTCACGTAGGCCCACAAAGTATATAGACAAAAGGAATCAACTGGGGAGAGTTGTGCATCTACTCGGCAACTTTTAGAAATTACGGGGTTGCTGTTTTGAAAGAGTTTACTGCATAGGATACGCAATGCAGCTTACTGGTCAGACTGCGATCTCGTTCGACTATACTGCACTTTCGTGGAAAGACAATAAACGCAAAGCTATTTATATCCGCTTTCCCCCCGTACAGTACAAAGTCCCACATCTCACATCTGTCTCGATCAACTCTGGTACATATGCTAAGCCGTGTCCAATCGCAATCTCTCACCTCTTCATCATCCGCCCATTCGACATTTTTCAATAGAAACATATTGGTCAATACAGCCTTCCCACGCTCTTTTATAAACATTCACGTGCTTGTTCGATCTTGCTCTCCGTCCACAAACAGTGTTATCTCTGACGTTCACCTTTTGTCGCAACTCACGTGCAACCGAGATTGTCGCTAGTTTTTGAACGTCATTTTTAAAAAGCTAACAGAGAAGACGTTTCCTCCCCGCTTCTTCCTCTTCTTTCTCGCGTCTACGTGGTGACTTTTGGTCCCTCGTCTCATTCTTTCACATCCGAGTCACAACGACATGTCGCCTCCTCTCTTGTACAAATAAGCAGAGCGATTGATCTACACCAGTGTCTCGCGCCCGCCCTCCGTTTTGTTGCACTCTCCCGCCGCCCGGTAGGGTGGTCCACGTGTGTTCTCTCTCCATCTCTATGTCTTCCACCTTTTTTTTTTGTCTATTTGTTGCCATGTCATCCTCGTTCTCGGACGACGCGCCCTCTATTCTTCTTTCTTCTTCCCCCCCGTCTCCCGTTCAACTGCGCGTGGCCTTTGTCGCACACGGGACAAACGATGGCCACACAATAATGAGTGCAAATTTTGTCGCCGCCGGGGGGGAGGGCCAGGGCCAAAATGTCTTGTCGGAATGATCTGATGATGGTGCCACGTGTCAACAAACACCTTTTTCCTCTTTCTCTCTCTATCCGCTCTCTACTGTCTATGCCCGATTTGTGTACATTGCCTTTCGTTCAACGTGCCTGCGTCTGTGTACTCTCCTATCATTCTATTACCCTTTCTTGCTCTGTTTCCATTGCTTTTGTGCAACGACTTTGCGACAAAAAACTCGTTCATTTCATGCATCAATCAAAGCAATCAGTCACTTTGATGTAGAGTTCGACTTCATCCTTGCACGTTTTCGAGTTGATCACCGTTCCGTACTCGTGCGAGTTCTCCGTAAACGTGGACGGAGCATGGGAGTGGAGAGAGGCCATGGAACGGGATCTGGGAAGATTTTCGTAGACGGTCGACTGACAGGGCGAGACTGCTCGCGGCTGAGCGGGAGTAGCGATGCCGTGAGCGCGATTGAACTCGAGCAAATTCACCATCGACCTGTCCTTTCTCGCCATGTTGTCCGCGTAAATCCGATCGGCGAGACTCATGGTAGCGTCCCAGTTGGTCGTCGAGGTGTCTGAGGAGTTGGACAGATCGGTCGACGAAGACTTGGCCGACGGAGGCAACGAGTTGTTGGCACCATACTGAGATGTTGACTCGTGAACTTAATAGGCGGTTAGCAGCTGCTCACCAAGTTGGTTCTCGACGAGATGGGCGCAATCTTTCCATGCTTGGCGAGCGTGATCGGCTGGAGCTGAGAGGCGGAGAGCCGGCTGCCGAGCGGCACTCGATCGTCCACGTCGGCGAGCTCTTGCAGGTACGCCTTGTACGACATGTCGAAACTTTTGTTCGGGGGAACCGACGAGAAGAACGCGTTGAACGTGGCTATTATTTGACTCGCCGATTTCTGAACGCTCTGCAAGGAAATGGAAAGACTGGTTAACAGAAGAGGAGCGCGTTGCCTGATTTCCCTTTTGATCAGTCATTGAAAAGTTCACTCCAGGCCAGAGACGGGTTTGTTTCTCGCAATAAATTATTGCAGGAAAACGTTCGTTGAGCTCATAGAGGCCACGTCATCTAGGAAGAGGAAGAGGGGTTAGTTAAAAGTTTCGTTACACGTTCTTATTTCTCTTTGTCTGTTCATTTGATGTATTTTCTCAACTGTCACGCTTCTCGATCCCTTTTCTTTTCACATCTAAATTCACAATTTGAACCCGCTTGATTCGTAAAGGTGTCTGTGTTCATCTCGCACTTCTTCAAGTTTCATTCAGTTTCCTGGTTACACCATTGTACTGCTTTTGCCAAGTCAGCGCGTACAGTGATGTACACAGTTCACGACCACTATAATTCATTTGTAATCCGTTTCATCACCTGTCTTTTCTCTTTTCATTTCTTCTTCTGATATGCTTCCTCTCTTATCAAGTATCAATTATCAATTCAATTCACCTCAACCCGCTTTTCCGTCTCCCTGTTTCGCGCACTATCTCTCCGAATTTCGTGACGCAAAAACGAGTATAGAGTAGAACATAGATAAAAAATTTGTGTGTGTGTGTGTGTGCAACTTTCGAACAATCTTTGGTTTATGTATCACTTACCGAGAGAGGTGTGTCATTGATTTGCATCCGGGTTTCGGCGGTGAACCCCCCGTTTGATGGTGGTAATAACTATTTGCACCCCCCCAACTTCACGAATCATTTCTTTGATATTGCGTTCTGCGGCCTTACGTGGCCACTACTGGCCGCCGCAGGATTACGGTAGCCACGTAGTGTCAGTTTTCTTGAAGCGCTCTACCGTAATCCATTGTGAGACACAGTGGTTCTCAAATCGTTCAACTAGAAGACAGACACACTACAATTCAGTTTGGCAAGGTAAATTAAGCTGACGCTTCTCGATGTTTGTTTCTTTCACATGTCTGTGAGAACTCCACAGCTCGGGTGTTTGTGTGTGTGTGTGTGTTCTGTGAGAGTTGTTAACAAATAGGTGATTTCCATTCGTTTAGAATTCACAAAGAAACATAGCTTTTTAAAACTGAGGCTGAATATCAAACCCGACCTCTTTTGCTTTTCCTACTGTAACCGTCTATCAACACATCCGATCTGCGTGTTTCCCAACAAAAGTCCGAAAAATTGAACTTTCTCGTCGTCTTTGTCACGTCTCACCTCTCCGCAAACTTGATCCGAATCGTTTCTACGTCACAAACAGATTCGATCCTAACTGATCGTCGGTGCGTTTCTTGATCTGATCTAGATCCGTTGTACTTGCACCAACCGCATCGTCCCGATCGGCCACAGAACATTCTTGATACCCATCTTCTTGTCTCTCTCTCTCTTTCTTTCTTTCTTGACTTGACTGCCGTGACGTAGCCAACTTATCCCACATCTCCGAAAGAAAGGTGGTGGTGGTGGCCATGTATTTCTTTCTCTCTCTCTCTCTCTCTCTCTCTCTCTCCGTGTATACCTTCTTCTTCTTCCTCTATTTTGTCCTTTCCATTCATTTTAACGCGTTCAACTTGGTCGAGCGACCTTCTGTCCCCTTATTCCTTTTCTTGATACTTTCATCTTTTGAGCCGTGCTCAATGGACGCGCCAGGATGCTCGCAAGTCTGCTCATCCAGTGGCTCTGCCGATTACGATTTGCCCGAACTTCCATCAGTTCTTCCGACGTCTCCAACTCGTTCCGCTTCCAATGCCAAGTCGAGTTCCAAGTCGGGGCAACCAGTACAGAGACACGCGAGACCAACAGAGTGCTCGATCTGTGGGAAGAATGCAAGCGGATACCACTACGATGTGCCCTCGTGCAATGGCTGCAAGACCTTCTTCAGAAGATTGTGCATTTCCGAGAAGAACTTTGCCTGTAAAGCCAACGGGAATTGCTTTGATTTGATGGTCAGAGGTCAGATGCGAATCACATTTTAACCATGTCCAATCCCAACCATTTCTATTCAGACAAACCCATCAAATGTCGAGCGTGTCGCTACCAAAAGTGCATTTCTGCGGGAATGAATCCGCTAGCGATGCAAGTGGACGAAAAAGAAGCCACTGCCGGGAACTTTAAGAAACTCACGAAAAGACCAAAGCAGGAAAGTATAGACGAAGAGATTGAGGAGGATGAGCATCAACACGATAAGCGAATAGTGACGAAACAGACAATCAACGAGTTGAACTCGCTTGAAAACAAGATGCAGAAGATGGTGGATCTGCTCGTGTACTTGGAGTCCAAGGTCGAAAAGTTCCGAGCTTCCTCCTACAACCCGGATTGGAAGACCATGACGGGATTAGAAGGATTTTTGTTGAGCTCTAACCAAATTTCAGTGGCTGATAAGGCGGGTCCGATGCCCGGATGGCCGCTAAAAACTGATTGTTCTCCACCGAAACCTCCAAACTTTGCGATGCAAAAAGGGCCACAGTACTCTCCTGATCGGTAATAATAATAGCTAAACAATAGTTATGCGTCAACTACTACTAAACGTTCAGAAAACAATGGCTCATCTTCGATCTAATGACTACTGTCGAGTACGCCAAAACGTTCATGTTCTTCCATCGTCTCGACCTCAGAGATCGGATGATTCTCATGCGATACGTGACGCTGGCTATTATGAATCTGCACATTTCGTACTTCACTGTCAGCAAGAAATTCGACACCATCATTCATCCGGACGGAAAATTGGCGCCCCAAAAAAAGTGGGTTGTGATTAGATCGTTGAAGAGGTAGAGAAGAACGAGTTGTGTTCAGAGGAATGGTGTACGCTGAAACTGTCATGTCGATTTCACCGCTGATCCGATGTGAGATTCAGTCGACAGAGTATGTACTTTTGAAGGCGATCACGTTGTGCAATCCGGGTGAGCATTTCGGGAAGAGAACGCTCTTCTTTTTTGTATCAAAAACCCACGTTTACAGCGGTGCCCGACCTCTCCAATCATGCTCAAGAGATCCTTTCGGGTGAGCGCGAGCAGTACGCCGACGCTCTTTTCGATCATTGTCTCCGAAATCGGAAAGACGGTCCGGCTCAGTTTGCCGAGCTCATCGCAATGGTCGATCTTCTGGAGAGGCAGCAGCGAATGCAAAAGAATTTGCATTTGCTCTACGTCGCACCATTCGTCTCCAAAATTCCTGTGGCCGAACGAATGCACTTGGTGGAGGATATTCTCAATTCCTGACCAACTTGGCTTCTCATTTGTTTTGTTCTAGAATTTTAGTTTTAGCCCCCCGCTCTTTTGTGTACCATAATTTATCTATCGTGTGGTTTCGGTTTTCTGTGATCTCATTCCCAACAATTTCTGGTTTGCATGCATTCGAACACATTTTCCCCCCGATATCAAAGTAAACGTTTTGCCTCCTATCATCACACTCTCTCTCTCTTTTCGTTTCTCATCATTTCTCATGCCCTTTTAAGTGGGTTTTCTAACTTTCTCTACTCGTGTTTCCTTCTTCAGATTAATTTCGGGTTTGTGTGTGAATTTAGTGTAGTCTGTTCATTTTTCAGGTATCTTCCTTCCACACCTTCCACTGCCACCCACACATGAACCAACCCGGGTGCTCAAGTAGTCATTATGAGATTGTCAATTTGCCAGAGGTGAGCACGCACTACGAAGCCCTATCAAAATAGTTACACAGCTTTCAGTTCCTTCCATCACCTTCACCAACCACCTCTACCGCTAACCTATATTCGCAAACCAAAGACTCGTCAACACTGATGAAGTGCACACCGAAAATCATCGTTCCGAAAAAGGAAACTACAGAGCGTCAACAACGTCCGACGGAGTGCTCGATATGTGGAAAGGATGCAAGCGGATACCACTACGACGTGCCCTCGTGCAATGGCTGCAAGACCTTCTTCAGAAGATTGTGCATTTCCGAGAAGAATTTTGCCTGCAAAGCAAAAGGAGATTGCTTTGATTTGAGAAAACGAGGTGAGGAGTATAGGAGCGCTGCTTCTAGATAAACCTGCAATTCATTACAGCTCAACCGTTGAAGTGTCGAGCTTGTCGCTACCAGAAGTGCATAACCGCCGGGATGAATCCGTTGGCGATGGAGGTGGATGCGATGCAGGCGACCGCCGCAAACTTCAAGACACTTACCAAACGAGTCAAGGAGGAGGAGCCGGATGACTATAATTACAATAAAGGCACTCAGGACGATACTACTGGAGTCGTAGCTCCAAAACAAGTGAAAACAAGTCTAGACTCTCCGGAGATCCGCATACAGAAGCTCATTGACATGCTCGGATATCTGGAGGGCAAACTTGAAAAGTTCCGGCTATCCGCCTACAATCCACCCTTCAGCGAGTTTCGAGGTCTCAAATTCCTCATAGAAACTTCGAGCAGAATCTGTTTGGCTGACAAGTACGGTCCGATGCCTGGCTGGCCATTAAAACCCGAACAACTCGGACCACCGCCGCCGAGGCCACCCCGCGTGATTGGAGGGCACGGACCACCTCCATACCGTCCTGACAAGTTAGTTAGCCCTCGGCTACTGTAGCTATATTGAGATTGTATTCAGAAAGCAATGGTTCGCGTACAATTTGATGACGACTGTCGAGTACGCAAAAACGTTTTCGTTTTTTCACAAATTGAGTTCAAACGACAAGCTTTGTCTCGTCAAATATGTGGCTCTGGCGTGCGTGAACCTGCACTGTTCCTATTCTGCGATCGCCAAGAACTATGATACTTTGATCAATCCGGACGGATCTCAACCACCGTTTGGAAGGTAAGTTGCGATTTTCTTTTCTCACAACCACTATACACTTTCAGCGAGGCTCATTACAAGAACATGGTCATGTCCGTGGCTCCTCTCATCCGTTATGAAGTCCAACGAGTAGAGTACCTATTGCTGAAAGCCATTTGTCTTTGCAACCCAGGCACGCTTCTTAGACAATGGTTCTTTGAAAAACCTGGCCAATTTTAGCTGTTCCCGAGCTCTCCAAGCATGCGCAGGACATCATCGCCGAGGAACGGAGCAAGTATGCGGACGCGCTTTTTGATCATTGTCTCAAAAATCGGAGAAATGGACCCGCACACTTTGCACACCTCATCGGTATTATGGACGTGTTGGAAAGACAACAGCGGATGCAAAAAGATCTTCATCTTCTCCACATTGCTCCCCTTCTGGCACGTGCCTCCAAAGATTGGCTGATACAAGTAATTGAAGATGTTATGGATTGCTAAATGTATATTGGTGTTTTCTGAAACAATGTGAGCTTTAATAAAACAAATATTGTGCAATTATTATTTTCTCTTTTATCATTACAATCATACTCATTTTTGATCCCCCTCTGTAAAAAAATGCAAAAGTCAATTACAGTCTACGGACCAGCCAGATTTACCTGCGTGTCTTTTTCACTTGCACCTAACCCATTACGTTAGAAGGCAATGGACAAACCGCACTTCTCCAATGATAATACAGAAGAAATGGGAATTCCATCCGGGGACTAGAAAAATCAAGGCCAGCTCTTCCATTTCGCCGTGTACTTCTCTCGGAACCATTAACTTTTTTGAAAAAATCTTTAAAATCGGGGAATTTTTTTCGTAATTCGGGACTTTGGGAAAGTGAATGCCCCACTTCGAAGTTTATTTTAAGAATATGTTGTATGTCACGTTGGACACCACCTTTAAAGAGTGAGTTTGTCTATAGAAATATCATAAATGTTCAAAGTTTAGAGCGACATACTATACATCTACAGTCAATCGCTCCATTAACCCGGTATAAAGTACAGAAAATTGAGTACATACTTCTTCTCAAAGCCAGGTGTGTGTGCAAATGTGCTCTACTGTAGAAAAATAAGAATTTCAGCCGTTCCCGATCTATCGAAACATGCCCAATGCATACTTGCCGAAGAACGCGAGCACTACGCCGGTGCACTCTTCGATCATTGCCTTCGGAATCGAAGAAATGAACCCGCACACTTTGCACACCTCGAAAGACAACAACGTATGCAAAAAGATCTTCATCTTCTGCACATTAGACCACTGCTCAAAAAAGTTCCCAGAGAACATGTTTTAATGCTGATATTGAAGATATTATGGGTACTTTCTTTTTTCTTGGGTTTTAAACTTAAATGATCTGAATAAATAGTCTTCTTCAAAGTGTATTGATTCTGAAAATGCTGCCAAAGCTGTATGTTAAATGATGATGATGATAAGCAAAGTTTGGCGGTTACCGTCAACAAGCGGATATAAATGATGCTGTTGAGATGAGCTTTAAGAGAACAATAATCAACGTTCCACAAAAACATTTCTCGTAAAAAGCGTATTGATTGTTGCTCCCCTAAAGCCCATCTCATTAGCGATTAGGCACGTAGAAGTGCTTTATGCAAACCTCGAATTAGTTGCCATTCTGAGAAGCGAAAAGCGAAAAAACCCACTCATTTTCGTCTCGCTTCTCACCGACTCCCGGTAACTCAATCGGTGAGTCCAGTCAGTCCGTCCGTCACTCAATCGCTAACACTTTATTTATTATTTCCTCACATGTCTCCAACTCGTTTCTCTTCCGAAAACCCTTTGTGAGTCAGTCGTTATGCTCGACTTTTCCGTCATTGCTGCAATTCTGCTGGGAGTGGCAAGTGGCGCAGGTTGCCGGAACTTTTAAGGAAAGTTTTACTCATTTTCAGATAAGTCTTCCAGGTCTCATTGTGAACGTTTACGTCTTTTTGAAACTGTTCCTACGCAAGGTGCAATTCAGCGGATTTCAAAAGTTGTGCATCGTCAAAGCGGTTCCCAATTCGATTGTTTGCTTCACTTTTCTGGTTTGGTCAACTCCCCTCTGTGCTTTGTGAGTGATGAACGCTCTCCTCACTAATCTGGAGCATTTTCAGAAATCCACAATATGAAAGCATTGCGAGGAATGTGAATGTGGGGTTCGGACAGCTCGCCGGATGGGGAGCTTACATTTTGGGTAAGATCTTTGTAATTGATGAATAGGTTTCTTTCTAAATCTGTAGAAAGGTCCATTTGATTACGGAAAGCTACAAAACAGTTCAAACTTTTAATAGGTCCGCTAATTCAAGTGTGCATGTCCTTCAACCGCTTTTACGTCCTCTACTTTCCAATGAACTCGCTGAAAGTGTCCAATTATCCAATAACCAACATTGCCATACTCATTGCCCTCTGCGTCGCACTCATCTACACAGTTATCGGTCTTCCAGGTGAACAACTCAGTTTTGCCAAGTCTAAACAGTAAATCCAACTAGAATTGTACACTACAGATCAGTGCGGATTCGTCTTCGACCCTGAGATCTTGGCGTGGCGGCCGGAGGCGTTTGAATGCGCCGAATGGCTCGCCGATTTCATTTTCGTCTCGATTCTCAGTCTGTCAATTACCTCCAACTCGCTCAATTTTGCCACTTTTTTCAAATTAGTTTCTAGCCGGGTACGGAAATGGAATAGGCCAGGATATTAAATCAATTTGATGTCAGGTGGAAGGCGTTTCTTCGGACGACAGCATCAATAGGAGGAAACGAAGAATCAGCATGTATATTCAAGTGAGTTCGAATGAACTGATGCGGCTCATTTGCACATGTAAACCTTTGGAAGAAGTTGTGTTGCTCCTTGCAGCGTCTCGCCTACAAATCACCCGACTTGCATCAACATATTTGTTTTACAGAGTGTGCTTCAAGACACACTGCACCTGATCGACATGATCAATTGCACGATATTGTTCAAATTGAACTCCGCCGTGTGGTATCAGTTTCTTTTCCTTTCTGTCAGCTTCCTGGCGATTCACGCGCTTGACGGGTCAGTTGGAGAGTGATTGTTCCGTCACGCAAGTGGAAAACAACGTTTTTCAGAAGTGTTATGCTCTATTTTCACAGTGAGATTCATCCAAAGTGGTGTCAACGACTTGTGAAACGGATGAAAAAGTCGGCGAATGGGACGATGTTTGTTTCAGTAAAGTCCAAAGTTTCGTTGCATCCTTCTAATAATTGAGTCGATTTTTTTCTCTATCTATAATTTGTGCCTTATGTTCTAAACCACTGCTCAAATCTTTATGATGGTACACTAAAGTAGTCAACAAATGTTTTATTGTTGGAAAAAAAGAGGAAAGCTTTGTTGGGGTGTGGTAACAACAAAACCGAGTTAAGAAGAGTATTTATAATAGAAAAAAAAGATGAAACCGTAAATCCCAAAAGAACAAAAATTTGGTTTTCAAGAAAGATGAGTCTGCGCCTAGTACTTGACAGTGTCCTGAAGACACCGGAAATTGGGACCGAAAAAAGATGGTGGGGGGGGGGGGGTTCAAAGTCAAAGTCGAGAAGAGATCGAGGCATGAAGCATAGGAAAAGCATTGCGCACGAGCTTTGAACAGAGTCATTGGGAGACTGAGAAAGTTGAGAAAGGGTAGAACGAAAGAAGTTTGTTGCCTAATAGAGGTTTAGTGAAAAGGGAGAGTGCGAGCATTTAGTTCTGTGGCGACGTGGCGGCGGAAGTCGACGAGGCTGCCGAAGTTGTTGTTGAAGCCGGAGACGTTTGAGTGGTGGCACCGTTCTGAAAACATCGTGTTTAGAATAAATGTGCTAGACAATTCTGTCAAACACGCTCCATCGCAATCATTTTCAGACTTCTGCGACGTCGGGACAACAATTTCTCATTAGTGTGTGTAGTAGAGTTAATTTAGTGTGTTACTTACACGACTAGTAGAAGTAGAAAACGAAGAATGGTTAATCTGTGATCGAGTAAGTGTGCGATTGTGATGATTTCTGTGAGCATGCTGTCCTCTTCGTCTCAACTGAAACTTCACTTCATGCATGTAGTAGTACAAATAGTGTTAGTGGCACAAGAACACACGATAAAGTTATTGTAAGTGTACGTGACGACGACAGCATTTACTGGTGCGTGATCTTCGAAGCGATTGACGAACCTGAGCGGCGGCGGCTGCGGCGGCGGCAAGTGTGTGAGAGTTGGCTCCGTTCGGCGGCGCGAGTCCAGCCGCTTCCCGGGTCTTTTTGAACTCCTCGTACCCGTCTCCCAGGATCTGGGCGATCTCTCCTTGCATAAAAGCCCATGGCATCGCGGCTCCGACCAGCGGACACTTTTCTCCGGATGGACAATAGAGGTCAGTGCTCTTGCACTGCTCCTTGATGCTCTTCCGAGAGCACGGGAAACAGAACTTGTGCATGTGCACAGACGGGCATTGCACAAAGTGTGTGTCCTCGAGGCGCTCGTTGCAGAGAGTGCATCTCAGAATGCGTTCGATCGGCGCGGCGATCCCTCGCCGCTCCTTTGGGTGATCGGGCGAGTGCGTAGAGGTTGGCGAAGCGGTCGTCGTTTGGGCATCGCCTGGAAAAATGAGAGAGGAGTAGATGAGAATGATGAGGATGATGACCCTGGGTGCCAGGCGTCGTGGCGCACCTCGTCGCAAAACCGGTTCGATTCGAGACGGTGACCCCATCTCTCTATCGGTCTTTCTTTCTTTCTCTCTCTCTCTCTCTCTCTGCTTCTCGAGGTCACTTTTGGTGCCTGGTTTTTGCGGCGCTGTGCGTTACGTAATTCGAGAGGGCTAATCGCAAAAGGAGAGAAAGAGAGAGAGAGGCGACTACTTTACGCAACAACCGGTTCCCATACCTTCCCCTACCAACTAACCTCGCTGAACTTTTCCGTATCCCTCGGCCTTCTGCTCGTCGTCCGAATCACGTTTGCGCGGATTCGGCTGCGACGACGCGTTGTTGAACGTCGAGCTCGGCATCATATTCATCAAGAACGGTGCGAGAAGATGTGAGTTCGGACCAATGTTCCGCAGAGATTGCTGCAGCAGGTCATCCATCACACGTTGATTTGGGTGACTCATCTGCAGCAGACGGTGGTGAGCCATTACTTGCTGAAAACAGTTGAATAGTACAGAACATCTCAGTGGGTCAACGACTCACCTCCAAGTTATTCAAGTTGGGCATCTGGAACGGAGATGTTGGAAGAGCCGGCGGCTGCGGTGTTCTTTGCGGGCTGATGCGTCCGACACCGTTTTGAGTGGAGGACACTGGAATCGGTTGCAACGGCAGTGGCTGCTGTTGTGGCGTGGCGTCTCGATGAGAGGTTTTCGCGTTCTGCGGGTCACTCACAACGCCCTGAAGCTTTTTCTGTTGACGTGTCTCCTCGAGCACAAGTTCGATTCTGGAAGAGAGTGATCGATAGTTGAAGGCTTATCAGTTGCAATGCCTCGGAATCATCCGAAACAGTTTCATAGGTGAGTCAATGAGGCTGAGGCCCGGTCAAAAAACAATTGCATCACACACAGCACACAGAGCCCCTCCCCCTAACTAAATCAGGGATTTATCGTTTCCAATAGCCAACCAACCTGTCCGATCCCTCATAGTTGACACATCCTCGGCACACCGGCTCAATGTAGTCGTTGATGATTGCCCACGGCCAGCGTGGAAGATCGCAAAGGTAGCACTGCTGACGTGGCACCTTTTCCGCCGCATTGTTGTTCGATTTGTTGGCGACCCCAGCCGCTCCTCCGGCGGCGAGCAGTGTTCCGTTGGCCAGCGAGACGGCGTTGGGAGCCGCGAGCATCTGCATACCGGTAAAATCGACGGGCTCGATGGGAGAGACGGAAGAGTCGGAGAAGCTGCTCGAAGAGCTCATCGTGTTAGCGGGGAGCGACGAATTCAGAGCGGAATTAATGATGAATGATGGAAACGAATGAGGTTATGGAATGGCCGATGGCGCGTTTTTAAGTTCGCGACTGGTGCCAGTGATAAGGGGGTAAAAGAACCCGGGCGCTTCTCTCCCTCTCTCTCCCTCTCTCGTGGCCTTTCGCTGATAAAAAATGGTGCACCTGATAACAGAACGCTTTCTGCTTTTGCACACACACACACACAAACACTCGTTTTTCGTTTCAAAGCTGTATCCGTATGACGAACACACGATGAATAATGAATAATGGTCGAGGGGTCCAAAAAATGATTCAGCGGTTACTATAGTTGTTGCGCAGAAGCGAGCGTGTGTTGTAAAAGAAAATGGCACTAAACGATGGAGAAGGAAACGGCCGCATGGTGGTACCATAGGAATAAGAATAGGAATTGTTGGGATGAAGGAGGGAGTCTTCGACCTCATTGAAATTCCGTAAGACGTATGGGAGTGCATTTCATTTGCATCGGATCTGCATATTTGTGAAGAGGAGAATGGATGGCAAAAAAAAGAAGAAAATGGAGGACGAACAGGCTCAGGGGTCCAGATGCTTGACCTTTGGATTGCATACCACTCTCAGCTTATCGACACCCAAACCGTGCACTTTGGACAAGTCACAAAATTATAGATTATCAGCCTTTGTCACATGTTTATCACCGGCTCAAAGTCCACAATATTTGACGCCAACACCCTTTAGGCTCAGGGCCTCAGGCCAGCTTCGATGCACTGATAAGAGAGAGAGAGATAGATAGAAGGAAAGAAAGAGAGAGAGAGAGAAAGAAAATGAGGGTACGAAGATCAAAGCAGAGGTGTGCGAGTGATTGCGACGACACGAGAAAATCTGGGCAAAAAGTGAAAGTTGAAGTTGGGTTTGATAGAGAGAAAATGGAAAACCGAGAGTGTGGCAGTCATGCGAGAGTCCCTCACCAACTGATAACCGTCGATAAGACCATCACTCGCGGCTGCTGGCAGCTAGAAAGGAGACAAACATTTATTGGTGTACATAGTTCATAGAATTGAGATGGTTGGCACCACATCGGTTTTCGATAGGAGAAGATACTTTGCATAACAACAGGATGAAAGCTCAATGGAATTGTTATGCTAATCAAGTTTAGTTGGCTCAATTTGCTCTTATCATATCAATGGAAAAGATTGTCTCGAAACCAACAGAATCGTTATTGAAATGGGGGGGAAGACGCGAAAAAAGTGGTGACCTAGTATTGGATGCAGTATAGAAATTGGCTGAAGGTCTCATCTTTTGTAGAGGAGGGCGAATCCGAAGGAAAAGAGGACACAGACGCGCAGACGGGCCGGTCGGGAGCGGAAAGGATCGGAGAATCGGAAGGAATTACTCGCGCGGACGGCGGAGGATTGACCTTGACAGGTACGGGTTCCGCACCGCATCGAGGAAAAGTGGAAAAAGTCGAGAGGGCGAAGAAACTTGGTAACGAACTGGTAGGAGGAGGAGGAGAAGGAGGAGAGAAAGTAGAAACAAACCTTACGGCTCTGAACTAATATTGACACGTGGCATGCGGAAGAGTATGAGTGGGTCAAGGAGACGCAGCTCCTAGAGCTATTCCTGGCGATGGGGGGTTTAACGAGCGCGGTGCACATATGTTTGCGGCTCATTTCGACGACTCTTAAACCTGAGAAAAGCATGAAGGGGGAGCGTGGGAAAAGGGAAGTGTTCTAGTTTCAAATAATTTTGCAGAGTCAATGTGTAAACCAGTGATGCCACGTCAAAATGGGACACCTTACTCATCTAGTGCAATTCGCCGCCATTCCTCTCTGCCTTACTGTAATGCAATTGTGCGTGCATCAGCCATACTTTTTTGAGAAGAACGTTTAGTGTTTCGATAGAATCTCAAAGGCCATAAACATGTGTGCCACGCCACGCCACGCCACGCCACGTCATAACATTTTCAGGGCGATAAGAGAATCACAATAGCGTCACGGTTAGAGTACAGACGAAACCTAGCCCGTTTACCAAGTTCATTTCACAACTGATAAGACGAGGAAAAGTGTTATGAAGAGAGAAACGGAAATGGAGGAAGGAGAGCCGCGCGACGCCAGACTCAAATAAATCGTCGGGCAGCAAAAAAGTGAGAGAGGAGGAATGGTGGAAGGGGGGCGCGGGCGGTACACAAACAAGAAACTGGTAAGGGGGTAGGAGAGCAAAGAGTTGTTAGTTTGTCTATAAATTGACTGCGGGCGAGAGTATTTTTAGTGGCGAAAGAGCACATTTAAAACTGGAACGAAAAATGTTGTGTTGCAGACAAATATTGCATGGTAGACAACAACTGGAAAACGGAAAGAAGACAGTGTGTCGCACACGATGCAAAGTGCAGTAGCGTACACAGTAGAAACATGGAGAGGCGGGTCCTATTGCGCAACCTTCAGGCGGCTGGCGGCGGCGGTTGCGACGACGGCCCTTCCGATGAGAGGGGGGTAAACCGGTTGATCGAAATGAAATTGTGAACGGGAAAAGATGGCGAAGAGAAGAGGGGTTGCCGACCCTGAAGACATGGAGAAGGATATCAAAGAGAGAGAGAGAGGGGTTTGAGTAGTATTACGGTAGCGGGCGTTTGTGCCAGAGGGTCTCGCAATGAAACTAACAGTAAACGGTCTCAATAGCTTGTAAAGGACGGGTCTCAAAACGAAAAAAGTGAAAAGGGTTACGGTAAGAGGTAAAGATTGACAAGATCTTTTGAGTTCAGGCTTTGATGGTTCTAGTTCTAGAGTAACAAACTTACAGACTTAATCTAGACGTATGAGGTTCTGTTACATAACCTTGTGAGTGGACAAAAGAAGAAGTATCAACTATCATAAATCTATCCACCAAACTACCCCTCTCTCTCTCTCCTTCCTCACCTTCAGGGGGACTTCTATGAGGCGGACTTGAAGTGAGTGGAGGAACGACTTCTAAACAGAGGGACAGAGAGTGAAAGAAGGAGAAGAAGAAGAAGAAGCAGTGGACAAGCTTCATGTTAAATCCAGTCACTCTCCATTTTGCAAATCGCCTTCCCCCTCTCTCTTTGTACAGGATCACTCTGCGCCTCCGCCGATCGTTTCACACTCTCGCCGCTTCTTTTCGTTCGCCAACGTTGCCATCGTGAAGCTGAAGCGCGCGCGCCGGAGAGTGCTGGTGGTGGTGGCAGCCGGTCGTCGTCCTCTTCTCATCAAGGATGGGCGAGGAGGAGATACCAGTCAAACGAGTTGGCACCCACGACCGATTCCAGGCGCAATCTTCTCTTTGGAAAGGACAGGAATAGTGGTGGCAGGGGGGGAAGGGAGAGACTTCTTACACCTGGGTCCACGCGCGTCCAGTTTATATGCTGTTTTTTTTCGATGGTGTAGTGGTTGATTGGTAGGAGAGAAGGGAAGAAGAAAAAGATTTGAGTTCCCTTTTGACACACTAGACAAAAAGCGTGGCAACCGTTTGCAGTTGATGAACACAAATGTGAATTTTGAACTTGACACTTTTGGTGGCTGGCACGAAAGTTTGGCACGACCTTGATGAAGGGGGGGGGGAGGAAATGGAAAACTAGAACTAGATTCTGTGGCGGTGACAAGGGATTTGAACGCGAAATTTCGAATGTTTCACCACTTTTTCAGGTCATGGACATGACCTTAAACTAGAAGACAAAGACGGGTGGCGCGTGGAGACCAAATTGAGTATGAAGGGAGAGTTTGAACGAGCCATCGTGTTCCTGTCTGGGGGTTTTCCAAATTTTGTCCTATTGATCAAAGCGACGCATTCGTTGAAACCTTGTCTCGACGTCAAGTGACCCAAAAGACTTGACAAGAATCAGTTTGAAACAACAAAAATGCTACTGATTTGATGCAATCAAACTGGTTTCCGAATCGGAATTTACTTTTTTCTTCTCTTTTTGTGCCCTTCGAAGAGTGGGTGTAATGTCTCGAGAAGTGAATGATACTCTTCTCGAGAATATCATCCGCTCGCTCTTTTTTCTAAACAACCGACGACAATGCGACATTAACTGGAACAGGTTATCAGGCGGTAAGGAGGAGAGAGAGAGAGAGAGAGAGAGAGAGATGAAAGATAAACCTAAACTACCTACTACTGCATGCAACAACTACTACTACCTGTCTTCGTGCCGACAATAGGAAAAGGCATAAGGACAATGGCATAAGCGTAAAGTGAATCAAAACCGGACGTGGCTGTTGGTGAAGACGAAGAAGAGGCTTTTCCCTGTCCAGATGGGCCTAGTACCCGCGCTGCCAAACCATTTTGACAACTGCAATGGCAGACGAAAGAGGGAAGCAATAAGAACCGGACCTAATAGCATGTAATGATGAGCCTACTGGTCCTCTTCTCAACGAGTGTAGGTGGTCTAGCGGCCTTGAGAATGCCAAGGACACCTGTGCCTATCCCGCGGGTAGCAACAAAAAAAAACTCTGCCGCTCGTGTACTAATTATTAGGCGGTGGATGAGCCGGAAAATGGGAACGGATGGCATTGAAAGAGAGGGAGAAGGAAGGACGTTTGAAAACGACTGAAAAAATGGAATACAAGGCCAGCACGTCCGGACGCCGGACATCATTGAGGAAATTAGCAGGCAGGGATTTGAAGTGAGTTTCGTTGTGCACACAGACTATTGACCTTATTGCTCTTTCAGCTATTATGCGGCCTCCGAAGAAGCATCACGATCATCAAAATGCTAATATTGTGCATCTGCATTCCAAACAGACGCTGGCATCAAATTACTTCTCTCGAGAATGATGATAAAAAACAAAGGGCACATAAAATGCAGAATTTTAAACAACATACATTTTCAAACACTTTCAGAGTCACTAATCGGCTCTAAAACCGGTCCGACCTTTTCGAATCTATTACCGCATGTGAAGAGACGCGAGGTCAGACTGCTCAGAATAAAAAGTTGATCAGCATCACAGGGTGAGTGTTTACAAGGAATAGTTGGTTAGTGGAAGAGAATTCAGGTTTTCCTGGGGACGTCCGCCTACATAATTGTTGTACTTACCGGTGGTGTGATCCACGAAAACCGGCTCTTTCCTCTTCCTCCTCCTCCTCCTCCGTCGCCGACAACAACACCAACTCGTCGTCTTGCCCCAACAGGTGCCATCCGGTGAAACTCTGTCGAGATGAAGTCTCCTTCTCGCCGTCGCCGCCAATCGTCGTCGTCGGTTTCCACTGGTGGCATCGTCGCCTATCAAAGAGTGCGACTAAAAAGGAGGCGAAACGAAGGCGAACTGGTTCTTCTCTCGAGGACAGATCAGTCCGGCAGTTGTGCGAGCGACCCGCAAAAATGTTGCAACACTAATTAATACTCTGCGCCCCCGCGTGGTGGCACCGAGGTCGAAATGAACGAACTAAATGTTTACAACCGGTTTCTCATGGCGATTTCTGATCTATCCCTCTGATCGGGTTATCCTTCCCTGAAAAACTGTGAATCAGAGCTCACATGAACTCAGATCGACTTGTTCCAAGAATCGCCAGTATGCACTCTTTCAAGTGATCATTCCCTTCGAAATCAATACCAAATTTGTTAACTTTGTAATCGTTAAGAAGTGTTATCAGTGCTCACGGTCATGTCTCGTTTTCAGCGCCAATGATGATTGCGATAAGAGAATTGGCATCGGCTCTCCACTTCTACTCCCCTTTTCGCCTGTACTCCTTGACATGAAGTTCAATTTAGAGCTACTAGTTCTTATTTTAGGTGTTGCAGCATGTCAGGTATGTTCTAAGCTTCTTCAAAGCTTTTTCCAAAGTTTTTGTTACTCTTTAGGCAAATCTGCTCAACTTTCCTCGTGCCGCTATCCGCTTGACAAAAGAGTTCACAGGAATGGAGAAGTTGAGAGCTCCAGAAGAGCTCGGTGGAGCCGATTACGATATGAAGATTGATGTTGAGACTCAAGACGTGCTCACAATTCTGGAGTTGGCTGCACCCGTACCTGAGGATGAGCATGCTGATTTTGAGCCCGTGAGTTCGATTTCTCCTTGGAATTTTCAGAAACTTGAATTTCAGGACATGAAGCTCGAGTCTCCATTTGAGAAAGAGGACACGGTACCAGCAATCAACTATCCAAAGATGGTCGACGAGGATTTCGTGCAGCCGAGGCCCGAGATCATCTATCCGGAGGACTTCCATGAGAGTGTTGTTGAGATTTTGGACTCGAGAAACGAGCGAGAGATTGCTCTGGAACCAGTGGCTATGGCCAAGTTGGAGAAGGGATATTTCGAGAATCAGGAAACTGAGCTTGACGACTCGGACTCCTCGGACACCTCAGACTCTTCCAGCTCATCCGAAGAGGAGCCAGAATGGGATGAAGCTCGCCCATATCTCAAGTGTGGATGTTTGAAAAAGTCTGGAAAAGTGTTCGAATCGAAAAGCGCTCCAAGAGAATGGGAATCCGCCGAATTCACCGGAAACGACCTGCCGACCGCTTTGGATTGGCGAAATGTGAGCGGAGTCAACTATTGCTCGCCGACGAGAAACCAGCACATTCCGGTGTACTGCGGATCTTGCTGGGTGTTCGGAACTACTGGTAAGTGGCCACGAGCGTCGTGAGTGTGAAACCTGAACTCCCAAGTCTTCCAGGTGCTCTCAACGATCGTTTCAACGTTGCTCGTAAGGGAAGATGGCCAATGACTCAAATTTCTCCACAAGAGATCATTGACTGTAACGGAAAGGGAAATTGCCAGGGAGGAGAGATTGGAAACGTTCTGGAGCACGCCAAGATCCAAGGCCTGGTGGAAGAAGGATGTAATGTCTACAGAGCTACGAATGGAGGTAAATCCATCGCATGGAAAAGGTCGTATTCACTCAAATTTACAGAATGTAACCCGTTCCGTCGCTGCGGTTCCTGCTGGCCAAACGAGTGCTTCTCTCTGAACAACTACACTCGTTACTACGTAAAAGACTACGGAAGTGTCAAGGGAATCGACAATATCAAGGCCGAGATCAAGAAGGGCGGTCCGCTTGCTTGTGCCATCGGAGCCACGAAAAAGTTCGAGTACGAGTACGTCAAGGGTGTTTATTTCGAGAAGAGTGACCTGGAATCCAACCACATCATCTCACTGACGGGATGGGGAGTCGATGAAAATGGCGTCGAGTACTGGATCGCGAGAAACAGCTGGGGAGAGGCTTGGGTAAGAATTGTTGAGCCTCGAAGAGCATTGGAAATTGTTAAACTTCAGGGAGAGCTCGGATGGTTCCGTGTGGTCACCTCAAAGTTCAAGGACGGACAGGGAGACCAGTACAACATGGGAATCGAGCGAGATTGCTACTTCGCCGATGTGGACGTCTCTAACTTGAACTGAACTTTGTTTTCACAACTCTTTGGATACATTTATCTATAATGAATCAGTTTTGGTTACAAATAACTATTGTCGGTTTGTTTAATGAAATGTTAAGCAATAGTGCAGGTTGGCGAGTTATGTTGACCAGGTCTTGGAAGACTTTCCGCTGGTTTTGAAGACGCAGACGCTTGAGCATTTTCAATGAACGTCTCGAGCTCTTCGTAGCCTTCTATGCTGTTCACGTTGATATCTGGGCAAAAGGACATTGTAGGCGCATGTATTTTTACCTCGACCTGCCTCTTTCATGCGCTGTTATCTCCCAGAGACTTTTCTTCAAGCTTCTCGTCAAAAAATACGTTTCCACTTCTCCTCTCCCCTTTACAGTAATCCGTCCTCTCGGCGCAAATTCGAATCTTCCCGTCTCGATGGCTTTCTCATACGTCCATTTGCTGCACTGAATCTTTCCCGCAACTCCCTGTGACTCCATTTGTGAAGCGAGAGTGACGGTCTCTCCAAACAGACAATAGCGCGGCATCATTGTGCCGACGACCCCGGCTATAATGGTGCCGGAGTGTAGGCCGATTCGCAGAAGAAACGGCGACTTGTTGACAGGATCCACAACAGTACGCGCTTCCCACATCATACCCAACGCCACGTGGCACATGTTTTCAGCGTGTTCCAAGGTGAAATCCGGAATGCCGGAGACGCTCAGGTAGCTGTCGGAGACCGTCTCGACTTTGTAGACGCCACGGAGGACGACAATGCGGTCCAGTTTGAAGAACACCTCGTTGAGTAGCTTCACAATATCTTTGGGCGGACAAACTGGAATGATTTGCTGGAATGCAGGAAGGTCGCAGAACATGACTGTGGCTTCGTACTCGCACGGCTCAATGTGCTCGCCGCTGAGCAACTGCTGAGCAATTCTCCTCGGCAGCATGTCTCTGAGAATTGAGTCAGTTTTCTGACGTTCCACCTCTAGTTCTCGTTTCATGTGCTCCAGTTGTTCGTTGTTGGCTTCGAGTTGAAGACTGAAAAGGTAAATTAGATGGGGAGGAAAGTTACATTCTTACTCACTTTACTTCGACGTCCGAAAGGCGTTGCTGATTGAGAAGTATCAGATCGCGGGTAGCGTCGTGAAGCGGCATTGCCGTGAGCCGCATACCGAACTGCATGAGCTCATTGATAGAGGTTACGTACGGAGAGCACAAGTAAATGATATGCTTCTTAGTGGACAACATCATCATTTGGCCTTTAAGCTTCAGGTGACATCCTTGCGTCGGCTCACTTACAGCGGTTTCTTCCATGGATTCTCTGAAAGTTTGCTACGGCACTTGTTCTTCATTCTAGACATACATTTCCTGCTTCCTTTCTTCCTTCGTCATTTCATCCATATGCTTTTTCTTCAGTGGCGACGTTTTCACTTGGAGCACAAATACAGCGTTGATAAAGTTGCAAATATTTTCAAAGTCTAACGGAATCTGCGGACGGTTTATCTCGAAAATCCGCAAAATTGGAGTTCCTGGTTGGAGAAGCTCGTTTGGAATATGATTGCTGAAATAATCACTCAAAATGACACAACACTTTTTCTCAAACTTACTAGAGCTCAGCTCCACATTGCACCAGCTTGCACGATTCATCCAGAACGAAATGATAGGGAAGAGCTCTGGAAAAGTCTTCAAGCGACATTCGCAAGTTGTCATCGAGGATCTCGCTGAAGTCTGGGCCCGACGATGTCAAAAGGCTGGCTGTGGAGCCATCGGAATCACGACGGGGCTCACCAATGTTCTGAATAAAGTTCTAATGAAGACATATCTCTGTTCAGTACCTTGACGAGGAAAACTACGTGTTCCTCAACTCGTTCCCCGTTGTTCATATGCACACTTCTCTGCGTTCTCCCGTGCACGACAAGAGTAATGTCCAAGTTGAACACCAACTTGGCCACCTCCTTCACAACGCCCTTCACAATATGATAAAGACCTGGGCGTCCGGTGAAGTAATGAAGGAGCAGAGTGCCATCAGGATTCTCCTCACAACGGAAAGACGGTCCTCGGAGGTTGGCCTTGTAGACGACGTGGTCGATAAAGTAGTGAAGGCTATCCAGGTTGTCGAGAAATCCTTTGAGGTTTGGACTCATGCTACGCACCAGTTCGTCCCATCCGATTTCCATCGAATACGTTATCAAAAAACCGCCGTACATTTCCCATACTTGGTCTTTGCTCACTTCTGGAAAACGATTGATTGAGCAAAGAGAGGATTTGAAAGAGGCTTACTGAGCACTATGGAAACACTGTCCACAAGCACGTAGGTATCGGTATCCGAGTAGTAGTGGTTCACAATATTCTCCTTGCCGCTCTCAAATCCCGAACGTTCCCTGCGAAAGTTATTCTGTTCTGGGGGGCCCGCAGCTTGTTCGAAACTTACAAAACTTGCGCCCACACATCGTCACCGTACTTTCGAATGACAAGCTGCCGAATACTTTCGTGAATGAATCCAAACTAAACTCAACAAGATCGACGTTCAGTTTGTTCGTAACTAGACACCAAACTCACCATGACCGATGGCCGGTAGCTTGTCGAAATGAGCAGAATATGAGGATTGAGCGTTGCGTGCTCAGGATCTTCTCAAATATTCTAGATTTCTTATGAATTTATGAATTCCCAATGATGTTTATGATCTTGATCTTGCTCTCGACTGCTCATAGTTCACCACGAAGTTAGAGAAGAACTTGTTTATATATTGTATTCATTGCAAAAACCATTTCATGTTGGGGCGGATGGCAGGGGAGTCAAATAGAGTCAAAATGAATTGTTTCCTAGTTAGTTTTGAGAATTAGTGCAGGGGTGATGGGTCCGGATGTGGCAACTTTAGAGCAGGGAAAATGAAGCACCTGAGTAGGTCAGCAGTAGACGGAAGATGAAGCCGGGAGAGAAACGTTTTGTTTTGTATGCAAACATTGAAACCTAGCGAAGGACGAAAAACAATGAGAAGATTCTGGAAGGCGTACTGTACCTACAACAAACCATCCATGGAACCTTGTTCTTTTTGAATAAAACCTAAACTAGGCGATTCTCGTTGAATTGAATTGCGGGCTAATCACAAAACATGGCACTGGTCAACAATAGGGAGAGAGAGAGAGAGAGAGAGAGAGAGAAAGAAGGAAAGAGATGACGAGAATTTGGATGGTACGTCATGAGCATAGAGAAAGGGCGAAAGTTATGGAATGAAAGATATGTGTGTGTGTGTATGGGCATTGAGAGGGATTCTAGACTGGAAACGAAACGGGCGGACAGGTATTGAAGGGAAAATTGAGCAGCGGAAGAAACCATAGAAAGGAACGGGGAACGGGAAAAGAAAGTAAACGTAGAACTAAACGAAAGAGATACTTTGGAGATTTTACATGCATTGAGAAGCCGGAGGCGGGGGCGGTGGAGGCGGAAAATTGTTATTCTTGTTGAAGCCCTCGATGGTCTGCGTTGAGGTTGGCGCCACGGCTTCGAGAACATCGCCGGTATCCGCGTCGATGATCTTGTATTCCATGGGCTCACTCTGTAAAAGTACGAGTTGAATGCAATGTGTCACCGTTCGATCTCGATTCCGACTCACTTCCTCCGACGTATTATTCTCCTTCTTCTTCCGCGGCTTCCGTCCGCGCGACGAGTTGGCCTTATGTGCTGCCAACCGTTCCTGCAGCCGGTCGCCGCTGATTCCCAGGTTTGAAGCGCGCATTCCCTCCAACTTTTGATCCCATTCTGAAACCTTTACTCTCTACATTTCAGTCTCTCCACCCGAACGCTGTTCGCATGGTCATGTACTCACTACCTTTCAGACTTTTGCACTCGGGTTGAGGATGACACGTGTTCAGATGGCGTTTCATATTGCCCTTGTAGACCGTCACAAAGTCACAATCTTCGCAGATGTACGCGTCTTGAAGAATCTGAATGGGTTTTGGGGTATGGATGAAGGAAGATAAAGTAGTTCACTTACCGCCGCTTCTTGAGGACTTCGCTGTCCGTTCAATCCATTCGTCGAGAAGTGATCGTAGGGTCCATTCGAATACTCGTTCGGTGAGCACATTTCCGAAGAGCCATTAGTTCCGTAAAACGAACTGGAAGGCGATGACAATTTCGGAGAACCCAAAAGTCCATTGCTTAAAGAACTCGAGTCCTGGTCCGTGGAAGTGGGAAACTCATACGGGTGCAGGTTCGGCTCTTCTCTCTTCACCTTCTTCTTTGGCGCCGCCTTCTCTCCCTGCTCCACTCGAACCCGTTTCAACGGTTCGGCACTCTTGCAGCACTGATTTATATGCCTCCGAATGTTGCCTTTGTAATGACTGATGAACCGGTCACAATACGGACAAACAGGACTCATTCCGTCGGCTCCGGTGGTTATTGCGCCCGACTTGATCGCGGCGTCAGTGCCCGGTATCGGAGGATTTGTGCCGCTGGCCAGCGCGTCCAGATAGTTTCGACCGATGATCTCGCGACACTTCTCGTTTCGCCCAATGTGGCCGGTTAGGCTGCGGCGGGATGGGTAGACGCCACGGCATGCCATACACATTACTCGCTCCTCGTCCGCGCTTTCAAGGTCGGTGGCGTTCATTTCGGATCCAAGGGGTGGGGTCCCGGATGCTGCGGAGCCGGATGACGTCAGCGCGGGGCTGTTTAGAGAGTTCTGAAATGTGGAGTATGATTGGTGAAGGGAAGTTCTTGGTGGCCAAGTATATTACCAGTACATCACTAAACCATCCCCCTCTCCTGTCTTTGATCAAACTTCATGTCCACTTTAATCGCCTCACCTCTCAAACGTTATCATTGTCACCTGCTATCAAAACTACCGTTCATCTTCATCTTGAGCGTGCCTAAACCCACGCAGACACTAGTCCGACTACCTTTCTTGCTTCATAGAACGTTTGTTTCAAAAGATCAGCGCCTACACCTAGCCCTCCCCCCCCCATTCCAATCAAAAACTTACATCATCGGACGGCGAAACGGTGGCCACTGATCCCGAGTTTTGGCGCATCGTCATCGTCGTCGTCTCGGCGGAGCTGTTGCTCGAACTGCGATGCACTCCATTCGCCCGTCCAAACTGGCTGCCGTTCGTTTTCGTCGTCGTGACACCGGGCCGAAGGGGTTCAGGCCTCAACACTTGTTGGTTAGCAGCCTGAGTGGCCTGTGCGGCGTGTGCCGCAAGAAGAATCTGTTGCGGATTCGGCAACGTGGGCGCGTAGAACTGTTGTCCGGCGGTGTAAGCGCCGGCCGTTCGTGTCGGATAGTATTGCTGTGCGGCGGCGGTGAGCGCAGCCGGCATATAACTCGCGGCAGCAGTCCGGTAGGTGTAGGGTGGATCAAAGCGCACCGGCGGATCGTAAGAGTTACCCGTGACAAGCGGTTGGATTTGCGGTTGCTCGAACAGAATGCTCTGTGTGACCTGCTTGCTGGTCCAATGATCCGGATACGTGGCATTGTCGCTGAGCATCGCGTACGTCGAGCCAAACAGTTCGGACGTTGCGGGAACGGAAGAGGTGGATGGCGGCGGAACCGGCCAGTATGGGTCAAGAGGTTGACCAGAGGACATTGTCACCTGAAATCAAATCAATAGTTCACGAGTGCATTTGAAGAGGGGGAAAAAAAAATGCAATTTCTGACCGGAATTAGTTGAAACTGGAATATGCTGCCTATACTCTGTCGAAAAGGTACGAGTGCGCGCGCGCCAATTTGGATAAGATTTTGGGACGCTGATAAGCAAGGCAACATACAGAAGACGTAGAGATTGGGTGGGAGGAGGAGGAGGAGGTGATTAATGAATCAATCAGAAGAGTAAATCAAACGTGATAAAAAGTGACCATGGAATTGTGTGTGTGTGTGTGTGTGTGCGTAGAAAAAGACAGCATCAACCCGACGAAAGCTGCGTTGATTGGTGATAGTGTGAATTGGAATGGAAATGAAAAGAAAAGGAACTTTTTGAAGAACGTTTTGCCCGCATCCATGCTAATTTGATTAGGATTCTAGGTGATAGGATCAAAGTGCAGACAAGGTTGATGTAATCCTGCCCGGCGCCTAAGTGTCTATTGTCCAAGGTTGACTCAAAAATGAGTGAGCTCTCTACTGAAGTGACGTTTTTTTCTTCGACACGTCAAAGTTCGAAAGTTCGTGAGTGTAACGGGGCTTGCTAGAACTGTTAATGATAGTAGTGGAAGTCACAAGACAACCTTTGGTGGCGTAAATCACATTAGAACCGAAGAAAAAGGGAAGGAGAGATGGAAAGTGACCGCGCAAAAGGTCAAGCCGTACACTCCATCTACCAGTACCATTACTGACCAAACTTCCGCTATTACACTCTCACTCTTACGGAAACTTGATGATTATCTTCAAAACGATGGGGGTGGGAAGAGAATTATGACGCAAGTTTAAGGTACTAGTACTACTAGTTAACGAAACCTATACGAGGGCGTAGGGGGAGGAGAATGTTGCCCACTTCTGAGATGGTATCACATTTCTTTACCCCTTACAATGCATGCTATCTCGGATCAAGGTTATCCTATGTCCACTCTGTCTCTCTACAGTAAGACGAGACATTCGAGAGCGCCCCGTTTCTCTACAGGAGGTGAGGCGAGAAAGCTCCCGCGTCCCGCCGTTGTGTGATGTTTTATCAGTTTGCGTGGCGTGTGTGTGTGGACCCAAGGTGAGTGGGCGGGGCTTCAAATGATTGGACCCCGCTCTGATTACCGTAATCACTTCCACTCCGCTCACCTTTCAATTCAAACCATTCACCACAGTATCGCTTTTTCCAGTAGCTCTGGGCGGTTGAAGCATGCACAATGACCTGCAAAGTTTCTGTTTTGTTTTTTTGTTTTGTTGTCATGTTTTTCTGTTTCTATCATCTGTTCGGAAGATGAGAAGAAGATGGGAGAAAGGATGAGAAGAAGAAGAAGAAGAAGAAGAAGAAGAGGAGGAGGAGGAGGAAGAGGTCAAGAAAGGGATAGTGGGGGAAAAGGGAAAAAAAACAGAGAGGAAAAGAGAACGAGTGACCACCCAAGAGAACGTTTGGCTCCATTCTCACGGTGTAGCTTCAGGGCTACCTTAGACTTTGAGAGTTTTGAAGCAAGATAGGCTAAAGTTGGCGGCTAGCTCTATAGCTTTCACTTTCAGAACTCCACTAGCTTCCAGAGCTCCAAAGCATCCTAGAGTCCACCCAAGTCTTGAGCAAAAGCTTTCAAACCGCTGAAATTGCCTTCAAAAGTCTTAAAACCCAAGTAAGTCTCCGGCCGGATGCTCCAAAGACGACGTCTACAGCCGGACCGACAAGAAAACTAAATTTGTGTTAGTGTCGCTCTACGCGCATGCGCTAGCGTTGCCGCTGCTCTTGTCGAGCCGACGAACAAACTCACTTATTTGACATTTTGTCCGCCCTTTTCCGTCGCGTGGTCCTCTTGTGTGCCACAAAAACGCAAAAGCGCCGTCAGTACAGTAGTTGTTGAAGTGCGAGTTCACCCCGAAAAATGCAAGTCACAAAGGTGAGAATTTATCGCGCGCGCGCGCGCGCGGGAGCGCGTGGAATGCCAAAGTTGCCAAAAGGAAAAATGGTCAGGGACCGCTGGTCAAATAGAATAGACGGTAGGGGGTAGCAATGTGTGATCAGAGACCTTGAAATGTTTTAGTGACAAAATGTTAGAAGCTTTCGGTAGGTTGCGTGCAAGTAAGGCCTTGCAAGAGATAGGCGAAGGGTTCTTAATATTGTAAAGTATGAAAATAGGGTGGAGGGAGAACGGGAAGAGGAAGAGAGAGAGAGAGAGAGAGAGTACAAAGGTATTTTAGGTTAAAAAGCTCGAAAAGTGACTTTGAAGTTAGTTCTAGACGAAAGGAAAAGCAGCCTACAGTATTCTGTATCGGCACCGGATTGGAAGAAGTGTCACAAAACGAACTTGACCTAACGAATCAGAGTTCGTGACAAACTGAAAATTAGTTCACTTTTTTTTTTGTTGGAAAAACCGGTTTCCATGCCTACTCGCTCAAAGTAGTACTTGGCACCTACATAGAATACCTAAACGGTGATTGAGATGTGGGGGGAAGGTGAAGGACGGGTAGATGGGAGGGCAAAGAGGAGAGGAGCAATAGCAATTGGCAACATATCCTGCTCCCGAGGCCTATCAGTCTCGGCGGGAGGCAGCACACCAGCCACAAAGTCCCGGGAAGAGGAAGAGGAAGAGGAAGAGAGAGAGAGAGAGAGAGAGAAAGAGTAAGAGACAGACGGACGGACCGATGCAACAGTTGCATTCGGGGCGACGCCGCCGACGATCGGACGACCACGGGAGGCAGTCGAACTAGTGATAGACGAATATTCGGACGTGTTAGTAGAAGGCGAAAGAGAGTGGGACGGGGAGAGAGTGTGGACCCGTGTGTAGTAGGAGAAGGCCACTCGGGCTGGTGAGAATCAGAGAAACGGCCACGGCCATCGACAGGAGGGGCCCATGGCGTCGTGTCGTTGTAACACAAACCGCACACACACACACACACACATATACACACACAGACAGAAATACGCACGATGCGTGTGTGGATCGACGATAGGGTAAGGATCGGATCGGATGGGTAGGGCGCCGTTTGTTGGGCGCCAAGTGGGGACGGACAGATTGATTTGTTGTTGATAGAGATGAAGTGATCGTTGTGTACATCGAAATATCATTGGGTGTGGAAAGAAGGAAACGGATGGTTATTGGCTACCGGAAGTGTGTTCAACAGTTAGCTTGACCTGAGCCAGCTCCGGAAAAGATCAGTCTGAAATCTGATTAGGTTCATTTTTGGGTCTACGTCCTGAGAAAATTGTGAGTGGAATAATCATGAACATTGGTTTGATACACTTTCAGCGTGCGACTAACGACATACGCCAGATTGGAACGATCCTAAGACTACTAGACTCATACTGTCGCAGCTAAGAAGCTCTAGAAAGTCGAAACTTTGACGTGCTGCCAAAAAACATGCCAAGTGGCCTGTGACGCTGTTGAAAATGCGTCGTAGAAATGGAAGAGAATGACCACTCCAAACAATCTAAACAAACTCTCCTATCAAACAATTCAATAATTCAACACCACAGGCGCGCAAATCGAATAAAGTGCAACTTGCGAGCGGAAATTAAACGGGAAAACGCGACGAACGGAAATCCAAACAGATATGTATTTTAGTAGACGTTTAATTGAAACGACGGAATATATGTAGAATAAAACGAGGGCCGGGGGGGGGGTGAGGGCTCTCAACACTTTAGCAACACGACACAACACATCGATGATTGGCTTGTTAAGACCCGTCCGAGTCAAGAAGGACGACTCTACGGGGGAAACTGACGGGGGGTACACTGGCGGGACGGACCACTGATGCATAAATTGGCTTTGACTCGCTAGCCGCCTCAGGGCTCGTTTTCCAGTCGGACCTGTCACTCAACCTTCATGTTCAGGCAGGTTTTCTAAAGGCTTTCGGGCTCGGCGCAGTCAGTGTTATTAGGTATGATGATGAAGCTCTATAGACGTTTGAGAGGTCCCTTCTTCAACGCAAAACTACGCGCTGACAAGCTGTCAGTACCGCTTCATCGAGCTCTTTTATTCGAATGAATAGACGGCTCACTTTGCTACTTTCAAAGGGGTTGATGATCGATGCTGATGGATTCTATAGAAAATTGAAAAGTTGAAGTTTCAGAAAACTTTTGCCTCAAAAATTGTCACGGCAGGACGGAAAGGCACGAAGCGGTGTAATGGAGAAGAAGAAGAAGAAGAAGAAGAAGCACATAACCAGGTGGCATCTCGTAAAAGCCAGCTGTGGATTGGATGAATGAAGGATCGAGAGAACCTGAGAACCTGAGAAACCGAAGCAAAAAAAACGTTTCAGTAGACGTTTGGACGGCGAGAAAACTGGAAGACGGCAGGGGTGTGGCAGGGCATCAGGACTGGCGTTCTAATTTGGAAACTTTGTTGTTGTACAGAACGCATAGCAGACAGTACAATTCTGTGATGACTAAGCAACAAAAAAACAGGCGGCCATTAGTCATAGTCAGAGAAGGAAATTGGTTGTGCCGGTCAAGAAGGCAGAAGTCTTACTGAAACCATAACTCAAGTTGAGACCCTGTCAGACACGTTTCAGTGTTGAGCGGAAGAACTCAACGGAAGAATTTTTATCTTTTTTAGAAAATTTTTTCAGGAAATGTGATCAACTCACGAAATGTATAACAAAGTGAACTCTGCTCATAAAAAAATATTTGTAAATTTAGCTTTTCATACAAAAAAGTTATTCGAGTTGTTCCGTGAAAAAAGGGCTAACGGAGGACGGAACAACTCGAACAACTTTTTTGTATGAAAAGCTGAATTTACAATTATTTTTCTATGAGCATAGTTCACTTTGCTATACATTTCGTCAGTTGATCACATTCCATGAAAAAATTTTCTAAAAAGATTTTAAAAAATTCTTTCGTGTTCTTCCGTTGAGTTCTTTCGCTCAACTCTGGTTGATAGCGTTGCAAGCCCAGATAGAACCCCACCACCACCACCACAATTGTGACCTAATGAGGAGTGGCTCCCGCTCCCGTCCTTGGTTTGAATTTTCTGGCAATCGCAACCAATTTCCAGTCAGAGTAGTTCCAGAGGCCCGGAGCCGATCGCCAGGCTCTTCAGGGCAGCAGCCAAAACCAATTTGCGCCCATCTGCTCTAATACATACATATAGACAGCCCCCCCGCTTTTCGTTTTGCCCAATGTGCCCATCGCCATACACACATACGCATACACTGAATGGCTTGGCCTAGGGCCTAGAGGATGAGGCATCTTAAGCGACAAGGGGCGTCTCGTCCTCAAGACAAGTGCGGGAAGGCAACGGGGACATCGCGGGTGCACACACACACACATTTCCCGCATACAAACGCTCTGATTGTGCTCTTCAGAAGAGCGTCTACTTCTAGAAAACTGACAACGTCGTGCGAAGGAAAGTATTAAGTAGACGGGGGGGAAAAAAAAGAGAACAGCTCATTCTTTCATGGCGTGCCGTCGGTTGTGGCTTTGTGATGAGAAATGGACACGCAAACCAAAGCGAAACCACACTGGGACACTTTCACGACGAGATAAATGACGGTTAGGCTAACACATTTGCTGAAAAATGAAGTGAGAAATGGAAGTAACAAACTCTAACCAACTCCTAAAACTCATTGTGAACCTCGCACGAAAACCAATATGCCCTCTTCTGAAGCAAAGACATGAAGGCGGCGGCGGGGGATCATATTCCTTGCGGCAACAACTTTGAGACGTTGAGATGATGACAACGTCTCAGCGGCTATACCTATACACTTTTTGCAGCTCACATAACACACACTCGTCGGAAAAAGTGCAAAAGAAGTGAATGATCAGAGTAATCCTCAGTGAATCGAGAAAAAGTGGAAGAAAAGTGTAGTGACGAAAAAGCGAGTGGATGAGCAGAGATTAGCAGTTCGCCTCAAGTTAATGCATGACCTAGGAGGAAAAGCTAGGCCACCTGGGCGGGGGGAGCAAGCACCGCTAGAGCTCCATGGAATCTCTCACTTTCTAAACGCGTTTCGTTAGTTCTAGTTCCCACTCGTTTTTCTTTATTTTTTTTGAGAGCACCACATGAAATAAAATAAAATAAAATCATATTGCCTCTGGCTATGACATCTCAGCTCTCTTTCTCTCTCTCTCTCTCTCTCTTTGCACTACGGGGAATGTCTGTGAACTTTTTATGTCTAGGACAGTTTGCAACCGAAACATCCTTTCCATCTTGCGAACTATAGTTCTTGTCTAGTACTCTAGCACTCGCTTAATTATATGGGTGTGGCGTCGGCGAAAAAGGACACCACGAGAATACAGTTTGGAGGGGTAAGGTGTGTCACACGGCCACCGAAAGGGGTCATTGATTGCCATCAAATTGACAACTGTGTCCCCGAACCAATTCCACTTTTACTGCTAAAAGTGTGTCCGCCCGAAACGCGCTCATTACCATACGAAACTGTACTGTTTTGATTAGAAAGTGTACACAAGTTTCAATTTCACACATATGACTCAGAGAAGGCAAAAAAAGGAAGAAGAAGAAGAAGTGGTATATTATAATAGAGTCACGGAAGTCTGGAGCACTTATTATAATGCGAAAATTGAGCAGACGGATCCGGGTATTGCGGAATGGCCGGGTCCGTGGCGAGAGAGGGGGAGTGGCCCCAGGAGAGCGATACCGAAAACGATTCCGAAACGAAATCCATATGTGGCCCTCGGTTGGAAGCGTTGACAAAACTACGAAACGATGTAGATTGGGGCGGAATTCGAATTCAAGACGGGCGGGTGTGAGTTGGTAAAAAGCTATTGCCCCAATAGTGTTGGCTGGGACCTATTTCCTATGCGGCTAGCACACTCACACACACACTCACACACATGTGCGCTTCACTATAATTGGTGTACCTCTCTCACGGGAAACGGCGCGACGAGTCGAGGAAGGAGGGCTCTGTGAGGCCATTGAAATTTATATCGCTCTTCAAGGCGCCGAACTGCCTCGAATACATTGTGATGGTGGACCTGGACAATTGAGACGGGGACCTTAGGCGTCTGAGCTCAGAGCTATGACAACATTGCGTGATGAATAAGGATCGTAAGCAATCGAAATTGTTGATGAAGAGAATCTCTTCTTCAAGAAAGGCAATCAATAAAAACTCCAGGTTTGAAAAGAGAAGCGGTTTGGAGCATTTTTGATCACACAAGTAGCGAGCGCAGCAGCCGGGGCGCAACCTTCTCTCCGTCGCCACGAGAACTGAGAGTAAACAGTTTGAGAGTTTGCGTAACTCTACTGATAACTCTATGAACTATCCTCCTCGGCCCGCTTGTCGTCCTTCAGAGCTCTCCTCCTCTAAAACAGACAAACAGTACGAGAGAGAGTAGGGCTAGGGTGGTAACCGTTTTGAAATTAACACACACACACACACTGACGGAATCGCCGTTCATCATCAAATGTGTGTTGGGTGCGATGAAAAGGAAGAGGGGGCCGGCGCGAATAATGTGAATGGATTCATAAAGCGTGTCAGCAGTGCCCCAGGGTGTGGTCAGAAGAGGCGACGCCGCCTTCCTTACGACCGACGCCGCCGCCGACGATCGCAGCACGACGATAACGGTTGGGAGGCGGCGGGGTCCTTTCAGGCGTTTTTTTGTGTGTGTGTGTGAGGAGTTGAGATGGCCGGATTTGAGAAGCAGGCGGCAATAGGTGAGAAAGTTTGTGAAAGACAAATTTGGGAATAGCTATACTCTGTCGTGGGAACTTCTTCCGCGGCCACAACCTAGGATTAGCAGTAGGAGTGGACCAAACACTTGAACTTTGAGGTTTCGGTTCGCATTCCTATTTGATACCTTTTCCGTGAAAGAACGTAGCTGTGCAGTTGAGAGCTAGAACTTCGTAGGCGTAGGCAGTTCAGTTTAACATTCGATTTCCCATCGACTGTCAAACAAATAAAATGAAATTGGCTGAAATTGCACTGCTGTCCTCCGACGCTGTCTCGTGCCTTACTCTCAACTTTCAACACAAAACGTCTACCACCCCCCATAAACCGTCGTTTTTTTGTGAAAACAGAAAAATTGGACGACAAAAAAGAGCTGGGGGGAAAGCGAGCAGAAGTCAGTTCAAAAGGTATTGGCAGAGGGGGAGAGGGGGGTCTACCAGCAGAGGTATATGGAGCGGAGGGGGGAATATTCATGAATAATCATAGTGAGGAGCATCATTTGAATAATTCATACAAAAGTGAAAGAGGACGACGCACACAGGCACACACTCGAAAACTAATCTCTTCTCGCCCTCGCTTAACTATCTGTACACTAACGGGTGGGCCTACAATATCAACACACCAGAAAAAAGGTGTGATCTCACAAGGCTATGTAGGGTAGGCAATTGAAATTGGTCGAAATTGTGGCAAAAGTATGAGCGGAGGGGAAGTGGAAAGAGAGGGGGGTCGGGAATTCATTACGCGTGATTGATGCAGAACCAAACATGTGTGGGGCCTCCATCCTCTAGTGCGAGGGGAGCACCATGAACATCCGGAGCCGCCGTCGCGCTAACGAGGCCTCCGATGACGATGGAACTTTTGCTGTGGCTGATTGTTTGGATGGACACAAAATTTAAGAAACGGGGGGGGGGTTCTTTTTCAAGCCGGCTCGATTTCGACTGTGAATGTAGACGTAAAAAACGTCTGCCTCTACAGAAAGCTGTTTTCAAGGTTGGTACACGATAGAAGAGGGAGCACAGCTCACAACAAAAGACTATCAATCTCTGTGCCAGTGTAAATTGCAATTGCTACTTCATCTCATCTGTATGTTTGTGTGTTTCAAAAGCGTCACATGACAGAGCGATAAAGATAAAGAGGAGCAACGGAGCAACCAAGTCCGAACACACGCGAAGAGGGGAAGACGACTCTCGGCCAGCTGCTCCGTTTTATTACAACATGCGAAAAAACCGTTTCAGCGGAGAGCTCTCGCCCTGGAATGCAGATGGTCTAGCAGGGTGACTATATGACCACAAAAAAAAGTTGCTAACGGCTCATAAATGTGTGAACGGACACCCTTCGCTTGCTCCTCGGCACTAAACGCACCACTCGCCACGATCTGTGTCGTAAATGATGGGATTGTACAATAGTTGTAGGGACGGAAAAATGTGAAGAAGAAACAACAATCACATGATTTCCAAACGTTTCAATACTACTTTGCAACCGTAAAAATACGCACAGTATCATCTAAAACTGATTGGTTTTCATTTCATTTGATCAGAATGATTAATGAGAGTTCAAATTGAGATGATCGGTTTCTCGTCAATCACGCCACCTCACCCCCATTTCAAATCACCTTTTGTAGAGAAAACAGTACATTAGAACGTTTATTTTCGACGAGAAAAACTGAGGAAATTGGTTATGACGATTGTGAGAGCAACATACAAAAGATAGAGCAAAACGAACGGCATGTACAGGTTTGTGAATAGAATACAAATGTCTTCGGAGCTATTCCTGCCGCTGTGAAAATCTGCGTTTGTGCCGACGGACAAGCGGGTTCGGACGTCGACAACATTCTCATTCTTGCCAAATACGCCTCGTTTGGAACGCGCTTGGCTCTTTTTCGATGAATCTGAAACAGAAGATTCTCGTACCGTCCAAAGATCCTGTCTTGTTGTTACCATAAGGTCCAGGACTAGATCCAACTGGTGGTGCCCCAGCGCCTTCCGGTTTGTCGGTGGTATCCGGAGAACAAACTGGTCTCAAACACTCTTCTCCGGGCTCTTTCACTGTTATGGATATTTGACATTGGAAGAACAGGGCGTCACGATCGGCAAATTTGTAAACGTGGGCTTCCTGATCGAGTTAGATGGCGAAAGAGTCGAGATGATCTTACCTGTCCCGCCAGAAGATTCTCCGGATATTCAATATTCGAAAGCAGAAATCGATCAATGGCGCATCCATTCGAGTCAATCAAGAATGCTCGATCTCCTTTTCCATCGTCAGCGGAGCATGTGTGTACAAGCATACACAGGGAGGCTTCTGAAATAAGTGTTGAAGAGCAGACAAGGAGGCATCACAAACCACTTGCAGTTTCACACTTCCATCTGTGATATACTTGTTGGCCGATGATACCGAATTGAACCGGTTCGCCGGCGGGTCCGCCTTCCAGAATCTTCAATTCAAATTATGCTTTTTTAAAAGAAAAAGGTGTTTAAAAAGTTTGTAACCTGATAAGTGCACACGGGCATGGTAAGATTTCGAGTCGCTGTAACAGTTGCGATATCATCCACTGAAATGTCGTTGCTCACAGTCGCCTCGGCTTCTTTATACAAACAAACGATGTGATAGGTTCGATCGACTTTTGTGATGAAATATGGCTACAAACTCGTATGTTTTGAGGGAACAGTCACATTGAACCCACGTGAAAACTGATCGTAATCGTTGTTCTCACTACTGCGCCTTTCGGGTTGAGAATTCTCTGGCGAAACGCCCCGCAGAGTCCAATTTCGAAATTCAAAAAAGCGGAAAGTTTTCCGGTTCCTCTAGAACTACATACTCTATCCGACGCGAAATCTTTGACAAAAACAGTTCCGACGAATGGACGTTCAGTTTTGATTTGGATGGAAATTGTGCGAGAATCACATTCGACTTGTACGTTGCCTGAAAGTTTATAGCATTTTTCAGAAAAACTCGGGACACTTACCAAGGATCGCGTTTTGAATTGGAATCGTAGTGACGTTTCCGACTACCAGGGAGATTAGAAGGATTGAGAACATATGGTATGCTTTGGCAGAAGCACCTTCATCAGAATGTGGAAGTATCCGCTCGCTCAAGTGTTCTTTTTGAGTGTCTCTCGAACGTTTCCACGCACTGCATTTACTTCTTCTTTGTGGAAGACGCGATAATTGACAAGACTTTTAGGGACCAGGCGACACGCAATCCGCACTTGAAAATCAGTGAATCTAAACCACAAAGGCAGAAACGATCTACTCTTAATTCGATCTGCTCCCATTCTCAACGACACTCCGTTATACCATCGCGCCGGTTATAACAATAGTCTTTGGGAAGACACCGCTGGGCAAGGAGAAAAAAAGAGAGGATCGTTCTGGCGGAAGGAGTGTTTCGAGGCCGTTACAGACAGACGGCTGGAAGAGAGCAGATTGAAACGTGCATGTAGTTTGGTGCGTAACAGTCTGTTTTCTTGATCATCCGGCCACTGTTGACGGTCCGTAGACGAGATGGAGAAATGTCTTTTTGCCCGATCGCTGGGTTGTCTGACACTGGCGGCGGTTAGAATACGCGCTCCGTTGGATTGTTTCTTTTCATCGTCGAAAGTCGCTAATTTTTGAAATTTTCTTCGCTCTTTTCAAATAACTTTTTCCGAAGCGTTTTGCACTTAAGTGCACTTTTTATCACAAAATCACCGTGGCCGGAGTCTATTCGGAAATGGCCGAGTTTTTTGGGTTTCTAGGCCACCGCCTGTCTCACCTCAAATTCCTCAACGCTTCACCGATTTTCGTAAACTTTTCTGTAGATTTTTCATAGAAACAGAATTAAACGTCATTTTTCATTTGTCACTAACACCTGCTTTCATCTGTTTAGTTTTGACAAGTAGAGAACTGCCGAAATTCAATCTTTGCTCATGTTTCTTGTTCGTTGAACAGTCTCCGTAAACTTTAAAAGGCGTGCACCGGTCGACAATTGTCCGCTCGAGAGAAACATGTGTCCTTGACACCGATTCGTATCGATTGATTCCACGTTTCCCATTTTCCGTCATTCAACGCCCTTCCTTTCGTTCGTCGCCGGTTTTCTTTCTCATTCTTTCTTTCTAAATGCAATATTTTTCTTTTTTTAGCGAAGAATGCCTGAGTTGTCGAATGCTGTCGGAGGATCGCAGCAGTTGAACGATGGTTACTACATCCCACTCGTCGGGTTCGGAACGTACAAAGTGGTCGGAAAAGACCTGCTACCGGCAATTGATGCGGCTCTTCTCGCCGGCTATCGCATGTTCGACACCGCAAAGTACTACCACAATGAAAAAGAGCTGGGAGAGGCTTTCAAGGTGAATTTTTATCCCGAACAGCGTACACCTCGACAGGAATTAGAGGTGTCCGTCAGTTTTGGCGTATGCAATAGAGACTTACTTTCCCAGTCCAAACAGATAACTTTCAGGAACTGCTTCCGAAGCACAATCTCAAGCGCAAGGACATTTTCATCACGTCGAAAAGCTTTCCGACTCAAACGGATTGCTACGAAGCGATGTGCGAGCACGTCGAAGACTCACTGAGAAGCCTTCAAGTTGAGTACATTGATCTGTATTTGGTGCACTATCCTAAGCCGAACGACTCGGAAAACGATGATCCGAAGAACCCCGAGTACCGCCAGATTGCCTATCAAGTGCTCGAACAGTACAAAGAAAATGGAAAACTCCGATCGATCGGAGTGTCCAACTACGAAATCGTTCATTTAGAGGAAATGAAGGCGTGGCAGAAGGTGCCTCCAACTGTCAATCAGCTCGAATTCCATCCTCATTTTGCCCGGATTCCACTGCAAGAGTACTGCAAGAAGAACAACATTTTCTTCCAGGTACGTAAATCAATAGTGTATCGTGTTTCCACAAATTTCATACTACTTTTCTGCAGGCATTCTCCTCGCTTGCCAGACACGAGCCAAAGCTCATCGAGGACCCAGTCGTTGTGGAGCTTGCCAAGAAACACGGAACTTCAGTGCCGGTTCGTTCCTCGCATCGAAATTTCGCTAGAAAACATTATTTTTTTCCAGCTCATTCTACTCGCGTGGGCGTTAAGCCAGAAGGTGGGCATCGTGCCAAAATCGGCGACGCCATCCAGAATCCGCGAGAACTTCGACGTGATCAACGTGCACTTGTCGAAAGAGGAGATCGCTTCGCTGACAGCGCTCGACCGTGGTCAGCATTATATTCGGTGCACCGGATGGCTTGTAAAGTAGAAAAATACATATCATTCTTGAAAAACTTTCTTCCGTACCCGGGAATTTTGAGTATACATTTCACCTCGACTTGTCAATTTAATTCGTTTTGTGATAAATTTTTGTGATTCCCCTTTTCTATCAATTTTCAATTCTAACCCATAAAATTTGCTAATATACCTAATTCATTTTGTCATGTTTTTGCATTTTTTTTTTTTAATTTCAGAATGTCGGTAGAACTGAACACCGGTCACAAGATTCCGCTTGTCGGACTCGGAACTTATAAAATTGTGGGCGATCAGGTGATTTTCCGCAAGCGCTTTATAAATAGAACAAAGAATTTGCTTTCAGGTTTTGCCAGCCTTGGACCGAGCTCTAGAAGCCGGGTATCGTCTGTTCGACACGGCAAAGGTGTACAATAATGAGAAAGAAATCGGCGAGGCGCTGGAGGTACTGGCGGTAGAGCGTACTTGTAAACCTATTTTCCGCTGCAGATTCTTCTGCCAAAGTATAATATAAATCGAGAAGACGTCTTCATCACCACTAAACTTCACCCAAACACCACGGAAAATGTGAGAAATTTAGTGGAAGAATCGCTGAGATTGCTGAAAACCAAGTACCTCTGAAAGTAGAAGCGCTTATCAATAAGAGATCACATTTGCAGCTACATCGACTTGTACCTCGTCCATTATCCGAAATCGTTCGCTTTCTCGGACGATGCGCCGGAGAACTCGAAGCTTCGATTTGAGACGTGGCAAGCGCTTGTGTCTGCGAGAAACGAAGGAAAAATCCGATCGATCGGAGTGTCCAGCTATGAAGTTAGACATTTGGAAGAGCTGAAAGATGAAGTACGCATAGGTGCTCCCACGAGAACTTTGGAAATATAACTTTTGTAGGCGGAGGAACCAGTCGTCAATCAAGTGGAATATCATCCGCATTTCACTCGAAAAGAGCTCAAGGACTATTGCACAAGTCATGGAATTTTCTTCCAAGCATTTTCCTCCTTGGCCAGACACAACGAGGCACTCTTTTCGGCGCCAATCGTCACCCAACTTGCGGAGAAATATCACGTTCCCAAGACGGTAAGGGAACTAAAGTCCACTATCGTATCCTGATGGTTCAGACGATTCTTCTGTCATGGGCCACAAGTCAAGGCGTTGGAGTGATTCCGAAATCGACGAATTCGGAACGATTGAGACAGAACCTGAAGGTTGTGAAGTTGAGCGATGAAGATGTGGAGGCGATCTCTGCGCTCAATTTGAACAAGCATTACGTACGAACCACCGGATGGTTGGTCAAGTAAATTCTTCGAATTTAGTATCTTGTTTTGTGGGAGCAATTTTTTACCCTAACTCTACGTAATTCTGATAGTTTTGAAGCAATTCGCCGTACGTGTGAAGATGACTATCAAAAGTCGTTCCCTGACGACTTTTACAGACACATTCCTCACCTTCCTCTTCCGCCTGATCGATTTCATCACATTATCCAGCTGAACGTGAAGCATATCATCCACAGTGTAAAACTGTTGCGAAACCGTTGATTACAGTGGTCGTCCTGGGAAACTTTGAGAAAAAAGTTGCAACGGGAAGGGTCTTGAGGAAAGTGCGTTGCCATTGAAATCCTCGTGCGTTCCCAGGCCAATCTATCATTCCTTCCAACTGATTGATTCCATCACATTATCCTATCCGCAGAGGGCTGAAGAAAGCCCATTATCCATTCATCTCGTAATATTTCGTCTCTCTTCTTGCGACACACCAAGAACTGGTACCTTCTCGCGCGCCACATTGACCATGCACTTTTTCTTTTTTTTTCCCCCTTCTATCGCCGTAGCGTCATCCTCTCACTTTTTTTTTGGCCGTCGCCGAATGACTCCTCATGGCGAGGTTTGCGTAACGCGACGAAAAACGTGTCCTAGGTAGATAGATAGATAGCTAGCTAGCACGATACAAAGCCAGAATTTGATGAATTATCGGCGCCCCGATAAGCTTTCGCCTTCTTTTCTACAAAATTACGTGTACAGGTGTCGCCCTCCCCACGTCCCTGTCGCGCCAAGGTTCTGAGGAGTCTGGGGGGGCGGAGCGGAGACAGTATTGTTTCAAGTTCGAAGAACCGCCCTCCGTTCAGGTTTTCAGAGGTTGTATAAAAGGTTGAGAAGGTAGCTGAGAAGTATAGAATCGAATTCTTCGTTCTTTCCAACAATCATGCAAAAGCTCGTGATCGCCTTCACCACCATCGCCGTCGCCCAGGCCTTCCTTTTCCCGTCCGGAGGAGGCGGAGGATGTGGATGCGCGTAAGTTTTTCAAACTTTTGCTCTGCACCTCTCATTGAGTTCTCTCTGACGTTTTCGAATACCTGTATTCTTGCAGCCCACCACCACCACCACCACCACCGCCATGCGGATGCGGAGGCGGAGGAGCCGGACTCTCGCTCCCACAACTCCCACCACTCCAGCTCCCACAACTCTCGCTGCCATCCCTCGGAGGAGGAGGCGGCTGCGGAGGACCAGCGCCATGCGGAGGAGCCGCTCCAGCAGCGTACGCTGCCCCACCACCGGCCGCCGGATACGCCGCCCCACCACCACCGCCACCAGCCGGATACGCCACCGCTGGACGCAAGTAAACTGTGAAACAACGTTTAGGAATCAAAATTTTTTGTCTGTATCTATGTGACCGTTTTTTTTTTGTTTTGAAAATTGACCCCTTTTCACCGCTTCTCATCATTCCAATCGTTCTCACCGATCCTTCCCAAACTTCACTTGTTTCGCAATAAACTCTTCTTTTCCCTATTTGACTATTGAAAGAAAGCGAATTGCAGACAGACAGTAGACAGAGAAACGCGAGGTTTGAAATGAAAATCTGCCATCGTCTGAATAGGACCATATCCAGTTTTCTTGCGCTTACGCAATTTCGATTCTTCGTCCTACTATGACCAATGGAATGCCAATCGTTTTACTCAACTCCGCCCGTGGCGAGCCAGAGCTCGCGGAGCAGTGCCTGGATTTATTTGGCTTAGGCAGCAGAGACATGTGGCTGAGTCCACGTATTCAATTTTCGTTTTACAGAAACTAGAAAATTTATAGACAGTGACGATAATGACGCAATATCACTAGACGTTATCTTTGTGTCCGAATTTCCGGCTTCGAAACTATAGCAAAAGTATACATGAAATGTAGTTTGAGTAGGATCAGATCATGATGAGAGCGGCAAGAATGAGGAAGTTCGTGAGTGCGGACGCGTGTTTTGCTGTAAGAAAGAATGTCGATGTTGATCGGAGTGCAAGTTTCAGAACTTGAAGTTGGGCGGTTCAGAAGTTTATAGTGTGTATCTACCATATCATATCTCCCTTCAATTACTCCGCGTTCATCCATGATTCTCCATCGTCGTCTTTCCGTCACAAGAATCTTCCGAATCACATATTCGACACAACACACTTTTATGAGTCAAAAAGGGTGTGGGAGAAGGAGGCAGACACAACGGATGATGGCGAAGAGATTCCATCCATATCTGACGACAAGCTTCAAACGATTCCTCCTTCTTGGAGGTCACTCAGTGTGGTTTAAACGCAACAATCATAGCCGTCTCTTTCTAATTTGCGATTGGAGAAAGAACCGGCACAAAGAGAAGTATTCAAAAGGGCATGATGACGAATTGCAGAGGAATTTCGCACAGAAAGAGAGAGAAGGAGGAGGCTTACCACATTTATAATATCATAATGTATGAGGTAAAGCTACTTAGCCAAGAATGCTGTTGTCTACTATGTGTATTATGTACAGTTCAAGGTTGGACAAGCTTACAAGCACGCGTAAGCGGTTTCAGCGACAAGATTGTTCTATCGATGAGGGCAAAGTACTGTGCCGCTCAATTTCTGAAAGCATAACTTGAAAGCTCGGAACCTTTCTGCCCAATACTTGGGAAAACGTTCGGTCACTGTACAGCAATATGAAACAACATTTGGAAAAATGAGGGAAAATGAGCTACCAAACATGAAGCATCTAGAAAGATTGAAGTCAAATTGCAACTAAAATGGGTACTATACAATAGATATATGCGGAAACGTGAAAGGATGTACTTCAAAAGAGCGAGACAACCAAGAATGTTGTGCCACGGAGAAGCCTAGTTCTGGAAACGATTCCTCAATTTCGCCGACGCTTCAGTTCAGTTCCAATTCATGCAATCCTTGCACTTTCCGCCTCATTGGCCGCTGTCTCCTTTCACCGTTACACTCCGATATTGCATTTGACAATCCTGATAATCCTAAATTCTCTTTCTTCCGTCCAGCCAAGCCTTGCCATCGCGTATCTCCTCGTCGTATCGTCGTTTGTCTTCCTCGTCAAAATCCTTGCGCGGAGGTTGTCTGGCAGCAGGTGAAGCGGCGAAAAATCATTGTTGCAGTGCAAAACTTGCCATATCAATTGTCCTTTTGCCGCGCGGAGACGCTGTCGCAATTTCTGGTTTTGCCGAGGCTCGGCCAGATGCCTTTGGCAGCCAACATCTCAATTTCATTTTCACCGAGAAGTGGGCGGGGTCTAATAAGGTTTGTATAAAAGCTGAACGTGAAGAGGAAAAAAATATCCAATCCGTTTGGTTCATTCCTATTCAACTACTTCTCTAGCCATGCAGAAGCTCGTCGTCTTCTTCACCACCATCGCCGCCGCCCAGGCCTTCCTTCTCCCGTCCGGAGGAGGCGGAGGATGTGGATGCGCGTAAGTTTCTCTTCTTGACTTCAACCCTTTACTCCTTCTGCGCTCATCATCCGATGATCCATATTTTCAGCCCACCACCACCACCACCACCGCCATGCGGATGCGGAGGTGGCGCCGGACTCGCTCTTCCACAACTCCCACCACTCCAGCTCCCACAATTCTCGCTGCCATCCCTCGGAGGAGGAGGCTGCGGAGGACCAGCGCCATGCGGAGGAGCCGCTCCACCACCACCACCGGCCGGATACGCCACCGCCCCAGCCGCCCCAGTCGGAGGATACGCCACTGGACCAATCGCCGGAGGATCCTATGCTGCCCCAGCTATCGGAGGAGGAGCCGGAGCCTACCAGGCCGGACCAGCTCCAATCATCGGAGGAGCATCCTACTCTGCCGGACCAGCGCCAGCTATCGGAGGAGCTTCCTACTCTGCCGGACCAGCTCCAGCTATCGGAGGAGCTTCCTACTCTGCCGGACCAGCTCCAGCTATCGGTGGAGCCGCCTACTCTGCCGGACCAGCCGCTGTTGAGGCGGGACCAGCCGGAGGAGCCTACACCGGACCAGTCGGAGGAGCTGCGCCAGCCGGAGGATACGCTCAGGGACACTAGACACTGCGACACACGTTTAGATAGACGCGGATCACGATCCTTTTATTTATTCGTTGTTACCTTGTTGTTATCTGATCACACACCTTTTCTCTGTATATCGTCGAACTGTTTCGGATTGTCTTTTTTCATTTCAAACGAATGAAGTTTACATCTTGCATTTCTGACTTTTTGTGAATTTGAATTCCGCGCCGAATTGATCGACAAACTGCCGATTTTTTCTTTTGGAACAGAGCAATTATTAGAAGAAAAACTGATTGAATACAGGAGAATCGAAGGGGAAATTCACAGTTTTTCCAGAATCCGCCGCCGGCGTGCCCCTCCAATCGATTTTCTGCAAATCTTCAGAAAGCGTTAAAAATTTAGCCTCTCCGTCACCTTTCTATCAATTCCAGACGATCTTTTTGACTTTGATCCGTCTGGAAATGCATAGAAAGGCTGCTGCACTGGAGTCGGAATCCACGATGTTCTGTGCAGCAGCTTGCTTGCTACGTGCCGCACCCTTGCTCAAAATTCTCCGAGTTCTGTCTCAACCCAACTTTTTTTTTCATTGCACATTTTCCCAGAATCTTAAGATCTTTAGTTAATTCTGAAAATGAGATAGGTTCAAAAGTTAAAACATTTTATTCTACAAAAGTACATTGTTCTTTTGATGATCCGATTCGCCGTTCTTCATTCAAATCATTTTATCGCATCCTTATATCCACTCAGACTCGTACTTCTTCTGATGTCTCTCGTCCTCCTTCCCCTTCTCGTCCTCCTTTTCTTTCTCCTTTTCTTTCTCCTCATCCTTCTCTCCTGACGCACTCTGATTGTGAGTTCCCTTTCCGCCTTTCTCCTTCATTCCGCTAAAAACTATTGGAATTGTGCGCTTGTAATTGATGTACTGATTAATGTCGTTGCTTTTCTTGAAAACCGTTTCCCATTCGACGCCTCTCGCAACAACAAGAATTGTGATGGCGAACCTGAGGAAAAAACGAATGAAATCCGCCCGAGATGAATCCAAAAATACCAAATTTTGTGTGGAACATGCTCCCGGGTGCAACCGTTGAAATAGCACTTAAAGATCATCTTCTCGTTGCTGCGCATCTTAGCCATGACCGGAACTGTGTAAAACGACTTGACCGCTGTGTTTCTGAACTTGATCGCCACGTCCGTCTCGCAAAAGTTCGCCACCTCGACCGGAACCATTTGCTTCTTGTCCACAGGATCGAATGAAATCGATTGAGATGGTTTGAAGAGCACCTTGTCGATAAGATCCTCTCTAACCGCCATACTTTTGTGAGGGAACCCGAAATGAGGGGTTACGTTTCGATTATTCGTGTGAAAGGGTCATCGGCGTGAACTATCTCCGCAAAAAGTTTGTCAAAAGTTGAATCTCCCCCGTTTTTCAGAACTATTTCCAGATTCCCCATCATTTTGATCGTCTCTGTTCCTTGCCAACTTTTGCCAATTATCGATTGTTGTGCTCAACAGGAAATCATTTTCAAGAGTCGATGTAAACCGTGCTCTTCCATCACTTCTGTCGAGTGTTGAGCCCTCACTGTTATTGTACACTTACGGAACGACTGTTCCGTTATCTATTGTCCTATATTCTCACATCAATTGTTTTTATTATGATTCAGAACACATTCCATTCCTTCTCGACGATTGTGTTATTATAATATTCAGTGTTTTGTTCCCTTCACACGTCTTCCCGTCACATTGCAAACTTGGTTGCAAAATGAAGAAATGTTGTTGTAATAAATACGTTATCAAATCATATCATATGAAATCCAATCAACTCAAATCACAGCAGAGTCTAGTTGGGCGGGCTCAGTTCAATCTTTGAGCGCCAACCCTACCGTAATACTTTCATTCACTTCCTGCATGTTTCAGAGATGGTTGAGCCATGATCTAATCCGTTCAACACATCCCGGTCTGAGTGTCTAACGGCCAGGCGCAGAGCCACAAACGAACGCCCGAAACACTTTCTGATCACAAGACACTACTTGCTCTTTCGTTCTGCTTCCTGCTCAAATGAGCACTCGTCAAAACAAGATGGAGAAGAAGAGGAAGAGCTCGTTCCGAGACGAGGCGTTTTTGTTTTGTTTTGTTCTGTTTCTTCTTCTTCTCCTCCTCCTCACGCGGCTCTTCCTCCAGGAGAATGTGTGATCACATTCGTCCTGAGGTCACTGGCAATCATCGGAAGGGATAGAAATAGTTCGAGTCTGTAGAGTCAGGTGGTGGGTTCGAGGGAGAAGACGATTCTATTGCGCACAAACCTAATATTTAGGATCCGACTACGAAACGAAAAGCGGATGATCTGCCGGATCTGGTTTTGATAAACATTAATTCAAAAACCACTCCTGTCTTGGTTTAGTTCAGATTATTTTAAAGTGGGTGTCTTTTTCCACTGGCACCACTCCTCGTCCCTGTGGCTCCAGTTTATTGACTCCAATCTCTTAAACTAGCCTAACTATCATGTAGAAATATACCGACATTGTCTTCCTTCTAAAGAGCGGAGCCAATTGGAGTCGTACTGTAGAAAAAAGAAGAAAATATTGAAGACACACCGCACATCATGTTGATCGCTTCACTTTGAACGGATTCTCTTGTGAACAAGCCAATAACCTCCTCCGTCACGTCAATTCGAACTTATTGTGCTGATCTTGCACACGCCGCATTATAGTCGTGCACTTTTCCTCCTCCGATGATGATGATTTGGCTTCACTTCTTCACTCTCTCGATAACACGATGATAGCAAACTTTGACAAAATGACAAATGTCCAATTTCCCTCTTCAATAGGCTCATCAATCCGTGAAATGAAGCAAACGGTGGAGCGGTTTCATCACTGCTTTCCTTAAAAGCCGGAAATGTATATTATCGTCTCTCTCTCTCTCTTTCTCTCTTTCTCGTTCTTGGTGCTCTCACGTTGAGCAGAAAATTGTTAGAACCGCCGTGCTCATTTTCGGCTCACGACGCCCTCTTTCCGCTTCGTTCTGATTACTATGATTAGAAGGGGGGGCAACATGTAATGAAAGACTAGTAAAGAGAGGAAAGGAGAGAGAGAGAGAGAGAAAAGAGCACACGGAGGCCACCTGCCCCCCACAACACCGACAAAACATCAACAGCGGCACAAAGGGTGTCGCTCTGCTCGCGGACGCCAAACCACAAAAAAAACATGCCTCTCTCTCTCTCTCTCTCTCTCCTCGCTTACCTCAACATTATCATCAGCTTTTGTGACATTTTTTCTCAAGTTATCTAGTTCCACTCGTCCTCGTTGAGCCTAGCCCTATTTCTGAGTCCAACCAATCTACAAAGCTCCGAAACTGTATGTCCCGACTAACCTAGAACCGAATCATTCTGACGCTGAAACTCCAAAGCGTGGTTCTGACCCAGCTGGTTGACAAATAAGCCCAAGTGTCCTTCGCATGTGTTTCTTCGGTGGTCGCGGTGCCCTTCTCCGTCTCGTTCTAACTAACCGCTTACTCATTGCTTGTTCTCTGTCGGTTTTTGCGCAACATACATATACAATATTCAAAATCTGTCCTTGTGCGTGCAGAGAAACTCAATCACAATCGTTATGACAAATCCGAAACAAAACACACACAGTCGTTTTGTTTCAAAAACAAAGTTCTTCTTTCTTTCATCTTCTTTCCCCACCGTGTGCCCTGTCCAATGCGATCTGTCATCACCTCATCCCCTTTCCATTACTATCATCACCAGTTCACCCATCCACGAGAACCTTCTTAGAATCTCTTTTGTTTGTTCCTTCGCTGATATGTGTCCCGAGTGTCCTCCTCCCGGCTATCAATTTAGTTTCTTCTTCTCTGTCCGATTAAAAAGAAGAATAATCACAAACAGTCATCGGTCTTCCTTCTCTCAAGGTGTCTAAAGACTTGATCATCAGTTTGTGATTTAAAAAAATCCCAGTATCAGAAAGATCATGCATCGCCTCCTCTTCGTCTTCTGTGCTTTTTTTGTTCTGCTCAACCTGATGTGTTGCTTGTTTCTCTGCAGTTTGAGAGAAGAAGTTGAGGAAAGAGTGGCCGAATTGTGAGGAACTTGTGCTCCCTGATTATCCAGAGCCGAGAAGCTCTTTGAGCTATGCCAGGTGTTGAGAGAATGTGATCCGTTTGTGTGGAAATGTTATGTGATTGAAGAGGGGACAAGGTGCGTGTCAGCTGATCAAGAAGTTTCAGCGATTTTCAACTTTGACAGTGAAAATGAGGGCCGTTCTGGAATGACAAAACTCGTACATCAATGAAAAATCAGTCTAATCAGGGATTGAGGAAGTGTACAGAGTTTACCATAAGAAGTTAGCACGGAGGTCTCTATCAATTGCCGACTGCCCGACAAAAGAGTGTCAAAAAGACAGTGATTCAACACGACACGGGTCTTTCCTTTTCGCAGTCGTCCGTGTAGGTACATGGACATAAATCACGGCGAACCCCGATCGGCGCATCCATCCATCCATCCATCAGTCGGCCGATCATCATCACCATCATCATCATCATCATCGTCGTTTTGTGTCTGAGAGATGGGTTCGGCGGTTCTTCTTCTCCGTTTCTTTCTCACTCCTCACCGCCGCCATTCCTTTGCTTATCACCGTTATCACCTTCTCCATTGTTACAACAATGTCTCCGCTCCCCCCCCCTCCCCTTCTCCTTCTTCCACCCACAATATCAATTCTTTTTTTTGTGTTTCTTCTTCCGACGCGCATTCGCTTGTTGCTGCTGTTGTGCAAGCAACACCTTGGTCACTTCTTCTTCAAAGAAGTACACTTTTTCAGTACTACCGTAGCCCACACTCTCATGGCATCTACCGTACCCGAACTCCTCAATTCGGAGCATCTAGATCCAGGACAGTGGGAGTCGAATTTCGTTGAGTTTTGTGTGAGTTCTCGTGTACTTTTCGATGTTCTATGGGACTTCACGGCTTTCCAGAAGAACCTCTTGTTCGCAAGCCACCACAAAGAGTGCACCTCGTCTTCGGAACTCCTTCAAAAAGTGGTGGCTCTCCGTTGCATTCAAGAGCACGGAATTCTGAGGTCAGTGAGCCGGAATTTTGAGGGCGATTGCCTGGCCGAATGGGAAACAAGAGTGGTTTTTGCTTTTCGTTCGCTATCTCCGAATTTTCGCTCGCGGCCGTCCGTTATCAGGCAGGCGCCTTTAGTCAGCAGCAAACGAAACAATTTGTTTCTTTTCTTTCCAACAGATTGATGGGGGGGGAGACAAAAGTGGAAGGCGGGGAAGGAGAATGGTCATGTGATGTATGCGCACTTACTGCTAGCACCATTGTACTTTGACTTTTTTTGAAATTGTTCGCGGAAGGAAAGAAATAGAGATTGATAGTGAGACAATGCGGTCAAAGTAGGGGAAGGCGGGCAAGTTAATGAAGTGTAGGCATACTGTAGGACACTATCTTTTCCAGAAACCACGAATCAATGCGTCAAGAAGCTGCTTCCTACAATTTCAGCACTTACAAACAGCCCTACCTCTTCCCCGGCTTCATCTCCCCACTCCAGCCGTCCACCTCGAATCCGCTGTTCAACATTCCGATTGTCGATGAAGATCAGGATCCGTCGACACCTTTCAAACTTCCGCTCTACTTTCATTCGGTCACCTTCATCATCAATAAACTCGCGAAAGAGGGAGTTGATCGGATCGTTGCTGAAGACTTGGCGTTGGATCATTTGTCCACGCCGACTGCAAATCCACGCAGTTTCATGTCGAAGGTGGTGTGCAACGGATCGCCAATATGGAAGATTGACGAAGTGACCGTTGATTTCATCAAAACCGTGCTCAAACGTCTTCATGTAAGTTCCGCCGAATCTCTCTATTGTGGCCCAGTAGCTACTAGCTAGCAATATGTTTGTTCAGAAGCACGAGGAGTTCTCCACAGACGGTGCTCCGTACCCATTCGACGTCAAATCTGCTCTGCGCTTCTCCGAGCACCTTCACAATCAGATTCCACCACTTGTGGTAAGCGACAGACAGCACACTGCTATCCTATCCTACCGTAACCTTTCCCAGGCGATCACCCCTCCCTACATCGCTCACGAAGTCTCCATAACCCTCACGGCAATGGGAAGATTCATGGCGATGCATGAAATTGTGAGCAACCGAACGTGTCTTGCAACTTTTCCAGAAGAAAAACCATTTCAGAACGTTGATATCCAACTCCTTTTCCCAGTGGAAACCGCAAGTGTGGACGAGTACGCCTACCACTCAGCCGTCTTTTGGACGTATCGCGAAGCGTTCAAAAAGTATTATTATCCGACTATGATGGCTCCACTACCGCCAAAATTTCTTCTTACGGTACGTCTACTCAAACTATTCGCTTTTCAACTAGCGCAGAAGTTGTAGGACAAAGAAAGCGCCATGCTTCGTCAGTACTGGGACGCTGGAAATCGTCATGTGACCGCATCGGAGTCAGCAATGTTGGCCAGAAGATGTGATAGTTTGGCGCCGTTTCAGGTAGACTCTCTACTGTTAGTGTATGATCACTTTGGACTCGTTTTCAGGTGTACGGCTACTTTGAACAACGTCGTCGCCGAGAGTACAGAAGATATCGGTTAGTGAGAGTCTGACCGCACATAGCCCATTCTAGCAATATTTTCAGTGACAACACCGATGAAGAGGCATTGGCCATCGAATCCACTAGAAGTCTGAAGAACTTGCGACAGATCGGCTTCAAGCGAGAAAAGTTCCGACCAAACCTTCAAGACGATTCGGGGCTCGATGTAAGTGAAACTTTAGGTTGAGCTCTCGCGCTCTGACGCACTTTTGGATCCTTTTAGCTTTCAGAAGCATGAGATTGAAAAGCTGAACCTTCTCTATCAGCTCGGACACCGTGATCCCGGCATTAATGAGTGTGAGCTTCTCGCCTCGAGCCTGAATATCGAAGATAGTGTTCAGGTGAGTCTAGAACCCCGGATCTCTACAATAACCTAGTCAATGTTTCAGATCAAGCTTTATTTCATGGGTCGCGACGAGGAAAGCCGTTTGAAACGCAATAAATAATCATCAATTCACACTCGTTGCTTGTAAACTAAATACCTCCTCATCCCATTTTCCCCCTGTTAACATGTTCCACGACTCTTCGCTTCCCTTTCTTTTTCCAAGACACCAACCATATCCTGCAGCTCTCTTCTTCGCTTTCCTCTTTCAAATGTAGAATGATATCGTAGGCCATGTAGTACTTGTGCTCGCATAATAAAGTGATACTGTTCAATCACAAACATTTTGTCGTTTCTTTGTTCTCCTCCTCCGGGACAATTGGACTCGTCCGCTCTCTTATCAGTGCCACCGAGTGGAAACGAGCCACTCTCATGCCACTTTTAACTCTCGGTTTTCACTTTTTGCATAAGTTGTGAGCAATAACTTCTCTTGTTCGAATCTTGTATACGACTGGACTTCTTTGGGGGACAAGAAGTAGGAAACTAGGTTGTTATTAGCCCTACTACTAATGTGATGATGATGAAGGGGTTCGGAAAAGTTCAGCGCTCGAGTAGAGATGAAGAGAGATAGAGGGAAGGTAAGAGCACAAACAGGAGTTCACATGACTCTTTGAGGTGCTTGCACTTCTCGCTGTATTCAAATTGTATCCCTTTTTTCCTCTCTTTTTTCAAAAGTGTGCCAGAGAGGGCACTACTTATAAAACTATTCCGTAATCAAAAGTACACACCTTCTTCTCTGAGGAAACGTGCCCGCTACTCTCGTTTCCTATCCCATCATCACCGTCCAATTAGATGTATCACTTCCACAGCCTCCTCCGCCTCCCCCATCCATCTTTCTCTTTTTTATCATTCCACAACCAACATTGATGTTCTTTATCTTTCGTTCTTGATTTGAATGGTTTTGAAGCAAGCGCTAGTCCAGTCACTGTTTAGATGCAAAAGATTGAAGAGCCCGGGTGTTCTTCATCTGCAAATGGTTCTCATCGTGCTCATCCGCATCCAGAAGCTAAGATAGAGCAGTAAGCTTCCCTTCGGTCACCTGAAAACACGTGTACATTAGCCATTTAGCAATCCGTTCAACGAACGCCCAATCTGGAACCGAGTCTGTCACGAGCACATCGCGTCGGCTAGAAAAATCAGAAGTCTTCTACTCGTCATTGCCTCAAATCTCGTTGCTTTCATCGAAAATATAGTGGGAGTAGGACCAAACTCTGGGAATCCAGCAGTGAGTAGTCATGAGCTCTGGTTAGTGAGTCGTGTGCTCTTTTCAGGAGCTGCTCTCCAAGATCATACTCTGCTTTGTGCAACGTACCGTTGAGCAAGAAAGCTATGTGAGCTCGCCAAACACGGTTTTCCGCAGAGGCAAAGCGTTATTTCAGGGCCATGAAAACTTTCTAGAGATGCTGTTCGACAAGTTTCCCGGGTTCGATCCGGTGAGTTTTAAATCGTGTGTTGATTAGCGTTAAGTGCTTCGTTTCCAGAAAGGCATGAAATACCAAGAGGTCTACATTTCCATTGCGCCAATGATCGACGATGTGAACTGGTTCCGAATGAAGTTCGACAGACGAGACTCGAAAGAAGCGTATGGCAGTTTGGCAAAGATCATCCACGTTTACCTGGTATCAAGTCTCACTCTTACACTAATGTACACTACTAACTAATTAAGCTGAGCACCAACTTTGGTGTGACGCGCTCGGAAGCCGATCAACTGCTCCTGGCCATTTATATGACAAGTGTGTGGTGTGCGATTCTTAGGAAAAACCCGACCGCTCTACAACGTGGTCCCATTGTCGACAACGAGGATTTGGAATCCTATATCGAGTCGTGGATCTTTGATCCGTTTTTCAAAAACTTCTACGGAATGTTCGTCGCCTCGTGTGTTCACATCATCGAACTGGGCGAACAACACGAGAAGAAGCTTCAGCCGGAGTCTTCGGACGCCTTACCTCAGGTCGAACATGTCGCAATTGCTCCGCCCCCAGGGCTCGGCGAGCATCATTCACTCTCGCAAAGAGGAAACGCTGTTCCGGTTGGAATGTCAGTCCATCCGACATGGAATTCAAGCCCTTATGGTCCAGGAACATTCGATCAAGAGCTTTGGTACGGAAGCGGAGCGTTGAATCCACAGATGATTCCACAACAAACATATCCACACCATGCTGTTGTCCAGCCGTGTCCCCCGTTCCCTTATAACTTTATGGAGCCTGGTCCCTCATCTCTAGAGTCCATTACCGCCACGTCAACAGCAACTCCGAAAGCGCCGAGAAAGCGGAAAAATGCAGATCAAACAAAGTTCCAAGCCCTTCCGAGCATTGATGAACTGGTAACCGTGTCCCGTCTCTTCTGAAAACGTCTCACTACTCTCGCTCTCAGTTTCAGACCAATTTCCAAACGTCACCGTCGAGCAACCGCAAAAAGGGCCCGAAACCAGGTACCCCGTATAGGGAGCGAATAACGGTTCATTCGACTCTGCTACGTGGCATCAGAGGGACAATGAGGTGTTCGTTTGCAGGCCGAGTCGAGCCGGATTCTTCAAATCGAGGCGGCGATGCTGCCACCGACGCCCGGTAGATTTTCGAAGAGAGAGATCAGCGAGCGGACCCACATTTCTCTGTATCAGGTGAATTGACCGTTTTCATGGAATTTGATGACCATTGACCGACTTTTTTCTCTTACAGGTAAAAAGCTTCTTCAATCGAAAAACGGCGGAGATGAAACGAATAAGAGAGGGAAGAAGCCTGACTGCACGACAACGAACATTTCGAAGACTTCATGGAATTCATTACTTCTGAACTTCACCTCCCACTTCCTATTTTTTGTCTGCCAAGCCTTTTCTTGCACTTCCTCCTCTTTTCGCATTGGTTTTTTGAAGAACTTTGTAAACTTCTCTCGAACAAAAGTCAATCTATCTTCTATTTTCATATGGTTCGGCCGAACTGGTCTCTCGACGTCATCATTTCGTTTTTGTCAAAACCATCAATGCATTCTGTGTTCTGATAACGTTGATTAATAGTGATAACACCGAGTGAAGTCGGGAGGAAAGCACGAACGGATGAAACTGAACATATAGTTTCGGGGAAAACGTATTTTGGGATCGGTCATTCCCAATACAGTCCCCCAGTTTGATGCGGATTGTAAGACCTGAGACCGGAAAGTTCCATCGAGAATATCTCATCTTTTGCACATCATTGCCGCCGATCAAGTGCTCACGACGAAAAAAAGTGCAAGCGGCGCTCATCGGAACAGTTGTCATTCGGCCGGGAGGTGGAGCAGGGGCCACGACGAGACAAGGAGCACAGTCGTTTTTCGGAAACAATCAGTGTGTAATAGTGCATCGCTAGACGACGTTTCAAGTTCACTCTTCCCATCTGAAATCTACTAATGATGGAGCAACAAGGACTCGAGGCTCTCCAGCAAGAGGTATGTTGTGTATACTTTATTCACCTCATCTCAGTCCACATTCTGCTCCATTCCTTTGTCTCAATTCCATTTTCAATCAATTTTATCGGCCTCCTTTGTCTCCGCTGCCAATATTCGCGTATTTTTTGCACACACACACACGCGCGTGTCCCGCCACGAAAAAGCACCGATGATAAGAACAAAGTTGGGAAAGAGCATTGAACTTTTCAGAGAATCAGAGGGGGGAGACTACTTTTGCGGTTATCAGTGCCGGTGTTGTGCACTTCTTCGAGAACCGCTCTCGGCTACCGCTGACTGTGCACACTTTTCAGGAGAACATGGACTATGAAACATTGATGCGGCTGGCGGCTGAGATCGTCTCCAGAAAGAGGAAGGACGAACGTGAGAGTGTTCAATCGAAGAGGGCAAAGACTTTTCTGCCACAGGTACCAAAAAAGTTCAGATTGTATTGTACTCTTCAATTATTTCCATAGACACCGGACGAGCTGGCTCAACCATTAACCGCAGCTGCTGAGAGCCGCTCGCAAAGTCCAGTGAGAAGCCTGCAACCAAATATTATCTCACAACATTTATTTTGGCAGGTTTTCAAAGTTCCACGATTGCCGAAATATAAGAGGAAAGATGTGTTGAAGTATGCGCAAAATGATGTTGTCATTGAAGTGAAGCGACTTTCTGAGGTAGTTTTGATCAGTTTTCTAATTTCAGATGAGCTACTATTCAACTATCTTTGGATCTGTAGACATACCGAGCATAGTTCGCCCTTTAAATGTCGTAGAGGTTGGAGACAAATCAATATTCGCACCTGAACATGTGGTGCGAGCTCAAGAACTCGCCAAAAAGCAATCAAAAGAAGTCGAAGCGATATTTGGTGTTGAGCCAAACTCTGTAAGTTAACGCTTCCCATAAATTTACTCGCTTACCCTCACTTTCAGACTTCTCCAGCCGTCAAAGCTCTGCAACAACTCGTTCAACTCAACCTTCAACCTCCCCCAGTCTTCCTCACAAGCGCTGAAAAGTTCATGACGATCGGAAAACGCATCTACGACCACATTTCCCGACGTGTTCGGCCATCATCACACGTTCGAGACAAGTTCATCCTTTTCGGACAGGCGCTCACACAAGACCTCCATCAATCGTGGCTCAACAATAACGATCTGAAACTCGAGCACTTTCTGTTGAGCCCGTTCCCAAATCTGCAAGCCGATCAGGAGAAAGTCATTCGAAGTTTGTCAACGATGACGTTGAACTCGAAATGGAATGAGCTTGCCGTCGACTACGAAAAGTTCATAAAGTGCTGGACGATTCTGATTGGGAGTGTCACGGTGGAAGTTCGTTGTTTTCCTCTTGATTGATTGTCAACCGAACAACAAGAGCTGTTTCAGGGTGATCCACGGGAAAAGTGTGGAATTATCATTGGTGTTCAGATTTTCAGTCTACTATACGCAGTCGCGATAAAGGTTTGTGATGATAGTACCAGAAATGCAATAAACTGGTAAAGAAAGTGTGATTTCAGAACCCAAACGTGTTTAACACTCAAGAAAACGTGCCATTGGAAGACTTTTTCAAAGCATTTTTCGAGTGTCAGCACTCCGCACAAATCGTGGAGTTTATTATAATAAAATTTATGAAATGCAATGACAAGTCGGATAAAATTAAACGGGATGAAGCTAGAAAGGTGAGTCCCTTTTTGCAACCGGAAGGGAACGTTTTACAAGCCAGACTTCTCATGCTAACTATTCGACTTTGCAGAAACTCCCATGACCATCTTCACAGTAAACACCAGAGTTGAGCAGAAGAGCTCAACGGAAGAACACGGAAGAATTTTTATCTTTTTTAGAAAATTTTACCATGGAATGGGATCAACTGACGAAATGTATAGAAAAATGAATTCTGTTCATAGAAAAATAATTGTAAATTTAGCTTTTCATACAAAAAAGTTATTCGAGTTGTTCCGTGAAAAAAGGGCTAATGGAAGACGAAAGGACAACAACTCGAATAACTTTTTTGTATGAGAAGCTAAATTTACAATTATTTTTCTATGAACAGAATTCACTTTTCTATACATTTTGTCAGTTGATCACATTCCATGAAAAAATTTTCTAAAAAAGATAAAAATTCTTCCGTGTTCTTCCGTTGAGTTTTTCCGCTCAACTCTGGTAAACACTTTCGACGGACCTTAAGTTACTGTACGCATTGTTTCCTTCTGTTCTATGTATGGAATTAAGTAAATGTGTGATTAAATTACTGATTTTTCTGGTTTCGTGTGAAAATCGGGTTCGAAACTGGTACTAATAGTAAGAGAGACCATCTGAAACCAGTGTTTTACCAACATAAGTTTCTCTTAGACTTTGCCTACGAAACCGTTATCAGATAGACATCAATGGCAAATGAAAGTGTGCAAACATTGAGGGAAATTGTGTGTGTGTGTGCAAAATTCTATTTCACATATTGCTATTATCGACTTCTTTACTATGTCCTCTTCAATTAATGATCTCAACGTTCAAATGGTTCTGAAGCTGGCCCGGAGCATCATGGATACCCTGACAGAAAAAGAGCTCAAAGAAGCGGCGAGTGTTCATGTTAGTTATTCGTCTGTATGCTCACACAATAATGGCATGTAAATTGAAGATTTTATTCTACGATGACACGATGTGCTACACTCGGAAGCCGCTGAAGCCAATGGAAAGAAAACAGTTTCGCAGTCGATTGAAGGTATTTTCACTTTTTTCCACTAAAAACTGATCAGTTTGTTGTTCAGAAAGAGCATAAAGAGATATTGGAGAAGTTGCTGAAAGTTCCGATGCCTGATGTCACTTTGTCTGAGTACAGTAGACAAATCGAGAAACAGTACGATATTCCATTCGATAAGGTATAATGCCCATCAAGCGAATGGTTATGATAAATTTTTTATTTCAGGTTAGGAGCTTCTTTCAATACGCGAAGAAGCATGGGAAGATCATTTCAAGTCCGGAGTAGCCTTCTTTTTTTCAAGACTACCGTTGTCATACCAATAAATCGTGAGCTAACTTCATGAACTCTCTTCGAGTCATTTGAGTCATGAAACGCCTCCTAAAATGTTGTAAATGTTCAATCAATTCCACTTTGCCTTTGCCCCTGTGGCGTTGAAACGACGGTTATCAGTTTTCGTCGCTCCCAACAAAGCGCAGAATGAAGGGAGCTGCGATTGACACTCGAACAAAAACGATTGTAGCTGGGGGGCGTGACCAGAGTACGGTACATCACACGATGTTTGGCTATTGTCTGATTAGAAGCGGTTGGCTCTTCATTCGTGTTGTCGGACGCTCGGAAGAGAGACGTGCTGCTGCTCGTAGCACTTTCTTCTTCTTCTTCTTCTTCTTCCTCTGCTACTCGCTACTCTTCGCAATGCTCTCATCGAACGACAACACCGCCGAACGCGATTCGGTCATCAAATTCGTGTCTTCTGATGGAACAATCACAACTGAGACTGTAAGCTACTCTCTTGGAAATGAAGCTCTATAACTTTTTGAAGCTGCTCAACGACAATTCTGTCCCGGTGATGAACTTGGCCCCAACTCTGTCTCCCCCAACAGCCTATCCACTCTGCCGACCAGCTATCAATCCAGATCCACTGCAAGCCTATCCAATAGTAAGCATGATCACACAAAAAGAGACACATATAGGTTCAACAGGAGAACAACCACTCGAGCACCGACTCCAATCAACCTGCCGCTCCTGTTCCTCCGGAGCCAGCGCCGCTAGACGATGGAGCCGTCACACAAACCTTGTCCTACTATCAATTACTTTCTTTAATGTCGCTTTTCTCGTATCAAAATGATATTAACTCGTTGAATAATAATAATAATAATAATAATAATGAATAAGCGCTTTTTGGCCCGTTCTCAGTCTTTTGTTAATTCTGATCGTTGTGGGGTCACCAGGACCATAGTACATCCAATGTAAAATTACAACAAAAACTCTCACTTTCACAATCATACGTTCGGTCATCTCTCTCTCTCTTCATCGTAAAGGGATGATTCTTGTTACAAACCTGTTCGTTATCAGTACGTTTTGCCTTTATGTTTTTCAACGCGACGCAGAAATATAGAATACCTTCGCTTCTTGGGATCAATCTGCCCGCCTGACGCGTGTTCTTATCATCATCAGCGGTCGGGTGGACGGGAGAAAAGTACGTTTCGCGAAGAAAATGAGCGCCAACGGAACGTCAGAGATGCACAATACTTGTTCAATTGAAGCAGTTGCCATCGTTGTATCCGACTATGTTTTCCCAAAATGCTGCTGAAAACGGCGTGTGAAGAGAAGAATCAAATCAGCAGTTGATAGTTGCGAAATGTGTGATCACAGTGGCCAAAAGTCCCGAGACGTACAGTACCTACGTGAGAAAACCTTCTACACCCATCATCAATTCGCTTCGTGTGAAAAGAAGGCCGTATCAATCGGTCTCCCAAAACTTCCTCGACCCACCCCCTCCTTTTTCGAGAAAAAAATGACATTCTCCCCAGTGTCGCTAGGCAAATGTCCACCAACTTTAACCCTCCCATGCAGAACATTGTCCGAGCCGCAGTCATCTGGAGGTCTTCATCATCGACAAGCTCGCCGAGATTCGCGGCATGTGTCTCTGATAATTTCACATCATCAATCATCCAATTTCAAGGTTTGTACACTAGTTTTTCAGGTAATGATGTGTCGGATTTTCAGAAGAGAAGTTGTCCTTGCATGGCCTACATCAAAAAATGACCGGCGTTCTCGATTCGATTCAATTTCTTCACGACTGTGTTCAGAAAGAAGCCACTCCAAGACGAAGAGGTCGTTCTTCTTCAAACCGTTCGGCAAGCTAAAAAGTTCGCGCAGATTGTAACAATTGTGAAAAGAGAAGTGCGTCTGCCGGTCAGAACCTCAGAAATCATCATTCAATCATTTTTTCTTCGACTCAATAAAGTCGGTTATCATCAATGTTACGTTTCTATTTGCCGATTTCGATCAATGTTGTGGAATAAACCTCTGTTATCATTGTCATGTGGAATTGTATTAACGCGACACACACGCATTATGTGAAGATGACGATGTGTCTGGAAAACTACCAGAAAACTACCGGTAAAGTCGGAAATGTCCAGATTGCTGCCTCTTAAGGACAATCTGAACATTTCCGACTCTCTGGCTCGGTACAGGCATTCTAGTGGGTGCAATTGAGTTAAAAGTGAAGGACAATGACAAAAGGAAGATATTCAGACAGTTAGAAGGACCTAACACCGAAGTCGTATCAAAAATAAACGAGCTTCTCTACGCTGTTGGTGGTCGGCGCCTTCATCAGAATCTCTCCATCAGAATTCCACATTGAGAACGGCGGACGCTCGGACGGCAGCCACTTGCGTGCGATCCTTCCAGTTCATCGACCCCTCCATACCTTCTACAGTCTTCTGCTGCTTTCAGCAAGTGTCTATTGCCTTCTTCAGGCTTCTCTGAATCCCTCCTCATTAGAATTCCACATTGAGAAGCTTTGACGCTGGGACGGCAGCCGCTGCCAGTGAGGAGAGGCACTCACGTGCGATCCTTCCAGTACATCGAGCCCTTCGTACCTTCTACAGACTTCTCCTGCGTTCAGAAGGCTTCAAAAGCCTTCTCTAGGCTTCTTAGAATCCTCGCCGTTCAGAATTCCACTATACCAGCTTGGACGCTCGGACGGCAGCCTCTGCCAGCGAGCAGACGGTCCTTCCAGTTCGCCGTCCTCTCCCTGCCATTCACGTGCTCCTGCGGCCTCAGATGCCTTCTCTAGGCTTCTCAAAATCCTCGCCGTTCAGAATTCCACTATGACATCGTCGGGTGCTCGGAGAGCAGCCACTCCGCTAACAGTTCCACGCTATTTTCAAACAGAAAGAGATTGTGAAGAAGGTGAATAAATTTTATCGGGATTTTTTTTCTCACATTTCTCACTGGAAGAGTCATTTCTAATATCCCGGGAAACGCAAAACAATTGAATTGAACTCATTCGAATTGTCACGTGAGAGTCAGAAAAGGCGTACATATCATTTTAGAATTTGACAAAGAAAAACCTTGTATTTGGCAGCAACAGCATCAGCGTGAAATCCCGAAAAAATGTGGAGGGAATATCATCTACCGTTGAAAAAGTTGTACGACTTGACTGAAGTGTACAACTTATACCAAGAGTCGAAAGATGTTTCCACTTCTATGTGAAGTTTATAGACCATACCAGACGGTCTCCTAAGATAATCCTTTTCAAAAAAACCTTTCGAGCCTATTTCAGGGCTCTTTCAAGACCGTACGAGACGGTGCAAATGTCATGTTTCGAGTAATTTTAGTAGTCCCCAATAGAAAAACGCGTGTCGATTGTCGACATTAAATATTTCGTCGACTATTGGGAAGACAGTGAATGAACAGCAAGCGTAAAATGCAATAAATAGGAGGATCGGGGTCAGTTCTAGTCAAACTCAACGTGCTTCCCCGGAAAAACCTTCTTTCAGGCATCGTGGTCAACAAAAATGGAAGGAGTACTCTGCTTTTTTTATTCAGTTTCGAGAACGAACAATTGTTTTCACTCCATTGCTAAACAATGACTAACTATAATACACTGTCCTGCTGAGCCATCGATAATTGGTTCGTTCAAAGTGTCCACTGATTTCAGTGCCTTCTGTACGAGCAAAAAAGTTTATTTTCACTGAAAACGTCTATTGTCATCATCTATCATCTATCATTGCCTCATGTTCTTGTGCCAGTTGGCGGCGGCGGTTCATTAGTGCCGAGCGCTGATATTGTTACTTTCTTATCACTTTTAATGGCGTTGAATTGGATTATGGTGGAGGCGGAGGAGGAGGAGCAAAATGATGGCACAAACAGCTTTTTTCCAAAGAATATGTTCGCCAAAAACTGGAAAACGCCTTGGCCCCACCACTCTCTCATTCATCAAAAACGTTTCGTTTCGTCGATCCATCCATGCATCCATCCAACAAAAATTGCAAACCTAATGAAGCCAATTTGAGCACTCCACTCTCTCTTTTCCGTGTCCTTTTTTCAAAAGAAAATTGCTCCTAATCAAGATGCTCTCCTGAATTTGTTTTTCAGTTTTTCGCAAGTTCCGCGTGGTGCAAATCAACTTGAAACTGATTTTTCATGAGAAATGGTTGAGGGGAAAGAACAGAGACAGAAAAAATGGAAAAAGTGCATGTGTATGGGGGTGCTCACGAAGAAGTTCTCAATTCTCGCCTCTATTTCTATCCCTAAGGGACTAACTAGTCGAACTTTTTTCTCTCCTCTCATCAAATCTCGTCGAATTTCTCTCCTCCAAACTGTTCATTATCTTCCACATCATATCACTTTTCTTCTCTCCTCGCCCTCCTATGCCACCTTCACTCTCTGTCGCCGGCGGCCGGCCAGCGGGTCGTGGTCGCCAGCAGTTTTTCGTCACATTTTATATCGAGAAGCGTTATCATTCTTCTAACGTTTCTTCTCCCCGGTTTTCTTGCCTGTTTACCCACCACTTTATGCGCTCGTTTTCAGTGATCCACTTACAGTAGCGCCCAGAAAGTCGGGGCCCGGAGTCATGGAGCAGCAGATGAAGAAGGAGGAGTTGAAGAGGGAAGAAGAAGAAGAAGAAGAAGAAGTGACAGATGAAATACTGTTGAACAAGCCTTTGCAGCCAACCGAGTTTGAAAAAGAAGAGGGAATTGTAGTGAGTCAAAGTAGAGAAAAAGATGCAAAGTGGAAAAGCAAAAGTAAGAACAACGTTTTCTATCTTCTTCTCGTGTCCTACACTCCTACTTCCCTCTCAAAAGTTTGCAAAACACGTCAAAAGTGATAAAGGCCATTTGTCTGTCATTTGATGTTAGGAAAATAGTCTTCGGGGTACGGTAGTGATCATACAGAGAACGGCGACGATCTTCCACTCCCAGCGTCTGAGAAACACCTGTCACTTCGAGTAGTTGACCCACCAATCACCTGAAGAATTGTTTTTCAGCTCCTATCATCACTTTTCATGTTGCAGGTCGAACGGATGATCCAGAGAGAACCGCCGCCTTGCACGTCGTCGGATCACCAGAAAATATACCGCCTTCAGCTGTACACAGTCGTCAAGATTGTTTGGCACACGTCGAAAATGTACCTGGCCACTCGGGGAGAGCCAGTGTCTCACACCAGTCCCTACGATTTCTCAACACGGAAAGTCGAGATGCTGGGGACCGTGTTGAAACAGATAGCGGAGAGGGGAGCAGTTGTGGACCCGAGGCTCATTGCAAACCCATACGAGCATAAAGATCCGAAGAAGCCACTGAAACTTTTCGAGCATTTTCTCTCCGATCACTCGAATCTTCTTCGAGACCGCTGGCCAGACGTGCAAAAAGTTGTGGAAAAGCGACTGAACGAGTTGGGCGTGCAGTTGCACTGGTCATTTGTAACGGTGACGGCGGAGAGGTTTAGACGACGGAGCAGGGCGCTGCGAAGAGTGATGAATGACAACGCGGTATGAGAAGAGGGGGGTAAAAGGTCTATGGATACTGTTTCCAGCCAGTTTGGTTTGAAGAACTGCGAGCTCATCACAACTTTGGAGCATTGGTTATCGGACTTTACGCGACCGTTGTGACTCAGGTAGGAATTCTTTCGTTGCCAAACGTTTTCCCCTCGCCTTTCCTTTCAGAACAAGACCTGGTTCAAAGAAGTGGATCAGGACAGGTTCAAAAGATCATCTGACTTCGATCCGATTGTAGCCACAACCAAAGACTTTGAGACATTTGTGCGACTCCTTGTGATCATGTATGTCACTGTCAATGAACAAGTTCAAAACGAGAAACCTGTCATTGACTTCTCAGTAGAATCTGTGAATATTGATGAGAAGAATCCGAGAGTTCTTGAAAGACGGAAAAGGATTCATGAGACTCTGGAGAAGATTACAAAGCAAAACGAAAAGAAGAAAATTAGAGTCAACGAAGAGCAAATCGAAATTCGAATTCCGTCAACGAGTGGCAGTGCGTTCAAGGTGTACAGGCGAAAAATCAAGTATACGGTAGGTGCTGACGAGTACGCTACCCATATAAACACATGAAGATTCAGAATGAACAAATCTCCTCATTGATGAAGCCCTACACAAAAATGATTGGTGATCGGTTGAGCAAAATTGACGGCATTTTTCTGAGCATGGTGAAACATTTCACCAATGTACCCTATCATAAAGTGAGAACATTTCTGTATTTTGCTCCACAACTACTGTTTGTACTTTTCCGATTGTACGATATTTCGATGAATACAAGCGGAGTAGAGGGAATCGAATGAGAGCGAAGAAGCCTTCTCGAGAAATTGAAGTCATCACTATTTCTGCGTCAACTTCTCCTCTCCGATGTTAGCCAAAGTGTGCCTTTTATCTGTTTTCAGCATGCCATAGTATAGTTTTCACGGGTTTCCAGAAATATTGTCCGACCATTAGAATACAATAAAAGTTCATGATTTGCGAAGCTGAAATTTTTATTACAACGTGATCCCAAAAGACAGTTATTGAGTGTTTGAACGAATATGAAAGAAGCGGTCAGCAAAGAGTAGAGAAAAGTGATGAAGAACAGTATTGTAGAAGTTATCCGGGAAGGACGGACTTGTAGTTGTGGCTGCGGTGGTCAGCAATGTGATACACTCGGCTCTTGGACATTTTATATCTGTAGAAAGTGGTAAGGACGGCTGAAAAGTCAAACAGTTTTCAAAGGTTTCGGTTCTCTGAATACCTATAGCTCCACAAATTGCAATGATGATGAGAAATACATGATTGAAATGTTCCGTAGACAGTCTTTCGACTGGTAGTACTTTGGCTACGTTACGAACTGAAGTCACAGGTAAATGAGTTCGAGAAGTAGTCTCCGGAACTATGGGAATGTTCGATGTTTCCTCATCCTCGTACACAATTGCATAAGTGATCAGGCCAGAAACCGAAACGTCTCCAGAATTGACAATGTGTACGTTCACAGTATCCACAAGCCATTCAGAGTCGCACGAATTAATGATAAGGTCGCCGATGCTCTCCGCGTGTTCTCTTGTCAAAACAGTTCTCTGTACCAGCGGCATTTCGTCGAGCTCCCAGTCACAACGACGCATCGAGTACTTCACAGAAGGAGCAGTCAGGAAAGTGGAGATCTCAAGTCGACTTCCAAAGTTTCTCAGCGATCGACGTACGAGTGCTTTCATTTGAATTGGATATGATTTGGAGGAGTTGGCAGGCACATCAAAGTGAACGATCAGCGGATACATGCTTCGGACTGAAAAATGTGCATAAACCGGGAAACTGTACTAGAACGTGCCGTATTGTGATGCTTCCTTGTCATCTTCAAACTCATCTGTGATGTCAAAATGCAACGACACTTTTGTTCTCTCGGGTGAATGTATAACCAAGTCGAAGCTAAACGAGACAGTTGGGCTTCAGCTTCAGAGGAATCTGTGTACTCACGATTCTGTATGATTATCACTGGCACAGCTCCTTCCGATCACGTCTCTCAAGTTCTCCAACTCGACTCCTTTGAACACATAGCGAACTTTATAGAGTTTTGTAGTCGTTGAAAGTCCAAAAATGCCACACTTCAAGAAGCCAAAGTTCACCGGTTCAGAAGACGTTAGTTCAAATTCCAAGGCAGTCCTCTTGCGGATAGCTAAAACCTTCTAAAAGTTTCAAATAACGACATAATTTCACCTTCATCCACCATTTTCTTAATGAAAACCGCTCGATAGGATAGAGAAGAGGTGTCCGAGAGGAATTCCATCGAATATTTGTCCTCAGCGGCCATCGTTGGATGGTAGAGAATCAAAAAAAGAAGGCAGAGTTTCAGAGGCATTTTGGAACAGGAGTGGAATGAAATGAAATCAATCCGCTGTGGTGTTGGCTTCACATTCACACGATAGCTGATCATGAATTGAATCAAATTTAGCATAATGATAAGTTTACAAAAATCACGTATTCAAAGTCGTTCTGGATCCCAAAAACCATATCCGCACGGAGGCCAGAGCGTTCGAAGGATCCGTCCAAGTTTGTGACTTGACATGCTCGGCATAAACTATGCATTCTTTTATCAACCTACTCACCGCTCGCTGATAACACCGCCTCGCGCCTATAAATTAAGCGTCACTGTTGGTCGAAGAGGCTGCGACTAAAAATGACACATTTTCACTTTTGCTCCACTGTTTTAGTGTGCCTTTCACTGTTGTTGCCTCGAAATGTGGTGGCTGGGGCGGACTGGCAGGTACTTTTGTCAAGAGTTTGTAATGGCTTCATCAATTCCATTTGTTTAGGGATTGATGCTAAATACAAGCATTTCCGAGAGCTCAATCCTTGGAGTCGGTTCGCAATGTCTTAAAGACACGGACACTTGGATAGCGAGTCTTCAGTTGTTTGCCACAATTTCAGTCGCCTGTCTCACATCTCAAATGTGTACTCCTCAAGAGCAACAACTATTGAAGGACAACTATTTAGCCGTGCAACGTTCGTCGTTTGCCATACAATATTTCTAATTGCATCTGAACGTTGCAGAGCTAGATGCATTCGGAAAGTTCCCAAGCGCCGGCGTGCTTGAGATCAACACGCTTTACGATGGAAACTATCAAGAGTGCGAACGCGTCGGCGGTCACAAAAAATACTCCACCAACTACTGCTACCTGAACTTGCGCCTCGGGAAGAATGCGCAGTGCTCCGCCACCTCAATCCTCTCCCTGATTTCCATTCGTTTGGCTGTGTGCTTTCCGGAATCTTGCCAGCCGAATGATCTCGTCACCATATTCAACTCGCTCTCCGCGGTTCCGTTCACCGCTTGCTCGGCGTCGTGTGCACGTTTTCCAGTTGCGAGAGATTCAGCGTTTTGGGGCTTTTCGTAAGTTATCTTTACTCTTGTCTCTTGTCTCTTCACAAGATTCATCTTATAGTATATTTCTAATAGTCATTGCCTCTTTGGTCCTTTTTGCTTCCCTGGTCGACTTCATCAGAGAGCTGGCGCTTGGAATTTCCAGTGGCAAGGAGAGAAATCAAAGTATGTCCTACTGGCTAAACAATTACGGTAAGTTTCATATTCTAGGTCTCCAACTCTTGTACAGCTTCTCGATATGGACTAACGCTGGTCAGATACTGTCTGTGAAAGAGCACAAAGTTGGCTTCATCAAATCGCTGGATTCTATTCGAGCTCTTTCCATTATGTGGGTCGTCACGGGTCACTCGTTCACCTATCTTCTTGCCACCGACACACTCCTGCCGCTTGCCAACTTCACCAAACATTTCTGGAATCATCTCGTCCTCAGCGCGTTCATTTCTGTCGACACTTTCTTTTTACTCTCTGGAATCGTAGTCTCATACCTGTTCTTCAAAACGCGGCCGGATTCTAAAACTTTGACGTCGCCCATCACCTGGATTCTATTCTATTTGCACAGATACCTACGCTTAACTCCTCCAATCATGATCTTCATCGGATTCTTCGCAGTCTACGGGTATCACATTCAAGGACCTCTGGCAGCGTCCCAACAAAGTAAGAGTCTATTGTGAGCGCCAACAACCCAACAAGTCTACTATCAGATTCCTTCTACTCTCAATGCGACGTCTGTAAAACCAATTGGTGGCAGAATCTATTGTACATTAACAATTTCATCGAGGGCGCCAATCAATGCTACTCGATCACTTGGTACTTGGCTGTTGATACGCAGTTATACTTGGTCGCGCCAATAGTTCTCGTCGCATTCTACTTTTCCCACATCCTCGGCGCGCTATTAGTCCTTTCCGGGCTGATTGGAAGTATTATCACTGCTTACGTATTGTACGGAACTTATGATTTGCCAGCCGATGCTTTGTCTGGGTTTGTCGGCCTTTATCAAAAAAGAAGACCATCAGCTGTTTTCAGCGATCAAAACGCGTTCGGTATCTACTTGTACACAAAGCCCTGGATCCGATGCATTCCCTATTTGGTCGGAATGCTCACCGGATACTTTCTGGCCGCCTATGGAAAAAGAAAGATTCGCCTGCACTGGATATTGGCAGTTTTTGGATGGATAATAGCGTTCGGCATTGGAGCGGCATGTATTTTTACTACATACGACTATGATAAAGGATCTTATTGGAAGTGAGTCAGGTTCGCAGCCCGACCAACATCTCATCTCGTGCCTCCGTTTCAGCACTTTCGACAAGGCGACCTACTTCAACTTCTCCCGCCTTCTCTGGGCTGTCGCAGTTTCCTGGGTTATAGTCGCCAATCACATGGGCTGGGGAGGTATGTACCGTCCTGTCTTCCGTGTTTTTACATTACACTACAATTTTCGCTTCAGGACCTATCGACGCGTTTATGTCTCATCCGGTGTGGCAACCATTCGGACGACTCTCCTACTGCACCTATATTGTCCATTGGATGGTTCTGTTCTGGTACTTGAACATCGGACAGACACCGTTCCATTACGCGAATTCGTGGCAAGTTGTGAGTTTTCGGTTTTTCGCAGACTTACAACATTTCACGCATTTGCAGTTCTTGTACTACGCCATGCCGGTCACTATCCTCTCGTTTGTCTTTGCCTTCTTTTGGAGCTGTCTTTTCGAAATTCCCATTTTGAAGTGAGGAGCACAATACTTGTTTAGTGAAATGTTCATTCTTGTTACTTTAGATTGGAAAAGATGCTGATTGGCGCTTTGATGGGAAGACGGAAACATTCTGTGGAGAAGAAAGATTCTTTCGTTTTGACACAACACCCGATTTGAAAAACTGTGAATAATTATAAATAATTTTACCTGAAATTAACTGCAATAAAACGTTTCAAACTGTCTTGATTTTAAAGAAACTAGCTCTACAATATTTCAGGTTAACTTTGATCGGCTGTATCTTCTCGATTCGTCAATTCTCGTGGAACATTTTCGACAAAAGCGGCGAAAAAATAGATCAAATTTGAAAAGCTGGCTGCAAGCGCGCTCCACCGAACAATTGAACTAGTTCAAAGCTTTTCTAGCAATTTAAATTTTCTTTCTTTTTTCTGGTCAACTTCCGGTTTCCAAGACGATTTTGGGAATTAAATGCCTTTAAAATTAAAAATGATTCAAACATGTAAATGATTTCCAACAATTTTCAGACGAAAAATGCTCGAATGTACAGCGAAAAGTGAAAATCCACCGGATGATTGTTGGACGGAAAAAGAGAAGGCTGATATGTGGGAATTTGTGTTCGGTCTTGCAAAAACATTCAGTAGAACATACAGCGGACACTCGTTCCGTTTAAATGTGACCAGTGAGAAGTTGTGGCAGAGGTTTCAACAAGAATTTGAATCACGACGAGATCATATTTCACTCAGAAATTGGTACCTTTTCTCGTTTTTCTGTCTGTAAGCTGTTGGAATGTTTGCAGTTTTACGCGAATGGCTCCAGAAATCCACAAAACTTCATTCGATATCGACTCAAAAACCGAGTTTTATTTGGCATTCAAAGTTCCCGTCGAAAAGAGCATTCTTACAGAGTAGGCGCTGAATTTTCTCTTTTTTTTCTATGAATGAATTATTGAAGGATGAACAAACGCGGAATAGTATGCCTATTCACCGACGGATGCCTCAAATCGTTTGTGGAAAATCCGAAATTTGCAGTGAAACAGGAAATTGAAAAAGAAGTTGTTCAGCCGAAAAAGACGCCAAGACAGTTTACGAAGCAGGAGCACAGCGCCATGTGGGAGTACTTTTTAAGAAGAACACGCCATCCGCTAACTGGAAAAATGATGAAAACGTCATTCAAAAACATGAGATCGACTTTTTGGAGAGATTATGTTAAGGAAACGAGCACCGCTCGAAAAGCGCCCAATCTTCACACCCAGTGAGTATCCTTCAGATACTGATACATAACTCGATATTTTCAGTTTTCTCGGAATGATTCACCGAATTCAACAATCGAACCTGGATTTGCCAACGAAGGCCTCCATTTTTTACGCGCTCGACTATCCGCTGGATCCAGATTTTTATAAGGAGTTTGTCGGCAGTCGAGTAATCATATTAACTGTTCTGGTGTTTTTAGCCTAAAAAGAGCGGCTGCAGTGAAAATCGACAAGGAGAATCATCTTGTTTGGTACCGAACTTTCGATGGAAAGCATGAAGAGGGCGTCACGAATGGCGAGAATGAGACGATGGAAACGGAGACGGATTTCGGAAAAACGGAAGTTAAAGAAGAAAATGACGGGCAACAAATGGACGCTGATCTCGAGCCGGGAAGCAATCAATCAGAACCTTTAGAGAACCCGTTAATAAACAGAATTGAGTTCATATGGGATTTTGTGCTCTATCACATGAACGATCTGGAGACGGGCGAGCTGCGGAAACTGTCTGAAGAACAGTGGAGAGTTCTGTTCGCCGAGTATTACGAAGATGATCTGTACGACGGAACACAAGGATTTAAGTAGTTCGTGTAGTTTCTGTTTTAAGTTTTGACTTTTCTGCCTAACAGCATTTTCGCCTCGTACATTCGAAATCTTTGCAGCTTCGTGCAGAATGTGGCTCCGAATCTCCACCAACTCACGCGATTCGACGCGGAAACGAAGCTGAAATTCTACTATTCGCTCGACTATCCCATCAATTTGGAGTTTTTGGCCACGTTTGTTGTGTTCATCGGTTTCTGTCACAAAATGTTAAGCTAGTTCAGGCTGGAAACATCGGTTGAAGTGCACATAGACGATAGAGGATGCGTGGAAAGATACACGTGGAATCCACAACCAGCTCGGGAAAGAGCCGTCGAGCCGGCAAAATTTGAAATTGAGCAGAAACCGCAGCCGGTTTTCTCATTTCCTAGACTCCCAGTTAAAATTCTCCCGCATAAGTATGCAATTATAACTAACTTTTCATCACAATGGTAGTTTTTTTCAGTCATTGTCGTGTCCCCGTCTGCAAACACACTGTGCGACCGAATCATTCTTCTGGAAAATAGAAGAGTTCGATACAATATCAATGATAAAAAACAGTAATAAAAGAACATTCGTGCTAAGTATTGTCAATTCTTGTTTTCAGACCAGACCCGAATGCTCATGATTGCAGCAGCAGCAGCAGTAGCGACAACTGAAACTCGAATCAATTTTATGCTAACTCTTAAAGCTTAATCGCATCTTTACTGAATTTTTCTCATTTTTCTGTACTTTTATGCTGAAATGTTTTGCTTTTTGTTTCAAAGTCTTGCCGAATTTCTACACTTTGTATGCAGTTACTAATCTGCTTTTCTATCTTTTCCTACGATGTTTTAATACATCGAACTACGATTTCAGATAAAATGACCAAAAAGCGCTCGACTCCGGCCAAGTCGATGCTGAACTCATCGATAGTTCTGAAAGATGCGCCGTTGACAAGAGGAAGAAAGTTAGGAATTTGCAAATGCAATTTTTTGAAACTTGTTCTCATTCAGAAGATGTGCGATTGAGCCGCAAAATGATGAATTGGTGGAGATTCTTCCGGAAAAGAAATTTTTTTACAAAATTCCAGAGAGATTGCACTTGATCACTCGAAAATTAAGAAGAGATCCAAGAAGCTGACGATAGTCAATCCCCAACCGGAACCTGAAAATTCTCCTGGAAAAGAGGAAGAAAAGCCGGAACACGTCGAGAATTACGTGAAGAATGAGGAGCCAGAGTTTGTGGTGGCCGGTCGAAATGCTGTGAAATCGCTCAAACACCACATCGCAGCGAAGGCGATGCAGTTGAGAATCGAGACGGAGTTTGCGGACGACGAGGCGTGGAACAAGGAGTTTCTGGAGGCGCGCAACGCAATCGTCGACGAGTTTCTGAACGCGTTGGAGGACGAAATGAATGCCGAATAGTAAATTCTAGTGCATTTTTCTCTCACTTGTTTCTTTTTAATCCAAAACTAATATCAATGTATCACTAATGTCATCTGTTCTAGATCATCTTCAAACATAAATTTATTGACCCACATTTCGTGCACGAAAAAAGTTCAATCGGAATCTACAGACGAGGATGACAGATTATCGTCGGTTGTGGAAACGCACGAGTGCAAATCGTCCTTCAACTCTCCCAATTTGAACATAAAGTACGAAGAAGCGGTCGGAGGAAGGGTTTCAATCGACGGAAACGCAGCTTCCAACTGCTCTACACTTTTCATTCTCGAAATCTTCTTGCACTAAAAAAATAGCGTGTTTGCAATGCATGCAATATCTAAAGTGTCACCAAAATTCTCTCAAACTTGTACATCGCTGCCAACTCAATCACTTTTTTCTCGTCCAAATCGCAGTCGTCCAGAAAATTCTCACACGCTCTCATCAGTCTCTTCACCAGAAAACGATCGCCCATCTCGAGAAGTTGGAACACGTTCTCTTCTGTAAATTCGAATTGTGAGAGAAATTGCGCCATTTTTTGTTGACAAATTCGCACCAAAAATGTGAATTGGAGCCATGTAAATGAACTGGAGCAACAGATGAAACGAGTCAATGTCGACTCCGAGAATCGGGATTTCCGATCTGTTTTTTTCGGCAAAATTTCCGTGAAACATGGTTTTGAAGAAGACCGAGTGCATGCACAGAATCTGTAACGACACAACAAAATGCTGACAATTGGAACGCGCTTTCAGCGCAAAACCTGCTTGGAGACGTGGAATTTCTGGTTTCCGACGAGAAGAATGGCTTCGTCCTCGCTCTCTTTGCTCACCGAGAAATCGGTGAAATTTCCCGAGTACAGCCCTACGATCTCAGTGATTCCGATAACAATCTGAAAAATGATGCCGTCTCCGTTCAGGAATCCAGAATTTTTCGCGAAGACTGCTTGGTCGAGAGTGACGCTCCAGGATTGTTCCGCATCGAATTTCGTTCCGAACGACGTCTTGATCAGCGACCTATCCTTGTTCGAATGATTCAGCAATCTGATGGAGACGTCCGCCTCCACAGACCATTCTTTGAACGCCTTCAACTCCCGAATCACCGGCTCACAGTCAACACTGATTTGCAGTCCATTCGGAGCGATCTTTTCGACTGAGAACGTCCTAAAATGCTGACATCTACGCGTGTTGCAAATAAAGCCGAAGCACACCACGCAGTGTGTCCACAGTAGCCCAACTGAGCCGACAATTTCTCGTTGGGCTTCGGAAAGCCGGCAAACGAGCATATGTCGCGTTTAGTGCCTTTAGGATAGAAATCTGCAAACCGCTCTGAACATTCTCCACTATTTTGCGGTTAGCTCTTGCGTCAAACTCACTAATCGGTTGTTGGATTTTTTCGGTTTTCCACCAGAACATTCCGTCGATGAAAACTTTTCAAGACAACAATTGTAGAACTGACTGCCATGGACCGGTGAAGTTTCTTTTTAATCAAAACAATTAGGGCAGCGGGAGGGGCACGTTGTTCTCAACGTTTAAAACGTTTGTCAAGCGTGCACTTTGTGTGAAAAACGTGCTTGTTCAACCCAAAATCTTGTGAAACTCGGATTTGGACGGTATTTTGCAATTGCATGCAAAAATAGATTTTGAAACTTCCGCAGAAAGGAAACAGAAAGGAATAATTTAAGAATCCCCCCTAAATTGTATTGTATTGCTTCGCGCAATCATGTGCACTTTTTATCCGTTTCTTTTCATCATGTTCCATTTTTGTCATTCAGGTAAAGTTTATTGAGTTTTTGAACATATAGATGACCCGGTGAACATGAAATGATATGTCTGACGACGTCATGATGTGGAATCGAGAAAATTAAAAGCTAACAATCAAACTTTGATCTGGTAAAGCGGCGTATTTTTCGACGCCGACTTCTTGATGGTTCGGTCGGTCCACGGTGCCGGTTTGGCGGTGGCGAGCCAGCAGAAAACCACGTTGCACACGACGAGAATGGCGGCGTGGACGAAGAACACGATGCGCCATTCGGCGACGGTGCCCTCGCGAAGGATCGACGAGACGATGAGCGGGCAGACGATCATGGAAAAGCAAGTGAGAATCTGCAGATTGGCCATCACGAAATGACTGTACTGACGGGAGACGAGGGCGGCGCACTGAAAGGGAGAAGTGAATTGGATGGCATCAAATAATCTGCACAAACGAACCTTGCTGAAGCCTCCGCCATTAAATCCAAACATTCCGGTGGCCAACGTCATCAAAACCAGCCCCAAAACGCCCTGTCCCTGCTTCACAAATCCGAGAGCGACGAGAAAAACGGCGCTGGCGCCCAGAGCAATCGTATTATAGATTCGCAATTTTGTCGTCTCCGAAATTCCGTGAATTTTATCGCTCGAATGACCGGCGAACATTTTGACGAAAAACTGGAACAAGACGGGAACGGCGGCCGCGAATCCGGTCTTCTCGACCGAATATCCGCCAACGTCGTGTAGAAACACTGGCGAGTAGATGTGGATGAGTTGGACGGCAACAAGGTCCCCCAGGGCTCCGATCCAGATGCCCCAGATGGATGGAGTTGTGACGATCTCCAGATAGGGTGTGTGCGAATGCTCGTGGATTTCATCCGCCGATTTGTTGTGCTCGATTTCGGCTAGCTCGGCCGGACGCACAAATTTGTTGTCGTCTGAAAAACCGCCGCACTATTAGGGCGTTCTCCGAGAGCCTGCGAGAACTTACGCGGCGAATCGGTGAAAACGGCGTACCAAATCGTGAAGACAGCGAGTGAAATGAGTGAGTGAAGGTAGAAAACCGACTTCCATCCGAACGGAGAAATGCACAACTCGCCGGCGACTGGCATCGAGAAGACCGACGAGGTTTGTCCGAACGTGGTCAGAGCGGCGATGAAAAGTCCTTGTTGGGCCAGAGATGCCCAGGAAGAGGTGACGGCGCCGACTGCGGGGAAGCAGGCGGCATAGGAAAGACCCTGAGAACGTCTAGTTTCATACTTGATACCGCGTCACGGCTCACCTGCACAAATCGCAACGCAATGAAAAACCAATAGCTGATCGGCGCCAGAATCGGCACCAAAAACGTCGAAATGGCGGTGAGCATTCCAGAAGTGAAGAACACCTTCTTCAATCCGAATCTGGAGATTCCGTAGAGAACGGGAACCACTCCGCAGACGGCTCCGATCGCTACCGTACTCAACAGCCACGTCTTCTCCCTGCGTGTGTAGCCTGCGTAGTGGCTGTGATTTCCGGAAAGTTCGGCGGACTCTTGGGTGCCCGGCATGCAGAGAACGGTGAAGTTGAAGCATACGACGTTGGACATGAGCGACGTGAGGCAGAACATTGTCGAGATGAGCACCAGGTAGCGCACGTAGCCGGGCTGTTCTGAAATCAAGAGTTATAGGTTCAAAGACATGTAGTGTGTCAAAGAAAGATACCTGTAGTCGACACCGGCGGACCGTTATTGGTACCAGTGGAACTTTCCGGAAATACCACGGCAACTCCTTTTGCCTTCTTCTCGACTGTCATTGTTCTTGTAGTACGTACAACTGAAAAAACGTTGAACGGTAGACGATAGAAACGCAAAAAAAAGAAGAGGAACAAAGATCGTTCGCAATTACAAAGTAAGCGAGACGAATGCGAGAGAAGGGGAATGATGGACGGTAGACGGAAAGAGAGAGGGGGTGGACTGACTGGGCCGATGATCGATTTATGCGGTTCGTTCGCTTTGCCATCACCCTCCAATACACTCGTCGAATTATCTTATTGTCATGGTGGAGAGGAGGAAGAGAGAAGAGGACGGAAATCCGCTTGGTTGAAACACAATACAAAGCGATTAAACCATGTGTGTTTTTTTTTCGCGAAAAGTTGTACGATCTACAAAAAATGTGTTTGTTGTATTGAAAAAGAGGACGATTTCGAGGAGGTTTATGTAATGTTGGGCGGCGCACTTTTGAAGGTTGAAAACATGTGGTTCATCGAGAAACTCGTCGGCTATACCGGGCATTTCGCATCCGATTATAACGCGTTTATATGTATAACAAAAAATAAGGGTATTGGGATTAAAGCAAAACAACGACAAGAAACCCGAACATTTAGTTAGGTACAAGTAAATAGAGTTTTTTTTCGTTTTCCTTACCATCAACACGTTCCTTCCCCTTAAATATTGTCCTCTTATCAACAGTGATCAGCTGGCTGAAAACAATTGTCGAGAATGTGGAACATTTTCAAAATCAAAAAATGCTTGGAATTCTACAAGAATCGAGCTTCATCAATCTAACTAAAGAGAGACACGCTGGAAAAAATAAATCGAAAATCAGTGTCGTCATGACCCATAAGGGAGAAAGTGATCTGGAAGAGTACAATTGGATGAGACAGCTGAGAGAGAGAGAGAGAGAGAGAGAGAGAGAGAGAGAGGGGCAACCGGTCTGGTGATATCACAAATTTGATAAGCGAACATGCCGACGGATGAGTGTCCTTACAGTTATCACATTGACTTCAAATGAGCAGAGAGATTTATTCACATCACTATGAACAGATAGGAACCAACAAATCAATCAAATAAACTCTAAAACTTCACTGGTACAAATCTGATGTTGTATCTTGGAGGTCTTCGCAGCAGGCCGAACGGTGTGATGGTTTGAATTAAAGGAATCGGTCCGACTGGTTCAATATCAAAATCGAGTATCAAGTTTGCGACCAACTGAAATTATACTAAATGTCAACACACACAACGTCTCCAGAATCTCTGTACACACCAAATACAACTCGGCTCTCGCCAAAGACTCTCCCAGACAGGATCGTTTTCCGATTCCAAACGGAATCAGCTTCTTCTCAAGTGTCGTGTTCTCCAAGAATCTTTCCGGTCGGAATTCCGTACTGTTTTTGAACACTTCTTCGTCGGTATGCATCATGGATACTTGAGTGGTAAGAGCAGTTCCAGCGGCCAGCGGTTGACCGTCAATTTCAGTGTCGACTTCTATATGCCGGAATAGATTGATGTTGAGAATCGAGGCGATTCGTTGGATTTCCTGTAGAAACATCGATTGCAAAAATCAGCGATATTGAACTCACATTAACTGTAGCATTTAGATAGGGCGTGTCGGTTTTGTCACTCAATCCAATGTGTCTGTTTCCACCAGTCAACTTCAAAAGCTCAGCTCTCAAAGTCTTGACAACACGCTGATGATTGAGAAGACACGCGAACGCCCATGCCAACGTAGTCGACGTGGTTTCTTGACCGGCTTGCCACAAATCAAACACATCAATTGCGAGGGTTTCCAGACTAGAATAGAAGTAAAGTAAGTTATAGTTGTTCTCACTGACAATGAATACTCACTTGAACGTGGACGACGCCACTCCTTCTCTCTTATCCTTCTCAATTTTCACAAGGTACGCATCGATAAAGTCGTTTCCGTTGTCTTCAATCGTATGCTCACCACTTTCAATAGATGCCACTCTGAAAAGCGAATCAAAAGTGGGAGAAGCGGAACGAAACTCACCTTCGAGCAATATTTCTCTTCGTGACATTATAGATAAAGTCAAACGGCTCGAAAATTTTCTTTTGTCTCCATGACATCAACGGCGAGTCGAGGATGGCAGTCGGGAAAAAGATGTCGACAATTCCAAAGTTTTCGAGAGACAGTGCCAGACTCGTCTTGATCTTTTCAAATTCCGGATCATTCTGCTCGAACCTCTCCGACATGAGCAACTGATTGATGATCGAGCCGACGAGAAGATCGAAGAACGTGCCGGCGTGTATTTCGATCGCTCCGTTCTTGAAGTGCGTCTTTTTGTAGTCGCCGATTCGATACTTGTACTCTTCCATAATTTTCTCCTCCATCAAGTTTCTTCCAAGTCCAAACTCTCGCAACGTTTGCAGTGCGAACCGTCGGTGATCTTGCCAAAAGTCACCGTTTGAGACAATGATTCCTCGTCCTTCTCTGATGTATTGTGTGGTTCCAGTGGCGAATCGTTTGCTGAACAAATTTGCTCTCTTGATATGACTCTCGTGTGCCACGTTGTAATCCGAAATGTAAACGGTCGGAAGTGGACCCATCCAGAGCGTGAACACGTGCCCGTAGATCTTCTCAAAGTGGTGATACACTGCCACGACGCCCCCAAGTTTTATGCCGTGATAGACAAGTTGGTGAAAGTTACCAATCAGCGGGAGCGGTGTAGGACCTAAAATTGGTGTCAATTTTTTGCACATTTCATCACAACTTTGTATTGTACCTTTTGGAAGCCTTCGACACTTGCTCCATTGATAGGCAGTAGCCACGGCTAGCAGAGTAACCAACAACAAAATGATCAGCATTTTTACTTGATCAGTGTTGTTCTCACATCACGTTCTCTTATATACACTGCCTTACCCGACGCGATAAGACAAAATGGCGGCACACAGACTACCCGAACTACAAAGTGTGCGGGTAGTTTATAGATCGAAGTTCCTAACACTGTTCCTGATAGGCAATGTTTTTGAGAATCATGTATTGAAGACTATCATCGCGACTCGGGCTCGATTCATTTCTTCTTCTTTTCCATTCAAGAGTTCGTCGGAGTCAACGCCTTCTTCTCCTTGTCTTTTCGCAAGTCGGGACGCATCACAGTGAACGAGCACACCTGAAATACAATTTCCGCGAATTTTTGAACGTGAACTGACCAGATCCGCGTCGACATTCATCACGGCCGCCGCGTTGTCCATTTGTCCGCAGTAGGATGGCGCCGAGAAGACGGTGACTAGTTGTTTGTTGGCAAAGAACTGGTATCCATCCATGACGACCTGATGGGCGCGGACGACGAGCTCGAGGTTGTGAAGCGCCAGAAAGTTGCGTACCGCATTGGCGCCGAACACCCGTCCCGCTCCTCTCATCGACTCGGCGTACCCCTCGATCTCGGTTTCCGGGTCCGCCCACGTCAAATCAGCAATGACTCCAATGTCGGGAATGTCGCACGGACGCTCGACTTTCTCCAGTTGTCTGCAAACCAAATAGCTTGAAATCAGAACAGTCTGATCGTTAGCGTCACCTCAAATCCACAAGATCCTCGGAGATGCCTCCGTGCATGCAAATGATCTTCTTGCTGACCACTGCACACAACGGCATGCAGTAGAAGGCGAGCTGGAACGCGTCGTAGAGGGCGATCGAGAAGCGTTTGCGGCATTCGAGATAGAATCCGTATTGCATGTTGACAGGACGCGATTCGTGATTGCCACGCAGCAGAAAAACCTTGTCCGGATGGAGGATTTGGAAGGCGAACAGCAGGGAGATGACCTCGATGGAGAACGGACCGCGGTCCACGTAGTCGCCCAGGAACAGGTACCTGCAGAAGAAAGTGTTCGCGTCCGGTTGAGACCATTCTGGGGCTCGCACTGACCTCGTTTCCGGCGGCCATCCATTGAGCTCGAGCAAAGCGAGCAAGTCCTCGTACTGTCCGTGAATGTCGCCGCAAATCTTGACGGGAGCCTCGAGCTGAAGAGAAATTTGATTAGTTTAAAGGCGAACGATTTTCTTCACCTCAAGTTTGACATTGTTCTTCCAGAAATGCTCGCGAGCTCGGAAGCACAGCTCAATGAGCTCCTTCTCGACGAACAGCTGCTGGCAGTGTCCGGGCGTCCACGCCTTCAGTCGTTCCACCAATCCGTTTAGCCACGCGATGACTTTTGCCTAGAATGAGAGTTTTTGAGATTCAAAAAAGAAAAAAACCACTTTGAGTTTACCTTTTGCTTATCGCTGGTTCCTTTGTTTCCTTTCTCAGGTGCTGCCGCTTCAGCCATGGTTACGTTTTCGAATACTGATTTCTCATTTGTGGTTCTCGGCAACGTGGTAGACAAAGTTCACGTAGCATTTTCTATATCACCTCTGAAACCCTGGCAGATTGCACAAAGGAGTGACATTCCGTCAGGCTTTTGCAATTTCTGAGGATCCCTATTCAATCAAAACTAATAGAACATAACTAGAAGAGTATGTCAACATCATTGGATCCCATACGGAAGCGATGGGACTGTCTGGCTCTTAGGGACGGCGACCGACGGACGTAATCCTGTTGCGGACGAGGAGAGTATATAACCCTCTCCACCGCAACTCTTTCCATATTTCTCCAGCAACCTGCATTAAAGACCAGCAATTACTCTTAACCCCAGCTTTCAGATATTCCCATTTGAACTCCCGCGCCCTCGCCATTTAGGAGCGTCTTGTGCGTACACTCGACCACACACTCGCGCCTCCGCCCTATTTAGGAGCGTCAACGACTACGGTTGTGCGTCGAGCGATGGGCCTAAACTGCTCGCCGATTATTGCATCACTTTTAGCGTTTACTGTCACCTTTTGCCGTTACCCCATCCTTTTTATCAGACTTGCAACGGGCCGGGCCAAAATTGGAAATTTTCCGGCCCGGCCCGGGAGGATGCACCTAAAAATTAAAAAATAGAAATTGCTGTTTAAAGTCGCAAAATTTTCACAAAAATTACGAAAATTTTCTCAAGAGTGGGCGGAGCGATTGATTGCAACTCTGGCACGCCATTTTAGCAATTTTGCCGTACGCGTTTTCCTCTTCCTTCATATTTTTTTTGCATATTTTTTTTTGAGGTCTAACTTCCGGGCCGACGATTTGCTGGCCCGGCCCGGCCCGGGATTTGGCAAGTCTGCTTTTTATGAACGACTTCGTGTCGTAGTCGAACCAGAGATACGGAATAACCCGACACCCTGTCCGACAGACTTTATTGACCTTTTGATAATAATTCGATCACTAAATAAATTATTTTATTATCTCTCCGCCTTCGCTTCGCACTTTTCCCACTCTCCGTTCGCGACAAATCCGAAGGGCCCAATTGATAGAAAACTAATGAACCACAACTAGAACTAACACTATTCCCATGCTTAGCCTGTTTTTTTGTCCGGCGATTCACGTTTCTCCGGAGCCCTAATACTTTAAACACTTGTGATGTTCCAGAAATACTTGGAAAATCACAGTTACCAAAGCGGAGGTCGGACACAAACGCGGCTGGACCAGCTCCACCGAATTCTCTTCACACCCGAGCTTCAGATAAGTTGACAGGGCTTTGAAAACGTCGTTTTGATGCTTTAATATACTTTATTCATTTCATAGAAAGAGTACATTCACATAAATACACTGTTCGTTGTTTTACTTTCCCCATCCGTAGTATCCTCCGCGATATCCCCACGGACGGTATCCATATCCGTATCCGTACGGGCGGCGCCATCCTCCTCCGTATCCGTATGGACGGTCTGAAAGCATGCATACTAGTTGGTTCTTTTTCTGAAAAGCAACTGACATCCGTAGCCGTATCCCCATTGAGCGTCAACAGCGGCGAAGAAGCAGGCGATGAGAAGGACGACGAGAACGAAGAGCTTGGCAGAAATCATTCTGGAAACAACGAATTTTTGAGATTTTTGGTTTTTGTGAGATGAGAATAAATAGAAAACAGAAGACAGAAGCGGAGACACCTATCCGATGAGGTGGTCTTCGTTCAGCAAGTTCATGATGTGGGATGTGGTTTCAGAATCCTCAAAAGTCAGCAAAAACTTTTGAAAACTTTGAAACGTTTGAGAAGACTTCAAAGGCTCGGAATCATCTTCCAAAGAAAACCAAAAGATGAAGTGATTTTCGTTGATGGATCCCGCTGTTTTATACATCCTCATCGACGTCACGTTCACCGAATCCGTCGCTCACATGATCTCTGGCGTCTTTTTTCGTGTTTTACTTTGTTTCCTGTCTTAATCCTCGCGTCACATAGACTCTATTCTTTATCAACGCCATTACCAACCAAATTCGCCAAGAAAGTCTCCTCCGCTGAAACCATGCGCTCTCCATCCTGTCCCCCCCCGCCCAATCTTCAGATCTGTTCGGGGAACACACGACAACCATCGCACAGACTAACTTCAGATGACCAATTCCAAATGTGTTTGACATACAAGACGATCAGAAAGAAAAGAGAGGGCGGAGAGAAGAAGACACACATCGGCGACGGCGGGTGATGATATCATCCGACAGCGACGAGAAGGAACTATTCACCGGCACGGGTATATAAGTGGTCAGGTAACTAGGTAAAAGTCAGCAAGTTTTGTTTCGTCTCAAAACTTTTTCTATTCATCTAACAATGAGTTCTTCCACCAATCACCTTCTTCTTCTTCTTGTTCTTCTCGCCGCTTGCTTCATGGCCGCCGAAGCCCAGTGGGGATATGGAAGTGAGTCTTTTTTCAACTTATTTTCATCATTTCCTCATTCTTTTTCAGTGCCATACGGTGGATACGGTGGTATGGGAGGATACGGAATGGGCGGATACGGTATGGGAAATCGTGGCATGTGGGGACGTCCATACGGAGGATACGGAGGATACGGTGGATACGGATATGGAAAATAAATCTTCCCGCTATTAATGTATAATCTTGCGACTTTTTTCTGATTAATAAACATTTTCATAATTCTCATAATGCCTTTTGAGATGTCATTTCCAGTCCAATTGCTTGAGAAGTCAGTTCAGTAAGCACGTGACTAGGAGATTCGAGTTCTGGAACATCACATGTCCTCTCTGTTTTCTGTTTTTCCATCCAATACCATATCATATCACTCGAGGGAATGCAATCCGTTTGTTTATCAACTTCTGTCTTCTACATCCTTCTAATCGGTTCTTTGTAATTCGCACGAAAACAAAACAGGTTCAATGCGAGAAATCTTTATTCTAAAAGTACGAAAAGTATCGGAAATACCGTTCGCCACAGTACTTTTGATCCATATTCTCAAAGAAGACATTCAAATGCATATCAGTCCGATCCTTGCTCGCACCCATCAACAAGTACTTTTTCTCCGATCTCAATTTCTGAATCGATTCCATGAATCCGTTTTCTTCACGCGATTTGGGCAACGTGTGCGCGAAGTTTATCTGAAACAAACGTTTGTAAATGGTTTACAAGTACGGACAAATAAGGCTACCTGACAAACAGTCGGCAGATAATCATTGTAATCGCCCAGAAACTGTTGGAAGAGTAGATGGGAGGAGGCCGCCGACGGTCCCACGATCAGAAGATCGATTGTGGAGCTGATCGACTTGAGCACGTTGGCGAGGCCTTGGATTCGAGAGGACGAGAAGACAATGTGGTGGACGGTGCAGGTTTTCAGGATTTTCTGTTACTTTTACATTACAGCGCATAGACATTTTGTGTTTTGACTCGTAAACCTTATACTGTTGAACTTTGAATCCGATTCCCCCGCAAAATGTGTCTCCAATTTGCCGAACAACCGACCGAATCCTCCCTCTCTTCTATTCCCACTCACTTCTAAATCAAGATCCCGAAGAGACGAATCGTCGTCGAAGGAAATCACGACTGCCGTGCACTTTTCATCCACTGTTTTCTGTTTGTTCTTCTGAACAAAAACATAGGCACAAATACGAGTGTGGTCAACCTCCAACATATTGTTCACTTTGAACATCATCAGTTCTCGTCTCGACGTGAATTTGACGACGCTCATCTGTGCGTTCGTTGCACACCAATTCAATGATTCCGGAAGTTTTCGCCACATCTGAAACGGAATTGTGGTGTAGCTGTGAGACGGAAAATGAATCGGATACCAGCTCAAATTTATCCTCTTTTGTTTCATCGAAAAACTCGTGAATGCAACGATCGACGGCGCACAGGTAGCCGTAAACCATGGGATCTTTGGCCTCGAATGGGATTGTCTGAAATGCACACACACATTTTGTCCATCGTTTCATGAAATACTGTTTTCGTCCAAAGTTACTTTAAAAAAACACGCAAATCTCGCGGATTTTGCAGTCCAAAGTCGGCAGAAATTTGCGGGAAAACCGAGGTGCGAACAGTTGAAACGACTGCTACCGTATTCGCGTTCGCTTCGAGACCGCGTGTTAGTTCGACACGTTTTAAACGTGTTTTTCCCCATTTTTTTCCGCTTTTTTCAGTGGACGTTTAAAACGTGTCGAAATAACACGCGGTCTCGAAGCGAAGTTTCAACTGTTCGCACCCCGATGTTCCCGCAAATTTTTTCCGACTTTGGACTGCAAAATCCGCGAGATTTGCGGGATTTTTTAAAAGTAAATTTGGACGCGACATTACGTCCGCCCATATATCGTGTAGATTTCAATGAAAACTTACACAAGAGTACAAAGAAATGCTGTGTATTGTGCTGAAAATCGCATTCAAAACGTAGGCGAGAAGAAGCGCGATGGAAAGTATGAGAAGCAGAGATCGACAACGCATTCGAACACCAAAACTGACTTCATAATTTCGACTCTCGCCTTCAAACACACATTCAAGAAGAAGTTTGATGGCTATCGCCGGAAAGAAAGCGATGCCAGTGTTCGATTACTTGTAAATTCATGACATTCTGGTTGTAGGGATCTGGGAAATCTCAATGCCGCGTCCAATGTCTCGGAAAAACCGTAAAAACCGCAGGTTTTTCTGTCCAAAGTCGGCCGAAATTTGCGTGAAAAACGGGGGTGCGCACAGCTCAATGAGTGTAACCGTACCCCCAAAACTACGGTATTTTTTGAAAATTTGCGCAAGAAATTTGAATATTTTCAAATAACCTCAAGAAATTAACAAATTTTCAAAAAATACCGTAGTTTTAGGGGTACGGTTACATTCGTTGAGCTGTGCACACCCCCGTTTTTCACGCAAATTTCGGCCGACTTTGGACAGAAAAATCTGCGGTTTTTACGGTTTTTTCGAGACATTGGACGCGGCACAAAGATTTCTGTTTGCAGTCAAATTTTATGAATAATCTAGTACACTACACTCATAAGACGTGTTCAGAATTTAGGAGAAGCGAAAGGGAAGACAAGACAACCGGTGATAACGTGGCAAAGACGTAAACAGTCGTCAAGTAAGGTGTTTGCGGCACCGAGAGAGTGTGTGCGCGCAGAGAGCGAGAGAGAGAGACAAAATGGAAAGACGACTGTTGTTATTTTCTTACACCCAATAAAAGTCCTGCGGTTTTTGTTTGTTTCTCCTCAGAGCCTACTCAACTGATCGGCACCATACATACATGCTCGAACGATCAACGCTGCCGAGACAAGATGAATGTCAAGAAGTTGTTTTTGTTTAATCATTAGATAGTATGTGTTGTAAGTTGAAAAATGTCTGACAGGACCCTCGGACGTTCGTGCTTAATCATAATAGTAGTAAGATAGTTCAATCATCAAAACAAGACGTTCAACTCATATTTGTTGTTTACTTGCTTGCTCCTGCACCCGAATCGTTTGCATATTGTCCGCGCGGAAGCGTATGTCAAACACAACTACGAACTAACGCGAATGTTCACTTGTTTCGAATGCTTTTACAATAAAAATGAAGAAGAGTACGAGCAAAGTCGCTGATAAGACGCCTGGAAACTCTATTCTCCCCACTTCTGTTCCACAATCCAGCTCGAAAAAGTCGGAACCGTTTGATGACGGTGAGTTCATTCAACTATTGTTCGTTCATTTCTGTTCTGTTTCAGATGACTTTACCCTATTGGAAGAGGTGGCAGAAGTGACGAACTGGCGATTGATCTACGTCACTGCGGCGGTGCACTTTCTGGGTGCTATCGAAGGAGCTCTGGGGCATATGAGTGAATGGCCCTACTTGCAACAGTTGGATCCCGACGCTACTGTTCAGTTTTATGGCATAGCCACGTCTGCTTCCAAAGCAGCTCACGCCTTCTTTGTGCTGGTTTTTGCCATCTGGAGCTTCAAGTTTAAAACTATCAAGTGAGCGTCATCTATATAGACTTTCTAAATCGTTTGAAGCTCATGTTCAGGTACCCGCTCATAGTTGGTCGCCTCATCGCAATAGTTGCCTGCTGCCTGTACATGATTGTCGAGTTCGTGCCAACTGGAAGACGCTACATTATGATGAGCTGTTATATTCTCTTCGATATCTCTGAAAGTTCCTCAGCTCTCATCCGAGCCTACATCGTCGCTGTTTCTGCTCCGAAAGACAGGTCGAAAGCCTTTGCAGTCATGTCATTCTCTATGACACTTTCGATTATTCTGGCACCTTGTAAGTAAAAGTAACATACTTGTTTCATCAGACAATTTCAGTGATTCAAATGGCGTTCACCTTGATCCCGTATCCCGGATACACAATCATTTTTCAAAACGTGAAGTTTCATGTGTATTCTGGACCCATCTGGGTCTCAAACTTTACCAACTTCATCTCAATTGGCCTCATAATTTGTGGCATCAAAGATTTGCCGAAGAAAGAGGATGTGATGAGTACATACACCATCATTTGGAAACGGACAATATCTGTACTTTTTTCCAGAAAAGAAACAACGATCAATATTCGAATGGGAGGGCTTGAAGATGCGAATTAAGAAGGTGAAATCGTCGAATATCAGTTGGATACTAGTCTTTGTAATTTGGATTGCCAAGTGCGGAGAGTCACTCGCAATCAAATCGATGTCTACGTAAGATCACTTTCAGAACGATAATATTTATTTCAAATGTTCACAGACTCATGTCAGTTCTAATGATGGTTCAGTACGGATGGACAGGAACTGAAACTGTCAGGATCACCTCGATTCTCATGGCCGGATCGGGCCTTCTTTCCATTTTTATCATTGGAAACTTTATGTTTTGCAGACTGGGAACAATGTAAGTTTGAAAAAGAGTCAGGGTCACAATACGTACAATATTGAGTTTCAGAGTGCAACCCCGATTCATCTACCTGGTATCCATCACCATTGTGACAATGTTCTTCATCATCACTTTCCCGTACAAGTCTATCGGAGAGCCGGCGGCCGTATACAATGCAACCGAGGGAACGGGGTGTGATCCGAAGAAGTACACGTCGTGCGAAGGACGAATTGCACCGCAATCCACACTTTTCATCTGTAGCCTGGTTGTCGTGTTCGGATTGACCATGCCAGCCTCCGGAATTTCACTTGACACTATATACTCGAAAGTTTTGGGCAAAATTGATCAGGTATGCGCATAGAAGTAGACAACATTTCGTCATTCGAACTCTTCAGAATGTCATGCAAGGCGCCGCTGTCATTCTTGACGATGTGGTGCAAGTTTTCACACCAACGTACGCCTCCTACGTTTACACCATTCTAGGGCTCCAACCGCTCTGGCTCATCAACGCAATCATTATGGGATTCATCGTTTTGTTGTGGATTGTAATGCTACGGAAGTTTAAAAGTTATTAAAGACGGGTACTTTATTTATTGCATTGCTTAATTGAAATAAAACGGAAATAGGATTGAAGTGTTCAAAGTTACTGTTTGAAGTAAGTGCACTGAAGTAAGATTATCAATATTGTGGTAATGTTTTGGACTTCTGTCGGTTCCATTTGCATCGAATAGGTCACTGTCTAGTTGCAGTTAGTAAAGAATACGAATTCATAGCGGCACCATGCCTTGAAAGGCTACTTTACCGAAGAAAACACACTCGTCGTATGCCTCTGATCATTAGTTTTTCCACAGAAAAGGAACCGCCTAACCTCTGGAATGCAAATGAACACGACCAACCTGTAATTCATCTTCAACATCATCCCAACTCATTTCCACTCGCCCATCAGCCACATGCATCGCTACCCACGCGAATGACGTGGCAAAAAAGACAATCCATCGGTTTTGAAAGTAGAGAGGAACCGAGAAGTAGGCGAGAAGTTCCAGCATGAACACAGAGCCCTGTAGAACAGTCTGTCTCAGAAAACGGATTTCACGTGCGGAAAAGCGGCGCTGCGTCGCGCTGCTGACGGACGTGGCAACCTGAGACGTTAAAAAGAGTGTTTGAATTGTTGGAAAAAGAACGAAACTTTTCTGGAGACAAATCTGACTCTCATCACAGTTAGCATGTCTATACACATGACGATAGCCACAATTGTTGCGTTCTTCAGAAAGTCGCCATACCATCCGATGAGGCCACACAGTTTTGTGTTCTCAAATGTTAGAAAATGAATGTGCTCGTCGTAGTAAAGATGGCAAAGCTCTGCAATTGTCGTGTTGTGGGTGTGTGTGCCCAGCTTCATCGTGAACTCACTTTCATAGAACAAGAGTGCGACTGAAGCGGTGAAAACCCATAGTCCCACGATTACAATCTTAGTTCTCGTGTTATTGAACACGTCTTCATAGTGATACGGGGTAAAGACGGCAAGGAATCGGTTCAGCGAAATCGTCAAATGTGTTAGAATTGAGAGTTCGGAGAAAAATAAAAAGAGGAAGCCACAATGATAAGAGTAGGCTTTGAGGAGAGGTTGATCGCTGCAAACATTTCCATCTCTCGTCATGTCTCGAGTCAAACTCACAGTAAAACCATCGGACAGAAGAAGAACAAGAAGACGGTCGAATGAAGAGCATCGGCTAATGTTTGATTGGCCGTCAGGAAACCGAACGAGTGATTGAAGGTGGAAAGTTTGTGAATACTGTAGTATACGGACCAGTTGAGGATCACCCCGATCAGTGCTGTCTGTAAATTGAAACTGCTATTAGTGAGAGGATGAGTTCATTATTACTGGAAGCAAGACAAATGCTGTCTGAATAGTCGCCTCGTCCATGTTGTTATTCAAACGCGTTTTTCAGAGCGACACCCCTATTTATACTCGTATTATTGCGACAATTGTGCTCTCTACAAAAATGAGAATAAAGTGTGGGTTCTCTCGAAATACTCTAAAAGTATAGTAATCGTCACAGAAATCTATTGGAATTGGACTAAGAAGTACACTCCAAGCATGTGAGTCACTTTGATTCCAATACTATCTCAGTTGAAGTCTCTCCGTCTCGTTAATCAGCAAATTGTTCAGTAGACTGGACAGAACTCCACTCTGTCCGCTTTTTGATCATTATACATAATGTGATCGCTTGAGAACAACGAATCTGAAGGAATTATGGGCAGGAAAGCGTCCGGATATGATTCATAAAGTATACAAGAAGTTGTTGAAACTAATTTTATTCAAGACTACACAAACTTAATACACAATTTTTCAGGCTACAACAATCTTCGCCTGCCGCTTGTAATTCATGACACTCGTTTGCTTGACCGAACGAGGCGGGCACGGGCAATAGGCAGCGTCTCCTCCCGGTGATCCCGAGCCGCCCGGCGTTCCATTAGCACCATCCTCTCCCGCATTTCCTGGTGCCCCAGGGGGTCCTGGTGGTCCCGCAGGTCCTGGCTCTCCGGCTCCTCCGGCTTTTCCAGCTTGTCCTGGGGCTCCAACGGCTCCAGCAGGCCCTGGCGGTCCTGGCGGTCCTGGCAGATAGCGTGGCTGCTGTATTCCGTTTCCTGGTTGTCCTGGTGCTCCCGGTGCTCCCGCAGGCCCTGGCGCTCCAGCGTCTCCAGATGGTCCTGGTGGCCCAGCAGGTCCTTGGCCTCCTCCAATAGACGCAGGCCCTTGTTCTCCAGCTGCTCCCGGAGCTCCAGGAGCTCCCTGAGGTCCAGCAGGTCCAGGCGCTCCGGGCGGGCAAGTGATACACGGCCCGTTACCCCCTCCAACTCCAATCGCCACTCCATTGGCGCCTGGTTTTCCGGGCTGTCCTGCTTCTCCGTCGTCTCCAGCGACTCCAGGCGCTCCCGGTGGTCCAGGAGGCCCCGCCGGGCAGCCAGACGACTGTGAGCCACAGTTGCACTGGGGTGGGGATGTTCTTTTGACTCTATGCTCATTTTTGAACATGCCTGACGGCTTCACCATCGAATTCCATGCGTGTTGCTCGTTAAGCTGAACTTTTTGATGCACAAATTGTGAAAAGAACTGAATAAACTCACCTTAAACTCAGTCATAGTGTCAAGAACATCATCATAGAACGCGTCAATATCATTGAAAATGAAGGCGAGAGTAAAAAGACAAGCCAGAATTCCGATGCCACTGCCCACGCTGGCAATTGTCACCAGAGTCTTCACCATGACGAGAAACTGAAAAAAACGAATACACTTTTGTAACTTTCAATCATTTTTTATAGCGACGAAGGTCAAGAACAGCTTAATGAGAGGGGGAGTGGGGGCGAGAAAACTTGAATGACCCGTTCAAACCTTTGTCCTCCGTGAAAGTTGTAATAATCGGGCATTGTGGTAGGTAGGGTTTTCGAGAAGGATTTGCGGAGGCCTCAAAACACCACGTTATGATGAAGATTGTGATGAAGATGTTTGTGTAAACACTTTCAAATCAGGCGGAAAACGCGTCGAACTGGACCGGACAAAGTGAGCGTGGTGTGACGTAGAACACTTTCATTACTATTTTGCAAAACGGGAAGCGATTACGGTTGCCGAGGTTTCGTTTCAGAAATAAACGTTCTCACTGCACAAACAGAAACCATCTGGCCCACAACCTTGAGGTTCATGAGAAAGTCTATGAGGATGTTGGCAGTGATGTGACCTACGAGCAATTGAACAAGTTGAGATTGCTCCAGAATGACTTGGAGATCGGTAAGTGCACTCTTCCAGTTTCAGTTTCAGTTTTCAATCTATAAAACAGAAATTTTCAGATGGCTACACAATCCCAGCCGGCGCCAACATCTCCATCGCTCCCCGTCGTTCTTCACAACAATCATTGATCGAGAAGCCTTTTTTTTATGTATGTATTCGTTTATTTAGTTCAGAAAGATAGCAAACGTCAAGGCACAGATGAGAATAGACGAATTAGTTCCAAGGACGGTCCCTCACGAGATGTACCTAGACAAGCCTTCAACTCGGACCGCTTTCTTCCTGAAGAATGCTCCAACTTCATTCCAACTTCCGTACAACTTCATTCCTTTCTCTGCCGGCATCAAGAATTGCAGTGGTCAGAAATGCTCGATTCTCAATGAAAAAGTGATAATGTGATGGCTTTTTGTTTATGTAATTGATTGAATCAAGTGTAAATATATGTTTTGTTTCGAACATTACCTCTATACCATCCGCTTCGTCGTGCTACCCATTGAAAAAGCATTAAACTGTCCGAAAAACGCATTGGGCGAAGCGAAATTAGGGTATCAAATTAAAAGTCAAAAGAACAATTAACTCATTCGCCTGACGCAATGATCAGAAGATGAGCGTGTGCGATCATCTCACAAATTCTCCACTTCCTCGATCATCTCGATGTGTGATGAGTAAAAGGAAGGGAAGGGTATCCTTTGATGATATACAGACATCAAAACTCAATGGGTACAACGAACACACCATCAATCGTTGCGTTCGTACGGAGAAGAGGACGCAAAAGTTGCGAAAGTGACATTGAGAAACGGGCGGATGATATTATATCATTGACATATAAGTAAGAACGCTCGTGATGTATCGTGATGCCCTCGACTCACTCCGTTCCTTTCCGAATAGAACTTCCATCAAACACCAGCGCAAACGAGTGATGTTTCCTCTTTATGAATTTGACGTCTAGCCGAAATGTTTGCACGCACAAGATCAGATCCTCCTCTTCTTTTTTCTTCTTCTTCCAATTCGTTTGAGAACAAATTAGGTGCAAACATTACGTAGTTTATGTGATCCAAAGCCCCGCCCCTTTTCATTGGTTCTTTCTCAACTTTTAGTACAATTTTCATAAGTGAGTAAAACTATTCCGCTCGTTTCCTTCGCTCTCTCATCAATTTTCATCTGTATCGTATTGCAGCGGAATAAATGGCAATCATCTTTCCAATTGCCGTGGCTCTTCTTGTCATCTACATATTGTCGTTTTACGATACGATACGGTTGATGAGAAAGTTTTGGGTTTACGGTGAAAAAGTGAGTTCGGGTAGCGCGATAGAGCTACGGTAGATCATTATGAAAGTGGACAATGCTAGACGATTACGGTATCTTCAAAGACACATCACTTTTTCGCTAAACTCGCCGATCCAGTTCAGAAAAACCTGTTTGCCGAAAACTACCGTAGCCCAATCATCTATTAACAAATTGGTGAAACCTTCGAAAACCCTTTTTGATTCGTTCTAGATTCCCGGACCTCCAGCTCATCCAATCTTCGGCAATGCTGCACTGTTCAAGAACAAAACGACTGAAGGTGAGCGTCTGATTCATCGAATGTCGACTAGACACCATTTTCCAGAATTTGTCGAGATTTTCATCCGATTGGCAAACGACGCAAGAGAAAAGGGCGCTAATCTGATGCGAGTTCAGATGATGGGAAAGATTTATGTGTGGCCATTGAATGGAAGGACCGCGGCGACGATTCTGGAATCGTCGACAGAAGGCAACAAAGGCGACGATTACAAGTTTCTGCATCCATGGCTCGGCGGTGGCTTGCTCATGGAAGCGCTCGGAGATCGATGGAAGCGTCATAGAAAGATGTTGACTCCAGCGTTTCATTTCGCCAAATTGGAGGGTTATTTGGAGGTCTTCAATAGTGAAACTAAAGTAATCGAATGTTCGATAGATACAGGTAGCGTGTAGTGTCTTTTTGCTTTTTCCAGATCATGATCGATTGTCTGGAAAAGGGCATGGAAAACGGGGAAACCATTGACCTATTCCCTTATATCAAACGTTGTGCATTGGATATTATCTGTAAAACCGCCATGGGCATCAAGATCGATGCTCAAATTGTTCACGATCATCAGTATGTTCGAGCAGTTGAGGGCTTCAATAAACTTGCGGTAAATCTAACGTTTCGGGCATCTTTTGACTTCAATAACTTTTCGTATTTTGTACAACAATTCAGGTGGAATACTCAATGAACCCATTTCTGTGGAACCGATTCATCTACTGGGCTCTTGGCTATCAAAAAATGCACGACGACTTTTTGTACACGTTGAAGAAGTTTACCAACGATGCAATTGTCGAGAGAAGAGCAGCCATCGCGTCTGGAAAAGTGGAGAAGCAAACGTCGAAGCGAAAAATGAACTTTCTGGATATTCTTCTGAGCAGCGAAGAGTCGAACGAGTTGACGTCGGAAGATATTCGTCAAGAAGTGGACACGTTCATTTTTGCCGGCCATGATACCACCACAACAGCTCTATCATGGGTTTGTTGGAATTTGGCGCATAATCCTGAGGTGCAGGAGAAGGTGTACAGCGAGTTGGTAGACGTTTTCGGCGAAGATCCAAACGAAGATGTGACTCCGGAGGGAATTAATAAGTTGGAGTACACGGAGAGAGTGCTCAAAGAGTCGAAAAGAGTCGTGGCGCCAGTGCCTGGAGTTCAAAGGAAGCTGACCAAAGATATTGTGATTGGTGAGTCCAGCCGTCTCTTGACACAACAACGTTATGCCTTTCAGATGGCATGACGATTCCCTCGGAGGCCAACATCACAATTTCGCCAACTGTTCTTCACTGCAACCCTCAAGTCTATCCGAATCCCGATAAATTCGACCCGGATCGATTCTTAGTCGAAGAAAGCGTCAAACGAAACGCCTACGACTACATCCCATTTTCGGCTGGCCTGAGGAATTGTATTGGACAGAAATTTTCGCAGCTCAATGAGAAAGTCATGTTGATTCATTTGATGAAAAACTTCCGAATAGAGCCCAACCTCGACTACTATGGCACTAAACCGACTTTTGAGGTAAGCGGCTACGCGGCTGTCGTTGAAATTTCACGGAAATGTTTACAGGTAGTTGCGAAACCGTCAAACGGAATTCCGGTGAAATTAATCAGACGACGCCACTGATCGAGATGGCAACTAATGCGGCCGACAAAGAGACAGACAATCGCTTTTTGTAGATATTTGTAACAGATATGCACATCACATCGTAACATGAACAGTACACCCGTGAACATTGATCTAATCATCATTTCTTATCATCTCTTATCATGGTCACAAAAGATGAAGATATGATAGACGATATGTCAAATCTTCAATACTTTCTACTGTTTCAATGGTTCGGCAGACTACTCCAAGGACATTGAGAGAAATTTATACAGATAGTAGACAAGGGGAACAAAATGTGGACATTTTAATGCAGTTTCATACATAAATTGTTTTCAGACTGTTTCATTGCGTTCAATTTGAAATGTAAATGTGAAATTCGTTAAAACCCGTTTCAACTCATCGACTGGAATGCGAGGAAGGGAATTATGTCACTGGGGGGCGGATGGGGGAGTACATGGAATGTGGGTATTACGCAGAGAAATCGGGGAATGGCACCGAATATTATACATTTGTGAGTGACAACTTGTTGCAGATTAAATGAACTGCTGTAGGATGATTGTGGTGATGACGCCGATGATGGCCGACATTGGGAAGCAGAGCAGCCAGAAGAAGCAGATCTTTCGGAAAGTGGCGAAGGAGACTCCCTCGCTGGTCGACTTGGCCATTCCGACGAACACGACAGCTCCGACGGTGCAGTGTGTCGACGAGATTGGGATTCCGAGTTTGACGCACACGAGAACGGTGAACGCGGTACCGACTTCAATGCAGAATCCGGAGATTGGCGACATGTCGATGGTCATCTCATGAGCGAGCAGCTTGATGGTACGATGTCCGAGGGTCACGAATCCGACGATCATGGCGAGCGATCCGTATCCGAGGAGGAGCTGGGTGTCGTCGCGAGTCTCGGCGTTTCCGAACGCGTATCCGGACTCGTAGCACAGCCAAATGGCGAGAAGCGGCGAGATTGTGTTGCCGGTGTCGTTGGCTCCGTGCGTGAAGGAAAGCATGGAGGAGGAGACGATTTGAAGGGTGTTGAACACTTTCTTGGTGAGACGATCCTCTGGCACGTAGGCCCAGAAGTATTTGTACCATGGTAGCTCCTTGATATTGTCGGCGACGTCTGGCTCACGCATATCTTGAATCTTGTTGCTCTTTGGTGGCTTCCCGGACTCGATTCGCTTCTGCATTTTGATCGTTTCCTTGTCGTAAAGTCTCTTCGCACGGTTCGGAAGCCAGTTCTTGAGCGGGAACGTGAGGATGGCCCATCCGGCGATTCCGATAGCGCAGGAGAGAATGAGCGCCTCCCACCAGTTGAGCCTATCAAGTCCGAGGTCTGAAAATTGAGTCTAGACAGTGAAAATGTGTACGTACTTACACTTGGATCCGTCGTAAATGCAAGCGTACAAGTTGACGACAAGAGTGAAGCACATGAAGATTGGGCAGAGTCGGAGAGCCCATTTGAATGTGTCCTTTCTGATGAGCACGGAATACTTGACAATGTAATAGAGTCCTCCGGCGAAGAGTCCAGCGATGACTGGCGAGATGAACCACGAGACGACAATCTTGATGATCTCGGCCCATTTGATTCCGACGTTTCCACGAATGTAGAAGGAGGTGGCCACCGAGGCTCCGACGATCGCGTGAGTAGCGGACACTGGAATCTTGTAGCAAGAGGAGGCGATCATGAAAGCGGCGACGCCGGCGAGAGAAGCGGTTTGGGTGAGCATAAAGTCGATGGAGGTGTACTTGGCGCACTCAAGAGGAACGGCGCCTGGAAGAATGTCCGGGGCTCTCCATCCGCCGATCATTGTCGCGTTGCCACAATGATCCACCACATCGTACTTGTGGCTCGTGTGGTTGTACTGGGCGTAGACGTCGAAAATGTCGAACTCAATGATTCCCGTTCGCAACGTTTCCACAATTTTGTAGCCTGAAACGAGATTATTGTGAATTCAGACTTTTTCTGATTCAAGAGTTGACAAAAACAAGCACTTCTAATGACCTTTCCATTGAAGAAACTTCTCGCACTTTTTCGGTGACACCAACATCAATGGCAAGGTGAAACTGGTTTTTTTGGGCCGCTATTGTCCTTTTTCACAGATTTCACAGTAAGAGGAAGACCCAAGGTGCCATAAATTATTCATGACTCTGTCGCCCCACTCTCTCTCTCTCTCTCTATTTCAATTTCCTTCCCTCATGACACATTCCCCTCACCTACCGTTTGTTTATTATTATGTCAAGGGCACTTTGGCTGGTCGCCAGGTGACCGGTCAAACTCACTCACTGAGGAAAAGGAGAAAATCACTTGCGGAACGCATTTATCTTCGTTTTTCTTCTCTTCTCTTTCTCATGAGATTGCTAACAAAAGATGTTGGAACGGAAGAGAAGCAGAGAGACACAGCTGATTGACCGGTCACAAAGTGATTCGGGTTTCGGACCCGCAACCCGCTACTGTTTTCTTTTGCGGCATAATTACCTAGTAGAACAGCTCCGAGGACGTTGAGAATTCCGGAAAGAATATAGGCTTGGTAGAGCTTCACAGTTCCAGCTCCCACCGCCGGTCCCCAATCGTTACAGGAATCATTGGCTCCCATACCTAAAAGAAATGGCCTGAAACAATCTTCAGACGCTCAATAACTGACCGTACGAGACGAAGAAGGCGAACACGAAGGCGACGACGATGAGCCATGTGATGTTCTCTGTCCAGTTCGGAGCATATTGAAGCAAGATGTTCAACATGTCGGCTGAAAACGGATATTATATTTGGAAGTGTAGCAGTGGAGCGGGAAACAATGAACAAACGGCAACCAGATCGGTGGTTTTATACGAGGTGGTGGTTAAAAAAGAGGTGTGTGGAGGTGGCTGATAGTGTCTCCTCCCCCCCCCCCCTCTCAACACAAAGTTCGCGAGAAAGATCATAAAGACGACACCGGTCAAGATGCCATCAACTCGACCCCCGACGATCGGATTCTGGGCTTGACCGGCGTTAAGGGCAGTAGATGGCACCCGGAGCCGAGTTAGAATGGCGAAACCCGATGGCTTTAAGCCAATAATAGCAGTAGAACCTGTGGCGCTGATTGTTTCTTTCGCGTTGAATCTTTTATACAAACGCCATGAGTTTGGCCTGAGAAACCGATGACCGGTCGGTCTGCGTCTCCGCTGGACTCCGCCCACTTTTCGCATTTTTTGTATTGCTTTAGGGTAGCTAGGTTCTGGAGTGCACTACTTTGGTGCGAAAGTCGATCAACTTTTCACAATTGTAGACAACCGTTAGTCTACTGGAAACAACTGGAAACAAACAACAGATAAATAAGTGAGGGGAGCTCAATCTATTCCACTGGACAACTAGTTTTTCAGACGAGATGAAAGCCACGGACAGTGCTTCCCAAGTACGAGTTTCTTTGAGCTACAACGTGTATTTTATGCTCAACACTTCTTTGAAAATAATACAAAAAACTATGGAACTGAACAAAACTAACGAAACACCCCAACGATTATTATCCGCAAATTGTTGTCGCTCCGCCTATACATCAAGTGAAACTGTGAATTCATTTGATCAATGTACACTTTTTGGGGAACTTCTAAAACTGTCAGAATATTGCCGATGAGTCACGTCTCACACCTTCCGTCGGAAGTCTTTGGTTGTTTTGTTTGGCGACTAAATGAGGAAGAATCGAAATCATGATGAGGATGATGATCGAAAAGATGATAGAGGAAGAAGGAAATGAAGAACATATGTTTCCGTTTGTTTTGTTACGTTCTGGTTCATTTTTGATTGTGGCAAAAGGCAAATCACACTCGATCCATGTCTTTTACTTTATTGATTTTTGGTTAAAGTATCACGCTTTACATACGAGATAATAAAGCGTTTTGTCTTGAATCTGAGTCACGTTAAGGTAAATGATACAGTCTACAGTTTGACTGATAGCTAAGGTATTCATAACGGCCCCGAAAAAGAGGGTGAGACTGAGAGCCTCCTAGAGAAAACGGATTCAGCAGTTAACGCAACTCGAACCGTGAATTGTTCTCCTTTCCTTTCATTTCCCATAACAAAATGAGGCTGTGTGTGAAGAATATGAATTTGATAAATCACTTGAACTATTTCGTTTCGTTTCGTTTCGTGTGTTTCCCTTTCATCTTCTCGAATACCGTAAACGTTGAAAGGGGGAAATCTTTTGATTCATTGACCGGTCAACCTCACGCAACCACACAAAGTTGCAGAAGAACAGAACTGGCGGCCGCCATATAAAGTTGATTGGAATCTTTTTTGGTCGCGAGGAGCGCGTGAAACAAAAGCGACAAATGCTTTATAGGTTCGACGTGCGGGGTGCGCGTAGTTTTACGGTTTTCGGTGGGGATACTTACTTTCGACATGATCTCCCGTGTATTTCAGACCGGAAACTACTAGAGGTGAAATGAAACGAAAACACTTTCAAGTCGCTATGTTGAGGTCGGATGTATTTTGCAGAGTTGAGCGGAAAAACACGGAAGAATTTTTATCTTTTTTAGAAATTTTTTTCATGAAATGTGATCAACTGACGAAATGTATAGCAAAGTGAACTCTGCTCATAAAAAAATAATTGTAAATTTAGCTTTTCATACAAAAAAGTTATTCGAGTTGTTGTCCTTCCGTCTTCCGTTAGCCCTTTTTTCACGGAACAACTCTGGTATTTTGGTTTGAGGCAGTGAACTTGCAAGTTTCAGACCGAATCTCCTCTCTTTTCAGCTAGTTCCACAAGGAATCTTTTTTCAAACGACCACATCCACTAACATCACTTCACGATTCTATTTGGACGATAGGCAACTCAACAAGTGCATACTAGCTCGCCCCATTCATTCATTGCCCGTTCGACGTCTTTCTCTCGTAATTGCGCATGCAGTGTGTGGCGTCTCGAAATGACAGATGGCAACGGCCGCTGGGACACGCTCACTGATGAATGTTGCGAGAGGAGAGCAGGCAGCCAACTGCAGCAGCAGCAGCAGCATCAAGTACCTTTGACTAATGAGGCTGTGTCCGTGGTGTGTGAGGCGGAACGAGAGTTAGTTGTCAATGAATCGGGACTGCTGGGTGGAAGAGAGAGAGAGAGAGAGAGAGAGAGAGAGAGCAGTTCGTCACGGAAGCAGGAAAAGTGGAGTGGCAAAGAGAACAGTTGAGGAGCTGGAGCAGGTTTTACAGTGTTCGATAAGATTTTCAGCGATGCACCATGACTTTCCGACGTGTCCTTGATTTGATGGAATGCTTCACATTTCCGGTGTTCGTCTCTTAAATTGGCCAAACATGGATGACCTCATATTCCATACACGTTACTTCCACTTCCTCTCATAAGTTCCCCGTCGTTCTTCAATTCCGCGCAGGCGTCCATCCTCCACGTCGTCGACAAAGACAACGCGAGAGAAAGAGAGAAAAGAAACGGCTTCGACTTCTCTTCTTCTTCTTCTTCACAACTGGCAAATTGCCAAATATAGACGACGAGCTGGAGGAAAGGAGGGACGCAGGCGGCGTGGGGGCCTTGCTTGCCGCGCGGAGCACACACACACACACATGCACATGCACATGCACACAACACTCGGCCACCAGCATCACCACCGCCGGCTTCTTCATGTTTCAACGGACATTTGTCTTCAGCGCTCCCCCCCCCCCCTTTTTGAGCTTCTCGTGCATCTCCCACGTCTTCCGGTTCTTAATTTTTGAGACGACGCCTAGAAAACATAATGAGAGTGTCTAGAAAATCCGTGGTGCGGATTTCGTTTACTTGTGTCTACGACCCAATCCTAATGCAATTTGTCGTCTGTTTCACTTTGAAACATTCCATGGAAGCTTTTTTTTGAAAACCTCCAGTTTCTCTGAGAGTTTTGGCACGATATTGTCGCTTGGTTTTCGGGCAATTTTTCATCGAACCTGCCAATTTCCATGCCAACCCACTCATTTCATCACATATATGCCTTGCCTCCCGCATGTTCTATTTCATAATAAGCTGTGATTAGCCCCCGGGATTTAGATTTAGATTCAAATTCACACATGCCCCGCCGCTGCGTACACGAATCCCAAATGTGTGCTCATTCTCACATAAAGCTCAGACCTCCTAGCTCTTCTCACATCTCCCATTTTGTCTCCCGTTTATCGTGTTGTCATCTTCATCTTTGTATGTATGTGTGTGGCGCGAAAAGAGTTGAAGCCTCCCGCCGCAAACGTCTTGTACATATCCCGATCTATAGATTACTTCTTCTACTGACTCTCGAGGGACAAATGTGCCGAAAGGCCGAGCGTGAACAATGAGAACTTTGTGACGAACTTGAGAGCGAGAAACGGAAAAAATGCGAGGAAAGAGAGGGAACTTGAAGCGAAAAAGGGTGTGAGGGAGAGAAATCTTTGGGCGAACTTCTAAATGTGTTTAGAGGATTCTTGTCCATGCAACTATCTTCTTCAGTTCCCTACCCTGGTCAAGTTTCACCTTCGCAATGAATGAAGAGCCTCCTCTTTCTGTTGCCACCTAGATTTTCTCCTTTTTTTACCCTCGTACTCCTCTTGTCACCCGCCTCGTTTCCTTTCCTCATTTTCCGGACATCACCGTCAAAAAACGACACCACCACATCATCATTTTCTTCTTCTTCTCCTTCTCCTTCTTCTTCTTCTTCTTCTCCCGCCACTCACAAGTACCCTACAATTACCTCTTCTCGTTGCTCTTCCTTCACTCTTTTTTCGTTCTCCTTGTCTACGTCTCTCTCCATTCCCTCAGAACTCTCTCATCGTACTAATGAGTCGTTCGGTTTGACACCTTCTAAGCCGTGTGCAAGATTAACGCGTTGCCCATTCGTCGTCTCTCCTTTTTCTTCTCATGCCTTTTCCGACGCACTTTACTTTTTCGCTTTTTTTCAGGGTTCCACTGGTAGCTAGTCTCGTCTGAGTTAATCGGCAACCCTAAAACATCATCACAATTTGTTGTTGTTGTGTGAAACTGCATAGAATCAGAACGGGAGGAGGAGCGGTCAGTTAGACCCAATTTCCGATTGGGCCAGAACCACACATACTCACGCCGCGAAATTGGATATCTCGGAGAGCGAGGCGACGCCGGCGGCGGTCCGCAGACGCAAAAGAGAGACGAGCGACATGGCGTCCGAGATGAGCAGAGCCACCAATTACTGTTGCGAGTGCATCGCGTCTCAAGGTGAGTGCTGACAGTCGGAGGGTCTGAAAAAGTCGTACTTTAGTCGTTTTGCAACTGCAACTAGGTTTCCGATAGAGTTTCTGTTGAAAAAGTGTGTTGACTTGTATCAGTACTAATTGTAAGCAGTCTACATAAAATTGCAGATTGTTTGTCAGGAAAAGTGGCTCATGCTGATTTATTTACAGGAAGATGCAGCGCGGATACATGTCCTTGTGTGGCAGCCAGGAAAACTTGCGATGAGCACTGTGAAAGTACCAGGTTAGTATTTAGAAAGTGCACTATTTAGTAAAACCTGATATCTCCCATCCTTGCTTTCGAAATCTAGCGAAACGCAGCTCAAAATGCTAATTTCTTCCCCTCTTACGCACTTACACATACTCTCTTCTTTTCCACCACTCACAACAGCATATCGGATAGCACAAGTGCACCACAATCCTCAATTGGGCATTGATGGATTTGTACGTTTTCGGTCACGACACTCTGAGAACATTTGCAGATACCGCGGGGACTGCCTCAACCAAGCGATCTGCAAGTGCTCGTGTGAAGTGGATCCAGCGAAGCCGGCGAAAAACGCGTGCTCCAAATCGGAACGGTGCGACTGTTTGCGGATAAAAGAGGGGTGCAGCAAGTTGTGCGCGTGTAAGCAGATTTGTAAGAATAAGGTGAGCGATTGAGCACGTCCTTGAACCCGCATTCAATTTTTAGGAAGCGCCGAAGAAGTTGGCAAAAGTAGCCAAGCCGACGACTGGATGCCAATGCGCGAAAGGCAAGAAGCAGTGCGTGAAGAAGGAGTGCGCGTGCCGGACAGTCTACGGATTCTGTTCGGCCAGCTGCAAATGCGGAGGCGACTGCACGAACGGCGCTTCCAAGTTCTCGGTGCCAAAACACGTTCAGAATTGTTTTCTGGAGCACAAACACGAGTCCTCGGGGCTCATTGTGACGTTGATCGGAGAAGATTACGTGTATCGAGGCGACTTTTACCACGAATCGAAAGGAGAGCCGCATGTAGAAGAGCAACTGGTGGCCGCCATCTACGACCTCATCTCCAAGTATACAGTGGACCTCCACGAGATTCAGATCTTTGTCTCCAAGTCTCCGTGCTTCCATCAAGACTGCGAGCCCAAGTGTGAAGTGGTTGATGAGTGCAAAAGCAATAAAGCCTGCGCGAAACTGCTAGGTCTTCTTCTGAGCAAGGTGCGGAAGGAGATCAAGAAGGTGGATGTGAAAATGACTGTGAAGTTCCTCTATCCGCATCTGAATCGCGGAGACCTCTACACGAAGCAGGGTATTCTGTGCATGCTTCAGGCCGGGATTAAGGTGGAGCCGTTGCTGATGAAAGACTGGTGCGCGATTATGGATTGGAGTCCGCATGTGGATCATAAGGGCGATTATCTGCAACTTTGGAATAACCATCACTTGGATAAGGTGAGTGTTTCTAACATAATATCCAACAACTTGTGGCGAACTCTTAAAATTTCAGGCCGTCGCACAATCCCAGTTGTTCATCAACGAATGTCGTCGAGCTCTCGGGCTCTCCATGAAGTTCTGGGTGGCTGAAATTCATGAAATTGTCAAAGACACCATCCTCCACTTTTCTGACCTTCGCACCAAGTGCGGAGACCTCAACGACGCCCTCAAACAGCTCGATCTCACGGCAACACCGCATAAGATCCGCTCGACGCCTTCGAAACGGCGCAGCTTCATCGACCTTCACGAACTTCGCGACAAGCTGCTCCGCTCGTCGTCGTCGGACGGTGGAAAGAAGGCCGGATCGCACGTGTCAGTGGCCAGGTAGCCTCTCCCGCATCTCGCTTTCGCTATCTGTTCCCACTCACCTTACTTTTTCTTTTCTGTTGCTGATCCGCTCCTACTGCACAATGACATGTTGTAGAGAATGTACATACCTAGAACATGCTTTTACTTTTCAAAATGTGCTAGTGAATTGTAGAAAGCTTTGAACGCTTTCTAACTGTCCCCTTTGGCACGAGCTTCTCACCCAATCAAACGATACTCTGCAACTAACTCCTCGTTAGCCGCAACGATTAGAACGTGTCTTCAAACCAAAACTATTATCAATTTCAGCGAGGATGCTCAAGCACAGGCAATGGTCGCCTCGTTCTGTGGACGATCGTTCGACGACTGCGAAACGGACGAGATTGCACAGCGCATCCGTCGCGCCACCGCCAACATCAACCTGGAAATTGAGACGCTCATGGAGTTCCTCAATCACAAAGGCGCTCTTTCATAAGTGCTAATAAAGTTTCAACCCGCCTGGATAATCATTGGCTTTTTCTTTTTTCCTTTTTCTTTTGTGTTGTGATTCTCGCACAAGCCCACAACTGCCCATCTCTATATTTTGCTCCGATCTCTCGATTATACATGAATTATTATTTATTACCCATTGTCTTTTATCTTTATGATAAATGTGCTTTTGAAAAAGTGTTGGAATGAATGAAGAGTACGTCGAAGTTTGAATAGATATGCATGATAAATTATACACTGTGTTGATGAACCAGAGAGAGGAGACAACGATCGATTGAGGTGAAGAATGTGGAAGATGGGACGACGGTGCTGAAGCTTTCGTCGCTTCGGAGCACTTGGAGCACGTCTTCGGGAAGACCACAGTAGAAGACGTTGACTCCAGACTTCTGCGCGTCTTTGAAGACGTCACGAAGAGCATCCACTGCCATGCTGTCGACGTATGCGATCGGAGAGCCATCCACAATCAGCGTTCTCCCTTCTTCTCCTCCTCGAATCAGCGCTTCACGGTCCGAAACTCTTCCGATCGCTTCGGACATTTTATCCAAAAACAGGGTCACATTTGCAAAGTGCAAAGATCCTCCGAATCGAACAATCTCAACTCTTTCTGGAATGTTCTGTCTTGGAGTATCGTCATGAGTCACAGTGTTCGAGAACGTCGGCCATTGCTGCCGGAGGACGAGGGTGAAGAGCGAGAAGACGAGCGAGACGACGAGACCGGTAGTGACGTCGGTGAGGACGGTGGAGAGAGAAGCGACCAGCCAGATGGCCTAAAAATAGAAAGGTTATCGATAAGATAGGACAGGGCGTGGAACACACGTGTGGCGGATTATAATGCATATCAGTTCAAAAGATGACTTACAAAATCGTATCTACTGATCGTCCAGAGTCTCGGCAACTCCTTGACTTGCATAAATAGACTCTTCAGACTGACGATCACAATACACGCGAGAATGCACATGGGCAACGGCTCCAGAAACGGTCCGAGCAGCAAGATGACAGTGAGCAACAGCAGCGAGGAGAAGACGGTGTAGAATTGTGTATTGGCTCCCGACATTTCGCAAACCGACGATCGAGACAGTGAGGCGCCCACCGGGAATACCGGGAACAACGAGGAGACGGTGCTGGCGAGCCCGATCGCGTACAGCTCTTGTGTGGCGTCGGTCTTGTACTTGTGCTTCTTGGCGAACAATTTGCCCATGGACACGACGAACATGTAGCAGACGACTGCGATCGGGATGGCGTCAGAGATGAGAGCGTGGAGGAAGTGTAGCCGAGGAAGGGAGGGCGTTGGGAAGCCGCGTGGAATCTCGTGGACGGTTTTGACATCGAATCGAGCGTCCAGGTTGAAGATCATGGAAACAATCACTCCAGTGATCACTAGTATGAGTTCGAGAGGGGGTGGAATCGGGAAAATCCTCTTGACCCTCGGATTCAGATATGTTCTTCCAGTGTCCAAGAACACAATTCCAAACATCGAAATGCCCAGCGTCACAAAGTTCGTAGATCCCAGTGAGCCAATCATATCTCTGTACATCCTCACAATCATTCCAATGCCCTCGTGACGTGGCAACTCGATTCCGAGCACTTTGTTCAGTTGAGATGTGAACACGTGAACAGCCGCGCCAGTGGTGAAGCCGGACACCAACGGATCCGAGAGATAGGTTGTGAGGAAGCTCAGACGGAGAACTCCCATTATAATTTGAACGACGCCGACGAGAAACGTGAGAGCGCTCGTGAACACGAGAGGATCCACGTATTCACCGAGCGGGAACTCCAGTGCGGTCGAGTTGGCTGGAAGATCGGGCGCCAGACGGAGGCGAGCCGCTCCGACCATCATGGAGGCGACGGCGAACACGCCTGCAAACAGGGAAAATACTGATGCCCTACCATATTTGACTAACTCACCAATAGAAATATGCCTTGCAGTACCGAAAAACATGTAAATCGAGCTGGCAAAGAACGACGAGTACATTCCGTAGACGGGCGGCACGCCCGCCAAACTGGCATACGCCATTCCCTGCGGAACGTTCATGATGCCGACTGTGAGACCGGCGACGATGTCTCCATGCAAGTGCTCTTTCCATTTGTAATTTGGAAGCCACTCGACAATCGGAATGCGCCGTTGGATGGCGGCGCGGAAACGAGAGTACTGCTGCCGGCTTTTCGGATGCGGGTCTAGCTCTTTTTCGGATGTTGTACACGGTTGATATACCTGAAGGTTACTGTAATCAATGCAAAAAATGAAACGTGTTTTAAACTCACTTCCCTCATGGTCGGCACGGGTGAAGAGTAGTGTCAGTACGGGCGATTTATATTTGAATAAGTGTCGCTTTCTGAAAAATTATTCAAATTCAGTACAATATCGGCGACAGCGATTTTTCTATAACATTTTTGGCGCTTGTCACGTTTCGTGATAACGAAACGGAAACGAAAAACGAAAAAAGAAAACACAATCACAGTCTGGGAACAAACATTTGAACACGTTTTTCTTCTTTTCTTATCGACTTTCGTTTGACGGCCAAAAAATCGAAAATCATTTTGGAGATGACCAGTTGAAAAGTGCGCCACAGTCTCCAGAGCTGACAATATGGGCGTGGCCTCGGCGGCCAAATGGCGTTTTCATGAATTGAGCAGGTTTTCTCTAATTTTTGTGGTCAACGGCGATGAAAAATAATTGTTCGACATGAAAACACACTAATTCTCAGAATTAATGACGTTTTGGCGCATTTTTCGCGGACTTTGCTTTTTCGCCTTCGCCGCCGATCGCCGCCTAAAAACCGCACTTCTCATTTTGCGCTTTTTTGACCGTTTTCAGACAAAATTGGTTTTGAGAATGATAAATCAAGTAAATACAAGCATTTTGAGCGCTCAAACCGCAAAAATTACCGAAAAGCAACTGAAATTCACGCAGTTTTAGCCAAAAACCTTCAAACGGATAAATGTGATTTGCGACTTGACCAAATTTAACGCTTTTGCGCTTAAAAAATTCGTAATAGCCTATAAAATCGGTCTAACAAGAGACAATGGGAAATTATCGGCTTTTCGTGGCTAATCTAGCAAAAAACACAAATTTTGCTGTTAAAATTTGAATTTCGCGCCAACGTATCGTTCTATTGGGCGGGGCGCACTTGCGCCCATTGTCAGCTCTGGAGACGGTGAAGTGGAACTTTTAAGCGGGGAAAAGGCTCACTTGATCACACGTTTCGATGTGCTTTCTGTGGGCGTAGTCGTCGGACACCAGACGCCGATCATTGTTGTCTTCGAGCCTTGCGATAATTAAAGCCTTGACATGACTCTGATGTGGAAGGCGTGGGACGAGGAGGCGGCGGCGGCGAAAACAATCTGGTCGATAAATAGAGGTTTGCTCAGGCTCGCGGAATACTGCGCGGCAGAGCGCAGATGCATACACACGCGCGACACTTGACAAGGAGAGATGAGCGGGGGGAACGCGGAAGGAGAAGAGGAATAGAGCAGTTCTCGTTTAGTCAGCAGAGCTTGGATTTGAAGACTGGAAATTAGAATGGGATCACGATTACACTTTAAAGTTCCTAAATGAGTTTCAGAAGATAATAGGAGGAACAAAATGAAACGAAACATGTACTTCTGTCTATGAATTTCTATTACTCGTGGCAGGAATCCTAAAGCTGCTCAAACACCGTATCGTCACCGATCAAATACAGTTGGAATCGAAGAAATCGTTCATTGAAGGTCGGACGATACATGCACAATATCGGTGGTGAAAACGAGCGTAACGGTTTTGTATTGCCTTCCCTCAAAGTCTTTCAGACCAACCGGAACAACTCCAGTTGTTGGAATGAAAAATGGAGACGACAAATGAATATAGTGTAATTCTGGTGAACGAACCACGAGTTTGTGCGTCACTTTGTCGATATCCAGCCCACGCCTGTAGTTTTGTCACCGCAACATTCGTCCCTTTGTCCTATTTTCGCCTCCGAGCTCCCGGAACATTTCAACGTCACCACACCCAGCTCGATTCCAATCTAGCGGAGGTGCCAAAGGCGCCGCCGGAAGATTTATATGGAAAAAATGGAAATCTATCTGTCCATGGAAACCCGACGCGAAAAATGAGGCAAACGCGGTGCGCGTGAAATTGGAAATTCCTATACGATTGAAGCGGCGAATACAAAAACCTTGAGCCTGAACCAGTGCCTGTCTGTCTTTCTCGATTTGAAAAATGGTAAAGTAGTCGCTTGCTCGTTTCCAAACTGACGCGGCAGTTTGTAGTTTCCTCTATTCTTTTTCAAAACCGATGGAAGAAGTGAAGTGAGCTGGCCAACCGCCTCCTCGTTCTCAAAAGCGTGGGTTGGCGGCTGCAAGAGCTCTTGAAACTGTCTCAGCTGAAATATTTACTAGCTCTTCGCCTAAAAGGCAAAGAAGGAGACGATGAGCCCCGCAGAGGTTCAGTGAGTCTCCGAGCTCGTCTAGTTCCTTGACACTAATATCCATTAGTTATCATCATCATCTCATCTTATTCATCATAACTCACACTTTTCTCCGCTCTTTTTGGCTTTTGCTCAGTGCTTTCTGCACACAGAGAACGTGCTCCTCGTTGAATAATGGACACCCCGTCGCATTACACTAATGGACTCATCATCGTCTTGCTCTTGCTCCGCCACCGATTCCCCATTCACATGTGACTCCTTCCGGTCTCCATCTGAAATTGAAACTCAAAAACTAGCTAGCTATCAGTTGCTTGCTCACCCTTGTGACGGACTCTATCATTTCCGGTGCTCTTTTGGGTGGTAAACACGCTTACGGTACCCTACGCCTCACTTACCGCCCTAATCGCCGCCAATTTTCACATTATTTTTATGAGTTCATTCTTACTGCTCAAATTGTGGGTATCGGACGGAGCCCGAAGACAAAACCACGCCCTGTTCGGCAAAAAGACGAGGCGGAAAGAAGGAAAGCAATCCCATTCGTTTGCGGCTACGCTTCCATCGTCCACCTCTTTTTTTGCTCTGCGTTTTCGGTAGAACGACGGCGTGTGCAAATCGGGATCGCGGGTGAAAAATTGGGTTAGCATTGTGTGTAGCAGGATGTGTTCGACGCATTTCAGATGAGCAAAGGTTCCAATGAGATTGAGGCCATGTCACGTCATTTGGGCGGTTTGCTGTATAGTAGCGACTGTCTAGATTGGTATGAATCTTTTCCACTGTTAGCAAGAATCCCTCCTTATTTCAAAATACTTCACAATCGGCTGACCGATTAAATCAGAGAGTCTACGTGTTCCTAGAACACAATGGCCGTTCGACGTCATTCTGTTTTCAGCCACTCCTCAGCTAGGAAACTACAATTATTGTATGGCCGCTACCAATCGTATAACTGCTGTGCCATTCCACGCATTCCAATTGGGTCTTGTCCATAACAATACCTAATATCACCTTTATGCCTTGTCCACTTTCGTTCTCAAATCGACATCAAACTACTAACCAAGAAGAGAACTGATTGACTTTTGCCCCCCCATTCCCCGTCTCCCATCATTCTTCGCCATCAGTTTGCCAGTCCAGTCAGTTCGTCCCTTCTCTCCTCCCTCGCTTGCGCTTCTTGATTAATTACCAATTGACAATTGGCATTCTAGGTAACCAACATACACGCGCACATCATGAGCTCATCGGCGCTTCTCTCGTTGCTCTTTGTCGCCATGATGCTCGCCGTCTCCATCGAGTCTCGTGTGCTCTATAATCGGTTCGAGCCCGATCGGATCGTCGAGCAGCGTGGAGGAGCTGCCGCTTCAGCCGCAGAGAACTCGTTCGACTACGACGCCAATCAGTGAGTTTGCACATCGAACGACGGAAGCAGACAATGAGAATGAGCGTTCAGAATCATCCGCAACACGATGAAGCGCAACCGTCAGTGTCTTCTCAACGCCGGACTCTCTCAGGGATGCGATTTTTCGGATCTACTTCAGGCGCAGACTCAGGCCCGCAAGTTCATGAGCTTCGCTGGACCGGGAAAGTGAGCTGATGCATGAAGAAAATGATCGGCAAGACAATAATAGTGCGCCAATTCCAATTAATGTTTCCACCTCCTCGACTCATCTATTCAATTGTAAATATCCATAGCCCCCCTCGAAGCTTTTCCGATCTCTCTGTCTCGTTAATCTCTGTGTGTCTCCCTCTCTCCCATTGTCACAATCACCATCAACCGTCGCCGAATGAATGATTAGCACTGTTAACTCCAAAGTTGCGTGTCAATCGCAATGAAGGGCTGTAAAATCGTGTCCCCCCTATCGCTTCTTTTGGCAGGAGCAGCCGGCAGGAGCAGTCACAGCCTGTTTGTTATCAGTCTTTCGGTCCATTTGGTGACATGCCGACGGTTAAACTTCAACCAAACAGGTTTCTTCTATTTCTCGTTTTATTCACATGTCTGCTGACAGAATGCTGCACCGCTTTAAAGTGTTACGACACTGGAATGGCGGTAAGTGCTTTTTGGGTTGCTCGATTGGGGACGAGATATGTCTCTGAAATTGATATTGTACTGATTTGATTCAATTTTTCCCGGACCTAATGCCGGCTAGCGAATCATTTCAAAGACTTTCAAAACTCGACTGCTCCACAAAAGGCAATGATTGTGACAATACCAAACTTTAGGAGCAACCATGCGAACCAATCGACTTGTGGTGTATAAAGATTACGAACGGATCATCAGTATCTCGAGGATGCGCGAATGTCTATGAGTATTGTACCGACGAAGATGCGGGGTGAGTGCGGCCGAGGTTTTTCATGAAAAAGTGAGGCCACGACTTTAGATGCTACCCGGAGCGCGAAGAGAACGGAGTGAAAGAGAAATGGTGCTGTTGCCGCGGCGATTTGTGCAATTCGGTCTCAATCCCATCGCTTCTTCTCCCAATCTTTTCGGCGACAATATTGACAATCTGGTTTCAGCTTTAACTTTTTACTCAAAATAAAATTAAACTGAACAACTATGAGGTTAACACTTTTGCACATTTACATATAAAGATGAGCATTGCGAATTTCGCATACATATGGCACACATTTTGATGCGAGCCGCCTCCCGTATTTTGAGGTATTCTTCTTCTTTTCTCCTCCGACTATTTCATTCTGATTCTTCTACATCACCGTCTTCCATCATTGGATCGTCGTTCATCGCCATCAGGAGCCGTCGTTTGTAGACGAGATTGTAGCCCTGATTGCAGCAGAGTCGGTTGCATTGAGAGTTGCTCACAAAGTTGTTGAGACTTGAGGAAGGCGAGAAGGAGGAGCCTCGACAGTTTTGGAAACTGAATCGGACGCATCGGTCCGCCATCGGATCGTATGTGAAACGGATCTCGCGGACCGGTTCGAAGTCGGGGCCCGAGCACACCGAAATGGGCGGTCGGGTTTGTAGACAGTAGTTCACTGAAAGGAGTTGATGGAGGTTCTTTAGTAAAAAAAGGAAACCAACTTGGAGAAGGACAACAGTAAGCTTCGCTGCCGACTGGAGTACACACATGATCCCCTGGACATTTGGCGGCTTTTGATGGATCACATTGGATAGGAGTTCCATCCACGGTAATCAATGGATCTCCCTGCGGACACACATTCCTCGGCTGCATGTATGGAGCTGGGGACGGAGCTTTCGGTACCATCGACATTGGGCTAGAGGCCAAAGCTGAAACACACAATTTTATATTGAGAAATGTTGAAGCTTTACTTTACTCACAGCTGAACTTGACACCATTGGCGACACATGTTTCAAGGCACTCAGCCAGACTTCCAAAGTTGTTCTCATTTCCGCCCTCTCCAGAATAGATGAAAAATAGGCATTGACGGTATTCCGGGGAGTAGAAGTAACGAGAGAGGTACTGATCTCCGTGTCCACTAGTCGCTGGATGGGAGCACTGCGAAGATAGAGGAGCCACGGCGCCCGGCGATTGACACGTCTTCACACAATCATTTCTCGTCAAGAAGTTGTTCATGTTTCCTCCTTGTCCGGCGTAGAGGAACGAGGCGCATTGCCCGGATGAGTAAGCCCAACGGTGCTCGGCGCCCTCTCCGTAGCCAACATCAATCGGTTGATCACATAGATTGTGGGAAGCGTGAGGTGCAGGAGGGATAAAATCGATGACAAGGTTTGTGGGCTCCTGGGCGTCGGGAACAACTTGAGCGACTGGTGGAGCGGGAATTGGGGACGGCGGTGCCGGGACAGAAGCAAGAGGCGCCGGAGGTGGAACCGGAGCAGGAATCAGTGAAGCCGTTGGACAACACAAGTTGTGTGGAGTAGAGAGAATACACGTGTGATCGTACGGACAATCGGCTTCCGAGTTGCATGATAACAAATGTGTGTGAATGGACATTTGAGGAGTGCCGCCGGGGCAGACATTCGTGGCTCCACACGCTCGATTACAAGTTTCAAATGTCTGGAAGTTGTTCTGATTCCCCTTGAAACCCTTGTAGTGAAACGGTTGACAGAGACGAGTCGCCGGGTCAAAGTACCAGCGACGGAGGAGAGAAGCGCCCACGCCCTCTTCAATTGATTGCTCACACGGGGGTTCGTCTGAAATGCGCGTTCAGTTTGAGTCTACATTATCGCACAGTTACCCATGATGGGACAGCAAATGCTCTGCCCTTGTCCAATTTGACAAAATGTCCCCATTGGACAAATCTCCTGCCGATTCTCACACATAATCGTGGCATCTCCGTAGATCCTCCGAGCACACGGCGACTCATTATTGTCCGGTGGGGATGTGACGTACTGTAAATGATCGAATAGCAGAAAAACATCGCACAAGTCCGAAGAACTAACTGAAAAGGAGAACAAAAACATACCGGGAGAAGCGTGGGAAGCGGGGAGATTGTGGTGGTTGGAGGGAGAAGGCTGGGAAGAGTTGGGTAGATGCTGAAGGACGAGGGTGGGGGTCCAGCGGTTGGGGAGAGAGTCGGAATGGGGTTGGGGATGACGAACTGAGGAGGAGGAGGTGCTGACGCAGAGCCAACAATGTAATGAGTGGGTAATTGCGCCGAGTTATCTGACACAAAAGGACTTGGAGCCGGGCCGTAGGATGATGATGACGGTGGGGCGGGGGCTTGGGCAGTTGAAGATGGATCTGGAGCAGGAGCAGACACAATCGGAACAAAAGACCCCTTTTGAGAAGCTTGTGGTGGAGGAATTGAGGCAATATAAGGATTTTGCGGGCTCGATGATCCTTGTGAAGACACCGGAGTTGGTGCGGGAAGACTAGTAGCAATTTGTTGTGAAGATGGAGCAGAAGTAGAAGCAACATAAGGATATTGTGGTTGTCCTGGAGCCGGAGCTCCTGAAGCTGGAGCAGATGGCAGACTTGAAGCAGGAGCAAAAGAGTTATCAACTGAAGCAGTGGGGACAGGAACTGAGGACGGCGGGAGGGTAGAGCTAATGAGGGAAGAGTTGGAGCTTGAATTTACTTCTGGATACGGTGGCTGTGGAAGATAAATGGAGCCGGAGCCAGACACAGAGCCATGAACAGGGTAGCGGGGCAGCATGTAGTCGGTTGTTTGGTAAGGCTCGACCTAGAATTAAGTGGGTAGAGGATCGAAGAAAGAACTGGCACCCACCTTCATGCCATACTGATTCTCAGTCGGCTTAACAGAACCGTAAGCGGACATTGGCGGCACTGGCTGCTGCTCAACTTGTCCGAACGGAATCCTCTCATGAGATGAGAACTTCCTTGGAACCTCCACTTCCGCAGTCGACGACTCCACCGGCTGCTGCACCAACTCGACAAGCTTCTGTTGTTGTGTATTCATCAGACTTTGGAAGACATGATCAACAATTGACGGCGAGGTGGTTGACGGCGGAACAATAATCGGTATGGTTTCACCTCTAGGCTCAAAGATCAGAGTTGGATGAGGAGTTTGAGTGTAGGTTTGCGTTTTAGAAGCGTATTCAGATAGAGTGCTCGGTGAATCCGTATGAACCTCGACCCATGGCTCTACAGTGATCGGATTGATGCGGATGGAAGGCGAGGATGTGGAGTACACTGAAAAAGTGATATAAGAGCTCAATCTGTGTCTTTCTTTGCTTACCATAAGGATCTGTATTCATTCGGACTTCTGTTGTGCTTTGAGTCGTTGTTGGTACAGAAGGCGTCTGACTTGGCACCAAGTTCTGAATTATTCTCATTGGAGTAGACTCATAGACAACCGGCGGCATTGATGGTGTTGTCGTGAACTCAAATATGTTCTCTTTCTTCTTAGGCTTCTCTGTAAAGTTGAATATCTGATTATCATATCAAATTGGTCTAAAACTCACTCCTAAGACATAACCTCTCGCATTTATTCTTCTTATAAAACCGATTATCGTTTCCGTCGCGTCCAGAATAGAAGAACCGTTCGCATCGTTTCGTGACTCGATCAAAATAAAACCTCGGAATGTTGAACGGTCCATTTCCGATTGCCGGCGGCAGATCGCAAGATTTTCGGGTCGGTTTTCCAATAGCACACGTCTCCATACACTCCTCAGAAGTCTCGAATCGATTCGAGTTCCCGCCTTTTCCAAGGTACATGAAAGGGCTGCAAGTGGTGGAAGTGGCGTCGTAATACCACATGCTCACAGCCATCACTCCAGGGAATCCTTTCTCTGGTACCAGTGCACACGGATTCGGGTCCACAGTCTCGGGCTCTTCAGTTTCTGTCACCAGATAAGTGGTAGTAGGGGTTGAGGACAGAACGGTAGTCGTTGGAGATGTGATTGTAGGGCCAGAGCCCGACGTTTTAGGGGAGACTGTGTAGAATGCCTCATAGACATTGTCTTTTTTGGTGGTTCTGCCAGGAGGTGGTTTGAGCGATACTGGAGCGGCCACTTCCTTCGGATAGACCAGCTTTTTCTCCTGAAAACAGTATTACAGTACTCAGGTGCCAACAATCGTTCTACCTTTTCTGGCTTCTTTCCCTCTTTTGGCTCCTTCGTCGTCTCCTTCGACATAATCTTCATATTACTCGGCAGTGAGATCGGCGGCTCTCCAGCGCCTCGGCACACTTGCTCGCACTTCTCATAATCCATAAAACTATTCTCGTTTCCTCCGATTCCCGAGTATTGTAGTTCGTGACACGCGTCCGTTTTCCAGTCGAAATAGAAACGTCTCATTCGCTGTTTACCGTACCCGACTGCTGGTGGGAGATGGCAACGATTGGCGACTAAAGATGTTCAACTGTTGACAATCAGAATGAAGAGCGCACTCACATTTCCTACTGCTCGGACAGCAATAGTAGCTGTGCTCGGATTGGCCCTCATGACACCAGAAGCCTGTCGGGCACCGTTGCTCTTGTAGCCATGGGCGCGGCTGGCACGGCCTCGGCTTGTGATCTTCCATGAGCAAGGGAATGCCATCGGCACAGAGTAGAGAGAAGTCTGGAATTGAACAAAATTTTGAAACTGAGATGAGTGGCAAAGCAAGCTACTATGTAGCTCCCCCTGAAAAAGTTGATATAGTACCCTCATAATTGACACTTCGAACCACTTGCGGCGACTTTACAATCTTATCCGCGTCGCATTTCGTGAAAAACAGTAAAATTGACAGCAATTTCAGACAATCGACATAGAGTATCGACATTTCTGACCCATTCGGGCCGCGGACGGTCAACGGGGATTGCTGAGTGCTGAAACTTGGCAGACTGGGTTTTTGCGTTTGTTTTGTTCGAGAAGAAATATGAAAGAGAGAAGAAGAGCGCGGTTATAAATCTCTGTTCCTAATATAATAATCCGAACTGTCTCTCTCTCTCTCTCTCTCTCCTCCTGGCGACAAAGTGTTTTGAAAGAGAAAGAGAGAGAGAGAGCTCTTTCGAAGGGGGAGCACGGCGCATGGCGGGTGCTCTCAGTTTCCGAATTTGTTTGTTTTTGTCGCCGATCTGATGACCCCACCCGAAACATATCTTCCAAGCTTTTGTTGGCCTCGGAAACGGAGACGGTCTACCGCTGGTCAAGCCTAATGAGTTTTTGATGGAAAACGAGGGTTGGGTGACGGCAGAGGCTCGAGGACAATGAAACTTGAATAGAAAAGGTGAGAATGAACTTTGATATTTGCATAGGGAAATGATGAAAAGGAGCGGTGATGGCAACGGTCACTTAGGACACTACCGAGGTTGGACTTTCTGAGGGATTCGTTGTTTTTTTTTGGTGCTATCTGAGAAACGGAGAAGCTAGGGAAAGTGTTCAACAATTGAGAATGCAGAAATGATAAGAATCCCTTTTCGGGAACCAAAGACCTGCCGCCGTCCAGAGCTTCAAATCGTCTCCTGCGACAATCCGGTCACTTTTCGGTGTGAAGTGCCTCTGTGTTGCCCATCCCGAAATGGGTCACAACCGCCCCCCATCAGCCGGCCTCTTGATCACCCTTAATCTCTTTCTCTCTCTCTCTCTCTCTCTCTGTCGCCCCCATATCAGTGGCTATCGTCTATCCAAATTGAGGAACAAGGGAGAGGGCTCTCGTACAATTTCACGACTCTCGGGCCAGCCGAACAGATCAAATAGCGTGCGAGAGACTCGAGATGCGCAGACGGTCGACGGCATATTGAAACCGAAGATAAACGAGATAATCAATTGATAAATGTGCGCGCGATGGGGGACCGTACCAAATACTCCATGATCCACTCGGTGCTGGCCATAGAGAGAACGATCTTGGGCTGGTGGAGGCTGAACTTGCACGTGGAACAGTTGACCAAAGTTGGCAGCTTGAAACGGTTCCTGGCTGGTGTTGGTTCTGGTGATCTGAAAAAAAGCCAGTTTTTGCTCGACTATTCAGATCAGAACGATGTACCTGTCTGGCGTGTAACACGCTCACCAACACGAATCCGAACAACACTATGAGCATCTTTGGAGCATTGCCAGTTGGAACTCGGCTTAGAACCTTTCTATAATAGATTGTATGAATGTAAAGCGAAGAAGAAGAAGATGAAGAAGAATGTGGAAAAAACAGGGTGGATCTCATCGGAAACTCCGCCTCCACCAACTCTTGTTTTCTACTGCTGCGGCTCTCGTTCTCTTTGGTTCCCACAGGCTCTATTGGAGGAAGCGCATAAAACACCACACACACACACAAAAAAGCAATGTCCTCACTCTCAAATCCAAATCGGGTTGGACGAACACGTTCAACAAACACGAACAAGCCTGCAAAGAGAGAGAGAAAGAGAGAAAGCCGCGCCGATCTCAATCCCAATCTCAAGTTACAATAACACAACACAACCGAGCAGGACTCTTCTGTAGACACCCGCTATGATGTGATCTCGAGACTTTGAGCCAATGATACTCTTTTTGAACTTGTCGCTCACTGTGGTTGGTTCTCGGTGTGGAAAGTGTGTATCGCAGTGACTTTTTGAATTGCAAGTCATCATGAAAATTAGGCTTGCATTTTTGCCGCTTCTTGCAAAGTTTTGAAAGTTTTCGCCGCGAGACCACAACCCTAGAAACAAGCGGTTAAAATGAGCAAATGCTCGTCGTACAAGCAATCGTAAAATGGGACAGCGGCCGGCGAGAAACTGTGCTGCAATTGGTGAACGTTTTAGCCGATTTGTAAATAAATTACGCGAGAGTCCATCCCTCTGTTGCGGCGGCGGCGGCGGCGACGGCTGGAGCTTCCGAATGGTTGCGGTGCCGCAACCTGAACCTAAACAGCCTAAACACACAGTTCATGATTTATATTTAGTTGGCCGAAGACGAAGAAGAATGCGAAAAGAGTGATGGGAGATTACTTTTACGAGTGAGGGTTGAAATAAACATGTGGGGGGAAGCCATGAACAGTGTATAAAATGTGGATTGGATTGAATTCGAAGGAGCGCATTTTGGGAAGAGGATAGCCGTCGGGAGTGAGAATCGCTTAATGTCCGTACTTTTGGAACTCCCACTCGCGGTTGTCTAGTGGGCACACCTGCAAAAATGCTTATATTTCCATTGAAATGGAAACTCGTTTACCTGACGCGTCTTGAGCCAGCGCGAGATGCAGTGAAAGTGGAACGCGTGATTACAGTTGCCCCAGGCTACATTGCAGTCTTCTTTGAGCCCGGACGCCTGATTTGCTTGGCACTCGATACACAGGTCCATGATGTGGTTGCGGCAGATGGCGCAGTTGTCCACCTGTATATCCCAGGCCCACAAAGCGACGGCACTCCACTTCTTGACCTGAAAATTGAATCTTCCAATAAAAAAGCATAAATTTAAGAGAGAAACTAACCTCGAAGCGCTTCTTGACTGCCTGGCTCGACGTTTCTTCGACTTCCATCGGCGCTTCCTTGTTTTCGCTTGAAGAGGCCATTCCTAAAAGTCAAGGATGAAAATATAGATTTGCGACAATGAATAAGAAAGATAGAAGAGAGTAGTAAAGTACGGAACCAGACGACGAATGTGAAATTAATTCGGTTGGATAAAAGCGGACCGGAGAGTACTAGGAGCGCATAACAAATCGCCGTATCCAAGGCAACGCGAGTCGATTTACTCTTTCCCCAAGAACAACAGAAAATGGACTCTGGGAAAAAATCAATGAATCAGAACACTGAGAGTGACAACACAAGGTCTGCAATGAGAATGAGGCGGCGGGGGGAAAGTATGCTAAAATCAATATGCTCTTTCGCAATTTTTAGCAGATAGAAATATGAGTCGAGTTTGGAAACTGAGCGCTCAAAGACGATTCGCATTTAAAAAGAAGCATTCCGTTGAAAATGAAACATTTATTTAGGTAGTTAGGGCCAGAAATTAATTCTTGTCGAACTAACCACAGCTTTTTTAGTTTTCATTTCGAAAAATAAAAATAAAGTTATTTTCGAATTCAAAAGACCATTTTTAAGCTGGAAATGCACCTGAAACAGAAGAGAAACGACAGAAAAGCAGGGGAAAAAGGTTTGGCGGACTTGTCATCAGAATTGAAATTGGTCCGCAAGGCAACACATTTTACGCGCAATTGCGTACATTTTTTTCTGTATTTTGTCGAGATTTGATTCTGCTCTTAAAGTGTGAAAAAGCGACTAAAAGATGTACGAGACTAAAACCAGCGGGCAAATACTGAACGTATTTTTTTCGCCAGGCAGCTAAAGTCAACTTTTCTCAAAACCATTAGAAAGCTCACGTGTTCGTTTATCAGTTGTTCCCTCACAGCCGTCTTTGTTTTAGAAATGAAAATTTGGCCGGGCAAAACTCATGTTCTGCAATGAAAAAAGATATCGAAAACGTACAATCACAGATTTCCGTGAAAATTCAAACAGAAATTTCACAGACGTTCAGTCAGCGAAACAACAAGACGGCAGTAAATAACGAGAAAAGCAACACAAGTCACCTGTTTCGCTTGCGCGGGCAGGTCAAAAAGAGGACGGGTCTCGCAGCGATGCTACAAAAAACTGGGTGCGCGTTTGAATCGAGAGTGCGCACCGCGTCGGTCAGGCAGGCAGGGAGGACGAGGCGAAAAAAAAGAGAGCGAGTCTTCTCGGGACGGACGGACCGTCGGTAGGAGAAACCCAGTGTTTCGATGATCTGGTTTTGTCATCATCTGTCCGTCAAAACACTCGTAAACGTCATTTGATCTCGGCGACAGGCGTGAAATTGTTGAACGGTCCCTGCCCGGGCATCAAAACAAGTGTCTTGTTTTGGCGCGTTGCGGTCTTTCCTCCCGACGATCCGTTCGTCCCGAGAGGACTCGCACTCTTTTTTTTCTCCTCGTCCTCCCTGCCTGCCTGACCGACGCGGTGCGCACTCTCGATTCAAACGCCCGCCCAGTTTTTTGTCACATCGCTGCGAGACCCATCCTCTTTTTGACCTGCCCGCGCAAGCGAAACAGGTGAGTGTTGTTTTTCTCGTTGGTTGCTGCCGTATTGTTGTTTCGCTGACAAAAAAACTGTGTTCCTTGTCTTGCATTTTTCGAATGACTGAAAACTTTTGAAAAGATCGCTTTCTACCACAATTTAAGCACATCATTAACTCAATCTAAATAAATAGCAAGCTAGAGTTTTTTTTTCTGTTTTTTTTAGATGATGGGCAGAGTTTCGTTGAAAGTTTATACAATTTCACGGCAGATTCTGACGACGCCAAAAAGTTTTCACCACTTCGATTTTTTTCAAAATTTTTTTAACGTGTTTCCAAAGCGCAAAATTTCGTTTGGCGTCGCATTGCGGTCTTTCCTCTCGACGGTCCGTCCATTCGGAGGACTCGTTCGCCAGAACCAATCTAATATTCTCTTTTTTTGCCCTAGCCTGCCTGTCTTCTTCGCTATTCTTATAACCGGCCCCATATTATAACAGAGTGTCGTTGAGAACGTCTCAAGTTTATTCTTCTTGTCCAACGTTGCCCCCTTTGCGGCGCATCAGCATCTGTTTCGCTTTCGGAAATTTTCGCTCTTATTCGGACTTTGAGAATCAGGCGTGCAAGGAAGAACCAATGCTTTTTTCTATTACTTAGTTAGATTTCTTTGGTGTGCGTTGCGGTTTTCCCTCTCGACGATCCGCTCATTCAGTCGGACTCTTTTCGACTAGGCCCTTTTGTTTCTCAAAACCATTAGAAAGCCCACGTGTTCATTTCTCATAGTCAGTCATTGCGTCACAACTCATACACAACTAACGTACAATCATAGGTTTCTGTTAAAACTAAATAAAATCTATCGTGATGTGTAATTTGTTTCGATACCTCAATCGCTTCCTTTTCTTCGTTTGCTCGTTTTTTAGTGAACCCTGACAATTTTATTGTTTTGAGAAATTGAAGGGTGATGCAGAAATTGAGAACCGAACAACAAGTGAGGAGGAAAAGAAGAGAGAAATGTGTGGGTCAGTTTTGCGCATCGGTGTATCCAATCCTCTTCTTCTTTCGCTCTGGGAAGCACTTCTCGGTAATCTCCTTCAGCTTTGTTCCCAAATTCTTTCGATAGTCGATCACCATGTCCAAATCGACAGTTCCATCCGGCTGTTCATGATGGCTTTTGATGTGCTTGATCACATCCGACTTGGCAATCGTCTGCCACTTTCGATGACAGATTCCGCACTCGTAGAGTTCGTACTTTCCGTGCCGAGTATTCGCGTGATAGACCATGCTCGATCGTTGTCTGGAGACTACATCTCCACAGAGAAGGCACTGAATCTGCTTTGATTTCCTCATCGGACCGCCGCCTTCTGATCCTCCATCGCTTTTTTCCTCTTCGTGCCGGGAAAGAGCTTCATCTAAAAAGTTATTGGATAGATAGAAAGGCTATGTAGAATTCTCACCCAAAAACGCTTGATAAGAGTTGATGGAGGGCGATTCCAGAAAAGTTCCTGGAGAACTCGACTGCATCGGGCTGGAAGTCACATCAGAATCTTCCATCTTGACCATGGTGCTCGAGACTGCTTCGCTGATCTTCTGCTCGCCGATTACGGAGTGACTGAGGGCTAGACATCGCTGGATCTTATCGGCTAGTTCTCTTCTCCTAATTTTCAGCTCCGGCGTATAACGATACTTGATCTAAAAGTGTTGAATGTTGATTAATATTAAACACAACATAGAAAGTTGCGCACTTGCGGTGCATCCGCAACTCTCATGTTTTTTGTACAAATAATATAACTTACTGAAAACTCTAGAAGACCATGATCGTTCTGACAATGGCTGACAAGTGCATATTCTGTCGGAAACTTTGCGTACTTGCACTTTTCGCATCTGAAAACGTACGATTTGGTGAACGGTTTTTATTTGAAAAAAAAACGGAACTAGAAGTTCTGCCCCTCCAAAAATTGTTTTTTATAAGAATGAACTTAGTTGACAAACTTACTCATAGGGGCAAGAGTTGAGATGATCGCTAGCGATGTGCGCTTTCAAATCCTCCACATTATTGTAAACTTCTGATTGAACACAATCCAGACAGAGAAGATTGAGACTCATTTTTGGAAACCACAAATTCTGAATCAATATAGAATGAGAGGAGGAAAGAGGAAAATGTTGTGTTGGTCGGAGGCGAAAAGGAGAAGAAGGAGGCAGTGGTCGGGCAGTGAGGCAGCCTGCGGAGAGGGGGGAGGCAGTCTCTTCCTCTTTTCTCCTTCCTTTCTTTTCTTCTTCCCCTTCTTCTTCTTCTTCTTCCCGCTATTCGCCTTTTGCAAAACACAGAGAAAGAGATTGGGGACGAGAAGGAGGAGGAGAGGAATGTTCTTTCTCTTTCTCTCGCTCCTCTCCTCCGAAAGGGCGGGCGCTTGTGGATGGGAGGAAGAAAGAGAAGAAGAAGGCGAGTTGTTTTTATGGAAGCGAAAAAAGAAGGGAAACGGAAAAGAAAAGCACTTGCTGCGACTATGGTCTGCGTCAGCTATCGGTTTTGAAAGGGGTGGGGAACGAATTTTCAAAAAACTCAAACAGGAAGAACTTCTATTCGAACTTTTAAAATAGTGTCAGGTCGATTCTCGACTATTATATAGAACCATTTCGATGAATTCTCGTACTTTTAGAAAGTTCTCGTGCAAACTGTCATGATCTCGAGCCAAGTTTTTTGCCGCAAAAGAAACAATGAGAAAAAAGTTAGGTCATTTCTCTAGTGAAAGTGGAAACAACGCAAATAACTTTTCTGAGAAACAAAGAGCACCAGTAATATCTTCCGTAGCTTTCACAAGAATTCTGTATTTCAAGTTATCAATTCCATTATTCTGTCTTCGAGATCCTTCCGCCAGGCCAACGCTTCTCACATGAGAGTCATCACATACAACCTTGTTTGCGCTTCCGCTATTGAACCTCTTTAACCTCGTTTTAAATACCAATGTGCGAATTTCAGATCACAATATGAACACAATCCGAAGGATATCAATCCGCCGACTCTCTACCAAGGCCTCTCAAGAAGCGTCCGTTGCCCCGAAGAATCCGCGGACGCAGACGGCGATCACTCCGGCCACTTTCTCCAATTCCGGGCAATTGGCTCGATATCTGGCGAAGAACGTGCTCGCCCACGCACCCGGGCGATTCGTCGTTATTCAGAAGCCATACGGCATCTCGTGCGTCGGCCAAGTTCAAGAAAACGGCGGAATTTTCGGGAACAGTGTGCACGACGAGCGGAAAACGGAAAAATGGGCAGGAACGATCAAGGAGAAGACCGAGGAACAGAAGGGTGTGACGCTTGCAGATAGCCTGAAAGATCTGAAAAAGTTGTTCCGAGAGCCACACCTAAGCTTTTGCACCGGGCTCAAGAGATATTTGTCTGGAGCGATTGTCCTACCGTGCAACGAAAAGGATGCGACTGTTTTGAAGGAATGCATCCGGAGCATGTCTGCCAACACTGAACCGCCGTTTATGTACAATGCAATGTAAGTGAAGAGTTATAAAAATTGACGACTTTTAATGATTTCAGAGCAATAACGGTAGGCAGGCCCGCCAGAAGCAGCGGAGTCATCACCGGATTCGCCACTTTTCGCAATGTTGGCCAGCATAAAGAGGTTCGCATCCGATAGAGAGCGCCATTCGATTCTCAAAATTTTCAGTACATTTTCGAAGAGAGAAAGGTGACAAAACGTGCGAAAAGTGGAAAGTTCGCAGTTGAAGGACACATGAGCTATCGGGTACTGGACACGCGGAATGGCATCTCGCTCATCAATTTTTCCGTTGATAAATGTGAGTGTGATATCATTTGATAATTATTCGAGTGTTGCGGACATTTGAAGTTTTATTTATTCCCACAAACTACTTGCAAATCATACAAACCATGAACTGGGCTCTAATTTCAGTCGCCCGCCACCTTCCCCGCCTGATGCTCACCCAAATATCCGCCCCGATTCTGGGCGACACCATCTACTGGCGCCGTCTCGCCGACGTCGACGGAGCTCCCGAACTGATTACTGCAGGGAATAGAGGACATCGTATTGTTAGTTGACGTAAATAACACTAGATGAAACGAAACAGATTTGAGTGGTTGCCGCCGCGTCTCTCGGAAACTCTGGATATGTCTGCTCGCAGTTTGCTCACTTCGCTGCCCATCTATTGCCACGTGTACAACACTGTATTCGAAGATGTCGGTGGACATGAAGCACATGGCCTTGTTGCTGCCGCCAAGCCTCCAGGTGACTTTCCGTTGAAAAATCTTAAAACTTTTCAAATTTAAGCTCACTTTATGGCGATGCTCGACCTACTCGGCCTTCTCCCTGCATACCGCGACTTTTCTTCGCAACCGGAGAAGCCTGCCGACGATGCGTCGATGCCAACGGCCAGGACCTCTGGAGAGGTCACTTTCTAGTCACTTTGTTATATTTTCGTTTTTTTTTTGTTAATTTTGCTGAAATAATCTATTGTCACCTCCCAAATTTCTTTCAACGTGTGTGGTCTCTACCCTGTGGCACCTGACGCGGGGACATAAATTCCCCCGTCCTCCGACCGTCTCCTCTTTTCGCACTCCTCAATCGCAATCTTCTTTTTGTCCCAGCCCCCCCCCGTTGAATTTTTCAAATTTTTTCGATGTTGTCTATCGAAAAAAACGAAACCGTTTGGAACTAACTACGGTAGGCCCGTAGGTTTGAAACTTATCAGATATATTGCCATTTCGTGCTATTGTAGATGGTATCTTAGACATTTTCAGGGAAAAAATTTCGAAACAGTTCAAACAATTTAACGGAGATACTGTAAGTTCATGTTTTGAAAGCGAAAAAGGAGAACAACCCAGAGTCCTTGAAATGTTTTTGACGAAATAGCATCCAGCGTAGTGAAGGAAGTTGTTGGAAAAATATGATGTACGGAAAGCACACAAAAATTAGAACCTCGTAACGCACAAATCTGCGTTCCTCCCTTTTTGCCTACCGGAGGACCACCGTGATCCATCCCTCTCACAGGTTCTCTCATAGTCTGCGATCTCTTAATCTTTCGTTGGCTGGTCGGTCCCTTGCGCACAGCTCTTATGGAGTGGGTCCTTTTCAAAGCGCTCTAAAACTTCGGAAAATATTTTCTCAGGACCTGAAATGCAGCTTGATCGATAGGCCTTGACCGGCTCTATAAAATGGACCCACTCTAGGTAGGGCTTAGTTGATTGGGTCACTTGATATGAGGCGGCAAAGTTGGAGTTTCCTTACACTCGATTTCCTTAAATTTTTGTATTTTTGTGTTGTTCAGTCAACAGCAGGGATACAGAACAGGCGCAGGCGCCTAAAATCGCCTGTTTTCCAATAGTATTGGTCCTTATCAGTTGACTGGATACTCAGATAACGTAGCTTGTGAGCTGCATTCTTCGTTGTTTTGTGAGATTGTGCCGGTGGGGTCATGTTGACGTGTTTCCAACATTTTGAAAACAAAAAAGATACGGAAGGCTCCGGGATTCTCTTGAAAGATCTTAAGCTCAACGTCCACTCTCAGTCTCAGAGCCCCACCTATCCTCTCTATTGGCCCGTCCCTTCGTCTCATCCTCCCTGTGCATATGATGCAAACGTCGTGCCTCTGTCGACAATCATAAAGGTCCCCTCATTCATCCCATCCGATACCTCCTCTCCCTCGCTCTTTCTCCCTCCACTCACCGTTTGGCCACCATTCAACCTGCCTGCACACCCTACCGTAGACTCTGCACCCCCCCAGGAACGCACCTTTCAATCTTCTTTCACCATGAACGCTCGATCCATGATACTACCAGCACTGGTTGTCATTCTTCTTTTGGTCGAAAAAAATCATGGATCCACGATCACGATGGAACGCATAAAAAAGGCGGCTAGGAAGTGTTGTGATGTGCCACGAGTCAATTGCTGTATTGATACGATTGTTCATCAGTGGGTCATCATCAACTATTGATATTGAGAATCACTGTCTGTTTTATAGGATTCCAATCAAATGCGACTATGAATCGGATGAAGTGCTCGAGAGACAGATTCATAATTGCCTTCAAGGAGAGATTTTCGAGAAAGAAGCTAGAGTGGATTTAGATGGTGAGCAATGCTTTCAGCTTCAAGCTTTGACTTGTCATTCGCTAATTCTGACTCCACCTTCCGGCCAATCACTAACATCTACCGTAGACTTGCCACAAGATCTGACAATTTCCATTTCAAATTGTGACCTAACCTTCAAATAGTCTCAAACCGTTTCCCGACGAAGAGACCGCCCGTGCGATCATTGATTGGTTTGTGGAAGAGAGAAACAAAGACCGGGTGGCCACACGTTTGTTCTTTTTGCGCTCCTCGTAGGCCTGTTTTCCGTGCTCTTCACATTTCACACAGCAGCTAAGATTAGACGAATTCGTTTCCAGCAGTCGAATCTCACATCAACTGCAAGTCTTCTAGAATTTATATCAACAACTCCTGATCCAACAACTCCAAACCTGATCCAAACCTGATTTGCATGGGGCCTCATCATAAAGAACCATTTATTGTCCACAAACGCACATTCTTGCACTGTGCACACACACACACACACTGAGGGTCTTTGGGAAGAGGAAAAATTAGAGAAAAGGAATACATAGAAAGAGTTCTTTTCAAAAACCTTAGCTAAACCATTGAAAGCAAGAAAAACCTCTGCACAGGGCTCATTGTCATCACTCATTGGCTGATTGTTCATAGCTTGCATTGTCGAATGCTTCGAGAAGCGAGGATAGCGTGTGGGCGTAGAGAGACTCGTGGCCGCCATTTCCGTCAACGATCAATATACTCAAGCGAACGTCAGAGGTGGCTTGGGCACGTTTTGACACCTCGAATCGGCTGATTTGGAGGTTTTTATGCTTATTTTGAGATATCCTATCAACATTCTTGCTTTGAAATCATTTACTTTTTAAAAATTCTCCCCTTCAAAGAATCGTTGTACTTTTTGACATCACGCTGAAAACGTCTTCATTTAGTCTTGAAATGGTTTTGTTTTCTCTTTCTCTGAAATTTTGAGAATTCTTTTCATATTCCATTTTACCTCAGTCGATAGCTCGTTTCTGTTCGAGTTTACAACCCTTTCACACTCCTCCAACCTCTTCCGCGTCGCTATTTTGAGTGCATCCTTTTCAAAGTGCTCTAAAACTTCGAGAAAATTTTTTTTCGCATTTCGAACCCGGCTCATTATCAAGATTTTTGCATGTTCTATCCGACGGTACCACTTTTGAAATGGCTGAGTTGACTGGGTCCCGAGATATGAGCTCTCAAAGTTGAAGTTTCGGTCAGGCTTCCTCAACTTCTCCGTGCAGTTTGGGTTGTGTTCATCTCAGTTGTTCAGTGCTCATTGTAATCAAGAATATCCTGTGATATTCTTGAGTCTAGAATCAGGAATCCAATCGAGAAGCGTCTTCTTAACACCACTTATCTTTGCTACCGTAGTATCTTATCCTTCTCTCTCTCTCTCTCCCGTTCTCTTCTCACGGGCGTCGATTGGCTGCTCGACCTGGCCCGTATCCTCCAATTCCCCTGGCATCCTGTGTTTGCCAGATGTCTCTTGGGCCGAAGCAAACGGAAATGGAGCAACTGCTCTTGTAGGCTTCTTTTGATATTTTCTGGATTGAACGGGACAGGGGAAGAATTTGAAGATTTTGAGGATGGCCTAGTTTGGAATGCTTCACCTCAAAACAAGATTCTTCAGCTCGCATTTTGTCTAACTATCTACATACCTCTTCCTCCCAATACTCTTTTCCCTCTCCGAAACATATGTCTTACTGTCAATCAATCTAGACGGTCTGGGATACGGTAATGGAGGCCTGGGTGCCAAGTGGTCCACTGTCTTCCCAAACGTCTCGTTTTGCGGTCCGCAGTAATAAAGGCTCGCCCAACAACCAGCAAGACAGTACAGTATTTGGGGATACGGTGGACAGTGAGAGGTACTGTAGACGAAAGTAGGTCAGCACGTTGTGCACACACCGTGCAAACAATTGGTGATATTGGGCGTAGTGGGAGTCCGGAGGCGTATGATAGAGATTGACACTTTCTGGTATTTTTCATCGTGAAAAAGGCGTATCAAACGAGGCATACTGTAGGCACGAGCTCATAAACGAAGCAACGGATCACTCAAATCTTTTCTTCTTATCAGTGCGATTAACGGTGTTTGTTTTTAATGTGCTCTCAGAAGTCCTCGGCTCATTCTCGCGTCCCGATTTCTTGAACAACTGTTTAGTTTCTTCTTGCTCTCTACCCCTTCCTTTTCCTCTTCGTCGTTGTCCATTCTCGCTTTTATCTTAAACCATCAGTCGCCTCTCAGAATTCTCAAAAACGCACAAACATCTGTCGGGCAGCACTCAAGCAGGCTCCTCCTCCTCTCTCTCTCTCTCTCTCTCTCCCTCTCTAGCTCCGCCCATCCCTGTTCCTCATGCTACCTCAGATACAATTAGTCTCAGTCCGTTCCATCTTGCAGACTCCGTTTGCTGCACGGTCTTCGGGCATGACGCCACCGACATCGGCAAGCGCTGCGAGCACAAATGCAAAGACCTGATGAAATCGCCGTCGGTGGACGCGGCTACGCGACTCGATCGCATCGAGCATTGCAAGATTGTCGACAACCCGCTCTACCAGGTACAAACCCCGTTTTCTTTTGGCGCTGTGGCCTGACCGCTGGCCGGGCCGGGTAGCTCCTCTGCTCCGAACAGGTGGTCTCATTCGGGGCTTTTCGAAAAGATCACGCAAACCTCGTGAAGTTGTAATTTTTCAGTGCTTCACAAAATGCCGTCAACTGCGCAGGCGAGGGTTCAAGATCGAAGTGTTGAGGTTCCGTGAGTACTGCAACGTCACCGAGAACATCACTCCGCACTCGTCCTCGTTCTTCACCACACCCTCGCCCAACGCCAAGAATGTTCGTCACAGACCGCGCTAAGAAATGTAACTGTCGGTAATTCCCCCTTCCAACTATATCCATAGAATGTTGTCATAATGGCAGGTTATCTTTTCACACAGAAACCTGGCCCAATATTTTTTATTTCTCCGACGGTGCCTGCTTCTCTTTTCTCTGTTATGGGGCTATTTTTTTCGTTTTTTTTTACAACGCTGAATTGGGTTTTTTGACGTAAAAAAACGAAAAAAAAACGGAAAAAAATCATTTTTTTTCACAGCCTGAATAACCCCATTAAAGTAACAATTGTTTCATGCAAAGTCGTCATACTGGCGTATTATCATGTACGGTCCAGACTTCATTCTCGCCCCGACCTCCCCTTCCCCTCCCCCGCCTTCTTAAAAAAACGAACCCTCCTTCCCCAGAGTCCCAACTCGCTGTAATTGTCATATTGGCGCGTCCACGTGCGCGGTCCATTTTTATGTACTAGATAATCCAGAACAAAATATTTTTCTACAACAATCGTCGTGAGTGCAGCTTTTATTGGTGCTAAACTTCTGCCGTGTTTGCCATTTTTTTAACTGTATTGTAACTGATTTCCATGAAAATAATACATATTGTTTTAAAACTTGTATCCAATAAATTATTTACTCAAAAAAGGAAACATTTTGAAACACGATTCGAGAATCGAGAATAGAATTAGAGTATTGATAAGGAAGCGTATGATACTTGAAAGTGTTATCATTGATTCTCTATACTGAAACAAATCTATTCAGTTTTATTTCAGCAATAAAACATTTGCAAATGCTTAGCTCTTCCTCATCACTTTTCGTTTCTTCTCTTTTCACTTTGCTAGACACTGTCCGTTTCGAATGTGTTCTCTTCTGAATATGTGATAAGTATCTAGCAAACTGTTATCGAATTGACTTTGTAAATACATTTTAAGACAAAATAGGAAGAAATAGGAAAAGAGATGTAGAACAGGTGAGGAAGACTGGGCCGGTAAGACCTTCGAACAGCATTTTTCCGTATCATTAGTTTGCCGTCTTGCTGACCGAATAGTAGTATCATCCATCAGCAGAATAAACAGTGTCTTGGCGCCATGCCAAGCTTGTGTACTTTTCCTTTTCCGCTTTTTTTCTCGCACGCGAGTTCACTTTTTTGTGTGACCGCTCTATTTGCAGGGAATTCGCTCTCACGCGATTGACTCAATTTTCGATTATTCGCGTGAATCAAAGTGCGAATGAGCGCCCCATTCGGTAGGTTGTCCACTCAAATATCAAGACAAATTTCAAGAGAAGAAGAAAATGTGTCTTCCAGAAGAGCAGCATGGACCCACCCAGGAACATCCGCCGACGCAGCCGCTTTTAGGCGGTAAGTACTTTTATGAAACGTTTTCAGAGATGTAATACTCGGTGTTGTCAAAAAATGTGGATTCATGTTCAATGACCTGTTTCTTTTTTCAATTCTGCAGAAAATATCCTTTAAATCGGCGGTGGCCGAGGTTTCACATGTCTTCAAAAACTAGTCCCCCGTCACTGTAGCCTTGTTTTTCCACGGCCTCCGGCACGAGAAAAGCGCAAGCAATTACGCGTGCTCTCTGCGTCGCCGGCAGCATTCTCCTTGTCTCGCACTCTCTCGCTTGCCTACTGTCGCTCGAGAAGCGAAATGAGAGTTGGCGTGGCGCTCGGAACGCCGCCGGACGAATACTGATTTACCTTTCCGTTTTTCTTCATGAACGTGTTTATCATGAGCAAAACTTGCAAAGAGCAACAAAAAATTCTCAAAAAAATGCCGGCGTCAGTACGAAATTTGCATTTTTCGTGTTGCGGTTGATTATGCGTGCTACAAGTGAGAATCAAAATCATCTTCCGTTATTTCGTGATGAAAACGTTGCCCAAGGGTTTTTCATGACCACATCATCAAAAATTTAACGAAATTAATCGTGTAAGCCACTTTGGGAGCACCGATTTCACACTTCGGTGGCCAACGAAGTTTCATCGGAGACTTCAGATGCGTGCTCTCGGAAGAGTACTGATTCATTTTTCCCGCTTTCTACGGGAATATGTTGAATATGATCAGTACTTCGAAGCAGCAACAAAAAACTTGAAAAAATATTCTGGAGTGTCCACGGAGACGGCTTCTAAAAGTGCTACAGTTTTCTGCTGACTTCAGATGCGTGCTCTCGGAAGAGTACTTATTCATTTTTCCCGCTTTCTACGGGAATATGTTGAATATGATCAGTACTTCAAAGCAGCAACAAAAAACTTGAAAAAATATTCTGGAGTGTCCACGGAGACGGCTTCTAAAAGTGCTACAGTTTTCTGCTGACTTCAGATGCGTGCTCTCGGAAGAGTACTGATTCATTTTTCCCGCTTTCTACGGGAATATGTTGAATATGATCAGTACTTCAAAGCAGCAACAAAAAACTTGAAAAAATATTCTGGAGTGTCCACGGAGACGGCTTCTGAAAGAGCTACAGTTTTCTGCTGACTTCAGAAGCGTGCTGTTGGAGGAGGGAAAACTTTTTTTGACGGATTTCAGCTGTAAACTGTTGTTTACACTTCATCGAAACAAAGAGCAATGAATAATCGCAAGTTTTTCTTATTCTCCAGCTGTGAATTCCGAAGATGTGAGCACGACGTATTCTGGTGGACAAGTTAGTCAGAATCCACCAGTTTCTCACATTTTTTGATAGGAAATGTTCACATATGGGTAAAACTTCAAATTAAACAATAGTCGAGTGAGAATGAATGTTGCCGCCGTTGGTGAGTCCGTGAGAGTCGGATCTGTCGTAATCTTGGCTCAAGTCGGCGTGCTTCAAACCGCCATATCTCTCTTCAAACTCATCCAATCTACTCGTTCGAAGTCGCAAAAAGAAAGCTCATGAAATTTAGAAACTTTTTGTGTGTGAATTTGTAAAAAGTGGTTTCTTGCTCACGTTATCCTGGAAAAAAACCTCAAAAAAAGGCCACTTTTTTTCCACTGAAAACTTCAAAGTGATGCATCTGCCTTCAAACTGCATCAATTTACTTGATTAAAAAAGCAAAACGTAGGCCTCACTAATGTCTACAACTTGCCAGAATCAGATTTTTTTGAAAAAAATTTTTCCTGATTTTTTTAATGTGACTGCAAAGTTTTTCTCTTCGTGGTTTGTTACATCCCATTCATTCGAATCACATCTATATTTGATATTTTTTTGTGTTCAATACTTGAATATAATTGTGTATTAACGAAAAGTGACGAAACAGTCGAGAAAAATTTTTCTTGTACCCGCTCCTAGACATGTCTTATACTCAAATTTTTGGTAAAACTGGCTCTTTTTCAACACACAAGAACTTTTTTTGATTGGCTAATAAAAAAGATTCCTAATTTTTTTGTCTTAGTCTGTTCAGATTTTTTTCGAGATTTTTATTTTTTTGTGGTAACCATGCCGCCGACAACTTTTTTTCGTGTTGAACAAGAAATTTTTTGATGGATAATGCAAGCGCGCTCTACGGTCATGCGTTAGAGATGAGAGACGGCTGAGTATGCGCGTTTCGCGATCCGGCTGGCACATTTCTCGTGCCGGAGGCCGTGTTTCTGCTTTTCCGTTTTGTTTTGCTCGTTAAAAGCACTTTTCTATCGATTTTCAGCCCGGACGACAAAAAACAGGAAAAACAATTCGTTTCTTTCTTTACGTTTTTTTCTTTTCTTTTGCTAACAAGAAATTGAGGAAAATTAAAGCGACGAGAGCTGTCAGAAGACTTTACAGAAGACATACCAATCCTTCTAGAATGTATTTAATCGGATCAAAAATGAATAAGTGTGCCGTCATTTTCCTTGAGATTTAGTTAGCTTGTGCTCTTCAGCTCTCCGTCTCTCATCTCTGTACTCTGCGTGAGAAGTGTTCTCTCGGGCCGTGTTTCAATTTTACAGACAATCAATTTTTTTCTACTTAAGGAATTCCTCGTCCTCGTCTATAGAAGGCTTTAATCATTCTCATCAGGATTTCTTTTTTTTGTGAAGTCGTGACTCATCCTTTTGCTTTCTTCCTTGTCGCCTCAACAAAAGAAAACAGAGAAGAAACAGAAACACTATAAAAGTGTTCTCCTCTCGCATCTTTTCTCTTCCGCCCTTCGGTCGCTTGCCCGGTGCCTCGTGGCCCCAACAAGAATCGATTCTCTTCTAACCTCCGATAGAACGTTGGAATGCACGGATACGCAGACAGTGAGGGCTTTGGTCAACTCTCTGCGTCTCGCCACTGTTCTCAAATCTCCCGCCGCCCGCTCTGCCTTCTCCTCATTGAAGACGTGCCATTTCGCCTGATGTCGGTTGCGAAATTCTTGCCACTTCTCTTCATTTTTCTCTACTTTGTTATTGCATAGATTTGACCAGAAGGCGAAGCCATTTGATGGGGAAGTGTTCGTTTCATAGCGCGGCGTTCCGTTCTCATTTTCTTTCCCTGTTTGTCTATCGGGAGTGCGCGCGTTTATTGTTTAGACTTTTGAACTGCAGTCTGCAGAACATTAATTTTAGCTGATTTAAGACTGTACATCAGCGTTTCTAATAAAACATCAATATTCATAACATTTTTCGCTTCTGACTCGTTTTGCTCGGAAATCCCTTTCTGTGCTAGCCAAAATGACAAATTCACTTTGTGATCATTCGCCGGTCAATCCGTAGTCGCTAAACCGCTCGCGCTTCTCTCCAACTCGAAAGACAAAAAAAAACAGACAATAATATCCTCTATCTATAATCCCGTATGATCTTCCTAGTAAACGATGGGCTTTAGGCGTTTGACGCCATAGAGAGCACGGAGAACATTCTCGAAGAGGCCAGGCCACAAAAACACCTTCTTTCGGTTGTCATGACGACTCTCAGACATATCGGGTTAGCGGAAAACAACCAGAACGTGTAGTTCGTGACATTCGTAATTGCATTCTACTGGCACTTTTCATCCTATTCAATCAGTGTCTAGACTTCACATTTCTAGTTTTTTTCGTATAATCGTTTTGTTTCTCACTAATAATGTCTAAAAACTTCGAGACATTCAGGTATGTCCTACAACCAGCAGCAGCCGTACAACCCGGCCTACCAGAATCCGTATCCGAATCAACAGCAACAGTATCAGGGACAAGGACCACCGCCGCCCGGTTTCAATGTGGGAGGTGGACAGAATCAGAGTCAAGGTGAGGATGATTTTTCTAATGCGAAGCGTTCCTATCTCTACAATTTAAGGTTACTTCCCGCCACCACCGCCTCCAATGCACGGAGGAATGTTCAATCAGGCGAACCTCATGGAAAATGGACAGAACGGCCAGCAGAACGGCGACGAAAAGTACTCTTTCCAGTTCTCGGATAAAACGATCCGTGCGGCTTTCGTTCGCAAAGTTTTCAGCTTGGTCTTCATTATGGTAAGTGGTATCCAGAAGATATAAATTCAATTAAAAATTGGTTTTCAGCTGTCCATAGTCGGCGGAGTCACCCTTTTTCCGTGGCTTCACGCGCCAACGATGCGAATGGTCCGTCACAACACTGGAATATATCTGGGATCCTAGTAAGCGTTCAATGCCAAACCTTCATCCGAACAAACACATTTTTCAGCGTTGTCTTCCTTGTCACCTATCTCTCGCTGTCGTGCTGTGAAGGACCGCGTCGCAAGTTCCCGATCAATCTGATTGTCACTGCAATCTTTGTAAGCTAACACCTTTCCAACCGTTGTAGTAGATGAAATGAATACTTTTTCAGACGTTTGCCACTGCCACAATGACAATGGTGATCTCGGCTCACCACGACGCCAACGTCGTCCTTCTCGCGCTCGCCATCTGCATCGGATGCACCCTCGCCATCGTCGTTTTTGCATCTCAGACCAAATTCGACTTGACAGCGTCAGTATCCGCATCCCGGTTATCATATATTGCCAAATTTTCAGTCATATGGGATACGTTATGATCGCCTCGGTTTGCTTCATGATGTTCGGACTGGTGGCAATAATTTCGGCGTACTTTTTCAAAATCAAATTCATGATTATGTTGTACGCACTCGGCGGATCTCTCATCATGATGATGTACCTCTTCCTCGACGTCCAAATGATGATGGGAGGCCGAAAGTACGAGATTTCGCCGGAGGACTACATCTACGCCGCCGTCCAGATCTTCATAGACATTGTCCAACTGTTCTGGTACCTGTTGACCCTGTTCGGATCGAGGTAAGAATTGGAATGAAGTGGTTGATGAGGTGGATTGTTGGAATCATTTCCAGAGACTGAATTCAATTTCCTGTTAATGTGTTTGGTAAGAATGCTCTTGTGCTTGTGAGGCATGCTTTTTTCTGTTTCAACTTGATTTTCGACAATTCTAAAGACGGTTTTTCAGCGACTGAACATCGCAACTCTTCGACGACACCCTTCAATGTATCTACTCTCCCCTTTTTCTCCATTTCTTACCCCTATTGAACACACTGGTAGATTACTTTCTTTTCCCTTCCTTCTTCTTCTCCTGTCCAATCTTTTCCTCCTGAACCCGCCCACACCAAAACTAACCCATGTGGGAAACGTAATGAAAACATTGTCAAACACATGATGTTAAACATGGAATGTCAAGTATTTTTTGATGACAATAAAGTTTCTTCGGCAATTCCAAAAGGAAACGCCACATCGACATCCAAAATGTTGTTCGAAAATGTCCGCTTTGTGTTGATTTTTCAACTGTGTCAATGCTAGAAAAGCTTTGCTCACAGTTCAAGTCTGCACAATTTTTTGGACTGCTGACGATGACTTGAGGACATCTATATGAGCCTTATGGCTGCCAAAAGTTCGAGATTCTGTCAGGTAAGAAACCGGTTTTTTACCTGATGAATAGAATGAGCTCATGCAAGTCCCTGCGCTCACGATCTCGGCCTCATCGTCGACTCCAAGCAACTCTTGAAATGTTTCCGCTCACGCTCTCCCCCCGCTTCTATCGCAACGAATTCCAAACGTACGTCTTCCCTCTACTCCAGTACTCCTCTGAAATGTTCTCTCCTTCTCCGTCGTCCGCCCTTGCTGCTAAATTAGAACGAGCGCTCCGTCTCTATTCTCGCCTTGTCCTCCAAAGGTGCAATATCCCTTTCTCTTCTTACCTCGAACGACGCAAAATCCTCGACCTTGGTTCTATTCGTCACCATATGCTTAAGGCTCAGCTTCTTCGACTCTACCGCTTTGTTACCAAGAGTTCCCACTTCCCCCGCCTCTCCGACTTCATCACTCTCACTAACTCTCAGAGGCGTCCCATGTCCCTCATCCGCAGAGACTCTGCACCCTCTCACTTCTTTGCTTCCACCGTACCCGTTTGGAACAGTATGTCTGATAATGTACCCACCTTCCTCTCTCCTTCTCAATTCGAGAGACTCTTAGCCGTTAACCTTGTCAAATTATAAACTGCTCCCTCTTCTCCTCCCCCTATTCCCTCCAGTGAACTGTTTTATCTCTTCTCTTCGCTCATCTTGCCGACATTGATTGCAATCACTATATGAATTGTCCCCCCCCCCCATCATTCAGTGTGACCTCTTGCGGGGTACACACTGTCGTAGTTTTTTTGTGTCACCCCCCTCCTCTCGCTTATCTCTTGCTCTTTTATCCCAATAAACATAACAACGTACTCTTCTAGTACTTGTCATTCGAATCGATTTCTCTCAATTAGAAAATTCATTACGTCAAATATTTACAACATGATGAGAACAGTGAAAACCCAATTAAATGAAGGAATGTCTAGCGACCTCTTCCGAAGATGTTGAGAAGCATCAGGAAGATATTCAAAATGTCCAAGAAGATTTCCATCGCGGCGAAAATGTAGTCTTCCGGCGAGAGCTCGTACTTCCGACCGCCCATTAGCAGCTGAAAATTGAAGAAATCGGTTAGACAATTGTGTGAAACATTGCTTACCTGAATGTCGATGGCTAAATAGAACATCATGAGCAGAGCGGCAAGTCCCGAATAAATCGAATACAAAAATTGCCAATTGAACGCCAACGTGAAGATGAGTGCAAAGATTCCGAACGAGAAGAGCACCATGGAAAGCATGAAAGCGATGCCCATCTTGCTCGTCAAATCACTTTTCGTTTTCAACGAGAAAACAATGACGGAAGCCGAGCAGACGGTGGTGATGCACAGACAAATGAGCACGGATTGAACGTTGTAGCAGGCGGTGATGAACATGGTCATTGTGGCGGCGGAGAGCGTCTGGAAATGAGCATGAACCCTGAGGGACTAAGGATATAGGCACTCACGAAAATAGTAAGCAAAATGATGTTTGTTGGAAAAGTCCGCCGCAGATTGCCACAACATGACAGAGCAATCGAGACGACTAGGAAGACCACTCTGAAATGTGTCTGATTTTCAGGGCTGCGCAAATTTTGGCCCCGGCTTTTGGAGGCCTGGACTTTTGGTCCACTTGCAATGATCCGATGGGCCCCAAACACAATAGGCTTCTTGGACGTGGATTGAAGTATATTGGGTTCGAGTTTCAGACCGATCGGATCATCTGGTCCCGAGATTTGTGTAATTTTCGCAAAAACCCGGCCTTTTTGGCCTCAATCTAGTATATCTCGGGACCGGATGATCCGTTTGGTCTGAAACTCGGACCCAATATACTTCAATCCATGTCCAAGAGGCCTGTTGAGTTTGGGCCCTATCGGATCATTGCAAACGGGTCAAAAGCCTTCACAAAGCCCGCGCCGAAATTTGCCCAGCTCTGGTGATTTTCTCCAAGAATAAGACTTACATGGCAATAATATAGACCCAGAAATTGTTGAAAGCCCAATCACGAAAAGGCTCGGAGACCATGGGGACGACACAGAAGGCGGCAGTGATAGCGAACATTATGGTGACCAGGGTGAACACTTTTCGGACGAACGCCGCTCGCACTGATTGTTGTCTGCAAGTTGGGTTTTTGTGAGAAATGCAACATTTTATCGAATCCGCGAACTTACGTAAAGTGCAAATTGTACTTTCCATCTGGATCATCGTAATTGGTGGCTCCATACTGACCCTGTTCCATCTTGAGCAAAAAAGCGATCTATAAGTAGAGTAAGTAATGGGAAAATATAAAGAAAGAGCAAAAAGTGACGGAGTGACTCATCGGCAGAGTGAAAAAATAGAAAAGGAGGAGGATCGAATAGCGCTTTGTTTGCACATAGAAAAGAGACAGAGACAGAGAAAGAGTGTGCAGCAAAAATTCGAGAACATTCCCGTAAACAGCAGAAAATCGCCTGACTGACTGGTTGTTGTTGTTGCGATGCTAGTGACCGCTTATGAAATACATTTCACATTGGAATGCAATATATATATGCGTAGAGTGTGTCACTTGACACAGTGGTTATGCAATACCGGATAAAACCCCGGTGTCTGACTGCTGTGAGTCACTTCAGGAGAACGAGGAGTGCAAATAGGATTGGACTCGGGCGTGAAAAAGCAGCTCGATGATATGATTTGAGCTCTAAATATATGTTTGAAATTGAGGGCAAATACTTATAAAAGTGATGGTAGAAGTAAAAGTGTACAGAAATGATGTTTTTGGGCTGAAAAGAACATTTCGTATCTCATGACTCACAAACAGAAACTGATATTGTGCGTCATCGGATTTCTCAATTTCTCCCGTTCTGGTTAGAATATCGAACAAGACTGGGATGGTTCTCAATTGAAAACTGTAAAAGACAACGCGACAGGACAGTTTCCTATACTTATCACTGATGCGATGATGACTGATAACACGAACGCATCGGTGATTCACTTGACGCATGATTATGCGTGATCACGACTCCATGTTTGCCTATCGCTTATGACGTGTTAGTTTGGAGCGTTGGTGTTGCGAAATATCAGATTAGAAGCAAGAAGTCGGATTTAGAAAATCTCAACATTTCATGATAAAATTGGTCCGGGTAGAGATCAGAGTTGAGCGGAAGAGCGCGGAAGAATTTTTATCTTTTTTAGAAAATTTTTTCATGAAATGTGATCAACTGACGAAATGTACAGCAAAGTGAACTCTGCTCATAAAAAAATAATTGTAAATTTAGCTTTTCATACAAAAAAGTTATTCGAGTTGTTCCGTGAAAAAAGGGCTAACGGAACAACTCGAATAACTTTTTGGTATGAAAAGCTAAATTTACAATTATTTTTCAATGAGCAGAGTTCACTTTGCTATACATTTCGCCAGTTGATCACATCCCATGAAAAAATTTTCTAAAAAAGATAAAATTTTTTCCGTGTTTTTCCGCTCAACTCTGGTAGAGATAACGACAATAATAGTAACATGTATAGAGTTAAAATAACATTATGTTTTCAAATTTTCCGAAGTAAACTTGGAGATGAGATGCTCGGCGGATGCATCTTGTTGACAGCACAATAGCTCCAGGACCACGTGCTCTTTTCCTTTTTCAACTTCGCCGTATCTTAAATTGAGAAGAGATTTAGCATTTTATTTGGTTGCAAAGTGTCCACCTGGTAATATTGACCACAGTCACCGTGTACATCACATCAGACAAATGAATATTGTTCAGGAAGCGGGTGCAACTGAAAACACACTGTTTTCCATTTGCTTTTCTCGATTTCCCCGCTAACCTCTGTCCACAATCCTTTGCAAACTCCCGATGTTTCTCGGCCAACCGTCCCCATCCCCCATTCTCGTACTCTTTCCAAACCTTCACCTCCGGAAGTACTCGATTCTCCATCTCTTCCACAATCGACGCCGATCTCGTAAACTTTTTCTTCTTCTGTTCTCCATCAACTTCTTCTGATGCCGCCGCGCCGTTTGTCTCGGCTGGGGCTTGAGGTTCCGACGACAGCAGTTTTTGAGGTTCCGGAATCGGGTTCTCATTGACGGCAGACAAGACTGGCAGCGTTCTGAAAATGGACAATCTGGCTGAGCGGAACATTCAGCAGCTCACTCACTTTTGTCTCAAAACTTTCTTCTTCTTGGGTGTCTCTCCTTCTTTCACAATCTTCTTCGTCTTATCCGTTGCCTCTCCACTTTTCGTCTCAACCTTCTTCTTCGTCTCTGTCGTCATATCCAGAATCTCGTTGATGTGAATCATGCCTCCCTCTGGTTTCAGCGCCTTACACGCCGTCAACCAGTGCGCTCGACAGGACGGCAAAAGTCCCAAGTACACGCGATCGGCAGTCTGATCCGGACAAACTCTTCGGCAATCTCCGCACATCACCTGAAGCCGATCGTCGACGTGGTTCACCTGCGCACTTCGGATCAAACTCTCGAGAATCTCATCGTTCCAATCAATCGCCACGACTTGTTTCGCTTCACACGACACCAAAAATGTTAGTGAATAGTAGCCGAGGCTGGCGTACAAATCAACGATGGTTTGGCCTTGACACGCCCACTTTGAGATTCGCTTCATCTCGTTCTTCTTCGCGTTATCGAACACTCTGACGGTTGTGTCGTACGCGAATCGGATGCCACGCTCGTCCACGTAATCCACCCAACCGTCGGCACCATAGAGGAGGTCCACGTGCGCGGTACGCATATCGTCGATTTGCCGTTTACGACCGACTCGAGCCACGTTCAGCGAGGCGGCGACTACTGCCCACAGTTCACGGCCTGAACGTTGTAGAAGTACCTTCGATTTTCAGCCGCTTGAACTCACCAACGTACCGCCAATTGATGTGCGTAAAAGTGTTCTGCGGAAACACAATCATATCTCCATGCTTCTCCCACTTCTTTGGCAAATCCCGCTGCATCTCATCGTCCCATAACGACTTGCTCAACGCCAACTTTCTAACCTAAAAAAGTAGACAGAATGTGTTGGTGGTAGGTTGCTGGTTAGAGCCACTCGCCTCCTCGAGCATCTGGCCAAAGTTTGACGCTTTTGCCAGGACGCCATCACTCGTCTTGCGTCGTAAACTCGACGTACGCTCCATGGGCTCTTCTGGACGAAGGATAATAATAGATTTACGAGTGAGCGAAGAAGAGAGAGAGAGAGAGAGAAAGAGAAGGTGGTCATGAAATGATGATAGATTGTGATAAGTGAGGTCAGGAACAGCTGAGACACAAGCCCCCAGTACATAAAATCTGTGATACTGAGAACGTAGAGCGGTATTGGGAAAAGTACATTTCCTCCTCATTCCTCCGCCGTCTATTAGTAGTCTGGATTTTGTGCTCACAACAAACAGGCAGGAGACGGATCACGACACTGAAACCTAAAGCCTCCCACCCAAAAAAGTCGGATCGCCGGGTGTTCGAGGCGCGAAAAGCTCTGGCCAGGCGGACAAAAACATGTTGCTCGGTGGGTGAGAGAGACGCAAAAAGAGACATCCCGTCCTACTCCCAGAGCGGGAGCCCACTCCGCCTCGGACGGACGCGATGCGGCAAACAATCGGAGGAGATTGTTGCGAGGATGAGCGAGAGAGAGAGAGGGAGAGAGAGAGGAAAAGCGATCCGATTTCTGTGTCTCTTCTACTAACTGCGATCTCTCTTTTCAGGTAAGCTTGCGCTGGTCTTCAAGCAGCAAAAACACTTGAGTGTCCGTTGGCGTTGTGGACGAGTTGCGCGAAATTTGCATCTCATTTTCATAATGGAAAATTGAACTGGTGAAAGATCGGGGTACGACTGCTTCCAACTCAATTTCCAAGATCTGGAACATTTAGATGGGCACTGTCCACTGTGTTTCAATATATCGCAATTTGGAATAGCTGCTCGAGAAAATAAACGTTATTTATTGGTAAAGACATCGATGAGACTTTTCAGCAGACGAAACTGAGCTTGGCCTACAGCCTTGTTGAGTCGATTAAAGAACGTTTCGTATTCGGGCTTCGACATGGTCCACGCATTCAATGGCATACGATAGATTATATTCAGATTGATCAAGAGGTAAATGTTCGTGTACTGATCGAAATCGGCAGCAGCGAGTGGGCGTTGGTCACGAATATTGTTCACAATGCTCTCAACCTGTAACAATTGTAGTTTGCACCGTAAAATGAGGGCCGCCAACGTTCGGAACTCTTCCCTCGTTCATCTCGTGCATCGCGACGACCGCCGCGAGCAGACAGCCGCTGCGTCTGGCGCCTTCCACCGAAATGAACATTGCCGCTTCGTCGGGAGCCCAAGGATTCTGGAGCACAGTCTGAGCAGCCTCGAACAGAAAGTAAATCGATTTTGACGGAGTTTTCTGCTGCCAATAGCCGTTCACATAAACTTTGCACACAACAGGCTCCTCCTCGTCGCCTTCTGTAAAACACTCGACAGTGAAGCAATCAGTGTCCGAGGGGCGCTCGTTTTGATTGAATCCAAGCTCTCCGTAGACATCCTTGTCGACTTTCAGAGTACGGACATGGATGCCGTTCACCTTGAAATAACCGATGTCTGTCTTGAAAAGCGTGTCAAGTTGTGGATGCTCGTCCGGCGCCGCAAAGATCTGCATCACTTTGACTTTGTGCGCGTGAACAGTTTTCCACAACCACTCGGCGCCTTGCGGATCGTACGATGGCATCTGGCTGAGAATGGTTTTGAGCAGGAGCTAAACTGTTCGACGTTCTGCTTCTCAACGACTGTTATCACTTACATTAGGAATATCGGCAAAAGTGGCCGCATTGTACAGACTCGGGCATCCATCCACTTTGACCAGATTATAGTCGTAGCACATCAAATCCGTGCTCCGATTTTTATCCATATTCTTGAACCAAATGCGGCACTTCTCCGGCTCCACTTTTGACTTCGTGAGCGACTCGAATCCGGCAGAAAAATCCATCTCACCGAGGATACGCAGATATTCGTCAGCGGCTTTCTCTCCAACCCATTTGCCGATCGCTGCCTTTTCCGGTCTTCTTCTCGTTGTGCCCATGAAAGAGCCCATGATTCTCTGAACTTGATTGATTCGGATCGAGCGGATCTGACTCGAGCTTACCCGCGACTCGCGAACAATTATAAATACGTTGGTTTACAGATTTGTCTGGTGTCACGCGTGAACTTCCGACAAAAACGCACGTTTCTAGTGGGAAATTGTTTGTTTCTGACTACCCCACAACACAACGAAAAGTCTTCTCATTTTTGCCTAATGACCCCCTCCCCCCTCCCTTCATTTTCTTCGCTTAATTGACTTATCCCTTCTCTTTTCCCAGTAACATGTCAGCTGTACCACCCCCCTAATAAAACAAGAAACGTGTGTAAGATGTTGCTCTTTTATCTCTTCATTTATCATCAAGAAAGTGTGAAATGGAATGAAACAGCTTCTGAGTTGGGCTAGGACGCTTGTCGAAAAACATTCGACTCTCCTCTTTCTCGGTTATGACCACATAAAAATGCGTCAAATGTTACTGCTGGCCCTGGCCGTTTTGCATCCAATTTAGAGCGGAGACACTAGCTGTTATGTCTTATAAATTGTGTTCTCGATATCTGCGCCCAAAGAGCACGTGTTTCGGAGACGCTCATAAACTCGTAAAGCATCCGGCGCGGAAGCGACTCTATTCCGCCGTCACATTTGCTCTCAGACCACGTTTCTGAGATCTCTTGAAACTAGTTCACTGGTTTCAAGTAACTCGTTGTAGACGTTCTCAACTGATCTCTGAAGCCCAGACAGCTGCCAGTGGACAACAACATGGCCGAGAAGAAAAACGTCATCTCGTCTGTGATGAGCTCGACTTTGCCTTTTTTCCGTTTTCTACCTTTCTAGTGGAATCGAATCGACATCTGCTCCACCCAACCCCATATCTCATCTCATTCACTCACATCCTGCCTCCTCCGTCCCATAACATTTTACAGCCATATACACTTTTCCACCTTCTCGCTTTTCGCTAGCTGTTCCCTCCACGGTCGTCATGGCTGGCCAGTCATCATCAATCTTATGAAAATTATGACTTTTGTTTTAATACTTATCCATCGTCCGTTCGCGCACCACCCACAAATTTACGACTTTTCTGGGCGCCTCGGGCTGTTCACCTATTCCTCTTCCTCCTCTTTTTCGTTTCCTACAATTATGAACACTCTTCTTTTTCGTTTTTCATCAACTAATACCAAAACGCCATTAATCTTTTTTGCTTTTGTGACTGACAAACCGATGAAAAAGTGAAAAGACAATATCTCGATCGCCACCACACACACACTCGACTTGTCTGCCCGGGGCAGTCCGTTTTTAATTGGTCTCTCACTTCTCGCGCCACCGCGATTTCTACGATATGTACGCATGCATGTGCGGTAATCGGAAAAGAGAGAGAGAGAGAGAGAGAGAGAGAGAGAGAGAGAGACAAACAATTCAAGTCAATTCCAAATTCCAAAGAATTCCAATTGAAGAGAGAGAGTGTGTAAGTGTGTAAGTGTGTAAACATTGTGACGTGGCATGTTCCGAACGAAACCTGATCAATTTCACACTTTTTCTCTTTCTCTCTCTCTCTTTTCCTTTTGCAACTGAGAAGAAGAAGAAGAAGAAGAAGAAGAAGAAACAGTAGTTTCTGTTCCACGAACTAATTGGTCTGGCCTTCGTTTTACACTTTTCCTTCTTTACGATGCGCCGAACTTTTGAGAGAAAGTACATACCGTATCAAACTTTGAGCGTGCTTTTTCTACCGCTTTTCCGAAGAGACCACCTTTTCAAAGTCGGTCCTAGGTGGATTGCGCTCGAGAATTTCATCATGAATGCTCGATTTGTACCTAACAAATGAGTCAATCATTCGTTTCAAAAAAAGACAAGCGGTTCTACGCAGTGGCAGTGGATATTATTGTGATTTATAGATCGCGCTTTCAAATGCATGTGCAGCCTGCTGCTTCCGCCGTTCCGCTCCTTTTCTCATGCTTCAACCAATTGACTACAAACACATGCCACCCTCTCTCTCTCTCTCTCTCTCTCTCTCTCCCTGTTTTCCGCTAGTATTATTAGTTAGTACACACCGCTTCTTCGTTCTTCGTTCTTCTTCCGGTCGACTTGTTAACCGCGCCGCCGGTCGCCTGCCCGACCCGAATCATTGGTGATTTGCTAAACATCCAACCAACCACTCGATTCTCTTTGTGTTTGCGCCCACACCCGATTACACCTGTCATCATCGTCATACACAGATGATGATCCGCACTTTTTTGTTTTGTGTTGTGCAATTTGTCATGCCGCTGCTCGGTTTTCGGTGTATGAGCCGACAAAAGAGAGCTCAGAAGAGATAGATAGGTGATAAGCATGTGGTGAGGAGAAAGAAGGGGAGGGGGGATTAGTATCAGTTGCACTGGCACTTGCAAAGTGAAAAGATCACGGGGGAAAGTGTTGAAGATTAGCTGGACTCTGGTTGTCTGGATCGCTTTATTTCCTCTTTTTGTAACTAAACTACACACTTTTGTACTTATTGGCCTAATCTATTGGGTAAGTCTTCCCACCAATCTGTTCCAAGCTCCTTCTCAGATCTCTCACGTCATCACCAGAGAGCACGGAAGAATTTTTTATCTTTTTTAGAAAATTTGTTCATGAAATGTGATCAACGGACGAAATGTATAGAAAAGTGAACTCTGCTCATAGAAAAATAATTGTAAATTTAACATTTCATACAAAAAAGTTATTCGAGTTGTTCCGTCTTCCGTTAGCCCTTCTTTTTTCACGGAACAACTCGAATAACTTTTTTGTATGAAAAGCTAAATTTACAATTATTTTTCTATGAGCAGAGTTCACTTTGCTATACATTTCGTCAGTTGATCACATTCCATGAAAAAATTTTCTAAAAAAGATAAAAATTCATTCGTGTTCTTCCGTTGAGTTCTTCCGCTCAACTCTGGTCGTCACTTTGAAATGTCGAAATCAGTGTTCATGGTCACCGCCTAACTAAAGACTGCAGGCTACTTAATTCTAATTCTAACTCTAATTCGATTTGATAACCTTTTTTGTCATTTACGTTCTTCAGCCGTTAACCATTTCATTTCTCCCGGGACGCTGCATTTTTTGCAGAAAAGTGGAAAAAACTAGGGAAAAAAAGGGGAAATGTCCTTTTTTCTTTCCCGCCTCCCAATTTTGTCTTCTCTTTTTTTGTTTCAAGCCATTAGTCCGATTGCTTTCTTCTGTGATGGTAGAGCTCGGTGAGCCCGAGGGGCGAGAAGAAGAACGATGTGCGTGTTTGTTATTCGATTTAGGGACGAGCAAGGTCCCGCCCGTCTCGACGAATGGGTGGAGTTTGTGGCCACGCGGAACTCTCAACGTTTCAGGTCTTCTTTTCTTCCAACAACAACACAATGACATAGTGACTCAGTCAACTCTTCTTCTTCTCCTTCTTCTTCTTTCTCTTCTCCTCTCCCACCCCAATTTCAGCCCCAATCACACCCTTACCTCCTCCAGACGATGCAATAATGTCGTCGGCTCTCTGCACCGCTTTCCTTCTACTCCTCTCTGCCACGTCATCGATCAACGGCGAGCCACCACAACACCTCCAACATGACGACTTTTTGACGCGCACCGAGGAGAAGCTGACGACGGATCGCGATTTCTACGACCAGTGGATGGAGCTCATCACTCTTCAGGCACGTTTTCTTTCCGATTTTTCCCCCCATTTAATTTGGGAGAGCGACCCCTCATTCCATTCGCTTTAATGAGATTTTTTTTTCGGCGCTTTTCGTTGAAAGTGTTGTAAAAGTAGGTAAATATTGGGGAGACGAAGCACAGCCTTTCTTCCTCATCTTCTGAAGAGTTGGTTTGGAGAAACTCTTCTCAAATGTTTTTGATTAATCGTCGCCGCATCGAACAAGCTGGCCAGTGAGCTCTAGTCACAATACGAAACGAGAGCCTAAAACCAACGGAAACCTTTCAGCACTCTCAACTGGAAGAGCAACAAACCGACTATCCCCTGGACTACGTGATGAAAGATCTCGGCTCGTGTGGTCCGAAGAAGCTGGCGGTTCCGGCGCTCGACGATGTTCATCACCTGCGCGCCGATTCCGTTCGGTTCTACAGCGAACTCGGACAACTTTCGTCGTACTGTCCCAGCAATTATACACATCTTCAGAAAGGTTAGTGAAGCGAGAGAAGTGGAAACAATCTCGGGGGGTGAGACGAACGGATGTTGTACGTATAATTGCATATTATGAAGGGAAACGATGAAGAAGACGTTGAGCAGGTGTTCCGATCCTCATCCTCATCCATACTCTCCATCTTTGTATTTTCCCTGTAATTAACAGCTCATCCGGCCTCGCATAGTTAATGGATGTTCTTGTTTTCCCCGGAGACGTGATGACATTCAATTTCAAACTCAAATGAATGGCCGCCGTTTGCAGGAATACTGGGCCCGTGCAATCTTCGATCCTCTGTAATGAGTCTGCCCTCTCTGCCGGCAATGCTCGAGCTGCGGGGCGCGCAGCTCGACAAAATTGAGAATAATCAGCTGGATGAGTCGTTGGCCGATCAAGCACGCGACATTGGCGAGCACATTCGCAAAGTGCCCGGCTATGAGGAGAAGTGGAAGATGATTGTCATTCTGGCGACGATCCAGGACGGAAAAGCGTCGGAGACCGGGCAGACGGCCGTCGAAGTGCTCGCTGCGATTGAGGAGCTCGGCAAGCTGGTACCCGAGAAAACGTTCGTTGTGGTGCTGAGAACGTCGGGCAGCGGAATCTGGAGGGACGCCAGCCATCAGTCGCTGGCCTGTAGGAGTCAGTTGGCGCAGTGGAAGGTGCATAATAAGTTCAACTACAATTCCGTTTGGGACCAGGTCGAGATAATCGTCGAGAAGAACTACCGAAAACCGCGTTTCCACGTGGAAGTTCTTCCTCTTCTCAAAGATCCTGCACTGAATAGCCTCCCGGATGGCGTCGATCTGAGCGTGCTCGGCTACGACTGTGCTCACTTCTCCGAACGAGGACTCTCTCTGCTTCATCTGTCCATTTGGAATGCTCTTTTCACTCGGAATGCGGCTCGCGAGTCCCAGTACCGTCCGACGGCCGCTCCGATCCTTTGTCCGGATCCAACGTGTCCTTTCTTCCGCACACCTTCCAATTCGGACATGTGCATTTGGACGGGCACCATGGTGAGCATTTCAGTAAAGTCATTACAGTTTCATTCATCCCTTTTCAGCCCGATGACGAATTCTACTGGGTTGATTACCTAATATTCGTCGGTGTCTGGGTCCTCGTAATGGTGCTACTCGTCATGATCTTCTATTGCATTTGTGTCACACGAAGAGTTGCTGCCGAGAAGACAGCAACGAAAGCTTTTGGAGCAAGTTTCAGCTCTATCAAATTCATAGACGAAGATGTCGTCTAGTAGGAACGAAGAAATATCGAATCTCAAAAAACGGGCTAATATCACAATTCTGACTTTCTGTGATAAACAATCGAATTTAATAAAGATAAATTTCATGTGCGGAGTATGGGGGCGATAAGACGGGGATGCCGGGGCGGGGAGAGGGATTACAATAAATTAACAAAATTTTGTTTACATATGGTCTGGATGGTCGACGACGGGTTTAGCCCTAGACTCTCTCTCTATGGCCTAGAGTAGACGCGGGTGCACTTGACGCTGTTGCATTGGCAGACCTGTAAACCATTCTAAAGTGTTATGCTCATGGGTATTTGATCAACTTACAATGACAAGCTTTCCGTTCTCGATGTATCTTTCGATACGCGAGTCCTTTCCTCCGTTCTTTCCAGTCTCGACCTGGATGAGGCGGTCATTTTCGACGCTGAAGACGTTAGCGACCTGAAACACACCAATTCACTTCTAACCTTCGGGAGAAGAAATAGACAACTTACATCGCGGCCATCGGCAGTTTTCTCGTCGAACTGAGTTCCCAGCTTCCACTTGATAGTGTAGTTCTTGAAGGTAGAGACAGAGTTCATGGTCCACTCGTCTCCGTTAATGGTGAACTCCAGAGTCGGCTTGGTCTTGGTGGCGATGGTTCTGACGGCCCATCCGACGCCGACCTCCTTGAGGTACTCATCGAAGTTCTCCGAAGAGACGAAGCTCCACTTTCCAACGATGTCGGTCTGGATCGGCATCTTGTTCTGAAAAAAAATCTTGAAGAGTGAATCGAACAACTCGAGAGAATGAGAAAAATAAAAGAAGTTCACCAAGGCACAATGAGCGATTCGAAGGAGACCGTAAATCATGGCCGAGAGTGCGGACAACTAAATTTTTCAAGTGCAACGTAAGCTTATCGCGCTGAAAAGCATCCCACACAGCCACGTGGAGGTTAGACGTAAAAACAGAGGCCGCTACGCGTGAAAAGTGGGAAGAAAATACGAGAGAACGCGGGGCCACGCCGAGTCAACAATACGAAAACAGAATTGCGAAAGATCGCGCCGTAAACTGTCGCGGTGGTGAGCGCGAATGGCCTCGGCGGTGCCCCGCGTCCCTCGTCGAAATAGTGTAGGTCCAGAGAAAAAAAGGAAGGCAAGAACGAGACAGAGGAGCGAAGCGACCCGTGTTCGATTCTCGGCTCCTCACTTTCCGCTGTATCTCTCGCCGCACATCTCGCCACCGACGGGCGCCAACGCAGAAATGTAACAATCGGAAAATAACAAACAATTTTTGATGAAACGAGAAAAGAGAGCGCAAAATTACACAGATCTGTTGACCTGAAAAACAGACAACACGGCAATATTTGGGCGTCGTTCCGCATTCGACGGGTCCCGTCTGGATTGTTTAAAGGCGCACAAAAACTGCAAGGAGTACGGTCGTTGAAAACAATTGAGATTTCAAAATTTAATTCGCTTCTCCGGAGAACTCGCATTTCTATCGTCGAATAGCTGAAAAATGTGTTAAAAATGCAAAAATGTTTTGTAAAACTGATTTTAGTAGCTCGTTCTTGAAAATTTTCGGCCAAATTTGCAGAGAATGAGTGGTTTTGGGTCTACTATGCTTCCAAAATTCAGTTCATGATGTAAATGTATTTTCAAATTTCGGTTCTCAGGCGTCGTTCGTATATTCTCAAGTTTTGATCTGCTTCAATCAACTGCTGCGTCTTCCTGTTCAGATTTATGGCCTTCTCCGGGAGTTTTTCAGCGTAAACATTTTTCTCTTTTCTGGGACAGACCGCTGCCGCAAAACTAGTATGTGATCGACGACTACAAACTACAATCGACATGTTTGCACGTGTCTTCGCATTACGCTGTCTCAATCGTTTGCAATTTTCCCCACGTTTCTACGGCGTGTTGATGCAAATATTTCTGATGGAATTTTTTTGATCCAGAACGAGCGGGAAGGTTTCTTTAAGTCTGAAATTTTTGACAGCTGTTTACTAGTATTCGATCCCAATGAGCAATTCAATACCGCTCACGAGGCATACACTCGAGCACAAACTACACAATTTGTCTCGTTTCTCCGTCACTATTTCCGCTGTTTCACCCGCTCAAAGTTGGTCTCTAACGGGGAAATGCCGCCCTCACACGCGCCTATTCTCCCTTGGAAACTGTGTTTCTGTGTTTCTCTATCTCTCTACGTCTTTTTCTCTCCAATCACATCTTGTCTACATTGACCACACTTTTCTTATCAAATTTACTATCTTTTGCTATTGATTTGTTTCAGATGACCGCCGAACTTGAGGATTCTTCCCCTTTGCCTGCCATGGATGGAATTCAAGAAAATCAGAGGAAGGAGAAGTCGTCGAATTGCGCGATATGCAGAGAGGAAGGCGACGGATATCATTTTGGAGCAGAAGCTTGCAGGTCAGCACATACCTTGAGAAACTGCGGAAATCGAAAAAGCTGAACATTTTCAGAGCATGCGCCGCGTTCTTCCGCAGAAGTGTGTCCCTCGGCAAGAAGTATTTGTGTCGTGGTAACGGGAGTTGTGAAATAACAGCCAGTAAGTCCCTCAATCATCGAAATACGTCGGTACCCTCAAAGAACCAGATATCCGGTGTATGTGTCGTGCATGTCGATACTCAAAATGTCTGGAGGTTGGAATGAATCCGGCTGGAGTGCAACAACGGCGAGACACCATCGGAAAACGTGATATGACGAAGGCGGAGTCCATGGATTCGCCTGATCTCACGCGTCTTCTGAATTCTATCCGAGAAATTCCGACGACGAGCTCTCCGTGCCCTCCGACTTCTGATGATTTACCCCAGTTGTGCAAAGAGCAAATGTCGATTCTTGTGAAAATGCGCACAAATTATCGGAAAATGGACAACGCGAGACTTGTAATTCATCGAAAAGACGGGCAGAGTCTATTCAAGGAAAAGTTTCCGAAAGCGGTGAATTACATGGAAGCCGCCGACCAGGGAGTGCGGGAAGTGTCTCTGGTGGCCGATTGGATCGCCTGGTGCTTTGATGATTTTGTTGCCTTGCCAATTGATCAGAAAGTAGAGAATAATAGTTTTCAGAAAAAATCAGTGTTCTTTCTTTTCAGAAAGTGCTCTTCCAGAATTTCTATCCGTCGTTCACATTGCTCGAAGGATCTTTTTTGTGTCACATTAACAAAACTTCGAATGCTGTGATTCTGCCGTCCGGGGACTACATTGACATGGAAAACCTCGACAAATTTTTCTTTGATCCAAATGCCGAGCAACCAATGACCGGCGAGGAAATTGAAAAGTAAGCGCTTTATAAACTACTAACAATTTCCTTGTCTTCACACCCTTTTCCTCTTTTCTAGCTGCTGCTTCTCCGTGCCGTTACGCAAAACACGTGTGCAAAATAGTTTAGATGTTGCAGAATGTTCAAACCTTCCTTCGAACTTCATCGCCGCTGCCTCATTCTACCGATGATGGCCGAAAACATTGACGTCTACGAGTTCTTCGCCCTCTGCACTCTTGTCTTTTGGGATTTCGGTCTGACTGGCCAATCGGATGAATGCATAAATGTCGGGAAAAGTGTGAAACATCGACTTATGAAGGAGCTCGCATTCTATTTGCGATACGTGAAAAAAATTGAAGAGCCGGCCATCCGAGTGGCTTCTATGCTTACTCTTCTTCCGGCACTTCAGGTGGGTGATGTTACTTACTCTTCTAAAGTCACCTTCCTTCATTCAGAGATCCGTTCGCCGGTTCCAGGAAGACATCGAGATAACGCACGTTTTCAACATTTACGCTCCACCCGAAGAATTCTACAATCTTGTCAATGGAAAGTTCTGCTAGATTTCACTCAGCTTTCTGTATCATTCACACGTGTATCATTGTCCCGTTCTGTTGTTTTGCTTACATTAGCATGCATCGTAGTATATTCCCAGAAAAATAATATTTATATATTCAGAAGTCAAGAATGTTTGTTAACCACTCAGAAATACGTTTCGTGGGGAATGCAATAGTAGGGAAAGAGGACTGTTTACTTCTTGAAAGCGACGTGAGTTCCGTCTCCGAGGTTCAGAAGCGCCGAATAGGTACGGTCGTCCTGGTAGATTTTGTCGTTCATCTCGTGAATGGCAATGCAGGTGGGATCAGTTCTCCTGGATGGCTCGCAGACCGCTCCGTGCCACAGACTCTGAAATTATTCGAAAAGTGAAAACAAAAGTGCACCTGAAAGTTTCTTACGTTGTCAACAAAGATAACGCCTCCCTTGCGGAGAAGAGTGACCACTCTATCGTAGTAGTTGCTGTAGTTGGTCTTGTCGGCGTCGATGAAGGCGAAGTCGAAGGTTCCAGCTTGACCATCGGCGATCAGTTTGTCCAGACTCTCGACAGCCGGTCCCTCGACGGCGTGAATCTTTTTGAACGTCTTCTCGCACTTGGAGAGAATTGGCACGCCGTACTTGCGGTAATTGGTGTGATCGATGTCAAAAGTGAAGACCTCACCGTCCTCCGGCACTGCGAGCGCCCAAGCAAGAGCCGAAGCTCCGGTGAACGTGCCGACGTCGAGTGCGCGCTTTCCGCCGAAAGAGCGGATAAAGTTCTGGCCGAAGGTGAGCACCTCGGGGGCTCCGAGCATACCGGCGTGCGGAGCATTGGCGAGTGTCTCCTTCTGGAGCTCTACTTGCAGCGGCGATTGGACTGTTGTGTGCTGAAAGAAAGTTAGTTTGTTCTTTTCGCCATCAGCACACAGTTTGATCTGCCCGTTTTCTCTTCTTCTTTTTTGTTTGGCCAGCGCAGTTCTATTTCGTAATTCTATTTTTCTCGGTCATTTTGAAAGTGTTCTTTGGAACGAGGACCTCGTCAGGCTATAGAATACGAAAAAGAAGAGCATTGAAACACCACCTTTTTTGGCATCAAAAATAACTAACCTCCGATGTGTAAGCCACGACCGGATCAGCGGATTTATGGTAGCTCTTGGCAACGGTCGACATTCTGAAACACAAAATTGCAAAGTCTGCAATGAAAAGCGTAAAGTGAAACGGTCTCAAAAATCGCTGCCAATCCGTAGACAAGGAGAGATGAGAATCATGAATGAGTGTGACCGGAGAAGTGACATGACAAATCGCTTTTTATAGTTTTCTGTTTAACGAGGCAAGCGCGACCAAGTGATGACAAACTCATTCGTTGAAGTGTCTGCGTCTCCCGAGAGGCGGAGACTTTCTGGCCTTCCGTCGGCTGAACATGGGGGAAGACTCTTTTTTGCAACCGATCAGATCAACGGCAGCGAACTTTTAGTCTGGCAAAGTAAAGTGGAAAATGGATTACATTTTGGCGACGCGCGCGCGCGGAAAACATTGTCTCTTCGATGAAAACAAGCTCAAAGAACGGGAAAAAAGACATGTGAAGCGAAAATTATTTGATTTTTAGAAACAACATGTTGAGTGATCACTAGTTGAAAAGATCGGCGCCAATTCAAAAAACCTTTCTCGCCATCAAAAATCATCATTTCTCGCGGTGACAAATATGTATAATCAATTAACTGATATCAAATCATTGCACTCTGCTTCTCTCTAATGTCATGAATTTTCTCGAAACGCTAGCTAAATCATACGGAGTTTATTTGAGCATCAAGCTAGACACGCGTTTGATTTACCAAAAGTTTAAAAAGTCAACGGGGTCACACATCAACGTCTTCTCCGCCGCCTTTCTTTTTTCGTTGAATTCATCAGAGTTCTGCATCAGGGTCATGGAAACAACGAGAACGAGGAAAAGTAAGAAACGGGCGAAGGAGAAGAGAGAGGGGAGGCAACTAGAGTGTAGCCGGACGGCAGCAAAAGGTTAATAAGAAACAAGAAAAGAGAAGGGAGGTCAAAACGGTCCACGTTCAAATGCATTCTCTTCCAGATCGGTGTCAAAATGGCCATTGGCGCTGAACTATGAGAGAGCGAAAAGACGCAGACACGTCAGGTGCAAACATACGAGTTTATTCTCACGTACTGCAGACAACCTATACAATCATTCATGTTTCAAAAGGTGCCCCGGCAACATGGGTGTTTTGATAAACATTTTCAGGTTTTTGTGAAGACGGCTGGATAATGAATAGAATCATGATGAACAACTGAACTGGAAGTATTTCGAACAACAAGCGGAGCTCGGGGCTTGAAGGTTGAAATTTGAAAATTTCTTATTTTGAACGGAAACTTTTCAAAATCGTAGAATAATCGGGAAAATTTCACAGAAAAGTATTGAGATAAGAACAACCTAGCAATTTAATGTATTTGTTCGCTTTTTGGGCAGAAAGATCCTCTAATAGTTCGCAATACGACAATTCTGCTTTTTTTAAATACAAATTCACTTTTTACAGCACATGAGAGGTTGTTTTATCAGTAGGATGTATGGTAAAATAGTTTATTGAAAATTGGCATGAACCCTTGACGGTTATGGGTACAGGGCATTGTTATTGCGAAAGTAATCCTGCTTAGTACGAGAGGAACAGCGGGTTCAAACATTTGGTTCATGGACTTGGTCGACAGGCCACTGGTCCGAAGCTACCATTTGAGAGATTATAACTGAACGCCTCTAAGTTAGAATCTCCCTATGTATGGCCTTGGCGTCGTAGTGAACTCTGCGGCGCCTGCCAACGCCAGATCACTCTGGTTCAATGTCGGGGCGCTAAATCACTTGCATACGACTTGGTCTCTTGGTCAAGGTGTTGTATTCAGTAGAGCAGTCATCTTATACTGCGATCTGTTGAGACTATCCTTTGATTGAGTTTTTTGTTTGCCCATTTTCGCAAAAAAATTGTGTACGTTTGTAGCGCCGACATCTCTTTCCACGCAAAAAAATTGTGTACGTTTGTCGCGCCGACATCTCTATTTCCACGGCCACCCTTTATTTTACGCGTTGAGAGATTGACTTCTTGCATAGCAATAATGTCGGATCAGAAGAGGCTTCCCCGACCGTCTGCTACCCGATTCTCACTGTTTCTTTGCTGCTCCAGTTGCGGAAAATCAAGACGAGAAGACAGAATTTGAAGAGAAACGACGACGGCTCGGATAACACGACCAAATTGATATTGTTCATGACCATCTAATTCATGTTGACCGAGGGATTGGCGGGTCTTCAGGGAATGTTCATGTATAATTACGAGACGTTGCTCTTGTGGAATGAGGACTTTGCGTGAGTCATGGGCCAGACTCTTATTGTATAGTTTTTCACTTTCAGATATTCCATCGCTACCTCACAGTACGGACTGAACATCTTACGAACTGTGAATGCCACGTCACACTCGTTCATCTGTTTCTTGATGTCATCACAGTATCGAGACACTTTCCGATCACTGTTCTCAAGAACCAAATGGAAAGAAAAGTATGAATTACCGTAGCATTGTTTGAATTTCATGTTATTTTAGACTATTCCGGTGGAAGAAACAAACTCGTATCATTCGATGAGCACGAAGAAGTCTCGAAGTGTCAAGATGTGCAAAGTTGAGAAGTTTTGATTGAATTTTCTTTGATCTTGATCCAAAAGCCGAAATCTTAAATAAACATATTACGAGACATTCTTAACTTTGTTGTTTTCGGTCTATAAGTGATCAAATTTGAACAAATGAAGTGGTGAAAAGTAGTCGGTAAAACTCGAATATCTCAGTTGTCTGTGGAGATAGCAAAAAGTTGTCAACTAGTGAAATGCTCCTTGACATCTGGTGTACATTTTATCAATTGACCACTTTTTGATATCTCTACAAACAGCTGAGTTAGAGCGGCTCCACAATACTGTTAATTCTAGACGATGTAACTCGTGAAACCTTTCGTGAAACCTGAAAACAAAAAGCCACCATTTTTTTTAATTCTCCACCATTTTTTAAAATCTCCACCATTTTTTTTAACTCTCCACCATTTTTTAAAATCTCCACCATTTTTTTTAACTCTCCACCATTTTTTAAAATCTCCACCATTTTTTTAATTCTCCACCATTTTTTTAAAATCTCCACCATTTTTTTAACTCTCCACCATTTTTTTAAAATCTCCACCATTTTTTTAAAATCTCCACCATTTTTTTAACTCTCCACCATTTTTTTAACTCTCCACCATTTCTTAAAATCTCCACCATTTTTTTAAACTCTCCACCATTTTTTTAAAAATCTCCATCATTTTTTTAGAATCTCCACCATTTTTTTAAAAATCTCCACCATTTTTTTCAACTCTCCACCATTTTTTTAAAAATCTCCGCCATTTTTTTCAACTCTCCACCATTTTTTTAAAAATCTCCACCATTTTTTTAACTCTCCACCATTTCTTAAAATCTCCACCATTTTTTTACTCTCCACCATTTCTTAAAACCTCCACCATTTTTTTAAACTCTCCACCATTTTTTAAAATCTCCATCATTTTTTTAGAATCTCCACCATTTTTTAAAATCTCCACCATTTTTTCAACTCTCCACCATTTTTTAAAATCTCCACCATTTTTTTAACTCTCCACCATTTCTTAAAATCTCCACCATTTTTTTTAACTCTCCACCATTTCTTAAAATCTCCACCATTTTTTACTCTCCACCATTTCTTAAAATCTCCACCATTTTTTTTTACTCTCCACCATTTTTTTTTAACTCTCCACCATTTTTTAACTCTACACCATTTTTTTTACTCTCCACCATTTTTTATCTCGCTCAACAGATATATTACATTATGAGAAGGCAGGTGAAAAAAATGTTCATGGTTGTTAAGGAGACAGAAATACTTATTTCGTTTCTGATGCCTACATGCGTTTATCGAGGCTCCTACTTCGAAACGGATGTGTTTTTCGCGCTCGCCGTACATGTACTTACGGCTATTCAAGTTCCGATTCATGCGTTCGCGTACTATGCGATCATTAAGAAGACACCCAGAGAAATGAAGAAAGTGAAGTTTTCAATGATTTTAATGCACACAACGTTAGTTGATGGACCGATGCTCTGACCCGTATCTGACCTTTTAGATGTGTATGGACTGACATTGTTATGAGCATTCTCAACATTCCATTCATCATTTTCCCGGCTCAATGCGGTTGGCCAATGGGTATTGCGGTATACTTGAACATTCCAACTTCTGTGATTCTTTACTACGGTTTCACCTCTGTCATCTGTAATTGAACAGCATCCCCTTGTTGCATGTACATTCCGAACATTTCAGACATCGGTCCGTCACTCATATTCATCTTCGAAGACCGTTACAATCGATTGGTCCGTCAGGATTCGGAGACTACAATTCGAACTGTCAAACGAGCCATTTATTTTGCACTCAACTATATCTACGCGAGCCTCGTCATGCTGCCCACCTACTTTGACGTGCCCGACCGGGAACAGGCAAAACTGGAAGTGATTCGGGAGTTTCCGTGCTTACCAGCCGCGCTTGTTGAGAAGAAGGGGTTCTTCAAACTGTCGAACAACAAGTACATAGTTGCGATCTGTTTGCTCACTTTTATCCTCAGCACTATCATCCAATCGTTCTTCTTTCTCATCGGAACAGCACGGTTCATTTTTAAAGTGAAAGCGCAATCGGAGAGGACGTCCCGAATGCAGCGACAATTGTTCCGAGGTCTTTGCATTCAAGTGGCCGTACCCACTCTTTTTGTTTTGACTCCCACGGCCTACAGTACAATTGCTGTTTCCATAGCGTATCTAGACTTGGTCCTTCTCAACGTGGCTATTCTCTGGATCGCCATGCACGGAATCATATCCTCATTGAGCATGCTGATTGTGCACAAACCCTATAGACAAGCCACATTCGAACTATTATCTATTCCCAACAAATCAGCTCGAACTACTCCTGTCGTGCTTCAAAGTTCTGCTTCTCAAATCTAATAAAACATGTATTTCTGATTTCTGTCTCTGTTCAATCAAAGGTGTGGTGTTTGGAGAGACCATAAAAAGGAAAATGTGCGTCCTCAGTTCGTGACTGCATCTCAAATAGCTTCCTTCTTCTTCTCCATCTTTTACTATCTTTTCATAAACAAACCGTATAGAACTGCCACTCTCGAACTGCTCCACTTCAAGATCTCGGAGCCATTCACACCTTTTAGATGTCAGAATTCTGGAAATTGATGAGAGAAATGGCGTGTTTTCCAAATATCGAATACGTAGTCCTAAAATAAACACGCACGGAAACCTTCATCATACCTATTGCTTATTCCTTATTCGTAGGGCGCCCCAAATATTCAGATCACGCAACCTTCCCCCTTCTTCCTTTCCTACTTTCTAACGGAGATCATAACACAACGCGAAATGGTGAGCACCTTTACTTCTCTATATTATAATCCTTTTATAATATTTGTTTTCAGTTCGGTTTCATTCACGAAAGCATCCGACAACTTGTCATTCGAAACTATGGAGAAGAGGCTTGGGATCAAGTACTTGAAAAGTCGGGATTCGAGAACGGCAAAGAGAATATTGTGAATCATTACTACTCGGACACGGATACCTATGTGCTCGTGGATAGTGTTTCGCTTGTTCTGAGTGAGTCTAATAATAATAATAATAATACAAAACCATTTGCGCATCAATTCTTTTATACAGAAGTGACGAAAGATCAAGTTTGGGAGATGTACGGCGGCTTCCTCATCACCTACTCGATGGAGATTGGCTGGGATGAGCTCGTCCGGAGCATGAGCCCGAACCTCAAAGGCTTCTTAGACAACCTCGACAGCCTTCATTACTTCATTGATCATGTGGTATACAAGGCCAACCTGCGGGGACCGTCTTTCCGTTGTGAGGAGACTGCGGACGGCACCCTGCTCCTTCATTACTTCACCGGTCGACCGGGCGTCTATCACATTGTAAAGGGCGTCGTGAGAGAGGTGGCGAAGCTCGTCTTCAACTTGGATATCACCCTGATTGTGCAGGGAAGAACCCAGAGAAGTGTGCATATGAGCAACGGCGAGAGGGTCGAGGAGCATGTCGTGTTCTTGATCAATGTAAGTGATGATGCACCTCGGCAAACCTCTGTAGCTTTTACGCAAACTTTCTAAAGTCAGCTGAAGTTGCGGAAGTTTTACGCAAATGTTGCAGAGGTTTGTCGAGTACTGTACTCAACTAATGTTCGCCAGAACGTCGGAGAATCGCGTCGAGATTCCGATGGATCCCACGTCAGTCAGTTGACATCTTCCTCCAGCAGCTATCCGGAAATAGTGGATGATCATTTGGGAGTGTCTTTGGAAGACTTCTCAAAAGCTCTGCCCTATCACTTTGTGCTCGATGACTCTTGCAAACTGGTGCAGTGTGGGGATGAGCTTCGGTAGGGAAACTATCGAGTACGTACCCAGTAGGACCAATCTACTTTCAGTAACCACATTCCCAATGAACTTCTGAAGCCGGGCACTCCAATTTTGCGTATTTTCGAAATAAACCGTCCGCAAATCCCGCTGGACTTTGAGAATATTTGCAACTTTATCAACGCCGTCTTTGTGCTGCAAGTGAAGACGTCGCCGTTGAAGAAGAAGCATCTAGACTCGATGACGAAGGAGGAAGTCACGCAGGAAATGTGAGATTTATACCTATAGGTGTTTTATGACTTTCAACACAAACGTTTCAGGGAAGCCATTGAAGAGAACGGAGAAGAGGAGCTGACACAAGAGCATCATCTGAAGTTGAAGGGGCAGATGATGTTGTTGGCGACGAAGAAGCACATCATCTACCTGTGCTCTCCGTACGTGACGTCCATCAACGAGCTGATGCAGTACGGAATGCGGCTGACTGCGATGCCGCTTCACGACGCCACTCGCGACCTGATTCTGTTGAACCAGCAGAGATTGACCGATGTGGAAGTCAAGTGAGTACTCATCAGACTATATTGTGCCCATTTCGCTCTTGCAGTTTACAACTCGAAGCCAACAATGAACAACTCGAATCAATGACGCGCGAACTGGAAGAGGAGCGAAAGAAAACCAACGCAATCCTGAAGGACATGCTGCCGAGACGGATCGCTCAGCAACTGCTCAGCGGAGAGCACATCGAACCGTGCGAGCACGAGGCGACCGTCATGTTCTGTGATCTGCCCGCCTTTCAACAAGCGATTGCGCAGTGCCCGCCAAAGGATATCATCAAGTTGCTCAACGACATTTTCAAGCGGCTCGATCGGATCGTCGTCCTCCGTGGCGTCTACAAAGTCGAAACGGTGGCCGACAGCTACATGACAGTCTCCGGAATCCCCGAGTACACTCCGGAACACGCGGAGAACATGTGCCACGTGGCACTGGGCATGATGTGGGAGGCGCGCGCCGTCACGGATCCGGTCAACAAGAACCCGTTCCTTCTGAGAATCGGACTGCACTCGGGCACAATCATTGCCGGCGTGGTCGGCTCGAAATCGCCCAGGTATTGTCTGTTCGGCGAGACAGTTTCGTTGGCGTCGCAGATGGAATCGCGTGGAATGGCCGGCAAGATTCAGTGCAGCAAATGGACGTATCAGAAGGCGATGGAGACCGGACGGTTCGAGTTCAGTCCGAGAGGAAGGATCGCCGTCGAAGGAAGGGGTGAAGCCGAGACGTATTTCCTCACACGGAGCCTTAAGAAGAGCATCTGGGAGATTATCGATCACGAGAGAGGTACATGTCTCGGAATTCTTCTAACCTAAGACCACATACGAGCTAAAATACGGTTTTCAGATGTGAACGTTAACAGCATCGAAGGCTACGAAGAACTGGAAACTGCCATCGAGAACGCGGTCACAATCTTGCACCCACGACCAGATCAGGCACGATCGGCTGCTTGTTCCATTTCATAATAATTTGTTTATAATTAAAGTTAAAATAGATAATTGCAATTATCATTTTCAAACTTTTCTCGCTGTTGTTTCTTTGTTTTTTCATCGAGATTCGCTGCTTCTTCTGGAAGTGAGTGTTCCACATATTGTTTATTCATGAGTATAAAATAAGTTATTGACTCCTAAGAGCTACAAGGCTTTGAACAGTAGTTGTTGCAACTTTTGGCCTTTTGAATCGAAGAAATTCCAAAACCACCAATCGATACGGTTTGTGCACGCAGATCATGGTAATCGTGGAAAGTGTTCCATACATCATAATCCAAAAGAGCGCAATGTTGCCAACAAGAATGTCCGGGTAGCCAATTGCAGTGCATACTTGGATATAAATGCTGGGAACCATGATGGCCACCACGGGGACTGATAACTGAATACAAAGCGTTTTGAACAACTGCCGCTGAATATCCGCCGTTCGTTTCGATTGAATTCTCAAGGTTAGCAAGAAGCGTAGAATGCTAACAAAGAAGTACAAGCCTTGACACGTGACTAAGAGTGTCATGATGGACAGACTCAATAACAGATAAATTGCGCCTTTGGAGAGCTTGAAGAATCCGGGCTTGTCGATGAAGTCAGCGGTAAAGCAGGGAAAATCTTCGAGAAGCTTCAGTTTCGCTTCCGTCGGATCTGCGCTGTCCACGAATGCGGGAATGATTAGAACCCAACAAATTATGATATTCGCAGAGTAGTACAGTACTCGTTTCATCTTTCGACTTTCCGATGTAGCGTCAGAACGAACAAGACGATTGTAGCGGTCTTCGAAGAACATGACGATGGCCGCGCCTTCCACTTAAATATGAACAAGTAATCAACGGGTGCTGACTTGAAGCTGAACTAACTGTTAATGGAGGAAACCGCAATGTATACCTGTACAGAGGAGGGAACTCCGATATGAAATAGAGGTCCCAATGCCCAACCACATGAAGCTGGGAATATAACGAATGGAACACCGAGAACATTCACGTAAAAATCGAACCAGACACACGAAGTATGCAATAATAGCATTGAAAACTTGATATTTCCTATTTTCTTTGGTGTTTTAAAAATGATTATGTAGTAGCCAAGTATGTGAAGAGGAACTTGGAAGATGGAGAGAGTGTGGAAGGTGAGTATTGTGAACTCATCCGATTCGTAATAACTTTGACGATAAACACACATTTGGAGTGCGAGTAGTGTGAAATTTTTTAGCCAGGAGAGACTTTTCCACCTGCTTCCAAGAAAGTTGTACCTTTTCCTATGACTTCTGAAAAGTAATTGAAGAAAACACTTACTTTGGCACTTCCGTGAAAACGCAACAGTTTGCAGACAAAATTAGTGTCAGAAGTAACAAAGCACGTCAATACGAGCATTTTGAGCGTTGGAACAGCTGAAATTCGAGCGTATCAGTTGTACTAGTTGCAGATTACAGCGCTGAAGAGCCTCCAGCAGCAGCCAGCAACAACAGATGCACCATACCCGAATGGAATAACAAAGAAACCACTTCGATTACTAGTAGCTACTGGAACTCGGTCTCCAGATGGTTGTGGATGACTTTGGATTTATCGGAAGAGGTACCTACATAAAGCTGTACCTATCATTTCAATTTTACGTTTAGAACAATCAAAACTACACAGCGCTTTCGCTTCTCGGTGCTTACGTGTATCCCGAGTACATCTCGATTTCACTATCCGCCCAATACTTGGTCAAACAACGTCTATGCTGTCGATACTTTGACTGCAAACAGCAAGAAATGCCGAAAAGTGCATGGCAAGGAATCGTCTTTCCCGAATTGGTCGTGCATTGTCCGCGGAGGATCGGAGCAGAGTTCATGTCGGTTTCCAGTCAGTTAACCGACCAACCACCCACGAGGTGTCCGCTTGTGTTGCGCCGTTATACGGAAGTGAGGCCAACTGGTTGCAGATTGCAGAATTCATCGAGTACCGCAAATTGAGAGAGGGTCTCACCTACTTTTACTTCCACATCGGCCGCATTTCCGACTACGACCGAAAGATGTTGGACTACTATGAGAACAAGGAAGAAGTCGAGGTGAAAGTGTTCTCCGACAAGTACGAACGACCGTTCTACGCGTGGCAGCCCCTGCAAGTTCAGGATGGCCATCTGAGAAGCAAGTTCCATTCGAAATGTACGGCTTTTATCGACATTGACGAGCGCATTTCGGCGGTCGGAAGACGATTTGTCGATGTTTTGGGCGGATATCTGGAGGTTCAGATGCCGCTGCTCAACATCATCAAAAGCGACGACTCGCGGCAGGTAAGGAGAGAGCTCTTGGTATAATCCTTTTATGATATTCGTTTTCAGTTCGGTTTCATTCACGAAAGCATCCGACAACTTGTCATTCGAAACTATGGAGAAGAGGCTTGGGATCAAGTTCTTGAAAAGTCGGGATTCGAGAACGGCAAAGAGAATATTGTGAATCATTACTACTCGGACACGGATACCTATGTGCTTGTGGATAGTGTTTCGCTTGTTCTGAGTGAGGATAATAATAATAATAATACAAAACCATTTGCGCAATTCTTTTGAACAGAAGTGACGAAAGATCAAGTTTGGGAGATGTACGGCGGCTTCCTCATCACCTACTCGATGGAGATTGGCTGGGATGAGCTCGTCCGGAGCATGAGCCCGAACCTCAAAGGCTTCTTAGACAACCTCGACAGCCTTCACTACTTCATTGATCATGTGGTATACAAGGCCAACCTGCGGGGACCGACCCGTGCTCCAATTGTCTGAATCACTTCCTTTGACCATATTCACTCAGTTTTCACTCAATTGGACCCCCTACAATACCTGGTACGAGCACTACAGTCACTATAAAGCAGGATGCTACAATCTGGTCATTTCTGACTTTGCCCACAGTACTCTGCAACTAGAAATAAAACAGCTTCCTCTCACTTGTGTCTTTTTCGTCATGCCCGACTACTTGCATCTGTCTTGCAGGAAGTGATCGTTCCACATATCGTTTATTCATGAGTATAAAATAAGTTATTGGCTCCTAATACCTACTAGGCTTTGAACAGTAATTGTTGAAACGTTTGTTCTTTTGAATCGAAGAAATTCCAAAACCACCAATCGATACGGTTTGTGCACGCAAATCATGGTAATCGTGGAAAGTGTTCCGTACATCATAATCCAAAAGAACGCAATGTTGCCAACAAGAATGTCCGGGTAGCCAATTGCAGTGCATACTTGGATATAAATGCTGGGAACCATGATGGCCACCACGGGGACTGATAACTGAATACAAAGCGTTTTGAACAACTGCCGCTGAATATCCGCCGTTCGTTTCGATTGAATTCTCAAGGTTAGCAAGAAGCGTAGAATGCTAACAAAGAAGTACAAGCCTTGACACGTTACTAAGAGTGTCATGATGGACAGACTCAATAACAGATAAATTGCGCCTTTGGAGAGCTTGAAGAATCCGGGCTTGTCGATGAAGTCAGCGGTAAAGCAGGGAAAATCTTCGAGAAGCTTCAGTTTCGCTTCCGTCGGATCTGCGCTGTCCACGAATGCGGGAATGATTAAAACCCAACAAATTATGATATTCGCAGAGTAGTACAGTACTCGTTTCATCTTCCGACTTTCGGATGTAGCGTCAGGACGAACAAGACGATTGTAGCGGTCTTCGAAGAACATGACGATGGCCGCGCCTTCCACTGAAATATGAACAAGTAATCAACTGGTGCTGACCTGAAACTGAACTAACTGTTAATGGAGGAAACCGCAATGTATACCTGTACAGAGGAGGGAACTCCGATATGAAATAGAGGTCCCAATGCCCAACCACATGAAGCTGGGAATATATTGAATGGAACCGCGAGGACATTGACGTAAAAATCGAACCAGACACACGAAGTATGCAATAATAGCATCGAAAACTTGATATTTCCTATTTTCTTTGGTGTTTTGAAAATGATTATGTAGTACCCAAGTATGTGAAGAGGAATTTGGAAGATGGAGAGAGTGTGGAAGGTGAGTATTGTGAACTCATCCGATTCGTAATAACTTTGACGATAAACACACATTTCAAATGCGAGTAGTGTGAAACTTTGGCCAGGAGAGACTTTTCCACCTGCTTCCAAGAATGATGTACCTTTTTCTTTGACTTCTGAAAAGTATTTGAAGAAGAAAACATTGGAACTTTCGTGAAAACGTAACAGTTTGCAGACAATTTTAGTGTCAGAAGTAGGTAGCAAAGCACGTCAATACGAGCATTTTGAGCGTTGGAACAGCTGAAATTCGAGCGTTTTCAGAGCGAAATTCAAAATCGATTCAAAAATTGCATTTCTCAATGAAAACTGCTCGTTTTGATCTTTTTGAAAGTGCGCATTGAATTTCGTCGTTTCTGCCGTTGTTAGTGATCCAGTTGAGATTCAATATAAGTTGCACTAGTTGCAGATCACAGCGCTGAAGAGCCTCCAGCAGCAGCCAGCAATTACAGATGCACCATACCCGAATGGAATAACAAAGAAGCCACTTCGATTACTAATAGTTACTGGAACTCGTTCTCCAGATGGTTGTGAATGGCTTTGAATTTATCGGAAGAGGTACCTACATAAAGCTGTACCTATCATTTCAATTTTACATTTAGAACAATCAAATCTACACAGCGCTGTCGCTTCACGGTGCTTACGTGTATCCCGAATCGAAAATCTGTTAAAACTGTGAGACATTCCAGACACAAATCCTTCTTTTGTGAAGATTGTTCAATTATCAAATGTGATTCTCAGTCTTGATATACTTTATCGCATTCTATATTCTTCTGTTCAGATCTCCCAGCTACTTCCAGCTCTTGAGAGCACCAATAAGTCATAAATTCAAGTTTTAGATATTAGGAACTTCTCAGCGACTTCTCCGATTGATCACTGCCACACTGACATCTCCGACTCGGCTCGCAGTCTGTAAAAGTACGTCCCACTCCATCCAAATACTATTCATTTCTTTTCACTGACCGCAGTTCTGCTCATTGAACTTTTGAAGATCCCAGTCGCCACTTCTCGATACTGTAGTGATAGTCCGAAGCAAATAAGGCAGTGAAACGAGGCATTCAAGGTGAAGACGACATTCCAAATGTTGGTGGATAGTGTCAGGAGGATTCTGAAGAGTATTGTCTCCTTGAGATGAGGAAACGTACGAACATGACTCCCAAATCTTCGTCTTCATCCAGAAAAACTGATTGAATAGCTACCACAATGCCAGTGGGAAGCTCAGCGATCAGAAAAGTGACAGTCATCAGGGTGACGAGAGCGGTCGTTCGATCCGGTCTGAAACGAGCACTTCTCTTGGTGGACAATCCCCGCAAATCTCTGCAACTTTTGCGCAACTTACCTTGCACTCGTGGAAACTGAGTGATTTCTTATCGCTCGCGTCTTCGCCAACTCGACGAGAAGCAGAAAAGTGAGCACTGGGAGGCAGAGGCACGGTATCAACTTGGAGAATACGCCGTGCCAGAATGTGAACTTGGTGAAAATTGATTTGCCTGCCAAACCAAAGATCATGTCCTCACTATCCATTTTGAAAATAGGAACTCTGTTTGGGTCTGTGCCATCGGGACAACTAAAGTCATCCAGTTCGCTCTATTGGACATGAGAATCGTACTTACGTAGAGTTGGCTCTCCAGTAGCCAGATTCAATGAATTTGACTTGAAACCAAGAGAAAATAGAGAATAAAGTGCTTAAAACAAACGAGAAAATGATGGCTAGAAGGGCGGTTCGAGGTCGGGTGAACTTGTCGGAATCCATGTAAAAGTGAATGGCCAGGAAGCGAATGAGCGCCAGAAATATTGCGAGCCAAGAGGAAGATTGACGAAAAGCGGCCAGACAATTGTCGATGATCACATTTAGTTGATAGGAAAGTAAGGATGTGGGCGGCGAACTGAAAATGAACAAAAGTATTTGAGGTTTCAGACTTTTACAAACCATTGGTCGCCGTCGAACACATAATGATAATTCAACGCCTTCAAGTTGTTCATCAATGCTACAATATCACAAATGGCGATTACGAAGAGAATAATGTTTGTGGAGGACGTCAACATCGTTCTATTGCCTAACACAATCATATGGAGCACGGTAAACACGATTCCGATCACTGAGAAAAGGAGTGTAAAGTGGTGGAGGTAGGTGGAAATGAAGCTGAAATTTCAGAGAATAAAGTAGGAAGAGTTGTGTGAAATTTTACGTCAAAACTTGATACATCGAGTACAACGTATGTCTGGTGGCAGTGTTATAATCATAAAACAGAATGCATTCCATGCTAATGATAAGATCGTCACACTCATTTTTATCGACATCTTCTGAAGTTGGAGGTGTGGAAAGCATTTCGTTTGAGAGTTTGATAATATTCATATTCAGGTGAATAGTAATGTTCAATTCACCTGTCATGCTTTCTTGCCAAATGTCAATTTCACTCTAAGTTTGCTCTTTCTGAACTTTCAAAATTGCAGCATCTTTCGATGCTCATATCTCGAGAACCAATGCTTGTTTCAAAAAGTTGTCAACTAAAAAGTTGTTGTAAATGATATGCTTAATAACTTTGTAATTGAGCATTTTCTCCTAAAGCGTTTCATTCCCGAGTTATGTGAGCATTTAGAAAGAACAAGGATTTCATGTGGAAGGAGTTAACAAGACATGGGCACAATTTCAAAAAGAGACACGATTCTGACAGTAGTCACGTGGCGTCATGATGATGTCTTTGACCGCTTTTAGCAATATTCGATTCGACAAAAGCATTGTTAGCGTGGAAGCGGCTCCGTGCTCCTGGATCATCAGCAACATCAGGTAGAGGAAGTGCTGAAATGGGAATTATTGATTTGGAGAGCTGAAAAGAGCCAGTCACTAGTTAGGACGTTAGGAAACTATAAATTTGCAGTCTTTCTCGGTAAATTTATATCGAAAATCGGCAAAGGGATTGCTGCGGATCCGAGAAGTGAGTAAATATCATCGGTTAACATAATCATCTTCGGAACTTACACTAGATTGCAAAAACGCCCGTTCCTCGGCTAAACGTGTGTAGTCCTACAAACATGATTTCATCAGAACATGAGCACAATTCACCAAACTTCATCAAAACAAAAATCTAAAAGATCGATTAGCTCTCGTTCTCTTGGACACAAATTTCATTACCTGGCCCACGTTCTGCCACCCAAACGCCTTTTCTCCAGGCATTCTGACAATGGACACCCCCCGAGATATGTTCCCAAATGCGGATAACGACACGAAAAGGATGCTGCAGAGTGTGCTGGTTGCTTTTGAGTGAGTCTCCCCCCATTCATCTTTTCAAACGTAAACTTCACTGGCAGAAAAGCGGCCCGGCCAAGTGTTCAATTTCAACGATACGTCTCGATATTCGGTCTCGCGCTCACACTCTTCCACTTTATAATTCTGACGCGAACGTCCATGATGACTTCCTCGATCATCTCCATTATGATCGGAGTGTCCGTCTGCGATTTTGTGTTCATGCTCTCGACAATTGAGTCCAGTGGAGCAATGTTCGACGAGCAAGGAACGGATTGGTATGTTTACCCTGCATTCAAAACGATGTATCTCAGCTGCCGCAAGAGATATCAAAAAGTTGTCAACTGCTAAAATGTGCAAAATGCATTTCTGAACAATTTCTCAATTGACAACTTTTTGATATCTCCACTCACAGCTGAGATATACCGTTTTGAACGGACGGTATTGGGGCGCTCTTCTATTACAGTACTACTCGCGATATGTTTAGTACAGTAAGCCATTACAGTAACCCTCCGGTCACTCTTCTCGTTTTCCATCTCTACTGGCTGTTCATAGTCATTCGCGACCTCGTCCGCCGCACTTCCACGTGGCTCGGAATGCTCATGGCTCTAATCCGCTACATTATGATCCGATTCAGCGCGAAACCTTGCGCACACTCCGTCTCCAAACTCTCGTTCGGATTGTATTCCTTTTTGACGTGCACTGTTTTTAGCTCAATCTCCGCTTTTCTCTACTACTTCCGATATGATATTGTCGAGAACGGAGCGTGGACGCCGAAGCAAACGTGAGTAGATAATAGTGGAAAAGTCGCTGAAAGTTATTGACATGATTCAGGTGCACAGACATTCCCTTGACTATCGTACTCCCGGTCTACGCACAAACGCCATCAGCTCTATTCAAAATGAACAATGAAATCATCGGAAAGCTGTTCATGCTGATCAATGGCATCATTTCAAAGGTAGCCTAGTACATGTGTGTCGAAAGTACCATGGATTCAGATAATCCCTTGCATCCTCCTCCCTCTTCTTACTTTTCTGCTCATTTTGGAGATCCGAAAAACAGAGGGCATCAAGCGGTTATCCAACGCTTCCCGGCGGCGAGCATCGTAAGTGTCAAGCGTGAAAAAACCTGCCGACCCTCCGAGTTCTGCAGTTGCGGCCGTGGCCTAGAAAAAAGGATTTTTCATAAAATTCTAGAATACATGAGTTTCCTAGGCCACGGCCCCAACTCTTACCGCTTGCTGTTCCGTTCGTTAACATTTTTGAGAGCTCGGACTTCTGGATCCACTGGTTGATCCATTTCGGAACAAACTTGCAGAAGGGAACGAACAACGTGGCTGGTCATCTTCCTGACCGTCACCTTTTTCATCGCAGAACTGCCCATCGGAATCGTCTACGTTCTCCAGGTGGCCTACACCGATCTCGGATACTTGTGAGCCCTCAAACAATCAGCAAATCGAAACGAGAAGCTCAGGTACATGGCCACCTTTGTGACTCACATTTGCAATGCGATTTTCACCGTCAATGCGGCACTCCACTGCCTCATCTGCTTCCTCATGTCTTCGCAGTATCAGAAGACGGTGGCGGCACTGTTTCGAATGAATGTTGGTCACTTGTCAGTCGTGAGCAGTGCTCAAATGTAGAGGATTGTCAGGGAACAAGGCAATTGAATTTGTTTACAGTAAAGAATTGAAATGCTCTTGAAATCATCATTGAAACCAGGGCTGCGCAAATTTTGGGATCATGCAAAAGTCTTTTGGGCAGAAAGATCCGACTGGATTGTTCCGGAACTCCGCCAACTCCAGACGTCTCATAGTGAGCAAAATGTATAGATTTAATTGAGAAAATAAATTAAAATACGATTCGTCACTATCAGAGAGCCACGCGACCCGACCCGACACGAACGTGTTCCGGTCGCGTCGGTCATCGCCGATAAGATCTTTTGCGCGGGGTATAAAGGGGCGGCGAGAGCCCGAAACGAATCAGTATCGAATACCAAATCAAGCGACGAGCGACGATGACTTCTGCTTATTTCGGAGTCGCTGGCGGAGGGAACGCTGGTGCACAATCGGCATATTTCGGAGTTGGCGGAGGACCTGCTGGAGGCGGAGGAGCGCCGAAGATTGGAGGAGGGGCGCCGGCGCCCGCTGGAACATCGTGCTACCTGGGAGCTGGAGTCGGTGGAGGTGGTGGAGGAGGAGCCACGTCGGCCTACTTTTCGGTCACCCCGACTGCTGGAGGAGCCGCGCCGTGCGGAGGAGCAGCACCCGCTCCATTCGCACCGCCACGTAAGATCATCAACCCATTTAGGAATTTGACTTGTTTGTTTCAGCGGTCGCCGCCGGAGGTGGAGCGTCTACGATGACGGCCGTGGGACAGCCAGCTGCCGGAGGAGGTGCCTCAACGATGACTGCCGTCGGAGGTGCACCGAGAGGAGCGTCGACGATGACTGCCGTGGGTGGAGCGCCGATCGGAGGTGGAGGAGCGTCGACAATGACTGCCGTCGGAGGAGCACCAGTCGGCGGTGGCGGAGCTAGCACCATGACGGCCGTCGGAGGAATGCCAGCCGGTGGAGGTGCTTCGACGATGACCGCTGTCGGCGGAGCGCCGAGAGGAGCGTCGACGATGACTGCCGTCGGAGGAGCGCCGATGGGTGGAGGCGCCAGCACCATGACCGCTGTGGGAGGAGCTCCGATTGGTGGTGGAGGTACGGTTTCTTAGACCTCACAGACACATCTAAATCTGGATCTCTCTTTCAGGAGCTTCGACTATGACGGCTGTCGGCGGTGTCCCGATGGGTGGAGGCGCGAGCACGATGACTGCCGTGGGAGGAGCGCCAATTGGTGGAGGTGCAAGCACCATGACGGCTGTCGGAGGAGCGCCACGTGGCGCGTCGACGATGACTGCCGTTGGAGGAGCTCCGATGGGTGGTGGAGCCAGCACGATGACGGCTGTTGGCGGAGCTCCGATGGGCGGTGGAGCCAGCACCATGACGGCTGTCGGCGGAGTTCCGATGGGCGGTGGAGCTAGCACGATGACGGCTGTCGGTGGAGCCCCGGGAGGAGGAGCATCGACGATGACGGCGGTTGGAGGAGCGCCACGCGGAGCATCTACGATGACCGCGGTTGGTGGAGCCCCGATTGGAGGCGGTGCGAGCACGATGACTGCCGTCGGAGGAGTCGGCGCCCCGATGGGTGGAGGAGCGTCTACGATGACTGCGGTCGGAGGAGTCGCTGCCGGCGGAGGAGGAGCCAGCACGATGACTGCCGTTGGAGGAGCGCCACGTGGTTGGATTCTTGTTACCCAAAATGATTATACAATGTTGTTTTCCAGGAGCTTCGACGATGACTGCCGTCGGTCAACCGGGAGCAGCCGCTCCAATTCCAGCTGCGCCAATGGCCCCGATGGCCCCGATGGGTGGAGGTGGTGGTGGCGGTGCCACTTCGGCCTATTTCGGAGTCGGAGCATCGGGAGGCGGCGGTGGAGGAGCCCAATCGGCGTACTTCGGAGTCACTGGAGGCGGTGGAGGCGGAGGATCGGCCCCGAAGATCGGAGGAGGAGGCGGCGGTGGCGGAATCCCTGGACAGTCCGTCTACATGGGAGCTGGAGGAGCCGGAGGAGGCGGCGGCGGCGGAGCCACGTCTGCGTACTTCGCGCCGAAGTGATCGAACTCAAGTTTTGAGAGAAAATAAATGAATTTTGAATTTGTTTTTGTTTGTTTTCCGTCTCTGAATACTTTCACAGGAAATCCCACTACCATGCAAAAGCAAAATGCAAAATGCAAAATGCAAAATGAGCTCAGCATTCGCGCTCCACTGACAACGTTGGCGCGCTCAAAATGTGATTCCGGCGCGATTTTCAGCTCTCCTGTCCTTTTCAAACGGTGCTTTCTTCCCGAAGTCGGAAAATAATCGTTATTCAGTTGTTTCGCTTCTATCTTGCAATCGTTTTTCCGCCTTTGTTTCACTAAAATCTCATTTCCAGCCATGAGACGATTCCTGCTGCTCCTCTCCGTTCTTTTGGTCTCTGCCGCCGCTCAAGACTTCAAAAATTCCGAATGGGCATTCAAGCAACAGCACATTGCATTCTGGGACCTCGAGAAGCCGATTCAGGAGGAAATCGGGAATTTGTTCGACGACGTGTCGGTTGATTATTGATGAAACGTTAGACGATACGCTCGTTTTTAGTTTGTCTCGATTCTTGGAGAGCGACGTCGGCGTTCCGTCGAAAATCGCTGTGAATCGGATGGAAGACCTCGTCGACAACACTTTCATCGAGCCGTTTTTCGTCGGAAACACGGTAAACAAACGCAGTTTTCATCTATATCTTTCAAACGCATCAATTTAGGACAAAGTCAGCGCGTTCTACTACGTGGCGCCGCCTCTCGCCAAATGGTGCTCCAGCTACAGCTCCCGCAGCACTTCTCAGATCATTGTGCACAAAAACCGCCGCATCGCCATCACTTTCGATTGTAACAAGAATGCCGGTACGGGAAATCTATATATTTTCCACAATTTTGCCGATTTTCAGTACTTCCGTCGCCGCGAACTATCGTCAAAGCGATGATTCTCGTCATGTTCACCGCCGCCTTTATCTTCGTCGTCAAATCAATCCCCTTCGAATTGTGGGTTCGCAAAATAGCAAAATAGATACAAAAACTACCAATTTTCAGTATGATTCTGCAAGCCGCCGGTAAATGCGACGATCTGCAAGACGATGAGAGCGACAATACGAGCGAGTCGTCGAACGACAGCCTTATGGCCGACGCCATCGACACCCTCGAGCAGACCTCGTTCATGGAACGGCTCGAGAAGTGGGACGGCTCCAAGATGGACTCGATTTATGACTAATTCTCGCACATTTTACCGCACTCTCTCACCCTTCTTTCATTTTATCACTTTTTAATTTCTGTCATAGTTGTTCAGTGAAATCGGGCCTCTGTTTCATTTTCAAGTTTTCGTTAAGGTAAATTATCAGATCTCTGCTCCCTGCTCCGCCTGTTGCTCGTCGCGATTGTCTTCCGATCGCATCCGCACAAAAACGTTTCCCGCACCACTCTTCGCAATAACGTGTTGGTCAAAAGCATGCTGAGCGTCGAACAGAATCCATGCTCCTGGAGCATCAGCTCAATCAAGTGAGGAACAGCTGAATGCGGTGAGTTGGAATCAAATTGAAAATGTAATAACTCACGCGACGGCTGCAATGGAACCATCATAGCCAGAAGGTAGAGGGCCAGCGGGATAAATATCAGAAAGGTGTGCACGATAATCATAATTAGCAGACTGTTCAGAAAATTTTTCTGAATTGCTGCCGTCTTGGCGGATGAACTAGCCGCCGCCGAGTTTAGCGAACGGAATGCGATGACAGCGGCGAAGCCGCCGGTCAGGAATCCGAAGGCCACGGTGACATATGCCATGGTGACGAAAGAGAAGAATATCCAGGAGTCGAATCGCATGAAATAGCAATTGTCGCACCACATGTAACCTTCAAGGGCTCCGCGTTCCTGAAGCATCGGAAGGTATCAACTGTCGGCTGTGATTTATTTATTTACCTGACTCATTTTCAGTTTGTACTCGTTCTGATGCGTCAATTTCGGATAAATGGCAACCGTGAAACCGAACAGGACACCGATGGAGAGATAGAAGGCGTATCTAGAGTACTGCACACTTTTCAGAATACGCGATTGGGGAGCATGACGCGTGGCCTGTTCCATTCGGTAGATGAACAACGAAACGGCGGAGATGCCGGTAAAAATGAGCAGGCAAATGAAAACTTGGAAAGCGTTCGGCGCGTACTCGGCGGCCAGACCTCTACAGCATATGATGGCCCAGGGGAAGGGGATTGCGGGATTCCAAATGACGCCCATAAAGATTTCGAGGAGGGCTCCTCTGAAAAATAGCCCAAAAACTTGTGAAATTTGAATGACTCGTCTTACGAAATGATATGGATCACCAGGTAGTTCCGGTATTGATTGAAATGTCGTGGACACTTGAAGAAGAGCACTCCGAACGCGACGCTGTACACCGGAATCGAGACAAGCGTGCAAGTGTAGTGGAGGACAGTCACATACGTCTCATCTTCATATGCACACGTGGCATTCAGCATTGCAGCCTGCTAAAACTCAGTGAACAATGATTTTGCAAAAATGAAAATGCAGGTGTAAAAACATGGTTCCGGTTAGTCATTAATTGAATGAATCAATAAGATCAGTAATCATTGTGTAGGCGAAATTTTAAAGTACTATTCCTAAAAAAAAATCTCAAAAGATCTTTTGAGGAATTCAGCTGAATCCGTTAAATTTCCGACATAGATCATCAAGAGTTTTTTGTATCGAGGAATAAATGAGAGGGACAGGTGATAAGAAGTAGGAAAACTATTCATTATTTCGATTACCAAACGCTATATTTAGCGAAAGCTTCTGAACAGTGACTGGTTCTCTAACGTTTTTACGAAATGATATGGGTCAGCAGGTAGTTCCGGTATCGATTGAAATGCAGTGGACACTTGAAGAAGAGCACTCCGGGATCGAAACGTTTGTTAATTCGTTCGTCGCACAGAGTTACTGCTCATGTTCTTTTTTCGGTTGTCCTCTGTCTTTGACCATACAACTTGTTGGATGCCAACTAGACGCAAAAGTGTAGACCGATATTGTTTCGATAGAAATAGGCAAAAGAAGAAGTGACACGTGGAGTTGACAGTGAGAAGACACGCGAACACGATGACGACGTCGACGGAGGCGATTCTGAAGGCATTCTAGACGGAGCCGTTCTGCTTGTTAGCTACTCACATCAACAGGTGATTGTCGTGGAAGAAGGCCTTGATCATGACGATGAAGCCGAGTGGTGCTTCCGCCAGAAAGAAGGCGATTGTCATGAGAATAACAAGTTTTGTGGTCGGGTTCTGGCTCTGTCTGAAAAAACGTTATTCTCATTCCAATCCCACATGATCTCCCGACTTTGCGCTATTCTGCGCGTGCTTTGCCTTCCGTAACGCTCGAATCAGAAGCATTGTGAGAATCGGAAAACAGAGACAGGGAATGAATTTCGACGCGATCGCATCGATCATCAAGTACACTCTCAACACGATTTCATCGTTTTCCGCGAACAAGTGGGCCATAGTCAACGTGTATCGTGGGGTTCTATGAATGTCCTGAAACTCTTCACAGCTGATCGGCAGCGCTGACTGCCTGTTCTCAACGATTTTGAAGCGGAAATAGTAGAAGACAGAGAGCATCGAGGCCAGGGAAAAGGTGAGAACGACAGTGAGCCAGCCGAAACGACGGGTTGACAGTCGAGAGTGGTTTGTGTTCAGGGCATTGCGGACTATCAGAGTGCGGACGGTGGCCATGAGAAGGGCCAGCCACGTGGAACACCTTCTCAAGTAGTCCTGGAGAGCCCAGGCGAGCATGTCGATGTAGACTTTTAGCAGCGAGTCGGATGTGATACTGAAATATGAGTGTGAAAAGCCAAAGTGATCGTCTAACTCACTTACCACTCATTGCTCTCAGTGTCCACGAGAGTCAGATACTTCTCGACTGTCAGCACCAACGTGAAAATGTCGCTGATAGCGATTCCGATCATGATCGCGTTCGTCGAAGACGGTTTCATTGCCTTTCTCGTCAGAATAAACAAGTGAAAGCAGTTGATTAGGGCAGAAATCACAGAGAGAAATAGGTTGGCAGTGTGCAACGGCTCCGCGATTGATCTAGAAGACGATGTATCTCAGTTGTCTGTAGAGATATCAAAAAGTTGTCAACTGATGAAATGTACACAATGTCCTAAAGAACATTTCAATAGTTGACCACTTTTTGATATCTCAACAGACTTACTCTATAAACTCGATAACTTTTTCCATTCCACCGTCAAATATGCTGCTCTGAAAAACACGGCAATTGTGGAGCAGAGAAAAAGCAAGCGTGTGAGAATGGATAAGGCAGGAGCAAAGTTTGAATTTGTTCCCTTTCTCTGCAAATTAATCTGATTAACTTGGCCGGTTGCTAACACACTCTTCAATCAAGTATGGCTCGGCGTCTTCTGTGTAAGACGTCAAACAAATCAACGAAAGTGTCTCATCTAGACTAGTACGTTTTTATGATTATGCCAAGTCTGATTCGATTTGGTGTCTTTCCTCTGTCTGCAATCCAATTTGGGTGATCTTTGGGCATTTTCAAACCTGGTCCCTTAGGGCCAAAATCGTTATCCAAGTTGTATTCTGTTGAGTGTCTTAACAATGGTTATCATCGATTTATCTGGAAATCATATCTCATACAGTTAAACTTTAAGTTTTGAACGCTCACTCACACGTTTTTCCAATGTAAGCACTTGAAGAAGAAAACAGCGATACGGATAGTGTACTAGAAGAGTAACGAGGTTTGTGACGAAGCCGTGAAAACAGAATATCAGTACGAGGCTGTTTTTGAATGCCTGATTATAATATTCGAAGGAAATGGCGAGAAGCCCACGGGCGCCGCGATGAATGAAAACCAGAGGGAACGTGGCTTGGGCGATGGTTCCGCAGAAGAATGCTCTTTGATACTTTCGAGTCTTCAAAGAGAGCATTCCGGCTAGACGCAGCAGACGAAGAAGAAGGCGATTTGGACAAAGATGGTGAGGACCAAGAGTCCCGTCAAAAGTACGCTTTCCAGAATTCGTCACGAAGAGTTGGAGGTGTGGGAAGAGCTCTTCGATCGGACGATACGGCAACTGCTGAAGAATGGGTCGGTTCGAGTGGTAGGCAGCTGCAAAACGAGGAGATCGGTGAGAATCAGTGTGCAATTCGAGTACGGGTTCGGCCGATTCTGAACCGATTTGTTGAAATACAACTGCTGCGGTTCTCGAAAAGTAGAAATCGCTAGAATGAATGAAATTTTGGTTTCGGACGTGCACATCGAAGAATTGAGGCCTGGGAAGAGTTGAACAGAGGTGGGAATGCCGAGAACGCGAACAAGTTCTGAAGAAGAAAAGATCAGCGGGCTCTCTCTCTTCGGTTCTATAAGAAGCTCGAATGAGTGTTAGTCAAGTACCCAACTGTGACAGAGAAGCACTATAAACATCAGGTGCTTATCCTCTGTCTTCCTCGCTTCTCTCTCTCACGAGAGTGGCTCCGGGCCGAGATCTGGTCAGATTGGTGAGGAACGGGATTGTGCTCCCTAGGACCTCTCTCCCCTAGTTCTAACTTTCTTATTTTATATTATTCTACTGTATTTTTATATTTTTGTCTTTTTCTGTAAATAAATTAGTAGTTTATAATATCCAGTGTTTTGAGGAATGTGGGAAAGTGGGTAGAAGGGAAAGGTGGTCCCCATTCGGGGTCCAACCATTTCACACAACCAACAACTTCAGTTCGCCGTCACGTTTCCTGTTCCAACTGCGTTTCGACTGGTTCCTGGTCAGCGTGCGCGCAACGAACTTTATCGCTGTTCCGCATGGCTCGGCATGCTCATCGCCCTCTTCCGATACCTCGTCATCGCCGATGCCACGCACACTCTTCTCCGCGTTCTTCCACTTGCACTTAAAGCTTGAACAGGTCGACACGTGGCTGCTTCTCAATGTCTTTCCAGAATCGTAAGGTGGTTTTTAGTACAATCAGGTCACCGTTCACAAAAAAGAGACAGTTAAATGATTAGTTGATCACTGATGGGACGTGATTTTGAGAAACTGCCGAGAGTTACATCTGTTGTGAACGCTGCCAAATTATGATGTGCAATGTGAAGCATAACTCGAAAACAAAGCGTTTTGAAAAAAAATTGTCAACTACAAAATTGTTCAGCACAAGATTTCAAACAACTTTTCAGTTGACCATTCTTCAAAATATTTACTGGTTCTCGAGATATAGGTCTTAGAAAGTTCGTTCGCAGGCAATGTGTAATGGTAAGATTGATTTTGATTTCACATTTTCCCCCCAAAATAGTCAAGTAGTGACGGAGACAACGGCAGTGATCATGCTACTTCTGTTGAGTCTCCGCTTCAACCATGACGGATGAGCGTCCGAGTGGCAAATGAACATTACAAATCTGAAAATGGCAACTATTGGTTACTTCCTTCCACATTACTATTTGTACCCGTCCAGTGCAGTGACCGTGATAAACGAAAGTGTGACGAACAGAAACTGAAACCATTGTTCGTCATTCAACTGAACAATGAAGTAGCTGTTCACAGTGTCGAAAGATTGTAGACAGTCCTGGATGACACTCTGCAAAACAAGACAAATGTGTCGTTTCCTTTGAGTTTAAGATGTACCTGCACGAACATAATCATCCATCGTTTCCTCTTCTTCACCGCCTTCTCTTTGCTCATTCCGGTCATCTTCCGGACTAGCAAACGGGCTCCAGTGGCAACATTGAACAGATTGGTGAGGCATGCGGGACCGATGATTAGGAAGGGAAATATCGAGGCAATCCTTCTGGAGCACTCGTTGTCCTCGGCCCTCCACACGAACAGTTCGGGGTCGTAGACGTAGCCGCAACCCGCTGAATACCGTAACCAGTGTATCTCGGCTGTCAGTAGAGATATCAAAAAGTGGTCAACTGATAAAATGTACAAAATGTCTTTCTGCGCAATTTACTAGTTGACAACTTTTTGATATCTCTACCGACAGCCGAGAAATCTTACGTGGAATTGTGATGGCACTGAAAATGAACGCAATGGTAATTGAGCATAAAATTGACAAGTTCGCGATGGGACGCTTCTTGCAGACCCGTATACCCAGTGGAAAGTATAAGGCGTAGAATCGATTGCACGACAGGCATACTTGAAGTAGTGTGTCTGAGAGAAGGATTAGGTTGAACATTTCCAAAAGAATGTAACTGTGAACTCACTGAGCACGTAGGCCCATTCCGGCGCAATGAGGCCGATGGCCCGGTTCACAATGTAATTGATGTCTGAATAGTGGAAAGACAGCAGAGTGACCGGCAGCACCCATAGAAGGAATGTCGAACAGATCAGAAGGTTCGTCACTGTTTTCAGGAGACAAATCTTTTGAAAGCCATTCGCGTCGGATTTACGAATGACGAAGCGGCAGAAGAGGTACGAATTACAGATTGTGCCCGAGATGCTTGTCTGCCAATTGGGAATTTAGCTTTTTCCGGAGATTCAGAGACTCACGACGAACACCGAGATTGCTGCGAACGTAAAGAATGGTTTGGAGGCGAGCATGTGAAGGGGGAAAACTCGGAGTTTATGCTAGAGAGACGACGGACTGAAGACGAGAAAACAAGCGAATCGTGAGAGCGAGAAGTAGAAAGAGGGAGTGTTGAAATCAAAAACACAGAGCAAAAAGCTGACAACCAAAATTATTAATGAGGTGCACTATCAAATAATTCACGAAAATGAATGGTCTCTCTGATTCTTGTTGAGCACATTATTTCTGAGATTATCGTTTTCCAGAACAATCTCAATGAACTTTATGTTTCTGTCAATCTGCCGACAACGCTTCGGAGCATAGTAGTAGTCCAGTCCACTTGAGTACGGAGATGGAGCTACTAAACTTAATGCCGCAGGTTCTTCTCCTTCCTGTGTTCCTTTCTAAAACTTCTGAGACTACAGAACCAACATAAAAACAATTGAGGAAGAGGGCGAGGATGAGGGGTGTCTAACACTTTACAAAAGCCTTCAATGAACCTTCGTCACAGCCGAACTGGAGTACGCTAATAGGCTCTAAATCGCCCTCTTCCTTAATCACTTTATAGTGTGTCCCTCTAGAGCCTATAAGCGTGGCACACGTTTCCGAGTAGAGTTTCGTGTACTTTGAACTTTAAAACAAGTTATAGAAACAGGTAAACAATTGATGACGCACGGACAGCTGAAACTTTGCATAAAAAACTTCGTCCAGCTACAAACGTTCATTCGGAAATGTTTCTGTGCTCTGGCACGAATGCAACTTCTTCTTCGTTATTGGAAATTCCCCAAACACGATGCGAAGTTCTATTGCTTCTAGTTTTCATCGTCATTTCGAGCGGTCTGTTCATTGGGCAACTCGTCGCTTCGAAAAAGGTAGGTCGGAGCTGGGAGTGTGCAAAACAAAGCTGTTTGGATGGAATCTACGTACCTAGCACTTCATTTCTCTATTTGACAACTTTTTCGTACAACCACTCCTCAGAGTTCTGTAGCTCATCAAAGTTATGCCATCCAACTAAGTGTCATGACTTGCAGCGTCTCATCTGGAAACTCTTCCCCGAGTTCTGTGTCTCCATGACTATCGCCCCTCTCACTCACTGTTTTCTCTTGTGCACTCTACTCTTCAAGTCTCGAATCTTCTCTTCGGATGACCCGATCGAAGACGTCTTCCGAAGATACGTCCCAGTTGTCATTGCAACTTATCCAACGCTTTTCTTGCCTCCAGTCCCATTCGCCTTAACTCTAACCCATTCTCTATTGCTAGTTGTCACACTGAAAAACTGGTACTTGTTGGGCTTCAAGGTTTCACGGTTAGTGGAAGTTGAAGCATTGAGCTGAACTCTAAGATGTTCTTTACTTGTAGCGGCAAAATTAACTTTTTCATACTCGCCATGACATGTGCTTTGTTCTTTCTTCGGTTCACTCATTACGATGAAGTGAGTCAAGCGAAACGATTTGTGATTACAATACCCGTTGGCTATAAATTGCTAGTGGTACGTTTAGTTGGAAATATGAACGAAAAAGTGAGAAATGTTCTTTAGCAAATGGATATGTTCAAGTACGTTCCAATCATCATAACATCAGCATGTCTCGTCAAAAAGCGCAACACCATACGTGACAACAAACACGTGGAAAGAATGACTCTCGCAGAATACGCTCATCTAGTTCATATTATCGTGCATTTGACAATATTTTGGGTGAGTCACTGGAAAATAAAGTGGCATTTTATGATGAAAACAATTCAGATAATATCAGTCAGCCAAATCGCTCTGTCCATAAACTGTCATACTTCTCCAGCTGGGCGCCTTCTCGGAATTCAGGATTCGTGCATTCTGCAGTATATTTTCGTGTATTCCACGTATCTTGTTCAGTGCAAACGGCTCAGAAAAGTGATCAAACGATGGAATGTTTACGTGGCTCCCTCTTGACTTTTTGACCGGGTCTTGTTCTTGATTTCCCTGGAAACGGTGTGTGCCGACGGCGCGCATGGCGCAATGGTATCGTTTTGCAAATCGATACCGGTGGTTTTTGGTTCGAACCCCACACGACCAAAGTCTCTTTTGCTCGTTGATATTTCTTCGATACTGGAAGTTGTCCAGCCATATTTCTATTCCGGAAGCCATTTCGCACAAGTCACCTGAGAAAGCAGGTGACGGAAAATGAGAAGAACAGCTGAAAATGTAGTGGTTGGCAGTTTTCATTCTCGTTTCTCGAGTTGTCACCGGAAATGTCAAGCGGCGACAGTTTTCTGAGAATCAACGGAACTCGATTCAACATTTACGATCCGCCGGTGACTATGGAAGAATTTCAAGTGCTTTTCGCATTCGTACTCTTGTCTGCGGCACTGTTCATAAGACTGTGTTGCACGAAAAATGTACGTTTTCTTCAGCTTTATGGGGCTATTTAGCGTATGTTTGTTTTCCGTTTTTTTTCGTTATTTTACATCGCTGAATTGGATTTTTTGACGTAAAAAAACGAAAAAAACGGAAAACAATCATCTTTTTCGCAGCCTGAATAGGTAACCCCATTACAGTTTTTGTTTCGAAAAGCACAAATTCAGAAGATAATGCTCTCGTGCTTCCGTCAATTCTGCGTGTGGATGCCTCTCACCGTACTGACCCACTCGGTGTTTCTGTTCGGATGCATGTTCCCCAGTCTGGTGGTCTTCGCGGACTCGCCGTCCCGTGAAGTGTCTGTTCTCCGCTTATTCATCGTTTTTCTCATCGCACTTCCCTCGGCCGTAATCCCAACTGTTCCGTTCTCGATCACTCTCAGTTATTCTCTTTTTTTGACTTTCCAAGTCAAACCCGATTCTTTCATTCTCAATTGTCGGGTCACGAAAGCTCGAATCACATTTCTTATAGTCACCCTCTTTATATTTTTCCGCATCGCTCGATATTCGGATCAGAATGGAGTTCGATTCGTGTTTTATCTCTCATCTGCTCCGAATTTGACTTTGGTACGTGCTATGCGCCTTTAAATTTTAAACGAATACGGTAGCCGATGAAATTTCGATTTTAATGCAGAATAAGCAAAAAAGACGCATTTTTCGAGGGAAATAAACAGAAATTCGTATTTGCCCCAACATTTTCAACGCGAAGTGATCCGCATCGAATTTAACGGCGCAGAACTCCTTGGCTAGTTAGGCTTACAGACACTGATTTCATTTTCAGGTGTTCGATCTGCTCAAACTGATTCCAAGTGCAATTATAACTTTCCAACTCTTCAGACGTTTCAACCAACTTTTAACCTCGAGAAGACACGAAAAGGTCGGCGCTCAAGAGTACGCCCATCTCGTTCACATTTCCCTATTCGCATTCATTTCCTGGGTAAGTCATAAATATTGAAATGAATCCGAAACGCAAATATTTCCAGTCCCTCTTCCTGACTCACACCGTTCTCTCCATTCTCAGCTACGTACAAAACACAACGCCTCCGCACCGTGGATGTCTTCTGGGATTGGAAGATTCGTGCATAATGCAATATCTTTTCGTGTTCTCCACGTTGATTTCTGACTGTAAACTTCTGAAATTTGTGTTCGACCGCTCGAAAATTTTCCCAGTTGACCAATAAAGCTAGTCGCCGCACCGAGAACTTGATTACTCTAGGTGCCCTTGGCGCCAGGGGTGTCTGTAGCGCAGTGGTTGCGTTTTGGAGTCGCGGGTTCAGATCCTACTGGACGACAACTTTTTTTGCTCATTCTCTCTCACAAACACAAGGTTTAGAATCAACGTAGACCCGTTTGTTATCTATCATCATCCATCCGCTGGTCGTTTTGTAGCGGGGCAAAGTACGAAAGGTGTAGAGAGAGAGAGAGAGAGAGAGAGGCGGCAAAAGAGAGATAAGAAGAGAGACTGGCAGTCCTCGCCTCCTCTTTCTTTCGCATTTGATCGCCTGTTCCCTCTTCTCTATTTCTCTCGTTGATTCACTCCCTCTTTCTGTTTTCATCTCATCATCACTCTTCAATTCGTTTTACTATTAGGCTGTTCAGAAATGGCTAAAGTAGCGTGTAGAGTTTGTGATTCTCCCAACGCGGCAAACCATCACTTCGGAGCGCAATCGTGCAAAGTAAGTCAACGTTTTCTGCGATTTCGCGCGGAAAGTGTGTTGACACTTTGTGGGAGGCCCCAAAAATCAAGCACCATACCTCTAGAAACGCTTTGTTCACTTCAACTTCTAACCTTTCAGGCATGCGCCGCATTCTTCCGTCGTAGCATTAAAACGGGCCAGATCTACGATTGTAGTGGAGACGGAACGACGGCGTGCGACATTCATCACAGTACGTTTGTGACGATAAAATGGCACGTGAAGAACTACACTGTACCCCGTGTGTGGTCGCCACAAAAGATAAGGGGACGGCTTTGAAATGGGACTTTGACCCAGAGTGAGTTCTGATCTTCCAGCCCTTCGTCTCAACTGTCGCCACTGTCGCTTCACAAAATGTCTGCAAGCGGGAATGATCGAGGATTGTAAGTTTCTTGCTCAAAAACAAGGTTAACACTCAAGTTGTCCTCTTATTCAGTAGTACAAGGTAGACCAATAAGTTCAGCACCGGAGACGACCGATAGAAACAGTCCTCGAGTTGTCTGTGAGTCAAGGCAACCATTCTCCTCCCATTTTCTCATTTTTTGTTAAAGACTACGAACCGCCACGGTCGGAGGTGGTCTACGAAGTGTTCCCAGCGTCGGAGAACGAATGGGACTACGTGCCGCCGAGGAAAACCATAAAAACTTCGAATGACCTGATGGAAATGGACGAGTTGCAAGAGTTCATCAAGCTTCCCGGCTCCTCGCGGCCTCCGGACGACGTCGCGGAAGAGAACAGGTTGTACGCGTTGGCGGCGCTTTATATGGATCAAGTGGTGAGCTTGAACATGCGAAGAAAGCTCACTTACACCGAAAATCTATTGTCGACTATGTTCGACGGTCCGTGCAGTTGTGTAAGTTGGCGGCTTTGAGGTCAGAAGACGTCCTTATTTCTCACTTCAGCCCTACGAAAAGACGGATCTCCGTCCATTCGATCATCGCGAATATCGACACAAGAACCGCAACGACTACACGATGCTTGTCGACTACGTGAACCAATTTCCGCAGTTTCAGCTGCTTACCAAGTCTGAAAAGACTGTTCTGTTTCAAAGTGCAGCCGCTGTGGACGCGCTGATTGATCCCGCCTACTATAGTCAAGTGTGAGTTTCGGTCTATGGAAACGATATGCGGAACTCGCTAGTTGCGAAACGTCGGGGACCCATCTTACGCACATTTGTACACTTTCAGAGTATATCCGGACGAGTCAGTGTTCGTGACGCTCCGAGGAGAGTTTCTCAACATGAACCCTTTGCCCAAGCTCGAACTGGCCGGCTCTGAGTTTGACGCGAAGGATCATCGAATGCACAGATCGCTGATTCTGATGGTCCGTCGTCAGTGGAAGCACGTGGTGGAGCCGCTCCGAAAACTGAACCTATCGCTCGCCGAATTTGCACTTTTCAAAGCGCTCACTGTCTGGCACTACAGTAAGTGTTTAAAAAGCGCCGATAAAGTTCAACCAGATCCTCTTTCCGACTACTACAAACTGCAAGACGCCGGTCGTCAGATCTCAGCGCGACAACGGGACGACATCTTCCGAACTCTGTTGCTCATTTGCAAAGACGAAGCGCACGAGGACCCTCTGCTGCGCGTCTCCGAAATTGTGCTTGCCGTCGGAGTTGTGATGTCGGAGGTGCACGAGATGATCACGTCGCTCATCGAAATCATGACTTTTGACAATGTCGACGATCCGATTCTGAGGAATATGCTCACTTTTCAGTATTAAGCTTATCATTATGCAATAAACTGATTTGCGACGTTCAACCGAACTCAATCGAGTGATGCGGATGTCTGCCGAGCCTAAATCTGATTTACACATTTCGGTTTCGTGTGACTAACACTCAAAAATCTCATCAACAACATTGTTTTCACACGTACAAGTTTGTCTCATGTTCGAATGGAACTGGCGTCCCAGAATTAGGAAAGGAGGCCGGAAAACGTTTCCACCGAACTCTTGACTGTCACAATCCACAAATATTCTAGCCCGCACTGTCGATTTGTCAAGGTTTTTCGATGTATGTTCAAAAGTTCACGAATGTTTTTGTCACGAACATTTCACGCTCGAATAGAGTTGACGACGCCTGTTTCGGTTCGATCTCCACTGTGATACGGACGTTTTTCACACACATGCACAATTTTTTGCCTTGTTTTAAAACTAAAATCATGAAACCGAGACGAGGCTGAGGCTGAATCATAATACTTCAGTCGAGTTCCACCTGCGTCAGCCTCGTCTATTAGTCAATTCATCTCTCCGTTCTTTGTTCTCGTTCCGAATCACTATGTGTCAGCCAAACAGTTGTTTGATCGTGAGACAGAACATTTGTGGGAATTATTTTTGTTCGAATCGTCTACTCGCAAAGCTTTCATCTTCGCTTGGTCTGATTGAGTGTGGTCTCGCTCAAAGTTCACAGATTCCAGTGCGTAAAATCGTAGTCAATTTCGTCCAATTTACTCTGAATTTCTGCAAGAAACTCAATTTTCCTCACCCCACCCTTTGTATCTGTTCATGCCGCTTGATGTCACGACAGCACAGCCCTCCTCGCATTCATTGCCAATTGCAGCAGAATGAGCGTACAGATGACGACGCCGTTCTACGAGTACACGTACGTGTACCAATCGATTCGCGGAGTGCCCGAGTACGTCAATCTCGAGTTCGCCGTCCACTGGATCGCCGTGTTCGTGCTCGTCACACTCGTCTACACCGTCCCGGCCGTGTGCATTTTCGCGCGCATCGCCCATTTCTACGCGAAAAATGTGGAGGTGATCAAGAAGAACGGACTGCGCATCGAGATATTCCAAGCGTTTCTGCTCATGCAATTCTGGAGCAACGTCTCGCTGCTCTCCGACTTTCTCATGTTCCGCATTCCGAACACCAGTGCGCTTACCTCGTTCTGTGCCGTCGATGACCCGCAGATTCTCATTAAACTCGTCGTATTTATGTACTTTGCGTCGAGCTACACTGCTGATATTATGATGATCATGTTCTGTGTCATGCGCGTCGCCATTCTCTACCTGATGCCCAGAAGAACACGGAAACAGGTGAATATTTGCAATACATTCTGTCATATTTTTAGTCTTTGTTTTTCAGATACTTTACTATTTCACGATCGCCACCATCCTCCTCTCGTTCTTGGTCTCTCTGCCGCATTTGCTCAGCGAAGGCGTCTGTGTCCAACTGTTCACTCCGTACCCCTTCGGCTCCATCATCTTCATCTCCAACTTTCATCTCATTCATGTCGTGAGTCGATCACAGACTGTCCCTAGAAGGTCTCAACGTCTCGCCCGTTTCAGAACTCGGTCTCTCTCGGCAACCTGCTCCTGCTCACTTTCGTCACATGCAGCATAATCATTCTCAACGTGCTAATGCTATTGAAGATCAGAGAACGGAAGGAATTGTGAGTGCTTGTGAGTAAGAACAGTCCCGCAAATCAGTGGGCTCATTTAGAAGTTTCGTGACGAATGTCTCGTACAACACGCGAGCCGAGAGAACGCTCACCGGAACCATGATCATTCTGCTCGTCCCGATGCTTATTAGCCAGTTCATTGCGGTAGGCCTACAGTCCTCCTCAATTCGTTGCCATCATTCTCGTGCTCAGATTGGCGAGATGTTCCACTTCGAGTTCCTCTCCTACATTCTCCTGCTCCGTCCGGTTTTCGTGGACGCGCGTGTCCACATCGTCTCCTGCTTCTTCTATTTCACGCACCCCGTGTTCAAGAAGAACATGAAAGTTATTAACAGAACTTCTATTGTCTCACATACTTTGCAATAAACTGTATCGTATAAATTTGTCTCAAAAGGGCTATTCCACATAAGCCTAAGGCTGAGAAGGGTCTTGAACCCTAATAAACTTAAAGGACTTGCCAGGCCACGGCCTCATTCCTCTCATTCTTGAAATTGACGGCTTTCCTCTCTTTCTCTCCCTTTCTCTTTCTTAATTTCGTAGCTCCAAAGGTTGCTGAACATTTCCCTGGATACTTTTGAAAGTCAAAATGTTTGGAGAGCTTCTCACTTCCTTCATCCACGATGCGTAGATCAAACGTCACAATTCATTCTAGGAAATGCTACACTTCAATTCAAGTTTTGTTTGCCCAGTCCTGCCGAGCTCTAATTCTAATCCATTCAAATCCTACGCGGGTCACTTTCACACACCAACAACTGAAATGTTTATATTCAGAGCGAGACGCCGTCCAATTACGTGTGTGTGTTTGGGGAAAAACATACTCCGAAAGCCAACTTTGTCCCTTCTCTCTCTCTCTCTCTCTCTCTCTCCCCGCTTCTTCTCATCTGCTCATTTTAATCAGTTCTGCATATGCTCACGCCGTCTGCCGTCAACACGAGAAAATGTGAAATCTGCTTTCGCGCGGCGTACGGATACAACTATGGAGTGAGCGAACGTTTTATACACGACAAACTGTCATCCATTTGCCCCACTTTCAGTGTTTCACTTGCGACGCCTGCAAGATGTTCTTCCGACGTGTCGTTCTGATGAATCTCAAGTACATTTGCGAGCAAACCGGAAAATGCTTCGAGAGCATCAGTGCCGAGACGCCGGTGCCCAAGTGCAGAGCGTGTCGAATGAGCAGATGTCTCGAGTTGGGAATGGTGTTCCGAGCGAGCGCCATCTTCGAGAATCCGAAAGACGATGACGTGGGCGTGGAAGCATTAGTCGGCAGACTTCTCTACTTGGACAATAGAAGAACGAACCTGCTGATGAGCAAGTTCAGTCTCGACAATCCGGGCCTCATTGACTTGGTGCAAAGGAAGAAGATGAATATTATGCCGCAGACGTCGGAACGGAGGTTGAACAACGAGGAGTGGCGCTTTTTCTGTATGTACTCCACAGTCGACTTCCTGCTCAGTCTCGACTTTATGTCGAAACTCGAACCCACTGATAAGGTGTTCCCCCTTTTCCCCCCAACTCTTTATAAGTTATGGTTTCCAGTTGATTCTCCTCCGTCACTTCTCCGCCAAAGCGACGCTTCTCTTCAATTCCCTTCGAGCGATGCGCGCCAAAACCGACAAGCTCATCACTCCGGGCGGACACGAAGTTGTGGACGTCGAGTTGGCCGCGTGAGTTGTTTCTGCCGCAGCAGGTCGCATTTCGTTTTCGTACTTTTAGACTCTTCAACCTATCATCACACTTTCTCCACCAAATCCGCAGCCGTCTGGTCAACAAACTCATCGAGTTGGAAGTCACTAATGAGGAGTTTCTCCTTCTCGCGGTTGTGCTTTTTTGTAACCCAGGTAAAGGCTATCGAGGCCTAAACTTTGTAGGCTAGCAATTAGACGAATGTCCGTTTTTTTCAGTTTTATGCCAAACAAAAATTCCCGATTGTTTCAGGCCTCAATGGTCTGTCCGAAAACGCGAAGCCTCTTCTCGCCTCCCGCCAAGAAACGTACAGCTCCGCACTTGTTCACTACTGCCTCATGAGTTATCAGCAAACGGGACCGTCTAGATTCTCGGACTTGCTCTCCATCTGCCACGTCATCAACCGAAACATGGAGGACATTCAGAACTTGACTCTTATTATAAAACTTCAGTGGCCGCATGCCCAATGCAAAAAATTGTTTGAAGATATTATTTGAATATTTTTTTTATGCAATGAAGCAAGTTTTTCCCACGATTTGTTCGATTTTTCAGGAGAATTCTTTATTAAAAAAATGCGTCACGTTACTGTAGAAATTTAAAGGCGCATTCCCGCAAAGCACACGGGTCTCGCCACGAAATGAATAGAATTTTATGAAAGGCTGCTCGTTTTAAACTTTTCCAGCGTTTCCTGCTCATTTTTGCTCCAAATTTACCGTTTTTTCTGCAGAAAATGCCGAAAGGAGGAGCGTCGTCGTTGACGCCGGTGTATGCTGGTCTCTGCGAAGACATCGACAGCTTCCTGAAAGCATTTTTGAGGACTGGGTCACGAAGGTAATTTTCAAAAAGTTTTGAGCGGTTTTTTCCAAGGAGAGGACAAGCTTCCAGATTTTCGGACTATAAAAACCTTTTTGCGCATCGAGGAGTAATTAATATATTCAACGGAAGAAGTCACAGCGCGGAAATCATCGAGGTTAGTTGGAAAATAACATGTTCGATTATTTATATGCATTTTTTAGTTCAATGAACGGCTTCTCGTCAGCTGTCTGCCGTACATGGAGGAGAATGTGTGCGAGGGCTCTCCACGGAGTCTGGAAGAACGACTCTTCGGTCTCTACTCACTCTACACGTTCTTTTATCTTCAGTCCGTCGGCCTGGTCGTCAAAATCCGAATGGACCCGGATGCAGTCCGCACTTTCACCAAATTTGCCGATTTTCTCCTCAAGGAGCAGATTCTCGACGCCTACTTCTGTTGTCTGAAACTATTGGAGTCGAACGCGTTCAAAATTGTCGCTTTCATATCTACAGTCGGTGTTTTTCTCGAATAAGTAAACAATGAATCGATTTTCAGTTCGATCCGTCATGCTTCAAGCGTTTCGGCATAGACAGCACGGATGTGAAGGGCGTTCCGACGTTGACCAACGTGAATGATCCGCTTGGGAATGTGAAAGCGCTGATCGAGACGCCAACGTTCAAAAAATTGGGACTGGTTCACAATCTGTACATGAAGAAGAAGGAGGAGCTCGGAGTACGGTGTGGAGGAATCCAACTGGCGAATGTGCAGGCGCTCGCAAGAGGTATCGTTGAAAAGAGCACCTGGAAGGCGGACGCAAGCTACAAAGCTCATCAGAATTGGGATCCATGTCTCGCTCGTCGCAGCGGGCGTCAATTGACTCGTGCGGAAATCAAGGAAAAGGCCTATGGCGCCGGATTGCAATTGGCCAGAGACAGACGGCATCGTGCTTGCTCTCGTAGGCTTCCGGATGAGTTTGCAGTGAATGTTTGATTGATTTTCTTTCAGCGCTCAAAATGAAGACAGAAGTCTTTGAGTTTAGAAAGGAAGTGGTCAAGTACACGAAGCCGGCTGTGAAAGATGAGAACGATCAAGTTAAAATTGAAGAGAAGCAGGAAACTCCTTTGAAAAAGCGCAGAAAGAAGGGTAAAAACGGACCAGGACGCCCACGCAAACAGCCGCTCAAGTCTGAAAAAAAAGAAAAGATCAAGAAACAGCGCATTCCGTCTGCTCCGACAACGGTTATCATCAAACCGACCGGGCGTAAAACCAATGTACAGCCTTTTCACAACAGAAATGTATTTAAAATCCCGTTCTTTTTCAGAATTCTGTCTCTTCGGAGCTCTTTGCAGTGGCAGAGATCAAAATGGAAATAAAAAAGGATATTAAGCAAGAGGTGCTGTCAGTGGCGGAAATCAAGGTGGAACCGCCGTCGGAGGATGATGACGAAGGAAAAGAGGTGCAAATGGAGGTAGACGAGTGCGATACTCCGCCAAATTTGAAAATGGACAGGAAAAGCGTCACTTTCCGTGAAAATGTATAAAGAAACGTGTGTTGAGGGCGCTACAACGCAATAGAACTTGAACGGAATTGAACTGTTACGATATAGAACTCGCAACGTTAAAAAACACCTGCGAGTTCTATATCGTAACAGTTCTATTCCGTTCAAGTTCTATTGCGTTGTAGCGCCATTTTTTAAGATATAATATGCAATGTTTTCAGGATCTGGGAGAGGACATTGTGTCGATCTGCACAATTTCTCCGCGAAACACGGTGAGCGATGAAGAAATGGAGTCGGAAGATAACGATTATGTGGCGGAGCCGAAACACGAACCTCCGACTGGTAAAAATACCCATCGAAAGTTCTCAAAAACTTATATTTTTTACAGTTTCCGAGGAAGAGGAGAGCATGTTCCAGCCGATCGAAGACGAGGAAGATTTCGTCGGAAACGAGCACTCGTTCTGCATTGATCTCGACGAAAATTAAAAGCTATTAATGTTTTAATTTAATCAACTGAAAATCAATCTGTATCATTTTGAACTTGCTTTTAACGTTCTCATGTACCATATAATCATGTTTTGTTCTTTTTTCTTTTTTCATGTCACTTCATGGACGGATAAATACTACGACGAATTGGCCACAATTCGTATCGTATCGTACTGTATTCAATTGTGATGATTCTAGCCAATTTTGCATGTGCTGACTTTCTCTCTTTTCTCATTCTTCCCGTTTTCTTCTATTCGGATGACTCGCGTCTTCATGGACATCACCGCTGATGGCGCGCCGCTCGGAAAACTTGTTTTCCAGGTAATAACCCAAATAATTCTTCACATTTTTGTGTTTAATTCTGTCTAATCCTATAAAAAAAGTTTGCAGCTAAACACTGAAAAATGCCCAAAGACGTGCGAAAACTTCCGGAAACTTTGCACCGGTGAGCTGGGATTCGGCTACAAAAATTGCGTTTTCTATCGCGTTATCCCAACTTTTTGCGCTTGTGTGAGACCCTTTTTCGTTAGTTTTATGGAAATTTCAACTCGAATTTTGCAGTCTGGCGATTTTGAAACGCAAAACGCGAAAAGAGACGGCGGGAGGTCGATTTTCGGCGAAAAATATTTCGAGGACGAGAATTTCGATGTTCCGCACGACAAAAAGTGAGTAGAATTCTCACTTTTCACATTGAATGGAACATTTTCAGGGGAATTTTGGGAATGGACAACTACGGCTGGGAGAATACGAATTCGTCGCGTTTTTATGTCACTTTCCGCGAGACGCCCTGGATGAACCGCTTCCACGTGGCGTTCGGCGAGCTCGTCGAGGGATTCGACGTGCTCGACGCCATCGAAAAGTTCGGAGTTCTCGAGGGCGACGGGCCGCAGCAGGGAAGAACGACGGCGAAGATCGTGATCGCCAACTGCGGAATGCACGATCCCATATAAAAGACATTTTACTGCGAAACTAACAAGAATAAAAGTGTGCAAGATAAAGAAAAAAGGTGGCGGGGGATTAGGGATTCGGATAAAAACAAGTCAATAATCGAACAGGTATCGTTTTAATATCAAAGAAAAGGAGAAAACATGAATACTGCTACCAGAAGTAAGTATCAATAGAAACGAAACGAAATTATTTCTATCACAAGAGGATGTGTGTATGTGTGTGTGTGCGTGTGGCCAATTAAACGAGAATGATCAAACGACGACGAAGAAGAGGAACAACAATAGCTAGACGGAGTGAAACAGGCTAAGTTTTTTGCTTTTTAAATCATCGATTTTCCGTTGCTGCCCGGGCGGAAGAGATGTTCGGCGCGGCGGTACATGACTATGTACGATTGGGTCACGTCTCGCTGATCCACGTGTTGAGAGACCTGAAACCGAATAGGGGTTTTTATTATTTTTTTTTATGGTTTTTGATAGAAAAAAGTGCGTTCTAGACACTTTACATAATCCGCTCACTCACTGAAGAATCATTCAGTGTCACAAATCGCTCCTCGTTCCTTCGCGAGCGCGCCACACACCAATAATGACCGTAATCCAGGGTGTGACCGTTGTGAATGATCGCTCCGCACAATTTATAGACGGTCGAGGCGCCGGCGGTCGCCATGCTCGATACGTCGAGACTCTCGTTTAGCTGGACCGGCCGCGAGATCTTCTTTCCCCAACCGTCGAACGAGAAACGCGATATGTGGAGGAGCAAAATTTGCGGGGCACGGAGCAACGTCGGCTTCACCGGAGCATCCGACTTCTTCTTACAGCTGCAAGAAAACAGATGATCATTTTTGAAAAAAAAACGATGTTTTTTTCGGTTACTTTGAGCAATTGTAGCCATAGATGGTGGATGGAGAGAAGACTTGCTGCATGAGCTCCTTTATGAAATGGCTTCGACCGGAGGGGTCTTTTTTGAGCATCCGCACGGTCATCACTGTGTTTTTCTCGTAGTAGATGTGCTTGTTCTTGCAAACTCGGCATTGAACTGAAAGTTTCATGGTTTAGGTTATGGGGTAGTTGAAAAGTAGTTTACCTTCATTTCTGATTGTATATCCGAACAGGTCGTCAGCCACTTTTCGGTCTTTGAATCTCGGATTCATCGCTGCAATTTTGTCGAGTTTGCCGAGAATGGCAAGAAGGGCGTCGTGAGCGTCCTCTTGCCGCCCCTGATTGAATTTTTTGTCTTTTCTGAACGCCTCTCGGAACCAATTGATTATTCCGGCGTGTTGATTGGTTTGCAAGAAGAATCGTTTCCAGTTGCAGCACAGACACGCTGAATTCATGTTGTTTTTAGTCTTCCACACCAAAATACTCACTCTGGTCTGAGCAGCGATGATCCTGGATTATCCGAACGATAGCCGGAACGTGCGAGAGCAATTGTACGCATGAAATTGCGTAGCAGTAGATCGACGGATTTTGGATGCCTTTTTCAGGATAATTCTGAAAAAAAAGAATGAAACATGCAGCAAATTCAGACGAACCTCTTTCAGCTCGGCCCAATTCCATGCGTATAGATGGCTGACAGCTTCGTGATTGTCCAGAATCTCGTTCCCGCGATCGGAAAGAGTTCGCGGTCGATTTGCGCGTTTTTCTGGTTTTTCTGCAAGAATTCGGTTTTTTGTTGGGAAAACTATCAAAAAATCAATACTTACCTGGTATTTCGACTGCTTTTCCGTTAGTTTCACTCTCGGAATCCATTGACTTTTGTACCGGCGTTCTTGGACGACTGTACGACGACGAAGGCGTGGTGAAGAGCCATTTGTTCGTTTTGAAAGCTCCCCATTCCTCGTTGTTTACGGTCATTCTGCAAAAATGGATAAATATTCCAGGCAATTTAAGAAATATTGATTTTCAAGCAAGAAATCAATAAATTAACACAGAAAATCCACCAGTATTGGCAAATTGACCGCGGATTCAAATGGCCGAAAAAATTAAGTTAAAGGCGCACACTGTTTACGGACCGCGATATCTCGCCACGAAAGGAACCATAAGCTCAAATCCTAAACCGGAAAATAGTTTTTTATCCGGTTTTTTCGAATTTTTCGAGTTTTCTGGCACGCGAAGAGAGAGGTTTTGGCCGTCTTCGCCGTCCAGCGGTGTTTGACGTCGATCCGCTATGCCGTTTTTCTCTCGTCCCTCTCTCTTTTTAGTGTTTGCGTAGTCTCGCCGCGAGAACGAAAATTTTGACCGAATTTCGAATTTTTTCGAATGTCCCCGTTTTCTCCTTTAAGTCGGTATCGCTTTCGCTTTTTTTTATTGTCATTTTGTATTTCTGACTTCATATTTTAGTTTTTTGCAGGTAATCATGACGGACGTCGAAAAGCAGACGGAAATCCGCGAAAAGAAAGCACGCAACTTGATGCGTGAGCTCAAGATCCAGAAGCTCTGCCTCAACATCTGCGTCGGAGAATCCGGAGATCGTCTCACCCGTGCCGCGAAGGTTAGTTTCGATTCGCATAAAGTTAAACAAGTAAGATTCTTTTTCAGGTGCTCGAACAGCTCACCGGACAGACTCCAGTGTTCTCGAAGGCCCGCTACACCGTCAGAACGTTCGGAATCCGCAGAAACGAGAAGATCGCCGTCCACTGCACTGTCCGTGGCCCGAAGGCCGAAGAGATCCTCGAGAAGGGACTCAAGGTCAAGGAATACGAGCTGTACAAGGAGAACTTCTCCGACACGGGTAACTTCGGATTTGGAGTTCAGGTGAGCTAAAAATTATCACTAAAATGAATCAAGCGATTATCGGTGATATTTTCAGGAGCATATCGATCTCGGAATCAAGTACGATCCATCCATCGGAATTTACGGAATGGACTTCTACGTTGTTCTCGACCGCAGCGGAGGAAGAGTCTCCAAGCGTAGACGCGTGCCAGGACGTATCGGAGTGTCCCACCGTGTTGGACGTGAGGAGTCTATCAAGTGGTTCCAGCAGAAGTACGATGGAATCATCTTGCCACCAAAGCCAAAGGCCAAGAAGAACGTGTATCGCCGCCGCTAAGTTCTTGTTATTTACTGAATAAACCGTTGTTATCAATCACGGGCTACTTTTCGGTTCACCAATCTAGAGACGTTAATTGAAATGTTAATAGGTCTAAAAATTTTTGAGGAGTAGAGGAAAAATAAACGTTTCATTAGAAGTGGGAATTCTTCTGATGGGATATGAAAAAAAATCCACAGAATGAGAAAGCCCATCGAGTTGTTGCGCTTCTGGAAAAAACATAATTTTATCGGCTCATGAGAATCCACGTACAGCATCTCTTCCGTACTTTCGTTGTTTCTTTGCAAGACGTGAAACTTGCCCAAATTAATTCTCACGTCATATATGTTCCATTCGTTTCCGATAACGAGTCCAGCTTTGTAACCTGCCCCGAATGTCAGTAGTACATCTTGATAAAACTGCTACAAAAGGGGTTCTGCGTCGGGGAAGATCCTTCATAACTTGCTCAAAGTTAGCCACCGAACCGAAGCGACAACGATGTCTCTGACTGCCGATCCACCAGCCTGCACCGTGCCAGCCGCCGGCGGAGCCTCCACGCACAAGCTCGTCAACGCGGGCACCGACAAGCTCATCTTCAAGATCAAGTCGTCGAACAACAACGAGTACCGCATCACGCCCGTGTTCGGCTTCGTTGACCCGTCCGGCTCGAAGGACATTAGCATCACGCGCACCGCCGGACCGCCGAAGGAGGACAAGCTCGTGATCCACTTCGCCCCGGCCCCGGCCGACGCGACCGACGCTCAGGCCGCGTTCGCCGCCATCACTCCAGCCGGAACCGTCACCATTCCGCTGTCGGCCACCGCCTAAAGTGAACGTTGCTTCCGATTATGATCGTTTGAATGATAAAAATGATGAAGATTTATGTGGTGCTTCCGATATATACAGAAAGATGGCAAGATGCCTTTTACATGGCGAATGCGTGGCAGTTGTGTGCGTGCTTGAAGGCTCCACAGTAGGCGGTGTCCGATCGAACGGTGAACACGAACGGGCGCTCCGAGCAGACGACGACGAAACGTTGGAGCTGTCTGCGTTCGAGCACACTGTTGATGGCTTTGGAGGAGTCTGTCGGCGAGGAATGCATGTTCTGAATGAAGGCATCGATCAGAGAAGATCCGGGTACGTACCTCCAGAAGGATCTTTTTCAGTTCGGGCGTGTTACACATCACGTCATCGTCGGCGGCTGCGATTCCGGAGAAACTCGGTCTCTCGGCGACGTTTCTATTCGATGATATATTATTTTTAGCAAGATGACTTCGAGCTCACCTCTTCTTCCTACCTCCACATCCACAAGACGGTGTCGGCGGTGGCGCACCGCATCCTCCGCCGCCTCCGAACATTCCGAACAGTCCGGGGCAGGCGGCGGCGACGGAGACAAGAGCCAGAAGGACGAGGATGGAGGAGTGCATTGTTTGAGAATATGCCGATGATGTACACCGCGCGGATCCAGCTTTTATAGCCGCAAATTTACATTTAAAATTACACCTGATGTCTTAGAAATTTTGATGAGTGTACATGACTTTTTCAGAGATGGAGTGTAGAGTGAAACTGGAAGGTGGCTTGGCATTTCTGCAGTTTTGCGCAGAATGATTGTCGGCCGTTTTTTTTTTTAATTTTTTAGCTGGCCTAGCGCGCAGTTCCTCTTCCATCCTTGCGTGACTCCGTTGTTCAGACGTAAATGGACGTCATGTTGAAATGCTCTTTTTCCTGCTTGACAACTGGAATCATTATGGGCTTTTCAGAGAATTGTGTGTTTCCATGACAACTCACCAATTACTCTCTAATTCCATGTTTTCGCCCCGCTCTTTCATTCTCTTCCACCTCGCGCACAACTTGCCAAATGCTCGAGATCTCGTTCTCCACTCCCCAATGGCTTCTCGACTTTTACCACGTCATCACCGTTCTCTCGGCCATCACAAACTCGCTGGCAATCTATTTGATTGTGTTCAAAAGCGGACACATTGACAGCTTCAAACACTTTCTCTTGTGGTTCACGGTATCGATCTCCACAGTCTTTGAGCGCTAGAAGTAGGACCATTTAGTTCAGATTTGCTGTCTGTTGTCCGACTTTTTCATGTTCTTCCTGATGCAGCCGATTCCGTTGCTTCCCATCTGGGGCGGGTACATCAATGGCCCGTTTTGGACGGTTTTCCGGGTGTCCTGTCATAGAGCATCGGTGATTCACCTTCTACAATTGAAGTCTTAAATGCGCTTCCAGATGATCAGTGGTTTTATGATCGGCCAACAGTTTGCCGCGTTGACACTATGTTTTGTACGCAAATGGCAGGCCATTTCGAAAATAGACTCAACATCTCAAGTCTCTAATGCCAAAGTTGTGGCGGTGATCGTTCTGACGCAGTTTTTGATTGTCATCTGGTTGATGCTTTACTGCCTCACAGGAATTGATCGGGCGGATGCTTTGGAAATGATCAAAGCTGTAAGAGTCCAGATCACATCTTAAATGTCTCAAATTAGTTCAGAACTATCCAACTCTTCTGGAACGATTTCTGGAGCTCGACGACTTTCAACTGTACACCGCCAACCCGATCACCATTTGTTTTCTCGTTTTCGCTGCCGCGTCAGCCGCCGTTTTCATCACGATCATCGCGGTTTCCACACTTCAAATGCTGAAATTACTCCGGAATCTGGAAATGCACGTCTCGTCGGCGCACGTAAAAAGACACCGATCGGCAGTGAGCAGCCTCGTGGCTCAGGTTTCCGATATGAGCGATAGAGAGTGTAAAGTTGCATTTGTTTCAGTTTCTGACCTCCTCGGTGGCCGTGGTCCCGCCGGTTGCGTGCGGTGTTTTGTTGCGTTTCGAGTTCGATCATATTCAAGGTTTTTTGCTAACATGAGAGAACGCTTTGAAATTTAAAATTTCCCTTCCAGTCACTTGTTGGCTTCTTCTCGCCGTCAGCTCTTGTCACGGCGTTCTCAACAGTCTTGTCATGATTCTAACCTATCCGCCCTATCGGAAAAGTGTCCGGCAATCGTGTGCTGGGTGCAAAAACGTTTTATGGCCGTGGGCCTCGAACTCGCGACAATGAGTTTACAAACTGAGCAGAAATGCAAAACAAAGGCTCTGCGCCACACAGGCTGTTGTCGGAGGCTGGTGCCAGGGAAGTGAAGTTACCCGTCGCCCGCAAGTTGTGTGAAATTTGATTAACCAGTGTTTGACCGAAATAAAAAGAAAAGATACGGAATGAAAAGTACATTTCGCCTCGTTTTCTGCGTCTCGTTCCTACTATCTATCGTTTGGTTGTTCGATTCGGTCAACATTCGTACACACACACAGACCCTCCATCGATCATTTCGCCACGAACAACGAAAATGACCGAAACGGAGACTATTGTGAATCCGCCGCAAGCGGTTTTCGATCAAATTGTCAAGTTGGTAAGCTTCGGAATCATTGTTTTTTGAGCGCAATCGAAATATTATTGTTTTCTTTGAAGACTGGCGAAACGGAAGATTGGGGATTTCAGCCGAACGACTACAACTTTTGGTCGCAAAACTTTGACAAGTTCTGGCTGGTTACTGTCGTCGAGAAAGGTTGAAATTCGTCTACTTTCGAGGTGAAATGTCTCAAGTTCAGGAAGCCAGAACCTGGTGGCCTCGGTGTCTCTGGCTCGTTGGGATGGTGCGGACGGACCGCTCTTCTCCGTCGGACTCTTCTATTGTGCCGTCAAGTACAGAGGCAGCGGCTATGGCAAACCGATTTTCAAGCAAGTTATGGATATTGTCGGACAGCACAATGCTACCCTAACTGGCGGTTTGTCGTTTCATTTTGATCGTGCTTGTTTTCAATTGGAACTATCGATTTCAGTTGTGAACATGTCGGACAAGTATGCGAAGGATTTCGGCTTCGACAAGATGCCCTCGTTCTGGCACCTCTTCAGCAGCATCAAAATGGACGATATCGTGATTCCGGAGCAGTTTTCCGAAAAGTTTGTGAGCAAAGTGTGGACTGACGTGGATTACGAGGCTCTGACCGCTTACGATCGAACAATTTGTACCCGAGATCGGAAGAAACTCATGACTTCCTGGTTCGAATTGAAGGACACCTTTACGAGAGTGAGTTTCTCTGATTGTGGTTCTGCCGGAACGCTTTCCTTTCAGGTAGTTCTAGACGTAACCGGCCACCACATCGTCGGCTACGGTACCATTAGAATCGTGTCGAAGAAGCGGCTGAGTGCGGCGCCGGTCTACGCCGATTCTCTGGAAGCCGCCGAGGTTCTGCTGGCCGATCTGCTCAAAAACATTGAGAACTGGCGACAGTACGCGAGCATCGGGTTCCTGTACCCCGAAGTGAACGGGGACGCGCTCAGACTCGTCGCAAAATTCGCAAAGAGCAAGGAGCTGGTGTCGACGGGTCGATTCATCAGAAGTCAGTTCACGAAGACGTTCATCGCTTCGCCCGACGAGAAAGTCTATTCAATGTCCGATTGTGCTCATCAGTTTGTTTAGGCTTTAATCGAGTTAATCAAATAAGTATGTACATCTGAATTTCTAAATTACTTTATCAGAATTAGCATTTTTAACTAGAGGAGCGCACGATCTCCAGAGCTGACAATGAGGGCAAGTTCGCCCCGCCCAACAGAGCGATACATTAGCGCGAAATTCAAATTTCAACAGCAAAATTTGTGTTTTTTTGCCAGATTAGATACGAAAAACCGATAATTTCTCATTTGTCTTTGGATAGACCGATTGTATAGGCGATTACGAATTTCTTAAGCGCAAGAGCGTTAAATTCGGTCAAGTCGTAAATCACATTTATCCGTTTGAAGGCTTTTGGCTAAAACTGCGTGAATTTCAGTTGTTTTTCGGTGGTTTTCGCGGTTCGAGCGCTCAAAATGCTTGTATTTACGTGATTTATCATTCTCAAAACCAATTCTGTCTGAAAACGGTCAAGAAAGCGCAAAATGAGAAGTGCGGTTTTTAGGCGGCGAAGGGGAAAAAGCAAAGTCCGCGAAAAATGCGCCAAAACGTCATTAATTCTGGGAATTAGTGTGTTTTCATGTCGAACAATCATTTTTCATCGCCTTTCACCACAAAAATCAGAGAAAACTTGCTCAATTCATGAAAACGCCATTTGGCCGCCGAGGCCACGCCCATACAAGCAAGCATCGGAGGCGATGAAAAGTACAAGAAATGAAAAAAAGGCGAAAGAGAAGGACGAGTTCATTGGCATTTCGATGAAACTGTTTCTTTTGTACACCGGAGAAGCCATGAAAGATCTCTCACTCGGATTAGTTGTAAAATGACACTTTTTTGCTTTTCGCTTCACTGTTTCATTTTAATATAACCGTAATAAAGTTGGAAAAAGTATTCATTTGCCAGAGATCCATGAGCGGCTGTGGTTCGTTGAAGCCGCTTTTTTGATGATGAGATGGTATTATAGGGGCACCGCACAGAAATGGCGCTCTATTGAGAAACTCTTTTTGCAGTGCAAATTGAGCGACCTCGGGGCCGAGTTTGAAAAGTTAGGCCACATTTTCAGTGGAAAATTACTTCGCGGCCTAGAAATTCGGCCAGATTGCGAACAGCGCGCCCTTTCTGTCCGGTGCCCCTATAATAGGCGAGAACGGCGTCGACAGTCGATCCGAATAGTTTGCAGACGGCGCTGTAGGGACCGACGTGCTGAAACTTTTTTATCCTCTTGTAATCTATAACTATAATTCTGTACGTACCTCGAAAGAGAACAACTTGGAATCCGGGAATATGTTGGCTAGGAATGAGGGCATGAAGTTGAAAAGGAGTACAATGGAGACGTCGATGACAGCCAGATAGTTCATCTGAATTTGTTTAGGCGGTTCTATACGGATCAGTGGTCCCAGACGGACAAACCCTATAACTCTTGCGAATCACCTTCGTGCCGCCCCAATATTTCGAATAGAGCAGCCGTGCGCAGAGTCCGACGGAGAACACAAATGTGATTGATGAGGTCACATTTTTGTAATATATCCAGTAATTGTGAAAGCACGCGCTGAACGCACATCCCAAAGCGAGGCAGCCAGGCGGAGCGATGAAAGAGGAGAAGTCGCAAAGCACAAAGAGCACGACGTCTTCAAAAAAACCAAAGGACACAGAAGTTGCGAGAACTGCCGTCAGCACCAGATCCCGTCGGAGTTTATGGTAGAACATTGGAAAGTAGACGGCCTGGAAGTGGGATTTCAGGGCTGCATGGCAAAACAGACGTCAACTGGTCACCGTAAGACCACGAACAGATTTTGAAGCCTACCAGACAGCGTTCGACGTTGATGAACAGAACGATGAGAGCTCTGGCGGCAGCGGCGTTCGAGCTCGGCAGTCCAATGAGACCCACGTAATCTCGGATGATGGCCAGTGAGGAGGGGAAGATCAGGTAGGAAACGGTGAGGCTCAGGTAGATTCCCACTAAAAATATGATATCAGTTATTTGTATTCTTGAAAAATGTGTTACATGCGGAGCCCATCAACGCGTCAAGAACGAATCGGTAGAAGAAGAGCGTCATGTCAGTGTTCGCCTTGTTTCGGGACCTTCTGAAAACAGAGAATCTGCACAAAGCGCAAGTCCGTTGATGCTTATTTACATGTTTCGATAAACGAGTAGAATATTGATGGCAGTTGTGAATAGTGAGAAAATGAGACCGATGCCGGAGACGACGTACACTGTGGCTTTCATAGTAACGGAAACGTTTCGCTCTGCCTTGTATATATATTATAACTCTTTCAATTGTTGATCCGATGGTTGAAATTCATGGAGAGCTAAAGGGGAAAACAATGAAAAGCAAGGGGAATGTCAGAAATGTTCACTAGTCTCCACCTTTGCTCGCCTGCAGTTAATGGATATCTAATTGGTTGTTTTGTATTGCCATAAGGTTTTCTAGAGACACCAGGTCAGAGTCAATGACAGAACCGGTCGTTTTGAGGACCCGATTTCACAGTGACTTTCATTTTGATATGACCGTAATATCGAAAAGTTAGAAACAATTATTCATTTGGCAGTTCTCCATGTATGGCTGTGATCCGTTGAAGCTGCATTTTTTATGATGAGATGGTAAGCGAGAACGGCGTCGACAGTCGATCCGAATAGTTTGCAGACGGCGCTGTAGGGACCGACGTGCTGAAACTTTTCGTCCTCATGTATACCTATAAGTCTGTACGTACCTCGAAAGAGAACAATTTGGAATCAGGGAATATGTTGGCGAGGAATGAGGGCGTAAAGTCGAAGATGAGTACAGTGGAGGCGTCGATGACGGCCAGGTAGTTGATCTGAAATGTCTTTTAAAAGGCTCCGACTCGGATCACACGAACAAACCCTGGAGATATTGTGCATCACGTTCGTGCTGCCCCAATATTTCCAATAGAGCAGCCGTGCGCAGAGTCCGACGGAGAACACAAACGTGATTAAGAATATCACATTCTTGCTATAGATCCAGAATTGGTGAAAGCACGCGCTGAACGCACATCCCAAAGCGAGGCATTCGGGCGGAGCGATGAAAGAGGGGAAGTCGCAGAGCACAAAGAGCACGACGTCTTCGAAAAGGCCGAACGACAGAGAAGTTGCGAGAACTGCAGTCCGCACCAGATCTCGTCGGAGTTTGTGGTAGAACATTGGAAAGTAGACGGCCTGGAAGTGGACCATATTCCGATAGGAACCAAACTTTGCAGGCTTCTTCGATTTGGATTAAAGTATGTGGCTACCAAATTTCAGGCCGATCGGATTATCTGACCTAGAGGTACAGTGATGGTTTTTGAGAAATATCGTAAACTTTGATGTCCTTCGCACAGTACAAATGCAACATTTTTGCGCAATCATACAGCAACGAGCGAGACAAATCCAGATCTAAGAAGTGTGCAGAGTTTTGGGTCCAACTGGAACATTGCAAATAGTCCAAAAGTCCAAGCCGTGGAGAATCGCAAAACAAACGTCGGTTTTCCTAACGCAAAAGACGCCTAAAACCCGAGAACCCACCAGACAGCGTTCCACGTTGATGAACAGAACGATGAGAGCTCTGGCGGCGGCGGCGTTCGAGCCCGGCAGTCCAAGGAGACCCACGTAATCTCGGATGATGGCCAGTGAGGAGGGGAAGATCAGGTAGGAAACGGTGAGGCTCAGGTAGATTCCTACTGAAATCAAACTGTTTTTGGGTTTGAAATTGTTGGCCATACACGTGGAGCCCATCAACACGTCAAGAATGAATCGGTAGAAGAAGAGCGTCATGTCGGAATTTGCCTTTTTTCGGTTTCTTCTGAAAGCAGAGATTGTGCACAGAATGCATTGTCCGATAATACTTACATGTTTCGATAAACGAGTAGAATATTGATGGCAGTTGTGAATAGTGATGAAATTAGACCGATGACGGAGACGACGTACACTGTGACGTTCATAATAATAATAATGAAGGTTGTTAAACCTTCTGCTCTGACTCAGATATTATACGATTCAGTTCATTGGCTCGAGTGCTAACTTGCAAGTGTCTTTCAATCTTTGACCAGATTATTACATTTCATTGGAAGCCACGGCCCGGCGTTTCATACATAGGACTTTCGGTTTTTTCAATATATCTCCAGAAATCGAACATAGGGACCTCTGAATTTTTGATAAGAGTTCAATTTTGCTGGGTTCTTCAAAATGAGCCAGGTCAGACGTAAATGTAAGGTTTCTGAGAGAAGTTCCAGCTTCACAATTTCCACTCCTCCGTATGTTTTGCCGGCCCGTGGGAAGCTAAACGAAAAACACAATGAAAAACAAGGGTAACGTCAGAAATGTTCACCTTTGTTCGCCAGCAGCTAATAGATACAAAATGGCTTATTTTGTATTGCCGTGAGGTTTTCTAGAGACACCAGGCTAGATTCAATGACGAAACCAGCGGGTTTGGTGCAGAATGTTCGAAAGTGGCGAGTGGGATTGCGGAGAGCATGACTGTCGGCAGGGATTGTTAAGGGTGACGATGAGGATACCGCCGAAGAGGGCGAGCGGTTGTCCAAGTTTGGCAAATGGTGGTGCGAGTACATGCGACTGCACACAATCCAATAATAACTCCGCATGGATGTGTCACCATTGGATTGCAGCGGCGGGATATATATAAGTATGTGAGGCAAATCTGATGTTTTTCAGCAGTTCCGAGCATGTATAATTCGATAAGAAGTACTGGAAAACGAGAAATGACAAGTGCAATGTACTCTACTGATTCAGACCGTCGAATAGGCCGTCGAAGCTTTCATGGGCGACTTGAATTTTGGTCTGCGAAAAATCTGCCAAATTGACAAGAAATCCGAGAAAGAATGCCTGGCTACAAAAGACATTGTCAAAAAATGCATAACGAAAGTCGCCCAATCCGCGTTCCCGGAAGATGCTGCAGAGTCAACGAGGATAATGACGTGCTCGCACGTTTTGTTCATGTGCCCTGATGTGTAAGTGTATTTTGATCATGGAATTGAAGCAGTTACACAGCTAAGGTGATAATTAGCAGTGTAGTCTTTTTTTTTCTCGAAATCTGACAAGCAACGATTGCTTCAGGACACCCAAGGGAAGAGAGTTACCAGAAAAAGTGTGGAGTTGCACTTCATGCACGGCGTTCCTCGATCGAATATTTGAAGTAAGTGGCACCAAAAATGTTCTTCAAAGACTAATGTAAGAAGACAATGAGTAATAGTATTTTCCACAACTCCCGAGTAAACAAACAGTTATTGCCAACAATAAATAACTTATTGCTGTGCTTGTGTAAACTTTAAGTTTTAGTTTTAATTTTCGCGTATTTTCAGTTTATGAAGGATTCCATCACTGAATTCAACCAGCTTCTTCCGTCAGTTTTCTGTAAATCGGATGATAAAGATTGCATCGCCCAGTTTGAGACGGCACTCAATATCACTGGGGCGCTCGGTCAATTCTTGGAGGAAAAGGTATTTTTCACCCTTATTTATTTATGATTTGAATGTTGTGGTTTAATTGGCACCAAAAACAAACTTTAACAAAGTATGTAAATTGAAAATTAACCAGCAAGACAACAATTAACTATGAACACTTGCTGAGAGATGCATCCAGTGTTTGCCGTGTGACCAACCATGAATTGCGAAGATGACAAACGACGCCGGACAGAATGGTAGCCGCGCTCCAAGTCCTTTTTTCGTGTGTCGTTCTATGTATTGATAAAGTGTTCAATCAGAAATGCAAAATTTTTATCAATACAATGCAATTGGACAGCATATGAGAAACATTGAATCATTGCTATAATTTCCTAAGAGACAGGTTAAAAATAGTCAATATGATTCAAATGAACTCTGATCATCATCCATAAATCGGAGTTATTAAAAATTTATATTCATAATATTCTTTAATCGACTACATCCAAACATTCTTCTCCTCTAGCAAACATCTGCCTGATTGCGCTATGTGCTTTGCGCTTAATTGCGACAAACTCGTCAATAAGGCGATCAACAATTTTCCTATCCGTTAATCCTGGATTTTGCTGGAGAATATCTCCAAATTTAAGCCTAAACATCGTGCGTATTACCGGAAACCTCTTGTCCAAATAGGCGATGGCAGAAATCATATTGTGTTCGAGCAAGTAAGTGCTATTGAGACTTCTTTCCAACGAGCGCGGCTCTCTCAGGTCGTAGTAGGCTTCGATCGTCGGTGTGGCCGACAGCTCGTCTTCACTCGGTTTCGTATCGTTAAAGTATTGCCACGGTCGCGGCGGCGCAAAAGCGAGTGCTGCACGCATCTCTGCGAGACCTATTGTAGCCACGCTTTCTCTTACTAAATACGCGCCAAACGATGATCGCGCGACGCCGTGCCGCACAATGTTGCCCGCTAGTTGTTCATAGTTTTGAAAGGTTAGACAGGTAGCGGCTATCTTGGCCAGTTCGACATCGAAGAATGATGATGTGTTTGCAGAAGAGAGGCTATGGCCTTCTTGAGCAGCGGCTGTTGATGTAAAGATGGAAGGGGCGATGCTTCCTAAAAGTATGTATTTATGTACATACACAACTGTCGAACCATCTATTCTAATTATTAAGGCGGTCATACCTGCATGTACTTTAGCCCCAAGACAGAGAGAGATGATGAGTGTCTTCAGCATAGATAGAAATATGTAGCGTATCTTAAAGTATTTACGTAAGACAAATACGTTTAAGTCAACCGCCACATTGAAATAGAAGAAGGAAGAGAAAAGGCACTATTCGATCGACCTATTTATTTCTCGCTCACAACCCAACCCATTTCTAGACGGAAAGTGAAAGTCTTCTCTTGACACTTCATTCACGCCTGGATAGAGACAATTAGACTACTTCAATTGAACATTATCCTCTTTCAAAATGATTCATTTGTTGGTTTTAATCGTTCATGATAAATATGAGATTAAAAATGATACTCAACAAAATTTAAATTAAAGATAACACAACTTTTTGAAAGTCACCAGTTTCAAGCATTTTCAAAACTAGAAGACAGAAATAACCACAACTATGTGTACCAAATTCTTGTATTTGAAATGTGGAGCATTCAATTACTTCTTTTTCTTTACCTTTATTTTTTAGATAATTGATAACTTCATGAGGTGGATCTAAACCAAAAGAATCGAAGTAATAACTTTTTTCTTTCATCTTTTTATAGCAAACCCAATGAGTACCCTTATTATTCGAAGAATCAAGATTTACAATTCCGACTTCCTGGGAATGGATCTTATCTGGAAGGTTGTCTCTCATAAAAACACCGCGGAAATGTTTTATTTTCAACTCCTTCACGAGCTCTTCGAGGTCAAGATTGGTTAATGGCTTCATATCTGTTCGGAGATTAATATTCTTCATTTATAACACCAAAAATATTCGAAAAATGTTGAAAAATTAAAAATAGTCTGAAGGCATTTTGACCTAAAAATGACATTTTTCGAAAATGACGCATTTTCTGGTAATTAAGACACAAAATGGAGTTGTAAATGTTCAAAAATGATCGAAAACTGAAGAAAATCAAGTTGGGCAATGTTTGGGCAAAAAAGGTGTCCTAGCGTCAACACTTTCTATACTACTTACTAGTGTGTCGTCTCGTCGAGACTCGTCTCGCAAAAATGCGAGAAATCTCGGTGTCTCGCCCTTGTTTCGTCTCGGTTTTTTCTCGTCTCGGTCTCGTCTCGTTCCATTATCATCTCGGTCTCGCCCTTTCTCGGTTCTGTCTCGGTCTCGCCCTTTCTCGTCTCGCCCTTTCTCGGTCGTCTCGCCGTCTCGCCCTGTCTCGTCTCGCCGTGTCTCGGTTCTGTCTCGGTCTCGCCCTTTCTCGTCTCGCCCTTTCTCGGTCGTCTCGCCGTCTCGCCCTGTCTCGTCTCGCCGTGTCTCGGTTCTGTCTCGGTCTCGCCCTTTCTCGTCTCGCCGTGTCTCGGTCGTCTCGCCGTCTCGCCCTGTCTCGTCTCGCCGTGTCTCGGTCGTCTCGCCGTCTCGCCTTTTCTCGTCTCGCCCTTTCTCGTCTCGCCGTGTCTCGGTCGTCTCGCCGTCTCGCCTTTTCTCGTCTCGCCCTTTCTCGTCTCGCCGTGTCTCGGTCGTCTCGCCGTCTCGCCTTTTCTCGTCTCGCTTTTTCTCGCCAATCCAAATGTCTCGGTCTTTTCTCGGTGTCTCGGTGTCTCGTCCGATTAGAAATTTCATTTCATTTTTGAAAGAGTACTTCTATTTCTTCGCAGAAAATACACGTATCCAGTGCATTCGACCTCAATTTCTGTCATTTGTTGCAATTTTTGACATATTTTCTGATACACGGCGACCAAAAACGTAGAAAGGGGCGTGGCCTAGCGTGCACGGTTTATCACCATTTTGGCGCGAAATTCGAAATTTAACCCCATTTTTCATGTTTCTCGTCAACAATTACACACATTTAGTTCGATTTCGACGATGTAATTGCATAACTTTGTTAAACTTAACTTAAACTGCAATGTACTCTACTGATTCAGAGATCTGACTGGCTCGACGAGTGTCTTCACAAAGCGAAGAAGAACTAATGGAACAGAGGTCTCCATTTTTTACAATTACACACTTGATGTATCACAACGACATGCGCTGTGAATCCGTGTTGCCAAAGATGTTGGATTGGATTAAGGTGACTTTCATTTCTATCCACTTTGCTTTCTGTTTCAATATTTTCTCTATACGCAATAACTCTCCCGAGCTAAAGTTAGGGTTCGATCAAAAACTTTCATAGGTAAAAACTTTCATTCCTGTTGCTAACTAACCAAAGTTTAACTTAAGCTTAGTCTAGCTCTTGAGACCTTTGATTTTTGTCTACCCAGGGTCTTTTGAAGAAGACAGAGTGCGTTTTTAGGCAGATAAGACAAGATTCTCTTCTCGTCGCGTCAGCAGAATACCTCCCGTACTGATAATAGTGATCAAACTAAACACCCGTCCTTGATTTCGCATTACATTACAAACAATTCACCTAATGAATGATAACGCTTCCATTCTCCCTTCCACCTGCCAATTTGCTCTACTTCATTAAAAAAAAAAGAGTTGCAGAACTTTCGAGAACATGATCGAGTTGATCGACGAGAACTTTGTTCTCGTTCTCAATCCGCCTGACAAGGTTTTCAGTCGACTCCTCAACACCATCTCGATGACGGAAGGCTGGGCGTTTCAGGAGAATGACTACAATATCTGGGCGCACGATTATTCGAAACATTGGCTTTATACCGTACAGCATAGAGGTAACGACTTAACTCTTTTCAAAAAAGCAGAAATCTCTATGTTTGTTCGAATTCTGGAGATTACTAAACTAGTTGAACAAAATAATCCACAATATCAGTTTTACAGGCACCGGCGAGCACATCGCTTGCATTTCGCTGGCTAAAAGTGAGATGCGCGATGGTTCTCCCCTCTACACCGTCGCCTTTTTCTATTGTCTGACCGAGTATCGGAGTCAAGGCCTCGGAAAGGTTCTGTTCGACAAGATCGCCTCGATTTACGGCGACCATAACTGCTCGCTTTTCGGCGTTGGCACCATGTGGAAGTGGTACGAGAAGCGCTACGGTTTCACGCATCTTCAACCGTACTTCCACTGGTCCGCTTCCATTGCGTGCAAGGATTTGATCATTACAAACGAGGAAAGTAAGCTGAAGATTGAAGATGTGAACTTGAGAAAAGTTATGGAGTACGATGCGACTGTTTGTGAAATGGAACGAATCGTTTCGCTTAGAAGTTGGCTGACGGCTCCAGGAGTGCATGCGAAGGTGACAATTTTTTTCCGGTTTCACACAGAACACACAAAGCTCACGCTATTTCTAGATGGCGATCTCCTCAAACGGCGCGTGCATTGGGTACGGGGCAGTCCGTGAAGTGACCCTCAACCGGCTGGCCGTCTCGCCGCTCTACGCCGATTCTCCGACCGTCGCCGCTCGAATTCTCCGCTCCATTCTCACCTCGTTCGACTATTCGCCCTTCGACTCGATCATTCTGGTGTTCCCCGCGTCCGCGCCGATTTCCGCGTTCCTCAATCCGCTGTGCAACGGAAAGTTCGAGGCGCACGAGTTCAGCCGCAATCAGTTCACCCGAAAAGTGTTGGATGTCAACGAGTCGAAAATATTCGCTATTCGACATTGCGCACACGGATATGTGTGAACTTTGAGGTCTCGTGTTTTGAATTCAAATATAAAGTTTATCGAAAAAGTTCAATTTTGCGCTGACTAGTGAACAAAATGCTACGAAACTAATGGGGCAGCAGCACAAAGCATACATCCGTCGGGAGCACTCTTTCTTTCTTCTTCCGCGATGCTCAACCACTGGTCTGACACCGTTTCTCGCGTCTGGGACTCAATTCTGGCGCCGAGCAGTATCATCGGCAACGTCGCACTGCTCATTTTGATAAAGACGAACACTCCGGACTCGTTGACCACCTACTCGTGAGCGAAATCTTCGAAATCTGGGTAGGGGGCTGGACGGGCGATTGGCAAACGAATCCCCGACACCTTGGCCAAAAGTACAGCTCATTTACCTAGCTCTGTGTTGAGTTCTGATGAGAACAAGTTAAATGTGTAAAAATATCAGAGCATTCATCCTCATCATCACAATTGCGGATGGTGTCAGCGGAATGAGCTCTCTATTCGGATCGCAACGGCTGATTCCAAGTGGCGATGCAATCATCGTCATGTTCCACGGCACCTGTGAGCGGTTCTTCAATGAGCAATTGCCACGAGCCGAGTTCTGCATGTTTTGTGAGTTACTACGTACTATTTTTCTCCCAAAACGTTTCTCTCCGAGTACAACTTCTCATACTCAATCACATGATCCTCTGTGCTTCCTACATTTACCGACTGCTCATCATCACAAAACCATTCGACAGATTCAACAAAAGAGCTGTTCATACGCTAGTTTATACCAGAGTTGAGCGGAATAACTCAACGGAAGAACACGAAAGAATTCTTTATCTTTTTTAGAAAATTTTTTCATGAAATGTGATCAACTGACGAAATGTATAGCAAAGTGAACTCTGCTCATAGAAAAATAATTGTAAATTTAACTTTTTTGTATGAAAATTTAACTTTTTTGAATGAAAATTTAACTTTTTTGTATGAAAAGTTAAATTTACAATTATTTTTCTATGAGCAGAGTTCACTTTGCTATACATTTCGTCAGTTGATCACATTTCATGAAAAAATTTTCTAAAAAAGATAAAAATTCGTCCGTGTTCTTCCGTTGAGTTCTTCCGCTCAACTCTGGTTTATACCTATACCATCATACATTTCACTTACTTTGTAAGGTAATCTTCTTACGAAACATCATTTTCACTATTGTAGATGTGGGTTTTCGTAAAGTCGTTGCATCCGATGGAGGAAATCAACGAAGTGATCAATAATACTCGGCCCGAGTTGATTGGCTCCAACTGGACGTACTACGCAGTCATAGAGCTCTATTCCCCATCACAAATAGGTATTCTTAGTTGGAAGTAAAGTCTAATGCTTGAAGCTCACACTTTTTCAGTCTTCAACTTTCTATCGGTCTGGCTCACCTGGATCGTGCTCACGGTGGAAGATCAGCAGCCATCTGAATACGTTCATGTTTTCCAGCAACTCGAAACAACTTCACAAATCTGTAATCTATGTGAGCCCCGGACCCTCTTCAACTTGATCATTATTCCTTTGTTTCAGGTGCTCTATGCTCAGACATTAGGCCCAATTCTGAGCGCGTCGGCGGCTGTCTTCTATGCGACAGTCCGAGAGTACAACTCGTCCAACATTTATCTATTCGAAAATCTTATGGTGCTTCCCATCGTACTAATGAGTTTTGTGAATCCGATCGTCACTATTGTGTTCATAGTTCCATATCGTAATGCGTGTTTGAGATGGTGCACTGTGAAGTTGGCTCCGAGTGGGTCACAAGTCTCGTCTATTGTTTCTACGTAATTTATTCGCAAATAAAATGAAAAACATAACACCTTCTACATATTTACTGCCGGTCGATAGCGTTAATCCACACCTTGTCGGCGACGCGCTTCTCGAGGTACGTCTTCAGATTCTTTCGGTTCCAGATTCGCTCGCGGAACGCCTTCAGAACGGGAAACTTGTTGAGGATGGAGTCGTCGAGCGTGTTGTAGACGTCGAGCTCTTCGAAGAGAATGTAGTCGGCGTAACTGATCTTGTTGCCGATTACAAAGTCTCCGGGATGAACTTTGAAAAGAGCCTCCAACTTTTCAAGCGCCGCCGGCAGAGTGACATTGACGAATTGTTCACGGGTCTCCTAAACGTTGCATAGAACCGTTACCCTTTGGTTTAATTGAATAAAACCTTACAGTAGCGGCCACTGAAATATCCCCTTTTGGTTTTTCCGCTATAACTTTTTTTAGAGAAGAGCAACCGGGCCAAAATTTTTTATGCGTATTACAGGCATATATAATGTACTTTCTGCAAAGTGTCTTCACTGTGCTGCGAAAGAAATATTTTCTCTAAAATTTTTTTCAATTTTCACGATTTTGCTCGTATTTTCAATTTTTTTTTGGAAGCTACAACGCCAATATTTTCCAGAGTCTTCAATATTTTTTGATTTAGATAATGACAAAAACTAAAGGAAAAGTAGATTTGACCCCTAACCAGCAATTTGCAATTGCCAGGAGGCGCGAGCAGGGACGAACTCACAGGCAACTCGCTGAGCAGTTCAATGTCGATCGTTCCACAGTTGGAAAATTTTTGAAGCGCTGGAGAGCTCAAAATGAGCAGCCAGTGAAGAGAAGACACTCAAGGGTTCCCGTTACGAACCATCTAACTGATAGAAACATCGTACGCGCATCGTGAAGCAACCCTAGACTGAGTGCCGCCGAAATCCATCGATAAGAGCTAAGCTGGATCATTTTTCTGGCTCATTTTGCAACATTTTCACAGTTGACCTCAAGTTCCTAGCTCTTCTCTAAAAAAAGTTATAGCGGAAAAACCAAAAGGGGATATTTCAGTGGCCGCTACTGTACCTCATTATGGTAGATGTAGCGTATATACTTGATGCGAACATCCCTGACTCCTTCGAAGAACATGTCGATGAACGCCGCCTCGTCATCGTTGGCTCCGTTCAAATCTAAAAACAAGATATTTCCAAGTGAACGAAAAAGAGTCTTACCATAAACTTTTCCCAGATAACGCATGATGGTGCCGGTTTGCACCAACTCTTTTCCGTTGATTCTCAAGCAGGGAACTTGACCAAAGATCATGGTCTTTTTGAGTTTCGGCCACTCGACATCATCTTTCGGGACGCGATGATCCTCGAATTTGACGCCATTGTCGACGAAGAGAAGTCGGATGTACTCGGCGAATCCACGGATCGGAAAATAGTAGAGTTGCGGAAGAGCGGACATGATGATTGGAAGGATTGGAAGGATGCCGATTCTTGGTAGCCTATTTATACGGTCAATTTGTCATCACATCACAAATCGTACGTAGACACATTGATTAGATTGTTGACTTTTCAGAGGAGGGAGAAGAGAGTTAGAGATGGAAAGACACGTGTTTCGTTGACATTAAGAGTTACAGTGACCAAAGTCCGAAAATATGGTAGTGATAACATGTTAACTTGGACCCATTCTCGGCGAGCGAAAACGTTTCGAAAAAGCATCTGAACTTGGCGGTGACACTGAATGGGCAGCAGTGGTCGAGCATTTTGAATTGAATATAGTGAGTTGGTAAGTTGATTCTGGCCTTTTGTAATTGCAGGTGTCTCGTTTTGCGAGCATAAATGTTAGTTCCTCGCACTTTTCAACCGCAACAAGTCTCAAGTTGTTCGAGTAGTTCTGTGTAAACTCTGTTGCGTGCTGGGCGCCACAGAAATCCGACTAGTTAATACATTAAAATTGAAGAGTTTCAAGAAGGCAGCACGGTAGGGAACAACAAATCCGATGGTGACAATCGGATTGACAAGGACCATGAGAGACACTGGCGTCATCATTAGATTTTCGAAGAGGTAAATGTTGAAAGCGCCCCATCCGCGGACAATAATGTAGAAAACGGCGGTCATTGCGGTCAACGCGGGTCCGAGAGTTTGAGCGTAAAGTACCTGACGTTGCGATTGGTGTTGGCACCATGGAGAGCATGAAAATAACTCACATAAACGACCGACTTTTGCAGTTGTTTCATATTGGCTGAAAATTGAAACGACGAGAGATAGTGACTGATTCTCCAGCGACAAATTAATGCGACGAGGAGAACGATCCAGGGGAGGTAGATGGAGAGTATGTTCATGACTGAAAACATGTTGGTACCATATAAAAATTAAAGATTCAATACCTATTTGTGATGGCGAATTGAGGTCCAACACTGCGTAGTACGTCCAATTGGAGCCGATCAACTCTGGACGGTACGCGGCGACGGCTTCATTGATCTCTTCGAAAGGACGCAGAGCCTTGACTAACACCCACATCTGAAATTTATAGTATAGTTTTGCTGAACACATGTTCATGAGCTTACAAAATAGCAGAAATGGACCGCGCTGTACGTGTAGACGATAATGCTCACAACTTTTCGATCAAACTGATCAAACGGCTTTGTGATAACCAAAAGTCGGTAAATGTAAGAGGCGATGAGCACAAAGTGATTGAGAATTACGGCTTGGATTGATACAGCGTACCCTAGAAACGTTGATAAATACGCAGGTGATTCGGGCAAGATTACCTACAAAACATACAAAACTCTGCTCGTCGCAACAAGTCTTTGGAGTAAAGTTCGCAAGCGCCATGGAACATGACGAAGATAGTATCGTCTGTTGGCGAGAGTCTGAATAAAAAGGTGGGCGGTGCGGGCGGTAAATGCTCCACAAAGTATCCAAAAACCTGATTGATTTCCACAATACGCTCACTCCATTCACAAGATCGGCAACAGTGATGACGAGGATGAACGCGCTGAAAAACAAAATTGGGCACACGACTGGAATGGGCCACTTACGAATACGTCTGCAAAGATTTCGGAGTGTTTCGTTTCATAACCGATAGGAGTAGAAGATTGACAACAATACCGATAGGACTCGATGAGACATCCCATATTCTGACAGCTGTATCCGACCAGTGGTCGAGCATTTAGCAAAGAGGAATCAGTGCTCCTGGTCTCTGTTTTAAGGTGAGCGGTATAATTGGTAGTTCTGTTTTTTGCGTTGCGTTGGACTGACATTCCGGCTAAATACTGCTTTCCCTGAAACATTTCGAGCAAAGGTTACAGGTGCTGGGTACTTACTTGCTTGATTGGTTCGAGTGATGTGAAGTTTCACACGCTGCGGACACACGGGTAAATAATTGTGCGCCCAACATTCAGGCTTCTCGTAAAAACAGCATTTAGAGCTGTTATTCGGAATTCTGCTTTAATCATCAGGCAAAGATCAAAAGATCAGACAGACCTGTTGGCTATTGCTGAATAACCAGACAATTTGACATAAAAAGCAAAGTACACAACACGATATGCACGTGGTGACTAGTTTCCTACCAAAATGTCAAATCACAGAGTGATTAGCGTCTAGTCCCTCGGAGGAGCACTCTAATTAGTCTAAAAAGTGAGGCGCGCTGAGCACAATCCGTCACTCGCTCTCGCTGGCTCCGCCAATATGTCCTTCAACGTCTCCAGATCTATGGAGACAGTCTCCACCGATCAAACTTCTCTCATTCTCACCACAATTCAAGTGTCCTACGGGCTTCCGTCTCTATTTCTCCTGATCACGTGCTTCTTTTATTTCGGATGTTCCAATAAGATCTTCTCAAACTCTTTCTACAGACTTGTTCAGATTGATCTTGCGACTGTAAGTGTGTCTAAACTGGTATGGGGGCAACGTTATAGCGGCTATAGGATCTATAGGAGATATAGGAGCTAAATAGGGAATATCGATGCTATTGGAGCTATGGAATCTGAGGAAGCTACAAATGAGAGTTATATAGGAACAAAGCTCAGAATATATTGTGCTATTCGAACACGTGGATGTCGTTGCGACTCAAACCTTATCCACTCGGTGTCGTGATATTGAAACAGTTGGAATATACGCTTCCGGGCGTTCTGAGTGCATCCGGCTACTTTTCCTATTGGTTCATGCACATGCAATTCTGCTCGGCGGTGGCACTCAGTCTACACAGAATCTCATCGATATTGTGGCCTTCTCAATACGAACATGTAAACCTGAACCGTGTGAGGCTTCCCATCAACATCTCTGTTTCAGTTCTGGTGCCGCTGGTATCTGGTGTTCGGCGTGCTCTGCTTCCTCTACAGCTTCGCGCCGAGTCTTCTCACCACCGGCGTCACTTCTAAAGTGCACATTTTGAACGGGACACTCACAGAAGTCATCTACCCGGCCCGTTTTCCCTCGCTTTTGAATAACATCGCAGTCTTTTCGGTCATTTATTTCGTCCTAATTCTAGCTTCCGGTATGACGACTGCCGTTTTCGTACGGAAAAAGTTCAAAGGTCTCTTTTTTTGAAAGCGTTGAGAGTAGAGAAACGTGAGGGTTCAGATGTGAGAGTGTCAAATCGGGGAGTGGCGTGGAAGCTCACGAAGATCGCGCTGACCTACTGCTTCGTCTACACTGGCATTCTCAGCTGGAGCATCGCGACTGCTCTCAATGCAACCTATCACTTTCTTCCCGATTTTATTGTAGCGCACAACACCCAACTGCTATTGTTCTCTTCGGATTTGGTAAGTGTATGGAAGAGTAGCGCATTGCACTTTGCGACATTTTCAGATGACTTTATCGCTTCCTTACATTCTCATCATCTACGATACAAATGTGCGGAATATCGTTTGTAAACGTCGAAAGAATGCTTCTGTCATGATTTCTAGTAGTGTTGCAATTTCACGATAACAACTGTCTGGAACGAATAAAGAGTCTTGAGCATTTTCTAACATTCGATTATGTACGGGTGTGGTTTCCGGAAGTTTCTTAGGTTCAAGATGGTTAACAAATTCTGTGATAATGGTCGGTCCAAGGCGGCCACTTGATTCGATGAAGACACGTGGTTGTATGTTGCTTGATCTCGCCAATCGGACACGATCTAAAAGTTCGGAGAACAATGAATCAGCGGGTCGAATGATAACAAGAATGGAATGGCGAAGAGGGAGTGAGTGGAACGCCGCGATAAACACAAACAGTTGCTGTTATGTTTGGTACGAATGCCATGGGTAAATGATAATAAGGAAGAGATTTCATCTCTCGAGTCTTTTGAGTGAAAACTATTATTCTGCACATGAACCTATCCAATTAGAGCTGATGTCCAATGCGTTTCTCACGAATTGCGGAAGTACGAATGCCGATGATGAGAGAATCGCAGATTCAACGCGTTGAGCACTCGGGAAGGCACCGTGACAGCAAAGTGCTGAAAGAGAATTTTAGCCGAAGGTTTTAGTCTGAAAACTTTAACTTTGAGCAGGTACAGCTGAGCTAGAAAATATCGTATAGTTCTCAAGACACGTTGAGTGTAATCGACACACCTACTACTTCATTTTCTCGTTGACCACTCCTAGAACTACTGTAGATGTTGGAAGTTAGAGTGCAGTCTTCGGGGACTGTCACTTCCATGAGCTACAGTAGTCTTAGGAGTGATCGTACGAAAAAGTTGTCAACTAGGAAAATGAAGAACTAGGCTTAGAGAGCACATTCAACAATTTTCAGAGCGCCAAACAGCTATTGTAGGAGTTGCCACTCACCGCATTCTTCGAACAAATCAAGTATCCCATGCTACCGGATGGATACGTCGAAACTGCTGACGACGCGTAGGAAACAACGGGAAAGAGTGTTCTGTTGGCAGGTGGAACCAGATGGATTCTCCTAGAAATCGACTAGTCAGCTCGTATGGTTTTGTTGAAGTTCCGCTCACCTTGCGACGAAAGAATGCCGTCTTCCCTCAGAGAATCCCTCAAAAGTTCGTAGTAACTCTGTCCGAAAAGGAAGCCGCCGGGCCCGGTAGACGGATCAGAGCTGTCCGTGATGATCACGTCGAACTCGTTCTTGTTACTCTTCAAAAACTCGAAGCCGTCGCCAGAATTCCGCCGCCGTCGCCTCCTCCGATGATAAGAACGTGCGATTCAGAAGAGATATCTAATAAGAGAAAAGTGGTAACTGATACGTACTCACTTTTTTTTGGGTTCGGGTGCGCGAACAGTGACAGATGAGCCAGCATTTCCTGAAAGGAGAATTCGTTCCGTTCCGAGCACTTTTCCGTGGGTGGCGCTACCTGAAAATCCCATCTGACAGCTCGCCTCCATTCCGTATGTCCTTTTTGTAAGACGAGCTTTGGAGCAAGTTCCACACACAACCTGAACAGAGCCATTGGTCTTGAAACGAAGCAATAGGAAGCAATTCACAATATTGACGATATCCAATCTTTGATCCTTCTCGAAAATCTTATCGGAGAAAGTGGTGATACGTTTTTTGTTCCGAAGAATCTCTTATCTTGTTATCATATATCAAGTCCAAGGTTACACTTCTCAAAACCAAGTTCCCTTTCCGTTTTTCTCAAGAGTGTATTTGTGATAACGTCTCTTCTAGAATCGCGGCAATTGATTCACAAAAGGAGCCGGAATTTCAGAGGTCCTACTTCACAAAGACGGACGGAGCTACGTGGCTTTCTTTTCTTCTGGAACTTACCGAAATGAACTGGAAATTGAGGTTGCACCCGGTGGAAAGTTATTGCGAAATGACCACGGCAACTTTTGTTTGTCGGAAGAAAAGATCAAAGTGATTTATGTTCAAATGATGGCGGAAATCAAAGTACATGTGAAATGGATAAAGTGCTATTCGAACCGAATTATCGTCGTCAGTCGGAGCGTGCTCCGTCGTCCTCGTCGCTTGACGAATCGAGCGTGGACTCCCGCACAAAGTGGGCGTAGACCAGCGAATCCGCCTGTAATCATTTTAGGTTTCAAACTTGAAGACTATTGTGTGAAATTGTCTGAATACCTCAAGTTTGACAAACTGCACGTTCGTACGCCGATATCCGGGCAGTTCCCGGTCCCAGAGCTGTTGTTGCGCGTCCTTGCCTTTCGAAGAAATGTCATTGGCGAACACAGTCATCAACACTTTGCCAGGTCTGAAATACAAAAAGTTATTGACATAAAAAATGAGGTGTTGCCGTACTTGAAACACTGTAAAACTCTCTGGGTCTGTGAGTAGAGACACACGAGGTCCTGGTTGGTTTCGAACGAGGCGAACGAGAACTCTTTCTCGGGCGTCACATGGATCGTCGCGTATTGATCCGTGTCGTTCATGTAGGCGTTCATACTGTACCCGCACGGATCGAACAGCTCGTCGTGGATCTCGGCGCCAGCTGGCACTACTTTATGGATACCGGCTGCCTGAAAAGTGAAAGAATAGTAGTAAACGAGTTTCAGAGAACGCAGTTGGGCACAAACCCCAAAATGATAAAAAAGAGATCTTCGGTGTATAGTGAAGATATTGAATTCAACCGGGAAACGTTCAAGGCCAGTTAGCCGTCGGGTTGATTAAAACGATAGTCCACGTTTCGATATTTCTCCTTCATCTTCGAAGAACTTCTTATCTTATCAGCGTCGATTCCAAGGTTATCCCTCTCGAAATATTTCGCTTACCTCAAAACAAGCAGTTGCGTCGACGGCGCAGTCCTTCGTGAACGTGGTGAGCACCGAGTCGTCGAGGTCGCTCATCAGAATCTCGAGTGTGTGATCGGATCCCTTGCTGGCGGGGAACTGTACTTGACGGTGGAACGTGTAGAGATACCAGCGGTCCTGCTTCAGAGATCCCAGACAGTACGCGTGTCCGTCCGCGAAGAAACTGTCGAGGTACTCGACTTCGGCGTCAAAGTTCTTGTGGAGCGGTGGCTGCAGGTCGGGACGGATGAAGTTCTTGCGCGAGTAGTAGACCGATTGCACCTGGTCCAGTTGAGCATAGGTCCCCGCCAACTGCATGATGACTGGAAGAGCGGCGAGAAGACGCGTCGAGCCGCACGTTTTCATGATGATTCGGTGGTCGGAGACGAAGAGCGAGCTCTCGCTGAGCACGTACGAGTCGATCGATTCGTTGTGCTTCGAGTGCAGGATCTTACACCTCGCCACGTCGAGCATCGCGTCGATTTCGGCCCTCGGGATGCGTCGCAGCGAGCTCTTGAAGCCTTTGGAGCTGCAGAACCAGATCTCCAACAGTTTCTCGGCTCCTTCGAAGAAGTACTCTTCGATCGGCGCCTCGACTGGATGAGTCTGCACGGCAAAGTTCGGAAGATCGGAGTAGGCGGGCATGTTCGAATAGAATCGACTTTTCTGAAAAGAAACCTTGATTGCTTCAGAAGTTTGCACGCAAATCTTACCCGTTGTTCGTTCAAAGATGTTCGGCTCGAATCGCTGTGAATGAATCTGACCTTGTTGGCGAGGTTTTATTGGGACTGAACTGCATCAGTTTCACTCTTTTATAAAAATTCGAAAAAGGGGGTTGACCCTTCTTCTCTTTCTTTTTTGTGTTTTCATCGCCAGTCCCTTCGTCGCCGCTCTTCTTCGCTGAATGTTGTGAAGAGTGATCTTGCGAACTTCCGCCTGAAAATCGATTTGTGTTGCCAGACTAGAATGAAGTTCCAGCCTGATTCGCGTTGAAATCAGAGTCACGTGCTCGACGATCAGTGTGCATTTTTATTGAAATCCGACGGAAGAAAACCATTTACTACACGCAAACTACAAAGAATCAGTGATGACGTAGTTGGTCCTTGACCGCCGACTTCAGATCGCTTTCATTTGATTCGGTGAACACACGTGGGTTTGCCCTGATCCGTCACGCTGTGATGTCTGTCAGAAGCAGTGATTCGTTCGGAGAATACTGTGATTCATAGTGTGTTCAACAACAACAACAGGAAGTGGATTTCGATTGACTGGAGCATCTACCGATGCCTTCCTCTCGAGTATTGTACTATTAGCACTTGGGTGGCCTTCACCGTCATTAGAGATTCGAGGTCATTTAAATCAAAGTGATCTGTTATAATCGAAACAACAAAACCAGTTCACTAAAAGTAAACATATAGTGGCAAAAAAAAACAAACAATACCTTCCAACTTTTGTGTGTGTTTTGTTCAGTTGAAAAGTGCCCGTCTTGAGTGTATCATGGATTCGTCTCTTTTATTCTGACTTCGAAGTGCTACCGTAGTCTTCGGAGTGGTGCTACAAGGAAGTTGCCAACTGAGAAAATGAAGTACTAGGTGTATAGATTACGCCCAACGATTTTCAGAATCAAACATCACGCTATGCATCCTCAAAGTGAACCTTTTCCATGAAACCCGTACTGGTTACTGTGGAGTTCCTCACAGCATTTTACATCATGGTGTCGACAAGTGACGCTGCGTGTGAATCCTCTTCTTACCATGATCCGAGTATCACTGAACATTGAACTCGACGATGTACGTGCGAATCGCGACAAAAAACAGAAGGAAGTGTCTATCGCAGATTGATGAACGACTCTCGATTGGATCATATCACTCTTGTCTGGGATCATTTCGGTTTCACGTACACCGTCTCGCTTTCGCTTCTTTGATTGATGAATGGCAGGAATAGATGTAGACAAAACAATTCTAGTTTTCACTTGGGCACATGGCATTCGCACTGATTCTTGTTGTTTAAAATTGACGAGATCTCTCTCACTCATCAGGTGTAATCAGTCTTTGACTTTATATTGCTTAACGGATCGTTTTTGACCAGACAGGCTGGTCGGGAAGAGCGCAAACATCAAAATGAAAAGATTGCAACTACTATTTGGGCACAACTTCAGTCTTGGGATCAATGGAAACTCAAGAAGGGTTCGGTGAAGCGGTGATCAGACGTGCTCTCAGTAGAGTGCGTTTGCTCACTCGACCTGCAGGAAACAACATGAACAGAAAAACGAGATGACTGCTTCCCATTTCGGGGTGTGTTCCGAGTCTACACAATCCCATTTCAATGCGTTTGCAGTTCAAACCACCCAGTATCCAATCAGCTATAGTCGCTTTTCGATAGATTAGCGGTAAACCAGTTACAGATTCCAACCACAAGAATCTGGGTGTTCGTGTACCGAATGGGCACCTAGTACTCGACGCAATGTCGCCGATTTCGCCAATGTTTTCCGACGGACACTTTTCGAAACGTGAGAAAATTGAGATTGTTTTGAGAAACGCTTCTAGATTTTCGATAGGGTCTTCCTTCCAATATGGTGATTCATCTCGACACATTTACACAAGACAGAAGAGATGCGGAAGATCAACACTGACTCTGGCGCTTTTTTTGTTCATGAAAACACACATGGGATGTGTTTTAGCGTGGTGACTGGTCTACTAGAGTTCTGTTATACGAAAACGATTCTTCAAACCCATGAAGGGGGTCCAAGTTGGAAAGTACGATTAAAAGTGGAGAGCCAACTGAGAAAATGTGCACAATGTCCCTGCCACCTCTAGTTTGAACCTTTTTCAAGAACAAAACGACGCGTTTCGAGTGGAATGCAACGAAAATTTGATAAAACGCTGGTTCGTTTCCCTGGCCATAATCAGTCTGTACTCGATTGATTTGCTGTCAGAAATGGGCACATTGGAATGGAATGGAATGGCTGATAGGGAACGAAAAAGAAACTAGAAAAAGAGGCCTTTCGGCACTGATAACGGCACTTTTGCTCTCTCTCTTGGTCTCTTTTCACATTGGCTATTCACATTTCTGAACTGTTCTCTTTCCCTAGTCGACAGATCGGCACCAAACTTAGAAAACGGACAAGGAACTTGAAAGCTCGAAACTCATGGATTCTATAGGACGGCTTGTATTAAGAGTTTGCCGGGAATGGAGCAGTGGTGTAACATTAGGTCCTTTTGAATCGATTCCCAATCGTGCCAAGCCATTCAGGCTTCTCCCAAACGAATCGGCTCGCGGCTGCCATAGCAACCTGCCTCTCGTCGTGTCTCATCTCACTCCATTTCTACCCTCTCACCCCCCTTTTCATTCACTTTCCAAAGCAAACATGGTCTGCTCCCGAAGAGACGAGAGTTCAAAAACCTGTCGACAAACACAAAATGTTCAGTCTGGCCACTTTCCGTCTTTTCGTCCCATTCCGCTCGAACTGGAATCAATTCGACTAACTTTTTAATGGGATTGGAGACACTAACAGTGTCTTTTATCGAGAAAAGAGTAAAGTGCGGAAAGTGTGTAACCTCCCAGAATGCGATAAACTTGTCTGGGTGGAAGTTCTGGAACTTGGTAGTTGGTAGTTGGTAGGACAGACCTTCCAGTTCTTTCCAGTTCTCTCATAATCCGCCTTCTTTGCCTCGAACGCTCACTTTCACCTTCCCCGTCGAAAAAAAAAGTTCGTTTTGATCGCTAATCATCAGAAAACGTTTGATAAGGAAATGAAACCTTTTTTTTCATTTCGTCTAATGTCTACACTCAACTATTTCAGACCGATGGTAGCTGATCGGCAAGTTCTTGAAGACGTCGGATTCGGCAAGGGACATCTGTCGACGGTGCACCTGGTCCATGAGGAAAAGTACGGAGGCAAGGTCATTTTGAAGGTACTTGTATTCCATAGAGAACTTTGTCGATTGGCAGTTTCAGATCCCTGGCGGTGAAATGTCGAAAACGATATTGTCAATTTCGGAGAAGCGGTTCCAAACTCTGCACAACACCGAAGTGGACATTTATAATATCATCGAGAATCATTCCGAGTTTGACGTCGCTCATCCGAAGATCTTCGAAACGGAAAAGATGGAGCCACCCGTAACCGGAGGGTTCATTCTGATGGAGTACATTCCTGAAGTCACTCATCTTTATGCGAATGACAATGTGAAAGCGGAGGAGCTCGTGGAGCCGGTGAAGAATATTGCGAGACTTCATGCGTTGGGAGAGAGGCTGAACGAAGCGGAAAGGCGGTTGGTGCCGACGGACTTTCTCAAAGGATGGTTTTTGGAACTGTTCACTGAAAAGGTTACACACGACTATACTGTAACAGAAGGCCATCTATTCAAGATGATTTATCTCAGCTGTCTGTAGAGATATCAAAAAGTTGTCAACTAATGAATTGCTTCCTGTAACATTTTGAACATTTTCTTAGTTGACCGCTTTTTGACACCTCTTCAAACAACTGAATTACACCCGAAAAGTGTTTCAGAACAAGGCATTGTTCATGAGTGTTTGGCAGCCGGGAAAGATGGCGGATTTCATGAGCTCTCCGCAATCCGCGGACGCAATCCGGGTGTTGAGTGAGATTCTGACGCCCGACGAGTTTGCCCGACTCAACGACGACTGCCAGATGTCGGGCGTGAAAGCGGTCTTCTGTCATGGAGACCTGTCCTCGCATAATGTTCTTTTTGAAAAGCTTCCCAATGGCTCGATGAAGTTCCGGAGCATTTGCGACTTTCAGGTACCATAGTTGCAGAGGAAAAATTCATAAAAAGTGAAACTTTATTCAGGGTTCAAATTGGGGAAACGCTGCACAAGATTTGACTCGGCTCTTTGTGACCGCACTCAGCGGACAGGTACCTGAGGCAATGGGAGAATGCACAGAACTGAAACCAATTTTTCAGGACAGAAGAGAAAAAGGTGAACATCTTCTCAAAATCTACTACGACGAGTTGGTCAGAGTGACACGGGGAAAAGCGCCGTTTACATGGGAACAGGTGAGACATAACTAGAGTAGAGTAGGACACAACAGGATTACTGTAGTTGACACGGAGCTACACACGGTTCCTGCCACATCACGCGGCGATCGTTTGTGTGACAACACCCGGCAAGTTCCTTCGGAGTCTCGCAGAAATGGAGGAGGGTGCGGAGAAGGAGGAGGTATGGAAATGAATTGACACACACAGAGGGAAAAAAATGGTAATATTATAGTTCAAAACTAAGATGCTGGAGAAGTACATAGCACTTATGGAGGACCTGAACGAGGCGTGGAAGTCTAGGACTCGTGTCTAGGCGAGCATCCGATGGAACACTTCTTCCGCAGACTTGGCCACTCCTTTTCCTCTATTCAGAAGACGTTCCACCCAAGACGGACGGCGACGTTCCGATGGTTCCTGTAGAATTCTGTGATTATTCTGTGATTACACCTGTGATAAACCCGTACTTGTAATTCCCTGAGAATCATGGTCCACGTCTCTTCGGTGTTCATTCCTAGAAGCGCCGAAACTTCGAGAAAGTCGCATTTGAAGTGTCGTGCGGCTGCCTTCGCCTCGTTCGTCGAAATCACTTGATTTCTCTTCAGATCGCACTTGTTACCAATCAAGAATACTTGGAGAGGTACCGGGTTGTTCAGGTTGGCAAGAGTGATTCTGAAAACTTGGATTATTTTGGTGAAACGTGATAAAGTTCAGCGCTTCCTAACCTCTCTAAAATCTGTGTGGCGTAGACGAACGAGGCTTTGTTGTCGACATTGTACATGACAATGTAAAGGGTCTTGGACTGTTGGAACGGCGAGTTTTCGAGCGTCGACTCGAGCAGAATCTCTAGTGTCACTTCCCTTCCGTTCAGCAAGAACGTCGTCATTCTCGTGTAGTCGTTTCCGTTCTCGTCGGCTGAAATGTTTCATTCATTCATTCCACGCGACACTTTGACGAATGGCAAAGAGCAAACACTTACGATCAACTTTCTCTGGGGCCATGCTCGTCGCGAAATGATGGATTCGATTGGCGAGGCTCTTCTTTCCGCAGTTGCGTGCTCCGTAGATGCGCAGCACGACGTGCTTCATCAGCATGTTTTGCGAGTCAAACAGGAAGATGTCGGGACACGTGGCACGACGGCTGTCGCCCCCTCGTCTGCCGAATCCGCCGACGCTCAGCAGGTCCTTATCGCTCGGCTTCTTCTGGAATCCCTTGTCGAGAATGTGTCCGTCGCGCAGGTCGAAACTTCGTAGGCGTGTGCTGCGCGGCGCGAACTCCGGCGGCTCCTCGTCATTTTGTTCGTCGTTCTGCAAAAGCGAAGAGACATGATAGCTGCACTCGCACTTTCAGATGCTTACCACAAAAAACTCCTCCTGCTCGCTGGTTGATGAGAATGCGGGTGTCGGCGGGGTTGCCGGCAGGCTGCGGCGGGCTCCGTTCGGCAACGGCGTCGACGGAAGAGATCTGGAATACAGTATGAGTGAACGGGACCAGGAATAGCAGGCGATCTCTGGTCGCCGAATGTGTGTTCGGTTCGTTGGAGCGCTTAAATTGCAGCTCGCCCGGATGCTCAACGCTCGTTTGGAGCAGAAAACAGAAAGCGTTTAGAAGACAACAATTCAACGATCTCTAGAACTTACAATAGGGGCGTGATCTCCGCAAAATGAAGAATGATACGAAAACTATGATTCTGCATGAATTTTGGTCCCATTATCAAAAAGATGCGAGGAATCGAATGGCGTAGAGTTGTTTTCAACTTTAAGGATTTGAAGCTATTTGCATTTACCTTCTCGGACACGGACTCGGCGAAAAGTTGGGCGACAGCAGCATGGTACTGTTGGCGATGTTGACCGAAGTGGAGGCGGTGCTCGACGACGCCGACGAGTTGGCTCCCTGGCGTTGATGATGATGATAAGTCGAGAAGTAGGGATGAGAGACGGCGAGCGAGGCCGGCAGAGAGACGCGTCGCGAGTCCATTTCCAGGTACCAAATTTAAGGGTACGTTTGGATTGAGTTCCGACGAATCGTAGAGTGGACTGCAATTATTCGTATGTACAAAGGAAGAAGGAAAGGGAGAAGACGGGGGTGGCGCGCAGAGATGAGTTGCAATTAAACGAAGAGAAAGAGCCGATGTGCCCATGCCCTGCCCTTCTTTGCTTGCGGGCAATATTATATTCATATATGTACGTATCCTTTCAGTGTCCTTTGCAGGAAGGTGTTCTGCGGAAGGAAACGATGGTGATGACGCAGTATTATGCGTCAGCCCTGCTACGCTCATAAATGATGCACGTTTTTCCCTCCACCACCACCCCCAACGTGGCTTCTCTTCGAGCGTGCAGACTATGAAAACAGGAAATTGGAAAATGTAGATGAACCACCCAAGAATCGAAAAGAAAGTAAGGCGGCAATGTTCCGAAAGAGGGATTGGATTAAAAGGGGAAAAGCAGTGAATCACACGCAACGACTGCTCGTTAGAAGGGATAAACATGGGGGGAGGGAGGGGAAGAAAGGAAGCGAAAGGGGAAAGGAAGAAGGAGCGGATAATGATCGGGTCCGGTTCGGATGAATGTGGACTTGCTAGTTAGGCACATGAGTCACGAATGCAGTTATTGTTACTATCGGGGCATTTCAATGTCACGGCGTTTTTTTTTTTGACTACGGACCCGGGAAAAAAGAATGTCGGCACCCTGAGCCAACTTTAGAGGTATACTGAAAGCCTGATTTTCAATTAAGGTCCAATTTTTTGACAGAAATTTGAATTTATGTCTATTTTTCGAAAATATCGCCAAAATCGTCGAGAAATTGCGCGTAAATGGACACGGCCGGGGGACTAGTGCGTGTTTCTCTTCCATCTGCTCGCGGTTGCATGGTAATCCTAAAATTATATCGCCGAAAACAAATAGAAGCCTAACAAAGACCGACATCTATTTTGAGCACTTTGAGCATCACAAAAATGTATTTTTATTTATATTCTTCCTCTACCACCACACATTTACGTGTGCGTGTGTGACACAGAAATGCGATACTGGAAAAGAAAAGAAAGAAGAAGAAGGCGTCGGCCAACAAAGAGTACATGAAATAATCAAATTTCGAAAGTCACGAGACGTTTTTATCGGAATGTGGGCGGACGGAAAACAGCGTCGAGTGGATAACTTGGTGTGGTAATTGGTGACGAACGGCAGTCAACATGATTAAGCCACAAATGAAAGAAGAGCGTGGGCGGGCGGTGACACTTTTCATGATTCCTACTAGGTTTATGGAAAAGAATGTTATTGGGGGGCTCCTCAATTGATGCGTTCACCTTCATTACCATAAATAATGTGACTTAGAGGTTAGAGCTTAGAGCTCGGAGCTCGGAGTTCGGAGCGTCATTAACCAAAGTACGCACACAATGGTTTATCCAATCTTTTTCACTTTTTTCAGGGACAAGAAGAAGACCTTTGTGGGAAAAAAATCGACTGAAAGTGCAGTGAAGATAAACAGGTTCACGCTTCGGTACATTCAGAGCTTTGAATTTGAAGAAGTTTAGTTCGATTTGGGGCCTCTTATCGCTCGCTCTCTGGAAACGGGCCATGACTTGAAAATGAATTGTTTTGAGGCAAAATGATCAATTACAAACCTGTTCAGCACAAAATTTTGAACAACTTTTTAGTTGACCGATTGCTAAAATAATCATTGGTTGCCGAGATGTTGCCCTTTGAACAAAGGTGTAGGGGCAGCTGAGGTGAACAAAAGGAGTTACGGATTGACTCAGCGGCAAAAAAAAAACGGGTCACAATGACCTAATCGTCATCAAAACAAGGAACCGTCGACAGAATTCCAGACAGAGAATGTGCGGCATTCCGATGAGTTCTGACGGTTTGCATACGAATCACAAGACGGCGAGGTACGGAAACATTCTCACGCACCGTGTTTGCATTGGAGAATGGTCCCACACGGGCCCCCGATTGACTGCATGCAATAATATTTTTGTTTGGGCTCTCTCTGACGAATTCCGGACAGTAAGAAACCTGAAACCATGATGGGTTCAGGTGCTCAGGCAGGCGGTCGGTCGCAAAACTATTAATGGAAGAAAGATCCGGAAGTGGGTGACGTCGCGACGGGAAATGAAGCGAGAATGGCAGACAACTCAATTACGGGCACATTTTCAGTCAACTCGCACAAGGCTCTCTTTGTTTTCGACGACGGAATTGCTAGCGGAACAGAGAGGATGAAACCAGATAGCGTGAAAAAAAAGATGGTAATGAGGACTACTGAAGACGTCCCGCGCTTGACCGGAAGTACTAGTCGGAAGCGGAGCAGAGATGGAGAAACGGAAAATTCGAGATTTACAATGTGAATGTTGAAAAAATGCTTTAAAAAATTACGGTCGTCAGGCTGAGAACCGGCCTCGGGCAAAAAGTTATTTTTGCTTATCATCCGTAACCCATATCTTGAGAACCAATGATTGTTTCAAAAAGTTGTCAACTGAAAAGTTGTTTAAAATTTCATGCTGAACAACTTTGTAATTGACTAACGCTTAATTCTCGAGTTATGACCCAGCAAAATGACGTGAATTGTTGTTAGAACACTCAATACACACCTGCTCCAACTATTGTCGGTTGGTCTATGGACCCGAAACATTCTGCTGGTTCTGCCACTTTTTACGTAAAAAAAAGTTGTGTTTGTTCTGCTAAAGTTTAAAATGACCGAAACGGGGTGAAGCAAGCAAATTCTTGGAATGAGTGAGCAGCAAAAACAAAGAGTCGCAAATGGCTGACAAATGCAAAACACTCTGAAACTGCGGCGGAGCAAAACAATTGCGACGACGACCCATTTATAATAAGTTTTCGTCGCTCTAGCACATACTAATAACCTTTTTGAGACGACGCGCGCGATGAGTAGTATATTTTCGATCTCTCGAAGAAAGAACAGACCAATAAACAAGCGATCCCATGGGATGCAGAAAAGTAAAACATGTGCAATGAGTTCTGCGGCTATTAATCTGCGTTAAATCGGAGAGAAAAGACGAATAAACTAACATTTCGACAAACGTTCTGGAATAAAGGAAAACACGTGAATTCGAGGAATCCTATTTCAGATGTATGTGTGTGTTTTGTGTGTTTTCGACCTCGTCACAAGAAGAATGTTGCTGCTTTCCGCGGTGCTTGTGACGTTCCGTTTCAGAGATGACATTTTGTGTACGCTCTGGAAAAAACAAATATTTTCAAGATTTTGTAGAAGAACTTTAAAGTGCCGTATTCTCTTCACGCTTCACATGCGCCGCATGCATTTCGAAGATTTTTCAGGATTTTGACACTATAGTTCCGGCATAGACCAATCAGAACAAAAAATTTGTTTGAAAACTGCGAAAAGTATGCATAAAATGTTGAAATTTGCCTCTGGCTGGGCCGTAGGAATTTCCATCAGAGCTCTGTCGGACAACTGGTTCTTTTTTGTTGCGTAGGTACTTGTGCCTGACTGTTTGTTACATTCACAGCCAAACACACCGAACGCATTCACAGCGGCGGAACTACACACTCTAAATTGCTCGTCCAATAGAGCTCATCGCCCACCTTTCGAGCGAGAATTTGAATTTTGATGCGCGAAAGTGAACACTGAGCGCACAAAAGAAGATACGGATTGGAAAGGGGATACGGAACAGTAAAAGAGAAAAACTTACAAGGGAGAAATTAATTGAGAAGAAAGGGCGAGCGGCGGCGTCGGTGACGTAGCGGAGAGAAAAGGAAGAGTCGTTGGGGAAGTTTTGCCGCGAGCGACAGTGCAAATTTGAGGAAGTATGCAAGTGCGCTCTATTGGACGAGCAGTTTAGAGCTCTAGAGCTTTTTATAATTATAAATAATTATTAATTCAGAGCTGCCGTCAATTTGTTTTACTGGAAAGATCGCGAAAGGAGAGGAAGGTGGCAGTGAAGTTCGTGGCCGATCAGCCGTTTCATTTCGTGCTTCACCACAGAACATCTATCATGTTTTTTGGGCTCCTCGTATAGAAGACATTTCCCTAAACCTAAACAAGCCATGAACCAGAAAGCATAGACGAAATCCGTGGACTTGTGAAGAAGATTCGAATCTTTAAGCATCTTGATATGTATCCCTCTGGCAAGTAGTAAGTGGCGAAAAAGAAGATCGACCAGTTCTTCGTCATTTCGAGATCTTCCTCCTCCCCCCTTTGGAAATCTGCAGAATCTGTCATTCATTCATTTCAAACGATGGCTCCTCAGCTTTCGGTCAACACTCTTATTCTCTTCGTGGTCTTCGGAGGAAATATGATTCTCAAAAAGAACTTTGACTCGAGGGTAAGCCTTGCCAACCACTGAATAATATCATAAGCGTTCAGGACAATGTGGACAGTCTACACCACTCCGCGGAATGTGTCCAGAAAATTATCGAACCACTGATGGTCGGCAATCTCTGGCAGTTCTGGGACCGCTTCCCGTACGTCGTCAATAAATGCTCTCCGACTCTGAAAGACGTCACCCTCGGCGCGTTTCCGAACACGGACGAGCTCAAGTACCACTATCTCCCACTTCGAAAAGCCGCGAATTGTTCGATTATCTCGCTCGGCATCGGGAAGGACGTAAAAGCGGAGAAGCGAATGAAGAGCGTGCTGCCAGATTGTGAGTTCTTCGGCGCGGATCCGGTCGACGAGGACAACAACGAGCTGTTTTCGGACTTTGGCAAGTTTTATAATATGGCGGTCGGCGATCGAAACGGCAGCTTCCGTTCGTACGTTTTGGAAGAAATCTATCGGTATCAAGAGGTTCTCACTATCGATTTGGCCACGTTTATCAGAACAAATGTGGGTCTCGAATGGTGTCAATTAATTGTGTGTTAATTTGATTGGCAGGTGAAACAGAAAACCATCGATCAGTTGATGGTCGACATTGAGCACGCCGAGTACCCGGTCTTTCCGTTCTTCGAGGAGAGGGGACAGTTGGAAGAGTGGGGAATTCATGTGTGCCAGATCAACATTGAGATCCATAGTCCGACGGACGAGGATCGCGAGACTTTCGCCACGTTTTTGAAGAAAAACTTTCTGTCACATCAGTGGATTTTCATCAACTCTGAAATTCATCCTCTTTTGAAGCATATCAGGTTCTACAGGGTTCTTTTTGAACATTCATTTTCAATTTCAGACTGTTCATGGTGAACGGACGGCATCCAGAGTGCCTTCGGAGGTACTTTCAGAAGGGAGAAAAGACGAAGATCAGAGACCACAGTGGCGAAGATCAATTTTCATCGTGATCTCATTTACGTATTGCAGCCGCAGAAGTCTGGTAATTGCGCTCTAACGCTTTCCGCGTGGGATTGCGCTAGAGCGACATTGCCACAGTTTTGAGGTTCCAATAGGTACATTACAAAACGGGCTAAATTTGATTGTTGTTGTTTCCAAGAATAAATAGAATAAATTCTTTACCCAATATTGCATTTTTGTTCGAACCCAACAAAAACACACCTCTTTTCAAGTACAGTCATCGGTCGAGGTCTGATGAAACAAATTCGTTCCTTCTGTCACTTTCAAAACGAAATGAAAAGAATGCAAAAAAAACCACTAAAAGAGTGTCTAACGCGTGTTCTTTCCCACCCGCACTTCTCTGCGTCTCTCCACTCCGCGTGCTCTCTCGCCGTCCTATCTGTGCCCTCTTGTTGACGAGGGAAACAGAGGAGAGACCAAAGTGCGCAGACGACGAAAGAGGCAACAAACAAACGCTCTGTTCGGGCGCCAATCGGTCCCCATTTCTGCCATTCGCCGCCCGATTTGGTCGTTGTTCAAATGTCGGATTCGAAGGAAAAGTAAGTTTACCAAAACATTCGAATCGAGGAGCATTTGCTCCGGCGCTGGTGCTGGAACTGAGTGACGAAATATCTGAAGAAATAAAAAAAGCGAAAGGAACAACTGGCGCGGCAAGCGATCATTCCGCAAAATGTTCATCATTCCCTTCGACGCTGACCTAAGATTCCCAGTCTCGTATATTTTGAAACACCGGGTTGTTCTTTTGGTTTTCCATCCGTCTTCTTGTGTGACGTCTCGTAGTGTGGTTTTCCTCGAGAGAAACTCCTGGGCTTATTCAGTCGGGTAAGAAAAAGAGAAAAAATCGGCTGTTCCGTTTTTTGCCGGTTTTTTCCTGTTCCAAATCCTTTCCAAAAGTCAACGTTTCGCCTCGAAACGTTTAAACGTTCTGCACTTTGTGTTTCACGGTCTCCAGAGCTGACAATATGGGCGTGGCCTCGGCCAAATGGCGTTCTCATAAATTGAGCAGGTTTTCTCTGATTTTTGTGGCCAAAGGCGATGAAAAATGATTGTTCGACATGAAAACACACTAATTCTCAGAATTAATGACGTTTTGGCGCATTTTTCGCGGACTTTGCTTTTTCGCCTTCGCCGCCGATCGCCGCCTAAAATCCGCACTTCTAATTTTGCGTTTTCTTGACCGTTTTCAGACAGAATTGGTTTTGAGAATGATAAATCACGTAAATACAAGCATTTTGAGCGCTCGAACAGCAAAAATCACCGAAAAGCAACTGAAATTCACGCAGTTTTAGCCAAAAACCTTCAAACGGATAAATGTGATTTGCGACTTGACCAAATTTAACGCTCTTGCGCTTAAAAAATTCGAAATAGCCTATACAATCGGTCTATCGAGAGACAAATGACAAATTATCGGGTTTTCGTGGCTTATCTGGCAAAAAACACTAATTTTGCTGTTAAAATTTTAATTTCGCGCCAATGTATCGCTCTATTGGGCGGGGCGCACTTGCGCCCGTTGTAAGCTCTGGAGACCGTGTGTTTGTGAAAATACAAGTCATTTTTAAGTTTTTGGCCGCTAAAAAACGGAAAACCCCGGTTTTTATGTTCTTTCACAGTTTTACCCGACTGAGCAATGAGCAAGCCCCTCAAAAGTCAAACTAGACTCTACTTTGAACTTTTTCGGCAGCACCAACTGTTCTCACTTTCTTCGAATCTCGAAAAAAAATGTTCGCATGTGTCGCGCCTCTCCGAATCCTTCATTCGTCTTCATTCGTCGAGTCAATATTTACTGGTCGTTAGCCGGTCACTGCGCACGTTAAATTTCAAATACCTGGCCTTTCTCTCGCACGGTCTTCAACTGTTCTTGTTTCAGAATGGCCCTTCTTCTCCAATCGGAGACTGACTTTGGCCTCGGACTTCTCCGTCAGCAGAATCTGACGGAGTCTCTCGTCTTCTCTCCGCTCTCCATCGCCCTCGCTCTCTCGCTCGTCCACGTGGCAGCCAAAGGAGAAACCCGAGACCAGATCCGAAATGCGCTCGTCAAGGGAGCAACCGACGAGGAGCTCGAGCAGCACTTCGCCAACATCTCCGCCGCTCTTCTGGCCGCCGAGAAAGGAACTGAAGTGAACATTGCGAATCACGTCTTCTCCAGGTTTGTTGCCTCGAAAGCAGTTAATCACAAAATGTTCAACTTTCAGAGATAGTTTCCCGATCAAGCAGGCGTATTTGGATGCGGTCAAGAAGCTGTACAACGCGGGAGCCACTCCACTCGACTTCAGTGACAAGGAAGCGGCCGCCTTAGCAATCAACGACTTTGTGCGCAAGAACACCGGCGAGCACATCAAGAAGATCATCAGTGCCGATTCGATCAACGATAGCAAGCATTTCGGAAAGTCTGGATAGAAATATAATCGATTAATTTCAGATTTGGTGGCCGTGCTGACCAATGCTCTGTACTTCAAGGCTGACTGGCAGCACAAGTTCAAGCAGAGCGCGACTCACAAAAAGGAGTTCTTCTCGTCGGCCGACTCGAAGCGCGAGATCGACTTCCTCAATGCCAATGCCGTTCATCGTGACTACGCCGAAAACGATCAGTTCCAAGTGCTGCGCCTGCCGTACAAGGACGAGTCTTTCGCTCTGAGCATCTTTCTCCCGAAGACTCGCTTCGGATTGGGCGACGCTCTCAAGAGCATCGACTCCGTCACCATTCAGCACCTGCTCTCCAATGTCTCTAGAAATCACGTCAATGTAAATTTCGTTGCATCTCCGATCTTTAACGATGTTTTTCCTGCAGGTCCGTATTCCAAAGTGGAAGATCGAGACGGAATTGGATCTGAAGAAGGCACTCGAGGCCGTCGGAATCAAGCAGGCCTTCTTGCAATCGGCGGATCTTAGTAACTTCGCCGACGGCGTTTTCGTCTCCAAGGTCACTCACAAAGCACTCATTGAGGTGAGCAAACAGCCAAAGTGAAGTCCATGCATGCCTTTTCCGTGTGTCCCCCTTGCTTTGTTCTTTTCAAAAAAAATTTTGAATTTGCGCGTTTCTAGGTGGACGAAGAGGGTACGAAAGCCGCCGCCGCGACAACCGTCGAGTTCTCTCTCAAATCGGCGCAGTTCTCGCTGAAAGAACCGATCGACTTCATTGCCGATCATCCGTTCTTTTTCGTTCTCTCCAAGGATAATCACCCGCTTTTCGTTGGAATTCATCATTAAGCCCACCCTTTCCGCCTACTTTTGCATTATTTTATCGCTTAACGAAGCACTATTTATACAAGTGCTCTGTAAATAATTGAGTAAATTGAGAGAATAAACTGTAATTTCGTGTCATTTGTCAGGTCGACGAAGAGGGAACGACGGCAGCCGCCGCGACAGCCATCGATTTCATTCCTTGCTGCCTGATCATTCATGCGGTGGAGCCGATCAATTTCACGGCCGATCATCCGTTTCTCTTCGTTCTGTCCAAAGATAACCATCCTCTGTTCATTGGAATTCATCACTAGAGTTTTGAAAACATAATATATTATGCATAATAAAATTGTGGGCATGCAAACTCAAACACTTTAACCCACGCACTCATGCCCAGTATGCATCCTCACTTCTTCGTATTCAGGTCGATGAAGCCGGAACGACTGCGGCCGCCGCCACTGCTGTTCTCATGATGCGTAAGAAGGCTCAGCCGGGATTGCTGGGAGCGCCCATCGAGTTCGACGCCGATCATCCGTTCTTTTTCGTTCTTTCCAAAGACAATCACCCACTTTTCATCGGCGTGCACCAGTGAATATAAAGCTCTTTATCATGTTCTTTTAGGTTCCGTCGAAATTTGAAAATGTTAACATTCCTTGGCTTCGATCTTACTCCGTGACAGAGATAGGAATGTGTGCACGCAAAATTGTGCACAAAAGAAACATGTTGTGTTACGGAAAAGAATGTTACAACCATCCAGACTTCCAGACCAGCAGAAAGATTCGCGAACTGTGCGTGGTGAGATGAAGTAACCAGATAAACGGTTGGAAAGTAGGCCGCCGCCGAAGGCCTTCCCAACGCATTCCCTCAGAATTCCATGTTGCGCATTCTTCTTCAGGTGTTTCTTGTCTTTTCTGCGATTCCAGTCTCTTTGATATTCAATAACATTTATCAAAATCACAAGAGCCTTCAAGTGTTGCGAAAGAATGAGGCGGAATTCCATTGGAGCCACATTGTGCACTACGAGGAGCTCGCGACGGCGGTGAACAAACTTCCAGAGGGCTACGGCGTCATGCTTCTGAATCGGCACGCCGTGAAGATGACGTTGAACTGGTTGTGCAACACGAAGAGTTTTGCGGGTGCGCATCAAAGAATGCTCTTTATCGTCATGGACAAGTACTCGGAGGACAGCCTTCGCAGATTCTACCCACGACTCAATATCGTCATTTGGCTGGCACCGGTGCTTCAGGCGACGTTCCGGCCCTACGACACGACCTACATGAGCTTCTTCCTCATGCGAACCAACATGATCCGTGCGCTTCAAGAGTTCGGAAAAGGGTTCTGGATGCTGCAGGCGGACACTATTTGGAGGGACAACTTGTTCAATCTGATCAATGTTCAGGACTACGAGGCCAGCGATATTCTTTTGGATCAACAAGGATACGAAGGCACCGCGCCTGTCAGGTATTATCAAAACACATTGCTCGGCTAAGCAAACGCGCTCCGCTGCACTCGGCGCTTCGCGTTTTCTGATTTTCCCCTCCAACTGCATTTTTCTGATGTTGCTTTATTCTTCTTGTTTTGAAATTGTACAGTGAACAGATTTTAAACTGGTTTTATCGAAAAACCCAATTAGAAATGTGTTCAGTGTACGATTTTAAAACGAGAACTTTGCGTAAAATTTCAAGCAAAATCAGAAAAATGCAGTTGGAGACGAAATCGAAAAAGCAAAGTGCTGAGTGAAGACTTCTGACACTTGACCGTTCATTCAGACAGCGTACAATGAACGGCGCGAACTTCTACGTGCCTGCGAAGGCCTCAAGTCGAGACTTGGTCGATTCCTGGTTGGACTGGCAGAAAAGCGTCTACATCACAGACCCGGACCTCGTGAAACTCTTCTGCCTACGCGGCGACTATTTGTGTGATTACATCCCGTACAAGTACTTTCCCCTCACCCAAACCCACCTAAATATTGTTGTTCTCATTCAGACTGGTCGCCGGCTGGGAATGGATTTACGGCGATCAGACGAACGCGCCGATCATGATTCAAATGGACGGCGAGACGGGCGGGAACAAGGAGAAAGTGCTGGAAAAGTACAACTTCTGGTTCCTGGATCGACGGGATCGGTGCAAAGCGGACAAAGTGACGCGAGGAGTGGAGCAGCTCGCACAGGGAGCAGTGCCACGTTTCATCTCGGCGTCCAAGAATCGAGAGCAATTCTGGCTGAAGCTCGGCGAACTGCTAAATCAGATCCCTGTCTTTGGACACTATTCGAGCATCTACGGCGGTCTCACTTCACTTTACCTACAGTTTTTCTAGCCTTAATAAACTTTGTGCCACGTTTCTCGAAAGTTCACAAAATCTGATCGTTTGTCACCCCGACAGATCCCTTTAATCCGTGGGGGGACACAGATAATCCGCGCGTATAAAACAACAGGTAGTTCCTCCGCATTTTTCATTCTCTCAACTCTCAACATGAACTCCACTTGGTCCGCCTGTCTCTTCCTTGCTCTCCTGGCCGTCTCCGTGTGCGCCATTGCCGAAAACGGTAAGTTTATTGGCCCGGTAACGCTCCAGAAACGTTGGTTCTCCACAGAAAACAACTACCTGCAAGAGCTCGTCGACGCCGGAATCTCGCAGGAAACCGCCGAGGGAATCGTGGCGGTCGTCAGCCAGCACAATCAGGACGGCGCCGATCCGAACAAGACCGGACGTACGATCTTCGAGCAGATTCTTCAGGAGACTGACGATTACGTCAAGACCCGTCCGGCTGCCGATCAGACCGCCTACGCTGCGTTCGTCGCCGCCAAGAAGAGCGCGTTCGAGAAGCCCGACAGTGCCTAAATGTCGTTTTTGTAAACTGTAAAATCTTTCCATAAATCCGTGTTTTATGTTCATTTTGGTTGTCTGTTACGTTAATCGAAAAGTGGATTCAAGCACTTTTGGTGCCAAGTGGCATAGTTTAAAGATTATAACTCAAAAATGAAGGGCCTTCGAATAAAATAGTGAACTACAAAGTTGCTCAGTTGGAAATTCTCTACAACTTTTCAGTCGACAACTTTTTGAAAAAAACATTGGTTCTCGAGATTTATGCTCTAGAAGACAGACTCTTCACTAACTTTGCATGCTCTATTCTCTCTCAGAAGCTCAAGAATGTGACATCAAACATCCTCCCGAATTCCTTGGCTCCGTCCGTCCGTCCGTCTGCCGCTCCCGCCCCTCTTTTGCGTGGGCTGCTGCTTGGTTTCCCAACAAAAAGCAACAAAAAACCACTCTTCAGCCCCATTTGATTCCTCTTTCTCTCCTTTTCTTCCGCCACAGTTTCCCTGGATCTCACACGATGTGAGAGAGTGTGTGGATTGGAGAGAATCGAGAATTGTCCGTCCGCGGACATTCAACTTTTTAGCGTTAGCCGCCTTCTTTCGTCTTCTCTCCTCTTCATCTGGATACGATTCAGGTCACAGTGTCTCCGCGCGCTGCGTCTCCTCTTTTCGCGTGCTCTCTCGCCTCCGCTCTCTCCGCCGCCGCTTCGATCCGTCCGCTTCTCAGCTGCTGATGTTGCACGTAGTCCGAATGAATCGGCGACTTCTTCGCCATGCACTTTTTGATCAATTCTCTGCTTTTCTCCACATTTTTTTCTAATTCACAACTTTCAATCACTCCTCGGTAAACCGTTGCAACTTTTGCGCCGAGATTGTAGCACTTCTGCACCCGATGCTGTGGGTCCACGCACGCGTTCCATTCCGTTCCTCGTTCTAGCCACTTGACGACACACACACACATACTTTTTTTTTCAGCGCTCTCAATGTAACAACGTCGCTCACGCCTCCGCAATTTACCTCAAACCTGTCGTCCATCCAGCTTCGTTCAAGTATCCCCGGCTAGCTTTATAAACATTGCATCCTTTCACAATACAACCACTGACATCACTTCAGCACATCTTCCGTTTCGCCTAACTTGTTGACGAACTGTTTAATATTATGTAGCAGTTTGCCGAGAATCATTGTTTCGTTATCACTTATCACGAAACGATCCCGTGACTCGTGCCCCGCCCACCGCGTCTCTTTTCGTTTTGCTTAGTTAGTTTCAAACGTGTCGATCGTGCGAATGGCAACGTTCTTTGATCCGCTTTTCGTTTTGATGAATCCGAAGAAGAGAACCTGCTGAGGAGACTAGATCGTATCCTTGGACACGGATTCGGATTAGCCAAGAACTGGTTAGGTAAGCAGGAAGAAGGCAGAACTATATTATCACTCACCTGCGCGGAGAATGAGTGAAAGAATTTGATCCGATTAGGGAACAGTGTGAAGCCATTATACTTTTTGGACTTTCGGGCTTTTCACTCAACCGTCACTCCCAAGAGTACTGTAGCTCGTGGAGGTGACGGTTCTTGTAGTTTGCACTCTAACTTCCAAGAGCTACAGTTGTCTTAGGAGTGGTGCTACAAGAAAGTGCTCAACTACAAAAATGACGTACTAGGCATGCAGACTTCAGACAAAACTTTTCATAACACCCTGACCACTAGGAACTCTGATACGTACCCTCAAAGTTGGTATACATAGTCAGCTGGATGACTCAATGAACTTCCTTGATTTCAACGGCTATCAATGCCATCCTCGGCGGATTCTTCTCTCCTCGAAACTTGTTCTCTTTCTCCTTCTCTCTCCTCCTTCTCGTTCCTTTGTCGCTGGTTTTCGCATGCGTCGACACCACTATCACGTAACAGTCTCCTCGATTCGCTTCGCAATCAGCAGGTGGCCCAGGGCCGAGCGAGTTTCCCTCCCTTCATTTCGAAATCCGTTCTTCACGCGCCGCCCCCCAACACCTCTCTTCTTCTCTAGACTTTCTCCGATTCCCAACTTTTTCATTTTTCTTTTCAGATGCGTGTGTGTGTGGTTGGCGCCGGCGCTTCTGGCCTGCCAGCCATCAAATCGTGCATCGAGGAGGGCCTCGACGTGGTTTGCTTCGAGAAGACTGCCGATATTGGAGGGCTCTGGAACTACAGACCCGGACAGAAGAATGTGAGTGCAGTAGAGCGCGTTTGCTCGTTTGTGGAACATCTCTCTGATCTTTTGTGTTCTCACAGATCGGCGGAACCGTAATGGAGAGCACAGTGGTGAACACTTCCAAGGAAATGATGGCTTATTCGGATTTTCCACCTCCCGCAGACTTTGCCAACTTTATGCACCATTCGAAAGTCATCGAGTACATCAAAAGCTACGCGGAGACTTTTGCTCTTCTCGACAAAATTCGATTCAATACAGTCGTCAAAAGAGTGAGCCCGAAGCTTCGATCATGATAAATTTCACAATAAGTTCAGATCTCGAGAACAGAGGACGGAAAGTACATGGTTCATCTGGAAAGCGGAGAGATTGAAGAGTTTGACAAGTTGATGCTCTGCACGGGACATCACGCTCAGCCATCGTACCCGGAGCTCAAGAATCTCGACAAGTTCAAGGGGAAAGTGGTGCACGCTTACGATTACACGGATCCGAGAGGCTACGAGGGCAAGGACGTCTTCCTTCTGGGCATCGGAAACTCGGCGCTCGACATTGCGGTCGACGTGGCCAAGATCGCAAAGTCGGTGACGATCTCCACACGCCGTGGCACGTGGATCTTCAATCGAGTGAGCCAGGGCGGCATGCCCTACGACGTGCTCCTCTTCTCCCGCTACTACGACAATATACTCAAAACGGTGCCGTTCACGCTGGCCAACGACTTCATGGAGTACCGTCTGCAGCAGCGAATGGACCACGACATCTACGGCCTCCGTCCGGATCACCGCTTCTTCCAGCAACATCCGACCGTCAACGACTCGCTGGCGAATCTGCTGTGCGCCGGGTACATTAAGGTCACCGAGGACATTGACACATTCACCGAGGACAGTGTCGTCGTGAAGGGCGGCAAGGAATTCAAGTGCGACGTCTTCCTAACTTGCACCGGCTACACGTTCGGATTCCCGTTCGTCGACTCGGACATTATTGATATCAAGGTAAGCTATGCCACATCCGTCCGCCGCTTCAAGTACCCATTCAGAACCAGCAAGTGCCTCTGTACAAGTACGTCTTCCCTCCAAACAGTGAAAGCGTGGCCGTGATCGGCTTGATCCAACCGATCGGCTCCATCGCTCCGATCTCTGAGATCCAGAGCAGATGGGCGGCGCGAGTGTTCTCTGGAAAGTGCCCACTTCCCTCCAGCAAGCAGCAACTTGTCGACATCGCGCAGAAGAAGGAGGAAATGAAGAGGAGGTACTTTGACAGTATCAAACACACCATCCAGGTGGACTACATGACGTACATGGACGAGATCGCCGAAATCATTGGATGTCTGCCGCCAATGCGACAATATCTGTTCTCGGCGCCGCGCTTCTGGATGAAGCTGTTCATGGGCGCCAACGTGCCGTACGTCTACAGACTGGTCGGACCGAATGCGTGGGAAGGCGCCGAGCAGGCGATTCTGACGGTGCCCGATCGAGTGAAGGCGCCGCTCAAGAACCGACAATGCAGGATTCGGAAGCATAAGAAGAGGGGGACGACGGTAACAGAATTGCACAATAACTATTATGATACTGTTGTTTTCAGGACGAGTACTTCCGATACGCCACCCAAAAAGTGATCGCCACCAACATCTCGATCCTCTTCTGCTCGGGCCTGCTCCTCTACTGCTCCACCACCGCCACTCTTCCTCCGGCCGTCTACTTCCTCTCCTTCTTCCTCTTCTTCACCCTGTACGGAGCCACGCTCATGTGGTTCGACCTACAGTACGATATGACCACTATCATCTGAATCCCTCCCCCCAAATGTTTTCTTTTTCCCCCTCCCCCGTCAAGTCTGCTTCAGGAATGAGCTTTTTGTGTGTGTGTGTGTGTGTGTGTGATATTGTGTGATTATTATGAGTAGATACCGATTTAGTCAATAAAACCGATTGCATACTATATACATGACCGGTTTTGATCAGCCGGTCTGATCAACAGAGTGTGAAAAGTTGGGACGTCAAAGATCACAAAGATTATTGGAGCCTGGTTCTTTCCAGATTTCCCTTCAGTTCTCACGCCTTTTCTCCGTTCCTTCCGACTAGTACCAGTTGGTGGTTGGACCGAATGAGTCAGAGGTTTATTTGGGCCGGAAAACACACATAAAACCACTATATATTGTTGAGTTTTCTCTTGTTCTCACTAAACTACTGCGATAGAAGGCCACTCCGATACTGGTTCTTCACCATATATCTCGGCTGCCGGTGGAGATAACAGAATGTAGTCAACTGACAAAATGCTCATTGAAACATTTTGTACATTTTATCAGTTGACAACTTTTTGATATCTCTAAAGACAGCTGTGATACTTTGTTTTGAATGAACAGTATCGGGGGTGCCCTCACGTTGATCACATTTTTCTACCGCCACGGGTACTGTAGCTCATGAACGTTAGAGTTTACAGTACCAACCCATCCCAACTTCCTCCTTCTTCTTCTTCTTCTTCTTCCTCTCGTCACCCATTCATCCCGTCAACAATGTGTTCAACGGTGCTTGTCCAGTACTCAATACCCACAAGTATTATACAGACTCACACACACTCACCGACAATTGTACAATATAAACACGTCATCCGATTGTCAACCACCGCGAATCATGCGCGCATCGTGAATCTTTCCAAACTTGTTGTATTAAATTTGGTAATAATGTTGTATAGAATAGAGAAAGAGAGAGAGAGAAAGAGAGAGAGAAAGAGGGAGAAATGCCAGTTTTTGTGCAGTAGCAGCAGATCCTCTTACGCGAGGAGAGAAGTGAAAGTCGGCGTTGCACACAATACCAGACGGCTATGCTGCTTTTTGATAGTTTTTTGCATTCATTTTCACATCGATTTCATTGCGCGAGTTTCTTTGCCCTCTATTCTACAGACGATTGCTCGCATTTTGAGTCAAAGCGGAAGTCTGTGGCATTTTTTTGAAATTAGTTATCATTTTTCAAAGTTGGAGGTGATTTCCGCATCGATTTTTCGAACGTTTCCACAATTTCTGGTTACGGTAAAATTAAAGGCGCAGCACTAACGTTTGTAAAAAACATTTGAATAGCCGGAAACGAGTTAGATTCAGCGGTGATATAGCTCGATCGTGGAACGCCCGCCAGTTGCAAATCTTGATTACTCATATGCTCCAGACTTTATACATAAACAGTAGAAACCACTTGAAACTGCACAACTACTTTTGTCTATTTACGTACTGTCTCCGCCATCACACTTGACACCATCCACCCCCCGAATGGAAACCAGTTCCTTCCTGGCTCTTCTTTCATCTATTGCGTAACTTTCACTCCCAATCGAGCCCTCACGTCCGGTTTTTAATCGTCTCGCTTCCGATTTCGGATTTCGGCATCTCCGATTCACTCTCGACGCTCATACGCAATGTCAGATCAAGCGAATCGTCACGTCGTGTACTGTGTCGAACAAAGAAGACACGTCGTCGTCAGTCCGAATCCGAATCTGAATTCTCCGCAGCCGCCTGCGCAACCGTCACAACCACAACAAATCTACTATCCGAGCAGGTCTAGAAGAATGTTCTCGCAGCGTGCATTTAATGGAATCGTCTTCTGCATTCGCATTTTCATCTTTGTAAGTTTTCGAGATCATAGAAGGCCGTGGATTGAAGTATTTTGGGTCCAGGTTTCAGGCCTTGGACCCAAAATACTTTCAAGAAAGGATTCCGATCGGAATATTGCACGTCGCTCAGAGTACCAACCCCATTTTCTTTCCAGATTCTGGCAATAGTCTCCATGATTCTGATCCTCACGGCTCCGGGAGCATGCTTCTCCAGATACCTGAACGGACAGTCGATCAGCCGAGAAATCTGTCCCGGCCAAAACAGTATATTTCCGATGAACGCAGACCGATGGAGCAACGCGCTTCACTTCCAAGGAAGGGGTCAAAAGTGAGTGGAATGCATGATGAGAATCTAATTTTGTAATTCAGCGTGTACGGTCAGGTGGCTCTGATCTGTATAACGCTCGCGTTCGGCCTGATCACTGTCGGAGTCAGTTGTGTGACACTGGCCACCGACAACATTCTCACTTATGTGGTATGGCACTGAATGTCGAGAAATCACCGGAATAGGTACATTTTTTAGCAAATATTGATATCTGGAATATCGTTGGTCGCATTCGTGGTGAGCGGCGGAGTGGAGACGTGGTACGCCACTGGATACGATCACATGGAGTTCTTTATTCAGGTAAGCGCATGTATCTCAGCTGTGAGAAATGATATCAAAAACTTGTCAACTGATGAAATGTACATAGAATCCATTAGAGCAATTCGTTAGTTGACAACTTTTCGATAACTATAAAGGCAGCAGAGATATATAGTCTTTTGTGTTGTAGGCGGTCGGAAACGGTGTCTTCTCCGGTTGCGCCGGAATTCCGGGATGTCAAATCCAGTTCGTCGTCAAAGGATGGGCGGTGGCAGCGGTTAGTCCCACATTTCTCCCCAAATCATCGACATTCTGCGATTCCAGGCCTTTTATTTCCTCGGCGGACTTCTCTACGTCGTCGACATGATTCTGGTGTTCGTCTCGCGTGAAAAGTGACTATTTCCAACGGTTCCCTTTTCCTTTCTAACCGCCCCTATCGCTTGCCTCTTCAGTTTGCCTTCTTTGAATTGAAAACGAGCAACAAATGAGTGGCATTTCAGAGAAGTGTCCGATTCGTACGCGGTTACGACCACACATTATTAGGTTACTTCATTCACCATGCCGCCTTCATTTCTTTTTGTTCTGTGGAGGTACATAAAAAGCTTTCCGCTAATTCCCCCAGATCTCTATCACAAAAGAGCACAATTGAAACTATTTCAGTGAGCCAACGCCTCCAGTGGTCTTTCGCAGCAATCGTACCATCCGATCGTCATTCTGATTTGTTCTGACCTATGCAAGTTTAAAATAATGTGATTGTATAAATTGCTCATCGCTTTTCTGTTTCTTCCATAAACGTGTTCGTGTTTATTAGCCGTGTACATTTAAAACTTATTATGAAAAGAGTTATTAGATCGAATGGGCCGCTCAAAAGATCAGCATCCGAACCGATGGACGATCATGTCGAATTGGGCGAGCATGAGGTGGCCGCACGACGTGGCAACCACTTTTCGAAGACATTTCGTGTAGCGACGCACTTTTGGGCACTTTCTCTGAACGATTTTTGTTTTGCAAAAGCATAGTTGGTTTGGGGAGCGTTACGCGCCTTTAAAGTACGGTAGTTGAAATTTTTTGGCGGAACACATTAATAAAACTTATGGGGCTGTTCAGCGTATGTTTGTTTTCCGTTTTTTTGTATTTTTACACCGCTGAATTGGGTTGTTTGACGTAAAAAAACGAAAAAAAAACGGAAAAAAATAATTTTTTCACAGCCTGAATAACCCCATTAAAGGCGCGTATCGATAGTTTTGGAGAAAATTATAATACGTTTCGGAATGAAGAGAAAACCAACTTTTGCGGGAAGAGTCTCTCCTTTCGAGTACTTCTGACACACCGCCATTTCCCGTGATCCGATGGCGTTTATGCAGTCGTGCGTCCGCATCGACGCCTCAATCTGCTGACTCGTGCACACTTGCCCGAAATGCTCTTCTGCGAACTTTATCTGTAAACTCTGTTCATTTTCATTGAAACTTCGTCTCAACTGACCACCGGCTCACTCCGACACACTTCCGAATCGGTGTACTTTATGCAGTTTCGGTAGTTGGCGAACGCGTCGCACAGCTCCAAGAGCTCGATTTTGGAGAACTCAAAGATGGGGAAGACGACCTGGAGAGAGGAAAAGTTGAAGAGAGAAAAGTGAAAGTGTTAACCACTTCGGTTTCTTTGCGGTTCTCCTTGATTCCAGTCCATAGACGGAGGAGCGGAGCGAGGCACGAAAGGGCAGAGTTCTTCCGGCCGCCCACGCACGCTCTTGGAGCTTCCTCTGTGAGCAACACTTCGTCGGTTGAGTTGCCTTGATTGACTGCATCTTCTGCGAGAAGTTTGGGAATCTCCCCACTTCCGGATCCTTCGAGAAAGTCCCCACTGGATTCTGCTTCCGGCTCTTCCTGCTCAATGAGCATTCTGCACCCGAATCCGTTCGTCATTCGGTCCATCAACTTTACCGTTTCTTCCGAGCACTCTCCGATCAATCGGTCGATTATGCAGTCTCTGAACTGAGGATGTCCATCACATCGGTTCGGATTTGTAGAGTTCAGAAAACTGACGCATTCCTGGAAGTAAGAGGTTCTTCGAAGTCCCAACTATGAGTAGAAACCCACCGTATTCTCTTTGAGCACATTCTGAAGGCAGGTGAATTCCAGCTCGAAGTCCGGTAAATCTCGAAGTGTGCAAGCTTCTTTCAGTTGCGAATCCACGAAGCTTTTGATGGCGGGAAGTCTGCAGTTGCCGACGCAGAAGCTGCTCACGCACTGCCTCGCCTCTTCGAACTTTGAGCACAGCACCTCGAGTTCCATTGGCTTGATGCCGAAAAGTGGGAAACGGACGAAGGTGGCGGTCGGGGAGGAGTGGAGGAAACGGCCAAAGTCGCCGACGATACTCGTGAAGCAGTCGGTCATGTTCTCCGCGTTGAATCGCTTTCTTTTCGGCGTTCGGTCTTGTTCGACCACTGTCACTGCTCCGTCCCTCTGCTCTGGTGTTGGTGCTTCTCCGGAACTTTCAATCTCTCTGACCTCATCAATGATGGTCGCGGGCTCTGAAGTACTGTTCACAATGAGCTCTTCCCTGAGCACCACTGGCGTCGTAGTCTGTTCGTCGATTTGCAACGACGTCGTCACCAACATGTTCACTTCGATTCTCCGCTCTTCCGTACTTGTCATAGTTTCATTTGCCACGTCCTCCACAACTGTGACGCCTTCTACTCCGATGCTCAGGAACTCATTGACTCTGGCCACTTCTGGAAAACGATACTATTCATTTCACTGCAAGTGTCACATACCAATCTTCGCAGGACATCCATACTTTTCGACGGTCTTCATCACTAATGCATACGCCTCGTTGCCACAAAGTGTGCGCAGCGGCTCTTCGACGCAAGTGACGAATTCGTCGAGTTGCGGGCAAAACACTGCAAAATCGGATGAAATCAGATAGAAAATGTGTTTGGTCCCCTACAATCTCCGCCAATCTTGGGATCCCCATTGATTCGACTTGTGCAGTTGGATGCGTTCAACGCCGAAGCGATACAGTTCTGATTGGCAAAGTACTTCCCGGCCACATCGGAGGCGCAGACAAAGGAAAAGTGTCGAGCGACGAAGGTGGCGACCGGGTTTGCCACGTGGCACTTTCCCAGTTCACACTTTTCGGCCACATTCGAGTAGCTTTCGCAAAGCGTTAACAGCGACGATTTCGAGTAGTACACAACCTGAAACGAGAGACGTTAGACGCTGACGAATCTGTTCTGTTCTCTGTCGCCTAAACTCGTAGCGGCCCAAAAAACCAGTCTAATCGAATGTGCGTCGATGATAAATTGGCGAAAATGGAGAAAGAGAAAGAGATGGATAAACGATACATACTGGAAGCAGAACGTTCGTGGCATTCGTCTCCGAGACTCGCAGTTCTTCCCACGATTTCAGCAGGTCCATCATGCAGATCGCCGGGTTTTTGGGACATTGTGAAGGCGGGGACGAATCTAAACGTGTCACTTTTCTTAAACTCGTGTTCTTGCAGAGCTATGCGCCCGAAAATTGCAGACAAACTAAGTTTTGAGAGAGGAGACACTCACCTTGTTCAGCTGAAACCAGAGCGATGACAAGAAAAGTGAATAATATTGGCGCCTCTCTCATTGTTGTTGGTTTTTTGTGCGCGGTCATCAAAAACAGAAAGTGATCCCCTTGTCGGCGCTCGAGAAGACACCGAGAGATCCGCCCGTTTTGTATACCAGTTCCCCTTCGCGGCTTCTAAGCTTCTTCCTCCCCCTCCCCCTCCTCCCGTTCATTCCGTTCTTCGATTGTTCGCAAGCGCCAGAGAGCGGATGCGAACAATCCAGTAGTCGTTTACTCGTTGTCACTTATCGTTTACTTATCACATGCTTAATACTTGGATAGAAGCGCGGAGAGAGATCGCCGACAGAAACATCTCGGGGAGGAAAAGGAAGGAATACAAAGTGAAAGCGGTTAGAAACATGCAAAAACTGCTAAGGAAGAGATTGTTCTTCGTATAATCATCATTGAAAAGGCAAAAGCAATCGGGGGAACTTGGGGGAATTCATTAGCATTAGATTTCGTCGATGGAGAGCTCCGGGAAGTCGCCGACTTTCACGTCCACTGGCCTCACGAATCCTCCGTACTTGGGCTCGCATTCGAAATATCTCACTCCCGCCACCGATCCGTCATTCTTTCCGACCGGTTCATCGTACTTGACGCCAACCCAGAGCCCATCCTTGAACTTGGCTGTTCCAACGAAGGCGATCTCTCCGCGTCTTGCCATTTGCGCGCCGACGGTCACTTCGCACCGATCTCCGACTTTGATCCCTTTTGCCGCCTCCTCGTTCGCCCGGTCGCCTTCCTTTTCGACAGGAGCCACTCCCTGCTCCTCTTGTATTTTCTTCTTCCACGCCCTCACACTGTCCGTTCTTTTGTCATACGCGTCGTCGCTGATCTCGTACTTCTCCACCATACTCTCGTCCTTGAAGTCCTCGTTTCCGCCGGTCACGTCGATAGCGTGAATTCGGAAACCGTCGCGGACTCCCAAGTCCTTCAGATTCTTTGTTCCCTCCGTCAGTTCGCCCTTCGGTTGGTTATTTGAATCGAACAGTTGGATGCGCATCGATTCGGCAGCTGTTCCGACGATGAGCTCCAGCTTTTTCTTCAAAAATTGTTATTTAGACGACAATTCAACTACAAAATCAACAATTTACCTTCAAATCGTTTAGAGTGAAGACAGCCGGATACTTTTTTTCCACCGGAAAATCCATAGCATTCGTGGTGATTTCGATTTCGTAGACCTCGGACATTTCTGCAAGAAGAAGATTCGAGAATGTAACCAAGGGACAGAGCTTGAGGAAGAATGGGCGCTCATGCATTATAAATGTGTTCCGGAGGGCAGAAGCGAAGGGCGGAACAATTAGACACGCCCGGCACCTGCTGCCAGTGTGCGCATTGCGAAATCCAAATTTTGAATGAAATAGGATGAGCCGACAGCTGTCCAGCCGGCTTAATGGACCGAATTTCACTTCGAAATGCCAAAAATCTTAAATTTATCCTAAAAATGGAGAGCATATGGTGAAAAATTGCTTAGAAAAATAAAAAGAATCATTTTTCGGATTGTCCACGAGAAGTACACAGGAGTTCGGTAGAGCGCACTTGCATTAGCCATTCCTAGAAAGTTCCTCGAAGTTCCTTGGAAACTGCCTGTAAAACTGTTGTAAATAAACATTTCTGAAAGTAAGAGAACAAAGCACTTATCAAACATTTCAACTTCAAAAACCATCGCTACTTTTGAACCACTTGAAATCACAAGTGGACTACTGAAAAAGAAGGTCACATCGTCGTCCCGTGCGTCCGTCCGTCCATTCCGTCATTTCAACCAGTCCTCGCCACTCACCATGGTTCTTCTACTACTTTTGCTCCCCTCAATCTGCTCTTCTCAATACTATAATCCATCTCTGTATCAAAGTTACATGTCCGCCGGTATGCCACGTCAGCAGACGGTTCTCGTGCCAGTTTACTCGTACGGAGCATCAGGTTACGGGGCGCAGGCGTATCCGGGTTACGGTATGGGCTACCCGGGATACGGTATGTATCAAGGAGCCGGTTATCCAATGATGATGGGCAGCGGCGGTGGAGCTTGCTGCGGAGGAGCCGGTGACGCGGTGAGAAGGTTTATTGAAGAAAGCATTGAAAATAGGAATTCAGATGATGATGCCTCCTCGGGAAAGCAATGCGAAGAAGTTTTTGAGAGGAGCGACGGAGGGCGTGTTCATGGGAAGCGTCGGAATGCTCGGATTCCGGAAGTGAACAATGTCTTTTGGCGATTGTCTTTCAGGATTTCACACTGGTCTCGCTTCTTTCTTTCGATATCAAATAAATGTTTTCCTTTCTCTCTTCTACGATTCTGGAAAGTTTGCGCAAACGTTGTTTATAACCAGAGGCAATATTGGACATGTTACGCGCATAGCGCGGTGCCGTCTTTTCGAATGATAATCTGAAGGTCGCGGCTTCGAAGCCCATCAACCGAAAAACTCGTTTGCAACACTTCTCTGCTCAATTATTTTATTTTATTCAACAAGAAAGAGTGTGTCCGTTCTTCCGTCCGCCTCACTTTCTTCCTCCTCGACAGAAGAGACACTTGCGAGGACCGTCCTCCTGAAGCGATTCCCTCGGGATTGGCACCCAGATGACGTCGCCGCTGTTCTCGTCGATCGACGTCATTCCCTTCAAAATATCGAGGTTTTAATGGAAATGGCTCCAGCTGCTGACTCACCCGTGACGACGGAGAACGGAAAATGGCCAGGGTCGGCGCGAAAACGGCGGCGAGCACGATGAGAAGGAAGAAGAATCGCATTTCTGAGACAAGAGTTGGGTTGGAGAATGAATAGAAGAGTGAGTGGATGAAGAAATGAGTTTTTGAAATGAATGAGTATGCAAATAGCGAAGAAATTGGCAGCTGAAAAGGAGAAGGAGTGGGCGGAAAAGTTTATGAGTTTATATGTACTTCTTTTTCCAATTTTCCCCGGTTAGACATGCTCATTTGAGCGCATTGTCTTTTTTGGGGGAAATTGAACAAAAATGATGACGTGCGGCGAAAGATCGACAAATTTGCAGGTAGCAACAACTATTGTTATTCTCTATTTTTACAACTCACAAGAATGGACTCGAGACGGCCTAAAATGCAGCAAAGACCTGAAAATAGCGGAATAGAAAGCCGCTTTTTTTTTGAGCTACTGAAATAGAAAACGGGGACACTGCTAATTCGGCCTTTTTAGTGCGCGCACAATGTTGTCATTTACGAGGCTCCAGGGAGAGACCGAAAAAAAAGGCGGTGTGTAGACGCGTCAGAAGAATATTTGAACGCTAATGAAGAGTTTTGGTCGTACAGAGAGCACCATCTATTAATTTTTAATAATTATTAAGGGATGCGTGCAATTAAAAAAAAAAGATGCGCGTAAACACGAAGATTACTTTGTTTTGCATCACACGCTCATTAGACGTCGACGTCAGCAGCACGAATGAAACACCTTCGTCGGAAATGTACACCGTTTCTTTCTCGACACGAAAAACGGATCGAATTCGCGTAAAATAGTGATGTGAGAATTTTTTCCGCGTCATCTTCTGAATGAGCAGCGAATTGAATTCAGTTTAATTGTAGACAACCGAGGATTACGGGGCTGGTGCTGGAAAATAGGTTTATTGTTGAAAATTAAAGGAAAATACGATGAGAAATGAATGAAAGAATCTGCGGGTTGATTAGAATGGAGATTCTGGTGGAGAAAAGGCAGTCTGCTGCAGGTGAATACGTACATAAAATCGAATTGAATCAAATTATCGCTTCTTTTTTCCGTACAATCCGTAGTTGCTGAAAAATGTGTTTTGTTTCAAGAGAATTGAGTGGCGGCGAAACTTTTCGGCGCGCAGCTATGCGCCTTTAAACTGTAGCCGCCGTTTCTGTTCCTTGTTTCAGCGGCAGGTGAATTTTTACGCGTCTTATCGACAAAAAAAAGCAAATTTTGAACCGAAAAGTGTAAATGGTGATACGGTGTTTCAGTTTTTTAGGCCGCCGTGCGAATAACAAACTCACTTGCACCAATAATTCGAGTACGGACTGTACATGCCGAGACCTCCGAGTCCGCCATACTGACCGAGAGTGCCGAGGCCTCCGAGAGTTCCGAGGCCTCCATATCCACCGAGTCCACCTAAGGTTCCGAGTCCTCCGTACGTACCGTATCCTCCGTATCCGCCGTACATTCCCGGATAGATTCCTCCGTATTGTGCATTGACCAGTGGGACAAGTAGAAAAAGGACAAGAATCGGAGCAAGACAACGCATTTTGATTTTTAGGTTTTGACGAAAAAAAATGACAGCTGTGCGAAACGGAATGGGTAATATCGAGAGTATTTTGTGTGTGTGTGTGTGTGTATGCAAATCGACCTGCGACCGGATCAAATGAGAGAGAAATCGGATTACTATTTTTTTTTTGCCAACAATGTTCATATAATGGCAGGCGACCGCATAACCAAACCAAACCGAAATCGGAAATTGTTCATTTTGGGAGACCCGTACTTTCACAAAGTAGACAACAGACAGAAATCGGATCAAATTAACGTCGAGTACTCTTCTCCTCCGCTGCTGCCACGTGGCTTTCCGATTCTCGAGCTGAATCGAGGTGGGCCACGTTGAGCTTCCACTTCGTCTGAAACATTGAAAATCGGCTTTGTTTTCATTTTCACTCGCTCACCATGATAATTGGCGTACAAATCGGCGGTCTGAACGTACTCGCTGTACGTGGGCGGAGGGGTGTCCTCACTTTGCGCGGCCGAATAGAATCCTTCGGCGAACTCGTCGTCCTCCTCCCAATCGTCCACATTCTGCTTCATCACGCTCTTCAAGTACCACATCCGGTACTCTTCGTACCGATCGTGACGGTTCAGTACGAAGGTGGCGATGTAGAAGAGGAGGTAGCCGACGAGACCGAGCAGAATGAGCGCGACGAACAGCAGGATGAGCAGGTAGAGCCATTGGCCGGGGAACTGGAAGACAGCGGATCGGAATTGTGCAGGGGAAATGGAAAACTAACGACTGTGAGCTGCGAATTGATTCGATTCTGCACGTCGTTCACTTTGCTGACGACCATGTTGACCTGAAAGTGAATTGTGAGAAGGAGAGAAATGCATAGAGAACAGCAGACGACTCACATGTTGATCAAATACTCCCAGACCGAAATTCATGCCTTCCACGATTTGACCGAGGCCTTGATCGAGCTGAAACATCGGGGTTTGTGGCGGATCAAATAGAGCATAAAAGTGCTGTTCAGAAACCGGATCGTAACTCGAGAATGATCATTTTTGGAATAAAATGATTAATTACAAAGTTGTTCAGCGTAAAATTGACAACAACTTATCAGTTGACTGTTTTTTGAAATCATTATCGGTTCTCGAGATATTAATAGTAGAAGTTCGAAGGAAGTAAGCGCTATAAAAACTAAACGGAGCACAGCTATTATAGGACAAAGTGTGGTGAAAAGCAGAAAATTCGTGTTTTTGTGTTGCCGGGAACACTGCTCCGACGGGCCGACGTGCCGAGCAAATCGAATTCGCGTGTCAAGTGGTCCGAGAAATTCCGAGAAGTTCTTGGTAATCGGATAACCGATTGGGAGAGTGAGTGGCAATGGAAAACGTGTCGGGATTTGCCCAGAGTGGCGAGGAAACGAGAAAAGCGAGCAAGAGCTGTTCGTGTTCTGATTTATACACATTCTCACACTGCAATTATTTCCGGCGATTTTGTGCTCTCACGGATCGCGAAGAAAGCCGAAAAACAGAGAGAAAAGAGAGAAGAAGCAATTCGGCGAGCATGACGACCTTTTATTATTATGTCTGGCCATGTTTTGGCCCGCGCACACCACAAATGCAATTGCACGAGCAAGTTGACTCGTTTCGCGTGCGAAAATTTGCGTGCTGCGCCTTTAAACAACTACCGTATTCTTCAAAACTTTGAATTTTCGGATTTCTGTGCTAAATTTGCGAAACAACAGTGAAATTTGATTAGAAAACGCGCATAAATGATCGGTTTTTGCCAATTCAGACATGGTTTTCACTTCGATGACAAAATAATGTCGCATATTTTTGAACGGTTAAGCGCTTTTAAAAATCAAAGCTTTCAACTGTGATTTCTGGTTGAAATCGCTTGCATGCGCATGGCAATTCGGGGGCTCCACAAATGCAAATGATATTGGCATTTAAAATTTTGGTGCCCAGGGACAATCCAATTTAGCGAGAGAGAGAAAGAGAGAGAGAGACTCACGTTGACTAGCGTCACATTGATGTTGTAGATGCTGTAGTAGATGTTCTGAATCTCCTCGTCGACGCCCATTTTTGAAGGGAATGAATGCGAAAAGGGGTACTCGTTATCACTTCATCGACGAGAGCGAAGAGAAGGAGAGAGCCTTAAAAGGGGGGAATGTCTCACTGTTTGCTCTCTGATTCATTTCACGCATATGTACAATCATCATCAAAAAGGGACGAAGAGTTTTATTAGTTTGTGTGCGCGCGAGGACAAAGAGATCGAAACATTTTGGGGGCTGAAAAGCATCAATATGGACTAGGTCATGAATGTGTGTGTTTGGCAGAAGCGGAAAGCAATAGGTCAACTAGAAGACGGAAAGAGCAGAGGACACCGGTAAGCGAAAATGAGCAGAGAGAGAGAGAGAGAGAGAGAGAGAGGCGGGAGGAGAAGGCACTGAACAACAAAAAAGAGGCACCTAGAAGGTAGAACATGAAACGGTTAGACTTCGAGTCGCGTCGAGTAGGGTCGCGAGGAGGAGGAGCTCGACGGGTCCACTCCGTACTTTCCGGACTCGTCGGGCCGCCGCTGGTACGGTCGCACGTTGTTGTTCTCGGGCGCCGAAATTGAGACGGTCGAGTTGGTCTCTGAAAAGTGTACAGTTTGTTGAGAAATGTCAAAAAGTTGTTGAGTTTATTTAGTTGGTTAGCACCAAGGCTAGGAGAAAGGTCTCGACTGTCTTGCATTCAGGACGCGGTATCTCAGCTGTGGGGGGAGATATAAAAAAGTCGTCAACTGGTAACATGTTCAGAAAGAGATTTTGCACATTTTCCTAGTTGACAAGTTTTTGATATCTCCATAGAGAGCTGAGATATAATGTTCGGAATGAATGGTATCTAACATAGAAGTTAAACCGAAACGTGCGTAGAAGTTGGTTACATGTTTCGAAAAAGTTACAGTTACAGCGTAGATAAAAACACAACGAACACAAGCACACCACACCTCTTCGATAGCCGGGCCTCCGCGGCTCGGCCTCCATCGGAATCTGCACGTGTCGCATCGAGCTTCGCGTCCGCTGCGATCCGAAATCAGCGCCTCCGCCAGTGCTCCGTCGTGTCTTCTCGACGAGCATCCGTTCGGAACCTGATGAAGACTGAATCATGGCGGCACACAAAATCATTGATAGTTGGAGGACGGAGGGAGAGGGAATGAATGCACAACAACGATTTTCTAGGCACGAGAACAGAAAGAGCAACTCACTGTCGTCCGAACTTTTCATTATCGAATAGATTGCGTGCGCTTTTGTGATGAGATTGAGTAGGAGCACGACGGAAAGGAGGAGGAAGACGACGATGAGTGTGATGAAGAGTAGGTAGAACACCCAGCTGTTGGGCACCTGAAAATGAGAAACTCACTGGGAACAGGACCCAGTCTCTCTCTCACCTGTGACACCGTGTTGCCCACTTGATACGTGACGGAGCCGGCGTCCTTGGCGAGGTTCGCGACGGCCTGATCGAAATTGTCGAGTGTCTCGTTGATGCGACCCGTGATGCCCGAGATCTGTCCGTTGATGTGCGCGACGAGCGTGCTGAGCTGTGCCAACGTGCCGCTGAGCTCGGTGATCGTCTGATCCACCGACATTCTGCAAAACGGCGAATAGAGGAAAAGTGTATATCGGTTGGAGTCGGAGTCTGTGTGCGTGATGTGTATGTGCGAGGTGTTTAGAGAAGAGAAGCGTCCCGCATGTTTTATCGATAGGCAGTAAAAGGGGGAAGAAGAAGAAGAAGGCACGGGAGGGAAGAAGCGCATTGAATTGAATCGAACACACACAAGCACACACAAAATATTGACACATTATTGATGATGATAACACAGAGAACCACGACACGAAACGTGGGAGGAGGCACATGTAAATGTAAATGAATAGGACCTTTCGCAAAACGAGGAACGATAGACAGAAAGTACGGCACGGTCTCATCATGATTCATTGTGCACACTGCTGCGTGGTGGGGGGGAGAGGCAAAAGTTGGAACCGATCGTAGATGGACACGACGAAGAAACCAATAATAAACATTGGGAAGGTGTGAAGAATTGTACGAGTTTTCTGGCGCACCGCCTCCACTTTCCAATTAGCAAAACTGTATACTCATCGGCTCTCTCTCTCTCTCTCTCTCTCTCTCTCTCTCTCTGTGTCTCTCTCTCTCTTTCACTGTCTCGCCTCAAGAATATACTGTTTGCCATTCATATTTCATTGTCATTTGATTCCATCTTCCGGGCTTGATATCACTGTATGCTCACTGTCTGGAGGGAGGGAAAAATGAGTCAAAGTTTGGATAAGTTGATGTCATTTTTTCCGACTGACTCATCTTTTGGAACGGAACGATTTTTAGGGCTTCAGGGGTCATTGGCCGAGGGATGCAGGTTGAGTCAGCAACGCACACTTTTGTGCTGCGCCTTTAATGTTACCGTATTCCGCGCGTGGTTTTTTTACACGTTTTTGGTGTAATTTTCGGTGCGAAAATAGATTCTCTATCACTTTTGTTATTTGAGATTCGAAGCGGTGGAAACGATTAAAAAAAAAGTCAGAAAAGCGTTTGGGGTACGGTAGGTTTAAAGGCGCACAACCAAAGTTGAGAAATTTTGTTAAATTTTGCAGGCGCGGTTTTTTCCCGGGTCGAACCGGGACGAGAGCAACTTTTTGGGTGAAAAACGAATAAATTGGCTCAAAAATTAATTTAGAAACGCAAAACCGGTAGAAAATCGTGACTTTTTCCGAAAACGTTTCAAAAATTCAAAATTTTGCCAAAATGATTTCTGCTCTATTTTCAGCCCCTTTGAATGCAGAAATGCAACAGGCGGAAAGTCAAACACACTCGCACCGCTATTGTCCAAAACTGACACAATTGAAAGATGCGAATCAAATCACACATGTGTCGGCAAACAAGAACCTTATCAGTTGGCGGTGGAAGATGTTGGTTTCAAACGTCAAACAGAACCGAAATTAGCGGGGAACACTTCTCTCGGGAGGAGCACTGCCTTGCCCGTCTCTCCGATTGTCTCTCCGTCTCTGCATCTCGCTTGTTCCACTTCTCTCGCCATTCGCCCAGCTTCTGCGCGGTGAGTTGCGGTTCGGGGTGGGGCGCCGCGTACCTCACCGCCCTCAGGTTAATATTTGTTCAAGTGGCGACCGATTCGACCGCGCGCGCGCGCGCGCAGTGTCAGGAGAGCCGCGCACTATGTCAGCCGCTTTGCCCCCGTAGTAGCCGATAGCCACGTGGACGGCGGCCGGGCGGGGACATCATGGCTGTTTGTTTACCTTTTCGGGCGACGGCTTCGCTTCGAAAACCCCCCGAGATCGGATGTCATTTAGTCTTCGAATTGTGAAATTGTGAATTGCGAAAATTGTAAATTGAAACACACGAGAGTGGAGAGGTGTTCCGACTTCCGAGGGAGGCGAACAGGGGAAGTTGAAGAAACTAAGAATAATTTGAAAAAGACTAGGTTGAAAAACAGAGAAAGTTCGGCCACGGCCTTCTCGGAGTCTACAGTATCAGTATGGTGTTGCCAGCGCCTTTGAACAAAAAGTATTACGGTAACTTAAAGGCGCAGGGCTAAAAAGTAGGTCGATATAGGGAAGACAGCTTGCAAAAAACGACTACCTTGGCACAAAAAAGAATGATTTCCGAGCAAGGAGCTGCTCGCGCACTGATCTTATCAATTCCCACACACACACACACACTTGCCGGCAGAACCAGAACCACTTGGAACCATCGGCACAGATATAAAAAACAAACAGAGAGGAGAGTAAGTGAGCCACTTTTTGATCAAGAAAAAACTGAGCTGGATCTGTTTCCACACACACACACACACCAATCAATCGAAGAGGGTGGGAAAGAGAGAGAGAGAGAAAGAGAAAGAGATGGAAAAGCACCGATTTGAGGAGGGGGCGGTGTTTGCCGAGCGACGAGACGGGAGCAGCAAATCGGCGGGAGCAGAAAGGTGCAAGCACAAAAGGGGCAATGGATCTTTGGCGTGAAAAGTACCGAATGTTGCGATAAATGTGGGGCAGCGCTGGGCAGCGCTGGGCAAGTGACCGGCCCAGTCTTCTCAAAGGCCTGTCTCTTGAAAAACTTGAAGTATCACGGGTCCTGGTCCCGAGATATGTGGTCCGACTGTAACAAGTCGTCCAAAAGTCCAGTCCTGTCCTTTGAAAAGTTATGAGCTAGAAAAAGTTGGTACTAGGTACGAATTCACAGAAAGTCTTCCGCTATACAAGGCAGCTGATGTTGTAGCGCGTCGTTCCCAATTGAAATGTAGACAGGGACCAAACAAAAGTGATTCATCGTCTCGATTGGATTCATATTTGGGATGGGCGGGCGGAGCATTGTTTTCATTCAGCTATTGTACAACATCCATGACGCCCAAGACCCTTCTTACCTGTTTTTGATAAATGGAAGTATGATCGAAGTCATGGAATATTCGCGTCAACGCACAAAGTTTTGGTGCGTTAGTGACCGTCTGTGTCGGGTAACTCGATCCGATTCAAGTGGACCTATTTTCTATACGAACTGATGAATTATGCAAATCAAAACACTTGCTTTCGGGCTTTTCATCTTTATTGTACAATTCGAGATCGAGGTAAGGCCAAGAGAAAAGAGCATCAAATATTCTCAATGTCCGACTCGGCGGACAACTTCTTTCGGAATCGGTACTCGGTGACTCGTTCGCCGAAGAGCAGGAAGAGGAAGATTAACTCAAAAAATAACGTTTTTTCGTCTAGAGTTTTCAGCAAAAATTACCGTAATCACAACAAGAACCAAGCCGACAATGACCATGACGATGAGCTCGGTGACGGGCCAATCGTGCGTCTTCTGCTTGACAATGTCGACAATGCGGTCCACGTTCGGAATGGTTCCATTGTTGAACGCGTCTTTCATTCGATTGAATGTCTGCACACCTCGATCCGCTATTTGGAGTCCCGCTGTTTCGCCCTGAAAATTTGACATGTTTAGTTGGGGGCTGCGCCTTTAAAGTTACCGTAATCTATTTTGTGCTGGAAAAAACTTACATCTGCGGTGAGCGTGTTGATCTGATTGGCCAACTTTTCGACCTGAGTGACCACAAAATCGATCGAAGCGTTCGGATTCGGATTCAGCGTGGTCGTCTCGAGAACATTATAATAGTTGTTGCCGTACTGATTGAAGCGAATCGGTTGCGGCTGCGATTGCCACATTTCTTGTCTCGGGAAAAGTACTGAACAGTACGAATGTTGTTGATGCAAATGATAAAAGAGAAAGAGAGAGAGAGAGAGAGAGAGAGAGAGAGACGGGAGAGAGAAGCGAAAAGAGGAAAAGGAATCGATAACCGGCGCGAGAGTCCGCTGCATGACGCATTATTTGCACACCGCCTCCCGGAGGATCGACGCATGTTTCCATGAGGTGCGGAGGAGGAAGAAGAATGGAAAAATGGATTAGTCACAGCAATCTTTGTTTGAGATGTAGATTTTTGAGTTCATATGCAGGACACACGACAATCTGAGATTCAGGGGCAACAATATATACAGTAAAAGCGAGACGAAATTAGTGGAAATTGATCAGACTCTGCTCTGACGACGACTTTGGCTCTTCGGCGCCTCCATAAGCTTTTGCATCTGCTTTTTGAGCTCCAGCTCTTGATTCTTGTTCTCGTGCTCCTCGATCAGCCACAATCCCTTCTCGTGCTTCTGCATCACCGCACTGCGGACCGCCAGTTTCAGCGCCTCGTTCATCGACCACTTGCTGTCGTCGGGCTGTCCATGGCGCACGAAATCGCAGTCCGCCCTGTGCGTCTTGTGCTCCTTAAACGGATCGTCCGTCTCGTCGAACTCGAGCTCCAGAAGACAGAACGAGCATTTGGCGGATGTCGACGAATCCTCGTGGTTGGTGCGATGAAATCCGGCGCGGGCGAGCTGAAATTCAGGGGATTTTGCTTTTCGCTAGAGATTCAATTCCGTTTTTGCTCACAGTTTTCGAAGTGCACGCCAGCTTCTGTTTGTCGTATGCAAATCCTTTGAGAGTGGCGAGACGCTGCTCGTAGGTGAGGTATTTGGAGCCTTCACGAAGCTCCAGAAGCTTCTTCGTCGACTCTACGGACAACGGATTTTCTGCGGGAATTGTGTCTAGAATTCCGATCAATTCAAGCATTTCCTCGTACATTTTGGTGGTCGCAAGACGTAGTGCCAGTTTGACAGCCTCCTGGGGCGTCCAATCCTTCTCGTTGAGCTTTCCGATCGTCACAAAGTCACAATTGCTCGACAGGGACGTGTGATTCGCCCATGGATCGTCGGACGGGTCGAAATCAAGCTCGAGCAAACAGAACGGACATTTGGCGGAGAACGAACAATCGTTTGACTGTGTGGACAGCAGACCAGCACGAGAGATCTGAAACTTGTGAAATTATCATTTGAGCAATCGAGAAAGTTTGAGAAAAACCTGATCAACGGTGCGGCAGTAGGTCATAAGTGAGTATTGTCGCTTGTCGAGACCGATTCTCGAGAATGTGGCATATCGAGCGTTGTGCGTGAGGTACTGAGCCGATTTTTTGAGCTCTTCTAATTGAGTCGATGCGAGTTTGTGCGAGAAAAACATTTCTGTGAATTTAACACCTAAAATTGAAGCAAAAGAAGCGGAAATGTTGAATTCAAAATTAAATTTAGCAGTTCCCGCCAAGAAGGCAGCAAGTTCGCTCTACCGCATTCTTGTGTACTTCTCTCGGACAATTCTTGCATTTTTCTTTTTCATTCAGTTTGCCGATTTTCAGAATGATTGCTGGATTTCCGGCCAGAATTCTTTTGCGACGGGTATCACACAGCTCCAGTGCATTCTTCTCAAAGGAATCCACATCATCCAATCCACTGACAGAGAAAAAGGAGCAGGAATTACAGGTGAGCACAAATTTTCAGTTCTCAAACCAGAAATCTTGCAGAATTACACCGGAAAATCGACTGTTGGCGAGAAGAAAAGCGTGGGCATCTTCGGAACGAGCACAGTGCCAATTAACACCAATTTTCCGAATCCAAAAGTGAGAACTCTACAATTTTCCAGATTTATTCAATTTTTTAATTTCTTCCAGGGAGTTGTCGGTTACGATCCAGATTTTTCGATAAAAGAGTTGGTGGCCGAGTTGCCGAACACAAGAAAGACGCAGGGAACCCTACTGGCCGCAGAATTGAAAGACGTCTTCAAAAACGTGTCGATTGAAAAGACAGAGCTTCTGGAGGATATTGGATTCGTGCGGCACAACGAGGCACGCGTCGAGTACCGATTCGACACGAAAGAGGTGTGAGATCTAATGTTAATCTGTCAAACTTTCCATTTTTGCAGAGCTTGGATTTGTGGAAGACCGGATGTGACAGCGACTGGAAAGAGGGATTCTCGACGTGTTCGATCGTGAATTCCGATCATGGAACTGCGGTTTTCAGCGGAAACATTTCGACAAAAGTGCTGAAAGACGGAAGAGTCGAACGAGCCGGATGGGCGTCGATGAAGCTCGAAGATCGGAAGGCGTTCAATCGGAAGAAGTTTCTCTCCAAATGGAGGAACTTTTCACATTTACTTCTGAAGGTACTTTAATTTCAGTATTTTGGAATCAAACTTTGAATTCAAAATCGTTCAGATTCGAGGCGACGGCCGGAGCTACAAGATCATGCTCCACTCGCCGCTTTCAATGGATTTCACGTGGGGCGACTCGTTTTCGCACCCTCTTCACACGCACGGCGGTCCTTACTGGCAGTACGAGAAGATTCCTTTCTCGAAGTTCTTCCACACCGTCGCCGGACGCATTCAGGACCGGCAATACCGGGTGAATCTCGAGGATTGCAGTTCGATCGGAATTGTGCTCATGGATCGTATGGACGGCGATTTTCGGCTGGAGATCGACTACGTCGGCGTGTACAACGACACGACACACGTGGAGGATTTCGCCTACGAGACGTACACATTGCCGGTCTTCAACACGCACGGATTCTAAATCCTTTGTTAGAAATGTAGAAAAATATGCAAATTTTAGTTTCAAAATCGTTTTTCTATTCGAAAAACAACAAGCTAAAAGACGATATTTACACTTCACCACAAAAATCGGTGAAAACGGAAAACTTTGCATAAGAGAGGGGACCGAGAGAGTGACAGGAGAAGAAAGTGACGAACCGGTACTTTGTCCGAACATTTCAAAGGCGTTCGACGCTAACGACAGAAAACCTATAATAAGGGAAAAGGAAATATTAAAAGCAGAGAGCGGAAAAGAGTATGCGAAATGAATTGGCTAGGGGGGAACGAGTGACTGGAAAGGGTGCGAGATCGGAGAGGTTCAGAGCATCAGGTCCTTCTTTTTGTTCTTCGAGATGAGCGGAATGTACGGCTCCACGTCGACCTGTAAACGATAAATCGAATGAATGATTTCCGATCAGAAACCAGTTGTGATCAACTTTCACTCAAAGTTTCAGTGACAACCCGTTCCAGAACTGACCCGATCGCCGTCGATGACGTGCGGCCGCTGTTCGATCGCCCTGTTTGCGCCGTCCTTCGAATCGAACGTTATCGATGCGAATCCACGATGAAGACCCGTCTCGGGATCCTGAAAATCACTTTTGTCGGGGAAAAATGATAGAAAACATACGTAAAACATGTTAACACTTTGAATAGACCCGTATCGCTTGAAATAATGCTCTAATTGTGCTGAAAACAAATTTTCGATACATTTTGTTAAAATACGAGACAAACCTTTTCCGGTGACCCATTTGACGTGTGTCAAATAGACAGTCTGTCCGGAGACTTTCGGCCGAGCCTCGATTAATTTACGAATATTGGTGGTGACTCCTTTGGCTACTGACCGCATGTCTGAACAAAAATAATTGGGTGAAAAGTAGGTTTGAAACGGAGAACGAAAAGTGTTGAGACAAGCGAGATCATATGATTTTTCACTGAATGGCAGCGGTGCGACGTGTACTTTGGAGCGCGGTTGCATCACGAGAGCGTCCCGTCTCGCCGTCTCCGTCTCGCCTTTTTCGCCCCGCACAAGTACTTGACGCCACGCCACGCCGCGAAAGAACGGAAGAAAGAAAGAAAGAACGATTGATTCTTTCGCGTGTATAAAACAGATAACAGCGGAATGAGGTTTCTTTTAAAAGTTTTCTGACTTATAAGGTCACATGACATGTCTATTTTGGAAAAAATCAGAATTCAAAGTAGAAAAAATACGAAAAAAGCAAAGAAATCAAGCAAAAATCAAGCGATTTGCGTCATTAAAAAATTACAGTATTCTACAACGTTTTTCGAAAGTCACCGGTCTTGCCACGACTTTTAGGCATGCGTCTTTAAAAATTGTAAAGATTATGGTTTAGAGAAGCAAAAATCGGAAAAATGTGACAAGAAATTAAGTTCCCGTCGCGAGGATGCTGAAGAATGAAAAAGGTCTGGTTTGGCATTTTTCAACATAAAATCTAAACTCGTAAAGCTAAAAAATCCTATAAAGTTTACATAATTTTTAAAAATGTAATGAGGAAATGTGCAAGAAAGAGACAATGTTCAATTTTTCGAACATGATATTGTTACTGACTTTTCCCTTTCTATTTAAAGGTGTCCTTGTGAAACAAGTTCGATCGAATTGGGGAAGAAGAAGTAGAACATGAACACACCAGCGAGCATAGTACAATCAGGCACATGTCATTGTTTTTCAGTGTTTTCGTTCGCCGTCCTTTCCTCCCTCTTAATGACGTCAATCAGGTCACCCGTCACTTTTTCTTCCGATCCCTCCGAATTGTGATTTGCGGGGAATGTCCATCAAGTCGTTCTGCCGTCCATCACAGCAACTGGTAGCCAAGAGTTTCAGACACTATCTGTCCACTTTTATCGTAAATCAACCGCCGCCGCCGCGCGTCCCCATCCATTCCGTTTCGTTCGCCAGAAGAACAGTGAAAGTGATAAGCGAGTAAATAATGAGGAAGCGGACGCCTTCCGCGAGATCCGATCCCGTTCCGCTCATTGCTTTGCATTACCAGTTTGTTCGAAACTAGACAACTTAGTGGCTTTTTTTCCTTTTCTTCGTCGTCTCGTTGCCTCGAACCGAACCGCTACAACTATCTGGGTCACTTTATGAGATCTCATGCCAAGCCTATATAAATATGTGCGGAGTGGGCGCAGCGCGCTTTCGCTTCAATCCAGCATCCTCATCGAAATGATGATGCTCCGGCAGTTGATACTCACTTTATCCGGCCTCGCCGTCGGCCACGCCATCTTCTTCGGAATGGGAGGCGGTGGCGGCGGCGGCGGCGGCTGTTGTTGCGGATGCGGAACTCCACAGCCACCGAGCTGCGGTTGTGCTCCAGCGGTTAGTCTTCAGCGTTAGCCTGAGCTTTTCAGCAACACAATATTCCAGTGTCCTCAAGCGCCGGCGTGTCCAGTGTGTCCCGCTCCTCAACCATGTCCACCTCCACCACAAGCGTATTGTCCCCAAGTGCAACCCGTCTACATTCAAAGCTCCGGAGGATGTGGTAGGTCACGGGCGTGTCACGTTGCGAAAAAAAAGAGAGCATTAAAACAATTCAAAGTTTTCCGTGTTGGCGCGATCAAAATTTTCGGATAATATGCTAGAAGTTTCGCGATAGGGGTCCCGCAGCGAATATTGCAATTTCGTTTCGAGACCCGCTTTCACAGAAAACACAGACAAAACTCAACAATTTCAGGAGGTGGCGGCGGCTGCGGCGGAGGTTGTGGAGGCGGTGGAGGTGGATGCGGAGGCGGCGGCGGCGGCTACGCGGGTGGTGGCGGAAGCTACGCATCGGCGCCAGTGTCTCTTCCGGCTCCATCTGCAGGATACGCGGGCGGAGCTGCTCCGTTCGCAGCTCCAAGTGGTGGATACTCTGGCGGCGGCGGCGGCGGTGGCGGAGGTGGTTACTCGAGCGGATACTCTTCTCGCGGAGGAGGTGGCGGATATTCCGGTGGAGCAGTGGCCGCCGGAGCCACGGCCGCGCAAGTCGACGAGGCGACAGAATCGGGAGGCGCGGAGGGCACCGAACCGGCAGCCGATCAAGTGTTCCGATCGCCGAAGGAACAGTGCACACAGCAAGTCAAGTACATTATGCTCAGAAGCCGAAAGGTGCCGGGCACGGACACGTCGGAGCTGGTGGAGGAGGAGTTGGAGCAGGTGCAGAACCCGCCGCCGCACGTGGAGGCGACCGCGAGTCCGTTGGACGCTCAGCTGGGAGATGAGATTGCCGCGCAGGATCAGGCGGCGACGGAAGAAGTGGTGGGCGAGGAGGATTCCAGCGATGGAGGGGACTTCAAGGCTCGCGGAGCAAAAACTGCGATCACCGATGAGAAGTGCAACAGCAAGGTTCTTCAGAAGCTCGTCACCGATGTAAGTGGACCGTTGCCAAAATTAAAAATCAATTAACTTGCAGAACATTTCCGCGAATGACGCGCTGGCGTCGAAGAAGGCGATCCACGAGAATGCTTTGCAGCAGTTCCCAGACAGCAGCGTGGACGTCATCTGCTCGACGACTGGCTTCACATATCTGGTGAGCACGACAGAGCACTGCGAAGCTCAGAAGGACGGTGTCATCTGTTTCGTTTATAAGCGACCACTGTAATCTCAGTTCTCACGACCCCTATTCAGAACCCCTATGTGCCAATCGTTAATTTAATAAACTCTTCTTGTAAAACGTTTCATTCCCTCTAAATCAAATATCTACTAGCTGCTCCGCGTCTTTCTTCGTCTCTTCCCACTCGATCGCCGTCGTCTCCTCGACGTCGTCAGCAAATTTGTTTTGAGGAGTAGCTCGGTGACTTGACAAGAAACCAATCATCCCACACGGCTGTCTTGGGTTCGCTGTTACGATGTCTGAACTGCAAGTGAGAGTCTAGAACTGTACAAAATGCGGGCGGAAATGGCATACCTTCGGCTGACAATCACCGGCTCTCTTTGCGCCATCATGCACGGCGTTTCGTTGGCCAGCAGTGCTTGACGGAGATTCCAGATTTGACCACGGACGACACGGAGTTGACTCTTCACGAGCATGTAGTTGGAGCTCGCGATTCCGTGACGGAACAGTTTCTTGAGATCGGCGCAGAGCCGATGGACAAACTGCGGCGTGAGCAGGGCGAGCACGTTCTGTCGCAGCTGCGGATCGAATTCTGCCTGCGCCCACGGAAGGTTCGACCAGCGGAACGGGAACGTGCGGAATCTCGACGTGCATTCGGGGTGTCTCACTGGGAACGCGAGTCCGTTATCGATCGCGGCCAGGTTGATTTCCTGACCGGGAATGTGGCGGACGAGCAGATTGTCCATGTGACGGTCCGTGTTGCGGATTACGTAGTCGACGATGCACATCTTCTGGAAGAGCAACTCGAATCTATTTTCCTCCTCTTTGTTCAGCAGGTTCTTGTCGTAATTCCAGCGGGCGAACACAGTGTTTCCGCTCTCGTAGCCATTCACGTACAGCTGGAAACTTCCCTCCTTCGGGCGGACGTCGTAGTGACCGAAGAAGCGCGAGTAGAAGAATGACGGAGAGGCGAGTTTAACGATGCGAGTCGTCGGAACCACATCCAGCTGCAGCATCTCGCTCACGATGCTCGCGGCCGCCTCCGAAAGGTAGCCGGTGTTCGGAATGAGACAGGCGCGGCCAAAACAGCAGAAACAGAGCATTCTGAATGAGATTTTTTAATGAAAAATTTCTCTACCATGTGTTTGTGTTCAAACCCACCTCTGAAAGAACTTTGGCCATTTTGGGTTGAGAGAAGCAAATGGTTCCTCGTCTTTCGGCTTGAAAACGCCCAGAATTTCGCCTTCGGATCCGTAGACAAAGTAAGAGCCGGAGCTTCCCTCGGGAATCAAACTCGGCTGTATTCCGTGGCTGATCGCGTCTTGCGCCTTTCGGAATACCAATTGGAACTCGTCGTCCACCTTTTTTCGGTGCTCCAACGATGACGTCAAATCGTAAATCGACGAGGAGTCGGTGTCCAAATCCACAGTGCTCTTTACGGTGTTCAACGATTCGACTGACTGCAAACAGACAAAAAATGCATAAATTAATAAGTGCAATGAGAAAATTACCATCTTTTAAAATTTGCTACTGACGATGACGAGTCAGATTTTTGAATCGGTAGACGATTTCTGCAAATTTCCTTGTTAGAATAGGTAAAAATTATCAAAAAACTTACAGTACTAGCAGAGATTATGCAATCAGATGTGATTGCAATGAAAAAGTAGAAATGGATGAGCGAAGCGACGTGGGAAAGCGATCGAAACACGCCACAAAAATTGGAACAGAATTCGAAATGAAAGCGGGTTACGGTGGCGGTCAATGTGTGAACACCGCAGAGAACGCACGCCGCACAATTGCGTACGATTTTTTTTACCGGTTTCAAGATGGTGGGTCTCAGCTAGGCTGGTCGAACAGGCGATTTCAGGCGCCTGTTTTCTCAACGCAGGGATGCGGCGGCCCGTTGAAAAAACTGGCGCCTGAAAAGCAGGCGCCTGTTCGATCTCTTTCGCACGTCGCTTCGCTCATCCATTTCTACTTTTTTATCGCAATCACATCTGATTGTATAATCTCTGGTATAGCTATTATATGCTGAAAAAAGGAGGAATGCAGTCCCCTCGGCCGAGCCTCGATCACAATCATTCACTGGGAATCAACCCTACTCTGGTTTGTTTGTGATGTTTCATTTTCAGCTTTCAGCCTTTCGATTTGTTTTTTGAAAAACCGATTTCTCGAAATTTTCTCCACATGCTCTTCGACATTTATCTCAATGACACCTTTATTTTTGTTTGCAGCATCAAAATCAAAATCATAAAAACAGCTATAAAAGTGTACTGATAACTCAAACATCATGCACATGCTTTTCCCACACTTCTGCCACCTGATCGCCTCGCGACGTGTGCAGACGAGCGGTCGAAAAGACGGCGCCAACAGCGTAGAAGAACGGACGAACGACATAAATGAGGAACATCGGCCAGACCATGAGCACTTGCGAGAGAGTCATTCGGGCGAGAATGAGCAGCGGCTGAAATAATTAGAAATCGAATAGAGTAGGGCGGAGGAGAGCTTACGCGGACGATCCAAATGTTGAGAAAAGCGAACAAAGCGAAGAGGAATCCTCCTAGAACGGCGATGAGTAAGCCGAAAATGAGAGTGAGAATCTTGTAACTGTAGATTCGGACAATTTCGAAAATCTAAAAATGGAATATTGGAATTTCGGTCTCAAAAAAGCTAGACGCACTCTAAAAGACAATGTCCAAACACATGCGATACTGTGATACTGTTCTCCGGGCTCAGCGAACACTTCGACGAACGAGGTCTGAAAAATAAAAGTAGTTCAGGTGAAGAGACTCTGAAACTGTTATACATTCAAGTATTTCACAGAGTTTTGGGGATCTCTATCATTCATATCCAATTTATGGCCTAAAACTGGTGCAATGTTCTCGACTCCAATGTCGAACGCCATTTCCGGGTTCGCGGGCTTTGAGCTTTTAGATCGAGACTTCTCTGCCGCGGATTGTTGGGAAGGATGTTCTGGGAGAGGGATCTCGTGAGCTGCGTCCTGAAATTCGATATTTTGTCATTAAAGTTGAGATAATTTGTTGAAAAAGTACCTTTGAGGGAGAGATCCTTCTGGAAGATCCTCTCTGGGAAGCAATATCGATCACAGTGACATGTCGTTCTCCTACCACGTGCGGTTCATCTTGTTTTATGGTGATGTGTGGATGAGATGATATCGTGGATCCACGATCCGACTTCACTTCCACCTCAGTGACGTTCTCCAGTTCTTCAATATCCTAAAAACGACTGTTCTCTCAAAAATCTTCATAAGCGACAGCATTCTTACGTCGACATTATCGTATTGGGGAATTCTATGATGATCCTCACTCTCTTTACTATTCCGACGTGTCATTCTTGGGGACCGATGAGTAGAAGTAGAAGGGCAAACGAGACGAAAATGAGTAAAAAGGGTGTGTGTTTGGGCGAGGACGGGCCAATCTTTCTCTCTTCTTTTGATAACGGCTTCCTCTTATCAGGTGCATTCCGGCCGTCATTGAAATGTACACACTCTGGGCGGAAACCCGGCGAGTTGGAGTAAACAGGGAGTGGCGCCGGCTCTGCATTTCAACTACCTCGTATTGACGTGTGGCCGTGGAAGAGGAAACTCGCGCGGTGTAATACACTCGGACAATTTGAGAAGCACATGTTTTTGCCGATAATCTTGATTCGCCATTGTTTTCGTGTAAAGAAGCAGAATTTTTATATTTATTGTGAAGAAAAAGTGATCCCAATAAACTTACACACCCTACACTTTTTCATACAATTTTTCACACGCATTTCTCGTTAGTTTCAGGCCTCAAAACTTTACGGCTAGAGCTGACCTGTTTCGGACATCTTAGTGCGATCATTTCGTTTTCTTATCAACCTTTTTCACGCTCATTTGATAATTGTAATAGTCCGTGAATTAATAATATGCGTAAAACTCTTCCTCCTAATACTTACGCAAAAGAAAAAAGTATAAAGAGGGAAGGGGAACTTGTTTGCCGTCTCGTCGAAAGAAAGAAAGAACACCTGACAGCGAGAGTTGCCCGACGGCACATCAAATCAAAAGAGAATCATTATCATTGCAGCGGCGAATCGATGAAGCGGGCCTTCTTCCGCTTCTGGCGGCTGCCCAGGGAACGAATTCTGACGCAACGGCTCGTCGAACGCACTTCCGCTCGCAATGCCGCCGTGTTGGCCGCCGGGATCGGTACGTCTCTCGGCGCTTATCAATTGGTCGCGACTGCGAAAGCGGGCATTTTAGGTCAGTTTGCACAATACACGTTTTTTATTGAAAATCATCAAGAATTTAAAGTTGTGCCTGTCTCAATTTTTTTGTCGCTTTGACTGCTAAAAAATGATAGCAAAAAGACTGCAAAATCTGATAAAAGACTTGCCTTGCTTTAGTGAAGACTTTTCAATGATTCAGATGGGAGCGACGACGACGCGACCCGTCACAACGTGACCACCGACCACAAACTGACGAAGCGGGAGCTGCGATTCCTTCAGTTCGCCTCCGTCGAGTACGACGACGTCATCTACATGAGTCCGATGGATTTCATCGATTCGCTGACGCTGGACGCGCCGAGGGAACGGGTCTATCGACGAGTTCTGAAGGAGAAGGACATGCAGAGAATTCTATCAAAAACGCCGCCGTTCCGCAACGGAAGCAAGAACTTTTTCCGGCACATGGACCAGCACGGAATCATCTCCTACTCTGAGTACATATTCCTGCTCACCCTGCTCACTAGTCAGTGCTTCATTCTCTCTCTGTTTCTAGATTTCGCTTCAGAATCGAAAGCAGCGTTCCGAATCGCGTTTCTGATGTTCGACGAAGACGATAACGGTAACATTGATCGTGACGAATTCATGTTGGTCAGTCGTTTTTCCTTCCGTTCTGTCCCCAAATTTTTCTGACATTGCGAGAAGAAAATGCAGAGAGAAGTGCGATATTTGCTTGCTTTTTCGTGTGATGACCGTAGTTGGAGTAGTGCGAGTGAAATGAAATTACCTGATTTTCGTTGATTGCAACTGATGAAAGAGTATGGATTTTTGCTTGAGTAACTCGAGTTTTGACTGATAATTGATTATGCTGAATGGTTATTTTCTATTGTATTCGGAACGCGCTGCCAGTTCAGTTGAAACTATCAAAAAGGGAGTATCCGGGAAACAGTTGCTCAAATTTGTGAGTTCGCCGTTTTGTGAAATATTTCAAATGCGTTCCATTGCAAACAAAGACCAAATTCTCAATTTTGTCTGCAATGAAGCACACTTGCATCATTTGCCTTTCCCTGGATTTCCCTGGATAAGCCTTAAAAACTTAAGTTCGCTTACCTTTTCCCTTTGCCTTAACACATAAGTTTTCGACAAAATACTATGACGTACTCATTTACTCACTCCTTTTTTTACATTATCCCCCCGAAAAACGTCCCCGTTGTTCAGAATAGCCGTAAAGTAGAATCGTACGAATTTAGATCCGTAGTCTAACGTCGTCGCTTCGCTCAACGACACGTGTGCAGCCGTCGAAGGGCTCCGAAGACGAGGACGGACAAGATGTAAGCGTTTGACACCCCCCTGCCCACTCACCACGCGACTTCACCGCTTTTTCTCCACACCGTTTTCATTTCTTTTTCTCTCTGTTGTTCAGTCCTGCCAACTCGACGCCTCCGACTATCACTTCGTCGTCACGCGCATCGGCGCGGATCGTCTGTTCACCGGCGCCGATTCGTACGCCGTTCTGTTCACCGTAAGCATCTCCGAAAATGTCGATTGCATGAATGAGCCGGCTAGCTTCCTGTTGTCCCTCCCACAAATATCGCGCTTCCTTCTCCGTCTGTCCACTTCTCCGACTATTCAACAACTCACCCTTTCCGATATCCAATACGGCTCCCGATTTTTGCAGATTGCTCGAATGTTCGCTTCAAAAGCCGCGACTCTTTCAGGCACCCGACTCGTTCATGTTCTCGCCTCGAAAACTCCTCCGCCCATTTCTCATCTTGTTCATTTCAGAAAAGCGAAGACGAGGTCCGCAAGCAGGACACCACTCTTCTCCTTCATTTGTTCGGATTGAGAGGCAACGCGAAGTTGAGCTTCGATGAATTCCAACAGTTAGAGCACTTCTAAACTATTTAGTCATTAAAATTTGTTCTTCAGATTCTACGAGAACCTTCAGGAGGAGCTCATGGAGATTGAGTTCTACGAGTTTGCACGTGGAAAGAGCACAATCTCTCCTGTGGACTTTGCGCGTCTGATCCTCCGCTACAGCATCGTCAACCTCGACGACTACCATAAATATCTGCAGCGAGTGCAGGAGAGATCGGCGGACGACGAGGAAGGAATCACGCTTCGGCAGTGGGCGACGTTCAGCCGATTCCTGAACAACCTGGCCGAATTCCAAAGCGCCGTCCGTTTGTACGTCAACAGCAACGTACCGGTGTCGGAGCCGGAGTTCGCGCGAGCCGTCGGATGCACTATCGGAAAAGAGCTGGATCCGGTCGTCGTCTCGATGATATTCCGCATTTTCGACGAGAACAACGACGGAACACTCTCGTATCCCGAGTTTCTGGCGGTGATGAGCGACCGATTGCATCGAGGTCTTCGTGGAAGACTCGAGAAGCCGTGGGGCTGGAAACCGTTCAAAAATTGCATTTTAAGCGAAGTATCCCGTGCTTAACCGTGTCGCTCAATTGTAGATAGCATTATTTTCTTGCCGCTTATCTGTTTGTATGTAAAAAGTCGCTTTTCAGCTTTTAATAATGAGAAATTGCTAAAAAGAAAGGTCTAATAGGTGGATAACTGCCGAATGCGCGCCTTGTCGAATCCGCCAAAGTCCATCGTGACGGCCGGATAAATCGGAACAATGTCTTCTTCGCACAAACGCAGCAGTTTTCTGCAAAACAGTTAATTTTATTACAATTTTTTTTAGAAAGGAGGCGGAAAACTCACTCCATCGGCGGGAGACTCGATCGATCGGAAACGTACATCTCGACGAGCTCTCGTTTTACTTTTTCGTTGTTCCCCACGAGAATTAACGAGAAATTGGTGGATCCTTGCGGCAATCCTTTCGTGGCGAACCGATGCAACTGCACTCCCGGCAGAGATCCGTTAAACCTTCTCGCAACTTCCTCACTGATCGCCTTTGTGTCAGGGTTCGGAGTGTAGGCCACAATGGCCAGAGCATCGAGGTTAAGAGTCTGATACACGGTCGTCAGTTGATCCAGAATTTTGGCCGTTCGATCGTCGAGCATCAGTTCCGGATCGACAACTTCCCAATCCCAGACGAGCGTTTGAAGGCGAGGGAATCTGAAATCAATCCGAATAGACGATATCAAAGCGAACAGTTGACTGACGACTGCGCTAGGGCTTCCAGAAGCTTCTCGGCGTCCGCCCCGTTCTCATCGGTGTACTGGAGCTCCTTGACGACGAGTGCTCTCACCGTCACAAACTCGATTCTCTTCTGGAATTCGCTCACTTTGACGCCGGGATTTCCGGACAATTTCAGCAGAGAAATGTCCAAATGCTGACGAATCTCGTCGAGAATATTGTCGGAAATGTTGATTCCGCGCAGATTTAGCTCTGAGAGACGCTTGAAAATCAGCTGCCAATCTTCTCGGCTAAAGGACGTATCGATGCAAGTGAATGTGGCGAGAAGGGAAAATCTGAAAAAGAAAGGATGATTCGGGGGAGCGACCGTCGGGATTTCTACTTGTCCATCAATCTGAGCAGGTCTTCCGCGGCGACATCCGTTTGATGAAGGGCTAGAGATTTTGCTTTTTCGAAGAATTGCACAATCTGAAATTAGTTTATCATTAAAATAACTCGAGAAAAGAGGCAAACCTGTTCATTCTCATAATGTTCCTCGAGCACATTGACCAGATCTTTACACGGATTTCTGCCAAAGTTCACCTCAACCAGCGTCGGTCGTAGCTTCAGAATTGACTCCCACTTTAGCTCGACAAGGTTACCAGGTTGATCTTTGAAGCCTGTAATCAAAAATTGTTTTTTGCGCTAGGAAAACTTGTAAAACTAACCGGCAATGTTGTCGCCAAATTTTGCGGCGTTTTTGATGCGGAGCGTCGTTCCTGGCATCGATTCCACGTAGCTGCCTCTGTCCGCCATCCATACTAGCACACTTTCCGGCTTTGAAGTTGTCATTTTGATGATATTTGACCGATTTACGTCAAATTTTCGCCGTTTGTTCACTTGTCCGAGAGGAGTCCGTGGCGTGCAAAAGCTAGGCCATTTGTCGGATTCTAGGCCAAGCTGTCAAATTTCATAACATTTTTCCCGATTTCTAGACAGAAAATGTCAGAATTGAGGGAAGAAGAGCCGGACGAAGCGCTCCGAGCGTCTAGAACTGCTTTCGATTACGTTTTCAAGCTATTCTACCCCATCTACTACTTTGTCACCATTCCCGTTCGAATAACCACCTGGTTCTTCCAAAATTTCCCAATTTTCTCCTCGTTCTCACTATTCTTCTTCGTCTCCTTCGCCCTCATTCTTCTCTTCATCTTCCGGAGACTCTCCTCGACGCCACGCGACAGCTTCGTCAGTTATGTGCTGTACACGGTCGTTCCGTACGGAGTTTCCATTGTGTACACCGTGGCCGACTTTATTTTTCCGCAGGTACGAGAAAATGTGAAGCTTTTTTTACAAAAAAATGTTTCAGCTTCGCATCGTGACTCGAGTCGTGAATTTTCTGCTTCACCCCATCAAATTCATCCTTGGAATGATCGAAAAAGTCGACAAACGGGCGGCTCCGATTCGTCGGACCGTGGAAGCGATTCACGGACCGAAAAAATCGAAAAAAGATGAAAAGTAAGCACGATCTTTAAAAAAAATAATAATAATAAAAAAAACGTGCCATTTGCAGAGAAGAGGCTTTGCATCTACGTCTGGCATGCTGTTTGTGCCAAGTAGCCGAGAAGCAAATCGTGCTCCGCCCGTGCAATCATCTCTGCTTCTGCGAGCGCTGCAACGACGCCTTCCAGAAGCAGATTCCCCGGCTGTGCCCGATCTGCTACATTCCCGCTCAATCGTTTGACATTGTTCATTTGTCCTAACCTCCTGCCACCCCTTCTCATTTCTCCAAATTACGTGTAGCCTGCCCAAGATGTACTTAAATGACCCGAAAAAAAGCGACAAGTCATTTTCGGCTCAAATATGCGTTGTGCATTGCATTGCATCGAACTGAATTGCATCTGACAAGTTTGATCGATGGTGGTTTGCGTCAAAGCCTGCACTCGACAAGTGGTAATCTTGAAAAGGGGAAATTTTTCGTTCCTGAAATTCTTTTCAGGTTCCTGTGGTGTGATATCTGAAAAACTAGACCCTCCTGAAATTGGTTTTTTTGTCAAAATAATGAAAAATCTCGCTCTGTGCGAGACCCGCTGTCGAGAAGGCGTCAAGGTGCTGCATATCCCTAGGCATAAGGTTGATCTGAAGAAGTCTACCTGAGCGAAAAGACCTCGGGACACGGGACCCCATCCCATTCAAGCACCCGCATAATGACGTGGCTTCTTGAGCGAGTGTGCTCGATCTGTCCCTCCCCGCCCCCTGCAAGTGTTTTCTGCGACCCATCATTCGCAGAACTCTCGGGCGGCGTCTTCCGCCCATTCTTCTTCGCTTCCATGTTTCAAGCGGCGCTCGCCCCCTTATCGACTCATGGTCCGGTCCCAACGGACCGATTAACATATGATCGCGTGTTCGATTCGGTTTGGCGCCCCGAAGAGACCGACGCACTTCACATTCTTATTTTCCGTACGCACACACACACACACTTGGTGGCTCGCGTCTGGCTAGGATTAGGTGAGGAGCATCGAATGACGTACCTAGTTAATTGCTCGTTTTCTTTTGCGAGTTTGAGTTTGCAAATTGCGAACCCACTTTTCGTCTTTCGTTGATAAGTTGTCATGCAATCGCCTTCCTTCTCAATCAAAACGCGTCGTTCTCGCTTCCTCTCGCCTTCTCAGAATTATTGTGTCCATTATTATGTAGTCTGGAAAAAGGAGAAAGAAACGACAAAGGAAAGACAAGTGGCATTCGTTTCTGGAAACTCTTGTCGCTTCTCGTCAGTCATCCGCGCTTGCCACGTCATGCGTGAAAAGACGCTCCGGCTCGGATCACCATAAATTTCAGTCTCAGGACGAGGAGGCGGACGAGGATTAAGGGATTCTGAAGTGCTTCGTGTTTCGAAACGTTAGTTCACAAAGCTCAATGTTATCTTCCTTTTTTTTAAGCGATAAAACGCTAAGAAATTTTTGACACGTTTCACGTCCAAAAATTACGGTTATTATCGAAAGTATGAGTGTAAATGGCACCACGAAATTTGCAAATTTCTGGGTTCATGTGCTAAAACAGCGAAAGAGCAATTTGTTTCGAAATAATATCGGAAGGACACATTGAACACGCGCGACAGTACGCAAAAACGAACAATACTTGAAAACCAAATTTTTCGGCGTTTCTCGACACAAACGATGAAAAAAACGAGCCGAAAATGAACGATTTAGCGAGTTGGAAGGCTAGGGTTCCGTGGTTCGCGGTGCCCGCGGTAGGCCAAAACTGACAGACTCCTCGACAAAGTATACGGGTGCGCGTCTAGAGTGAGTGCGCGCGACGCGGCATTCTGGGGAGGCAGGCAGAAAAAAGAGTTCTTGGTTCTGGCCAACAGGCCCTCCGAATGGACGGACCGTCGAGAGGAAAGACTGCAACGCGACGCCAAACTACGAACACGTGTTTCGATGGTCTGTTTACGTGACGATGTGTCACTCAAACCCCTCGTTAACACCCTTTGATCTCTGCGACAGGTGCGAAATTCTTGAACGGTCCCTGACCGGTCGTCAACAGACGTGTGCGTTGCGGTCTTTCTTCTCGACGGGCCGTTCATTCGGAGGACCAGTTTGCCAGAACCATTCTCTTTTTTTCTGCCTGTCTTCCGAGAAGGCCGCGTCGCGCGCACTCACATTAAAGGCGCATCGATAAATTTCGTCGGTTCGCTGTTTTGACCTACCACCGCCGGCACCGCCAACTCGCTGAATCATTGACTTTCGGCTCGTTTTTTTCATCGTTTGTGTCGAGAAACGCCGAAAAATGTCGTTTTCAAGTAATAGATGGGAAATCGCAAATACTTTTTGCGATTTTTCGTTTTTCGACCTTTTTTCTCTTGTGGGTTATCACTTTTTGTAATTTAGAGTACGCAAACTACGTTTTCCGGCTCGTTATTGTCTCTTTTAACGTACTGTCTGGTCTGTTCAATTATAGCCGCCAAGCTCCGCCCTCTCCGTTTTCCGAAACTGCCGATTTGGCTGAAAATCGATTTTTGTGCTAATTTCTTTGTTTCTTTGATTTCGCTGATTTTCCGTCAGATTCCTACTAAATGTATGGAATTCAAGCGCCAGTAATTGTTTTTTGTCAAGAACGGGTGGAAAAAACAGAGAAATTCGGAAAAGAAAGTAGATTTTTCAACCAAATCGGCAATTTTGCTTGGCCATTACGGTTGACACGGTGGTATTCGGAAAAGTGTACTAAAATTGTCATTTTCAAGAAAATAACTTTTCGACAAGCTCGACGAGGGTCCAAAGATCTCGGTGGCTCTTCGGGAATGAGTCCTTCGCCTTTTTCCAGGAAACCGCTCCTAATTAATCCGCCCTCCTTCCCCGCAAACTACCTATTTGCTCTTCCTCTCTCTCTCTCTCTCTCTTTTCGTTTTTCCAACTCACCATTGTCTGGAATTGTGAGTCAATTCGAAAAAGAGAGTCCACGTAACATCATAAAAACTTTTTATCACCGCTTCGGCCGTGGTCCATGTTTTATTCAACTTTTAGCTTCTCTCTTCCTTCCACACCCATCGTTTATTGTCTCTTTTTCTCTTTTTTCTTTCTTTTTCTGCTCGGATGACGTGGATCTCACCGTACTCTGACAGGACACTTCCGGAACGGTGACAAATTGCGGCGGCGGCGGCCGATGAAAGGCGAAAAAATGGACACTCACTTAAAATGAATGCCAATTTGAATTGGTGGATTAGGAGGCGAGCTTTCTCACTTCTTCCCCCCTTCCAGTTTGTTTTTCGGTTCTTTTTTGTAAACAGTTTAAATGCAAGAGAGAGAGAGAGAGAGAGAGAGAGCACAAGCAAGTTCTATTTTCGCAGTGCCGCGTGTTGACACACACGTATCCCCCCAGTTCACATTTCTCTATTTTGGTCCGAACAGCCGAACAGCAATTTTCAGTGCAAATTTGAATTTTAAAAGAAAAATTGAAAGGGCTGTCATGGAAAAACTTCCGCTTGATAGTTACCGTGTCCACTTTTATGATTGCCCTGTAGACCTGTCACCATGATAAGGCGTGTGGCGCAGTGGTGCTTTTTTGCTATTATGAACTAGCTAGGGGTTGTGAATTGTGAGTTCAATTCCTACACCCTCTGAAATTCTTTTGTTCCTCTTGAATTAAATCAAAAAATGCGATTTCTGATCTTCCTCCCTTTTCACTCTATCTCCGCTCCGATCTCGTCACTCTTTTGTGCTCCGCCCATCTCACAAACACATCTTCTCGAGCGCTTCCCCCTGTAAATATCTGGGTCTCAATGAGCGGGGCAAAGAATCACGCATTCCAGACACGAATTCTCCCTTTTGTCCCTTTCGCCTCACTATTTTCAACGAAAGCTAAACGAAAATCGGAAATCAAACCGAAAAACGAAATCCGATATAGGATTTCTTCTCAACGTACATAAATATTACCTGTTTCCATCAGTGGTCAGGTATCAAGTGTCATTGGTTTTCGGATCGAATATGCTAGTTGATCTACATGTTTTTGAGATGATCTCGCACGCACACCTCCGAATCCGAGCTGTGAACCCCGCGGCGGTAATCCGTCCATTATTCGATTCTGTTTTGGTTTGTTCCTTCTGGTCCGCCCGTTCGTCTCATCCCATTCATTTCATTTCATTACTTCCTGCTCTGTGACGTGGCACCTTTACACCAAAAAATGGAGCGACTTCATTTTCTGAATTATTTACTCATCTCGATCCACCAAGCACTTTTGTTGTGTTCAGCGAATAGAGAACCACTTAACCAGTCTCCTCTGAACATCATCTGAAATTTAATATTATTTTCGAAAAGTTCGGATTTAGGATAAACAAGATATTAGCCTGGGGTCGTGAGTTAGGGCGAAGTTTTGTACGCACCGAGAGACCACACGCCCGAGTGTGTGCCTGGCGCAGTGGTAACGTTTTGGAATTGCAGGCGAAAAAGGTCGGCAGGTTCAAACCGCACACACTAGAAAGCGTTTCCTCATCGCATCCGCCATCATCCAATTCTCATCATTTCATCATCCGTAGCCACAAACATAAAGGACACGCGCGTTCTCCTACCCAAAAACACTCGTTCATTTCTCCAAATGTGTCCGTTCGTTTCACCTCATTTTCATTTTCTTCGCCACAGGCTATTCGTGTATTTGGAATGAAAATGGAAGGGACGAGGGACGTTTCTAGGCGAAACACATGTTCCCATGAATCACTTGAAAACGTGTACATTTACGTCTAGACCTTCTTTTATATAATATCTTTTACAATCTTCTTTTAATACTCTCGTATTAGTGTGTGTGAGATTTTCGGCCGTCCTCTCGGATCTTTCATTCTTTCATAAAGCTTTCTATTTTGCAGACCCTGTCTCCCTTCAAACACTGGACGAATACGGTGAGTGCATAATATATCTAAAAATCCGGGATAGAGATGGAGATGACGACGAAGAAGAGTTGTCGTCGTCCTAATTATGCGTGCATCCGGTCGGTCTCACTAGAATCCGCCGGACTTTGGTGTTGGTGACTCGTTTATCTTCAACATTTTTTCGGTGGATTCTTCTCTCCGAGAGCGCTATAGCTCATTATGCGTTGCTCACTAACGGTCATTCGAAAAAAGGACATAATTTCCTATGCGCCTCGTTCTCGTACGCTCCCCGCTTCTCAGAAACGTGTGCATTCTTTGTTGTGACCTGGATTCATCCCTGTCCTAAACATTATATATTCGATTTCATTTTGTCTGTTCCTACACATCCTCCGTCCGCAAACTCCAACCACCAAGACACATGCTCTTCGGAGGAGGAGGAGGAACAGAAAAATGATGAGGAAAAAAAACCGCCCAGCTGACTACTGCCTGATTTATGTATTATTTATCGAGTGTAGAATGACGATCCGAACACATCTGCGTGGTGGCGGCATGTGTTCCGAAACATTCGCTTTCTGATGCTCAGCAAAAGAGAGAAACCGACTGCAAAAGGGGCGACACGTCAATTGAATATTTATTAGAGTCTGCAATTGTCGCCTGAAGACGACGAGTACTCATCTCCATAATTCGTATTATTTTTCGGGCGCGATTCTTCCAATTCCGAGAATATCGCCGAGTACTTTCACGAGAAACCATCGAACCTCTTCTCGCTGACGCCAACAAATCTTCCAATTGATCTGAGCTACTGGGGCTCTAGAACCATGGCTAGCTTCTTAGGTTACGATTGCCCTACTATGTATGCTAGTGCTAGTTTTCGAGGCAGCTCCTTGTTGAACTCTTTGATCATCCTGGTCATTCCCCCCACCAGTTGTTGTTTGTCCCCTCCTCTTCATTTGTTTCCTATCAAGTTTCATTCGTTTTCCCCACGTCATAACGTACCACCCATTACGGTAACCCAATCCTCTCTGGTCACTCGTTTTGCGCGTCCATAACTCTACAATTGTCGCTCTGCTGCTGCTGGCTCCAGGGAACAGCGCCACGCCAAAACTTGCAATGTTCGTGGCCGCTTCTTCGGTCATGACAAATGCGCGTCGATGATGAGTCGGTCGGTGTGCATTCCTTTTTGACTTCATCTCCCTTCTGCTCCTCTTATCGCCGAGCCCCTGGGGACCCGTTGCTCCTTGCCGCCGAGTCTATTGAGCCCCTCTCATTGAGCCCACACCTAATATCAGAACGTGCCCTCCCGCTCCCATGTCTTTCGAACTTTCCCATCCTTTCGTCACTTCCCTATTCGCCGAATATTTTCGTTTTGCATTGGACGCGGAAAGGAATGAGAAGAAGAAAAGAAATGGAAGCGAAGGAGGAGAGGAACATCTCCTTTCTCGTTGGGTTCGCTGTCAGTTATTATACGTGTTTTCTTTTTCATCGTGAATTATCCAGCGACTCCCAATTAGCGCTTCATCACCCAAAAACAAACATGTAGCCGGGCGGGCGGGCGGGTTAATCCTCCACCCCAAAGATTCTAGAGAAAGAGGATCCGGTCGCCTTTAGTTTGTACCGGTCCTAGGGATTCCACGAATGCCAACACTTTTTTCATCACATCTTCTCACTACCCACCTCGTCGTCTTCCATTCTTTCTTTCTTCCGTGCTCCACGAGCATAAACACGCCGGTCATAGACCCTTCCGTGACGCCTCATTTGCATCATCCACCCTTTTATAGTTTGTATACCCGAAAACAATGTTTGGTGCGGCGGCGGCCCGCGCGTAACAATCACTTCCAGCCCTTTTTTTGGGTCGCCGCACACACAAAGCCCCCCCCCGCAGGATCAGTCTTCCCCTTTTAAGTGTTTTGCCGCACTTTTCCGCGAAAAAGGCGTCGTCGTCGCGACGACGTCATCAGCCGTTCTAAAAGAATTTGTCACATCTGGAATTTGGATGGTCCTTGAGACTGGCGTCGCCTCGACGGGATGTCCACAAAAACGTGAAAAGGGATGTGTGAACTCGAACTCAAATGATGAACATTTGTGGCAACTGCAAGTACAGCCCATGATCATTGATGAGCGGGGGTCTTCGAGTTTTCGAATGTAACTTACCTTACCTCGCCAATCATCCTCCGCTTTGTCTCAATCAAATTACCCATCCAATCTGCGCTCAATCTAAACCGCCGGCCGGCACCCAATTTCGTTTTTCGTCCCGCTTCCCCTTCTAATCGCTCCTCCATTTTTTCTTCTTCTCCCCCAAGGTCCCCGCCCCATTTCTTTACCCCATTTTGTCGTCCTTCTCCTCCTCTGAAACATCCTTTCTTCCGCTTGTTATTACTCTTCCAATCACCAGCACTAAAAGACGGTTGAAGAAAAAGTGAACATGACGGCCACAATACTCGAAGGAATGATACCGTTGATACCAGAGTAAGTTGATCACCAGGCGCAAAAATGTTCTCAGCTTTTTTGGGATTCGAACCAGTGTCCTTTTGAGTGTGGGTCCAAAATGTTGTCGTTGCGCTATCGGCACCACTAGCGCGCGTACTGTTGGATGAAGTGACAAGACAAGATCAACGCGCGGTCAACCGATCCTTGAGCATTTCTCATCTGTTTCCAGTTGACCGCCGCGAAACGAAACGAAATGCAATTTTCGTATAAGCTTTTGCTCATCTAAGGTCGAATGGATGAGTAGGCATCGACGCGGGCAAATGAATGAAGAAACATAATAACATGTGGCGGAGGCGAACAAGAAAAAACAAAACAAAAAGAGCAAGATCGAGAGAGAGAGAGAGAGAAAGAGCCCGTCTTCTGCCTTGTTCTTTCAATCCGATCCTTCATCTCCAATTATTATAGTTCCTCCTCGTTTTGTGTTCGTGTGACGCAAGTGTATGTCAAGTACAAATGTCAGATAATAGTATTTACTCGCATTCGCATTACATTTTCTCGTTTTTGGCCGCGGTCCGACAGCAACACCCAATTATCTTTGGTGCATTGAAAAATTCAGGAAAAAAAAACGGCGAATTCCCACCAATTGTTTCGTTTCCAACCGGGCGAGAGCTCGAATTTCCGACTTTTAAAAGGGGGTGGAGAATTGGTCACTTTCGGAGCCAAGGGTTCACTGATGAACCCTCAAAATGCGCCGCCCACTATGACGAATTATAAAAACTTGAAGATTTTCATGCAGAATTACGCTTTTCTGGATCATTTTTCATCTGAGAAGCTTAGAATCGATCAAAAATGTCAGTCAAAACCCATGCACCGGGCTGGAAACTATAACTGAACCCCGTCGACAGCTCTTCTGTTTGACTTTTACCGCCCGATCGGATATTTTTTGAGTGAAAAGAGAAAAGAAGACGTTAATTAGGAGAACGTCAGGAAATCCGATGCCACACCATCAAAGAAGAAGCCAGAGAGAGAGAGAGAGAGAGAAACTTGTGCTTTTCCTTCTTCTCCGCCCACGGATTTTGCGCGCCGGAAACAAACCCGGCCCTCCACTTTTGCTTCTCTTTTCAGTCAACTCGCACATTTTCAGCATCATGATTCTGGAGTGGGAAGGCAGCGAGAACTCGACAGAATGCTTGTGCTCCGACATTCAGCGAGACGACTACTCGCCGTTTTTTGAATGGTAACACTTGAGCTAAAGTCTAGAACCCGGCAAACTTTTGGCAATGTCGCTCTACCGCAATCGTACGCGAAAACTCGGCCACGGTCGCGGATTTAGATGGAGAGCGGTCGAGCGCGATTTCCACACTTTTGTGGATGCAGCCATAGGCGTTGTGAAAACGTTGAGAAATTGTGAAATTCTCAAAAAAGTTCGCCCAAATGGTAATCGCTGCGAGACCAATCGGCTATGCGCCTTTAAACGGAAACCCACAGTACTCCCCTACTCGTTCAACGTTTAAAGGCGCATAACACTTTCCATTTCAAGTACGCCAACTCGTTGACAAATCATCCCATATTCAACAGCGTTGTTCTTTGATTTTCTATTACAACAAATGAAAAAAAAAGAAAATTAAATTTGGAGGCGATATGCTGACGCATGTTCGTGCGTCATTTACGTACATTTTACGATTGTTGTGATGATGATGATGAGGAGAGATGAAAAGCGATATCTTTTGTTTGCAGGGCCAACTACCTGACGATCATCCTCGCCCTTCCCATTCTCTCCGTGTTCGGCGTGCTCACCAACATCATCAACGTGTTCCTCTACACACGCAAACGCCTTCAGAACTCGGCGAACACGTATCTGCTGTTTCTCGCGTGCAGCGACTTCATGGTCATCGTGACGGGCCTCTTCATCTTCTGGATCGACTCGGCCCGCTCCTACATTCCCGAACTCACACAGGCGCCCTACACGACGGTCTACACGCTGCCGTTCGGGTACATGGCACAAACGTGCAGCATCTATTTCACCGTCGCCGCCGCCGTCGACTGCTTTGTCAATGTGAGTTGTGAAACGTTTTGCATCGAATGCAATCTTTCGATATTCGTAGGTGTGCTGGACGTCGCACTCGAAACACTATTGCACCGTCCGTCGTGCCAAACAGATTTGCGTCTCGATCGTCGTCGTTTCGATCATGTACAACTCGTTGCGCTTTCCGCAATTCAACCTCCGCAAGTGCTTCAACGACATCACCAAAGAGCAGGTCATCGAGATTTGTCCCACTTCTCTGTTCGTCACCATCAACTCGGTGTACAACATGTAAGCCCCTCCCTGACCGTACCCTCGAGCCCCCTGCCTGCCTGACCCATTTAACCTTCCAGCTACATGTACATGGTCCTCATGACGCTCCTCCCGTTCTTCTTCCTTCTGTGCATCAACGCGATCATTGTGAAGCGGCAGTCGAAGGCGAAGACGGACGAGACGACGCCGAAGAACGAGGGCACTTCAGATGACACCATCACCATGATCATGGTCGTCATTCTGTTTCTCGCGTGCAACACTCTGGCGCTAGTCGTCAACTTTATCGAAAACTTCACCGAACCGTCGCCGGTGCTGCTCAACTTCCTCTCCGACACCAGCAACTTTTTGGTCGTCTTCAACTCGTCCGTCAATTGTATCATCTACTTCATCTTCAATCAAGACTACAGAGATGTCTTCAAGTACGTACTCTAACCGTTTGATGCTAGGACTAACAAGACACTTTGACAATAATTTCAGACAGTATTGGAAGAAGCTGAAGCGTGTTTTGTACGAAGAATACTGTTGTTGTGTACGTGACGGCTCGCGTAACTACACCGCCTATCAACCGGTGTCGACGCGTTTGGTCATTGATAAGGTGGGAAGGGTACAAAGAGCAGCGGGCACGTAAACTAGTTTTATGTTTTTGTAGAGCCAAAACGGGAGCAGCAGTACAAAGCTGATACTTCCGTCGCTCGACTTGAACAGAAGCGATCAGGCTAGCTTCGCAGGTAGATCCGCTTTTCACAATTCAGAATTCACATAGAAATGCGCACTTTTTACAGAGTCGGAAGGTGCGTCGTCTCCCATTTGGCAACCATTGACCACGCGAAACCTTCCGAACGTCGACTGGCCGAACATTGACGACGACGTGGATTCGGGGTGGGACGACGGAAGTCAGGTGAGACGATCCTTCACACGTTTGCTCATTTCGTCGCGAATCAAGATGAGAATGCAGATCTCCTCGTCGCGCACGCCGAAACGATGGCTCGCCGAGGTGAACATTGTCGAGATGGAGACTTCGGAGGGCCGTCACCATCCACGCATCTACGTGCGTCCGCTCAACCAACTGCCCGCCAATGAGACCATCTCGATCACGGCTCTCTAGCTACACGATTATTAGTATTATTATTAATTCACTTTTGTTTCATATTGAAAATCAAAGAAACGCTGTCATTCACTCATATCTAGTCCCTTCCTTTTGTGTCCCGATGATGCCCACTTCAAAAGCTCTATTTCCCCCCGTCCCCTCTCATCCAACCACCGTCGTTTACGTGTTTTCTTTCACATTTTTCGTCTCTCTCTCTCTCTCTCTCTCTCCACTTTTATTTGTCAAACGCCCCACAACTACTGATAAAAGTATGCGTTTTGATGTACATCAAGGACGGTGAGCGTACTGTGAGCGGGTGTTCTTGATGAAACGAAATGAACACCGAAAAACGTCAGCCGCACTTGCTCTAATCCAAAGTGGAAGAGGCTCAATTTCTTGGCTTCCCCCCGGCTTCCTATACAACTTTCTTCTTCTCTTTTCGCGCGCTTATCACTAAAGAACAAACAGGCTACGTCGCTCCCACAAACACGAGACCTCAAAACGAAAATGATAAGCGTTTTTGATAAAATCGAATCATTCTGCGCTTCGATGCTCTTCTGATCATCACTTCCTCGTTTCCCAATCCTTACAAACTCTTTTTCAGAATGAGGACCTTTTTCCTGGTCTTGCTCTCTCTTCTCCTCTCCGTGCAGGCGATGAGGGACCAGTCGATCGCCGTGAAAGGACGTCTTGTTTGCGGAGACAAACCGGCCGCCAACGTGCGGATCAAGCTCTGGGAGGAGGATTCGGGCCCGGACCCGGACGATCTTCTCGAGGCCGGCTACACCGACGCCAACGGAGAGTTCGCGCTGTCGGGAGGAGAAGCCGAGTTGACGCCGATCGACCCGATCTTCAAGGTCTATCACGATTGCGATGATAAGTTTATTGTGCGTGACATTTCGTGCGTGTCAATTTGCGAGTTTGCTTTCAGCCGGGCCATCGTAAGGTCAAATTCCTGATCCCGAAGAGCTACATCACGCAAGGAAAGGTGCCGAAGAAGACGTTCGACCTGGGAGTCCTGAACCTTGAGACCATTTTCCCGAAGGAAGAGCGTGAGCTCATCGTCTCGAGAAGACGTCGTCACTACAAGAAGGAGTACTTTGCCGACGAGGAATAGAATCGTTTTGGATAAATTTATTTACAAATATACACTTGACCGTTTCAATAAAAGCACCTAGACCTTCTGCCATTGCTTGCTGAGCTGCGCGAAATAGTTCTCTCCGGTCTCTTGCTCCACAATATTCTTGCCCAACACGTTCTTTATCTTGAGCCGACTCTCCGGCCTTCCGATTGTTATGCTCAAATCTTCGGATCGGTTGCTCCGTCGGCAGTCTTTCCAACTGAAGAACTTCATCGATTCGTGCATGTAGACCACGATTACGGCCATCGAAATTTGGATCAGTATCGCTATCTGAATCAATGTCATGTATCTCAGCTGTCTGGACAGATATCGAAAAGTGGTCAACTGAGAAAATGTACAAAATATCTTAATGAACAACTTATTAGTTGACAACTTTTTGATATCTCTACTAACAACTGAAATATATCGAGATTGCTTACTTACCGTTCTAAATATGGTGAAAATCGGTACATAACTAGACGACTTGTTGCACTCGTCTTCATCGAACTTTCTAGCAATTGAGATGGTGTAACTTGTGACGACAAACATCAACGAGATAATATTGTCGAGTACAATGAATGGCACAAAGATTCTGAGCATTTTATTAACACTTGACTGAATTCAAAGTGCTCACCTCAACGCCTTGATGTTTTCGGCGAGTTGATACCTCGCGGTGAGCGTTGATTTGCCCACCGAATGTGCGGTTTTGTAGCGATTCACGAGAAACAGAACGATGAGGCACTGAAGAATTAAAAGATTTGGGGAAGCAGTAAAGAACCGTCGGGATTACCAGACATATCACAAAGGACAGTACAATTTGAATATTGTTGATGAGTTGCTCCTGATGTTGAGACAAACTCATGAGCACGACGAAGACGAGCTGAAGAAGGAAACGGCTTTGAGATGGATCAGGTTATTGAAGGATCTCACACAAATGCACTGTCCCACCAGGTACGGTATCCATTGCAGCGATTTCTCGTATTTCGACACGAAGACGGTGGCGGCGAGACGTTCGAGAAGGGCCAGAATGACGAGTGGTTGAGTGTAGTAGTTGGCGGACACCAAAATGAATTCGAGGATCGAGAAGATGAACTCGTCGATGAAGAAGAATTCGATGAGATTTCGGAAGAAGAGGATGAAGTTGGAGGTGGTGTAGGCGAGGAGGATCAGGAAGAACGAGATACTGAAAGGAGACACTTCTAGCCGAAATGATAGACTATCAAAAGGTACACTTTTGAGAAAACTCACACGAAAAGCGGATGAAACGCGTTCGGATGCCTGATGAACATGGTGGCGACGAGGACGTAGACAAACGCCAACGGCGCATAAATGACGACGGTGTAGATGCCGACGAACCATTGAGCCTCGACGGGACAGTTGGGCGAGTAGCTCGTCATGCCCAGCATTGAGACATTCGACGAGGTTGATAACCCTGAAAGTTCGCCGCTCGAAAAGTCCACAAGTTCTCTAGCTAGACAAAAGGTGATTACAAGGTGGTGAGTTTGTGTTCGAGATAGCATGAAATGCGTGAGAGTTCTAAGAATACCCCGGCAAACCTCGGTCATTTTTCTGCAAAGCTTACGCAACTTCTGCTGACAAGTTGCGCAAAAGTTGCAGAGGTTTGCCGAGATCGTCGTTGAAAGCAGTAGCTAGGAAGAATGTGTGGAAGTCTACAATAGTGAAAACTGCTTTCAGAATACATAAAGACTGCAAAGAACGAGACGAGTGGGTCCCTTGCCCACCTCACGAGACACTCACTTCAACACCACACGCCCCCAGGTCACAAGCCATGCACAAAGTTGCAAAACCTTTTGCACTGGATCATAACCGGACGACAATACACAGGATTCGGGAAGAGACGAAGAAGAAGGAGAAGGAGAAGAAGAAGAAGACGAATTCGTCGTATTTGTCATTTGTGGTCCTTCGGCCGGCGACGGACGGCGCCGACGCAATAAGACCACGGAGCGCGCCCAATTATGAGGCCACGGATTGGCTATTTGTGCGCCTTCCGAGCACGAGAGGCAAATGAGACGGGCGGCGAGCAAATACGCGCCCAAAGCAGTATCATTGCGCTTCACGGAATTACTGCTGTTGCTACTGAAATTGTGTGCGTGCGTGCTCTCAGACGGAGCATAAAAGGGCAATGGGATACCGGGAAACGACGAGGAAATAACAACAGTTGTCTGGGAATCAAAGGAGCACGTGAAACACGAAACACCTGTCACACGTTTTGAAGATTCTTAAAGTTGGGACGCGAACTCGAAGCGCTGATCTGAGACGAGCGGGTAGGCAATGTAGAAATGAAGAATTTGCAGAAGACTTTCGATTCTACAATATAATCAATAGTATCCCCCCTAGAGTACTGTAGTTATTCAAAGTTTCAGGGCACAGTGCTCAAAATTTAGCTCCAAAATGACTAGCAAGCGGAAAAAGATCTTTCTCTCTCTCTCGAGAGAGAGAGATCTTTGTAGGGTGTGAAACCTGTACTTATGGTGGCATATCCAAAATCAGACTTTCATGCAAATGTACTCTCTCATAGACATTCTCGAGTGGAGCTTTGATCGTCTATTTGAAGCACGCAAATGGACGGACAATATCACAAACGAAACTGAGATTTTAAGGCTGTTTACGGGGTCCATATGATACAATTGTGAACGGATAATACTTAAAAGTAATTCGCTTACTTTTCAGAGCACAGAACAGAGAATTGTGGCGAAAACAGGTGAAACGAAACGTACTTTTCGGCGAACTTCGAATTGCATCCCCCCGAAAAGGGCAGGGAAAACCGAAACTTTCCCACATGGCTCAAGGGGATCAGCAATTCGTGCGGGGGGAAGAAAAAGGAGAAACAAGGACCAGATGGAAAACGGGAAACAGATGAAAATGAATGTGTTAGTGGATGTGAGAGAGCAAGTAATCGAGATATATACACCCGAGGGCCAGGGCGCCAATTGGAATGGAAAAAATGAAAAAATAATGAGAGAACAAACAAGAGTTCAGTTTCATGCAAACTTGAACGAGGTGAGCTCGTGACCGACTTGAAAGTGGCGAGGAAAACGAGGCTATCTGGAATTCCAGCAAAATGTACGCCCATGTCGTCATTTTGGGGTCTTACTCACTAGACAGCTTCGAGTCAGAATGCCAGTGCTAATTATTATCAACTTCCGTCTAGCCGAGTCTTTCTCCAAGGCAATGCGTCTTTAAATCCGACTACGGTAGTCTCTCATTTCGAAAATGCTATTATGTTGCATCAAAATTGTCTCAAAAACAACCGCAAAACCTGTAGTAGTAGTAGTAGTAGTAGGACACGGTTTATTCAAAACGATATATGTCAGCTGTGATTGGAGATATCAAAAAGTTGTCAACTACGAAATTGCTCATAAACACTTTGTGCACATTTTCCCAGTTTGCAACCAGTTTACAACTCGGCCCATTGCTGACAGGGTGCCATTGTATTGCATTCTTCTCAGAAATCGCTCACCTGCCACTGGAAACTGGAGCATTTTTTTGGACGTTCGACGGAAAAGAGAATAAACGCGAAAATATGAAGTGAGTAACCAAATGCAATTGACTTGTTATCGTTGTATCAGAGAGAGGGGGGGGGGGCCCAAGAATGAGATCAGATGGGACAAAAGAGAGGACGAGAAGAAGCAGCCAGCAAGTAATTAAGAAGTGATGCGAAAAGTAGAAGTTGGCCTTTCAAACACCATCCCCACATCTTTTTCCGATTGGAATTGAATCCTGTAAGCACCTTAACATGCCCGGATTAGACATCCTCCCGCCGCATTCCGTGTCTCTCGCACTTCTTTCTTTCACTTCATTTCCTTTCGCCCTCCACAAAATATGGGAATCTGTATTGTAAGTTTTCTCAAAGTTCCCCACTTCCACTCTCTCTCTCTCTCTCAATTTCAGAGCCAAGAGTACAAAAAGCCGACGGCGCAGCAAGAGGAGATCCTTCACGACTTTTCAAAGTTCGCCAAGACCGAAGAGCGCCCGCCGATGGCCGTCGAGCATCAGATGTACGACTACGCGCAGGCGGAGGAGGAGCAGGAGGACGAGTTGTTCGCGATCGTCTGTTGTCCGCACTCGATCGGATTCGCGAGCGACAAGATCGCACTGATCGACCTGGATCCGACGAGCGACACCTACTGCTCGGTGCTCTCGGAGATTCAATTAACGTCGAAAGGCGACGAGCCGGGCCGGATGAACTGGGCGAAATCCGCCGAATCGCTATCGGAAATGAGCAGACTGGAGAGACGGAATCTCATCGTTCCGTGTATGAACTCTGGCAAAATCTACGTTTTGAGCTTTGAGGAGAAAAAGTTCAAGATTGAAAAGGTAAGCGATCCTTGGATTGACTCTTTTCGAATCAGTACCACACAGGAAATTCGCGGCGACGAGCTCTTCCGCAAAGACGTCTCCTGCCCGTACGCAGTCCGTTCTCTTCCGCTCAAAGGAGCTCCGGTGCACGTCTCCACATTAGGCGACCGAAATGGACACGGAAAAGGTGAGCGTAGGCGTGGGCGTAGAGATCATAGATCTAGACGATGAGCTTGTCAGGCGATTTCGTGCTGATCGACCGAAAGAGCTGGGACGTGCGGCAGAAGAGCGAGCCGACGTTTGCCAACTTTGGCGGCGACTTTTGCCTCCAGCCACGTCACAACCTGCTCATCTCGAGCGAATGGGGCCATCCGCGACTGTTCAGGGACGGATTCTCGCCGAGCGAACTCGAAAACGGTATTCGTACGCTTGTGCCTGCGGTCAGACGCTCATGATTTAGTGTCAGAGAGTTTCGGATCGAGTCTGCACGTGTGGCAGATCAGCCCGCCGAAGCTGCTCCAGTCGATCAGTCTGGATCCGTACAGCGCGAGTCTGGTGACCGCCGTGAAGTTTTTGCACAACGCCGACTGCAATCACGCGTTCGCCATCTCGGCAGTCGGCAGTTCCATCTTCCACTTGCACATGAACACGCTGAGCAAAGAGTGGGTCGCCGAGCGGGTTGCACATATTCCATCCATGAAGGTATCCTGGCAAAACGGACGTACATACGTGGCTTCTCAACTCAAACTGCACATTATAGGTAGAGCGCTGGCAAAGCGACGAAATTCCGGCACTTTTGACCGATATGATCATCTCGATGGACGACCGATGGTTGTACGTATGCGGGTTTCTGCACGGAGTCGTGTGGCGATTCGACATTCAGGATCCGTTTCGAGTCACCCTTTATGATAAGGTTAGTACGCGTAGTAGCATAGTTACAGCTACTTTCAGATCAACCTGGGCGGAATCCTGGAGAGCTTCCCCGAAGTTCGCGTCAAGACCTCGAATGCGATGGAGGACCGCTGGTGGCTGCCGCCCGAGTCCCGCCCGCTGCCACGTGGCACCAGATTTCGTGGCGGTCCCGCTTTGATGCAATTGTCGAAAGACGGCGCCCGTCTTTATGTTTGCAATTCGTTTTATAAAGCCTGGGATGCGCAGTTTTATCCGGAGCTTATTTCGTGAGTTTTCCTATTGGCGACGAGGGAGGAAAGGATTCCAAGAAAAAAGAGGAGAAGAAGAAGAAGAAGAAGAAGGACAAAAATCATTGGATTTTCAGAGATGGCGGTCAAATGGTTCGAGTGGATATTGCGGTCGACGATGTGATGAGGTTGAACGAGAAGTTTTTGGTTGATATGAAGGTGAGCGGGTCTCGCCACGAAAGTTGAACGGTAATCGAGGCCTAGACGTTCACTAAAACAAGTATTTTGGGTTCAAGTATCAAACTGATCCGATTATCTGGTCCGGAGAAATGTCGAATCTTTCGGGACCAGATGATTGGATCGTTTTGAAACCTGCACCCAAAATACTTCAATCCAAGTGTGTATTGAAAGCAATTCAAAAGTCCAGCCTCGTTCTCTATAGAAACTTCCACAAGATGCCAATTTCAGGGCCAGCCAAACGGACCGTTTGTGATCCGCGACATCAAGTTTCTGGACGGCGACTGTACAAGCGACTCGTTCCTTTGAATCCCCCCTCTAATTAATTCGTTCCTAATAGTACTCTTCCTCCTCTTTCTTCTCCCTCCGCCTCATTGTTGCGCATTCTGCGCAACAAGAGAGTCTGGTGCTTTTTGCTCCTCCTCCCCCCTCCCTCTTCCCCCGGGCTCAAGCTCCTTCTCCCTTCTTCCTCTTGCTCTTGGCTCGTCTCGGGAGCTGCTCCATCACAAACTGTGCGGGATGATAGGACGGCTCTCGCTGCTGTTTGTATCAATTTCTTCGCTTCTCCTCTTGTTTGTCTTGTAAGTGTTTCTTCTTGATCAAACATGTGATATGATACGCTTTTTTTCCTGATCCTTGTCTTTCTGTACAAGTGGATAATATATAAAATCAGCCTGATATCACAAGAGGCTTGTTAAAAGTATATAGTCTGAGAAGATAAGTAAAGTAAACATACAATAATATTCGTGTTTGCTCGGTGTACGGAACATGTTTTTGACGCCTCTCGCGCCCGTCACCGGCAGATGCACCAATTAGCATAAGACGGAGCGGATTGGTTGCAGAGTGGAATGTAAGCCGCCGAAGAGTTTAAACCGGATGAGGAGCAAGGGAACGTTCAACGCGGCCGCCTTCAATTCGCCCTCCATGATCAACAACGGACTCCTTCTCGCGGTGAGTCAGTGGTGTGAGAAGAAAAAGTGAAAATGATGATGACGATGAGCATCTTATCTGATTATTCTAGTCGACTGCTCGCCATGTCCAATTATTCTTTGAATTCGGTTTTTTGTGTGAAGCGTGTAATCTAAAGTCACCGCCAGGCTGGCAAGATCCCGGGCCGGTCCCAAAGTCTCACCTTGAACACATTTTTTTTGCGAAACGTCTTGAAAAATGGCTGCTACCGCCGCATTTGAAAAAATTTCTTTCGCGTTTCGGTCCGCGCGCCTCGTTCAAGTCTGGTCACAACTGGGGCCGTTCCAAAAGTGATCTATCTTTAGAGGCCTATATCTTAAGAACCAGTGAAAATTAGGAAAAATGATCAACTAAAAAGTTGTTGGAAATGTTATCTTAAACAACTATGTAATTGATCATTATATCTGAAAACGCTAAGTTTTTGAGTTATGGCTTCATTTCTGAACAGTACGCTGATATAGTAGAAGTCTTCTTGTAACCTAGGACCTCCCTCTTTATGTCAACGGTTATTAGAAGAAGATGAAGAGGGAGGGAATTCCAAATTCTCAAGACATTGTCCCCATCTTCTAAGAACCCTTATTCATTGTTATGTTCCTCCCTACTTCATCTTGCTCCTCCCACGCAAAGTGTGTGCTCTCAGGGCTTCGACAATAACGGTACCAGTCGGGAGACTCGCGAGAGTTACGAAGAGTACAAGGACGATATTGATCACTTGCTCGAGGAGGATTTGACGTTTTATGATGAAAATGAGGGTGAGGAAACTGCCGAAGGTCCTGTGGTTAAGAAGAAGCAGAAGCCGCCGGTGAAGGAAGAGACTGAAGAAGAAGAAGAAGAAGAAGAAGAAGAAGAAGATGGATGGGAAGAAGAAGAAGAAGAAGAAGAAGTGACGACGACTACAGCAACTACAATAGCGACGACTACGGTAGCAGTGACAACAACAACGACGACGAGTGCGAGTACGGTAGCTCCGGAAGAAGTGACGACACAGGAGTTTAGAGATGAAGAGCAAGAAGAAGACGAAGAAGAAGAAGAGGAAGATGATGTGAGGTGAGAACTATTCTGAAACTTGACACGTTGGGTGGGAGTCTTCTTCTTCTTCTTCTTCTTCCTTTCCAACTTTATTCTTCCCCTCTCTCTCTCTCTCTCTCTTTCCCACATTTATGCTCATTTTCTTTGTCCCTTCGAGGAGAGAGAAGAAATGAGATGACTAAGCCAATTTTTGTTTGAGGCAAGAAATGAATCTACTCGGATTTCTTTCAATTAGGCGAGAAGCGTGCGTGTGTACATAGGCACCTAAGCGGTTGGTTCGCAAGTTCAAAAGTTACTCTTTCTCTCCTTTTTACCTTTCTTTCTAAAAGTTCTCTCCTTCTTCATCTTCTTCTTCTTCTTCTTCTTCATTTTCTTCTTCATCTTTATTGGCGCAAAGCCCAAGCGACAGCAGTTTGCCACACCTTGAGTGTGTTTGTTTGGGAAGCACAACTCTGGAGAAGAATGGCTCGCCACCGCTTTTCTCACTTATTTTAAACTCAACAAAATGCGTATTTGACCAACTTTTTTGCCGCTTTCATTTGTTTCGTTTTCACAGAATCTCAATTTCCTATCTTTTCTCATAGGTGTGCGCCCAGTTTGAAGTCACTTGTATCGTTTTCCGCCGAGTTATAGCCTTTCAAACTCTTTTAGGACGATTTCAAAAGTCGCCTTACTTCTGGGGCCTATATCTCAAGAACCAACAACTATTTCAAAAAGTCATCAATAAGAAAACTGTTGCAAATTTTGTGCTAAACAACTTTGTAATTGATCATTTTATACCAAGATTCTTCCTTTTTGAGATTCACATCTGTTTCTGAGCAGTACAGTATCCAATACGTCGTGAAAGGCTTGTTAAGGCCACTAGGCCTTCTTGCGCAATAATACGGCAATTTCTGATCATCCATCTGTTTTCTATGAAACTAGTTAGTGCGCGTGCAGTGCTCAACCTTCTTGGAAGTTGCCTTTCGTTAGTAATAAGCTTCATCAGACTGTGTTGAATGCTTGAAAACTTCATTCAGTAGTAGAACGAAGGGGACCGACAACACTATCATTTTTTGTTCATTCCGTACTTGTCGAACATCTCGTCGATTGTGTAGCAATAGCCGTCGTCGCACACCGATTGATAGTCGCACTGCTTGCTCGAACGGCATCGTTTTCCGCGTCCGAGCACCTGGGAGACGGAGACGAGGAGGAGGAGGAGCAGGAGCGAGAGCACGTTCATTGCGGCCGAAGAAGAATCCGATGAGGGAAACGGACGGCGGACGGTCCTTTATACCGGGACGCATGGTCGTTGCGGGCAAATGGGATGGGCTCACATTTGCATTTCCATTTTTATCGCTTCTCAAATGGTTCTTCTGAGTCAGCAGAGTGACGTGGAGAGCACAATTAGCCTGCCTCGTTATAGCAATCAGTTTGAGGCGAAATGCGTCTTTGAAGGTCAAACAATCCGGCCCGAAATGAAGCGTTTTTTTTCCTCTTCGCCATCTCCTCTTTTCACTTCATTGTTCGCATGTTTCTTGGCGGTTCTTTTAGTGGTCCTCCAGATGTTTGTGTCTGGCCGTTTTCCCTCAATTATTTCAATTCAATGGGCGGCACAATTTGAAGTTTCAAGTTTTTGCGGACGTCATGCGCCTTTAATGTCTACAGTACCCTCACAAAAGTGGGAATGTGGGAATTTCTGTAATTTGTATGTTGAAAATCGGGGAAAAAGTGGGTCAAAGGCCTCGCCAGGCCGTTTGCCCAGCCCTGACTGCGATACAATGTTGAGCAATGTTTTTGGAAAGAGACTGGACTAATGCGTTCAGGAAATTCGTCCCGCCGACTTTGATAACTTTCCATGCGCGATCTCTGTTTTGCGCCCACTCAAAAATGGACGATTTAATTCGGTTCTCTCTCCCTCTCCTATCAATTTATCTTCATTCTCTTCCAACCTCGCCGCTCTCTCTTTTGCCCAATTACACACTTATTCACGTCGTCTTCTCTCCAATCAACGCACAAAAAAACAAAAGTTACTTTATCAGTTTCGAAAGACAACCGCTCCCATTTTTATGATAGAACAAACTTCGACCCAACAAGTTTTCTCTGTCTGCCCACATTTTTCCGCATTCATTTGATGCCGTACAAGTGGGACCCTTCTATTGTTATTGCTCTTTTCGCCTCACACGAACACCTTTCACTCGAAAGAGAATATGAATGCGAAAAAGAATCAGAATAAGAAAAGGACGAAAACGCTCCACTGATTTTCAAAGAGTTTGTATTTCAATCTGCGCCTTTAAATTTGCGGCAGATACGGTGTCTGTTTTGTTCGAAAAAGTCGATTTCAAACGGTTTTTGCTCAAACTCAACTGTTAAGACTGATCTTCGAATTAAACGAAAATAATGTGTGAATCAGAGCCTCCTCGCGGCTTGTTTAGTAGATTCGTTTCTCTCTCAGTGTTCTCACACGTCCATAAACTCTTCCGTCACCACCACCACCACTTCTTCTTTCGTTTGTTTATAGTCCGCATCCGCGTTTTTCCGTGCTGCCGCTTATCCCCTCCACACACACACACACACACGTACACATCTTCATCGTCGTCGACGTCGGCCCAATCACTTCTCACTCCTTCCAATTCGGTGGTTGGTCCATTTTTGCCGCAGGCCAAATAATTTCTTCTTCCTCCTTCTTTGCTCGCACCTCCTCCTCCTTCATCTTCAGTCTTTCTTCTATTCTGAATAGAAGCAGAAGCAGAAGTCGTCGTCGTCGTCGCTAAATGAATTAGAAGGCGTCCGTGTGTGGTCGGCAAGAAGAAGAAGAAGAAAGCAAAGGACGAATAGTCCGGGCCACTGCTTCTCACGTCACTTCTCCAGATGTCCTCACTGCCCAATCGGCTGGCCTTTGTCTTTTTTTTCGTCGGATTCGGAACCGTCGGTCACGCCTATCACGCTAGGTATTCAGGGGGTCTAGCCACACGAATTCCATCTGAAAACCCGGTTTCAACCCCCAATTATCATTTATTTCAGGCCGAAATCAGATGAGAGTACTCCGATGCACTCTTCGTCGTCCGATCTTTTCCAAGATGAGGATGGTCACGGATCGACGACACTCGAGTCGATCGCGCGAATTTCAGCACCGGTGAGTCTTCCCTAGGGTTGGGCGCAGAGGCCAGATAATCCGATCGTTAAAATCCTGGCCCTCCTGCCCAGCCATGATCCCCATAATCACAGTCTTCAGCCGCACATCCCAATCGAACAGCCGCAAACGTCGGACACCGAGATCCTCGAGCACCTTCTGACACGTGGCTACGATCACAGAGTACGACCGCCCGGAGAGGACGGCACCATCCACGGAGGCCCCGTCGTCGTGTCCGTCAACATGCTGCTGCGGAGTATTTCCAAAATCGACAATGTGAACATGGAGTACAGTGTGCAGCTGACGTTCCGCGAGTCGTGGGTCGACAAGCGGCTCAGCTACGGAGTGAAGGGCGACGCGCGTCCGGACTTTTTGATTCTGACCGCCGGACAAGAGATCTGGATGCCCGACTCGTTCTTCCAAAACGAGAAACAGGCGTACAAGCACATGATCGACAAGCCGAACATTCTGATCCGCGTGCACAAGGACGGCACGATTCTGTACTCGGTGCGCATCTCGCTCGTCCTCTCCTGCCCCATGCACCTCCAATACTATCCGATGGACGTGCAGCAGTGCTTCATCGATTTGGCCTCGTACGCCTACACGACCAAAGACATCGAATACGTGTGGAAGGAGGAGAATCCGGTGCAGCTGAAGGCCGGACTCTCGAGCTCTTTGCCCTCGTTCCAGCTGACGAACACGTCGACGACGTACTGCACGAGCAAGACCAACACCGGCGCCTACTCGTGCTTGAGAACTATTTTACAGTTGAGGAGACAGTTCAGGTCGGTTTGAAGGGCACAGTGATATATTCAGAAAAAGAGAATTTGCAGTTACTACCTGCTGCAACTGTACATTCCCTCGTGCATGCTCGTCATCGTCTCGTGGGTCTCGTTCTGGATCGACCGGACCGCCGTGCCCGCGCGAGTCACTCTGGGAGTCACCACGCTGCTCACAATGACCACCCAATCGTCGGGAATCAACGCGAAACTGCCGCCCGTCGCCTACATCAAAGCGATCGACGTCTGGATCGGCGCGTGCATGACGTTCATCTTCTGCGCTTTGCTCGAGTTTGCCTGGGTCACCTACATTGCCAACAAGCAGGATGCCAGCAAGAGTAGACCCTTAAGCTATGAAAATTGAGAAGACATACTGTTTTTGCAGGATCACGTCTTGAGAGGGAGAAGGCCGAGCTGCCGTTCCTTCAAAATTCGCACAACGACGTGTGGGTGCCGCGGGAGGTAGCCGAACAGGAACGCGAAGTGATGACGGTGCGGCTGAATCGGCGGCAGACGAATAGCTTCTGGAAGTGGATAAAGACAAAGACCGAGTGGAACGACAAGTCGAAACGCGCGGATCTCATCTCGCGAGTCATGTTCCCGGTGCTCTTCCTCACATTCAACATTTCATATTGGACACATTACGGGCAGTACGGAATCGCCATCAACTCTTGACGACCTGATCCGCCCACTGTTTTTGTCCTGTATCAATTTCCACCCTACCGGTGTTCTCAAGGAAAACAAACTATTTGCTGAAGAAAACAAAAAAAGCTAATAAACAAATGATTGATAAAGATTGAAGAGGAATAAATACGTTTAATGAGAAAATGAACAATTGGTGGGGAAAAATGAGATGTTTTGGGAGAAGCGGGGGAATGAAGTGAGTTCGGCTACTTTGTCTTCGATTCGGCCAGCTCTTTCCGGCACGAGTCGGCGAGAAGCTGCGTGTCGACCTGATCCGACGGCAGTTGGACGTATCTGACGACGGATCCACGGATGAAGCAGTTCTTGACGGAGATCATGTGCGGGAAGCGGTCCGTATCGGAGACGGTGATGTCGGTCAACTTCATGTTGAGGTACTGGTCTACCGAGTGCAGAGTGCCGCAGATACTGAAAGAAACTATTTTTGCGCGTGAAATTACATGTTATTCCGAACTTTTAATAAAAATTGCCAGAAATTAAGGCAAATGACTATGCGAAATTGGGAAAAATCTTAAAAATCGATCATTTTTTCTAATAATTTTTGAGTCCGGGTTGATTTTCGACAAGTTTGAAGTTTTCAGGTAAATTGACGAGGTTTTCATGAGCGTAAAATTGTAAATTTTTAATGTATTTTTTTATTAAAATGGCTTCAATCCATGTTTAAAACAAAAGCTCACCTCAAGTCATTTTTAAGCTCAACGACGACGTCTTTTCCGACGAGTGACTTGAAGAATGAGAAGAAGAGCTGCAAATTATTGATTTTACGGATTTAAATACACTTTTTTGATAGAAAACTCACCATATTTAAATAAAATACGGCAGAAGAAAGAGACTGAGCGATTCAAAGCCGAAAAACAATAATTTCAAACCTGACTAAACAAGGAGCGACCGGTGCGAGCGGAGTGTCGTTGCGAAATAGGAGCGCTCTGCGAATCGAGTGCAAGCGACCGGTTCTCGGAGTGACCAGGCGGCCGCCAGTTTGTGTGTTGAATCATCGCTCGAGAGGAAAAGACGAAAAGAAGGGGGGAGGAAAAGGAAACAGACTGAGAAAGCGCCGGTTCCCTTGTCAAACCCCCCAATGCTTTTCCCCCTTTCTTTCCTTTCTTATCGATCCTCTCGCTCTCTTTCTCATCGCATTCTGATCTGATTCCCCGCCGCTTTGTAATTGATCGTCGATGAACTGTTGTTTTCCAGAACACATGCTTCGCCGAATAAAAGAGCAAGTCTCCCAGGTTGCTAATGAGGTATTTGAATTCTCACCTGTCGGCTCATTTCTTCAAATTTCCAGCTTGATGGCAGATTGAGCGCACGGGCCAGCAGTCAGGACTCTCCACAGCCACCACAACCGCCACAAAAGTCGGAAAATGAGCGGGAAATCGAGGGATTCTGGTGCCCGATGTGCATGACAGAGCTCGGCGGCCCCGAAGAGCTCACCGTCCATTTCGAGCAGAAACATGCAGATGTAACGTTCTTTTTCTAGAATTTTCCATAAATTTCGCATCCCCTCGAGTAGTTTCAGACATCCGCCAATCGGAATCATCCCGAGTACCGGCCTCCGCAGTCGTCAACGATCACATTTGCGACGAAAGACGAGGAGATTGAAGAGTTGCGCATCCGAGTCAGCGAGGAGAAGCGATTCGCGGAGAGAATCAAAGAAGAGCTCGACAATATCAAAGAAGTGATGGCGAAGGCGTCAGATGTGACGGGAGACGAAGTGCCGTACATGGCACAGCAGATTCAAGTGCTAACCGCCGACAAAGGGATGGTGACGCGGCAGTTTCTTGAGCTGGAGAAGGAGAGCGGACAGCAGACGAGAGAGCTTCAGCAGGTGAAGCAGGAGCGCAACGATTTGATGGGCAAACTGAAGCAGATGAGTGTCAAGATGAGGGAAATGACCGACGAGACCGAGAGCACGAAGGTCGAGCTGGAGGATTTGAAAAGAGAGCTGAAAGTTGTGAAATCCGACGTTTCGAAGTACGAGGTCGAGGTGACACGTCTCGAGAAGATGCTTGATCAGCGACCTTCGGAAGACGACGTCAACGTTCTCAGAACAGAGCTGGTCAACGCCCAGAAGCTCATGGACGCCATCTCCCAAGATAAGGACGTGGACATCAATGAGCATCTGAATTCCATTCGAAATCTGAGCATGGAACGCGAAAAGCAACACCACATTATGGAGAACATGGAGAAGAAGATCGCCGAGTGCGAGGAGACTGTGAAGCAGCTGCAAGTGGCGAACGAAGCGCAGTCGGAGCAGCTGAGGGAGCGCAACGAGCGGGTCGCTCAGTTGGAGGCCAGGATCGAGGAGAACGTGACGGAGTTGGTCGAGACGAGACAGAACGTGAAGCGCTTCGAGGAGCTCGTCAAAAAGTCGGAGAGCGCACTGACGGAGCTCGCTTCTATAAACGGTTCCAACGAGCAGCAGATGATCAGTTTGAGCGCCAAAGTCGAACAGGTATGTTTACGGCGAGGAAATTTGATGCTTTACGGCAGACATAAACAAAAAGGCGTTGAATTGCAGAATGCAAACGAGAGACAGCGATTGGAGGCGGCATTCGAGGAGAAGGTGGCCGTGCAGGCGGAGAGACTGAAAACGCTGGAAACGGCGAATCTCGACCTGACGAATGAGCTCTCGTCGATGGGGTCTTTACTGGATCGGGAACGGACTCTTACCGTGGAGAAGAATGGAGAGATATCGGAAAGGGATCAGACGATCAACGAGTTGAAAGAGAAACTGGCGGAGAGTGAGCGGAAGAGCGGAAAGTACAGTAATGAGCTGAAAGAACGGACGGAAATCGTCGAAAATCTGACCTCACAGCTCAAAAATCTGCAGGACAACTCGAAAGATCTGATGGAAAAAATATCAGCTGGAGAAGGCGGTGCAAAGATGGCAATTGAGCAGTTGGAGCAGGAGAAGGTGAAGCTCACAACCGAGCTCACGACGTCTTCGGAAAAAAGCAAAAAGGCGACGGAGCAATTGGAAACGCAGATTTCGGAGCTGGAGAAGAAGTTGCGTGAGGCAGAAGCTTCGATAACGGACAAAGAGCAGAAGTGGAAGCAGGAGAAGGAGGAGTTTGTGCGGAATTTGACGGAAGCGGAGGCTGAGGTGAGAAGGAAAGGCGAGCGTTTTGTGGAGATGGAGAAGGAGATGGAGGAGGAACGGCAGAAAGCGACGGACCGAACGATGAAGTTGAAGGAGGCGATTGTGGAGTCGGAGAAGAATCTGGAGGCGATCAAGAAAGAGAGCGAGGAGAAGGAGAAGGTGGTCAGAGAGAAAGACGCGCATCTGGAGGACAACAGAAAGATTATCGAGGACTCGATTCAGAAATTAGGAGAAGCTGAAAAGCGCGCGAGGGAACTGGAATCAACGGTTTCCGGCCGGGACACGGAGGTCACTTCGAAGGATCGAGAACTGGAAGAGCTAAGGTCGAAGCTCGCGGAGTCGGACGCCTTTATAGAACAGCTGAAAGTGCAGGTAGAGAAGGTCAGCCTGCGAATAGAGTCCTTTGCCAATGTATGTGCTCACCCGATTGTTCAGTCTGTTAACAGCACTCCTATCTTCACTAGCCCCTTTTCAGTGTGCTCCAATCCTGTCACTCCTCAATCTATCGCCCTAGTGCCCCCTAGGTTCCCCGCCGATTAACGTCCGAAATGACTGGCTTCCGCTAACCCCGTTTCCCTGTTCGCGTCGCAGATCACTCAGTCTGTCTGCCTGTTTAGTATGTGATTCAGGTGAGCAACGAATTGACCGAAAAGCAGCAAGAGGTGGAGGCGCTGACGACGGAGATCCGGGAGAAGGAAGCGCATTGGAAGACGAAGCGCGATGAGTTCGAGGCGCAAATGCTGCGGAATCAGGAGGAGAACGAGGAAGCGGCCAACACTTTGAAGACGGCGCAGGAGGAGCTGGCGAGGGAAAAAGAGTCGGCGGCGGAAGAGAGAAATCAGCTGAACTCGGTGAAATCGCTGTTGGAAGAGACAAAAGCGGAAGCGGAGACCCTCCGGCAATCAGAAGAACAGAAGGCGCAGGAGATTTCAAGATTAACCGCCTCGATTTCCGATCTGGTAAGCCTTCGATTCCCCGCGTACAGACTGTTCTCATCCTCCGCTTGTGCCTGAATTGCAGAAATTGGAGCACGGCGAAGTGAACGTGACCGCCGAAACGCTTCGGACCGAATCGGACAAACTGAGAGCCGAGGTGCAGAGATTGGAGGAGACGCTGAGGGAAACGAACGAGAAAAGTGCTGAGGACGTGGAGAGATTGGAAAGAGAGAAGACGAAGGCGGAGAGGGAGATGGAGGAGAGAGAATCCACGATTCAGGCGATTCAGGAAGCGTTGGAGACCAAGGATAATGTGAGCGAATAGAAGATTTAGAAATGAAATGATGATAATCTGTTTTTAGGAGATTGAGACATTGAAGACGAACCATCGAGTAGTGGAAGAAGAACTCATTTCGAAGATCTCACTGATCGAGTCATTCAACTCAAGAATCGAAGAATTCGAGAAGGAAATGGCCTGCGGAAAGAGAACGATCGAAAAGTTAGAGGCGGAGAAAGCGGAAGAAGTAGAGAAGTTGGTGTTAGTGAGCGGAACACAGAGCCAGAGGCAGGAGGAAGTCCAAAAGTTGCGGAAGGATCTGGAAGAAAAGGAAGCAGTCATCGAACGGATGACTTCGAGCAAGGCCCAGTTCGAAATCATGTTCGCGGATGTGCAGTCGAGTCTTTCCAAGGAAGTGGCCGAGAAGGCGACAGAAATCGAGCATCTCATGGAGAGAATCGACAGTCTGGAGTCGTTCAATCATCAGAGGGTCGCAGAGCTCGAGGGCAGACTCACGCAGAGGGAACGGCTCGTCGACTCGCTCGAAGCGGATTTGGTGGCTCTCCGGGATGCGGAAAAGGAGAAGAGTGACGAGCAGAAGCGGATGAAAGAGGAGTACGATGGTAGGAGTTGCGACGGTCTTCGGAAATGTATTACCTTTCCATTTTGCAGAGCTCAAGAAGGCAGAATCGATGTGGCAGGCGGAGAAGGATGTGCTCATCGAGAGATGTCTGGGAACTGAGAGTGATATCGAGTACGAGAAGGAAAGAGCTCAGGAGAACAAGCGAAGGTTCGACGAGGCGCTTTCCGCGATGCACGAACTCGGAAGAGCCAATCAGTCCCTTCAAGTTGGTCGAAAACGAGAGGCTTTCAGAAGCCAGCTTCCTTTTTTTCAGATTGACGCGGACCGCCACAACTCGCGCAAGTGGCTCGACGACTCAGAGGCGATCAACTGCACCGAGTGCGGAAAACTCTTCTCGCTGACGATCCGCAAGCACCATTGTCGCGTGTGCGGAAAGATCTACTGCAATCCGTGCAGCTCGAAATCGGTGCGAATCGCCAGCGCCAAGCACCCGGTCCGAGCGTGCAATCACTGTTTTGCCGAGTCGCAAAACTGATCATATCATATTGTGCAAAGTTTTAAATTTAAATATCCTTAATTTATTTGTATCTTCTCACTTTCATTCTGTGCCACATTCACGAGTTTTTGTTCAGTTCTCCTAGTTCAGTTTGTGATACATATATATTTATTTATTTTTATGAAATCATACCCTGTGCGCGCCGACCCTAATCACGGTGGTCATCAATCAAAAAAGTTTTGTCGCAAAACGAAACGGATGTTTGAGATCTTTCGGGGAGTGGTCGGTGCCATTTTTGCACCGCCGATAGCATCATCTGCAACTACAGTCCGGCGATGACGTCACTCCCCGCTTCCCCCTTTTTCTTCTTCATTTGTCTTCTTTAACATCTTTTCCTTCGTCGTCTGCAGCAGCAGCAGCAGCATCTTCATTTTCCGACGCCGCCCCCTCTCCAACCCTCTCTTCGTTTTCTTCGTCATTTCGGACGATCAAGGACGAGTAATATTTTCGCAGAAATACCGCCGATTTACTCTTATCATTCATCTTATCAACACTTCCATTTTTATCCCCCCACCCGCCCACGGATTTGATAGTAATTTGGAGTTGTTGAACGTATTCGTCCGACTAACCAGTTTCAAAACCACTCGTTCCCCTCCAATTACCTCCACTTTTGTTCGAAATTAGCCCCCTTCGTAAACTGAAACTGAACCGATAAGACGACCAAAGATTCAGGAATGCAATTACTCTTTCTGATATTGTCGACGACGGCGGCACTCGCGAACGCGTGCGTCTACAAGGGAGAACAGTACAAGGACGGAGAGACTTGGGTAAGCAATCGCGCTCCACTGCACACCATCTGATGGCAATTTTGAGCGTTTGAGTTTGACAAGCAAAGATTCTTGTGAACGCTTTTCGAACGTTCTACGGCGAGTTTGTGTTTTGAATTAAGAAATTGCAGATAAATTTGATAAACCTAATCAAGTTTTTCAATTTGCGAACCGAAACGCTCGAAAATGTTAAGTTTGCGCAAAATTGTTGGCGTTCTTGTGCTGACCCCCAGCTACAGTACTTTTCAGTTTAAAGGCGCATCACTGTCCTCCGGAACATACTGGTGTAGAACTTTCTCAACGAAATTGCCTCTATTGTACGTAATTACACAGCTTCTTGTTAAACATGAACCCAAAGTGTCATGTCATGTTTTCGAGGCTTTGTTCCGATTTCTGTTGTCGCTTTCTCATTGGCAGTCGCCTCTGAACAACGTTGACGATGAATAGCGGAGCTAGAAGACGTCAAATCGCTGTACACATTTTTTGGGGCCTAATCTCAATACCCAGTACTTTATTTTTCCAGTTTACAACTTGTTCGTACCACCACTCCTAAGAGTACTAATCTTTGAACATGTGTTATGAACAAGAGCTAGGTATATATTTTGCAATGTGATGTCTTCTAACTTTGCAATTCTTTGTTTTGGCCGCGCCATGACTGCGCCGTTAGAGTACAACTTTAAAGATTATTTGAACTTTAATTTATTATCGGGTCATTTAACTGCAATCGCGCTCTGTTGAGAAACTCGTTTTGCAGTGCAAATTGCAATAATCTCGAGGGCGAGTTTGAAGAAAAATGGAAACGTTTGGCTGGATTAGGAAGAGAGAAATGTAGTATAAGTGAACGAAAGTGGAAATGCTTTCAGATAGCGCGTTCCACGTTCGTCCTCCGATGCGACATCTCGAAGAGCGGCTGGAAAACAACGGTGATCGGATGCCGGACCGCCGAGGGTGTTCACGTGCTTCCCGGCCAGTCGATCTACGAGGGCGACACGGTAGGTCATAATGATCAAACTTCAGCTGCTTCTCCAGTCACCACATTTCATTCTCAAAACTATTTTTGAGTACGACTGACCGACCGAAGAAACCCCTAATTTTGATGATTGCATGACAAACCGGTTGGGACAGGTCAAATTGAGAGAAACGAAGAGATGAAGTGACTTTTAAAAGTGAAACGAAACGAAACGATTGCAGAAGTACGAGTGTTTGAAGGAGAAGGACGGCACTGTCGAGATCCGAAGAACCCTGAACATCAAGCGGAAGAAGAGCTGCGGAGATCACGCGATCGGCGAATCGTGGGTCTTCGAGAAGAGTTTCATGGCCAAGTGCACAGAGAGAGGGGTGCAGATCACGGACTGCATCTCGGACGCCGGCATTCCGGTCCCGCTGAACGGGTCTCTCGTGTTGAGCCTAGTCAAATATGAGTGAGTACTCAAGCAGCTGTACTAGTGATCATTGAATTTATCACATTTTCAGTTGTGTTATGGACGCCAGCGGAAAGGTTTCACTGCACAGAGATGTCACTCCGCAGATCATCGCTCCTCGATCCACTACGGTATATCAAGCTAGAGAAGTAATTGGAAGGACGAGGGAATCTAGCAAGTGTAGATTGGCCGTGGCCTAGAAAAATCAGATGCGAGTTATCTGCTCTAGAGTCATTTGAGTTTCTATGAATCGAGATTCGCCTTGTTTCCCTGGTCTTTTGGACACACATATGACTTTCGCACGTGCTATATCCGGCTGTTTGTTGAGACCAACACATTTTGTGATTTGTTCCCATCGCAGCTCAAACCGTGAGAACTCTCTCTCCCTCTTTGCAGCTGAGCCCATTGGAAATACTCGGTCCGATGTTCAAGGAATTGCGGGCGTCGGATGTGAAAGAACTGCTGGCGCCGAACGATTCGGGCAACAAGCAAGAAGTGACGGCGGCCGCGCAAATGATGGAGAACGCCGAGACGACGTGCGACTTCGAGGGCGAGAACCGAAAGGCGGGCGACGTGTGAGTTCGGGAGCACGCAAAAAAATACCTGACTTTTTACGCTAAAAAAACAAAAACCGGCAGAACATTTCGAAGTGAATGCGCTCGGTTTCAATTGTGATCTCGAATCCGACGCCAATTAAAAACAGAGAAAGTTCTTCCAGAATTCAAAGCAAAAACAACTGAAACTTGTTTCGCCGCTGCAAAATTAGGCCCCGAAGATCACAAAAAACCGACAATTTTATCAAACTTTTTTTTTCAAAAATCCTGAAAAACACCGATTTCAGATGGGTTTCCGATGGAATTTTCACGAAAAAGTGCACCGACGACGGGGCGACCGTGATTTTGAACTGCATTGTGGACGACAAGACGATTATCAATGTGGACACGGAGCTGACAATTGGCAAGAAGGTAGGCTCAGCTCAGGCTTAGGCTCAATTGAGACAACCGAAACTGAGATCATTCAGACGTACAAGTGTTACCGGAAGAAGGAGGAGAATCGAGTGTACTACGAGGTGCGAATCAACTGAACTCGGCCCGGATATCATTCATTTCTCGCACGGGTCTCTATGTAGATCTAGATCCCTCTCTCTCTCTCTCTCTCTCTTTCCCTTTCATTTTCTTTTTCCGGCTCCGTTTTCGTACTCAAATACGAGTAACTTACTATTAGTATCACCTACTATATAACACTTTTCCTGATTAACCACCGCCCATAACTAGATTGTTTTTATAGCACACACTAAATAAATATTTCTGTTTTCCGATTTTCACGTATTCTCGCTCAATTCAATGAGCATTTCGAGGGTATTCATGCTGAAAATGTAGCGTTTTTGGTCAAAGATTACAAAGAAATCCGCTCGAAGACCGCGCACGTTACTATCTAACGCAACGGAGCCGCCGCCGGCACGCATGGCGCAGTAGTACCGTTTTGGCCCGCCAAGCCAACAGTCGCGGGTTCAAACCCCACTGTGCTGTTATGTGTTTTGCTTTGTTTTTCTTGTCCGGGCCTCGCAGTATGCCCGACCTTCTCAATTAGTTTTCTGAACGGACTTCATTCAAAATAGTCACTTCAAAAATGCTCCCACGTTATTTTCTCTCTCTCTCTCTCTCTCTCTGACGCTTTGCGACTTTCAGCTGTTTCCTCAATTCAGTTCAGAGAATCAACTCAATTCAGAGAATGAGCACAAAATGGTTCACGTCTCACTCACTCAACTGAGACTAACACAAAGATGTCATCTGTCAAAAGCAAAACACCAATTTGTTCTCAATCAGTTTTCGTCTCCATAATTGGTGGTTAGAACCTTGAAAACAAGCCATCGAACAAACCTTTTCTCTCGCAAATCCCGTGATCCTTGTGGAATTATATAGTTTATGCCTATGCCAGACAAATATTCCCACGTCGTCTTGTGATTCGTCGTGTGCTCGACCCAAAACCTCCGCTCATGTTTTCCGTTATTTTCGACTCAAAGACCTAAAGGATCCTCCGGTTGCAGGTTGATGAATGTTTCACTTTGTCCGGAAAGTTATCTTCTGAGCATCAACGTCTTCTCAATCACCCTCACGCTTCCGATGGTCGTCATTTTCGCCGTTTTATCCATACTTTTGATCGTTCACTCCAAAACGTTTCATCCGTTTTTCACGTGAGTTACTACGAATCCCTCTGAAAGTGATCTACGAATATTTTTTGGAGTTGTGACTTGAACTAACTCTTACTTATCGAAAACAACCGAACGAATCGGACAGAAAAAGTGAACGAGTTCATGTTAAGTTACATTTTAGCCAACCCAAAATAAAAAGGACACGCTGACATAGGTCTAATAAGGGCTTAGCCCTAAGATGTTGACACCATTGGATGGAGCGTCAAAAGTCGAAACGTTCAACTTTAGAGGCCCATATCTCGAGAACCAATGATTATGCTTAAAAGTGATCAACTGAAAAGTTGTTGCAAATTTTGTGCTGAACAACTTTGTTCTACATCATTTTAACTCAAAATGTTTCGTTTTTGAGCTATGCATATTTTTCTAAACACATCTCAGATCTAGTCCTAACCCCGATTTTTGTGAAAAATGATGTACTTATATAAAACTTTTTACGCATTCCAGACTATCCTTCACCCTGCTCATAATCTCCTACGCAATATGCAACGCGTGTGTTCTTATCAAGGCCTCCATTGAGATTTTCGACGAACAAAACGCATTTGTCGCCCGTGTGGACACCCTTTATTTATGGGTTTATTCGTACATTCAGCCGTGTGGTGAGCGAAACATCGTTTTCTTTATACTTTTATGATTTCCTTCAAAAACCCAATTACAGTGGTAATTGGATTGATCGAAAGGTTGTGTGCCACTATTTTCGTGAACTCGTACGAGCACTCCCGACACTGGGTCCTATATATTATCGGGCAGGCGATCGGGGTAGGAGGACTGATCATTTGAAACGTGTAAATGGAGTTAAAGTCCAGATCGGAGTGGTCTACTACGAGAGCATTCTGGTGGAGAGTGGCGAGTACACGGACACGGCGAAAAACGTGCAATTCGGACTGTCCATCGCCATTTGTCTCTGTCTCATTGTCTTGTTTCTCGTAAATCGACACTTGACACTCTCGTCGAGGCACCGCTCGAAACTGACCGTCAGGTATCAGTTGGCCGAGAACGTCAAGGCATTGAGGTGGGCAGGAGAACGTCGATGATGATGATGATGATGATGATGATGATGATGATGATGATGATGATGATGATGATGATGATGATGATGAATAGGATGCTTCCAGAGCATTTGTGCCGTTCGTCGTCATCGACAATTGCATTTCGATCATGTTCGTCCTCTCGATGCTCCTCTTCCAAGTCGACTTCAATTTCGATCTGGAAGTGTGCCGAAAATTGCCCGGATACACAATCAGCTTTGCCGTTTTTCGAGCGGTAAACACTAATTGCAGCATTGCGGGAACCTAGAACATTCGTTGCTCCGACGCTTGCAAAAAGCAATCTAATTCTGGCTTTTTCGCAAATAATGTGGCTAGGCTTTCCGGATTGGGCCCGAACTTTGCAGGTTTCTTGGACTTGGTTTGAAGTATTCATCGTGCAAGTTTCAGACCGAATGGATTATCGGATCTGGAGATATTCGGTCCGAAAAGTCCGGGTTTTTTTTTGCAGAAAAAAGAGGCATATAGGCCCTAGATCGAATGGTTCCAAAATCCTTAGTTCAAGTGTTAGAAATCTGACAAATTTGGGCCCAATCGAAATATTTATTCCTCAATAGTAAGCGCAAAATCTGTAGTTGAATAATACCGTTTATTCAAAACGATATATCTCAGTTGTGTGTAGAGATATTAAAACATTGTCAACTGAAAAAATGTACACAAAGTATTAATGAGTAATTTATTAGTTGACAACTTTTTGATATTCCTACCGGTAGCCGAGATATATGGTCTTGAATGAACGGTATTGAGATGCTGGCGTCTAACTTCAACAACTTTTTGCAGATCCTTCTACTGACGCAGTTGGTGATGCCATTGTCGGTTGTGAAGCAGCATTCTTCCATCTGGAACCGAGTGACCGCCCATTTCGCGGTGCGCAAGACGACCGTCCGGAACAGTGTGGACACTACCGATCCGAACAAAGTGTTTAAAGTTCATACTATTCTCGGAGAGGAGGCAACGGTGTTCGTGTCGAAAACCATTTCCTCCTCTTCCTTTTCTCCATTTTTGACTTCAAAAACGCCTCAATTAGCCGCCACAAACCTTGCTGAATTTCAGATCAACAACGTGCTCGGAATGGACGTCGTCGGCAGCAACGTCGACTATTTTGCTCAGCTCAAAATCCAATGGCTCACCTGAGAGAATTGAGGCGGCTAATGAGCAACAAAATGTATATGTTTGATGATAACAAAGTCTATGAAATGATGGAAACTTTTGTGCTCGGAATGCGTCACTCGGTGCTTGACTCGATAACTCGGAAATTCGCAAACCGCGCGAGCGCGCGCGCGCAGGTGCAATTCGATTTGAGTAGTATCGAGTTGGCTCCTCGGCGCGAATTCTCGGAGCCCGAAGTCAGAGCTCCAATCTTTCATTCTTCTCCCCTTTCACGAATATCAAGCACAAACATGCAATTACACGTTCTCCCATCTCATCTCATCGCATTTCTTCGGCTCTCCGTCGCTGTGCTCGCAGAAACTCCCATTCCCACGGAGCGGAACGAAAGAAAACAACGTCAAGTTCGATTTTCAGCTCATTTCCAGCCAAATGCGAGTAAATGTCAGCCCTCTCCCTCTTTCTCTTTTTTTTCTCGTTTCTTTCATTTCTTTCACCTGCTCTCCCTTCCTCTTCACTTTCAGCCGTTTCCCTTCTTCCCCCGCTTTCCGTCCATGAACAGCTCCGAAGTGCTCCTCTCGTGGGACGACATCTTCATGGAGAACTGCGGCGACGAACGGCTCGTCGTGCTCTCCGTCTGCACTTCCGTTTTCGTCGTCCCGCTTTCGCTCCTCTTCTTCGCCGCCACCGTCGCGTTCTTCCGACGACGCAAGATCTTTCATCCGCTCTTCTCGTGAGTTGCGACAATCATTTCCGGCTCAAAAACCACAGTTTGACATCCAAAACATTGACTTTTCCGTCAAAACCAGCAATTAGAAGCCGAAATGTTGGTTTCAGGGACCAAACCTCACTTTTTGGACTCCAAAAAGGTCTAAATCAAACCTAAAACATTGAAATCGATTGAAGATTCTGCTTCCTCGTCCTCTTCCTCTTCTACTTCATGTCCACGTCGGTGCTCGCCGTCCGAAACATCACTTTCTCCATTTATCGACAAAATTTCGACGAGTTGAGCTCGACGACCGATCGAATAATTGCGTATTGCGAGAAGATTTACATTGCGCTCATCTACTTCATTCCGCCGATGAGTAAGGACTCTGGAAGTGGCTAGATGCCTTTTTTTTTTGCAGTTACGATTGGAATCTTCGAACGTCTCTCCGCCACAGTCTTTTCTCGTTTTTACGAAAAGTCCCGACCCTGGACTGTTTTGGCGTTGGCTTTGCTGGCTATGGTAAGCGGGTTTTTACTTTTCACAAGTTTTAGTCTAGGTTAGGTTGGGACCTTTTAAGTTGAAGCCCTATTATCCGATCAGTTCTGGAAATTGGGACACCCCAATACCGCTCATTCAAAACTATATATCTCCGCTGTCGGTACAGATAGCAAAACGTGATCAACTATGAAATTGTTTATTCAAACTTTGTGTACATTTTAGCAGTTGACCACATTTTGATATCTCTTTCGGCAACTGAGATACCGCGTCTTGAATGAACAGTATTCCATTTGCAGTGCCATTAGACTGATAAATGTGCCAAACTAAATGATAAGTGAGTCATCAAAACTCTTTTCCAATTAAAGAGCGCACTTGTGTACATCGAGTTCGCCAACCGGCATGTCATGCAAGCCACGATTCCCACACGAAACGTCCAAGTGGTCTTCGCCCTCGTCTGCACCGGCTCCCTCTTCGTTCTCCTCATCGCCAACCGATCCAAATCAAAGACCGGGCGGGCCAGATCGGCATTATCGGAAAGATACCAAGTCACAGAGAACATAAAGGCGCTGCGGATTCTGATTCCGGTCGTTTGTCTGGATACTCTCATCCAGATCGGGTTTCTGGGCGCCGATATATTTCTGAACGTTGGTCAGGTGTTGAATCTCAATTACTGCTACGATGATGACGTCTACTTGGACAAGTTTCTCGCTTTTCGATTGGTAAGTCTCAGGGCTTTGCAAAAGATCACACCAAAAACAGTTGTTTTGAGAACAAAGACCGGACCAGGCTTTTCGAAGGCCTGCCGAGGGGGTGAACTCAAACTTTACAGGCAAAGTATTGGGTCGAGGCTTTCAAAAAGCCTCAAAACGCCATCGCAGAGTCCCAAACATTGTCTCAATGTTCAGAAACCATACGAACTTTGTCCATGCATAGCGCAAGCCAAAAGAGAACATGTTTTCCAGCTCGGCTTTGCAATGCAATACTCGATTCCGCTGACCGTCATCTTCCACTTCAGCCTCCTCTCGTTCCGAAGACGTGGCGTCGTGCGGCGCGCGACGCCGGTCTCGCCGTCCCAGGAGAATCCGCCCTTCTACGTGGTCACCATCCGGAACGTGTTCGGAACGACCGTGTCTGGCGCCTACAACGGCACGCACGGCCAAGACACGCACTTCAGGACGTTGTATTCGCAGTGGAATTGAAGAAGACGAGGAGGCGACGAATCTATCTAATTTTGCTTCCTTTCCTCTCTCTCTCTCATATAAAATCCTTCTTTGCTCGCCCGCTCGTTTTGTTTATACCCCATTCCGTCACTCGTCATCTCAGTTTCCGGGAACTTGTTTCTTTCCAAAGGTCACCACCACAGCCACCAAATAACCGAATTCATGCCAGTTTCGTATTCATGAGAGAATGCCATTCGACCTCTCTGCAACAAGTTTCTTCCTTTCTCGTCACTCATTGCGCTCCACCCACAACGAGCAATGCACATTTTGTGAGTTTGTTAGTTACCAACATTTGTTGCAGCCTCGAAATGAGCTGCATCGATGAGCTCTCAAGTGACCTGCAAAGTCTTGCGATGGAACGACACGAGAATGGCGACAGTGTTCATCAGGAGAGAGGGGTAAGTACGTTTTTTTCCACAAAAATCATGTCTATGCCTAGTTTTGAGGCTACAAAGTCTCAAAGTTTTGCAAAGTAGTAGGTCTTTCTAAATATTGAGCATTTACTTGATCAAAACTCGAGAATAAAACGCTTTGGGTTAAAATAGTCAACTACAAAGTTGTTAAAGATACAATTTCCAACAACTTTCCAGTAGATCACATTTCTAAATAATCATTTGTTCTCGAGATATAAGTCTTAGAAGTTAAGGATGTTTTCCTATGATCAACCCTGTCCCTCCGCTAGTTTTCTCATTTTTCGACCCCACTGCCCGGTCAACCAATTGCCATTTGTTAGAATAATTCGGGATTATCTCTCATTTTTCCAGCGGATGACCCGGAAATCTTCGACGTCTTCCAACGGATCTTCCAGTTTGGAGAAGCGCAAACTCTTTCATCGCAAAGATTCCGAGGTGAAGATTGAGGCGATTTTCAAGGAACTCTTCTCGCCGGACGCCAAGATTATCGACCATTATGAGGGCGATTTTGTGATGTTCGTCACGGGAACTTTTCTTTTTTTCGATCGGAAATCTTTCAGCCCTGACGTCCAAATCGAGGAAATCGAGCCGGATCAGATTCCGAACCACGAACGCTTCAAACTGCGACGTCAGACGTCGTTGGTTCCGAAGAGCGAGGCGCCGAAGAAGACGTCAATCTCGCCGCTATCCCCTCGACATCGTCTGACTGCGCGGAAATCGCCGGTGCCGCTGCGCAAAGTTTCGACTCCCACGCCACGCAAACGGGTGAGGAAATTAGAAGGGAAATTAGATGGATGGCCGAGTTCAAAGCACAATTCGGGTTTTTAGTCGACGTCATCGAAGGCTCCGCTGCCGAAACTCAGCGCTCCGCCGGGTCTCAAGCCGAACTTTGTGACCGTCGCCGACGATGGACCCTCGTCGACGCCGTGGATCCGCAAGAATCGTAAGTTTCTTGCTTTTTTGTTCTGGTCCCCAGAAGGCTCAACTGGATTTTCAGCGATTCCTCTTCGTCGCGGCGTCGCCGTCTCAGCCATGGCTCAAAAATGAATAAATTCTCGGCCGCCGGATGCTCAGCCACCGAATCCTCGGCCGCGGCGGGTCTCGCCACGAAGAGACGCGTAAATCTACCCGTTTTTCCAATAATTTTCCGGAAATCACCACAATCTCAATGAATTGTTCATGTTTTAAGGCGTTTCCGTCAACTTTTCCGAACATAATCAGTGAGATTTACGCGTTTCTTCCGGTCGAGACCCGCCGCGGTATGTAACTTGAAATCGCAATGACTTATGTGCCACGTCATTCGGTAAATAAAGGTGTGACGTCAATCGGAACCTGTCAAAACAAGAAGAAAAAGACGAAAAAGAAGAAGAAGAAGTGTTAGGTCAAATCAGATCAATAATATCGGCTTTCATCTATCTCAAATGCCGCCGTGTCAGCTGCCGCCACGGGCTCTCCGTTTCCATCGCTCAGAGTCTCGGACGCATTTCGGAGGCATCCATCATTCACTCACTTATGAACTTTCACCTCCTTCCACACCTTCTACTCCTACTCCTACTCTCACTTTCAATTCACTGTAGTCCGGTGGCACAGCACGACGAGCATGAAGAACACATTCAGATGGAGATGACGTCGACGACGCCGCCGACGTTCACAGGTTCGAAGCAGCAAGGTCCATATGTTGTAGAAATAGGAACACTTGGCCCATTCATACACTATGAGCCTTTTTTTTTGGACCTCGAGGGGGATGCTCTCGGATTAATGGTTTGTGTGTGTGTGTCTGAATCATTTGAGGAATTCCGGGAATCTGGGGTTCTTTCCACACGATGTCACGTTTGGTAGGGTCTCGACACGAACAAACTGAACAGTATACGGGGGACTGGCAAATTGAAAAGTTACATTTACCTCTAGCCTGGCAAAAAAACGCCGGGCCATGAGGGTATGCGCCTTTAATATCACTACCGTATCTCTCGGAAGACTTCAAGAACCAAACACAACTTAAAATTAAATTTCGGTGAAGCTTGTGATCGACCGGCCCCTGAACAATGTTAATTCAAAACGATATATCTCGTCTGCCAGTAGAAGTATCAAAAAGAAGTCAACTAATAAATAGCTCATGAGGATATTATGCACATTTTCTCAGTTGATCACTTTCTGATATCTCTACAGGCAGCCAAGATACATAAAGATATTGGGGTGCCGTTTTATTACAAGTTTAGAGGAACTCCTACTTCCTCCGATCCCCCATCTCTCATCTAACTCTCACTCTATCTCTCGTGACGCATAACACGAACATAATCACCGAATTCTTCTCCTTTCCCCCTCGGATCGGTCATTAACACAAGAGACGAAGAAGAAGAAGAAGAAGAAGAAAGTACTTTCTCTGAATTTCCATTTTAGACCTTTTGATTCTCCTGAAAGAGTTTAAAATAAAATATTTCCATACTTTCCAAAGAGAACCATCAGAATCTTGATTTCAGTGATAATCCTGGCTACTCATTGGGTTTGCTACATCAGTGATGCACTAAGAACTTTTTTCCTTTATCGTTTTGAATCAACCTGGATTATTACTGGAATCAGGATTGACAATTCACACTTGTAATGCCACCGGTTCTCTTGGGAGAGCGTCGTGCTTGAAAAAGACGACAATAGCTCAATAAGCGCTCTTTTTGCAGTTCAAAGATTGGATGCGCCGATCGAGCGCATCGAGATTCGACTGATCGACGACAACACGACGCATTCGGTGGTGCCGGGTACGGTCGAAAGTCGGGAAGAGCACACGACGACGACGGAGCTCCCACTGCCCCTTCCGACTGTGAACGAAATGTACAAAAAGGTCGAGTACGTGGTGCAACCGACCGCTTCCGAGCCGACTTCGTCTTCTTCTTCGTCGGCTGAGCCGATTGTCATCGGAGAAGATCCTTCTTACTTCTCGACGGTTTCTTCTTCTTCTTCTTCATCATCTTCAGAGAAACAGGCCAGCGCAGAGGTGAGTATTCGGGCAGACACGCGATGAAACTGAATTCAGGCGAAGGCGTGGATCTCCGTGTCGACGTCAATTCCAAAGTTCGAGGGAGACATCGACGAAGACGATCTTCCGCCGCCGCCCGTTTCTGCGGACTCGGAGGTAAGAGCGTTTTTGCGAAAACCCGCTCTACCGCAATTCCACGTGAATACCAGGCCACGAACTTTCGAATGTCGCACTGAATTCACGTGGAGAACATAAATTTCTACAAAAACCGAAAAAAAGTCAATTCCGCTAATTCTCGGAGAAAAATGTGTTAAACAATGCGGGCGTCTTGATTCCAGAATGTTTCAATAAATTTTTTGAATGTTTTATTCTCTTCTTATGTTAGTTTTATTGGGAAAAAAAATGAAAAGTGGCCGAAATTATTAACACAGTTTAAATAAAATACATTGCAATTTTAGAACGAGGAGCCGGAAGAGGAGTGTCTGGCGAACCGCGAGAAGTTGAGCGCCGAAGTGATAAAGCGGCTCGAGGCGGAAACGAGCACCTACTACCGGCTGGTCCGACAGCGGAACGAGCAGCAGAAGGAGTACTGCGCCGGCGAGGCGGCCACCGACACCGCCTCGGACATGTACCGGCGGTGCAGCAATTGGCGAGCCGAGAAGCTCGTCTACTACTACAAACTGATGCGCAAGACCTATTGTCAGGTGGACAATTGGCCCAACTCGCCAAAAATTAAAAAGACGTACGGCGAGTATTTGAACTTGTTCGGCACGTTTTACGCCTTCCAAAAGTAGCGGGGAGCGGTGGCGAATCGGTGAAGCGGGTCGACTCAATCATATTCCTATTCAAGATCATCATAAATAAAATAAATGTAATATTAAAAAGAGAAACAATTTGATTGCGAATGTTAGAAGTGAATGTGAATGTGTGAGAATTTGCATGTGAAAACAGGAATGAGGAGGAACACGATATGGAAAATTGCACACAGGAGATTCTGGTAAAACGGCAGATAGAAAACAAGAACATGGATATGGTAGTGGAGAAAATAATCAGAAAAATGTTTAGAGCGGATATGGTAGTGGAGAAAATGAATAGAAAAATTATTAGAGCGATCCTTTTCCGTCGGTCTTCACTTTGACGAGATATCTGAGCGTGACGCGATCCTCTTCGTATACAATGTACCTGAAAATGGGAAATTTCGTCAAATGTCTTTCGCACACTCTCAAACGAACTCGTTGTAGTTGAGCCCGGCGGCGTTGGTTCTGTTCGTGTTGAGCTTTCCGAGAAACACGATCATATCCTTCCACGTCTTGTCGTGCTTCGTCTCCGGCGCCCACTTTCCGACGCCTTTGATTGAGTCGTACTCTTCCGATTGCAACGTGGCCAGGATAGCGCGTTCGCCCATCGCCGTCGTGTTCTCGAACACTTTGCCGACGGCCACTTCGCACAAAAACAGGTATGCGTCGCCTCGTTCTCTCTGAAAATCTCAGCATTTTTCATACCTTTATTCACATGAATCTTACGTTCGCATAGCCATAACTCTTGACAAAAGCATCGGCAAAATAGATTCCGTTGCCGAACATTTTGCCGTGGCGCGCCGCGTGTCCCGGGTCGGTCAGAAGACCCCGCTCCAAAATCGACGAGATGTTCTCTTTGCGAGTTCCGTGCCACAGAAGCATCGGCTTTCCGGGGTACTTTGCGGGCACGTGGTCGACGCGGTTGACTGTGTAGATCTCAAGTATTTCGGCAGCGTTGTAGCAGCGATGACCGAGACTTTGTGAGGCGCGGAAGTACGCGTCGATTATCTGCCAGTCTTCCGAGTCGCGATTCAGATATCGCAACGACTGATTAGCCTTGTGGGTCAGTTGCAGATCGATGGACGGGTGCAACCGCTCCGGGAAGAATTGTGGTTCGGCGACATCGAGGAGCGTTATCACAGCACTGATTCTTTGATAACTGTTAATTAGGTGGTGGTTTTCGAAACCGTTATTAGTGGGGAACGCCGAAAAGACACGGTTGGTTGTGTCGATGTAGTCCCAATTGGTGGCCGTTCTCGCGGATATCTTCTGCTTCAGATATTGCAGACTTTTCCTGGCAAACTCCTTCATCTCATGGTCGATGTGGCCCATCCCTTGATGATCAGTGTGGAAGCGCGGCGGAAGGAACTCGTTTGGCACAGTCAGCGATTGCGGATCAAATATCGGTTCGTGCGCGATTCTCACCCAGAAGTACTTTCCCGGCTGCTTCGAGTCGACCGCCTCCTTGCGATCCCATTTCCCTCCGGTGGCCTTGTAGAACTCGTCGTTAAAGTACTTCACCGCCTCGTCGCACATATCGAACGGCGTCGATTCGTGCTCGATGAGCTTCGTGCCGATACGAGAAAACACTTTGAAGACGACAAACTTCATTCCGTGGTCGTGTTTCATCAGAAACAGCTGAATGGCCGAGTTCCGGTTGTGCTGCACCTCGACGTCCGTCAGAAAGGCCTCGTACGCCTCGTTCTCATCTGTTCGCATCACGTGATAGTCGTTCGCCTGCGGGAAGATCACCGGGACCGCCGAGCCTTGTTTGCGGAAGTAGCCAGTTTTGTAGTGCGGACTGTTCACCGCCTCCATCACTTTTCCCGCCGATAGTCTTGTTCCGAGCACTTCGGACGGAAGGACCACCTTCTTCGTCATCTTTTTCGTCGTTTCCGAGATCGTTTCCATTGTCGACGCATAGTAACGTGTCTTGTGTTGCTGAAAACAAAAGGTTTAAACTAGGCGGCAGAAAGTGTGCTCACATTTATATCATAAAGGAGCGTCTCGAACACATTCCAGTATTTATCCGGAATCTCGAAACTGGTGCGCGGCGGGTTTTTGCTTTTGAAGTCGCATTTGGAGAACGGAGTCGCCCAGTTGTTGCACTTGTACTTGCGGAGAGAAGTGTGGAAGTTGACGATGCCGTTGCATTTCTGACATCTTTTGGGTGATCCGAACATGAAAATGTCGACGAGTCGCTCGATTTTCTGGAAACACAAATGCTATTTGTCGGTTTCTGGAGATTTCATAAAATATTACCTCATCTCTATCTTCAGGCACTTCTTGATTGTTATGCTTCAGAATGATTTCGAAGTCGGCATCTGTGAGCGTCTGGAACGCGGAACGTAGATTGCACATGACTGTGACTTGTCTCTTTTGTTCCGGATTTTTCAAATCGACCTTTGAGGTAGTGAAATCGCGCATGATCTTGCTGATGTGTTGGACTACTCCCGGCGCCGGAACCGCGCGATCCTCGGGCACCCGAATGTGCGAAGCGGCTCGTGTGGTCGGAGACAACGAGGCAATGGTGTAGAGCAGAGTCAACTTCTTTCTCACTTCATCCGTGAGCTCGTTCCAATTGGCGATCGACTGGAGCGGGTCGATAACGACGATGGCGTCGCGGAGCACGCAGTGAGCGTGTGCGTCGGCAAAGTTGAGCGAGAAGGTGAGCTGTCCGGGCAGGAGCTGTGTTCGGCAGTAGCTGCAGAGCATGTACCCCTTTTGCCACGAGTTGGCTGTTATGTTCGACAGAACGATACAAGAGTTGTCCTCTTTCCTGAATGACTTGAGGTGCACTGCCAACTTCTCCTCTTTCATCGCCTGCTTCCTCGCTTCATACGACTCCTGGAACAACGCCGCCGAGTTTTTGTCGAGGCTCCGGTATCCTTCCACCATTTCCAAAGAGCCGACCTGAAAGGTGGTGCCCACGTAGGCACAGAGCATGTGCACTTTTTCTTGGTCGACAGACACCACGACCTCGCATGGCACGAATTCCACTGAACACTCTTGACAGTTACCCCTGGAAAATGGTAAAAACTGTAAATGCGCTTTATTGCGAATCACCTGGGAACGTGCATTGTCATGACCCGTATTTTGTTGAGAAACAGCACGCTGGTAGGTTGCTGAACCCTCATTACCGAAGTCGCGGGTTTATTGGTTATACGGAAGAGCTGAAAACATAAAGATTGGGAGTAGATGCGAAAAAAAAGGATTACCGACCTCTTTGCCGAGCGGAATGTTCCGGAGATGCGGCGAAGTTTCGTATTTATGGATGTCCTCGATGATTCTCACCTGATCCTCGAAACTGATCTGATCGATGCCTTCGATGCACTTGGTAGAGATCCGATCCACTCCCTCGGACATTGTCTTCCAGAAGCACTCCGGATGATACCATTTCGGCCTGAGGAATCCTGGTACGCGGATTCCGATGCGCAGGCGCATGATGACATTGCATCGTCGGCACTGGCCGGCTCCCGATCGATCGTTCTGGTCGTGGTATCCGACGCAGAAGCCATACGAGGTGGTCCCCGCGCGCTTGTACGGCTCCACACGCCGGTCCATCTGACTCTGGAATGTTATTGTTGAAAGATTGAAAAGAAGTTATGTTAGAACACATCGGTCGCAGAGAAGATTGTAAAAATATGCGTTTTTCACCTGACAAGGCCATTTGTAATGTACAAATTGTAAAGCAGAAAGGAAAGCCAGACGAAGAACGACGTTACGAACACGCACGCGACAGACAGAGAAGAAAGGACACCTTTAGAAGAGAGAAAATCAACAGACTTGCTAGCCGGCCCGAGGAGAACACAAGAAGGGGTAGGTTGATGAAGGTTCGAGTATTGTGATTTGGAAAAGCAAAGTTAGAGTACAGCGAGAAAAGGTACTATCAATAGCCGATAAAACGGCAAAAACTCAGAAAAATAAAGTAAAAATGTTCTATTAATCTTTTTATGTGCTAGATTTACTAAAACGATTTATTGTGCGTTCTCTTCACAGCGGTTTCTCTCGGCTTTCCGTCACTGCTTGCAAGTTCCGCATGAAGTCGTCGCGTCCCATGTGTCGGTCGGCTTCCACGCGCAGTTCCACCAACTGCTGAATGTGCTCATTGCTCAATTGTTCCATTTTCTCTTCATCCAAATCCTGAAAATCCGATAAAACACTGAAAGTTTCAAATTTTCTCCAACTTTTCCAATATTTCCTTTTCGGATTCCGGCGCTCGAGAGTTGCTTTGACAGCATCACACAGTAATTCTGAAAAATAAACAACAGGCTCCACAAAAAGTAGGTTCGTACCGTCCATTCTGTGATAAAAGGCTTCACAAACTCTGGCTTTGCGTTTAAATGTCTTTTGAATTCGTCCTTCACGTACATGTCGCCCATAAGACGTGCCGGCTTTGGCAAACCATAGTGGAGTCTGAAAATCGAATTATTGAGCTGTTTGCAGTGATAAAACGTACCGGAGAATACTTTTGTACAGAAAGAGCGGAAATCGTTCGGGTTTGACGACCCTCGCAGCCTGTTGTGCAGCTTTTGTCGTCATTTTTCCACAAAATCAGAATTATTGCGAGGTCTCCGAGAGGAGTCCGAGGCTCCATGGATGAGAAAACGACGCTCGGCCCCGTTAGGTGTACTCCTTTCGGACAAAAGTTTTCACGCGAAAATTTCAATTTCGTCTTCATTTTCCTGCTTTCAGAAGATGTCAGACGGATCCGAGCCGGCAAAAAGAATGAAAATAGCTGAAAGCGACGAAGCAGAAAACATCGAAGTTGACTTGGAAGAGTTCCCAGTCCAGGTTAGCCGAAATTCTGTCATTTTTCGCTATTTTGAAGCATTCAGACACGTCCTCCATACACTCGAACTCACCGAATTGTCCGTGACGATCCGGCAAAACACAATCTGCTCCTGATTCTGACCGGAAGCATCGCAGTAATGAAAGCCAACGAATTGATTAGCGAATTGTACGAGAGGTGCGGAAAAGATCGACTTTCCATCAAGGTTTCCACAATTTTGCTCTATCAGATCATCCAAAATTCCATTAATTCCAGCTTGTACTAACTGAAAACGCGGCGAAATTGTGTAGAGTTCAAAAACTCGAATTCGAAGAGTTTGTGTACGAGGACAGAGACGAATGGTCCATGTGGAGAGAGCGTGGAGATCCCGTTCTTCATATTGGTCTGTTTAAAACTAAATCGACTGTTCAAAAAAAGTTTGTATTCCAGAACTGCGTAAGTGGGCGGATTCTGCATTGATCGCTCCGCTTGACGCCAATACAATGGCGAAACTCGCGAACGGACTGTGCGACAACCTGGCGACGTCGCTGATGCGTGCGTGGGATCTCTCGAAGCCGTGCTACTTTGCGCCGGCGATGAACACGCACATGTGGGAGTCGCCGCTCACCCTCCAGCACCGGACCGTCCTCCGATCGCAGTTGAAGTTCAAAGAGATCTGTCCGATTCAGAAGGAGCTCGTGTGCGGAGACGTCGGAAACGGCGCGATGGCCTCCGTCGGCGCCATCGCCTCGCTCATCACCGCACTCGTCAGAGATCAGCTCGCGATTCGAAGCAAGCATTCCGAATATTGAAATTAATAATTCTTTATATTTATTTATATCACAATGATGCAGTAAATTTACATTTAATTTTGCAAGCACAAAAAATCGGTCATTTGAGATCAGTTTATAATTTCCCCTTATTCTATCCATTATGTACATTTTGAAGCACCGGGGGGAAACAACTAGCGATAAGCGTATTATGGGACTATTCAGCGTACGTTAGCTTTCTGTTTTTTTACATAGCTGAATTGGGTCTTTTGGAGTAAAAAAACGGAAAAAACGCATTTTTTTTTAACAGCCTGAAAAGCCCCATTAGGCATTAAAATTTCTTTTCAGAGTGTCTGGCCGTGACAGTAGAAGGATTTGAAGCTTCCCGCCACTTCTGTACACTTTCCGTTCTCGAATTTGGCCAGGCACAGTTTGCGGTTGTTCATTGCCGAGCAGTCTTTCAGCTCCACTTTCGATTGGATCAGAGAGGCGTGCCTGGCGGAGCTCGTGCTCGAATCCGACGAGCTGCTCTGAAAAAGAGAACACCGATTAAAGAATATTGACTTTAAGTGCATTACATCTGAAATAGTTCTCTCGAGACGTCTCCCTGTCAACGTCTTCAGAAGGGCGTCGATGAGAGGTGTCTGATTTCCGATGACCATCAAAAAGAACGCCGTCTCCTGGCCGCTGTTGATCTCAATCGATACTCCGTTCCCGTTGGTCACGTTTGACTCTTCGCAGCTCAGATTCAGAATCAGGAACGGCGTCTCTTCCTCCTTCGACGCCTCCAACTGCCACGACATCTCTTCGATCGACTGCACGAGCAGGGTCTCCGAAGAGTCGGCGTCGACGATCGTCAGCCAACGATCGTTGATTCCAATGTTCACTTTAATTTCGGCGAAGCCTTGCCCAAAGTTGCGCACGCTGACGCGCGACGTCTTCTTCTCGATACGTGCGCTGAACCACGCGGCTCCGTAGCAACTCGAATTTTGGGTCAGAGTGAGCAACAGTTTGTGTTCTTTTTCCGCCTCGCTTCCGAGTTCCGTGCACGATTTCCAGCTGTTGAGAAGACGCTCTTCTTGAGGTCTGAAAATGTTATGCTATCATTACCAGTTTTTGAAAATGTGTTGTTTTCCAGTTTCTTCCGTTCATGACCGACGGAAGGTTTGATAAAATAAATAATGGTCACTCACGTTTTCTTATTGATAGACTTCCCGAAGAAAGTTTTGGCGGCGATCGACTCGCAGGTACGTTCCGGAAGAATCTCCTCCAGATGACTTCTGATGAACACGACGTCGTGCACGCGCTCCTGATGGTTTCCGTACTGCAGACAGAAGAGAAGCGCGGCCACGAGAATGGTGTCCTCGAGCGAAAGAAACTGAAGACGGCCGAGCAGGAGCATCTCGCGCGCATCGATTATCAGGAAACGAGCGCATTGTGGGTAGTGGTCGAGCAGCTGCAAGAAAGGTTCTATCCCGTAAGTTTGAACGGACATTTCGCAATCGAGACCACTTTTAGCCACGGTTCCAAATGAGAGCATCTCAGAATGGAACTGTGGCAGTATTTCAGTTCCATTTCGGGGCAGTTCCATTCCTCAGGTAATTTTCGGCAGGTTGCTGCAAAAATCGGCCTGCCGATTAAGCCTTGCTTCCCTTTGCCGCTTCTTGCCGATTTCTTGCTGCTTGTTGACGACTGCCGGCCGCTCAGTGCTTCCGCTGCCCGCTGCTGCCCCTTGCCGAACTAATGCCGATCCCTTGCCGATCCATGCTATCGGCCACAGAATCGTGGCGGGGTACACTGGCGCAAGTGCGCTAATGAAATTTTCAAAAATTTTGCTTTGGCCTAATGCTTTAAGATAGGGGCGCTACGCAATCGACCGTCGGCGGAAGTTCAAATTTTAGTTTTCGATGTACCAGTCATGTCGGCAATGTACCAGTCATTTTCGATGTACCAGTCATGTCGGCAAATTAGCCGTTTTTAGGAACAAACTGCCGAATACGGAAGCAAACTGCTGCTTTCTTGCCGAACCCTTGCCGAAAGTTACCTGAGTCCGGAAGCTCTCTTCCGAACGTTTCGAGGGTGTTCTCCAATGTTACCGCCGACATTTGAAGCCTGCTTTCGCAGATCGGCAGGAAATTTGGAAAATACGTCTGGAATTCTCGAATGTCGGCCGCAGATTTGTGCATTTTCTGCGGATTAGCTTAATGGGGCTATTCAGCGTATGTTTACCGTTTTTTTTCTTTTTTTTACATCGCTGAATTGGATTTTTTGACGTAAAAAAAAACAAAAAACGGAGAACAAATATTTTTTCACAGCCTGAATAACCCCATAAACATAAACAGATGACGTCAGAAGATGCGGAACTAGTGAGTTAGCTTGTGAAAAGTTTCATTTTTTTCAATGTTTACGTGAGATGTGCCCGTTTACAAGTTTATTTGCGCGAAGTTTTGCCTGCCTGAGGTGTTCCACAGTGGAACTTCCACTTGAATATAATCCACGTGAAACCCCCTTTTTCACGTTTTTCGTAGTTTTATTATATAATGTTGACGTGAATTTTGAACAGTGTCATTTAAATTTCGGAACGTTAGCATCATTTCGCAAGTGGCCTCCTCTAATTCCCTTTCAAGGTCTTTTCCTCTTCTCTCTCACCTCGAATTGTCTCTCGCTGGTCAGACTCGCATTCCGCCTCAACATCAGAATCGGTTCGTCCTGCACAATCATCTGGGGCGAGACGTCATCGGCGAAGCGCTCCAGAAGAGTCTTCCAACCGTGACGGCACTCATACGGACGATGGTACGGTTTGAGTTGGACTTCTGAGAAAACGAACACTTTGTATTACTTGCTAAATGCTCTAAAGTAAATACCGAGAAGCGGTGAAATCATCCAAATGGCGAACATTTCCTCGAACGCATCCACGTCAATCTCGTACTCTTTTGCCAGCAAATAGAGCAACGTCTTCGAGTTGGCCGTCTTTCCAGACTCAATATTCAGCTCTACTCCATTCTCTGAAAAAAACATTGTAGAAATGAGTCATCGAAACAAAATAAAGGACTAACCGGGAACTGCGTTGTTCTCGACTCTCGTCAAGTAAATACGGAACTTGACGACTCGTTGCGGTCCTAAAGTTTCCGTACTTTGGTTGTGGTTGTCTCTGAAAACTTTAATTTTAATTTAGAAATTATGAATAGCGTATCTACCGCAAAGCTTGTTGAATTGGCGTGAACGGAACGAATTCCGACGGGTTTTCTCGGTCTTCCTGTAGAAGACAAGATTTTATAAAAAATCATTTGATATTCGCGTTTAACTCACAAAAGTATGAAGCGGCAGTTGAACATTCCGATGCTTGCTCAGAAATTTGCGCCCTTCGGCCGGCTCGACATCAGAGAAAGCAACGGTTTGTGCGGTAGCCATCAAGCTGACCTGACAATTCAAAAATATTGCAAAAAGTGAAGAAAACGAAACATTTTTATTGAAAAAAAGGAATAAGAAGACATAAAATTTTCAGTTTTTAGCACAGAACATGACGTGTTTTGGAAGTATTGCGAAATAGTGCCTCGGCTTCGATCACACGACTTTTTGGACGAAAGGAGAGGACGGAAAAGAACGAGCGAGGGATAATGGGCGAAGCGGAGACGGAGAGAGGCAGACGACGCGCGCAAGCGCTTTTATCGCTCGCGCTCGGCAAATATTTGGGCAGATTCTTCACTGAAAAATCGATGAATCAGCGGGCGCCAGGGTTTGGGATGGAAAAAAGAAAAAACTCGTTCCATTTGACCATTTTCTACTATCGGCGCACATCTAAGTTACTGCGCTCTGTTGAAAAAGTGCACAACAAAAACCAAAAAAAAATCATTTGATATTCAATTCTATGCGCCTTTCGACTGGTTTCGATTAACGGGCGCCGACGGAGAATCAGTGTTTGTATGATTTCTAAGGTTTCCTCGAAAGAGAGGCCAGAAAATAGAACAATTTCAATAATCCATTGAAAATCTAAAGTTTTTAGTGCAAAATGAACCTTTGCGCCTGAAAAAAAAGCGTTTCTCAACAGCGCGCATTTACGCTGAAATGCAAGAAAGCAGAATAATTAAACTTCATTATAAAATTGATGATAAGCAAAAGTGATCACTAGTAATGTGATAGAATTCGTTTTACTATTTGTACGTTTACTGATAAAATATAACTGGGTTTCTCAACAGAGCGCGGTAGCTGCGCATCTAATTCTCTATGATGTGACGTCATCCGTAAACAAGCAAACAAATCAATCGATCGTTCTGGAGACGGTCGACAGACCTTCCTGTCCTGAAAACTACAAGAAATAAAAACAAAATTACTAATCGTAAATGCGAACCGCTGTAGAAAGCCTTGAAAAAGCTACTCAAATTGTTCCGCAACGGTTCGTTCAGGCATATAATCAGTAGAGAGAGCACCGATCCGTGCAGCGAAACAATGATGACTGAGACCAAGGCGTACGCTGAAAAGGAACTAGTATTATCGGCTTCCAAAAGAGGCGCCCAACTCGAATGTCCGATATTAAAGAAGGTGGCGGCCACATAACAGCTTGATGGCCCGCCGAGCATCGTCAAATGCACCAATAACTGGACGACCAGACTGCGCAGGAACGCGCGGTGCGTTCGATAGAAAAATGAAGAGATGTGAGCGCCTTTCCGCAGAATCGAAAGCGTTTCGATGACGGTGTAGGTGATGAGGAAGCCGAGGCAAGTAAAGAAAAAGTTGGGGAGCGCGACGACGACGTTGAATGCGAACATGTGCATCCACGTGGATTCCGAATCGGAACGGCGCGGAACGACGAAGAACGAGATGCACGAAAGTTCGGGAAAATTTGATAGGACCTGAAAGGGGGAAACGGGGAAGTCAACTGGTTTTAAGACGGTTCCACGGCGAGCTGAAGCGTATGCACGAAATTTAAATTTAGATTTCGCCGCACAAAACGAGCAAGCGCGCTCTACCGAAATCAAATGCGTTACGGGCGCTGCGACGCGGTTGGCGCCGTGCCAAGTGAGCTTTTCGCAATTGAGCGCATTTGCAGCAACGTACGCTCCAGCATGCCGTGGCTCCGAACTAAACAAACGGGATGTTTGAGCTTGACGTCCGGTTGATCCAGCGATAGTTTCAGTACGAAATAGACGGAAAAAACGGCGAGAAAAAGGGAAGAATATAATAGTTTTCGGAAAATGCTGACGACTTTCAAAAATTTGATGCGATGTAGGTACTGCCACGGCTCGACGACAACACGCAGACGATAGTTGAAGAGAATGAAGATACTGTAGACACTGGCTGGAAAGGGAAAAAAGAACATTTAGATATTCAAGTATTGTCAATTCACCAAGTTCGGCCAGCAGAACCAGTAGAACAGAAGCGCCGGCGGGCGAGTGTCGGAGAATTTTAACGCCTCCGGCCCGCACGGCGATGTCCGGGTAGTAGACGATCGGTTTGACGAGGAAAGCGATCGAGGCCTCCAGAAAGATGTTGCAAAACACCGAAACCATCAATTTTCGTTTGTAAACTTTGAAGCTCTTGCTCGTCTTCCTGGAGAACGCGAGAAAAACAGAGAAATAGGCGGGAATGCTAATTAGAATAGTGAGGTTTAGCGAAATGTCAATAGCCAGGGGGTTCGGCACGTCACATGCCGGATTTGAAAAATCAAAGAGTTGGGAAGCAAATTCAAGCATTACTACATTGCTCGCACACGAGATAATATGCGGTTGGGTTGGTTCTTCTTTTTTTGCTTGACTAGTTCGAAGTAGTTATCACAGGAGCGTGGAAAAGAGAAAAAAATGATGAGGGGGTTTGGTTTGAACATGAAGTTTGGTCGGTTTAATAATAATAACAATAATAGTGATGATAATAATAATAATGATAATGATAATGATAATGATACAATACTCTGGAGAAGAACCGAGAAAGGAACGGGAAATGTCAAGCGAAAGAGTATCAAAATAGAGAGCAAGAGGAGAAATAGAGCATAGCTTCCGGGAGGGGCGACCGTCACGTCACCATCTATCCTGACAGTGTCTCGGACACGGACAATAGATGTTCTTGCCGTCGCGGTGCTTCTGCAGGAACTTCAACTTTTCGATCAACGTCTCGTACGTCTTCTCGCCCAGATCGATGTTGTCGTCGAGAATCCGTTCGACGACGTCGATGCACTTCAACTGCTCCACCGTCCGGAACTGTAACCAAACCACAAATTTCAGTAACCTTCATCTTTTCTGAGTACCTGAAGGATATGTAATCGGAAGGTCTCCGACAATTTCAACTTGGTGTCCGGCGACACTTTTTTGCTTTTTATCAGGAAATCTTCGACCTTGTCGATCACTGGCTGCATTTTGTACGTGTGTCCGAGCTCCAGAATCTCACGATAGTTGGTCACTACAAGCAGCACGGTTATAACGTCCGTTATTAACTAAAAGTGCTCACGATTTATCTCGTATTCGTCTTGTTGAATAATGCAAACCATTCCGAGCACTGCATCGTAGGTGAAATCGAAAATTTCAAAAGACTTCACTCCTGCCTCGTTTTTATTGTAGAACATTTCGTAGAGGACGTCGGAGTAGTCCGCAAGGATCTGAGAAATGAATATTTCGTGGTTTTATTCAATAGTAGACTAACCGGCAGATTAACTTTGATAGTCTTGCCGTCGGCGACGAGTTCCCCGTCAGCAATGCACTCGTCGTACTTCTCTTGCGTCATTTTCACGCGTTTAATGCCCTGCGTGCCGGTCACATTGAGATCGAACTCGACGGAAAAGACGCCGTCGAGCAGGTAGCCGGCACTTGCGCCGACCAATTCATCCCATCCGATAAAGTTCGCGGTGCCACGTTCCATGTCTTTTGCGTTGAAAACATGGTAGAACAGCGTGGATATCTTGTTTCTGCCGTGGCCGGCGGCGTTGATGACGCGAAATCCAAAAGAGGTGGTCACCGTCCACTCTTCCGACGGCGGATTGTTCGGTGTACAGACGAGAAACACGCCGACTCGCCGCTTCTGGCTTTTTGCCGTTTTGGCCGATTGCACACGGACACTCCTGAAAAAGACAGGTTTATTTTTAAGTTAGTTTTAGGATCGTCCTACCAGAATATGCCGTTGTGCTCCTTTGCGTCAGATGTGTAGGAGCCATCGAGAAGCTCGAAATTGTAAATATTGAAAGCCAAAGTGATGATGTTCGACGATAAATCCTTCAACGGCTGGAGCATCGACATCTTCGCGTTTGGGAGCAGAAGCGATCGTTAAAAACCGCTTCTGAAGTCACGGAACTTTTGGTGTGCGCTCCGCAAACACACACGCACGCACGGCCACGCAAAATTGCGTACTGGTCAGAGATGAAGCTGGTGGCGATGTAGCCATGCGTTCATGCATGTACGCGGATGACTCATAACTGCATACATTGTACAAAATTTATATATCGACAATATGTAGTTGTAGTTCAAGTTCCTCGGGAAATTTCAGAACACAAAGAAAAGAATCGGGCCTATTATGATGATAAAACAGCTGATAGGGAAGGAAAGTGACCTAAAAACGGAGGATGAAATCGACAGAAAATGGCTTTGAACACGAACATAAAACGGAAGTCTGATTATGTAAAATGAACAAGAAACGGTTTCGAACATGATTATCGGAGCGCTGAGGAAATGTCGTAGGACTGGCCGACGATGGAAAGAGTCACTCGGTTCATGAGCTCGGCAATGTCCGTGTCCGTGAAGTCGCGCGGGTTCTCGAACAGCTTCTGCACTTGTTTCGACGTCTTCAGCATCGCGATGCACTCGTTTTGCAGCTCTATGAGCCCGAACTTTTCGGCGAGAATCATCTTCTTCTGGGCCGGCATGTTTGGCGTCTTGCTCAGCCATCGCTCGCATCTCTGACGGGCATTGTCCGACTTCAGATAATGTGCCAGCGCCAGAGTGTCCTCGACATTGTCAGCTGCAACATTTTATTTCTGAATTCGCTGATTTTTTCGAGTACTTACGACTCAGGGCGTCTCCGTCGTTGTAAAGCACCTTGATGAGCCGGAGGACCTTGTCGTAAGTAAATTCTTTGGGCAGCTTAATCTCATCGGCATTTTTGGCGCCTTCCGAGAAGAGCAGACCCATAAAGAACTCGGATTGCAGGCCAAGAATCTGAAAATCAAAAGTTTCTTGCAAATTTTGAATGTATTTGTCAACCTGCTTGTTGCAAAATATGCTTTTTCCCTCGACGACGATTTTGACATTGTCGAGATGCTGATGTTTGACCGAATAGTCGTGACTCCTTTTCGGCCTTATCCCAACTTTATTTTTCATCTCAATTGTGAACTGCGCAATCAGTTTTTCGCCTTTCGTCGCGATTCTCCTGATTTCCTCCATTTTGACCCGAATCGAAAGGTACGTTTTCGCTTGAAATCGAAAGCTTCCCGCCTCCTTCAACGTTTCTCCGCCCGTATTTTTAATCTCGAACACGTAACTGAGGTCGAAACTCCAGAAGTTGGAACGATCCTCTTGATTGCACATTAATTGGATGCCTAGTTTGTTGTCCTCCACGCCCAAGAGTCCACATCGCCTGAAAATTCGAGCAAATTGGGAATTGCCGCCGCGATAGGACTCACCAGTTGACGTTTGCGTGCTCCTGAGGCATTGAAACGTATCCGCGACCGTGGTTATCCGAGTGAACGGGTAGTTTGAAGCCTATTTTGAATTTTCGATCATTGCTCAACATCACCGCTTTCGGTTTTGTCATTTTTTCAGGCACGGAAGCTCTCCGAATTGAAGGCAGCTTCCTGCGAGTGTCGTCAGTTATGTCACATTGACTTGGCGGTGTTTGCGTACGCACGGCAAAATGCACAAAGAATCAGTTTTGTTTTTCAAATTCAATTCAAACGGTTTCAGACGAAAAAGCAGTGATCACAAGCAAAAAAACAAAAATAACATTGGAAGTTGAACAGGATAAATTATCTTTAACAGTGTTCGTCGAGTTCCACGCCGCTTCCATAGTGCTATTGATATTATAATTGCAAAAATCCGTGTCGCAGATGTAGAAGGCAACGTTATTCAACAATAAATAGCCCATTTGGATCCGGTTTTCTCCTTGCTCGTTCGCAGAAACGCAACCTTTGTAGTAACGCTCTCCACCGTGTACAAACGTGTCAAACGGAAGAGTAGCGATGAAACAATAGTGTCCCCGGCATTCAACTGGAAAATTAAGTAATGTTACTGAAGTTTCTAGTGACAAATACTCACGCCCTTCGTCCGCAAAACTATCCGTTTTCGTCATCTTTTCATATTTTGCATAACCGTACTTTCCACTATTCAGAAATGAATCCAGTCCGCCCACAAAACAAGACGTTGTCGGCGCAGATATTGGGAACGGAATGTCCGTCTCCGGGGAGTTACAGTTGGCCTGCAAATTAATTTTAAAGTTTATTGCTGCCGTAGAGTCTGACAATCGCGCTCTTCACTTTAATTCAGTGTTAAATTAGAAATTCTCACGGCCGGGTTTTCACGTGACAAAAACAAACTTTAGAGCATCGGCAGAACACATTATACTTGTTCGGGTGCATTGAGACATTGTAGCAGGCGTCCGAGTGAAAGTTCTCAGCTATTGCGTCTTGTGGCATCGCTTGAGGATCAAGCACGAACTCGGCCGAATTGGTATCGTCACTGCACCTCACGCCCTCTTCCTTACTCTCGTGCTCGTACTCGCCGCCCTCGTCTTGTTTTTCCTAAAGAAATTGCTGCTTTCTGAACTGTTCCTTCTTTTTGAAAAGTTACATATCTGACGGTTCTGATGCAGACATTGCACGCCACTGGCAAGTACTCTCTCAAGCGGACTTCTCTGCATTCGATCACCGGAAGAGTGGTCACATTGGAGCGGAATATCGACAGATTGTTGCAGAAGTCTGTGCTGTAAATACAGTCTGTTTTTATGGCAAAATCAATGATTTTTTTTTAAAGTTGGTGGAAATTTCGTGCTGAAGGCTCCGCTCCACCGCACTAAATTTGCGATAGAACGCAACGCGCAACGGGCAATCAGACATTGTAGAATTCAAACGAAAGCGCGGTGACGTACTCGCAAAAGCAGACGAGCTCGTCGTCGTAACCGAGCACGCACTCGTCCGACGGCTTCTTCACTCCACTGACGCACGTCTGCAACTGTTCCGACTGAAATTTAGCCAAAAAGAGTCCGAGTACCCAAATGGGCGAACTGTGCCAACTGACTCCCCGACGCACGCCAACGCAGAAATCTCCGTCGCACGTTCTGAACAATCATTTTTTAGCTGAAAAGAATGGAAAACTCACGAATCTTCATCAAAATGACACTTTACAGCTGCAGCCACGTGGCAAACGGTGGAAATGAGCACAAGGGCTTTCATGGAGAAAAGTGGAGAATGTGCTCAAATCTGCAAGCGCCATTTCCACTTTTCACCTGTTCTAAGAATCGATTCAGGTTTTTTATCCAACAATCTTGTAGTCTTCATTTATTAGTAGAACATTTTTCCGAGCTTACATGGAAGCATATAAAAGGGTTAATCGACTTCAAATGCAACTAATATAAAAAAGAACACACTCGCACACACAACCGATAAGGGTGAATAGGGCAGATAAAAATGGAAGGCAACTGCCAAACTCATGGCTACAGGAATCTATGGAACATGAAACTGATCTGAGGATAATAGTTGGTGGGTACTACGGATGATGGGGGCACAAAAACCGACTCCTATTAGGGGCAAATGGACACCGTATTATGAGATTTGAGAAATTGTGAATATTTTTCAGATTTCTTTTGGTTGAGAGTATATGGGGAAACAATAAATGCTCTACGATTAAAGGGGATAAGAGATAGGAAAGTAAAGGAAAGCTTTTTGTTTTGGCACATTCAAATTTCCCGCATCATTTCATTCCAGGCCATTCATGAGAGGAGAAGGTGGAGGAGGAGGAGGAGGAGAGGGTGAGCTGACGTCTTCTAGACGACTTCTTCGTGATCGACGGCGATATCGTTGAGCAGAATCGAACGCGGATTCACAAGCGTTGGCGGCGCACTCGTCCCGGGTGTCATCATCTTTTGTGGATATCTAAAGAAAGAGTCTTTTTGCAGTTTGCCACGTTTTTGACACGTACCCAGTGGCAAACTTCTTATAAGTGACTCTGGGTGCTCCCATCGTTCCGTACGTCACTTTGCGGATCGGATCGAATCTCCGTACACTGATCGACGGCGCCGGCGACGAGGCGGACGACGACGACGTCGATGAGCATTCAGAAGACGAAGCAGACGAGTATCCGTACGTGGCGCGGATTGGTCCCGTCGCTGCTGGAGCCGCGGCAGCCTTGGCTTCTTCCATTCGAACTCTGAAAGCTTGGCATGTTTCTCGATAACTTCCGCATCTCTCCGATATCATCAATTGCGATAACTAAACGCAAAAACATTTTTTACACCACCAGCCCCGAGCGCATTCTGCTCTTCTCGTCACTCATCGCTTTTCTTATGATATCAACTGCCTCCGAGTGCGTGTTGTAAGAATCAAGGATTCTCTCTCACTCTCTCTCTCTCTCTCTCTATCTCTATCTCTCTCTATCTCTCTCCTCTCTCACCAGGTCGAAGAGTTATCGCGGCGGTTTGACGGAAGGCACAAATATTTGGTTGCAATCTATCGTAGGAACGATGAGCACCCGTTGAGCGCGACACGAGAGACAGAAAAAACGCCTTATCTTACACACAAACGCACAGAGTTGCCAACAATTCCCCGGGGAGACAAAAAGAAAAAAGATCTCTGGAAAAGTGTTTCAGTGTTCCCGAGAAATACGGGGGAAGGGATAGATAGAGAGCCTCGGAGCGATTACACACTGATAAGAGATCGAAGGGCAACATGTCTCGGTTTTTCTTCTTGTTCGCATTCCAATGAATTATAGATCAATTTGGCGACGAACCTCGAGTAGTAGGCCGGAATGGAAGCGAGTGGAGGGCAGCGGTGAGCGGCGCCGCTTCTGAAGACGTGCTCGGCGCACGCGGACTCGCAGTCCGGGTGCACAGTCCACCAGGAGCCTTGCTCGTTCATCACCAGGAAATCCTTGCGGGGCTGAAAGATTTTCGATGTGATGCATTTACTCGGAAAACAGCCGCAGCTTCGGGCAAAGTCTTGTGAAAATCACGAGGATTTGCGATGCGATGGCGCATGTGTGTGAACTTTCATGTTTTTATTATTTCGAAGAATCGCTTCGGACCTCAAAGAACTCTTCGATTTGTTCAATGGTCCCGCGAGAGGAGAGGCAATCATCGATATGTATTTATACACACTTGCATACACCCGCAGCGCACTAATATTCGATTACCGCACCTCGCCAATCATCTTCGCCATCAGAGAAACATCCTTTCGGACTACACTCTGTGTTGTAGGTTGATGCTGATGATCCCCCTCCCGGCGCTTCAAATCTGTTTGACATTCGCGCTCGCATTTACATAATTTGGAGGAATTGCGAGCACAGTACGTGTACAGGGACTGCTCCCTTTCCGCCCTTCCGAGTGCTGCCTATTTGCTCTCGTCTCAAAAAATCAGCGCGAGCGACGACGGGAGGGGAAGAGCTTTCGGGCTGCTGCTCGGCTCCGAAACAACAGATGCGACGGTTGGTGCAAAGATTACTCGAAACTCGATAAATACATAGTATTTACGCGTTTCACGTTTCGCTTCGTTTCCTTTTTGTTTGCTGGAAACTGAGCTTTCGTTCGGTAATGTTGCAAACACTTTCGCGGCGTTACAGTTTTTATCAGCTAGATTTTCGAAAGTTGACGCGCCTGCAACTCAGGTTTACACTGCAGGGGGAATATGATATGAGCTCGGCGGAGAAGAAAAGAGTAAAAGCTCACATTCGGGGTAAGAACGCGCACGAAAACTGCCGAAGTCATCAGGCAATGACGGATGGACTGGCGGTAGTGGCGCCCGCTTCCAGCCGTCGTTTGCTGCATCTGAAACAGAAGAGAATAGGTAAAAAGGTAGAGAACAAGGTGCTAACCGTCTCTTCGAAGATTTCGTAGATCGCATTGACCGGCAGCGCACGATACTCTGATGTCAGCAAAGTCCTGAATAGCCAACAGACCATAGAGCACTCGCGCGGACGTCTTCGTACTGAAATATTCTGAAAATTGTCAAAAACTTGTTTCCGACTGCCTTACCGACAACGTTTTTCCGCACTGGAACCGGCGGCGGCGGTGCAAACCGTTCCTCGCTGATGGTCGGACTCATCGGATCAGGGAACATGTTCATCATCATGTCGAAGGAGGACAGCGAATTCGCTGTAAGAGAGGACGAACTGTACACAAAACGTGTGGAGCTTTGAGCCGACTCACTTCCAGAATCGGAAGACGTGAACGACGGCGACGAAAGTGAGGAGGGGAACGATGAGCTCGAGGAGTCGTCGAAATCATCGAAAAGACTGGAGGAAGGACTCTGTGCTGCTGAATCGAGAGTGTCTGAAAGCGAGCATGTTGGAGAGGAATACGACGGCGAAGCGCCGCTGACCATCTTCCTTGACGATTCGCTCCTGAAACGGCCACGGAAGATCGTCGTCGAGTGGCGATACCATCGCTGACAGCATCATTTCCATGCCCGGATCGTGCTCATCCATAGTTTGTTCGTTGTAGTCTGTCTGCAATATAAATACATTAATGCGTACGAATGTGAATGACGTGCGACGTGTCTCGGCGGCGGCCGAAAAACGAAAAACCAAAAGCGACGAAGGTCGTTGAATGAAGAAGAGGGAGGAGAATAGACAAGATGGCGTAGGGGGCCCTTCCCGGAAGAGCTACTGCCGCCGCTTCATGCTTTTTTTTTGGTCGGCGGCCTAAAATTTTCTGCAGTTCCGTACTAGGGGTGAGTGAAATGTGTGGACAAACAAAACGAGAGAGGGGTAAAGTGCATTTAGGGCCAGACCGCTGACCGTGGGCGCCCCACGAAGGGGAAAGAGACAGGTGCACTACCGAAGCTGCTGTTGCTCACTTCACGGAACAGGTAGGTAGTAAGAGGTTTGGCAAAGAGGAGGGAAGGAGGTCCACGGGCGACGGACGGAGAGCGAGGCAAGAAACGTCGACGGGGCGGTTGTGAGAGCGAGTGGCGGCTGAAGAGGAGGAGGACGAGCAAAGAACGCTCAGAGCGTCGGGCGCGCGCGACGAGAGGCGAGACGCAGCGTCGAAAGGGCAGCCGGCGCCCCACGCCAACTCACTTTTTCGTCGATCGCAGTCGAGCGGATTCGCTGCTGGTCCGCTCGGATGGCATTGCTGAGTGAATGAGTGACAAGCCGTTTTTTCGTCGCGATTGATAGCATTTCAGCGTGCGGATCGGGGCCGAAAAACGCGAGCGGAATTTTGTCTCCGCGGCCGGGGAGTACTGTAGAAGCGAGCGGGAATTCTAGGCCACGCAATATTTTGTGAATAAAAATTTTAAAGAAACTATTCAGCCGGGTAAAAACCAGTAAAAACCGGGTTTTCTCGGGTTCTTACCTGACCAAACTTGTCAAAAATCGAAAAAAAAGTCGCAAAAGTTTAAAAAATTTGGCTCAAAGGACATGTTTTTAAATTTTAGTACTAAGACGCGGCCCGCGACAAGTCTACTCGACTGAATAAGCCCTTGACAAAAAAGAACAAAAAACATTTGAATAAGAATGCTGACAACACTCGCATTGATATGCTAAAAAGACGAGACGGGAATGATGAATGAGAGTCGTGTGAATCCAGGTGAATCACGTGCCACGTGTCACCCATTTTCTGCGTGAACGTCTTTTGCTTGTTAGTAGGTCATCACGCCGCTCTCATTTGGCAACACCGTTAGACATGAAATGATAAGACGAAGAAGGGGCGTATGGAGACAAAAAATCAGCGAATGTTTGTTGGCCGTCACTGGTCGTCGTGTCGACGCACACTTGTTCCGGAGAAGTCACACTTTGACGGTGGTGTTCTTTGGAGGACTGATTAGGGACGAAAGACGAAGTTAATGGAGTAAACAACGGAACAAGAGACAAGACCTTGATTGAATTAAGAGACGAACGAACAGAAGAGAAGTAATCCTTAGCTTTCAGTTTTCCGTTTTCAGCTGGAGCACAGAACAATCGAATGATGGTTTGAGTTTTGGTTACGCTGCCATTTACAGCCGACAAAGCCGTTATTAATTTCTGCGTTATCGACTTCGTGGCCGACACAATCAAATAATTGCAACATGAAAAAGAAAAAGCGGATGATAAACATGGAGGCTTCTCCAGAATGCTTGCGTGTGGGAATGAGAGCAAGTGCTGCACGTCGCGGCATTTCCTTCGTGTGATTCCATTTCTCTTTTTTCTGCTTTGCTCTTACGACAAAAGGCGAAAGAACGAACGTTGAGAGAGAAAGCGAAATGGGCAAAAGTGCACGTAGAGCGAATAAAATAAACAGCCGGGCTACAACTGCAAGCTGAAGAAATGGAAGAAATGGGAGAAGATGGAAGAAAACAAGCATGAGCCTCGTCGTTTTACAAAAAGACGCTGCTTCTTCTCCGGGTTGTTTGTGTGTGTGTGTGTGGCACCCAAAACACACATACTTACTGCCAGAGCCGAGAGCTGTGAGCTGATAACTGATGGACCCGTCCGTCAACGGCAGAGAGGAGATTTGGAGGATTACTAACCATAGAGCTGTTTGTGTTCCCCATCGGAGCATGGAACCGATTGGGGACGGGAAGGGTCAGAAGATCCAAACTAGTACTAACCGCTCGTTGACTTTTACGACATGTTGCAGCAGGCGGGTACGTGTGACTGGGATACCACACTTTCGGTTTACGAGGACAACATTGTTCTGGTCGGACTTTGTAGCAGAGGGGGATCATGTTTTCGATGCGAGCGGATCTGATGCTCGGCCGCGTTTGTATGGCTCCGTATCGAATACGGTGCCCTTGGAGGTGAGTTGAAGTTCGAAATTCAAACAATTAGCTCTTCGCCTTTCATGTATCACAAGCGAATAAGCGCACTTCGACATTTACTGATTTATGAGAGAAGTATGGAAAGAATGTTGTGGAGAGATAGCTCGAAAAGCAGCACCAAGGTGGCTTGCTGCGAGACCAGCCTGAAGCTAAAAGCCCACAACGGACCCCGTATGATCCATGAAAGTGAAACGAGTCGTGCCACAGATCACTTCGCTCGCTCGCCCGCCCGCCCGCTATCGTTTTCTGCAACACCGCGCCCGCCCACTTCTTGAACGCTCTTTGCTTGCATTGTGCTTACGCCACGCAGTTATTACGCACAGAAACAAAAGTTCTTCTCGCTCAGAATTTGAAACCATCGGGGAAGAGAGGAAGCAAAGAAAGACAACACAAACACGAAACTATCAGTGGTCGGAGAGAGGGCCGAGAGAGCGTGGAGGTCGAAGAGACGCAGACTGATTGCCGCTGCACACACTCCGCCTTCTCTCAAATAGTTTTTGAAAGAAATATGAGCCTGATGACGTCACAACCGGCGCGAAAAGACGTCGGAGGAGGAGAGAAAGGATGGCCGGGTGCACGTAGGCAATTCAAAGTGCGCGGGGAGGTCTCGGACTGATTGCTGAAGACTGAAAAAGGGGGTGCGGCTTGTATCTTTCAAAATCAGTCTTCAAATGAAGTGTGATGAGAGGAGAAGGGGGACTATAGTCAATTTAGGCGGGAAGAGTGCATTGAAACAATGTTTGTTACAAACATATGAGCGAAGGATCAATGAGGAGTTGTAAGAATCTTGTTCTGATCAATTTGAAGACCACACGGACTTGGAGCCAAAACAAAAGCGTGTTTTTGCTAACTAAAAATATAGCTGAATGCGAGATCACGGAGCACTACAAAAGAGAAAAGAAAAGAACGAAAAGAGCAGAGTGTCGTTTCGACGTTTCTCTCAACTAATCACTAGAATCAAGGGCGCTCCAACAGTCACTTTCGCCTCTCTGATCTCGCCGATTCTCGACGACGTGTTTTGAACCTCGCACCCCGCACTAATTCGATGCGAAAACGATTGACGACCTCGCGACGCATCCACTTTAAAACAACAAAACGTTGCGGCGATTTGTCTTCGAATCTCCGAATCAATCAACCCGTTTCCGCTCTCGCTCCAACTGATACTTCGAAGAACAATCGTCGAGTGTGAAAGAATGTGATCAGAATGACACGTGGCCGACCTTGATCTTTAGTGAACACAGATGTCGATGTTCTAACGTGATAAGCGATTCACAGCGGAAACGTTTGCAGCGTGACGATGAAGGAGATTCACGATCTTTGTATTATTGTTGACGAGGCGGACCGAACGAGATTTGTAGGGGATGAAAATCACAAAATACGACTATACCTAACGTAAATGACAGTGGCATCAACTGGAATTTCCAGAATGATCGCTTTAGATTAGGGGCGCTACGCAATCAACCGATAGCGGAAAATCAAAGTTTAATTCGGATGCATTCGCAGAAAGTGATGGACAAAATTGAGAAACGAGAAATCACAAAAAAACAACATTTATCGGCGTTTCTTGACATAAACTATGAGAAAAATCGATGATTTACCGAGTTAGAAGGCTAGGGTTCCGTGGTTCGCGGTGCCCGCGATAGGCCAAAACTGACGGACTCCTCGACAAAGTATACGGGTGCGCGTCTAGAGGGCGGGCAGAAAAAAAGAGAATGGTTCTGGCCAACAGGTCCTCCGAATGGACGGACCGTCGAGAGGAAAGACTGCAACGCGACGCCAAACTACGAACACGTGTTTCGATGGTCTGTTTACGTGACGATGTGTCACTCAAACCCCTCGTTAACACCCTTTGATCTCTGCGACAGGTGCGAAATTCTTGAACGGTCCCCGTCCCGGTTAAAATGTTCGCGCGAAAACCGCACATCCGGCTGTCAGTAAGGGTCTCTACACTCATTTCTGGCGAGAACGATCCTTTTTTTCTCCTCGTCCAGTCTGTCCTCCCAGAAGGTTGACGCGTCGCGCGCACTCACTTTAAAGGCGCATCCATTTATACGACATATACTTTGTCCAATCGCTACGAGACCCGTTTGACCTACCGTACAGCGCGCAACAATCGATTGTCGGTTGGTTCTCTTTGCTCTCCTCGTGTTGTTTCATACTCTTCTCGATGGTCCTCCGAGGTTGGTGGAAGATTATCTTATTTATATATAAAACACAAGTTTGTCTGCCTGTTTTTTGATTATTTTGAAACATCGCCATTCACTGTTTTTAAATGAAAAATGCCTAAATTTCAGGAAAAGCACGTTTTGACTTCGATCTCTGCCTGTTCGGGACAAAAAGAGACGCACTCTGCTGAAAGGAAACATGCACGTCTTTCGGAAACAAAAGTATGACAGAATACAATGCTACATTCCATTTTTATATGCCCGCAACCAGCTTTTCCCCCCGTCAGCATACCTAATAAGCTTTCAGATGTTGGATCCCCAGTTTTCGTTCCAAAATGCGTTTTTTTTTCAAAGTGAAACTTTGCGTAATCCACTTCAGAATTGGCGGGTCGGAATTCTTCGAAAAACGCGAAATTCCCACCATCTACCAAGTTTCATCTCAATTATTCATTCCAGTCGTTTCGTTTTGGCGGCACAAAAACGATACTTGAAACTTGAGACAATTTCCTCGAAAGTGTCATCTTCATGGGTCACTTTGTTTCCGTCCTCTTTTCTTTTGTCCTCAGGTGTGAATTCCCCCGGATAAACTAATTTTTGAATTCTGATTGGTTAGCGTTTGCATTGCACAACGAGAGAAGATTAGCGAGATTGTCCTGTGACAAAATTCTGATCGTTGAAGCATCAAAGCATCAAAATGGGGGGATTAGGAAGGTGGTTGGGGAGAATAAGGTATTATCGTTAGGGGCATTCTAGTTTGAGCACAAATCTGGCATACGGTAGCCACTATTGTACATTTGAGAAAAGCGTGTGCCGCCCCTAGTTATCCTTACCAATATTTTCTTCTTTTTGTCTTCTCACAGTCCCACGCGCGGCGCCCCCGCACGCACAAACGGTTCCATGGGAGCCAGACGGCGCGCAGTTTGCAAGATTTCGAAAAAGCACTCGTTGGTGTAAACACGGTGTGAGCACAAGGAGCACAAGACTTTTCGCCGCCGACCTTTTGAAGTGCCGAACGGCGGGAAAGAATGAGACAATGACGGATTTGGCTGACTTGCGTCAACTTCGGACTTCCCGCCGCGATTCCATTCCATTCCTCGCCGCGTTGTCAAGCAGTTCGTAACGTTTTAGACCCCTCTTGATGATGATGTTTTTAGAATTTAGTGTTCATCGAAAAGTTGTCTCGAGATTGGACTCTAATTCATGGCTATTGTTACTTCTCAGTACTTTTCTCTTTTACACTCTAACTCAGAGTCTTTAATTCAACGTTTGAGGCTCAATCCTGTAATACATGGGGTTTCCCGTATAGAATTACCCACTTCCTGTGTCAATTAACCAACTCAATTAGGTACTGTCGGTTGTGACCATCACGACTCGTCTTTCATTTGTTCACACACACACGCACAGGAAAAGCCGTCTGTTCAAACATACGGATGATTTCTGAAATAAAATACACTTTTCTAGTACGCTCTCACGTTTCGAAGCCATTCACACTTGGTCTACTACGATCACATAAGGAATTTTACTTTGCTTTTTTCTTTGCTCTGCTTTTCGTCCGTTTTGGGCTCTGCGACCCACCAACTCGTGAAAATTTGCATTCTTCGGAACCAATGAGCATGAAACGTAAAGGGGTCAAACAGCCAAAAGTGTTGACGCATTTTTATTATCATTTTCTTATTCCTTATCACGACAACACTGTTTTACCGCCTTTTCCGACTACTTTTCACCCACACGTGCTCTTTAAAGAATTCAAAAGACATTTCGAACGGATGTGGGGAGAAAGATTGAATTTCATTCATTCCACCAGTAAACCCTCATTTCTTCTTTCTTTTTTGATGGCTTTACTGAAGAATATGATGCATTGAAATGTTTTTTTACTGAAAAATCATTTTGCTCTGATGTCTACTTACTTCCTTTCCAATAGGCGATTGAAAACAAGCTCCAGTGAATATTTCTTGTTTCTACCACTCGAAAAACCTCGTTCTCCTTCTTTTTCAACGAAAGTTGTTCGGATGACACGATTACACGATTTCATTGAATAAATTAGACAAAATAGGCAAAAATCGCATTTCCCCCATTTTGCAAAATTCCGCGCTCCCCAAAATGATTGTTGACCGAGATCTCTAATTTGCCAATTAAGACTTGCCATTTTTAGTTGCGAACATGAAAAACATAGGGAAAACGAGAAAAACAGGTAAGAACCCCATTTTGAACGGCGAACTGCGAAATGTTCTGTTTTTTTCGGAAAATTGATTGATTTTCAACGTTTTTTAAAGAAAACTGTGTGTATTTGTGCAAGCGGAACAATTTCAGCGAATAAAAAGTAGAAAAACGAGGTTTATCTGAGAAATTTCAGCAAAAGCATACGTTTTGCGCTGAAAAGGAGAATCGCCAAGAGCTGAGTGCAGTAGAGCGCGTTTGCTGACCACTGGCCACGCGGAAAAGGAAAAATGAGAAATTTCGTTCATTATCGACAAAAAGAGCGCTTTTTCTGATAAATTATCTCAGGTTAACCTTCAAGTTTCGAAATGTTGAGACTATTTTTTAGAGGCTTCACAACAAAATGTTGTTGCTGTTAGTGGTTTTCTCGGCCTTATTTCCAGTCTCCCCCACTCTGCTCTCTAATCCATTATTGGCCGGAAAGGTTCCAAATTGGATTACATCTTTTCTGGGACTCTAATCTGAAAATTGTGCAGAACAGCAGGATGGCTTAATCTTTGGACCTCCTTCAATTTTCAGCCGAAAAAGTAAGGACATTGCAAAGTTGATTGGGTGAATTAAAAAAGATGACGTCACAAGTAGAAGCAATAAGGAGATCACGTTCGGAGCCGCAGTCGAGGATTGCGAACTAACCACGTGGCGGCTTTACATACATTACGTCCAGAACTGGTCTCTTTTTCGATTCTGACCGAGTGACAACGCACGCATTATTCGTACATCTATAGGGTCTTCTACGTAATGGATTAGTTAGTTTTGGGCGGGCGGTGAGATGAGGAGGTGTGGCATTTACGTCTTAAAAACCTCGAATCATTTTCTGACCTCTATTTTTTCGGATCATTTTTCTCATTTAACGTATACCGTACCCCACTCGAGTGCCATCAAGACGCCCCGCGAGCACCTACGCATAGAGTTTTTCCGTAAAGGTCCTGTGGTTTCTGCCGCCTTCTCTCTTTCTAATTGTCGCGAGGGAGGGGGTGAGAAAAACATGATTCAGACGAGATGGAATGCACGTAAAACGGACTTGAATTTAGCGAGAAACGGACCTCGGCTTCTCACCTCAGACTCTAGCTCAAAGTTGTGTCGGAACCTGTAGACAGATTTTTGCGTGGTTTGTTGAAAACATTGACTTTTTTACGGGAAAATAATTATGAAATTTCATATGCGAGTGGGGCTGATTTCGTACCGAAATTCATTTTCAGACTGGATCCGACAAACTTTAGAATCTGTGCTGCTCTTGAGGCCTATGCAGTCGTCCCCTTTTCCCTTTTCAATATCATAAGAATGTGTTCCGCTCCTCGAAAAAATACAAAACAATTCTCGGCACACTCGAGCCAGCCGAGCGAAGAACAATAAAATAGCGCTCGTTTGCTCTTTCGCCACCCATTTTATCTTGATTCTCATCCCACCACCCACCCTCTTCTTCTCCTTCTCGGTTTCGTCGTGTCCTCATTATCTCACGCACCCAATTGCTTTTTTATTCAATCCTCTCCGCGCCAACCAAAAGGGGCGTGGCTCTGCTTTTGCGGCTCCCCGTGAGCGAGTGTGTGCATGTCTCCTTCTCGCGTTTCGTCGTAGCTGGAAGAAGGGGGGAAAAAGCGAAAATATTCTTCTTTTTCTGTGCCTATACTTGTGATCTATTTCCCTTGAAAATGAGAGCCTGGCAAACGGATCGGAAGGGTAAGTAGTCGGCAGAGCCCGGATGATCGGGATGATCCACCAGTGTTTCGTCCCCCTGACAAAGAGCTTCCAAATCGGAAGCGAGATGCTCCTGACGTGTATCCACCCCTAATGCGTGTGCAATGTGATACACATTAGCAGCCAGCTCCTTGATGACTTTCATAAGTTAACACGTGAATCTGACCTGGAAATGATCCAACAAACACAAATGATTGTCAATTATTTCGTTTGCAGTTATGAACAATGCGGACGAGTGGCGACTCAGTCCGCTCTCGATCGAGGACCTCTTCGCCGGCCTCAGCCTCATCCTCATCGCCCTTTTCTCGATCTCCGTCTACGCGATTATGATGAAGATTATGAAGAGGCAGGACAAGGAGATCGTCGGTTATCGCTTCCTCACCTCAGCCGGATTCTCCGATCTTTTACTCCTCGTCAACTATGGACTGTGGCCAGGACTGACGATTCTGTTGAAGTCGGAGATCATTCCGAAGAATTGGCGGACGTGGCAACAGGTGTGTCTGATTCTAATCGAATCTAGTCAGAATCGGATCAGTTGCAGATGTACCTCGACTGGGCCTGGTTCTCAATGGTCTCACACTATTCGGTCGTGAGCTGGTCGCGATGGATGGCCATCCGAAAGCCGTTGGCGTTTCGCAACCAGAAGCGCAAAACTTCGTACTCGCTGTGCGCGTTGTGCTACCTGGTGGCACTGATTCTGGTAAGTACGAGTAAACAAAAGGCTCATCAGCAATTCTGAGCCAGCCCACGTGTCCACACCTTCCGGTTATTTATAGCGGAAAGGTTGAAGACCCCTCGTACATGCCTAATAACTTGTGCTCCATTCACATTCCTAATTGCATATGTATTTATGTATGAAAAACGAAATTGAATGAGGGGCGATGGCGATGTAAACAGGAATGGATCGTCGATGTGTAATTGGAGCTGTCCGTCATGGACCAGCGCCACGCAGCTTTTCAGTAAAAGCGAGCGGAAGAGAGCAATGTTTGGAAGGGAATGGGAAGGGACTTCTTCTGTCACGTTTGGCTAAGCAAACGCGATTATTTTGAGAACAGCGACGCCGAAAAAGTCAGATTTTTTACATAACCTGTCAATTTTGCTGGCTTTCCGATGAACCCATTTAAAAATGTGTTAAATGTACGATTTTGAAACAAGAACAGTGGAAAAAAACGTGTATTTTGAAAATTCGAAAATGCAGCGGAGCGCGTTTGCATAGCCAAAGCGGTTAGCAACAATATTATAGGGGCACCGGACAGAAAGGGCGCTCTGTTCGCGATCTGGCCGAATTTCTAGGCCGGGAAGTAATTTTCCACTGAAAATGTCGCCTAACTTTTCAAACTCGGCCCCGAGGTCGCTCAATTTGCACTGCAAAAATTGTTTCTCAACAGAGCGCCATGTTTGTGCGGTGCCCTTATAATAAATGTTCAATGGTGATGCGGGCTTCTAGTCGAAATTGTAGCCTCCTTGGGCTTCAACAAAACAGACTAGAAAACAGACATCTTCCAGGTGCTCTCGACTCACTTTCAACGCTGGTACGTCACGTTCTACTACGAGCCGTCGTCCTATGGAATGCTCGCCGAAGACTTCCCGCTCTACCTGTCGGGCGGTCAATCCGCACTTTTCCTCGCATTTCACATCGCCGCCATCGTACCACCCATCGTTTTCTATGGGTTAGTTTTGAAAATAAAGGGGGAGGAAATTCGTGTGAAATTCGAGAATGTGTGTTGGTTTTGACGAAAACGTAAATCATACATCGCCACGAGTTCAAACGCTTTCGAAAATCTAATCCCCCACCGGCTTGACCACATGCGCATGATTTCGTTAGTCTTTTCCTTTCTCTCCAATATTCAATGGTTTCCTTTTCATTTCGTTTCGATGGATTAGAATGCGAGCGTATCAAATTACACACTTTCAGATGGTCCATCGCTCTTCTCTATCATCGACGGACGACAATGTTGCTGGTGAATCAGCAGTCCGTGCAGAACAGCATTGAAACGAGGTAGGAGGTGGTGGTGAGACAACAACGAATTTGCGAAACATGGAAGCCAACAATGACTGGTGTAGTCTGTAGGAAGCACACTTTTCATAATACTTGTACCTAGTGCAGCTAGGGTGCCTAAGAACTTCTTGAGAACACGCTCGGAAATGGATTGTGGCTTAGGTTTAGTAATCTGCACAAAAGACTGCAAAAGAACCAAGATCCGGCGTAAATGCTGTGTTCTAATTGGAAGTTTTGGACCCCCCCCCCCCCATTACAGGCTTTACTGTCCAAAACTTCAAATTCGAGCATTATTTTTCACATGTTTTACGGTCTTTTCGGACATATTGAGTCAAAGTCGACGAATTTACTTTTCACGCACAAAAATCATATTCTTGTTAGTGATCGTTCAAGAATTTGATTAGATTTGACGTGAGTTGGTTTTCCATGAATTAATACCAGGAAAAGATTGATAGTACGGAAATAACTGGAGCTTGCTCAAATTGACCTGAAATTCCAGATTACTGATGCCGTGCCTCTTCAACGTCGTCACGTTCATTATCGGTCAAGTGCTGATAACAGTGGGAACGGGCGAAGGAAAGTGGGCGGGCTACACGGTGATGGTCCTTTTCGCCGCGAACTCTGCCCTCAACCCCTTCCTTCTGCTCATTTGCTCCAAGACTTTGAGGTAATCATCGACAACCTAAAAACCTTTAAAACTTTACATTTCTTCTCTAGAAAACAAGTGCTCGAAATGCTAGGCGTCACGAAAATCACCGACAAATTCGAGACTTCCACTGTGTACAGGTGAGTATTCTGACGTTTTCCTTTTTTCCCAAACCTGTTCCGTTCCAGAAACATCCACGCAGTCAATGGCGATCTGTTCGTCTCAAAACAACATCCGCGATCTTCGCGTCGTTTTCTGAGCCTTCCGACGACGCCGTTCCGATCGAGAGAAGAGCTCGGAACTCCAGTCTGAGAAGCCGTTTCTCATTTCTTCCTGCAAAATACGCCCGTTCTAGAATCAATTCTCTCACTCCTCCGATACTTATAATTTAACGAGCGGGTACCCCAATCATTTCACTGTTTTCTCTGCCCCCAACGAGTTGTGTTTCTTCTTGCAAAGATCTCCTGATTTTCCCGATGTTTGGAAAATAAACGAGTTCTATTTCTGTAAATTTTTATTGTTCTGATTCACTTTGCCTGAAAATTTTAGCAACTGCAAAATTTGGGTCATAATTTTGTAACACGCGAAGCTGTGAATAGTATTGAAGCATGATATTATAGGGACACTGCACAGAAATGGCGCTCTATTGAGAAACTCTTTTTGCAGAGCAAATTGAGCGACCTCGGGGCCGAGTTTGAAAGTTAGGCCACGTTTTCAGTGGAAAATTACTTCGCGGCCTAGAAGTTCGGCCAGATTGCGAACAGAGCGCCCTTTCTGTCCCGTGCCCCTATAATGTGTCGCTCACTCATTCGATTCGAAACGACACTCCGCCGTTTTGACCTGCGTGACCTGCGCGGCCTTGGCCGGCGCAACGACAAGAAGATCGGAGACTCGGCTACAACGGAGTCAGGTACGTAATTCAACTAGTTCTTTAGTCGTTTCTCGAAATTAAACATGAGTGCAACACAGAGAATTAATTGGAAATGTGAAATTTCAGAGAACTCGCACAGGGAACATCACCCCAATAGTCGGGCAGTCGGATCGGGTTTCTGCCGCCGTTTCCCAGGATACAAAGAGATGAGGTCCACTCGGTAGGTCTCACAAAATCATTGTCCTCAACCTCTGGTATCACCCGTTAGCTTGATTGAATGTCAGTTCATTGCTGTCCACAGTTCGTCCGATCATGCTGTTTTCTTCCGTCGCCAATTGAAGTGAGCAACTCTTTTTCTAGCTCCAATCAATCTATCACTATGCGGATGATAGGATGACGGATGAAGTTGGAACGATCGACCGTAGAATAAGTTCGACGCGTTTCAGATCGCCGTCGGGGAACATCGCCACATTCGTTTGAAGGGTTTCGATGGGTTCAAGCCTTTTGTACAGAGGTGAGTGGTCACAAATTACGATTTCTTCCGTGTGTTGTTATTGCCCAAAACTCACCGTAAAAGCGTGAAGGCATATTGAAGATTATGGTATTTTTACTGCTTGTATATGTTGAAGCATGTGTGTCTTTTCTTCTACTGCCGCTGGAGCGTCACAGTTCTTCTCGGACGAACGCCGTGCGTAGTATATAGCAGTTGGATGAGGAATAATGCGACCAACCACTAAATGTTTCGCATCGACATTTGTGTTCTTTTCAGCACGTTTCCAGAGCCGGCGCCAAAAAGCTTAAAAGTGTTACAAACGGACGACTGTTTCTTCTAGTTCAACTCGCACCTCTACACTATCGGCAAAATTTCAATGTGAACGCGCTCTGAACCCGTCGTTTTGTGATCTCGGGGACCTAATTTTTCAGCCGCGACACGAGTTTCAGGTCGTGTTCCACTTTAATTCTGGAAGATTTTTCTCTGTTTTTAATTAGCGCCGGGCTGGAGAGCACAATTGCAACAGAGCGCATTCAATTTGAAATGCCCCGATAGTACGAAAATGCAGGAAGAAAAAAAAGTTTTAAAGAAAGTGAGATCAAGCTAATTTTCCATCTTTTCTAGGCTCTAATCGATCGATGACCATGCGGAGAAGTTCCACGAAGTCGTGCTCGCCGAACTCCGGAGCTATTTTACTGGCCAGAACTCACCGTAAAAGCGTGACGGTCTTTTCCGTTTAAATTATCTGTTTTCTCAACTATTTTTGCCACGATAGAGTTTCGGATTGGAACAGTACGCGAGGATTAAGGCGTAGGATTAACATGGGACGACGAGTGGAGGATGAACATTTGGATACCATCCAACTACTGCACTAACTCTGAATTGTTATTGCCCGTGAAAGTAGAAGAGAACGATCAAACATACGAGTGTTGATGACGTTGAGATGATTCACTGAAAATGCAAAGTGTTTTTCGGAATATCAATTGGTTCACAACACGTTCAGCCAAAACAGAGAACAAATTTCATTTCGAATCTTGATCGTGAGACCCTTCTCTATTCCATCTTTTTCGTTTTCTCAGTTCCACCCTCCATCAATCATCCACATGCAATCTTAAATCCACTCTCAAGTACTTTTCGATTCCTCCTCCCCCATGAATCACCCCTTCGGTGTATGACTGTCGGTCAAAATCGGATCACGCCCCCAATTATAAAGCGATTTGGTTCGGCGACGAACTGTTTCAGTTTCATTTTTCCACCCACCTTCCTTTACCCGTAAAAAGGAACCGAAACGGACGACGCCGTGATTGTAGACTTTTGTCGCGCCGCCTAATCAGCTTTTCGCTCGTACAATTGTTGTGCGACGGTGTCCGGTTTTTTTTCGTCACCTTCTCCGCAATCGGTAAGTGCTTTTCTGATCTCATCAAAGTTTGGATTGAAAGATGTTTTGGGTTTCGACCAAAACATCTTGTTTTCGGGTGCAGGTAGACAGAAACAGCGACCCAAACTAAGAATTGTGTGTGCTCTGTACGATTTTAAGGCAACAAAAGTGGAAAAACGAGACGTTTCGGGTTAGATTCCACTTTTAACGGACCCTAACGAAATATGATGTGTGTAGAAATCAAAACACACCAAAAATGTGGGGTCCCCGGCCGGACAGTCTAGTCCATCCCAAGTCCAAAGAATGTGCGATGATCGCAGCAAACATTCCCGTTCGGGTTGACAGTTTGCGTGTCATTTTTTGCGCGTCGACACGAGACGAGAAGCTGAACGACAACTGTCTTGTTGTGTTTGTCCCCCCCAATCTTTGCGGTAAGCCTCCGCGCGGAAAGAGAGAGAGAGAGAGAGATTCTCTTGTTTTCTCATCTAGTTTGACACTTTTTTTGTGCTCGCTCCTCGGAGCTGCTCCCCTCCTCAAAACAATAGAGGTGGGGGGTCAGATTGGAGGAGCATGCCAACTCTCTCTCTCTCTCTCTCTCTCTCTCTTCACTTTTTCGTCACCTTTCTTGAGAGCTCTGACCGGCGGCTCTCTTCAAGAGTTTTGTGTATTTTCGCATCCAAACCACTCGAATTGTCGGCCGGTCATTCTCTCTCTCTCTCTCTCTCCTGTTCCATTCCATCCCGGTTTCGTTGATTCATCCCATTGCCATGTGTCACTTATCATTTTTGCATTTCATTAGATGGTCATGTGTATGTATGTAGGAACCATCAAATATTATATTAACAACTTCTCATAAAACTTCTCTCATCTATGACTCACCTCAGATGGATAGGTCCTACTATAAGCGTGTGGAAATCAGGTTGGAACCTTACTAGATCTGACCTCTTTTACTTTAGTGCCGTAAGATACAGTAATAATCTCAAATGACCATCTCGTATCGTAACGTTAAAGGCGCATAGCATCTCTCGTCATTTTCAGCCTACACTTCACCAATGGTCGAGGCGGGCACCAACTTGGGCATCGGCAGTTTGTACGTGAAACCGGGCGTCGAGCCGACCCAACTACCCTCTCCGCCCGCTCCCAAACTGCTCGGACCGTTCGACCCTCTAATTAAGTACGCGCTTTTCATTCATTTTTCGCTAAAATGTCAAATTCTCGCAGATTCTCTGGCCTCGACTGTCACAAACTGCGAAAGGAGAGTTTCCGATCGGTGCGGGGCCTGGTGACGGCTGTGATTGCAGTCTTCATCTTTGTGATTATAATGATCGAGGTGTTCACTTTTATGCGAATCAAGGCGAACGTCTTTTCGGTGGGATGGGCAGAGTCGACCGCCTACGCGTTCATGGCGATGCAGGCGGCGATCAGTGCGATCTCGGTCATGTGCTGGACCCGCGAAAACTTTGTCTCTCAGTTTGAAGACACACTGGCAAGACTGCGAACGATGAGGTTATCCACGAGTCAGAGCCTCGACGACTACACAAAGTTCCATCGGAAGGCGGCAATGATGATCGTTCCGATCTTTGTGATCGTTCTCTCCACCTCCTTCTACTCGTCGGTCACAAATCGGTATCAGTTGAATGATAACAGGTGTGATGCTGCTACACTAGTCTGTAACTCGATTTCCAATTCCAGCACGTTCTACTCGAACTCGGTCGTCCATCAGTTCGCTCCGTTCATCGACTTCATCGGATGCATCGCCTCCTCGTTGGCCATCATCATCTACGTCACCGTCAACACCGCCTTGAATCGAGAAATCAAACATTTCAATAAGGAGTTGACAAACTCTGCGAGGTTCCAACAACTTACTGTAGGGTTTTGTTTTTTGGTTGAAATCTTCTCATATTCAGAGATACAATGTTTCAGCTGCCGCAAGTATTGAACAACTACAGTAAACGTCACTCGGATCTCATCCAACTGACGAGATTCGTGAACAAACATCTGTCCAAGTACGGAGCCATCGTCCCATTCTTCACGCTCACCGCATTTGTGAACGTTGCCTACATTGTCGGAAGCTTCAAAGACTCCCTGGACCCGGTGGTTTACGTGCTGCTCAACGCGTGGACGTTTCTTTGCATTGGCATCACGATTGCCGGTTTGCAACCGCTTGTCAAGGTGCAAGACAACGTTAGTTAGCCTGTAAACATTAAAAACTGTTCGTTTTGCACAGATCCAAGAGACCGCGGAGATTCTGATGCACGACGACGTTCTGCAGACATGCGGTGACGACCAGGTACTGCCCGTCTCTCGATCCTTCTCTGATCCGATCCGATCTTTCCGTTCAGATGCATCACACGTACCGCGTGACACTCGACCGCTGCCTGCACAGCAACTCGAAACTCGCCTTCCTCAACGCGTTCCCCGTCGACTCGAACTGCTTCAACCGAATCATGTTCTTCGTTCCCAACATTTCGGCCGCCATGATCCTCTACCGACTATCTCATCCTCTCCTGTGAAAACATTTTCAACGTTGTTCTCTTTTTTGTGTCTGTATTTATCATGTTTTGTATCACTGTGCCCCCCCCACTTCCATCTCCATTCTGGTATTAAGAATGGTCGAACAACTCTTTTTTTTTGTCGCGGTGTGCGATTGAAAACGAATAAAATGAATTATTCAAGAAAAATGTTGTGGGAACTGATGCAATCACGCTCTCTCGCTCAAAACAAAAAAAAAATGCGAAGCCGATGGCCTTTCGCGACAACAGAGCGCTCTTTATAGCGTTTTGAATGCGAGTTGTGAAACTTCCGTCACTCGATAAATCTAAATACCGATTTCGGCGATTATCCTTTCACTTTTTCACACGTATTTATTTTCACAACACATATGATTCGATTGTTTCGAAACAACAAAAACCACTTTGAAAATCTGGTTTTACGCGCCGGCCGCAGTTATCCAATCGGTCATTCGCAACGAAATATGCAAATGCGTACATTCGTGCTCTTCTCTCTGTTTTCATTGTGTGCTTCCGTGCTCTCGGAGACAACAACCCCAAAAGTTGTCGAAATCAGTGGCGACGCCGACGGAATCCTCAATTTACTGAAGCGAGTGATGGAAGCGAGTCGGCGAGAAAACATTAATCAACATTTTAGAGGTTTCCACACTTTTCCCCCCTTTTTTCTTATCATTCGTGCCTTGCAGTTCGCACTGTCGACGGGAACGTTATCATGGAATCGGTCGACTACAAACCGGGCGGTGCACTTGATTATTTGAATTGAAGTAATAAACTGTACATCTTTTATTTTGATTGACACACGGACACATGGAAACACATTAGAATGCATTCTTTTGGAGGAATCGTCGATGCTCGGCCGCCGCACTCTGATCACTCTGATCTTCGCCCTCTTCGCTTTGTGGTGCTACTTTCGGTGTGACCAGCCACAAAGTGTCGTTGGAGTTCTGTAGTTGAGTGATGACGTCGATGAATTTGAACGAGTCTGACGAGCTGAAAATGATAACAGAGATAAGAAACAGTACTTTGCTATTTTCCTACCACTCGACGTCCATTTTATCGTCGTCGTCATAGTCATCTGAATCCAGTTCCTCGTCGTCCGCGCGGAAGCTCTCCGGAACCGGCGCACGTGGCAAGTGGGTCGAAGAGCTCTCGTCGTCCGAACGGAGCAACCACTTGCTGCTCGGCTCTGCGTAAATTTCGTCGAGCTTCTGTCGGAACACTCTCTCCGCGTTCGAATTGTATTGCAGACACATCGCCGCCTCATTCAAAAGCTCAAAAGAGCTGGTGGTGCTCTCGGAGCTCTCGCTTTTCGTCTCCACGGCAGCGAACGAGGAAAGATCAAAGTTGAGAGCGGCATTTCCGTCCGGAAGGCGACTCAGCCAGTTCTTAACAGTGTCCACCTCATGCGGAGTATCAGGAGACATGTCAGTTTTGCTCTTCTTGGTCAGAAGCCACATGCTGTCGTCGTCGTACGTCTCCATGTCCAGCGGAAGAGTTCTTCCGACCTTCTTCACCGAGAGTCTCTGACAGTTCTGGGAAGCACGGACCTCGCCCATCTTTAGAATGTGCTCGTGCATCGCCTTGATCTCAGAGATCGGAAGCTCGAGTTCGAGACGTACGTCCTCATCGAGATTCAGAAGCGATTTATTGACCGGGAGGCCGAGATGGCAGGCAGCTGAAATGAAATTAAGGTAATTGTGAGAAGACAAAAACTGGCTCACCGAGTTCCTCAGAGACAATGTCCAATTGGTTGACGATCTTTCCCTCCATCTGATAGTAGGCCCGATCGAGGTCTCCGACGAGTTGACGCTCGCGTTCACGCAGCGAAACGATCATTGCGGTGACGAACTGACGGATGTCCTGCTGCGCCTTCAGACGGTTCTGTCGCAGATTGTTCTTCACCTCGGTCAGCTTCACGTTCTGCACCTCGAGAAGCTTGACACGTTGCTCGGATTGCACACAAGGCATTGTCGCGATGTAGATTTGACTGCAAAGAACCGAGTGTGAAGACATATGATGCAAGGGTGCTGAAAGGAGAAAGGAAAAGAAGGGAAGAAAAGAGAACGATGATTGTCGACGATGAGCGCCGTCGCAAAGATTGGTACTATATGGTGGCGCCAGTTTCCCCGAAAGCGATGAGGTGAATGGGCGGCGCGCATGTATGAATATGTCGCATTTGTTACACCTTTCGAGTCGCGCCTGCTGACGATCATATCAGTCATATTACCACTGATAACGCGACTGCCTATAACAATGGTTTGGCGACAAAAAGTAACAGGAAAATTGCGAAAATGCACGTAATTGGAGTTTTGCTACGTGGCGCCATGGGCTCCTCGAGCATGTGAGCGCCCCGGAATCGATATATATGAGCAGTGGGGGGAGAGGGGAGCATGGAAGGGAATGTGAGACACTCCGCCCCCTTTCTCTTGTTGTTTTTCGCCTCGTGCGGTTCCCGGAAATAATAATTGTATAGCCGCGAGAGCTGATAACGGATGACGTGTCAAAACATGTTGTGAATGGGAAAAAGGAATCTGGAGAAGTCGAAAGTGAAAAGTTTTGAAAACGACGCTGGGATTGGTAGACAAAGATCGTCAGATTGATAAGAGAAGGGCAACGGTGGTCTGATTGGAAAGCATGTACTTTTTCCGGTGACCTTGGTCAATTGAAAGTGTGAACTGCAGTCATGATACAAAGTTTGTCCTAAAAATGAATAAGGATTGTTCTAGATAAGTGTAGTGAAAAGGCGTTATGCTCCAATTGAATTGTTTTTATTCCAAACTCTTTTTTAGTGCTGGCATCAAAAAATTTAGTATATCAGAATGAGGTAAGCTAAGTTTTTGGTGCCCGTGCGGAAAACATCGCGAAAAATATTGAAGTGGGAGCGAAAAGCCATTTTTTACATTTGTGAACAATCCTGGTTCATTTTTCGGACTCAGAATTCCGTTGTTAAGAAGTTTTCTTCGAATGCGCCACCAACTTGACGCAATTCCAGCCTAAATTGGCTGAAATTCAAGTCTCAATAAGGTACGATTGTCCTTTTTTTGGAGTCAAACAGCCAAGCACACTTTTGTGTCGAATTGAAACAGACAAAGAAAATATAATCGAAACGACTGATAAGGGAGACCGTCCGGGCTGTTCGGCCATTTATACCAGTCTCAGGAGGGTTGTCTCGTTCCGCCGGAAGCCCAGGTATTGAGGGACGGACAAAGCGTGACCAGTCGAGAACAAAGCGTGTGAGCCACCCCCGGGCACAAATACGTTTATTGCATGTGTAAAGAACAAAAGGAAATGGAGAGCAAAATGTGGGAGGTGATAGAAGCTCAAAAAGGGAAGAAAGGAAGTGATATTATTACATTTTCAGATTGAAAGATACGGTATTGAACTAAATATGTGTATGTGGATAGTATTGGACAGGAAGAAAAGATGGAAAATATGGGTGCACAGCACCGAAAACACGTGGAAATTGGAGAGTTAGACATGTGGAAGAAGGAGTCCGGCGACAAGAGTGACCAACGGATTCGGGTAGCTGACCGACGGATGGTCTCCCTGACAACCGCCCATATCGATGTGGGTGTACTTGAGCGGATGGCTGCTGTCGGTTCCGTGCTCGTCGATTCGGCTAGCCTACAATTAAGAGGTTCACTATTAGGGCTTGAACTTTATGACAAATTTACCATTTGAAGGAAGGCGGCCGGGGACTGGTGTCCTCTGAGCGTTGCCACCGAGGGCTTTGTGTTTCCCTGCCGAAGATCCGCCTGTTCGCACTCGGCCTGATGGAATGCAAAGTCCTCCGGATGCAGTCTGCTGATCTCGATCGGCTGTCCGAACTCGTCTCCGACTTCCTGCACACGACGCGCCCATCCGCTCGCCTTCGCCGGTCCGTTATCCATAATAGCGGCGTAGTATCCGTAGGAGAGCACTTCGTGTCCAGTCAACGTGGCGAGAGTGAATAAGTGCGGGTTTTTCGCCTTCAACGCCTCCTCTTTGGCGAGCGTGAGAGGGTCGAGCATCGTGATTCGGCCCTCGGCGTCCGTGTTGTAGATGTGAATGCGCTTTCCGCTTCTGGCGGTGATCACCTCGTCGCAAGTGTAGGCGCGCGCTCCGATGCTGTTGCGCACCATGCACATGTAGCCGACCGCCTTGATGTTCTTCGGTCTGAGCACATCGATGGCCTTGAAGAATCCGGCGAGCACCGCAGATCCGTACTTGTCCCGGCACATTCCGAACATGTGTCCACCGACCTTGAGGTCACAGCCTCCTGTGTCAAGCGTCACTCCCTTTCCGACGACGAAGAGCGTGTCTTGCGTCTCGCCTTCGCCCACGTACTCCAGGCGAATCAAACGGGCTTGGTGCTCTTTGACAGTGTTGGCTGCTCGATTCACGGCCGCCATGAGCGGAAAGTCCTTCTCAATGATGCTTTGATCGTCCACAATGCTCACTTTGATGTTTCCGTTGGCGAACGCGCCCTGGACGTAATCGGCCACGCGTGGCGGTGCCATTCTTTCGGGCCCCATCTCTCCGATGTCACGACAGACGGTGAACGACGCATCGTAGGCCTCCACGAGCTGATTCAGACGAGACGAGGAGTCGCTGTTTCCGACCTGAAAGCAAGAAATTGTAAGACTATTATATAGATTAGTAGCCTACCGCCAAGAGTCCGAGCTGGTTCAACTTGTGCTTGTTGTCCTCCTCGCGCACGTTGAGCGGAGTGTAGACAGGAGTGAGGGCTCCGAGGGCCGCGACGAGCTCGGCGTTCGGGAAGCGCGCATTGGGGAGGGTGACGAGAAGTGGAGACTTGACTCCGGCCGACAGAGCGCTGCAATGAGAAGAAGATTATGCAAAAAGGAGGACAACAGCTGTGAGTCTCGGAAATGACGCAGTTCGCCCCCACAATCAGTCCTGCTGATCTGTGCTTTTCCTCCCACTCCCACGTTTTCGCCCCTGATAACTGTCTCTTCTCCCCCGTTGTCGTTATCACCGCAACTCAATTCCGGAGGGAGAATTAATAATTATCTAGTGTGTGAAAGAAAAGAAGAGAGGACTAATCCAATTGTCTTCGTCATTTATGTTTGGTTTGTACGCGTAAATTTCGACTTTGTCCTCGTAGAGCTTACAGTTCGATTCCTTTTCGAGCAGCGGACTGGTAGCGACGGACGTCATCGTAGTCGCGGGAGACGTTTCCAGTTCCGGCGAGAATCAATCTTCCCGACGGGACAACCGACGGATCGACTTGAAGAAGCGAAGTGGCGTGGAAGGCGCCATTGTGCAGTTTGAGGAAGCTGTCGACGGTCGGCGCGATGGCGGAGACCTGTTGAATGGCGCCAAACTGCTTGACGCTCTCCTGGCTTCCGACGAGAACGACCGCGTCGAAAGCGGCGTCGGCGATCGAAGCCGCACGAACTATCTTCGTGGAAAGAAGCGATTGGAGAGACATTCGAAGAAGAGGTGGCCCAAGTGACTGAAAAATATGAGTATGAGGGAATGGAGTGATGAAAATGGGACAGCAAATTGAGTTTGAAGAGCAAGATGATAGGTTTACGATGGAATTGACGAGAGAGCAAAGAAGAGAGCAGAAAATACTTTTTCGCATTCTTTTCTGGAATCAACTCGACTGCACTGTACGGGCATCTTTATCAGTGGGGGGACACATCGATGTCAGCCGGAGGAGACACAGCTGGCCGGACTGTCAGCCTGATAAACCGACCGTCGACAGGCTGGCCGTTAATTTGATAAATAATTTATAGCGTTGTGTTTGTCGACTGAAAACCGCGTGAGGCGCCGATTCCGAGAAAACGAAATTGACGTGGACAAAAAATGTGTCTTCTAGAAACTACACGAACTAACACACAGTGAATACAAAACGATCAAACTTTCTGGAAGAGATGAGTCAGAATTAGAGTTGGAATTCATCATACGAATATGTCGTCAAAGATCACATGAGCGAATGCCAGAGAACGAGAAAAAATCGATTAGGGAAAGAGAGATCTCGACTTTTTCTGGTCTTTCTCTAGATAAACACTGCTGACCCGCGACCCGCTTATAAACAAACTGGTTGAGGTTGACGCACGCATCAAGAATTCCGCACATTTTTGTGGAAGTGGAAGTGCTGAGAAATATATGGACAAAAAAGGATAGATTGCCGGTTTCGTTTCACATCACTCATGGAGCACACGCGTGCCGACTGACGGTTTGGTTCAGGCGAAGCGAGAAGGAGAAGAGGAAGCCGATTAAGGCCGGCATTTCAGAGAAATTCGTTATCGGAGCGGAGCGCGCGGGGCGTGCAGAACTTGATTTGCGAGCTCCACAAGTCATCGTCATCGTCACGGAATTTTTTATCGCCGAGAAAGAATGTACTCTTTGTGTGAGTGGCATTCCAGAAGTTCTGCACAGATCAAACGATCAAAAAGCGGGGGATACTGTAGAATAAAGGCGCATTGCGAGACATTTTTAAAGGTCACACGTGGAATTTATGAAATTACTGTATTTTTAGTTCTAAATTGAATCTTTTTTTTCTATTGCTTTGTTTTGTTTTGTTTGGTTTTTTCTAGGAAATCAATGATTTTTATTAGTTCTTTCAATTTTAAATTAGAGCATCTAAAAATTTGCGTAATATAAAAATACATTTTCGGGTGAAAACTACAAAAAGAGAAAAATAAACAAAAACCGAATTCACTAGTGTCTAAACATTCCATTGTTTGAGTAGACGCAGAGAAACGGCGTCTCGTGCGTCAGCACCCTTTCCCTTGCCCCTGTCCTCTCGAAAAAGCGTCCGCCTTCCATTTCCACGTAACCAACAAAACCGGTTTTCACAGTGATTTCAGCGAGAATTCGCAACATTTTCAGTCGATTCTTTCAGGGATGGCTTCGGTGTTGTCGTCGTTCTTCCAGCGCGATCCCAAATCGCAATTTCCCTATGACATTCCCGCCGAGCAGCAACACTTTTTCGATCGAGTCTCCATCGGAAACAGCTTCAAAAAAGTGGGTCAAAAATGAAAGAAACGAAGAGAGTTTATATTTCAGGCCGAGCCCGGCGAGCTTGCCACAATATTCTGGGATAACCGAAGTTCGACGCTTAAACAACAGGCGCAGAAGCTGAAAACGATGCGCCATCCCAACATTATCACGTATTTAGACAGTATTGAAGTGAGTACACCTTTTAGATGCTCAAAAAATATGCATTTTTTCATTTTTTCAGTTAGAAGGCACATTCTACCTCGTCACCGAAAAATGCAAGCCTTTGGAGCTCTATTTGAAAGAAGCTGGACTCACAGAAAACCAAAAAGAGTTCGTCGTCTCCTGGGGAATGTTTCAGCTGCTGAATGCACTGAAATTCATGCACGAAGCGAAATTGAGTCATGAAAACCTCCGGAAAGGCGTATTTGTGACGGCCGGAGGAGACTGGAAGATCGGCGGACTCCACCTCGTCACCGCGTTCACTTCCCCTCAAACCGACCTCAATCAACTGGCAATTGTGCTTTGGGAGGTGTTTAATGGATTCAATGGATCGATTTCAAGACCCCAGGCGCCCGGAAAAATTCCTCAACGAATTCATGAGTTGTACAAGAAGATTGGCGCTCAATCGGCCGCCCGACTCACCGTTTCCGATATCATCAAAGAATATCGATTGACCGGCGGATACCTGAAGAACAAGTTCGTCGACACGCTCTTGTTCCTCGAAGAGTTTGAGCTGAAAGAAGCGAGCGAGAAGCAGTCGTTCTTCATGCATCTCCGCGAGAACATTGACATCTTCCCGGAAGACGTGGCCAAGTACAAGATTCTTCCGAAGCTCATTCTGACCTACGAGTACGGAGACGCCGGCCCGAATATTCTCATCCCGCTCTTCAAACTCGGACGTCTACTCGACGAGGCCGAATATCAGCGGACGATTGTGCCGTGTCTGTGCAAACTGTTCGGCAGTCCGGACAGAACGACACGTGTCAAGCTGCTCGAGCGAATCGACGAGTTTGCACCGCATCTCACGCAGCAAGTGGTCAACGACAAGATTTTCACAAATTTGACATCTGGCTTTCTGGACACCAACCCCGCAGTTCGAGAGAGCACCGTGAAAGCGGTGGTCTCGCTCGCCGAAAAGTTGAACTACAACAATTTGAATGTGGAGCTGATGAAGTACCTGGCGAGACTGCAAGGAGGAGACGAGCATGGCGGCATCCGAACCAACACGACCATCTGCCTCGGAAAGATCGGACATCTGCTGGCGCCTGCCAAGCGACAGGGCATTCTGATAAGCGCGTTTACCCGAGCCCTCAAAGATCCGTTCGCTCCGTCGCGAATGGCCGCTGTTCTCGCACTTTCCGCCACCCAACAATTCTATCCGATCGTCGAAATCGCGAATCGCATCGTTCCCTGCTTGATACCGTTGACTTGTGACCCCGAGAAGCAGGTCAGAGATCAGGCGTTCAAGGCCGTCCGCGGATTCCTGGAGAAACTCGAGAAGGCGTCCGAGAATCCGGCGTGCATTCCGGAGCTCGAGGCAGGAGTGAAAGCCGGCGCCAGCTCGATTCTAGATCACGAAAAAGTGCCGCAGTGGGCGAGTTGGGCTCTCAAGTCACTCTCCGGCAAGTTCTACAAGGGAACTCCGCCGCCAGAAGTGAAACCGGGAGCTCCAGCAGCCGCCGGAGCAACCTCTTCCCGACCGGTCACACCGAATTCTCTCGCTGAAAAAGGTAAAACTGTTTGAGAAGCTATAAAGATTAGTGGAAATTTTTTAGAAAAAACATCGACGACAGCCGCTGAGAAACCTGCGTTGAAACCGGCGTCGAACGACGGTTGGGGGGACCTGGACGACGGCGGCGACATGTTCGCCGTCAATAATTCGAATGGTGCGGTCGTGGACGATTGGGCTGACATAAATTCAAAATCGAACGACGCGGATGACTGGGGAGTCGGCTGGGACACTCCTATCGCGACGGCCACGTCTTCTCCGATCCCGGGAATCAAGAAATCGGGCTCTGCTGCTTCGGTGAGCGTCAAAAAGCCGGCAATCGGACGCTTGAACCTTCCGACTGCCGCCGCAGGAGGATCCGCGCAGCTCAAAGCGAAAAAGGCGATGGATGACAATATCGATGCGCTTCTGGGGATCTCGGCTCCTCCGACCGCCACGTCTTCCGTCTCGCAGACTCCTCTCAAACCGAACTCTCTGAACGCGCTCATGAACAAGTCTTCCTCTTCCACTTCTACCTCTACCTCCAATTCCGGATGGGGATTCGATGATCCTGTGGCCACTAGCTCTGCAAACAAGGGATGGGATGACGACGGTTGGGGAGAGAGCGGCTCAACGAGCAACGTGCTCCAGCCGACTCCCGTTCTGCAACCGACTAAAGTGAAAGATGACAAAGGTGAGTACAGAAATCTTTGAAATCATTAAATTTTGTGAACTGTAGATGGCCGTCGAGCTGAAATGCTGGCAAGAAACGAGGCGCGACGAAAGGAGCAGATGGACCGAAAGAAGTCGTCCGGGGCGATGAAACTGGCGGCGGTCGAGAAGAAAATGGACGATTTCGCCGATTGGTGACCGTGAACGTGAACGCCTACGTCTGCTGTTTATTTATTTTCGTGTAACTTTCCCCTCTTGTATTTAGTTCCGATTCGCCTCCACTCAACAACAAAAAAGTCAGCCTGTGATCCGATCGTTTTTGAAAAAATTTCCCTTTCGCGCATTTCATTTCAATTCATTTCCACTTGAGTGACTAATACAGAAAAGTATGCTTGATTACTACTATTATTATAATGGTTTTTTGTTATTCCTTTCAACATAAATTGACCCACTTCTGACGGCTGGTATAAAAAAAGTGGAGAAGGAGGTGCTGGGGAGAAATGAAAACTTTTCTGATACTCTTCGCCCTTTTCCAATGCTCTGCCTGCCGATTAATGTGCGGAATTGAGCCGGTGACCACCAATTGGATGGAGATTTTCATAAAATTAGACTGCCCGCAAATTTTGAGTAAGTTTTTGATAGATCGGATCTCGATGACGACCTTGTTTGATCAGAACAACACCAAAAGTGCTGCACCGCCCACGGATGGTGTTTTATTTACAAAAAAGTCTCAATGGAAGCGTGCAACAATGAATATTGTCGGTGCATTGATAGACTGGCGAAAGACGGACTGTGCAAGGTGAGATTTTGGGTTTTCTAGGCCAGCGAACCGACGAAAATCAACGTTCTTAGAAAACGTTTTGAGGAAGCCTTGATTTCAGAGATTTTCTGTGACATTTGTGCGCTTTTCCCAACCGCTGGCCTAGAAATCATGGCGAAAATAAACAGCGACCCGTCTCGAGCGATAGAGCACAATTGCAACGTACACTCTATTCCAGACGCATTCCGATAACTTCTGCATGAACGTTAAGAATCTCGGACCGATGATGTGGCCGATGATTACCAAGGATGCGATGAATATGTGAAAATATAGTGTTTTCTGCCGTTTAAATAAACTCTTCTCTTTCGTCTACGCTCCACGAGAATACGCGTTTCTGCTTCATCGCTCGAAAAAGGGTTCATGTTACATGGTTTATTCTCATTTAGGAAGTTTTTGCGAAAGTTAGTTTGGTAGAATTAATGCAAAGCCTGGCTAAAGTCTACTAACGCCAGAATGAAGTCTGACTTGCACAACTTCGATCTCGTGGCTTCACAGTGTGTGGACCCCTCTCCTGGAATCAATATTCTATCTGTTTTTGACTAAATGAATCTAACCATTGTTCTTGACTAGTGAGCCTGCGGCTCGCTGAGCTATGGAGTTGTACGGAGTCCTGGAGTCTTTTGTGGACGAGTCGGTGAGCTCCATTTGATTTCACACGTTGCCATGCATCTATAGAAGTCGTTACGATTCTTCTTCGATGCCACCATCGTTCCGGACGATCCAAATGCTGAATGGCTGCTCGCGAGCACGGAAAATGCTGAGGAGGCCGTCGGTGTAATGTGGCCGGGACAGTAAATGGAAAATGTGAAGTAATTGTGGTCTCGGTTCAGGTGGACGACTCGAGAAAAGTTCTGGAAGAAGGGCTTCACACACACACCCCGGAAACGCGGATCTTCTCGCGATATGACTGCTCGTCGAAGTCCAGCACGGTGATGAGGTTTGCCAGAATTTTAAAATTAAAATCACCCACGTTTTTGTTTTCAGAACTCGAGAGATGCGATCATCAGACGGGTGGAAGGAGCCAAGATCAGCCAGATCAGCCAAGAATTGCATCTGCACGTTCATGTACACGGATTCGGACATGCTCGAGCTCGCCCCCGAATAAATGCAATCTTTTTTGTGCTCAATTAATGAGAAAATGAAAGTCTTAAATAATAAAAGTCTTCATTTAATCGAACAAAATCATCGGAACAAGAGGGGAGAAACATGTAGGGCAAGAAGTTGGGTAAAGCGGAAAAGGAAAGAAGAAACTAGTAGGGAGATATGGAAGAGGTAGTGAAAGAAGAGAATCGGAAAGAGATCATTTATACACATAAACGCATTTACTCTCTGTTGAACGTCGACGTCGTGTTCTTGTACCTCCTGGAAGTTGTGTACGTGTAGTACGCGTCGTCGGATTCGTCCTGGGCGCTGCGAAGACGTGGCAGGGAGCCCATGTTGTTGCGGTACACGTGGCCGATTCCTTCGTTTAGAATCTGATCCGGAGGCGACAGGATGTTGATGATCTCGCGTTTCGGAGGGGGAGGATGACGGCGCGGCGTGTCCGGCTCATCGATCGGTCGATGATGATGGTTGTTCGGAATGACGTCGGGCATCCAATCCGGATCCACGGTCGCCTCGTGATGATGGCGAGGCGAGAGCAGCGGGGAAGCGCATTGCGGATCCGCCATTGTCGACTCGGCCATCATCGATTTCTGATTGTCGAGCCACATGTTGGGATTGGAGTCGGACGACTTGGTTGCCACGTCACAGACACACCAGAGGAAGATGACGAATGCAGCGATGAGGTAGACAACCGATTGAGAGATTTCCAATAGCTCAACCGGCAATGGCAGTTGGTTGGCGAACAGACCGGATAGTGTCATTCCCAGTGTGAAGAGCGTCTGAAATGAGGAACAAGTTGCGATGTTGAGTTGAGCACAACTTACCAGGATAAAGTGTTGGAAAACTGCTCTCTTCACATTGTACTTGGCCACAAAGACGTCGTACTTTTTGTGAAGACTGACGAGCACCGAAGTGGCGGCCGCGTAGAAGGAGAGCAGAAGGAAGAGTCCGATCGGAAGGACGATGAACCAGAAGAGCCAGAGGTGCGGAGAAAGTGAGCATTGGTCGGTGAAGAGGAAGGTGGTGAACGAGATGAGGCACGGGAAGACGATGCCGACGAGGAGCGAGGTGGTGAGGTTGGGCGTCGAGGAGCCGTCGGCGAGCATTCGGTAGATGTAGAGGCCGTAGAGGAAGAGCCACGCGAACGGGGCGCAAGAGGTGAAGGAGAGCATCGCGTTGCGGACCGGGCAGTACGCCTGGTTGATGGCGGTTTTGTGGACGAAGAACAGGTTGAGAATGTTGACGGCGAAGAAGAGGATGAAACCGATGCGGACCGAGTAGATCTTGGCGTTCCGACGGGAGACGGTGAGCAGAATGGAGAGGAAGCAGAGGAACAGGGCGACTCCAGCGATGGCCGGAGAAGTCATGTCGTCCATTTGAGCCACTCTTACAATAGAACTCGACTGATCGTTGACGAACATTGTGAACACTCCGATCTGCTCGAATTCACACACCGCATGGGTCAAATTCAGCCCGATCAGCGCTGCTCCGCGAGTCGTCCATGCTCCCGACTTTGCATCGAACCGAACGCATTCCGGGTACTTCCATCCGTCGTCTTCTTCTATTTCAAACTCCACCATGATAGGGTCTGTTGTGTTGGCGACGACGGCGATCATGGGGTTCTCGCAGCGATTGCATCGGGGGTACGGTACGATAGAGTAGACGACTTGCGTGGTGCCAGTCACGACGGCGCGAACTCTCGGGAAGCCCGACGGACGGAGGTCGACAAAGTTGTTGAACTTTGGAAGCATGTTGCCGAAGTCTAGTTTGTCCGATGCGAATACTGCAAAAAGACACTCATAAAGATGAACAGTTTACTAATCACTAACCGATGTGCTCATTGGCCACGAAGAACGGCGAGAGGAAAGTGACGCCTTCATGAGTCTCGGCCACCGTCTCCGCGTAGTTCCAAAGCTTCGCAATCATCGTCGAGTACTCATCCGCCGGCTGCTCACTCATCACTCTTCCCAGTGCTTCCACCAACTTCTCCGTAAACCTCATGTCCTTGATATGAGCTCTCGCCTTCAGCGGCAAACTCTGCTCGTAGTCGACAAGTCTGGTGAGAGCCTCGGCGGCGATCTGTTGATTGCGTCCGCGGATCGACGATTCCGTGTTCGTCGCGTTGGAAACCATTGTCAAAAGCTTTGCGGGTTCGAGGATGTCGAACTTGTTGACCATGATCGAGTACTCGGGACGGGTGCAATTCCACGCGTTCACATCCGACCATCTTCCGGTTTCCAGACACTTTCGAGTCGCCAGACCACTCTCGCCGGTCGGACAGGATTGCCGTACGATTGATCCCTTCTGGCTGACGGGCCACTGGATACTGTACTCGATTTCTGACGGACACTTTCCTGAGATTGGCCGGCATTTCAGGGTTTTCGAGTCCAATTGCTGAAAGGAAGTACGTTTCCATATGTGCTTCACCCTTGCTTAGCACACTTACATGATCAAACCTTGAGCACCTGTCACACCTTCTTCCGACCGCATCTCCGTTGCATTTGCAATGTCCGTCCGCCGAGCATTCGGTGCTCTCCGCTCCAAAGCCACATTCGCACTTGACACATCCGTTGATCGTCGAGAAATGACTCTTTTTGCAGACACACGCGCCGGTTTGCTTGTCACACTGAGCCTCGTAGCCCTTGCTCTGCGAGCACGAGCATCTTCGGCACCGCGGGAAATTACCCCACCATCCGGACGGACACATTTGCTTCGGCGCCTCCAGTTGACAGTTCTTTCCAGCCTTTCCGCTCGGGCAAATGCATTCGTATCCGGCGGTTGTATTCGAAGCGACGCACGTTCCCGAAGAGCACACGTTTGCCACAGAGCACACGGGAAGACACGTGTCACCGACGAAGCTTTTGTGACACTTGCATTTGTGTCGGTTCCACGCGCGGTGGCAAGTGCTCTCCGCCGGACAGATTGCGTCGACGGAGCACCGGTTCGGGACCACGCAGCCAGCACGAGTCTTGCCCTTCTTCTTCACCGATAGCGGTTTTCCGTCGGCCATCACATTCCGAATGCATCCTTCGAATCGTGACGGATGACCGGTGCCCGGGGCAATGCCAAAGTAGAGCTGCTCCAAAGTCATGTCGGCAATGGAAGTCTTCACCTCGGCCGAGTAGATGCCGTCGATTGTGGTGGCCACGGAGTCGGCGTCGAACTTGATCACCACGTTCATCCAGTGTCTTGAGGTGACTTCCGGAGCCGGCAGGTCCACAGACGAGTCGCCGACTGTGAACTTCAGAATTCCGTCGTCGGTTTCCAGTTTGTAGTGGACGCTTCTCTGTGTGAACTCGATCGCCATCACCTGCATATCGGTTCGTGAGGTTCGGAATTCAAATGTGACTTCGAAGGGCACTGAAACTTGGGCAGGTTGGTACAGAACAAACGATTCCTCCTCGAACAGCGAGTGTCCTCGAAGATCCTGCGTTCCGAGGGCTCCGACGCATTCTCCAGTGGAATGAGCCGCCTGCGGACAGCTGCAAATCCTGCCCGCCCATCGGTTGACGCACTTCGTCGTCGCCGGACAGTGTCCTTCAGAAGCCGAGCAGAAGTCACGACGGGGACGGCATCCTTCGTGGACTTGACCCACTTTGTGCATCTCTTTGATCGTCGAAAAATCCACTTGCTCAAAGTCGACGGAAAGATCGGAAATGCATCCGGAGAACGCCTTTTCGATTTGTTTCGAAGTGCCCGGACGTCCGCCGAGGAACAGGCCATTGGAGACGTCCAGATAACGATAGCACGGAACTGTCGGGTCGTCACATCTGAAAATAAGTATTGTAGATCCCTTTTATTGCTGGGAAAGGGGAAAGTCAGTCAGAGAGTTCCCATTTCGCTAATCAAATGAATAATTCAATCGTCGCGAGCGCGGCGAGCGGCGCGTTTCGAAAATTGAATTATATTTGTAAAGACGAAGTTCCATGTTGCAAACAAGCTCGCAATTATAAATTATTACCAACGGGCTGTGAATTAGCCTAACCACTACGGTAGACGTACTTTTTCTCCAACTTGAGTTTCGCGCGCACTGCACAATTCGGAGACGTGTTGAGCAAAAGCGACGGATGGGTTTCACATTCGTCCAGCGACATTGTCAGTTGCTAGAAAATGTTACAATGATAATGTAGTGTCACATTAGGGATTCGGTACCTTGTTGGAATACTCTACAGTAACCGTATGCCACTCGCCGTCGTTCACTCGATTCTCCACATCATTCTCCATCTTTGCGTCGGCTTTCTCTCCTCCCAACGAGAATTGAATCTGAATTTCAGAATTCCACATTCAATTGCCGGTCCCCCAACATTTTCCGTTACCTTTAGAACCCGATCCACAATGGAAACTTCCACAAAGTCGCTTCTTTTGTCGCCGGTGAATACCAAAACACCGTTGTGCGCAATTGTGGACACCCTGCAAAAAGAAGCTGGCTCTTTTTGTTAGTGTCAGCTCACAGTGTCTGCTCACCTGAATTTCATGGTCCATTGGGTGCGCGGCAGGTCGAGGTTCACGTTGAGAAGTCCTTCGCCTTCGAAAGAGACGCTTCGCAACCGACACCGCTCGTCCGTGTCTTCTCCTTTGTACTTGCAGTGACGGCATCTCATCTGGTTGCCGTCGAGCTCACAAAGCGAATCGGACATACAGTAGCCGGGCACACAAGTGAGCGCGTGCACCGAGATTTCACAGTGACGGCCTGAAAGGTGACGCATTTTTGAACAAAACTGTCAACTATAAAGTTGTTGAGCATAGCATTTCCCACAATTTTGCAGTTTACCGCTTTTTGAAATTATAATTGGTTTTCAAGATGGAGCTCTCCAGAACGCCAGCATTCAGGACAATATATCTGAGCTGCCGGTGGAGGTATCAAAAAGTGATCAACTGATAAATTACTCAGGAAAACATTGTGCACATTTCATCAATTGACAACTTTTCAATATCTTTACCGGCATCTGATGTACACCGTCTTGAATAAACGGTATTGTGCTTAGATGAACTTGACGAATTCCCAGTGACATCCATTTCTCTAAAAGTCCCTTTTCGCAACGTTGGGGTCAGGGAAACGGGGAGGGAAAGTCCCTCGTGAGACGACGCAAGACAAGATGGGGTGCTTCCGGTTGCGGTTGAAACAAGAGCACCGGGGACTTGTGTGCTGAAGTGAAGTGACACGCAAATTGCCCCCTTCGCCACGCAAAAGTGGAAACAATTTTGAGCTGACGAAATGAGAAATGAGAAACCAGAACAAGTTTTGAAGAGTCGTCTTCCCGCACAAGCCAATTAGAGCTGAGAGCTAAGTGCTCATAACCGTTTTATTGTTCGATTGCCAACCAAACAAAGCGATTCAATTTTACGAGAAACGGCCCCAAGCCAATTAGACAAATCAAAGCGTACCTATCCAGCCGGGTTTGCACTCGCACCGATACGTGTTCTCGGAGGCGACGCACGTCGAATTGTTCGAACATCTGCCCCGGTAGCACTCGTCCAGACGGGTGTCGCACTCGCCACGAGCATCCGAATCTAAAGGAGACACGTTGTTCGATGAGATTGGATGAAAAAATGAGTCACTTGTGAATCCAGAAGGGCATTCGCAGACAAAAGTGTTCACGGTGTTCAGGGTTCTCGCGATGAAATTGTCCGTCTCGTGCGCCTTCATCTCGCCCACAAACTTTTGAGTTTGACGGCATTTAGCCATGTGCGAGCACGGTTCGTTGGCGCAAGACTCGTCGCGAATCACTTCCATTTGCAGTAGGGTCATCTTCTCCAACTTTTTGATGTTCTCTTTGACCAGTTCGATCGCTCGCCATCCTCTGCAAAACAAGAGTAGCGATGAAACGGGGCCTCCTTAGCTCAGTTGGTAGAGCGTGAGACTTTTAATCTTAAGGTCAGGGGTTCGAGCCCCCTAGGTGGCTAGACTTTTTGCATTTACATTTACATATTTCTTCATTTCATTTTAGTTTTACATAAAGTGTGGCACAGCCGCTCCATTATTCCTATTAAATTACACCACTTTGTCTGTTGCTGTGCTTCAAGATGGAGAGAAGGAGCCGCCCGCATGCGTTTCATTGTTTGGCCAAAACAAATCGAATTATTGTGAAGCGCATCTAATTGCAAAACCAAACTCATTTCCCGTAACACAACACTTGACTACTAGTAGGCGGTGGCCCTTTTGGTCGCTTCGAGTGTTATTGTGTCCCATCCGGCACTTACCGTACGACTCTTCCGTGGTCCGTCACCGCCAGGTTCAGATGGATGACGTCATCGAGATGTTGCTTGACACCGATCACGTGAATGTCCGACGGCTTCCAGTTGCTGAGGGTCGACATGGCGTCTCTGAATCTTTGGAAGACGAGCGGATCCCAGAAGTCGTCAACGGTCATTCGGGCGAGGCTCAGCGTGAAACTCTCGGCCAACCAATCCGGCTCGACCATCACATGGATGAAGCGACACGTCGAGCATTCGGTGTTGGCTCCGTCCGAGACGCACGTCTTGAACGAGACATCCATATTGCGCTTCCACTCCTGCTTCACCAGAATCTTTCCAGTGTACTTTTCCGCTTCGATCAAGTCGTTCTCCTCCAAAAAGTACTCGAGGGTGGCGTTTTGATCCGGGTCGAACGCGGGAATGAATCCGACCTGTCTGGCCATCGGCACGTTCTCAAAGCGGTTCATGAGAATCACAAAGTCTTTGAGCACCGGTTTGTTGTCGTTCACATCCGACACGTGGATTCGGACGGGCACTGTTGAGGAGAGCTGTCCGCTGCTCGCTTGCAATTCAAAAAAGAATTTGTTCGCTTTTGCCTCGTAGTCGAATTCAACACGGGAAAGGATTCTCACGAGTCCGTTCTGTTCGGCGTCTTCTGAAAGAATTGGAAGATAAGGGAATCGTCTAACTTTAAGTTTTACCTTCAATATCAAAAAGTTTCGCATCGGCGCCCCCGAATATCCTAAACGAAATGTCGGCGTTCTGTCCTTCGTCCGGATCCCTGGCAACAATGGTGCCGACTGTCGAACCGACTGCCGAGTTCTCCGCAATATACAAATCGTAGGATAGCTGCTCAAACGTCGGCGCGTTGTCATTGACGTCCGAGAGTGTCAGAGTGATTTCCGAAGATGCCGATAGGCTGGGAGTACCTCGGTCCCTGGCGAAGATCGGAAGGACGATTCTGGAATGAAATCTAAATTATAATGAATGTGCCCGTCCGCTCCGCAATCTGTTCTTCGAAAGGGGCACTTGACAAAAAAACACGGGCCATAGAAAACAGTGACACCCGGTCAAATGAGGGCTCATTGAGTAATCCATTCCCATCGCAGGTGTTCATAATCCCCCACTCGACACATAATAACACTTACACTGCAAACTGCTCTCGATCGAGCTTCGAGCTGACACGAAGAGTTCCAGAGGTGCGGTCCAGCCGAAAAAGTTGGATGGCCGGCGAGGAGGAGGTCTCGTTGAGGAAGTAGTCGACGATGCCGTTCGCTCCGATGTCGGCGTCGATTGCGGAGACTTGGAGGAACGAGGTGCCGACGGGAATGTCCTCCGAGATGGTGGCCGCATAGCTCGACGAGGTGAACTGCGGAGCGTTGTCGTTAACTGAAATGTCCGGTATTGTGCGATTCTTGACGGCGGGTCTCGCGCGGATCGAAATTTCTCAGCTAGCTGGAGTTCTGTACCTTTAAATTTGAAGCGAACACGGTAGACGTGGGTCGGTGGCTCACGATTTTCCCCATTTTTCTAACTAAACGCTGATTTTGGATGCATTATTGAAAAGAAATGAAGAGACGCTTGTATTCGAGCCGTTTTCAGTTCATTTTATCAAAGTTTGTAAGAGAAAGAAGTCAAAATGGGGTATATCGTAACCTACCGTAGTCGCCTTAAATTTGAAGGCGCAGAACTCGAGCGCGCGTCGCTAGCTTGACAAATTTCGCACCAAGCACGCATGTTTCAAATCAGAACCCCTTCCTTTGTACTATGCTTCTTCCGGTCTCCTTCTGTCCGCCCGGAATACCGCCTCAAACCCAATTTCCGTAAATAATCGTGTTGTGTCAAACACTGCCTGCGTCTCGGGCCCTCCGCCCGCTCTCTCGCCCCCCCTCACACATCTGGCCATTTGTCAGCCCATCCGGCAGAAATGCCATTCTTGGGCAGAAGAAACATATTTGAATGTGTCAAAATGATCCGCCGTCAGAGATACAACTCACTGTCATCCAGAATCACTTCGATTTGAGTTGACGTGTTGAGCGGCAGCGTCGCGTGGTCGGAAGCGGTCACGATGAGCGGAAACGTGGCACGTTCCTCGCGGTCCAAGTCGGCCGCCACCGAGATCTCGCCGGACGTGGAATCGATGCGGAAGAATTGGGTCGAGTCGATCGAGTAGATGACACGCGCGTTGTCGCCGCGGTCGTGGTCCTCTGCCTGAATTGGAAATGAGATTACTGTGGATGATACGGCGGGATTCTTACCTTCAAAGTGATTACAGGGTAACCGATAGGAGAATGTTCGGGAATCTTTACAGAAAACGGATGGTCGTTGAAGTACGGTGCCGAGTTGACGTCGTCGATGAAGACGTTCACGACGCACCGACCTTGAAGTCCTCCCTGATCTGTCGCCGATATTTCCACTCTGATTTTGTGATCCTGTCGATTCAGTTCGCCGGAAACGCTTAGAATAGCTCCCTGGTCGCCAATGTCTAGAATACTGAACACTTCCCGGTCGGCCTCTTCAATTCGATACGTGATCTTCTGGTCCTCGTCGTTATCGACAGCTTTCAGGGTGATAATCTGACTGCCACGTGGCATTTCTTCAGAAATCGTCACATTGTACTCTTTTCGCTCGAAAACTGGCGCGTTATCGTTCACATCCTTCAAAACCACGGCGATCGTCGTCGATGTGTTCAGCGGCGGCGTGCCCATATCTCGTGCGGTAACCTGAAGTGTGTAGGCATTAGAGAGGATGTGCGCACGGAGGGGATCACTGAAAAGTTAGTGTAGGATCACTCTGGGATTAGTCTAGTATTTCCGATGCTCGTCACCCTGTCCACACTCTAAAAGTTTACAAGTCCTGACAAACTGTCCTCTAGACTAGAGCGTGAGACTTTTAATCTTAACGTCCGGGATTCGAGTCAACTAGGTGGCTTGACTATTTTGTTTTTCTCACCTTCAACAAATACCGTGGGATTGTTTCTCGGTCCAGCAGTTTTGTTGTTTTGATAACACCACTGTCCGCGTCAATAATAAAGTCTTCGGAACCCTCCATCGAGTATCTGCAAGTTGTTCTTTGTGCACCAACACAACTGATCTATAATCTTACTTGATGATTCCATTAGGTCCCGAGTCCTCGTCAATGGCATAAACGCGTCCGACCTCCTCTCCAATCGCCACGTTCTCTTCGAGTGTTATCAATTTCTGTGCTGCGATAAGCGTGGGCGCGTGATCATTTATGTCAACCACGTGGATTGTGAGAGGGACCGTACTGGAAAGGGCTGGCTGCGCTCCGTCTTTCGCGCGGATCACCGCAGTCACCGGCGAGTTCTTCGCGTCGATTCTCTCCCTCAACGTGACTTCTCCAGTCGAATAATCGATGGTAAGACCCCCGATTCCGGAGGAAGAAGCCATCGAATAGTGCACTTTGCCGTTGGTGCCAAAGTCCTCGTCAGTCGCCTTGACAGTGGCGATCACCGCGGGAAGAGTGATGTTTTCCGAGATGGTCACGTTGTAAGAGTCCGAAGCGAAGACCGGCGCATTGTCGTTCACATCGAGTATCGTAATCTCCACAAGAGCCGTCGATTCCCTCTTCGGCGTTCCCTTATCACTCGCGATCACGTCCAGTCGGATCAGCGAGAGAGTTTCTCTGTCGAGCGGCGCGGCCGTCTGGATAACTCCGCTCTTCGCGTTGATCGCCAGCAGACTCTTTCCGTTTCCCTCTCCGAGCGAATACTCGACTTCTCCGTTCTCGCCGGCGTCCAAATCTCGCGCGAAAACCGAGAGAACCGTGGTGCCAATCTACAAGATTCAGATTTTAATTTCTCAAGTGTCTGCCGACTGCCAAGTTAGTCCAATATCACTCATGTACTACACATGCTCCCCCCGCCCGTCTCAACCCAACACTGTGCCTCCTTTAATTATATATTCGAAGCTCTCGCGCGCGCGCGTGTGCTGCGAGCGAAGGATGCCATTGGCGGCGGTCGCTTTACGATTCGAGAAACGACACGACTCATCTCATTATTGGGTGTGAGAAGGAAGGAAGGAAGGAAGAAGGCGATGAGCATGATGAAATTTGGGTTTGCGACCGGAAATGAGAAGGGGTTTTTGTGTGAGAAAGGCTGATGTTTGACTTTACGATTTCTAACCGGAAAGTTTCTACGAAAACTTCTCAAAAAGGTTACGCACATTGAGAGCATGAACTGAGTAGATTTCATTCAGAAAACTGGGTTCGCCGATGGAAAGTATTCAGCAATTCCCCTTAAAAGCAGTGTCGATTTACGGAAGCAGGCACGCAGTGCAGAAATGGAAAAGCCGCTTAGGGGTTATTCAGGCTGTGAAAAAAAATGATTTTTTTCAGTTTTTTTCGTTTTTTTACATCAAAAAAAAACCCAATTCAGCGGTGTAAAAAAACGAAAAAAACGGAAAACAAACATACGCTGAATAGCCCCATTAAGTTTCAGGCATTTCTCGGTGATTTTTGCTGTTCGAACGCTCAAAATTTTTGTATTTACGTGTTTTAGATTTCAATGCCGACACTGGTTTCGCCGGAAAGAAATTTGAAAATCACGGCATGCCGCGGCACCAAGGGTAATAAATACGAAACCTGCTAAAAAAGCCTGGAATGTTGTGTTATCACAGAAATTTTTAGCTTTTTACCACAAAAATATCGAAAAAGTGCGGTTATCGCGGAAGTTTTCTGAAAAGTTTCTTCTCTTCCACTTTTAGAAACTTCGTGAAGCACTAAAAGTTCGAACTTCTTGAACACCCCTCCTCAGCTTTTGCAATTCAATTCGACTCGAACACAGACAGTGAGTGGCTCATCGGACGACATCCCGACTTCCCCCGTTCGTGCCCGTGTCTCTCCTCGCCGCGCACCCTCTCGCCGTACCCATGCATACACGGTGTTGGTGTCCTTCTTCCTGACGGGGCAAACATCCATTTTCGGCCGGCTCTCTAATAATTTGCCCGCTCGAGCTCTGCCTCCTGATGACAGATGGCCGGTTGGGAGGGGGCGAAAGAGCGCAAACCCTTTACACTGAAACAATGTTGGCTCCAGGGCGCTTTGATTTATGAACTGAAAAGTGCACTGGGCACTCGCGCCCGAGTCACTCAAAAATTCGCGTAAGTACTACGCGCGGCGGGCGTGTCTCGGGGGAAATTAGAGGGACGGCGGCGCGGAGTGGAATGGAAATTTATACCAAAAAGCGAGTGGACAGAGTAATTCGGAGTGGCAGGGAATTAGTATGGAAATCGAAAATTCGTCAGCTTCGTCTTTCACTTCTTCTTAAGATCCTTTTCTTTTCACACCCCGAACCCGGCTAATCCAATACAGTGTCAATTCTCTCGCAGGACAGGTGAATCCTCTCGCGCATCTCTCTGCGTGTCCACCGCTTCGAACACTGTCTCATGCAGAAGCACTCGCCTAATTACAAGCTGTTGTTTGGATGGATGGATGGATGGACGGGGAGGGAGGGAGGGCTCCTCCCGTTCGAATTAGCACGAGAGAACGAGACGCAGGGTGTCAATGAATGAATGAATGAACGAATGAATAGACTCACCGGAGCATCTTCGCGAATTTCGCCAAAATACGAATCCTTTTCGAAGATCGGACTATTGTCCTGAACGTCCAGCACGTGTACGACGACTGTCGTGCTCGCCGAAATCGTCGGATCCACTCGTTCGTACGCAGTCACCTTGAGAATGTGTTTATCGAGAACTTCTCGGTCCATACTTTTAGCGAGTCGAATCTCTCCACTCATCTGCAAAAATCGCATTATTTTGCCGCTCCCTCTCTCAATCTAGGAGCACTAGCAGTACTAGAAAGCATTCATAGATAATTGCGTTTGTGTTGTGTTCTGTTCCTTCAGGCACTTTTCCTTTTTTTTGGGATTGAGTACGAAAGGGTACGAAAAAACTGACTCACCGTGTCCAGGGTGAACAAATTTTGGGAGCGAGAGTCTTGTGGAGCGACCATCGAGTAGTAGAGGGGTTGAGAGGAGGCATGCGATGCTTTGACCGACGCGATCACCGTCTCGATCGGGGTGTCTTCGGGCAGTTCACGAACATATCTGAACTTATTCGTTAAACCAGGAATCGCTGGGGGTCTCGCGGAGGTTTCTAGTCCCTGTTCGACTAGGCCATCGCCGTTCTACTAGGCCAAAACCGGTTTTTGGGATTTTTCTCAAAAACTGGAACGTACAATTCTTAATCACAACAGTCAAAAAAAATTGGTCCTGACCGGTTTACTTTCGGCTTTCGGTCGCCCACGAAGGCTCCGATGCAGCGTTCCAGGGACTTTAGATGCGTGCCGCCGGAGAAATACTTATTCATCTTATTCATTGTCACAGTGAATGCGTTTATTATGATCAAAACTAACAAAGAGCAACGAGAAACTCGCAAAAATGTGTATAGGTTTTCGAAAAATGGCTGCTCGTAGGAAATTTCGGATTTTAAAGTATCAACGACTCACTTTTCTTGCTGGAAATGCACAGCGTTCGCGTCCGGATTCCTCCGTCTCGCCCATCGTTTCACTCTTCTCGTCTTCTCGATTCTACCAAAGGCAGTCGAGTGACCAATTCTCATATGGGACCTGTACACCTTTCCGTCACAGGTGTAATCGTAGTGGATGTCTATGGGACCGTCGAAGAAACAAACTCGCTCCTTGGTCAGCAAAAGACCGTCGTCCAGGAGCGAGATTTGTGAGGAAAGGATGTGATCAGGACGTCCGGGAATGGGGCAGGAGAAGGTGTTCAACGAATCATCCGGCCAATGGATGATAGGCTGTCCGGGATGAAGGCAAGGGGGTCTGGAGGCGGGGAGCCAGATTATGGCGCCAGAGGATGGCACCGCGCATGGCTTACAGACAATGTCGATGGCGTTGGTCGAATAGTATCTATCTTCTAGCGGCGAGGGCTCGAAGAAACCCTCTACAGGTGATGATACAACTGCTAATAGAAAAAGTAAAAGGAGCAGCATTCGGAGGAGCGTGGGCGTCATCTCTTCATGGCCTCGAAGCGGTGTTGAATGCGAATGGCAAGGCGGTGGTCTCTCCGGAGGGGGCGGGGCTAAGCGAGACCCACTCTCTGCGTCTCTAAAGAACTGACCAGCTGCCAATGGGCATGAGGTTGGAAGAGAAGCGAAGAAAGCGAAAAGGGAGCAAGGTTGTATCAGCTAATTTGTGTCCGGGGGGGTAGAATGTTCGCGCATTGATAGCCAAGAGCCGGAAGGAAAGGGGGAGGGGAAACGGATAATAATCAGGTATTGAAGGCGGATTAGGTGTTGTAGGAGTGGGGGTGGATTGAATTAGAAATGAAATGGAGGAGGAGGAGAAGCACAAATGGGAAAACATTCTCAAAGGCTATATTGGAATGCTGGAAAGTTGCTGAAAGTTGCGGGAATCTCCAATTTTAAGTTGAACTGACTTGAAAACGTTTAAACTTTCAGTTAAGGAGCATCGAGCTCCAAGAGCATCTAGATTCGGAAGCAATGCAACTTATCCCAATTCTAGTGCAATTTCACTGTCACAAGTTATCACTCTCTTTTCTGACCACTCTCTTTCCGCTCTTCATCCATCTCTTCAGCCGTCTTCTGTTTCTCCCCATACCCATTTTTGCATGTCTCATTTCTCTTTCTGTCCATCCGATCCGTCGTCCAATTTCCGTCCAAAATTCAGCCACTCGATGATGCTCTTTCCCTCTCTCTCTCTTTCGGTTTCTCCGGGGAGTCAAGCGAGAAAGGGTCGTAGAAAAATGAGTTGTGGTGGTTCTTCGCAAAAATATGCAAATGTGGTGTGGTGTAGCTGACTAATGAGGAGCCATGAAAGAAGACGGAAGAAGCAGAAAAAGCAACGACATGTTTTGTGGGTGGCATCAAAAAAAGAAGAAGATGTTGTGTCCCGCCGTCCTTCCTCGGTGCAATTAGATATGCAACCACGGAGAACACCTGGCTGACGCCCGGTCGCCCACATAATACGTCCTTTTCGGCTTTGCTTAATTGAGCGAGAGAAACAATATGGGACAGGCGAGGAGGCACGAGGAAATCGGTTTACGACCAACCGGCGGGACACATGGCTCCATGACTGGCTCCGTCGGATTAGGCGAGTATTAGGACTGTCTCAATATGGCCAGACGCGTCAATTATTGCGCGCGCCGATTTCATTTCGTGGAAGGAAGCACCCAAGACTTGTGATAAGCGACAAATGTGATGAAACTAGAAAAATGAACTGAACATGGGAAGAGTTGCGTGAAAATACGGATTCGGAACGCCCGGGGACCATAGTTGGAAAAATCTGGGCCAGTGCGGCGAACATTTTTGAACATGATTTCAAAAAAACTGATCGGCCCCACCACTGAGTCACAGCGTGGACGTTTATCATTAAAGCGCACTTGCAGCGCACGCGCGGGAGTTCAAAAATAATAAATTTTCGGCGAAAATTGCGTTATTCCCCGTGTAAAAATTGAACGCCGTAATTTTTTCGTTTTTGTCACAGGCTATATTGTAGCTGGGAGTTAGACGGTCATTTTGAGCACACACAGAGCCAAATCGGTGCAGCCGTCGTGTTTCCTTGTGCAAAACTGTGTAGCGATGCGAAATAAATTTAAAAAGTTTGAGGTTATTTTTGAATTGTTTCGCAGATTTATTACGACAGTGACGCTTGAATACTGTTATATAATGGCTAGAGACGCTGTACGGATGAAAAAAATCGCAACTCAATGCAAATAGACCGATTTTAAAAACCATGAAAGAGTAGCGTGAATTTCTGGCTGAAATACATGAAAAGCAGAAGTTTGTCAATATTAGAAGTTGTAGAGATGAAAGAGAGCTTTATCAAACGTAAAAATGATTATGTGCGCGATTGTTACGTCTTTTTGCCGTCAGAAATCTGAAGTGTCGCTGAAAGTGAGCTTTGTAGGCAAACTTCCGGCCACAAGGATCGAATTTTAGAATTGTAGAAGTGAGATAACATCGCGATAAAAGAAAACTAAGAATATTTTCAATAAGCTTCATTCAGTAATCAAACAAATTTAGTGTTCCGTTAAAAATTTTTTGCTGGAGATTCCTGGTTTTCAGTTGATTAGTGCTTTTTTCTATTCGCGTGTCCGCCGCAATCCGATAAAATGATGGGGAAAACCTGAAATTATTTATCGGCGAAGAAAATAACTGTTCTTTTTTATTCTAACCGCTACTCCGTGCCGCTCGGCAATTTCCACCAGCTTCGCGCCTTTCCAACTGCAGAAATTGTCGCAACGAGTCCTGAAAATTTAAATTTGAGTTTTTTGCAACAAATATTTAACGAAAAATTGCGTTTCGACAAGTTTTAAAAGATAAAAACGAGAAAAAGATTTTAATTGCGAAACCAAATAATCCAATAGTGCGCCAAGTGAGTGCAAGATGCGCCAGCAGTCTCCTTTGGTCTCATGTCCACGCTGTGACTCAGTGCCCACCCCAAAAACAAAATTTCTTTAAAATGTTAAGATTTTGCCGAAAGAGACGGTAAAGTGTTGACAACACACAGCCGAAAATGCATATTTGCGCGGAGCGTGGTAGGTCAAAACTAAGGGTCTTGAGTCTACGCGACGCGACAGCCTTTTGGGAAGGCAGTCTGGGCAGGGAGAAAAAAAGGGGATCGTTCTCGCCAGAAATGAGTGTAGAGACCCTTACTGACAGCCGGATGTGCGGCTCTCGCGCGAACATTTTGACCGGGACGGGGACCGTTCAAGAATTTCGCACCTGTCGCAGAGATCAAAGGGTGTTAACGAGGGGTTTGAGTGACACATCGTCACGTAAACAGACCATCGAAACACGTGTTCGTAGTTTGGCGTCGCGTTGCAGTCTTTCCTCTCGACGGTCCGTCCATTCGGACGACCTGTTGGCCAGAACCATTCTCTTTTTTCTGCCTGCCCTCTAGACGCGCACCCGTATACTTTGTCGAGGAGTCCGTCAGTTTTGGCCTACCGCGGGCACCGCGAACGGAGTGTCGTTGAACTCGACCGCCACTCGTTGGCTAACATCGCTACTAACTCTCTTCTTTGTTACCAATTTTCCTATTTCTGCTGCTTTGAATTGAGGTTTCCCAACATGATGTTTTGCCGACACGTAGATACAGAAAAATCGTTCGCTCTCAATTCTTTCAACTCGTTCTGTAGCGCGCTACCGTACTTTAAAGGCGCATAACGTCGGCTCTCACTCCCTGCCCGGCGTTGAATTTATTCGCGCAAATCGAGCATAGAGATCGCCGCCTTTTTGCTGAAAGTTCAATTGTATTCAGTTCTTCGAAATGAGGCAAATTTTGGGTAAAAACGCAACATTCTCATTCATTTCATCCATCTCCTAGCTCGCAGTCGGCAGTGCTCATTATTTCGTAACAAGCAGGTGCTCTCGCTCCCTTCATGCACGTCCAATCCATCTAAGTCGTTACATAACGCCGCGCTTGCCATGTCACATAACCATTTCTCGAATGCGCGCGCGGCACGAACATATTGAAAACGCATCGATCATCAATGTGCCCCCGACGTCCGATTAATCAGCCGAACATCTTCGCACAGAAGAGAGACCTTATAAAATGATGAACTATTTTGACGTGCGCAAGCGCATTCGCATCTGAAGCGGACGGAGGGCACTTCGCCCCCATAAACAATTGGTGCGCGAGGCGAGCTTGGCCGTCAAATGGAATGTGACGATGCGTAATTAAAACTGAAATGGACGCGTGGAGGGCGAGGAGGACAATTGAAAGCATCCGGAAAGTGATGAAATCGAGATGAGGTATCGTTTATTTATTCGAAGGGGGAAAATTTACGTAGAAAGTGAATAGTACAACATGGACCTCTTTCGCCTTCACAAAAAATGTGACTGCAACAGGAGTGTTTCCCACATTTATCTTTCTTCCAGCTCTTGTAACAGTCCTTTAGGAAAATCTCGTAGACGAACTTCAAGAAAACAATGAAGACGGCAAAACCAACGTACCTTATCTATCTTTTTCATCGTCGGTTTTCCAGTTGATGATCGAAACAAGTAACGTAGTCGAATTCATGTTTGACATCTGAATCGCTCTCTGCTTCGTATAGGGTATGTGTATGAATCGATTTGAACAAATATGAATGTTATCTTTAGGAGGTCTTTAAAACAGAGTGATAGTCACGCCAGCCAGTTTGATGTATACAATTTTAAATTTTTATACAATTTGAATTGCACTCCACTTTCTTCATCGTCCGAATCATTTTTGAACGGCTTCGTTGAACAAGAGCATTTCCTTCTCAACTTTATTAGCAACTATACAAAACATAGAAACGGGAAAGGCTTTGCCTAAATTACACGATTAAGAAAATGAGATGAGTGAAAACGTGTGAGGCAGAGAAAGAGAGGGAGGGAATTTGAGTTTATTGAGACAAAGGACGTAGTTGCTCCATTTGTAAGCTGTCAAGTTGTTGTGGATTTAGCCACCATCGAACCCATTTCAAAATGATCGCACTAATCACTCCAAGTAGCCAAGGTAGTACTACAGTAAAAAAATAATAGACTGCCTTACGAAGAAAATAGCCTACAGTAAAAACACAAAAGACAATAATTGAGTCAATAATTATCAGCAGAAGTTTAAAGGGGGTGAACCAGTCGGAAATTCGCTCAAACCAAGACGGGGACTCGAGTTTAAGGAAGCGTGTGAGTTGGGCCACTGCATTGGTGCACTTTTTGTTATTCCCGACCAATGTAATGTTGATCAGACACTTGTTGAGTTTGTCGCAGCACTCGGATTCGGAGAACTCGTTCCCCCAAAGACAGCGTTGGCTCATGCTGGTGCAGGACGAAATTTCATCTGAAGTACGTTGAATGTGTTTAGGTTAAAAAGGTTTGGAAAATCTTACAATAGTGTTCGGAACAGTTTCCGTAGATTTGTGTAATGAGCACTTGCAGGATCTTCGCAGAGTTTAGCTCCATGAAAAGTACATGAGTGACTGAGTTGTCCATCACTCCATTTTGGTATCCGTTGAACGATTGAAACTCGTTCGAATAGGTTTTAAAATCAAAGTCTTAAAAAAGCAATTGTACAATTACTAGTTACACGCTATAACGTTTACCTGTACGTCGAGCAATCTCAACCGCCTTTCTTCTAATAGCTGGAAGTTTATGCTCCAGATACTTTCTGTACACGTCTGCGCCAGACGTTTCACTTCTAATTGACTTTACCACGTTCTGTATGTGGTTGATTTGATTCTAATTTACCAGCAGACCCACCTCGTTACACTCTTTGAAACCTCTATCGCAATTCTCCGGATCCCACTGATTTGCGTAACAATTTCGATGAATCGCACAGCAATGATTGTACTGTTCCGCCTGATTTGGACTTGAAATTAGTGCTGCTCTACGGGACAGGACCATCCCGAAGTCGCCGAGTTGCCAGTCACAATGCCATTGAATGAACGGAATGTTGAGTTCGGCATACGTTTCGGAATCCATGACTTTGAGACCTGTCTCTAGTTCCAGAGAGGTCTCCCGGCAGTCGGTTGATAGCCTCGTGTTAATACTGCGATACAGTATTAGGGCCTGGAAGTAAGGTAGATTCTAGTCAGTCAGAGGCGGGGTTGGGCTGGCTAAGTTGTCTGGCCAGATTTACACTCCGCAGACGGCCATTTCCTACTTACAGCTGCTCTTCTCTGAAAGTCATCGTCCGGGAGTTGGAGAAGCGTATCATCTCGTTGACTTTCGTAGTCTTCAACGCCTAAAACAATCCACACTTTCTCTCCATCTCCTCAAAATCTTTACTCTCACTTTCAAAACAGTTCTTGATAAGTTTGTCGGAAATACCCGAAAGATGTTTCGCAGTACTTCCAGCCAACTGTTCATCTAGTCGGCGTCCCGTCATTCCGCTGTACTTTTCGGATTCGATGCACACCTCTTCCACTGCTTTCTTGCACGCGCCGTTCTCCGCCGGTATTCGCTGAAAATAAGGGGGAAGTTCTCTGGGAACTCGATCGCAATCTAGTTAGAAAACTTTGCAATCTAATACGAACTCGTTTGGAATAGAATTTGCTTCAATTAGATTACAAAATCTTCTAATTAGATTGCAATGTTTTCTTATTAGATTGCAATTCAGGAAAAATATATTGTAATCTGAAACGATTTTACTGGAACTTCAATTAAATCTGATTAGATTGCGAAATAGAGCATTTTCTTATTAGATTGCAAACTCTTCTAATTAGATTGAAATCGAGTTTCCAGAGTTTAGAATGAGTTCAATCAAATTGATTACCCTCGCGCATTCACACGCCTCATAGCCACATTCCGATGAGTTTTTCCTCTCCATACTGCACCGGATTCTCTGTTTTTCACAGAAAACTAAATTGACCGCAAATTCGGGGCAAGAATAGTTGGCAACGGGTCGAGTGTCATAGACGTTCATCTTCGACACTTGAGCGAACATGAGTAGAAGTAGGAACGGGAACGAGAACATTCTGAAATTGTAATGGTTTAATTCAAGCGGGCTTGCGATAGAAGCAAGCGTGCTCCGTCGCACAAATCTTGTTTTTGCGTCACGGTGATTTTTTGCGACAGTGCAGTGAGAAGAGGAAGAAATTTCGGCCCCCGCCCCGTGAACTCTCGGCACGCTCTCCAAGCCTCTTTCCGTGCGCCAGAACTTCAGAACGCAAAGAATCACTGTGTGCGTGTTTCGAAACATCATCAATTTCTCATTTTTGACTCAATAATAAAACAATTTAATAGGCGACAACAAATGTTTTAAGCGCAACGTGAAGTTTAAAAATCTCCGAAAAGTGCACCAAAACGAAACTTCTGGAACTATTGTGTTTTTCATGTTAACGAATCATTTCTCATTGCTTTTGACGACAAAAAATCAGGTCAAAGTGTTCGATCCGTGCAGACTTGGTACGTAAACCGTACCTGCCACCAACTTTTTCTTGAAATTTGTAAAAACGCAAATACCGCAACACGAGAGTGCCGCGGAAGAAAACACAACAACTTTTTCTCGTTTTGCTCGCTATCAGTCTCCTCTTTGTCATTATCTATCTGAATTACTCATCGTCCGCTACGCGGTCCGAGCCAACGCTCGGAAGCGGTGGAGAGGTCTAGCTGGGTCAAAAAGCAAATCATAGATGGTATGTTATGTTATGGCGAATCATAATATCTTTGTTCTTCTTCTTCTCCTTCCTTTCCTTTCATTCTTTCACAATATCATGCTCCTACACGTACACCTTTTGCTCGTTGTATTCCAGAAAGTCTCCTCTATCATTGACGGTTTTCCTGCCAACTCATTCGGTTGGCTTCCATTACAACAATTCCACCTCTCACATATTTCATTCCAGACACCCTCTCCCAAGCCTCGGTCATCACTCGTTTCCCGAATGGCTTCACGAACGTGTGCGGTGGAGTTCTGATTGCTCCGAGCCTCGTGCTCACTGCCGCCCATTGCGTCTACGTCGACGAAGAGTTGTAGGTGTACTTTCGACTTTAGTCTTTAGTCTCCAGGAATTTCAGTGCGGTAACTGCCAAAGTAACCCTCGGAGATGTTCATTTGTACAAATCGGATGAGAAGGAACAAGAGTTCCGTACGCACGCAATGGCCATCAGCAAACGATTCCACGAAAACGGGGTCAGTTGGCGATATTGTTGAACTGAATTCTGTGTGCATAAACATTGTTTTCAGGGCTCAGAGGCGAATGATGACGTGGCAGTTGTGTTCCTTCCAGAGCCCGCACACGTTTGTCAGGCACCGCTTTCCACGCAGATTGCGAAACTTCCGAGCACTTGGTCCATCAGTTTTGTCAGTATTTTCATCGATTGTAGTTAGTTACTGTTGAAAAAGAAAAGGTTCGACACTCGAATCGGAGTTGGCAGCGAGCCAAGGACACGCCCCCCAAACAGCGTGCGGCAGTTGCAGTGAAAACTGTTTGGGGGCGTGTCCTTGGCTCGCTGCCAACTCGGATTCGAATGTCAAACCTTTTTTTTCAACAGTGTAGGGGGCGCAACAAAGGGGGCGTGGCCTGCCGAATTTTCTCCCCAGCAGCTTCGCGCGCGCATGTTTGAGGCCATGTACCGAGGTCCACAAATGAAGTACTGTACCCAAAATGATTTATTTCATGTAATCGACCATGCTGAATCCAATGAACAACTCAGTTTCCCGTGAAAACACACCGTTTTTCCAAAAAACGGCGAAAACGAAAATGGAACTCAGTCTGAGAGCTCGTGTGGCCCGAGTTTGTGCAACACGCGGCTAATTTTTTATTAGTTTACAGTTTAAGTGATGGAGAATCCGTTTTTGAAGTCAAAATCAGATTTCGTCTTCTCCGTTTTTTTTTACAGGCCCTCAAACTGGCACAAAAAGTTGTGAAAAAATTTCAGCGATGACCATACTTTTTTATTTTCGGAATCTATAGATAAACTCTCTGAGAACTCGAATATAAATTTTCAGAGCCCTAGACCCCCTGGGAGCACTTTTGTGTTCATTTAAGTGGAACCGGTTTCGCCGAAATTTCAGTTTTCGGGGGTTTTGGGCGTCACAGGTACCTTACACGCGGCTATTTTTTACAAAATCGGATTCAGCATCCAATTTCCGATCGATTCATGCTAAAATTTTCAATTTTCTAATTCTCCGTTTTTTTTTAAGTGACTGTAAGCAGTTACAGTTTTGGATTTGTGTGTGCAAAACCACTAATGTCACACCTGGAAGGGGGCCGCGCAAACCGACCTTCTCATTGCCAATGGTGATCGGCGCCAGGGGTGTGCGGAAAATATTTCGATTTTCCGAAATTTTCCGATTTTCCGAGAAATTTTCGGAAAATTTTCCGACGGAAAATTTTCCGAAAATGTTCGGCAAAATTTTCGGAAAATTAGTGTGGATTCAAGGTAAATTTGTCCGAAACCACCGTATGCTTTTTAAAGGCGCATCACAAAATTTTTGGAAGGGTCTAGCAGCGAGCGTCTTTTTTCCGACACACCCCTGATTCTCACTGACAATCGGAAAACACTGGACCCGGAGAGCTTCTCTCGGCTAATTTTTTTGCAAAAAAATATTCAATTGCTTGGCTTCCGCCCACTCAAGTGATTTCAAATCATAATAAGCATTTTTTTGTATTAGAACGTTGTTTAAACACTTTATTGAACCAATGAACAAGTGAGTTTTCCGATTTTTCCGATTTTTCCAAAATTTTCCGAAAAAAAAAATTCGGAAAACCCGATTTTCCGAAATTTTCCGAAAAAAAAAATTCGGAAAAACCGATTTTCCGAAATTTTCCGAAAAAAATTTTCCGCACACCCCTGATCGGCGCGCCCCCGCCCGTTTGGCGCAGTGGCAGAGTGCTCACTCGGCAGTCTGGAGGTGTCGGGTTCAAAACTTTTGAGCTCGAAATTTGTTTTGCTTTCTTTGGACATCATTTCTATTCATTAAATATGGTGTCTCTTTGATGTCATCCACCAAACAATTGAGAGCGTACTCAAATAGAATTCAACAAAAATTTTAAAGAAATTTTGAGTTTCGTGAAACCCGTTGCGGTCCCTAATTGTAGTTACTTGTTATGCTTTCACAATTTCAGAGAGAAACTCCAAAAGTTCCGAGCAAATTCCAACTCGAAAACTCTGTGTGCTACGTGGCCGGATGGGGAAAAAGCGAGAGCAAAAGTGAGCTAAACTATTTATAAGAAGGACGCGTGATGTTTTATAATTTTCAGATGGAACTTATAGCGATTCAATCCGCCAGATGATGGTCAAGTTGACGGTGAAAAAGATTGGAAAACGGACGTATCTGTTGGCGAAGGGCGTCGTCGCGAGCAGTCGGGCGTGTATGGGAGATTCTGGAAGCCCCGTGTACTGTTTCATCGACGGAACACGCGCTTTGGTTAGTCAACTCTTGACAGTGTTTAGAAATGGAGTCATAACTCGAGAATGAGCAATTTTGGGGTAACACGATCAATTGCAAAGTTGTTAAGAATAAGAATTCGCACAACTTTTCAGTTGATCACTTTTTGAAATAATGATTGGTTCGTGAGATACAGAAGATTTTAGGTCGGAACCATCGCTCACATCGGATCATTCTCCAAAAAGACGCCCACGAACCCTGAAGATCACCTCTCCTTCTGCCGCGATTTCGAGTACACTTTCATTTCGGACTGGCGAGAAAGTTCGCAAAGAGTGGTGGAGATTCTGGAAAAGTACGGAATGTTGGAGCAGTTGGAAGAGGGACAAAAACAATGTTTTGGCACTTCTGTTTGATATATTTTTCTTTGTTATTTTGCAAAAAAAGCAAGTTCATTTGAGATCAAAAACATTGAAAACTAAGGGAACAAGCGAGGTAGGAATCAAGAATATTGTCCATCGGCGAGCGGAAACTGGTCCTCCTTGACGGCCGAATATTGAATGAAAAAGTAGCGGACCAGGAAGAGAGAAACGATCGGAACGAGTCGGGCGACCGATTGAGCCTCGCAAAGTAATCGGAAGAGAATAGTCATGTCACAGTTAGGTAGCGGCGGAAACGAAAAAGAGAAGAGAGAAATGGCAATGGCATGGGGGCCGAAAGTGTAATCTCGTCTCTAGATGACCTCTGCCGACCCTCTTTGTTCACTCGATTACCTCAGCGCGTCTCCGGTAACCGGTTTTGGCATCTAAAAAGTGAGTGGAAGGGGAAAAAGTGTGAACAATCAGTTGGAAATCGAAGAAGAAGAAGAAGAAGCAGATGGGACACACTTTGAAGATGGTTTCAGTTTAGATTAAAGGGGAAAACTAATTCAATTCATGCAAAAACTTTGTCAGAAAGGTTAGAAGTGGAGATATCAAAAAGTGGCCAACTGATAAAATGTAGAAAATGTTTCAATAAGCAATTCATTAGTTGTCTTCTTTTTGATATCTCCACCAGCAAATGAGATACTTCATTTGGAATGAACGGCATTTATTTTCACTGCCGAGCACTATCGTTACAGAATTTCATCAAGTTTTCAGACAAAAAATGAACATTTCCCTGGTTTCAAGTCACTAATCCTTGCAATAACTGACCCAATTTGTTCTACGACAAGGCCAGGGCCACTGATATGAACAAACTTGGCCACATAGAAACACGAATAGGCAGAAAGCACAGAATTGACGGGATGGCGTGTGACTTGTGATAAATAGATGAATGATATTACGACTATTAGCCGATTCTGGAAGAGATGTAGACAAGACGGAAGTATAATAGTGAAAAGTCGTCGACCTTTTGTCTCATTCTCACTCACTTCTCATCACGACAAACAGACAGTGATCCCGCCCTACTTTTCTCATCTTCTTCTTCTTTTTTATCGATTCTCTTCTCCACAGTCTGGCCAACAACATCATGATTCCCTTCCAATTCTTTCTCTTTTCGGTTCTCTTCACCACTTCGCTCTGCGCCGATCCCAATCCCATATTCAACGCGATCATCGAGAGCTACAAAGATGCTCTGCCGCCCGGAGTCGTCGAGGCGTTCGACAACCTCAGCCCGGAGGAGACGGATATCATGAAGGCCGTGTTCGCCGATTACAACAAGTTCACCACGATCGCCGATTTGATTGCCGCGATGAAAAAGAAGTCCGAATCGTTGGGCTCCATGTTCGAGCGGCTCTACATCGAGGTCGACGCGGAGATCAGTGCGTTGAGCGACGAGCCGAGGAACTTCGTCACGGGAATGATGGGCATCGGAAGGGGCATCTACACTGCGCAGATCGTCGGAGTGCCGTTGGAGCCGAAGGAGGTGCTTCCCGTCTTCGCCAAGTAAGCTTTCTTTTGGAAAACTATCGATTTTTTACATCTTTCACACGGAAATGTGCTTTTTTCATTTAAATTAGCTAGTACACGCCGGAAAAAGTAATTTCTCTACTGAAAAGGACAAAAAATCGTGATTTTTCGATAAATTTCTCGAGAAATCGTAATTTTATGCTCTTCGAAAACTAGTGTTAAACAAGGCGCAGATGCGTAATTTCGGAGTGTCGTTGTTTCCGTTCTGAATTTTATTTCGAACGAAAAGCTGATTCATCGTGATTTCAGACAATTCACCGCCTTCAAATCGTTGTCGACGGCGGGCAAGGAAGAATTGAAAAAGGCCTTCCTCGGGCTGTACAATTTCGCGTCGAATGATAAAATCAAAGTGGAGATAGATAAGTTGTTGTGAAAAAAATGAATGTTTATTATTATGTCTCTAGTTATTATTATTCTTCTCAACAAGTTTGGCAATCAGATTCTGAACTTTTTCGTCTTGAAGGAACTTCGTCACTCCCGGGAAAGTGGTCTTCAGCTCATCCTGCGCGCCAGTTGAGAGCAATTTATAGGCGCTGACTTGTCTGTAAGTATACACTTATAATTAAAAATGTTCAAAATTCAATGCCTAATGCCGCGTCCAATGTCTCGAAAAAACCGTAAAAACCGCAGATTTTTCTGTCCAAAGTCGGCCGAAATTTGCGTGAAAAACGGGGGTGTGCACAGCTCAATGAGTGTAACCGTACCCCTAAAACTACGGTATTTTTTGAAAATTTGTTAATTTCTTGAGGTTATTTGAAAATATTCAAATTTCTTGCGCAAATTTTCAAAAAATACCGCAGTTTTAGGGGTACCGTTACACTCATTGAGCTGTGCGCACCCCCGTTTTTCACGCGAATTTCGGCCGACTTTGGACAGAAAAACTTGCGGTTTTTACGGTTTTTCCGAGACATTGGACGCGGCATAAATGCTCACTCCTGAATGAGAGTCTTGATGGCCGTTCCGTCGATCTTCTCCCCACTGACAGACTGCGCGTGAAGTGCTCTTCCTCCGGCGATCAGTGCGTCCACGAACTTCTTCGGCTCCTCGCTGAGCCCAGCGATCTTCTTCTGCAACTCGCCGTACAACTTCTCGGCCTTGGCGCCGAGCTCCGGCGACGCTTCCTTCAGCGCCGCGATCAACTCCTTCTCGTTCTTGTAGTTCTTGTAGTTCTTGAACACCGACTTCAGGGCCGCTTTGTCGGCATCTGTCAGGCTCTTGTACGCTTCGACGACTTCGGAAGGCAACAAGTCCTTGTACTCCTTCAGAATCTTCGAGAATAGCGATGGTTCTTCGGTCGGCGCGGCTGTGGAAAAGGACAGGAATGTGAGGAAGAGAATGCTGAAGGCGAGAAGACGGGACATTGTGGATTTGGTTTGATTTGATATTCTCCGCGCTTCCAGCTCTCTTTTATACCGCCACTTTGTGACTTTGTGGACAAACGGGGGCGGGCGGTCTGTTCTTCCACAAGAAGAAGATGATGTGGGTGTAGCCTCCATCATGCATGGACATTGTTCTTCTATTCCATTTTCAACGATCTTCAGATCACTCAAGGACGCCCCCCCCCCATATGGTTATTGTTTGTTTTCGCATAAAAGTGATGTCTAGCGGATCATTATTGCATGGATTGTTGATGATGGAGTGATGGGAATACAAGTTGAAAAGTTCATTGGATGATTTTAGAAGTGAAATCATGTTTCAACACTTTAGACGATGGGAAATGTAAACATTTGGAAGATCGTTATGTGAACGTTGGTGTCATCACAAAGTTCATCATATTTTCAGATTTTCAGATTTTCAGAGCTGCACCACTTTAGAAGCTTAATAAATATGGCTACGTTCGTAACTTTCATGATTACTCTTAAAAGTGGTTATGCAAGAAAATTAGACCCAAATTTTCCTTTGCTATCCGACAGTTCATTGTTTGAAAAGTGAATAAAGCTAGAACAACAATAATTATACTTGAAACTACCAAACAGCACACTTATCGTCCCATGCCTCCACCGAAGAATCTCTGGAACATCCCTCGTAGTCCCTGCGCACGTGCCTGGGCCAGAAACTGGAAAATCTCGGGGAACGTCTGCCTCAGCTCGTCTTGTGCGTACGGAGAAAGCGATCTGTACTGCTGGACGACTCCCATTCCAATCTGCCGCAGCTCCGATCGATCCAACTGTGCTCCGCTGATTTTCTGCGCGTAGACATCGCGCGCCGTCGCCACTAGATTCTCTACAAACATCTTCGACTCGTCGCTGAGACCGGAGACTTTGCGCTGCAATTGGTGCATTTTCTGCTCGGCACGAGCTCCCAACGACGGAGATCTCTGTTTGAGAGCGGCGATGAACTCGTGCTCGTTCCGGTAGTTTCGGTAGTTTTGGAAGACCTCCTTCAAAGCGGCTTGCTCTTGCGGCGTCAAATTCTGATAGGCTTGCGTCAATTCGGTGGGGAGCATTTTTTTGAATTCTTGGAAAAAATCTCCGGAAGCAACGTCTCCTTGTGGGAATGGAAATGCGGAAGAAATTAAGAAGAGAGCAGAACAGCAGAGTGAAATAGTAGAAATGTGCATTTTTTTGTTTTTCGATAGCCGACTCTCATCTCGCCCAGATTTATACTCAAATTTTGTGACTTCAAGGCGTTTCGTCAGAGACATTCGACGAAAATATCGGCGTTTTTGTGATTTAGGCTGCCGACATTAGTGATGATCAAATTTGGAAGATTTTGATCGGCATTCATCTGATTTTTGATGCCAATTAAAAAACAATAGCAGTTTTTCAGATTTTCAGCTCTTCGAGGACACATTTATTTAAAGTTTTTGCAAACATTTTTATTACGCCACGCTGGCTCAAACTGGCTCAAAAATCGTTCGAAACAGCGGCAGATGGTGGCTGACCTACAATAATTTGTTAAAATCGTGACAGGTCCACACGAGTGCAGCAAGGGATGCGCCTTTGATTTGACTACGATAATTTTGGCGGAAGAGTTCGAGTTTTCCGCCAAGCGTTGCTCATTCTAAAGATTTTTCCAGATTAAGGTTGAGATTGCAGTAAACACAAAAGCAAATTCAACTTTTTCTTGGAAAAAGTGTACGAAATCGCAACTTTTTCGTTTTTTTTCCTCAACAAATTAAGCAATTCGTCAACTGTTCTCCTCTATTTGTCGTCCCGTCCGCAACGCATTCGTTCGCCCGTTCACCGCCAATTTGCAACAGTCCAATTGGTGCGCAAGAGACGCAGACGTACGGACGGTCCTCCAAACGCGCGTCGTTTGAATTTCTTCGAGCTTCTTTCCGTCGGTCGACCTTCAGCAAACGGCTAATAAATCACTCAATTCGACAGTTTTTCTTCCATCTTGTATACACATTTTCCATTTTTCTCTCTTCTTCTCTATACTAATCTGAAATGTTTCCTTTTTCGCTCCGACAAATTACAAAAACTGTTGTTCGGTTAGTTTTCGTGCAGAAGAAACCCAAAATGGAGAGGGGATATCAAGACCCACCGCCTTTCCGATCCGATATCGGAACTTTATCACCCATTTGTCATCAGCTTGAAGGCCCTTTTTGCATGTGAATCTCTCACTAACTGACCGTCGTAAACCGGCAGCACTTTCTTTGGGGTGGTCTCTGTTCGACCATTTGAAATGTTGTGTTCCACTAGACTGATCCACCGTGTGAACGCTCGCAATTTCTTCCGCTTAGTTAGGACGAAATTGTTCCGATCCTAACGTAATTTTGGTGTGGGAAGAAACAAGTTGCCATTGAAAAAAGGCAGAAACAACACAATTTTGTTTTGGGAGACGTTTGACTTTCGGCGCCCCAAAAATGCTCGATTTATTAGCCGCGATATTTTCGGTTTCCCACCGCTGAATACAGGCAATAAAAGACCCGCTCGCTCTCCCGCTTTTCCTCTTTCCTTCTCTTCTTTCGCTTCGTTTTGGCGCGCGCAAAACTAAAAAAGTTACCGTCGCAGTTTGCATATTCCACGCGGCGCCCTGTCGAAAAAATTCCACGAGAGTTCTCTTTCTCTCTCATTTTCTTTCTCTATTCACTTCGAACCCCATTCTCCACAGCTTTTCTAGGATGAAAGGTAAACTGGCAGCTTCCTGAAAAAGCGGACGATGTCCGCTTTCGATGAGTAATCGTTCGTCTCCGTAAAGTAAAGAAAAAGCGGCGCAAAAACGTGTAATTTTTGTTGAGGACTTTTTCTCTCCGAAGGAGTGCGTGTCAAGAAGTCCAGTCAATGTTATTCCTTTGGTTATCAAAATAATGTCATAACTGGTTCGGGGTCTTGTTTTCTGCCCGCCAAATATGCATAATCCTGACGCCAACATACAAGATTCCCGAAAAATCTTTGAAGTATGCCGCCTCTCCTTTCTTCTGATTCACGAAGCGCTTTCTTTCGAAACTCTTCCCCTAATTGTCGGCCTATTAATGTTGCAATTCTGTTTGCTCTCCTCCTCTTAAACCGTTCAATGAGGTCACTCAAAAACAGTGATAAGGTCGTTTTGTTTCGTCCGTTTTCTCCCACCCACCCGGAGACATTTTCTTTTTCCAGCTGTTCCACGTCGGCCGATCGGCATGGCGCGGAAACGACCAAACTCGAAGAAGAACCAGAAGAAGGGCGATTCGGGAGCCGCCAAAAATGCGGCGAGTCCGTCGACTTCAGATGTGAGCCGGCCGACGAGCCGAATGAGCAACGCGTCGGATGTGGAGAACGCTGGCGCGCGGACGACGAAGCAGCCGGTGCAGCGCACGAAAGGCGTGTTCGGAAGCAAGTCTTCGCAGATGAACGTTTGCGGAATCGGAAACGCAAAGAAAGAACTTATTTCACAACAGGTCATTCTTTCGTTCATCTCGGGTTATCAGGAATGCACACGAGTTTTTGGCGCAAAATTAAAAGAACAAACACCGTTGATGTCATGTTTCACACGCATTCCGCATATTTTCAGGCAAAGGAGCGATGCGTCGACGTGCCGCCAACTTCTTCAATTTCATCGAGTCGCCTCGACGACACCGACGTTCACATTCGACAAATGATCGACGAATTCAGGTGCGTGCACATTTCTCAACTTATTTTCGCTCATGAATGAGTTGGTTTCAGAGACGTGACGGGTGGCGATGAGGTGCGACTCAAAGCCATCGCCGACATTAATTTTATGATTGGCAGCACGTGCTCGTTCCTTCAGAGGTTCTCGATTCGCAACAAACTCTACTGTACGTACTGGTTCTTTTCGTTCTGTGGAAACTTGATTTTCAGCGTACGGACTGTTGGCGGCACTCGCTGCGCACGCGGATCGTTCTCCGGAGAGCAAAGCGATCGACGCGGAAGTGGAAGCGTATCTGCATTCGGAGCGGAAAGACGCCAGACTGATGGGATTGGCGACCGACGAACGAAATCCGATTGAAGCGCTCGCGAAAGTGCTGAATAAGACGAGCGACGAGGAGTGGAAGGAAGTGGTGAGTGAGAAAAGGGAAAACGTTTTCTGGAGGTATGGGGAATTGAACCCCAGCCCTCTCCCATGCTAAGGGAGCGCTCTACCACTGAGCTATACCCCCGCAAGGATCCTTCGGAAGAGAGGCGAATGATATGAAGGGGAAAAAGGGCGAGAGGAGCGATGTGGCGCGGAGGCACAGACTGAAGAAAGGGCAACGCGCTGTTGCAGGGCGAAATGCGACCGAATGACGATTTGTTCCTTGTTTTCAGGTCAATCTGCTCGATTCCCTGTATCAATCCGCCGACATTGTGGAATTCATCGCCAGATCAGCTGTGCCTGTACTCGACAAGACGGAAACGAGAGATTCGGAAGTGCAGACGGAAGCAGTGCTTCAGAAAAGACAACAGAGAGATGCGAGCAGACGAGGACCGTCTTTGAACCTGTCGACGACGATCCACGACATTCCGGAAGAGTCGGCAGTGTTCTGCGACTACTCCACGTCGGACGACGAAGGAAAGACGAGCTCGTCGGATCCGAGCACTCCGGACGCCATCGACGGATACTTGAAGAAGTGGGCGACCGCTGTGGACTTGCCGTCGGAGAGCAAATTAGACGGCAATGAGAAATTCTTCCGTTCCAACGGTTCCACTTCCACGTTCTCCTCGGACTTCGAGGATGAGGCATCGGTTCTTCACAACAACGACACTTTGCCAGTTATCACGGAAGTGCTTGACTCGTCGGAACAATCGGATTGCAGCGAGTTGGAGACTGGATTGGAACCGTCTCTCCCGTTGAACTCGCCACAAAAGACTGCACTTCCGCTCATGGAGACGTCTTCTTCGTCCACCTCGTCCAGTGTCGATTTGGGATTCAGTGAGATCATGACGATAAGTTTCGAAGTCGTTGAGCCAGTGGAAGTGAAACCGTCCGGAATCGCGCCCATCAACAGAAACGTTCCACCGCCTCCTCCACCGCCTCCGCTGCCACCTTCGATGGTGTCTTCAAGCATACCGCCGATCAACGGAAGTGCTCCACCGCCTCCGCCTATGGGGATCCCGAATCTTCCGCCAATAAGCGCTACTGCACCTCCTCCTCCGCCGCCACCGCCTTCGATGAATGGTCCCGGACTGGCGCCAATGTCGTCGTCAGCTCCTCCACCCCCGCCACCGCCACCGCCGCCAATGATGTCGAAAGGAGGAGGACCTCCGCCGCCACCACCGCTTCCGCTCGACTTGTTGAGAGGAGCAGCAGCCGGACTGAAAGCAGTTCCGGGAGGACCTCCCCCTCCGCCACCGCCGCCTCCATCGTTTCTGTTCAACGGAAGTGTGCCGAGTCCGGGCACTTTGACGTCGCCGGTTCTGTCTCCAGGAGTCGTCAAATCGGCTGTCGTCTATCGGAAACAGAAGAAAACGGTGCTGGTTCGATGGCCAAAACTGAATCCGATGCAAATACAGCACGCCGGAACCGTTTTCAATGATTCGCTCTGCGTCGATTTCAACGAAGAAGAGCGTTCGAAGGTGGGAATTGACGAAGTTGAGATGTCGCGAAAGTGAGTTTTCAGATGGAGGAGATATTCGAAGAGGCGCCGATGAAGCAGTTGAATCGGGGTATCGGAGGATCGGTTGGCCGCGCGTTCGGAAAGTCATTGAGAGCGACGCCGTCCGCTTCGGACATCAGTACCAACTCGGCCAGATCCCCATCGAATCCGCAAGTTCTCGTGTCTCCGAAAGCGCTCACTATTGAGATTCTCATCAAAAAGTGAGTTGATCATTGAAAAGAGCCGTCTCAATTGTTCATTCACATTCAGGTTGAAGCCACTCGACTTCACAGAGCTGATTGAGAAATTGGAGACGAACGATACGGAAGGCATCAAGGTTGATCTTATGACGACGTTGAACAACAACTTTCCCGACAAGGACGAGCTGGATCCGTTCCTCAAAGTCGAGTACCGTACTCTGACGCACGCGAGCGACCAGTTCTGCTGGCACATTGCTCGGAACAAACACCTCCGTCTCCGCATCGAACTGTTCATCACAAAGGAGAATGTGACTGCTGAGGTACAGTTCAACCCACTTGGCTGTTTTCAATAAAGTTGTAATTTGTTCAGATTGGAAAGTTCCAGTCGCAAATCGAACTGCTCCTGTCGGGATGTCAAATGGCGCGCGGAGAAGTGGTGCAGATGCTGCTGCGAAAGTGTCTGCAGTACGGAAACTACCTGAATCAAGGATCAATGTTCGCCGAGGCGGCTGGATTCCAACTGAGCTACCTGCTCACTCTTCTCCAACTCAAAGGGAAGGGGCAGCACACGACAATTCGGCTCGTCGATCTGGTCGTCGGATTCTGCGATGTCGCGACGGCACAAGTCGAAGAGATTCAGCAGAAGATGGTCGCCGTGCGGTCACTGAACCTGAAGGATCTAGAAGAAGCCGTCTCACAAGTGCAACGATTGATCGGTAAATTGGACGGACAGATGCGAGCATCGAACGTCGAAACACTCATCGAAGCGTATCAACCGTTCATGAAAGAGACGGACGAGAAGCTTCAGAACGTGCAGAACGGACTGGCCGATTTGAAAGCACGCGAGACGGAGCTGCGAGTGTATCTCTGCGCCGGAGACATGTCACTTCAGGCGATTTTTGAGACGTTGGATCAGGGAATGAAAGTGCTCGCCGACGCCATCAAGGTATAATTCGAATGTGATTTTGCTCCTACTTTCATTTGACATTTTCAGCAAGCTGCCGCCAAGTCGCGTGTACAAAGGGCCTCGTCTATGGTCACACTTCCCACTTCGTCCGTATCGCAGCGATCACTGAGAGAAGGAGAGATGCTGGCGAGAAAGTCGATGGCTCTGAAGACGAGAGATCTTCCCGTCGAAGAGCTCAAAAAATTCTTCTCGCACTCGTCTTTCGGACTTCAACGTGAGAGAAAGATGGTCGCCTCGCCGCTCACCACTTCGGTATTCACTTTTCGAATACTTCCCTTTTCATATTTTCTGTTTTAGAACACATCGCCAACTCGAACAATTCGACGTCGCAGTGGAGAGAAGATGAGAGCGGCGGAGAGCCGGAAAGAGCGGACGGAAGATTCGGGAGAACGAGCTCCGGCCACGCCTACCACCCCAGTCGTGACGCCGTCGACAGCGGCTCTCCGACGGGAAGTACTCGATCTCTCGTCGCTCGTCGGAAGTCCCGTCTGAAGGCACACACGAGATAGTTAGTTGTGATTAAAATCGCATTTCAATCATTTTTTCCCGTCATATTCATTTTGTATGCATTGTTTTTAGATGCCCGTATTCTCCTGTCATGCGTATTTCTTGCTGCTTCCAAGCTATTTCCCCTGTATTTTCTTTTTATGTTTCCTCGTATTCTGTTTCAGAAACTGTTGCCCTTTTTCTTCCACGCCATTTATGCGTACTGGTCCCTCATAAGTACCCCCTGCCTGTATTTAACTGGTTCATGTTTCTCTCTCATTCATTCTTTTTTCCCGTCTTGGCACACGTCCAAGCCCTTTTTACCATACATTTTTCGTGTTCTGTCAGATAAAAACTCATTCGTTTATTAGAGCGTATGTATATATAGAAGGGGGCCCGTTACGGAACTAGCGTTATTAAATGTATGTTTTTTGAAAACAAAAGCAGTAAGAGATTTTTGGTATAATTTGAGGAAAGATGGTGGGCAAATTATCAGTTTACTAGTCGGTGAGTACTCAGGCCCAGCTGCCGCCGCCTCCGCGGTCCTTGACTTCTCGCGATGGATACAGTCCGCCGCCGCCCTGTCCCTGATTGTCGTCGTACACGGGACCGGCGTCCTGTCCCTGATTTCCGCCCTGGAATCCGTAGCCACGGTTTCCGCCGCCCATCTCCATTCCTGCAAATTGACACGTTTTTTTTCAGAGCAAAACGCTTCGGACTGACCTCCGCCGCCACCGCCGCCACGTCCACGATTCGAGAGGAATCGGCTGATCATCGATCCGGCTGCGGCGCCACCGCCCGAAGAAAGAATGTTCGAGAACATGCTACGTCCTCCACCTCCACCTTGAGGAGCAGGCTGTGGATAACCACCGCCACCTTGAGCTGGAAAAAAAATGCGGAATTGGAGAGGATCCTGATAGGGACTCACGATCAGTGGGAAGTCTCTGCGGATTGTTGGCCGCACCGCCGCCGCCCTTTCCGCGACAGCAGCAGCAGTAGATGCAGCAGCAACAACAGAGGAGCGGAATGACGATTCCGACAAGGAAAAGCCAGAACCAGCCGGGAATCGAGGGCATTTTGAAGCCGCCGCCGCCCGATTTGCCGCCACCGCCACCGCCAAAGTTCGGCTGTCCACCACCACCAGCTCCCGGTCCTTGATTCCCGCCGCGACTCGGTTGGCGCGGAGATCCCTGCTTCGAGAGCGCCTTTTCCCACGTGGCTTGCATAATATTCGTCAGCGCCTGCTGATAGTTCTTCTGCTGAAAGTGAGCCTTCTGCTGCATGAAGATTTGAGTGAATTCGTCGGCGTAGACCGGCACTTTGTCGTCGCGTGCCACCCAGAACTTCATGTCGTCGGTGGAGACCACGATGACGACGGCCTTCTTGCACTGCGGATCGAGCGTCCACTTGCGGAGCATGTCGTTCGCCATTGCTTCCACGGCCTCCGTCGTGCCACCCTTCACGTGCCTCGCCACCGCCATCGCCGCAGTCACTCCTTTCTTGTCACAGAACGTTTTGCCGTAATCCTGACGTGTTCGCGACTCCAGCTGCTTCAGGTCATGATCGAGACGGTATCGGGACTGCTCGCTGAGCACTTCGTCTGGGTCACAGATGTTTGCCGTCGTTCGCATTTTGCATCTGAAAAATAAAAATGAAAATTGAACAGTTTAACCGCAAAACCCATGACTTACTGTTGAAACTGTCCGGCGGTGGGATTCGGAAAGTTGTAGGCGTCCCATTCTTCGGCGAAAGTGAGCAATGGAAAAATGAGGAGGAAGAGTTGAAGCCCCCTCATTTCGGGCTGAAAATGAGTGAATTGAGAGGTGTTTGGGTTGAAATTAAGTGAAAGAAACGGGTAACAAGATGGATTCAATTTCCGGGTTTATTCCGTCGGAAAAAAACAAGTTTTTTTTCTATATTTTGTTGGAAAAAACAGGTTTTTTCGAAGAATTCGCATTCGCAAAACACAAGGTGAAAAAAGGGTGACCAAGCGCCAGCCTAATAAAGAACACAACAGCCTACTGAAAGGTAATTCGAAGTTTTGCTCGTCAAAAAATTCGCAAAAAATCTGTAAAATCTGAACGATTTTGTGCTCATGAGCCAATGTTCGCATTATTAGATCAGCCAAAAACTGGAAAAATGTTCGTAAATTCCGTTCGTTGCGAGACCCGGCATGCGCCTTTGAATAAATTAAACACCCGCAAAAAACAGTGTTTTCGGAGGGAGCTGAAATAATTTAAAGACGCATGCTGGGAACAGGATTTACCAGCTGAAATACGTAATTTTCCGGATCAAAATCGCGTAGATTTTACAGATTTATTTTTGACTTTTAGTGTAACTACTGTACGTGCCATTCCACTCACAATCTTCAGTACTTGTGTTTGATCAGAGGAAAGCGCAAGAAACACGGTAAACAGACAACACTTTCATTCTTCTTCACCGCATTTTAGTGGCAGTGGCATGGGGAAGTGGGGTCAGTGGCGGGCGAAAGAGATTCGCTGAGAGGAGACCAAAAAACCGAAACGAAAACGACGACAGATTGTATAGCAACGGAAGCGCAGACGGGTCATGCTTTGAGTGCATCGAACAACAACACGCGCATTTCATTTTCGAGGGTCCGCTTTCCTCTTCTTCGTTTTTTTTTGGGACCAGTCTCGTGACTCGACCCACCCACCCACTTGCAGTAATTGTGGGTTTCGGGACGGAAGACAAAAGTAACAGGATCGATTGGAGAAGAATGGGAAAACAACAAACAAGTTGAGAGAAACTGAGACAGATGAGAAGCGGGAAGGCCGAGAGTGGGGGGAGAATTGAGACGGAGGATGGCAGAGAAGTGCCCAACGACAACAGTTTACGAATGGCGGGCGACTGGGTGGAAGAGCGACAACACGAGAGCACCGAGACGTTTCGCAACTGAAAAATTTATTAGATTTTGCGCTAAATGTTATTCCAAAATTACTTATTCTTGAGTTCTAGCCTTGTTTTAAAGCAGCTTCACTGAAACGACGAGAAAGAAGAATTTCATTGATTCATTCATTCGTTTAGTCATATTCACAAAGAGTACTTCCGAAACTCATCACTTGTCAGAACGAGATTCGGCTGGTATTAACAGAGCTAACACGTACAACTGTTCGGTTCCGGTTGCGAACTCGTGGCGCCAGTCGTATTAGTTCCAGTAGTCCTTCACGATAGGCAGGGTTTCTCCAGAGGAAAACGAGCATTGTGGGAATGGGAACACTTATGAATATACAGAAGCTTATGGCTACAGGAACTGAAATACGAAAATATGTAGTACGTACGCCAAAACGTCATTTATTCTGAGAATTAGTGTATTTTCATGTCGAACAATAACTTATCATCGCCTTTGACCACAAAAATCAGAGAAAACCTGCTCAATTCATGAAAACGCCATTTGGCCGAGGCCACGCCCATATTGTCAGCTCTGGAGACCGTATACTGGTCAAACTCACAATCAGTAAATGTAAAGATACATCGCGTAAAACTGTTATAGGAGACATCAAAAAGTGGTTTTACGTTACATGGAACTCGATGAGCATTCACTGAACGCATACGAACTCACCGGAAACATCGACATCAGACTTGACAAAAGCTTTGATAAGAAAAGTGGCAATAAATGGGAGAAAGAAGGCAAGCACTATTTTACTCTGAACTCAATCATATTTTTCATCGTACTACCTATTTTTACCCACGTGCAAAATGAGCTCATCGACAAACTGCTTATGCGCAGCTGCCACTTTCTTACTCATCGACATCAGCTGTAGTTCCAGCTCGTAGACGACCAAAATGTACGCGATTGCAATTGTCAAGATGATGAGTCCGGAAGAAACGGCAACGCAAATTGCGAAACACAAATACAGTTTGTTCGACTTGACCATCCACAGGAACGGGTAGCGCAGAAGGTACGCGTGTTCGGGATAGCTTTTGAGAACAAATGCGATATTGTCAGAGTGCGAAGAGTTGGAAATGAGAAAGAGGAGCGAATGAGGAACGGCGTTGAGGAGTAGAAAAGCGAGCACGAGCGCATTTTGTAGAAGGGCCGGCAGCTTGAAGCGGGAATCGGGTCTGGCGACGGAGCAGAGTTTGACGGTGAGCAGAATGGTCAGAAGTTCGGCTTGGAACGAGAGCAGAAAGTAGAATATGAACTGAAAGAGACCAAAAAAGTTCAAGCCAGAATCACTGTGAAACCCAACTCACCAAGCACGGAGCCACGTACTCATCGGACACCTCTTTCAACCAACCGATACAATAGATGCCAGGAAGCGGAAGTAGGAAGACTGCGTTGAGTACGGTACCGACGTACACTTGACAGAGGTACAAAACGAGATGATACAATAGTTGGCTGTACTTGAAGTTCCACGTGTCTTGAGACGGCGATGCGATGATTACGTAGACGCCGACAATGTTGACGCTTGTCGACAAGATCGATATGATGTTCGTGAGCACCAGTTGCAGCTCATCTCCGCCAAGATTTCGGGTCGAGTTTGTCGAAGACATGAAAGTAAAGAGTGAAAGTGATTGTCGTGAGAACAGGTGAAACACCGACTTTTATGCTGCTCAAGCATAGACGAGCACGCGCGTTTTGGCTGTCCAAATGTCAATTTCTGTTTCACCTGGAACCAATATCTTTTCTGCCTCGCTTCTCTTTTCTTTTCACCTTCCCACTGATCGCTCTAAAAATGTGAACATGAACTCGACTCGAAACCTCGCCGCAGACGACCTTCAACTACTAGTCACCAACGCGATTTCCATAGTGTCCACCGCGATCAACTTCATCGGTTTCTACGTGATCATTATGCAAAAGTCGCGAGAATCGAAAAGTTTCACTTATGTTCAACTGCTCTATCAAGTGGTATTGTATGGCTCGCAGTTCTACGCCGGCACCGTGCTCAACATCGTTTTCTTGTTCCCGGTTCCCGGCATTTATTGCATCGGGTGGTTGAGGAATTTGAGTGGTTACTCCGCTTTGTATAGTCTTGTAAGTCTTTCGAAAGTTAGAAGGAAGATATAATATCTGCTCTTAAAGATTCTCTTCGATGTATTATTCTCGTTGCAAGGTCTTTTGTTAATTGTGATTTTGGTCATCAAAGTCGGAGCGATATCGCGACCCAATTCTGCGTTAAAGATGACCCCTCGCGGTCAGAACTTATTCCTGGCCATCGTGATCAGCTACCCTATTATCACTCAAGTAATCACCTTTATCTTCTCCTACTCGGATCGTTCGGAAGTCGCCCTTTTCCTGGGTGAGAAGCATCCGCTCATGATCTTCTTGCTCCGTTATCCGTTCCTTTGGATGCTCACGACCACTCAACACTTTGTCGCGTTCTTGTCCAATATTTTTGTTTGCATCGGGGTCGTCTTTATGATTTTTGTCATTTTCTATGCCATTTTGCTCGTCGAGCTGGATCTTCAAGTGAACAGTATGAGCAGAGCGTCCAACAAGTATCACCGAAGAGTTATTCATGAAATTGTTGTGCACGTAAGATCAAAGTTCAATATCTCAGTTGTCGATTGAGATATTGAAAAGTTGTCAACTAACAAATTGCTCATTAAAATGGTGTGTACATTTTTCCAGTTGACACCTTTTTGATATCTCTAAAGACAGCTGAGATACATACGTTCTTCTCACAGACACTGATAAGTTTGACGTTCTTCGTTCTGGTCCCTCTCGGAATATTCGTCAAATTCTTTCTCAACGATTCTGTGGATGTTTCCAGTTGGTTTCCCATCTTTCCAGAAATTTCCATTCCGAACGCTTCATTCAGTCCCCACCGCCATTTCCTTTTCGTTTTTCGTCAGCGCGCCGATTCCGTCGATGTTGGTGTTCATACTCAAAAATCCGATTTATCGATGCTACCTACTCAAAATGATTACGGACAGAGCCGCGAGGACTGATCAACGCAGCTCACAGGCTACTCACTCACGCCAGAAATGATGAGGCTGGAGCCTGAAAAGTGTACTAGATTGACCAAAAAGATCGTCGGTGAGTGTTCTTTCGAGCAATAAAGTTGCTGTCGTCATTTATCATGCCTCCTGTGCGAACACCGCTCAATGCACATAAGTGCTTACAGAACCACAGGCCATAACTTTTTCGCAATGGAGAATCAAACTATCATTCTGATGTCATTTTGTGTTAGGGGTTTCCCATAATGCTTCCTTCACCTCCTTCAACCTTATCACTCTACAAACACACTGTCACTTTTTTCAGTCTCGTCAAAATGTCGTCTTTCCGTGAAGCCCTCCTCCTCCTCCTTCTCGTCTCCATCTCAACTGCTCAAAGACTGATTACGTTGTCGTCGTTCAAAGGGAACAGTGTGAAGAGTAAGATAGATTTCGCCCCGCCGTACGGTCTTTTTGTCTCCGCGCACTCGGACGACAAGATGATTCTGCAGCAGATTTACGTGCAAACCGAGGATAATATGCATGCTTCGTAGGTTCAATTCGATCACTTTTAGTGGACTGTCGCCACGTCTTTTACAATCTGGACTCTTTGAAGAACAGAAAATTGGAGCAGAACTCCGATCTGCTGTCCTCTTGGCCAGTAAACTCCACCGCGTACATTACGACGAGTCTGAGTGATGACGTCATGAGCCAACTCACCGGATTCATTTACATCACAACTGCAAAACAACTTCAAGGTTCCTCGAATGATGCTTCAGAATTCAAAACTTCTTTTTTTTTTTAGATGACCGATTCTTTGTGTACGATGTGGCCAAATCGAGCAAAGTGCAAGTGGACCGGACAATAATCGGAAACAGCACTCTCATGTTTCTGAACACCAACCTCCAAACCAATCCGGTTCAAACGTCGGTCATCAGCGGATGGCTACAGACGGAGGATTCGGTCGTCAAGATGTACAAAGGGTTCCCGACTGATGACCAGGAGACGCCGAGCTCGCAAATCTTTTCCAACCCGGTTCAGACTGTTGGCAACGAAATGCTGTGAGTCGATTTGATGTGCCTCGAAAGAGAACTTTGTAGTTGTTCATTTTACTAGATAATCCTCCGACGCCTAGATAATCTGATGAACAACTTACAGGTTCATTCGGAAAGTGGAAAAGTTCGCAGTCAGCCTGGGAGCCTTCTACTTCAAAACCCAAATGGATCTCCTATTCTACATCGAGCCGAAGACGTTCAGTATAAACGGACTGGCCACCACCGCCTACACGTCCACCGGATTCTACATGAAGCCGAGGATTGAGAAGGAGCACACGGTGACAGTGATGTGTATCCGGGACACTCGATACAACGGGACCACGGGGGCGAACGTCATTGCGAACCTGACGATGGCCGACTCGAAGGTCACAGTTCAGGAGAACGACGGCCGCCAGAGCTCGTCCATTTCTGTGACTTCGGCCAATCAGATTCTCGGATGGAACACGGATCGGATCGGTTCGAACGTGACGATCTCGTCGGATGACGCGAGCACCGGCGGCGAGTACTTTGTGCAGTATTACATCAAGCAGGACCAGCAGATCTCCTCGACTACGGCTTCTGGAGCGGCGACGACGACGGTTTCTGTGGAGACGACCACTAGATCCGGCTCATCGCTTCGATTTTTCATTGCTTTTGTCATCGCTAATTTGATTTAATATTGTCTATGTTACAAGAAACATCTGGTTAGTTCATTTCAGAATAAAGTTATCGGAGTTTATATTTTCCAGTCCTTATCACCTCGTGTTGCGTTTTTACCGTTTTCAGTCATTTTCAAGCATCAAAAAGCGACACTTGACAAGTCCTTTGATAATGAACAGATTATCGCACTCTTTTTTCAAGATAGCCCAGGGCTGGGCAATTGGCCGGCCCTTGACCTGGACTTTTGAACCACATGCAATATTCCGATCGGACCCAAACTTTGCAGGCTTCTTGGACATGAGTTGAAGCATATTGGGACCAAGTTTCAGCCCGATCGGATTATTTGGTCCCGAGAAATGTGGATCATTGGCCGAAATTGGCCGGAAGCCCGGGCTTTTTGGAAAAATCGGCCAATGATCCACATATCTCGGGACCCGACGATCCGATCGGGCTGAAACTTGGACCCAATGGCCCTCAATCCAAGTCCAACAATCCTGCAAAGTTTGGGTCCGATCGGAATATTGCAAGTAGTTCAAAAGTCCAGGTCAAGGGGCGGCCAATTCCTGAGATAGCCGACAAAACGGCTCGCTACACGCTCTTCTCCGAGTGACGGCATGCCATAATTGTTTCTTAACGTTCTGAGTAACCCGTCTTATCATTAGCGCCTTACAGCTTATCTCCACAAAACCCCACCCAACCCGCCCACTTTCCTATTTGCATTTCGCACCCTATATAAAGGCGTCAAGTTGGAGGGAAAACGCGTCTTCAAAATGCTCCGCGCCGTGCTCTTATTCTCCATTCTTCTGGCTGTATGCGCCGCCCAGAAACTGATCGATCTCAAGAGTTTCCGTGGGCGAAGTGTGCAGAATGCGATTGACACGCAGGCTCAGTACGCGATCTACGTGTCGGCCACGTCGGACAGCCAACAACTCCTCGACAACATCTTCGTCGTCACCGACGATGGAGCAAGTATTTCGTAAGTGAGCGATGGCCGAAGACTATTGTAGACTAACGTTTAGGCTGTACAAGTTGAAAAACAAAAAGTTATTGCAAACCTCTGGACAGCTCCAACCGTACGTCGTGACAAAGTCCGCGTACGTGACCACAAGTCTGACTGATGACCAGATGAACACGCTGAGCGGATTTATGTTTGTTAGCAGCGCCAAGCAGCTCACCAACAGTTAGTACTCGATGCTTTTAATAATTTCCAGTGCAAGTATTGTCACTTTGCAGATATGTTCTACGTGATTGATGTGGATAAGAGCCAGACTGTCAATCTTCAAGGCCTCGGAGCGGTCGACTCAACCGTTCTCTTCATGAACTCGAATATCCGAACGGCTCCGTATCACTCTTCAGTGATCAGTGCTTGGAAACAGGACGGATCCGCGCTCGCCTCGATCTATCGGGGAGTCCCATCGGATACGGATGAGCCCAAGGACTCGCAGATCTTCTCGAACCCGATGCACACGCAGACCTTCGATAGATTCTTCCCGACCGTAGAGAAGTTCTCTCTGAGTCTTGGCGCTTTCTACCTCAAGACCTATAAGGGAGTGTCTTTCGTCATTGAGCCCGGATACTGTAGGTCACCAAAAATAGGTTCATAAACGATCCTCTTAATTACAGTCGACGTTGACAGAGGAACCACGTCAAGTTACACCACAACTGGATTCTTCATGAAGGCTGTGAACCAACTCGATCGAACAGTCACAATCAAAACAATGAGGGACACCCGGTACAATGGAAGCACTGGGGCAAATGTAACCAACTTTTCACTTCTTTTCGTTCCAATCGCATAATATTCAGACAATCGGAGATCTTCCATCCGGAGGAAAAGTGTCCGTTGGCGCCTACGACGGAGCAACCGGTTACTCCATTTCTTTCCCGCCATCCGACTCGATCTTCTTCTGGCAGACACCGAACATTGGACTAACGTTCCAAGGATCCTCGACAAACGGCCAGGCCGGAGAGTACTTTGTGCAGTACTTTGTAGTTCGTGAGTGAAATCACCGAAACGTCGAAGTTTGAAATTCGGAGGTCTTCAGAAGGAACGCTGTACTCGGCAACTACTCTCGGCCCCGTACCGACTCTTCCCGGACGCCAAACGACCGCCCATTCCGGACACGTTGAGACAACTACGAGGTCAGCGACAGCACTTCAAATCTTCATTTCTCTCGCTATTGTCGGTGCTCGATACTTTTGATCTTTCATCTCCAATGGGTTCTTCTATTTCAATGAATACTATTTCCAACTTATCAATCGTGTCTCATTTTTTATCAGTCTGATTGTGAAACTCAAAAACCTAGAACCATATCATTTTTATTGCAGCATGTAAAAATGTGCATTAAAACTTGTCCGAATTTGTCCACACGGCCGGTTGATCGGTTAAAATGAAGAGGGAGATTAGATTTGTCTGGAAAATCGCAAATCTTCTAGAGTACAGATCTTTTTCACGTCTTCTAGTAGTGTGTCGTCTCGGCGAGAAATTTTTGAAAAATCTCGGTGTCTCGCCCTTGTGTCGTCTCGGTTTTTTCTCGTCTCGGTCTCGTCTCGTTCCATTATCATCTCGGTCTCGCCCTTTCTCGGTTCTGTCTCGGTCTCGTCCAGTCTCGTCTCGCCGTGTCTCGGTCGTCTCGCCGTCTCGCCCTTTCTCGTCTCGCCGTGTCTCGGTTCTGTCTCGGTCTCGCCCTTTCTCGTCTCGCCCTTTCTCGGTCGTCTCGCCGTCTCGCCCTTTCTCGTCTCGCCGTGTCTCGGTCGTCTCGCCGTCTCGCCCTTTCTCGTCTCGCCCTTTCTCGGTCGTCTCGCTGTCTCGCCCTTTCTCGTCTCGCCCTTTCTCGGTCGTCTCGCTGTCTCGCCCTTTCTCGTCTCGCCCTTTCTCGGTCGTCTCGCTGTCTCGCCCTTTCTCGTCTCGCCCTTTCTCGGTCGTCTCGCTGTCTCGCCCTTTCTCGTCTCGCCCTTTCTCGGTCGTCTCGCCGTCTCGCCCTTTCTCGTCTCGCCCTTTCTCGCACCTCCAAAATGTCTCGTTCTTTTCTCGGTGTCTCGGTGTCTCGTCCGATTAGAAAGTTCATTTCATTTTTGAAAGAGTACTTCCATTTCTTCGCAGAAAATACACGTATCCAATGCATATTTTCTGATACATTTTCATTAAAAAAGTACACCGCGTACAGTGTCCACTGTCTTATTCAGCCACACAGGTGGGCTGAACGAACGAACCGGGTTTTGGAATAGAGGCAAAGAACAAAATCTTTTTCCAGCATTGCAATGCGCAAGCGAGTTGTCTTTTTTTCTTTTTTCAATTGAAAACCGGAATTCTTTCGTTTTTCTCTTAATAAACACTCAAATTTTGTTCTTTGTGAACCGTAGGGGCGATTGTCCAAGTTAAAAGCATCGATTTAAGCGCGAAACGGAGCAGATTCGTTCAGAATTGACCAAATTGAGGGATTTCGTCGAACGTTTCGAAATTGATGACGAAGCAGTTAACATTTTATAACGAACAAGAGGGAACATTGAAAGGGAATATTTCATAGGGCTTTCATAGGGAAGAACTGAATAGGATTGAAATGGTACACGATAAAATTAGGGAAATTCTAGAGAGTCGTCGCTGTTCACATCTGGAAGAGGAGTTGGCACACTTTTCTTCGTTTTCGGAGGCATCGGTTTTTTTGACTTCGGCAACTTCTTATGTACATTTGTACGGAGGCGCAGTTTCGATGTCCCCGGCTGGCTCGAATTTTCCAATCTCAACTCTAGCCTGGTCGAACAGACGATTTCAGGCGCCTGTTCGACCAGCCTATTCAACACGACTGAATATCCAGGTGACTAAGATACGCGGTGTACTTTTTTAATGAAAATGTATCAGAAAATATGTCAAAAATTGTAACAAATGACAGAAATTGAGGTCGAATGCGTTGGATACGTGTATTCGAAACGAAACGAACGTTTCGAAACGTTCGACGAAATCCCTCAATTTGGTCAATTCTGAACGAATCTGCTCCGTTTCGCGCTTAAATCGATGCTTTTAACTTGGACAATCGCCCCTACGGTTCACAAAGAACAAAATTTGAGTGTTTATTAAGAGAAAAACGAAAGAATTCCGGTTTTCAATTGAAAAAAGAAAAAAAGACAACTCGCTTGCGCATTGCAATGCTGGAAAAAGATTTTGTTCTTTGCCTCTATTCCAAAACCCGGTTCGTTCGTTCAGCCCACCTGTGTGGCTGAATAAGACAGTGGACACTGTACGCGGTGTACTTTTTTAATGAAAATGTATCAGAAAATATGCATTGGATACGTGTATTTTCTGCGAAGAAATGGAAGTACTCTTTCAAAAATGAAATGAACTTTCTAATCGGACGAGACACCGAGACACCGAGAAAAGAACGAGACATTTTGGAGGTGCGAGAAAGGGCGAGACGAGAAAGGGCGAGACGGCGAGACGACCGAGAAAGGGCGAGACGAGAAAGGGCGAGACAGCGAGACGACCGAGAAAGGGCGAGACGAGAAAGGGCGAGACAGCGAGACGACCGAGAAAGGGCGAGACGAGAAAGGGCGAGACGGCGAGACGACCGAGACACGGCGAGACGAGAAAGGGCGAGACCGAGACAGAACCGAGACACGGCGAGACGAGAAAGGGCGAGACGGCGAGACGACCGAGACACGGCGAGACGAGACTGGACGAGACCGAGACAGAACCGAGAAAGGGCGAGACCGAGATGATAATGGAACGAGACGAGACCGAGACGAGAAAAAACCGAGACGACACAAGGGCGAGACACCGAGATTTCTCGCATTTTTGCGAGACGAGTCTCGACGAGACGACACACTATCTTCTACTATACTTTGGAGTACTGTAGCTGGCCCTCCAGCACCTGATATTCAAACCGATGTATCTCAGTTATTTGCAAAGATATCAAAAAGCTGTCAACTAATAAAATGTTTATAATATGTTAATAAGCAATTTCTTAGTTGACAACTTTTTCATATCTCTACACGGAATTGAGATATATCGATTCGAATGTACTCTGACGTTACTGTATCTTACCACAATCATGCATCCGCCTAGACAAAGGTACACCCAAATCCACTGATGTCTATTGGACTCATCCGTCACAAAAACGGAAACGAGAGCCGGAGCCGAGAAAAGAGCAAAGCATTTGACCCACTGAATGGCGGTGAGCACGACGTGCGAGAATTGACTGAAATTGTGCAGTTTTTGTGATAGAAAGTGAGGTAAAAACCGAGAATGAAGCACTGCCGACTTGTAGAAACCGCCCGAATTGACGCCAATACAACACATTGTCGTGATGAAAAAGGAGAGGGAGAGCATGTTGTGCTCCGCTGGAATGAAGCTGGAAATTGAGAGCTTAGGAGGCAATGTCACTGGCTGGCACAGACCCAATACACGCGAAAATGAGACCCGAAAGACCGACGGACACCGAGTTGAATAGCATTATTTTGATGCGTTCGTTCACAAATTTGAATTTGTCACTGATCACAGCGAAGACGAAGCGGACTGGAAGGGATACTCCGAGAATTAGAGACGCGTAGAAGCCGGTCTCTGTGATTCCGAACTTGAGCACTTCATTTAGGTAAATGGGGACGTAGGTGGAGAACATGATGGCTGCGGTCAGGTCGAAGAAGGCGTTCGCCCAAACACAGATGATCACAGGGCTCGTGAGCACTTTCTGAAAGCCGATAGACTTTTAGACGCCCAGAAGACGTACCACATAAGGAACCGGGGTGTTCTTATCCAAATGCGCCTCTGACTTGTTCTTCTGAATCTTGAGCAACTCTCGCGACGAAACTCTTCTCGTCTCCTGCGGATCTTCCGCATAAACAATCGCCCACACGATGAAGAGAAGGAGTCCGAAGACTGCGTGCAAGTAGTACGACCATTTCCAACCGAGGGAGCTCTCGCAGATGAGCCCCGTCGCCGAGTTGGTCACCGTCGACGCGATTCCGTTGAAGGAGGTGAGGATGGCGACGAATGTGGCAGTCTCGGAGAGCGGAGCCCAACGGACCGTCATCAAGCCGATCGCGGCAAAGTCTGCCGAGTAGGCGAAGCCCTGGAAGTAGTATTTAAAATAGACGGATTTCGAGCCGAATGCCAACCGTGATATTGTTCATTCAAGACGATGTATCTCATCTGCCTGAAGAGATATCAAAAAATTGTCAACTAATAACTTGCTCATTGATACATTGCGCACATTTTGTCAGTTGACAATTTCTTGATATCTTTAATAGCAGCTGAGATATATCATCTTGAATTGAAGTGCCCTTCTTTTACAGTATGTATGTTCTTTTGTGTTCTAATCTAAACACCTAAAGAGATCTATGTACAACTTCATTTTGTCATGCATTAAACGCTATAATACCTGTAAAAACCTGAGGGAAAGTAAGAACAGGAAGTGAACTTTTGCGGCAAAAGGCACAAACGCAGTGGTCACACAAGAAATCACGCCGGCAATCAGGAACGGATACCTGAAAACCCATCTTCGAATCTTGCTTTCCTCAACCAAATCATCACCTAGCTCCAAATTTGATATACAGCATGTTCAGTGGAATCGTACCCAGAATGGTGCCAGCCGCCACCGCCCACATTATCCATTTCTTCTCACTGCTAGAATAGTCATAGATACTGTGAAGTGTCTGAGAACACACATTTTGTGTCTTTCATAGTGCCACGTGTCTTTACACCATTGCCATCCATGTACGATCCGTCTGTCATGTCATGTTTCATGCAAATGAACGTGAAATTGATGATCAAATAGTTGGAACACATTGAGGCGAGACACACGAATCCGATGAGAAGCACGAGAATTCTGTGAAATGAGGTGTGTAGGTAGTGGGCCCAAAACTTTTGGATACCTATAATAGTCACCCCAAAACATTTTTGTAGGCCGGACCGTCTGAAGATCACTCAAACTACATCGAAAGAATGATAAACAAGAAATCGTGTGTGAACGATTTGAACCCACCGTGTGACTGACACGTTGGAAGCGAGGAAAAGAGAGAAGAAGAAGAAGAAGAAGAAAAAGAAGAAGAAAAGAGTTTGTAGCTATCTGTGACAAACCGAAAAATGTATTGTACGGTTGTTCGCAAAGGACACTACGTGTAATCCCCCTTCCACCCGATTACACACTCATGTGCCCCCGTAAAAAGTTTCAATTCATAATACAATTTCCATAATCATCATTGTCACACTTTATGGTGTCAACACTTTTCATTGTCAGTCTCGGTCCATTCGGCCGGCTCATCGGTGAAAATGAAGAAGGAGACGAAACTCGTCTGAACAGATATTGTCGACTTCTCGAGAGAGTGCCCGCGACTTACAATGATCATAAGGCCGCCTAGAATCAAATAAACCCACAGCCATTGGTGGCGATTCGACTCGTCGGACACAAAAATTGCGACTAAGGCTGGAGCTGAGAAGAGTGCCAGACACTTCATCCATTGGATGGCGGCGATGACGACGTGCGCGAATTGTCTGTAGAAATTTTGATAATGTTTGGCTGGGATACAATGATCGGTACCTGGCATGAAGTACTCCGCACTTGTAGAAGCCGCCCGAGTTGACGCCGATGCAGAGCATTGTCATGATGAAAAACGAGAGCGAGATCAATTTGTGCTCCGCTGGAATGAACCCGATGCACGCGAAGAAGAAGCCGGAGCCGCCGACAGCGATCGCATTGAATATCATGATTTTCACCTTCTCACTTATCATTCTGAAAACTTGTTTGTCTTTGACTAGGGTCGGATCTTCCGTTCATTTGGATTCACTTGAACTTATCGCTGAACACAGCGGCCACAAATCTGATTGGAATGTAAATGAAGAGCACGAGCGCCACGTAGAAGCCGGTCTCGGTGATTCCGAACTTGAGAACTTCGTGGAAATAGATGGGCATGTAGGTGGAGAAGATGATGACTGCGGACATTTCGAAGAACGCATTCAGCCAAACACATAGTATTACGGGACTTGTGAGCAGTTTCCGATACGGGACCGGGGTGTTCTTGTCCAAATGCGCCTCCGATTTGTTCCTCTGGATCTTTCCGAGTTCTCGAGAAGACACTCTCGAGGTATCCTGCGGGTCATCCACATAAATGACGGTCCAGAGAACGAACAAAACGAAACCGACGAGCGAGTGAAGGTAAAACGCCCATTTCCATCCGAGCGAACTTTCGCAAATGACGCCCGTCGCCGAGTTGGTCACCGTCGAAGAAATGCCCGTGAACGCGGTGAGCACGGCGACGAATGTGGCAGTCTCGGAGAGCGGAGCCCATCGGACTGTCATCAGGCCGATGGCAGCAAAGTCGGCCGAGTAGGCGAGGCCCTGAACTCTGCGTGGTCCGTAGGCTCAGTTGAAGAGGACCTACTTGTAAAAAGCGTAAAACTATCAGGAAGAAAAAGCTGATTCTAGCCGCAAACGGCACAAACGCTGTGGAAATGCAGGAAACAAGGCCGGCCACGAGAAACGGATATCTAAAGGAATGGAGTGAGTTTGGGCAAGTTTATGGACTGAACTTCACCTCGCTCCATACTTGACGTACAAAAGATTAATGGGAATGGTTCCGAGGATGGTGCCGGCCGCCACCGCCCACATTATCCATTTCTTCTCACTGCTAGAATAGTCATAAATGCTTTGAAGTGACTGAAACGGTTTTTGGCGATGCACTTCACAGGCGTCTTTTCTCGTACCCCATTACTGTTCACATAAGTCTCTGACAGATCATTTTTCATGCAGATGAACGTGAAATTGATGACTGTGTAGTTGGAACAGACCGACGCCAAGCACACGAATCCGATCGCTAGCACTAGAATTCTGGAAAACTTTGCGTCAAACGTGTGTCCGTTGTTGTTCTGCGGTTTGTCAGTTGCCAATCTCGCACTTTCAATGCTTCATGTGTGATGTCAAACTTGAAAAAAGACCGGAAAACTACCGTGGCCGAGGAGTTTTCTAGGCTCGACCAACTGTTGAGACACAGACACAAACCTGTAGTAATTCCCCCATAGAGACATCCCCCTTTCCGCCGGTTTTTTGCGGTCTGAAAGCAAAAACCGATCACGACGGCCATTTCATGAAAACAAAAAGAAGAAGAAGGAGAAGAAGACGTTTTTGACAGATGAGAGAGAGAGAGAGAGAGAGAGAGAGAGAGAGAGAGAGAGGTTGATAAGAGAATGAACGAAGTGATCCCTTCTCGCGCGGAAGCCATGTGATCGCACGGAGAACGGACGAGGAGAGACGATGTCGTCAAATGTTGATTTACAAAGTGAGAACAAAAGTCAAAACCGTTTTATTTTTATACAGTTGTTTTAGCGGGGCGAAACGGACACGTGGGGGCAGCAAATGTATGCAAAGCTACAATGAGAAGGTTAGAGTATTTACATAGTTCTAGTCGCTATTCAAATTCGGATGGGTCTCACGCCTTGCACGCCGGCTTCTCCTCGCTGTTCGTCCACTCGGCTGGCTGATCGGTGAAGATGAAGTATGAGATCATGTTGACGATAATCATGAGTCCTCCGAACACGAGATACACTCCGATCCATTGCGTTCGTTCGGATTCCGTCGTAACGAAGATGGCGACCATGGCGGGCGCGGAGAACAGAGCCAAGCACTTGGTCCATTGGATGGCGGCAATGACGACGTGCGAGTACTGGCGAGCGTGGAGGACGCCGCACTTGTAGAAGCCGCCCGAGTTGACGCCCACGCAGCACATTGTGATCGTGAACATGGCCACCGAGAGGTACTTTTGCTCGGCGGGAATGAAGCCGATGATGGAGAAGAAGGTGCCGGTGCCTCCGACGGCCACCGTGTTGAACACCATAATCTTGGCCTTCTCGCCGATGCACTTGATCTTGTCGCTCATGAGAGCAGCCACCCAGCGCACCGGAAGCCACACGAAGAGCACGAAGGCGACCCAGAAACCGGTCTCCGTCACTCCCATTTTGAGAACTTCGTGGAAATAGATGGGCATGTAGGTGGAGCACACGATGACGGCGGACATCTCGAAGAAGGCGTTGAGCCAGACACACCAGATCACTGGACTTGTTAGGAGTTTCTGGAAAACAAAGCAAATAGGTGAATAGAGGGAAAGTGGGGGGACATACTCTGTACGGAACATCAGTGCTCTTGTCAAGATGAGCCGCAGACTTGGACTTTTCGATCTTGGTAAGTTCCTTGGCAGAGACTCTGCGGGTGTCCTGTGGATGGTCGATGTAGATGATGTACCAGAGGGCGAAGAGGGCGAGTCCGACGGCCGCGTGCAGGTAATACGACCACTTCCATCCAAACGAACTCTCGCAAATGAGCCCCGTCACAGAGTTGGTCGCGGTCGAGGAGATGCCGGTGAACGAGGTGAGCACGGCGATGAACGTGGCGGTCTCGGTGAGCGGCGCCCAGCGGACGGTGATGAGTCCGATGGCGGCGAAGTCGGCCGAGTAGGCGAGGCCCTGCGTGAATCGGAGCAGAATCAGAAGCCAGTAGTTGGCCTTGGCGGCCCAAGGGATCAGTGCGGTCGAGACGATGGAGGTGAGGCCGGCGAGCAGGAACGGGAATCGGGCGCCGAATTTGACGTAGAACACGTTGATCGGAATCGTTCCGATCATGGTCCCCAGCGCCACCGCCCACAGGATCCACTTTTTCTCACTGGCGTTGTAGTCATAGATGCTGCGAAGAGTCTGAAACGATTCCAATGTTAACTAGACAGTCCCCATGTCGCAAATCCCACTCCATTGCTGTCCGGCACCGCGTCTGTCATGTCGTTTTTCATGCAAATGAAGGTGAAGTTGATGATGATGTAGTTGGAACAGATGGACGTCAGGCACAAAAACCCGACGATCACTACTATCATTCTGCAAAAGTTTGTTCGATGAAAAGGTTCGGATGGGTACGCTACCTGTAATAGTTTCCCCATAGCTTGCCCATGTTTGGTGGTGGTGGTGGAGGAGGAGAAGGAGGTAGAGTCTGAATGTGACACTCAAAAACCGTTTGTCGTCGCGAGGCTTTTGTACTAGTCGCCGAGACGCGTTGATCTGGATGATCGGCACGCCTGCTGCGCGCGAGGGTTCAATATTTTTGATCATATCTTTCTTATCAACACAACGATCGGTCGAAGAAGTGGAGGGGGAGGGGGGAAACGCAAGACGGTTTTGTTCGGAGAACGAAGCAGAGAATGAGTGGAACTCATCGACTAAATACGACATCGGTCGTGTCCGATGATCTCTGTGAAAAAGTGAAAAGACACACGTGCCCGATTTGAATATATCACAAAGTCCGAAAGATGCGAAATGCGAAAACGGTGAACATTGGAACCTTTTTAATGTGCGAGAACAACGATCAACTTGCTGATTCAATTATTTGTCTGTGTCAACATTCCGACGATCATGAATCAAAATCAGACTTGTTTTTATTTCATTTCGAACATTTTCCCGCCACTTTTCCGTGCCCTTAACACCTTAATGTCATCATTCCCGATATCGGCCGTTCATTACTATTTCCGAGGAGCATGGAAACTGAAAAAGCGACTTCGTAAGTTTCGTTTCGCCGCGTTGAGCAAAGCAAAGCGTACGTCTTGCAGTGAGTCGAAAAAGAAGAAGATACAGGGCGGCGTGAAAAAAGCGAAAAAGAGCAGAGAGTCGGCAAATAATTCGACGACGACGACGACGGCGAAGAAGAGCGGCGGCGGCGGCGAATCGAAGCGTCGCAGCAAGGAGCCGATCGATGATTCCAAGGTATTCGACCGACTATTTGTATGCTGCCATCAGCTATTGTACAATTATTTTTCTTGTCATCACAATTCATCGCTTCTCAGTCTTGGAATGTTATTCATAAGCCACAATAGCCTTGTCGCGGCTCGGCCTAGGGTTTCATTTCAATTTATGCAAAGCAGTAACTTTTTCTAATTGAGCAGTTTGAGGTGATCCGTCTGCTCGGCAATCGAAGCGTTTACCACGTGGCCGTCGAGGATTTCGTGCGTGTTTCGCAGCTGATCAAGCAGCAGCAGACGGCCGGAAACCTGATGGCCACCGTCGATTTGCACCGGTTCAGCGACCACTCCATCATGGCGTTCGTGAATTTTGTGCAGAACCGAGAGATCAAATCCTCGTTGACCTACTACTCGATCACCGAATTGGTCACCCTCGCGCACACGTTTCAGATGAAGGATTTGAAGGCGTGTCTGGAGGATGTGAGCCGAGAAACGCCATTGAGCCTCTCATTTCCCCCGTTTCAGAGCATAATCGAAGCGGCCAAGTTGTCGGAAGCGGATCTTCTGCAGACGATGATCATTTGCGACGTGGCGCATCTGAATCCCGAGACCGAGAAGACGCTCCAAACGCTGGCGACGGAGCAGATCGATAAGCTGGTCGGCCTGCCGGACTTCCACAAAGTGCCCTTCTACCAGCTCTATCAAATTCTGTCGAGCTGCGAACTGGCGGTCCTCCACGAGATGTTTGTCGCCGATGTGGTTCTGCTGTGGCTGATCGGACAAGATCACGTGAACGCCTTCGCCCCATCGCTCCTGTCTTGCGTAAGTCCAACCCCCCCAACCCATGCATGTTTTGCCGAGTGTCAGAGGGCTCAAAGTCCGCCGATCTTTTGTGATCTGTGTGGTTCTTTGGAGGTTCTCTTTTCTTCAAATTGAATTGCTTTGCTTTGCAGATCCGCACCAAATTTCTGAGTCCGGTCGATCGAACCCTGATCATTGAGCGCATTAACCAGTTGAAACTGCCCAGTAAACTCGTCCGTCTCGCTCGAAATGTTCTCGAATCGACGAGCAACCAGCGGATCTGTCTCGACTCGGTCCATCTCAAAAAGAACTGGCCGAGATGCGGAGCGAATGTGAACACGACGCACTTCAATCCGCACTCTTCGCTTCCGCTCAGCCGTCCCACGTTCAATATGAAGATGAAAAAGAAAAAGGAGGCGAAAGTCCGACCCACTTTCGATGTGAGCTTGGCCGTTGATTTTAGGAATCACACCTTTTGGCAATTTTCAAAATTTCAGCCTGCCACTGCTCCGAAAGTGATCGACCTGATAAACACGGATCCGAAGGTGGTCAAATCGGAGAGATCGGTGAAAAAGAAGGAAGAGAAGAAGGACATGAAGAACAAGAAGAAGCAGGGAAACAACAACAAGTCGGGGACGACGACTAAAAAGACGAAGAGATCGTGTGCGTGTGTGGAGTACGTGAAGAGCAAGATGAGTCGGAAGGCGAAGAAGAAGGGACCGCCCATGTTCCAGGATCCGAACTCGATAAAGGTTCGCCCGCCGGGAGAGAGCAGCAAGTGAGGGCATCATATACAAACTGAAAAAATACATGTTTAATTTTCAGGCAAACGGAGAGCAGCACGAAGGCATCGAAGAGTTCGGTCACTTCGAAATTGTCCTCGTCGACGATGAACTCGAGCAGATCGGAAAGTCACACTGAGAAGCGGCGGGCTCAAAAGAGAGGGAAGATTCAGAAGGCGATCAAAAGTTCGAAATCGGAGACGGAAAATAGTGAAGTCAAGTCGATAAGAAATAGCAGCGGAAACAGAACTAGAACGAAGTTGTGAATGAAGTGAAATATAGTGCGTGGAATGTCTGAGTTTCAGAAATGCATTTTTTTAGCGTTTGCGAATACGTGTAAAGTTTCTTGGAAATCCCTCGGAAATCAGCAAAATTGCAGTTTCAGTTTGAGTTTCCGCTCTTTGTGTTTGGTATTCGTGGCGAGACTCGACTCCTAATGAAAGCCGTGCGCCTTTAAACTTAAAACAGATTTTGAACATTTCATGAAAAATTTCATCAATGTTTTCCCTTTCATATTAGTTTTCACCACAGTATTCAGCACGTTTTCTCTGAAATTCTGAATGCAAATAATCAGAATCAACTTTTTTTTTCAAACAAAAACTGTCCGGTGCTCTCGAGGGTTTATTCAGCTCGGAACTTCAAATTTTAAAAATTTCCTATCTAGGGTTTTTCCTATCCAAATGCAGAAATTTTCAATGTTTCGCACTCAAAATGCTCTCGTTTCACTGAATTTAGCTTATCTTCGATTTTCGAACAAAAAACAACAATTTTGATAAGAATATCTGATTTTCAAAATTTCAATCCTAAAATTAGCCTCACAACGTTTTTAATGTTGTTTCTCGTCAAATTTGTATTTCCAGATGCCGCCATTGGAAGCAGACGTCAGCAACAATCCGCCGAACGATGTATTTCATGACCAAGTAAATTTTTTCCAATTTTTATCCAAAATTGACAAAATTTGTTTTGCAGAAATGGCTCAAAATATTCCCGGCGAGCGTGGCTGCCATGGATAAATCGTCAATGTTTATGTCCAGAGTCATATTCGTGGTTTTCTCGATGATTCTAGACCGCCGCAAGATTCTGCCACCAGAGTATTTTGCGTCGAATTACATAACAGGTATCAGGAGAGACGTGATATTTTTGGTATTTCATTCTTTCCATTCAGAGAAACTGAAAATGAAGTCGCTGAACTTTAATCACGCCAAGGCGCTCGCCATCTCTCACCAACTTCGCGATGCGGGAGATGCCACTAAACTCGGCTACCTGGAAGAGTTGGCGCTTGTGGTCACGAAGCAGGAAGACGATGTGGAGGCGATTGAGGTCTTCTCGCTCAAGTTCCACTATTTCGGTGACGGAGGAGTGGCTGCGCAATTGACGACTGAGGAGAATGGCACGCGGCTGACTCCATTCGAGAATCTCAAGAAACTCGATTACAATGGAACGTTGACCGTCCGTGATCAGCTAATTTTTCTGGCGCGCAGCATCCACGTGATCTGTTCGAAAGTGCTGCACCCTCTGCCTGGCGAGTTCTTCGCAAACCTTCGTGCCAGCTACACTCCTGAAGCTCCGTCAGACTTCCGTATCAAAGGATTCCGCGACTCGTTCACCTTCTACACGATTCCAGAAGATACTCAATCGGCGACTCTCGGCCACTTTCGTCCCGGCTATCACGGGGGACTGGTTGAGTGCACGAGCAAGTTCATGGAAGACTCGTACGCGGCTGAAACAATCCTCAAAAAGTACGCGGACAAGGCGGCCGAAGAGACGGGCATTCGGATGAACACCACTTTGTACGGATCGTTCGCCAACGAGTCGGAGAGCAGGAGCAACGGAAGCGAGGAGTCGTTCTATGATTCGGTTGTGGAAAAGTTGAAAGAAGTCGATCTTGAGAAGGACAAGACCCCCAAGAAGAAGTCGTCTCCGCGTCCGGCTCCATACGATAAGGAGTCGAAGCGCCGCGCTAGGAAATGAAATCATGTAAAATTGTTTAATCTTGTTAATATCGTTCTGTTTTTTTATAGAAATTTTTAGATTCTGGAGCCTTCTCATGTAAATTCATAATCATGTCCCATTGCTTGTGTAGCACACAAACGTTTTTGTTTGTTTTCCAAGAACCCACTGAGACCTTCCTCTTTAGAGAACAATTTATTAGACACTGAATGTCGCATCACGATATATTACAGTTATAAATGACCCGTTCGTCTCGTTGATCGATTTCTGATGTCATCATATTCTGCTTTTATCATCTATCACCTTCCGAACAGTCCCCCAAAGTTGTTGCCGAGTCCGCCGAGGTCGAATCCCGTGAATTGCTCGAGAATCTTACCGGCGGCCTTCGAGGCCGCTTCTTTGCCTCCTTTCCCCTGTCCGGCCGCCTGCGCACCCATTATTCCCTGCTGAATGAGTCCGAACAGGCCCAAATCTTGTCCGTCCTGTCCCCCGCCGCCTCCAGCTGCTCCTGCGTTCGGGTTCGGCGCAAAGTTACCGAGAGGTCCTTGTCCGGTCGGTGCGAGTCCGCTTCCGGTGAACATTCCGATGGCTCCGAGAGCTCCTTGACCGACGGGACTGTTGCCGCCGCCGCCACCGAACGATTTGAAGGCATCGACGAACGGAGAGGGCGCTGGTTGATGTGGAGGCGGTGGCGGAGGATGGATTGTTCGGGGAGGATGGGGACGGTGAGCGGGGGGTCGAGGTCGGAATGGCGGCAGAGTTGGTGGCGGAGGCGTCGCTGCAAGTTTAGCGGTAGGGCTCATTTGCCAAATAACTCACGTCTGCACATATCCGCCACTTTTTGGCACTGTTGATAATCCTCAAACAAATTGGCGTTCGTGTCGGCCGTCCGACATCCCGGAAACCAGAAATCGTCGCATTGCATCGTCTCCTGAAACAGAATACATACTACTATTCCGCGATGAAAACCAGCCGCAACTCACGCGATTATAGATATACATTGGCCGAAACCCGCAGAATCGTCCGTTCGGCACGCCCATTTGGCAAATTGAGAGCGGATCCGGCGGCGGGGAAGCTGCAACAATGCGGATGACTCATCGGAGGGCAAGGGAGGAGGAGAAATGAAAGTAAAAAGTACGTCTTCTTTTGTTGCCGACAGTTTAATGGAATTACAGCGCTTCTAGAGGAGACATGTCAATGTTTGGTCGGGCGAGACGAGTGGAAAAAAGAACTAGAATTGATTACTGATTACCTTGGCCGTCCGTCGGCGCAGGCATCATCGGAGAGATCGCATTCGGCAGCGGCTGGGGCATGAACGGAGACGACGTCGTCTGAACCGACGGAGCAAGTGGCACGCCGCCGTTCGCCGCCGTCAGACACTGAAAAAATGTTACTTTTGTCTTAAATACTCGCAAGAAGCCCAGTAAAAACCGGTTTTTACCGTACTTTACTCCACTGAATGAGCCAATCAAAGGAAACATTGAAAAAACAGACAATTTGTTGCAAAAAAATACCTCGGTGGGAATTGTGCGACACGTGTTCGCCGAAGAGTCCTGAAACTTTGCGGACGGACGAGCGCACAGTTGGCGGGGGAAATCGCAGGTGAGCGGGTCGCATTTCGTCGTGGCAATATTGTTGTATTCTGTGGAGCCGAGAAAGTCTTCGCCTGCAAATATTCGTGTCTGCTTCACTTTCTGCGAAAAAGTGAAGAGATTATCCCCCAATCGTCGACTTTTACCGAAGAATCTTTGGCAAAGACCAACAAAAAAAAGACTCACACTCTTCAAACTCGAACAGCTTCTCGAGAAACGGATCAAGTTGATCTGGCAGCTGACCGCCGACGCGACCGACGATGATCGAATTAGCGGATAAGAGGAGGAGGAAAAGTTTTGCGCAACCGCTAGCAGAAGCCGATGGCGTCGAGACGCGGCGGCAGCAGAGGAGACGACGCAACACCATTTACAGGCCGATGACGACGACGAATGAATCAGAAGAAGAAGTGGTGGTGGTGGTTGAGAGGGAGAGAAGACGTAGAAGGACGAGAAGAGCGACAAGAAGAAGAAGAAGAAGAAGAAGCTGTGAAAGGTGAAACCATGTGTAATGTTTCAGTAGTCAACAGATGATGGAGGAAGCGGCAGATTCTCGTCGCATTTATGTTAATTTCGATGAGAAGAGAAGCGATGAGAAATCGAAGAAAAAGCGACGAGCGATTTCGACGCTCCTCTTCAATCCAATCCAATCCGTGACGATGGATTCAAAACTGGGCAAGTTGTCGGCCTCTCTGTGTCTCCCTCTCTTCTGACAGATGAGACACTTCACGACGACCGGTTTCGAGGAGGAGAAGAGGCACGGAATCGTGTGTGCCCGCCACCACCGCTTTTCCCGTTGTTATGATGGTGTTGGCACGAGCGCCCGCCGCGTCATGATGTGTCCGATCGTCTCGGAACGGAAGCGCGCTCTGCTGAACATCACAGCGGACTTGGATCTGGGGTTTGTTCCGCGTTTGTACGGAAACGGAATCCGGAATTTCCGAACAGGCTCCTATTCTAACTAGGGAATGAGGTAAGTCGGCCTTATGGGTTGTGACATACGTGATTCGATAGCTTATACTAAGGGGATCAAATGTTCTGTTGATCATTCTTGCAAAACGCTTCTAGAATTTGAGAAAATCGCATCTGAAACTGAAACTTCACATGTTCCGTTTGGGACTCATGTTTAGGACTCGTTTAGGACTCATTTGTGACTCATTTGTGTGTTGAAATGTGTTCTGCATTCTGCATTGGGAAAAAGCGAAAACAACCGTTTTTGCAGCCTCTGCATAGGCCTATTATTTTCCACCGCTTTTGCTTTTCCGCCTTGCTGCGCGCATCGGCAGTTGCATTATTTGAACTGCCGCCATAGTGTGCCTGCGCATCTAACTTGCAGTCCGGCTACGGTAGCGTCTGCGTCTCGCCTCTCCACTCGCACGATTTCCCGTCGACAGCCACCCGACGTCTTTCTGCCCGTCGTCCGCGCTCTTTATATTCTCGTGTACTCCTTGTCTCACTCCACGTTTTTGCCTCATTTTCAGCCGCTTTTGCTGAAAATAATCATCTTATCCTTTACTTGTCTCTGTTTTCTCAGAATTTTCTCAACATTTTCTTCGTTTTTCAGTAACGACCATGGATCAGTTCCAAGCTTTGATCGAGCCAGCTCGCCAATTCTCGAAGGACTCGTTCCGTCTCGTCAAGAGGTGCACCAAGCCAGACAGAAAGGGTAGGCGTATCGATTTTGCTTTTTAAAGTTTTTATCTCAATCTTTTCCAGAGTACCAGAAGATCGCCACGGCCACCGCCATCGGATTCGCCATCATGGGATTCATCGGCTTCTTCGTCAAGCTCATCCACATCCCAATCAACAACATCATCGTCGGAGCCTAAACGTGATACTCGTCGCGAATTGTGCACAATCCGGGTTATACAAATATTCTAAGTTTCCCCCGCCAAGTCTGTCTCCACGCCGACGAGGAGCCCTTCTTTTTTTACCCATTCAATTTTTCTTCTTGTAGATTCCCGTATTTCGTCTTGATTCCTCGAAATTGATTATTGTGATTAATTTATTCGGCCTCCCCTCAAACTTTTGTTGCTTGCGGCTTTGCCGGCCATCATAATTAACAACAAATAAATTATATATGGTTGCCAGTTGCAAACTCGTTTTCAGAGAGGAATCTCCCATCTGTATATTTTGTTTCGCGAATTCAGAATTTCCAATTTAAAGAAAAGTTCAGATGGTGAAATGTGTCGTGGCGATTTCGGGGAAGCGAAAGTCAGGAAAAGATTATTGCACACGGATTCTAAAGCAAGAATTGGAAAAATTGTTTGTGCGGACGGCAGTAACTGGAATCTCGAACAGTCTGAAAATGGAATTCGCGAAAATTCATAGTACCAATTCGAAAAGTCAAAGAGGAAACCGGAAATCGTGTCGTTTCAGGGCTCGATTACGCGGAACTGCTGTCAGATGGGCCGTACAAAGAGCAATATCGGAAAGAAATGATAAAATGGGGAGAAGATGTGAGGAGCAGAGACTCCGGACTGTTTTGCAGGTTCCTTCCGCCTATTTTTGGTGTAATTTTACTATTTCTCAGAGCTGCGATTGATCCGTTTGTCGACAATGAAGTCGTCATCGTTTCGGACTGCCGACGGCCTTCTGATTACGAGTTTTTCACATCCAACCATCCCACGCTGACAATTCGCGTCGAGACCAGCGAGGAAAATCGTCGCGAGCGGGGATTCCGATTTGTAGAAGGCGTCGACGACGGAGAATCCGAATGCTCACTCGACGGATACGCGTTCGATGAGATTCTGAAGAATATAACCGGAGAAGATCTCAGCATACAAATCGGGCAGATAATTGCACGGATTCTGAATATTTCAGATTTGGACAAGTGTCATGTAATGAAGAATTGACTTGACAACCAACAAACAGTACTTACAACGCGAAAAAACAAATTACTAGGGCCTAAAAATATAAACAAAAAAAGGTGTTTAATCATGATTCAGAGGAATGTCAACATTCTTCGTGAGCTCATCGAACGCCAGCTTGTCCAGATAGGCGTTGCGATCCAGTGAAATGAGAAGTGGTCGCTTTCCGACGAACGCCGTCGCCAGAGGAATCCACACTTTCTTCATTTGCGGAGCCACCGCCGCATCGACGACATCGGCCGCTGAGAAGCGCAGCGCCTGCTTTCGCATCAGAAAATTGTAGTGGACTGTGGTGAATGTCTGGAATTTAACAGATCTTTAGGAATATAATCATTTCTTACTAACCTTTTTGTCGTTGTTGTAGAAGATGTCAATTGGAAACCGTTTTGCGAGGAAGTGAAGAAGAAGCGGAGTGAACGAAAGTACGACGAGGAAAGTGTTGGCAACTGAAAAGAGAAAACAGACTGGACTCAGGTTCATTCTGGAATATTCTTACCGATTGCGAACATCATCATCGACGGTCTTTCGGCAGCGGCTTCCCACAAATACGACGAGAGAACCGGCACCATGGCGGCTCCGGCGACCGACGAAGAAAGTGACAGAATCTGAAATCAGTCTAAATACCGAATTTTCCATCGAATTCCACACACTTTTGCCCCTTTCACTCCCATCGCAACCACGTCGTGCGGCGTTTTTGGTGATCCGGGCGGCAGCGTTCCTTTATGAATCAGAATCGAGTGACCCAAATCCTCTTTGTCAATATTCGAAAGTGCTAACACTTCCACATTGCCTTTAAATTCAGTTTTATGATTTTTCTGCCGATTTTTGCAAAACCTCACATTTGGAAGATGTTTGCAGGTTCCTTGTGAGAAACAAAAGGTTGGAGGGACTTATTCTGATTGGCCGCAACAGCATTTGTGACAGAATAGACGACATTTCAGCTGAATTCAGCCGATAACTTTTGAAAAAGAATCACGGTCTCCTGCACGAGAAAAGCGCAAGCAATTACGCGTGCTCTCTGCGTCGCCGGCAGCATTCTCCTTGTCTCGCACTCTCTCGCTTGCCTACTGTCGCTCGAAAAGCGAAATGAGAGTTGGCGTGGCGCTCGGAACGCCGCCGGAAGAATACTGATTTACCTTTCCGTTTTTCTTCATGAACGTGTTTATCATGAGCAAAACTTGCAAAGAGCAACAAAAAATTCTGAAAAACATGCCGGCGTCAGTACGAAATTTGCATTTTTAGTGTTGCGGTTGATTATGCGTGCTACAAGTGAGAATCAAAATCATCTTCCGTTATTTCGTGATGAAAACGTTGCCCGATGGTTTTTCATGACCACATCATCAAAAATTTAACGGAATTAATCGTGTAAGCCACACTGGGAGCACCGATTTCACACTTCGGTGGCCAACGAAGTTTCATCGGAGACTTCAGATGCGTGCTCTCGGAAGAGTACTGATTCATTTTTCCCGCTTTCTACGGGAATATGTTGAATATGATCAATACTTCGAAGCAGCAACAAAAAACTTGAAAAAATATTCTGAAGTGTCCACGGAGACGGCTTCTGAAAGAGCTACAGTTTTCTGCTGACTTCAGATGCGTGCTCTCGGAAGAGTACTGATTCATTTTTCCCGCTTTCTACGGGAATATGTTGAATATGATCAGTACTTCGAAGCAGCAACAAAAAACTTGAAAAAATATTCTGGAGTGTCCACGGAGACGTCTTCTGAAAGAGCGACAGTTTTCTGCTGACTTCAGATGCGTGCTCTCGGAAGAGTACTGACTCATTTTTCCCGCTTTCTACGGGAATATGTTGAATATGATCAGTACTTCGAAGCAGCAACAAAAAACTTGAAAAAATATTCTGAAGTGTCCACGGAGACGGCTTCTGAAAGAGCTACAGTTTTCTGCTGACTTCAGATGCGTGCTCTCGGAAGAGTACTGATTCATTTTTCCCGCTTTCTACGGGAATATGTTGAATATGATCAATACTTCGAAGCAGCAACAAAAAACTTGAAAAAATATTCTGAAGTGTCCACGGAGACGGCTTCTGAAAGAGCTACAGTTTTCTGCTGACTTCAGATGCGTGCTCTCGGAAGAGTACTGATTCATTTTTCCCGCTTTCTACGGGAATATGTTGAATATGATCAGTACTTCGAAGCAGCAACAAAAAACTTGAAAAAATATTCTGGAGTGTCCACGGAGACGTCTTCTGAAAGAGCGACAGTTTTCTGCTGACTTCAGATGCGTGCTCTCGGAAGAGTACTGACTCATTTTTCCCGCTTTCTACGGGAATATGTTGAATATGATCAGTACTTCGAAGCAGCAACAAAAAACTTGAAAAAATATTCTGAAGTGTCCACGGAGACGGCTTCTGAAAGAGCTACAGTTTTCTGCTGACTTCAGATGCGTGCTCTCGGAAGAGTACTGACTCATTTTTCCCGCTTTCTACGGGAATATGTTGAATATGATCAGTACTTCGAAGCAGCAACAAAAAACTTGAAAAAATATTCTGGAGTGTCCACGGAGACGTCTTCTGAAAGAGCGACAGTTTTCTGCTGACTTCAGATGCGTGCTCTCGGAAGAGTACTGATTCATTTTTCCCGCTTTCTACGGGAATATGTTGAATATGATCAGTACTTTGAAGCAGCAACAAGAAACTTGAAAAAATATTCTGGAGTGTCCACGGAGACGTCTTCTGAAAGAGCGACAGTTTTTCTGCTGACTTCAGGTGCGTGCTCTCGGAAGAGTACTGATTCATCTTCTCATTTTTTTCTTTTATGAACGTGTTCATTAAGACCGCTACTTACAAACAGCAACAAAAAAACTTGAAAAAAATTCGAAGTGACTACGAATACGTCGACAGGGAATAACTACAGTCTTCCGTCGGCTTCTTTAGAAGCGTGCTGTCGGAGAACGAAAAAAACGATTTTCGACTTATTTCAACTTCAATGTGTTCTATATGCGTTCTTAAAACAAACAGCAATCAAAAATCCGGACATTTCGCGATTCTGGAGTACGGAATTATGATGCTATATTCACAACGTCTTCCACTAGACGGAAGAGTCAGAATACACCAGTTCTTTGAAATATATGTCAGAAAAGTCATAAAGACTCGTAAAATTACAAGTTAAATGATAGTCGAGTGAGAATGAACGTTGCCGCCGTCGGTGGGCCTGTGAGAATCTGATCTACCGTAAGCTTAGCTCGAGTCGGTCTACTTCAAATCTACGTTTCTCGCTTCAATCTCAACCAATCTGCTCGTTAGAGGTCGCAAAAGAAAGCTTATGAAATTTGGAATCGCTTGTAGGCGTTCGTTTTTTGAGAATTTCTGTCTAGCTCTCGATTTTTTTCGAGAAAAACACAAAAAAACCACTACTTTTACAACTGAAAACTTGAAATGTACGTATCTCCGTTCAAAGTGCATATTTTTTCTTGGTCAAAATCGCAAATTGTAGTCCTTCCCGATGTCTAAAACTTGTAGGTCTCACATTTTTCGAAAAAACATTTTCTGATTTTTTAAGTGACCGAAACGTTTTTCTTCTGTAGTTTACTTGATCCCATTTAGTCAACCCGCTTTTATTATACAGATTTCTTGTGTCCAATAGTTAAATCTAATCGTGTATTAACAAAAAAAGTATCAAAATGGTTGAGAAAGCTGGGTTGTACCTGCCCCTTGACAATTTTTAAACTCACGTTTCGAGAAAACTGGCTCTCTTCAACACGCACGAATTTTTTGATCAGCTAATTGCAGAAAAATGTTCCTAATTTTTGTCCTTGCTTGTTCTGATTTTTTGAAATTTTATTTTTTGTGTTAACCATGTCGCCGACAACTTCTTTTGTTTTCATCAAGAAATTTTTCGATTGATAATGCAAGCGCGCTCTACGGTCACGCGTTAGAGATAAGAGACGGCTGAGTATGCGCATTTCGCGATCTAGCTGGCACATTTTTCGATCAGGAGACCGTGGAATGGTGCAAAATTGTCCACGAGGAGTACACGGCCGAGGAGACGCGTGGTTTTCCTAGTCCCTCGACGAGAACGCGCTCCAACGCTTCACTTTTTACAACGCGTTTCACCCCGCTTCCACATTACTTTCTGACGTCTTCTGACGATTCGGGCGCGATGTCGAATGGCTTCTGGATGGACGATGGCCAGAATCAACAAGGTAACGCTTTAAAACTTAATTTTTAATAAATTCGGAGATGTTTAGGCGGATGGAATACGCAAGCGCCCCAACAAGACATGGGATGGGGTCAATTCGACTACTCACAACCGCAACAGCCACAACAACAGCGTGAGTGTTCAAAAGATTTGCATAACCGCAAGATTACCGTTTTTCAGAGGCTGGAAATGACTACTATCAGCAGAATCAGCAGTATCAACAGCCGCAGAACAATTTTTATGGCGGACAAATGTTTATGCCGAATGTTACTGTTGGTGGAGGAGGTAAAACGCTTTAATACATTAAAAAAAAACCACAAAACATCACTTCAGCTGTTCCGAACGCTCCTGCTGACGGCGAAGACTACGAGAACGAGCCGCCACTTCTCGAAGAGCTAGGTATTAACTTTTCTCACATCAAAGAGAAGACGATCGCCGTGCTGAACCCGACCGGATCCGCCACTGTCGAAGTGATCGCCGATCAGGATCTCGCCGGACCGCTCGTTTTCTGTCTGCTGTTCGGAGCGGCGCTCCTTCTGCACGGCAAACTCTCCTTCGGCTTCATCTACGGAGTCGGCGGTCTCGGATGCGTCGGAATCTACGCTCTGATGAATTTGATGGCGGCCGACGAGAAGAACATCTCGTTCACCTGCACCGCTTCTGTCCTCGGATATTGCCTTCTGCCGATGGCGTTGCTGAGCATTGTTACCGCCGTCTTGTCGTTCAAGGTTGCTAAAGTTTAGTTTCTGTGAGTTTCTGTAAACTTTCTATTTCCAGGGAATCGTCGGCTACATAATTTCGAGTCTCGCAGTGTTCTGGTGCTCGGCCGCTTCGTCCAAACTGTTCGTGATAGCCCTTTCGATGGACCACCAACGTCTTCTGGTCGCTTATCCGTGCGTCCTTCTCTACTCTGTCTTCGCCCTTCTTGCCATCTTCTAACATTCTTTTCATGTGGATACATAGTGTGATAACGTTTACTTGAGTAATTTATTCCTGTTTCCGAAGATTTTGTGCCTTCACCCACTTTTTATTTAAAAAATTTTTTATTTTCTTGACATCTGTAAAAAAGCTTCAGATTGTTAATTTCCAACTGAAATATCTGTTTGAGTAGGATATTTAAAGTGCAAACTAGTAAAATCTTAGATGATGAATCTGAAATTCGAAAAACCAACAAAAGAGGACACGTGGCTGATCAAACCAATTCCGGGATTCGTGTGCAAATGGAAAAACGTGAAAATCGACGGACTTTTGGGCGAAGAAACCCAAAAATGCTTTGTGAATGTGTGCCATTGCAAAGAGCTGCCTCCGCCGATGAAAGATTTGGACCCGGAGCAACTCGCAGAAATGTTCGACAAAAAGGACCGCTCCTACACGATTCCGATGACGGTCGGCGAGTTGGACTGCGTCAAAGATCGGAAAGAGGCGAATTCTATCAAGGTACCTGAAAAGAAAAGTTATATTGACAAAAGCATGGAACCTTTCAGATCGACGTGGTCGTCAACAGCATCTTCTACGAAAAACGACTCGCCTCAATCGACGCCACGTTCTTCCGTCACCTCGTTTCGCTATTCTTCTGCTCAATGATCGAAGAGAAACACGGATTCCATTTAGATCCGATGGACGCAGTCATGCTCAGAAATCGCACGTTCGTCGGGGAACTGGAGATGCAAAATGTTCAGAAGACACCGGCGAAACGAGTTGTCGAAGAAGTCGAAGCGGATGAGGAGGTGGAAGAGATTAAGCAGACGGTAAAGACAAACGAAGGCCTTCTAAAAACGATCTATCGAGTTCAGATGTTCGGAATGCAAAAAATCGACGGAGTCACAATTAATCTTCTTGACGGAAAGCGTCTCGAAGTGAGCATGTTGTGCGAAAAAGGCGGGAAGGCGATCGACAATCCGAGAAGACTGAAGCTGAAAATGACGCCTACGCGATGCTTCGTGATGCTCGACCAACGGCAGCACTTCCTCGACTTTGGCCTTCCCTTCGAGATTGACGTGGCGACTGCCGAATCGAAATTTGTCGCAGAAACGAAGAATCTTGTTGTTTCCGCCGATATTGTCATTTGAACTCTCTTTTCTTTTCTCTCCTTTTCCTTCTACATCACGTGGAAACCAAAACCACCGCTGCATCTCTCTCCCTCTGCGTCTCCGTGTGTTGAACCCGCTGGTTTTTGTGCGTCGACAACACCAGAGTCCAGTTTGTTCATTGCTTGTCCTCATATTCTCATTTTCCATAATTTCCCCCATTTTCCCAATAAAAGCTCGTCGAGAAATGCGACGTCTCTTCTGCACACAAACCATCCAGACGGCGATTCAAAACTCTCTGCCCGACTTTCAAAAGATTGTCGGAAGCGGAGCGGTCCGCACACAGGAATCGGTTCGACGGCAGTTTGCGAGAGATGAAAGCCATTTTATGTGAGTTTTCCCCTCCTTTCCCATTCAATTTCCACGTTGCAGTGCGCCACCGCCCGCCGTGGTCCTCGAGCCGACGACTGTGGAGCAAGTGTCCCAACTGTTGAAGTTGTGCAACGATCGTGGCATTCCGGTGGTCCCCTTCGGCACGGGAACCGGTCTTGAAGGCGGCTCGACGTCCACGCTGGCCGGTGTCTGCCTGAGCACGCAGCAGATAGTCGGAGAGCCCGTGCTCCGCGAGCAGGACTTTGTATGCTCCGTGAGGCCCTCCACGACGCGCGTGGCACTCAATGAAGCCATCAAACACTCGGGACTGTTCTTTCCTGTTGATCCGGGCGCGGACGCTTCAGTATGCGGAATGGTGGCCACGAGTGCGAGCGGAACGAATGCGATCCGATATGGAACGATGAAGGAGAACGCGGTGAACTTGGAAGTGGTCCTGGCCGACGGAACAATTCTGGACACGAAGGGAAAGGGGAGATGTCCGAGAAAGTCCTCCGCCGGCTTCAATTTCACCGAACTGTTCGTCGGCTCCGAAGGCACACTCGGAGTGATCACCCAGGCGACCGTCCGGGTCCACCCCCGCCCGCAGTTCCTCTCCGCCGCCGTCTGCGCCTTCCCGTCCGTCCATCAGGCGGCTTCCGCCGTCGTCGAAGTTCTTCAGTGGAGCATCCCGGTGGCTCGCATCGAGCTCCTCGACCACGTTCAAATCCAGGCATGCAACGCCTACAGTAACCTTTCGCTTCGAGAGACGCCCACGCTCTTCATCGAATTCCACGGAAGTTCGGAGAAGGAGGTGGCCGATCAGACAACTGCCGTTGAGGGTATTTGCAAGAACAACGAGGCGTTAGTCTTTGATTCTGGAGCATCGCCGGAGAAGATGGCGGCTCTTTGGACAGCTCGGCATAATGCTTACTATGCGGCTCTCGCAATGCGTCCCGGAACAAGAGTAAGTTTCGGTGAATGAAGGTGAAAAGAAAAGAAACATTGAAGGGCTTCACCACGGACGTCTGCGTTCCGATCTCCAAACTGGCGGACGTGATCTCGGAGACCAGAGTGGATTTGGACGAGCATCAGATCCTCGGAACGGTCGTCGGACACGTCGGCGACGGAAACTTCCACGTCATTCTGCCGACGATCGAGGAGGACAAGACGGAGCACCGGAAGATCCAGGCATTCTCGGATCGGCTCGTGAAAAGAGCGCTGGCGGCCGATGGCACGTGCACCGGAGAGCACGGAATCGGGCTCGGCAAGAAGCGATACTTGCGGGCTGAGCTCGGCGACGCCACGGTTCGGCTGATGCACACTGTGAAGAACGCGTTGGACCCGAAGAACATTCTGAACCCGGGAAAAGTTCTTCCAGAACTATAGGAACAGTAATATTTAGTGAGGCAGAGTGCACTTGTAATTGTTTGTGAATAAAAAGGATGATGAAAGACAGCGATGGCTGGGATGATCAAATGAAACATCATCGCGTCCTCTTCTGTTTCATTCCCGATCGCGACAATTCGCGCGCCGACGGAGCTTATCGGAGATCTGCGTAAAAAAGAGTAAAAAATATGGAATGACGACGGGAACGGATGCAAAGTGGAGTTGTGCTGAAAAAATGTGGCTGGAGATGAAAGAGATTTGGGCGACTTTTGCCAGAAGATTATTTTGTAATGAGCACAAGAAGAAACGCGCTCTACCGAGAACACACGGGAAGTACTTACTTACGATAGAGCGCTATTGAACCGTAAACACTAAATTTTCGGTGGAGCGGGTTTGTTAGTCATCTGCCGATACTTTCAATTTCCCGCATGTATTGTGTCGCTCCGTGTAAGGTCTGCAGTAAGGAGCGATAATAACGAGGGCTCTTGGTCAACACGCTTCTTAATGATCAGATTCTCAGCTTCCCTCATTTGATTCGATTCGATTCGATTCTTGCCTTATCGCCATCTCAAAATCGCATTTCATTCTTCGAAACTCTGCAAAAAAGGTGCGGCGGACAGTGCGTTTCTCGAGTATAAAAGATGCGCACTTCGCCTCGATTCGCATCAGATCCTCAATGTCCATTGAGTACTCGCAGCTGCTTCCTGGCGGCGCCGAAAAGTCGTCGGCTCTCCTGCACAGGGCTTCTCGACACAATCGCTTCCTCTACCTCATCATCTGCGTTCTGCTGATCGTCGTCACCTACAGCTACTATCCGACCGAAGAGATCGGCTTCGAATGCCCCACAATCACCAATCAGTTCATGCACAGTGGAGTTCCCGTTCAGAGCATTCAAAGCAGTGCCCCGAACCCGTCCTCTGAGCTCGTCTATCGAGGAGTCGTCGATTCGATGGATGGCGTCGGATACAAGTTCTCCGAAAACACTCCTCCGCCCTCTTTGGACCCCCGCTTCGACGAGCTCAATGAGCTTCCGGAGTGTGATTTGGACAAGGATAGAGATTCGATTGTGAACGACGTCAAGCAGATTATGAGCAAGTTCGAAGAGTGCATCACTCCGATCATCAAGGAATTCCACGAGGATCCAGTGTCGATGAGTTTGAATTGGGTGGAGCGGACCGAGATTTGTGACAAGGTACCTTTGTTTGAAGCGCTCAACATCCAAGCATTCCCGAATCTTCACGAGACCAAATGGGTAATTCTGCCCAAATGCGTGAGTGGACAAAGAGCGAGTTCTAAGCAGATATCATATATTTCAGAAGCAGCACAACACGATGGTCACGTTGGGAGTGGGACATGACACAAAAGCCGAGGAGCTCCTGAACCGCACCCTCCCGCTGACCGGCTTCTACGGAGCGGATCCGATCATCGAGCCGAACATCCAGTTGTACTCTCCGTTCGGAAAGTTCTTCCCGTTCGCCGTCGGAAGAAAAAGCGGAATGTCGACGTTCAAAGTGCTGCCGAATCAGAATCAGAAGACGAGAAAGTACGTGATGCAGGACGTGACGACCATCGAAATCAACTATTTCCTCAAGTCGGTGCTCAACCTGAACCGCATCGACATCATGTGGATCGACATTGAAGGCGGCGAGTTCGAGTTCCTCGACTACTTGCATCGGGGCAGCAAGTTCGACGAGAACGGCATCACGATCTGTCAGCTCAACGTGGAGATGCATCCGGTGCTCAGAGAGGGCGGATACCAACAGTTTATGCTGTTCATCGAGACGGTGCTCGAGCAGAAGCGGTGGATGTTCTTGCGGCCGAGGAACACCGGAAAGGGCGTCCATCGCATGTTCTTCATCAACATGGAGGACCAGAAGTGTCTCCGCAAATTTGTACAATAGATCTTTCTAGACCCATTTCCAATAAATTTTTTGAGATTTGCTCTTTGACCTACCGCTACGATTTCCGCTCCCCGCCGGTTTTTTCTCATTGGCAGTTTCGGAAGCAGTCGTAATTTTCATCGACTTCTACTAACTAATTTCTATCGACCACGATGAACGCACCGAATTGCCGATTCGGATTGAGATATTGCATCTGCAATTTACTAGGTATCTCCTTTTTTCGAGCCATTTCACTAATTTTGTCTGAAATTTTCAGAAAATGACGTTCCCGAGCACGCGATCCCGATTGCAACTCAAATTGCCGAAAGACCGACTACGAGCGAGTTGCCAGAAACGACAACTGATGAGGAAAGTGAAGAAGCGTCGGAGGATTTGAATGTCGCCGAGCACCGAGAGCTTTCCGCGGCCTCTTCAGAACTTGAGTGGAGCGATGAAGACGATGAGCAGGAGAATATGAATCCAATGCGAGGTAAGCCTATTTTTTGCAGCTTTTCATAAAATTAATTTATTCGCCACCTAAATCCTCATTTTTGTTGGAGCGCATTTGCATTGTTTTCGAAAAACAGAAACCAAAAACATAGAATTATCCGTTTTTTCTGGTATTCTCATCAATTTTTCTTTTTTTACAGATCGAAGAAGTCCCGAGCGAAATCCTTCTGAAAGCTCCCCAAGGATCCGTCTAGAATCAGACGGTAAGCGCAAGAAAAACGACGGGAGCAATCCGCTCGAAAAACCGCCGTTGACGTTCCGCGCTTTGTGCGTGCTGGCAGCTCTGAACACTCCGGACAACACCATCACGTCGTGCCAAGCTAGAAACTTTGTTCTGTTAGTTTTTCCAATTATTAGAATAAATTTCATTCTTTTGCAGACACCACTTTGCCCACTATCGATACGCTCAAAGTAATTGGGGCAATAATGTCTCTGCTGCGCTTAGCCGGAAACCATTCACGTGTGTGGAGCGGAAGAAAGTCGGCTCAGTGCGGAGCCGCTATCTTTTGGTCGAAATGGACGTTAACAATTTCTTGAATGAAGAAGACTGGATTTATATGAAAGAGGAAAGTAGAAGAGGTAATTTTCAGAGTTTTTCATGCGATTATTCTGAAATTTCAGAATTTTTTGAAAGAATGCTAAAAGGAGAACTCGGACTGCCCCGTCAATTCTTTTATACGAACGTTGTACGAAGACATCCGCGCCTGGCCGGTCCCGAGAATTCGGCGCTCTTCTATCATCTGCTCGGCATGAAGATCGTGAAAATGACGGTGCGCATGTTCAAAGAGTACAACAAGAAAGAACGTATTGGAATCGAGCCGAAACACGTGGAACTCGTTGAATTCGACGACGAAGAAGAGGACGATGATTCGTCTTATGGAAAGGCGTTAGAAAAACTGGAGGGAGATGCGCGCACTGTCAAGAAACTGATCTCGGCGGAGTACATCGAAAAGTTCCACGGAAAAGTCGAGGAGTATTTCAAATTGCAGTTGGATTGCAAACAAAAAGGAGACGCAAACTGGGCGACGCCTTCGATCTCCAAGGTCAAGTCTATGCTCGATTGTGATATTTAAAAGTTTTCAAATAACGTTGTTTTAATTGGTTACAACTATTTATTCGTTTATAAGTACTGATGTAACAATAATGTCGATAATAAAGTTGAAATTTTACGATTAAATCAGTTTATTAGTGTGCACACCACAAAGTGGTCTTCAGACCGAACTCCTGACGTACTGCATATCCGGATAAGATAATAAGTTTGAAGCAGATTCGCAACTGATTTCTCTCCGATCCCTGACGTGGAAGTGCAACCCCGAAAGTGCGTATTACAAAATCATGCATGACGGGAAGTGTAATCAAGTGTTCTCGCAGTAGTTTGGGTCCAGTTGTACTAGTTTGACTCATCGGGTATTCGTTCGCCTATTTTGCAAAGTTCAACTCATTCGGATCAAACGGTTTGGCTCTTTTTCTGAATTCCGCAAAGATCTAAACTTTGCAGGCTTCTGGGACTTGGATTGAAGCGGGTTCAATTTATTTGTAAAGTTTGGGCCCCATCTAGGTCAAAAGCGCAGTCCTCAAAAAGCACTTTACTGAGCCCGGCACCAAACGACATCCAACTCCAGACGGACAACTGATGTTCGCAACTCGTCGAACGTTTCTTCTCCAAAATCTGCCGTAATCCACGCGATCCGCATCCGGTAAGCCGACGACGCATTCAAGTTAATTGAGCCGTCGGAAGGGAACGAACGGCGGAAAAGAAGATTTGGTTTCGTGTTACCGACTGGCACTGTTTCAACTGCGGATTATCAGCATTCTGGTGTTAGACCAGAGTGAGCACGGCGTCAGAGATTTTGAGATTTGAGCTTCCAACCAGAAATAGAATAGGCTCAAGTCCCGCCTCTTTCGAAGAAAAGGCGATGAGGAATCGGAAGGCGAGGAGAAGAAGTCATTCGGTCCGTTTGGCATCCAACCAACTGACTATGCGTCTTATTACTTCCCTCCTCATCTCGACTTTCTTGATCTTCGCGATCGTCCTTCTGCAAGTGCACTCTCGTCCGGCTTTCAAAGGTAAGAGGTGGGCTCTAAGTGGGCTACATCGAAAACAGAATCAGAAACTCTTCGTTCTTCTTCTTCTTCTTCTTTCCAAAGTTCTGTGTGCTTCTGTCTAGACATGACGATTCTTTCAGAAGTGGACTATCATCTCTACGAGGAGGACACGAGCGACGTGGCCGTCGACACCGTCTTCGAGTACATCAACGCAACTGCTCGCCTTCAGCGTCGCTTCAAAAAATGGATTAATTGAATGATTCTCTGTAGAACTGTAACGGTTGCCTACAATATCTGTGTATTTCTGTCTTTCTTTCGTTTTTCCACTACTCTTTCAGAGATCACAAGCTAAATGAATCATTCGTCTCCGTTGTTTGATGCTCTAACCATAAAATCCTGATCCTGATCAATGACGTTTATATATGTTCATAAACTAGGAGATCTTCTATTGCAGAACAAAGTACATAGGATGTGGAAAGTGCAAATCAAATACAAATCAAACAAAAATTGTGTGTTTACAACATCTTCTTCGCGAACCGGTTCCGTCGGTGACGTAGAGCCCGCATAATCCGTTTCTGCTTCAGAAAATCTTCGTAGAGGGCGAAGCGAGCGGCGTTCATTCCGGGCGGTCCGTACGAGAAATCCGGCGGCGGAGTGGCCGCAGGAGCTCCGATCATTTCCGGATTCCGGGCTTGGAGCATCGGCGGAGCGGACGGAGGCGTCGGGCCACCGTTGTGCAGAACAATGAGCGGCACTGTGACGAACTCGGATTCCTCGAACGCAATCTCTGTGGCTGTAGTTGTGGTTTCAGTGGAAGTCGGTTCGAATGTAGTCGTGCTCGTCACGACGACGGGCATCGCTTCGTAAAGCCGTCGTGGTGGAGCCAATTCGAAGCGACGGAGCTTCGTAAAAGGGCACTCTTCGGGCAGAACACACAAACGGAGCGGGCTTCTGACAAAGCCGTTTCGGCACGTGCATCCGGGTTCGCAGATGGCACAAACCTGAAGAATTGTGCTTGCACTTTATGCTTCAGATGATGACGATGTGCGGGTGTGTGTCATCAGAACGGGTGACTGAATCAACTGACTCAGAAAGTGCATAATATTATCATAGTTGTCAGCGGGACTTTGGATAACTTTCCATGCAAATATCATTTTTAGACACGTTGAGAGTGCAAATTGTAAATCTCGATGAGTTTTATAAGAAAAAGTTGAATTTCTATTCAAATTACATGTAAGAAGCCGTCAAATAGCCCGGCTACTCCACGGGTTTTCACTATAAACCAGGAATGGACCAATTTTGCTTTTTTAGGCTTTTTGAAAGCCCTTTGACCCATTTGCAATTATCCGATCGGGCCCAAACTTTTGAGAATTCTTAGACTTGGATTGAAGTTTATTGTGACCAAGTTTCAGACCGATCCGATTATCCGGTCCCGAGATATGGGGTTTGGGTCCGGATTATCACAAGTGGGTCAAAAAGCCTTCAAAAAGCTGTTATAAACTGATTGAAAAAATCTTTTTTTTGTTGCCTAATCTGTATAGAACTCATTGATGTCTGCATTTGGAATTCCCAACTTGAATGAAAATGTCGACTCACAAGGAAGTTATTCAAAGGCCTGGTGACAACAAAGACTTTATTCAGAGCAATATATCTCAGCGGCCGGTTGGAATATCAAAAATCTGTCAACTGATAAGTTACTCATTGAAATCTTGTGTACATTTTCTCAATTGACGACTTTTTGATAGCTCCACCCACAACTGAGATACGCTTACCGGATTCGGATTGTTGCACGTCGGTTCGCAGGCGCACGCGGAAAACGCCTGGAAAACCGGGCACGGCCTCTCTGAAAAACCTCAATTTAAAGAGCCGACAATATTTTCACCTCGCCTACCTGTTCCACTAAACTTTGTCGCAGTTTCGTTCATTCGCAATCTCTGAATGATGAGCGACAAGCGATTCTTGTTGATCTTTGGCGTTTTCAAAGATCGGAACGCTTTGTGACGGAATGCAAACTCTTCGGATATTGTGGAAACTACGAGAAGAAGAAGAAGAAGAAGAAGAAGAAGAAAGAAGTGAGGAGACATGTCTGTCTGAAATGGGAAATGTGGAAGAACGGGTGGAATGGCAAGGTGAGAACATGAATATGAATATGAATCGGAATGGAATGGAATGATGATGATGGCGGATTCCGATAAAAGCAACGCATATACAATATTCATTATTACACAAGGCTTCTTCTACTTCTACAGTGCCCCCCAAAGCCCTTTTATAGTCTCATTCATCTCTCTTCATTCACAGATCTCGACATTCAGTACAGTAGGTGAGACTGAGACCCTATCCACGTCGGATATTATTAAATTATATCGAACAAGGTTTGTCTCGTTCGCTCCACAGAAACTTTGCAGATCAGGTGGAGACGCAGGGATGGAAGCCGGTGGAACCGAAAAGAAAGTGAGTGAAAAACGTGACGAACGAGACGAGCGCCGCGCATAAAGAAAGGAAGGGCGGTCATCTGTACAGAACATTTAATTGATAGGCAGCGAAAGAGAGACGGAGTGGAACAGTTCGTCGTGGTGATGCAAGATTTGATATAAGAAGCTGTGAGGACAGGAAGAAGAAGAAGAAGAAGAAGAAGAAGAAGAAGAAGAAAAAGAGAGGTGAAATGGGGGGAATGGGCGAGCGAAAGGGCGGTTTAATGAGTCATGGAATGGTGTCGGAACGTACCGTCGACGCGTTTGTTTTAGCGGCGAATCGATCCGTGGGATGAGCGTGAAAGTCCTGGTTTTCTAGACTTTTCGATCCATACTTTTCGCCTTAATAGCCAGCCTCTTAACGTTTTAGCAGAATCCACGACTTTTCGAGTACTAATTCGTGTTCCCATTTTGAATGTTCTACAATCCTCCTTTTTGTCGAATTCTTCTATAATTTCAGTCTTTTCTGCCTGAAACATGATTCCGGTTCGCGGGTCTTGAAGCCGCACGCACCGCTCGTTTGCTCATCCATCATTTCCACTTTGTTTTCTCGTTGTTCCTTCTCTCGAGCCTCCAAAAAAAGGCGCGGAAGATAAAAGAGCGAAGAAGAGCGGAGAGCTCAAGAGGCTTAGAGTGCATGCAGCTCGTGAAAAAAGTGTCGGACGAGCGGGATGAAAAGTTGATGGATGAGGCCCAGGAGGGGCGAGCAGACGACAAGTTCGAACAGGAACACGGCCCGGCTTTTCATACCTACGACTTTCGGTTTTTTCAATATATCTCCAGAAATCGAACATAGGAACGTCTGATATTTTGATAAAAGTTCAATTTTACTGGGTTCTTCAAAATGAGCCAGGTCAGAGAAAGTTACAGTTTCACAATTTCCACTCGTCGCTTTGCCGGCCCGTGAACAAAAAGTCGACTCTGACGCATTGGTGCGGGATCCACAATTCGGATTTTAAAGATGTTCTTCTCTAAAACTGTTGTGCTTTTGAATAGCTTAGTAAATAGCATGTTTTAAAACTACCGTACCTGCGGTCTTCCACAAAACTTTATATTATATCATCATTTATTCATCAGGAAAATTAGGATAAAGAGCAAAGATTGGGGAGGGACACAAAAGCGAAAAAGAGGGGGGTTAGAACTGGCAAATGAATGGTCCAATTTGGAGACTTTATGTGGTTTCACGTGCGACCGAATCAATTTCCGCTCAAACAGTGTTCTTGAGCTCCTCCGACTTGGTCTCCTCTTGTGGTTTCAGAGATTGTTGCGACTCGAACACAGTGTCCACGTACAACTTTCCATCAAACTCTGGAGCGACTGCAAGTTGGGTGTTCAAAATTCGAACCTGAATAGTTAAACTAACGCGTGCCATCCAAATCGAGTTCTTCATCCCTTCTCGCTGCGGCGATGGCCAGGACGACGAAGAACAGCAGAAGGAATACGGAGAGGAGCTTCATAGTTTCGGAGGAGTCCCGAGTGTCGCGTGTCGGGGTTTGGGAGAAGAATGAATGGGGGAGTTTCGAACGAAACGAAACGACAGATGCCCCTGCCTGAGCGGGATTACACTGGGGACCGGCCGGGCAAAAAGTGCAAGTGGCCCGGGGTGGATGTTTGTTGTTGCCGCAATGTTGCCGCGGATGATACGTGATGGCACACACGGCTCGGCTACGTGGGGTCGAGAAAGAAACGACGGACTAAAGTGCAAAAAGGGGCGTGGTTTGAGCACTGCGATCATTGCGAAAACATTTAAATGTTTGTTACAAAGCCCGGGAACCGGGTCAGGCCGGGCGGCCCAAAGAATCCTTGACAAAGCAAGCAAGTGTGGGGGAAGTTAACATGTTCAAAACAAGTATTGTGGAGATTTCAAGAGTAGATTTCGTGAAGCATGGAATGAAAAGGAACCACAACTTTTCACCGCTTCCGTCCCACTATGCGATATTCCGAAAGATGCTACGTTCTCGGCCATTTGTTCACGTTCCTGATCGCCCTGGCCATCACCGCTACGCTCATATTCTTCATCAATGCGGCCACGTCACCATCACCGTCACCATCAGTTACCGTATCCCTCTCGGATGTTCAACCGACGAGCACCGAAAAACCGTCAAAAGTGTGGGACACTATGGACGGAGAGGGATATCAGTTCAAGGCGACCGTAAGAGTATTGTAGACGTTCGAGAAACATCCAATATTAATAGTGCTCAGGACGAGCAAGTGACTTTGGATAAAAGATACGAGGAGCTGAGCAAGTTGCCCAGTTGCGGACAGTTGTCTCAGGTGCAGGAGGAGGTGAAGGCGAAATTGGGAAATGTGAAGAAGCAGTTCGCCGAGTGCATCACTCCGATTGTCGAGCAATGGAGGGGAAACGCCAGAGAAGTGAATTAATGTCCAAGGCTTTCTATGGGTCTTACTAGAAAATATGATCCTTGAAAAACTGAAGAAATCCTCTCGTTGAGATCATTCGATCCATGTAGGCTTTGTTCCGAAATACCAACTTTTCAAAGGATCATTCCTCTATTCAGATGAATGTCGATTGGGTTGAAAAGGCGGCAATTTGTGATCAGTTGCCCGTCTTCCAAACGCTTGGAATCGTGCCGTTCGCCAATCTCCATGAAATCAAATGGACAATCCTTCCGAGATGTGTAAGCTTTGTCCGAACTTTTGTGATGGATAGTTGAAGTTTAGACCGAGCAAAACGTGCTTCTCACCTTGGGAGTCGGGCATGATACGGTCGCCGAAGAGACACTAAACCGCACTCTTCCCAACACGAAATTCTACGGCGCCGATCCGATCATCGAGCCGAATCGGCAACTGTTCTCGGCTGTTGGCAAGTTTTTCCCGTTTGCAATCGGCCGCAATCCCGGCTTTTCGACGTTTCGAGTGCTGCCCAACCAGAATCAAAAGACGAGAAATTACGTGTATCAAGATGTGACGACCATCGATTTGATCTACTTTTTAAAGGGAGTTCTCAAGTTGAAGGTTTCACACTATTCCGGTTACAGTACTCGAGTAATCAATGTTCAGAAGATCGACTTTGCGTGGATTGACATCGAAGGCGGCGAGTTCGAGTTCATCGACATGCTCCATCGGGACGGACCACTCGACAAAGAGGGCATCTCGATTTGTCAGTTCAACTTGGAAGTCCACTCGAAGTTCCATCCGCCGGGCGCACAAATCTATCACGACTTTATTTTCAAAGTGCTCGAGGAGCAGCGATACGTTTTCTTGCAGTCGTTGCACACGGACGTCGGAGTTCATCGAATGTATTTCATTAATGTTGAGAACACAGAGTGTATCGCCAAGTTTTTCAATAAATATTAGACGTAGGCAACAAAGGCGTTCGTTCACAATGACTAGTAACAATATCCGACCAAAATGTATAAGTTATCTGTAACCGAACCAGAGCATCTTCGGAACGTGTGCCGCCGAAGTGAATTCTGAACTGCAGCTCAATAAGGTACGCAGAAACACTCCCAATAACAAAACTAATGTTGTAGACTCTTCCGAACGTGAAATTGCTCAGCGCCGATCCGATCATCGAGCCGAATATTGAGTTGTACTCGCCGTTCGGAAGGCGCTTCCCGTTCGCAGTCGGACGACAGTCTGGCACTGAAAAGGAGATCACGAAATTGCCATTTTGAACTACTTTTACAAAGGCGGCAAGTTCGACCAGGACGGCATCACAATCTGACAATTCAACGCAGTGTTGCATCCGCAGAACGTCACGTGAGGAGATTGCAAGTTTCTGAAGGCGAGGAGTACGGGCGTCGGAGTCTTCCGCGCTGTTTTTTTTATTAATATGGAGTGTCCAAAGTGTCTCATTTATCCCCTAAATGTTAAGAAATGTTCGGAAACTGAATTCCGGTGCAGAACGGTCACATTCGAGATCCTCATTCATCCGGAACGAGCTCTCAATTCGTAATTCGTAGATATTATCTGCCCTAAAACTAGATGCAAACTTGTTTTCACAACTGAATCAATCAGATATTCATCGGCCAAATTCCCGTCTCAAACGGAAACAACTCGCTATTTTTCCATGTTGTTTCCTCCAAACAGTCAATTCAATGCATGCACTGGATTTCGTTCCAAATGTGTCGAAGGTACATCATCTCTTCATATTTTTCAATGTTCCATAATAGTTGTCTTGTTTCAGTGGCTCCATGGCGAATGGGTCCGAGACTCGGAATTCTGTGCTCTCTAGTCACCTCGACTTTCATCATGTTTCATGTAGTTCGAAACGCGAACAACTATTTACAAGCGGAAATTATATTACCCACTGACACCAAGCATCCGATATTTCAAGCGTTCTACAATTGTGTCACTCCTCATTTGAATCCTCTCAAAGGAGATTTTGATAAGGTTTGGTTGTCGTTTCACTACAAAAATTAATTTATTTCAGTTTTACCACAACTTTGTCAACTTGACAGCCGATTGTGACAAGTTGCCGGCCTTCGAAGCACTCGCCATTCTACCACTGGCTAATCAGGACGAGGTGAAGCACGTGGTGTTGCCCTTGACTAACGAGACCATCACAATGATCACGTTCGGCATCGGACACGACACTGACGCTGAGGAGTCGCTGAAAAAGATCTATCCGCAGACGGAGTTCTTCGGATTCGATCCGATTGCCGAGATTAATAAAGAGCTGTACGAAAAGATCGGCACCTATATTCCGTTGGCAATCAGTGGAAGCAGTGGGTCACAGATATCACATGTCTATAGAGGTAAGTAGAAGAAGGTATCCGCTTAACTTAAACTTGGTAATCACAGACAAATACAACGATGAAGTGCTTCTGCACATTGGCGCAGGCTACTATCTCGACGAAGTTCTGCAGAAGAAGAGAATCGACGTTCTGTGGGTGGACACCGAAGGACAAGAGTACTCGCTTCTCGGCTTATTCCACGCCGGCGGCGAATTCGATCGACGTGGCATCAAAGTGTGTCAGATGAACTTTGAGGTGAGCATTGAGGACAATAAGTGACGAAAGAATCGCGCGCACACAGATGCATTTGAATGTTACGCCCGGAGTGACGAACGAGACACAGAAGTTTCATGACTTTGTCTGGCGGATTTTGGCCGATGGAAAGTACGTAATGCTCCGACCGTTCTACGTTGTCGCCCAACAATTCCGATTCATCCGCACATTTCTGGTCAATGTGAAAGACAAAGAATGCACTGATTTGTACATTCAAAAATAATAAATGTAGCTGTGCATGCATGCATTTTGGGATAAGTACAAACACTTCTTCTCTTGCTATTCAACTCTGCCTCAGCGGCAGAGTTCCGTCGGCTGCGGCCGTGTTTACAGGCAGACACCGATCAAGTACGAGGAGATCAGAAAGGACTTGCTCGGCCGATTCTCCAAAAACAATTACGATCGTGTCTCCCACGACCGCGCGTCGAATAAAAGTTGTCACTCTGTTTTTCGAATGAATTCTTTGTCGCTCGTGATTGGTGTCAGTTGAGGTTAAAGTCTGCAACAAATCCTTCGATGAAAGCGAGAAGCACTCAGTTCATATTACACTGTTTCTCTTCTGAGGATATGCCCCCTGGCATTCTCTCCATTTCTCACTCTTCACACACACACGGAAAAAGGCCAAGCGTATGCGGGTCCGTTCGTTATTTCACAAGCGATCACAACTCATCATTTGGGGACCTCTCGCCCCAATCTCAAGTGTTTTCTTCTTCTCCTTCTTCTTCTTCTCCTTCTTCTTCTTCGTGTCCCCCCACGCGGACGATTAGTCCAGCCGTTTGCACACATCCGTGCACAAATTGGATTCCAATCTTCCACCATGAATCTTCCGTTTTCCCATTTTCCATTCGCTCACCAAACTTTTCTACACTTTTCCATTCAGAATGACGAGCAGCGGTGGCGAGTGGCTTTCGATCGAGGACCTCATGGAGAAGATTAGTAATAAATCGGCGCAAGAGAGAAAGGTTCGTATATTGTGATGATTTTTCAAAAAAAATTGGGGCCTAGGGCATAACTATCAAGTTACACACACACACACACACATCCATCATATGGGCGAAAAGAGAGGGAGAAGGAGTGGCCGGCTCTTAGATTTTATGGGCTCCGGGGCCATCTGTTTCTTGCTCCAGACATTCGGTTTGCCAAACGATTACACATTTTTCGACTTTTCAACTTTTCTTGTTAACCCAACTTTTTTTTTTGACTAAAAAGCGAAATTTCGTATCCATCTGATTTAGTTAGAAAGTTCCAGTTTTGTCAAAAATATGGATATTCCGCAATAATATTGAAGACTATCGAAGAAAAACGATTTTTCGAGCAGTGGGATTCGAACCCGCGTGCGTCAACTTACAATTCCAAAATGCAACCGTTGCGCCTCATGCGCAACATAAGTCTATGGCTCCCAGGGAAGTGACGTTACCGCGCGGGAACTTTCAGAGTCGCTCAAAAATCATTCAGTTTTCAACAGGAAATTGACTGACTAGCAGATTTTTGGAATTCGGTTGTGAATTCAGTCTTCCATAAACTTTTCGTGTTGAACGCATTTGCGCACGCGGGCGGGTGTGCCTGCAGTTACTTCTTTTTTCGCAAAACAACAAAAATTGTGCGGCCAGACGCTTCTTGCTTCCCTTTTTTCGTTCGTCCCGTCAGCCATTCGAATCAAATTTTTATTCTCGTGGCTTCAAGAGAGAGAGAGAGAGAGTGGGAAACGCGTGAGAATCGATTCGGAAGAAAGAAAAGAGGAAAAACGGCGACGGGGAGGGGAAGAATAAGAAGGAGAAGAAGAAGAAGAAGCCCTTCACACAAGAGCCCCCACACACACACTCTCCTACTACTCATCCTTTTTCGGAAAACCCATTCGGGTACACCTTATACGCGTTGGATCTTTGATTCTTTTCGTGAATTAATCAAATTCCAGATGTCGCAAGCCAACCATCTCGGGTATTCCGCTCGGATGCGCGGCCGTTCCAAACAACCCACCTATTCATCGGACAAGCGAGCAAAGTTCACGCAAAGGGATCAGAGGTTAGACAAAAGAGCTTTCCGAGCAGTGGGAATCGAACCCACGATTACAATTCCAAAACGGAACCACTGTGCCATACGCACAATCGCCGTTAGCGGCTTCTAGGATAATAATAACATTTATGCGTTTCAGCTGCAATTGGGTCCGTCTCATCACAGTGTTCGGCTACATTCTCTCCGTGTCTCTACCCGCTATTTCGCTGAGTATCTACTACATTTACGTTTGGGATCCAGGATACATCACTCGGGTAAGTCTAGTAGTTTGTTCTTGTCTTAATGCATCCAATCTGATCCAGTACCCAACTGAAATCGCCAACAAGACAGTGACCATTCACAAAGCACCGATTTTGTCTCAACGACGCGAAAGTGTTACTATTGAAGAGAAGGTGGCCGAGGCGAAGAGTGTCGACTTGGCGTCTATACTACAAGATGGTAAAGAACTCTACAATACTGTAAATTTGTAAATAAATTTCTCATCAGGCCTCAAATCAATGGAATCAAAGGAAAGGACGACTGGCGAGAATGGTTGATGCAAAAATCTACTTCTAAATGATCCCATTACCTCTTTCTATCTCACTGGTAAATATAATCCTTGGAAGCAATAAAGTATGGAAAAGTATACATCGGTTTATTCGAAAAAACAGAAAGATGAAGACCCGTTTGGGTGGACATAATTATTGCCTTATTACTACACAAATTCGATTTTAGAACTGATGCTCGGCGACTCTCCGTCCGGAGTTGAAATCAGTTGAGTGCGCGGGATTTGGAGCTCGTCCAACAGCGAGAGCTTCTTCTCCGTCGACGGGACGCAGCAGCACCAGTCACCTGAAGGATTATTAGTAAAAGTGTTGAAGAGGTGTGCGTTCAAACGTACTCAAACACTGTCTCATTTCGCGTCTCAGTTGTGGCTGGAAGTAGGCGTAAATCGGGAGACGTGCCGACGAGGCGATGATCGTCGAAATAGAGATGACGTCGACGGAGAGCACGTAGAAGGCGATCCAGTCTCTGAAATGGCGGGCATTGAACTTAAGCACTACGAGCCCATTTCGTTCACACTTACGGACTGAAAATGGAAGCGCTATCAATGTACTCCCAAATCGTGATGATAACCGAGAGGAGATTGGAGAGCAGGTACGTGCAAACGATGATGACGACGGATTTGGTGGTCGCCCGGATCCGCGCCTTCTTCTCCTTCACATTCTTCTTGTCCTGATCCCCATACTTGCTCTTCTTGACGTGTTCTTGAAGGCGAAACAACAATAGACAATTGACGAGGAGGAGGACGAAGAAGGGCGCGAGGATTGTGAAGATGTTGCGAAAGTAGAAGCGCCAGTACTGGTTGAACAGCGGGAACTTGAGCACGAGATCCGAAGGGATCACCTTCCAGTAATTGAGTTCTCCGTAGCATTCCGGGTTGAGTTGGATCTGTAGGACAGGAACTTATTTGACTTCTGAAATCTGGAAAGGTTCACTCACATCCACCTCCTTCACTATGGTCCCTTTGCTAATGACTCCGCACATGATCGCGATGAACGCGAGAACGGGCCGATGCTTCTGAAGGTGTGGCACGAGAAAATTGTTCACGGTTATACAGTATCGTTCGATCGAAGCGAAGCAGATGAGAAACGTGGAAGAGGTGATGCCGATGTGCGAGACTGTCAGCATGGGGATCATGTAGCGGACCCAGATGGATTTGAGGAAGACGCTCGAGCTGAAGTTCACCAGCACTCGCACCGACATCACGGCGATGTAGGCGAACGCGATGAAGACGTCGAACAGGGAGAGGAGGAGGAGGTAGAGGTTCGGAGAACGTCTGCATGGAGATCATTGTGTTCGGACAGGCAAATCTGATGCTCACCTGTGCTGTTTGTTCGTGACGAACACGAAGAAGATGAACGTGTTGAAGACGATCGAAATCGTCGAGACGGTAACTCCGGCGACCACACACAACCAAAATCGTTCCGTTATTTTGTAGTGATCCGGTTCTGAGCACGGGTCGACGTACGGCTCTTCTGTCGTCTGAAACATGCCATAGTTGTGATTTTTGGACCGCAATTCGAAAAATGTTTCATTTTTTTCGATTTTGTTCTCAAAATTCATCACTTGTCGTGCAGCGCCTATGGCGCAGTGTTTGTGTTTTGGAATTGAAGACTGATACTGTCGCAGGTTCGAAGCCCACTACGCGCAAATCATTTTTGAGCGCACTATTATTCAGACTTGCCAGATTTCGGGCCGGTAAAGTGCCGGCCCGGTTCAAAAGGCGGGAATTCAAATTTTCGCGGAAATTTTTTTTCGTTATTACAAAAAAAATTTTCGAACTAAAGTTTTAGTGTTTCTTCTTTGTTTTTTTGCTATTATGAATTTTTTATGAGAAATACATTTGTTTTTCAATGTTCGATGCTTGCAAAAAACCCCTAATTCTACAAAAAATGGCTTCATGCGATCAATAATTCAAATTTTTAAAGGACCAGGGAACCCAAAAATTTTTTGATTTTTTTGTGAAATGTTTTTGTGACTGTTTGAATTGTCTCTTGTTGCCTCATACACTGGTGAAATGCTGCCTCTCAAAAATGCCAATGAACGAAACGGCATGTAGTTGAAGTTGTGGCCGTGGCCTAGCGCCAATGGCCGAAAAATATATAAAAATATATGCGCTTCTCGGCCATTTTTCCGCTTTTTTACCGGATTTTTTTCCAAAAATTCACGGTTTCTCCCATTTTTCAGTTGATTGACATTAGTTCGGCACTTACTTATTTTTTCACTGCTAAAAAATTGCTTTCATTCAGTCGATATGAAGTGCCAAAATGGGAGAAACCATGAATTTTTGGAAAAAAACCGGTAAAAAAGCGGAAAAAATAAAATGGCCGAGAAGCGCATATATTTTTATATATTTTTCGGCCATTGGCGCTAGGCCACGGCCACAACTTCAACTGCATGCCGTTTCGTTCATTGGCATTTTTGAGAGGCAGCATTTCACCAGTGTATGAGGCAATAAGAGACAATTCAAACAGTCACAAAAACATTTCACAAAAAAATCAAAAAATTTTTGGGTTCCCTGGTCCTTTAATTCCCGCCTTTTGAACCGGGCCGACCGGGCCGGGCCGGGTCGGGCCGGGCCGGAGTTTTGGCAATTTCGGCCCGGCCCGGCCCGGCCCGGCCCGTGGCAACTATGCTATTATTAGTCTTACCATGCTCTCGATCAGTGTGGCGGATATATTTGCGACGAGCGCATCCGCAGTCCGATTCGCAATGTCCATCACAACCAATTCATGCAAACGCAATTCGATTACCTGCGAGAAAGAGATAATTCGAATAAACGAGCGAACGACGAAAACAAAGCGAGAAGCGACGCTTTTATAGTGGTCCCAAAAAAAAGTTGCCAAACCAAACCAAATCGGGCCAAAATCTTTGAGAAGAGAAGAGTGACACGCCATTAGTGAAACATTGAAAAAGTGTTGGGAAAAGATTGAAATGGAGATTGATTGACGAACAAAAAATGGGGGAAATTAAAGGCGAATGGGTCACTCTGGACCACTGATTTTCGGGCGGAGCGGAAAAGCGATCAAACATCCGAATTCTCGAAATTGTCTTCGTTTGCTGGAAATGCGACGTCTGTCGGGTAATCCCCCTGGCGGAAAAACACGAGTAAATCGAGCACAGTAGTAAGTAATCCAGTCCCATTCGTTCACTTTTTACATGTTAGGCTATTGTGGCGGTGGTGGGTGGGAGAAGAGACAAAGGAAAAAAAAAGAGACGGAATTAAAAATTTAATTAAGAATTCTTGGACGTGCACCCGTCAAATGAAATCTGTGGGCGAGAGGCCAGGCCGGGTCGGCTCAAGAATGAAATCATTCGAAATGAAAGGAGCGAGGTCACGCCGCTCAGTCATCAATTTTCGAAAAGTCGCACCTCTTTGACTGCTCCTCTTTCATCTCGCACCGCGAACAAGAAAATGTAAAAATTTTAAATTAGCAAAAAAAGTTTCTGGAGGTATGGGGAATTGAACCCCAGCCCTCTCCCATGCTAAGGGAGCGCTCTACCACTGAGCTACACAGGAAAAACGGCAACACTCGGGAATTACCGAGCGATCACCGAGTAGACGCTGATTAGCCAGAAATCAGTAATCGGTCAGTGAACAGTCACTGAAGGGGACGCTAAGCAGTGAGGAATCACTGTCCGATTACTGAGGAGCGCAGTGAGGAATTAGCGAAGCATGAGTGAAACGCGATGAGCGAAAAATTAGTGAGGAGCTACTGAACAGAACGGGATCACTGAGAAGTTAGTGTAGGATCACTCTTGAAACGGGATCACTCTGGGATTAGTCAAGTGTTGCCGTTGCTCGTCGCCTTGCCCAAACTCTAAAAATTTACAAGTTTTTAGTATTTGCGAGTATGATGTCTGGAAGCGATAACTTTTTTTTTGAAATTATGATTTCAAGCTGTGTTTTTCTGAAATTTGACACGTTTTTATAATTTTTATTCCAAACATCACGGTCTCCAGAGCTGACAATATGGGCGCGGCCTCGGTCAAATGGCGTTTTCATGAATTTTTCTCAGAATTATGGGGTTACTCAGGCTGTGAAAAAAATGATTGTTTTCCGTTTTTTTTTCGTTTTTTTACGTCAAAAAATCAAATTCAGCGATGTAAAAAAACGAAAAAAAAACGGAAAACAAACATACGCTGAATAGCCCCATTAATGACGTTTTGGCGAATTTTTCGCGGACTTTGCTTTTTCGCCTTCGCCGCCGATCGCCGCCTAAAAAGCGCACTTATCATTTTGCGCTTTCTTGACCGTTTTCCGACAGAATTGATTTTGAGAATGATAAATCACGTAAATACAAGCATTTTGAGCGCTCGAACCGCGAAAACTACCGAAAAGCAACTGAAATTCACGCAGTTTTAGCCAAAAACCTTCAAACGGATGAATGTGATTTGCGACTTGACCAAATTTAACGCTTTTACGCTGAAAAAAATCGTAATAGCCTATACAATCGGTATATCGAGAGACAAATGAGAAATTATCGGTTTTTCGTGACTAATCTGGCAAAAAAACACAAATTTTGCTGTTAAAATTTGAATTTCGCGCCAATGTATCGCTCTATTGGGCGGGCTCCACACTTGCGCCCATTGTCAGCTCTGGAGACTCACTGTTTCGCGCTTCGTTGTTCTCGTCTCTTTTTCGAAAAATTTCGTTTTTGTCCTCTGTCTATTCTTTAAACGTGTCGATTACATGGTTTCTAACCGTTTATCTTTATTTTTTTCGCTCAACTATGTACAAAATCAATAAAACGTTCAGACGAAATGTTTAGGAAGACGAATTCGTTGGCCATGTCTACCAAACCACCGAAGCGCCAGGCGCAAAATGGAAACAAGGTATTTTCAAACAATTTCATCAATAGCCTCAATTCAAATGTTAAGACCGTTGAAAACAAGCCCCCAGGCCTTTCGGCACAAGCGAAGTTGGTTCCGCGGCGACTGCGAAGATTCCACGCCTGTCGGGGCCAACTAAAATTTCGAACGCGGCGACTCCGAATACTAAAGCAGAACAGGTAAGATGAGCAAAAGCAACGCGATTTTTTTCCTAACTTACATTCTTACAGCGCCTAATTGGTAGAGGAGAATCAAACGCTGACCCAAACAAAGTGGCTAAAAAAGTGGAGGGCCGCTCGAGCGAGCATGCGATGTTCGGCAAACATGAGCAAGAGAACGTGAGAAATTTCTTCGCAAGATAAACAACTTGTTCTATTTTTCAGACTAAGCGCCTCAATTCATCGTTAAACAATGAATGGATTCCAGCGAATCTCATCAAGAACACATGTTTCAGCTCCACGGGAATTATTCTGAGCAAAGAAGAGTGCATCGCCAACCTGGAATTGGCGATGAAAAACAAGAAAAAAGCCGATTTTTATGAAGTCGTCAAGCTGTCAGCTCATCCGCAAGTGCAAGGAACAGTAATGGAAACTGGAGATGGAAGACGACGAAACGCAACGCTAAGATCATCAACCAGTTCATCAACCAGTTCACATCCCGATCAGCGATATACTCCTAATTAATCGTCATTTCTCGGGCTCTGAATGCCAATTCTTTCATTTTACCCTTTTTTTTCTTTCTGTTCTTTATTTGTTATGAATTTTGTCTCGAAAACTGCTTAATTACGCCAAATAATGAGCGACGGATTAGTGAATATGGGGAGAGCGGGAAGCGAACGCGGGGAAGTGAGGAATCAGCGACGGATTAGTGAACGGAGGGGAAGAGCGGGAAGCGAACGCTGGACAGTGAGGAATCAGTGAGGAATCAGTAATCGGCGAAACGGGAGTTCAGTAACCGATTGTTCCACGCTCCGTGGTTAGCGTGTCTAATCCTTCAGTGATTCTTCGCTGTTCCCGTTTTTCCTGTGTATACCCCCGCGGCCGGTGGCGGGTGCGGGCAGCAATAATGTTACGCGCGGAACTACTCGATTTTGCAAGATTTCTTCAATGACGCGAGCGCCTCGACCATATAATTTTCGCAATTTTCGCTTTACGTCGTCAGTTTTCGGGTCGTTTGACCTGCGCAAATGGCCAGAAAAGTGGGCTGGAAGAGGAAACCAGTAAAAACCGACAGGACAATAGATCACCGACTAGGCGCCCCAAAAACATGTAGAATATTCAGACACACCGAATTTTCGGAGCGCGCTCGACACGGCTTCTGGTAAACGGAAGAGGAACTTGTCCGGGGGGGGGGGGTTTGGGCTACTGTAGTGGGTCAAAGAGCTTTCTGTGCTTAATCTATTATGATTTATGCGCAGGAGAAAAAGTGAGCCGCCTCTTTTCCGCTTTTGAGGTGGGATTTTCTATCGAATGAATAATAGCGCGACCGGGAGGGGCAGCGCCGAGAACGTCACTTCCCTGGGGTCACATGACCGCAGTGGTGTGCATGGCGCAGTGACAGTGTTTTGCAATTGTAACCGGATCATCGCGGGTTCGATCTCCGCACTGCCCGGGTTTTTTTGAATTCTGCGAAAGCACACTGGAAGAACTTTTCAAATGTTCTTCCTTCAAACTTGGCCCTCTTGGCTCTTCTTGAGTTCGTTAGCGAGATATTGAGAAAAAGCCGGAAGAGAAGGCCGCCCGGATGACGTGGAAGGATAAAGAAAGGGGGCGATGTGTCATTCGAGTCGGAGATAAAGGCTGAAAAGGAGCAAAGGAAAGGAAATGAAGAAGCGCATCACACCTTTTGGAAGGAAGCGAAAAGGAAGGGAAGGGAAGCGACACGAAAACACACGCGAGCATTGGGGAACAATTAGGGGGGCCGGCGTGACGGATGACATCGTTCTTCTGGAACAGGAATCTCTGAAAATGCGCGCGCCGGAGGACCTCCGAGACGGCGAAGAAGAGAAAAGAGCCGATGAATTATTCATTCTTCCCTTTTGAATTTCTCAAAAAATCTCGATTCCGTTTGCTTCCGGGTAAACGGTGCATCTCGAGTCGATATTTTCAGACAAATTGAATGAATGACGAGGTCATTTGGATGGTGGGTGGCCGGATGACTCGTCGTTTCGGATAGAGCACGATGAATAACTCGATTGGGCCGAAAATGGAAGAGGAAGGGAAACGAGAGACAATAGTAGTGGAATTAATTGGAGAGCTGTTTGGAATGCTGCAAGTGACAACGGTACGAAAGAGAATCCAATTGGAATTGGAAAATTGTGGAAGACTTTTCAGAACTTTTCAGAACTTTAAACGACATTGCAAGCAGCGCCAAACAGTGCGCAATCAGCTAGTTTAAGTATCCACTGGCGGCAGCTCTCAAAAGTGTCTGTGTGACCGAGTGGATAACGCTTTTGTCCTCAATCCTCATGGAATCTGATAGTGGCGCGTTCGAATTCAAAAATATTCAACCTTTTTTGGTTTTTTGTCTACCACAAAATAGAGAAAAGTATTGTTCCCAAGATCTCCAGAGAAAAAAAAAACTTCAGAATCTTGAAACTTGAGAGATAAGTTTCAGAAAAAGAATGAGGTGAAGTAGAGATCGCGAAAACAGATCGAAAACTATAGTTCCGAGAATTCGAGACAACTGACCATAAAACGGGTAGAAAGAGGAAAGCTAATTGGAAAATAAGACACCCAGGAATTCATTGCGCCCCGCTTTCGGTCGTTCTGACCCACACGCCCAAAAATAGGATTGTTTATGTGTTGCCACGGATCATCTGATAGCACATGACGTGGCAACGGTTGGATGCAAATGGGATGCGTTGCACGTCATTCTGCTCCCAACAAAGAATGGAGCGAATTGGGGGTGGCTGACCCCGGAAGGATAGCGCACCACGACGGCTGCAATTTGGACGGATATAGGACATTTGGGAGGTAATTCGGTAAGCGGGATGGAAGAAAAAGAAGAAGCAAGGTCTCAGAGATTGGGCCGAGCCCCTGCTCTTTCGACGAACATCCAAGATGATGAGTACTCGCTTGTTTTTGTGACCCATTTTCCAGTGCAAAAGGGCAAAGTAGACGAAAACATTCATTAGTACAGTAGCTGTTTCTTTTAGGCAAAAAAAAATGTTGACAAAGTGGGGTCGAGCAAAAAAAGTTCTAACGCTCTACCACTGCGCCACGCGCGACACGTTGCGCAGCAGCTCCCAGGGCGTTGTCATTCTTGACGTGGACCAACAGGATGTAACTATTGGAGCCTTGAAATTTCTCTGTTTTGCCCGATAGCGAAGAAAAAAAGCGGAAATAGAGAGCCAGCCTACTTCATCGGAAGCAAAGGAAAGGAAAACTGGAAATCTCATTTTGATTGAATCCAATAACTCATCTTTCATTTCATGCGCTACGCCCGCCGCCTTCGGAACGCGCAAAACAAAAAGGAGCCGCCTTGTGAGCGGGGGGCGAGGGGGACCAAAAAACGAAAGAAATCATAGTTGACTCTGTCTGTTCTGGAATTCCAAAGTTCGGTCTCAAACGCAAATCGCAAAAGTTTTCGGACAGCTGAACAGGAGAACAAGCAGCACTCCTCAAAAGTGGAAGCAATCAGAGAGGGGAGGGGATTTGTCGGAAAAACCCGAGTCGGATGTGTGTTTGCTGCTCGCCGAGCACCACACCAGCCAAGGAGTGCTCACGCGGCGAGCCACGGAAGGGCAAAAAGTTTGAGGAGCCATCATGAGAAGGATTGGCTGGTTGCAGCAGATTGGAGACGAGATTTATGAAACAAACATGCGTATTATGTATGTTCATAAATACAAAAAAGAGAATCAAGGGACGTTGGGGAGAGATACTTTGTTAGATTAAAAAATGACTGACGCACGCACCGTCTCCATGACTTACAATAGGCGCAAGCGCGCTCCGTCGCACAAACATCCGTGGAAAATGTACCAAAATGTCAGAAAGCTGGAGAACTATCGTGTTCTCGTCGCTGTTTAGCACAGAAATCAGGGAAAAAAGTGCTCAGTTCATGAAAACGCCATTAGGCGGAGGCCACGCCCCTTTTGTAAGCTCTGGAGACGGTGTGACGATGGCTAGTTGCAAAAACAAAAAGTGAGCCTTGCCTGGATTACCCCCCACTACCCAAAAATTATTTATGACGTGGAACGGGAGGCCACACGTCACTGAACACCGCGCGCGCTCAAAATGTGAAAGTGTCGGCCGGGCGTGGAGCACTTTTCGGCTCATAATTTACACTCAATCTCTGGAGAGCACACCGCCACGAAAAGGCGGAAAAAGGGAAGCGAGAAACGTTTGCGAAAAGGTTCCTCGCAGTTTCTTTCGAAAAAGTTCTCTCTCTCTCTCTCTGTCGATCATTTTGCGGGCAGCAATATAGATTCAGGAGCGATAAGAAAGGGATAATGATCGAGAAACACGAGGTGAGCACACGAAACGATTGATGGATGGATGGATGAATGACAGGGACGGCCCGAGTGCAAAAACGACTGATATTCATTCGAAGCGCTGTCCCTGCCGATATCATCCGAGTATTTCGGGGTGTGGTGACAACTGATGGTGCTGCTGGTGATTGCAAGATGAAGGGTCGTCAGGCAGCTTCTTCTTCGGAGCGAGCGAGCAGAAAACGAAACTTACTTGCAGGGACTCGAACTCGCCGCTTTTAGATAGATCATGAAGCAAAACTGTAAGCCGACATGTGCGGAACATGTCGGGCGGAGAAGAAGAAGAAGAAGAAGAAGAAGAAGAAGAAGAGAAAACGGAAAGTTTCCATGGAAAGACACCGAAAAACGCGAAATAAAACGGAGAAAAGGAGCAGCACAACAACATGGTAACTAACCGCCCTTTTCATCCTCCACATGCACCCGTCCTAATTAATGCGCAGCACACAAATTATTAGATTTCCGGCGGCGGCGGCGCCTACATGCGAGCTCTCAATGCGGTCTGCTCCTCCCTTCCTTCCTTTCATTTCATTTCATTTCTTTTCATTCACCAGCTGTTGTCATCTTCTACTTTGATTACACTTTTTCACTTAAACAAATATTATGTTTCATCAGTCAAGAGTCAAAACTTTCTCGTTTTCCAATGAGATGACGGCATTCAAAGAGAGAGAGCAAAGAATCAGAAGAATTCAGTGTGAAACTCAAAGAAACGGACAATATCACAAGTCCAGAGCGAGTGTGAATGAATGGAACTTTTCGTCCATCTCTCTGATAACCCCCCTCTCGTTTTTTCCCATTACACTTTCGTTTTCGACGCGTGATTTATCGCAAGGCTCCCCAAAACTTTTACACACCTTTTTTCCGACTCGTAAAGATTTATTATCTGTTGCACATGAAAAATGTTCGAATTCAAAACGATAAAGGCGTCTTTTTGAGCGTTCCGATTAGGTGCTCGTCGAGCTTCTTCTCCACAAACTTCCACGCGATTCCATGGGATGCGACGAAGGGAAGTACTGTGGAGGTGTCCTGGGGCAAATGTGCATTAGGATTAGGATTAAAAGTTGCATTATGCTCCTAATTCATTCGCGACTGCTAGAACAAGATCATGGCGTCAAAGTTCACTTTGTACACATTCAATCTTGATTTTCTCGGTCAATTTTAAACATATTTTGAATGTTAAAATGCGAATCGGACGATCATTTCGTGCTCTACAACATTTCTGTTAATCATTTTGTATTTAAATTTTTTTGCGTCCAGATATTTTCAGTGTGAATGACAAGATGCAAGTTTTAGCGCGCGCTACTTGACACCTTCAATAATACAAGAATATCTCAGCACAGGAAGATTATTGTGAAAAATAGTCAACTACAAAGGTGTAGAGCATAAAATTGTCTTTCGATTCGTTTTTTAACATTTGTAAAATCTTCAAAATTGAACGAGAAAATCGAGGGCAAAGTTTGACTAAATCGAGTGCGAACCTTGCCAGCGTAGCGAAGAATGGCCAATCCTCCGGGGTGCTGGTTGAAGTACGGAGTCATATTGTACACCTTAAATAAATAAATATATATAAAGTACATAATTTGAGAGAAAAACTCACTTTATCCCTGAAAATGATCCACAAATCGTCGTGAGTGCAGTGCTGTTCCACATCGCTTCTCGTGTACTCTTTCAGTGTTCTCGTAGACATTTCTGGACAAACTAGTCGCCGAAAATATGAAGAAAAGTGGTTGCTATGCGAGCCGAGGGAACGGAAATGAGTGTCGAGGGGCTCAGTTCATGAATAATTCTGCTCTTGCTCAAGAAGGTTTCCGGGGGGCGAGCCGAGGATAAAGTGCATGAAAAGAGGGAGAGAGTCTGCGAATATCATGTATTTGGAGAGAAATTGCATAGCCATGAATCATGAAAGGTAAGAAATGTGGACCCGTGCAAGAACGATAATACAAAACGGGACAGTATTGTGCATTCGTCGGAATCTTCTAGAGTTATGCGCCTTTAAATTTGAGGCGAATACGGTAGATCAACGTTTTTTTTGTGGAAAAAATCAGATTTCAAGCGTGTATTTGAAGAGTAATACGATGAAATTCTTTCATAAACTGTTTCTAGTCACATTTGTTAAAAAATTTGACACAGAGAACCGTCTGAAATTACCGTAAAAATTGTAATAGAATGTGGTCCCCAATGTGGTCCGTTCAGGACAATGTATCTCAGTTGCTATTGTAGATATCAAAAGGTTGTCAACTGATAAAATGTACACCATGTCTCAATGCAAAATTTATCAGTTGACATCTTTTTGATATCTCTACCGGCAGCTGAGATACATTCTTCTGACCAGACGCTATTGTGGTGCACTATTTACGGTTGCTCTTTTTTGTCAGCCGTATCCGCCTCGAATTTAAAGGCGCAGAGACCCACACAGTCCGACGAATGCATAACAATGATACAATAGCAGATTTTATGGAAACATGAATAGCAAGAGTTGACTCTAAGTTTTCTCTGACCGAATGAACATCTCTAGCTTCTGCATAGCTCGACAATATTCATGTCATTTCCATGTTTTTCCGGCTATTGCAGTGTCCCGTGCACAATAACAACAGGAATTAGAAGTTGTTATTCATCCAACACAGACCGCACGTGAAGGCGCAGTAGTAATGACGGGCCTGGAGCGAGTAGAACGGGTTAACACAGAAGCCATTCCATGCGTAGGCGGCACAACTGCAACGGGGAATCAGTTAGTTGACGAGACGGAGGACCGGGAACGGTGACTGGCGGATGAGTAGAAGTTGAACATGTTATGAAAGTTGGAACCGAAAAAGTTATGACTATTATCTCTACAGTCTCGACACGTGAATCGACAGTTCTTTCTAATGTTTCTATTCCGACAGAGCCCGAAAAACAGATAGAAATCGCAGCTGAAAATGGAAATGAACGAAGGGACAGCGGGCGACGAACTGACTTGGGATGCAGATCCTGACAGCTGCTCACGATCGGCGCGTACGTTGAGGAGGAGGGTGACGTGGCGGGCGCGTCGGCCGACGGACCCACCGTCCGATAATCGAGGACGGCTTTCGTGCTCGCGTACCGATTGAACATCACAATTGGGACGAGCGATCCTGTTGAGCGGTGGACGGTGTTCGCGTCGGCGGATGAACAATATCTGGAAGCGATTCAATGTTTTTTTGCGCGAAATGTTAGGCAATTATGACTTTTTTGAAACAGTTAAAGCCAGCCACGTTCGAAAGTACACTACGGACTACAAATGCTCGAATTTGGACACTTTCGACGCGTTAGATGTGCAGGTTGTCGCCCCCAATTGGCTGCGTAGCGACTCAAAAGCGCTCACCTGTATCCAGTCAACTTCTGATCCTTGTTCGTCTTCACTTCGATTCCGCCAAAAATGCAGCCATCAATCGTGACGGCCGTCAATCCATTAATGCGAATTTCGATGGCCTGACCCTCGGGCGCTTGCACCCAATAATTGCACATTGTGTGATTGTCGCGAAGCGTCGGAAGACCGTCACCGATCGTGTTGCTGATTGTCTGCCACGTGTCGGTCGCGTTCAAAGTCTGTCCACATCCGGGCGGCTGCAAATGTTCGGATTGTATTCGTCGTGCACAAGTTTGCTCTCTCCGTACCCGTTGGTCACACAAAGTGCCACCGTAACCCGACGGACAAATGCAGACGGCACAGTTTCGCGGGCTCGCAAATCCTCCGTTTGTGCACTGAGCCGATGTCGCCGACGGACACAGTTCTGACATGTTCATTTGAGATCTAGCCGAAGAACTTGAATATCGTAACGTACCCTTACACTTGTAATGCTCGTTCATCATCGAGATATCGTAAAAGCCGACAAAGTCCGATCCCATAGTATCCTGGTACTCGGTGTCTCTCGCCACCATCGTCGGTTTGTCGTTCGAAGAGGCACTCGTCGCGCCGTACTGCATGATCGATCCGTAATCGTACGGCATTCCGTAGTTGTAGTTCGTCGATTGGCTTTCCTTATCGAATTGTTCCACGTAAGACCGCTAAACAAATACTCTGTTTTGAAGTTAATTGAAAATGCGTGATTTAGATCAGGACTGGGCCGGCACAGGTTTTGTGAGAATCGGACTTGGATCGAAGTAGTTTGGGACTGATTCCTTCTAGATATATGTGGATCCAAGAAAATCCGATCGGTCTGAAACTTGGTCCCAAAATACTCCAATCCAAGTCTTAGAAGCCTGCAAAGTTTGGACCCAATCAGATTATTTCAAATAGGTCAAGAGCCAGCCCATCCTTAGTTTACATCGATGTTTGCGTAGTTAATCGAAATGTAGTTGTCCCGATCGTATCTGGATTGAGTGTGAAAGAAGCCGAGAGCATGCCCGAGTTCATGAGCGGCCGTGCCAAACTGAAAGTGCCACCGTACTTTAAAGGCGCATCGTCATTTCCGTGATCGCAAACCTCTTCGCAGCCGGTGCCCAGGGACAAGTCCTGAACTCCGCTGATTCGGCCCACGTACGAATAGCACCCTTGTCCTTTGAAGACGCGAATTCTGTTCACAGCTGAAAATCGACGGTCGAAAAAGGGAATTTCTCGGTTTCCCCGCATACCTGTGCTACTCTGATAAATGTTGATACAAGTGACATTCTGCCAGAACGCGACCGCCTGTTCGAACGCTTTCACAATTTTCGCCGCTGAACATGCAGCACATTACGGTCTCATAAAACGGCGGCCGAAAAACACTCACTTGCCGTTGTGTCGTAGTAGTAATAGACAGATGTTCCCCACGTGGTTGACGGATAATATCGATCACTGAAAGCGAGTGGAAGATGATGTTGGAAGAGTGAAAAGAAGGGGGGGAGGGGGTCTTACCGATAGGCTTGTCTCTTGGACCGGGTGTCTTGTTGCTGAGCTTCCAGGATTGTGGAGATTTGCTCACTGAACATGTACATTTACAATAGCTACTGAAAGGAGGCGTTTGCAGAGAAAACATCTATATTTATACAATTGCTTACATCGTTTTTTACATCGAAAACTAGCTCATACACTTTGGCTTCAAATAGTCAAAATTAGATCTCGATTATCTCCGTCATTTTTAAAGATTGTTTAAATATTAAAAAACAAATGCAAATATAAATGTATGGCCTACAACTGTTCAGTTAATCACTTTTTGTTTGCATGCCTGTGCGTTGAGATATTTTGGCTTGAATGCAAAGACTACGTACTTGGTACTTTCAATTATGCAAAAATATCTCGGCACCGAAACATGATCATGAAAAGTTGTCAGATAGAAAGTTGTAGAGCATAGAATTATCTGTCGATTCGTTTGTTTATTCGCGCGCGGAAAGAAAGGATATGAGTAGTAGGAATCATAATAAAACAGGCGGAAAAAGATCGATCAAATGGATCCTGTAGATCGGGTCCTAATGGGATCGCGCGCAGCAAAGGCCGTCTGTACTCATTTTACGCGGTATTAGTTTGACGATATGATTTCATAACGACAAGTTAGTATAACATCTCATCTTCAGAATTGACCAAGAGAATCAAGAGCGAAGATTGACTATGTACTATCAATCAATCCACCATACAACCCCTTATTTTCAGAGAAGAAAAGACGGAAATTTTCTGCCAAAAACGCCTCGAAATCGATGCAACAAACTCTGTGAGCACCATATCGCCTTGGTACAGAATGTCATTGAGCCCGGCGGCCCTGTTCACTTGATGTAGAGTATCTCCCTCCACTTTTATCCGATCTCTCGGCTTGTCTCGCAATGGTTTTTGCTGAAAAGTCGGTTATCTTAAACACATTGATATTATCAAACTAGTTCCAGAATCCCGTTCGTTTGACCCTGATCGCTCCCGGACAGATAGCTCCTCGCCGGCATCGCTTGTAACTTTGCCGACCAGTTTTGGCGGAGAGAGTTGAGCGCGTTTCGCATCCGAGGCACGTTTGTACGGGGAAATGTCTGAAGTTAAGTTGGTCGTGATGTGATTTTGAAGTTGAATTCGACTTCGAACCGTACCTTTGCCAACTCATCGTCGCTCAAGCCAGACACCGTCGACGCGGCTCCCAAATTGAGTTTGTTCTGATTCAACGCCTGATCGACGTCGATCTGAGCGACGGTGGAGTCGAAATTAACAAAAGTCAATAAGAATAGACAGTAGAAGAGCATGTTTCGTGTGTCTCCGGCAACGGATGACGATGATGATATTGGGGAAGTGATGGGAGGGCGAAATGCGAAAGAAACAAAGCGGATTACGGTCAAACCAGAACGAGTAGGAGGCAGTTTGTGTTGGAAAGAGAGAGAGAGAGAGAGAGGTGATGAACTTTTCGAAATAAAAAAAACGGCGGTGGTGTTGAGTCAGTCGTCCGAGGACATTTTGACAGGAGTTCTGGGAGTGTAGCAGCACGCAAGAAGGGTACGAGTGGGCATTCCGTCTATTCAAGACAATGTATCTCGGCTGTTTGAAGAGATATCAAAAAGTTGTCAACTGATAAAATGTACAAAATGTGTTAATGAAAAATTTATTAGTTGACAACGTTTTGATATCTCTGCAGATAGCTGAGACATATTGTCTTGAATAAAGCCTGCCGTATCCATGACAATCATCAAGTTGGATGCGTTCTTCTCTGGATCGAACGGCCTGTTGCACACGAGTTCGACAGTGGTTCTTGGATTTATTTTTGGAACTACAGTGCTCTTGAGCTAGAAAAAATATTTCTCAACTAGAAAAAAAATGTGCAAAACAAGTAAAACGTGTTGTTGTATGACCGTTCAATCTTTGATCTCATTTATCCACATCCGTTCGATTCTTTCGAAACATTCTCATTCTCATCATCGTGATCCTCCTCTCGTCAACATCGATTCCCGTTCCCAAATGACATCAACTGATAATCCCCCCGCGCCGTAAAACTTTTCAGTATTTTCTCTTTATTCAGCACACGATTCATTTGACACGTTCCGACGGAGACGAGGCGATCGAGGAAGCGGAAGAAGACGTCGGCACGCTCGTGACGGTGTTCGGGAAGACGGCCTCGCTCGACACTCCGCGCAGACTCGACGACTCCGGATCGTCGGGATCCTAAAGTTCTTTGCATCCCGGATAATGTGTACTGGAAGGCGTTACCAGAAAGTTGTCGGAGATCATGAGCAACGCGGCGTCCCTTCTCCGCTTCTCCTCCGCCTCCTTCTGTCCGCGCTCGCACTTTCGGTCATTCGCCGAGCAAAAAGTGGCAATCACAACGCAGGAAATGAGATTGACAACGAGTACAACGAGAAGAGGCATGCTTGGGAAGGAAATGAGAGGCACTTCCTTCCTTCCCGGTTCCCACACGTGAACTATTGCGAATATTTGCGAAACTGGACTAGAGTTTAGAGTTTAGAGTATGAACACGCACGCGTGTTGTTCAGAATGAGAACAATTGGGAACCAGACGTCTATAGACGACGTCACTGTTATTCAGATTTCAGATTTAGGCCATGAAGTGGAATGTAAGCATTTTGGGTAAGCATGTCCTTTAAGGACCAGTGACACGTGAATCCTTGCGATACTTTCAGATTTCCAGAATCACCTGTTTGACTTTCAGTCTAAATGTACCTTTTCCGTTTGGAAGTGTCTGGTTGATGTCCGGGAGTCCATTATGGATCTGTGAACGTGAAAGGAAAATGACTGGATTCCAGAGATTCGCGATAGCTTCAGATTTCCGAAGATTGTGGAATAATTTGTCCATGCCCCCCAAGTGATGACTTTCAGAGATTCGTTTTCATCTCCCTTTCGTTGGGTTCGTACTTTTCAGTGCCCTTTTACCTTTAAAGTACTTTTCAAAGCGCAAACCTATCCGTTTGTCATAGTTTCCTCGCATTCTGACACTCGTCGCTGTCTGATCATTTGCTGACAAACCAGACTGGACTGTGATCTCGTCTCGAATTTAGCTCACAAGATCGCTTCCCAAATGTCTCCTGCTCTTTCTTTTTTCCCACCGAATTCGTTATCAGTAGTCGTAGTACTAGTCCACACTTTGAAAGGTTTCTCCCCTCTCGCCAATTATGGGCACGCGCACAACTTTCTTCTTGAAATATATTTTGTTTCCTCTCTCCCTCCCTCCATCCATCCAGCCATCAGAATTACGGCCAGCCGCAGGTGGTGTGCGCTGTGCCAATGCGAATCGAATCGAATCAGGCGGGAGGAGAGCGAGGTGAGCATGGCAACCAACAACTGCGGGCTCACGCGCGAGCCCCCGACGAAGCACCGGCTGATTAGTGTTGTCGCGTAGAGTCGAGAGCCGCTTTCTTCTTCTTCTTCTTCTCTTTCTTTCCTTCATCAAATGGCTTCCTCTTCCACCTTTTTTCTTCTCAAGTCTTTGCACTCCCATCTTCCAGAATGTCCATCATCCACAACATGCTCTTCGTCATCGCGTTCGTCGGCGTCGCCCACGCACTCAAGTGCCATCTCATATCGTACGGAAACCTCAGCGACGCGAACGCCATCACCACGAGCACCTCTCTCCAGGACTGCCCGATAGGCGCCAATTCGTGCGTCAAAACGATCGACTACTCGCGCAACGTCTTCTCGAAACAGTGCCAGATCGGAAATTGCACAGTGAGTCAACGGCATCGATCGTCGTCATCGATTTCTATCCATCCACTTTCAGACGGCGACCGGGGTGACCCAAGCACCCGCCAACTGCTTCAACTCCACGTCGAACGGAGCCGTGATGGCCACTTGTTGCTGCTATGGAGACGGGTAATTGTGAAAGATTTCGAAATCTGAAAACGATTGGGATGAATCAAACAGCTGAAAACTTTCTGCGAATTAGTTGTTTACGCGCTTGCGCCCCTCTGTTGGGTACATCTGAACTCATTTTCAGATGCAACGCAAGTCCGTCGCTTCTGCCGCTCGTCTCTTCAATCCTCGCCGTGCTGACGTCGGCCTTCCTCCTCTCCTAGTCCCCAGCCGCCGCTCCCAGCCGTCTATGTCACCCATTTCGCTAACAACCGTATGTATATATAAATGATCAAGCATCAGTCAAACTCTCACTAATTAGCCCCCAAACCCACTCTCCTAAAGTTTCGCAGCTCTCTCTCTCTCTCTCTCTCTCTCTCTCTCTCTCTCTGTCTTGCACTTTTCGACACGTTTTTGGCTTCACTGTGATATGCTGCTCATTCTCAACTCTCTTGCATATACTCATTGTCAAAACTTATGCATATATCAATAAAACCGACAATAATACACGTGTCATAGTCGTAGAAACACAACAACTCACACTTGATGTTGATGTCCGGTGAGTGCTGGGAAAAAGTAGTACGGAATGGAAGTCGTTATAACAATCAGCTGGTGGTGAAGTCGTCGAGAAGTCGGCACACTGACTTTGTGCGACGCCAAAAAGCACCCGGGTTTTGTTTCCCAAGTTTTGTGATGTGGTGGTGCTGATCATTGGAGAGGGAGGGGAGGGACCAGGCGGCGGATAACATCAGCAACTCGGGTTTTGCTTGAACAGGAAATTGAACTCGGGTTCATGCGGGTTCAAGCTGTGATTGAGGACTTGCAGAAGATGGATGGTAGCGTTTCGAAAGTGCTTATGAAGGACTATGAAGGCCTTCAGAATGGATTGCCAAAGATTGATTCACAATTGGAACAACTTTTCAAATCGCGAATATGAAAACACTTTGCAATGTTTGCTCCAGAAGAAAAAGAACCTGCTCGTCATCCGGAAAATTCTACTTAAACGGGTGAAGCATTAGCAACATAATTCCAACTTTCTGACTCATTCCACACTCCAAATGAGCAGGTCCCTGTTCGGCGCCAAACTTTTTTGTGAATAAGATCCGGTTGGCGGCAATTCAAATCAGAAAACCCGCCGTCACCTATAATCGAAGAAAAAAACGGAATACCAGGAAAAGCGGCGGTGCCAATCAATTGAGTTTTCGGGCTCTAAGTGATCAAATCAAAAGTTGGATTGATTTCACAATAATGGCAAGAAAGTGTGATGTTCGGTCGGAAATCTCAGGTCTACACTCTGCTCATTTCGCTTCTTGTCTGGCTTCTTCTAGGGAAAACAACAAGCCCTTTCTTTTCCAATCTTTCCAATATCTCAGTGTGGTCTCTTCAACCATCAATCACTCACTCGTAGACTTTACTTTTTCTAATATTTTTCGCCGCTCGAAACGTGAGAGCCCAAAAACTCGAATCTGCTCCATCCGCCGGGGCTCCGCCCATCCCCGGCTCACTGATCAGCTCAACACTACGGTGTCGAGAGCCAGCCAAGCCAGAGTGCTCATTTTCCTGCTCTTTTTCTCCTCTCGCGCTCATTACCCCCATTCCACCTGTCTCTTGTTTCACTCTCGTTGCCATTGTGACCGGCCGACGCCTTTCGCGAGCTCTCTGCGTGCCTACCCCTCGCCCAGTCCATGCGCTAATCATTTGATAATTGTGGAGCGGAGCGCACCGGAAATTTCAGTGTCACACGGCAACAAAGTGTCCGCCCAGCGCCGCCCAGCCTATCCCAAATCTCCCCTCCTCATTTTCAATTTCCTCTCCTTTCCCGGCTCTTGCTTTTCGGCTCTCCTCAAAGGCTTCACCTCTTCGCTTGGCTTTCAGAATGTTCATGCTCCGTACCGTCTTGCTGCTCGCCGTCGTCGGCGTGTTCGTCGTCGAGTCGCTCAAGTGCCACGTCGTCGCCGCCGGCAACCTCTCGATCGCCGACACGTCGACCGCTCAGGACTGCGGCCTCGGCTCGCTGACGTGCGTGAAAGTCGTCGACTTCACCCGCGGAACGTACACCAAGCAGTGCCAGACGATGAATTGCACGGTAGGCGCTCTCACGGTTACCATAGCGTCGCGCTTGTGCTTATCACCTGCTCGGCTCGGCTGAGAGCTTCGAGCCGAGAGCTGACAACAAATATCACATGAGCTTACTTGACCAGTGCGCGCGCGCGCGTGCGCACACGATTCCTCATTAGGCGCACGTATGAAAAGTAGTACGTTTGGTGGGAAAACGAGTGATTGCAGATGAACAACATCCAAAACTCGGTGGCCAACTGCCAGAACACCTCCTCGTTCGGAGTGTCCGCGATGACTTGCTGCTGCTACGGAGACGCGTACGTTCATCCGCCCCGTCGCATCTCTTTGAGACCTACAATATCCGATTTTCAGTTGCAACTCGGCCCCACAAACCGGATTCATCTCGGTCGTCGGATTCGCCGCCGTCTCCGCCGCTCTCCTGCACTACATCTCCTAAATTGGCCCGTGTCCTTTAGGAATAACCGTTAACTTCTCCCCCCAACATCTCATCACTCGAACTTTCGCTCTTTTACAAATATCTCCCCCCGCAAAACAATCTCTCCAGTGATAGAAGATATTAAATAACTTATTTATATTGGATCTCTCAAGTTAAATCATAAATCAATAAGTCAATATCAATAAACTATTCCATTTATCATCATAGCACCTCCGTTTTTTCGCCGTCGCACTTCAGAACTGCGTAGGCGAGTTCATTCGAGTGCTTCTTCGCGCCTTTTACGAAACGGCGAACTTCTTCGCACTTGGCGTCGTCGTCGATTTCAAAGAGAACTGCGAACTTTCCGCCGTGGTCCACTATGGATTGTTTGATGTTGTCCGACGGGTAACGAATCCCTTCGGACTTTGAGTAGTCGTCCACCTAAACTACTATGTATCTCAGTTGTCTGAAGAGATATCAAAAAGTTGTCAAGTGATAAAATGTAGAAAATATTGATGTGAGCAACTTGTTAGTTGACAACATTTTGATATCTCCACTGGCAGTTGAGATAAAGCCTACCGTATCCTTGACAATCTTCAAGTTCGATGCGTTCTTTTCCGGATCGAACGACCTGTTGGACACGAGTTCGACAGTGATTCTCGGAAGGTTCACGCCACTTCCTTCCTTCGTGAGAAGTTGGTCATCAGAAGAGCACGAGCACTGAAAACAGATAAAAAGGACGTCTGAAAATGAGAGCGAATTCGGAGAACGTACCAAAAGTGCGAACGAGGCAAACACAACCACGAATCGGATCATCATCGATCGAACGATGTTTCTCTCGCCAATTCTTTGTGCTTTTATAGCATACTGTTCTGTTTGTTCCCCCGCTGGGGCTTTCTTTGATAATAATAATAATAACAATAATAATAATGTAGACCAACTATACGGAAAACATTTCACTTTCAAACTAAACAAAGTTGTTGGGAGTCGATGGGTTCCTATTTTTTGCAGAATGTCCCTGTTCGTTCCCACTGAAAACGGTCGTCGGGGCGGGCACTCATGTGACGTGGCAAGATATGGAAGAAGCGATGCAACACGCATTCATTCTACCAGTGAACTTTGAGACACTATAGCTGAAAGTGTGTCCTACGCCTCGTGGCTCATAAACCACACTTTGTGTGGCGAGAAATCGACGTCAAACTGTCTTTTACCCGTATTGAAATGTGTCCGGAGTGTTATTAAAAGAGAAGCAACTGATAAGGTGGCACGTGGGTATAAAGCACTAGCTCGGCGGCTTACATTCGTAGTTTTATACTTCTCCTGACCCCATTTGAAAATGTCGCTTTACAAAGTAGCCGACGGTCTTCTTGGAACTCATGTGACGTGGCAAGAAGTGGAGGAGGAGATGCAGAAGGCGTTGGACACGAGTGTCACGTTTGGAGAGGATAAGAAGGCCACGAATATTAGTGATATGAAGGTGAGAGACATTAGATTTTATGGATAGTTATAGTAATTGTTATAGAACTTTTCAGGGTTTCATGTCCAGAATCGCACTGGTCGAGCCACATTGGGTTGGAGGTTCGGATGAAGAGAAAGAGAAACAAAAGCTTCCGGAAAAGTTCATTGTGAAGATCTCGTCCCAACTTCCGTTTATCGAAATGACCAAGCTTATGGACTTTAACAACGAAGAGTTGTGGGTAGATGAGAAGCTGGACGCAATGGGAGAAGTGACGCGAATGCTGCACAACCGAGAAGTCGCCACGTATCGATTGTTGATGAGGGAGAACCATCCGAACATTCCGTTCACAAAGGTCTACGCGCTCAAGGAGTTCGATGAGCACAATCACCTCAAGGCGTACATAATTACCGAGTACGTGCCGAACGTGCATCACATCGGAATGCACGACTGCATTCCCGCTGCCGACATTCTCCCGATCGTCCGTGCCGTCGCCGCGTTCTCGGCCATCGGAATGAAGCTGTCGGAGGAGGAGACGAAATTCGCGCGTGGTCCCGACTTTCTCGACGTTGTCCTCGGACAGTTTATGGATGAGAAGACGACGAAGAAGACGGAGGAGATGATGCGAATGGCGTTTCCGGAAGAGTACTCGGAGGCCGTGGAGAAGATGTTGAAGTACAATCGGGAGTATTACACCAATCCGAAGATGATCGCCAAGTTCAAGCTGACGAGTCAGTTCTTCGGCTACACTCCAGTCATGACCCATTCCGACCTTTGGAGCTCCAACTTTTTGTGCACAAAAGACGGCGACAAAGTGATCCTGAAGGCGATAATTGACTATCAGGTGACTCCGAATCGCACGTTTATCACTTTTTCTTCTTCTTCAGACCGTCTCGTTCGCTTCGCCGGCACAAGACGTCGGACGTCTTTTCGCGGCGTGTTTATCAAAGGATGATCGAAGAGAGAAGCAGGACTACTTGCTCAAAGAGTACTACAACACGTTTGTGGAGGAGCTCGACGGAATTCCGGCGCCGTACACTTTGCAGCAGTTGAAAGACAGCTACGACGTCTATTTCCCACTGATGACCCTATTTGTGCTTCCCGGAATCGTTCCACTGCTCGAGCATTTGAATGTGAGCGAAGAGTGTCGGGAGTCGTTGAAAGAGGCGGCGATGGACAAGATGGTGGGCCTTCTGGAGGACGCCGTCAGCACTCACGAGGCCAGTTTTGAAAAGTTTCCCGAATATTTCAAGTTTTGAACGGTTTTTTTATTCGCTAATAAATGTAAATGTACAAAAATTGTTCACGCTTCAACTGTTCGCTTCCGGTTAACAATGAAATCCTCGAGTGGCTTGTTCTTCGTCTCAGGGATCAAAAACTGAAATTTTTGTGTAGCAACGGTCTTTCAAAACATTTTCAACTTACCCTAAAGAAAATAAAGTCGGCTAAGCCGATGGCTAGCAAAATTGCGTAGGGAAGAAGTGGAAACTCGATTCCGGTGTATAAATTCTGAAATTCTTTAATTTATAAAGCTACATACTCGGCAAACCTTTGTAACTTTTGTGCAAAGCCTACGCAACTTGGCGCAGCTGGCAAGTTGCACAAAAGTTGCAGAAGTTTGCCGAACATTGAATTTCTTACCAAATGAAATACATGTGGAGCCACAACAATTCCGAACCGAGAGCACAACTGAGCAGTCGAGTAGGAAATGGATCGGATGGCGGTGGGCATCAACTCGTTCGAAGTGATACTCGCCACAATGATAGCTTGTGACGTCATCGCACAGGAAAGAAGCACTCCGGCTCGGATGACACTTGCAAAGACCGTGGTGGTGCCGGTCAGACAGAAGCCGATAATAGCGACGATGATGGCGATGGTGACGAGGCTGCAGACGCCGTGGCACATTTTTCGATCGAATTTCACGAATTTGTAGTCCAAATAGCCGGTGCAAAGGCTGAAAGAGTAGCGGAGAAGGCCGATGAGGATGGAGTTCATGTAGATGGAGCCGGCCACTGCGCCCAGATTGAACATTATCGAGTAGTTGATCAGAGTGGTCGCGAAGCTGGAAACCGACATGGATTTGCTGGAGTCTTAGACTTGGATTGAAATATTGTTGGTTTCAGTTTCAGACCGACTGATTTAGGGCCTAAAAACTCTTATTTTGCGCGACACTACAATTCTAGAGATACTCCAAAATGTCCGATTACAAGTGGACTCACAAAGTGAACGCAATCACAAACGTGCCGGTCATGATCTCTCTCGTCTTGAACAAATGCCAAAACGAGTGTTGTTTCCCGACTCGCGTGTTCGACTCCGACGCCAATTTATCGTGCTCATTTTCCAGAAACTCCTCCAACTCCACGTCGTTCAACGCGCTGCTCGGTGCTGCTGCGCCGTCGAACTTCTCAATCGCCAAAAACACTTTTTTCGCTTGATCCACTCGTCCTTTTTGCATCAACCAACGGGGACTCTCGTGGAGAAACCTGCCGTATTCAAATGTTTTCAGTGCTGTAAGATCATTGGAACTCACGCCAACATGACAATCGCGGGCACCGTCAGAAACGAGATGACGAGTGCCAACTGACTCCATTGTTGGAAGAAGAACGCGAGGATGCCGAGCAGAATCACATTCGGAGAGTAGCTGATCAGTGTGGACACGTACATCCGAGTCCGCTTCGGAATGTTCTCTATCATGTACACCACCGATATTCTGCACTGATTTCGATTTTGAATTTGTGCTTTTTGAGTGTACTCACGTGCTTTGGCCGCCATTGAAGAAACAAAGTGCCGTTCGGAAGATGGTGAACTTTGTGAAGTCGGCAGCCAACGCCGACATGATTCCGAAAACGAAGCACATGCACAGACAGAACATCATTGGCTGTAAGGCCGGAGTCATTGGGTCAACGGTTTGAAATCTCACTTTCTTCCTTCCATAAAGGTCGCCAATCTGTCCGAACACCACGCATCCCAACATGACTCCGATCATCTGAATCGAAGTGCCCATCTTCTCCAACTTTGCGTCTTCGCACAACAGTTTGAATTGCTCGGAAATGCCATAGAATTGACGCTCAAACGTCATATTCTGATGCTCTTTACAATAACTATACTGCGCGCACGCCTCCTCGTTCGTGGCGAACGTCGTGTTTCCGCAAGATTTGATGATTGGAGGAGCTCCTGAATAGAGAAATGTGCCACGTTTGAGTACTAGTACTCGTGAACATTATTACCTGCATAGACCATGAGCATAGTGTTGGACAGTTGTGACAACATGGCGACCTCCACGAAAATACAAAGTACAATCGAGTATCGACCCATTTTGAGGAGATCATCACTGTGCGCGGCATTATGCATGGTTGACATGTTTTCTGAATTAAAAAACTTTCAAAAAGTGTATAAAGAATGACACCGTGACCGACTGTCTAGAGGTTGCAAAACGGTTTCGTTCTCGGATGACGTCATCGTTTGTCTTGTTGGAATGGTCGATTGGAGTGGAGTGATATGGACAGTCGGAGAGTACAAGAGAGGTAAACTGGACAGTTTGATTTGATATTATATTATTATGTTAAACACCACGACTGGACTGCAGATAGCGGGCGCACGGGCACACACACATACGCACACTTTTAACGAGTGCTCAATTTGGAGTGGGTTCCTATCTTTATGCAAAACAATTTTGTAGTTGGCCATTTGATCTGCAAACTTTTCGCTCTCAATTTATACACTTTTTTAATGAACGCGTTACCGAAAGTCAACCCGAACTGTTTCACTATTGTAACTTTCTCTTGCAAACGATCATTTCAAATGCTTATCACCTCATAGAACAATCAGGCAATCACGAAAACGTATGACATCCATTAAAAGTTCCCTTCGACATGTCAAGAAGAAAGAGATGATTAAAAGTTCAATGTTCATTTTGTGGAATGTTCCGAGATCACAATATTTCAAAGCCCGTCTTCTCATTCTTCCTCTTCTTATGCCTTTTTACAATCATAAACTTGTCGACGATGTGATCTTCGAGGTTGTAGCTGAAAAGAAAGAGAAGACGGTGACAGCAAGGGCACTTTGATCGGAACTTGCCATTTTTCCATTGGCTTCTGCTCGAAATCCGATGGGAAATCGTAACAGAACAAGTCATCTGGATCTCCGTCCGAATCCTCGATCTTTCCGTATCTCAACTCCAAGTTGTGCTCCTTCTGAAGATCCACACGCCTCCAATAGCCGACGTGAGGCCCTGAAAGATATTTTCTGACCGTTTTCGAATACTGATGAAAAAACTAACAATCCCATCCGTAGTTGCTGCTGGTGTACTGCTTGCTCAGGAGCGTCAAGTAGTTCTTTGGAGCTCTGAGAAAGTTGTAGGCCATCAATGGCTCCGCAACCTTCTCCTCCACCTCCTCCTCCGCCTTTCCCTTCTTCTTCTCCTTCTTCGGCTTCCGATTCTCCTCGAGAAAGTTCGAGTATCTCTGTCCGAACACCGAATTTAAACAACAATGCTCGTACACATTTTCCTCGGTGAGTTTATGAACGCCACGGATCCGGAACGAGTCGCAGAAGCGTTCCGGCGAGCACCAATAACTCCAGTGGTCCCACAAGTAACTTTTCAGATTTACTCGCTCCAAAAAAATCGTTTTCCAGCCCGCATTCAGGTTGCGAGCCCGCTCCAAAAGCTCAACGCCGATCTCCGCCTCGTCCTCCCAACGACGCTTCTTGTTGAGTGAATAGTAGAGGTACGGGGAGATGTCCACGTCGTCGCCGCTTCTGAACTCGAAGCCCTCTTCGGTCGCCACGTGGATCGACTTCATGACGGTCGCCTGCGTTTTCAGACGGCACAGATAGAGCCGAGCAACCGCGTGTCTGAGTCGGTCCTTCTCGATGGACGGTCTTCCGTTCTTGCACCTGGAATCAACGTCGGAAAGTTAAAAAAAAAAACTGGCAAAAGAGCTCACCAAAAGTACTCATCCCGTCCGTCCATCGCTGCGAACAGACCACTCGCCGCCTCGACACCAGCCTTTTTATTCAAAAGTTGTGGAATATTTCGCAACCCCCACGTTGCTGTTCGTCACTCTTTTCTGTTTGTTCATGAATCACGCGCGCTTTTATCGAAAGATCAATTAGTTTCAACAGTGTCAGACTCTCGGTCCGAAAAGTCCTGCAAGCCTGCAAAAGTTGGACCGCACCTTGCCGTGTTCAAGTTCGCTCTTTGATTCCTGGCCGCGGTCACCGTTCAAGATCCGAATCAGCTGATCGATCCACACTTTCTGTGCTTCGTGGCTTCATGTGAATTTCACGTGGATTCTCTCAGACCTTGTCAAAAGTCACGCTAACAACCCCAAAAAAGGAAACAGACGTCCGCCCTCGCGCGATAAACCTGTCACCGCTCATCGCATCTCTTCATAAATCAGCGCGAGACTCTGCACTACTACCGTTCTCAGTGATCAGTTTGTCGAAACGACGAAGATGAAGAACGAGTTTCGGTTTGCGTCTGTATCAATGTCATCGTTGAGCGTTTCCAAGAAACAATTATCATCATTATTTATTATCCGTCCACTTTCTTATCAATATCATCACAGCTCTTTTCGTATCGGCACGTCATCACCGTCCAAACCGTGTGCACCGCGGCCATTCGTCGTCGCTCGCAAAACAGCCGCAGCCCATCCGACTATTGCATCACATTTCAACTGCGTCTCCGGTCTCCGCACACTCTATCGTCGTGTGGCGAGACGCAGAGAAATGGAGGCGCGAAAAGAGTGCCCTCGATCGCTTATTTTCCTTCTTTCTGACAAGAAGGAAGGCTGTGCTATTCTCTTCTTCTTCGCTTTATCAACAGTTTCTTCTTCTTCTTCTTCTTCTCCTTCTCCATCTTCCTTTCCGTAGTTTGCCTTCCAAGTTCTAAGCATCGGAGCAGTGGCGTTCCAGTGGTATTGCGAAATGTTGCACGCTTGGCAGCCTGCCAAGTGTTCTGTCTGTCTCGTGTCCACTCCGGATGACTGTTTTCCTACGCTCGTTTTCGTCAGCCTCTTCTGTACGACGATCTTTTGTAGCCCACCTACCGATCAGATGGGTTTGATGATAGCATGACGTTTCACTTCCCCTTTTTGCATTGCCAAGTACTACACACACACACACACTGCCACATTTCAGTCCAATCTCAACCTCGGTCACTTCCGTCGCTCAACCCGCGTCCTATCGCCCTCGCTGCTCTTCTTGAAGAACTCTCAACCCAACAATCGGTTTGTACATTTCTTTCCATGAAAAGCGCGTGAAAGTAAAGGAAATCTTTAGAAAATGTGCGCCATGTTCACCGTCGCCCCGTCGAAGACCGTCAAGGCTAACGAAGAAGGTGCTCCGCCTCCGCCGCCTCCGTTCATATCTCCGCTGGAAGGTGTGACGAGCTGCTAGCAGCATGATCGAAACCAACATGTTCAGAATGCAACAATGCTACCGTAAACGAGTGGGGAGTTTGGCCGGCCGACTACGTCGCTGAATTTGTTCACGACTCTCCGATCACCACTTCCGCCTCGGCTGCCGTGAGTAGAGCTGCGGGAACGGGGAGATTTTTTAGATTCTGACTAGGGCTCGGGGCACACATTTGAAATGGGGATAACGCATATGGATCAATTATTCTTCATATATGAAACTATCTGAATACCTGTCACAGCCGTGAAACTTTAAGTCTTAAAACGTCTTGGACGGCCATAAAAATCTCAGAAAAGGCTGAAACTAAAAGTGTACCCACATACGCGAGAGATCAACTTACAGTGACGTAGTGATTCATGGGAAGTGACACCAAAAACCGAACAAACTCGCTTTCCCATTCTTTGTCAAAACATGGGCAAAGAAGAGACGCTATCAAAATGAATATACATTTTTTAGGAAATCGAGTCGAGAGTTCGCTGTGGCGACGCGCCGGTTAATCGTCGCTCCGTCGCGCTTGTCCCCGACAGAAAGTGTGTTTTTAAGTGGGCCTACGCCACCACCGCCGCCGCTACCGTTTGCCAATGCTCCTGCTGTCTTCTCGGAGCTGAACAGTGCGAAATGGTGAGTGTGGGCGACACAGTTCATGTTATGAACTGTCCGAACAATAACTGATCAATCATTGATGGGCACGCCTCCCTCGTGGGTATAATAAAAGCCGGACGAACCGAGCGATTCGTGTCCTTTTTAGGAATAGGGAAAGTAAAAATGACTAGAAGGTTTGGAGTGTTGTGGATGAGAATGATGAGGTGAAAATTGAAAATGTGAGGAAGGACAAGTGCAACAACTCCTTTTTGCAGTGTTCCTCTTCGTCCGTGCCAGCCGGAATGTCAATTTCGATCGGGTCCAGCTTGCGCATCGGTTCCGGGCAGTACTCCTATGGTCATGGAGACCAGCAGCACGATCATCACTGCGAGACCCCGTCTACTGCCCCCGTGCAGCATTTTGTCGAGGTCTCCGCCGCCTTCGTCTAACGAGGATCAGTCCCTCTACAACTACCACCATCATCAATATCAACAACTCAGTCAGCCAGTCTACGACCCCTCCACCCCGTCCCTTCTTACCTCCGAACATTCCGCTTACTCCCCGGCGGGCATCTACTCGCCATCGTCCGCCTCCTCCTCCTCGCAGCCATCGCACTCGCCGTTCCCAGTCGAAGAATACCCGTTCCTCGACTCACTCATCGCCGAAGTCCGTCAGGAGATGAGCCTCGACGCCGTCTCATCTCCATCGCCCTCCACCTCTTCCGATTTCTCTTCGGTCAGCCGCAAGTCCTCCGCCTCCAGCTCCTTCTCGTCCGTTCGCGACGTCTTCGTGACGCCCGGACAGACGCTCGTCATCCGCGGCGACGACGGTCAAGAGTACAAAGTGAGCGAGCGACGGAAAGTGAATCGAAGTGCAATCTGTGATCTTTTTCAGTTGATCGTCGAGCGCATCGAAGGAAACGAGGCACACGCAAAACCGTTGAAGCGAAAAATGAGCGACGACAGTTTGCTCGCTCCGAAACGACAACGGGCTCCGCCTGTCTCGCTCGTAAATTTGTCCGATGAAGAGGTGAGGGAGCGACTAAATTATAAAATGTATTGAACTTGAAATTCAAACTCCAGTGCCCATTTCCAGATCGCCGATCGAAAAAAGCAACAAAACCGTGCGGCGGCCCTTCGATACCGTCAAAAGCTGCGCGAGAACCGTGTTTTGTCGGTGAGCGCCAAACAGACGCTCACTCAACGGAACGCGTACCTCCGCGACGAAGCGGACCGTCTGAGCAGCGAGTGCGACACACTCCGCAAGCTCATTTTCAACAAACTCGGCAAAAACGCTCCGGTCTTCTAACCCTACTAACCTTCTGATCTTCTCTTTTCGTTTTTTTCCTCTTTCCCCCCTGCCCGTTTTTGATGGCACAAGAGTGACACAAAAACAGACACACGAGCAGTGCGAGAAATTGAATTCGAATTCGAAAAAGTGATTTGATTGAGTGAGCTCTCTCTCTCTCTAGGGAGGTCACCGCTGTGTTCATCGTTTGTCTGTTTTTATGTTTTCGGCGCGCCGTCCCCCGACGGTGACGAGCGAGCGAGCATTCATTCATTCTCATTACTCCTCTTCTGCTTCTTCTTCTTTTTGCATACATTTCCAATCCACGTTCAAAGTATTACTCCGCCCACACATTTCCCCTCATGAAAACATTGACCAAATTGGTCGAGCTTGGCTGACTGACTGACTCATTTATTACCGTACCCATTATACAGTATAATACTACTATAATTACGAAAAACAATAAATAAAAATCTATGATATTTCACGTTTATATTATCCCTTGACCCGATTTTTCAGATTTTTTTCTATCGGTGCGAAAACGGGTCGGGGACACAAATTCGAAAATGTCATGGACAGATGGAAGAGAAACACGCACTAGCTCCCCGGCCATGTCGATTTACGAGCATTTTTTCACGAAAACACTTTTTTAGAGAAACATGTTCACTTCTATCGGTTTTTTCAGCAAAATATCAGTTGTCCTAATTTGACCCTCAAAAACCAGAGAAATTGCGTTTAACACAGTATTTCCAGGCGTGAACCAATAAACAACAACGAAAAACTGACGATTTACTGAAAAACTCAAAAAATATTAACAGATTTCTCGTTTTCGCGTTCAAATGTCACGACAGATAGCCAGAAAACGCCATTTTAAAAGTCTCAATTTAAAAACTAGCGATTTTGAAAAAAATTCTGCCTCTAACGTCATGTTTTTAGTGCTGAAACCCGGGCCGACGCGCTAGAAGTCTGATTCGATTTGCCAGAACTTCGTCTGAACTCTTTGCCTTCGTCTAAAAGTTCCTCAATTCATTGCACGCATACTCGGGCCCAAATCTTATCAATTCGCTGATGCCCCCAGGCCAAACGCGCCGAGCCCGTCTTTCAATCTCCTCTCGCTCTTCTGCTTCGTGCACAGTTGAGCGGGAATCGCATTTCCGACCGTATGATTACCCGATTACCCTCCACGTCACTTATTTTCGTACTCAATGTTTCCAGAAGAAGGCATAATGTTAAGATTCAATTTGAAACGAAACGACGAGGCGTAATGAAACTTTTCGTCGTTTGTTTATTCTGCTTCTTTTCATTCACGCCCCTAGATTTACAGCCTGTCCGGCTTTTGCGCACAAAAGCTTGGCAAAGTGCCAGAAAACATTAAAACTCTGTATCATCACAACGCTTTTGAGTCGCTACGCAGCCAATTTGACGACAGCTTGCACATCTAACGCGTTGGTTGTAGTTCAAATTTCGTGACTCTGACGGAACCGGATATAATGCACAAATCCGCCTTCTTCATCCGATTTGACAATCGCTTTACCCTATTACCTTTGCACAAACTGGCCGAATGTCGAAAGTTCGTAAAAGTCTGGCTAGTTCTTATAAAAATGATACAGAGCCAAACAACGGTATGTCTCTAATTAGTGACTCTGAACCTATTAGACCGGAAAACAGAGCCTGTGACGTACTTTTCTTAAAAAACAATGTACCTGTCCTTTCGGTGACTTCTCAGAACCATACAACAAGTCTAGACCTTTTTCATTCATTCATTCATTCACCCTTCATGAATATCTCATCCTTCTTCTTTTCAAAACTAATTTCCATTTGCATTCATTTTGTTGCATCCTACCAGCCCCGCCCACATAATATCTCTCCCTCGTCCAAGATAACACTTTTCTTCAGTTTTATTTTAGCATCTCGTCATCACACTTGCACATATTTTTAGTCAAAGTGAAAAAGAGCTGCCATCGCCAGACGTGTGCAAGATTGGAAAAAAAAGTGGGCGGGGTCCGAGTGGTTTGGGGGCTACAAGAAGCTAGATTGATGTCATTTCGGTCGATGCCGTCCACAATCTGATGGTTGTGGCGCCAATTTCACATCTCTTCTCGAAATGTGTGCCACGTCACTAGTGTGCTGCTGACTACAGCAGGCGCCGCAATTTTTGCCAATTTTCAGCCCAAGCCATATAAAAAGTGACCAAAACAATGTGAATTCCCTGCTTAAGTGCTCATTTCGAAAATTTCGTCGTAATAAATTGCTCCTCGGAGGGTCGGTTCCACGCGCGCTGGCGTTCTGCGCCTTTAAATTTACAAAGATACGGTCGATTACATTTTTTTAAAACTTATTTCCCCCCTGAGAATGTTGATTTTACTACCAATTTTAGCAAAATTCACATAAATCCGCTTTTTAATAGCGAATGTGTGAAAGCATTGTTATAAACCGTTTCGCGAGAGTTTAAAGGCGCATTAGAGTGGCTCGCGATTTAGCCCGGAAATTTTTTTCGTTGAAAGTAGTAATTGCTCTGTACACTCTCGAACGTTTATGCCATTCATTTTTTCACAAAAGAAGCGAACGGACGTCGTGCTCATTAAAGCGGCTGAAAAAGTAAAGTAATATCATGCTGCAGTGACCAACTCATTTCATCTCATTTCGCGACCGCCCTTCTTCGAAGGCTGAAAAACAGTCATTATAAATGTCTGTTTTTTCTTCTCGAACTAGTTCAGCGTTTCATTTCTTTCATTCATGAAAAATATACAAAGCTAATAGTAAGATTGCGAAAATGTCTTTGGGATAACTCAATTTGGTCCCCTGAAGAAGAGCGGGCTTGTATACTTGGGTCAGCACAAAATAATGACGTCTTCCGATTGTGCGCATTTTTTCCAACGCGATACGGATGCACTGACAATAATTGCCCGAGATTACAAAGCTATTATCAAGCGGATCCTCTCCTCCGATCGCTTCCTTCATTTCTTCCGCAAATCTGGCGAGGAGAAGCGTGTCAAGAGCAGATTTGTCTTCAACTTCAACTTCTGCTCCTTCACTGTTCCCACCTCATTTGTCCTTTTCCCTTTTCTTTTTCTTTTTCGCTCCATCCCTTCTCCACCTAAAGTGCGTCATAAGCTGACGCGCGGTGGCTCTCATTAGTACCATAACTATTGGACTAATCAGTCTAGTCACACCCGATCGTCAGAGGAAGCGGGAAGTGAAACGAAACGTGAAATGTCTTTCCATTTCCTTCCTCTTCACTTCGTGTCTTCTTCTCACAAGCGCAGGTACTTTTAATGTTCTCTTGTGATGCTTTGTGCTATTCACAAACGAGCCTGAAGATAGCTTTCCATTTCTTCTGAACGTCTGAGATCCAATGGTTGGATACTGAGCTGACCTAAGCGTTTTGAGATCTCTACGTAGTACGTACTCAGGGAATTATGTATTTGGGAAATTTCAGCTTTAGGCTCAATAGTTCGGCCCAGGCGCTTGGAAGGCCTGGACTTTTGACCTATTTGCAATAATCCATCCAAACTTTGGAGGATTCTTAGACTTGAAAGTGTCTTGGGTACAAGTTTCAGACCCGGTCCAGTGCTGGTGCTGTGTAACTCCCGAAGCATTCTACATCCTAGATATTTTCTTAGAAACCAGTATTGAACGCTCATTATTTTTGGGGACCTCTGGCTCCACCTCACAACATCCTCTATTACTCTGCAAACAAACAGCTCGCTCTCCCCCCACCCACTCACGTCATGCAGAACCTTTTCCGACTGCAAGTGACCACACGTACCACCCGCCTAGCTCTTTGGACCCTTCTCCGAGATTGGCCTAGTTATCAGTTGGCTGCTCGAAACAAAACGGCACGCCCCTCTGTTTCGAGTGTCTTCTCTCATTCACCCCTCTTGACGCTTCTTTTTTTTTCCCCATCTCACTTCTATTTTCATCTTCTTTTCAGGTACCCCCGAAACTTCCGCTCGGCACGTCGCACTTCTTCACACTCACACACACACAGTCAATTATGCAGAAGACAATGATCGCCGCACTTTTGTTCGCCATTCTCGCCGTCTCGGCGTTCGGTAAGCGACCACACCGGATCTGTATTCATAATTGTGTACGGTTCTAGTGGATGCTGCTCCGCAAGCGCCCAGCTCATGCGCCATCGACGAGCGTGCACAGATCCCGTGCGTTTGCTGCAAAAAGGACTGCTGGTACTCGATCGCCGCGGCGGCCACACACGAGCTCGGACACATGCCCGGAGAGGCGGGCGAGCGTGAGGCGATGGCCACGCTGAAGCTGATCCGCGCGTGCATGATCGCCGAGTGCTCCGGAATTTGCCAGGCGTCGCCGTTCTGAAGCCGATCCGCCAGAATAGTAAATTATTGATTTGCTCCCTCTCCCTCTCCCCTTCTCCCTCACCCACGCCTTCTTCTTGACTTCTACTTTTAGATCTCATAGTAGCAAGTGTTGGTCTCTTCTCTCTCTCTCTCTCTCTCTCTCTCTCTCTCTCTCTCTCTCTCTCTTAATTTTTTGTGTGTACGCGCGACACCCTACTACCATTGCTATTCGTTCATCATTCAGAACAGATATATATGTCCATCACTTATGAGTGCGGTATATGGCGACACGTCTGGAATAAAGTTATACTTTTTGTCGAAAATAAAGTCGTGATGTTGTTGTTGCTGTTCACTTTTCGATATTTCGAACTCGCCTTATTTCATGTATACAATAAGCAAAAACGTGGAATCGAACCGAAGGCTGCAAAGAATCCCTGAACATCCTGGTCAAATAACATAAAAACGACATCAAGTGCACCCGATCCCTAGTCCATTTTTATGTCTTTACGGCAGTCCGATATCCGTTTTTCGATTGTCTTGTCTTTCATTTCTTTACGCACATAAAAAAAGTGCGATGACAAACCGAATTGAGACATTTTATAGGTGACGTTTCGCCTTTCGCTTTCTCCAAACTTTCCTCCCGACAATGCCCATATAAAAAGGCGCGTGAGGCTTGGAAAACATTGCATTAACAAATTTGGGTCTTCTTTTAGTCGCTACCTCCATTACCATCTACTTCATCCTGTTCAATGTCAACTTCTTCTTCTTCTTATTCATCGGCCACAAGCCGAGTTCTCATCGGCTCCCTGACAGTTTCATGTCTAACCTTTCTGGTTTCCCTCTCCGCAATCGCACTTCTTCTCCGTGATGTCAACTCTCTTTTCGGAGAGCTCGAGTTCGAAATGGTTCGGCTAAAGGTTCGCATACGATCGATGTTTCGCTTTCTCTCATCAAAAATTCAAAACCTTTTCAGTACGACACAAACATTGCGTGGTCTGACATGGTGCATCTGCGGCAAGAAGTCGTTGAAATCGATAGAATACGAAGGGATTTGATGCAGAAGAAGGCCGATTATTCTGGATATCGTATAGTTGAAATCTGAAGGCGCACAGTTAAGCTTATTTCAGAAGCGCAAGTGACTGTGGCCGAGTTTGCGAACGACGGCTCCGGAGAGTTCCCGGACGAGACTTTGGTTCTAGAGAGAAGGGAGCCAATGATGCCGAGCTTTGGTCCCAGATGCTCTTGCTTCACATCTCAATCGTGTCCGTCTGGTCCGGCGGGACCTGTTGGAGAACAAGGCGTTGACGGGGAGGACGGAGGAGATGGCATTGACGGATACGATGGGTTTGACGCTCATCCGAGTCCACCGCCGCGACGATCGAAAGCTCCGTTCACGTGCCCGCGAGGACCGCCAGGAGACTCTGGTCCAGAAGGTCCACGTGGCAAACGAGGACTTCGTGGCCCACGCGGACGCCCGGGCCGACCAGGAATCAACGGAAATCCGGGCTTCCCGGGAGACATTGGCGCGCCAGGACAGCCGGGAACCGACGGAATTGTGGGCGAGCGTGGAGTGAACGGCGTGGACGGAGTCACCTATATTCCGCGGCGAGGAGTAAAGGGAGCCATGGGACAGCCGGGAAACGAAGGGCAGCCAGGCAAGAAGGGCAAGCCCGGATTGCCGGGAACGCCGGGAATCCAGGGATACGTGGGGCTGACCGGTTTGCGAGGAATCGAGGGAACCGGAGGCCCGCAAGGACCGCCCGGACCACATGGAACGCCTGGAAGTGACGCGGCGGTGAGTAGTAGTGCTCAAACATCTGACACGATACTTTCCCGTTCATTTCGGTCTGTTTACAAAACATACCAAGTTAGACTGATGTTTGAAGTGCTAGAGTTCTTTATTTCAGTACTGTCAATGTCCTGATCGTGGTGAGACAAAGGTCGACGAAGTGCAAGGATCCGGAGAGGCTCGTCTAATCGATAACTAGTGCTGCTTGTTTTTAGTGTTTGCTTGATCGTTTAATAACGTTAATAAACCATGTGACCTCCTTTTCTTCCGTTTCCCACGTGACTTTGCTCTCTATCTTTTCATTTTTTAAATAGCAATTCGGATCGAGTGCAATGGCGTGATAGGTTGTTCGCGGGGGGCATCACATGCCGTGCCGTCTGTCTCTGTCTTCTCTGTCTTCTCTGCTGCCTCCGCCCCTCTCTCCCTCGCCGTCCACCCCGGCCTCCGGCCAAACATTGTGTCATTCCATTCGTTTTGCCCCTCACTCACCAGCGTTTTCTCTTCGTTCTTTCTCCCCTTCTGTTCTCTGATCTAACCCAATGCCGCGCCAACGCCGTCAAGGAATCGTGTACGACGTTCGAGAGCAGGGCACCGCCCGCCTCATTTTCGACGAGAATCGCACCAAATTCGAGGTAAATCGATAAATGAGCGAGAAATGAAAATTGTGTTCAGGGCGTGCTCGAGACGATCAGCGGCGAAACGATGATGGTCCGTGGCCGCGTGACGTCAGCCACCGAGAGCACCTCCGACGGCTCCGTATTCATGGACGTGGATGTTGGTGAGTGAAATTGGAGGAGAAAGAAAACGAGAAAAAAACTTGAGAGATTTGCAGTGGACTGTGAGGAAGGGTCTGCGTTTCATGTGACTGGTGTCAAGGTTCTCGTCGATGAGCAGTACGCGGCCATCGATTCGGCGGCCATCAAGTTCGAGGCGCTCGACAAACTCATCGGCATGAAGTGAGTTGGTATTTGAATTCCCGCCATGCATCTGTCGAAGGGCCGACTGCGGATATTGGCGTAGAGCGCGTTTGCTCGCTCTAGTGCCTAATCGACCGTTGACGAAAATTTAAATTTTAATTTCTGATGTACCCGTCACGGCCTCGTGAGAAACGGGTTTGAAACAGGATTGATGACAGCTGGATCTTTTAAACTTTGTACCTTCAGAGCCGCTGTGGAAATACAACAACACATCAACCCGCAATTGGCGGAAGACTCGAAGGAGGTGTTCATCGGAAACATGCAGATCCACCTGCTCACCTCGCACCGCCCTTCGCCTTCGATCCGCCGCGAATCCGTCTGCACCGACAACAGCGATATCAAGATTCTGGAGGCGTCCGATGACTTTTTGTCCTAAATTCTCGTGTTTTCCCCTTCTCTCCTCTCCGTCTCTCTCCCTCTCTTTATATCATTCACTTTTTCTCTATTTCAGATCGGTTAGTTGAATCGAGTCTTTCATTAAACATGTTTATTTGATTCTCCCAGTTCGTCAATTAGGCAGTCATTCCGCAGAGAAATCCTTCCTGTGCAATTGAACAGCTGAAAATGGGAAATAGATTTCTATCTACATATTATAGACTTTGGACCACTCACTCCCTATCGTCAATGTAGCCAATGTTCTCGTGTACATTCATCACGACACAATCCTCTGGCGCTCCGTTGCTCATCGCTCCGTTCGGCGCTCCGATCGTTTGGTCCCATTGGGTGAAGAGATAGTTCTGGCCGGTCAACTGATCGTCCCATTCGAAGAGCTAAATGATTTCTGATTGCTGTACTTTGTGAGAAGAACATTGACTACATACTTCGTTCTTATTCTTGCACTTGGAATCGAGCGCCAACTTGGCGGGCGTGTTATAGCAGAACGATTTGCGTCGCGCTCCGATCCACATGCTTCCCTTCTCGTCGGTGATCACCTTTTTAGCCTTCATCTTGCTCCACAAATGCTCCTCCAGCGTTCCGATTCCGTGCACGCGAGAGTTGTACTGTCGTCGACACACCTCCTGAGCCTCCAGATACGTGGCATTCTGGCTGACAATCTTTAGACAGACACGAATTCCCGGCGGTCGGATGAACGATTTCCAGCCGGGCGGGCACTTTCCTTGCCCTTAATCTCCATTGTTAACTCGGCTATGAACTTTGTGAGCACTTACAGAGATTGCACTTGGCCCCATCGTCGGCAGCTTCGGAATGGCCAGAGAATCCGAGAACGAGGACACATAGAGAAATTCTGAACATCATTTGATGTCCGCGTACCAAATAGAGAAGAACGGAAAACCGTACCGGTTATATACACGACCACTCGGAGGTTAACGACTTGCTTCATGAGCAATAAAATAGTTATGAAGTGGGGGGAGTTTATGATATTACACGAAGACTTCGAGAAGGCTACTGTAGAGTACGTAAAGGTTCAGAAAATACTTTCACTGTTGGTCTTATCAATGACCACTCGTTTTTTTTTGTTCGCCATTTCCATTTCCCTTTCCCTTTCTCTTTCCAACAACTGATAACAACCACCTCCAGTTTGTCTCTGTCTTCTGAATTCGTAAAATGGAGGGCGCGTGGAGTGTGTTCAAGTCAACCGCCACTCCGATTCTTCTCGGACCGAAGAAGTTCAGCGAGATGTGTCGGGAGAAGCAGAACGAGGCAATCAGTGAGTTTCTGAATATATTTGTTATTGCTCTACTGTTAAGGAGACGCATCATTCCGAGTCGTTCTTCTCTTTCTCTTCCCCTACTTCTTCACAATGCTATTCTCGTTTGCAGTAGGAGTGTGAGTGCTTCTTCTATTGTTTCGTTTTTCACTTTTCCAATTGCTTAGAAGTTCCGGAATGCTCATCAACGAAGTGATTGTTCGAAGTCTCGGCTCCGAGGGTAAATTCTACAATCGTCGACGACCTGTAAAGTGTCATTCATTCAGAAAAGCATAAAACATTACGTCGGTACACGGTTGTCCTCGGCGGTTCTGCTCTTTTCGCAACCACTGCTCTTTGCTCTCTTCATCACGTCATCACGCCGTTCTTCAAGTTTCTGTGCCTAGGATTTCGATGGTTTATGTAAACAAAAAGTGTGCAAAAGTTTCATAAGCAATCACTTTTTGCTGAAACGCGTCATAGTCGTCAGTTGTGATAAAAAGCAAATATATAAGTATATAGTTTTGCTTCCCAATTACTCATACTTTTGCATCATTATTTAAACTGAACTCCCCGTATTTTCAACACATTTCTAAGCAAAAAAATGCCGTCAGTTTGGAGCAAAATTAGCGAATATTGGACGTGGTTTTTGTGGGGGAAAACGCCGTACAATCAGCTGAGTGATCGGCAAAAACTGGAAGCTAGACGTGAGTTTTCCGAATTAGAGAACACTTGAATTATTGCATAAAACAGGAGATCTTTATTTCCGTCTGTTTATTATCGGCAATTTGCCGCTCTACGCAACTTTATACGCAACTTTTGTTTTGAGCATGTGAGCAAAAACACTGTAAAACCTTGAAGATTCTTCGATTTTCAGGTATCCTCCCACACTATTAAAGGAAAAAGTTCTCGATAGAATGCTTCCAGAAGGTTGGAAAAGTTTCAGTGGAAAGTTTTGCTTCGGTTTGTACGCTTGTCTTCATACCATCACAATGGGAGCCGCTTCTGTGTACTTTGTCTTTCCATGGTACACGTTTTTATTCGAGTTCGTCTACTCGTTTGGCAGTTCATTTTATACCAAAAATTAAGGCAGATTTTATTGGAATCTAAGTAGAGCACGTGCATTTATTATAAAAGAGACTGAAGAATATTGAAGTGAAATAAATAGATATACCCGAATTGTACACATTAAAAACAATCACACTCGGTGATACAAATCACTTGAGTTCGTTGAGCTTCTCAAAGTAGCTCTCGATGCCTCGACGCACTTCGTTCAGATTGATATCCATCAGATGGGCGTACAGACAGAAAATGATGATGGCGATCAGAATGGTACGATGGATTTTCCGCGCCCACTGCGACTTATTGACGGCCGGCGCCAAGAATAGGGTCGAGTAGAGTTGGATGGGGCCGAAGACGAGGGCGAATGCGGTGGCGACGAAGCAGATGACGTTGAATGGCATTGAGAAATCGGGAACCGGCAGGAGAACGAGGATGGCGTTCGAGTGGATGGTGTAGGACGGGGCGGAGGACTTGTGGACAAAGACGGTGGCCGCTGGGATGTGCATTCCGTGATTCGCATCCGGAGGGTATTGATCCAACCTGAAATCGAGGACTTTAACGGGAAATCGTGTACTTTTTCTACTTGAGCAATTGCTTGTTGAACGGAATGACGAGTTCACACGTTTGTCTCTCCGCCAGCCGCATTTTGTACTGCAACAACGTCGGCGCCTCCGCGTGCTTGCTGTTCTTGAGCGTCTTCTCGACACGTGGCAGTCCGTTCCCGTCGCACTTCCAATGCACTTGACTGTACCGAAGATGCACGTAATACGGAATGATCTGTGACACTTGCACGTCGGAAGCCGTCGCGTCGTTTGTGATGTGTACGGTGAGTACTCCGTGCTGCTGCTCGAATCCTCCTTGCGACGACCACGCCTTCACCACTGGCTGCTTCTTCGCGATGTCCACGACCGGGATGTAAATCTCAAACGGATCCGAACCGCTGATTTTTGTCAGATTCTGAACGTCGGTGCTGGTGACTTGTCCGACGGGGCCGATGACTTCGATTCGGCTGCTCCGGGCGACCTTGCACTGCGATCCGAGTTTCCGATCGAAGACGTCGCCGAGAGACCAATGCCGTTGTGTTTTGTGCGATGGATTTCTCATTACAACAGACACTCCGACTTCCATTTTGGCGTGGCACGTATTTTTGGCGCATTTTTGCTCGGCATACAAGTGGGACGAGTGGTAGACCGAGTTGTAGAGTTTGGAAGGGTGGAGCAGTGTGCTGAGGCCATTCTGGAATGGAAAACATATTGGAGTGGTTCAATAATATTATCTTTCTTTTCAAGATTTTTACAAAAATTTGAATAATATCCTCTGAATTTGGTTATTTCACTCACTTCTTTACAAGCCAACAACTTGCGGAGTCTCGTCAGATTCTCTGTGCACGTCGTCTCTCCGCTGAGCACTCCGTATCTCTTGAATACCTTTTCGCTCTTCTCGCCGTGACTTCCAAAGATCACAAATTCCGGAGACGTCACCACTCTGACGTGAGAGATTGAAGTGCAGAGCACTCCGTTTAGTGCTTCCACCAGAAACTTCATGCGTTCGTCGGCCCGCTCATCGGAATCGGCCGCAAATTCTGCGAAGACTTGTGCTCCGGCGGATGAGGACGGCTGCGGCGGCTGGCCCCATTGCTCCAGATTCCAACGGCCTTGTCCCATTGTCACCGTTAACTTTTGAACTGAATACCGGTTGAGCAGCTCTTGAATTATACGCGGGAACGTTAGATAGTCGTTTGATTCTGAAATTTTTCGAGTTTCTCACGTGTTGTTTTCTTTTCTCTCTTTCCAACCTGTTTCTACAAGAAATTCCCTTTCTGAATTGAATCTAAAATCCACGCGAAGCTCATTTTTGCTGATCGGCGCCAGCGTCACTTTCTCGTCGAAGTGCTCCGTGAGCCCGTAACAGAATGGCACTAGTGCTACCAGTAAACATTTGATTACTTCCCTCATCTAGAACATGCTATTGTGAACAAAAAGTGCTCTCGGTTAGATAGAGAAAAACTCGACAGACACGGTGGGTTAGGCACATAAATTGATGAACTTGAAAAAAGTGTTTATCAGGGCATTTGAAGGCAAAAAGAGATCTAAAACAGGGTTGGCGCGGAAAACTGAAGGCAGAAGGAATCTATGTATACTTGCTAGGTACAAAAAAGAAGGGGAAAATGGCACTCGTTTCATCAAAGCAGGTACATAACGGACAAATTAAAGAGAATAGCTACTCCATGAAGCGATTCGGATAGAAGAGAAGTCCTTCGATGGAGTCGTCACGGCAGATTAGACCCGATTCTTCAGCGGCCAGCAATCTGAAAATCGATTAGATTGACAATCTGATCAAAACTCCAACTTTTCCCCTACCGTTCTCTGGCCAGAATAACAGTGATTCCTAGGGATTCGGCAAGCTCATTCGCGGACGCTCTTCCGAGCTTCGCGACCAACTCCAATGTCTGCGCGATCGTGCTGTCCACAGACGCGGATTTCAACTGAACGACGAGTACTCCTGATGGAAAGCGATGCAGTTCCAGCGGCGAATCGACCTTGCTCAACGCCTCGCACGCGTTCATCACGTCTTCCGGCGAGAGCAACTCCATTCCTCTCGCCCGGTTGATTCGGCAGTACACCTCGGGAAGCGCGCACATTCCTCCGTTCTCTTTGATTTGTTGATGAAGTACGTCCGTGATTTCTTTTGCCAACTTTTGGAAGTACTCTGAATCGGAGCCGACGAACGTCGACTTGGTGACCGGATCGGAGACTCCGAGCGAGAGAAGGTACGACTTGAATGCGACCGTCTCGTCCTCGCTGATCTCTCCTTTGCGAGCGCGCACCTTCTCCGAAATGCTCTTTGAAAGACTGACCATTTCGCGCGCCGTTTCCATCAGTTTGGACATATCGTCGAACGCCTGTGTGATCGTTTCGTGCGTCTTCTGATGGTTTTCCGCGAGTCGTCGCTCGATTCCCGATATTCCGACCGAGCGAACATTGGTGCTAGCGCGAGACTGAAAATGAGGACGATGGGTTGACGGGCGGGGAGGCCAAACAGGAAACCTACACCGCTAGAGCTTGAGCCGGAACTCGAGCGTTGCCACGTTTTCCTTCGCACCGCGTCCTCGTACTTTTTGAAGAACTGAAATGAAATTTTCGAATTTGCCGCCAGTCGGAACACTTACATCGTCCTCTCCTCCGTGTCGGAACACTAACCGAATCGTATCGTATTGGCTCGAGCTGACCGGTCCCACGTTGCCGGCTCTCGGCTTTTCCAGCTTCAAAACAATCTTTCCGCCTTTGCTGAACATCGACTTGTGATGTTTTTCCATGGACACCACCAGCGAGTGATGGAGGACGAGCCGACGATCCGGGTCGGAGGAATCGGCCCAAATGACACGTTGCAATGTCAACGACGCCGTTCCTTGCTCAAAATTGGTCTGAAAATTCGGCAAATGAGCGGCAAATTCCTGGAAAAATCAATGCGCGAAACCTGTTTCAAATCACCCTCGTAGATGCCGACGTGTCCCGCTTGACAGAGCAGCTCTTCGGTGCTCTCGCCGGGCGTGTACCACGACAATCGGTTCATGACGGCTTCTGGCTGCAAATGACAGGAAATCAATAGGCTGAGTGACGTGTGTGTTCCGCCGAGAAACGCCGCTACGGCGCTTTTTTTTTTGCAAAGGAGCGCGCTTGCGTCTGCAGTCGAGATGGCTTATCGGGCGAAGTAAAAATGAAGGACGGAGGGGCGGGGGGAATTAAAACTACGTATCGGTGAGAGGTGAGAAGGCATTCGAGCTGAGCTCATTGACCAGCTTACACAAATGATAGCAGTTTCACTGGCACGATTATCATGGCCATCACCACCGCCACGCGTACTTTGGATTCCGACAAGAGAGAAGGAAGGAGAGGAAGAAAAATGAATTCAAACTTTGAAGCAAGCAAAATAGCCGGCTGAGAAGCGGTGGCAGCGGCTGTCGCGGCGGCGCAAAAGAAGCGAAATGCGAAGCGTGTCTGCGTGTCTCCGATTCATGCGCTCTCATCGCGTGCAGGCACACATACTCAACGACAAAAAACGAGGGAAATTGATTTAGGTGGCACAATGACACGAAAGAGGAGCACACACACACGCACACGGAGGAGACACATGCAAGGAGAAGGGACCATTGGAAGGAAAGGTGGAGGACAGAAAAGAGAAGAAGAGAAGGGGGAAAAGTTGGGGCGGCCGGAGAAGAGGGGCTCTTCACTCTTCCTCCGCCGGCGGCTCCTCCAACTCTTCCCCTAGCTGAATTCCAAGTGAACCGAAAAGAAGAGAGACGGGGAGACGGGGAGGGCGTGATACATTTGTGAGCGCTCTTTGTGCACTTGAATCGTTTCGAAAACAAGGTTCAAGTGGAGGGGGACAATCAATTGTTTATGGTACAAATTGTCACAAAATCCGATTAATTTGGTGCGCTCGCGTGCGCTTTCGCCTTCCATTCATCCTTTTGATCCTTGCTCAGCGCGCGGAAGGTTTGGATGCAGAATTTCGAAAAGTCCGCCTCTTCTCCGTCGAATTCGAAGCGCAGACTGCTCCTCGTCTCGGACAGCCACAATTCGTACGGGCTCACACTGCAAGAGTAATTGAAATGAGATGGGAAGGCCTGAAAAGTGCACTGACCTCTTCTTGACGGGCTCCTCTTCCAACACCACCACATTCTCCTTCTCTCTCGCCGCTGCTGCCGCCGTTGGCTTCTTCTTCCTCTCATCAGTAGGACCTCCACCGAAATTGAGTCTCGCCTGCTTCCGAACCGGCGGCTGAGAGCTCACCGTTGGCTCATTTTCACGCGCACGCTTTCGGTGATCGGTAGACGTTGTCTCAAGTTGGTCGAAAATCGAGGATGATGCTCGAGTGGACTGCGATGAGCTCGCCGAGTCATTCGCCGTTGTGCTTTTCTCTCCACCTCTCTGAAATTTTTTTTATTTCTTCAGAAGATTTTTCAATTTTACCGCAAATGGATTCTTCGCCAATCGTTCTAGTTGTGCCACAGGTTGCGACATCGACACGTTCAAGCTGAAATTCATCGTCGTATCTTGTTTCTGATCCTCCTCCTCTTCCTCTTTCTCTTCATCGTCGCTCAACTTCTTCTCCATCGGAGATGGTTCCTTGGCCTTTCTTGATCCCAGAAATGATCGTTTCGTCGGCCGCGGCTTCAACTCCTCCTCCTTCCGCTCGTCCTCTCCGTCCATTTGACGACCTATTTCGGCGACTTTGTTCGCCAACGCCAACTTTTTGCTCTTGCTCGCATAGTTGCACAGCAACTGTATCGTTTTAGCAGACGTTCCGCCTGCCGCAAGAGCTGCCACCTCCGCCGCTTGCCCGTCGGAATTCGTTTTAGCGAGCCAGGCGAACAGGTTCACAATAGTTTTTGTCAATTCTTTCGATTCCACCGAACTACGTTCTCCGTCACGATCGAGAATTGCATCCGCCACGGAGAGTTCGCTGAGGAACAACGAGTGCTCGTATTCGGTTCGTTTGCTTTCTGGCTGACAGAACGGCATCTTCCAGTCGACTGTCGACGGAGCATTCGTTCCGTTAACAAGAGGGGCACGGGAACCGCGACAGTAGATGTAGCGGAAGCCTTTGCCGGTAATTCCGATGGGGAAAATGGTGTCGGAAGGAGCGCGACGGACCGATGAACCCTGGAAGATCGGGATCCAGAGGCCAGGCGCGGAGAGCACATGCACATCGCCCACAGAATCCATAACTGCCAGTTTGCCGTAACTTGAATAGCCTATCCAATCAAGCTGTTCGCCAGTCTCAACAGGAACATCAAAACGAGTCACCGCGCCAGCAGATCCGCGATTCCTTGGCTCTCGGTACCAGGTACGCTGATTCAGGGAGTACTCCACAATCTCGAACCTCCACTGCGGCATCTTTTTGCTCTCATAGAACTCTGATCCGGCGACGGAAGCGATGGCGATCCGGTCGTCGAAGCAAGCGGCAGTGAGAATCGGTGCCGGATGCGTGAATATTTGCCGCTGCACTCCTCCAATCGTGAACACTCTCACATTGCGTTTTTTGGTGAGCACGACGACTTGAGTGTCCGAAACGAGCACATCGATGATTCCATCGCCGCGTGGCATTGTGACCGACCATCGCTGTCCGGCGAATGCTTGGATGGGAATGACATGCAGGACACTGGTGCCCTTCTTGTCCGTCTTCGTCGGCTCCTCCACCTCCATCTCCAGATCCTCCACCTCATTCTTGTCCTTGTCAAGCTCTTTCTCTTTCTTCCGACTCTCCATACTCGCCATAGCCACCACTTTCGACGAGATATCGGCCAGCTCGTAATTGGCTTCGAAATTGTCGATGTGAATGTCCCCGTGTATGTTTTTGTTGTGGAACTCAATGTCGATGCTCGAAACTTTCGCAGATTCATTGACGTAACTGCGCACGATTCCGGCCTGATTGTACTTTAGAAATCTTTGCTCCGATTCCACATCGAATGGAGTGCTGCTGCATACGAATCTCTCCGGAATGAGCACTTTTCGTGGAGCTGGAGGTTCCGAATAAACCGGCGGTTGCACGTTCCTTTGCGGACTGAGCGGTCGCAGTTCTTCCGGCTCGCCGAGCTTGAATCCGAACTCCTCGAGATCGCCGATATTTTCGTTTCCGTATCCGTACTGCTTTTTGATAGCGGCAATATCGGAGGACACTGAAAATAAGTTAACGTTTGTGGAAAAACAGAGAAATGCCTTACTTCTAGTGTCCTCGTCGTCTTCCATGGCTTCGTCATTGAACAGATTCTCCTTTTTGTTGACGGTTCGGTTCAAAATGAGCAAATCATCGTCGTCGCTCTCCTCGGCGACGATTTCTTTTCTTTTTTCAGCTGCGGACGAAGTCGAGTCAGATGATGGTCCGAAAGCGTTGAAAAGACAGACCCCTCGCTGGAAAATATTAACTAGTTGACTGCGAATTTGCATTAGACCCACATTCGAATCGGCGATAATCAGCTTTTTCGGTGAGAATGGCGAGAATTCGATGGAAGTGATGACGGTGGTTCCAGGCGTGCTTCTTCTGAATTCCTCGCAACTGACCAAACTTCTAAATCACAAAAATATTATATTGAATACAGAAAAGTCAGAATTTTGCTCACAAGTCTTCGTTCTTCCAGACCGCGACTTTGTTGTCCATCGTGGACGCCGCTAGATAAGTGCCACATGGAGAAACGGCAGTAACCGAGAAATCGGCAGTTGCGGACGTCTTCAGTGCATAACTTCCAGAATCTTCCCATCCATTGCGGCGGAAAATCTTCACGCCGCCTCTGGAAGGAACGAACAGACACGTTCCGTCCTTCGACCACGACATTTGCACAAGCGGTTTTGAGACACTGAAAATTAGCTCCGATTCTTTATAATTTGAAATTCGATAGTCTCACTCGATAGTTTCAAACTTGGGGAACACGTTTTTGAGCGTGTGAGCAATCGAAAAGGTGTCGATGTTGATTATTGTAACATTTCCATCGACAGTAGACACTGCCACGTATTCATTGCGAGGGTCCAACTTGACGCACAGAGGTTCTCCCTCCAGACTCCGTGTTTTCAGTTCAGCATCGGCCGATTTGAGACTGGTGCACTTGACTGCGTAATCGCTCGATCCGCCGACGACATTCACCGCATTCGCATCAACAGTGGTCACGGTCAACTGAAATTCCAGCTGATCGCCAATCGCGTCTGCCTCGAAATTCCCATTTTTCACTCGTCCGACCACTTGCTTTTCGGAGCCGACAACAAAATCAATTTTCGAGTATCCGAGGCAAATGTTCTCGCCATTCCAGGCGATGGAAGCCGTCGTCGAGTCTGGCACTTCGATAACTTCTGGTTTTTCATCGAACAGCAACGAGTTTTTGTTGAATTTCAGCACAAATCCTTCAGCGTCACACACGTAAACCTGCACGTATAACTTTTTTTCCGGACAACTGTTAAAATTTCAAATTTTCGCTCACATTTTCTTTATCGGCGCCAGAAGAATCAATGCAAATTTTTTGAGGGCCAATATTATTTAAATTTTTGATGTTAGTGAAAGTTGCCATCTGAAATAGTCAGCGAAATCGGTCGAAAAGTCGGAAGTTGTCAATTTCAATTTCAAACACATTGTTTTGGCGCCGAAATGCATGAAGTGGGGAGATGCAAGTGTGGACCGCCGCACTGCGTAGCGCCCCTATCTTTTGCATTGCGGCTGTGGGCAAGGGGCACCCACGCAGCGACCTCCGCCGACTTTTCCGTCGCAGAACGCCACTCTTTTCAAGCGCCTCTGCTTTGAGCGTCGCTTCACTTGATTCTCGACTCTTTGGTGACATCATGACCGGAGTGAGTTTTTTTATAATTATTTTTCACTAGCTTTCCTAGTTTCGGGTTGTTATTATTGAAATTTCGCTGGTAAAAAGGCAGAAAGTTTTAGGCCCGATGTAGAAATTTCTCGAATAAATTTTAAATGATGAATTATTTGTTTTTTAGAAACTGTATGGAAACAAGGACAACTTCAGAACCCAGAAGGTTCTGATCGCGGCCAAGCTTGCCAAGAAGGAGGTTACCCTCGCGGGAGACGTTCCACCAGCTGACAAGTTCCCACTCGGAGTTGTACGTTTTTGATTTATTTTGATGTTAGTCTGAAGACGTTAGAACTATCAAAGTTCAGTCTTTCAGACCCCAGCTTTCGAGGGAGACGCTCTTCTCTTCGGAGCTGAGTCTGTTGCTCTTCACCTGACCGGAGCCTCCGCCAACGCCGAGACCGTCCAATGGCTTCAGTTCGCCGAGGGATACCTTCTCCCAGCCGTTCTCGGATACGTCCTTCCATCTGTTTCGGCCGTCAACTACGACAAGAAGACTGTCGAGCAGTTCAAGAATGAGCTCTTCGGACAGCTCCAGGTTCTCGAGCGCGTTCTCGTCAAGAAAACCTACTTGGTTGGAGAGCGTCTTTCTCTCGCTGACGTGTCGGTCGCCCTCGACCTTCTCCCAGCTTTCCAGGTAAACCTCATCTCTTTACTACTTACGAAATTTCTTCCGTTTTCAGTATGTTCTTGACCCCGCCGCCAGAAAGACCTTCGTCAACGTGACCCGTTGGTTCAGAACCATTGTCAACCAGACTGCCGCCAAGGAGGTCCTCGGAGAGGTCACCCTCGCCACCTCCGTTGCCCAGTTCAACCGTGAGTTTATTTCTGAAAGATTTAAAAGTTTCACTGCGAAGTCAGCAGGCTAACCAGTCGGATAGCAGGCGTTACAGTGGTGGTAAACTAATAATTATGCATAGCGGACTTGGTTTGAAACAGTTTTTGCTTCATCCTTGATCGTCGCATTTTTCATGGGACTGAGAGTTGGAGATTTTGCACTGCATGATAAAAGGCTTTGTGCCGCAGTAAATTCGAAGTCACCTTAGTTTTTGTCCCACACATTACATTCTCTGACTCGACAAAAATCGTACTTTTTTCACACCAATTGTTTAATTTATTTCTTGTTTTTCAGAGGCCAAGTTCACCGAGTTGACCGCTAAGCTCTCGAAGTCTGCCCCGAAGGCTGAGAAGCCAAAGAAGGAAGAGAAGAAGCCAGCTGCTGCTGCTGTCCAGGATGACGATGATGAGCCGAAAGAGAAGGAATCCAAGGACCCCTTCGCCGATCTGCCGAAGGGAACCTTCGTCCTTGACAACTTCAAGAGATCCTACTCCAACGAAGATACCGCCACTAAGGCCATCCCTCACTTCTGGGAGAACTTCGACGCTGAGAACTGGTCGATCTGGAAGTGCGAGTACAAGTACCCAGAGGATCTCACTCTCACCTTCATGAGCTGCAACCTCATCAACGGAATGTACCAAAGACTGGAGAAGCTGAAGAAGAACGCCTTCGCCTCCATGATTCTCTTCGGAACTGACAACAACTCTACTATCTCCGGAATCTGGGTGTGGAAGGGAGACAAGCTCGCTTTCGAGCTCAGCTCGGACTGGCAGGTTGGTACATTTCTGAATAGCGTTTAGTTTTGCGAAGAGTAGTCATTTGTATAAGTGTCTGATTTATACAGAGTTACACTTTTCGAAGATAAGTGCTTCTTCTCGTTGGAGTTGTTTTATTAGTAGGCAATTACCTCTATACTGAAAGCTACAATTTCATTTAAGAACTTTGTTCAAAATATATAATTTCAGGTCGACTACGAGTCTTACACCTGGACGAAGCTTGACGCCAAGTCCGAGGCCACCAAAAAGGAGGTCAACGAGTACCTTCTCTGGGAGGGAGACTTCGGAGGAAAGAAGTTCAACCAAGGAAAGATCTTCAAGTAAACGGCCTTGGTCGTACAGTCCGGTGTATTCGTCATTTATTCTTGTTGTTTGTCCCAGAGTCGGAAAGAATAAATTTTTTCCAATTGTTTATAATGGATCCGGTATCACTTCAATAAATTATGTCATTCAAGAAAAAACTTCATTGCTCAAAACGGCTGCCTAGGTGTCTACATTCTCTAAAAACTAGAGATCAAACTGGTGTCCTCGCTTTTCAGTTCCCTCACATCCGAGTCCTCGTTGTATCCTTCAAAGTATTCCGAGTTGGCGTACTCGACGAAGCACGTCTTGATATCATTGAAGTAATGGACGCATTGCAGTTGTCCCAGTGACATTTCGTTCTCTTCTTTTCCCTGACTCTAAAATGTCATTCATCCACACTTTATCATTTTTCGGCTGGAACGAAACCTGGTCGCAGAATGAGTGGCAGTGCGGCGGCACGAGTGATTTGGAGCAGCACTCGGTGTGGTTGGTTGCCCGCGCCGCACAATAATGCACGTTTCGGATGGCACTGACGGGACACGCCGACTGCAGCGAAAGGACGGCACTCACTTCCTCCGAAGAGTACGAAGAGTAGGAGCAGAGCGTCGAGCAGCTGGAGGGCACGTCCAGAATGGTGCAGCACGTGGCAAAGTGCTCATCTGGAGTCATCTGGAAACGAAGATTGGAAATAGAAGTTGCAGCAGAGTACCGACCACTCAACACGGTTTATTTCAGCTGCCGGTAGCGAAATCAAAAAGTTGTCAACCGACAAATTGTCCACAAACACATTGTGCACATTTTATCAATTGACAAGTTTCTGATATCTCTCCAAACAACTGAGATACATCGTCTTGAATAAACCGTATTGGGCGCTCTACCGCTTGCGACCGAAGTTTAATGTTTTCATTGCGGTGGAGCGACATTGCCAAAACTGATGACAGACCAGAGAAACGTCTTTGAGGTCGGGCGGTCGCGAGGCGGAATCTTCGCGGAACGTCTTCGTGCCGGCGGCAGCTCGAGCCACGCATCCGCCTCGCATGCACATGAATCCGACGCCGCACGGGCATCCGAGCGGCTGGATCTGAAAGGCGAAAATTTTAGCGTGGGACTATCGGTCTTGGTTTGGTGTGTCTATAGACAGTATACTCTGCAAGTTTCAGATCAATTGAATCATCTGATCCGGAGAACTCTCAATGTTAGTACTGTAATAGAAGAGCACCACTGTACCGTGCGTTCAGGACGATGTATCTCGGCTGCCGGTAAAGATATCAAAAAGGTGACAATTGATGAAATGTGCACAACGTATTGATGAAAAATTCATTTGTTGACAACTTTTTGAAATTTCTATCGACAGCTGAGATATCCAGTTTTGAGTGGTTTGAAACCGTAAAAATTCACGTACAATGGGTGCTTGAAGACATAGTCCCAAGAGACAGGACGATCCGCAACCGCCGAAACCTCCCAGACACCCTAACGATATGCACTGCAACTCTTATTTGGGGGACAATAGCGCAACATTTGCGTACCTGACTGGAAAAGTGTACAAAAAGAGTTAGGACTATGAAAACGAGGAGGAGCAGAAGTTGCATTCTTCTCGAGAAGAAGTGGGAGAAGGAGGAGAAGGATTACTAGCGAGTGAAATGAGTGAGTATTTGTTCATGTTTGCGAACGTTTCTTTTCTCCCGAAAAACTGGTCATCCAATCCGGTATTCTGGCAGACTTGCTAAATATATCTGTGTGTTTGTGTGTACACAGGTCACTGCCACCCTGCTTCTTCATGCAACACAGAATGCGAATAAAAAAACGAGGTCTAGTACTTTGTTCTTATTGGCGAAAAACACAAACTAACAAAGCGAAATGCTGCTTTTTTTCTTCTTCTTTTATAAACAATAATCATCGTAATTAGCGTTTGCCGGGGCGCATCACGACATGCAGACAAAAGTGCCGCCCGACGAGCGAGGTGTGAAGCCGTCGCAGCACGAGGTGCGCGGGAATTTGCACACCGCCAGGTTGCAGTACGCTTTGTCGTAGGCCGATCTGAAATGGGACAATGACCCTTTGCAACCAGTTGCGAGAATTACCCCGTGCAGGTACACGTGTCAAGTGGTTTGGTGCATGTTCGGAAGCGCTGTTGTGTGCCGCACGAGCCGCACGTATCGGTGCAGTCGGACCACTCTTGCCACGCGTTCCACGTGGCAGTTGAACAGTCGCCACTGGCCGCCGCCGAGGTTGTCTGAAAGTTTACAATATTAATGAGGTTCTCCAGATTAGAGGCCTCATGTAGCCTCAACGTACTTCTCGTCGCCCTACTGTTTAGAAACTGGACCGTAACTCAAGAGTGACGGGTTTCGAGATAAAATAATCAACTGCTATCAAATTAATAATCTTTCCTCCAGTTCCCCGCCGCAACGCGACCACTTCGCAGCTGAAATGACCACGCCCCTTTCTGCAAGTGCCGCACACGCTGTCAATTTTTCTTGGAGAATACACAAATTAAAGCTACTCCTGACGGAAATTAATTGCTTTCGAGTGTTTTTAGAGAATTATCTCTGCAAACGGATAGATTTAAACGAGATTCTGAACTGTAATTTGTGTATTCTCCAAGAAAAATAATTTATTGATGCTGCATGTGCGGCACTTGCAGAAAGGGGCGTGGTCTTTTCAGCTGCGAAACGGTCGCGTAGCGGCGGGGAACCGGAGGCAAGATTATTAATTTGATAGTACAAAGCTGTTGAGCTTCAAAATTAAAATAACTTTTCAGTTGAACACTTATCGAAATAATCATCGGATTTCGAGATATAAATCTTAAGAAGAGGAGTTTCAGGTCCTAAATATGATTTTTGAGAAAAATATGTACCACAACCTGTTGCAACACTTGTCCTAACCTAGTTTGTATAAAGTTCTTACTGCTCGATGCTGTTGCTGCACCGCACTGGTCACATTGAGACCAGTTATCAGTTTCTTTGTACTGCCCGGAATATCGGTCAACGTCGTCGCCGTACTGTTCGATAAAATCAATAGGGCGGTTTGTAAAGCGACCGGCGAATAGATCATTGTTATCATCAGTTCAGTTTATCACACGACGGACATCATCCTGACCCATTTCTTTCTTACCGTAGCAGCAGCAGCCAGAGTGGTGGTGGCCGCGGCGACAGTTCCACAGCTCAGAGAAGTGATGATTGTGCCCGAAGAGGTGACCCATTGGGAGTTTGCATTGCACGTGAGCGTCAGATTTGTCGAGCCAGTCGCCGTCGACACCACATTATTGCTCGAGTCGAGAAGAGCGGCAGTTCCCGTGGAGACCGGAGACGCGCAGTTGACGTTTGCGGTCATGGAAGATCCGGAGACTGTCGTGTCGACGGTCATGAAGCCGCTCGAGTAGCCGGAAGTGGAGACGGCGGTGATGAACGCCGTGTTGCAGCTGGCCGACGGTCCGCTCGCGCTTAGAGTGGTCGACGAGGGAGCCAGTGTGGTGATGGGCGACGGAGCGGTGGAGGTGGCGCCGACGACCGAAGTGATCATGCAGGCGACGCCGTCGATCTCAACTCCGTTCCGTTGCCACGTGTTGGATGACGAACAAGCCATGGAAGTGGACACCTGACCGTACATGGCCGACAACGTCTGACCGTTGGCGTTGAAGAAGATTGTCGCGTTTTGATTGGTCTGAACCGAACAAAACTTAATTGCACAGAAAGATAAGATAACTCACATTGTCTCCTCTACACTTGATCACTACAATTCTGCAATTGCTCGTCGCATCGACCGAGTGTGAAAGCAAAAGTTGTCCGTTCGTGGCGCCAGAGACGAGTTGGGTAGACGTGAGAGCGATGGCCTGCATGTTCACACATCCTCCACACGCACCACTAGCCGTCGTCGCAGTTGCCACAGTTGTAGTTGTCGTCGCAGAAGCGATTTCTCCGCACTTCAACGCCGAAACGATCGTTCCCAACGCGGCGGATGTTCCGGTCGTGGAGGCGCTGATGGCGGTGAGCACCCACTGTGAGTTCGAGTTGCAAGTGAGCGTCATGTTGACGAGTCCGTTGCTCGACTGTCCCAGAACACTTCCGTCTCCGTTCGTGAGCACTGCGGAGCCAGAATCGTCCGGTGCAGCGCAGGAAAGCGTCGTCGAGAGTCCTCCGTTGACGATTGTGGTATCGAGCACCAGGTACGCTCCGGCATCGCCAGTGATGAGAGGATTGACGAGGCTCGATCTGCTGCACGCCAATCCCGTGTCTCCTGGCACCACGTAGGCGGTTGTGGTGAGAGAAAGCGGAGCGGTGGTTGTGGCGGTCAGCGCACGATCGGCAACCTTGCAGGAAGCGTAGCCGATCGAACTTCCGTACCAATCCCACGTGGCCGAGCTGGTGCAAGTGAGGGAAGTTGAGGTGATTCCCTGGGTGCTCATGGTCTGAGAGCCGCCGTTGAAGAGGATTGTCGAGTTCTCCGAGGCCGAACTTCCCGCACAAGAGAGGTAGACGACTCGGCAGGCGTTCGTGGCGCTCACATGGTCCAACACGAACTGTCCGTTCCGCTCGTTGGCTTCCAGTTGACTGGCTAGAAGGCCGATCGCCGGGAGGTTGGCGCATTGTTGGCACGCCGCGGCGACAGTCGCCGTTGCCAAGGTGGTGGTGGAGGCGGCGACGACGCAGGCGAGGCTGCTGACGACTGTGCCGACTGCGATTCCAGTCCCACTCGCCGAAGAGACGACCCATTGTGAGGCAGAGTTACACGTCAGGGTCATGTTCGTGGTCGCCGATCCCGACGTCGAAATGGCGCCCGTTGAACTGAGCAGGAGGGATTCACTGATCCCGGTGGGCGCGGCACAACTCATTTGTACCTCCAAAGACGTTTCCGTCGAGATGGTGTTCATGGAAAGGTATCCAGCGTTGTAGCCGCTCGGAATAGTGAGCATTACATTGCGAGGACAGTTGGTACTTGGCAGAGAGCCGGCAGAAGTGGTCGGAGTCGTCGGAATGATTGTGGTCAGAGCGATGGTTGTGCCAGACGGGGCGACGACGATACACGCGGCCGTCTCGACTGCAATTCCATTTCTCATCCACTGTCCAGTCGAACTGCAAACAAGCGTCAACTCGATTTGTCCAGTTCCGGTGTAGGTTCGTGTTCCGCCGTCGAACGAGATGGTGGTGTTGTCGTTGGCAGAGCTTCCGTAGCAAATGATCGTCACCTCGCGCGCCATGATAGTCGTGTTCACGAAATGATCCAATATCAATTGTCCGTTCGATTCATCCGAAGCCAAATCCGAAGTGGTCAGAGGATCAGCCACCAGGTTCGGACAGTTAAGCGCCTCTGAGGCGACAGTGGTCGTTGCGACAGTTGTGGTGGCGATCTGTCTTCCGCAGGAGAGCGAAGAGAAGACACTTCCAGAAGAGGTCTGCCAACTGCTCAGAGAGTTGCACGTGAACGTCAAGTTGATCATGTTGATGCCAGAAGCCAGGATGGTGCCCGAGGCGATCCAAGCAACCGCGTCGGACGTGGTGGTGCCTTCGCAAACCGCCGTGGCAGTCATACACGTAGAAGAGTCATCCATTGAAATCGTCGAGAAGCCGTTCATGTACGGGTAGAACGAGTAGAGGGAAGTGAGTGGAAGAGTGCTGCAGGACTGGCAGGCGGTGAGTCCAGTGCCGGCCTGACGCTTCTTCCGTTTTTTTCCGCTGGCGGGCAGGGACGATGAGGAGTCTGAAAGAGTTTAAGAACCGTTTATAGTCAGAAATTAGCCAGGTTACTTACTAGCGACCAGGCAAGAAGTTGTCGAAAACGTCTGCTCGTCATATGTCCACGTGCCGGCACTCGAGCACTCCATGTTCACACCGACTGCACTGCCAGTGTTGATCGCTTGTTGGTTCAACATCAACTCGGCCACTTCGTAGTCCATTGTGGGCATGCAATCGATACTCGCCTTCCGACACGCTGTCGTTCTGTCCTTGTAATGATTGATCACGATCATTCCATCGTAGTACGAAGATCCAGACGCCATGGAGAGTGGCCGGACATCTGGGCAAGAGTTGCAAAGAGAAGAAACTGTTGTGGTGGTGGTCGGAGTTGTAGACGCTACAGCCGATGTTGTGATCCGTTCGCAGACGACTGAAGTGATGTTTCCGACGGATGTACTCGTCCAGACTCCTTGAGAATTGCATGAGAAGTCGGTGTAGTTGACGCTGTTCGTTCCCATGTCTGCGTAGATTGCTCCGTTGATCACAATCGCCACCGTGTCAGCTGACTGTAATAGTAAAACTTTTCAAACTTACAACCAGAAGCATTCTATCGCTTACCGTAAGTCCTTGACAGACCATAGAGACTGTACTGCATCCGAACGAGTTGATGGTGTTCACTAGGGTTGTGAATCCGTTCGGGTTGCTTGAGATGGTGCTGGCCGAGACGACGGGCAGACGAGTGCATTGAGAGCACAAATCTGAAAGAGCAATACATAGAAGCCGAGCTTTTGCCAGAATTTTTGTCTTACTGTTGGCTGGATTAGTGACAGGCGCAAGAGTTGTGACGGTGGTGGCGGCAGCTCCGGTTCCAGTGGAAATCAAGCATCCGACCGCACTGACAACACTTCCCGAGTAGGTCCATTGTGCCGAAGCGTCACAAGTCAGATCGAGAGTGTGCGAGGACATTCCGGTCGCGACTGCACTCGAATCGAAGAACAGCGTGGCGTTCTCGGTTGAAGTCGTCGGAGCGCACGTCACAGCGACGGTTCGGCAGTTGGTACTCGGGTCGATGAAGTGATCCATAACGACCATTCCATCGTACTCGCTCGATGAGGAAGAGGAAGAGGAACTCGCCATGGATTCGGCCACCATGTTCGCACAAGAAGCACACTGTCCGGTCGGAGCAAGAGTTGTGATCGAGGAGACCGTCGTGGCGGCGTTCTTGTGTCCGCAGGCGAGTGAAGTGATCACCGAGCCGGTGGAGGTGGCCCATTGGGATTGAGTATTGCATGTGAGGTTGGCGGACGTGGAACCGAATCCACTCTGCAAAGGCAATCCCGCCGACAGAAGAGCGACGGCGTCAGCGGTCTGGGAAAGAGAGGAAATGTTATTCAATGATTCAAATCAGATGCTTACCGTAGAACCTTGACACTTGATGTATAGAAGTGAACATCCGGCGGCGTTCGTCGACTGAACCACAGTGGAGAAGCCGTTCAGGTAGGTGGACCCGTTGCCCACAGATACGATCGGCGCCTTTCCGCACTGACTGCACGCGCTGGCGGTGTCGTCGATGACCGCCTGGGTCGTGGTGGTCGGCGCGACAGTCACTCCGTTCGTTGCCGTAGAAATGACGCAGCTGACTGTGGAGACGGATGTCGACTGATAGACCCAGTTGGCGTTGGAGTTGCAAGTGAGCGAGAAGGAGTGGGTCGCGGCGCCAGTGGCCACGACAGTCGCTCCGAAGATGACGGTCGCGTTCTCAGTGGTCAGGGTGGGTCCGCAGGATACGTCGACATGACGGCAACCTGTCGCGTCGGTGTAGTGATTCAGAACGATCATTCCGTCGTAGGATCCGTCGGTCGGGTTCACCGCCTTCGCCATCATGTTTGCGCACGTCGAGCACTGAGAAGCGGCTGTGGTCGTGGTTGTGGGCATTGTCGTAGTCGTCGGACCGGTCGATGATGTTACTGAAAACTAAAAATACAATAGAAATGCATGTAACTCTTACAATTGTATCTTCCACACGCCACACTATCCACAAGTGTACCCGCAGCGGTCATCCAACCGGCAGCAGAGTTGCAGGTCAAGTTGAACGATACGGAGCCGACTCCGCTGACCAACGAGGTGGTGGCGGCCAAAAGAGTGACTCGTTCGGTGGAAGTGCTTCCAGAGCACGTGACCTGAACCACGGAGCACGAGTTGACGGTGTAGACGGTCATCGAAGTGAGGCCGTTCGTCAGCGAGTTATCGATCGAGGAGACTGCGTTCACGGTCGGGCGGGTGCACTGAGCACACAATGCTTTAAAGACAATTATTTGTTCCCTTTAACGTTTCTAAATCAAATCATACGGATAGTCGGATTCAATGTAGTCGTACTCGTCGAGATCAAGTCAGTAGTGGCAGGCACGGTCACCGTGGAAGCAGTGGACACGACGCAGCTGACACTGTCGATGACGGTTCCCGAGTACTTCCACTTGCCGTCCGAAGAGCAGTTCAAACTGATCTCGTGTACTTCGGTTCCTGTGAGCACAGGTCCCAGTGGATCGAAGATCAGCGTGGCGTTCTCGGTGGAAGTGGTTCCCTGACACGAAATGTCGACTCTCTTGCATTGGGTGGTAGAATCCACGTAATTGTAGAGGACTATCATTCCGTCGTAGGCGTTGCTCTGAAGGAGAGCTTCGGCGGACTCCATGTTAGCGCAAACACCACAAGAAGTGGGAGCAGTTGTAGTTGTGATGCCCACTACGACGATAAAGTTTTCTATAATATCAGTCTGACTAATGACTTACATGGAATGTACCCGCACGAGATACTCTCGATGCTCTGAAGCCCCGACGTCATCCACATTCCACCGCTACTACACGTCAACTCAAGTGCCGCGCTTCCAGTCCCCGTTGCAAGTTGTGCATCCGCATAGATCAACGAGACTTGATCGGTGCTCGTGGTGCCGTAGCATGTCAGCTGAACGGACATGCAGTTGGAGTAGGACGTCGTGGCCTTCAGAAGACCGTTTGTGTAGGCAGAGGAGGAGCTGAGGATGGTGACTGGCAAACGGTTGCATCCACTGCAATCATCTCCCGGAGCAGGAGTAGTCAGCGGTGGTACGGTGGTCGCCGGGACCAGAGCGGATGCTGAAAGCGAACTTGAAAACAGGTGGTTGAGTTGTGAGTAGCTTACTTGTTGCAATACAACTGACAGTCGAAATGGCTTCTCCGTTATACACGTAGTTTCCATTATTACACACCAGATCCATCGCCTGCTCGCCGGTTCCGGACATCACAAGTCCATAGGGATTGTAGTACAACGAAGCGACGTCAGTATCACTCACAGTCGCCTGACATGAAATGGAGACTCGAAGACATCCGTTCTGTTTGTAATGCCAAAGAACAAGCATTCCATTGTAGGTGCCCGATTTGGTCATAGCCAACGGTTCCAGTGCCGCACAGTTATTGCAGACCGCTGGAAGTGTCGTCGTCGTCGTCGTCTGTGGAATGTCATCTTCGGTGACAACCTGAACCCCGGTCGACGGCAAGTCCTCTATTGTAGTTATTTGTGCCTCGGTCGACGTGAATCCGCTCGGCGTCGTCTCTTCTTCTGGCGGCGCCGCGTCCGGGGTGGTCTTCCGCACGGTAACCGGTTTGCTTGACGAGTCTTTGGTCGGTGACCCGGCATCAGTTGAGGGAAGATCGCGAATCGTGGAGGGCACGAGTGTGGTCGTCGACACTTTCGGCATGATGCACGAGATGTTGCTGATGATCGTGTTCGTCGAGACATCGAGCCATTTCGAGTTTTTCGTGCAGGTGAACGTTCTGTTCACTGTCGAGCCACTGTCCAGAACGCCCTTATTGTTGTACATCAGTTCCACTTCGGTCCCTCCCTAAACTCGTGTTAGATTAGAGAAAAGGAATCGAACACAACTTACATTGATCGGAACGCAATGCGCTTCAACTGACAGACAGGTCTCGAGGGTGTGATCGAGGTAAGTTACTCCTTCCGGATAGGTCGACTGACTGACCACCAGGTTCGAGCAGTTCATACACGGTTTCGAAGTATCCACCCCCGGAATTGTCGTCGGCTTCTTCGTGGTTGTAGTCGTCTGCGCGTAGACACATCCCAGAGAAGTGACATTGGCCGCCAACGCGTTCGTCGAACTCAACAGCACCCATTTCTTGTCCCGACACGCGAGGTTCGCACTCAACGGAGCGCCGATATAACTCGTGTTCCCGGACAAAATCGTACTCACAGTACTTGTCTCACCGATCTGAATTCAATTTTAAATCTATTTAAAAGTGAGTGAGAAAGAGGGGAAACCTCGATGGGTCGGCAGAAGAACTGAACGTAATAGCAGCCGGAGGCCGAATATCTATTGAGCACCGATGACGCATCTTCGTACGGATTTCCGTCGAACAATTGAACGTTGATCTGGGAGCAGTCGTTGCAAGTACTCCCTGAAAAATGAACCGAGTTTCACATTGATGCTGTTGGGTTGACTTACAAGTACTAGAAGTGGTAGTCTCGACAATCGTGTCAAGAGTCGTTTCGTCTTCTTGAGATGTTGAGACAGAGTCGGAAGATGCACTCGGTTCGTTTGACGTGGCAGATGGAGATTCGGATGACACCGAATCAAAGGTGACGCTTGCTTCTGAGCTGGCCGATAGAGATTCAGATGAACCGCTTGGTTCTTCAGACGAAACGCTTGCCTCCGAGGTGGCCGACGGAGATTCAGAAGATACGGAATCAGATGTGACGCTTGCTTCTGAGGTGGCCGACGGAGATTCAGTTGACGCAGAGTCCGACGATGAGTCCGGCTCTTCAGAGGTAACGCTTGCTTCAGATGTGGCAGACGGCGATTCGGAAGAGACAGAATCGGATGAGCCACTCGGTTCTTCAGAAGTAACACTCGCTTCAGACGTGGCAGAATCAGAAGAGGCACTTGGTTCTTCAGAAGTGACAGATTCCGACGAAGCAATTGACGGAGTGGTGGACTCTTCAGAATCCGCTGTCGTTGTTACGTCGTCTGTCGTCGAGGAAACCGAGTCAAGAGTTGTGACGTCGACAGACGCAGTCGTGGAGGTCTGATCCATTGAGGCCGTCGTCGAGGTGACCATCGGAGTTGTGCTCGACACGGCGATCATCGTGCACGTCTTGAACTGAATCGTCGTCGTCACAATCGGAGTCGTCTTGCATGCCGGCGTTCTGGTCACTCCGGGCATTGGAGTCGGAGTCTCCGTGGCGAAAGTGTACGGATCGAAGCCGCCGTCTCCACTGCCACCTCCCGGGAATAGTGTTCCGAGGGTGCCGGGAGCCATCGTAGAGACTGTCGTGACGGGCGGAGCACACTCATCATACGGAGCCGTCGACTCTTCTGCCGGTAGTGTCGTGATTTCTCCGCTTCCCGTTGGGTTCGGCGCAAATGTAAAGTCGAGGGTAGTTTCTTGACCGGACGGGCTCGCCGATCCTCCGTCTGAACTCTTCGTTGTCGCACTTCCAGCTGCACTCGTTTCGGCAGCATCTGTAGCCTCTGCAGGTGTCGTGACTTCTGCCTCGGCCGTCGTGGCTACTCCGGCAGAGGTCGCCGAATCTTTGGCGGTTGTTTCTACTCCAGCTGAAGTTGCGGTGTCCTTGACTGTTGTAGCTACTCCGACGGTTGTCACAGAAGCTTCGATGGTTGTAGCTGCTGCCGCTGCCGAAGTCTCCGCCGCCTTGGATGTGGCCGAAGCCTCTTCCGTCGTCGCCGATCCTGCGGCAGTCGTCTCCGAAGCTTTGGTGGTGGCGTCTGCGGCAGTAGTCTCCGATCCTTTGGTCGTTGCGACCGCTTCCGCTTCCGTCGTCGTCACGGGCGCACCGGTTGTCGTCGCCTCGTCCACCACGGTCGTTTCGAAGAATGCGGTTCTGAAACGAGAAAAAATGGTGCGTAGGTGGGGGAGAAAGATCAATTCGAGATTGACTCACGTTCCGAACACGATTGTCGAGTAGTGTGCTGAAAATGGGAACGAAATTGGAGAAAATGAACATTTGGCAAACCTTTAGTGGTTGTCGTTCCGCACACCAGCGTCTGTGACATTTCTCCACTGAAGAGGGACTCATTAGATATAAAATTCGAGAAGTAGTGATCATGACCTACCGCGCGCGCGCGAAACTAATAATAAATACAAATTTCGTTCAATTTACTTCGGGACTCAAATTAGCTGTCCTTTTCAACAAAAAGCAAACTATTATCGATTGGTTTCCTTCTAAGATAGTGTAATTTCAACCGTTTGTGGGCACTCACTCGCAGGAAATCGCAGTAAAACAGATCAGCGGACTCTTGGTGCACGTTCTCGATCGTATCGCGACAATAGTCGAATCGGTTCCAGTGGCTCCGGCCGGACAAGTGCTCCAGGAGCCCCAGTCGCCCCACGTGGCACTCGTACACTCGAAAAGCGCATCTGAAGTGGGCACGAAGGCGGCGATGAGGAATGCGACGAACAAAAATGAGACTGATTCGATTGAGCGCCTATTTTTCCGTCTCCAAGCCGAGTATAAAGGGTTTTCCATTGATCTAGAATCGGCGCTTGATTATTGACAATTTCGTGCATTCGACCTTTGACTTTTGTTCATAAGCACTCCATAAGAAGAACGATGAAAAGTTGGGGAAGAAAAGTGAAGAACTTGAGAGGGGATTAAATGGAAAAGTTCTGAAAAAAGGCTCTGATTATGGTGTTGAACATTTCGCAAAAAAAAGAAGAGTAGATTGATTGGAACGGTTGGTTCAAATGTGAGAGACGAGATCGTGGCGGGGGTTTTTGGATAATCCTCCCCCTTTTTCAAATTTAAAACAATCGAAAAAGATTGAATTGAGTCTGACAGATTATTTATGATGATGGATATTGTATTGATTGATTTGAGTTCAACTCATTTTGGATGGAAAAGCTCGGAAAATGTTTCATATAAAAGAACGTTTATTCGCAAAAAGTTCCACGGCGTGCTAGAAGGGAAAAAAACGGGCGGAATGTTCTGGCCATCAACACGCGCGCCCAGATCAAACCGTTTCGATTTCCCGATTCGAGTCGACGGCGAGATTAATCCGAAGCGGGCACCCGGGTCATGTACGCCCCAAGCTAGAGTACTTGTAGGCAAACTATAAGATTGCAATGTAAGACATTTACTTTGGCCATTTGTTTCTCGGTCACTTTTTAAGATTTTCTGACGTTTCAAAAACCATTCAAAAGATAATTTTGTGCTGAACAATTGTGTATTTAGGTATTTTTCACGATGATGCCTGTCCGTCGAGATATTGACATAATAGTAAAGAGGACCATTTTTGAGGAAATTTCGATGAATGGAACTGGTGTTTGAAACCGAACGCCTACTGAAATGTTTACAGATGTCATTTCATTTCCAGTTTTGACCATCCGATGCACTTTCAGAAATGTTACTCATTGCGTTTTGAAAAATATGTTTCGCACAGTTGTCTTTGTTTGAAAAATCAATATCATCTTTCGGACCTGACTTGTGCTCAGCACTTAAAAACCGACTCATAACTCAAGAATTAAACGTTTTCAAATAAAATTATCAACTAAAAAGTTGTTCAGTACAAAATTTGCAACATTTTGTCTGTTGGTGATTGGTTCACTTAATGATTGGTTCTCGAGATTTAAGACTCTGAAAACAGGAGAGTATTGACAAAGTTCATAACTTCCATGAGCTACAGTAGTCTTCCGAGTGACCGCCCGAAAAAGTGATCAACTAGAGAAACCCTCCGCCAGATGATTTCAGAATCCGAGTGTCAACACTGTACCACAGTTCAACAGCCAACCGTTCCGTTCCGTTCAAAAACCAATCGTGTGACGTCACCGGCGGGACTCTCGAAAAGACGTACACTTTCAATGTGTCCCCGTGTGTGGATTATCCTCCGCTGTGCGAAAAAAGACACAGAGAGAGAGATAGGAACGAAAATTCAATTTTGGGGGAGAAGAGAAGTAAAGTGCCAATCATCCTCTCGGAGAACACTTTGCAGATTACTGTAATCCGAAATCCAAACTCCGCAATCTCTTCCTCGAAAGGTCGTCGTCGTCTTCACATTCAAAACATTTACTGATCCGCGCAAAATTTGCATTTGCTCATTTTCTCAGCGGCTTAAAAAGTGGCGAGTGAACAAGTCCAATAAATCTGCATTTGATTATCCAAATCTTTTTCTCTTTGCCGTTTGCGGCGGCGGCGGCTCAAAAGTCGAGTCGGGCGGTGCAAAGAGACGCATCACCCTTTCCCGCGCACACTTTCGACTCACTTCCGATCATTACACGTCGATTATCCGTGCAATTACTCGTGTGCCCTGATGAGGAACTCGTGCGGTTCAGAGTTCGACGACACACATCCCACACACACAATGTCACTTCTGAAAACGCATGTGCCACTTTGATCCTCGGTTTCTCGGTCAATTTTCAACATTTTTCAACGTTTCAAAAACCATTCAAAAGATAATTTTATGCTCAACATTTTTCTAGTTGCGCGCCTCTCACGATCGGGCTTGTGCGCCGAGATATATGCAAAATAGTGAAAGTGAGAAATCGATCAACTACAAAAGTTGTTGAGCATCAAATTATCTTTCTATTTGATCTTTAGCTATTAGCAATAAGATTAAAATTTGACTGCGCTCGGGATTTTTCCACTTTTCCCAGAAAAATGTATATGCTCGTGTTTCTTGAAATGATCCATTACGATAGATTCGAAAATATTAGTGATGGCGTTATTGTTGTTATTATTATGTTCTTCTTCTGCTTCTTCCGCTCATCATCATTTATTCCCATCCTCTCTCTCTCTCTCTCTCTCTCATTTTTAATCCATGACTCTTTCTCTCTCTCTGTACATAGTCGATTATCCAGTGCCTCCGATTAATCTGCCTGCTAGCCGCTGCTCCATTTCTCCGCTCACTTCTATTCGCCCTCCCAACCTCAGCCGAGCAATTTTTATCATTAATGGTCCATTTGGGTTCAGTGCTCTCCAGTGTTGAGCGGAATTCCGTCTGCCGTCTTCCGTCTTCCGTCTTCCGTGGTTTTTTTTGTTCCGTCTTCCGTCTGCCGTCTTCCGTGAGAAAAGTTTTCTTCCGTCTTCCGTCTGCCGTCTTCCGTAAAAGAATGTTTCTTCCGTCTGCCGTCTGCCGTCTTCCGGAATTTTTTTTTCTTACCGTAAAAGAGTAATAGCTTTTCAAAAGCCATTTACTAGTCCCGAAGAACGCGAATTTCCACGGGCAGTACCCAGATCCAAAAGTTTTGTTGCTTTAGTTATTTTTTTCAAAAAAAAAACCGGAAAAAAAGGCTCTGAATTGAAGATTTTTTGTTCCGTATTCCGTCTGCCGTCTTCCGGGAAAAAAGTTTTCTTCCGTCTTCCGTCTGCCGTCTTCCGTGAGAAAAATTTTCTTCCGTCTTCCGTTTTCCGTGTTCCGTAAAAAAAATTTTCTTCCGTCTGCCGTCTGCCGTCTTCCGTATTTCAAAATTCCATTTCCGCTCAACTCTGGTGCTCTCTCTCTCTCTCTCTCTCTGTGTTCTAGACCAATAAGCACATCTGCGACCAGTCCTCTCGAAATTCGATTACCTCGCATACACTGCCATCATTCTCATATTTATGTGCGTGTGTGTCTATAATAGCTCTCACCCTTTTTCCAATTTCCTCTCCGCTGTTCGATCGTCTCTAAAGAAGCTAGATAGATAGAGAGAATGAGACAAAGAAAAGCGCGAAAATGAGTATTATCGTCATTTCTCGAGAAGAGCCCAATGGCATTTATCCACCTGTTTATTTGTCGAATGACGTGTTTTGCGTGCGCGCCCCGAGAAGAAGTGCCTATGTCACAACGGCTTCCGGGCTTCTCCCCGTGCTGCCTTCTGCTCGCCTCCTAATCATAATCAGACTGGAGGAACAGGATGCACACACACACACACACACACAGAGAAAGACTCCATATTAGTATTCGCTCGTGAGCCAGCGAGTTGGAGGTGGAGGTGGTGACTAATTTCAGTCGGGTTTTTGGTGTCATCCGCTTATTTGTTTTTTGTGGAAAAATTGATGTGATCTTACAAATGTGTTATTTTCCTCATTCCGAATGCTGTCTGTACTCGGCAAACTTGTGCAAGTTTTGCGCAAAAGTTGCACAAGTTTGCCGAGAACATACTGTAATGGAAGAGAACCAGAAAACCGTTCATTCAAGACAGTATATCTCAGCTGCCTGTAGAGATATGGAAAAGTTGTCAACTAATAAAATGTTTATTAATACATTGTGCACATTTTCTCCGTAGAACCCTTTTTGCTCTGTCTACCGGCAGCTGAGATATTTCGTCTTGAATAACAGGTATTGGGTATTTCACGGTAATTCGCCCGGCGCAGTGGTAGCATTTTAAAGCTGTGCCTATTGTCTGTTGCGGGTTTGAATCGAAACCCTCAAAAACCTGTTTTCCACCACTATTTCTCCGCCTCCCCCGTTGCTCATCATTTCCAACCAAAAACCAGTGTTCCGCATGACCCGAAAGCATGTGAACCAACGAATTTGCCGCCTCGAAGAGCTCATCCTATTTACTGATGTATAAGTGATTCGAAGCGTGATAAATCAGTGACCTCGTCATTTTTGCTCAAAAATCAGCATTCACCGCGAAAAAGGAATTCTTTGTTTTTTGCGTTGCTTCTGCTCGTTCCGCATTCCAATTTGGAAGTTTGAGGTCTCGAAAAAAGAGGCCAGGCAAAACGAGTGAGGAATGCGATTTTTGAGTGCGAACGGGTAAACTTCTTAACGAGAAACCGCTCTAGACCGTTGAAATTGCAGTATTCTTTTGAAGTGTGTTGTTTCTCATTATCTTCAAGTACAAAAATGCAGAAGCCACGCCCCTTTTGTCCTATTTCTGGACACGAAATGTTTGTCTTCCAGAAACTGGCCAATTCATCAATCAACATCGTTCGCATTCATTCACAAACTCATTTCGACGAAAAGAAGAGCAAAAGAAGAAGCTCGACGTATTTGGCGGAAGCGATGCACTTCCGTCTCTCGTTAAACGCCTCCTCCTCAAAGGAACATTGGCTCATTAGGAGGAGACAAGAGAGACGAACTTTTCGCCTTTTCTTCTTCTTCCCTGCCTTTCTCTTTTTGTTATTGTCCATTTGGCTGTGGCTCACAGTCTTCCTCCCTTCCCGCATACGCAATGACTCTCACTCTCACTCTCACTACTTCCTCGATGATCCGACTTTGTGGTTTAGTCTGTTTTCCTTCTTTTCCTTCTTCTTCTTCTCCGAAAACGATCATGATTTCTTTGCAACTTACTCCTTATACCCCTCCCAAAGGCAGAGGCTCAAAATCGTGCGGAGGATCTCTGTCCGGATTAGACCAATCCATTGGAGAAGCCCCACCCATGCTTTTCATTTTCTGACGACGCGCGTTTCCGCATTCACTCCCTACTCTTCTCCAAGATATATTCGACGACGACTTTTGTTTGTTTGCATTAATATTATTATTATCACATCTGCTTTTGGAACCCTTCCTTCCGCAGAAGTCTATTATTAGAATGTTTTGTTGCTCTCCTCTCTCTCTCTCTCTCTCTTGGTTCCGTTCCCATTACAGCCGCAAGTTTGGCGCGCAGGAGACGGCTTGAAAACTGAGAAAAGGGAAGATTAAGGATTAGGGGTGAGAGCGCTTCTCCTCGAATCTCACCGAATTGGGGGGGGGGATTGAGACAGAGAACCTGGAAAGCGATAAGACCTTATTTGCAAAGCTCGCTTCTTTCTAACTTGAACTGTCTCATTGTGCATCCTGTCTACCCGGATGATTCTCACGTGCGGTTCGTGGTGGATCCATAATGTAAGCCCAGAGTATTCACTAGCATTCCCTCCTTGGTAATCGGTACCAGAAACGAGTGGAAGTCTATCAGGTAAGTCGCCTATTCACTATTGGTACTGTGTATTCCGCTAAGGTGCGTCTAGTTTCTTCATGCCGTATTTCCCTTCCACCAAGCTCCACCAAGCACCTTTTCATAGTTGGTAGTCGATTGTAGAGAGACCAAAATCTTCCATCCCCCCCCCGCTATATTTAGTCCAAATCCCCATATTTTCACACTCTGTTTCGTTTCTCGTTGTATTTTCTTTTCAATTCCCCTTGAAGACCCACACTGAATCTGCACTCATATGCTCGATTCATTCCAGACGCCGATGACATCTTCTTCTGGCGGCGTCAACTTTTTGCCAGAATGCGAGCCGCAAATATTCAATGACATTCAGGCGACGATCCGATTATTCGGAGGTATCGTTTCGAGAATTTCAAAAAACCAACCTTTCTTTTCTCCTTCCAGGAATGCCCATCGCTATATTCGGCTTCATCACCAACGTCATCAATGTGATCGTGTTTTGCGATCCCGAAATGCGATGCTCACTTGTTAATCACTTTTTGCTAGTAAGAAAGAACAACCGGCGGATCGTGGCGAGACCCAACCGACTAAACGTTCAGGTATTATCAATATCCGACTTGCTGCTGCTCGTCTGCAACTTCTTCATGCTCATCTTCCCGGTGATCGCGTCGATGAGCAACAACTACCCGCTCAACAACTATTATCCGGTCTTTCTCTGGTTCGCCTACCCGGTCGGCCTGAGCACTCAGACGTGCGGAGTCTACCTGACGGTCCTGGTGTCTGTGCACAGATATCTGGGGGTGTGTCATCCGTTTCGCGCGAAACGATGGGTCTCCGGCAAGCCTGTCAAATGGGCGATCATCGGTGAGATCAGAGACCAGAAGCTTCCATCATTTCTATTTATTCTTTGTCTCATTCCAGGCTCCATCTTCTTCAGCATCATCATCAACTGTCAGACGTGGCTGGAGTTGGACATTCGTACGTGCTACTCGCACGAATTCCAAAACCCGGTGCGCTCGATCATTCTGACGCCGCTGCGACAGAACGAGATGTACAACCTGGTGACAAAGTGCATAATGTACACGCTCATCATGTTCGTCATCCCGTTCCTCACGCTCATCATCGTCAACTGTCGGATTGTGGTGGCGTTGAAGGAGTCGACGCGAATGCGCAACGGACAATCGATGAAGAAGAGCACACAATCGTGAGTAGAAGCTTTTCGCCCTACTTAACGGCTCATCTCTCGCAGAGAGATGTCTGTCTGAACACCTTTAGACACTTGTAGAAAGAAGCAATTTGAAAAATTCCAGTAGGTTCACGTGGAAATCCCTGGACAAGTAAGTTGTCGCTCGCTCTTTCAGGCCCCCACCCCGAATGTTAGTCATCATCATTCCGCTTGAATTGCGTTCCTCCCCGCCCGTTGTTTTTTCATGGAATGGCGTGCTTGCTTTAGCTATTGTTGCCTGTGCTCATTTGCAGAAAACAATCGGGCGGTTTTCTTTCAGGCGCATCATGCACAACTTCCGGATGCTTAAAGGCGCCAAGTACAGCGAGCTGTTCGGACGGTTCGGCAGGCTCAACTTCAAGTGAGTACCTGGGGTAGAAGTTGCCGCATTGTTTCATAGATTGTACGATACTTATGGTGCAGGCAGAGCGATAAAGAATTGGAAAAAAAGACAGTTCTGGTCAGCAACTTTAGTCAGCACACATTGAAGATCGCATATCTCAGCTGTCTGTAGAGATATCAAAAAGTGGTCAACTAATAAAATGTGAATAATTTATTAATGAACATTTTATCAGTTGAACACTTTCTGATGTCTCCACCGGTAGCTGAGATATACGGTCTTGAATAAACAGTATTTTGGTAACCTTCTAGTAAAGTTTGTATGGTAGTTTCCCCTGCAGTTAGCTACTTGACACTTTGCAAATCTTCAAACCCGACCCAATTACAGTCCTCTCAAAACACCGTCTCTGCTGAAAACGAACGGAAACTCGCTGCGCGACCGTTCGGTCACCCTCATGCTTCTGGCGATCGTGGCCATCTTCCTGTGCTGCAACTGTCTCGCCTTCTGCAATAACATCTATGACAACGTGCAAGTGGCGAGAAAACACGGCCAGGACGTGAACGCCTTCAATCACACGGCTCATCAAGAGGTTAATCCGTTTTCCATCAAATGACTCCAATTTTAGTTCAACGGATTATACTACTACGGTTACCCAAAACGCTGTTCTAATCCCGACTACCACTACCACTTCCTCGTGCGTTTACAGATCGAAGAGCAACACGAGGACATCATTGAAAACTGGAGCGTGTACAGCATCTTCAACGAGTGGAACTTTGACTTTTCCGTCGAGATTTCGAACCTGTTGATCAGCCTGAACTCGTCGAGTTCCATGTTCGTCTACCTCATCTTTTCCTCAAAGTACAGATCGATCATCAAGCACTGGTTGGGATTGGAGAAGCGAAGGAGGGTAAGTACTCCCGAGTTAATCAAGTTCCACACGTCACTTTCAGACGAACGGAGTCGCCTTGACGACAGTGATGGCTGCTCAGAAGGCGTTGGAACTCTCGATTCTTCCAGATGAAGTCGAAGGTACGCATCTGTCCCTCTTGACAATTTCTAAAGTGCTCCCGAACTTCAGCTCGTCGAAATCGCAAAGAGAAGAACTTATTTGTGAAGAAAAAGCAGCTGAACAAGTCGGCGCAGCTCTTTCTGACCACTTCGGAAACTGATCTTCGGAAGGCGCGCGCCATTCGGAGAGAGCAGGAAGAGGAGGAAGAGCACGAGATTCAGGAGATTGCCAGCGACGAGCCGAGCACCGCCAGCAATCTCTCCAGAGGTACTGTTGCTGACACAATGTTCACAATTGACGATCCTAAGATTTCAGACGACACGAACCGTTCGAGCTCGAAACGCAAACTTCTCCGCTTCGCCACTCTCGCCTAACTTTCCCCTCCGACTTCTCCTCGAATCTTCGGGTATCTACACTACAATTTGATCTCTTCCCCACCACTTTGTGCCCTCAATTGTCCTCTCCCGTTCTCTTACGTATTTTCGGTTATTTTCACCTGAATGAAGTGAAATGATAAGAAAAGAGAGAGAGAGAGAGAGAGAGAGAGAATCTTCTTCATCTTGACGAGCCCGTTCAATGGCCCTCAATTTATCATTTTGTGCATTAAGTCGCTCACAGCTCATCACAAAGTGGCCCTGTGTGAGCCACGGAGCAAACGAAACAGAGCATCGGTTGCTTTTTGACACCTTTCAATCTAATCCCCCAAGTTTTAATACAATGGTCTCTGAAATCTCTTAGCCTCATGAAAATGACATTTTCCCTTTTCAGAAGGGAATCCTCTTCTTCTCCCGAGAGAGCACTTACAAAGTGTCACATTTCATTTCCGTTCAAACGCCTCTCCTCATCCGTCCTATCGCACTTTTTCCGTCCCGGAGACTAGCATTCCAGAAGGAAATTGGAAGGCCTACTCGCCCCACTTCAGACGACGTCTTCTGTCAGTTTCAGTGGAGGGGAATGTTGTGCGGTCCAAAATGCGTATAATTTCATTTGTGTCTTTGGGAGTGTCTGTCTGCGCCCTCATTTTTTGCTCTTCTTTTCGCATACTTAACAAGTGTTGCAGCAGTCACAAACATTCGATTCGTGTTCCGCCTCTTCCAGGTAGCTGTTTTCTAGGCCATCGATGAAGGAAGAAAAGCCCAAGATCAGTTGGGTCGGGAAATTCCTACAGCTCGGCTCAAATTTCAACATTCTTATGGATAATTTTCGAATTTATCACCGATTTTGAGACAGTTTTTGAACCCATCCGGAAAATCAGAACAAGCACAACAGGGAAACTAGAGAAGAACGGTTTCGGAAGATCAATTCGTTGCGAGACCCGTTGAAAAGTGCTTCTGTGCGCCTTTAAGGAGTACTGTAACTTGTTTTCGATTTCTTTGGTTTTTTAACGTGAAAAACGGCAACCGCGCAGTACCAGAAAGTTCAAATAGCTTTCCGCCACCAGTAGAGCTCAAAATTACATGCTCACTTAAAATTCCGGGAAGAGATGGATGAGTCAAGTGAGTCTAAAAAGTGCGTCTCCCTTCTTTATTCAAATGTCTCCTTCTTCTCAATATCATCGTTGGTTACAAATTCGGTGCTCTTCACTTTTAAACTGACCTCGCGCCGCGCCTGAATAATTCATCCGATCGTCCCCCACTTGGACGCTCTTTTTCACTTCATTCCGTCTAATTTCCGTTTGTCCGCTCTCCGCCCCAAAGTTCTTCTTCTCGCGAACCAGAAGCCTGTAATTTTCTTTCTCTCTGTTTTCCCGCCTCAACGCATTCGTAACGTGTCAACAAGGAGTGTGACACGCGAATGGTAGGCTGAGCAGTCTTTCCCGGCGAATGTCTGCCACGTCATAACTATTCGTAACGTGTCTTGCAAGACCTGAATAATAAATAACTCGCGGAACGTGTACTTTCTCTCCGACTTCTCCTTCTTCAACTCTCCAACCTAATTGCCCTCACTCAACCCTCTCCTTTGCATGTTCATGCAAAGCTTCCGACTTTAATACCTCAAGAACCAATGACTATTCCCAAAAACTGTCAACTAAAAAGTTGCTGCAAATCTTGTGCTCAGCAACTTTCTAGTTGACCATTTCGTTCGAACAATTGTCATTCTCAAGTTACAAGCCGTTTCCTGAACAGAGCATTCCACGTCATCATCAACCACACACACACACACATATATTTATTATGTATTGACCTCCGCCCCTATCTTCTTATCCCTTTCTGCTCCCCTTCAAGAGCACATGGACATTACAAATATTGTTTTTTGTTGCGCTTAGCTTGCCCAAAAGGAATTTGGTTGCATGGCGTCCAAGGAAAAAAGCTGACCGGCGCGGACGAATTATAGGTTAAAAAAACCCAGAAAAAGCAAATTTCCTGTAATACTTGACCGAATCGCTCTTTTCCGAATATAAGGGAGTCCGTAAAGTACATACTTTTAGGCCTCTCAGGCCAATTTTCAAAGTGTTCTCTGAACGCAGTGAACAGCTAGAAAAAGAAGTGAGCGGGGTGGGCAAAAGGCTCGGACCGATGTGAAATATTCCATCTCAAATTCATAGATTCATTCATAGGTCGTCGTCGTCGCCGTCGTCGTGTCCGGCCGTCCGTCCGTCCGTCCCCGCGCTCTCCTTCCCTCTTCTTTTCCTCTTTTCCGCCTGTCACCAACTTTGATACTACTACGACTAGAAGCCACTTCTCTCTCTCTCTCTCTCCCTCTTTGCCTTCCCTTCTTGTTTTGTTCTTCTCAAACGAGCGGTGCGGCTAACTGAATTACTAGTCTTCCTTGCGTTTTCACCTGTTCTCCCACGATTTTCTCGAGAATTTTCTGATGTTTGAGCTGGAGGTGCGCTCGCCACGCAAACGTTTCTCTACTGTAACTATAGTTTAATCGGACCGATATGTTCGTTAACGAATAACCCCAATGCCGGTTTGATAATTCTAGAAAACCATGCACGTTTTGAAAGGCGCTCTCCCTCTCTCTCTCTCTTTTTCGTTTCCCTCAGAAAACGATCCTTCTCCTGTTTGCAGACGCCCTCTCCGAGCCGGTCATGCGCGAGCGCCGATGAACGTCGGCCTCTCCCTTTTTCTCGTCGTCGTCGTCCTGTCCCGTGGCAGTCTCCAGATGTGGTGTCTCGACGGCTCCGATTGCGAGCAGTCCGACACGTGCTCTCTGTGCGAAGGCGCCGCCTGTCTTCGAGTTCAGCGGTGAGCACTAGCCGACGATTCTGCGTAAATTTCAATACTTTTTACAGAAACCATGCGCAGAAAGGAACGACAGTGGCGCTGACATGCCTGCCGCACGATTCGCTTATTCACACCTATCACCCGGAGGGCTGTCGAACCGAGCTCTCCTCCGGCGACAAACTGTGCCTCTGCTCGGGCCGCGACTTCTGCAATACATCGGTCAGATCGATGACTTCTATTCTCCTGCTACATGTATTTCTGCCTCTTTTCCTCCTCTTTCTTCTCAGTTGACACCTGTAAATTTCGAATAAAACAGAACATTTTCATATGTGTGTTGAAGAAACAAAACAAGAAGTGTGAAAATGGAAATGAAAATAAATAAGCTAGCGTGATGTTTTAGTCGAGATACTTGGCCAGCAACTCTTGTTTCTTCTGCTCCAACAGCATCTCCTCGATGTCCGATTGCGACGGCAGAAGGACGTGTCGGATGGTCATCGGCCGTCCGTCCTCTCCGATCACTGTCGATTCCTGCGTCTGCAGCTCATCGTCGTCGTCCTCTTCCACGTGGTAAATGTTCTCCGGGACTGCGGCCGACTGCTGCGACTTTTTCTCGGCGAATTCCTTCTGAATCTTTTCGATGTTCTTTTCCTCGACGAGCTTCTCCAGTGGAATGAGCCGCCCGTCTTCGTCGTCCAGGTAGCCGAAGTAGTGCGCATCGATGTTCCGCATCAGATCAGAACGATGCTTCCGTTGATCTTCGCCTTCTGCGCTCTTTTCGAAAAGATCACGAACGCCGGGAAGATCCTTCGCCGCTCCGAAGTACTTGTAACCCTTCGAATTGCCCGTCTCCCTCCCTATTGCGTCTAGTTCTTTTTGTGCATATTTTCTGAATACAAAGCGTATGAGAATGTTTTGGAACAATCAAACTAACCGATAATCCGTGCCGCCTAATTCTCGAATCCGTTGCTCCCATGCGTGTTTTAACTTTATCAGCCGATTAATCTCGTCGTTCAGATCGCGCAGTTTGAACTCGCCGAGACCCGGATTTTGGATCGCTGTGATCTTCTTCGAGCAGTCTCGAATGATCTGAAAGACGAAAATAGATGTTGCAACTATATTTTGTGATGGACAACTCACTTCTCTTCTGAATCTTTCCGCATCTGACAAATTTCTGCAATCTTTCACATCATGTGGTCTTCTGGCGACCGGACCCTATAAAAATTTTTATATTTTACAAGATTCTTTTGAAAACACACGAAACTCACCCTCTCTTCTTCTTCTTTCATCCGACGCCATCGCGCCAATGCGGTCATTGCCTTTTCCGCGTTTCTGGCCATTTTTGAGTGATTGAGTGAAGTTTTTTGCTAAAAAAAATACATTATTACACAATTTTCAGATAATTGAACTACAGAAATATAAAGAAAACGAGCAGAAATTATTGAAATTCTTTTTTCGAAACCAAACAGATTTGAAAATTTCTCGGTAAACAAGGCGCGTAAGCGAAAGAACGGAGTGTCGTTGTAAGGAGAAAACTGAGCGAAAATTGAAAAAAGTGTGAGGAAACGCCACACTACACAGACTTATTTACACTGGCAGCCTTACGGCCGCAATTTTTTTTTCCAAACCAGGCCCCTCCTACTCGCTTCTCCCGAACTGACGGCGCCCAACTTAAATCACCTGTGTGCTTGGTACGAGCCATTGGAATATGAACGGACTGTGAAAGGATGTGAGAGGACGGTAAGAGAGAATTCGACCCATCATTATGTTTCCGATCTTTACCATGTTGCATGCTCGTGTTCTGATCGCCCACAAGTACATAATCTTTCGTCTCTTCATCTTCTTTTTGTTTGGCGGTCCAACATAATAGAACTGCGCAGAATAGAACTGCGCAGAATAGAACCGCGACACAATAGAACCGCGATATAATAGAACTGTTTTTGTGTATTTATATGAGCATTTTGTCCGTTTCTTTCAATTAACTTTCGCAAAATTTTTCGTCTCTCGAACAATTAAGCCGAAGACCACAGTTTATACCTAGAAAATTAGTTTCCTTTCGTTTTTGATAGTACAATAAAATTATTTTCTGTCGGTTTTCGTTACCGTAGAGAAAAGGGATCACGACGGAAGTGAAATTATTGAATGCAATAAATCGATCACGAGATTAAACAATTATCTTTTTCTACGAAACAATTATTCTACAGAAAGGTTTAAAATTCGCTCCAAACATTTCTATTGTGTCGCGGTTCTATTGTGTCGCAATTCTATTCGGCCCGGTTCTATTATGTCGCGGTTCTATTCTGCCCGGTTCTATTATGTCGCGGTTCTATTCTGCCCGGTTCTATTATGTTAGACCGCCTTTTGTTTTTCTTCTTTCTAAGACGAATCACTCTCGTTCTCTTCGTCGCATTCACTTCCCTATTACACTCTTTGCTTTTCTTCCTCTTCTTGCAAATGCCGTCGGTCCGTGACAAATGCAGAACGACGGTTCAAGAATTTCGGCGAGCCGATTCGATTCCGGAAAAGCTGACAGTGTTCCGAAGGTTATGGGCGTCTTTTATAGAACTTTGTCGGTGGCTGACCTAGTTTTGATGAGTCATGCGGCCATCCAAACCAATGGCACAGCGGGTGGATCTCGCCGGAATGATGTGTTTCTCAGCACTTGACCTGGCAAGAAATGTGACGCCCTAAGGGCATCTACATGACGACCCATTTCACTAAGTGAATCCCAAGCACCTAGTGGTCCCTCGAGGAAGGTTCTTGCCACAGGTGCGCCCCAGGCTAGCTACTTTCGTCAGTTTTTCAGCCCGGAATTCGGTAGCCGTCGCGGGAGTCTTCTTCATCTTCCTCTACCTCATCATCATCGAATCCTGGTACTTTGGCGTGTGCGGGAATGGCATTGAGAGCATGCACATTTGCCTGTGGCTCATCGTGCTCGGAATCGTCATGTTCATGTGTGCCCTCTACTTGCCGTTCTACAGAATCGGGGTAAGCGAAGTAAAATGAAACACTGTTCATCTGACAATATATTGTCAGAAGTAACGCGCCAAGAGAGCACGTCTCGAATCAAGAATCGGAGTGGGACGGACGAGTGAAGAGGAGGCCGCGGAGCCGAGCGAAGAAGAGGTCCTGCAGCGGATTCCGTTTCGGATGAATCGGGTGAGCAACTACGCTGGGGATGGTTATAAGATGTATGTGGCTCAGAAGACGTTATTTAGAAAGGCAGAGCTCGAGATCAGAATCAGAATCGTCGTAGTGACTGTTGTGGTCTCTCCTATTATTCTGATCGCACTGTAGCACGTACTATTGGCTCAAATTGCTTGAATGAATATTTCACTACTTCCCCCTACATGGGGGTCTATAACAACTCCCATCCAAATCAGCTGATGAAGCAACCAAATTTTCAAGGTCTCTGTGGTCTAATTTATCATCAGTGCCCCGCCTGCCCAGCCCTGCCTACTACCACACACGTCAACAATCGAGTGTCCACGGTGGTGATCTTCCGCCTCCGCCCCCACGCTCCCATTTCAACCGGTATACCAAAGTAGACACTGTTCGATTCGATTCGATTCGGCACGTCTTCCTCGAGAAAATGCCCGTCCGAGTGCCTGGAAAAGACGTTCGGCACGAGTACGATGCGGCCGTTCGGCGAGTCCAACGGACCGATAAGATCCCGCCGAAGCTTCTGTTCTTATGTGAGCTCAGATTGGGTGAGGTTCGAGTGATTATGAGTTGTGAGCATTTGCAGTGAGAGCCATCTCTTCATGCTTCGGCTTCTGCATGTCCGTCTTTCTGATCACCGTCGGCTGGATGAATATGAGCAATTGCGAGGCGGACAAGCACATTCCGTACTGGCTCATCGTCACCGGCGTCGTCATTTTCATCAGTGCTCTCAACTTTCCCTTCTACCTCGTCGGAGTGAGTTTTCTAAGAGTATTTAGGAATGAACTAAAATTGTTTCAGAGACGTCGTGCTCGTGCGGCGAAAGCTCCTCAAGAGCCCACAGAAAAAGAGATCAAAGAGCTGACCCCTTTCAAAATGCACCGAATCAGTCGGTTCACCTTCTGCTGCCTGTGCATGTGCATCCCGATCGGCATCCTCTGGACACTCGGCATCTTCCACGGCCACGAGAACTGCGACCCTGTCACCTACTGGGCCGCGTTCACCGTCAGCATTCTCTACCTCGTCTGGATGGTTCTGATGCTCTGCGTCTGCTTCCTCGGCTGCTGTATCGTCGGCGCGGCTCGATGCGCGAATCAAGTGCGCAGTTCGGAAGCTGAGACGGCATGAAGTTATTGTTTTGATTATAAGAACGTTCCTTTCATTTCATTTCTTTTGTGCTAAACAAAACAGAAAACAGCTGACTGAAATAACTGGTTTTAAGGCATCAAGTTATGTGTCGGAATTCCGATTTATTCTGTGTATTATTCCACGCGTATTCTATTCCCATAAATTTTCAAAATGAATCTAATGTCCCAGGGAGGTCGCAACTACATTGTAGTCAGCAATCATGATAACGGTTCTCGTAGTCTTATTTGTATCTTTCTCTCCGTACATATACTTATTCCCCCACCTCTACTTGTTTTATTTTCCAACCAAAATGACTGACGCCATTCGTAATACGGGGTAAATTCAAAGTTCATGTCAGATTTGAATACTATATCCTGGAATCTTCCAGATTTTTTGCCGGGAAAACCGTGTTTATCTCCGGTGCCTCGCGTGGAATCGGCAAGGAAATCGCCCTGAAACTCGCCAAAGACGGCGCGAACATTGTGATCGCGGCCAAGACGGCCACTGCTCATCCGAAGCTTCCGGGCACCATTTACACTGCGGCCGCCGAAATCGAGAAGGTAAGTGGCAAAAATTTAAATTTCTGAGTGGTTTTCCACGTTTTTCGTAAAAAACTGGAAGTTAAATCGATTTGGCTGAAAATTCTTCAAAATGAGCAATTTTCATTATTTTTCTGCTCGAGCGCTCAAAATGTGTGTATTCACACGTGTTTTAAGTTTCCCTGGGTTGATTTTGGTATTTCCCGTCGATATTTTACGCAAAAACGACAATTTTCTCATTTCAGGCAGGCGGAAAAGCTCTTCCATGTGTGGTGGACGTGCGCGATGAAGCGGCTGTACAAGCCGCCGTCGACGCGGCCGTCCAAAAGTTCGGAGGAATCGACATTCTGATCAACAACGCGTCGGCGATCTCCCTGACGAACACGGAAGAGACGGACATGAAGCGATACGACCTGATGCACTCGATCAACACGCGCGGCACCTATCTGCTCACCAAACTGTGTCTTCCGCATTTGAAGAAGGGCAAGAACCCGCACGTGTTGAACATCTCGCCGCCCCTTTTGATGGAACCCAGATGGTTCGGACAGCACGTTGGCTACACGATGGCCAAGTTCGGAATGTCGATGTGTGTGCTCGGACATCACGAAGAGTTCCGTCCGTATGGAATCGCCGTCAACGCGCTCTGGCCACTGACGAGCATCTGGACGTCGGCGATGGAAATGCTCTCGCAGGGCGGCGGAGAAGCCGGCAACCGGAAAGCGACAATCATGGCGGACTCAGCCTACGCGATTCTTTCAAAGGACTCGAAGAAGTTCACCGGCAACTTTCTGATTGATGAGGAGTTTTTGAGAGGCGTCGGAGTAACCGATTTTAAGCAGTACGAGTGTGTCCCCGGAGCACCGCTCCTCCCCGATTTCTTCATTCCGAACGGCTCTTATGAGCGAAGCGTCGGCTCAAAGTTGTGAGACCTTTAAAATGTTTATTATAATAATACATTTCTACTTATTATGCAACAACTGAAATTCAACAAACGCAAAAATGTCCTCGGCAGTCTTGTGCCCGTCTTGCAACTGATGGAATGTGCCGCCCTTCGCAAGATGATCACTGACTCTAGTGACATTCAGAAACACATCCTCCAGAATATTCTTCGAACACCTCCAAGGCGTTTCCGTCGAGTAGCTGAGGGCCGTGGGCACTTGTACTTGCGCGTGGAGCCAATGATCCACTTCCGAATTGTAGCTGTTGTCCAGAATGGAAAGCGCCGAGGGCAGAGAGTCTGTCAGCCAGTACAGGTAGATTTCGGTGGCGATCTCGTCAAGAGTGAACAGTCGGCGAAGGGGTGTTCGACCTGAGAACGAGGATAGTTGCTTCCACCGGGTGACGATGAATTTGACGGTTCCGGATGGGGAATTGAGAAGGGCATCGCCTGAAATTTACGAATGCTCAAGGAGCAGAAGACTGACTCACCGATCAAAAGGGCCGAAGGATAAGTGAACTTCTCCTGCCTGTAGTAATCATAAATGTCTGTGAACCTCGCTTCCTCTTCTTCTTTTCCCTCCTCGACCGTCTTTTTACTCAATGCCTTCCAAGCGTACTTTGTGAACGTGGGCGTCGAGAACGAAGGTCTCACGAACGGATTCGAGACTTGCAGTCCGGCCACTCTTGACGGGTACAGAGACGCCAGAAGAGTTGCCACGTCACCACCGTACCCTTCCGTACCGTAAACAAAATAATCGGAGAGATCGAGTCGATACATGAGTTTTGCGAGAATCCGAGTGGTGGCGACCGCATCGAATCCCGGTTTGACTGGCTTATCCGAGAAAAGAAAACCGGGAAGGCTGGGCACGATCACGTCGAATTGGATCGATTCTTCGACGCCGAAATCGAATCCGTGACGCGAAGGATTCGTGAGAATCGGAATGATCTTGAAGAAATCCCAGAAACTGCCCGGGAATCCGTGTAGAATCAGCAGGGGCACCACTTTTGTCTTCGGCTCCGTTGGCGGCGTGGAGACTCGCAGAAAGTGGACTCGGAGGCCTTCGATTTCTGTCCGATACTGTTTGAAGGTGTTGAGAAAGTGCTGATGTTGACTCCAATCGAACTTCAGAAGCACTTCTTTCAGATCACCCATGAATTGATCGCTCTCTTCGTCGTACAAAGTCGGTAGAAAGCGTTCGGACTTGAGTTTCACTTTGAAGTCGGATATTCTAAAGGGAAACAAAACTTTTTAAACTTTCACGTTGAAAATGAACACGAAAAACTTACCGTTTCTCCTCGACCTGAATCGAGTACGCATATATCGTATCGTCATCTTTCTCGGGCTCCTCGAGTTTCCAATAGTCGTCCGGCTCGATTTTCAGTGGTTCGTAGCGCGGTTTACCGTAATAGACGCTGAGAAGAATGGCGGAAGAGGCAAGGAGGCCGACGATTATATTGAACCAGAAGCTCATTTGGATGAATAGAATCGATTAGAAAAAGGGGAAGAAGTAAGGAGTAACAAGTGAATGGCCGAGTTGGTCAAACAATGTGCCAAAGGGGATTGACCGAGCACGCAGAAGGGTGTTGACTTTGCGGAATGGTAAGGGAACTGTTCGGCGAGGAAAATAAGTATGTGCTGATTTTAGGCAATTCAGCTCGAAACATTTAAGTTTTCAATGAATTTTTGAGTGTGAGCCGACGGGCGAATGTTCGGTTGTTTTCCCCTGGGCCATTTTCTGCGGATCGTTTGTGCCATAAAGGGTCTTGTCAACCACGTCTTCTCAACCGTGCTTGCAATAGAGCACATTTCACATTTTCATCGGTACACGCGAATTTCTTGCGGGGCCGAGTTTTCACATGTATTTTGTGTGTTGTGCGACAGAACGGACTTTCTCGACGAACCAACGAGAGTACTGTTTGCAGAGCCGAAAAGGGACAAGAAAAAGAGCGATGCGGTTGATTATCAAAACAAATAATAGCCTACAGACACTGCCCGAAAACGACACAAAAACTCCTAAGCACACTATCGTTTTCCTTCGTTTTATATCATTTTGGTCAGTTTCGAATGCTTCGATTTATTAGGGACACTAGTTTTTGTTAGAAGACTTCTTCTTTCTTCACAAAACACAAATTGTCGATGAGCTGAAACAGATTGGTTTGGGGATTTTGTAGACAGTTTTTCGAACCGAATTCAAGTAATTTTGTAGTCGTTCCGATTCATCCGGCTCGTCAGCGCCGCCTTTCGTTCTTTTCTCTTTCTCGTCATCCGAAAGGAACTCGCTTTCTAAGTGATAAGTGTCAATCTCTTCTGAAATTCATTGTGGGCCGATCGATTTTTTTATATTTTGAACCTCGATTCAACTGATTCGCAGCACAAAGACACCAGCAACCGCACATGATGAGCGAGAGGAAAACGAACGTGGCGAACAACATTTGTTGCCACTGAACATGCGATTACAACCAATTTCCATAGCAAAACCCACCGAGAACTCATCGTAAACGTTATTTACTCTGATTTTGACATGGTCCATAGTTTCACTGGGCAACGATGGCATTTTTGTATTCTTATCGTGTAGTGCACACGATTAATCATGAATCATTGCATAAACCTATGTTCTACTGAGCCTGTACCCTGATTTGGATATTTTTCATCTTTGAAAACAAGCATTTCACGTCGACGTCAAAAATTCAGAAGATGGCCGCGTGGCCGTGGCCGAGTCGGGGACACGACCACGCGTGCCGTCGCCGCCAGATGTCTTTTTAATACGCTCGTTTTCGCTGCGTCATTCCGCTCAATGTGTGGTTTCTTCGCATTCAATCGATGCAGAAGGTCTTCTTTTATAACTTCCCGCGTGAATTTCCATATCTCCGTCGTACAATGTCGATTTTCTAAAGCAAACCAAGTTTCAGACACAATTATGCAGATTAGAAGATGAATCGGACGTTCTCGCTGCGCAGAAAAGTGAAAAAGTCGGAGATCTCGACGCCCAGCAACTTTGAGCATAGAATACACGCCGGTTTTGATTCGCGCACAGGCACTTATACCGGTTTGCCGAAGGTGAGTGTCAGAATCTGTTCAGAAAATGGCAATGCAAATGAATCTTACAGCAATGGCAGGCACTTCTCGGACCGCCGCGATCGATTTCACGGCCCAAACCGATGGTCGACCCGTCATGCATCACTCCCGTCGATGTGGCCGAACTGAAAACCGTCATACGTGGACCTTCTTCTAGGTGAAAAAAGTAATTGTGTCTAGTTTACTCATGTTTTCCTTTTACAGGTACAATACCCCACTCCCCTTCGACAAATCGGTAAACTCGACGCTCCCGAGTGTTGCGAGAAGCAACAGTCTTCGAATATCAGCTACTTCTTCACCAGTCGTCAATGTTTCCGCCGCTCGACAGTCATTCCGCCCGTCTCTTCCGCCCGTCAGCCAACGCGGATATCCATTCAACGATCCGAGCTATGCTCCCTTGCCGCTCCGGAATCAGAGACCGCCAACCGCGACCACAACGACGTTCGGAGTGGAAAGTCCGCGGCCATCCCATCAGATCACGACGATAGTGGCGGCGTCACCTTCGCGGACGGCGCCTCCGCAGATTCAACATCAGGCGAGACCCCCGGGTACTCCGACCACTCCTCGACAACCTCCAAAGTGTGCGGAAGGCGTTAGTGATGAAGAATTCCGAAACGCTCTGAAATTCGTCGTGGACAGTGTTGATCCACGTGCGGACCTCACAGATTACAAGCAGATCGGAGAAGGATCGACGGGAGTTGTCGAGGCGGCGTTCAAAGTGTCCACCAAGCAGATTGTGGCGGTGAAACGGATGAATTTGAAAAAGCAGCAGAGAAGAGAGCTTCTGTTTAATGAAGTGTCGATTCTCCGACAATATCAACATCCGAACATTGTTCGCTTCTTCTCTTCGCATCTTGTCGGCGAGGAGTTGTGGGTTGTGATGGAGTTTATGGAGGGCGGATCGCTGACGGACATTGTGACGGCCACTCGGATGACCGAACCGCAGATCGCCACCATTTCAAGACAAGTCCTCGAGGCTCTCGACTTTTTGCACGCCAGAAAAGTTATTCATCGGTACTCGAAACTTGTTTTTTGAATAATACCTTCCATGATCAATATTTTCCAGAGATATAAAAAGTGATTCGATCCTTTTGAAGCGCGACGGAACTGTCAAACTGACAGATTTCGGGTTCTGTGGTCAGCTATCCGAAGAAGTACCACGTCGGCGGTCCCTTGTGGGCACACCGTACTGGACGGCGGCCGAGGTGATCGCCCGTGAACCGTACGATACTCGCGCCGACATCTGGTCGTTCGGAGTGATGCTCATCGAGATGGTCGAAGGGGAACCGCCGTTCTTTAACGATCAGCCGTTCCAGGCGATGAAGAAGATACGCGACGAGCCGGAAGCGAGATTTAGTAGGCATGCGAAAGTAAGCGATCAGTTGTTCCCATTTTGTTTACCGTTTTTTTTCCAGGTCTCTCCGGAACTTGCGGATCTGCTCGCCCACTGCGTCGTCAAGGACGTCTCGCACCGCTGGTCCGCCCGAGATCTCCTCCGCCATACGTTCTTCGCAAAAGCCCAACATTCGTCCGTGATCGCTCCGCTCCTCCTTCAACTTCAGGGCAATGCGATGAACGGAAACGCCCACACTTCCTCCTCCCAAATGTCTACAATAATACAGTAACTCCTAATCAATCCCCTCTCAATCAGATCAGTATTAAAACCTCCTTGTTTTCGCTTTCAATATTTTGTATGTATTGCTTGTACGATGGTAATAACCAACCCGCTAGGGACCACCTTTTTCCGTGCAATTCCCTCCAAGAATGCATGCCATACGGGTCATTTTCTTCGTCGGTTCCCTCAATTTTCATCATGTTTTATCGCCATCACAACTCAAATGAACAGTATCCTCCTCCTCCTTCTTCCGGCTGGAACTTTCGTTGTTATCTTTCTAGCGTCGGGCATGCGCGCGCGCGCCTGCTCGTCCCGTGTCATCTCGCCCCGTGAAATTTACAAATGTCTCGTCGGTGGGCTCCAGGAGCCAAGCGGCGGCTCCGCGAGCTCTCCTCTTTGTGCTCTCCGTACTCGCCGCCACTCTCCGGTGCTCCGGCACTCTTTATCACTATTATCGGGTCCCGTGGGCTCACCACTCGCCGCTCTCCAGCTCGTTTTTTCCATCTCTCTCTCTCTCCCACTTTTATATCAATTTTATCGACGACGGCTCGAGCGCGATGAAACTTGAATTTGACAAAATGCGCTCGAAAAGTGCTCCAATTTGCGCTCACTTGTCTTTACAATAATTCGTCGAAAAGATTGTAGCGAAAGTTTCAGAAAGTCTCAGAAATCATTGATTTCTGGCGAAACACCGCATCACTGATCACACTTTTTGTGGTTTCTGTTTAAAAAAAACGTGTTCTTCTTTTTCTTCTTTTTCTTCTTCAAATAATGACCCAAATGACCGCTCAACAATATTGATACCTCAAACTGCGTACTGCTTCTCATTTTCAATCGAATTTGTCGCATTCGCTCCACCGCACTTCGCGTGGCCGTGGCCGTGAGCTAAATTTTATATATATATATTCAAATTTTGACTTTCTAACTTCCTAACTTCCGAACTTCCGAAGAAACGTGGCGTTCAGAAACTTCTTCTGTGTCTTATTCTCAGAAAACGTTTTCTTTAACTCTGAAGGACCAGTCTCGTTGATTAGTGAACATTTTTGTCGGAGGAGGTATGACGAGAACATGATCGGATCCTCTGTCACATCGGTCCCTTTCCACTCTGCGCCCACTCTATCTCCCCAACTCTCTCTCTCTCTCTCTCTCTCTCGGCTTCTTGTCACTTTCCAATCGAATCAAATTGTTGCAGGACCAAGACACACTTACTGGTGAGCCGGTGAGCGCAAAGAGCAAAAGAAGAGAAATCCATCCCGGCATGTTCGCCGGCGCCTCTTCGACCCTCAGTCTGCGCAATCGGGTCAGTTCATTTCTTACGGTACTAACAGTTTCCAGTTTGCTAGTGCTCATTTGCATTGCGTTGCACAAGCGCGACATAAAAGCCGCGTTTTGTGCTTGAAAGAGGAACAGGCGGAATTTTTAATCAGAGTCGCGAGCGAATTTTGACGAGCGCCCAGACAGCAAGCAAGTCGTTTTCGTTTTTGTCGTCGACCCACCACAAAAAAAGAATAAAAACGCAGCAGAAGAAGGAGAAGAAGACGGGAAAGGAAGAGAAGAAGAAGAAGAAGAAGAAGAAGAATGAGGAGGAGACGGCTGCATGTCCGCTTCTTCGTTTGCTCTCACTTTCAATGCCTTTTTTTGGTTATTCTATTCGGGTTTGGTTTCCATCCCCGTTTCTCACCCCCAGGAACAACTTCCGCCTGGGGTCCCGTAACAAACCGAACACGAAGGGATACGGTACTAAAGGCGCAACACCCTTTTCCCTGTTCTCGGAATTTTGAAGGCAGCAGGTGAAAATAGAGATATTTTAGGAAAGGGAAGAATTCCCACGCATTCCATTCAATTTTACGAGAATTCACGGTGAACATTTGTGAACGTGCTCAGGCCCGTCTTTACCCCTTTAGCACGCATGGTTTGAATGAATTACTTGTACGATGATCACAAATGTTCGCCGTGGAATTATTGTTTTTTTTTAACATGAACTCTCTTACTTAAAATAGTTATTTTCTTGTCTGTTTTCACGTAAAACACAGTGTAGCGTTGCATGTTTTCATGTGAGCCTAAATTCGCTCTTTACAGTTTTACAGCGGCTGAAATTTGGATTTCCGTCATGGCCAAATCGCAATTTTTGGAAATTTTATTACAGCGCGTTTGCATTTACGATAGTGACACCGCTCGAAATGTTCGGTTCGAAATTCGAATAAGCGCAACAATAGTAAAGATAGGTCAATGAAGCGAACAATTTGTAGCGACGCGTGAGGGAATTGGGGAATTTCACACGCGAGCACAAAGGAGCGCCCGTGCTCTTTGATTTTCGAAGAAATATGAGCCCCCCGGCTTCTAGATTCCATTTCCCGCCCGCCCGTCCGTCCAGGCACGTGTTCCACTTCTGAAAATGAGTGTTGACTCATGCATCTCGTGCTTTTCTTTATTTTCAAGCTTCTCGCGGGTCGGACCGGGTTGATCAGCCCGGATTTCAGCTGGAAAACTTAAAAACATTATTTTTTTGACGAGATCGTGCGTACCGAAAAAAACGGAAAAAAAGTCAAAAAACGGTCAAACACAAAAGCGATCATAGAGAGAGGGGATAGAAAAGTCGCGACGCTTTCTTCATTTCTTCATCTCTCATTCAATTTCCGCCCATTTTTCGACACGGCTCGCTCGCGTGACCCGTTTCCCTTGTTTCAGCCGTTTTACATCTGTTTTGGCAGTTCTCGTGTGACCCGTGTCAAAACGCACGCGATTTTCCACCTGTTATTTCGCTCCCGATTCGAAAAACGCTTCAAGTACTGCTATCGCTCGCTCTCTTTCTCGTTTTTCTCGATCTCGATCTCATCAGAATCTGATCCTCTTGACGCGTGTCTTCTCCGTTTTCGTGTCCATGTCCGCGCTGTCATTTTGCTCTCGCGCGCGCGAAGAAGTAATTGGAAATTGAAGAGGATCGGGAGCGCGTTTTGAGCAGCGAGCACACAGCCTAGGGTTAATCGAAAATTGTGCGGCGCGGAGAAGAAGCGTGGGAAGAGGCGACGCTCCTTCGCTCTTTCCCTTTTCTCTATCTTTTTTCTTCTGATTTCCGACGACAAAGCCTCGTCGCTCACTTGTTCGATGCTATTCAATTCAAAAATGATGATGTCATTCTCAGCAGTGACCTTCATGAGCCCCCATGTTTCCTTTCCTCCATTTCCAAAACAAAAGCTTCCACCCCCATCCCCGATAGACTATTCTCATATGTGTAAGAAAAAAACCATGAAAAAGTGTCCGTCGTGTTGCTTTTCCCATCCAATTTCTAGTCTTTTCAAGGTTTCATCCCCCGTCGCCCCAATTATCGCGCCGTGAATTCCGTTGTTTCAGACAGTCGGCTCCGCTTCCGCCATGCTGAGATCGAAGAAAAAGGACAAGGAGAACGGAAAATCGGAGAAGAAGGAGAAGGAGAAGAAGCCGTCGTCAAAGGACGAAGGGGCGGGCAGCAGCAAGTCAACGCCGCCGGCGATTCCGATCATTCAGACTGAGGACGTAGGAGGTAAGTGCTCTTTTTCTACAGACTTTCTAGACTTGTTTTCGGAACGAAGTTTTCGGCGAAGTAACATGAATAAATGTTAGACGCGTGTGGAAAAGTGTCTAAAAGGGGACTTATATCAGGGTTGCGATATATTGCTCTGAACACTTTTAAAATCTTGCGAAGAAGTTGGAGCCGGGCCGGCCCGGTCCGCTGCAAGTCTGCTTTTTTGCGTTAGAAATTAGAAAATACAGTTCTGTCTCTATTATGCAACAAAATTCGACAAGAAGTGGGCGAGTCAGCAAGACACTTTCGCTGGACAGATAATAAAAATATTTATCAGTTAGATGGAGGGCGAGGAGAACGCGGCGCCCTTCCATCCGACAACAAGAAATCTGGGGAGCCCCCAAGGCGCAAACACATTATTGATGACCAACTTTTTCGCTCCCCCTCGCTCGTTTCCCTCGTTCTCCGCTCTGTCTCACAAGTCGAAAGGACGGGGCCCTCGTCTTCCCGATTTCTTTTCTATCATCAATTTACTTTACCCTCTTCTTCTCGGCGCTTTTTTTCATCCATGCATATAGCTTTGCACGCAAAACGGTACTACGCTGAAACGGAGAAGGACCGGGCTGGAAAGGATTAGCGAGATTCGGCCCAATTAGTCAAATTGTGTGTTTGTTCGTCGTCACGCTTCTTTTCTTCGTTCTTCGTTTAGAAGGAGCTGAAAGCGAACAATTTGTTGAGTTTTCTCAGTGATTCTTTGGGCAACGCGCCGGAATAAATACAATTTGCGCATGCGCGTCGCCCCTAAATTTGAATTACCCGCCGCGGTGGCCGAACAAATGTGTTGTGCATTTTCTAGTCCGCTCCCCGTGTACTCCTTCCAGACTCGTACTTTTATGAATGTTCTCTCTGCTTCTCTCAATATTTTCAGCAGTACTCGTTAGTTTTCAGGCGATATGATTCCCGCCGATGCACCACCACCAGCTAGTATTGGCAGAAATAGCAACTACGGCGGAGGTTTGTCAAAAAACGGCAGGAAACAATAGAGAGAAACAACAATGCGCTTACAGGGCCGATGATTCCGCGAAGAGAACGCCGTCAGTCGAGCAGCATGTTCAATATCAGTCAAAATCGAGAATTGGTAAAGTTGCCAGCGATAAAAGGTTAGTGAAAATAAAATGAAAAGTCTTGATTTCCACGTAAATGCTCAATTTTCAGACGTCGAAAATAGCGAGAAAGAGACGTTATTCATTCAAAAATTGCGTCAGTGTTGTGTCGTTTTTGATTTCGCGAACGATGCGCTCAGCGATCTCAAATTCAAAGAGGTGAAACGGGCGGCACTGAACGAGCTGGTCGACTATGTTTCCGGGCCGGGAAAAGCAACGCTCTCCGACGCCGTCTACCCGGAGGCGATCAACATGTTCGCCACGAATCTGTTCCGTCCGCTGAGCCCGCCGTCCAATCCGGTCGGAGCCGAGTTTGACCCGGATGAGGATGAACCGACCCTCGAAGCCGCCTGGCCACATCTTCAGGTATTTATCATCCAAGTTCTAATCAAAAAGTTGTATTTTCAGCTGGTCTACGAGTTCTTCCTCCGATTCCTCGAATGTCAGGATTTCCAATCACAAACCGCTAAGCGGTACATTGATCAGAACTTCATTCTGCGTCTTCTGATGATCATGGACAGTGAGGATCCGCGCGAACGTGACTTCCTCAAGACCACACTGCATCGCATCTACGGAAAGTTCCTGGGACACCGTGCGTACATTCGGAAGCAAATAAACAACATTTTCTATTCGTTCATTTACGAGACGGAGCGACACAACGGAATCGCCGAGCTGCTTGAGATCCTTGGAAGCATCATCAACGGATTCGCACTGCCGCTAAAGGAAGAGCACAAAACTTTTTTGCTCCGAGTGCTCCTTCCCTTGCACAAAGTGAAATCTCTGTCCGTCTACCATCCGCAGCTCGCCTACTGTGTCGTGCAGTTCATCGAAAAAGACTCGTCGCTGACCGAGCCGGTCATCTCCGGAATGCTCCGATTCTGGCCGCGGCAGCATAGTCCGAAGGAGGTTATGTTCCTGAATGAGCTGGAAGAAGTGCTCGATGTGATCGAGCCGAACGAGTTCCAGAAAATCATGACTCCGTTGTTCACACAAATCTCGCGTTGTGTCAGCAGTCCGCACTTCCAAGTCGCCGAACGCGCGCTCTACTACTGGAACAACGAGTACGTCATGTCGCTGGTGGCCGACAACGCGCGGGTCATCGTGCCGATAATGTTCCCGGTGCTGTTCAAAAACAGCAAATCGCACTGGAACAAAACGATTCACGGACTAATTTACAACGCGCTCAAAATGTTCATGGAGATGAATCAGAAGCTGTTCGACGAATGTTCACAAGCGTACAACAAAGAGCGAACGCAAGAGAAGACGGCGAACGAGGAGAAGGAACGGATATGGAGCAACATTGAGCGGAGAGCGATGGGCAATCCGCAGTACAACGAGGTCAAGGCGATGTTCGCGCGCTTCAATCCTGACGAGATTATCAGTACGAGACGGCTGCCGAACGGAAGCGACGAGGCGGCGAAGGCCGCGTCGCTGGTCAGCAAGGACGAGATTCTGAAGAATGCCGTCGGAATGGTAAGCGTTGAACATGAAATAGAAGAGAAGTTTTGAACACTTTTTATTGCAGGACGCCTTAAAAGAGGACCGCGATTTCGTGCCGAACCAGAAGCAATCGGATTTCCCTCCCGACGAACAGACGACACGGGCTCTCGGCGAGTACAAGCGACACGACGCGTTCCTCCAAAAAGTGACGAGCTCGGACGAGCAGTGATGCACCTCCCTTCCTTTCTCCCGGGTTCTGGATAATGATTCGATTCCGTCGTTCGCTCTTTTCTTTTCCGTTCATTCCATGACCCCCTCCCGTTTATAATAGCTCCCTAGCCCAACCCCCGTTCATCCCTTTAACTGTACATAACTCAGCCCAAAAAGTTTTATCATTATTATCATTATACTATGTACCATGAATCCACTCATCATCTCCACCCCTTTCCTCCTCTCCCAATCAGCTTTTCCCCCTTCTCTATGCTATCGTGCTCTTTTCCTTTCTTTTTTCGTTTTCAATTGTGAATTCGATTCAGAAGCCAAATGAATGAATCGCCGACGAAGAAGAAGAGCCGAATGGTCATCAGGGGAATTATATGTTCGCCCATGAACACTTTTATGGCCTTGCTTCCCCCTTTCACTCATTTCGAGCTCATTTATGCACATTTGTATGTAAGAGCGGCGGCGGCCGATGGAAGACGAAAAAAAGAAGAAAAATGATGATGATGCTGGAGCTGAAGTGAGCAGAGGGGGTATAAACAAAACGCTGAAAAAGCAGCGGCCCCGCAGAAATCCTCTTCCCCAAAATTTTGTTTGTTTCTGCTTCCAGTGCTTCGTTTCTCCTCTCTTCTCTCCTTTTCATTACTATCGTCATGCTTTTTCTTGTGTTTTCATTTCTGGCGCCATCTGCACGTCATCCGAATCGCATGATTTCTGAGAAACGTGGAGCGGTGTGCCTCAAGTACATGTGCTCTCTGTTCCGAAAAAGCCACATCATTCGTGGATGTTCGGAGCCCCCGACAAATTTGAGAAATGATTCTGTCTTTCTTTCTCTCTCTCTCTCGGACACCCACTTGAGAGACAAATTACAACAAGAACCGCAAGACGGAGAGCATTCCATTTCATCGCATGAAATGATGAGAAGGAATAATAATAAAAGTGAATGAATGAATGAATGACAACCGGAAAGAGAAGGAAGTGGGAGAATGAGTGACAATGCCGGGCAGAAGCTCATTTCATTGAATTCAATTGAAACCGAACTGACAAATGCAGTGATTCTTCTTCAGAGTTGATCAGTGTTAAACCGATGTCATTCGGAAGAAGTATTCATTTACTTCTCGTGTTGTTTGAACATTTACATCGGGAACTTGAGCGAAGCTTTTGAAAATTGTGAAAACAGATATTGGAATCTTGAATCTCTAAATTTAATTGGCAGATTCTATTCTACGAATCTATTTCTCTTTCTATCACTTTTTATTTTCACGATTCAGTTCTTCTCTTGAATTTTGCACCGGAAAAAGTTTGGCAATTGCGCTCTACCGCTCTCCACGTGAAAGAATAAAGTTTCGTGCTGCGCCTTTAATACCGTACGTTACTCTCCGAAACATTGTCCAAAAGTGAATTTCTTGTGAATTCGTGTTCCCTATCCTCTGCGCTGTAGCGAAAGAAGCCCTTCCATCAGTCAAACGGCTTCTGTCACAAGACACTTTTGTCAAGTTTGCACACTCCAAATTTTTTCGATTATTTTTCGGTTTGCCGTCCTCAACTCCCGACCACTTTGGCCCTTTTTTGTCGGGTATTTTTCACCCCATCGGAATCCGTCCATAAATCATTCATTCCGCAGGAAACCCGCGATTTTTTTTTGCTCGGCTCCGACTTGCTCTTAAGTTTCTTCTCAAATTTGTCCTCGCCGGGGCGGACCATCATAAAAACATGACTATCCATCTTGCAGTGCAACGGACCCCAATTAATTTTTGAGGCAACTGCTTCTAGTCTCATGCAATGCTCTTCAATGACTATCTAATTCCTTGAATGGGAATTCGACGAGTTGGGCCTAATTCTGAACTTTGTGCTCTCACATGACCGCTGGCCGCTTACCTAATTACCGCCGATTTAGTACCTTTCATAATAACAACATTTTGCCTCCGTGTTTATGCGAGTATCCGGCCCCCTCACCCGCTCACACATTGTTGTCATTCTCAGCATAATTCCCAATGGGTCGAGTCCCTCTTCTTCTGCTCCGCCGCAGACGATTCCGTTTTTGCCTTCACCCACCCACACGTACTCAACTTTTTGTTCCACTTCTTCTCCTTCTTCTCCGTGTGCCACATCATCCGAACACTTTGCGTGTCACTTTGCATGAACTGCTCTTTCCGCTCCCACTGGCTAATTCGGTAATTGCTCGTTCGCTCGGGTAGCAATGTCACTACGCAAACATTCGAGTAATTACAGGAGTTTGCGTGTTCACAGTCCGCACTGGCTAGCAGTGGTAATAATTAGACGCGTTTCCATTAGAGATCCACCCGTTTACCTTCTCGCATTTCATTTCATCCTTCTAAGGACTAATAGAACGTTGAAGGTCGGCTCTTCGAATGTTGTTGGTACGGTAGGAACGGAGAAAACGACAAAGATGAATGCGGATCGCCTACTACTCCAACTGTTCACTTCTCTTTTTGCCATATGTATTCCCTATGTATTTGGTAAGTTTCCAAGTGTTTTTTTCAAGTTTTAGTTAGTGCAACTTTGCAAATGTCCAGAATAGAGTATATTTCTTCAATTGAAAACTTTTTGATAAAAACACTAGCAAGTGCAATGCAAACTTCCAAGAGCTACAATGGTCTTAGGAGTGATCGTAGCAAAAAGTTGAGAATTGCAAAAGTAAAGTACTAGACTTGAACTTTACCGTATCAGCACGTTCAAAACTGCTAGACCGCATCGAATTGTCGGAACGACAGTAGTACAGTTTAATTTCGTGACTCACAAAGATTCTCGATGCCACCAAACAACTTCGTTCTTGAACTTTTACCTTACTTTTGCAACGGCAGACACGAGTACAAACTTTTCATTTCTCCAAATGACTTTTGTCTAGCGGACTTTTCAAATGAGTAATAGCGACAATCTTCTTGTTTTCAGCGACAAACTGCTTCCACTGCATCTCGCCGGACAAGCAGTACAACGCGACGGTCCGTCGTCAGTTGGCCACACAAACCGACGTGTTCTTCTATCCGATCGGCGTGAAATCGCATTACTGCAGCGACTATATAGATCAGGATGATCCACACATTATCGAGGGACAAATATGCTCAAAGTACTCAAAGTGCGTCACTTTGTTTCCCAACTTGCCAGGTCAGTTTTCAGTTGAAATGCTCCGACCGAGTCAAAAACAACGCTCCCCTCACAGGTTCGACATTCGTCGTGCGTGGATGTCTGGAGAGCATTCTGCGGCACACGTTCCGAGAAGACGAACGACTGCACGAAGAGGGCTGCTTCCTGTTGCGCTCTCTGCCAATGTTTCCGAAAACGATCACAATGGACTATGTGGTGTGCACGTGCCACGGTCCGTACTGCAACAATATGGCGATGCCGGCGACCGTCGAACGACCCTATCACTTTGGACGTTCCGCAGTGCTCAAGTTGGCGTTGACCGACGACGGAGGCGCTCTTCGCATTGCCACGTCATCGGGTGCGATGAGACTGGCCACGTGGCTGACGATTGTAGTATTCTTTGCGGTTTGCGTGTGATATGATGACTCTTGCTTTTGTAAATATTTTGCTATATGGATTGAGAGTAAAGTAATAAAGTTGTCAAGTCCCTCTTTGATCTCCCGAGAGAAAACTCACTAATGAACCTGAAATCTCTGCCGCACAGCAGTTCTTTGCCAATGCGCTCCAAAGTTTTACACTGAAACCGTAAGAACTTCTCTATATAATTGTCTGTATGTCTAAAAGCCCGTTTTCGAATGGTTCTTGCTATAACTACACCGACATACAGAACTAATTCGTTTTCTGTGTTTCCAGCACATGACTTTTTCGCAGAAAGTCCCTCGGAACCCAAATGATCACTCGGCACCTCAACCTCATTATCGCCCACCAATCCCTTTTGCAACACAAGTCCAGATTGCGTCCAAACGACGACACACTCCAAATCTGTAGATAATCCGTTGATACGCAACACTCTTGAATGCGCGCGACCACCCTCAACGCGCGAGTATTTTAAAGTGCAAGGCGATTTTGAAAGTGAGGAGCGAGTGAGTCAACGAAACGCTTCAAAGCTCACTCAATCCGACGAGTAATTCGCCCAATTTCCGGTTGCAAGTCGAAAAGAGAAACGAGTTCGAAAAGTGATGAAAGTGAGAGTTCGGTTTCGCAACCGAGTGTTGGTAAACATAGAGGGCTACGTGGTGACTCACCGAGAAATACTTCTTCCCTAACCCCCCCCCCCCCTTGCCATAGGTCCTTTCTTCTTTTTTGAATAGTTTGTTTTTCGAATCTCCAAAGTGTTCTCGGTCTTTTATGGAAATGAGGCTTCCGAGCAGAAGCCTTCTTCTATCATTTTGTCCTTTTCTCCATTCCTTTTTCATTTTCATTTGAATCAAAATAAAAACAACAAAAACATCATTCCACACACACACATTCTCTGAATCGCTGTGGAGCTTCTTGATCATCTTCTCCTGAAAACGGATGATTGAACGTGGGTGAAGGAGCACACAAATGTGTGTGTGTGTGTGTGTTGGATAAGTGCGTACACTTCCGATGCGATTTCGATTCGGAAATCAGAAAGTGTTTGGGGTTGAAAATTGATCTATGGGCTGGGAATGGGATATCGTGTTAACAGGAGAGGAAGAAGAAGACTCTAGCCTATCGGAAAACCGTATTGTGTAGGTTGGACATGGACACAACGTCTAGCCGACTACAAACCTTATTTTCCGCCGAACAAAGTGTTTGTGACTGACTTTTGTGAAACGAGAAAAGATCCTGCTCGGGTATATGTTTGATCCGTATAAGTTTAAGCACCTTTTTGTGTGCACGTGGACCCAAAGTCTAGAAACGTGCTCGTTGCACTTTTCCTCTTCACCAGGCGCCTATTCATCCGATTTCTCGTGCAATCGGCACGTTTTCCGTACAATGGAATGTATGACTACTTTCCAAAAGCCACCCTCCTCATCATGCCTACTGACTTCTGGGTGTGGTGGGGAAAGAAACAAAGAGACGATCGCTTATCACATTAGAAGGTTCGGTGGTCTACTACCGAACACACACACACACACACACAACCAATTCTTTCGGTGGTTCCACTCTGTCGCGCCTCGTGACGGCTACAATTTCGAGCGGCGCGAACTACATTGATTCGGGGGATACGGAAGAAGAGAGTGACGACCAGTGTTGAGCGGAATTCCGTCTGCCGTCTTCCGTCTTCCGTCTTCCGTGGTTTTTTTTGTTCCGTCTTCCGTCTGCCGTCTTCCGTGAGAAAAGTTTTCTTCCGTCTTCCGTCTGCCGTCTTCCGTAAAAGAATGTTTCTTCCGTCTGCCGTCTGCCGTCTTCCGGGATTTTTTTTTCTTACCGTAAAAGAGTAATAGCTTTTCAAAAGCCATTTACTAGTCCCGAAGAACGCGAATTTCCACGGGCAGTACCCAGATCCAAAAGTTTTGTTGCTTTAGTTACTTTTTTCAAAAAAAAAACCGGAAAAAAAGGCTCTGAATTGACGATTTTTTGTTCCGTATTCCGTCTGCCGTCTTCCGGGAAAAAAGTTTTCTTCCGTCTTCCGTCTGCCGTCTTCCGTGAGAAAAATTTTCTTCCGTCTTCCGTTTTCCGTGTTCCGTAAGAAAAATTTTCTTCCGTCTGCCGTCTGCCGTCTTCCGTATTTCAAAATTCCATTTCCGCTCAACTCTGGTGACGACGATGATTTGAGGTTCCCGAATGTCTGATCTAGACTCCGACTCCGATGATGATGATGATGATCATGATGATGTGGATGACGTTCAACGAATGGGTTCGGTTGGGGCAAGAAGATGATGTCATTGATTGAGGTGAAAAGTGTAACACGTGGAATCTTGAACATTCCATACTGTTGAGTGTGCTATAGTTGAGACTGATTTCCGAAGGAATTTAATCTAGGTTGTCCCCTAGAAGGACGAACTGTTACTATGAAACTTAAAAGTTACAGTAGTCCTCCTACTTCTCCCTCCCCATCCCTCCAACCAACACCTTCTACGTCACAATAGCGACACGCTTTACAGTGTGTTTGTGTGAGACATTCCAGCTAGCCTCCTGAAACAAACACAACACAAATTCATTTCCGGAGCAAGAGCAACGCCATTCCACCACCTCCACAAACATTTCGATGTGCTGAATGCAATTTCATCCAGACACGTACACACCGGCTTCGCATTCCGGGAACCCGCCGCTTGTTTTTGATTCAATTTCATTTTCCCCCCCGCGGACAAAAATTTGAAGTCAATTGACACAATGTGAATAAGAGGATGAAACAGAGCCGAGGCGATCAGCTGAGAAGCCGATACAATCCGAGTACATTCGAAAGTGAGGGTGGAAAACAAAACAGAGAGCGGCTGGCTCGGGGCCAAAACAGCAAGGCCAACAAGCCTCGGCGCTCGCTCCTAATCTGTCTGAAAGAAATCGGAGAGCAAACGGTGTGTTTTGTGTTGATCCACTGGTGGTACATTTTTTGGTTTTTGAAACACTAGCACTAGCGCGAAAATGCAACAACAGAGAGCACATGACCTCTGAGACCCACAGAACATTTATACCTCTTAACTACCAGTAGTAAGTAGGCCTCAGTGAACCATCTCCAAAAATAGAAGTGACCTTGAGAGAGTTTCTTCTTTTAGACCCGATCATTTTTCTTCTTCTTTTCTGCATTCTTTCCGTGCGATCTGTACGCATTGTCCGCAAAACGTTCCAGCGGGAAAAACGAGCGGAAAAGGCGTGGAAAACAAGAAATATTCGGAACAGGACCGCGAAAACATACAAAATACAAATTGCAGGTGGAAATTGAGAGGGAACTCGAATTTAGAGACTAAAAATCGGCTTGTTACTGATCTAATGCGCGCCTTTAAAGTATGCATTAGGGTTGCGCGTTGATAAAAACAACGCATTCTGCTTGAAAATGTGAAAATCTGCTGGTCGCTTGCAGCGGCTGCGCATCAAAAATAGTGCTACCGTACTTTAAAGGCGCATACCGGGCGCTCGCTGAAATTTTTGTTGCTTTTTTCTTTTGGGCTTATTCAGCGGGAAAAAACTAGTTTTTTCACCGAAACATAAGGCAGAGGGCAAATATGCTCCGGAATAGAGGGTTTTTCTGCCCATAAATCCGTTGTGAGATTCGACACGAGTCTTGAATTAATTTAAATGTCCTATGGAGGAAGGCGCAAGCCGGGTCTCACAACAAACATGATTTACGAGTAGAAATACCTCCTTTTCTCCCGTTGTCTTCAATTTTTTTGCCTGATCGGTGTAAGTTTCTTTCGTGCTGAATGAGCCCATGATGACCATATTCACACAAGTTAACATCATCACACAATTCGGTTTCCTCGAACTTCTTCTTCTTCTCTGACTCAGCTCAAATATTTCTGATCCGTCGTTGCGGTAGGAACTCGAAAACAGTGAGCGGCTCATTGGCTGTTGTGTTGCGTCGTTTGCACTGCTACCGAGAATCGGCGGATTTCTTTTGGAGAAGAGCTGTTTTTTTTTTAATGTCACACGATTTTTGTGTGTCTTCTTGGCTTTTAGCTGTCTATTGACACTCGTGGATGTCTGGCCCGGGCGAAGAAACGACGGTGTGATGAGTTGGGTTGGATTGCGATCAAACGACCGTAGTAGACACGTCTGGCGAAGAAGAATGGGGTACAAATTGTAAAGAAGTTGGGGGTGTAATTGACTCACTTCCTTCCACACGCATCCTGCCATCAACTCTAAAAGTCCGGAGCGCAAAGTACCTGGTTCTACTGACCATTTCGTAATTTGTGCTTGCAATTGGATTACATTTCATTCGTACACACAAAAACCACATCACCCGCATTTCATTTCCACACACCTGAACACATTAACCCGACGTCATGCACAGAGAAAAATCAGATCCTTTTGTTGAACTTTTGAGGTGGAAGAAAGAACATGTGTGTTGACGTCCTTCTGCGAAGGTGGATGCAATTCGATTTGAGGCCCGAGTGGTGTGTCTGCTGACAATTGCGATCAAAGTTGCAGATGAAAGATGAGAATGAGCACTACCGTAGTTTCCTGTCCTTCGCCGCCACCCTCAACTTTTTCACCTGTACCCGATGAATCGAGAGCGAAGGAAACAGCGTCCTCCTGAAAGAGCAACACGGAACCAGCTTAACGATCTCTGGAGAACAGAGCTGGACGATCCTTGGCCAGCTTAGGGCAAACGTTTCGAAAACCGGGAAGCCTTGAGAAACCAGTAATCTCTGAGTAGACCGATCTCGTGGTTCACTGACTAATCAGGCGCATTTTCCTCCTCTCTCTCTCTCTGTAGTCGTTCGTTTTCCAAAAGTTAGTAAGGCTTCACTTCATCCCCACGTGGTCCATCATCTTCTCGAAAGTTCTTCCCATCTGAAACTCACTCCCCTTCCCCCACACACACTTCTCGCCTGACAGGTCAATTTTCTTCAACGCCTACAAAGTACATTTCACGTTATCCCTCTCGCCTCGACGCCCCGCCCCATTCTCGCAAACAATAACAATCCCAGGCCTCCCTCGCTCTCGCCGCCTCGCCGAATTTTTCGCGGAAGGGGGCGGCGCCTAGGCCAAATGGCAAAAGTATAAAAGGCGTTGCAGCGGCGTTGCCAGCCCCGAAGAACATTCGAAAACTCCGCCCACTTCTTCTTCTTCTTTTTCATCCTCTTCTTCTTCTTCTTCTTCTTCTTCTTCTTCTTCTACTACCCACCTTCTGCCACAATGATATTCGAAGTGCCAATTGACCACTTCCCGGCCTCTTCGCAACAAGTCTCCCGTACTCGGGACCACAAACCACTCCGTCTTTCCACGGTCCAACTCCAATCCAAGGAGGTCAATGCCGCAGTTGCTCCTTTGAGCCCATCAGGTAAACTATCATTCCCATTGTTTTCGGCTTCTAAACAATTCCATTTTCAGTGCGTCGCTCTCAATTCAACTTCAGCGCCGAAGTGCAAAAGTCGGCGATTCCAAAGGTGCGCGCCTCGATCCCGCCGCTCAAAAGAGCGCTGACGAGCCCGGCTCTACCGGTGCAACACCTCAACCTGAATCTGATGCGCAAAGGATCGACGCCCTCGTCGCAGGCGAGCCGCAACAACTCGGTCAGCGATCTGTTCCGCAACGACCTTCTCAAAATGCCGGCTCGACTCTTATCGACAGCAGTCTCGCTGCATCAGCTGGCGTAATCGACAAAGAACTCGCTCGCTCCCTTAACTTATTTGGTTCCCCCTTGTCGCCCCGTTATCACTCTCACATACTCTCATTGTTTGCTCTTGCCCCCCGGGTCACTCGCCCCATTTCTCCTTCCGCATCTCCCCACCACCACCATCTCGCCCGGATCTCGCTGATTTTTGTGCACCGGTTCCCGCCCCTTCCTGAAGATCTTTTGTGAACGTTCTCTCTCTCTCTTCCATTCTTTAACCGAACATGGATAAAATACGTGTAATAAATAGTGTGAAAAAGCAATTGTCGATATCAAAGAACACGCGACAGTTTATCGGATCGTCACGTGGCGCCGTGGAGCCCGTACCAAGTACCGCCAATGTTTTCCACTCTGTGCAAAGCGGCAGTCTTATCTCCAATGTTTTTCGCGTCTGCACGACACGAAGAAGCATAGTACTCGAGATGAGTTTCCGGCTCAGATGACATCAGAAGACGTCTGCATCCTTCCGCTCCAGCGACCTCGTAAGAAGGTATCAGATCAAATTCGAATCACATCATCAGTTTTTGAATCAGGTCACACGTAGGCTTGAGTTCTCGGAAAGTGAGGGTGTGGAGTGGATTATTCATCTCATTCAGACCACATTTTGATTCGAGTATTGTAGGCTTTCCCGATCAGAACTTGTTCGCTCGACTCCGTCAACTCTTTTCCTCGTCGTGTACCGAAAGCTGAGCGGCTAATCCAGTGTAAGATCATCGGAAAAAGTTCGAAATCTGCTCATTTTCAAAGAGCCAAGAGTTCATGTTGATCATTAAGCCTTGTGGTCAGAGATGCTCGGGCACATGGTCTGTACTGCCGACAAACGACGAGGAAGCAGAGTATAATTGGATTTTTGGTGAGACAACGAATCCGGTTGCGGTCAGAAGAAAAATTGGTTCCCGAATCGGAACGAAAGTGTGTAATCTGAAGAAACAGCAGCAGCAGAAGCCGTAGACGGAACATTTATATCAATTAGTGTGTGGCCCGTGTGGCATTGCAAGTGCGAAACATCACCGCAACCGGTACTTGAGACACCCCGAAACAAGCCCTTTCACTTGGTCTCCCCCTCCCCTCCCCTTCTCTCGTAGGTTTTTGTGTCTGTCTACACTACATGAAAGTAACTATTCGGAAATGGGAAAGGAATTTCCGTCGCTGATAACGGCTGACCAACACTGCTTGTCTTGCAAATTGACCGCGTGCGATTCATGTGGAATACAAGCGCAACTGTCGTGGAAAAAAGCAGTGAGGGCAAAGTGTTCGGGCGGATTTCGAAGCATTGAGAATGGAAGAGAAAAACGCATTAGTCCCCCGGCCATGTCGATTTACGGGCACTTTTTACAATTTTTTCAGGAAAACATTGAGTTTTTCGCTTTTTCCAGGTTTTCTCTTCCATTTGCGCATTTTTTTCGAATTCTCCTCAGAGCGCACTCACTTTGCATAGATTCAGAACCTCCCGAATGAACCTATTCAGCCGAGTATTTTACTGGTTTTTTTACGCAAAAAACCCTATTCAAATGAGGAAAAAAACCCGGGGAAGAGGTTTTTTCCTGTGCGCAAACCCTGTTCGTTGCGAGACCCGTGCTAATAAAGGCATGATCATGCATGAGCCTTTAAACATTTTAAATGACCGCCCGGTTGTATTTAAAGGCGCATGCCTTTATTAGCACGGGTCTCGCAACGAACAGGGTTTCCACACACGAAAAAACCTTTTCCCCGGGGTTTTTTCCTTACTTGAATAGGGTTTTTTGCGTAAAAAACCAGTAAAATACTTGGCTGAATAGGTCCATAATGGACATCATGAGGTGGTGGGAGTTGATTTGATTACGTCCGTTTACATTTTAAACTCTTTCGTTTGCACACCTGCTCTCCAAAACTTTCAAAGATGCCGGGCCGCATTAGATCAGACTACACCAGCTCGTAGCTTCCATCCAAACTTCGAAATGGACCGTCAATCATCAGAGCACCATAATCATCACTGATAAGCGGAAAAAGGCGAAAGTCGGACGACTTTCCCTCTCACTCCACGAGCCACCAGCGTATTTTCAGCGTGCGACGCACACTTTCAAGGTCAGCAAATCGGAGACGTCGAGCAAATTGTTTCGCGATAAACAATTTATAGATAGAATTGCAAACGGCCCGATGCGTTTTTGGCGGCGGGGAACAAAGATGATTCGTACTGTGCACATCACTTTCTACATTGTGATGTTGCCAACTGAGGAATGGATGATAGTTCGTTTTTGATGGGGACGAAAACGTGGGGAAGTGGCCGGGAATGTGGAAAAAGTTCGTTAGATCGAATTATTCAAAAGGTTTTTGAAAGGGTGGGAAAGAGAGCTATACGACGCTAATTTCCAGTTTCACGGGGGAAAATAAACTTTACAAAGGATTGGACACATTGGATCATGAAAAGTTCGGCGACATATATCTCGAGAACCATTGGCTATCTCCAAAAGTTGCCAACAGAAACATTGTTGCAAATTTTAAGATGAACAAGTTTGTAGTTGAAAATTTTATCTCAAAACTTTTCAGTCTCGAGATATGAGCCAATTTCTACCGTAGTGTACCTTAAAGTGAGGGGTGTAGGGCCTAAAATCGCCTAACTTCTGGACTCTATATCTCCAGAACTATGGATTATCTCAAAAAGTTGTAAATTGATAAATTGTTGCAAATTTTGTGCTCAACAACTATGTTATTGACAATTTTCTTGCCCAATTCGTCATTCTCCAGTTATATTCTGAATACTGTTCACTAGGATGACAATTGTTTACAGTGTTAACATCAGCGCCAGCACATCTAGTCATCTTTGTCTAAAGTCAGCAGCCGTTCCTTCCTCTCTCATCATTTTTTCTATTGTCATCCATCCCACCAACCCAAATTGTTCGGATCGTCTATTGTGGGTCTCCACGCACTTCCCCGTCTTCCCCAAATGAATCTGTCCGGATCAAAACATGCGGATTAGGCGAAAGAGTGTGCTACCTGCAAAACGAAACCCAAAAAACGACGCTTGATCGGTTTCATTGCGAGGGACCGCTTCCGGATAAAGTGCAAAAGCCCGTTTCGTTTCCGACTGATCTTTAGGCCAAAAAGGCCCCCGACAGCCTTTGTTTTTTTGTTTTTTTTGTTGTTGTTTACGTGACCGCCCATCTCACTTTTCTTCCCTTCTTTTGTTTATCGCACGTGCCCAGACACACAATTTGTAGAAAGGTCTCGCCAGTGAGTGAGATGAGGAAGCGGAAAATGAGTCACTGAGAGGTGTGTGTGGGTTGAGAAAACAGTGAATGATTGGAACGCGAGTGATAGTGACCGGAAACCGATAGTATTTGGGTAGGTTGGGCAGGCGGACGAGGAATTCCTCGGCGGCCACGTGATCTCGTGGGGAACGCTGTGTTTAGCTAATAGATCAAATCGAATGACGTGATTCGGAACGAACTTTGAAGGATTTGGAAAGCGGCTAAACATGCGGGGATTTGAAAGATTACAATAGTTGTTTGACTCGGAAGAGTTTCGATGATTATGTACTCGTTTTTTGAAGTTGGGGAATAGTGAGAATCTGGAAGGGTCTTCGGAAGTCGGAAGTCGGAATGCCTATGAATTCAGCTCCAACCAGTCAGGACCAAGATTTATAAAGTTCAACAAGATCCAACTCTGTTTTCCCACGACCCACACCGCTCAAAATTTCAATAATCCTCCATTATTATTCGTTCATTTTTCTCGAAAACCAAAAACCTCTTCAATGGATCTCCGATTTTCGTGTTCGTTCGTTTTCATGCCCACATCTTCTATTAATATGTTTTCATTTCCGTTTCCGATTCTGCTCTTTCATTCTGATATCCGATTCTCGATTCGCGCACCGAGTTAAGATGCTGAAAATAGCCGCAAAAGTTGGTCTTTCACACACACATACACACTACAAATCTCGAAATAGAATAGGACATCATTAGATTGGATTAGCCACGGATTTGTAAGTGTGCAAATCCGGGTGTTGAAAGGTAGGGGATCTCGCCTTTTTCCGATGACGAAAGAAATGCAAATCCCTCCCCAATTTAAAGTCTTCTTCGTCGGGTTGTAGCCAAAGAAATCATGGGCTTTTCGGGGGGAAAAAGGCTAGAAGAGAGGGGCCGAATGGAATGTGTTCGTGATCAGTGATGAGGAGTTTCAGCAGTTTGGCGAATATGACGGCGAAACAGAACCGGATGATAGTCGAAAGTTCGTTTTCCGATCGGGTTGAGTTGAGTTGAGGCGATCGCGGGGATTTGGACGCTAGAGCGCGGTTCGTGAATTGAAAAGTGCTCATCTTTTCTGAAATGTTTTGTTGAAAATGCGCTCTATAGATCTCATCCTCGAATTACACTCCAAGTTTGGTCCCGGTTGGCTGGCTATGTCACTCCTGGACCAGTTGAACTCTTTCGGTTCTTTGGTGCTAAACTTTGTGTTTCAACAATGTTTGAAACGGAAGTTGAGCGAAAAAAACTTCCGGTTAAACAGCCAATTAGTCTGATTCTGAGTGGGATTGTTCCGCATTGCGAAAATCACGAATTCACCTGCAAATTGCTACCGCTTCAAATCGTTGTTTTTCTATTCTGATCGTGTCGACGATGATGATGATGATGCGGAGGATGTGGATGGATGTACTTGTACACATTTCCGGATTGATGACTTCTCAAGAGCTCTTGACACATACCCTTTTCCCGTTGACATTCTTCGACTTTTCCTATCATCATCATCATCATCATGCCCTCCTTCCTTCTACTCTCTCTGACCATTTTCCACGTATGCTTCGCATATTGTCCATTCAAAAGGTGAGACGATACCGTAGCACTCATCAAACCGTTAACTTTTAAAGAGCAGTCGTGAAGGACATTCTCATGATTCCCACCGACGATTACCTGTCTGTCGAGCAGGATGAGGCGTCGGAAAAGTGTGAAATCGAGGTGCACTCGGCCGACGGACACCTTCTTCTTGTCTCCATCACCAACTTTTTGATGTTCTCGCATCGACGGCCCCAAAATAAGAACGAGATTATTGTGCGCAACGCGGATATGCAGTTTATTGTCGATAGCAAACCGAAGGTTTGTACTGTCTTGCCTACATCAACAGTACTCGGATTGCAAGGTGTCTGTGCTTTAAAAGTTTCATTAGAGATAAAGAAACCAGAGTTTTGGAACATGAAAAGTTAGTGGTTTGAAGCCTAATGTCCATCAACTTTTAAGACCTATATCTCGAGAACCAATGACTATCTAAAAAAGTGGTCAACTAAAAACAAGTTGAAAATGTTGTGCTCAACATCTTTGTAGTTGACTATTTCACTCCAAAACGTTTCATTCTCGAGATATGAACTAGTAACTTTCTTCTAGGGCTATCAACTGATGCAGACGCCGATCTGGCTCGAAATCCCGATGAACTTGAACTTCCGTTCCATTTTGCTCTTCTCAAATCCACGAGATTGTAACTCGTACGACAGTTTGAAATGTCCAGAGTACAGCCTTTGCTACAGTATGAAAATTAGATTCACATAACCTAAAAAGAAGGTGTTCAGACTGTTCGAAGCACTGCTTCTCCATCGATTTGGAATGTGACGGGCTGGACACTTGTGGCGAGGATGAGTCGCGGTGCATTGTCAAAGATGTACAGCGTGTCGAGTGCGAATACGTTTCAAAAAAGTGCCAAATTTTCAGTCGCGCACTCCTCAAACCTCCTACCGTTACGGAAGAGACGCGTTGTCATCGAGTCAGATAATGCTCATTTGGTTTTTCGCTCTCAACGGATCATTCATCGGTACATACTTTGTGTTTCCAACCAAAAGTGTTTCCAGTGTTCTTTCTGATATTATCGCTCTGCTCGGCCGGATTGTTCTATCAGTGCCCGTTCTACGCGAAAAACAGCAAAGCCTCCCGCCACACGTTCATCCGATATTTGAGGTTAGTCATACACTTGACTTCCTGCACAAAAGACTATAAAGAAGCAAAGTATACATGAGAATAATCAGATTGTCTGGAAGATTATAACCTCAAAATTTGAGGGAAGCCATTCCGCCTGCACTCGCCGCTCCCGCAGTTCCCACCGGAGGCCACGATGCGAGCGAAGAGGAAAAGACTGTTATTTCGACACCGCCAGGACACACGAGACATCGCCACTCCATCCTCAGCCGTATAAACTTTCAGCCGGCGCCGGCGCTCAGTGAAATCGAACCAGGTTCTGCTTTCAGCCGGATGTTCCCGACTGTTTCATTACAGAAGTGGAGGACCGAGAACAGTCGGCGGCGGCCGAATCGATTTGCGAACCGCCGGCCCACCAGCCGGAAGTTTTTCTCCGCCGACAAAGTCTTCCGTTCGGACTGAAACCACCGTCGGAACAGGCAAATTCGGGGGAGAAACGGACACGATTCACGACGAGAGCAATGTCTTTTCAGCACTAAAATACCTGTCAGTTGTGTTTGAGAATGAATGAAATGTTTGTTTTTTATTCTTATCTTTCTACTCTGGTTCAGACACAACAAAGTGGGGGTGCTTACGTTATAAGCGTTGATTGAGAATGGATAACAAGATCATAGAGAACAATAAATGAATAAGGATTACATATATAGAAGACTTTGTGTTTGAACTCAACAGCGGACAGCAAACTAACTCAAATCGGTTACGACAAAACGTTTATTCAACAAGGTACGAAAGAAGATCGGGTTGAATACACAATGGTTATTTTGTTTCGTTCACGAAAATAAGTCATGGATATCATTCTGAGAACAGCATTCCGATAGGCCGGATGCACCATAATCATGGTGATTGTGGTGAGAAGTCCATTGAAGCCGGCCAAGATTATAGCGTAGTTGTTGTATTCTGAAGCATACAAACGATATTAGAGGGAACTCGACGAATCTGCTTACTTTGATTGTAATACCTGATTATGGTCGCCACGTACATATAGACTATGGGTCCCGCGAAAGCGACGAATGGCGCCAGCGCCTGTATGACCAACGCGACGAAAAACTTTCGTTGGATGAGTTGAGTGCTTTTCGAAACGATTCGAACGCAGAAGAATAGATGATAGGCGGTGGAGAATACGAAGAAGACGCACTGAGAGAACAGGAAACTGTCTACGATGACAATGAAAACGATATTGAGCCAAACGTAGGAGGGACCCGGGTAGAAGTCGACGAAATTGGATTGATTGATCATGTTCACTGGAATGCATGTGTTCAGCTGAAAGATCAAGATGCTCTAGGCGGATGTACTCAACTGACCGACAGGAAATGAGCGATTCCAGTTGCACTATCAGGCAGTGTTAGTAATATTGAAGCGATTAAGAGAGTACATGCCACGGCGTCAATGAGCAATAAAATAGATCTTCTGAAGTTTCGCTTCGAACTCTTCATGTTCTCAATGACGACCGCGTCGTAGCGATTTTCAAAGAAAAATATCAGAGTGATTGCAAAGACTGTATAATGAATTAATCGAATTATGAACCGGTGCTCAAAAGCAAACAAACCAGCAGTTAGAACCGCTCCGAGGCCCACTTGAACAACGGGTTGAATGCCGAAATCGGAGAGAAATCCTATTGTAATGCCTCCGGGATACGGAGTCAGAATGTACGGAATACCGAGAAAAGTGACCGAAAAGTCGACAACTGCCGAAACGGTGTGCAGCAATAAAATGACACGTTTGGCCGTGGACATTGATTTGGGAGACTTGAAAACGATGAGAAACGTGCCGAAGACGTTGAGTGGCACTTCGAAGGCCGTCATCGAGTGGAGTACGGTTTTGAGAAAGTCTCCAGATTCCAGATAAGAGTTCTCGAATGTGCATGCCATTGCGAACCGGAAGGAATAGCTGCAGAAAATGGGAGCAAAATATCGGTAGGTGTCAAATATGATTTCGCGGAAAAGGGAAGGGAAAAACGGGTTAGACCGGCCTGCTCACAATAACTCATTTTCGTATTTTCCTCCTCGCCGCACCAACACGAACGACATTCACTGTTTTGAAATACTAAGAATAGATGAAATGACAATAGTTGTGGCTCTTCTTTCGGCGACACTCGGAACCATTTGAAAAACGGCTCTCCGGTACGCCGGATGCACCATAATCATGGTGATGGTGGTGAGAAACCCGTTGAATCCAACTAGTATTATGATGAAGTTATTGTATTCTGCAATGTACAATATTCGAAAGAGCACAAGCGAGCGCAAAGTGCTCACTCTGATTATAATACTTCAAAATCCACGAAACATATCCGTAGATGATGGGCCCAGCGAACGCGAGCAATGGAATCGATGCTTGCAAAACCAGTGCGATAAAGAACTTTCTCTGCATTTTCTGAGTGCTACTCGAGACGATTTTGACGGAAAAAAAGAGGTTGTAAGTGGTGAAGAAGACAAAAAATGCGCATTGAGCAAAGACGAATAGCACTGTGATGGCTGTGCACAACGGCATCACGACGGAGCCGGCGTTGATGCCAATGAAGTTGGGATTGTTCACGAGGGAGAGGGGGACGCAAGTGTGCAGCTGAAGGCATTGTTCTCATCAATACAAGCAAAGTACTATCTTTGAAGACTAGAACACATGCAGGCGTTGACTTTTCCTTACAGGACCAGTGTGTGAGAACAACTTAAAGTACGATTTTCTTTTGCAAAATAGAAACTCTGAGAGCAAAATCTTTTTAGGACTTGTTCCCAAATGTCAAATCGACAAACTAAACAAATGCAGGCCAAACTTGAGTCCGAATAGGTCAAGTACTTCACTAGCATGTCATCTGAAGCTCACCGAGAGAAAATGAGCTCTTCCGGTTTCAGTATCGGGCAGGTTTGAGTAGATGAGAACAGCCAACGAGGCGCACATTAGAATGTCGACACAGAAAAACGTGGCGCGCTTCAAATCGCGATTATCCGACTTTCCGGAATAACCGATGACGACTGCATCGTAGCGGTTTTCGAAGAAAACGACCAATGTGATTGCGACAGCTATAAATAAAATAAACTATATTGAAAAAGAGAGAACAGCTTCTTTCACCGGCAATCACATTCACTCCAAAGTACACTTGAGATGCGGAACTGAAGCCCAGATTGGACAATAGACCGACTGGATATCCGGCAGGATACGGAGCGAAAATGTAGGGAATACAGAGCAGAGTGGCCAAGAGATCCATTAGAGCGGTAACACTGTGCAGCAGTAAAATGACATTTTTGGCCGACGACATTGTCTTCGGAGACTTCCAAATGATGAGGTAGACGCCGAATGCGTGGAGGGGAAGTTCGATGATAGTCATTGAATGGAGTACGGTCACTAGGAACTCATCGGATTCCAAGTACGAGCCCTCGAATGTACAAGACATTCTGCAGAAGGAGCTATGCGGGAGCGCGTGGTCGTGATGGCGGAGGCGCGAATGGACAGGTGAATTTGGTTACATTAATGAACAATAAGGTTGTGTTAAATATGTTGCCTGAACTGCCTGAACGAGATTTAGTCTTCGAAAGAGCCATAATAGCGGGAGCGTTGGTGACATGGTACTTAACGCATGAAATGGAGCTTCAAAAGTACAACCTGATGGCCAAAAGTCAAAAATACAACAAATCTTTCAGATGATGTGGAAGTATGGGATTGGGGTGCTAAGCAGGTGAAAAGTACAGGAAAGCATCGATGATCACTCAAATAACAAAGTGTTTCAGATGTTGGTTCAAATTGAGGCCACACGTCTTTTTGGTGACATTGATTTTGCTAAAAAGTGAGCAGTTTTAAAAAAAATGATACGAGGGTTCATTTGACAAAAATAATCGATTGAAAAGCAATTTGATGAACGTATTTAGGAGATAAGAGGGATGTGAATAAGGTTGGAGATCAGTGATCAATGGAACGATGGAACGGCGAACTTATCGGACGCGGTACAGCATCTTGCGTTGCATCTTCTGCTGCAAGTCGCCACGACGGACGAGATTCGCAATGACCTTCTTGACGAGCGATTCCTTGTAGTGCTGCCGCGCGACAAAGTCTTGCACGATGAGGTGCTCGGAGACGTGCGTGCCGATGGCGAACCGCTTCTTCATCTGCGTCTCGATGCGATTCAACGCCTCCTGATCGACCGACGAGGTGAATCCCTCGACGCCGGCCAGGTTTCCGGTGGCCGCCGCCTCGATGGTCGACACGCGGAACAGACGCAACGCCTCCTCGACGTGCTTGTCAGTGGCGAACGGCTGCAGTTCCATCTTGGCGACACTCTCCGCGATACGGACGATCGCTTCGAGTTGACGGACGGTGATCGGAATCGCCGAGTGGTGCGCCTTCTTTCCGGACTCTGAAATGATATTAATAAGCGAGGAGAATTCGTGAACATGCACATACTGAAGGCGTCAGCATTGACAACCGGATTACGCATCTTGACGTAATGGTTGACAAGCTTCTCGGAGGCTTGTGGAGTGAGACGAGGTCCGCAGTTGAGACGAGCGTACGAGACAAACTTCTTGAGGAACTCGATCGTCAGGAATCCATCGGTGTCGAACATTGTCGTCACTCCATCAGAATCAGAAGTGACCGCCTTCGGAACACCGGCATTGTCGCGCTCTTTGGCCGCCGAAGCATTCACGTGCACTTCGATGACGTGCTTGGCAAGAGTCTGAAAGGTGAATGATTGAGTTGTCAGAATACGTAACGAAACTGACAGCGTCCTTGTTGACGTCGTGAGTGTCCTTGACAATGTAGATCATGTCGAAACGGGAGAGAATGGTCGGCATGAAGTCGATGTTGTCGTCTCCGCGCGACTCATCCCATCGTCCGTAGACCGAGTTGGCAGCGGCGAGCACCGAACATCTCGAGTTGAGCGTTGTAGTGATTCCGGCCTTTGCGATCGAGATCGTCTGCTGCTCCATCGCCTCGTGGATTGCAACTCGGTCATCCTCGCGCATCTTGTCGAATTCGTCGATGCAAACGACTCCGCCGTCGGCCAGAACCATAGCTCCGCCCTCCATGATGAACGACCGTGATTGTGGATCTCTGATGACGGAAGCCGTCAAACCGGCGGCGGAAGAACCCTTTCCAGAAGTGTATACTCCGATCGGAGCTACCTGCTCGACGAACTTGAGCAGCTGCGACTTGGCTGTTCCGGGATCTCCGAGCAGAAGGACGTTGATGTCTCCACGACGCGTAATTCCGTCCGGCAGCTTCTTGCGGGCACCTCCGAACAGAAGACAGGCGATCGACTTTTTGATGTCGACAGATCCATAGATGGACGGTGCGATCGACTTGGCGATGAGTTCGTAGACGTCCTTTCTCTGGGCCAACGTCTTGAACTGTCGCTCCTCTTCCGGAGTGAACACGTTGAAATTGGTGCGTCCAGGTCCGGAGGTCTCGATTTGAATGCCGAGAACTCGAAGGTACGGCGTGCGAATGCCCTGCAACGTCTTGTCGCCGCCCTTCTTCTGATTTAGCTTCTTGATCGAATAGACGCCGACGATGGTGACCCGATTACCGGGCACCACTTTGTCCGTCAAGTAGCGTTCTGTGAAGAGCTGCAAATGGCGTGGCATCTCTCCGTGCGGCACGTCTTCCGGGTTCTCCTGCAGCTTCAGAGTCTGATAGTCGACGCATTCGCACTTATCCGGCAGAATCATGTACGGATCGATCGGACAACGCTGCATTTGACCTTGCTGTGGAGCTCCGCAAGTACGGGGAAGGGCGAATCCTTCCAATCCTGGCTTGATGGAAACATCCGGAACTATGTGCTTGCATTGACGGCACTGCAGCGTCACCTTCGTCGCCTTGGAGCGCACCTAGAAATAAACACATTGGAAAGAAAATCGCAAAAAGAATGAGTACCTGAGCAGCAGCGACAATGATTCCGCAAATTTTGACAACTTGCGAGACCTGAGCGGACTTGACTTGACGGACGGAGGTCGGATACTCGTCGAGAGTGAGCGTCACTTGGATATCGTGCAACTTCTCTTCTCCTTGTGGTCTTGGCGCCGTCACCTCATCGGCGACAATCTTTGCGGCTTCTTCAAGCTGAAAAAACTCCGATTAAAAAAACATTTTCGTCAATTTTTCGTACCGCTGGCAGAACTTTTCCCGGAAACTTTCTAAGCTTCATTTCAATGTCCTCATCGAAGTTCTTGAGATGATTCAGGTTGATTTCGAGACGGTATTCTCCGCCAAAGTAGTTGCGCTTCAGTTGATCTCTGTAATTTCCATCTAAAATGGTTCACTCCCTTGATTCCATACCTGTAAATCATTCCGAAGCCTCCTGTGGAGAAATCACGGATAAAATTGCGGAACTGAGTGATCAGTTGCTTGTACTCGGCAATAAGCTCGCGACCAGTGTCCGGAACTCCGTCATTGGCGAAGAATCGCTCCTAAAAATCAAAAACCTTTTTTTATTGCAATTCTAAAAAAATTGGGTTACCTGATAGTAAACTCCTGGATTGTCGAGGTTAGACATTTCAGGTTAGTAGGTGTCTGTAAAAAAATTAACAATTTTGGTGAAAGTGAACGAAAAAACGGTGAAAATAGAAGAACGTGCGGGAAATTGTACCGCACATTCGATAACTAAATTTGAATTTTTTTGGCGCCCGCGCAGAGTGTGCGAACACCGTCACCCGCAGTTGCGTACCCGGCAGTGCATTAACCGCGCATTTCAAGGTGAGACAGATGTGCGAAATCGTGCTGTTTGAGCGTATTTTAAGGTACATTTCATTGAGAAATGTGTTAATTTAGCTTTAAAAAAATATAAAAAAAAATACAGAAGCGGTTTATTATGATAAAAAATACGAAGAAAAAGGTAGAACCACATATTTAGAATGTTTCTTCCTAGACGAAGCTTCTGGCGAGCTGAAATCGTTCAAAATCTATTTAAATCACTCTGTTTTTCCACCAATTTAAAATAACTGCTCATTCTCGAGTCACTCTTCGCTTCTGTTTCCGTTTCCATCTCAATCATAATCGCTAATTCTCGAGATACAAGTCTTAGAAGCGGTTGCCTAGAAACCACTCACCGTTTCCACAACAACCCGTCCGATTGAGATACAATTGGAGGTCTGTAGAGTCGAGAACATTTTCGATGGATACTACGGATACGAAAAATGATTATCACATGAGTGATGACTTTGTCGAACGACGTCGACGACAAATTTCGGTTGCGTGCCGCCGGAAAAGAGCGGAGAGCATGTGCTCTCAAACTGATAGAGAGAATATCGGATTAGATAGATGCGTCGCCCGTTTTGCATTTTTGATGCGAATAGAGTGGGGGAGAAGCTGAGAAGTGGGAAATGGAAGGAAGGAGAGACTTTTAGAGCTTCATGCTAATAAGGAACAAAATATATAATTAGGCAGCGGAAGGGAAGGGATTATGCTCTAAGAGCAGCACGTTTGGTGAATTAGAGGAAGTTTCGCTACTGGTGGACGTTTTGCAACAGTTGCGAAGCGTCACGAAACGACATTTTGCAACTAGTTAGGCCTGAAACAGCGACGGTTGAATCTAGCCGACCCAAGTTACGAAATGTCCGTTACATGACGTTTTGCAACTAATACAACTATGAATAGCTGACTAGATCCAAATTAAATGCTTCCTTTGTCTTCCTTTTCTGACAATAGCCCATTCATTCACGTCATCTTCTATTTTATTTTCGAGAACTCAAATTTCTCGAACAATGAATCCCTTCTTTATGTACCATGAACCAGTATATTTTAGATTCACCAATATTCAAAATGTCAACACAAAGCTTTATTCCAGCAAAACCAAACGAAATTTCGAATAGAACAGGGTGTCCCCATGAGTGAGATGCGCGCCTCCCCCTCACATGATTGTTAACGAATGGAATAACGAGAGAAGTGTCTTGGTCAGCAGAATTTGAGTTACATGGTGTTCGGATTCGTCGGGCCGGCCGAACGGCGTTGCATTGGTCGGCCGAGGTACTCGGAGAGGTAGCGGAGGTACGAGTCACTGGAAAAAATTTAAGTTTGAGCGGTTTTCGGAACAAATCGCCTCGCAACTCACTCTCCGTACGCGCCGGCGGCCCCTTTTCCCGGTTCTTGGAAACGCGACATCTGCATGCGGTCCCTGAAAGCTCAACCGGTCGGCTCCCCTCGGATCTCTGGCAACCTACTCCAACTCCATTCGACTGTACGCCTGACAGACGACGAGCAGAACACAGAAAACGAGAAGAGCACGACAGAGAACGGACATCCTGCAAACAAGTGGAAATTCGAGAATAAGAAGAAGAAGAAGAAGAAGAAAGAGGGGGGGAAGAATTGAAGGGAGGCGGTGCTGGTGTGAGCATGAAAATGAGCTCGGAGTGAGAAAAGGGGCGGAGCCACGAGGACATGATTGATCGAGGGCGAAACGGATGACTTGAGCTTATTAAGAAAGGACTACTGTAGTTCAGGAAGGGGGCATCCGGAATCCGGAAAGTTGTTCGATCTTCTGTCTTTCGCAAAACTATTGTAGCTCAAGAACCAATGAGTCTTGAGAAAAGTAACCAACTGCAAAATTGTAGAGAAAGTTGTGTACTCTAACTTTGTAGTTGATTGTGCTTTCTGAAAAGCTCAAAGTTTTGAGTTATAATGGTTTTTCTAAACAGCAAGATCAGAATAGTGGTCACTTTTGCTGAAAGCCTTGTAACTCAGAAACTAGACAGTTTCAAAGAAAACGATCAACTACAAAGTTGGAGTGTACAAAATTTCCCACACTTTCCAGTTGATCACTTTTAGAAATGTCGACTGAATCTCGAGTTACAAGAGCTCAATAACGTGGCCTGTTCGGCAAGACGGCTGAAAAGTCAGTCAAGTTCCGGTTTCGCACAAAGAGCTTGTTTACACGTACCATCTCCAGAATGCACATTTTCAATATTCAATTTTCTTTTCCCGCCAGCATTAGTCTTATTAATGTTTGCAAGGGCCCGAAAATAGAAAATGCTTTCTGAGGAATGAGATTTCGAATGAAATACGTCTTCCGGTTCTCAATGAGCCCTCCACTAATTGGATGTTTTACACAGTGTCGCAAAGCTTTGCCGGCGGCGGCCACCAAATTGGCTTTTCGGATGATGACGTGGCAGAAGGAGATCATGGACCAAATAAATGAGTCAGCAGTCGAGTGGAAAAGTTCAGAAATGTCAAAAAAACGGATGCGGCAGGCGGAGATTCTGAAAAATTGATGAGGTTTTTTTTTGTCGTTTTTGTTTTCGAGAAACCTTCATCTCACACCTTTTTCGCCGGAATACATTGATTTGATGGTGGTGGTGGGCAGCCAAAGTTTGCTCTGTCTGAAATCGGGATAAAAGCGAAACCTGATATTTTTGGATAATTGGCGAGCGCTAGAGTGTTGTCTATGGCACGTACATATTTGTGCGACATTCGCTTAACAATTCAGTTTTCAAAGTTCAACGCGCGGAGACGAAGAAGTGCAAAGCGTTTATTATGACAAAAAAACACGAAGAAAAAGGTAGAACCACATATTTAGAATGTTTCTTTCTAGACGAAGCTTCTGGCGAGCTGAAATCATTCAAAATCTATTCAAATCACTCTGTTTTCCCCACCAATTGAAAATAACTGTTTGCTCTCGAGTCACTCTTCGTTTCTGTTTCCGTTTCCATCTCAATCGCCTCGCAATCCGATCCAGCATTCGATCTTTTCGATCTTCTCGACGATTTCTCGTCGTCCGGCTTGAATTCGCTCTCAAAGTGGTACACACTCGACTCTTCTTTGATCTTTCGCGCCGCATAAATGCACCATGCGCCCGAGGCGACCAATGCGGCAAATATTCCGAAACTGACAAGCAGAAGAATTAACTGCAATGTGAAATTTGCGTTGAAATTGTTTTCCCTGCCGCTCACCCATCCATAGTCGTACGTATTGTCGACTCGAATTCGAAGATGATTCCATATTTCAGTGACCGCCGCAGGGGAAGGTGAAGAAGACATGTCTCGGATGAATAATGGGGAATCTTTCGAATCTTAAGGTTCACGCACTTTATCATAAAGATTAGAACACGTTCGAGTTTTCATATTTATTGGCACGGAATCTAATAAAAACGGGACTTCATTTCCAGAACATGAAGCTCTTGGCAAGAGTGCTCAGATGGCTTCCGGCTCCGGCTCCGGCTCCTGCTTGCTCGTTCTCCTTCTCCACCTCAATTTCACACGACGACACATCGGAACCGGCGTCCGACCGAGATCCCTTCTTCTTCTCCCTTTTCTCCTCCTCATCGTGATCGTCCAAAGTCAGCGCAATCACTTTTCTCTCTTCTGAAAAATCACATTTTCTCACTTTTTCATACAAATCACTTCTTTCAGTACCGTGAACATTTCGGGCGGCGAGCAGGCACCAGATTCCCGAACCGACAAGACCGATAAATACGAAGCAGGCCATGATGCAGAAGAGCACCTGAAATTAAATGAGAAAGCTGGAAATTTGAAAGAAAAAAACACCGAAATTACCGTTTCAGAGTCATGGTAATTCTCCACTCGAATCTCGACGTGATTCAAGCTTCGAACAGGGACCGTTGGCATCGCGAAAGTTTGGAAATGGCGAGAAATGAGGGGAAATGATTATCTGTTCGCTGTTCTCACGCGACTTTTCGAAAAGTTCAACTTGATTGCCACCACCTGATTAACTTTGGTTCCTTGGGAGCCGAGTGTCTGGGGAGTGCCAACGTTTTTGATTTGGAAGCAAAAAAAAAGCAGCAGAGTTCGAGCCCACGCGCCCGGAAAACTCTTGTGCCCATCCTATTCGAGCGTTTATTATCAGAGATCAAACATTCTGACACAGAAACTAATAAAAACGAGAGTTCATTTGCTGCAACTTCTAGTCGTCTCGATGGTGAAGCTTCTCCAATCAGTTTCTCATAAACATCAAGCTTTTTGCCAACTGAAAAATTGAAAGAAAATGTTTGGCGTGCTCCTAAGTACTTTTGTACCCCAGTCAGATAATACCGTGCTCCTCCTCCTGTCGTCTGCTCCTTCTCCTTCTCCTTCTCCACCTCAATCACACAAGACATGTCCGAACCGGCGTCCGATCGGGATCCCTTCTCCTCCTCCTTCTTCTTCTTCTTCTTCATTTTCTTCATCTCCGTCTCATCCTCCTCCTCACCCATTTGATGCAAGTGATCAATCATTTTTCTCTCTTCTGAACTTCTATTCTAGACCGTTCCCTTTTCAAAGGTTACCATTGACATTTCGGGCGGCGCACAGACACCAGCCACCACAAAGCAACGAGAGGAGAAGGAGGAGAATGCAGAAAAAGATCGTGCCGATGCCAGTGTAGTAGTAGTTGTGCACGCGGATCTCGATTTGGCCCAGAGTGCCGGTGGTGACCGTTGGTGTGCTCGACATTTTGAGACAATGATTTTGAAAATGTCCGATACTCGTTTTTCCTGGTTACACGTTGCAATAACATCACGTCAAAATCGACTGGTCTACCCTTTCTGCTCATCCAGTTGGCTTTCTATTCCTTCTGCCGTTCCTCCTAGGATCCATCGCCAACTTCGCCGCTGCCACAACGGAGCCGCATATTGCTACACAATTCAGAAACCCTGAATGCCAAATTCACTTTAAAATTCCCGTTCTTTGTCCCGCTCTTCACGCCTTCTTCATGTGATTCGTTCGCAGCGGGACGCGTCGCACCCACATCATCAAAACAAAATGTTTGTCAGAGACACCAGTTTGTTTATTACTTCTGTTTCCTAGTGAAATCATAAAGCACAATAAAAGATATGTACATGAGACCGTGTTCTTTCTTAATCTCTGTCGTTCCGTTACCACTTTGTCATTCGAACCAGTTTGTTCTTCGGATGATGTCGGATGCCATACTTGCGAATCTCGTTGAAGATCCAAGTCCAGATGCCGACAACCGTCGGGACAAGCCAGCACTGAAAGAGAAATACATTATAGCTGAATATTGTACACTTCACAAAGTAGTGCTTACCTGCCACGGCGGTGGTTGGGAGCCGAAGACGTACTGAACGCCCGGCACAAACGTGAAGAGACAGATGAGAAGGAGGTCGATGATGACTGCGAGAAGCGCGACGATGTTCGCCATTCCGTGCGTGAAGATCGAGACACGACGCGTCAGACACATCCACAAATGCCACGCTTGTCCGACGACGACGGCGATGTGGAAGGCAGCGGCGCCCTGAGCGGCGATGTAGACTTGCTGCTCGGCGGATAACACGATTCCGGTGCCAGTTGTGAAGTTGGTGGCTCCGACTTTGAAGTGCTCGTTGGCAGAGAAGGCGAGCTCCATCGGACGGATGCCGTTCAGGTAGTAGGAGAGAAGATAGGCGACGACGCCGCCGACGGAGATGAAGATGGACATGAATAGGTAGGTGTAGGTGATGAGTCCCTTCGTGACCAGATGCGTTTCCTTCTTGCGTGGCGGTTGGAGCATGATGTCGGCTTCTGGACCTTCGTAGGCCAGAGATACGGCCGGCGGGATGTCAGTGATCAGGTCGATAGAGAGGATTTGGACAGGCGTCAGGCCGAGCGGGAATCCGAAGAAGAAGTTGAGCATGACGGGAACCAGCTCTGGCCACATATGGGTCATGGTGTAGGCGATGGTCTTTCGGAGGTTGTCGAACAGAAGACGTCCCTCCTCGATTCCGGCCACGATCGAGGAGAAGTTGTCGTCCAAAAGGATAATATCAGCTGCCTGCTTGGCCACGTCACTTCCAGCCACACCCATCGCCACGCCGACATCCGCTTTCTTCAGTGCGGGCGCGTCATTAACTCCGTCGCCAGTGACCGTCACACATTCTCCTCTCTTCTGACTTTCCGTCACGATCATCAGTTTGTGTTCAGGAGTCGTTCGAGCGAAAACAATGTAGCGATGCTCGAGGAGGGCGTCCCATTGCTTTTCATTAAGTCCAGGAAGTTCCGGTCCCGTGATCACTGCCCAGTCCTGCGAGTTGGTCCGTCTGATCACCTGACGGTTGTGGTCCAGATTCGTCACGTCTTCCGAGTCGATCATTCCGATCTGGCGGGCGATCGCGGTGGCCGTTGATTTGTGGTCTCCGGTCACCATGTACACCTTGATTCCAGCTTCCTTGCAAGCTTTGATAGCCTTCGGGGTGTCGTCCCTCGGAGGATCCATAATGGCGCTCATGCCGAGAAAGTCCCATCCGTCCATCGGCACGGTGCTCGATTTGATTGAAAATGTGGAGGAGGCGGGAGCACGGAACTTCTTGCACGCGAATCCGATGACACGACATCCCTCATCTCCGAACGTCTCGTAGGCGCCGTTGAAATCGTCCATCCTCTTCTCATTCAACTCCTTCGACTCTCCTTCAATGTTCACTGTGGAGCAATGCTTGATGAGCACCTCCGGCGCCCCCTTGATCATCAGAATGAACTCCACGTCGGCGTTCTTCCGCTTCCGATCCTCCAGCTCGTCCCAAGTGCTCTCGGTGGTCGCCAGGATCAAATGAAACTTTCGCACCGAGTTGAACGGGACTTCGAAGACGATGTGGAAGTTGTCGCGGACCTCTCTGGCGTCCAGCATTCCGGACGCGTATCGGAGAAGTGCCACCTCGGACGGATTTCCCGAGATGAGCATTTCCTTGACTGGCTGTCCGCGGTAGGCGGTCAAATCAAGTTCCGAGTCGCTGAAATCAAGAACCGGCATGTTTTAAGACTTTCCTTCAAAATGATCCGCTTACATTCTTGGCGGACGTATTTTGGTCGTCAGATTGTTTTCGATTCTGGCCTTGTTGCAAACACAGATCACGTTCAGAATGTCGGAGAGCGGAGCGTCGTACCATCCGAGAGTGTTCAGCGCGTCCAGGTTTCGCTTCTTCGTCGTTCTGCCGGTGTTCTCCGGACGAGCGCTGTTGTACGAGTTGTTGTACCACAGATCGGTGACCGTCATGCAGTTCTTCGTGAGAGTTCCCGTCTTGTCCGACGCGATGACGGTCGTCGCTCCGACGCTGTCGATCTTCTCCAACTTTTTCAGAAACACATTCTTCTTCGCCATTCGCCGCGCGATGATCGTCAGTTCGGTGGTGACTGTGGTCGGAAGTCCTTGCGGCACGTTGGCAATGATGACCATCAAGAATCCGGTGACGAAGAGCCGGATGACGTTGTGTCCTCCGTTGACGATGATTCCGATCGTGAAGATGATGGTGGCCATCGTGATCGCCATGACGGTGATGAATTGCACGAATCGCTCAATCTCAGTTTCGAATTTGCACTTGTGATCTTTCTGTCCGAGAGTCAGAGACGCGATTTGTCCGATCACTGTGCGTTCTCCGGTTCTCACCACAATACCGTAGCCCTCTCCGTCGACGCAGAACGATCCGTTGAAGGCGATATTGTACGATTCGAAGATGGATACTTTGGTGTCGGCGGTCTTCGCGTTGAACTCGATCGGTTCGGCTTCTCCGGTGATTGAGCTCGTCTCCAGGAAGAAGTCGGTACACGCGATGATCCTTATGTCAGCCGGTACTTTGCACCCGGACCGCACGACTACAACGTCTCCGACGACAAGCTCTTCAGGGTTCAGAATCACTTCCTTTCCGTCTCGAATCGCCTGACACGATGTGGGCATGAGAGTTTGGAACGCACGCACCACCGCCACTCCCTTCTTCTCCTCGAAAAACGACACGACGCACATGATGAAGACGATGGCGACGATGAAGATTCCGACGTACAGATTGAGAGCATCCGTCGGGTCGTAGATGTAGGTCAAGAAGCAAAGGGCCGCCGCTCCGAACATGAGCACCCACAGAAGATTTTTGAATTGCCGCACGAACAACTCCATGTTGCTGATGGTTTTCGGCGGCGACAAAGCGTTCCGTCCGTCTGTTTTCAACTTTTGAGCCGCGTCCTGTTTGCTCAGCCCCTTCGATTTGTTCGGTTCGACAATATCAATGTGCGAGTGGAAGAACTTTTCGGAGAGCTGGGCGATGTGCATGTGATGCTCCACGAATGAACTGAACGTTTTCATAATGTGAAAAGATGTACAACTTGAGCTTAAACTTACGAAGAGAGATCGCGATGAGCGGCTTCTATGTACTTATCGCCTTCCACATCCGACACTGTGTTGCCACGACGCTGACGAAACATTCGGATGATTCCCATTAAGAATCCTGGAAAAAGGTGGCTTAAAATGATCTGCTCATCACCTGAAATCTAGTGTACACTTACCCATTTTGAATTCGAGTAGGCCAAAAACCTGAAGTCCTTCTCCGTCTTCTTCTCACAAATATATAGTCTTCTAGAGAAGGCAGCATCGCGTCACTTTTAAGGCCCCGCCCCACACGGCGTCTTGGGTTTGTGCACTGTGAAAACAAAGAACCGGTGACGGAATGAACTTGGACGATCACGAACAGGCGGGAGACGAACTTGGCCTCTAACTTGCGAATGAAACGTACATTTTGAGATGAGAGCTTCAATTACAAAGTTATTCAGCATAACATTTGCAACTTGTTTTTAGTTGACAACTTTTTGAAATATAGGACTCCAAAAATAAGGTGAGTTTTCACCTAGACAATGTAATTTTTGATGCTCTGAAAATACGTCTCGAGTAAGAGTAAAATCGAAAAGTGTACAGTAACTAACCGCAACGTACTAATTTTTGTCAATCAATCGAAGAACCAGAAACCAAAAGTGTTACAAATCAGAAAGAAAAATCGAAACCAGATCAGGGCGCACATTGCCAAAATTTGCCCTCAGAATTATATCATATCGTAAACATCATTGTCTCGAAACTCCTTCTGTTTCGATAAACTTTACACACTTTGCATGATCTATCAACTTTTGTCTGAAAGCTAAAAAAGCTATTTCTGTAGCTGGACAAAGTGTTTGATAATCAAAGAAATCAGCTTAGAAAGAGTTAGCCATTTGAGAAAAGAATTAAAAGAACAAGAGGGAAGAGAGATCGACGGAAGGAACGGTTATTCTCCAATACTGTACATTCAAAACGATGTAACTCAGTTGTTTGTAGAGATATCAAAAAGCGGTAAACTAATGAAATATACAGAATGTCTTAACGAGCACTTTAGTAGTTGTCAACTTTTTGATGTCTTTACAGACAGCTGAGATATCTCGTTTTGAATAAACGGTATCTGTGCAACGTCACTTGATTAGAAACATCACCACATTCAAAAATGAGATAGACTCTAGTCCAAACAATCAACTTTTGCAATTCATTTCCAAATAGACATCAAAGTATCGACGTCAGAAGACCAAAATGGAAGGATTCGAGTGCAAACAGTGACACCATCGAACCAAATCTTCATTTTCCAATGCTTCCATCTCATTCGGTTTTTGGTTCCAAGCACTCACTGCTGCACGGCGACAAGAAAAATAGAGAGGGAAGAGACTGATGTCACTTTATTTCATCTCTATTCTTCTTTCTCTCTCTCTCTTCGATACTAAATGATCGCGAAAAGACTAGAGACTCAAACGTGAAGAGATCGAAGCCGTCGGCGATGAAAACGACGTCATCGCGACTGATATCATCCATCCATCGGTGATTAACAAAACATATAAACTTCGAGCGTTTTCCAACCTTTTGTCGCTCGTTAAAACACACTTTTTACGAGGTTTTTACTACTGAAATTGTGGGAAAAACAACCTGGACGTAGATTTCTTAAAGGCACGCATACTTACGTACTCCACGTCCACGGCCTCGCCCTCTCAGAGCGTAAGAAATTCAGTCTGTGAAGCAAAAAAGTTGTATTTTAGAACTCACTATTGAGAAATCTTGACTCCGGGACAGAGTCACTGAAAAACAGAGGAGAGCGAATCGATTATTGAAAAGATTGTCAAAAAGTTCGGTCTGTGACCCAAATAAGTTGTTTTTTTCGTTTACTCCGTCGAGAATCATATTTTTCGCGGGTCGGGAGTCGAAAAAAAACGCCGCGTTGCGTGAAAGAAAGAGGAAAACAACCGAGCCGTGCGGTAGGTCAAACTATGAGTCTCGCTCGAGTCAACCCCCTGGAAAGACAGTCTGGGCAGGAAGAAAAAAAGAGGACCGTTCTCGCGAAGAGTGAGTGTAGAGTCCATTATTGGCAGTCGGATGTGCGGTTCTCGTTGCCGGGCCAGGGACCGTTCAATAATTTCACACCTGCCACAGAGATTGAAAGGTGAAAGGTGACGCGTGTTTCTTTGACACATTGTCACTTGGCGGCGTATTGCTGTCTTTCCCATCGACGTCTCAAAAATAGAGCATTTTCTCCCAAGTGCTCTAGAGTAGAGGACCAAAAAATGCGTCAAAGTCTGGCCAGAATACGTGAAACATTGTAAAAGTACATGTAGTTTTACAAAGCAATAACTCAACTCACTGTCACTTGTCTAATCTGTTGTTTTTCCCTTTTTTCATGAACTCCGCCCTCACACTTGAATTCCTGTTCGGCAGGTCCTTTGTGGTCTGAGGACGTCACAATGTTTTGTAAGACTTTCGGGGGGTGTACACACAGATTCATTCGGTCAAACAGTTCTGGCGGTGGTGACAAATGCTCCTCGGAGATGCCAATGAGCAATTGGAAACTGTGATTGAAACGGTATTCGGACGACAGTTTGCAGTGTTTCCGGGCAGACAAATGACAGGCTTCTAGAGTTCAACGTTCCCGTTTTCCTCAAAGTTCTCAGAAGAACAGTCGTGTATTGCCCTTGTCTGGAGTGCGGTTCCTGCAAAATAATTTCATTTGTTTGTTGTTGAATAATACAGTCAGCTCACTCGAATTTCTCCATGCACCAAATGAGCCGATACCAGTGTACAGTGGGTTATTTTCAGCATCGGATTATCCTCAAAGTCCTTTTTGTGGATTGGACGATCCGCGTCCACGAATTCGCCGACAACAGTCACATCCGACACGGACATTTTGTATTTGGCACAAAACTTTAACTTTAGAAATGAAACGAGCTCGGCGAGGTTGGAAAGCTCTCTTCCGTCCACTTCCATTTGTCCTTTTTCCACTTCTAGCAGACAACTTCGCGGTCTGAAGTTATGGCGATGTATCTCAGTTGCGAGTGGGGATATTGAAAAGTAGTCAACTGATAAAATGTACATAATATGTTAGTGATCAATGTATTAGTTGACAACTTTTTGCATTCTCCACCGGCAGCAGAGATATATCGCCTTAAAAATCATACTTGATTCTTCCTGGATCCGTTTTCGAAACAACGTGTTCTCCTTCTTTTGCTCCAACCAAACTCTTCATTCTCCGTATCATTCGCTGCTCGAAATGTTCACGATACTCTCTCGAAATGCGAGCATTGAATCCACAAAGTATACTGTCGTCGTGAGATTGGATGAAATTGGAAAAATCCTCCTGAAAATCCGTCAATCAAGGCGAAAGTTTGTAAAAGACAACTGACAAAGTTATTCTGATCGTCTCTGATGACACTCCGAAGAAGTGTGTCAGCTGGGATTGAGAGATTTCCCTCGACAATCCACTGAACCATTGCACCTATAATATTCCTTTTGACCAGACAATTGGTCTTCCCGTAGTAGATCGGCTCAATCACATTCGTTCGGACTTTCATCGAATCTTGAACTTCGTTGGGTTGATCGCTCAAATTCCGCAGCTCCTGGTACAGTTTCATCATCGCCAGCAAGTCGGCGTCGTCCACCGGAACTTGAAACTCTTTGTCAAACTTCCGACGCAACTTCATTCCGTAGTGAAGCGCCATCAATCGGATAATCTGGATTCTCTGCGACTCTTCCGATTTGTCCAATGAAGTTCTGATGGATAGGTTGCAGAGAATCCTTCGAATCTGTTGGGCCAGAGAAGAAGAAGCGGAGAAGTAAAAACGACGGAATGAGAGCGATATTATCTCGTCGGAGCACTGCACTTCTTCCGAGTACGCACAAACGATTCGGAATGACGAGTGCACCACTGGAAGTTGCTTCCACTTTTCCACAATTGCCTTGAGCTTGTTCAGTGTCACTTGATCACTCTGATTAATGTTAAGCATCAACCAAATCGGTTCATCCGCCAACTTTTCCAATCTTCTGAAATGCTACATCATCTTATTAGACGTAGGTGGAAAACCAACGTTAACACGTGCTCCAGAATCGAGTACACTTTCCAGTTGGCATTTCTGGTGACCTGTCCGAATTGTAAAAGTGTCGCGTAGGCCTCAGCGTCGTATTTCAGCAGAATCAGTTGTTTTGCCTCGGATTTAGTGACAAATGAGGAGAAGTTTGAAAAACTGTCAAAGCTGACTGGATTCTTCCGAGGCACCTCTATCTTAGCGTCCACATTCGGGCTCAGGTTGCGGAAGAGCAAGTGATGAACGATGAGCTTGTCCTCCCAGCTCAGCAGACTATTCAGAGAGTTCCAGTACAAGTTGGAGATGGTGTAACTGACCTCTTTCATGTTTATGTTTGACACGTTTTCTGTGAGCTTCTGAACAACCGTTACCGTTACCGTTAATTGACTAGTTGATCACTTACAGTTCCCAAAACATCTACAAGCGATTCCAATGAAACCGCATAGAATGGGTCGAGTTGTTGAAGTGAATAGCACATTTTGATAACTTTCAATGAGTAGTCTATAGCCTCGGACATCTTGTTTTCAATGGTACGAAGGGAATGCTCGACCTCGGCCAATTCCTTATTCTTCGCTGTCACAGTAGATTGCAGATTTCGAGCTTCTGCCAGCAAATCGATCGCCCTCTCGTCATCCAAATCCTTCGACCTGCCCAACAAATCGAGCATCTCGTTCTCAGTTTCTGGAACTCTTTTATTCAACCAGACCCCTTTTTTAGTCTAGATCTTACTTTCCATCATCCGAACATAGCTGTCCCGGGACTCTACCAACTCGTTATAATGGCTCAGCGTCTCGAACCAATTGGCGCTTCCCATTTTCTCACAAACTTCATGTCTCAATTCTCGATCACTAAACCGATTGTTTATTGTGATCGAGTGCTTGAGAATTGTCGAGCTCCTGCGTGTTCTGAAGAACACTCGAAAGTTTTTGTTGACTTCATGCACCGTTTTTGCGATTTGCAACACAATCTCGTGCTCTCCTTGCTTGTAATATTCCGCCTCTTCCACTTCTTTTGCCACCTGCTTATTCTCTTCAGAGTACTCGAAAAGGAGCACAGAGTTTGGAGCAAGACACTGCGCTCGTTCGGATTCCGTCCATTCGTTCGCGAGCACAACTTTCGCGAATTGAGCATGTAAGAAGTCGGAGGAGCAGTGGTCATCGTTCACGAAACAAATGGGATTGTCCACGAGCAGCGCCAACGACTTCAAGTCACAAGGGATCGTGATTTCGAGCTTTGGGAACAAGATACGCATCGTTTTTTGCAATTCTTTCTGTAATGAATTCTGTTTACTTTATAAGTTCACCATTGTTTTGATATCGTACCTCTCGTTCATCAATCGGAAGCTTTCCGAATAGGTGTAGCGCGAGAGTGAAGCCGACAGAGTAGGGTACATTGAGTGAGTCCTCGTGTGTGATGTCCGTTATCTTGCTCTTCCACTTGTCCCTCTCTCCTCCCAACGCCTGAACCAACCGCTCGGCCCTCTCCATTCGGACCTCACAACTTGAGATCTGTGATTCCAATTCTTGCTTCTTCTGACACATTTGACTGAACTGATCCGACAGTCCTTGAAGCTTCTCCGTCACTTTCTGAACATGTTTGTAGTACATAGATGTACAGTAGTGTAACATACCAGAAGAGCCTTTCGTTTCACTTCCAACTGCTTCAAATGCTGCTTCACAAGTATCTCGGCCTTCCGTAACCGCTCTCGTTTCGGCTCCACAATCTTACTGATCTGATTGTACATATCAATCGCCAAAACCCATCGGCAGAGCCCTTCGGCAGCCAGCGAGCACTGTTTCACATTCTCCGGGTCGAACTCCTCCTTCGACAAATACTTGTCTCGGATCAATTTCATCGTTTTCCTGCTCATTGTGTCGCGGGCGAAACCTCGAATCTTTGCCAGGAAATGAATATCGGAAAGGAGTTTCTGCCCGGAGACCCAATAATCGCTCACCACTTCGCCGATTTCGTTGATAACTTTGGCCGGCTTCACTCCGAGCAGAATACAAACCGCTTCCATGCAAAGTCGAACGGCGTACGGCGGAAATCGCATTGTTTTCAGGGAGGACACGTCACTTTGAGTCATCGTTTCGAGAGCTTCCACGGCCGACTCCAAAGCAGGAATGGCGGACGCCAGTTCGGCTTCCGACTCGGCCTTGAGCGCCTGAGCCTTCGTCGCCGCCTCGTTCGCCTTGTTCTCGTTCGCGGCGACCACTTCCCTAGCGTTCTCCACGTCTATCGTCTCCTTTTCGATGGTGCTCATGAGCATGCTAGTCTCGATCGACGTCCTGACAAGTTGAGGCTGCAATCGGAGCAGCTCTGCCTGCATCCCGGCCACTTGCTCCTCGGCCCTCTTCATCTTCTCCATTCCCTTCTCGTACTTTGTCATCGTCCCTTTCACCTCTTCCCTCCTCCTGATCGCCAGCTTCATAATAGTCGAAAGTATGTCCATTTTCTCTTTCCTCGTGCTTATCATCTTCATATTCACCATTTCGCCCATCACTTTTATGATCTGATCTGTTTGAAGCTTCGAGAACAGTTGTGAGCTGTGTAGTTCATCGAGCATCTCCCGCTCTTGCTCTTTGCTCGAAGACTCTCCCCACCACACCAGAACGAGCACGGAGAGCAGCATCCGATGACAGTTCATGAGCCACGAAAAGTCGGACGACCGGAGAGCCAACACTATTTTCAGAGGAGCCAATCTCGCCTCCAGCGTCTCCCAAATGCCCTTTCCTTCGATGGTGTGTTTCTCTCCAAACTCGGAGAGCAGTAGTCTGCTCAAATATCGGAGGGGAATCATTTTGTGGCAACAGATACAGGTGACATCCACCAGAATGGCTCCGACGAGTTCATCCTCAGCGGGTCCGATTTCAAGACCGAGGACGGTGTCCCTTCCGTCGATTAGACAGTTCCTGAGCACTCCGTTCATGAGTTCTCTCCACTGCTCAACTCTTTTGATGCCCTGATTCGTGACCAGCGCCTGCTTGTTGAGTTCTGTGGAAATCGTGAGCGCGTTCCTCAACTTTTTGTCGCCACCAACCACGACGATGTGTCCATAGTTGACCTGTGTCACTTTCTCGATCAAATTGAAGATTCTAGAATCAGACGGTGACACGACTATTCGGTCGATTCGAATCCTCTTCTCCCGATCTTCCATCTCTTGAATCGCACTGAAAATTGCTCGCCTATCACTATCAGTTTTTGAAAAGCTTCACTTACTTTTGATAGATGGCACAGAGCTCTGTGGGCTCCACAAACGCATTTCCTCTAACTAGTCTATATTCACTAGCGGTGGTGCTGAGCTCCGAAACTTTTTCATAGAAGGTGAGCAACTTGGCGTCCAGAAGACCGTCGATTAGTTGATTTCGAATAGAATCGCCTACTTCCTTCTGTTTCGTATCTCTCGTCAAACTCTTTAGAATCTGATGATATTTGGCGAGTGGGAAAAGTGTGAGGGAATCGGGAACATTGATAATATCCGTCCAGTTGAGTTGGAATAGAAACTTTTGAATTCTCGAGGGAAATGTTTCGATTGAAGTGGTATTAGACACGATGAAGATCATTTTCTTTAGAAATAAAACATTAGCAGTATGTACTTTCAAGTCGCAAATCTTTCACCATAATGAGTGTCCGCTCGAACTTGTTTCTCAGCCAGTCCAACACCTCGACCGACGCATTCTCAATGCCTTTGATCAAAAAGAAGTTTGCTCCGTCACCATCTGAAACCTCGTGTCCGCCACTGAAAACAGCAAAATCAGACAGACATTTCGAATGCGCGCAAAAACTAACAACATGATTGCACAATTGCCAACAAACGCGTTAATCTCCTCGATAGTGACCATTTTGTCGATGGACATTGTGATCGGATGCCATCCCAGAGCGTCCAGTTCGGTCTGAAGGCGTGCGACGAACTCTTCGAACTCATGGCTCGGCTGACAGATTAGAAGGGGGATGAAGTTGGAGTTTAGGATTAGATTGATGGAATAGATCATGTAAAATTGCTCAGGTGTAATACTCATTTGCTCTTTGTAAGTGTACCATCCCTTCGAGTACGGAACGCTTCTATAGAATTCCGCAAGTTTGGCTTCCTGACTTTTGAAGATACCGCTCATAAGTTGTTGGACTGGCATAACAGTGAGAAGTGACGTGGCAAGGAGGTGATTGAACACTTTATCGCTTTGAGTTGTCACCGATTTCCTGCAAGTTTTTCACTCTGAAATCATTATCATTGCGCCAATCCTTTACTCACTTCAATCCCTCAATCTTCCTCATAACTTCCAATTGCCTGCCCGCAAACTCTGTGAAGTACTTCATAGTCTCAGTCAGCTGGGCTCTTTCAACGGCGTCTAGTGTGGTCTCTTGAGCGAAATCTCCAGAAGTCTCCAGATAAACCATCGGCAGTCTTTTATAAGTTTGATGATCCAGACAATCGGTCTCCACGATAACCCTTTCCGATGGCGCTATAATGGGAAGTTCTCGCCAGGGGAACATTGTATTCGGGTTGGCGATCCTTTCAAACCACTCCAACGTCTTCTGGTCCATGTGCCCATCGATTATTATCCATTTGTTAGGCCGTCTCATACTTTTCAACTGCAAACATTCAAATCAATGTTAGTAGTCAGTGTCTAGACTGGGAAAAGGGTTTTCGAGGCCTAAACTTTTGATTCACTTGTAATTTTCTTGTAGAAACCATGATAAAAACCATTTTGCCGCCTCTGTGCTCACCGTCTCTCCGTACACTTGCATGTCCTCCCACAACCCGAACTCCACTTGCATGTCTGCCGATTTCAGTCTGGCCGCCCTGGCAATGATCCTCGATTTGCCGGTCCCACTGGCTCCGCACACTGCAACCACCTGATGGTCCTGAAGAAGTGCGCACAGCTCTTCGGTTTTCTGTCTGATGAACGGAGGATCATCGTCGTGCGCTCTCGGAGCATCGGAACTCTTCGGCGTTCGTGACAGAGTCAGCGACTTTCGTGACTTGAGGGGAGCGATTTGAAGAAGTTTCTCCAGAAGTCTCTTGTTTTTGTTGCTCATGCAAACGTTCAATTGAGTGAAGAACGTTTGCTCAATGGGTTCATCCGCTTCGATCGCTTCATTCTCAATCACTTTTGCCACTAATGCTTTGGTGTAATTCTTCGAAATGTTCGAGTTGCCAGTATACTTTTCAAGTTCACAAATTATTTGAAATTTTTCAACTTTCTTCTCTCGATGAGTGACACTGTTTAGTGAGAACGCGTCATCGACTGCTCTGCTGTAAGTGGTGGGATCTAGCTGAAGAGCTCTTGCCGTCGAAAATGCTGATGATGTTCTGGAAGATGAAACGTTTCAGTGATATGAAAATTCAACTTACAAAAAGAACATGCAGGACATGTTGATGGTGATCTCGGACTCGAAGTGGTACTTGAGACTTGACAGGTTCTGCAGAGAGTACATATCTCTCTCCGTCTGCTTTCCAATCTCACTTCCTTGCATATAAACGATTCCTCCGAACAGAAGCGCTCCTTCGATGAGCATCTTGCTCTCCAGCTCCTTTTCCGAGTCACAAAAAGCGAAAGGTCTTCCTAATGCTCCGGCGACTTGACGAGCCAACTGAGCATCGATTGTTCCGTGGAAGTTGAGACCAAAGTGATTCATAAATACGAAATACTTGACAGCTTCGTCGATCAATTTGTAGTCGAGCATGTGCTCCAGGTCCTGAATCTCATAGTCGTAGCGGGTGGACACGGTGCCAACGCGGATGAATATGTTCTCCATGTGCCAGTAGTATCGAAGCTGAATCTTTGTTATTATAGGAATTCATTGAAACTAGAACAAACTTGTGAAGTCCAACGATGATCGTCAATAAACACGACTTGCTCATTGATAAACTTGTTTACCAGATGATTGGCGGCCTTATAAATGTGATACAAAGGAGGTAGAAACTCTGCCCGGTCCTTTTTATGAATCACAATGTGCTGACACTCTCGTAGACAAATCTTGAGCTCGCTTGCCAGGACCGTCATCGAACTCTGTCGCAAACTGTTCTCCAACTGCCAACAAAACGCGATTTTGAGGTAGACAAAAGCCACCTGCACGGGCTCGCCGAGCACACTCTCCACCGGACTCAGCTTGTAGTTCATTTTCTCGATGAGCTGCCGGGTACGCGTCCTCAGAGTGGCCTTTATCTGCGCATCCAACTCATGCATCCACTTCTCGACGTGCCTCTTCGACACATTCACATTCACGGGCTTCGCCAGAGGAATAGTCTCCGTTTTAGTCGACACCGACACGATTTCCATTTTGGTGTTCTGGTCGAACGTGGTGAGTGCGGGGAAGAGCAGCGGGATGTACGATTTGCAGTTGGCCGGCTCGCGACTGTCGCAGATCAGAGAGAGGAGGAGCTCGTCGGAGAGGGCGAACAGCCGCGGGAACACTGCTCGTTTCTTGCGGAGATACGCGTGGAACCCGTTCTCCATTCGTCCGAACAAGACCTCGAGCTCCGAGAGATCCATGTTGAGCTGCTGCACCAAATCCATCTGCTCGAGAATCGGACGCTCTTCGGTGATCTGATTGCTGATGTGCACCCAGCGCAACGATATCTTCTTGAAGGTTCTGAACTCGAGAGGCATCTGATAGGCAATGTCTTCCGTCGAGAAGACGCCTTCGATCTTCCGCCATCTCGCGTCACATTGCTTGTACAAATGCACAAATGTGTTGAGGCTGAGAAGAGTGTCGAGCCAGTGACGGATGTGATCGAGGATCGAGAATGCGTGCGGGGATGAGAGGATCGTCTGGCTGCGTGCCAAGTGAGCCTGCATCTGAACGTTCAGCTCGGTCGTCAGAAGCTCTCCGCCGTGGTGAGTGACAAACTTGGCCGACTTCCACTGCTCTCTCATTTTGTCAATCGAAATCTCCAAGATTCTCTCTTTTTCGGCCTGAGCGCCGACTTGCTCGAACTGTTCCGCTTTCTCAATGAAATTCATCTCGAGCAGCTCGCTGACCAGCGGATTCCCTTCCACTTTCAGACTGTGCTCCGTGTCCTGCAAGATCTGCTGCCAGTGCCGATCCTTCATCGCCTGGCACGAGATCGCTCCGAGCACCGGCAGAAGCTTCTCGAACTCGGCGAGCACATGCTGTATCTTGTTCAGGGCTTCTTTGGAAGTTGTGGAGTGCTCGTTCACACTCAGCGCCATCTCCGTCACATTCTCTTTTTCAGATAGAAGACGTTCCGTTTCAGAAACCAACGAGTTATGGTCCACATCGGAGATTCGCACTGAAATGACAAGCGTTATATCAGTTTCCTTGTTTTTTTTTACTCATACTCACTTCTCAAACATGATTCATGATGTAGAAGAGTTTTGAAGTGAAGAGTCGAGAGTCTTGAGAAGAACTGACAAAGTTTGGCGATTCGAACGCAGTCAATTGGGGAGGAAGGCAGTCCGAGCAGGGATCGTTGCCCGATGAGCTGCTCATCTTTCTCCTTGAGCACCGTACTCCTCTCTTCCAAATTGAGCATCTTAATCTGCACCTTCTGCACCTCATTTATCCGCACCGCACTCCGATACTTCTTCAGACAGTCCAACCACTCTTTCTCGATCATCTCGCACTCGTAATAGTTCTTTGACGTCTGCTCGGACACTTGTTTCGTGATCCACTGCCGGTCGTGACTGATGCGGTCCCACACAAAGTTGGCCAGCTGCTCCAGCTTGAAGCCCAGCCTCGATATCTCGTAGTACTGCCTGATGTCGTAGTCGGGCATCGTAAAGTAGTCCATGTACGTCTTGTACGCCTTGCCAACCACTGCAATCTTCTGCTTGATGCTCGGCAGTTCGTTCTGAACGTCTTCAATGTTTCTCAATTGGGTGAGCACGTCGTTCCTGTAGAGTTTGGCCGAGCACGACGTGAACACCGCTCGAATCGCGTTGTTTTTGGCCGACAAATGATTCAGAACAATTCCTTTCACACGTTTCTCCAGCTCCAATATCTTGTCCAACGTCCGTTTTTTGATCTCACTGCTGTCGTAAATTATGAAATCCTTCAAAACGCGCGTTTTCTGTTGGAGCACCTGATCCCGAAGCCGCAATATTTCTTCGGCAATTCGCACACAAAACTCCATGTCGTCTGGCGTCTTCTCAAATGAATCCAGCATTTGCTGAACTCGCACAACCGAGCCGTTGACGACTTCAAACGGCTGCGGAAGTGGTTTGAACACAATGCTCTGCGAGTCGAACCAATTGGTGACGTCGATGTACGCTTCGGCGAACATGCGCGGGTAGATTTTGTGGTCGACGCGTGGAACTGAACAACAGAATTAATACGGTGATGAACAAATGATCTTACTTTTACAAAGATCCAAAAGAATGTTGATCCTTTGCCAGTAGTCGAACTCCTCCTCGCCTTCCTGCAGAATGATGATCAACTTGGCACGATCGTCCACATCGAAAAAGGTCTTGACACGAGTGATGTTCTCCATAACCACGTCGTACAGCAGCCTTGCCATCGTGGCAGCGACCGCATTGAAAACAGTGTGTGACGTGGCAGTGACGAAGAGCGGAATCCAAGAGTTACCCTCGTCTAGCATCAGATTGGCCACCGCCATCGGCCACTCGAACGACAATATCTTTTTGGTGTCCTTCACAAAGTTGTGCAGCTGCTTCTCCAGCTCGGGCACCGTTCTTCCCTTCTCGCTGAGCAGAAAGCTCAGGTCGATCAGACAGCGCTGTCGATAACTTTTGAAGAACATTGTGATAATCTTTGTGTTGAGCCTCAACTGATCACTTATTTTCTCAATGTTCTGCGCGATATTAGCACTCCATGGGGCCTTGACAACGTGTGTGACTCTAAATTTGAACTACTATTGTGTTGCTACAAATCGCGGCTCACCTGGTCTCTTTTCCGTTCAAGTACGCCCACGCCGCTTCTCGTGTCCAGTCCTTCCAAGCCTCTGCAACCTCCTTCAAAGTGACCTCCATGCCTCCAATCTTCAATTTCCTCTCCAGACTCTCCACTTGACCCGCCCACGCTGGAAACGAAGGAAGACACTGCTCATGACACTTGACGGTTCGCTCTTCTCGGCTCTCATTATTCGAACTACACCTTTTTCTCTCACTCGGTCCGACCGGCTTCTTGATCTGTCTCCCATCAATTTGCACTCCTCGAAACAGAACGAGTCGCTCTCGCTTCTTCTTGATCCGTCTTCCCTGATGATTGTGATGCACCAGTTTCCGATTGTTGTACTCCAAATCTCGTGGAATGTCACGGCACGAGAATCCGGCGAGCTTCGGGTGGTACAGGTTTCCGAAACCATCGGCATACATGGGGGGACTGAAAAAGAGATAGACATGCTGGAAACTCGAATGCGGTACCTACTAGGTACTACCTAGTAAGAGAATAAGAAGAAATGCGAGGTAGGTGAGAATTAGAAGCACTTGTGACTTGGTGCGAACTTTCCGAAACCTTAAGAATGCTCAGTGAGCCGTGATTTAATGCACGCCCCCTCTCAATTCAATTATTTGTCCGTCTGTGTATGTTTCTGAATCCGTTTCCTCGAACAGACATACGAATCACGCGGAGATGTTACGGATAGCACGGTATGAAAAGATGAATCGGGCGAACAAAAAACGGATGGAGTGAATTAGGAATTGGAATTGGAACGTGGGAAATGTTGAATGAAGCTTTACCACTTTCAGGAAAAAGTAATTTCAGTGAACTTTAGAGCATGAGAAGCATGACTGTTCCTAGTTGTATTCGTAAACTCGTAAAGTAATTCAGGAGGAATCATGACAATCAAGTACAAGAGACACCCCCACCCAATCGGCTTTTCCATCTCCGATCCACTTCCCCATCTCGACTCGGATTCGTGTCCATTCGACAAAGGATCATCTTCTGAAACCATGACTGTTCCGCTTCAAAATCGACTGCTCAAAGCTCTTCTTGTGATCGTCTTTGTGAGCTGTGGCCTTCTGCTCGGGACCACGTACCGAGTACAGAGTATTGATGATTCGCTTGCTCAAGGTCAGACAAAGACCCTCTTTAACTTGAGTGTTGATGCCAACGATCGTAAGTTCCTCCCTTTAGCGCATAGTTTAGCACAATGAGCACTGAGTTTACAGCAACGTTGACATACATCGCAGTCGGCGGTGGAATAGTTCAAATGTCAAAGTTTCACAAGGAAAACTTTACATATGTGGAGCATGAGGACCCAAAGTTTTTGATGAAATCGTGTGTTCAGGCGAGCTTCAATCTTTAATAACAGTTTCAGATTCACATGTAAAGTTGAAGAATGGAACAAAGTTCACACAGATCGATTACCGAACGCCGAAGAGCACGCAGAGTGGATGAGAAGGAATATTAGCAGAAAGGTATGTGTTTGAAAGTCTATATCTCGAGAACTATTCATTTTTTGAAAAAGATAGTGTTTCTTCTAAACAGTACTTTTAGTGTCAGTTCTGAAACATTTTCACCTAGTTACAATCTTTTACGATCCAGAATTCGTCCTAAAGTAACGACGAATAGTACCTCCAAAGAACGTTTCCTTTTCAGAATTACCTGTATCACACATCTCCAAGTCCGTTTGCCGCCTTCGTCCACGATGAACATATCACGGTTACGCTGAGCGCCGAAAATATGTTTGGGTGAGTACCATTTACAGTTATCGCTAAAAAAAGAAGTTATTTATCTCACAGAAAGACGGTCTTCTGCCGGTACTACGACTGCAACCGCCGGGAACTGCCCGAGGTGTTCCAGTCGCGAGTGTTCCCCGAGTCGACAGTCTATTGCGGGCGACGAATCGGAGCAAAGTTCGTCTCGATCACGCAGGGGGTTGATGACGTGGCAGAGCCGCCGGTGCCACTTCACAGTCGAATCACTCATGGCGGACCGCAGCACTATTTCACAGTTTGTATGGCGACGCTCTACGGGGAGGAGCCGAAGTTTGTGCAAATTGTGGACTTTATCGAGCATCACAAACTGCAAGGCGCCACCTTCTTCCACATTTACCTGCGAAACGTGTCGGCTTACGATCGGATGCTCCTGGATGACTACGTGCGAACCGGTGAAATCGAGTTGATCGTGCTGAATGACAAGTACTGGAGGGCCGATTTCATGTGGCACATGATGCAGATCAATGTCAGCTTGATGTCTTCCGGAACTCCACAAAAACTGGATCTTTTAGGATTGTCACATGAGAAATGTCAACTTTGCAAAGTGGACCGCACTTCTCGACAGTGACGAGCGGTTGGAAATGAGGATGGACAATTGGAGAGTGGTGGACTATCTTGAGTAAGTACATACCTTTCTAAAGCAAGACGGTCCCTATCAGTTTTTCAGCACAATCACCAATCCGAACGTGAACAACCTGCAGTTCAGTGTTCAGTGGGTTCTCAAGGATGAGGGCTCGCCCGCCAGATTCGAGAATGACTCGCAATTTGTGCAAAATCTCGTGTTCCAACGCTTCCATAATACGTCGAGGATTGCCAACTATTGGGTGCAGCCGAAAAGTGTCATTCGTCCGGAGAGGGTAGGGATATCGAAAAGTTGTCAACTGATGAGTTGCTCAAAAAGACATTGTGTACACTTTCTCAGTTGACAACTTTTCTATAACTCCACTGACAGCAGAGATGCACTGCTTTGAATAGACACTACGTATTAGTGTGTCCTCTCTTTTCCAGATCGCCGCAATGACAATCCACGCGCCGTTGGCAGTATACAAAGGATTCATCAAAACGTTTGTGAACAGCACAATCGGAGTCATCCGGCACTACCGAAACATCGAGGGAGGCGCTCTGATCAACAATAATCATCGGGCGTTCGAGATGGGACCGTACAACACGACACATCTGGAGCCGGACTTTGAGAAGAAGTTAACTGACGCGGTGAGCTCTCGAGTACCATTTCAGCCCTAATTTATACATGATTCACTTTCAGTGTTTACGGCGAGTGAAACAAGTGTACGATACGGTCTCTTATTCTTGTGACATGATACAGGAAATGTACCATATTCACGGACTGACCCATGCGTGTTATATCCAACAATTACGGGAGAAAAAGCGGAAGAGGAAGACTCTCATCTAGTTTTGCTATTTTGACTCTGGATCGTGCTAGATTCCAGTCCCTCCGGATGGATCACAATCTGTTTCCGCAGATCGACGATTCTTATCTTTATTTCGGTTCCCCTCTTCTCATTCATTTTTAAAGGTGAAGTTCGGCGCCCTTCTCTATTTGTCCACGATTTGTACGGGTTTCATTTTTCAAACCAATAAACTATTTCCATTATCGATGATGCTCGCTGCCAAGTCTCGGATTCTCAGAAATCGTGAGACAATTCGCGTCGTTTTCGTCGCCTCCACTCTTCTCTTCCTCCTCGCGTTTGTCTGTTTCGCCACGTCTTCATGTAAGTTAACCTGGATGAATTAGTGTAACTTTCATTCTACCGTAACCTTTCACAGCACCATTTGCCACGTCTACAACAAGACTGAAACGGGATATCGTGCCGTCCGTTTCGGAAGACAAAAACGAGAAGGAAAGATCGTGAGTATAGAAATCGGTTTTTCCGCCGAGAATCATTTTTCGATTCGCAGATCCGATTGTCCGATAGAAGCCTGGAATAGAGTGGAAACGAACGAGATTCCGCATGCTGATTATGGGCCAAAATGGACTGAAAGTAAAGCGGTAAGACTTAGAGTTTTGGCGAATTCGGCTAAATGATTCTACCTACTTGATATCATTCTTCATTGAATAGACGGTTTTCCAGTCCTACTTCCACCCGGCCCTCCTCGGAGCATTCCTCTTCGACCGATACATTCTGATGATCACCAACACGAAGGGAATGGCGGGACGTCCCGTCTTCTGCCGGTACTTTGATTGTCTCCGGCGCGAGATTCCGAACCAGTTCGAGTCGAAAATCTATCCGGAATCGGTGGTTTATTGCCCGCGTCGCGTCGGCGCCCTCTTCGTCTCGGTCAGTGGGAACGTCTCCGAACGGCCCGACTACCCGATAGCCATTGAGGACAGGTTCAAGAAGACGAGTACGTCTCACTTTCCAAACTGGATTCGATGAATCTCTATTTGCATTCAGGTTCTTCCGGTCCCACGAGCACAACTACTGTGGAGGCACAAATCGGCGCTTCGAAATGATATTATTCATTCGACAATTTGTACATAAACACTACACGTAATGAATTTGAATTTGAGCACCAGAAAGCAAAGTAATGATTCCTACAACTCGATAGATTTCCTCACAATTGCCTCCAACTTCTTCCGGTCCAGTTGAAAGTCGGTGGACAAGGCGACGAATCCGTCGTAGTTTCGTATTTTCGGATTCACAAACTTGATCGTGTCCTGCATCGGAAATCGGGCGGCCTTCTCAACGGCCGCACTCAGACGCGGAGCGATGAACGTCTTCGAGAGCGGCGAAAGACGGGCCACCGACTCTTCGTCGATGCCACGAACTGCCGAACGATGCAATCGGACGATGAATCTGAACAAACGATCCTCTTGGTTTTCGAAGATTCACTAGATGCGGCACACCTGTTCAGATTGAGACGCGCGTTCAGCGATTCGCTCGTCGGCGAGAACGTGATGTCCGCCTGGCCGTTTATGGAGAAGACAAGGATCTGCGAGCGGTTTTTCGAGTCCACGTCGTCTTCCGGAGTCGCGTACGTCAGAATACGGTCTGATGGAAAGGGGAATGCGTGGGCGGAAGGGTAAGAAAGTGGCTTACTTTTCATCTCAACTCCCATTCCGTCACGATTGAAGGAGACGTACGGAAGGCCGTGAGGAATGATCACAAATGAGGTTGTCGAGTTGGGGTAGGACTGAAACCTATGAATTGTATCTAATGTTCAATCAAAATTCACCTTGGCAATCTGCGGAATGAGATACCCAACACAAACGAACGTCGGATGCCTCTTCGACGGACACTGAGTCGCCACGAAGCTCTTCATTTCCTTCGGCAAGTTGCTCTCATCGATTCTCAGCGCCAATCGATTGTCCTGATACGCATTGTAGAGCATGCTGTTCAACAAGTGATCCGACACGTAAAAATGAGCCATATGATCGGAAAGGGGCTCCGGGAAAGACTCCTCCATGCGTCGGGGGAAGAAAGGAATCGGCTCGAAGCGGGACGAGGCGAAGTGGATCTCTCCTGCAGCCGACAAGGATTGAAACTTCTGTTGGGATTCCGGCTAACTCACCGCACCTTGGTGATTCGTTTCAATGTAATCCATCGTGATTAATGGCTGCGTTATCATCCGGTTGTCCACGTACATTCCTTTGGCCAAATGAGAAATGAACCTGGCAACGGACGATCGGTTCGGTTTTACTAATCGAATGCAAAAGTACTCACGCATTCATGACGTCTCTATCCAGTTTGTCCATCTTTGGGAAATAGCTTTCCAAATCGATTTTGGTTATGTAATCAAACAGTTTCGAGATGTTCTTCTCGATGAGCTTCTGAAGACGGCTGCAGAACATTTCCGGAATTCTCTGACGCACCGAGTCGTTTATCATTGGCTGCAATTCGTGTGTCAAACTTTGATAGTGTCTAGAAGAATCTTCATACTTTCTTTTTGTTGTTGACCACTCCAAATACTACTGTAGCTAATGGAAGTTACAGGCTTGAGAGCGAACGTACAAACAAGTGGCCAACTACAAAAACAATGTATTAGGTATGAAGATTTTGTAAGACAATTCTGACTTTGTTGAACATTCTCAGTTTCGCCCACCTCAAAAGTCTTCACAAATATGCTCATGGGACCTGTCGGATTGAGAGTAATTTTGCTATTTGATATCAGCGCCGAGCAATTCCTAACGACCGCATTCATTTTCCCGTTCACATCCGTCAACATTTCGGTCGTCAACGCGACGGTCATTCCGTTAATCTGTCCCTCGAGACTGCCCTCCACGACGATCGGCAGCGCGTTCGCTTTGAACTCGGAGCCCAGTCCGATGTCCAGATTCTCCAGGCCCAGAATGACGTGACGTGGCGGCAGAAAGTTGAGGACCGACACCTGCAATCACTTTTCTCTCATCCTTATCACTTTTTACGTTTTGTTATGCAAGCGACATGAAGACCGGTTCCAGCAAAAAAAAAATGCGCGACAAACCTCTGGAGCGCGATAGTTTTTCACATGCATCTTCTGCAAGTTGACAATTCCATTGATGCCGATTTGGGAGAATGGCATCGAGGTGGTGTAGTCCTGAAATGGAACTCTACAATAGTCGGGAAGGTGTTCGGAACTCCTTTACTTTAAGTTGCGAAATGTAGTCGTTGAATATCTGCACACCCACTGTTTTAATATGATTCGCACCTTTTTTGGTCAACCGAATTCTGACACCAGGATTTCCTGAAACCGATATTGTATGAGAATCGCTCGTGTTTTCCGCTCACCTGGATACCGAAACCATTGCTTCTGCACGTTTAGCTGACGGATCGAGTGCGCAAAGTGAGCGAGAAGGATCACATACCACACAAGTTGCATTACAAGAACAACAAACGGAACAATTTGGGTCAGTGGGGAAAAGAAGAAGAAGAAGAAGAAGGAGAAGAAGCTGTGGAGAGAGAGAGAGAGGGAGGGAGAAAGAGAGAGAGAGAGAGATCTTTCTTGCCTGCGTCTTATCTCGGCGGCGACTCATCAACTCGTTTGTTCTGGAGGCAAATACCTGATCCTCAAGTGATGGAGAGGTGATTTTGAAGCGAAACGAAATGGCAGACGTGTTATAATTGATGTCGTCAGAGTATAGTTGTTACAATGAAACGGATGATAGCAGCTTGGATACCATCAAACTTCGGAACGGTGCAGCATAGTCCGACGGCGAACTTTCGCGCTAAAAAATGCTGTACGAAATCTTCCCATTTAGTACTTTACTTTTGTACTTGACTCATTTTCTTTCATGTATAATTACCACGTGCGCAACGACAAACGAAACATATACTTGGAAAAGAAGAAGGAGCGATTTATAGATTAGATATTCCAATCGGACTCTAGACTAGAACTCTAACCGTGCTGAACTGAAAGTTGTTTTCTTTCATGAAGGTGTAAAACTAGCCGAACAGTACTGTCTCTCCTTCTTCCCTTCCACTCGGATATCCAGAATTCTCTGCTCTCGAGCCCCATGTGTTGTAAATATTGCCGTTTTCTTTGAAAAGTGAAGGTTTTCATCAATTCCTCCACAAAAGCGGCTAGAAAGGCGGGGCACCGGGAATTCGGGTGATGACTAAGAAAGAGTGGGGAAGGAACTCGCAGTTTATGGGAAAACAGTAAATGAAATGTGAATTGCCGCTGTTTTGGCGCCACCCTTTCCAAAAACAGTTGTGATTGACAAAAGTTCACACTCGATGTATACAAAACTTTCAACAAAATAGCTCCACATGAAAACGTACTTGTGTCCCTGCTCAAAACCTCAAAAGACACTCACTTTTTGCCAATCACATGCGCCGATTAGCCTTATCAAATGTGTTTTCAAGTTTTATAAGTGAGGCGGAGTTCGTCACTTGATAAGAGGATGTGAAAGTGATCGTTCTGCATTCCAACCTGAAAATGTTTTTCATTTTACTCCTCACAACCGCTCTCGCCATTGCCCTGGTTTATCAGTGGAGGGCTCGACAAAGTCTTCCGAAAGGTTAGTCCCTTTTTTGAGGAATCGATAATATTCGCAACGTTACCAGGACCGGTTCCCCTTCCAATCATCGGAAACCTCCATCAACTCTCCTACTACACATGGAAGCTTGGAGGCGTTGTTCCGGCCTATCATCAGTTTGAAGAGCAGTTCGGAAAAGTGTTCGCCCTTTGGATCGGTCCCCTTCCGACCGTATACATTTCGGACTATGACGTCGCCTACGAGACTCACGTCAAGCGGGCGAACGTGTTCGGAGCACGATTCGCAGTCGGAGCACTCAATTATATCCGAGAGGGACGAGGGATCATCGCGTCGAACGGCGAGTTCTGGCAGGAGCACCGACGATTCGCACTGCAAACGCTCAGAAACTTTGGGCTCGGCAGAAATCTGATGGAGGAGAAGATAATGGAAGAGTACAAGTACAGGTTCTCCGACTTCTCGCAGTCCAACAACAACAAGGGACCGATCGAAGTGAGCTCTTCGATGTTCTTCGACCTGCTCATCGGAAGCATCATCAATCAGCTGCTGATCAGCGAACGCTTCGAGCAGAACGATCCGGAATTCGAAAAACTGAAAGAGAGCCTGGCGGTGGGACTCGAAAAGTTTGGGGTTCTGGACACATTTCTGCCGGATTGGGTGATGAATGCCTGGTGGATGAGGTGGCGGATGGACGATATTCTCGAGCCGTTTCGATGGATTCACCAACTCTCGCAGCGGAACATTCAGAAAAGATTGGCTCAAATTGCGAGCGGAGAGCATGTGATCGACGGAGACGGCAATGATTTCATGGACGCCTATCTGAACAAGATTGAGAAGGATTCACGCGAAGGGACAAAGTCGACTTTCAAGTGGGATTACTCTCATGTTGAATTCAAAGTTGTATTTTCAGCATTGAAAATCTGGCGATAGACCTGTACGACCTGTGGATCGCCGGCCAGGAGACCACCTCGACGACCCTTTCCTGGGCGTGCGCCTGTCTTCTCAACCATCCAGAAGTCGTCGCGAAGGTCAGAGAGGAACTTGTTCATCTGACCGGAGGCCACAGATCAGTTTCATTAACCGATAAAACCAAGACCCCCTACCTGAATGCTACTGTCAATGTAACAATGAGTTGGTTAGTAATTGAGATTGACATGCGGTCTTCAGGAAGTCCAAAGAATCGCCTCTATCCTAAACGTCAACATCTTCCGTCAAGTGACCGAGAACACGGAAGTCGACGGGCAGCCGATATCCGCTGGGACCGCAATCACCACCCACTTGGCTCTCATTCATACCGACGAGAAGTTGTTCGAGAATCACACTGAATTCCGGCCGCAACGATTCCTGGAGAATGAGGGTCTTGACAAGAAGTTGATTCCGTTCGGCATCGGAAAACGGTCCTGTCTTGGAGAGTCTCTCGCGAGAGCAGAGCTATACTTGGTACACCTTGATCCTTTTGAACACACCACCAAATGGATGTTACAGATTCTGGCCAACATGATCCTGGAGTACGATCTCGAGGCCGTCGGGGAAATGCCTTCGATCAAGACGACGTCGCCGTGCGGTCTCATGAAACGACCGCCCGTCTACAGCCTCCGATTTGTTCCCGTTCATCACTCGTGAGACACAAGAACTTCCTCTTTTTGTCTGTGATGTATGGTTAAGATTGTCATGCGCATAAAACTCAGTTTACTCAAAAAATCTGAAATTCTCAACTGTTAAGGATATACAAAGATTCTCAAAGTCTCTCCGTTTTGACCTACCAAACGTGCCTCTCTCTCTCTCTCTTTCTCTGCGTCTCTCGGAGGGGCCTCACTCGCTCATTTTCAGGTATCACTCAAGGATATGTCGCTGTGTATCGATTCGAATGGATGGCCGGCGCAACGACGAGAAGATCGGAGACTCGGCGGAAGCCAAGTCAGGTACATAGTTCAACTAGTTCTCGACCACATTGCGTGGTTTCAAGTTCCGTACTTAATTGCACATGAAACAACACTCCATTTGCTGGCTCACAGCGCGAGGCGACCTAACGCTCGGAAGCGGCTTGGATCATTGATGATGGTAAAGCCGCTTCGGAGCATTAGCTCGCTCTGCGAACCGGGCTTCAATACGTTTCAATAAGTCCTGTTAAACAATATAATTCATTTTGCAATAATACTCAACACATTATCAATGAATCCGCCCGAATTTCGAAGCCCCAAGCTTTTTCGGTTCGCAAGAATGTAAGAGCAATTGATGGTGATTGGAAGGACGATGAAATCGACGATCGTGTGGCCGAACGTACCGAAAATCGACCGTTTTGGGTCACTGGAACCGCCGTAGTTCAACAGATTCGTGGAGAGGATGGCTAGTGAAATCTGAAAATGATGATGGAGCTTGTATCTCACTTCATTGCCTTGCGCGCTTCAGACTCTGAAGGTGTGCGTGGTGTAGTGGTAACATTTTGGATTTTTAATCAAACACGGGTTCGAAACCGACTGCGGCAAATTTCTTTTGCATTCGATAAACTCACTGATTTTGACACGAATAGCACGCATGTCTGATAGAAAAAATACTTGGTCACCGTGGACTCCAATGGTTTTGGCAATTGATGTTTGGCAAGGAATGTCATGTAGAAATAGATGAGAATACTGGTGGACACTAGGAAATAGGGATAGAAGAAGACAATTTTGAGTTCTGAGAGAGTGCATGTCGTTGCATGGCTCATAGAGTGTTTGAGAATGCACACAGCTGCAATCATTCCCACAATTTGTTTGAAAATAGAAAATTAAGCTAACCCGGAACTATGCATTTCATAACGATCGACGAAATGGCGATGGCAAAAACCATGAAAGTGACGAAACGTTTTTTGAATGAAACCAATCTTTGAAACTGCGGAAATCGGAGTAAAATGAGCCGTTGGATGGAAATCAGGAAGGCGAGCACCGCGAAAATGTCCGGAAAACTACAGAATTTCAGAATGAGCACGGTCTCGAGGAGCACAGCTGTGAGCATGAGAAGAACGTTGAAAAGGTTATTGTTCCATTTCAGATTGCTGAAAACTGAAATGTTAGTGATTCTCAATAAACGAAACACTTACACAGTAGGAATAAAGAAGAAGAAAAGTAAAAGAAGAAGACATTCGAAAGTGTAAGTGACGCCGAAATACTTGGTCAATTTGTGACACCAAAGAAGTATTGGGTAGGATATTGTCTGCAAGACTTTTTTTTCATTGAAAAGCGAACACACTAGAGTGCTGTTTCGTAAAGTTGCAAAAAATCTAGGTGTCTCCGTCTCGCCGAGTCTACCTGGCAAATCAAGTTTACCTTCGAATCTCGCTCCTGATTATGTTTCCAAACAGGAAAATAGACTAGATAGGTGAGTAAACAAATGAAGAAATAGAAAAAACCAAAAAGACTCGTCCAGTCCATCTTCAAATCTTTCGGATATACAATGTTGCTCAAATATGCTGCAGAGCTGTTAGACATTTCAACTGGCGGCAATGTTTCGACGAAAAGTGTCTAGATGAGAGTGAAGTTCACCTGCTCACATGTTTTCAGTTTTTCAACCGAATGAACTTCAGCTTCACCGATTTGTCGGGCATTTTTCCAGAACTATACGGTAGCAGATCGGCTGTGGATGGGAGCGCACCGTGCGGTTGGATCTCGTAGCGGAGGAGAAGGTTTCCGATTATCTGAAGTTAGTCGTAGATTCATGAAAATCAGATTAGATACCAAGTAAAGTTCAGCTCTCGCAATATTCTCTCCGATACACGATCATTTTCCGATGCCAAGCGGTAGAACTTGTTGCGAAAGTTTCGCGTTCTCTATGAATCGTTCCGGATAAAAGTGCGCGGGGCTCTTGAAGACATTGTCGTTGACTTGTAGTGCACCGATTTGAGCAGTTATCACTGCTCCCGAATCAATGTGATATCCGTTGACTATAATTGGTTGTTGAACGATTTTCCAGAAGTTCACGTTCAGAATAGAGGCGCATCTTTGGATTTCTGCTATTGTCGCGTTCAAGTAATGGGTTTCAGCGCGGTCCTGTAGGGTCAAACGTCGAGATCCGTTGTCCGTAACTCTCAAGACCTCTTCTCGAACTTTCTGGATGACACGTGGATGGTTGACCAAATAGTTGAAGCCGTCCACGAGTGTAGTGGAAGTAGTGTCCTGTCCGGCAAACCACAAGTCGTTGATTACATGCTTCAGGGATTCCAATCTGAATAATTTCTTTCTATACAGTCTGTTTCACGGGTCCCTTACGTATAAGCGGGATGTCCTCCACCTCCATTTCTGTCTTCTTGATCCATTTTTGCGAAGAAAAAGTCGACAAAGTCCTGCGGATCCTCGGAATCCACAACATACTCCCCAGCCTTCACATCCGCCCATCTTTGCACGGCTTCTCGCGAGGAAAACTCCAGAACGTTCCGTAAAGATGTCATGTTTCCTTCGTAGCGCTTAGGAAAGAAGTGCTTGAGCAGCCAGACCGGAGCCGTCATATCGAACATTGTAAAGTATTCGGCCGACTTCTCCATGAGCTCCCGAAGCTTCAGGAACTCGTCCTTGTTGTGCTCGTCGAATCGTTTCCCGACCAACAATCGGTTGATGGCACTTCCGACGGTCAGATCGAAGAATTCCGAAGTATGCACGATGGTTGTACCTTCCGCATCCAACTCCGCACATCTGGCGTCCAACTCGGCCAGGATTATCTCGCCCAATCGATCCTTTCCCACTCCCATCTTTCGAAACGCTGTCAGAGTGAACTTACGAAGTTCCGGACGGATTTCCCCGTTTGAGAAGAGGATTCCGAGGCCTTCTGTGATTAAATTATAAAAACGACACGGTTAGGACAAGTTAACGTACCACTAACATGATCATAAAGCGGTGGAAGAACTCGTTCTTTGAAGTTGTTCCCATTCTTCACAAAAACATCGTAGCAAGTCTCATAGTTGGTGATGCTCACATGAGGAGTCGGTCCTAGCCAGAGGGTGAATACATTTCCATACTTCTGAAATCTGATTCTGTGCATAGATTACAAAACAGCACTCAAACCTTTCGAAAGTAACTAAACGCGGGTACAATTCCTTTCTCCCGCCAAACGTATGTAGTACACAAACTGGGGAATGTTTCCAACGACTGGTAATGGAATGGGTCCAGGCGGAAGTCTTTTCACTCTCTGGTACTGTTTGATAAGTAATACAAGTAGAGAGACTAGAAGAACAGGCAGAAGAAACATTTTTAGAGCAAACAATGATTTGGTCTGACCAAAAACTTGCGACATGTCAATGATAACAATAGTTGGTTGACTCAGCGGCGGAAGGAGAACACTCTCTGCGTCTCGTCACGAGAAGGTCTCTAAATTGCGGACAAAAAGCGCTCCTTGTTCGAAGAATTTTAAGTTCAATTTTGATATTGTATGTCAAAGTTTAGCAAGAATCACAGAGTCAAAACTGTCAAAAAGTTGTGAGAAATCTTGACGTCTAGTGCTTCAACCTAGGATTGTGGTTCAAAACGCATGAGAAAGCTTCAGAAAACGTTTTCTCAAAGCGTGGAAAGAGTATTTTTCACCTGTTCTTTTAGCTTTTTACTTCTCTAGTCGGACTTTCATTCGATTCGGCAACTCATGACAATGACGTGTACATTCGAGAACTCTTACTTTGAATCCGAGGCTTTTCTGCGGACCACACTCCATTTTATGACTGTCTTCGAGGTTCCACTCAACATTTTCGGTGCCTACCTCATCATTCGCAAGTCTCCAAAGTCAATGTCCTCGGCCAGAGGGGTCATTCTCCTATTGCACACTGCTTCCGCTATTATGGACTTCTTCGTCACTTTCCTCATCATTCCCTACGAGTTCTCTCCGTATCCATTTGTTTATCCAGTCGGATTTCTGTCATTTCGGGGCGTCAGTTCGCCGGTTCAAGTCTACATTGCATCTAATGTTATGGCTGGTGAGGAGTCGTTAGATCTGAAAAAGTGTATTCTAGTTTTCAGCGGTTGCCATCTCACTTGTGGTCTTCTTTGAAAACCGTTATAATGCGGTCGTCATTGGGAAAAACGGTGGAGGCACTCGTCGGAATGCGAAAAGATATGCGCTTTTTGTGCTCGACATGGGGATGTGTGCTGTGTTGGCCGTTCAGATTTTCTGGCAGTTGCCTGATTCGAAGACCGCCAGGGAACACTTTTTGGAGGTGAGTTTTCTGATATCTAATGACCATACGTTGATACTTTCAGAAGCACTCATGTGTCCCATTGGCTCTTCTGGACAATCCCAACTTCATCGACATCAACGCCGGCTCCGTTGCAATGCCGATTTACCTGGCCATCGTACTCGTCTTCATATTTTCTCAAAGTTCATTCTTCGTGCTCTACACCTTCTACCATCTCTTCTTCTCCACTAAAATCGTCTCAAGATCCACTCAGCAGCTGCAACGGAAGTTCTTCATCGCTTTGCTGATGCAAGCGTTCATTCCATTGATAGTTTTAGCCGGGCCTATTGCGTACGGATACATTTCATGGTACATTTGGTATTACAATCAAAGTGAGCTCTTTCATTTCAATTGTTTGAACGATAGATCAAGTTCAGAGTACAACAACTTCAAAATAATTGCTATCGGATTCAACGGCTTCCTCACCACCATCACCATGATTCTTGTTCATTCGCCCTATCGCAATGCTGTAAAAGAAATAATTCCGGGTATTGTGAAGAAGTGGAAGGCGACTGTTGCTCATGCTCCGTCCGGTGGAAGCCATTCTCCAGAGCCATCTCGTAACATTTCTTGATTTTGAGTACAAATATTCAATCCTTCAGTAAAGTGTTCATCCGTAAAAACAACTTTATTCATTCGGCATTCTCGAATGTACATGTCATTTATGAAAGCTAAAATGAAAAAGAAAACGAACGAATTATTGATTGAGAGCGGACACTTTCTAGTCTAGATTCAGAAGCTGAAAAGTCTAGTTTGAAGCAGAAATAAACTACAAATGGGACAGTTTTATGAATTCCAGTTTCACAGATTTGTCCGGCATTCTTCCGATGCTGTAGGGCAGAAGATCGGCAGTGGAGGGAAGTGGCCCGTGCGGTTTGACGTCGTAGCGAAGGATCAGATTGCCGACAAGCTGAAGTCATATTGCTTGGGATGTTTAAAAGCGATACAAGACTTACCAGATATAGTTCGGATCTTGCAATGTTCTCCCCCACACACGATCGTTTTCCGATGCCGAACGGAATGATTTGAGTGAGAAGCTTCTCGTTCTCAATGAATCTTTCCGGGTAGAACTTCTGCGGCCTCTTGAACATGTCTTCGTTCACGTGAAGAGCACCAAGTTGAGCACTTATTAGTGCTCCTGAATCCACTGGATATCCCTGACAGTGGTTGGCTCATGGTTGATGCGCCAGAAGTTCACATTGAGAATGGAAGAGTGCCTTTGAATTTCTGCCAGTGTCGCATTCAAATAGTGAGTTTCAGCGCGGTCCTGTAGCGTCAAAGGACGGGATCCGTTGTCCGTAACTCTCAAGACCTCTTCTCGAACTTTCCGAATGACATGCGGATTGTTCACCAGTTGATTGAAGCCATTCACAAGAGTAGTGGAGGTAGTGTCCTGTCCGGCCAGCCAAAGATCAGCCAGTACATGTTTCAACGAGTTGAGAGTGTACGCAGGATGTCCCCCTTTCTCATCTTCCACTTGTTTCCTGGCGATGAAAAAGTCCACCAAATCGTGCGGATCTTCCGGATCCACACTGTACCGCCCTGCCTCCACATCTTCGAACCTCTGCACAGTCTCGCGGGACACGTAGCCAAGGACATCTTGCTGAACCTTCACGCCCAGTTCGTATCTTTTCGAGAAGAATCGCTTCAAGAACCACACCGGAACTGTCATATCAAACATCGTGAACTCTTCTTCGCCCTTCTGCATAAACGAGGGAGGCATCGAAGTGAAACATCTGGAAGATCCGAGGATTACGAATGACCGGGATTGCTGCCTGGATTCTCCGTTGAATGTGACCACGACAGTCAACCCACTTCCAGTCATTCTGTACACTGCCGCGACGACAGTCACTTACGAGTTCACCTTCCGATATCTCTAACTTTTCCCTTTCTCTTGTGTATGATCTCAAAATGAACGAGTACACTTTCCTATTGAATTGAGCAGTTTATTTCGTTGCTCATAAAGAACCCATAATCAGAGACAAAGAAGGACGAGACAAAGGATTGGAAGAGAAATGAACGGAAGGAGCATCGGGGAAGAGGAAGAGGCATGAACCCTTGACGGTTAAGGGTACGCGGCAATTTTTAAAAATTGGCATGAACCCTTGAATTTTTAGAAATTGCCGCGTACCCTTAACCGTCAAGGGTTCATGCCAATTTTTAAAAATTGCCGCGTACCCATAACCGTCAAGGGTTCATGCCAATTTTTAGAAATTGCCGCGTACCCTTAACCGTCAAGGGTTCATGCCAATTTTTAAAAATTGCCGCGTACCCATAACCGTCAAGGGTTCATGCCAATTTTTAGAAATTGCCGCGTACCCTTAACCGTCAAGGGTTCATGCCAATTTTTAAAAATTGCCGCGTACCCATAACCGTCAAGGGTTCATGCCAATTTTTAGAAATTGCCGCGTACCCTTAACCGTCAAGGGTTCATGCCAATTTTTAAAAATTGCCGCGTACCCTTAACCGTCAAGGGTTCATGCCAATTTTTAAAAATTGCCGCGTACCCATAACCGTCAAGGGTTCATGCCAATTTTTAGAAATTGCCGCGTACCCTTAACCGTCAAGGGTTCATGCCAATTTTTAAAAATTGCCGCGTACCCATAACCGTCAAGGGTTCATGCCAATTTTTAGAAATTGCCGCGTACCCTTAACCGTCAAGGGTTCATGCCAATTTTTAAAAATTGCCGCGTACCCTTAACCGTCAAGGGTTCATGCCTCTTCCTCTTCCCCGATGCTCCTTCCATTCATTTCTCTTCCAATCCTTTGTCTCGTCCTTCTTTGTCTCTGATTATGGGTTCTTTATGATCAACGAAATAAACTGCTCAATTCAATAGGAAAGTGTACTCGTTCATTTTGAGATCATACACAAGAGAAAGGGAAAAGTTAGAGATATCGGAAGGTGAACTCGTAAGTGACTGTCGTCGCGGCAGTGTACAGAATGACTGGAAGTGGGTTGACTGTCGTGGTCACATTCAACGGAGAATCCAGGCAGCAATCCCGGTCATTCGTAATCCTCGGATCTTCCAGATGTTTCACTTCGATTCCTCCCTCGTAGCACCCGAAAGAGCAAATTTCACGGCGTGTGGATTCAGAAGTAATCTCGTAGATCACTTGTAACGTTTTGTTGGTTGGACCCTGTAAACATTCGCTCATTTCAATGTGCCACGCTTTGCTCACCACAATCCAAGAGTTACAGAAAGTGAAGTACTCATCGTCTTTCTTGTCGAACTTCACAGTCAGTTTCTGCTTCTGCCACCTACTCGTGGCTACAAGTGTCGTTCCGCACCCTTCTGGCTACAAAACAACAGAGGTCTTTTCTTTCATTTATCCTTTTATTCACTCACTCTTTGGTCACAAAAGTCTCCTCCGTATCCCATTGGACAGTTGCAAACCAGGCAATTGTTCGGATTCGGAATGCCTCCGTTTGCACAGTTGGCAACTTGACCCGCGTTTTTGCACGAATCATAGCACTGGTAGTATTCGTTGATCTGGTCGAAATCGTAGAAATTCGGGATCAGGCTTCCCATCGTTTCAATGAAATTCCGATCTGTCGGGAGGATCGTCTGCTCATCGTCTTTGTTCGAAAACGAATCGGTCGAATAGTGCATGACACTGCCGTAATCGTATGGAACGAGGTTAGCCCAGAGACGGGAAGAGAGCAACGCGAAGTTTATAAGTTCTTGTTGCTGAAATCAGACGATTCACGTCCCTTCCGTCCCTTCCACAAAGACCCACATCAATGTTCTGCGCCAGAATATCCACATAACTATTTCTGTCACTTCTCGATTGAGTGTGCTCTATTCCGAGTGCATGCATCAGTTCGTGGATCGCCGTGCCTATCTGAAAACGGAAATATGTTCAATGGTCTCCTCGCACTTCGCACCGACCCCCCAACAGTCTTCGGACAGTGACACGTCTTGCACGCCAATTTGTTGACGTCCGACGTCCGAAAAACACAATCCCATGTCGGCGATCCGCACCGAGTCGCCGGCTGAAAATCATTGTAATTGCTTCTTCTTTTGTGACACTTCGAAATGATTCATTTTGTGGAAGGAGAGGAAAGAAGAAGCTGTGAAAGAAAGCACAAGGATCTGTGACGTCACCAGTGTTCAATGGTGTCTTTTCAAAAGAGAATGTTCTCAAAACGTCATTACATTGTGAGAAATCACGATCTCGGAAGTGTCTGATAGGACAGTTTTCTGCCGCTGTCACGGTTTCACATGAATGGCGGCGATGAAAGCACGAGCTGTTTCAGAAAGAGAAAGGGACAGCGACCGGCGGAACAAAGTTTGGCCGGACAGACTTCTTCGGGAAACACAAAGTGTATATTTAGATTAGAAACCGCTCAATGATCCGTTTGATTCTTGTGATTGCCTATTCGAGTACAATTTGATCGCAGAAATTGACATTGTGAACCCACCTGAGTATCCATCGTTAACACTCTTAAATCGGATGCAAGTCCGCGCGGTGAGCTCTTGGATCGCCATCCTCACCGATTTCTTGGTGTTGCCTGCAAAAAGAGCACTGATCAGCACTGCCGACTCGACGGGAAACCGTCTTACTTGTCACATTGCCCACGAAGTACGGCACCGTATTGTTTGGCCATCGATACGAAAGATCTCTTTGCACTTGCCTCACTTTTCTCTGTAAACTGTTTTCATGAGTCACTTCCACTTTTTTGTTATTTTGAAATTGACACAATGGGAGAAGGAATTTTGAGGATTAGATCGGTTCGTTTGGAGAATGACGAACCCTGCCTGCCGATCCGTAGTTCGAATGTGTTCGGTAGTACGGGCTTCCGCCTTCAGACACTGTCTGAAAAAGAGATTCTATGGCTGGAATGGCAGCTGATCGTAGAGCTTTTGAGGATAAAACAATGAAACTCTGCTGGAAAGACAGTAGACTGAAAATTCGAGGCTTACCAAAGCGGCAAGAATACAAGTTGCGATACCTAAATCGAGACGCATCGTAGACAAGAATAACCTATCTGAAGCCCGGCACAAACGTAAAAGGTGCCAACTCAACTGGTATTTAAGCAACTTTTTCCCCTAACTGCTCCTCCCCACACCCCCAAGGCTTTTCGGCAAATACAGTTCGGTTCTGACATTTTCTATTTGAGGTTACCCCCTTTTGTGTTTGTGTAGAAATCGAGAAGTAGACTGGTAATAACACTTGTCGCGTGTCTGTTCAGATGTTCGTTCTGATGTCACTGATTCGAATTCAACGAGAGTTTGTTCAGCTGCGATCACGGATTCACGGATAATACAAATGGGAATACACTTGGCGGAACTTGAAGATTCTGGAAAGCTTCAAACCTTGAAGTGGAATTAAACCAAAACCAATCTCCTGGTTGTTGATGACACCTTCATCTGCTCTGATTTACAAAAATGACAAATATTTATTGTTTACTTACTTACTTAATTACTTAGTCGATCTGTTCCTCGCTCACATTGTGTGGGCGCGGATCACAGCATACCACGCATTCCGATCTTTGGCAATGGTGCTCCATGGTACCACTCGGTTTCCTTGTCGGATGGTGACTTCTTTATTGAGGGCGTCGATCCATCTCATGGGCGGTCTGCCGACCGGTCGCTTTGTGTCTCTTGGGATCCATTCTTGCGTCAGAGTGGTCCACCGGTTGTCCGTCCTTCGTGCCACGTGTCCGGCCCAGCCTAACTTCCTCTTTTTGACGTGGAGTAGAGGGTCTCGGACGCCGGATAGGCGTCGGATGTCTTCTCGATGGAGATTTCTCTCTCTCTTTGCTGGGAGAGCGACAGTCCGACGAGTCTCCTTTCCAATGACGCGTGGATTACTCGCACTCTTTCATCCAGTGCCTTCGTAAAGGTCCAGGTTTCTGAGCCGTATGCGAGCGCCGGGCGGACGATCGAGTCGAAGAGTCTGGCACGGATTTTGGGGCAGGTGAGGGCATCCGTGGTGTTCTTGATTCCGTTGAATGCCGCCCATGCTGCTCGTCGTCTTCTATGGAGCTCCGGCTCCAATTCGTTCCGTGCGTTGAGTAGTCTACCTAAGTAGATGTACTCGTTGACATCCTCGATGGCGGTGGTGGTGGTTGCGCCACTTTTGATGCAGACCGGATGGTCGGTGGCAAATGTGTTTCGCAACACTTTGGTTTTGTTAGTATTGATTTGGAGACCTACTTTTGCACACCTTTCCACTAGTTCCTGGATCATCTCGCTGGCAGTATTTGGATGATTTGCCGCTAGGACAATATCATCTGCAAATCTTAGATGCGTTAGATTTCTGCCGTTGATTCTGATTCCAGGGTTTGTCGCGTGGTCCTCGTCGTGTCCTTTCAGATGGTTCCAGGACATTTGGCTGAAGACTAGTTCTAGGCAGACCGAGAACAAGTTTGGCGAGATAGGATCGCCTTGCCGCACTCCTCTCGTGATTGGGACCGTCACAGGTCGGTGGAAGGGTGTGAATGTTGTGTTGCAGTTGGTATAGGACCGTACTCTTTGAGTAGGTTGATGTAGGCCGAATCTATCCCTTGCCTTCGGAGACTTTCCCAGATAGCTCCTGGCTCAACACTGTCGAATGCCTTGTGGAAGTCTATGAAGACAAGTGTGAGTGGGATCTGGTACTCGCGACCAGCCTCGAGTAGTCGCTGGACTGAGTGGATGTGGTCGATCGTATTATAGGGGCACCGGACAGAAAGGGCGCGCTGTTCGCAATCTGGCCGAATTTCTAGGCCGCGAAGTAATTTTCCACTGAAAATGCGGCCTAACTTTTCAAACTCGGCCCCGAGGTCGCTCAATTTGCACTGCAAAAAGAGTTTCTCAACAGAGCGCCATTTCTGTTCGGTGCCCCTGAAATAGAGAAGGAGCGACGGAATCCAGCTTGCTCGACTGGTTGGGCTTCTTCTAGCGTCCTCCGAATCCTATTGAGCACACATTTGGAGAATGCTTTATATAGGACGGGGAGGAGGCAGATCGGCTTATAGTTCTCCAAATTTTCCCTGTCTCCTTTTTTGAAGATCAGGGTGGTGTTAGATGTTTTCCATTGTTTTGGGACTCTTCCGCTTCTGAGATATTCTTAGAATCTGACCGTTATGAGGGAGATAACATTATCGTGACAACTTTTGAGAAGGTCTGCCGTGATTTTGTCATCGCCCACTGCTTTCCCGCTCGGAAATGAGTGGATAGCAGCACGGACTTCTTCGAGGAGAAACGGTGGTGGTGTTTCTGTTGTGATGGATACTGTGAGTACGGGAGGGGGCCGCTGACTACTGAATTGTTTCCGGTAGACCTGCTGGATCTCCTGCTCCATCTTTGTCCTTGAAGTGATTCTTTCGCCGGTCGTCGGGAATTTGAGGCAGGGGATGAAGGACTTGTATTCTTGAATGTCCCTTGCCACCCTTTTCAGGTTTCTACCTTGATTCGCGGCGCTCAGAAAGCGAGAACTGGCGAACTCTTCGTGGTCTTTCTCGACATCTTCTCGGCATTTTACTGACAGCGACTTGAAGTTGGGGTCTGATCTGTCCATGTGCTCAATTGCCGGGACACTGTCTGACTGTCTGCCTGCGTCTCTCGTATTGGCTATATCTTTTGCCCCGGGGAAAACTGTATCCTTATACTACTAGAGTAGTTAGGAAAAGTAGGAATATCATAGTGAGCGGTAAGGGTTCCTAGTGCGAGATGGGGGGCTTTATAAGGAAAATGAATCACTACAAAACAACAGTTTTCTTCGGATAGATAAGGAAAACTACGATTCCCCAGAACGTAGAAGTCCGTAATCTTTTGTGTTCTGTAGCCGATCATAAAGAGACGGAAGAGATTGTAGTAGTACGGTTTCCAAGACGCTTCAAAGTTCCGACCTTTAATGGTTCACCAAGTCTATGCACCTAAAATTCTTTGTTTCCGTTGGCAAATCACGAGCAAACTCGCAACTTTTTGATCAGTTTTTGATCACCCGCCGGACACAAAACACGTTTTGTATATTGATTCCTGCCGCCCATATTCATTGAGGTGGCGAGTGAGTTTCACTTTGACATCTTCGCAAAGTTATGTCTAATCGAATCGATTTCAAAATGGTTGAGACTGGCAAGAAATGCGAAAGTTACCAAAGTTCAAAGACCGACAGAAGACGCCGTTCCTGTTGGCCACACTGGCTGAAATTCAACGGCACGCCTCCCTTGTACACCTGAACGAGAATCTGGCGAGAGCTGAGCGCTATTTGGTGAGCATTTATTTGAATCTGTAAATGGAAAACACTTTTCCAGGTTTTTGATACTGAACTATGCTAACGATAGAGGACATTAGGCTCCGTTCGCCGCGAGAAAGTGTCCGGAAAGGTATGTGGAATTGGAATTTGTCAAATTGAATAGACAACTGATATATTTATATTGTTTTCTCGTCTCCATCACAATCAGCAGATCAGAAAGTGTGGTGAATGTAGAAAATGTAGTTTTTTTAGTGTAATCTTTGATAAGAAGGAGTATAAAATAGATAAGCGGATGGTGAGAAGGACTTCAACACAGACATGTTCTTCTTTCTGATTTTGACCACTCTACTCACCTGGTTGATTGTCAGACAGTACCAAAAAGTGTCGAGACTCCCGCCAGGTCCTCTGGCACTGCCGTTGCTCGGCAATCTTCCACAAATCGTTTTCTATCTATGGAAAACTGGAGGAGTTGTGCCAACTTTGGATCTATTCAGAAAGGTATGTTATTCGCAGAATCCCTCTACAAGAACTAGTGAATGTTTCAGAAATACGGAAACATTTTCACACTTTGGTTGGGCCCGATACCTCACGTCAGCATTGCCGATTACGAGACATCCTATGAAGTTTTTGTGAAGAACGCTCCCAAGTATGCGGACAAGTTTACACCGCCGATATTCGAACAGATAAGAGGTAGATGAGTAGAAAAAGAAACGTTTGCAAATTTGGCAAGTTGCAGAAGGACTGGGAGTCTTAGCGACGAATGGAGAGCACTGGCAGGAGATGCGTCGGTTTGCACTGCAAACATTCCGGAACATGGGCGTTGGAAAGGATGCGATGGAGGTCAAAATCTTGGAGGAATTGAACGCCCGATGCGCAGAAGTGGACAATAGCGCTGTGGACGGAGTCACCGTCAAACAAGCGGCCGAATTCTTCGATTTGACAGTCGGAAGCATCATCAACAGCATTCTGGTGGGCAAACGATTCGGGGAGGAGAACAAGGACGAGTTTCTGAAGATCAAAAAGGCGATGGACGACTCTTTCGAAACATTCAATCCGTTTGACATGACTGTTCCCGTCTGGCTCCTCAAGTACTTCTTCCCGAAACGATATAACGTAATTGTGGACAATCAAGAGAATTCGAGGGAGTTCGCGGCACGGGAAGCGATGAAGCGGCTGGAAGAAATCGGAAGAGGCGATTATGTGATTGATGAGAACAATCCACGTGACTTCACAGAGGCATTCATTTTGAAAATGAAGCAGGAGAACGACAAGCACTTCCAGTGAGCTTCCTCATAAATGTTGTCCAATTGAGTTCTGATTTCAGCGTTGAGGCTTTGAAGACAATGATAATTGACTTGTGGACCACTGGCCAAGAGACCACCACGACCACCCTGATCTCCGGATTCAATCAGCTCCTCCTCCACCCCGAGTTCATGAAAAAGGCTAGAACGGAACTGCAGAAGCTGACAGACAACGGAAGCCGGGCGCTGAGTCTCTCCGACCGTAATTCCACTCCTTATTTCAACGCTGTCATCGGCGAAATTCAACGGCACGCCTCTATTTTGAACGTGAACTTCTGGAGATACAACCATGAACTGACGTACATGGGAGGCCATCCAGTGGATGCTGGAGCACTGGTCACTGCTCAATTGAGTGCTCTTCACGTCAACGAACAAATCTTCGAGCATCCGGAGAAGTTCGATCCGGAGAGATTCATTCGGAACGAGAAGCTTCTTCAACAAATCATCCCGTTCGGAGTCGGCAAGAGATCGTGTCTTGGCGAGTCGTTGGCTAGGGCGGAGCTTTATCTGGTGAGTTGGACTATCGAAAGTTACAATAGCCATGATTGTGTAGATCTTTGGAAACTTGCTCCTCCGCTACAATTTCAAGCCACACGGCAAGCTCTCCACCGCCGAGCTCCTTCCGTTCAGCGCCGCCAAACGACCGTTCAAGTTGGAGATGCAGTTTGTAAAAATCTAATTTTACTTCCAATTCAAACATTTTCCAATCGTATTAATGAAACAGCGTTAACTGATCAACCTCCGAACATTTCCATCAAAAAAGAAGTGTGCTGAATGCAGAAATTGTAGTTTTCAGAGTCGTTAACTGATAAAACGTGTCTTATCAGTTGTACCAATCGTCAATCGATCTGACCCCAGTCTCAGACAACCATTTCCTGTAAATAAACACTTTTGAAACGGAACAAGCATGAAAAATGACATCAGCTCGGTGACGCAGTCTGTGAAATCTTAAACTTTGGCGTGAATCTTTTCTGAAAATGAATTTGTATGCATTATTTTCAGAGAAACAGCTGCGCACTCACAATTCTCAACGCACTTTTGAGAAGATCTGAAAACATCAAAACTCTCATCGGCTCAGTCGAATTCTTCACTCACCAAGTGTAGCCTCTCGATAGCTTTTGATGATGATCAACGTTGGAAACGGGTCCAACGCCGGGAAAAGTGAAATGGTAACGCAGACGAACGTGGCGTCCATGTCGATATTGAGAAGAGAACACGTGTAGAGGGCGAGCACGGGGATGTGCATCAGAATTAAAGGGATTAGCGCCTCAAAAATCGAATGGAAATGGGGAGAAGAAGGATGTGGAGGGAGGGTACCTGAACAACTAACGCTACGAAGAGTTGCGTCTGAGTTTCCCGCATCACTCCAGACATTTGTGCTTGTACTTTGAGCAGTGCATTGATGCGATAATAGCACTTGAATCCGAAAACGATGACCATGAGTAAGGACAAGGTCTGAATGTGGAACTGATATTGTAGACATCGTTTTGTAAACTACCGTGAGAGTCCATTGAACTAAAGTTGCCAGCACTGAATTGTGATGTATAATCCGTTTGTTATCTTCATACGAGAAAAACAGCATGCCTGTGTAGGCCACATCGTCGAGCGACATGTTAAACTTTTCAGTTATACTTTCTCTGAACCTATTTGTTCAAGACGATATATCTCAGCTGACGGAAGAGATATCAAAAAGTTGTCAACTAATGAATTGTTTATTAAGATCTTGTGTATATTTTATTAGTTGGCCACTTTTTGATAAATCTACAAACAGCTGAGATACATAGTTTGGAAGAATGCCGTTCAACTCGTTCACCTGATAAAATCGTCCATTGCTCGCGATGGCGCAAGAGGAAACGCGGTAGAAACACCCCAGACAATTCCATGGAAAAGCGGATAAACAAACCAGAAAATGATTCGAACGCCTGGAAAATAGGTGAGGAGATTGCTGCCAGTGGAGGCGAGAAGTCGGTAGGCGAAGATGATCACGAACATGCCCATGGAGAAGCCGAAGAAGGAGCAGTACAGAATGTTCAGGAACATTGCCACGTCCGCACCGAATACCGTCTCTTTGTGCGGAACGATAATAATGAAAGTGGGACCGTAGGAGAAGCTGAGCGGCGAGGCGATAATATCCAAAACGCCGTAGAGCATCTCGAACGCGGAAATGAAAATGAGCAAGTATTTGTAGTTGCCGATGTGCTCCGGAGATTTGTAGGATATTAGATAGATCAGTAAGAAGTTGGTCAAGATGGAAGTAGTTGCGGTCGAGTATTGAAGCAGCCTGTCGTGAGCCATGTTATACGAATACTATGAACACTTGTGCGAGCCTCGCTTTCATTCCGGTCCCTAAAGATCTATTAGTGAGGTGCAAATACTACTCCATTATGGCAATGATCACAAAAAAGTACTCTGGCAACTATGTTATCGGTTGCAAAGTGTCCTTCTAAAGTTCCTCTTTCAGTCTTACCTTTTGTGTGTGTGTAGTTTCATTCCTAAACTTCATCATCATGTCTATTGTGGTCATTTCTCTTCTTCATGAACATTCCATAAAAGCCATATCACTGTTATCTTATATTCGTGCCAATGACTCAACAATACTCCCCTGAATTCACATATTACATATCACCGGGCAACACCTGAAAACAAGCGAACAAACAACTCATTGCGAAATCTTGCACAGCCGCGGAACGTATAAAAGAGCGGCGAGGCGAATGTGAGACAGATCGATGATGATGATGGCCGACGACGAGCATTTCTGGTGAGTTTCCCTGGGCAATATCATTTATTTAATTGAATTCAGGGCCAAAAACGGTCGTCCATCGCGTGCGAAAGATCAAGATCGCAACGCGGCCGCCAACTACATTATGCGAGATCTGAAGACCGATGCGGCTATTCTGAAGACGTATCATTTGTGTGAAAACTCTTCGAGAATCTTTCCGTCTGATGACATTTCACCGGATGTCAGGTACTCGCTCAATAAGAAGAAGCGATGGGAAGCTGAACAAGGAAAAGATTTGCTGGAAGTGATTCAGAAGGCTCATGGGTTTCCTGAAGACGTCGAGATCATTCTGCTGGATAGAACCACACTCTGCTCGATTTTCTTTTGTGAGTTTAAGACGATCTTGGGTGAAGAATGAATGGTCCTTTTTTCAGCAATCTTCGAGTCGCCAACCTGCTTCCAATATTATCAAATTTGTCAAACTCATCAACTTCTGCCCGACGACTCATACCGTCACACCAGAATCAACTCAGTCTACGGCCAACCGCTAAAAAATCTTAGAAAGACCGACGACTCCCCGGCCAAAGATATCATCGCTTACCATTTTGTGAGTGCTCCGAAGAACTACGAGAACCTGCTGAAGCACTCGTTTCGTCCCGGAAGCAGCAAGGACAGAAGTTCGTGGCGCACTTTGAGTTATCTTCGGAGAACGCAGAGAATGAAGAACATGTTGTCGGAGCTGAGGCATGAAGAATTGGAGGATTTGGATGGGAAAGGAGAGGACGTCTTCTACGATGACTATCTGGTTTTGGAAAAGTTGGATACGCCTAGGCAGTTGTGAGTCTAATTAGGTTTCAATTATGAAAAGTAATGAAGGGAACGTTTTCAGCTACAACTGGGACGATCACATTGTCGCCGACAAGTTCGTGTTCGTTAGGCGAAAGCAGCCGTCGAAATGTTCTTCCAATTGGAGTCTTGTCTCTTTTGAATAAATGTAGATTTCGCAACCTCCCGCTTTCCGGGACCGCGGCCTAGTTTCCCCTTTCTCTTCCACTCGCTCGCCACACACATTGCATTGATTCAATTTGTTTTGGTTTTCATCATATTTGTATCAAAATGAACCCATTTCCTATCACATTCGAATCGGCCGTTCGCATTGTCAACGAGACTTGCGGAACGCGAAACGTGGGCGGACAACCGGAAGCTCAATTGGATCGCGAATCGTTTCTGCAGGCGATGCGCGACAAAATCGAAATATATCTGTCTCACGACGAACAAGAAATACGATTCGCCAACGACCAATTCATGAAAAACGTACGGACGTTTCCGAAGGCCCGTGAGTTTTTGTTTTTGTTTCTTTCTGACCTAGGCACAACTATAAATCTACTGATTTGCAGTCAACAATCTGAAAAATGCGGCTGATAATGTCCGGACGACTATCGAGAAGCATCCGGAACTAGTCGGTGAGTGATGAAATAGAATGTAGTTTATTCAAAGCTGTATATCTCAGCTGGCGGTGGAGATATAAAAAAATTGTCAACTAATAAATGGATCATGAGGACATTTTGAACATTTTATCAGTTGACCACTTTTTGATATCTCTCGAGAAAGCTAAGATATATTGTCTTGAATGTACAGTATTGCAAAGTTCATGTTTCATTGTTTCACAGAACAACTGGAAATCGTGAAAGCAACAAAGGAGACGCTGAAAAGACGTGAGTGACATAAATACTTGTACTAGTATTCGATTTCGATTTCAGTGGAAGTCAGTTATCCGCAGTTCGCGCCCACAACTCCACAGGACATCTCCTGGCTCACAAAATCGCACATTTTCACCTACTTTTTTTGCCCCGAGCTGGAGCCATCAGCAACACGGACTGAGCGAATTCATGCGGTACAAATGCGAAGAATGTTGGCAGACTTTCGAAACGGAGATAATATCGAGCAGACGTTGTATCGGGCAAAGAACGACGTGATCATCAGGAACGTCTGGATGAGTATGAACACTTTTTTGGTTTCTTAAGTGGAAGGCACACATTTCAGACCAGGGACAACTCCAGAAACTGCTCGATCACTGTTTGGAACTCTACTCTCCCGATTTTATCGATATTGTCTGCGCGGACGTGTGTAAGTCGAATCGAAAGTGTGATTTCAAGGCACTCTTTCGATATTTTGCAGATTACGCTACCAAAGTTCTTGTAGAAGCTGAAGGAACAATGGCCGAAAGCGCGGAAATTAGAAGTGAGTTATTTTTATCGTCAAACTTTACAATATTGCAATTCCAGACATAATCACAAAGCTCAACGCTTACAAGGTGGAACTCGAGCAGAAGATTCTTGCAGGTACACATTTCGCTGTTTTGTTCATAGATATTTGCAGAAAATGAACGCATTATTCAGTGCAAAATAACGCTCTCGCAAGTGAGGTCACTATTGATCTGAACGCCCTTCCGGAAAGATCCGACCCAGATGATCTGCCGTTCGAACCGCCGAGCGACATGAGTAAGAATGAACGGAAGTCGGCCGAATGGTACATGTGGAGAATTGTGTTCTACGGTAATCATTTTATTGCTAAAAGAAGTCTGTAACTAATAAATTAGTACTGAAACTATCGGATAGAGCGACAAACGTTGCATGGGCGTCAAAGTACGCCCTCATCTTTAGATACATAAATCTCACGATCCGATGATTATTTCAAAAATTGTTCAACAAAAAATTTGTTGTAATTTTTAAGCTCTACATCTTTGTAGTTGATCATTTTATCCGAAATTCTGTTATTCTTGAGTTACGGTCAAGTTTCTAAACAGTGTCCACTAGAAGGGCGAGAAAGAATGAAGAGTAGTACGTTGAGGCCTCAAATCTGGCCCTAAAAGTAATTTGGGGCTCCTGTGTAACATTTTCCGCTCTATCTTAGGGTATAAAAATATCACACACCAATTTTTAGTGATTCTAAAGTGCCGTTTCTTTCAGAAGCAGCCATCCGAATATTCTACGAGCTGCTCGTTTTGAGAAAGGAAACAGTTGTCTTGCAGGACCGTAAGTCTTGAACTTTTACCCATTTCGCATCTGCAACTCATCAATTCCAGGCCTCGAGCGCACTCATCTGGAGAATGAAGTGGAGAGACTGAGAATGGAGGTCGAAATGGAAACGGCCAAAGAGGAACTGGACCACTATGAACGTGTTCTGGAATGCAGAAAGAATGGAGAAGAAGCGCCGCCGAAGAGAGCGCCGGTGTACGCGGATAACTATCAATGGAAGCTCTCAGCCGTTGGAGGTTTCAAACTTTAGCTTCAATTGGAATCAAACTTTTTACAGAAGCCCTGTCGAAGATACGTCAACGAGAAGTTTATTTGAATGAGATACTCGAGTTGGTGATTCGAGAAATGGACGCGGCCGGATATGGCATATGCATCGGAAACACCACTATCAAAAGTGTTTTGGTGCAAAAGTTCACCGAACTCGGTGAGTCCTGCTCTCAATGTTTCAGTGGTAATTTGTAATTCGTTCAGTACACCTCTACTACTTCGTGAAAGACATGCAAGTTTCCCCGATCCCAGGCGTTGGCGAAGCGCGTAAGTTTGACAGACGGAAGAGAATTAAAGAAATGGGAAGACATTTTCAGTAAGTTCAATTATTCGGCCATTCGGAACACGACCAACGTATGACTATTGTGAGTTTGTTGAGGAAGAGGTTGAGAGAAATGTACTGTCTTTTCAGGTAAAATAAAGAAAAAAGAGTATTGGGACCAACTCGACACGGTTTTGGAGCAAATCGATCGGCTGGACGCAATGGAATAATTAGCTTGCACACTTTCTTTCCCCCCGACATTCCCCAGACCTATCCATTCATCTACACTGTTTTTGTGACTTCAAATGACTATTATCCTGTTAGAAAAGTTGGTAAAACGTTGTAATCAGGTCACCTGATTCAGGTGGACAGAAAACAGTTGCCGTACTCGTCAAATTGTAATCTTTTATTTACAAACTCTTCATACATACACTATTATTATTATTATTATTTTCCAAAGACAACCGCCTGCAAAGCCTTGTTGCCCGCCCTGATCTTTTTGAGAAACTCCCACCGGCCCTTATGATACTCGTTGCGCATCTCTCCGCGCGGATACCCAATCCGATAGTGTCTTTCCGGCGTCTCCAGACTGTACGGTTCCCACTCGCTCGATCCTCTCTCGTTCGGATTTCCGTACTTTGCAAAATTCGTGTACATCGTCGTCATTTTGTCGATCATTTTCCAGTCCGCTTCGTTTGGCTGGAAGCTGCTGTAAAGCCCCTCCCCGAGCACGTATCGAAGATCCGTACAGTGCGTCGGACCGACGAACGGCATCATCTCGGCGAGACTTCCGAATCCGGACGGGTTACAGTAGTCGAATACGTAGAACCAGACGTCGTTGCCGTACTTGAGACTCGCTTGTGCTGTGTCGATGGCTCCCGCATTGAAGAGAGCGTCTCCGAAGAACTGAAGAAGAATAAACTTGATCTTACCCTGAATTTAAATGTTTAAAACCCACTTCATTCAGGCGCTCCTTCATACGCTTCTCGTCTCTTGTATCCACTCCTTTCGTGTAGAACTCATAGACGCTTTTCCTGACCGCCTCGTAATGCTCGCCCGTGTCCTCTTTGTACAACGCCGCAATCGAGTCCCTCAGCACCTCGTCCGTCGCTCTCGCATCTTTTGTCAACCAGAAAAAGAGGCCTTCGTGCTCCGTCACGCCGAGCATCACCGCCTTCTTCGGAGCCTCTTTCCTCAGCTCGTCCAGCGGTTTGGGAAGGAAATCGCCGTCAATGTTGGGTTCGTAGATGAACATACCGTTGATCGGCAGGACGAACCCGTTCATTTTGGCCATTTCGTGAATGGGCTTGTTGCTGAGCCACTTGAGCACTTCTTGCGACTCGCCGCTTCCCGAATAGCCGATATGACGGAGGTAGGCGAGACACGCTTTCGCTTCGTTTTTGGCGGTTCGGCATGCAAACTCGCACAGGGCGTTGCCAGACATTGGAACGACTTTGTGGAATAGATCTGAAACAACACAGCTCATTTTCAGTTGTCGTCGATGAGCTCCTCTTCTCTTTTACCTCTCGAGTGTGGGCTCAGCGACAGAAGATCAACACTGACTCCGCCGGCACTTTGTCCGAAGACTGTCACATTCTGGGGATCGCCTCCAAAAGACGCAATGTGCTTCTGCACCCACTTGAGCCCAAGTGTCTGGTCCCACAGTCCAAAGTTTCCACGGCAATGCTCGTCGCCAGTGGTGAAGAATCCGAGGATTCCGACACGATAGTTCAGGGTGACCATGACGACGTCCTTCAGTGGGAGCGTTCTGGAAAGTTTACAATTGACAACTTCGAATTGATGCCTTCTCAAATCTCACCCAGAAATCGAATAATCACAATACTCTCGGGAGGCGGAAATTTCGAATCCTCCGCCGTGAATGTAGATCATGACGGGTCTTCCGTTCGGAAACTCCTCCGACTTCCACCTCGGCGCGAAGACGTTAATCGTCAGACATTGTGCCTCGTCGGCTCCGTCGTCCGGATCGAAATGAATCATTTCGGCGAACCCTCCCGATTGCGGACATCTCGGACCGTATTTCGTGCAGTCCCTGGTCTCAGTCCACACCTCCGCCGGCACCGGTTTCTTGAACCTCAACTCTCCGATCGGAGGCTTTGCAAAAGGAATCCCCAGGTATCCGTCGACGATTTTATCATCCTAGAAGCCGGGAAATCATTAACGTTTCAGTGGAAACCGACTCACATGCGTGTAAACATTGCCTCTGATGGGTCCGCACGATGCGTCCAACTTCTCGGGGTGTTCTTCTCGTTCCAAGTGCGACAAATGACCTCCCATCTTTGCTGTCCACTTTCCCCACACGTTCTTTTATACGCAAACGGTTGATGGGGGAGATACGGTTACGCCCCACGTGTTTCCCAAAGGTTCATCACGACCAAATCATAGAATGATTGGGGGTTTGAAGAATACGGAGTTTGTGATGCTTTTTTATAGTTTTTTCACGGCGATAACTTTCGGTAGATTGTAGTGTACAACTTTTGAGGAGCGGGCAGAAAACGGCTCAAAACACTACATGATACCTCAACTTCCTTTAAACCAAGCAAAATGAGATCAAACACCAAATCGAACAATATTTGCTATCGAGAACATTCTTTGATTTGAATTTGATAAGGATTCAACCACGCGGTCGCCACACTGACTGATCGAATGTCACATTTGTTGACGAAAACGAAATGGGATAAACAAAAATTAGATGTTAACTTTATTTGACACAAACAACAAAGTTTGCACGCCGTTCCACAGATCGTCTTCTACGGCTTCTTCTCCATCGTATTGCACAGTACTTGGCGATGTGGGGTCTGTGCTGGATGGAGATCAGGCAGGCGTTCCAGTCCAGTGAACTTGCAGAGCAGGCGGCTTGCACTTATGGCGTCTATTCGGATTCATCGTACGCTGCAAGTATGCTCATTTGTCCACTAACTCAATGGAAGTGACCAACTTCTAGTGGGACACTGAAACGCATCACCTTTACAGCAATTTCCGCATCTTCTCGCACACATCTTGCACTTTTGGGGAGAAAAAACGGTCACGGAGGTCTCGGACATGTCAAAAACGAAAAAAAAGCTACTGATAAGGGGCTTTGGCGGCCCGATCCGATTTTTGCTCTTTCCTTGTGTGTGTTTTGTTTCATTCATCAACTTCTTACGTAATATATTAGCTGGTTGAATATGCGAGTAGGAAATGAACTGACAAAACACGATCTTCATTTATTAAGCTCTTTTAAAATGGTATGTGATGTGGATACTGTAAGTAAGACAACTATTTCATAACTACATCAACAACTGAGACATATTGACTTGAATTAACGGGTTTAAAGATTACGTATTGTCAGCTGTCATTGTTATCTTTAACCGCCAATCGGCAAAACTCCATCCGACACGACTCGGCCATGATCTTTGGAAAGTAGTAGGTGTCGTCCCAGTGCAATCGCAATACCCGATCCATCTCTCGCGTTATCGAAATCTGCTTGTCCAGTCGCTGGTTTATGGAAACGATGGCCGCGAATCGGCTCGGTCCCCGTTTCGGATCTTTGAGCAGGCACTGATGAAGCAGAATCTTCGCGTAGTTGCGCTGATGACGTGCGAGTGTTTCTTGGCCCTCGGGGGATAGTCCGCGTATACCTGAAATAGAGTTTAGTTGAGACTTCGCTCTAGTCGTGGCCGATGATGATTAGAGAACGAAGACAAAATTCTCGTGATCTTTCCTCTTCTTCCTACTCCCCGAAAATGTCAGTGTATGCAGTCCTCTTTACCAAAATATCAACAAAATTTCAAGACAACAAACCTGAGTTACAAATGACGATCATGTTGAGCAGAAGGTACTCGCTTTCGGTCACGTTCAACTCGATCAACGGCTCCACCGGCGTCGTCAACAATTCCATACAAACTTCTCGACATTGTGGAATGGCCAACAGGACTTGGGGAAACATTTCGCCGTCCTGCGGGTTGAACACTCGGCCCTTCTTCCGGCTGAACGAGTCGAAGGCGATCGACAAATGATGACTTTTCAAGGCCACATTTTTGAGGAGAAGCACCTGAAAGACTAGTTGTTTTGGAAGTCTCGAACATAAAAGTCTGACCCGATCTGAGAGCAACAGCTCATTGTAGACGTCCAAAGTTTTGCACATTTCGACAATTAACAGAACGCCCATCGATCCCCACGGTTTCATCTTCCGCGCCGTCTGGTCCCAATCGATTTCCTGCTGAAAAAGTAAATTTGCTCAAGCGAGTTTCTTCCGATTGACTACTGACAGGCCGCGCATATGTTCCTAATCGTGATCCCTCGGCGACGAGGTCGCAAAACGTCGGGTCCTCGCAAACGTTGATGATGCTGTAGACGGCCGCGCGTGTTCTGTGCAAATGGTAGAGTTTCTCAAGGTAAATCGACTCCACGTGTTGCTGCGTGACGAGGGACTGCGAGACGGCCGAAGTCTGCGCTCGATTCTCTTCCACTTCTACTACGTCATCGGCTCGATGACGCATTCCCAATGCGATGCACTTTCTGAGCCGGCACGCACGGCAGCGGGGACGTCGTTCTGAACGTTAACATTTTCAAAAGTGCATGGCAGAAATAAATGTTCCTAATGTTTTGCAGGTGTTTCAAAGAAGTGTGTAGTTGCATCTTTCCCCCGAATAGTATTATGAGCTTGCGCCAGAATTAGTTACCCCTTTCAAGATCAAAAGATTATCAAATGATCCATCTCGTTAGCCCTCCAATTATTTTTGGAATAGATGTGTGCCGTCTACCGCAACCACAAATTCGCCCTGATATTTTGGTCTCGTCGCCGTCCAATTTCGTGCTCGCACCTTGCTTACATCTGTCTAGAGATCGCGATCAGAATATGCGCTACGTGTGAATTCTAAGAATTCGATGAGAGCGGATAATGAAGGGATTCTTCTAGCTAGCCTCCTGCAAAACTGTTTCCGAGGTGAAGTTTGAGCCGCGAGTGCTTAATCCTATAAGATTAATCCTGGGGGTTGTCGAAAAATAAGCGCCCAAGATGCATTTTTGCTCCGCGACACATCAAGCGCACTTCATCATTGTCCTCTTAAAATTGGAATGATCTTCTTCGTGCAACCAACTTTGAGATGGTGCCAGATCGTGTAAACATGTCATTTACACCTGCATACGTTCAAGGATCAGCAATCTCTCAATTCTAGAGTTTGGTGTACTAGGGTTTGTCTGGAAAGTCAGGAGGATGCATGCGACTTGCGGTTTTTCAATTAAAAGAGAGCTGTGCTTATGAGCCAGGTTTCTGTGAAAAGTTACAGATTCACATTTTCCAGTTCTCCGTACACTTCTGCCGGTCTGTGTGCATATAAAGACTGTAAAATGCAACTTACCCTCCAAGTCATTTCCGTCGAAGCACTTCCCGTCGCGTCTGCACACTTCGTCCACTTTCTCCGTCAACGATCTGCGGAAGAACATTTTGCAGGCATTACACGACACGACCTGAAGTGTTCTTGTACGATTTCTGATCCATTAGGGCTCTCAAACTGACCTCGTAGTTGTAGCCGAACGCTTTCTGATGACAAATCTCGCAAGTGTTCGGTCGGTTTTGCGGCATTGTTCAATGTTCTGGAAGAGAACAAATACAAGCAACGTCTGAAAATTCAAAGAGAAAAGAGAGCGGGCGCACGTGCTCGGGGATTAGTCCGTCCGTCTGGCTCCTGGCCGGCTGGACGACGACCATACGTGCCTGATATGTGTGTGTCACTGGAGCTCACACATCTCTAACACCTGTTGGTCGTTCTCTGCCGACATGCTTGACGAGCGACGGAGGCGGGGCTTCGGATGTGTTGTGGAAGGAAATTAGATTATGAGATCTGTGAAGCATCTTCATTGGCAGACCCCGTAAACAAGAGATAAAGCACAAAGGTCACAATTCGAGTCAATCCGGGATGAGCCAGATGGTACTTTCGATTCATCCGAGTGGTTCTGATTGAAATGGAAACTACACTGCACGTCAAAAGTATAGCGCCCCCTCCAAAATGCAATTTTCTGGACAATCGGAAAAGAGCAAGGAAGCACGGCTGATGCCAATCGGATCAGCCTAGTAAAAGACCCCTGCTTCGGAGTTTCTGAAGAAGAATTTGTAGGGTAGTTCCAGAAGGTTTTATAACGAATGGTCACTGAATTATCAATTGAACACTGAAGTTAGTCAGATTTTCAGAAGAAACATATACTTTTGACGCGAATGATTCAGAAACTGTGAAGATCAACTTCTTTCGCCCCAAAACTTGCGTTCCGGGGGTATTTTAACAAGCTCAATCGAGTGACATCACCCGTTTTTCCCTATTGTTTTCTGATTGTCCAGAATCGTTTATTTTGGAGAGGCGCTATTCTTTTGACGCGCAGTGTATTCATTTCAATAAATGTTCAAAAATTATTATAATTATAGTAATTACTAGTAACCAATCGAGCTTAATTATAAACTTCATGCTGCACGACACCAATTATACGTAGTACTATCCCGCATTTAAAAGTAAAGTCAAAGTAAAACGTCTGTTGAGAAGCCCGTCCGTTTATGATCCCCAAGGCCTATGTTTTTCTTTTGAAGATTTGACAGTGTGTAAAAAACGTTCAAGAAGTTCAAAAATGACGAAAAGAACGAACTTTGCGCGTTCTGACCAAAATATTTGCTCCTAGTTCACTGCTTTTTCGGGCTCTTTAGTCAGCGAGGGATTAGGCACATCGGAGAGGATTAGGGAAAAGTTCACGCACGGTTTGCAGCCAGATTTGGCTTCTCGAATGATCAGTAAGAGAAAATGAACGAGGACAGCTGAAATGGATGATATTTTACAAACGTTCAGTTTGTCTGGAACCCTATCGATTTAACGGAGCGAGATCTTTGGCTTCAATAAGAAAGTATGAAAAGGGAACAATGTTAGATCTCGCGGCGGCCAAAAACATTGATCCCACATGTTCGTCATCGTTTGGATCTGTGACCAGAAGTAGGACTTCGAGTTCTGTCTGCCTGCGTCACACTGTCTCCGAAAAAGTCGAATAGCTGTTATTATTAGTGAGCGGATGAAGAAATGAATCACGGATGATAAAAATACAGAATGTACAGAGTTACACGAGGTTAAGTTATAAATAAATAAATGAATAGATAGGTAGCCTAAACAATGAAGAATACAGATTTCTTTTTCGGATTCATAATCACGCCTTCTGCCTCCCTTTCTTCTGAGCAATTCGGGAACGGATCTTCGTTTTCTTCGCGTTTCTTCTTGTCGTTGTTCTTTTGTTTCTCCCGTTCCTTCCTCTCCTTCTTCTCAATTTTCTCTCTTTTCTTCCGTTCCTCTTTAGTCTCCTCCATTTGCATTTGTTCAATTTGAGGGCGCTCTTCTTGTTGCACTTGTGATTGCACTGGCTGTTGCGCCTCTTGTTGTTGCACTTGTGGTTGCACTTGCGCACCTTGTGATTGTGCCCCTGGTTGCACTTGTTGCACTAGCGGTTGCGCTTCCTGTTGCACAACTCTGTCTTCGGCTCTGAAGCGACTTCGCTCTCTACGCCAAATATAACGATCCATGGCCGCCTGGTCGCACACAAACGAGAGTAGTTGCATCGGAAGCGGAATTTCTTTCTCTCTGAAAAGAGCGAATTGTGTGAGGAACTTCTAGCGACAAAAAAAACCAACTCTAGACAGAATACGATGAGTGAAACGGGCAAGAGTAAGACTAGGGGAAACCAGATAAAAAGATACCAGCCACCTTCGAGGCACTCTGAAAAAAACGGAATTTGTTGAGAAATGAGCTTTGGCTTCAACTTCATACGCGGATTTTCGACATCACAAACAAGAATCGGATTGTATCGTCGCATTTCTTTGATACGGAGCCAAGTGAAGGAAATAGTCGGACTCTGGTGTCTCTCGCAGTAAAGCCTGATGTAACTGTCGAACGACTCGTTTAGATAGACGCGGATGCGCGGGTTGACCGGCTGTATCGTGTCCTGTAAACAAAACAAAACAAATTAGACTGAATATTTCAGTTCAGAACTGTACTTTCAGTATCCAGATGGGCTTCCAATCCTTAAACATCTCCTCCTCCTTCAACAGCACCATTTCCAGATCGATGTGTCTGCTAAGCGATGTACGTGCGTCTTGCAGCATTTCTTCGGTTATCGGAGCTCTGAAAACAGAAAAACAAAACTCAATTACTTCGAGAATTCGCCTCACGCCACGCCAATCCGGTCGTAGACAGGATCGCACATCGGATGAAAATCGGGAAGCGTTATTATTGGGCTGCACCTTATAAGCCGCAACACATGGGAGTACTCTGGTTCCACGGGTCCTAATAATTGTTGCCACGGAGCGGTGTGCGAGGAGTTGGCAAGGGCGGAGATCGGGAAAAGTGACCAGAGGAGGAGGAGGCGCCGCATTTTCCGAAGATGACCTGAAAACGCGATTTTGTTAAAAATGTGAATTTTTGATACTGTTTGGAAGCTGAAAACTGAGAAAATTTTGTTGAAAAACATTGAAGAAGAACTATTCTTTGAAGTCTTCCAATTGGCGCCTTCGAGTTTAAGCGCGTGTGATTTTCAGGACCTTTGGGTCCCGCCACGATCAATAACTTTTGTAATTTTTCTGCCGCCAAAATATTTGGAACAACTTTCTTTTTGGACTAAAAACATTTTTTTGATGAGTTTTTTTACAGAAAGTGTCACTCGCCTTATTTTTCTCCATTTGTCTTCATTTTTTACTTAATAAAGGTTGATAGCAGCTCATTTTCAGCAATTCTGTTCGCGTAATCTTCACGTCTTCATCTCTTCTCTTTGCGGAGACCGCCCTGTCTCGCTCGCACCTCTATATAGTCGTTTTATTTTATGTAACCGTCTTCCCACCGGTTCCCGCAGCCGTATATTAGGTGGGTCTCCTTTTCTTCCTTGTTTTTGCTCGTTATTCATTCGCCGTTGCACGTCATTTTATCATTTTGTGTCTTCAGAAATGGCTGGATTGTTACGTACCTTCTTCAAGAGCAAAAAACCTAGAATTGACGGTGAGAACTGCGACGACTTTGAGGTAGGTGACCTTATCGGTTTTTTTTCAGTTGCAACAAACAATTTTTTAGTTCCAGTCGTGTTCCCGTTCGTCGTCCTTCAAAACAGACAGAAAGCCGACTGCCCGCTTCGCCGACGAAAGCATGCTCCCCGCCACTGCCGCGTATCACACGGCGAGTGCTCCGAGACTGCGTAGAGGACCGCAGAGCTGTCCGGGAGGATATCACGACGAATCGATTGATGAGAGAGCGAGGAAAAGGAGCAGATCTCGCAAGCATGACGCCCTCGGACATGCCGACGAATTCATCATCGACAGTGATAAGCGCTATCACAGCCGTCCGGAGCTCAGAAGTCGAAATTCGCACCGTAATGCTCCATCGGACGAGGAAAACGACGAGAATTACGGTGACGAATACGATCGACTGAATATGTACGCGCGGAAAAGTCACTTCTATCAGCAACAATGGGAAAATTCGGAGCGGCAGAGACGAGAAGAGAGACGAAAGCAGGAGCAGATGGAGCGAGAGAAAAAGAGCATCCAGGACGCGATGTCGAACATGGCGATCTGCATGGCGTCGGTGCAGCAGTTGGAGCAAGTGAAAAGAGAGAGGGACGAGTATAAAAGGGAGATGATGCGCTACAAAAGCAAGTGCGAAAAGCTCGAGAACAAGTACAAGCAGTTGGAGAACGCGACAATGTCGCCGAGCTACGGAGCCTTCCAGGTGGCTCCTCGTCACTCCTTCCAGCCGTTCCAGCCTTCTCCGTTCCAGACTCCTCACTTTCCCGCGCCGCTCAGTTTTAACTACCCAACACATTCGAATCTGCTGGCGCCAATCACGTCGACCCTTCTGCCGAAAAAAAGCAGCAAACAGTCTTCTTCTTCTTCGCAACCGGGCTCGAGTTTGCTGCTCAGCCACACACGAACGACGATCGGAAGCGATGGAGCAGGAGAATCACTGGCCAACCCCTGCGACGTCAGTTTCATGCGCGATTTTGGAGCATCGAATGTGAAAGGTTAGTGAACAGAATCGACGAACGTTAAAATATAACCTCGTTCTAGACTCGAACACACATATTCCTGCCGATGACGACGACGTGGACGAGGTCAGAGACTTCAGAAGCGAGTCGCCGTTCCCAACGCTGAGCACGATGAGCGGGCTCACACACAGCACGGCGACCACCGACGACTTCTAGTCGCATTAATTACATATTATTAGATTTATCATATATTCTTCTATTTACCACAAATACTCTTCATCACTTCTTTCATGTGCCATGAGGCTTTCGTCGTCGTTTTGTATAATAATGTTGTGATCTCCTTTTTAAAAGTTTGGACAGTGGGTTCGGCGCCAATTGAATCTGTTTGAAAACTTGAAATTCTGAACTATTTCTCAGAAATTCAGAAAAATGACGTCAATATCGAAATGGCATCGGTTGACGGACGAACTGAAGACGAAATTCCTCGAATTAACAGACTATGAATCGAGGTAATCGGAAAATTTCATTTTTAGTGCAAAACAAACATTTTCAGACGGAATTTGATGTGTTGCTCGAAAGAATTGAATCGCCTTGTATCATTATTGAGATATGAATATGTTCGTTTATTGAGAATCAAAATCTACGAAGACACGTGGATTTTTGTGCTGGAATCGAAGCAAACAGGATCAGATGCCGTTTCCACGCGAGAAGACCCCAAAAACGACGGTGATTGGCGCCGTATTCTCGACCAATTTCTCGATTTTCTCATAACAAAGGAGATCGAAGAAGTCCGACTGTTCGGATTGATTCAGGACGCACGAATTTCCAATCATTTCGAAAACATTTGCTTCACGAAGTGTATTATCCACTCCCTCGTACTCGACGAAATCACGAGATTTTTTCTGTGCAATTTTCTCATTCAAAATAGTGTGTTTTTGAAGAATTTGATAATGAACGGATTCACAAAATATGCGCATGACAATCAGGTTCGTTCAAATTTTTGGATAAACTTCTTCCAATCGTTTTTTTTTGTATCAAGCGTGGCTTATTCGTTTTCACGGATTTGGTGCAAACACGTGTCGAAACGTGCACGAAAAGTTGGCAAACAGGAATTATCCGATTGGCACCGAAATTTTCGTTCCGTTTCATTGGGTCCAAACTCCAACCGATCAGAAACAATCGTAAACTTCAGTTATCAACTTATTTCAGACAAACACTCATTTTCAGTCTGTACAAAATGGAAAACGGCAACAATGTAGTGTGCAAAGTGGTCCCGACCGGACTGTATTGCCGGATCGTAGCTTCCGAAGCCTGTGAATTGGTTCCGACACTGCTCGAACACGTTGTGTGCAATAACTTCTATGAATACGAAGAAAAGTCGATGAAGAATTGGTGCGATTTGCCGCCGGAACTGAAGTTGGTGTGCATTCAGCACATGAATTATAGGACGAGGTGCTCAAAATGTTTAGCTTCGCGCTTTGGTATACAACTACTCCGTTTCAGGTGCCTTCTTCGCGCGACCGCCCGTCTCGAGATGTCCCTGGTCGAAAAGCTACCGTTCAATTTCCACGCGGCTCACTTCCACCACTCGTTCCTCTCTTCTCAGCACTCCAACTACATTTCGATGGTTGTGGACGCCGCCGGCGAAAAGATTGATATCAACACGAATCCGTCAGTCTCTTGATCCCAGGCGCCTACCCCCTAGTTGTCCAATTTCTTCAGATTCAAAGCCACCGGACTGGACATTCAATACGAGCAGTCGGTGGCAGCGATTCGCCTGATGATGCGTCTCTGCTCGTTCAAATTGCTCCGTATTTTTTCATACGAAGATTTCGCCGACGTGACATTTCTTCTGGCGGAGCTCTCAAAATCCGCCCCGTTCCACGTCAGAAACGTCGTCTTAGAATGCGCCCAGCATGAGCTCGCCGCGTTTTTCCTGAAAAACTGCAAAAAAGAGCTGAACATTGTCGAGTTGTACTTTCAGAGATCGCCAAAAGTGACAACTGGCGGCTTTATCAAACTTTTGGAGGTGTCTTATCCAAAGACGGCCTTTTGAATTGCTAATTTGTAGAGCGTGAACGCGCGGCACGTCCAAATGACTCCGGCACTTCACTCGGAAAACGTTATATCCCTGATTTGGATGATTGAGCGATGGATTGAGATGGATGCGCCAATTGGCCGCCGATTTCTGCTCAACATTCGAAATGAGTCATTCGAGAATTTGCTCATGAGTTTCGCCGAGAGATTTTATGAGCAAATCGAGTAAGAACCAGAATGTCTTTGTGCTAGCACCGATCGAAATGAATTTTAGATACCAAAATTACCACGAGGTCCGTCTGTATTTGGATGAAGACGAGGAGAAGGCGATTCTGGTGGCAGCGTACCCGGAGAGCCGAACCATCAGCTGCCTGGTGATTCCGTCGACCTTGGACGAGGATGACTACGAAACGAGCGACGGATGGATCGACGACTTGACACAATAGTCGGAAACTAACCGAATTATGTATAAACTCTAAGATGTTCAATTTTACTGCCTCCTTACTAGTATTTTGACAAGTTTCGTGTGCAATGTTCAATTATTTATGTATTCGCGACTGCTTTATGTGATCTCTGGTAAATCGTTCTTTGTTTGACCAGAAGATTTCCGAATCTGATCCGAGTTCCGCGTCTGACCAGGTGAATTCGGAATCTGTTCCGAATCTGATCAGATTTGGAAATTTGCACTGCTGGTGCGTTTCGCGTGCTGGCGCATTTCTTGTGCATCTTCAAATTCTTGAAAAAACATGTTTTTAACATTATTTTTAACTTTAAACGTTATTTTTACTGATTTCATACAAATTTTGAACAGAATAATATGTGTTCGCGAAAATATGAGTTCTTTTCAGTACCCGATGAGCGATCGAATTCAGAGAACAGCTCGAAAACGAAAACGATTGACAATGAGGGAAATAATGGATTACGCGAGAAAGAACCGGAAATCGCAAGAAATAATAGAACACATCACGAGGGAAGAAGAGAAAAAAGAAGATCCGCAAGGAATAATGGCCGAAGTTTTGCCGGAGGAAAAATCAAGAATTTGTTATTGCAATGTAGAATTCTTCCAGCCATGGACAAATATTTTGATCTCAAAACCATCAAAAATGAAGAAGAACTTCGCCGAATAATCTCCGACGGCCCAAAATTGTTACAGATCAAAGTGTGCAGTGCTTGCGCGGAAGATGCTGACAAGTAAGACGAACGTGTTCAATACTTTTGAGTCCGTGAGCAGCGCAAGAAAGCGGCTCCGCACGAAGGCACTCCTCTCAAAAAGGGACTTTCCTCCTCATCGACACACGACGACGAGATCGACGAACCGGCGAGCATCGATTTGCACGAAACGGGCGCCCCGGCCATCGACGGAATTGTGTCCGAATTGGATGAGACATTCAGAGAGGTTTGTGGCTCCTTGCGAGCATGTCTAGACAGAAAAGAGCATTGGTCAAGTGAGGAGACGAAACAAGACACGAAAATGAAGAGTCAAGTGGGAAAAGAATCTAATGGGGACTTTCGAATTTGAATTGAAATTCCAACCTTGTCCAGTTGCAGCGCTCTTCAATCCGCCTCGATTCGGAGCCGCACCCAGTCGACTACATCACAGGCGTCAAGTTCGCGTTTCTTCTCTTCACAACTGCTCTCGTGAACGCCCAAATGAACGGAATCATTACGAGTGTGCAGAGCTACGCCACTCTTCCCTATTCTCAGGTTGACTACCTCCCCTTAGGAAAAGACAACCTATTCTTTCAGTCCACCTACCACTTCGCAGTGACTCTTTCGAACGTCGTCTCGCCGCTCTCCTCGTTTCTTCCGTTCTTTATCAGCGTTCGGAGGATCCCGTTGCTCGGCGTGCTCACCGCCTGCTCGACAGTCATGACCGCCTTCATCGTCTACCTCGCGTCGCTCTCGCCCAACTTGATCTTTGATTCGCAGCCCGTCGGAAGTGCCCTCTCGATCGGAGGCTCGCTCGTCGCCGCCGGTCTTCATTCCTACCTTCGTGTCACGGCCAAATATCTGCGGCACCTACTGAGTAGGATTCTAAGTACGTTCATTGCAAGTTTTACTTTTTTACACTCTGTTACCCTTCCAATAACTGTACTGAACACTTCGATTAATTTTGAAAAAAAAACCGAAAATGCGTAAACTGCGAAATATCGCAAAAAAATCCAAAAAAATGTTTATGTTTTGATTTTTTTTTTGATTTTTAAAAATCGGCAAATACGTAGTCGAAAACGTTAAGTTATCAGGAAATAAAAAAAATAAAAAATAAAAAACCTTAACTTGAAAAGTTTTGATCCTAAGCAGTAAAAATAGTACTCAGGAAAGTGCCACCAACAAATTTGTGATAACTGAATCTGTACTGAGCATTTTTGGTGACTTTTTTGCCGATTTTTTCCACGATATTTCACTGTTCACGCGTTCCCAGTTTCTTCTGAATCAATTGAAAGATTCAAAACAGTTGAAAAAAACATAAGAATAACATAAGAGTGGAAAAAGTGAAAAAACGCATTTGTTGTTGTTGTTGTTGTTGTATTTGTATTCTAGTTATTCCCAAATCACGTGTCCACCCTGTCAGTTGTTTTTGTTTTACTGGTTCTATCAATAAAGCTTTAATTTTTGCGAAATTCTAGTTAAATTCACAAACTGCTAAACAAGGCGCGCTACGACACTCCGCTTCCGCATTCGAGTCTAACCAGACGATTTCCGAGTCTGATCAGGGGGATTTCCGAGTCTGATCCGAGAGTTCTCTGCATCTGGTCTGGCCAGGCCAGGAGGCCGCTTTCTTTCGGATCAGATTCGGAAATCTTCTGGTCAGACAAAGAATCATTTACCAGAGGATGACTTATTCTTCCGAATCACTTTCCTCCAGCTTGGCTTCTTTTCGCTTTCATTTACATAATTGTATTCAAAATTTTTGAAGGAAATATTTCCAAAGTTGGAGACAATTTTCAGAGAGAAGAAAGTTTTGCGCAGGAAAATGCGTACAAAAAGCGAAAATCTTCAACCCTCGGGAGTTACACTTCAAAAAGTTTGCCGTGACGTGAGAAGTGTAGTGCGGCTTTTAGAGAAATTCTATTTTTTCTAAGGTAAAACTTCATTTACATTATTGTTTTCTAGCATGAAAATTGGGATCTTTGCGAATCTCAAATATTGTTGCTGCAAAATGTTCACATTGCGGTGTCCGTAGTCTTTTTCGAACATCGGATCTGTACAACGCTTATGATATTTTCAGACTTTTTTAAATGGTGGAGCCTATGTATTAATTGAGTTCCAAGATCGAACTGTCACTGAAGAAGGGCTACTCTTTTGCTTAAATATTGGATGTGTGAAATAAAAGTAACAGGATACAATGTTGAGCCGAGAATCGATGAACAATGGCCGGACGAGAAGGATGTAGGAATAGTAGGGAGAGTTGGCGATGATAGCAATCTCAAATATTATATCATTATAGCGAGAAAATGGAATGGCCATCATTTCTTACCGATAAACCTTGGGTGAAAATCAAAGGGATCAGTATCAAAAACATGGTAACAGTCAAAGTGGTCTCTGCTTTTGTTCTGTGAAACGGACGGTTGTTTCTGCTTCTGAAACACATTGAATAAATTAATAAAGAGTTTAAAAACGTACAATAACTTTCTACTCCGTAACTTTAGAAGCATCATGACAGTGCTTGAAACTACTGAAATCATGATAGCTATTGAGAATACCAAATGGCCAATTGAAAGAGATTTCTGGAAAGGATTTGTATTATTATTACACCGAGTATCTAGGGTTTCCAAAACTCACATTTCCGTAGACATAACCAGTTGAAATGACGATTGCTCCCAACTGATACGGCTCATTCAACTGCATACAGACCACCGTGCTCACAGTGTTCGGAAACGCGGCCACCGAACTCAACACGTACGTGGCGGGCGGCCAAAACACGAAAATCAATGAGCACAACTGATAAAGCTAGCATATTTTGAATTCGCCGTCTTGCCACGACAGCTCTGTCTGTCACCTACCTGCTCATGATTTCGCGGACTGAACAGTATGAGCAAGCGTAGGAAGCAGAAAAGAATGGTGAACAATTGAGAGGTGTAATAGGCAAAGTAGAGGCCGGCCACGAGCACGGGTAGTTGCCAGTTGTCAGGCCCCGAAGACGCACAAAATGACGTGGCAACGGTTGTGGTCGGTATGCGGACCAGCACGAAATCCAAAACGGTAAATATTGTGTTCCAACATTGCATGAAGAGAAACGATTTGAACACGTGCGGATGGAGACCGTTCGGAGAGGTGCGGAAGTCGCCGAACAGGTAGAAACGGGTCATTAGAGCAGTGCAAATGAGCGATGGAATGAAGCAGAGAAAAGTGAGAATAGTGAGTACGGTCACAAAATCAAACGAGTAGTGTAGAGTACGATACTCGGGAAATTGGCTGATCGACTGATAGGCGTGGAGAAGAGACATCACCGAACTTTCAACGTTCTCTCTTTCCGCGTTATTTTTGTTCACGCATCGCTTGAAATGGAGAGAAAGTCTAGCACATTAGTGATTCTGGTGATGGTTGAGGGGGAGAGAGAGACAGGGAGCTCTGACGGAAATTGAACAAGCTTCCTTTGGGTCAAGTAGTCAAACGATAACACTTTATTACGGATTCAATTCTCAGCCGGACCAGCCAACCTTTGCTGCGGCAGGTTTCGGCCTGAAAATCGGATGTGTGAAGTAGAAATAACAAGAAACGACGTGCGCACGAGCGTCCAGACAGACGACCCGAAGTAGAAAAAGATAGGAATAGTAGGTGTAATCGAAGATGTCAACAAGCGACAGCACTTCCGGCATAACAACCGGCAGAACCATCAGAATCATCGTAGCGGTGAGCGTCTTCTCCGCCTTCGAGCTGTACTTTCGATGGAGTTCCGAACTGCTGTAAGTTTATGACCTATGTATTGACTAAATCTCATTAATACCCGGGTCACAACTTACGATTTGCGCTTTTCTTGCAACTTTGCAAACATCAAAATTGTGGAGATGACGAGCAAGATCACAGTTGTTTGGGTGCATATAACGTAGACGATCGCGTAGGTGGACTTTAATATTATGTCTCTTGATGAACCCGATGTTTGACTCACCATTCCGCTCTGACCGCTCACTGACGTGATGACGACGGCTCCGAACGGAAAAGGATCGGCCATCTGGAAGCAGGAGGAGTCGGCGATGAGGAATTGGGGAACGCCGAGGGAGTGGCCGAGGAGGATAAGGAGGGGAACGAGCACGTTGAAGATCTTCGAGACGGTCTCAAAATCAGAGCTGATGAAGTGACAGAGTTTACCTTATTTTCCCATAAATCATCATTAGGACTTGATTTAAGACCTCAGAGCACTTTTCCTCGCCCTATTCTCCCTGATGAATTTCTCGTCGCTCTAGTACATACTGTTTAGAAACTAGACCGTATCTCGAGAGTGACGGGTTTTGGAATAAAATGGTAAACTACAAAGTTGTTGAGCTCAAACATTACGACAACTTTTCAGTTGAACACTTTTTAAAATAATCATCGGATCTCGAGATATATGTATCTAAAAATGAGGGATTTTTAAAGAATGGCGACGGACAGTACTTTGAGGCGCCAGATCAGAACCAAATATGATTGTTTGTGTACAACCTGAAGACCCTTTTTCTGCTATATCCAATGATATAAGTAGTTTCAGTACTAATTTTTAGTTCGTTTCAGTTACTCACCTCCTTCTGATATTCGACGGCGTACAACAAAGCGACGCGTAGAATACAGAAGAGAAGCGTCAAAAGATGACAAGTGTAGACGCATCCGGTGAAGAGCAACGAGAGTATGCTCAGAAAAAGGTCCGGTTTGGACCAGGCACAAAATGAAGTAAAAGCCGACGTCAATGGGATGCGCACGACCATAAAGTCCAATAAAACATGAAAGGCATTCCATAATTGCATCAGCAGAAACAGCCGAAGCACATCGGGTCTCAGGCTGTTTTTCATCGCATCCGAGTGCCGATTTTTCGCGTAGAACAATATCATTTTCAAGTTGACACCGAACGAAAACAGGCTGTACGTGGCGGTGACGACGGCGAACACTGTGAGCACGTTGAAAGAGTACGAAAAGTTCATGTACTCGGGCAGGTTGTCGATTCGTTTGAAGCCGTACACGGACATTCGAATGATGTTGAGAGCGAGACTAAAGTGAAGGAGTGGAAGGTGGAGGGGAGTAAACTAATTCTGAGCTATTCATAACTCGATTTGATTTAGTAAAAAATTTATTCATTTATGCCATTTGCATCCAATGTGACTCGCATTCGTAGACCTCAATAATCACGTTTTTAGGTTATTAGATACTTAGATTGTTGGTTTGGTTTCAGTTTCAAATTAATGAGATTGTGAAGAAGCTGAATAAATTGTAAAGGGATTTTGAAAAAGAAATCTTGTATTTATTTCATTCATTTTTATGCCTTCTGGCTGTTTCACATTAATTCTCTCTTGATTTTTATTGAAAAAACAAGACGCAGTACGATGCTTCAAAAACCGGCGGATGTCCGCCGGAACAAGATTGTGAAAGATAATTATCTATCACTTTCTTCTCCCTCCCACTCCCATAATCTTATCGTAAGGAATCCGTTCCCCCAAATCATTTAGTGTAGTTATAAGTTCCCCATCCACCACAAGTATCTTTGTAATCTAGGCGCGCGTCGCTAATAGTCCGTAGTTGCGCGTAGGATAAGGCGCCCCCGCGCATTCATACACTGTTTTGTCCGCCCGCCAATTTCGGGCGTTATTTTGATTTCTTTTACTACCATCCCGAGAGTTCTTGTGTTGAGAATCCATTCTTCGCTTTTTCCTCACTATGATTGTAGTGACGATATCTTATTTAAATTGTTGTTTTGAGTAGGCGTGATGTAATTGTTGTTGTCTGCTCGTTTATTGTAAAAATGGTTTAATTACCCAAGTTTGAGTTTGAGAATAAATATCAAACGAAGGGAAGGAACTACTTTAAAGATTGCATCAGTTCGCGCCACACTTGCTTTTGCTGTTGAATAATTTTCCAAAATTCGCATTGAATTTTTATCCGAATCGTTTAAACTTTTTCAACATCTTCCAGACTCGCATGTTGAAAACTTGATAAAGTTGTTGAAACGCGGTTAGTTTGGCTGGAACTTGAGATACTCGCCGTGGAACCTTTGTTGCTGCAACGACCGATAGCGACATAGAAGAATCGGAGCTCGAAAGAAACAGAAGTACTAGTTGAAATGAAGGAGCAAAGCAGAATCGGGGTCAGTTTGAGTGAACTCCAAATGGGCGGTCTAACATAATAGAACTGGGCAGAATAGAACCGCGACATAATAGAACCGCGGCATAATAGAACTGCGCAGAATAGAACTGCGACACAATAGAACCGCGACACAATATAACTGTTTGGAGCGCCTTTTAAACCTTTCTGTACAATAATTGTTTCGTAGAAAAAGATAATTTTTTATCTCGTGATCGATTTATTGCATTCATTAATTTCACTTCCGTCGTGATCCCTCTTCTCTACGGTAACGAAAACCCACAGAAAATAATTTTATTGTACTATCAAAAACGAAAGGAAACCAATTTTCTAGGTATAAACTGTGGTCTTCTGCTTAATTGTTCGAGAGACGAAACATTTTGCGAAAGTTAATTGAAAGGAACGGACAAAATGCTCGCATAAATACACAAAAACAGTTCTATTATGTCGCGGTTCTATTCTGCCCAGTTCTATTATGTTGGACCCCAAATGCTTCCCCGAAAAATCTTTGTTCCAGGTATTTCCGAAGACTGGGAAAGAGCAATGTTTTGAAGAAGTGAAGACGGAAGATCACGGAACGATGCACGAGAACAAAGAAAGTTATGATTCCGAACATGGAAAATGAACCGCAAGCGTAAAATGCAATAAATATCAGGATCGGGGTCAGTTCTAATCAAACTCAAATTGCTTCCCCGGAAAAACCTTCTTTCAGGCATCGTGGTCAGCGAATATGGAAAAGTTCTCGCCAAAACCACCCCACCCCGCCCTACTGTGCTCCACCAATCCAATCAGACTAAAAAGACAAAAAGCGTCGGGATTATTATCGGCCCGCCAATCCATGGAAAATATTCGCGATGGGAGGCTTTCCGCCAGCTATACTGGCCGTCTCCATCTCTCTATCTTCAGCTCGCCGATTTTCAGATTTTTGCATAATCCTCCATCGCTCGCACATCTTCTCTCTCCTCTTCCATTTACCTTTGCTCCAATGAGTATGTGTGTGTGTGTGTGTGTGCAAATCAAATCTCATCAAGTCCAACACCCTTTTTATACACACTTTTAGATTCATTTCCTCTTTTTTCCATCTCAATCGAATTTCCTGTCGATATCACTCGATTCGGACCGCATTTTTTGCTCCCGAGAGAGAGAAAGGAGAAAAGTGTCATATTCACTCCCACTTTGAAACGAAACGTCATTTCCCACTTCATCCCGCTGTTACTTTTCTGTTAAATGTACATAGTCGAGCCTAAAAGCAGAGATTGCCTACTGAGTATTAACAGATTTACGATTTATTTTTGCTGCTGCACGCAGAAACCCCGGAGATTTCTCGCCCTCCTCCTCCACCCCAATTAGGATTATTCTCGAACGTCAGTTTCTAATTCCGACCTTCTTAGCCGGTTTATTTTCGGATTTTCCGATGTAAGTACAATGGTTTTTGCGCGGCCCGAACCCTTTCACAGTTGATCTATTAGGTTTCAGTCTATGATCATGTTACATAGAGTTCAGAGCACTAATGCAGAGAGTCGGAAGATGAAATTCGAATTCCTGGCTCATATCTTAAAACATCAGTTTGTAAGGAGATCTGTTCATGTTCTTGTAGAATTGAGAATTTCCACAGCTCCCTCCCAAAGACTCTTCCATTCGCTAATCTGAATATCATCGGATCACATATCTTCCTGCTCTTCTCATTAAATTTTGTTTACCTTGTCTATCACGTGTGTTCTTCCGTCCGTCACACACACTTTTCCCCTCTCTTCTCAATGAATATGACATTTGCATTTTGTGTTGCGCGTCACGGCTTCTCCTCCTCCTGCTCCGCCTCGTTCGCGGCGCCCTCACATGCACAGAAAGTTCGTCATCCCAAAAGTTATTATCATTGAGATTGGGGGATTAGTTGTTTGTTTGCAGTGTGATCCGGTCCACGTGTGGATTTGGGATTTGACCGGCGGCAGTTGAAAGACAGGTCGTTGAGAGTTGAACATTTCGCTCAGAGCATTTCTAGGCCATCGCGATCCCGCAAAATGAGAATTTTTGTGTCGAAAACAATGAAAAAGCATGGGTTTTTGTGAGTTTTTGACAAAAAACGACGATTCCGCGAGGCTATCCGGCTCTACCGTCAAAGATGCGGTCGTTCTTCCATTTTGAAGCCACGAAGCCCGCCAAATTTGAATTTATATCGCGTTCTCTCTGAAACTTCATGAAAATGCCAACTTTTTTGTTTGAATGATAGTTTTCATCATGAAACGACGATTTTGTTTGCCGTCGCCCTTGAAATGCGCTCTACCGCTAAAGTCGTGGTACCTATTTCATTTTGAGCCATTCCAAGGTTTTAGTGGCGGAGCGCTCCCAAAGCCACCGTACCCCTCCTGCCCTGCTGTCTGATTCCTCCTTTCTCTGCATGACTCAAAAAGAGAACCAAGTTGATTTGAAACCAAAAACCGCTTGCCACGTCATTACAGCTTGCTCTGCGAGCTCTAGCTCCTGATCCGTGTCAGTAAGTAACAACAACAACAACAAAGGTCTCCCAGCCGCTCTCTCTCTCACTCTTTTTCTCTCACCGCGCTCCAGTTTGGAGGTGTCTAATATGGCCTTAAGCCGCTGCGCCGTTTTATGACGCACTTCATAGTGGACACGAAGATTTGATTATAATCCCCCCTTCCTTCCCCACACCGGGCCGGGAGCCGTTGTCGTGTCGGCGTGGCAGCACCGCCCTTCGGACACGGACTTTCGGGCGGCCACAACCTTTTGCGTAGAGAAACAGAAAGCTCTCTGAGATCTTTGCCATGAAAAACACACAAACGAACAATGACGGAGTCGGGAAAAGGTTTCTCGGCCGGCCGCCCACCTCTTTTTTTTAAAATCATTTCTTCCTCTTCCACTACTGTCGTCTTCCGACCTATCCTTGCCAATTGTTCAGTTTTCAGCCCCCGCCTAGTCAGCTATGAAGTGAGATGCGCATTCTGTCGGCATTCTTCGCAGTGCTCTTCACCTTCATCAATCCGACGATGATCGTGAACGTCATCTCGCAAATCGAGGCGTTCTTCAACACCAAACTGCCCGAACATTTGCGATTCGCCGCCATGGACGCCATCGTGCATCATCTGAAGGGCAGCGATCATCGCATCAAGGCCTACGTTTATGGATGTGGTACGTTGAGGTTTTCGTCGTTTTCTTTCTCACGCCCCCTAAGCTTCGTGGAGCTGAACCTAGTGAACAAAAAAGTTTCAGTGATTCTGGTAACCCTGCTACACGTGCTGTTCACCTGTCTCTCGTTGTACGGAATCTACTCGTGTCGGGCAAAGTTTATGAAGCCGCTGATTGTAGACATCATTACGAGTTCGGTGAGTTCCTAGACCTCAGCAAACCGTCAATTTTCCTTTTTCAGATCTTCCTCCTCTTTTTCGTCTTCTTCTCGCTCTTCATGTACTGGCGCCTGAACACGCTCGGCTCGATCACCGAAAAGGAGACGACGAAACTGCAACTGCGGAACATGTACGTCGGCGTCGGCTTTCTCATCGCCTACGCCATCTGGGCGATCGTCACCTGCCTCGCGCATTCGGACACGAAAAAGTTGCGCGCCGACTTTATGTACTGGATCGAGGAGGAGCGAATGTCGATGCGAAGTCGGCACAACGTTTCGGTCGACAACCGCTCGGACCGCTCGTCGAAGGGCTCGAAGGCGTCGAGGGCGTCGAAGAGCTCGGCACGAAGTGCAAAGTCCGAAATGGGCACGAGCACGGAACGGAAGACGCCGCGAGAAGGAGCATCTTCGAAGGGCGACTACCAGAAAGTGGCGACTAATTCGTGTAACGCGTCGATTTGTAAAAAGGTCTCGGTGACGAATGCCCGGCTGTCGGTGCCTTTGTAGTTACTCTTCTTCTTCTTCTTCTTCTTCTTCTGCTTCTTCATGACCGGTCCCTTCCCAGTGCTTCTTTCCACTTTCTTTCCCCCCGGCATGTTCCCCCCTCCCTACCCTCTCGTGCTCATCATCTCCCCCACCCAATCGAACGTGTTCTCTCCAAACTTATGTGCTTTTCTCCGAATTTCTCTTCATAAATTTATAATAATTTGAAATGAAAATGCGTCTAGTCGGAAGTGATTCAGGGTTGGCGTTGAGTCATCGGAAGGAAGCATGAATCAGCGGCCAGAAATTGCAAGGCATAACACATCTCGATCGACCGATTAGACCGACAAACGCCCTCTTTTTTCTTGCTTATCCTGGCTAAACTTACAACTGATATCAGTCAGAGAACCACTTTCGAACGCCTACAAATGCGATGTGAGTGCGTTCCACTGAAATCCGGCAAGAAATTCAAAACTTAACGCGCTTTTTTTTGTGTTTTTAGACGAACACACCCGAAAATTCTCAAAACTTTGCATTTTTATCAATTTCTATGTGCACTTCATTCGAGTTGTACACATTTAAAGTGAAGACAAGTAATCGTCCGTACAAGTTTTGACGGCAGGCACATAAATGTCAGGAGTGGCACTTAGACCCCATGAAAAGTCCAAATGATTAAAGCTCTTCAAGTTGACACTCTCGGCGATGACGGCCGGATTCAACTGCTTTAGCAGAAACTCGTTGATGTCCGTCGGGTCGCCCAGCCAATCATCGTCGCTCCAGAACAGATGGATCTTCGTCCCCTTGATCGCGGCGAAGTCGTACTCTGGCGGCGTCGCCTGTCCGTACTTCTTCTTGTTCTCTTTCGTGCCCCAGTCGAAGGCAGGCACTCCTCCGTGCCTGACCATTTGCATCCAGTGGACAATGTTTTGGGTGGAGGTGCCTGCCGGATCCTGAGAGCTGTAGACGGCCGTCCGTGAGGCGTTCCACTGGTTACTTTCGGGACCAGCGATCAGGAACAACTCGTTATCACACATCTCCGCCTCTTTCTCCGATTCTCCGCAGATGTCCTTGGCCGCCATTTTTGTGATCCAATTGTCGGGCAGGAAGTCTTTGGAGCCGAAGAGATCGTACCAGCCCTGAAAATTTCATTACACTAGACAGAACAGAGGATCCAACTCACATCAAACTCTGGAGAGAACTTGTGTGCAAAATAGGACAAGAAGCCCTTGATGTTCTTGACGGATCCGATGGGCGCCAGTGCGAAATATCTTCTGATCTTCTTTGCAAAACTGCCGTCCGTGTCCTGAGCGAGACGAGAGAACATGATCAGAGTTCCCTGCGAGTGTCCCATGTAGTAGAGATTCGGCTGACCGGTCATCGCCAACACGTGATCCACCATTGCGCTCAAGTCGTATCGGGCCATCTCGTCCCAGCTGAACTTCCAGAATGGGGTGTCCTTCGGGTCGAGCGTCGTGTGCTGACGGCCATAAGTGGTGCCGCGCACGTTGCCGAGCCACACGTCAAATCCGGCGTCGGCGAACACGAATGCTGAAAATGATGGATCATCTGTGAAATGAGCTCCAAAACAGTGATCCTGGCTCGTTTCAGGTACGGTGATGGTCGAAGCATTTTCTAGACCTCGGCCACCACGTTGACAGCTCGCCATTTTTTTTTTCTAGGCGGAACAAGAGACAATAGAAGCGCTGACCTGCACTCTGATCGGGAAGGTTGACAACCCAGTCGCTGGCGCAGGCGAGCAATCCGTGCTGCATCAGAACAACCGGCCGTTTCCCGTTCGGCCACGTCACATTCGCTCAAAATGCGTTTTCTTTACTTGGCCGCCGACAGAACTACTCACTTTTGCCATGCGGAATCCGTTGCATTTCGAGAATGTAGCCGTCTTCGGTGGTCACCGTGTGCACTTCCGCCGTGTACCCCCACCGTTCGATGATTTGGGACTAAACAGTTTCGATTGATAATATAACTATCAACAAGCAAGCGCTACCGTATTCATATTGAGCTCCGGATCATTGTCCGCGTGGCCTTCGACCACGTGTACCGTGATCAGCAGAACGAATAGAAAGCATGACTGCCACATGTCGGGCGACCACTTATCACACACTCTCCGACCATTTTATTCGTGAAGGCAACCGCCAGTTGTCGCTTTATCATACGAAATGTTGGAAATGGAATTGATCACGAAGAGTGGGGGAGCGAAAATCAGAATAACGTTTTGTAGCAGATGGAAACGAAACTAAGGGAATAGGGGCGTGGAAAGCAGAGTTGAGCGGAATCGATTTTTTGAAAAGGCGCGCGGAAGGCGGAAACTGATATTGAATTTTTGGCGTCAAAGTCAGTTTTCTGGCAGAAAATCAAAGAAAGAATCTTCAAAAAGCCGCATATACTTATGGTGAACAGCCAGACACTGATTTCGGAGCTTTTTCATGAGAAAAAGATTTTTCAATTTTTTAAAAAAATTTTCAAGGAAGGCGGAATAAAAATTACATTTCTGGCGGCAGGCGGAAAGCGGAAGGCGGAAGACGGAAGGACCAGGGAACCCTCCGAGTTTATGTGTCTGACTGAATTGCTTCTTATTGCCACATTCACTGTCCGAGCCCCAACTTTCAGAAATACCTGTGAATGGAACAGCGCTTAGTCAAATTTGTGGCCGTGGCCCAAAAAAGTTCTAGACCTTTTCTGGTCTATTCCGGATTTTTTTTTGCGTTCGGCACAATCTTCATACGTTGCAAAACATTCACACAAATCAGCATCCATACATAGTGCAAGAGCATCAAACTGCTCACAGGGAAGAGTTTTCACACCGGAGATTCCTAGGCCACGGCCACAACTTCAACTGCACGCCGTTTCGTTCATTGGTATTGTCTGAGAGTCAGCATTTCACCGGTGTATGAGGCAATAAGGGACAATTCAAACAGACACAAAAAAATTTCACAAAAAAATCAAAAAATTTGAGGGTTCCCTGGTCTTTTAACAACATGACCTAGAAAAACTGAGTCCCCAGAAAAGTTAGTCCCCATGGGGAAAATGTCAATTTCCTGACTCACGAATTGATGAGAAGCGACAAACGGAAATGAAGAAAAGGAGAAAGAAGAGAAGAAACATCGAGAAACAGTATAACTGATGACTAATCTGGCCAAGTTTCTCAAAATGCATCCAATTGTCCACGTGAACACATCTCACAGCCACCAAACAAAAGACAGACGTTTTTTTTTCCAGCGAGTTCTCACTTTTCCATTCTAGATCATTGCAAAATGTACAAAACATTCAAAAGAAGAAAGACGGGGGCATTTTGAGAAGAGAAACTTTGTACGTGTCTGTGTCTTCTGACTCACTTCATCTGCACACACAAAACATACCATATCGAGTGACACACATCGTTTTCCTCCTTGCTCACAGCGCCACCAGTCCCCTCAATCTTTCCGTCTCACTCTTGTGTTTTCACTCCGACGTTCTCGCTTTTCCTCTCATTTTTCCACTTTTCGACATAAACATTTCAATATAGCTTCAGTCTGTAAGGAGACTTTGCGTGCGACTTCGATATAGAAGTGTTCCGAAATAGAACAATTCTCGTTGTGTTTTGTGTATTTAGAAACAGTAATATTTCGACACAGCTCTATTCCGGAACAAATTCTATTTCGAGACAAGGTGAATGGTTCTTAGTCGACTGTTAGTCCTTAATAAGTTGCCATTAAGTGCCAAAAACGTTTGGTGACCACCCGCCCTAGTGTAATTATTTGAGAACCGTGTCATGGCAACAATTTTAAATTTTCTTTTTCAGAAACTCAATGTCGGACGTGTCGAAGACCGAGAAACTGATGGCTGAGATCGAAGAGCTCAGAAAAGAGAACGAAAAGTTGCAGAAGAAGCTGGACAGTCATGTCGTTGTCACGGTTTCAAAAGACTTGGAGACCGAGTTGAAGGAAAAGTTGGAGCAGAAGGACTCGGAGCTCAAACAGCTCAATGCTCAATGGACTGCGGAGTTCAAGCGATTGGAGACGGAGCTCGCTAGAAATGAGATGGAGAAGAAATGGATCAGAAAGTGGGCCCAAGAGGCACACGAGAACTTCTGCGCATTTGCTGAGCAACTGAACGACGAGACGCAGAAGATGTCGGAGGCGATGCGCCGAGCGGAGAGCAACTATCAGAAGCTTCTGAAAGCCGTCATTCTCGTGGATATCAAGGAGATCGCGGAGGCGGTGAAGGGATGCGATTGCAAGAAGTTTAGTTCTAAATAGTTCTCTATTTGAATCGATAAATAAATGTGATGTGACTCGGTTTTCTCGTAATGACTCATAACGGGTTCAACTTGTTGCACAGTGCACACTTAAAATTTCAGCAATGCAAGACCGCTATTTTTGAGAATAAGACCTGAAAAAATTACGACGGAAACGCGTAATTTCGTTTCCCACGAGACTCCGTTTATGCGGTTTTGGCCTGTATCGCCCGAAAATCGCATGTTTCGCGCTGCGCGCACAGGTCTCACGAATATATTTTTGTGAGCGCGCGCGTTAACGCAATATTGCGGCCTTCTGGGGAGGCAGGCAGAAAAAGAGAATGGTTCTGGCACAACAGGTCGTCCGAATGGACGGACCGTCAAGAGGAAAGACAGCAACGCGACGCCAAACTACAAACACGTGTTTTGATGGTCTGTTTACGTGACGATGTGTCACTCAAACACTCGTTAACACCTTTTGATCTCTGTGACAGGTGCGAAATCCTTGAACGGTCCCTAGCCCGGTCAAAATGTTCGCGCGAGAACCGCACAGCCGGTTGTCAGTAAGAGTCTCTACCCTCACTCTTCGCGAGAACGATCCTCTTTTTTTTCTCCCTGCCCTGCCTGCCTCCCCAAAAGGCCGCAACGCGCGCGCTCACTTTAAAGGCGCATCTATTATTGGACTACATATTTTGTCCATTCGCTGCGAGACCCGTAGTTTGACCTACTGCACAGAGCGGAAACAATTGATATTCGGTTGTTTTTATCGATGTTCTTCTCCTTGTTTTTCTTCGATCGCAATTTCGAGGTTCGCATTCACAGCTGATATCGTGACCTCACGAAAAATTTTAATGAAAGCGCATGTGTGTGTGTGTGACAGACGGTGGTCAGTCAGTCACTAGTAAACCAGGCCTCCCTTGGCTCCAATTATTTTTTCAGCTGCTCGCCGCTCATTTCGTAATAGTGGGTCTCCTCTTCCATGAAAATAATAATAATATTCTCATCTCGATTCCCCTCGCTCATTTTTTTTCGTTTTTTCCCCACCCACGACCCGTTTTTTCGCCTATCTATCAGCATCGCCGACCTAAGACTCAAGTTGAGAGCGATAAAACCTTGAATTGCTAGTTTAGATAACGTTGTTTCAACGAGAACTGTACGTTTTGCAAACGAAAACGAAATTCGTGTTTGTTTTGCACTTTGAGACTGAAAATCGCAGCTAATAACGGTTGATAGAGCCATTTTCTCAGAATTAGTACAATTTTTAGGGAAATCGAAGAAAAAGGCTACTGTAGCGAGAATGCTTGTTTTAGAACGTCAAGGATTAAAAAATATAACAATTTCACTTGAATTTCAACATTCCGCCCGTTCTAGCTTAATCTCCGCTCATTTTTGTCAGTCTTTGATCAAAATTTCTTGTTTTCTTGCACTTTTCGTTTCCCTCACTATCTAATTCCGTGCCGATTGCCAACTGTCTCGAGACCACGTGCTTTCCAAACATTTCTGAATTTCAACGGCCGACGACCACTCACAGAAACGTGACCACGCAGACAGGTGATCGACGAGAGAGCGCGCGTTTGTGTGGGAGCCAGCGAGAGACGCAGAGTCGCGTGTTGACGCGTTTTCGGTGACACCGAAATGACGTCTGCTTGACAGCAGAATTTTGTCGTCGTGTCTCCTAAATTTTGTGCCAACTGGCCAATTCTGCTCGAATTCTGCTTCAATTTTTGCGTTGTATCGTTTTTTGTTTCTGATTCTTTGAAAATTGAATCAGAAGGTTGGTGTTTGACATCTTCTTCCTTCCACAGAACAATTTCTAAAAAAATTTCATACATGTCGATTTTTTTGCATTTTCTTAAAAAATCGCGTAATATTCAATTTAAACGTTTTTTTTATTTCAGGTTCTTCTTCAAATTTGGCCCCCTCGCTACGCCATGTCCACCTCGGAAAGTGGTGGTGGAAACACCCCCGACCTTTCGAAGGAGAATACCGTGGCAGGTAGTAGCCCTGTTAACGCGAACAAGAAGCCTGACGCCGAGTCATCTGGCGGCAGCAAAGTAAGTGCTGGCGTTACGAGGTTGTTTATGTAATTCGAAACTATTGAAGAATCGAAACCGCCGCCGCTCCAACACCAAAGGCGACGGAGCCGACTCCCGTAACGGCAGCCGCAACAACAGCGTGAGCCAGCAGAAGTCCCACACGAACCGCAAGGACTGGTCGGAGAGAAAGAGCATCTCGCTCAACAACAAGAGCAAGTCTCCTGGTGACGATCACAAAAGAACTCAAAGCACCAACTGTAAGGATGAAATATTATGTTTAGAAGTTTAAATTTTTTGTTTTCTAGCTCAATCTGCGAAGAGAAATGCTCGCGATTCCACGAGAACCATGTCGCAGGCCAGCAATGGAGAAGGACTCGATTACAGCGACGAATGTGAGTTCATTCACCAGAGCTTCCACTTCTCACAAATAGTCAGTTCTTGCAGACGAACTGGAAGAACCCTTCTCGGATTCTGACGATGAGGATACTCGTCCGAAGAAGCCGGAGAAGATGAGCCTCACGATCGCTCGTGGACGCATTCGCACGCTGTCTGGAACTGTTCCGGTCGTTGGATACTCGCCACGTTGGGGAGGACCGACCATGTGTGTCAGCTGCCTCGAGTTCTTCGACTTGCCCGACCAAATCTCCGCTTTCGCTGATCATTTGCTGAAGGAGCACAAGATAGTTGTCTCCCAGATGCATTTAATTGTCGACCCGAAGCGTTACATCGAGCACTGGAGACAACGTTTCGCTAAGGAGAGCATCGACAAGATCTTCCAGAGAATTGATCCAATCGAAGGCGATTTGTACTTTGGCGAGACCGACTACTACTATCTGATGTCGGAGAATGTCGCCGAAGATCGTTCGCTGAGACAAAGACTCGCGATGCGCCGTCTTGAAGAGGCTCTCTCGTGCCAGCAGCGCGAGCGTGAGGATACCTCCTTTCAGCTCCAATGTATCTTCTGTAGATACAACGCTCGTGGAAATCGCTCAAAGATCATACACCATCTGTACATGATCCACCATCTCAACCTCGGATCGCCGGATAACTTGGTCTTCGTGACCGAATACATTGAGCATCTGAAGGAGAAGCTCCACCGCAATGAATGCATTTATTGCGAGAAGATCTTCCCCGACCGAAACACGCTCATGGATCATATGCGCAAGCGAAACCATCGCGAGGTGAACCCGAAGAATCACTACTACGACAAATTCTACATCATCAACTACCTTGAACTCGGCAAACGTTGGCTCGACGTGCTCGCTGAGGACTTCGAGGACACCATGCCGACGTTCCAGGATTCGGATGAGGAGGAGGAAGACAACGAGTGGTGCGAGTGGGAGGAGGACAACCTGGACGCCGACGAGACTCGTGTCGTTTGCCTTCTCTGTGACAGCAGCGAGGACAATGCTCACTCGCTTTTGGAGCACATGAAGACGGCTCACGAGTTCGACTTGCTCAAGCAGATCGAAGAGAGCAAGCTGAACAACTACCAGCGCGTCCGACTCATCAACTACATCCGCAAGCAGAACTACCATGCCGACTGCTGGGTGTGCCAGAAGACTGGACTCGAGAATCCGTTGGCTCTTCAGAAGCACGTTCTGGAGCACAAGCCGGTGACTGTAAGTGTCGCTAAGAATACTTTCTTCATTCCTTAGGGATTAACATTTCAGCACCTTCCTGATCCTTCGATTTGGGACATCGAGGAGAATCTCGTGCCGATTTTCGGTAACGATCACTTCCTCTGGATGCTCGAGTCGATTTTGGGAGAAAATGAGATCACCTGCGAAAGTGACGACGAGACGGAGAGCGAGGAGCGTCTCGCCAAGCTTGTACTCGAGAGCAAGAGCAACACGGTCGAAGGAGTAAGCGTCGAGAAGGCATCAAGAGAAAAACGCCTATTTAATTTCAGGTCATTGCCGAGGACCTACCGGAGCTCTCCGAACTCAACGAAGACGATCTGAACGCTCTGATGTAATGCGCCCACGCCCAGCAACCCTACCTCACCTGCCGAAAGAAAATAACCCCCTCCTTCCTCACTTCCGCCTCTTCCTCAATTATACATAGACATCCTCCCTAGTAAATACATACACTGTCCAATCTATCTCCACCTTCTCTCTCTTTGGCTGTAATTTCCTAATGATTCCAATTTACTTTACTTTCCTCTTCCTCCCATAATCAACCTCTCAATCGTTAGATTGTTTTTGTTTTCTCTTGGCAATTCTCCGTTTTCGGAGAGTTTGCACGTTGTTTTGTGTACTTTTGTTTCACAGTAACTCTCCCATCTTTTTCTTTCTTTTCTCCCCTTTCACCACCTTTTGATGCTTTTCTTCTAGGGGTCAGGAACGCAATGGCCCAAAACGGTAACATTATAATCGTTCCCCTTCCAAATATCTAACATATCCCCTTTCAAAATGTCCCCCTTCTCATCTCTCTTCTTCATCTGCTTTTCGGTCCATTGTAGTTCCACCCTTTGTATGACCCCGGACTGTGCTGTAATGCATTGATTTTTCATTCGATTCGGTGAGTCCAGTTCGTACGTTGTTATCCTGAATAAAGCTTTCTTTCGGTCTTTCTCGCCTTTGGGAAGCTTCTAGAAAAAATGTGGAAACTCGTAGGCATCATACTTCTATTCTGAAAAGTCCGACACCGAAATTTTTGTAAACAGCCAGTTCCCTGCTCATTTCTGAAATGCGCGAAGCAGAATGTCGGGAAAGATGATGCTGAAACTGGTGATGGCCACCTCGGCCACTCGACAACTTCTCCGTCTCCGTCCCGCAGGAGGTGTCTCCAGAAGTTTCCCGGCAAAAACAATGCAAATTTTCAGTTCAGAATGCGCCGTTCTGGCTGATCCGAACGCAACCATTTGCGTCAGAGGGAAAGCGTGGCAAGCGAAAGTTCGTGGAGGCGGCAGTGGTGAAGAACACGAAAAGCACGAAGCGGGTCGTCGATGTGTGGAAGAAGATGAGTCCGACGTAAGTGCGCTCCACTGCCAATTCTGGCGGGACGTTCAAACGTGACTGGTTGCTCATCCATAAGACGCGTCATCTTTTGTCATTTTTGTAGAGAAAACTGAGAACCTTCAGCCCAAAACTTGTATCGATCATTTCTTAATCGATTCTGTCATCAGAATCTGTCCGTTTTCGATTCAAAATGTCTCGTGACGTGCAACTTCTCGCAATTGCATTTTCTGGTAAACAAAAATCGACGGTTTCTTATCGTAAACAGAGGAAATATTGCTACAATATAAACTTTCTAACATTTCACGTCATTTCCCCTCTTCCTCCTCCCTTTTCACGCAGATTGATTGTGCGATTCGGTCGATCGGATGACTATCATCTGTCATAATGTGGGTCATTCCGCGTCTTTTTCCATTTCTCTCTCTCTCTCTCTCTCTCTCTCTCTCTCTCTCTCTCTTTTCGCAGTCTTTGCCCTTTTGTTGCGACACAAATTTCGCTCAAATTAAGCCAATTTGCCCTTTTTTCTCGCAAAAACTTGTTTTTCAGAGAACTCGCCAACGCGCTCGACGTCGATTTGAGTGAAATCACCGAGCTTTTGGAGAATTTGGATCGTCGGAATGTCGACGCGATCATTGCTGACTCGTCGCTCGACGACAACTCTATTTTACAGGTGATTCTCGTAAAAACTTGTCATTGCGTACAAATTCCGTTCAAAAATGTGTCCATGCTAGCGAAATTTGTATTTTTCCCATATTTTCGAGAAGAAAACGGCAAAAAATCACGATTTCAGACGAGCGCAGCATTCTCGTGCAAACCTCGCTTCACAAACGGACCGCCGAAGCGAGTGGAACAAGAGGATGCAGACCTCCGGCCACAATCGGAACCCTCGCCGAAAGATCTCGAACGTCGACCGCCCATCGTCACCATTATGGGGCACGTGGACCACGGAAAGACGACGCTCCTCGATGCGATGCGTCACTCGCAGATTGCGGCCGGAGAGTTCGGAGGCATCACCCAGCACATCGGAGCATTCTCGGTCGAGCTCACGAAGGGAAGAAAAGTGACGTTTCTGGATACGCCCGGCCATGCGGCGTTTGCGTCGATGAGAGCCCGCGGAGCCCGTGGAGCCGATATTGTCGTGTTGGTTGTGGCGGCGGACGACGGAGTGAAGGAGCAGACGGCCCAGTCGATCAAATTCGCAAAAGACGCGGGGGTGCAGTTGGTGGTGGCGGTGAACAAGATCGACAAGCCGAACGCGGATTCGATGAGGGCGATGCGGTCACTTCTGGAGCATGACGTGGTCGTCGAGCAGCTCGGAGGCGATGTACAATGCGTGGAAGTGTCCGCACTTCAGTCCAGGAACCTTCCCGCTCTTCAGGATGCACTTCTTCTTCAGGCAGACGTTATGGAGCTGAAGGCGACGAGAAAAGGCAAGGTGGAAGCGGTGATCATCGAGTCGTCGGTTGTGCACGGCATCGGGAAAGTATGCACTTTGGTTGTCTCGAGAGGAACGCTCAAAAAGGGCTCCGTCCTGGTCGCCGGCAACTCGTGGTGTCGTGTAAAAACCATGCACGACGAGAACGGAAACATCCTTGCCTCGGCGCTTCCGTCGGAACCTGTCCGAGTTTCGGGATGGAAGGACGATCTTCCCGCTCCCGGGGACCTTGTTCTTGAGGCGGACACTGTAGATCGAGCACAAAAAGCGGTCAATTTACGCGCGGAAAAGGAGATGAAAGAGAAGGCGGAACGGGATTGGGAGGAGACGAAAGAGCAAAGGGACCGGGCTCGCGAGACCTATCTGACCAACCGACAGGTCCTTTTGGATCGCGGACAGCGATTCGGATCGACGCTTCGAAATGTGGTGCACAAAAAGCAGCGGATCGAGAAGGACGTCGAGGATGGATCGCCCAAGTTCAGGCTGATTGTGAGTTTTTTTTGTTTAAAGAGAGTTTTGAAATCATGTTCTTCAATTTTAGATCCGAACAGACGTGGAAGGAACGCTGGAAGCGATTCTGGAAATCCTGAACACCTACTCGTCGGAGCAGTGCAAACTTCAACTCGTCGACTTCGAAGTGGGCCCGCCGACCGAGAAAGACATTGAATTGGCGAAAGAGACGGGCGCCACGATCTACACGTTCAACGTGGAAACGTCGGCAAAGATCAAGCAGAGAGCCGAAGCGGTGGGCATTCAAATCGACGCCTTTAACGTAATCTATCGAATGATCGAAGCGTTGAAAGGAGAGCTTTCCGCGCGGTTGCCGAAACAGACCGAGTTGCATTTGGTCGGCGAGGGGCATGTGCTCAAAGAGTTTATGATTTCGGACCGAGGACGCAAAAGACAGCCAATCGCAGGCACTCTCGTTAATTGGGGCAATTTCGATCGGTGCAAAATTAGGCGGTTTTCTATTAAAACACGCACATTTTCAGTCATTGCATCTACAAATTCACACGTGGCACCGAGGTGATTTTCGAGGGCGAAGTGGAAACGATGAAGGCCGGCATGGAAGTGGTGAATAACGCGAAAACGAACACGGAAGTCGGATTGGCGCTCGTCGACAAAAATATTCGTTTCAAAGAGGACGATCAGGTGGAGGCGTACGAGAAACGCACAATCACGCAGCATATCGATTGGTATCCGCCCGGATTCTGAGCCCCCCCCCCATTTTTTGTACATTTTTGAAACGTTTTAGGTCCTTTTATATTCACTTTTTTCTTTTGGGTAGATTCATAGAATTTTAGACTTGTTTTGGTTTTGATCTTTGATCGTTAATCTAATAATAAATTGTTTTCTTTTCCGCACCAATTCTGCTCTTCCCACAAATGTCATCGTCTAGTTGTCTGCGATTCGATTCGATTATCTCTCTAAATTTCTCGAAATTTCCTTTAAATTATTTCGTTTTGCTTGCAGAGCAGTCTCGGGTTTCAAACCGATGCAGCCCAATGAGCAAGCGAGAAGGGGAAGAAGCGGCCCGGCTCCACAGCAGTATGCGAACGCGGTGGTCTCCGAACGCATCGATTCGGTAGTCTACGGATTCCTGCGGCGAAGCGGAGTGAGTTTTCACTTCAAATTTCTTTGCTTTCACCCAAAAAATCTAGAAATTTTTGAATTTCGAGCACTTTGAATCTAAAACGGGCAGGTTAATAAAAAATTTCTTAGCTTCGGTCGTTCAGAACAAAATGTTCAAGTTTTCCGTCGACGGAGCACAAAAACACAAACATCGCCGATTTTCAGTACCACAACGCGGCGAACGCAATGGAGCAGGAGTCTCCGTTCATTCCCACACCAGACGGCCGCCGCGTGGTCACCATCAACGACCGCATCCACGAGCACACACTCGAAGACATTCTCACGCTTTTCGAGCAAGACGGCCGTTTCGGTGTCAACCAGAATCTGCTCGAGTTTGGCGAAGAGTTGCGACGGCTCACGAATCGATTCACGACGATCACGGCACAGTCGGCGCCCGGCCGCAGCACAATCCATCAGCAATTGTACGGACGGCCCGCTTACTCGAGAGCGCAGACGTATCAGCCGGCGCCGCAAGCCAGGGCGCAGATGGAGTTGGCGCGTATTGCACAGATCGGCGAGATGCGGTTTCGCGAGGAGCAGGAGCAACGGCAGAGAGCTCAGCAGCAGCAGCAGTACGTACAGCAGCAGCAGCAGCCGCAGCAGATGATGATGCTCCAGCCGCCGCCGCAAATCGTTCAGGCAGCGATGTCGATTCCGATTACTCCTGTCGCAGTTCCACCCCAACATTTAGAGGACGGAGAACTCGTCGCCTCGTCCCAATCGGCCGCGTCGGTCGCCTCTTCGTCCCGCCGGAAGCTTCATCACCCTCAGAGCTTGAATTCGTTCGTCCGAGAGACGGTCATCGAGCCGATCGTCGGATTGATCAACGAACGAACGTGGAACGATTTGACCGATGTGAGTGGAGATGGAGCATAGGTGTTTTGAGTTGAGCGCCGGCAGTTCGGGACAGGCGAGTGGGAGGGGCCTGGTTCGGAACAAAATTTGGCAGCCGTAAGGCTGCCCAATTTACCCGGACTGGGCCATATTCGTTCATTTCCCACTCGTTTCTCAAACATCTCGCACCTATGAGATGGAGTGGAAATTTATAAGAAAATGGATAATTCCAGATTCAAATCGACGACGGAACCGCCATTTGTGATGGTCTTGAGGTTATCGGCAAGGATTTTCTGGCGACATTCGACTACAATCCGGAAGAAATGAACCATCAGCAGTCACATTTTGATCCGGTTTTCGATGAAATTATGGTTGGTTTTTATTCTAGTTTCTAGCGCCTCTGTTCTAAAACTATTCAGTTTCAGGACAATTATCATGTAGCTTCGGATCAACAGCTCCGGGAGCATCCGGAGATCCAACAACAAGCTCAGAATCTAGTGGTCCCTATCGCAGAAGATGTTGTGATGGAAGAAATCCCTCGAGAATCGAGCTCGACCATGAAGACGGCCCGCTTCCCGGAACCATCGCCACTTCTGAGCCCTCTTCCGAGAGACTTGTCGTTCCGGAAACCGCCCGAGCCGGCAGTTGTGATGAGCGTGACCACAGTGCCCGCACAACCTCCGATAAAAATGTAAGCCCACTGGAACATATAACTAAAATCATGTAACAACTTTCAGAGAGCCCAGAATGGAACCTCCCGCCCCCGCACACGCCCCCGCACCATCGGCTTCTCGTCCCAATCCAGTCGCGCCCAGATTCCAGGATCTCCCTCCGATTCCCAGAAAGAAGCCGTTGGACTCGGAAAGAGATCGGAAGGAGGAGAGAGAAAGGGAGAAGGAGAGAGAGCGGCGGGACCGACATTCGGAAGACCGGTGAGAGGCACCGAGCATACGGGGCAATACCCTTGTCAGCGTTCGTTCCAGAAGCTCGCGAAACGACTCATCGCCGTCTCGGAGATCCGTCGTTGTCGATCGGAGGAACGAGGAGAAGAAGCGGCTTCGCGAAAAGGAGCGGGACAGGGAGCGGGAGGTGAGAAAGGTGTGCGTAGTTATAGTTAGTTGTGTCCTGATTGCTTTCCTTTCCACTCACCCTCTCTTCCGTTGTTGTTGTGTGATTCACCCCTGTTCCGTTTTGTAGAAGAGCACGCATCGAGACCGTGAGAACGAGAAGCGCAAGGAGGAGAGACCGCATGCCACGTCTTCGAGAAGATTCTCTTCCATCGAGCCTTCCACATCGAATCATCGATCCTCTTATGTTCAGAACGATCGAGAGTCGGACGTGTCGGCATCGGCGAGCAGAAAAGAATCGGAACGACGGTGGAAAGAGAAAGAGGAACGTAAAGAAGTGGTGGAGAAGGAGAGAGAACGAGCGAAAGAGAAAGAGAAGGAAAAAGAAAAGCAGAGACCTCTTCCGATTCCACCGTCGAACAATCAGAGCACAAAGGTGACTAACGATTTTCTGAACAAAGTTCGGAAAGCGCAAGCCTCAACGTCTTCAACATCGACGACTTCTGTGCCCTCCTCTTCCTATCCGTCGTTGGCTCCGAAGCGGAAAGCGGACGAGATGAAAATGGACTTTAAAATTCCAAAAAAGCCGTCCACAAGCACCTCGATTCCGCTAATCAAGCCGCCGGATTCGCGTGCCTCCTACGGATCCGCACTGCAATCCGGTCCGCTTATCCGAGAAATGCCGTCTTCGGCCGTCTCGACATCTTCTTCGAAATCGGAAAAGTCGGATAAGACGGACAAGTCGGAGAAAGCATCGAAGCCAAGAGTGAGTAATAGTGCTCTTCACTGTACTCACTCGTCCGCTAGAAAAAATTACAGAAAGCGCCGGCTGTGGAGCTCTATTCTGGCGACCGCGAAGACACGACACACTTTCTGGGTCCACGTGGACATTTGGCACGACGTAAGCCACGCCCATTTTTAGAAACTTCTTCCCAACTGCTCGTTTTCAGTTACTGCGCTTCTGATCAACAGCGGCAAGAAGTTTGAAGAAAAGCAAGAGCAGATCAAGAAAGCGAAGGAGAAGCAACTAGAAACGGAAGAAAAAGAGCTGAAGCTCAAAAAGAAGGACACTCTGGTCGATGATCTTCACCTCTCCGACGCTTCTCTCTCGCCGCCAGTCTCGGCGAATTCGGAAACGAGCTCGGCGGCCAGTGCACCACAGATGGCGGGCCCTTCCACGGCGCCAATGCCGGTGAATCAGTGCCCGAAAACGACGAGACAAATGGCTCCGCGGAAGGGATATATGCTCACTGAGAGACCGGTGAGTTTGGGTGATTAGGAGGGACACGACCGATCAAAGAAGTTACGCGACAAAATATGCACAACGTGCAATGGTGATTGTGTAATTAAACTAAAGTGCAAATGAGGCCAATTGATGTGATTTTTGACCTGAAAAAAGTAGAGTGGTGTCTTTGATTTATCGTATCAGTCCGACTTTTCATGCTTCCCCAATTCCAGAACATGAGTTCACCGGCCGAAGAGAGTAGTTGCGACGAGACAAGCACTGCCGAAGAGCAGACTGACAAAGAAGCGACGTCGAGCGACGAGGAGGAGGAAGAGGAGGGCGAGAAGAACGGCGAGCCGCCGAAAAAGAGACGACCGCCGCGGAAAGAGTACGGCGAGTCGGTCGAGCCGAGAAAGTCGCATAGTCGGCTTGATATGAATGATATTGAGCATCTGATGAATCGCATTCACGGAGGTCCTACTCAGAAGCAGCAAAGCGAGTGACCACAATCTTTCCCACAAAATTGTTCAACTTTTTTAGTTCTTATTTCCTTCCCCGGGTATTGGTGTCTTTCCTCTCTTTTGCATATCCCTTTTCAAACAATTGTGTTTCCTTCTGAACATTTCGGGTTTTTCTTTGGTTTTTATTGGTATTATTGTTTCTTTCTTTCTCGCATTATTTTTCGTATTCGTTTTCGCATGATTATCGTTTCATTGTATTTAGTTGTAGGCTTTTTTAATAATCCATCTGGATATATCTCTTGGCATATCCTGTTTTGGTAATGAATGTGATGATGAAGCGGTTTTTCGTAGAATTTGATATTCATTCGAAGTTTTTGGTGCCCAGTCCTCTTTTCTACCTTTACAATGTAAACATTCTCTATTTCTACAAAGATTTCAGTATTCAGATGCTCTTCCGACGCTCGAGGATCTTTTTAAGCTTCCGACAGCTCGCTAATGGTAGGTGAGCGCACGCAGATCCAAGAGACATTCGGTCAGTTCTTTCAGACCAGACATCGCCACGACGTCATCGAAATTCGTCACCGAACGATGGTCGGTGCTAGTCGTGCATCCGAAAGTGAGCCTCGACTTTCATCCGATTTTTCCACAACAATATATTGTAGGTCCGATGGGGATCTGGCTCGGCGTCGGTGTTGAAACAGGCGGATCGGCAGCTCGAGGAAGCGGTCGCGCTGGTCAACAATCTGCCGAATATGATTGCCGTAGAGTGAGTGGTAAAATCGACACATTTACTGAAAAAAAGGTTCGACATTAGAATCGGAGTTGGCAGCGAGCCAAGGACACGCCTCCCAAACAGTTTCCACTGCAACTGCCGCACGCTATTTGGGGGGCGTGTCCTTGGCTCGCTGCCAACTCCGATTCTAATATCGACCCGTTTTTTTTTCAACAGTAGTTCGAAATTGAAGATGTTCTATCGATTTTGTGCTGAGAATGCTTGAAAGTCAGTCATTTTTGCTTTTACACGTGAAAAAGATATTTTCTTGGTTTTTCCAGTAGCCTGGTAATGCCAGTGGACTACAACACGAAGCGCAAGTCAATCTGGGCAACTGGTAACATCGAAAAGCTCATGGTGCGTCGAGAGACGGCCCGTGCGACCGCCCTGATGGTCAACGTGGACGTGCTGAGTCCCGCGCAACAAGAGGAACTCTACCGAATCTTCGAAGTGCCCGTCTTCGATCGATACAACATTGTGCTCGCCACTTTCAAAGAGTTTGCGCGAACCGAGGAGGCTCGACTTCAGATCGCGCTTGCCGAGATTCCGTACATCAAGCATCGGATTCACGCGTTGGCGTCGAGACGCCTGCATTCCCGGCCCGAGATTTTGCACGTCGAGCAGCAGTACGCGGAAGTCGACGGAGATTTGAATGAGATTTTGAGGAAACGAGAGCAGGATTTGAGGAGAGAGCTCAAGGAGGCGACACGGAAGAGCACGGAGCAGCAGTCGACTAGCCACACGTCCGACGCCGTCGTGGCTGTCGTCGGGTACACGAACGCCGGAAAGACGAGTCTCGTGAAGCGGGTGACGGGCGCGGTGTCTCTGAAACCGAAAGATCAACTTTTTGCCACGCTGGACACGACACGCCACGTGGCGAAACTGCCGTCCGGCCGTTCCGCAGTGTTCACGGATACCATCGGATTTCTGAGCGATCTGCCGATGCACTTGATCGCTGCGTTCGAAGCGACTCTCGCACATGTCAAGCTGGCGGTGGCTGTCATCCCTCGTGCGGCATTCCTTAATAATTTTTAATTGCAGGACGTGATAATTCACCTGCGCGACGTCTCGAATGCCGACTGGAAGGCGCAAGAAGAAGACGTCGTCGCCACACTCAAATCGATCGGAGTCGCTAAAAACGTACTTGAGCAGCGAATGATAACAGTCGACAACAAAGTCGATAAAGAGGGCGCCGCCGACGCTTCCGCGACGGGCAACGCGGTCCGAATTTCGTGCGAAACCGGCAGCGGAATGCGCGAACTCATCGATGTGATCAGTTTGAAGGTGACGGAGGCGACCAAGTGCAAGACGATCCGACTGCGGCTCGACGTCCGATCGCCTGTCATCGAATGGCTCTACCACAACGATTTTGTGGTTGTCGAGCCGCGAGCGGACGGGGATAACACTCTGATCTTCGACGTGGTTATGAACGAGTCGGAGATCGGGAGGTTCCGAAAACAATTTGCTCATTTGAAAAAGAAATAGAAATAAAGCTTTATTGAATTGTTTTTTTGTCATATTCTATCCGTGGTTTAGTTTTCAACCAGTTTTCAATTATCTGCATTATCATTGTCAACTCTTATCCGATTACTCACTCAAACTTTTCAGAATGAGCACCGCGACCACCTCAAAGACAGATGACAAAAAAGAGAAGAAAAAAGTGAAGGAGCCGGTGAAAAAGGAGAAAAAAGTGGTGAACCATGAGCAAGTGAAAGTGGTGATCCGTCGTCTGCCGAAGCACATGACCGAAAAGGAGGTGCTCGAGCAGATCAGTCCATTGCCCGTAGAGGTCCTCGGCACATACTTCCGCCCCGCCAACTCCTCGTTCGACCGTTCCGCGTTCGCCTCGCTTACCCTTCACTTTTCGGAATACTGCGATGCCCTCGTCGACTTCGAGCGTCGCTTCGACGGCTACATCTTCGTCGATTCGCGTGGAAACGATTCTGCGGCGAGCGTCGAGGCGGCCGTCAACCAGGCGTTCTCGAAGTGCGACCGTGCGCGTCTCGCCGAAGACAGCCGCGTCGGCGCCATTCTCACCGATCAGTACTACCTGGACTTCTGCAAGAAACTCGAAGAAGAGAGGAATACGCCGGTGATGACTCTCGAGCAACAAATCAAGAAGCTCGGGCGTCCTGAGGATCCAAGAACTCGTAAGAATGGAACGTTTAGATGCATTTAATCAGTTATTATTCAGAAATCGATCGTCTCGAGACTCCACTCGTCAAGTATTTCTTCGCTAGAGAAGCCGGAAGACGTCGTGACAATGAAGTGCGAAGAAATCGCCGCGACGAACGGAAAGCGGCAGGAAAATCGCCGAAAAGTGTGATTGACCTTCTGTTGAAACCTTCCGCTTCCGCTCCGAGAAAAGAGCCGAGAACGCCGTTGACAGAACGAGAAAAGGAGGAAAAATACGCGAGAATTGATGCGAAGGTGAGAAGAAAAGAGGAAAATAATCGGAATGTGTTAATTTCAGAGAAAAGAGCGTGATGCTCTTCGAAAAAAGAAGTTCCTCGAGGAAAAGAAGCGAAAGCGCGAGGAACGTGAAGCCGAACTTCAGAATCCAGGCCAGGAACGTTCTGATGCTGCTGGACCTCCTCGGGAGCCCCGGGAACCACGGGAACCCCGGGAATACAAAAAGAAAGAACGTGGCCCAAAACCACCACGTCCGGCTCCGGCAAAAACACTCGGAGAGCAGCAAGGTGTCGACTGGATCCAGAAGTTGACGTCTCAGAGTTTGCAGTTGAAAAAGAAGCACGATGTAAGCAAATAGCCCCATAAGCTCTTGATTTAAACCCCTCCGAAAGCTTACAGTCACCTCCAAACTGACCATTGTGAAACTGCTCAATGTTCCCGCTCCATCTCCCGGTGCGCAGACTGTTGTGAAGTCGTCGCTGCAGCCAAGTGTGAATGCTGCGAAGTCTTTGAAACCGCCACGGATCCGCCGTCCGAAGACGGAGAAACGGTCGTAGAGCGGCCTTCCAATGTTTAAGTCCTAATTTACTTGTTATCAAAGTGTTCCTTACCCGCATTGTTTCCCCAATCTACCTCGACAATTCGTTCCTAATCAATCTTTCTGTGCCCCCAAAATACAGTATTCATTTGTTGTGATCAATTCGCCTGAAAAGAAAGAAAAGAAAATTATATAGTTTTTTCTGTTTCTTGTTCGATGGGAAATCCCTGAGGGAATGTCTCCTCTCTTTTTCTTCCTCCTCATCCTTCTGCGCTAATTTTGTGTTGTTTAGGTGACCACGACGCCAGTGAGACCATCTGCCCGTACAAAATGGTAAGGAATACCAATTAGGATGACTCCGCACGCGCGCACGCGGAAGCGGAACGCACAAGTTTCTTCTTCCGCAGCAATTAGCATCTATTAGGCCTTTATCTATTCTTAGAGAAAATTTCTCTAAAAAACTTGAGTTTTCTCTTTTACAGCCGTTCCTCGCGCTCGAAATCAAATGCGTGCTGAAAGGAGTGACGGAGCTGCGTCCGGACGCGCCGGAATCGTTTCACTGGCATTTGAAGCTCAAGTGCACCAACTGCGGAGAGGCTCCCGAACACTGGCAATACGTCGTCATCGATGTGAGCAAATTGGTCCGCTTCTTCTTGCAGAACAGTGAATGATTTAGGAGACGCTCGAAGTGCCCGGAAGTCGTGGAGAGGCGAATCTAGTGGAGAAGTGCAAGCTGTGCGGAAGAGTCAACACGCTCAGTGAGTGCGGAGTGAGCACAAAAAGGGCGGCATTTGAGGGTTTTAAGTTCACGTGACCTTGTGGTCAATTCAGACAGATTTTTGAAGAAGAAATGAGTAAAATGATAGTTTTCACGTGAGCTCGAGGTCAATTCAGGCAGATTTCCTGATTGATTTGAAAAAAGTGCAGCTTTCACGTAAAAATACAAAGTTTTGGCAAATTATGAAGCTATATCGTACAAGGTGCTCTCGCTGTTCCAATCCGATATTTCAGGCATTCTGGGAGACCACATCTCGAGCTACAACGCGGAAAAGAACGACGAGTGGCAAGTGTGCACGATCTTTGACTGCCGCGGACTCGAACCGTTCGATTTCGACCCGAGAGTAAATCTCTCTTTCTTTTCTAGGCCTCATGAACATATTTCAGGCCGAATGGATTGCGAACAGCATCGAAACCGGCAAACCGTTCAAGGAGATCGACTTGTCCGAGAAGGAGTGGGTCGATTTTGACGACAAGGCGATGGAAGCAGTCGAGATCAGCGAGTTCCAGTCGCGCTTCGTCCACGCCAAGGATCCGAAGAAGAAGTGATCCGCGTCAACTCCCTGTTTTACCCTTTTCATTCCCATTCTGCCTACTATGTCTAATTTGACCGTGTCTTACATTGTTAACCCCGACCTTTTTGTATTCAAAAATAGGTTTATTCAGTAGTAGAGATACTGTTTTTTGGTCGAAAATGCGGATCGCATTGAAATTGCAAACTGAGCACACGAGAAAATGAATAGGCAAGTGTGAACGGTGATCTGAAACTAGGTTGGATTATTGAGAGAGCGCGATTGCACACCTGTATAGCAGCGATTTCCCTTTCCGTCTCCTGAGGTAACCAATCGATATACGGATGCATGAAGTGCACGACTCGCATGCAATAGGCCTCCCGATGGGACAGCCAATGGCAGTGGCGGGTGATCATGTGCGGCACGGTGTTCCGATTGAACCAGCAGAAGATGCCGAAGCTCGTCGCCGCGTTCAGCAGGACCGAGAAGGCGGCGCCGATGATGTTGACGGCCCGAGTGGTCGAGCCGTGGCACTTGGTCCGCCACGTCACGACGCCCTGGAGCAGTGAGAAAAGGCCGATAGCGAGCGGGAGATGGAGGAAGAAGAAGGTGCAACAGTAGCGGAGGTGGAAGACGGAGACGAGGATGATGAGCACGGATATGACGACTTGATAGTGGTATGAGTAGAGACGGATTCTAGAATTTTTTTTTCCGAAAATATGGCTCTTGCGCTCTATCGCAATCCTTGTGGCCGTGGCTTGAAAATCACCAAGGCCGAGTTTTTGCTTGTCAGTGCGGTAGAGAGCAATTGACACAAAACTCACTTTGTCTCGACGGCACTGTAAAATGTGAGAAGAGTACATATAACGAGATGAATTCCAGAGAGAACAGACAACGAGATCGAAGTGAACAACCGAATGCCTTCACTTTCCTGCAACAATGTAAGTGCGCTCCAATGCAAACCCAAATCAAAAGCTGCCAACCTTTGGCTCCCATCCGAGTTTGTCCAAAATCGACAATTGCAGGTTGGCTAACAAGTCGTTGCACGAGCCGACCATCGCAATCGTCCGATATTTCAACCCGTGGCACACGCCGTCTTTGATCGTCTCATCTGCGTCTGACAAATGGATGGAAGCCATTTTGGATGGAAGTTCGGTAGAGCCCACTTACACTTGAACTCGTTGATACAATAGGATTCGATCAGCGAGGAGAAGAAGAATATGAAACCGATCGAGGAGCACGTGAGTTGCAGGTAGAAATCACATCTGAAAACTTATTTCGATTTTGAAGATTCGAGGATTTCTGGACGACCTACCGATTTGGATACCTGAGAAAGATGGCGTGGAAAGCGGTGACCAGACCGAAAACGGCGTTGATAAACGGGAAAAGCAGAAAGAATAACGGGGAGCAGTAGACGATGTGAGTCCCTCCGAGCATGAACTCGAACTGAAACCGGGCTCTCTGGATCCTTGAGGATCTCGAATAGAACTTACAAACGCGACGATCGCGAGCAACGGATACAAACTCCATTTCGGTCCGGTCGATGCCATTCTTCCACCAAAAGACACAAAAAAATGGGCCCGGAATCAAAACTCGTCGGACGGACACAAAAAAGGAAAGAATGGAAAGAAACTATGGAGGACTAACGAGTGTCCGGCTGGACCATGAACGGAGAGTGAAATAGGAAAAAGAGGGGTCGAAAGGGATGTGTGTGTGTGTGTGAGCGCGAGGAAAAGCCGACAGAGGGGCTCCAATTTTTGTGTGCCCGGGAAATCAAATCAGGATTTGTTGCTTTGCTCTGTGAAAATGATGATGATGATGTTGGACTGACTGCCCTGGGGACACGGAATTTGAGGGTGGTCCGTTTTTGAAGTGAAATGGAGGATCAGGACGGGGCTAGTTAGTTAGAAATCAAATGAATTGGAATTGAAAACACACTAACACTTTAGTGGATTAAAACGATTACAAACATTGAAAAGAGAGTGGAGCTTTTGAGTGAATTCCTCATATCTAGTACTTCACTTTTCCTGTTGATCACATTTTGTAGGAAAGAACACCTGAAATTTACCGAAAATACTGTAACGGGAGTGCACGCAGTACCGTTTTTTCAACACAATGTAACTCAGCTGTACGTGAAGATATAAGCAAATTGCCAACTGATAAAATGTACACAATATGTTCATGCGCATTTTTTCAGTTTACAACATTTTGAAATCTCTACCGGCAGCTGAGATATACCGTTTTGAGTGGTCGATACTGTGGTGTTCTTCAATTACAATATTTACGTTAGCTTGTCGTAGCTTTCACGGTACTCTTCAAGGTGGTCGTACAAAAAAAAATGATGAACTGCAAAGATACAGATATCTACTGGATATCTACAATTCACAAAAAAGTTTTTCAGAACCATTGGACGCCTTAGGAATCTGCAAAAGTCCCATGAAGTAGGAAACCGAACACCTTCTCTCGCCCTCTTGATCCAATTATCATCGGTTCGGAGTGCAAATTCGAGTCCTAATCCAACTCCAATTCTTCCATTTTTCCAATCCAATTTCTCTCCGGTGGTGGTCCCTCCCAGTCGGTCTCGCTCGCTCGATCCATCCATCGTTTCGCCGCTCCTAATTGCGATTATCGCCCCGTCAGTCGCCCGAAACTCGATTATAGCGCCCCGCGTCCCCGGCTGCCGTTAAGTGGAGAAGAAGAAGAAGTAGAGAGAGAGAGAGAGAGAGACTGAAGCAGAAGCAGAAGAAGAAGCCGGGTAATCGAATTTGATTCGAGTCGGGAGGGGAGCCAATGGCTCGGCGAAAGTGGGCGGAGCCTCACCGGTGGTACGGTGGTCGTCGTGGCCGGTAGGGGAGGAGCAGCAGCAGCAGCAGCAGGCCCCGGGGGCGGACGGCGACCAGTCAGCTGCCCGGCTCTTCAGAAGCCACCACCCTCATTCACTTCTACGCGACGACGACGACGACGTCGACTTCTCGACGACGATGAGCGACAATTTGCTGAACGGCGGCGGCGCGAACGGCTCGGCGGCGACAGTCGCGCAGGTAAGCGATGCTCCGGGAGAGCACCCAGCCCAAACCTCATTTGGTATGAGGCGGGCAGCTTCGCAAACGAAATAAACAGTAATACGATTTGGTGGCGCCGCCGAGAGCTCCATAATTAACTTTTCTGGCGCGCACAATATTCCTCCTCCTCCTCCTCGTCTCCTGAAGACGTCCTCGCGTTTTTCGGAAGACGACTGGGAGGAGGAGTCCGCGTGTGTGTGTCTGTCTTCCCCTCATAAATTCATTATGGAAATTTGATTGTTAGATGCTCTCACGATCAGTGGCACAAACCTTCCGGAGGCCCTCACTCGGCTCATCCTACCCGGCTCCGGCGGTCGTCTTCTGAAGCCGTTGGCGTCAGAAGGTGACAATTCGGAGCCAGGTGAATGATGACGTCGGGCGCCAACTACTGTAATTGAGTTTATCATATCCCCGACCATAGCATACAACACACCTACTGATTCATAACTTTTCCGCTTCCATTTCGAGTACTGTATCTGTCCCAGACTGTTAGTATTATGATTTTAGAACTGTTCCTTCAATTTTACCGTATCCTACGGCCGTGGCCGAGTTTTCACCACCGCAATGGAAGTGATAGTATATAACTTTGAAATTGAAGCTTCCTAAACGGGTAGTGCTCAAAAACTCAAACATTTTCCTAAAAAACGTTGCTTTCCCAGCCAATCTAGCTCTTGTCCGTCCATTTCCCACTTTCAACCGTTCTCGATTACAGTTCCAATTCCAAGACAAGGTAAAAGATCTTCCGATCTCGCTGCACGACTTCACCGCCTACTACCCTGGCTCCCTGGATACGGTCTCCGCGTCGCTCCGTCCGATTTCCGATCCGTCGTCAGGTTCGTCGTCTTCTTCTTCTCTCTCTTTTTTGGTAGGGAGGAGCCTTGGTCCCAGCAGTTGAGGGGTGGAGAAGGCGTCGAAAGGAACGAAAATTACATCAGAATATATCAGATTTGCTCGGGGAATCATATTTGATGTCTTCTCCGCTTGCCTTGTAGCTCTCAGTCAGTCAGTTCGGTCCGACATGTCGGTCCTAGCCGGCTCTCCTCGCGGCTACGTGTCAAGAGGTGTCATTATTAGTGTTGCGCAATGGTTTCCGCCAAAGGTTCCCCGTGGAGCTGTCAAGTGATACCCATAAGATGTTACCGTTTCCACCCATCCCATGCCACCCATCCTTGAGTTTGTACATGTGCCAGGCAGCCAATTATGACGCCTGTTGCCAGATGCTCCACTTCTTCTCTTATCCGCCCCCTCCTTTGTATTCACGCAGTCCGTTCTTGACTTTGTGTGCGCGAAGAAGAGTGTCTCTCGCTCAGTCATCCTCTCCTTAGAGCAGATTAGTGGCCAACAACTCGCTCGCGAGACAATGTATTATTACGGTAAGACAATAGTCGAAAAGGCAGGGAGGGGGGTCAGCAGCAGCCGAACATTTCGAAATTCCACCCTCTAACATCTGCTCGTTCACTTTCCATTTTTAAGCCCTCTCTTCCACTTCTCAATGGATCAGTGTTGCAGATGGCGCCTTCAAGAAGATTAAAACCGAGGGAATCGGCGGCTCTTCCGTCTTCGGATCTTCCATTGCCGGGGTTACGAACACGCCGGCGAGGTGAGTCAAGGGTACTGTAGTCTATAGAAAAGCGCCCGATAGACTAGAAAGGTTTCAAAATTCACTTTTAACGGAAAGCAAATGTCATTGTTAGATAACGTTTAGAATCTAAAAAGTCCGACGACCTAACTAGGGACTAATCTATAGAAAGTTTACCTTTTGGAACAAGACCTACACGAGTTGACAGATTTTACTGGGAGGATTCCAGTTCTTCAATTTTGCTGCCAATTATTGAAACTAGGATTGCTCCTCAATTCTCTGAAACATTTGAAGTCCTCTAAGATCTTTCGAGCCATGTCGGTCTTGTTCCAAAAAATTTCCTAGTAAGCCTCGCTGATCTCAACTTGCAGGCTGTCAAGCCTAGATCAGCGGCCCGAATCAAAGCGTCTCAATTCCAGGCGGAGACACCGGACGACGTTCACTCAGGAGCAGCTCCAGGAGCTCGACGCCGCCTTCCAAAAGAGCCACTATCCGGATATCTACGTGCGAGAGGAACTCGCGAGGATCACCAAGTTGAACGAGGCCCGCATTCAGGTGAGAAATCGAATGAGAACTTGTGATTTTGTTTGGATGCTTTCTGTGCAAACGCTTGAGTTATGCTTGATCACAGCGAAGCCATTCTTGAGAATTGAATCTCATTTAGAAGAATTTGTACTCAAAACTTTTCAACTAATAGTTACTAATAGTTAGTTGAAAAGTTTAGAGTACAAACTGATTCATAGAAGTTTGATAAAGCATAACTATCGATTGTACAGTAAATTTGTCAACATAGCAAATGAAGCTCTAGGTGTACTTTCATAAGCCCATCAACTTTTCGTCCCAGTATCTCTAATTAGGATTCTCAAGAATTGACTGCACATGTGCTCTAATTCGTTGTTTTCTTCGCCCTCCTCTCCGGATCGCCTTAATTGCCCCCTTCCACAGTTGTGCCCCCACTACCACCTACTGTGCGCCAAATCTGTCAAGCTGGCAGAAACCATCTGTGCTAGGGATTAGACATTGAGCCGAGGAAGATGGTCGAAAAGTCAGTGAGCTGGAAGCTACCGTAGCCCAGCCCAGCCCAGCCCAGCCCAATTCGTACCTCTCTAATAATAACTTGTTGAGCGAGCCGAGAAGAAGAAGCTACCGTATCCTTCCACGTCTTCTTTGTTAGAAGTGGCGTCGTCGGGCGACAGAGCCCAAATTGAATTATGCGCCGCTTGCTCAATATCCGTGCTCTTTCTCTCTCTTTCTCTCCATCTGCTTCTTCTTCTTCTTCTTCTTCTTCTTCTTCTTCTTCTTCTTCTTATGGACAAGAAAAAGGAAAAGACGATCGACATTTCGAAAAACGGGAAATGAAACGGACTTGATAGAGATGAAACGGAAAAGACCACAAATCCGGAGGAAGTGATCGGAAAAGAAGGAGAAGAGCTATTGTAGGGTTCGAAAATTGAAGAGCACAATATCGAAAGGGGTTACTATTGTCTCATAAGTCTCAATAGACAACATTTTCATCTCCAACTTTGAAACATCATAACTAATTTCAAAAAATGCTACCAAATCCCACTTACGCTCAAAATGACGGAACCCGTAGGACTCGTTCATTTACTATTAGTGCTTAGAAGATTGCAGCTTTCTCTTTGTCTTTCTTAAACCGTTTCCATTAGTATTCTACCGTAACTCCAGAAACTTCACGGTCCATCAAGCTTCTCTGTTAACCCATAAAATCCGGTGGTGTCACACCTGACAATTAGGTGATTGCGTAACCGTTTTGACACCTGACTGTCTTCTCGTTCGCTTCCATCTCTCGCTTCCGATCCGCGTCAATCCAATTAGTTTCCCGATTGCAGGTGTGGTTTCAGAATCGGCGAGCAAAACATCGAAAACACGAGAAGCAATTGAATAAGGTGAGCTAACGTTAACCGCATTTGCTCCCCCTCATCCAAATGCGATTGCAGAATGCGATCAATCCGTCGCACCCGTTCCTGGCGAACTCGGCGAATCCGCTGATGCGGCAAGGCATGTACTCGACGGCGTTCAACCGAGACGGCGGCCTCTGGTACCAGCCTTACCAGCGGCCGATGCCCTACCCGACCACGAGTCCCTCCTACTCAAACTCGTTCACCAACCCCATCGCAAAGTGAGCTGGAGCACACCTTCATCCCCGAAATGTCTATTCTTTCAGTTTCGGACCGTCGATCACCGCGTTCCCGACGGACGACGAGTTCTACCAGAAGAGCCTGGCACTTCGCATGTCGACGACACCTTCCACGGCCGCCGCCGCCACTTCTCTCGTCAACTATCAGCAGCAGCCGCAGCCGAACGAATCCAGTGCCAACCCGCCGTCCATTTAGATTCTGTTTAAAGAAGATCTTCAATCCTCGAAACGTTTACATACTTTACAAATATTCATTTGAATCGACAAAAGCCAATAATTTATGATTGCGAGTGGAACCCAATAATAAAAGAGATCTCAATTTGAACAACCAAAACTTTGTTAAACAAAATAATGAAATCATTGGAATAGAAGAACGGAAGAGGAGTACACGATTTCGAATAAGTATTACGGAAATAGAGTTGAAGTTCCTCGGATGCCATTCTTCAAAAATACTTTCTTATGTCGGAAATCCAAGTTTTACCGGAAATTTACGCTCATTTTCACCTGATCATGACAAAAATTCCTGAAATTAAACTTTGGCCTCGTTGAATCTAACTTCCGCCTTCTTTTTCTCAGACAAAACGTGTTAGTTATTATATTTTTATTACTAACAAATAGAGTTACAATTAAAGAGTATCAGAGGAGTAGAGTTTTACAAGTTATTAGACAGAAAATGTTATTACAGAAGAAAGAAATTAACATTGAGAAGTGTAGGGAGCAGCAGTGTATCGGGTGTTATCGGGAGAACCGAATCCAGAATCTTCTGTCAACTTCTTCTTGGTTTCGGGCTCGAAAATCTCTGGCTCCAGGTAGACACGTTGACGACGTGGCAGAGCAAGAAGAACGAGGAGAACGAGAAGAGAAATGAGGATGATGGCCAGAAGGAGGACGATGAGAATGTCAGTCGGAACGGACCGAGCGGCTGGGGCAGATTGATTGGACGGCAGGGCAGTGGCAGAAGTGGTCATAGTGGTGGTGGTGGTGGTCGATGTAGTCGTTGAAGTAGAAGTAGAAGTAGAAGTAGAAGAAGAAGTAGAAGAAGAAGTAGTGGTGGACGTGGAAGTAGTTGGTTTTAGAGTGTCCAGACACTGGGGGCCGAAGAATCCGGCATCACACTCGAAGAACCACTCAACCGAGAGGACCACCTTGGAGAAGGCAAAGAAGTGAACGTCCTGAGCAACTTTCAGATGATACGTGTGCTCTTTCGGTTCACTTCCATTGACGGAGACGAAGATTTTGAGGGAATCTTGGCCATTTCTCAGATGGAAACTGGTGATTCTCTTCTCGGCCATGAACAGCGAAACGGTCTCGGAGGTGTGTTCGGTGGTCAGTCGGAGAGCACAGTCAGCCGAAGCAGTGAGTTCGAGACGGAGGTGTCCGGTGGCAGAAGCCGAGGAGCAGAGGACCAGGATAATAGAAGAAGAGAGGAGGAATCGGGTGGCAGAGAGCATTTCGAGGGTTTTCGAGGATTCTGAGACCGGATGGGACCGAATGAATGAGGAATGGGTTCGGAGGAGGGGCGGGGCTCCGAATTATCATCATTCCGATGATCGCATCCGATAATAGTTCTTCTACACTTTTTGTCATCGTCTACTCTGGTATACCGTATACTCTCTTCAAGAAGTATACCATCGTAAACCTCAAAAAGTGTACTGTCATCTTCTAAATAACATGATGATAATTCGGGGCCCCTAGCATTCCGACCAGGGGTGTGCGGAAAATATTTCGATTTTCCGAAATTTTCCGATTTTCCGATAAATTTTCGGAAATTTTTCCGACGGAAAATTTTCCGAAAATGTTCGGCAAAATTTTCGGAAAATTAGTTTGGATTCAAGGTCAATTTGTCCGAAACCACCGTATGCTTTTTAAAGGCGCATCACAAAATTTTTGGAAGGGTCTAGCAGCGAGCGTCTTTTTTCCGAAAATTTCTCGGAAAATCGGAAAATTTCGGAAAATCGAAATATTTTCCGCACACCCCTGATTCTCACTGACAATCGGAAAACACTGGACCCGGAGAGCTTCTCTCGGCTAATTTTTTTGCAAAAAAATATTCCATTGCTTGGCTTCCGCCCACTCAAGTGATTTCAAATCATAATAAGCATTTTTTTGTATTAGAACGTTGTTTAAACACTTTACTGAACCAATGAACAAGTGAGTTTTCCGATTTTTCCGATTTTTCCGAAATTTTCCGGAAAAAAAAATTCGGAAAACCCGATTTTCCGAAATTTTCCGAAAAAAAAAATTCGGAAAAACCGATTTTCCGAAATTTTCCGAAAAAAATTTTCCGCACACCCCTGATTCCGACTGACATTCTCATCATCCTCATTTCTCTTCTCGTTCTCCTCGTTCTTCTTGCTCTGCCACGTCGTCAACGTGTCTACCTGGAGCCAGAGATTTTCGAGCTCGAAACCAAGAAGACAGAAGACATTTCTGAATGCTAATCTCTTTTTCTACATAATAACTGTATTTGTTTTTGATCATAATAATAAACACGATGTACTATAATCGTCTTGTTCTCTAAGAAAGTGCTCCGCAGAAATGTGCTAGACGTCATTCTCTCGCAACCAACCCACCCCGGAAGCCCTCCCTTTCCACTGACCACTCTCCATTGCTCTCTCTCTCTCTTTCCCTCTCTTTCATTATTATTATTTGCAACTCTCTGATAACATAGACAGAATATGATGATGATTGATATGATGTAAACCCGGCGATCGAATCGCTTGAACGGAGTGCCGGACAATATAAAAGGTGCAAGAGAGTTCTACAGAACAGAAACATGCCCGTCGGCACTCGAAGTGTACTTTTCCTCGTCCTACTCATTCTGCTGATGTTCGGAGGAATTTCTGACGGGAGACCGGTCAGTTTTCTATGGGAAAATGTTTATTGTTCATTCATTTCAGGTGGTGAAAAGTGGTTACAGCAAGAATCATCCGTTCCATCTTGCGAAAGGAAACACATCACAAGTAGGTTATTCGATTTGCGAACATTCTAAGCCAAGAGCGAGTCAATTTCGTTCGGGAATGAGCAAATTGAAAGCAGAGTGCTCTGCAAGTGCGCTCTAGCAAACTATTGGCGGAAAAAAACAAAGAATTTTGCTCAACGCTCTTTAATTTCAGCCATTTTCGCTGTACAGCTCTCAAAATGCTCTAAAGCTCATTTTCAGAACGAAGACGGATTCTGGAACAACGTCTACTTTGTGATCACCGCCAGCGACTCTTTCTTCGGCGGGTAACGCCTTCTTTGTGCCTAAATTATTCACTTTCTTATGCTTCTTTTCAAATTCGTCTTTCTTCTGTACAAACTCTTCATTCGATACATTGAATACCCGCCTTTTTTCGAAAATTGATTATAAATCATGTCAGATCAAGTCGAGAATGACGTCTTCCTCTTCCTCTTCCACATTCGTCACCAGGGTATTCATGCTGCCCAGGGCGATGCATTGTATTGCCTCCAATCCCACTTTCTCCCGATTCGCGTACGTCAAGCTGTGCACTTGGACCGAGGAGAGCAATGAGAATGCGCTGTGCACTATGGAGACTGCAAAATGATGATTGAGAAAGAATTAGGCATTGGGCACTCACTAATGATAAGCGGAACTGATATTGTCGGGTCAGAGTGGGGCAGGAAGAGCTCGGCGACCAGAATGACCGAGCAGGAGAGTCTCTGGAAAGAGGGAGTTGGGAGGGAGACACGAGACTTTGACAGAAATACCAGGATGACCAGGGAAAGTACCAGACGGAGGTAGGCGGTTGTGTTCTCTCGAGTCTGAAAATGACTCATGGATTCACACTTTAGGATCCGACGAGCGAGATCTTTAAGACCATGTGTTGGTCTTGTTCAGTAACTATTTCACTTTGAACTACTAGAAATGCTTACAAAATCCAGGTAGAGCAGCGAGGCAAATGCCAGCGTGGCGTCGAAAAGAAGGAGAAGAGCCGGCAGCCAGGAGAAAAACGGAATGTGACTGGAGAGAAGGGCACGGGCGCCGAGGACGAACGTGAAGATGGTCTGGAAGAGGATGGATAAGGGACGCTTGACAATTTTAAAGAACTTGTTTTTACTGTCCAACTCTCAACTCTTAAACTGCCGAACAGCGTGCAGTCAAAGTTGTGGCCGTGGCCTAGAACGCTTCGGTCGGAAAATTCTTCCATATGCATTTCTGATTGTTCGGATGCGAACAGTAAATGTGGCAAGAGTAGAGGTACTCCCCGTTTCCTTTCCAGTTCAACATGGCCAACTTTGAGTGTGCATAGCCTAGGCGAGAAAGAGAGCTAAAAGATAACTAGTTCATCGTTTATGCACACTCAAAGTAGAGATTTTGCTGGTTTCTAGTTTCTAAAATCTCTAAACCTTAAAAAAAACTGACAAACGCAATCTGCGCATAGAAAATCTTTGCGTGGGCGGCGGCTCTCGGGTTGTTCGCCTCATCCTTTCGCCTCTTTTCCTTCTCTTTCTCATCCGATTCCTCCGATTCCAAATCCAAAATCCGCATGTTTTTGCCACTAATCTGCTTCCATCACAGATCAAAAATAGCTGGAAAAAGAAGGTAATGTTAGGTTGCATGAATATGATGAAGAAGGCGAGAGATACACGTGTAATTCGAACCTTCTCGGGGCGGAAACTGAAACGGGATGGGAAAAAAGAGGATATGTTTGTTGTCGTTTTGCAAACAAACAAGAAAACGCCCAAATCTTGTCTTCGTTTCCGAACATTTAACCGATTCCTCGGGGACCATGTCACTCTGACCACCGGGTCTATTTTCAGCATATAAACGCTCTATTTTTCCAGAATTTGTAGAGAAAAGCTCAAAATTCTCGGGATTTCTCGGCCTAGAGCGTCTGTACTCAGGCCAGCGACGTCGCGACCGAAAAATGACCGCCAAGTGTGAATTCATCGAACATTTCAAGAAAGACTGACAATTTCACATATCGCGCGCTTATCTTATTCGTCTAGATTTTATACTAAAAATCAATCTTGAGCAATAGAACATTTGCGTGTTTACTCTGCGGAAAAAATGAAAAAATGTGGAAGCGGGCGGAAAAGCGAAAACAAGTCGAATGAAGGAAGGAAATGGAGAGAAATTCACACGAAATTAATAAAAATGCGCAGTCTGAACGATACACAAATAGGGCAACGACGGGCGGAGGCAACAATCCAATCGGACAAGCGATTTGGACAAAAGAGAGTGCGAAATGAAAGTTCGAAAGCAGCGATGAAGATGAAAATGAAAGAGGAAGAGACGCAGACCCAACTTAGTACTCGCATGTATTTATGTTGTTATTGTTGTTGGAAATGAAAGGAGATGGGGAAGAAGAAGAAGAAGAAGAAGAAGACGAATGAGCGGAGAGATGAAAAGACTCGAGACCATCTGAGTCCGTTTATTGAAATCAAATCTATTTATGAGAATCTAGACTCGTCAGTCAGTTGAAGAGTGAATTTTTGGAAACTACTTGAAGAAACTACGTCTTAGAATTGGATTGAAGCTCCTATCGGACAAGTTCAGGCCGGCCCAGCCCGAACAGTGTAAAAGAAACGGCTTTGGTTTGGCTGCTCGTTCTCGCGCACTCGGGGAATTTCTTTTCTTTCTTTTCAAATAAACAGTTCGCACCGCGCAAATGTTTGCGTCTCTCTCGGATCGTAACGCTTTCTCGTCAAGTTTGACTATCAAATTACCACGGGGTCTTGTACATAATCGAGTGGCGTTTCGAGGGGGGCCAGAATACGTACCGGTTGCTTTCGCTTCGAGACCCGGGCCCAGTTGTCAGCCACAAATCATGAAGAGAAAAAACACACATGTGTCGAGTAATTGCCGCAAACAGCTGACTAGGAGAGAGAAATTGGTGGAAAGTTTCGAACGAATTCATCAGCATTAGTTTCTTTTACATAAAACAAGATTTTCTGAGATCTGGAGATATACCGTAAATACTGTATTAGAAGGGCACCCAGCAAAACAAGCTAGAGCAGTTTTAAGACGAATTTCGGATGTTTCACACGATTTTAAAATTTTGAAATTTGAATTTTTGACACTGAAAAATAGAAGGGCATGCCCTTCTAGTACAGTATTTAAGGTATGTAGTAGTCTTTACATGCTGTGTACAGATTCCAATTAACCAATCATCAGCCTTCTAAAGTGGTCGAGCAGGAGGGCTTTCGTGTTAACGGAGAAGTCGTTGTAATTATCGGATCTGACGACGGTCTTCAATTTTTCTTGGGTGTTCAGCAACTCCATGCAGTAGCCGAGGAGTTCCGTGAGCGAGTGTTTGTCGCCTAATCGGATCTTTTCTTTAGTCGAGGTTCTTTGCGACCAGATGAGGAACTTTTCGCACTCTTGGGTCACCTTCGGCATCAGGAATCGCTCGGCGAGCTCCAGAAGCATCGGAGTTGTCCGGCCTGGGGGAGTGATTTTAGGAATGAATTCACGAATTTCAAGGACATACGTGTTGGCACAAAAGGATCCTGCGGTTGGATGACACTGAGAAGACAGACCAAATCCTCGTGGTAGACGTCTTTGATTGGAATCTCAGCCATCGACTTCTCTTTGAAGTCTGACGAAAAGAGAGAATTGAAAAAGTCGGAGTGTGAGGAGAGGAACTTAAGTGAAGATGTTGTTTTCACCAGGAGAACGTCAGCTTACCGCCTTGTTGACATGCAATTTATGTTCTTCGACAACCAGAACCGCGTCAGTCAGCTCGGTGGCAACGAAGTTTTGCACGAGAGTCGGTGGAAGCGCTTCGCCACGACTCGCCTTCAAAGTGAACGAAAAACTGAACGACCACGACTGACTATCCGCCACTTTGCATCGTTCCGCGATTCCAATCTTCTTATGAATCCATTCTCTGGACTGTTTCAGCTCTAATTCAAATCCCTTTCGACACGCGTAACTTGTGCAGTAAACTGCAGAAAGTCGTCCCTTGAATCCGTAAATTCCGTCTTTTCTCAGATCGTTCCAATCGAACCTCCACGAAAGGTACAAATCCTCTCCAATAATCGAGGATTTCCAGGACCTGAAGAACCAAAATTTGTGGTAAACAGATACAAATTGAATTGTGCTCTATCTACCATTTCAATCCGTTTGTACATCCTTCCAAAAGATCACGCTCGTCTACATTTTCTGTTGAGACTTCGTCACTTTCGTACTCGAACACTTTTGAATTCTCCATTAAATGCTGAGAAACAATCGAAATCAACATTAGCTAAATGTTTTAAACGAAAACTGTAAAGAAAAAACCGATATTGGTCCGGAAAAAACTTTTTTGAGTTTTTTTTCGATCGAATTCGAAAAGAGCGCACGTCTGTTGCAAGTGCGCTCCATTGATAAGGTCTCTGCGCGCGAAACAGAAAATCTCAAATTCTCAGCATTTTCAGATTGTTGCCGAATTTTCGTCTTTTCTCACTTTTACTTCATGAATCTTACAATTATTTTACTGATTTTCAGATGTCGAGTGGAAGCAGTGCTGGATTTGACCGTCACATCACCATCTTTTCCCCGGAGGGACGTGTTTATCAGGTGAGGTTTCTCGCAGAATCTTTCAAATAATCCATTTCATTTTCAGGTCGAGTATGCCTTTAAAGCGATCAATACGATGAATCTGACGGCTGTCGCTGTGAAAGGGAAAGAGGCGGCGGTGATTGCCGTGCAGAAGCGCGTGCCGGAAAGTCTGATGGTGCCCGAAAACATAACTTCTGTCTTCCAAATCTCGCCGACAGTCGGCTGCTGTGCCATCGGAATCTTGCCCGATGCGCTGTACCAAGTGAAACGCGCGCGGGGCGAAGCGGGTAGTTTCAAGTACAAAAACGGGTACGATATGCCGTGCGAACTGCTCGCCAAAAGGATGGCCGACCTCAACCAGTACTACACCCAGAACGCAGAGATGCGCTGTCTCGGCGTTGGTCGGTTCTTTTCTGAAAGGTTTTGCGAATTTAAGTTATATTTCAGCGCTCATTTTCATCTCGTACGACGACGAAAAAGGTCCGGAAGTGTTCCGCGTGGACCCGGCCGGCTACTTCCGTGGAATGCGTGCCGTGTCGGTCGGAGTGAAGCAGGGACAGGCGACCACGTTTCTCGAGAAGAAGATCAAAAAGAAGACGGAGTGGGCGTCGGCCGACACTATCGAGCTGGCCATCGACGCAGTTCAGACGGCATTGGGCGTCGACGTGCGCGCCAAGGACCTCGAAGTGCTCGTTGTGACCAAAGACAAAACGTCGTGCACGAAGCTTACCGCCGAACAGATCGAGCAGCATCTCAGCCAGATTGCCGCCTACGACTAAAATTTACTTTTCCTCCGTGTATTTATTGACTGCCACTTGCCGGTTATTCAGCACTTTTCTTCAATTTTGACAAACATTTTGTGATTATGAATGTGATTTTTTATGAGCTACCTTAACCTTCTCGATGAAAGCATCTGATAGCTTAGTTTTTGTCATCCTGTCTGATTAGCTGGAGGTTGAAAAAGTATACTTTTTGTCATCTTATTTTTACAACTTTTATTATGTGAAGGCTGGAAGACAGTATACCACAGTAGACGATGACAAAAAGTGTAGAAGAACTATTATCGGATGCGATCATAGGAACGATGACAATTCGGAGCCCCGCCCCTCCTCCGAACCCATTCCTCATTCATTCGGTCCCATCCGGTCTCAGAGTCCTCGAAAACCCTCGAAATGCTCTCTGCCACCCGATTCCTCCTCTCTTCAACTATTCTCCTGCTCCTCTGCTCCTCGGCTTCTGCCACCGGACACCTCCGTCTCGAACTCACTGCTTCGGCTGACTGTGCTCTCCGACTGACCACCGAACACACCTCCGAGACCGTTTCGCTGTTCATGGCCGAGAAGAGAATCACCAGTTTCCATCTGAGAAATGGCCAAGATTCCCTCAAAATCTTCGTCTCCGTCAATGGAAGTGAACCGAAAGAGCACACGTATCATCTGAAAGTTGCTCAGGACGTTCACTTCTTTGCCTTCTCCAAGGTGGTCCTCTCGGTTGAGTGGTTCTTCGAGTGTGATGCCGGATTCTTCGGTCCCCAGTGTCTGAACACTCTAAGACCAACTACTTCCACGTCCACCACTACTTCTTCTTCTACTTCTTCTTCTACTACTTCTACTTCTACTTCAACGACTACATCGACCACCACCACCACCACCACTATGACCACTTCTGCCACTGCCCTGCCGTCCAATCAATCTGCCCCAGCCGCTCGGTCCGTTCCGACTGACATTCTCATCGTCCTTCTTCTGGCCATCATCCTCATTTCTCTTCTCGTTCTTCTCGTTCTTCTTGCTCTGCCACGTCGTCAACGTGTCTACCTGGAGCCAGAGATTTTCGAGCCCGAAACCAAGAAGAAGATGACAGAAGATTCTGGATTCGGTTCTCCCGATAACACCCGATACACTGCTGCTCCATACAATTCTTCTGTACTAGCATTTTCTGTCTGAGATATGACTGTATTTTTTCTTGATAATAATAATGATAATGATAATGACAATAACAATAAGAATAATAAACATTTGCTACTTCCAATCACTCTGCCATCTGACACCTCCTTCCCACAAATCCGCTCGCACAAATGCACTTCGTCTCTCCTCTGCCCGTCTTCAGACACGATCCACCGTTCAGACAGAATCCTTCGCACGCGTCGACGCAATGAAATCCGTTGCCGACGAATCCGGGTTTGCACTTGCACGAGTACATCTTCTTGTGGTTCTCGTCGGGCAGATCGATGCAGGCGGCCAGCCAGTGGCAGTTGTGCGTTGACGCTTTGCACTGATTCGTCCACTCGCACATCTTCGCACTGTTGGCCCCCTGCTGGTAGGTCGTCGTGGAAACTGGGCACGGCTTGCAAATCCGTCCGTCGTACTCGTCCATGTAGGTGCCAAAGTCGCACGGCTCACACTTGAACGAGCTGTGATCGAGAATGGTGCCAGGGAAGCAGATTTCTGAAAAGTCTCAAGCTCGTCCGCTCCTTCATCTGTAGAACTCACTAATATGACATGCGGCCAAACTTTTGGAAGCCTTTGAAAGTGTGGTTCTTCCGGTGGGACACATCATGCACACCATGTCGTCGGCGCTTTTGAACGAGCCGATCGGACACGGCTCACACGTTGAACCATCCGAAGATCGTTGCATTCCAGCGCGGCATTTATCTGCAAAACGTTAAATCAGTGAGAGCCAGCCAATTTTGAGCCACCTAGACAATGAGCGATCGAGGTTGAATTCTGAAAGATCGGCACGGTCCCCTCCGGACACCCGATGCACCGATCTTGGCCGCTATTCGGCTGGTATCCACGCAGTCCACACGTCTCGCACATTTTCGACGCCACGTCATAAAAGTATCCGGGTGGACACACGTCTGAAACAGAACAGATGGAAATGTGGAGAAGCGCTCAGACGCCCACGTATGCACTGGTCCTTCTTCGGCGTGCCGGTGCCCACTGTAGTCGTGGCGTCCGGACACGTCTTACAACTGGTCCGCCCGTGCTCATCCTGATATTCGCCACGTGGACAGACAAGGCACTTCTCGTCGAACTCGTCGTAGAAGGTGCCAGGGAAACACAGACCTGAACGGAGGTTGCGAATGGAGCCATCAACTTTGAGGGTGTTCAGCTGAGTCAGGAAAAGTCGTATAGTTCCAGAAAAAGTCCAAGTCCGAAGACTGGTTACACAAAAACTGCAAAAAGAGAGTTCTAGGTATGTAGACTTCCCAAAACAATTTTCAGAAGTATAGACTGATTCCTTTCTCAGCTAAACACACACAAAGTTGACGAATCCCGAGTGCATATTACCCATTTCCAACAATGTGTTTATTACGCGTTTATACATGAACATGCAGGAAATAGTCGGGGTTATTCAGCTCGGGAGGAGGGGAATAAGTTAAGATCTGACTGTTGACTGTTGATTAGAGTGCGAGTAAGTTGGCCAACGGGATGGGCGTGTCGACCGAGTCCAAGAGTGGAGAGTCCCTCAGACGACGATCCTTACGGCATTTGTCAGTGTCGACGAGTGTCGCGCCGCGATAGCAGAAGAACGCCTCGTCGAATGAGAGCTTCGGCTCCGGCTTTCCAAGAATCTGTGAGGATCAGCTGAGGGAATAGGTCCAAGTTTTCTATGCGGATACCTTCAGAGCATTTGTGTACTGAAAGATGCCTCCTTTCAGTCCAATGTGAGCAACTGCGTACACTGTCGACGTGGCTTCAACTTTCGCGTTCTTCACTGGATCTCTACAATGACACTGTTCATTAGAACAACTTCCAGATCTTTGCACCTTTCAGCAATCAACGTGACATTGATTCTGTAGTGGTTCGAGCTCACGATCTCTCCGGTAACTTGCGCTTTTCCGCAATCCGCGTTTGAAGATGAACTTCTGAAGGCTTTTTGTGTGTTCTTTTGTCTCGACTTCTCAAACTTACGTGTCCGACGGGGATCCTCCGCAAATGAGCCAGTGCTTGTTGATGAATTTGAGCGATGCAAGCACACTGTTTCTCATAATTGCATTCCATCTGAAACAGTCGTTTTTTACACACTTCGTGACTAAATCTACTCACTTGTGAATCTTTTGCAAGTCCTGAATCGAAGCATTCCGATAATCGACCTGAAGCCGCACGACTCTCACGGCAGGTACCGTAACCTCGTTGCTCTGCCCGACAACTACAACCACAACCGCAGTGGCTGCCAGAATCGACAAAAATGAGTTTGTCGTGGTGACCATTCTGAAAGCTTTTCTGCTGAAAGCACAATGAGAAGGACAATAAGAAGAAGAAGAAGAAGAAGAAGAAGAAGAAGAAGTGAGATGAGAGTGTCTGCTTCCGCGAAAGGCCGGCTTTTTCTTGGTGAAACCAGTGGAACGGGCGGCGCGGAAACTGCGCGGAAACGCAGACGAACCAAGAACACGCCCACCGCGACGAGTGTTGCAAACTTTCGCAGAGACGACAGGCCATTCTTTGTTTTTTTAAGAGACTGTTATCACAGTCAGTGTTATCAGTGGACAAAACGATGTGATAAGCGATCCGAGAGCGGTGCAGGGGAGGGCAAAAAAGTGACAAGATTAGGGGAAGACTGGTTTTTGATTGGGAAGGGTTCGGCGCGAGACTTTGCTCTCGATTGTTGAAGCTCTTACTTGTTAGGATCAACCAATATATCAAATCTTTTCATTCCTTTATACACAACATAAAAACTTCATTATCGTGAATAACACATTATGATAACAACAAACGTTTGTACTGATTTCTCTCTAACATTCATATCCATATCGAATGGTCGTCTGTCTCGCCCCTCCGTTCCTTTTCCGCTCCTTTCTCCGCTCACGTCGCCGCTCCCTGATTATCAAAGTAGATGTCGTCGGGAGCCATCGTGCGTGGCAGTCGGACACGTGGCTTGTCCCTTCCGCCGAGAGCCACCTTAAAACTTGCGTTCGATTTTTGATCATTCATAATTTTCGTTGAATTCAGGCGACATCCAAGTGTTTCATCAAGATATCGAGGCAAAAGTGTAAACATACATACATACACGCACACGTACCTCTAGATCAATGTCCGGATAAATGAGATCGACATCGGCAAACTTGTGATTCGTCAGCAATTCGGACGTGAGGGACCGAGCATTCAGGTCGGCGTGCTCGTACCAGTGATGACGGATGTCTGAAGGGCTTTTAGAAATTAACAGATCAAAATTCGCGCTTCAACCGTTCAGAGAGTACTATAGGAAGTTGTCAACTACAAGGGTACAGTACTATGTATTCTGGCAGATTTCAACAATAGGATGTTCCCAAAATAAAACGTACAATACTCGTTCAAAGCAGCCCTTCGCCAACCTACCTCCATTCCTATTCTTCACCGAAATCTTGATCTTCCCATACTCGATATCCGAGAATCTCACGAGCAAAACACTTCTCGGAATGCATCGCAGAATGTTCTCCGCGTCCTCCTTACTACAGAATCCGAAGATCAATCTGCAAAGACGGTTCGATTCGAAGAGCGTTTCCGAGAAAGTGATTCTCACCCGTCGTACCACATACTGTACAGGTACTTGTTCACAATTTCCGCCAATTTGAAGAACCAGTCGTAGAAGGGCACCAATTTCCAATCGCCCTCCGACGCGCCGCCGCCCTTCTTTTGCTGAAATTCCTCGGCGACCGGAAGCTGAAAATTGAGGGGTTTAGGCCGGCGAACACGCAACTTGTAATTACTTGGAAACACTTTCGAACAGGGCAAAACTCGTTTTTTCTACTTCTTTTTCGTCCGAAACGTTTAGAGGACAAGAGCGACTGGCAAGTAAACAGTCTGTTTAGAGAGACACAAAAAAGTACCTTCATAAAGTTGTCGAGGGGCAGAAATCCCTGCTGATTCGGCTTCATTCTCATCACCAGGTGCTGTTTCGTCTGCATCGCGAACTTCCGCGGCTGCACCACCGACGGACCGTCCGTGTTCTTCTGCGGAGTTTCGATGATCGCCTGGAACTTCATCTCGAGCGCGTCTGCCATTTCTGCACAAGACACGTGCGTCGGGATGTCGGACAGCGGGTGACGCACCTGAAAATGAAGTTTGTGAGCATTCAGCATGTCTAGAACTTTTCGACAAAGTGTGCGCAAAAGTTGCAGAGGTTGAACTTACCAAATCCGCAAAAGATCGCTCCAAAAACAGTTTCGCCTCCACATCGGCTTTAGGCCCAACCAACACGGCAAACGGCAGCGATACCTGAAAATTCGTCCTATTTGAAACATTTGTATACTACAGTATGCTCACTTTTTTGCCGACCAGCTCGATTCCGCAATTGGTTTGTAGTTGTATGTTGTAGCAGAGACAATATCTCTTTGTGGCCACCGAATCTCGTCGCAGTTGCACTTTCTTGGCAACTTTCTGCAATAGATGCGTTTGCAGAACTGCGAAGATGATCCGATTCGTACCATGTCATCAAACTTAGCCTTGATTCCTCTGGCATCCTTTTTCTGAAAAGTGGTCGTCGAGGGTTCGATGCAAAACTCTTCCGATTCGAAAATGTCGAGGTAGGCGTTGTTGAGCAGTTGTTTTGCCGTTTCATCGGTGATCAGATAGCAATTGACGTTCGAGTTCTCGTTGTTCGCATCTATTCCGAACGCACTGCCTCCGAGGATTCTAAAACACTGATTCTAGTGCGGTCCTCACCATTTCCCGTTACCGAATCTCCGTGTTAAACCAGAATCTGCTCCTCCGATGGTTCTCCGCTTCTCCGCACTTTACGATGACTGACGGAGGTTGACGGCTCACAATGATCGAGTAGTAAAGGAAATAGTGGGCGAGGTTACGGACTTTTGAGTGAACTTCTTCGAATCCAACATTCGGATAGTATTGCTTGAGGTAATCGAGGCCCGAGAGCGTTTGTTGGAGCAACTCTCCAAAGTATTCAAATCTAAAAGCACTCAGTTTCAAATCCAGAGGTTCAGATCTCGTCAAACTCACTGCAAATTGATCAAATCCAGCTCTTTATAGTGCAATTGCTGCGTGTGCAACGTGGCGATGCTCAACTTCTGCTGCTTCATCGCCCACACCAGAAGCACGTCGCTCATCAGATGCTGTTTCTCGTCCTCAAAGTTCAGAATGACGTTCTCGCAGATTTGAAGCGTTCTCTGGATGAACACGAGCTGCTCGTTCTGGGCAACTTTTCCGGAGAGCAGACTGTCCGCGCATTCTTTGAAGCCCTGAAAGTGTGTAGTTTGAATTTTTATTCATCAAGGACATTGAACAAACATCAAACGGTTCTTCACAGTTTGTTTCTACTCAAACTACTACTATACATCTAGTTGACCAACATCTTCAGAAGCTTTTGTGAGAGAATCTTCACTCTGTCAGAACCATTTCTTTTGTGGTTTTCACATGCTAGGAGTCCCGAAACAGGTCAAAAGTTAACTGTTAACTGTTAACATTCAAGAGTTCAACATAAAGTTGGTGAAGTACCGTTCGGATCCCAAGGATCCCAAACCAAAAAGCATAGGAGGTAATCAAGATAAACTGCATTGATGGGCTTTTTTTTAAGGTATTTTAGCTAAACTTGGACAGCTCCTGGAAAACGTTTGCTAATGATTACGTCGGAAGTTTGCAGAGTGCATGTGGACTTCTAACTCTATGGACATAAGTTGGGTCCCTCTGGATTTCATACGAAGCTCCACAAACCTGATAGGCCTCAGCACTCAAGTTATGCTTCGACACAAACGCTCCGTCAACCACCGGCTCTGCTGGAGAAAAAGCGGACGAGGACTCGACGTCCATTTGATCGGAAACGACAGAAGAAGACATCTGGAAGGACGGCTCTTCAGAAGAGATGACGACGTGTAGAAGTGACCGAGAAAGGCATGTGACAGGGAGAAGGAGAAGGAGGGATACGAAATTGCAAATTGGAATCAAACAAAAAAGTGACCATGTTTGCGTGTGTGTGTGTGTCTGTCTACGTCCGTGTCTCCGATCGATGTTAGTCTTACAACCCTGGTGACGGTCTTCTCTTTCTCGCCGTCTTTTTCGTTTTCTTCTCTCTCTCTCTCTCTCTCAGTCGAGAATTGAGAACCCGTTTTGACCGTTTTCACGTCATCTCTCTTTCTCGCAATGAGTCATCAGGTAACTTTTCAAAACAATATTATTCTCAAGTGTGTTTATCGATAAAACGAATTCGTCGTTGTCTCTTCAGGTACTGCACCGTCTTGATCGTCAGCGAGTAGACGTTGTTGAGCACGGCACAAGAGAGAATCACCACGGTGACTGAAAATAATTGCTCAACCTTGAATAAGTATTGGAGAAGAATGAGACGTCATATTGTTTCCAAAAAGTTTCAGTAAAGTCCACATATCTAGTACTTCATTTTTGTAGTTGATAACTTTTTCATGCAACCTCTTTCAAGACTAATGTACCTTTTCGAAGTATTACTTTTCGGTTAGCTCTTGAGGTACAGTAGTCTTGGGAGAAGGCGTATGAAGAAGTTGTAAAAGTACTGCGTCTCTTGACTGATATTGTTTAAAACTCACGAATTCTGCCAGTATCATCGGGACGCCAGAACATGCCTTTCTCGTAGACTCTCTCATAAAAGAATCTCTCCCGCATCACAATGATAATGTAAAAGATCAGAAAGCCCAAGCAGAGAATGAGTACAACGTGGAACAGATTCTGAAACAATCCAGCATCTCCAGATCCGCCGATTTCCCGCCCACATTTAAATTGCACTTCGGTTTGCTCCACTCTCTGATCGGTTTGAACGTGGCGCCGCTCTTCGAATACGCGGACTTGCAGATCTCGCACGCCTTCTTGTTCGACATGTTCACCCACTTTGTCAGACACTCCTCGTGCACGTCGCCCATCGTTCCGGCGCAATCGCACGGACGCACCATCTCCCCTTCGTGCATCTGACAGATTCTGCAGATTCTTCGCGACGCCGACGTCGTCGACTCGGAAATCGAGGAGAGCAGCCACGCGGGAATTATGCGCTTTGGAGGAGCCGCCGGCGAAGCAGCTTGAGTGCTTTTCAGGGACATCGAACTGCTACTCGAGATGGCTGCTGGAAAAGTGGCTGGGTGGGGGGTCCGGGATTACTGTAGGGGGGGGGCTCACTGTTCTGCTGCGACGTCGTTGTTTCGCTCATGATGTGAGACAATAAAAAATAAGCTGTTTTTATTAAAATTAATAGGAAATGAATGACAAGTAAAAACAAGAGCAATGAGTAAAAGTTCCAAATGTCATGAATTTAGCGTGTTCATGTTCATGCCACGATTCGTTCTTCTCGCGATTCGAAAAGTCTGCAAAGAAAGAAAGCAGTTAAATAGAGAAAAGTACAGTAATCTCCTACTTGTAGACGCAAAGAGCGATTGTGGAGCCGAGAAGTGGGCCGGCCCAGTAAATGTAGTGGTAGGTCCAGTAGCTGGAGCCGTTCGCCGAGTCAAAAATCGATCCGACGATGCTGGGACCGAGCGAACGGGCCGGGTTCATGGAGGCGCCGGTGATGGAGCCACTGGAAAAACGGAGGGTTACGATGGGATACTGTAGAAAGCCTACGTAGAGAGGATGTCGATGGAGAGCGTCAATCCGATGGCCAACGGAGCCAGAGTGACCGTGTCCGTGTCGGCGGCGCTGATGAGGATGGTGTGGACGAGGAAGAAGGTGACGACGGTCTCTCCGATCAGTCCCTGCCACCACTGAGTGCCGTCGGAGAGGAGAGTCGCTCCGGCGGCTATAGATTGTAATTGACTGCTCGAGAGGACGGAAGCGGTGAGAAGGGCTCCGCAGAAACCGCCGAGCAGTTGGGATAGCACGTAGAAGGGCAGATGCCAGATGGGCATCTTGCCCGCTCCGGCGATCGCCCAGGAGACTGCCGGATTGAAGTGTCCGCCACTGAAAGCATCTTCATAATATTTCCAAGCGAAACAAACAAGCTAGCGTCTAATTGATAAGACTGCGACAATCGGAGCTACTAACAAGTGACATAATTTCGGCATTTCCGTCACCTCGCCCACCATCCTTATTACCTGATATGACCGAATGCTGTGACCAGAATGAAGATGGTGAAGCCGTGAGCGAAGGCCGCGTGCAGAATTCCGTCGGCGTTGGGGAACAAGTGCGCTTGCATCGTACCTGCAGAAGGATCGGCGTCAAAGTTCGGAAATGTCGGGGGGACTCACCAACATAGACAAATGTCAGATCGCCGAGGAACTCAGCTATGCATTTGGTGAGCAGGGAATAGTCCTTCTTGCGGGTGATGAACGAGGATTTGTGCGTTTCCCCTTGACCCCAGGCGTCCTCATTCTGAAATTCGACGGGGCTACTTCCGAGGGCTGTAGCAGTCTTCAGAGTGGTTATGCAAAACAATGAGCAACTAAAAAAAACATCTACTTGACATGCATATCATTTTTGTAGTTGACGCCATTCTTCTACAACCACTTCTAACGCTATTGTAGCTCTTAGAAGTTGGCAATAGTTGAGAGGGTATTAATTAAGCATCAACTCTTAGAGTAGTCTAGAGAGATGAAGTTCCAAATGTGAAAATTTCACTCAAAAACAATTGAAGTGCTAAAACTATCCTACAGTAACCGCAGACTCACCGCATAGGAGGACATGTAAGGCGGGCGAGAGCTGTCCGTTTCGTAGGGCGAGACCATCTTTTTGTTCTCTTCTCGAGCACTGACCACTAGCTCGATTCGAAATCGAAATAGTGTCGCCTCACAGTGGGCGGGGCCTCATTGCCGCCGTATCACTCATTATCACTCGATATCAGGGTGCCGTTGTGTTTGAGGCGATGCGAAAGTGGAGAGGGGGGCAATAAGAGTGTTGGCAACTGACAACTGATTGCCCCGAAGACCACGTATACAGTGCATCAAGTGACTCCTCTCTCATCTAGTTCGGTGCAGAGCACAACAGAGCAGAGAAGAGCAGTTAAAAGATCAGGGTGGGGCGCGAGACGACTTCCGGATTCCAAACTGGTAACGATCTTTGATGCGTTCAGGTGAAGCGGTTTAGGGGTTTTGCGTCATAAAGTTCTTTTTCCATTTCGAGGAAACACTTTGAATCGAATGGAATGGCAAAAGAAGGTAAGCGGATCGCCCCGAGACTAGCGGAACAGAACTGGCTCCATCGGGAACAGAGCACAAATAGAGGGAAATGGGAAGAGGAAGTGAGGAGCATTCTAGAAGTTCGATCTGAGAACGGTACTTTAAAAGTACACAACCTTTTGTGATTGTTGACAACCCAAAAGGTATCAAAAGTTCAAATGCTCTCTGACCCACTAGATTACATGACTTTCTTTCACTTTCTTAATGCTCAACGAGTCATCATTCAACGAAATTTCGCGACAAAACTTGGCCATCATACTACGAAGAACTTTCAGCCCGTCATCACTCGAATTCTTCGCATTACCCGTCGCTTTTTTAATGTGCCAATGAGCGCCACGATTATCGCGGATTATTTATAGAACGCTCTCTACACCACAACTGATAACAATTGGGGGAATGAAGCGACGAATATCGGGGGTGAATCGGGTGGGGAAAAGGGGAAAACAATTGGAGTTGGTAATGTTTTTGTGGGGAAGGTTGGCGAACGAGTGTTTATGCTGCTGACTAGGGTAAGAATGCAACTTATGCGGTGGTCAGACTTTAACATTTTATTCCAGAGATTTTGAATCACAAAAAGTATTGGGTTAAATCTTCAAATACTGCATCTCATTTTGTGCAACCATTTACAAGAGTACAAGCTGACAATAGCTGAAAACTTCCATGAGCTACAATAGCGTTGAAGGTAAGTTCAGACAAACTTTTAAAAAACAGTATCAAAATGCTATTTGTGTGGTCACAGAAGTGCGTCTGGAATGTTTATCAAGAAGGAAGCGCATGCATACGCAGTTTGATGTGAGATGATAACAGCACCTCTAAAAATAGGAGCAATCAGTGATCGTCTAATCCCTGGAAGCGATCATTTCACACGTGTCTTTCACGTACGCGACCCAATCAATATCTCCGTTGCCACGTACGCTCACGTGGTTCAGGAACTGCTTCACTTCCTGAGCACTCAGCGGCTCTCCGATCGAGGTGAGCAGTTGGAGTAGCGTGTCTTTCTGCACGTAGTTGTTCGAAGTGATCACCTGGAACGCCGCGTGGATCTCCTTCGGCGTCTCGTCCTTCCATTCCTCGTTCTGAATCGCCGCGACGACGCGCGGCAGCAGGTCTTCGAACGAGCACCGTCCATTCTTTTTCGCCGTCTGCTCGATCACCAGCTGCATTTCGGTTTGGCTCGGATTCAGGCCGAAACTGCGCAACACGTGGCCGACGTCGTCCGTCTGCAAACCGTATTTTGACAGGGTTTTCAGTAAAAAACTCGATTCGAAACAGGAAAAAATAGAAACACTGTTTTTTTTCGTTATAAATTGAGTTGTTTTCCTACTAAATGAGCCCACATACTTTTCAGGCCGAAAATGGGTTGTTTCTGGCTCAAATTTTCTAAAAAAGTATTATGCCTCAATAAGCCCATCGCAATCCTCGTCGAACATCTTGAATACGTCGAGAAGTCGACGGCGAACGTCTTCTGAATTAATAAAGAAAAAGTTAGGTCACAAATTCGGTAAAGTTCTTCCATACCGACGACGAGCGAATCGATCTCTTCTTTCTGGCTTCCGTCCTCTTCTTCCTCCTCGATCAGCAAGAGTTCTTCGTCGTCGCTCAGATCCATTTTGGTGGAAATTCCGCCATTTGACTCCAAAATGTGCGGAGCGGAAAACGCGAATTTCCGGTTTGCAGTTCAATAAACTTTATTATTTTTTTAACCGAATAAAGCTAAAAATAGAAATCAATTCAATGATGGTGGCTTATAAGTTACACACGATTCTTTAGAATTAAATCAGAAATGGAAAGAATGAAGGTGTCAAGAACGAAAAAAGGGGGCAGAAATGAGCTTTAAATATGACAGGGAGAGAACAGTTTAAAGTAAAGATTCCTGAAGTATGCAAAGAGACAGAAAAATGGGTATCAAGAGAAATGATAGAGAAGCTGTGGATGATGAAGATTGTATTCGAATGGACCCGTTGAAATTTCGCTTCAAAGTCTGGGGAAAAGAAAGAAAGAGACTATCGGGTACGAGAAAAAGAAAGAGATAATATTAGATCAGAATTTAGAGACCATTTGGAAGGGGATAATCTGGAAGGGATCACGGACGACCGATCGGAAGAGCTGGCGGAGGCATCAGTTCGCGATCCTTGTCTTCCTGAAAGCACATAATTATATCACGTCATCCGTTTTCAATTTCAATACCTTTGCAATATTCCTAGTCGCCTCCTCAAAAAGCGCGTCGTCCACGCACTTCTCCGGCTTCAACTTCTTCGGCCTCCCGCGCTTCGGACGGTCCTCATCGGCTCCGCTGTCCGTCGAGCCTCTCTTGATTCCGTTGATTCGTCCTCCTTCCGTCGCCGTCTTCCCTCTGAACATTTGGAGCATTCCGATCGAGAGCTGCGTCGTCGGCGTGCTCGGAGAGAGCGGAACCGAAGGGGGGAGACCCTGCGAGATCGGATAGTTGGCCGGCGGGATTCCTTGCAGGTAGAGGGGTACCGGTTGGATCAGTTGCTGCTCCAACTGCCCCAGAATCAGCTGCTCGTTGGCCAGCGTCGCGTTCGCAACGTCCGTCTTCTGCTGCTCCTGGAGTATTTGCTGTTCTTTCAGCGTCATCGCAGCACGAGCCGTGTTCATATCGGCCGATTGCTGCGGAAGTGTGACATCTTTGAAGACGGATTCGAGGAAGGCAAAGTGCGGATTGTTGAGCACCGCCTGTTTCATGTGTTGTGGATTCAAAGTTTTAGATGACGTGAATTGGGTGGCGTCGGCTGCTGCCTAAGAAATGAGGTTTACCGATGAATCACTCTAATAATAAAGAAACCTAGATGACATTTCAAAGAGGGAATTACCTATTACTACTGAAATTAGTGTATTGGGAGTTCAAGACAAAACTTCGGAGTGTCCTAGGTCAGAAACTCTAAAATGTCTATGTAGAAACAGTTACCTAATTTCAGCAGTACAGTATCCCAAAACTCCAAGATTCCCAATCTAACCTGCAGGAACTTTTCCGCAAAGTGCTCCATGGCCCTTCCGATGCTCACCGGCACCGACTGCACCATTCGACCGATCTCCTCGTCGCTCTGCATCACCTTCTTGATGCGCGTCGGCTGAATCTTGGCCGTACTGAACCGACGTCTTCGGATGACTGCCGCCGCCTGCTGTTGTTGTTGGCTGCTCGCGGCGGCGGCTCCGAGTGCCGATGTGGACGGCAGCGTCGACATTTTTTCTGTAAAACGTAGAGTTCGACGATTGTTTAATATTCAATTCTTAATCCTAGGCTTATCTCGTTTACATGAATGACAAAATACGGCCCTTGCTGGCTTCTCCCAGTTGAGCTCTGAGCTCTTCAGAGCTCTTACTCACTGACACGTGTGCACTTGGCAGGTGTTGAACGAATCGGAAATGAAATTGGTCGCTTTTTGCCGAGTGAAATTAGATCAATTTTTATGTACTGGGCGTCGAAGGAAACCGAGAAAAAGGGCAAGAGAAGCGGCTCTTTCAACAAAATGCAATATCAGAAAAGGGGAAAAACGGAGGACAACGCTTTGCACTCCAATTGTTAATTTATTTTGTTCTTTTGAGTCAGCATGTTTCCAACACTTTCAACGTCTTTCATACAGTCGAAAACGCACTTTTCTCCTACTGACAAAACCGAGGTCAAAACTAACGATTCGAATAATTGACGGGTAGCATCGGCACGGCGAAGCCCCCATCTCTGTTGTTGTGGTCCATTCCGCTTCTCTCGCTCCTCGTTTATCTCTTTTTCTCCTTTCTGGACCGATCGACCGACCGACGCAAGCAAGCAAGCCCCCGTGTCCTCTTCTCTCAGTTTCGTTGGGCGCCGAACACGCCGACGTCTACCGTCGCGGTAAAGGTCGCGAAGAGGAAAAAAAAACAAGAGACGGGTTTAACGGTGGCTGAGAAGGCCTTTTATTTCGGAGACGTCGTCATTTATTGTTGGAGAGGCTGAAAACTGACCGAAAACTGATACGCAATTGGAGGGGAACGGAAAGAACGGAAATTAATAGCACGAACAAGGAAATTGCCAAGAAGCTGTTGTGGAAACTTGATGAAGATGAGCAGAGAAAGAAGAAGAAAGCACAAGGGAATAGAAATTAAGGACAGTGGGCTCTGGAGCTGTGTTCGAGTGCTTCTGTATGTCCCGCTTTTGTGCAAGTGTTTTTATTAAAAACGACATTTCTCATCATGGCACAAAACAACATCTTCAAGATTGCATTGAGCTCCGAAATTCAACATTTCCCCTAAAAGGTCTCTCCGATGTCGCGTGGCACGTGTCCCATCAATTTCCGTACACTGAGATCTCATGTTTCGTTTCGCAATATGTTTTGGGAACCATTACACTGTATCCCATACAATATAGATAGGCGAGAGGCGTGTCACTTTCTCTTCTCCTTCTTCTTCTTCTTCTTCTTCTTTTTTCTGATTATGTCATTCAGTGATAACACGCAATTTACTCCATTTCGCTCGCTTCGATTCGTTTCGTCAATCCGAAGGCAATGCGGCGGCCAGTGACAGCGCGCACACACAGGGTCTTTGCAGCAGAAAGAAAGCAACGGTGAGAAGAAGAGAGAGAGAGAAAGAGAGGAAAAGAGAGAATGGCCGGTGAGAAGTAGGAATAGCGGGCAAAAGTGAGAGATACTAGAGTGAAACGGCAGGCAGACGAGGAGCTGAAGGGTGCGCCGATCACACGCAGCCCCGTCGCGTTCTTCCCTCTTTATATACAGCGGACAAATCGGCGATTCGCAGGTCTGCCCGACTACGGTACCTCTGCGTCTCCGCACCTCTTTTTCATCTCTCTCGCCTTTGCCTCCGTGGGGGCCGCTCCTCTCCTCTCTTCCCTATTCTCCGCCAATGTTTGAGGGGTATTTGATGCAGCTGTACACGGGCTGCCGCCGAGAAGAGGCGGAAAGCGAGCGAGCGAGAGAAAGAGAGAGAGGGAAAACTCCTCCCACTCTCCTCTGCATAGATTGTGTGGAATTGTGGACAGACAGACGGACGGACGAATGGATGGACGGTCGCTTCGGTTCGGTTCGGACGAATTGATCGCATCTCGTCGATGCTGAAGACCACGCGGGCGCCGAATCAACCGAAATTGGTGTCGAGGATAGACACCGTCGAAGGACATGGGCGCACAGCAGGATACCGCTACTAAATACTGCTTTCTGTCTTGCTTTTTTCGCAGACACATACGGATAGGGAATCTGATCTTCGTCTTCTATTATCATTCTTTGAAAAGTGTGGTGTAGGTAGATCAAACAGAAATTTGGCAAGACACACACTTTAATTTGTGATATCATTCTAAACTTTTACAGTAGATTTGATCTTTTGATTTCGATTCTTGGTACCGAAGCTTCTTTGTTAACAAGAACTAAAGATTAGTTTAAAAAATGTACAATTGAAGTTGTATCGTACACGTTTCTAGGAAAACAAAGTTCGAGAAACAAACACATGATCGCGAGGAAATGGGCTGATTTTAATCAGCTGCTGCTGCCACATGTCTTATCTATAATTGAGGGGAACAAAGTTTAACGGAAAGAAAAAGAAAGCGAATAAGATTTAGTTCGCTTCTGAATCACTGTGAGCACAGATGAGCAAACATTAACGATGCTATTCATGAAGATGCACTGCCGAAAGGGAGAAAGAGCACTTTTTTGTTGGAAAAACAAAATAATTGTTTCAATATCCGTTATTTTTCCAGCAAAAACAATTCAGAGATAGTGAAGGACAGTGCGAAAAGCGAAAAATCCGCGTAATTCCATGGGATATCATCGAAAAATGTCATTTTCAGTTATTTCTACACTATTCGAGCACGCTTTTTATATACCGAGCAGAAGCGAAAGAAAGCAAAGCACTTCAGAGACACTTTCAAGGAAAATTTTCTGGTCTATAATAGCTGGGGAATATTGCCGGAAATCCAATATTTTATGGGACGCAATCCTTCTTCTTCTCCGTTTTTTCCCATTCAGAAAAGGACGCAGCGGTGTCGACGTCGACGGAAAGGCTATGAATTATTCACTCGACAAATTTTCAGAGCATTTTTGAGCGTTTTCTGAAGTGTGAAAATAGGGAAATACTCACCAGTCCGGACGAAAATCGATTGATCCGACTGACGAGCCTGCAACAAATGCCTATTTTAGAAGGTTTCGGCAATAATCGATTAATCGGTGAGAAAACGAGCAGGCGAAAGCGTGGCAGGTGTATTGAATTTGAAAATCGCGCTCAATGCATTGAATAGAGCGGTGTAAACGCGCTCTACGGCTACGTGCATTCAAACCAGTGTACACAGACGTTTGTGGGGCACTATGTCAACGTCACCACTCGATACACCGCTCTTATCGTCGTGTTTTTGGCATCTTAATTTGTAATTTTACCTAAAATCTATGATTGATCATTAAAAACTACATTAAAAAGTGTAAGAGACGCACAGTGCTTGTCTGCCAAACCTTTGTTTATGTAAAATCGGGTAAAATCGAAACTACCGTATTCTGTGACTGAATTGGCGGCGAAAATACTTGTTTTAATCTTTTCGCTCATTTTTCGTAATTTTCTACTGCAAAAAGCAAGAAAATCAGTTCTTAAAAGAAAAAGTGTTGAAAAATGACGAATTTTTGCTAAAAGCTGCGACCGTACTTTAAAGGCGCATCACGCAATGGTATTCGTCGAGTCTCACCACGAGTTGATTAAACTGGCACGATTTGTAGGCGCTGGATACAACGAAGTAAAACTGGCACGGAATGGAACTCGCAACGTTAAAATACAACTGCGAGTTCCAAATCGTAGCAGTTTCATTCCGTGCAAGTTCTAGTTCGTAGTTCAGTGCCTAGTTCAGTGCCCGATTTTTATTCAAAAAACAATTTAAAAATTTCGATTTTTTCCAGTAGATTTACAATTTGGTTACTTTCCTACTTTAACCTTAAAAAAAGTCCCTCACTATAATGTGCGCTACTCAAAATTCGTTAAATTCTACGTTCTTTTCCAAAAACTCTGAGACAGCACATGATAATTTCAGTAATGGCGGCTGGCAGTAGCTGGGTCGTCGCACTCTTCTTGCTCGTCGCTTCTCCGCCTCACGTCGAAATGGTGAAGCGCGAAGAGTTCAAAACGTGCGAGCAATCGGCTTTCTGCAAGCAGCACAGAGCTCTTTCGGTTAGACGGTCTGCTCAGAATCACCATAACTGGGATCATCTTCAGGAGCCGACTGGATACGAACTGCTCGCCGATTCCGTCTCGCACTCGGGCGCCGTCTGGACCGCCAAGCTTCAAAATTCGCAGAATACGCTCAAGCTCAACGTGATCGGCTTGAAGGTTTGAGAAAATTTCCAGATAAAGCTGCAATAAAGAACTTTTTGTAGGATGCTACGGTTCGGGTGCAAATTGACGAGCCGGAAACTGCTATTCGCAAGCGTTACGTGCCGAATCCAGCACTCGTTGCCATTCCAGAAGAACTCGCATTTTCGAGCGTCGAAAATGGAGTGTCCGAGGCGAAACTGCTCAGCGGAGACCGGAAAGTCAAAGTTGTCGTCGCGTACAAGCCATTCCTCGTGAATATTTTCAACGAATTCGATGAGCTCATCGCGCAGGTAAACAGAGACGGAAAGCTTAAAGTGGAAGAGTTCCGCGTGAAAGAAGAGGGAAAAGAGTATCCGGACGGCTTCTGGGAGGAGCGATTCAAGACTTTCACCGACCGCAAGCAGCACGGATCGAGTTCCGTCGGAGTCGATGTCTCTTTCGTCTCCTTCAAGACCGCCTACGGACTTCCGGAGCACGCCGACGCGTTCGCCCTCCGCAACACTGTTGGCAACGGCGATCCGTACCGCCTCTACAATCTCGACGTTTTTGAGTACGAACTGAACAATCCGATGGCTCTCTACGTCTCCATCCCCTATATTCTTGCCCACAGAGCCAATCGTTCCGTCGGAGCGATGTGGTTTAATGCCGCTGAGACGTGGGTTGACACACAGTCTTCCGTCACTTCCAAGGGCCTATTCGGAAAGGTTTTGGACAAAGTAACCGGCGCCGGAGACAATGTGCCGCATTTTGATGCTCATTTCATGTCCGAGTCTGGTCTCGTCGACATTTTCTTATTCGTCGGACCGACTGTCAAAGGTTCGTGTTCGCACATTTCTAATTGTTGAACATCAATTTCGCTTTATTACAGACGTTCAACGCCAAAACGCGAAACTGACAGGAAAGACGCCTCTGCCGCCGCTCTTCTCGATTGGATACCATCAGTGTCGATGGAACTACAACGACGAGCAGGACGTGGCTAGCATCAACCAGGGATTCGACGACCATGACATGCCGATGGACGTCATCTGGCTGGACATTGAGCATACGGACGGAAAGAAGTACTTGACGTGGGACAAGCATAAGTTCCCGACTCCGAATGACATGGTTGACAAGGTGGCGGCGAATGGAAGGAAGATGGTGACTATTGTGGATCCGCACATCAAGAAGGACGACGGATACTATGTGTACAAGGATGCCAAGGACAAAGGACTGTTTGTGAAGAAAACCGATGGATCCGACTTTGAAGGACACTGCTGGCCAGGAGCATCCGAGTATCTCGACTTCTGGCACCCGGAGACTCGTTCCTACTGGAAGGATCAGTTCGCTTTTGGAAGATACGTAGGTTCCTCGCAAAACTTGTTCATTTGGAATGACATGAACGAGCCGTCCGTGTTCAGTGGCCCTGAAATCACCATGGATAAGGAGTCCATTCATTACGGAGGAATCGAGCATCGCGAAGTGCACAACATGTACGGAATGATGTACACGTCCGCCACTTTCGACGGGCTCATGGCCAGAACCGACGGAAAGGACCGTCCGTTCATTCTGTCGCGATCCGGATTCATCGGAACGCAGAGAACCGCCGCAATTTGGACGGGAGACAACACTGCCGACTGGGGCCATTTAGAGATTGCCGCTCCGATGACTCTCTCGCTGAGCATTGCCGGAGTTCCGTTCGTCGGAGCCGATGTCGGAGGATTCTTCGGAAATCCGGACGAGCAACTGCTGTCCCGTTGGTACCAGGTCGGCGCCTACCAGCCGTTCTTCCGCGGACACGCCCACATTGACACGAGACGCCGTGAGCCGTGGCTCTTCTCGGAGCAGACGAAGCATGTGATCCGGGATGCGCTAAGAGCCCGTTACGCGCTCCTTCCCTACTGGTACACACTGTTCCAGCAACACGCGGAAAGCGGATTGCCGCCGATGAGACCGTTGTTCTACGAGTTTGAGAATGACGATTCGTTGCTCGAGGAGCAGAAGCAGTGGATGGTCGGAAGCGGTCTTTTGGCAAGGCCTGTTGTCGAGAAGGACACGTTCAATGTGCAAGTGAAACTGCCACGTGGCGAGCAGCAGGTTTTCACAGGCTCATTGTCATTTCTGATGACAAAATATCGATTTTCAGAACGAGAGATGGTTCGAATGGGTGTCCGGAGTGGAGATTCGTGGCGAGACGGTGTACGTCGACGCGCCAATCACCCACATTCCAGTCTATCAGCGCGGAGGCACCATCATCCCGACTTGGCAACGCATTCGTCGTTCCGCCACGCTAATGCGAGACGATCCGCTCACTCTGTTTGTTGCTCTCAACTCGGAAGGAAATGCTCACGGAGAGTTCTATTTGGACGACGGACAGACTCACGATTACCAGAACGGACAGTTTGTGAAGGCGTCGTTCGACTTCAAGACCGTCTCTAAGAGTCGGGCGGTGTTCGAGGGAGAGCACGTCGATGGAAAGTTCGAGGCGAAGAACTGGTTGGAGAGAGTGGTTGTGAGAGGAGTGGAGACGGCGCCCAAGAAGGTTGAGGTAAGGAAATTGATAGATTTATAATGGCGACATGTTCAAATGTTTCATTTCGTTTCCAGATTACACGTGTCTCCGATCCAGTGCAACCCCTGGAATTCTCGTACGACCGCGACTCAAAGGTGCTTGTCATCCGCAAACCGGAGGCCCTTCTCACTTCCAGCTACAAAATTCATATTGAATTTTAAATTTCTCTCTTTTATCCGTATCATTTCATGTGTATTTATCCATTCAACCTGTTTTTCAGTCGCTTTATCCGCTCTCCCGCATCCGATTCTGACTCTAGTTGTGCATCCACACATCCACCCGGGCCTTTGACCGTTTTCTACGACTTTCCTTGTTTTTTTTTTTGATTTTTAGAAAATCGAGCCATTCCAACATGTGATTTTTATGGTTATCGTTTTTGTAGCTTTCCTTTTGTTCCTATTTATTGTGATGAACATCTTTTTACGAGTTGCTCCCCAAAATTGCCCATTCAATTGACACTTAAATCTCACGTTTCAGCCATCTACATCACATGAATTGAAAAAAAAGCTGATAAGCGGACACTGTTTCTGCTAAAATGACACTCTTATCAAATTTTAAAGAGTTTCATATTGATTTCCTCCTCCATCGGTTTCCACGAAAATTGTCCGTCCACTGGTCATTTGGCTTTTGACCAGTACTTGGTTATCACCGAAAATCATCAAATGATGACTTTTCTGAAAGAATTGACGCACACTTTTTAGTTTGCAACCAGTTTTTGTGCCACAAACACTCTGTTGCGCCTTTAAATTCTATTTTTAGTACTGTAGGTTCGTGTCGAGACCCGAACTGATACAAATATCTTCCGTGCTGCTTCTTTTTATTGCTCGAAAGCACATCATTCGGTTGCTCATTGAATAAAAAAGAACATTGAACTGCTAGCACCCAAATTCAGAACAATCTTATAAAAACAGTGTCGTTCAATATTACATGCTCAAGTTTTTGTTTTCAAGATACTTTTCCAGAATGTTCCCAACCAGACGCACAGATTTTCTCATCTGAGTCAAGTTCTCTCAAATAGTGGTGTAGATTGTTTTGACATATTTTGAAAAGAATTGTCACCCTTTCCCTCCAAAATAGTCAGTCACAAACTAACAGCTCTTATCAACCACATGTCTCCATATGTTTCTTCTTTTTCTTCTTCTTTTTCTTCTTCGTCTCAATGACGCGCAGAAACGTCTGCCGACCCGATCAGCCGTTCGGATCCCTTCGCGACTGTTCCATCACCAACCTTTGGTCTCTTTGAAAGGAAAAGAGCACTGAACCTAAAGCGAAAGACCACACTTTTTTTAAATTTTCCGTTCACTATTTACCTTTTCGGTTGCAACATTTTGGAACTTTGAACAGCGGCAGTCAACACGCCTGTGTTTATGGGAAAAATGGGAAACAGAGTCAAGTACGGTATACCCAACTTTTGGGGGGAAATTCAAATTTTGGAGAATCTCCTTTCAACTGTCTTATCTGGAAAACGGCACAAGCAAGAGTTGAATGAGAGATTTTGAATCTCAGATTCCAAGTGTTAGTTCAAAGAAGTTCTAATCCAACAGATATTGTAGACCCAGCAGTTGTAGCACGGTAAAAAAGGGAAAAAGTACGATACATATCATCAAAACACTCCAAACGTCGACTTTAAACTACAACCCTGGGAGGTCTGCCTTCTCAAATGTCCCCCCTCCCTCCTACTCTAGGCGAGGGGGTCCTCTGGTCACTCTTGACCACTCCTCGCACCCCCGCACGCGTGGCTTCCACTCTCCATCTCTCTCTCTCTTTCTCTCTCTCTCTCTCTCTCTCTCGATCTTATTGTTGTTTAGTGTTGTATTTTTGTTTAGATTGTGTACGGTTTTCTGCGTTCTTTCCTTCCACTTCATCTTCTTCTCACAAGGCCACTGCCAAAAAAAAAGTGTGGTGGGAAAACAACAATAAACAACCTGTTTCCTTGCGTCTCTATTCCTCGCCCTTCTCCTTCCGATCATCACATTTCCGCCTCTTTCTCTTCCTCTCTCCCACTCTCTCTCTCTCCCTTATTTGCATGCGAAAAGAGAAAAAGACAGTCCTTTGCTTTCCCTCCGTTTACGGTTTGCACGCACTCTCACAAAAGCTTCATCACATTAAAAGATCAGCGTTAGAGACACAAAACTGTACATGTTTAGGGTATGAACCATTAAAAGTTCGGGCATGGAAACACACGTGATTCCGGTGCGACGACGGCTCGAATCGGAGCAAATGGAGCAGTCCGAGATTTCAATGTCCGTCGTCACCGATGACACCCGTCTCTTTCCGGTAGGCCTATTTTGCTGTGTTATCAGCCTTGTGCCCCAAAAATGGAATAGAACTTTGAACTACATCATCGATTTGGCGCAACTTTGACAGTCTTGAATGTGTGAGCTAAAGTAATATTAGGTGTGTGTTTGCACAATAAAGTTGTCAACTACAAAAATATTCTACAAGTCATTTTTTTTTGTAGCTGACAACTTTCTTGTACACGCACCCCTACTAAGGCTACTACAGCTCACGGAAGTCGTGGCTCAAGTTCTATTACGGGCGGTCTGATTGGGTTAGCACACTCTTTTTTAAAGTGGCATAACGGTTTCACGGCCGTGGCCTAGAAAACTAAAGCCTAAAACTCTTCTCCGGTATGTCGTCGTAGACATGTTTTCTCCTTACTAGATCCAATACTACCGTACTCACGGAAGGAGAGTCTTTGATCATTTTCCCACGCAAAACAATGATGCAAAGTAATCCTCTTATGTAAACTGTCCATTCACATGGCAAAGAGCGTAGCAGTTTTGATACACATCAAGTTCGAAATGTTCAAAAGAAAGAAGACGGAACGCCTCCACCCCCGCCGTCCCAAAGAGAGATTTTCGAAAAACACACTGTCAAAAAGCGACTCTTTTTGTTTGAGTTTCGAATCTGTTCAAACGGGCCGAGTAGTTTGTGTGTATGTGAGTGAGTCACACCGGGAGCACCGAAAACGTGGCAATGCTGCCAAGGCGCCGCCCCTCTCCGCCGCCCCTCGTCTCCTGCTCACTTTTTAGACTCCTCTCCTCGCCCTTCTTTCTCTTTTCCTTGGTGCGCCGCTTTCTGCCCTCACCTTCTATCCATCTGTTTGTTTTTTGTGTGTGTGTGTGTGTGTCCCGGAAAAAGATCAAAAACTGTTCGCGGAGCCATGATACCGATGAGAAGGTTGGACAGTGATGGCCGAGAATCTCGAAAGGTAACTCGGATGGAGAGGATTGGGAGGCAGTGGAAAAAGTTTGCTCTTTTTCCGTTTCCTAGGAGATTAGCCAGTGAGCACCACGTGAGCGGGGAGAAGGCAGGAGATGAGGCTGAAATATTAGCGGCGCTTTTGGAAGCTGAATTTGAGTTTGAGATTGAGTTTGAATTTGCAGGTGCGGAGAAGGTCAACACTCTATGCTATCAATGACAACAAAAGTGTGTGGTGGTAAGTCGTTAATGGAGTCGTGAAGCAATTGGGTTTCAAAGTGATGGCCGCGGCCTAGAAAACTGTTTCGTGAGACTTTCAAACTTCAATTCCCGGCAAAGAGTTAGATGCGCAGGTTTGCACACATTGACCAGAAATCGTGGTTCACACACTCACTCTTTTGGTGTGGTGAAAAAAAACGTATCGGATTACGTAGAAAGATGCGTTCAGCTGCCCGGTCAACGTGGAGCCCATCCTGTTCCTGGTCACGTGTGGCTTCGGGCTCATGGCCACCAATAACTCGCTCTTCACCTACTGGGCCCGATGCATCCAGATCGCCGAGGGTCACAAAGAGTACACGCACAATGTGACGTACACGTGCGCCTCGATTGCCACGTACAACGGAACGCTGCAGGATGACGTGGAAAAGGATATCGCCAACACGAAAATATACTTACAGGTTTGGAGGTTGACTCGTGGCCCAACAATGTTAAGGTTCCAGATCTTCGGAACGATTCCCACTTTGATTATATCTCCGCTAATCGGCAACTGGTCGGATAAAAACGGACGGAAACCTCCGTTGCTCTTCTCGCTTTTGGGATTGGTCATCTACAATTTCCTATTGCTCTGCGCCACGCTCACCTACGAATCCGTCAACGTCTACTACTGGTTCTTTGTCTCCGAAATCCTTTTGGGACTTTTCGGCGGCGGCGCGGCCACCTTCTCCACTTCGCTCGCCATCGTCACAGATGATTGCCGTCATAAATTGAAACCGGTGAGCTTTCAACAATTTTCACACTTTCGCTCTTTTTGACGGAACGACCCGGGTTCAAAAATAGTGAGAAAACTGCAATGGGCGGAACTATGGGCGTTCAAGAGAGGCATAGAGAAGACATGATCAAGAAGGACCGGTGATATATTTCAGGGCTCCTCAACAGTCCCCTTCCGAGTAGGCCTCGCCTCGTTCATCCAATCGATCGGATCGCTCATTGGCACTTTGGTCGTGTCCATTCTCGCCGTTCCCGCAATTCTGTCAGTGGAAAGACACGCCATGAGCTATGTGAAATGTGCATTTATACGTAAGATTAATCAAAGAAGGCCTGCTCCAAGAACTCTGGAATTTCTTCAGAGACCGGCCTCTCCTTGATTGCTCTGATCTACGCGATATTCTTTGTTCGAGAAACACACTTTCCGAGGAAGGAAGATTTCAGTTATAATCAATTTGATGGTAAGCTACTTACTTGGTGCGTGACGCAACGAAATAATGTTCAGAAAACGAAGAAGTGGAAGAAGTTGAGCAACGGCCCAAGGTCACTGGAATCCGTCAGTTCACTGCTTATCTGGAGTCTGTCTTTGGAGTTCTGATGGTCCGAAGACCCGGATGGACACGTCTGTGTCTCTGTGTTTCGCTCCTTTTTGTGTTCATCGAGTTTCTTTCGTTTGGTATGTTCATGACAACCTGTGAGCCTTGCATAAGATAGTCTTTAGCCGTAAGACCTTACTTTAAGATCTACACATGATCAGATCGACCACCTTTCTCATTCAGACCTTTTTTGCAGACCCCTCCCTCCTTCTCCTCCTCGTCAAACGTCTCCCGTTCGCGTGGAACGACAAGATCTTCAGCTACTTCTCGGTGGTCCGCAGTCTCGTCATCTCCTTCGGAATGGTGCTCTGTCCCCTTCTGCTCACTCTTTGCCATTGGCTCGGCAAAGATTCGCTTTTAATCATCGCCGCCCTGGCATCCTCTGCAGGCGCCTCTTTCCTCACCGCGTTCGCCACGAAGAGTGAACACATCTTTTACAGTAAGCACTTTTCTCCTTAAAACTTCTATGTACAAGTTTATATTTCAGCTTGTATTTTCGGTTTGATAATGGGCGGAATGCAGCCGGCCTATCGCTCGTTCCTGCCTCGAATGGTCGGCAAGGAAGAGACCGCCCGTCTGCTGACCGTCACCTCCATCATCATTTCCTTCTCACCCATTCTGTCCTCTCTGATCTTCAACTCCATCTTCAACATGACTCTCACTTGGTGGCCTGGATTTGCCTTCTTCGTCTCCGGATGCTTTCAGTTCACAGTTTTCATAGGACAAATGTGAGTTTCCAGTTGATTATTCACAATCCTAGTGCTCATTTCATTTCCAGAGTGATCCACTTGCTCATGCGTCCCCAGTGGAAGCTTGACAAACAGTTGCGAGCACGTCGTCTGGATGAAACGGACGAACGTGATGACGTGGATTTCCAACCGATCGGCGACGCCGAACAACGCAGCATCTCGAACACTGCCGTCGGATCGGACAGCGGATCGAGAAGAGGACTCTGATGCTTTATCCCTTTACTTATGTCTGTACTTTATGTCCTCCCTAATTATTGCCTCTATGCCTTTTAAGCTGTGACATTACCACGGGTCATGTGATGTTTTCACTTTGAAAATAAACCTTTTTCTAATAATAAGAGAAATAGAGTTGCCTTTTACGTGAGCCAAGTTGACATTTACGTGGTTTGGAAAGGTTTTTGGTCCATTCTCCGTTCTCCCATTCATTCTCATATTGGAACTTTCCACAATTGATGGCAACCTTCAAAACTACTTCCGATAAGCTGAAAGAGCTCTCAGGTACCTCAATTTTTTAGCCTTTTTACCATTTTCCATTCTCATTTTCAGCGGGACTTAGCGGAGAGGAACTTGAAGAGTTGAAAGAAATTCGCCAACAAACCAGAACGATCGCCGAGATCTTTGGCGTGTTCGGAGTGCACGACAAGAAGAGATGGACGGAGGTGAAGGAGCGATATCGGAAAGCGAAGGAGGCGCCGCGGAAGAAGCGGCAGGAGGATGCGGAACTGGCGAGCCTTCTGGCGATGCCGTTTGATGACAAGTGCAGACTCTTCGAAACCAAACTCCCGAACGCTGCCGGAAACGATAAGAGAAACGCTTCTCGACTGCTACTCAATCACATCGCTCGTCATAAGGTATACCCACAAATGTGCTCATAGAATCCACGTGTCGCTTTGAGGAGTTGTACATGCCGAAGACCAACTACTTGACAACTGTGAGCACTGCCAAGGACGATCACGTCATCACTCCCCATTCCTGGCCGTCTTGCGATCCCAGCGACAGTTCGGACGCGATCGGCGAGAGTGCGGATACGTTGTCGAAGATGACCTACGATGCGGCCTACTCGAACACGACCCAGTCGCAATCGGAGACGCTGGTCTTCGACGAGAGCTCCTACAATCCGGAACTGGCGACTCCGTTGCACACTTGCATTGAGTAGACGGGGACAGAATGCAAAAGTCGCACAAGTCGAAGAGTATCAGCTGCCTTTTGTGATCTTTACTTTTGTTTTGTTTTGTAAACCAAACTAATAAAGCACATTTGGCGAAACGTCCGTCATTTGCTATTCCATGTCCGTCAATCTCATCCTCATGCCAACTTTTTCGTCTTGACAGGAAGATTAAGAAAAAACTAGAAGTAATGGAGACACTTGGGGCAACCTGACAACCTGTAACAGCCGCGGTATATTCGAAAATGTCCAGATTGCATTCGTAAGTCCTTCTACCTAACATCCTCATGATCCCCTTTCTGATCGTTTCCAGTTCCTCCGCATCCTCGTCTCGCTTTGCCTCGTCTCCGCGGCCACGGCCATCACAATGGCCAGGCGTAGTGTGCGTCGGTGAACTGCTCGCCGTGGATCAGCTCTGCGACGCAAGAGAACAAGACGTTCTAGAGATTGTGCGTGCTCAACTGCGCCTCCAAACACGACGGAGCATGCAATACGAGCAACAAGTACCGCTGCTGTCTCGTCACGTTCCCGGCCAAGAAGAAAGAGTTCAAGATGTCCGGATGCACCAAACTCTCTGATGATCTTGTTTGAGTCTGTGGGAATGAAGTGATTTTGGTCCTCGCAAGATTTCCCCAGCTCCATCGTATCCCATATCCGCGACAATCTTTCATTCACGCCTTCTGTCCTCCTGGCTCCGGAGATTGCCTCTTTCAATTATCCCCTTGGCTCCGCTCCCCCACAGAAAAATCCTCGTGTGACTCTAATTAATTCAGATTCTCCATCTCAATTTCCGGAATGGCTACCGTAGTCCTGCTCCTCCTCAGAAGAAGAATGGATGATGACATGTCTTGAAAAAGTGACAACGAAAACGACGTGTCGAAGTTTAAAGGAGGGCCATCCTCGGCTCGCCACAGCGCCTCCCCCGGGGGATCGCTCATACACATTTCTTTCGTTTTTCACACTTCGACACCCCCACGAAGGGACACATGAAACTGAGGAGCGAGAGACGGCAAAACTGTGCGCGCGCGACTTTTCATGTTGGTTCGGAGTGTCGACAGGGGACCCGGGAAGGGTCGGAGTCAGTTAGTGATGGAGCAGTTGGAGGGGTACGGTAGTTTTCATAAAATTCTGTTGGTTAGGTTCAAAAATGACTTCCAAAGATTCTACTTCAAATAACTTCAGGCACACTTCGGAAAAGCTGACAGCATTCATTCAAGATCTCACCGTAAGACGAACGACGTCTCCTTCGCACATCATCAAATCCCCACCCGTTTCCTGCATTTCCTCTGGCTCCTCTGGACTCCTCATCATCTTCATCTCGCCTCCAGGGACGACAAGAACAAACGAACGTTGTGCGTCGTCGTCGTGCAACTCCCAAAAGTCTCTTCTTCTTCTTCTTCTTCTTCTTCTTGTGTTGGCGCAATGCAACGCGACGAGGACGAGACAAATGACACGAAGAAGGCGATGAAAGGCGGAGAAGGATGAGGGGGGCGTGACCCCCATTTTTGAGGGAAAAGGGGGACGACGCCCGGGAAGAGAGCGTTGGCTCCGAAGCACTCACTGATTTCTTCTAGTGCTCCAGTAATGGATGTTCGTTTTCCGCCCTACTTCTTCACAATGCCACATCTACTCTACAACTCTTGGTAGGTTTTAAAGTGAAATTCCTTTCGATCTTCCTCTAACTTCAGGCTGACTCTTCATCACAATCTTCCGAAGCCAGCAGATCTATCGGCCATCACTGCTGCAGCTGTCAAACCGGTTCAGAAGGCGGTGAAGAAGACGTCGGTGACAGAAGCAAAGATTGCTGTGGTGGCTGAGTTGGTGAAACCGAAAGAAGTTGAGGATCAGAAGGATCAGAAGAAGGCGGGAGAAGTTGGAGAAGTAGCAACTGAGGACAATGATGTGAGTATAGATTATGCCCACGGTACCGGGTTCAGATCACCAGTGCATCGAGTACTGTTCTCTCCAGGCAATGTATCTCAGCTGCCGCTAGAGATATCAAAAAGTTGTCAACTACCAAAATATAGACCATTTCTTGGGAAGCATTTCATAAGCTGACAACTTTTTAATATCTCTACCGGCACCTGAGGTATACCCTCTTGAATGAACCCTGACCTTTTAGTGAAGTTTTTGCGGAATTCAGCCTAACTTTCATAGTTTTCCAAAAAGCCCGTTTTTTCGGTCTCCTCCGAATGCCGCCGCTTTTCAGACATCGGCTCTTCTCAAGCTCAAGCGTCGCGTCGTCTGCGAGATCTGCTCCAAGTCATTCTGTGACAAGGGAGCCCTCAAGATCCACACGTCGGCGGTCCATTTGCGGGAGATGCACACGTGCTCCGTGGCCGGATGCGGGAAGCAGTTCAGCAGTCGTCGCAGTCGGAATCGTCACAGCTCAAATAACAATCCGAAGCTGCACTTGCCCGAGTCGATGAGCCTGAGCACTGCGAAGCCAACAAGTTTGGAAGCGTTCTGGCCGGCGAGATTCTTGCTAGGCAAGGAGCATCCGCTGGATTTGTCATTAAATGTTTGAATAATTTATGTGCCATTGGCTGAAATAAAGAGAAGAGATCTTTAGTTGCATACAAATACGGGGATACAAGAAAAATACAAAGATAAAATGGAAATCGAAAGGAAGAGGGAGTGTTCGCCATCTTTAGAATCCGTCTGGCAATGGCACATCGAGAATGGCGTTCAGACTGTTTACCACGCGATTCTCGACCGTCTCCAAGTCCTTCGTGAACAGCTCAAGGATCTTCGCGGTGACTTCTTTCAGAGCCGACGCTATTTTCTGCTGCCCATACTTTGAATTGCGTTCGAGAATCCGGAGAAGTTGGGCGAGGAGAGTGTAACGCTCGAGCAGAACGTTGATCTTTTCGGGATCCTCGAGGCCCCGGAAGAACTTGCATCCCTCGGCCATAAAATCCTTCTCCAGCACTGCGAGATAGTCCTCCGCCATCGCCTTGTCCTTCAGTACCAACTTGTTGACCCCGAACGAAATGAAAGTGGGCAGCGTATACTCCTCGAGCCTCGGATCCTCGTACTCGGCTCCAAGAGACGCTTCGACGAGCGATTGCACCGAGAAGAGGACAAAGTGCGAGGCGCACTTCTCCGCCGATTCCTGCTCCCAGTAGTCCGTCTCCAGCACTTTTTTCTGGAATTGTCGCAGCGCTTCGAGTGTCTCTTTGCTCTTCTCGAGCTCGTACTCCTCATCGTCTTTGCACTGCGCATTGATCCATTTGGGCACGAATCTGAGAATGCTCGCCAGATCCGAATGACATTCGGTGTACGACTCCTCGCAGAGAGTTGCGCCCACGTGGAGAATTGAAACGAACAGTTCGACAGGAACGGAGCTGGTGCACATTGAAACGAGTATTCTGCAAGTAAAAAAAAATAATTGTATGAGAGGACTGTCATTCTTTCTAACCTCGTAGCAATTTGCGCGACCGACGTATTCTCCAACTTTGTCTTCTCCGACTCTTCCGGACGATCCGCCTCGTCCTCGTACTCCAACGGCCGCGTCGTGTAGTCAAACGCCGACATAACCACATTCATCGTTTCGAGGAACGTCTTCGTCAACTGAACGAAAAACTCGTGGTGCCGCTCCATGAACTGCTCGTCTCCCATGCGGACTGCGATGCGTTCCTCGAACCACGTCAGTAGATCTTTCGTCGAATCGATCGCCTTTTGCCGCTCGTCCGGATCATCGTCGTTTGTGTTCACGGCGGCGAAGAGCGGAAGGATGAAGCGGACCTCGAGCGCCGTCAGAAGAGTTTTGTCCGTCAGAGGCTGCTCTTCGCCGTCTCCTTTCGCCAGGCGGGATTCAATCGCGTCGCGAACAGGTTCGACCTTCTGAAAGCAACACGGATTTTCAGAATATGCAACTCTTAAACTTACAGCTAACAGTTTCAGAATCCTTATTCTGTACGTCTCCCGCATCGACACCAAACTCGACATATTATAGCTCTGCAGTAGGTACTTGAGCCGTACCAATGTCGTCGCGAGCACTTCCTCCGGCACTCCCACGTCCCTCTTCTTCGTCTTTGCCTTCGCCGGCACTTTGAACAGATCTTCGAGCACTTGAAGCCCATTTTCGAGCGAATCGAACAGCGAATCTGGATTGAAATGGATTGCTGTCTCGAGGAACGGTTCGACCGCTTCGACGGGAACGTCGTCGTCGGCGAGACGAGCAAGCACATCCTGCGCTATCGGCTTGAGTTCGTCCTTGGAAATGGCGCTGCAAACGGCAGTGGCGGTGCCGAGGATTGGAGTGTTCGAGTATTTCTCGTAGATCAATCGGACTACTTTGACAAAATACTTTTCGCATCTCTCCTTAAGATTCGCTTCTTGTAGCAACATCTGAAATGAAAGTTTTAGTAATAATTGGCATTTTTCAATAACCAACCCCTTTGCAAGACATGTAGATGATGAGCGCACACTCCAGATACGCTCTCGTCTTCATGAACTCCTCCGACTTCTCGTCCATTGGCTCTTCCGCCTTCTGCGCCGCTTTTTTATCCCATCTTCTCAAGTACCGATAACTCCAGGTTAACAGCATTTCCATGAGTTTGACAGCCTGACTTGCGTCGATGATCTTCATCGGTCCAAGGAGTCGGAAGTAGCTGAGTAGGGCGAGACGGCTTTGTTTTAGCATGCCGTTCACGCGTGGGCGGTAGTAGTTCTCGTCGTGATCTTTTGATGAGATCGGCAGCAGAATATGAACGATCGGAACCAGTTGACGGCGGCAAGATTCGACAGTTTCCAAGTCCATTTTGGCGACAGCTTCTTTCCGGTCAATAATGTCGAAGACGCTGATGAACTTGTGGTTTTTGAGTCTGGCTAGAAGCTGATAGGCAACGAGCCGCACACGCTCCGATTTGTCTTGGATTCCTCGGGAGGCAACACACTTGAGAGCGTGCGCGAAGACGTTCATGCATGCTGGAACGAAAGCCATCTCGCTGAGTCCCTCAAAGACGGCGACACGCACTCCGACCACTGTATCTCTGGACAATTCTTCGATGACGAATGCAAATATCTCCTTGATCACATTTTTAGGAAGAATGAGCCAGTACTCGCCCATCAGTTTCAACACATTCTTCGCCGCGTCTGTTCGAATCGAGATGACGTCGCTTTGCAGCAAATCGACCATGTGCCTGTGCTGAGTCTCCATGCTCTTTGCCATGTCTTCTGCATCATCTCCGACGAGCGGATAAAACATGTAGAGCACTTCGGCGGCGGACGACTGCACAATCCAGTTTCGGGCGCCGAGGGCACGGAAAAGGCATCCGTTCAGAATCCGCGTGATCATCGAATCCACGTTTTTATCTAGCTTTTTCTCGGTGCCGAACGACACCAGAACTTTGCGAAATTTCGCGCAAAACGGCTTGTGTCCGTAGACGGCGCTCTGGCAGATCGGAGTGATCACTTCCGTCTCCAATTCCTCCGTCAAATCGAAGTTTCCTTCCTGATACGCCGTCTTCCATGCCGCCGTCATGACTTCTCCGTATCTCTGACAATCACCACTGAAATGTGCTCGTTTCTTGATGTTTCTTTCGAATTCGCTACTTACTCTGACAGCTCAAACTGCATAATGAGCTTTTCCAACAACCGATATCCCGTAGTCACTCCGATTTTGACGAGAATAGCGGCGACAAGTTTGACACCTGAAAGGCGTTTACATTTCTCGAGTTCGTTCGGTTATTCACAGACCTTCTGGGCACGCTAGCAGTGCCGGCGAAAAAAACATCCATCGAAGCTGGGACGGATTTACATAAGCAACGATATCTTGATGTACAGCCCATAACTTTTTGATGAACGTTTTCTGAAGACTTCTTCCGCTTCTTTGCTGCAGTTCGCTGATTAAATCGTTATAATCGTCGGGCGGCGGTGGTGGCTGTTTTTCCGGTGTCAATTTGCTTGATTTTGGCATTTTTTGACTGAAATATGCAGAAATTGAGCAAACGTTTATCAAAAATGGGGAAAGTGTGTTGACCAGAAAAATAATTCCAATTGCGTTCAATTTCGCGCGCACTTTTGTCCAGTGGAGCGCGTTTGCACACCACTCTGTGAGTATTTTTGCGACGCAAAAATTGCATAATTCCACACATTTTCTGCCAAATTCCGAGCGTTTTCAAGATTTCATCTTTACAGAAATGTTCGCAAGATCTTCATTAATCAGATTATTCTCGACGACCGGCAGAAACCTGGCAGAAGCCGAGAAAAAGGTGTCTAAAGAGGTAAGAACATTAAAAAAGTAAACATGCTTAAGTAGAATTAAGCTTTCAGGCTCTGATGACGCTCCGTAAGCGAACCGGATACAGTTATGTGAATTGCCGGAAAGCTCTCGTGAAATTTGGCGAAAACGACATGGAAAATGCAGTGAAATGGCTGAAAGAAGCGGCCGCGAAGGAAGGATGGGCGAAAGCGGCCAAGTTCGTTTAAATTTTTGACTCCTAAAGCTAGAAACTGTGCGAATACTTTAATTTTTCCAGGCTCGGCACCCGTGTCACTTCCAACGGTCTCGTTTCTGTGGCCAGTGACAAATCAACGGCGGCAGTGGTCGAATTGAGCTGCGAGACCGACTTCGTGGCCAGATCGGGTGCCTTTAAAGATTTGCTCTCAAACATTACCAATTCGGCACTTGTCAAAGCTAAGAACGAATCCGGATCCGGCTCTTCGAAGCTTCACGAATACTCGTACGAACTCGCGGAGCTCACCGACGCTGAAGGTAAAAACATGCGTGAAGTTCTATCTTTGGCGATCGGAAAGCTCGGAGAGAACATGGCTGTGAAGCGGGTGAAGGCGTACAAAGCTCCGGAAGGGACCACTCTCTACGGAGCATCTCATCCAAAGGACGGAACCGAGAAGTTGCCAATGGGACGCTTCATTTCGCTAGTGGCAATGAACCAGTCTACGCCAGGTACCTAAAAAAAATCAAACATTTTCCTCTCGAATTCGAAAAAAAGCTAATGATTTCTCAGGATCAATCAGCACCCAACAACTGGCCGGCCAAATCTGCCAGCACATCATCGGAATGTCTCCAGAATCGCTCGGCGAGGCGACCGGAGCCGTGAAGAGCCAGGAGGTGCTGAGCACTCAGGAAGGACACGATCCGGCCGCCGATCCGGTCGTCGTCACCAACATCGACGACTCGGAGACCGCGCTTCTCCGCCAGTCGTTCATGCTGAATCCGTCGCAATCCGTCCACGAATACCTGCAATCTCACCACGCGAACGTGCTCGATTTCGTGCGTGTCGAGCTCGGCAGCGAGCAATAATCTAATTTTTAAGTATTTAGTAGCTTAGTTTTGTAGGTCACTTGTTTCTGTTTCTGTTCACTTTATTCCTGTTGTTCCTCGCTTTATTTATGGTAAGAAATGTTTGAAAACCTATTCAAAAAGCGAATCAATGCATTTAATATCCTCTGCCAGATGTTCTTTCCTCTTTCCCTCCTCGCCACTGGCAGAAGAAGATCATCACACATTCCTACCAAACACAAGGAAAAATATATATCTTCCTGCTTCTCTCTTTGAATTGACGCGCCTGCCCGAGAGAGCCCGCAAAGTTGTTGTAAAGGTAAGAATTGAGATCTCATGCACACGCACACACGTTTCCCCCTTTTCTCTGTTTTTTCTTGCTCTTTCTTTCTTTCTTACTGAGCACAAAAGATGATAAGAAAAAGTGAGAGAAGGGATGCGAGCAGAAGCATTCCTGATCTCATTCTTGTTCTCTGTCGTGTACTACTACTCCTACTTCATTGATTTTTATGTTATTGCCTCGTTCTCCCCATTCTCATTTTGCGGTTCAGTTTCAGACCAGTTATCTATGATAAATTGGCGATGAAAAGCAATGGAGCAGCCAAGAAGGATGAGAAAGCGGCGGCGACGACGGCGAGAAGCAAGAGTGCGGACAGCAAGTGGAAGCAGATGAACAAGGGCATCGGAAACGTCATGTCCAAGAGTTTACCCAGTTTTAACAAGGTATTAGCAGCAAGGGCGGTTCATGGAACACTTTGTGTGAAACTCTTTAGCCCCGAAGATTTCTTGCAATGTCGCTCTACCGAAATCCAGCGTGAAACCCGCGGCCGCGACCTTTTCCAATTTTGCACTGAATTCACGCGCAGTGCGGTAGAGCGCGATTGCCAGACTTCGGCGGCTGCAATACGCCTAGTTGATCTTACGAACTTCAGTGAGTTACTATAGAAATGGGAGAGGTCGTACCAAAAAATTGTGAATTTGAGAAATCATGTGGTAAAGCTTTGCATTCTCTTTCTCCAATGCTCCAATCTACAATATCCCATTTTCAGAACTCGACCGCCGCCGCAAATGACAAGACGAGCGACACGAAAGTGGTCATTGATGACGACTCGAAGAAGAAGAAGAAAAAGAAAAAGAAGGACAAGAATCTGGACGCAGAAGAGGTGCCGCAGCAGGAAGATCCCGAAGTGCTAGCAGCCAAGGAGAAGGAGAAGAAGGCGAAAGTGATGATAGCGAATCAGGACGCGCGAAAGAAGACAATGTGGCGGCATATCGCGTGGCTCGTCATCCTCTTCGCCTTTTCCTTACTCGGCGGAGTGGTTTTCAGTGCCATCGAAGGTGAATTGATCTTCCAAGATCCGACTCCGAGTTCCAAACGAATAAAACGTACTTCTCCCAGACATGTGGTCTTGCAGGTGGCTTCGAGACGACGCTACTCATCAAAAAGTTCGAACACGACAAAGATGTGTTCGAGAGACGGAAGATTTATCAAGAGCAACTCTTCCAGAGGTTCGCATCTGTCTGCTCTTTGCTCTTTCTCTCTCTCTCTCTCTCTCTCTCTCTCTCTCTCCCTCTCTCTTTTATGATTGATGGCTTCAGACTCCGCGAGATCGAAGAGGACAACACGAATCCACGTGGCACCGCGTCTCTCGAGTCCTTCAAGTTGGATCAGGCGCGCCAGGCGCTGGAATGGTACGAACAAAAGATGGGCGTGACGATCGAGGAGCCCCAAATGCGGGAGACAAAGTGGAACCTGTGGGGTGGAGTCTACTACTCGGCCAGTCTGTACACGACCATCGGCTACGGTAACTTCCATCCGGAGACCAAGAGCGGACGGATCATTTCGATGCTGTACGCTTGCATTGGAATTCCGCTCGTCTTCACGATTCTCCTCGAATGGGGATTCTTGTATTTCACGTGGATTGAGTACGCCTGGAATCGGTTCAATGAGAATTTCTGTCAAAAGTGAGTCGGAGAACTTTCGGATATAATCCACAACTTCATTTATACACCATCTCTTACTTGCGTGTTTTCAGAAGTTTGCAAAGAGACATGCAACGTCGAATACGTCGCGAACGAATCCGTCGCGTCGGCAGTGAGCTCTCACTCTCCTCGACCTCTCCGCTGCTCCACAGGACCACTACACAACTATCGAACCCTGTACAGCATGTAAGAAGCATGTTCTTTTCCATTTTCCGTTTCAAATTTCCCGTTCTTCAGATAGAATCCAACCATCCACTGGCGCCACTGGACGTCGACGTTCCGATGGGAGAACAAGTGCAAACAGTCCCCATCAAATCGGCAGCTATATTCTTCTTCCTCTGGATCATGATCTCCGCGTTCATTGTCAGACTCTGGGAGTACGAATGGACCTACTTCACCGCCTTCTACTTCTTCTTCACCTCCCTGACGACCATCGGACTTGGAGACGTCGTCACCAAAACTCCCAACTTTATCATTTTCAATCTGGCCATGACCCTCATCGGTCTATCGGTTGTCGGTCTGTGCGTGGCGATTGTCCAGGCCAAAGTCAAGTTGGTATTCGATCGGATGCTGCGGAGCATCGACGCGCAGTACCGCATCCGTCAGGTGGATCCGCACGTCGCCACGATGAGTATTGTGGAGGACGAGGAGGAGGGCGTGAAGCGGTTGATCCAGTCGCAGTCGCTCGAGGACCGCATCATCTTTTTGTTCGTCGACGAGCACAAAAAGTCCATGTTGAAGGAGCGGTGGAAGCAGAAGAGTTCTATGGTTAACAGGTGAGCTTAGTGGGCATGAACTATCCTAGCCGATCCCTTCAGAATAACCCAAACGTATCCTTCAAAAGCCGACAAGTACGTACAAACCGGTCAACGCGTCTACGATCAGCGTCAAGGCGGATCGGAGAGCGAGTACGACGAGGACGAAGAGGACGAGGTGGAGTACGACGAGCTGGGCAACAAAATCGTGTTGCCGCCCGTCCGACGCTACATTTATACCGTTTTTGATTAGATTCCATTCATCTAGGCTAGTCTTTTTCAATTCATGTCTTTCCCTGTGCCGAAGATCTCGTTTTTTGTAATTTTGTATGTATTGTTCAACCTTCATTTTGAGCTTTTCGTCATGAATATACTCTGATCGACGTGTGCGCTGAGATCCGTCAGGAACGGAACGTCGAGTTTGGCCAGGATGTTCATGTAGTTCGGGTCGTTGACGGTCCATGAGATCACCGAAAATCCTTTCTCCTTAGACTCCCGCACCGCGTTTCTGAATTCAAAGCGAGATTGTTAGAGATTTAGACCGAGAGTCTTACTCTGAAATCAATCGATAACTGATCATGACGACGTCGACGCCGAGGAATCGGGGCAGGATGTAAAGCGGCGAGACGATGATGTTGAGCTCGTCGAGGAACTCATTCCACCAGTGCAAGAACATGTTCTTCGAGAAGGGCTGTTTTCGGTAGTCGTCGCTGTACGAGTAGTACGAGCGGTCGAGGGTGATACCTGGAACCGTTCTGCGACCGGACAGTACAAAGTTCTTACCAGTAACAATCTTCGAGTCGATCTTCTTGAGCCGCCAGGGCACGACCGGATTGAAGCTGCTCACCATCACCTTCTCGTACAAATTCCGCTTTCTGATCTCCTCTGCAAGCGCCTCAATCAGTGCCAAATTGTCGTTTTTCACGTCGAACAGCATCTTGATCGCATTTCCGACACACCAATCGATAGCCTCACTCAATTTTGGAATCTTCCCGGTGACACCGCCCACCGCCTTCAACTCCACCCCTTCCAACTGTCGCCACGTGGAGCCCGAGATTGGAAGATCGGCGTTGCCGGTACGGGCGGTCGTCTCGTCGTGCATCAGAAGGGCGACGCCGTCGGACGTCATGTGGATGTCGAATTCCACGAGATCGCAGCCGTCCTCTTTGGCTTTTTGGAAACTGGCGATCGAGTTCTCCGGCGCTTTTTCCGGGGAACCACGATGGCCTCCGAAGCGGAGACCTTTGAAGAAGGATTCTCTATTCTGAAGTTGTGTCAGCATCAATCACGAGCTTCAAACTGACCACATTCGACATGGACGTGTCATTTTTGAAGATGAAGTAGAGAAACGTGGCGAGAACTGGCAGACAGAGGGCGAAATAGATGAGCGCTGTGCATCTCCAGATGAGAAGTACGATAGCGATTGCGGTTAGTATCATCCTGGAAATATTCGGTCAAAAAGAGAGACGAAACGAGACAAGTTTTTATTGAATTGAATACCAAAAGAATAGAAGCGCCCACATGGCGTACGAGTTGGGAACGTTTGAAAATGAAGTCAAAACTATTACCAGAAACTTTTACGCAAAAACTTGAATGCCGCGAAGGTTATCACGAGAAAAACGGTTGCGAGAAGGATGTCGATGAGTAGAACAATGGTGTTGGGGTGCAGATTTTGAGGGAATTTCTGGAAATCGGGCGGGAACTCGTTGGAATACGTGGATTCGATGGTGGAGATCAGAAGCGATTCGGCGTCGGACTTGGAGTTTCGGAGCAAAGAAGCAATGTGCAGGAGGTTGGATTCAAGTCTGAAAAGGCTTAAACTTTCTGGCTTCACTTTACAAAGAGGATCGATCTCACCTCTCATTCCTCTCCAACGCCTTCCTAACCGCTGTCACCACTTTTGCAGAAGCTTCAATATCCTTTTTGGGCATAATTTCGATAAGACCGTTCTCCTCGGCCAACCTTGCGTTCCGATGTTGGTCGCCGAAGAGCGGAACGGCCAGAACACGGACGCCCGCGTGAAACGCTTCGAGAAGGCTGTTCTGACCGCAATGCGTGATGAACAGCGCGATCTTTCTGCTGCCTGAAGCACCATTTTCGCCAATTCGAAGCGACCGCTCTAACAAACCTAACAAATCCGTCTGCGGCATAAACTTTTTGAAAATGACATTCGAGGTCGCCGCCTCTGCATTTGTAAACTCGTCCTCCTGCTCGTACTTCCAGATGAAAACCACGTCCGACATCTGTTTCATTGCTTTCAACAGAGATTTCTTGAGATTTTCAGGCATACGCAATGACGTGGCTGCCGTGCCGAACGAAACAAGAACTTTGGGACGGGGATCCGAAAGGAGCCATAGATATTCCTGGAAGATCGGCAAAGTTGGACCCTCCACTCACCTTACAAACCTCGGTTAAATTCTTTTGATCTTTGAAAGCGATGCCTCCGATGTCGAAACTCCTCCGCCCACGCATTCTCATTCCATCGGATCCCTCATGAATATTGTAGAACAACAGATTCGCTTGTCTCATAATATCACTAAACGGCCTCTTGATTCCATGGATCTTCCTGAACAACGGTCCGATCCAGGTCTCTTGCATTTCGTGAAAGTTCAGCATTGCCGAAAGGAACTTCAGATTCCGACGCTTTTGATGAATGGAAAGCGAGCTGCCGTAGTCGGAGAGCAAGGCTGGAACTCTGAAGAGTTGATCAGTCCGGGTTTCTGTAAACTCACAAGGCGTGTCGAGTGTCTCCGATACTCCCAACATAATCGGCACCACGTCCATCGGCCCCGTCGACGAGACAATTACCGTCTTCCGAATGCCAGCTGCCTCCAGAATGCCGATGCCGCAAGAGTCGAAGATTTCGTGGATGGCGAAGTCGAATTTCATAGCTTGCAGTTGGGCAATCAGCGTGCTATTCGTCACGAGGTGCGCGCATTGGAGACGATGCACGTGGCCGAGGCCTTCCATTATCTAAAAGTAATGGTAAGCACGGATTCCAAAGGTATCTTACCGCTCTTTGCTCTTCCGGAGAGGCTTTCGAGTTCCAGAGAATGATCGGTAAACTTCCAGTGTTCAAAAGGTTAGTGACCTCCGGGCTAGGCTCTACACTGATGATTTGATGGATATCCGTGGATAGCTCATTCTCGACATCATATCGAAATATGTTATCCACCACAGTCTGAACGGATGTTGGTTGATTCTACAGTAGTAAGCATCTCATATCCCACCACTTCATGACCCCTTGCTGCTAGAACATTAGCTATCCGAGCTGTGAAGTAGACGTGACTTTGCATCATTCTCGGTGCATAAACGAGGATTTTGAAGGGATTTGCGAATGCCGGAGCCAATAGGACCGGGAGAAGGAGGAGGTGGTGGAGGACGGAAGGTGTTCTCATGATTAGTAGACTCACTTTTTCCTTTCCCTCCGTTTATAAAGGAGGACAAATGGATTAGGCGGAGTCTCTCTCTCTAGTGTCTCACAAAACACAATTGAATCTGTTGACGGGTTTCTTTCCTTCTCATCGAGTTCTCCAAATGTGCCGACGTGCCCCCTCATTAGGCAGAGGTTGAAAGCTCAGAACAGGGAACAGAACAGACATATGCTCATTTCATTTGTAAAAACATGATAGTGACCATCGAAACAAAGATTAGCGAGGCGGCGGCGACGACGGAGAAGTCTAGCAACAGAAGGATGACATCAGACGAGTGAAAGCGGGGGAAGGATTCAAAGTTCGGAGGGCACGACACTGCAGCGTACGTCGATTCAATTGCGCCAATCAAAAGTGTCTCGGATGTTTGTCGTGCACCGCGCAAGTTCACTTCCAGTCTGCACAACCTCCTAATCAAATGTTTTCTCAAACTTCACAAACCTCTGATCAGAACTTGCCAACCCCGTTTTCACAGCATTCTCCACCATTTCCGCGTTCGAAAGTTCTTTTTTATTGAGGACATGAACGAGACGGTTCTCCAGGGCAATCTGCGCGTTGCGATGTTGGTCTCCGAACAGGGGAATCACGAGCGACCGGGTTCTTGAGTGGAGCGACTCGAGCAGACTGTTCTGGCCGCCATGCGTTATGAACAGCGAGATTCGACCGGATTCTGAAATTTCATGAAGTACATTAAAAATTAAAAATTGGCATGGACCCCATGACGGTCACGGGTACGCGGCAATTTTTAAAAATTGGCATAGACCCCTTGACGGTCACGGGTACGCGGCAATTTTTAAAAATTGGCATGGACCCCAATTTTTGCTCGTAAAATTGCCTAAAATACAGGATATCAGTGGAAATTTTCCGGCGGCATTTTCTCGAAATCCAGGTGCCGGCAGCAAAAACGATCAACAGAACATTTGATCCTCTTGGTATAAGCTATCGAACTATGTCAGTCACGGCTCATAAGACCAACTTACCTGTTGATCATTCCCTAGTAAGATGTGATGTATATTTTAATAGTTGATCACTTCTTGTTATCTCTACAGGCATCTGAGCTACATCCTCTCGAATAGACGGCATTTCGAAAATAAACATTTTTTAGTCTTTGCAACTTTAATTCACCAGTTTCCTTTGGCATTTGAGAGTATAATTTATTAGGGGGCGCAACAAAGGGGGCGTGGCCTGACGAATTTTCTCCCGATTTTCGCGCGCGCGTGTTTGACGGTCTGTACCGAGGTCCCCAAATGAAGTACCATACCCAAAAAGTTTTACTTTATGTAATCGACCATGCTGAATCCAATGAACAACTCCATTTCACGTGAAAACGTACCGTTTTTCCAAAAAACGGCGAAAACGAAAACGGAAGTCAGTCTGAGAGCCTGTGTGGCCAAGTTTATGGGATCACACGCCTATTTTCAAGTGATTCCGATAGTTTAAGGGATGGGGAATCCGTTTTTGAAGTCAGATTTAAATTTCCACGTTGCCGAAATTTTTTACAGATCCTCAAACTGCCAGAAAAGTTAGCGGAAAATTTTCAGCGATGACCCCTTTTTTTTATTTTCGGAATCTATAGATATACTCTCTGAGAACCCAAATATAAATTTTTAGAGCTCTAGACACCCTAGGAGCATTTTTTTGTGTTCGATTGAGTAACGCCTATTCAGACGATATTTTTAGTTTTTTTCGAGGATTTGAGGGTCACAGGTACCGTTCACACGGCTAATTTTTACGGAATCGGATTCTGCGTGAAATTCTAGACAAAATTCCGTTTAGAATTACAATTTTCCACGTTGCCGAAAAAAGTTACAGTCAGATATGTTTCGAATTTCAGCGCGAAAATGCACTAACTTCACCCCTGTAAGGGGCCGCGCACACCGAGCTTTTCAACGTGATTGGCGGCGGGCGCGCCTCCGCCTGGGTGGCGCAGTGGCAGAGTGCTCGCTCGGCTATTTTGAGGTGTCGGGTTCGAAACTTTTGACCTCAAAAGTGGTTTTGCTTTTTTAGAACATCATTTCTGTTCATTTAAAATGTTGACTCTTTGGTTTGGTCCACCAGATAATGAGAAAAAACGCGTGCGGCAAACTTGCAAGCGAGGCCACGCCCCTCCCCTGCCGCCGACCCGGGAGAAAACAGGGCAATTTTGAAGGGGTGTAACTCGGGATGTACCGAAAATTTTGGTAAAAAAAATTGGGAGCGTACTCATATAGAGTGGGGGAACACATTCCATCAAAAATTTTATGGAAATTCGGAGTTTTGCGAAACCCGTTGCGGTCCCTAAGTATAATTAAGACTTTCACAACCAGACAGTATAATTGCTCGTGCTCAAAATACCAAGATTCTTGCTCACCTAACAAGTCGGTTTGAGGTACAAACTTCCGGAAAACCACATTGTTTCCTGTGTAGCTCTTTGCGAAAACATCCTCCATTTCATACTTCCAAATGAACAAAGTCTCCGGGAATTTTGAGAAAACGTTTAGAAAAGTGGTTTTGTAGACTTCTGGCATCAAAACGGAAGGAGTTGTGGTGCCAAAAGAGATCAAAACGATTGAGGAGAAGTTGGCGAAGAGAGATGTGTAGTTCTAAAGTTACCAGTTTCCACAACTTCCAAAGCCTACCGCGTACCTCATTCAGATCTTTGGGAGTTTTGAAGGAAATCCCTCCGATTTTATAAACTCTTCGACTCCAAGGCCTGTGGCAGTCTGCGAGTTCGTGAGTGTTCACAAACATCAGGTTACTGTACCGCAATAGTTCCTCAAAACTCTTCTCAACTCCGAGCAGCTGCTCCAATTCCTTGCTCTGCACCTCGAAGAAGTTTCTCCAAGCCGAATGAAATTTCAGATTCCTCCGAGTTTCCCAAAAGGGTACAACGCTTCCGTAGTCCGCGAGAATGGCTGAAAATTCTAAGAACACGGTCTATAGATGCTGCAGTTTCTGAGCTCACAAGAGGCTTGAAGTGGTCCCGAGATGCCGAGTGCCTCATTCACAATATCTCTCATCCCGGCCGACGACAGAATCACCGATTTTCTGATCTTCAACTTTTCAAATATCCCGATTCCACACGTGTCGAACACTTCGTGCATGCCAAAGTCAAACTCAAAGTTCCGGAGCTCGGTAAGCACCTCACTCCGGAGCACCAAATGCTTGCACTGCTCCAGAAACATCTTGCCCAGCTGCTCCATAACTTCTCTCTGCTCTTCCGGCTCATTTCGCATGCTCCAGAACTTTGCTGGAATTTCGCGTTTGCGCACTAATTTGCCGACATTTTCAGCCTGAAATGACGGAGATTATAGGGGTTTTGGGTTTTAATTATACCATTTTCACCTCGACAATCTTTTCGATAATATTCGGGTCAAGTTTGTTGCTAATATCACTACGTAGTATGTTGTCTATGACGGTCTGAAACGAGTACAATATCCGCCATTTTCTGTTGAAGCCTACCACTTTATGACCTCTTTTTGCTAAAACATTCGAAATGTCAGCTACAAAAGCCACGTGGCTTGGTATCATTCGTGGAGAATAAATGAGGATTCGCAGTGAAAGACATAAAGTACCCAAATGAAGAAGAAGAAGAAGAAGAAGAAGAAGAAGGTGGAGGGAGAGGGAATTCAGAAGTTGCATAGATCGGAAGAACAGTAGCACGTGATCAGATGAGGCCCTGAACGGAACTATTTGGTCGTCTGCGTCTCTTGTTGATACAAATCTATTCTCTCAAGTTCGCCATACCGATTCTTCTCGAAATCGGATCGTCCTCATCGTACGAGTCGACGCATGCACGGCCGGATCTCACTGCCATCGGCGGCTCCAGCTCATAACACTCGCGGTGGATCGACAATACTTTCGGAGTGCCGTCTGCAAAAATATTCGCTTAAATCGCGCTCTAGCACACTACGTGGGTTTTCGCGTGCAATTATTAGTCGTTGAACTGCCGCCACAGCGACCCTTGTCCAGATTATAGATTTAGAGTTCCGTCGGATCACATGTGTACCGAAATGTGGCGGTTTTATGGGTTTCTATGTGTGTAAAACTGAGAGCTGTTTTTTTTTTCCCGTAATTTCCGTGATCATTTCCGTCGTTTTGATTAAAACTGGAGATGGAAGCTTTCAAAAAACTCAAAAATCCTCACCTTTATGCTTGCTAATCTGCATGGTTTTCACGCAAAGAGCCGTGCTCAGGCGACACTCGGCGCCCATTGGCTTCACGAGCATTCGGTCCATGTACGAAGTCGAATTGATACATTCCAACGCGAAGGAGTACGGTAGAAGGATGGCCAGGGGTAAAAAGAGGGCGAGGGTCATGAGGTTACCTCCGACTAACTGACTCAGACGGGGGGCAATCAGAGTCAGGCTACTGGCGGATTGAACAATAACCAGTTGGCCGCCTCCTCTTTTTTGCAAATCTCTTCTCCAAACATTCTATTCTGAGGATGGCAAACTAAACACCGGGGGAAAGTATGAAAGCAATTTATCATTTGACAAGCAACTTCGATGAGCACGCGAAAAACCGTATGACCGATTCGGAGCGCTTAGTTGAAGAGGAGAGAGAGAGAGAGCTACAAAAATGACGAAGTGATGACACAGTGATCTTTAAGGACCGGCTCATCCTCGTTGTCCTTTCATGGTGTGTGTAAATGAGTGCTTTATACATCCTTTATTACATCAAGGGAAGTTCCATTGGCTCGAGGGCGATCCTGGAGTGGACGAGAACTTGAGCTCTTGAGCTCCTGGAGACGGTGAGGTCCGAGAGTGTCCAACTTGGAACTGGAGTGAGTTTCGTTTGGCGAGGCCGTGGAGTGGAAGGAAGGCGAAATAAACAAAGGGACAAACTCCTCAAGACTTATTAATAAGAATGCGGATGGTGACGATTGGTTTTTTGTTTAAATAAATATGGTAACAGAATAAGTTAATAGCAGTACTTCTCATCGGAGCCGTCGGCGCAGTCGGGTTCTCCGTTGCACCATTGGAGACGGGTTACTGATTGTTTCTGGTTCTCGCAGAGCAGATATTTTTGTTTTCCTTCTTGTTCTGCAAAATTGAACGTGTATCAAACGCCGCGGCCGCTCTTCCATTTTAGCATTTCTAGGCCGGCGGTCGAGGAAAAGCCCGGTTTTCTGGATTTTTGTTTGTAAATGAGTCAAAACGACAGTTTGTTCACGGAAAAATCAAAGAAAACCACTTTTTTCGGGCGAGTTACACCAGGCTTTTGTCAGGCCGCTCGCCTAGAAACCTCCAAGAATGAAAGAGTGAGCGTTTGAACTCACTGCAATTGATCTCGTCTTCTCCGTTCAAACAATCTTTTTTTCCATCGCAATGCATCTCCAAATCCACACAAGAGACGCCGCCTCTCGACATGTCACAGATGAACTTTCCGATGCAAGCTGGAAAAAATTGTCATGGGCTTCCAATAAGATTGTACAATTTCCGGGGCTCACTTGTGTTCTTGCTGCAGCCGATCTCGTCGAGATTCGATCCGTCGTCGCAATCGTCGGCCACACCGTCGCAGCGTTTGTTCGCAGGAATACAGTGATCGCTCTTGACGCAGGCGAACTCGTCGCGGGCACAAGACGCTGGAACGTTCGAGAATCGATGGTTTTTCAATGAAATGAAAATCACTCACGACAATTGTTTTCGTCCTCTCCGTCGGCACAATCGGCGTGTCCGTCGCATCGCTTGCTGACGTGGATGCACGATTGGGGCATCGCACAGCACGCGAACTCGTTGTCGGTGCAAGTGTCGCCGATGGCTGCAAACTTTGAGATTAGAAAAAGTTCCATTTGAAACAGGGAACTGACTGCAATGCATAACATGATCGTACTCCGGACAGAACTTCACCGCGTTCTTGAAGTTGCAGTTCTCGGTGGACTTGTCGAAGGCTTGATCTTGGGAAGTGCACGAGAGCAGGAAGGTTTGGCCGATGGAGCACTGAAATTGACAATACAATATCAATTGATTATCAAACAACAAAGACTTGGACTTGGACTGACTTGGAAGAAAATATGAGAGCACGAGGTGTTGTACACGAAATAATCGACTCTCTCGAGACCGTACTGAGCGAGCACCTCGTCCGGAAACTCGCGTTTGTCGCAGTAGTTGATCGCGTAACTGTGATCGGGTTTGGCGGTCACTTGTGGCGGAGCAACCGGCGGTGGAAGAGTTCCCGGCTCGACTGGAGGTCCGGGCTGAGGCAGTGGAAGACTTCCGCCCAATGGGAAACTCGGATTGACCACTTTGAACTCTGGCTCTTCGGTTTCGTAGACGTCCACACTGTCCACATCCTCAGTGTCCTATGGTATTGGAATGGAAAAATTAGAAGTACTTAACTTCAGTTACCACATTAGGATACGGTTGCTGGACAGTTTGAACGTTCGGTTGAGGAACGTAGCTGCCGGATCCAGAAGATGCACTCGGTTGAACGTACGGGTACGGCTGCTGCAACCAGTTGGATTACTGATCAGAACACTGAGCACAGGAAACAAATATGTATTGTGCACAAACTGATTTGTAGCACAGAAAATCTCTATTTTATTGCAATTTTACTTCGTGACTTCCGAAGCATATGGTATTGCCCATTAGCAGTGAGGTAATCACGTCTGCAGTCTCTCTTCAATAATTCACAATTTCTAGGCCAATTTCTAGGCAAACTTTAAGTGAAAACGAGTAAAATAGGAAGATTGCTGGCCTAGAATTGCATTAAAATAGAAGGGCGGTCGCGAACTTAGCGATAGAGCGCGGAAAAAACTTGAAGTTGGTGAAATAGGATTTATTCAGTGGGATTGGTGCTCGGAGCCCTACCTGCTGGCCATAGACGTCCTGCGGGAGCACAACATCCGCGCGGAACGCGACCAAGACCACGAGAGATGCTAACCATGCCATCGCGATGATTTCAAAGTGATTGGCACTCGCAATGTGACCGGAACGGGGATTGGAAAGGGGAGAAGGAGGAGGAGAACTTGAATGGAGAAGGCGAAAAAGAAGAGCAAGTCGTGTGGCGACTAGACTCCTCGTCTGTTTGTGTTCCGCGCGGAAAGAAGCTTTCCGCGCTGGCCGGGCGGCAAGCGATCGCCACTTCAATTTGATGCTCCTCCTGTGGAAAAGAGGGGTGGTCACTTGTCACTTGATACGCTCGCCAGAATGAGACAAGAAGGCCAAAAAAGTGAACGCACGACACGATGCTAAGGACACGAACTTTGTGGTGGGGAACATGTTGCAAAATTGTGTTTTATAGTTATACATCGAGATCATTGTAGCAACAAAGAGTTAAATGTTATTCATGATCATCGTCTCCGTGATGAGCTCTTCTGGTGGCTCCGGGGCAGTGCTCGGCCATGTCTTCCGGAGAGCAGTAGTTGGCTCCGCACCAAATGCAATAGAAGTGACCGTCTCGAAGGTACTCGTTGATCGTTCGGAGTCTGAAATAGATCTTACAAAAGGGATTGCATTTTCGTGACAAACATCGTCTCTAACTCCTCCAATGGCATCGTCACATCGTAATTTGGGTCGACGGGTGCTTTCAGTCCATTCGAGTATTTGTACTCCTCTTCCTCTTCTTCTTCGTGATGTCTATGGTACCTTTTCGGTGCGTCGTCCTCTTTTATCACTTTGTAACTTCTCCAAAACCAGGCGACTTTCGGCACTTTCCTCTCGATCCGATGATCGAGCTCTTCGCACACTTTCCGACACGCCCGAATGTCTTTCACCAACTGCTTCGCATTCTCGTCCTGCCTTCTTCGTTTCGAGTAGTCGTCGATGAGTTCTTCGTGCTTCGCCGCCTGCTCTTTCATCTTTTGCATCACCGCTTCGACCCGATCGTTCCGTTCTTGCACTTCCTCCGCCTCATGACCCAATCCCTTCCGATTTCCTTTGATATCGATTCCTATGGGTTCACTGATGCGAATCTCATCTTCTCTCTGCTTTCCCAGTGTCATTCCTGGTTTGAATCCCATTTTGGCCATCAAAGCGAATCCTTTCGATTCTTGTCCAATCGGCTTGGCTAGAGCTTCATCGCGGCGCTCTTTTTCTGCACAAAAATTAGTTATTGAAAGTTATTTTATTTAAAAGATACGTACATACCTCTTTCTGCATGGCTTATAGGCCGTTTTGGCTTAAACGTTTCGCGAGATTCTTCGAATCTCGAATGAATCTGCAATTGCCGCTTTTGAGCTCGCGATTTGGCGATTCCGACCGGTGCGTCACTGACGCCCTGCAGAATCTCGGCGGACATGTAGTCGTCGTCATCATCCGACATATTTTTGCCTGAAATATACGTTAAATTACATGGAACCAGCGAAGAAAATTAACGGAGGATGAGTTGCAAGTGTGCTCCAGTGGACTAACCTCAAGTTGGCGGTTTTTCAAATTTCATAGCTATTGCTGTTAACAAAAAACTCGAAGAGTTGAAGAAAGAAGTAATTTGGTGATTTGATTCATACAAAACGTACATACGCGACGTTTGAACAATGTTAAAATGAATATATTCGGAATGTCTTCATTTTGTGATTTCACTATTCACTCTTTATAAAACAGGCAACAAAATGATGGAGGCAAAAGATGCGAAATTGAGCGGTAAAGTAAGCAAAACAAAAAGTAAAACAAAACAAAAACTATAAAAACTATTCGATCAAAGTACATCCTGAACCGGTTTGCGCTTCGTCACGCGCACTTCGCGGCCGTCCGGCATTCGCTTCGACAGGAAGCTCACTCCGTGCTCGTCTTTTCCGAGGCAATAAATGTATTCGGGACGGCAGCCTATTGTCAGTTTATTCACGAGTCGTTCGTCGTGAGTGATTACGACCATCTGCAAAATTTAAGATCACTTTTCATCCACATTTTCTCAAATTTCTTAATCCTGCCTGCATCTCTCTCCCTCTTCTGTTTCCGCTCTCGTCGAATCCACGTCTCGCCTCAATCAGATCGTTCAGCACATTCGCCATTCCGTCCACCTGAAATCGTTCGGTTTTTTGCTGGAAAATTGTGGAGCCCACTTTAGACTCATCCAAATTGGTGGTCGGCTCGTCCAACGCGATCATCGAGCACAGCCCTCCGAACACTTCGGCGAGGGCAATGCGAATGAGAAGCGAGGCAAGCATCTTCTGTCCCGCACTGCACCGCCCACGCATTTCCACCTCCGAGCCACTCTCCTGAACCATCATCACGTTGTAGTCGTAGGAACCTCGAGAACTCGTGTCCGTTTTGTTGTCCGATCTGTGAAAAAAAAACAGATGAAAGAAAACATTTCTCCAGGTTTCCGATGAATACCTTATGCGAATAGTGGTGATGTCTGTCGAATTGTACACTTTTCGCCACAACTCGTCGATGATCACATTGACGGCCGACATCTTTTCCGTGTGGAACTGAATGAGCGACACGTCGAGGCACTGCCGGTACTTGTTCAGATCGTTGATGGTCTCCGAGAGAAGCGCAATTTCGAGCAGGGCGTCCCGATAGTTGGTCTCCGCCTTCTGACACTCTTTCGTCGCCAATTTCGTCTCGGCCGCCGCCTTCTGCTTTTCGTACTCTTGATTCTGAGTCAGCACCTTTACCTCCTCGTTTCCTCGCTGACTGATTTTCTTCTGCAGTTCCGAATGCTCTTGTTTCATCGCGGTAATCTGTTCCTCGGTGATTCCGTTCTCAGCGAGTCTCCTCAGCTTTTCCTCGACACTTCGAACCCTCCTCTCAATCCGCATGCGCTGTCGCTGATCCTCAAGCACCAGCTGCTTGTTTTGCGAGCCGTTGATCGTCCGGAAATCCTCCTCGAACCGCTTCTGCCGCTGTTGATTCTCTTCGATCCGTTCGTTCACACTTTGCAGGCTCTTCTCCTGCTCCTGAAGTCGTAGTTCACATTTGGCTCCTTCCGCCACACTGAGAGTGAGCTGGCTCCACTGCTTATGTTTCTGCTCCAAATCCATCTTCTTCAACTGCATTTCCATCTCGGCAATTTTCCGCTCCTTCTCTTTTGAATCTAGCGCTCGCTGCATTTCTTCTTTTCTGAATTCGGCATCCGGAAGATCCTCCTCTCTTTTCTGCTCGGTTTTCTTCACACACTTCTGAATCTCCTGCTGTTTTTTCTCCAGTTGCTCCGCAAAAGCTCCGGTCTGAGCGGCCGCTTCTCCGAGGGAAACCCGATGAGAGCCGAGCTCATTGAGTTTGGCCTGCAGTCGATTCCGCTCGACGCCCGCCTTCTGGATCTCCTCTCCGGATTGCACGAGTCGTCTGTACTCCCTCTCCTTTTCTTCGACCTCTTCGCGAAGTTCCACGTAGGTCTTTCCGTCCTGCATATCTGATCCCGTCTCTTCGAGTTTTGCAGTCAGTTTCCCGAGTCTCTGCTCTTCTTCGGTCACTTGTTGATGCAGCTGATCCATCAATCCCACGTCGGCTTGGAGGTCCTCGGCAAGCTTTATTTTCTCGTTCATGCCCTCCAGAAGCTCTTCCTTCTCCTTCAACGTCCTCTTCGCCAGCTTCATTTCCTTCTGCACACCTCTTCCCTTCTCTCTGACTTCCTTCAGCTCGGTGAGCACTTTTTCAAGCTCTAGAGCTTGTCCTTCCGCCTTCACAAGCACCGCTTCTTGATCCTCCATCGTGGCCACCTCCTTTTCCAATTCTTCCTGCTCTGTTGGAAAGTTCAGGGTCATGTTCTGTAGCTTTTTCGTAAACTCCTTGATCTCCTTTTTCGTGTTGAAGTCTCGGTCGCAAAGCGGACAGCATCCACTGCTCGTCGAGTTCTCAATCCACGTGTCGTACAGATCGACTTTCGCGCTGATCGGCGCAAGTTCCTTTCGAGCTTTTCTCAGCTTCTTGCGGAGATCCTTAAGTTTTCCGGCGACTTCATCCGGCTCACAAGCGCATTTATCGAAGATATCCTCATTGAGTTTGAGCTCCTGGGCCGTCAGCTTCTCTTCGTACTTCTTCTGCTGTTGTTGGGTGGTTTCGAGCTTCTGCACGTCCAGCTGGACCTCTCTGTGCGCTTCCTCTGTCGTTTTCCTCTCATTCCTTAGTTTCGTGAAGGTTTTAGCGAGAGCAGGAGCCCACGGAGCCGTGGGAATCTTTCCGAACAGTCCGGTCCAGTTGGTCTGATGCTTCTGCTCGAAATTCGCCAACTTCCTTCTGTTCGCCGAGATCGTCTGCCTAAGTTTCGTCACTTCCTTCTCCTTCTCCGCGTTTTCTTCCGCAGCTGAGCATCGTTTCTTGAGCCCATCGAGCTCTTTCTGCACAATTTCTCTCTTCCGTTTGCAGTCGCTCAGCGCATTCTCGTCCATTTCCGGCAGTGATTCCAACGTATTGCGCACGTCTTCCTCCTTTTTCAGCAGCTCCTTCATCCCGGCCGTTGCATTCTCGCCCTGTTTTATCTTCATTTTCAGGTCGTCCATTTCTCGTTCCAACCGTTGTCGTTCCGTGTACAACGCCTTCAGCTCCACCTCGATCTTCGTGACCGCCGCCTGTGCCGACTGGAAATTGGCGTTAATCTCGCCGGCGGACTTGACAATAGCGCTCGTTCTCTGGCTCATTTTACTAATTTTGTTTTTGATTGCATTTCCGACTTCCACATCAAACAGGCAGTCGTTTTCGATGGAAAGTTCGGCGCTCAGGGCTTTCTCCAGATTTTGCAGGTCTTTTTTGAGGGATTGCCGGTGCTGAAAACGGGTAATTCATTTTCCTAATTCTAATAAGATCACATGAAAATAATCACCAGAGTCTCCGCTTTGATACTGGAAATCTTGCTCTCCACGTCCGTTTTGGTGCTCTGCAGCTCCTGCTTTTCCTGGTTGTTCTTTGCCATTTTCCTCTCGATTCTGACGCGTTCCTCTGCGAAATTGCGGCCGCCCGAGTTGGTCTGAACGTCCTGGATCTCCTGCTCGAGCTCCTCTTCGGTTCCACAATACGGTTCGACGCGTATCAGCGCGAGTTGCTTCAGAAGATTCGTACGTTCCAATTCATTTTTAGCTGAAAAACGACGATAATGGTAATCTTGACTATAAAACTAGACGCACTGATAGAAATCATGACGTTCTCGAGCTTCGTGATGGCCGCTTTCATCTCTGTGCTCTTCTGAAAGCCCTCCACTTTCAGGTCGTTCAGCATTTTTAACGTCTCCTCTCCATCTGTGATTTTCAGTTTAAATTCATCGCGACTCTTAGAAGTGATCAATTTATCTTTGAGAATCATTTCGGCGAGCTTCTTATTTCCTTCCTGCACTTCCAGATCTTTTTTCTGAAGAAAAATGATTACTTTCAAGGAGTTTCGATGAAAGCCTCACAAAATCGCACGTTATCTTCTTCATTCTCTCCTGAGCTCTCACGAATTTGGTCAGCTGGAAGATGTCGTCGAATCGTTTTTTGAGCTCTCTGGGCTCGCTGAGCGGCCACGTCGAATCCTCCTGGTGACAAAAAATCACATATTTGAAGATCGACTTCGGCACTCCCAAATGATGAAGAATCTGAAGAGTCAGACTGCTTTTAAAACATTTTAGCTTGACTTACAGCTTTATTGAAGTCGCAGATTTTGCTGTTGAGCGACTGAGTTGTGCCGTCCGGATATTTGATGGTCAACGTGTGCTCTTCCGCTTGAGCCGTGTTTTTTGCCTAAATATTCTAAAATTCTCCACATTTTTTGTAGAAATACAAACTCCAGTAGTGGCCACAAGCCGCCGAAGAGCCGTACAAGTTCTCCCCTTCACATCGATAAACTCCAGAGCGACGGAAGCGTCTACACGTGTCTTTCGGGCGACCTGAATCAGAAACTAAGTATATTCACAGATAATGTTTTAATTTACATCAGTACTGTGAATGAATGCTTGCTTCTTTTGCGTCGGCATCTGTCCGGTTGTCACAAAATTCAGCGCTTCAATTGTGGTCTGAAAGGAAGCTTCTAAATTTTCAAAATTTCAGTTGAAGTTACAGTTTTTCCAGTTCCATTCGGTCCGCTAATCAGTGTGCACGGCGAGAGAAACTCGATTTTGTGCACATTATGATCCTCATCACCAACGCTTCGGATTCCTCTTACATGAAGCTGAAAATTTTTAATTTTTAACAGAGAAGCTTGATTTTTGGGTCCGCTTACTCGTAAGAACTTCGCCATGTTGAATGGCGATCAATTATTTCAGAATTGCCCGTATTTGATAGCCTTAAACCTAAAAATTCAAGTTTTCTGGAGAAATTCCGGTTTGGCGCTCGTATCCAAATTTTAAAATTTGTGTAAAAGTTGCAACGACACTCCGAAATAACGCCGCGGCGTCTTGTTTACCATTTCAATTTTTTTCGATTTTTCAGCTTTCCCTTTCTAAATTCTCTTTTTGTGGCGATTCTCTCGCGTTTTCCGACTGTTTCCGTCGTTTTCCCATGTCCAGAAATCTGACGTCGCGAGAAAATCGACTGATACGAAGTGCCACCGCTGATAAGAGACCTGTGATACGTGCCCAGTACATGCTGAGAACAGTATTTGTTTTTGGGTGGTTTCTGTGGGTTCTAGAACCATTGCTAATGTTATTTTCGACATAATATTGCGTCAAGTTAGTTCAGAATGACTAATAAGTGAGAAACGAGGTATATTTCGCAATCTTGTGCAATCTATCCGCTATTTCCCTTCTTGACGGGGTTCTCGGCACTTTTTGTTTAATTTGTTCTTGCGTTTGGTGGTTTTGGTTTTGCACACGTTTTTCTTGAAACCAAGATATTGTAGTGTCTGATTTCGAGAAAAGGACCGAGACCTCCCGCAGTTTTCTTGACGAGGCCCACAGCTGTCGAGGACACATTTTGTATTTATTATCAATGCGTGTGAAAAGAACACTTTTTCTTATTTCCTTGCTTCCTCCGCCGTCAATCGTAATCGCCGTGTAGCATCTTCATAACGTCAAAACAGGTTCCTCCCCAGTCATCTGTCTGCCAAGCTTCAACTTCAACCTACTCTTCCTCCTCCTATCTTCCAGCTGGCCAGTGCCAATCAGTCGATTCTTTTGCCTCCGCCGTCGCTCTGTCTGGTTTCCGCTCAGCACTTCCTCGCATCTCTCCCCTTTCTCCGTCTCTTCTATCTGTTCGCTCTTTTTTTCGAAGCTCGAGCATTCGCCATTCATATGCTCCAATGTGTGCATAATACGTCTACGAAAGCAATATGACGTGGCAGTTCGTCGGTTCGCCTCAGTTTGAGTCCAACGCTGATAGAGTACAAAAGTCAGTCACACTGTTGTTATGTTCTTCTTCTTCTTTTTTCCTTTGAAAACAACATCAGCCGCGGCTCCCTTCTCTTTTTTCTTTCATTGCGTCAATCGCTCTGTGTCTCCTCCGTTCGCGCACTCTCCATCTTGTTGTAACCAGTTGAAAAGAAAGCAAAAGACAACTGACTTGACTTCCGAAACCTCTCGACCCGTGCGCCCCGAACCTTTCCACTCGAGTATCCGCCCATATTTGATGTTTCAGGCATCTCTTTATCACGAATGATAGTTCGAATACGGCGTCAGCAGCAGCAGCAGCAATAGGTGTTCATTACATCACCCAATAACTTGCTTCTAAACATGGATTTCATGATTTCGCATTTCTGCGATGAGCAGAACCATCAGCCACTTTATAAAACTAGGTTTGTTTGTGTGCTTGTGAAAGGCATAACGTTTCCGTTTCTAGAAAGCAATCAATTTCGGATAACAATAAGGCGGGTCCGACTCTTCTGAGCTCCTCTCTTCCCACAAACGACGAGTGCTCCGACTCAGATGCCGAGAACAGACTTCCACCGGAGACTGAGCTCGGAAATATTGAGTACAAAGCGAAACTCGTGAACCCGACGACGTCCAGAATACAGCACCTGATCACTCAGATGAAATGGCGGCTGCGGGAGGGTCAAGGAGAGGCGATCTACGAGATTGGAGTGGAGGACGGCGGAGCAATGTCCGGACTGACAGACGGAGAGCTCAAAGCCTCACTGCACACTCTAAGAACGATGGCTTTGGCACTGGATGCGAGCATGGTTGTGCTCACAGAAAAAGACGTGACGGTCAAGGGTTCGGGGCTCAGAAGAACTGTAGTCGAGGTGCTCGTTCGCAAGGTTCCGGAGAGCCAGCAGTTCATCGAAGTTCGTCTCGCAGTACTCGGCGGTTGTGATGTGGGAAAATCGACGTTGTGTGGAGTGCTCACGCAGGGAATTCGGGACGACGGAAATGGAAAAGCGAGAATCGGAATATTCCGGTACCCGCACGAGGTCCGAACCGGAAAGACCAGCTCCGTGTGCAACGACGTCATCGGATTCGACAATCGTGGAAAGGTGGGCAGTGCGCTGATTCAATCAATTTTCAAACATTTTTCTTGCAGTTGGTGAACTACGCAAAGAACAGTCTTGAAGAGATGGTCGAGAAATCGTCGAAACTAGTAACTCTAATCGATTTGGCCGGTGACGCGAAATACCAGAAAACGACGATTCACGGTCTGACTGGCTACACACCACACTTTGCGTGTCTCGTAGTCGCCGCCGATCGCGGAATCACCTGGGCCACAAGGGAACATCTTGGCCTCATTGCCGCACTGAACATTCCCACGTTCGTTCTCATAACCAAAAAGGATTTGGTGGAGCCGGATCGCCTCAAACAGATTTGTAAGGACGTCTCGATTTTATTGAACAGGGCCGGATTGATGGCTCGCGGGAAAAGGGTGAAAAGGAAGCGAGACGCGGTGAAAGCGGCTCAGGAATTGTGCTCCGGGAGCATCGTACCATTGCTTGCGGTCAGCTCAGTGAGCGGAGAGGGCTTCCGAATCCTGCGAACTCTTCTGAACTGCCTCTCTACCGCCGGCACCATGAAATCACGCCTCGATCTTGTCACTCTCCCCGCTTTTTTCACCATAGAAGAGCTTTATAACGTGCCGCACGTGGGCCAGGTCGTCGGCGGAATGCTCTCGGAAGGACAGCTTCACGAAGGAGCCGATGTTCTCGTTGGCCCTTTGAAAGACGGTAGCTTCGAGAAAGTGGCCGTCGGATCGATAAGAAGAAGCCGGCAGGCGGTGGCTTGCGTGAATCCCGGAGAAGCGGCCTCGATTTCACTGAATCTTCCAGACGGCATCATTCTGAGAAGAGTTAGTAATGGAAAGGGGGACGATGTCTGAATTGAATATTTTCAGGGAATGGTGCTCACAAGTGTCATCGCTCCACCGCCTGTCTGCTACGAATTCACCGCCAATCTGCTGCTACTGTGCCATTCTACCAAGCAAATTTGTGAGGGATTCCAAGCCACAGGTAAATAAAGAGTGTATAAGTAGCAACAAAAATGAGAAATATTTCTTTTTCAGTCTTCATCGGCTCGGTCTGCGCAACGGCAACAATCACCCAGATTACGGACTCGGATTACATGCGTCCCGGCAAATGGTCGATCGTCCGAATGTGCTTTGCCTATCAGCCAGAAGTAATCCGCGAAGGATCGCCAATCATTCTTCGTCAAGGAAAAACGAAAGGAATGGGCGAAGTGCTCAAAGTGGATCCAGTTGCCTAATAACCCGATTCTCGCAATTTTACTGTACATTTTGTAGACGTCCTCTTCTCCTTTTTCGCCCCCTAGGTATTCACCCCGCGTGCATTTCTGACCGGGTAGCATTTAGTTGTACTAGTTAATTTTGTACACCCTTTTCTGTTCACTAAGTGAATCCCCTCCATCTAGATCTTTTCGCTTCCAGGTGTCTGTACCCATTGAAACCAAACAAACTCTCTCCACCCCTTACTCGTCTTTGTAGCATTTTTTGTTCATCCACCAAAGAATCGAACTTTTTGGCTGCAAGTTATAGATGAACACGAGCTGTAATTGATTTATGCAATATTAAGCTTAACTTTGTACTAAATCATTAAAAACATTTGATTGTCTATTAAAAACTAACCAAAAAGCAGACCAGGAAAGTTTAACCAAATATTCCGAAATTAAAATGAACACTCGATGCTTTTCAATTCAACGTGTCATTTCCTCTCATCCATATGCTCGAATCTTACACAAAACAAGAATCAACTCGAACTATTGTCCATCCATCCGTCTCTTTCAACTTTTTTTGGTTGTTGCTCCCCACGGCTACCTACTTTTCTTCCGGAAGCGGCCGCCGGATCCAGGTCATCTTTTGGCAGGATCTCGTGCCATCTGTTGCAAAAGTCAGCGGACCAATCAACACATTTCTGCGGAGCAAGAGCGCCGAGAGCGAGGAGAGCCCGGAGAAAAAGGATGGGACCATGTGATTCGGAGGGAACAACTGTTGTGCCGCTGAACTTGGGTAGAAGAGTCGGTCAACACGGGGATGGACAATAACAACAACAAGGTATCAAGCAAAAGACACGTAATAGGGGCGCTCTACCGCACGGGCTTTGCAGTAGACCGTGACTTCCAGGTTTCGGTATGCTTGATATCTCTACTCGCAGCTGAGATATGTTATCTTTAAGTAATGGTATTGGGGCGCCCTTCAATTACAGTATTTACGGTTCGGCTAATGCGCTCTATCGTGAAGGTAAAAAATGACGTGGTCGTTTCTGAATCTTCGATGATCGCGATAGAGCGCATCAGTTGATGCTTGTTGATGTTGATGCGACAGTAGCAATTTTTCAGAGGAGAGTACTTCTTCTTCTTCTTCTTCTTTCTTCTTTTGCTCCATTTGGAACAACTGTATTACTGTAATCTCGAAGTTATAGAGCTTAACTCCTTTAGTGGGCCTTGTCTGATGGGTGGCACGTTAAAGGTTATAACAGAGTGGTTGACAAAAACACTACCGTAACCCTACTCTCCCCTCTTCAACTGGATCCCATTCTCGTATCATCTTCGAGCCCAGACCCATCAAACCACTAAATCACCGTGAAACCTTCGGCTCTCGTTCCCTTCGCTGCCAACAATACCCTCGGCGATTTGTTAAAAACAAAATGCGCGTCTGCGTCTCGCTGATCGCACCGGATGAGATGAGATGAGCAAGTGTAGGTGTTGGTTGTGCTCCGAGAGCAACAGAAAGATCCATCCCCCCCGCAAAAATAGACGGGGAGGAGGAGGGGGAGTGCAGAGAGGGCGGGAGCCCCCGCGGGATGAAGAAGAAGAAGCTTTCGGATGATTGTATACATTCTGTTGGCTTCCCTCCAGAAGCTCTCTTTGATATTGGAGGAGAAGGAGGCGGAGAAACATCGGAAGAAGAAGAAGAAGAAGAAGAAGCATGGAAGCTTCTGGTTTTTGATGTTGGATGAAGGGATATGATTGAGATCCCTCCTTTCTTCTCACTTCTTCTTCTTCTTCTTCTTATTCTCATTCTTCTTTTCATTGCTCCTGGATCTTCTTTGCGACCTTTTCTAGTATTCCTTTGCTGTTATCCATCAATAATAGCTCCATTTCAGGGCAGGGAGCCGCACAAACTTCTAGTACCACCACTAGAAAAAATCTAACAAAAGAATGTCGGACTCATTCGAAAACGACCCGGGATTCCCGTTCCTGGGAATGAGCCGTGAGGCGAAAGCCGCTTCGGCCGCCCGTCCCTTCGACTCGAAGAAGAACTGCTGGATTCCGGATCCGGAAGATGGTAAGTCTAGAAGTTTCTAGTAAGGTCCATTACACCCTCCTGAAATTGTGTGTCCACACATCCATCTTCAACCTACGCGTTGTCTCCGCGTCTCCCCGATCGCCGTACTCTTTCGCGTCACATCACATCACACTCGGCTACGGGTGGTGGCGGGTTTCTGAACATCTGAGGTTGTCTTGTGCCTCCGTCTCTCGGCTCGGTCATCTTATGATAGCACGCTGCCGGCCGGCTCGGCACTTTGTAATCTCCCTACACTACGGAGACGGCGGCGGGCGGGAGCCGAGCAGCGAGATGATGATGGGATTTCGAGCAATTTCTCGGAATTCACGATCAAGATGCTTGGGTCGTTGGAGTCGGGGGGATTATGGTGGACAAGCGAATGTGATGAGCATGAGCATGATGAGGGGTTGGATAAGTTGACACCCGGCTCTAGAAGTCTACAGTAATGCTCCTTAGTTGACGAGGGGTTCGAAGATGGTTAGGGTCGAGGTGCAGAGACATTTTCTGAAAGTTAATCTTCAGGATTCGTGGCCGCGGAAATCCAGTCGACAACCGGTGACCAGGTGACCGTGGTCACCAACAAAGGCAACCAAATCACGGTCAAGAAGGACCAGTGTCAGGAGATGAACCCGCCAAAGTTCGACAAAACCGAAGACATGGCCAACTTGACGTTCTTGAACGAGGCCTCCGTGTTGGGAAATCTGAAGGAGCGCTACAAGGACTTGATGATCTACGTAGGCGTTTGCAGGAAACTTCAGAAGAGAAGAAGTTCTTTCAGACGTATTCCGGACTCTTCTGCGTCGTGATCAACCCGTACAAACGTCTTCCGATCTACAGTGAATCGGTCATCAAACACTACATGGGCAAGCGACGAAACGAGATGCCACCGCACTTGTTCGCCGTCTCCGATGAGGCCTACCGTAATATGGTTCAAGGTGAGTGATGCCAACAATCTGGTGGGTTATTACCAGACCATTTCAGACAAGGAGAACCAGTCCATGCTGATTACCGGAGAATCGGGAGCCGGAAAGACGGAGAACACGAAGAAGGTCATTTCGTACTTCGCAATCGTCGGAGCCACCCAGAATGCGAGCGGAAAGGACACCGGAGCCAAGAAGGGAGGAACCCTCGAGGAGCAGATTGTGCAAACCAATCCAGTACTGGAGGCGTTCGGAAACGCCAAGACCGTCAGAAACAACAACTCATCGCGTTTCGGAAAGTTCATCAGAACTCACTTCTCCGGATCCGGAAAGTTGGCTGGAGGAGACATCGAGCACTGTAAGTTGGCCTTGGATAAACAGCAAAGAACTATTGTGGCTTTCAGATCTCCTGGAGAAGTCTCGTGTCGTGCGGCAGGCCGCCGGAGAGCGTTGCTACCACATCTTCTACCAGATTATGTCGGGCAACGATCCGAGCCTTCGCGGAAAGCTCAAACTCGAAAAGGACATCACCTACTACCATTTCTGCTCCCAGGCTGAGCTCACCATCGAGGGAATGGATGATAAGGAGGAGATGAAGCTCACCCAGGAGGCCTTCGATATCATGGGCTTCGAAGATCAAGAGACCCAGAATCTGTACCGTGCGGTGGCCGGAATCATGCACATGGGAGAGATGAAGTTCAAGCAGAGACCGCGTGAAGAGCAAGCCGAGCAGGATGGCGAGGAGGATGCGACCAACGCCGCCGCCATGCTCGGAATTAACCACGAGGAGTTCCTGAAAGCGCTCACGAAGCCACGTGTGCGTGTCGGAACCGAGTGGGTCAACAAGGGACAGAACTTGGAGCAGGTCAACTGGGCCGTGTCCGGACTCGCCAAGGCCATCTACGCGCGCATGTTCAAGTGGATCATCGCCAGATGCAACAAGACCCTCGACGCGAAGGAGATCGAGCGCAAGCACTTCATCGGAGTGCTCGACATCGCCGGATTCGAAATCTTCGACTTCAACTCGTTCGAGCAGCTCTGGATCAACTTTGTCAACGAGCGTCTCCAACAGTTCTTCAACCACCACATGTTCGTGCTCGAGCAGGAAGAGTACAAGCGCGAAGGAATCGCCTGGACCTTCATCGACTTCGGACTCGATCTGCAAGCCTGTATCGAGCTTATCGAGAAGCCGCTTGGTATCATCTCGATTCTTGACGAGGAGTGCATCGTCCCGAAGGCCACTGACATGACCTACGCCCAGAAGCTGCTCGATCAGCATCTCGGAAAGCACCCGAACTTCCAGAAGCCAAAGCCGCCAAAGGGAAAGCAGGCCGAAGCTCATTTCGCCATTGTCCACTACGCCGGAACTGTCCGCTACAACGCGTTGAACTTCCTCGAGAAGAACAAGGATCCTCTGAACGACACCGCTGTCGCCCTGCTCAAGCACTCGCAGGACAACCAGCTCATGCTCGACATCTGGTCCGACTACCAGACTCAGGAGGAGGCCGCCGAGGCCGCTAAGGCCGGAAACACTGGTGGCGGTGGAAAGCGTGGAAAGTCGTCTTCGTTCATGACCGTCTCCATGATCTACCGCGAGTCGCTCAACAACCTGATGACCATGCTCTACCAGACGCACCCACACTTCATCCGTTGCATCATTCCCAACGAGAAGAAGGCTTCCGGAGTCATCGACTCGGCCCTGGTTCTCAACCAGCTCACCTGCAACGGAGTGTTGGAAGGAATCAGAATCTGCCGCAAGGGATTCCCGAACAGAATGCTCTACCCGGACTTCAAGCACCGTTATGCCATCCTTGCCGCCGACGCCGCAAAGGAGGGAGACGCCAAGAAGGCGTCCGTCGGAATCCTCGACAAGCTGGCCTCCGAGGGCAATCTGACTGACGAGGAGTTCAAGATCGGAGAGACCAAGATCTTCTTCAAGGCTGGAGTTCTCGCCAAGCTCGAGGACTTGCGCGACGAGATTCTTTCAAGAATCGTTACCAATTTCCAGTCGCGCATCCGCTCCTACCTCGCCAGAGCAGAACTCCGCCGTCGCTACGAGCAACAGACCGGACTACTTATTGTGCAACGAAACGTGCGCGCCTGGTGCACCCTCCGTACTTGGGAGTGGTTCAAGCTGTTCGGAAAGGTCAAGCCACTTCTCAAGGCTGGCAAGGAACAAGAAGCGATGGGAGAGCTCGCCGAGAAGATCCAGAAGCTCGAGGACGCCGTTCAACGCGGAGAGATCGCTAGAGTTCAGTTGGAGTCTCAGGTGGCCGATCTTGTCGAGGAGAAGAACCAGCTGTTCTTGAATCTCGAGAAGGAGAAGGCCAACTTGGCCGATGCCGAGGAGAAGAACGAGAAGCTGAACCAGCTGAAGGCCTCTCTTGAGAGCAAGCTCAGCGACATCTCCGGACAGCTCGAGGACATGCAGGAGCGTCACGAAGACCTGGCTCGTCAGAAAAAGAAGACTGAGCAGGAGCTCTCGGACACCAAGAAGCACGTCCAGGACTTGGAACTCAACCTGAGAAAGGCCGAGCAGGAGAAGCAGAGCCGCGATCACAACATCCGCTCGCTTCAGGATGAAATGGCCAACCAGGACGAGTCGGTTGCCAAACTCAACAAGGAGAAGAAGCATCAAGAGGAGGTCAATCGCAAGTTGAACGAGGACCTTCAATCCGAAGAGGACAAGGTCAACCACCTCGAGAAGATCCGTTCGAAGCTCGAGCAGCAGATGGACGAGCTCGAAGATACCATTGACCGTGAGAAGAGAGCCCGTCAAGACATCGAGAAGGCCAAGAGAAAGGTCGAGGGAGATCTGAAGGTGGCTCAGGAGAACATCGACGAGATCACCAAGCAGAAGCAGGACGTGGAGAACACCTTGAAGAGAAAGGAGGAGGATCTCCACCACGCCTCTACCAAGCTCGCCGAGGAACAGGCCCTCGTCGCCAAGCTCCAACGCCAGATCAAGGAGCTCCAGGCCAGAATCGCCGAACTCGAGGAGGAGCTGGAAGCCGAGAGAAACTCTCGCCAGAAGGCCGACAGAACTCGCAACGAGTTGCAGAGAGAGCTGGAAGACATCGCCGAGAAGCTCGAGCAACAGGGAGGATTCTCCGCTGCTCAGCTGGAAGCCAACAAGAAGCGCGAAGCTGAGATCGCCAAGCTGCGCCGCGAGAAGGAGGAGGACGCGTTGAACCACGAGACCGCCGTCTCTGCCCTCCGCAAGCGCAACGGTGATGCCGTCGCCGAGCTCACCGAACAACTGGAGAACCTCCAGAAGCTGAAGGCGAGAGGAGACGCCGAGAGAAGCAAGCTGCAGCGTGACCTCGAGGAGGCTCAGCACAGCGCCGACAGTGAAGTGCGCGCCCGTCAGGACGTCGAGAAGGCTCTCAAGACCATCGACGTCCAGTTCGCTGAGCTTCAGACCAAGGCCGACGAGCAATCGAGACAGCTCCAGGACTTTGCTGCTCTTAAGAACCGCCTCAACAACGAGAACGGAGACCTCAACCGTACTCTCGAGGAGATGGACAACCAGGTCAACTCCCTTCACCGTCTGAAGTCGACCCTCCAGAGCCAGCTCGAAGAGACTCGTCGCAACTACGAAGAGGAAAGCCGTGAGCGTCAGGCTCTCGCTGCCACCGCCAAGAACTTGGAGCACGAGAACGGAATCCTCCGTGAGCACCTCGACGAGGAAGCCGAGTCGAAGGCCGATCTGATCCGTCAGATCAGTAAGCTCAACGCTGAGATTCAGCAATGGAAGGCCCGCTTTGACTCCGAGGGACTCAACAAGCTCGAGGAGATCGAGGCCGCCAAGAAGGCTCTCCAACTCAAAGTCCAGGAGTTGAGCGACACCAACGAGGGACTGTTCGCCAAGATCGCTTCGCAGGAGAAGGTCCGTCATAAGTTGATGCAGGATCTGGACGACGCTCAATCCGACGTCGAGAAGGCCGCCGCTCAGGTCGCTTACTACGAGAAGCACCGCCGTCAATTTGAGAAGATTGTTGAGGAGTGGAAGAAGAAGACCGACGACCTCGCCTCTGAGCTCGATGCTGCTCAGCGCGATAACCGTCAGCTCTCGACCGACTTGTTCAAGGCCAAGACCGCCAATGACGAGCTGGCTGAGTACCTCGACTCCACTCGCCGTGAGAACAATAGTCTGGCTCAGGAAGTCAAGGATCTGACTGACCAACTAGGAGAGGGAGGAAGATCGGTTGCCGAGCTTCAGAAGATCGTCCGCAAGCTTGAAGTCGAGAAGGAGGAGCTGCAGAAGGCTCTCGATGAGGCCGAGGCTGCCCTTGAAGCCGAAGAGGCCAAGGTTCTCAGAGCTCAGATCGAAGTCTCGCAGATCAGATCCGAGATCGAGAAACGCATCCAGGAGAAGGAGGAGGAGTTTGAGAACACTCGCAGAAACCACCAGAGAGCCCTGGAGAGCATGCAAGCGACCCTCGAAGCGGAGACCAAGCAGAAGGAGGAAGCTCTCAGAATTAAGAAGAAGCTGGAGAGCGACATCAACGACCTCGAAATCGCTTTGGATCATGCCAATCGCGCCAACGCCGACGCCCAAAAGACTATCAAGAAGTACATGGAGACGGTCCGCGAACTTCAGGTCCAGATCGAGGAGGAGCAGCGCCAAAAGGACGAGATCCGCGAGCAGTTCCTCAACTCCGAGAAGAGAAACGCCATCCTTCAGGCCGAGAAGGACGAGCTCGCTCAACAGGCCGAAGCCGCAGAGAGAGCCCGTCGCAACGCCGAGGCTGATTGCATCGAACTCCGCGAGCAGAACAACGACCTCAACGCCCACGTCTCTGCCCTCACCGGACAGCGCCGCAAGCTCGAAGGAGAGCTTCTCGCTGCTCATGCCGAGCTCGAGGAGATCTCCACTGAGCTCAAGAACGCTCTGGAGCAAGGACAGAAGGCTTCTGCCGACGCCGCCCGTCTCGCCGAGGAACTCCGTCAAGAACAGGAGCACTCGATGCACATTGAGAGAATCCGCAAGGGACTCGAACTGCAGATCAAGGAGATGCAGATCAGACTGGACGACGCCGAGAACGCGGCTCTGAAGGGCGGAAGAAAGATCATTGCTCAGCTGGAGGCCCGTATCAGAGCCATCGAGCAGGAGCTCGACGGAGAGCAGAGACGCCACCAGGACACCGAGAAGAACTGGCGCAAGGCCGAACGTCGTGTCAAGGAGGTCGAGTTCCAGGTTGTTGAGGAGAAGAAGAACGAGGAGAGACTGACGGAGCTGGTCGACAAGCTGCAGACGAAGCTCAAGATCTTCAAGAGACAGGTCGAGGAAGCGGTGAGTCATTGAAGGGAGAAAGACTATAATATTAATATTTTATTTCAGGAAGAGGTGGCCGCCGGCAACTTGAACAAGTACAAGGTGCTCCAGGCTCAATTCGAGCAAGCCGAGGAACGTGCCGATATCGCCGAGAACGCGCTGTCGAAGATGCGCAACAAGATCCGCGCCTCCGCCTCCATCGTCCCGATAGACGGATTCCCACTCGCCCAGTCCGCGTCGAGCGCAATCGTCCGAAGTGCGTCCAACGCGAGATTCCTCTAAATTTCCCCTCTTTCATATCCGCTCAACAATTATTCTGTACAAAAATATGATTGAATTTTTGAATAAGCCCCCAAAACCATCATTATTTTTGCCTCCTTTCCCATTATTGACTGATTCCATGAACTGTTCCCGTATATAATAAACTGTTTGATCTGATACTGAAAGTTTGAATTTCGTTTATTCGAGTAAAACCGAGTGAGTTTGGCGGGCAGGGACGGACAATTTATGCATACACAACATAAACAGAAAGGGGTAATAACACTGGGGGGAAGACTGGCATAATGGAGGGTATGGATGAGTTTGAGTTCAAATGAAAGTGGTGACCAGCATCGAGTGATTGCGGCAGGCGACGAGACGCTTCTCGAGAATCCGGTTCTCCTGGAGCATCGCGTCGATCATCGTCGTTCGACTCAACCCGTTCAGTCGTTGATCATTCGAATTGGCAATCATTCTGAACCGGACACCATCAGTTTCATGTATTCAGGCGGAGTTCCTGTCTTACTTTGCATCGTCTTCTTGCCCGATCGCTCGTTTCGCTTCTTCGAGCTCCTTCTTGAGTAGTCGTTGGCGGTGACGGATCTCGTCCGCTTGTCGGACCAGCGACAGCTTCTCTTCGTTCTTTTTCTTGTCGAAAACATTGGCGGTTTTCTTGTTCGGGGTGGCTGCAAAAATCAGAATTAACATTCAAACACTCTATCTTTCTTTTTCCAAACTTACAATAAATATGATAGTCGTTGGAAGCCGACTCGTAGCCAGAAGAGGCCGAATAGCTTTGTCTCTTGGATCTTGGCATCGTTCCGTTTGTCGACGTGGCAGCGGCCGAGACGGCGGTGGCTTCAAAGTCCGAGCCAGGAGCACTTGAACCTCTTCCAGAAGATGACGTTCCTGGACCTCCGTAGGCTTTCGGTGACGTCATCTGGGCGTAAGGGCTTCGCCAGTGCAGTTCCCCACTTCCACCACTCGATCTTCGTTCCCTCGAGCTCGTACTTGCGTTGATAGTCCGTGAAGATGATTTGCTTGATTTCCTCTCCGAAGAGAGTCGTCTTCCATGTCCATCAACTGCAGTCGGAAGTTTCGAATGTCTCGGAAGACTTTGATGGTGTCCAAGTGACGGAGAAGGTGGAGCCGCTCCATTGAGCTTTGCCAGACTTCCTCCGAATATCTTCTTGTGGGACATGGTAGGAGTGGATGGGAGCGATGCATTGGGCGGATCGATGCGATGGTTTGACACCGAGCGATGTGTACGTCCTCCACGGCACGGCGACAGGGAAAAGTGTTGGAGTTGGCGGGCGATCGAGCTGGTGATTCCTTTCTTGTCGTCGAGTTCTTTGTCGATCAAATTCCTCTCCTGTTTGATCTCGAGCTCTTTGATTTTGAGCTGAGCCCGTCGTTCGCGTAGCACTTCCTTTCGTTTCTCCTCTTCCTTGGCTTCTCGTTCTCTTTCTCTGAAAGCAAAAAGAGTTTGTTTCCAATAGTTTCTAGAAGTTTCTCAAACTCACTTTTTCTTCTCAATCTCGCTCCAATTGACGACGGTGCTTCCGGAAGAGATCATGCTCTGCTGTTGACAACAATTGAGTCCCAACTTGACCTTTTTATTCTTATTCTTCTGCTTATTCTCCTCAATTTCCTTGACTCTCTGCATTGCGTACTCCTCCAAATGACTCGCCCTTCTGTACACATCCATCTCCGACACGTCCATGTCGGTATTCGAGCTCTGCGAAATCATTGCTCCGTTTCCATTCTGCGCATTGCGCATCGCTTCCAACTTCGCCAGAATATCATGGGATTTCATGGAGGAGAGCGAGGCGGCCATCGCTCTTTCGAGTTCACTTTCTTCCTGCTGCAATTAACAAGAGTCCAACAGCTGCCGGTTATTCGCCACTCACCTTATCCTTGGTCTCTGATTCCATGTTCAAGTCCTGCTTGCTCAGAATCCGCAGCGGATGATCTCTCTTCGAACATCCCGTCGTTGCTGTCGAAGTTCGCATCGATTCCTCTTCGATCTCGATGATGTCCTCCAACGGATGCGACAATATCGCCGGACATTCTCGCAGCTCTTCGACGCTCGTGGCTCCGTTCTCATAGCACGGCGAAGAGAAGAGGGCTTGCGGAGGTTCGGAAGTCTCCATCCACTGCATGATCTGCTTCATTTTGCCGTCGTCCAAGTTGTACCTATAACAATTGAAAGTTGAGCCCATATTCTATAGCCTATAAGCCCAGTTTATCCTAACAGAACCCACACCTACATCAATCTCTGCCACGTGTACTTGATGTACTCGATAAAAGTGATTTGAGATTGTTGAATCTCAAAAAGGGCTGAAGTCTGAGGCATCTCTCAAAGTTCAGATCTTCTCAGAAGAAGAAGAAGAAGAAGAATAAAAGTTCGGTGGGAGCAGAGAAGAGTGTTGTGCCACCCGGCTGCCAAGCGTGTATTTGTGTGTGTGTGTGCGTTCGAAACGCATTTAAAACGGAATGCGAAATAGAAATAGAAAGAGAGAAAGATGAGAAGAATAAGAGGAAGATGCACTCAGAGCTTGACAGCCGTAATGATCGAGTTGATTCGTGTGCGTGTGTATCACTTTATCACCGGAAGATATCAGCTGTGGCAGCACGCTGGGGGAGATTATATCTATCCAGCTAACTATATTGTGTCTATGTTGGCTAGGGTTGTGACAATATGGACCAAACTATATAGTCTATATTTAATTAAAAACGTTCCTTAGATTAACGTTCTAGCCACCGATACGTCCTAACCTCCTGCTAATACGGGTACTTAACTAAAATGTCAACTACCTTATCGGTTCAAAGCAATTTATCGTGGCTGCCAGAAGAGATATCAAAAAGTAGTCGACTAGTAAAATGTAGAAAATGTCTTAATGAACATTCTATTAGTTGACAATTGTTCGAAAGCTCTACCAGCAGCCGAAATATATAGATTCCCAAATTTTCAACAAAACTACTCACTTGGACTTGGCCTTCATCAGCGGAATAGCAGGCTGAGCAATCATGATGCCAAAGTCGTCGCGTTTCTGAAATGAATGAAAAAGTTGGAACTTCGCGAGTTTGTTTTGCCGAGACGCTCTGTGTGATCCGTGACACCTCCACTGTCATCGGACACCTTTCCATCCAAACTCATGAGCAGTCTAAACAAATCGGCGGCGCGTACCTCTGCAGTATTTCCGCCGAACGCGTTCGGCGAGCACGTCGCTCTGGAGGATCCGGGCGGTGAGCACAGCTCGTCGTACAGTTTCAGAGAGGCCGACAGGAACGGAGTGTGGCCGCGGAGCATTGGCGGAATCGAGTGGATGCAGCCGTCGTGGCACGCGTGCGTCGGCGAGCTCTGCAAAATCGGGTGCATTTTATCATAAAATGTTATGGCTGGGGGGGAGAGAGTTGAAAGTGGAAAGTGGAGAACGTTTTCTGGAGAAGTTACGAACACTAAAACTGCACAGAAAGTGGATGGAAACGGAAACGAAACAGTTACGGCTGATCTGATAGTATGTACAACACGCGTGGTGAGGAAAACAATCGTAAAAACAAGAGGAAGACGACCAGACCAACACAAGTTCGGAGGTTTTTATGGAAGGTACCCTAGCCTGCCCTAAACGACGAGAACTAACAGAGACTGCCCTAACAGGTGTGGTGGTACCGCTGGGAATACTGTAATAGCGGTACTCGAACTGGGGGAATGACTCTATTGCAGCAGCCTTAAAATTAATTGGCTCAAATCATACTCTCCTACTGTTCGCAGCTCCGCCCACTCTCAATTCAAAAGCGGGGATGTACATACAAATTGTTTACATTTGACGGGCCCCCGGGCGAGAAAATGGGGTCGTCCCGTCTTCCGGCGACGGCCAACGCAGTTTATATTACATTCCAAATGACCTATCTCGATGTGAAACGGGGGAGCCAACCAGAAAGTACCCATTCGGAACGGAATAGAATGGAACAGGTGCGAAGAAAGCCACTCGTGTTGTTGTGAGAAAACAATAGATGGGGAAGAAGGGCGGCGAGATGAAAAAGTGCGCTTGTTGCGCCACCACTTTTTATGGTTTTGAGATGATGATACGGGCCGGCGATGCGCTCTTGAAAGGTGTGCCGGACCCGCGAAATTTATGAGGCGACACGTAAGAGACATGGATGGGAAAGGAATTATTTTTTCCTTACACGTCATTTCTCAAAAGCAACAACTGTAGCACCGCAAAACATGACCACTCCTTTCAAAAGGACCAGAGCAAACACAAGTATTGCGTAGTAGGGTCACTCAAATAATAAAATGAAAATAAAAACTACATAGTATCATGGCAAAAACACCGCCGGGCGAGCGTATCAAGTTGCACTAACACGCACCACACTCGGATGTTTCTGGCGGAATCTCTTCACATGTTTGCTCTCTTCCTCTTTTAATTGGACACACCGCGCCTCTTTGACACTTCGCCAGCGTGTTTCCGCTTCAGAGACAGAGAGCAAGCGAACACCGGAAGGATTGTTATAATGATGGCCGCCCGGGGGGAGGGGGTACTTTAGGCGAGAACAAAGGTGGCTATGTTGACACTGTGTATCATTGGGCTACCGACAAAAGAGCAAAAGCCAAAAGCATGAGCCGGAGCCATATGGCGCATACGGTATGGATAAGTGCCCATGGTCAGTGTTCAGCGTGTGCCTTGTGACTGACGTGTTTTCCAACAAAGTCATCAATTACAAAGTTCTTTCGCAAAAAATGTGCTACAACCTTTTAGTTGGACACATTTCAAAATAACAATTGGTTCTTAAGTTACAGGCCTCAGAAGTCAGACAATTTTTGGAAAGGAGCAAGTCTCACCCATTGATTTCTTACTACTTGGCAACATGTTTGAAAGGTTGGTTTTTCACAGATCCTCAAAAAAATCCTCTCACCTTTGTCTCGATAGTCAAGGGTTTGTTGATGGGCTCACCGGAGCCGTTGCTTCTTGTGGTTCTGTGCAGTGGACGGACTGAAGTTGGCGTGGATGGCACTGCAAAAATTGATTGTTCTGACAAAAAAGTATCGAGTTCGTATTCATAGAAACTTGTGAAAAACCAAGAAATTACCTGAGACCCGTTCAAATAGCAACATTTTCTGGTGAGAAAAGAGATATGTACAATGTGGAATAGGATGGAATACAAAAGTGTGTAGAGCCTACGCAACTCTGTCTAATCTCCAAAGATGAAAAGGAGATGAGCCGGCCGCAGAGAGCGAGGTGTTTTATGGTCGTGGAGGGGATGGCTCTGTGCACAGGACCACCACCACTCGCCAATGTTTACAATCGAGGGGGGGGGGGGTCCGTCGATTTACCGCCAATTCTCGGCAATCTCACAGGCAATCTGGGCGGTGCGGAGAGCATCGGATCAAGATACCACCGCTCATTTTATGGACGTGTTGTGTCTTGCGACTAGCTACTAGCCAGTACTAGTACTAGTTTTATCGACTTCCAAGTACCTAACTAACTTTTAACAACTGGTGATACTACGGGACAAAGCGGAAAAGCAATGGAGGGTTTGTGACACGGGAGAAAGAGACACATGCAGGAGAGCGAAGAAGAACTGAGAAATGATGGATGATGGTCTCCGAAACGCCCGAAAACTCGCAAAAAGACGTGTCACTTGAGAGTGATTCTGTCTCAACTCTCGACTGCTTTGGACCGAAAGGAGTCACACTAAACACTTTTTTGCAGGAGGAGGGTCAAGAGTGCGGGGGCGGGTTAATTAGAAAGTAGAGTGTGTGTGCGAGTACCGACAAAAAAGCGTCAATTGGATTATCACCTCATTGAGACCATCAGGTGGCAAGAGCAAGGATAAAAACAAGAGTGTTGAGTTGAGCACATGGCGGGCAAATTATCGCACTCGAACGACATTGTTTAGCTCTTTTGTGCACTGATAAAATGGGGACAGACGATAGTGAGATGGAAAAAGGGAAAAGTGGCAAGACCAAAAAGTACGGTAACTTTTCCTATGCTTAAGACGAACCCCTCGGGTAAACGGCTTTTGAAGCCTGAACTATGGAAGGTCAGGTCCTATGATTATCAGTCTTGGTATGGATTCTCTCCAGTCCACTTTTCAGTCCGATTGGATTATCTCAGATGAAAGAATAGAAAAACGTTCACTTTCAGGGCAAAATCGAACTTGTAGGCGTTCAGAATTTTAGGTGTGATACGAGTTACGGTACTTTTTTCTCGATAAAAGAGCAACTCAACTCATACCCACTCAAAAATCTATAAACCCGAGGGCGCCAGCGGCTCCTTCCGCACAAAATAATGATAATAATGATGTGGGACTTGTGTGCGGCGAGAAGAGATATCGCAAGGAATGTGGCTCGTAAATCAGATCGCAGTCGATTAATCTTCCCCACAAACTCACTTGTCATCGAAGCCGGCGAGGCTGTTCTCGAGGAAGGTCCTATGAAAATGACGGTTTCGGCGGCGCTCAGCTCGGATCCGCTCTCCAGCTCGAAGCGTCGTTGAGGTCGCGAGTCGGTGCCAGATGAGGTGGCGTCGGAGGCTCCAGATGAGAAGTTCTGAAGTTAGATCTTTGCGGAAATATCGCCTGTAGAGGGAGGGAGGGGAAGGATGTTTTTTCTTCATGTACATACAAAGAGGATCAAATTTCGATTATGGTATTATGTTTGCCGCGCGATATTTAGGTTAACCGGCGGCAACTGGATTCTAGTTCTGGTTGAGAAGAAAGCGAACTGTACTGTGCTACAATCTGGGCTTTCAGGTACACACTACTCACCTTAACCGACTTGCGTCCGTGTCCCACCAAAGTCTTCGCCCGGGTCCTGGCGACTTTGCACGCCAACTGCGTGATATTCTCGTTGTCATCGGGCTTCGTTCCGAACGAGAATACGAACGTGGTGAAGCGTGATGTGGCGAGCGCACATCTGATTAGTTGGCACACTGATGAGTCCCTGCAATACAAATCCGTCCAGTTTTCTCTCTTTTCTACTTTCACACTTGAGACATGGGACACTTGTCAAAGCGAATTCCCCAGGAGCAAAAAGTTCTTGGCGGCGTCAGCAGCAATTTGTTATTTATTTTGTGTGTGCGGTCAGCGGAATTCATTCGAGACAACCTTTTTGAGTCTCCAGGGACCGCCCGCCAAGAACAACTTTTTGGCGGCACCGCGCCTCTCAAAAGTTTGATGAATCGGTTTCGAAGAAAAGTATAAACGAAAGGCGGGAGGGAGTTGTTCTGTTTATTTATTATACGGGCGGTTTTGGAAGTGTTGAGGGAGACACAAGACGGGATGATTGATTGGCTCCAAGTGCAAAGTTGAAGCGGGCTCTGGGACTGTCTAGCGGGGAAATTTAGCGAAAAAGTTTCAGAATTTCTCATCTAACCTGTTTCATACCGTAATTTCATCCATCACCCCCCTACTTCCTGTTCTCATCCCTCTTCACCGCCTTCTCAATGTCATCACTCCTCGTTTTTCCTCGTGAAAAACATCAGAAGCCCCCTCCCCAGGAAACGACACCAATTCATCTAATCCGTGTGAGATGGTGCGGCTCGCTGTCTTTGAAGTGTCGCGCCCGTCTTGAAGGGATCCACCGGGCCCCCACTCCCCCACCCACCCAATGACAACTGGTTCAATAAAAAGTCGAGTAATAAATTACTGGGCCCGCTTTTGCGCAAGCGCTCACATCCGCCGACGGAATGGAATTGGGGAAAGGTTAAGTTGATTGACTGCTAATGATCCGTGTGCTGACACGTGGCAGGCATTCTTAAGACTCACCGCAGCGGAATATGCTTGTTCCTCTGCACCATCGCCAGTAGAATACTGCCCAACGCGGGCATCGTCATGCCTCCGTTCGTCGAATTGCGTTCACCGATGCCCATATCCAAAAAGCAGAGCCTCCGCCGGCCGCCCTGCATTTTGTCGCCCATCTTATACGAGTACAGGCTCAGCGAGATGAACACGTGGCTCGTCCGATGCGCTTGTTCGTCTTCTAAAAATGCTGTAGGTTGGGAGAGAAGATATATTGCCAACTCACGGCTCAAGCGCTGATCGACCGCCGTGCTCAGGTAAAAAAGCGCTTCGTCGATGGTCTCGACACGAATTTCGCTCTCATTGTCAATGAAAACGCCCGTTCTTGCGTCGTCGACCAGCTTCACAACTCGATGACGTGGATCCGGGTTGAACGGTCGAAGCAAATCATTGATCGTCGATTCCTTCTGAGATACCATCACAGCCGACATACGTACCTGCACTCGCTCTTCGGGGTCTCTGAAACGGAAATGATTAAGATAGATGTGAAAAGTAAGTAGGCGTACTTGTTCTCGTCCAAAGCGCTCATCAACTGCGTGATCGCCATCTGAATTAGTCCGTTTCGGGACACACTGTCTCCGTAAAGTCGTTCGTCTTTGCCTGCAAGCATAAAAATAGCGTTTATTGCATGCCCAAAACGAACCATTAGCCTTGGCTCCCATCGCCAGAACAGTCGCATCATTCCCAGCAAACACTGAATTGATGGTGTCCGTCAGGAATGCCGCGTACACGTCTTCCTGACTGGATTCGGGTCGGAAGACGTGATCGAACACGCTCCTCGAGTAGTTTTTTCCCTCGATTTGAAAGTGCTGATCGGTGAGATGGCATCGTGCCACATCTTCACTGCTCACACTTGCGCAGAGTCGAAGCTGAAAGTGGAAAGGGAATGATTTCAATGGGGCGCACTCGCAACTGGCGGGCTGTGTCGATTTACGCGGCGGCCGATTAATTAATTTACAACGGGAGTTCGCGTTCTTACCATGTTTCCTGTACAATACACCTATTTTTAATATGCCTTGGACCTGAATTCGAATAATTAGAGCACTAACTACGTTTTGGTAACAGAAATATCGCATATTGTTGAGAATTCGCTGAGTTATTTCGATTTGAAGGTTTTGGCCTGGATTTTGATGTTTTTCAAATAGTTTTCCTGGGAAACCGTGAAAAGTGGTCTCAAGGGGACACGTGTCAGTCGAATGACTCACTTTCGGAATCGTTCGCAACGGCGATTGATGCAGCGATGTTCTGCTACTGCATGCCTCCATTCATAAGAGTTCTGGAATTCGGTGAGTTTGGAGAGCAAAGGAGCACAAAAAGCGTAGGCGGGTGGGAGGGAAAGAGGGCGAATAGAAAAAGGAGGTCATCGGCGATAAAAGGGGGAAAGAAAGTTATCATTGTGTGCGTATAAGCGTGTCTGCATAAATAATAATCAACGCCGCTTTTCCGCTTTCATCTCGCCGACACAGTTTTCGTTTTCTAACGATGCTCCGGCATTCCGTCTTATAGGGTTAAAAAGGGAATTGCTGAACTCATCACTATTTTGTTTAACTGTTTCGCTGCCGAACTAGCAATAAAAGAGAGAAACTTGTGGAATTCGCAAGTTCCAATGGAAAACGTGTGTTCTACTAGAATTATATGTATTTTTTGACAAAAGAAACCATCTTTCTCGCTCCGAAAAGTGACTCAACGCATCAAAAACCGTTGCGGAACGACCGGCACGTACAAAAAGGGCTGTTGGGCTGACTGGCGGGCGGGCAATGAACTGTGGGAACTTTTCATCCCCAACCGGACTCTATGAGTACGATTCGATTTGAATGGAATGTGTACTTGCACTCGAGAAGAATGGCAAACGTGAGAAGATAAAAAGTTTAAGGGAGAAAGAGAGATAGAGCGAAAATAAGAAGGAAGTAGTGGTAATTCGACCTCTTCCCCCTAGGGTTTCGAGGATTTGCGACGAATGAATTCCGTTACTTTCTTCGAGAAAGTGACGGCATCCGCCGGTCATCTGGCTATTTGGAAGAAGCGGAGCACGTCTGTGGAGCACCATTTTATCTGGTGGCGCGAAGAAATATTTGATGGTTCGATTTTGAACCAAAAGGGTGCGAGTGGGCGTGGCCTACACGAAAGCTGTTCGGTTGCGCAACAATAGAGGATGAGTAAAATGTATAAAGAGAGTTGGTTTCTTCTTCTTCTTCTTCTTCTTCTTCATCTTTTCCTTTTTCTCGCTCTTTTCTTCTTCGTCAAGAAGAGAAGAGTGAAATGGAATGTCTAGAGAAATAGAAGAGGATACACGTCTTTTGGGCAACCCGCCCAATTCCAATGGTCCCTTAATGCAATAGAAAACGGGCGGGACACACGGACAACTATGGCGCAATCAGCCCGCACACACACACAAACACAGAGAAAGTGTACAAATGTTTGAGAATCTGAAGAACGGACTGGCGGAAAAGGAGGAGGAAGAAGACTTGATTAGGGAAATGAGCAAAAAGGGATGGGTTGGGAGGAAGGTCCACTATATAGTGCTTCCTAATTGTAAAGGGCAAAGGATTCGGGAGTAAGTGCGCTCTACCGTAATCCTTGCAAAAGCTCTCGCCATCAATCACTTAATTAGTGTTACAAGCGAGTCTCCTCTGGCGAATCGCCTCGAATCATCTGATACGCATCTTTTAACTGGATCCTTATGCTGCTCAGAATGCTCCGAATCACTCGTGTCCCCCTCCCTCTCTTGCCCACTATTTCAGTGACAGTCAATTGGCACATATGTCACGAAATATAGTGATTTTTGAAACGAAACGGCAATGGGGCGAGTCGAGTCTGGGGACGCTCGCATCTTCAGTGTCAAATTACTACGCGAGGAGGAGGAAACGGGAGACAATGCGGGATGATTGTGGCTAATAATCAGGAGGAGAGTTGGGCAGAGGCGAGCATGATCATCCATGTGGCGGCTAATCGAATTGACAGACTGAACTCTTCTTCAAATTTTCCGAAGGCAGCCCAAACTCGGAGGGCAACAAAATTGGGTTAGAGTTAGTGGCTTAACTTGAGCATCGGAATGATTACATGATGTTGCAATGTTGGGAGAGCGCTTTGTTGGAGAGTTCTGGGCTCAGATGAAAGGGATCTGACCAGGTTGGCTAAAAGAAAGAAATGATGAGGATCGACTAAGGATCAATCAGTGGAACGAGTCGAGGTTTCTTCTATACTAAAAGAATGACCAATAGAAGTCCCTTCAGGCTGAATAAGGTGTGATACTCCAAAACTGTTACAGTTAAGAACATCACAACTCCTATTCTGTTAGCCGGCCCGGTAAACGGGTCAGAGTAACAAAATGGTGAGGGACCTATCTCAGAACCAAACCGAACCGGCAAACTCGTCAACTGACCAGTTTTGTTGTCCGTTTTCATCCCGTCACCTAATTAGTATTCGGCGCCCGCTCCCTTCTTTTTCGCCTCCCTGGGCGGCCTAAAGATTATGATCTCGCGCGACCTCTCCTCCCGCGAATGGCATGAAACTCTGGCGAGAAAAAGGGAAAAAACTGTTCATCACAAATCATCGTCAAACTGAAGGCGATCCGAGTGGATGGGAATGGAGTGTGGCGCAAAAAGGAAGAGCGCGCGAATATGGTAAACAAGAGCAAATAGATGGGGGGAGGGGGGGAGCTTGTAAGGAATGGTTCGGGAAACGAGCAAGCACAGGTGAATAAATCCACTGGACAAGGGAGAGAGAAGCGCGAGAAGAGCGGGAGAACATGTGTAATGACGTGGCTTTTGGTTGACAATCATCCTAGCGGAAAATGGTTACTAGGTGTGATCCACATTTACCTTGAGCTTTCAGAATGAGACCTATATGTTTCCATACTGTTGCGATTTGCTCGTCAGCCACTGCTCTTTAACAAAAATGAAGAGAAGATTCGGATTCTCCATGAAATTCTCTTTCGAATCACATATGTCCCATTCCGAAGGCCCAAAGTAAGTGTGGATCATTCGCTAGTTAGAACGAAGAGTGAGACTTGAAAACTCTAATGGTCCCCACAAAGTGAAAAACTGAGAAAGCCTCCTCGAGAAGCCCAAGTCTCACCAGATTCAACAATACCGATGATGATGTGAAAGAACATTGATGGGAATTGAATGAAAGTGAGATCTTTTCACTTGCTGCTGCTGTTTTTCATCCTTCCTCCTCCTCCCCCTCTTCTTGATTGATCAGCATTGTAAAAGAAATTGAAAAGGGGGGGGGGGGGAAGGGGGTTGGTTCAAATATCAACAAACTCTCGATCTCAATCTTGAGCAGAAGCGGAAGCACGTGACACTCAAACTCTAGAAGTTTGGGGATGAAAAGTAAAAAATGCTCCACCTTGAATCTTGCAATTCGAAAAGCGGTCAGAAGTGACAGACAGACAGGTGTCGAGAGTGTTGCGAGTGGAAAAGAAGAAAAAGAAGAAGAAGAAGATGGGCCAACGGCTTGGCAACGACAAGTGTACGAGAAATTTGCTGCGCCCAATGATTGATGGGAACTAGGTGTGAAGAAGGTTCGTTGTTTGTCACACCGTAAGCTCAAAAATCAACTGTCTCTGACAAAATAAATATATAAATCACAGTGTCTAATTGACTCCTCACCGCTGGCTGATAAGAAGCGAGCGCAGGCAGCGGCGAGAGCGAAAACTGGTTGGAAATGGAAGTACTGTGCATGTAGAGATGTGTGCCAGCGCACATATGCTAATCGGATTCGAGATCATGGAAATTAGAGAGACGCAGGATAGTCAGCAGAAAAAAAGGACACATGTGTGTACATTGTTATGGAAATCTGGAGAATAGTGAAATCGGAGACGTCGAGGATACTGTAGAAGCTCAGGCGAAAGAAATGCGGAGGGGAAATTTAAATTTTGAGGTCATTTTGATTGTTCGACCGCTCAAAATTGCGGGTGTTTTATCAGTTTTTTTGGTTCTTCGAAATTTAATCCGATTGCAGCCAACCAAAGAGCACCCGAACACCGTTCATTTAAAGCGATGTATCTCAGTTGACAGTAAGGATATCAAAAAATGGTCAACTGACAAAATGTGCAAAATGTTATAATGAACGGCTTATCAGTTGGACATTTTTTGATATCTCGACTGGCAGCTGAGATATACTGTCTAGAATGAACGGTGAACAAATTAAAATGTCAGTTGCACGAATCAAACTCGAAAGTTACAAATGGGCGGCTCAGGATTTCTATTGAAGTATCTTGAGCCTACGTTTCAGACGAAAGTTCAAAAGTTCAGGCCTCAAAAAGCCCGGCTCATTTTCTAAGAGAGACAAGTCATTTAAAGGAAAAGTGAAATCTACCAGGAGAGAAGAAAAGGAATTGGGGGGAGAAGAAGCTGGCTGTCACATCAAATCGGCCTGAATTATGTTATATGCATTATGAATCAGTGAGAGAGAGAGAGAGAATTCAACATATGTTGGCAGCCTGCTTCTTCTCCCGCCCACGCAGCATACTCATTACTACCGTAAATCAAGAACCTACATAATCTATTGCCACGTTTTGAAAATGTTACCTATCCGGCAACCTATTTACCTCCTAATCCACCCAATATTATAAAACCGAAAGTGATCACGCTATATGGTGGTCAGTGTCATTAAAGGATGAGGATGATCACGTAACGCCGCTCGCTAACCGTATAGTGTAATTAACGAACGGACCCCCGACGCGAAATAGGAAAACCTTCCGGGCGGGCGGTACGCTCCGAGATTGGGAAATTGGAAAATGGTGTCGAAGACGGAAATTGCGGGGCACTTCACAAAAGGAGCAGCTCGAGCTCTTGAGCCTTTTCTCTCTTTTTGCTCATTATTCTAATGTGACACCCCACACACAGAGCGTTTACGTAAAAAGGAAGACCGAGATCGGATTAGGAGAAGGGGACCATGAAAAATTGGGTAGGCACCGGAAATTGGATTCCGAGGGAAACGCTTAATAGATGATGGGTCTTGGCACGAACGAAACTGTAGCCCTTAAAGGCGCAGAACTGCTTGAAATGTTGCGTACAGCAATTAGAACACACAGTTTCCAATTAAAAGTACCAGTTTCTGTGAAGGCTACCGTATACATAAACACATGTGGGAGCTTGGGTCCCGCCGCGAAAGAGCGAAATTATGAAAAACGTAAACATCTGCTCTGCTTAAAAGCGGGCCGCCGCGCCCCGAAAAAGAAGTGCGTGGTGTCGACATCTGCATTCGCTCCGCCCCCTTCCGCGTCTCCCGCACTTTTTCTTCCGGGGCGCTTTCTTATAAACACCTCGCCGACATTGAAAATGTCGCCCATCTCCTCCCACTTGGCGCCAATAAAATTTGGGTCCTTTAGGCACAGATAGCCATAAAAATCGTCGGAGACGTCTCTCGTTAACGACATCAATTAGAGAAGGTAACGGTGGAGAGGAGGAGTGAAGGTTGGAATGGAAAATGAAGAGAAATGAAATAAAATAAAGGATGAGGATATGATCTAGAAGATTATTATGGACGGGAGAGGAACAGCTGCACAAGCATTTTATTAGGGTGCTCTTCTACCGTTCGCGCGGAGACATAACCTCCGGAATGCGGTGTCTGCGTCTCCGAGAAGCCCGCAATCTCTCGCCGCGTCTTCTGTCCGCAGATGTTTTCATTCGAATAACAACACTTTAGACGGACCTGATGGCGGAACAGAGCTGCTGGGGGGTCAGTGACTCTTTCAAGAGGGTAAAAGTGCCTCAAGGAGTTGGGTTGGCAGTAGCATTATAGGATGTAATAGGAGTAACGGGAAGCCCCCGTGGCTTCATGATAATTCAATTATCATGCGGGTTGTCTTCCTACGACATGAAAGGCAACATGTTTGGCCGAGTACTAAAATAGTAAATTTTCAACTGGTACACATGATTGGCAAGGAATACAATAGAATAAAAACAAATCACAACTCTGGATATGGAAACGAAATTGAGCACATATGGCAATTGATCTCTAAACAGAAACAACTACTGGACAAAAAGAAAGTGGAAAAACGGAAAGGAAGTGGGTGGGGTTGAAAAGAGGGGGAGAAGAGAGACTTATGCAAACGTTTGATTAATCACCTCCTCGGCCTCTTTGGTGTGCTGTTCGCCGACGGCAGTGGCGGTCCATGCGAGTTCGCGGCGGCCCGCGAATATCAGCTGAAATGCAATGGACAGTGAAAGTTAAGGAGGGAGAAAGAAAACGTCATCGGTTCGTTCGCATGTGATTCATATGCAGTTTTTGGGAAGTCTTCAAAATTTTTGTAGACAGGGAGATCAGAATTTGTTCAAACTCGCTAGAAGTTCCAGACTTCTCCTGCCTACCCATCCGTATATTCCTAAATCGAGATGAACTTACCGTGACTCCCAACGCGTTCTCGAATCTCGGTTTCACAAACGACCACGCGCCGGCGTTTCTCGGCTCCTCCTGTGACCACACGAACTCTGTAAAATGGTTTTCTCACTTTGAAAACTTCATTTGTCCTCTAATAAATCTTTTGCGAGAAGTGGGGAGAAAGAGTTCTTTTCTTCTCCAACAAAAAGACCTCCCAGACCACTTTGGCTTGACCATATTTCACTCCCGAAGAGTGACAGTTGAAAGGGTCGCTGCGTGGTCAGTTGTGGCTTGTCACCTCTGGAGAGCTTCCAGGGAGTGGTGATAGATCTGGGATCCTTGAGTCTTGTACATCCCTAGACCGAATACCTAGATCCGAATCTTCAAGACCACCCAGTCAGCTTATCTTAAATCTTCCCCCACTTTTTTCAAGTTCACTCCATCCTCATCGGCGTCGTTTAACGACCAAGTTCTCAAACAAAGTGCAATAGTAGTTGGAGGAGAAGAGTCATTATTCAAATCGGCCCTGCTGTCGTCTCCAACTCGTCGCCCTAATCTTGTCGAAATCGGATCGGCACGAAGAGGAGGAAGAAGAAAACGGCTGCGGAGGACGAACGGGCTTGGCGCGAGCGAACAAAAAAAGAGAACTTCTGACGCAAGACGCCTAAACCGAGTACATCAATCACGTCAAGGTGAAATCGTCGAGTGAACGGCGATGAGGGGACGAATTGGTGGCGATTTGTCGAAATTGCGTGGGCGAGGGGGTAAGGAATGTGACAAGCGATGAGTGGCGGAAGCCATGAGTTTTTTGCTACTACAGTTGCCGGTTCAGTGTTTGCTCTGTACGGTACACTGCCACGTCATCCCCCCAACTCATACCTTGTGCACCCGGATACTGCTTCAGCACCGCTTGCAAGTCCACAACCGGGAACGGACAGAGCATCTCGACTCGCACAATAGCTACAGTATCCTTGAGGGCGCGCTCGTCTCGCGCCTTCTCCACTGCAATCCAGTGCTTTCCGGATACGAAGATCACTCTTTTAACGTTCTTTCCAGACTTTTCCTCCGAGATCACGTTACGGTAGGTGGTGCCCGGCGTGAATTCGTTGATTGTCGAGGCGGCCTGTAGGAAAAGGATAACTTTTTAATGGCCATTGTCGGGCTAGCGGTGCTGACCTTCGGATGGCGTAGCAATATCTTTGGTCCGACAACAATCAGCGGTTTTCGGTAGTTGGGAACGACCTATGAAATGGTTGTGTTTATGGCATCGGGAAGACGAAATGTCTAATTACCTGTCTTCGCAACAAATGAAAGTATTGGGCGCTTGTCGTCGGGTTCGCCACGCGCAAATTCACATTTTCGCCGTCCACAGGTGACTGATCTTCGCGGGAGTCGCACAATTGCAGGAATCTCTCCATGCGACAGCTACTGTGCTCCGGTCCGGCTCCGTCGAATCCGTGCGGCAGGAGCAGTGTGAGTCCGGAGGAAGTGAGCCACTTGCTCTCGGCCGATGCGAGGAAGGTGTCGATGATGATCTGCGCTCCGTTGAAGAAATCTCCGAATTGGGCTTCCCAAACACAGAGACGCTTCGGATGCTCCGATGAGAATCCCCACTCGAATCCGAGAATGGCCTCCTCAGAGAGCAGATTATTGGCCACCTCCAGCTGATTCTTCTGCCCTTCCACGAGCTCATTCAACGGGATGTGGATCTGATCCGTAGACTGATCTACCATCATTGCGTGTCGATGACAGAACGTGCCTCTTCCGACGTCTTGCCCGCTGATTCGCACGTCGTTACCCTCCAGCAAGATGCTTCCGAACGCCATTGCCTCGGCCGTCGCCCAATCGATTCCTTCGCCTGATTGCATTTTCTGGAGTCGCGAATCGATGTGCATTTTGTAGAGATGTTTATGAGTGTCAAAGTTGTCGGGAACACGCACTGAACCGGCGCCGATGTAGCGAAGAAGGTCCGTGGACACTCCGGTGTCCCAGGATTCGATAGATCGAGGTGCTTGCTTGAAGCCGCTCCAGTTTCCGCGGTGGCTGATGTCGCTGGAAAGAAATGATAAGGAAACATACACGCACGTCAAATATTTCCGTGAACATGGTCTATTTTTCAAAATTTATTTTCCTAAAATTTGCGAAATTTGCCCGAAATAAACTAGTTTTTCTTGTTCACGTGTTTTGAATAACTATTCTTACACTGGCTGCGTGCTGTCCACCTTTTTGAGCTCTCCGTTCAGCGCCTCCGTGTGCTTCTGCAGTTCCTCCTTAACCGCTTCCTCCGTCGTCAGTCCTTCCTCGATGAGACGGTCCAAGAAGAGCCTCGGCACGGACTCCCTCGCCTCCACTTCCTTGTACATGACTGGCGAAGTGAACGTTGGGTCATCGAGCTCGTTGTGCCCCCATCGACGAAAACAGACCAAGTTGATGAAGACGTCTTTGCGGAAGCGTTCCCGGTAGGCCAACGCAAGCCGTGTCGCCTTCACCACCTCCTCCGGATAGTCCCCGTTTACATGAATCACCGGGTACTCGAATGCCTTCGCAATATCTGTGCAGTGCGTGCTCGACCGTCCGACGCTCGATTCGGCGGTGAATGCGATCTGATTGTTGGTGACCAGATGCACGGTTCCTCCCAATCGGAAGTGCGGCGCCTGGCTGAGAGCAATCGATTCCCAGACGACTCCTTGTCCGGTGAATGCTCCGTCTCCGTGCACCAGGACATTGAGCACTCCGTCTCCAGTTCGCGCCGCCCGTTCTCCAGCCGAGTAGTCTCCTTTTTTGAGTGACCATGCTCTCGCACGGGCTTTGCCCATCGCGACCGGATTGACAGCTTCGAGATGGGAAGGATTCGGGAGCAATGTCACATGAAGATTGCCCTCGGCGCCTTTGTAATCGAACGAGGAGACGAGATGGGAGAGGACGTCTCCGGCAGCGTCTGCGGATTCTGGAAACTCCGCTCTCCCCTTGATCTTTCTGAACATGTGCACTGGCGGGAATTCCATGAGCTGTGTGAGGAGGTTCAGACGTCCACGATGGGCGATTCCTATGATGATCTGCTCAACAGACTTTTCGGGCGCTGCTTCGAAGAGCTCCGAAAAGAACGCGAACATAGCTTCCGCTCCTTCCGCTCCGTATCTTTTGAGCGTCGGGAACTTGGTCGCCAGGAATTTATCAAAGTTTTCGCATTTGAGCATCAGGGTTCCAATTCGCAAAAGCTCTTCTTTCCGCAGCTCTTCGGCTATGCAGTTTTCAAAGTTTTGCGACAACCATTGGCGTTCCTCAAAGTTCTGAAATTAAAATATGAGGACCTGAAAGCTTCCGCTCATCTACATTAATGTGCATGAACTCGATGGCAGTGGGTCCGCAGTAGATGAGCCTGAGCTGCTCGGCTAGATCGTTCAGCGAGTAGCCGCTCTTCACATTATCCTCCAACGACAGTCCGTAGATGGCGGGATCCAGCTCCGGAACTCTGAAAGTATCAGGATTTTAAGAAAAGTGGTGTCAACCAATTCAATCGGATTTAATGCCCGGTTCTCCTGTCTCGCAGCATCAAATCCCGTAAAAAAGTGCGGCGCGCATCATCCCTCCGCTATCCACATTCCAATCCTTCGCCAGCGGCCCACCGGGCGGATCAGAAATCTGATTCTTTCAGTGTTCGGGGCGGTGAAGTTCTAAGGATTCCGCCAGCACCAGGGCGAAGATTTATGGACCTCAATGGGTGGCGGACTATTCGGAAACGGAGGAAATGCCGCCGACAAAAGAAAGGTGGTCTTATCAGAGATGTTCCAGACGATGAAACTTGATCGGAGGTGTTCCGGTGTCCACTAGGATTCTGTAGCTCTCTAAAGGCCTTTGGAATGTGACGCCGATCTTCCAGCCGGACTTAGGTGCGCGCGATTCGAAACCAAATCGAATTACATCTGATCCCTTCTGGTGCGTCTTTATCTAGCCGTTATCATAATCGAATTAGGAAGAGGTTCCTAGGCTTAGAACATTAGAACCCGAAAGTGCGTGGAAGGGGTGTCAAATAAATCAGTGTCTCGCGTTTTTTGCAAAGAAGAACGTCGTTGTCCCGCTCGGATTTATCAAGAAACTCGAAATGTGAAAGCGACGGAGATAAAGAGAAAAGATAAAGAACACTTTTTTGTCTGCTTCCGAGTGACACGCTTCTCCTGCTGCGTCTTTTTGAAATATCATGTCAATTTCGCATATACTCTTGATTTATGCATCATCCCCACGCAGCCATCGTGTCGCCGTTGCGGAGGGCGCGCGCTCGCTCGGTCCCCCGCACTAAAGTGAGCGATTAAAAGTGATAAGAGAGTGACAGGAACACTCGAACTGGATCTATCTAGGAAGAGCGAACAACGGAGAGACTGCAGCCGTTTTTTTTTGAAACGCGATTATGACAAGATGATGGGATACGAAATATTATGGATTGCGAAGAGGTAAGGTGCGAGATTGGGTTCCTGTTCGCGCTTTGTGTTCTGATTCTCTAGTTTTAGCGCGGACAAGGAACTGTTTCAATATTATTCAGTTTATCGCCGTCACTTCTCAGGATTCGGAGGATGACTCATTTAGGGCAAGTGTACTATGAGATCTTATTAGAACAACTTCTGGTATTACTAGTACATGTTCAGAAGATAACGGTATACGGTACAGGATAAGATCGTTGGGCAAAACTGATCTTTCGATCCAGCCTTTTTGGAATTCCTGTGCCCAAGGCACCAAAGACCCCCTGTCTAATCGGATTCCGCCATCTCGACTCTCTTTAATTTCACTCTCTAATGAGTCCGGGTCTTCTTCCACTTTCCACGTCGCCAAGTGTGGGAAGAAGCGGGAAAGGAAAGAGAGAGTGGGAGGAGAGTATTGAGATGGCTGTTGCGATCGGCGCCGCCGGTAAGCAATACGATTTTTCCTGGGATGCGTTGCGCGTATAAAAGTGCTTCCGTGGTGTCCGCCTTCTGAATCATTTTGTTTCATTCATTCAATCATTCCAAAAAATGTCGGTCACCACGGCCACATCGGGAGCACTAATCTTCTCGGGAGCCAGTCTTTTGGTTTCCCTCTTCGCTGCCGCTTCTATCTATTCGCAAGTTAACTCGATTTGGACTGAGCTGGACAACGAGATCGACAGCTTCAAGTTGCTCACCAATGACATCTGGAGTGATATGGTAAATTTGGGAGCCGGTTCTGCGTCGAATCGCATTCGTCGTCAAGCGTACGGTGGATACGGTGCCGCAGGAACCAGTGCTCCAGAACCACAGTTCCCGCAAGGAGACAAGGGACCGCTGCCAGTTCCTGGACTTCCATTCGGATCTACTGTTTCCGGAGGATCGAGCCGTTGCCAGTGCACTGTTGAGAACTTCTGTCCACCAGGAGCAGCAGGAGACGAAGGAGAGCAAGGACCGGACGGAGAGGACGGAGTGGACGGAGTTCCAGGATTCGACGGACACGACTGCCCGGATGTCGAGCACCTCCCTTCGCAGGGGTGCTTCACCTGCCCACAAGGACTTCCAGGACCACAAGGACAGCAGGGAACCCCGGGAATTCGTGGAATGCGTGGAGCTCGCGGACAGCCAGGATACCCAGGAAGAGACGGACAACCAGGAATGCCCGGAGAGATGGGACCGAACGGCGCGCCGGGAGATGATGGAGCTCCAGGAGCGAGCGGAGAGAAGGGAGACGATGCGGAGAAGCCAGTCGGACGGCAAGGACCACGTGGACAGCCAGGTGAGCAGGGACCGGAAGGAGCCGAGGGACCGGCTGGACGCGATGCTTATGCTGGACCTGCTGGAGTCGAGGGAGAGGACGGAGTGCCAGGATACCAGGGAGCCGCCGGACCAGATGGGTAAGTGACCATATTATCCAGAGTTTTGACACCAATGCTTGTTTCAGAGAGGAAGGACCACGCGGACCGTCCGGACTTCCAGGAAAGGACGCCGAGTACTGCAAGTGCCCGACGCGCGACGAAGGAAGTGCTCAGGCGTGGCGTCGCAAGCACAAGAGAGTCTACTAAAGGACGTGGAGCCCGCGTGGGCGCCCAATGTTATAAATTCCCTAATAAACTTGTTTTCCACTCACTTCTCCACTTTTCTCAGCCCGAGTGGGTCGAGTTGTGCCTCAAGGTAACCGTATCGACGGAATGCGTTGATCAGATGCACGCGTTGAGCACTTTCCGGTGTGAGACCGCCTGCAGCACAAACAAGATGGTCTTGGAGAAGAGACTTCAAACTGACCTTGGCTCTCAAAAACGCGTTTCGGCGGATCGGGCAGGTGACCAAACACGCCATGTCCGGGTCGGTAGAAGCGATGTTGTTGGTGACTGATGACTAAAAGTTTACCGATTTCAGTGCATTTCTCGTTTTTCTAGATACTTCTTGTACAGTACTCTCCGCAACTCCTTCCGGCGCTAAGTAGTGCTGCTACTGCTCTCTTTTCTCGTATTGTTTTGTCAACCAACTCGGCTCCTCTGCGCAACGCAACGCTCCCGCTCACAAACACACGCTCGTTTACCGTGGGGCACACTGAACCAGGGAGGAAAGGAGAAGAAGAAAAAGAGAGAGAAAGAGAGGGTAAATCTAGTCGGGCGTGTATTTACTCATCGCTCCCGTAGATGGGGAGGGCGAGCCACCTGACTGCTCGACCCGATCGGTCAGGTCAGTTTGGGAGGGAGCGCTTGTGTTCGACTCTTTTGCTTTGTATGGGCACATCGTGTTCGGTTCTCGAATAGATGTTTCAAATCTCAATTTAGTTTTGCTAACTAATAAGCTACATTTCGTTGATTTCCGAAAAGTTGACCGGTGAGCGAGCATTTTTCAAGATGAAATGTTGAGACATACTCAACCCAAGCTCACTATAATTCTACTCCCTTCCATTTCACTTCATCTTATCACACGTCGTTCTTTTATTTGCAAGCGTTTAAGTACAACGTGTAGGTGCCTAATCCTATTTATTACCGTCTTGGTCGTCATAATTTCCACAAGCCGTTGTGTGTCGTTTTGAAATTGATCATAACACAAAATGATAAACAACTCTCTAGTCGCTTCTCCCTTCCCTCGCGCTCTAAAGCACTTCTATTTGCCATCATCGTTTTTTTCCTTCTGCCTTTCCATACACCATAAAACCTTTTCGGCCGGGTGACCAGAAATATTTACTTTTAGGTTGGTTGACAACACAATCTCTAATTCTCCCACACCTACGACGCTATTTCTCGAGCTTTTCAAGAGCATTGAAATCGGAAAGACGCAGAAGCGTTGAAGAACAGTCGGGAAAGAAGGCAGAGTCAGAAGAAGAGAAGGTGGAAAAGGGAAGGAGGAGCACGAGGAGGTGGAGCTTCTCTCTCGATGGTGACTTCGGAAAGTCGAGAGTGTATTGTGTCGCCAGTACACGAGTCACGTCAGGCCGTCAGCATTATCGACATGAACAACATGAACCATCAACGATCGTTCGATTTCGACGATGAGCCACAGATGATCAAGCTGGACATTGAGAACGGACAGAGGCCAAGAGGTGGCAGGTAGGGAAAAGCGTAGCTGGTTGGGTTGAATTGTTGAGAAACGTGATGTTAGGATTGCTCTCCGATTCTAGTCCTCTTATTATGAAGTTCCTAGTCTTCATTCTTATAAGCCTATTTTCATGTCCCATTAATTCACTAATTCCGTCGAATTCTCCCTGGTTTCGGGAAGGGTTTTGTCTGAATGGGAATAGAATTCTAGGTCTGTAATTCTATTTGAATCAGAGCCGTACTTTCCCGAGCTCTCAAGCTAAGAATAGGCACATTTTACATCTTCAGCACAAAAGACTAGTATGCTGAACTGACACAAGGATTTTAGGTAACATTCGAAAATGTAGATTCACTTAACTTTGGTTAACTTCTATGTAGTAAAACAACCTGTTTCGTGTTGGCATTCCATTTCCAAGAATATATGTATACATTCTATTTGAAACATTTCAATTCAGGCGAGAAATCAAGCCAATCTCCGAAAGTCAACTGAACATGTTCGCTTGTCTTGTGGCGTAAGTTTTCCTCGTTTTTTCCAGTACTTTCAGTTATTTATATCCTAATTGGATTAGGCTAGTTCTCCCAATTTTCAGCGCGGGAATCGGCGCTCTCGCCGTCGTCGGTCTCGTCATCACATTCTTCGTTTTGGCGTTAAAATAAAGCGACAGCGTCTCGGGCGCAGAAAAGAAACAAATTCCGGCAAATTTTCACTCACAATCTCACTGTATCTTATGAAACCTCGCAATTTTATCGCTGCTCACTTGATTAATCTTGGACCAAAGATGCTAATAAATATTGTTTAATCAATAAAACGGTCACGTACCTTTTCTGATGGAACCGCCCGCCGCTCGCCACGTCATCATCTTCGTCGTCGTTCAGCCGGGCGTCTCCTGTTCGAGAAATATTTAGTCGGTAGTGAAAATTTATAGATCACATGTGAATTGGATAGAGGACCGCCCCCTTTTTGCAACAATATTTCCGCAGGGGCACACAACACAACACGTTGATAAACAGAGAAAAAGAGGTTAGCTGCGGGTCTCAAAGTCTTCATCTTATATTAGTTTTATTGGAAAATACTTGCTATTGAATATTTCAATAAATACGAAAATGGAAGAGTATAAAGTTGAGATTCAAAATAAATTCCGCTTATCCGATGAAATCGAGTTGAGCTGCTAGCCGCTGCCGAGCCTATTTCCACTTTTCGACGGGAATCGATGGCATGAAAGCACCTAGAACACAGCTAGTTTCGTGGACAGAACCCCATAGAATGCACTTACGAGCAGGAGCGGGTACTGGAGCCGGTGAACCGGTCGCAGATTTTTGTTGCATTTGTTGCAAGTACTGCTGGGTGGTCATCACGCCCGTTGGCTGTCCGGCCGGCGTCACCGAACCATATGGCGCCTGCAAATCAATTGATACTTTTGGCGGCGAACAAGACTTGATTTTTGACCACGAGACGACGGACACGTGGTCTTGATCTTGATGATGATAATTGAGAGGACGACAGAAGTGGAGAAGTGAGAGATCAGAACATACCACTGGTGGAGGATGGAGCGCATTGACGTACGGAGCGGATTGCACGGCATACGGAGCCTGCAAATTATAATTATTAAGACTTTATTCTCATTTTCACGTGAAACTTTTGATTTATAAAGTTCAGATGCCCGTAATGTTCTATTCACTGCGAAAAAATTGGAGCATGAAGTCATTTGCTCGGAGTATTATCGAAACTCACTCTCAAATTAGTCGGAGCCGCGTACGGGGTGATGGCGGGCGGAACGGGCGGTTGGTAGGAGACGGGCGCCGCGGAGAGCCTGGAAACGGATCGATTCACAATTTCAAGGGGCGAATCCCGAAAAGTGAGGAGGGCGACACAAGTCACATATTTTCGACGGACGGAAGATTCGAGATCAATGAATACGAGTACGGTACGGGTCGCGCGGAAAGGTGACGGTCTTTCCGCGCGCGACGACGAATACGGTAACGAGAGCAGCGATGATTATCAGTACGGTATAAAACGGATCAGAACGACGGACGAGGCGATAAATTTTCGAACATTTGTGGTAAAAGCGTATGGAACAGGGTATTATATGGGTACGCGCGTTTTTGCTGAAAAGGTCGATTAACGGTGTGCTTTCGGAAAAAAAAAAGAAAAAACTCGGGCAGTACTGTGTAGCGCCAACGGAAACGGCGGCGGGCAAAACGGGCACCGGGGTGGGCCCGGAAAGAGCGTATCCGGCAGTGGAGCCATTCTGTTTCGCTTCCATCTCTTTGAGCAGGCGGTCCCGGTAGTAGACGTAGCGTTGGCGGGACATGTGATACTCCTGGTAGAGCTGTTGAAGATCTCTGGAAAAAGTTGTTGGTCAAGATTTGTTGCGCCTGAAATGAGACGAAGACAACAGACAGAGGGAACACAGAAGACGACACAGGAGAAGAATTCCCCCAACTTACGGATCCATTGGCTGCGGGATCTCAGCCTCAACCATAGATGGCACCGGAAAAGCCATTCGCTTCGGCACGTCCATCAAAGGCTCGCCGGCCGGCCTTTTCAGTCCCGGCGGACCTCCGGCCGTCAAATCGAACTTTATGACACCGCCTCTGAAAGAAATAACAGTATTCAAAGAAGATTTAGGGAAGGAAATTATCGTACTCGCTCTTTTGATTATTCGATGGATCGTGCGGACACTGCGGAGTGCGGTGATCGTCGGATTGGCAGCGGTAGCATCGATTCGGCATTCCGGGCGTTGGACGTAGTTTCGATGTCGATTTTTTTATATTCACTACCTTTCCCTCTATCGTGTAGCCAGTCAGACGGGTAATGATTGGATCCACGTCATCTTCTTCGATATGCTAAAAGCAATCATTGGGAATCGAAGTAGACATTATCAGTTTTACCACGAAGGCATAGTTTTTCACGATGTCGCATTCGGTTACTTTGCAGAATGGCTGGAAAATTTGCTTCAACTTGTTTGAATCTACATTATCCGGGAGATTTCCAACGAAAAGTTTCGACGGCATCTGAATGTGAACATATACTAAAGAACTAACTTGAAAAATTCTGAATGCGAATGAATGAAAAATAATAAATGTGGTCAAAGACCTCTGCGTTTAAAAATCGATAGAACATCGGCGCAAATTGATTCATTCGGAAACCACACAACATTAGACAGAAGGAATAGTAATAAAACGGGAAGAATCGATACGTTGAGGGTAACGCGGAGAAAAGGGTGGGATGGAGAAAATATAAAGCGAAGAGAAGTGCCGAGACGAGGAGAGAGTGAATAAGTTATTGAGTACGCATCGATGGCAATTACTGTGCAGTCTGGTTGGCCGGAGCTTGGTTCTCGCTGTTGTAGCGGTCTTTTTCGCGGAGCAAGAAGTTGGCGAGGTACTCAATCGGGTTCTCTGGACGGTCCTTGGCCAGAGCTCCGAGTCCTTGCAGAAGGATTGGCACGACGGTCGAGTCGAGGTACTGGCGAGTCGGAATGGTGCTAGTGTTGCGCTGAGCAGCCGCCGCGTTCGTCTGCTGCTGTCCTCCGTTCGCCGCAAGCACATTGGTTGGAATCCCAGCTTCGTTGTTGTCCGATTCGGTGGTTTGAGCGGCTGGCGCAGGGGTCTCGGCTGGAGTAGTATCCATCTTCTCAACAGTCTGCAATGCAAAAATCAATCAACCTTGTTTCGAAAGAAAATCGCTGATTCAACTCACAGACTCCTCAGAGACGGCAGTTTGGTTATCGGCCATTTTTCACGCTTGTGCTGGAAAGATAACGTTATTGGGGCTGACAAAGTGCAAGTGAAGAGAGAGTTGAGATAAGATAACCAGATAACTAACGAGGTACTTGAAAATTGGCTGCGAAACACACACGAGGAGCGCACACAACATGACAAACATTCTATCGCCGGAAAAAGGGCAAATTTCATTGATTATGCAAATATTCCCGATGCCAAACGTGTTTTTTACATTGTATTCTGTTTGGGAATCGATAAAGTACAGAGAAATCGAGAGAAAATCTAGGAAATACCACAAAAATGGGGGAGAACATGCGGTCGATTCGAAAATGGAGCGAAGAGACGCAGAGAAATTGAATGAGCGGTGTGCGAACACTGCCACGCAATATTGCAGACTTGCGCACCGTACCTCGCTCATAAAATTGAAACAGTACTGTTGAAAAAAAAAAGTTTCGACATTGGAATCGAAGCTGGCAGCGTGCCAAGGCCCGGCCTCCCAAACGCATATGCTGCGCGCCATTGTTGCAACATTGCCGCACGCTTTATTGTTCTTCGTTTTTGTCTTTATTTTTCGGCTAAAAATCAGCAGAAATTTGGTTTTTCCCATTTTTTACCCCTATTTATTCATTTCAATCGGCTTTTGCTATAAAAAATCAACTTTGAAAACAGATGTATCGATTTTTAGCATGAATTTTCGAACATTTCTTGATTTTGTGTTTTTCTCCTTTCGATTTCGGTGAATTTGAGAATTTTCAGGATTTCCACCTACGGAAAAGTCGAACAAGCAACAAAAGGGCATGGATTTCTTCTTTTCGTGTTAGTTTTTGACGTAGCAATAATTTTCTCTCCGATCAACGTTTACAGACCACTCCTCCGCCGTTTTCTCCACTCCGCCGTCAGCGCACAACGGAAAGTTGAAGAAGCATCTCCCGTTAGATGATTGGCACTAATAACAATTATTTTAGATGTATTTATAACGTTCTCCAATAAATTAAATGACATGACAAGTGTAAGAATGTTATTATCAGTGATATTCAATTTTCTTCTCCTTTTTTCTGGATTGAAGCGTCCACGGACTTTGGAAAAACAGTCGGAGAGAAAATATCTTCGTTCCTCTTCAAACTATTATAGGGGCGCCGGACAGAAATGGCGCGCTGTTCGCAATCTGGCCGAATTTCTAGGCCGCGAAGTAATTTTCCACTGAAAACGTGGCCTAATTGTTCAAACTCGGCCCCGAAGTCGCTCAATTTGAACTGGAAAAAGAGCTTCTCAACAGAGCGCCATTTCTGTGCGGTGCCCCTATAATAATACGACAAGTTTTTGTATACCGTTGTGTGCTGACGGCGGAGTGGAGAAGACGGCGGAGGAGTGAAGTCAGTAAACGTTGATCGGAGAGAAAATTATTGCTACGTCAAAAACTAACACGAAAAGAAGAAATCCATGCCCTTTTGTTGCTTGTTCGACTTTTCCGTAGGTGGAAATCCTGAAAATTCTCAAATTCACCGAAATCGAAAGGAGAAAAACACAAAATCAAGAAATGTTCGAAAATTCATGCTAAAAATCGATACATCTGTTTTCAAAGTTGATTTTTTATAGCAAAAGCCGATTGAAATGAATAAATAGGGGTAAAAAATGGGAAAAACCAAATTTCTGCTGATTTTTAGCCGAAAAATAAAGACAAAAACGAAGAACAATAAAGCGTGCGGCAATGTTGCAACAATCGCGCGCAGCATATGCGTTTGGGAGGCCGGGCCTTGGCACGCTGCCAGCTTCGATTCCAATGTCGAAACTTTTTTTTTTCAACAGTAGTCCGTTGAAACAGTTGGTTTATTATCACATCGGTTATAAACTGATCACAGATTACGATTTTTTAGAGTGCTGGCTCTCTATGCAATACTTACAAACAAAATTGCTTAATGGAAATGAATAGAGTTCAAGTTTTCGACGGGTTGCTAACTAGCACTGTCCTTCGGAGAAGTGACGGAGGCGGCGTCGTCGGGATTTTCAAAGGAAGCGGGGCGAATATTTGACTCGTCGTGATGACGGAAGACGTCGGAGGCTGGGCGGCGAGCAGGGGTGCAGTGGGATGGATGGGAATGGGGATCTGAAGAGGAGAAGATCACCTGGAGGATCCTGACGTTTTAGAGGGCTTACACTTATCGACGTGGAAGGCGTTGTCAGAATCAGAGTTCTCAGTTTGTCCGTCTCGGCCCTCAACTGATCCAACTCCACGCGAAGAAGCATGTTCTCGTGCTCCAGATTCGCCGCCCGACACGCCATTTCGTCCTCTTTTTGTCTGCGCTGATCACGACTTCGCTTCGCCGCGTCGTTGTTCTTCCGTCGGCGTTCCCAATAGGCCTCGTCTTTCACCTGGCCCTGAAACTATACCATTCTATTTCTTTTGGAGAGCAAGATCGAGTCTCTCCTACCTTCTTTCTCTTTGACTCGTTGCGAACGATAACGTTATCGCGGTTACTGCTGCCGCCGGTCGAAGTCGGCGACGAGGAGTCATGGCTGCTGTCGCGCGAGGAACATGACTAAAAGGATTAGAAACGTTTCGATAAAGAAACAAAGGGAATGGGTCGGCACTCACCTCTGCCTTTTCACTGTTATTGTTGTTCTGCTCGAAGAGTCTATCGGTTGGGTCGTATGCGGTCGGCTGCAAAGATTGAATTCAAGCAGAAAGGGATTATCAGTTCTCGGAACCACTCGGTTACCCAGATACTTGGCAGGAAAACTCACATTATAAATGTTAAGGTTCAACAAGTGCGAATTGGTCAGAAGCTGCGGATGAATCGAAAGGAACGTCGACGGATAGGGGGTGACATCGAAAGAAGCGGCGAGGCTCGGATGCTGATGAGCTCCGAAGCTCTTGAAAGCGGACGGTTCCTGGACGGATGCCATCCGAAGGCGAAAACGAGAGAAAGTCCGGTGTAAGTGTGATGGTGTGTGTGGAGAGAGAAAGTATGAAATTTGAAAACGAAAGTCGTCCTCTCACTGACCCAATTCCCTCGATTTCACTGCTTCCCGTTGCGCCCTCCACCCCGCAAAAGGGGTCATCCGTCGATCGGTTCGGACACGGCGCCGACAGGGGACATTTGCCCCCCGTCCGCCCGTCCGCCCGCCGCAGCATTATGCAATGTGTTGGTGGTACGGGACGGAACGAGTGAAAGTTGCGTGAAAGGAAGCGGACGGACAGCCGACCGCATTGCTACTCTGACCATTCCGCTAATTGTCGGATGATGATGGTGACGGAGAAGAATCGAGAAGGTACACGATGGTGAACTCCGGAGGTGCGAACGATTAGCAGAAGATCGGGATGACGTCGAGAGTTGAGCGAATTGTTTGGTGCATCTAGAAATCTAGAAATCCAAAAACTTCCATATATGAGTCATCATCATCGAACCCATCACGAGACGTTCTTTCTCGAAAAGGACACTCAATTAGCGAATGCATGAGGAACGAGTCTTGGAAGCCCTATCACGCACACACACACACACACGTATTATGCGTTAGTCATGGGGCAGACAATGCATAATCCCGAAATGTTTTTGTTTCATAGACGGCCGAAAGAACGGGATGTAATGTGTTGGCTGGCGCGAAACGGAACGACGTAATTCTCGAAACTGGCCCCGACGCGGATATTGATATTGCAGGGAAACTTCTAGAATTTTTTTTTGAACGTGGCAATCCCGCTCCGCTGGACAGAAAAAAAAATGAAAAAGAAAACATCACACAAAAAATGGCCGAAGCTTAAACAGCGATCGAAGCCTGAGTCTAGCGGAGCTGGATTGGCGCTTGCATCTTTTCCAAAATGTACTCGTATCGAAGAAAAAAGGAGGAAAACATCGAGAAAAACAACAGAAAATCGCAAGTTTCGCGCTGTGCGGTAGGTCAAACTACGGGTCTCGCAGCGACTGGACAAAATATTTAGTCCGAAAATAGATGCGCCTTTAAAGTGAGCGCACGCGTTGCGGCCTTCTGGGGAGGCAGGCAGGGCAGGGAGAAAAAAAAGAGGATCGTTCTCGCTAAGATTGAGTGTAGAGACCCTTACTGACAACCGGCTGTGCGGTTCTCGCGCGAACATTACGACCGGACCAGGGACCGTTCAAGAATTTCGCACCTGTCACAGAGATCAAAAGGTGTTAACAAGGGGGTTGATTGACACATCGTCACGTAAACAGACCATCGAAACACGTGTTTGTAGTTTGGCGTCACGTTGCTGTCTTTCCTCTCGACGGTCCGTCCATTCGGAGGACCTGTTGGCCAGAACCATTCTCTTTTTTTCTCCTTGCCCAGACTGCCTCCCCAAAGGCTAGTGCCGCAACGCAACGAGCGGAGTGTCGTTGGAAACTTAAGTCGGCAAATATCGTCATTTGTTGGCATCTTTTTAATTAAGAATCGTTGATTATCAAGCTCCATTGCTGTTTTCAGACCGAAATGCCGATCAGGAAGCGGAAAACTGTACTTATTTGCCCGCACAGCGTGCAGTAGCCGTTTTCTGTTCTATTTCCAGATTTTTCCTATGAAATACTCTGCAAATATGTCCACGAACACCCCCTAACATTCAATTCCATTGCACCGATCCACTCGTATTTCCCCCGTTCCTAGCATAGATGAACCATCTAGTAGTAGTGGTAGTTCTGACTACTGTATTCCGACCGGTATCCACGTGTCACTCTGTGAAGATATTCCCGAATATTCCATCACTCGACGACTTCACCTCGATCTTCTCCAGACTTCCCTTGTTTTCAGCGCTTCTACCGCCTGTACACAGGGATCAGTTGTAATTGAATTCTCGAGAAAACTCGATTGTCAAACTAGGTTTTCAGAATCACCAAGGGAAAATGCGCGGGCGGAGAGATCACGATAGTGACCGTGTTTCCGTGGAGCAACTCGACAATCGATCAGAATATGAGGCACATGGATTATGAGTTGGCTCGTCTACAAAAGTACTCTGGAATCTCTACGAACGATCTCTCGCCGGATATCATTAAAACTCCAGTGTACGTAAAGTATTTAACCTTTCTTAAAGAAGACCATAGTTTCCAGCCAACGTGGCTCTAACTTCGCAGTGCTCTACCGCTTCAAATACATCACATCGACGTGCGATAGAGTTCGACTTTTCGTTCGGAATGCGGTGTCCTGGAGTTCGGAGGTAAAACAGAATTGCGGAACCGCTCCATTGCTAATTCTCTTTTTGTAGGTGCTACGAGCTCGAGTGGCCTGCGAATGCGAAAAAACGGTGGAAATGGTTCGTGCCTAACGAGTTTGAGCAGCTAGGTTTCCCTTGACCAAGACAGAATAAATATTTGCAAACCGATCCGCTCTCTCAAATTGTTTGTTTGTCGCCGAGCCGAAATGTTTACAATGTACCTTTTGGTATCGGTTTAAATCTTCCTAACCAGCTAAATAAGTATTGAAATATTCATTTTCGGATTCTCCTTGCACTTTTTCACTGATAACAGTACAATTGATAAGATGAAATGTAAAATTAATAGGAAATTAAGTTTGACACACCCTAAATACGCCTATGTACGTGTCAAGTTCAGACAAAGTGCATTGATTTTAATGGAGCACGGCTCCAAAATGCTGAAAAGAGTTCAAGAAAAGTTGTGAGGTGTACGGTCGGCAACCGGGAAGTTGTGTATAGTCTGCAAACACCGAGAATTGGCGGGAAGGCGCCAGCGGCAAATCTTGCAAAAAATTGGAAATTCTGGAAACCTCTCGTCGAATTTGCTTTTTTTTTTCTTTTTGCGATCGATGATTACCCTTTGCTTGATCTTGCATCCGTGTTCAGTCTTTAGTAGCAGAATACACGCAAAATTTAGGTAATTATGTCAAGGACAACACAAATTTTTGTCGGGAAGACGGGAAACACGCAAGATTTTCCGTCCGTTTCGGAGATTATTCAATGCGCATTGAGTTACCAAAAAACATCAAAAAGTATCTAAAAAAAGCTGAAAATTTACAAATTTACAAAACTTAAAAATACAGTGCAATTCGCCGTTCAAATAGCGTCTAATTGCGGTAACTTTTCACGAAAATCCAAGCGTCACGAACCCTATCCGAATGCATGAATGCCAATTCCCCTTCCACTGACCGCCATTTCTTGACCCTCCGATGCTATCATAAAGCCCTCTCCGCTCTCCCCAGACTTCCTGCCCCTTCATTGCCAAGGACACAACAGAATGCTCCTCGTTCTGTGTCTCTCGCGTCCACGCGCTCCTTTTTCTCACGCATCGCTCGCAGTGCGCCGGCCGCAACGTGGCCTCGCCTCATCTCGTCGATAAGCGCCGCCCATTTGGGGGCAGTGTGGCGTGCGCCGATTGGTCGGCCGCTGACGTGGACCAATCAGCGCGCGGCACCTCGAGCCGTGTCGACCACGCCAGTGACACGTCGACTTGTCGTTAGAGCGGTCGCGGGGGAGAGCGGCAGTGTGGAGCCCAGCACCGTCAGTTTCAGTTTTTGCACGGCTCTCGGCACCTCTTCTTCTCTTCTCTTCTTCTCTTGTTGTTATTGTTTCTTCTCTCTTTCCAAAACTTTCGCTTTTTTTTCGAATAACCACACTAAACTGTCGATATTTTCAGATCAACTTGGTGTCGTTCGATCGAAAAACGAAATGAAATCACTGTGTTTGCTCGCCTTCGTTGCCGTCGTCACGGCCGAAGTCTACTTCAAGGAGGAATTCAACGACGCCTCGTGGGAGAAGCGATGGGTTCAGTCGAAGCACAAGGACGACTTCGGAGCGTTCAAGCTCTCCGCCGGAAAGTACTTTGACGTCGAGTCTCGCGATCAGGGAATCCAGACAAGCCAGGACGCCAAGTTCTACTCGCGTGCCGCCAAATTCACCAAGGACTTCTCCAACAAGGGCAAGACGGTCGTCATCCAGTACACCGTCAAGCACGAGCAGGGAATCGATTGCGGAGGTGGTTACGTCAAGGTTTGTGGCAATTTCTCAATGGATCCAATTCAAATTTTGCCCTTCAGGTCATGCGCTCTGACGCCGATCTCGGAGACTTCCATGGAGAGACCCCATACAACGTGATGTTCGGCCCAGACATCTGCGGACCAACTCGCCGCGTGCACGTCATCCTCAGCTACAAGGGCAAGAACCATCTGATCAAGAAGGAGATCACCTGCAAGTCTGACGAGCTCACCCACCTCTACACCCTCATCCTCAACCCGGACAACACCTACGAGGTCAAGATTGACGGAGAGAGCGCCCAGAGCGGATCGATCGAGGAGGACTGGGATCTTCTGCCGGCCAAGAAGATCAAGGATCCGGACGCGAAGAAACCAGAGGACTGGGACGAGCGCGAGTACGTCGATGACGCCGAGGATGTGAAGCCAGAGGACTGGGAGAAGCCAGAGCACATTCCGGATCCGGACGCGAAAAAGCCAGAGGATTGGGATGACGAGATGGACGGAGAGTGGGAGCCACCAATGATTGACAACCCAGAGTACAAGGGAGAGTGGAAGCCGAAGCAGGTGAAGAACCCGGCCTACAAGGGCAAGTGGATCCACCCTGAGATTGAGAACCCCGAGTACACTCCGGATGACGAGCTCTACTTGTACGAGAACTGGGGAGCCATCGGATTCGACCTCTGGCAGGTAAGAGAGCTCTCGCACACGTGGAATTGTTAGATTCTATTTAATTCATTTACAGGTCAAGTCTGGAACCATCTTCGACAACATCCTCATCACCGACTCCGTTGAGGAGGCCGAGGCCCACGCCGCCGAGACCTTCGACAAGCTGAAGACTGTTGAGAAGGAGAAGAAGGAGAAGGCCGACGAGGAGGCCCGCAAGGCCGAAGAGGAGGCTCGCAAGAAGGCCGACGAGGAGAAGGAGGCCAAGAAGGACGATGACGAGGAAGAGGAGAAGGACGAGGAGGAGGGACACGACGAGCTGTAAACGCCTTCTCGTTGCACAACTACTCGCTTTCACCCATCCAAATCACACACAATCCCCGCATCCAAGTCTCTCCTATTCTCTCGGGTTAAATGATTGTTTTATTTATTTATTGAACGCGTTCCCAAATGGGACACTGTTCGCCTCTATGTCTCTTTTTTGTTTTCTAATAAAAATGATTGAAAAATGCATGTGGAAGCGTTTACTGTACCAAAATATTGCGGAATGTTTCGTCACGAAATTGAAATAAATACGAGTTATGAAACACGACTAGGACAATATGGATGGAGGCCGCAGTTTTACAATATTCAATGAAATTGGGCGGAGGCTCCTGTTTTGTCGGAAAATTCGAGAAAGTTTCGGGTCCCTACAATCGTCAAGTGCAGTCTCTAAATACAGGAATGAGAATAATTGGGCAATAAACTTTGTTTGAACGAATGCTCAGAAGTAGCGTTGAGACTGGCTCTCGTATTCATGGAGCATCTCCTGTCTTTCGTTGTACCACTTCTTCAGCCATTCGGGCACCTCTTCTTCACTCTCCATGAGGTAATCAACAAGCATCTCGACGGTATTGGCCGTCCGTGGGCAAGTCATGCTGATCGAGTCTATGAAGACCGTCGCTTTTCCGCCCGATCCATCTCGCCCGACGCGCCCGATTCGGTGCTTGTACGTGTCCAAATCGGTAGACATTTCCATGACGACTGTCTAGAAAAAGAATGGTTCGAGTAGAAATGAAAGCTGCGCAACTGACGTGTTTGATCGAAGGGACATCGATTCCTCGCGCCAAGACGTTCGTGCTCACGACACCGTGAATTCTGAGATGAGCCAGGTCGTTCAGATAGATTTCCTGCTGATCTTTTAGGACTTGACGGCTCATCGGATAGAAATTGTAGCCCATTTGGCGGAGAGCCATCGTAACTTGAGCGACACGGGTCACTTGCTCGCAGAAAATAATCATCGTCTGCTTGTACGGACCCTCCTTTCGCGTGTTCTGCTCGGCAAGATCCGCATCGATGAGCTTACGGATCTCGATCATTTTTCTGAGCCATGTGTTGTTGGTAAGACTGAAATCCGGCCGCGGAATTTGAATGACAAATTGCTTGATGTAGCCAGATTTTCTTGGGCAATGAACGTATGAATATTCCCTGTCTGCGAGCATATTCAGCATGACACCAGTCTGAGAAACTTCTCCGTCCTGCTGTTTCAAATAGGTGGCCGAGAAGAAGCAAGTCTGGAGGCTAGCGCGCACCTCTTCTTTGAGTTTCTCGAATAGCCACTGGACATCCATTCCAAACGAGCTGCAGTCCACCATTTTGTCCGCCTCGTCTATGATGATCGTTCTCAGATTGTCAAGGCACAGAGAGTCGTCTTCGATCATTTGCTTCAACTTTCCCATCGTGGCGAACGCGATGTCGCACTCAGTGTTCGTAAACTTGTGATCAGCCACCAGCCGATCGATTTTGACCTCGAAAATCGGCTGCACTCTGTCGTCTTCACGCATTCCGAGCACAAGGTTGCACCGGTTGTAACTCTGAGTGGCGAGACGGCCAGTGCTCGAAAGGACGAGCACGTAGGGACTCGGCTTCGACGCATTCCTTCCGTTTCCGGCCGCTTGCTCCGCAAGAACTCTTTCCACAATCGGAATCAGAAACGCGTACGTCTTTCCGATGCCCGTCGGCGCCTCGACGATAACTGAACGGCCCTCGCGGATGAGAGGAACCACTCTTCGCTGGACTGCATTCAGCTCGTACACTTTGTGCACATTCAGATTTTTGATGAGGCGGGTATCCGGTATGGACAAGTCCAACGGTCTGTCGAGTGTCCATTCGGAAGGTGTTTCGGTGCGGTCGGTGTGCCGGACACAGATGTTCTCCTCGCAGAAGTCTTCGAACTCTTTCATCGAGGCCGCATTTTGATCGTTTGTCACTTTGGCGCCAACGATTCCCGGAAGACCTCCCAGATGTCGTCGCACATCTGGAAAAAAAGCAGATGACGTTATTAAGTTTACAAATTTTTCATTCGGTAAACCTTCTCGTCTGTATCCCTCGTTAATTCTGCTCCAATCGATGGTCTGCTTGTACCGAGGCGCCAGAATCCATCCTTCTACAACGTTGTCCACCACACTCGGACCACTTGACTCGACTTTCTCCCACGGAAGTGTCATCTGATTGAAAATTATTTAAATGAAAGAGCAAAGTGAATGAAAATAAATACAATAATGGATATGAACCCGATTGAGCTTAAACTAAAACAAGAATGACATGTTATTTTTAATGAAAACAAGGTGAACCAACAACATACGACGAATCGCGGATGATCAATAGCACACGGAATGGACGTGATAACATGAAAATGGAAAAGAGATCGGGCAATCGTTGTCTATTTAGCGGGTGTTTTTTTCGAGAGAATCGCATAATCGAGTCCGGAATCGTCAGGCGGACACGTTTCGTCGCTGGAGTAGCCGTGCTTGTGGAAGAATCCGAGCGACGGCGAGTTGTAAAGGAAGACCGTCGCCAGCACCTTTTCCATGCCGGTTCTGAAAATATTTAATATGAATCAGAAGTGACGATTATGCTTACTTGGAAGAGAGCCTCTCCAGAGTGTCGAGCATCATGCCTCCAATGCCTTTCTTCTGGTAGCCGGGCAGAATTTGAAGTTCCCAGCAGTAGGCGACTGGAAGCCCGGTGTCGACAACGAATCGGTACGTCAGGAATCCGATTTTCTCGCCCATCGAGTTCTTAGCAAATATGAAGCGAGCAGTCGTGGCGCGGAGCTCGTTGCGCTTCGAGTTCTCGTCGTACCCCCATTGAGACATTTGGTACCTGAAATAATCCGTTTTCGCTTATTCTTAATGTGAAAATCGCTTACATGCTCTGCATATTCGACTTGAACAAAGAGAATACCCACTCGAAGTCTTCGTCTGTCACGTGTGTCGCCCACATATAATCGAAACTAATGATTTCTCTGAAATTTAAAATTACTCTTGAAAATATGAATTCTGATACTCACCCTTCTGTCGTATGGTTTCGCGGTGATTCGCATGCAAACTTCTCAACCGGCTTCATATGCTGACTCGCTTTTTTGACCAGTTTCTTTGCGTCAACCGGCATTTTGCCTGAAAAACATAGGTGAAAGCGAGCTGATTGGAGTTTGAGGATGAATAATAAATAAGACAACGTAGACGTAATTTCATAAACAAAAAAGCGATTTTCAGAAGAACATGTGCATTTTTTTAGGAGAATTTCTATGAAAAGCGCAACAGAAAAATTAATATTGTCGTCGTTTGAAATGCAAAGTGTTCGAACACCATGACGTCAAATCACAGAATTTCATTTAATATATATTAATTAAATGAATTTCAAGCGATTTCAATAGTTGCAAACATGTCTCTTTTCATTAGCGCACTGGCTTCGGGAAGTCTCTTCTAAAATCGATACGACGTGGCAGTCGACACGCGTTTTGCTTTCATGAGCTCTCGTCGGTTTCTCCGCTAAAACACTGCTCGTCAATTGTGTCGTTTTTGAAGATGTCACGCGACTCTCCCGCGGATTCCGGAAGCGTGAGTATTCTGTTTATTGTTGTTCCAAAACGTATTCATATTTCTTTCAGTTGAGCGAAAAGAAGCGGTTCGAAAATCATCTGCGAATCCTTCTGATCAGCTGGCTCCGTGACGCAAAGATTCCGTTCGCAATGGTCGACAATCCGAGATTCCGCGATATTATTCACCATCTGAACCCGAAAATCGATCCGCCCAGCTTCTCGAGTCTTCTTCAAATGGCTGCTCTGGACAACGACAAGTTCCAGACGTACGACTCGGTGCTCAAGTATGACGTGCTCCGAGAAAAGATCGAAAAAGAGTCCGGAATCAATTACCCCGTCGACAGCGAGTCTTCCAACCTTCTGGATCCTTCTAAATTCGTCTTCGGATCTCGCACCTATCTTCCGCTGAACCTCAAGGAACTTCCGACGGTCGAAGAGTACAAAGTGGGGCATTATGAGGCGAAATCAGGGCTGATCAACTGGCCGTGCATCGTGTGTCTCAAACGACACAACTGGAACAAAGTGCGGACGGTTACGGCCGGAGAAGCGGTCATCTTCATGTTCGTGTGCGTCGCCGAGGGAGTCTATCCGTTGGAGGTCGCACAAAAACTTTGTGCGTTGAAGCAGACAAAGTGTTGTGTCGAGCATTTTATCCCTGTGGTAAGTGTTTAATGATTCATTTACTGGCACCGTTTGATAACTCGATTTCAGTACGAAGCAACGCTCCGCCGCATAGGAATCAAGCACCCGAATCAGATTGACAACGTCGACATTCATCTGCTTTCCGACGCTCTCGCCATCGTTCGAAGTATAAAAGACGTAGATAAGCACACGGCGGATGCTCGCGAGAAGTACGTGAAGCCGTTCAGAACGTCGTTGAACAGCTTTTTGAAAAACTATCAACCGAAGGCGGTTTTCCCGGCCGTACATTATGTGGAAAAGGTGAGATTTGAGAATTCGTGTAAGGGGTCGAACCGAACTGCTTCAGATGAAGAGAAAACGAGCATCACAAGAGGCTCCACAGCTCCGATCGCCTCCACCTCAACCATCTGGACCAGTGACTACGCAACTGGCCAGTGCGGGCCGCCCGGGAGAAGACAGCTTTCCGGAGCAGCTCCTCGAAGAAAACGTGTCCAGCACAACGAATGTTTCAGTTTCCCGCTATGATTTCATTGAGAACCTTTAGATTCTCACTAATTTTCTAACATTTTTGATTAGCATTTGTTGACATTCCAGTAGTTTTGTACTTCTTTCCGGTTAGATAATATCATTGCACAATTTTGGATCTCTTGAGTAACCTAAACATATATATTTTGCCCTTTTTTGGCTGTCAACTTGGCTCTGTGGTAAAGTTGTTTCAACTAAAACTTACCTTTTGTTATGTTTTGAACGGATCTTTTATCCTTATTCAGGTCCAATGCCCAAAATAACCACTGCTCTCATCGATTTGAGTGGAACATTGCACGTGGAAGAGCTTGCGATTGCGGGAGCTCAGACCGCTCTCGAGGTGCTGCGGAGCCACGTGGCAGTGAAATTTGTGACGAATACGACAAAGGAATCGCAGAATCTGCTGCATCAAAGACTTCAAAAGTGCGGATTCCGAATTGAAAAGCATGAGATATTCACGAGTCTCTGCGCCGCGCGTGATCTGATTCTCAAGAATCGATACCGCCCGTTCTTCATGTTGGACGAGAAGGCGATGGAGGATTTTGAAGGTGGCAACGAAAACAACAGTAGCTGCATAGTATATGACTTTCAGGAATTCCGACGGACGATCCGAATGCAGTTGTTATTGGTTTGGCGCCGGAGAAGTTCAACGATTCGACAATGACCGAGGCATTCCGACTGATCAAAGAAAGTGAGTTTGCCTACATTCCAACCAGGATCCACTGATTTTGACTTGTAGACAACGCTGCTCTCATCGCAATCCATAAAGGAAGATATTATCAGAAAAAGGACGGATTGCACTTGGGACCCGGTGCTTACGTGGCCGGATTGGAGTATGCCACGGGTGTTCAGGTCTAGTCCATTTTGAAATCTATCAAGTACCTGAAATTGATGACTTTCAGGCCAAAATAGTCGGTAAACCAGAGCGACTCTTCTTCCAAATGGCCCTCGAAACCCTTTCCACTCCGGCCGACTTCTCCAGCGCCGTCATGATCGGAGACGACGTGAACGACGACGTTCTGGGCGCCGTCGAGGCGGGAATGCGGGGAATTCTTGTGAAAACTGGCAAGTACAGAAGTGGTACGTCTTCTGAAAGAGTTTCAGAGTGCCAGAGAAATACTGTATGGTTTCAGGAGACGAAGATAAAGTGCAAAATGTGGCCGATTCGTTTGTGCAGGCGGTAGAGATGATTATTGCGAACCGAGTAGAATAAGTTCGTTGTTTTGGAAAGTCAATGTTTTTCAAAATGATTTATGGCCAGATTAATACTAACTTACCTCACATAGCTTCAGAAGGCTATGAGCCTTGATTCTCCGCACTTTATTTTTCTCCAGATCCCTTCCAAAACATCTCGAAAGTCCCTTGCTGATAATCTTCAATCCGCTCCTATTTCCAATGTCAAATTTTAATCCCTTCTAGTACTTTTGCAGTGAGGCCTAATCCTCTTTGCCGCCACCGGTACAATCCATGCAAATTCGACGCGTGTTCCGATGATCTTCCACTCCTCTTTGCACCCGACTTTGCCACTCTTTGACCCGCGAATCATCCAGTTCACCCCCAGACTCGCAGTCTCTGATCAGAAGAAAAGAAGTGGGAGTCGGGGGGCCGAAATGATTGATGATGAGAAGGCTACAAAAAGGAAAACAGCGGGTGGTTGTGGGTGCATCGTGTACCCGCACAACCATTGAAGACGATGCGGAAGAGAGAAAAAACGACGATGAACAACTTGTTTCGGCCCGTGTTTTGCATTTTTCGTCCCCTGACTGTTGTTAATCGAAAAAAGGAGGAGGAAAGATTGAATGATCGACCACAGACACAGTCACAAAGTTGAAAGAGAGAGAGAGAGAGAGAGAGAGAGAGAAGGGCGACACGTCATCGGACCGGACAAGACCGACTGAATTTCAACAATCTCGTGCCATGTTTTTACAGTCACGCAGTCGTTGTTGATTTTTTCAATATATGTAAGCGTGTTTTCGTTTTTGAGCAGAGAACCTACAATAGCGCCTAGTTTTCTATTGAAAATCAGGGCTGGGTAAAAGGCCGCCTCAAGAGCTACAGTAGTCTTAGAAGTAATCGTACAAACAAGTTATCAACTAGAAAAATGAAATACTGGGTTTGAAGATGAAGTCTCCTGAAATTGCAATGTCCACGAAAAGTTCTACGAATGTTGAAGTCCGGAAATCTTCATTTCAGACAGTTCAGAACTGGATGATTCATAAAGATCACAGGGCTAGCGAGAACTTGTTTGTCCTTCTTTTGATAATATTATGTGACCAGATGTTTTTCAATTGTTATTTTGCCTAAGGTCTCCTCAAAACCACTGTTTCGTCGATTTCTTCCTTTCCCGCCATTGTCCGTCACGGGCGGCCGGCGGTTTGCTTAGCTGACCCGACAAAAGTCGGGCCGAATTGAATCGAATCACAGTGTCTGTCAGCATTAACATGATTTTTTGTACGACCATCGCAATTTTATGCGCAAAAAGTGTCGTCGTCTTGTTGGGAAAGTGAAAACGTGCCCGGTTCTGGGTGCTTTCGCGGTGCGTTTCGATTCATGATAATCAGAGAGAGAGAGAGAGATAGGAGAGACGCAGATCGGCAGAGAGAAACCCTTATCACAAATGGTCTCTTTCTTGTTCACGCCTTCTTCTTCTTCTTTATGCAAAAACGGGAAACGAAAGTGTGAAGACGGAGAGAAGAAAAAGAAGAAGAAGAAGAAGCCTTTGAAAGTTCAACAATCCTAGTCTTTCACCTCGTCATCAATACGCGTCAATTTCATGCACTTTTGAAGATCTACAGTGATCCTAGTACTGTTCTAACCTTAAAAATAGTATTTCGAAACGACCATGAGTCATGTACTCTACAGCCAATCAAATCAGAAAGTGAGCTACAGTGGTAGGAAAGAAAGACCAACTTTGAGCGGGCTCATCGGAGCCAGGAGACGTCATAGAGCTTTGAACATTTTCGACTGTAATCTTCATGACTAGTATTTTATTTTTGTAGTTGACAATTTTTTTGTTTTTAGACTGGTGTAGCTCTTGGAAGTTTAAGCCACTCTACATTACAAGAGCTGAGAATCGTCTCTTCCAGGAACTACAGTAGTCTTAGAAGAGGTCGTACAAAAAGGTTGTCAACTAGAAAAATCACGTGCTCGACGTTAAGTTTACAGTCAAACATTTTCAGAACAATATGACGTGTTCTAATCCTGCAAAAGACCCTTAAAGTTGGCAAAAGTTCAAAAATCAAGTACACCTTTTGATCTCATCTCATCCTATCATCTCTTTTTCTGCACCATCGTTCCTACTTCACACACAATCACCTTGATCTTTTCTCGCTTCCCTCTGAGCTTTTCCACCACCAGCCCCCCTTCCTCATTCTTCATTCTCGCCCCCGATCTTTCGCACCCCCGCACATCCACATCCATCCAGTTCCGACTTCTATTGTACAACAAGACTATAGTAAATATATGTGAAGCGCAGTCGTCTCGTCCCGTTCAAAGTACGTACGAAAAGTGTTGCGAGCGGTGCGGTATTGCGCAGGCGTCACATTGTGTTGGCCGCGGCTGTTTATTTGATCAGATGTAAAAACCAGAAAGGAAAGGGGAAAAGGGGCTTACTGTAAAACGCCCAGTTCTGTTGACTGTGGGCTGCTGTGGCTCGTGTGGAATGCACGTGGAAGGGAGAAGAGAAAAGATCAAACAGTGTCCCCCGAAAATGGAAGAATTCTGTGATTGATTTGCCGCCTTTTAACGCCAATTAAGTGATTGTTCATCAAAGAAGTCTGCCCAGCCGATCGGAAGGATTACTGTAGTCATGGGTGCACGAAGCACTCGTCTAAATGCCTCAATTATCTCTATTAGCATCATTTCGTTGCACTGCTGAAAATTTGCGTTTTGCCTGCTTGTTTCTCGTCCAAAACAAGACTATTGGCAAAGGATTACGGTAGACTCAGTTGTCTGCATTTTTTTCGGGACAGTGGTTACCTACTTACACAGCACCAGCAGAACCAGAACACAAAACTCTGTGTTCTCGCTCCAACTAATCACAGATGTTTTCGTAGACTGGTGGAAGATGAAAAATAGAAATTCTTAGAAATCATGAGTAGATTAGCTTGTCTGGAATCGTTCACCTACTCAATATTCACCTCTATTTCTGTCCTGTACCCGCGGTTATCAATACAGGCTCCAAGCGAGTGATAAGGACGAATCCACGTGGAACGATATTATCAATGAATGCGTTGAAGACACTGTGACGCCCCTCATCTCTTCAACAAACTGTCCTTCTCTTTAGTTACAAAACATTCTGCACCCGTGAGAGAGAGAGAGAGACGCACTCAATCTATAGTCTGATCTGTTTCTCTTTGCACGTACATCGATGATGATTGAAGAAGAAGAAGAAGAAGAGGAAAAAGAAGAAGAGGAAGAAGAAGAAGAAGAAGAGGAAAAAGAAGAAGAGGAAGAAGAAGGAGGCCTTGAGGCACCCGCCTTTCCCCAATGTTCTCAGTGCTCGTCGCAACACTTTTGAAAGTGACGGTGGTGTTGTGTGTGTGTGTGCGTGCCCCGTTGAGACGCTCTCTTTTCGCCTATCGCGTCCGATCATAAACGTTTTATGTTCGGTGGTGCGGGCAGAGATTAGAGCGCCCGGCGTTTTGATACGAAAAAGCGGAGAAACACGCACAATCGGGTTTGCGTGTACCCGCTGGGTTGTACAGTGGAGCGCACTTACATTTGTCGAAGATATTCGCTGAATAGCCTCGACATTTTGAAGGTTTGATCTCGATATGCGTTGCGAGACTAGACGATTAATGCTAAGCGGAAAAGGAATACGGTAGTAGATCTCTGTGCTCAGGAATTCTAGAAGAGTTTTGAAAAAATATTCAACGCTCGACAGTTCTTCTATTAACCCGTAATTTTTTTCTCTTCTCTAACTCTTGGCGATCGATTACTTTCTGAAAAGTAAAATTTTCACAATAGTTGTGAGTGTTCTCTAGACGAACTTTTGCAGCATCTCATCACGTTTTCTCTATCATCGAGTTAGCACATCACCCCTTCGTTCCCCTATCCCTTCTTCGGGGAAACAAGATGATCTTTGTCGTATTCTTGTTCTTTACCCCCATCTTCTTCAAAAGTCACCTGTGTCGCTCACCCCCAGGTCCGCGCATCCGAAACTGCACTTTTGTTTCGTTTGCTTTTCTAAATTTGAATGTGAAGCTCTACAACTACCGTATCCCTCTAATCCCGTCCCGGTGTATCTTGTCTGGTGCCACTGGGCACTGGCGGCATACATACAATGTGGACGAACTTTAAAATGCTCGCGGCGGAGCTCATCGCCAGCCCCGTCGCTCATTTAAAAGCGAGAGAGACAGCGTGCTGCGTGCACCCGACCAACTTCCCTCTTCTTCTTCTTCTTCTTCTTCTTCCCCCGCTCTTTTTCTGTTTCCTTGCTCTCCACCTCACCGGAGCCGATCTTTGTGCTGCCGCTGCCCCGAAGTGTCTGGCCCAATACCAAATGAAAACCAAACCAAAAACAAACTCCTTTCTCGTATGGGGCGCGTGTCTGTGACTAATTCGATTGGATTTCACTCATTTCCACGTACTTCTCGTCATAGTCGCGGAAGTGTTATTCACATATTTTGGGGCACCTACGCTAGTTATTTAGTCACCGCTTTGGAGAAAAAAAGCGCAAAGTACGAGGAATGAGGAAGAAGGAGAAGGGGGAGAAAGAAAAGGCGGACGTGCGGATTGCAAAGAACATGCTCACTCTTTGCACTCCCGGCTTCTTGGGTCCATGAACATTCTAGATCTTTTCCCGACATTCCTGGTTCTCTGGTCTCAAATTTGTGGCGGGATACGTGCCTTTTCGCTCCTATAAAACACGAAATACACCTGTCTGGCTCTTTGTTGGTACAGTTGGAGTTCGTTGTCGAAATGTATATTTATTGATGGCTTTGTGATAGAATGGATAGAGAACGAATAGAGCTCAATAATTCAGTATTCGTATTCCAGAAAACTGAGTCTTTCTGCGGTTTGTTCTGGGGGGATGTTTGGGCAGTGTGAGCAAACATGTCAAGCTCATAAATGTTCTTGAACTTTTGAAAGACAAAGTTCCACGTCACCCAGACATTTCGTGGAATAGTTCCGAATGCACACACACACACACACACACACACGTACATCTGAAGGCAATGTCGGCGGATAACCTTGGAGGGTTGCCTTTTCTCTCTTCAATCACTCCACCTTACAACACTAATCGAATCTTGCGCCTCCTCTCACCCCCAGAATCTTCTTCTTTCTATTCGCAATTGTTAATCGAAATCAATAGACCAAGTGGAGGATCCTTCGGGCTTCTCCCCCCGTCTTCTTTGTGTGCCTGCGTCTCCGAACTGTCTCGGAGGCCCCGTCCGAGTGCACGGCGCACCCGCCACGCACCGCCCTCCTGCCTCTCCCGTCTCATTCGCCGTGCCTTCCATCCATCCATCCCGTCGCGACTCCGCCCGCCTCTGCCCTCCGTTTGCCTCCAACTCCTACTCTTACTCCTCGGTCTCCCCTAGTCCGCCGCCCTTCTTCCTCAGTCTTTTTGCCCGGGGACCAATTTTCTGCATCGTTTTGCGTTCAAATTGATTGTTGAGCATTTTTAGCGAATATTGTTTACTTTGTAACACTCTAGTCTTGCGACGATCTTTGCCTAACCGCTCCGATCTGGCGGGCGGACGGACAAACGGAACAGTTTGGTCAGGCACTTTTGTGCAAATAACGTACACATTTCCAGAACCTTCCAGGATTTCTGTGAAAGGTACAACCACAGAGCAAAACAACGTTTACAACTGTTTTGTATAATTTATCTTCAATACCAGAAGTACTGTAGCTCTAGAAAATTGTCAGGTGCATTTCTGGAGCTATCACTTTCAAGAGCTACAGTAGTCTTCGGAGTGGCTATGCGGAAAAGTTGTCGGCCATGAAAATGGAGTAAAAGGTATGGAGATTTTGTAAATAAATTTGTAGAACTGTATGAAGTCTCCGAGTTCTGCTGTGCACACTCAAAAATGACATTTTTCGAGTGAAAACACAGCTTTCTCTACTCTCGGGGCATTTCAAAGTGTATGCGCTCTCACGGCCCAACTTTTCATACATAGGACTTTCGGTTTTTTCAATATATCTCCAGAAATCGAACATAGGGACCTCTGATTTTTTGATAAAAACTCAGTTTTACTGGGTTCTTCAAAATGAGCCAGGTCAGAGGTAAATGTAAGGTTTCTGAGAGAAGTTACAGCTTCACAATTTGGCCTGTGGCTCTGTTGAGAAGCACCTATTTTTGTGATCTCCAGGGCCTATGCAACAGAGCGCATTCACTTTGAAATGCCCCGATAGTAAATTGTCAAAGTTTTTCAAGTTGTTGAGCAGAGAGCAACATTATGAACATGAACAGTAGTACCTAAAAACTGCGACTTTCCGGCCTAAAACCCCAAGAAACCACTGGAATCATATTGTCATCGCCCGATAGATACTGTCCTCTTCTCCATTCCTTATCATCTCACACCGACCAACCCCCGTCCGCCCAGCCACAGTTGTCGCAGTCGTACAAGCATGTGTCTTTGCATCTTTCGCACCCTCCACTCCCTCTTTTCCCGCCATCTTTCAATGGTCAAACACGCAGGCACAGAAAGACGGATGACGTGGCGGAAGCGCCCCGCCCCATGGCCAGCCTTTTAGGAGGGGTGGCTGGGTCGAAACATGATATTCTCTCCTCTATCCAATCGCTTTTTTCTGTGCGTTTCTGCCGCCAGCCACTCACTCGTGTTCGGAATCCGCACGTACCCGGTGCAAAAGGTTCAGTTCGTCTCGCCGTCTAATCCTCATTCGGCGCCTGTCTCTCGCTCGCGCCTCTCTCCTTCATCTACCGTACTTTTGTCATTGATCCCTTATCATCATGTACGCTTCTTGAAAGATAGGTCGGTGGTTGGGGGGAAGGATATAAATCTCCTCTGGGCCGGCCACGAATTGTGTTATCTTGTCATGATATAGGGACCAGTTTTATTCGCAAACACACACATACACACTGATTTACATCGCCCCCATCTTTGATCGGTCTGGAACGGATCAGGGGCTGAACTGTGGGCAGTGAAGAGACAGGTTATGAACTTTCAAAGTTGGCTGGCCGAACTTTCCATCTTTCCCCCAGGCCACTCATTGAAAAACCTGTTTCATTGATTTCAAATTCATATCAGTAGTCTCGTTTTCGATATCAGTAACTCAGTTCAAATGCGCTCCATCGAACTGTTGTCTCTTCTCCACTTTTCCCCCTAAACTTTGGATAATCCGCTCCCAAATATCAATGGTTGAACTCTTTCGATCGGTCTCCAACTGGTCTTGCTGATTTTGTACTTGGTCTCTTTTGTTGTAACATTCGAACGGTTATCTTATCTTATCAAAGGGGGCGTGGCCTGAAAGTGCGGATGACTTTCTGCGGGAATTTCAAATATTCTGGCTAAAACCGAACGACAAGAATCGATGCAAGTTTTTGAGCTCTGAAGGCACTCAAAATGTTCCAATTTATCGCAATTTTCTCGGACAAAGTCCAAACGGCTTGAGACGTGTTTCTGGTTTTTGCTCTTCTCCCGCGAAATGAAAATAACCCTGCGGAGAGCCGCCAAAAACACTTCCCGGAATCGCATCTTCCAGGGTATCCGCGTGCTCCTCTCCTCGAAGCAACAGCGTGACTTTTATTGAGCACTTTTTCATGCGCGATTGTGAAATCGAAGATCGATTGAGCCGACATTTCTCTCGGAAGCCTATCATCTTTTAAAGTTTGTGCACGCGTTGAGCAAAAAGTGAGCACTGATCGGGGTAAACTTGAGAGAGGGGAAAGTGAAAGTGAGAGAGGGAGAGAGAGCGAGAGCGGATCACAAATCAATCGATAGGCGGTTCTTTGCCCGCCGTTCTTTGGTTTCCTTTCGTTTTCGAAATGTCACCATTTCAATCGATCTCCCGATAATTTATACAACACTATTATCGTTCTGTATTCCTTCGCTTCTAGACCTTTCTTCTCAACACTCACTTCCAAAAAAACAATATTCAAAAGTCACCATCATGTGCTTCTCTTCACTTGTTTGCCAGACTGTCATTGAAGGACTGAGGGTGGGGAGGGTCAGGAAGAGACCGCCCATCTCGAGGTACCGTAGACACCCCGAGAAGGCGTTGCGATTTGACTTTAAAGATCGTATTTCGATTGTGTCATTCGTTTCTCTACATTTTGTTTTCTGTTGATTCGAAATTCGCTCACCCTGGCCGGTAAACTTTGTAATAGAAGGGCACCTCATAATAATGTTTATTTAGCACGATATATCCCAACAGTCGATAGAGATATCAAATAGTTGTCATCTAATAAATTGCTCATTAAGAGAATGCGTATATTTTATCAGTTGAAAACTTTTTGATATCTCCACTAGCAGCTCAGATACATTGTCGTGAATAGACGATATTCAGGAGCTCGCTCGATTCCTCATCCATCTTCGCTCTACCGTACTTTTGCCCTCAGTTTGTCTCTCGTCACAGCTTAATATCCAATTTCTTTCAGGGCCTGCCCTTTTGGGGCCGCTCGTGCTCGCCGCCTTGCACCGGACACCCCCTCTGGATCCAGCCCTCGCCGTTGTTTTCGTTGCAATTCTTTGGTCTTGCATCCATTTATTTTCCGCTCCTCCTCCTCCTCCTCCTCCTCCTCTTCGTTTCCACACTTCTTCTAACGGTTCTGCCGCCGGAGAATGAGGTACGTTCGTCGCGTGATGACATCATTCCGAAATTCGAACCTGCGTGTAGAATAAAACTAGATGTGTCTACGTAACCCCACCAAAAACCCAACAAAGAGTACTTTCTTTCAAAATCTAGGCCCCAATGTTTACTGTCTACGTAGACGGAGACAAAAATTGCGGTATTGACACGCGAGTTGATCTCTAACCTTACAGCCAGATTACTGTATCACACAATTGCAGCGAGATAGTCGCCACTTTACCACAAGGAACACAAGTCGTACTCGAAGCTCAGCTACTCACTTCCGATGTCGATCACACCATCGAAGAGGTTCGGCAGGAGGTCCAACTGCAGCAGAATGGAGGCCTGTCCTGCGGGGTAAGTTGTATTCCCTCCGTTTTCGCTCTTTCCAAAAATAACTCATTTCTAATCCTGTACTTTGGAAGACTGAGAAAAACGTCGGCTTTCGAATGAACTTTTCAATTTTCGAAAAATGTTATTACCACCTTTTGGCCTCATGTTTTTGTGTTTTTGCTGAAACTGTAGCAGTCGATGTTTTTCATTTCATTTGATTCCATTTCAAGCAAAAGCGACGGGTCAACATGTCAACAATTTTCAGGGTGCATCGCGTTCATCGAATCGAACACTTTTCTGCCGCAAATGCGAAGGACACGGCCAGCAGGTAGTGCTGAAGGGGCACGCGAGCCGCTGCCCCTACAACAATTGCGCGTGCAAGACGTGCACGAATGTGATGTCGATGCGCGCGAACGCCATCATCCGCAGATATCGGACGAGGACGCTCGAGGGCGGACTCGTCCTCAAGCCGGTCCACTTCAAGAACGGAAACACCCGGCTCCGCGTGTTCCCCAAACATTTGGATGGTTAGTTTTACACTTCGAACCTCGTCATTTCAAATTATTCAGTTGTTTCAGAGAAAGACGCCGTCACCATCAACTTTCCGCACAAAAACGGAAACGGCGTTCCGCAAATGGACATGGCAATGGACATCGGAGTGTACCACCAGCAGACGTCGCCGCCAGCCACGGCGATCCCGGATTCCGGCAACGCTCAGCCGCCGTTCCAGGTGAAACGCAGTCAATCCGATCAGGAGCTGGACAGAAAGACGTGCACTCCACTCGTCGAACGCATCCAACCGCAGCAGTTGCTTCTGGATCATTCGCCGCCACCGGTGCCAGTGACCAATGCACAGGTGCCTCTGAACATGTTCCCCGATTTCCAACTCCTCACTCCGGAAACGATCACCGCCATCAAGAACTTGTACACAATCCAGCAACAGCAGACGGACTTCGTGGCCACGACTGCCGCCAACTCGAGCGTCTTCGACAGCGTCTTCGCCGCTCTTTCAATGTCCAACGGAATGGCGTACACGACGGCCAGTGACTGCGGCGGCCAGATGATGATGGCCCCGCCGATCACCACCACCGCCAACATCAACTTCCAAATTCCGACGGCGGAGGACGTCGAACGCAAACTTTCGTCCGGCGAGTCGTTCATCAACCCGGCCGTCTCGCAGTTGAGCGATCTCAACATCGCCGTCACCACTAACAGTCCGATTTGTGCGTCGGATCTGGCGCCGAAGCTCACGCCGCACATGTTTGATAGTGAGTTGATTTTTAATGAATTCGAGTTAGAAATAGAAAGCGCGTTATCAGTTGAGTTGGCAGTGAATTGATCTATTTATGGAATGTGAATCTATCACTGAGGGATCAGTGAGCATTGAGCACTCAATTGCAAGCATTAGAACACAATGATTTTTGATAAATATCATAGAGATAGAGGCTGAGCACTTTTTTGCTACCGTAAATCCTCCGGTGTATCTCAACTGTTTGTAGAGATATCAAAAAGTGGTCAACTGATAAAATGTACACAATTTCTTGATAAGCAGTTTAGTAGTTGACAACCTTTCCATATCTCTACAGGCAGCTGAGATATATTGTTCTGTATAAATGGATACCGTTCTATCACAGCTTTTAAGTATTGTCCATGATTTCAGCCGCCTGCTCGCTGACCGCCAGCGGAGATCAATCACCGCCGGAGATCAAAATGAAAGAGATGATGCACGAGGCGATCGGCCTGCACAACCTGCTCATCTCGGCAGAAGCGCCGTCCTCCACCCACCCCAACTTCAAAATGTTCCTCGAATGCGTGTGCAATCTGGAGAGAGTCATGCTGTCCCAATAGTCGGGACGCCCCAAAACGCACCTTACCCAACTTTTGTCATATGTTACCCTTGATTCTGTAGAGCCCTTAGTAGTCAGTCCCTTCTTTTGATTCGTCCGCCCCCTCTCTCTCTCAGTTCACACAAACGCCTCTCGGGAACCACTGTTTTCTAATTTATTGAACCCCAAAAAGATGATTCTTGATGTTCGAAACCCGAGCCAACGGTTACGATTCACAAAACAAACTCAGCAGGTAGCCGCTCTCCCAAACCGAAACGTTTGGACAGTTAGGATTTTCCCTCTCTTTCTCATTCTTTCTCATTCTTTCTCTCTAGAAATGGTCCGCTTTACCTTCTGCTCTTTTCAATCCCTCATACAACACACACACACACGCACACACACATACCAGCTCTTTTTGTTTTGTTTTCCTGACTGATCTCGTCACATTTTTTTCTTTTCTTTTTCCTAACCCTTTTCTAGTTCTCTATCCCTATCCCATTTCTATTCGGAACCTTTCTCCCCCCCCTCCCAAAATATGACCCCATTACACATATTCGAATTGTGATTGTCTGCAGAACAAGCTCGGGTTCTTTCCCCCTCATCAAACTCATGAAATCGTTAAATGTTTTTGTTTGTTGGCCTTGAATTACTGTAACATGGAAAGTACGCAAACATCGTGTACGTCTAGTGGAGCACACAAAGTTTTGCCATCAGAGCGTCTCCTGGCTTCACAACATGCTCAAAGATTCAACTCATACGAATGCACAAGAATTTGTCTGCAAAACACGAAAACGGTAATCATAGTAATAATCTGAAGCGTGATCGTTCTTTGCTCACAAACGCCGTGTCTACCGTACCTTTTCAAACCCTAACCGTTCGCAATCTCAGAATCGGATCAAGATCCGACGGCGAGAGACCGCGTGCGCTTCATGTCGATTCGACAAGAGTCGAACCAGGACAGACGACAATTTCTGCGGAATCAATTTCTAAAATGTTTAGGTTGGAGGGGCAAACGTGGGTTCGGACAAGATTCGTTTTCAGATTAGCGTAGCGAAAAGCATTGTTCGGACTTTGAAGAAATCACAAAAGATGGATGTGTTTTGAATGGATGCGATTTTATGCACGTTATTTGGGAAAAGGGGTGAAAAGACACAACTTGTAGACTTTCACGGAATCAAGTGCCACTTTTAGCACCTATATCCAAGTCCATTGGGCTCCTGCAGTTCTGTAAAATGTTCTGGTAGAACTGCATTTCATAGTTCACAACTTTTTTGTACGACACGACACCTCAGAAGAAGTGACAGCACTTCTTAGAGTTACAGTAGTCCGGAAATTAAAAGATGTCAACTAGTAAAACAAAGCATTTGGATAGTAGTGTTTACATAAACTCTTTCCAGAAGCACCCAACAGATCAAACTACGTTCACTTTCTTCCTCATCTTTTGCTTTTCGTCCATCAGACACCATCCGTTTAGATTTCCGAATCCAGAACACAACATTCCGGACTGTGTTCTTTGTCCCATCCACCGTACTTTTCTTATCTAGTCGGAAAGGTCCATGTGTTTTGGAATCTTTTCTCGCAACACTTGACCATTTGCAGTGAAGACGTCGGGCCGAAGATGGCGAGGATAGACGACAAGAGTCTAGTGACGGACAATGCAAAGATCCGATGGAAAGATCGGCTCGGAGGAAGGCGACTTGTTTGATCTTTGCCTTTTCAGCCTGATTATGAAGATTCCATTGGGATGTTCTTCTCTTACAACAGCGGTCAAGAAGGTCAACTTTGAGTGTTCATAGTAGAGCTACCTTGTTTTTCTAGCTGACTACTTTTTTGTACCACCTTACTCAAGACTGCAAACCTCTCTACTTTGGTCATCCAAACACCAAAACTTAAACTCTGACCAATTCTCTTTCTCTCTCTCTCTCTCTCTCTGTTTCTCCCATTCGGTACCAGTCTGCGGACGTATAATGCGAATGGAATCCGAATGAAAATGGAAAATACATGCGAGTGCGCGCGTCCCCATCCGAAAGTGAGGGATTATCGACTTTTAGTGCCGGTTTTCATGCCAAACACTCTTTTCCAGCAGCCAATTTATTATGTGTGTACGTACGTATATACGTGCATTTAAAAGTGGACAAACAGCGGAAATCGGGGGTTGTCTTCATCGGGTCTTGAATCCGCCGGTGCAGTTGACTCGAAAGTCCGCGCGGCTTTTGAGCACGTCTCCGTCGTTTTCGGTGTCTCGAAACTCGCAGGGATAAATGTCCATCGGGCGCCAGGAAAGGATTTCACGTCGATTTCGTCGCAGAAAAGAGAGCGTGTCTTGTAGACGTACTTGACGTAGAAGAGCACGGAAGAGGCGATGAGCTCACGTAATGGGACACGTGTGCTGGAAGTCTTTACTGTTCTCCTTGTCGAACAATCTACAGAAAGAGGATCTGGGCAGGAAAACAGAGAAGTAAAGTCGAAAAGCGGTCAGTTTATTTTTGCAGAAACCCAAGCTTCTGGGCTTCTGTTTTAGCGGCACGCGAATAGAGTACCGTCTATTCAGGTTTTCAAATCTTCTTTGTACTACTCAAAGTCTGTCCCATTCTGTGAGGTTCTTGAAGAAACAGAGTTCACTATCCCTAACCGATAAGTGCGATCAAGAAAATAAGGCCTAGAATGCATTATAGGGGCACCTCACAGAAATGGCGCACTGTTGAGAAACTCTTTTTGCAGTGCAAATTGAGCGACCTCGGGGCCGAGTTTGAAACGTTAGGCCACGTTTTCAGTGGAAAATTACTTCGCGGCCTAGAAATTCGGCCAGATTGCGAACAGCGCGCCCTTTCTGTCCGGTGCCCCTATAATAGTAAGAAGTGAATTTTCTCATTCTCACACGTTCCTCGCAATTCTCAACCGTGAGACCAATGAAACTGGGCCAAACTTTTCAGTAAGGAAGCAATTCAGATTTTATCTCACACTGAGACTATTTTTCGAATTTGAAAGGAACAAAAAAGGGAAACAGACAGAGAGAGAGAGAGTGACACACCAGAATGTAGAGCGAAAAGGCGGAAAATAAGAGAAGACACATATTTTAGGGGGGAAGTTTTGAAGCAATATTTTAACAAATTTTCGCGGCTATAGAAAAAAGTGAAGGGCTTTCGAACATTCAAACAGAAAGGTGCCAAGAAGGAAGATAGAGAGAGAGAGAGCAGGAGGTTTTGAGAGAGGGGATGAGACATAAAAGAGGTGGAGCAATGAAAATAAGTTAAGCAAAAATAGCGAAAAGCGATTGGCACGGAAAAAGAGTTTTGTGTGTACTGTTGGCTACAAAGATTTGATTTTGGTATGCTGGACAGTCAATAAATAGTGAATAAAACAGAAAGAAAGCTATTATGCGTGTTTTTGAAGAACTGAACAAGAAAAAGAATGAAACATATATGAAGAAGAGGGCACCAGATATGAAGGCGTTATGTCTGAGGAAAGGGGGGGGGGGTCAGCACCAGATGTACATCGTTTTCGGAGTTTCGAAATGAGTTGGGGAGGGAGAGAGAGAGAGATGCGTTAGTCGTTATTTACAGATCTGTTCAGCGAGTCCTGTAAAGATAAATACTATCGTAGGTTGGACCATTTTGAGTTACCTTATCCGAGGAGGTATGCGAATGGTTCGAATGCAAATCGATGAAATTCTGCTGCAATTCCATGACGGGCGCCGGTCCCATGTGCACTATGTGCATGAAGTCCGACGGAGTCGAGATTTGGATGTGACTCCGACGCTCCGAAGCACTTCTGAAAACATGCTACCATTTGGGCTCCAAAGTGTTCCGATTCGACGACGCTTACCTGTCGTCCTTTCCGTGCGTGCGGAATGTGAACTTCCGGCGCGTCACTTTGCGGCCGTCGGTGCTTCCGGATGCGAGGTTCAGGGGCACGTCGATGGCGTCATCGGCGTGGAGCACGTTTTGGAGAAGCACGACGATCGGAGAGTCGTTGCAGAAGCACATCGAGAGGGTTCCATCGCGGGTGAGCGGTTTGGCCGATCTTAAAATTTTCTGTTGAGAATTGCGCTCTATTGACAACAATAAATGGTGGTTTCGAACGACTGGCTATAACTTTTCTGGCCGATAAGATAAGATCGTTCTCGGGAAGCGACATGATAATAGGTGATCATCTCCTTCTCCGTTTTGCGCGCGAACTAGGCCAACAACCCAGTTTTCTCGCACTCCCGGATCGCCGCTTTCCCGCCGTTTCGCTCCAAAATCCTAGCTTCTCTGTGTGTACTAATCTGATTCCAACTGTCACAAATGCTAAAGGTCATCTTGGCCGTGCTCTGTTTGGCAGCCACAGTTGAGGCGGGCAATGTGGTCGTTTGCAAGGACATCACGGATTGCAAAACGTGCGCCGAGAGCTATATTCATATTCTCGGATTCAAGGAGGACTGCCGATGGTGTTTGGAGAACAACACGTGCGGAGGACCCATCTCGTGTCCGATCGGAAAGCCCGTGATTCAGAAAGATCCGTTCAAGTGTCCCACGCCGGTAAGAATTTTGAATTATTTTGAATATCCACATGATCTCTTTTTAGTACAAGCCAACGGCCGGAAAGCGCTACACCGACGCTCTCGGTCGTTCCCTTTTCGCCGTTTCCGTGGCCGTGCGTGACAGTAACGTAACGGAATGCCTCAGAAATGTCCGTCCCGACATCACTTTCGTCCGTCCCTACGAGGTCGAATGCGATGGATCCGGAAACCTCTGCAAGGGAATCATCGCGAAGAGCGAGGAGGCGAAAGCTCTCTATGTGGCCTACAAAGGAAGCACGTTCGGAAAGCAAGTGTTTGCCGAGATGTTGCACGGACTGACTGCTCAGCTGGGAGCGTGGGAGAAATTTGAATCGCAGGACGCCGGAGTCATCAACTACTTCCACACGGCCTTCTATCGTCTGTTCATTGACAGTGGGATGAAGGAGGATCTCATCGATTTGATCAAGAAGCACAAGAACTATCGTGTCTGGGTGAGTCTCTATTGAGGTACCAAAATCAGAACAACTTATTTCAGCTGACCGGCCACTCTCTCGGAGGATCTCTCGCCTCGATGACCGCTCTCCACCTCGTCAAAAGCAAAACAATCGACCGTAACCGTGTCCGTCTCATCACTTTCGGCGAGCCGCGCACCGGAAACATCGCCTTTGCCAAGGAGATCGAAGAGAACCTTCCGTTCCGTTACCGAGTCATCAAGCGGGCCGACCCTGTTCCGAACATGCCAGCTCCCTTGAACCCGGCAGTTCTGACGGCCGCGCAGTACAACCGTCAGCCAATGCACTGGCGCTATTTGGTACACTACGATAACAATATGGCGAAGGGAGATGGATTCGAGGTGTGTGAAGTGGCAGATGACCTCGGCTGCCGGAATCCTGCGGTCTCCAATATTGCCGATCATACCAGCTATTTCCAAGTGGATCAGGACGATTTCGTTCGCAATCACTGCCCGCGCGGTGAACTCATCTGACTCGTCGCTTCTCTCTACTCGTCCTCTAATAATTCCCCCTTCTAATAAAAACAAGACCTACCTCAGATTGATGGTCTGAACCCATTCGGCCAGGCTGACGTTGAACACATCAACCTCGTTTTCGGAGAACACGCACAGATAGGGTTCGCGGTAGGAGAAGAACTTCGCCTGCGTCGGGAACATCACTTCCGGAGACCGGGACCGACGGCCCATTTCGTTGACGTAAAGGCCGATCATGTTGAAGACGAGCAGGTATTCATCTGGAGATCCGGGCACGTTCACGATCAGTTTCGCCTCGTAAGACGTCTGTTGATTCAGGAATTGAAGCGAGGTGTCTTCCATGTTCACCAGGGCTGAAGGTATCAATATAGCAGGGTTAGAAATGACCGGAGATCTTACAAATGTGCTGCAATACGGTTCCGTTGTTGTCTCCGCCGCCGATCGGGGAAGCGTCGGCTCCGGCGAGGTTCCACGATCGGAAACTGTGCGAGAATCCGACATAGAGGCGTCCGTTGTGAATGGCTATCGATTGAGGGGTTCCGGGCATGGCGAGGTCCTGAAATTGACATATTTGTACACAATTTCAGCTTATAGCGTTGAAAAATCCTAGCTCACCTTCCATTTCCGATGCCTTTTCTCGGTCCGATCTATCTGAAACACTGTGACGCTCTTCTTGAACGCCACGGCGAAGAAGCCGGCTCTTCCGCCCGGGCTGTTCGTTCCGACGGCCATCAGATGGCATCCTTTCGTGTCGTTCACTTTGATCCACTTCAGATCCCTTCCGTCCAATGCGGCACTCGGCACCAACCGGACGTGTCGGTCTTTCGCCGGGCCGACCATGATCATCAAAAGTTGCTCGGCCTCATCGTATTCGACAGATTCCACGCATCGCTGCTTGTTCTCCTTCTCTCCGCCAACTGGAATCAGAACTTGTCGGTTGATTTCGACGCAGTAGAGTCCGTGATCCGCGAGCCCGATCACAATTTTGGACCGATCGATGATCGCACAGCACTGAGCCATTCGGATGGATTGGAGGGTGACGATGTCGAACACTTCCTTCACGAGGAACGCCTTCCGATCCGCGAGCTTTGATCTTCTGAGCAATGTCTTGAGTTCGCTGAGGGCCACCACCCATTTCTTCCTCTCGTCCTCCGTTTCGGCCATGAACAGGGTGTAGAACTTGGACGAGGAGGAGTATTCGGATGACGAGTTTAAAATTTGGGTGGTAGTTACTCGGAATATCTTCTGAATATCGCTCTTCTGCGCGTGTATCACATCGGCCTCGCCAACTCCGCACACGGTAAAGTCGGGATCGCGCATGTCCAGCACCAGTCGGATCTCATTCTTCACATCCTGCATCTTGTTCTGCTTGTCGACCACACAGTCGTAGAGGTAGAGTTTGAAGTCACAGACGACCACATAGGCGGTCTGCCATCCTTTGCGCACGCCTCCGGGTCTCGGCGTCTTGACGAGGCCTTCGTAGGCGGTTCCGACTCCCCGAGTCGGGTCGATTCCGAGCGGCCGTCGATCTTCTTCGGGCACTGGGCAGGATTGTGAAACACGTTCGGCGCACGACACGTGACACGCGTAATGACAGCTCTGACAGAAGAGGCCTTGCCGGTCCAGTCCGATCAGAATCGAAGTGCAATGGCCGCACTTGGTAGGCGTTTTTATCCGGGTCCGCTCGAAGTTGTGCCCCCGTTCCGCCGCTGACACCGGCGAGAATATCGCGCTGGCGGTCTTGACCGGCTTCTGCTTGTACCTTAAGTCGTCCACTCTTTTCGGCGCCTGATGATCGTGCAATAGGATTGCGTTTTCATAGGAAGGCGTCGATTGTCGTGAGAGCATCTCCTGCCGCATCAGCGACGAATTGCTCATTTCGTAGTCGTTGTTCATGTTGATCATCAGGTCGCGGCCGATTGTCGAGGAGAATGCGCTGTCCGAGGAGATGTCGCTGTTCTTCTGCTGTTTAAGAATCGTCACTTCTCTCACCAGCGACGCCATCCTCTTCTCCGTGTCGTCTAGTCGAGCAGCAGCCGTAAGGTACTGCTCTTGGGAGTTTTTTAGCTCCGACTTCAACTTGAGCTTCGCGTCAATCTCGGCCTGAAGCTGCCGTTGCAGATCTAGTCCGTCTTTCCTCGCCACATTATTCATCCGTCTCGATCCCCAGCCTGACGGCGTGTTCTGAATATAATTGGACGTTGTCAGCGGCGAGTTGTTCTTCAGAGATTCCACTTCTCCGGTGATCTTTCTCGTCAGATTCTCCATCTCTTCCCTCGTCGCCTTCTCCTCGTTGACCCAGTTGAAGAGCTCCAAGAGCTGTTGCTCCGTGAGCGTTCCACGTGGCACCGCCGCCATTTGTTGGGAGAGTTTTTCGATTTCATCACGAAGTGTCTGATTCTCGACGTTCAACTGCTCCACGTTGTCCTGCAACATCTTCTGCGCGCGTTCGTAGTGCGCCTCCAACTGCTTCATCTCTTGCTCCGATTGGGCCGTGTGCGACGCGCGTTCCTCCTCGATCCGCTGCTTCAGCTTTCGAACCTCCGCTTCTTTATCCTCGTTGGCCGTTTGCAACGTCGCAATGATCTTCTTGGCGGACTGAATCTCCTCGGAAAGCGGGTCCACTTCCACGGATTTTCGTGCTTCCGCCGTGACTTCTTCTTGTTCTGGAAGCGACATGATAGTGATTGAATAGAAGAGATAATGGTTTGACAAATGTTTTGGTGGAAACGACGGGAGCCTGTCTATGACTCATTGGAATTTGGGTCTCGGAACGAAAGATGATGAAAGTGTCACAAGATTTTTCAGATTTCAATCAATCGTGTTTTGAAACACTTTACTAAATATCAACATTTCAAAAACTCACTTTTCATAAGAACAGTCTTCTCGGCCTCCACCGTTTTCAGCTTCTCCTCCGTCTCGGCCAGCACCTTCCTCTGCCGCTCCGTCTCCTCTTCTAGCCGCTTCACCGCCTCCTTCTCTGTCGTCAGAGCGTCCGTCACATCCTTCAGTTCCGTTTGCACATCCTCTCTTTGCTGTGTCGCTGTCGCCTTCTCAACGAGCACCTGATCAAGATGATCGTTGAGTGTGTCGAGTTCTCTCTGCATTTCGCTCTTCTCCATCACCAACTGCTTGTTCCGCTCTTTCAGCTCCTTCACTTTCTTCTCACTCTCCACCACCATCTCGTCCTTCGGCTTCTGCTGCTGCTGTTGCACTTGCGTTTCATCCTCTAACCGTTTGTTCAGAATCTGTATTTCGTCTTTCAGCTGCGCTATCGTCGCCTCGTAATTCCTGTCCTCTTCCGTCCGCGGATTCTCCGTCACGTGTTGAGCGATCAGAAACTGAGCTTCTTGCAGCTTCCGCACCAGTTCGGCTTTCTCGTTCTCCAGATCCGCCATGAATCCGTCGACGCTCTTCTCCATCAGTTCGGCGTCTCCCTGACACCTTTGCGCGATCGCCCGTATCTCGTCGGTAAGTGATCGAGCATCGGAGAGCAGGCTTCCGTGCGTGTACGAGAAGCCGACGAAAGGGAGGTGGTTACCGGTGAAGGCGGCCAGGACTCGTGGAGGCTGCGTTTCCTGAAACTTTTCAAAATTCCTATGCAAGTTTGACCGAGCTTGACACTTACACACGGAGTAAAATCGTCCTCACAAACATCCACGTCGAAGTTGGACGTGTCCTCGGGGCTCGACACTTCTGGTTTGTACGGCGGGCTCGAGTCTCGGATCGTGTTCCAGTCTATTCCTTCGAAGAACGGGTGAGATTTGAAGTCGGCGAGCCCGTTTCGCCCGAATCGGACATCGCTGGAGCAGATGAGCTGTCGTATGAGATCTTTCGCCTCCTCCGACACCACCCAGTCAATTTCGTCGTCGGGAAAGTCAAGCATGTCTTGATGGCTCATGATCTTCCCGTAAGTGTCGACGAGCCGCTCCGAATAGAAGGGTGTGGTTCCGTAAAGCATTTCGTACCTAGAAAATATTATTTTTGAATCATTTTTTGCCCACAAACACTCACATGCAAATGCCAAGCGACCACCAATCGCACTCTTTTCCGTACCGCCCGCGGCCGTCTTCCATCGCCCTCAAAATCTCCGGTGATATGTAATCGGGCGTTCCCACCGCCACATTCGACGCCACCGATCCGTCGGGAAGAATCCGGAGACAACTTCCAAAGTCGGCGAGCCGAATGTGGCCCTGCATGTCTAGCAGCACGTTGTCCGGCTTCACGTCCCGATGCACGTAGCCGAGGCGGTGGAGGGAGTCGATGGCGAGCACCATCTCGGCGATGTAGAACTTGGCCATCGATTCGGGGATGTGGTCGACGAATTTGGAGAGAAGCGTGAGCATGTCTCCGCCGATGTAGTAGTCCATCACAAAGTACTGAAAGAATGGGAAAATGTGAGACATGACCTTTTGTATTCGATTGAATTCTCAGTTTTTCGCAGGAAACCAGGACTGGACAAATTTCAGTCCAGGCTTTTCAAAAGCTCTTTGATTTGCAATAATCTGATCGGACCCAACCTTTGCAGGCTTTTTGGACTTAAATTAAAGTATATTGGGTCAAGTATCGGACCGATCCGATTATGTGGTCCCGAGATATACTGTTTTGGGGCGGAAGACGCCGAGTTTTTGCAAAAATTGCGGCCTTTTCGGTCTCTGGTCTGCACATCTCGGGACTAGAAATCCATTTGGTCTGAAACGTGGACCCAACATACTTCAATCGTAGTCTAAGAAGCCTGGAAAATTTGGGTCCGATCAGATCATTTAATGACTTTTGACCCTCTTGTAATGATCATCATTACAAGTGGATCAAAAGTCTAGGCCTCGGCTGGGCTGCAAAAAGTCTGGGCCGGCCTTTTGCACAGCCCTGCAGGAAACTGTTGTTGATTGTCTATCACTTTGAGGTTTCAATTCGCCGAAAATTCTCAATTAAAAGCGCATAATCTATTATGATTTTGAAGTATTTCTAGGAAGTTTCTTTCAGACTTTTTTTGAAATCAGACTTCAAGGATTATCGACAAAGACACTTCAACTTTGATCTCAAAACGCACCAAATTCTTCTCGTCTTGAAATGCGTAGTGCAAATTGGTGATCCACCGACGATCGCCGTAAACGAGCACGTCGCGCTCTTCGCGAAAGCACGCCGTCTCCGCCCGTTTCACCATTTCCCACTTGTTCAGTATTTTCATCGCGTAAATTTCGCCGACGCCACGCATTCGGACGACTGCTACCTCGCCGAACGCGCCCTTTCCGATCACTTTGAGCACTTCAAAGTCGTCGCGGCACAAGCGAAGCTTTTTCGCCTTTCCTATCACTGTTTTTACTGAAACAATGGTTTTTCAATGATCTTCGAGTTCAACGCACCTGATTCTACAAATTCTGCAATGCACTTTTCCTTTCGCAACGTACTATTACAGCATTCATCATACAGACAGATAAGGGAATCTGGAAGAAAAGATACATTTTTACAATTAATTAAAAATCGATAAAAACTAGAGCTACTGACCGATTAAAGTTTCAAAAGAGAGTGCTTCTGGCTGCTTACTCGGACCGTCCATATAAATGCCCTCGAGGTTTTTGAGGCGAACCGGCGCCGAGTCGTCCGGCGGCCCTTCTGCCATTTTGTTGTGAACTGCAAACTTTTCAGATGTTTTAAAGCAAAACTTGAAGAAAGGAAGCGAGAACGTTTTGATAGGTGCTAACGCGATTATGAAAACATCGGAGGTTGACTACTCTGATAACACTTTTTTGTTTGCTTTTCAAACTTCATGATAGCAAAGCAAAAGTGGGTCGGAAAGATGAAAAGTGCATTGTGCAGACTACACGAACGAGGTCGACAAAAGCCGCGAGAAAAAAAAGAGATCCGACGGGGGGCAAGTTGTGGGAAAATTACACCGGCTTCTCCTGTGTGTGTGTGTGTGTGTCCCTCGGACGGGGCCGATCGTTGATTTGATTAGCTTGCGCACTCTGTGGCGAACGTAGAGTGCGCAAACAGATCGGTATGGCGCATTCGTGGTGCGTCGTCGGGTAGGATGTGTGTATGCGTGTGTGTGTGGTGTGGAGGGAAAGGAAGAGGACGGGCAGGACACGGCAGATGTCACTCTCACTGGACGAGTGACCCCCCATGACTCGGGTTTTATTGCAATGGGAACTTTTTGTGGGGAGAAGGAGCGAGTTTAAATAGCTTGTGTCGAAATGTGTGAAAAACTGCAAAGTGAGTGAATGCGCCAGTGTTTTTACAACTAGAACTTTTTTGGAACTTTTTCAAAGCATTCTTCCTTCAAAATAATGACATAGTTAAGATTCGATTATTTTTCCGTGTTTAGAACCTAATTCGAATAAATATTGTGCTGAATAGCTTTAAATTAAAATTTCGTAAAATGATCCCGAATATTTCGCTAAATAAACGACGACGAAACTTCGTTTAAAATTAATTTGTGGCAGATTTCTCCGGAAGAGAGGGCGGAACATCTGTCACGGGTCTCGTCACGAAATGAAAAGCTACGCTTTAAATGGAGCAGCTGGAAAATAACAAAATCATCAAAACTTGCTTAGTTTTTCTGGTTTTGAAACAGCTTTTTTCAAGAAACACGAAACAAAATTCTACCCTACTTTAAAGGCGCAGCTTATGTTTACCAAGTTTTGAAATTGAAATGCGCCTTTAAACTACGGTATCTGAGTTTGAAGATTCTGTTTTTGACTGAAATTCTGAGGAAATTCACAACTTTCGTAAAAAATCTTATAGAAAATTGAACAACCCGCTAAAAATTGTCGAAAAGCTGAAAAAGTAAAGCTACCTAAATTCGGGATGAGAAGAGCGAAACGGAAGGAGTTCGCAGATACTACTAAAGTATTTATGTTTACACAAATCGGAACCAATATACATTTCGACGTCGTTGTCGTCTCGCTTCGGGAGAAAAGGGTGCGGGTGGGAGGAGGGCAGAAGAGGAAGCGAATAGAGTTTGAAATCGAATCTGTTGTGTGAAACCGGACGGGATTCTTGTCAAAATTTTGGAATTTAAATTCTCAAGAAAAATAGAGAGATAGATAGACCGAAAACGTTTCAAAGTTAAGTTGCGAAATCCGTTTGTGTTGGCCAAGACTGACTAACCCGAAGAAAAATGTTTGGGGGGAGGCGAAAGCTTGTGCGACAAAAGAGATAACAAGCCGAAATCATATTCAGGAAGTCTCCTCCTGACTGCTGGAGGAGCTCCCTAATGTCAATAATCACTAAGCAAACTATAGTACTTACATAAGTGCGCAAATGTGCATCTCTGCTTCTGCTTCCCGTCGGGAGCAGTTGCTCTTTTCTCTCTCTCTTTCTTTCCGCCTCTCTTACCCTCGGTCTGTTCTTCGCTGGCGGAGCACACGCGGCAAAGAAGAACTGGCCGGACGAGAAGGAGGAGGAAGCGGTGAAGTGGTTTGCCGGACGGACACGGCACGGATAAAGTTGTCGGAAAGGAGAGAAAGAAGCACGGGAAATGATAAATATTGCGTGGACAGATGTTCTCTCTTTGAAAAAGAAAACGTGAGAGAGACAGAGAGGGTCTAAGCGGATTGGGTAACACGATTTGAATTTGCATTTTGAATTCTGTTCTTCTATTCAGCGTATATTTTTGGGTCTGAATCACGATGGTCGGGGTATTGGGGAGTTTCAGCGCTCTATTGCTTAAGCTGGGTCGCCTTTTTCATTTTTCTGAGTTAGATAGAGCAGGAGAAGCTTATAATGATGATTCACCCAGATTTCGTAAACTACCCCCTCCTCTTGTTGATTGCAGGACATGAGTACGTGGTGCCCGAGGGAGGGGCCGACCGCTTTTCGGGCTACTTACTTTTTGTCACATCGAAACTCTGTTCACAAACAGGCTCGGACCTCCAACAACTCGATGTGAATAGTTATGCATATCTGAAGCTTCATGAAGAGTTGATACAACATCCGATGAGAAGTTTCCCGGAGAAAACTTGATTAATTTGAACATGAGCGAAATTACAACCTGAACAGAAACGCTCTCACGCTTTTACGGTGATTTTTGGGCAACAAAACAGGAAAAGAATGGTAATTGTTGAACTACCGAGCAGGCAAGCTCACTTCTCTGCAAACGGCTTCAGCAGAGCGATCCTTCTATCGAATATGTTGATTTTTTGTCTGAAATCCATTGTTACTCTGTTGTCCACTCTTCTTCAGTACACACAGACTTCGTGGACAAAAGTATTTAGCAAGATGAGGGTACATTTCAAATGCCTTCACGCTTTTACGGTGATTTTTGGCAAACAAAATAACCGAACAACATTGTACCTTAAGGTCCAGCAGGACGAATAATCCGGACCACCTGGAACATATTTTACGATCGATCCGTCCAACTTCCCCACATCCGCGTGCTGATCGATTGATTGGGGTCTGAAAAGTTGAAAGAGAACTGAATCTGAATCAGACGAACTGATGAATAATGCTGGAGGTTAGGGAGTTTACATACGGAGGTGGGACCAGGGACAATCAATCAGCCTCATAATAGTCATGTGTGACCTACCGATTAGACTTCATATCTTTGTTTCTGTGGAAACGATCCGACTGCCCAACAATTAATGTGTTGTTTCCTTCGCAAGTTCTCTGAAATTGCACATCTCTTTTGGATTTATGTAATAGAACGTAACTTGAAACCACTCAAGATGGTCTAGTTGAACTACGTACCTGACTTCGTTGTTGCCGAGTCTCCAATCTTCTCGTCGCTGCGCCGACCATCCATTCCAATCGATACACAGCGACATATCCTTGAGCGATACCTGAAAATGAGCAAGTTTGCGCCCTGAAATTCATTCTCAACACACCGTATCCTTTCTTGGTCCCTTCCGAGAGATGCAGAGAGAGAGAGAGAGACACACACACATTTGGGGTAGGTCAAAACGACGACGGTGTGTCGTACCAATCGAATGAGCGAGTGACGATGCGACAGGGATCATTGATTAACAACATTTTATCAAAAAGTTTCATAAATAAATGATCAAACAGAGGGACAGACTCCATTAGACTTTGAATAATAAGAATAAATAATTAGAATGAAACGTGTCCTTAAACTCAAAGATAATCAGCGAATTCCTAAATCTCGATAGTTTCCGTTAATTTCGAAAACTCGCGGCTTCCAAATGTCGAAGCGCCATCATGCGGCCAAGTCGGCGGTGCTCTCGTACAATGTGCACTGCAAAGAATGCGGCGAGACATTCACTCGTCAAGATGCTCAAACGGTAGGTAGCTAATCGAGCGTAATCACAGAATGGCCAAAAATCTTCCGAATTGAAGGGAAAAGTGATCAAAATTCTGGATGAAATGTACCACTTTAACTGCTTCAAATGCCTCGCTTGTCAGGTCAGGCATCCATCATTCTCATCCGATCTTCATTTTTTTCCAGAAAGTTTTGGGCGTGGCTCCAAGCTACCCAAAAACGCCGGTGGGTCCGTTCCGATGCGCAGATTGCTTTCGTGAGGCAACGTCGCCGAGATGTCACGGATGCAAGAAGGCGACGTTCGAGAAGTGCGTGGCGGCGTTCGACGTCTACTGGCACGAGGGATGCTTCAAGTGCAAAGGATGTAACAAGCCGTTCAAAAGTGAACCAGAGAGCAGTAGGATTCACTCAGGCTTCGTAATCCACTGATTGCAGGGCAGGAGTACGTGGTGCACGAGGGATGCGCCTACGATGAGGACTGCTACTACCGTTACGTCGAGGGCGTCGTCACTCCGCAGCGAGGTGAGATCCGAGAATAGGCCCGAGAAGCGAGTTCACAAAGCGATGTAAATCATTATTCTGTGTCATTGTGCGTTTTCGAGTAAAACCGATTTATTTGTAAACTAGTCGTGCTCATCGAACAGATTCGCATCCATGGGCCATTGCAACATGGCATGTACGAGCATCGCTTCGTCACCGAACTGAAAAGAAGCCTTCAAAAAGGGTCAACAAAACCAACACTTACTTCGAAATCGTACATATCGTTCTGGTGCTCGGCCCTCATGTGTTTGTAGCAGTCCCCGATGTCACTGGCCAGGTACTCACACAGCCAGCACCAGTGAGCTCCACACTTCGCGACGGTGCAGGTGATGTGGTTGCATCCGCCATCCTTGAGGGTTGCCAGACCACATTTGGGACATTTCTTGACTCCCTCCCTTTCCATGTATATTTTGGTCTCCAGGTCGTGCTCCCCGCGTTTTCGTAGGCACCGCGAGCCACCGTGAGCCCGGCCGAAGCACGTGGAGCAGTAGTCGGAGTCGCAAATTCCGCAGTTGAGAGCCGTTTGGGGATGGTAACCAGCGTCGTGGCACAGTCCGAGGCAGTCGGGAGTTGGACAGACTTCGACGTCTCGCCTCGTTTCGGCGAGGTGCTCCTGGGCCTTGGCGAACACGAAGCGCCACTTCTCGACGTCGAGTTCTTTGAGTCGGTTCGAACCTCCCAGAACAATGTACTGAAAATTAAGATCTTTTGAGAATGAATAGGTGGTTCTTGAAAATTACTTACTTTGATCTCGTCCGGGGTGAATGGCTCTCCGCAGGAACCACATGGTATAACAAAGCGGCGGTCACTGATTGCGGCTCGGACCATGTTCCGAGTGCACTCAATGCAAAGCACGTGTCCGCACTCCTTGCGGAAGAAGTCTTCGGTCACTCCGACCTTCAGCAGACAATAACATGTATCCTCCGCTAGCTTTCCCTCCTCTTCCTCCAACTGTCTCTGCTCCGGGGTCTTCTTCTGCTCTGCCGCTCTTTCTTTTTTCGACCAGCTGCGAGTCCGCCTCTGATACAGCTGTTCATCGATCTCCTCCAACGCCTTCGCGACCATCTCGTAGGCCTCAACTGTTCCACGGAACTCGACGGTGCCGCTTTGCCCGGAAGTTTTGCAAAAGGCATTGAGCGACAGGCCGAGATCTCTGTGATTGCAGTCCATGCTTTCGGTGAGGCTGGAGCACGCGAGTGTATGAGGGATCGACGTCCAGATCTCCAACTGATTCTTTCGGGCTTCGAACGTCTCCAGACAACGGAGGACCGCTTGTTTTGAGTCGCCAAAGATTCTGATAAGACCTCCGATTGCATTATTCTCCAGGTGAAACTTGTCGATGTCGACAAGCGCCTTCATCTCAAACTGTTTTGGAAGACTTCTCACGTAGGCCTCACCGACTCCGTAGAGGAGGGAGTTGTGGTTGCGGCAGTTGAGCTTGATTGGCGATAAGATGTTCTGGAGATCTTCGAATGCTTGGTTGACGTTTCTCTCCGACCATCCTTCCACTTTGATGAATCCCATCTCGGCATCAGTCTCCCACTCGTCGACGATCCTCACGCCACACGAAGCGGCCGAATTAAACTTCATTCTGTGACTTTGTTGCTCGGCGTCCAAATTATGACGATGGCGATGATGGGCGTCGAGACGGTCGATCTCCTTTCCGCACGCAAAGCGCATCCTCCGCGAAATTGGCTTCTGGACGGCCAGTCTTGGGATGATCGTCGGCTGAAACAAAATTTAATAGTTGAACATCTTACTGATACAACTGAACTTACAATCAATCCGTCCACTTCAAGAAGGTATTGATCCCTATCCAATCTCTCCATGAGTCCGTTCAGCAGCTGGATTCCGATTTCCGTCGTCTTGAACAGGACGTTGAACAGGATTCCTTCGCGTTCCTCGGAAACCGTGAACAAGAGGACGTCGAGCAACTCTCGATCCACCTCTAGTCCGTACTCCCATCTGATGTCTCCCTGCGCGATGATGCCGAGCGATCTGGCAACGTCGTCGATTTGGCTCAGCACTTTGTACGTCATGTCCTCCTTGTCCGGGAGTTCCTTCATCTCATCGAAGACCGGCATGATATACGACCATCCGATGTAGTTCAGCTTACAAATCTGCTCCACGAACCACTTTTTCTGATCGAATCGATTGTGGTGTGGAGGGAAGTCGGTGATCACGAGCACGTTAACCTCATCTGCATCCTTACAGACTTTCAGTTTGTGGTCCCTGAAAATCTGCTCGAGGACTCCGGTCACTTCGTACTTCAGGGTCAACCGGACTCCTTGGCAGTTCTGATAATTGTAGAAGATCTTCAAATCCGCCGTCCTTGTGATGTTCATCGGATCGAACGAGCTTTCGCAGTAGAAGACGTCAACATGCTCAGCTCTCCTCGCGGCTCTGTTCCGTTCTTCGGGAGAAAAAAACTCGATGCTCCAGAAGCAACGACGACGATCCAATCTGCCGCACTTCTCGACGATGCTCTCCACCTCCGGCGCGTACAAAGGTCTGACCGATCTGACAGAGTCTCCGAAACGCTTCTTGAAGTGGTGCAATGGATCGGTTCGGAAGAAGAAGTCTTCAATCGTGATGAGTGTGGTGGTGAGATCCGACATTTGGATGAGCTCAGGTTCTTGTCCATGGGCGATCTTGATGAGAAAGTCGGCGTGGGGTGGGGCGATGAAGAGAGGTTCCACCTCCGTAATCTTCAGCAGCTCTTTCCCTATCCGTTTTGCATCTTCCGCACTTCCACGTTTCTCGATGAACATGTTCATGACCGGATGCTCATGTCTCATGAGAGCGTAGTAGCGGGCGAATGCTTCGAACGCGTCGAAGTCGAGCCTCTAAAGAAGTAATTGTTACTAATGCTACAGAAAGTGCTCACCTCCGCCATCCAGTCAACGATGTTCGTGGGGCCCATCGGAGTTGGAATTGAGTGGCCAACCCATATTGGTCCGATTGCTTTCTTCGAGGTCTTGATCCATTTGATCATCTGGTTCTTTTGCGCGAGGAACTTCTTCACATTCCCAATTTCGATAGGACCGCGATGATCTTGGAACTTGGCCCCACAAACCTTGCGGGTGCGCCACTTCTCCGCAGGCTCCTCGTCCTCCTGAAAACTGTTTTATTTTTGTAATTTTCTTCATATTTCTTCTGACTAACCTCCAACGAGCTCGGACGCAAATTGGCAAGCGCCGAGCTCAGCGGAAATGCGACTCGGATGGAAGTGCTGAACAGGGAGATTGCTGAAAAGTAAGTCACAGTCAGAGCTATTATTTTACGGGTGAACTCACGAGGATTCTCGCCTCTTCTTTCTCGGTACCGTTCGTATCCATTATTATGCAACATTTCAACTTACTACGCTAAATATATATTAGTAGATAAATAAACTGTTCGGTGATTTTCGGATTAGTAGGTATTTTTCACTTTCATGAATATATGAAATTTCAAAAAGCGTACACGCTGACGACAAATTGCGGACATGAGAAAATGCGTACTCGTTTTGAAACCACAGAATATTGCTTCGTCTTCTTCAGTTAAACTTATATTTATTGGTCAAACCATATGTGCCATTACATTCAAAGTCAAATGGAACAATTCAAGATTGTTTAGATTTTTCCTGAAACAGAAAGAAACAGAATATAATAAAATTGATGTGTGCAGGCTTGATAAACAGTACAAACGGATGATTTTGAGAGGGAAGAGAAAAAGAAAAAATAAGGGGGTTATTATAGGGGCACCGGACAGAAAGGGCGCGCTATTGAGAAGAGCCCGCGAAAACCTGGGGGACTCTAAATTTGAATGGTGTGAAAAGGGAAAGTTAGTCCGCGGCCACGTAGGCTGCTGCAGAAATTTTTGTTTTCCTTCTGTTTTCCGTTTTCTTTTTAATGAATCGATTGTGTTCTCACCTTAGAATTTCTATAAAAAGCTATCGCAGTCGAAAAATGGTGCACGTCGTCAATGTTTTCTCTTATTTTCCGCAAACTGTTGATTGAATCTGTTTAGAAACGCATAATTCGAACATGAAAAAAAAATTAATTAAATTCACTACGAAAAAGGTGAGAACACAATCGATTTATTAAAAAGAAAACGAAAAAACAGAAGGAAAACAAAAATTTCTGCAGCAGCCTACGTGGCCGCGGACTAACTTTCTCCTCTCACACCATTCAAATTTAGAGTCCCCCAGGTTTTCGCGGGCTCTTCTCAATAGCGCGCCCTTTCTGTCCGGTGCCCCTATAATATATCACTAAACGTGTAATAAACAAGTGCGTCCTGGACACACTGGATGAAAGAAAAGTTCGCGAAGAGAGGAGGAAAGAATGCGCACACATGGCTCTCGTTTCGTCTGATTTGGAAACTAGTCGGCAAGGTAATACAGCTAACGATGTGGTAATAAACTACCCAAACAAAAAGAGTAAAAAGAATTAGTTGATTACAAAATTAAGCGAAAATAATGATTCTATCGACGCGTCGTTCTTCGTTGAGGAAGTGCAGCAGACGAGCCTGCAAACACGGGCGGTTTGTGATTTCCAGTGTCTTCCAAATAAACATACGATATGAGCATGGACAAACACACACGACGAGAAAATGGACGAGTAGACGGAGAACAACACTGGAACGGACACAACATATACTACGGACTGACCAACATTCAGATGACTAACCTTCTGACAGAATCATTGCGTTCGCCAACTCTTCTCCGTTTTGGTTGCGAATCGCGCACAGATACTCTCCGTAGTGCTTCTTTTCGACAGAAGTGATTGCGAGCGACGAAGCGGTCTCGGTGCTGGTGATCGTGAAGCCGTCGAGACCTGTGGAATCGGAAGGTCTAGGGGACATATGTATGCGGCTTACCGTCAATCAATTCGCCGCCATTGTAAAACCACCGACACGTCGGGACGGGTGTGCCAGAGAACGAAGCTCGCAGCTCTGCTCTTAAAACAAAAAAAAAGCATTTAGTGGGCAACTAAAAAGTCTTCCTTACCTGTTCTTCTCGCACGTTTGCACGGAAACCGGTGACTCATTGAATTTGGGTTTCTCCCCGACGGTCCTGAATATCGATACATAATGATAAGTTCAAATAAGTTCATAATAGTTACTTGGTGGATTGAACAACCCTCAATTCCAACTCGGCGTTGGCTTGTCCGGATGCGTTGATCGCCGTCAACGTGTACTTTCCGGCGTCGGCACGAGTCACGTTGCCGATTCGTAGGATGAAAGTGTCGCCCTCGTTTCTCATCTGAAAAATGTCGTCAACGGTCTGTCAAAACATTCAGGTCACCAACCATGTATCGTTCTTCGTTGCTCAATTTCTGAGTGGCCTTCGACCACGTAATCACCGGATCCGGGTGCCCGATCACTTTGGCTCGCAGCTCCACATTGGCGCCCGGGTCGGCTCTCGTCGTCGGCTCGCAGTCGAACACTCGCGGCGCCTCGTCGGCTACCGATCGTTCGTTGTCTGGAGAAGAAAATATGAGTTCTGCGATTTCTGCGAAACTTCACTCACTTCTGACATCAAGAAGCATTGTGCAACGCGCAATACCAAATTGGTTTTTGGCTTCCACTGTGTACTCGCCACCGTCTTCCGGGAAGACGTCGGCGATGGTGAGGAATACCTGGGAAGAAGAAACGTTTAAAGAATTCCATGAACACCGAACTCCTCACCATCTTTTCAGATCTTGAATAGCTGAACGAAGGAGAGTCCACAATGGTGACTTTATTGCGGAGCCAACGGATTTGAAGGGGTTCGGAGGCCTGGACGAGCTCAGCAGCGAGCTCGACACGACTTCCGTCGACCACCTTCCGCACAGACTTGATCTTTTCGAACTTGAAGAGTGGAGTCGTTCCTTGAGCAGCATTAGGATCCATTCCACTAATTATCAAGTTCATCTGAACCACGCTACAGTTTTCAAATGTGAAACTTCATTAGTTAAGTACCGTCGATTGTGCTTTTCCGTGTTCGTTGACCGCCTCGCAAGAGTAGGTCCCTTCGTCGCCAGGCGCCACCGACAAGAATTTCAGGGTGGCGCATTCACCATCATACGACATGGTGTATCTGAAAAACAAAAGTGATTCTGATTGAGTTTGGATGGTAGAATTAAGGTTACCGGTCAGCTTGTGGCAGAAGTGTAACCGAGTTGCGAGTCCATTGAATTGAGGCGCACGGATATGCGCTGACAGAGCATTCCACGCACAGAGACTCGTTCAGGTTCGCCTAGAACGTTTTGTGTATAAAGTAGGGCTAGGATAGTGTAACATACCTGAGATTTACCAGGCAACACTTCGATGAAGTTGGGGGCTTTCGCCTCCTTACGACTTTTCCGTTTGGCTACCTGAGCAGCAGAATCTTCTTTGTTGGGCAGCACATCGATCTGTATAAATATTGCGCTAAAAGTTGTTTGATAGTGATACAAAGGCTACCTCAGATGTACAAGTGACGATTCCTTCATTGTTTGCAGCAGTACAATTGTAGAATCCTTTGTCAAAAGTCGAAACGTGATGGACCTGAAAAACTACCTTTAGCTGCGCTTGCCCGATCGGTCTGAACATACCTCCAGATAGTAAAAGTCCCCGTCGTTGTAGATAGAATATTTGTTGCCAGTCTCCAAAATGATACCTTCCTTATCCCAGTGCACTTGCGGCATCGGATTGCCACTGATAGCCGTCTTCAGCCGCAACGACTTGTACTCCTCGAGAATCTTCTTCGGCTTCGGCTTCACCATGAACTTGGGCCGGCAGACTCGCTTATTCCGGGTGCTAATCGCAGCACGGACCTCGTCCAAAGCGGTGTTCGCGGCACTTTCCGGCCGACTATCAGCTGACATCCGCGGCTCCTCGAGTTGCAGACTCATCGACAGCGCCTTCGCAAGCTTCTCCGCGTCGTTGGTTGTGCTCCGGTGAGGTCGCAGCTTCCTCCCGAGCTTCCCGGCAACGGCGGCAGACGCTCCCGCTTTCAGATCCATATCTTCGAGACCCTGCAAAAACATGGGCGCAGCTCCCTTTTTGACTCTTGCAGTGGCCGCAGAAGACGTGGCTCTCGGGTGTTCTTCAGAGAAAGCGACTTTCGGTTGGACGGCGAGCACTGGCTCGAGAACGTGCTTGAATTGTGGCGGCTCGGCTTTCCTTCGCTCGTCGGAGACATTCAACCTTCCGGCGGTTCGCAGCACACCGTGGATGTTGGACGCCTCGACGTAGTACATTCCGAGACTCGCCAGTGAAACGTTCTCGATGGTGAGGACACTTGTCGTGTCCGATGGGAAGGCGATCTTGACATCCTTTCCCTCGATGACTTTCTTCTCGTTGTGATACCAGGTCAAGTCTGGCGTGGGGAATCCGGCGAGTTCGACGGTGAACTCTACGGTCTCTTTGAGCGGGGTCCACGTGTCCTGAAGACACTTCACAAAGCGTGGCGGGCCGGCGGGCTCATCGGAGAGCTCTCCGACCAGAAGATAACATTGAGTGGTGGCCTGGCCTGATGGATTGGTGGCCACGCACTGGTAAGTGCCACGTTGCTCTCGCATCACTCGCTCGGATTTGAGCTCAGCGACCTTGCCAAACCGACATTCAGTCCAGCTGGTCGTCGAGCTCGTCAGGTTGGTTTTGTTTCCAGAATCATCAGTATAGATCCACTCGAGTGTCGGCTCGGGAGACCCGGTCACATTGCAGCTCAGTGTGGTCGGGTGTCCGTTGACGATTCCCATGTCGGTGAGTGGAATGGTGAACTTGGGAGCAACGTTCGCGTGCTCACTGGCCGGTTTCATTCGCTGTACGATGACCTGTGTTTCGGCGATGACGGTGCCGCTCGGATTCGTCGCTTTGCAGCTGAAGATTCCGGAAGTTTTGGAGACGACGCACTCGGCGAGCAGGTGACTTTCGCCGTCTCCGGTGACAAAGTGACGGTAGATGCGGTTGGTGCGCAGAATTTCGCGTCCGTCTTTGAGCCACGTCACGACTGGTTTCGGTTCTCCGATGGCTTTAGCGACCAGCGTGAACTGACCGCTTTCGCTAACCTCGATGAGCGACGGGGGTGCTCGGACGAATCGAGGCTTCTCTTCCTTGTCATCGAGTGCTTGAGCGATGACAAGATGAGAGTCGGTGCCGGTGGTCTTGGCAATCATGACCATGCTGGAGGTTGAGTCGACTCCGGCGACACTGGTCGCGGAGCACACGTAGACTCCCGTGTCATCCGATTCGCATTTGGCAATTGACAGTCGGCAAGTTCCATCGTCCTCAAGAACTTGTCGAACTCTCCTGGTCGTGGAAACTCGTTCTCCATCCTTTGTCCAACTGATTTCGGGAGCTGGGAACCCTTCAACCTTGCACTCCAGAGACAGATTGTGGCCCAGAATGGCGGTCGAATCGGAAAGGGTTGAAGCGAAGGACGGAGGCACGAATTTAGTGACATCTTCCACGGTGACAAGGCATTCACTCTCAGCGAATCCGTACTTGTTTGTCACCACACATCGGTACTTTCCAGAGTCTTGAGCTTGAACCGCGTGACAAACAAGCCTGTGATTGGACTTCTTATCGCTCGAAAGTTCGTATCTTCCAGTGGATTCGATTCGTTCGTCGTCCTTGAACCAGGAAACTGTGCTCTCCGATCGCGAACTTATTCGGCAGGTCAATGCGATTTGCTGTCCAGCCTGAGCACTCTCGTTGTTCATCGTTTTCTGCACGACTGGCAAAACGTTTCTCTCCAAAGAGTGGTCCGGAGTGGTGTGAAGTGATGCGGCGCGGTTGAAGATGGTGACGTGGCATGACGCGGAAGCCTGTCCTTGTTTGTTTTCAATAAGGCAGGTGTAAGTGCCATCTTCTTCATGAGACTTCAAATTGAGAGATGATGACGTGGCAGTGGTAGTAATGCTTATTTTCTCGTCGGGGACGACTTGAAGATTCGCTTTGTACCACTTGACAGTTGGTTCAGGAGATCCGATGAATTCCACGCTGATATCGACCTCATCGTCCTTGTTGGCAACGATCTTCGGCTGGGGAAGAAGCGTGAATTGCGGCGCCTGGCCGATGGGAGCGGTTTTTAGGGTCTCTTTCATCACCGCCCAATCACTGAGTCCTTTCTTGTTCTTGCTGGCCACTCTGAAGATGTACTCGGCATTTGGAGTCAGGCCAGTGACCTCGAGCTCCAAGTTCTTCGTAGATCCGCAAGACGTCCAAGTTCTCTGATCCGGACATCTCCTTTCGACTTCATAGCTGTCGACGGGGCCTTCAGACGCTGGCGGGGTATCCCATGCAATGGTGACTCGGTCAGTCTTCGGAGCTCCAGAAGGTCTCGGAAGTCCCGGTCGTCCTGGCTTTTTCTTGTCCTCATCCTTCTTCTCCACCTTCTCCTTATCCTTCGGCTCCTTTTGCTCCTTGGCCTTGATAACCGACACTTCAGTGTTCTGACGCACTTTTCCTTTTGCGTTCTCCGCAGTGATCGTATAAGTTCCCTCGTCCTCGAGTCCGACGTCTCGCACCACCAGTTGATAGTTGACGCCGTCGCACTTCATCTGAATGCGTTCGCTCTCCACCAACTCGCTATTATCCTTCAACCAAACCACTTCCGGCGTAGGTGAGCCATTCAGGTCGGCTTGAATTGAGAGCGTCGCGCCTTCAGGCACATTGATTTTCGGCTTTGGCTCAATGATAAAGTACGGCAATGAGGGCACCACCGTCTTCGCCTCGGAGCCAGTGATCGTGAGTTGCGCGGAAGTGTGCACATCTCCGAACTGGTTGGTGGCGACGGCCGTGTAAGTGCCGCACACCTCGTCGGTGACGTTCTCGATGACCAGTGTCGCCGTGTTGTCGTCGAACAGCCGTGATTTGTAATTACTCTGCTGTTGGAGCGCCTTTCCGTTGTGCAGCCAAACGACTTGGGCGGCTGGATTAGCGTATGACTGACACGTGAACGTGGCCGTCTCGCCAGCCTGCCTCAAAACAACATCTTGCAACTTTTTGACAAACGTCGGCATCTGTGTGACGTGGTCGGCGGCGTCCGGCTTCTCGACAATCACACACGCTCTCGTCTCCACCGCTCCCAATTTGTTGCTCACTTTGCACACATACTGGCCATTGTGCTCGTCGTGCGCTTCGTAGATCTTGAGGAAAGCGACGCGTCCATCAAAGTAAGTTCTCAGAGTTCTGCTCTCGGCGACCAGCTTCCCATCGTGGTACCATTCAATTGTCGGCGTTGGGAGACCGTCCACTTCGACTTCAAGAAGTTCTCGGTTGCCCTCGGTGACTGTCGCATCTGCCAGTGGTCTCGTCACGACCGGCGGCCTCTGGATATCTCCTCCGAGCACCGACGGAGATCTGCTTCGGCTTCTGCTCCGGCTTCTCACTGGAGTCAGTCTAGTCTTGGCCAATCCCATGTCGACCACCTTGACAGTGCAGTGAGTGAAATCCTTGCCAAGACTGTTGACAGCCTCGCAAGTGTACTCTCCCAGATCATCCATCACCACGTTCATGATGTTCAGCCTAGAGACACCCTTGCGATCGGTGTACTGCAGCATCCGGTTCTCGATGATCAGCTTCAAGCCATCCTTGTACCAGGTGATCGTAGGAATGGGCTTTCCGGTGACGCAGCATTCGAGCACAATCTCATTTCCTTCGCAAGTGGAGCAGTTGACCAGCGGCTCCAAGAACTTCGGCTTGACATGATCTTTGTCGACAGCTTCCTTGATTTCAACAACCGAGAAGCTCTGAGCGACTCCATGGATGTTCTCAGCTTCGCAGACGTATCGGCCTTGATCTTCATCCCTGGCGCCAATGATGTGCAACGTGCAGACACCGTTTTCATGGCGGACCTGCTTGTTGCTCATGTCGATTGGCTGGTCGTCCTTCATCCATCTGATGTTCGGATGAGGAGTACCAGACACGGAGCAGACGAGAGTGAGATCAGATCCTTGTGGAACTTCTCTCGGGGTCGGCAGCTGCATTCTGAACCTCGGAGCTTTCGAGCCATCAATCTTCTTGCTTCTCTTAGCGAGCAACTCCTCGATTCTCACGCAGCAGACTGTGTGCGCCTTTCCGATTTTGTTCTTCGCCAGACACTTGTACTCTCCACTATCTTCTGCGTAGGCGTCAATTATAGTGAGCGCGTAGTTGCCGGCTCCGTCGTCGAATTGAAGGCGATGCCGTTGCGAATGCTCAATTTCCACTTCATTTCGGAACCAGTTGATCTCAGGCGCTGGGTTTGCTTGGATGTTGACCTCCAGCTTCAGAATGTCGGATTCTTGGCACTTGACGTCGCTGAGTTGTTTTCCGAAAGACGGAGCAAACTGTCCGTCCGGCACCACGACAGAGAGCTTCCCTTCAGATTCGCACTCTCCGTACGCATTCTTTCCGACGGCCTTCCATACTCCTTCGTCCGTCGCGTCCACACTCAAAATGTGAAGCTCGTAACGTCCCTTGTCATGCTTCTGGAGGTAGTTGCTGTCAGCGACGGTGATGTGCTCTCCGTCGTGATACCAGTCGACTGTCGGTTCTGGCAGTGTGGTATTGGTAACCACAAGCACCTTGGGCTCTCCGATCTTAGCCTCGTCGTCTTGGAGCAAGTGATGGAAGTTGGGTGGCATATCGAGCATCTCCTCAATGACAACGACCTTCGACGTCTTCCTGTCCTTCTTCTTCTCAATTACAGCGGGCGAAGTTTCGGCCTTTTTCTTCTTTTTGTCGTCAGTTTTCACAGACAATTTAGCGTGCGTCATGATGCTTCCCAAGTCATTGGTGGCTCGGCAGGTGTACTTTCCGGCGTCCGATTCGACAATGTTCTTGACGGTGAGCTCGGCGAGTCCTTCGTTGTAGAACGAATCGTACTTCATGGATGGAACTGTGAGCTCCTTATCGTCCTTGAACCACTGAACCTTTGGAATCGGATGGCCATCGAGGTCGCAAGAAAGAGTGGCGATGAGGTCTCCGACGTTGGCGACAATGTCCTCGAGCTGCTTCTTGACGCTCGGGGCGGTGTCGGTGTCTGAATAGAAATGGTGAGAATATTGGGCACATATCGGGATCTACTCACCGAAGGCGATGTTTCTCTCGAACACTCCGTCCATTGTGAGCCTTCGGAAGATGGCTCCTCTCTTGGCAAGACGTCCGATCGGCAAAAGATCGTCGGACCATCTCTTGAGGGAAAGGAAGTTTCTCTTTTGTCTGGCTGGCACTCCGCTCTTGTCCGGCTTTGGTTGCATCTTCTGAAAACGACAATATAAATTTCAGATTTTAATTCGACAGAATCAATGTTAGTACCTTGACATATTCGGACAAATCATTGAACGCGGACAATAACGGACCCTGAACACGAACATGATGACATAAAGAACAGACCAAACAACACAGTGTCTTACCGTAATCCATGGATGTTTGAGTGCATCTTCCACCGACATTCTCTTCCTCTTATCCTTGATCATCAAACGGCAAATGAAATCTTTCGCCAGATCGGACACATCATCCCAGCTCGGGTCGTCAAAGTCCCAATCAGCTGCGGACACATTCGCCAGCGTGTCCTCGTCGCTGTCCCCAAGGAATGGCGAGAGACCGGAGAGCAGGACGTACGAGATGACTCCGACGGTCCACATGTCTGTGGAGAGACCCACTGGCTGATAGTTCACCACTTCTGGCGCGCAGAACTCTGGCGTTCCAAAGAGCAATTTGACGCTCTTCTTCGGGTCGAGCTTGCGAGCAAGGCCAAAGTCAATGATCTTGAGGTCTGTGGAGTTCTTCGACTTGAGCAGGATGTTCTCTGGTTTCAAGTCCAAGTGCACAATCTGATTCTTGTGCATGTGGGAGACGCCCATGAGAATCTGATGCATGTAGTCCCTCACTTCTTCCTCACTCATCAGAGAATCGTCCTCCAGAATCTTCTCGAACAGTTCTCCGCCCGAGACGAACTCCTCAATGAGCCACATCTCATTTCCCATGTCGAATGCCTCGTGAAGATTCAACAATTTCTCGTGGTGCAGCTGATTCATCATTGCGATCTCGTGGATCACATTCTCCTTCTTCACTCCCGGCCTCACCTGGACCATTTTGGCGGCCCACGTCTTTCCGGTGGCTTTTTCGGTTGCTCGGTACACGGTACCGTAGGCTCCCTTTCCGAGCTCCTCGTGGATGATATATTTGGCTTGAAGATCGTTCGGCAGTCTGTGAATATCGATAGTCTTGTACTCGGACGGTCCCGCCTCTTTTGTCGCTTTCTCGTAGTCCACAGATTCTTGCTCCTTCATTTTCACTTCCTTCTTCTTCGGTTCTTCTACAACTCGACTCACATCCTTCACGAACACTGGATCCGATTCCTCGGACGGTTCCGACAGTCCGAATGTGTTGTCGGCGCGCACGCGGAACGTGTAGCTCTCGCCGGGAGTCAAATTGAAGAGAGTGATGAACGCCTGCTTTGTGACTTCGGCCTTCGTCCACGTCTTCGTCTTTTCCTGCAATAAAATGTGCGTTGCTCGGGGAGACCTAATGGAGACGGAAAGGGAAACGACTTTCTTTGAGAGCCGCACTTACCGAGCATATTTCGACAGTGTAATTCCTGACAGGCGATCCTCCGTCGTTGGTCGGAGCCGCCCATCTCAGCCGCACCGAGTCGAGGTTCTGGTCCTCGACGGCAGGTTTTCCAGGTGGAGCCGGACGGTCGGTCACCTACAAACAGAACAAATTTCTCTCAGAGCTTCTCTCGCTCTCGCTTTTTTCTGCCTCGTTCTTCTCACAATACCAACAAATGAAGTTTGCGATGGAATTGAGAAATTCGGCACGTTTCGAGAGTGAGAATATGAAAGAGAGAGAGAGAGAGAGAGAGTGAGGAAGGGAGGAGCTGGTTTTTTTGGGCCACTCGCCAATTTGCACAAAGTATTCGGAATTGGCTTACTTCCAATCGCCCCCCATCGAATTTACTCCGTCCCTCGTCCCCCATTCTCCCTCTTCTTCTTCATCTTTTCCTCTCTCGAGAAAGGGTGGAGCCGATAACAAACTTTCTCTGAGGACCCCTCATTTTTTGTGGCTTTCCTTCCTTCCACTTCGCCACCACCACCACCACCAGCACCACTTTATTTTCAGTTTTTCAGACTCTCAACTCAAACTTTTACGTCCCACTTCTTCTTCCAGCCAGTTCAATCTGGTCCCGCCGTGATCAATGGTGATTCCGACGGTAAGTGATGATTGGAAAGTCATTGGAAGAAGTGATAAAAGTGGAAGAGTCAATAGAAAACACCGCGTGATTAGTGGTGATTACTACGTGTTGTGTCAACATGGTTTCGGCGTTTTGTACATAGAAATCAACTGGAGAAAGGGGGGGGGTCTAGAAAACCAGGAAATATGATGATCAGTGGGACTCTGGGAAAAATAGCGATTCTGGGAAAAAGAGCGTGTCATCCAATGATTCGGAAAATTGTTTTTCTAAATCTTCAAACCTACAGCATTGATTTCTTAGTTGACGACTGCTTTGTACAACCACTCCCATGGCTACTGTACCTCTTGGAAGTTATGTCATCCTAAACTTTCATGACATCACTTCCATGCGTTACAAATCAATTGACAGTGGTTGTACAGACAGGGGTCAATTTGTGAAGTACAGTGAACATTTGTCAAAAAGTTTTCAAGCACCAAAGAACATCATCTAACGGAAGCGTAGACACTCAAAGTCAGCACTTTTCAACACTAAATAAAGATTACCATTTTCAGGGTAACAACACGATGGTGGGCGCCGGCGGGGAATGGTGAGTGTATAAATTATCAGAATTTATTATGGAACATGTTGGAATGCGCAATGAAAGATGCTCTTGACGGAAAAGTGGTGCATAATTAGTGGTGGTAGTGGTTGTGTTACCAATATCGCATTTCAAATATTGGCCAAATCCTCGATATCTCTTTCTCTCTATTTCACACACATTCTAGTGTGCCTCGATTCGAATAAGAGTTACGTACCTGAATACCGATGGCGTACTTGTCCTCGCCGCACCGATTCTTGATCTTGAGCGCGAACTCTCCCTGATCCTGCGAGTCGATGCCGTTGATCGTGAGCACCGTGTTTAGAGCGGTCTTCTCGATCTGCAACCAATTCATAATATTCTAAGTCTCTCTGCTGCTCGGAGCGTCTGCTCATTTATCCAGGCCCCTGGAGCACACCGAGATAATAAGGAGACGTCGTCGTCGCTCATCAACATCGGGGAAGAGGCTGTCAAATTAAACCCAACTCTTCCCCTCTTCTCTTTTCCGTCCCCCCCCCCTCTCCGTATTTGTTTTTTAGTCGCCCCTCCCCGTCCATCACCTAATTCCCAATTCTTCAGATCATAAAACGGTGGGTGGTGTGTGAGCATCGGAACCCCCGTTTTTAGAAAAATTGCTTGGCACCACCCCGTCGCCGGAAAAGCTTTTTTTGGTTGCCGACAGGTGCATAAATTGCCACTCTCACGGGCGGTCCCCCTCCCCCCCCTCCCGAGGGGCTCTCAAAATTTATTTATTTTCCGTTCGTTTTTTTTTTCCAGTGAATTTTGAGTAGGAGTGTAGGCTTCGCTTTCAGCGTTCAACTTTTCGGCTTTTTAGAATCGGAACCCCCCAAAAGCGTGACCCAAAAGTATTAAGAAGGCAGGAAGTAAGGTTCGCTGCGACTAAAAGGGACCTTGAAACAAGATTCTGCTATTTCTGAAAGAACCTCATCAGCTAGTTTTCTCTTTAACTTTTCTGGCAATTTACTCGCTCCTATAGACTTTGTAGATTTGACATGTCACTTGAAAAGGATCAATTTTCAACCCAATTGAAAGTTTGTACGTATTGCAGCCACAGAATTCTGGCAATCGCGCTCTGCCGCTCTCCTCTCCTGAATTGTCAGTACTAAAGAGCTCTGCCGCGGCCGAGATTTCACGTGGGATTGCGGTAGATCGAGGTTGCTTCGAATTTAAAAAGTAAAAGACCAACCTTGGTTTTCCTGGACTCCTCGATGACCTTTCCATTGTTATCAATCCAAATGACTTCGGGCTGTGGTCGGCCTGCAAAAAGCTCTTTCTTATTCTTTACGTTGGAAGATCCCTCATTAATTTCTCCGCTCGCCAGTATCCATGACACTTGGCGCTGCCCCATCCCCATTCATTTCCCCCTAATTTAATGGTCCTTTTCCTCCCCCTCCTTCTTTTTCTTCTTCTTCTTCGTCTTCTTCTCATTCTTCCTCACTAATTTCCAGTCCGCAGTGAGCCGTACCGATTGAGAGAAAGATGCATTCGTCCAGGTACGTTACCAATGGTGATCGACAGGTGAAATCCGGGGAGGGGTTTTTGAAAAGAAAGCTTCAGAAGAAGCGCTTGCTCGCGTATTCTTTCCGAATGAGGTGAGCCCCTTTGAATTAGTCATTCGAATTTCAATTCCAATCCCAATTCAAGCTTGTCCTTCGCAAATAGCCCGCGCGCGCGCAAAAGTTCACACATCCTGCCGTCCGGATAATCTCGTTGACCCAAAAAGGCCAAACCCAGAATTCTGATTTCTTCTAAGACATCTCTTCTTCTTCTTCTTCTTCTTCTGCTTCTCCTCCTTCCCGGGGCACATCTTTTAGGCGAAAACGAAAGAAGAGGGCGGAGTCGCCGCATTCCTCGTGGCGAGAAGAAAGACACGTCTTCGGCTCCGCTCTCCTTCTTATATTCCGTCCCCCTCCCTCGCTCCCGTTTTTTTGGCCTTCCACTTAGAGAAGCACCGACGACGACGACGACGTCAAGGATCTTTCTTCGACTACTGGCAGTTTACACGCACATCGTCGTCAAACTCATTTATTCATCCTCCGAGCACCTGACCAGGAGAGCCAACGGAGAAAAACACAACTTCTTCTTCTTCTTCTTCTTCATCTTCATCTTCTACTCGGGGCCTACGTTGATTGATGACTGCCGGATGACTACTACCTAGTGCCCATACACATTCTGACTGTCTATTGTACAAAAACAAACATCTGCCAAGATGCCGACGATGTAAGTCTCTTTACTGGATCCGTGATCAACTCAAAAACGCGCCTAAATTCTCTTGTTTTTTCTCGTTCTCCTAACTTTTCCATTTTCCATACTCTCTCTCTCTCTCTCTCTCTCTCTCTTTCTCTTCATCCGCTCCCAATTATCGCCCGCTCCTCCTGTCAAGCCCATTTACCACTACAAACTTTATTTTTATTTCCATCTCTTTCAGTTCTTTGAGAAGAACTCAAACGTTCTTCTTTTTTGCTCGCTTCCTTCCTGTTTCAAACAATGTGACACCATTAGACGACGTCTTCACAAATCTTTTGTGTGCTCCGGCTTGGCTCCGGCTCCAGTTCTAAGCCGTAATTGGGTCTCCGAGTGTTTTATTATTATGAGTTGTTGTAGAGAGAAAGAGAGAAAGAGAACGAAAAAATATGACGCCTTCCTCTTCTTCTTCTTCTTCTTCTTCTTCTTCTTTTCCTTCTTGGACGACGACGACGTCGACGCCGACTTTGAATTGGTGGGAATGGGGTGGTCGGAAATAGATAAAGAGTATCGGATAACTGGCGGCCAGACCCCTCGTCATTCGGGAAATAAGTTTGAATGGATGTAAATCTAAGTCACTTATCAAATCAGTGCTGCCGGCACACACCTGCGCCTACTGCTAACTCAATCAATCAGAAATGGAGCGATTGCTCACACACAAGCAAAAAACGATCAAAGATCATACAGTGTTCCTCGAGAAGCCTGCAAATGCAGCACATCCTCATCAAACTGAAATGGAGTCGTGCACCAGCAATCAAAGAAATGAGTCGGTCCGTCATCTTACGACTTTTTTTCCGCCTTCACCCCTCAATGTAATCACTTTTTCTGGCGCACGCTGTGCAAATGACGGGTACATCGGACCTAATCCCGGAAAACCCCATCGTCGTGCCCGTTTATGGGCCGACACAACCTTTCATTCATTCTTCCATACAGAAGGCAGAAGATGTGGCCAGAAAAAAGGAAAGAAAAGCGATGGCGGAAATTTATGTATGCAAATTCGAGTGAAAACGAGGTCCACGAGGTTGAGGGGGTGACGGCGCGCCTTTTTGTTGCCCCGTTGTTTGGCCCAAGTTAGTTGGCGGACACTTTGCAACCAACTTACCGTAATCCTTCTCCTTTTTCTTTTCGCATTCACTATCACTTCGAGCACATCTTGGGGGTGACACGCAATATCAAGATTTCGAGGCGAACAACGTGTAAAACTGATAGAGCCGAGAGAAAAACGAAAAGGGCGGGCAGAGAAGAGAGCCTGGCTTTTAGATGTAAGTGTCAAAACTTTTTCACTTTTTTAAGTTGAGATAGATTCCTACTTCTTTGTGTGTTCCTTTCAAATTTACCACCCAAATTCCTCATTTTCAAGTTAGCAAACTCGCAAAAGCTGCAGCTGTCTTCAGTGCCATCAAAATGATGGAACAGCATGTTATTCATTCATTCTTTTTTGTAGTGTAGTCACGGCTTCATTCTTTTTTTCTCTCGTTTCGGTGGTTTGTAGCGGGATTTGAAGAATATATGCTAATGTGGCTTTCCACCACTCTAGCCGTCAAGTACGTGAAATTCGATATGGCCTAGGATCTTGAGTTAGGACGGACAGTACAGCGCCAATTTTTGACTTTTAACTTCGTAACTTTCATTCTTTGGGGCTTCAATTTTGAGAATTTAAAAGGAACACACAAACACAACAACCCCCCTCCCTCCCCCAGACTTCTTCTCCGTTTCCTCCGTGAACATCTTCTTCTAACATCCTTATCATAAACCGACTCCTACAGTCTCCTAAATGATACGTGCCTCGCGTACCACCTCCTTCAATCACCATCAGCTGCTCTATCACCAAACGTCAAATGCGAGCGGCGCCGTCGTCGTCGGGGATGAGGACGAGTAAGTGAAAACGGAATGGGGGAAATCCCTTGGGGACACCCCATTACATTATTCTTGAACGGAATGCCACCCCTACTCCAGCTTGATTTTGCTGTCGTCAAGTCAATCCTTTCACATACATAGTTCTAGAACCTTTCCTAAGTTTGTGAGATCTTTGACCGTATCTCTCTTGTCAAATTGCTATTCTCTGCTCAAGACGGACGGTCTAGCGGGCCACAGGAAGCAGCAGCAGGAGCACAAGAAAAAGCAGAAGAAGCCCCCACAACGAGGGGCGGAAGGAATGAGGACAACAGCATAGCAAACAGGAGACAGTACGAAGCTCGGCGGAGAGTGCACTCTCTGTTGTGTTGCTCTCTCTCTCTTTCTCCGAGCAGCCTTCACTTACGAGTGCATCCCTCCATCCGGATGAGCGCCAGACCAAAGCTTATCACTTGTTCGCACTTTTCGCGCTTGTTCTTGATTATATGCGCTGCTTTCGAGCGTCGGCTCTGTTTTTCTGTGCGCACTTTTACTACCGGAACATTTAAAGTTTAATGCGCTCTGTTGCGACACAAATTAAAAACTGAGACAATTCTTCTAGAGGCTGCAAAATTAGGTCCCGGAGATCACAAAAATAGGGATTTCTCAACAGCACTCAAATGAGCACTCAAATGCCCCGATTGTAGCTTGTACACTATTAATACCCTCCTAACGAACTAAATTTAACTTGTCTATCAATGTTTGTTCTGTTCTGGCTAACTTAGTGCAAAATCTTCCGCTATCACTCAAAAAACGTTTAATGGAAGGACCCGACTGCCTTGTTAGCAACAATTGGCGGCCGTTCATCCATATGAAAACCTCTTTCCCTTCTTCTTCTTCTTCTTCTTCTTCTTCTTCTTCATTCGACCGCCCACCCGGACGGCTTCCAAGAAAAACTTTCATTTTCTTCCCTCATTTCCCCTTCCACCATTACTGCTGGTCCCAATCACAATGATCCGTTGAACCCCGCGTTGAATGGACTCCATCTTTTGCGTGTAAGTTTGAATTTCGAACTGTTATCGATCATCAAGAGTTGCAAGCGAAATGGGCACGGCTCCCTGTTGTATGCCGAACAGATTATGTTGGCAGAGTTCAACCGAGGTTTATTTTTTTCCTCTCTCATCAGTCCGCCTCAAACGTTTAGGTGTCTGATAGGGCGGGCAGGGGGCGCAAGGAGCGAAGATCACAACTTTTTCTTCTTTTGATGTGTCCACCACCCACACCACTACATTCCAACACCACTACCAAAAAGCTATCGTTCTCAAGTGGTACTCACACTGGTCAAATGACTCTGTCAAAACCGCATGCGCATTATTTTGCAAATTTCTCAAATTTCCTCCCCCCCCCCTCTCCTCGTTCACCCATTTTTTCACATGTTACCCGTTTGTGATCGGTCTACTGGAAGCAAATTTATAATCGAGTATTGAGAGTCCCCGAGGCGGGGATTTTGGCGTCGAGTGGGAGATGGATAGAAGGGGTGCTAAACGGGTCCATGTGCAAAAAACAGAAAAAAACAGCACAATCGAGTTCGTCGCGACGCCCCCACTAACCAGACTTTTTGATTATTCTGGCGGTGTTCCGTGGCGCACAATGAAAATGGCACAGGCCAGGTAAGTAGGCTTTTCCAGTCGGTTTTTGGAGTAAGTGCGGTGGAGCGCGATTTCCATATCTCAGTTTCGGTTCAGTGATACCGAATGCGGTACATACACAAAATGTTGCAACTAAGTCAGAGTCATCCAAGTGTGTCCATTAGAGCCTACTACCACTTATAAGCAAACAATACCTATCATTTTCACAATGTAAACCTACAAGTGTACCTAGCCGTCGGATCATCTCCCACCTCGCTCTTCCCATCATCATTTCGTCCTGTTATTTACTCTGTCCTCCTATCTTTTATGCTTAGAGGGGAACGACGAGAAGAAACGGAAAAAGAAAAGAAAAGAGCAAGACCGAGTTTATGCTCAAAACGCACTTTGATGGCGTCTTTCATCTGATGAATCCAATTGAAAACACATGTTTTTTCGTCGGATTGATTGAATATCGTGTGTGGATCTCTCGGGCGGCCCCCCTGAGCATCTTCATTTGCTTTCTCCCGGAGCGGACCCCTAGACGTTTAATCTTAAATTCTAGACGAGTCGTCAACCGTAAATCAATCATGTTGCTTTTGCCTCTTTCTTTCCTCTCTAAACGGATAAAATATATGGTGGTGGGCTTGGTTTGGCGCGGCGGCTCGGCAGCTCCGAGGGCTCCGACGAAGTCAGCGACAAATTTGGCTGTTTTGGCGTCAAGCAGCACTGAATCGAAGAGCAGCTCATATTTGGCTAATACATGAGATATATCTCACACCTCTCTCGTCGTCTCACTCCCCTGTTCATCTCTCGACTTCCTAAGCTCCGTGAGCTTCTCTGGTTCGGCGCCCCGCGAGCCCCGAGAGCGCGGTTTCCCACGCGACCAAGACGGAGAAGCAAAGGAGAAGGGAGGGAAAAGACGAAGAAGAAGAAGAAGAAGAAGAAGGCAAGGCGTCAATTTGGCCACCTGCTGCCACTCTCCTCCTCATATCCTTCCTTCACACCTGCCGTGCGAAGCGAGAGCCCATCCCGGCAGCTCATAAAACGGTGCTCTATCAGCGTACATCATCTCGCGGTGCTTTTGAGCAGCAATGGCGTGTGCTAGTATTTCCTACTCGGCTCTCGCCTACAATGGACAGTAAGTTTCGGGGACCATTGAGGCTACCGGAAGACAAGGTTGGGGGCCTTCTAACTTCATCAGCGGTTCACGTCACGCATCCAATCCTCGTCACATCTTCTTCCCCTATCTCTCCTACTTTTACTTCTTCTTCTAGTGTGTGTTCTTCACATCACTTTAAATGTGTCAGTCCAATTCTCATCATCCTTGACACCTCTCATCTTGTCACCCACACACACACACACTGACGCCTCTCCTTAGACTTCTACTTCTACTTCTATTTCTCCTACTGAAAACAAAGCACTGAAATTGCGCGCGCAAAATGGCGATCGCGATCTCACAGGCGGTACTTGCGCATCGAAACTCTGCCGCGACATTCACGGTGCCCGGCTCGACGCAGCAACTCAAATTCCATAATTACAGGGTAACCGGAAACATGATCAGCGGGTAAGTCGTGATGTTTATCTTCGGTTACGGGCTTCCCCCTGTCTATCAGCTCCTTATTATTTCATGCATGAAGGTGTTGTTTGGTCGCTTTCCCCCTACACATATCACTAAAAAACTGAACTTTACTGCCACCAACCCTGCACCTGGGACCCCCCCCCTTTCCACCGAAACGACATTTATTCTCTTTTGTTTCAGGGCCGCACAACAACACAAAAAGCGGCTGATCCCGCTGCGTCGGACCGACGCGATGACGTTGGCCGAACGTCGCAACTATCAGGTCCTCGACGACATTTTTCGGGCCGGCGGGCCCGATTGCTTTCAGCAAGTCACGCCGAACAGTATGGGCAACGACGGAGATCCGTTGTTCCTGCGGCTCAACATCGGCGGCACCAGTTTTATGCTGCTAATCGATGCGATCCTTCGCGCCGAGACGACTACATTTCTGTCGCGCTTCATCCAACTCACGCACACCGCCAGATTAAAAGTGAGCAAAGAGCGGCGAAACGGATTATCGCATTATCTTTTTTTTTGTTCCAGGTCGCCGACGCGTATATTGCCTCTGAAGACGCCTACTATTTTCAACGATCACCGACCTCATTTGAGGCCATCTTTCAGTACTACGCAACCGGAGTCGTCCATCGACCTTCCGAAGTAAGAGCGATGAAGCGGAAAAGTCACATGCCACGCACATACACACATATTTCTCAGATTTGCCCCGCCTCGTTTCTGAGCGAGCTCGACTTTTGGCGAATATCGCATCAGCATGTCGGCTCGTGTTGCGCCGATATCATTCCGCAAAAGAGGGAAGAAGAAAAAGAAGAGGAAAAAGTGATTGGGGGAGCTGGAATATTAACTATTAGATTACTTCCAGGTCGATGACAACACATTCGATAAGCTCATGTGTGGAAAGTTACGGAGGCGGATGTGGACGTTTCTCGAAAGACCCGGCTCTTCGATGCAAGCGAAAGCTTTTGAGCTGTCTTCGACTCTTTTCGTGGCGATTTCAGTCATGGGACTCTCGTTTGGGACCATACCGGACTTTCAGGTAGAATGCGTTGAAGTATCATTCGTAATCATTATTTTGTAGGTGACTCATTTGATGCCCCCACACGATGAAACAGTAGTGTTGCCGAATGGAACAGCGACGATCGTGCAGAAAGTCGAACAGATGCGAGTGGAACATCCGGCTTTTGTGTTCACGGAACGGATATGCATCGCCTTCTTCACCGTCGAATACTGTCTTCGATTTTTCGCCGCACCCAGGAAGCTAAGATTCGCGCTGAAGCCGTTGAACTTGGTGGATCTCCTGGCCATCGTCCCATTCTATCTGGAACTATTGCTGACTCTCTGCGGAGTGGACGACCGAAAACTGAGAGATCTGCGATGGGCGTTCCTGGTGGTCAGAATTCTGCGAGTGCTGCGAGTCATTCGAATCATCAAGCTCGGAAGGTTCTCCTCGGGACTTCAAACGTTTGGAATGACACTTCAGCGGTCACAAAAGCAGTTGCAAATGATGACAATTGTGCTGCTGACAGGAGTGGTCTTTTTCTCGACCATGATCTATTTCCTGGAGAAGGACGAGGAGAAAACGCCGTTCACGAGTATCCCGGCAGCCTATTGGTGGTGCATAGTCACAATGACAACTGTGGGCTATGGAGACGCGGTACCAGCGACTACCAGTGAGTTTTCAACAAACTTTTATGATGAAAACCAACGATATTTCAGTGGGAAAGATCATTGCCTCGGCGGCGATCATGTGTGGAGTATTGGTACTCGCCCTGCCTATCACTATTATTGTCGACAACTTTATCAAAGTGGCACAGGACGAGCAGCAAGCAGAGCAGCAGAAAATCGACCAGCACAGCGAGCAAGTTGCTCTGGAGGCGATGCTCACTGCGAACTAATTTTTTAGCCTCCCCCCATATTCGTACTCAAGAGATGATTTGAAATACGAGTAACTTTTTCTTCAACTGACAAACTTTTTCCTTTGATAAATCTATATATCTCTTCATTTGTTCTGGAAGACAATGCAATTGCATTCGATTCCACCACTAAATACAAATAACTTATTCTTCTGACTGAGAGCGCTTTCTTTCTTTTTCCTTCTTCTTCTCCTACTTTCTGTCTAGATAGAAAAGAAGCTGAGCAGATTTCAAACTCTTTTCTCCCCTCGATGCAAAAGCGCTTTACACTGACTCTCTTTCGGAACACGCTAGAACCCATCCGTTTCCCTCTCCCACCGAATATTTTGTTAGACTACATATCAAACCAATGATGAACTTGAATAAAAGTATTGACTTTTGATTAGTGGGGGACTAACCGGAAAACGAGAGCCGCAGTTTGACGGTCTCTCCTTTATCGAAGACCAACGTGGAAGCGTATCGATCGACGCGATTGATCTCGGGCATCTGATCCATCGTGAGCTTGCATTGGTGCTCCGCCGAGCCGGACGTGTTCTTCACCACTATCTTGTACTCGCCTGAAAATGAAAAAGAGGTAACCGAAGAGGACGAGGCTGTTCAAATTTGGAGTGACAGACAGATTGGCTGAGGGCTTTTGACATAAGGTCTCGGGTTTCCGGCCGCTCAATTGGCCAGATTGGGAGACAAAGAGAGAGAGAGAGAGCAAAATGAGCAGAAGCTGAGAGCTCCGCCTCACCTTCATCGTCCTCGCGAACTTCTCCGATCGTCAAGGATGTCACACCAGCGGCCGTCTCTATCCACTGTCGTTTTCCCGAAAAGATCTCTTTCTTGTTTTTGAACCAATGCACTTCGGGAGCTGGATGTCCGGAGAACTCGGCAGTGATCTTGCTCTTCGTGTTCTTGATGACTGTCAGATCGGCTGGAGCGTTTGTAAACTTTGGTTTTTGAGATTCTGAAATTAAAATTGAATAATCATAAAAGAAATATGAGCCTAATACCTTGAGTATTCTTGCACTCAATGATCTCGCTTTGCTCGGACGTCACAGTTTGACCGGCTTTGTTTTGAGCAACAACGCGGAAGAGATAGGAGACTCCGTCCTTGAGCTGGGCGACTGTCGCCGAGCACTCGGAGATTTCCTTCGCGGCGACACTCCACGGCCGTTTTGAACTGGCCTCCTTCATCTGGACGGTGTAGGTGACGTCACCGTTGTCGGAAGCCCATTTCAAAGAGATCGATGTGGCCGTCGAGGCCATGGATTCGGGTTTTCCAATGGGTTTAAGCTCCTCGAACGTCTTTTCCTTTTCCTCGGACTTTTTAGCGTCTTTTTCATCTTCTTTCTTCGCCGCGGTCTTCTTAGACGTCGTCAGTTTTCCCTCCAACGCGACACCAGTTCCCATCTCGTTCACCGCCGACACGCGCACATCGTAGCCAGTCTCCGCCTCGAGCTCTTCCAATTTGTACTTGAGCTCTTTGGTCTTTCCGCACTGCTTCCATCCCTTGTTCTTTGATTCCTTCCTCTCCACATTGTACCCACTGATCTCGCATCCTCCGTTGTTCTCCGGGGCCTTCCATGAGAAGTCTGCAGAATTATCGGTCACTCCGTCAAAAACCAGGGGTCCGGTGGGAATTCCTGGAGCTCCTTTTGCTGCTCCCTTGATGCGCAACGCAATCTCTACTTTTCCTTTACCGGCATCGTTGGTCGCGTTGAGTTTATAAACACCAGCGTGACCGGCGTCGGTCTTGGTAATGGTGAGCTGGGCGGTTCCGTCAGCGGACAACTGGGCCTTCACGTTGGAGTCCTCCTTCAGCGGCTTGTCGTCCTTGGTCCATTCCACGTTGGCTGGCTCTGAGATCTGGACAGAAAGCTTCGCGGAATCTCCGACTTTGACCTCGACAACCGATTGCTCGGCTTCGACCTTGGGGACTTGCGGGAGTTTGACGGTGACCTCAATGGACACTTCTTCTTGTTCTCCGTCCTTGGATTTGGCTTTGCAAGTGAACACTCCGGAAGCATTCACATCAACCGTTGGGATCTTGACAGTTGAGACTCCTTCGTTGCTGGCAACGGTGTAGGAGGCATCCAGGGCCTTTCCGTCCTTCGTCCATTCAACGTCAACTCCAGTTTCCACTTGAGCAGACAGTTCTCCCGGTTGTCCAGCGATCAGTTCAACCTTCGGCTTTTCAGTCTTCACCAACTTCTTTGGGGCCTTCTTCACAACCTTCTTCTTCTTGGAAACTTCTTCTTCTTCTTCTCCGGCCTTCTGGGCTTTCTCACTGACTGCGGACTCGGCATCTGAAGAAGCTTGGAGCGATCCTCTTCTGGATTCGTCTTGTACTTTGTCCACTGCTTTTCCCTTTTTAAGCTTCTCCTTCACTTCTTGAAGCGTTTCCTCGCCCTTGTTCTCTTGGGCTTTCTTTTTCACAACCTTCTTGGCCTTCTTCTCTTCTTCAGCAGGTTTCGATGAGACTTCGGCAGCTTCAGACGCAGTTTCAGCTTGTGCTTCTGATTCGGCAAGACTTTCGGTGGTCGTTTTGGATTCCGCTTGGACTTCAGTGCTTTCTTTCGTTTCGGCTTTCTCAACCTTCTCATCCACCGCAGCCTTTTCAGCCTTCCGCTCGTCCGACACCTCCTTGAACTCCGATCCAGGCACCAAGATCTTGACGGGCTCCGTCTCATCACTCGGGCTCGAAATCGCGTGGATTCCAGTAGCCGTCACTTGATAAGTGAACTCTCCAGACTCGGTCACCGACCGATCCTTGAACTTGTTCCTATCAGTGTTGGCAATCTCGAGCCACTCTTCCTCGCCCACTTTCTTTCTTTCGATCTTATAGAGACTGGTCTCTGCGCACTCGTCCCATCTCAAAGTGACTTTGGTTCCATCCACAGCCACCGTGACTTGCGGAGTCGCCAGAATGGCAATCTTGGGGGCGAACAGTTCGGACGACTCGGAGACTGGCTCGGAGCTCTCAAGAGTGAGCACATCGACAGTGTCGCACGGCTCTGACTCGCCGACCTCGTTGACAGCGAGCACTCTGAATCCGTAGACCTGATTGCAGAACAGATCCTCGGCCACGAACGTCAACTTGTTCGGCTTGACTTGTCCGCAAGGCCTCCATCTGTTATTGTCCACTCCCTTTCTCTCGATAACGTATCCGGTGAGTGGGGCGCCGTTCGTTTCCTCTGGTGGTTGCCAAGAGAGGAAAACGCTGTCCTCGGTGACCTCTTTGAATTGAAGATCCAACGGAGCCGACGGCGTATCCACAATCTTCAGTGGAATCTCCTTGATGCACTGGCCAAGCGGGCTTTCAGCAATGATTCGAACGATTCCAGAGTTGTTTAGGGTGACGTTTTTCATTCGGACACTCACGCTATCATCGTACTCGGTCACAGTGGCGATGGCCTTCATCGGCGATCCATTGTTGGTCATATGGATGCTTGGGGCTGGGAATCCGGTGAAGTCGACCTTGAAGTCGAACTCGTTTCCAGCGTGAACAGTGACTCCGTTCTTGATTTCCTCCGGGACAATCAAGTTCGGAGCAACTTCGAAGTCCAGTTTGGCAGCCGCGGAGGTCTCCTTATCGGACACGGACGCGGTGTATGCTCCGATGTCGTGTTTGTCAAAATTCTTAATCTCCAACGTCGCCTTCTTTCCGTCCGTTTCCATGATCGCCTTGTTCATCTGCGGCCAAATCTCCACTCCGTTCTTGAACCATTTCACCTTGCGAACCGATTTGGAAAGCTCGCAGGAGAGGGCAATGGACTCTCCAAAGTCCTTGACGATGGCGTCCTGAGGACCCACGAGAATGTGTGGTTCCTCTTCGTTCACGATGACTTCTCCCTCCGCACGGCTTCTTCCGTCCGTCGTCTCGCACTTGTACACTCCGCTGTCCGCATCTGTGGATCCCTTGATTCGCAGTGTTCTCTTTCGAGCCATCGCGTAGAATTGGACCCGGTCACTGGCCACCAGCTTCTTTCCGTCCTTGTACCAGTTCACAACTGCTTCCTCGTCGGAAACCTCGCAAGTCAGCTCAATGTCGTGACCCTCTTCGATCTCGGTAAGCTCCGAGAACGAAGAGTTGAAGTGAGCTCGGACGTCGCTGATGGACACTTCGGATTCAGATTCGGCGGTTCCGTGAATGTTCTCAACGAGCACCTTGTAAACACCGGCGTCTTCTGATGACATCTCGTGAATGATCAGAGCGCTCATCGATCCTTCATTCACGATTTCCGTATTCTCATCCATCGGAATAATCTCCTTTCCGTCCTTGTACCAGATGTATTCAGGAGCTGGGTGTCCGGCGGCGTGGCATTCCAATCTGAGCTCACACTTCTTCGGAATCTTCACTGGCTTGATAGCCTTCAAGATTCTTGGAGCATCATCAGCAAGCACAACAACTGGGATGGTAGGCTCGCTGAACTCTCCGGTACCGTGTTCGTTGCGGGCGGCAACACGGAACACGTACGAGATTCCTTCGCGAAGACCGTCAATCACACATTTAGGATAGATTGTAGCGGAAACGGATTCATCTTGCGATCCGGCAGGAACTCCGATGTCCACACTGGCCCAGATAGAAGATCCATCGGACTTGTATTGGACCACGAACTCGTTCTCTCCGTCCGGCTGCCAGCTCACTTCCACCTTGTCGTTGTCGAGCACTCTCACGATCGGAGTCTCCAGAATCACATCAGGGACCAGTCCTTCGACCTTCAACTTCTCGGAAACCACGTTCGAATTGGAGCGGAGTCCGGCTTCATTGCAAGCTTCCACCTTGAACTCGTACTCCTTTCCGGAGCCCAGTGCTCTCACATTGAAGCTTTCAGTGAACACGAGTTCCTCTCCGTTCAACTTCTGCCACTCTCCGCCATTCTCTCGCTTGTACACATCATATCCGTACACTGGAGAGCCTCCATCGTCGATCGGTTTTGGCCAGGTCAGCGAGCAAGATGTCGATGTCACATTCTCAATTCTCGGCGGGAATTCGATCGTCGGCACTTGGAACGGAGATCCGGTTTGCACTGGCTTCGTCTCGACGAATTCTCCGGTTCCAAACTTGTTCACAGCGGCGATTCGGATAATGTACGGGGTTTCGATTTCCAGATCGTCCACGATGTAGGAGTTCTTCTTTCCGTTGACCGTCGCAACTTTGTGGAACTTTCTTCTGCCGCTCTCCTTCTTCTCAATGAGATAAGAGGTGACTTCGGCGCCGTTGTTCTCAGCGGGGGCAGTCCACATTATGTGCAGGCAGTTGCTTTCCGCTTTCACGACGGAAACGTCTCCAGGAGCCGATGGGCTGTCGTTGACCTGAAAAACATCATTGAGGGGAGATTGACTTATGAATTTCTCACCTTTACATCAAACTTCTGCGTGACTTCTCCAAACTCGTTCTTCAGTTTCACCTCATACTCTCCCGAATCTGCCTTGCTCACTCCTCTCTTCGTGAGCTTCAACCCATCGTCCACAACATCGATACGACTTCTTCCGTCAAACTCTAACTCCTTTCCGTCAACGGACATGGAGAACGAGGCTTCTGGATTACTGTCATAGGCGACGTGAATGGAAAACTGATCATCCTTATCAACCTGAACAATATTTCAATTAGGAAATTGAATCATAACAGATTCAGGCGCGTTCGTTTGGGAGAAATTCGAAGGGATTGCGTGAAGTGAAGAGCAATGGAATGAAAAGGAAAAGGGCAGAAGTGCTCGAACAAAAAGGAATTGAATTGAAATGCGCGGGGAAGAGATTCTGGAATAACTTACGTGAATCACCGGTTTCTGCTCCGATACATTCTTCAGAACCGGCTTTCCTTGCACAGACAGATGGGTGCTGCAGTCGACTCCATCGCACTTGACAGTGTACTTTCCACTGTCCTCGTACTTGGCTCTTCTCAGCGTCAATGACACTGAGCATCCGATGGTGTCGATTGAGTAATCATTGCTGATCTCCAAAGGCTTTCCGTCTTTGAGCCAGACGACCTTGCTCACATCGATCGGATGGTTGAGAGTTACAGAAATCGTCACTTCTTGTCCTTCCTTTCCGGACGTCTTTCTTGGAAGATAATTGACAAAGTCAGTTGGCAGCTCTTCAACCTTCAGAACAGTCTTGTGAACTTCATCTCCACACTTGACAGTGACTTCCAAACCGGAATCCTCGGGTTGGACTTCGTCAATGATCAGGGTTCGGAAAAATGTGTGGGACATTTCGTGGTATCTTGAGTTCAAATCAGCGTCTTTTCCATTGACTTGCCACGTGACGGTGTCTTCTTCATTCACCAACTCTACCTCAATTTCCACGTTGTCCCCACGAAGAGCAAGCGTTTCGGATGCGAATGTTGAAGCGAAGCCAGTACGACGACGTCTTCTGCGGCCTTCGGAAGAAGTCTTGCTGGAAACACTCTGCTCATTGTCACTGAGGATTTCTGACGCCTTCCTCTTGATTGTGGCCGATGTGAACTCGCATGGCGACTCCTCCACAGTTTCAGGCTTCTTCCTTTGCTGGAGGGTGTAGTCTGATTCTTTCGTGGCTTCTGATTCGACAGCCGAATCCGTTGTGATCGACTTGCTTTCAGCAGTTCCCGTTGAATCTCCTTCTGGCTTGCTTGTTTCAACAGATGACGTGTCACTGATTACGGAATCCGATTTCTCGGTCTTCTTCTTCAAAACCTTCTTTTTCGGTTTCTCCTCGACATCGCTGATCTTTGAGACATCAGCAAGACTAGAATCACTGGCAACAGAATCACTCTTCTCCTTCTTCTTCTTGATGACGCGCTTCTTCGAAGCAGCTTCACCGGACGGTTCTTCCGGCTTTGGAAGTTTTCCATCGGTCTCCACTATGGCCTTGGCTTCGGAATCCTTCTTGGGTTTAGCATCGGCATCTTTCTTAGCCTCGTCTTCTTCCTTCACCTTGACTTCAGATGTCTTCTTGGTCTCCTCTTTCACCTTCTTTTCTTTGACCTCTGCTTCGACTGCCTTAGATTCCTGATCAACAGCTTTGTCCTTCTTAGCTTCCAGCTTCTTTTTGGCCTCTGTTTTAGCCTCGGAATCTTTCTTAGCTTCGGCATCTTTCTTAGCCTCGGCATCTTTCTTAGCTTCGGCATCTTTCTTAGCCTCGGCATCTTTCTTAGCTTCGGCATCTTTCTTAGCTTCGGCATCTTTCTTAGCCTCGTCTTCTTTCTTCATCTTGACTTCAGATGTCTTCTTGGTCTCCTCTTCCGCCTTCTTTGATTTCACTTCTGCTTCGACTGCCTTAGATTCCTGATCAACAGCTTTGTCCTTCTTAGCTTCCAGCTTCTTTTTGGCCTCTGTTTTAGCCTCGGAATCTTTCTTAGCTTCGGCATCTTTCTTAGCCTCGGCATCTTTCTTAGCTTCGGCATCTTTCTTAGCCTCGGCATCTTTCTTAGCTTCGGCATCTTTCTTAGCTTCGGCATCTTTCTTAGCCTCGTCTTCTTTCTTCATCTTGACTTCAGATGTCTTCTTGGTCTCCTCTTCCGCCTTCTTTGATTTCACTTCTGCTTCGACTGCCTTAGATTCCTGATCAACAGCTTTGTCCTTCTTAGCTTCCAGCTTCTTTTTGGCCTCTGTTTTAGCCTCGGAATCTTTCTTAGCTTCGGCATCTTTCTTAGCCTCGTCTTCTTTCTTCGTCTTGACTTCAGATGTCGTCATGGTCTCTTCTTTCACCTTCTTTTCCTTCACCTCTGCTTCGACGGCTTTAGATTCCTGATCAACAGCTTTGTCCTTCTTAGCTTCCAGCTTCTTTTTGGCCTCTGTTTTAGCCTCGGAATCTTTCTTAGCTTCGGCATCTTTCTTAGCTTCGGCATCTTTCTTAGCCTCGTCTTCTTTCTTCATCTTGACTTCAGATGTCTTCTTGGTCTCCTCTTCCGCCTTCTTTGATTTCACTTCTGCTTCGACTGCCTTAGATTCCTGATCAACAGCTTTGTCCTTCTTAGCTTCCAGCTTCTTTTTGGCCTCTGTTTTAGCCTCGGCACCTTTCTTAGCCTCGGAATCTTTCTTAGCTTCGGCATCTTTCTTGGCCTCGTCTTCTTTCTTCGTCTTGACTTCAGATGTCTTCTTGGTCTCCTCCTTCTTTTCTTTGACCTCTGCTTCGACGGGTTTAGATTCCTGATCAACAGCTTCGTCCTTCTTAGCTTCCACCTTCTGTTTCGGTTTCTCCTCAACATCGCTGATCTTTGAGACATCAGCAAGACTAGAATCACTGGCAACAGAATCACTCTTCTCCTTCTTCTTCTTGATGACGCGCTTTTTCGAAGCAGCTTCACCGGACGGTTCTTCCGGCTTTGGAGGTTTTCCATCGGTCTCCATTATGGTCTTGGTTTCGGAATCCTTCTTGGGTTTAGTCTCGACATTTATCTTAGCCTCGTCTTCTTCCTTCGTCTTGACTTCAGATGTCTTCTTGGTCTCTTCTTTCACCTTCTTTTCTTTGACCTCTGCTTCGACTGCCTTAGATTCCTGATCAACAGCTTCGTCCTTCTTAGCTTCCAGCTTCTTTTTGGCCTCTGTTTTAGCCTCGGAATCTTTCTTAGCTTCGGCATCTTTCTTAGCCTCGGCATCTTTCTTAGCTTCGGCATCTTTCTTAGCTTCGGCATCTTTCTTAGCTTCGGCATCTTTCTTAGCTTCGGCATCTTTCTTAGCCTCGGCATCTTTCTTAGCCTCGGCATCTTTCTTAGCTTCGGCATCTTTCTTAGCCTCGGCATCTTTCTTAGCCTCGGCATCTTTCTTAGCTTCGGCATCTTTCTTAGCCTCGGCATCTTTCTTAGCTTCGGCATCTTTCTTAGCTTCGGCATCTTTCTTAGCTTCGGCATCTTTCTTAGCCTCGGCATCTTTCTTAGCCTCGGCATCTTTCTTAGCTTCGGCATCTTTCTTAGCCTCGGCATCTTTCTTAGCCTCGGCATCTTTCTTAGCTTCGGCATCTTTCTTAGCCTCGGCATCTTTCTTAGCCTCGGCATCTTTCTTAGCTTCGGCATCTTTCTTAGCCTCGGCATCTTTCTTAGCCTCGGCATCTTTCTTAGCTTCGGCATCTTTCTTAGCCTCGGCATCTTTCTTAGCCTCGGCATCTTTCTTTGCTTTGGCATCTTTCTTAGCCTCGTCTTCTTTCTTCATCTTGACTTCAGATGTCTTCTTGGTCTCCTCTTCCGCCTTCTTTGCTTTCACTTCTGCTTCGACTGCCTTAGATTCCTGATCAACAGCTTTGTCCTTCTTAGCTTCCAGCTTCTTTTTGGCCTCTGTTTTAGCCTCGGAATCTTTCTTAGCTTCGGCATCTTTCTTAGCCTCGGCATCTTTCTTAGCTTCGGCATCTTTCTTAGCTTCGGCATCTTTCTTAGCTTCGGCATCTTTCTTAGCTTCGGCATCTTTCTTAGCCTCGGCATCTTTCTTAGCCTCGGCATCTTTCTTAGCTTCGGCATCTTTCTTAGCCTCGGCATCTTTCTTAGCCTCGGCATCTTTCTTAGCTTCGGCATCTTTCTTAGCCTCGGCATCTTTCTTAGCTTCGGCATCTTTCTTAGCCTCGGCATCTTTCTTAGCCTCGGCATCTTTCTTAGCCTCGTCTTCTTTCTTCGTCTTGACTTCAGATGTCGTCATGGTCTCTTCTTTCACCTTCTTTTCTTTGACCTCTGGTTCGACGGCTTTAGATTCCTGATCAACAGCTTCGTCCTTCTTAGCTTCCACCTTCTGTTTCGGTTTCTCCTCAACATCGCTGATCTTTGAGACATCAGCAAGACTAGAATCACTGGCAACAGAATCACTCTTCTCCTTCTTCTTCTTGATGACGCGCTTTTTGGAAGCAGCTTCACCGGACGGTTCTTCCGGCTTTGGAAGTTTTCCATCGGTCTCCACTATGGCCTTGGCTTCGGAATCCTTCTTGGGTTTAGCATCGGCATCTTTCTTAGCCTCGTCTTCTTCCTTCACCTTGACTTCAGATGTCTTCTTGGTCTCCTCTTCCGCCTTCTTTGCTTTCACCTCTGCTTCGACGGCTTTAGATTCCTGATCAACAGCTTCGTCCTTCTTAGCTTCCACCTTCTTTTTGGCCTCTGTTTTAGCCTCGGAATCTTTCTTAGCCTTCTTCTCGATGGTCGTCTTTTGTGCAACCTCCGCCTCGGTCTTGGCTACTGATTTCTTCTCAACAACTTTCTCAACTTGACCTTCTCCCAAAGTCTTCTTCTCGACCTTCTCCTCAGCTTCTTCCTAAAAAGGGGAAGTGCGTATGTGCATAGGGTAAAAGGAGAGAGCAGGAAGTGCTCGAGCGGGATCGTGATTCGTGCTCACGGAAGGATGATGTTCGGATGATTGTACAATTCTCTCCGAAAAGTTTATAGTTTTTTTTTCAAACTTTCAAATCCATCCGGACATCGTCATGCTATGGGCAATTTAAATAAACTAACCTTCTTTTCAGTCTTTGCCTGTTTCTCATCGGTCTTCTTCGGAGGAAGTCCTTCCTTCTTTCTGGCTTGATCGTCTGGAGTCTCGGAACGGCGTTTGAATGAGAACTCTGCCTTTTCTTTGGCACTCTCCACCTGAAATACGTGGTTGTTATCAACTTTTAGTTGTTTTCTTAGCGCAAACCTTCATAGAAACGCTCGCAGACAGTGGTTCAACTAGCGGCGTCTTTGCATCGGCACTTCCCTCACGCCCACGGATGGTCGCGGTGATGTTGGTCTCAGAGTGCATTGTGCTCGGATCACCGAATCGGGAACTGATCTCATCTGGGATGAACAAAGCCTTCGGAATCATCTTCTTCTTCCTTCCGGCCTCCGTTGGTGGAGTGCTTTCTTTGGAAGATGAAGTCGTTGTGGGCTCTTTTTTGACTTCAGTAGGCTTGGCTTCCGCTGGCTTAGAAACTGTTTCCTTCTTCGGCTTGACTGCCTTCTTTTCAGCTGTTTTCTTGCTTATCTCAACTGTCTCGACACGAACATCGGCTGGAGTGTCCTCGATCTTCGCCTCAACAAGGGAGCCCTCGATTGGAGCCTCGGCCGACTTCTCTCCCGTTGGCGGAGCGCTTTCTTTCGAAGATGAGGCCGGTGTGGGCTCTTTTTTGACTTCAGTAGGCTTGACTTCCGCTGGCTTAGAAACTGCTTCCTTCTTCGGCTTGGCTGCCTTGTTTTCTGCGGAGCTCTCGATTGGAGCTTCGGCCGCCTTCTCTCCAGTTGGTGGAGCGCTTTCTCTGGAAGATGAGGCCGCCGTGGGCTCTTTTTTGACTTCGGTAGGCTTGGCTTCCGCTGGCTTAGAAACTGCTTCCTTCTTCGGCTTGACCGCCTTCTTTTCAGCTGTTTTCTTGCTTATCTCAACTGTCTCGACACGAACATCGGCTGGAGTGTCCTCGATCTTCGCCTCAACAAGGGAGCCCTCGATTGGAGCCTCGGCCGACTTCTCTCCCGTTGGCGGAGCGCTTTCTTTCGAAGATGAGGCCGCCGTGGGCTCTTTTTTGACTTCGGTAGGCTTGGCTTCCGCTGGCTTAGAAACTGCATCCTTCTTCGGCTTGACTGCCTTCTTTTCGGCTGTTTTCTTAGTCGTCTTAGCCTCAGCGGTCTCTTCTTCCTTCGTCTTGACTTCAGAAGTCGTCTCGGTCTCGTCCTTCCTCGCCTTCTCTGCATCAGCCTTCTTTTCTTTGGATTCTGCTTCAACAGCCTTAGATTCTTGATCAACAGAGTAGTCCGTCTTAGATTTCTTTTTAGCCTTTACTTCATCATCCTTTTGCTCTTGAGTTTCAGTCTTAGCCTCAATTTCCGATGCGGCTTCATCGATCTTTTCAGCTTCCACAGCTGAATCTTCTACATCAGTTGTCTTGGAAGCACTTTCCGCCTCTCCCTTCTTCTTTACAACCTTCTTCTTGGCTTTCGTTCCGGCTTCTTGCAGCTCTTGAGTTTCAGATTTAGCGTCTTGTGCAGCGGGTTCATCGATCTTTTCAGATTCTACAGCTGAAGCTTCGATAACAGCTGAATTGAAAGAACTCTCCGTCTCCTCTTTCTTCTTCACAACCTTCTTCTTGGTCTTTGGCTTGGCTTCAGCTGACTTCTCCTCTTCAGTTACTTCTGACTTGCCTATCTCAGCAGGTTCATCAACAGATTTATCTTCATCACGAGATTCTGAAACGAAATAATTTAGATGTTACTATACAGTTATCGGCATATATCATTTCTGTCTGAATCTCTGACCAACAAAATCTAACTCAAAAAACACAGAGCACAAGACAAAGACGACACCTTGGGACAAGTGGACAACGACATCAGAGAAACACCAAGCCTCTCCAGCCACGTTGATGGCCTGACACGCGTATTCGGCTTCCTCGTCTTTGCAGATATCCTTGAGAATGAGCCAATGCTTGCGCATCTCGTCCTCGTGACGGATTTCCATCTGAAAATGAATATGAAATGATTGGGAGAGTTTTTTCCCTAAAATAACTGACCCTCTCTCCGCTGTCGGTTCTCTCGTCGATCAGCTTTCCGTCCCTGTAGAATCTGACCTGTGGCTCTGGCTCTCCGAGCGTCTCCACCATCATCACTACATTCTCTCCCACGATCGCATCGTGATCCGAGAGAATCTTGTCGAATCGCGGTGGAATCAGTTGAGTCAGCCGCGGCGCGTTCGGATTCTTCCTCTCCACCACCCGCTTTGTTCTTCTCTTTCTCTTTTTCTTCGCATCATCCAGTTCGGAATCGGAAGACGCTTCCATGATCCGACGTCCTCTCTGAAGACGTCTTCTTCGGTTGAAGTGCTCGTCATCCGGATACTCTTCACAGTCGACGAACACTTGGAAATTGCAACTGTCGACACCGGCAAGGTTCTCCACGAGAAGACTGTAATCGTCGTCATCCTCGAATGTGCAGTTGGCAATCCGAGCCTCGAACTCTCCGTCAGAGTGGTAATCCAACTGATATTTGGTGGATGGCACCATCATATCGATTTCCTTTCCGTTCTTAATCCAGATCAGTTCAGGCAACGGGTAGCCTTCAACCTTTCCGCTCAACGTGGCTGTGTCTCCTTCCTTCACTTGCACATCTTCAACCGGGGCCAATATTCCAGCCGATTTGTGCGTTTCTGGGAGGTCGTCTATGAAACTTCCAGAATCACGAACGTCCAGAAGGATTGTGCACTTGTCCACTCCGAAATCGTTTTTGGCTTCGAACACGAGCTTGCCACCATCAATCTTGCGGATCTCCATGATTTTCACATTGAACGTGTGCTCGGCGCCTCTGCTGAATCCTTCGAAGGCCATCTTGTCGAAGTTGTCAACCGGGAAATCGTTGCGGTACATTCGAATCTGTAAAATGGATACTCTTTGATGAAGAAAAAACGTCACTTACCAATGGGACCTCATCGGCCACCACCTTGATTGTGAATGCCACCACGTCTCCTTCAATACACCCGATGTACTGCATCTTCTTCGCAAACGCAGGAATCTTCATCGCCAGCTCCTTTCCTTCCATGTAATCGCTCGGATCCCTCTTCCTTCTCCTTCTCTTCTCAACTCTAACTCCATGCTCGTCGAATGTGATGCTCTCGGCGTCGCTGAACTCTCCATCCTGCGAGATTGCCGAGATTATGAACTTCTTCTTCTTTTTGACAGGTCCAGCCTCCGAAGTGCTAGCTCCGGCTTCAGTTTCCGAGTCGTCTGACCAGTCAACCGTTTCGGCTTGGCAAATCTTCAGAGTAAGTTCCCGTTGTGGCACTTTAACCTCAGCGTCGGCCTTGGAGTCGGATGGTTTGGTGAAGGACAGATCGGAATCTTGAAAAGCTAGAGAATCTGAATCTTTAGCGGATTGTGCCGAGAAAGAAGCGTCCGCCTGGGCTCCGTGGGACGACAAATCGAATCCCACATTGTTTTCGGCGAAAGAAGCCTTTTCTTGCTCGGCCTTCTTCGTCAGATTCTTTGAAGTTTTTGATTCCTCTTCAGATTTCTCAAAGCTCGAGATCAAATTAGCCTTAGCTTCCTTCCCCTTCTTCACAGTCTTCATAGCTTTTCCACGGCTCTTCGTGTCTTCTGCTTGATTCACCGAAGCCATGTCATCTGCAGACTCCAACTTGACATCTTTTGACACTTCTCCATAACTCGTCGCATCTCCTTCCACACTCAACATCTTTCCAGTAGACGCTCCGAGCTCATTTTCGGTCGACTTATCGAATGAGATTCCAGAATCGGCGACTGAAAGCGAAGTGGTGTCGTGTCGTCCATCCACCGAGAGAGTGTCAGTCACTGTTTGCTTCTCCGGCTTCTTCTTCAGTGTTGTCTTTCTTCGACTCTCGGCGTACTTATCCTCAGCAGACTGCTTTCCAGTGATTGTCTGCTGCTCTGTTGACTCTCGAGCTTCTTCTTGAGCCAAGGCAGCATCGGTTTCAGCCATCGTCAACGAATCGGAGTCGTTCTCTTGTTTTCCGTCTTCTGCAATCAACATCCTCGTCTCAGCATGTTGCTCATCACTTTCCAACTTGTGCTCGCTGTCGAGATGACTCAAAGAAGCAACGGCATTCATATCTTCAGCAGTTCCGTGGGACGCTTTACCCGACTCTTCATCCTTTGAGATGTGAGCGTCTGATGATGTCATCGAGAACTCATCTGTCGCTTTCAGATCTTTCGACTCTGCACCGGTGATATTCTTCGTTGCTCCAGCCTCTGCTCCTTTCTTGTGCTTCTTAGCCCTCAGCTTCTGCTCACTGTAGCTATCCTTGTCTGCTTGTACTGACTGCTGATCGGCAAGTGATGCTTCGGCTGACTCTTGAGCATCTCGGTCCTTTTCAAAACCAGCATTGGCTCCAGAGATGGTGAGTTTGTCCTGTTTCGATTGAGATGTCGAATGAGCTTCAGCATGACCAGATTCTGTTTTCTTCTTCTTCGAACTCTTCAGAGTTTTTTCACTGTACGCATCTGACGCTTCAGTCTTAGTTGCCCCGGTTCCAATGGATTTCTCAGCATGATCGTAAGCTCCCGTGAAGTCGGCGTCTACATCCGTGACCGTGAGCACATCCGCAGCGGACATCGGGCTCTTTCCTCCAGTTTCCGCTGCTCCCTTTGCTCCGTCTCGTATCAAATCACCAGAAACACTCGCCACTCTCTCCTCGTACTCGGCTCGTTCCTCATCCTGCTGCTCCACAGTGGCAGACGCCTCGCCAGACTCGGCTCCCTTTCCGAATACTCCTTCTTGACTCGCGACGCTCATCGACTCTTTGTCCTTTTGAGATCCGGCCAAGTTCTTTGAAGCGCTTTTCTTAGAAGTTTTCTTCTTTAAATCGGCGCCGCTGTGAGTATCAGCAAGGCTTGTAGCGTCCTCATTGACCAGATCAATCTGTCCAAACGCTGATATTTCGACACTAGACCTTCGAAGTTCGGGATTCACTTCGGAGACTGTCAACGAATTAGAGTCCTGACGAGTGGGTCCTGTTGAGCCAATGGACGTTTCAGCTTCTCCCAACTGCTCGGCTCTCTTGAACTTTCTGCCTTTCGAGATCTCTGCATAGGCTCCTTGAGCATCTTGAGCTTCTCCTTGCGAAGTTTCCGTTCCTTGAGAGTCTTCATTTTTTGCTAACGCTTTGTTCCTGGAGACTTCGGAGTACTGATCAGAGGAAAAATCGGCAGTTGCTAAATTGGCGTCCACTTCAGCTCTGGAAAGTTTGTTCGAATCGTCGAGTTCTGCTGAAGTAGCGGATACGGAGAGCTGATCTTTGGCTTTGTTCTTTTGAGCCAAAGAGTTCGAAACTTCCGAATCCTTGCCTTTCCGTGATTTCTTTACATGCCTCGTCTGCTCAGTATAACTCTCTTTCTCCGTTTCGGCTGCTTCTCCGATCATTTTTGACGCTCCGAGTTCTTCTTCTTCTTTTTTCAGGCTAGCCCTCTTTCCAACACTGGCCAGACTGTCCTTTCCACTCACACTTTCCCAGTCTTGAAGCTTTGTTTCTGCTGATCCTGCCTCTTCATCCTTCAATAATTTCTGATTCCTCTCGTTGACGCTGAGCCGATCTTGAGCCTTGGCATCTTCCGCAAACATCATTTCAGCCATTTCCTCGTCGTCCATAAACTTGTCCAGCTCAGAAGTCAGGCTCTGCTCAGCAAAGCTCGTCTTTGTTCGTTTCAAAGGAGCTGGAGCTTTCAGTGACTTCTCAGCGCTCTCAGATTCCTCAGCTTTTCCGAACTTTCCCTTCTTTCCTGTGATAGCCAATGAATCCGTATCCTTTTCAGAGTCTCCGAGATTCTTTTCTGCGTCCGCTCCCGTCTCTTTCTTCTTGGCTCCCTTCTTTGATCTCAACGTGGTCTCCTCGAATGAAGACTTCTCCTTCGCCAGTGCTTTCTCTTTTTTCTCAATCTCGGCTGCCGCTTCCTCAGGAGTCTTCATCACTTTCTTCTTGAGCCCAATGATGCTCATCTCATCTGCATCTTTGTTCTTCTCCGGAATCATCTCTTCGACAGAATCGGATTTGGTGGACGAGTCGAAGCTAACTCTCTTCCTTCGCATCGCCAACGACGTCTTTTCCTTGTTTTTCAGTGAGACAAGGTGTTCAGCCTCATCATTCGCTTCTTCCTCGCTCTTCGTCAGGCTATCATCCAGATTAGTGGTAGCCAGGGAAGTCTCCTCACGATTCTGAATGTTCTGGTTGGATTCGGAGCTCTCAGAAGCTCCTTTCTTCGACTTCTTGGCTCTTAACGTGGTCTCCGCAAGAGAATCCTTCGCATCTTGAGATCCTTTCACTTTAGCTCCGAACTCAGCCTCCGCAGCTTCTTCCTGACTCTTCTTCAGCTTCTTATTCTTCCCAGTAACCGCCAGTCCCGTCTTCTCTTCATTCGAAGTCACCAAGTTTCCAGATTGGATCTCCTCAGCGTCTTGCCGCGCCAACTTCTTGTTCACATCCTTTATAGCCATTGAGTACTCTTCTTGGTCTTTCTCTCCAAAGTTGAACATCGGAACTTCTTTCGATGCAGTCGGTTTTTGAGTATCAACGTTTACATCCCGCAGTTCCATTGAAGTTTTTTCGGAGGTTTTCTCATCGAAAACAGTGTCGTTGGCTTCTGAAGCTTCTTTCTTCTTCAGCTTCTTCTTCACATCCTTCACTTCCATCGACGTCTTCTCTGCGGTTTCATCGGCCAATTTTCCAGCTGCTTCCGCTTCTTTTGCCGCCTTCGCCGTGAGCTCTTCATAAAGATCTTTCAGGGTGAAGTTGTCCGCTTCCTCGACCTTTTCCTTGAGTTTCAGCTCCACGTCACCGCTTGAACCCTTCTTTTTAATCTTTTTGTTGAGCGATTGGATCGCCAGAGCGTCCTGGTCTTGAGAACTAACTCCAAAGTTTTGTGACGCTTCATGATCTTTGAATGCTCCAGAGGACAGCTCCGCATTCAGATCGTGAACACTCAGCTGATCCTGCTCTCCCGCTCCCAGGTTCAGAATCTTCGACGCTCCGTCCTTCTGTTCTTTCCTTTTCGCTTTCTTATTGAGCTCTTGCACGGAGAGCTCTGATTGCTCAGCTTCCTTGGTCTTTCCGGCTTTGCTCTCAATCTCCGCTTCCTCCTTCTCTCCCTTCTTGTTCACTGACTTGTTCAGCTCCAGAATAGACATTCCCGTCTGCTCACTTTCCTTGATCTTCTCCGCTTGACTCTCAAATTCAGTCTCCTCCTTCTCCGTTCTCTTCTTCATCGACTTATTGAGCTCCTGAACACTGAGCTCGGACTTCTCCTGCTCTTTCCTCTTCTTGACTCCTTTTTCGACAACAGTCTCTTCGTTCTCTTCTTTCTTCTTCATCTTTTTGTTCAGTTCCTGGACAGCCATCGAGTCAGAGTCCTTCTCCGATACTTTAGTCTTCAAGGCGCCCAATCCTGTCTGATTCTCCTCCTCGATCTTGTCAAACGCATACGTGGCACTGATGCCACTGCTTGTCGGATCGCTCGGAATCTCCTCTTCTTCGACCTCCACCACGTCCGCATCAATATCCGATTCTCTGATGTTTAAACTACGAGTGAGGCTCTTCCGGGTGCTTTTCCGCACTTGTCTCTCAGTTTGTCCGTGCTGTTCTGGCGAAGTGAACGTTGAGTTCAGATGAGTGCTCTTTTCGCTTCTGAAATTGGAATGCGCTACAGTAATGCAAGTACAATATCAGAGAACTTACTCTCCGGGAGCTGTTTGAGATGCGTTCTGATCTTTCTGCTCAGGTTTTTCACCGCCCTCAGTGCCATCTTTATCTTCACTTTCTGAAAATCGCCAAGTAAGCGTATATTTTTGAGTTAAAACCGGTACCTGTCCGATCTCTCTTCTTTTCCGCTTCCTGTGGCTTCTCTGGCTTTTTACCAACTGAAAATCATAGTGTTAACGTAGAGAAGATAGCGATCGAAAAAGCTGGGCCTAGTAATTTGGCGGAAAATCTTTTAAATTTGTCAGAAATAGCCCAGTTCTGAAGTAAATATGAAAAAAAGAGACTCCCTGCTGAAAAACCTTGCTTCAAATCTGAAATATCTGAAAAGCCAGAAACATTGACACAGATTTTGAGCATGCAACATCACACAACATGCAAGAGATTCAGAGATCAATGATATACCGTATCCTTCGCAAACTCACCACCGCCTGCAAAGTCTTCTGGAGCCGCAAGAACGCCAGCGTCATCTGCAACAAAACGAGTACGTTTGGAAGGAAAGAAAGAAGGAGCAAAGAGCACAAGGAAAGATACTATGCAATCTTTGACTTTGCGGGCACGCTTTTTCTCGGTAGGCAAAACGATGATTGCGCGAAGAAGAAGAAGAAAAAGTCTCGTCGTTTTGAACACGTGTTGACACATACTCTACTATGAGTGACAAGCGAGAAAGTCTTGAGGATGATTGGCGCGATGAGGAAGAAACGAACAAGTGTGAACATGGCGAGAACGTGACTGATGGTGATGAACTTGTGTACTAACTTTCTAGCACGGTGATTTTTTCTGGGGGCGCAGTGGAGACAAGATGATGGTTCGGCCCTCGTGCCGTGAACTCTCAGGCAAATTCGTTATCAAAAATATTCAAAGTGCGAAAGTTATAAGAACAATCGCAAGATATTGGCGCCGCGGATACCGAGACGCGTGCTCGAAGGAAATACGGCTATTTGGGCAGAATGGCAAATTCTTCTCCGCATTCAGTTTTTTCAGATTCTCTCCGTGCGCCAATCGACGAATGCGACGAAGATATGGTGCTCTCGCTCAAATGTAATCCGAAGCCGAAGCAGATGATACAAGTAGTTGATGGAATCTGCCCTTCTACCCAACCAACCACCTGTTTGTACAGTTGTTGACTTTTCACTTATCATTTTGATATCCACCAGGAAAAGAGCAACAAAAAGCGACGGGATTCGGTGGGGCGAATTTAGTCGTTTTTGTTTTTGCAAAAAAGACAAAGAGCAAAAATCGGATGAATGAGCCGTTCGTGAGAATCGAAAAGAGTGAAGGAGCATGAGGGAGAAAGAGCGGCACAATGTCAAGTGGACGAAAAACATGTAATTTGTGTGTGTGTGTGTATTTGTTCACTGTTTGTGAGAGTCTAAAAATTTCTAACCTTCACAGGAAAAGAACTGGGAGGGGGATATCCCATTGAGTCATCGCATCAAAAATCGGACAGCAAGAGGGCGAGAAATACAAATAAACAGAGAGGATGATAGTCGTAAACTTTTTCGCAGAATGAGGACACCGTTCCATCCAAATGTTCCCCATTATATGCTGCATGGAAAAAAGACAATACATGGAGATTTGGAATGTTCAGTAAGCTGAGAAGATTCAGCTGCCCAAGACAGTTTTAGAGATAGGAACTTGGGAGGAATGAGGAAGAGGTGTTACCAAACAATATCTTATCAACTGAAATGTATGCACCTTTCTCTCATGAGCCCTGACTAAGCTATAGTCTCAAAAGTGTTCAGTTCAGGTTGCCGGCTGAGCGCGCTCAAGCATCGAAACATGACGGTGAGTGGGAGAGAGAGAGGAAGATCACACGAGAAGAATTACATGGAATGCTGCGAGGATGGGCTGGAGGCGCAGGAAGCAAAGTGATTACGTACGTATGGTTTAGTGGGATCTCGCCCCTCGAGGCGCCTAGAGCATAAAGCCGAGAGCAAGGTCGAGGCGACGAGAATGTCAACAGTGCGCGGGGGCGAAAATCTGTCGCGCGAGGATTTCTGAGCGTGTCTGGGCTTCTGAGAATCGCAGGATCTTTCTTTTTCTCAATGGGGGATTAGCTATATGATGCGTTCTCCACGAGGCACCGCACTCACCTTCCTCTTCCGCGAGGGTCTCCGCTTCGATGGAATCTCCCGGAGCACTTTGACCTGCGGCATTGACGGCAATCACGCGGAACACGTACTCGGTGCCCGAGAACAGTCCGTCCACAATCGTCCTGGTACCAGTGACAGTGCAAGAATGTCTCCATCTTCCACTCTCCACCGTTTTCCTCTCCACGATGTACTCGATCACTTCACTTCCGTTCAGATCCTTCGGAGCCGACCATTGGAGAGTGATGCTTTCCGTTTCACGGCTGACCGCTTGAAGAGAACTTGGCTTGCCAGTCACGTCAATGACTTTTACTGGGATTTTCAGTTCGTCTTGAGAAGTTTCGTTCTTAACGATGACCTTAATCTCTCCAGAATCCTCAATCTTCAGCCGTTTCATTCTAATGGAAATAGTGTCATCCAAGTCGGTGACATCGGCACGAACACGCAACGGCTGATCGTTGTGAAGAAGCTCTATTTGTGTTGGAGCAGGGAAACCGGCAATCTGAAATGAACTAACTTAACAAAAGTAATATTTTACAATTTTACCTTAAGTGAAAGATCCAAATTCGTTCCAGCCATATACTCAGTCTGTGTTGTCGTCGATTCTAGGGTGACCTTGCATGGGACTCGCAACTCGAGTCTAGCCATTGCTGATCTGTATTCACTGTCGAACACTGCGTAGATGTTGCCGACGTCTTTTCCGTCGACATTCTTAATCACCAGAACCGAAGAATCGTCAGTCGTCTCGACGGTTGTCTTTCCGTACGCGACACGGATCTCCCTATTGTCTCTCATCCATTTCACACCGATTGGCTTTCGAGAGAAGGAAACTGAGAATTTGGCCTCTCCGAGCAGCTCGGTGACTGTTGTCGTTTGTGGCTGACTGGTGAACGGAGTGTCTTCTGCTTCGGAAGTCTGCGCCATGCGACTGTCAATGCCACTCTCGTCAGAATCGTTAGCTAGTTTGATAGTGGAAGCAGTTGACATTTCATCCGACTCGGTGACTGTGTCCAGGCTGAGACTGATGTCTGACTCCAGATCTTTTCTAGATTCGTCTGAGCTAATCTCGTCTGGTTTCTTCTCCACTGGTTGTTCATCGGACTTCTTTTCTGCCTTCTGAACCTTCTTCTTGATGACTTTCTTTTTGGCTTCTTTCTCTCCTTTGGCCTTAACAGTGCTGTCGGTTCCCTCATCGGCTGCGTTCTTGTCGTCGGCCTCTGTCTTCGTCTTGGCTTCGGCATCCTTCTGGGCCTTGTCGTCAGCGGTCTTCATGTCGTCGGTCTCCTTCTTTGTCTCGGCAGGTTTCTTGTCTTCAGACGTCACATCATCAGAACCATCCAATGTCTTCTCGGAATCGGCCTTCTTCTTTATCTTTTTCACCGCTTTGGTCTTCTTCTCATCGGATGCTTCTTTGACTTGCTCTTGCTTTTCCACTGCCGTTGCTTCGGATTCCACCTGTGTCGCTTCCTTGCTTTCAATGACAAGTTCTGCATCTGTCGTAACATCGATACTACTAGTGACGTCAATTTCTGATGTTGCTTCAATAAACGTTGCGATGGATTGAGTAGTTTGAGCGGCTACAGTTTCTTGGCTCTCGGATCTCTTCTTTGTCTTCTTGACCTTCTTCTTCAACGTCTGTGTTTCCTCCGCTTGAGATTCTTCCACCTTCAGCACTTCAATAGTTGCCTCTGCGTCCACGTCGCACGTGGCTTCATCGTCACGGCCCGTCTCCACATCAAAACTGACTTCAGCGACTTGCACATCAGTTGGTGGCTGGGCAACTTCTTCTCCAACAAACTCAAAGTTCTCCTCTTGATCATAATCCAATGTGTTCACTTCCACAATGTCACTCGGTGCACCTTCTCCGAACTCATTCACGGCGACAACTCTGAATGCGTAGAACTCGTTGGGCACAAGCTCCACAGCCGTGAACGTCTTCTCTTGATTGTGCCCGATGTTCCTCCATCTCCGGCTTTCCGTCAATCTTCTCTGAACGACGTAGTGCAGAATATCGGAGTCTCCAGTGTGTGGTGGCAGCCATTTGATGGTTGCAGAAGTGTCCGTGAGCTCGACAAGTTGAGCCTTTCTCGGTTTGAGCGGAGTGTCGACCATGGAAATGTGCAGGTCAGACTCGTCCTTTCCGTACTTGTTCTCGAGCACCACAGTGTATTCTCCATCGTCTTGCTTGCTCATCTTGGGGATGTAAAGCGAGGCGAGATTGCCGTAAACTTCATATTTCACATCGAAAGAGACCGGCTCTCCGTTGAGCAAGACACGTAGTCTGGGAGCAGGAGCACCAATGAACGTGAACTTGTAGGTGAACGATTTGCCAGCTTGATGGGTGATCGGATTAGTGAGTCTGAAAAAAGAGTGATTGGTCATCGAGCCATCCCAAACCGGGAAAACTTGCTTGTTCAAAATCATCGGCGGAGATGGTCCAGACAAGATCGCCGGCTGACTTCCAATGGATCCATCGATAAGGACATGGTACTTTCCCTTGTTCTGTGGCAAGAATTTTGAAAGTTTCAAGACTGTTTCCTTTCCAGATGTTTCAATTGCAACGTGTCCATCGGCCGCGAGAATCATACCATTGCAGAACCATTTGGCGTCGGTTATCGATTTAGACGTTCGGCACTTCAGAACAACTTCAGAGTCCATGTTCTCGATTGCTTGCGATGTCGGTTGTTCCACAATCGACTGGCCAGTAGTGATGGTGAAACTAACTTCCTCCTCTGCGCTTCCAAACGTCGTCGTCACTTCTTCTTTCTCTTCCTCCTTCCGAATTGTGTCTTCGTCTTGTTTTTTCGAGGAAAGGAGCACCTTCTGCTGTACTTCTTGAGTGTCTTCGTTTGGTGGGAACACGTCTATTCCATCATCAGCTGCCACATTGTCCAGACTGACATCACAATCAATTGAAGCGCTATCATCATCCGAATCGTAATCTTCGAAGATGCTCAGCTCCATTTGGTCGTAGTCGTAGAAGTTCAGATCAACAAGAGCATCTGTGTGAATCGACTCTTCGCCGGCTTCAATGTCAACATCCACGAAGATATCACTGGAACCAGAATTGCTTCTTTTGCGCTCGACACCACTAATTTCAGGCTTCAGATGAGCCACCGGCTTCTCGTCCTGCTCAGTCTCCTTCACGGCAATCTTTTCCCTCTTATGATGCTTCTTCTTCTTTTTCAGATGTTTTTTCGGCTTAGCCGGAGGGCTGAGAATGGACAATCCATCAATGACATCAGTTAGCAGACAGTCTGAAACAGTTAGTTGAAAAAGAAATAGATGCATCGAAAACTTACTGTCATCCAGTTTCTCAGGCCTCGCAGGATCTTTCTTTGTCGCACCAGACTTTTCGAATATTATTCCGATACCGATTCTATCGGTTCTTTGTTTGACAAATGCCTGAGAATGAAAATATTACCAATTGAAAAACAACAAGGAGTTGTAACTTACTGCATTGCAATAAACCTCCAAAGTGTATGGCTCTTCCGTACTGAGAAAAATGCGCTCGATAGGCGGAACCGTTCTGGTAACAATGACTGACTGCTGCTTACATTTCAGAATTGACGTGACTTCCACAGAAACTTCCTTTTTGTCCTCGACACGAACATCGGCTGGAGTGTCCTCGATCTTCGCCTCAACAAGGGAGCTCTCGATAAGAGCTTCGACCGCCTTCTCTTCAGTTGGTGGAGCGCTTTCTTTGGAAGATGAGGCCGGAGTGGGCTCTTTTTTGACTTCGGTAGGCTTTACTTCCGCTGGCTTTGAGACTGCTTCCTTCTTCTGCTTGGCTGTCTTGTTTTCTGCGGAGCTCTCGATTAGAGCTTCGGCCGCCTTCTCTCCAGTTGGTGGAGCGCTTTCTTTGGAAGATGAGGCCGGGGTGGGCTCTTTTTTGACTTCGGTAGGCTTGACTTCCGCTGGCTTAGAGACTGCTTCCTTCTTCTGCTTGGCTGTCTTGTTTTCTGCTGAGCTCTCGATTAAAGCTTCGGCCGCCTTCTCTCCAGTTGGTGGAGCGCTTTCTTTGGAAGATGAGGCCGGAGTGGGCTCTTTTTTGACTTCGGTAGGCTTTACTTCCGCTGGCTTAGAGACTGCTTCCTTCTTCTGCTTGGCTGTCTTGTTTTCTGCTGAGCTCTCGATTAGAGCTTCGGCCGCCTTCTCTCCAGTTGGTGGAGCGCTTTCTTTGGAAGATGAGGCCGGAGTGGGCTCTTTTTTGACTTCGGTAGGCTTGACTTCCGCTGGCTTAGAGACTGCTTCCTTCTTCTGCTTGGCTGTCTTGTTTTTCTGCTGAGCTCTCGATTAGAGCTTCGACCGCCTTCTCTCCAGTTGGTGGAGCGCTTTCTTTGGAAGATGAGGCCGGAGTGGGCTCTTTTTTTGACTTCGGTAGGCTTTACTTCCGCTGGCTTAGAGACTGCTTCCTTCTTCTGCTTGGCTGTCTTGTTTTCTGCGGAGCTCTCGATTAGAGCTTCGGCCGCCTTCTCTCCAGTTGGTGGAGCGCTTTCTTTGGAAGATGAGGCCGGAGTGGGCTCTTTTTTGACTTCGGTAGGCTTGACTTCCGCTGGCTTAGAGACTGCTTCCTTCTTCTGCTTGGCTGTCTTGTTTTCTGCTGAGCTCTCGATTAGAGCTTCGGCCGCCTTCTCTCCAGTTGGTGGAGCGCTTTCTTTGGAAGATGAGGCCGGAGTGGGCTCTTTTTTGACTTCGGTAGGATTGACTTCCGCTGGCTTAGAGACTGCTTCCTTCTTCTGCTTGGCTGTCTTGTTTTCTGCTGAGCTCTCGATTAGAGCTTCGACCGCCTTCTCTCCAGTTGGTGGAGCGCTTTCTTTGGAAGATGAGGCCGGAGTGGGCTCTTTTTTGACTTCGGTAGGCTTGACTTCCGCTGGCTTAGAGACTGCTTCCTTCTTCTGCTTGGCTGTCTTGTTTTCTGCTGAGCTCTCGATTAGAGCTTCGACCGCCTTCTCTCCAGTTGGTGGAGCGCTTTCTTTGGAAGATGAGGCCGGAGTGGGCTCTTTTTTGACTTCGGTAGGCTTGACTTCCGCTGGCTTAGAGACTGCTTCCTTCTTCTGCTTGGCTGTCTTGTTTTCTGCTGAGCTCTCGATTAGAGCTTCGGCCGCCTTCTCTCCAGTTGGTGGAGCGCTTTCTTTGGAAGATGAGGCCGGAGTGGGCTCTTTTTTGACTTCGGTAGGCTTGATTTCCGCTGGCTTGGAGACTGCTTCCTTCTTCTGCTTGGCTGTCTTGTTTTCTGCGGAGCTTTCGATTAGAGCTTCGGCCGCCTTCTCTCCAGTTGGTGGAGCGCTTTCTTTGGAAGATGAGGCCGGAGTGGGCTCTTTTTTGACTTCGGTAGGATTGACTTCCGCTGGCTTAGAGACTGCTTCCTTCTTCTGCTTGGCTGTCTTGTTTTCTGCGGAGCTCTCGATTAGAGCTTCGACCGCCTTCTCTCCAGTTGGTGGAGCGCTTTCTTTGGAAGATGAGGCCGGAGTGGGCTCTTTTTTGACTTCGGTAGGCTTTACTTCCGCTGGCTTGGAGACTGCTTCCTTCTTCTGCTTGGCTGTCTTGTTTTCTGCGGAGCTCTCGATTTGAGCTTCGGCCGCCTTCTCTCCAGTTGGTGGAGCGCTTTCTTTGGAAGATGAGGCCGGAGTGGGCTCTTTTTTGACTTCGGTAGGCTTGACTTCCGCTGGCTTAGAGACTGCTTCCTTCTTCTGCTTGGCTGTCTTGTTTTCTGCGGAGCTCTCGATTTGAGCTTCGGCCGCCTTCTCTCCAGTTGGTGGAGCGCTTTCTTTGGAAGATGAGGCCGGAGTGGGCTCTTTTTTGACTTCGGTAAGCTTGACTTCCGCTGGCTTAGAGACTGCTTCCTTCTTCTGCTTGGCTGTCTTGTTTTCTGCTGAGCTCTCGATTAGAGCTTCGGCCGCCTTCTCTCCAGTTGGTGGAGCGCTTTCTTTGGAAGATGAGGCCGGAGTGGGCTCTTTTTTTGACTTCGGTAGGCTTGACTTCCGCTGGCTTAGAGACTGCTTCCTTCTTCTGCTTGGCTGTCTTGTTTTCTGCGGAGCTCTCGATTTGAGCATCGGCCGCCTTCTCTCCAGTTGGTGGAGCGCTTTCTTTGGAAGATGAGGCCGGAGTGGGCTCTTTTTTGACTTCGGTAGGCTTGACTTCCGCTGGCTTAGAGACTGCTTCCTTCTTCTGCTTGGCTGTCTTGTTTTCTGCGGAGCTCTCGATTAGAGCTTCAGCCGCCTTCTCTCCAGTTGGTGGAGCGCTATCTTTGGAAGATGAGGCCGGAGTGGGCTCTTTTTTGACTTCGGTAGGCTTGACTTCCGCTGGCTTAGAGACTGCTTCCTTCTTCTGCTTGGCTGTCTTGTTTTCTGCGGAGCTCTCGATTAGAGCTTCGGCCGCCTTCTCTCCAGTTGGTGGAGCGCTTTCTTTGGAAGATGAGGCCGGAGTGGGCTCTTTTTTTGACTTCGGTAGGCTTGACTTCCGCTGGCTTAGAGACTGCTTCCTTCTTCTGCTTGGCTGTCTTGTTTTCTGCGGAGCTCTCGATTAGAGCTTCAGCCGCCTTCTCTCCAGTTGGTGGAGCGCTATCTTTGGAAGATGAGGCCGGAGTGGGCTCTTTTTTGACTTCGGTAGGCTTGACTTCCGCTGGCTTAGAGACTGCTTCCTTCTTCTGCTTGGCTGTCTTGTTTTCTGCTGAGCTCTCGATTAGAGCTTCGGCCGCCTTCTCTCCAGTTGGTGGAGCGCTTTCTTTGGAAGATGAGGCCGGGGTGGGCTCTTTTTTGACTTCGGTAGGCTTGACTTCCGCTGGCTTAGAGACTGCTTCCTTCTTCTGCTTGGCTGTCTTGTTTTCTGCGGAGCTCTCGATTAGAGCTTCGGCCGCCTTCTCTCCAGTTGGTGGAGCGCTTTCTTTGGAAGATGAGGCCGGAGTGGGCTCTTTTTTGACTTCGGTAGGCTTTACTTCCGCTGGCTTAGAGACTGCTTCCTTCTTCTGCTTGGCTGTCTTGTTTTCTGCGGAGCTTTCGATTAGAGCTTCGGCCGCCTTCTCTCCAGTTGGTGGAGCGCTTTCTTTGGAAGATGAGGCCGGGGTGGGCTCTTTTTTGACTTCGGTAGGCTTGACTTCCGCTGGCTTAGAGACTGCTTCCTTCTTCTGCTTGGCTGTCTTGTTTTCTGCTGAGCTCTCGATTAGAGCTTCGGCCGCCTTCTCTCCAGTTGGTGGAGCGCTTTCTTTGGAAGATGAGGCCGGAGTGGGCTCTTTTTGACTTCGGTAGGCTTGACTTCCGCTGGCTTAGAGACTGCTTCCTTCTTCTGCTTGGCTGTCTTGTTTTCTGCTGAGCTCTCGATTAGAGCTTCGGCCGCCTTCTCTCCAGTTGGTGGAGCGCTTTCTTTGGAAGATGAGGCCGGGGTGGGCTCTTTTTGACTTCGGTAGGCTTGACTTCCGCTGGCTTAGAGACTGCTTCCTTCTTCTGCTTGGCTGTCTTGTTTTCTGCTGAGCTCTCGATTAAAGCTTCGGCCGCCTTCTCTCCAGTTGGTGGAGCGCTTTCTTTGGAAGATGAGGCCGGAGTGGGCTCTTTTTGACTTCGGTAGACTTCCGCTGGCTTAGAGACTGCTTCCTTCTTCTGCTTGGCTGTCTTGTTTTTCTGCTGAGCTCTCGATTAGAGCTTCGGCCGCCTTCTCTCCAGTTGGTGGAGCGCTTTCTTTGGAAGATGAGGCCGGAGTGGGCTCTTTTTGACTTCGGTAGGCTTGACTTCCGCTGGCTTAGAGACTGCTTCCTTCTTCTGCTTGGCTGTCTTGTTTTTCTGCTGAGCTCTCGATTAGAGCTTCGACCGCCTTCTCTCCAGTTGGTGGAGCGCTTTCTTTGGAAGATGAGGCCGGAGTGGGCTCTTTTTTGACTTCGGTAGGCTTTACTTCCGCTGGCTTAGAGACTGCTTCCTTCTTCTGCTTGGCTGTCTTGTTTTCTGCGGAGCTCTCGATTAGAGCTTCGACCGCCTTCTCTCCAGTTGGTGGAGCGCTTTCTTTGGAAGATGAGGCCGGAGTGGGCTCTTTTTTGACTTCGGTAGGCTTTACTTCCGCTGGCTTAGAGACTGCTTCCTTCTTCTGCTTGGCTGTCTTGTTTTCTGCGGAGCTCTCGATTAGAGCTTCGGCCGCCTTCTCTCCAGTTGGTGGAGCGCTTTCTTTGGAAGATGAGGCCGGAGTGGGCTCTTTTTTGACTTCGGTAGGCTTTACTTCCGCTGGCTTAGAGACTGCTTCCTTCTTCTGCTTGGCTGTCTTGTTTTCTGCTGAGCTCTCGATTAGAGCTTCGGCCGCCTTCTCTCCAGTTGGTGGAGCGCTTTCTTTGGAAGATGAGGCCGGAGTGGGCTCTTTTTTGACTTCGGTAGGCTTGATTTCCGCTGGCTTGGAGACTGCTTCCTTCTTCTGCTTGGCTGTCTTGTTTTCTGCGGAGCTTTCGATTAGAGCTTCGGCCGCCTTCTCTCCAGTTGGTGGAGCGCTTTCTTTGGAAGATGAGGCCGGAGTGGGCTCTTTTTTGACTTCGGTAGGATTGACTTCCGCTGGCTTAGAGACTGCTTCCTTCTTCTGCTTGGCTGTCTTGTTTTCTGCGGAGCTCTCGATTAGAGCTTCGACCGCCTTCTCTCCAGTTGGTGGAGCGCTTTCTTTGGAAGATGAGGCCGGAGTGGGCTCTTTTTTGACTTCGGTAGGCTTTACTTCCGCTGGCTTGGAGACTGCTTCCTTCTTCTGCTTGGCTGTCTTGTTTTCTGCGGAGCTCTCGATTTGAGCTTCGGCCGCCTTCTCTCCAGTTGGTGGAGCGCTTTCTTTGGAAGATGAGGCCGGAGTGGGCTCTTTTTTGACTTCGGTAAGCTTGACTTCCGCTGGCTTAGAGACTGCTTCCTTCTTCTGCTTGGCTGTCTTGTTTTCTGCTGAGCTCTCGATTAGAGCTTCGGCCGCCTTCTCTCCAGTTGGTGGAGCGCTTTCTTTGGAAGATGAGGCCGGAGTGGGCTCTTTTTTGACTTCGGTAGGCTTGACTTCCGCTGGCTTGGAGACTGCTTCCTTCTTCTGCTTGGCTGTCTTGTTTTCTGCGGAGCTCTCGATTTGAGCTTCGGCCGCCTTCTCTCCAGTTGGTGGAGCGCTTTCTTTGGAAGATGAGGCCGGAGTGGGCTCTTTTTTGACTTCGGTAGGCTTTACTTCCGCTGGCTTGGAGACTGCTTCCTTCTTCTGCTTGGCTGTCTTGTTTTCTGCGGAGCTCTCGATTTGAGCTTCGGCCGCCTTCTCTCCAGTTGGTGGAGCGCTTTCTTTGGAAGATGAGGCCGGAGTGGGCTCTTTTTTGACTTCGGTAGGCTTGACTTCCGCTGGCTTAGAGACTGCTTCCTTCTTCTGCTTGGCTGTCTTGTTTTCTGCGGAGCTCTCGATTTGAGCATCGGCCGCCTTCTCTCCAGTTGGTGGAGCGCTTTCTTTGGAAGATGAGGCCGGAGTGGGCTCTTTTTGACTTCGGTAGGCTTGACTTCCGCTGGCTTAGAGACTGCTTCCTTCTTCTGCTTGGCTGTCTTGTTTTTCTGCTGAGCTCTCGATTAGAGCTTCGGCCGCCTTCTCTCCAGTTGGTGGAGCGCTTTCTTTGGAAGATGAGGCCGGAGTGGGCTCTTTTTGACTTCGGTAGGCTTGACTTCCGCTGGCTTGAGACTGCTTCCTTCTTCTGCTTGGCTGTCTTGTTTTTCTGCTGAGCTCTCGATTAGAGCTTCGGCCGCCTTCTCTCCAGTTGGTGGAGCGCTTTCTTTGGAAGATGAGGCCGGAGTGGGCTCTTTTTTTGACTTCGGTAGGCTTGACTTCCGCTGGCTTAGAGACTGCTTCCTTCTTCTGCTTGGCAGTCTTGTTTTCTGCGGAGCTCTCGATTAGAGCTTCGGCCGCCTTCTCTCCAGTTGGTGGAGCGCTTTCTTTGGAAGATGAGGCCGGAGTTTGCTCTTTTTTGACTTCGGTAGGCTTGACTTCCGCTGGCTTAGAGACTGCTTCCTTCTTCTGCTTGGCTGTCTTGTTTTCTGCTGAGCTCTCGATTAGAGCTTCGGCCGCCTTCTCTCCAGTTGGTGGAGCGCTTTCTTTGGAAGATGAGGCCGGAGTGGGCTCTTTTTTGACTTCGGTAGGCTTGACTTCCGCTGGCTTGGAGACTGCTTCCTTCTTCTGCTTGGCTGTCTTGTTTTCTGCGGAGCTCTCGATTTGAGCTTCGGCCGCCTTCTCTCCAGTTGGTGGAGCGCTTTCTTTGGAAGATGAGGCCGGAGTGGGCTCTTTTTGACTTCGGTAGGCTTGACTTCCGCTGGCTTAGAGACTGCTTCCTTCTTCTGCTTGGCAGTCTTGTTTTCTGCGGAGCTCTCGATTAGAGCTTCGACCGCCTTCTCTCCAGTTGGTGGAGCGCTTTCTTTGGAAGATGAGGCCGGAGTGGGCTCTTTTTTGACTTCGGTAAGCTTGACTTCCGCTGGCTTAGAGACTGCTTCCTTCTTCTGCTTGGCTGTCTTGTTTTCTGCTGAGCTCTCGATTAGAGCTTCGGCCGCCTTCTCTCCAGTTGGTGGAGCGCTTTCTTTGGAAGATGAGGCCGGAGTGGGCTCTTTTTTGACTTCGGTAGGCTTGACTTCCGCTGGCTTGGAGACTGCTTCCTTCTTCTGCTTGGCTGTCTTGTTTTCTGCGGAGCTCTCGATTTGAGCTTCGGCCGCCTTCTCTCCAGTTGGTGGAGCGCTTTCTTTGGAAGATGAGGCCGGAGTGGGCTCTTTTTGACTTCGGTAGGCTTTACTTCCGCTGGCTTGGAGACTGCTTCCTTCTTCTGCTTGGCTGTCTTGTTTTCTGCGGAGCTCTCGATTTGAGCTTCGGCCGCCTTCTCTCCAGTTGGTGGAGCGCTTTCTTTGGAAGATGAGGCCGGAGTGGGCTCTTTTTTGACTTCGGTAGGCTTGACTTCCGCTGGCTTAGAGACTGCTTCCTTCTTCTGCTTGGCTGTCTTGTTTTCTGCGGAGCTCTCGATTTGAGCATCGGCCGCCTTCTCTCCAGTTGGTGGAGCGCTTTCTTTGGAAGATGAGGCCGGAGTGGGCTCTTTTTTGACTTCGGTAGGCTTGACTTCCGCTGGCTTAGAGACTGCTTCCTTCTTCTGCTTGGCTGTCTTGTTTTCTGCTGAGCTCTCGATTAGAGCTTCGGCCGCCTTCTCTCCAGTTGGTGGAGCGCTTTCTTTGGAAGATGAGGCCGGAGTGGGCTCTTTTTTGACTTCGGTAGGCTTGACTTCCGCTGGCTTAGAGACTGCTTCCTTCTTCTGCTTGGCTGTCTTGTTTTCTGCTGAGCTCTCGATTAGAGCTTCGGCCGCCTTCTCTCCAGTTGGTGGAGCGCTTTCTTTGGAAGATGAGGCCGGAGTGGGCTCTTTTTTGACTTCGGTAGGCTTGACTTCCGCTGGCTTAGAGACTGCTTCCTTCTTCTGCTTGGCTGTCTTGTTTTCTGCTGAGCTCTCGATTAGAGCTTCGGCCGCCTTCTCTCCAGTTGGTGGAGCGCTTTCTTTGGAAGATGAGGCCGGAGTGGGCTCTTTTTTGACTTCGGTAGGCTTGACTTCCGCTGGCTTAGAGACTGCTTCTTTCTTCTGCTTGGCTGTCTTGTTTTCTGCTGAGCTCTCGATTAGAGCTTCGGCCGCCTTCTCTCCAGTTGGTGGAGCGCTTTCTTTGGAAGATGAGGCCGGAGGGGGCTCTTTTTTGACTTCGGTAGGCTTGACTTCCGCTGGCTTAGAGACTGCTTCCTTCTTCTGCTTGGCAGTCTTGTTTTCTGCGGAGCTCTCGATTAGAGCTTCGGCCGCCTTCTCTTCAGTTGGTGGAGCGCTTTCTTTGGAAGATGAGGCCGGAGTGGGCTCTTTTTTGACTTCGGTAGGCTTGACTTCCGCTGGCTTAGAGACTGCTTCCTTCTTCTGCTTGGCTGTCTTGTTTTCTGCTGAGCTCTCGATTAGAGCTTCGGCCGCCTTCTCTCCAGTTGGTGGAGCGCTTTCTTTGGAAGATGAGGCCGGAGTGGGCTCTTTTTTGACTTCGGTAGGCTTGACTTCCGCTGGCTTAGAGACTGCTTCTTTCTTCTGCTTGGCTGTCTTGTTTTCTGCTGAGCTCTCGATTAGAGCTTCGGCCGCCTTCTCTCCAGTTGGTGGAGCGCTTTCTTTGGAAGATGAGGCCGGAGGGGGCTCTTTTTTGACTTCGGTAGGCTTGACTTCCGCTGGCTTAGAGACTGCTTCCTTCTTCTGCTTGGCAGTCTTGTTTTCTGCTGAGCTCTCGATTTGAGCTTCGGCCGCCTTCTCTCCAGTTGGTGGAGCGCTTTCTTTGGAAGATGAGGCCGGAGTGGGCTCTTTTTTGACTTCGGTAGGCTTGACTTCCGCTGGCTTAGAGACTGCTTCCTTCTTCTGCTTGGCTGTCTTGTTTTTCTGCGGAGCTCTCGATTTGAGCTTCGGCCGCCTTCTCTCCAGTTGGTGGAGCGCTTTCTTTGGAAGATGAGGCCGGAGTGGGCTCTTTTTGACTTCGGTAGGCTTGACTTCCGCTGGCTTAGAGACTGCTTCCTTCTTCTGCTTGGCAGTCTTGTTTTCTGCGGAGCTCTCGATTAGAGCTTCGGCCGCCTTCTCTCCAGTTGGTGGAGCGCTTTCTTTGGAAGATGAGGCCGGAGTGGGCTCTTTTTTGACTTCGGTAGGCTTGACTTCCGCTGGCTTAGAGACTGCTTCCTTCTTCTGCTTGGCAGTCTTGTTTTCTGCGGAGCTCTCGATTAGAGCTTCGGCCGCCTTCTCTCCAGTTGGTGGAGCGCTTTCTTTGGAAGATGAGGCCGGAGTTTGCTCTTTTTTGACTTCGGTAGGCTTGACTTCCGCTGGCTTAGAGACTGCTTCCTTCTTCTGCTTGGCAGTCTTGTTTTCTGCGGAGCTCTCGATTAGAGCTTCGGCCGCCTTCTCTCCAGTTGGTGGAGCGCTATCTTTGGAAGATGAGGCCGGAGTGGGCTCTTTTTTGACTTCGGTAGGCTTGATTTCCGCTGGCTTGGAGACTGCTTCCTTCTTCTGCTTGGCTGTCTTGTTTTCTGCGGAGCTCTCGATTAGAGCTTCGGCCGCCTTCTCTCCAGTTGGTGGAGCGCTTTCTTTGGAAGATGAGGCCGGAGTGGGCTCTTTTTTGACTTCGGTAGGCTTGACTTCCGCTGGCTTAGAGACTGCTTCCTTCTTCTGCTTGGCTGTCTTGTTTTCTGCGGAGCTCTCGATTAGAGCTTCGGCCGCCTTCTCTCCAGTTGGTGGAGCGCTTTCTTTGGAAGATGAGGCCGGAGTGGGCTCTTTTTTGACTTCGGTAGGCTTGACTTCCGCTGGCTTAGAGACTGCTTCCTTCTTCTGCTTGGCTGTCTTGTTTTCTGCGGAGCTCTCGATTAGAGCTTCGGCCGCCTTCTCTCCAGTTGGTGGAGCGCTTTCTTTGGAAGATGAGGCCGGAGTGGGCTCTTTTTTGACTTCGGTAGGCTTGACTTCCGCTGGCTTAGAGACTGCTTCCTTCTTCTGCTTGGCTGTCTTGTTTTCTGCTGAGCTCTCGATTAGAGCTTCGGCCGCCTTCTCTCCAGTTGGTGGAGCGCTTTCTTTGGAAGATGAGGCCGGAGTGGGCTCTTTTTTGACTTCGGTAGGCTTGACTTCCGCTGGCTTGGAGACTGCTTCCTTCTTCTGCTTGGCTGTCTTGTTTTCTGCGGAGCTCTCGATTAGAGCTTCGGCCGCCTTCTCTCCAGTTGGTGGAGCGCTTTCTTTGGAAGATGAGGCCGGAGTGGGCTCTTTTTTGACTTCGGTAGGCTTGATTTCCGCTGGCTTGGAGACTGCTTCCTTCTTCTGCTTGGCTGTCTTGTTTTCTGCGGAGCTCTCGATTAGAGCTTCAGCCGCCTTCTCTCCAGTTGGTGGAGCGCTTTCTTTGGAAGATGAGGCCGGAGTGGGCTCTTTTTTTGACTTCGGTAGGCTTGACTTCCGCTGGCTTAGAGACTGCTTCCTTCTTCTGCTTGGCTGTCTTGTTTTTCTGCTGAGCTCTCGATTAGAGCTTCGGCCGCCTTCTCTCCAGTTGGTGGAGCGCTTTCTTTGGAAGATGAGGCCGGAGTGGGCTCTTTTTTGACTTCGGTAGGCTTGATTTCCGCTGGCTTGGAGACTGCTTCCTTCTTCTGCTTGGCTGTCTTGTTTTCTGCGGAGCTCTCGATTAGAGCTTCGGCCGCCTTCTCTCCAGTTGGTGGAGCGCTTTCTTTGGAAGATGAGGCCGGAGTGGGCTCTTTTTTGACTTCGGTAGGCTTGACTTCCGCTGGCTTAGAGACTGCTTCCTTCTTCTGCTTGGCTGTCTTGTTTTCTGCGGAGCTCTCGATTAGAGCTTCGGCCGCCTTCTCTCCAGTTGGTGGAGCGCTTTCTTTGGAAGATGAGGCCGGAGTGGGCTCTTTTTGACTTCGGTAGGCTTGACTTCCGCTGGCTTGAGACTGCTTCCTTCTTCTGCTTGGCTGTCTTGTTTTTCTGCGGAGCTCTCGATTAGAGCTTCAGCCGCCTTCTCTCCAGTTGGTGGAGCGCTATCTTTGGAAGATGAGGCCGGAGTGGGCTCTTTTTTGACTTCGGTAGGCTTGACTTCCGCTGGCTTAGAGACTGCTTCCTTCTTCTGCTTGGCTGTCTTGTTTTCTGCGGAGCTCTCGATTAGAGCTTCAGCCGCCTTCTCTCCAGTTGGTGGAGCGCTATCTTTGGAAGATGAGGCCGGAGTGGGCTCTTTTTTGACTTCGGTAGGCTTGATTTCCGCTGGCTTGGAGACTGCTTCCTTCTTCTGCTTGGCTGTCTTGTTTTCTGCGGAGCTCTCGATTAGAGCTTCAGCCGCCTTCTCTCCAGTTGGTGGAGCGCTATCTTTGGAAGATGAGGCCGGAGTGGGCTCTTTTTTGACTTCGGTAGGCTTGACTTCCGCTGGCTTAGAGACTGCTTCCTTCTTCTGCTTGGCTGTCTTGTTTTTCTGCGGAGCTCTCGATTAGAGCTTCGGCCGCCTTCTCTCCAGTTGGTGGAGCGCTTTCTTTGGAAGATGAGGCCGGAGTGGGCTCTTTTTGACTTCGGTAGGCTTGACTTCCGCTGGCTTAGAGACTGCTTCCTTCTTCTGCTTGGCTGTCTTGTTTTTCTGCGGAGCTCTCGATTAGAGCTTCGGCCGCCTTCTCTCCAGTTGGTGGAGCGCTTTCTTTGGAAGATGAGGCCGGAGTGGGCTCTTTTTGACTTCGGTAGGCTTGACTTCCGCTGGCTTAGAGACTGCTTCCTTCTTCTGCTTGGCTGTCTTGTTTTCTGCGGAGCTCTCGATTAGAGCTTCGGCCGCCTTCTCTCCAGTTGGTGGAGCGCTATCTTTGGAAGATGAGGCCGGAGTGGGCTCTTTTTGACTTCGGTAGGCTTGACTTCCGCTGGCTTAGAGACTGCTTCCTTCTTCTGCTTGGCTGTCTTGTTTTCTGCGGAGCTCTCGATTAGAGCTTCAGCCGCCTTCTCTCCAGTTGGTGGAGCGCTATCTTTGGAAGATGAGGCCGGAGTGGGCTCTTTTTTGACTTCGGTAGGCTTGACTTCCGCTGGCTTAGAGACTGCTTCCTTCTTCTGCTTGGCTGTCTTGTTTTTCTGCTGAGCTCTCGATTAGAGCTTCGGCCGCCTTCTCTCCAGTTGGTGGAGCGCTTTCTTTGGAAGATGAGGCCGGAGTGGGCTCTTTTTGACTTCGGTAGGCTTTACTTCCGCTGGCTTAGAGACTGCTTCCTTCTTCTGCTTGGCTGTCTTGTTTTTCTGCGGAGCTCTCGATTAGAGCTTCGGCCGCCTTCTCTCCAGTTGGTGGAGCGCTTTCTTTGGAAGATGAGGCCGGAGTGGGCTCTTTTTGACTTCGGTAGGCTTGACTTCCGCTGGCTTAGAGACTGCTTCCTTCTTCTGCTTGGCTGTCTTGTTTTTCTGCGGAGCTCTCGATTAGAGCTTCGACCGCCTTCTCTCCAGTTGGTGGAGCGCTTTCTTTGGAAGATGAGGCCGGAGTGGGCTCTTTTTGACTTCGGTAGGCTTGACTTCCGCTGGCTTAGAGACTGCTTCCTTCTTCTGCTTGGCTGTCTTGTTTTTCTGCGGAGCTCTCGATTAGAGCTTCGGCCGCCTTCTCTCCAGTTGGTGGAGCGCTTTCTTTGGAAGATGAGGCCGGAGTGGGCTCTTTTTGACTTCGGTAGGCTTGATTTCCGCTGGCTTAGAGACTGCTTCCTTCTTCTGCTTGGCTGTCTTGTTTTTCTGCGGAGCTCTCGATTAGAGCTTCGGCCGCCTTCTCTCCAGTTGGTGGAGCGCTTTCTTTGGAAGATGAGGCCGGAGTGGGCTCTTTTTGACTTCGGTAGGCTTGATTTCCGCTGGCTTAGAGACTGCTTCCTTCTTCTGCTTGGCTGTCTTGTTTTTCTGCGGAGCTCTCGATTAGAGCTTCGGCCGCCTTCTCTCCAGTTGGTGGAGCGCTTTCTTTGGAAGATGAGGCCGGAGTGGGCTCTTTTTTGACTTCGGTAGGCTTGACTTCCGCTGGCTTAGAGACTGCTTCCTTCTTCTGCTTGGCTGTCTTGTTTTCTGCGGAGCTCTCGATTAGAGCTTCGGCCGCCTTCTCTCCAGTTGGTGGAGCGCTTTCTTTGGAAGATGAGGCCGGAGTGGGCTCTTTTTTGACTTCGGTAGGCTTGATTTCCGCTGGCTTAGAGACTGCTTCCTTCTTCTGCTTGGCTGTCTTGTTTTCTGCGGAGCTCTCGATTAGAGCTTCGGCCGCCTTCTCTCCAGTTGGTGGAGCGCTTTCTTTGGAAGATGAGGCCGGAGTGGGCTCTTTTTTGACTTCGGTAGGCTTGATTTCCGCTGGCTTAGAGACTGCTTCCTTCTTCTGCTTGGCTGTCTTGTTTTCTGCGGAGCTCTCGATTAGAGCTTCGGCCGCCTTCTCTCCAGTTGGTGGAGCGCTTTCTTTGGAAGATGAGGCCGGAGTGGGCTCTTTTTGACTTCGGTAGGCTTGACTTCCGCTGGCTTAGAGACTGCTTCCTTCTTCTGCTTGGCTGTCTTGTTTTTCTGCGGAGCTCTCGATTAGAGCTTCGGCCGCCTTCTCTCCAGTTGGTGGAGCGCTATCTTTGGAAGATGAGGCCGGAGTGGGCTCTTTTTGACTTCGGTAGGCTTGACTTCCGCTGGCTTAGAGACTGCTTCCTTCTTCTGCTTGGCTGTCTTGTTTTTCTGCTGAGCTCTCGATTAGAGCTTCGGCCGCCTTCTCTCCAGTTGGTGGAGCGCTTTCTTTGGAAGATGAGGCCGGAGTGGGCTCTTTTTTGACTTCGGTAGGCTTGATTTCCGCTGGCTTGGAGACTGCTTCCTTCTTCTGCTTGGCTGTCTTGTTTTCTGCGGAGCTCTCGATTAGAGCTTCGGCCGCCTTCTCTCCAGTTGGTGGAGCGCTATCTTTGGAAGATGAGGCCGGAGTGGGCTCTTTTTTGACTTCGGTAGGCTTGATTTCCGCTGGCTTGGAGACTGCTTCCTTCTTCTGCTTGGCTGTCTTGTTTTCTGCGGAGCTCTCGATTAGAGCTTCGGCCGCCTTCTCTCCAGTTGGTGGAGCGCTTTCTTTGGAAGATGAGGCCGGAGTGGGCTCTTTTTTGACTTCGGTAGGCTTGACTTCCGCTGGCTTAGAGACTGCTTCCTTCTTCTGCTTGGCTGTCTTGTTTTCTGCGGAGCTCTCGATTAGAGCTTCGGCCGCCTTCTCTCCAGTTGGTGGAGCGCTTTCTTTGGAAGATGAGGCCGGAGTGGGCTCTTTTTTGACTTCGGTAGGCTTGACTTCCGCTGGCTTAGAGACTGCTTCCTTCTTCTGCTTGGCTGTCTTGTTTTTCTGCTGAGCTCTCGATTAGAGCTTCGGCCGCCTTCTCTCCAGTTGGTGGAGCGCTTTCTTTGGAAGATGAGGCCGGAGTGGGCTCTTTTTGACTTCGGTAGGCTTGATTTCCGCTGGCTTGGAGACTGCTTCCTTCTTCTGCTTGGCTGTCTTGTTTTCTGCGGAGCTCTCGATTAGAGCTTCGGCCGCCTTCTCTCCAGTTGGTGGAGCGCTTTCTTTGGAAGATGAGGCCGGAGTGGGCTCTTTTTTGACTTCGGTAGGCTTGACTTCCGCTGGCTTAGAGACTGCTTCCTTCTTCTGCTTGGCTGTCTTGTTTTCTGCTGAGCTCTCGATTAGAGCTTCGGCCGCCTTCTCTCCAGTTGGTGGAGCGCTTTCTTTGGAAGATGAGGCCGGAGTGGGCTCTTTTTTGACTTCGGTAGGCTTGACTTCCGCTGGCTTAGAGACTGCTTCCTTCTTCTGCTTGGCTGTCTTGTTTTCTGCTGAGCTCTCGATTAGAGCTTCGGCCGCCTTCTCTCCAGTTGGTGGAGCGCTTTCTTTGGAAGATGAGGCCGGAGTGGGCTCTTTTTTGACTTCGGTAGGCTTGAATTCCGCTGGCTTGGAGACTGCTTCCTTCTTCTGCTTGGCTGTCTTGTTTTCTGCGGAGCTCTCGATTAGAGCTTCGGCCGCCTTCTCTCCAGTTGGTGGAGCGCTTTCTTTGGAAGATGAGGCCGGAGTGGGCTCTTTTTTGACTTCGGTAGGCTTGACTTCCGCTGGCTTAGAGACTGCTTCCTTCTTCTGCTTGGCTGTCTTGTTTTCTGCGGAGCTCTCGATTAGAGCTTCAGCCGCCTTCTCTCCAGTTGGTGGAGCGCTATCTTTGGAAGATGAGGCCGGAGTGGGCTCTTTTTTGACTTCGGTAGGCTTGATTTCCGCTGGCTTGGAGACTGCTTCCTTCTTCTGCTTGGCTGTCTTGTTTTCTGCGGAGCTCTCGATTAGAGCTTCAGCCGCCTTCTCTCCAGTTGGTGGAGCGCTATCTTTGGAAGATGAGGCCGGAGTGGGCTCTTTTTTGACTTCGGTAGGCTTGACTTCCGCTGGCTTAGAGACTGCTTCCTTCTTCTGCTTGGCTGTCTTGTTTTCTGCGGAGCTCTCGATTAGAGCTTCAGCCGCCTTCTCTCCAGTTGGTGGAGCGCTTTCTTTGGAAGATGAGGCCGGAGTGGGCTCTTTTTTGACTTCGGTAGGCTTGACTTCCGCTGGCTTAGAGACTGCTTCCTTCTTCTGCTTGGCTGTCTTGTTTTCTGCTGAGCTCTCGATTAGAGCTTCGGCCGCCTTCTCTCCAGTTGGTGGAGCGCTTTCTTTGGAAGATGAGGCCGGAGTGGGCTCTTTTTTGACTTCGGTAGGCTTGATTTCCGCTGGCTTGGAGACTGCTTCCTTCTTCTGCTTGGCTGTCTTGTTTTCTGCGGAGCTCTCGATTAGAGCTTCGGCCGCCTTCTCTCCAGTTGGTGGAGCGCTTTCTTTGGAAGATGAGGCCGGAGTGGGCTCTTTTTGACTTCGGTAGGCTTGACTTCCGCTGGCTTAGAGACTGCTTCCTTCTTCTGCTTGGCTGTCTTGTTTTTCTGCGGAGCTCTCGATTAGAGCTTCGGCCGCCTTCTCTCCAGTTGGTGGAGCGCTTTCTTTGGAAGATGAGGCCGGAGTGGGCTCTTTTTGACTTCGGTAGGCTTGACTTCCGCTGGCTTAGAGACTGCTTCCTTCTTCTGCTTGGCTGTCTTGTTTTTCTGCGGAGCTCTCGATTAGAGCTTCGGCCGCCTTCTCTCCAGTTGGTAGAGCGCTTTCTTTGGAAGATGAGGCCGGAGTGGGCTCTTTTTGACTTCGGTAGGCTTGACTTCCGCTGGCTTAGAGACTGCTTCCTTCTTCTGCTTGGCTGTCTTGTTTTCTGCGGAGCTCTCGATTAGAGCTTCGGCCGCCTTCTCTCCAGTTGGTGGAGCGCTTTCTTTGGAAGATGAGGCCGGAGTGGGCTCTTTTTTGACTTCGGTAGGCTTGACTTCCGCTGGCTTAGAGACTGCTTCCTTCTTCTGCTTGGCTGTCTTGTTTTCTGCGGAGCTCTCGATTTGAGCTTCGGCCGCCTTCTCTCCAGTTGGTGGAGCGCTTTCTTTGGAAGATGAGGCCGGAGTGGGCTCTTTTTTGACTTCGGTAGGCTTTACTTCCGCTGGCTTAGAGACTGCTTCCTTCTTCTGCTTGGCTGTCTTGTTTTCTGCGGAGCTCTCGATTAGAGCTTCGGCCGCCTTCTCTCCAGTTGGTGGAGCGCTTTCTTTGGAAGATGAGGCCGGAGTGGGCTCTTTTTTGACTTCGGTTGGCTTGACTTCCGCTGGCTTAGAGACTGCTTCCTTCTTCTGCTTGGCTGTCTTGTTTTCTGCGGAGCTCTCGATTAGAGCTTCGGCCGCCTTCTCTCCAGTTGGTGGAGCGCTTTCTTTGGAAGATGAGGCCGGAGTGGGCTCTTTTTTGACTTCGGTAGGCTTGACTTCCGCTGGCTTAGAGACTGCTTCCTTCTTCTGCTTGGCTGTCTTGTTTTCTGCGGAGCTCTCGATTTGAGCTTCGGCCGCCTTCTCTCCAGTTGGTGGAGCGCTTTCTTTGGAAGATGAGGCCGGAGTGGGCTCTTTTTGACTTCGGTAGGCTTTACTTCCGCTGGCTTAGAGACTGCTTCCTTCTTCTGCTTGGCTGTCTTGTTTTTCTGCGGAGCTCTCGATTAGAGCTTCGGCCGCCTTCTCTCCAGTTGGTGGAGCGCTTTCTTTGGAAGATGAGGCCGGAGTGGGCTCTTTTTGACTTCGATAGGCTTGACTTCCGCTGGCTTAGAGACTGCTTCCTTCTTCTGCTTGGCTGTCTTGTTTTCTGCGGAGCTCTCGATTAGAGCTTCGGCCGCCTTCTCTCCAGTTGGTGGAGCGCTTTCTTTGGAAGATGAGGCCGGAGTGGGCTCTTTTTTGACTTCGGTAGGCTTGACTTCCGCTGGCTTAGAGACTGCTTCCTTCTTCTGCTTGGCTGTCTTGTTTTCTGCTGAGCTCTCGATTAGAGCTTCGGCCGCCTTCTCTCCAGTTGGTGGAGCGCTATCTTTGGAAGATGAGGCCGGAGTGGGCTCTTTTTTGACTTCGGTAGGCTTGATTTCCGCTGGCTTGGAGACTGCTTCCTTCTTCTGCTTGGCTGTCTTGTTTTCTGCGGAGCTCTCGATTAGAGCTTCGGCCGCCTTCTCTCCAGTTGGTGGAGCGCTTTCTTTGGAAGATGAGGCCGGAGTGGGCTCTTTTTTGACTTCGGTAGGCTTTACTTCCGCTGGCTTAGAGACTGCTTCCTTCTTCTGCTTGGCTGTCTTGTTTTTCTGCGGAGCTCTCGATTAGAGCTTCGGCCGCCTTCTCTCCAGTTGGTGGAGCGCTTTCTTTGGAAGATGAGGCCGGAGTGGGCTCTTTTTGACTTCGATAGGCTTGACTTCCGCTGGCTTAGAGACTGCTTCCTTCTTCTGCTTGGCTGTCTTGTTTTCTGCGGAGCTCTCGATTAGAGCTTCGGCCGCCTTCTCTCCAGTTGGTGGAGCGCTTTCTTTGGAAGATGAGGCCGGAGTGGGCTCTTTTTTGACTTCGGTAGGCTTGACTTCCGCTGGCTTAGAGACTGCTTCCTTCTTCTGCTTGGCTGTCTTGTTTTCTGCTGAGCTCTCGATTAGAGCTTCGGCCGCCTTCTCTCCAGTTGGTGGAGCGCTATCTTTGGAAGATGAGGCCGGAGTGGGCTCTTTTTTGACTTCGGTAGGCTTGATTTCCGCTGGCTTGGAGACTGCTTCCTTCTTCTGCTTGGCTGTCTTGTTTTCTGCGGAGCTCTCGATTAGAGCTTCGGCCGCCTTCTCTCCAGTTGGTGGAGCGCTTTCTTTGGAAGATGAGGCCGGAGTGGGCTCTTTTTTGACTTCGGTAGGCTTGACTTCCGCTGGCTTAGAGACTGCTTCCTTCTTCTGCTTGGCTGTCTTGTTTTCTGCTGAGCTCTCGATTAGAGCTTCGGCCGCCTTCTCTCCAGTTGGTGGAGCGCTATCTTTGGAAGATGAGGCCGGAGTGGGCTCTTTTTTGACTTCGGAAGGCTTGATTTCCGCTGGCTTGGAGACTGCTTCCTTCTTCTGCTTGGCTGTCTTGTTTTTCTGCGGAGCTCTCGATTAGAGCTTCGGCCGCCTTCTCTCCAGTTGGTGGAGCGCTTTCTTTGGAAGATGAGGCCGGAGTGGGCTCTTTTTGACTTCGGTAGGCTTGACTTCCGCTGGCTTAGAGACTGCTTCCTTCTTCTGCTTGGCTGTCTTGTTTTCTGCTGAGCTCTCGATTAGAGCTTCGGCCGCCTTCTCTCCAGTTGGTGGAGCGCTATCTTTGGAAGATGAGGCCGGAGTGGGCTCTTTTTGACTTCGGTAGGCTTGATTTCCGCTGGCTTGGAGACTGCTTCCTTCTTCTGCTTGGCTGTCTTGTTTTCTGCGGAGCTCTCGATTAGAGCTTCGGCCGCCTTCTCTCCAGTTGGTGGAGCGCTATCTTTGGAAGATGAGGCCGGAGTGGGCTCTTTTTTGACTTCGGTAGGCTTGATTTCCGCTGGCTTGGAGACTGCTTCCTTCTTCTGCTTGGATGTCTTGTTTTCTGCGGAGCTCTCGATTAGAGCTTCGGCCGCCTTCTCTCCAGTTGGTGGAGCGCTTTCTTTGGAAGATGAGGCCGGAGTGGGCTCTTTTTTGACTTCGGTAGGCTTTACTTCCGCTGGCTCAGAGACTGCTTCCTTCTTCTGCTTGGCAGTCTTGTTTTCTGCGGAGCTCTCGATTAGAGCTTCGACCGCCTTCTCTCCAGTTGGTGGAGCGCTTTCTTTGGAAGATGAGGCCGGAGTGGGCTCTTTTTTGACTTCGGTAGGCTTGACTTCCGCTGGCTTAGAGACTGCTTCCTTCTTCTGCTTGGCAGTCTTGTTTTCTGCGGAGCTCTCGATTAGAGCTTCGGCCGCCTTCTCTCCAGTTGGTGGAGCGCTTTCTTTGGAAGATGAGGCCGGAGTGGGCTCTTTTTTGACTTCGGTAGGCTTGACTTCCGCTGGCTTAGAGACTGCTTCCTTCTTCTGCTTGGCAGTCTTGTTTTCTGCGGAGCTCTCGATTAGAGCTTCGGCCGCCTTCTCTCCAGTTGGTGGAACGCTTTCTTTGGAAGATGAGGCCGGAGTGGGCTCTTTTTTGACTTCGGTAGGCTTTACTTCCGCTGGCTTAGAGACTGCTTCCTTCTTCTGCTTGGCAGTCTTGTTTTCTGCGGAGCTCTCGATTAGAGCTTCGACCGCCTTCTCTCCAGTTGGTGGAGCGCTTTCTTTGGAAGATGAGGCCGGAGTGGGCTCTTTTTTGACTTCGGTAGGCTTGACTTCCGCTGGCTTAGAGACTGCTTCCTTCTTCTGCTTGGCAGTCTTGTTTTCTGCGGAGCTCTCGATTAGAGCTTCGGCCGCCTTCTCTCCAGTTGGTGGAACGCTTTCTTTGGAAGATGAGGCCGGAGTGGGCTCTTTTTTGACTTCGGTAGGCTTTACTTCCGCTGGCTTTGAGACTGCTTCCTTCTTCTGCTTGGCTGTCTTGTTTTCTGCGGAGCTCTCGATTAGAGCTTCGACCGCCTTCTCTCCAGTTGGTGGAGCGCTTTCTTTGGAAGATGAGGCCGGAGTGGGCTCTTTTTTGACTTCGGTAGGCTTGATTTCCGCTGGCTTGGAGACTGCTTCCTTCTTCTGCTTGGCTGTCTTGTTTTCTGCGGAGCTCTCGATTAGAGCTTCGACCGCCTTCTCTCCAGTTGGTGGAGCGCTTTCTTTGGAAGATGAGGCCGGAGTGGGCTCTTTTTTGACTTCGGTAGGCTTGACTTCCGCTGGCTTGGAGACTGCTTCCTTCTTCTGCTTGGCTGTCTTGTTTTCTGCGGAGCTCTCGATTAGAGCTTCGGCTTGCTTCTCCTCAGCTTTCACTGCTTCAACAGGTGCGGTCTCCGCTGGAACTTCGGCTTGCTTCTCCTCAACTTTCACTGCTTCAACCGGTGCGGTCTCCGCTGGGACTTCGGCTTGCTTCTCCTCAACTTTCACTGCTTCAACTGGAGCGGTTTCCGCTAGAACTTCGGCTTGCTTCTCCTCAGCTTTCACTGCTTCAACAGGAGCGGTCTCCGCTGGAACTTCGGCTTGCTTCTCCTCAACTTTCACTGCTTCAACCGGAGCGGTCTCCACTGGAACTTCGGCTTGCTTCTCCTCAACTTTCACTGCTTCAACCGGAGCGGTCTCCGCTGGAACTTCGGCTTGCTTCTCCTCAACTTTCACTGCTTCAACCGGAGCGGTCTCCGCTGGAACTTCGGCTTGCTTCTCCTCAACTTTCACTGCTTCAACCGGAGCGGTCTCCGCTGGAACTTCGGCTTGCTTCTCCTCAACTTTCACTGCTTCAACCGGAGCGGTCTCCGCTGGAACTTCGGCTTGCTTCTCCTCAACTTTCACTGCTTCAACCGGAGCGGTCTCCGCTGGAACTTCGGCTTGCTTCTCCTCAACTTTCACTGCTTCAACCGGAGCGGTCTCCGCTGGAACTTCGGCTTGCTTCTCCTCAACTTTCACTGCTTCAACCGGAGCGGTCTCCGCTGGAACTTCGGCTTGCTTCTCCTCAACTTTCACTGCTTCAACCGGAGCGGTCTCCGCTGGAACTTCGGCTTGCTTCTCCTCAACTTTCACTGCTTCAACCGGAGCGGTCTCCGCTGGAACTTCGGCTTGCTTCTCCTCAACTTTCACTGCTTCAACCGGAGCGGTCTCCGCTGGAACTTCGGCTTGCTTCTCCTCAACTTTCACTGCTTCAACCGGAGCGGTCTCCGCTGGAACTTCGGCTTGCTTCTCCTCAACTTTCACTGCTTCAACCGGAGCGGTCTCCGCTGGAACTTCGGCTTGCTTCTCCTCAACTTTCACTGCTTCAACCGGAGCGGTCTCCGCTGGAACTTCGGCTTGCTTCTCCTCAACTTTCACTGCTTCAACCGGAGCGGTCTCCGCTGGAACTTCGGCTTGCTTCTCCTCAACTTTCACTGCTTCAACCGGAGCGGTCTCCGCTGGAACTTCGGCTTGCTTCTCCTCAACTTTCACTGCTTCAACCGGAGCGGTCTCCGCTGGAACTTCGGCTTGATTCTCCTCAACTTTCACTGCTTCAACCGGAGCGGTCTCCGCTTCAACTTCGGCTGAGGTTGCCTCAACAACAATTTGTGATTTTGAAACAGTCATCTCGATGAACTCGAAGCATTCCATCAACAAGTCAAGTTCCAGACCAGACAAAATCTCTGCCTGAGAGAAGAAAAGATCAACTTCGACGTCTGTTTTGAGTTTTTTCTCGGTGAGTTTCACTTCCACGACTTCGGTCTCCGCTGGAACTTCGGCTTGCTTCTCCTCAACTTTCACTGCTTCAACCGGAGCGGTCTCCGCTGGAACTTCGGCTTGCTTCTCCTCAACTTTCACTGCTTCAACCGGAGCGGTCTCCGCTGGAACTTCCGCTGAGGTTGCCTCAACAACAATTTGTGATTTTGAGACAGTCATCTCGATGAACTCGAAGCTTTCCATCAACAAGTCAAGTTCCAGACCAGACAAAATCTCTGCCTGAGAGAAGAAAAGATCAACTTCGACGTCTGTTGGAAGTTTTTCCTCGGTGAGTTTCACTTCCCCGATTTCGGTCTCCGCTGGAACTTCGGCTTGCTTCTCCTCAACTTTCACTGCTTCAACCGGAGCGGTCTCCGCTGGAACTTCGGCTTGCTTCTCCTCAACTTTCACTGCTTCAACCGGAGCGGTCTCCGCTGGAACTTCGGCTTGCTTCTCCTCAACTTTCACTGCTTCAACCGGAGCGGTCTCCGCTGGAACTTCGGCTTGCTTCTCCTCAACTTTCACTGCTTCAACCGGAGCGGTCTCCGCTGGAACTTCGGCTTGCTTCTCCTCAACTTTCACTGCTTCAACCGGAGCGGTCTCCGCTGGAACTTCGGCTTGCTTCTCCTCAACTTTCACTGCTTCAACCGGAGCGGTCTCCGCTGGAACTTCGGCTTGCTTCTCCTCAACTTTCACTGCTTCAACCGGAGCGGTCTCCGCTGGAACTTCGGCTTGCTTCTCCTCAACTTTCACTGCTTCAACCGGAGCGGTCTCCGCTGGAACTTCGGCTTGCTTCTCCTCAACTTTCACTGCTTCAACCGGAGCGGTCTCCGCTGGAACTTCGGCTTGCTTCTCCTCAACTTTCACTGCTTCAACCGGAGCGGTCTCCGCTGGAACTTCGGCTTGCTTCTCCTCAACTTTCACTGCTTCAACCGGAGCGGTCTCCGCTGGAACTTCGGCTTGCTTCTCCTCAACTTTCACTGCTTCAACCGGAGCGGTCTCCGCTGGAACTTCGGCTTGCTTCTCCTCAACTTTCACTGCTTCAACCGGAGCGGTCTCCGCTGGAACTTCGGCTTGCTTCTCCTCAACTTTCACTGCTTCAACCGGAGCGGTCTCCGCTGGAACTTCGGCTTGCTTCTCCTCAACTTTCACTGCTTCAACCGGAGCGGTCTCCGCTGGAACTTCGGCTTGCTTCTCCTCAACTTTCACTGCTTCAACCGGAGCGGTCTCCGCTGGAACTTCGGCTTGCTTCTCCTCAACTTTCACTGCTTCAACCGGAGCGGTCTCCGCTGGAACTTCGGCTTGCTTCTCCTCAACTTTCACTGCTTCAACCGGAGCGGTCTCCGCTGGAACTTCGGCTTGCTTCTCCTCAACTTTCACTGCTTCAACCGGAGCGGTCTCCGCTGGAACTTCGGCTTGCTTCTCCTCAACTTTCACTGCTTCAACCGGAGCGGTCTCCGCTGGAACTTCGGCTTGCTTCTCCTCAACTTTCACTGCTTCAACCGGAGCGGTCTCCGCTGGAACTTCGGCTTGCTTCTCCTCAACTTTCACTGCTTCAACCGGAGCGGTCTCCGCTGGAACTTCGGCTTGCTTCTCCTCAACTTTCACTGCTTCAACCGGAGCGGTCTCCGCTGGAACTTCGGCTTGCTTCTCCTCAACTTTCACTGCTTCAACCGGAGCGGTCTCCGCTGGAACTTCGGCTTGCTTCTCCTCAACTTTCACTGCTTCAACCGGAGCGGTCTCCGCTGGAACTTCGGCTTGCTTCTCCTCAACTTTCACTGCTTCAACCGGAGCGGTCTCCGCTGGAACTTCGGCTTGCTTCTCCTCAACTTTCACTGCTTCAACCGGAGCGGTCTCCGCTGGAACTTCGGCTTGCTTCTCCTCAACTTTCACTGCTTCAACCGGAGCGGTCTCCGCTGGAACTTCGGCTTGCTTCTCCTCAACTTTCACTGCTTCAACCGGAGCGGTCTCCGCTGGAACTTCGGCTTGCTTCTCCTCAACTTTCACTGCTTCAACCGGAGCGGTCTCCGCTGGAACTTCGGCTTGCTTCTCCTCAACTTTCACTGCTTCAACCGGAGCGGTCTCCGCTGGAACTTCGGCTTGCTTCTCCTCAACTTTCACTGCTTCAACCGGAGCGGTCTCCGCTGGAACTTCGGCTTGCTTCTCCTCAACTTTCACTGCTTCAACCGGAGCGGTCTCCGCTGGAACTTCGGCTTGCTTCTCCTCAACTTTCACTGCTTCAACCGGAGCGGTCTCCGCTGGAACTTCGGCTTGCTTCTCCTCAACTTTCACTGCTTCAACCGGAGCGGTCTCCGCTGGAACTTCGGCTTGCTTCTCCTCAACTTTCACTGCTTCAACCGGAGCGGTCTCCGCTGGAACTTCGGCTTGCTTCTCCTCAACTTTCACTGCTTCAACCGGAGCGGTCTCCGCTGGAACTTCGGCTTGCTTCTCCTCAACTTTCACTGCTTCAACCGGAGCGGTCTCCGCTGGAACTTCGGCTTGCTTCTCCTCAACTTTCACTGCTTCAACCGGAGCGGTCTCCGCTGGAACTTCGGCTTGCTTCTCCTCAACTTTCACTGCTTCAACCGGAGCGGTCTCCGCTGGAACTTCGGCTTGCTTCTCCTCAACTTTCACTGCTTCAACCGGAGCGGTCTCCGCTGGAACTTCGGCTTGCTTCTCCTCAACTTTCACTGCTTCAACCGGAGCGGTCTCCGCTGGAACTTCGGCTTGCTTCTCCTCAACTTTCACTGCTTCAACCGGAGCGGTCTCCGCTGGAACTTCGGCTTGCTTCTCCTCAACTTTCACTGCTTCAACCGGAGCGGTCTCCGCTGGAACTTCGGCTTGCTTCTCCTCAACTTTCACTGCTTCAACCGGAGCGGTCTCCGCTGGAACTTCGGCTTGCTTCTCCTCAACTTTCACTGCTTCAACCGGAGCGGTCTCCGCTGGAACTTCGGCTTGCTTCTCCTCAACTTTCACTGCTTCAACCGGAGCGGTCTCCGCTGGAACTTCGGCTTGCTTCTCCTCAACTTTCACTGCTTCAACCGGAGCGGTCTCCGCTGGAACTTCGGCTTGCTTCTCCTCAACTTTCACTGCTTCAACCGGAGCGGTCTCCGCTGGAACTTCGGCTTGCTTCTCCTCAACTTTCACTGCTTCAACCGGAGCGGTCTCCGCTGGAACTTCGGCTTGCTTCTCCTCAACTTTCACTGCTTCAACCGGAGCGGTCTCCGCTGGAACTTCGGCTTGCTTCTCCTCAACTTTCACTGCTTCAACCGGAGCGGTCTCCGCTGGAACTTCGGCTTGCTTCTCCTCAACTTTCACTGCTTCAACCGGAGCGGTCTCCGCTGGAACTTCGGCTTGCTTCTCCTCAACTTTCACTGCTTCAACCGGAGCGGTCTCCGCTGGAACTTCGGCTTGCTTCTCCTCAACTTTCACTGCTTCAACCGGAGCGGTCTCCGCTGGAACTTCGGCTTGCTTCTCCTCAACTTTCACTGCTTCAACCGGAGCGGTCTCCGCTGGAACTTCGGCTTGCTTCTCCTCAACTTTCACTGCTTCAACCGGAGCGGTCTCCGCTGGAACTTCGGCTTGCTTCTCCTCAACATTTCACTGCTTCAACCGGAGCGGTCTCCGCTGGAACTTCGGCTTGCTTCTCCTCAACTTTCACTGCTTCAACCGGAGCGGTCTCCGCTGGAACTTCGGCTTGCTTCTCCTCAACTTTCACTGCTTCAACCGGAGCGGTCTCCGCTGGAACTTCGGCTTGCTTCTCCTCAACTTTCACTGCTTCAACCGGAGCGGTCTCCGCTGGAACTTCGGCTTGCTTCTCCTCAACTTTCACTGCTTCAACCGGAGCGGTCTCCGCTGGAACTTCGGCTTGCTTCTCCTCAACTTTCACTGCTTCAACCGGAGCGGTCTCCGCTGGAACTTCGGCTTGCTTCTCCTCAACTTTCACTGCTTCAACCGGAGCGGTCTCCGCTGGAACTTCGGCTTGCTTCTCCTCAACTTTCACTGCTTCAACCGGAGCGGTCTCCGCTGGAACTTCGGCTTGCTTCTCCTCAACTTTCACTGCTTCAACCGGAGCGGTCTCCGCTGGAACTTCGGCTTGCTTCTCCTCAACTTTCACTGCTTCAACCGGAGCGGTCTCCGCTGGAACTTCGGCTTGCTTCTCCTCAACATTTCACTGCTTCAACCGGAGCGGTCTCCGCTGGAACTTCGGCTTGCTTCTCCTCAACTTTCACTGCTTCAACCGGAGCGGTCTCCGCTGGAACTTCGGCTTGCTTCTCCTCAACTTTCACTGCTTCAACCGGAGCGGTCTCCGCTGGAACTTCGGCTTGCTTCTCCTCAACTTTCACTGCTTCAACCGGAGCGGTCTCCGCTGGAACTTCGGCTTGCTTCTCCTCAACATTTCACTGCTTCAACCGGAGCGGTCTCCGCTGGAACTTCGGCTTGCTTCTCCTCAACATTCACTGCTTCAACCGGAGCGGTCTCCGCTGGAACTTCGGCTTGCTTCTCCTCAACTTTCACTGCTTCAACCGGAGCGGTCTCCGCTGGAACTTCGGCTTGCTTCTCCTCAACTTTCACTGCTTCAACCGGAGCGGTCTCCGCTGGAACTTCGGCTTGCTTCTCCTCAACATTGACTGCTTCAACCGGAGCGGTCTCCGCTGGAACTTCGGCTTGCTTCTCCTCAACATTGACTGCTTCAACCGGAGCGGTCTCCGCTGGAACTTCGGCTTGCTTCTCCTCCACTTTCACTGCTTCAACCGGAGCGGTCTCCGCTGGAACTTCGGCTTGCTTCTCCTCAACTTTCACTGCTTCAACCGGAGCGGTCTCCGCTGGAACTTCGGCTTGCTTCTCCTCAACTTTCACTGCTTCAACCGGAGCGGTCTCCGCTGGAACTTCGGCTTGCTTCTCCTCCACTTTCACTGCTTCAACCGGAGCGGTCTCCGCTGGAACTTCGGCTTGCTTCTCCTCAACTTTCACTGCTTCAACCGGAGCGGTCTCCGCTGGAACTTCGGCTTGCTTCTCCTCAACTTTCACTGCTTCAACCGGAGCGGTCTCCACTGGAACTTCGGCTTGCTTCTCCTCAACTTTCACTGCTTCAACCGGAGCGGTCTCCGCTGGAACTTCGGCTTGCTTCTCCTCAACATTCACTGCTTCAACCGGAGCGGTCTCCGCTGGAACTTCGGCTTGCTTCTCCTCAACATTCACTGCTTCAACCGGAGCGGTCTCCGCTGGAACTTCGGCTTGCTTCTCCTCAACTTTCACTGCTTCAACCGGAGCGGTCTCCGCTGGAACTTCGGCTTGCTTCTCCTCAACATTCACTGCTTCAACCGGAGCGGTCTCCACTGGAACTTCGGCTTGCTTCTCCTCAACTTTCACTGCTTCAACCGGAGCGGTCTCCGCTGGAACTTCGGCTTGCTTCTCCTCCACTTTCACTGCTTCAACCGGAGCGGTCTCCGCTGGAACTTCGGCTTGCTTCTCCTCAACATTCACTGCTTCAACCGGAGCGGTCTCCGCTGGAACTTCGGCTTGCTTCTCCTCCACTTTCACTGCTTCAACCGGAGCGGTCTCCGCTGGAACTTCGGCTTGCTTCTCCTCAACTTTCACTGCTTCAACCGGAGCGGTCTCCGCTGGAACTTCGGCTTGCTTCTCCTCAACTTTCACTGCTTCAACCGGAGCGATGTTGCTCACGACATACACGGTGTACGCCTTCTGATTGTCCAGTCTCAACGAGTAATTCATGTCGTAATTCTCTTCTTCTCCGTCGAGTTCTTCAGGAGTGAAAGTGACTGTCCTTGTTTCAGAAGTTGCACCTATTTTATTCCAAACCCGGAATGTTAAGTCTTTTTCTGTTTTTGTAAGTTGACCCAAGTCCATAGAAATCGAGTTTTCAACGAAGAAGTCTTGAGGCCTACAATTCTAATGTTTTTTTCATTTCAACATTGGTTTGCTTACATTGGTTTGCCGTTCATTTCACAGACAGTATTCGCCTCTTCTTGAGATATCACGACTGCTTTCAGAACGGTGTTCCGTGCTCCATCCACAGGTTTTTGACCGACTGCCATGAAGTTTTGGCTACTGAAATTTGATGAGATTGTTGGAAGTGTGATGATAAGTGGTCTCCTACGTTGAGTCAGTGAGTACGATGTCCGACATAGTGTTGTGTATTCTGGTTACAATGCACTCTGTCCAAATGGTTGATGCTCCGTTGCTGACTTCGCATTCGATACCTCGAGATCCGATCTCGACCATCCGGAGCTGCAGTGTGGAAACGCATTCGTCACTTGTGATTTGGTGGTTACTGAATTGCTTTCTTAGTTTGACTGAAACCGTCATTCCGCCCAACCTGTCATTTTCCACAACGTTTTTATCGTCGAGCCATTTGAAATGCAACTGTCCTTTTCCCTCAACTACAATTTTCAATTGTACAAGCTCATCGACGATCGTAGTGTTCTGCAAATGATTCGGTTCTTTTTCAATCAATTTGTAACCAAAACTCACATTCAAAGCTTTCACAAATGTCAAATTCTCCCCAGCTTCTTTCTTGGGTCCGATCTCCACTGGAATGCGCACTTCGGTTTTTCCATGCTTGTTCTCAGCCACACACGTGAATTCATGAGATCCATCTTGCACATTAAAAACTTTCAGAATTCCAATACCATCCTCAAAAATCAGATGATAATCTCCCTCATCTCGCACTTCTTCTCCGTTGTGCTGCCAGAAAAGAGTGGGCTCCGGAGAGGCGATCACTCCAACTTTCAGCGACATTTCTCGGTCTTCCGACACTGCACTGGCTTGGTTCAACACGAAAACAGGTCCTTGTTGGTTGCGCTGGCTATTTTTCACTCTCCTGACGACGCATTTGGAGGATACGACGCCCGAAACATTAGTAACTGTGCATTCGACGACGATTCCATCTTCGGTAATGTCAGTGACATCGATGAGGGCCACACCGTCTTCGGTACGACATCTGAAAAGAGTGAGTGAATTGAACTGTTGGAATAGTCAGAAACTTACTTGGATTCATCTGGAACTCCGTTGAAAGTGCACGTGACATCTGGAAGTGGTGTTCCCACAACGATGCATTTCAGGGTGGCGCGGTCGTGAGTGGTGAAGACGTCCTTAAGGTGAAAGTTCACTTCATCTTCTGAATTTTAGCTGCAAACCTTCAGAGGGAGCACAAAAAATGGCTTTTGAAGATCGCCGGCCTCGCTCTCGTCCACTGTCCCTCTTGAGAGAACACAGCTCGTGGTTACAATTCCCTTGCAATTCGTCGCTTCACACTCGACTCTCGCTTTCAGACTTTTGAAGTTCTTAATGCGAAGAAGGGCGATACCGTCTTCGAAGTGGATTTCATGATCTCTGAAGCTTCAGTCAGTTTACTCAGTTCACCTTAGAACTCACTCGTCATCCTTCACCACTTCGCCGTCAATCTTCCACTTTATAATCACCAACGGAATTCCCATCACGACACACTTCAATGTGCACTTCTCCTCCGCCACAATCTTATCGGAAAGTGGCAACAGGAAGTACGGTGGCTGACGTGCGAGCGTCTTGTTGACCGGCGGAAAACTGAATGTGACGCCCAGATGGTTGGGCGATTGCACGAGAATGTCCAGTTCCACGTCGTTCTGATCTCTCTCACAAAGCACGTGGATTCCGGTCCGCTCCATCTCCAGATGATCGTCGACAACGTCGATCTTGCAGCTCGTAGACTCACATCCCGCTTCGTTGGCAATTGTACACGTGTAAGTGGCCTTATCGTCCAGAGAAGCGTTCTCAATCTTCAGAATACTGATTCCGTCTTCGGTGGTCACTTGGTATTTTCTGCAACGAACGTGTGAATTATCGAAAGCAAGAAAACAACTCACTGTAAATCCAAGAGCACACCGTCCTTCTCCCACATGGCAGCGGGCAGAGGCTGCCCGGCAAACTTGCATTTGATGGTGATATGATCATTGACAGTGTGAATCAGATGCTCCGGGAGAGGAACCACAAAGTGTGGGCGCGTGGTTGAGGTCATCGAGGATTCGCTGAAGTTCGACATCTCGTCGGCTGCAATGATTTCGCAGACGGTCTCCACTTGACCGGCCGAGTTGAGGGCTCTGCAGAGAAGAGTGCCGCCGGCGTTGTGATCCACGTTGAAGAACTTGATAGTGCTCACTCCGTTTTCGCATTTGATCGCTATGCGTTCACTGAAAATAGACAGTCAAAAGAGGACTTTTGAATCAGAGACAAACTTGTCAGAAATGAGTTCATAGCCATCGAGCAGCCAGGTGATCTTTGGTTGTGGAACTCCGGTGAACATGACCTCAAGAACAAGTTTGTCATGCGAGAAGCACGCAGACAGAGGAAGTTTGGAGGTGAACACTGGGGCAGTGTAGAGCGGGCTTGAGGAGAGAGAGGTGATGGTGTCGGCGATGGTTGAGCACTCTGGAACGGAATCAGTTTATTCATAATGTATTACTTGCACTAACCATCTTCATCATATCCAACTTCCGCTACGATGACGTCGGATACGATTCCTTCGGATTCTCGGCTGAAAGTCAGGTCGACACTAACGCTGCGAACGTGTTCTTCCTGATCTTGTAGCTTCTCCTTCTCTCCCACAAGCTCTTTTTTTGGCTTGATGGCTTCTAAGACTGCTTCATCTACAACGAGATGAGCAATTTCAGAAGCAACGTCTTCCAACGGAGTTTGTGGCGGAGCATTCAGTTGAACTGCTGCGGGCTCAACAATTTGCTCCGATTCCATACCCCGAATTGCTGCGTCATCGGTAGTCTGAATGTCTTGAGGTACTTCTGGTAGTGGTTCTTCAAGTTGGGTTGGAGCTTTTTGATCTTCTTGAATTGATTCAGTTGGCTGTTCCAAAAGTGCTGCATCTTCTGGAACAACGATCTTTGGCACGTCTTCCAAACGACTCTGAAGTGCTGCTTCTTCAAGAGTCTTGGCTTCCGGTGCTTCTGCTTGCTCTTCTTGAACTGGTTCAGTTGGCTGTTCCAAAAGTGCTGCATCTTCTGGAACAACGATCTTTGGCACGTCTTCCAAACGACTCTGAAGTGCTGCTTCTTCATGAGTCTTGGCTTCCGGTGCTTCTGCTTGCTCTTTTTGAACTGGTTCAGTTGGCTGTTCCAAAAGTGCTGCATCTTCTGGAGCAAAGTTTTCTACAAGACTCTGAAGTGCTGCTCTCTCAAAAGTCTTGCTTTCCGGTGCTTGATCATCCCTAACTTGCTCAGTTGGTTGCTCCACAGGCGCTGCTTCCTGCGTAGCTTCCACTGGTGCCTCAATGAGTTCTGGAGATTCCTCCAGAGTCGCTGCTTCCTCTGTCGGCTTCTCCACAATCTCAAACTCATTCGATTCTTCTGATATTCTAGACTCGGCAATTTCTTGAGCGTTTGGAGTCACAGGCGCTGCTTCCTGTGGCTCTGCAGATGGAATCATGCTCTCGTGCGATGCATCGAGTCGTGGCGACTGCGGAACATTCAACTCTACGGCATTCTCCGATTCTGCCACATGAAGGGACACGTCCACTTCCGGCTCTACTTCCTCTTCAACCGCCTGAGTGATCAGTTCCCCTTCTGAACGAGAGTAATTAAAAGTCGGACTGCTTTGAGGCTCCCTACCAACTACAACAATCTTCGAGACAAACGAGTTCTTTCCGTTGATCACAACCGAATAAACTCCGGCGTCGGACCAAGAAACGTTGGAAATAACTAGTTCGTGGCTTTGATTGTTGTCCAGCGAACGGAACTCGAAGCGGGAGATGTCCGAGGGGATGGTGGTTCCGTCCTAGAATTAAACGTGCAAGTAGTACTCTAGGCGTGTTTTTATGCTAAGCTACCGTAAATACTGTATTAGAAGAGCACCCACTGGCCAGCCCTGGCACCCAGAAAAGTGAGCTGTAGTTTTGCAGTTTTCAGTCTATTGGGCATACCCTTCTAATACAATGTTTACAGTATGTTGGTGACCATTGGTATTCGTCTAAACACAGTGAAAGGATCTGATTGTCCAACGAGTAGTCTCTCTGCCTGGCCACTGAGTTCACCACCCAACAGGAGCTTTGTCAACAGTTTAAGTTTCAGTCATACAATGAAGAACTTGAGCGACAGATCTTCCTAATTTTTCAGTTGACAAAAACTAGTCGATGACTTTTTCTATCTTTACCAAATGCTCATTTGTTCAAGCAGACTTCTTTTCCGTTATTTTAATACCTTGCACCATTGAATTGCCGTTTGCGATTCAGATGTTTGGCACTGAATCGTGGCGACCACTCCGAGTGGAATGACGGTTTCCTCGCATTGTTCCTCCGATTGTTCTGTCGCTGAATACCCAAGTTTTATCGACTTTTTACTCTATTTTATTCATTGGACAACCCATTTTTCACAAACATTCAGATTTATTTATTCGCAGAGTTCATAATAATGATAAACGCAATTCGAATGAAAGTCATGATTTCGAAAAGTTCCCTGGAAGTTGGGTTGGAAAACAGGCGCCTGTTCTGCAACCCTACCTGGAAGAAGAACGGAAAAGGAGAGAAGATCAATCAACGAAAGAGAGGAATACAGAATAAGTTAGTTATGCAGCGAATTGTTCGAAATACGCTTTCTCTTAAGCGCATGCAAAGTAGACGTCACACTATTCACACACAAATGAGCCACGCGGAACTCGACATTCGAAATGCACACACTGTAGAGCCCGCTGTCGAGGCTCGTGGCGTCGTGCACCACAAGATAGTGCTTGAGTCCGTTCTGCACGTGCTCCGTCTTGCCGGGCTCGAATCGTATGTCCTTTCCGTCTCGCAGCCAACGGATCGAACGTTTCTGCTCGCAGTCTTCGAGCTCACAGGCAATTGTGGCTGTGCTACCCGGCGGAACAAGGTACTCCTGCACGTCGTCGTCTTCGCTTTCGGTCCCTGATGCGATCACAGTGACCTCTTTCTCGTCGATTCGCTCTGGAAAACAAGGCAATTTTTGAAGTTAGTAAAGGGGAAATGTTATTACCTTCTACGACCAGAGTAATGGCGACACTTTGCGATGAGGTCAGTGCCAGGTAAGTTCCTTGATCTCCGATGCAAGTGTTCAGAATCACCACCCGATGACTCCCCTGTCCGTCAGTCTCCAGCCGAATCCGTTCGCTCTCATGTAGCGGTCTTCTGTCTTTGAGCCAATTCACAATCACACTTGGCTCATCCACTTCCACAGTCAGAATAGTTGGCTGTCCCTCCATCACAAACTGAGTTTCCGGACGAGTTAGAATGTTGGCTGAGGTAGTCAATAAAGTATTCTCGACGATGAGATAGGCAACTGGGAAGAGATCGTCGTTGATCTTCAGACTGTACAGGTTTCCGTTGACGAGCTCCACACTTCGAATGATGAGCACTTCCAGAAGATCGTGACTGATCCGATCGAATTGCTCGTTGTCGATGACAATCTTCGTCTTTCCACAATACCAATCAATCGTGCAGTTCTTCGGGAGATAGTTATTCAGCTCGCAGGTGATAGTGGCCGTGGATTCCAATTTGACGACGTAACTCGGGATACTAATAGTTCCGGTTGAGCTCAAAGTGTTCTCAATCTCGGAGACCGAGTTTTGCGAGCTTCTAAAGGACACTTGGGACTTTAGAGACTTGGCCTCTTCCAGATTCGTTTCCGAAACGGTCACATTGAACTGCACCGAACTCTTCTCCTCCGCGCTCATCTGCATCACATCCGGCACCGTCATTTCCACCTCTCCCCACGCGATTTCCTCGAGCGACGCGTAGATGCCGTCGTTGAGGCTTCGAGCGACAATTGAAACGGTGATGCCGGTTCGGGTGGTTGCCACACTGATGTCATCGTAGGAAAGCGCGTGCAGTTTGGTGGTGTCCTGGGGAATGTGCATGTAGACCTCCTCTGGCAAGTCGTCTTCGCAGTCCGACATGATGGTGAGCGATGTGAAGTCGACAATGTCCTCGATGACTTTGATGGAGATGTTGTAGCGTTGTGGCTCTTGAACGACGTCCACGTCGAACGTGTTGTCCTCGGCGATGTTGGCGGAGATGGTGTAGGTCAGCGAGTTCATAACAATTCCAGTCACACGACGACGAGCAGGCTTATGGGTTAATGAGAAGTTTTCTGTGACTTCGACGGGCTCCACTTCCACTCGAGGTATTGGAACTTTCGTTTCTGGCTCCAGCGGCAGCTCCAGTGACTTCTGCGGCTCCGGGCTTTTTGGATACGAGTCCTGGGTGATAGACTCATCACTCAGAATGTCAGTCTCCCGAATGGTATTCGAGGAAAACGCGCGATCATCGAACGGCAAGCTAGTAGATCCGTTCATCATGCTCATGTCCTTCTCTTCGAGCACCACGTCTAACGTCTCCGTCGATATTATGGATTTGCCGACAAATGACAGATCAGCCGTCACTTCCTCATCTTCGTCAGCCGCTCTCATTGAGGATCTCTCCGATGCGGCCATGTACGGATTCGCTGCCACCAGCGAAGAGAGGGAAGGCACCGAATGGAGCTCCACATTTACATACACGTCCTCTACGTTTTCGACGTCTTGATCAGACCGCTGTGATCTGAGATCAACAGATATGATTTCCAAGTTCTGACGGAACGGCGAAATTTCGTGAAGAGAAGGACTGGCACGGTTAAAGTAACGAACAGTACCGGCGAGCAGAAGAGATCGGTCGGTGTCGGAGGTGTAGTCAGATTCCTCGCAAAGCATTTGAATTGATGCCAAGTCGTCCAGAGTCTGCACATTGCAGTCCAGTTGGGCGTTGTTTCTAAGATCAACAATAACAGAAGCTCCTTCAGACTCATGCGCGGAGTTGGTGAACGCAAAGTTGGTCTTTTGAATGTGAATGCAAGACGATTGAGATTCCTCGAGACTGTCGACGAAAATCGTCGGCACTTCTGCATTCTTGCTTTTGCTCCTCGGAGGTCTCACTGGTCTTGGCTCTGGAGAGAGTTCGTCTCCAGATGGACGGCTTCTGCTTCTCGGCGGACGAACTGGAGTTTCAGGAGACTTGGGGCTCTTGCTTCTGTTTCTCGGAGGAGCCACTGGTTCCGGAGAAAGCTCGGAACCTCGAGATCTTCTTGGCGGAGGAACTGGTGCTTCCTGAAGATCCAGAATTCTCTCCGCGTCTCTGGAAAGTGATCTTCCTTTTCTGGGAGGCGCAATCGGAGCAGGGTCAGACACAGGAGCAGCTATCGTATCATCGGAAGAAGCGGTCATCTTGCTGGTATCCTGAGATTCTTGAGACGCTGTCAGCTGGTTACTACTTCTGGTCGAGCTTCTAGGAGTGGATGCCGGTCTTCTATTCGTCGGCTCCTCGTCCACAATTCCAATTATATCCTCTGATTCTGGATGCACATCGAAGCTGTACCACACTGTGACCTCCTCGGTGTTCGTGGAGTGCACCTCGATCGGCTGAAGATCCTGGGCGACTCTGATGACGTTGATGATACTTGCCACGTGTTGAAGAACCGAATTGAGTACGTGAGTGACCGTTTCGGCTCCCTGCTTTGTCATCTTTTCCTTGCAAAGCCCCGCGATCGTGTTGATCTCCTTTTCGATTCTAACGAAAAGTTCTCGGATTTCTTCGGCTTCCTTATTCTTCGATGTGGAGTCTTCGGACACTGTGAGCTGGTGGAGTTGATTGAGCCGGTCCCGAATGTTGGTGGTAATCGGAGTGATACGCGCGGAGTGAGCACTCGGGACTCGCTTGATTCGGGTCGCCTTACGTTTATCCTTCTCGTTTCCTTTGCGCTTCATGATTTCCGTAATCTCATTGTCCTCCAGAAGACTGTTCTCGATGGCTGAAATCGCTTGTTTCAGCTTTACAATAGGGTGAACTTCGGCCTCTTGAACTTCGATTTTCGACGTCTGTATCTCCGATTTCTCCATCTTCTGATCCGGTCGGGCGTCTTTGAGCGGACTGGTTCTGTTCAGAATCATGTCCTGAAGGGCTTCCCGGAGAGCCTCCTCGCTTGCTTCCTTTTCAGCAAGTTGATCCGAAATACTGAAGATGGCGTTCTCAATGTCCTCCAATTCCTTGGGCTCAAATGCCTTCTTGCTCGGACTGCTGCTCGATCGATCCATCTCCTCCAGGTCCCTCTCCACTTCCTTCACAATCTGCTCCGTTGTCTTGTCCTTCTTCGAACATTCTTCCTTCGCCTGCTTCATCTGCTTCATATCCATTTCTGCATCGAAAAGCAGCAAAGTCTCGACGCACTTCTTCAAATTCTCCACCTCGCCGTTCATTTTATTGTTTCTCTCGACGGTGTTCGCGAAAATCTCTTGACCTTTGTAGGACAACTTCTGTGGAAGCAACGGAACTCTCGGCTCGTAGAGTTCACTTTCGTTCACTTGAACTTCCTGGCTTTCCGGGAACGGGTCCTGGAGCATGTAGTCCCAGGAGTTGGTAGAGCTGGAGATGGAGAGACGCACGTTACCAACTGTGGATGCCGTCGATTCCATCACGTCCACTTTCTGGTTACAGAACATCACATCTGTAGTGCTCGTGGAGACTGGCGCCGGTTTCTCGGGTTCTGGGAATTGAGCATCGGCCGCTTCGCCTTGGAACAGCTCCGTGACTTTGACAGTGGTCTCCGCTGATTCGTAGAATCTCCGGAAGGATTCTGTGCGGGAAAGATCGTCGTTGAAGGTGGCCGTGACGGGGAGTTCTCTGTCGGTGAGCAGAACGTTCGATATCAGTCTGCTCGTGTTCTCCTCGTCGGTCTCTGACAGTTGGCTCATCGGATATCCGGTTGAAGCGGTCGGATCCAGAACTTTGATCTCCGAGAGTTGCCTCAGAAGATCAACGGCATCGTCTTCGACTTCTGAATATCAAAATCATGCAAGAAGCACACACACGCACACGCACATGTACATGCACGGCCACCACCACGAGCACACTCCGGGAAGGGAGCAAGCGGACAGATTCGGAAAGAAGTTGAGCCCTGGTTTAGGGGCGAGCAAGACCAAAACGAAGTGCACTCGTAGCGGCCGCCAACGTAGGAATAGAAGGAGAGAGTGGTTAGAAAGTTTGGGTTGCATAGAGAAGAAGAGGAAGAAGAAATGATAAAAGCAGAAGAGAGAACTTTTCTTGATCATGATGCTAATATATTGGGAACGATATCGATTGCGCCTCATTTTGTTGGTTATCTTACTCACCCAAAACACAAAAGAATAAAAAGTCTCCGAATGTGTGTGTGTGTGTGTGTGTGTGTGCAATGGGAGTGTTATCCCTACGATACCCGAAATGGAAGTGCGCTCTACGAATAAAGATCACTTGCAGCCGGAGCGTAGGGCTAACGTGTACATATGAATGTGAATGCGATTTTTGGACTTGAGAACTAACCTGACAATTTGAGATAGCACTTGCTGAATGCGGTGCCGGCCACGTTGCTCGCCGTGCAACAGTACTCTCCCTCGTCCTCGATGAGCGTCGATTCGATGCGGAGGATGCAGACGCCGTCCTCGTACACAATATCGTACTCACTAAAGAATGGTTTTTATTCATTTAATTTCTGTTCACGTTGAACACGCTGTCAAAAGATCGAAAGTCAACTGCCTTAATTTCAAGCAAGTGAACAATTGAACTATCATTTCATTTCAAGTTCACGTGATTTCTATGCGATTCTTCAAACTCACTCATTGGGCACAATCGGATCGCCGTCCACAGTCCATTCAATTTCCGGCTGCGGCATTCCGGCCACTAGACACTTCAATTGTATGGGATCTCCGATCCTTCCGAAGCAGTTCACCAACTTCCTCAGGAACTTGGGGCCTTGCGGTGCTGCACTGGACTCGGTCGCCAGCGACTGGCTCACTTCGGTCAGCGGCTCGTCGGTCACCTTTTCCCGAAGACCGTCTCCTTCGTAGGCGGCGTTGACGGTCGCCACAATCTCGACGCTTTGGTCGGGACAATTGGCGTCAACCTCGACGAACACGGCAACCACGTGCGCTTCCTCTTCGTCGTACTTGGATCTTCTCGACCAGACATGTTGTTCGGGACCGGCTGGTTGTTGTTGTTGGAAGATCAGATGGGAGGTGTTATGCATTGGCTCGATCATCGGCTCATCGATAGAGCTTTCGTACTCGATGACGAGCTCCTGATGGGCGTGATCTCCATCCCTGACCAGTGCGACACTGACATTCTCCAGCTTCAACTTGTTGGCGGCGGCGGCCAATTGCAAGACTTGCGGGACAATGGTGTCGTTGTCAATGATGGTCATGACCTGTTCATTCGTCTCGTCTTGCTTCACCACTTCGACGTCCGCGTAGGCCTTCGCCTCCGCGTCTCCCACAAGCTTCTTCACTTTCTTCAAACTCCAAGTAATGGCGTTGTGGAAAGTGTTAGACATTCCTTGAAGGACCACTATTCTGTGCTGCGCGTTGGCTGTTCTTCTCGACTTCTCCACAAACATTCTGTCGATGCTTTCACACGACGTGCTCGGCTTCTGAATGATCGTCTCGAGATCGATGAACTTCAACGGCACCGAGGAAGTCGTGCTCAATCTGAGCGAGTGGTGCTCTACGTTGGACTCCACGACGGTAACGAGTTGATCGAACTTTTGCGGTTGTTGCGTGACAACTACAGTTGTCGTTTCGTCGCAAAAATGGTCATTCTGCAAGTAATTCAGTCTCTGTTGATTACAGTAACCCTAAGCGCATACCTTTAGCTGCAAAGCGGTGTTCAACAGCATATTGGTGGCTTCGATCGGCTCTAGCTGCTCTTGAGAGCTCACTCGAAACAGGTTCGATTCAATTGTCTTGACCTTCTCCTCGTAGTTCATCGGGCTAGCAGTTCTTGGCGGTGACTTCTTCGGTTCTTGCTGAGTTTCCAGAGGAGTGGAAGATGGAGCCTCAGAAGTTGGAGTAACTTTTTCCTTCACTTCAACATGCTGCACTTCTTCCTCTGGCAATGTTTGAGTTGCATGACTTTTCTGAATCTCTACCGCTTCCGTCTGAGCGTCATGAGTCCAGAGTTGAGCAAGTTGCTCCGAGACCTGCTCGGCGGCCTGTCGAAGCTGACGTTCTTTTTCCAATTCGAAAAGATTTTCTTCTTCTTCTTCTTCAGAAACCACAACGACTTTCGGTATCGGTACAGGAGCGGTTGCTTCCGCTTCTGCTTCCAGAACATGCGTGACGGCTTCTGAAAACCAGGTTAGATGGCAAAAACGTGGATTTCGAGGCTCACCGACAGGATCCACAGTCAGTTTCATTGGAAGTAATGTCTGTCCGTGGCAATTTCTGGCGTGCAGGACGTATGTTCCTTCTTGTCGTTTCGCCACATTCTTCAGAATGATTGCAGAGGTTCCGGCCTCGTACGACATTGCGACATTTCTGCAAGGATCTTCAGGTTATCAAGAATCGAGCTGCTGAAAACGTACTGTGACACTTGAATCTTCTGGTCTTTGAAGAACCACTCGAGGAATGGAGTGGGGTGACCGCTGATCGTGGCGCTCATTTTTATGGTACCATTTTCCTTGACATGGTACTCATCCGTGCTCGTTTCGAAGCGGGGCTCCTGTGTGAGTTCAACTTGGTTGTCTTCTTCCTCCTGCAAGAATACACTCTTGCCTACCTTCCCTCCTTTTGAAAACTCACGTCTTCACTCTCGACGATCTTTTTGACAGCCTCGTGAACCGCTTCCAGGAACACCTTCGCGACGAGCGTGCTTGCCACCTGATCGGCCACCTTCACCAGTAACTTGAACTCCTCTTCCCGTTTCTCAATCTGCGCAGTTCCCGTAACTTCCTCCTTCAATACCACCTCAATATCGTCGTCAATACCGGTTTCCTTGACTTCTTCCGCCGGAGCCATGTCTATTTCCTCGAAGCTTGACGCCTCCGAGCTCTTGAGCTCCACTTGACAACTGCTATTGCTCACTCCGTGCTCCGATTCGGCAGTGCAAGTGTACACTCCTGAATCCTTAGACGTCGGCTCGCGAATTGTCAAGATCTGTGCTCCATCTGCGAATTGAAGCATTTCAAACTTTTCGTCCTCGTAAATGTCCTCTCCGTCTTTCTGCCACGTCACCGTAATTGGGGCGACCGACTGAACAGTGGCCACCAGTCTCACGTATCCCAACTGCTCGAAGTTGTCAGTCTCAGCTGTGAGAAGCTCGATGAACTTGGGCGGGAGAATGATATGAACGTCATGGATGTCGTCGGTGAGCACAGACTCCGAAATTTCCGCTTCTTCCCGATCTTTCATATACTCTGCTCCTTCCACATTGATGAAAGCGGCAGTTTCCGCAGTTCCATGGGGGTTGGTGGCTGTGCACTTGTATAGTCCGGCATCTTCAAAGAAGCACTCCGGATTGAGAAGCTCACAAAGTCCGCCGTCCAGCACTGTAGCGGTCACGTCTTTGTTGATGACCCAGTCCTCAACATTCACATCGTCCTTGGACCAGACCACTGCCGCAGATGGGTTTGCAGTGATTCTACAGCGAAGGGACATCGGCTGACCGTCCAGGAAACTGGCAGAGTGTAGTGGTTCGACAATCTTCGGGGCGCACTCTTCTGGAAGATCCGGTGGAACGATCTCGAACGATGAATCGTCATCGCCTGGAAAGAAGAATATATTTGAGAAGCCAATGAAAGATTATCAGTTTCAAGTTCAAACTCAAAAGTGTTAGAGTTTAGAGTAAGAACCAAAGATGAAAGAAAGACTCACGGATTCTGAGGTGAGCAGAAGAGGAGAACACCTCGCCGTGCTGGTTTTTCACAACGCACACCACTTCTCCACAAAGGCGCTCTTCCAATTTCTCGACTATCAAAGAGGACTCAAACTCTGTGGACTCGACGGCAACGATGGTCTCTTCGAGTCGCTCCACGTTCACTCCGTTGATGCTCCAGATGAATTGACAAGCCGACGTTTTGTTCTCGTCGAATCTCACGATGATAACAATGCGGTCGCCAGGATCTGCGGCGGTCGGGACGACTTGAGTGATGATAGCTTCTTCCAAAGTGAACGATTCCGTGATTTTTTCGATTGTCGTTGTGCGGGTTGTTCTCTCCGGACTTTCATACTGAAGCACCACTTTCCCAGTCCAGCGGTCCTCTCCCAAATGATTCTTCGCTGTGACTGTCAGGTTTCCGTTCGGCGTTTTCCTGAACTCGATCTCCGAAACGTTCTCCTCCGAGTTGCTGATTGTGATGTTTTGATTTGAGCGCAACTCGAAGTTGTTGAGCATCCAGAGGAAGGTGGCTGGCGGCAGAGCTGATGCCATGACGCGGAGCTTCAATGGCGAACCGTCGAGTATCCGGAACATTGATTCAGATGGATGGGCGGTGATTCTCGGGGCGAAAGGCAAACGCTTGCCGGCCGGGGAGACACGTCCTTCGCGATTCTTTGGGTTCAAGACATTGGCGAAAGGATGCTCCGCTGGTTCTTTCACTTTTGGGCTCGTGGCTTCGATGAATGGTTTGATCGGATCGTTGTCCTCGTCTTCTTGCATTTCCTGGATTCTTCGGACAGTTTGAAGAGATGAGTGCGAAGCGACGTCGTCCTCGTGCGAACAGGTCACAGTAACCGCAGACTCGACAATATCCGGCGGCTCGGATCCTCGTGCTCCCTCCTCGAGCTCCCCAATTCGTTTGACTTGCGTCGTGACTGATTCGCTTCCGACGTCGTTTCGGGCGGTCACCTTGTACTTTCCTTGTTTCACCGGCGGATGGAGCACCAGTGTTGACTTGTTGTGCTCATTGAGCAACACCAGATTCTGGCTCTTCTTCACCTCGAATCCATTGACGTGCCAAGCGAACTCCGCTGCTGGAATCGCTTGCACATCGACCGAAAGTACGAGTTTCTCGTCGACGTTCACAGTGACAACTGATGGCAGTGACGTCACAAAAATTGGTGGCTCTGGAAGGAATCTTCGGGATCCGCCACGTGGCGCTTTCGGCGGATTCTGTTGGAATCGCGACTCGACGATACTGGCTGCATCTGAAACAAAAAAGCATGCGAAAAGCGGCACACTAATCGGGTCAGAGTGGTGAGGAGAAACCATCACACTGAACTTAAACTACAACTTCAAAAAGTGTGAAAGAAGCAAACGCTTACCAGTGACCCTCGAGTGCTGCTTCCGCTCTTCGACCGTTGTGTTCGACACTTCGATGTGTGATTCAAGATGGCGTACACCGCGCGGAACGCTGCTGGACCGCTGCGTGTAGTTCAACTCGAAGAGGTTGGTGGCCTGGCGCGAATGCCTACCGTTGCTTCCCAGAGCTCTCATCGAGCTCGTCATGGGGTCGAAAGCAGTGGTCGAAGTGGTCACTGATGTCTCCGACACTTCGAGCTCCACAACTGAAATCATTCCGATACAAGCAGTAGGAGAACCAAAATCTTTTCGAACCTTTCTGAATGTCCACGTGTCCGCAAGACATGGCCGATCCGTGTACGTTCGACGCCACCACCTTGTACTCTCCGGCCACCGGAATCGAGAATCGGACGACGCTGCGATTGACGTCCGGCGAGAACATTTCGACGTTGTGCGTCGATTCTCTATACTCTTTTCCGTTGACGAACCAGGAGAATCTGGCGGGCGGATTCGCGTCCACTTCCACGTCGATGATGACGTGGCTGCCGGCAGTAACGAACAGGTTCGGCACTTGGGTCAAGAAGCGCGGCGCCTGATGGTAGGTGACCGAGTGCTGACGCTGCAGTCGCACGTCTTCTTTGGACGAGGACAAGTGCTCGCGATCGGCTGAAAACATATTGTCAAGGAAAACATACTATTGAAAAACTCACAGTTGACAGTGATGTATCCGTAACTAGTGCTCACACCAGCTGGATTCCGGGTGACACACTTGTAAACTCCTTGCTCTGGCTGGATCACTTTCAGCCGGCTTATGTTGATTCCATGACCGACTTGGAAGCGGTTACGATCCTGAAACTCTTGCAGCATCATTAATAATTCCATTCTCAAGCTTCACATACCTGTAAAACCGATTTCTCATTGCAAAACCACTCGAAAATCGCGGGCGGATCACTGGCGACCTCGACGACCAAACTGATCGTATCGGATGCCAACACCCGGTACGCCTTGATAACCTGGATGAACTTCGGCGGCGCCAGAGCCACGAAGCTTGTGATCTCAGAGCTCCAGTGCTCCTCAGTGTACGACTGCGATGTGGATCCGATCGAGCGGATGAGGTGAGTCTCGGCCACTGTCGCGTGGCCACTCGCACTTCTCATCACAGTTTCTCGATCTGAAAGTTGGCATTCATTCAAAGAAAGGACCTTCTGATGTTGGGTACCAGTTGAGTAGCTCATGGAAGGGCTAGTTGGTTGTGAGATGCTCCGTCCGACGGTCGTGTCAATGTTGAGATGACGTGCTGACTGGCCCTTCTTCTCGTCGCCCTCCATTCTGAGGGCTTCTTTTCGATCTTCTTATCGTTTTGTTTCGTTCTTTCCTTCTTGTTATCCTGTTTTTTCGTGTTTCGTTTGTTGTCTGAAAAACGAGCAAGGTAAGATGGAGTAGTAGAAGAACGACGGAAGTTGAAGGACACCGAGAGAGAGATAAGAAGAGAGACCTGCCACTCGGGAGAATGTAGTGGGATCAGGTGGCGAGGGGACACGGACGCCGGAGAGGTTCAGAGCCGCAGAGCACGTTGTCTACGGTGATTGATGAAGGGGCGAGCACAGGAGGGGAAATGCAGGGGGATGGTGATGAGCGGAGGATCCCGGGGAGCCGGCCGGCCGCAAAGCGGGTCACCTCCTCCCACGGGATTGAGCGACGAAAAACGGGTTGTCAGTTGTATGATTTCCAGGTTTCTTCTCAGTTGGTGTTCGGAGGTAATCCCCTAAGATCTACCTTCACACGGGCTGGACATTCCAGAATAATCTGGTCTCCCATCAAATGGACGTTTAACTATGGAACCCCAGAACCGTAAAAAAGGAACAGCTACAGTACGAAAAGCATTAAGGACCAAACCGGTTTGGGCTCAAGTCAATGGAAGGCTGAGCGTCGAGACGGGAAAGAAATGAAATAACGAGAAGAGCGCCCTGAGCTCATAATTTGTAAATGTGATGGGGGTTTTGGGAGGAAAGGAATAATCGTTGTGAGCACAAAGAAGAATGCACATATGTTTTTCCTAGGAACACAGAGTTCTAAACGAAACGATGTCGTTTCGGACCATCGCTTTGATTTGGTTCACAACCGGAAACTGGACTATCTTTAAACTTTAAGCTTCTCGTGGTCCGAGAGCCTGAGCCCAGAAATGTATCATTAGTTTCAATAGCACAAGTGTCGCGCTCAAAACAGGTGCTGCACTTCTCGCGGGGAATGCTCAAAGATCGCTCCAAAGTGGATTGACGAACTTTTGCTCTGGAGAATTCGGGACTAATCGATAGTGATCGCGAAGAGAAGAAGAAGAGGGATCCGGTCGGAAGCATCCTCATCATCATCATCACCATCATCCGTTAGGTTCCATGGTCCTTCTTCTCTGCGTCTGCGTCCCGTGCTCCCCTTCGAAATCTCTCCCCCGCCCATTGTAAACGTCGTCCCCGCCGCCGCGGCAGCAGCAGCAGAAGCAGAGCCAACAAGAAGAGATTTTCGATTCTATTCGAAATTTGTTGAGCCGTCTGCGTGCCCACAACTTCTCTGAAACTCTCGGCTCCCGCGGGAGGAGAGAGTAGGCGAGGCGGCCGAGACGACGGAGGTGTTGGGGTTTGTTGGGGTTTAATTACCCAAGTTTTGAGTCAGTTCATCTTGGGATTAAACCACCCTGCCTTCTGGATCTATTCCCCCCCCGCCATATTCACACTATGACCGAGCTAGGTACGACCGAATTGCTCCAAAACAGCATTATTCGCTCCTCTGCCGCCCGTAGGTCCCAGTGTACTTCCCCGGAGCACATGTTGTTCCAAACCCTTGATTCCCCTTAACGGAATTGCTCACAGGATGAGCTCCGCCCATAACGGTGGAAACCCCAATTCTCATAACAGAATTGCTCACAGGATGAGCCCCTGCCCATAATGGAATGGCTCACAGGATGAGCCCCGCCCATAATGGAATTGCTCACAGGATGAGCTCCGCCCATAACGGTGGAAACCCCAATTCTCATAACAGAATTGCTCACAGGATGAGCCCCGCCCATAATGGAATTGCTCACAGGATGAGCCCAGCCCATAATGGAATTGCTCACAGGATGAGCCCCGCCTATAATGGTCTAAAAAGTGCATTTAGTATTCGCATAAACGAATATTATCTGCCGCCGAAGTCAAATGACAGAAGCTCCGCCCCAAAAAGTGGAGAATTGAAGTCAAAATGACGGAAGCACCGGCAATCTCAAAAAGGAAAGCCTTCCAAAGATCCTCTGTGAAGTGGAAAGTCTGGGAAATTGTATAGTTGTAGGTAAAACTCCCGCAACTCAATCGATTCTCTCGTCTGACCCCTCAGAAATCGATAATCTGGCAAAGGACCAGGCCGACTCCCAGGTCTCGTGGAAGACCATCTCTGACCATAGAATTAGAGGTGGCGCAATGAGAGAAAGAGTAAGGAACGATCCAAACGTTTACACGATGGTATTATTGAAAAAGACAAGCGACTCCCCAAAACCGTCGTGTGTCAACTACAATATCCAACAGATAAACTGGTTTGTTGTTACCACCGGGGATGTGAAACCCGTTCCCAAGCAGGACTTGGAGCGGAAGAATTGAAATACTTGACTAGACATTTGGAAAAGGTCCATGCTGTCAAAAAGGTCAAGTGGACTTACATTTGTACGATCTGCGGGGAGACCCCCAATGAAAATCTTGCATACCCGTCCAGATGGATGAAAACGCATCTGGAAAAAGTCCATAACAAAGAAGCCGAAAAGAAATTTAGTATCGGAAGCGGTACTAGATCTCGAGCGGCCAGTGCACTGAATGATTCAGCACCATCTTTAGCACCTCCTAGGAAGACAACGTCCAGAAAGACCGAGTCCAAGGTGATAGAGTTTTCGACTCCTGAAAAGATTACAGAGTTGGAAAGCAAGATTCAAACGAGAGGAGTGGCAAAGTCCCTCAGTGCTCTGAAAGAATCGGTAACAAAGAAAGAAAGAGAGGAAGTTGGCAAGAAACCAAAACTTGCTCCTATCCTTGAAAAAGCTGAAAAGAAAAGTGCTCGGAAAAGCCTAGCGAATGTTCTGAAAACGGAGACAACATCAAGTTCCAGAAACAGCTCTATCGGAGCGGACTGCGACCTGAAAATGTTGACCGGAATTGAGAGAATAAAAGCGGCTCGAGAGCAAAGCTCAAAGCAGGCTCGCCTTTCTACTCAGAAAAGGATGAGTTTGTCAGCAGTGGGAAAAATCTCCAAAAAAAGGGAGCCACAAACAAAGGAATTGGAAAAAAAGAAACCATTCCTGATCCAGTAGTGACGACAATGGAAAACCCCATTGAATCGGAAGCGCTGGAAGAAGAAGAAGACCTGAACAGAACTTTTGTCATCGATGATGATGATGAAATAGTCTCGAGAAGGTTCAACACATGGTGCCTGGACCATGAAACCTCAAAGGAGGCATGGTTAAGTGACGACATCATATTCTGGTATCTGAAGCATCTTTTGCGCAAAAAAAGCACAAAGTATGAAACTTTGGATCCAATTATGTGGGAAATGTACAAAAGAGAAGGAATCATGCTCATAAAGCAAAAAAACTTTGGAGCACGAAAACCTACTTTTTTTCCCCAGTTTGCGAAAAATAACCACTGGATCCTTTTTGGTGATAAGCTTTAACTGGAATCTGGTACGCAAACAGCTTCCTACGTGAACCCGAAGGAAAAAGTTCAACAGTTTATTGAGGAATTGGGGACTGAACGGAAAAAAAGTTCGACACTCCAAATCCCTGCCAGACAGATGGCATAAACTGCGGTGTTCATGTATGCCTGATGGCAAAATCATGTCTAAAATGACGACTATTGGTATACCGAAAAAAAGAGGTCCAATCGTTCCGAAAAAGATGTGAAAAAGATGCTCAGAGCAAACGGATATGACCTGTACTCTGAACAATACCGTGATTTCCACCAAACAGATGAAACCACGAAAAACCAGAAAGTCCAGAAAAAAAGTGGACACTTCTGAGGTGTCAGTTGAATCCCCAATGGATATTCCACATGTTGGTCAACCGGAAGAAGTGGATAGAGTTTCCATCCCAAAACTGATGGACCTAAAACTCGAATGCCCTCCACATCTTCTACAAAAAAAGTTGCTCCAAAAAGTGGTCAAACCAAAGGAGAAACCCACTAAACAGATGGGTAAAGCACGCAAAGTGCCAACTGGAAAACCAGAGGAACTGGTCGTGAAAGTACGAGAATGGTTCCAAAAAGAGTTCCAATCGTACATTCAAGACGGTAGAAGCTTCCAAAGATTGGAGTGGATCACCGACGTCCTGACAGCCGCCATACAAAAGGCCTCTGTTGGGGACACCCAGGCAATCGAGAAGATTGTGAAAAGATGCCCACCCTTGGAAGTGGAAGAGGGTGAGATGGCAACGCAAACGGATCCAAAAAGGATTCCCAAGAAGGGTAACAGCAACCCGACTGGAGATGGTGACAGCCGCAAAGGGCCACCAGTCTCTCAAAGGGACTCGTACTGGCAAAACCGGACGAAGACCTTTAACCAACTGATCGGCAAAGAATCGAAGCAATGCGAGATCCCGATCAGTCAACTTGAACAGTTCTTCAAGAAAACCACCTCTGTCACAAATGTAACAAAAAGAGGTTCTGGAATCAAAAAAAGTTCCAAAATCCCAAAGATAAAAAGTGGGACAGTGGATTGTAGACCCATTCACTGAACAGGAATTGGCAGTTGCTCTTAAGAAAACCAAAGACACTGCTCCTGGAGTTGACGGACTGAGATACCATCATCTAGAATGGTTCGATCCTGATCACAGAATTCTGACGCCCCTGTACAATGAATGCAAGGAGCATCGGAAGATTCCATCACATTGGAAAGAGGCAGAAACGATCCTTCTATACAAAGGAGGAGACGAATCTAAGCCCGAGAACTGGAGACCAATCAGTCTCATGCCAACCATCTACAAACTATATTCGAGTTTGTGGAACCGAAGAATCCGGTCAGTGAAGGGTGTCATGAGCAAGTGTCAAAGGGGATTCCAAGAGCGGGAGGGTTGCAATGAAAGCATTGGAATCCTTAGAACCGCGATTGATGTGGCGAAGGGCAGGAAAAAAAGAACCTGTCAGTCGCCTGGCTCGACCTTACCAATGCGTTCGGTTCAGTGCCACATGAGCTCATCGAGCACACTCTGGAAAAAGTATGGATTCCCAGAAGAAATCGTCCACGTCATAAAAAGACATATACAATGGGGCATCCATCCGAGTAAAGAGTAAAAAAATGAAAAAGAGTAACCAGATCAAGCTGAATTCTGGGGTGAAACAAGGAGATCCCATTTCACCAACGCTTTTCAACATGTGTCTAGAAGGTGTCATCAGAAAACACCTGGATACGTCCTCAGGCCACAAGTGTCTCAAGACAAAGGTCAAAATACTGGCATTTGCGGACGACATGGCCATATTGTCTGATTCCAAGAAACAACTCCAGGAAGAGTTGGAGAGAATGGATGATGACTGTACCCCACTCAAACTCATATTCAAACCGAGCAAATGCGCTAGTTTGATAATTGAGAAGGGCAAGGTACGACCTGAAGCACAAATAATGCTGAAGGGTGAACCCATTCGAAATCTCGCTCCAAAAGACACCTACAAATACCTGGGGGTCCAAACAGGAGTCGAGACTAGAATATCAGAGCTCGAATTGCTGACCAAAGTCACCAAAGAGCTGGAGAAGGTAAACACAAGCGACCTAACTCCACCACAGAAACTCGACTGTGTAAAAAGCCTTTTGTGCTACCGAAATTGACATATATGTACGCCAATTCGGTACCAAAGATGACAGAGTTGGGTCAATTTGCCAACATGACGATGAGGGCAGTAAAGGTTATGCACTCAATCCCAGTCCGAGGATCCCCCGCCAGAGTATATCCAAATACCAACTAGTAAAGGGGGACTCGGCGTTGCGTGTCCAAGAATAACCGCAGAAATCACTTTCTTAGTGTCCACAATGAAAAAGTTGTGGTCCTCAGACCAGTACATCCAAAGACTGTACCGGGAATATCTGGAGGAAGTGACCCGAATCGAAACGGGCAAAGATCAGGTCACCCTAGGCGACCTGGCGGCCTATCTCAGCAACGAGATACCAATCGATAAAAAAAGGCGTTCGGTTTCAGTTGTTTCACAAGACTACGCGAAGTATGCAACAGTCTGTGGAAAAATCAAGTCCGCTCCTTTGCATAAGGTGAAAAATTGTTGAGTTCGAAGGTGAATTGGCAATCTCCGTACAAGCAATCGAGAAAGGCAACGAGAGAATCTTTACCAAAGAGAATGTAAAGAAACTCCAACAACTGCTAAAAGGAGAAGTGAATGACGCTCTCTCTCACAGATTCACGACCGAGAAAGTTGTGAAGAGTGAGGTAGTCCGAGTCATCCAGCAGTATCCCTCAGTGCAACAGCTTTGTCAGAAAAAGGTGGCAAAGTGAGTCGAGCAGCACACAAATTTGTGCACAGAGCTCGCTCTCAACTTGTTGTCGTGCAACTATAACACGTACGACAACACAAAGTCAAAAGAATGCAGAAGATGTCATTATGAGAATGAAACTCAGTGGCACATCCTACAAAGTTGCACTTTCGGACTCCCGAAAAAAATCACTGAAAGACATGATGCAGTGCTCATGAAAGTGAAAAAACTCATCGAAGCTGGTTCAAAGAAAGACTGGAAACTGAAAATAGATCAGGAAATACCAGGATTCACCAGACTTCGACCAGACATCTACATGAGAAGTCCAGATGGAAAAAGAAATCATCATGGCCGATGTAGCCTGCCCATATGAGCATGGTGTGGAAGCCATGAAAAGAAGCTGGGACAAAAAGGTTCAGAAGTACTCTGACGGTTTCAGCAATCTCAAGGCTCAGGGCAAAAAGCTTACTGTCCTACCAATAATAGTTGGATCTCTCGGAAGTTGGTGGAAGCCCACAACTGACAGTCTGAAAAAGTTGGGAATAGAGGATGCAGTGATCCGTAAAGTGATTCCTGAATTGTGTTCTACAGTATTAGAATACAGCAAGAACGCTTATTGGAACCACATCTTCGGAGACTCCTACACTGAAATTCCACTCAAATTCGGAGACGAGAAACCAAAAGGCAACTCCTGGAAAAAGGAAAGAGCAAAACATGCTCCGACCCTTCCGGGGACGTAGCCGGGTTCGAAGTCAACATGCCAAAAGACCTGGCTCTGAATGGACATGGATAGGACTGAAAACGAGACTGATTAATGGAATGAGTAACCTGAAAAACCAATCCAAATTGATCGATATTGTGAATTTCCAGGAGAAATCGCAATAAATTTCTTTCAAATTACCACCTGATTCCCAAAAAGGAACAGACCATAGCCACAAAGATGGCAGCTGACTCTTAAAAGGTGTGATGACAGGATCATAAACACAAGAGTCACAAAAAGGCATCTAACTAGACAAAATAGTTGGGTGCCGATCCCCCCTCTTGAGACTGTGCAAAGAACACAGTCTAGAACAGACGGGAAGACCGATCTAAACGCACAAAGGTGCCAGGTTGGTATTACTGTTTCATGAAGCTTGTTCCCAAAGTTCAGCCTCGCCTTTTTCTCTTTAGTACTTCCTAACCGAGTACGTAGGGTAAAAGAAAGGGTCGAACGGGAAGGAACAAAAAGAGCTGATTGATCAGATTCCTCATTCCAATGCGAATGGGATGGCCGTGAGGCTACAGGCGGGTAACTCAGTCAGATGCTAGCGATCTTCGGATCCAACGGCGCTGACACAACATGAGGAACCCTGGGTTCGTTGGAGATAAAAACTCAAATGGGCTGGAAATGGCTTAATCACAATGGATGACCACTGCCTTGCAACCACTTAAACCAGTGGGCTATGCGGGTGGGTCAATCTGAAATTGTGTGACCATATCCTGACTCGGCAATATCTACTCAAGGCTCTGAGAGCAAGTACATAATGGCCCTTCCCTACTATAAACTCCCAAGCAATTGGTGGCCCCGTTCGGCGGGTAATTACCACTGTTGCGCCCCAGGCTCGCCCTGTAACACAACACATGTGTGTGTGTGTGTGTGTGTGTGCTCCAAAGAGTTTCGCTGTGTCGCGAGAGGACTCCGGACGGACGGAGAAACTGCTCATCAGTCGGCGAACGGAACGGAACGGCGAAGAGAAAGAGATAAAGCGAGGGAGAGGGAGAGCACGACGTCAATCATCAAAATGTTTTGCATAATGAACACGCATCAAGATCGAAGGCTGTACTTTTGATTTTTCTTGAGTGATCTTGGGAGTACGGCTAACAGCCGCTTCCGAGCGTTAGCTCGGCACTTTGTTAGCTCGAAGAACATCTGAAACGAATTATTGAGAAAAGGAACGTGAAAGCGGCTAAGCGACGTGTTCGTAGTTTGGCGGCGCATTGCTGTCTTTCCTCTCGACCTATATTAAGGCCTATTTGGAATGAAATGACTGGCTGATTGTGAAACTCTTGTCTATTGAACTAATTTTTCTGATAATTAAACATCTCCAGGACGAAATACGACGCTGACATCTGACTTTTTCCACCTGTAAGATGTGGCCTTCACGTTGAAAACCTCACACAGACCACTTTTTTTCCAGTCTGTCAAATGGACTCCTTATTTCTGGTTCAGGATGGCAATTCCAATTCAATGCCAGAATTAGGAGAAATGCTTCTAATCCAAACGATATTAGGTTTTGTGGACATAATCAGCAATGTCTCGTTCATTCTCCTTCTCCTTTTCCGAAGAATCAAGAAACACAGTGACTCTGTTAAGGACTATCACGCCCCAATATTCAGTCAACTATTCATTATTTCCAGTTTCATTCTCATCTATCGCGACTGTTTACGCCTGCTATCGTGGTTTTGCTCAGGAAGTCTCAAGGGCGTTACCAGTGTACCTGGTAGTTTTGCAACCATGCTGTTTGTCTTTTTGAGTACTTTTCTTTATTTTATCAATGATTTTCTAATCAATATAGTCCTTTTGCTATCTTTTTTGGCTGCTCTCCAACGACTTGTGATTATGTATCACGCCGAGTACAAGTATTTGGTCACTGGGTAATTTTATATTTTAAGAAAAGAGTGGTACATGATAACATGCTCAGAAAGTGTTTGAGCTGCTTAATTTTGATTGTTTGGTGTTTATCTATTCATTATTATTGGTTGACTTTAAGTAAGTTGCCAACAGTTCCCAGTTCTGAACTTCTTACAATGAATTGGCAGTGGAATGTGGTGATATCATACTGGGTACGCTTCCCGAGTGCCCAAATGTGTTCTACACAATTCTAATATACGTATATCGTGCTATTTTCCTATTTTCAACCGTATCGACGGTACTCATTTACCGTCACTTTTACAAACTCCTCTCGAAGTTGACAGTTATTGAAAACTATCAAAAACATAATCTTCTCTATCAATTCGTGCCAATTCACACTGTCCTTATGGTAGTTTCTGATTGCGTTTCATCAATTCGAATATATTGTTCAGACCAACGTGTTTGTTTACACCCTCAGCCGGATATTTGGTGACATTGCGCAGAAAGGAGGTTTATATTATGCCTTTTACTTTCTGTTCGCCTTCACATTGGTTCCATCTATCCCTTTTGTCGTTGCCATGTCCTACATAGCTTCGAAAGATAATGTGAGAGCCCTTTTGCATCCTTTAATTAGAGCTACTTGGTATGAGATCACTGGTTGATTGTGATATTCAATGCATTGCAAGGTACACCTATTTCTGTTTTTATGAATAAAACATTTAATTTCAATTATTCTGAATATCATACGTCTCTTAAAGGTAATACGTCACAGAGTGGGTTTCACGTTTAAGAACATGAAAATCACCTGCCTTCTCAAGCAAATCACGGTGATTCTTTGCCAGGGTAATAATATATATTTTGCCGTTCTAGCGCACCTTTTCGACCATCCTCAATTTTCTGAATGTACTCTTTCGCTAGACATTTAACCTTTCCCCTTCCATTTCCTTTTTGATTGTAGCTACTACATGTAGTCACACTTCTATTTTTCACTTATCTCTGTGCTTTTAATTCCTCTTGTGATTTTTTTGTAATAAAGTTTTATTCGACAGAAAATACGTTCTCTAGAATAATAAATCTCTAATCAATTGAGGATAGATCAGTTTCGCTGAACTGGCGCAGTTCCTTTTACATGTGTTTCTTTATTTTTAGGTTGAGTAATGATGTTTGCACAAAAATTGTTTTTTTAAATGATAAATTACGTTAAATAACGATGTTTTCCGAATAACGAGTTCAGGCATTGCGTATTCCCGATTTTCCGTCAAATTCCAGCTGGAATTTGAGTGGATGGAGCGCACTTGCATCGCCTCCCAAATTGTGTCGGACATTTACGTCAGAGTAAGAATCACCGTGAGCTCTCTTCACTGAAACAAACCAGACTTGAGCAGTTTCCCGAATGGAAGCCTATCTTTTGCTTTTTGATGACAACTCTTTGGCGAGTAAATATAAGTTTGCACCAGGACAAACTGAACTCATTTTCATCAAGACAATATTAGGTTTTGTGGACGTTATCAGCAATGTTTCGTTCGTTTTTCTTCTCATATTTCGAAGATACAAGAAAAGCACAGAGAAAGTACATGATTATCATGAACCGATATTCCGTCAACTGTTTATAATTTCTGCTTTTATCATCATCTATCGAAACTTTCTAAACTTTCTATCTTGGTTTTGTTCGCTTGATTCAACGGTTGTGGCGAACAGCTATATTTTCATGCTCAATATGATATTAATGCTCTCAAGTTCTCTTCTTTTTTACCTAAATGACTTTCTAATCAATATTGTCCTTTTGCTTTCATTTCTGGCTGCTTTCCAACGACTCTTGATTGTGTATTATGCCGAATACAAGTATTTGGTCACTGGGTGAGAGCATGGGTCGATCGAATACAAAAACCATTTCAGAAAGTACTTGTACTGCTTAATTCTGATTGTCTGGTGCTTACCAATGCACTATTATTGGCTAGCTTTGAGTGAGTTCCCCTATCGTTCTGTACTTTTCACAGTGAATTGACAGTGGAATGTGGTGACGTCATAATTAAAACGCAAACCGAGTGCCCAAATGTCTTCTACACTATCCTCATTTACATTTATCGTGCTATTTTTTTGTTTGTGATCTTCGCAACTATGCTGATATACCGTCACTTTTACAAACTTCTCTCAAAGTTGACAGTTGTCGAAAACTATCACAGACATCGTTTGCTTTATCAATTCGTACCAATTCACACTGTCCTTATGGTAAGTCCTTAGTCGTTCATATGATACTCAAATATATTTATCAGATGAATTTGCTCATTTACACCCTCACTCTGATAATTGGTGACCTAGCACAGGAAGATAATTTATATGTTATTTTTTACTTACTGTTCGCCTTCACATTGGTTCCTGCCATCCCATTCGTCATTGCCATGTCCTACCTAGCTTCGAAAGATAATGTGAGAGCCCTTGTGGTGCCTATTTTGCAATCTACTTGGTATGGATGATAAGTTAAGATGAACCAGTTGGCATTTTCATTATTAGTTTGTACAATAAATATTTTGTTGTCTGTTTCGTTATTTTCAAAAATGAAAAATAAAAAACGCATTTCGTAGTGACTTAAGTTTTCACTCTCGCACCGTCCAACTTAACAAATGATCTCGCCTTAGGGACAGGTTCCTTATTCTCGTTATCAGAAACGTATCGAATGACTGTGGTCACAGTGCCCTCCAGAATTTTCTTCGGAAGATCCGTTCTGATTGTCGGATGACCGATTCCGATTCCTTGAGTGGCTCCGGAAGTGACGGCTTCTACCATCGAACGGACGGTTGGGTATCGCATTGTCATGTACACAACGGTATCTTTGAATACTGGACGGATCTGAAACACAAATGTTTATTTAGATTGCTTCGGGTTTTCAGGCCAAACCTGCTCAGCAAACTCCAACACGGACGATTCATTTTGTGGCTCGAAGGAGAACTCGACAAAGTCAAAGCCAGTGCGTTCATACTCTTCGCAGGTCTTCAGAGCTTCTTTCAGTGAGATCTTTTCAGATGTGAAATCGTCGGAATCGACTTTCAATCCGATCATAAATCCGGTTGACGCTGGACATTGCTGCCTGATAGCTTCATGAATCTTTGAAACGTCGGGTTGGGAATGCAGTTGAACTCCGTCAAATCGAGCTTCTCGAACGTACTTTGCGGCTTCAACTGGATCATGGTCACGAGAAAACTGCACTACAACAAGTGATCCGATTTGCTTTACCAATTCGTCAGAGACTTCACGGTCCTTAACGGTTATTGCGATTTCGAAAGAGTTTACGGGATGTTTTGTAACTAACCACAAAAGTATTGATGTTCCCAATGATAGTCATTCCGTACCGTTCCTCATAAAAATCGGTTGAAACGGAAGAAGTGAAAGTAGAAGTAGAAGCTTTCAGAAATCGATTCTGTGCAATTTTCCCACTCGGAAACTTGAGCTTAGCGCCCAAAATGCTAACGTTTCTAGCAACATCACTGTGATAATGGCGAGACATTCTGCAGAAAACAAGACAATAATCATCATGATCATATGTTTATATAGGCCACCGAAAGCTGATGAAATAACGTGTTCTGACGCAGTGATCCTGAAGTCGTACTTTGAAGTGCATTGTGGGACGATACAAAAACAAAAAGTACTTTGTTTAAAAGATAAATGATAAATTATGGAGATGACACTAATATTGTGAACGTATTTTGTTTTCACGTGAAATAATCTTCGAAGATCCCCGCTTTATTGAGCCTCTTCCAACTCCTCCTGCTCATCTTTCTCTTCAGCTTTGCCGCCATCATCAACAACCAATCCAAAGTAGTACTGAAAATACAAATGCATCACTCCAAACAGTAAAGAACGTACCAGAATGTAATCAACCGCCGTCCACTTCATCATTCTCTTCTCCAGTCTCAACGCCTTCCTCTCCGCCTTCCGCCTGATCTCGTAGATGTGCGTTTTGGTCATCCACGGACGCGAATAGATCCAGACTGCCTGGTCTTTGGCGAAATCGGTACAGTCATAGTTCTGGATGGCAATGTATGGAATGTAATTGCTCGTTTCCACCGGGTACAGGTAGAACGCTCTCGTCAGGAACGAGAGGAGCATTCCGATGAACGCGATGAGACAGTTGTACCAGACAATGTCGTAGAGCGCCGACGTCATGCACACTTCTGGATTCTTGAAGCAGACGCCGCCGTCGATGACGAACACGCAGACGTGTCCGTGGAAGCAGTCGGAGTCCCGTTTGCACTCGGTGTCCTTGCTGATGTGCTGAATGAGCCCGCACTTGTTCACCACACCCACGTAGGCAATTGTACTGGAAAAGTTGGAGCAGAAGGCAAAGTTGAAGCCGGGTGGGATCGGATGTCCGGGGATGCACGGGAAGTTGCTGGAGTAGAAGTGCGTGGGCGGCTGGAGAGGTTCGTTGGGGATGTGATGATCTGAGCAAAAAGTTGCATGTAGAATATTAGAAACTGACTCACAATTCGGACAGCAATGCCCGCTTTTACAAAGCGCTCTCTGATTCTCACAATCCGCATCGACATTGCATTCATTTTCTCCGAACAATGGCAACCTTCGATCGTAGCACAGTGACTCGACCTCTTCCGATTCCTCCTGACAACAAATGCTCTTCTGGGAGCAGTACGAATTCCAGTTGAAATCCGAATGGCAATGTCTTTGATGCTCACAATATTTAATCGGCGACACCGGCGTTCCAAATGGGCAGTCTGTAAATGGAAATGACAATGAAAACGGAGATGAATTTCCATTACTCACATTCTTTTGAAGTAGCAATGCGTCTCGAAAATTTAAGTTCTCGTGGTAAAGGTGGCTTCGGTGGCGGAGGCTTTGGCGGTTTCGTCGTGCCAACAGATGTCGAATTCGTGAAAGTGACATTTGAAAAAGGCGTCGTTTCTGTTGTTGTTTGTCCGTCGGAAAAGATTGCTATTGCGATGAATACAATGAGCTGGCTGATCCGCAGCATTTTGAAAGGAAAAAATGACTGAGCTCCACGAATGCATAACAACGTTAGGGGTCAAGTTCACGTGAAAGATCAAAAAGATTTGATTTCCTTTTGATGCGCCCATCTCCCAGCTGATCCTCTTGGTCTCGTTTGTCATCATTACAACTTTCAAAGTTCAAGATCACGTAGGTCACACAGGCCACACATGTCTTTTCTGCAAGCACCAGAGAACAGTCAGCGGGAACACTGCGCTCTCCGGCGTCTCACCATTTATTATCATCCTATTTCGTCAGACGCTCTTCACGGTTCATCAATTACACGAAACGGAGGATTTCTATATATACCACTTGCAAATGACCGCCAATTATCCTTCCGATACGAGAATATTTCCAAACAAAATGTCCCGCCGTTTCGACACTACTATTCCTGAGAATGTCGCGGTTCTGGGTGATAAGCTCAAGTTCCCCAGTGGCAAAGTGGCTCAGAATCGATTCCTGAAAGCCGCGCTGACTGAAATGCTCTCCACTTTCGAGCCGTCTGATCCGAAGGCTCATGGAGTTCCGACTCAAGAGATTCTGAATGTCTACGACAAATGGGGAAATGGACAGTTTGGAATGATTCTGACTGGAAATGTTCATGTCAGTCCCGTGAGTTTAAAGCTCAAATATTTTTATGATTTATTTAACTTTAGGTTCATCTCGAAGCACCTGGAAACCCAATCATTTTCAAGGAAGGAGATACTAGTGCCAGACGGGAAGCGTACACGAAATGGGCAAAGGTCAGCAAGCAAGACGGTGCTCTGGCAGTGGTTCAACTTTCCCACGGTGGTCGTCAGACTCCGATCACTGTCAACAAGGCGCCATTCTCTGCTTCTGACGTGAAATTGGAGAAGGAAGTTCGTTTCTTGGGATTCGGCCAGCCGATCCCGTTGACTGTTGACCAGATCAAGACAGAAGTGATCGACAAATTTGTGTACGGTGCCAAGTACGCCTACGAGACCGGATTCGACGGAGTTCAACTGCATGCAGCTCACGGATATCTTCTTGCTCAGTTCACCTCCCCGACCACCAATAAGAGAACCGATCAGTACGGCGGATCGGTGGCCAACCGACAACGTATCATTTTGGAGATTTACGAAGCAATCAGAAGGGAAATCCCCGCTTCAACTGGGTTCTTAGTTGGGTTGAAGACTAACTCGGTCGAGTTCCAATCCGGGGGAACAACGATTGATGAAGCTGTTGAGATGTGCAGAGCATACGAAAAGATCGGTTTTGACTTTGTCGAACTCTCCGGCGGAACTTATGAGCAGTTGGCTTTCCATCACCTAAGAGATTCGACGAAAAAGAGAGAAGCATTTTTCCTAGAATTTGCGGAGAAGGTAAGTATTTGAATGCTTTGTTGTAGAAGCTATAAATGTTATTTCAGATTCGTCCAGTCTTCAAAAACACAGTCGTCTACCTGACCGGAGGCTTTCGCACTGTCAATGCTATGGTCGATGCGGTCACTTCCGGAGCCACCCAGGGGATCGGACTCGGCCGTCCAATTACAGCCGAGCCAGATCTCCCGAAGAAGATCCTCAGGGAAGCGGTGCCCTCCGCCATTCGCGACGTTCTGGATCAGAACAACTTCGCCGTCACTCTTCTGGCCAGCAACACGCAAATGGAGCAGATGGGCAGAAACTCATTCAAAGAAGCCAACAATAACGTTTCCTATGGACTCAGTGACTTCAGCGATGAGGCGACCGCGCAGAGATTCGGAAAGGCCATCGAGGATTTCATCGAGCTCCTCCGCGTTCAAGCCTCGAGAGGAATCGCAATTCCCGCTGTGATCCCGTTTGAGGGCGTCAAAACCCGAGCAAACTGATAGGGAAAGTGTATCTTCGAAAAATGTCTAGTCTGAATTGTATAAATATTTGAACTATTGTTTTCACTACTTGACGTCTGTACTTTGGTTGATAAACAGAAAAGAAAACGAAAGAAAACGCGAACAAAGCAGGTGCAAGTTCTAGTATTTCTGCATTATCCACACTGAAAGTCACCGATTAATGGCTTCTCTAACTTGACTTTAAGCACATCAAACTTTGCGAAACATTCCCTAACAAACCGATGAAGTGCCGACTTCGTTTTGATACTTTGGATGTGAGACAAACATGCCCCTTATCTTTTTTACACTTTGTCACAAACAGGGATCCAGAGAACACTTCACTCTCCTCCGATTTCTCATCAAAACACCATCACCCTGCGGTTTCTTGTTTTCCATCTGACTCCAGACCACTCCCGCTCCTCCCTCCTGGGTATACAATTTCAGATGAAGGAACTTCAATTCTCATTTCTGCCGCTTTCCTATCCGCCGCCGTTCTGGGCGAAAAACTGCATTTCTCGAGTGGAAGAGCGGCTCAGAATCGTTTCTTAAGTGCTGAAATGACTGAACTGCTCTTCACTTTCGTCACCCAAGAAATCAGACTCGGAAGACAAAGAAATGAGCAGTAAATTGACTGAAAGTGTCGGGTGGAGACACCCGTGGTGCAGTTTCAGCCAGGCATCACATCTCTCTTTATAACTCAGGTCGCAAGACACGCCATTATGCCCTAAAATTCGCATCGTCAAGTGCGCCAACGGCGGCTGTTGACGCGCGGAGAAGCGTGTAATGCGCAAGCAAATTCCACTCTCTGTTTTTGACCTAAAATTAATCAGTCTTGTGTTTTGCCGCAGCCACGGTCTCCAGAGCTGACAATATGGGTGTGGCCTCGGCCAAATGGCGTTTTCATGAATTGAGCAAGTTTTCTCTGATTTTTACGGTCAAAAGCGATGAAAAATGATTGTTCGACATGAAAACACACTAATTCTCAGAATTAATGACGTTTTGGCGCATTGTTCGCGGACTTTGCTTTTTTGCCTTCGCCGCCGATAGCCGCCGATCGCCGCCTCAAAACCGCACTTCTCATTTTGCGCTTTTTGACCGTTTTCAGACAGAATTGGTTTTGAGAATGATAAATCACGTAAATACAAGCATTTTGAGCGCTCGAAACGCGAAAACTACCGAAAAGAAACTGAAATTCACGCAGTTTTAGCCAAAAACCTTCAAACGAATAAATGTGATTTGCGACTTGACCAAGTTTAACACTCTTGCGCTTAGAAATTTGTAATAGCCTATACAATCGGTCTATCGAGAGACAAATGAAAAATTATCGGTTTTTCGTGGCTAATCTGGCAAAAAACACAAATTTTTCTGTTAATATTTGAATTTCGCGCCAATGTATCGCTCTATTGGGCTGGGCGCACTTGTGCCCATTGTCAGCTCTGGAGACCGTGAGAATGATAAACCACGTAAATACAAGCATTTTGAGCGCTCGAACGGCTAAAACTACCGAAAAGCAACTGAAATTCACTCAGTTTTAGCCAAAAACATTCAAACGGATAAATTTGATTTGCGACTTGACCAAATTTAACGCTCTTGCTCTTAAAAAAATCGTAATAGCCTATAGAATCGGTCTATCGAGAGACAAATGAGAAATTATCGGTTTTTCGTGGCTAATCTGGCAAAAAATACTAATTTTGGCAGTAAAATCGAAGGGCTTGAAGGCCATCTGATTAAAAAACGAAAATGAATGGTGTATTACATCTCAGCAAAGCACAAACCACGCATTTCGTATGACTACAAAGCGATTGGAAACTGAAGATCTTGTGGTTGTGTAGTGTGTAGTGGTTGTAGATTGTAGCGATAGTAGTGGGCGCACACACCGATAGGACGTATAAATATCAGCGATGGACAGACGGAGAACAATCGTCCTACTTTAGGCAATATCGACCAAAATGTCCCGCCGTTTCGACACTACTATTCCTGAGAATGTCGCGGTTCTGGGTGATAAGCTCAAGTTCCCTAGCGGCAAAGTGGCTCAGAATCGATTCCTGAAAGCTGCAATGACTGAACTGCTCTCCACTTATGAGCCGAGCAACCCGAAGGCTCACGGAATTCCGACTCAGAGCCTCGTGAACGTTTATGAGAAGTGGGGAAACGGACAGTTCGGACTCATTCTTACTGGAAATTTGCTAGTTGACCCGGTAAGTCTTCAGGATTTTCAGACTTTCGAGAGTATGTGCACTTTCTAATTTCAGAATCACCTGGAAGCACCTGGAAATGCAATCATCTTCCAAGAAGGAGACTCTGCAGCCCGCCGAGAAGCCTACAAGAAGCTGACAAGTGCTTCCAAGCAAGACGGAGCACTCGTTATCGGTCAGCTCTCTCATGGAGGAAGGCAGACGCCGATCACAATCAACAAGACACCTTTCTCTGCGTCTGACGTTAAACTGGATCAGCAGGGACGCTTCGGTCAGCCTATCCCATTGACCGTTGAGCAGATCAAGACAGAAGTGATCGATCGATTTGTGTACGCTGCCAAGTTCGCCTACGAGACCGGATTCGACGGAGTTCAACTGCATGCAGCACACGGATACCTGCTCTCCCAGTTCACTTCCCCGACCACCAACAAGAGGACCGATCAGTACGGAGGATCCGTCGAGAATCGGCAGAGAATAGTGCACGAAATCTATGAGGCTGTCAGAAAGGAGATCCCGGCTTCCACAGGTTTTCTCGTGGGGTTAAAGACCAACTCGGTGGAGTTCCAAACGGAAGGAACCACTGTCGATCAGGCAATTCAAATGTGCGAGACTTATGAGAAAGCTGGCTTTGACTTTGTGGAGCTGTCCGGAGGGACTTATGAGCAACTCGCTTTCCAACACATTCGAGAGTCCACCAAGAAGAGAGAAGCTTTCTTTTTGGAATTTGCCGAGAAGGTAAGTAACACAATTTATCATCCATTCCTATGAGTTCTTATTAAGATCCGTCCAGTCTTCAAAAACACGGTCGTCTACTTGACCGGAGGTCTCCGCACCGTCAATGCCATGGTCAATGCCGTCACTTCCGGTGCCACACAGGGAATCGGACTCGGCCGTCCAGTCACTGCTGAGCCGGATCTCCCGAAGAAGATTCTCAAAGGCTCAGTGCCGTCCGCCGTTCACGACGCTCTCGATCAGAACAACTTCTTCGTCACCTTTTTCGGTTCCAGTGCTCAGATAGAACAGATGAGCAGAAGTTCATTGAAAGAAGCGAAGAACGACGTCGCCCACGGAATCAGTGACTTCAGCGATGAGGCGACTGTTCAACGGCTTGCCGGGGCAATCGGAGAGTTCATGGCGTTGAGCACAGAGAGGACCAAGCAGGGTATTGTTGCTCCCGCCGTTCTGGTATTCGATTGAGAGCTGTAATATTTTCAATGAATATTTATGAAACTGAATAAACAAATGAAATGAGAATCACAAATGAATTCAACAAAGAAGAGATAACCCACAAGGAACGGTGGAATAATAAATATGACGAAGAAAAGAGTAGTAAATCGACTGAAAGTGGTTAAACACGTGATTAAATAGGTATCATTAAGTTCTTAATCCGAATCCTCGTCGGCAGTAAAATCGAAGGGCTTGAAAGCCGCCTTCAATTTGGTGACCAGTTCGATCTCCTTCTCTTTCGGGAGCACGCAGCCTTTCCAATCCACCTTGTCCTCGCAATCCAAGATCGGTGTGGAGGCGAGGACTTCACGGCCGAACTGAAGCGGGAAACCTTTCATGTTGCGGGTGAAGAGCTTCGAGCCGTCGGGAAGTTCAGCAACAAAGTACGGGCATCCTTCGTTTACCATGTCCAGTAGCTGAAAAATAATCAGTTTAGAAATGAAAATACTAGTCAGTTCTTGCTCATTGCACTTACACCATCGTTAGAAGCCATCGTCACCAGCTCAAATCCTGCTAGCGCTGCAGCTGAAGTGAACGAAGTCTTGAGCGCCTTCGTCGACGACTTGTCAATCATGACCATTTGCACTTGAAGGTGTTGAGTACGGAAGTTTCGTTCAAACGTGACGAGCGCTTTTCCTTGCTTATGGGCCATGAGCGTGAATGCGTTCTTCCACTTTTCGATTTCATCGCGGACCTCGACAGGAGCGGACACTTGCGACTGGATGTGGCCGACAGAGAGAACCATGACATGATCATCAGTCAGCGGACCTTTTGGCATCGCTGCATAACAATTGCTGCCGATTCCGACGACCAGATGCTTTTCGGCGTCCACGTTAGACAAACAGAACCAGCACGGCCCGGCCGGCTGCTTGTTTCGCGGTCCATCACGGTCTGAATACGAAAATATGACTATACTGGCTTAAAAGTATAACTTTTCAATGATAAATTTTATGCCTATTAACAAATTGATAAGAATGTACTAAGAAAACTGAAGTACAAAGCCCTTTGATTATTCAAAACGACAGCCATAGGATGATTTTTTTTAGCAAAGCACAAACCACGCAGCAAGGCACAAACCACGCAATTCGTCTGACTACAATTGTAAACTGAAGGTCTTGTTAGTAAATGTGTAGTGGTTGTAGATTGTAGTCGTTGTAGCGATAGTAGTGAGCGCACACACCGATAGGACGTATAAATATCAGCGATGGACAGACGGAGAACGCTCGTCCTACTCTAGACAATATCAATGTCCTTTGCTCGTTTCCCAAACGCTACTCTGGTTTCTACAAAAGTTCTAGGAGAACATTTGAAGTTTCGTAGTGGACGAGAGGCGCAAAATCGTTTCTTAAAAGCTGCTCTCACCGAACTTCAATCAGTTTATGCTCCGAATGACCCGAAGAAACACGGTATTCCTACAGATGCTATTCTTAATATTTACGACAAATGGGGTAATGGTGGTTTTGGAATGATTTTGACTGGAAATATTCTCGTTGATCCGGTGAGCTCTTCTTTTTCAGATAGTTTCTGAGACGTTTTTTTTTCAGACTAATCTGGAATCTGCTGGAAACCCAATCATATTCAAAGATGGCGACAGTCAGGAACGTCGAGCTCTCTTCACTCACTGGGCAAAACTTATGAAGCAAGACGGAGCTCTCGCAGTTATGCAGCTTTCGCATGCGGGACGTCAAACTCCAGAACACTTGAATCCGACTCCATGGTCCGCTTCTGACATTCAGCTCACTACCAACGTTCGTCTGACGGCGTACGGGAAACCAAAAGCCCTTTCGACAGAACAAGTGAAAACAGAGGTCGTTGACCGGTTCGTATATGCTGCCAAGTACGCTTATGAGTGTGGATTCGATGGAATTCAACTGCATGCAGCTCACGGATACTTGCTCTCCCAGTTCACTTCCCCGACTACCAACAAGAGAACCGATCAATACGGAGGATCACTTGAGAACCGTCAGCGGGTTATCATCGAGATTTTTGATGCCATTCGAAAGGATATTCCATCCTCGACTGGTTTCTTGATCGGAATTAAAACGAATTCGGTAGAATTTCAAGCTGAGGGAACTACTCTCGAAGATGCGAAGGAAATGTGCGCTGCGTATGAAAACAAGGGGTTCGATTTTGTGGAACTGTCCGGAGGGACTTATGAGAAGCTCTCTTGGACCTACGAACGAGAGTCGACAAGGAAGAGAGAGGCGTTCTTTGTGGAATTTGCGGAACAGGTTGGTTTTGATTTGAATTCGATTATTAAAAAGTGATCAAAATGTGTTTTCAGATTCGTCCAGTTTTCAAAAACACAATTGTCTACCTGACCGGAGGCTTCCGAACAGCTTCTGCAATGGTTGACGCAATCGCTAAGAACGCAACGCAAGGAATAGGATTGGGAAGGCCAGTTACTGCGGAGCCAGATCTTCCGAAAAAGATCTTAGCTGGCGGTATTCATTCTGCTGTCCAAGATTTGTTGGATCAGAATGATATGATTAAAACTGTATTGGCCAGCGGAGCCCAAATGCAGCAGATGGGACGGACAAGTGTACAGAGTGCAGGTGGAAAGTGAGTTGATTCTAAAAGAGGATCCTTGTAAACATTTAACTTTCAGCTTATTGCACCAAATCAGTGACTTCAGTGATGTCAAAGTCGTCGAAAGATTCGATAAAGCCTTGTCTCTCTTTGTTGAACAATCAGTTATAGATGCGGGCGAAGGAAAGCTTCCAAGTCATATTCTTGTATTTGAATAATTCTCAATTCTCGATCTATCTGATCGTCATCAAAACCTACGAAGAAACCCCAAACTTCTCACTCTGTGTACGTTGATGTTTTTTGACACTAGTGTACACTGTTATATTGGTACAGGGATAATAAATTACTTGTTTTTTGCACTTGTTTACCGTTTCTTAGACGTCGAGCTTTGCGTTTCTAATCTATATACGTGCAAGAAATTGTCATCTTGCGATTAGCCTGCAGGTCTCTCGTTGTCTGCCGCCTCTTCAGTCGGTGTACTTTTTTCTGCGTGTTTGCCAAACCTCCTTGACCAAAAAACACACTTTATTTGAACCGCACGTACAATAGTGTAGTATTCAGTTCTTTATTTCTTCGTTTTCCTACCAGTTCGGAATCAAAAGATTATGACGAAGCGTTACTGTGAAAAGCTTACTGTTTCTTCTGCCATTCTCGGTGACCATCTCAAATTTCCCAGTGGAAAAGAGGCTCAGAATCGTTTTCTCAAGGCCGCTCTGACTGAGCGAGTGTCGACTTATGATCCTGAGAACCCGAAAAATCACGGTTTGCCAACTGACTCTATTCTAAACTTGTATGACAAGTGGGGAAATGGAAAGTTCGGAATGATTCTCACCGGAAATGTGCTTGTGGATCCGGTAATTCCCGCTTTCCCAGGGTTTTTACTCAATCTCCATTTTTTCAGACTAATCTAGAATCTGCCGGAAATGCCATCATTTTCGAAGAAGGAGATAGCGCAGAGCGCCGTGCTCTTTTCTCGAAATGGGCCGAGAAGATTAAGCAAGACGGAGCTCTGGCAGTTGTTCAGCTCTCTCACGGAGGTCGTCAGACTCCAGCTACTATCGAACCTCATCCGTGGTCGGCTTCCGATGTTAAACTTGTTGGAGAGCGTCGTTTTACTCCATTCGGTAAACCGGTTCCTTTGACTGTTGAGCAGATCAAGACGCACGTAATCGATCGGTTTGTGTATGCCGCCAGGTTCGCTTACGAAACTGGTTTTGATGGCGTCGAGTTGCACGCTGCTCATGGCTACTTACTAGCTCAGTTCACTTCTCCAACTACCAATAAGAGAATCGATCATTACGGAGGATCTATTGCCAACCGTCAACGTATCATTTTGGAGATTTACGACGCGATCAGAGCGGCTGTCCCTGCTTCCACCGGATTCATTGTTGGAATCAAGACAAACTCGGTTGAGTTCCAGGAGGAAGGAACTACAGTCGATCACGCCAAGGAAATGTGCGAGGCCTATGAAAACGCTGGTTTCGATTTCGTCGAGCTGTCCGGAGGAACCTATGAGAAGCTGGCGTTCCATCATTTGCGCGAATCCACCCGCAACCGCGAGGCGTTCTTCCTCGAGTTTGCAGAGAAGATCCGTCCAGTCTTCAAGAACACTGTCGTCTATTTGACTGGAGGATTCCGAACTGTGAAGGCGATGGTCGAGGCAGTTGAGACTGGAGCAACACAAGGAATCGGACTGGGTCGACCGATCACGGCTGAGCCCGATTTGCCGAAAAAGATTCTCGAGAGATCGGTGGCTTCCTCAATTCGAAATGCGCTCGACGACAACGATTTTGCAATTACGAACTTGGCTAGCAACACGCAAATGCACCAAATGGGAAAGACGACTTTCAAGCAAGCTGGACAAAAGTAAGTTGAAGTTACTCGAAACTCTTGTAGTTCAATTCTTCAGACCGACCCACGGAATCAGTGACTTCTCTGACGAAACAACTGTCGAGCGCTACAAGGAAGCTCTCAAGGAGTACACGATTTTCATGAAAACCCTCGCCGCACAGAAAAAGCCAATTCACGGAGTGCTCGTTTTCGAAGCTATTTACCAAGCCTAATTTTATCACTTTTCTTGTGTGATCTTTTATAAATTTCTAATCAGCGTTCAAATAAAACATACCGCTAGCATTGTGTCGCTTCCTTCCGTTTCCTCCTGGTCCGTCGTCGTGTTCGCCCATCTGGAATCGGTATTGTGATCCTTCTGGTCGGGATTCCTGACTGTTCAACCGATTGAGAGTTTCTCTGAATATTGCTGCATTGATAAGGTCCTTTTTTCGGAACTTTCATACGTTAAAACTCTCTTTTCACGCAACTTCAGATAGTTAGCCCAGAAATGAGCAAAAGGAGAGAGGGTTTCACGTGAAAATATGCAATTTTCAGGCATGTCTGAAGAAATTACATAAAACTCACTTGGCGGCGATCTCCTCGAGCAACTCTCGATACGGAAACTCCGAAGCGTTCGGCGGCTGTGCAGTCAGCTCCTCTTTCTCCATTTTCCGCATCGGCTTCACATTGCACGCGTACAACCACTTTTGTTTCTCCGCGTTTCCGACGGGCGCCAATCCGATGAATCGTGTGACGTGTCTCGCCGGCTCCAGGAGTACCCGATGGTTTCTGTACGGTTGTCGTTCGTAGTGGACTCCGAGACCCGCGAAATGATAGCGGGGCTTCAGTTGGGCCGCCAATTTCGTGAGGAGCGCTGAGCCGGCGGGCGGGTTCGTCGGCTGATTGTGCGAGTGTCTTGCCACGTCGGCAGGCCACATTGAGGTCAAAAGGATGTCGGTGCCGGAGAATCCGACCTGCGTTCCGAGCGGAATCAGAAGCTCATCGACATCGGACTTGTCGAACGTGCACAAATCCTTCGATGTACCTTCCACACCACTCAAGTAAGCAATCTGAAGGCCTGATGCAGAGTTCAGAAGACCTTTTTTTCCCAGATACGTCAGATTTGAGGAGAACTCTACAGATTCTTCTGGATAGAGGTAGGTGAGACGAGGACTCGCAGGACCTGAACGATTTTGAGGTTAAAAGTGCCATTAGCTTAGAAAACGGACCCAAAATGTAGGTGGGCAGAGGGAATTCAACGCTGCCGTTGATCACTTTCTCGTTCGCTTCGTCGTCGTCTCCGAAGAATTCGCCTACGCAGAATACAGAGTCGAACGGTCCGTTCTGCAGAACATCGGGTCAATTATCGATTTGATAAGTGGCAAAACTCACTTTTTTCTCGGTCAGTGTTAGTTTCTTGATGAGCTCCACAAATTTACCGTTCACATCGCCACAGCACAAAATCTTTGGCTGTTTCTCTGTCATCTGCAAGAGAATGAGGTTAAAGAGAAGTGATAGGCTAGAGAAAATGAATAGAACATCGAAACGCTATGAAGTTTGCTAAATTTTGACTGAAATACTATGATAAATGATAGAAAACCAAATTTTTGCGTGGAAAATTGAAAAGAACTCGAGAAAAATAATTCTCGCGGCCATCTGCAAAACTTCGGCCACGCGCTCGATTTCGATAGCCACGATGGTTTTCAACGCAAAAGATGAGAAATTGGTGCATCTGGATATGACTGTTTTATCAATAGAATTACAGGAAAAGAGTGTTTTAACACAAAAATAAAATAGAATTCGTTTGTGACCTGAAAAGTCATCGTCCTCCCACGACTGCCAGCCGCCACTGCTCGAGCCATCGCCGCTCACGACCTGGAAGACTCATCAGTTCAGAAAATTGTCGGGTGCTAGGAGTATGGGCGTCGACCATCGATGCGAACCGAGGTGCGCGGCCACCTCGTCCTCCATCGACTCGCCGCCGTCGGGACCGTCTTCCAAAAGTCGTAGTAGTCGTCGCCGTCGTCCATCTCGAGGCCACCGTGCGCCGGATTCAGCAGCGTCACCGGGTAACGGTTGGTCATCAGTCCTGCAACTGTTTTGTCTCGTGTTTTCGACTGCTCCTCCGAATACGTTACCTTTTAACACGTCCGTGTAGCTCGACATCTTCTTGAATAATCTCTTTCTCTTCTGCGCCTCGTTCGTTGTTTGCGTCTTTCGCGGCGGCGGCCGAGTCCGATTCCCCGCTATTCACCTCCTTCAGGTTGGGAGGACGATGTGGACCATAATAATAATAATAATAAATAACAATAACGTCAGCGGGAGGAAGAGAGACTTCGCTCTTTTCCGCAAAGGCGCCGCGGATACCAAGACGCGTGCTCGAAGGAAAGACGGTTAGTTGGACAGAATGGCAAATACTTCTCCGCACTCCATTTTTTCAGATTCTCTCCCTCTTCTGCGACAACTCACTGAACGCTTACTGAATACCAACTGAATGCGTCGTCATTTTTTATAGATAAATTAGTGATAGTTGTTATGTGAATTTACAATTAACATATATCGCCAGATTTCAAAAGAAATTTGAAGCTAGCTGTGGACTGCTCCATACAAATACTTAGAACCCCTTCGAGTGCAAAAGTGAGCATAGGAAGATCTGAAAGGTTCGATTGTGATCTGTTCAGACGTCATCAAACTTGATCACGCAAACTGTACGAGATTGTAATAAAGTATCGCCATCTCGGTCATCATCCTCATCATCGAAGCCCTCGTGGCCCCTTAACCCTTTCGGCTCCATCCGAAAATGCTTGAGCCACACTCGATGTCTCGAGTGACAAGTGAGAATGAACTGAGTGACAGGGGAAGAATAGAGAGGTGCGAGAGCAAGATTTGTCGTCAGTAAAACGGGAGGCGAGGAGGAGCACAAAACGGGTAGAATGGATAAGTGAGTTGCCGTCTTCTCTTCTTCTTCTGCTATTTCACTTCTCGACGTTTGAGGCTGAAAAGAAAAGATTTTGCAATATGCATTCTGTACTCGCGGTTGGGTTTTTGGTCTGAACTGAAGTACAATAGTACAATTTTATGCCATTTTTAGACATTCCCTCGTAGTTGGTTTAGACAGCCTATGCTGATTGCGTCTGATGTCATGCAAGGGTTTGATGTCATATTAATATTGTCAGATACAATACTTCTGACTTCATACACACATATATATATAAGAAGACAATCTATTCTTGATACCTGTGACGCCTCAAACGTTTCTGACCTTTTACCCGGCCCATTCCCCGTAATTGAATGTTGAATGTCATTTTCCATTAGAGAGAATACTCCTCTTAAAGCCCACAACACACATTTCTAGCAGCCTCTAGACAGACATCGCTTGTTATTCGTAGTATTCGATACGTTCACGTGAATAGCTGCAATTACATTCATTGAAAGTCTACAATGGATGAATGAATGATATAATCTAAAATTCGTGAGGAGAAGCTACCTCAAGTCGGTTGAATTATTCCTCGCCCACGACACTTTTTGTGTGCCGGCGCCGCTGTACTGGTGTGATCAGAACTCATCGTTTCTCCGGCAGAAGAACGCACCAAACATCCTCATTTTTCTTCATTTTTGACACGAAAGCACCGGATGGATCGGGTGTCATCGTGAGAGCAGTTTTCAACTTTTCCGCCTACCGCTTCTCTCGTTTTTCCTTCCCCATTTTACTTTTTTGTTTTCACAACACATCTCGCTTCCCTCAGGTATCCCTTGAGGCTATGGCTAGACTATACTGCTGATGTCATCCAGAACATCACCTTTATATAGTAGTAAAACGTATATGTCTAGTGTCTGTGGTATAAAAGGCTAACTCGGCTCTCAGGATTCAATCGAAATCGTTAGGTTTTTTCAATTTGCCGGCTCGTGTGTCATAGTCCACAAGTGCTTAGGCCAGACAAAGAATACTGAGAAGTTTGGGTCCGATCTGAAGTTCAGGTCTCGAAAAGCGTGGGCCCAATTCTGCTTGTCAACCGAATCCATCCCGTTCCAGTTCCAAACTACACATACCTTTGCTCTTCTCAAAGAGAGATCAAAATGTTAGCCCCTCTTCACCACTTGTCGGAAGTAACCAACTTAACCCTTGCTCACTCAATTCGAGCGAGGGTCTTAATCAGGTTCTTACCCCCCTACAGAACAAAGTTTTGTCTTACTCGCTTTTTCAATGCCTCAAGAATATCGGCAAACACAAAAAGTGTGGCGCGTGCTCGTACGCATGTGCTCTATCTCGCCTCTTGATTCGAGTAAGTCGAAATAAAACAGTTTTGTTGACAACCTGACAAAGTCAGTTTGATAGGGTAAATGTTTGGATGGCAGATAAATTGAAGGGCAGATGATGCCGCCGCCCGGAGAGCCCCGGCTGATTTCAATTTTGTTTGTTCTACGCCAATGTGTGATCTATTTTTGCCAGGAGAGAGAGAGAGAGCAAATGCTTTGAGGGTCTCCTGGGGGTAACAGTTAAATGATAAAGGGGAAAATATTTACAATGTATCGAGAAGATTCAAGATTTGTGATGGTTGGTTGGTGAAGCCGACAAGAATAGAAGTTGACAGAATGTTCTGGAAAACAATAATAGTAGCACGGAAACATTGAGACATTACTGGCCTTTGAGGTCTGAGCACCACTAATCGTGAGACATGGTGCATCGGCCGGCTATGTAAGATCATATTGAAGCCCTAGAAGTATGTTCAATCGAAAACAGATAACTTTGAAATATATTTCCTCGAGTGCAGTCTTATGGGCTCTAAAACCTAACCTGCCTAATCATTTTCTCAAACTGACACGGTACATCACTAAATTGCACTCGGTAGCCTCTGGTAAGAAACCCAAAAGATCAGTTCCACTAGAGTATTCAGCGAATAATTTCGAAACTTGGCAACTTGTGAACCTTTGCCTTCATCCGACATTCCTCTCTTTGTTGATTCACCACGTTTTTTGCCGCGATTGCGCAGACGGACAGATGCCATCGAAATGACCCTCTCGTGCACTTGACAACACGAATGAGTAATAGCGAGCGGGGCGCAAACAATTACCCTGTTCTTCGCACCTTTTGGCAGTTTTGTGCTTCCTTCTTTCCTTCCGACTCTCTCTCACTCTCTCTGTCTTTCTCCATCTACAAGTTTACAGTTTACAGGCTGCGCAAACAAACAAACGCAGAGAAACGAAAGGAAGGCAGCGGAAGGGGACGACCTGGAAATCCCACCCCTTCAGTCTCGGTCAGGATCATTCGTTTCATTCGTTCTTCGCCTCAATCACAGCCATGTCTCCATCGCTCGCTCTCTTCGCGCTCATTGCCGTTCTTTGCCTCGTTCCGTTCGCGGACTCGATTCGGTGTTATGATTACACCAGCACCAATTTGGTCAAGACCAATATGAAGACCTGGGTGAGTTAGAATCATGTAATCAATCCGGGAATTGTGCTCATGCATTGGCCGGAAGGTGAGCCATCCCTGGTACAGATTATTAGAAAGTTCGCCAGGTTAAAAGTTCACAAAATCAAATTGTTTTGTGGAACTGTACCAAGATCAATCAGGGACCAAATATATAAACATTCCAGGTCGACTGCCCATCGGACGCCCAGTACTGCTACAAAAGCTACCTGGAATCGCGTGACTTCAACAACGACAAGACGTACGTGGAGGGAAGAGCCTGCGGATCCAACAACCTTTGCATTGTAAGTTTCAATCGACAGTACTCCCAGGATTATTATCCTTTTCTAGCAAAACGGATGCGTGGGCACCAAGACGGACAAGGCGTGCTGCTGCCACGGAGAGCTCTGCAACTCGTCCTCGCTCGCCAAACTCACCGCCTCCCTTCTCACCATCCTTGGATTTTACCTTTTGAAGAACTGAGCGTTTCTTTTCGTTTCTTTCTGTGTTCGTTTCCTAAACGTCTCAGGCCTTTCTTTTGCTCTCTACTCTCTATTTCTTCAACTTTCCCTTCTCATTCCGCGCCAGCTCATCAATCAACGAAATCGTTTAAAAGCATCGAAAAAGTCAAGTGTCCTTATGAATTGTGTATATAAATTCTACTAAATTCTACTAAAAATAAAAGTGTCATTGGTTCTTGACTCGCGATTTTGCTCTTTCAAAGTTCCATTTAAACAGATGCCACACTGTTGGTTTTGACAGTTTTGATGAGGATCTACAGTGGACAAAATACACATTTTTATTGGCCTAGTATGAAAGACATCGTTAGAAAGTTCATTTTCGGGCACTTCTTTTCTTCTCCTTCTCAATGAAAGCACTGTAGTTTTCCGCCCATATCCTCTGCTGCCGCCACAACCAAATCGCAATGCTCTCCCGCTGATGAACTGTGAACACGGAGCCGTCGAACCGGGTGATCGGGACCAGTTTGTCCTTGTTGAACGATCTGGTGACCACGGCGAAGATTTTCACGTGGAGTCGATCGTGAAGATGCACACTTTCCTTGTCCGCATTGTCATCTGAATAGCCATCGGAGACTAGGCACAGGATCTGAACACAGAACTTTAGTTGAAGGAAAACTAACCGGGAAATAGTACCTGAAGTCTGTCATGTTTCGGTGTAGGTAGATACTGATGCTTCTTGTGCGGTTTCTTCAAATTCTGCTCATGATACATGATTCCTCCAGCGAATGCCAGTGCTTTAGAGAGCATTGTGGCTCCGCCGGTGTACGAGAGACGCATTACTCCTTTTCGGACACTTTCAAACGAGTAGAACTGATCGAAACCAAAGACGACGGTCGGATCTTGAGCGTACTGGACCATTGCCACTCGGGACCGTCCGGGCGAAATGTCGACGTCTTTGAGGATCTCGCAGATGAAGTTCTTTTGCTGAAAGGAGGTATATGTATGATCATGACTCTTTTTCAAACTCACAATATCAAAGTTGTTGATTCCGATGCTGCTAGACGTGTCGACCAGGAACATCAGGTCGATTGGCGGTAGCTTCCTTGCTGGATGGTCCCTCGGCAGATGGGTTCTTCTGTTCAGCTCTTCCAAATCCTCTATGCTACTTTCAGTTAGCTCGCTTCCAGAACTTGTTTCTGTCCGTTCTTCTTCCTCTTTCTCCTTTTCCTTCTCCTCGTTCTTATTTGCACGTGGCGTCGGAATGGGAGTCACTTGAACCTCTACATTCTTCGGGCTTCTGGGTGGTGACGCAATACCGGAGTCTCGTCTTCCTCCCCCTGGAAAAAGTAAATCGTGAGTCTGTGAAGTGGACGGCACCTTTCCTATTGGCTCCATCTGATGGTTCTGTTGAACGGGAAGGATCTGAATCTTGGCGCCCTGTTGATAAGCCATGTCCAATTGCCGATCGAACTGCGCCTGCATCACGTCCTGCTGCTTCTTGATCTCCTCCGCATGCTTCTCGCCGTTCATTATCTGCTTTTGCATTTCCGAATGCAACTGCGAAGTGAAGTACTCGTTCTGCTTCCGCAGACTCTTTTCCGATTCGGACAGCCGGTGTTTCAGGCGACGATCTGAATGAGGAGATTCGTCAGCAAAAGAGTGACGGAAACAAGGAGAGAACTTACTTTCTTCGTGATAATTGTAAATGGCGTATGCTAGGAGCGAAGCTAGAACGATGGAAAAGAGCAGGATAGCGGCAATGATGATCCAGCAAAGAGGACCGAATCGGGTGGTTGAGGTGCCTGCAGAAGGGGAGTGAGAGTTTTTGAAGTCTTCGTCGAAAAAGCATTGCTAGGAACTCACATGGAACCGTCCAGAAAACGGTCTGTTCGGCGTTTTGCCGATGGCAACTCGTCGAGTTCCAATTCAAAAAGTTCCACCACGAAACATCAGCAATTATCTTACTCATCCATACACGAAATCGTATAGATGGTGGTGCTGGTGGTCAAAAAGGAATGCGCTTCCCTCTTTCTTTCGTCCCGCGCGCTCGTCGACACCCATGACAACGGGGGGAGCCGAAAGAAAGAGAAGGAGGTCGGTGAGCACGGCGAGCACTTTGAGCATCATCACATCAACAAAGAACACAACTGACCTCTGATATATCCATTTACACTTTGACAGAGTGGGTTGACCAGATGGGGAAGGTACTCAAAGTCGGTGACTTTTATGCCGACTGTGTGGGCGGACGGCTCGAATCGGGTGATGTGCATGTTCGAGCCGATGACCACGTAGAAGACGTGGAGTGGAGAAGTTGGAGAGATCAGCGGCTCGTTGGGGAGCTGCAAGTGCTCGGTAGGTTACTGTAGTCTCGTATGTCACTTACGACTTCCAAAAGCGGCTGATAACTATTGGATATCACTAGAATAACATCTGGGACTGACTTCCGGTTCGCCGGGGTCATTGCAGATCTTGCTAGCGCGTTGATACTCGTAGTCGGGCATGTATTCGCTTCACACGGACAGTACGGCATCTCCTGGACACGAGATTCGGGGTAGGACGCGTTGGCGAGACTCCATTCCACTCGGGACCACGGAGTGAACTGGGCCATTGACACTTTGGAAGAACTCATCGTCATGGTCGACATTACCTAGAATTTTAAAAGGCATTTCAAAACATCTTTATGAACTGACCTGTCTCAAAAAGTCAATTTCGGCTCGATGCTGGAAAGAAGTGACTTGTGGCGTGGAATCCACTATGAACAGCGCATCAACTTCCGGCCAAACACATTCGAAACTGACGGTTACCAGTTCGAATAAAAGAGCAACGTAGTACTTTCTCATTCTATTTTCGTATATGTTTGTTGTTGCGAAACGAGAGAAAAAAGTGCTCGCCACTTTTTTTGCTTCGTTTTCTTTTTCAGTTGCTAGGAGGCTGCTGCTGAGCTAGGGAATTTGGTTTTTTTTTCGTATAGTTGTTTCGAAAATAAAGTGTTTATGAATAATTGAGAGAAACTGTTCCAGTGTTGTGAAAATTAGGGGAAAAAGACTGCATGTGTAGATTATTTCGTTGAAAATCGCGGCGTTCTCGTAGAACGGCATGATGATCAGGATGTTCAGAAGTTCTAGCAATTCGGCCTAAAAGACAATATACTACTTCTCGGAACTCGTTTTTCTGAAACTTACACAAACAGAAGTTTCAGAAATTGTACAATTATGCCCTCTTGATAAGCGTAACTCGCACAGGATCCTTGGGCCTCATGATGATCCCATTGACATCCGGCACAATACTCGGCTCTCCCGGCATGCTCAACTCGAACTTGTCCACCAACTTGGCAATCGTCGTTTTGAACTCCATCTCTGCGAATCGCATGCCCACACAGTATCTCGGTCCGACGCCAAACGGAATCCATTTCAAAGAGTTTCTCTCGTTGAAATCCAGAAATCTCTCCGGAATGAACTCGCACGCATTCGTCCAATTGGCCTCGTTCATGTGAACCGTGTAGGGAAGTACAGTCACAGAGCATCCTTTCGGATAGAATTGTCCGCGGATCGTGATGTCGTTCATGCAGATTCTATTGACAAAACTAAACAGGTTCATGATTTCTGTGTGATTAACAAGCGCTGCAAGACTATGACTCACTGAATAACTGGTGGGTACATTCGAAGAGTCTCTTTGTAGACTGCATCCAAGTACTTCATCTCGTGGATTGAATCATACGTAAGTCCCTGTGAATCTTTGGTGTCCTCGACTTCTTCGAACAACTTCTGCTGCACATCCGGATGTCTTGAGAGCAAGTAGGAGCAGTAGGTCATCGCAGTGCTCGTGGTTTCGTATCCGGCCAGCAGGAATGCGAAACAGTTCTCGATCACTTCCTGCTTCGACATTGACTTCGCCGTCGTTTTATCGTCCTCTCGGTCTAGGAGCAGTTTGAGCAGGTCCACACTTTCCGCTCCTTCTCCGGCTCGACGACGTTCATACCTGAAGTTGACACAATGAGATTCACGGTCAGATTGGCTCACTAACACATCGGAGAGCCCGTCAATCAGCGGAATTTCAGCAGCAGCAATTCCTGTGTACTTATAAAGAGACTTCCAAAACCAGTTAAGCTCCGGAAGGATCACTGAAATCGAAAAAAAACCATGTTCCTCTCTGACGACCTAATTGTTACATGAAGTACTGATGATCGGACTCGAACGGAAGTCAATGTTCGTGATGAACTTGCGCGCTTGCACATAGAACACTTCGGTCCGATCCCTCTGACAATTGCTGTCAATCGCGAATGCGCACTTTCCGATCACGTCAAGAGTGAGACCTTGGAAATCTCTATAAACAACTTACAACAGTTTTCAGAAGTACTGGTCTCTCACACTCACTCATAAATGTCTCCTTTCTGCCCGCTCGCTTCTGATTTCTCCTCGAGAATTGACAAAAACGTTTCAATTTTCGAGTTGATCGTCTCGTGCATCGCTTTCATTTTTCCACTCGCAAAGATTGGAGCAACTGCGCTTCTGGAGTTCTTCCAGCCGCCGGCGTACGTGGATTGGAGAAGAGACGTCGTGAGCTCTAAACATAATACTTCTGTGATAGACATTTTGTCATCCCGGTCTTACTGGTTTTCTCAAAAATAGGCGGCAGCATGCGATCGCAAAAGTTGGAAAAGTGCTTAATGAAAATCTCCTTCACATCTTCCTCGTTCGACACGACAATGTTGATCTGCTTTCCGAAATACATTCTGTAAACTTGAGCATGACCATTAATCAATGAAAATTCCAGTAAAGGACAACTTACCCAAACGTTTCACCAAACTTCTTGTGAAGTGTTCCGAACCATTCATAAGAATCATCGTATCCCATTGTCTTCTGTCGCCTTAAAAATTCAAAAAAAAACTCATAGACTCTTGTTTCAAGTTTCCTACTCGATGATTTCTGCCAAATTACCCAAAAACCAATGGGTGTCCGGTCCTTTGAGACCGATTTTTTTGTGAAGTTTGAAATATTCTCGTCTAGAGGCAATCAAATAGCTAACAAATGTGACAACTGCCAGTAAGACGGTAGTCAGGATTAGAAACGCCATCTGAATAGTGATGAAATACACGACAAATTATGAATGATTAGAGAGTATTTATATGTAGATATCAGGTGGGAATCGTTCATAATCAGTAGAGAGGAGAAACGGAAACGAACTGATAAACTCTTCCGAAACAGTGCTCTTCAAACAACCAGCTGAGCAGGCGGGGGCTAGAGTCTAGCCAGTGATCGTCAGGAGTTTGTGCTGAATGTTCAGTGGTCACAAAGCAGAAAAACTCGAGGAAGGGTATACTGTAGAGCCATCAAAAGTTTGATACCAAAGTGGAATTGGCAAAAAGTTGTGTTGAAAATGAAGAATGATAGGCTCAGTTATGCACGATTTGGTTCGGAGTTAACCGGCTAGACTCTAGCTAACCACTTTCTGTAACCCATCCAAACGCACTCTCTCATTCTCAATTTACATTTCCTATTCTCAGAGCATTGGCTAGACTCTAGCCAATTGTATAAAAACTGTCTGCCACGACTTCAATCCACACTGATTCCGGATTCCTGAAAGCCGCGCTGACTGAAATGCGCTCAACTTACGAACCTTCCGATCCGAAGGCGAATGGAGTTCCAACTCAAGAGATTTTGAACGCTGACGACAAATGGGGACACGGACAGTTTGGGGTGATTCTGACTGGGAATGTTCAAGTTTGTCCGGTTTGTTGATGAACTTATTCTTTTCCTTAGAATCATTATTTATCTTTAGAATCACTTGGAATACGTTCGAAATGCGATGGTCTTCCAGGAAGGCGAGAGATCTTCACGAAATTGGCCGAAACCATGAAGCAAGATGTTCATGTGATTTCTATATGTAATAAAGTAGCACCATATCCGATGTCGTTTCCCTTCTAAACGTGCAATTGTTGCAATCTGTCGCTTCTTTTCAAAATTTAGTTGGCCCGGCCCGGAATTACTTCGCGGCATAGAAATTCGGCCAGATTGCGAACAGCTCGCTCTTTCTGTCCGGTGCCCTATAATACGCTACCTTTACGTCATCTCTGATCATTGCGAAACACGCAACCCATTTGCATACCGCATATAAACGTAGCGCTCGCGCTCCGTTACCTCACTTCCGAAAAACCACGAAAAACAAACCCCCGCCGCCCTTTTTCGCTCCCTTGGCATGCAACAATTCTTCCGAACGGTGCCACGTGGCAATCGAGACGAATTCACTTTCTTCCCAGGTGAGAAGCACGGTGAAACTGAAACTGGAACACGTCATGTAAACGAAATAATGCATGCGAACTCTACGGCCCGATCGATTGTTCCCGTTCTTTTTGTTCGTGGCAGCCGCCAGCGGCCAGCGCTTTATGTTCAAACATTGACAGCTTGCATGTATGCTTTGTGCTCAGCTCTAAATTTGAATGGAAAAACTTCTTTATCCTACTGATAGTTCAAATTTTGTTCGCTATCGTTGCGTTTGACACCACGTGGCGGATCTAATTTAGGGCAGTTCTGATTTGGGAGCGTTCTATTATAGGGGCACCGCACAGAAATGACGCTCTGTTGAGAAACTCTTTTTGCAGTTTTCGCGTTTTCAGTGGAAAATTACTTCGCGGCCTAGAAATGCGGCCTAGAAATTCGGCCAGATTGCTAACAGCGCGCAATTTCTGTGAGATGCCCCTATAATATATGTCGTTGTGTACTTCTCCTCGAAAAACCGTCAAATTGAATTTGCATACCTCAGTTTTTCCGGCGGAGCACACACCATATGGGCTGTCAGCCTTGTCGGCCCACCGTAATCGACGAAGAGCCTTCGGACAAGATCTTCGCCCGTCGGAGCACGAATCCGTTCGATAAATCGTCGGCCGATCGCTTCTCGACGAATCCGTTCGGAAGTGAATTCGGTGAGTCATTTCCACTTCCAAATGTTTCATAATCTTGGAATTCCCCCCGTTTCCACTGTCTGCGTTTACATCACTGTCCATTCATTTTGCCATTCTGCAAGAGAAAAACTGAGAGGGGTGATAACACAAAAGTGATTGCGAGAAAAAAAGAGTGTGCGAAACTTGTCTCCGCCTTTGCTCTGTTCTTCTTCTTCTACTTTCACTTACCAACACACTTTGACTGACCGTATCGATCGATCTGATTATGAGTTCGGAGCAAGAGCAAAAAGAGCTCGTGTCTCAACTGCCCGTCATTGTCATTAATAGCTCCAACGAAGAGGAGCCGGAGGAGGCGACGAAAGAAGAAGAAGGGAAAGAGCAAACGATGAGGAAGGAGGACTCGGATTCTGACGTCGTCGTTGTGGAGAATGAGGAAGAGTTGACGCCGAAGGAGGAGGAAGTTAAAGAGGTCAGTGAGACTAAGTAAACCGTTTATTTTTTGTACGAAACTCCAGAAATTATGCTCAGAACAGTCAACCTGTCCGACTTTTTTCTTCCATTCCGTTCCGATTTCAATTTAGACTGTACAAAACATTTTTTGAGCGGGCCTGAAGGAAAAAGGCTAGTGTACAACCGCCATTTTTCATTTTTCTGTTCCCCACCACTAACTTTCGTCTCTTTCAGGAAGATTTTATCACTAACAACTCCATATCGAGCTTCGAAGATCTGAAAGCGCCTTCTGTCATCTCGGAAGAAGAAGTGAAGATGAGCGCAACGCTTCCGATCGCCGCGCCAAGACCTATTCGAAGAGATTCGATTGCGAGAGCCTCAATGATGGTTCCGAAAGCGAGTCCGAGATTGACAAAGTATTTGAGCTTGAAGCCGGTCAAAGGTTAGATGGCCTTCTTTCTTTCTGCGGAATTCCGACAACGCAAACAATTCGCAAATATTCCTTTGATTGGAAGATCGATCGGAATCAAAGAATTCTATTCGTAATGGTCAACTCTGTCTCTCCTCCCACTCTTTCAGTCTCGAAAACGCTGCACTTTCCGTCTTTCCCCCATCTTATCATCCGTCTGCAAAATTGACAGGTCACACTGATAACGTGTGTTCCTGTCACTTTTAATACCCCCTTCGACTATACGATTCTGTTCCCCCCTCTTCGGGATGCTTTAACTTGTTATACAACATATAATTGAGCAAACTGTTATATTGTTTGCTCCATCCATCCTTCCACACGGGCGGTCTCTATGTGTGTGTGCGCGCGCGCAAAAGCAGGAAGAGTGTGAGTAATACAAGGTTTTCGACGTGACCTTGGTGACGCATTCCTGAAATTTATTGAGCCTTCTGTATCAAAATATGACGTCGACTATTGGAAGAGGTAAGCGCGAGATGATTTTGAAATTTGAACAATGGATGCAATGAAAAAGTTATCGGACTGCTGGTGAGCGAAAATTTTGAATGGAAGAGTAACGTTCGCCTGCAGCAGAAAGAGTTTCGCGCTGTGCAGTATGTCAAACTACGGGTCTCGCAGCGATTGAACAAAATATCTAGTCCAATAATAGATGCGCCTTTAAAGTGAGCGCACGCGTTGCGGCCTTCTGGGGAGGCAGGCAGGGCAGGGAGAAAAAAAGAGGATCGTTCTCGCCAAGATTGAGTGTAGAGACCCTTATCGACAGCCGGCTGTGCGGTTCTCGCGCGAACATTTTGACCGGGCCAGGGACCGTTCAAAAATTTCGCACCTATCGCATAGATCAAAAGGTGTTAACGAGGGGTTTGACTGGCACATCGTCACGTAAACAGACCATCGAAACACGTGTTTGTAGTTTGGCGTCGCGTTGCGGTTTTTCCTCTCGACGGTCCGTCCATTCGGACGACTCGTTCTCTTTTTTTCTCCATGCCCAGACTGCCTTCCCAAAGGCTACTGCCGCAACGCGACGAGCGGAGCGTCGTTCAGCCAAATTCAGCCTACCACTCTTTTTCTGCTCTTCATTGTGAGATCGTTCTTATTTCTATAGCTTTCCTAAATACATACGTAGTTAAAAATTACCTAGTTTTCAAAAAAGCAGTTGAATATATTTTTTTTTTCAAAAAATTTCCGAAAATTCTTGAATCCTGAATCTCCCGCGTTCTCGGCCGTGGCCGTTAGACAGTCGGTTCTTCAGCCGCCACTCGTGTACTCCTCCTGGACAAGTTAGTATTCATTTCTTTCCATTTTTTCGTTGGCATTCCGAAATAGTTTTTAAGCGTTCAACTTTCCAAGCTCTCAATTTTTACTTCTTCAATTTCCGTTCGAGTACTGACACCTCGGTCTTCTTTTTCTGGAAATCTTGCCAATTTCCAGCTGTTCGCAGATTAGAAAAAATATCTTAAACCTTCCAAACCGCCCATTTCCCGAATTGTTTTGCGAAAAACAAAACGTTGGCGCATTCGCACGGTCTAACGAGCTAATCATGCCGCAATCGCTCTGGCTGTTTTGATGCGATTCGCCCGCAAACCACCCTCGTCTCTCTTTTTTCTTCTTTTTTTGCGGTGATGCATGACCCCGCGAGTTCGAATCAATAGTGCACTGGCAGTTGTTGGAAGCTGCCTGCTCCGCTCTGCCGTGGCTCCGTATAATATAAACTCACAACTTCCAGTTAGTTCCTCTCTCCAAAATGCATTGAATAGCGTGAATGACTGCGAGTGGACAATGCTTTTTCGCGCTTCTGTGGTTTTCTTGCCGCAAAAAGGATCTTTGCAGTTCGAGGACAGGTGGTCAGCCAGTCTCCTTGGGCGCGTATTATTTTGTCTTGGACTGTCTGCCGCCCTCCCGGATCCATTCGCTATTTGTCGCTTTTGCGCAGTCCGTGTCGCCCGGGGGTTGAATGCATTCACTACCTGATCCCTCCATCGACCAATCTCTCCTCGGAAAAGAAGATGATATAGTCTTCCGTCCTTCTTCTTCTTCTTCTTCTTCTCGATGTGATACTCCTTCTTGTGGATTCTCCCATCTAATTACAATTGATGTGTTCATGTTCTGTTCTGTTCATCATCAATCCTGTTTGCTTTACGATTCACAATAGTGCATCATAAGGCCAAATTTGCCACGTCATCTCGGCCCACAAAGCCGCCCGTCTCTCCACGAACCGCTGAACACTCGGCCGATCTCGCACCGCCTGCGTCTCTCCTCTCTGTGCCACACTCTCGCCGCCTGATTGTCGGCTGGCCAGACCGATGGATGCGAGAGAAGATGACTCACTTTGTGGGAGCATTTCGCAATTCCCTTTTCCGTCCTTTTTGTCTCTCGCTTTCCGCCCATTCAACGATCCCCCACCTATCTCTCCCTCCCATACATAAAGAACAACATGACTGCTAGAACGTTCTATTCGGTTTTCAACAAAGTTTGACAAGGTTTGAGTCACCTTCATTCCTTGTCAGTTTGGTTATTTTGAAATTCTCTGGAGTTTCTCAGATTAACATCTAGAAAAGTCGGTTTTTGAGCCTTTTTTCCACGGGCCGACGAGTCGCTCCGCAGCTCAAGTGCCACGCGGTCGCCCACTCAGTTGACCACAGAGTTTGCTTTTTCGATTTTCTTTTGAAAATTTTTGTTTTTTAATGGATTCTCCATGTGTGTTGACTTTTAGGGCAGAACTTTTGCAAATCGGATTATTTTGCGCTTCGTTCGTTTTTTGCACTGGAAACGTTTCACTAGAAACAAACCTGACGTTTCAGTTCATTTTAGTAACCAGTTTGCAATTCGAAAAATACTCTGACTTTCGAAAAATCGTTGTTTTTGTAATTGCAATACGATTTTCAGTTGCAATATTTCTCTGTTTTCGCTCGCTTCTCATCGCAATTATCCAATTTTTGTAGTCGCTCGCCTCAAGTTCGCCCACTTCTAACTCTTTCCTCACCAACTCTGTACACACTAATTCAATTTTTCTTCATTTTTCAGAAGAGAGTCAAAAGAAGAAAAAGAGTCGAAGCATGTTTTCTTGGCTCGGCGGTGATTCATCAAAAAAGAAGAATAAGGAGGTGCTGGAGACGGTCTCTGAGGGTCTTCGCAAGATTTACAAGCAGAAGTTGTTGCCGCTTGAGGAGTACCACAAGTACCATGATTTCCACAGCCCCGCTCTCGGTGAGTTCTTGACCAATATTCACAAAATGATATCAATTACCACTTCAGATGACCCGGATTTCGATGCCAAGCCGATGATCCTTCTGGTCGGACAGTATTCGACCGGAAAAACGACATTCATCCGCTACTTGCTCGAGTCGGATTTCCCGGGAATTCGCATCGGTCCAGAGCCGACCACTGACCGCTTCATCGCCGTTATGCACTCCGAGGAAGAGGGAAGCATTCCCGGAAACGCACTTGTCGTCGACGCCAAAAAGCAGTTCCGCGCCCTTTCCGGATTCGGAAACGCATTCCTCAACCGCTTCCAATGCTCGACCCTCCCGAATCAAGTGCTCGAAAGCGTTACCATCGTCGATACGCCCGGAATTCTGTCAGGAGAGAAACAGAGGTGAGCAAGTGTATAAATATATAGAATGAGCCATTTGTTTATCATTATCATCAACTTCTCCTAACCGGAGACGCCTATCAAGTTTCATAATTTGCACTGCTGACGAGTGTTCGACACTCGAACTAAAAAAATAACAGTACTTGTAACAAAAATATTTTTCTAGAATCGATCGTGGCTACGACTTCACTGGAGTCTTAGAATGGTTCGCCGAACGCGTCGACCGCATTATTCTGCTCTTTGACGCCCATAAACTCGATATTTCGGACGAATTCAAGAGATGCATCGAAGCTTTGGCCGGAAATGAGGACAAGATCCGGATTGTGCTCAACAAGTCAGACATGGTCGACCATCAACAGCTGATGCGCGTGTACGGAGCCCTCATGTGGTCGCTGGGAAAAGTGTTCAAGACTCCGGAAGTGTCGCGTGTCTACCTCGGATCCTTCTGGGATCATCCTCTTCACTACGACATCAACCGCCGGCTCTTCCAAGATGAGCAGCACGATCTGTTCCAGGATCTGCAGGCTCTGCCCCGAAATGCGGCTCTCCGCAAGCTGAACGACCTGATCAAGCGTGCTCGTCTCGCAAAGGTTCACGCTTACATCATGGCCGAACTTCGCAAGCAGATGCCATCGATGCTCGGAAAGGAAAAGAAGAAGAAGGATTTGATCCAGAATCTCGACAAGATTTACGAACAACTTCAACGCGAGCACAACATCTCGCCTGGAGACTTCCCGGATGTCAACAAAATGCGCGAGAAGCTTCAAAATCAGGACTTCAGCAAGTTCAACCCGTTGAAGCCGAAGCTTCTCGAAGTAGTCGACGGCATGCTCGCCACTGATATTGGTGAGTTATCAACTGACTTTTGTGAGCTAAATACATAATTCCAGCTCGTCTGATGGCACAAATTCCGAAGGAGGAGGCAGCTGCACCGGTCGGAGCCAATGGACCCGCGGACCCGACCGTAAAGGGGGGAGCCTTCAGTCAGACGACTGAAGCCGAAACGCCATTCGGATTCGGACGAGTAAGTTTTGAAATATTACACTGTGTGCCACGATTGCATCTCATTTCATTCTCAACATTTTTTTAGTATGCTACACGATGGGTGAGCCATTCTAGAACTGTATTGGTGGCGGATTAGGGTTTGAAGCACGAGAGTTTGGAGTGACTCTATGCTTTTTGTGTCTTTTTTCTTTCTGTCGAGAATTGTTATCCTTTGGAGCTTCTATCTTGTTGGCTTGAATGCTAGTGCGCTTTACAGTAGAGCGCACTTCTCATGCCGACCGCGTGAACTCGTTTCCCGTCCAAATCTTCACACAACCACGCTTTCTTTACCTGACTTCTCTTTTCTGTTCCCTCAAAACACGAACTTTTTCCCTTTCCCCATTCACTCGCCCAGTGTTTTCTCGTTTTCCGAAAGTTGACTACCATTATCACTCAGCCATTTCACTACCCTTCTAAATGCTTCTAATCAACACTCGTTTCTTACAGGGCGAAGGATTTGACAAGGGCGCCGACGAGACCGAATGGATCGTGAACCGCGAGCGCACGTCCGCCGACTCGACCTTCGAGAGCCTGGGACCAGTCAACGGATACTTGAGTGGACGGGCGGCCAAGGAGCACATGGTGAAGAGCAAACTTCCAAACTCGGTGCTCGGAAAGGTGTGGAAGTTGGCCGATATTGACAAGGACGGACAGCTCGATGCCGATGAGTTTGCCCTCGCCAACTACCTGATCAACCTCAAGTTGGAAGGTAACAGATTTGAATTTAATCTTAAAAACTCTATAACTACCTATTTTCAGGCCACGAGCTGCCAGGAGAGCTGCCGAAACATCTGATCCCGCCATCGAAGCGCGACGTGCAAGACGCCGTCTACCCGAGCCTCAACGACAATGACGAGTGAACCGCTCGCCTCTAGGCACCGTCCATTTTTCCATTTGACAAAAAAAGAAACCAAATGAATGCTTCCGTCTTCCGCTCTAATCTAGTTTATTCATTTTTATAATAAGCGAGTTTTGTGATACGACCCCCTCATTTCTATAGTCTCACCCCAAAAAAGGTACTCTAAAATTGATATGCTTCTTTTTTTGCATAATTAATTGCCCGTCCTATCGTTTGTGATGTCCCTCCCGTTTTTAGTCTACCTTCCTCTCACATTGAAATAATTTATTGCCTGCGATTCTTCCCCCATTTGAATTTGAAAACCGCCGTTTTATCCTAGTATTTTCCACCGAGCACCCCCAACCAGCACCCACCCACACATCGAGTGATTTTAATAAAACGTTTGCATTTTGAAAGGCATTCGACGAATGATTCGAGTGGATTTATCGTAAACGTGGTTCGTGAGATATTATGATACATTCAGGTACGAAGTTTATGAAATTACATAATGTTCAGATGGTGCTCACGGTCATTTGTCGAATTCGCTGCTCGTTGCCACGTGCTCACACGCGAACCTTTTTTTGGTGGACCGGCAATCAGCAGTTGGAGCCAGTATCGGCGGCTCTTCGGAACGCCTACCAGCAACGACTCCTGCCGCTTGAAAATTGTTACAACTTTCACGAGTTTCACAGCGCAGCACTCGGTAAAACCCAGATAAACCCGGCCATCCGCATTGTGCATATCTTCAGATGAATCCGCGTTCGACGCGAAGCCGATGGTCCTGCTGCTCGGACAGTATTCGACCGGAAAAACCACGTTCATCCGCCATCTTCTCAACTCGGACTTCCCGGGAATACGTATTGGCCCGGAGCCCACGACAGATCGATTTATTGCAATTATGCATGATAATAAAGAGAATGTCGTTCCTGGAAATGCGCTCGTTTTCGACAAGAAGATGCCGTTCCGTCCGCTTTCCAAATTCGGAAACGCTTTCCTCAACCGCTTCCAACGCTCGACCCTCCCGAATCAAGTTCTCGAGAGTCTGACGTTCATTGACACGCCCGGAATTCTTTCGGGAGAGAAACAGAGGTAATTCAACTCCTATTCTTCACGTTCACGAGCGTGTCTCAGAATTGATCGTGGATACAATTTTCCTGGAGTGCTGGAATGGTTTGCCGAGCGGGTCGACCGTATTATTCTCCTTTTCGATGCCAATAAACTTGATATTTCGGACGAATTCAAGAGATGCATCGAAGCTTTGGCCGGAAATGAGGACAAGATCCGGATTGTGCTCAACAAGTCGGACATGGTCGACCATCAACAGCTGATGCGCGTGTACGGAGCCCTCATGTGGTCGCTGGGAAAAGTGTTCAAGACTCCGGAAGTGTCGCGTGTCTACCTCGGATCCTTCTGGGATCATCCTCTTCACTACGACATCAACCGCCGGCTCTTCCAAGATGAGCAGCACGATCTGTTCCAGGATCTGCAGGCTCTGCCCCGAAATGCGGCTCTCCGCAAGCTGAACGACCTGATCAAGCGTGCTCGTCTCGCAAAGGTTCACGCTTACATCATTTCTGAGCTGCGACAGCAGATGCCGTATGTGTTCGGAAAAGAGGAAAAGAAGCGCAAACTGATTGAAAATCTTGACGTAATTTTCGAACAACTTCAGCGGAGACACAAAATCTCGCCTGGAGACTTTCCCGATGTTAACAAAATGCGCGAGAAGCTCTGGAATCAGGACTTCAGCAGCTTCAACTCACTAAAACCGGGCCTGCTCGAAGATGTAGATAGAATGTTGACTACAGATATTGCGCAAATGATGACTCGAATTTCGACAGATCAAACATGTGCAAGCGCTGAAAGAGAATCGACGAATACCGAAGTGAAAGGAGGCGTCTTCAAGAATGCCAGAGAAACGGAAACTCCATTCGGATACGGACGCGTGAGTGTGTTGTTACTCGAAAATACGGTATCCTTGATTATCACAGAGCGAAGGATTTGACAAGGGTGCCGACGAGACCGAATGGATCGTGAACCGCGAGCGCACGTCCGCCGACTCGACCTTCGAGAGCCTGGGACCAGTCAACGGATACTTGAGTGGACGGGCGGCCAAGGAGCACATGGTGAAGAGCAAACTACCAAACTCGGTGCTCGGAAAGGTGTGGAAGTTGGCCGATATTGACAGGGACGGACAGCTCGATGCCGACGAGTTTGCCCTCGCCAACTACCTGATCAACTTGAATCTGGAAGGTGGTGTCCATTCAATTAAGAGAAACAAAATGTTTTTTTTCAGGCCACGAACTTCCGGAAACGCTGCCAGAGCACCTAATTCCTCCTTCGAAACGTGTTACCGATTTGTGATCAATGAAGTTTGCCGCATTCTTTAATAGTAAGATGACTGTCCGATCTTTTCATTAGTGCATTTGAATATCCAGAGAAGCATTTAAATTCTCCTTCTGCTGCAAATTTCATGGCCGCACCCGTTCGTATCCCCCCTTTAGTGACCCCTCGGCGAACCCTCCGAAAGGACAAAAAACGGTGCGAGGTCACCACCTGCCTACCCGTCCTCATGCAAATGAATGGGTTGGCAGGCCCGGACCTAAGTGCCCGAGGGCCAATGACCATTTCTTCGAATGTGACACTGGTGGAGAGAGAAAGAGCATGTCGTTGCCCTAAATTTGGCCAATTATCCTTCTCATTTTGTTTTCTAGAAAGGTTGTTAGCTGAGCTTGGTACACTTTTTGAAAATCTCTCTTCGCGTAAGAAAACTTTTATTTTTATGTTTTTGTAGTCAGGTTTGCAACCAGGAATGTTCGGGGGGCCTAAAACTTTATTTTTTTCCGGTCATCTCCTCCGCATCTTTCTCGCCTTTTCGTGCTTTTTATCATTTCGCTGCTACTGTCCATCACTTCACGTTTTCCGGTTCAAATCTAATCGAATCATCGATTTATTTTTTGGAAGAAAAGGGTACGTGTGTGGGCAAATTTACACTGCACCGTATCATCCAAATTAATTTCATTTTTCGCGTTTTGGGGGAAAGAACTGGAATCCAATCAGAATCGTAGGAGAGAAGAAAAATTTTGAAATTCTTGTAATACTCGTACAACTATACAAACCTCCAGAGAAGAAGAAGAAGAAGAAGCGGGTTCTTCTTCTCCGCCAACGCATTCTCGTCGATTACCTCATTGTGTCTGTCTGTGACAATAGAGAAAAAGAATGGGGAAGCCCGAGGGTGTGTACTTGGGACGACTAAGAAGAAGTTTTCACTTTTTGTTGGTCTGTCTGTCTTCTTCTTCTTCTTCTTCCTCATCTTCGATTCGTATTTCTCCTCCGTCGTTTTTCGTTTTTATGTGCCGATTAACGACCTCTCTGCGCGCACTCGTTACGAGACACAAAGAGAGAACGAAAGAAAGAAAGACAGGATATGGATCTGGTCGGAACGGATCTCTTTAGATTTACCGCCAGTTTCAGCGCTTTTATGATCCTCTCCCCCGTCACCCATTCATCTGATCGTTAATGTCACTCTTATGATCTTGCCACGAAGGGCAGGTTACTTTTTTATTTGTGCTACTATTATCGTCTTTCTTTCGATGGCTTGATAGCGAATCTGCCTTTAATAGAATACCGTAGGAATTAATGCGCGTTTTTCATAGAAGAAATACGTTAACATTAGCAGCACTAGGCAACTAGGCAAAAAAGATTCAGTTGTCTCGCGGGGCTCGACACGAAAATTAAAGGCACAATCAAGCAGCACTGTTAAACCTGATCTAGTTTTTCTCTTTCTTCAAAACCTCCCAGCTTGCTTTACAAAAAATGCATAAAATTTGGTATGCATCTGTGAATGAATCTACCGTAACCACATTTTATGGGCCGCCCTCGTCGACAACATCGAACGCTCATAACTTGTTTTCGTGCCAAGACCGCGTGACTTTAAAAATTTACACACATTCGAAAGTAAAGTGCAAACTTCGGTCGCCGCGGCGCTCGGTGATGAGTAACTAACACGTTGTGATCATTGTCCCTCTCTCAAATAATAACACGTGACGTCGGACCGTCTACTCTCTGTAATTATAGTTCTCCAGACAATTACGTAACTTGTTTTTGTCTGTGCCCGGCTCGCTGATTATCAGATTTTCGAGCTCTAAAATGTAAAACTTCAAAGCCCACAAATCGGGAGACGAGAGGTTAACCGGTCGACAAAAAAAACGCGAAACTCGTCAATATTGACACCGCGCTGAGACGACCTTATGTCAAATGGAATCGAAATGGCAATTGGAAAACAAGTAGAAAACGGTGTTTAGGTGTGGAATCTTCCAGATTTCGCGACGAGAGAAGGTCACGCGGTTTTGGGTCCGGCCTACTTATGACAGGCCCTAAAACATAGGACTGGAGGGCTATAAATAAGGCCGCATGACTCTATTTTCATCAAAATCTTTCAAAACTATATGGAACCTTCCAGATCTTCACACTCATTTAAAAGGTACGTAATGTAGAGTTTCCACACCCCCGCGCCTTCCTCTCGACGAAAAATGACTCACTTCTGTGCCAGATGGTTCTCATTATAATTCCCCCCGCAGCCGCAGCCGATCTTTTACCCTTTCGCCTCGCTTCCGCAAATTTTCAATTGAAAATAATTGCGCTCAATTATGACCTGTCTATCCGTGACCAGCGGCCGGTCAATCATAATAAGCCTCTTATCGAACTGGCAAAGAGAGAGAGAGAGAGCGAAAAAAGAACATTTTGTACTTTGGTTTTTGATGAAAATCTGAACAAAAGGAGGAATTTCTCGAAAATTTCAGTGCTGCGCCTTTCAATTTTAGCGTAAGATACGGTATTTGACATCAAAGGCGCAGCAATACCGGAGAATTTCGTCAGATTCTGCAACAACAGCTGGTAGAACACTCTCGAATGCTCCCCGTTTCATCAGATGATGTAACATAGACCTCCAGGCCGTCTTTCTTACTTTTCGTTTCTTTCAAATCCTTTAACCCCCTTACATGTAACGCTTAAAGGCCCACAATCCGTGTGTTTTGTCTCTCGCTTCTTCCGTCGACGAAAACATGGCCGAGTAGGCCAGAGAACGTTGAAATAGAAGTGTTTTCTGGAAATTTCTCCTCGGCTATTTTCTGTCCACAACGAGCGCCGACTAAAGGCGAACACTTGTTGACGTTGCGTCTGCCGGACGGACAGCTGCCGTTCAAGCTAGGTCCCGCAAGAATGTTTCTCTCCTTTACACCCCTCTTCGAAAAAGAAGCGAGGCGAAAAAAAAAAGAAAAAGAGCGAGACTGCGAGTATTGACGCTCGGGGCAATTCTTCGAAAGGTTATCAGTCAGTTGGTTGACTGGTCGGAGATCGCGGAAGCGACGGCGAAAATCATCCAGCGCAATCTTTTCCCTCCCCCGTGACACCCGATCGGCCAGAGAGATGATCCTTATCAGTACACCACCCCCTGGCTCCCCTCTCCTTCATAAACGGCGCGCACGTAACAAAGTGATGGCGACGTCCCAATTCATCAATTCTGTCTTCTTATCATCAAGAAACAAGATGTCAACGACGGATACGGTACTTATCATCACTGTAGAATGAATGTGTGTTCACATTCACATTCGATGATGATGATGATGATGATGATTATGTACCATGCGCCTTTATGATTCACATTCGCCATTGATGCGATGCTAATGAGATGCTGGTTGAGTTATAAGTTATGAGTCAGCGCGCAAATTTGCCTTGCTCAAATGTAATTTAGAAGAGAATGTTCAAAGTCCAGACTTGTTTTCCATTATCTCCGATTTTCAAAGATCCACCTCCCTCATCATTTCCGTCGTCTTCAGACCTTGACGTCATCTCCTCTCATCTCATATAACTGTAAGGACCTTCTCATTCTTCTCATCTATTCTTCCTCGAACACACGTACACCACTTATCGACAAATACCAAACGGTTTTTTTTTTGGGCGCGCCTGGTCAAATACACACTTTTGAAGTGATAGGATGGGGGAAAGTTAGGAAGATAGTATAAAGTAAATGCGCTTTGTTGCAATTGTGATCTCCAGAAAATTCTTCCAGAATTCAAATGAGAAACAACTGAAACTCGTTTCGCGGCTGCAAAATTAGGCCCCGGAGATCGCGTTTTCACATTGAAATGCCCCAATAGTAGTAATGTACCCTAGTTGAATGTTCTGCTTCCATTTTTAAATCTGAAAAGAAGCTGCGCCCATATATGTCCAAGTTTGGTTCTTTGATTCTTTCCACTCTTTCGAACAATAATCCAAATTGGGAGAGGCGCTGCTGCGCCCCGACGACTGAAAGCGGATCACATACACACACACACACAAGGATATCGGAGTCAGAGAAGCGTGCGCAGAATCTATAAAGAGGCATCAAAAGGGAAAGAAGAGAGGGAAGAGAGAGCAAACAAGTGTACTGTCTGCCCGTCTCTCGCCTCGCGGCTTCTCTTCTCTTCTCTTCTCTTTTCTTCTCTTCTCTTTCCATCTCCCTCGCGAAGCCTGGTGTGTCGTCAACAGACCGACCGACCGCGCCGATGTTTGCCCGTCGGAGCGACGTCGCGCGCGAATCTCTGCGTCTCTGATGTTTCCACGCTATTTCGCCCGCCGATCCCCGCTTCTCTTGGGCCGTGTGCCCGCCCATCCCTCTCTCTCTCTCCCTTCCATTCTCTCGCTTCTCTCTTTCTGTCGATTCGCACGCTCGCATTACAGCGGCCCGAGCGGGCAGCCCGGGCGGCCCCCCGTCGATAAATCGAGGCAGAAGGGGGAAGAAGAAGAAGACTGGTCTGGCTTCCACTAGGACTAGTGTTGTATGCGATTCATTCATTTCATTTCTGTTCCGTCTCTCCTTCTCTCCTTATCGATTGATTTGTATAAAAACTCATGGCCCATAATTGTAGAGTATTTAAAAACCACCCCGGGTCTATATCATGGTGTTGTTCTACACGTCCTGTCCAACCTCTTCACTGGTGAGCCAGCAGCCGCATTCGGAGTGCCCGTCGTCGACGAATTCATCCGAAACGACGATGACACACCAGCAGCCGCTCTTCTTCGAGCACCGCCAATCGGCACCCATCCCTGTGAGGTTAGTAGAGCGGAATGTCTTGTGCTTTGTTGCGCAAGAAGTAGTAGTAATATATAATGGGGCGACGACGCAATGTCTGTAAGACTATATTTGCACAGTTCTTATCGAACGTCGTTTGGGGAGTAATGTGATAGACATGTCTTAAAACATTGGTATTTACAGCACCACTGGAGGACAATGGGACAGCGAGAACCTCTCGTGTTCCCCGCCCGAGCGATTCCCATCTCCGCTCGCCACGTCAGCGGAGTCTGTCAACTCGATCAAGTCGAGGTAAGCACAGGACTTCTGCCAGGACTTCTAGGATTCCAAGAGGATCGTTTCAGTTGCTCGTCGCGCTCATCGGCCGAACGTGAGACGGAACGCTTCCAGCGGCGTCAATTGCTCAACACGAGCCTGAGCAAACTTCGCGAGGAGTCGAACATGCCGCTCCGGAAGCATCTGCTGATCTTCAACACCGTCAAGACCATCCAAGTAACTATAGCAGTCTAAACCAAATCTACAATATCACTATTTGTTCAGCACGATCTGGATATGCTCGACGACGAAGACCTGTACTGCTCTCTGGTGGGTATGGCGAACGACACGACCGCGACGCTGATGGAAGTGGACGGAAGTGAGGAGTACAACTGGGAGAAAGAGTCGAAGGTTGATGTGGCCAACTCCGCCGTCATCTGCGGAGCACCTCAGAAACAAGAGGAGCGCGGCGCATTGTCCGACATTGGAGGAATGATGTTTGGAGGTAACACATTTGTCTTTTTTCTTCTGTCGTACGGAATCGAATCGAATCGCCTTCGGTGATTTATGGAGCTTGTCGTGTGAGGCGGCGTCGTTTTTGTTGTCTGGGTGTGTGTATCGGCGCGCGCGGTAATTATGTATACGTCCTTCCTTATGGTCACAAAGAAGGATTGGGAAGGAGAGAACTGAACTGGTTTTCCTGGTTAGAGTGCCTAAAAGCATGAATAATCGCGATTCGGATTGAGAGGGGGCGACGAGAATAGGGCCTTGAAGGAAAGTACGGTAGCTTCAATTTCGGGGCTACCCAAAATCAGCAAGACTTTCCATAATCAGTACTATCAGTAGATCTAATTGGTTCTATATCGGGGTAGCCCCTCAATTTCTCACCCCCTACCGTACCCTTTGACCAGAAAGCATGTGGGTGTCAGAGTGTTTTTGCTGAAAACGGCCACACACACGCACACCCACGTCATGGCCCATTTGAGCCGCCCATAGAGACTAACGAACACTCCCCCGCCCGCGGGCAAAGCTTTTCAAGGAAGGCTTGCCCATAAACAAGATATGTATAGGAAAGGGGGTGTGCAACGACAATGACGTCAGTTTTTTTTTCGACAAAACGGATTAGAAAGTAGAAAGATTCCCGCGGATTAGTATTAGTAGAAAACTCATGATTTTAGTACGAAATGAAATCATCTCATCTAATCCAAATCTATTTCCAGACGATCTCGAGATGGAGGATTCGGTGGAGACGAAAACGTGGTCGTGGTCGTCGGGCTCGTCGATCTTCGATTCTATTCCGGTAAGTTCTCGGCTCTGCTCCGCAAGAGAGACCCCCCAAGAGACTAAACTTCAAAGTTTCTCTGGCGTCTCTCTCTCTCTCTCTCTCTCTCTCTTTTTCTCTCTCTTCTCACTAGTCACGCGACTTGTTTATCGGGCCGTTTCTGTGCGCGCTCCTCGCTTCCGACGCTCTCTCGCCGACGTCATAATCGTCTTTCTCTGGCGGTCTGTGGTGGCCTTCGCCCTCCGTCTCTTCTCTTTTCCATCGGCGGCGGAGGTCGAAAATGTCACATCACGTGTGAGAATTGAAAAAAAGGGGGGGGTATCTATGAAGGACGTTTTGAGGCAGGGATCATGAACCAAATACCGTATCATTCTAGGAATCAAAGAGCGGCTCAATGGACGCGCTGTTCAAATGGTGCTCGTCGGACTCTAACGCCTTCTCGGCGCCGGTGATCTCGAACAACTCGTTCGGTGGCTGGGGCGCCAACTCTTCGCCGCTCTCCGACACCGGCCTCTTCGGCTGCGCGGACGATGCGAACTCGTCGTGGTCGCACGGAGCCACCGGATTCGACATGTGGGGAAACAACGACCCGCTCGGATCGGCTCGCTTCGACATGCATAATCTGCTGCTGCTCCAGGCCTAGTATGGAGTCTGCAGACGTTTTGTAAGAAGAAGAAGAAGACGGCTCTCGCGTTGAAGAAGAAGAAGAAGACGGCCTCCCACAGTAACATCATCATTCAAAGGACACACCACAGTTAAGAACTCTCTCGAACACTTTTCCAATTTTTAAAAACTCTCAAACTCTCTCCACTCCATTCTTGTCACCATCTCTTTTGTTTCCGATTATCAGCATATCCCTGTACAATCTTTAATTCCATTCCCTTCCCCCGTTATGTAGTGATTAGTCGACGTGGCAACCGCTTGAATAGTGCCTAGCACAACGCTTTTCAAACCCGAACGGTCGCCACGTCACACGTTGTGAATAGCCCCTCCCTAGAAGCAAGGAAATAGGTCTCTTCGTTCCCTATATCTTAATATTTTTGGTGTACTACTGCCTAGTGATCTCCAGCCGGGCCTATCTCCCTTCTCTCTCTCTCTCTCTCTCTATTTCGGTTCTCACTCTTTACTTTATATATTCCCTCTTTCTGGTTTCTGGTCCGAAAATCTCAGTCTCCCAAAACATGTGCATTTCTTCCCCCCAAAACTTCCATCACCAGTGCTACAATTGTTGAGCGTAATAATTTTAATGTAAGGCATCGTGTACATAGAAATGTGTATCATATTATGATCCCATCCTAACACACACACAAAATCTCGGTTACTTTTACGTGGTCCCCCCATCTCCATCCAGAACTTGTTGCAAGTTTTGCCACGTCATAGTCCCCGAGATGAACTAGATGTAGAGGACGGTGACGTGGCAACACCCGGTCAAGTACAAAAGAACCTTTCTCTCTCTCTCTCTCATCCTAAAACGCGGTTTTCCTACTTTTCCCTCTCTCTATCCGATGTTGTCTTACCTCCATCTCTCCCTGTCTAGTCATCATGATTGTTACACATTTCCCACCTTTCCTGTCAATTCCAGAGACGAGTATTGTTTGTTTCTTGTTTGTTTGTCACCATCATCATCATCATCATCATCTCAGTGCACCTTAGGAGTATGTATAGGTACTGTAGGGTCGATTTAGCGCATTTTCTCTTCTCCAGAAAAAGTTTTCCCCTCAACTACATCCGTCCGGGTTCTCGTGTTGTTGTTTTCGCATTCTTCAGGGATTTTGTTTTGTCTCTCATCTCCATCACTACCAAATCATCGTTGTTTCTCTTCCGTTTCCGTTTTTGCCACTCCGGGTTTGTTCATTTTCCTCTCTCTCTCTCTCTCTCTGTCACACCCTTTCGCTATTAACTTTTTCTCTCTTGCACACTCCTCATTTGGTAAAACCGGTATACCATTCCATCTCTCTTCCCCCAAAAACCCCCCATTGTAATAATGATAATTTGATTATGTAGTCGGCTCCCCGTACCCATTTGCGCCGCGCGCAACCCCCTTCCCCCAAGCTTTACTTCCCTGTAAATTGTTTGTGCGCCGCCTCTTTCCGTCCCACCGCCCGTGATTACTGTACAGTGCATGGGCGTAGGCGTCTGAGTGTCCCCCCGAGCAACGAAAGTGCTGTAGGCCTAGGCGCGCGCGTGTGGCGCAGTGTGTCGGTTGGTTTGGAGCCGAAGATGAAACCGAAAAAACAAATCCCTTTCTTTTCAAAACAACCGAACGCTAGTCCACCGAAGAATCCCGTAAGTTGATTTTTTCCGAGTAGAACTGAAATTGGTCGCTTCCAAAGTGACAACTTCCCCTATCCCCCCACTCCCGTACTTCTATTGTAGCCCCACAATACTTGTCCCTCTCCCTCGACATTGTACCGCTGGTCCCACCGGCCGTCAGAGTTCCTCGCAAGATTTCTGACCGGTGAGCCAGAAGTCCCGCATTCTCCATTCCATCCAACATGCCAAAAGAAATACATGTATTTTTGTTCCACCACAACTTCCCAGATCCCAGTAGAACTTCTATAGAACCCCCAGACACATGTGCAAAAGAAAACAACATTCACTCCACAATCTTAGTCGTGTATACATTCTTGTCCAAGCCTTAACCTCCCCCCGCCCAATGCAGAACATAATGTGATTCCCTCCGATCATTCTCAGTCATCGCATTTTGTGTACCGTTTTCTCGATCCACCCAAGTGTGTACCGGTGTGCGTGTGTGTTTTGTGCTCCAAATTGGAGCCATCTCCAACGGTGTCCCTTTCCTTCTCTCTCTCTCTCTCTCCCTCTCCTGATCCCCTCCCGAATCTTCTCTCAAAACCCTCCCGTACTCCGACAAAACTCAGTTTGCTTTTGCCTTTTCTTTTATATTTTCTCTCTCTCCCTCTCTCTGTCTCATCCAGCTCGATTGTGTCGATAACTTATAACTTACACTTTTCTCACAAAAGTAGATTCCATCCGTTTAATATATTTTTCGACCTCTCGAGAGGATTCCATTTCTCTCTCTCTCTCTCTCTCTTCCCATTTTCATAGTGTCTTATCCTGTTCCCAATTCGTTTGAACTCGATTTCATACGCGGTGTGAAGGCTATAAATAAATACGTTTTTGTTAGCAAATGTTCAGCTTTATGGGCAAGAAAGTTTACAATAGAAATCGGCATAGGAAGCCATTGAAAACTTTGAAAATTTGGATCAAAATGCCGCGAATAATCTTCAGAATACGGGAAAATAAGAAAAAATGAGCAGAGATGTTCGAAAAGGTTTATTTGAAATAAATTCACAACATCATCATCTCTTTCGCATACTCTGCAGTTGATATCCTTCTGGAAACTGTCGATACTGCTTCGCTCTTCGCAACTCCGCTTATGTACAACTTGAAAAATTTGCATGGAAACAGACAATACTCCTTCAGCCCCACTCGATAGTTTTTGATTATGAACACGGTGGGCAATGGGTCAACGACCGGGTAAAACGCAATCGTGATCGAGACCAAGTTGCTCAGTTTTCCAATTCCATAATTCAGAAGAGCACCCGAGAAACTGACGAGAAATGGAAAGTGCATAAGTGTAATGGGGATGACGGTTTGGAGCACGAGGGCCAGAAAGAACTGCGTCTGGAGGGTACGGTAATGCTGAGAATGACCGTTGTCCGTCAGGGCTCGGTAGCATTTGAAGCCGAGGTAGAAGATGGTGAAGAGGGAGGATCCCTGAATGAATGAAATGAAGTGAAATAAAGTGAAGAGAAGAGCTGACGGGAAAATGAACCCACAATGAGAACTACGGCTCCTGTTAGCGTTATGATCACATCAGAGTCCAGGAGAAAGTCTCCGTTTTCCGTATACAAGTATATGCCGATATAGACGACGTCGTCGACTGACAACTCGAAGGATTCCATCAGATTCTCCCTGAACAGTATTCATATTCCACTTTCATCAGTCCACAATCACCTGATGTAGGCTGACAGCTCATCTTTCGGCCCACAACAAAAATAAGAAACCAAGCCCCAAATGCACCCGTAAGCAATCGGGATTGACAGCCAAAAAAGAATTTTGAAACCTTTGAACGTGGAGATGAAAGTGCTTCTGAAAACATTTTAAAAAAAGTGCCCAGGGATCTGAAATTTTGTACCCAGTGACTGCGAGATAGCGATAAACAAAGTGAATTCCGAATATTGCCATGGAAGCGCCGAAGAATCCGCACCAAGCCGCCTGCATAATCAGCGCTGTCGGCTTGCCGAACATGATAATATTGACAGGCGTCATGATGAAGAATGAGGATCCGAAGGAGTGCATGATCGGAAGGACCAGGTAGTCCATGATGGAGTAGATGATCTCAAACACCGAAATGAATATCATGAGATGCTTATATGGACCCAAGTTTTTCGGCGACTTTCTTTGGATTAAAGTGATGAGACAAGCGTTGAATAAAATCGAAATGAAGACGAACACGATCATGAGGACGTGCTGGAATTGAAGCCATTCCGGGCCAGTCATTGGGAACAGAACTTGAGTTTGATACTCGTCTGATTGTGGCGGCGGTGAAAACGAGTAGTGCGAGTGCGCCCCAAGGGGATGTACGTCAGGACGATTCATGTTGTTATTGAGAAGACCGACTTTTCAGGCAGACGAAATATATTGTCATGAACGAACGGTACTGGAGGTGCCCTTTGATAGTTTTCAAGATTCAGCCTTCAAAATGGGGTGTTGGAAAGTGATCCTTCTACAAAACATCTATTAGGGACCAGAAGACGTTCGAATTGACGAGAACGTTTTTAGTGATCATAGATTTTACATCATTTCCCGTCTGAAAAACAATACGAAACCTGAAAGCAGACAGTACTCAAGGGAATGCAGATATAGTAAATTGGTTTTCGAGGCAAAACATCAATTCATATTAAAAATAACACCTCTCTGAAAATGATCGGAAAAAGCTGGAGCAGCATCCAACACGGTATCCAGATCGGATGCGCCGTCGTTTCGTTCACCCTCAACTCACTCCTGATCTTTCTGATTCTCCGGCACTCTCCTAAAACTCTGGGTGCTTACAAGTATCTGATGATCTACATTTCCGTGTTTGAATTATTTTACTCGTTGATGGACATCATCGTGAAACCGGTGAGTGTCAAACGGACCAACTTCATTCAATTACCTATTTATCAGGTTTTTCACTCGTACGGCTCCACTTTCCTTGTGATGGTCAACGTGAAAGAATCCGTATTCAAAACGAGAACATGTCTTATTTTGGGCTGTAAGTTCTCTTCTTTTTCCGCTTCCAATGCTCCTGATCCTCAGCGATCTACTGTGGTTGCTTTGGTTGTTCCATGGCCATCTTCGGAATTCATTTCATCTATCGGTACTTGGTGGCTTCTGGAAGCAAGTTGCTCAAAAGTTTCAATGACTGGAGAATAGTCACCTGGTTCTTGGTGCCACTAGTCTACGGCTCTATTTGGGGATGCATGGCTTATGGTCCGGTCGGGCAGAAAGCAGCAACTGGAGAGCATATCAGAACAAACATCCTCGAGACATTCGATTTGCGAATCGAAGACACCGTCTACATGGGACCATACTTCTACCAAAAACAGCCCAATGGTTCATCGCGAATCGACATCGAATCGATCACCGGAATGTCCGTCGTCTTCGTCATCGTTTGCTCATCCTTCTTCACCATCATCTACTTTGGAGTCAAGTGCTATGTTCTCATCTCGAAACTGGCTCCTTCGAAGAGGTGCTTCCGGAGCAAGGCTCTTCAATCCCAACTCTTCTGGGCTCTTGTCACGCAGACAATGATTCCGGTCATTCTGATGCACACTCCGATCACTCTCGTGTACGGTTCCGCCCTTTTGGACAAGGATATCGGAATGCTCAGCGGCTTCCTGTCAATGACGATTGCTGCGTATCCGGCAATCGATCCGCTGCCCAGTATTCTGATTATTCCGTGCTATCGCAAAGCATTAATTTGTGAGATTATCGGCTGGCCAGCGGTGTTCTTATCTGTGTACTTCAATTTCAGACTACTTGAAATGTTGCGGACGCTTCGAGAAAAAGGATGACGAGACGAGTGCAGGCATGAATCGCAACAGCTCAGCAGTCCTGAGCCAATCAGTCATTCCTGCTCCACCCACAGAACTGTCCACAGCTTTCTGAAAATAGATCTTTACAGAGTTGCTTTGCTGCTGCTGCAAAAAGCACTTTTCTTCTGAAAACGTACTTGTTTTTGACGAATACATCTGCTTGTGGTACATCATTTTTTCAACACTTTCTCGTCGCTCTAGCAGATACTGTTTAGCAGCAAGACCATGACTTGAGAATGACAAATTTCATGAATAATATGCTCTACTACAATGTTATAGAGCAGAAAAATAAGAACAACGTCTCAGTTGACCAGTTTTCGAAGAAAATCATTCGTTCTTTTGATATACGTGTTCAAAGATGAGGGGTGTTTAGAGTAGAGCCCCAGAACTGAATATGCGTTTTTAGAAAAATGATTTGCTGCAAGCAGATTTAACTTTTTTTTTGCTCTATTCATTGGTAGAAGTAGCTTTAACATTAATTTCTCAGTGACAGACCTTCTTGTGTCAAAGTGTAGAATAAAGTTGAAATGTCACGTACGACTTCTGGAACTTTGAAACTTCCAATCTCGCCCGCGTAATCAAATCTTTCAAATGTCTCTTCTAGCTTGCAGCCGCACTTAATCCGATTTCCAGCTCGTTGCGCCAACTTTGATTGTTTAACCCTAACGGAGAGATTTTCGATGCCCTTCTTCCCCGAGGTATCAGTTTTCTCGCGAACTTCCACCGAATGGTCCCAACTGCTCTACGATGATCGGGAAATATGTGCAAAAGGAGGGCCCGTCGGGTATAGTATCAGTTTGACGACGGCTCACTTCATTGCCGCTCCCATTTATTTTGTTGCGTTCTGGACGTTGTATGTTGAAGAATCGACAAATTTCAAGGTGTACAAGAGGTTTTTGGCGGCACATGCAGTAAGGTTGGCCATCACAGATACCGTAATTACTGTAAAATTCAAGACAAGGTATCTCAGCTGTCTGTAGAGATCAAAAAGTTGTGTCAACTGACAAAATGCTTATTCAGACTTTTTGTACATTTCATAAGTTTACAACGTTTTGATATCTCATCAGATTGCTGAGATACGGTGTCCCGAATGAACGATATTTACTGTATCAGCTGTCCCCATGACTGTTCAACTTTCAGCAACTTTCTCTTCGAACTTTATCTTTCCGTTGGCATGAAGCCTGTCCTCTACCTCCCCTACCCCACTGTCCGCTTTGTCGGAGTTTCGAAACTCCGTTTCCTAAACGGAGGAATCATTTTCTTCGTCTTCTTCCAATTCACTTCCTTCACCGGCTGGTCTATCGTCGAGCTCTTCTACTATCGATTCCGACTGATTGCCAACACGAAATTGTGCTCTGACTGGGTTCTGGAATGGGCAAAAGTGATTCGAGCCGCCAGAGTGATTCTGATGATATTGACGACGTCCACGACGGTTTTCATGACGCTCTGTCTGCAGGGATTGTTCGATCAGCCTATGTACAAGAAGAGATTGGAGGTTCAAAGGTTTGAAGTTCTAAGAAACCGATGTTTTTCAGATTATTGATCGTTTCCCAGAGCTCATGTGCAGCTCAGCCATCGTGCTCCCGAAAACTTCCGATTCTGGCATCAAGCCCATTCACCTCTTCAACAGTTCCGTACTCATTTACATCATCGTCGGCGTCTTTCTCGTGTCTTCTATGGGCTTCGTATCTTTATGGGCTCTTCGAGAAATCGTCCTTCACGCCAGAACTTCAATGAAGACGATCTCAATGCACAGGGCGTTCCTCATCAGTTTATTCTGTCAAATCGGAGTTCACGGCTTCATGCTGGGCTTTCCTATGATTGTCTACATCGTCTCCGTTTGTTTTCATGTGGATGAAAACGGTAAAGTACTCTCTAGAATGCGTTTCTAATACTTATTCAGATGTCGGTTACGTGGCAATCGTGATAGCGTCGCTTCACGGAGCAATGAGCACACTCTCAATGATCCTCTTCAACCGCCCGTTATGCGAGGTGGCAAAGTCCAAACTATTGGGCGTCTTTCGCTCGAACAATGTGTTCATTCATGACATTTCATTCATTTCAACGCTCCGATCGTCATAATCAATGAACAATTTCAATTCCACTTTCATGCATTCATTGTTTATTAGAAATCGATCGACAATCGGTTAATTACAAAGTTTACAAAGATCTCAAGCAACATATCCCCAGACGAAATCATGTCCACTCGAAAAGTTTCTCGCATCTAGAATAGCAAATGCTTCTTCATTGATTATAAACTTGTTGATCACGTAGGTCCGCTGTCCGTTCGCCGGCGATTTCCATCCCATTGGAGTACGAACTCTTTCGAAACTCTCTAGAAAGGCGTCACAGCGTTGCGTCGATTGGTCTCTGGGTTCATCTGAATCAACAGTCTTTGAGAAGTTTTTATTTTATCGTTTTCCAACCCTTGAACACTACGATGATGAATCTGGAGTTGTTGAGAAACGCGAGTCTCGTGAAGATCCGCGGCCAGTGCGTCGAGAATTCCTCTTTTTCCCTCTTCGATTCCATCACTTTTCTACCGTCAATACCTATCAGAAAATGATTTTTGAAAACGGTCATGTAGAAAGATTGGAATTGCCGGCCGTTTTTCACTATTCGTTCCAGAATATCCAATAGAAGATCGAGTCGTGTTCGGAGAAAATCACAGTTGAGAAATTCCATTTTTTCTGGAAAGAAACTATATTGAAATCACAGAATAAAATCTTACCGTTTAGAAAGAACTGAATGACTTGCTCTCTCACATTTCGTTCTTTCAACATCAAATCGATCGATGCATTGGCAGACTTGAGAATCAATGAACCGTGGCTTTCTTTGGACATTTCTCGTGTAATAACATATGGAAGATCGAGCGGAGCGCCCGGAAGACAGACGGCCACAAGTTGTTGAAGTTTATCGGAATCCATTGTGAACAATAAGGGAGAGAACGAGCGGGTCTAGTTGTGCACGAATGAGAATGGGGTAACACCGACTCGAAAGACGAGAGTGCGTCCCTTACGTCTTCCCAGCAGTTCATCCCATGAGCAAACTCGTACAAACAAGGAGACCGAGCAAAAAAGATGTGTAGATACGTTTTCTGACCGTATTGCGATACCCATCCGGTGGAATTTTGTAAAAACAAGCTGAAACGCTCCAGGAAACTCGTTTATCAGTTCAAATGAGGAAAAATATATGATGGCCTCAGAAAGGTTATTTAAAATCCTACAGCACCTCATTTAGAAGCACTAACTCAGTTTGCAAGGACTGCGACAAAGCACACAACCGCCTATTTAAGGGTTTTATTGCTTTTGCTTTAATTTTACAGTTGATGCTCATTCCGAGTGCCGCCAAAAAAGCCTAAGATGCAAACGCGCTCCAATGTGAACAGCGCGCGCACCGAATCGCGATCGGTTGGCGCTACAACGAAGTTTTAGAACTCGCACGGAATAGAACTGTTACGATTCGGAACTCGCAGTTATATTTTAACGTTGCGAGTTTTAAATCGTAACATTTCCATTCCGTGCTAGTTCTACTTCGTTGTAGCGCCAATCGGTTGAAATGATCATAATCAACCCGACATTTTCAAACTTTTCAGCATTTTCTTCTTGTTTCTCAACTCGAACCATCTAAATTCAATGTCATTTTACAGGCGTGATGGTAGATTTGATACAAATATTGGAGAAAATCGATCAATGGTATCAAAAGGGAATCGACGACGTGATATTAGTTGTGCAAACTGCCGCATACCAGTTGTGAGTCGGATTTTGTCAGTTTTGAAGACGGAATTTTCGCATTTTTCAGCAGTCGTTGGATTTTAACTAAGAAGAAGCAGTTGTCGATTGAAAACGAGGAAGAGCGGGAAGATTTTATGGATATTATCGTGCCGCCGAAGAGAAAACTGTCTATTGATGACAAGAATTCTTCTTTTGAAGACTTGAGAGATAGCGGTGTGCAAACGGGGACTTCAGATGAACAACTGACGTCGAGTTGCTCCGAATCGACGGAATCAAGCGATGAAAGCCAACTAGAATTGGATGATTCCGTGGAGAAATGTGAACATGATGAGAAAAACCCCGCTCAGATTACGTGTCCATGCAGCTACAGACGGCTGCCCAGTTCGTTGTTTCCTTACCCGCATCCTCCGAATACCGCCTGTCCCTTCCGTTACATTCGTTTGTCGGACACCTCCTCCTCCGAAAGCGATGACGATGACGTAAGCGAAAAGGAATTCCTCCCGAAAAAGCAAGATTTTGTGAGCTCTGCGCCGATCAACGGGATTCTGACGATGCCTACTAATGGCAACTTCTGCTCGTGTCTCAAAGGAAACCAAGAATCCGCGTCAGATTCAGATCGAAGCTCAGCTTCTGAAAGTCAGCAGCAAGAGGCACCCGCTCAAGAATCGACATTATCTTCTGCTAAACCTCCCAGCGGCGGTGCTTCCGAATCGGAGAGTGACAACGAGGTTCGTCCCACAATCTGGCCATGATCTGGCTAATTCCAATTTACTTTCAGAACGACGGAAAGGGAAAGTCGGACACTTCAGCGGAAGAAGAAATCGATACGGACGACGAAGAATCCAATAAACTGGACGACGCTCGTCTCTCAGAACCAGGCACTTCATATGATCCTCAGTCACAAGAGGGGACGTCTGCTGGGCCTTCCGGCTGTCCAGAATTGGAGAATGATGAGTATTTAGAGGTGCGTCGGATGAGTTAATAAAGTAAATAAAAACTGCATCTCAGAATCAATTAGAAGCTCTGAAAAGACAAGAAGAAGTTCCTGAAAATAATCCGTCAATCTTGGACGAGTTCAAACATCTTCCCGTTTGGAAACGATCAAAGCGGCGACCAAATAAGCACTGGGCTCACTATCTAAATACCGGAACGCTGCTCAAACCAAACGGAACCCCTGGTCCCCACTTCTCAGTGTTCAAGGCGATCGGACGGTACCCACCGGTTAGCGAGAAGGAGAAAAAGGAGGAAAATCCGGTCGAAGAGCTTGATCCGGAGGCGTGGAAGGATGTGATGGACCAGGAAGGCACCGATTTATAAATCCTCAAACTCATCTAACCTTATGTATTTACTAACTCTCACTATTATGGTACCTATTTTCACATTCATACTTGTATTTGTTATCATTTCATGTATCTTGCTTCGATAAACCTTTTTTGTAAAAAAAAAGTGTGGGAAAGTACAACTTCTCACACATTTAGACCCTTTATCACTACTTTATCAACTCAATACAATACATTACAGAAAGAGGGCAATATCTATTCGGCCTTTAGATGAAGTACATGCGGCTCTTAAAATCTGCAGCCACCGAGACGCAGTCCTGGAGCATCTGATCCGAAGATCCGTCGGGGGCCAGGAACGCTTCGTCGTCGACACTGGACCCGCCAGACTTCTTCGATTTTCCGCTGCCGGTTCTCACGTTGAGCATCGAGGAGAGCGACGAGGAAAGCGAGTTGGTGTCATCCAGAGAGTCGACGAGGCCGCTGAAAGCACAAACGGTTCTTACCGGGGACCGCGTCCCTTCTCACTTACAGCTTTCTCTTGACATGACAGCGGGCACGAGTGGCCACCAAATCCGCATAGTAGACGGGCGTCGGGATGGACACCGAACGGGTGCAGCGGCCGTAAGTGTGGCACATGCCGTACGTGATGCTCTGAATCTCGTCGGCCGTGAACTTGCACTCGTCGAGCAGCACGTGGTAGCGAGCGGGACGCGACGTTCCCTGGACTCCGTAGTGCGAACACAGGTAGAAGTCGAACCCTTCGGGAGAGACGATGCCCGTGTCGACCGTCGTTCCGGGCGGCACGTTCTTCGCCTTTCCCACCATGTCTACCGGGAACTTGCAGAAGATGCGCGCGTGATGACGCTTCTGGACGACAATATAGGTGATGGGCGGACGGAAGTCTTCAGCGATCGCCAGACACGCGGTACGGATCGACTGGATCTCTTCGCGCAGCACTTCGGAGAACTGGCCCTCGGAGACTCCATCACGGTAGACGATGATGCGCGCCGGCTTCTGCTTCGTGTGCCTGAAAGAAACTATTGATTTGGGTTCAAAATGTCATGGGGTTATTCAGGCTGTGAAAAAATGATTTTTTTACGTCAAAAAGATGTAAAAAAAATGCACACCAACCTGTAGAAAGTGATGATTCTCTCGCGAATAGCGTCGAGCAGATAAACGACCGACTCGCGGCACTTCTTCTGAACCTTCACATTGGCTCCGTACGACTGCGGCAGCAGATCCACGTTTGCGACGATGGCGGCGACCGATGGCATGTTCATGCGCATTTCGGCTTGCGTCGGATGAGTCACGTCGATTCCGACGACCATCGTCGGCTGATCGACAAGGTACTTGTTGGTGATCTGATCGGCGACGATGCGGCTGTTGATGCCGCCCATCTTCATGTTGAGCTTGAGCACAATGTTGGCGCAGGTGGCCGGAGTCGGACGGCTCACGTTCTTCATGAGAACGCACTGCGACATGATGCCGTGCACAATGTCCGATTGCTCCTTGACGGTCACTGAAAAAAAATGAAAAATAGTTGGAGCTGGAGCAGAGGAATGAAATGCTCACTGTAAAGATCCGAGTTCTTTCCCTGCAGCACGACGATGATGCAGTCGCAGACGGTGCTCGTCACCCTGTACTCGTCGGCGATTTCCGTGAACAAGTTGCACACGTCTTCCTTGCTTCTTCCGTACTTGACGAGATCTGGCCAGCGGGGAAAGTTCATGCCCATCGCGGTGGCCTTCATCGTCAGCGCCTGACAGAATCCTTGAAGGTTCGCCTGGTCTCTCGGATCGCACAGCGCAATCATCGAGTAGCTGCGACACGTGGCTGGCATATAGAGGGTCTGGTGATCCATCGACCACGATCCGTCCTTCGGGAACACGACCGGATTGACAGAACGGTTGTTGCTTCCGAACATGATCGGCGGCGGCTGGATGACACGGGCGGTCGTTTCGATCATTTGAGACGAGACGGAAACTCCAAACTCTTTGAGGAACGGATCGGTGCCGAACGAAGCCTGCGCGGCGAGCTGCTTGATGCGCTCCTCGCGTTGAGTCGCATCCACGGCAGCGGCCTGCAAAACAAGAGCGTGATAGAGCTCAAATTTATTTCTTTTCACTCGCCTTGATGATAGCACTCGTCTGCTTCTCCGTCATTTTCTTATTATACTTTTGTGGCGAGTCGATCAGACAGTGCTCCATTGGCAGAAAGATGTTGCGCGTGGGCGGTCCGACATGGAGACACGGGAGCTTCGGGTACTTGAGCGGTCCGTACTTGTCCGAGAAGTAGTCGGCCACCGAGCAGACGACCTGGCGACCTTCTTCGTCGATTCCTTGGAACCTGTAAAGCATAATTTGTAAAGTGTTGTGAAAACTAGCGATGCTAACATGAGCTTGTCGGCCGGCAGCTGCAGACTGTTGACCTTGTAGACGCGGACAGCGTTCGGGCGGTGGGTGGCACGGATCTTCATTCCACGAATGGCGTCTCCAAAGATGCGAGACTCGAAGCTCGACAATTGAGTCTCACGACCCATCGTCTCGATGGTGAACGACGGTCCGCAACTGCCAAAATCATCACGACCTGGTGGCCCACTCATCCCTCCCGGCGCTCCTCCACGCCCTCCAAAGTTGTTGTATCCGCCGCCACGACCGCCACGACCTCCGCCACGGTATCCGCCCGGTCCGCCTGGTCCGCCACGCTGCTGCTGGAAGCGATTCGGCTTGGCAGTGCGCTCGTTGAGCACGTCACACATGAACTGGAGCACCGAGATGCGAGCCTTGTAGAAGGCGGTGTGGGCGACGTCAATGTTGAGGAGCGGCTTGAAGTTGCTGGCAATGTGGGCCGACGAGAAGAATCCCGTCCACATCTCCTTTCCGCCCTCCAGATCGAGAGCCTGTCCGGCGGCAGTGGGGATACGGTAGCAGGAGGACTTCCACGTGTAGAAGTTCGCCGCGTTCTTCAGCAATGGACAAGTCAACGATTGACGGCAGATGATGTCGAGTATCTGGATGGGAGTGAGCACACGGTCGTCCAGGTTGTTGGTGCGAGTACGCTGCATCTCCAGCAGCACTGGTCCGACGTTTTGGATGGAGATGGCACATCGGGTACGGTCTCTGTTGTCCTTTGGAAGTGTGGCTTCGCAGTCCAAACGCACGGATCCCTTGTCTTCGGGGAATTCGAGCCGAGCAACGGTGTAGAGTTGGTGAGCTCCGTCGTAGGCCAGAGCAAATTTGTTGCTGAAGATGTCCGGATGATCGGAGACTACCTTCCAGAAGATTATGCGCATCTCGTCCTTGTCCAGTTTGCGGCAGCCGGGGTGATGAACCTCGACGTGGTATTGGATGACCACCATCTTCGGATTCTTCAGGTCGACCGAGAAGAAGTTCGACTTGACCGGAATCTGACGTCCGACAGTTCCGAGGCCAGGTCTCGCGACCACCTCGCGCATGTTCAGACACGCCAACTCCTGCAATCAGTTCAGGTTAGAGCACACATCTTTTCCGCAACATTTACCGAAAGAAGCAGCGGGCTCAGATCACGCGGAGATTCCGAGTTGTAGGAGACAGACGCTTGCTCGTCGGCAAGATGTGGCGGTGAAAGAGAGCCGTTCGTGGAGAGCGGGGAGGCTTGGCCCGAGGCCGCGTGGGACAGGATTGGCGGAGACATCGAGCCGGAGCCAGAAATCCCTGAGCTAGTCAGAGAGTTGTTTTCCACAAAAGTGGGTGCATTCCTTCTCGACATTTCAGTTTCTTTAATTGTGCCCGTACTGAAACAGCATCACGGTCAGCGGGACGGGCGCCCAGAGGCCTACCTTAAAGTGGAGCGTTTTCCGAGGAAAAATCAACAAACTGAAGTTGTTCTTTGCCTTCCCTGACTGTTCCGTCTACATCGCCGGCCCCGGAGATGCTATCAACACGCGATTATTTCCGATGCCACCACGCTCAATTCTATTGAAATTCAAATACTTCGTAATGAAAACAATAACCCGTAAATATTAGAAATAACCGGAAAGTAAATATATACATGCAAATTATCCTTCTACAGGTTCCTTCTCCTTTTCAGAATTCTTATCAGCTTCTCTCGGTTTTCTCGGGTGATTCCATCGTTCGGATTGATCTCCAGAGCACTGTCGTACGCCTTCAGAGCCGCTTCGTACTTTTGATTCAGATGAAGGATGGCTCCGAGATTTGCATGAGATTCGTAGGATTCTGGCTGAAGATCCACAACTTTCCGATAGAATTTCTCCGCCTCCAGATGATGATGAGTCTCCTGAAGCAAGTTGGCCATTCCTCGTAGCGATTCCACGTGGGCGGGCTCGACGGCGAGGGCCCTCTGGTAGAAGAGCATCGATCGATTGTAGTTTCTCATGTGGAACTCGGCGAGAGCAATGTTCTGCAGTACTGTAATCGAATCTGGAGCCAGTATCATCACTCGGTCGAACAGCTTCTCGACTTCAACGCTCTTGTTCTGCCGAATCTTCAGATGTGCCATAGTCAGGTACGAGTTTACATGATTTTCCTGAATCGCCTTCTCGAAATAGTGCTCGGCTGCCAGCTCGTCTCCGATTTGGCTGTAGCAGGTTCCGATTGAATTGAGAACACTTGTCGCGTGCTCAAAGTGCGGACCTCCGAGCTCTAGAGCCAGTTTCAATGCTCTGATGGCTTGTGGATACTTTTCAGCCTTCTGCAGCAAACGTCCTTTGTTGAACGCGCACGTTGCTTTCATTTTGATGTGACTACGGTAGGACTTGAGATTTTCACCAGAAACTGTCAAACATTGATCCAGATGTTCGAAAGCCTTTTGTTGATTTCCAGAGTCATGGTAGAGGAGGGCGAGGTTCAGATGGGCGGCCGCAAAGTTCGATCTGCTCATGAGTGCCTGATGGTAGCATCGCATGGCTTCCTGGATTCCGTTCTTGGACTTGCTCGTCAGAATTCCCCTGGAATTGTTTTAAAATTTTCAATAATCATCGTCGAGACGCGAGAAACACTTACAAGTTATACCAGGCATCTGCCAGGTTTCCCTTTCTGCGGAGAGCTTGAAGATAGTGATGTCTGGCCAAGTCGTACTTCTTCTGCGTCGTATACACGAATCCCAAGTTCATGTGAGCTTTTGTGGGATTTACAGAAAGTGCACTCTTGAATAGCGACTCTTCGGATTGCCAGTCCTCGACACGATTCATCGTTCGCTGCGCGTGAAGAGCGAGTAGAATGAGGAGAAGGAAGTTGACGCTTGAGTTTGGGAATAATAATCTGGAAGAGAAAAACGGTCAGTGAAGATCTATCTCTTTGCATTTTAAGTACCTCTTGTTGATCAACTGTACTCCAAACGTCACGAGAATACAGTAGCCCACCGCCGGCAGGTACAATATCCGTTCGGCGGCCACGAAGCCGACGTAAGTTAGCAGATTGGATGATATCAGGTGTGGAGCCGCGAGGAGAGTGAGCACAAAGAGCAGCGACTTTGATTCTTCGGACTTTTTGCTCTTTTTCTTCAGGTTCCAGACGAGTCCCAGTGCTGTTCCGTAGACAATCAGAGCTCCGAAAAGACGAGAGTCCAGAATACTCTCAACTTTTGGAATGGCATCCATGGACCAGTCGAAGGAAAGCGTTTTCGGGAAGATCATGAGCCAGAGGTGGAAGATCGGAAGGTAGAGAAACGTCGAAGTGCGAGTAGTCCAGCTTGGATCATGAGCGATTGGATTATCGTTTTTGGAGAATGTGGGCGATTGGAAGTTGTTAATAGCCATCCGGAGATAGCAAATCAATCCGAAAGCAATCGAATATCTGGTAAGATCCCTCCGAACAATGTCGTGTTTTCGCTGGGTTCCCTGAAAAGAAAGAAACCGGAATAGTTGATGAATTGGCCCGAAGAGTATTGTTCTGGCGTGTTCACGCCACTTCCAATGATTGTCCATCATTTCTTCCCGCCTTCAAGGTTACTGTAGACAATGCCGCCTGCCCAACAAGACCTTTAAGGACGCCTCATTTGTTGTGAATGCGCGAATGTGCCACGGGCGGGCCCTTCTTCCCCCCGCAGGCCATCTTTCCGTTTATTAATGGGTCTCATTTCTCCTCCCGTTCATCTCGAGAAATGAGAAACGTAACGAAAGGAATCGAATGGCTCTTCTCACCTTGAATAATAGCTCGTAGGCGGAAATGAGCGGTAAAAGGATGATTCCGGTCTCTTTGGAGAGCACTGCGAGGATGGAAAGAGCCACAGAAACGCGAGCGCTCGGGTGCTGGAGGTGAGATATTGTGGCCATGAGGATGAAGGTGGTGGCGAGCAGATCCGCACGACCGACAATGGAGCAAACGGCTTCGGAAGTGATAGGATGGCACGAGAAGAGGAGGGCGGCGAACAAGGAACATCCTGGAAACATTCAGCATGACTTAATAACACAGTTGTCAATTACAATTTCACCCAAAACTTTTCAGACCGATCTGACGATTTTCATCTCTTCTGTATAAACTCGAATGTGTTATTTTTTAATGAAAACAGTCTTTCATGCAAATTCCCTAAACGGCTCATCTCAATTCAAAAACCTTTTCCGTATAAACGTTATGACAGATGCCCGCGGCGTCGTATTACTTGTTCCTAATTGAGCGGTTCTAACGCGATAAGCAACTGTCCCTCCCCGATATCCTATTACTTTGTCGTCTATGTTTTCTTACCATCCTCAAGTATTCTCAACTGCTTCGCCAGCTTCAGCACCAGAATCGAGTTGATGACGTGGCAGAGCACATTGACCCCGTGGAACCTGAAATGAATTCAGAATACAGGCCAATTTCGATTCGTATTCAATTCCCCAGAGTGCCCTAAAGAGCTTTGGCTCGTGTGCTCCGAATGTTATCTACATACGCGTACTCATCATAATTCCATCTTCCTTCTCACTCGAAACCCGTCTCTTTATGCATACACGGAGACAGATTTCGTCGGATGACACTAAGAGAGAGATACTCACTAAAAGGGGGCTCCATGTGACGCCTCGAATGTTGTGTCTATGTATACAATTACCAAATGTTAAGTAACGTCAACATCATTATTATCTCTTTCTCCCTCTCGCAACATCTTCTTCGGCATACGGAGGATCCCCTTGAGCTCTTCTTGAAGCGGAAGAGCATCATGTGGGTGAGCTTTCTCAGAAATCCGATACGCATCGGTGTGTGAGCCAGAAGGAAGATGGAGCCATGACTCCCCTCGGCTGTGAAATCCTATTACGGCCCAACATGTACACGGCAAGAAGAAGAAGAAGAAGGAGAGAAAAGCAATTTAAGTGGGCAGAGTTGGGCGGGGAGGAAAGCACTTTAATCGCGTTATGAAATCAACTTGTGTGGGAAAATGTGCAAGCGGGGGAATTCAATTAGGATCCGAGATTGGAAATTCGCGAAATCAACGTCCGAGTCTGGAGGGTAAAGGTTGTAAATTAGGAGTTCCGCGGAATTCAAATTCCTTTTTCAAACAGCTGTCGGGAACCGGGCAGCGCCTAGACTGTTGAATCACTTGAAAAGCACGGGCTTTTCGACCCAGAATCACAAAATTTCGGGGCCGGATAATAACTGCGTACCTGCCTTGTTTCTAAACTACCGTAGTCCTTTCTATTTTCCCGCTAAGGAAGCCACTCTCCCGCCTTTCCCTAAACACCCCAATTTCCCGCTCATTTCCCATCCTCTTTTTACCTAATTAACCACTATTTCCTTCTCTTCTTCTCCCCCTTTCGCTCCTCTTCTTCACGACTGGATAAGCCACTCACCAAACGGCGTGGAATCCGTGCGCGGCGGCTTGAACGCGAAACGAGGCGGTGATCAATGGACGATAGCTTTTATGGGATCCTTCCAAACCGATCGGATTTCCCCAAAAGTCGTTGGTGAGAAGGAGCGAGCGCCACGAGGAGGCGGAAGCGGAGATGACGTCGTCGTTGGTGAGGATGGCGGGTCTGGAAAACGTTGAATTTCCATGGCTCGAACTTTTGGCTCAAGTTCCAGACCGATCGGTTTACTGTAATAGAAGTGCACCCCAATACCGTGTGTACCTCAGCTGCTGGTAAAGATATCACAAAGCTGTCAACTAAAAAAATTTACAAAACGTCGTGTTAGTGAGCAACTTATTAGTTGAAAACGTTTTAATATCTGTTCAGGCAGTTGAGATATATATTGGGCAGTACTCGGGTGCTATTCTAATACAGTTTTGAATTAGTCAAAGGTTGAAAGCTCGAAAAGCCCAGAAGCTGTTCAAACTCTACTTTTCAGTTCCAAAGTTGCACTCCGAAACTATTCGAAAGTGCAATTGAACTTGTAATTGTTTCCCTTCGCCCCCACTATTATCCATTCCCTCAGCCGAATGAATTTCCATATATCTCTTCCCCTTCTTGCTCAACAAGCTCCTTGTTGACAGCCTTTTGTTAGTGCGCTCTCGAGGTTGGTAATAAAAACGAGGACAGAAAATTGCTGTCACGACTTTGTGCCAACACACCCAGGTTCCGGCCCATAAACCACATAAATATTAGATCGCCTGGCCCCTTTACGACATCGTTTTTTTGGAGAGGGAAGAGATGGAATAGGAGAGGGATGATGATGAACGTATTCAAATATTGATGTATTCCAGCGCTATTTGATTGACATGTTCTTCATGGCGAAGAAATTTCGTCTTCATCGGAAGCCCCGTCTTCAACTCAATTTCCTGGTGGTCTTCGGGAACAACATGTTGGTCCGAAAACGTACTTTGTGGGTTAGCACCGGACATTTTGCAACCACGACTTGTCGAAGCTAAGGAAATCAGTTGCGAAACGTGACTTTCGGCTGTTAGGACCGGAGACTTAGAACCGGACACTTTGCAACTATAAATATTTCTTTTGCGAAATGCCCGTGACTAACTAATTGCTCGAAAAGTTTCTTGAAACCTGAGCTGTCCGCCCGCAAACGCGTCGCCCATCTCTCTATTGTTTTTGGCCACTTCTGAGCACCTTTGAAAATGGTAAATATACACACTAGCGAATTCTTAGTACGTTTCTAATGTATTCCGTACTTGCTACATTTCGGAATTTCTAAAGAGTGTCACGCCAAATTATGATCAGTCGAGTGAGCATCGGGGCGAAAAATAAAGATAAGAAATGAGAGAAAGAGGATTAGCCTTCTTGCTCATAATCCGTTAATTAGAGAGCAGGGAGTACTAGTGTTGTGGGCAAACAAAGGGGAAAGTGTTGAATAATACATAAACACCGATGATGATGGTATTAAGATTATAATGACCTATTGCAGGTGTTTGCTTGGGATCAAAATGGGTGGACGATAAGGAAAAGAAGGTTAAAGTACACAAAAAGAGAACTGAACAATACCTGTCATCATAGACAAAATCAGCTGTGAGCGCGTTCGAATACACTCCGAACGCCACGCAGGCCACGAGCACACTTTGATAAGCGAATGATAGCGAGGGACCCTTTTCCTTCTTCATTCCTTCAAAAGGCGATAGAAGAAGGACTGGATGTTTGTTGGCAAAATAAAGGGAGAGCGCGGGGAAAGAGATGGAGGAAGCCCCGCCCCCGCGCAGAGACGCAGGGAAACGGTGGAAGTGACAGGGAGGTGTCGTGCCTACCACGTCTTCTGGAACGGAGATAAGAAAAGAACAGTCTCGCGAGAGACTGGTGATGATCTGATCGGCACCCCTTGATCCTCCAGTCATCTATAAATCTCACTGACCTTCGAGAGTACACGTTATCGCTTCGCGCATCGTTCAGATCTTGACGTTTGAGAACGCATCGGGAGTAAAAGCGCTTTTTAATGATGATGGTGATAAAATAGAAAATGAATAATAAACAATCAATAGGAGAAAGTCAATGCAGATGAACAGGGGTTCTCTTTGAAAGAAAGGAAAAATAAGAGAAAAACAAGGTGAAGGAATGCGAAAGAGAGATGAGATTGAGTTATTCTCATTCGACAACTGGATCCTGTTCAACCGTGTTGGCACCCGTGATATCCTCGTCTTCTGCTCGAGATCTAGAGCTCTTCTCTTTCTTGCTGCTGCTCTCGCGGCGATCATCATCGTCGTCTCCGCGACGGCTACTCTTCTTCTTTCGATCGTCGTCGTCTCTGCGCTCTCGTCGCTTCTCCTGGTCGCGGTCGTCACGACGGCGCCGGCGGTCTCTAGAAGTGCTCCGACTCCGATGTCTTCTTGACGACGTTCGATCACTCTCGCGCTCCCCTCTGCGTCTTGAGTCCCGGTCACGATCACGACGAATTGGACTACGCGATCTCGACCTCTTCCGCCGCGAGCTTCTTCTCTCCTCATCATCGTCGCTGAGCTGTGGGAACGGTCCAGCAGACATTAGACTTCTCGGCGGTACTGTTGGGCCGCCCATTCCAATTGGACCTGGACCGAATCCAGCTCTAGAGTGCCCGAACGTTGGCGGAGGCATTCCGAATCCCGGTGGCGGCATGCTCGTCGATAGCATACCCATTGGGCCCATTCCAGGCGGCATTCCGGGCGGTGGCATGTTCGGATTGAAACCTAGAGGAGGTAGTCCAAGACCGAGACCAAGATCCAGGCCGCCCGATGAAGGCATAGACGACGTCACTCCTGGAGCTGTTTCGACGCCTGGTGGCCTCTCCGAAATACCATCCACTCCTGGAGGTGCTTCTGAAAGATTGAATTCTATTGAATGTAAGTCGTCGTCATTTAGAAATTTACCTTGAGCACTCGTGGGCAGCATGGCTGGCGGCTGCATTCCGGGTGGTGGAAGCGACATTCCCGGTGGCGGCTTCGTAAAGTCCATGATAGGATTCGGCTGCATTCCGCCTCCGATTGTAGTGGTTGTGGAACTGCTTCCAGTGATAACTGTCCGAATGACCTGCTCATTGTTTGTGGGCACCTGGTGCGTGGGCGGCGGGTTGTATGGCTGCTTGAATCTTCCTCCATTGTCTGTGAGCACTTTGACGACACTTGATGCTGAAATTTATTGTTGACAAAATCCTGGTAATCCTTGACCTACAAGTATTGATAACTGGATTTGCAAGCGGATTGGATATTTTGATGTTGGAGAAAAGAGCGTTGTTGGCTGCCGTTTGATTATTGGAGAACTCGGCGCGAAGCTTTTTCTGACGCTCGCAGTACAAATTCCACGTTTCTTCGGTGAATCCATAGTTGAAGTAGTCGGTGATGTCGGCTCCAGGCTTCCTCCACGGGCGGTCTTCCATCTGTGCCAGATCGAGATCGTAGATTGGTTTGTCGTTGACCATCACAGTGGAGTCCAAGTCCAGTTTACCTTGACGCGCAGCTGGTTTCTAGAAACGTGAACGTTGAATGAATAGAAGTTGAAGACATTGAAACTCACTTCAATTGGTTCCACTTTTCTGATTGTAACCTGAACACCTCCACCGTCTTCATCGGAATCCTCGTCATCGGCGAAAGGATTGTCCTCTTCCTCGTCTTCCACTTGCTCTTCGGCTTTCGCATCTGTTCCGTTTTCTCGATTTTCTCCGTTCGTCGTCGCTTCTTCTGCTCCGTTCGACGTCGCCTCGTTTTCTACATCGCCGTCATCATCGTCGAGAAGAATGACGTCTGGATTGGCGGCAGGATCTTCTGGAACAGCCGTTAGACTGTCATCCTGAAATGTCATCGATTTTTGCTGCGAAAATTGAAAATTTGTATATTGCAGTTTCTTCAAGGAATTTTCAGAACGGAAGTCGGAAATGATAAATTTTAAAGAAACCGCACTTTTTTCGTTATGCCGAAAATTTTCTTGTAAAACTTTGCTTTTTGAAGTAGAAAGAAGCAGTATAGGAACTTACATTGTCAGAAAGATTTACAATCAGCGGTTCCACTTGGACTTCTTCCATTTTTGGTGTTATACTTTGCAGAAACTCCGCTACAAACGATTCGTTTTGTTTGGAAAAGGGTACAGAAAAAGAAATGAAATTCTGCGTGTCCACTAAACAGGGCGCGATGTCGTGGCGGAGTCTCGTTGTCTGCTCTTTTCCTGTCTGATCCTCTTCGCCCCGCACACTGTCTCGCAGTTTAGGGCTCTATCCCAAAACATTTCAATTTTTGCCCGTTCCGTTTCCCGCCTAATTTCCTCTCGATTTTTTAATTTTGCCTTTGAATTCCAAATTTTAAATTTCAAACTATAAATCTGGCGGTTCTGATAAAAAGTACAAACCGGTTCTGCTCGAAAAATTGATAAGCGCATCACTCGATCGGCCAAATTCGTCTCGGCGTCCCGTCTCGCCGCCCGCCTTCTTCTTATCAGCACGCTGTTTTTCAAATTCCGCCCACATTTAGGCCTTGATAAACTGCCATCCACCCGTCTATTCTACCTTCTTTATTACAGGGTAATCGAACGAAGATGCCGCGCATCGAGTTCGAGCCGAAGCTCGACTTCAAGGACGTGCTGCTTCGTCCGAAGCGTTCTACGCTCAAGAGCCGCGCCGATGTCGACTTGGACCGGACTTACGAGTTCCGCAACTCGAAGGCCACCTACACTGGAGTGCCCGTCGTCGCTTCGAACATGGACACTGTCGGAACTTTTGAAATGGCGTCTGCTCTGAACAGCTACAAGATGTTCACCACTATCCACAAGCACTACTCGGTAAGAGCTTTTCATAATGTTCTAGTCAGTCTTTATTTTTCAGGTGGATGAGTGGAAGAACTTCGCCGCTTCTGCTGCTCCGGAGATGTTCGAGAATCTGGCCATCTCTTCCGGAATCTCTGACAACGACTGGACGAAGCTCAACCAAGTGGTGACGGAGCTCCCACAGCTCAAGTACATCTGCCTTGACGTCGCCAACGGATACTCTGAATCCTTCGTCGACTTTATCCGTCGGGTCCGTGAGGCGTACCCGAAACATACGATCATGGCCGGAAACGTCGTCACCGGAGAGATGGTCGAAGAGCTCATTCTCTCAGGAGCCGACATCGTGAAGGTTGGAATCGGACCAGGATCCGTGTGCACCACTCGTAAGAAGGCCGGAGTCGGATACCCGCAACTGAGTGCCGTGCTCGAATGCGCCGATGCTGCCCACGGATTGAATGGACACGTGATGTCGGACGGAGGATGCACCAACCCCGGAGATGTTGCCAAGGCATTCGGAGCCGGAGCTGACTTCGTTATGATCGGAGGATTATTCGCTGGACACGATCAGTCCGGAGGAGACCTGATTGAGCAGAACGGAAAGGTTAGTGGCATAGCACTCGGGGAAGGAGCCTAATTTTAAAATTTCCAGAAGTTCAAGCTTTTCTACGGAATGAGCTCGGATACGGCGATGAAGAAGCATCACGGAAGCGTTGCCGAGTACCGTGCCTCGGAAGGAAAGACGATCACGATTCCGTACCGTGGTGACGTCAACGGCACTGTCCAGGACGTGCTCGGAGGCATTCGTTCCGCGTGCACCTACACCGGATCGAAGCATCTCAAGGAGCTCGCGAAACGTGCCACGTTCATCCGAGTGACCCAGCAGACGAACGACATGTACGTGCCTTTCGAGGTGCCAACGGCTCCAGCTGCTCCTAAGTAATTGTCAAATATATTCGTGTTCATAGCTCATTTAGCTTCGTATGCGCCTCGATTTCTCCATTTTCTCACTTTTTATGATGAAGTTTGAACCTAGAAGCGTTCTTATCAAAACTGGGTTACATCTTTTTCTCTCTTATCATCCAGGGCGACGGGTGAAAGCGATACGCGAGGCAGAGAGAAAGCTTCACCGCGCGGAAAAGCCTTCGCTTCTCTCACTTCAGCCTCTTTTTCTCGAAAACAACCCCATTCGCTTCAGTCTTCTCCTCTTCTAAATACCTTTTTCTTGCTACTCTGAGAATCGACCACGAAGCAAATTGTGTCAAGTGTTCGGTTCGTTTCGTGTGCCCAAAACAACAAAAACAAGACACTTGAGAAGCGGCGAAAAGACGAAAAACTAATAGTATTACAGTCAAACACCTCACACGTGTTGCGTTCATGTTTTTGCACTGTTTTTCAGTTCGAAATGGACAAGGAAACAACAACACGTTTATTTATCATGCACTCAAAGTGGCCGGCAGTTTAATTTCACACTTGGAGGCGGTTCTCGAGGTCTCTTCTGTGTTTGTGTCGTTTTCGGTGCGAAGTACGGTTATCACTTTACTCTAAATCGCGCTCTATAGTAGAAGTTGCGGCCGCTCTCCCATTTTCAGTCAATTCTAACTCGGAGTTGGTATTGCTTTTTTTAAATTTTCGAATAAAAACTAAATGGAAGAGTGACCGCAGTTGGGGAGCAACAGAAAGCAAGTGAGATGAGGGACTAGAAACAGCTAGGCCGGCCGCTCTTTGTTTTTCCATTACAGTCGCCATTTACTAATTTGCATTCCCCATTTTCTTCCATTTCTGCCTCCTCCTCGAAGATTTCGTCGTTTTGATTGATAATGATCTCCTCGTCGGCTGCCGCCGCCGCGCCGTTCATAATTCGCTCGTCCAACCAGTCATCATCGTTTTCTGAAGCTTCTTCTTCTTCTTCTTCTTCTTCTTCTTCTTCTTCATCCGTCCACACACACACACACACACACACACACACTTTGAAAGAGGAAAGGCCCGTTTGTCAATTATACCACCCAATTGCATATCACTCTTTTATTATCCGATCGCGTGTTTGTAATCCTCCTGGGAAACTTTTGGGCCTTCTTGATCCGAATCTTTCGACGTCACAAATGATCATGATGTCTTCTTCTTCTTCTTCTTCTTTTCCGTTTACCTTTGGTCCTTCTCGCCCTCGCATTCCCCCACTCAACCTCATTTCATTTTTGAATTTCCCCGACACAAACCGGATCCGTTTGTAATGAGATTGTTCCGTAGACGAGTCAGCTGACCGGCGGGTACAAAACGTGCAATGTTTCCAGATCGGTGAAAGGATAGGCACGGAAATGTTGAAACGTATTTCGCTCGGTCTCCTTTTGCTCGTTTTGCACTTGGGCGCCGAGGCGTTCGAGTGCTACACTTGCAATACCGAAAGGACGAGGACTGGTCCCTGTATTGATAGGGTGAGTAGAGCTATTCTCAAAGAACTAGGGATGGGCGAATAACCTAGAGCCCAAACGACCCGAGCTTTGACTCATAGAACCTCAATTTTGGTCAAAGCTGGCAAAAGGCCGGAAGGTCTGTCGCGGACTTGACTTTTGACCGACTTAAAATAATCCGATCGGACCCACACATCGAAAATTGCGTCCTTTTCGGCTTTGCCACATTCGATCGGTCTGAAACTTGGACCCAATATACTTCAATCCAAGTCCAAAAATCCTGCAAAGTTTGGGTCTACAATAATATCATCATACTCATGTTTCCGATAGCACGGAATTCCAATCCCCTCAAAATTCCAGAAGACAATATGCGAGAATTCGACATCGTGCTCGATGGCAGTCATGTACCAATCGGGCCGTTCGATCGTCCGCAAGTTCTGCACGCCGCCCAACACGCCCATCTACCAGTACCTGATGATGATGCCCGGCGCGTCCATGTGCCAGAACATTGACATGACCGAGATGGCGCCGCCCGTCCGCCACCGTCGTCACGTCACCGGACCACCCGCGTCTCCCGGAGAGCAGGCCTCGTTGCTCTGCGTGTGCACCACACCGCTTTGCAATAAGGGAGTCTACTCAAAGGTACTTATGACTGGCAATGGATCGGTTACATACATTAGTTCGTTGTTCAGGTGCTGGAGAACACAATGCTCAACAACTTGCCACGTCGTCTTCTGCCTCCACTTCAGAACTTTGAGAAGGAGCTCAAGTCGGAGCAGAACATCGAGTTCGACGACACGATGGAACAGCAGATGGCCGACGCCGGATTCTAGGCCATTCTCAGTCTAATAACGCTCGCTTACCGGTAGTGTCCGATAATTTTGAAACCATCCAGTTCATAATCATAATCGCGGGTCTTCTCTGTGTCGTATTTATTGTCACTTTTTTGAGTTGGATGTCAATGAAGACTTTTTCGATAACGTGTTCTCAATTGTCCATCTTTTGTTTCTAGACAATCAAAACTTCGTGAAATTTCAAAAAAGAAGAAAATCAAAAAATGTTCGATGCAGATGGAGAAGAGACACCAAGGTCGGCTACTTGCACCGTGACTGGAAGACGGCCAACTGCGCCCTAGGATTCGTGAGTGAGGAAGTCACTTTATTCTCCCCAAAGTCACTTTCAGAAGAACTCCACGGTGTGGAGGACAGAGTGAAAGTGGGCGAGCTCTTCGCGAAGAGCCCCTCGCAAATGCTGGACTTTGTGAAGATCGTCCGGACTACGAGAAACTGTTCAAATTGCTGGAGGATGTGATGAAGAAGGCGGGCTACAAGTGGTCGGATTCGTATCATTGCGAGCCTGAGAAAAAGGAGTAGAAGAAGCAAGGATTGTTCTCTCTGAAAAGAACCAAGCACAAGAAGTCGGCGGAAATGAAAGGTTCAGTGCTTACAGCACAGCCGATGACTTTAGAACCAATCCGATCGGATTCTAAAGTACTCTAATTGTTGAATAAAGGCACAGTATTCAATTCCGAACATCATCTATTGTAGCTGTCCTTTCTTCCCTCTCTCGCAGGTCGTCTAATCTGAACGTCAAATCTGCTAGTCTATGTATGTGTGCGTGACCCAGAAGGCAACATTGCCACGTACGCAGGCGAGCCACAGTCCTCTTCAGTCCTTCTATTCACCACTTCTGTACCCCTTTTCTTTCCTCTGTTACCCCATTCTGTCCGAAAATGAACTACAATTGCTTCGGTTTTGTGGCCACCTGTTTGCCAGCCGATGTCGGGCAGCCGAGAACATTCAGTTTCTTAGAACTTCTACTCAATAAAGACACGAGTAAAGTGCAGACAATTGAAAAGTTGGCATTGAGAGCAGTTGTCAAACAGGCGCTGATCGAGAAGCAAGAACAGCTCGTGAATCTTCTCAAAACAGGTAAGTTCATCTCATTTTTACAGTAATCTTACAATTGCCACGTTTTCCAGCCGCCCGCATCGAGACGTTTGCCCCTCTAATGCTATGTGATACTCCGGAAATCCAACGTTTTTTCGTTGAGAAACTAGTGGCCAGGCACCAAACGATTTCGTGTTTCTTCAAGCCGAATAGTGTTCGACTGATTAATACGCGTGGCACATGTTTCATGGAGTTCAGAGTGAAGAGGGTGAAGGACGGAATCCCGATCGATGAGACCCTCCGAATGCTCGTATTGATCTTGCAGCGAGGGTGCAGTCTTCAGGCTGACGTAGACGGTGAGAAGGCTCCTGGGCTGGATGTATAATAACACAATTTCATACTTTCAGGTGTCGTTCCCTACCTAAACGAGCTGCGGACACGAATCGAAGGCCTACCAAAGACAGACGACAGCATTCACTGCCTGAAAGTTCCCACCGGAACCCGGAATCTTCTCTGGTCGATAACTCGGAATACCGCTCTCTTGTGATCCTCTCTTCTTTTACTTTTCCAGCTTTTCACCACCACCACCACCATCACAATAAAACTTTGAATCTATGCGTTCGAAAAGCATTACCTGTTTCAATTACCCCACCGTAATTACCCTCCGGTTCAGGTTCAGGTTCCGCCTCGCCACTTCCGCCGCTTTCGCTTTCCGCACACCTCTTTCTTTCCATTGTGTTGCGTCACACAGTACAACAACAAAACAACCTTTGGTCGGTTGGTCTCGATGCTGCTCTTGGTCGCCATGACATTGCTGCTCGGCTCATCAGCAGAAGCGCTGTTCTTCGGCGGAGGCGGCGGATGTGGGTGCCGTCCTCAACAGTGCAGTTGTGCTCCACAGCCCGTTGCTCAGAACTATTGTCCGGTTAGTTCATTCGTCAAAGCTCTATGCGAACTGTGATTTCAGCCGTCTCCGTGTGGTCGTTCCTATCCATCCTTCCCGTCTTATCAATCCTATCCATCCTATTCTCCAGCAGCCTATCGTCCACCACCCTTGCCGATATCTCAACCTTTTTACGCAGTCCCCCAACCAATCCCAATCCAGACAACCTATCAGAACAGCTATCAACAACCGCTGCTCACAGGTGATTCAATCCTTCCTATCATAATTCGATTTCACAAGAACGTTCAGGCAGCTACAACGCCCCGTACTCGAGTGTTCAGAATGCTCCGATTCAAGTCAGCTCTGCCAAGTCGATGTCGGAGACGTCCTCGTCCGACGTGTTCGGCGATACCGTAGTACAAAAGAGCAAATCGTTGAGCTCTGTGAAAAACGATTTGGACGAGGATTCAGTGAGTTTCTAGAACAAGTTTACATTGATTCAACTCATATTTCAGAATGCTCTATCAAACTTCGAAACGTCATTGCTCGCTTATAAGTCGATGGGACGGAATGGGATCAGGAGAGCACAGGGAACGAAGATCGAGAAGCCGGAGAAGTGCTCGAGTAGTCGATTGCAGGAAATTATGGAAAAGGTTCGAGAGGATTACTGTAGAGGAGCATCATCTAATTTCAGGCAATGACCTCGAATGTTTCTGTCTCCAAGTTGAAAATCTCTCAAGGGGCGAAGCGAGAGTTCGGCTATAACTTCGACGTAATCTGCAGTCAATTCGACTTTTCCTACTTGATCTCTTCCAATATCTATTGTAGAGTTGAGATGGACGGACAGACGTGTCTGGCTTATGAGAACTAGGATATTATTATCATTGCACTTTATGTATTTTGCTATTCTGACAGCCTATTCACGATTCAGATGAAATTATTTCCTGTTTTTCATGGAGGCTTCATAAATCGTTAACAACATTCACGGCTCTTCTCGTTGCGCGGCGAAAAGGATAAACGCGACACTCCATATCGGGAGGCTACCCCGAATCAGAACTGTGTCCCGGATCAGAACCATACCACAGCAAACTCATTGCAATCAGTACTATCAGCAGTTATATTACAAAGAACGCCCGGAAGTACTTGAATCAGAAACCCCTTCCGCGCATTTAGAAGCAGCTCCCTGGAAGCAAATATATTACATTAAAAAAAAGAACGCCCGCGAGTACTATGAGAATCCGGCAGAGAGGTGCGCACTCTGAAAACGCTTTTTGCTGAATGTCACGTGTGCGAAGTGTTATGGTTACCCTAGAGTGGGGCTTTTCACGGGAACCAATTGCACAGGCAAAACCGGCGGGTCGGCGAGGGTGAGTTTGGTACATCTTTCGGCATGAGCGTTTGGCATATGAGACCCCCACGGGCGGCCAAAAATTGGGCAGGGGCTTCGCTTGCTTGGTATTCCGGGTACTCTTGGTATTTTGACAGTTCTCTTAAAAAAACAAGGGTCCCTAGTCGGACTTGGTCAAAAATGCAATTTTTTCCTAATTTTATTTCTGTTTTACACTAGTACCATAGTACATCTGCCTGGCCCTATTTGAAATTTTTGCGGTCCCGCCTCCTCCACCTTTGTGATCGTCACCAAAAGGAGCGTGGTGACGGTGAAGCACGGCAACCACCTCTCTCTACTTCCTCTGATCCGACGTTATTGCAATGCAAGAAGTCAACCAATTTTTTGTTTTTCATGACTAGGCCTCCTGCGAGGAACGGAAACTGAGGCTTCCTCAGGAAGCCCGCCGGCTAATTAGTTAACGTACCTTTTCTAAATAACGGTAGTTTTCTATTTTTCTTTATCCCTTCGGAAGTAAACCTGAAATTCTAAAAACTCTATCTCTCACCACACAGTTTTCCACTTCAGGCCGAAAAAGACTAACCTTTGACTAACCTTTCTACCCGCCAGCCGAGTGTTTCCCAGGAGGAAATGTTTACGCACGCAAAGGACATGTCTCCACATCCCCATAATCGATCGTATTTTGTCAGTGTCAGTGCCATTCTGTGCCATTCTCTGTCCACCTCCTCCCATTAGTCTCTCATGTCTGGAACGCAATCACACCGTGCCCATCCGTGCCTTCGTTTCATTGCTGTCTGTTTTCCAAACGTCGCCCCTCATTTTATCATCCGATTCCTCGCCGAATTACTCTCCAAAGACGAGGAGGGCACCGTGCCAACTCTGCAAAAACTGGCTGTGCGAAAAGTGTTCGAGACAGCGATGGAAACGGAGAAGAGGAAGTTTGCGAGATTGATCAGAAGAACAATAAGAGGTGAGTGAGTCTGTTTATTTTTTGCTTTTCTCATTGGTTTGCTGTTTCAGTCGATGAAATGGCATTGAATGGACTTATTTTCTGCGACACACCAATCTTGAGAAAGTTTATGATCGATACTATCCTCGTGCCGGACAACTTGTATCAGATGACAATTATGCGAAGAGGTTTTACAGTTCAGGATGGGATCACCGGACGCATAATTATCGGAAGAGTCTTCAAATGGAGGAAGGTTCCGATCAACGAGCTGCTCCTGTTCATCCTTCAAGCAATGAACACCGATAATAATTTTGTCGTTAGTCTGGAGAGTGAGTTTGCGTTTCTGACGCTTTCAAGCCAAACTTCCTTCCTTGCAGCAAACGTGAAGCACTTTACCAAAATGCATACGGCGCTCGATAGGATTCCCCGGGTGGTTTGTCCTGATGTTACCTTGAACCGTCACGAAACGAGAGCGTCGGAATGCGCGTGGTTCTTTGAGCAGAAAACCACCTAATAAGTACCTATATTTAATGTTTCTATATCAGCTGTTTGTTTAATAAACATTGTCTTCAACCTAATTCGGCGTCATACGAATCGAGGTCTCGTCGTGGCTGCTAGTTACTGCTAAAGATTTTAAAAAGTTCAAAAGAATGTTGAAAAGGACATTTGAAGGAGCAACGAGTGAGTCAAGTGCAAACTGAGACGGTCTCGACACCGACCACACGTGGTTTGTGCATGCGGAAACAGCATAGTCGAAAGTTTTAAAAGCAGCAATTTTATTGAGACTTTAAAATGTTTTCTTTCTCTTACTCTCTATTTTTGATATATATACGAAAAGTACTTTTAACAACTACAGTAGACATATGAATATACAGACGACTTAGATAACCGATATAGAAAAAATATGAATATACGTGAGCTTGGGCAAACGATACGGGGGTGGGGTGGCATGCATCAGGGGGTATATATTAATTGGTGGTTGGGAATCGGGGTTTGGGCCAGGTTCTATTTCATCATCTTCAGCGTGATCTTTCGGCCGCCTTGTTGCCAGCGGAGCACGTTGTCCTTCAGATTCACGTCCATCGGCTTCGGACTTTCCTCGTTTTGTATTATCGGAGACGACCATGGGCTCCCGTCCGATTCAGTTGTGTCCGTTTCGCTGGTTCCTGACATCTTCGACTCTTTGACCTTCTTCGCTCGCTTTGTCGTCTGATTATCCTTCTGACTCGCCGAATTTCTCCGTTTTCTGCGGTTTTTCGGCGTCTGCTTTTCTTCGTCAGAATCCGTAACATGACCGAGTGGAAATTGCGTCAGTGGCCGAGTGATTGGAGACGGATTGGAGACGAATTCAGGGGATGAGCACGTTGTGCTGTATTCCGAAGTGGGCGATGTGACCAGTAACGATGGTCTGTCGGACAAGGGAATCGGTAAAGCCGGCTGAAAAGAGTACATTCTTGGTGGTTTCTGGAAAGATAACTCACCAAAGACATTGCGCGCCTCTGCTCCATTGGCGGAATGTTCCAGAAAAGCGGAGGAGGTCCCACGCCATTCGATCTGTCGAGCGGAGAATTTGTGCAACTGAACGAGCCGAAAGGGATCGCAGGGATTGGCTGGGTGCCAAACGCGAGAGGACTGCTCCTGGCACTGTGTTCGTGAATCGTCGCCTGAAAATAAACCTTTTCTGAGGGAATCTGGCTGAAATCCGCTCACTTGTGGACTCGGCGACATGAACCGAGCGATTTCCGGGCCCAGATTGGTGTGCTCTGCGTAACCGTACGAAGGCATTGGCATCTGGAGGGGATTCGGGCACGGCATGTACATTGATTGTCTTCTGAATCCTTCCAGAAGACATTCATTGTAAACCTGAAACAATAAACATGATCACAAAAACAAACTTTCGCAACTAACCTGTGCGGCATTTTTTTCCACGGATTGCTGGTGGGCGGCGATGAAGGTGAGCATTTTCAGGCACTCGTCCATATCGATCTGAACACGAAATTTAGCCTCTTTTTACGAAGAAACGACACAAAAAAAGTGAGAAACTTTTGAATTTTGCGAAACAGATGTCAATTAGTAACTGAGGAAAAACTTTTCCGACAAACAGCCGCGCAAGAAACGAGACTCAAAGAAATTTCGGAAAGCAATGAGGTTTTAAAATTTAAAATTGGCGGTCGCCAATTTTTGCCGCCGGACGGGTCTCGAAACGACTTTGAACAATTCCTTGCTGCTTCTTCAAATATACAGTACTCATCACGAATAATCGAGGCTACCCCGAATCAAAAGTGTCCGAACTGTGCCGAATCAGTATCAGAACTGTGCCGAATCAGAACCGATCGGCTGGTGGTTTTTGTTACATGAAGTCATGTTTTGATCGGTTCTGATCCGGGGTAGCCTCGAATAATCTGATCAACTTGTGCCCATTTTGAAAGTTTATAATAAATTTTTAGACTATTTTATATCACCTCAATTGTTCCAGAAGTTTTCTCAAAAACTTGATTTCATTTCGAATTTCCCAATACCTTACCCATGGTATCCAGAGCTGACAATATGGGCGTGGCCTCGGCCAAATGGCGTTTTCATGAATTGAGCAGGTTTTCTCTGATTTTTGTGGTCAAAGGCGATGAAACATGATTGTTCGACATGAAAACACACTAATTCTCAGAATTAATGACGTTTTGGCGCATTTTCGCGAACTTTGCTTTTTCGCCTTCGCCGCCGATAGCCGCCTAAAAACCGCACTTCTCATTTTGCGCTTTCTTGACCGTTTTCCGACAGAATTTGTTTTAAGAATGATAAATCACGTGAATACAAGCATTTTGAGCGCTCGAACCGCGAAAATTACCGAAAAGCAACTGAAATTCACGCAGTTTTAGCCAAAAACATTCAAACGGATAAATGTGATTTGCGACTTGACCAAATTTAACGCTCTAGCGCTTAAAAAAATTCGTAATGGCCTATACAATCGGTCTATCGAGAGACAAATGAGAAATTGGCGGTTTTTCGTGGCTAATCTGGCAAAGAACACAAATTTGGCTGTTAAAATTTGAATTTCGCGCCAATGTATCGCTCTATTGGGCGGGGCGCACTTGCGCCTATTGTAAGCTCTGGAGACCGTGTACCAATGAAAGAAGCTTGACTAATTCTTCGTGTTGAGCTTCGATTTGACTGAAGTGTTTTTTGCTTGCTTCGAGCGCCTCCTTGCTGGCCTCGAAGGTATCCGACAGCTCCTTTTTCGACGAACTGATCAGATCACCGAGATCAGAAGAGAACGAACTGATCTGCTCGTCAAATGAGCTCTGTCGAACCGTTGACGCCTTCAGTTCGTCGACAGACTCTTGAATAGTTTTTTGTTGTTCTCCAATAGTCGTCGGAACATGAACAATAGTACTGTCTGTTCTTCGAACAGGCTCTTTGAGACGTAGTTCTTCTTCATATCCTTCTCCCATTCCACCCGACTTGCTTTTACTTCGGCCTTGATCATTTCCGAAATGATCTCATCCACTTTCACAACCTCGAGCTCTTTTTTAATTGGGATCTCTCGAATAGTCTGATTATGCTGACGGGGAAGGTTTTGGTCCGATTGAGGAGTGCTGGACTGACGAGTTGCGGATAACCTGACGACAGACGTGAACGCCGAAGCGGATCCGGATCCAAATTGGTTCGTCTGAATATTTTCTGATCTAGCTCGTTTTGCTCTAAGACCTCAGTTATGGTCTTCTAATCAGTAAAACCTATTAGATCGACTGAAAAAACTCACGTCCTCATAGCCATAGGCCAAGTTGATTGCCGGCGGAGCTTGGTGGTACATATTGCCAGATTCTAAACTTGACCGAGATCAATTAATTTAGCTGTTAGTAATAAAGCGTTAGTGATATTAGAAGCGTTAACAAACACGTGCAAACTTCATGACAAGATTTTTTAAGATGCCAATTTTATTCGTAATAATAACAACAGCAATGACATAATATAGATAGGAAAAGTAAAAGTAAAAAGATAACACAACAAACACAAAATAACACGACAAAGGGAAGAACAATAATTAATAAAAGTTAAAGTTTTGCGTGCTTCCCATTTTCCATTCCATCCGGATCGTTCTTCCTCTTCGCGACTCTCGCCTATAAAATAGATATGAAGAGGGAAGATTAGACATTTTCCAATTTTTTAGATCCTCTTACCTGCATAACCGGCGCCCTGCTGGTGGCAATGCAGCATGACTCCTGAAATCAACACAATATTAGCCCGGGCACCTTTCCAAATCACTATTACCTCTTCAATCTGAGCTAGTTTGAGGTAGCCCTCCATCATCCGTTTATTCTTCTCCGCCACCTTCATCTGATTGCACTCCACGTTAGCGAGACGTCTTTGCGTTTTCTTGAGTTCGGCAGAGTACGCGAGCTCGACCTTCGGAAGCGCTTTCTCCAGCGAATGGACTCGAACGTGGAAGGAGTTCCGCAGGTCTTCGATCTTTTTGATCAGTCCGTCTTTGACTGCCTTCTGTTCCGTCGTTGCTCCGCACAGTTGGTTGCGAAGTGTTCGAATATCGTCCGATCCCTTTGTCAACTCGTTCTCAACTTTCTTCACTTTTTCATCCAACTTGAAATTAACTTTCTTAACCACGCCGACCTCGATTTTTGTGGCAAACCGTTTTTCTGAATTCTCCTTTATCTCGATCATTATTTTTTCAAAATGTTTCATCTCCTCTCGATTTTCAGCAATTCTTGTTTCGACATTGTCCACTTGAGTTTTGACCACACTCAACTCTTCTTTGAGGCTCTTCTGATCAGCAACGCTTTTCATCATTTCCGTCTGATTCGTCTCGATCGCCTCTAATCTCTTTTTGAGAGCTTTCACCTCGTTCTTTTGCTGTTCAATCGACTTCTGCATTTGACATTGTGTGGCCACGAAGTTCTTCATCATTTTCTCCGAAGTTGTCTGATTTTCGTCTTCGAGATATTTAATTCTCTCGAGAGCGTTGTCCAAAACTCTTTTGAAATTCATCTCCATATCCATTCTCTCATTTCGCAGTTTGTCGAGCTCCGCTCTCGACACTGAGTTCACGATGTGATCGATCAACTTTTCCTCCAAAGTTTTGATCGCGGCACGATTCGGGGTCGGAGCAACCGGATCTTCTTGTTGTGGCGGGATGATCGGAGGCATCGGAAACTGTGGATATTGAACATTCGGAAGCGTTCCACTGCATGGAATCTGCATAAAATCCGTGAGAGAAGTGGTCGGGGCTGATAGCGCCAACGCCGGTGAAGACAGCACACCGAGACTGGCAAGGTAGCGGTCCAACCACGTGTTCGGGCCCTCATCGGAATGTTCCTGAGAAAGGTAGTATGAAGGTTTCAAAGTCCTGCGATGGTAGATTACCGGGACTTGGAGTGTGGCAGAGAAGTGGGGCGCCGGGTAGATGGTCATGGATCTTTGTGGAGCCTGAAACGAACAATGTCAAAACTATGATTCGAACTGAACATGCATTCTCATGCAATTGGAACACCGGGTCTGAGGACGTGGCAGATGACTGAGGTGTCGGGTAGTTGTTATCCATTGTGGAGTTTTGTCTGAAATACAACAAAGTCGAGGACTTTGACCCAATCAGGAAACGTGGAAGAATCAAGTTGAGAAAGAAGGAAATTGCTTGGAAAACAGGAAAAATGATGAGCATTCTCTTGATGCTTCGCGTAAATCTGCAGACATCTGAGTTCCCACCGAAATCTGAAAGAAGAAAAAGTAAGTTCTCTAAAGTTTCTCAGTAGTCATAAACTTATCTTCTTCAGCGTTGCCCTCACACCGAAAACCATGTGCGCCTGTAGCCAGAGAATTCAGTTATCAGAAATATGTAACGTGTCACAATACACTCAATAAACACACGTTTGTGGAAGATCCAGTTAACGTATTCATAGACCAAGACAGAATAACACGACAGAAAAGGCAGAAGGCACTTAGAAAAAAGAAAAGTGAACAGGAGTGATACTCAAGAAAACGTAGTACTCCGAGTCGTGTAGAAAAAAAACACAGATTCGGACAAAAGGGAAATAGAGGAAGAGAAAAGTGTAAGATTGGTGAAAAGCAAAGGTCTCTCTCCTTTTTTCTAGACTAACCCTACCGAAAGGTACCAAAAAGAAGTAGTGCTTAAAATGTGGGGACAGTTACATATCGATTGGCTGGTCATTGAACATGTCCTGGTTCAACAGAAGCGGATCCACAAGGAATTGAGGCTGTTGTCCGAGGTATTGCTGAAACTCCTGTCCTTGTTCCTGATTCTCCGGTCTCTCGGCTTCCATCTCGGCAGGAGCATCAGCTTCGCTTCTCTTCGCCGGTCCTCTTCTTCTCGGAGTTCTGCACTCGGGCGACACATGATTGTCCTCTGCCATGTACTTCTGATGGCCTTTCTGAAAATAGATCTGTCGCTGACCGAGGGCAGGCGTGAAACATACCGCTTCTCTCGATGGGTTTCGACGAGAAGACGACGAGAGACGATTCTGTGAACGACGCTTTAAAATCTTTCACTCAAACTGATTTACCTCATCGAGGAGAGTCGATTGGTCAACAATGCTCCGATTGGCAGTAATGCGTCTCCGTTTCTTCGACGTCGACTCTTCCTCGTCTCCGTTGAGTCCATCCCCCGCCGCACCGCTGCTCTGCTCGATCTTCCGCGGACGATACGTCTGTCGGACTCCTCGTGCCCTTCCTCTTCCTCTGCGAGCTGGAGTGCAGGGAACGACTTCCATGCCGGCGACCTCGGAAAAACTGAACTTGTACGGTGTCTGCGCGTTGTTCGATCCGGATAGAACCTGAAATCTAACGTTCAATTGATCTTATGCTCATCCGCTAGTTCAACTGACCGCTTCGACGAATGCGTGTGGCTCAGCACCGGAAAGTTCGGCGAACTTTGCCAGTTTTTCGCACGCGTTCTGCAGCTTCTGTCCCAGACTCATCTTTTCAGCCAAGTGAACTATACGAGACTTCTCGGCGGACTGCTCCACATTGTCGAACTTGTTCTGCAGGTGCCGATGGCTCGTCTCTGCCTTGATGTACTTGGCTTTGAAATCGTTTCTCTCGTCCTCAAGTTTTCTGATGTCTTCCGCCTTCATCTCGCTCAGTATTCCGTCGCCGATCTGAAATTTAAAAGTCAACACGATTTCTCAAGATTCAAGAGCATCATCATCACTTTGTTCACATCCGCCGACGCCTCGAGCTTCTTCTTCATCTCGATATTCTCCTGCGTGATCTCTTCGTTGCGCTTTTGAAGATTGTCGATGATTTTATCTTTGTTTTTCATTTCCGCTTTCATTTGCTCCGTGTCGCCCATTATTCCGGCTGCCTTAACGAGAGTCATCGCCCTATCCAACTTATCGTTCGTCTCTTTGAGCTGGGCCTGCAGTTTCTGGTTCTCGGTCTCCGGGCTTGTCACCATCGGGGTGCTTCCTCCGGAGTCCTTGAGAACCACAGAGCTCATGCCCGGCAGCGTCTGAGGAGGCGGATCACTCATGGTCGGAAGGCCGCACATTCCGGAATAGTAACTGGGTTGAGCCTCCAAACCGTTCTGTAACCAATTCGACCTGATTAAATGATTAAATGCTGAGAACCACTCACGTAAAGGTTGAAGCAATACTGCCCCTGATTCATTGTTTCGAAGATTGCCCAAGTCTGAAATGAACGATATTTCTGGACATGTTATGCGACATAAGAGGAGGATAATTCGACGGGATAGAGCAATTGAATGAGGAAGAAAATGAGCGGGTAAACAGCTTCAATGAATTTCTGGAGGCGTCAAATCTGGAGGGAAAAGGTAAAAGAAATGAAATGGAAAGGAAATTGTGTCCAGCCACGACGATGAAGATGTTCGGAGTATCTTAAAAAAACAGTATTGCTAAGGGCAAGGAGCGATGGAAAACTCATCTTCTGGGTGTCTTCCTGCTCGGCATTCCATTCGCTTCTGTGTGGCATTAAGAGTGTGCTGTAAAGGGCAAGAAGAGTCAAAATGAGAAGACTACATGACAGAAGGGTTAAATGTTCATGAGATAGAAGTTGTTAGGAGGTAGGTATAGTGAAAGGTTAGTACAGTATAAGCATGCTGGTTAAATGGGAATTTCAAAAATGGAAGTTATCCTCTTCCTCCTCCTCCTCCTCCTTCTCGCGCTCTTTCCTTTCCAGTGCTCCATTCGCAACCGCTTTTCTTCTGGCCCACGACTCTTTCATGGCTTCGCTTATACGTGAATGTCTGATCGGCTGAAAATAGTTTTAATTCGAAATAGGTTTGCTCAAAAACCAACTCAACCATTTTGCGTTTTACAGGAGTATCCTCTTCTTCATCCGATTTATTATCATGACGACGACGTCTTCTTCTACGTCGAACCTGTAATTCAAAAACATTCGAGGTTCTATTGGCAATTCTTTTCGAAATTCTGACAATTTCGCTCCAATTTAGCACTGAATTCATGCGGAGAGCGGAAGAGCGCGATTGCTTACCTGATTATCAGAAGTTCCGCCGATGAGGCCAGAAGTCCCATCTCCAGAAGCATATGAAAACTGAGCATCAGGTATCTGAATATAAGTAAACTGTTTGACTGAATGGGATCTCGATTACTAACCGAGGCAAATCGCTCATTCCGTCCGTTTCGCAACTGATTCAGTGCACGTGCCAAACGCTCTTCTTCTGTGGACAGCGGGCAGTCAATGTTTTGTCCTCTACTCGAAAAAGAAGGAGATATTTTAGGACTTAGAGGCCAGTTTTTGTTCATTTCCAAGTGTGAAGCGATCTAGGAGAGAACCTATTCGTCTTGTTTTGTCTTCTTCAGAACTCACATCCTCATAACGGATATTGTTGAAGATGGGAGTTATCTCATTCGATGCAGATTGGCGACAATAAGGATTTCCAAGAGGAACAATAGAGAAAGCCGAGCCTGGAGGCATGAAGAACGGATCATTGATCATGGGATTTATCTGAAAATCGATGCCACAATCATTAAGATATCTGCATTGAGCCGCCTTACTTGAGCATATTTGAGCCATGAGTTGGGGAGCTGATTTGGATTCTTATACTGATGCTCATGCCACGGGTTCAAATGGGCAGGTACTTTAAAGTTCCCCAACAAGTGCTGATAGCTCGGCGGAGAACTCCAAGGACCATGTTGCTGCATAGGGATATAAGGATTGTTGTGTGCGCTGTCCATGGTTCCCTGTAATGTTGTGACTGTCAGAACCCGACTCCAGTGGTCCTTTTGATCTTAGACTTGAGCAGAAGTCAACTTAGGTCGGAGCCAAGATCAAAAGGACCACTGGGCCTGGAGTGCCGGATGCCCAGGCCTGAATCTTACTTGCTGCCGAGCTGCCAGCCATTGAGCAGAAAGGTACGGATTGTTGCTTGGATGTGGTGGCTGGGCATCGCGAAGAGATTCGGATTGTGATGGAATCGGAAACCACTGACTTCTCTGCAAAAACGTGTTTCAGAGTTTTCCCTCAATGAACTCGTTACCTCTTCAAGAAGTTGATCCTGTTGCAAATGTGGTGGAGGTTCATTTAGGCGGTCACTCATTTTGAAGAGAGAATCTGTTCTGAAAACAGATAGGAAGACAAGAAATAGCAGAGGAAAATAGGTATGAAAAGCGACAAACAACGCCATAACAGTATCAGGACAAGGTTAAGAACTTTGAGTAATACTCACAATGATTTATGCTTGAAATGAGGAATGGTTGGGGATAATGAGTTAATTACGGTCACTTCTTCTTCTTGAGCTGCTTCTTCTCCTGTGCCTCTTGCTCCCTTTGAGCGTTCTGAGTGGCCATCAACTTGTCCAACTGCTTCTTCAACTGAAAACTTTTCTTCCAACAGCAGTTACCTAGAATTCGAACCCACCGCGTCCTCCATCCTCATGTCTCTCATACGGCTGACTGCTTCCACTTCCGAGCACGCTTCGAGAGCCTCCTGAAAGCAGAAAGGTATTGTTAGGAACAAGCAGAAACTCATATCTCACCTCGAGCTGCCTCATCGTCTTGATGAGCTTCTTCCGGAACTTGTTGGTCGATCTATCGTTGCAGTCAGTGAGTGTCAGAATTTTCTTGGCGCCTGCCAGTTGCTCCACAATGATTCTTCGTTGCTCCACAATGTTTGTTTTCAAAAACTCTGCCTTTTTGATTTTCCGAAGTTCGTGCAAGGCATCCATCTGAAACAGTGAATTGGCGGATACTAGGGGACAAAACATGGTAAGAGAAGTATAAAATCGCGGGATAAAACGCGTTCGAAATCATCAGGGAGAAATGAAACTGAAACAAACACATTTATGTATACAGTATGCTGAGTGCAATGCCAATAAATGAGGAGGGGAAGTGACAACAGAAACAGAGAAGAATATGTAATAGTGAGGAAATGCAGTATACTTACACGATCAACTCTTTGGCAGTTTACTGGGGAAAGAAGCTTTGGCGCATCTGTAAAACAACAATGTATATGTGCTGACCATTGTCAAACTGACCGAGCAGTACAAGGATTTGAAGAACTCCAGCTCTTGGCTTAGAATCCAATTCTGCTGCTTTAGTTTTTGGTTCTCCTGGAGCATCATCAAGATCTCCGGAATCGGAGGCGACGGTTGAGCGTGGAAGTTGTTGGGTTGGTACGTTGAGAAAGCGGACGTCATCCGATTAACTGGAGTCGGATAGTGCAGCATCTGAGGGTGAGCCGGAGCAGCATGCTGAGCTGCTGCTCCGGCATCCGGAGTTAGCCCATGAGGCAGAACTGGAGGCTGAACTTGAAACAGAGCCTGAGTTCGAGCCAGAGTTTGAGCCGTTACTTCAGCCAGAGTTTGAGCCTGGAGCACAGTTTGAACATAAAGTCTCATCGAGTCCAACACAGCACTCGACATTGTCGCGGAAGGCGAGTTCGAGGCGGTTCCTTCCAAACTCGGAGGAGATTCTTGCGTCGGAGCATCCTGCTGGACAGCTTCAGGAGAGACGGTGACGTGGGGGACCATCTTGTGCTCCGAAGATTGAGGTGAGAGCACCGGCATCTCCTCATCTAACGGCTGATTCTGGAAACAGAAAGTGCATTGAACTGGAAGCCTTTGAATTTGCATACCGGATCGAATAGTTGCACGATGATTTTGGTATTCGGCATGAAAGTTGGAGAAGCTGAGAAAATGAATGGAAAGGGAAGTAAAAGTAGAGAAAGAATGGAAGAGATATTTCGATAGATAATACTACCAAACAATTCTAGAATCTAAAAATCCAATGATAATCTTTTATACCGGCGAATATTGAAAAACAAAACCGTAACTAGAATTGAGATGAAAATGAGAATGAGGAACTAGATATGAAGATCAGAATGAAACGGGTAAGACTAAAAGCAGAAACCCGGAATGTCTAAATTGGAAGCAGAGACTAGCGAGAAAAGAAAACAAAAGTGCTTCTAATGAATGAACTTTTGAGAGTGGAGAGACTTTCTGCCGCTCATCAGAGCAGCCAGACGGTTGCGACGTTCGGGAATGTTCACGAACTGATGTCCGTCGAATACCTCCGCGTTCGGCCACTGAGCAGGAGGCTCCGGACACTCAGAAGCGACTGACGGACAGCGGGACGGGAGAGTCGAGCAGACGGATGTGATGGTGCTGGATCGGCTGCAGCCGTCGATCGCCGAGTCGCCGTCGTCTTCGGAGGAGGAGGCGGTGAAGCCTAAAAGGTACAATTAGCGGATTAACTTCATGAGACCTCGGATATTTTTAATCACGACACACCTGTTGTTGCCACCTTCAATTCTAACGTAGGAGGATTACGCGGGGACCGAAAAGAAAAGGAACCGACGTGGCAGGTGTTGCCAATTATATGTATATTCGTACCATAGATTGAGGACCGATTTGCTCCGACGTAAGGCTGTTCGCTTCGGGCCTTCTTGAACTGCTCCTCCACCTTCAAATCTGCAAGCGGGAGATTATGAAGATCATTAAAACCCAAAACAAAAAACTGACGGTGTCTGAGCCGCGCCTCAATTTCAGCCTCTGTCTCCGAGTTCTCGAGGTCCACCTCCTTCTTCTTCTCGGATTCTTCGGATTTCTCGGCGAAGAACGTGAACGCACTATCTACGGACCCCGTGGATGGCGGGCGGGCTTCTGGTTTCCGATCATCCGTCGATCTTCTGAGCTTTCGCAAAGAGCTGCGAGCTATCTGAAGGATGAAACGAACTGGCATGATTACCTGAAAGTGATCTAATTAGAAAGAGAGGACGGGGAGGGGAGAGCGGGCGGTTGGAAAGCAATAGAAGACACTGACGAGAAGGAAAAGTGGGAAAAGTTGCGAAGAGGTGTGAGGCGGAAGTGATGAGAAAGGGAGAAGGGGATGGAGATTAGGATTTGAAGGAAAGAACGAGAGTACTTATTATCCATGAACTCTACTCTACAACTCTACTTTACAATAACCATTTTCGATTAACCGTACCATTTTCCACTAATATTTGTCACAAAAGTAACCAAATTATCACCACTTCAATCCGTTCCCTCTGTTTTCTCCCTCTTCTTCTTCTTCTGCTCTGCTTCTTCACTCTCACGCTCACTCTCAACAGCTTCATTCTGTAGATTTTATTCTGTTTTTGACATATTTATCCTTTTTCGAACTCACCAAGGTTTCTTTTGTCTTATCTCTCAATTCAAGACGCTTCAGAATCGCTTCGACACCTTCCACTTCCTTGTTTCTCTTCAACTGAAAGCAGTATCCAATTCTCTCGCTTCACTCAATTTCCAACCTTTTTCTCATTCTTCCTTCGTTTGTTCTTAGTCGACGGACGATCGTAGGGCTTCTGGAACATGTTTCAACTACGCTCCACCGCTTATTTTCGCTCTACCCACTTTTCTTTCAAAGAAACTACTGCTCCACCGGTTTTCTCTGCGAGTTTCGGGTCGTGGATATGGCTCGAACTCTTTGTGAAAGCCCTCCGGAATCTTCAGATCTACTTCCACCGCTGGGTCATCTTTCATTTGAATCTGCAATAAGAAAATATCAAATTGTCAAAGAGCAGAATGCCGCACTTTTTTCACCTCATCTTCTTGACTTTCAGCCGTCATTGTGCACAAAAAGGGATTTGCTCAAGACCAAATTGGATTAAGAGCAAATAAAATTGAAAAGAATAAAAGGTATTAAGCACTGTTCAGAGAGCAGGTAAACATGGAGATAAATGAATAAAAGAGCGATGATATTTGGATGCTTTATGCGAAAGTTTTTCTCATACTGCAAAAGTTCAGATAATTGGCGAAATGTTTTCGATATTTTCGTTGTTTTGCTCTTCCTGAAAACGTGTATTGTTTCTACCGTAGATCTGCTCAATCTTTACCATTTTCTGCAAAAGCTCGTCGAGAGCTCTTCCCGATCCCTCGAGCAGCTCTCTCAGGCTGTCCAGGCAGTCGACCACTTCGTTCAGCGCCGATTGCAACGCCTTTGTCAGCTCTTTTCCTTTCGAGGAGCCAGAGAAGACGATCCCTGAAATCGAAAAATGTTGCAGATGAGTTTGGAGGTGAGAAGTATGCATACCCTGGCCGAGCATTTTCTCCACGTGCGTCAAGTGATCCATCACCACTTTCAGAGTCTGACCGTGAGTTTCGATGGCGGCTTCCAAGCTACTCATGCTGGAATTTAAGGTTAGGTACAAAAAACAAGAGATGACAATAAAGGTAATAGTCCAGATGCAAACAGGTTATGAAAGAAGGAAAGAAACAGAGAGGTCAAAGTGTTCACTAAAAGCAGGGGAACATATGTGAGGTAAGATAATCGAAAAAAGACCTGCGGACGGTTAAATTGTGGAAATTTCACAGAATCGCGGTGAGCTCACATCCCAGAATCGCCCGCGGCAGTACCAGCAGATTTGGTTTCTCTGATTTCTCTAGGCAATTCTGGAATGGAAGAGGCTATATCGAAATGGAGGGGCGACTATAAAATTGATCCGTGAGATGGAGATAAAACTATCATTTTCCGTTTCCTAGGCATGCTCCTCTTCCTCTTCCTCTTCCTCTTCCTCTTCCTCCTCCTCTTCCTCCTCCTCTTCCTCATCTTCCTCCTCTTCTTCCTGTCCATCAACTGCCGGTGCTTCTTCCTGTCCCTTCTGCGCCTGTCCTCCCTGTCCGTTCTCTGGCTCTCCTCCTTGCCCGGCATCCTGTTGTGGAGCTAATCCATAAATCTGAGACACGTGGAAAGCCGGCAAGGTTTCTGAAAACATGCATACGTTTTCGTTGTCAGGCGACGCAGTTTACCAGGTTCATTGGAAGTGAGCATTTTCATGAATACAGCAAAAGCGAGTCGGTCAGGCGCTTGCAAAACGTGATAGTTGTTCTTCTGAAATTTCAGTCAAGCCGGTTTAGAGTTGTCTTCCGTCAGATTCAATTACTATGGTCATGAAAGTGATGGCGTCGACGAAGGTCTTGTAAGCGGCGACAGTGCTCTCGGCGCTTCTGTACTTCTCAGTGGCCTCTTCCATGGTGCATCTGCCCCGCTCAGCTGCCGTGCAAAGTTCTGTAAGACAAATTATTTTTAATATTGAAGAGCCACTGATACTTTGCCGATAGGCGCCCAACTCGACGGCAATGGTATGGTAGGCCGCAGTGACTTTGCCGACGTGGTTGACTTGCATTTGCTGTACAGTTGTGATTGCATACGTCACGAGAGTTTGCTCCGCTATTAAATCGACAAAATTCATCTCTGGAAGAAAGTGTTAGAAAGGTGTTAAACAAAAAGAGAAAACAATGATGAGATAATCTTTTGCTGTGGTAACAACAGGTATGAGAACAAAAAAAGAAGAGAAGAGAATGTTGGAATGGAAGACGCAACTGTTCATTTTCGAGAGTTTAGACCTTGATTAGCTAAAATAAGTGAAGATGAGAAGTTAGAGAACAGCAAAGTTCTATTGTTCTTCTCAATGATTTTTGTCTCTACTAAGATGTTAAGGCATGGATTAATTCCTTAAATGTTAAATCGAAAATGAAATGAGAAACAATTCTGTTCATACAGGTGAATTTAAGAGAAGAAAAAGGAAGAAGAAGAAGAAGAAGAAGAATAAATGTGTGCGCATGCAGTGGAATTCAATTCTCAAAAAAAAAACCGTCACTGGGATTGATGATATTGTGGAAACATTGTCGGGTTCCAGAACGGATTGTTGTACGGAGGGAAGACCGGGTTGTCTGCAAATTGAAAGCAAATTGAAGGTATTCCCAGTTTCACGCCTACAGTTCATATAATCGGGTAGGAATGTCAACGGTGGCATGTATGGATTTGGCAGATAGGGAGCAGCAATTCCGATGGCCGACAAAGGAACTGGAGCAATCGGAGGTGCAATTGGGAAGGAGAACACATTCGGTTGGGAGCGGTCCTCCTGGAAAGGTGGAAACAGCCCGCTCAAGATCGGAGGCTCCGGAACTTTAGGACTCTCTGGATCTAGGCAGATGACCGACCGGTTGTCGTCTTCATCCGTTTTGTCCGTGGAGCTATCGTGCCACACCGGTAATGGCACAGTTTCTTGAATAGCCAGTCTGAGTGTTGGGCGGAAAACTGGGAGAATGAGATGTTGAACCGACATCTGAGTCTCATCTGACTGATGGCTCTGATTGCTATGCTGTTCCACTGTATCCAGCTCCGAAGTGTGCTCAACAGAGAAACCTAGCTCCTCCTGTGGCTCCTTGGAAGAGTCCTCCAACACTTTCTCCAACGCCTTCCGCAATTCGTGAGCCGACACCTGATCCTCCATATTCTGCTTGGCTTGAGCCTCGAACAAGTTGCTCGGCGCGTCCTCCCAATTCAAACCGTTTCGGAAGTAAAAGCTCTGGGTGTACTCAGTGTCCACTTTGTCCGTTGTTCGGGTGCCTGTCATTTCTCTCTGAAATCGTGAAGGCCTTGCTAACGGTGAGAATGAGGAAGTTACCGATTCTCGAGGCGTTTCCCATTTGCTCTTCTTTTCCTCGACCTCCTGCTCTTCGAAAGGATCCTCTTGCTTTCGTTTGATCTGAAATCCTTCCATCTGCTCATCCTCCACCTCTTCTTCATCTTCCATTTCCTCTCCATTTTGATTGTCAGCATTTTTTCTCAACTCCTGAGATGCAGTGATAAGTACTATGATTGTTGGACCCGGTACTCACCTCCCACATCCTTTTCTCTTCTTCCACATCGAAAAACTCCACATCTATAATTTCAGAAGACACGCTGTCCTCATCCTCATCGATTGGATTGACATTTGCCACAAAGTTTTCGACCTAAATATCAATAGAGTTACACTGGGAATGGTGGTTCAGAACTCACTGTTCTACTGTTAAAGTACTGGCAGTTGGTGAAACAGTCAAAAGGATCGGAGGGAGTCATGAGCTGCTCATGCTCCTGCTCCGCATTCTGACTGCTCAGCTCATCTATCTGCTCATCAATAATCTCCTCGACGGTCCAACTCGTCATTCTGGGCTTCAACTGCTCGAGCACCTTCTCATAGTTCTGCTCCGCCGCAGTTTGTGATTCCTCTCCGATAGTCACCTCTTTTCCCACCGCAATTTGAGCGCTACTGATTAGTACGAACTGAAAATATGAGCTTTGTGGATTATTAATCCTTTTTCAATCTGTTCGGTTTACCGGATCGCCAACCAGTGCGGTGGAAGCGAGCATTTCTCTCTGGCGAGGAGTAGAGCACGATGAGCACGGATCCATGTTGGCCCAAGTCTGAAATTTTATTTTATTTTGATATTGTAAACTGGAAATCACATGAAAAAGATTAAAAAAAAGCGACAAGAACGGAGAGGAAAGAGTTTACATGGCGGAGGGAACAGACGAGAGCTGGGCATCCAGTCATACACTCGAACAAGATGGTTGTAAGACAAAACTGAATTATGATGCCCAGCTCTAGAGAAAATGGATTAAAGACAAAATCAAAAGTAGCAGGAAAAAACGGGGACAGAAGACGCAGTTGACACGGGGATCTGAAAATGAAACGTCATGGAATCAAATTGTGCTCTACATTTAGTTACCATAGGAAACGGGGATTCGGCTCTGATCTTTCTGTTCGGCATCAGAATGTTCTCGATTTGACGATCGGCTCATGTTCGCGTCTCCTAAAAACGATTAGTGATTACACATACAGTGACGTGCAAGTTTCAAGCAAAATAGATAGATATCATCGTCCCGAAGAGCTGACGGGTAAGTGTGAGCAAGAGCAATCAATCATTGGTTAGTAAAGTTTACAGAAAACTGTTATTAGGATGATAGTTGTGGAAGGAATGTTGGTTAGTTGAGACGACGGAACGGAACGCTAGACTTCTCAAACATCAAGGGTGGCTGCTTGCTAACGCACCATGCTCTTTCATTGGGGATGACGGATGAACAGAAAGTAAATGAGGAACAAAACGACGAGGATGATCACGAAAATGGCTCTCTGGAAGTTGGCATGTACATCAGGAAAGCGTCTCTCAAGACTCACGAGAATCTCTCTGATATGGAATGGGTTGACGGCAGGAGCCATGATCATCTCAGACCTTAAGCTGTTCCTCAACATGCATTGTTATCAAATCAAGTAATTATGCACAAAAGGTAAACAAGTAAACAGTTTGGTCTTGAAACCAGATGAAACGAAACAGACACAGAACAAGCAATCATAGCTTTTTTTCTTAAAATAGTACCAGTGATACTCAAGAAACCACAGGAACCACAGCATTCCAATCCCCGCTCGATCGCGCGCGTTTCGCGCACAAAAATTGTTTTCATTTTAAAATTGTGAGTCAAAAACAACGCTAAAATAGCATAATAACGGTGGAAGTTGATGAGAAAATAGATTTTATCTGTTCTAGATCTCATAAGTTATGTTTTAATCGATTTCGACATGCTTTTCACTTGAATGACGCAAAATTGAGTCGACAACCTTCAAAATGTCTCAACTTTCTCAATTGTGCATATTTTTTGACGGTTGAGCGCTTAAATCAAAGCTTTCGACTTGGACAATCGCCCCACGGTTCTGCACTAACAAAATTGTTATGATAAACGAGCGAAAAATTGAAAAACTTCAAGTGAAAGTGAGCGAAACGCGTTAACTCGATCGGGGATTGGAAGGCTGGGGTTCCGTGATAAACATGAAGCAAGGGTAAAGCGGAGGGCAGTCATGCTTTCGTGATTACTGTATATCTGAAACTCTTCAATGTTTACTACGGGGACGCAGTGAGGCTCAACAGCTTTATGTTATCCAGATTAAAGAAAACGTTTCAAATATTTTTACCGGCAAAGCAGACACCTCTGCGCCCCCGTCACTACTCAAAGTCTAACTCTAACTAACTGACTCTGAACTGAAGAATAACAAGTGAATTACATGAAGAGTTGGCGCATATTGCCAACAAACTGGAGAACGGATCCGACTAGCATTCCGATGAGTATCCAGCGAACAGCGTTAAGATACCGACCTTGGAATCTCTGAAATTCAGTGAAATTAGGGCATTAGTACTAGAAAGTGGAGATGTGTTACTTGGATATAAGCTGGGTTTTGCATTGCAATGGGTGTTAAGATGGACGACCTGAGTTTGAAAAAAAGTGCACGAAGCCAACAAGACAGGCATTACAAGATATCATAGGCCGTACTCGAACGGGAAATTAATATAAAGAGTGGCAAACGCTGAGGATTAAGATTTTTTCGTTAACAATTCGAGAAGCGAGCTGAAGTTGCTCAATTTCTGACAGAATACAATAGTTGGGTACAAACGTTTGAAAGGTTGCATCAGCTTTGGGTGAAGAGAATTTGAAGAATAAGGGGGGCCCAAAATGTCAAAAAAGCTTCACCCAAACACTCGGGGGGATTACAGGATTGTAGTTTAAGAATGTGGACGAAGGATTCGGCGTTTATTTGGAGTGTTCTGGCAGTTACGATTCCTAAACATTAAACTTGTATTTAGGTTGTCAACTTGTAGTTCTATTCCACCTTTGACTTGTCGGGTGGCTCCGCCGTTTCCGACGACGACGACAACATTTTCGAAAATCTACTGATATTTGCTTTGAGGAAACTGTAAAACAGATTTCTATTTGGAAAAAGCGAGAGAAAGAGAGAGTAAGAGAGAGAAAGAGAGAGTAAGAGAGAGAAAGAGAGAGTAAGAGAGAGAAAGAGAGAGAGAGAGAGAAAGAGAAAGAGAAAGAGAAAGAGAAAGAGAGAGAGAGAGAGAGAAAGAGAAAGAGAGAAAGAGAGAGAGAGAGAGAGAGAGAAAGAGAGAGAGAGAGAGAGAGATTTGCTTTCAGTCAGATGCAGCTACATTTCAGTGATCGATAATTTTAGTGCTAACGCGTAACCCAAAGGGCTAGTCAGAAAATTGATATCAAAATTTCACATTACAGTCTTCAATTACACACTGTTTCTTCCGTCGTTGTCAGGAAGTTCAACCTACAACACGGACATCATTGGGAAGCCTGAACACGTGAAAGTTCATTTCGCTCAAACATTCTCATCATTCTTCTCATCATTCTTACCCGACAGCCTTCGAGCAGACACCACGAAATCAGACGGCGTGAAATGTGTGTGTGTGTTGGTTTCTGAGCACATATACTCGTTTTTATTCTTTTCCGTGTAGCTTTGCGTGCCTTCACTATTCTACACTTTCTCTTGTTTGTAGCCGGTTGTCCGTGGTAGCAGTCATTTAAGTAGTACCATCAATTGTAACCTGAAAAAGAAACGTTGAACGTTTCACTCTTAACTTTCCACACAGCATACCTATTCCATACATCACTGGCGAGGAGGAAACAATCGCATTGGCCGCGTGCATATTGTGTTCGGCGTGCCACCAGATATACACGTGTGACTCACACACTTATAGCACGGCCACAAAATGTTGTTTTAGTCGAACTACGACGGATTCAGATTATTTGGTGTTCTTCCAATCTAACGATCACATAAACAACGTTCAACTATGAGAACTTGAACTTATCAAACTTATAATTAAAGCGTTCACGTGAATTGCTAATACGTGTGCTGCTACAACTCAATTGTGTGCTAGCTAGTACGTGCTTACAGAATTGAACTATTATCAGTTTTGTTTCAAAAACCTTCTCTTTACCGGTTGGCATGTGCATTATAGAACTCTTCATAACACTGGCTCAGCTGATGCTATTGATATCCCTGAAAAGTCATACTCATTTTTTGAGGTAGCGTTCAAACTAATTACCTTTAAGCTAGATACTCTCAAATCGCTGATTGATGTTAAGAATGTGTTCAGAAGCGGTGAACCATCGTAGAACGTCTGCGACTGCTTCATCCTGAAATGTTTTATTTCAGTTTTAAGCCATTAACAGACACGAGTAACGGAAAAGTGAGAGATAAAGACAGAGGTAAGGGGAAAAGGAGATCATGGAGGAATAGAAAAAAAATAAAAAAGAGAATCATGATGGACGATTCTCAAGAGCAAATTCATTCATGTAGTGGAACCATGTGTTGAACTGGAAGAATTCGTCCTGAAAACTTTCACATTGGCGATGATCTCTTCCTTTCCGCTTACCATTGTTAATAGACTGTCCAGCACTTTGATCTTCTGATCCCCGACAGTTTCTGGATCCGGAGCTGGAATGCGTTTCCGATCGTCAGCAGTCATACTGAACACAGTTCCTACAAGTACGTATTAGGGGGAAACAAAACAGGAAAGAGGTACAGTAATGCCAATTGACCTATGGCTTTTGGAAAAAATATGAAAAAGTTAGTTTGGGTGAATAAATTTATGAGAAAGGCACTGCACAACAAGAACGGCAACAGAAAGTCAGTCACGTCCGTGAGCCATTCTCGCCAAAATCAGATGACGATGGGCGTTCTGTAAGCTGAGCCTGTAGGCGGCTACAACATGCTCACACACTACCAGCCAACGAATGTAGTTCATCCACTGACGCGCGACTTCGTTCTGCGCCTCAACGGAATAGCCGGTGTGAAGAGAGCGGGGGCGACGTGGACGATCGGCGGGGAGCGGGACGATCGGAAGGAGCGCGGCGAAAGTGCCTGTGTTGATGGGGTAAGTGCGTCCGTTACCACCCATTTTTGGTCTAGAACACAGAACACGATAGATATTAGGATAGGAAAGGACAAGAAGGAGAAATAAAGAAACCGAAAGCGACGGGTGGGTTAACAGATAAGAAGACAGCAACGAAGTCAACCATTTTATTGGTTAAGGAGATAGAACGGGTAGAGCACTTCAAACGCCTCTAAGAATGTCTCGCCGAAAGCATTCATGCGATACAGGATCGCAAGACGGAACCCCTAAAACAAGAGGTTTCTAGTTAGTTTAGTAGTCCCGGTACCTCCAAAACGGCGTGAACGGGGGAGCGGTTGATGACCGCGCTGTCGGTAGCGGCGATCCGGCGCAGGAGATCCGCGTTAGTGAGGTTCTTAAAGTTAGTCTATCTAGCGAAAACAGTGGAATAAGGAGAAGAAGCTTACATCGGACGGGCGGAGGGCAGCTGGTCCGGCCATTTTGAGGAGGAACTGAAAGAGCACCACAAATCACAATCACAGCACAACACAAAGTATGAGGCATGCAAACTAGTAGTAACAATGTGAAGGTTCATTTAAGTTTTCCCTTTTTAAAAGTTAAAACATCACAGGGGAACCCGGTTGACCGCCTGCTGCACAGACTCCCCAAACAGACGCATTCGCTGACGGACCGCCCGGAAGAAGCGCTGAAAGAAGAGCAAGGAATAGGGGAAGGAACCACTAGACACAACGACAATATTCACCCCAATTCTGCTTCTCCTCGAGTTGTCTTCACTCAGTGGATGGTTGAAGGCTGCCAGGCTCTGCAGAGTTTGAGCGGAGGCGCCGTTCTTGAAAAATAATTGGAAAGGGAAAGTGTGACGAGGTTTTTGCTTACTGGGTACGGGGATTGATAGGGAACGGGCGCGGCCATAGATAGTCCCAACTGGAATGACTCTGTTCGCGGTTTGAAAGTTATTATCGCTTCCATATTTATTGCAGCACTGTTTACTCTGCTTGGCAGTGAAGTGAAGTAAAGCGATAAAACACAGTAACCGGGTCAATATAATCGTGATGGGGGAAACGTGACTAGAGCGACCTAATATCCGAAATGAAACGGAGATAAACTAACTTGGAGCTCTTGTTGACTGTTGAAGTTGACTGGTTCTTACGAGCTCTGTAATGAAATAAATGAAATAAAAGTCAGCTAAGGAAAGAGGAAAGCGAGCGATAAGAAGCGAACAAAAGAAGGAGATGAAAGGGGAAAGCGTGAAAAGCAAGGGAGAACAGAAGAGAACAAAAAGGCAAACTTTCTCAAAACGGATCGGGTCCTCGGACAGTAAAATCATCTTGGATTCCATCTCGAACCTGAAAATGTGAGGGTTAGAACTGAAAAACCAGGATAGCTTATCTTCTCATCTTCTCCAACATTCCTTGGATCCATTGTTGCCCTTCTTTTCAAGTGCTTCACAAACGTTTCAAGTTTCACAATTCAAAGTGTCCGTTCATTATGCTTTCATGTCGAAAACCAGTAAGAGAGGAAACCGTATAATTTAGAAAAATAACATGGATACAGACTTGACAAGATTGTGTTAGGTTGAGAGGTGAGTGAGTGTGTGAGTGGGTGGGCAAGACGTTGTCGTGCACGAGTGATCAGCTCTAAAACTGTTTCGTGTTAGTCAGTGCATCGCTACATTCTTCTTCTTCTTCTTCTTTGGTAGCCCTTTGATGCTACGTCTACACTCCAACTAATATCGGGAGCTGCTCACGTGAGAAATCGGGTTACTTCTCCTCATTAGTAAAATCCCAAAGGGTGATATCTCTCGGAGTTGGTTTTCAATCGCACCTAGATCTCGTGGAGTAGCATTTGTTTTGCTGCACTCGCCTCTGTTAATTAGAGAAATTTAGGATGTAGCCAGTGACTCATGGACCTTCTGATAGTACATCAAACGAAACAAATACAGTGAAAGTTGAGCCAGCTCAGCTACTTCAAGTGTTATATCTCATCCTGAGCATGCAATAGTTTAATCTTAGAAGTCCCCCGAACATGTACCTGATGCAACAGTTATTCCGACATGCAAACTAACTTCTTTTCTGGCCTCTGCTTCGCATTTCGAGGCAATCAGAGCTGCTACCATCGGCGTCATCCTAAACGGCGTTTTCAGAGGTGGTGTGGTAGTTGACACGCCGTTCTCGTCCTCCCGAATGATATTACTCTTCTGAAACATTGTCATTTGAGTTGAAGACGGACATGAAATAGACTTGAATTATTCATTTCGACCTTTTTTAACTCTTGGGTCGTCTACTGGGTGATCCTCTTTGAAAACTTGAATTCAAGAGTTCAAACTACAATGAGTCACGATTTAGTCACCCAGTCACCCAACAACCAAACTCATGTATGGAAAAGAATGATTGTACCGGCGCACACTCGTGATATGAGCAATGTGCTCGATGCTCAGCGCGCTTACTCACCCCGATCTGCTTTTCCTCGTCCTCCGCCTGCTGTACAGTGTTTTTCGAGCTTGGCATCATGCCGGCGTCTGGAATTGAAGAGAATGTGAGAGATAAAGAAATGAATGGGCGAGAGATGAATCAGCGAACCCGCCAAAAGGCCAAAAGACGCTGCTGTTTTTATGGAACGACTGAACGATGAAGAATGGCAGAGAGCAAGAGAAAGTGGGAGAGAGTGCTCCGTCGGATCTTTCTAATTTGGCTCACTTCAGGCGCGCGACACAAAAAATGAGGGTGCAGAATATTGTTCCACTAAGCAGGGAGTACACTTTTAATCAAGTCTGAAACGGCTAACAATGGGGGTCGCGCTCTTTCTCGAGTTGTGCTGAATGCTGAGGAATGAATGGGCTAAAATAGTGTCAAAAAGTGTGGGGCGTGAAGAATAAAACGTAAACATGTGCCAAAGAGTTCCGGACACCTGTTGCCAACAACCATCTGTCAACGAACAATACGCTACTGAGCCCCTATAGATTTTTCGTTTGGACAAGCGTTGGGGAGTCTGAAAGACACATATAAAGTTCGAAAAGTGTAGCTGTGATTGCATTTGAGAGGGTCGCGAAGCGCATCGAATAGGCCACCAACAACATTACAGCGGCGACAAAAAGTTTGAGCGCAGATTGAAAAGCACCACAGTTTGAGTCGTTGAAAATGAGTTCGCAATGCGTACATCGCATATTATCTGCAAAAGTGTAGCCCTTCAAGTTGTCCTTCGGCACCTTAAAATGAAGTTGCCCTTACATAAACACAAACGTCCTTGAAGCTAGGGACAAAAAGTGTTTGCAGAAAATCGAATCGCGACGTAAGATTTAAATTTGGGAGAGACTTGAATTTAAATTTGAATTCCCAATCAGTCCGACCCGACGGACGTGTGTGTGTGTGTTACATTCTGATCAACGACAGAATTAATAATTTTGCCCTGTTTTCCCCTTCAAATCCCCTAAATGTTGACTGTATCGGTGGCCGAGTAATTGGCTCGGTGATCTTTACGCCAACGACAATTATAACAGATCGGAGAAGGATGGGTAGATGAATTCGAAAATGGAGAAGCTATGTGTCAGATGTATTCAGATGGAGAACACTTTGAAGAACATGAAGGAGAGAAAAAGGAAGAGGAAAGTTACTAGACTGAGTACTAGACAGGAATTTCGAAAGGCAACTCACATGACATCGTTGCTCGGCATCACGCGCTCATCGGCCTCACTTCAACACGAATGGATCACCGAAAGACTGACGGAGAGCGGCGGTAGCGCTGTTGACTCCGCCTCTTTCTCACCACGAGAGAGGCGGGGCAGCGAGCGGCGGCGGCGGACAGAAGTTAAAAGCGGGGGAAGGACTACGGTAGAGGAGAATTCGAGTCGGCGACGGCGCTCCATAAAGCAGATGTTGTGACGCAAGTAACAACAAAAAAGAGGACCTGGAAATGAACAACAAAAAAGGCGCTGCTCTTCCGAATAGAGTGTGGTTGAGCCGAAACCATCAGAACAAGAGTGAAGCCGGATCAGCAGTCCCTGTGGGTTTGCTCACGCGGTGGATGTTACCGGTTGCTATAGCTATAGCACTAGCGGGGACTATGAAAAGAGGGAGGGCGAATGCTGAGAAGGTTTGAAGCCTCCGTATCATACAGTGAGATGAGTCGCTACGCAGCGAATTCGTTACTGGATGACTCATTGGAACATTCTAGAGTATTAGGAAATTATCGAAAATACTGTGGAAAGTGATTCATCTCACTTGATCACATAAGAGAATTTAATTTAGGATACATGGGAATCATTGCGTGCACAGGCTCTGCATCGCGAAGAAAGGCAAGGCGCCTCGCCTACTGTAAGCCGGCCGGCTCCCCTCTAATAAGAGACCAAAGAATATGACGAAACAAGTGAATTGGGCAGACGAAAAGTGTGGTTGGGATTGTTTTCGTGGCGGTCCGTGCCGACCTCTCTCTCTCTCTCTCTCGCTTTCACTCGGTCGGTACAGACACGAATTTGCTCGCGTGGCGAGAGAAAGGGACGGAGAGAAAACAGGCGAAACGACGTCCTCCGATGTGTGCGGGCAGGCGCCGAGGGTACGGACCGGCCGACTGAGAAATCGAGATGGACGCAAAAGGTGGAGGTAGAAAAGCGCGCAAACGAGTGAAACTTTCTGGAAGGATGGGGACCCTGCACTATTTGTCGAGGAGTAGCGGGCTAGAAAGGGGAAAGGAGCCGAACTAAATACACATCCTAGACTCCACATCGTCGTTTGTTGAATTTGAATGTCAACGTCACAGGGCCACCACCATCATCGGCAAGCACAAAAACAGTGTGATATCATAGGGAAGGGTGGTGGGAGAATGATGTGTGTCAGTAAGAAAGCTTCAGATGTGCAGGATTTTGGCGATTTCGCGATTCGTAGCGACTCAAGTGGTGATAAAGAGTTGTTTCACTTCATAATGTACCAATCTTCAGTTTCAAGCCCATTTCTGCATGAAAATCTTCTGAATGAAAACTTTTTACGGAAAATTTAACGTTTCTGGGATTTCTTCGAAGCATTTTCCTAAATTCGTCACGGCTGGTCCATTTCCGGGCAAGAGCCGAGATGTGGCCCGGATTTTGTCAGCTACGCTTCTAATTACCGACTTTCGTATAGGAAGAAGAGGGGGTATTTCGAAATCAAGGGTGCACGAGGATAATCCGTGCCCGCTGCTCGTATACCTGTTGCACCGGAGTAGAATGACTTTGTTGTGCTTCTCCGTTTGGCTTTCTGACCTCACACCTCGCTAATTAGGACGATAGAAGGTACGGAAGGAGATTTGGAGAATCGGATAGAATGCGAGCTTACGCAGCATCGTAGGTTTGTAGCAGGGAGATGTATCGTATAGTTCGTCGGTCAGAAAAAAGTACAAATTTCAAGCGAGTTCCCTCAAATTCGTCATGAGGATTGCCCGCCGACACGCCATCGACGAGTCGAGAAAGGGACGCGAAAAAAGGCAAGAAATAATAGTTAGGTGGGCCATTCGGACTAGTTTTATGCGAGCACACACGCCCTCTTTTCGTGCTTCTTGCTTGCCGCGAACAAGAAGAAAAAGAAAAAGAAGAAGAAGAAGAAGAAGAGGAGCCAATTCGACAAATTGTGGGTTTCGGATTTGCACACTGTGCGATGACTCTCGACGACGAAAAATAAACGAACAACGGAGTTCCGTTCGAAAGTGTGCACTTTCAGATGTGCTCCCACGTTCAATGGGACCTTCATTTTTCGCGGGCGCAACGGGAAAAGTCTGTTGGAGTCACGTCTGAAAACGATCAAAGTGTTCAAAAAGAGAGCTTTACAGGCCTTAAAAATGATTTTCAGACGTGTTCTGAAGATAATTTTCTCCAAAGACCGCAATTCTGCGTCGATTCACGTAAAATCATCATAGCCTCAAAAGGCGACTGTTTCACCTCACTGTTTGTCAAAAAACAGTCATCAAAATTCACTCCAGTAAGCAAAGCGTTGGAAATCAAAAAAAAAAGAGAGAACAAGAGGAGCCCAGTCAATGAGATTGTGCTCCGTTTCGTTCGGGTGCGGGTGGAAATTGGCAGATCTGTCAGGGATTATTCTGTTGGAAAACGCAGAAGGGTTTATGCAAACAGGAAGTTAGTTGAGTGGGCGCCTTTTTGGTAGAAGCCTGGCGCCAAAGAGCACTGAAGGTAGATGACATCACAAAACAAATAAAATTTAATAGGCTCATGATCGCAATTGGATGGGATGAGGTCATCATTGTGTTCTCAAAAAAGAACTCTGAATTGCTCTTTTCGCTAGAAATAACGTAAGAGTACGCGTGCGCACAATTTCTGTTCCTATTAAGCAAGCCATAAATCAGTCACTCTCATACTCTACGTTGCCTTTCATGGGATGTCCGAACTATTTATAAAGTAAGCAGAAGTCATGTGAGCTCAAAGTTTTCTCGAACAGGCAATCACGACATGTACAGTAAGAGGAGGAAAAGATTGAATAGAGTTGGAAACGCAACAATACATGTGTGACTCACTGTCAGACAAAAGAATATTCAGCAGTAGCAGCAGCGGCAACAGCGAAATTCCTCGCAATACCACTCTTCCAGTCCATTTCCAATTAAACGAAGAACACCCCCGCCGGATGGACGCATTCCAAAAAAGTGTTGCCTAGTGCTCTGCGCTCACACACCACGCATGCACATAGCGAGCAAGCAGCAGCCCAGACGCTTTCTCTCCCGCTCTCCCGCGTGTTCTTCTTCGAATTCTTCTATACTTTACGAGAGATTCAATTCATCAGAGGGAAACTTTTTCAAGTTGCAACACAGATTCTTGATTTTTGGACCCGTCAAGTTTGTTAGTGAGAAGGGTGACTAAAAAGTGACCGTGTAGAATCATTTCATAGTTTTAGTTTTCAAAAAAAGTGGTTGCAGCAAGCTTGTCGCACGCCGAAACATGGCTCGGGCGGTCGTCGTGTGCCCTTTTCGTCAATGACGCGAAATGTCGGCCTATGACTGTGTGCTGACGATTTACACCGTTTTGAAGCCTTATAATGTAGATCAATTGAAAAGTCCAACGAAGTAATGTCGCTCTACAGCAGACTTTGTTTCGTTTCTCAGTTTGCAAATGTGATTTGCGGAAAATCACTGAAACTTTTAGCTGATCTACTAGTTAAAAGTGAGGGAAGAGGAAAAAGAGGAGTCGCGGGCGTCGTGTGCCCTTTCGGTCAGAGACGCTTAATGTCGGCGGCCAATGACTTGGCCAGCACCGCTTACCGCAAAAATTGAAAAGCTACAATATCAAGATGTGATGGAAAATAACAGTTTCGGTCCTCACATTCGTTTTGTATGAGATGATTCACATGCAATAAACCCTCTGATCACGTGAATGTGGAACGTCACAGAAAATCGTTAATTTCGCAATGAGCCGCCCGACTGTTTTCGTGTTTCCCCCGAAAAACCACGAAACCACATTGATGTGAAAAGCGAAGCGTGTACAATCAGAGATGCGAAGTGTGAGAGCAGCGAGAGGAGGCCAGCGCGGCGGAATTCTGAACTAAAAACGGAACGATTTTATGACACAACCCACCGTTCTCGATTGAAGATGGAATATAGAATATAGAAATCAAAGTAGAAGAAGAAAGGCCGCTGGTCGATTTGGGATGGAAAGGCTCACGAACCGAGAAGAGGAGGAGGGCGGACGGTTCGGGAGGAAAGAGATATTGTGCAGAATGCAGAGAGTTGCCGAGAGCGAAAAAGGGTCGAACGGGCTGTCGTGACAGTTAAACTCTGATCACTACAGAATCTCAGTCTGTCCCAACTCTAAAGTATATATGCATCATGTGAGATTCTGTGCCACAACAAGAGTTCAATTCGCATTTCCCACGTTTATTATGGGAATTGGGCACAGTGCGCCGTAGTTGTTGACTGTTGAAAGGCGATGACACTTTGTGGAAAACCCACATTAATGAAATAATCGCTTTATGACTTTGTTTACCACTCCGCTCCTGGGTACGGTATATACTGGAAAGTCCCCTATGTAGAGTCTGTGAGCCGATTACGAAATACATTCGCCCACTTTTTGTCGCGGAACGCCAATCAAATCACCGCCATTCAAGTATGAAACACAAAAAACAAGAGCACAGCTCATTTCCATATCCAGGCCGCCCGCTTTGATTGATAGACGAAAAAACGAAAGAAATGAGGATGCGAGGAGGCGGGGGGTAAAGTGACGAGGTTTTGATTAATGAAAGCCCGTCCCGGAGAGGACATGCATCAGGGAAAGAGTAAATCTCGAATGTGACACGTTTCTTTTCGCCTTCTCACCGGGCAAATTGGAATTGGCATTTGATGGGGGCGCACAACGTACCCCATCTATTGTTGTTGAAATGTTCAAATCGGAACTTTAATGCTCCGGTTTGTGGGTAGTTTACGTGGAAACAGTCCGAGGAGCAAGGCATCAAAGATCAAAGAGAGTAGGCGGTCAAGCCTGTGGGTTTGCCTATTTTGCCTATAAGGTATATCGTAGGTAAAAATGTTGGCTGCGGCCTAGAAAGCTCAGGTTAACAAAAATTGCTTGCACACTGAAAGTGATTTGCGTGCATGCAATCGAAACAAGTAGTTCTCTCCACTTTCTGAAATCTCGTCAAGAAGGTCCACCAAGTTTTTCCAAGTTTTTGCAAAAGTTTTTCCATTTATGATTCTAACCCATATTAATAACAGTGCTAATCCATCATTTTTTAGTGAAAAGCGATGACGTTCCTGCTCCCTGTACAAAGATTGTTATTGCATTTCCTCCTCCTCCTCGTTACGCATGTCATCACTTTGCAAGCGACGAAACGAGCTCGCTACGGATGACGCGACCGGTTGCGTACGCGACGAGCACAGTAACAACATGAGGTCAATTTGCCGCGATACGCGAGGCTCGGGTTACATTGACCCGACTACTTCTGCCCAACTATCAATTTTTCTGACACCTTTGGAAATCTCTGCAAAACCAAAGACCAAAACCGAAATCCAATTTTAATTCTTAATTTTGTCGCTTTTTTGGCGGCCGGTGCTCCATTTTAATTTCGTCCTCTTTTTGAGAATACGAATCCAATAAGTCGGCCATAAACGATAAACGTCGCGGTGTACCTCATGTAGACACACACACATGCGCGCGCGCGCCCATAAAATGGGAAGATTGAACGTGGCGACGAGGCGCCAAACTTTTCGGCTGCTTTTCTTTCAGTTCAGGGGCATTTATTCGAAGACCAAATATTCAAGATTGACATTAGTATCAGAAAGAAACGTGTAAAGTTTCAAACAAATTTTTGAGGCTTTACATTAGAGAAGAGGTGCGGAAAATCTATATGGTAAATGGATGAAATGTATTTTGGAGGCGATATTCTTTGGGATATTAAAAAGGGAACGGTGTGTGTGTGTGTGGGAAATATTTGGAATCAGGACTAACTATGAAAAGTGGCGGAAGGTACATGAATCCATGAATAAGTGGAGAGAAATGCGGAACAACTATTTGACATTTGGACAGGAATCTAGATGGGAACAGGTGAAGGAAAAATAGGGAACAGTGGAAAACATCTCCAGATTTAGAAGAATACGGAAACAAGAATCGGTGTGCGAGTGCAAAATATGGTAGACGGTTAACAGAACACGTGCGAGGCTATCAGTGAGGGAAAAGGGAAAACTCTGAAAGTTATTACTTTCAGTTTCTGTTTCTGCGGCTGTAGCGGTCGTCTCTCCGATTCCCCTCGCGCTCACGGCGATCTGTAATTACTTGCATGTACAAGATTATTGACATCTGAAATTCACCTCTCTCGTGACGACGTCTCTCCTCTCTGCGGCGCTCCTCACGGCGGTGCTCTTCACGACGGTGCTCTTCGCGGCGGTGCTCTTCGCGGCGGCGCTCTTCGCGGCGGCGCACTTCAGTGCGACGAATCTCTCGGAACTCGCGGCGATGATCTGAAAATTGAGGTTTGTACCAAGTGCCAGACGGATGATTCAATTACCGGCACGACGGTTGTGACGACGATCGTCTCTGCGGCGACTGACGCTTCTGAACGGTGGCGGCTGACGCCAACGATTTCCGTCGACTGAATAATGATATTGTCTATTTTAAATTTGAAACTGTGACTGGTAACTCACCAGCTCGGTTGTCGCGACGTCCGATCGGGCTTCTCGAGCGGCTGCTGCGACGGCGATCCTCTCGGCGAGGCGACTGACGTGGCTGCCTGTGCTGCATCTCTCCTTCGTCGGTTTTCGGAGTTTGCACGTAACCCATCAGCTCATTGTCCTCCCAGATCTCTTGCTCCGAGTTCTTCACCTCAACGACTTCCTCCACCACATGCTGCGACCAGATCTGGATCGGAGTCAAGATCGACGCCTTTTCTTCCCACTCCTTTGGCTCATTTTCTATTTTCATCGGGTTGAACACGGAATTCTTTCTCTCATCTGCCTCCTTCGCTTCTTTTTTGACGTTTTTCAGATCGAAGACGTGGCCATTTGCCTTGGTGATTTTGACGAAGATGATTTCGTCATCGCCGACAAGAGCTTCCAAAACTCCTTTGATCGTCTTCGCCAATCTCGGGTCTTTCAGGGAGACAATCACCTGACATCCGTCCTGATGTTCTTGCTCCGATCCTCCGTTCGGCTTCTTCTCCATCTCCGTCTTCTGCTCACTGGCCTCGTTGCCTGCAATGCCGACGTAAAACTTCGGCCGCGGACGGCTGCCCTCGCATCTTTCCAAACCCCGCCCACTCGCTGTTCTATTGGACAGCGAAAAAGATGCAAACAAACGGCAGCATAATAAGGGAAAAGAGAAAGAGAGAGAGAGCGTGTGTGTCGAACAATTCAAACGTGTTAAGAGAAAAGCAACTTACCACTGGATTCGCTGCTGCAAGAGTCTGGAGCAGTTGGATAATCAACTGGAACGATTGCGAGGGGAAGAGGTGGACTTGGAGCGATTGGAGCTGTTGCGACGTTGTCTGCAGAAAAATGGAGATGAAAAGATGCACGATGAGGCATACGATCAGTTTTCCCATCCATAAAAACGGAGAGAAAGAGGGGCGCAATGGGGAATGTCAAACACAATGCGCTTTCTTACTTCTACAATACATATGCGGGACCCAGACGTTTCGCAACTAACGTGAACTACTTAGCTCGAAATTGCACTGTCAAAGTTCACATGGGTATCGAGATAGGCAAAAACTCTTCCTCACCGATATAATCGAAAAGGTTACACGTGGCAACTTCGTTTTCCTCGTCGGCGGTCATCGGCGGCATAGCCATATTTTCCACGCGCACCTCGGCTCCCATCACTGCTCTTCCCATTCCGTCGTCGAATTTTAGGACGCGCATTGTGCTGTCTGAAAGTGAACACATAGAAATTTGCGGAGAAATGGAAGAGACTGATCGCAACCGCCACCATGACCGCAGATGGGGGCGGCAGCGACCGGCAACATATGCACCGAGAGGACGGCCAAAAAATGGGAAGGGGGTGTCGAGGAGAGCGAAAAGGAAGGTGTGGGGAAGGGAGGAAAAAGAGAAAGAGAGGACACGATTGGCTCGTGACCGAGTAATCACTGCGAAGCTACGAAGTCTCATAGCCAACTCTGATAATTAGTAAGCATTACGTAAGAAAGATATTCCCATGTGGATATTGCCACTAGAAAACAAACTGCTCTTCATGTTTTCAACACTTTCACTTTATTCTTAAAGGGTTCGCATAGAATGTAGCTAAAAATGTGATTCCAGTGTTGTCGTAGCGTGGAGATCAGATGATGAGCACTAGAAACATTGGGTAAGGCTGAAGCTGGCACCGGGGTACGTACCTTCCTCAGTCCAAGTCTGACCGTTGGCCGCTCCAAATCCGCGACGAGCATTGCGGCGGACGAGACGGGGGAACGAGTCCACCGACGGCTACAAAAAAAAACCAAAGTTCTCCGAATTCAAATTAAAATGCCATGAGAACTTCAAACTCTCGCTTTCCCATACCTTTGTCTCCTTCTTTGCCTTTTTCGGTGGCTGCCCGTTCTCCACCTCCTCCTTCTTCATTTCCGGAGCACTGCGCTTCTCTCCGCCAATCTTCATCTCCTTCTCAACCTCTTCTTTGACGAGAAGAAGTCCTTCGAAAGTGTTGATGGCTTTCTTCAGGGCGAGCGCCTCGACCTTCTTCAGGAATTCCATGCGCGGCGCGTCACGGATGCGTTCCGTGGCGCTCTGGAATGCCGGATTTGGCACGATCGCTGCAAAATCACCTAAAATTTCTCAAATGACCCAATTGCTGAAAACATACAGATCGGAGTGGCGGTTCCGCAGTCCATTGTCGTCGGTGGATTTGTCGGTGGATGATACCTGAAATGTGTGTGATTCACTGGGAGCGAATACAAGTACAAATCCTAGAACCGCGCTAAAACTACATTAGAATGTGTTCGCAATACGAAAGCATCTTAAAATACAATTTGTCTGACGTGCAAGATTCTGCTGGCTGATAGTGAGTACCCAAATAACAGGAAGATGTTGCTCAAAACCCAAGAATTATGCCACGCTTCGCGGCGAAAGGGGGATATGAGAGAGAAATGAAAAAGTTTCGACGGATTACGTGTACTGTTTCGTGAGAGAAATGATAATATTTTTGAACGAAAACGTTTTGTGCCGTAACAAGTGAATACTGCGCGAGAACTGTTAACTCGGATGCTTGGCGCGACGCGAGGAAATCGATAAATCGGCAAAGTGGTGTGAGATTGCGTACTAGGCGGCGCGCGGGAGCTCGACGATATTATTGATTTCCGAAAGCATGGAAAGTTCTCGAAAGCTTAAAGTTGACAGCTGGCTGACTGGCAGTGCATTCCGTTGGGCCTTGACCAGCTCATCCAGCTCGACCTTGATGATTTATACGCGATAAATTTGGTGACCTTGAAGCTCTCTGCAAAGTCCGATGAAGTATGAATGGTCTACAGTATCGTCCTCAATTTGTTTATGTTTTCCGCGATGACCTCCGCCAGCAGCTCTTCTGCCGACGGTTGGGTGTGAGCGAGAAGCGGAATGGCCTTGTAATCATGATCCATGTTTATAATCATCCGACCAGATGCCCCCGACACCTCTTTTGAAGTTCATCCATCTTCCGCTTCGGTGCCGATCATTGATCACATCTGTAAATCATCTGGCTCCGCGTTCAGTGTCACTTCAGTTTAGTTGTCCGAAAACTATTTGTCCCCTCTGTTTTACAATCATCTCACTTGAATTATTGCCCTGTTTATGTGATTGACAATGCTCTTTTTGCACACAACTTTAAAGAAAACAATTATTGAAGGGACTGAATAATCAGGTACATATAAAACAACTTGAACATGGGAAAATGACAATTTGATTACATTTCAAAGATGGGATATCAATTCAATCAAATGTTATTGAGTGAAGAGAAACTACATCAAGGCATGGAGAAGCTCTATTATGTGGATCTAAGCCCAAACCCAAAAGAACGAGAAGGAGGTTATGACAAAGACGAAGCTAGAACAAATGAGTCACCCTGAAACTATGAAATGGTGACGCAGAGAGGTACGAAACTTAAATCATGCTAACCGGCTGCAATAGTTAGGAAATGTCACATTTGAACGAAATGGCAAACTACAGGAAGGAAGGAATCTCTGATGCACACGTTGAAAACCAGCCGATGCTCTCTGAAAAGGACCAATGTTCAGTTATCGTTTACCCACAATTCACATAAAAAGTCACGGTCTGGGACGTTAAGGTTAACAAAGTGTGGGAAGATATTTCAATTTAAAAGATGTTTTATATGGTGCTTGCTACGTGGAAACAACACGAAACACACCAGATTAATGCTTCTTTCCGTTGGCTCTTCTCCCGCCACGCTTCTTTCTCGTCTGCTTGGAAGTTCCATGACGAATCATTGCAATTGCGCGGATGTCGTCTGAAAATATGAGTGCATGATTTCCGATCGTTTTCTTTTGTTTATACCGTCGTCGTCCTCATATTCGGCATACGTTCCCGCTGTCACCTTTGCCTTTGCGCTTCTTTCCGGATTGACGCGCTGCTCCGTTTGATAATAGTGCTGTTCGAACTGCCGAATCGCCTTTCGTCGGATTTCGAGTTCCATTTGTTTGTATTCTGCAATATCGCGTTTGATGACTCACAAAACCGGGTGGCTCACTTGTGGTAGCTTTGGCCATCTTGTGTTGCATTGCCGGATTATTCGTCATCACCTCTTTCTGGTTCTTTTCGATCTGGGCTCTGATCCATTCTTGTTGATGAGCGGGAGTGGAGGCTGAAAACCTTGTCATGAATTTTGACAATTCTAATGTGGGCTCACCGATCCACTGATCCTCTACGGCGATCTCCTGCATCAGGTTCCTCATAATCTGTTCGTACGTATTCATCGGCGGTGGCGAAGCTTCTTGTCTTTCGTATTCGGGATCGATGAGCTCTTCCTTGATGAACCGAGCATAGTTGCTCGACGAGCTGGCACCCTCAGACATGACGGCGGCACAGAATGAACTGCCCTTTTTTTGGTGAGCGCGTCCCCTCCCCTTCTAACAAAGAGAGAGAGAGAGAGAGGGCGGAGCTTTTGACATGGCCCTCGCCGTGTTCTTTTTTATGAGTGTGACGAAACGAATGGAAAAGTGAGGAGCGAGCATGATTTATTACGATTGGAGAATTGCACATTTCGTAGTGAAATAATAAGAGACGGAATTATTAACTTCTAGAAAAACGGTGTCTAAGCGGATTGCTTGAAGGCGAAGCACGTGGTGCCGTCCTTCTCAGTTTCGCAATAGAGTTCGGTGTTCACGATGTAGGAGAAGGTGCCCTTTGAGCAGATGACGTCGACGCGTCCTCCGATAGCATCGGCAGCAGCCGTCTGGATCTGCCGCTTCGCAACAGCGGTGCTCTCGTGGATGTTCTGCAAGAATTTGCTGTTGGAACGCTCTAAAATTAAGATTTGACTCACAGCAACGATGATGGCCTTCAAGTCTTCGGAGTTGCACTTCGGGTCGAACACAGTCTCGTCGTCTCTCTTCACTCTCGCCACGTAACCCTCGGCTTGATCGACGCCCGTGTCCTCCATGTCGTTTTGAATGTGACGCTTGTGTGGAGCAGCATAGGCGTGTGGTGGTGGGGCGACGATCGGTTGAGGTGGTGGCTGCGGGAGGAACTGTGCCGGCGCGGCGTAGGAAGATCCGTAGGAGGAGGGAGCGGCTCCACCAATCGGCGCTGGCGGCAGGTAGGATGGTTGGGGCTCTGCAAAAATTGTAGAACATATAATATCTGTTGAACCTTTGTTTTTGTGTAAGTCAGCACATTTCCTCTTTTCCCAATGTAAAACAGATATTACACAAACCAACGACCATCGTCATTCGCGAGCAATTTCCCACGATTTACATATGAAAAGTGTACAGTTAGATAGGCATTCAAACGCAAACAAATGCATATTAGGTCCCCTATCACATGAATGACATGCAAACTCACGGCTATAGACTGGTTGTGGAGCAGCGAAGCCTCCGGCTTGGGGGTAGGCCCCCTGGGCGGCGAACGTTGGCGCCGAGAAGGTTCTGTATCCGCCGCCGCCGCCGCATGGAGCCGGTGGAGGAGGTGGGGGACAAGCCGGAGGAGCGGAGCAGCCGCACGCGGAACCACCGCCGCCGCCGAAGAAGAAGGCCTGGAAGAGAAGAGATATTGTAGAAGGGTAAAGTGCGAACACACCTGTGACGTGACGGCCAGTGAAGCCAGGAGTAGTGCCGTCCACTGCATAATTTCGAAGCTAGCAACGAATGGATTGCGCGGCTTGCAATTTATAGCAGAGGTGTGTTATATCGGTATCAACATGCCGTCAAGCTGACCGCCCAGCCTTGTTGCGAGGACGACGACGGGAAGAACAGGTTCTCACTGGGATCCGCGACACGATCGGATGGATAAAAAAGAGGAAGAAGACGGGATTTTCTTTTCGCTGCGAATTTTTTGAGTGATCAGTGCGGACATATAGGCGGCTAGTTGGACTGTGTCAGAATCAGAAGAGAGAAAACTTTTACTTCAACTTCACCAATTCCAATTCCAATTCTAATTAAATCTGCCATCGATTCCATTTCCAATTAAAGGAAACAGTCGATCCGTCGAAGAATCCCATTATCACAATCCCGATCCGTCATTCTGTGAGGGGAAAGAACACGAGAATCGGATAGATACGTAGTATTGCGTAAGGCTTTTTGCTGCCGAGAAAAGGAAATGAATGACAAGAAGCCACGAGCGGCGTAATAACGGGATTTGAGTGGGAAAAGAAGCGCCTGGGCTATCGCCAATAAACAGTTTGTTTTGGATTATAATCTGGCAGGCAAGATGAACGGCTAGAAGTTACACTACGATCGTTTGGCAGATTCGTGGATTCCGAAGCCGTTTTGATGTTCCGTTCGTATAAGTTCCTGAATTATTCTATCAAAGTGATCCCTTTGAGAATACTTACGAAACATATAGGGTTCTTTCTCCCCTTGTTTCTGTAAGTTCAAAAGTCCGAAATGTTACTACAAAATAGGTGCTTCAATTTGACCCACAGTCTTTGAACGTTCTTTGTCTAGTTCATTGCATACCGAACTGGTCTATGTTCTTGAAGAGGTTGCTTTTTGGGCCGCCAGATGACGTGGTGATCCCCTTCAAACTCCCTGTGCACGGCCCGGCGCCTAACCCTATCCCATTTTTCGTGTGTGTGGCGGTGCAACAGCATCGTTCATTTCGACGGAAACACCACAAGACGTCTCGTACTCCCTTCGCCATGTGTCATTTCCACTTTGAGGAGGAACGAGGGGAAACGAAAAATGGGCAGCCACAAGATGGAGCAAAAGGAGAAGGAGACGTGTAATTAAATGAATCTTGGCTGTGCGCCGGGGTGGCTCCCAAAAACGGACACTTTCTTTTTGGAGGGGGGGGGACGACGTCCGTTTCGAGGGCATGTATGCTCCGCTTTTCAAGTGCACAGAGGGATCTTTTCGGTTTATGTTTTCGACAGCCAGACAGTATGTAACCAAACTTTTTCGTTGGGAACATGAAATTGGGCCACCTGCCATGCACACTTCAATTAACAAGCATGAACATTATTACCACCTGTCTTCTCCGAATAAAAAGTGGAATGACAGGTGTAGAGGGGCGCCACGCGGAATTATTAATATTAGATCATCAACCAAAGGGACTTGAACGCAAAAAAGTTCATTTATCTGATAACTTGTACAATGAGATATCGGCTTCTTCTACTGTCTGGCCTTTTGCTGGAAACGACGGATTGGTTGGAGGGCATGACGTTGATGAAACTGACGGTTTTGGGCGGTACGGGCCTTGGCGCGTTGACGGACTGAAACAAAACAAAACAAGTTTGTGTACACTTTTGTGATGTACACTTACAAGTCCCGGCAGCGTAATTGGACTGGACTCCCGGAGCAGCTGCGACTTCGCTGTCACTGAACGAGCTGGAACTGTATCCGGACGGAATCGGAGCTGGTGGCGGTGGAGGAGCGGAATAGGAAGGCTTCTGGGCGTAGTCGGTCGGTGGAGATGGGTACGTCGGCTTGATTGGATAGCTCGGGGCAACTGGATACTTCTTCGGGAGCGGGTAGGATGGTGGAGTCGGATAGGTCGGAGGGGCAGTTGGGTAGGTGTTCTCGGCCACTGGATACCCGCATTGTGCCAGCACGACGAGGAAGACGGAGGAGACGAGGAGGGAGTACATGTTGAAGGTGTAATGGATTCAAGTATGCGAGGTGCCCTTTTATACCGACAGAGTTCAACTTTGACCATCATAACTAGGAATGGTTGTTTGAATGGGATGGGATGGGCTTTCCAATGACTTCTAGTAACGGTTCAAGTACCAGTTCTCCTGATCGTAAGTTCCGTTTCACTCTAATGGGTTCTACATATTTTCCGGTTCGAATGGGAGTTTCAGACATCATAGACTGACCGGTTACTGCTAATAATGTTTAGTTTCAAAGCGTCCGTAAGACATATTCGCAACTGAAGTTCATTGATGATCTGTCTCAAGGTCTCAAGGTCTTAATGTTCCAATTAGAGTGTTCTTGTAAGCAATATCCTTTGAAATTCAAAATTTCGGCTTCATCAAAACCAATTACGTTTCATTTTCAAAACTTTCTCCCAACGTACACAGGGCACCGACAGTGGCGTCATTTGCACCTGCACTCCCATTCAGGGTCACCGACAAGGTCGTTACGAGTTGGCGGCTTCCTTTTGACATTCCGTCAAAGTTAGTGGAAAACATGCACCTTTTTGAATGTGTTTATTTTTGCACTTCATATTTTTACTGAGGGGTTTTCTGAATGACAAGAGAATAGACGATGAAGACGGTTTATTGAAAGGTTCGAATTGGAAAGAATACAAAGGAATGAGAAAGCTACAGTTATTGTTTCTTCTGCTGGAAACGACGGATTGGCTGGAGGGCACGACGTTGGAATTTACGGTTCTGAGAAGTGCGGGCTTTGGCGCGTTGACGGTCTGTAAAATTGAATATCTGCATCTGATCATCTACTTTTTATCGCTTACATTCAGTGATTGGAGCAGAAGTGCTGTAGTCAGAAGCAGAAGAGTCCGAGACGACTTCAGAATCACTGAACGAATTGGAACTGTATCCAGACGGAATGGGAGCTGGTGGTGGTGGAGGAGCGGAATAGGAAGGCTTCTGGGCGTAGTCGGTCGGTGGAGATGGGTACGTCGGCTTGATTGGATAGCTCGGGGCAACTGGATACTTCTTCGGAAGCGGATAGGATGGTGGAGTCGGATAGGTCGGAGGGGCAGTTGGGTAGGTGTTCTCGGCCACTGGATACCCGCATTGTGCCAGCACGACGAGGAAGACGGAGGAGACGAGGAGGGAGTACATGTTGAAGATGCAATGGATCCAGCCGGGCGGAGTGCCCTTTTATACGGCCGAGTTTGATTTTAACCAGTAAATCACATGCGGTGTCCACAAAGTTCAGAAAACCGTGAACCCCAGCAAAGACCATCCAACTAGAAGTCGTTCTGCAGCAAACTATAGTTGAAACCCCATTACTCGGCCCGTTACGATTTCTTCACTTTGCCCGCATCCTCCCCTTTTCTACTGGTCAAAGTTGAATTCTGTCAGTATAAAAGGGCACTCCGCACAGTTGGATCCATTGCATCTTCAACATGTACTCCCTCCTCGTCTCCTCCGTCTTCCTCGTCGTGCTGGCACAATGCGGGTATCCAGTGGCCGAGAACACCTACCCAACTGCCCCTCCGACCTATCCGACTCCACCATCCTACCCGCTCCCGAAGAAGTATCCAGTTGCTCCGAGCTATCCAATCAAGCCGACGTACCCATCTCCACCGACCGACTACGCCCAGAAGCCTTCCTATTCCGCTCCTCCACCGCCACCAGCTCCAATTCCGTCTGGATACAGTTCCAACTCGTTCAGTGATTCTGAAGTCGTCTCGGACTCTTCTGCTTCTGACTACAGCACTTCTGCTCCAATCACTGAATGTAAGCGATAAAAAGTAGATGATCAGATGCAGATATTCAATGTTACAGACCGTCAACGCGCCAAGGCCCGCACTTCTCAGAACCGTAAATTCCAGCGTCGTGCCCTCCAGCCAATCCGTCGTTTCCAGCAGAAGAAACAATAAATTCTGTTCAAACTTTTACCAGTTCTTTCAAATAAGCTTCTGGCCAATAAATGTGTGTTTTTGTATCACTTTCGTTGTATGCACAAAGAAGCCGTACTCTTCTGTGAAACCAATTGAAGGCTCTCATCTGCTTTCTCCGGGTTATCCCAAGACGGCACGATGAGAAAGGTAAAATGGAGTTCGCGGGATGCTGCAATCATTACCGAAGAACGTTTGACTTTGAAGCAGACACCTGAACTAAGGAAGCCGAATGCCTTTGAAAGCCGGACGCACGTGGCACAAGGCCAGAGCACGGAAGGAGTGAAAGCACAGTTCGCTTATATTGCAGCCTTTGTTTAGAGATCTATCGTTTTCCGAGCATTTATTCAGAGTGATTTTAAGAGATACTCACAAGCAAGTCAAACAAGAAGGATGAATCAACGATGGAGGTGGAAAGTTATTAAAAGGCGTAAATTGTATAGAAGCAACATCCATTTTATCATTGTTGAAAGTAACCACGAAAGTAATTTAAAATAAAAAATTTTATTGGAAGAAGCTAATTTGAAAGAACTGGTTAAAGTTTGAACAGAATTTATTGTTTCTTTTGCTGGAAACGACGGATTGGCTGGAGAGCACGACGCTGGAATTTACGGTTCTGAGAAGTGCGGGCCTTGGCGCGTTGACGGTCTGTAACATTGAATGTCCGCATTTTACTTTTCATCGCTTACATTCAGTGATTGGAGCAGAAGTGCTGTAGTCGGAAGCAGAAGAGTCCGAGACGACTTCAGAATCACTGAACGAGTTGGAACTGTATCCAGACGGAATCGGAGCCGGTGGCGGTGGAGGAGCGGAATAGGAGGGCTTCTGGGCGTAGTCGGTCGGTGGAGATGGGTACGTCGGCTTGATTGGATAGCTCGGAGCAACTGGATACTTCTTCGGGAGCGGGTAGGATGGTGGAGTCGGATAGGTCGGAGGGGCAGTTGGGTAGGTGTTCTCGGCCACTGGATACCCGCATTGTGCCAGCACGACGAGGAAGACGGAGGAGACGAGGAGGGAGTACATGTTGAAGATGCAATGGATCCAACTGTGCGGAGTGCCCTTTTATACGGACAGAATTCAACTTTGACCAGTAGAAAAGGGGAGGATGCGGGCAAAGTGAAGAAATCGTAACGGGCCGAGTAATGGGGTTTCAGCTATAGTTTGCTGCAGAACGACTTCTAGTTGGATGGTCTTTGCTGGGGTTCACGGTTTTCTGAACTTTGTGGACACCGCATGTGACTTTCTACTACACAACTTGTGTTGGATCGAGAACGAGTACGGAACCTCAAAAGATACTGTGGTTTGTGTGTGGAACAATTGAACACATCGGTACCACAATTAGAAAAACGTATTGGTATCAATACGAAGCTGTAGACGGATGATCGCGTGGAAAGCGACCAGAGTACTGTTTTCTCAATGTTTGGCTGTAAAGGCTGTGTGCTCGGTATCTCTATAAAGCAAGAATGACGCTCATTGAAAATCAGCACCGAGAAAACATGGCAAAAAGTTCATGTTGCTTAAACTTTTTTGCAAATATTGACAGTGTCAGTAGTCGCATCTCTCTTGGCAGTTGTTCTCTCATTCTCTCGACGCACCAACTTCCCCTCGATCATCTTTTTATCCCCACTTCCTTCTGTTATCAGTGAGATGACCTCGTTCGTGTCTTCATCCCTTCAATTGTGAAAAAAGAACTACTCACCTTCACGTTCCTTTTAATCGTCTTTTTCCAGTCAAATGCTCTCCCAGCTGTTCCTCTTCCTTTCCGTTCTTTCCTTCGTCGTTCACTCCCTGCCAGCCGCGTGTCAATCGCCAGGAGTCAAAGATAAGGCTGTGAAGTGTGTGGATCAACTGACGCCGATGTTCGCGCAGGTGAAAGCGGCTCAGAACAGCGGATGGGTCACTCTGGACGCAGCTTCGAGTGTCAATGATATGTGCAGTATTTCGTTGGTGAGCATCTATCCTTTTCCTTCCAAACCTTTCTTTCAGGACTGCTTTAAAACGCTTCAAACGTGCGCCGGAATCGATCAGAACCTGATTCTGACTATGGAAGGAGTGTGTGATTTGTTCGGATTCATGACTGGAAAGTTCAGTGATTGCACTCAGAAGATGGAGACTCTGAAGAACAACAAATGCGTCGTCGACTTCTTCACCAATCCCGTTTACACTGATGTCAGTTTTGAAGCGTTACGTACTTACAGGCGAATTTTCCAGGCTCCGGACAATAAAACTCGATGTAACAAGCTGAAAGAAGATGGGAAGTGTGTGGAGAAGAAGACAGAGTCCGCGTGCTCCAAAGGTTCGGCCAAAGACTTCAGTGATGTGAGTTTTTGTAAGTTATGAAAGATCTCAATTGAACTTTTGTTTCTAGCACCTCGACGGGCAACTCAAACGGTTCAATTGTTAGAAAGCAGTAGGACGGAAGTTCATTATTGTTCTGTTATCATAATAAACGTCACAATCACATTGCTCTTCTGTCGGAAATTGAATGACGTGGTCCTTGTACCGCTATGGACCATTGCTACATCTGCTACACTCTTGAACACTTGAAAAAAGTATGAAGTCATTTATTTTTGTATGTTTTCAGATTCAAATCACACATTGGTAGAGTTGATAGCCCCAGTCACTTCCGTCGGACCAACTTCGAGTCTGGTCACATTCCTCTTCGGATCCACCACTTTGATACCTCCGGGCACAAATTGGATTCCGTACTCTTGTCCCTTTTTGTAATCCCAATCCTTGTACCGCAGTCGACCGTCGCACGCGCGGTTGAAGAGTCGTAAATCGGAGTGCTAGAAAGAGGGACGGAGTTCGGATGGCCAGTTAGAGTTACCTCTTTGTAAAGTGCGGCAAAGTTTGGTTCGCAATGCTTCTCAACGTTTGGAATGTAGCACTCTGCTCGAGTTTTGATGCTCACACAGTCGAATTTGGAGGGTGACATCTGGAAAGTAATCGGTGTTCACACATACAAAGAGTAAGTACTAGACTGACATCCTTCAGGTACACTTTGACGCAATCCGTCAGTTCCTCCGGCTTCTTCTTCAGGACCTCTCTCAAAATGTCATCGCAAAACGACATCGGTCCCAACTCGAAGATGTCGACTGTGCACTGATCCAGTTGTTGGTAGTTGACAAAGTCCATGAAGCATCCTGAGTTTTCACGACAAGTCTGTGCATCGGGTTGAGTACGAATCTTAGGGTCTAAAGGCTTACGAATGCGTCGTCGCAATGAGATCTCAGCTCTGTGAAAGTCATGTTCTTCGTTTTTCCCGGAGACCAGGCAATCGACTGCGTTCTCCAGAAGGATTTTAGGCCTTGCTAAAGAAACGAAACATGATTATAGAGGCACTTGATAGCGAACTCACCACAGTGTCACACCAGTCCAACTTCAAGCTTCCGAACGCTACGCACGTGGTTTTGTACTGATCATAGCCGTAACGATGGCGACGAGAGCACGAGATAAAGAGTGGAAGAGTTAGGAAAACTAAAAGAAGTTTATGCATTTTTGTGTCTGACGGACGGCCGAGAAGTTCGGAGTGTGATCAGAAGAGATGGGCGAGGAGAGAAGCGGAATGGGAATGAGAATGGGAAAAGGGAATGGGGAAGCAAGGTCAGCGACAACTGTTCTCAAAGAACCCATGAAATGTTTTCTTCCTGGTATCTTTTTCATCTTTTGACTCGAGCAAGCGTTTTATTTTGAGACTTATGGGGCAAGGGACTGATTGAATTGAATTTATAATAAATTGGAAGTGAAGTTTTGAAATCAGACAACTTTTTTTTCACAGTTTTTGTCAATTTTTCTGTTTAATTTCAGCTGCAGAATTGTACCGTACTTTAAAGGCGCAATAGCCAAATAGTTCGGGGTCTCGCCACGAAGCGAAATTCGAAAGCGCGAATGCGCTTGGTTCGAATTTCACATCATTGTTCTGCTGATCTTTCGTCTGTTTTTTCATCAAAATTCGCTGTTTTTTCTGATTTCTTGACAAAAAACAGTCTCCAATTTGAAGGATGGACACCTCCGACGGGCATCTTCTGCCGCTTTCGAATCTGTCGCGTTCGGGCAGTATCGAGTTCAGAGATGCGGTTATTAACGAGAAATGGGTGCATTCGGCGAACCGACGCAAAGGACACTTGACGCCAAAAGCTGTAAATGATCCAATTATTCTAGTAACAATATGAAAATGTTCTATTACAGCCCGAAAAGAAGAGCGGATGGTTCGGAAAGCACAAATCGGAGGAGGAGAAGCTGATGGAGCGAGTGGAACAGCACGAGTTGGAGGAATTGCAGACGTTCATTGCCCAGAAGCTGTTCCGTGTCGACGGAATTCTGTGTGATGAGCAGACGAGGATTCTGCTCGTCGAGAAATTGATGAATGCGAAGGAGTATCCGACGATCGCACACGAAGAGCTCGTTTACAGATATGGGTACGTTACATCTTATTCTTACCAATTATCAAAATCTCTAATTGACAGAAGTTCAATGGCGGGTTGGCTGCGCGATCGTCTCGTTCCTTCGATGTCGGACTGCAGCTCGGTTCTCCAGCGAGCCGCCACCGAATTCTACAAGAACAAGCTGTCAGATCCGCTCTCCAATTGGGGTCAAATGAATTCAGAGCACGTTTCGATGGTGGCCGCCCGCATCGCGAAGTTCTCGGAGGAAATGTCGTCGAAAGTAAAGTGGTCGTTGCTCGTGGAGCCTGGCAGGTTCAGTTGTCATTTGACCGAATTTGTGCTCGAATACAACCGATTGGAGCGGATGTTCGCGAACAACGAGCTGTCGGCTGAAGAGTCGTCTCAGACAGCATTCAATGCGAATTATCTAACAAAAGCGAGAAGTAAAATGGTTCCGTGTGTAGATTACACGAGAGTGAAACTGGAGGACGGACTGGGCAGACTGGACAATCGAAGTGCTCTTATGGACGGAATTTTCAGTGGGGAGCACGAGTTCGAGAAGAGCGAGGATGAGAAAACGAGCACTTAGTCAGTTTTCAAGCGAAAATCCAATGAAATCATTTAAATGTTCCAGCGGCACAACGGACTTCATCCACGCGAACTATGTCAAAGGCGGCCCCCTTCTGAACACGTTCATTTGCGCCCAAGCACCCCTTCAGAACACACAGGAAGACTTCTGGCGCATGGTGTTCCAGGAGAAGTGTCAGTTCATCGTTATGCTCAATTCGGCCGTCGATTCTTCCTCTCTCGGACCTTTGGACGCAGCGAATCGCAACCATTGTCCGTATTATTGGCCACGAGCCGAAAAGCAGTTATTGGAGTTCGGAGTATTCCGTATCACGTGCATTAGTGTCGACTCAAAGGCCGATCCGTTGTTCACAATCACCCGATTGAAAGTGCAAAAGATGGGCGGCGACTTGATGGACGACGATGACGATGAGCTCATTCTGGAGCACTGGCAGTGGGATTGGCAGTATCTCGGAGATGTGCACTGGCCGTTCCGTGTTCTCAGAAAGTAATAAAGTCTGTAAAAACCTCGTTATTTCCCCTTGTTTCAGAGCACGTCAACTGCCTACTCCGACGATTGTGCAGTGCATCGACGGCTGCTCCAAGTCCGGCACTCTGGTCGCCATCGAAGCCGCCCTCATGCACTTTGTGCGCGGCTCCCCGGTCACCAAGTCGCTCATCCTCCAGTCGTGCGTCTTCGTCCGCCTCCAACGCCGTCTGTCCGTCTCGTCGACCCTTCTCTACCTCTTCATCTACCGCGTCGTTCTCCGTTGGATAGAGCCGTACGTCGGCAAGTTCTACGAGCGAGCGGCACTCGGATTGCGATTCAAATCGATCGGATTCATCCAGAAGTACACGGCAATGATTCAGGAATTCAGTCGCATCACTCCTGCCTACTAACACTTGATTTTGTACCATAATGATTATTTTATTGCCCCCTCAATGGAAAGTTGTGAATGTTTACCTGCCTGATCTCCCCCATTCCCCTTTCATCGAATTTCTGACCCCGAAAATATCATTTTCACAATTTTTCTTTTCGAAATTAAATTGAATTCACTATTCGATTTCTCACAAGCAGGAGCGATCCGCCGAAGAAAACCAACGAGATCAACTAACTTGAAGCCGAGTTTATTTGAAAAGATCAGATCGTACACACACATTCATTGGAAAATATAATGAAACAAATAATTCGGTCGGAAATCAATGTTTGTGGACGAAGTTGATCGGGATGGATCTGGAAGAGCCGTTCGACTTCTTCGGAGCCTCGATCTGAAGCTTTCCGTCGTTGGAAATGGCCGATTTAAGAGCGGTGAGATCGGCGTCCTCCGGGAGCAGAATCATCTTGGAGAAGGATCTCTTCGAGTAGCCGTGCTTTGATTTCGTCTCCTGTTCTCCCTCGATTATGAGTTCACGTCCGTTCAAATCAATCTTAATTTCCTCGGGTTTGAAGTGGGAGACGTCGAGTTGCAGAGCGAACTTGGTGTCGTTGTTGACAACCTGGAAGAGAAATAATTTAAAAAGAAGAAAAAGCAAAGATACAAACCTCTCCGATGGTATCCGAAAAGTTGAACGAATTGTGATCGGCGTCTCTCCAATAGGGCAGTTGAACGGACAGATCATCGAAGAAATGATCGGACGAAAATGGAGAACGGAGCAGAAGCATTGTAGCCTGTGAAATTAGAATGGAAGTGATATGGATTCATTATAATTCCCTCTTGTTTATATACATTTTCTGTCGAATCTTCTTGAAAATTCCAGAAGATTCGCGAAATGAGAGTGCAGAGAGACGCAGACTTGCCGGCGTTTCTGCGTTTCTCCTGTCGACACGCTCTCTCGTCTGCAAGAACGAACGGGAAATTTCCAGAGTAAACGAGGAACCTTATAAATAGCGGAAGATTCGAATGAAGAGCAACACTAATTATATTGTGTGCCTTCGAAGATGTCACTCTACTTCCACCCGAGAACCTCTTCGCTTTTCGACGAATTGCTGCGTAAAATGGCCATGGATACTCCGTTTCCGGAAAACTCTTCTGCTTTTTCCGCTGGCTCTGAGGTAAGATTTCCCCGTAATTCCATTAATTTTCCCACTTTTTTCAGATTGTCAACAACGCGGAAAAGTTCGCCCTGAATCTAAACGTGTCGCAGTTCAAACCGGAAGAGTTGAAGATCAATTTGGAGGGCAGAAAGCTAACGATCCAAGGGGAGCAAGAGGTGAAATCGGAGGACGGCTACTCGAAGAAGTCCTTCTCCAGAACCATTTTGCTGCCGGAAGACGTCGATTTGGCCGCCGTCGCTTCGAATCTCACTCACGAAGGCGTTCTGTCGATTGAGGCCAAGAAATTGGAGGCGATTCAGGGAAGATCCATCGCCATTCAGCAGGCCGGCCCGGACACTCAATAATCTCGCCTTTTCACTGGTATTTCTGTTGACTTTTTGTTAGACCTCTGATAAATGAAGTCTGTTAAAGCTTTTAAAAGTTGATTGTTTATATAATAAACGGTTTGACTCTTTCATAAATTGAACGGAATGAAAATATACAAGTAGGGGCAGTATGTACAAGTATCTAAAGCAACGGAAGAACAGGAAGAGAACACGAGCACCTCGGGTAAAGCAAGCAAGAACTAAAGGACGGGGGGAACCCATGAATGCAGGAGAATGAAAGCTGTACAAGGGATGGTATCTAATCGAAAGAGACGATGGGAATCGGGAGGATAAGAGTGAAATATGCCGGAGAAATGAGTTATGCGGGGAGGGGCGACTACGGTATGACGTGTACTGATTTGTACGAATTCGAGCTACTTTTCTTTGTACATATTCGGCGGAACGCATTCAAGCGCGCACTTTCGCAATGCGGACGTGCCGCTCCAGCTGGAAAAGGTGATCGTCCTCGTCGTTCGGAAACAGTTTTCGCACGTTCTCGGCGAGCTTGAGCACATATCTGGAAAAAAGTGATTGATGTTTCAGCCGTCGATTCGGGGTGCCACTCACTCGCAATTCGGGCCGGCGCATCCTTTTGCCGTCGCAATCTCGCGTGCCATTTTGATGAGGTCATCCGGACCGAGGTACAGATCATTCTGCTTATCAGCGACGCAAGTCAGAGCCATCACTACGGTAGGACGGCGGTGGGCGGAGTCGATTTGGACGGGCACCATTCGGAAGGAGTAGCCGTTGTCGATCTGTAAAGTTAGTTGTTGTTGGCACGTACTTTGATCCCAGAAGAAGAAAGTGAAAAAACCTCTGGTTCATGACGTACTCAATGAGTCAGCTGTTTTCAATTCATGGATAATAGCCTCACCTCTCTTTGCTCGAGATACTTGACGGCCGTGGTGATGGCCGACTTTCCGTCGACTCGGAACACGACTCCGTTCGTGCACGATTTGGAATCTTCGATGAGTGTCGCCACGCGGCCCGGCTGCAAAATTATACATTCAGACTGGCGCGCGGAGAGGAAGGGGGTCACATGTTTTCCGCGTGCTTACTACTGCTTCTTCTTCGAAAAAGAGGGAGGAAGAAGAAAGCGAAAAGAGAGAGAGAGCCACGCGAGCAACAACTATACGAAAAAGAACTGGGCAGCCTTAAACTCACCAATTTCTCGTCACCGCGATGATACGTGTTTCCTTGATACATTCGACGAACCCAGCCGATGGCGTAGGCCTTCCGGCTCGTCGCAAACGCGAATCCGGGATTCCAGATGAGGCTGCCGTAGCCGAAGATCCAAAGAGATTGATTAGTAGTGGAGGTCGAGGAGAGGGCTTCCATTTTAGAGGAGGATGATGTGAGCCACGGGGGCGGAGGAGGGGGTTTCTGCAAGAATGGAATGGAATCACAAATGACTCAATGGAATAGAACGGAAGAATCAGTGCCCAAAGAACGTTGGAAAACAGAGAACGAAAGAGGAGATCGGAAGATCTGTCTTGATGGATTCACACATGGTCTGGCCTCACTTTTATATAACGGGAGGCGATGGGGGGAGGGGCGGGCGCTGAGAGAGAGGTGATAGTGCTGAACGCGGCATTGCATCAGACACTTTTGGATGCAGCGGCGGGAGACGGCGAGACGGAGAGGGCGGAGAGGGAAACACATGTGTTGGACCGACTGGGGGAAGCCTTGGTCGACGGCGAAAGGGCACTGCAGAGAGCGAATAAACGAAAGCGAGCGGAGGGCCAGAATGGACCCGGGGAGCAAACCGAAAGGACACATTTCATTCGGTCCCCGTCATTTACATTCCCATTCTTCTGATGAAAAAGATGCAATAGCGTCTGTCAGAACCATTGGAATCACAGAAGAACAAGAAAGACCATAAATGTAATCAACTTTCAGGAAGTGAATTTGACCGAAAAGCATGCCTCAGCACTGTTGGCTCTGGTCTCTTTACGGGTCGTAAAATTTAGTGCTCAGCGGTTGATAACGCCCGTTTCGGTGGGGTGACGGAGGGTGCAAAAAACAGCTAGAATGGTATTGAGAGCAGGTTTGAGGCACTAAGCGAACGCGCTCCACTGGACTTTTTAAATTGACCGATTGCGCGAAAAATGCGAAGTGCTGAGTCCAGAGGAGCGCGTTTGCTGAGCTAAAAAGAGCGTCTCTACGAAAAGTGATCATTGTAAATGAAATCAAAAAACAGGCGCGAGGGGGATTCCCCGTTTCGGAAGCGATCCGATTACAAAGTGACCACCCTCCCGTTCTTTGTCCGTCTCTGCCGCCCGCGCGAAACTTTTTCAGCCGTAGGTCAAACAGTTCATGTGAGATGCATCGATCAGTCATAAAACAATCAGCCGCTTTCATTCTTCTCACTTTTCCCCCATCCGATGGCCAAAATAGAAGAGAAAGTTACAGTACTTTCGGCGAAACTTCCGCCCCGTTTTTTCGCGTCAACTGATAACGCGTCAAAACGCATTCTGCACCTGTCAAACAGAAGTGGGAAAGTGATAAGAAAACGGAAAAGAAAAAAGCGGAGAGGGATCAGTAATCAAATGGGTTCAGGAAGTCAAAGAAGAGCGATCCGTTCAATTTGGCATCCTGGGAACTGGTTAGGGGCTTGGCACGGCTTTGACCCATTCCAGTCCGTCCATGTCTAGACTGTTCCGTGGATAATGTTCTTCAAATCCCTTTCCACTCATACTTCGATTCTCCTTACCAACATGAAGATCCGTGCCCGTTCCCAAAGACTACACTAGAGTGCCCGCCATTCTCAGCCATGAAAAGTGACGAACGACATTTAAAAAAACCAAGAATTCCATCGCCCTGACCCATAATTGTCGTCGGTTTACATCAGCATTCCCCACAGGGTCCACCCCTTTTCTACAGTATTCCCTCCCCTGCGTCTCCTCGTTTTCAGTGCTCTTTCTCAGATTGCCCATCAGCTACTGTAGTTATACTTCGTCTTTATTTCCGTCGCTTTCGGCTGATGCAATTGCCACGCGAAACGCCGTCATCCACGTACTATTCGCAGCTCGAACGGACCCGAAACATGACGGAGATTGTGAGCAATCAAACCCACACACACACACCCTCACAATCGCATACAAACAAATGTTGGTTCGGTTTATAATCTGTTGTGCCAGAGTACTCATCAAACATTGGATCAAAATGAAACAAAGGGAATTACTGACGCGTCTTAAACCGATTTCAGACGAAGACGAACGGAAATGAAACGACGCCCACGCACTCACCAAAACGGGCATTTCTCACAGAAATATCCCCAGTACACACAACGAACCTTCACGATCCGAGGTCGTGCCACGTGAGAAATGTTCCGGTGAAGTCTTGAAATGAGCATAGCAGTAATGCTTTTATTTTCAATGTCAGGGACGAATGCGAAATGAAAGAATGGGTGAGCTTTCTGCGCGGAAGGCCCACCCACTCACTTTACGTGAATATGCAAATGTGATGAGGGAACGGACGGTCTACGTGACTTTCCGCGTCTTTGAATTGTATACCGTATATACAGTATACGTCATGTTTTGCCGGCCGGCTAGGTGTTCAGAGAACGGTCTGTTAGACTCGCAATTAGTGGAGTGCAGAAGAAGAAGGGAGAGAATGACGTCAATCCATATGAATGTGTGCATTGTCCCACTCTTTTGATCTTTCCCAGTACTTTCCAGGGCCGCGCGCACGCAGCCCCGATACGCAAAAATTAAACCATAGTTGCCACGGGCCGGGCCGGGCCGGGCCGGGCCGGGCCGAAATTTCCAAAACTCCGGCCCGGCCCGGCCCGTCGGCCCGGCCCGGCCCGGCCCGACCCGGCCCGGCCCGGTCGGCCCGGTTCAAAAAGCGGGAATTCAAAATTTGAATTATTGATCGCATGAAGCCATTTTTTATAGAATTAGGGGTTTTTTGCAAGCATCGAACATTGAAATATTTCTCATAAAAAATTCATAATAGCAAAAAAAACACAGAAGAAACAATTAGAAAAATAACAATTAACAAAAAACAACGAAAAGTAACAAATGGGATACTTATGCAACACTCGCAGAGTTTCCCTCAATCCAGTTTGGATACTTCGAAGCGATTTGTGCTCCGAGCACTACAAGTTCCGCTTTTTCGCAACGAAGTCGTGTTCTTCTTTTGTCCAGTAGGTATCCGGCAGTGCTGAACGATGTTTCACAGATACTTTCGCTTGGAATTACTGAAAAAACTTGAGCAGCAACTTCATATAACGTCGGGAACTCGTTTCGTTTCTTTCTCCAGTAATCCTCAACAGTTTCTGACAAAACTGTGAACTCGCCAAGATATCTGTAACATTAACACATCGATTATGTAAAAAATGTTGAAGCTTACAAATTTAGTTCATCTATTTCATTGTGATCTTCGGGGGTGTCACTCACAGATTGATATAGTGATTCAATGATATCCGTTTTCTCAGTTTTTTTCACTTCTTTTGGTGGCGTGGGATCTCTTGGAAGCAGGCCACGGATACACTTTTTTGCACGCGTCACGTCTTCTGAAGAGAACATAGTCATTTTCTTCGTTCGTGGCGAAAGCATGACAGCAGCAAAGTGGATATCATCGAATTGAGCATAGTAGTGGGAAAGTGATAGCAATGCCGCTTTAGCCAAAACTTCCACGACTCCAATATCCATTACATCATCATCGAAACTATCGAAGTCGAGTTTTGAGTAGTTTTCCCAACGATTCCTGAGACGCTTATATGCAGGCAGCACCAAGTGCAAAGTCACTGCTTTCTGACTCTGTAAAAGAATGTTTGAATAAGCAGTTCAAAAAAATTTTACCTGGAAGATATCGTTGTAGTTCACGATGTCCTCGAAGAATTTCACAACTGTTTTTGCAGCTTTGAAGGACTCAACGCTCAGTCTATTGAAGCTTTCTTTTCCGATTTTCGACAGAGAACTGAAGTTGCTCTGAATTTCATCAGATAGATCGAGCACTCCAGATAGACATTTCAGTCCGATGAGCCAACGGGTCTCGACACTGAGAGGTGGCAACTTTGACAAACTTGCGCACAAATTCACATTTGTTCTGATTGCATTCGAAACTTTTTGAGCATCTTCCATTAGTCCATCTACGTGTTTCAAAACTTTGATTTCCTCTTCATTGAAATGCGATTTGTGTACATCGAGCAGTTTAACTGTTCGCTGTGCGACAAGATTCAACGAATGATTGACACAGCGAATGTCTAGAAAATAATCAGTTTTTTTCTTTTGTTTCATAGAATACAACTTACATTTTCGGAAATGTGCTCCCAGTCCAGCTAATGCACCGTCCGCAGTCACGCGTGAAGACATAACTTTGTCTTCATCGATTCCGAATTCTTCGAATCTTTTGACAATCAGTTTCACTGTTTCCGTATTCGTTTTCCCGTCTAGTGCAGGAGTGAATCCAAGAGGGACTAATTGCAGAGAGAAATCTTCGTCAATGAAACTTCCGAAAAAGCTCAAGTAGTTATTGATTAGTTTCCCATGATCCAACACAAGGTTAAGTCGAGTTCCTGCATACTTCGACACCTGAAAAAGATTCCAATTGATATATTTTTTTCCAATAAATATCCTACTGTTTGAAAAGCTTTTATAATAAGTTCCGTTGCGTGTTTCTCAGTGTACTTTTGGACTGTCGTCCGTCCTGGAAGTTGTTTCAGTGTGTCAGCAGTGAAACCGGGCAAACTGAAAATTATCCAATTAAAACTGGTTTAGAAAACAAGCACCTACACTGAGTTGACAACTTCAAGCGTGAACTGTTGAACATGGTTCGACGAACAAAAATTGAAAGACTTCCCGCTTCGAAGGCAGAATTTCGCAGTAGCATCGGTGATCCCAGCCACTTGGTTGGTGGAGAGCCTTTTCTCGTTAAACTGCGTGATCTTTTTTTGCTTGAACCTCGAATTATCCTCGTCAGTGCATTCAACATTATCGATTTTTCGTTTTTTACATCGTTCTGTGACATGTCGCGTTACATGGCTGCCGTCGGTGGCGGCGAGTAATTGGAAACAGTTAGTGCAAACTGCTTTTCCAGTCTCTTTGAAATCTTCGTCTGCATCTCGTCGGAATAGCACAAGCAAGACTGACTCCTTCCGGAAAGCTTCACCCTGAAAATTATGTTTTGAATTATTTTCAATTTCCACATAGACTTACAAAGATCACTCGAGGATCTTTTTGTTTAACTAGCTTTTGAAGCTCCTTGTCAGAAATCGACATTTTTCCTCACTTTTTTTTAAAATTGAGTCGGTAAGTGCGGCAGAGCTAGTTTACCTGCAATGAATCGGTGTTAGTTTTGAACAAGTTGATAGAACACGCGAAAAACAGACGATTGAAAAACACAAATTAAATTATAAAACAATTATTTTGCGAAAAAAACGGCGAAGAAACCTTGTTTTACACGCTTTCATAACCGAAAATTAGAAATAAAACGGCTAAAGAGCGCGCGCGCCCGTAATATCGGAGTGTCGTAGTTTTTACAAAAATTTGAATAAAAAAAGAAAAAAACTTTTTGAAAAAAACTCAGTGAGATCTGAGTGAATAAAAAAACAAAAAAACACTAAACTTTTAGTTCGAAAAATTTTTTTGTAATAACGAAAAAAATTTCCGCGAAAAATTTGAATTCCCGCTTTTTGAACCGGGCCGACCGGGCCGGGCCGGGCCGGCACTTCACCGACCCTGCCCGGCCCGGGCCGGCACTTTACCGGCCCGGCCCGGGCCGGCACTTTACCGGCCCGGCCCGGCCCGGCCCGGGCCGGCCCGGGCCGGCCCGCATGGCCGGCCCGAAATCTGGCAAGTCTGAATTAAACTGTTGGCGAATCTCAACTCGAGACTGCCACACGGGTCAGCCCGTCCAAAAGTGCAATGGACAGGCCTCGCCATGGGGATTCCGTCTTGGTGATCACGAAATACCCCCAGCCAGGTAAGTTTATGAGACACCACGTAGAGGGAGTAGTACTGCCGCATGGACCGACGTCTCGCGGGTTCCGCTGCCCGCTATGTTCTGCGTGCAGGGGGCGGAGTCACGACGAGGGCGAACAGGGAGGACTGCGCGGCGACGAGGGGCAAACGCAGGCGAAGGGATGGTGGTTGGTGAGAGATTTTTTAGAATTCTTTGGGGATTTTTGAATTAAGTATTGTCGAGCTAGTCTCAGATGTTCAATACATAGGGTTTACGTAGGTTGCTTATGAGCTCAAATTCCTGAACTCCATAAACCACTATTTCATTAGGCAAAAAGGTCATAAATTCGTCCAATTTGTCAGCTTCTTGCATCAGCCTTTTTCTAATGGGATAATTTGATTAACTCATTCGGAATAAGCCGGTCTTCATCACACAAGAATGGTGCAATAATTCAGGCAACCAAATGAAATGGCACCGGTTTGTTTTCGATTGGCAATGGGGTCCAACTTGCAAACAATGTACCCTTCTGTATGGTGGAACAAAACAGCAGCTCGTTGTCGTACCAATTTATTTAGACAAGGAAAAAGTCAAATAAATACAACAGAAACACCAGTGAAAAGGCGAGATTATTGAGTGTCCGGGCCGGCCTGCTGAATGGCGATGGATCTTCCCTGAATCGCCTCCAATTTCTTGGCCTCAATCGACAGAACGCCTTCGTGAGTGAGATTCGAAGCGACGGCGGCCAAATCGACGTCTTCCGGCAGCAAAATGGTTCTGGAGAAGGACTTCTTCGAGTAGCCGTCCTCCGATTTCACCTCTTGCTCCCCTTGGATCGTCAGCTTTCTGCCCTCCAAATTGATCTTCAACTCTTCCGGTTTGAACTGCGACACGTTTAGATTCAGGGCGAACTTTTCCGCGTTGTTGACAATCTGAAAAAGTGGGAAAATTAATGGAATTACGGGGAAATCTTACCTCAGAGCCAGCGGAAGATTGCTGGATTTGATTGACGAGCGGGACGAATTGTCTGTCCATTCTGGCCATATCTCTCATGATTTCACCCATAAGAGAGTGCGGTCTCGGACGCGAATACGGGTAGAGCAGCATTGTAATTTTCGCAAAGTGCAAAATTGAAATGAGCGGTGAAAAGAGCTCGATTGGCCCCGCTATTTATACTCGTGTTGTTTACTTGTTTGTTTCTTTTCTAGAACTTTCCAGTTGCTTCATTGGTAGTAGAAGGCGGCGAAAGAGCACGCGCATTCGAGAGACGAAGACGTTTTTGTGCCTGCGTCTCTCGTTCGCGACGTGCACCCGAAGCCTCTCGAACATTCTGGTGTTCGCCTCAAACGGGTATATAAGCGAGTGCATTTCAGGAAAAAGCATTGCACCTTTCTCAAGTGACTTCAATCGACAATGCTTCTGCTCCGTGGTCCGTCCGACACTTCCCCTTTCGATCGACTCTTCGATGAGCTCTCTCGCGGAACCGTCCAGCTGCCCTACTGGAGAGACGCCGATCACAGCTCGTTCAACTTCTCCAACACTATCGGAGAGGTAAGATTCTGATTCTTTTTTTTTCTAGTTTCGTTATTATTTCAGGTCGTCAACAACGACACCAAGTTCGCTCTGCAACTCGACGTCTCCCACTTCAAACCGGAGGAAATGAAGATCGAATTGAACGGACGTGAACTCAAAATCGAGGGAGAGCAGGAGACGAAATCGGAGCACGGCTACTCGAAGAGATCCTTCTCCAAGATGATTCTGCTCCCGGAAGACGCCGATCTCACCGCTCTCAAATCGGCCATTTCCAACGACGGAAAGCTTCAGATCGAGGCTCCGAAGAAGTCGAACGGCTCTTCCAGATCCATCCCGATCAACTTCGTCCACAAACATTGATAATTCCGGTTATTCATTGTTCACATATGAACGTCCTTTTTTCAATAAATGATAATCCCTGTAAGAATGTCATGCCATGTTTTCCCGGAGAACGGACAAGTTCGTAGTTGCGACTCTGTCGGCTCAACGCATTGAAGACGCACCTCTTCAGCTAATAATGGGGCTATTCAGCGTATGTTTGTTTTCCGTTTTTTTTTTGTTTTTTTTACATCGCTGAATTGGGTTTTTTGACGTAAAAAAACGAAAAAAAACGGAAAAAATCATTTTTTTTACAGCCTGAATAACCCCATACCCTGAAAAGAGATATTATTTGCTTACAAAAACGATCATAATCCCAATTTCGTCTGAAAATCTTCGAGAATATGAGTTTCTGAACTATTTTTCAACGCATTTTCAGAGAACTCTTTTTGGTCATCCCGTCTCGACGTCACTATTTGTTTCTCTCAACAGAAGAAAACAGAACAAAACATTTTATTTACGTTTATTCAATAAATTCACCGTGCGAAGTACCCTATCAAACAAATTAAATCAATCTGAAAATTGCGATCACAGATCATATTCGGACTCCAGTTGGTAGGTGATTCCGAACGACGCGAGGTAGTCGTAGATCTTGGAGTCTCCGAATGCGGCGGCCGTCGTGTAGACTCCTCCTCTGAAAATCAAATAAATGAGTGAAGCAGAAAAGAGAGAATCACTGACTGCTTCGGGAGGTGCTCGGTGTCACGGATGAGGGTGAGGGCAGCCGAGAGAACGCATCCACTGGTGGCGATGTATCCGGCATCTGGACCCTTGCACGTGGCGACCACCTTGCGATCCGGACGTCCCTCGTGCTGCTGGTCGATCGGCAGCGTCTGTTTGTATCCGTATCCGAAGAACCAGTAGACGAAGGAGGCCTCAGCCATCTGCTGCTTGCTCGGTCCCGAGTTCTTGAACATGTAGAAGCTGCACTGATCCGGGTACTGCTGGAGAATGCGACGAGTGAATGGGTACTTGACAAGGACGGAGAGGAGCATGATCCACATTCCAATCAGATATCCCCAAATCTTTCCGCTCAGACGAATGTAGGTCTCCATGTGAATCGGACGGACGTGACGGACGGTCGCGTCGTAGTACTGACTGCGGTTGATGATCGACTTGTCGGCTCCCGGGAACGGAACCGCCACTCCTCCGAGCTCTTTCTCCGTGATCTCCCAAAGAGTAGGTCTCTTCGGAACCTTCACCGCTCCTCTGACGATCTTCTCCGGCATTATTTCCTTTCTGACGGCTCCCAACTTGTCGGTGGCAGCTCCGTTGAGTCCGAGAATCAGAGTCTGGTAGGTTCCAGCGTTGAACGAGTAGCCAGACGGTCCGGTGAGGAGTTGAACAAACGATTCCACGTGGTTCAGGTCTCCGTTGAAGTTTTTCTTGAGATAGTTGACTCCCAAATCGGCTGGAATCGAGTCCCACCCGCAGGCGGAAACGACGTAAACTCCTTGGCTTTCGGCTTCCTTTCCGTACTTGGCCTGCATCTTCTCGATCCAAGCTGGCTCTCCGGAGATGTCAACGTGACTGGCTCCGTTCTCGACGGCCGCTTTCACAACGGCTTCTCCGTACAAACGGTACTGAAAAGAAAAGATCAGTAGAATCTGGAATTGAAGGGCGGGGATGTTTCTTACCGGTCCGACGGCGTTGATGACAACTTTCGCCTGTCTGGCCATCTCATTCAACGATCTCTCGTCGGCCGAGTCGGCGACAATCACCGCTGCACCGTTCACATCCTTTCCAGTCTTCTGGCTCACATTTGCCAGCACTTCTCTCAATTTCTTCTCGCTTCTTCCGGCGACGGCGAACGAAAGTCCTTCGAATTGCTCGGAAGCCACGAGATATTCGACGACGTAGGCTCCCGTGAATCCGGACGCTCCGTACACAACAACGTCGTAACGGCTCATTCTGAGAAAAAAGAGCGGTAAAAATTGAGATTTTCGGCAACAAACGGAGAAGGCATAAAGGAGAGTAAACGGCGAATCTTGTAACGGTTTTTATCGAGTTTCAAGTGTTGACGGAGTTGTAACCGACCCGGTTATCAGTTCGAACACCTTATATTGCGGCGGTGGTGGTGCGATTCCATGTGAATTTCATCGGCAGTTGGGTGATCTCTGATCAGAGATCGCAGAGGCGGCTCACGAATTGGACGAAAAATATGTAAGTGAAGCTGTATCGAACAAATTGAAGTGGGCATTTGAATTAGAATACGGAAAACAAAGCTGAACATTGGGAAGCAACACAAAATAATTATTGTCCGAAAGGAGTACACCACATGTGGAAGAAAGTTTCATCTTAATTTTCCTCTTCCGTTTCGAAAATTCTTCTTTTTTTGCAGATTTCTTTCCAAATCCGAGCTCAAGGGTTCACTTCTCCTTTGCACGTTCTCTAAACTATCGACCGCGCGTCGAAATGATGAAATGGATGATCTTTAAACAGTTAAAAAGACGAAACACTGATAAGAATCGACGAAGAATTTCATTTGCAGTTGCTTCTTTCAGTGAGAAACGTCAATATTTAATATTTGACAGAAGGGGAGTATTAAAAATAGAAAAAAAAGCGAGAGGGAACACACGAGATGACCGGAAAACAAAGCAGCATCGAGACGAGGCGTCAAAGACCTCGGAACGTGGCCTACGCGGGCGAGGTTGTTTACAACTACAATTTCGCGGGCATTTCAATGTCGAATTTGATTCCGAAATCGGCAAGATACTGGTAGATGCGAGAATTTCCGAACGCAGTGGCTGTTGTGTAGACTCCGCCGCTGAAATGTCGACATTATTTGTATTCGGGAGAATTGGCTGCAATTTTTGATTGAAAATTGCGGTGCACTTTTCGTATATGGAAGAGAAAGAGGCGATGTTGATGTCAACATGGAAGTTCATACTTTTTCGGCAGTGCTTCCTTCTGTTTCAAAATTATCAGAGCTGACGAAAGAACGCATCCACTTGTAGCAATGTAACCGACGTCGGGACCAGTACAAGTAACGAGGAGCTGGAAATGGGCGATCATGATTGCACCTCTCAAGTCGTACCTTCTTCCTGGGCTTCTCAGTCCTGGGATCCCCTCGTCCGAATCCGTATCCATAGAATCGGTACGAGAACGAAGCCTCTCTCATCTGCTGCTTACTCGGCCCTTCGTCCTGAATCGCTCTGTCCCTTTTTCTCCTTTTTCCCAACTCAAAGAACCTACACTGAATAAGTTACAGCTGCTGAGAGAGGGATACCTCATCACAAATCGCTGAACTATTTCGTACTTCGCCGCCACTTTCAGAAGGCTCATAAATGCAGCCAAAAGGATAGCATTTGCGCGTGTTTCGAATCTCGAGTAGGGAGTGAAATGCACCGGTTTGACCCGGTTCTCCACCGCATCGTTGTACTGACTTCTCGTCACAATCGACTTGTCGGCCCCCGGAAAGGGAAGTGCCCACCCGGCGCTCTCCTTCTCCTCGATCCTCCATAAAGTGGGCCTTTCCCGGGGCAGATGGCCGTCGTCTGTGTCGAGCCGTTCGGGCATAATCCGACGGCGGGTGGCGCCAAGGTCGCCGTGGACAGCTGCGCCATTAAAGCCGAGCAGGAGGGCGTGCAACGAGGTGGCACTGAACGAGTAGCCCTGCAAATGGAGCCGTCAGCCTGTGCAGCTGCTCTTTGAGCATTTAGGCCAAATCGTTTCCAAATAAGACACTTGGTCTCATCTCGACGAGACTTTCAGAAGCATGTAGCCTACATGTTGTCATTCTATTCGTTTCTTTTTATGGCGAATTGACAGGCCAACGAATACCGATACCGACATCGCGGCGTCGAAACGGAGTGCACTTTTAAGACGATTACCGAGTTCAATGCTCTAAGGTGCTCACCGACGGCCCGAATTGCAAGTGAACGAAAGCGTCGATTCGCGAGAGTTGTCCGTCAAAATGCTTCTTGAGCACCGCCACGCCGAGATCCGCGGGAATCGAGTCCCATCCGCACGCCGACACCACATAGACCCCACTGGTCCGCGCCCGTTCCAGGTACTTGTCCTCCATCCGTTCAATCCATTCCGGCTCCCCGGCCACGTCGATTTGATGGGCTCCGTTCTCGACGGCGGCGCGCACGACTGCTTCTCCATGGAGACGGAACTGCAATGTTGTTGACAATGTGGCTAATGAGCAGAAGACGGCTCTACACAGGGATGGGCCAAAACAACAACTGGACTATACTATACAACTGAAATTCATCTCCCTTGTGTCCTACTTTACTAGCGAGTGAGTGCAAAGTCCAGCGGCAAGCAGCCGATGATTGACAGTTTCCTACCGATCTTCTCAAGAACTGACTGATAAAGTCTCCCGTCGTTATCATCAAATCACACTATCCATTTCTCTATTTAACTCACCGGTCCGACCGCATTCACAATCAGCTTCGACCTACGCGCCATTCTCGCCATCGATGCTCCGTCGGCCGTCTCGCAAATCAGCACTCCTACGCGTTCCGTCAACGAGGCTCCCGTCGTCGCCTGGCAGGAAAGTGTGAAGGTTAAAAGACGTAAGCTAGTACCTCAGTCTTCCGAATAACTTCTCGCAGTTTCTGTTCGTTTCTTCCGGCGATTGCGACAGAGAATTCGTCGAATTTCCGGCAAGCGATCATCGTTTCGAAGATCTTACCGCCCGTGATTCCGGTGGCTCCGTATAGAACCACATCGAACCGATTGTCGTGTTGGCTGTCCATCTTGAAGATGATCAAAAATGGGGCACGCCATTCGGTCGGTCGGTGATAAGGTCTCATCATCGATTGTTCCCATTCTCTTCTTTCTCGTTCTCTCCTATCCTCTCACATCATGCCAATTACATAAACATTGGCTCCTTTCCTCTATAATTGGCTTTGTGTTCTTCACGGTACTCCATCTTCTTCTTCTTCTTCTTCTTCTTCTTCTTTTCCTCTTTGGTTTTTGCTACGAAAAGAAGCGGCCCGCCCGGCCGGAAATCAGAATGGATGTGAGAAGCGAGAAAAGATGGAGAAGAGGCGCCAGTTGTGTGCCGGCTCCAAAGACACACAGTTGTCTTCTCGAGGAGGAACCAGTGATTTATTGAATGCACTGGGCGAGAGCGAGCGAGCGCTCACACTGACGGATAATGGGATTTGTGGTCAAGAAGACAAAGACGCTCCATTTAGAGCACACCCTTCTTTTCTGTGGAGAATTGCACTTTGGGTGTCGGTGCTGATAACGAGCGCATACTTTGTATTCCACGTGACTTCCCCTCCACTCCAAACAATCGTCGTTATCGCGTGTTCGATCTTTCCTCCCCCCTCTTCTCATCCGTCATCTTTCGAATTCAGATGAATGAGTGTGTGCTGCTGCTGGTTGAGATGACAAACGTTTCGTGCACGTCATGTGCCTTCTTTGCACTTTAGAGGATGATTCAGACCTCATTAGTGGCTCTATTCAGGAGCGAAATTGCAAGGGGACGACGCTACCGTATACCTTTTTCGGGGTAAACATCCGGAGGCACTTTGAAAAAGTGCAAACTCAAACTGGAAATCTCATCTCATTTCAAGACGTGTGCGCTCGCAACGAAATTGGAGCAAGACGAGTTTTCAATTAGAGCATTCTTCTCATATCCTCCTCCTGCTGCTCTCTGATGTGTAGTACAGCCTTGTACAGCTCACAGCGCTACACCCCCAATCCATTCGGGCCCCGCCTCTCTCGCTTCCATTCTTGTGCCCGCGAGCTTGAGCCGAGCTCTTTCATTCGTTTCTCCCGCATGTCTTCCTCGGCGCCATCGTCTCCCCGACCATCCTCTACGAACCCTTCGAGGTGAGCTCTCGTTGTCGTTTGCACTATGGCTCCGCATTACAAAAAAAAATGAAAGCAGCAGCGGATAAGAAGATTTCGGAGAGCGAAGGGATAGGGGGCAGATGTTCTTTGAGAGGCAGAACATTCGCCATCTGCTCCGGGAGCGGCCCCCATCCGATTACACCTGCCCTCGTCTCGCGCTCTTGACTTCTTTCATTCGCCTCTCTCCCCGTTTCTCTCTCTCTCTCTCTCACTCACTCATTCACCCACCCACTAAAAGTACTTTCGTACTTCTTCGTCTTTTCCTCACTCATTTATTTTTCGCGTTCATTCCGCTCCTCTCGTGACTTCTCTCCGCGACTCATTTTGCGCGTTTGCAGGGAACAAACCACGGGTGCGAAGTTGATTCCACCTCAAATCAGAGTAGAACGGTGCCGGTGTGTCACATGCGGTGGTGCAGCAGACTTGACTTGCAAGGAATGTAGACAGGTGCGTGCCGTCATTAGTATTCTAATCACGGCTGACTATAGTCTATGAATATGATCTATGAACCCGCTCAATTTCAGGAGACAGTGTTCTGTAAAAAGTGCGCTCGTCGTGCGAAACATCCGCACCCGTTGAAAGCGTTCCGACGCAAGGACGAGGACGCGTTCCTTCTGCGCAAACATCTGACGCTCTCCTACTACGAGCACATCGTCGCGTGCACTTCTCTGCTGTGCATGGAGACGTGCATGGAGTCGCGCTACGCCCGCGATCACTTCCAGCAGTGCTCGATCCGCCCGCACACTCTCATGGACATCACCGAGGACGGCGAAGTCCGTTTCGACGCGACCACCTGCAACTCGTGCGGACTGTTCTTAGCGTGTATGTTCATGCACGCGGACAAGTGCCACAAGACCGGCTGTCCCGTCGTTTGGTGCGACGAGATCCGCGCCACGTTCGAGATGGGAATGCCGGAGCGGCCGGTGTACTTGGTGAGCGGGGACATGGAGCGCAAGTGTGCGGACGTGCATCAGACCGAGTGGAGGAAGGTGGAGGCGCGGCGGCGAGACATGATGCTGCAAGACCTATTCTCCATCGTATTGTGACTATCTGATGGTAAGTCATCGTGTTCTAGTCGACCTCGCTTACCGATTCATTTCAGGGAACGCCATCTACCTCATCAGCAACTACCTCATTGATTACGGATTCGAAAGCAGTGCCATCTTTGTTGTATAGCCCCCCTTCTTCCCCCCGTTTAAATCTTGTCCCCCTCCCAACTGAAGAGCTTCACTTGTTTAACCTACCTCATGCATACCTCGAGGATTCAGACTCCAAGTACAGTACCCCCGGAGAGCCGTAGAGTCTGACCTCCGCCCTCCAACTCAAGGATTAGTTGTTAGTTCGTTTATTCATTTACTCATTTATACCTAACTCCCGCACATGCCTACTTCTCACTCACACTTGAAGCCGTTTAAAACTGTAAGATGGTGTAGGTGGCAGTGCCGAAGTCGCACGAATCCTAGGGCGACCTTCGAGAAAACTGCGATGGAGGCGCCGGACCCCTGCCGTCATCACCCCCTCTCCCCCGTTTCTTGCCCGTTCCGCCTGGCGCGGTAGTCTTTTCTTGTTGTTAAAAGGAAGATGGGATTACGGTAGCAGTTCCATCATACCGTGATTCTTTCTTCCGCTCCACCCACAGCACGTCATGTCTACCTCTCTTAGTCTACCTCCTTTCGCACTTCTTAACCCCCACTGCACCGCACACTAACCCTCACCCATAACATTCTAAAGAAAAAACCCCAAAAAAAGTTCAAAAGTTCCCAAAAACCCAAAAAAAACGTTCATTTCTAGTTCAATGTGTTCGAATTTTGGAATGTGCTCTGTTGCATTCCACTTTAATTTGCAATTGAGCACATTTCAAACTACCTCACCACCCTACCTCATTTCCAATATCATCCGATTCCCCGTCCTATCCCCCCTAATCATATCTGGATCTGCCCAGAATCCCACCGTTGTGGAAAAAGTCCTCCGCGTCGTGTGATCTTGTTGTCTTTGTACCCTTTCCCTATTTCGTTCGAGTTCTATGCATTGTGATTTCATCTGTCATTTCGATAGCTTTCTTCTTCTTTTCTGACGCCTAATAAATATGGAGAGACGAAAAAAGTGCACAAATTGGCTCAATCGGCAGCAGCGACAGCAGAAGCATGCTTTAATGAATTCGAGGAAGGGGAAAGAAAGGACTAATGGACATGGCAAGGGGAAATAATTCTAATTTAATTTCGGAGCGAAAGTGCAATGTTCCGGCCACATCTTCCCTTTTTCATTAAGCGAAGGGAGCGGAATTTGAAGCTCTAGCAATGCGCAAACATCTCTTTGAGTATGCAATCGAATTCAGACAAAAACAGTTGGGAAAGAAGGACGCTGTTCTGTTCATATCTCGATTATTGTCGGCTCCACAAAAAATGTCTTTCCGTTTGTTCTATTCTCAAGCAGATCCGTTCGCTCATCCATTCTCCACTCGTGTTTCTTGAAAATGAATGTTCTTCAATCTATGTCTAGAACGCACGAGAAGATCGGTCTAACGTGTGTGATGCGAGGAGATACCGGCCATCATGTTCGCTCACTTCACAAAGTACAACTATCACTGCAAATAGCGGGCAAGCGGGACTGGGTACGATACATGATTTTTAATAAACACTCGTAGAAATTCTGCTTTTTTTCGCCCATCAAGATGACGACAAGATCTCTCTGCCATCGGAACAAATAAAGCGCCTATTCTCTCGTATCTGATCTTGAACATTGCATCCGTTTTGGCGAATCTCAAAAGCGAGTCTTCTGGACTCCATTAAAGTCGTGTTTTCAAAATTCTTCCAAAGAGGATCCCAATTCTCGAAGCTTCTGGAGCCACTTAAGATTATGATTCTTTTGAATTTCTGAGCTTACGATTAGCGAAAGCTTTTTGTGTTGGAAAAATGATTACATAGAAGTACCCTTTATTATCAAAATGACTGAACATAAAATGAGATCTAACGACATAAGACTATACAAATGTACAGAATCTACGATAAATCGGCCTTCCTCGTCCCGTTTCGATACACACAACTGTAGTTGTCATTTGTAAACAAATCGAGCGTCGCCTGCGGAATCTCATCGCAGAACGAGTCCCTCTGCGCGTAGACCCGCTCGACTCTCTTGACAACTGCATCCACCAGCCTCTCCTCAAAGCTATTCTCCAGTCTGGTCTCTGTGAAGTTTCCAAATCTTCCGGCCCAATCGCTCTTCAGACTGTGTCCGGTGGTTCGGTAGTGACGGACGTATCCGATGCTTCGCGGAGCGTTTGCGACCATCACACCGGGATATTGGATCCACGACCAGTGATAGAATAGGGCTTGCACCTGAAAAGACATCGATTAATTCCAGGGGACCTTTTTGAAATTTGAAACCTTCTCCGGTCTGAATATAACTTTGGGCGTCTCCCAGGAGTAGGAAGACGTCTTGTTGTACTTGAGAAACTCCAAATCCTCGATCAACTGCTCCGTGCTCACGTACTTCTCCGGCAGTGGTTCCGTCCTTTGAACCCTCCGAATCTGGAACATGATCTCGCCCACTTCTTCGTCCATTGATCGGAGAAAGACAGGAAGCGGAGTGTGCTCCATCATGAATCGCTCGTCAATGTCAATGTTGAGGACCCATTTGGAGTGCTGCTTGCTGCGGAAATAGCACTCGTTTATCTGCAACATGTGGAACATCCAGTCCATCGTTTTGTACTCCGATTGGATGACCGTCACGTCTGCGAGACCCACTCTGAAAGTTTTTTTTCCATTAGCAGAACTAAGAACTTGCTGGAATACCTTTGATATTCTTGAAGAAGCTTGTTCGTATACGCATCCACGTCATTCAGAGCCGTCAGGTAAAAGTAGGTGGCTCCGATCAATCTGTGATGCTCCACGACTTCCGCAATCTCCAACCACCGCTTCTCTTCTCCGTAAACAGGTCCGAAGCAGACGGATATCTCGTGTACCGGCTCTAAAATCTAATTTTTCAGCAAATTTTCGAAAATGCAGACAACACTCACGTTTGTACGCCCTGAAAACGATCGGCACCGTGTTCATCTCATCGACGCGCGAGAACATCTCATCCGTGAGTGACACGTAGACGGCACCGGCTCGCCGAGCACAATACGCCGCTGAGAGGGGAAACATGAACGAGGGGAAGACGGAGACGGGAAGTTCGTCGCGGTTGCAGTCGAAATAACGGCAGAACACTTGAGTTCCAAATCGGTTCTGGGTGGTGGTGGTGACTGCGATGTGGTCTTCGTAAACGAACGCCGAGACTATTTTGAGTTTGCCCTCCCGCAGATTCGGCTGGCTTCCAATCGATCGGCGCGCCCATCGGAGGTGCTGTTCGTAGAAGGAAACGTTGCGGAGCGTCACGTTGTTCCACGGTTCTATGTCACAGATTCGTCTGAATGAGTGGAGATTGGATACTTGCTCATTTCACAATCTCATTACTTTCCAGTCTTCTCATCAACCAGTGGCCAAATCTCTTCAACCGACGATTCTGAAGAGTTTTGGAACGGAAGAGTGACATTCTCGAAAGTCGGTTCAACCGACGTTTCTGTCCTAGCTTCCTCTGCTGAAAGATTGAGACAGAATAGAAATGGTTCAAAAGTGTTCACTAACCTCGAAAGACCGACAGTAAAGTGTGCCAGACGATGAAAACGACAATAATAACGGAAATCAATGGCCACGGAGTGCGGTGCGTCATCATTGTGTTGCGTGGCCATTTCATTTTGTCGAGCGAGTGCCAAGAATCTTCCTAGGCTGCCGTAGATCTCATCTCCGTGGATCGGTTGCGTCGTCGTCGTTCTTCCAAAAATCTAGCCGAAACCTGTCGGCTGGTCGAGAAAAACTCAGAGACAAGAAAGTGCGCTTCACGGATTGTTTCGATCGTTCCGCAAAGATCCTTACCAGCAGCTGCCGTGGTCAACATCGGGTATCGAAACAACGATCATTTCACTCTATTGTCATGCGTTCTTCCCGGAGAGACGTGCAAGTCAAATGCCTTCTTATTCTCATAACTGCTCTCGTTTTCATTCTCACCTTCAACATGCGGCAGTCTATCGATTTTTCCGGCAAAGGGACCAGTACATCGGTGACCAGTTTACCAGTCGACTCTGTGTTCCGCAAGATTTTTTTAAAAAACGCTACCGAGTTGCTCATTTATGACGTGGCAGCTGGCGAGAAGCCTTCGTACGGAGAATGTGCAATTGAGGATTGGAATAATGTGACAAGTGATGCAATTGAAAACGAGGAGCTACACAAAAAATGGGCCGCGCGGGGCACTGGAAACATGGTGAGCTATAGACTAGAATAACTACATTCCATTTCATTCAATCTTTCAGCCGAATCTCGCAGAAGGCGAATTGCGTGTCGTCTCGGCGTTCGTTTATAAAACAGAGATTGTAGTGACGACAACCGCCGAGAACAGATTCGGGTGAGCAACTTTTTTGAAAGCATCATGTTATGTACACAAATGTTTTTCAGAAAAACAGTCTATTGCCGTTACTTTGACTGCAATCGAGTGGAGATTCCGAACTCGACGTTCCAATCCTACATGTTCCCGATGACTTCTGCCTATTGTGGACGGCGGGCCGGAGCCAAGTTCGTTGGACTGACGGAGGACCGTTATGCGGAGGCAATCGACCCGGCGCCAATCACATTCAGAATATATGAAAGTATGAAGCTGTTTAACCAACTTTCGAGAGAAACTAAGTGGATTTCAATTCAGAACCAGTGCACGAAATAGCGGTTTGTGTTGGACCGATCTATGGAAAGGAGAGCAGATGGCTGGAGATCGTGGAGACCACTGAACATCACATGCTTTTGGTAGATCACGACAATATAGTGTCTGCTCAAAATACGATCTTATTCAGGGAATCCAATACTTTTATCACACAGTTTTCGATGAGATGGATTCGTACACCAGAAAGTTGTTGGATGAGTATCAGAGGTTGGGGACCGCAGAAGTGACAGTGATACAGACCGAGTACAAATTGATGGATTGGATGTTTCACATGATGCAGATTAATGTAGGCTTAACATCCTTACTTTTGCCGACATTTCTTGCCTTCTCAGGACTGTTTCTATCGTGCCCGTCATCACTCCAAATGGATTCTCAACGTGGACATCGACGAGAGACTCGTCATGCATCGGATGCCTCTTCTTTCTTACCTCCGAACTGTCGACGACAACATCGGGGAGATCAGTTTTGCGGCCGGCAAGATCCAAAGAAATCGAGAGTTGCCGAAAGAGTACACGGACACCGATTCCCTCTACGAACAACTTCTGTTCCTCAACAGCAATACCACTGCTCAGACGATGTACATGGGAATGAAAGCATTGATTCGACCTGACATGTGAGAATTCCCCCATACTCTGTAAACTCTTAAACTTTTCCAGAACTGACGCCCTCTTCTATCACTGGACTTGGGCTCAAAAGCCGGGCGTGCGTATAATCACTGCTTCGAAGAAGTTGGGGTACATCCGTCATTACCGTACCACTCTACCCAGTCTGGTTCGAACTTGGATAAGGCACGAGCTCAAGTTCAAGACGACTCGACTCAATGCAAGCTTTGAGGAGAAACTCTCGAATGCTATTATCAAGAGAGTGAAGCGAGTCTATGAGAAGAGACCGATTTTCTGTGAGGAGATTCCAGAGAACCTCCTGAAGGCTTTCACCAAAGACAACTATCATTGTGAATGGAAGAACAACGGCACTGCTTTCGGGGCTTAAATGATTTTGACCTTTCGACTTTTTCCTCCCGTCCTTCCTTATCTACATCGTATTGTCCACTGTCCACTTTCTACTTCCCCCTAGAAACCTGTCCCAATCCCGAACGATCTCATTTGCCAGACTCAAAACCCGAATAAATGAGTTTCTGTACTCAACTTGGCTCATCTGTACTCAGCAGAAACCACAACCAGAAGTCTCTCTTCCTCTCCACGAACACACCAAACTTGCCTTCCCTTTTTCCTCATAAGAGATCACTTTTTGTGCTGAATCTTTATTCTCATCTTCGTCGTCAGAGAAGATACCGTCGTTTTTCTTCCGAATTCTCTCTTTCGGCGCGCGCGTCGTGGAACAGGACACTCCTATCTGATTTTTAAATATTCTGCACTGAAGGCAGGCAAAAGCGGCGGCGCACACTTCTTCACCGTGCGGATCCGTGGAAGTGTGCCTCTCATGAATTCCTATTTGCATCCGATGACGTACAGTCTTCTGAGTCTCCGCAAGTTCCGCTACAAACTACACCCGTTGCGAGTCTTCAAACTGCTCTTCCTTGTCATTTTTCTGTCCCTCTTCCTCGCCATTCTGATTGTGCCGAAGTTCCTCGATGAGAAGTGGGTTCAACTTTTCTGATACTCCTCGTTTTCATTGACCAACCATCTTCAGGGAGAAGGTGAAGGTGTTCCAAGCGACCCACACCTTCATTCATTCTGCATACTATTATCCGACTTCGAAATCGTAAGTCCCATTGAATAAATGCCCCTAATGATATCTGTTTCTAGACTCGGTCGAAATGCAGTGGCCCTCGTTACCACTATGAACAAAAGAACGGTTTCGAATATAACAGAGTACACAATCAATCTGATCGGAACGAACCGAACGGACCGATGGCTCAAGAAGGCAACATTGACGACGTGGAATTACTCAGTATTATTCAGAATACTGTTAAAATACACATTTTCAGAGAGCACTTGCTCGACGACCGATGCGATTATTCTCTGATCACCGCTCAGACGAATCTTGTTGACAACATGGCGATGCTGGAAATCGAGGCGGAAGGAGTTCTGATGAAAGTTCCGATGAAAACGCCGAAATATTCCGCTCCAAAACCTGTCGTTTTCTGTGTTTCTCCTCAGTTTGCCGCCGAACAATGGCAGACTTTCCTGGTTCAACTTCATGTTTCCAAAAGGTTTTTTGCACAAAAGTTTCAAACTTTCAATCATTTGACGTTTCAGGTACGGAGCTCATCTTCAACTGTACATTGTTTCCATGGTAGAATCCTATTTCAAATTGATCAAAGAGTACGAGAAGATGGGCTTGGTTTCCATTGAACCATGGCTGACTATCAAGTTCCCAGTGACCGATGGACCGTATTTGGAGCCAAATAGAAATGTTGAGCTCAGAAATCAGGCGGCTGCTCACACGGACTGTCTGCTGATGTACAAAGAAGCCGCGAGTTTCGTCGGAATTCTCGACATGGACGATATTCTGATTCCGAACAACGCCAACTCGTACTACGAGGAATTCGAAAGGGAATACGCGGGCAGCTGGCTGATCAGCGCACTTCACTACGAAAAGTTCGACTACAAGACGATCAAAGTGGCCGAACTCGAGGAGCAGAGCATATCGGCGATTGTCAGAAATGCGCGACGTCTTCCGACTAAAGATTCCGGAAAATCATTCCTTCGTCCGGAACGATTCAATTCCTCGTGGAGTCATTACTCGAGAAACGCGGACAATCAGCCGATCTACCTGACTCCGAAGCAGAATGAGCCGTTCTTTATGAAGCTGAAGACGATGAAGTACAACGGAATATTTCATCTCAAGAATATGTACATGATAAATTCGTCGAGAGTGCCGGAGGGTGCGATTCCGGTGAACCCAGGCGATAACATCACTCAATTGATCAGTGAGGAACATCTTCAGGAGATTGATGAGGACTTGAAGAGGTTTTGAGGAGCCAATAGCTGATAAGAGGAGTATAATGAATGATATTTTCAGAGCTCTTGCCACTGAAGGAATTGCCAAACTGTCGTTGACTCTTCCGAAGGACGACTACTACATGCCGATCGTATTCAAATGCTACAACGAGTCGTTCTACCACATCCGTGACACGCAATGGCTCTACAATGACGTGTACTGCGTGAATGCGTACAGTTGTGAGCTTCCCCAGCGGGAAGACGTTCCGTGCGTTCATTCGGATGCCACCTACCACTCGGGCCCCAAAATGTGGCCAATCACTTTTCATTACGCGAGTGCTTCTCACTTTTCGAGGGATATCGGCTGTTATCAGTGACCGAGAGGTTCAATTGTACAATAAGCTTTATAGGTCTCATCAGGTCTCTCTCTCTCTCTCTCTTTCTCTAAATGCAATGAATCCTTTGACCGTGTGCTAGTGCATCTTGTGTTAGCCAAATCAGGTCTTATCGTCCTGTCTATATCTTTCCAACCCATTTCCTCGAAATGTTGCTAAAAAACATTGGCAAGACTGTTCGTCTGTCTGTCCACAGTTCCGCTCTCATTTTTGCCGCCTTTCCTAGTCTCTCCGATCTCATCTAGATCCGAATCTCCCACAGGCACCTGTTTTCTTTTGTCTCTTTCTGGACCGTTCAATTTTTATCTCGCCTCACTCAATTCTTGTTTCTTTCACTCACAGCCGAAATGGCGAAGCTGCACAACTGGAAGAAGATGGCCTCACGGCTCCGGCTGCCCTGGACCAAGATTCTGGCCGGAATCGCTGTGCTCGGGGTGCTCAGTCTCTACTGGTTTGGCGGCGATTCGCCGGATCCATTCTACGAAGAGATGAACCATCTCGAGCTGAAGGACACCCACGCATTCATCCATTCGGCGTACTACTTTCCCAACTCTAAGTCGTAAGTCTATACTATACAAAAAATAACTCTAGAACATATGAAATTATTGCAGACTTGGTAAGAGCGCCGTCGCCATCGTTGCCACAATGAGCAAGAAGTCGGTGGTTGATCTGAACAAGTATCAGGTTAGAATTGTGGGGACCAACAGCACCGACCGATTTGTCACCGAAGCCAAATTGAGCACGTGAGTCGTCTTGTGAGCGATTTCTTTGCTAACACATGGAAAATTCAGTGAGCACAATCCAGACGATGGCTGCGAGTACAGCACTGTGCTCATTCAGACGAATTCTTTGAAGTACATGTCAAAACTCGAGATTGAGACCAGAGACGGCCTTTTCACTGTAAGTCAGATCTGCTCAGCTTCTTCTTTCTTTTCCCGCACCGTAAAACATTTCAGCTGCCCATCTTGAAGCCGAAAAAAGAGGCTCCGAAACCAGTCGTCTTTTGCGTCGCCCCACTCTTCGCCGCTGAGCAATGGCAGTCTCTTCTGATGCAACTCCACGTGGCCAACAAGTTCGGAGCCCATCTCCACGTGTACATGACCACTCTCGTTGAATACTACTATCAGTTGCTCCTCGAGCTGAACGAACTCGAGCTTCTGACTGCTCAGCCGTGGCTGACTATCAAGTTTTCGCAAGTTCTGAAGCCATACGTGGAACCGAACAGAAATCTGGAGCTGAGAAATCCGGCAGCCGCCTACACGGACTGCTTGCTTCAGTACAAAGAAGCGGCGCAGTTTGTCGGGTTCTTGGAGGTTGAGGACCTGTTGTTCCCATTAAACGCCAACACTTATTACGAGGAATTCGAGAGAGAATACGAGGGAAGTTACGACATAAGTGCACTGTATTATCAAGTTTTGGAGCAGCAATCTGTTAAATGTACTATATTCATACTCTTAAAGCTGTTCACCTAATTCTCAATTCTTCTAGCTAGTTCTCCGTATCAACAAAGCCTTGGCCGGATGCTCGAAAGCGCCAGCACAGTTGAAACGGCAAAGAAGGGAAGAGCAGTTGTTCGTCCGGAAAGGTACAATTCCACGTGGACGCACTATTCGACCCAAGCGGAAAAACAGCCGATTTACCTGACTGAGAAGCAGGAAGATCCACATTTCATGAACCGGAAAGAGATAAAGTCGAATGTAGTAATGCGGTTCAGGAAATTGAAAACTGTGAGGGAAAATACCTACGGGGCGAAGGATCTTTGACCTCATACGTTTAAGGTGGAAGTGGAGATGCAACTTGAAAATGGAACTGACAGCAGCTTCTCGTCAATTCCGATGAATCCAGTGAGCACAGATCAGAAGCTGTTGACTGATGAACATCTGAGAGCGATCGAGGCGGACATCAGAAGGTTTATTCTTTTGATTTTCTATCAAAACTTCATCGAAATGTTTCATTTTCAGAACAATGAAACTGCCGTCGCTCCAAAAAGTGATCAAACATCTTCCGACGACCGAATACTACTCTCGTTACCTCGAAGACTGCATTTCTGGACAGAGCACTGGCAAGAAGCATTGTGTGAGCACAAAAGGATGCAATGTCAGTTTGGACTGAAACTTTTCTCGTTAGAACAAATGAATTCAAACATTTCAGTTGCCGAACAACGCATCAATTCCATGCAGGCACTCGGATGGACTGTATCACTCGGGCCGCAAAATGAGACCATTCACCTATCATTTCGCAACGGAACCATATTTCACTAGGAACTTAGGATGTTACCAGTAGACACACACACAGGATATCTCTTTTTGATTTTGAACGAATTCGGAGTGTTTTTGAAAAAGAGTTGTGAATATAAAGTTTGTTTTCTTTTGTCTGTTACAACGAAGGTTTTTCAAGATAGAATTAGTGTGTTGATAGCGGATAAGAAGACTACTTCTCATAATTCATTGTACCTTCTTTTCAAGTTAGTCAAATGATATAAAACCACTGTTTCCAAAGTCTTGTTCGCGTGAACCAGCAACATTAACACGTCCCCTAGCTGCTCCTCCTCTGCGTTCATTGTTTCGTCAACTCTCTCTCCGAGCGATGCTTCAATACATTATTCTTGGTTATCTCATTTTCGAGGTCAGTTGAGCACTTTTGTAGCCCGACTCACCAACTCTTTCTTTGTTATAGATCGTGCGTCTTTCGCAACTGCCGGACGCCCACGCCATCAAGTTCACTCCTCCGCCTCCGGAGCAGGCACCTCCTCCTCCTGCTCCAGCTCCACAATCGGTCCAGACCGCCATTCCAGAAGCGCCAAAATCGGAAGTCGCCACTGCCAAGTCCGCATAATCTTTTCGATGTCTGACAATCGCTGTTCAATGAATCAAAACGTTCCTCCTTGTTTTCTATTGGAAATTTATTTTTTTAGATCGGGACCTTCTCTTCTTCGATTTTTTCAGATCAGGACCTTCTCTTCTTCGAAAGTCAACAAATTTGCGAAATCTCTGTTTGCTGACCAGAAAATGAATGCCGTTTGTGGTACAACGTAAGAGGTTATACACGTACTTTTCGATAATCGCCTGGCCGAAGCGAAACCATCGAAAACTTTTGTGATGTAAGTTGTACATCCGCTTGGATCTAATGTACGGGTTTATGAACAATTTATTACGTGGTGGCACTCGGTAATGATTATGCAATGCACAGAATACATTAAAGTGCTTGATTATGGCTGTTGAGATCGTTTAAATAAAGAAATTAAGAGAAATGGAGTTTAAAGAGCCGTCCACTTGATGATGAGCATGATTCCGGCCGAGATCAGTCCTGAACATGTCCTTTCAAAAACTTGAACAATATTTCAAATTACCTGCAACCGGAAGTGTGACAATCCATGAAATGACGATATTTCGGAATATAGACCACTTGATTCCCTCTCCGGAACGAATTGATCCGACCGCAACGACACTTCCCACCAGACAATGCGTCGTACTGATCGGAAGACCGACTTTGCTCGCGAGCAGCGCCGTCATCGCTGCTCCGAACTCGATGGTGAACCCACTGGCCGGGTTGATTTCCGACATTCTCTGGCCGACGGTTTTGATGACTCGGTGGCCGAGGGTCCAGAGACCGACGCAAATTGCGAGCACTCCATAGAGAAGCACGTAAATTGGCACCGCTTCTTTTTGTTCTGTCGATTTGAATCGGTAGATAGAGATTAAGGCGGCGAGAGGAGCGACGGCGTTGCTCACATCTTGAGCTCCGTGCGCGAATCCGGCAAAGCAGGCGGTGAATACTTGGATCGTGGCGAACAGTTGAGTGGTGCTTCTGCTGTCGATCTGCCGTTTGTTCGGAAGGAGCCACAGGAAGAATTTGCGGATTTTGCCTGGTGGTGGCGCTGGTTTCGGTTCCACTTGTATGCTTCCTTCGGTGAACTCTTTCAGTTCGGAGGAACCTCGAGCGGATTCCAGGTCGGAGAAGATTGGCGGAGTCGGCGGCACTTCGGAATCTGAATTCAATGAAACTTTTAACTGACGTTAAACTTTGAACGGAAAACCTTGAATCTTAGCTTGAATTCTAGGTTTCATGATGAAATGGGCGAATGCAGCGGCAAGACATCCGACACCAAGAACAATGATAATGATGCCCCAGAATGGGATCTTGTCAAAGTGAAGAACTGAAAGAGTACCATTGGAAAAGGCATCCTTAAGGAGAATAAATATACGTTTCGATCCATCCCAGAAGATCATGAGAGCATTGAAGGCAAGACAGACAAAGTAGAAGACTGGGAGAGCGCGGAGACCGGCTTTCACCGGATTCGCAGTTCTCAGGACGACATGATCGACGATGATGTAGAGGACAGAGGAGATGGTCCCTGAGAGCAGTGGGGACACGAACCACGAACAGACTGAACAAAGCAAAACATTTCCTCTTTCTTTGTCATTTCGGTTTCCAATTGCTTACCAATCTTAACAATTGCCAACCACTGAATGCCTTCGAACCCTTTGATAACGATCGAGAATCCGACAGTCGCACCCACGAGAGAGTGCGTCGTGGAGACTGGCATGTGGAGGGCCGTCGCGATCATCAGCCACGAGGCGCATCCTGCAAAAACGGAAAGTTTGGTGAGTTTTTACATAAAGCTTTTCGAGCTAGACCTCCGAGAATGGCGACCTGTCCGAGCAACAACGCTTTCGGATCGTCTGCGTATTGTGCCGTGTCGACGACGCCTTTGCGCATCGTATCCGTCACACTCCATCCTGAATTCAACCAAATCACACACACAGTGACTTTGCGGCGGAACGGATGACTCACCAACTAGTACCGACCCGAGTGTTTCAAAGATTGAGGCCATTATGTAGGCCTGAATAATGGTGACGACTCCCGAACCTGCAGTGATCTTTTGTATATCATTTTTGTTCTGGTTCGACTGGCTACTGACCTACGGAAGTGCCGAATGCATTTGACACGTCATTGGCGCCCATTCCCGCGCCCAGAATGAACGCCACAATGATTCCGACGATCAGCGCCCATAGTACGGTACTCTGAAACGAGACAGTAGGATGAGTAGCAAAGGGAAATGTGTACCTGATCGAAAGTGCCGACAGTTTCACTAATTGAAGTGGTTATATCAGTGAGTATGGCAGTTGTGGTGTCCATTTCTGAAAAAAGGAGGATGAACATATGATCAAGGCCGACTATTTATAGTTCATAACAAGTTCGGGGGGAAAAACGTTGAATTAGAATTTCGGCGACAGACACAACAATATTGCGTAGAAGAGTGACTGTTCTCTGCTACATTTATACGAGTGCAAGTGGTCTCCGCATGGTTTCAGCGGGGGGACACCTCCTTTGAATGCGTTGCCAAGTGACTAATGTCAACAGGAGACATCAGACAGAGTATTAATCCGATTTTTGATAGTCTAAAAGAAGACCGAACGGGAGGGCCGAACGATTAGGAAGTTACATGATGCTCATTACGAAGCGGGAGGAAGAGGCGCGGAAAAAACAAACATAGTAGTACGGATGGATTTTATCGAGTTATGGAAAGTCAACATTTATAGGCGCATTTGGTACGTAGATCGTGTCACTTTTTTCGAATCATGATTTGTTGTTCCTGTGCAATGTAGTGGGGAAATAAACATTTTTCGATTTGATTCGCATGGGAATTCGGAAATTCGCCTGAATCAGGAGGGGGATCAAAAACAGGGGACTCACAAACGGACTGTGAGACGTAATCCGATGAACGCACAGGTAGAGTGGGGTAATCTCATCTGGGGCAAAGTGAAATCGTGCAGGAAATCAAACAGAGTTCCGTTTTTGATGGGATACAACACTTTTTAAAAGAGGGTTTATGATGTTTTTGGGGTCCACTTTCAATATTTGGATCGGACTTGTATGATTGGCAGTCTCGGTTTGAAGTATATACTTTTCAGGCTCAAAAGAAGTATGTGAGTAGAAGGTATCCGCGTTTTTCCCTCACCTAGGTCGTAAGAGCAGCGCCCATTTGCGCCTGTATTCGGTAATGCAAACCGAAAAACAGTTCACTGGATCGTTTTCTATGATTTCTAGGACCTCTACTAGACTTTGTAATGTTTTGCACACCTTTAACGTAGAAAAACTATAATTTCTCATCGTGTAAAATCTCGCGACATTAAGCAAAACCACTCTTCCAGACACAATAAATTCAGTAGTGTTTTTTGAAAATCGTCCGGATATAGAGAGTGTGGCGGAGCACCAACACCCTAAAAAATAAATTCCAAAACGGAAGTCTAGAATCAGAGACGAGAAATGCTCTATAATTTGCGTTTAGACACGAAAACACAGCAGAGACGGCCTTCTGGGCCACCTTTTATCACACGGAATGCGATTGTTCCCATTGTGGCTGAAACGCGTCATTGTCAAGAGGTTTTTAGTCACCCGGACAGAGAAAAAGAAGGAAATGAAAATGAAAATCCTTTCCCAAAGTTGTTTCCCCGTCTGTTAATGACATTTGTTTTCGTGAGCCTGTATTCGGTAATGCAAACATTGAACCACTTGAGGAGTCTGGGTCACTCTCGTGCTCCCGCTCCTGCTCTCTCTCATTAGGGTCTCATTTTCTGTGTTTTCAAACATGATCTCCGAATGAGTGACGAGGGTGTAATCTTCAGCACAAACACACGTTGCTAAATGGTTCGTTCGTCTAGAGATCAGATGATTTTTCGGTCTCCCGATTTCGCGTCTCTCTTTCGATCTGTCTTTGAAAATCGTCGCGAACGTCGCAGTTTGTTGTTTCTAGGTCACTGATGAGATTATACGCACATTCTCACAAAATATTCTTCATTCAGAGAACAAAAACAGATATAAGCGGTAATTGTGTCATAATCACTGGTTGCTACCCGTTCGAAATACCAGAAATAGAGATGGAATGGGAAATGCATACACAGAGGAAAGGATCTATTCGGGGAGAGCATATACAGCGTCCAGGTAACTGTGGGCGAACTCGTGAACAAGCGAACGGTCGGGAATGCTCTGCGCGAGCCCGTAGATGGCCGCCTCGCTGCTTTTATCGGACGCCGTCGGCTTGTTGGATCGGACGAACTCGACCGCTTCTCGGCAATCCTTGAGGAAAGCGTCGGCGAGTCCCTCGTGGGTGTGATTCATGGTGACCATGATGTGCACTCTGCAATTGAATTGGATGGTGTCTCAAGTAGTTTTAATAGTTACTCACCCAGATGGGAATTGCAGTCCGTTCAATTGCCACTTTCGTTCTTTCATGTAGTTGTGGAATCTGTAGAGCTCGACGCCGTCTTCAGTCGTCCAGTTGACGATGCACAAATCACTCGGGCCCTGGATTTTGATTCCCGGAATGCTGGCAAGTCTGAAATGTCAAGTTCTCACAAGCATTGCTCATGCTCTTCGATCACTAACCCATCCCTAATTTGTCTGGTCGTCTCAACAATCTTCCTCGCATTGGCAGTGTAGCCGTCCTCCGCGTGATACAGCATGGCCGCCCAGCACAGTGCGATGTTGTGTCCGGCTCTGGATCCTTCCATGGTCGCCGACGCGTAGATTCCTCCTTGCCAATCGGCGTCGCAGAAATATTGGTTGTGAAGGAGTTCCGTGTTGCGGTACAAAACGACCGAGGACCCCTTGGGAGCCAGACCATATTTGTGGCTGTCTGCGGAGATCGAGGACACTCCGGGCACGCGGAAGTCGAAAGCGATCTCGTCTTCTTCGAGGAAAGGCAGCAGAAATCCGCCGAGGCAGGCGTCCACGTGCACGGGAATGTCGAACTCAAGACCCAGCTGACCGATGGCTTCAATGTCGTCGACTGTTCCGAACGGGAAGTTCGGAGCGGACCCGACAAGCATGCAGGTGCGGCGGTTAATGGCGGCTCTCATCTTATTAAGGTCCACTTTGAAGGTGATCGGATCCACTGGAATCTTGCGGACTTTGATGCGGAATGTCTCGGCGGCTTTGAAGAAGGCGGCGTGACAAGATGAGGGAACGACCATCTCGGTGTACTTGGCTCCGCGCTTCAACAGACGGTTACGATGTGCCAGACAAGCGAGAAGGATGGAGATGGATCCTCCAGTTGACATCTGAAACTTGTCTTTAAAGATGCGGTCAGTTAATGTTGAATGTCTTACAGTTCCGCACGTTTCCTTGTCTCCATTCATCATCGTGCAACACATTCTGATAACTTCAGCCTCCATTATTCGAATACCCGGGAACAGTTTTGGCCAGAGCGGGTTGGACCACGCGAACTTTCCGAATACTTCCTCGTACATTTCCCTTTCTTCCGTATCGTCTTCCCTGTTGAAGACTGCTCCGGACACTCTGCCCTCCAGATAAGAAGGACTCTCCAGTTGATCATAGGCGTTTGCCACTCGAAGGACCTCCTCTCTTCCGATTGATTTGCTCGGGAGGGCTTTAAAATATCGGAAGTTGCGATCAATGAGAAGGCTCTTCTTGAGTTCATCTTTGACCTCGTTAAGTTGCTTCTAAATATAAACTGTCTAGACGGGCTGATAAGTGAGTCGCCACTCACGTCTATCATATTTCTCACGAGGGGTATGCTCTTCACTGTTTCAAAGAACCAAGTTTTCATTCGTTTCCGAAGGCCTACAAAATGGAACGAATTAGTCCGGATGAGATGAGGATTAGCGGAACAATCATTCAAACTACGCACACAATGACACTTTTAGAAAGAAGATCAGACTGATCAAGTTGATGATGACCCGGTTTTATGAGACTCACCAAACTCATCCAAATGCAAGTGTCTGAGCTGATTGAACACGTAGGTCACCAGAAAAGTGGTTCCAATCAGTACGAACGGATGCAGCTGACGGAGTTCGGAGACTACCGTATCCCTCGTGTCGAACACGTAATCAATGGCGTACTGCATTCTGAAAGCACACGATAACAGGTCGAATTGAGGAACGAGGACTGGCTGAGAAGTGCCCGAGCGGCCCGTTAAATAGGCACTTACTTGAAGAGGCGGAATCCGATGCGACACTTTCAGATGATAGCATCCTCGACCCTTCTCCACCCCCTATCACTCCACTTATCATCAGGAGGCAGTGTGAGATAGTGCGTGATTCCGAGAGTGTTTTGTCGTGTCGCCATTCATTTTGTGTCCAAGTGTGCGTGTCTAGTATGATCAGAGACTCCGCCTCCCACAAATACGGTAGAATTTTTGATGCGAAGCCACCTCGGGAAGCACGTCACTAGGCGTCTCTGATCGGTTCAATGTTCAGCGCGACGAATCGAATCGGATTCGAATACTTTTGCGGATGATATGGAAGAGGGAGGTAGGGGGAGAAGGAGAAAGAACCGCGCGTGATCTGAATCGCAGCACCAGGACAGAAGATGTCTACACGGAATGAAAGTGATGATGATCTATTCCGGGGGAGGCCTTGCAGATAGATGCTTGCAGCGATAACGAATCGTATTCTGTGATTGTCTCTATGGGCGCCACTGCCGGTTTCAACTCAACTCAAATCCCCTTCTGTTTCATTTTATTTTTGGGCTGGATGTTCGGAGACTGTAGATGTTATTCTGCAGGACCTTGTCTAGAAGCACTAATTGTAGTATATCCGTGAACCTTTCCTTCCTCTTACTCAATCTTTCGTTCTTTACTTTTCCGTCCCCGATTAGTTCCGAGCTGTGCCGGAAATGTTTATCGTTCAAGTTACGAAATGAGATGCTCTAGATGCTCCGGGTCATAATCCGCTCTTAGTTTGACTTCAACGACCCACCGCTTTCTCGGAAATTTCGAAAATAGTTCTTGATCTCAAAGTGTCATGCGTATTGCGTTTCTTTGCAAAAGGTGTTACCATCGAAACAGATATGAACTTGTGAATGTGATTGACATCACGAACGCGTCGTCGCCGTTTGGATTCTTGAGACGGCAGTTATGAGACGATAAAGAAAAAAAAGATGGAGAAAATAGAAATTGACCTGATCTATGCGGGCAGAATGACATCATAGTTATCCGAATTGATTAGTTCTGACATGGCATTACTTTAAAGATCGTTCAGCTGATTTCTTGATCGTTATATTTGTTCCTCATGTGGTTCAATGTATCACATGGATCGGATCCAAACACGTTATTTATTGTTCCGACAATCGCCGTTATTTGTTGCTGCTGGCTATTACCGTTCTTTTCTGTACCCGCCGTAGCGTTATCGTTATCGAACCCGGAAAAGTGATAAGCTCCCAGCGGCTGCAAACCGATGACTCCGTGCTCGGAAAAGCGGCAGACTAGAGACACGTCGTGGCCAACAAAACAAGCCTACCGTAGTCTCGCATTTTCTTGCCTTCTGTACCTTGGCCACAATCGTCAAAGACTTGTCGTCGCGTATCACACGTATCAACGGCACTTTTGAGAACCGGACGGGACGGACACCGAACGTCAAACTAAATACACATTGACACTGTCCGAGAGCACTTTCTGTTTTCGTGGCTGATCATTGTTGACGACTACATCCACCACACACATCGTCACCAATTCCTACTACTTGTTTTCTGGGCTGTTCACGTCAAGACTCCCTGATTGGGAAGAGAAGCATACTGTGCGTGTATGTAGTTTAGTTAGCGGACAGTAATCGAATGAGAGTCAATGGTCGTTGACGTCCAGAATGATCAGCAACCCCGAGCAGGGCAAAAGTGTCTCTAGTCTCAACTGTTGTGCTCTGAATTTGTGAGAAAGAAAGCGGTTCAAAAGTTCACTACACTCGCTCGCAAGTGTGCATTAGCACAAGACATAAATGTAATGTGAAGTTTTGGAATGAGTTTGAAAGGCTAAACTCTCAAAAATTGCTTGAACAACGCACTTTCTCAAGGGTTCACTTCCAGTGCTTACTCTTCTTCGGATTTCCCTCTAAGTCCCTTTGCTTCTTCTCCTCCTTCTCCCTCCACTTTTCATCGCAGCAGCCAATCACAGCACTACAGTAACCCCTGGTTGCATGCATTATCAATATCCTCCATCGCTAGCTACAATGCACGCATTTTTGAAAGTATCTTCTATTTTCATTGACGACACTGTCCAAATCGGAGATTGTCAATCTTTGAATTTTTGAACTTGAAACCTGAAAATGAAGTTTGTATGTTGTGGAGACGGGAAAACGGTTCCTGATTCAAACTAGCTCAGTTGCCGCAAGAATCGGCATGGGTGCCGACTGGAAGCGGCATCCGTGCCATTTTCTGCGGCAAATTGCTGTGAGGGTGCCGATTCCGTGCTTGCTACGTGCCCATCCTTGCCGAAATCTACCTGAGTACGTTTTACTTGAAGTTTCTCTAGGTACGTCTCGTGAGGAACCGTCCTCGTAATCAAATTCGTCTTTCTCCGCCTGTGCCGTGTCTATTGTTAACCTCTGAGAACTCCAAATAAATAACGAATACACAACAACAAAAAATTCCACTTGAAATCCCAATTGATCGGAATATTGACCAAGTTTGGCCCAGATCTTTGCACTGATCTTATCTAAGATCAAGCACATTTCTTGAACCGGAGTATGACTTGATCCTTTGGTCTGTAAATATGCACATGTACACTTCAAATGTTGAATACCAACCATCACGTTGCGAATTCGAATAAATTTTCAGACAAGTATGTGGAATTCGTAACGTCTAGGTTCAGAAATTCCTACTCTTTACCGTTATCAGACTCGACACATATCCCTAATTCTTGCCAATTCGCTATACAGTCGTCACACTTTCAGAAGAAGCGCTCCGTCTTTTTTCGACGGTCTTCGATCACTCTGCAAAACCGTTCTCTGTGATTTGTTCTTGAAAGATATCAACGTGAGTACGGTGAGAGAGCGAGAGAGAAAAGCCCGATTTAAACGCTCACATCATCATCACAAATCACACTGATCGTTCCCTGCTATTGAATGATTTCTAGTTTGATCGGGTCACATTGAAGAACAGATAATCATCAAGTGGAAGACGGTCATACCATCCGGACTCGATGGACTTTGTTTCGTTGAAGTGAGTTATCAGAACCAATTTGCTTGAATGACACAGTGTTTGAAGTGTGCATTCAACACAACATCACTGATCGGTTGTGGAAATCATACTAGAAACAGGCACACAATTGCGTAAAAGGAGGAAGGAAACGGGCGCGGCAAAGATTCATTTATTAGAAGAGCAATACATATTATTACAGTTCAGTTTGACCTGATTGATTCAAATGATGGAATGGTAAGGGGAAGTTTTGACTCATTTTGGACAGCAGAATGCGAAGAACTCGTTTCGTTCGCAGGTGTGAGTGCTCGGACAGAAGTTGTCGGAGCAGGATTTGCCAAGGAACGCGCTGGACCAGCCGTCGTTCTGCTTCTGGAGCGAGAGCTTTCGGTTCTTGCACTGAGGTTTGAACGCTGCGTTGTACCGATCTGAAAAAAGAAGGGTAAGAACAGATTCTGTGATCAGATCACGCACTGGAAAGGTTCTCTTCACAGCAAATGCCGAAGAATGCGCCCATCTGACACTTGTAGCCTTTCGGACATCCGGATTCTGTCAGTTTTGGTCCCGGAGTGGTCGTGGTGGTCCATCCTGAAATAAAGTGTTAAACTGACAGATCTTCGTGCAGCAGTTGTTGTGTACCTGGAGGAAATTGGGCCTCTGCACCGCAAGTGTACCATCCTCCGTGTGACCTCCTTGCAGGCTGTGACTGCATGGCACAACTGAAGTAATCCACTGAAAACAAAACGTAAATCGCTTCCCTGGTCCTCTTTCTGTAGCAGTTCCTCACTCATAACACAGTCGGAATAGCAGGCACTGCTGGTCGGGTACGAGTTCTCGTTTCCTCCGCATCCTTTGTGCTCAAACGGTAAGCACAGGAAGGATTCGACGTCGAACCAGTACTGTAGAACACGGAAAATGTGTGGAGAAGTGAACTATTCAGCAACTGACTCTGATCGATGTCTTGTTCTGACTGCAAGTGTGCCCGGCGTCTCTGTTCTTCTGGCACCAAGGTCTTCCGATCGCTTCGACGACTTTCGGCTTGGCAGGATCTGGCTTTTCGAAAGTTGGGAACAAGGAAGAGTCGATGGAAAAATCTGGAAATGGCAAGTCATAAACTCATGAAACCTCGAATTCCTCATACCAATTTTCATGCAATTCATAGTTTTGGTGTTGCTCAAAGTGCTTCTCGTTCCCAAGATCTCTCTGCCAGTGGTTGCATCCACACAATAGCACTCATTCTTTTGGTTGTCGCACTGAACCGGCTCGAAGTCTCCTGAAGCCAACTTCCCGGATCCCCATCAATATTTCATCTCAGACTCACCCTTTCCGACGTCACACTTTGGCACAAAACTATTCTCCGGAGGATCGCCGTTGGAAAACAGCTTTTGGAGGTAAACAAGGCATGCTGAAAGAGTTCAAACCTCATTCGGGAAATGAAATAAAAACAGACAGACCTCCGCATTTCGGCGCTGTTTTCGGGCTGTTCGTTCGTGTGTCGTATGAGATGAGCGCCGTGTGCGGGGTCACACAAAAGCACGATTCCGAGTTGCACTGCACCGATTCGTAGTAGCCTGATAGTAAAACGAAAGTATAGAAAATGAAGGGGTACTTAAGATTCTCACCATTTTCATTGCATTTCAGACCATCATCATTCAATGTACACGGCCCGGTAGCTGGATTCCTATAACATATCAAATTAGAATCCAGTACGTTTGTTCTTAGTTAAAAATTAGTTAAGTTGACGCAATCGCGCTCGCTCTTTTTCTTAAACCCACCTTTGCCGAAGGAAACTATCTCCGAAAAGAGCAGCAGTCGGGTGGAATAGAAATGCCAAGAGTGAGAAGGACAGTGCTCGCATGACGATCTGAAATCAAGAAATGTGTGTTCGTTGAAAAAATGATGAAAAAGACAGCCGGGGGAATGGGTAAACAACAACTGGTTAGCAGGACAAACATATTGTTCGAATGCGACAAGAGCCGGTCGATCGGCGCGAGAACGAACCGAGTGCAAGTTGAGAACGTAAAGAAAACAAAAACGAAGTCAGTAGTTCGACGAAAACGTTTACTTCCTTCCTACTGCCTATTAACTAATCTATCGATCAATCGATCACAACTGGTCTCTCTTCGCTTTCTTCCGCTTGCCGGTCACTCGGTTAGACGCTGTTCGGCCAGCAATTGAACTTTAACGGAAACATTCTTCTAGAAATGTTTATTCGGAAGAAAAGGAAAGTGAATCATCGTCATTTTTGAACACCCGTCGTGAGAAAAAACAATAGAATCGATAGAAAAGGGGAGGTGGCGACTAGAGACGAACAAAAAAGAGAAAGACGAAGAGTAATGAGAAGACTGTCGAGACGAGGGGGGCGAATGGCGTCGGAGAGCGGTTACACAGGTCCGTATTACAGCAGCAGACTTCGCTTTGTTTCGAAGTGACCACGCACTCGTCCGCCTGCAATCGCATTGAACGTTTATCGGGCCAGACATGATATTATACCGTAAAAACTGATAGAATGGTACGCCAATACATTGAACATTGTTATGCATCTTAGCTCTGTGTGGAGATATCAAAAAGCAATCAACTGGTAAAATGTACAACATGTTCTAATGAAAAATCTGTTAGTTGACAACGTTTTGCTATCTCCACCGACAGCTGAGACATTCTTTTTGGCAAGTTTGACTTCTGACATGTAAATATTTTTAAGCTTTCATGTTTTTCACTTGCTCTTCATGCATTTTCAACAAGCGCTCACCTTGCAGAAGGGCGTAAAGTCGTCACATCCATAAGTAGCTCCACCAGTGGGCTCCGTCGTTCTGCAAACTCATTCTCGTGCTCGCATCTCTCCCGATGAACTCACTTTATGCAGTAGTCCGTTTGACAAAGACGCTGTTTGAACGGCCTGCCGTCGCCGGAGAATCCTCAACACACGGAGCATTTCATCATTTTGAACGCACGTCATCGTCACGCACACTCTTTCCGATTATTATTATTATTGTTATGGGCTCACCTTTATAGCACTTCACGGTTGTTTCGACGGAATGCGGAAGAATGGAAACGAGACAGATAACGACGGCGGAAGCCTTCAGGAGACACATAATTGCTTCGTCGTTGCGGATCTTTTTTCACTGTGAGAACCGAGAATAATAAGAGGCGAGAAAAAGAAAAGAAAAAAAAGAGGGGAAGAATGAGAAGAATGCCGCCGGATTGTACTCCCTAATGAATTCATTGAACTGAAAATAACATGAATAATGGATTAGCAACTGAGCCTCGGCACGTCGTTGTCCACAAAAAAGGTGAAGAGAAGAAGAGCTTCTCGGTTGGTTTGCAGAGGAAAGGTTTCTCTTCTTTGTGTTGTCGACGACTCAGAGCTCCGGGCTCGCCTCCAAACGTGCCAAAACATTCTGCCGTCCTTCCGTTCTCCTCTTCTTTCTTCGTTCTGCGTCTCTTCAGGTCCGCCGCCCAACTTATATGCAAATGATTCGTCTAATTGGATTGGAGATGAAGTCAAGAGGGTCTCACAGAAATCTCATGCACTGAAATGCTCTCAATTTGATTCTCAAAAGTGCACAAATTGAATTGAGCATGTTGAATACACAAAACAACAGACTAGAATGTGACAAAAGATAAGAAGAAACGAGCGGGTGGAGAAGAAAAATACAACCTTACATTGTAAACTTTCAAATGAATAATTTGCTTTTCTCGGCCTGTTTGGTGTCGGCTTTCATTGCCACAGTAAGTGCCATGCAATGCTATTGGGGTTCGTTCTTAATGAGCACGTATAAATTGACTCAACTTCTGAAACTTTCAGGTGTTAGTGGATACACTGGTCGTCCGCTCTGGAAAAGAGAATGTGGCGAGGAACATTGCATAAAGTGATTCTTTTTTTTTTAGAAAAAACTCATGAAGTCCTTCAGAATAACCGATGAAAAAGGAGTGGAGACTCGTAATTGTGATCTGACCTCTTATTGCCCAGTGGGTTCACCTTCTTGTTAGTCGAGACATGAATTTAAATTTTATCAGAAATCCGGTTGCGCTTCAAACCACCTTGGAGGGAAAACGTGTTGCTGCAATTCCCAACTGTGCAATTCGTCATCCCGCCCTTTCAATTGTGTGATCGCTTCGTTGGTGTCTGTATTGTTCAATTTGCTGAACAGATGACACAAAAAGAATGAATGGAATGGAATGCAAAAGATTTATTTTGATGAAAAGAAAGGAGGCAGTGCTCGTCGTGAGCCAATCTAATGGCGGGAGACGAAGACGGCGGATCTTGGTGGGCACGCGCAGTAAGCGGCGTCGTTTCCTGGGAGTCCTGGGCCTCCTGGAGCTCCTGGCTGTCCGTCGGATCCGGCGTTTCCTGGGGCTCCGTCCTGTCCGGCTGGTCCCGCTGGTCCTGGCTGTCCGTCTTGTCCTGGGGCTCCGTCTTGTCCGGCTGGTCCAGCTGGTCCAGCGTTTCCTGGGGCTCCTGGGGCTCCAGCGGCTCCGGATCCGCGTTGTCCGTCCTTTCCTGGGGCTCCTGGGGCTCCGTCTTGTCCTGGGGCTCCTGGCTGTCCATCGTCTCCTGGGGCTCCTGGCTGTCCGTCGGCTCCCGGGGCTCCGGCGTTTCCTGGGGCTCCTGGCTGTCCGTCTGGTCCGGCTGGTCCAGCAGATCCAGCTGGTCCTTCTGGTCCGGCTGGTCCTTCTGGGCACTTGATGCAGTCCTGGCTGACTGGAGCGCAGGTGATCGGGGCGTAGGTGACAGTGCTGTCCTCTCCCTTTGGTCCTGGGCCTCCTGGGAGTCCTGGCTGTCCTGGCTGTCCTGGTGGTCCTGGTGGTCCTGGCGGGCAGGTTGGCTTAGTTGGCTCGCATTGGCACCAGGCTGGGAGTCCGGAGAAGGTCTGACGCTTCTGGCGGAAGATCGAGTTGAATGGGTTGACACGTGGCTTCGATGGTGGGGTGACGGTGATTTGGATGTCCATCATCTCGGTCCAGGCAGAGTCGGTCTCGGCGCGGAAGACGGAGACTCCATCGAGAACCTGTAAGAAGAGAATAACGTTTTGCCATGAAAATGTGGGAAATGTTTACCTGATCGTGCACCTCGTTGATGGTGTTGTAGAGTTGTGGAACGGTGAAGAGAACCGCGAAAACGGCGAAAGTGGCTGCGGTAGCAGAGGCGGTGACGAGAATCTTCTCCATGACTGTAAGCCAGGTACCTTTTCTGTGCCGTCGCAGTCCTTTTATACGATCTCCCTCGAATCACCCATACCGCCCATCTTCAGATTCCTGTGACTAAGGTCATTCTGTGTCTCCATTCGCGTAGCACTCCCTCGATTTCTCCGTGCCGTTGGTTGTAACGTAATGTATTCGTCTACCGATTTCCGTTTGTTCTCTCTTCAAGCAGGTAGTAAGATGGGCGGTGTCTGGCCTGTAAAGCAAGAGGCAAACCGAAAAAACGATGATAGAAGGACATTCGATAAAAAAGAGAGATGCATGAGAAAAAATTGGCTAATAGTTGATTGAAGAGGACGCGCAGAGAGCGTATGAACCTGATCCGCCAGCAAATGTTGCGAATCCAGGAAGTGAGGAAATGGCGAACGGAGAAAAATAGAATGGTTACGTCATGAAGAATGAGTCACAACGAGGGCGCTTCTAAAGTATTCGCGAGTGGCCATTGTGTTGATCAGAGTTTCACGGTTATTTCTGTCTGTTTCTTCGTCTTTTTGTCTGTTCAATCTAACAATGTTTCAGACAGTTTGTAAAGCTATCAGTCCCTCGACTTTCCGACCGAACAGTCTCGGTCTCCTTGAAATAGTGGATCAAAAATGGATTCCAGCCCATCAAACGTTCATTTCCCTCATCAATACTGTCACATTCGGAATCCATTTGCCACCTGCGGTGTTCGGAACTGGATCAAGCTGACGATTGGATCACTCTTAATTTGAAAGCGTTTTCGCACATCACAAGCTTGCTGGACTACGCAGAGACTCTGATTATGACACATTCGCAGAGTCTTTCCCCGTTTCTCATTAACATTTCACAGAAGTGTTCGCCTTCCCGCTCCGAAGTCGTACCATTCGATGAAGAATTCCATCCAGATGAAAAATAGAGTAAAGTGTTTTCAGTGTACGTCTGATTGTTGTAGGACGACACAGACCTTTGATTCTTACACTTTTTGCATTGTTGTTGTTTTCAACTGATTCACAAGGGACGCAATTATTGCTATGCAAGTCTTTTATTGGGAAAATGTAAGAAAAGATACAGAATGACCAACTTAATGGCGAGAAAGGAAGACGGCGGATCTTGGTGGGCACGCGCAGTAAGCGGCGTCGTTTCCTGGGAGTCCTGGGCCTCCTGGGGCTCCTGGCTGTCCGTCGGATCCGGCGTTTCCTGGGGCTCCGTCCTGTCCGGCTGGTCCCACTGGTCCTGGCTGTCCGTCTTGTCCTGGAGCTCCGTCTTGTCCGGCTGGTCCAGCTGGTCCAGCGTTTCCTGGCGCTCCTGGCGCTCCTGGAGCTCCGGATCCACGCTGTCCATCGGCTCCTGGCTGTCCTGGCTGTCCGTCTTGTCCTGGGGCTCCTGGCTGTCCGTCGTCTCCTGGGGCTCCTGGCTGTCCGTCGGCTCCTGGGGCTCCGGCGTTTCCTGGGGTTCCTGGCTGTCCGTCTGGTCCGGCTGGTCCAGCAGATCCAGCTGGTCCTTCTGGTCCGGCTGGTCCCTCTGGGCACTTGATGCAGTCCTGGCTGACTGGAGCGCAGGTGATCGGGGCGTAGGTGACAGTGCTGTCCTCTCCCTTTGGTCCTGGGCCTCCTGGGAGTCCTGGCTGTCCTGGCTGTCCTGGTGGTCCTGGTGGTCCTGGCGGGCAGGTTGGCTTAGTTGGCTCGCATTGGCACCAGGCTGGGAGTCCGGAGAAGGTCTGACGCTTCTGACGGAAGATCGAGTTAAATGGGTTGACACGTGGCTTTGATGGTGGGGTGACGGTGATTTGGATGTCCATCATCTCGGTCCAGGCAGAGTCGGTCTCGGCGCGGAAGACGGAAACTCCATCGAGAACCTGTAAGGAATGTTTAGATTCTATAGACCAAGAAGGGAATTTTTACCTCATCGTGCACCTCGTTGATGGTGTTGTAGAGTTGTGGAACGGTGAAGAGAACCGCGAGGACGGCGATGGAAGCAGCTCCAGTCGAGAGGGTCACAAGAAGTTTCTCCATGACTGAATGCCTTGGTGCCTCTCCCGGGACGTCGCAATCCCTTTATAGTCGTCGCACTTGCGGTAGCAGTGTAACGCAATATTCCCTGTATCTCAATGAACCCGCCTTTTTGCCTCAACTTCCTCATTAAAAAGCCACAACGAGGAACAAGGTAAAGTGGGCGTCGTAAGCGGAAAGCGGACGAAGATGAATGGCGTTGTAGGTGAGAGAAGAAGCAACTACCGGGCTGCGTCTCGCTGAAAAATGGCGGCTTTCATGATAACGGATGATTTGAATATGAATGCGATTTATTTGATTTGTCACAAGGAAAAATGGAATACGATCAGGTGTTCGTTGACGATGGGAAACGCGTTTCAACTTGAATTTCATCTCCGATCTAGTTTTTTCAAATGGACCTGCATTGCTCTGTCTCTCAGTATTTTCAGATGTACCATCATGTTGTAATATAAATGGAGCCCCTGTAATTCCCTGTCATATTCTCCGGCTTCCCATGAGAACTCAATAAAAAGGGTTTTCAGAAGACCAGCCAACTGTCTTTGTGCGTTTTTTCATTCTTGCCCTTGCTATAATACTTTTTATATTCTGAAATATCTGTTTTCAGGTACGCATTCAAAAGATGAATTGAAGATCGGCATCAGCTGAATGCTCCAACCTAACGAGGTTGTGTCCAAGTAGATTGTCAACATCTCTCTCAATTTTCAAACGGCCGTGGTCGACCACCCGCTGACGTACCATTGTCAGTCAGAATTACACTTTTATCAAGATTCGACAGACAAGAGTACCCCCCACCCAAAACGCCATTCTGCGGAAAGTGTTGTAACTGTTGCCAACTGAGAATGGACAAAGGAAATGAACAGTCGATTTGACGTTATCGAAGCTGAGTGGGTCGCTGATTCGAGTTTTTCCTTGTTGAATATTCTGATGGAAAAGAATGAATGAAAACAAAGTTTGGAATGCAAAAGATTTATTTTGATGAAAAGAAAAGAGGCAGTGCTCGTCGTGAGCCAATCTAATGGCGGGAGACGAAGACGGCGGATCTTGGTGGGCACGCGCAGTAAGCGGCGTCGTTTCCTGGGAGTCCTGGGCCTCCTGGGGCTCCTGGCTGTCCGTCGGATCCGGCGTTTCCTGGGGCTCCGTCCTGTCCGGCTGGTCCCGCTGGTCCTGGCTGTCCGTCTTGTCCTGGGGCTCCGTCTTGTCCGGCTGGTCCAGCTGGTCCAGCGTTTCCTGGGGCTCCTGGGGCTCCAGCGGCTCCGGATCCGCGTTGTCCGTCCTTTCCTGGGGCTCCTGGGGCTCCGTCTTGTCCTGGGGCTCCTGGCTGTCCGTCGTCTCCTGGGGCTCCTGGCTGTCCGTCGGCTCCTGGGGCTCCGGCGTTTCCTGGGGCTCCTGGCTGTCCGTCTGGTCCGGCTGGTCCAGCAGATCCTGCTGGTCCTTCTGGTCCGGCTGGTCCCTCTGGGCACTTGATGCAGTCCTGGCTGACTGGAGCGCAGGTGATCGGGGCGTAGGTGACAGTGCTGTCCTCTCCCTTTGGTCCTGGGCCTCCTGGGAGTCCTGGCTGTCCTGGCTGTCCTGGTGGTCCTGGTGGTCCTGGCGGGCACGTTGGCTTAGTTGGCTCGCATTGGCACCAGGCTGGGAGTCCAGAGAAGGTCTGACGCTTCTGGCGGAAGATCGAGTTGAATGGGTTGACACGTGGCTTCGATGGTGGGGTGACGGTGATTTGGATGTCCATCATCTCGGTCCAGGCAGAGTCGGTCTCGGCGCGGAAGACGGAAACTCCATCGAGAACCTGTAAGGAATGTTTAGATTCTATTGACCAAGAAGGGAATGTTTACCTCATCGTGCACCTCATTGATGGTGTTGTAGAGGGATGGCACGGTGAAGAGAACCGCGAGAACGGCGATGGAGGCAGCTCCGGTAGAGAGGGTGACGAGGAATTTCTCCATGACTAAAAGCCAGGTACCTTTTCTGGCGCTCGGCCGTCCTTTTATACTCGCTCAGACCCGCTGCCCGACCACCCGCATCCATCTCTCTGTCCTCTCCGATTTCTGCTTTCTCTCTTCGAATTCCGTAGTAAATGGGCGGCACGCAACAAAATCGTTGTTGATAAGCAAAAACAACGGCGGCCGGGTGGCAGGCATTGCCTTTTTCGGCGATAAAAAATTGTGTTTCCTTCAAGTACGACGGCCGCCAAGGTCGCTTTCCCCAACAGAAGCTACAGGAAGTCTTTTGATACGATTGACAGCGTCTCTCCGTGTCACACATTCTCTCTCTCGCTTCCCCCGAATGGCATTCACTTATCGCCATAATCTCACCTTGAATAACGGGCGTTTTGCTGTCGAAAAAGGACAGCAGCGGAAGAAGCAAACCGTTTTGAAAAAGAAAGAAAGAAACAATAGACACAATACATGGAGGAAATGTTCATGGATGGCATTATACCATAAGAGTTCTTTTGTACCCTAACGATTCGGTTTGCCCGTCGTGCTTGGCGCTTTTGTACTTGAGGTGGCGAGAGGGGCCATCGCGGCAGAGGTGCCCTGTCCGAGCACGAGCGACTCGAGCGCAGATCCGGCTGACACTCGGCACTCGCAGTTGATACCAGCGGTCACGGACACCGGCACCAGTTTTCCACTGTCATTTCGCAACACATTCAGCTGCTGGGTTCCAGTTTGACAAGACGCGTATCCTAGAAGAAAAAAAGTTGAGTAGTCTTCCGCTTCCACATTGGCTTCCAGTCACGAACCACTCAGGCAGACGGTGTCCGCGTAGTCGCACACGATCTCGTTCAGATATGCCGGGTAGTAGGTACTCGGAAGACGTCGCCAGACCCAGCACGTGCTGCACAACGACACGGTGCCCAGGCCGTCCGGGGTGACTCCGCGCGTCGTGCAAGAGATCGGAAATCGGATGCCTGAAAGGAATTCTGTCGCTTTTTCTGCACTCTTTCTTGTTTGCGAGACAGAGGTTTAATGAAGGTTACACAGATCAAGTCGACACGACGGCTTTCGTCAAGGTTGCATGCCGTTATCGAACATTGGTTAGTAATTTCAAATGAGAAACGGAAAGCGAGAGAGAGATTGGAATTTGGAAAATGAGATGACCTCCCTGGGCAGGTTGCAAACACGGAAGTGATGTTCAAGAACGAACTCACCAATGATTCCAGTCGAGTTCATCGCAGTGGTGTTCGGTTGCGAAATGGCCGTCGTTGCTTCCACATCCCTCTTCACAATCTTCTTCGGCACATTGTTGTTTTTCTTCCGCCCGGTGCCATCCACATAATAATCCCCTTCATCCTCGTCTGGAATATATCAAATGTGCCCGAGAACACACCACGTACCAGTACACTCTTCGTAATCCCATTCAAAGTGCTGCTTCGCCTTCTTCCTTTTCTCGTAAACCCCCTCGTCTTTGCGCGTGAATCTGTACTTTTGACACGTCGAAAAGTTCCGCTGGTTGCCGAACACTTGATCGATTGTGGCCGGCAAGAGACCGACCTGAACAGGGCGATTGGTTAGACGGGGGAACGAAGAGTTCACACAGACTTTTCGGAGTTGACTTCGCAGATCTCTATAGCAGTCTCGACATTGTTTCGTCTTGCAATTATTTAGTGAAGCAGTCTGGAAAGTCTTAGACTATGGCAAACTGAATTGAAGGTTACCTGAGTGGTCTTCTCTTGTCTTGTGATGGTCAGGTCGGGAAAAGCAACGATAGCTTCCTCGAGACTCGCCGCCTGGAGTCGGGAATCGTAGGGAATGCAGGTGGGGGAAGTGGAAGGAGTCGTTGCGGGCAGACATTGACACTGAAGACGAGTGCATAGAGGATACACATTCAAATAAACCATACCATGGGGGTCGGAGTGCTCGCAGTGCTCGATATAATATCATTGAACAAATCAATCTTACTCGGCATATCAAACTGCTGATTACATGAACAGAAAAAGCATAGCGAATGAATAAAAAGTAGAATTGACGAGCTCCGCCGACTCATTGGAGCATTTCCGATGCTGCTCTCCTCTCTTCACACCGTCGTCGACTGCGGCTGCCAAAATGAACTTTGTGCCGGCGGATAAAGTGAGGCCGGGACAGAGTCTCTAATCCGCCGCCACTCTTTCATGAAACGCCTCCTGATTAAAACATAAACACATTCGAATCGCTACACTTTTTCGAAATCGCACGAATTATAAAGCGTTCTAAAAGCGGAGTGTCCAAAGGATTATTAGTTGATCGGCAGTGAATTGAGTGCGTGGTCCCTGAACGCAATCCGTTCAATGGTGTCGCTCAATCAACTAGTAGTTCAAAAGACCAATCGAAATTATGTGTTATAAAAAAATACATGGGAACACTATTTAGTTTATTCAAAATATACAGGATCAAATGGAACACAATTCCAAAATCTTGTCAGCACTCAACGGAGAGACGGTTTCCACAAAATCATGCATTCCGTTCTCTTTTCTGTAGCTGTCAATGCACTCCATGACGGCCGAATGAACTGCTCCACACGACATCATCAACGGGGGCTCTCCGATTCCCTTCGAGGAGTACACTTGAGCGCCGGTCACTTTATTTATCCCGAGCAGTTTGACTCGAAAGTTCTTCGGAACATCCGCTGCTTTTGGAATCTTGTACTTCCCAGCCGTACTTTGATCCAGCTTCCCGGTCTTTTCATTAAATGTGACTTTTTCACAAGTGACTAGTCCGTATCCCTGCATGAATGCCCCTTCGATCTGTCCGATGTCGATGGCCGGATTGAGACTCTCGCCCACATCCATCACAATATCCACTCGGATCACTCGGTTGTAACCGGTCAAAGTGTCCACTTCCATCTCTACTGCACATGCTCCCGTCGTGTTATACGGCGCCTCCATCTCTCCAACACCGAACGCGTTTCTCTCGACACTCAAATAAGGTTTTTGTTTCTCATTTACAACGACAACCCTTACACTCCATACTCCGTGCACTGTAATGGAACGTACGAATTGAATGCCTCTCGAACTGCTTTCTTCCAATCCCCATCGTTCTTGTCAATCAGTGGTTGAAGTCTCGAAAGGATTCTCTTGCAGCATTCCATGACTGCGATTCCGTTCGTGTCCGCGTTCTGACTTCCTCCGGTCTCGGGAGCGTTCGTCACTTTGTCCGTGCTACTGTCCAATATCGTGCATGTTTCAATCGGTCTCTGTTAAACACAACTACTTGCATTTGATTCCGTTTATATGCCTACTCACTTTTAGTGTTTCACTGCACACCTGCAACATCTTCTGATTCAGTCCTTGTCCCATTTCTGTCCCTCCAATTGACAATTGAACGGATCCGTCCAAGTTGACCATGAGACTAGCGATTCCATGCCCAGTTGGGCCTGGATGAGGGAGTCCGAAGCGGACAGATGACATTGCAATACCACGTTTTACATTCCGGGAGCTCCTACGATTATTTCCATTTGTTGTTGTTCATATAATATGAATCATATTGGGGAAACTCACATATTGAACTCTTCCACTTGCATCTTCCTTGCTTCAAACTCTGCCCACTTCGTACAGTACTCCCAGCATTCGACAAGAGCATCATTGTGGATTCTACCGCCCATAAAGTTCGTTTCTCCTTCCACCGCAAAGTTCAGTCTTTTTACCTGAATACCGATCTATTACTACCTGAAAAATCAGAAAAAAAACGAACTTCTTCTACTGGTTTCTTCACTTTGTGCGCAATTCGTCTCATCACTCCCTCATTTATCAGCTTGCCTTGAGGATTTCCGTACCCTCTCAACGCAGTGTTGCTGCACGAGTTTGTTTTTACCGGATATCCATCAAAGCGCAGTGCTCCCATATTGTAGACGTCATCAATCTTGACGCCCATGACCATCGTGACTCCCTCGGAATGATCTTTCGACCAGCCGCCATTCAGCCACACTTGATGGTGGATTCCCTTCACTTTTCCCTCTGCGTCTATTCCAACTCTGAAAAATCATATTTGATTTGTATGTTTGAAATTCAATCGAACCTGTACTTGGCGTGTATCGGATGTCTCTTCCCGGTGATTGCCAGGTCGTCTCCTCTCGAAAGGAATCCGTAGACGGGTCGGTTCAGTTTTCGAGCTACCACTGCACACATACAAGCTATCCACGACGCATTGTTCACTTTTCCGCCGAATCCTCCACCGAGTCGTTTAGTCTGTAGAAGAATGAGGCTACATATAATATAATATAATAGTGTTTCACCTTGACAACGATTTTATGAGCTGGAAGGTTCAGCGTCTCTGCGACCATCAGTTGAGTGAAGCTAGTTCCTTGAGTTGAGCAATGGACAACACTGAAAGCGTAATGCAATTAAATATAAACTTCAGCATTTCACAAACAGTTCATCGCCTTCTCCGGGAACAACCAAACTGCTTTGTGTTTCCATATAAAAGTGTTCCTGTCCTCCCACATTTATTTCTCCTTCCAGAACAAAATCAGCGTGCTTGAACGACTCTTTCACTTCATCTTCTGACTTTCCGAAATGTTGAACGTCTCCGAGAAGTGATTCTGCTTCGATTGCTTTTTGGAAATGCACAAGAGCCGGAAGATGCTTGTACTCGACTCTCACTAATTTGGCAGCCCGTCTCGCCACAACCACATCGTTTGCGGCTATCACTCCGATCACTTGACCCACCGATTCAACCTGCAAACAGACGAATCACATGTCTATCGTTTTTTGTAGTCACTCTCACTTTCTTATCTGCGAAAACTGTCGTGTCGTCGGGGAAGCTCACGTTTGACGCTGAGAGACCGGGCGAATTGCTTCCCTGTACCTCACGAACACCGAAATATCCGGCGACTCCTTCCAGTTTCAAAGCCTCCGACGTATCAACGGCAATCAATTCGGCATGTGGAACTGTGGAAAGAACGAATCCGAGGTGAAGGGGGTCTGAAGATTATGAATGAGAATGCACAGAAAGAAGGGATAAATAATACTGTGAGTTTGGATGTCATTCACGTAAAGGGCTTCTCCGGTGATTGCTCTCTCGTTGAAGTAGTTGGCGATTGAACGACCCACGGATTCATTTGTAGAAGGCTACAATGCTAATTTTATGAGAAACCATACCGACACATCTTTTGCACCTGGAAGTATTGTAGGTAGTTGACAATCTCCTCGTTTGCTTCTTTTCGGATAAGTTCGCTCTTCAAAAACAGAGCTAGATGTTCCATTGCTGCGTTCGTTTCTTTCCGGTGGCTTCCAATTCCAGTCAAACTCACTAATGATTCCACGCCAATTCTGCAATTGATATTGTATTTTCCCGCTTCTGACTAGTATTCTCAACTGTTTCCCGCTGTCGATGTGCTCTTCCAACTCCTTCAATCTCTTCGGCTGTCCTCCCAATCCCACAAACACTCTGCTCGATGCGTTGCCGACGAGGGCGCCGAAATTGAAGTTAGTGGAGTCCTGCTCGCTGGTTTCTCCGAGTTTGAAACAAAAAAGACGTCGTGTCTCAGATCTCTTGAACAATGCGTTCACAATTGTCGTCTTTTGGCTTGGTTTCTGCTCGAAGAACTCTTCTATTCCAATCGTGATCATTTCTTTGCTTTCAGTCAACACTGTCAGTTTTGTATCAAGAACGGAAAGGAAGAGAGCAATGTCGCTGACGGATTCGGAGGAGTTTGAAGCAGAAACGATTGCTCCGGCCCATGTCTGATGTTAAAATGGATGAGAGTGAACAAATTGAAGCGTACCGCAAAGTTAACCACTTGTTGAGATGAGAACTTTCGAATGAAGTAGGCTGTTTCTGCACTGATTGCGGGAGGAAGAATGCTGGCTAAAGTGTCGGAAAGTTCTGAAAAACGATAGACTCTTATAGACTAGATATAGACGTTTCTCACTTTGAATATTGACAGCAGAACCAACGGAGACTGTCTCTGGACCTACAACAATCTCGTTGAACTCGTCCACGTACTTCGTGCTCACCCATTTCTTGGCAAATTGTTCAGGTTTTTGAGCAGTTACTGAACAAAGAGTTATTATACTTTCAAAACCATTACACTTACAGAGCCGTGTGATGAGTCCTGATGACAAAACATTGTCCGCATCTCTGCTGGCAATTCGGAACTGTTCCAGTGACTTTGGAATAGCGAGTTCGATTCGACTTCCTTTCAGTGTCACCAGGTCTCCACTATCAGTGAAAGTCTGCAAAAAAACCCCATTCGGCGGCTTTTTGCTCTAAAAGTACTCACTCTTAACGAAGGCGGGAAGATTATTTCTTGAGTTGGGTCATATTTGGGAAAATCATTGAAAGTGAGCAGCTTCTCGTCGTACCCTTCGTCCTCGTTTCCTTTTTCTTTACAACACCCTCCTCCCTGCTTATTTCCTCCACAACATCCGTCCGATTGATCCGAGAAACTGTAGAGAGCCTCGAGAATCGGACGATAGCCAGTGCATCTGCACAGATTTCCTTTGATCGCAGTGTTGATTTGCTCAATCGTTGGATTGGGATGGTTGCGAAGGAGAGCGTAGGCGGACATCACAAATCCAGGAGAACAGAAGCCACCTGGAAGAAAAAACACGTTTACGTATGTCAGTTCATGCATCAAAAGCTCACACTGCACGGCGTGTCCCCTGGCCATTCTGTCCTGGATCGGATGGATCTTATCGCGACTTCCGACGCCCTCGACAGTGATCACAAATGTCGTGTGCACGTGGAACAGAGGCACCAAACACGCGTTGACTGCTCGGTAGACTGCCCTGTTGAGTGACTCGTCCCACGTACCGAGGACCACTGTGCACGAGCCACACACTCCCTCCTCGCATCCCAACTTTGTGCCTCGCAGGCCTACTGAAATAAGATCGATAACTGAAAGTGATACTCCCTTGTGCGAGCCTTACACTTGTTCCTCAGGTAATAGGCGAGAGTGAGTTCTGGGTCGAAGTTGTGTTCAATCACATCTTTCCCATTCACGTTGAAGAAGATTCCAGTTGGAGCGCTTGACATCTGGAACTACTGCAATATCGAAAAATGTCTGGAAATGAAAAAGAAGAGTAGAAGAGTTGTAGGGGTAATAGAAAAGCGAGTCGGTCGGTGAATGAAGTAGAACAACAGAAGATAAGAAGAGAGAGAGAGAGAGAGAGAGAGAGAGAGAGAGAGAGAGAGATAAGACAATGAAGAGTGGAAAAGGGTTACGAGATCGCAAATTTCTATGTCCAATTGTGACCGTCTCAATAGTTCACGTGTCCATTTCCTAATTTCTCCGTCACAACGTTATCGGTTTAGAAATGAAAGTGGGGACGGACAAACAGAGAAATAAACAAACAAACAAAGAGACAAACAGAGGGACAAACCCATGAAGAGCTACTATCAATTAATATTTTTGCCTCCGCCAAATTCCACAATTGCGCGGGAAGAGAAAATGGGGCGCGTAGCGGCCGGACGTCGGAGGCAAGAATATTAAATTGATAGTAAAAATGATAGTTGTGGAGAAATTGAGAAATGAAGAAGAGAAATGGGTTATAAAAAATACATGAGAACACTTTTTTTATGCAATCTTTAGTTTATTCAAAATATACAGGATCAAATGAAACACAATTCCAAAATCTTGTCAGCACTCAACGGAGAGACAGTTTCCACAAAATCATGCATTCCGTTCTCTTTTCTGTAGGTGTCAATGCACTCCATGACTGCCGAATGTACTGCTCCACAAGACATCATCAACGGGGGCTCTCCGATTCCCTTTGCCGAGTATACTTGCGCTCCGTACGACTTATTCACTCCGATTAGCTTGACTCTGAAGTCTTTCGGGGCGTCCGATCCTTTCGGAATCTTGTATTTTCCCGCCATGTTCTGATGAAGATGTCCTGTTTCTTTGTTGTAAGTGACTTTTTCACAGGTGACATATCCGTATCCCTGCATGAATGCCCCTTCGATCTGTCCGATGTCGATGGCCGGATTGAGACTCTCGCCCACATCCATCACTAAATCCACTCGAATCACTCGGTTGTACCCGGTCAAGAAGTCCACTTCCATTTCCACCGCACATGCTCCCGTCGTGTTGTACGCTGCATCATCGTCCTTTACACCGAACTGCTTCCTATTTGGACTGTAATCATTATCGGACTTGACGTAAGAAGCTGCAACTATGCAACTTACTATCCAAACTCAATGGCCTGTAAAGGTATAAACGCGTTGAAGGCTTCCATGACGGCTGTGTTCCAGTCTCCTTCATGTTTGTCCACAAACGGCTGCAATCTCGACATGATCTTCTCGCAACACGCGAGAACTGCGATTCCGTTCGTGTCCGTATCCTGACTTCCTCCGGTTTCGGGTGAATTCGTCACTTTGTCCGTGCTATTGTCCACTATCGTGATGGTATCAACTGGTCTCTGTAACAACATTTGATACATTCAAAAGTTCATGTTCATCAAAATGTCTCACCTTGAGTGCTTCTGCACAAACTTGCATCATCTTCTGATTCAGTCCTTGTCCCATTTCGGTTCCTCCAATCGACAACTGAACAGATCCGTCCAAGTTAATCAAGACACTGGCGACTCCTTGTCCGAAAGATTCAGTATGCGGTAGTCCGAACCGTACTGATGACATGGCAACTCCACGTTTCACCGTCTTCGAACTCCTATATGTACTTTTAGCGTATCCATCCAAAAAACAATTATTTTACCTGTTGAACTCCTCCGCTTCCATCTTCCTTCTCTCGAATTCAGAAAACAGTTCACAGCATTGCCAGCATTCTGTGTGCGCGTCACTGTGGATCGTGCCGCCCATATAGTTCTTCCCTCCTTCCACGTTAAAGTTCAGTTTTTTTATCTGAAAGTTCAACATGAATTATATAGTATACGTCCACTGTCAGACTTCATGGGTACTTTTGTTGACTTCATGTGCGATTCTCCTCATAACTCCTTCATTAATGAGTTTAGCCTGCGGGTTTCCGAATCCTCGAAACGAGGTGCTGCTGCATTTGTTCGTTTTGACCTGATATCCCTCAAACCGAACTGTTCCCATGTCGTAGACGTCGTCCACTTTTATTCCGATCACCGTCGTCACTCCGTCCGTGTGGTCTTTAGTCCATCCGCCGTCCACGTACACTTTATGATGAGCTCCCTTCACTTTACCTTCCGCGTCTATTCCAACTCTTGAAAAAGATTGTACTAAAATGTTCAAAAATGTTATCTACTAACTTGTATTTAGCATAAATCGGATGTCTTTTTCCTGTCATCACTAAATCGTCTGATCGGGAGGGGTGTCCGAACACTGGCCGTTTCAGCCGTTGAGCCACAATTGCACACATTGCGCCGATCCACGTGGCACTTGTCACTTTTCCTCCGAACGCTCCGCCCATACGCTTTGTCTGAATTGGTGGACATTGAAACAATAGAAAAGCGATGGATGTTCTATTCACTTTTACTATGAGCTTGTGAGCCTTCAGGTCAAGAACTTTCGCGATCATCAGCTGACTGAAACTGGTTCCTTGAGTCGAGCAGTGGATAACCCTGAAATGTCGGAAAAGGACGCATAACTTCCTGCCGCCGTCATTTCACTCTTACATTTCATCTCCCTCTCCCGGTACGGCCAGACTGCTCTGTGTCTCCAAGTAATAGTGTTCCTGTGCTCCCGCGTACACTTCTCCTTCCAAAACCTTGTCACATTCAGCGAACATCGTCTCCACCTCATCTTCCGTCACTCCAAAGTCCATAATATCACAGTGCAGCGAGTCTGCTTCTATCGCCTTTTCCAGTTCGATGAGAGCGGGAAGCGGTCTGTACGCGACCTTCACCAACTTTGCCGCTCTTCTCGCCACCACCACGTCGTTCGCGGCGATCACTCCGATCACCTGACCCACCGATTCGACCCTTTTATCCGCGAACACCGGTGAATCGTCCGGAAAATTGACGTTGACCAGCGAAAGCCCGGGAACATTCATTCCTGGAACGTCTTCCACTCCGAAATATCCGAGCACATCCTTGAGTTCGAGAGCTTCCGTCGGATCTATACTCAAGATTTCTGCGTGCGCGTGTGAGGAAAGAACGAATCCGAGATGAACACCGTCTAAAACAGTTTTCATTGATGTTTTAATTTCATAGACTTGTCAAACAACTAACCATGAACTTTGATATCATTGATGTACAACGCTTCGCCTGTTATAGTTCTCTCGTTGAAGTAATTTGCGATCGGGCGGCCGACCGATTCGTTGAGAGAAGGCTATAAAGAATAGAAACAGATGATCAGGAATCTGTGCTTACCTTATAGAACTGAAGATAGTTGACAGGTTCCGAATTTTCGAGTAAACCACCACAATCACCGTCGGCCTTCAGAAATTCGATGAGTCTACTTATCGCCTTTTCGAGATAGGCATTTACTGGAAGTCCACAAGCAAGCAGTAATGACGATTGGTCAATGCTAAAGTGAATTTGAATTATCAAATAATTAGTTGCAACTGTCAAACCTTTTCCTCTCGTTCAAATGCCGTTCCAACTCTGTCAAGCGCTTTGGCGGGCCTCCCAATCCGACGAAAGCTCTGGTCGAATCGTCGCCAACAAGTGCGGCGAAGTTGAAAAGAGTACTGTCGTGCTCACTGGTTTCCCCCAATTTAAAACAGAACAGACGACGATTCTGAAAGCATCATTGTGTGTAAAATGAGTTGACTAGAATTTAAGTACATCCGATCTGCTAAAAATGGAATTCACAACAGTCTCTCCGGATAACAGTCCTCTTTGCAGAAACTCTTCAATTTTGATCTCCAAACTGAATCCCGCTTCAGTTAAAATCGTCAACTTTGCATCGAGAATAGTGAAGAGAAGTGTGATGTCACTGACTGATCGCAATGCTTTCGGGGCTGTCACGACGGCGCCCGTCCACGTCTGAAATCGCGAATAAGGATGGAAACGATATTGTGAATACCGCAAAGTTGGCAACTTGAGGAGAGGAATACTTTTTAGAGAGGTCCAAAATGGCAGGCTGCATATTGGTATGGAGGTAAGTGGAAAGCGTTTCCGAGAGTTCTGAATGGATTATGCTAGTTTCTAGTCGTGATATTCATAAGAATACTTTGTATGACGACTGCGCATCCGATTGTCACAGTTTCCGGAGTCACAATTATCTCGTTAAACTCTTTGACGTACTTTGTTGTGACCCATTTTACGGTTAACGCATCTGGCCTAAACGCGACTACTGCAAAAGTTTCAACGTTAAAGTCTACTCCTCCCTTTTTCACTCACAAAGTCTTGTAATAAGTCCGGATGAAATGACAGTGTGTGACTCTTTCTTTACCAATTCGAATTGATCCAAAGTTTTCGGAATGCTCAACCGTACTCGATCTCCTTTCAAAGCAATGATGTTCTGGCTGTCGACGTACGTCTGAATGTACAGAGATCAAAAGTTAGGCGTTTAATTAGTTCACACACCCTGAGGGACGGTGGGAAAATGATTTCTTGAGTTGGGTCATACTTGGGGAAATCATCAAATGTGAGCAGCTTGGCGTCGTATCCGGTTCCGGCAACTTCCTCATCCTTACAACACCCTCCTCCCTGCTTATTTCCTCCACAACATCCGCCCGATTGATCCGAGAAACTGTAGAGAGCCTCGAGAATCGGACGATATCCAGTGCATCTGCACAGATTTCCTTTGATCGCAGTGTTGATTTGCTCAATCGTTGGATTGGGATGGTTTCGAAGGAGGGCGTAGGCGGACATCACAAATCCAGGAGAGCAGAAGCCACCTGGAAGAAAGAGCACGTTTACGTATGTCAGTTCATGCATCAAAAGCTCACACTGCACGGCGTGTCCCCTGGCCATTCTGTCCTGGATCGGATGGATCTTATCGCGACTTCCGACGCCCTCGACAGTGATCACAAATGTCGTGTGCACGTGGAACAGAGGCACCAAACAGGCGTTGACTGCCCGGTAGACTGCCCTGTTGAGTGCCTCGTCCCACGTACCGAGGACCACTGTGCACGAGCCACACACTCCCTCCTCGCATCCCAACTTTGTGCCGCGCAGGCCTACTGAAAATTATCCTGTTATGTTGGGGGCAGATCCGTCATAGGTGCCTACACTTGTTCCTGAGATAATACCCGAGGGTGAGTTCCGGATCGAAGTTTTTTTCCTTCACATCCTTTCCGTTCACATTGAAGAATATGCCAGTCGAGACTGCCTGCATGAGCCCTTAAGAACTGTTTAGCTTGAAGATCTGACAGAATATCACCGAACAACAAGACATGAAAAATAGAAATCTGTGGTTTAGTGTGAGTGTAAAACGAAAGAGAAGGAGGCGAATAAGAGGTGTATCACGATTTGACAAGACAAAACTAATGTGACGGACGATATGATTCGATGAGAGATGGCGCAAGTCCGTCACAGACAGCGATACGGTGTGTTCGGCGGACGAGTTGCCAAAAAATGAAATGGAAGACTGGACCAGACATCATCACGAGGCTGGCTTCCCCTCACATGTTCCAATCTGCTTACATGTGATGAGCAATTCTGTTTCTCAAAGAGAATGTAGTTTATATCAAATCATCAAAGCACACCAGATACAGAGATAACTGAGTCATCGTTCTGCCTTATTCCTCTAACACTGATCTATCTCTTCTTCTCGATCACCAATCTAATATATTTCTTGAACCACCAACATGGCTGCGTAGCGACCCAAAAGCGTTAAAGAGTGTCATTTTGCCAGGTTTTTTTTAAACGTTCCGTAAATGCATCCATGTTGTACTCGACACCTCGTGTTTAATATTTCATAATAACACTCGACCACAGACAAAAAGTTTCTTTCATCTTAACACAGTCACGACCGGTTTCCCGTTGGCTGATCTCAGGGATATAAAAGAGAGTCGTATATCATAGATCGTCCAAAAGATCAGCGGAAAAGGTTATCACAACTTCTTCAAAACCACGTACTTCTTCGAACAATCAGCAGAGAAGACGGTTTCTATGAACATGTAGTGTTTTTCTGTAACTGTAATGAACTGCTCCACAAGGCGTCATCAATGGTCAAATATGAAATTCCGGATCTAAGTTCTTTTCGCTGGCACTCTTACCTCGAAGAACTTGCCAGTTAAGACTGCCTAAAAGCCTACATGAGCCATGAAAAACCAGTCCGCTCGCAATAAAAACTTTTACAGGTCAGTTCTGGTTAGGCTCTGGTAAACAGAACAAAACAAGCGAGCGTGTAAACACAAATATTTGTGAGTGTGTTGTCTGGCAAGGTATTGTGATTCACGAGAACAAAGAAGAATTGAGTTCAGAGTGGTACTGTTGTGACTCATGAAATATTAGAGACCAAAAAGTATCGTCACGTGCATGGCGAGTGCAAAATGATACTGGTGTTCGATCATCGAGTATCTCTTCAGTCTTGTCTCATTAAATCGAAGAACCGGCCTTCTACTCCGTAACTCGAGGACCTGAAGCTGAAAAACGAAATCTGGCACAAATTTCAGGACCTCGTCGTCGTTCCTGCTATCCCTACAATTTGATAGCTACAGTTTGCCTCACCGAATGCGATGGGGGGACCTTTTTGACCTATCAAAGAATCTTGAAAAGTATCGACACAACGCGGTCAATCTGTAAATATTTTGCCATCCGACAATGTTTGTTCTCTATTATTTATATTGACGCTTCTCACATTAATCAAGTTACACGCAACCGCCCGGACCGGTTTGCCATCGGTCGGTCATGTACAATGGCATGGATATAAAAGAGAGCCGCTGCTCGTTGGAGCAACATCATTACTCTTTCTCTAACCTGGTAGCTGAGATGAAGCTGGTCACTGTCGCCGTCTACTTGGCCGTACTCGTCGCTCTCGCTTCGGTAATTTTTCGTTAGAGATGTTAATTCCTCATTCTTTTTTTCAGGCTTCTGCGATTCGAGAAAAGCGCCAGTGCAGCTGTGACACTTCTTCAAGCTCGTGCAACTGCAACTCGGCGAGCCAGACACAATCGTGTACTTGCCAGAACACCCCTTCGTACGCCTTCTCTTCCACCTCCTCCTCGTCCAACTGCAACTGCAATCAGCAGTCCAACACGCAGAGCTCGCCAGTCACCATCCAAGTGACCTCGAGCCAGTGTGCTCCGGCTTGTCAGCAGTCCTGCTCCCAACAGTGCGACTCACAAAATTATCAGAACAGTGCCAACTGCAACTCGCAATGTCAGTCTAATTGTCAGGCAGGGTGTAATAACAATGGAAATGGAAACGGAAAGAGCTACCAGAGAAGTCCCAGCGCGTCGACGAGTTCTCCGGTCCTTGTCCGTCTCGACATTAGCTCTGGAAGCTCGAACGCGAACTCACAGTGCTCGCCGCAATGCAATCAACAGTGCAATCAGCAGTGCGCTTCGCAGAACCAACCGAGCAGTCAGTGCGCGAATGAGTGCAGCAACCAGTGCTCGAATGCCTGCTCTTCGTACTCTCAATGTGCATCCCAGTGCGCTGCTCAGTGCTCAGCATCTTCGAACTCCAACTCCAACCAGCAGTGCCAACAACAATGCCAACTGAACAGCTGCAATCAGAACCAATATCAGTACCAGCAGGCGGCGACGTCGACCACAACTGCCACTCCGATCGTTCAGGTGATCAATCTCTCGTTTCCCTATTCTTTTCACGAGATCGTTCAGATTGTCCTAAACTCGAGTGTACTCAAAAGCGGTTCCCAATGCGAACCACAATGCGAACAGTCTTGCCAGTCGCAGTGTCAATCCCAACAACACGGTCAGCAGCAGTGTGCGCAGGCGTGCCAGACGAGCTGTGTGGCCCAGTGCCAGCCGTCGACAGTGGCCTGTATGCCGACCAGTTCTTCCAGTTCCTGCCAGTGCCAGCCGAACTACTCGCAGTGCGGAAATCAGTGCTGCAGGAAGTGAAAAAAAACGATCGATCGATAAATTTTCTGTAAATTTTGAAATGAATAAAGCAATTTCTGTCTTTTTTCTTTTTGTTTGCGACTTAACCCTCCTCTCCTATCGCGGCGCGGAAGCCGCTGGCGCGTTTCGCGATCGCGCAAACAAATCGAAGACGCATGGATCGTGCTTTTTTGGTTTTTGTTTGCTTGTTCTCCATGTAGTGTTTTCGGGTCAAATCGACTTTGAACGGCATGTAAATTCTAAGAAATGTTTATGCTAACGTTTTTTAAAACAAAAAAGAACAATCTGTTCTCTCGCGAACCTCAAAAATCAATATTTACATTTGAATAACATGAAGGACAAAAACTAGTTCGGAAGGCACATTAGAATCATGTCTCGCACTGTGAATTTCGCAATTTACATGCCTCGAGACGTCATTTCGCAACCGAATTCGCTCCTTATCGCACTCTTTCCGTCTTTTCATCAACTCGTTTACAGCCGGAATGTTCGGTTCCTCTAAAAACACGACGGGCAGTGAGATCAAGTACAATCAAGTGAGCCAGAAATTCAACGAGGGATACGAACAAATGAGAAAGGCTATAGAGCTAGATGAACGTATGAAAAACGGTGAGTTTTTAGTCTCCTCTGCAAAATCCTCACAAGTTTACCTTCAGGCGGTTCGGTTGCCGAAAAACTAGAAGTTGCCGAGAGTTACAAGCAGGCGAGGACCACCTTCAAGGAGGTAATTTGGAAAATTATCTTTAAAAAGAAAATAAACGAATTCCCTCTTTCGTTTTAGGCGAATCAATTCAACATCATGGAGATCCCTGAAAGCCACAGAAGCGAAATTCGAGCGACAAGGGATAAAATGATGAATTTGGATAAAAGTGCGCAAGACAGAATTGTTAAAATTTGTGAGTTTCACTTGCATTTACATGAAATTTTGATTAAAATCAATCTAAAATTGTAGGCAGTGAACTGGATGCTATGAATCCCAAACTGCCGACCGCTTCTCGTTCCTCGTCAGCTAACAGACAAGCCGTGAGAGTGACCCCGAGAGCTACAGCTTCAGCTGCGGTAAGAGTTCAGAAGGATCCACTTTTTCTGGCGTCAATTGCTGTGTTTCCATGGTTCCATCCAAATAGTTCTTTTTTCGTTGTGTAGGTTGATAAAAAGGCGGCAAAAGTGGTAGAAAGCAAGGAGAATACGCACGTGTGCTCGCGCGGCGATCGCTGCGGAGCACACCATCCACCGACGAAGAAGCCCGCTCTCGCCAAGTCGTCTGTTCAAAAAGTAGAGAGAAATACGTCTGCACCTGGAGTGAACAAGGTTCCTGGCTTCATTTGTTGCATGACAGAAACAAACGTCCACGTCTTCTTTTTCATGTGAAATAGTCTGTTTCGTTTTGAAAATAGTAACGATTTCAGGTCACTGCCCAACAGCTCGCAGTGAATCGAGCGGCGTTACTCAAAGGAGTCGATAAGGCGATCGGTGAGCGGCTTCTCGATGAGGTTATCTTTAAGAAATCAGAAGGAGAATACAAATGTCATCTACAGGTTCTGGACAACACGGGAGTTCGGATGGAGGACGTGGCGGGTTGTCAATCTGCGAAGGCTGCTCTGGAAGAAGCCGTCATTCTTCCCGCCCTCAACCCAAATTTGTTCAAAGGCCTCCGGCAGCCAGTCAAGGGAATCCTTCTGTTCGGGCCGCCGGGTAACGGAAAGACCTTGCTGGCGAAGGCAGTGGCCGGCGAAGCGAAGCAGACGTTCTTCAACATCAGCGCCTCTTCGCTCACGTCCAAATGGGTCGGAGACTCTGAAAAAACCATTAGAGGACTGTTCCAAATCGCTCGAAATGCTCAGCCATCTATCATTTTCATCGGTACCCAAACTGAAGACTTTCCAACACTCACGCCATTCATTTTCAGACGAAATCGATTCGATTTTGTGCGAGAGAAGCGAAAAAGATGCGGAAGTGTCGCGACGAATGAAGACTGAATTCCTCATCCAGTTCGACGGCGCCACATCGTCTCCCGACGACCGGATTCTCGTCATTGGCGCCACGAACAGACCTTACGAGCTGGACGACGCCGTTCTCCGAAGATTTCCGAAGAGAATCCTGCTCAACGTGCCGGACGATAAAGCAAGGAAAGAGCTGCTTGAGAAGACGTTGACGAAGCACCAGATGATGGACGGATTGACAGACAGGGATATAAGGTTTCCTTTTGTTATTGAAAACCAAAACTGATCGATTTCTCCAGGTACATCGCCTCGAACACGAAAGGATTTTCCAATTCGGACCTCGTGGCACTTTGTAAAGAAGCAGCAATGGTTCCGATTCGCGAGATTGACAAAACCAAACTGTCAATGACAGATGGAAATAAACTGCGGAGAATTCGAGTAAGCACTTTTTTCTCGTACGAAACAGTAACAATCTCTTTTTCAGTCGTCCGACTTCGATCTGGCTCTCCGCACAATTCGGCCGTCGACATCCGAAAAAATTATGACCAAATTATCAGACTTTTCGCGTAATTTTGGCTGTTAACAGGTTGTGATCTTCCACGAGTATTGTTTTTTTGTACAGCTTTTTGTTCCATTCAAAAGTTTCAACGCATCGATCGATGATCTCTTTCTTCTCTTTCACGCTGCAAATGTTTTCATAGATAAATTTTATGAGAATTCAATAATTTAAGTAAGCGTAAAGAAAATAGGACCCGCGTGGTGATAGATAGACGAAATTGGAAGGTCAAGCGGCGATCTGCATCTGTTCCGGTTTTGACTTCTCATTGTTGTTCGAACTGTCTGCTGCTTGTTGTTTTTTGAGCTGAATTTGAAGAAATGGCATTAGAGAAATGTTTGGATCAATTCACCCTAGGTTCCTTAACGAATATCATCAGGAAGATGGGCAGGAAAACGAGGCCGTGAAGAATGGAAAAGTTGATGACGAGGAAGACGGTTTTGAAGAAGATCTGCACAATATAAGAATCGACGAGAGTGAGCAAAAGGATGCCGAGCACAGTGGAAGAAGCGCCGAGGAAGACAGGCCAGCCGAGGGTTTCGAGTGCGGCGACCGCCCGAGTGTGCGAGGTTCCGTAGCTCTGCGAGAAGGCGTAGGCGATGTGGGCGGACAGGTCGACAGCGAATCCGATGCACATGATGACGGTGATGATGGAGACACTGTCCAGATTCACGCCCCAGAACGACATGAACCCGAGCACGCCCACGTTGATGCTGGCAATCGAGATAACGATTCCAATGGCACACCGCCACTCGGGCACCATTATGTAGGAGACGACGAGGATGGTGGACAGATCCAGAAGCATATTCCAGAAGAGCGAAGGCGTCAATTCGAGATACTGATCGGCGAACGGATAATATTCGTGGAAAGTGGTGACGTTGAACACGGAATACTTGTCCGCGATCGAGCGCATCAGCTTGCACGAATGAGTGTGATCAGTGGGCGTACGGTAGTTGCGGAGTCCGAGTTGAAAGCGGAACGCCGTCACTCGCGGAGTCTCCTCGAATGACGTGTTCGCCCACACCATGTCCATCTGCCAGAGACGACGTCCGCCGGCCACGACGAGCCAGTCGCGGCATCTGTGGTACCACTCGGAAGAGGTGTTCGGCTTCTGGATGTTCAGATCGTTTAGCTCCGTCTCCAAATGGGTCTCGTAGGCTCGCACCCAGATCATGGTCGCGTTGGATTTCATCGTGTACTGGGTTCCTTCGAAGTCTGGAAAAATTGAAACTACGACTGATTCCCAGTATTCCCTACGAACCGTGCATCATTTGATCGAACATTTTCCTGGATTCCGGCTCGAAAAGATCGGGCGGCCGGTTGACCACCACTTGCATTTGAAGGCCCTCTCTCCAGAATGTCTCATCGATAATTTCGTAGAATTTGGAAAGGTAGAAGCTCTCACGGACGAGAAGTTTCGGATCGAGACCTTCTTTGATGTTCAAGCATCCGCCGATGGCCAATGAAATGTAGACGAGGTAGATGAGAAAAGCGCACACCTGAAGAGAAGAAGAAGACATTGAAAGGTTCGGAGCCGGAAATGTTTGATGACCTGTGTGCTCCTCTGCAAAATAAACGGTCCGATAATCTCTCGAAACACTTTGCTGACGAGTGTCTCTTCCGAATTGTGCCCCGGCTCTTCGTCATGCTTCTCGAGAGTCTGCTCCAACTTCGCTACCATCTCCCCCAACCTTGACTTCTTTCCCTCTTCCTCTTCCGTCTGTCGTCTGCTCGCTCTTCTGTGCACATCCTGATTCTGCCGATTCACAGATCCTGAAAGCAGCCAGAGCTTCCACTTATTCTCCGTTTTCTCCGGATCGACTGCCTTTCGGAATAGCAACGCGTGCTGATCGTTCTGCTCCATTTCGGCCGCGTAGGCGAGCACGGGTCCGAGGAAGATTATCTGAAAAAGTGAGGGGTTTTAGTCAATTTTCAGTCAAAAAGTTACCTGATAGACATAACAGAAGAAGCACTGGACACACGTGTACATGCAGAACATTTGAACTCCCGGAAGAGTGGTCCAGCAGCCGACTGCGAATGTTGTCTGATGAATAGAGAATTGGAGGAACTGTAAATTGAAAAGGAACTCACAATATCAGTGATGGAAGTGATGGAAATGGCGACTGCCGCCTCGGAAAGAGTGTGTCCGATTCGTTGCTCGGCCGAATGTTTCGGATTCGTTCGATGCCATTCGGCGGACATGATGAATAGATCGTCGATTCCGATGCAAAGGATCAGGAAAGGAGACACGTTCACGATGGCGTTGTACAGCTGTCCGCACCAGAGAATGAGCCCGAACGAGGTGACAGTGGCCATGATGGGAGTCATGAGTCCGGCGGCCGCCACAATCGGCTTACTCCTCACCCAATCGATCATCACCTGTCCGGCACTGTGCCGTCGGAGCACCACAGAGACCAGGAAAGAGAAGGTGAAGAGGATGGCGCAGGTGCCGACGAACTTGGGCGCGAGAGTGTCGGCCACGTCCTGCAGTCCCTCCGGCAGAGTCATGTTGTGATTGATGCCGAACTCGAGCAGCTCGGACGCCGGATTCTCCTTGTCCGTCAGCCACTTTGCCAGTTTCCGCCTCCATTCGATTCCGAACTTGTCCACACTTCCCTCCCTCGTATTATAGGTCAGTCTGATGGCCGACGCGTAGTCGAAATGACCCTCCTCGTCGACAAGACTCGGCGCTCCGACCAATGCTCCGAAATAGATCGGTTCGGTTCCGCGCCAGCCGATCGGATACGTGATGTTGACCTTCAAATTGATTCAAAATGCGAAACATTTGATTTGATTCGATTCTCGTGAAATTCTCACTTGTGTATTGATGATGTCACTGGCGAATTCAGCGAACGGCCCCGAGAAGTTACCCCAACGCGTTTTCGGCATCAACATGGTTATGTGATCGTTCAAATAGCACGCCCAGTCATAGCGCATGCACAAATCTGTGTACGCGATCTGAATTTAAAAAAATTAATTTTCAATATTGTACAATCAGAAATACCTCGTAATGCTTTCCATCAATATCAACTGGAAGTGTCAAGTTGTGAATGATGTAGTCGTTGATCCTGGCCACCTCATCCAAGTACCGAATGTTCAGAATATTCGGTCTACCGTAATCCGGATGAACTCTCCCGGCCGCTATCACATCCACGTATCCACGCAGATCGTAGCTTTTGCCCGGCCAAAACTTCTCCTCGTCCAGTGGCCAATGCTCTGTGAGCACGGCTCTTTCGTATCGCCATGGTGCGTTGGCCGGCGAGAACACGTACTGCGGGTCGTTGGTCGTCTCAAATAGGTTGAACATGTAAATGAACGCAAAAATTAACCCGTTTCAAACTTTGTCATGCTGTTTAGATTGAAGTATCATGGGTCTAAATTTTGAGACCGATTGGATTATGACATCTGGAGATATAGTTATTTAAGGCCAAAAGCGCAAAGCGGTCCCAAAAATCCGTCGCCCAAAACACAAAAAAGGACATACCTGTTCTTCGAACCACAGAAAACCGAAGGCGGAAAATGTGAGGATTGCAAATGAGAGGAAGAGGAAATATAATCGGAACTGGAAACTTTTAGCTGGTTAATTGAGCGGAGAGAGGGAGGAATCCCACTTTGTGCACGTTGACTCCGACCCGGAAAAAGAGCTCGTGGATTCTATCGTCGAACCAACCCATTTCGGCACATCGAACAGAAAGAAATATGCAATCTGAAGTGTGTTTGTGGGTGACGTGGCAATGGACAAAAGCGGTTAAATGAATGGCAAAAGAGGCGATCAAAAAGTGAAAGTTGGGTGTTGTAAGCTGAACATGAATCAGAAGCGCCTTTTCGCTCTTCAGTCTGACGTCAATTATACTAGAATTCACCAGAATTGTCTTCGAGTCAGATCGATAGAAAGCGTCGAAATGTCTCTTCGGGATGAATGTGTTCCCGTATGGATCTCGGAGAGAAGGAAAAGAGATAGACAAAATGAAAAGAGAAAGAGGACGGACGGAGAAGTACGGATTACAAATGACGACGACGCGGTGACATAACGACGCCGTCGTCTTGTCCGCGCGGAAGACCAGTTCGGACGGAGGGCGCCGCGCAGGAGAGGGCGGCGGCGCAAATCTTCAAAACTCAAATCGTTCGTTCACTGATAGGAGGAGAATGAATGAAGAAACAACCGTTTATTAGATAGGATGGCATAGTCTCGGAGCAACAAAACAGGAAAGGAGTCTAACTGGGAACCCGTATTGGCATGACCCTTTCGCGGAGATATCTTAGGCGGATTTGCGTGCCGAATAAAGTGATCGATAGAGATCCACGTCGGCCTGGAGCAGCAGAGCGCCGGGAAGAAATGAGACTTCGGGATGGAAGAGACGGAGCGGAGAGCTGGAAGAGAATGGGCTTGAAAACGGGGAAATGTGCTTGCTACTCACTGCATAGATGACGTTGAGAGAGTGAATCCTTGTGACGTCGCAGAGCTCACAAAGTTCTGAAGGGCGGCTTTGGTGGTTCGTCGCAGACCGTCCAGGTCGGAAACTGAGAGTCCCAGGAAGTCGACGTCTTGCGAGAAGTCGAGAGTTTGAATGAGGACAGAGCCTGAACAGTGAAATCCCTATCATAATGTATTTTGTAGCACAATCCGGCAGACTCCAAAGATAGATCCACTAATTGACAAAGTCAAAAAGCCTTTCCCGACGTACCTTGTAACTTTCCCGCCACTGTTTTCATGTTCACTTGTACGACGGTGCTGAATGGAATGACGCCAATCTTCTGACGTGTTCCCTCGAGGAAAAATATGCAGCGGCCATTCATAGAAATTGTCATCATGTCTGGAAAGGAATTGAATTGGTTTCTGATCACTTTTGTAATAGTCTACCGTAGTTGATGGTCACCGTGGGCGGAGCCGCCGATCGGATGATCAGTTCTAGTCTTCTGTTCGGGTAGACCGACTTGATCTGCAACTTTTCAGTTTTGATAAATCCATGAGAAGGTTGTGTGTGTGTGAACCTTTGTGATTTCATCGGCGATACAGACTTCGTCCAAAGTGCATGAAGTCTTCAGAAGGTTTCCGATTCCCGGAGTCTTTGAATCTACGTGGAAGATCAAAGAATTCGTTCTGAATGCACATTTTTCAGGTCTTTCCGACTCTCTGATTTACCTGTGAGCCTGGAAAAGAAGACTGTTGAGAGAGTACTGCGAAACGATCACTTCCACCATTCTTCTATTCTTGTTCTGAGGAATTCTGAACGGGTACGGTGCGATGTACGGAGATGTTCCTTCTGAAAATAACTGAGTTTCATTGATAAAGTTTCAGGAACCATGTACGTGATCTTGAGCTGTACACGTTGCCAGAGATGCCCAAAGAGAAGTCGGACGTTGTTGAGGCGGCGTCCAGAAGAGTCAAGTCGATGAGAATGTGCGAGAGACGGTCCTGGAAACAGAAAATAAAAGATGATCGAGTTGGAAAGACGGTAGAAACGAACAATATTGAAGAAGTTGATGACGTCCTCACGAGACAGACTGATCTTCCGAATGTTCACTGAAACCGATATTGTAGGCGTCTCTTAATCGGACAAAGTTCTCACCATTTGGCAGTGTCTTGGCTGGTTTTCCTTCGGTTCTTTCAATATCATCGTAATAGTCATCTGAAGGGGAGGCCGCTCTTTTTTGACGAACGAGAGTGGCGAAGTTGGTGGCCGCAGAGGTTGGGTTCTTCTTCACGTTGTTCTGAAAAAGGTCTGATTCTGAAGGATGTCCTCCAACTATTCCCATACCGAAATGATAATCTCCAGAAGCTCTTTGGCTGAAAGTGACCGTGGAATCCGTGCGAGTCTTGTCGAGAAATGGAGTTGAGTGAGTCGGTTCATGTGCTCGCAAATGGCCTCTTCCAACTGAATCCTCGATTGTCCCGAAAGAATCGATCCGAACTTTTGGTTGACGGTGTCGGTGAGCAGTCCCATGTTTGCCACGTGGGCCGTCACGATGCCGTTCTCGATTTTGCATTCGTTGAACCGCAGGTACGGCTGATCGTTGACCGTCTTCTGCAAGTCCAGAACCGCGCTGACCCCGATACTTCTTCCTGAACAATAGTTTTTTCTTCAGACATATAATTTCAAATGCGAATTGCAACATTTCGCCCCTCGAGTCCTCGAAAGAACCAGTTCTAGGGCGACAAACCTGTAACGACGACGGTGCCAGTGATCGGAATGCTGAGAATCACGGTGATGGTTCCGCTGAGTTGTCCCGTCACTCTGAGAAACGGAGAGACGGTCAGGTGTGATCCCTCGTCGCCACTTACACAAAGTCAAAATCGGTGACCCGAATCCGGAATTTGTTCGGAAAGTGCGGTTCGAAGGCGACGAAACTGGGTTGCCGGAACGACGACATTCGGAAGGAGTGCGCCTATTCACTCACTCGTTTTTTTTTGTTGCGAAACTATGTATTTCCCGTTTCCCTTTCCACACTTACATCAACACATCCTTCCGTGAAGCATTGACGCGTCGCCGGTATATTGACACGTGGCACTTCATACTCGACGAGACCTTCTGCAAGAACACAACACATCAGCTGACTGACGATGATCAAAGAACTACTGACGGACGATCGACGAAGCCTGATCGAAGACGGCGCGGTTGAGACGGACCCGGATGGCTGGCCGGAAGGATTCGCATGTGATCTGTGAGAGGAAACGCATAATTGACCGTATTCAAGAAGCTTTCCCTTCTTCTTCTTCTTCTTCTTCGCTTCTTTCCGTGACACCCGCAATTTGAATAGAATAGAATTGGAATTCAAATTCCATTTTCGCGTGTTCAAGGTCTCTAGTCAAAAAAAGTAGCAACAAAATGTGTTGATCTACATTGAAAATCATTTTAGATCACTTGGTTCTTATCTTTTTCGTAGCCAACTCTGTAGACTACAAAACTTTGGTACCAATTTGAGACCAGCAGAAAGATTATCTAGCTTCTTCCCTATTACACTTTGAAAGAGAGAGAGAGAGAAAGAGTGACCCGATGAACTTCTTCGATGATTATGTTATAGACTAGAAAGTGTAATACTTGTGATTCATCACAAAGTGGTCACTTGACTTTGATCTAATCCGATTTGAAATTGAAGACGTTGGAAAGTTGGACCCAGAAAAAAGAAATCAGAAAAAGGGTGTAAACATACCAAGTGAAGAAGAACGACTAGGAATGGCAGGGATCGTATTGTCGAAGGGATGATCATCATACTTTCAAACTGGTAATTGCATGCAGCTTGGCGGAGACGGTCGGCGAAGCAGCAAAGACGAACCAAAAAATGAAAGCGGGGCCCCGAGAAAAATTACGCGTTTTCGTTTGTCATTCTGCGTTTCGCAGTTTCTGATGAGAATGATGATGACGGTGACCCCCAGCGCCCCGAGAATGGGCAGATGACACGCCCCCCTCGCCTCTCTTCTGCCGTCGACGTCGTTTTTCAAAGCGTCAGACGCCAGCCACTCTGCAACAATAACAAGTCGTTCGGAACGACGAGACGTTCTTCTCCTACTCACACAATGGACTTTTTCGGGATCAGCCCGAGGATTGGACACAGCTAATGGACACGAACTATGACGGAGATAAGGAGAGAGGGAGAGAGTGCTTTTACGCTTCTACGGCACACATCAATCTATCGGTCCAAGTGGGCAGCTAGCCGCTGGCTGCTTCTTATCTTTTCGTATCACTAAACAGTCTTCTCTTCTTTCTCTTTTTTTTTCTCAAAACTGTTTCATTGCAATCAAAGTATCAATGACTGGAGAGGAATTCTATAAATAACTTCAAAGTTCATCTCCTGTTTTCCTCGAAGTATCCTCGTCCATCAGAGACTGTCCGGGCGGTGATAAAGCGATCTGAAACTCGGAAAAAAATTCTCACCGATTTCTAGGTTACAAAAGCATGCGAAAGTTGAAAAATTCGAGAAAGTAATCTCTTCCAAATCGTTTTTGCATTATTAACACAGGTTTACACAGAAAATTCCGGAAATCAAACTGTTTGACAAATTTAGCGAAGAATGTGTAAATTGGCACTGTTCTTGCGAGCGAAATTACAGTAATTGTAAATTAAAGGCGCAGCACTGTGAAATTTTTTTGTGCGTTGCGAAATTTTCAAAGTCGATTGAAAAATGGCCACAAAGGCCCGATTTTCAGACGTAACTATAGAAAACCGTAGAGTAAAATGGAAAAGCTTGTTTTTCTTCGAAAAATTCGAGAAAAACGGCAAAATTTTCCAGCTGGCCTAGAAATACGTAGAAATGGAAGAGCGACTGCAACGGGAGCGATATATAACTCACTTTTCTTTTGTTTTCTGGACTCGGAAGCGGTTTTTGGCTATCTTTTCGACTCTGAACTCTTCAAATTACACAATCTGCCGAAACATCTCACGTATTTTGCTTTGAGCATTTTTCTCCGAACAATGCACATTATTACCGTTTCTTATTCAGGTGCACATGATAAATCAGAAATAAGGAGAAGAAATTAAGAGTAAACTGATTCACGTGGATAATAAATATGAACGGAAAGGAAAGGTTGAAAGTGAAATTGAAAAGGGGAGGAAATGGAGAAGAAAAAGAAAAAAGAAGAAGAGAACGAGGAAATCTAAAGAAACTAAACTAGAAGTAGAAAAGGAAATAGAAACCGGTGAAAACAGAAAAGATTAGAAAGAAATATGCTTTAAGATATGGGGGTGTTAGAGAGGAACTAAAGTCAACTATGGGAATAAATATATACAAATAAACGGGTTGGAAAGAGGTCAGAAGTTTACTTGAAATTAGTTGGCGGTTTCATTGAAATAGTACTCATTGGCGTCATTCGGAAGTTTCCAACCGGACGCGCCGAGCTCCAAGAGCAGCAGAATCATTTTACGGGCCCACGGTTCGGAGACGTCGATGAATGCATCCCTGAACAGGGTGTCAGATGAGAATAAAATGATCGAGAGTATAGGCTCACCTGATCAGATCTTTGAGAAGTGCCAGCCGATCGGGACATTCTCTCTCCAGGTCGTAGCCGCCTTTGATGAGAATCGAGATGAGACACCCGAGCTCTTGGATTTTAACGTGCTCGAGGATTGGCGGACGGAGCAAGTAGTTGAAGACGTCGAACACGATTGTGGCGAGTTCGCCTTTAGAGTCGGAGCCCAAGTTCGCGTAGAGTTCGGTTAGGAACTGAATGAACGAAATCCACATTCGGAAGTGATCCTCTCGGATTTTGTGCCGACATTCCAAGTACTGCGAGAGCGCAATGATGAGTCCCTGAACTCATCCACTTTAAATCATAGTTGCCACGGGCCGGGCCGGGCCGAAATTTCAAAAACTCCGGCCCGGCCCGGCCCGTCGGCCCGGCCCGGCCCGGCCCGGCCCGGTCGGCCCGGTTCAAAAAGCGGGAATTCAAAATTTGAATTATTGATCGCATGAAGCCATTTTTTGTAGAATTAGGGGTTTTTTGCAAGCATCGAACATTGAAAAACAAATGTATTTCTCATAAAAAATTCATAATAGCAAAAAAACAAAGAAGAAACACTAAAACTTTAGTTCGATAATTTTTTTGTAATGACGAAAAAAAAATTTCCGCGAAAATTTGAATTCCCGCCTTTTTGAACCGGGCCGACCGGGCCGGGCCGGCACTTCACCGACCCTGGCCGGGCCCGGGCCGGCACTTTACCGGCCCGGCCCGGCCCGGCCCGCATGGCCGGCCCGAAATCTGGCAAGTCTGCTTTAAATGTCCAAGAGTCAAAAAAAAAACGATACCTTGACAAAGGAGCCGATGGACGGAGCGTACTTGAAGTTGGCGCACAGCTTGGCCACTCCACTGCCACCACCTCCTTCGATGGCATGACGGCAGAGCGCCGAGCCGATGGACTCGGCGAGCTCCTCGTCACAGAACGCGCCGCCGATCCATTGTTCGATCTGCACGGCGTGCGAATGCAATTGGAGGGCTCTCAGCTCGATGATCGCCTTTTCGATCTCGTGCTCGCTCATCACCTTCTTCTGCGAACAGACAATACGATACGAATGTGGGAGGGAGGGATACCTTCTGATGTTCCTTCTTCGAGTTGTTCATCCTCTTGTTGTACTGCAAATGCGCGCCTCCGCCGACGTGTTGACCATTCAGCTTATTCGAATTAGAACCATACGATTTCTAAACTCTCGCTGTTTGTCTGTGAAGGTGCCAACAAGTTTTGTTTCACCTGCGACGAGGGGGTCGACTCGGAGCTCAAAGAACTTTCGGTCCGTTTCAGACTTCCGTTCGTGTGCCGATCATCCGACGAGACCTGGTTGGAAGCGCGCGAGCTGGCACGTGAGCTCGTCGACTCGCCGCAATCTTTCTTGTTATTGTTCTCTGAAAACTGTCAAACATCCCCAGATCTCGGAGCTCAAAGGATACCTTCTTTCAGGATTTGTGAAGTGAAGTTGTTGTCACTTTCGCTGGAGGACAGCTTTTGACCGGCTGCCGGCTTCGGTTTCGTTGACGGTGTTGTCGTGGCGGACGCCAATGAAGACGTGCCGTCGGATCGAAGTCCTGAACCGAAGCAGTTGGGGAAGACGTGGGGAATAACTGAAACTCACCAGGAGGACGGTAAATTTGCATGGCGGGTCGGTTGGTGGGCTTTTTTGTGGCGTGGCCGGCCGCAGTCTTCTGCTCTTCAGAGGCCTTGTTCTCGGTCTGAAAGTCAATGAAAGTTGTTTGAAAATCGCGTTTTTGCATTCTCCCGGCCGGTTTATGCTAATTTTTGTGGGCAAATTCGAAATAGTCGGTATCGATGCAGAAGAGTGAACTTTTGTATGCTACTACACTGAGTGAGTGACACGGGATGCGGTTATCAGATACGCGGTCCCGAGAGAGAAAAAGAGAGAGAGAGAGCGGGAAGATCCGCACACGAATGATCGATTGTTTTCGTGTGCCGCTCAGTTCGGCGCGAGTAAAAAGTTATAGCAGCAATAAAAAAGGAAAAAGTGAGGATTTGTGTGAGTTTGGGAGTGGCAAAGGTAACGCAAAAAAGATGTTTGGTTTGTTTGGCTGCCAGAATTAGCACTTCTACGAGTTGTAAGCGAGAGAGAGAGAGAGAGAGTAGGAGTAAGAGTAAGAGGCGCCGTAACATCACAAGTGCTTTGTTCTTTTGTCCGACCCACACTTTTTATGAGATCAACAATTATTATTAGTCACCTGAAGAATGTCCATGGCTCCCAGTCGCACAGTTCCGAGTTCGGCTCGATCGATGCTCTTCTGCACTTGATGCGGCAGAATGAAACGGAGAAACGGTGGAAAACTGACTGGATCGTGTGCACTGTTCGTCACACTGTAGGGGCACACAAAAAAGTCGCCTCGCCTGCAAGCAATTTCGATTCCGAATCGATGCGAATGATACGGAACGGTGGAAGAGCGAGAGAGAGAAATGAATGATGGAAACGAGCAAAGAGTACGGTGGATTGGTTTCAAAGTGTCTGCCTTCCCTTTGCCACACTACCTCTCTCCGAATGGTCCGAAAAAGTGCGCGCGCGCGCGCGTGCTCCCGCCGACAACTTCGTCACTCATTTCGGCGGCAGTGTGTCACTCGGAAACCACTTGATAATCCGTGTACAAAACAATGTTAAGTCGTTGTCAGAGAGCGGTGCGCGCCAACGCGGAGAGAGCACTCAAGAGGCGGAGGAGTGAGCAGAAATTACAGAAGGAATTGTGATGAGAACATTTCGAAACGAACAGTATTTGAAGGGAGATCAAAGTGGCTGGGAAACTATCAGAATTTGCATATAGGTCGTTTTGATTTTGAAATTTGCATATCCTATCAAATGTATTGTTTTGTTGTTAGGATAATTGTCTCTAATCTTCTAGAAACTGCTAACAAAGATGAGCAAAAGTTGAAAGATGATGATGATAATAGTACAGAGCGAACAGAAGAGCATCAAAGCAAAGCAATGCGTGGGACACGGCGGCTCAACGGAAAACAGCATCAGTGTTTGCGAACGGGGGAAGGGCGGACAACACAAAACGAAGGGAGGAACATGATGATAACGTATTTTTAACCCTCTTTTCCAACCAACCAACTGACGAGAAGTGCTCATTCATCTTCAGGTGTCAAAGCGGCCAGAGACAAAGAGAGGAAGGGGAAGAGCGCAAAAAGTTACAGGAAAGCGTTTTGACAGACTTTCAGTTCAAGTGGCTTTGGCTGTGAATTGTCGGATGTTTCCAATCGGAAGAGAGTGTGCGTTCCGAAGAGACGCAGACACTCACTGGTGTACAACACGGTGAAATATGTGCTCGTAGTTGTGCTTGTGCGGCTCCATCGATGATGATGGTGATGATGATGATAGAAATTAGAGGATTGGGTGGGCTCGCTTCGGATTCTCTGCGTCTCTGGCAAAGTGTGTGCTGTCTAGATGGTCAGCCACTGGGACCGATTTATGATGAACTTGTGGTTTACGAGGATTACACTCTTTTCGCCAGTTTGACAATGAGATTACGGACTGCTCGTTCTCGAGCCTTCTGTTGACTTTCAGGGAGGTCTGAATCATTCTCTGTTCTAATGAGCTCTTCGTCGCTTCCGGAATTAGTCGACCACGGGCAGTACGATGCAAACGCGCTCCACTGAGAATGGGAAGGGGGAGACGCTGCCCGCTTTGGAGGAATGAGAAGAACAGGTCTCTCGCTGTCTGGCGGTTCACGTGCGGTGTTATATATACGCACTGCGGTTTTTGCAGAACCACTGGGCGTCGTGGCGGGCGTCTGTGAGCCAGCTTCTTGGCAGTAGACAAGTGTGGATGGAGTGAGGGGAGGAGTCCTGTGTGTGTTGCTGGCAACGGCGACCGAGCGTCCGTGCCAAGCGCTGCGTCGCTAGGGGCCATCTGGCGGAGGCCGGGCGGTCCCGGGCGCATAAGGAGTGGTGCACGGCTCAGGGCCGAAAGGCAGCAGGCAAAAGCCACCGCGCGGTGCAGTGGCCGGATAGCGCTTGTGAGTTGTCACGTACACACAGCCTTCCCGATACCTCCAGACCGCTTGTCACCTTTTTGCAATTTTTGGAATTCAATAGTACTAGAACGTTTTCGGAAGTTTTATCGAACGCGTTTCTATTTTTACAGTTCGCAGCGGCATAGAGACTGTGAAAGGCTTCTCACCTTTCGATAATCTTCGTAACATTGCTACGACAAATTGTTCACCAAATCATGGCGATATATATTAATCCACATTGGCCTCCTCCTCCTCGTTCTAACTCATACAAACTAATCGCTTCTCGATACGAAACGCGATTTATTAGCAGACGCGTCGGTCTCCATGACGACCTTCCGAAGGCTCCGACTCTCCGTTTTCCATGCGTGCTATGTTTCAAACTAATTTGAGGAGCCCGTCTCCTGGGACTCTCCCGTTTTGTGTTCTATACGTTCGTGGGAAACTAAGGCAACAGACGCTTTTTCCAATTTCCGGAGCTTTCTCTCAACACCGTTTCCGCTGTCAACTCGTTTCATGTTCTCTTTCATTTTTTATTCGCTTCAAAAAGTTTCCATTTTCCAGATGCGTAAATCGAAAAACCAATGGGCAGTTTCTCCTGAAACTATAATGTCGCATCATTTTCGGTTAGCGAAAGGAATTCCACATGTGGTGGATGCGACACCGCCGTATTCCATGTATAATAGTCCAATTAGTGAGTGAAAAGAACGAAAGGTCGTGCATTGAAATGTCTTTTTTGCAGGTGTGCACTACTTGCCGAAGCGTGCCTCATCTGCCGATCCATTTCGGAGGAAAGCGATGAGTAAATCGCAGCGAGAATTGAATGATTTCGTGAATGGCCGCAACGAAGACTCGCTCGGACTGCGGCTTCCTCTTCCGATCAGATCCAGTCTGACGGACTTGGTGAAGCCGAAACTGCTCGAGAACCGAAATTATCAGCCGCCGAGAAGAAGAACTGTAAGTTTGAATCGTTTCCTTTCACACTTGTCTATCTTGTGTTACAGGCCTCAAAAGCTCCGGCTGAGAATCGAGAAGACGCGAAGAAAAACGAGCGAACGATGCGAATCAATCAGTTCAAAGACGCAGTTCTGACCGAATTGATTCAAAATGGAATGTTCTCGGACAAAATGATTCTGAATTGCATCAAGACACACATGGAACGCCTTGCGGGCAGTGTTCCTTGGAGTGATCTGGAGAAAGCGGCCGACGAACTCATGGAGCACATTGGAATCAATCCGGAAGAGAAAGAAAAGGGAAGAGGAAGACGGAGAATTTCGAAAAGTCGCGGGTCGGATAAGAAACCACCGCTGCCGTTCAAATTGGAAAGAATCGCAAGTCCCAAGAGCCTCGAGTCACTTTCCTCCGCTTCTTCCAGCTCTTCAAAGTAAGAAACACACACCCAACCCTCAAACTTTATTTGATTTCAGAACATACTCATCGTCGTCAGGTTCCAATTCATCTGGAAGCACTTAGAAGTCACATTATCCATCTAATTTTGTGATTTGTCCTGTGATCTGTTACTAGAACACTTTCCATCAACAATGTCTTTCTTTAATGATCAAACTCTGCCAGCTCAAATAAAAGTATTAATTACATTCGAAAATGAATCCCTTTTTTATCAGATCAAGATCATTTTATGTGCGTGTGTCTCAAAAATCAAGTAATCCCCGCCGCTTACCGCCTCGTTCTCTTTGTTTTAGAAACCAAACGCATGCATTCCGCACCGCTCGAGTATGTTTCCCCAAGAGTTGCGTGATCCGAGTGAAGAGCACAGCAGCAGCAGCAGCGTGTGCTCTTTTGCATGCTCACGAGAGTACTCTAAATGCGAACGATATATGACTATAAGCAACCGTGCGTGCGCTTGCCGCCGCCGTGCCCTCTCCCCCAAACTTTCTTGGCGCGTGAAGTGGGGTGAAGCGGAAAGGTTGCGCATGTCGGCGTCTCCGCGTATACCACGCTCTCTCCGACGCGAAAAGAGCTGATTGGCATACACGCGGAGCCGGTTTCGCAGAGGAACCGCAAGGCGCCGCCCGCCCGACGATGCTGGAGAAGAAGAAGAAGAAGGAGGAGGAGGAGGAGGAGAGAGTGGCACCGAACTACGGCACACACAGGCAATCTGGCCGCGCGGAAGACTCCTAACCTGTAACTCTACATTGTCTTATCTTGTTCGCACGGGGTCGCGCGGCTCGAATTTCACTCACAAGTTGGCACTTTCTCTTTCCGCCATTCATAACTTTCGACTGTCTCAAAGAAGCTTCACACTTTTACTAGCTCTAGGTTTTACTCGGTGCTTTCGGTTCTTTTGACACCTTTTTGAATGAGCAAAAGATGCTAGGAAGTCTTTCTGATTATTTCTTTTCCTTGCAGTTTCTTTGATAATCTTCAAAATGAAAGGTACCTCAAGACGGTTTATTCGAGAATATCTATCTCAGCTGCCTATAGAAATATATTCAAAAGATTTAAAAGAGCATTTGTTCAGTATACAACTTTTTGATATGGCAGCTGAGATATATTGTCTTGAATATTAGGATGCACTTCACTAACACCATCCACGGTAGTTACAAAAGTAACCGTACGCAAAGTCTTACTTCTGCGGTCCGATACAATTTTGTGTGAACCAGCACGCTTCAACAGCAGACTTCCTATAATTCGCTCTTGTGAGTCTTCCAGCTGCTTTGTTTTGTTTTGTTTTGTTGACCTCAACTTCACACGGTGCAATGCTCTTTTGTCTAAATTTAGTGACCGATTTCGGAATTCCAAGCGCCTCCTCGTCCGTTCCACCACACCCTTTTTCAATTCCGAATCCCAGCTGAGTCAACACGAATGATGTGCTCTCTCTCTCTCTTTCTCTCTCTTGTTCTGTCGGGCCGCCCCTCTCCAATACGGTTTCCTTTTCGCTCGCTTATCACACTTCCTTAACTGCTCGAAAGTTATCCGAGTTGAGCCGCCAACGTGTGTTTGTTCTCGTGCTGCGAGAACTCCTCCGAGCCGTTATTGTACATATCAGTTGTCACCCGCAGTTTCTGTTTACCTTGTCACATAGATGGTCAGTCGAGAGCCTTTCGCAAAAGGGAAACAATACCCGCGATGGGATACTCTTTCGACGCTCGTTCCCTTTTTCTCACTGCTTTCGCTTTTCACTCTTTTCAACGAATAAATGACGTAGTCCTTCTTAGTCTATCCTAAATCTAATGTATTGTACAAGTGATGGATCAAGGTAATTTTTCTCAGGTGATTTTCGGCAAGTTGCCGTAAGAATCGGCATGGGTGCCGACTGGCAAATTGCTGTAAGGGTGCCGATTCCGTGCTTGCAACGCGCTGAACCGTCTGTTCACTTGCCGCTCGCGCGCCCCACCCTTGCCGAAAATTACCCGAGATACAAGGCATTCGTCGTTGTCTATCGTAATCCCTGAAGTCCATTCCCTGCGTGTGGATAACTCCGAGCTACACTAGGCGTTTTACTGTGTTCCCCGTATTCTGAAGATGATTTCCATCATTTCGTGAGAAAACTGAAGCTTTTAAGAAAAAGTAATGCTTTTACAAAGATAGAGTTGTGGTAGGACTACGGTAGGTATATCAGAATTGTTTTTTCTCACCCAGACAACGATCTATAATCCGTATTTTCTCATTGTTGAGAGTCCGAGCACACGTATACGTATTTTATTTCCGTAAAAGAACCGGATTGTTTCTCAATCGGTGACGAAAGTGTTCTGAGTCAGAAGGATCGAGAGAGAGAGAGAGAGAGACATGTCTGGGTCAAGCAGGTTTTCCAGGAAGGAATGAGGTCAAAAAGTCGGCTAATCAGCTTGTCGGAGCACTTGAGTGGGCGTGACACCTATTTCATTTCGAAACATGCTCGAAACACACGTCGACCTCCGGCGGCGGCGCGGCGTTGGATGCCATTGTTCGGCGCCCCGCGCGGCTCGTCTTAACACGTACTTTCCGCATTTGCTTATCACCGATTTCGCGTGTTCAGTTCGCTTTTCCGGTTGGTGCCCCCCGCGTCTCGCCGCTAATCCTTCCGCACACACAACTTTCTGTCCGCATCTCTTCGCGTAGCCGCCTCCTTCGTCTTGCGCGGAGAGACTCTCGCACAACACATACCGCGCCTCTAGAGACCTCTCCAAGAAAAGAGGGGAGCCTCCTCCCGGGCCGGTCTGCCAGCCCCCACCTTTCCTACCGATTCCATCCGAACCTTTTACCTTTTACGATTTCTTTACTTATTCCGACTTGTTACAGTTCCCATGGGTCTTCGAGCCGTCTTACTGGCCACTCTGTTGGTCACAGCAGTCTACGGACAATGTCCCGCGCTGTCCGGAGCATGCAGATGTGCTCCGTCCGTCTACGAGCCAGTGGCCATCATCTGTCAGAATGCGGGCAGTCTGTCGAACGCGATTCAAGCCATCCAAGCCGCCAGAGACGTCCCCGTAAGTTCTTCGTTCTTCGTGCTCTTCTCATTCCAATCGCTCTCTTCAGATCGACTCTCTGACCATCCTCGACACGGCCATTCCGAGTATTCCTGCCAACGCCTTCCAATCCTTCACCATTCTTCGTCTCGTTCTCAACCGAAACACACTCCAGTCCATCGACGATCAGGCTTTCAACGGCCCGCTTCTCGACTCGCTCATCGAGCTCGACCTCAATGACAACAACCTCGGACAGATCCCGCAGACTGGAATCCCGCGCCTCCGCAACCTTCGCAAACTCTATCTCAACCGCAATCGCATCAATCAACTCTCCTCGACCGCGTTCAATGCGTTCGAGTCGAAAGATTTGCTGCTGAAACTGGAGCTGGCCGGAAATAGACTGACGGACGCCACTCTCGGAGACGCCACCGTCTTCCGTCCGTTGACTCTTCTTCAGGTACCCTTTTCCATTTTCAGTTCTGTTTTAAATCGTTTCTCTCTTCAGGAACTTTCGCTCGAAACCAATTCTCTCACCTCGATCCCGTCGTCGGCTCTTGTAAACCAGCGCAACACTCTCACCAACTTGAACCTCGGACTCAACAGCATCAATGAAGTGCCCGTCGGAGCACTCGATTTCCCCGTTCTCTCGTCGCTTTCGCTCGAGTTCAACGGCATCACCGTCATTCCGCCACAGGCGTTCCAGGGAGTTCCCAACCTTCAGTTCTTGTACATGACCGGAAATAAGTTCCCTTCGTGGGCTCCGGAAATGTTCCGCTATATCACTCAGCTGAAGACACTTGGTATTGGAGAGACGCCGATCTCGGTCATCCCGAACAACGCCTTCCAGGTTTGTGAATGTACATAACATTTAAAGTAAGTATTTGTTTTCAGCACATTCCAAATTTGATTCGTCTGGAAATGTCGGAAGCTGCCGTCGATACGATTGAGAGAGGCGCTTTCCAGAGAACTCCACAAATCCAGGCTATCGTTCTGAACAAAAACCGACTTTCCCAGTGAGTCCCTTTGATTCCCTTTATAATTCTATGATATTATTCATTTCAGAGTGCGCGCTGACTTTTTCGAGGGTCTCAACGACCTCTACTCGATCGATCTGCAAGGAAACCGAATCGACAACGTGCAGTCGCTCGGATTCGCGAATCTTCCGTCAATCTCCCACTTGGACATCAGGTACACCATTTTCAAAGATTCTTTGCCCTTGATGGCAGAACATGAGAGCCGCCAGCCGCAACGTTTTTCGTTTTCCCGGCTCCACACTTATTATTGTTTGCGTATGTATCGCGCTGGCACATCCTTCTCCTCTTTGCATGCCTAAATCGTCATTTCAAACAAATTAGAAAGCGAGTGGAGGGGAAACACCTTTATGTACTGTGCGGTAGTGAGTCATGCTCCGGCGCAAAAAAAAAGTGATTGACTGGTTTTCTCGAGTGTTCCCTAATGAGTAATCTTCAGTTACAACCTTCTGCAAACGATGCCTTCGGACGTTTTCCTCAACTCGTTCCTCCCGCAACCCAATGACAGAAGGGTCATCTACGCGTGTGGTAAGTCGGAGGCCATACCGGCCAGGCCGACGGACTAGACGGAAACAGAAATAGAAAGAACACAACAAGGGGTTTGCAGGTAATCCTTGGTACTGTAACAGCGAGTTGGAGTGGTTCCGCACTCTGCTCCGCGACAATCTCGACATTGACATCGAGAAGCCCGGATGCACGGCGGTTTGCACATCGTCTCCCAACGGATGCCCCGTCGAGGGAACTCCATTGAGGTACGTGCAAAAGTTGGAGGTTTACTACTACTTGTGTACAAGAAGCATGAGCCAGTTTCGAGCAAACATCTGCTCGTGTCAAACAATCTTTTTTCGTTTGCAGTTAGTTAGTTAGTTACTCTTTCATTTCAGATCCGTCGATTTCTGTCAGAACAACGAAGAAGCACAGCCGCTTGTGGGAAGAGCACTCTCAATGGTCGGATGGATCATTCTTGGTACCGTTGAATCATTCAATTCTTCTAAATCTCACTATTTGCAGCCGTTATCATGACGATCTTGCTCATCTCGATCTGTCTGTTGGCGATGGTCCGATACGGAATGAGCCATCAGCGGAAGAAGCAGAAGGACGCCGAGGTGGCCGCCGAAGAGTACCACGCTCAGACGACAGCCAGTAAGATCACGTTCAGAGAGCTCTATCCCTATTCCTATTCCTATTTTCAGCGTCAATCTACAACGCACCCATCTCAGTCGTAGACCGGCCGTACTCGACGGTACCGCCCGTCAACCTGGACCTTCCGGCGGCGTACACTCTCGACGACCGGCCGACCAATTACCTTTATTAGGCGTTCGCCTGCTTCCTCGCCGCATCTTGTCTAAGTCGGTAGTCCACGGGCCTCCACAGACACACTGCTCCTCCGCTTCTTCCCCCTCCAAAAAACGTGCTCCATCTTTGTCTGTATATCCTAATCAAAAAATTCTGTTGTTTGTACATGTGAATCCCCCTCTCGAAGAGTTGCTGAGTGCTCTATTCTCAATCCCGCTGATTTTTCTTTTTTTAATATTCTATATTCTATATATATAAATATATATGTGCCTTCTTCTGATAATGTTTTTGAACTGAAATCTGCCTGTCTGTGTATAATATGTGTTTGACTAGGCTAGACAGAGTGAGAGAGAGAGAGAGAATGAATATTATTTTCAAATTTGAAGAGTCGCACAGCCGGACTTGCTTCCGCTGCGCAAACAAGACAAAAAGTTGGCCGAGAGCAGCCGTTTTGCTGATATCATCAACAGGAAACCGGCGAAATGGGGCCTCGTGTGGCCGCAGATGACTCGTGTTTCAAAAGAGAGAAGCCCGGAGGGCTGACTCTGGGCGCGGAGCACAAGCTGTGCTCGTCGTATGGAGAGGAGGAGCACATCTGTGTCTAATCGGTAGAGAATGCGCATGTTGTTTCCATATACCCAGCTGCTACTCGCCTTTGCACATCATTTACTTTTACTTTCACTGCTTCTGTTGGCTTCAGTCCGCGGGGAGCACTGTCTCCGTGCCAACTTTCTGTGCATTCAATAAATTATCCGCGGCGACGGTAACCATGCGACTAGGAGAGCCCCTCCGGCCGCGGCCGCCGGGTGTCAATCTTAGTCAAACCACAGCTGTGAACTTTCGGCCCAAGGAGAGCTCATTGTGCATTGGCATCCGTCCTTCTTCCGTCTGTCCAAATGTTTCTGGCGAGCAGCCGGAGAAAGAGCAGCCCGCCGCGCTCCTCTCTTTTTGCAAAGGACCTTAGGATCCGATCTCATGAGTCTCTGCATATTAGGTAATCCTAAATCCCTCGCTCCGCGCAGAGCCAGAACGATTTCCGCTGCGCTCGGCTCTTCCTCCCAAAAGTATACACCGACCTTTGATGGGACATCGCTGTGCTGTCTAATAAACTGGCATCCATCAAGTGGACGGCTCCAATATTGGAGAGACGTCTGTCTGTCCAATTTGCGACTGGATTCTATTCGTGAAGGCAAGAAGTGCTCACGGCGGCAACGTTTTGTTGTGGGCCCCCATGCAATCTTATCGTATCTTCCACCGCTCATCGGCATTGTAATTAGTCCCCTTTTGCCCGCTCTCTGGCGGATCGATACCAAACAGGTGTTGCACCTGACACACCCAACAACATGCATTATTGGATAATGTCTCGCGCATCCTCTTCGTTTTCGTAAAACATTAATTTAATGAAAACAAATATCGCCCTCGTTTTCACCTCGCCTTCCCTATAATTAGTTTGCGAGAGCTCCTTGTCATTTCGCCACCCGACCTCCTTCTTCATCCACTTGTGATCGCTTTCACAGCCGGCAACGCCGTCTGTCCCTGATAGAACCAGAAGCACCTGTCAAATTCAGGTGTTCCCCACACTCAAACACACACCTTCGACGTCTTCTGGGCAGCTTCTTCTTCTTCTTCTTCTTCTTCTTCTTCTTTGTACACTTCATTGTGATGGAATCCTCAAGTACATCTACAGCTCAGGAAGAACCGCTGGATCTTTCCACTGGAAATGGAAATGGGTAAGTGTTTGGCAAAACATTCAGAAAAATAAATTTTGCTTCTGTTTCAGTGAGGAACATCAACAACTTGCAAAGTTCATGGAGACTTGCGGGCTCGTCTTCCAGCAGAACCTCTTCGCATGGCTCATAAAGTCGATGACAGAAACGGCGGTGGCCGTCACGAACCCTTCGATTCACTCGTTTGAAAGAGAATCGCCGGAGAAGGAGAACACGTGTGAGAGGAAAGAGGAGAAGTCGGTGGAGGAGGAGCACGAGTCGACTCCGAGTCCGACACAGGTCAGGAGGAGGACCTCGACGGGCAAGATCGACCGGCGGATGGTCGGAAAGATGTGCACGAGGAGGTGAGGAGAAAGTGAGGAAGCGGGTGAGAAATATGTTGAGAAAGATTTCAGAGTGGAAGCAAATGCGAGGGAACGGAATCGAGTGCAGCAACTGTCGAAGATGTTCGACAGTCTGCGAGTGTGCCTGCCGGTTGGCGATGATTTGAAGATTTCCAAGTTGGCCACTTTGAAAGTGAGCTATTGTTGTCTTTTTCATAACAAACTAACATTCATGCAAAGTTAGGGTCCGATTATATAATTTACAAAACTTCTGGAACTTGAACCCGTTTCGCGAGCCTCACTTCTTTACCTCACTGAGCTCTCTGATTTGCAAACTCGAATTCTGAAGCGTCGTCCGCCCGTTCCCATTCACCTTTTAGTATTTCAGGTAGCCAGCGCGTACATTGGTTTCTTGGGAAGTCTGCTCAAAGACAGCACGGACGAAGAGGACGAGTTCCGGAAAAAGTTGCAGATTGAGTTGGAAAGTGCAAAGACGCTGCGGAAGTGATCATCATCTTCGCTTCATACATACACTGCGATTCCCCATCCCCGTCCGTTTGATCTCTGTGATTGTTGCTTCTTTTCTTCCATTCTCTCAATGAATAAGTTCAAATATTATCCGAATATATTCAACGCTCGCGGCGAGAAGCGAGATCACATTCGACAAGGAACGCGGAAAAAGAAAAAGCGGCGCGTCTCGAATGAATGCAACGTAAATTCTTGCGATCATCGTAAACTAATCGAATTAACCTATATTGGGGTCTCGTGTTTCTCTTGTACTTTCCAATTCTCACGTCCCATTGGATTTTCCTCCCTGTTCTTCTCCTTCTTCTCCTTCTTCTTCTTCTTCTTCTTCTCGTCCTCCTTGTTTTGCTCCTTTCTCCTCGTTCGACGGCTCAATGAGCACTTCACTTCCTCCAGAATATATTGAAGGCACCAAACACCGTCGCCGAATTAACCACCAACAAGTACATCTGTTTGCTGCGGGTGTATTGTGCAAACGAAGGGCGATGATAACCAGTCTTGCTGGAAAACACCAAAAATCGGGAAGAGCGAGCGAATGAATGCGACGCCATCTTTCTCTCTCTTTTTTTCGAAAGGAAAGAAAGCAGACGAGGTTACCTGGTCGTTGATGCCCTCGTCCGGAGAAAATAAGCCCCTCCACAACAATCGCCTCTTTTCAGTTCTGGCTTCGTTTTCAGACCTCTTCACTTGATTCCTTAATTTGATTCTTCACACTCGTTCTGTTGACGTAAGTCTCTTCGAATTCCAGTCAAAACAAATTCGCGTTGATCCGGTAAACAAATGGCACCGCTATTGTTGGCCGATTCCATTATTCTGTATTCATCCCCCCGGTCCTTTTCCCATTTGCATAATCCGTTCGGAAGATGTCTGTTAGACTGCGTAGAACTTATGATCTGAAGTTGGGCATAGGCTATCTGGAACAAAAAGGCGACTGAAAATCTTGTGCTTAATAACTTTGTAGTTGATCCTTTTATCCAAAAGTTATTGTTCTCGAGTCACGAGCTCATTTCCAAACTGTATTCATAGATCGGCAACGGCTTGTCAGACTCTGAAAGTGATGTGTTGATGTGGTTGATTCTCGTGTAAAACCAAACAAATCCAAAACCAATTTCCATTTGTTTGGGTACTTTGACATTTCGGGAAGCCCAAAAAGCCGCCCACGGTCGAGATCAAATTTCTATTTTTTCCACGTTTTTCCTCTCTCTCTCTCTCTCTCTCTCTCTCCACCCATTTTTTTTCTGCTTTCCCTTGACGATGTCATTATGCCTTCCCGTCTCGCGCCATCATCAAAAATAGGCCCGTTTTGGCGGCTCATTGACCATAGCAAAACACACAAGATGATGGCAAGGCAGGAGTGGTTCAAAGACCCGCCAAAACCGAAAACTTTTTGCAGATTACATTACATCCATGTCCATGCAACTTTGATTGTTGACTGCATTGTTTTGTTGATAGCGAACCGCGCGAGTGCCAGTTTGGTCGGTGATCCTCTCTCCCTCACTTTCTCATCGATAACTTCGAAGCGAACAAAAAACGAACTTTGAGAGGTTTCTCCTGCGCCAAACTAGACACGTGTTGATCCTCATCATCGATCACTGCCGAGATCAGACAAACACTTGAAGCACTTTTCAGACTTTTGCTCTCTCTCTCTCTCTCTCTCCAGTTCTATTGCTACTGATACCGTATATCCATTGTAGACCTTTTTTTGAGTAGAGACCGAGTATCACCAGAATTGAACATTTCATCTTCTTCTTCTTCATCAGTTTCCTCTTCCTCTTCTTCCTTTTCTCATTATCTTTCTGTCTCGTCCCTCGGGAATCGGGGACCGAGGATCGCGGATCCAATTGTGTTTTGAACCCTTCTCCCGCAGCATCATTTAATTATGCGACGAACGCTATAAAACAGATATCAAGAATCCGAATGATCCGCGAGATAAACACGTCTGAAGTTGAGCGAGTAATCGAGTGCGCCAGAGCGATTATGTTTTGCTCGGTGAGCAACGCACCGACCAAAACATAATGTTGATGAGCAGAAGAAAAAGAAGAAGCAGCAGCAGCAGCAGCAAGAACGAGAAGACCTCTGTCCTCTTCTTTCGATGTCTCTTTTGCACAAAGACGAGTGTTCGATGATGATGATGGGCTCAAAGAGCATGAGCCAGCCTTGTCAAAATACCTAACGGCAAAACAGAGAGCGGGCCTAAATAAAAGAGAGGGACAGAGATGGAACCGAACAAGTCGAACCGACCACAGATCTAGTGTTCTGTGATGCGTAGCGCCGTCGCTCTTCGTCTCTCTCTCTCTCTCCGAGACCTCCACACTTCTTCAGGCTCGCTCTCGCCTCTTTCGCGTCTCCCGCCTCCGACGCGATCACTGCGCCGCGTGGAGAGTGCACGCGAAGCCCGGAGATCGAGAAGACCACCGCCTCTGTATACTACTACACGTTTCGAGCGTGTATCTATGTGCGTCTCCCACCCGACCACTTTTGTCTTTTCCTCTATTTCTTCCTCATCTCGCCCTGTTTCCTTATTTTGTGACCGTGGTCCTTCTTCTTCTTCTTCTTCTTCTTCAGTTTCTCGAGATTTTTGCTCTCCGACTCCTAGCTCGTTGCTGCTCGTTGCTCGTTTCCTTATTCAGGTCACCCTCCCTCCCGTGTCCGTTTATCTCCTCTCCTGCACTTTTGCTCTTTTCTCTGCCCCTGCCATCATTTTCTTACACATTCTTGTCGCCCGAAGCGTAATTCCGTTGGACACACGTATTTTGTTGCCGCATTACTAATGGAGTGCACAGTACGCGTTTGTATGAGCGTCCATTCATAGAAAACAAAACATTATTGTGTACGGACTCAAGTAGTACACTTTGCCCTCAATTTGCGTGGCTCCGGCGGTTCGGATCCTGGCACTTTTTGACATTTCTTATCGACTTTCATTGATCTGTGTCATTCCTGTCATCAATATATCAATATCACCAATCTAGACAAAAAACGTTTCAAACCTACTGAAAAGGGTCGTTTCCGTAGATGTCACGACTCCACCAACTTTGTATGCATAATTTTCGTATTCCTTACCGTTTTTCACTTTTTTCGAACAAATATTTTGTTCTGTATCTATTCGAACGTCATATGAAAGAGATGGATAGAGAAAAATCACAACTATTTCGGTTTCCTTTTCAAACTTCAATTCTGAATGTTACTCGGTTTCACTGACTAATCCTTTGCAAAATGACTAAGCTGATCATCCGTCTGAGCTGTTCCGTTCTCTTCAATCCGTCCGATTCCAATAGCCACCATTCCAATTCAAAGCCTCTTTTATCAGCTGTCTCACCTTTCTCTGTCCTCTCTTTGATCTGTTGATGTTTGAACATCCGTCCCTGCCGCGTCGTCTCCTCCGTTTATCTGCCCTCGCTCACTGGTTATTAAGGTTTTTCGCGATCTTTGCCAAAATAACAAAATGAACGCGGGCGAGTACTGAGAATCTCTACCCATAAGTTCCAAGAATAGCTTGTTTTGTTCTGTTCTGCCCCCGCTTGAACCTCCCAAGTCTTCGCACCAAAAAAGGCGAAAACCATTGTGCATATCCGAGTTGGTCTCTGTCATAGACTATGCAAACACTTGTCACGCACCCCTTCTGTTTATACACAGTGTCGATCGATCAGTGGTCTTTCTGAGAGCATCGTCCTCGCTTCCTTCCGTACAGTCCTCGTGTCCCGACCTCTGACCACAGGAGGCTACTTTCGGTATCTGCACGTTTTTTGCTCTCGACAACGTACCCAATTGTTCTGACCGTTCCGAACCTTGACCTTTGCCGCTCATAATAATATCTAGCATGCTCTCTAGTAGTCTATGCTCCCGGCTACGTCGTTTTCCGTTTCGCTAGCTCACCGCCGCCGCACAAAAAAGAAGAAGAGGGGTGGGAGGCCAAAGAAGTCTTTTGGAGAGGGCCTCCAAGCTTCCGCGCAGTTTCGCTCTGGCCACCCGCCAATTCCGGAGCCGGAGATTGATGTGGAACACGTGGTCGATGTAAATTATACACCCCGATAGTTTATGGATGAGTGAGTGAGAAGCGCTTCGTCTTCCTCTTCCTCCTGCTCTCTGCTGATTCTTGGACTTCTCAGCTCTACGCGCCTCTCATGAACTTTTTGCGTGACTTGTCAGCCGCAGGTGTTCTTTGACATGTCGCTTCCTCTCCGTCAGCTCCAATTTCCTTCCTCTTCTTCTCTTTCATTTTCTTTTTTTTTCTCTTTACGAAAAACGTATCAAAAGCTCGACGAACGGGAAATTACTCGGTAACTCTGCACACGCTTGTTGCTTTGTTTTTCTCTCTCCTCTTTTGTTTCCAGATCTCTGGCGCCTTAAAATTCGCTTCCCTTCGTGCATGTGCTATTGTGTGGTCATTGATCTGTGAGGCGTTGGGTGGAAAAACGGCGGTCCGTGTTCTTCTGATCACTGAGCACTCCGGTGGCCCTAAATTCAGTAATGGAACACGGTTTTTGCTGATTTGATCTCGCAACATTGACCTTTTTATTATATTTGTGCGCGAGGTTCAGACTCCAACGTGGACTTTTTGTTTTCGGTCCCGCTCTTGTTTTCCGAATATCGACGCACTTTGCCACGTGTCACTCGTCACTCGTTCTGCAAGTGAGTGAGCTTCCACTCTCTAACAATGGACCCTCTCTTCCTTTCTTCCTCCTCCTCCTCCCCCCGTCTCCCCAAAGATCGGAATCACAACCAGCCAGGCGCGACAATTGTACTTTTCCTTTTTCTCCTTTCACCGACCCCCCACCACCGCTTTTTCTTCCCGTGCCTAAGTCTCTCGCACGTTTGTATCGTTCCGAAAACTAGACTCTCTCCTCACTACCGTATCAACAACTTCTTTCCAATTCGTGCAGCGTCATCATACTCAGGCGTCATGAATGAGTAAGAATCAGGAATTTCCTATGAGACTCATTTTGTATCACCAACTTTTGATTTCGATTCTGATTCCTCTTCCAGAGAATGTATGCACTTTTTGAAGCCTCAATGTCACATTCTCCTCAATTATTCATCGCTCTTCTTCGGTCAACTCGAATTCGTGTCTCTCCCCAAAACTTTTGAGATGAAAATGAAAAGGAACTGAAATGACACGAAATGGAGAGTGCGGTGGCGTTTCTCTTTCTCTCTCCCGCTCTTTCCTTTCGTTCTCACTCGCTCAGTTCGGGCATATGTTTAGTTGTTTCGCTCCATGTTGCCACGTCATTTAATTTCTTTACATTATACACATGGTCACGAATTTCCGTGTTTCCATGGCTTCTCACTAGAAGTTCATAGTCCTACAATTGTAGTTTTTGATAATCTTGGGGGTAGACTCAGAAAAGCGCAGACACGGAAATGACTGAAATAGAATCAGAAATGAATGACACGCCCGCCCGCCGCTGCTCGGTCGGCTGACCAATTCTTGATCCTCTGTTACTTTATTTTAAGACTCAACTCGCCCGCTTTTCTCTCACGTTTTATGCGCCTACAAATCATACATCGCCATGCTCATCTCATCTCAATCTCGTTCCTCCTTCCTTCTTCCGCCACCCTCCACCCTCGCTCCGTTTCTTTTTGCAAGAGCAGATAGAGAAAAAAGGCGAGTATCGTAATGTGAAGTAGAAGAAGAAGAAGAAGAAGAAGAAGAAGAGCAGATGTTTGGTTCATCAGAATCTCTTGCACATCGATGATCGGAGGGCGCCGCGAAAGGCACTAGTAATTGGGGGGGGGGGACGCCGTCGTGGGCTTCCATCCAAGTGGTCGGTGTGGGTCGCCTGGTGAATGAGCTTTGGAACGTGAGCTTTGGCGGCTCTCGTGCTGAAATCAACCCTTCATAATAATCACTGATCCTCTGCGGAAACATAATAACAATCTGAATAGGTTACCGGCTTCAACATTTCGAAAAAGCTCGTACGAACTTTCAAAGTTTGCTCCATCTTTGAAAACAAACTTTCGGTTTTCAGTTGAAGCTGTGCAAAAGGCCGGCCCAAACTTTTCCCGTCTGAAACCAGATAATCCGATCGTTCTGAAACTTGGATCCAAAATATTTCAACCCAAGTCTCAAGAAGTCTGCAACGTTTAGGTCCGATCGGAATACTGTAAGCCCTGGTTGAAAAATTCAAACCGCCCAGAAAAATTCCACTTCCTTTTTATCTATACGTCAGCTCCGATACAATTAACTCAAAAATAGGTGGTTCTCGGAATAAAAATCAAGTTCCGACGCGCTCCAATCCAATCCGCACGTTCTCCCCCGCTCCCTCTCCCCCTCTCTCCGTTTTTTCATAAATAATTTCGCTTCGACCACCACCCAGTCTCGTTTGCATATAACACCGGCACCAACATCAATAGCAAACTGAAAACATTCGCGTCTTCAGAAGAGTCCAAACACCATCAAACTGTCAAACAACAAAAATGCATTTGTAGGTTATAATCAATTCGAAGTCTCCCCTTCTCTCCTCCGCTATTTCGCTCGGAGAGCACTATAATTTTGCTCACAGAACATGTTCGAAAAGCACCAAACATCTTCTTCTTCTTCTTCTTTTTCTTCTTCTCCTTCGTCTCATTCCTTCCCGCCCCCCTTCAGCTCTCCCGCCTATAAATTGGGTCATCCTCCACACCCGTCAATCCGCGTCCGCACAGATTCCTCTTCTTCCCGCCGCTCATCTCCTTTCATTTCTCAATTCATTCCAGACTCTTCTTCTTCTTCTTCTTCTTCTCCTCCTCTCCAATTCATTTCTTCGGCAATCACGCTCGGCTCATGAGCACTTCTTGCGATCTGTGGTCGGTGCGGAGCGTGCGATTGCGGGTCGCAGTCGCCATCGCACTGGCCCTTACCATCGAAGGATTGATGCGCTCGAACCTGAACATGGTCAATAGTTGCCAGTTGGTATTGGTCGGACTACGAAAACGTTCTTCAGGCTATAGTGTGTATGCTAAACAGTACGGCACTGACGGACGGCAAGCCGATGATCTCTTCGAACTCGTCACTGGACCGGTCTACTACGCCGCTGTGCCCGATGCTCCAGTTCGGCGAAGCGGAGAAGGTGGAACATGTGAGTAGAGATCAGTCTGACCACATTCATTGTTGGAAAGGGGCACTTTGCAGAGAGGCACAATCTTCTGGACGTCTCAAGATCGCGCCATCATCTTTGCCTCGTTCTACGCGGGTGGATTGGCGGCCACGCTCGCCTCCGAACTGCTCAATCGCTACATCGGCGCGACGCGGAGTGTGTTGTACGGCGGCATCGCGAACGTCGTCGGCACATTCCTCACGCCGTTTGTCGCATCACAGACTAACTTCGGAACATTCCCGATAATCTTACTACGATTTGTGATGGGATTTGGGCAGGTACGCGCGTTGTTTATCCGTCCAACGACCATCCCATCCATCCATGATCGTTCAGGGCGTTCTCTGGCCGTGCATGCTCGTCCTCATTGCTCAGTGGTTTCCAGCCAACGAAAAGTCGACGGCGTTGGCAATCGCGACCACTGGCAACCAACTCTCGGTCATAATTGCCATGTTCGTGACCGCCGAGCTGTGTCAGTTGCCATGGGGATGGCCGATGGCTTTCCACGTGTACGCAGTGTGCGGCATCGTGATGTGCATCATCTGGTACATGCTCGTATACGATTCGCCGTGCCACGCCGACGACAAACTCTCGAAGGAGGAACTACAGTACATCACGACGGAACGGAGGAGGCCGCGGCCGCAGAATCCGAATTGGGTGGCTCTTCTGAAGTCTCCGGTCGTCTGGGCCATTGCCGCTTCTTCGTTTGCACACAATTATGTGACGGTCGGAACGATCACTTATCTGCCTTTGTACTACAAGACAGTTCTGAACATGAGTCTGACATCAGTAAGAGAACTTGGAGAGGGAAGAAACTTTTGGTGTCATTATTTCAGAATGGAATCCTCTCAGCTATCCCGTTTGTTCTTCAATTCATCTCAAAGATCTTCTACGCCGGACTGGCTGACAGTGCCAGAAAACAGAATTGGTTCAGTTTCGACACGGTCACAAAGATCTCCAACTCCAGTGGTAACGAACACATTAACCAAGCTTCTGGAACATTCCAATCTTTGCAGCCTCGTTCGGAATCGCTCTCTGCTTCGGGCTCCTGTGCTTCTGCGACTGCTCGCAAAGAGTTGCGGCCATCTTCCTGATCTGTGTGGCAATGGCGTTTGTTTCCGGCTACATCCCCGGCTACAACACGAGTGCGGTCACAATCGCTCCGGCTCAGACCGCCGCCATCGCCGCTTTCTCCAGATTCTGGGGTCAGATTGCCTCTTCGGTAGCTCCGTATCACATCGGAGCGTCCACGAAACAGGGAACGGCCGAGGAATGGAAGATGGTGTTTCTGGTGATATCGCTGATTTGTTTTGTGACCGGAATCTTCTTCCAATGCTGTGGTACAGGTATTCAAAGTTCTCCAAATGCTTCTCCCGATCATCGTTTCCCTTTTGCAGCAAGTCTTCAAGACTGGGACTCTGATCACTCGAAGGCGCCGATGGAGATTGCTAGGGAAGAGCTGATCGACAGTTCAAAGCTCGACGACTCGACGCGAGTGACGAACGTCGAATAGCGAATCCACGCATCTTCCCACATCCGTTCTCTTTCACTTCATAATCATCTCATACCGGTTCTTTTCACGATTGATCGATCTGTCTCACCAATTTGTTCCTCTGCTCATTCTGTGATTCTTCTGTTCGTAACGGACCGAACTCGAATTGTAATACGTTTGTACGGGTTGCCAACGACATTCCTTTAATAGACGCCGACTAGTGATAGTTTCTCTGTTGTGCCAAGTGCATATTTTTAATAAAAATTCGTTATTTGTGCTTGAACTCTGATTCTACTCCGGATTATCCCCTGATGAACACTGATCTGATCTGAGGGCTCACAGCGACAGAACGAAGCCAAAGAAGCGTCGTTCACTAGTCTACAATTGCATCCATAAAAATGAGTGTGTGTGCTCTTGCTTATCATCGACTTTTCAAAATACTCGTTGCTTCTCCCTCCTCAATACTTTTTCCAGACGTCTCTTCTGAAATCACGTGGTGTTTCTTTGCTCATCTGGTCGCCTGGGATAAGTCTCGTCCACCCTCAACTTCTGATCTCTCACAGAGTTCGACGCCGCCGTGCAGAGGGTGCGGGACACACCTGAATCTCTCGCACGCCTTCTCGCTTCTCCTAATCTCACGCTTATCTCATTCATTTTTCGCTGCTCAACACTTTCGCTTGTCTTTTTGGCTCCGCGCCGAGTGTTTTGTGATCCTCGTCCTTTTCAGCGTTCCAGAAACTACAGTAGGGCACTGGTCAGTACTTTTTGTTGTCCTCAAACACTCCCTTGACCCCAAAAGCCGACAAATTTCGCTGAAAAGCCCAAATGTAAAGTGTAAATCATGTCAAAGCGTGTCAAAAAATAAGATTTTGAGAGCAACTTGTCGTTTTAGTTTTCGATCCCTGATTCGCGCGTAACTTCTGTTTTGTGCTCACATGCCATTCCAATAATCGTACATATTCATCTAATCCGTCCGTCTCTCTCTCTCTCTCTCTTCTTGGTCTATAATCGCAAAAAAATCGCACAAAACATGTTTAGCCTAGCCACAATGAGCCTGTCTGACGGCGAGCACGATCCCTGCTCCTCCTCCGGTTCGTCTCGTGACGTAAGCGCTGCCACTCGTCCCATTTGTTGACTGCCAGACTATTTAGGATCCTTTCAGATGTCGTTCTACACAAAAATTAGTTCCCAAATGTGCAGAGTTTGCGGAAAAAACGCGGCTGGGAACCACTATTCGGTGAGTGAACCTGCCAGTATCAAAATGAACTTTGAGTGCCCTTCAGGTGCCCGCTTGTCACGGCTGCAAGTCCTTCTTCCGACGTGCCATTCTTCACAAAACCGTGTATCCCGAGTGTAAATATACGAAGAACTGCTTTAAAAAAGTGTCGCGGACAGTCCGTCCCCGGAAGTGTCGTCAGTGCCGTCTTCAAAAGTGCTACAACGTCGGAATGGTGGCCATTGTGGCTGTGCCTCGGAAGCAAGACAGTCCGGCCACAAGTTTGGATGGAGAGCTGCCGGAACTAGTGCGTAGATCCTCTGATTATCCTCAAAAACTATCAAAATACTTCCTCGTAGACGATCTCCTCGCCGCTCACAACACGCGACAACTACGTCTCCGGGATCATCGATAAGCTGCACAACCTTGACATTCAGACTGACAAGTTCCGCAGATCCGCCTACAATCCGCTCTTTGTACCGACTCTGAACGGGATTCTCGCCTCGCCTGGGAGCCTAAACTTGGCAGATAAATACGGGGTTTGAACTGCGACTCTTATCGGAATTAGTTTGGAGATCTTTGATTTTCAGCCAATGCCCGGCTGGCCTCTCGCTCAGGACAAGTTCATCGAGCAGCAAATGATGATAAACGCTGATAATTTTTCGGCGTCTGCGGCGGTGCCGGGGATCAACACGTGAGTCATCGGGGAGCGGAGTTCAATTCAGATTCCGTTCCGTTTTGCAGAAAGGATTGGCTCAGCTTCGACATGCTCACCGCCATCGAGTACGCAAAGGCCTTTCCGTTCTTTCAGCAACTAGACTCTAGCGACAAAGTATTTTTGCTTATTGTCACGATTCTTTTCGCAAATGAAGAAGTCTCAGGTGCGTCTGACGAAGGCGACAACGTTTATGAACCTCTCGCTCACCTCCTCCTACTCGTCGTTCCTCTCCAAAATGGCAGTGCTTCAGATGCCCGACGGAACCTGCATTTCCGGGCCAGCAGGACAGTATGGATCTCTTCTCTCGTTTCTTTCTCTCTCTCTCCCTTTTTCTTTCGCACTTTCTTGGCAACCTCTCTAGACCGTCCGGCTCTTTTCAGGAGTGAACGTGAAATCCGTGCCTTCGAACGACGACTCAGCCTTCGGATCATGGCTCCACTCATCCGAAACGTCTTCGACAAGACCGAATACGTTCTTCTAAAAGCTATAATCCTGTGCAATAATGGTATGATTTCAAGAAGTGAGTACACTGACATAAATTTTCTTCCAGCGGTGTCTGATCTATCGCCCAGGGCGCAGAACATTGTGTGCCGCGAACGACACAACTTCACCTCTGCACTTCTGCTCTATTGTCTCTCAGTTCACGGCTCCCATTCGGGGCCCGCCAGATACTACAGTATACTCAACATGGTAGACGTGCTCGAGCACCATCAAAGAGACTTTCGCGACTTTATGCTCCTGCTAGACATGTCCGTGCCCACTAGATATGCGCAACATCGAAAGGTTTTGCGGCAAGAAATTTTGGGCGTGTGACATACCCTCAGTATTATTTCTCAATTTTTCTTCCTTCTCAGTTTCCTGTGATCTCTTGTGTATGCATATTTGGTCTTCTAGTCAAGAATGGCTGTTTGCTTGAAATCACAATTATCATTCTTATTAATAAAAGTCTTCACGGGTTTGTCCCTCTGTTGGTTTGTTTGTTTATTTCTCAGTTTGTTCGTCCCCACTCCATTTCTAAAACGAAAAAATTCTGACGGAGAAATTAACTACTTTCGAGCGTGAGCTCAGCCCGTTCAGCGGCTCACGTGGGATCAGGAAACCGCACAATCACCTGCTGAATTCGAAACACCTTCTGTTTAACGCAACCTAAATCCGATCTCTCGGATCATTTTCTACGTTGTTTCATTTATTTGGTCCACATGGAACGTGATCTCTCGTGCCTCGCCCGAATCCAAATCTAATTTCAGTCAATCAAGTAGCCTCGATTAGTCGTGATGAGTACTGTAGATTTGAAGGAGCAGCAAGGAATTGTTCAAAGTCGTTTCAAGACCCGTGCGGCGGCAAAAATTGGCGACCTTCAAATTTAAATTTTAAAATCTAATTGCTTTCCGAAATTTCCTTGAGTCTCGTTTCTTGCGCGGCTGTTTGTCGGATAAGTTTTTCCTCAGTTACTAGTTGACATCCGTTTCGCAAAATTGAAATTTTTGTTTTGTGTCGTTTCTTCGTAAAAATGGGCTAAATTTCGTGTTCAGATCGATATGGACGAGTGCCTGAAAATGCTCACCTTCATCGCCGCCCACCAGCAATCCGTGGAAAAAAATGCCGCACAGGTTAGTTGCGATAGTTCGCTTTTGTGGTCATGTTTCTTGTTTCAGGTCTACAATGAATGTCTTCTGGAAGGATTCAGAAGACAATCAATGTACATGCCGTGCCCGCATCCCCTCCAGATGCCAATGCCTTCGTACGGTTACGCAGAGCACACCAATCTGGGCCCGGAAATTGCTCGGTTCATGTCGCCGAGTCCACAAGTGAGCGGATTTCAGCCAGATTCCCTCAGAAAAGGTTTATTTTCAGGCGACGATTCACGAACACAGTGCCAGGAGCAGTCCTCTCGCGTTTGGCACCCAGTCAATCCCTGCGATCCCTTTCGGCTCGTTCAGTTGCACAAATTCTCCGCTCGACAGATCGAACGGCGTGGGACCTCCTCCGCTTTTCTGGAACATTCCGCCAATGGAGCAGAGGCGCGCAATGTCTTTGGTGAGTTCTCTTTCCAAAAACGACCAAGAATGTACTTTGTTCAGCCGGTTTTGCCGATTCCCATGTCCGACAGACCATCGTTACTGGTCACATCGCCCACTTCGGAATACAGCACAACGTGCTCATCCCCTGAATTTGTCTCCAATCCGTCTCCAATCACTCGGCCACTGACGCAATTTCCACTCGGTCATGTCACGGATTCTGACGAAGAAAAGCAGACGCCGAAAAACCGCAGAAAACGGAGAAATTCGGCGAGTCAGAAGGATAATCAGACGACAAAGCGAGCGAAGAAGGTCAAAGAGTCGAAGACGTCAGGAACCAGCGAAACGGACACAACTGAATCGGACGGGAGCCCATGGTCGTCTCCGATAATACAAAACGAGGAAAGTCCGAAGCCGATGGACGTGAATCTGAAGGACAACGTGCTCCGCTGGCAACAAGGCGGCCGAAAGATCACGCTGAAGATGATGAAATAAAACCTGGCCCAAACCCCAATTCTTAACCCCCAATTAATGATGCATGCCACCCCACCCCCGTATCGTTTGCCCAAGCTCACGTATATTCATATTTTTTCTATATCGGTTATCTAAGTCGTCTGTATATTCATATGTCTACTGTAGTTGTTAAAAGTACTTTTCGTATATATATCAAAAATAGAGAGTAAGAGAAAGAAAAGAACATTTTAAAGTCTCAATAAAATTGCTGCTTTTAAAACTTTCGACTGTTGTTTCCGCATGCACAAACCACGTGTGTTTGTTGTCGATACCGTCTCAGTTTGCACTTGACTCACTCCTTGCTCCTTCAAATGTCCTTTCTTTTTACCATTCTTTTGAACTTTTTAAAATCTTTAGCAACAACTGACAGCCACGACGAGACCTCGATTCGTATGACGCCGAATTAGGTTGAAGACAATGTTTATTAAACAAACAGCTGATATAGAGACATTAAACATAGGTACTTATTAGGTGGACTTCTGCTCAAAGAACCACGCGCAATCCGACGCTCTCGTTTCGTGACGGTTCAGGGTAACATCAGGGCAAACCACCCGGGGAATCCTATCGAGCGCCGTATGCATTTTGGTAAAGTGCTTCACGTTTGCTGCAAGGAAGGAAGTTTGTCTTGAAAGCGTCAGAAACGCAAACTCACTCTCCAGACTAACGACAAAATTATTATCGGTGTTCATTGCTTGAAGGATGAACAGGAGCAGCTCGTTGATCGGAACCTTCCTCCATTTGTAGACTCTTCCGATAATTATGCGTCCGGTGATCCCATCCTGAACTGTAAAACCGCTTCGCATAATTGTCATTTGATACAAGTTGTCCGGCACGAGGATGGTATCGATCATAAACTTTCTCAAGATTGGTGTGTCGCAGAAAATAAGTCCATTCAATGCCATTTCATCGACTGAAATAGCAAACCAATGAGAAAAGCAAAAAATAAACAGACTCACTCACCTCTTATTGTTCTTCTGATCAATCTCGCAAACTTCCTCTTCTCCGTTTCCATCGCTGTCTCGAACACTTTTCGCACAGCCAGTTTTTGCAGAGTTGGCACGGTGCCCTCCTCGTCTTTGGAGAGTAACTCGGCGAGGAATCGGATGATAAAATGAGGGGCGACGTTTGGAAAACAGACAGCAATGAAACGAAGACACGGATGAACACATATTTGGTCTTCTAGTCAAGAATGGCTGTTTGTTTGAAATCACAATTATCATTCTTATTAATAAAAGTCTACACGGGTTTTTCCCTCTGTTTGTTGTTTGTTTGTTTGTTTATTTCTCAGTTTGTTCGTCCCCACTTCACTTCTAAAAGGAAAAAATTCGGAAGGAGAAATTGAGAAATAAACACGTGAACTTTGAAACAGTTAAAAGACAGAAACAAGGGGCGTAGCCGTTTTCGAGCGTGAGCTCAACGTGCTCAGCGGCTCACGTGGGATCAGGAAACCGCACAATCACCTGCTGAATTCGAAACACCTTCTGTTTAAGGCAACCTTCATCCAATCTCTCCGATCATTTTCCACGTTGTTTCATTCATTTGGTCCAAATGGAACGTGATCTCTCGTGCCTCGCCCGAATCCTAATCGAATTTCAGTCAATCTCCGATTTCTGGCCATAAAGCCTGTCATTTTGCATGTGCTCTGTCCCGGAGAATCTCCGACTCGGCTTCTGGATCTTCCAAATATCGCCGTTCCTCGTCAGTCCCATCTATATTGTCGCCGTGTACCTTCTTGTGTACCACTCCAGTATTCATGCTCGCAGAATCCGACACATCTATCTGCGGAATCTGACATTGTACTCCCTTGAACCTCATCATCATTTCATTCTATTTTTACAGCAATGCTCTAACCATGATCACAATTTCCATAATTTTGTGTCCAATATTTTATCTTCCGATGATTGGTTACCAAGCTAACGGGATTATCCGTTTCGTCGACTTCAACCTCGCTATTCCTGCCGTTTTCACAATTTACAGTCTTTTAGGTATAATCTCTAGACTTAAAAGCAGTTTGGTTCGAGTGAAATCTTTCAGGCGTCGCCGTTTCCATAATGCATCTGTTCCATTTCCGATTGAATGCCATCGTCACGATGAACACGACTCCTCGAAATAAAAGAGTACTCCGTGACCTTCAACGTCTAGTCTACCTGACCTATATATCGCTCATTTTCACCTGCTTCTCATTTCTGGGACTTCTCACACTCGAAAGTTTGCAGCCGACAATGAAACCGATGATATTTGAGGTGTGGAATCGCCAACGTGAAATGAGAATGAGAGGACGTAATTCAGAAGTATCACATCGCCGAAGTGTGGTGTCCCAAGTACTTGGTCGCCGATCCGTTCTCATGGCAGATACTCGTCGCCTTCGGAACCACAATCTTCTTCACAATCGGAGTCATGGCGGTGGTTCTGCTCTGCGGCGGATTCACACTTTCCGTTTTATTCACTGCTCGCAAGGATCTGTCACAACACACACTTCGGATTCAGAAAACGTTCACTGGAATTCTCATTGTGCAGGTGTAAAGTGAAACTCTAAAAAAAACTAGAACTTCAAATCACATTTGCAGGCGGCTGTGCACGTAGTTTTCATATTGGTCCCCATATTCTGCATTATTGTCGCCGTGTACTTTGATATTTGGGTGAAAGGTTTGGTTTACATCTATTATGCGTTCACACTTCTTCCAACACTTTTGCAGACGGCGGACTCTTCTTCTTTTCCGTCGAAGCTCAACAGGGCACTGCCTCCACGCTCGTCTTCATTTTCACACATTCGGTTACTAAAAAAAGCATCAAACGTGTGGAATATCAAAGTATTTTGCACACAACTTCTTCCAAACATCTCATCACTTTTCAGTTCGAAAACGTCTCGGTCTCTTTCGCTCGGACAGAATCTGGAGCGTGTCAAATGTGGAAGTTCGGAGCAAAAGCGTAGTCTAGTCCTTATCACAGTCAAGTTCTACGTGTCCTTCTCTGATTTCAACTATTGTGTTTCCAAAAGCACACACACATACACACACTTTGGGCAAACAAACACGGACTGTGCTCCGAGCTGCTTGTTCTCTTTCTCGCTGCGTCTCTCGCCTTCCTGCTTTCCCAGTTTCGTCGCTTTCTCGCCCTCCCCCAATCAGCAGTTTTGGCAAAATGTTCCGAAAAGCCAGACGACTTCGTTTTCACTCCGATTTCTTTGTCGTCAAGGAGAATTGAGTGTCTCCTGAATAATAAATCACGAATTCTATTGAAATTTGTAGTCGGTGGAGAGGCGGAGGAGACGCTTCCATGCGAACATTTTCGACATTTTAGTGAATTATACCAACTCTCACATAATTAATGAACCTTATATATCTTTGAAACTGTTCATTCATAAGTTCTCAATCTTGTTTCCAGAAAATGAAGAATCTTTGGACTGTGGACACTCTCGGCCGCAACGCTGACCGTCTAATCAAAAAGTACGAGCACGTGCCGGCCGTAATCTCGCTCGTTTCCTTCTCAATCGGAATCCTTATGTGAGTATACTTCCACCTTTTTCATGAATATCTTTTTGAGTTTTTGAGCTATTGTAGCCCGCAAACTTTGAATGTTCTTTGATAAATTGGGTCAGAGAAATCTAGTCGTGCTAGAAGTTGTAAAAAATTGATTTTCTTTGAATAATTCGAGTTACAATGTTTTCAGGTTCGTGCTGCCCGTTCTACTCGGCCACTGACTTCATTTCGTTCGAGGGGAAAGAAATATTGCACAAATGTAAATAAATATGACTTTTATTCATTCATAAATAAAGAACTGATAAGGACCCGATCATCATTATAACTTTGTTGATTGCCTGCTCGCACCGCCGCCGCCGCCGCACGAGAATGTCATGACGAAAGAGGGCAGCACGATGGAAGCGCCGAAGAGCGATGTTATTCCGAGAACCACGAGCATTGTGCCTATCTGAAAGCATGAATAAGATATGATAAGGAAGGGGGAGCACACACCTGATAGAACGAAGCGGTTTGTGTGAAGAGAAGCGGAAGGCCGGCCAGCAAAAGGGTGACGGCGCCGAAGAGACAGGCGATTCCGGCAGTCGAGTGCGCAGACACCACTTTTTCGGGGCAAGACACGAACTTTGTGTCTTTGATGGCAACCACGTAGTGAAGGGTGTAATCGAAGCTGAGTCCGATCGTGATGATCAGAATTGTGGACTCGACCACCGACAGCTTCCAGCCTGAAAAGAGACACTAAAAAGGTAATCTGAAAGATGCGAACCTAGAAGAATAAGAGCCGCTACTGTCCAAAGAATGACAAAGAGGATGACAAGTGAGGAGTATAAAGAGAGTGTGATGACTCGTGTACAGGCAATGATAACCAGAAGGCAAATGACTATGGAGATGGCGACTGAGGTGAAACTCGAAGATCTGGAAGTAGCATCTGTTTCACAGGTAACTCGACCTCTAGCCGCACCGTAACTGTGAAATGATATCGTAGAACCTTGTGATTTCCGTGGAAGACAGACAGAGTACCGGATCTTCCGTTTGTCGTTGAATCAATTCACAAGATTCTTTGATTTCATCGAAAATGTTCGCTGTAGTCAAAGCATCAAGGGCGAGTTTTTGGTTAGTCGGAATGGAAATGAAGTACCTGAATGAAGCATCAAACGCATTTTCTTTCGAGTGGATCTTAGAAATACCCACCCGACAACTTTGAGATCCTGATCTACAAAAGGACCATCGCCCGGGATTACAGCAAAATCATCCGGAAACTGATGAATCAGATTTCTGTTCCGAACAGATACGCTCAAAATGCATTGGTTCGAGATTGTCTCGTTCTCGGAAAGACAGGACTCGTTTGCTTGCAGAACCTTGTCCGCCCAAGAGATGTGCGAATAGTTTGCCAGTTGGTACTTGCTCGACTCAAAGTTGACGATCCGTCGATACAAATCCAATTTCTCGTGTGTCAAAATGAAGTTGACTCCAGAAAAGTTGAGCCCTGGCCGACTGTACGGACTCATTGCGGAGTGCTCTCTGAATGATTTCTTGCTCATTGTCCTCTTGTATGAAATCTGTGTGTCACCTGATGGCGTCGACTCCGAAAATGAAATTCTTCACAAATCGGGCGGATCTGTGCCATTGAAAGTTGAACCGATGCACGTGATTATCAAAGTATTCGTGGATGTTTGAATCAACGAAAAGCTGCAAAAAAACCAAAGTGAACATGTGATTCCGTCATCATTTTCTGCGCACTTTTGTTGGATTGGTCCGCGGAATCGTCAATCCGGGATCGTTGAAAATGATGGAAATAGACAAACCGGCGAGGATCAGACTCATCAAAACTATGACGAAACGGAAGTAGGAGGTGAAATGAGTCAGTTTCTCGGAAATGTTCGACTTCTCAATGACTTCCTCAATCTCAGGAACTTGCGTGAGCTTTCTTCTGATCGGACGCGTCAGAATTATGGCTCCGGGAAGAATGAGAACGACGAGGATGTAGTTGACAACTACAGTAGTCGCTGCATAGATTCCAAAGCATCTGAACAAAGAATTGGATTGGAAAAAAAGGCAGGCTCAAGTACCGTAACACAATGACCGGACTTGTGAGATTCGTGAGAAACGTGGTGGCAGTGGTGAGTGAAGTGACGAACATTGAGGCGAGAGAGTGATGGAGGGAGAGACGCAGACTTCGAGACAGGAGATCGGATTCACGGTAGAGGGGCACGTAGATCGAGCCGATCTTGTACTCCAAATTGGACATTTTCTATTATAAGAATGTAAGATCCTTGTTTTTTTTCGCTCTTTTAGTCACCTCAACTTCAGTTCTGAAATAGACGAGAAGCAAAAAGGCGTCATCGGCTCCGATGGAAATGAGAATGACTACGACGAGAAGGTTGATGAACGGGAAAAAGTCGATGCCGAGTATTGTCTGTAAATAATTATATTGATAATCTGAAACAGTTGGCTACTAGATACTGTATAAATGAAGAAAGCGACTCCAGCGGACAGAGCAACAATCATCAAAATGACGGTGGTGAAGACGATGCTTCTGGAGTAGGCCAGAAAACAGAAGAAGACGAAAAGAGCTGGAAAAGATGATTTGGAAGAAGAGTCTTAACTGGTCCGGCCAACCTGATATTCCCGAAATCATAGAGTCCGAACGTATTCTCTCCTGGAATATGGTGTTCTTCATGTTCAAAGACACCCCCGCCAATCGAGTATGCCTATTTCGCTCCAGATGATTCTTGACTTTTTCGATCAACTTGTCATACATGTTTCGGTTGTCCACTCCGTTCCACATTGTGATCTACTAGACACTGCTAATCCTTGTTCGAATGTTCAAACTCACTCTCAAAATGATGGTCACAATCGGATCGCCATTCGAATCGTGCGGGAGAAGCCAGTTGTTGACCTGATTTATCGAGAAAGCCGAGCAAATCTCCATTCCCGAGTCATTTTTGCACTTCTTCAACAGACTTTGAAAGTTGGATACACTGTAATGAAAAGGTAATTCTAGGAATTGTTTCTAGACTCACTCTTCCTGATTGATAGCATCACACGAGTTCTCCGTGCTGATATTGGGGCAAGTTGTGTAGAGAGCAATGTTCAGCGAGTGTTTCAGCGCTTTGGCCGAGTTGGTAAAGTTGAATTCACTCGTCAAATCGTCGATTATCGAGTCCACGTGGCACAAATGTTTCATGACGTCAACTGTGAACAACTAAAAGAAAATCGGCGTACGGTGTTGATGTTCGACTTCACGCACATGCTCATAACTCGACACTCTGACCATGATCTTTCCCAGATACTCTATCACATCGTACGGTATCGATTTTCCGATCGCCGCGTACATTTCACACGAATCCTCTAAATCCGAAGCGTTCGGCTCGGAATCCACACCGTAATCATCGTAGCACACTGTGATCGGTTCCAACGTGCTCGTCGTCATATTCTGAACATTCCGCCGCTTCCGGGTCATATCCTGTCTGGAATATTCAATTTTGCACTGCCAAAAGTGTTCGACTGTTGCTCGCTCACTCGAAATACCATCTGAGAATGTGTTCATTGCTCGCCTGGTGCGGCTTCATCGCATCTAAAGTCAATCTGGAAGCGGAAAGCGGGGTACCTCTCGTTTCGAATCCCTGAAAGAGACGTGACGTGCGACAAAACACGCATCACTCACTTTTGTCGGATCCAAATCGACGACGGAAAAATTGAAGTATAACGACCACGCGGCGAGGGAAACCGAGAAAAGGAGAGTGGAGACGATGACTACGACCGGGTGGCCGATGACCAAATGAGCATAACTGCAAACGGCACGGCATCAGCAAGAAGACAGTGAAAAAGTGAGAAACGAACCCCATGAAGATGCGTTCGGTGAGCCGTGAAACGCTGGTGGACATGATGTTCGGGAGTGTGAGAATGCGCGAAAAATAGGTGAATTGACAGAGACGGAATGTGATAGTGACGGCCGCCGAAATGATGTTTGCCTTTTCTCCACTCTCAGAAGGCGTACAGCATGCACATTTACAACGAAACAACTGTTTGTTCGACAAACCATCTCGTGACTCAGTCGTCCCTTGTACACCAGAAAAGTTGTTGGTAGTAGTAGCAGTAGCCAGGAGCAAGATTATTTTGAGGGAGAGGCAACTCAACATTTCTAGCAATACCGAACTTTGTGCAGGCGTGGGGAAGAACGCATTCGGCACAATTCTGCGATGATTTCATTAAAGATGTGAGTGGAAATATCCGGGATTGATAAATTTGAACCAAACGAGCTCTGGTAAGGAGCCAGAGGCATGTGCTCATGACAAAGTGCTCATTAGACCAAATGTCATCTTTCCGTCGTGAAGCAACACTTTTTTTTAGTTTATCTTAAAGAATTCCTAATATGCTCATTCATTTGGTCTGAATAATTCGATCGGATCCCTATCATCCGATCCTGAACAGGTCAAACATTAACATTTGGGCGTTGTATCTGAGATCTCACGTTAGTCATCTAAATCCCAAGAAAACGCACTAAGGCATTGCTGATCTTTTATTTTTGTACATTTCTAGAAAGGCATTAGATTCCCTATCGGACAAAAGCGTTTCATATTAAGGATTAGGTTGCTGGCAACGTCATTCGAGCCCACGGTAGTTCGCGGTGCTGATGTGTGGCTCCCGTCTCCTTTTGTGCTCTTTTCGGTATAAAAAGCGGGACAGGGCTAAATTTGTAGACCTTTTGACTCTAGAGTCTGATTTAGCTCCTCCTTTTTTTCAATCAAGCGTCATTCTCACTATGACCAACTTCAATTGTCAGCAGTCGAAAACATCATATATTTTCGTCAATAACTTTCACCGATTACATCATACCAAGTTAGGGTCCAAGTGGATCGTCTGTAAAAGAGTCAGATTCTCAAGTGTTTGTGAACTTTGTTTACGCTGTTTCCCCCAGAACGTTTTTATTATCTCTAACTATAAGTTCAAGACTCTTGAGACATGCAGAGAAATCTCTGGAGATAGTATAGAATTGGGTACACATTCTCTTGTTTCATTTCCAAAAATAGTATCGTTTCGCACTTCTGTTCAAATCGTTTTCAGATGCAAATCCCATTTGTCACCTACTTTGCCGAGTACCTCGGATTCTGCGTCGCCTTCTGCGCCAACCTCACCCTGATCTTTCTCATTCTGACACGAACCCGTCACAACTTTGGCTCCTACAAGTACCTGATGCTCTGCTTCGCCGCTTTTTCCTTCTGGTACTCGATCATCGACATCTTGACGCAACCGGCCATGCACTCCTACCGAAACAGCTACATTGTCTTCTGTGCCAGTTGGTTCAAGTATGATGCCGTCTTGGCTCCGATCATTATAAGTAAACCACTAGCTTTTTGTATTTCTATTTTTACTTTGTAATGTTTAGCCAGTTACTGCACTTCCTACGGACTGACTCTTGTCCTCCTGGCAATCCACTTCGTGTACCGTTACTTTGCAATGATCCGTCCGAACGAGATCCGCTGGTTCAAGTACCCCCGTTTTCTTGTCTGGCCTCTTATTTTCATCGTCATCGCCGTCTTCTGGTGGTGCAACGTCTACATTCTTCTGAGCAGCAACTCTACTTTCGACGCCTACTTGAATGCGACTATCTACGAGAATTACGAGGAACGCATTGAGAGACTCTCTTACATTGGTCCTCTTTATTTTGTGAGTATTAACGGAAATAACGTCATCTTAGGTTTTGTTAAGATTGTAAAAGAGAATAACGTCATTGAAGTACAATGGAGAAGCTGTCTAGGAATGGCCAACGTCTATGCGATTGCGGCAAGCTCTTCTAATCTCCCAGCCTTTCAAACCTACCCTTTCAGATTACCACACTCGTGATTATAATTTCATTAGGCCATGCAGTTTATAGAAAGATGCAGTCTGTGAATGATATGATTGCGAAAAACACAAGGGAGCTACAGAGACAGTTGTTCCACGCACTCGTTCTTCAAGTGAGCTCTTATTCCGAGACTGTCGCCATCAGACTTCTGATTTCAGACCATCGTCCCCATAATCTTCATGTACACGCCCACTACCATCCTCTTCATTAGCCCCATCATCGGTGTCGAACTCGGCGTTATTGCCAACATGACTTCGATTTGTCTCGCCCTCTACCCTGCTCTCGATCCTTTGGTGGTCATGTACTTTATTCGCGACTACCGTACCTATATATTGAGTGAGTTTTGTGAAACCAAAATGCGATGGTAACAAATTGTCCTTGCAGAGAAGATGCATTTATCGAGCAAAGTATCGTCGACGGTGCGAAACACGTCGATCACCAAGCAAGAAGAGGTCATATAAACAATCTAATTATTCTCTTCAATAAATTAGTTTCGCCTTCCCGTCTCGCACTTGATTTGCAAGATACTCCTCTCGCGCGTAATCAACGAGAAGAAGAAGAAGAAGATAGAGTATTACACTGTTTTGATGGTTTGTACCTTTTTCTTTTTCTCAAAGAATTGTCATTTGTGACGTGGAGTTCTTTGCACTAAAAGAAGAAGCGCAAACAGACAAACACAAAAAAGTGGAAGCAATCAATTCAGTTAAAATGTTGCGGTTTTCATGAAAGTGCACCCGATTTTCTGAACAAACAAAAGGTCGGAATCCTCACTTTTTTGTTTATTCTTAAACCTATCGTAGCTTTTTCTGTGCAGCCGTTGCCGTCTGGCACTCGGCCATCCGGGTGCGGAGCGCGCGGTCTGTGTCACTCGAACCATCTGCGCTTCTCGTGGTCCGGGCACTCTCTAGTGACTGCTCCGAGCGCAGGAGGTCTGTGTGCACCCGGAGAGAGCCCATTACACATCTATCTCGACTCACGACCAGCTGGAAGGAAAACTAACTCTTCCGTCCTCCTCCTCCTCCTTCTCCTTGCTCATTCTTTCATTTCCTTCTTTTTTCTGTCTGTTTTTTGTGTCGCCGAAAAGATGGAACAGCTGAGGGAAACAAAGATCGCCGTATAAATATCGCCGTATTTTTTGCTCAAGTTGAGCGGACGGAAAAAGTGTGGGAACACGGCGCATTTTTGAACTTTTTTGGCTCTTCTTCTGAGCAAAAGTTGGTGCGACTTCTAAATAGAAAATGTCTCGAAATATAACTGTTTGGATAAAGAAATTTTCTCGTTCAGCATCGTGTATTTCGGAATACTTATATTCTGAGAAATTTTCTATTTCGGAGTCGTATACGGTATACCGACAAGTTCGCTGAAAATTTTGAAAACAATCTATTCGCGCCAACCTATTTCTCTCATTTTTGGAGCGCATTTGCATTATTATTCAAAATCAGAGAACTCGCAATCGAATTTTTTTAAATTAAACACGTATTCAGCAGGCGTTTTGTTCATTTTCGAATTCAAAAGTTTAGAAATTCGTAAGTAAAACTGGTTGCGTGACCGTTTTTAAAAAATTCCGTGTAAATTCTTCGATCAAAATTTTTCGGCGATAAATCTCTGCAGTTGCAAGCGATTCATATCCAAAGTCTAACCGGGAATGAGACAGATTTGTCCTTTCCGCAATAAAATTTATGTTTCAATGTGTTCTTTGATATCAAAGTTAAATACCAAAAAATTGTCCGCAGTCCGCCAAGGCTGCCGGCTGTCAGTTGCCCTCTTTTGTTATCAAATTAGAATGCGCATTCCTTCAGCTCGTTCTTTTCACATGATCCTCTCCGTTTTCCGCCTCTTCGAAGTCTCATCAGCTGGCCAAAGCTGTCTGAAAAAATGTGTTTTCCGTTCGTTCCAAATGTAATCCAAAGGGTTTTCCGGTCGACCGCTGTTGTCTCATCCTTCGTCTCGCTCCACCGCTGTTGTCTCATCCTTCGTCTCGCACTTTTCTCGAAAGTTATGATGATCGGTTGTCTGAGTCATATCTTCTTCTCTTTCCCACACAATATCTGTTCGTCCGTGCTCACATTCCGTCACTTTGTGTGGTCATTCTGTGTTCTCTCTCCCTCCGCCCCATTTTATTGCTTTTCCGTCCCCTCGTCCCCTTTATTTCGACCATTCCCTTCTCTTTTTCGGCGGTCAACACATCGATCTTTGCAGAAATGGAAGAGAAAGAGGAGCAAGAGTCGCTGAATCAAATCAAGCTCAAACCGCGCATTTCGCTCTTCAATGGCTGCACAATCATCATCGGTGTCATCATCGGCTCTGGAATCTTCGTCTCCCCGAAAGGAGTTCTTCTGGAAGCCGGCAGCAGTGGGATGGCGCTTCTCATCTGGCTGCTCAGTGGAGCTTTTGCTATGATTGGAGCCATCTGCTACTCCGAGCTCGGAACCCTAATCCCTAAATCTGGCGGAGATTACGCATATATTTATGAGGTAATCATTAGCCTAATGTACACATTTCTACTAGATAATTCCAGGCTTTTGGTCCGCTCCCGTCGTTCCTCTTCCTATGGGTCGCCCTCGTCATCATCAATCCGACGTCTCTGGCCATCATCGGAATCACGTGTGCCACGTACGCTCTGCAGCCGTTCTATTCGTGTCCCGTGCCTGATGTCGTCGTCAATCTCTTCGCCGGATGCATCATCGCCGTGCTCACTTTCATCAATTGCTGGGATGTTCGAATGGCGACAAGAACCAACGACTTCTTCACAATCACCAAACTCGTCGCCCTTGTTTTGATCGTGACCTGCGGAGCATACTGGGTCTCTTTGGGACATGTCGAGAATCTCCAGATGCCCGACGTCGCCGAGGGCACTCAGACAAAAGTGTCGGCGATCGCGATGGCTTTCTATTCGGGAGTCTTCTCGTTCTCCGGATTCTCCTACCTTAATTTTGTCACCGAAGAGCTCAAGAATCCGTTCAGAAACCTTCCGAGAGCCATTTACATCTCGATTCCAGTCGTTACTATCGTCTACATGCTCGTCAACATCGCCTATTTCTCCGTTCTCACTGTTGATGAGGTGAGTCATCCTTCTCCAAATTATTTCATTTGAAATGTTTCTTTAGATTCTCGATTCGGACGCAGTGGCCATCACCTTTGCCGACAAAATCCTCGGCTCCCTCGGCAGCAAAGTCATAATGCCCCTTTTCGTTTCGTTTTCCTGCGTTGGATCGCTCAATGGAATCCTCATCACATGCTCCAGAATGTTCTTCTCCGGCGCCAGAAACAACCAGCTGCCGGAGCTGTTCGCGATGATCTCCATCAAACAGCTCACTCCGATTCCGTCGCTCATCTTCCTCGGGGGCACTTCGATCATCATGTTGTTCATCGGAAACGTTTTCAAACTCATCAACTACCTCTCCTTCGCCGAGTCCCTTGTCGTCTTCGCGTCAGTCGCCGGACTCTTGAAGCTGCGGTTCACGCTTCCGAAGAACGTGCTGCGGAACCGTCCGATCAAGATCAGTCTGGTGTTCCCGATCACTTTCTTCCTAATGTGCCTCTTCCTTCTCATTCTCCCATTCTTCCACAGCGATCCATGGGAGCTCATCTACGGAGTTTTCCTCGTCCTTTCCGGAATCCCAATCTACGCGCTCTTCGTGTACAATCAATGGCGTCCGAATTTCATGCAGAACATTTGGATCGGCTTCACTCATCTTGTGCAGAAGCTGTTCTACTGTGTTCCAGAACTCTCCGGATCTTCCTAACCCCCTTTTACTCCAATTCCACTTTTTCTAAACCCCGTGAATCTTTCCGTTGTTCGCTTTCGCTCTGCTCTGTGCATTTCTTGTTTTCCTGTTTCTTTTTGTTGTTTTCCCCAGATCTTTCTTTCTGCTTTTCTATGCGGACATATCTAAAAACACACGATAGCTTCCCGCCTTTAACCTTTTAATCTATCCCTCGCTATCCTCCCGGGACTACTCCCTTTCTCCCCTCGTCAAATTGAGCCATTTTCTGATTTTAGCGCTTGATAACTTATTATTCTCTACGAGAAATAAAATTGTTTACATTTTTCTCGCATTTTTATGCTTTTTCAACTCTTCCAGAAATTGTTTCAGTTGACAAACACTTTCGAGGCGCGCCACGGCCTCCGGCACGAGAAAAGCGCAAGCAATTACGCGTGCTCTCTGCGTCGCCGGCAGCATTCTCCTTGTCTCGCACTCTCTCGCTTGCCTACTGTCGCTCGAGAAGCGAAATGAGAGTTGGTGTGGCGCTCGGAACGCCGCCGGAAGAATACTGATTTATCTTTCCGTTTTTCTTCATGAACGTGTTTATCATGAGCAAAACTTGCAAAGAGCAACAAAAAATTCTCAAAAAAATGCCGGCGTCAGTACGAAATTTGCATTTTTCGTGTTGCGGTTGGTTATGCGTGCTACAAGTGAGAATCAAAATCATCTTCCGTTATTTCGTGATGAAAAACGTTGCCCGAGGGTTTTTTTCATGACCACATCATCAAAAATTTAACGAAATTAATCGTGTAAGCCACATTGGGAGCACCGATTTCACACTTCGGTGGCCAACGAAGTTTCATCGGAGACTTCAGATGCGTGCTCTCGGAAGAGTACTGATTCATTTTTCCCGCTTTCTACGGGAATATGTTGAATGTGATCAGTACTTCGAAGCAGCAACAAAAAACTTGAAAAAATATTCTGCAGTGTCCACGGAGACGGCTTCTAAAAGTGCTACAGTTTTCTGCTGACTTCAGATGCGTGCTATCGGAAGAGTACTGATTCATTTTTCCCGCTTTCTACGGGAATATGTTGAATATGATCAGTACTTCGAAGCAGCAACAAAAAACTTGAAAAAATTTTCTGGAGTGTCCACGGAGACGGCTTCTGAAAGAGCTACAGTTTTCTGCTGACTTCAGAAGCGTGCTGTTGGAGGAGGGGAAACTTTTTTTGACTGATTTCAGCTGTAAACTGTTGTTTACACTTCATCGAAACAAAGAGCAATGAATAATCGCAAGTTTTTCTTATTCTCCAGCTGTGAATTCCGAAGATGTGAGCACGACGTATTCTGGTGGACAAGTTAGTCAGAATCCACCAGTTTCTCACATTTTTTGATAGGAAATATTCACATACGGGTAAAACTTCGAATTAAACAATAGTCGAGTGAGAATGAATGTTGCCGCCGTTGGTGAGTCCGTGAGAGTCGGATCTGCCGTAATCTTGGCTCAAGTCGGCGTGCTTCAAACCGCCATATCTCTCTTCAAACTCATCCAATCTACTCGTTCGAAGTCGCAAAAAGAAAGCTCATGAAATTTAGAAACTTTTTGTGTGTGTGAATTTGTAAAAAGTGGTTTCTTGCTCACGTTATCCTGGAAAAAAACCTCAAAAAAAGGCCACTTTTTTTCCACTGAAAACTTCAAAGTGATGCATCTGCCTTCAAACTGCATCAATTTACTTGATTAAAAAAAAGCAAAACGTAGGCCTCTCTAATGTCTACAACTTGCCAGAATCAGATTTTCGAAAAAAAATTTTCCTGATTTTTAAAGTGACTGCAAAGTTTTCTCTTCGTAGTTTGTTACATCCCATTCATTCGAATCACATCTATATTTGATATTTTTGTGTTCAATACTTGAATATAATTGTGCATTAACGAAAAGTGACGAAACAGTCAAGAAAATTTTCTTGTACCCGCTCCTAGACATGTCTTATACTCAAATTTTCGTAAAACTGGCTCTTTTCAACACACAGGAACTTTTTTGATTGGCTAATAAAAAAAAAAAGATTCCTAATTTTTGTCTTAGTCTGTTCAGATTTTTCGAGATTTTATTTTTTGTGGTAACCATGCCGCCGACAACTTTTTCGTGTTGAACAAGAAATTTTTTGATGGATAATGCAAGCGCGCTCTACGGTCATGCGTTAGAGATGAGAGACGGCTGAGTATGCGCGTTTCGCGATCCGGCTGGCACATTTCTCGTGCCGGAGGCCGTGGCGCGCGCGTTCTCCTTACTTGGCCTAGAAATTACGCGCGCTTTCTTCGGCCTCGTGCGGTGAACTCCTCGTGGACAAAACGAGCTTTTCAAATTCGATTTCATGCTTTTCGTGCTTTTTTCAACAAAAAATCATGTTTTTCTCCTGTAGTCAACAAAATTGAATCTTCAAAAACAAAACTTCGTTGCGGATAGCATAAAATTTCTCGTGGCCTTTCGAAAAAGCACGCGGCCGTCTTGGCTACAACAAGCAAGTTTGCATGCTGATAATAACTGGCTGGTCTGTCATATGACTGATAACAAATGGCCGATCGGTTGATGCTTCTTTTAATAAATCACTTCTTTGCAAAAATGCAACTCGCCAATTGCTCTTTATCCTCCCAAATGTCAATCACAGCAACATGCTTGCCTATAGGCTTTTTTCTGAAGATCAGAACCAATATAATCGAAAAATGGTGATTTATCTTCGCGAAGCATGTGTTTTGTATTGGCGCCCTCGCCGATAGGGGGAGGGTCCAACTATCCCCCAGCAGTCTGCTCAGATATCAGTGAGCCGTGGCCAGCTGGGCACACTTCGCGCTTTCGCTAATATGTTCTTCAAACGGAGCGACGCTCGCAAAGCGTCCACTAATTCGAACTCTGACTCCTCGTCCACGTCTTCAGAGTCGTTGTCGCTGCAACTGATCGGAAAGAAAGCTGGAGGAGCCTCTCGGAAAGGATCTGTCCACCGACAAAGTGGCAAGAAAGGTACGAAAGGGGCTGGGATCAGCGTGAACTCGAAAACCGTTCTTTACGTTACGTGAAGATTCATTCCAGCACGACGCAAGATGATGGAGAATCCGTACTTGTGCACTTCGGAGCTGGATGAGCTCTCCGCCGACGACTCGATTATCGACTACTCGGTGTTCAGCGACGACTCCTTCCTCCTCATCCTCCTCCTCACCTCGAAAGGCGACGTGCAAGCGTATCTGGAGACGAGCCGCGACACGAAGCCACGAAAGAATGTGGTCAGCATCAAGACGGCCTGCCAAATCAACGTCGACCCAGTCACCGTTTGCATTGGTGCGTCGGGGGAAAGAGGGAAAGTTCTGCACTGAAATGAAATCCGATAGCACCCTCGGATGGACAATAACAAAATCTAATTTTCAGGCAGTCAAGCAGCATTCGTCGTTTTCAGTCTCGCAGACGGTAACCTTCTGGTCACGCCTATCAAGATTTTGATTGTGAGTGTTTGATTGTGAAAGAATCGAAATACATGTGTCGGCGATGTCGAAAAAACAGAAGCCAAAGACAACAAAAGAGTCATGTGTTCATTGTTACCGCATTACATTGATAAATCACTATCAAAAGTGTTCCTTATGTCTCTTTTCTCCTAGGACGTGACGTGGGGCGGCTCCTCTTGGGCAACCACGACCGTCATCGATCTGAGCCTTCCGTCGGTGGATCCTTGCCTCGCGACCCCCACGTGCACCAAGTGCTTCGTCTCCAACTTCCCCCCGTGCACTATGGCTGTGGTGGCGAACAAAGTGAGTTTTGTGCTTCCTCCCCGCAGAGCATCCATTCATCTTCCTCCTCGCGCCCAATCGTTATCATCGCCGAATGACCAGTCGGTGAGAGAGAAAGTGGGAGATATTGTTGTGAATGCTCTTTGGCGGCCACGAAACGAACGTTTCCAGAAAGTAAAACGTCAGCTGACGTGGTGCGTGTATAATGGAAAACATTGACAATGAGAAAAGCATAACACGAACGACTTTCAGGCGGGGAACATCCTTCTCGTCGATCTACACCTCCGGAAATGCGTGTCCGAACTGAAAGCGCCGCAGAGTTTGCATCAGGTCGACGTGCTGTTGGACGAGAACTCAATCGAACTGCTCGTGACGGGATTCACAGGCGCGCAGTGGATCATTCCGATCGAACGGTGTGGGAAGGGGTTCCGGGAAGTGCTCACGACATGCGTTCCGTCGGATTTGACTGTGGTGGGTAGCAGATTTGAAGCAATCTCCATGCAAACAAGAGTTATTCCTAAACGTGTTGGTCCTTCGGAGGAAAAATTTTCTGAAGTCTTGTTCCGAAAATTCATTTCCGTCTGGAGCACTCTTGAATTAGTGCGACTGAACTTGCACCCGTTTGAACCATAGTTATCCCCCATTCAGACGTTTTCCGTAATGGAGTGTTGCGAATCATGGCAGGTTTGTCCTTCCCGTGTACCCCACGTCCACATGTCATCTTGTGTGCTTTGTGATATGGCTTTCATGAATAATAGTTGGCTGAAATGCGCTTCTCTCTCACTTTATTACCTCAATACTTTCGTTTTTCAGCTCGAACCGGCCACAATGCAGTTCTTCGCCGCTGATTCGTGCGGAGTCGTGGCTCTGGATACGGCCGAGTCCATCGTGGAAGTGTACAACACGTTCCATTCGCTGACGCACTCCTCCAAACGAACCTTCAAAGTGCCGCCGGAGACCTGGATGGTGCACGCGGGAGACAACATTCTGTTCACGGTGTCGGACGGGAACGAACTGAGGAGTGCCCTTCACTTTGGAGTGAGTGCGACCACGGAACTCTCTGGAACTGTACGGTTTTCAGTTCGTGTCGGCTCGTCTTGAGTACACTCTCCTCCGAACTTCCACCGAATGGCGGCCGCTCGGAATAGTGGCGATGCCGCCGCGACCGCACAAATTAGCCGGAATATTCGTCGTCAACGAGCGCGGTCTCGTCCGTGTCGAACAGTCGTCCGCTTTGTGAGTCTCCTCTCTTTTTGGCCACTCGCATTGCTTTTTTCTATTGACGATCATAACCCCGCTCTTTTTGCTTTTTGATAGCGTGTCGAGCCACACGGGCCTCTGGGAATTGATATCCCTCAATTGTTCAACACATCAAATCGACTCGTCGTCCATCCTCTCTTCCTCGTTCTCTCTCTTTTTTTTTTCTCACTCACAAACGACGGATAATGTGTGTCTGCTGCTGCTGCCGAATCAGAATCAATGAACCGTAATCGGATGACACCACCATATTTGCACAGTTGAGAAAAAGGAGAGGACCGCCGCAGACCTCCCATCTGCCGTCCGGAGACTTCTCCCTTTGCATTGTTTAGAAACGAGAAGGGCAACCCATCCCGGCCCTGCCGCCCGACCGCCGCCGCCGGTTGTTCTTTCTTTTCTTCCGAGTCACACTCTCAAGTTTCGTGATGATTTCTGGTGACCTGGAGTGTGCGGGTCCCTCCCCCCTCCCGCTCTCAATCATCCCAGTTCCGTTTCTCTCCTGATCACATTCTCGCTCTTCGATTCACTTTTGAAATCACACTGAAAGATGGGTCATATGAAAGTTTTTCACTTTGTTGAATCAAGAATGCCAGACCGCCTGTTTTCGCGTTTGTGTTTGAAGTGTTTTCCCGTCCGACTGATATGTGAAACCATTCGATTTGCCCCGTCGCAACCCTCTCTCTCTCTCTCTCTTTCTTTTCGTCTCTGGAAGCAGCTGTGTTCCATCCAAGAGCCGAGGAAAAGTGATTGCGACAGAAGAGAAGGAATGATTCCGCTTTGTTAGTAAGCGATTTCTGCCAGTTTCAACTAGAATCCTACATGAAAAGACATCCACCTCATTAGTTTTCATGTGTGATTCCCTCCATATTTCTCTCTCTCTCTCATCTAATAGCACACAGATGCCGCTCTTCCAAACATCCTATTCACATCCAACTTCCGCTCAGCTTCTTCCTTTTTTTCTTGCGCTCTTTTACCCGCCATCGCAGTTTTCATAAACTGATGGCATCCAGCTGCAACTCGTTTGTTTTGAGAGTCGAACGTCTGTCCGCCCGTCGGCAGGTGTCCTCATTCCTACGCGTATTTCCTGCCGCTCCTGCGCCCAGACTCTTTTTCTTTGTAATTTTTTAGCCATTATTCCAGAAGTCTCACGAAGATCGCCTCCGAGTTCTTCTTCCGGCTCTCCCCTCTTCAACTCAACACAAAGTCGGTGGCACAGATCGCAAATGCGTGCAGAATTGACACAGCTGAGCTGCAATCCGCACTGATTCCAAATCTGCTAAGTACGCGCAAGAACCGACTGTTGACAAACAAGGAGCTGGCGCAGATTTATTCGATCGCCAAGGCAATAAATGTAATTCCTGTGTTCCCCGAAAAAAGTTTCATAATTGCATCTCCAGCTCTCGATGGCCGACCTACTCAGGACGTTCGAGAATGAATCGATCGGCGAGCAACTGCTTCCCGAGGTGAGTGCTGACAGCCTCCCCTTTCCTACTCCTCCAACCCAAAAAAACAATCTTTATTCGTGCGAGTTCAGGTGCTCAACACGATCCAAGCGAATCCGGCGAAGCACGACCATCTGATGCAGAGAGTCGTCGAAATGTTTGTGAAGAGAGCCATCTCGGCAGAAGGAAATATGGACAAAATTCGAGAGTACGACGCCGAACTATCGTAAGTTCCTCCTGGCTCACGCTCGGCTACCTTTTGAATCTCACGAATCCTTTAGAAACTTCCTGGCTCGACACGAACACCTCCACAAGGGCGCCGTTGACTGTGCGAAGGTGGGACTGTGGAAGTGTACTCAGACGCTCGTTCGGAGAGACATTCACGAGACGAAGTCGATCGCGGTGTGTGCAGAAGTACTCTCGCTCATTGTCAGGAATGGAATTCAAATATGGAAGACGCTCAATTCGACTGACAGATTACAAGTAAGCACTGTAAACTCGACTGTTCTGAACTTGTCAATTCAGGTCATGTCTCTCGTGTGCCACTTGGATTGGACGAATTTGTCCGATGCAGACGGCGCTCGCATCTGCGCGCTTCTCTCCGCCTGGCAACGGGACATCAGTCTGCCCTCGTACCACGAGATGTGTCTCCGAGTGGCCATCTCCAACTCGGACCGATTTCCTCGTCCGTGCCAGATCCTCTCGATCGTCTCCTCTGTTCATGTCTTGGCCGAGAAAAGAACCGCTCATCCCTCATTCTTGCCCGACTTTCAACCGCTTTCCGGAGGCAACAATTGTGGAGCGGCCATAACCGAAGACGACCGGCTTATGATTTGGGGAAACTTCACGAATGCGCAGCAGAAACTCGAAATACCACGTCAGTCTTGAAAGTGTATCTGTTCATATTTCAAAAGCAAAACTGCAGAACTGAATGCGAAAACGAAACGAACGGATTCGGTGACGAACGGAATGACGGTCCCTCCCACGTATCACGCTCAGAAGCCCGAACAAGTAAGAAACGAGAGCACATCATTCCTCATCTCTGCCGATTTATTCGATGTTCCAGCAACTTCCTCGTGTTCTCGAGTACCCTGGAGGACGGCCGAGAGCCATTGCGTGCGGAGCTGAGCACGTGCTCGTTCTTTCCGCTTCCGGACAGCTATCCGCGTGGGGAGGCAACCGATACGGACAATGCGGAGTCGGGCACTCTTTCCGGTTAGCCAATCTACAGGTCTACAATAAATTAACTCGAAAATCATAATCCCAACGTTATTCTTTTCAGCAAGTCGATGGAGATTGGCCGCCAATTGCGAAGATCGCCTGTGGTCAGTTCCATTCCGCGTTCATCTGCTCGGACGGATCCCTCTGGACATTCGGGTGGGCCGTTTGGGGCCAGCTAGGACAGGGCGGCCGAAAGAATTGCAATCTTCTCACACCGACCAAAGTGAACGGACTGATATCGAAAGTGACGCAAGTTGCGTGCGGCAGAGCGCACACTGTCGTTCTGACGGACAACGGAAGAGTCTTGGTGTGTGGATCTGGAACCTACGGACAACTGGGAATCGACGAAGAAGTCAAGAAGGTGTTCTCGTTCTCTCCACTCCCGATAGGGCCTTTGAAGGTCAAACTCATTGCCACTCACTATTATCATTCGATTTGTGTGACGGAAGACAATCGCATATTCGAATGGGGCCGAAATCCGCAGGAGTTGAAGATGCGAATGTTTGTGATGAAGAAGATTCGGAGTGCTAACCTGAAGAACTCGGAAGATCCGAACTCGCCATCGCCATCTTCGGACAGACAATCCACGCCACGTGTCAATCTGCATTTGCCTGCCGAGATTCCGAGGGACGATCTTGGTCTTCGGGAGGTGAAGCATTTCCTGGACGGACACGTCGTGAAAGTGGCGTGCGGACTGTCGCACACGGCCCTGATCACAACGGAAGGATCGCTGTACACGTGGGGAAAAGGACTCGATTATCAACTCGGACACGGCAACAAGAACGAACGAATAGAGCCACATGAGGTGTTCGAGCCGAACGGTGTTCAGTGGATTACCATCTCTCTCGGTCAGTTTCGATAGATTAAGCAGCAAACAGACAAATTTATTTTCAGGAAACAATCATTCGATTGGATCGACAGCAGACGGAACTGTTTATGCGTGGGGGAAAAACGATTTCGGGCAGTGCGGAGTGGTGACGAAAAAGAATGGAAGCAACGGCGAAGCGCAGAAAAAGTTCTACTTCCAAGCGAGAGACGGACGACGATTCATGCCGAACGTCGACGAAAGCATGTTTGTCCAGAAGCCCGCGCCCATTCCAGACGTGAGTGTGAGAACGACCAATGACATGGGGACGGAAGGCGTGGACGAAAATGAGCTTGTCAATCGGCTCAAGGATTCGGACATCACCGTCGTGCAAGCAGTCTCGAAACACTTGTGCAATCTGGTCGAGGAAAAGAAGAACGGAACAATCGAGGAGGAGAACGAATCGGAAGAGGACCCGCTGCAGAAGACGTACGACGGAGAAGACGGACCATTGTGCACGACGACAGCACTCGTTCATCTGATGGCCGGTGAAGTGGAAAGAGCGATTCGGATGATTAAATGGCTAAAAAAGGACGGCGGGACGAGTGAAAAGTCGCTGCTCGCATTGTCCTCGCTCATCTGGGAAGTGATTGCGAACCATGAAGACGTGCAGTCCCGAGAAGCACTCTCCGCCGCATTTCGTCACGTTCCGATGTCCGATTCGATGCGGAAAGGAAAGCAAATTGCGCAGCTCTGGCCGGCTGTTTGGAACGACGAACGGGTGCAGAGCTCGCTGAGCATCGACGAGAAGATTGCGATGCTCGACGGATTCACCAGTGCTTCGAGGCCCAGCAACTGTCCTACGGTACCTCTCTTTATAAAATCGTGCGTATTTTCATTCGTTCCTTTGCAGATCCCATCCTCGTCTCTAGAAATGTCGTCGAAGATCCGAGTGTACGCTCAATGTGCTCACGCGGAGCCCGCAGTCGTCGGCTCTCCACCAGAATGCGCGACTTGCGTCGACGAATGGACTGAGAAGGTCCGACACACCCTCGGCGCCTCCCTGTAGTATTGAAATTTCAATTGTATTCAGTTTTTCTAGGATTTCACCTCAAATCTGCCTCACTCGTCTAGTTGTTTTCTTTTGTCATTTCTCGAAATGTATTTAGCGGATATCATCAACCTACGGGTCCCCTCTCTCTTTTCCAGTTTTTCAAGTGTCCACCACGTAACGCTCCCCGTGATTCATGTCTCCCAATCTGCCTTTTCTTTCTGTGCTCAAACATTATGAACCATTGCCTTTTCTCTCTCTCTCTCTCTCGGTTTCAAACGAGGTACTTGTTGTATGTGTGTGTCTGCAGAATCTTTGTAAATAACCGGTGACCATATAAAAATGATGATTGAAAGCGATCGGACGAGCAGAAGAAATCCTGTCTCCAACGAATAAATGTCAAATTGAAGGATCACAGAATGAGGTGAAGTGCGAGAAACAATGAAGAATTGAGGCGTCGTTCAGGAAAGTGGACGGCTTTTTACAAGCGCCCTCCCCCCTCGCACCGATTAAAGGTCCTAAAACAAACAGGCCATGTTTTACTCAGCTGTTCCCCGCGAGTAATTCTCGCCCATTGGACTGGTCGACATTTCGCAACCGGAAACTGACCCGGTTGCAAAGTGTGCAGCAGCCGAACTGTCGGGTTGTAAAGTGTTTTTGGTGTGCAAACTTCTGAAGTTTGTGCATTGGAAGCGATCTTTCTGTTCCGTACGATCTTTCAAAGATGCCTCCCCGACTTTTGCATATAATATTAACCGCCTATAAAAAATGGTCAACTCGCAACACATTTCGTTTCTTCGCCCGCTTTCCGCTTATTCGTTCTTGATGTGTGATGGCAAACGACCTTTGAAAAACGTTCGCGTTGCCAAGAGACTGTCTGCAGTCTGAGCAGAACGTTTTTTTTTTTTGAAAATTTGGAAGCAAAATGTTTGAAGGACTCATCTGGCTGGCAAGGAACTCAAAGCCCAGTCCTTTAGTGATGTGTATCTGGAAAACCATACAATATTTCATAAAATGACCAACTGGAAAGTTGTTGCAAATGTTATTCTGAGTAACTTTGTAATTGTCGATGTCACTCCAAATTATGTAATTCGCGAGTTATAGACCTTTTCCCCAACAGTATCCCTTCGCAAGAGCAGACCAATGTTTGATCGCTTCTGTCTTCTCGAAACCGAGAACAAGCCCATTCGGACAGCCATCACCCGGCCCATAACCATCCATTTTCGCGCCGCTCTTGCCTCCTTGTCCTTCTACTTCTTTCACTCATTTTCATTTTCGCACGAGTCTTTGTAGAAGCCAAAATAGACGAAGAAGGATTAAGCCCCTCCTGGATGTGGAGTGACCGACGAAAGAACAGGTTTCTTGACCGTCTCTTATCAGTGTAGCGAAAAGCGAAAAAAGTTGGTGTTCTTTCATGCATACCTAGGTATACCTGATAACTGACACCCACGCAGACCCCAATGAATAAGAGATCTTCTTTCTGGATTCTTTTCGGTTTTTCCCTCACAGTTTCAGTCATTTTTATGGTATCGAACTTCCGATTTTCTCCCGCCCAAGTTTGTATGTACAGATGCCCCCATTTTCCCACTGCTCCGAATGGTCTAGATCTTTCCAAGATTTTGTTTCGAACCTCCTGCGGCATAAAGCAAACATCGTATACAAAAAATTGCCAGACACACGTTTTCTTATTTTTATTCGACTTTGTTTGCCTCATGATCTCCGGAAGCTGCAAAATAAAAGAAATCACTGTGTTGGTTATGCAAACGAGTTTGCACAGCTTTTTTGATTTTTGCAAACTAGATACAAAGAATCTCTCTGCTTCACTTCTTGACAATCACTTTTGCAGAATGATCAAGTGGTTACTGACGGTGAAGCGTAGAACGCAGCCGGTGCGGTTGGCAGTCGTAAGTTACTCACCAATATCTCAGTTGTCTGAGGAGATTTCAAAAAGTGATCAACTGAGAAAATGTACAAATTGTATCATTGAAAATTTTATTAGTTGACATCTTTTTGATAGCTCTACGGGCAGCTGAGATATGTCGTCTTGAAGATGGTTTGTGCCATGGTCGCCGCCTTCGTCTTCACGGCGAACATCCGAACGGCCAGTCAGTACGTGCTGCCGTCTCATCGGATGAATCGGGCGGTCAAATATTCTAAGCAGTGAGTTTTGCCCAATACTCACCACTTCACCCTGAAATTCAGAGAATCCGCCATTCAAAATCTCTGGAATATGAACATGTTCTCGGATGCTAACTCTGAACTCACTTTCGAATCTCTTCTCAGCTATCATCCATTCAACAACACTTGCAAGTTCCCCTTACCCAACACTTATGCGGAGGACGTTATGGTCTGGCCAACTAGAAGATCCAAAACTAATAATCTATTCAATTTAGGAATATCATCTATCTGAGAGACTTCGAAATTTGAAGTGTGAGGTGAAACAGAAAGATTACGCCACGATGGACTCGGAAGGATACATGTACGTGCACCCGCACTTTGTGGATTACCCCCGACTCGAACACTACGTCTTCTGCATGGTCGATATCATCGAGGGAGGGCTCAGACAGCCGCACAGGAACATGACCAAGAATGTGTTCCGAGTTAGGAAAACGCTTAATGTAATGGGAGATTTTATAGGATCTTTTGAGAGTATCAGGTAGATTCAGGCCCCTGCTGAAGAACGATTCTTCGTGAACGCCGACGCCTTCATCGTCAAATGCTACAACTTTTCAAAGAGTGCTGTGAACCCGAACTCTCCGATCTGGAGCAAACCGTTTCCCGGAATGAAGGACCGGAACCTTCCGCCCGATGAGATCCTCCGTGTCAAAGATCTCCAATCGTACGGGGATTACGGTAACCGTTTGAGGTCCGAAGCGAAAAAGATCGTGGACAGATACTCGGTCGATATTCTTGGGTAACAATCATCAAAATATATCCTCCACCCTCACACTTTTGTTCAGATTCGACTCAACGGCGCGAACGATGTTCATGAGGCACATGCCGAGAACTGTGGAGACCATGGAGAAGTTGGGATATCACTTCCTCTACGGCTACACCAAAGTGGCCGACAACTCGATGGTAAACCTGGCGCCGATTCTGGTTGGCGATCTTCCGGAAGCGTTGAAAAAGCCGAAACACGATGTGTCGGGAGATATCAATCTCAATTGGATCCTGCCGACCGATGACAAGCTGGACCCTACCAAGTTGAACTTTTTGTGGAAAGTGATGAAAGAAAGTGAGTTACTAGTGACTGTCAAGTTTGAAGGTTTTGTTATTGCGAGTTCAGAGTATGGCTGTGAAAGTTTATTCAATGAGGACATTTCCGGAAAAACGCTCGGTCTCTTCAACTATCCGCCAAATGAGTTTCAAGCCGGTACGCTCCTCAACTTTTGACTACTGTATATCTAAAACCAACTCTTAGGATTCACGGAAGACCCGGCCGATCACTATTACCGAGCCTACTACCTGGCTGTTTACGAGAATTGGAAGTATGAGGCGTGCAAGAACGGCGAGCAGATCCAGGCCGAGTTCATAAGCATTTGGAGACGATTTGCCCATCGCTACAAGGACATTTGCCACTTTGGATTCACTTTTGTGACAACTCTAACTCACGAGGCCGGATTCCTTTTGGAAGTTCTCGACGAGAAAGTCAGTGCTCATTTGAGCCAGTTGCATCTGCAAGGTGAATTGTGCCAACCAATGGAAAAACCTGCAAAGAGAAAGTTTAGGTGCTCTGGATAACACGGTTTCTGTAATAATGGGAGATCATGGCAACCGAATAGGAGCAATTCAGAGACGGTATCACGGAAGAATCGAAGAGAGAATGCCTTTGATGGCGATCAGACTGCCGACTGGATTCGCGGAGCTCTATCCGGAGGAGTATAACAACTTCTTGGACAACAAATACAAATTGACCAGGTTTTTCTAGTTTCTCGACATTATTAACCGCCAGATTTCAGTAATTTTGATGTTCACAAAACATTGCATGATATCGTTCACATGAGATTCGGTAAAAACAAGAACGTCGAGGTGGACAATGGCCGAGGGATTAGTCTGTTCGACGCGATCCCAAACACCCGCAGCTGCTATGATGTTCATGTTCCGGAAAACTTTTGCATGTGCATGATCGACGTGGCAAACATCACGACACCTCTGCCGGGGATGACGAAGAAAAACGCGATCGAGCAGAGGAAGGTGAGCAAAACGCTTTGACGCGGGCAGGGATCGAAACTGCATTAGATTGATTAGAAGTCAGACGCCTTCTAATCACTCAATGCGCCTGAAAAAGAGGCTGGCGCGGCGACAGGACAAAAAGCATTTGTGTTTGCACTTCAGGATCAATTCGACACGTTGAAACACTGGCTGAAAACCGAAAAAATGGAGGAATGCGTGGATTTGAGCAGTCTCGAATCATTGAACGACTTCAAGGAGATGGCAATCAACCCGTTCAGTCGACACGGGCTCCGGACAAAAGTGAACTTGACCGCCAACGAGATCACTCTCAAGGAACACGCGAACAATGCGAATTTGAATGTTAGTTCAGTTCACGTCTCTATTAGTATTCTAACAATCTCGCTGTACCGCAACACTGTGCGGTAGAGTGCGAGTGTCGGACTCATAAATTGCACCTAACGAAATCGAGCCGAGTTTGAAGAAAAATGAAAAAGTTCGGACATTTTCCAGTGAAAAACAACTTAAAGAACGCGCTTGCACAATATAAAATGTTACTTGCAGTACCTAAACTTTGAGTTCTCGGTGATCGGCTCGTTCAAAACAGCGGACCCGCTGCGCATGCTCGTCCGAACCGAACTCTACGTCGAACGGAACACAAGCCGTCTCGTCTTCGAGCCGATGATGCAGGAAGCGCCCGCGACGTGCCGATTTGTATCCATTTTTGATGTGTGCGAGTGCCTCCGCCTCCGGTTTCCGTCCTCCAAATCCAAATAGAGCAGCAGAGTCTAATCTGTTCCATTCGCACGGGTTCTTTGCTTTTTTTGTCTCTGTTCGGGTTGATTTTCATTTATTGTTGTTACAAGAGCATTTCTATTGAATGATGAATATGAATAATATAAATGGAGGAAGAATGTGCTGAAAAGACGCGATTGAAAAAGGCAAGAAGATGTTTCACGGAAACTCTGGGACGGTCCGAAGACCCCATTTGTACTGAATGTTCTGTTCTGAAGAGGGGGAGGAGACGAGAAAAAGAAATGGCAGTGAGCATGAATTCCTACGGAGAAGAGTCGGTTTGGCGTCTATCGGATGACGAGACCAGCGATGAGAACGGAGAGGAAGGAGCCCAACAGGCTCAGATTCGGAGTCTCGTTGCAGTAATTCTTTCCGGTACAGAAGAATGATTCTCCTAGAGAATGGAAACACTTTTTGATTGTTCATTCAGAATTTCCCTTACCTTTAACCTTCTCCTTGTTGGCCCAATAAAGCGGCACATTGAGCTCGCGCACCTTCATCGACGCGTCCTCTTCCTTATTATTCACGCATCCTTTCACGATAACGTTATGTTCTGGAAAATGCATAAAAATTTGATGCAAATGGAGGACGGATGCGGAGACTCACTAATATCCTCGAGTTTGAAGCACGCTCCCTTGCAGCAGGTGAGCCCCGACTGGCAGTTTTCCATGTCACGACCCATGCAAGAGTAGCACGTAATCTCGCCTTTCGCCGAGCAGTTTGTGGCCGCAGACGCTTCTGAAATGAGTTGAGAAGTGGAACTGCGAACGAGTGGAAAGTACCTGCCGCGCAGAAAACTGCCAAAACGGACAGTATTAGATAGGAACGCATTGTGAAGACCTGAAAGAAGAGTAAGATGAGAAGAAGAAGGTAATGGAAAAGTTTATAAAAGCAAGAGAAGTGGTCCGTGAGACGCCAACGAAGGAAGCGAAGGCGATCGATGATGAAGAGTGTGGCGGCGGCGTGTGCGGGCCCTGCTAGCCAGCCGCCCGAGAGAGAGAGAGAGAGAGAGAGAGAGAGAGAGAGAAAGAGCCCCCTCCCTTCGCTTCCCTTCCCTCTTCTGCCAGCTTTTCGGGAGCATGTTGTCCAACGACCCGTCCCAATCCTTCTTCTTCTTCTTCTTCTTCTTCTTTTTTCGCTTCTGCTTCTTCTTCCCCTGCTCCTCTTCTTTCTTTGGCAGAGAGCGAGCGAGTGCCTTACCCGATTTTCTGAGGACCAAAAGCGAAGCGAAGGAAGAGGCGACTACGAAAACGTTTTCCTCTTGGCGAGAGTTCGAGATGAATGTTGTGTTTTTAGGTAACGAAAGGGTCCGACCGGGAAAAGAAATGTGAAATCCAATCCGAGCTTTCGGTTACACTCTTGACCCGGGAAAAACAGAGTGTCTCTGGGCTCAAGAAATCAAATGAGTTCTCTCCGATCACACGATTTGTTGCTTCTCCTCAAGTGTCCAGAGATGAAAAAAAAACACGGCCCAGCAAGTGAGCTATATGGAAATCGGGCGGGAAAGTTAAATTTACTGCAAGTTTTTGCACATTTCAGAGCTGTTTACTGTCGCCAAAAAACGAATACGAGGTGCCGGCGGTGGAGGGTAAAATTGAGTGCTTTAAAATGTGTATTTCTACGTGTTTTTATGAAAGTTCACTTTTTTGGTTTGAAGTATGCGTCTTAAAAGTTTCACACATATTGAATCATCTGATCTGGAGGTATAGTCATTTCGGTTCAAGTGCAGAAACTTTAGAGGTTTGCCCAGCCCTGCTTATATCCCTTAACACTATAAATTTCTTGTCTAATATGTTCCAACCTCACTGAATACCTTCTGACATGCTTTCTTCTTCTCCTTCTCCTTATTCTTCGTCTTCCGGTGTAACAATCCCCGCCGCCACTTTCACTCATCGGCCTTCCCGTACGACTTCAGCTTCACCCAACCTTGCCATAAAGTCGTTTCTGATGTTATCTCCTGATCGCATCGAGTACGCCAACTTGCCACATTCCGAATGATAGAGCGATGGGAGCGGGAAGGAGTGATTCGGTCGATTCGCCAATCCAAACATCATCCGTAATGGTTTGCGGCTTACACTTTTTATGAAACATCAACACGGTCTGATTGCATAATGAACGATGGCTAATTGACATAATTGTGTATCCGGTTCTCTCTGGAAAGGTCATCGAAAAAGAAGTTAGAGTGCGTTTGGGCATTAAAATGAAGAGAAAAAACGGTTCACGATGATGTCATCTCTATTCTGATGTGTGTCTAGATTTCTCAAAGCTTTGCAGCAAGGCCAGATCAAAAGCTCTTCTTTATTTACACATATTCGCAGAGAAGTAGACAGAAACAGACTAATGCAATTAAAGTTCCCTTTCGATCACTCTGATCTTCGATTTGACCTCCTCCTTCAGAACGAGCGAATCCTTCTGGATCTCCCTCGACGGCACCGTCGGAATGATCTTCTCCTTCTCGACGTCTTCCGGTGTGGCGTAGGCCAGAATGAATCTGCAATGGAAATCGGATATTCATGAACACGCGAGCCCACGCAACTCACCTTCCGTCGATCTCAATCTTGCACACGAGGTCCTTCTTGAAGTGGATCTTCTGCGAAAAGTCCTGGAAAGACACGATGGTCTCGAACTGTGTCTGGAAAATCTTCTCGGAGTGCTTCTGCAGTCTCGTCGAGAACTTGTGCACGTTGCACAGATTGGTCTTGGTGCGGACTTCCTCGAACGAAGAGGTCATGAGCTCGTTGAGCATCAGGTTGCAGCACACGTATCCACTGGGATTGTAGAAGCACGACGGCAGCGGGAACGTGTTGTTGCCACCCTCTCCACGACGGCCGTAGTAGTACTGTCCGACAAACGTCTCGTCGTATTCCGGGGTCTCGACGGCCTCCTCATAAGCCTGAGTGGTAGTCGTCGGCGCTTCTGTGGTGGTGGTTGGTCTGAACCGGCTAGTGAACACGCTTCTAAAATGTCCACTCGGATTACCTGGGAGTAGTAGTCGTTCGTTCAGTCGTTCTTCTCGTGGTAGTGGGTCTTGGCGTCGTGGTGGTTGGTATTGGCGTGGTGGTGGTCCTCTGAGTAGTTGTGGTTGCTCGCGTAGTAGTGGTAGTCGGTGGTGGAGGTGGTGGAGGCGGTCTAGTTGTGGGGGCAGCCGTGGTGGTGATTATTCGTCTAGCCTGAGAGTTAATTATTAAAGTGCACCCGAACAGAAACTGATCTCTTCTTACAGTGGTACGTCTTGGAGTTGGTCTTGGAGTGGTGGTGGCTGGAGCAATGTAAGCGGCAGTGGTGGTGGCTGGAGCAGGTCTACGAGAGGTCGGCACAACGTACGGACGAGTTCTTGGTGGCTGGGGTCTTGGCTGTGGACGAGCGGTTGTGGGCGCGATGTATGGAGCTGGACGGGCTGGCTCAATGTACGGCGCTGGTGGGGCTGGCTCTTCGATGTAAGGAGCCGGACGGGCGGTCGTCGGCGCAATGTACGGCCGAGTGACCGGTGGTCTCTCAGAATATCCCTGAGTAACCGGAGCCGGGCTGAATCGGGCCTGGAAAGGATAAGGAAAATTGGAGAGTGCGTATGAAATATGTGAAGTGACATGCATACATTCAAAGAGTTGGAGTCCTCATTCTCATCTCCATAAGCCGCCTGTGGCCGTTCGACGAGGTACGGACGGACAACTGGAGGACGAGGTGGTGCGGGTGTTTGCTGGAAAGGACAGAGACAAGAGAAGTGAGAGCAGAAGGGAGCACGCAGTTACCACGATGTAGACGGGGCGGACCGGGCGCACGGGCTGAGGACGGAGATCGAATCGGGGATACTGCGGCTGCTGCGGCTGGATGAACTGTGCCTGCTGCTGAGGGATCTGATATTGTTGCTGGGGCACTTGGAACTGTGGTTGTGGCCGGTACTGCTGTTGCTGTTGCGGGAAGTACTGCTGTTGTTGGAACTGTTGTGGGATGACATATTGCCGGACAACTGGCGCCGGTCGGAATGGATACTGGCTGACTACATTCGGGTTCGGCTGAAATACGTTCATCTCTAGAACAATCTCTGCCGTCTTGAGAGAACCTGCGCAACGTAGACCTGTCCAGCCTGCTGGAACTGTTGGATCGGCTGTTGTGGCACTTGGAACGTCGGATGGCGAATGTATCCTGCATGATTATTTCTTTTCGGCCGTTCCTCTCTCAACGGATCATAGAGGTTTGGCAGTTCGATTTGGAACTGGTTGGGTTTGATCGCGCGGACTGGCTCGCCCGAACCGAAGCGGATTAGATCGGGCTGCGGCGCTTGCGGAGGACTCTGGGCGACTGCGAACTCTGCAAGTTCCAGCGCTGAAACAAAATCGTGCAGTTTTGCGCTTACCAGACTGTGCTTGAACCGTCGTCGAGATGGCGGCAAGTGCCAGCAGACAAGACTGTAGCGATGGCAACAGCATCGTGAATCGCGTCGGCACTGACTGATGCCGTTTACCTGCGTGACGACGGCAGGCGGGCAGAAGCAGCCGATCCCGCCCAATCGAACTTGAATAGAGATCGAATAGAGATAGCGGCGGTGCGGACGAATTTATTGCGCAACACACACACACACACACACACACACACACACACACGTATCAGTGAGTAGATGGGGCGTTGGTGACGCGAGAAGAAGACGTTCGGGGGAATCGGGCAGTGCGAGAGAGCTTCAGAGATTGTTACACTATATCACTGTGTTCTGCTTTGTTCTGCACAGCACGACTTCTTTTTTCTTTTTGCCGAACACTTTTAATGAAGGATTGGAACAAACTTGTTAATTATCTAACGTTCCGTGCGTCATCAGAACACAGGACAGACAACGGTGAACTCGCTCTGCTGATGGTCTGAATCGAAAACATTAAATACATTACATTAGTTTCGAAAAAAAGCAAACTTTATTTATTACGTCAAAGTTTGAGAAGACTATCACCACTTCCTCATTTGTATGTATTCTGAAACATGTCTTCTTCGCTGTGACACCGAAAAAGAAAAAGCGATGTTCGAGAGATGACGGATGACTTTTTCGCGACGGCGGCTACACATGCAACCGTGTTGACGGTTGAAGAAGCTTCTAGAGGAAACATTTTTCGAAAAAGAAAAAACATGAGTGGAGAATCTTGAAATGCTTAAAATGGAGCTCCTATGCTAACAAAATGACCCAGAGAAACATTTGTTTTGCATTCATATTTATAGTTTTTCGATTCGTAATCGAAGCATTCCGACAAAGCATTCAGACACGCTCTCGCACTTGCTCAATTCCATTCAAACACCCGCGCATCTCGGCGGATGGCAGCGGTAGCAAGTGCGCTCCATCGCATTAATTTTCTCTGTGCCTCCGCTCACACGACTTGCACTTTTCAGCCGGATTTCCAGACTTTTACGCGTGCTCCCGCTCCGATTTCCTCGTTTTTCTCTTGTTTTTCCAGAATAGATTTGAATGACCTTCAGCCCCTTTTTCCCGATGTGCAACGAAAAAGCCGTAGAAGAGGCGATGGAGGCAAAAACAGAAAATTAATTTCGCCTTAAGGCGCACACTTCTCTCAAATTTTGACACACACACAAATGTTTTGAATGACGCTTCTTCTCAGACTAAATTCTCGATTATTTCCATTTTCTTTCGGCCGGATAACAAACCTCTTATTCGCCCATTTCGCCCGGGATTTCCCTTTCCGAGCTCTTATTATTCTCTAGTGCTCGTCGCCTCAAATACGGAATTTGGCGTTTTGTCTTTCCGTCGCATTGGAAACCGAATGACCGGTCGATTAAGGGGTCTGTTTCCCAGAGGTTCTGATCAAAAACATTCTGTTTTCTCACAAGCACACACAAAATCTGACATTTCCTCCCTCTCCCTCGCTTCCTGAAATCAGTCGGAGATTATAGCGACGCTGTGCTGCTGCTGATTTTGCTCTCCACCCTCTCTTTTTTATTCTCGAATAAAAACGGCCTCGTGTATTCTCCTCCTCGAGAGCCTTCCGAAAATGGAAAATGACATCGCCCGTTGGGGGAACCAAAAACCGGCGGAACTTGCAATGAAATTTGAGAAAAAACATGCTGTAGGAGCCCATTTTAAACTAATTCTGTGGGCGCCGGCTCATTGGTTTCGTGTGTGTGTCGGAACAGAACACAGAGTCGACCGATCAAATTTTCACGGAAATTTTTTCTTGTTCTCGTTCGCTTATTGAATTTTAGCGTGTTCCCAGTTGCTGAAGTTGGTTTAGTTCTCCCGTCCTCTTCGGACGTTCTGAACCTTTTCTCATATGAAACGGACTCCTCGCTCTGATCTATCCACGAGTTTCTCTTTTCTCTTGTCATTTGCAAAATGGCCCGCGGGTCGTTTCGTCGTAGGTCCATCCAACTAATGATATTTCTCGGAGGAGAAACGGAGGCTGCCTCCCGACTGCCAATGGCAGTGCTCTAATCCCTCAACTCATTGGGACACACGCCTTCTCATGTTCGACGACTCATTGTGTTGCGAGTATCCGGGAGCAGTCTCCTTCGCTTCGCAAAGAGCAGTGCCCTTCTGCGTCTCGTCCCGATTCATTCTCGAGTCGCTTTCCCTTTTCTCGCCTCCTCCTTCCCCTCCTCCCCCGCCTCGACTGCTCCGCTCGGTCAGTCTCTTCCCGCTCCAAGAAGGTCTTCAGTCATCGCTCTGGGAGCTATCATTTTTGACACCATTCTCTATTTATTGTCTGTGATGAGTAGGAGACGCTTCTTGTTTTTCTCCCGTTTCCTCTCTTCTTTCCCTCATTTAGCATTTCAGTTCCACATGCAATTTTAGCAGTCCGCACATGTCTTTTTTTGCGAAAAAATTAATTCTTATAGAAAATAAAGAAAAACTAGTTTTCCAGTCGCGTGGCCAGTACTCGACTGACAAAAACATGTGCGAAACACGCGAGTTCCCATGAATACCATTTTCGTACAATGTTTTGCATGTCCATTCTCAGAGAACAGACATTTCCCCGATTTCGCCATCCGATTTCATCAGATGTTCCCATTCAAAGCCACAATTAGCATCTCAATAATAACCCACTCCCCAGTGGCTAATAATTCCGTATTCATACTATGTAAATCGGCGAAAATTGGTGCGAGCGTCTCTGAAATGTTAATTTCTCTCTTACTGTACTGCCCCTTTTCATTCCAAATAAGCAGGTTAGGATAGAAAAAAGAAAATGTATTTCAAAACGACCCGTCTCGCCCGCTCCGCAGTTTTCTAATTAGTTTATTAGTCACTGAGTGCAAACATTCTACTCGACTCGCCCCGCCGAACGCCTCGTTCTCACTGCCTCGCTTTTATTGTCGTTTTTCCTTTTTCTGCCGTTGCTATCAATTTCTCGCCGAGCCAACCGGTCGCCAGCGAAACGACGGCGGTCGCCGTGTTCGATAAGAGATTGAAGTAATAACGACAGCTCCAATACTTCTGGAATTTGTCACCCTTTCCTTTTTCTGTTTTTGCGCGTCGCAGAACAAACACGCAATCGGCGCCAAATTCGCGTCATTCGCGGCGGCTCTTATTCCGGCTGTAAATGAGCTTCTCTTTCTAAGACATCTAATTAAGCTCAATGAGCCGCTGCTGCACGAAGCGCACGTCATTGAGAGCGGTGGTTTCCTGGAAGGCGAAGAGGAAGGAGAAGGTATCCGATTTTAATCCCAACAAAAAGGGACTGCTTTGGGAAGCACACACATACTGCAAACATGTAGTATCGCTGGCGACGGAAACCGCCACATTTCCGGGTCCTTCTCCTTTTTTGGGCAGCCAGCAGCGGCCCGCAGCGGCACAGATATTCTCGCAAATGTCTCCGCAAATCAGATTCCGTCGGGTGATATGTATCAGCAAGTTCGATCTTCCGAAGAGGATGATTGATGCGTCTTCCTGTCAGTTCGAATTCCCCAGATGCAATTGACGGAACATTGGACGCCGACACGCACGCACACGCATCTTTTCGGGCCCGCGCGCCGCCATCTACCTGAAATATGATATTGACCCTTTGGCTCCGCTCTGTGCCCCGGCAGTTCCCCTCCAAACTGCCAACTTTTTTAGTTTTCGGTTCTCACGTAGGCCTTCTGGGGACATGCTTTTCTGAAGGAGGCTCTTGTTTCACAAAAAGACAAAAAGCCAAATTGGAAAATGATTGCAGTAAGGCACTACGGAATTCCGTTTATTCACGCGTGAATAATTCGAATATGACATTGTCGCGGTAGAGTGTCGTGTGAATACGGAACAGTTACCGAACGAACAATTAGGTGTCGCGTTCTGTCCGCACACGTACTTTCCTTGAAGAGACTCAGACAAAATTCGCAGCGTCTCGAACACCTTTTCATCGCAAATTTCATTTCGCCGCCTTTTGTCGACACTTTCAATAGACAAATTGCCTTCTTCATCCTCTCCCATCAGACGACCCATCACGAGCATTTCTAGAATGAGACAGAAAGTGATCGGATTGATAGCATTTCTTGCTCTGTGGTCGATTTCTCATCGTCTCGTGGTAGGCCGGTTTTTTTGTCGTTTTTCAATTTCCGCCCTCATAAAATACGAAACAGTGTGTCGTAATCCGCCGGTGAAACCATTCGATCATCGCCAGATTTTGTCACCGCCATTTCCAGTTTCTACTACTATTCGAGCATTGGCTGGCAATTCACAGCTTTACGGGCGGACGTTCTCTAAACAAAAAGGGCACTCAAAACATGATATTTCAACAATGATTCGCCCTATCCTTCTTCATTTTTCATTTCTTTTTGCATCTCTCACTCTGCAGTCGAACAGAAGAACATTTCATCCTTTTCAGCGTCAAGAAAACCTGCGAAAGAGGAGATGACAGTGCATTGAACGAAGAAAAATGGAGAAGCAGCGAGAGAGCAGCTCGATGGCCATGCGGCTCTACGCCACGTGGGACGTCGACCGAGCCACACCGTCCACAGTTCCCAGGTGAGAATCGTGTTCTGTTGTTTGGCTACATGTTGTCAGTTGTTGGCCGCTGTTTTTGTTTCCTGGTTGCCAAACGAACACATGACCCGCCTGTTGAGATAAAAAAAAAGAGTGCTCCATGGGTTCTGATCCTGAAAGTTTTGTTGATTCGTTCTTTTTCAGAATATTCAACGTCTCGATCAACCGGATTCTGCTTGACAGCGTTTCTCCGGAAGTAAATTCGATCATTGTGACCGCTAAACTTCCGGTACACTCTTATTTTCAATTCGTTCTTTCACGTCCGGTTTATTGCAGCTCTCGAAACGAAGTCGTTATCTGCGAAGCAATGAGATCAAAGTGACTCCGGTGCACGGACGAATCGATTTGGACTGCGACATCTCGTTTTGTATTCAGTATCCGCACTTTCTGAAGCGCAAGTCGAACGTACTGCAACTGCTGATTCAACGGCGGAAAAAGTACAAGAACCGACTGCCGGGCGGACTGCGTGATCTCGCCGTGGGAAACATCAACCTGACCTATGTGAGCAGACTCTTCACAAATCGGACAATCCAATTATCTTTTCAGATAATGCAACAGGGCGGTCTGCGAGAGATTCCGTTGAATGCCTCTTCGGAAAATGAGGTAGAACTGAAAGGAAGTATGTATAGAAAGTAGTAAAGAATCTTTGGAAAACTACAATTTTCAGTGGGATCATGTGCTGGAAAAGTGTTTCTGGCGTCTTGTTACTCACAGGCTCCGGAGATCGTGGACGATCGAGATAAACAGAAGAAGATCGTGGAGGATTCGGAAGAGGAGACGGAAACGGACTACGACGACGTTGGAGACGATCTGAACGAGATTCCGAGCGGAAGAAGCGGAAGGCACAAGACGACGGAAATCGAAGGTCGGCCCGGGCGAACGAAAGGGAAGAATCTGAAATATCAGATGAACAAGCTGTTCAACATGTTTCGACCTGAAGATGTGCGTTTCCATCATTGAACAATAAATGCGAATTGCAAGTTTACAGGGCCGGCGTCCAGTGGTCAAAGAAATGCCATGGGAGGATGACGACATTGATTCGCCGTACGATTCCGGACCGGAAATGTTCAACGACGACGCCTCGATCAGAAGTAACCGCCGTCCGCAACTCGCTCCGTTTTTCGATCCGAAGGAGAAAAGCGATCACGGATTGGCTGCAATGTACGAAGTTTCGGATGGAGAAGGAGAGCAAGCGGACGCCGGATGGAATTCGGAATCAGAATACGCGAAGGAGAACGTCGGAAAAGGAAAACTGGCACAGAAAGATTCGGTCGGATCGGCAGTGCCGGAGCAGTACGCCCAAACGCCCATCCGATCCTCCGGAATGCGTGTAGTCTCCTCGTTCGACTCGCATTCAATTCCTCACTCGTCCACTCTCAATTCGATCAAAAATGAGCACAGCGTGCATCGAGGAGTGAGTCTTTCGGAACAGCTTAGCTCCATTCTCGGCGCGAACATGTCTCCGCAAGGAAGCGACGCCGTCTGGTTGTGCAATTTGTCCGAGTGGTCCACATTTGCCCCACTGGCCGGCCCGGTGCCCATCATCAACTGCCCGTCGTTTTCGCAAGTGCGTCAGACACTCAGTCACGTCATAAACAGAATCCAGAACTTGTGGGTGCTTTGTTCCTCTCAAATGTGCTCATTTTCCTTTTGCAGCTGTCATTCGAACTCATCAAATCCACGATTAACGGTCGTTGGCATCATCGGCACCGACAAGCTCTTCTCGCAGGTCGTCAGAGCGTACGTCGAGTGTCTTGCGCACAAATCGCTCGCCAATCTCATCAATCATCTCCGATTCGTGGCAATCCCCTCGACTAGCTCACTTTTCTATAAACTGATTGAAGGTAATTCGAGATTTCCGCATTCGCAATCAAAATGCGATGATTCTTTTTCAGGCATCGATCCTCAACTCGACAATTTGTGCCGTGACTTGTGGGATCGGTTTGGAGACATGAATCCGGCCGAGAAAGCGGCGGTGGCAACGAAGATTGCCGCGTGGCCGAACAGCGTCAGCTCCTCGAAAATGAATCTGCCGATCGGTGAGGCGATGCTTCAACTGACAGCCGACAGAGATCCGGAAGGAGGACGTGTCTTCCTTCCGTTCCTGTGCGAAGTGAGAGTCGGAAGTCAGCAATGCGAGATTGAGAACGACGACGATTCGAACGGTCTGAACGGATTTGCACAGACGATCGTGTCGCCGAGAGAAGAGTCTGTGATGTCGAAAGTAGAAGGCGGATCTCCTCCGCATTCGCCTCAGTTGAGAAATGTAGATGGACAGGAGCTGAATATGGACTTCTGGGTGAACAGCCCAGTGCAACAGACTCCCTCCTACAGCTACGGATCTGATTTCCAGCCGACCGCTTCAAATATGACGCCAAATTCGAAAAAGGAGGCTGCCAAAGTGACGATCAAGGCTCACTTCAGAACTCTTCTTGTTACCAGGTCACCAAGCACCGGCTCACTGAGTCTCACTTATCTAAAAGAGAAAAGAAAGGATAAGATGTTGCAAAAGCTCGGAATGAAAAAAGGACAGGTATGAAGTAGAAATAGAGTTCTGAATCTGAAAGGGATGTTTACAGAAGCAAAAGCCAGAAGATGGCGCCGCTCCATCTCAGGTCCCTGCAATTGGAAGAATGCTTTGCAGTGCGTCAGGCAAACACAATGAATTGACTGGTTTGTTACCCACTCTCAATTAAAGCTATACTTCTTTTTTTGCAGTTATCATCGACGGAAACGCGCACAACGGAGTTCGCTACTTCCAGACATCTCCTCAATGGCAAACGCACATCAAGTCCTTCCCGATCGCTTTCCTCACTCCGAATGTCTGTACAGCATGAATAATTAATTATCGCACCCGTTTTCCACTCTCATCATCATTGTTTCATAATGCACTTTCAATCTCTTTGCCAATTTGCCTGTATAATATGATGAAAACGTTTTCCAAGTGTCGAATTGTCCCTTATGTTGAAATATTCGTCCCCATTTTCTTCACGGTTTTGTTTTCTCTCTTCTTGTCCGATGATGCCCTTGAACTTTGCTTTTCCCGCCGATTTTTACCAAATTGTATGCATTCGCATCCGCTTTATTTTCATGCTTACACATTCCCACGTTTTATGTTCTTCTGTTCAATAATAAACGCCTTTCAAAATTTTTCTCTAAATTATCATGTTCTTTGCTTTTTTTTCAGTTTTTGTTTCATTGGTTCAAGTGAATATATCGACTTAGCAAACTATTCAAACAGAAGAGTCGACGGTTTCAGGTTATGGGTGACCAGAAAATGATACGAGTCAATCGGGAGAATATTATTCTGACTACGGTAACGGTTAATTTCAGACGATTCAGATCAGTAAAATGAATGCTTGAAGGATAAAAATGGAAGAATCACGGACACTCCGCTCGTTCGCGTCAGAAATCGGCCGCCGCTCGTCAGCAAGGTAATTTTATTCCAAATGTGTTTTCAAATTTTGTTGCGGACCTCTGGAACTCGAGAAAACCCCGTGTGAAACAATAGTTCATGCTTATTTTCAACACGTGGAAAGTATTTTGATTTTCGTGCGAAAAGCACTTTTAAATCAAGCTTAGCATATGGTTTTATTTAGTTTAACATTTAAAAAGCTCACTTATTATCATGCTAAACTTTTTTTGAAACAAAAAATGTTGAAAATTATATTGCTAGCAATAATATCACTTAGCATTTGGCAATTTTCCATTCATTGTCCTAATTCACAAATCATTTTGCCAAAACCAATATCAACATTTCCGTTTGCAAAACAAAGCAAAAGAATGTCATTGGGAGGCGCAGCACAAACGCGCTCCATTGCGAAGATGCAGAGCGGTTCTCCTCTGCGCGGAGAATTGTACGTGAGTATGTGGAAGAAGACGAGAGACGCAGACCCGTATATTGACTGTCCGAATAGAAACGGTTTCGCGTCCTTCCTAATTGATCGCAATTTGCTCCGCCAAAGTGCAGATAGTGCAAGTGCACAATTATGGTCATAATAGTTGTTTATTAGATACCATACTCGTCTCCATTCGGACGATTCTTATTGAATAATTCTTCTTTTGCTCAAAACTTTTTTTCTAACCCATTGAATTGTAGGTAGACGGCCGTGCTCGGATCCTCCGACCACTTCGACCGGCAGCCATGCAATCAAACCAACAGCCGACAACGTCTTCCAACGCCGGAGCACCCGGAGCACGGACCTCCTCTTCCTCAAACATGCCCCACTCCCAATCGATGCCGGTTCTGCAGTCCGCCGCCGGAAGCAGTAGTGGCTCTCGGCCGGGTTCGGGCAACCAGCCGGTGGGACGGACGGCGTTGACGCTTCCGTCAAACACGACCGATAGGAACATCATGCCGCTGATCCAATGGTCGGAATCGATGAAAATACGGCTGGACAAAATGAAGAAGAGTTCACGGAAGGCGCTGGAAGACTCGCTGAACGACGCGTCGACGTACGAGGAGCTGGCGAATGCGCGGGAAGTTCTCACAGACATGGCCGCCATTTTTAACGATATGTGTAGAGCAGCGGCCGTCAAAGTCCGTCTCAACGCGGTATTCGACAAACGGGATGTGTACAAAAACGTGGAAAGCGCAATTAGAGTAAGTTTCTCTCTATTTCTAGCGGTTCACAACCATTTCAATTGCAGGGAAAGTCGCAGAACGATTCCGAGGGTCTTGCTCTTTTTGATAAAATGCAAGCATTAATGGACGACCGTGCATGTATTGAGGTAGATATCTTCAAAGTGCCGCGTTTAGTTGTGAGTTCTTTTTTCTTCAGAGAAACATCTCGTCAGTAGTGGAGAGCTTTCGAGTGGGCGGATTCCCTCCCACGCGGACGTCCAGATTCGCAAAACCGCCGCCGATCAAACTGGCGAGACACGTGGACGAGACGGCCAAACAACTGTGGATCTCTATGGAAACGGTGATTGCGAAGACGAAGGGCGAGCAGTTGACATGGCGATTCAAGCGGATAAGCCATCCGTGCTTCAAGAACTCGAAGACCCTCCTTGAAGTGAGTTTTTAATAGTGTCGCTAGTAGAAATTGTGGTTCTTGTTAGCCAAACGACTTCAACAATTGAGAAAATGAAATTTTAAAGCCAATTTCTGCCTTCAAACGAAAATTATGATGACTTTATCAAATTTTGACATTTTTTTTTGCAAATGACGATCTTATGAACCATGAATGTCTGTTGCGCAACTGTCAACTTAGAATAATAGTTAGTATTTTAAAATATTCAAAAAAATCAGTTCAAAAGTTGAATTATTTTTCAGATACGCTATAGTGCACGTAGGCCGAGCGGAGAAAAGGAGTTCGTATCGTACATGAAAGCAGAAATAGTGCTCCGATACGGTATTCTCGAAGACCTGGTGATTGGCGGAGAGGACGAGGATCTGTACGACCAGGAGCGCATACTGCAGTCGAAACGACTCGTCTACAGAGAGTTTACCAAGTCAGCCAAGGAGATCATACTGTGTTCGCCTGTCACCAAATTCACGTGAGTTGGAGCGCTTTCAAATTAATTGTCGTAGAACGAGTAATTTTCCAGTTCACCAAGCAACTTTGCCCAGTGCAACAACTACATTCAGACATACGTTAACTGCTTTTCAAGACAATGTTTCTACTGCAAGTGAGTTATCTTTCGTATATTACCTTCCAACCAAGTTTTCTCCTCCAGAAAGCACCTCCGTCAGTTCATGCCGCCGACGATGGTCACCCGAGAGGCCTCTCCGGTCTTCTGCCACAGACTGTGCTATCAGTCAAACGTCCCCTGATTCCGTCTTCGCGCATTCCTCACTTCTCACTGTGATCATTCTCATCCGTTGTTTTATGTTTCTTTCACTTCTCCCCCATCCCCAATTGGCTTTATCTGTTTCCCTCTTTGTTTTCTTCTCTTCCTTGTTGCTCCTTCGTATTCCGGACCCCCCTCTTGCCAGGTCACCTTTTCCATTTCTTTCAATAAAACAGACCTCTTTTTTTCATAATGCATGTGCAGCTGTCCGCCTGTTTGCTCTCTTTTGTTTCAATCTCTTCGGCACTGTTTGGCGCGCGCAAAACACATGTTTCATTCATTTCCCGAGCCTCATCTCCCTTTTTCCTCCCCGCCCAGATATTTTTGTACTTTTTCATTTGAAATGACGTGGTTAACAGACGAAGCACCATGTTTGCCTGTTATCATCGTACTAAATGCCACGAAAATGCAAACAGGCGCGGCGGGGCCATGGCCGAGTGGAGACGTCGTTATTCGCCCATGGCCTTCGTCCCTCTGCTCTCCCTCCTTCCCTCTTTCTCTCCTGCGGTCAGATCAATGCATTGAAGAGACGAGTGTCTGCGTCTTCGCCAAATGCACAATGTCTGGTCCCTAGGCTCTAGTTACGTGGGGACCGAAAAGCATTCCCTCCCGCATGAACACTTTCTCTGCGATTTTTCAGATTTACGCGCTCATTGCGTATTTGAAATATTTTAAGTTCACCGTTAAGTCTGAAATTCAAAAATGCTGGAATTACCTTGGCCCTATATTTACTGACTCAAAACAAAAAAAATGTTGAACTGCTTAGGTTGATGCGAATTGGTCAGTTCAATTTTCGACAATTCTGTTGAATGCTTGAAGCCTCCCGAGGTAAAGAGCACTGGATCAAGATATTTACACCATAGAGTCATGTGTCACTTTGTGATAAAGCTCTTGCAATGGAACTTCGAGCTGTGTCCTAATCTCTATTCCTGCAATCCGGGCTGGGCTGGCTGTTAAAAAATAGGTTTTTTGTCTCTACTTAGGCTCAATTTACCGCTTTTGCCCCCTCGGTGTTTGCAGACTCAAGCCTAATTTCAGGAAATTTTGGCTTGAGTCTGCAACCACCGAGGGGCAATAGCGATAAATTGAGTTTAACAAGGTACTAAAAATACTGAAGTACTAAGAATTTACGAATCTATTCTGTACTGTAACGGGGCTGGTTTCTTTCCGACCCGCAGCTCGGACGGCAAGTATTCATGAATTTGTCAAGAGTTTCGCTCTATTTCTAACACTAATTTGACATGATAGTTATAATCATCATCTTTCTAAATCTTACTTATTTTATCGTTTGTGTGAAAGTTACGTTGAAAATTACGGCGCGAACTACCGAAAAAGTGAACACAATGGAAAATCGCATTTGATTTTCTATGCACTGTCTCCTCAAACCCTTGGCTTTTTCGCTCTATCGCAATCATCAAGATTCGCCCTATACGAAAACGCTGCCACACCTTTGAAGTCAGTACCGTGCATTATCCAAATTTTAATGTTGCTATTATTTTCGGCGTCCCTCTTCCAATTCAGTAAGTTATACAACAAGCTGGCGCCGTGTGATGTAATCCGTACGTGTTAATCCCCCGTCCCTCCTGCGGCTCTCGCCCTTGCACCTGTTGTTTCTCTGCTTCTCCCCCCGCTCCTTTTGTCTTGTTTGCTCTTCGTTCGGTCCCCCAGACGGCCCGACCGTTTCACCCGTCTCTCTTTCGCCGAAACACTTCTTACTTCTTTTTCCCGCCGCACACCCCTTTGCGACTGACTCATCATTTCCGCTCACAGGTTATGCCGTTCACCTAGTCAAGGACCAGCAACAACAAGAACGAACAAATCAAGGTACGGCATTTCAATTATCATCTCAATCCCTGCTAGTGTTCGGGTTGCAGATGGTTTTGGCAGCAGTGCTTTCGATGCTGCGATACGTGGCAGGCAGCGACGATCGGGACTTTGTTGATCGGCTCCACTCGTATTTCACCTGCAATCTGCTCATTGGACTCGCGGTTCTCGTTTCATTTAAAGTAAGTATTGAAGAAAATGTACTATTTTACCGTAAAAAGAAAAACTATGAATCATCCAAACATCCCTGAACGTAAAAAGGGTAGACGTTCAGATCTGTGCTCGTAATCAATCATTCTTAACAAAATGAGATTGGAAACATTGTTGAAAATGGTCTTCTTCTATTCCAGCAATTCGGCGGGAAGCCAGTCGAATGCCTAGTGCCCGACATCTTCAGCAGCAGTTGGGAGCAGTACGCGGAGAACTATTGCTGGGCCAGCGACACCTACTACGTGCCGATCAACGAGCCAGTGGCAGGCATCCAGAGCGAAGAGAAGAGGCAGCGAAGGATCAGCTACTACCAGTGGGTGCCATTCTTTCTGCTCCTCGAGGCCGCCTGTTTCCGACTTCCCAGTCTGCTTTGGAAATACTTGGCTGGCCATTCTGGTTGGTTTCTATCGATAAAAATGGAAGGTACAGTTGGTTTTCAGGAATCAAGATCAATGAAATTGTGAAACTCTCGTCGGATCCGAACAATATCAAACCGGACATCAAAAGGGCGAATATCAAGTCGCTGACTGTCCATCTCCAGGGAGCTCTCCGATTTCACCGACGTCTTCAGAAGAAGCAGATCCGACCGCATCGCTTCCTGTGGCTCTTCAACCTACCGTACTCGGCCTTCTTCGTCACGGCCATGTACCTGTGCACAAAGTTCTTCTATCTTGCCAACGTCTGTCTCCAACTGCTCTTCATGAATCAGTTTCTGGAGACGGACAAGTACAAATGGTACGGGTTGGGCGCCCTCGTCGACCTGCTCAACGGCACCACGTGGGAGCAATCGGGCATGTTTCCCCGAGTGTCTCTGTGTGATTTCGACGTGAGAGTGATGGGAAACTTGCAAGAGCACACGATCCAATGCGTCCTAGTCATCAACATTTTCAATGAGAAGATCTTCATTCTTCTGTGGTTCTGGTACCTCGCACTGCTCGTTTTCACCTTCGGATCCTTCTTCTACTGGCTCATTGTCTCGACTTGGGGACATTTGAACAGACGGTTCATCATCAGGCATCTTGAAATGAGCGACATTGCGTTCGATTCATCAGGTTGCGAATCACTCAAAACCTTTTAAACATTGATTTTTCAGAAACCGGAGCCGAGGATCAAGTGCGTCGGTTCATCGACAACTACCTGAAGAGTGACGGAGTGTTCGTCATCCGAATGATGACGCTCCAATCGGGAGTCATATTCGGCACCGACCTCGTTCAAGAGCTCTGGCGGAACTTCCACGGAAGTGAAGCACAGCTGAAGAGGAGCAACTCGATGCCGAAGATCGAAGGACCGGAAGCAGGAGAGCAGTGGCTGCCGGCTCCTCCGACTCTCGTCAATCCCCTCAATCCGTGGAGATATCGGGACGAGAACCATGCGAATGCTCTCCGATGGCGACGGGCTCTCGGAGCCAACGTGGATCACACGCTTGCCACGCAAGATTTGATGGAGAAACTGCTGCCGAAGAACGCCGATTCAAGACCGTCCAATGAGGAGTTGTTGTGAGTTTTTATTTTTGAGCTCTACCTTGTCAGACATTAAAAATGGAAAAAAAAACTTTAAAAGGGTTTCAGACGACTGAGCGTATCCGCTTTTTCTGCGGATCACCATGAAAATCAGTGTAAGAAAAGAGTGTAGTGTGGTGCATTTTGAAACTTGTGGTCTCGTGCGAAGCCCCCCTTGTCTTGCCATTGCATGAACTCGAAACATCTCAGAATTCATTAGAATCTTCTTCCAGAAGACGTCGTCCGATGACCGTTCAAGCCGCGTACGTCGACGATGAGGTTGACGAGCAGCCCGAGCATTATCAAAAGAGCCAGACGCCTGCGCCGCCCCCAAGAGCCCCGGATAGTCGTCCAGTGTCCACGGCGACGGATGTCGATTCGAATCGAAAACCCCCAATGAGCACTTTCAAGTGATTTCTTCCATGACCCTGTTCTGTTTTTCCATGCAGAGACTGCATCATTTCAGCAGTATAAACCTACCTCACAGTGCCTTTAATGTATGAAATACCTCCCCCGGTTCTGTGCATAATCCCTCCCATTTCTTTTCCCGCATATCGCCCAATTCACTTGTTCTTAAAACATTGACCAATTTATGCATAATGAACAATACATCAAAATCAAAGTTCCGTAGTCTAAAACACGTGTTTTTCACTTGGACTGAAGAGACTTGGCGAATCCGACACGCTGGTTTCCGACGTCGTAGATCTGAAGACAAATCAATAGTTTTAGATAGAATTTGGGAAAGGCGACTTACGTTGCAGTACTGACGGATGAACGGATCTCCGAGGATCCAGGACGGTCCGAAGCCTCCGCTGCTGAACGGGAAGATGGCGAAGATGCAGTTGTCGCTGCCGTCTCCGAGCGGGATGATCGTGTTCGACGAGTCGATGTTGTACACCTGGCTGCCGATCGTGATGTCGACAGTTCCGATGGTGGCCGAGCACGGAAGAGTGTACACTCCGTAGTCATCGACCCACGTGGCTCCGACGGCATTGGCGATAGCCGACACGTACGCCTTCGGTCCTCCGATGAGCGAAGTTCCGGTGTCGGAAATGACCTGCCATCCCTTGGAGGAGTGGTAGCTGCCGGTTCCGATGGCGCTCATCTTGAACTGGTAGTAGGTGGCCGAGGAGAGTGGCTGATAGGCGATGACCGGTCCGCAGTTGGTCGTGTCGATTCCTCCGTACGTGTAAACTCCTCCCTGCACTCCGTTCTGATCTCCCTCGTGCTCGAGGAAAACGGTGAAGAGCGGCAGGTCGACGAGTCCCTGATTGATGGCGTTGATGAACGGTGGGGTTACCTGGTCGACGGCGATCGACTGGAACGCGAGTCCGAGGATTCCGTCGAGTGGCTGGCCCTCGAAGAACGCGGCGAGCGACGTGGCTTGTCCGAAGACGGTGTTCGGCACGGCGAGTTGCGGCTCTCCGATTCCTCCGAAAGTGATGGTGTCCTGTCCGAGGAATCCTCTCGCCGATCCGGTTCCGTACTCGATGATGAAGTTTCTTCCGTTCGTCTGGTAGGTGGACGACTTGGAGGCGTCGAACTTGGCCTGATAGAGACACGAGTCGGTGTAGTTGGGTCCGGCTCCGCAGCACGCTTGGTCGTCGCACTCGAACTGGCACAGAACTGAAAAGAGCTTTTGAGTATCACTGATCATTTGGAAGGTAGCTCACTTCCGTGGCAGGTGGCAACAGCGGAGCAGTTCTCTGGCTTTGTTCCACAGGTGATATCCGGGATCCAGAGGTTCGAAGATCCAGTGTCGAGGATCACCTTGAACTGCTGCTGCGGAGTACCCACGGTGATATTTCCGACGTACGCCTCGTCTTCGTAATCATTAACGTACTGTCCGACGGAAGCGTCCACGTGCTGCTTGTCGAACAAGAACCGACGGACCTCGCGCTCTTTTCTGTACTCCACATATCTTCCCTCACGGATCAGACGGTTTCGGTAGGGCTCGATCTTGACGAGCGGCACCTGGACGACGGCGGAAAGGGCGGTTGCCACGAGGGCGAACAGCACGAAGAGATTCCTCATACCTGAAAGGAATTGAAATGAAATGAAGAAGGGAGAAACCGGAACAGGAGAAAGAGCGAAAGTTGATGCCGAACTGAAATGAATTGTATAACGAAAACGGGGACGACGGTTATCTTTAATTGGAAGAGAGTGAGAGCATTGACGCCACGATAAAAGTGGGCGATAAGGCGATTCCGGTGTGCCTCACCAAGTACAATCATTAACGAAATCGGAAACCAATTCGTTTATTTCCAGTCTCAAAGTCCAATGTCCACACTGCTCCAAAACTGTTAATAGAGAATCTGAATTCTGATTACTCTCCGACACATCCACAAAGAAGCAGAAGAAGCTCTCAATTGATAAGGTGATTCTTTTTATTCTACACATGATAATGCGGTTACTATTGGCGCACACGTCATAACTGATAAAAGGTATCCGAGAATCGTTTCGTTGCTTCACTCTATTTGAATGTATTCCATTTTTGGTCAAAACTAATAAATGATTTTTAAAAAGTGACTAGATTATTATCGGAAGGCGTTCATGCATTTCACTGCTCAAAGAAGATGCAAGAAGTCTGTAGTGAAGATGCGCTTCTCGGATTTCGGATACAAAATACTGTCCAAAAACATTATCTTTCGAGGAGATATCCGATGAAGAGACACAAACTTTTCCGAGATCGAGGTTCCGTTCTGAATAGATGAAGAAGATCTAGAGGGACGGTTCGATGAAACCAACTTTGAGCGGATAATAATGATATCCGGGGTGTACGTCGAGGATCTCTCTTGGATGGAACGTATTGAATCTGTTCATTCCGTGCTCGTCCCTCGTGTCCTCCGGAATTATACCCATTGACGCGAGACATCTGCCCATCCCCCGGTCCTCGGCCCAATCGTACGGACATGCTTCTTCATCGTGATAGAGATGTTGGACGAACAGTCGGACGGCCGCATTCGACAGAATGTATCCGGATCCTCCCGAATTGTAGCCATCCTTCTGAAGTTTTGAACTGACGGTCTAAGTATGAAAAAATCAAACAATACCAGAAAAGGCTTCATCCGGTACCCTAGGTACAATGGTTCTGAAGGATCGAGCTGGTCGAGATACTCTTTCAAATGATCAATAACGAAATAGGTATCGTCATCCGCCTGAATGCCAACGTTTACTTTTCTCTTCATTTCAAATCTGCTCAAACCTTCAAGTACCAATCGAACTCTCTGGAAATATAAGTGTAGGAGTAATAAAATCCCAAAAGTGTCTTTCGAAACAGATCAGAGTAAGAGTCCTCCAAGTTTCGGAACACCGTCGAGAACGGCATTTCCGGGTACGGAAGCGGCGTTTTCGTGAAAAAACGGCCGTTGTCACACCGGGAAAGCCACGTGGCGGCCACCGAAGGCACGCGATCGGCGTAGTGCTTCTCGGAAGTTTCCACAAAACAAAAGAGTTGTCCAGAGTTCGGAAGAGTAGTCGTTGCCGGCGAGTTTTCGATGCCACGTGTCAATTTGCTCAAGCTGCGCGACGTTGGCATCTGATCTAGGACCGGGCGAATGACTTCGGGAAAATGAGCGTAGAGATCCAGAGGAATCCTGAAGAGAACACTTGAAAAGAGGAGAAGAGGAGGGAGAAACTAACATGAACTTTCTGTGCACCGGGAAAATGATCGAGTTGATGAAGGTGATGGCGACGAGTGTGTAAACGGCCATCCGATCGATCCGATCCGACTCCAGTATTCTCGCCATCATCGAAGAGAAATATGAATGGAGGAAGTCCACGAGAAGAAGGACGGTTCGGTTCCCGGATGGAGAATCTGGGTGTGACTTCTCCCTTTGTCGAGAACTTACCAATCGGCATCGATCTCCCATTAAATATGGATGATATATCGCAAAGAAACCTTCCTTTTATCGTTCATCTCTGTGAAAACAACTGTCTTTGCGTTGTTTTTTTTCATTCCCAAAAGTTCACTATACAAATTATTCGATGAACACTAAAAATCCTTTGAGAGCTACTTTAAAAATGACGCGAGAAAACAATATCAGCTTCATTACTTCGATGGGCTCCAAAGCGTTCACAGTCTTCATCACGCTCTCGCAGTACGTCGGAACTTACATTGCCACGCCGCTCAACGTCTTCTTGATCTATATGATATGGACGAAATCGCCGAAAAAGATTGGCAACTACAGATATTTGATGATTTACGTTTCGCTTTTCGAGTTATTCTTCGCTTTTCTTGCTTATATTACAGGAGCGGTAAGGGTCTGACACTAAGAATCACCTAGGCCAAATCCAGTGTTTTTACAGTTGATCTACTCGTGCACAACTCGTGTTATTGTGATTGTCAAGTCATCCGAATCCGTATTCAGCAGAAATGTTTGGATATTATTGGACTGTTAGAGATAACCACTGAAGCCTCTTGTCTCCTTTCAAAGTTGTTTCAGGTCTGATGTGTGCAGTTTACCTCAGCTCTATGACTGTGTTCTCCATTCATTTTCTCTATCGTTATTCGTATTTATACCCGTAAGCTACTCAGCTTTGACTTTCTTAATAGTTTTAATAGTTTGAAGGTCCGGACGGAAACTGTTCGAAGGCTGGAGAATTGCGTTCTGGATGCTGCTCCCCATCGCCGTCTCCGTGGCTTCTTCGACTCTCTACTACAACGTCTTCGCTCCCACAGCCGAGTTTACTGAATTCATTCGCAAAGCGCTTTCCGACGATCTGGATATCAATGTCGATGATTTCGTTTATGTCGGGCCTTACTATTTCCCAGAAGACAAGAACGGCATTCATGATATGGACTGGAACGCGTTCTGCGCCATGACTGCCGTCTGGGTCCTTGTTGTGAGTTTAAAAAGCACTATTTCTCAACATCTCTCTTGTCCAGGGCCTGTCCGCAATCACCTTGTTCGTCTGTGGATACGGATGCTATTCGAAGATCTCGAGCGGTCTGGAAGTCTCCAGAAACTCGCAACAGACGAAGGCGATCCAACAACAACTGTTCTACGCGCTGGTCATGCAATCCGCAATTCCCTGTCTCCTCATGTACATTCCCACCACAATCGTCCACTTTTGCACGTTCATCCGTCAAAACATCGGCAGCGCCAGCTCGTTCATCAGTTATTCGGTGGCACTTTACCCGGCCGTCGACCCGTTTCCCACTCTGATTATTGTGAAAAACTACAGAAGAGCCACAAAAGGTGACTTTTTACAGTTACAGTTATATAGACACAAAAAGTGCTTACAGAAATGCTTGCTAGATGTTTCAACTTTGGCTGGTGCACTCGAAAGAAGGAAGCTCAAGAGAACATCATTCGAATGCAAACGGTCGGAAGTCCAATTGTGTCTCCCCCTTGTCGTTGACCTTATTATTGTCGTTTTCTTTCCTCCGCCTGCGTCTCTTAGCATCACACATCACTTGTTTGTTATCATTCTCTTTCCAGTCATTACCTAGTTTCTTCTATTCGCTTCGTTCTCCGTCCATTAATCCCAATAGTCATGCCAGATTGTTCTGAAAACCTTTCAACAGTGATTGAAAACCATGTTCCGTCATTGGAAGAACTCAAAGAGGTTTGTATGCATAGTTAACATTAGCTCTGTTTCAGGTTTTCCTATTTCAGGTTTTCCAAAAGTCACTCACTTCAAATTTCGAAAATGTGCACGTCGATATTGTAGACTGTCCAGGTGAGCAACTAAGAAGCACCACTTCTACAACTGTTTCGTTTCCAGATCTCTCAAAACCTCCATTCAATCAGACTTCCTCCGGATTCGGACACAATTTGAGAATAGCCGAAGTCGGCGGTCCCGGCAACTTGTTCCCAGGATTCCACATCGATCATCAGTTCGACATCCGAACCATCGGAAAAGTGTGCGAGCACCCGGAAGCATCCGTCTTCGGTCCGGGAGCCGGTCCCTGGCCGATTGTGGGTCAGAACAGCGAGATGGTGGCCGATGTGAACCTGAAAACGGGGAAAACCGCGACGAGAATTGCCGAGATCAAGCCGGGAAATCAAGCCGGAGACAAACTGTATCTGCAGAGAAGTATCACCGAGCCAAAGTTCAGTCTGATGGCCAATCTCGCCCTTTCGGACGCCGATAAGCCGTCGAGAGTCGGTCAGTATGCATTTTCTTTCTTTTTTAAATCTTTTTTAACTTTTCAGTTCATTTCAAAGTTTTTGTCAGGAAAGGCGCTAAGAACCTGACACATTCCATTCGGGATGGCCTTCAAGAGCACTTTGGAGAGAGGTAAAATACGAAGATCAACTTCTTTCATCCACAATTTCTCCGTTGCAGAGTGGTATCCCTCGCCGGCCAGTTCATAATCCATTCGGGAAAAGCAAAGCTGCACGTGATGCCCGACTTCCCCGGATGTCCGTTCGAAAACAATCAGCAAGTCGACCAATGGCTCAACTACTTTGAAATGGACGCTCCGCTCGTGTGCGCCACTGTCATGCACTCGCACGACCCCGGCCACAACTTGAGATTGGAGCACACCCACTGCTACAGTAACCACGGCGACGCGGGCCACTACCACTACGATGTTAGCCCCGAAACTGTGTCCTACGAGGGCTGGTTCTCACCGGCTTCCCGGATTTATCGGATTGATGAGGTTGCCAATCGCTAATCTTTATCTTTATGTTTATTCCCTCTCAATCTTTTTCCCTTGGCTCATTAGTCGCATTTATTATTATTATTAGTATTATCATTATCATTGGATGCAATAAAGTAAAAATGTATCAACAATTTGTCTCAAAGAACTCGTTTCGATATATCAGGTGTGATCGGTGTAATCACCGGGCGGTTTGAAGCAGTAACACTCGAGCAACTTCATCGCCGTCGGCTTCAGACGTCGCTTCATTTGCGGCGAGTAGAAGATGTAGAGGTAGAAGAGGAAGGCGTGGTGCGTGTAGAGGAACACGTGAGCCAACAGGGAAATCTTCTGCATCGCTTCCGTCTGAAAAAACGTGACGATGATGAGCCGGATTAGGCTTTAGCTTTAGCTTTTGTTACCTGGTCAGAGACGCCAAACAGGATGCTGGAGATGCGGTAGACGTAGTTGGGCAGATTGAGCATGATGAAGGCCCACGTGACGACGAGGAGCGAGCGCGTCAGCTGGATGTCCGTGTACCGTATTCCCTTCTTCTTCTTCTTCTTCGGCGCCTTCTCCACGTCTATCGAGAACCGGCTCGAGATACGTGTGTAGCTTTTCAAAGTGTGACTCGGAGCGGATGTTTGGGTGGTCAGAACCACGTCCGCTGTGTTGAAGGACACTGCTGGAGAGCCCGGATTCCTCCTGAACAGAGGCTATTATAAGATCTGAGCGGATGATGATCAAAGATTACCTGACATGCTCATTGAGCTTCACTATCACGAGAACGTTGCAAATGAGAATGACGACTGACGGGAGCGCCATGCAAATGATCGTCTCGACGACAGTCATCGTCTTGTACATGCCCACGAACTCCTCTTTAATGTCACACTGTCCCTCCGCATCCATATCCGCCACGAACAGTATCCAGCTGTTGATGACCATCGCGAAGCCGAGCAGAATGAGCACTTGCGCGCGCGCTCTGCAATTTCAGTTGTTTTCGTTGAAACGCATCGTCGTCTCCTACTTCTCGCACGTCAACCCGCGTGCCTTCCTGTACAAAAGGAAGAGCCGCTCGACTCCCACGAGAACAATCAGCCAGACGGAGGAGAAGTCGCAGACGTGCGCGAGAAACGTGTTGAAAATACAGCTGTAGTAGGAGTTGCGCAGCAGGGAATCATGGAAAATGTCCTGCAATTCGACTATTTGAAGCAAAAAAAGGAAAAGGATATTGATGGTCGGGGAGGTAGCAGTCATGCCGAAATGGGATCGGACTAACTAGGTATTCGAATCAGAATCGTGCTTCAAAGTGCAAAGGAAGTTGGAAAGAAAGAGTGAACAGAACGTGTTTGGTAGTCCTCCTCAAATCGTTGGGTCCAAAAAAGCTTGCCGAAAAATTAGTGAAATCCCTTCTCATCCTCTTTAAATCTGGCTCCAAATCTTTTTGCTTCGAGTAAAAGAGGAAGACAGAGAAGGAAATCCGATTTGATTCTCTGCCATCCTTTCCCTTCCCTTCCCCCTCCCCCTCGCTTCCCGCATTTCATTTCATTCAGTGTCTCAAAAAGTTGGAGAAGAAGAAGAAGAAGAAGAACATGACCCGGTGTGTGTTAGTAGTGATCTCTGGGGGGAAAGGGGGGAACACGGTGAAGACATTTGGAGAAAGTGAAAGAAAAAGTGTCGTTCCGCACGAGTCGGAGCACATGCACGTACGTAGAAGTAGATATATGCGACCTCTTCAATCCAGAACACGAGCAAAGAGAGCAGAAAGATGGAGGACATGGCCGCCAGGCACAGCAAGTACGTGTTCGTCGGTAGTTTGTTCAGCATCCGGTTGCTTCTGAAAATGTATTCGAGATGATGTTTCCGCTTTAATTATTCATTCGATCCACACTCTTTTCACTTTTTGAGCCGAAGCCTTCAGAATGAAAAGCCGCCAAATTTGATAATGCAGTTCAAAAGGATCGGAAAGGGGGACAGAAACGTCAGAAGGGGACTCTTTTTGCTTTCAAAAATGATGTGGGAAAGGGGTTTCAGGCCTTTCAGGAATAGTCGTTTTCTTTATTGAACCATTTATTGACTTTTCAGATGATCCACTTGGGCTCAAATGTTCACTAACAAGACTCTATACCTAGATTGACAATCCTGCAAAGCTATGAACCGATCGAAGAAATGTGCAATCCTCTGACCTTTAGCCTGGATCTCAAAACAACACCTTGCGAAGAGTGCACCAAATTCCCGGAAAGCTCGAAACTTCCTGCTCATTGCGCATGAAAGCGCCCAAAGGAAGTGTTGCCCTAACTAATTAAAATTTTACTCCTCACCCACTCCATCCTTCCGGCCGACGAGTATATAGTTTTGTCAATAAACAATTGCCCAGAAATAGATGCTGACTGACCTGATCAAAATCCAAACCATCGTGTTGCCGGTGAGGCCGACGAACACGCAAAACGGCATGTAGAAGTAGTAGAGGTTCTGGATGAGCGTCCTGGAAAAACACATACACATTCTGAGGGTGCCCCCGTTTTTGATTTATGTTTTCCCCTATCCCTAGTGGTTGGAAAGGGTCATTTCATTTCCTTATTCTATTTTCATGTGCCTACATTCAAATACAAATCCTAATGTCCTCTAGACTCACCCTAACTGAATGGGACAGTTGCACTAATCCGAGTAATTTCAGACCGCTGCCGTCTTTGGACGTTTCCCCTTATTTTGGCGTGGTACGGACAAAAACAAGAAAGGAAAATGAGATACACATAATTATAAATGATCTCTGGTCATCGGACAGAGATCATTCCGCCAAATAATAAAAACAGTACCTGCCGTGTTGAGTGTCCATGGTTTCGAGGAATTCGTAGAGCAACGACTCGTTGAACTGGTTCAAAAAGTGGTGGGGCGCGACGTCGGAGAGCTGCGCAACGAGCTGATCTCTCAGTGTTCCGTTGGATCCGCCGACGCCGTCAAGACTGGCATTCAGATGAAGCTCGAGATCGTCTCCTCCTCCTCCTCCTCCTAGCACCGATGCGTCTCGGAGCAGCAGCTGAGCCGCCGTTGACATGTTGTGGGCGTGGCCCGCGGGCTGTCTGCGCACTCCGCTGATAATATGCACACTGGAGAAGGGAAACGGCACGCAAAACGGAGGACTAGAAGAAGAAGAAGAAGCAAAAGAAGAAGAGGAAGAGCCAGACTGGGAAAAGAGAGACACTCGCGGGACAGGGACAGGCATTCTTTTAGAGAATTGGTGGCAAAACTAAGATATTTCGATGTCTGTGACTTTGGGAATTGAAAAAGGCTTCTGCGTCATCCAGGGACCTCCGCCATGTCAAATGTTTGAGGAGTCGTGGGCGCCGATAACATGTACTTTTCATTTCGGAACCAAATGGGACGAAAAACAAGAGTCGGTTCGGCATGATTGCTGTTTGGTCTATCTATAATTGGGTAGACATGCACTAGCTTTGAAGTTTATGAGAAACCAGAAATCCTTGTTCTCAATTCCCTTGCCACGTCATAAAATTCTACAATTTATACTTGCACAAAACGGTTCTTGCAGAAGGAAGGAAGAAGGAAAACTCTGCCACTCTCTCCCTTTCAATCTAATCTCCTGTGAACTTTTGCTCGTCACAAATCCCCCTACTCGATTCTAATCCCATCTCTACAACTTCATCAGCTTCTTTCCTTTCATTTTGTCTAGAAAAGTGCTCATTTCTCACTCACTCACTAATTGTGCTTCCTGTGAATGAGAAAAGTGAAGGAAAGATGGACTTTTGTTTTCGTTCGGTTTTCTTACTATTCATTTCTATTTGCCATCTGTCTTTTCTCAAATTCAATTTTGAGGGAGGTGAGCCGTGCGTGCGTGTGCGTGTGTGTGACAGGAACGAATGAGAAGAGATGGACTTTGCGATTCGCCCGAAAATAGAACGAGTGACGGAACGGATCACAAGAGGAGCTAGTTTTGAGTTGGAGAAAGAAGAAAACATTTGGGACTCGAGGTGGACGGGGTGGGTCGGTCGGATGATGTGCAGTAACAAAGTGTTGTTGGCAACCAACCAAATTTCTCGGTTGCGAAATGACACGCTAGACGAAGATTGGTATGAAGTTTTCAGACGGTTGCGAAATGACACCAGGAACTGGCCTTTCTGGTTGCCAGATAGTTAGAGGATACTTTAGACGCTTTCCAGCCGGTTTCGAAATGTTCAAGCGACAAGAACCTGTGTAATCGTGCGGAAACCTATATATTTTGGAAGGCTAGTCTTTAGCAACAAAAATCACTGCAACAATCCAATGATCACGTGGCAAACGAGATTACAAAAACAAATGTGGGTGTGTGGGTGTGAGTGAGTAACGTGGCGGACGAATGTCATATTCAGATGAGAAGAGTTGGAAGTGACACGGCGGGAAAACATCGGAATCCGGCCACGTAAACTCGACATTGTACCAGATGAGTCCGTCTCTGAGAGCAAGAAGAAAACACGTTTATTGCGGAAATTGGACGAGATGACTCTTGTTTTGATCGGAAGCCGCCAATTGGAGTTTTGGTGGTCTCACGCTCGGCCGGGCGGTTAGGTACACACTTTTGATACGTTTTTCGGAAGAGGTCAGTCAACAAATGTTTATGAAATGAAATCAACACGTTTTCGTGGTTGGTTCGACTGAAAATGATGTCAGAAGACAAAGAAAAGAACGGACGGAAAAGCAGGGGTAGACGGATTGAGTTGTGGCCGGACGGGAAGAAGAAGAGAAAGAGAGGCGAGTGGGAAAGGAGAGAGAGAGGGTTGAGCTACACGTAACCAGCTCAATTAGTGCCTGACTAGACGGCTACGCAACTTTTCCGCTTCTTCTTTTTATAGAAACAAGCAGATTCGTATAATCACGCTCTGTTGCTCAATTTCAGTCCAGCAGCGCCGGCGGTACAAGACGGAACATCACACTCTTCAATTTTTGCTTCATAAATATGTGAACTTTAGCAAGAAGACTTATGACCCGGATTATTTGGATTTATTATCATGTGATAAGGGCAGTTGGCCTTTGATTTGACACATTTGCCCACAAATCACAATAGTCGTAGGCAGTGAGTCCAGAAGGCTCTCTGCGGAGCGGAGGGAACGAAAACAATGTATAAAAGTGATGGGAGAAGTGATTATTATCAGTGGATTGGGTAACAACTGACTGGATTCTCGCGTCTGCGGTCTCTCTTTGCGCTTTTCAGACAACCAAAAGTGTGCACTTTCCGAGGAAAGAAGGCTGAGAAAGTGCTCGAAGATTTCGGGCCCTTCGCAAGGTGTCAAATGCTAATGAACACTTGCCCAACTTCAAATGGCTCGGATTATGCGCGTGGATGACGGATGATGATAATGACGGCATTCGGGTGCGCTCATGTGATAGCGCAAAACGTAGAGGAAATAATGGATTATAATGGGAGGAAATGGATGGTGGGCAGAGCTTCGGAAGCACGCGGAATACGGCTACATTTTATGCGCACACTTTGGCGGCTTTGTGATTAGAAACTTGATCAGAAGGGTCACGTGTGACAGAAAGAGTTAAGGATTAGTCAGAGCGGGGAAGTTCGGTTATGCCTCAAAAAAGCGAATGCTGGAGAATAATAACAATTCTCGGCACACCTTTGTACCTTTTGCGCAAAAGTTACAGAGGTTTGCGAATAAGAAATGGGTCAAAATGTAGGTTTTTGCTCAGCCCACTCTGAAAAGTTGACCTATTGGTATTTCATAAACTCGTTTAACAGTTGCAAATTTCAATTCGGTTAGCATTCCACTCACTCATTTCCTCTCCACTCCCTTCTCCCGACAGCAATTATAAACGTGTGTCTCTGGCTCGCGAATAGCTTAAAAAAGATGTTCAGAGATTATCCATTTGTTTCTCGTGGCTCAAAATCCCCGGCAGATTATAGCCTGTGCTCTGGCTGCACTTTTCTGATTTCTCGCTAATCTGACCGAGATCATACGGTAACTAGGAATGTTTGGAACACGTGACACTTGTCAAAAGGTGCGTGGCCACGAAATTGGTAAACAGACGGCACAAGAGAATGCAAATTTTATGGGGGCGAATGGATCCTCAAAAACCTAAAGTGTCAGTCAGACTACTGTAATGCGTTATTCGGCGATAAAAATGGGCCGAGAAAAGTGACGAAAGGGTCAGTGAGCACTTTTGAATAGAAATATTATGGACCCGCACAAAGTGGAGGGAGGGGCGCCGATGGAAGCAGATAAATGGCCGAGAGATTGGGTGATGCGGAGAGAGTTTCGACAGAGTTTGAAGTGGAGAGAGAGAGGGAGAGAGAGAGAGAGAGATTCGCTTGTTGCCAGCATGTTGTAGTACATTGTGACACAACCAATACGTGTTTTGAAGGAGTTGATCACGGAAATTCTAGTCGTTTCTAGAAATGTCGTTGCCATCAGAACTCTAGTTTACATTTCAACTTTCAAGAAACTATTGAAATCCTTTTGAGGTGTACTTTCACACCTGACAAAACAAACTTTTAGTGAACGATCAAGTGTACAAAACAAAGCTGAAAAGAGCAACGTAAAAGTGTGCATGACGTGCGATTATAAAGTGAGCCGCGACGCTCTTCATCGCCCCGATAGTATTGGGTTTCATGAAAAGTGCGGGGAATGAATGACCAATTGGACAGGTTTGGCTGGCTGCGAAGGTCGGCTGACGAATGCTTGAATAGTGTGAGAACGGGCGAAGAATCGCCCCGAGGCCCCTCTTGTTTTGCCTCTTTTCCAAGAGTCCGTGTAATCCTGCGTAATGGAATAGAAGTGATTGCGGAAAAGAAAAACGAGGAGAAGTAGAATTCGAGTGTTTTTCAGTTGAAGAAGGAACAAGTTCACGAGACTCCGTGTACACTGATCTACGAAAGAATCGAGTGGAACCGCACCCTACAATATTCATGAGAGGCACACGGGTTTTATGAATGTGAGCTTGATTGTTGCACACTCTGAAAGTTTTCAGGATTTCATTGGAACAACTATCATTTTGTACTTTCCTTCAGAATTAGCTGAGAAACTCCTTTCCAAAATTAACTGATTCTAGAAACCATTCTCATTTCAAATCTATATGATTTTTCAAGGCCTTGGTCCAGACTATTGCTCCCTTTTCCCCACTTACTTGAAGACGTGGCCAGGTTAATCCCATTCCTGAAACTTCAATTTCCGAGTATTGGAGACGTAACTTTGTATGGTGCATTGTACTCTTTCTGCTTCGACTCAACGACGTCACATATTTCGGTATCAGTAGACAGACCGGAATTGGCCAGAACGAAGGTAACTTTTCAAGAAGAGACTATCATTTCTTGAACCTATTCAGTTCGATCATTTCTTTTAATTTATTTGTCCAGAATTCTAAGAAAAATGGGTGACTCTCGGCAAGCCGTAGAACTTTCCGAGTACCACTCTTTTTTGCACTAGTGAGTTCATTGTGACACACTAAAAATAGAGCGTCTCACCGAAAGCGCCTGAGGCCGTCGAATGATCCACCGAGATTCGATTTCATTTCGTCCCCTAATCGCCGGAGCTTTTTTCAGCACTTCTCATCTCTCTGCGCTCCTTCTGGATGAAAATCTCGAGCCCAGCGATTTTTGCTCCTATTCCTTTGAAGAAGAGTGTCACAGGTCTCGCATTGAATTACACATTGGCGCGGACGGCTTCTGAAAGAAAATAAGAAGAAGAAGGTCCTTTCTGCTTCTCTCAACTTTTTCGTTTTTCTTCTTTTTCGTGTCATAAGTAGATTTGAGGATGAGGATGAGCTCTCCCGAAGAGATGGCAAGGACGCCCTGATTGGCCCGAGAGAGAAAGAGAGCAAAACTCGGTTCATTCTAGTTTTTTGATTCCTCGGCAGGTTTCCCTCCATCTGACGTCGTCTCTTTTGCTCCGGTACTTCAGATCTGCGTCGTAAACTTTGATCGCTTTATGCCCATCCTAATCCGCATTTCCTGACTCATTTTTTTCAACGGATCTCGCGACGAAGAATCGTTCACACATTCATATATTTTCAGTCTTCTTTTCCTGTGTTTTGTTCACGCTTTCTTTGGTCACTTCTAGCAACGAAAGTGATTCTTCTCGGTTTTTCATCTTTTATACCGTAGAACAACGCAGTTTATTTCTAATTTTGCGCAAAACACCTCAAAATTTGGAATTTTGTGGAAATCACGTAAGATCTGACACATTGCCGCAAACACAATCACGGTAAAATGCAGACCTTACACGATTTTGAGGTCGGGAAATTCAAGTCTTTGGCATGTTTGCGCTGAAACAAAGTGTAAAATAAAAAGCAATGTACTTATTCGACACTTTCAGCTCGGTTTACGGTACGGTATTTAAGCACCAAAGTTAAAAAGATCTCACAATCATACTTGTACAAGAAATGAAGGCGTAAAAGGACGTCGTCAACAATAAGCTTCTCGTGGTATTTCAGGTCGAACCTAATCCCCCTCCCACTCGTTTCTTCCTCCAGTTTCTCCCGTTTTATGCTGTTTAATTGATTTGTTTTCAGTGCTGAGGCGAGTGAGTGAAAACGAGAGAGAGACAGGAAGAATATCGGGGCGCAAAAACGTCTTATTTTTGTCGTTTTGGTCACCGGCGGATTATCGCCATCCGGGTGACTTTGCTCTTAATCTTCCTGAAGTTGAGGACACAATAATAGTGATTAGCCGAGTGACACCCCGAGGCCGCCATCTCTTTTCTCACTTTTTCTTCTTCTCCTTATCACAAGAGCATCTCCCTTGGCAACCAGAAGCCTCGGCCCTCCCCCCCATTCCTCATCACCAATTTTATTAGCTGCCACGTCATCACATGCTTCTAGAGTGTCAGGATTCGCACGCATCTCGCATTCGGAAGCATTGGATTTCTGTTTCTGTTTCCCCACATTCCCTTCTCGAACCAATCATCAAATCAGACCTCTTCATCTTGTTTTTTTGCATTTGTAACCTCCATCAACTTTCACGAACACTTTGATGCCATCGAGCTCTTTGGAGCACGTGCATTCCGAAATCTTTTTCGGGAGGCAAACCGGTCTCGGCCAAAAAAGTAGATTGCTCATCGGGGAAGAAAGCAGAAGGTGGCGCCGCGCAGAACATCGTCGCATTGAATATTCAATGATCGCTTGCCATCTGGGGCGCCCTCCTCCCTCTTTCTTTATATGTCTCTCGAGTGACTGAGTGACTGAGTGAGCAGAAGGTGTTTATCTTTGTGATTCCAAGTGGAGAGACTCTCACTCTCGTTTGCCCCTCATGCCAAGTTTTACGGATGTAATATGAAATCTGTGTAGTCCTCGATTTCAAATCTTTGTCTGGATTGATCTTTTTGTCACCATGGCTTTCATAAATTCTAGCTGCCACCTTGCCACGCAACCGTTGATCTCTAATCACTAAGAAGTAAGCAAAAGACGAAAAAACAACCCGAGAACCGAACTTTAGTCTTGTGGTTATAAAGCAAAAGGTTCAACCACTACGCCATCAGCAAGCTCGCAACATGGAGCTGCAGTGCGTATACAAACCTGCTGTTGCGCGGGCGGTGCTCGGGTTTGTTGCTAATATCCATCTGAATGCACTCATCAAGAACTCTTCCACGCCGTCATCTTTTACCTCTTCTCTTCAACCCGTCAACATCTCCTTCCCGCTTCTTCTTTCTGCAATGAATGAGAAATTGGAAGAAGCAACGAAAGGAGGGTGAAGAAGAAGAATGTGTCACATATTTCGGGGGCCAGTTGCAGCCATAAAATGATGTCAATTTCCTCGTTTTTCCAAATTCCCAAATTGTCTACTTCTCCCCGACTACCGTACTTTAGAAGGGAGCACCCAATTAGTGGCGCTGCTTGTTTTTGTTTTCACCCATTCTCCTTCCATTTCCGCCCAATCTGATGAGCTACAATTAAAAACTAATGGAGCCACAATGAACAGGCTCCGCCCACCCATCACTTGTGGCTTCTTTCTGCACGACAAAATCAAATTTATTTTGTTTTTCACCGTTTTCGCTCTTGACACTTGTTCTGTGAATCGCTCGCGTGATTCATAGATTCCATTTGTCGCACATAATACGCCTACAATCCGCGCAGTCTGAATCACGCGAGAAGACGCACTTTACCGCCCGTTTTCTCATAGTTCCGAACTCTGACGCACTCTGATTCATTGCGCGCTCTGTCGCTCAACTCGCCGCCCTTTCTTCCAGCTTTCGTCAATTTTAGGCCAGCCGCCACCGAAAACCGCGTTTTTCTGTGATTTTTACAACAACAAAAAAGAGCTGACAAGATTTGTTCGCGGTGACAATAACAAAACTGAATTCGAACGGAATGGTGCTAGTCAGATTATCCCCGCTCTTTTCGGTCTTCTTTTTTTCGTGTTCGCCCCGCCCCGCCTCCGCTCAAATTCTATTTTCAAGACTCTCTTCTTCACCTGCCTCTTCTGATTCGGCGTGCCCGCTCTCAAATTCAATTTTCGCCTCAAAGACTTTTTTGACTTTTCGATTCATGCCCGCTCTCTTTTTTCTTATTCATGCCCCCTTCCTGCACTTTCTTCAACTACAGTACTCCTATACACATACATACTCACAATTCAAAGTTCAAAAGCGTGCAGCATTCATTCGAATGCTCAGTGGTCCGTAAAAAGTGAGAAAGCAACTCAACCCGTCTTGCAATATATGTTTCTTTCCAACCGAAATCCTCGTCAAACACCATAAATTTGAACATGTTTGGCGCCGCCGCCCCTCTACGCTTCCCCTCCTCACTCTCAATTTTCCCCCGGGGAGCGACGCTTGTCCTCTCTCTCTCTCTCGCTCTCTTTTCATTTCTCTCACACTTGTCAAGACTATTCTCTCTCTCTTTCTCTCGGACGGGGGTATAGCTCAGGGGTAGAGCGCTCGCTTCGCATGCGAGAAGTCTGGGGTTCAATTCCCCATACCTCCAAATCACATTTTGCAGTTATGAATGAGGAGGTTCCGTTGATAGAGTCTGCAGTGGTCGAGATCGTTCCGAATGGGAGCGTCGCTCGTGTCACCGATATCATCATCATTAATGTTGGCGGACGAAAAGCGCGGCTCAATTCTGAAATAGTCACAAGACGACTTGCCACGTCACGGCTCGCAGTGTTCTGCGAAAAGTCGCACGTGGAGCGGCTAACCGACTGCGACGCCTACTTCGATGCCACGTCAGAGTACTACTTCGAACGGTCGCCCATCATTTTCGAGTATGTCATAGACTTTTATGTCACCGGAAAACTGCACCGACCCATGGACATTTGTCCGATCCGCCTGAGATATGAACTCGATTACTGGCGGATTCCCACGCCGTTCATGTCCCCGTGCTGCATTCTCGAGGAGAACAACAATATGGCGAGCAAAATGTCGACTGAGAAAGTGAGCACTTTTCACACGACGTCATCAGATCTCTTTCGATGCTTTTAGGCCTACGTCGATTCTTCGCTACCGTCGTCGTGCTTCGATAAAGTGGTTCTGGGTCCTCAACGACTAAAGTTGTATCGGCTGATGGAGAATCCGAGGTCTTCCTCCGGCGCCAAAGTCTTCTCCGTCGGATCCGCACTTTTCGTCCTTCTTTCTCTTCTCGGACTCATTCTCAGCTCAATGCCAGAATTGCAAGATGAGAACAAGGAACCGCACTATCTGTTGCACTGGCTTGAATTGCTGTGAGTCCAAACATTCAAAAAACGTTCATTACACAAAATTCCTGCTTACAGGTGCATGGTATACTTCACTTTCGAATACCTCGCACGCCTTCTGGTCAACCCTAAAAAAGCCGAATTCATCAGAAGCCCTTTGAATGTGATCGACCTGCTAACGGTTCTTCCGTTCATGATCGAGGCGTTCAATGAATTGCAGTGGATGAAAGAGTTCCGAGGTATGATCACTGCACGTAAGGAAGGCACTCAACACTTTCTACTACTTCCAGGCGCCATGCTGGTCGTCCGTGTCATGAGACTCGCGCGTGTCGCCCGTATCTTCAAACTCGCGCGGTACAGTACGGGACTGCGAGCGTTCGGAGAGACGATGAAGAAGAGTGCCGCGGAGCTGAGCATGCTGGGAATGTTTTTGGTGACAGGTACGTCTGGGGAACGATATTATAATCCCTTGGAAAGTATATAGTGTTTGCGACGAAAATTAGTTCGCTTAGTTCCTTTGGGACCACAGTCGCAACAACAAGCAAAGAACAAGTTTTTTAAAGGAATAATGCTCTTCTCAACGGCCATCTATTTCTTCGAACGGGATGAGCCAAACTCAAAATTCTACAGTATCCCAGCGGCTTGTTGGTGGTGTAAGTGCCTCAATGAAATGAAATGGGAACAGTGCTCATCTTTTAGGTGTCATCACAATGACAACAGTCGGCTACGGAGACCTGGTTCCGATCACGGCTGGCGGAAAAGTGGTGGCTGCTCTGGCCTCCGTCTGCGGAATCATCGTGCTCGCCTTCCCGATCTCAATGATCATCGACAAGTTTGCCGAATCCACTGGCGGCTGGAGTGGCGGAGAACCGGACGAAGAACAGGGACACCGAGCACCGAATTTGAATGGCGCGCCCGCGCACCCGGTCAAGAAGAAGAGCAAGCGATACGTCGGATTCTGATTCTACTAAATATTTATTTCAATGTACATAACTCTCAATGACAATACGGTTCATTTTCTTCCCAGTTTCCCTCCACTTCGAATCTTTTCTTTTCTTTCATTTATTATTACCCGACAAAAATGTAGCATTTCTGGTTAGGTGCCCTTGGGTTACTCGCTTTTTTTTTGCTAAAAGTTAATTTTGAAACTGAGATAAAGTAGATCTGTAAATAAAAAGGTGAAACTCACTAACATGTCGTAGCTTAAAATGCCGACTACGCAACTAGACTGCACCGTTTGCCGACTACAGTAGTCTGCATTCAAATTCGCAGCCGATCGAAATAGGCGCCATCTTGTTTTTGGCCTCCCGACCATTTCTTGTTTTCTTATATTTCTTGCTTTTCTCGACGTCACGGTTCACGTTTCGGTGCGTCCAAAATACGCGGTCTTCCAGATTTCCCACAACAAACTAATCAATTCGCTCCGTGCAATAGTTTCTTGTAATATTTACCCCGTTCTTTCAAAGGTAAGCGTAAAAATTGAAAACAAAAAGGAATCCACGTGGCATCTACCTTCGCAGACCTGATACCTGCCAATTCCGACGGCATCAGGCGGCGCGTTACGAAATGGTGCGGCGTGGAAACAGAACGGCGGTCGCGGCGACGATGACGTCGGCGTCGTCCTCGTCGGGTTCCAATCATAACAGCACGAACCGTTGGAGCCGTTCGCGACCCCATTCTTCTAACAGCGGAGACATCGAGAAAGTCGTCAAAAGTATCGAGAGCAGCAGAAGCAGCCCGATCGGTTCGAGCCAAAGTGTGAGTGAATTGAGCGAAATGCGCGTTTTCAAAAGTAATTCGTCAGACGAATGGCAGCCCGACAAACGGAAAGAGAAGCGTGAACGGCGGCGGCAAGGGAGCCCGCTCGAGCAGTCACTGGCGTTCGCGGGGAAATGGTCGAAACGGTGGCGGTGCGGGAGACTCAAAGTTCTCCATCACAATCGAGGACTTTCCAGCACTTCCGGGCGGTCGCGGAGGAGGAGGAGGAGGAACAGCCCATTCCACTCCCAACAAGAATACCAGAAGAGACAGAGAGTCGCACGGAAGATCTTCGCATCTGGCACCCAAACCCATTCCGTTGTTTTCTCAGAAGAACGAAATGCACGACATGGTCTCGACCGACGACAGCGGCGTCTCCTCGGGCAGTCGCGGCCACACTCCGATACACGATACGTCGTCCGCTCCGATTCTTGGCCTCATCAAGTCGGACCAGAAAAAGGTTTGAACGACGGAAATCGCTAACTTTCAATTATGCTTCAGAAGCTCCCCTCAGCGACAGAGCTGAATAAACGGAAGGTGTATTCTCCAGCCAAGGACCGCACGCCACGTGGCGCCCCTAAATCGGCTCGTGCTTCTTCCCAATCCAATGCTCATTTCGGAGCTTCCGCTTCACCCAAAAAGGTAGAAACATCGCTCTCGCGTGTGATCAATCGATACATTCCCCCTTGTTTCTCTGTGCCTCTCTGACCCTCAAACTGTCCCTTTCGCACACACTTTCACTGCAATTCGCGAAACTTGATCGATCCCCCGCTAGTTCTATTGCCTGTTGCCACCATTTCTAATATCAAGTCTGGGAGCCGCCTATCAAAGCACAGAAGACAAACATAATTATCGCGAATGTAAAGGCGGAAAGGGGCGGCCGAATCGATCGAATCGAATAACACAACGGCAAAGACGACCCGTCGTTTTCTTTGTCCCTCGCCGTCATCTCTTCCCGCTGTATTCTCAGGCTCTCTGTCTCGTCTTGTGCTAGATCTATTCATATTTCATATCAACAATGACCCACTGACAAAAGTTCGGACAAATGATGAGAATCCGTCCGGTATGTCCCAGGATGAAAAGCTCTATAAAACAATTTGTCTCATCGAGATCTCTTATCGATCGATTTTCAGAAGTCGATCAATGCGGCCAATTCAGCCAACACGGCTCCGTCCTTCATGAAGCTGTCGAAGCTGGGCCAAAAGGTGCCGGAGAGGTAGCAGAATTTTGAGCCTGGAAATGAATTGAGCAATTACAGACGAGGAGGGAACAGAATCAGCAATCATTCGACACAGTCCGGCAGCTTCACTTCTCCTTTCAGTGAAGAAAGAGAGAAGGAGAATGAGGAGAAAACTCTAACGAGTCTGAGTTCGATAATTGATGGTATCACTCTCACAGATGTCGGAAAGGCGAAGAAGGAGGAGGAGAAGCCTCCGACTGATCCGATTCCGTCCTGCAAGAGCGCCAGGACTGATGTTCCTAGAATCATTCTTGGCCAGGATGGAGGTGAGATCACAGTTGTCATTCAAATCGAAAAAGTTTATTTTAGAAATGAGCAACATTCCATCGACGATGCTCACTGATCAATACGGAATGGCCGCCATGCTGCCGATCCTGGACATTGTCCGAAATCGCATAGTTCTCCCTGAGAGCACCGGTCTTTCTGAAGAGAAACTACGCGAGAAACATCTCCACGAGAACGTGAGTCGGCATGACGAAGCCTTCCAATTTCGGTTCGAGGTTTTAGATTGAAATGACGTGCATCGGAATCGATTTGAATGAACTGGGAGTTCCGATCAAGACATCGGAGAGCAAGTAATCCCAGTGACAGAATATTTCACGGCGCTAATCCTGTACAGTTACAGACCAGTGTGGCAGACATTCGCCGGCCCGTTCGGCCATCAACCGTTGTATCCGACGAGCATGGGACTGAGCGTAAGAGAATCTCCGTCTTTTTCTTCCAAACAACCCATTTTCAGCACTATCAAGTTCCGAGCGTCTACTACACTGCTCGCACCCTTCAGCAGAGCTTCGACATGACTCAGAACATTCCGGACAAGTTCGGAGTCCACGAGCTCTTCTACATGTTTTACAATCTTCCGAAAGAACTGTGGCAGCTGAATGCGGCTCGCGAACTGTACGAATTGAACGAACTGAGCTGATGTGATGATTTGTTTGCAGGCAATACCGTGGATGGCGTTTCAATATAAAGGAGAAATTGTGGGTGCTCAAGAAGCTAGGAGAGCCTGATGAGTGTAAGTGAAGAAAAGAGTTGGCAGAAGACGGATGAAGATGGTTTTAGATGGAATAACTGTGACGGCACCGCACAATCCGTTCACTCAACCAGGATTGACTCAGCAGAACGACTTGATGATTGGAATCTTCGAGATTTACGACGCCGAGAAAGCTCGCATTGTGAGTCGCCGCTCCTACCGAAATTCTTTATGTATTGACCCTTCAGACTTCTCGTGAAATGTCTCTTCGTCGTTCCGACTTTGAAGTTCCCGCTTGGGAGCAAAAAGTGCCCGACGCGTATCAGAAGATGGTTTCTTCCGTCTTCCCGAAGGACGTCCTCTGGGGAATGCGCGAGGATCGCACCAAACCGAACGTTCTGTCCGGATTCAACGGTCTCACTTCGTCCGTCAAACCTACCGGAAGCAAGTGAGTCATACCTCATTCCTCCGCAGTTTCCCATATGAAAAGAATAAATTCCAGACTCCCGAACCTCGTGCTCCCGAAGCCGCAACCGTCGAACCGTCGTCTTCTGAGCTTCGTCGATTCGCCCGACGCGAACCAAAGCTTCGACCTTTCGTTCGGAAGTCTCCCTCAGAACATGGACGACTTTTTCCGTCAGCAGCAGATGTATGCCGTCCTCCTGCAAAAAATGCAGCAACAGCAGAATCTGCAGCAACAGCGACAGTCGTCGTCCAACTTGCACTCTTCCTCGTCGTCCAGTTACTATTAGGTACCATGGTGTCTTCATCTCCTCTCCCGTCATATGTTGCATTATTGTTCATGTTCTGCTCTCTTGTGTCTATAGATACTATTGCACTTTTCCGCCCGCCTAGAAGCTCCTTTCGGTGCACCATTCTTCTAGATATTTCTCTATATCATTTTCACACTTGCTTCTTCTCCTAGAACCATTCTAGAGTTTGCCTCCCCCCCCTCCTCCAGGAATTCCAGCATTCTCTGGATCTTTCCAACCTCTCACAGTCAGGGATCTCCTCCACCTCTCAAAATATGTGTACGAATTGGGTAGTCCCGTTCGCTTTCCAAATCCCTTCCACTTGGTATTTCCCTCCCATTCCCGCACCCCAGTTTTTATACAGTTCTCTTCTCATATCAGAAGAGATGTAGGACTTTCTTTGTTTTTTATGTGCGATTCGTATTATTATTTTCCCATGGCGGAAATTCGCTGCTTCATAAATGCGTTTCGACTGAGTTCTAGTTCGTTGTCCTATTTGTGAACGAATCAAAACAACCAAACTTTTTTCAACCAGAATATCATCAGATTTGGGTACAGTAACTAGCCGTAATTAGAAACTATCAACGTGTAAAGCAGGAAGAACGAGAAAGGGAGAGTATGAGAAAAGTGAGAGACGGAGAGAAATAATGAAACGGATTCTAAAGTACGGGGGAAAGGCAATAGAGATCAGGACAGGGGACAGCAGACGAATTATTAGGATGCAATTGAACGAAATTATGATAGAAATGGAGAATTATGAAGAGAAGGGGAAGAAGAGAAAGTTGGCGATGGAGGAGATGATGTACGAGTAGACGTGGTACTGTGCATAGAACGATCCGAACCAGAAGGCGTACATTCCGATGATTTTGGCCCACGAGAAGGCGATCCGGGTGCCCTTCTCGCCCGGATTGAACTCGCCCGTCGCGTAGTATCGAGCTGAAAACCAAACAATCAGGTAATCTGTGACGTTCGCTCGTCCTCTGATCTTTTCCCAGAACTTGCTAACATGATGACCATCATCTTCTTCCAAAATGACCTTTGTCCCCTTCCGATATCTTACGCAATCCTTGAGGGAAACCCCGAAACGTGCGCCCACTATCAGTTGCTCCTCTCTTTTTCTCTCTCTCTCTCTCTCTCTTCCAACTGCAAGTTTCACCGAAAAAGATTGATCGGAAGGTGCGAAGGTCGAATCTCGCGTCTTATCATTAGTTCCACCCCAATCTTTTTCGGCCTACCAAATGATTTTCGCGTTGCAACAAACTGTTTATCCGACTTTCTATGATATCTAAATTTCTGTCTAGGTTTTGGTTGCATGTAACACTATTGTTTTCTCCAAAAACAACAAACCCCTTCAGACCCTCAATTCTTCTTATCTTTTTGATCTATTAAAAAAAATGGACTGTGGGAAAGGGCGCAAAAAGGTCGAAACAAGTATAATTGGCGGTTGAATTGCATCGCCCGCCGCTCTCATTCACTTTCCAAGTTTCGAAACAATTCAGTTTGCCGTTATTCCTTGTCTTCCTATTTTAGAGTTTGCTCAATCGGAGAAAAGGCGGTTTCTGATGCCCACTCATTTTATCAGATACCGTTCTTGTCCCCGGCCGCCGAGGAAGCAAACAACTCGATTTCTGCTGACTCGCTGAATGATTTCACCCGATCTTTGTCTCTCTCTTGCCTACCTAGCATCTCGTCCTTCTCCTTGTACACCTCGTACATCCAGTCTCGAAGTTTCTCCTCGTCCTCGAACGGAACCTACAATATATAAAACATTGTTTTCATTTTCAGAAACTCTCGGTCCCTAAGGATGCTCGACCGATCGGAAAGCGAGGAAAAGGTGAGCGAGCCGAGTTGTTTGTGCCCCGTCACTTTTTGCGCGTTTTGCAACTTTTTATCGGTCGAGGAAGAACCAGGAACGCCTCCCTTACCTCTGTGGCGTCGTAGATTTTGTAGTTGACGGCAATGTCACACTTCTCGCGAGTTCCCAGTCCGAAAGTGGCCAAAGAGAGCGGAATTCCGTTCGGATAGGCGATAGTGACGTCGAGAACGTATTTGATCGGAGGACGAGTATCTGAAAAGTTGATCTTAATTCATTTTCAATTATCTGAACGGACCATTGCTAGTGTGTCAGTCCTGCTATGTAGTGTATTTAGTGAATATCAGATCTGGATATATTTTGAGATTAAACCGAAACTCTAAGACTCTCAGAAAGTGTGGCGTTTTCAGCAGAATCTTGACTGATCTCCCGTACGGGTAATTCCATTAGGCAGAAAATTGCATTGAGTATCATTCATACTTCATACTAATAGTAAGACTGATCATCGAGCAAAACAAGATCCGATCGAATAGGTGCCAAAAGAAACTGCGTCAGAAGTCAAGACTTCCCAGCCCTGTTTTCTTGCCCCATGAAAGAATCGAAAACATTCAATTTCAAAGAATTCCCAATCGCAAAGCAACTGTTTTTGTGGGTGTCTTTCCGCCGCAACACTCAAACAAAGCAATGCAAATTTCATTCATTTATAAACGTGTCTTTCCAATCGACACAAAGGGTCACTTTCAGACACCACTTTCTTCCAGCTGAAATCAGAGTGGTCGTACCAATATTATCACCTGTTTACCCGTTTTCCTCCTCCTCCAAACTCCTTCCTATTTAGCCGTACTCGACTAGCACAGCCGCCGAAAACAATATGAGAGAAATTGTCGAGTGGACAGAACATTTGTTGATACGGGTGTTGATATGATCGGAGCGATCATTCAGTCGTCGCCGTACTCGCGGTTTCCTGTCAAGCCCGAGACGCTGATGACGACGTCCGCCATCCGTTCCTCTCGGATCATTCACTCACAATTAGTCCGTTCCTTTTCTCTTCTCTCCACGCATCTTTGTTTTGAGGAGAGATTGTTACATCGGAGAGTAGCCCGATCAGAGCCACATTCTTGATGAATTGCTTCGAGTTTTCCGCTTATTTACTAGTCTTGCTCTCTTTTCTTGTCCCCTTCTCTGCACTCGATTTCTATATTCATCCTGTTTCTTTTCAGATGCCGCATCTACTCGGAGTCGAATGGGCGCCACTGAACATTCCGTTGGAACGACGTCTTCAAACGGTCGGAGCTCTCCACTTCTTCTTCATCACCCTCTTCACGCCGGTGCTCGTGCTCACTCTTCCCTTCTACATTCTTACCACAATCTGTTGGCCGCTGATCTGTCTCTACGCGCTGTGGATGTTCTACGACTGGAACTCTCCGAAGACTGGCGCCTACCGAAGTGAATGGTTCCAGAGACAGCGCATCCACTCGTGGTACGCCTCCTACTTTCCAGTCAAACTGCACACGACCGCCGAGCTGCCTTCGGAGCAAAACTATCTTATCGGTTATCACCCGCACGGAATCATATCGATGGCCGCATTCATCAACTTTGCCACGAATGGGACTGGAGTTCTCGACGTCCTTCCACGCATTCGCTTCCATCTGTGCACGCTCGTCGGTCAGTTCTGGACGCCGTGGAGACGTGAATGGGGACTGCTCCACGGAATGATTGACTGCAGTCGCGAGAGCATCAAGAACGTGCTGGAGCACGAGGAGAAGGGAAAAGCCGTCGTTCTCGTGGTCGGAGGGGCCGAGGAAGCGCTCGACGCACACCCCGGATACCACATTTTGACGCTCAAGAAGAGGAAAGGATTCGTGAAGATTGCTCTGCAGACGGGCGCCCATCTTGTTCCGTGCTATTCGTTCGGTGAAAATGACATTTTCAACCAGGCCGACAACCCGAAAGGTTCGACTATTCGGCAGTTTCAAACGATCATGAAGACGATCCTTGGCTTCTCGCCGCCCGCGTTCTACGGAAGAGGCGTTTTCAACTACACATTCGGTCTCCTGCCATTCAGGTAATCATAGTTTTTCGATTTCATTCAAAATTTCTTGTTTTCAGGAAGCCTATCAACACGGTGCTCGGAGCTCCGATTCCAGTGACCAAGTCAGCCAGTCCGACTCAGGAAGAGATCGACACTCTCCACGAAACGTACATAAACCGGCTCCGTGAGCTGTTCGAAGAGCACAAGACGAAATACGGTATTCCGGAAAGCGCCCAACTTGCCATCAACTAATTATTCGATAATTTATCCACGTTCCTATTAATTTTAGTCAGATTTCAATATTACGAGTTACTCTCCCCATTGATGTTAGTTTGTTTTTACCGATCTCTTTTTGTACGCTCTGTGCGCCGAGTAAAGACGAGTAGTAGAGCCTACCTTTCACGTATTTCTTCTCACGAATCGCTCCGACAGTGTCTTTGAGCAGTTTCAGTTTGCTGTTGCTCCGCTCTCTTGGCTCATCGTCATCGGAACGCGGTCCGACTTCCTCCAGAATCGCCTTCACGGCTCCCATACGCGGAAGAGTGGTGTACAGAAGATGCGGGAACCCGTTCTTCTTTCCGTACCTGAAAAACACGACATTCAATCGGAAGCGAGGCAGAAAAACGAACGCCTGACTGCTCTCGACCCGTTTGTAATAGAATCCGCCCTCTGGGAACAGAATGACCCAACGACGGTCTCGATCCCAGAAGACGTCGTGCAAGTGCTTCTTCAGTCGGACAAGCTCCTTGTCGCGCGTCGCTTTTCCCTGCTGAATGAAGTAGTCGCCGTGGTTGTTGCCGATGATTCCGAACGGAGTCCATCGGAACATAATGTCCATCAGCCAGAGCGTCTTCCGACTCGCCACCCCCTTATTCTGCAGCACCGTCATCAGAGTGGGCACGTCGGCGGTGCTCTGATGGTTGCACATCATCACGACGCGCTCGTCTCGGTAGTAGGTGGTGACGTCGTCTCCGTACTCGTAAACATCGTAGCCAGCCGTGTATCCCCAGTAGGCGATGAACGATTGCAGCCATCGGTAGAGCTTTCCCTCAACAAACCAGTACAAACGAGGCCTGAATGATAAATGGAATGAGTTGGATCCAATTTGATACCTACCAGATAGTTCTAGCCCACATGACAGGGAGCATGAATCCAAAGTAGGTGGCAAAGAAGACGGTGACCAGGGATAGGCACATGAGCGTCCGGAACGGCGCCTTGCACACCCACCACAGTCGGCTCGCCAGGCTTCCTTGCTCGATGACGAGGCGACTTCCCGGCGGTCTGAAACTGGCTCAAAACGTATTTCACTCAGCTCTCTTTTCCTGCTAAACTACCTACCGTTCGCCATTCGCCAGGTCGAGCAACTTTTGCGTCTGCTCGTCGCACATCTATTTGTCGCACTGAAATACTTACAAGAATGAACGAATGATTCGATTGGAAATGGAATGAACACAATTTCGGAAAAGGTTAGAGAGTGGCGCCACGGAGAGAAGTAGAAAGGGAAAGTGAGTCAGGTGAGCCGTGAGCCCGATGAGATGAGAGCAAGTAATTCGATATGAGTGAAAGGGAGAGTGAATGTGAGAATTTCTTCATCTTTTCATGGAATAGCACAAGAGCATCTACGCTAGACTAGAGACACATTGGCATTGGTATGCGCGCGCCTTTTCTCCAATCTATTCATTTCAGCTCAAAAATCGTACAGCAAGGGAAAAGACACAAAGAGTGTCATGCGAACAATAACAACAATTTTTGGGCATGCGCTTGCGGACACGAACCGCAAAGAAGTGCAATTTCATCACACAGTTTGCAGTTGTCAACGTGGTCTAAGAAGTTGGTGGCCCTCGGTGGGAATTGTTTGCTTTCCAAAGAGGGACACAAATTGAAGGACAAACACGGAAATTAACCAATTACCGACAAGAAAAGGAAAAAAGAGGGCGGACGGACGGGCTGGTATTGAGAAAGGACAATTGGCGGCCGGCGGTGTTATCAACCGAATCATGTGGGAGAAAACGAGAAAACAGCTGATTGGGGTTGGAATTCTTGAAACGGTTTCAAAAGGAATGTTGCGAAATATTTAGGAGGTAGCAAAAAGTAAGGAATCGCCATAGGCCAGATGGAAAATTTGAAATCCACGTCGTTCTTTTCGGCTAACACGCGTGTGTGCGAGGTCGATACAAACGCATGGACTGTGTAGAAAGAGGAGGGCGCAGACAGGAAGCCGCGCGTTTTTTGTGTTACCCATCTATCGCCCAGTCTTGCAGTCCTTGAAGACAGCGAAGAAGACAAAAAACAAAGCGAAAATGGCGTTCGTTTTGGGAAAAAAGTTAAGAGAATACAAACAGGAAAGAACCTCCACACAAAACACCACACTTCAAAAAGCTTTGGTTGGTGAGAGGAAAGGATATATCAATTAAACTGGGTGACGAAGACGGAGAGATCTTTTTTGAAGATACACACACCTGCCCGTACACGCGCACGCACTTTTCTTCTTGTTTTTCAACATTGTCACTTTTTAAAAGCGACTAATAATCGGAAATGCCACTTTTATATAAAAGATCATTCGAAATGTTGATTTTTAAGTACAATTTGTGCACAAAAAGCAGTGTGGATTTACGATAAACAGCGCTCTTTGCCGTTATTTGCGGAGTCTCGTTGTTTTCTTTTCATTCTTTGTACCGGAAATGATGACACCTTAACTTTTATCCGAGCTCTTTCTTGATATTTTCATGTCCAATACAAAGAAAAAATATTGTAAACTTATCTGTAAACCTCCCCTTCTTTAAAGCTTCCGCACTTTGCTGATCTTTGAGACTTCAGCTATTCAATAAAAACTTGCCGTCTGTCGCCTGATAAGATTCTTTTCTTTCTTGCTTCCTACCCCATTTTTTCATATTTTCTTCAGATGCCAACAGCGGCGACCAGTTCGTCCGATGTGACGAATCTGGGGCATAGTCAGACGTTCAAGAGGATCGCCACAAAAGTGAGTGTTTCTCTGCGTTTTGTATGAAAATCGTTTCAGTTTTCAGTATTTTCTGTCATGCACAGCAGCGCTGGTTGCCGAAACAGTCACCTATCCACTGGATATCACGAAGACGAGGCTGCAGATCGCAAAAAACAAATTTACGCGAGGAGGTACCATCAAAAACTTGAAATTTTCCTAAATTTTCCTTCAGGCATGATGCAAGTGACGTATGATATCATCCGGAGAGAAGGCGCAATGGCGCTCTGGACAGGGGTTGCTCCGGCCATTACAAGGCACTACATCTACACGGGAATCCGCATGGGAGCCTACGAACAGATTCGTCTGCTCACATTTGACACAGAGGTTTCATTTTTTGCTCTCAAAGTTTAAGAAACCGATCATCTTCCTTTTGCAGCACGAAAAGTCGTTCCCGCTGTGGAAATCAATGCTATGTGGCGCTTTCTCCGGGCTCATTGCCCAGTTCGCCGCGAGTCCGACCGATTTGGTCAAAGTGCAAATGCAAATGGAAGGGCTCCGACGTCTTCAGAAGCAGCCGCTGCGGTATAGCGGAGGAATCGATTGCTTCAGATCGCTCTACAGGACACAAGGATTCTTCGGCTTGTGGATCGGTTGGATGCCCAATTGCCAACGTGCCGCACTTCTGAACATGGCCGACATTGCCACATATGACAATGTAAAGCATGGGCTCATTGACAATCTCGAAATGAAGGTTGCAAAATAGGAAAATATTAAAATTCACACACTTTTTTTCAGGATAATTGGCTAACTCACGCGATCGCCAGTTCGTGTGCCGGACTCGCCGCGGCCATCGTTTCGCTACCGTCCGACGTCGTCAAAACACGCATGATGGATCAGATTCGACACGAACTCGACGCCAAAATGTAATTCTTAAGAATCAAGTATTGTGTTATAAACACGTTCACATTTACAGGATGCGCAAAAAGAATACACACGTGGTAATGTACAACGGCGTCATCGACTGCTACATCAAGATCATACGGAACGAGGGATTCTTCTCACTCTACAAGGGATTCCTGCCCTCTTACATCCGAATGGCTCCCTGGTCGCTCACCTTCTGGGTCTCCTACGAGGAAATTCGCAAATGGACCGGCGCTTCTAGCTTCTAGGCTCACTAATGTCATTTTTTGTACTTCTTGACCGACGGGTTATAGGTTGATAGATCGTTATTTGCTTGCAATGCTTTCATTCATGTCTTCTGTGCCATTTGCATCCCAACTGCTCACAATTCGGTTCATAACATTTTGCATAGACATTCAGCATCAGTTCTCATAAAAATGTTAGGAGAGGTTCTTGCTGATCTGATTAAAATATGGTTGAAACCATTTCATTACATTCTTCTAGTAGCAGAATTATAAGCGAAAACGTGAAAAGATTCAGATGAGACTGCCGGGCGGTACGATAATTTCAGCGAGAAATGCCTCTTCCTACTACGACACAGTCATCGTCGGCGGTGGAATGGTCGGAAATGCGATGGCCTGCTCGCTGGGAGCCAATAAGTCGTTCAAGTCGAAAAGCGTACTTCTGCTCGACGCCGGTCGATCCCCCTCCCTCTCCTCGTTCGAGCCGGGCTCTCCGTTCAACAACCGCGTCGTCGCCACTAGTCCCACTTCGGTTGACATCTTCAGAAGTACTCATTCAATCGATATTATCAATCTATTCACAAATATTCAGAATTGGGTGTTTGGGATCGAATAAAATCGCATCGCGCCAAAAAAGTCAATCGTCTGTTCGTGTTCGACAGTTGCTCCACATCGGAGATCGAGTTCGAGCGGGACCGTCAAGAAGAAGTGGCCTACATAATCGAAAACGATCTGATTGTAGGATCACTCTACGAAAAGCTTGCCGAATACAAAAATGTAGACGTGAAAACGGGCGCAAAAGTGGAAGAGTGCTCCGTTCCGACGGCACTCGGGAACATGGCCACCATCAAGTTGGCGAACGGAGACGTCATTGACACTTCGCTTCTGGTAAACACTCAACTGAAGACGGAAAATATTATAGAATCGAATGTTATAGATCGGTGCGGACGGAGTAAACTCAAAAGTGCGTCACGCGGCCAATGTCAACTACACCACCTTTAACTACAATCAACACGGACTCGTCGGCATTGTTGAAATTGAAGTAAGGAGGAACTGATATTGTCCGTTCTTTCATCCGGCCAGTTCTCCATAACTTTCCAAGCACTTTCTTCCAGACATCAAACGGGGAGAACAAAACCGCTTGGCAACGATTCACGAAACTCGGCCCCGTCGCCCTCCTCCCGCTCTCCGACACCGTCTCCGGATTGACGTGGTCGACGAGTCCGGAAGAGGCGCAGAGACTGAAACAACTGCCGCCGGATCAGTTCGTCGACGAGCTGAATTCGGCACTTTTCTCGCAGGAAGATCAGCTTCCGTTTGTGAATCAGGCGATGTTCACTCTCAATCGAATGAATCCTTTCCGCGCGGAGACGTTCGGACGCAAAGCGGAAGGCACCATTCCGCCGCAGGTGATCACCGTTCAGGAAGGCAGTCGTGCCTCGTTCCCGTTGGGATTCGGAAATGCGCACAGCTACATCACGACTCGTTGTGCGCTCATCGGAGATGCTGCTCACAGAATGCATCCGCTCGCAGGTCAGCATCTATATCGACTCTTTCTCCCACTGATCGCCGTATTTTCAGGTCAAGGAGTCAATCTCGGTTGGAGCGACGTTCAAATTCTGGATAAAGTGCTCGGAGACGCTGTGCGCGAAGGAGCCGACATTGGAAGTATCACATACTTGCGCGAGTTCGATTCTGCCGCACAAAAGCACAATTTGCCAGTGATGGTGTCCGTTGATCTGCTGAATCGGCTCTACCGCACGGATGCTCCGGCTATCGTCGCCGCAAGAGCATTCGGACTGAATGCGTTCAATGCATTGGGGCCCGTCAAGGTAAGCACGTCTAGACCGTTCAGTGCCAACAGCGAATTTCAGAACTTCCTGATCAACTATCTTTCGGCACACCGATAATTCTGTCAGTATTTGTGATAAAATTCCTAGATTTTACAACCCTTTTCTCTGTTTTTCAACATTATTTAAAAGCAGTTGATATTATTAAAAAACAAGACCACAATTGTCTATAAGTTTATTCAGAACAAAACGAATTCAATTAGAAGAAATGTAGTTTGCTTAATCGCAGCCGTTTATCGTCGCCTTTCCGGAGTTTTTCCGTGCCTCCGTCGATTCGCTCCATCCATCGATCCCATTCTCGTCGCCCCTCAGCCGCTGCTCCGTGTCCCACCGCCGATACAATCCTCGTCGCCCCTCAGCCGTCGCTCCGTGTCCCATCGTCGATTCGAATCCCTCCGCCGATCCCATCCTCGTCGCCCCTCTGCCGCTGCTCCGTGTCCCTCCGTCAATCCAATCGTCGTCGCCCCTCTGCCGCTGCTCCGTGTCCCTCCGTCAATCCAATCGTCGTCGCCCCTCTGCCGCTGCTCCGTGTCCCTCCGTCAATCCAATCGTCGTCGCCCCTCTGCCGCTGCTCCGTGTCCCTCCGTCAATCCAACCGTCGTCGCCCCTCTGCCGCTGCTCCGTGTCCCTCCGTCAATCCAATCGTCGTCGCCCCTCTGCCGCTGCTCCGTGTCCCTCCGTCGATCCAATCGTCGTCGCCCCTCTGCCACTGCTCCGTGTCCCATCGTCGATTCGAATCCCTCCACCGATCCTATCGTCGTCGCCCCTCTGCCGTTGCCGTCAATTCGAATCCATCCACTCCTCGTCGCCCCTCTGCCGCTGCTCCGTGTCCCTCCGTCAATCCAACCGTCGTCGCCCCTCTGCCGCTGCTCCGTGTCCCTCCGTCGATCCAATCGTCGTCGCCCCTCTGCCACTGCTCCGTGTCCCATCGTCGATTCGAATCCCTCCACCGATCCTATCGTCGTCGCCCCTCTGCCGTTGCCGTCAATTCGAATCCATCCACTCCTCGTCGCCCCTCTGCCGCTGCTCCGTGTCCCTCCATTGATTCGAATCCCTCCGCCGATCCAATAGTTGTCGCCCCTCTGCCGTTGCCGTCAATTCGAATCCATCCACTCCTCGTCGCCCCTCTGCCGCTGCTCCGTGTCCCTCCGTCGATCCAATCGTCGTCGCCCCTCAGCCGTCGCTCCGTGTCCCATCGTCAATTCGAATCCCTCCACCGATCCCATCCTCGTCGCCCCTCAGCCGTCGCTCCGTGTCCCATCGTCGATTCGAATCCCTCCACCGATCCCATCCTCGTCGCCCCTCTGCCGCTGCTCCGTGTCCCATCGTCGATTCGAATCCCTCCACCGATCCTATCGTCGTCGCCCCTCAGCCGTCGCTCCGTGTCCCATCGTCGATTCGAATCCCTCCGCCGATCCAATCGTCGTCGCCCCTCTGCCGCTGCCGTCAATTCGAATCCATCCACTCCTCGTCGCCCCTCTGCCGCTGCTCCGTGTCCCTCCGTCGATCCAATCGTCGTCGCCCCTTTGCCACTGCTCCGTGTCCCATCGTCGATTCGAATCCCTCAACCGATCCTATTGTCGTCGCCCCTCAGCCGTCGCTCCGTGTCCCATCGTCGATTCGAATCCCTCCACCGATCCCATCCTCGTCGCCCCTCAGCCGTCGCTCCGTGTCCCTCCGCCGATCCAATCGTCGTCGCCCCTCTGCCGCTGCCGTCAATTCGAATCCATCCACTCCTCGTCGCCCCTCTGCCGCTGCTCCGTGTCCCTCCGTCGATCCAATCGTCGTCGCCCCTTTGCCACTGCTCCGTGTCCCATCGTCGATTCGAATCCCTCAACCGATCCCATCCTCGTCGCCCCTCTGCCGCTGCTCCGTGTCCCTCCGTCGATCCAATCGTCGTCGCCCCTCTGCCGTCGCTCCGTGTCCCATCGTCGATTCGAATCCCTCCGCCGATCCCATCCTCGTCGCCCCTCAGCCGTCGCTCCGTGTCCCTCCGACGATCCAATCGTCGTCGCCCCTCTGCCGCTGATCCGTGTCCCATCGTCGCTTCGAATCCCTCCGCCGATCCTATCGTCGTCGCCCCTCAGCCGTCGCTCCGTGTCCCATCGTCGATTCGAATCCCTCCGCCGATCCTATCGTCGTCGCCCCTCAGCCGTCGCTCCGTGTCCCATCGTCGATTCGAATCCCTCCACCGATCCCATCCTCGTCGCCCCTCAGCCGTCGCTCCGTGTCCCTCCGACGATCCAATCGCCGTCGCCCCTCTGCCGCTGCTCCGTGTCCCATCGTCGATTCGAATCCCTCCACCGATCCTATCGTCGTCGCCCCTCAGCCGTCGCTCCGTGTCCCATCGTCGATTCGAATCCCTCCACCGATCCCATCCTCGTCGCCCCTCAGCCGTCGCTCCGTGTCCCTCCGACGATCCAATCGCCGTCGCCCCTCTGCCGCTGCTCCGTGTCCCATCGTCGATTCGAATCCCTCCACCGATCCTATCGTCGTCGCCCCTCTGCCGTTGCCGTCAATTCGAATCCATCCACTCCTCGTCGCCCCTCTGCCGCTGCTCCATGTCCCTCCGTCGATTCGAATCCCTCCGCCGATCCAATCGTCGTCGCCCCTCTGCCGCTGCTCCGTGTCCCATCGTCGATTCGAATCCATCCGCCGATCCAATCGTCGTCGCCCCTCTGCCGTCGCTCCGTGTCCCATCGTCGATTCGAATCCCTCCGCCGATCCAATCGTCGTCGCCCCTCTGCCGTTGCCGTCAATTCGAATCCATCCACTCCTCGTCGCCCCTTTGCCGCTGCTCCGTGTCCCATCGTCGATTCGAATCCATCCGCCGATCCAATCGTCGTCGCCCCTCTGCCGTCGCTCCGTGTCCCATCGTCGATTCGAATCCCTCCGCCGATCCAATCGTCGTCGCCCCTCTGCCGTTGCCGTCAATTCGAATCCATCCACTCCTCGTCGCCCCTTTGCCGCTGCTCCGTGTCCCATCGTCGATTCGAATCCCTCCGCCGATCCAATCGTCGTCGCCCCTCTGCCGTTGCCGTCGATTCGAATCCATCCACTCCTCGTCGCCCCTCTGCCGCTGCTCCGTGTCCCATCGTCGATTCGAATCCATCCGCCGATCCAATCGTCGTCGCCCCTCTGCCGTCGCTCCGTGTCCCATCGTCGATTCGAATCCCTCCGCCGATCCAATCGTCGTCGCCCCTCTGCCGTTGCCGTCAATTCGAATCCATCCACTCCTCGTCGCCCCTTTGCCGCTGCTCCGTGTCCCATCGTCGATTCGAATCCCTCCGCCGATCCAATCGTCGTCGCCCCTCTGCCGTTGCCGTCGATTCGAATCCATCCACTCCTCGTCGCCCCTCTGCCGCTGCTCCGTGTCCCATCGTCGATTCGAATCCATCCGCCGATCCAATCGTCGTCGCCCCTCTGCCGTTGCCGTCGATTCGAATCCATCCACTCCTCGTCGCCCCTCTGCCGCTGCTCCGTGTCCCATCGTCGATTCGAATCCCTCCGCCGATCCCATCCTTGTCGCCCCTCTGCCGCTGCCGGCAATTCGAATCCATCCACTCCTCGTCTCCCATTTGCCGCTACTCCGTGTCCCTCCGCCGATAGAATCCTCGTCGCCCCTCTGCCGTTGCCGGCAATTCGAATCCATCCACTCATCGTCGCCCCTCTGCCGCTGCTCCGTGTCCCTCCGTCGATCCAATCCTCGTCACCCCTCTGCCGCTGCTCCGTGTCCCATCATCGATTCGATGCCATCCCAACCTCGTCGACCGACCGTTTTTTCTGTATCCTGTTGCAACCTCAGAAATCTCCCTCCGTCACATTGAATCCTATTATCCTCCCTTCAACGCTCTTTCCACGAAGTAACTGTATTTTCGAACGCCTTTCTTTCTCTTTTCAAACTTGATCACAAACAACTGTCATCATCAAAACCCGAAACGTGTACATCTGAAACGATAAGCTTTTCTCACCGGTTTTATGCACATGTGCTGAGTGGCCAACTTATCACCAGTGATTTTCTGATAGTTTTCGGTGGATGCGCAGTATTGCTGGAAAGTTTCTCCGACGCGATTCCCACATCAATGAGGCAAGCAAATTTCAACTGCATCGAATTCCCACGATTTTGCATTCCAGTTTCCTCGCAGGGTCTCATTTATTTCTCCCACCGCTTTCGACGCATGAATGTTCTCTTCGAACTTGTTTTCTATCCCAGGCGACTCAGTAAAAAGACAGTTTCGATGAAAATCAATCAGGAATTTCCGTTGCAAGCAGGACACATCCTCGAGGCTTCATGCCGAAGGCGAACGATACGAACGACCATCCGTTGGTGTTGCAGTGCGAGAAAGCGGCGTCGAAGTGCGATCGTTAAACAGCGATGAATGAAGCGCAGAACCTTTCCCATCCTGCCAGAGTAGATGCGACGTATTTGACTGATCCTGAAGCTGAACCGAAGAGACATCAGTGACAACGATCGACAACAAGGCTCAATCAGGAATTGATCCTTCAACGATAACTGCGACACGGAGTGAATCTTCTATTTTGAAACGAGGGTTGAGTCTAGACTTAGAACACTCGATTGAAACTGAAGGCGAGCTGAACAGAGAATGATTAGGAGGAAAAATCCCCTTCGGGACCGGGAATTACCGCCCCGTGTTGAATTCTGCTCTTAATCACGAGTCGCGAACCCGGCTCTCTTTGGCAAAATGACGCAATCAGTACCATTTCTCTGAATCTTATGTTACGTCCTACCACGTAAACCTTGAACGCTGTTTGTGCTTCTCATAATTTCAACTCGAAGCTTCGGTATTCGTTTGGATTGTCTCTACGGGGTATCTATCGGATCTTTGATTCATTGTGCGGGGAAGGGACGAAGCCGTGGCCTACGATCGTCCCGGAATGGGTCGCTGTTCTCATTACATACGATCTGCAAACCGATATTTGCTCGGTTCTTATATATGAGGAGGGAACACATAGATACCAGACTTCACATTTGCGCGTTACATTTGTTGTTGACCCAGGGACTCGATCCCGACTTGCTATAATCAATATTGAGGCGATGAGTATTCAAAAAACCAGTTTTATTTTAATTCGTTCTCTCGAGACGTTGACCCGTACATATACATAAAATCCAATCCATGAGGGAAACGGCGGCGGCGACAGCGACGACGACTTCAGTTTTTCGAAGGATTGCCAGCTTCTGATGCTGAAAAATTAGACAATTTAATCGGAATTGCGCATACAAAATTTTTAACTCATGAAGAAATGAGTAGCTGTCTTTCTTACTATTTTCATTTCTTCACAAGCTAGAAGTTGCTGTTAAACAGTACTCTTGTGGGTCATATCACAGCGGCGTGCAAGAATCGATGTCCATCGAAAGAGCAGTGGGAGACCTTGAGAGAACCAAATTATAAGACTGACACACCTAGAGGCCCCAATGGAAACGAACCTGTTTGCAAACCCCGAGAGTGAGGAGTATATACTAACCTTTGTATGAGCGAGCGGCCATCTGCTTGAAGAACTCATCGAGGTCAAACGGATCCAAGAAGTTGGGCTTGACTTTCTTCGGCTTGGGCTGATCGTCGTTATCCGGCTGCGGCTGGACTGTCTGAACCAAAGGTTCGCCATTCTTACAGGGATCCACTCCAAGCGGAGCTATGCCAGAACAGGTACTAGAATCTCTCAAAGAGCTGCTGCTCCTTGACCGCTTCATTCCCCCACGCCTACGGCGTTTCCGGCTTTCCCCCATATGCTTACACAGACTAGTGATGAACGAAGTTTGAAGAACTTCGTATCGGAAGTTTCGTTCACGCTGATTGAACAGCTCTCGGCGCTTCTGCATGGCGAGGCTCAGGAGTTTTGAAGGGTGCATCTCCGACACTGGCGCCACAAAATCGTCTTCTGATGACGATGATGACGACGAAGCGGTCTCGAACGACTCGTGGAACATCTTCAAGTTTTCCGATGAGAGTTGCGAAATGAAAATACGAAATGCTGGCAAAGACGTGCGACAGCGAGCGAAGTGGTGCGAATGAACGCGTGCGTGGCGATCTCTCCCTTTTATACCGCCCGTGACTCCGACGCAAAGAACCTGCCGCGAGTGAGCGCGCACCAATGTTTTATAATACGCAAATTCGTGAAAACTGCCTCAATTCAGCTGAAAAAGACTTTTCTAGATACAGCTAAACGTGGGCAAGACAGTTATGCAAAAATTAAACAACTTGAAAAAAAACTGAGCTATTTTGTAAATCATGTGATTTTCGAAACTTCGCGAATGCCGTCGGACGCGTTGCGGTCGGCGAGAGTGCGCGCAGACAGCGTGAGCGTATCGATTGGCGAGAGAGCGTTTGGCCAACGGAGTCTTTGTTTTGCTAGTCATGTGACTGCAGCCAGGCAAAAGAAAGAAATACGTATTTATTCGTCATGGGAGACGCATGTACTAAACGCGTTTTCAGAAATCGTAAAGTTGATGCCATGAATTCACTTAAAAGATTTCTTGGAGGGTTGATAACAGGGGAATACTGAAAGAATTTATAAAATTTTTATTATGTACATTTAGACTGTTGAGATAGTGACATTTAGTAAACTACTCCCGATATTTCATTTTAGTGACTTCAGCCCTTCTGAAGAGTATTTCGCTGGTTGTGGTGTCTCCGGTCTCTTTGTCACAACTGCTACCTTGGTCGGTCTTCTTGTCGAATCTGAATTCAAAAATATGAATGTGACTCATGCGTTTTTAAGATGCGATAAAACATACACGGAAGCGATTTGATGCTTGACGGGCTGCTTCTGCACCGTTCTCGACAGTTTCTCGCCTCGATACCCGAAGCCGATCTTTTCCTTGCTGCTCTGACCGTCTTCTTCCACATACACAGCTACGGGCACGACTTTTCCCTGCTCGTTTTTGCCGAGACCACTGCCTGGTTTCCATCCCATTCTGAAACTTTCAGTTTTCAATGGAGCAGTTCTGCTGTCTCACTTTGCCAGCATCGTTCCTCCAACTCCATTGTGCAGATTCTCCGTCGCTCGTTCCCTCTCCGCATCTCCATCACTGTGTCGCCTTTTTCGGGCGGTTCCCATCGACCGAGCGCCCGATTTCTTCCTCGTGAACACGGATGTTTCCATCTTCCCATCACTGAAAGAAATAGATGAAAGGCGCCGACTCTGGGAGTTCCCAAACCGCATCAGCTCGTCGTTTCTCATCTCGACGGCCGCCTTCGCGTCCATATCACCCGCCGACTTTCCTTCGTAGTACACCGAATAGTCGACGTCCCAATCGTCTGCCCAAGCCCAATCGCAATCCGTTCCTGAAATCATTGCCCAGTTTTTCCATTTTCTCCCCTTTCTTTCCGTACCTTTTTCCCTTTCATCCCAATAGTTCTTATCTGTGAACCACACGAGTCCGGGTCCTCCTTTCTCCCACGTCACTTCCATTTCCTCTTCGTACTTCTTCGCTTTCGTTCTGTCCTGCTCCGTGACGTCTTCGTGCAGTGCCTCGTGGCGCTCCCATTCTTCGCACTGATCATTGTCGTCGTCTTTCCCTTCATCATTGTCTTTCGGATTCTGATTTCTCCGAATTCGTTCAGTAGGATCTTCTGGCTCATCGGGAACATCCTCCACTGTTTCGTATTTGCTACTCGACTGCGCCGACGCTGTTTCGTACTCAAACGGCACTTCTCCAAACTTTTTCGGTCTTTTCTGCGTCTGGATTCCGAGTTTGGTGATGACACTTGCGGGCAGACGGCACAGACGGATTTGCTCGAGGAAGTACTCGCTGGGAGTGCCGATGTTCCCATTCGGCATCACAGTCGGAGGCTTCAGTTCAATCATTTCCTTCAAATCGGCTTCGGAAACTGCACTCGAACTGCTTTCTCCGCCGAATCCTTGCACTTTCAATCGATCCACAAAACATCTTCTCGCTATTTCCACTCCTTTCTGGTTTTGCCAGTTTCTTTTGTGAAACTCTCTGATGAACTCTTCCCGGTCCGTATCAGTTTTCAGCGATACCAAGCAACAACACGTGTCACGTTTTGAAGCTTCTTCTCCAGCCTGGAAACAGGAAATTCAGTTTTCAACCTTTAGAGTTAGAAAAATCTTACTTTTTCTGCCTGGAGCTCGGGCCGATGTCTGTAGTGGAAACATTCGAATTTTCCGGCTTCTATGAATCTTCCAAAGTACTTTCTGAGGTCTTTCGAATGTAATTCGCTTGGAATGTTCCGCACAATTGCGTAGCTGCCTGGAAATTGAATTTACTTTCAACAATCGATTCAGAACGTACAATTTCTCACAGTTTCCGGTTTTTCTTCTGTTGGTTTTTGCTTTGATCGAGCGAAGAATCTATGCAGAAGGTCCCTATTCCATACTGAACTCATGAAGACAAATGTTTGGCATCGGAAAAATAAAAACGATTTCGTAAAAGAGCCAACACTTACAACACTCCGAAATAACGCTGTCTCCCGGTTTATCGTAAATCTACACAAGCTTTTTTCAGCGGGACTTCAAATGTTCGAAGTGATTATCTGGCTGTTTTGCCAGTTTTTAACGTCTACTGGCGCACAGAGCAAACTTGCTCATTACAGTACGTACAAAACACATCAGAAGCAGTGCAAAACGCAATTCAGATGCTGAATTATGCGGTCGTCAGTCGACGTACACAAGTTTCGTTCTGACCGATGGAGCAGGCAATACGGGCAATCCGACTCATTTGGCCCCATGGGCGGTACAGATCCGCATTAAAGCCGGAGGCGGAGATTTCTCAGTCGTTTGCGGAGGAACACTCGTCACGGCGAAGCACGTGCTCACGGCTGCTCACTGTTTCCAGAAGAAGTTCGGAGCCAAGAAGAAGGGTGCTAGTGACAGTTTGTCCGGAAAGTTTTGTGAAAAGTGAGATGGACCTTGACAATCTGGAAACCTTCATTCACATTCTTTCTCAATCTTTGTAGGAATCACCGGTTCAGTGACGCTGAGATTCTTGCTCGAACAATGGTCACCGTGGGTTCAATGTGCACGAAAAGAGCGGAGAAGTACGGCTGTGTGAATGAGAAGCAGAACGGGAAAACACTGAAGATCAAAAGATTCGCTATCGGCGACTTTTTCACCAACAACTGCGAAAAGGGCAACGATATAGTGATTCTGGAGCTGGAGAGCAGTGTAGACGGTGTGGAAGGAGCGAATTACGCGTGTCTTCCGTTCCTTCCGAATGTCAAATTCACTCCAGATACCACGAACGTGACCTCTTTCGGATGGGGTTCAGATCCCGGAAAGGGCTTCGACAAGTCCGTGTTCCCGATGATCCAGGTGCTGTCTCTGGTGCCCGAGAATCTGGAAAGGTGCAATGAGAACTGGGGAACCGCCGTTCCGTTCGACTCGTTCTGCACCGTGGAGGAGGAGGACAAGAACGTTTGCGCCGTCCGTTTCTTTCGATTCCTCTCACTTATTCTAGTTCTCGATTTCAGGGCGACAGCGGGGGCGGTCTGACATTCCATCAATCGAGTTCGGCGCGCGAGTTCATCATCGCCATCGTCTCGTACGGTTCGGATTGTGTGCAGCTGATCGGAGGATCCGAACCGAGATCGCAGATAAACACGGACATCCGCAAGCACGAGAAGTTCATCGTCGACTTTATAAACGCCTGAATAATGTTTTCTCGAAGAATAAACCAATTAACTCTTCACTCAATTCATAACAAAAAACAATAGTTAACGGTCATTCCGGGGAGAATTCAAGGAAGCCAGACAACTAACACTTACTGAATGCGTGACATCAACATCGTTGGAACTCTTTTGTTCTTTGTAAGTTTCCGTTCTCTCACCCAACATCTCGAGAATCCCCCTCAGATTTCCCTTTTCGGTATTCGCACAATATACAAAGCGAGGGGGTTGTATCGTGAACTGAGAGCGAACCAAGAGACGACGAGCCAACAGCGTTTCTCAAGGGAACTCGGCTTCGTGGTTCAAGTTCGTCGGAATGCCCTCCCGATACATCTCTACCCCTCATATTTCAGACATCTCTTCAAGGAATTCTCTTGGGTGCAGAGCTACTTACCTACTTCCTTTTCTCTCTTCACATGGTCAACCAGTGGGTCCGCTTCTCCCTGACTTTTCTTTTCTTCTCTCTTATCCACACTCTCGATGGGTAAGAACTCATTCACGAGAAGAATGTTTCATTTTTCCCTCACAATTCTGTGCAATCAAGAGTTCCTTTATCGATTTGGCAAAGTCGGAGCGCCAGATCAATCACAATCTAGATTCGGATACTTCTAATGATAACAGCTTCTGTCCTGCTCCGGATAGATCAATTCCAAATTCATTTCTCCGATGTCCATCCACTCTGTCGCTTTTCCGTGATGAATAAACTTTTTGGGTATTGTCAATGTTATCCGCTTCTGACAAGGCTGAAATTGTCTGATGTTCCCTTCAATAGTACGGTAGAGTGTACCCTTATTCCGTCATCACAGTCGTGGTAAATGTACATAACCGGATCGATGCTCGTCATTTCGCGCGTGGTCCCATCCACCCGGAACTCTCCGTCTTTATCCGAATACTTTTCGTCCAAAAGATCATCCGGGTCCCCGGGGTCTGAAAACTCAACTACATACTTTTTAAATGTCATCTCGCACTCGTGTCTATGTCGTACAACTTGATCTTCGCATTCCGCCACGGCTTGCCCCCGCACGTTAGCTTCCCTTTGACAGCGACGCCTTGAAGACGAATGGCGAACGAGGCGTCGAGTGTGACGAATGCCATTAGTGCATAATAAAAGTGCATGCTACCTTATCCCTCAAAACTTTTTTGTTGTTTATGCTAACAGAAAGAGATTAAGTGCGATATGCGTCACGCTTTGAAAGACTCCAACTTTTGTTTGTACTCAATCAGAAGTGCATGCATATAACTCTTTATTTGATCTCAATTTTCTTGTTTTTCCATCTACCACGGATCATTTCTCTCGTCCGGCTCTTCGTCTCTTCCTTCGAATGCGTTGCGTGCCGTCGTCGTCTTCTCGAATCCCCTTCTGATTCTGTCCACGTGCTTCTGTCTCTCCTCGTTGTGCTTCAGACGTGTTTCCAAGTTGAACGAGCCCAAGTCGAAGGTGCTGCCCGATCCGACGTAGTACTTGGGCACCTGGAACTTGAACTTCCGCTGTCCTGGCTTTACACCGTCGTCACAGTCGTGGAAGACGACAATAAACGGGGTGTAGTCCTTCTCGATGGTTTCCGCGGAGAGCTCGAAGTTGCCCTGTTTGTCGGCGTGCGTCTCAGCGACAACGGCTTCTGAAACGAGAGCCTTGGCTCTAGAACTCGAACAGAGTTTTACTCACTTTCCGCGTTCTTCGATAGTTTGACGGAGACGGTCGCCGCCGGGAACTCTGCACACTTCAGATTCCCCTTGACCCTCAGCAGATGAGCCTGAGCGTCAGGGACCAGAACGAGGAAGCAGAGGAGAAGCGATGAAATCGATAACATTTGCGATCGAATGAACGAATGACGACTCTTATCAGTTGTTTGTTGTCACACCACCAACTAATTTCAGTCTTTTATTATTATTATTATTATGATGATGATGATGTTTCAAGTTTTTCGTTCCGAGTAAACTTTAGAAATATATAGAGGAAAAACACATGCGAATAATAAGGGGATACGGGGAGTAGAAGTATCTGAAAAATATGCGTGAGGGGGAAGGAGGGCAGAATGAGGTCATAGACTAGGTTTTGAGAAATAATACACAGTTGCATAGGTGGTAGGAGATCTGGGGAAAGAAAGAAAGAAAGAAGGAGAGGAAAGATAATACTAACAAAAAGAAGACACGGAAGGGGGAGGGGGATAGGGGATATTATCAGGATGGAAGCCGGACCCGCGTGGGAAGATTTCGGTGAGAAAGGGTACACACAGGTGGGAGGAGAAGTGGAAGAGGAGCAGCCAATCGCGCATTTATCAGAGGCCTGAAAGCAAAAAAGACGGTGAGAAAAGGTCGGGGAGTAGGAGAAGAGAAACGAGAAAGAGAGAGAAAGAGAGAGAGAGCGAGCGGGCGGAAAGACACAAACATTTCAGTACAAACCGCAGCCCTGCAAGTTGGCCTGGATGATCATGTCGATGACCGAGTCGAGGATCATTTGCACTTGGTCCGTGTCCGTCGCGCACGTCTGATGCATGTAGATCGTCTTCTCCGGGTTCGCGTTCAGTCCGTCGAACTTCTCCTCGATGTAGCGCGTCGACTCGTCGTAGGTTTGCGCTCCTGGAAATGGATTTGACGATAGTAGGCTTCAAGCGGGCCAGGTTACCTTTGTAGTCTGGGAATGCAACTTTGATGGAACTCCTCTTGATCTTCTCGGCGAACAGATCTTTTTTGTTGAGGAAGAGTATCATGGAAGTGTTGATGAACCATCGCGAGTTGCAGATGGACTCGAACAACCTCATCGACTCAATCATTCGGTTCTACAATATTATTTTGTAGCATTTTACTGGTACCTCCGCTTACAGTAGTCTCATCCTCGAACAGAACTTGATCGTATTCCGAGATGGCAGCGATGAAGATGATGGCGTTGACGTCCTCGAAACAGTGGATCCACTTCTTTCGCTCTGATCGCTGACCTCCTACGTCAAACACTCTGAAATGTGCACTTTTGAGAAGTTCTATACAACGCCCGGACTAACCTGAAATCCACATTCTTCATCTGGAACTTGACCTCGACAATTCCGGTCGTCTTGATTCTCGACAGAAGGATATCCTGCTCCGTCGGTACGTAATCGGCCATTTTGATGCGATCAAGGCTTGAGAGGAAGCTGAAAACGATTGGATTGAGGAAGAGGTTAGTTAGTAGAATCCGAGGCTCTTACTGTGGCGCGCTCTCAGGCATCTGAAACTCGTTCCCCTTGGCTATCACTTGTTGAACACCCTTATCCGCCCACAAATTCTCGATACTCTGCGCCAACTCTTCCGGGAATTGCTTCGCCTCCTGTAGCATTTTGTGTGCCTCCATCACAAACTTTGCGTCGTTCTCTCGGACCGGCTTGTCGAACGTCACCCGGAGTGATTCCATGCCCTTCAGAATCGAGATCATCGCCTGAAGTGTATTGTTGAACACGACGCTCTTCTGCTGCTCGGATTCTTCGGTCGTGAAGCCGTGATCGTGGAGGATCCTCATCTGCTTCAGCACTGTGCTCTTTCCACATTCTCCGGCGCCTATAATTCTAGTAATAGCAGCTGTAAACGTAAACGGACGAAAGAAAGGCGTGCGGGGAGGCAAGATGACGTCGAGGACTCACCAAGCAGAAGCAGCTTGACGACCTTCTGTTGAGCCAGATGGCCTTGCATCATCTCTTTGTCGATAGCCTTCGACTTCATGGTCAACTCTTTGTCTTCGGTCGACTGACATAATCCCATACTGCCGAGGCGTCTGGAAAAAGGACGAAAAAGTTCAGGGGAGGAAGTAGACGGAGGCGTCTAATGAAAAAGTGAGGCGGAAGGAGAATTAGACGCATTGGATTCAGAAGGCTTTGTTGTTGACGAGCGCATTTCGGAGGGTGCCAGTTCAACAACAAAGCGAATAATGTGTGGTTGTGTGTGACGTACGTTTATTACTTTTCCTGTATTCCAAATACTCGCTGGTCGGAAGCGAGATGGACGAACTTGTTGCAGGAAAGGATCGGAGATGAGATTGCTGGAGATGTTATGAAAATGTGTGACAAAGTTGTCGAATATCGGAGGGCAGGTGCAAAAATGCGGGAGAAACTGCCGTTGCGTCACAAATACAAAGAGCTGCCAAACCCTCCTCTTTACCGGGGGATTAGGCTAGAGATACATCATACGAAAAGTGAACAGAAGAAGGATTAGAGGCAAGGAAATTGGAAATTGGAAATTGGAAGCAAGAAGCTAGAAGTTTTGTTTGTTTCATTGGCACGATCACGAGAGAAGCGGGGCGATAATAATAACACGTTGTTCGTGTATCGCCAGTGGCAACCGACCGAGCCGCCCGAGAGGAATGGAGGAGCGAGAAGGAGCCAACCGCTTTATTTTGTACCCGTTCTTTTCGTTTTTGAGTCAATGGATTCAACCGGTTCATGACAGAAGACAATGAAGTTTCTTTGACTCTTCAATGAAAGAGACCGAGAGAGAGAGAGAGAGAGAGAAATGGGGAAAGAAGTTGGAAACTGGAAAAGCGGAAAAGGGAGCCTCGACGGCTCGACAGGTGATATCATAACAGAAAAAGCGGAGCAGAGTAATCAGGTTTTGTTACCCGCGCCACTGGGCGCACAGGGGTTTCTAGAGAGTAGGGGAAGCCTTCTCTCTTCCACTCTAATTATACGGTTGTTTTGTGTTGAAGGAGCCACGTGATCTGGTGCAAGTTTTAAAGGTCTCAACGATCAAACTCTTAGTAGTCTGGTTGGAATGCGAATTAGCCGAGTTGTATTGTCGGGTCACATCTTCTCAGATCGATAAAGTTTCAGAATCTTTGGGGATTCCGACAGTGATTCGACTCTTAAGAAGTTTCCGAAAAAAAGGCCGACGAATCCTCCGAAAATGTGCGATCTTTGCAAAATGTCACGCTAATAAAACCTTGCGCGCCCACATGAAGGGCCAGCTAAAAGTGACTTTCATCAAGCACTTTTAGGGCTGGCTTGCTGCATCAACTAATGCAATTTTCGGCACTAACATTTCTGACCTTTCCAGAACATTTGTGTTCCAGATGACTAAAGTCTGAACGTTCAAATCATGACCTATTATATAAAAGTGACTCAAAAATTAGACGAGACAATCGCGGCCACAGAAGGTAGCATGATGTGATGTAAATATCTTTGGGCCTTCATTCTCAGGTAATAATTCGGCAAGTGAACCGCGAGCGGCGAGTGAACAGCTACGGTAGCATGGGGTGAGCATGTGTCACGCACGGATCCGGCATGGCATCAGCATGGATAGGGCGTGCGACAGGAAAAAGTGGGATGGGAGGGAAGCAAGGCTTTTGAGGGGCACGAGAGCAGGAACGGTAGCAGGGTTGAAGCTAGGAAGGAGCATGGGTTCAGAGCGTAGAAAGCACGGAATCGGCACCCTTACAGCAATTTGCCGCAAAAATGGCACGGATGCCGATTCTTGCGGCAACTTGCCGAAAATTACCTGAGTTTGTTTCGAATCACCCAAATCAACTGGAAATGTTCAACTACTTGTCGAATCCCAACTCTCAGAAGTGTCTATGAACGGAACAACTGTGGCCGCGGTCTGGGAATCTAGAGTGTGAAAATATGTCCCTCCCTAATTCTATGTTACCTTAGTCTATGTATGGCTGATCCCCCCGAGGATTTCCAGCTCTAGATAAAGAAGATCCAGACCACAGACCTCAAAGTATCCAAGGCGACACAATTGAAATGAGGGAAAGGAAATCGAAAAATTGTCCATTGATAAGGGAGCGAGGAGTTGGGATTTAGACCGGACAAATGGCGCTAACTACAGAGCACTCGTGTCTTATTCGATTCCTGAAAGTGGACGCACTGATTTCTCCCCTTCCTCGAATAGGCTGATAACAGAATTAATAGGCTCCCGAGCTTTATGTCAGAATAACAAAACAATATGGTCGGATTGTGGGAATGTTCCAGTGTGGAAAACTCGGGAAACAAAAGAAGAGAGAGAGAGAGAGGGAGAAGTGACGTACATGAAAAGAAGAAGAAGAAGAAGAAGAAGCAAAAAAACAGTTTCGTGTTTTGTTAGTTAGTTAGTGGGCCGCATGCTTCATGGAGCGTGGTGATTACGTGACTTGTAAGTTCAGAGCATCGAGGGGCTCAGAGATCAAGGATATCTCATGTAACCAATTGGGTTATTTCAAATGTTATCCGATCACTGAAGAAGTTGCAACGAAAGGCTCGGAGGAGGAAGGGAAAAGGAGGAGGAGGACGTATTTTCGGGGGGGACGATGCATTCGAATGGAAATAAGTTTTACCGCCTAATGAGCTGCGGTGGGGGTGAGTCAGTTGGAAAGGTGACTCAATTCAATGTATTCATTAGAGGTGTTCCGCTCCAAACACGATGATCACTTTTCTGTGAGCATTCGAGACTTCCGACTAAACAGACACTCTAGGGAGTATCTGGTGGTTTTCTGAATGGACGAAAAAGTCAGAAGAGTACGTCGAACTGGTTGTGACGTTGCTGACGTATAGAATCAGAATCAGAAGGCGTTTGGTCGACGAGCAAAACGGAGCCAAACGGGAGGCTAGAAGAAGGGGGAGAAGGAGAAGAAGCAGGTTGAGAGGATAAGGGGAAAGACGAAGAAAAGCGAGTAAATCATAACGGGGGTTGCCATGGGCAACTTATGTATTGAGGCTGTTGCCGACCGAAGACGGACGTGTGTTTGATAACAAGGTGCCGCCCCTTTCTCGCCCAAAAGATCGGGGATAATCAGAGATCGGAACGGACCCGCGGCGCACCTTTCAACGTCGTGGACGGGCGACGGCGGTGCAGATGTACATGAAAAGACGTGTTGGTGTTGGAGAAAATACGTGTAAAGTAAAACGAAGACGAAGAATTTGACTCATCTTCACATGACTTCTGAAGGCATTCATCTGGAAGACGGAGTGAAGACGACAAGTGCAGGCGATGATGTCACTCTTATTCCGACTCGAATAATGAAGAAATCAGAAAATGAAGAATGAATTTCTTTATTCTTTCTTATCCCGACCTACAATCGTTTAAGCGCTCATTGAAGCGCGGGGAAATGAGAAGAGGAGAGAAGACATTTTCAGTTTCTGACATTGAGCATCGAAGCACCAATTACCAACACCGAAATTCTGAGAAAGCAGACGCCTACATTTCATTTTGAAATATTTTACGAAGCGTGTGTGTGTGTGTGTGTGTGTGTGTGTGCCAGGTGGATGGATAAATGACAAAACAATTTAAGGCGGGCGACTAATCACATTGGCGGTGGTTGAGTTCTAAGTACATTCCCAATTCATAATTTATAGACTCTCTGTTTATTATTCCTAACCCGTGTGTTACGTAATAAAGTGATAGAGTATGAGAAAAAAAGAAGGGTTGTTAAAGATTATAAAGAAGCATGCGCTTGTGGCGTGGGAAAAACGTAGTCGAAGAAGAAGAATGCGAAAGATCGAGGAGTCAGATGAAATTTGTGTGAAGAAGGACATTTTGCTTACGTGCGACGGATCTGACTACAGATGTTCTCTGTTCTCTCGCTGCGCCACACATAATAGAAGGATATTGTCAGCGAAAAAACAAACGGCGCCGATTCTGACAAACATAACACGCTCGAGACGGAGCACGCGCGTTTTCAGCCGAATAACACCAATTATTATCAGAAACGGAAGAGGTAGTGGAGTGAGAGCGAAAAGCCGAAAAGGGAACAGTTTGGAGTGTGACGGGGAGGCATTTCAGTCCAGCCAATGATTTATGTCCCTTGGTGCTTGCACTAAACTTTCCAGGTTTCCAGCTAGTCAATAAATAACACTTTTTGAGGAGAACATTCTCAGAAAGTAATGAAAGCTGTCTAATAATTCACTCAAACTTTTGTGCAATCCGATTGGCAAAAAGAGCGTGATGTACGAATGCGCTACATCTAACTTTGGCGGGAATTTCGCATTGTAGAGCAAAACACGGGGTTCCAAATGCTCACTTTATTCAACAAACCCGGGGAAAATGAGTCGTTTACCGTGACAAGCCTTCTAGAGCTCAGAAAAGAAAGTGGGGACGGACGAACGGAGAAATAAAGAAAGCGACATATCACTCAACAGTTTTATAATTAAGAATGAATGATTATCAATTTCATCATCGTCGATTCGTTGACGCATCACGAATATTCGTCTAGCACTGGACCCTCACTCGAACCGTATAGCTGAAAGAAACGAATTTTCATTTGAATTTACTTTTTGATCACTTACACTGGTAGAGCAAAGAAGAAGAGGACAAAAATGAGCGATGTTAGGAGGGTTACGAACTCCAGGGTTGGCGGCAGTCGTCGGAATTGGCGAATTGGCGCGGTTCGTGGCAAAATGTGGTACATCGGCATTTGTCTTTCTCGGCAATATCGAGATTGGAAATCTGAACGAAAATAGTTGGGTTGTGTTGTGGACTGACTCAAGGTGCATCGTATATATATATATACTCGCGAACGCAGCGTCCAGACGATCTTCACCAACGATCTTTCACTCGACGGAATCAGAACTTGACCGAGGCGATAATGGGTTGACGAGGGGCGAAGAGGAGTTGTATTTTGAGTATTCCGACCTACCCCAAAACACATTTACAACTCTTGTGGCTACTGTAAATCGATTAACTAATTAGAAGGGTTACTGGCCGGAAAAGTGCATAAAAAAGGTTGTTTGGTTGAGCAAGAAAGACTTGAATCGAAGAAAATTTCATTATCTCTTTTTTATTTCACAGCATGTTTGCAATTCACAAGACAAAATTCAAACTAGAACTGAAGAAATTCGGAAAAGTGCTTTAAGTTGTAGTCGTGCGCCTTGAGCGTGTCCTCCAACAATCCGATCGCCTTCGCCATCACTTCTTTCCTTTGCTCTGCCTTTTCACTTTCTGGCAAATCAGTCGACTCGAAGAATGTCACGATTCCCGGCAGCACCATAATCGACATCATTGGCAGGTACAACTGATAAGAGTCGTACACCTGGAAACTGGGAGTGGAAATCAAAAATAGTTAATGAAGAGTACCTCCTGAAACGAGAAGAGCTCTTTGCCAAGAGTTAAAGTGAACGTCTCGTGGTACAACTTCAAAAGTTCGACTCCTCGTTCACGACGATCTTCGGTGCTGAGACATCCGAGCAGAAGTCGCGAGAGATCCAATCCAGCCGGCAATCTCGACAACGCCTGCCAGTCAATTATAGCTTTCAATTGGAGTTTCCCGTTTCCATCCAAAGTATGGATCATGTTCGATTGCCACAAATCGCCATGATTCAGAACTAACTTGAATCCGAGCAGCTCATGAATCTTTGTATATCTTTTGTAGGAGGAGCTGTACTGCCAAAATATCCTGATGAGTGTCTCCACTTTCTCCTGATATTCTTCACTAAACGCCTTCCGAAGAGTGGCAAAGTTGATTTCGAGACCTTTCTCGTTCATAAACTGTCCGAAGAGCAGGTCGAGGTACTCGGGTCCCCCCGCGTAGTTCTTCTCTTCCTCCGTAACAGTCTCTCCGAGCGCTGAAAACGTGGCGATTCCGCGGACGAGCGAGACGAGATCATCCGCCGGAATCGACTCGAACATCTTGATTGGGTGCACGTCCGGCACGTAATCCGCTATTATGTAGCCTTTCAGATCTTGATCATCATCGAACGGTTTCAAGGTGTACACCTAAATATTACAGACGACTAGTATCACGAGAAAGTGATTAGTGTACCTTTGTGTACGGGATGTCAGGGTGGTTGAACTTTGTGAGGAGTTTATACGCTCCCACTTCTCGATTGTGACATTCCCTGGTTAACTTCGATAGGCTCTTCAGCTTTTCCTCTCCAAATCCATCCTCGCCGTCGAATTTCATGATTTTAGACATGGCTATGATAGGTATTTGTGATGAAATCTGGAATTTCAATGGGCTATTTCAGGGTATTTCAACGATTTCGCTCACCTTCACAATGAATCTTTGTGGCAATTCAACTCCTTCCTCCACATTGATCCAATCAGCGTCCACCAATGCAATTCTGGACATGAATCCCTTAAAATTAGTACTTTAATTCAACAACTTAATAGTTTTACTCACTTTCATGTCACTGATATTGGTCGCTTTCTTGTTCTCTCCGAACTTTGCCCTCGTGCCCAGTGTCTTCTGAATATCCGCTTCCACATCGTCCCAGGTGACGTGAGTCTCCAGAATACCGTCGGCAAGTTCGTACAAAGACATGTTCAATTGGCAGGTTTCACTGATAACTCGGAAACACGTGCCTACTTATACTTGCTCGCATCACAAACTCCGTGTCTGATAGTGTGCTTTGTGAACTCGCCGTTTTATTACTTCTTATCGTTTTTCGGACACACTTTGAAAATAGCATTTTCCAGGAATCTCTTGTTCAAAAAATGAAAGTGGAAAGTGTGTTTTCAGCTTTCTCTTTATCACAATCTCTTGGACATTGGTCTGGAAATCAGTTCCAAACACACTTCTCAGACTAGTTTACAGCTTATTCTCAAGAAGTCCAAGCAGGAACCCTTGTATTTCTGAAGGACCCTTGTTCTTTCTGAAGGTCTGAGAGGGACCCTTGTTTTACACTGGTAAAATAGTACATCTGCCTGGTTTTAAATTTTTGCGGTTCCGAACATGTTTCCACGTTAACATTGCTTTGTGTTACAGTTTTTTTTATTTGTATGTACAGAAAATATGTAGGAGAGAATTTACAAGTTCGATCGAACCCCGCTGATTTCTTTGGCACGGAGCGACCAGAAATCGTGGTACGAAAATTGAACATCTGAATTTCCGCTCTTTTTGATGAACTTGCGTACGACTTTGTCGAAATCCTCGACAAGAAACTTCATTGCCGGGTCGGATTCCGAGATGTACCGACAGCAATCATCGTTTGCAAAGTGCGCGGTGATCGCTTTTCGATAACCTAAATAGAATGAGTTTATGACGAGTTAGACCCAAACTACCAGTAGTCCGATTGGCTCCAGATCCATGAATGAGCAGCGGATGGAAAAAGACAGTGTCTCCAGTGTCCATTTCCAGATGGACCATCTTCAAATCAGGCGAGTAGTCCTTGATTCCATGATACAACAGATTTCCCTCCCATTCCGGATACCCGTGCTCCAGAAGTGGACCCTGATGACTGCCGGGCACAACCACCAGACATCCGTTGGCGCGTGTGATCTTCTCCATTGCAGTCCAGGCGCAACAGATGTAATCGGCAGGCCGGAACGGGAAATAGTAGAGGTCCTGATGAAGAGGATGGCGGGAGCTGAGCTTGCCAAAGTCCGGCGGTTTGTTAATGATCATCGTGTTCATGGCGAGAATGCACGAGTCGCGATGGCCGATCAGATCTTTCACCCCGTTCACAATCTGTCGAGTGTGCCTTCAAAATCAAACAAGAAGTGAAGAGACTGACCTTTGATTGTTGGCAGTAGCCCCAGAGTACCTCGTCCTCAATGAAGTTGCTGATCTTGTTCAGGTTGCGTTCGGTGATCGTTTTCTCGCCATTCTTCACCACGACGACGTCTCTCATCAACGCCATCTGCGGCGTTTTCGGACATTTCCCACTGCAAATATCCTGAAAGTTCCCGAATGTCTAGAAAGCTACAAGAAGATGCTGTTACCTGGAATCGTTGAGTGTAGACCTGAACACTTTCATTGTCGATCAGCTTCGGAACGACGACGTATCCATTCTTCAAGTAGAACTGCTTCTGTTCTCGGTTCAAGATGACGCCATCTTTGGCCCAATCCAACAAACTGTTCTCTGATAGCATATTGATTACGAGATAACCAAACCTCTCTTTTGCTTCGCCCTTCTGTTATATAAAAAGTGACGACGATGTGGTCTTATCTCTCAGTAAACACCACACCCTCACCCCACATGTTGTTGCACTTCATTCCGGCATGTTCCATAGTTTCATGGATCATTCACATCTTGCACATTTTTTCTCGCCAACCTACATATGTTCGAGTCGTTTCCACCCGAAATTAAACAGTGTGCAAACGTGGCCTCCACTTGTTGCTCATCCATCTTCTCGCTCGGCCTCTCCTCGGCTCCCCACTCGCTTCTCCACTTGTGTTGTCTCGCAGCTCCGCGCCGACGGAAGACATTTCGCGGCTCATCGCAGGTGTACGACAATTCGGATAGAATATGGTGGTCAGTTTGATTCTAGCTCCTTTTCGTAAAAGCTTATTCTGGTTTTTTGCCTTTCAGAGAGTAAAGTTTGCCAAGGAGCAGTACGATGCTCTTAAAAAGTTTGAAGTTCAACATCATGGAGACTTTTGGAAGTTGATCATGGATAAAGTGAGTTTTCAAAAGTTCTTTATTATTCAAAAACGTTCAATAAACTTCAGATTGGAAAGTCTGACGGTCTCTCCATCCTGGATGTTTCCGAAGAAGCGTGTCTGTTCGCTCTCACATTGGCTGAAAACCATCCGTCCAACAAGTGGGGCCGTATCCCTTTTGCCTGATTATTTGATCTCTCGCCCAGGTTGACGATCATGTCAGCCGGAGACAAGCCGACGTGTGATCTTCCGTCCAACGTCGAGTACCACAAGGGCTCCATCACCCGGAGCGCCGACTCCATCTCTCAGGTGTGTTCGCCGAAAACCAAAATACCCATAAAATCACAATAATGTGATGTGAACTGACGGAAAATTGATAAAAGCGTGCGTGCGTGAGATTCTGCCATCTGTTATGTAACAAATGCCCGCCTCAAAACAACAGGAGGCTCGACAACACTCTTTCTCTCTGCGAAGCGACTGAACCCCCCGGAGCCAGCGGAGGTTTTTGAAGTTTTCCGCAGTGAATGGCGCATCGGATTACACGGTCTGGAGTGGGCGGCGGCGAAGAGACCCATGAAACGGATGAGATGAGAACGACTGGTGGGGAAGGTTGGGGATCAGAGAGCGTCAGGAAGTGTTGCCGATTGTGTTTTCCACCTCGAGTCCGATTGAAATGATCAAAGACTATTGTAGTCTGATCGGAGCTCTACCCTTCACAAAAACTATCCCACGCCTCCAGAAGGTGCTGAACTTTCTATATCTTGTAGCTGAACTTGTTTTCCTTTTCAGCGTGGTCCCTTTGATCTCATCATCTTCAATGAGATCTCTCATGATGTTGCGGACATTGATGGGCTCTTCAAAAAGCTTCGAACGCTTCTCAAAGGTTTGCTCGGAACATCGTCGTCCGCTCCTTCCCATCTCTTACTTTTTCAGACGCCGGCCAGATTGTCTTGTTCTCACGGCCCAAGAACCCTCCGTTGCCAGTCCCTGACGTTTGTCTGATGCTGTGGCGAAAGCTGGCGGCCACGAAAGAGGAGTTGCTCGCGTCGGCGAATGCGGTGAGTGACCGGTGGCACCTGACTTATACGTAGACGTTGGGTCCCACGGGGGGAGAAACCAGTCATCAGACTTCTTGATGATCATCCGATGAGCAATTCCAGGCGCAACTGAACTCGACGTGCTTCTCGGCGGCCGTTCCGATCTCCGTCGACAAGGTTCAGTGGGAGAACATACTCTACTCGGGATGCTTCCCGGCCGTCAAAAACACTCCCAAATGCGATGAACGTACGATTCGCGACTTTTGCGTCGCCAAGTCCGGAAAGTTCGAGTTCGAGGAAAAACTTCTGATCGTCATGCTCCGCAAATAATTGTGATTCGTTAAGCCTTCCCCCGCCTTCTAAAAAAAAGGGGTACCTTGTTTTTACTTTTTTATTTCAATAAAACCACGTACAGCCAAGTTTTGCAGAGACATATCTGTGAGAAAATGAGCAAAGAACACGTTTGTATATAAGGAAGAAGGAGGACTTGTGCTTTGATTTGATTCCATCATGTACGACAATGTAGATCCGGCTGTTCTTCCGCTCGGAATCTTCTTCTTCTTCTGTTCCCTGGTCGGAGTCGTCGGCAATTCCATCATGATCATTTGCTCAATTGTGACCAAGTACAGAAGGATTACTGTCGAGAACGTTACAATATTCATTCCAGAAGACTTCGTTCCCCGTGTCACTTTCTAATTTCTGCCACGTGTCTCATCGACGCACTCCACATCAGCGGACAGTTCCCGTTCTGTTTCCAACTCTTCACAGGATGTACCTGCTCTTCCGCTTATACACTTTTGTCTTTATTTTCAGTGACCGCTTCCCAATCCCAATGTTTCTTCATTCTCTCGATCCCGGTGATCGGACTCACTGCCGGCGGTCCTCTGATCCTCGCGATGGGCATCGATCGGTTCGTCGCCGTCAAGTTTCCCACTTCTTACCGTTACTACCAGCAAGCGCCAGTTAGGTACATCGTTATCCAGTTGATCTTTCCCATTCTGTATACGATTGCCTTCTTGATTTATGGGTACACCGAAAGAGACACAGACGAGTCTAAGTGAGTTGCTAAGTGAACCTGTTCATCTTGAAGTTCCGTTCAGCCAAATCACGTGTGCGAATCCGTTGGCTCTGAATGGACGGGCTTTCCAGGTGTACAACTACACAAGTGGCCTACTTTATGTTGTGATCTTTTTTCTCTACTTCAAAGTTTACTTTTCACTCAAATCCAACAAAACTAGTAAGCTTTCTCGGCGTTTTCCGAGTTCATAACGTCAAAAATTTCGAGGCTCTCGCTTCAAAAAAGTGTTCCGTTCGATCGGAGTGACCGTATGCTTCGTGCTGTTCGGATGGATGACAACTACAATCGCAAATGCGTCCTCCTACGCCGTCACCGACGATCTGAACGTTGCCCATCTCATTCAGATGTACGCTGGAATCGCGGTCAACTTTGCCGCCGCCTCAAATGTGTTCGTGTTCTACTCGATAAAGTACGACTCGACCCGAAGCAGCTCAATAGTTAGTCGATAATTTTCAGTTCCGAGTACCGTGAATCCATTAATGCAATGCTTGGAATCGGCAAAAAGAGCGGTGTTTCTCACACGGAAACATCAACGACCCAAGAAGCGGCGGCACCTCATTCGTCCGGCCGATCAAAGTCCATTTCTGTGCTGTCATTGCCAAAGTTCTTGTCTTCTTCGAAAATATCTCAAAGAAGGATGACTCTTGTTTAACTTCTGAATGCACTCTCCCATACATTCTCATCCGTTTCCTCGTTACTCAGCTCCGCCCTCCCTCCCTCCCTTCCTTCCTTTCTCTGGCCCATGTTTCCCTCTTCCGCATCTCCTGTGGGAATCGGTCTGATGCGGATATTTGCACCTTCTCTTCATCCATTCCGCCCAGTTCTTATTATTGCCAGAAATGTTTGACTACATCAATCCGACCATCCTTCCTCTCGGCTTCTTCTTCTTTTTCTGCTCGCTGATCGGAGTGATCGGAAATGCGATTATGGTCATCTGCACGATTCGAACCAAGTGAGTTTGGAGCTTTAATTGAAAACCGTGCTTGCTCCAGGAGGTTCCGTTCGCCGTGTCATCTTCTGATTTGTGCCACCTGCATTGCCGATCTTCTGCATCTTTGCGGCCAGTTTCCATTCTGTGTTCATCTGTTTGCCAATCGTGAGCCATCTCAAGCACACCGGGCCCCTAATCTTGTGTTCCTAGTGACTTCATCCCAAGCCCAGTGCTTCTACATCCTCACGATTCCAATCGTCGGCTTCACGACGGGCGGTCCGCTCATCCTGAGCATGGGAATAGACCGTTTGATTGCGGTGAAGTTTCCCACAAAGTACCGCTATTATCAGGAAGAGCCGGTCACTTATGTGGTCGGGCAATTGGCGTTTCCTACCGTTTACTGCATTGTATTCTTGATCTATGGCTTTTTGGAGAGAAACACGGACGTCAAGAAGTGAGCACTTGCACCACCAGATTCTTTCTCATTCGTCCCTTTCAGTCAGATAACCTGTTCCAACCCACTTTCTCTGAACGGCACCTCCTTCCAAATGTACACCTACACAAGCGGGCTCATCTACATCGCCGTCTTCTTCATCTATCTCTCTGTCTATGTCATGCTGAAGTCGAACAAAGCCAGTGCTCGCTTCAAAAATGTCTTCCGTTCGATTCTGGTGACAGTCGGATTTGTTCTTCTCGGCTGGGTCACCACCACCACTGCCAACACCCTTTCGTACTCTGTTTCGAGTGATGTGATGGTCATCCAGCTGATTCAAATGTACGCGGGAATCACTGTGAACTTCGCGGCCGCTTCCAACGTCTTCGTTTTCTACTCCATCAAGTTAGTTTGCCACTTTAACTTTAACTATTCCAACATGTGTGTTTACTTTTCAGTTCCGAGTATCGCGCGGTCATCCAGTCGATGTTCGGTTGTCGTGCAAAAGGCGGAACCCCGGTGTTCGAGCCGTCGAGCACTCAGACGGTCACGAAGGTCGGTCCCGCTCGATCGGTCTCCCAACCTTCCGTTGCACTCCAAGCAAAAGCGCCCGCTGCTCGACGGATGACTGTTTTATAGCTACCCGGTGTAGGCTCATAGTTTGTGAAACGGGTTCAATAAATATTTGACTTTGCGATCTTGACATGACTTTTGATAATCACATTTCACGAAAAAGTTAATTCAATATCAGTTGGCCAGTGGTCAGTGGTTTTTCCCTTCCGATATTAATGATTTGGGCAGGAAGTGTCAACTTTGTGTCAAAAGAGATCCGAATCTCGGAAGGACCAGTGCATTGGTTTTTGAACTCGTACATGTATAGCCATATTTTGGAGGCGGGAGTACATGAGAAGGCGCCGTGGGAAACAGGTAGTTCGGCAACATTGGTACCAGTCTATTCATCTTTTGAAAATGTTTGACTACATTCCGAAAGCGATTCTCCCGCTGGGATTCTTCATGTTCTTCTGTGCTCTCATCGGGGTCATCGGCAACTTTGTGATGCTTCTCTGCTCATTTCGGACAAAGTTGGACTCTTTTTTAGGCTGCTTTCAGACAAGTCAAGTTAATTTCAGAAGGTTCCGTTCCCCATGTCATATTCTAATCACTGCCACGTGTCTAGCCGACGCGATTCATATTAGTGGACAGTTTCCGTTTTGTGTTCATCTATTCGGCAATTGTAAGTTAAAACCAAAGAACTAGTATCGTTCCAAGTATTCCAATTGTCAGTAACTTCATCCCAAGCCCAATGCTATTGGATGCTCACCGCCCCGATCGTCGGTCTCACTTCTGGAGGTCCATTGATCTTGGCCATGGGCATAGACCGCCTGATTGCCGTCAGATATCCCACCAGATATCGATACTTCCAAGAAGAACCCAAATTTTATATTTGTGCTCAGTTGCTCTTTCCCATTGGATACGCGGTTTTCTTCCTTGTTTACGGATTCCTAGTAAGGAATACAGATGTCAAAAAGTCCGAAAATCATCATCACGAATTTCTCCCTAATCCATTTCATTTTCCAGTCAAATAACATGTGCGAATCCGTTGGCTCTAAACGGAACGGCTTTCCAAATGTTCACTTACTCCAGTGGTCTCATTTGCATCTTTGTCTTTTTCGTTTATCTGACTGTGTACATTCTGTTGAAGAGCAACAAAGCAAGTGAGTGCCCTCCCAACTGCTCTTTCTCTTCTAATGAAGCGTCTTCCCAGGTGCTCGCTTCAAAAGTGTCTTCCGTTCTCTGGCGGTCACCGTCGGTCTGGTCATGTTCGGATGGGTGTCCACCACCACCGCCAACACCCTGTCCTACTCGATCACTGACAGCACGTACACGGCTCAGCTGATTCAGATGTACGCTGGAATCACCGTCAACACGGCCGCCGCTTCCAATGTCTTTGTTTTCTATGCAATCAAGTGAGATTCGTAATTGCTCTGACAAACCTTGTACTAAGTGGCTTCAGTTCCGACTACCGGGAGGTGATCAAAGCATTGTTCGGGTGCAAGAGCAAGACAAACTCTCCGCTATTCGAAGCCTCCAGCACTATGGTCACAGAGAAACGACGAATGACTCTGGTGTAAGAACAAGTGCTATTTCACTTTCAGGACTACTCGAGCCCATGAAAGTTTATGAACTTCAATGCAAACTTTTAAAATGCTGAAAGACGACAAGTGTCTTCACATTTGAAGCATCTAAATACAGAAAAGATGTGTCCTCAAATGTTTCTTTTTCAGAAGCACGAAATCTTCCGTTATTCCAGTCGACAACTGACCTCATTACGCTGTATATAAAACAATAAACTTTTGCACAATAAGAACGCGAACATTCTGAGAACTGCTGATTCAGATGAAAACACACGGTTCCCACGGCAGTCACATGTACATAAATTCGATGCCTGAGACATCGACTCTCCTCCCAACTTGCTGCTCCTGCTGCTGCTTTTTCTCTAGTCTAATCTGGGAAATTGGCCGCATTGCTAACATTAGATTTTGATCAGATCTTTCACTGAAACGAATCTAATTGCTGTTTTCGAAACGGAGTAGGAGTACATCACCAGAATCACTTGATCCATCCTTGCAAGATGTTTGAACACATTCACCCGCTGATTCTTCCTCTCGGCTTCTTCTTCTGCGTCAATTCAACCATCGGAGTCATTGGCAACATCATCATGCTTCTGTGTTTCTTCCGAACAAAGTCAGTGATGTACCTAAGGTACCCGAATAGTTGCAGTTTCAGACGTCTCCGTTCTCCGTGTCACATTCTCATCAGTCTCACTTGCATTTCTGACCTCTTCCATTTGACCGCGCAATTTGTATACTGTGTTCATCTCTTCGGCAATTGTAAGTCACTTTCACTTTGAACAACTCCTCCAGTTCCTTTTTCAGTGACTTGTTCTCAATCCCAGTGTTTCTACATGCTCATTATGCCTCTTTCCGGCGTCGGTGCTTCTGGCCCTTTGATTCTTGCGATGGGGGTGGACAGACTGATTGCTGTCAAGTTTCCAACGAAGTAACCGATCACATCACTATAAGACCCATACATATTCGAGTTTCTTTCAGATATCGTTTGCTGCAACAGGAGCCCAAGTTCTATGTGCTCGCGCATTTGATCAGTCCAATAGTTTACACTCTAGTTCTTCTGTATTTTGGCTACAGTACTCGGATTGTGGATGAGAAAATGTGGGAGCTCTTGACTACCAAAGCCTTTTGCATTTTTAATTTGCAGACAAGTCGCCTGCGCGGTTCCAGTTGCTCTGAACGGAACGGCTTTCCAGTTCTTCACCTATTCCAATGCTCTCATCTACTTTATCGTCGTCATTGTCTACGGAACAGTCTACATTCTTCTCAAATCCAACAAAGCCAGTATGTATAGTTTCACTATTTTCTCAATCTTCAAGTATACATTTCCAGGCGCTCGCTTCAAAAGCGTCTTCAAATCGATCGCGGTGACGGTGGGCTTCGTGCTCTTCGGCTGGGTAACTACCACTCTCACCAACACACTTTCCTATGAAGTCACTTCGGACACATTCACCGCCCAGATCATGCAAATGTACGCAGGAATCACTGTCAACTTTGCAGCGGCCGCCAATGTTTTCATTTTCTATGCCATCAAGTGGGTCGAAGTCGGAATAGCTGGAAAGTTTAGTTGGCATTTCAGTTCCGAGTACCGGGAGGTCATCAAATCATTGTTCGGATGTGATAGCAAGATGAACACGGCAATGTTCGAAGCGTCGAGCAATATGGTCTCAGTCTCCGCGACTTCTCAGATCCAGAAACGAAATCTCACTATGACTTGATTTCATTTCAATCATTTCAGCTCAAAAACATACTCTTGATATTGTATTCTTCATTGTGAACACGAAGTGTCAACGGAGTCTGTGTCCCTCTATGCTTTCTGTTTTTTTTTGAAACTACGCCCGGAAGTGGCTTGTCGCTTCTTATTTTTCGGAAGGAAGCCACTTTAAGGATTAGGTCTCGTGCGCGAATTGTTCTATTTCAAAGGAAAGGTCACTCTTTCCCACCACTATCCAATGTCTTTCGTTCGGGGAGAATTTGAAGTCGAAATGGAAAATGAACTTGCACTTGCACTTGCACTTTAAATTTATCATATTTATCTGAAAATGTACGCACGTAGTCTGATGAATGTCCTGGGACCTGTTATTCCAATTATTTGTATATAAAAGGACTGCGTGTCGACTCATTTCAAAGTCACACTTGTTTTGCCTTCCTTATCGCGTTTCCGTCTGATCAGCAGTCTGGAAATGCCTTTGGGTGGCTGAGAAGGTGCTCGTTTGCGTATTCTCGAGAGCGCTCCCCCATTTTTTGCCGAAAACAAGAATTTAAAGTGCGAAACCGAAAACTAAACCGAAAACCTACGTTTTGTCTACTTTTTCTTCTCCTTTTCTCAAAAGAAGCGAGCGACTTACCACTCGCAAAGAATCTTCAGAACGATGTTCGCCAACGTGCATCCGTGGATGGTCCCACTCGCTTTCTTCTACCTCCTGATCATCCCGATCGGCGTCCTCAGCAACATCGTCATGATCGTGTGCTTCTTCGTCAACCCGTCAGTTTTCCATCCTTCTTCTTTCCACTCATATCCGTTTCCAGCCGTCTCCGCACCCCCTTCCACCTACTTCTCACTTTGACATGTCTCGCCGACGCCGTCCATGTCTGCGGTCAAATTGTTTTTGTGTTCCAACTTCTAAACAATAGTTCGTTCATTAGGATCTTTCTTCAATTTCCTTTTTTTTTCCAGCCTACTCCTTCCAATCCACCTGCTATTTCCTCAACCTCTTCCCGGTTCTGGGGCTGGCGATCGCAGGGCCACTTCTTTTGGAAATCGGATTGGACAGACTGTTGGCCGTTTCATGTCCTCACAAGTAAGTACACATCAAAAAGTTTCCAACTGGTAAATTGTTCACCAAGAAATTGTGTGCATTTTGTCAGTTGACAACTTTTTGATAACTCTACATTGTATTGAATGAACGGTACTCCAGATACCGTGAAATCCTGCTCCAAAAAGTGCGCTACACAGCAGCTCATCTTGTCTTCCCCGTCGTCTACGCTTCCGGCATTCTGTGGCTCGGTTTCATCGAACGAAATAATGAGTGGGTTCGCTGCTCACTTCGGAAAGTGCCCATTTCCTGGTTGCAGACAAGTAAAGTGCGCCATTCCGACCGCGCTCTCCGGAGATTCGTTCAAAGTGTTCACTCTCTCGAGTCACGTCATTTACGTGTCAATTCTGCTCGCCTACGCCCTCACTGCCATTCTCCTGAAAAGGCACGACGCAAGTCAGTTCAGAACGGGAGAAAGACCGGGAGCATAGTTTGAGAAAGTTTCAGGTTCCCGCTTCAAAGCCGTCTTCAAATCGATCGGAGTGTCTGTCGGAATGGTGCTGTTCGGATGGGCGATGACTACCGTATCCAACACGTTCGGATACTACATTACCGACGATCCGGAGATGTTCAACCTCATCCAGATGTACTCGGGCGTCACAGTCAACATTGCCATCTCGTGCAACCTCTTCGTGTTCTATGCCATAAAGTGAGACTTTTCCGTGCTCTTGTCACGCAATATCTCTTATTTGCAGTCCAGACTATCGGATGACGGTGGAGACGTTGATGGACGGATCGGTGCGGAAGATTCCGACGTGTACCGACTCCGGAAGTGAACTGCATTCTCTGCGCCAAACGACCAACTCGACCAAGCTTCGGGAAATCTGATCGGAAATCTCACACTACATTTCAACCCAAGTTCTCATATCGTTGATCTCCTCGGTAAGCCTCTGCAACTTTTGCCCGAGTTCTGCTCGAAAGTTGCTGAACTGTTGCTAAAAAGCAGCTATGCTCCCAAGTCTGCTCAAAAGTTGCAGAGGTTTAAGTAGTAATTTTTTCCACGTTTCAAATAGCGAAGCCTGTCGGGAACTGTGTTTTTCATGTTATTGCCGAAACGTCGAGACTGATTGTACACATTTTGAGCTAAAACATGTGCATTTTAAAGATTTGAACTGAAAATCCTCAAATTTCAGTCATTTTCAGAGGTAAATCATCGAAAATCCTTCCGCTTTCCCTCAAAATTGTCTCATCAAACTGCGCAAGTCATAAAAAGTGTAAAATTTGTGAGAAACAATAGAAAATCGGGGCCAAGAATTGCGTGTTACTCGTAGTATTCAATGTTTTCCGCACATCTCATTCTGGGCGTGGCTCAATCACTTGCACTTCCTCTCTTCGGACGTCGTCTCGATATTGTTGTTATTGTTGTTCTCGTTGTCCAAACGTTTCATCTTTTGAGTCAAATCTCCTGAAAACATTGACAGAGTTGGGGATATTCAAACGAAATGGGACAAAAACGAATATTCACCTCACCATTCTGCAGGGATTCGATGCGATCCGAGGGGAAGAGCTTCCAGAAGTTGTAGCCGAAAACTGTGATGAACAGGTTGAAGCCGAGGTAAACGAAGAGCAGTCCCATTGTGACGATTGGGAAGGGAATGTGCGGGGGAGAGGCGGATGATACGTGGCAGACACTCGAGACGGTTCACGCGGCCAGCATTGTGAGCAGTCTGCAATCCGTATGTGACTTGTACTTTTTTGATTCGTTATCACAAGCGTTAACTATAAGTGACGAGGAGTGAAGAGTTATGGAATGTGAGAGACGGAGAGAAGCAGAGAGAAAGTTGAGTCACACTGTAAATGCATCTGTCATGTCAGAAAAAGAGAGGGAAAAGAATAATCCTGGTGAGAGAGAAAGAATGGCAAGTGGAAAGGAAAGGAAAGGAAACGAGCGACAAACATTTACTCCGCCAAATTCAACTAATTATGTTTAAAGCGCTGGAGAGCTCGATCATATCTAAGAAAGAGCGAGAAGGAGCGAGCCGATGAATAATGGACGGAAGACGGAAAAAGTGAAAGGACCTTGGCACCTTGGAACAATTTTTTCGAGAAAAAGAGAAGAAGTAGCGAGCATGAGGGGGAGAAATTAAAAGGAAGGAAATAATATGGATGGAGCGAAGACGGGATCTCGCCTAAGTATTATAATCCTTGCTTGCTCAAAGAGGAAAAGAGAAAAGGGAAAGAAGAAGAAGAAAAAGAAGAAGAAGAAGACGGACGGGAGAGGAAGAGAGAGGCGAATCTTGATACATTCTGTTCTGTTGCTGCCGCCGACGAAATTGAAATCGACGGAAGACGGCACAAAGTTTGGAACGCCACCCCGCCACGCCCACTTTCTCTTTTCCGGACACAAAAGATTTGTGCAGCGGCTCTTTTGTTGTGCTCGACGACAACGCATTCATCTGATTGAGTCTCACGTTATTAGCCATTTCAGGAGAGGAAAAAGAAGATGCTTCGAGCAACGAACCGTTTAAAAACATTTTGTCACTTCAAAAATGGGACATTTCGAAGTAAATGCGATCTGTTGAGATCCCCCTACTTTTGCGGTGTCAGCATTTGAATTCTCGAAGAAAACTTCCGCCGCACCAAAAATCAGCATTTGAACAGAGCGCGTTTACTTTTAAATGCTCCGATAGTTCCCCCTTTTTCTAGAAATTTTCGAAATGTTTGCTTTCATTTCAAACATTTTGGCCCAAGAAGCTGGCTTTAAATCAACTATTTTTCTCGGCATTTCGTAGTTTTTCGCTCTAAATTTGAAACATTTCTGTCAAATTACGTTATTTGAAGAAAAATTGCAGTTGGAATTCTGGCGATAGACCACGAAATTTCTCAAAGAAAAACCGCATGATTTTTGTGACTTTCAATCGAAAAATACACGTTTTCCTCCTCGTCTCGTTCACCTGTCACGCTTTTCTCGTGATTCACTCGAAAAATATTGACTGCTCACTCGGTTGCGCCGGAAAAAGAAACTGTTTGCAGACGATCGGTCTCCTCGTAAAAACGTCTTGGCGCGCGCGACTGAAACACTCGCAAATTCTGACAAATTCCTCTCGCATTTTCTCAGAATAATTCAACGAGACCGGAAGGAGATGAAAAACAAGCTGCTAGTCGGCGGACTTTGGATTTCGTTTTTGCAGGTGTTGGTGCTGGTGGTCGGAAACTGATCGAATTCGCCCCGCCGACCACCGCTTCACAAATCACGGACTGATTAGGGAAAGGTGCGAAAAGAAGCCGAAGAGTCAACAGGAATGATAAACGAGAGAGGAAATGCGAATGATGGGGAGGGATAAAGTGTGTGTGTGTGTGTGTGGCAGTAGGTAAGGTTTCTTGCGCCCGCACTGGACATCGGGGCAAACACGGGCGTTTTCTGATGAGCTGGGGGCGGGAGGGGCGATGTTTGCTCTGCTGTCGGATTGTTCGCACCGGGTACCGAATGCTACTCGATAAGGTTCAAAAAGTTAGGAAAGAGCCCGAGCACTTGTGTGAGCCAAGCGGAAAGGTGCTTTTCGTCGAAACAAATGGAGGGGGAAGTGGAGTGGTCGACGGGGAACAATGCGGCGCGACAAAAGATTTATTAGAACTTTGACTTTATGCTCTTTACCAACAAAATTATTAAAGTTTGCAATAAGTATATATAAAGTGACCGGTTATTATCATGGGAAAGCGTGGGGATCAGAGACGAATCTCCTCGCCCACTCGATTTGTGCTCTTCTTTTCCTTTGGCATGCACGGCAGGTACTGTACTCCGGGGATCCGATTCAGAATGTTCATCGCCCACTTCGGATAGCTGTAGGTGCACTCGTCGATGCCCCCGGCAAAGATCTCTCCGCGTGCTCGCAGGCCTCGTTGCTCGCGTGTCGCCCCTGAAAGCGTTCGTTCCGTTTGCTCAGCTGTCTCGTTCTATATTTCTACCTCCTATGGAGTTGTCGAGAATGCAAGCGCACAGGGCTCCCACGAACATTGGCATCTGGAGGAGCACGTTCAGGATTTGATCGGCCCATCCTGCTGCTGAAAGTGACAAAAAATTAGTTGTTTGATAAAAAAAAGGTGTGAATAGTACTTGTGGAAACTGGAAATTTGGTAAAGTATTTGGGCACGATGAGTCCGAACATCATGGAGAATCCGAATATGCCCATGTTTCTGGAGAGCGACATCTCGACCGTCTGCAGATTGGAAACGGCCACTCCGACAACCATCGCCATCGAGGAGGCGAGAACTCCGCCGACTAGAGGATCCGGGATAGTGGAGAGGAGAGCTCCGATCTGAAATAAACTGGATTGAGGTGTTCAGAGTGAAACTCAAAACCTTTGTGAGAAGTCCGAGGATGATGAGGAAGACCCCGGCCATGACCATAGTCCATCGGGAAGCCACCCGAGTCACTCCGATCACTCCGATGTTTTCCGTATGAGTGGTCATTCCCACGCCAGGTCCCAGCAATCCGGAGATCAGAGATCCGAATCCCTCGGCCAGAATTCCTCTGTTGATTGCGTGACTCGGCGGCGGCCGTTCTTCGGAGACTCGTGCTGCCGCGTGGTAATCGCCGACCGACTCGAACACCGACGTCATCGCGGAAAGGAGGAAGAGCAGGAAGAGTCCGACGTTGAAGTCGGGAACTCCGAACTTGCCCGGATACGGCACTTCCAGCCACGAGGACTCTCTGATGACGGCCACCGAAATGTTCTTGTCGACACGGGCGGCACTTCCTTCCGGAGTTAGATTGAAGACGGTGAGGGCGACGCAGAAGATCCACGAAGTGCAGATGGCGATGAGGTACTGAAAAGGTCTTACTATTAGAACTGCTCAGTTGATATAAATAGCAGTTCTTACCGGGTACTGTCCGAATATATTCACTTTGTACCAGTGGAACTTTCCGTTTTTGATGCCCGGAACGGGAACTTCGACTTCGGCAAGGTAGAGAATCGTGGCGAAGAGTGTGACCGCCTGGACGACAGCCACCCAGTGCTTGCTGATGTGAGTGACCATCAGGTCGACCTGACTGAAGGCGAGCAGCAGCATTAACGGAGATACCCGAAGAAATGGCATTTTAAATAGAAATCTGGAAGCCTAGACTTACTGTGAGTGGTCCGATAAACTTGGTGAGCAGTCCGACGAGTCCGGTGGCTCCAATGAACATCGGTACAAAAGACGATGCGATCAGGCATCCCTGGATGAGAGCCAACTTTCGATAGTACTCTTCCTGGGGGACAAAGTCGTGTTCAGTAGCATTGCACGCGTTCTCAGGCAAACTCATGAAGCCTTGAACCGAAGGGACGTAGGCGAAGGCTGTTCCTTGGAGAAGAGCAAGTCTGGAACATGTTCCAACTGTTGTCGCCTAGTTTTGCTACACTCATACCTCATTCCCAAAAGAGTCTGAATGATTGTGGAGATCCCGCTACTGACAAACGTTGAGCTGATGAGAGTCTGTCGGAGAACGGCTGAAAATATTCATTTCAAGAAGGTAATTCTAAGCCCATTTCCTACCGATACTTGATCCAGGACATAGTGCGTCGGCCATGATGATCGGGACTGTGAGGAGGGCGGAGACGCAGACCATGACCTGCTGGAATCCGTAGAGGAGGGCGACTCCGAGCGGCGGAGTGTCTCGCGCCTTAAGGAACGGACGCTGCCCAGACGGCGTCTTCTTCATCCGCTTTTCCGGGTACTCCTCCATTTGGCAGTCGAATTACTGCAAAATGTGTTCTGATGAGAGGACAAGAGTGGGAATGGAGAGAGTATCAGGGTATCACAAGTTCACAGGCGGACTGGAAAGGCAGAATATGCAAATGACGGGGAACTGTATACTGTATGCAAAGTGCTGCGATTGACACCCTCTCTTTTTTTGCATTTGGGATGTTTGATTTGATTCCTATTTCTATTCATATTCCTTGGCAAAATATGGAAAAATGTGTTCGTTCTTCTCGCTGGAAGAGACAATGCCACACATTATGTTGGGAGCAAAGTAAATACGAAACATGAATTCGTCTGACCGGCCCGGACGGATTACTACTGTGTTATTGTTAAACCGATTTCATCTAGGTAATTTTTTGAATAGACAAAGAACGTTATCATTCGAAAACAGGCTGATTTGATATGAAAAAGGGATGATAAGGCCAATGTGAGGATGGGCGATCTCATTGCCGTCCTGATCAATAAAGATTTGAAGAAGAGTCGCCGCCACGACACCCATAATGCGAACGAGATTGGCAGACTGCCAGGCGTGTCAATGACAGAAAGGGCGGAAGAGAGTGGAGAACATGTTCGTATTGTGAATCTATGTTGTACCAATAGAAAAAAACAGAGACAGAAAGGTGTTGTCCAGGTGGAAATGAAAACGGGGGAGAAGAATAGAAGTGGAAGACGAATTGAAATGATCGTTTGTATTCACGTAACATGATAATGCGTGGTTGTACAGACCCCCTCACACACACACACACACGTATCATATTGTCTGCTGGTCTCTGGCGGCTGCCTACACGCACATGGCAGCGGATTCGTCGAAGATCGGCGCAAAACTTCCGCGTGAACATTTCAACAAAAATAGCACAGTTCTGTAGTTTTGCTGCGAAAGTTTGGCAATCTCGCGCTACCGCACTTTGACGAAATTTTCTTGACCGTAACCCACAGTAGTCGCAGTTTTTGAAGGCGCAGGACTGGACTCGTTCACGCGATTTTTCAGAAATCTGCAGCGCTTCAATGTTATTTTCAAAAAATCAGAGCCGCAGTTGAATTGTAGCGTGTTCATGCATTATTTTAAGTAACACATTTTTACGACAAAAATTGTCATATTTTCGCGGTGAATAAAGGTCAAACAGATTGGAACTGGAAATTTAGAAGTTGAGACGAAATACGCACGAAATTTCAGCGGAGAAGAAGGAAAAGATTCCCCAAAAAAGCAGTTGCTTCGAGATTTTAAAAAATCACGAAAAAAAGCAAATAATTCAAAATAAAGAGGAGCCGACGAAAACAAGAAATGGCTGCATTGTCGGATGAATGACCTGAATTTCAACGTGACCTACATTTTAGAGATCACGCTTTTCTTACATTGCTCTCGAACACCGTCCAGTGAAGACTAATGAAAGTTGATTTGCGTCTCCTTCTGAATTTCCGGTTCCTTGAACTTTTATGGCCCACAGTTTTATCAACAAGTTGACTGCCAGCGCGAAAAGTGTTCGCATGGCCCAGTGGATGACGTTTTGCTTTTTACGTGAAGAGCCAAAGTTCGAGTCCTGGTATCATTTTCGCTTTTTGCAGTAGAACACGCACTTGCGGAGAGAGAAAAAGCAACATCCTTTTCGAAAAATGTAGGACCAGGTGCATGCGCGACCCTAAAGTTCAAAGCCATTAGTGAACGCAGCAGCCGTCTGCTTGTTCTCCGTTTGGAAATGAGTCATGGGGGAAATTCGAAAAAAAATTTGCAAAACTCAGAGTAACAATTCCGAACGATTTATTGTGGGTGGTTCGACACGCGCGCGCAGGGGGGCATTCTTTAGAGAGGTGATTGCATGATGGGGGCGATGATGGTGGTGGTGGTGGGGGTTTTGGGGGCTCTTTTCGTGTTTCTTGATGGTGTCTGTCGTTTGTGTGTGTGTGTGTGTTCTTGTGTGTTTGTGTGTGTGGCTCAGCTCATTTAACAATTGTGATGTGATGATCGGGTCGAAAAAAACTGACAATAAAATATGGAAGGAGGGGGGAGAAAAAGGGAAAAGAAAAAAATGAGTGGGTGGGGGTGGGCGGATCGGTAAGGAAGTGCGACACCCGAAGCGACTAATACGGATCACCGGGCGGCGGATCGACTGGGAAGCGATGATGGTCCGTCTCATTTTCAGCTAGGAGGAGAGGAAAGGGAAGAAAAGGGGCGAGCGGTCAAGGGGCATTTGTACATTAGTGTCTGCTGCGCTTGTGGGCCTTCTGCACGGTGTCCAGCTTCTTGTTCGACTGTCCGACCATCGGCTCGATGAAGTTGTACGGCGCCTCGCGGGTTCCGTGCAGCATCAGCTCGAACTTCTTGAGGGTTCCGACGTGCGGTCCAGGGCCCTGAAAAGAGAGAAATGTGATGAGGAGGAAGGGGGGAAATGATGGCTCACTTGGAATCGGGCAACAAGCCTCCACTTTCCGGTCGGGTTCTCTCCCCAGGTGTGGGTCGTCATGAATGGCCAGTTGGTGAATCCGTCCTTCGCGTCGTCGTCCTTCGGTCTGCGGGAGAGAATCATAGTGCGGGTTCCCATCGGAGAGATCAGGTAGAGGGTGGTGTCTCCACGGCGCGACGAGTTGAACGAGACGACGGCCTGCACGTGCTCCAGATAGCGCACTTCGAATTGGGTTCCGACGCATCCATCAGTGTCGATGTCGAGGATCAGGTTGCCGTCGGCGGGGATCTCGCTGAAAGTATGTGATTGAGTCGGCAACGAGGAGCATGAACTCACTGTGGCTTGTCGATGAGTCCAGCGGTGCAGTGGTAACGTGGCGGGGCGGTCTTCCAAACCATGGCGAGCATGACCATCTCAGCGGCGTCGAGCACTCCGAATCCGAACAAATGGTTGTACTCCAATCCGACTCCGTTCATTTGCCACTCGAAACGCGAGCAGTTTCCATGCGAGTCTCTGTGGTTGTCCTTGATTCCGAGTGCTGGCAGCTCACGGCATCTTCCGTCGAAAAGCGAGTTGCGGCTGGAAGTGAGGACCGTCAAATGCTGCAGATCTCTCCAGGTGAGCGACGGATTCGCTTCAAGGGCAAGGGCAAAGACTCCGGCGGCTTCGGGGGCGGCGGCGGAGGTTCCCGAGTGAGAACGAGTGCATCTTCCGTACAGATCTGTGGTGGCGACTCCCGTCTCTGGATTGCGACCTCCGTTGGAGAAGGTGGAAGCGAGGGTGGAAGAGCAAGACCTGAAATTGCAGATGAGCATATATTATGAATCTGTGGGAACAGTGACTCACTCGTCGTAATGGGCGTTCTCTCCGTTGTTGATGGCCGAGTTGATGGAGATGGTCCACATGCTGGCGGCGTATCCGTCGCAGTTGCAGTCGTCGTCCTCGCCTCCGTCGCCACTGGCCCACACGAAGATGGATCCGAGTCCGTTTCGTCCCTCGTTGACTCCCTTCACAATCGCTCTCATCGTGGCGTTGCGTGGTCCGTCAACAGTCTTTCCGTCGTCGGTCGGTCCCCATGAGGCCGAGTAGATGTGGATCTTGTTCGGCTCGTGGCCCATCGAGTTGGCCTCGATCAGATCGGTCATGTACGGCTGATCGAGCATCCGAATGCCGGCCACCTTTCCGTCGTAGGCGACTCCGACTCCGCAAACTCCGTTGTCTCGCGCGGCGACGATCTCTCCGGCGCAGCGAGTTCCGTGCGAGTTGAACCAGTCATCGGTGTACCGTGGGTACGGGAACGGGTCGTTGGAGGAGAAGTCGTACGAGGCCTCGGCATTCTGAAAGGATTAAATGGAATCGGATAAGCGCTCGAGAGTTGAGAGGCTTACAAAGTTGTTCTTAATATCCGGATGCATGTAATCGACTCCGTCGTCCATAATCGCCGTCGTGATGTTCTTGCCGGTGAATCCCATGGCCCATGCCTGAAACGTCATTTCTCCATTCCCTTTTCTCTCTCTCTCTACCAATTCGTTACCCTTTCCACATTCAAATCCAATCGCGCCTTTCCGCCGGCTTGTCCAGTGTTTTTCTGAAAATGGCCAAATGTGCATGGGGCGAGGAGCGCGAGAACCGAACACACACACACACACACAAAAAGGGGTCCTTCCGGGCGACTCATCTCTTGAATTATTTACATAGAAAGGAGAGGGGAAAGGAATCCAGATGAAGCCCGGAGGGCAGGCAGAAAAGCAGAAAACGGGCGGGCGACACTCCTAATTTATGGGAAAACGATGGGAGCAAAGACACACACACACACACACACGTGAAAGCCGCCGAAATGACGGCTCTCAACATGCTTTATGGCTTTTCGTGCAAGACTTATTGGAAAGAGATTACTGTAGTTACAGAGAATGCATAACAAGACAGCTTCTAATGTACTCACCAGGTACCATTGGTATCCGTACAAAGGATCGGACGGCGAGAGGACGGACGAGAAGTCGAACTGGCTCTCGAGACGCTGCTCGAGCGGACGGTATCCTCGCTTCGTGCGTGTGTATCCTTTTAGCTGCTCGACATGCAGCACCTGAATACCGAATGAGCAAAGGTGACGTCAATAAGGGAGAGGATGTAACACAAGGGATCATGGTTCATTAGAGAGATGGGAGCAACGGCACTTTGCCCGATTGTTGAACCCACTGATCATCGCTTCCGGATAACCTTACCTCGTCATCGTTGTGAAGTTTGGCGTGGTGTCCGGCCGATCGGCGAGTGCGTGCGTGAACGAGAGCCGGCTGCACAAAGTGGAACTCGTTGTCGCTTCCGGCCACTTGCCCTCGGTTGATGAATCCGTGTCGTTTGGCTATCCTATGCGCATCGTCCAGTCCGCCGCCCTCCTTCAGGTGGACATGGAAATGGTTGGTGTAGACGTCGACCGCCTCACCGATGCCGATCAATATCGACAGGAACACACATATTAGGTCGACATGTGTGTTTTTCATACCTACAAAGTAGATCAGAGTGAGTCTGAGGTCAAAAAAGAAGATTATCACATATTGAGTTTGACAAAAAAAGAGAAGAAGAAGAAAGAAAAAGAAGATGTATTTTATTTGTTCTTGCTCAAACCCGGAACTAACTGCAAATGGCAATGACGCGTGGGTCTGAATGAGAATTAGGCGCTCGTCTTAATCGAACCATGTCCGATACGATTCCGTTTCGAACCACAAAGCATAATTACACAGCGGGGCGAAAATCGGCAAAAACACACGAAGAAGAGGAAAAAAGCTGTCAGTTTGGTTGAGCCGTCAGAGCAGCGCTGAAAAAAGGGGCGGCGCGGCGGCGGCCGTCGTCGCCGCGGGAAGAAGACGAGGAAAAAGAAGGAGATGAAGAAGAAGAAGAAGAAGACGAAGAAGAAGAAGAAGAAGAAGAAGCAGAAGCGGGGAGAGGAGAGCAAAAAGACGATGAAGAGGTGGCGGCGGTGGGGGCGAAAGCTGTGCTCATGCGCGCGCGCGTGCCCACACTGATCGATACGAGGGAGCCGTCGGGCGTCGGACGGCGGCGCAGAGCACTCCATCGCATCGATCCGTGGCGCGCGCACGGCTCCGGCTCGACGAGCAAGCACACTCGCGCGAGAGCTCATGAGATGACGTCGTCTTTTTTGCCTCCTCTTCTGAATACGTTTGTGTGTGCGCTCAGCGCGAGAAAGAGAGAGAGAGAGAGAGAGCGCGCAAAAGCACGAGAGCCTCGGAGACTCACATGCCTTCGTCGTCGTCGTTTCTGCCTCGTTTCCAGTCAGGGCACAGATAATCAAATGAAGCGAGACGTGGATCTCGCAGCGGCGATTCATCATCATCATCAGCATCATCATCAGGGGCTCGCATGTTTTTCGTTTTATCCGAAATGGATTGGGTGAGTATTCGGGTAAACCGAAAGGGGAAATGAACCGGAAGAGTGACAAGGGATGGTGGATTGTAGAAGAATACATAGAACTTCAGAGACGAAGCCAAAATCGAATTGAGAAGACACCTTTTGAAGGGTCAGAAAACAAGAGTTTTGAAAGAGTTCAGCGAGCAGAAGGGGAGAATGGAAAAAGCGAAAGTTCTTGGAAAGACTCGTGAGACGATGCATAACGGAAGGACAGACCCAACTAATGGAGCCAGCCTTTGACCTCTTCTCGCAAAGAATTCCGAGCAGTTCTTCTTCTCATTTTTCTTTTTATTCCATTGTTCGGCGCTCCAGCTCCAGCTCAGATTCGATTCGTTTAGGCTCTCTTCATGCTCACCTGACTCCTCCCACCCCGTATGATTCATACTTGATCCCACTCAAAGACTACGGTAGATGTTGGCTGCAACGAAAGAGAAGAAAACGGAGCAAGAGTGGCATAATTACATGGTGCATGTTCGTTTGTTTGCATTTTGCAAGGCAACACGGAGAATACGTGCTGTTTCGGAGCGGGACACAAAGAGAATTCTTCACAATAAAAATAAGACAGTGGAGGTGTGGCGCTATTGTGGCGGTAACTTCTTGAATCGTGAAGCCTCATTTGTGAGAGCCGCAATGTGCTAAGTGAGTCGGTTCAAAAAGTGCAAAAATGCGCCGGAGCACGCCGGAAAACAAGATGACGTGTGGGTTGGCTCTAGCTCAGGGAGTATACCCGATGATTTGTTTGAGTATTTCAGAGAACATTCCCTCCCACTTTAGTCTCCTCGCCGGTCAAACCAGACACTAGCTATGATGATGAATATGGAAAGGAAGGGGGCTCGGCTCGGCTCTAAACACAATCGTAATCCGTTTCGATCCAGGCCAGGAAAAACAGAGAACTCTCTCATTTTCCAGCTGCTAATCTCGTCAGTCACCATGGAAATTGACTCATCTATGAGCCACGTCGGTTCTCTGAATCGCGTATTCTCCGCATACACCTGCGAAGAAATTCGAACTGCCCACACTCGATGACGTCATTTAAATACAAAAAGTCGAACTTGTCATTTTTAGGGAGGATATGAATTATACACGATTTCTGAGGATGTAGATGTAGATGAAAATGAACCTGAAAAGGAAAGGGATGAGGGGAGCATCTCATCATGTGCCTCATCAAGAGTGAAGTGTCTTCTTCTCTTATTTTTTGCTCATTTCCCCTCTTTCTGCAGCCATCGGATCGCATGTTTAAGCACAAACATGGCACGGATTGAGTGAGAGAGCGGAGGAGGGAAACCACCCCCCTCTCTAGTCGCAGTTCAGTGGAGCGCTCTTGCATCACTCACGGGGACACAACCGGTTCTTGTCATCGCGGAGAAGGCGCGGAAGGAAAGCAGCAGCCAGTTCGCTCGTTTCACTCTCTCCTACCTCCCTCGCTTTCACTCTAATTATATTGAACTTTTCAGCCATCTGATTTTCCAATTTTTCACACCTCAAAAATCAAGTTATCATTATTATTTGTGTAGCCAATCGATATAAGTATAGTTATGTTTTTTTTTTGCAGAGTCAGCAAATCATCACAAGAGCGCACAATGTTCCGGAGGGTGAGTTGAGCTTCGTTGTGAAATAGTCGAATCAGAAATTGAATTCAGAACGAGGGAAACGGCGAGCATATAATGCAATTCGAGGAGGAATGGGTAAAAGCCGAGCCGATTGTGCACTCACTTCTCTATCAAAGAGTTCGTTTCTATTCATTGCCTCCTCTATTGTCCTTCTTTTTCCAGCCGGTCACCCCGGCTGCCTGGCAGGACCTCTTCTATCACGTCTACAAAATCACTTCGTGGGTGACGGACGGCCCTCAGAAGATTCGAAATATACTGACGTCGAACATCGATCGATACGTGTGGGAGGCGAACAATGTGAATGACTGTAGTAAACAGGAGGGGACAACAAAAGTGTGATTACAGAGAATCAGAAGTCTGCAAACGGACGAGAGTCTTCTCAAAGCGTACATCAAAGAGTGGAATCGATTCTACAGACAGGCCAGCATTCTGCCACTTCCGTTTAAGGTTTTTGAGGGGAGCACACCGGATTACAGTAACACGCGCGTTTCAGAAGATCGACGAATCGACGCAGCCGAAGCGGAGAAGTGTGTCCGACGTGTCGGACGATTCGATCCGTTCGGTGATGCTCGAGAAGTGGAACATGACGATATTTGTAAATATTTCCGACAATTTGCTCGGAGAAGCTCTCCGTTTGGTCAAAGAAGAGCGTGACGGGAATATCATAGATTCGGATAATGTGATTGGAATTCGTGAAAGCTTTGGTTTGTGGAAGTCTTCAATTCAATAAATCGACAAACACAAATTTCAGTAGCGCTGAACGATAAGATTGGGGAAGACCCTCTCCAAGTGTACAGACACGCATTCGAACGGAATTTTATCGAACAGACCAGCGAATACTACAACAAGATCTGTGGACAGTTGCTCAACGAGATGGGCGTGCTCGAGTACATGGTCTATGCGGATAAGAAGCTCGAAGAAGAGCAGCTCAGGGCTCAGAGGTACCTGGAATTTTCGTCGCCAACGGCCGGAAAGCATATGGAGAAGGCGGTGATCGCTCTCGTCGAGAACTTTGAGGACACTATCCTTGCCGAGTGCTCGAAACTGATTGCACAGAGAGATGTTGAGAGTGAGTGCAGACTAGTCTTAAAGTTTGATAAATGTGTTTAGGACTTCAAAGATTGTACCGGCTGATCAGACGGACTCGTTCGGGCATCGAGACAGTCCTTAAGTGCATTGATACGCACATCCGAACCGAAGGACTAAATGATATGCGCAACAACGCGGACAGTCTTGCCACGGACCCGGAGAAGTACGTCCAGCAACTGCTTCTGATGTTCGACAAGTTCTCTTCGTTGGTCCGCGAAGGATTCTGTGATGACGCACGTCTTCTGACCGCCCGAGATCAGGCGTTCAGCTCGGTTGTCAACGATTGCTCCATCTTCAAAACCGAGTTATTCAACAAGAAAGGGTGAGTTACTCAAACCCACGGGACTTTTTGCTCATACTTGTTCCTTTCAGTCGTGCCGTGTCAGTGGAGTCCAAATGCGCTGAGCTGCTCGCCAACTACTGTGATCTGCTGCTCCGGAAGACTCAACTCAGCAAGAAACTCACTTCGGATGAGATTGATGAGAAACTAGGTCAAGTTGTGAGTTCATTAGATCCACCTGTTTCTTCCATTTGTAATCCTGTTCCTTCCAGCTGCTCGTTCTGAAGTACGTGGACAACAAGGACGTCTTCATGCGATTCCACCGAGCCCATCTCTCTCGCCGTCTGATTCTCGAGATGAGCGCCGATCAGGAGAAGGAGGAGATGATGGTGACCAAGTTGAGAGAGTGTGGAATGCCTTCTGACGCCGTCAACAAGCTCTCCAGAATGCTTCAAGATATAGAGCTGAATAAGGTAGGCTGTTTAAAACAAAAGTTGTTGGTGCAAGCTTACTTCTTTCAGGACATGAACTCATCCTTCAAGAAAGCACTTACTGGAACCAACAATAACAAATCTGTGGCCGACTCGATCAATCTGAAGGTGCTGAACGGAGGAGCCTGGGGACGGGGCGGATCGGAAAAGGTTCGGTTCTCGCTGCCCCGCGAGCTGGAGGAGTTTGTGCCGGAGGTGAGGAGGAATACGTGGATGTAGTTGTGGAAAATAAAGATTCATTTACAGATGGAGGCATTCTACAAGAAGCAGCACAACGGACGAAAACTCTGCTGGATGCACCATTGGAGCAGTGGAACTGTACGTTCAACTTGATAGAGACTTGTGGAGCCGTGAAACTCTCGTTTCAGATGGTGTTTGGCACTGCGAGCGGCGGCCGTTTCGACCTGGAAATCACGACTTTCCAAATGGCAGTGCTCTTCTGTTTCAATGATCGTGCTCACGAGAAGATTTCCCTCGAGACGCTCCGACTAGCTACAGAGTTGCCCGACGCGGAACTGAACAGAACTCTTTTGGTTCTTTTGATTAATTTTTGATCTTTCAACCTGTTCCATTTCAGTCCCTAGTCGCCTACCCGAAGATGCGCTCGCAGATCCTTGTCTGCGATGTCCAGTCGCCGAACATCATGACCCGCGACTTCACCGACTCGACCAAGTTCTTCATTAATCACTCGTTCCATTTGGTCAAGAACGGAAAAGTGCAGCAACGTGGCAAAGTGAATCTGATCGGCCGACTCCAACTTTCTCTGGAGCCGAACACGGAGAAGGAGCACGAGAGCATTGTGGCGCTGCGAGAGTTCCGAGTGCAAGAGGGCATCGTGAAGATTCTGAAGACGCGGAAGACGATCGATTTGGATCAGTTGAAGAAGGAGCTCGGCGAGATTCTGAAGCCGTTGTTCACGCCGAACAAGAAGCTCATAAAGGAGCAGATCGACTGGCTTCTGGACAACAAGTAAGATAGATTCAGATGGATTTTGTAAGCTCATCAAATTCATTTTGCAGTTACATGACTCGCGGCCCGGATATGAACACATTCATGTACGCTTGAAGGCGCAGGTCACACCGATGATGAAAATGCAGTTCGCCAGAATCTCATACATATACAGTATCCTTGATCCGATGTCGTCTAGTCCCCCGTATCTGTAAAATATTGCTCTGACCCCTTATTGAATATGGGTTCCCCACGTGGATATCCTCTAGCACTTTCTGATTAACCCTAGACAACGGTGACTGTGAATTGATATCGAAATCGAAATCGAACAAATGTATTCTCGCTTGTATAAATTTGGTTGAAAAGTTACAATGTTTGAACAGACGGACGGAACACTGGAAAAGGCAAAAACAAATGGAAATGTTGAAAATATTATGAAGCAAAGGTCATCGGCGGGAAATTGATATAAAAGGAATGATACAATACCAGGAGAAAGTATCTGGAAATGAGATTCTTCTTGCTTCTCTCCTCCGTACTTCTAGAAGTATTCTATGCTCAGCCGGATTTGGTAACCGACAATAGCGAGCCCCGAAAAGCCCCGCATTCCAGAATCCAATTCATCAGCTGTGCCAGCCGTGTATTCTCGGCGCAAACGCGGTAAAGAGCACGAACAAGCTGCCGACTGTCAAGGAAGTGCGTCGATTGATTGCTCCGGGAAGGCCATTAACATTTTACGAGTTTGAACTTTATTATAGGCGGAGAAAAAGACGTGCAACACGATTCTCAACAATGATTTGGTGTGCAACGGAGCCATCGAAGTGGCCGGAATCTACCTGAACTGGACGCCCGCCGAGAAGATTTGCGAGAACTTTCTGATGTGTTCGAGCGCGACGGCGGATAAAAAGAGGATGAGGGCGCCGGCGAGAGCGGCCAAACGACCCGATGAGTTGGCGATGAGAGTTATGGCGGTGGGTGAGGAGAGTGAGGAAAACACTATGAAATATGAAGAACATGTTCAGGTGTTCGACACCGATGAGTTCCCCGCTTTCCCTGTCCGGTCTTCAAGACAATCTGGGTTCAACTACAACATCACAGAAGCTGAAGACTTGGAAAAGTGTAAGAGTTGAGCGATAGAGCGCGTATGTCTAATAGTTTAAATGTTCAGTTTTCCGAGAACAAAGCGTAGAAGTCAATGCGGTTATTCAACAGTTCATCGAGAGATTCCAAGTTGCTCTGCAAGTTTACTTGAATGGAATAACCAGCAAATAATCAGACATCGGCACTTCTTTCTTGTATATATAAAAAAGAATGAAGGTTTGAACAATTTACCGAACAAATATTCAAATTCAAAAAAAAAGTGAGTAGGGCTCACATGGGATTCCACCAACTGCAATTGAGCTCCAGTGGCGGACAGCTGCTCTTCGTGATGTTCCCGATGCTTCTGAGCGCTTTGGCATCGCCCTTCTGCATGCTCGCCACGTAGCGATTCATGACGCGTTGAGTCAGAGACTTTCCGACGGCCGGCGGCGGAGGAACGACGATCTTTGTCTTGCGGAAGAAGGCGGTGTCCGGGAGGATGTGGTACGGCGGAGGAAGTGAGATGAAGCCGGTGGACTGTTGGGCAGGGTAGATGGTGAACGGAGTGATTGTGATTGAAGAGTCGCACGAGTCGGCAGCCGATGAAGAGGATCCAGACGAGCTGCGCGCTTTGCCGACGGACAGAGAGGAGGACGATTGGGTTGAGTTGGAGAAGATGGACGTTTGTGAGACCTGGAAACACTCCACTTAAGCCTAATGTGTCCTGAAGACACTTACCGATGAGTTCTGACGGAAAAAGTTGGTGAAAATGCTGGTGAGCTGGTCGACAGTGACCATCTCTCCGACATGGCTCTCCGACGCTTCGGTGTGCGTGGGCGTCACATCGTCCATCAGCTTCTTCCATTGTTTCGGACGGCACACAGACCAGATGAATCCGTTGACGATTAGAAATCCATTAGTGAGCTCGAGCAGGCGAGCGATGCATCTTCGTGCGGAGCAGCCACATTCCGGGTCACTGTGCATAGTCACAAAGGCTTGGCAGGCGTCCAAAGTGCACATGATAACAGCACGAATTCGTCCGAACCTGGAAACAGTTGCAGTGATCGATGAAGACGTCAGAAGCTTAAACTGAGCCAGTTCCCTTCTGACGTCCCCTTCTGTGACGTGCTGTCCATCGGAAAAGTTGATAATGATCGCATTCTTCGGATGTTTGCGCTTATCTCTGTTGAGCTTTTTGCAATGGGAATGCCGAGCAGACAAATGTTCAGAAGATCGAGTCGATTTGTCTGAAAATTAACTGAAAGTCTGAAGGAACATGTTTGCAGAAGAAGAGAAACCTGAGTACGAGTAGGAGTTGGTGAGAATGTTTGTCATGGTGTGAGAAATGGGAAGAGACGGAGAAATGAAAGGAGAAACGTTCATTTCATTCGGTTTCCATTCGTGAACCCTTTTCAGCACAATTATTCGTGTTTGTTTTAGTAAGTGGAGTGACCCGTTCGGCAAAAAAAAAATCAACAAGAGAAGCATAAATTACAAGAGAAATTCGGAATAGAAGATGGCGAGCAGAGAGAAGATTGGGATTTGGAAGGAGGCTCCTGGAGCTGATCCGGAGTACGTGGCAAGGCAGGAATAGTATCGGGGATAGTCGGAGTACTCCATCGAGCACAATTGAGCACCTCTGCAAACGATTCCGAGTGCAGCCAAGCGATGTGATCTTCTCTCACCTGTACTCTCCAATCGGCAGCACCGGACTCCAGTAGACCGTGTTGAACTCAATGTACTTCATGAACAACTTGTCGTCCGTCTTCAGTTTATCCAGCACGACAGACATTGAATCCGCGTTGATATCTCTGAAAGTTCGGAAGCTCTTCAATTCAAATAGAGCTGCTGTCACCGTACCCAGTGATTCCATAGGAGTCTTTGAAAGAGTACTCGAAGACGAACGGAGTAGTCGCGTTCTTGTTCAGCTCGTTCAAGTCGATGTAGTAGGTTCTGAAATTGTTCAGTTTCTTTGACTCGAGTAGTAAACAACATACTTGATATCCTCAATCTTACTGTAGGCATCCGTCTCGTAGACCCTGAACGTCGGATTGTTGGCTCCGGCGCCGGGAAGATCCGAGTACCACGGAGTGACCGCGGGGGACATCAATGCCAACTGCACGACGTTCTCCTTTGAATCCTTGATCAAATGGAACGTGTCGGTGTGGTGATGTCCGAAGATCATCCAGCCGATCGAGTTCGCGTATCTAACGGTCAGATTCAGAAATCTCTCATTGTACTCGTCACGGAACCAGGTGAAGTTGGGCGATCTCTCGAACACTGAAATGAATGTACCGATTTGAAAGATCCACTGGGGACCATCTTACCGCCCGGACCAATATGAGCTACAATATGAACAATTGAAGTGCAATTCTCCGCGATTCTATTCGGACATCTCTCCGCATTTATCAGTTCGTTCTCGAGAAACGCGAACTGATCGGCCGGATCCACTTTGTTCGTAAAGTTCACATAAGCTTTGTTCGCGCTGGAATTATTCAGAATTCAGAAACTCTGAGTAGCCAAGGCAGACAAGTACTTGTAATAGAGATTCGTGTTGAGCACAACGGCGGTGGCATTTCGCAGCCGGTACTTGTAGTATCCTCCGCGCAGAAAAGAGTCCTTGTTCTGATCGCCGAGCTTCTCCTTCCAAAGATCCCACGTCTTCAGGTAGAGACTCGATTCCGACTCGAATCCGTTGGACGGCGCGTAGTCGTGATTGCCGAAGGTGGGCAGAATCGTCTGGTTCGGGAATCTGAAACATTTCCCTCGTCTTTCGAGCACTATCAGTTTCATCAGTTTCAGTTTGTCTCTGTCCTCCTTCCGCTCTCACGAGAAACGAAGAAACGTGATAACGGGAGGGATTAGAGTGGTGGCAAATCGCTTTAAGAAACACGGAGAGGAAAATGGGTGGTGTACCTGGAGAAAAGAAGCGAAGTTGTTTGGTTGACCACGTCGAGCACGACTGAAATATAAACAGGATGTGCGAGTGACGATGGGAGAACACCAAAGTTCGGAAGTTTCAGAACTAGACCTTCCCGGAATAGGACCTACGTGGATTCATTTTCAAGTTTAGCGAACTTTCAGAAGATCTTTTCTCATGGTTTCAGAGGTTTGCATCGAAATTAGAGCATGCCTTTTCATTAAATCCTTGGCCATTTACCGAAAGATCAGCAGATTACCTCGGAAAGTGTCATCACATTAATCATGAAGAAAAGTGAAAAAGTCGAACCTTCCCATCCGTATCCTTCGATGTGTGCAACATTGTCTCCAGTCCAAATTATCAGATCCGGATTGGGGAACAGACGGGCGGACTCGTCGATCGCATGCTGAACTAGAGGCTGAAATCCTTTCGTTTCAGCAGAACAGCACGTCGGATCTCTCCAGAGTGACGTACCTTTGGTGCATCGCACATGTAGTCCCCATACTCTCCGAGTGTCTCGTTCCTCTGCTCACCGTCCTCGTGGCACATCTTCTGATTGTTTCCGTGAACGGAATAGTCAATGTCCAAATGGAAGTCGGCGAGATGAAGTACTTGGTAGCCGGATGTGAACAGTGGAATCGAGGCGAGCAGGAGCAGGTGCATCAACAAGTTTTGCCACATTCTCGTGGAGTCTGCGAGTGAATGATTCGATGATAGTGTATGTATATAACTTCAAACAAGATCGGAATATAAACAATTCGCAAAAGTGGTCGGTCAATCGTAAACAATAACAGGTGGAAGGAGGAAAACGATTAAAACATAAAAAGTGGCAGGAGAGGAGCGAGAGGACGGGCCGCGGGAGGTGATAAACCTCTTGTAAACCATGCACTTATTAACGACTCTCTTATCAATTTTGGCATCAGATCGGCCACCGAGAACAGTGTGCAAAGCGGCGAGACGCGAGAATATTGCAAATTTTCGAGAGAATGCAACACTTTTTCGAGGGTCGATGAGTCGGCGATACCACGTGGTGGACACGGAAGAACATATGACGATAGATGGAGAAATGGAGGGGACGATAAGGTGGGGGGCGGAGTCTCGCAGAGGACACCGCACACTTTGTAACGGCGTGAAACTGTAACAGAACAAACAAATGTGTGTAGTAGAGGAAATGGGGAAAAGCGTGGAGATTACAGTAGTTCCCAGTAGATTACAGTAACGTGAACTTTAACAGTGCAAAGTTCACTATAGTTGCGAAACGTCGCGGTTGCAAAATGTCCGTTTCTGGCTTGTGGAGACTGTCCATGGAGACCTCGGAACATTCTGGCAATTCCCTGTTATTCACAAGTGATTGTTTTTAGGTCATCTATCTGCACGTTTGGGAATAAGTACTGACATTATACTATCACCCATACTTGTCATTTTACGGTCCGGTCCGGTCCGGCCCGGATCCAGTCTGACGACCTTGTGATAGATGTTAATTGTTTTCATTCGATTCCGATGAAAAACCCTTGAAATATAATGAAACCGGCCCGGTCCGTGGCACGTATTGTTTGTGTTGATATAACTTTCTTAGCCCACTTCTCAATTGTGTTTCCGAATCAAAAGGTCAGCCGACCTATTGCCACTTCATTGGTAGTCTTGCGAGAGAGCAGTTCCGAAAGTTTCGATGAGCCGTTGTCTCGCCGAAATACCACGCACACATAATTTACTTACTATTAAGGTCAAGAACAAAAGATGAAGAAATGCCATCAAAGACCATGGATTTGAAGGATGATATCATCATTTTCGCAAATGTTTAGTTTCCTTGTATTTTTGTTTTTTGCTCGGATTCGCGTGTTCCGTCTCCAAGTGCTCTTGTTGCTTTTGATTCGATTTCGAACGGCTTCGGTCTCACCACTTTCCGGAATTGGCAGTTTTCAACGGAAAACAGACCCCCTCCCGAAACCCACGCATTTCCAGCCATTTTTGATCGTTCCGTCGAAAACGTTGTATCTGACACTGATTGACGCCGTCATAACGACTCGTTAATAAATTGGATCAACGTGTGTGTGTGAGCACGCACTTGATTTCTTGATTTGCACTCAATTGCAGCCGAGCCGATCGGGTGGGTTCATTTATAGACGGCAGACCAGAAATGAGGCGGTCAATTCAATTGGGAACAGTAAACCGTGGTTTGGGGCCGAAGGAATACTAATCAAGACGGGCGAATCGAATTTATGTGACTCATTGAACACGTTCCACTTTTAGATTGTTAGTGGAAACGTCAGAATATTAGCAGTTGACAAACATTCTCAAAATTCTTCTTCTTCGAAGAAGAGAAACGGAACTGACCCTGGGGTACGGTAATGCTAAATGTGCTTTACAAAATGTACTGCTAAGCCAGTGAACCTCACTCTCTATCATCGTCAATATTGTCCTTCTCGGAGATGTTCTCCGTCGTCTGCGAACGATTCTCTGTCCTTAAAGTCCGCGGATCCCAGAGGAACCGAGCCGTTCGTGGAATAGCCGATAACCGTTAGCTACTCTTTAATCATTATCTATTTCAGTATTGTTTTCGGCCGCCCACAATACACCTACCTCCGCTTCCACTTCCAACTATCACTACTACTCCTGAAAATACCACGGGACCAGTCTGTGATCCGCATCCCAATTGGGCCCCACGTCGTCAGTGACGTCTCAATTCGTATTCCGCGGTTGCAACTGTTGGCCTCCGCCTCCTCTTTCCATTTCATCGGCCAATTTAAAGAGACAGAGAGCAGACCATCCCCCGCATGTTTTTCGGCTCTCCAATTCCGCTCCCGATCGTCTCGCTGCTCTGCCTCGTTCTGCACTTGCTTTTTTTTCGATTCTCATGTTCCAATTGCTACTAAAATTCTCTTAGATACGTACTTTTCTGCTGAAAGGTCTGACTTTGGACAACGGAGAGATCTCACGAATTGGCGGCCGCCAGGTGGTGTCTGATCGAGACTCGCTGAATTTGTACACGATGTTTACTGACTTTTGCTCTCACTTTCCTCATCTTTGGGAATACGAATAGATCTCAAAAAGAAGGTACCGAACGGGCGGAGACGCATCTCGATCAACACACTTAAATGAATGTAAAGTCGGATTTCGGCCCTCTTATGGCCACACTGACTTGATGATCTTGATGATGCAAGTCGTTTACCGTAGTGTCAAACTGGTGTTTCAAATGATTTTCAAACGGCTTCATCTTCTTCTTCTTACTACTAATTTTTCAAGTCAAAAGTGACGCGATGGATTAACAAAGTCCGGGTCGTCTATCAGATCCACCCCCCGTGAGGAACTTTGATGTGAATGAATACGCGAACGCGCCACATCGGCTGTAATTACTTTTCTGGCTTTGGTCTCGGGATTTGAACACACACCCGCCCGCAAAACATCTTCTGCTCGCTGTGACGGCGGTGAGACTTTCCTCCAGACCCCAGAAACCTCGGAACCAACACTCTTAACCTCAATCGGATTAGTTGGACTGTGATTGCGTAGAAAATCGAATTCCGTCATTTATGTTGCAACTAAATATACACATTCTATCTCCAAGACGAGATTTCCGTTAAATATATTTAATCAAAGTATCTATTTTCCTCAAAAACAGTCACGGATTATGCAGCTCAGGATTTTCAGTGATTTCACTCCTCACCCACTCCCTTTTTAGACCGCAAGACATGTCCTGAATGCTTGTCAGACGGCACAGTGCAACTTTTGAAAACACGACGTGCCGTCATCACTAGACGTTGTTTTGCCGACTGAACGAGACGCGACCTTTTTTGTGCTGCTTTCCGATTTTTCGGTGCTGTTTCAAAACGCTTGATATTATTAGCTGCGTAGATTACGAGACGCTGTTTTTAATAGAAACATCAGTCAGTCAGTAGTTAGTCCATTGCGAAGAATAGTGCTCCAGAGCAACTTGGGCAAATGAAAAGCGGTCACAGTTCGCCCAAACTCATTAGTTGTTTTCTGTCCTTTTCTTTCATTTTCCACATTGTTATCATCATTGCGATTTGCATGTGCATGAATGAGTGCAATGGGCTACGGTAGGGTGCAGACCGCATTCTCGGAATTCTCGGCCAGACTGTCCAGTCTGGCGAAAGAGCGAGAACGACGAGAGTTGAAAGTAATCTGAAATTGCGTTAGCTCGGGGGGTTTCGACGTCAAAATCAGAAGGAGTCTCGATCAAACTGCACACCGCTTAGTCATTCCACAAATGATCAAGACAAGCAGGAAATGGAATTTTTTGAAATTTTGCAAGGCGAGACGTGCGAAAAATATCCGAGTCACTTTCATTTTTCTCCAAGTTTTCAGTTTTCTGGAGAAAAACAGGTTCTACTCCAGATTCATACTCAACTTTTCCAAAAAGATCAAGAGCATTTATCGTGGATCTGATGATATTTTGATTCTTCGTCCCACTCTCGTACTAACACTCTTAACCACATTTGCCTACATACCTACCCAATCAGTACGTTTTCGAACCCGATGTGTCTCGGAAAAGATCCGGTGCGAGGTTGAGTTGCTCCCGATGACGTCGCGAACGTAACCCAATTACTTGGACCTATTACGGGCTGCAAAGACTACAAATACTTTCTCAAATCGGAAACCTCAAATCAGTGCTCATTTCTCCTCCCACCTGCTCCTTTAGCGTTATCTCGTAATCTAACTACAGTTAGTCCGTTTCCGTCTCTACTTGCTGATTCTTGGTTTCATCTTTGCTCCTCCCCTTACTTGTGCTCCGCCCTCTCCGCCCTTTAAAAGCAGCGCTTTTCCTCAGCTTCATCATTCTTGTCCTTCAGCTTCGATCTCAACTCAACCCAAATCTACCAATATGTCGCCATTCCTGCAGCTCGTTGCTCTCTTTATTATCCTCAACGACTGCAGGAGTTATGGTAAGTGACCACATCTCTTCTAACCCATCAACCTCCGCTTACTTTAGTAGTCGTAGTGGAGCCGGGCGAAAGAATAGAAGAGGTCCCAGCGCTCTCGGATCCAGTACTGCTCAGGAAAAGAAAGTCGATTCTAGTGGGACTCAGCGAACAGACGGAAGAGGTGTGCAAGACCAAGATCCGACAAAACTACCGGCCGCAGTTTGGGCATAGTGAGTTTGAAAAACAACATAAACAATAAACAATGTGATGTTTAGTTGCGAATGGAAGCCGAGTTGAGATTCAGCAAGACGAGGAGAGTTTTTTGGAGGCCACATTCGTGGAGTGCCTGGGAGAGAACAGACCGCCGTGCCACGGAGTCGACCACGATCAGTACATATCAGAGTGTGTGACTGTGTACGAACACAGGCCCGCCAACGTGAGAGTCGCGAAGAGCAGTGGGCCTTATTACCCGGCCACTGTGAGAGTAAGTTTATCATCCTTTCCTGTGCTCAAACATGTTGTTCCTTTTCCAGGTTCCGATCCTCTGCGAGTGCCGCCTGCGACGGCGGTTTCGGGAATTCGAAAGGAGGAAATAACTCGCCACCCCCTATCTAGATAATGTAGCTTAACTCTCCCGAATTGCCCGTAGAGTTCTTCTGTGCCAATCTTTAATTCCCACTATCGCCTTCTCTCTGATCTCCCTCCTTTCGGTGCCATCTCTCGTTCATAACATGTTCTCATCGTATCCATTCTTCTCCTTTTCTTTTATATACGTATCTGCATTTATTTGTGGTCTCTCATGATTCATCTGATTCTTGCACAAGATTGCCAAGATAAAACTGTGTTTTCTTTTCTCAAACAGAATGAAAAATGACGAATGGGATCTATTGTTCCACTTATTAATCTGTTTCCAGACACGGAAGGAAGGAAGCGAATGAACCAAGAGATTAAGTTTTCTTGTTTTTTCCTTCAAAACATTGCTCTCCCAGTCTTCGGGAATAACTGGAACAACGTTTTTTCGGGGAAGCATTTAGAGTTCACTCAAACTGACCCCGATTTTGCTTCGCTCCTTTATTTCAACTAGTACTTACCGGTCTTTCGAGCTCCGATTCTTCTATGTTGCGATCTGTCGTTCCTGCAAGAAAGGTTTCACAGCGAGTATCTCAAGTTCTAGCCAAACTATAGTTATAACCGCTTTTCAACAACTTTATCAAGTTTTCAACATGCAAGTCTGAAAAATGTTGGAAAAGTTTAAACGATTCGGATAAAAATTCAATGCGAATTTTGGAAAATTATTCAACAGCAAAATCAAGTACGGCAACCCGTGGCGCGAAATGATGCAATCTTGTTACGACGCTCCGTCCTTATGGGGTTATTCAGGCTGTTAAAAAAAAATGACTTTTTTCCGTTTTTTTTTTTCGTTTTTTTTTACGTCAAATAATCCAATTCAGCGATGTAAAAAAACGGAAAATAAACATACTTACGCCAAACAGCCCCATTACACCGGCGCGTAATTTAGCATACGCGGGGAGGGGGAGACCGTGCCCGTTGTTGCACTGCACGTCGTAGCTGATCGTTTGAACTTTGCGGTTTTGTGAAATCGTAGACTAGTCTGCGTCGACTATTACTCATGTTGTTTTCAATGATTTACAGATTCTCTATCCAATGTTTCACAACGTTTATTGCAGATTCATACGGAAGTATGTAAAATGGTCTCCGGAGTTTTCGACTTGAATCGTTTGTTCAAAAAATTGGCTCCAGTAAAATGTTGCAGTTTTTCCTTCAATATCTCTAATAAAATTGGTTATTTCGCTGTTCTCCCCGCTTCTTCCACTCCACAGAACACCTTGACTCATCCGGAAGAGCAACCAACAAAACGGCAGTTGTCGGTGTGTTTGTTGGAAAACAAACCAATCACTGCTTCATTCTCTTCTTCTTCATTTTAGTGTGTCACTCTCGTTTGTGTAACATAACATCGGCTCAAGGACAGCCCGTCGCCACTTCTCATTCTCGAATCGTCGGCGCAGTCGTCGCCGGCTAGCGTCCTTCTAACCTGTTTCACTACTCTGCCAGTTATTACGGGTTCGAAACATCATCGCCGCTCTTCTGTTTCATTCGTTTTTCGGCCCATTGTGTTTTCGTTTTCGACACGAATCACTCGATTTCAGCCATGCGAATCTCTTTCCTTCTACTCGTTTTCCTGTCGTTCGCGCTGGCCTGCGACATCATTGTCCATCTGAAGTCGGACACCGACAAGAAGTTCAGCGGACAGCTCACCGCCAGCAACGGAAAGAAGTCGGAGAGGTACTTGACTTTCAGCGCACCTCATCTTAATCCTTACCTCTTCAGATGGAGCTATTTGAAGAAGCTGCAGAAGAACACGTTCCAGCAGAAGGCGGACGAGTGCGGACTGAAGGACTGGGAGATCAGCACCTGGGATGAGACGGGCAAGCCGGTGGCCTCGGTGAAGGTGACGCTCGACGGAATCGGAAGAGTCACCTACAAGGTCGGCGACGACCTGAAGCCCGTTCAGAAGGATCGTCAAGGAGCCGTTTGCAAGGGACAGTGCGCTCCACTGTAATTCGATAAAACTATTCATTTCGATGATGATGACTTGTGGCACGATAATTCCCAATAAATCTTCTGTAATTGCATGCAAAACGTATAAAAATATGTACAAGAGAGCATGTTAACAAAGCGACTAATTCAGGAATCGGATCGACATTTTCTCCTCGATATCCGTCTTTTCCATCGCCCTGCAGAACTCCTCAAACGAAATCTTTCCGTCCCGGTCCGCATCTGCCTCGTCGATAGTTCGGTCGGCAATCTTATCGAGTTGATCCGACGTGATATTGGCTCCGACCATACTGTTCAGTATCACTTTGAACTCTTCCCGCGTGATGTAGTTGTTCTTGTTCAGGTCGTACATTTTGAACGCAACTTAAACGAGCCCGTTTGATTGGTTGGTTTGTTTGCAGATTGACTTACACAGCAATTTTTCCTTTCGCGAGTTGAGCGCGTTCTTTTTTGCTCTGGAAATCGGCTGGAAGTGGGCGAGAATTCGCACGAATTGGCGGAAATTCAGCTGCTGTTCTTCCATGTCACCGTTGGAGGAACTGCAATTTCGAACGGTTCACCGCGACAACGAAACTAACGCTTACGCCAAAGTGAAGAAGGCGTCGACGATTCGGTCGCCGAGAGGGTTCACCGCCAGCTCGGGTACATTGAGAAAGTCGTCTCGGGAAAGGTATCCCTGTCCTGAACATTTCAATTTATATTGAAGAGTTTGAGAGGACGAACAAGTCACCTTTTTTGTCAAGTGATAAGAATCTGCTGTAAAGTCGGACGATCTGGTTTCTGTTGACTGAAAACAATGTGAATTGGTGAAAAACTGATTTGAGGGGGGAAGGCTCACATTCGGTCTCCTCCATGATCTCTTCGATCTCCTCGTCGCGCAGCATCAACGAACTGCTGTTTCCCATTTCGAAACTAAATTGAAAACGGTGGTTCAGTTCTCTTGAATTTTTACATTCGAGCACGAGGAAAAAGTCACGCCCCTATTTCAGTATACTATTTTGCATAATCGGCTGATTTTCGGAAAGAATTCGAACAATCAACAAACAGGCAAACATTCTGGAAAGAGAAAGAAGAGGTCGTTTTGCCGATTTGACAGATACTGATGAGAAGTAACCGATCGATCGGCCACAATCTATTCGAGATGCGAGGGGAGCGTGCAAAGATAAGTAAGAAACGCGAGATGAGGGACAGGAGAAATATCGATTTTCAAAGCAACTGTCTTTATCAATTGACGGACACTGCCAGAACCAAGTTATAAACAGGAAAGTGAAGAAGAAGAAAGATAAACGACTGAAAGAGCGAATGATAACAGTGTAACGGCGATAACACGTGAATCAGAACGATGGCCAATAAAAACGGGGGACGATTATTTTGATGGTGCCTGCATTCGGTTCGGGTTGTACGTATCGAAGTCGTCGTCTTCCTCCTCCTCCTCGTCTCCCATGTCATCGTCGTACGTCTCCTCCCCTCCCGATTCGTCCTCGTCATCCTCATCTTCGCTTTCACTGAAAAACCAGAATTCACTGCGTTTCTTGGCATGGCTTTGGACTGGCACATGACACCATCGGTTCGGTAGAACCGCGACAAGTTCACCGTCATAACATCTTCCCGATATGAAAGGGACAGCCAATTCTGATGTTATGAGAGTAACAGCGGGAAGTTCGAATGGGTAATGGCTGACCGATCAACAAAATGATCATTGGAACTGGACGATCCCTGTTTTAATGGATGGAATTGGGTACCTTGGAGGCAGCATGTCATCGTCGATCATCTGGTCGGAGGCATTTCCTCGCTTCGCCTCGCGAGTCATCTTCAAAGCTTGCTCCTCGAAGCAGGCAGGCCATTTTCCGAGCTCTCGGATGTACAGAACATTTTCCTGATCCAGAATGTACTCGATTTCTCCTTTCACCTGCAAAAAGAACACGTTTCCATCGCGCAAGTAGAAGATATCTGACCTTGTCGCCCTCGGCAATCGGACGCACGATGACAAACTGATCGCGACGAAGCCAGACTGCCTTTCGGAATTTGGTTGGCATCGAGACGACGTAGGCTTCGCCGTTCTGATCGAACACTTCGTGCAGGTTATTTCCGCGTGACTGACGGACCTGAGCAATGATGTCGCCTTCTGCGAGCTCGTAAAACTCGCTTCCAACCTGAAAATTAAATGTGAAATGTGGAATTTTCTGGAAAAAACGTACCTTGTTGGTGATGTATCGCTTTTTGGTGGCGGCAGACATGATTCCGGGTTGAATGACTTTTTGGGTGTTAAGTTGGCAAGTATACGATTATAGTATCACTTGTTCTTCTTATACGCATAAACTGGGAGAAAGGCCCGCACCTGAAATTACTGGTAATCGGTTTTTGGTGTTCAAAAGAGTGAGAAACGGTATTTGGAGTTGCGACGAGCGACAAAAATTATGCTGCCACAGAAATCTGCGTTTGTGGTACTGTTGAAAAAAAAAGGTTCGACATTCGAATCGGAGTTGGCAGCGAGCCAAGGACACGCCCCCCCAACAGTTTTCACTGCAACTGCCGCACGCTGTTTGGGGAGCGTGTCCTTGGCTCGCTGCCAACTCTGATTCGAATGTCGAACCTTTTCTTTTTCAACAGTATCACAATTGTGTTAACTTGAATTGGAAACAACAAAAATGATTGATCGATGCCTCATCGAAGGCGCATTTCTCGACTTGACGTCTCACCTAGCGTTTGTGAAGGCCTCGCGGACACCCGCGGGTTTTTGAAACATCGTACTGCGCCTTGTTTAGCAGAAAGTGGCATTTCTTATATTTTGACAGAGATTTCAATAAAAATCAAGAGAGAAGCGTGAAACTGTTACCGGAGTGGCTGCTCCTCGAGCACCCGACCTACTACTTAGCAGAGTTGAGCGAAAATGAAATTTTGAAATCCGAAAGACGGCAGACGGAAGACGGAACAAAAAATTTATCCGGAAGACGGAACAAAAAAATCGTCAATTGCAATACATAACCTTTTTTCCCGATTTTTTTTTTGAAAAAAATAACATGCAACAAACATGGAAGACGGCAGACGGCAGACGGAAGAAAATTAACCGTATTCGCGACAGCCTGAAAAGTCTAAAAAGTTTCAAATTTCAAAAACGAAGCTTCGCGAAGACGTCGAATTCGTGCAAATCGTGATCAAAGGCCAATGGTTTGTGCTGCATCAAATCCGAAAAATGGTCGGAATGGTGATTACCGTAATTCGAGAGCTGCAGCTCGAATCCGCCATTCAGAGATCGTTCGAGGGACAGAGAGTGTGCGAAAATGTTTTCTGATGAGAGACCCCAAAAAAGTCGGGCATGAAAAACTCATAGTTTGGCTCCTCCTCTTTTTCTAGGACTAATGTACCCCCAAACGCCACATCTTTTTGAGTATTTATCATGTTGACATCAAAATTTTAGCTGCCCTCGTTCAAGTAGAAAAAGGAGTCGCTAGGATTTATACTAAGTAGTACTTAGTATGTTTTTCTAGTTTTGTTCAAAAACCGGCGGGTGTCCGCCGCGCCTCCACAAACGCTAGCTGAGGCATTTCTCGACAGAAATTTCTCTGCGCTCTCTCATTTTCGTATACTCTTCATTCGGAATGGCAAAGTGATATGACAGAACAGCGACGAAATGGTATTTCGCAGGATCATGATCAGAGAGATAGAAAAATTGACATACAAGATGATTAGGAGCTGGATGAAGCCTCAGAACTAGACGAATTCTGAGGCATCACACTGACGGGGGCCGCCGGAATGATGTTATTGTCAAAGTCGGAAGAGCATGGAACGAACGAGGTCGGGTGTTTCTGAGTCTCGAGCTGCGAGATCATGCCGGCTCCACGGAACAACGGCAGCGACGTCGAATGATGCTGTTCTCGCGAGTTCAAGGGCGCCTGGTTCTTCAGCATCAGATTTCGCTTTGTTTCGCTCATTTTTCTAGAATTTGAATAGATGCGCGAGTATTATCAGGGAGAGATATCAGAGATTACAACTTTGAAGCAAAAAAGATACGACAGAGAGAATATATTATGAATTTATCGGAAAACAAAAAAAAACAAAGAAATAACAGCAGCAAAAAGACCCGTCGCGGAACACTGAACGTCTTCTCCTCTTCACTCCACTTCCTGCTTCACATTTTCTTCGTCCTGCTCGTCTTCCACGGCTTCATCCTCTTCACTCGTCCACCATCCGATACATCCCAATCCGGTGCTCGCCATCGTCCCTTTTATCTCCATCGACTTCTCGACTTTCCGTTCTTCCATCGTCAACTCGGGTTTTAAATCTCTGAATATTTGAGAAATATATTTGAAATTCGAGTATTCGAGTACTTGAAAATGACTTCGGTCGTTCGGAATCTCACAATTTTGCCGGGATCCATGTATAGTTTGGCAGGCGCCGATTGCTCGCCCTCCGCGTCTTCCGCGTACTCCCAATACCAGACCTGTCCGTCGAACACACTAGGTTCGGGCAGTTTCTCGGCCGGAACGAAAATGTCTTCGAAGAACTCGACGGAAAGAGTGAGTCCCTGTCGCGAGGATCCGATCACCTTCGCCTCGATCACTTCTTCGACGAACGGACAGAAGACGATCATGCGGAATGTGACGCGCGCTCGGCAGTTTCCCTCTCCCGGCAAAATGTACGAATCGCCGATTTCAGTGATGTCGTAGACGCAGATGCACAACCCGAGATCCGGGACCACTTTGTTGGCGAGTCGCTCGTTCAGCCGCTTCTTGATCACCGTCTGCTGGTCACCGTTCAGCTGATGCGGCTTGATAGCCACTGTGTCGCGTAGTTCGGATAATATAAACATTCTGGAATTGTTCAGCTTACAGTTGATGTCAAACGGACAATAGGAAATGAAAAGTGGAGTGTGAACCACTTTCAGAGAGTAAGAAATTTAAGAAAAAGAGAAACTTTTAAAAAGCGAAAATGTGAGCAGGGAATGAGGTACTGTGTGATGACCAAACATTTAAATTATAAAATTGAACAAAAATCAAACAACAAGATATTTTTCATAGATTTCTCTCGCCGCATAGTTATTTCCAGAGGTACGGTAGATCAGTGCGAGGTTGTGTGCGGCCATCTTTCTCAAATCGTATCTGAAACATGTCAGATTCAAAATGTTTAACTGTCTTTTGTTTTTTATGGCGTACCTCAGTGCCTCCTTCGTAATTTCGTTGCCCTCGTCGTCGAACGCAAACACAGTCGGAGGCGCTTCTTCCAGAACTTTATCGTAAAAGTGTTTGGCAAGCGGCAGGATGGACATCTGATGGAACATTCTGGCTGTGTTGTAGTAGATCTCCTGCTGGCACGTGCGCACTTTCGAGTACTTTTTCATGAACGCAATGCCACGAATGCTGATCAGATGCCGACTGGACAGATCCTTTTTGCACGACATGTGGGTGAAGGTGAGTGCGAGAAGTAGACAGATCAGCGGGTTCTTCTTGTTCTTCACCCACACACGCAGGTATTCGCCCATCGCGTGCCGATACGTTCCCGTGATCAGAGAATTGTTGCCGGAAATCGCCTGCAGTGCGTGGTTGTCCTTGGTTTTCGCGAGAGCCCTCATGATGAAACGATGGTAGCACACGTTCTGCGAGTTGACGAACACAAAGTTCATCGCGTTGAAGAGCCGCCTGTGCAGCATGTCCAACGCGGCCACATTGCTTCCATCTGCGTGCGTGGTGAGCGCGAACGTGTAGAAGTAGCGGACGTACTCGAACGCCAGATTCCAGCAATGAGCTTTGATCGCGCAGAAGTAAATTAGATTTTGAAATGTGGTCGTTCTGAAAGCACTTGAATTGGAATCGCTCTTTTCGGGGAACTCTCACTTGTCCTCTTTGAAGAGAATTGGATGAAGGAAGGCATAACAGCAGACGATCAGCGCGTCGTGATGCTTTTCCATCTTGTTCAGACATCCTACCAGTTTCATACAATAGTCGTGCAGCTGAAGATAAAACGTTTTAATCGGTACACTCTTTCTATCTCACATCCACAGCGGTCATCGTCGTCTGGAACCCTCCGTTCGCTTCCACAGTTGCTCCGAGTCTCTTGACGAGTCTTTCCCAGTTGGTGTGTTTGATCACACTCTGCGCGCACGTTCTCAGTGTGCTGCTTAGCACTGGAGCTCAAATAACATTATTTCTAAGCACGGGAATTCCCACTCACTTCCAGTCTTTCCCTTAACGCTGCGTCGCTTTTTCTGTGATTCTGCGGCTGTGTAGATTTTGTAGAAGTGCGGAGCGAGCATCATCCGGGTCGTCCGTACGAACTGCTCCGAGTCTCCCGCTTCGAAGAGCACATCGGCTTGACGCGTGAGAAGACGTTCATCGGGCATCGCGGAGCAGTTATCGAGGTCGTAGTCCTGCAGAGTTTCGAGCGCTTTGTCAAAGAGCCCCGCCTTTTGCTGGAGAGTGGACAGATGGATGCGGTTGTCGATGTGATCCGGCTGCAGATTGAGAACCTTCTCAAATGCCTCCATCGCGGCGGCGTCGTTCTTCTGCGCCATCTCGAGACATCCTTTCAGGTACCAGTAGTCCCCGGAGGTATCCCAGTCGTACGACTGATTTTTTGCCAGTTCTACCAGGAATCTCTGCAAATTTGACAGTTTGAGAGGAACAAGAAGAAAAGCTAGTTACCATGGAAAATCGTGGATTTCCTCTTGCCTTGTATGCTCGTGGCACATCCAGAACAAACGATTCGTCGCCAGCCGTCACCGTTCGTTTCAACAGTTGTTCTTCTAAATCTGTCGACTGATCAATCTCATTCAGACAGAACAGACATATAATCAGATGGCAATGCATGCTGATCGGAAACTGACTAACGTCGATTTCATACTCAACCTGGCCAATAGGAGGAAACGGAAGACATTCGTACGTTCCGTTTGTGTACTTGATCTGCAAAAAAAAAACTATATTTCTACGCGAGAACCTTTAAACTTTCTCACGTCGCACGCCGGTTCTTTCGTCTCTTTGTGCACTGCCCGAACTCCTTTGCAAAGGGAAACGATCGACTTTCCGGCCTGGTGGAACTTGTTCTTCGTCATATGCATTTTGACGAGCGTTTCGTGCTGCGCCTCCGCATTCTCTCCAAACTCTCGACTTCTTAGCACAAACGCTTCCAGCGCTAGAATGGCTTTCTCCTCGTCGTTCATCGTAATGTAATAGTGTGCGACTTTTCGAATCAGTTCGTTGAACCACTGAAAGTCCACGTCGGCCAGATGATGGTTGATGGATTGGGCTGCCTGGAGGCGCGTTCGCATTGCCAACGGTCTCAGGTTGAGTTGGTCCAATATGTCTATTCGTTTTTCGTAATACTTCCAGTTCTCCTGGTTCAAGTGCACCGCTCTGTCGTAGCAAAGCGCCGCCTCGTCGAGCATATTGAATTTGGTAGCCTCGTCTCCCCAGTGCACCCAATCTTCGGCCGGAGTTCGTGGATCCAGATGCGAAGCGAGAAGTCCGAACTGAAGGGCTTTCTGATGATCGCCCTCTTGCTCGTACACGGTGGCTATCTGCTGGTAGGCCATTGCGTGCTTGTGATCCTGTCTGATCACCTCCCGAAGCAGTTCCATCGCATCCGTGACATTTCCGCGTGCTGCCAGCACATTCGCCTGTCCGAGCAGTGAATCCAGTCTCTTCGCTTTTCCCCTATCTCGTTCTCGCGGCTCTCCTCCTCCTGAAGTGTCATCTTGTGAAGAAGAATGGGCTTCCCCCTCCAGCTTCACTTGTTTCAGGGGCGGCTGTTCTCTCTCCCCGCTGGTCCGATCGAACTGAGATCGGAGTGCTTCTGATATGCTCTTCATGGGACCTTCGGAGACGCCGAGGCTCAAAGCCGACTCTCCCATCATTTGGTTTACTATATATCTCGCTTCTTCCGGTAACGCATCGAATCGATCCTCGATTCGAGAGGGTACTCTCATCGGAATTCCTCTATTCGCGTGCATCGCCGACGACTCCACCTCGTCCATGAGCACCGCGTCCTCGTCGTCCTCGTACTCCTCCATCGTCTCTTGCTCCTCTTCCTCGTAGTACTCCTCTGCAGCCGCGTTCACCTCTTCCACTCCGTCCTCATCTCCCAATCTGATCTGCCGTCGTCTTCCTTCGCCGAGTTCTTCTTGAAGTGTCTGCCCTCCGCTCACTCGCATCACTTGATCGTAACTGCATTCGTTTCTCATGAACATATTGATCACCTGCACCAACTGATCTCCATCCATCCCCTCCACGTCTCCTTCTTCAAGCTGTTCTCCGTTCTCGCTTTCCATGCCCGCCAGATGCGAGAGCACATTCACTCCGTGCAGCATTCCGTTCATGTCGTCATCGTCGTTGTCCTCCAGAAGGTCCGCCACGTCGTCGTCGTTCACCTCTTCCGGCAGGCCGGCGGATGTTGATGGCATGTCCGACATTAATCTAAACTCTAAAGTTCTCGTTTCAATGTTTTGGGTGAATGTGGATGAGTAAGGGTGGCGATTGTTACGCAGAATTCTATGGGTAATGTAAAGAAAGAAAGGTGAGTGATCAACTTCATGATGGATAAAGCGAAAATCAAAAAATCAACAAGGGTGTACAAGAAATGTTTCAACACAATATAACAAAATTTTAATGTGAAAATAAACTCTAGGAATTGTACTCGACCGGAAGGCGCACCGGTCCTGCAAACGGCTCGAACGGGTCAAAGGAATCTACGTTATTTCTATTCTGATATCCTCCACGACGATTTCCGCTGTTGAAGTTTCCGCCTCTTCCTCTCTTGAATCCGCCATCATAACCACCTTGTCCTGGTCTTTTCTAAAACGAAGAAATGTTTTTCAGATAGGGACAACTGAAGACAAACTCTGGAATTGATGTGATGGTGCTGTCCGCCGCCACCTCGTCCGCCTCCTCGATGGAATCCCCTTCCACCACGTCCTCGGTGTCCTCCGCCGCCGAATCGTTCATTTCCATGGGAAACTCCTCCGTATTTCGCTTGAATCTGCTCCAACTCTTCCGGAGACAAGAGTTGCATATCGATGAATTCGTCCTTCAAAATAATCACGAACTTTGGGTGATCGGCCACAACACGATTTCTGGTCGCTTCGAGAACTGTGTTGTTAGCGAGAACTCCGTAGAAACGATCCGGTCTTCCGTGAACTTCCATGAATATATTCACGTCGTCAATTCCTCTCTCGATAAACGGCTTCAACTTCTGCATTTCCAGATCGCTCTCTGACACAATGCAACCGTACTGACGTGGCTTGAAGAACTGTTTGAGCACTGTGACCAGACGAATCGTCTCCGGAATGTTAGTAACAATCTTTTCGAATACTTCCACTTCTCCGTCCGCTTTTTGCTTCTTAAATGCAAGCTTCATATTCCAGAATACAGTGTCCGAGTGTTGTTCGTGTCTGCTTTCGTTTCCTGGTGCATCCGTGAAGCCCAGCCAGACATGACGGAATCTGGCGGCGTTTAGAAGGTAACGTTCAGTTGGAGAATTCGTTGTGTATCTGAGAGCGTTCGTATCCACCGGCTTCTCCTCTCCGTCAGAATTAGTCACTTCGCTGCTAGATGCTGCGTTTTGTTCTGTTCCTAATCCGACTTTTTCTTTCAACAACTGCATGAACTTCTGGTCGTCGATCGACTTCTGTGGATCGTATTGTGATAGCTTCGCGACTTTTGCGAAAGGCTGTCTGACACCATCACACTTTAAAATCAATTATTATTTTACGGAAAACTTTCCAAACGCTTACATCATTGTCTACTTTGTGTTTTTTCGAGCAATCAAGGGAGCACGTGCGGATATCGCACCTGGGACATCTATATTTATGTTCATTCTTCACGCAGACTCTACACATTTTCGAATCGACTTCAACTGCTTCCACTTCTACTTTCTTCACTTTCTCCGCGTACGCTTTGATGACTTCTTCTGGCGGCACTTCGTCGTCCGATGAGGGATAGTCTATCAGTACTGAAAAAAACAGAAATAATAAGGTTTGCGTAAATTAAACCACCTACAGTTTGGTTTGTTAGCTGGAATTTCAGTCGGTGCTTCATCTTCGTCAGTCGACAGCTCGCCGTCTTCATGGTCACTGAGCTGTTCTTCTATTTCTTCTTCTTGTTTGATTTCAAAGGCTGCCACCATTTTCTGAAAATCGATATTAGTCTGCATATTGCGATAAAGTCGAGAAGAAGAATAGGCAAAAATTGTGCGAATTGATAAATTATTTTTAGGAAAGTGTGCGCTTTGCTGTGACCGTGTTTGCAGAGCAGGCATCACATTTTACGAACCTTTTTCCAACGGCAAACGAAAAGAGCGGGAGATATGTTAGGGGGGAGTCCTCGACGAAAACGGTGAGAGACGCAGAGAAACGAGACGGTCAGAGAAATAGTGCGCGCGGACAACGAGAGCAGCGAGAGAGTGTACGCAATGGCGCATCCCATCCCGTTTATAAACGCGTTTATATACTGATAAAGGTGAGCTAACAGCTGGTTCTTCGTTTACAGTCTAATTTCAGGTACCGAGTTTATGGGAAAGCAGTTTCGAAAACTATGTAATGATCTTGGGATTCTCCACACAAAATAACTATAGTACAAAGGTCCTGGGAATGAGAAAACCATGCGATGAAAAATAAGTATGCATAAGCTTTTGGAATTTCCGAGGCGCCCACAGCTTTCGAATGGTTGTTGATGGTACTGCTATGTTCTACGGACTATGTTTCATTAGTTTGTAACAATTTGGGTCTTTCGGAATACCTCCGTCGGATTCCTTCTCCAAAAACCTGACAGTTGACATTGGATATAACTTATTCCCAATTCAGCCCTTAATTAGAACGTATTGTCGTTAAATCGGCAGTTGTGCGTGTGAACACGGTCACGTCCGTTGATACTGTTTGAAGAAAAGGGGGGTCGTGAATCGCTTCACTCCCTCTCTCCTCCTCTCCTTGGCTTCCACCAGGCAGCCCCTCTTTTCCCTTATTTTCTTTCTTTTTTTGTTTCCCCTGGATTTCCACCCGGAAATCCCCCTATTCTTCTATTTTCCTTAATTTCTGATTTATTCCACTCAATATGGTGAGTTATGCCTATTTTCCATCGCAATCATCACTTTCATCCAATTCTCACAAAAAAACAACGGTGAATGCATCCTTAGAGATAAGAAAAATTCAATAATTCTGAAATTGATATGTTTGAAGATAGACAAAATTGATGAGAATCAAATCCTATTCGGTTTCGTCAGATATACCTTATTTTGGAGAAGTGAGAAGTGTCACGGTTGTTACTCAAACCGTCAGTTTATTTTGGTGATGGAACCGAGGTCAGAAAAACTCAGTCTTTGCCTGAATGTCTCAGTAGTACCCAAAAAAAATTTTGACGTCCATCGAAAAAGACCTCTCGTATATCTCCAACGCGTTTTTCGCCGATAAACGAGTTCTCTGAGTATCTGCACTTGTGGCCGTGATAGTAACAGCCAAAGAACTCTATTATGAGGCCTTTAGGGTATTTTGTGCACGGTGCCACAAAACCATCAACACGATAGTCACCTTCTCCTGCACACCGAACCAAGCCAAATATTTCTGACTTGCAACAGAAACCTTCATGGAAACAGAAGGTTTTGCATCCAAAACAATAGGGTTGTGTGGGTTCAAGTGGTTCCTTCGGAAAGCTTTGACAGCGGCCGAGGCGGACGTAGTACTCTCCTAAAAACGGTTTTTATTAGATATTTTGCTGTTTATGTGAACGATCTGTTATCCCTTCTTATTATCCTTCTTATAATGGCTACATGTTTTTTTCAGTAATGCCGATCAGAGAAGAAGCACGAAAAGGTCCCGGAGCTGTTTTCGGTATTGGGGTGACCGATAGCTGGATCAAAAAGGGAAAAAAAGATGTCATCTGGGGCTCTTGCGGACATTGCCCGCCATATCAACAGGCGCGACCAGGATGTTTCACCACGAACTAGTGAGCGATTTATATCTAACTCTCTTCGGGTATTGGATAACCCGAACAACGACAAATGTGCGGCATTGCGTTGTGAACTCGCTCGTATTTTCCGAACGGGTGAAGAAGTGGTGAGCCGGGGCGTCATCGAGCAACCGACCTTCACATACCCCGATCAACTCCAACAATACACCACACATCTCGCGAACAGCGCTCAAGAAGGCGCCGACGTTGCCAATCGGTACTTTTTTCGGAGCGAACTCTCATGGATCAAACATCTATCTGGATACCGAGAGAGCCTGTGGTGGCAAGACGGCGTTGGTACAGATAGCCGATCCAAGCTCGAAATGTTTGCTATTATGGCGCGTTGGGTGGGAGGACCGAAACGGGGACGAGCAAGTTATACGGATTCTCCGTGAGATCAGCAACTATCGTACGCTGTACACGTACGGAGAAGAGAAACTTCTCGAGGACAACGAAATTATCGCGAATGATGCCCAGCGCGTGATTTTCACGAAGGATGGCCAGCGCGTGTCTGAGAGCCTCGCAGATGCAGCTAAGCGCCGATTTGGTCAACATTTTGTTCTTCACAAGACAGAATCCTTAAGCGACTGGGACAGGAACTCGCTGCGCACAGATCAAAAAACATACGCGAGTATGGATGCGGCAATTCTGGCGTACCTGGTATGTTATAATTTTCATTACTCAGTCATGACTTTTTTCTTTTACAGATCTCAGCCGCACTGCCACACCAAGTCCTCGGTCTTACCCAACGGACCAAACAGTTCCTCATCATCGCTGTTCGTTTATTGCGACAAAACCCTGACAATTTTATTTTTACAGGTTCTCCTTCCACCACCCGACAATCTATGACCTGGTTCGTACGTTGTTTTGTTGTTGCTCGTTGCTGTTTTTTTTTCAAATAATAAAAACATACCTCTAGAAGACAGACGTTTGTCATATTTTCAAACTCTTGCTCGAAGACGGTCATGGCTTTTGCCAAGATGGAAACATCGTTGTAGCAATAGTTGAACAACTCGTTTTGAAAGTTAAACACTTTTCCGGCGGCTCTTTCAGTATTAAGGAACTCGACGAGTTTTTCTTTGGCTGCCGGTGGTTTGTACTCGAGGGCATAGTACTTGTCTTCAGGAAGCGGGCCTTCATAGTCGTAGTTTCTTGGGTCGATGAAAAGGACCGGGAAATCTCCTTTTTGGGTGTCGAGGTTGAAGGTCTTTCCGACCTGACTGAGAGACATCGTGAGGAACTTCAAAGAATCAATTAGCCGGATCCCATTGGATCATGCCGCAATGATGGCTGCTAAAATGGCTGCCGTCGCAATTGAGAGAACGCTTGCGAAGAAAAAACGTTTTGTCAAAAAGGATGACACAGTTGGAAGCAAATTGGTAAAGAATCTCGCTTTTTTTGGTCTTACAGTTCAATACTTTCTTTTGAGAGCTGGATGCAAGAACAGGCTAAGAAATGGGAATTTCCATCAGAAGAGGACAGCGTCATGTTACCATCCCGCATCTTCAAAACCTGGGCTGATGCTCGGCTACCAATCTACATGTGCTACGACTGTACCAAACACAACTCGACACAACAGGCTGCTGATGTCGGTGGAGGCCGTTTCCAACTGCGTGAGCTTCGATTATGAGAAAAATAATTATTACTTTTCTTATTTCAATAGAACCTCGACACATATTGTGTCGCGGTTTTATTCTGCGCAGTTCTATTCTGCCCAGTTCTATTATGTTGGACCGCCGCGGGAAGAGCCAAAAATAAACTTTGTTTGTGAGGTTCGGCCAGGCTTGCGAAAATTACTTAAAAGTTAAATGTTGCGTGAATAAAGACTGCTCCGTGAAGAAACAAACCAATTTTAATGTTCTCGAATTATCCTCTCATTCCCATCTTTTCAAAATGGAGCATTCGAAGAGCATCTCTCAAGGTGAAACAGTTGATCAATTGGCTCAGAGAATGATCGACAACATTCTGACTTGGAAGAATTTGGAAGCGTTCTCGGATAGAAAAATCTACTTGATTCTCGAAAAGGTGTCGTACTTTCCAAGTAACACATAGAACACTCGTTGACCCAGATCGAATCGGTGCTGTCTCCGTTGCCGGGAATGCTCCAGGTCAGCCATCCGGTCACCATCTTCGGGGACCTGCACGGGCAGCTCGACGCGCTCGTCCGCTACTTCGATTCGATCGGATACCCGCCAAAAGTGCAGTACCTCTTTCTGGGGGACTACGTCGATCGCGGCGCCAAATCGTTCGAGACAGTCATGCTGCTCTTCTGCTACAAAATCCGCTACCCTTCGATGATTCACTTGTTGCGCGGCAATCACGAGTGCATGAAGATGAACCGATTGTACGGATTTCACGCCGAACTCAAGCACAAGAGAGATACGACCATGTGGAGGAGATTCCAGGTTTCTGAGATTGAGGGGACTGTATTTAGAGTAGAAGGTATTGTAGGACGTGTTCAACCAGCTGTCAATGTGTGCTCGAGTCGGCGAGCGGATCCTTTGTATGCACGGCGGAATCCCCCAGCACTGCACCTCGTGGGACGCCTTCCATCGGCTCAAGAAGCCGAAAACTCCGAAGACGTGCGACGAGGGACTGCCCGTCGACTTGATGTGGGCGGATCCGACGCAGGACAAGACGAGCACGTTCGCTCTCAACACACAACGCGCGATCTCGGTGATATTCGGAGAGAAAGCCGTCACCGAGTTCATGAACCGTCTCGGGCTCTCGCTGATCGTCCGTGCTCACGAAGTCTCCCAGTTGGGCTTCAATTTCATGTTCAAGAACAGACTGGTGACCGTCTTCTCGGCTCCCTACTACTGTGGAAATGAGACCAATTGTGGGGCGGTTAGCTGGAAAGTGAGGATGTTCTGATAACTACAAAGATCCTTCAGGTGATGCACGTGACTCCAAAGTACCAGATCTCGTTCACAGTGCTCCGGCCACGCATGCTTCCGAACGCGGAGAACGCGGAAACTGTGCGTCAAATGGAGCAGAACTACAAGTCGTTCACCGCCGTCAGTCCGGATCCGAATCGCGGTCGTCACTTGGAAAATCTCACAAAGACCGGAAAAACGAGCAAAGTCTAGTCAATTTTCTTTTATGATGTATTTGATATTATCCCGTCGTCTGTTTTTCCTTCGTTTACGTCATTCCGCATCGCCACACTTTGTGTTCGAGCGCATCTCGCGTCACGTCAATTCGTATTCCAAATCCGCTCGAAAAACTACTCGTTTTGTGATCCTCTCCGCCCATCCAAATTGAAGGTTGTTTTGCACCTTCCCCTGCCGTTCTGCGCCTCTCCGCTCTCGTTGTGTCCAGTTTTCAGCTTCGTCCGCTGTCTGACCAGAATAATACTAATGCGCTGAGCTGAGCCCTTCTTCCCTCCCGCCCCTCCGCTTTCCCACATTTTATGCTCATTCCGCCGTCATGATCTCCTTCTCGGACGAGTCCAATCTCAGCATCTTCTTCTGTTTTTACATCATCATCTCCATCGTCACCATCAACTTTTATCGTATTCTGAAGGGCAAGGGAAAGGTGAAAAGAGAGGAATTTTCGTTGTTTTCACTCATTCGTTACCTGTTTGCAGGTCGAAGAACTCTATGCGTATCCGTGTGTTCCGGCGCTCATGTGGCTCCACTTCGTCGGCCTCGCCCTTCCGATCGTCAACATCATCCTCATCGGCCTCTTCAGCATCATCAGCTCCGACCTGTCCGCCCATCCGATCGTCTACACACCCACCGCGCTCTCGCTTCTCTACCATGACACAATGGCCGACTGGATGGTGCCACTCATTCTGTTCTACGCCTTCACTCTCTCCTACGATTTGCCCGACTTCTTCCACTTTCGCTACATCAAAATCCCCAGGTACGTGCGTGTGCTCCGTGATAAACAAAATGACGTGAGGGCTTCATAGTAGCCTCCTACGGGCTATCTTCCGCTCTCCGCTCTTGGTACGATTGTTATTCAGGGACACTCTGATTTGGACATCAATGCTCACTTACGGGTGTCTCTTCAATTCTTTCAATCCCTGGGGTAACGCGCGTGTCTAGACTGACGATCTCTTCTTTCCGCACTTTCAGACATCATCACCATTCGTCGCATTCATCACGAGAACGGACACATCTCAACGGTAGCCAGCAGTTCTCTTGAGGCGCCTTCCAGAATCGTTTACTTTTCCAGTCGTTCAACTTTGTCGACGCGTTCCTCGTGGCCGTCTCCATCATTCTCATCGGTCTCCATGGCTACCGCATGTCGTGGGGAAATGCTTTTCGGGACAACAGATTCCATCTCACTCTTCTTTTCGTCGGCATAAAACTGGTGATTATGGGAAAAATGGGAGGAGTACTCGTGACTTCCAGCACAAATAATACTTTGGGACATGCTGGAGCCTCGAATAAAATCCCCCGGTTTTCCAGGCCTTCCTACTGACCGGCGCCTGCTTCCTCCCGTCTATTCCGGACCACAGCGCCCTGTTCGACTCTTCCGAGCCAACCGCCCACGCATACTCGCTCGACAATCTCAAACTGTACGAATCGGTCGTTCAGGGTGCCATTCCTCTCCACTATCTCGCCTGGAAACATCTCTTTTTCAAGAACATCTAATCTCAAGGTGATCTCTTCGTTCTGTGTGTGTGCCAAAACATTTCTGGAGTTCACTTTGGATCTTCATTCGTGATTATGTTCATTCATACATAAATGTATTTACAATAAAAGTTTGATTTTTGTACATCATCAGACTCTGTGCATCCTCCGCGCATTGAACCGCACGCTTCTCATCTGTCGAGTTCTGTGATTTGAACTGGAGAAAAGGAGACTGAAAAGCATCGAGTACGGGTACAAAAAGGGGGCAAACGTCCCGAACAGCATCCAAATTGCAACATTCTCCACACTTTCTAGCTTTGTTTCATATTTTTTCCAACTTTTATAAACTGCTATCACAATCAGTTCATATGTTAGAAACATCTGAAACTAAATAGTTTTAGGAGGACTAATAGAAGGTTAGACTCACAATTTGGACAGCCATAATCACAGTGATATGGGTCAAACTGACGATTTCGTAATTAGAGAGAAGTTTTGGATGTTTGCTGATGTCTTTTAACTTGATGAACACGAAGATTGATGTTAAAAAGAGCAGCGAAGTTTCGACAGAGTTGATTGGAATAAGCGGATGGAATTCGTCACTTCTGGCAAAGTAAAAAGTGAAGTTATCTGAAAAAGTAAGAGGTTTCGTCAGAAATCGATGGTCAAGGGTTACTGTAGCCGTTGAGAGGATGACTCCAGAGTGCGTAGACCAACGACAATATCCACATTACTCGGGAGCTGAATTCACACGAGTCAATATCTTTTAAATCATCGGGTACCTACCCAGTTTTCGACTGGAAGACAGTCTTCAATGTCTCAGTTCTCTGAAAAACAAAGGAAAGAGAGTAGAGGAACACGAGAAAAGTGATAGTTGAGGCAAGGATTGGAGTGATAAACTGGAACGAGTTCCGTATGAATACAGTGGTGAGGAGGAAGGTGAGACGGAATCGTTTGAAATGGATAAAAGTCGCTAAAGTTGATAGCCAGAACACTGAGAATATGAAAGCGAGAATCGAGCAAACGATGAAGATGAATGAGAAATGGCAGCTTGCATCGAAGATGTTGAACGGAAATCACACACTTTTAAGAGTCATAAAGCCTTTGGGCTTACCTTCAACTTGATAACAATGGCAATCACAATAGAAGTGATCACAAACAGTATCCGGATGGTGTGTTCGAACTCGAGCAGGCCCCTCAGAGTAAATTCAAACTTTTCAAAACTGAAATCGGTGACGTTGTCCATTTGATGCCAGAATACATCATTCCTTAGGGACAGCAGAAGTTAGCACCTGTCCCACCACTTCACTTTTTTGCATAGGTCATGAAGAACTTCATTCCATCATGAAAACAGTTGGTTTTTTTGTTCGAATCGTTGAAATTGTAATAGCAAAGATTGTCAGATGGAAAAGTTCATTTCATTTTTCAGTTTTCGTTCAAACATATGTACAATCAGTTGGCCTGAGAAGGTCCGAATCCGGCCTCTCTCTTTCCGTAGTATCCGTATCCAGCGTAGGCGGATCCGTATCCATAGGCTCCGTAGGTTCCGTATGCATCAAGACCGTATCCTCCGTAGTAGGACGGGTAGTAAGAGGAGGCGTATCCGTACACTTGAGCCGATGCTTCTTGCACAATTGAGCACATGACGAGGGCGAGCACGCAGAGAAGGCTGCAAATAGATATTGTAGACTCGGAAGTCGTAAACCATCACGTGCAACTTACAACTTGGCGTTCATTTTCGAAGGAATTGTAGAAGAATGTGTGAAGGTTCTTGGTTCTCCCACCTAAAAGTTGCTCTTTTATACGCCTGCTACTGTATTTGCTCACACTTTTTTCGTTACTCCGTTTCAGTTTTTTCACACATTTTTTTTACAAAACCAATAGAAGAACCTGTCAAATGAGCTCAACGATCATTGATCAAGATCCACCTATTTTATTGAGCATTTTAAGTGTAGAAAACATGCAGGAATTGATTGTATGTATAGTAATAGCAAAAGTTTCCCGAATGATAAAGTAAAAAGCTAAATGAGCAGAAATAGAACAGAAACCAGATCAAAGACAGTTGCGAGTGTGTGTAGTTCGCGCAAAAAGGTGATGAGCAAACAGAAATTCCCTGTATAAAAGAGCAACTTTTAGGTGAGAGAACCAAGAACCTTCACATTCTTCTACAATTCCTTCGAAAATGAACGCCAAGTTGTAAGTTGCACGTGATGGTTTTTCCGAGTCTACAATATCCATTTGCAGCCTTCTCTGCGTGCTCGCCCTCGTCATGTGCTCAATTGTGCAAGAAGCATCGGCTCAAGTGTACGGATACGCCTCCTCTTACTACCCGTCCTACTACGGAGGATACGGAGCTTATGGAGCCTATGGATACGGATCCGCCTACGCCGGATACCCTGGATACGGATACTACGGAAAGAGAGAGGCCGGATTCGGACCTTCTCAGGCCAACTAGAGTGTTATGTGAGAGTGTACGAACGATCTGAAATAAACACATTTCCTTTCTGATTTATAATTTTTATGATTAGGCTTCAGTCCTCGATTATTCAGCACTTCATGATTGACGTCAACATTGTTTCCACCTGCTCAAGAAACTTCCATCCTCAGATTCTGAGCCCTGTAGTCCTTACCAATGAAAATTCTCATTGAAAAGAATCGAACAGCAGACGAGAATCAGGTTGTGAGCGCTTACGACAAGTTCTTCTATTTCCAGTTCATTTCTCTTTGCGTGTTGCTCGGTCTCCACCTCTATTTCCATTATTCCAGAAAGGTTGGTTGTTCGTCTGTCTCTAAAGTGTTTCAGAACGAATCTTCCAGAAGATCCTCATCACTTACACTCCGTTCTTCGGCTTCTTCCTGAAACTCCACCTCTTCTACCTATCCCTCTTCTGCGGTCTCGTTCTTTTCTCTCTGGAATTGAAAACATCCGCCCCGACGGTTTGCTCTTTCTTTCAATTCCTCTCTTTTACTACAGTGATCGGATACCAATGGACGAACACTCTCGGCACTTTTCTCATTGTCATCCTTCTGAATATCACTGTGATTGTGTGGTGTATACCCGAAAAGATACGTGTCTTCGGGTGCTACTTAAAAACTAGAAAACAATTGAAGATAGTCATTGCCATCTACATTTTGTGGAGCCATCCATGTAATTTCTTTGGTAATGATCACGAAAGTGTTGATTTTGGTACAGATTCTTTCAGATCCAACGATTCTTCGGTTTGTCAAATCCGATGGCGATGCATTTGTGACTAACCAACTATTCCTGCCACTAACTTCTCATTTCAGACCGTAGTTCCCATCAACATTCTCTCCGTATTCACCATTTCCGTCCTCCTCTGCTATCGCGTTTACACCGTTTCCAAGTCCCGAAAACGTCCGCATATCCTCAACTTCTGCCGATTTATCCAACTCGCGTCGACCACTGGTATCATTCAATTGTACATGATGGCCACGGTGTTCAGTGCTACTCGAACTGGGTATCAGAGAGAAGACCGATGCATTTCCGACGAATATTATATGTTTCTCATGCCTCTCATCCACCTCAACTACTTTTTTTCGGCGCTTTTCGTTGAACAATGGTACAAGAGGAATCGGAGAGTGGCCCCGCAGGTGGAATTTTCGGAGGTGGAAGAAGAGTCGAGCATATGAGCATACTTGTATTTCAAAGTTTATAATATGAGATAAAAGTTGACATTTACCAGTCCAGAACGGATTTTGCTTGATTGGAAAGGCTGCCGTCTTTCAGCATACGCGGACTATTTTCAGTGTAGAATTGGGAGAACCATCTGAAATACTCACTCTTTCACTATTGTCCTTCTCTTTCTCTGCACAAATACCTTCTGTGCTTCTGAATCGGACCGTCGTTCTTCACCAAAAGCGGCGATTTAATGTACTTCTTGTTCGACCACACGTAGACGTCGCGCTCGAATTGCATTGCCTCTACGGTCAGAAAGAATTTCACAAAGAACCACGGAATGTTGGAGAAGATTCGGAAGCGAACACGCTGGAGAAGAGGTTCTTCGGGAGTGACCGTCTGGAAAACGACGCCTTTTCCCCAAATGCCAAAGTCAAAGAGCATGTGTACGATTCCGGGTCCGTGCTGAAATGAAAAAGTTTCAATCTAGAGCTTGAACATGTCTCCAGACCTGTTCTGCAATCAGTCTGCTGCCCGTCAGCGGAAGTTTGAACCCCCAGAGGGTCATGTACTGGTTCAGGTGCATCACTCCGCAGTGTTTTTCCTCTTCCGATCGCACCTCCCACTTGCCGTCCCACACGTGCTGCACGGCGGGTTGCAGCTCCGACAGGTCGGTCCGGATGATGTCGGAGCCCTTTGTGACTGGCGGCGCCGACTTGTGCAGATAATTGAGGTGCGCAATGTCGGCTCCGTTCTCCGGGATCTCTTGGATGTGGCACATCACTTCGTGCTCCGTCCGTCCTCCGAGCGGCCAGATTCCGTCGGCAACGTGCGGGATCTCCGGGATCTCCCATTCCGGCTCATTCCCGTCCGAATGGTACCACAGGTAGATGTTGTTGTTCCTCTCCACACACGGCCACGTCGTCACCTTCGCCTGCTCCGGAATCCGTCCCTCGTCGTACGGCACTTCGACGCACTTTCCCGTCTCCGCACTGAAGATCCATCCGTGAAAGGGGCACTGGATGCAATTGTCACGAACCACCTAATCAATTGCAGTGAGATAAGAGTGAATTGAAATTGCCTACCCGTCCTCCGATGTTAAAATTCGCTCCGAGATGGGGGCAATAGGAGTCGGTGATGTAGACGGCGCCCGATTCCGACCTTATCAGCGTCAGAAACTGTCCTGCAAAAGGGTGTAGTGTCGCATGTAGCATGGAAACCTTACCGAGCACCGTGATCTCCATGATCTGATTGTTGGCCAACTTCTCCGACTCACAAACACAATACCATCCGTTCGGAAACACCGGCGGCATGTCTCCGATTCTCCGCAGCAGCTTCAGTCTCTCCAGTTGTCGTTCTCTGTAGAATCCTTTCAACTGAAACTCTTCCAGTTATCCACTTCTTTAATCTGAATGGTTCTTCTCACCTCTGGCTTCCCGAAAAACAGTCCGACGTCTCCGAGTCGACGGACCCGATTCAACGGCTTCGACGCGATACGCAAAAGGTATAAGAGCCCAAGAGTGCCCAGAATGAGCAGCGGATGAGCGGTGAAATAGTCCCAAAGCTGTTCCAGCAGCATCTGAAAAGAAAGTCAGGTGGATGAAAGCAAGAAACTATGTGTGTTGAAAATGATAATAAAATAATAATCAGTGTTATCAGTGTAGGTGACAATGCCGAAAAATCAGAGAATGATTACGTGGGAATGGGAATCAAAATCAATTGGACGATTCTGAATGGAAGATCGCCTGATTCTGGGCGGGCTCCGCGGGCTTCCAGATCAAAGGGACCAGCTGAGAGAACGGATAGGCCAGAGGAATGTAGAAAGCGTTTAAAGAGAGAAATGCACTCTGGGACAGATACTTGTTCTTGATCACTTTGTACTTTTCCGTAAGTTGAATAAACAACGAAGTGAATTGAAGTGTCTGGAAATTGAGAGAAGTTTCAAAGAAACCAAGCACACAGCACTAACCAGTGTTATCAGAACGTAAACCGTTATTTGTAGCATTGTCACACTTTTTCTCGTGTCGAACGAACTTTTTATGCACGCAAAATAGCAGATAATCGCGAGAGAGGAAGAGACGGAGAAGAAGTAGGACAGGTAATTGATGACCTGTCAAATGGCCAGATAGAAGTAAAAAGATATGAGAGAGGGAGAGAGAGGTTACCAGTTTCTTCCCGATTGTGACTGGATACGCGTCGAATTCAATGCAAACTATAAGGATTTCAGACAAACTTGAGAGCATTATACAGTTCGGATGGGATAATATTCCGTAAACGATAAGAATGAGTGATATCAACCGGTCTCTGGAATTTCACGTTTCAAACAGATCGGGTTCCAGAGGCTACCTATTAAAAATCAAGAAGAGCGTACGATTTTCAAGTTCGCACACCACCACAAACACATTTAGGACTATAGTTAACTGAAGGACTGGCGTGAGAATCGGTCCGACAATCCAATCCACGTACATCACAAAAATCGACAATAGTATAATAACGAATGCGAGAGGGTACTCATTCGAGGTCAAAAATGCCACGAAATAATTGAAAAGTATCAAAGAGCACTCCATGGAAACCAACAGAAAGATGTAGTAAAAGTGTGGAAGCCACAGTTTTTCGTTCTTACATCTTTTCTGGAAAATGTGTCTTACTTTTAACTTTCAAAGTTGGAAAACTTTGCCAATATAGAAAAGTAATAAATAAGAGCTCATAAAATAGGTCCTTGTTATCAAAAACGCCAAACGTTGATTTGTAGTTTGTATGCCATTATTCTCAAAGAAATCGGTGAAATAGGCGAAGTGCATTGGCCAGCCGAAAAGTAAATATTGGAAGAAAAGAAGAAGGAATTGCTGTCTTGTAGCCAGGTGCTTTTTTAAACGTATCGGATTTATTCATTCTCTCAGTTTATACAATCAGTCGTGACTCCCGGGAATTTGTTGGCCAGATTGATCTCTCCGACGTCGAACGTCTTCTTCGGAATGATTCCGTTCGTGATGAAGTTGTCCGGAATGGTGATGCCCAGTTTCTTGTAGCACACTCCGTTGTAGTTGCATTTGTGGTAGAAGTTCACCTTTGGGTCGATCGTCGTGATCTCCGTTTTGTATCCGGACACCGAGAAGAAGCCGTTGGAATCTGTCTTTGTCTCGTCCATTTTGATATCTTTTACTGCAAAAACATTTCATTTTGGTTGAACATTGAGATGCAACTCACTTTTCTCCTTCTCATACAGCTTCACCTTCACATCCTTGGCAGGCAGTCCATTGCAAGTGAGCCTTCCGGTCACCGCCACCGACTGCTTCCATCCCAATCCCAGCAGAGCCTGAGCTGACGTCAAGACTGCCAACAGTAACAAAAACGAGCGAAACATGACTCCTCTGACTGTTTTCCACTGCGCTTATCAACTTACTTTTATAGAATGGGAGCATGGCAAGCAGCTGATATGAGCGTATTGGGTGTGTAAATATTTTCAGAGTCTTTTCAAAGTCTGAACACTTTCGATTCTTTTGAAAAGAGAAGTAGTGATACACAAACGTTCATATAACATGATTCAGGCTGAATGATTTCATTTCCGATATCATAGTTTGACCTTTGAGTCATCCAGTGGAGAAAAACAGATAGCAGGGAAATGTGTTTATTTCAGATCGTTCGTACACTTTCACATAACACTCTAGTTGGCCTGAGAAGGTCCGAATCCGGCCTCTCTCTTTCCGTAGTATCCGTATCCAGGGTATCCGGCGTAGGCGGATCCGTATCCATAGGCTCCATAAGCTCCGTATCCTCCGTAGTAGGACGGGTAGTAAGAGGAGGCGTATCCGTACACTTGAGCCGATGCTTCTTGCACAATTGAGCACATGACGAGGGCGAGCACGCAGAGAAGGCTGCAAATGGATATTGTAGACTCGGAAGTCGTGAACCATCACGTGCAACTTACAACTTGGCGTTCATTTTCGAAGGAATTGTAGAAGAATGTGAAGGTTCTTGGTTCTCCCACCTAAAAGTTGCTCTTTTATACTCGTTGCCCGCTGTTTGCACACTACTTTTTCCTCCAATTGCAACTGTCACCCGACCTTTCTCTTTTCATCCCAACAATCCAATCTCTTTCACGCCGTTTTCAAGTTGCCGCCTCGGTAAACAAACTAGTGAAACCGTCCAGAAATAACTTCGAAAAAATAAGAGATCCAACATTTCATTTTTCATTTAATTTGCCACCCGGGTCAACATTTGTTTAGTGTTCAGAGTCAGTTATGGGGCTGAGAGCAGGTCCTGGAACGAGCGGTTCAGCTGATCGCAGTACATGACGTCGTCGTAAGAGGGAAGCGGAGAAGCGCGCGCCGACTCGAGTTCGTGATATTCTGGCGGAAGCTCTTCCGGTTGCAGCATTATTTGAGGCACGTTTGCGCTGGAGTAAACTGGAAAGCAACCAAAGATTACAAATCATTCCAGAGGGCACTTACATGGAAGCTCTATCTCGATCTCCAGTTCTCCTTTCTCACATTTGTCCGCAGTTCTCATCGCGTTCTTCCCCACTTCTTCGGGTCTCATTTGGATGGCGCATTGCTCGAGTTGAATGCGTTCGTAATGATATTTACAGATGTAGAAGACGGCGATGAACAGAAGAATGGAAATGGAAAAGAATATGAATACAGTGCAGAGGGCCAGGGATTGGGTCAACATGACCAGGAACGGGTCACACGTGTGGCGTCGCGTCGTGACTGACGGGGAAAATGGGAGAAGAGATGGAGAGATGGACTCCGGCGAGGAGTATAAGTATCCGATTCGTTGGGCATTAGCAAAATCTCGCTCAAAGACGGATTAGGCAGCAGCATCTGGTCAGGAATGTTCGAGGAAGCCGTCGGATTACCATTACCCCCCGATGTTTTTATTATTTGAAGAGAGACGTCACGAACGGATGAGGATTACGCTGGAGGGTTCGAATCGCTTATGAAGATTGGTCTCGAAAAGCAGCAGCATCATATTACTCTCTCATACTATTTGCATATCTATTTCTGTTTTTCAGCTTATCGTCAAACGTCATGTTAGGCTGAGGATTGTGACGCATGACATTCAATCTTCGAGCGGGAGCAGTTTGACAGTTACTACGGCAGAACCAACAAGGAAGGAAAAAAGTGTGAGCAAATACAGTAGCAGGCGTATAAAAGAGCAACTTTTAGGTGGGAGAACCAAGAACCTTCACACATTCTTCTACAATTCCTTCGAAAATGAACGCCAAGTTGTAAGTTGCACGTGATGGTTTTTCCGAGTCTACAATATCCATTTGCAGCCTTCTCTGCGTGCTCGCCCTCGTCATGTGCTCAATTGTGCAAGAAGCATCGGCTCAAGTGTACGGATACGCCTCCTCTTACTACCCGTCCTACTACGGAGGATACGGAGCTTATGGAGCCTATGGATACGGATCCGCCTACGCCGGATACCCTGGATACGGATACTACGGAAAGAGAGAGGCCGGATTCGGACCTTCTCAGGCCAACTAGAGTGTTATGTGAAAGTGTACGAACGATCTGAAATAAACACATTTCCTTTCTTTCATCTGTCTGTTTTCCATCTTCCAGCATCAAGATTAGCGGTTTTCTCGAAAGAGTTCATCCTCCAAAAGCAAAAGAACACATTCGTGTTCCTGTTGGAATCGACAGAGAAAAGAATTCATCAAAGCGTGAAAGAATCATCAAAAGTTCATTTAATCTAATCACGCAAACTCTATTCTGCTTGCCTGAACAGCACTATTTATCGGCGCCGAAAAGTTCGTGCTGGCCCTCCGAACGTAGTACGGTTCAATGGAACGGACGTCGTCGGTGTGCTTCCGTCGGACGCATCTCGAAATGGAATTTCGGTAATCGCGGACGAAGAGAAGGGTCGGAAGCGCGTCGAGAGCCGGATAAACAGAAATAGAGATGGCTACGTATTCGGCAAATCCAATGTCGATGTAGAGCATGGGAAACACGAAAAGAATGAAGAGCGGGATGTACATAATGACGAGCGGGATGAGAGTTTGAAAGAGAAGGGCACAGAATAGTTGAGTGTGCAGCAGTTTGAGCGCCAGGGAACAGTTCCGGCCGGCCAACTGCACACGTGTCGTTTCGAAGTAGCATTTGAAGGCGTACACGAAGATCACCGATAAAGACAATATCTGGAAATGAGAGTTCTGAGGACGTCACAAGTTGTTCCCTGACAGTCATGACCAAGAAGTTGAATCCCGATATGAACGTGTTCCAGTTTGGATGAACAACTCCAAACTCGTCGGTCGGATAAAAGTCGGCAATAATGTAGGTGATGCCGTCCACGTCAATACCGAATTCCGTCAGAATTCGATTTCTGAAATAAACAACCGGTTGTTTTTCTCTTTCTTCTTCTAAAAATAGCGCTCACCTGAGGAATTCGGTACTTTTTGGGTTTGGCTGGAAAGCGAGTAAACAGTTCATCGTCCAATTGACGTAGAGAAGCGGAGAGATGAGAAACCAGAGAACGGAAAACTTGCCGCGGAAGTAGACCCACTGGGAGCCGTTCTTCAGAGCATTGTACCGATAAACAAAGTGAACTGCGATCAGGGAGGTGAAGAAGAAGTAGAAGCCGCAGATGGACGCTGAATTCGAATGTTCTTCTGCTCTTCTGATCTGAGGGTTGGGTTAAGATGCACTCACATATTAGATAAACCATAACTTTGGGGCTGAACAACGCATTCGAATTCTGAATGAAGACGACGAAACATGAACTGTAGGAGAGAATGTCCTGAACGACTCTTGTTGGCTTGGTTTGAAATTCTGATCATATAATCAAATCGTAATGCTCAACAGGAAATTGGGTCAAAAGTTTAGACTCTTGGTTTGATGGTGTGCTCAGCTACACATGAGCGAATGTTTCGGTTCACTTACCGGTCTGACGAGAATGCTCAAAAGAGAATAGACTAGGGCGGAAAGCGAAAAATACATCATGATATACTTGTAGGATCCCATTTTACTGTTCGATTTGGTCAAAATCAGATAGGTCAGAATAGTGTTTAAGAAAATGGATAAAATGAGAGCAACGAACTGGACAATGTTCTTCATCAACTGAAGCATAGTGTCTGAAATTTGTGGGCTGTATAATGAATGATGTGTACATGCATAGAATGAAGAAATGATGAAGCGAGCGAACGAAAAGAATGGGCAGGAAATGGGCGACGACGAGGTAAAATAACAGCGTCGGAATGAGCACACAGTGCTGCACTTTCAAAGTGTGACGAGTCTTTTTGACTCATGTCTAGAATTCTCGCGGGTGTTCCTTTTGACGTCAGACAAGACGATTTCCTAGAAATGTCAATCTGGTCCATGCGTCTATTTTGATTCGAACTCCGAAGAAAGTTCGGTATCATTTGGCACTGTTCGAGTTCCGAAGAAACGAGTTCAAAACGAGTATGTGCGTGAGGCAAACAGCCAGCGGGCAACGAGTATAAAAGAGCAACTTTTAGGTGGGAGAACCAAGAACCGTCACATTCTTCTACAATTCCTTCGAAAAGTTGTAAATTGCACTTGATGGTTCACGAGAACGGGTTTACCAAATGTGCAAATTGGGAAGGTGCCATTTGACTAACTTCATGGATTTCGGCGTCTTTTCGGCAATACAATAGAGTCGCCAGCAGTTGATCGGCAGTACGATCACGAAGGAAACGTGCGAAATTATTTGGAGGAATTCGCGACTTTCGAATAGACCGATTGCATTTTGACAGACTGATTGATCCGAATTTTGGCTCATCCGAAGGATGGTGACTGGTTTTGTAGTTTATACTAACAAAAAGTGAATATTCGGAAGGGAAAGTCAGAAAAAGTCGCACTCGATCTGTGCTTGCCTTCGAACTTATCGATGAGGACTCCGCTCAGTGCACAGGACATATGAGTGATTAGAGGAGTTTGAAGTCTGGAAACTGATGAGCATCCTCATTAGAAGCAGACTCTATTCTGAAGCATAATGATGACAGGGGATAAAATTTATCTTTAAATTTACGAGACCAAACAGTAGAGAGAGAGAACATTCAAATTGTTGCAATAAATAACTTTTTGGAGGTTATAACAAAACAATAACAAAAATAGATTTACTGGTATTGTCCGTATTGTTGTGGTTGGTAGGCGACGGCACCGCCAGTTGAGTAGCTCGTGTATGACTGCGAAGAGATCGCCGCTTGGCCTCCCAATTGCTGGATTCCTATCGGCACCTGCTGCAGGAGACCAGCGCCGACGACGGATCCAGCGGCTCGAGCAGCCGCTTCCGCCTTCTTCTTCTTCATTTGAGCTTCGACGGCTTCAGCCTTGTCGTGAGCTCCGATAGACCTGAAAAAGCATTTAAGGACATTATTTTTCAAATATTTTCTTACTTGTAGTACTCCATCCATTGAGCAGAGAAGTCTTGCTCTCCAGTAAGTGGATCAACAGTGGCTCCACCGCCTGCAGAAGCTGCCGGAACAGCCTGCGCTTGTTGAACTTGGGCTTGTTGGTAAGCGAGTTGGGGTTGAGATTGGGCCATTCCGGGAACGTACGACGCAACGGCCGCTGGCTGTTGCTGCTGCTGAGCGTAGACGTTGTTCTGCTGCCAACCACTAACTTGATATGGATTCTGAGCAGCCGCCGCCACTCCAGCAGCTCCATTCCATTGCTGTTGACCTCCGTAACCACCTTGAGCTTGAACCGTAAACTGCGACTGCATGCTGAGCAGAGAATCGTCACGGAATGGAGTGTTCGGAGCAATGTCTCCGACTTTGATACGGATCAGATGCTTTGCGTGCTCAATCTCTCGCTTTCCACCCTTGATGATGAACACCTTTTCATCGCTACTGGTGCTGGCATCGCGAGAGAGCTCGCAGTGAGCACCGCTCTCCGAATTGATTTGCTTGATGGTTTCACCGCCCTTTCCGATGACGAGACCACACTTTGCAGCCGGAACAGACATGTAGAAGCTCTGAAAACGTTCAATTCGATTATGTCTGTAAAGTTTGATGAAATACCTCATTGGCAGACATGCCTCCGCCGCCACCGCCTCCTTGCTGCTGAGCGCTCTTTCTGACGAGCTCGGTGATCCGTTCGGTGGCCAGATAGATCTGGTCACGTGTGCCCATGATAACAGCACATCTCTCCGGAGTGCTCGGGTCATCATCTGGCTTGAATTGAATTTTCGTGCCGGTTTCCATCGCGAGGCGCTTGATAGTGTCTCCTTGCTTTCCGATGATGATGCCCACTGAGCTTCTTGGAACAACAACTTCTCCACGAGCAGTCGCTCCTCCGCCACCACCGTGATGAACTGGGTGAACTCCACCGGAGCCGTCTCCACCGCTGCTCAAAACTTCGGCGACCAGTTGCTTAGCCATCTCGATTTTGTGCGCGTCGCCGGTGATTCTGAGCGGCTTAGAAATGTCACCCACCGCTTGGCTGTCTTGTACAAGCACCATTTTGCAACCGCTTTTCTCCTGAGTAATATATATTGAATTAAGCAAAAGCTACGTTTCAGCTAACCTGCAGCTGTCGGATGGTTTCTCCTTGTTTTCCGATAATCAGACCGCAGCGATTCGGCGGAATCGGAATGTCGACGGTCATCTGGCTGCGAGGAAATCCGTGCTGAGGGCGAGGGTTCTGGGAGCGCGCCACGACCTCGCTGATGAGAACCTTGGCGGCCTCCACATTGGATCGAGCACCTTCCAGACTCACTTGACGCACACCCGTCTCGTCCGGCTCCTGCGACATCTGGACGCGGCAGCCAGACTTCGCCTGGATTCCTTGAATCTCCGAGCCTCCACGTCCAATGACAATTCCCACGGCTGATTCCGGGATGGGATATTTCTCGGAAACCGTCTCATTGTCGTCCATGTAAGGATTACCGAGAGTCACGTCGGAGTCGTCGGCGGTCCGTTTCGCAGGGAGTCCGTCTGCAAAACGAAACTATAAGAATAGCGTGTCTCTGAAATATTGATCAGCTAATTGAATGAATCGATAATAGAAAATTATGAACCGAAAATATAATGCGAGGAATTAGGTAGGTGAAGAAAAAACGTGGCAAACAAACGACGAAAAAACTCTGTTATGACATCAATTAAAGAATACTGACAGTCGAGATCCTCGGTGCGATCCCTCTTGAGTGAAGACGTTTGGGTAGCTTGCTGAACAAAATTAGAAAATGGCAAATCGTATTTTTCATTTATTTAGATATCGATTTCTCATTAATGTCAATCGTAATTATTTTCGAAAATTGAATAAAGTCGACCAATTACGAGAATTGCACAAAAGTTGTGAATGTACGGAATTATCATCATTATATCATCATCAAGTTCAATTCAAAATAAATGAAAGAAGCAACGATCATATAAAATCAAATTGCAATTATATTTTATGAAATCGACGGAGAAATCGAAAAAGCGGCAAGAGAACGTACTCAATGCATTGACAAAACGGGAAATTTTAGGCCAATTCGAGTGAAGAAGGATGAAAATCTATACCTGAGCATCAAATCCGTCCATTTCGTTGACGTTGATGTTCGCAGATGACGAGAATATTCGTTGTCCTGGGATACGAGAGCAGTCCTGAATGGCCGATATCGGCTCGATCGGACCGCGTTGCGAACGCGACGCTTTGCCGTGGAGCGTACTTGCTCACGACGCCTTCAAAACATCTGCGGGGGAATGCGGAAAATGTTGAAAATCGTCGGGGAAATGCTCAATGCTCACAAAACATTGCGAAACAGAACACTTCTGCTTCATGAAAAAATTCCATTGAATACATATAAATTTACAAAAATAAACGTTTCTAAACGTTACCCGAACGTCTAATTCGTCAAAAAAAAGTATATCTCAAAAATCCGTGACTGAGAAAAAAGTTTTTGATGTGACCTCATTCCATTTTAATTTTGCGCCCTGGCCGTGACCTTTGCCGACACGTGGCAAGTCCTCTCCTTCTGCGCCACGTTTTCACTCAGTATTCACCAAAAAGCAACCAGAATCCTCCTGCAATACCAGTTTGTGTCTCCGAAAATGCATTTGGGGCCGAGCATTTCGACGGCTCTCATGGTGATGATAGCTATAGCTTGTGAGTTTTCCTTTGCACTTCTCAGACTCTCAAAATATACTTTCAGCGTTAAGCAGAACTGTCTTGGAAACATATTTCTGGGGATCCTCGGAAACCGCCCAAACTCCCTACCAACGTGAGCAAATTGTGCATAGAAGTTTGACTGAAAAATTATATTTTGCAGGTCTCGTTGAATACGAAGACTCCGCGACGATATGTTCTTTATCCGACAACAGAAACACCGGAAGTGAGTTGAATTTTCTGGCGACGGTTGCTAAACATTCGCCGGTTGCAAAGTGTATGCGTAAACAAATTACGACGTCGAGGGATTCGTCACGAAGCTCAGAGACTTCTCGAAGACACTGGCGTCTGTGCAGGTGCTCGACACGATGGATACGATGTTCAATGCGCTGGAATCGGTGAAAGAGGAGTACAAGTCTCTCGGCGATCTCAAAGACACGTCCGTCTTCAAACTTTTTTCACTGCGGTCGAAGGAATTAAGTCCAATCCAATCAACGTCAGTCTGATCGAAGACTTCGAAAGTTTTGTCGGCTGCTGCTCTCGCGTGGCCGATGGAAGTGCTCGAAAAGAAGGTCAGTGAACTGAATGGCAGTTGGGATGGCTTGCGGCAAACTGGAGCTGCTCAACGAGTCGACGAACTGGAGAAGATGTTCGAGGAGGCCGGAACTCTTAATAACGCGATGCTGGAAAGGATCATCGAGTGGGTCGGATGGCCGAATACCCCGTCTCTTACACTCATGCAAGCAGCCTACAAAAATTGCGAACAACATTGAAGGATCTATCCACGTGGAAAGATGTCATCCAATTCACTAACAAATCGAATCTGGACGCGGAGCTGTCGGCCGTTATGGCAAATTTGGCAAATTCGAAGCACAAGGAGCTCTTAGAAAACTTTAAAGAGCTGGCCACACTTTTTGGTGAAGTTTTAACGAAACTGAAGAGTCTTGGACAATTCCTCGACATGATCTCGGGGAATCAGACGATGCTGATAGACTTTCCGACGAAGTATGGAGACAGAAGCTTCATCAGCGCCGACTTGATGTCCGACTCTATCTTCACCCTGGAGGACTTCCGAAAGTATCCGGAGCAGATTAATGCGAATCGGACGCTGCAGATGACGGACTTGTTCGATCTATGGAACCTTCCCTACCATTCGGAACACTTTGGATGCGCTGTAGCCGCACTGGTCGCCGTCGGAAACTTTGAGGAAAAGCGGACTGTCTTCGAGACGTTTCTGTGAGCAGGAGCGAAAGTGGAGCTGATGATTGAAAATCTGCAGGATCCCGCGTCGAAAAAGAGAGTCCAGTCACTTCAGGGAAGCTTCCAGACAACCACTTCGGAAGTCCAAGACCTGCTGAGCACCGTCAAGGATCGAATGGACGCGATTCGAAGACCCTCGAGATTCGCACGTTACACTGACCGAAGTGATGAAGTCGGTCTGAAACGATACCAAGACGTGTTAGCACTCGACCAACTGCTTATTCTGCATCCCAACTTCCAAGACCTTCACGATAAGAAGGCTTCGCTGAAAGAGTTGTCCGCTCTCGATCTCGACTTTGTCGAGTTCCATCAAGCACTGTTCAGGATTCCTCTTACGCTTTGTTTTCTTGACATTGTGCTGGAGTTCAAGAGAACAGCCTTCAGTAGCCCTCCGCGTACCGAACCGTGAGTTGACAATAGAATGTGCCGTTTTTAAATTTCCATTCTTTTTCAGCACATCCACGCTCTGCGGCTGCACACTAGACAACTCGGCAAGCACAGTGTGCGAGAATGGTCAGCGAGGACGAAAGAAGAATCTGTTTTCCCGAATGGTGAAACAATTCAAGAAGATGGTGCGGACCGCGGTGATGGAAAAGAAGATGGAAAATCTGGAAAAGACGTTGATAGCGATAAAGAAGAGGCACGCGGAGAATCTGAAAAAATCGGATAAGGCAAAGCCAAAGAAGGAGAACACGAAGCAAATGATATTTGTCAGAGCGTCGAATATTGTTGAAAACATGGTAGAGATTAATAACCTTCGAGAATCGAATAGGGAACGTCGACGGAGTGTGAAGAACAAAGTGCAAGAGAAGATTGACGCGATGGCACGGTTTCAGAAGGAGAACGACGACATCGCCAGGGCTAACGAGTACAAGTACAACAAGAACGACGATGGTGAGAACTTCTGTTCTTTCCCCTTTTCGTCTCATTCCACATTCTTTTTCAGTTGACATGTACTTCTACGATCCGGATTGGTTCCTCCGCAACGGCTTCAGCACTGACGCGGCGTTCACCGTTCCCCGCGTCAAAATGGACATTAACAAGACGGTTCTGCAGGGTTATTGCGAGTGGCAACTCCAAAAACCAGGACTCATAGACGACGATTTGAGAGTGGACCGCATGGGAATGTGTACAATGTGAGTGGATCTCTTGAAAGTACTATCAGAATGTTGATACTTTGAGGTACCCGGAAATGCCGCTCATCAGGCATACGTTGGCGATCGACAGACACGATGAGATCAGATGCTGCTACCACGCGAACATCATCATTTTCCCAATATACGGACGAGCGATCGCGTGCATGGCCCCTAGTGGACGCACGAAAGTACCGTACCGCGACGACATTTGGTTGATGATCACGGAAAACAGATGCAAGATCATCGTTATGTTGTGCAATTTGGTGGAGGACGGCGTCGTCAAATGCTACCCCTACTTCCCGGACGTTATTGGAAGAACTAAGATTTTCAACGGAAGCAAAGTGACTCTGGACTCGCAAGTGGAGAAGTTCGACGGAGAGCTCATCATCCGACAGATCACGTACCAGCCAGTGAATCCAGATGTCATAGGGATAGTACCGAAGCAGACGGTGACACACATTACCAGATTCCCAAATGGAAGGAAGGATCGATTGCGAAGACGGAGAATCAGTTGGAGGCTGTGCGATTCGTTTACTACGCGACCCGGAGAAAGAGTAGAACGGTGAGTGAAGGAGAAATGGGAAAAAAGAACTAGATTTTGATGATTTCAAAATCCCTACGACCGACCTCATTCATATTTTTCAGGTTCCGTACGTTGTGCACAGCTCCAGAGGAACCGGACGTGTTTGCTGCTTTGCTGCTATCGACTACATCTACCAGGCATCGTGCTCGAAACGCCGGAAGTGGACCCTGCCCAGACTGGTGTTGCAAATGCGTGTCATTAGATATATGGCCATCGAGACTGCCGAACAACTCCAATTCAGCTTTCTGATGGCCTACGAGGCAGTTGTCAGGGTAGGACAAATACTTGATTTTAACTGTCTTATCGCTCTTTTTACTGTTCGTAAATGTTTATAAATGCATAAAGTTCATAGAAAATAAACTTGCTTCGTGATTGAACACTCGTGTTGAAAGCAATTCATTTCGGCGGGCATGACAATTACAGAAAAAGAGCAGAAAGTTAGTTTATTTCAGATCGTTCGTGCACTTTCACATAACACTAGTTGGCCTGAGAAGGTCCGAATCCGGCCTCTCTCTTTCCGTAGTATCCGTATCCAGGGTATCCGGCGTAGGCGGATCCGTATCCATAGGCTCCATAAGCTCCGTATCCTCCGTAGTAGGACGGGTAGTAAGAGGAGGCGTATCCGTACACTTGAGCCGATGCTTCTTGCACAATTGAGCACATGACGAGGGCGAGCACGCAGAGAAGGCTGCAAATGGATATTGTAGACTCGGAAAAACCATCACGTGCAACTTACAACTTGGCGTTCATTTTCGAAGGAATTGTAGAAGAATGTGTGAAGGTTCTTGGTTCTCCCACCTAAAAGTTGCTCTTTTATACAGGGAATTTCTGTTTGCTCATCACCATTTTGCGCGAACTACACACACTCGGAACTGTCTTTGATCTGGTTTCTGTTCTATTTCTGCTCATTTAGCTTTTTACTTTACCACTAGGGAAACCTTTGCTATCAGTATACATATTATCAATTCCTGCATGTTTTCTACACTCAAAATGCTCAATACAATAGGTGGATCTTGATCAATGATCGTTGAGCTCATTTGACAGGTTCTTCTATTGGTTTTGTAAAAAAAATGTGTGAAAAAACTGAAACGGAGTAACGAAAAAAGTGTGAGCAAATACAGTAGCAGGCGTATAAAAGAGCAACTTTTAGGTGGGAGAACCAAGAACCTTCACATTCTTCTACAATTCCTTCGAAAATGAACGCCAAGTTGTAAGTTGCACGTGATGGTTTTTCCGAGTCTACAATATCCATTTGCAGCCTTCTCTGCGTGCTCGCCCTCGTCATGTGCTCAATTGTGCAAGAAGCATCGGCTCAAGTGTACGGATACGCCTCCTCTTACTACCCGTCCTACTACGGAGGATACGGTCTTGATGCTTACGGAACCTACGGAGCCTATGGATACGGATCCGCCTACGCTGGATACGGATACTACGGAAAGAGAGAGGCCGGGTTCGGACCTTCTCAGGCCAACTGATTGTACATATGTTTGAACGAAAACTGAAAAATGAAATGAACATTTACTCCAACTTTCAATGTTTTTTGTTACAATCCGAAGCCAGAAGCACCTCATACCGTCGGAATGGAAGCACTCTTTCTCTCGGTTTCTTTCGCCTTTGTCTTCCGTTTCTGCCACCCATCGTCTGTAATTACAGTCCGTCTCGCGCCTTTTGCCCATCATATTTGTCCCCGTATATTGTATTTCGTCGCCTTTGCGCATAAATAACCTTGCACCTCTTCTTTCCGTTTCTTCTTTTTCTTCGTCTTCTGTTCCTTTTTATTTGTGAAAACCAGTTTCTCGCCAGCCTGGTTATGATGACGTCATCGGCGAGGTGGATTGTGACGTCACACAAACGGAAGGAGAAGATATCTTTGCAAACGTTTTTGCAGATATTCGGTGTCTGTCCGAAGCCGTGAAATACAGAAACCCTCAAGTGGCGGTGTTCTATTTTTCATTAATTTGATTATTTTGTTTTGCCGAACTCGAAATGGGATTATGAACGGGATTACTGTACTGGTTGTTTACCTGAAGACATCGCAAATCCGGTCTGGCCCAAATAGCGTACAACCTAGATTTGTCAGTTTGAGTACTGTCTGTCTCGAGGTCAAAACAATAATGGCGGACTGAAATGAAATGAGTCAAGGTTTATACGAATATGAATGGCCGAGGAAGATGGAATGGAATGGATAGAGGACCGGCGGCCTGACAGTTACAAACTTGAGGGAATGACTAAAATCAGTACTGTTTGAACCGCAACTACATCAATCACAATAACTACTATCAGTGTAACGTACTCGTGTTCGCTTTGTTCCCCAGCAACCCACTAAAACAACAGCGTCACCTGTCAGTTCCACTCGGTTCCAGCCGTCCGTCTATCCAATCTTCCGCTAATGAAACATTTAGGGTGACAGAAATCCGGAGGAGATCGGTCAAGGACAAGCCGGAAGTGAGGGAAAAGGAAGGAAGTTTGGGATGGGATCAAGGTCTGTTTAGGCTGAACAACGGCATTGCACGGCATCATTGGAAACAAAAAGGGATATACTTCTCTGACGCCGATTCGGAGATATCAATTTTGATGGGATTGGCATGGATATCTGTAAACGGCGGCTATTGGGGAAATGTCAATGTGATCTTTCAGAATATGAAGGGGAAGACAGCAGCTCAAGTTCTAGGCGTACAAGTTCCGAGAAGTACGGATTTTCTGTCAAAAGTTTGAATTTCGCGGGCTTGAGCTCCGTATTTAGTGCGAAATCAGGTTGCCACGTCAAATTAACCTTTTGCTTTGATACTCCCAATCTCATAAGTTCTCCTACATTCGACAGAACTTTCAGACTCGGCTTCAAGTAAAGAACAATGGCATAAGCAGATGAAGAATTCCTAAGAAGGAAGTCAAAATCGGATTACTTTTTCCTCCGTAACTTTAACTTCCTTTCTAATCGCATACCCCACCTGACTGCCAAAAAACAACGCGTCTGCCCTTCCTTCCTTCCTTCCTTTTCTATACCGGCTGTTCTTCTCTGGCACCGCCCATCGTTCATGGCAGGAATTGACCTTCTGTTGAAGAATATAAAAGAAGTCGTCGTCGTGTGTTCAGAATAAGATACACAAAATGTTCGAAGAGAAGCTCCTCGTCGGAGTTGCCTCCTTCGCCTCGACGGTCGCGGTGATCGCCTGTCTTGTGGTGATCCCGTCTCTGTACAGCACTATCAATGAAGTCCATGAGGAGGTCAGTTTCTGTAATTAGTTATCAATAGGCTTCATGTTGTAATATTTTAGGTTCTTGATGGAGTGAACGTGTTCCGTGTGGAAACCGATGCCGCGTGGGTCGAGATGCTCGATGTGCAGGTCATGGTTTCTCCGCCATCCAAGCCCAAGGAGAACCCGTTCAACTCGGTCTTCCGTCAGAAGCGTCAGACATTCTCCGGCCTTCCAGCCTGGTGCCAATGCGAGCCAGCAAAACCACATTGCCCACCAGGACCACCGGGACCACCAGGACGGCCAGGACAGCGAGGAACTCCAGGAAATCCAGGACCACGTGGACAGGACAATCATCAAGTGCACGCTGCAATTAAGTGCCCACAACGTGCTCCAGGATGCGTCAAGTGCCCACCAGGAGCTCCAGGACCATCAGGACCAAGTGGACCATCCGGAAGACCGGGACCGGACGGACGACCAGGACAGCCAGGAAGAAGAGGAAACGACGGACGACCAGGACAACCGGGACCACAAGGAAACGCCGGACAGCCAGGAAGAGACGGAGGGCCGGGACAGCCAGGACATCCAGGAAAGGACGGAAGAAGGGGAAGAGGACTGCCAGGACCAGCCGGAAGACCAGGCCAAGGAGGAAAGCAAGGATCTCCAGGACAGCCGGGAAGAAACGGAGAGAGAGGTGCGGACGGACAGCCAGGACCAGCCGGAAGACCAGGACAGCCAGGAAACCGCGGATCCGACGGACACCCGGGCACTCCAGGAGGCCGCGGACTGCCGGGACCGGATGCCGCCTACTGCGCCTGCCCACCGAGATCGTCGGTGTTCGTCAAGTCCAGAAGACACTAAAAACTTCTCATTTCTGCAATATTGATTCCCTTTGCTCTGCCGCGTGTCTAATAAACCTTTATGCCTTAAATCTACTGTTGTTTTCTGGGAAACTTGGATATAATTGTTGGTTGTCTTGAACCGAAGCCACAAGGTTTTCAAGTGCGACCCCAGTTGGAGACCATAGTCCAAAAGTACTCGAGAAAGTTTTGTGTCTTCTGGTTACTTCTCAAAAATTCCTCGACACGGAAAACCTGTCTCTCTCTCTCTCTCTCTCCCTCTCTCTCTCCCTCTCTCTGACTCTCGTCAACCGAAATGGCCGTTCTGAAAGCGAAAGCGGTCATTGTGTGTCCGCCCGCAATAAGTGCAGAAAAAAGCGTTCCCCTCGCCATCTTCTTCTCTTTTCACCTGCCCTTATCATCCCACCTATATCACATTTGCGTCATCGAAACGGTTTGGAAAAGAAGAAGAAGAAGAAGAAGAAGAAGAAGAAGAGAAAGACCCAATTAGGTCACACACGGAAAGAAAAACGTTTACGTTTTACGGCGTGCAATTGAGAGAAAAAAGAGAACGGAGAGTGGCGATGATAAGAGTAAAAAGATGGGGACGGGGAGGCGCCGCCCATTTTGCGCCTGGTGCGGCGACCTTCTCCGGAAGACTATAAAAGGCGAGTAGACGGGGTCAAGAAACAATCACATCGACTTCCCCTATTCTAGAAGAAGACTAAGAAGCAGAAGATGTTCGAGGAGAAGCTTCTGGTTGGCGTCGCCTCCGTGGCATCCACGATTGCCGTGCTGGCGTGCGTCGTTGTCATTCCGGAGCTCTACTCCACGATCAACGAGATCCATGATGAGGTAACCTTTGTTTGATTCCATCGAATCCACAAACTCATCTTTACTTAGGTTCTTGATGGAGTGAACGTGTTCCGCGTGGAAACCGATGCCGCGTGGGTCGAGATGCTCGATGTGCAGGTCATGGTTTCTCCGCCATCCAAGCCCAAGGAGAACCCGTTCAACTCGGTCTTCCGTCAGAAGCGTCACACGTTCTCCGGTCTTCCGGCCTGGTGCCAATGCGAGCCAACTAAGCCACGTTGCCCACCAGGACCACCAGGACCACCAGGACATCCAGGACAGCGTGGAATCCCGGGAGTTCCAGGACGTCGCGGTCAGGACAACTACAACAGAATCGCTCCTCCAGCCTGCCCACAACGTGCTCCAGGATGCGTCAAGTGCCCACCCGGAGCTCCGGGAGCCCCAGGACCAGTTGGACCAGCAGGAAGACCGGGACCAGACGGACGTCCAGGACAGTCGGGCACTTGCGGATCTATCGGACAGCCTGGACAACCAGGACAGCCAGGAAATCCAGGACAGCCAGGAAGAGACGGAAACCCAGGACAAGCGGGACGACCAGGAAGGGACGGACGTCGTGGTCACGGAGCTCCAGGAGCGCCAGGAAGACCCGGACAACCAGGACGTCAAGGAGCGTCAGGACGCCTGGGACAGCCAGGTCAGCAGGGAGGACAGGGACCGAGTGGACCAGCTGGAAGACCAGGTCAGCCAGGAAACCGAGGATCCGACGGACACCCGGGAGCTCCTGGAAACCCGGGACTGCAGGGATCCGACGCCGCCTACTGCGCGTGCCCAAGAAGATCGGTTATGTTCCTCAACCGTCAGTAGATAACTTCTTCAGCTATAATAAGAGAATCGAAAAAAAAAGAATTAATAAACGATTTATTCTCCCTGTCTACTTAGTCTTACACTTTACACTCCTTATCTTTTTGTACCCGTCCTCGATCATCTGCCGTCCTTTCATATTGTGCACAGCGATGATCAGTGGTTTCCCATTGAAACATTTGAGCTTTTCCGGAATTAGTTCGAACACATAACGGAGCAAAATCCTCGACCAGTCGAAGCGCGGAAGTTTAAGTCCTTGGGCAACTACTCCTGTCCAGAAGACGTCCTGGAAGACCGGTGTTTTTTTGTATTTCTTGGCATCAACTCGTGAAAAAGTCACCTCGATAACCCATTGTTTATACTTTTTCGCCTCCTCCAACATTCTGGGAATCGCATTCTTGCCTATCAGATAGATCGGTCCGTCACAGTACCACGGGAAGAACTTGGGAGCCCAGAGACTCGTCGGCACGTACCTTCAACATCCGCATCAACCACCTCTTCCCTCTTCAATTCCCTCACCATCTGTGTTTCTTCTCCCTCATCGGCGGCGCATTCTTCCACACAATTCCGCTGACTCCGTCGACGCTCGCGAGTTTCGGATTACCGAGAGTGTTCACCAATGCGTCCATGTCCACGGCCATGTCGTCGTCGATCTTCAGCTGGAAGTCCGCAGAGTCACAGAATGTGTGTTTGTACGCCAGGAGCGCGTGCACTTTCAGAGTGAGCAACTCGTACGATTCGTACAAAGTTGTGACAATCAGGTCGTCGAACGTGTCGATTTCCTTCTGGAGTGCAGAGTTCAGGAATTCGTTGTCTGATTTTGAGATGATAAATGAGATTCTGACGTCGTTATTCTAAACGTTTATTGCTCGGTCATTTTGTGGTCCAAAATGCAAAAGCACAATATATCATACCGCCAAATGCTCCGAGTTGTTGGGATTCGCCCACGTGCTCCGGATGGCCTGTCTGATTTCAAAGTTCCCGGCGGTCGAGAGAATCGTTATTTGTAGTTTGGTATTGCTAAACGAGTACTGTAAATAGCTCCAAAGGTCTAGCGTCAACTCACTTTGTGCACGGCCTCTTTGGAATTGTCAAAAACTCATAACTATGATTCTGGTCTTTAAACTGTGCAATGAAACTAGGAAGTTTCGTGCGGTTTTGTGAATTTTCGGCAATTTGAAGTGAGGTAGAGTCTGTGGAGAACGTGCGAATGCGCTCGAGGTTCAGGAACACAGTGGCATCTGAAAATGACGTTTTGTGGAGACAACAAATATTTGTCGTTGGAATACATGGGAAAGCAATGGTCTGGACTGACAAAAACTTACAAACAATGACTGCGAGTACAATGTATTTCCACAATCTGCGCCAAAGATTCATGCATGAATCTGAAACAAGTCTCGCGTGAAAAGAGCATCAAGACACGGAGAAGAAGAGTATGTGGTGGAATCGAACAATTCGCATGCTTTATGACTGCCACATATTGTCGCTAGGAGAACGAGAAGCTCCACGAAAAAGAAAGGGAAGAGAAAAGGGCGTAGCCGTTGGATACATAAGCAGAAGCCGTCTTCGCACCTGAAGACGTGCGAGAAGAGGGGCGAGACGCAGGGGGAGAGTGTTTGTTCACAAACTTGCAAATATAAACTGCATATCCGGGTGGACTTTGTGTTTGAACTGGCTGTAAGGGACTACTAAGTGGTTCAATTTGACAAGAAAAAGCTGTTGCTTCATTTCCGCACACGACCAGGTCAGTTACGGAATCCAAAATGATGATGATCATTTAAAAAAAAAGGAAAAGGTTTGCATTGGTTCTTTCTTTTTTCAAACGGATTTCATTTCACTAATCCGCTTCCGTTTGAACTTTGCCGTGTTTTGATCAATTTTTCAATTTGTCAGACTTGCATGTATAATCAGAATGATCAGCAAATAATATAAATGTTCATTTGAAAAAGCAATAAGTGGATGGCATGACACAACCAGTGTGATTCACAATGCATTCAACTGATCGTTTGCAGTTTTTCCCTTTCGCCGGAGAGTTTGACGAGCGGAATGTCGCGAACGTTTCTGCCGTTGCTGCTTTCGTCGACGTTCCTGACACAACTCTCGTCCTTTTTGGAGCAACAGTAGCAGAATGGAATGAGCATCAGAAGGATGATGAAGAGGACGATTCTGGAAAAGAGTACAATAGTTGGGCAGGTCTTGACGCCGTTTTATGCGTACAATTTGATGTAATCTCGGATGGCGTGACAGCAGTACATCCCACAGCACTCTATCATTTCCCCAGAACATCCAAAGTAGATCGATTGAGCAGATGTTCCGTTTTGGAATGTGACCTGCAAAGAAAAGACGTTTTAGAATATTCAAATGCTCCTTTTCATTTACATTTAGTAATTGTCCGTCGTCGTCTCCGAATTTGTACTCGCACAAAATGGGAAACTCCAACGGCGAGAGGTTCTCTTGAGCATACGCACTGCTCCAGTAATAGTAGCGATTGTCATATCTGAAATGAAGTTGTGCGACTTTTTGCAAATGGACCGGGGCTTACTTACTGGATAGGCCTGGCGATTGAGAGGATCATGAACGGATGGGTTGCGCTTGAGGAGAAGATCGGACGGGAAATATGGGGTTCCCGTGAGAACAGAGTGGATCGGAAAGAGTTGGAGCCGTAGCTTTCAGACGGGGAACTGCTGCCTCTGAAATCAGTTATAATTGAACTCCTTGAACTAACTGAACCTATTTATATGGAGCTTGAAAATGACCTGTAACGCTTATTCAAGATGTATGTAGAGTTATCAAAAAGTATTCTCAACCGATAAATTGTTCAAAAACACATTGTGCACACTTCAGCAGTTGAAAACGTTTGGATCTCTCTGCCGGTAGCTGAGAGCCTTCGTCTTGGATAAGTGCCACTACAGAACCCGAAAACTCACGTCTTCCATCCCATCGCTCCACTCCTGACACCTCCATAATAGTGACTGCTCCCGTGGATCGATGCTCTTCCTCCGCCCCTTCCGACTCCCGCTCTGGCTCCGCCGCCGCCTCTTCCGAATCCACTGAATCCTCCACCTCTTCCACCTGCAGAACCGCCTTTCGCGAGAACTTCAGAGAACAGAAAAGTGGAAATGAACACGAGAATGTTCATACAAAAGGGATTCTGGAGTCGAATGTCTGAAGTCAACTGAAGAGTTGTTCGGAAAAGTCACGAAGCTCGCGTCGTGAAGCGAAGAGATAATAAAGTTGTCGTCGGGACTGCCGACGCGCGGGGAGACGGGAGCATAGAAGTGGAAAATGGAAACATTTCCGATATCCATTACAGATGAATGAAAGAGAAATGAGGAGGAGAAAAGGAGAAAAGACGGGGAAATGTCAGTGGTGATGAGCCAGATGAGCGAGAGAGTAGAGATTCAGAGAGGGGGAGAGAGAGAGGGGGATGGCGAGCAGGGCAAACACTGTTGTACCGCAAGAACTGAGAATTGATGAGCGTCGTTGTTGAATGAGAGAAGTAAGAAGAAGAAGAAGAAGAGAGAGAGAGATGTCCGCAAGTGATTAGACACGTGTTGACGACCACAGAGCACGTTCTCCGCTGCTAAGTTTGAATGCTCCCTTGAGCATCATGCCTTTCCGTAATGTCCTGGAATCGACAATGCCAGACCGAACGCGCGATTAGCCTGCCGTGCGCAAGATCAGAACACCTGACACAGATAGTTGAAAGATAATATTGACCAGGAGACGTTACGAGATCGGACAATGCAAGTAAGATGCATTTTATTGCAAAGTATCATCAAATTATGCTTTTCCATCAGAACCCAACCGATCCAACTCGAATCCTCGCCTTCTCCCCGGCTCCAGATGCCAGTCGAACTGACGGAGCTCCTGAATTCCTCGTCGCGTACACATTCCGATTCACAATCATTCCGCACACTTTCTCAACCTGTGCGAATTGCTTAACGGCCGCACTCCGCCACGGACCGAACGGTCGGAAGTCGTCCAAAATCGGTTCCGTTTCCCCCCGAGCTCCCACTCCGAGAACATGCCAGTACCAGAGAAGAACATCAGAGCTCAGAGTGTTCCATCCGCCCGTGATCTCCAGCCAGTCGTAGAAGGAGGTGTAAATGCCTGCGGTTAGGCCAAGATCCTGAAAAAAAAGTTGAGTCTTATTGAATTGAATAAGTGTTGTGCCAGATTGCTTACTTGAACTCGTTGTACCATTTCTTGGATGAACTCAATGCGTTCAACCAACGTTCCTTTCCAATTCGACGGAGATGTCACTTGAATCCAGATGGACTTCACGTTCACTCCGTTGTTGTACAAATTCTGATACACCAGACTGACCTGATCGGCGCCCGATCTACTCGAGTTGATGTTTGGAGTAATGTACACTTCGGATCCGATTCCAGCTGAAAACAAATAATCGGGCAAACTATCCTTTTGATTTGGGTGTAACTTACCATCATACGCATTGTTAATAGTGTTCAGAGCTTCTCGATCAAAGTATCCATTGCCAATTGGATTGAATGCTCGCACGAAGACTGTCTTGTACCCCTGATCTCTCAAACAGTCCATGTCGCTCAAAAATGTGTGGAATGCCACGTCGACGCCATACGCATGAGTCGGCGAATCCCGTTCGTCGTAGGGGATTTCGGGAGCATCCTCCACTTGGGGGATGTTGTAATCCGGAGTGATGACGAGTTCAGGGACCTTAGGTTCAAACAGATTCCATTGCGGGGACACTGTGGGCAGCGAATATGCCGGAGCGAAAGCGACGATGAGAAGGAGGAGAGGAAAGAACGATGGCATTGTGAGAGGGTGGCAAAATGAAACATTGGACTGCTTTTATTCGGTCCAGAGTAAACGACAATAAAGTTGTATTTTTGGGTGATGAGAGTGGGAGGAAAACAAGCAATGATAAGAAGGAGAATGAGTCACTGGGAACGGGTAACGGGTGAGACACTTTTGGCATTCTGGAAGAAATGGGTAAAGAGCGGGGTATACAGACAAAACCCCCGTTGCAATATTCCGATCGGACCCAAACGATTAAACTTGGATTGAAGTAGATTCGGTCCACGTTTCAGATCAATCGACCGGATTATCTGGTCCCGATGTATGTGAATGAACACCGAAAAGGCCGGCGCTTCTCGAAAATTTTGGTATTTTCAGTTTCTAAGCCGTAAATACTGTACTAGAAAGGAAGCTCTACTAGAAAGAAACATGAAAAGCAAGAAAAGTTTTGGCCCTATCGGAATAAAGCGACTGGGCCAAAGATTCAGACCTCAAACGCCTTTGAAAAGTCTGTAGCGGGCTCACTTTGTATTCTGAAAAGATAAAATACACAACGTACAATTCAAAAAGTAGTTATACACTTGTTAAGAGTGAATTCACTGCATTGTGTTGTAGTGCACAATGCCGTAAGGCATATAAAATTGGTTCACAACTGTACAATATGCACAGGATACCACAAGATTTGGATGCTGAATATTGAGAATAAAATGCACTGGAACTTGTTTCCTCAATTTCCAAAGACCGTGGGATCACTACCAAACTGAGCGTACTTCTGATTTCTTGCCAACATCATCACGTCACTCTTCATTCTGTTATCAATTATCATCCTACTTTCATATTTTCGGAGACGTCTATTGACATTTCATTCGATTAATCAACCCTCCCGATTCGTCATTTGATCGTCCTTATCTTTGAGTAAAGGCTCGTACTTAAGCACTCGCAGATTCAATCATTTTCAGAGTCCCTCTCTCTCTTTCTTCTTCAAAAAATGCTCAAGCTCTCTGCTCTCACTTTCCTATTCGTCTTGGCTTCTGCTAAGCCACAGAACCTCGAGCTAAACCGAATCCTCCCGCTTCCCCAGGACAACTTCAAAGTCTCCGAGATTGGATTCGAGAAGATCGAGGCCAAGCCGGCTCCGGAAGTCGTCAACAACGATGCGTCTTACGGAAACGCCGTCGACTTCTCCGTGCCAACCAGTGCCGCCATGATGACGTGCTTGAAGAAGGCCAAATACCAGACTGTCTTCGTGCGTGGGTTCGCTCCAGCTGGCTCCGGATCTTTCGACATGAACTCTGTCGGAACCATCCGTAACGCCTACTCTGCCGGATTGGGAATCGAGGTGTACATGACTCCGCAGCCAGTCTCCAGCTATCAAGGATACCAACAGCTGGATATTCTCTACAATGGACTCACTCAAAACGGAATCACTGTCCGATCTGTCTGGATTCAGGTGAGCCACAAAAGTCGATGATTTTCTGAACTCTCTCGCATTTGCAGGTCACTTCTCCTGCTAACTGGCTCAAGGACACGACCGCCAACATCAACTTTATCAACAGCATCGTCTCGCGCGCCAAGCAGTACGGACTCACTGTCGGAATCTACACTAGCCAGTACGACTGGAGCCAGATCACCAACAACTGGAGCACACTATCCTCGGATACCCTCCTCTGGTACTGGAATGTTCTCGGAAGCGGCGTTTCCGGAGAGACCAAGGCTAACTTTGACGACTTCCGCGCCTTCGGATCGTTTAAGAAGGCGTCGGTCAAGCAGTACGCTCAAATGGAATCTGTGTGCCAGTTGACTGTTAACCGAGACGTTTACGCCGTCGGAATCCCGGCGGCCGCCCAGAAATCTGCTTATGAGAAGGTGGAGGGAAAGATTGTTGTTGGAGGAGTCGTTGGATTCTGAACTCTGCTTTAATTTGATGATCTCACATGATAATAAATTTGAAAGAAGATAACTTTTATTCCATGTCAAAGTTGCCACCCACAATGATACTCTCTCCGTCAGACAATGACGAATTCATGCGTTTGAGGCTATTCATCTTGAATACGTTCCGACTAACTTTCAACTGACAAAGGGATTCTCCATGTGCAAACTGTTTGATCGTTGGCTTTTCGAATGGCCCAAATGGTTGAAAGTCGTCAAAGTTGTGTGCAGTCTCTCCGTCAATTCCTCGCCACCGAACACTGTGATACCAAACGGGAATACTCGATCTGATAATATTTCGCTTTCCAACAATTCTCATCCAATCTTTACGGTCCGTATAAATGCCAACAGGGATGTCTCGTTGCGCGGCGCGAACCATAATGCTATTGAGGAAAAGGACGCTGGCGGTTTGATTGAACACCGGCCATTCGCTCTCATTCATTGTGAGTTCAGTCGCCTGAAATTCAAGAGCATTTGAATAGAAATGAATGGAAAAAGGGAGACAACTGACAAGTATCCAAATAGACTTCAATTTGATTCCATTGGTCTCTAAAGTATCAACCAAAAGATCAAACTGCGCCGCTCCACTGAGTCTTGACTCGTACTTCACGTGCATGTAAACTTCAACCCGTAGCCGTTCCGCATGTGCTTTCTTTATCGCATCCACTGCATTCGGATCCACGAATCCATCATTTTCGGGTCGGAACGCCCCAATCAGAATCAGTTTGTACGTGGAGACACGCAGACAGTGCATCTGAATCGCAGTGACTTCTCCCTGATAATCAACAGCAAATGAATAGGAAGGATCATCTGGAGGCGACGTGGTTGGGTAGTCAAAGTAAAAGGCAAATATTGGGATGATCAATGAGTAACTAACGAGGACCAGCCCCAACATTTTCGGTTAGTTGGGAAGCCATACACGGTGTTATTCGAATTGATCTCTTGTTTTAATCCTCTTTAAATTTTTTGGAGTTTGATTTTGTTTCAACGAACTTCAAGAATACATAATTTATTTCCTGTTCGACACGAGAGATCAGCTTATACGCTACTATCTTCAGAATCCGACGACTCCTCCGACAACAATGTTGTTGCTGTCGTTGGTGAAGAACGCGGACGACTTCTGAGCGGCGGCGGCGGCCGGGATTCCGACGGCGTACACGTCCCGGTTGACGGTCAGCGAGCAGAGGGACTCAACTTGCGCGAACTGCTTGACGGAAGCGGCTCTGAACGATCCGAAGGCGCGGAAGTCGTCGAAAGTGGCCGGGGTCTCGCCGGTGACTCCTGATCCGAGCACGTGCCAGTACCAGAGAAGGACGTCAGAGGAAAGCGTCGCCCAGCTGTTCGTGATCTGGCTCCAGTCGTACTGGTTCGTGTAGATTCCGACAGTGAGTCCGTACTGCTTGGCGCGCGAGACGATGCTGTTGATGAAGTTCACGTTGGAGGTAGTGCTCGACTGCCAGTTGGCCGGGGAAGTGACCTGTAACACAGGATTATTTCGTTGCTATCATTAATAGTTTTCTGACCGAAATTTGAAAGTTTTAGAGTGATACTGATATGCTGATAAGAAGAGTGTTTGAACAAACCTGGATCCAAACAGATCGGATGGTGATTCCGTTTTGAGTGAGTCCGTTGTAGAGCAGATCAAACTGTTGATATCCCTGATAAGTGGACAATGGCTGCGGAGTCATGTAGACCTCGATTCCCAATCCAGCCGAGTAGGCATTGCGGATGGTGGTGATAGAGTTGGTGTCAAAGACTCCGGAGCCAGTTGGAGCCAATCCGCGCACGAAGATCGCCGAATACTTGGCCGTCTTCAGACAGTTCATCTGGGAAAGAGTGGTTGGAACGGAGAAGTCGACGGCGTAGGCGTAGGAGGCGTCGTTATTGACGACTTCCGGAGCCGGCTTGGCCTCGATCTTCTCGTATCCAATCTCGGAGATTTCGAGGTTGTCCTGAGCCACAACTCGGTTGGATTGGACGTCCTGTGGCTTGGCAGAAGCCAGAGCGAAAAGGAAAGTGAGAGCGACAAGCTTGAACATTCTGAAATGATAACAAGTTTACAAGTGATTGAGAAAGAAAAGTGTTGATGGCAGCAGCAAGAAGACACAAACTAAATGAATGAGTCGGTGATTGATGACGGCTCGTTTAAGTAGAGAGTGATAAGGGCAATCAGCGAGGAGGAGGAGTGACGAGAAGAGGGATCGGAAGAGGGAATTAGTCAGAATCAAATGGCAAGCAGATGGAGCACAAGGCTGATAATGAAGGCAGCACACTAGAGAGTTTGTGCTTTATCGGAGGTGACGTGAGATCAGCGAGCACTCGCAAACTATGAAATGACAGTAGACTAGGCAATTGGCCGGCCAGCACTTTTGAACCACTTGCTTTCGGCCAAAATCGGTTCTCAATCACTATATCTCGAGAGTAATCTGTCTGAATCTTGAACGCAGAATACTTCAATCCAAGTGTAAAAAGCCTCCAAAGTTTGGGTCCGATCGGACTGTTGCAAGTGGATCAAAAGTCCAGCCCTGCAGTAGACAGTTTGAGGACGAATGATGCGATGATAGTGTAAAGTTGAAGTTGAAGTTACCTAATTACAACAAAATCTGAAGAAATGAGTCAGATCAGCAAACCACACTTCCTCGACCCATTTCGCTACCGTGTCCATCAAAATCGGCTCAAATCAGCTTGTGCACCAGGATCACCTCAAAGCCGGGATTATCGGAAAAGTATGGTGTTGGTCAGTTCATGATCGACAGTTTTTAACTTGTACATTTTGATTTGGTTGCGAAATGGGTCGGTTGCCGAGTGTCTACCACAATTTCTTCCCTTTCCCATTCACGCCGACCGCTTTCCCATTCAATTCATTTTTCCCATTTTCCGTTTCAATAAAATATTCGGTCCATTTGCTCTCTCGCCATTCCCTCATTGTCACTCTTCGAAAGGACCGGCACAACAATTGAAGGGGACCACTTCACCAAACTTTTCCTTTTCTATTCTTTCCTGCTGGAAACGACAACTTTTTCCCCCTTTTTTCTTCTTCTTCTTTTTCTTTTTTTCGCTCCGAGATTCGAGTCAATCAGAAAAGAAAAGGAAAGGGCGAGAGAGAGAGAGAGAGAGAAAGAGAGAAAACGAGGCTCTCGTTCGCCCCCAAATGAGTTTTCTTTCCTTCGTCGCGGCGAAAAGAAGGCAAATTAAAAGAAGAAAGTCACGGGAATAGCTGAAAAGATGTCTCATGTCTAGGATAAGTCAAAGGGGTAAAAAAGAAGAAGAAGAAGAAGAGCGAAGATGTACTTGAATATTTATACGCGACTTTTCAGAAATCAGAGATCTGTAGGTTGATCAGAGATCGGACAGAGAAAGACCAGGATTGGCTGAAAAAAAGAACAACCTGGAATTTGTGGCATATCTTAAGGTCCAAGGTCATCATAGTAACTGAGAATGTTTCAAGAACATTGTCCTAGTGCGTTCGCCCTCCAGAAACCGCGCACCGATTTCTTCTTCTCCTTCTTCTCCTCCCCATTCGGACCCCATCGTCTTCACAATACGGCTCTCTCCTGACACGTCATCAATGATGCGAAAAAAAACGCATTCATAATAACGAGCGGTCGGCTTCCGGCGCGCACACGCAGCCAGCACTCGTATTATTTCCGGGCGGGCATTCGTGTCCGTTTTGTGCCCGTCGCGCGCCACGAAAACTCGCTCTTCCCTTCTCTGTTTTATGTGTCCTCCGATGGTTTCGCTCCGCCGTCCCCTTTTACGAGTTCCTCCTCCGCTCGCTCCGTTTCCTTTTTCATTGATCGCCTCTTTTTTGCTCTTCTCTCCGTTTTTGTTCGCGCCTTTTATGTCAGAGGATCTATGCACGTAATGAAGTCAATTGGGACTGATTGAGTGAGCAATCCACTCACGTCCTTTTCAATGGAGTGCGGCTGGAAATAGAATACGTTACGTAGTCGGACTTGTGTACTTTTGGCTTTGTTTGGCACAGTTAGCAGTATGGAATGTCTTATTGAATTAGCTTGATTACCTAGGAGTTCAGAAATCGCCCTAAAGGTGACGGGAATTCAAATGTTTCCAAGGAAAGTTCGGATCCGATTGGTAACTTGAGAGCAGCTGTCGGAAGTCCAGGAAAGCTCAATGATCTGCGTTATTCTCACCCTTAGAACACCTTCCACTCTTCCGTAACACTCAAAAGTTTTCGCCGACGTTTCGTGGTCTTTTGTCTTTAGCTCCTCAAAACAAAAGAAGATGGTGCTCTCCTTCTCTTCAATTCCTTCCGAAATGTCAATCCATCATGCTCTAGCCGTTGACCTCGTCTCCATGACGTCTTCTTCTCCTTCTTCTTCTTCTTCATCTTCCCGGCCGGCTCAAATGCACACTTCTCCTTTTCCCCTTCTCCTTCTTCTTCTTCTTCCTAATCCCCTAGTTGAAAGAGAAGAAGAAGAAGGAGAAGAACGTCTTCTTACTTTTCGGGGCGACGACTCTAAGACGAAGAAAACGGGAAAAAGAAGAAGAAGAAGAAGAAGAAGACGACGACGAAGTGAGGAGTGCGGAGCCCGCGCAAACGCATCGATCGGCCGAAGAAGACGGAGAAGGAGAGAGAGAGCAAGCGGCGGGTGTGCTCCGTGAGCACACACACACACACACACATGGGCTCTCTCCGGAGAGCAAGAGCACATACATGGCCATCCCGACCGACAATCCCGAAAAGAAGAAAAAGTATTGCGAAATCGGAATGGACGTGGAAATCCGAATCTTTCTCCCCGTTTTCCTCCCGTTTCCCACTCGGTCGGACCGCACGTGTCTCATCCCCTCCCACCTCTTTTACAATATCCAATTTCGTCGGTCCAACCTTTTTTTCTTGTTATTCCTCATTCGTTATTTGCCCCGCCCGCCCTTATTCCGTGTCATTCCCTTGTTTTTCTCCGCTTTCTCAGCCTTCAGTTTCTGATACCTGCTCGCGTGACTTCACTTTTGCAGAATGTCAGCCAGAACCGTGTAATTGTAATTCAGAACGTCATCATCATCATCTTCTTCTTCTTCTTCTTCTTCTTCTCTTCCGTAGTATTATCTTTCCACTTTTTCCATCACTTTCCCAGTTTCTCAGCCATTTTCCCGTTCTTTATTCGCCATCAAAATGAGCGAAGGAAAGTGAGAAATGACAGTGTTTTCTTCGATTCGATTCCATTTCATTTCCACGTCAACAATGTTTTTCGGCAATTGTTTCACCTGCTCCGCGGCAACACCACAAAACACGAAACGTTATTGAGTTGCTCGTTATTCTTGGGAATTCTGGAAAGATGACGTGGCAGAGCTTCTGACGTGAATCGTAGTTGGCGCAGTGCACCATAAAAGTGCAATACTTTCTAGCTGTTTGTAGAGATATCCAAAAGTGGTCAACAGAGAAAACATTCACGACGTCTTAGTGAGCAATTTGCTAGTTGACAACTTTTTGATATCTTCACCGACAGCTTTCCAGACGATTTCCGTTATCATTGTTCTTGTAAAATCTCATCCGCTCAATATATTTTAGGGGCGCGCATTTTGTGTGTGCCCTTGGCTTGGCGGCAATTCAGATTACAAATATCCGTGGCGTCCAACATCAAAGATCCGATCCACGTCCCGGCTTCTGATTCTGATCATCCCGCCCGTTTCCTTCCTTCCTGCTGCCACGTCAGCCTTCTCTAATCCCCCGGGGTTTTGTCAAAAAGTGACATTTCACTCGATTTCACAAATGTTCCCCCCTTTCTCTTCTCTTCTCCTCCTTGTTTTTTTTTCTTCTCGGAAAGATCGAATCGAATCCTTTTTTTTCGCCTCGCGCCCAAAAAAGTTTTTGTTTTTTTCGCCTTTTTGGCAAGTCAGACACATCGTGCGCGGCCCATTCAAAAAGACGCTCATTTTATGAATAATTGCCTTTTTCGCTCTCCCCTCTCACTCGTGCTCACAGCTTTTTGTGCAGTGAGCCGGCAGGAAATTGGAAAGAAAGTGGGTTGCAAACTTTCTTTTTCTTTTTGAAAACGGAAAGTCTTGTAGACCTAACTCTAACTCAAGAACTTTACGAATCAACTGAAGTTTCCACTTTTGTCAGAGCCATTTCGCAACCGATAAGTCGACACTTTGCAACTCGACCTCATTAAGAGTTTTGACAGGTGCTTTCTCGGCGCAATTTCCTTCCGTTTCCACTTGTTATTCTCTCGCTCTCCCGCTCACTTTCGTCTTAAAAACACATTATCGGGAAGCGGAGTGAGAGGAAAAATACAAATTTATGAGTGGATTAGCATAATCCGTGGGCCGCTCTCACTTATTCTAATCCTGCTCCATTTCACTTCTTCCTTTTCCTCTCTATCCTGAATAACTTTTTCGCGATTTTTCAGGTCGAAGAGCACCGCCAAACGCAATCGGAATGCCGGGCGACGACGATGTTCCAGAGAGCCTCGAGACGATCAATCTGAAGATGAATGCGACGACCGACGATGTGAGTGGGAGCCAGAATCAAACAATTATTATAGGGACACCGGACAGAAAGGGCGCGCTGATTGCAATCTGGCAGAATTTCCAGGCCGCGAAACGTGGCCTAGCTTTTCAAACTCGGCCCCGAGGTCGCTCAATTTACGAAAGAGTTTCTCAACAGAGCGCCATTTCTGTGCGGTGCCCTTTTAATACCTCGATGGTCTCGAAAGTTTTGCGGGTGTGCGAAAATACTTTATTATGGCACGTCATGAGAAATGAGAAAGGAAAAGTGAAAAGTCAACTCGATACAGGATTACTCGGATTAGAAGATGATTAGATTAATTAGACTTAGAGCCCGTTGTTCTTCTGCGCTGCAAATCCCTAATTTTTTAATATTATGTCTGTCCATCGCGGTCTCCCGCTATGCCAATCTCCTGCAAAAACTCGGCCATGGCCGTGAGAACAAGCTGAATCAAACGCGCTCTATAGCTAGAAATTCGCGAAATTCAAATAGTCTTCGAGAAATGTCGTCAGAGAACCTTATCCTGCAAAGTTTTTGAGCAAAACACGAATATAGCGTGTCGAGAATCGATGAAAAGTCATGAAGACCAAATGTTCCCCCTGTCCGGCGCTGATTTTGACAAATCTGGAATTTTGAACGTCACGATTCCGCTCACAGCTCATTCTTCCCATTATTTTTCGAATCTTGCTGATCAAGCCGAATAATTCATAGTATCACCGCGCATTTTCACTGAGACATCATCTCGGAACCATTCCCACGGTCTGACCGACCCGAATTCGAGTAGAAAAACGAGTTTGGTGGTTCATTCAAAGGAGGAAACGAGCTGCTCGAGCCGAACCCGTTTCTTTTTGAAGTGACGAGATAATTACTCCGTGATTCCGGTTGCGAATCGAGAACAGCCACGCCAGTTCGCGTGCAACATCACTTTCTAGAGCTAAAAACACAGCCTCCAACAAATATTCGTTCGTGGAGTCTTAGCCCTGCGCGAAGCCGGTAGCAGTGTCGCTTGTGGCGCATTGACAACCTTTTGAAACTTCACACGAAAGGTCGCGGGTTCAGTTCGCACATACCGGAAACGTTTTTGGCGAGCGTGAAACCAACCTTTCTTCGCATTTTCATTTTTCTTAGTCGGCGTATGCTCGGAGAGCTCTCAAAAACAGGTGTCTCGGTGTGGAATTGATTGAATTGTCTGGGCAAACGAGCCAATTCGCCGTGGCGCCGAGAATTTCCCGCTCGACCACCGAATCAAATCAGTGTTCGCCTCCAATTGCCTTTCTCTCTTGCGCGGTAATTGCATCAGTCGGCCGGGGTTTTTCACGATTGAGTGCCCATCGCTCACCGCTTTTCGCCTTTTCTCCATTTTTGTTCGCTTTTTCGACAGCTCAGATCTGGATCCTTACTGCTCTTGTGGTTCCGCGCTCATAAAAAGTGATGATGTGGGGTCGTTGGGAAGCGAGAAGGAGTGTGTACATGCATGCATGGACCCCTTCTCTCCTTCGTTTCCTTCTTTTTTCCCCATCTTTTTCTGCCCATACCCCCCGGAATAAATTGAAAATTCGCATGTCCTTCGCTAATTTTTTTCGCGGCTCTCTCTCTCTCTCTCTCTCTCTCTGTCTCTGTCTTTCTCTCGGAATAGGGGACCTTCCTCTCATTTGGACCCACATCTCATTTATTTTCCCTTTTTCTGGCTTTTCCTTTTTTGGTCAAACCCCCAAATCTCAACGGGTAATCCTTTTTTCTCGTTCAAAAACAGGTGATTTTAGAGAAACTCTCCGTTCCACCTGTTTATTAGAACTCGGCCCTTGAACTAACAATCACTTTTTCGCAAAAAAGTGTACAAAAATGATGAGAGTGGCATTCGAACCCACGCCTCCGAAGAAGAGACTGGTGCCTTAACCGATCTCCAGCGATTCTGAACCTGCCGCCTTTGCCGTTTTGAAAGCGCCGATGTTTGCTGTCTGATTTTATGACCTTGTGGTGGATTTCTGGCAAAGTTTGATCAAAAAGTCTCGAATTTCGGCATAATTTTCGCGGTCCTCGGCAGTGGTGCCCACCCCCTTCGGACGTCAACATCTGCGGATCCATTTCTGTTCAATCAGACCTCTTTTGAGCACCAATTTCGAACCAAATTCGATTGGGCCACCATTTCGGTTTTTCCCCCATCCATCCCATCGCATTCGAGCACTCCAACTTGCGTGTAGTCGATGGCCGAGTCGGATTCTAGGCCCCACGTCTTCTGGTATGTACATACTGAAAACATACACATATCCATTACATGCACATCTGGACGACTCTTTCTTTTCTTCCTTTCCATTCCACAAACACATTTTCCTTACGTTTTTCGCCTCTCCACCATCACGAATTGGTCGGCAAGACCCCCCCCCCCCTCACAAAAGTGTGTTCTTCGTTAATTTTTTTTCAAAATCGAGTAGGGCTTCTTCAGTGCAATCCAGTTTCGAAGAAGCCCTTTCCAATGCGTCAACTCAGATTTCGCATTCGACCTCGCGTGACTCGGCCGTCTGGAAGTGTCTGTTTTTTGGGTGATTGCTACATTCCGCTTGCATTTCTGAGCCTTTCCACGTCATTCTCCGTTTCTAACGTATTTCTGCTCAATAGGCACACTAATTCAGTTTTTGAAGTGGTTCTCGAAGAGAAAAAGTGTCATATTTCGTTGTGTAATTTATAGAACCACTTCATCTTACTCACAAAAGTCGACGTCTGTCTGTCATACAAAAAATTCCATTCATTTTTGTACGTGTACTTCGACGTGGCGGTGTTTGCGGAAAATGTGCCAGACTTCACGCGCTAATAAAAATTCAAATTTACGTGCGATTTTCATTGACAAATATAGATAGTTCAACTCCCCCCTGAGGCCTCTTTTCCCACAAAATTATCAAAACAGCAGTCACTTTGGGCTATTTTTCTGACTGAGCACCGCCTCATTAGCCAATAGCATGTGCCTCCTCCGACTACTAAAGTTTTGATTGATTTGGTGGGTAGTACACGAAAAGTCCCCAGAGTACCGGAGGCTGATATCTGCCCCGGTTCTCGCCCCGGCTTCACTTTTCTCGCCCCTTCTCATTTCGAATGCATGTCCCTTTTCCATTTACGCTTTTTCTGTCGTCGTCCCGGGGCCAGCGAGTTGTCTTCTCTGCCGCCCGAATTTACTTTCTCCACTCACAAAAAGTGGGAATTTGTTTCCGTTTCCACTCGTTTCCAATTTAGTATCCAGATGGGACACCTCCGGCTCCTTCTCCTTTATCTTTTCCTTCTTCTTCTCCCTCTGCCTACTGGTGAACCCTTTCAAATATATTGGAAATGAGTAAGGGACACGAGGTTGTTGACTTGGTGACTCGGATCGGAAATGCATATGAGTATGCCTAGGGCCGTGGCTAGCTTTGGTCTCCCTCCCTTCCATGTCACTTTTTGAATGGGTTCGGTCTTTCAACAACTTCTGAATTCTTTCGGAAACTGAACGCTCGGAAAATAATAGTATCTGCTCAGTTCCAAGTATTCCGTCACTGAACAGCAAATGAGATGTTTAGTCGATTTGGTCACAAATTCCCATTCCTATCAAGTTTCTGCTCCTTCTCCTTCTTCCTCGTCTTCCAACGTCATTGTTCTTCTTCCTCTCGACGTGTGCTCCGTCAACTGTGAAATCGTTGTCATCTCTGTCTGAAATCTGATTTATGAGGCTCTCGATTGGCAGAAAATCCACTTCATTTTCTTGCCCAGGCTCTCCGACTACTCGTTCCCGCCCGCTGATAATCTCTTCGGCTGCCACTCTTTTATTGTTTTGCCCCGAATAGTCGGTTGCGAAGAGTCGAGACACGGGGATGTCGGCTCGGCGCGGCGCTCCCGGCGGCCAAAGACATCCCCGTCCGTACGCCGCCGAGCCGACCGTCGATATCAATGGGCTCGTGCTGCCGGCAGACATGAGCGATGAGCTCAAGGGGCTCAATGTGGGCATTGATGAGAAGACCATCGAGGTAGCTCGGATTGAAAATATCTAACTTTATAAGTGTTTCAGTCGCTCGAGTCCACTCGCCGTATGCTTGCTCTTTGCGAAGAGAGTAAGGAAGCCGGTATCAAGACTTTGGTGATGCTCGATGATCAAGGAGGTAACTGACAGGATAACATTCCAATTGGATTCATTCTGTCTTCCAGAGCAACTGGAGCGTTGCGAGGGCGCCCTCGACACCATCAACCAGGATATGAAGGAGGCGGAAGACCATCTGAAGGGGATGGAGAAGTGCTGCGGACTGTGCGTTCTTCCGTGGAACAAGGCGGACGACTTCGAGAAGAACTCGGAGTATGCGAAGGCGTGGAAGAAGGACGACGACGGAGGAGTGATCTCTGACCAGCCGAGGATCACGGTCGGAGATCCGACAATGGGGCCGCAGGGAGGATATATCACCAAGTGAGTTCAAAGATCCGGGGAGTGAATTGAGTTGAGCGTTTCAGGATTACCAACGACGCTCGGGAGGAGGAGATGGACGAGAACATCCAGCAGGTGTCCACGATGGTCGGCAACCTTCGCAACATGGCCATCGACATGAGCACCGAAGTGTCCAACCAGAATAGACAGCTCGACCGAATCCATGACAAGGTACACTTTTTGCTGTTTTCTCTTCTTTCACCTGCCAAATCTTGCAGGCCCAATCGAACGAAGTGCGTGTCGAGTCGGCCAACAAACGTGCAAAGAATCTCATCACAAAATAAAAAGTGCCCCACTTCTCTTCTTCTCGTTCTCTCTCTCCCTTCCATTCCATTCCATGTTTTGCCCCACCCGCTTTGGACCACCCTCTCACAAATGTCATAATAACTTTGTAGCTGAAATACCTGGTAGATTGTCTTTTTTTGCTCGCTGAAAAAGGAAAGCGCGCCGAGAGAAATTGCCTCTTTCGAAAAAAAAAATGAATAACGAACTTTTAAATGTATTGAAGAACAAAGTGTTTATTGATAAATAAAATAATAAATAAATTATAATTGTACACTCAAAAAAAAAGCATATAAAAATTTGGGGATCCTCTCGAAATCAGTTTTAAAAAGTTTAATCTGTGTTGGCGCTGCCAACGGAAGGTCCGGAAGATTCCAAAAGGGGGAAAAGGAGAATACGGAGGTTTTAGTTCTTCGTTCGCCATCATCGATTCGTCCGACTGAGGGACCCGCTGTCTCACGTATCTCAGGACCAACACGGTAGGCAATGCAGGTGCGCTCCACTGCAAATATTGCTGTAGTCGCCATACTTTCCCAAGCAATACCCCGGAATCACCACTTTCCCGTGTACATCAGAAGCATGCAAACAGCGTCCCCATCCATTCGTTCCCAATGTGTTCCCACCAGACAGTCCGTCTCCTTCTCCTCTTCTACTCCCTGATCGTTCCGTTCGTTTCCTCCCAATGCCGTGACCTCCATCCCTATTGCGAACTCTTCAAAACTCTCGAGTTGTGCTCTTCGAATGCTGCTCAGGAGCCGATCATGAAGTACAACTGTGCGCAGACGTGCGGATTCTGCGGGACCAAAGTCGGAAGTTGCGTGGATCGACTGTCCAACTGCTCCGAGTACAAGTCGTCGGGACTGTGCGAATCGGACGACAAACTGCGGATCGAGTACGCGTGTCCGTTGACTTGCGACGTCTGCTCCAGTCCCGTCTGATTACAATGAATGATTCCATGCACTATCCATTTCTACTCTAAAAAATCCAGCTCCAGTTTACATCCAGAGGCAACACAACAGGAAACGTTCTCGAAAGTTGTAATGCATTTTTATTAAAAGTAACTTTTGTACAATTCCGGATCGGAGACATGAACCCGGAAAAAGTCAAATATCCGAACAATATCCATAAAGTTCTGCCGCTCAAAGTGAATCTTCTGCGCCGCATTGATAATGTTCATAATCTTGATGAGTCTCGATGCGTAGTTGGGCAGTTTCAGTTCGGAAATGTAGTAGACGTGCAGCTCATTCGCAAGTGTTTCCTGCTCGGATTCACTCGCTTTCAGCACGTCTCCTTGCAGTTCTTTCCCTAAACATTTGCTTAGATGTTCTATTTTTATGGTGATGGATTCGAACCTGCCACGTGCCACGACAGTTGTGCCAGCATGAACGCCGTCTCGACACTCGTCAATTCCAACTCGACCAACGGCCTTCCCACCTCTTCCATCATTCGATTATTGAAGTTCTCCATGTAACTGAAAGCAGGGACGGTCAGTGTCTTTTCGTATTCTCACCCACAATTTCATTCCCTCCGCCTTTTTGTAGATGAACGATGCGCAGTCCACGCGCACCTTATTCAGGTAGGCTGCCAGTCCGGGCACGAGCGTCACAATCTGGTCCTCGTACATGCGCCGTCCGAAGATCTGAGCGGTCGAGACGTATCGCTCCAGCCGCTTCCACTGCACCCAAATCGACTTGAGCATCTGCATCTGATCCTCGTTGCGGAGAGATCGGAACGGACCGGAATGCATCAAGAACTTGGTGATGGATTTGATCTGCGCGTTGCCGGTCATCAAGACCTCCTGCATTGATATCGATTGCACGAACTGAAACATGACCTTTTTATTTTGGTTCGTATTCGTTTCCTTTAATTCCTACCTTAATAACATTGGTATGATGTATCTGCCTGTACTCCAACAGTGCGTGCTCCATTCTCTTCAGCGTGTTCATCCTGGTCACGTCATCAGAAGGCGTGAAGTAGTCAAGCACGGAGGTGATATTGTTGAGGAGCCCCGTGATGTCCAACTTCACAATCGGCTCCCCTTTCTCGTCGGTTAGCACCTCATACGTGACATCTCTTGTCCGCCGTACACAAACTTCTCGAAGCTGCGTCGCGCCGGCCGGACTGCACGGATCGGACGGCGGGTCGTGCTCGTTCTTCACTGCCGGTGACGGTTTCTTTGTGTAATTCACGGCAGAGTCGTAATTGTACTTTACATCTGAAAAAATAATGAATTACGAGTATTCTGCTCGACAAGCGGCTCCTCACTCTCCGGGGTCATGCCGCTGCCCAAACACTTTTTGTAGCGGCAGAGCCGGCACGTGTATCTGTCCGCGTTGTTTATGCCGCATTTCTCATTTTTCAGCCGGCACGTATACTTCTTCCCGAGCACTGTCGTTCTTCTGAATATCTGTCACTTTTCGCTTGTTCCTTATCACTAACCTACCTGAAAAAGGCAGCACACGCTCTGCATGAAGGCACTCCGAAGTGGACTCCGTGAGCGGGCTCACAACAGATTTTGCAGGTAAGAGTGAAGGAAGAGGGCTCTTGGAGCATTATTATTATTACAGTATTGAAGTGAAAGGGAAAGGGAGAGGTCAGGAGGAGAGTAGACAATGTGCCTTGTGCTCGCTCTCCAGTTGATTTGACGACGACGGCCACATTTGATAAGATACTACGCCGTGCTCCGCGCTCTGATCGATTGTGTGATCTGTAACTGAACAAACACCCTGCTTTCTACCTCGTTTCTCTTGGGGTGGGTCATTTCGATGGAAGGGAGTATTACTGGGAAAGTGGGTTTTTTGAACCGCCGCCGTCGGATTACGGTTGTGCACACGACAACGCAGTATGCGCGCAAATGCAGACAATTGCAAAAGATGCCTCTATCGAATATTCTGCTCTGGTCACGTTTTCTCTTCCTCTTTTCGCTCTCTTATCACGGTCTCCTGCACGAGAAAAGCGCAAGCAATTACGCGTGCTCTCTGCGTCGCCGGCAGCATTCTCCTTGTCTCGCACTCTCTCGCTTGCCTACTGTCGCTCGAGAAGCGAAATAAGAGTTGGCGTGGCGCTCGGAACGCCGCCGGAAGAATACTGATTTATCTTTCCGTTTTTCTTCATGAACGTGTTTATCATGAGCAAAACTTGCAAAGAGCAACAAAAAATTCTCAAAAAAATGCCGGCGTCAGTACGAAATTTGCATTTTTCGTGTTGCGGTTGGTTATGCGTGCTACAAGTGAGAATCAAAATCATCTTCCGTTATTTCGTGATGAAAACGTTGCCCGAGGGTTTTTCATGACCACATCATCAAAAATTTAACGAAATTAATCGTGTAAGCCACATTGGGAGCACCGATTTCACACTTCGGTGGCCAACGAAGTTTCATCGGAGACTTCAGATGCGTGCTCTCGGAAGAGTACTGATTCATTTTTCCCGCTTTCTACGGGAATATGTTGAATATGATCAGTACTTCGAAGCAGCAACAAGAAACTTGAAAAAATATTCTGGAGTGTCCACGGAGACGTCTTCTGAAAGAGCGACAGTTTTCTGCTGACTTCAGGTGCGTGCTCTCGGAAGAGTACTGATTCATTTTTCCCGCTTTCTACGGGAATATGTTGAATATGATCAGTACTTCGAAGCAGCAACAAAAAACTAGAAAAAATATTCTGAAGTGTCCACGGAGACGTCTTCTGAAAGAGCTACAGTTTTCTGCTGACTTCAGGTGCGTGCTCTCGGAAGAGTACTGATTCATTTTTCCCGCTTTCTACGGGAATATGTTGAATATGATCAGTACTTCGAAGCAGCAACAAAAAAAACTAGAAAAAAAATATTCTGGAGTGTCCACGGAGACGTCTTCTGAAAGAGCGACAGTTTTCTGCTGACTTCAGGTGCGTGCTCTCGGAAGAGTACTGATTCATCTTCTCATTTTTCTTTATGAACGTGTTCATTAAGACCGCTACTTACAAACAGCAACAAAAAAACTTGAAAAAATTCGAAGTGACTACGAATACGTCGACGGGAATAACTACAGTCTTCCGTCGGCTTCTTTAGAAGCGTGCTGTCGGAGAACGAAAAAAACGATTTTTCGACTTATTTCAACTTCAATGTGTTCTATATGCGTTCTTAAAACAAACAGCAATCAAAAATCCGGACATTTCGCGATTCTGGAGTACGGAATTATGATGCTATATTCACAACGTCTTCTACTAGACGGAAGAGTCAGAATACACCAGTTCTTTGAAATATATGTCAGAAAAGTCATAAAGACTCGTAAAATTACAAGTTAAATGATAGTCGAGTGAGAATGAACGTTGCCGCCGTCGGTGGGCCTGTGAGAATCTGATCTACCGTAAGCTTAGCTCGAGTCGGTCTACTTCAAATCTACGTTTCTCGCTTCAATCTCAACCAATCTGCTCGTTAGAGGTCGCAAAAGAAAGCTTATGAAATTTGGAATCGCTTGTAGGCGTTCGTTTTTTGAGAATTTCTGTCTAGCTCTCGATTTTTCGAGAAAACACAAAAAACCACTACTTTTTACAACTGAAAACTTGAAATGTACGTATCTCCGTTCAAAGTGCATATTTTTTTCTTGGTCAAAATCGCAAATTGTAGTCCTTCCCGATGTCTAAAACTTGTAGGTCTCACATTTTTTTCGAAAAAAACATTTTTCTGATTTTTTTAAGTGACCGAAACGTTTTTTTCTTCTGTAGTTTACTTGATCCCATTTAGTCAACCCGCTTTTTATTATACAGATTTCTTGTGTCCAATAGTTAAATCTAATCGTGTATTAACAAAAAAAGTATCAAAATGGTTGAGAAAGCTGGGTTGTACCTGCCCCTTGACAATTTTTTTAAACCCACGTTTCGAGAAAACTGGCTCTCTTCAACACGCACGAATTTTTTGATCAGCTAATTGCAGAAAAATGTTCCTAATTTTTGTCCTTGCTTGTTCTGATTTTTTGAAATTTTATTTTTTGTGTTAACCATGTCGCCGACAACTTCTTTTGTTTTCATCAAGAAATTTTTCGATTGATAATGCAAGCGCGCTCTACGGTCACGCGTTAGAGATAAGAGACGGCTGAGTATGCGCATTTCGCGATCTAGCTGGCACATTTTTCGATCAGGAGACCGTGTTATCAGTTCACCCGTTTGGTTCAGGCGAACCTGCCGTTTTTGGGTTGTCATGTCGTCAAATTCAAGCCAAGTGTCAAAAAGTCATGCGAAATGTGATTGCCAAAAACTGCGGAAATGAAATGACGCGAGAGAGACATGACATTTTTCCAACAAAAAACTAGCAAAAACAATACTTGTCTTCTCGACTAACAAACGTTTTTTTTTTCGATTCCATTTTTGATTTAAATGTCGAATGCCAAATGCATACATCACCCCATCCGCGACCGACACCGTTCTGTCCATCTTCTTTTCTTCTATTTTCTTTCATCTCTTATCTTTGGCTGGTCCCGAAAAGAATATTTTGTTTTCAAAGAAAAAAGATCATAGAACACAGCAGGAGATTCGTGCGGGAGTGGCAGGCAAGACGAGAAAACCGACCTTTCGGTCGCATTCGCGAGAAGGTTTGGTCGCGTTGTGGGGTTTTTCGCGGGGTTGTGTGAAAGCTTACTGGCAAATTCAAGTGGTTAAACAACACTTTTAAGTGACACATCGCTGTTCTCTGAGTGCGTTCGTTTGGAAGCCGATTATGTGAATTCAATGATTTCAATCAGTATTTTGCGATTGCTCACTCTTCGTCCAGCGCTGCGATCCAGAAGAATAGCAACAATTTCAAAGCTTTGACATGTTTTCCCCCTTTTCTCGGCATCTAGGACGTAGTAATTTCGAAAGTTTGTCAAACATTGCTCTTATTCTGAAATCCAGCGATGAATACACTGTTGTTTCGAAATATTTCCCCACTTTCCGCTCTCCTCCCAACGCTGTCCCCTATAAATATCGGCGACCGACCTCTCTTTCCCATTCTCTCTCAGCCGCTCTGACCCTCTTCGCGCGCTAACAACTGCGTTCTTCACTGTGTCCTCCTTCTGCTCACATCGTCTCGTTCTTTTCTTGTTGTCCGAAATAAACACTTTGTGTGTTGTGTACGCTTCGTTTCCAAGTAACCTTCTCTTCGTTCCTCCGTCGTTTCTTTTTTTCACGAACAATTCGATTGATTGCGAAATTTTTTCAGAACCGCAATGGCTGAGGAGCTGAACGAGATGCCGGAAGTCGTCAATCACAACGAGAGCACTTTGATGGCCCTGTCCAAGTGAGTTTTACTTGTCGTTTTCATAAATTCACTTCCATTTTCCAGTGCTCAAGCTCGTCTTCGCCGTCTGGATCTACTCGACGCTACCCACGAAGTGCGTTCGGTGGACGGAGAGCTCAAGAGACTTCCACGTCAGATGGAGCAAGTGAAGGAGGGGCAAGTGGAGAACAACGCCGGAGGCTTCGTATTCCCGGTCTCCGACGAGACTCAAGTCCGTCGCTTCCTAATTATCGGATCCGATAAGGGAAGTTATCATCAGACTGCGGAGAAGATCACCATGGACAACGCCCAGGCCATCATCAGAATAATCGAGAAGGGCGACGGACACATGGTGCTCCGTGAGCTCTCTCTGATCAACTCGGCCAATCGCAACCCGAAAATGAACGCTATGATCTTCACACTGGCGCTCTGTGCCAAAATCTCGACTCTCGACTTCAGCAAAAAGCAGGAATGTCCGATGCTCCAAGCTTATTCGGAATACATCAGAGAGTTGCACTCGGCCGCTCTCAAACTCCTCCCGGATGTCTGCCGCACTCCGTCTCATCTGTTCGAGTTCATTGATTACAGTCAGACTATCGCCCACAGCACGAGGGCAGGAGCTTCAAAGACGTCCACCGGATGGGGCCGTTCTCTCCGCTTGGCCATCAGCAACTGGTACAAGAGCAAGACTGTCGAGAAGTTGGCGATGTTGCTGACCAAGTACCCACAGAGAGAGGGATGGTCTCATCGCGATCTGTTCCGTCTGGCCCATCCGATGGTTGGCCACAATTCTGGATCCGATGTGAATCGTTTGGAGAAGGAGCAACTGTTCCGTTATGCCGTCAAGGGAGATTTGTTGCCGAGAAAACGGAAGATGACTCCGGAGCAGAAGGAAGAAGCCGAGAAGACTTCCACCAAGAAGTTCACGTACACTGAGGCCCAGCTGGTACAAGAAGAGAAGAGCAGGTCCGCTTTTGACCACTCTTTGTCAGAGTAAGAACTAATGTTTCGTTTTTCAGTGCCCTCGATCTCGTTGAGGCTTACCTCAAGCTGAAGCAGGAGAAGAGTGAGGCCGTGATTGTGGAGGCGATCAAGAAGCACGGACTCGTTCGCGAGCACCTTCCGACCGACAGTCTGAACTCGAAGCTCGTCTGGCAGACGCTGTTCGACGTTCCGATGCCGATGACCGCGATGATTCGGAACTTGGCGAAGATGACGTTGGTCGGAGCGCTCGATCAGGAGCGTGTGGACATCCTCGTAAAGAGACTAACCGACCAGGAGGAGCTCCGACGCGCTCGCATCCATCCGCTCACTCTTCTGACCGCTCGTGCCACCTATGAACAAGGAAGAGGCGACAAGGGAAAGCTCACGTGGCAGCCGATCAAGGAAGTGTGCGAGGCTCTCGAGGCCGGATTTTACAAGTCCTTTGTCAACGCTGCGGCCACCGGAAAGCGCTACTGTCTGGCTCTCGACGTGTCCGGAAGCATGGGCTGTTCCGTGAGCTCTTCGCCTCTGAAATGTCGCGATGCAGCCAGTGCCATGTCTCTCATCAACCTGCACAATGAAGCCGAAGTGAAGTGTGTGGCTTTCTGCAACACCCTCACTGAACTGCCGTTCACCAAGGATTGGACTATTCGCCAGGTCAATGACTACGTCAAAAATCTAGAGGTAATTTCAATCCCATTCTCTAATTGCCTTCAATCAGATTTTATTTCAGTTCGGCTCCACCGACTGCGGTCTTCCAATGACGTGGGCGATGAAAAACAATCACAAGTTCGACGTCTTCATCATCTACACGGACTGCGACACGTGGGTTGGCGACGTTCACCCGTTCGAAGCGATCAAGCAGTACCGCGAGGCTTCGGGAATCCACGACGCCAAGGTGATCGTGATGGCGATGCAGGCCTACGACTACACCATCGCCGATCCGTCGGACGCCGGAATGCTCGACATCTCCGGATTCGACTCGGCCGTCCCGCAGATCGTCCACGAATTCGTTACCGGAAAGATCTAATATTGTGTTACTGGTTCGTGTTGTGTTTAGTTACTCTGTTGTATTAACTTCTGCTTTATTTTTTCTGTACCTTCCGATTTTTTCACGCATTCCATATTAAAAGAACGAATACTTATTACTTTTATTGTTTCGAAGTTCATTCGATTTTCCGAAAACATGCACATGGAAATGAAAAGGGAAACGTAGACAATTGTCTTCGTTTTTTCCTGATTTTCGCCACGATCTGGCGACTCTTGAATCGGTTCTTCACCATTTCCCCCTCCCCCATTTTTTTCATATCGACGACTTGGGTTTATTAGTTCAAAAGTGCAACAGACTTACAGAAAAATTGAACGTCTGGGTAGAGCTCCAAGATATGAGAAAAAGACGGAGAGTAGAAAGAAGTGGAGTAGAAGAAGAAGAGGAGGTTGGTCGATTCACAACCACACGAGTGATTATTAGGATTAGTGTTGAGACGAAGAGACGGGGGATGTGGAATAGTTTTTGGGTGGAAAGAACTACGGTGGTTTAGAAAAGTCAAAATGAACAAAGATCGGGAAAATGTACAAAGAAATAAGGTGGTTGGTAGATGGTGGCTAGGCTGTTGTGCGGGTTAACTGAAAATATTACGATTATATGGAAAACATGAAGAATAAACAAAAATAGGAAGTGTAAAGGTGGGAAAGTGTCTGAATATCAGACGAGTCAGGGGGAAAAGGGTCTACTCTATACAGAAAAAAAAATGGGAAAGGTTATTGGAGAATGGAATGGGCACGACACAATCGGGGAAGCCCGATAAGAATCGAGGCACCGGGACATGAAGAATATGCCCGAGACACGTGGGCGGGACGAGTTCCCGCCACGAGACATCTCCCGGTGCTCCAGTTCCTGCCGGCTTTCTCCGTGCTCCGAAGCTCCGGATCCTCTCGTTTTGCAGCGCATCCATTTTCATCGCTTTGGGCTCGCCTCCACGTAATCCTCTTCCATATCCTCCATCTCTTCGAGGTCTTCACTGGCCTCGTGGATGCGATTGATGCTTCCGAGCGTGTTGTGGAACGAAAACTGAGTGAAGTTCGACTGCATCTCTTCCTGTTCATCGACAGTCGCCAGGGCTCCGCGGGTGTTTGGTGGAGTGAGTTGCACAGGTTGAGAAGTGAATTCCTGGAAAAAGGAGATATAGATGATGAATAAATGAGTGGAAGCGTACATTGTCAAAATAGCTGGTGTCAGTCTCCGACTGCACATTCGGTTTGTACGGAGGCTCGATTTCCTTGCGATACATGGCTTCCCAGTCGACCGGACGGAAGAACTCGGTTCTGCAGATCTCGAGAGCATCGTCCGGACCGCCTCCCAGTCGCTGATGAGGATCCTTGACGAGCAGTCCGGCGAGAAGGGCTTTCGCCTCGTGGCTGAGTTTGCTCGGAAAGCGAAGGTCTCCGGCCATGATCAGTTCGAACAGTTTGTTGTGGTCCTTGGAGTAGAACGGAAGACGTCCGCACATCATCTCGTACATTACCACTCCGACTCCCCACCAATCAACGCACCGTCCGTAGTCATTGTCCTCGAGAACCTGAAATTCGAGAATGTTATCCGGACACAAGGAGCGGTGGAGGCACCTCTGGAGCCAGGTATTCTGGTGTTCCGCAGAAAGTGCTCGTCTTGTCGCCAAAACTGATTTCCTCTTTGCACAGACCGAAATCGGCGATCTTTATGTGACCGTCCTTGTCGAGAAGCAGATTTTCGAGCTTAACAGATTTGAGGGTAAACACACAAATGAACGGAGCACCCGACAAAAGGATTCGGCACACCCATTTCAGTTCCTCTTCACCGAGAGAATTCTACATCTGTCAAGTTCTACAACTATCCTCTAGCAATCTAAACGAGGCTCATTCTTCGTCTAACCTTCAGGTCGCGGTAAACAATGTTATTAGCATGGAGATATCCGAGAGCGAGAACGATCTCGGAACCGTAGAAACGAGCGCGCGGCTCCGAAAAGCCCTCCTTATGCATTTGCACTTCGCGATTCAGATGATAGTAGAGATCGCCGCCGATGGCAAACTCCATGACGAAGCAGAGGCGATCGTTGGTTTGGAACGAGTATTTCAGCTCCTGTAGGAAGAAACAGCGGTCGAAAGAAATAGAGGAAAGAAAAAGAGAAGGAATGTTAACTGGATAGAAAGAGAAAGAAAGAGATAGGGAAACACATCACGACTTCGGACGCTACCAGCAGTGTGAGAAACCATTTAGGTGACAGGCAGAACTCTATTCTAATTCTATTCGAGCGTTGTCTAGCCTAGTATGAGCGGCTCAAAGGATAGTTGTAGAACATAAACAGAATTCTCGGTGCCGATTCCTTTCCCGCGGTGATCCTCTCGTCCGAACCTTCATATCCCTGTAGACAATCGACAGGCTGTGCAGGTATCCGAGCGCCAGCACGATTTCAGCGCCGTAGAATCTGGCGCGTCCTTCGCTGAAAGTGCCACACTTTCGGAGATGCGTGAACAGCTCGCCTCCGTTGGCGAATTCCATGACGAAACAAAGGTGCCATCGCGCTTGGAAACTCCACTTGAGCTGCTGTAAATTCGACCACGAACACTATGGGTAATGACCACAAAAAAGAAACAAAAAGTACGGAAAGAGTCGATGAACACATGCAGAAAGGAGTTGACACATGTAGGGAGAGGAGGAATGAGGAGGGATGAGGATGAAGAACAGTGCACCTACCGTGAGGAACGGATGCTTGCATCTCTGCAGAACGCGGTTCTCCGTCAGAGTGTGCGCCACTTCTTCTCGTGCAATAATCACTTCTTTCTTCAGAATTTTGATAGCGTACAGCTTCTGAGATCGTTTCTCGACACACAGAATCACTTTTCCGAATGTTCCCTTTCCCAGAACCTTCAGGAAATCGAAGTCTTCCATCGACTGAAAGCAATTCATTTTCCCCCCGAAACTTTCCATATGTTTCTTACGATTTTGTCTCTCTTGGCGGCCTCGCTCGTGTCTGCAATACTGATCATCGATGCCCTCAGATCGATCGCCGACATTTCTCCGTGTCCGGCCGACGGCTGTCCCATGATTGCGTGTGCTGCGCCCGCGAATTCGCCGTCGTCTTCAATTTTCGGAGGAGCGTGGCTCTAAAATGCTCCCCAGTTCTCTCAGTTCAGTATTTTTCCTATGCCTTACCGTATCCATCTGTTCTTCCTGCACAGCCGAACCCATCGAACTCTTGTACCTTTTCGTAATTGCCTCAATCGCTTCGATCCATTTCTGACGCGCTTCCGCCGATTCCGCGTAGAACGTTCGTTCGATGACCGTCGTCCACTGCAGACATCGAACCATAAACATGTTAGGTCGCGGTTTCTCGAAGAGCATTGTCTGCAAAACGCGAGAATAGGAAATTGGATGTGTTCGTAAACTTTTCGGAAACGGTGGGCGGATATTAGATATTTATCGTCTAGAAATAGAGTTTTAGGCACATTTTCCGTCCCGCCGAACGAAAAAAACATGAATTTCTCTTCTGCTCACCGATGCGTCTTTGATCATGAAGTCATTGAGCGGCTCCGGGTAGGGCACGCTTTCCTTCGGTTTGGCTCGAAACCCCAGCAGAGCTCCATCGTAGAACAGTATGAAGTATCTGAAAAGACATGTCACCATCATTATTGTTGCGTGCGCCTAGCATGTTTTCGTGTTTTCAGCCACTCACAACTTCTCCATTCGATTATTTTTCGCGGCGTTCGTTCGTTCGCTCGTTAGAATGTGTTTATTGTTTTGGCAAGGAAGGGTCTTCGCTGGCACACGCAGATGTGGCCAACACCCAAAAACAAAAAAGAGAATTTCGAAAGTACTGCACAAAATTCTGGTTGTTTTGTGTTTGTGGCAACGACAGCCACACTGTGCTTCCGTGTTTTTCAAACTCTGCCGGAAATCGAAGATCTCTAGAGAAATAACCGCATCCAAGATTCGGAAACCGATTCGTAGAGGCGTCGCGCCCATACTCAGGAAATTTTCGGCAAGTTGCCGCCGAAAACGGCACGGGTGTCGTGTGCACGTGGCACCCGTGCTGTTTTTGGCGGCAACGTGCTTCTTACGAGCCCTATCCTTGCCCTACCTTTGCCCAAAATTTCCCGAGTAGTTAGTGGACAAAAAGGTGGTCTCAAACGCGCTTTAGACAGTTCAGGGGATCGCAACTGAAACGTCGCCGGAATGTTTTCGTTCCTCTGCTCAATGAGTGTTCTCTACTCTTTGCTTGTTTTCATCACTAATCTGCTTCCCACTTGTTTTTACGAAACTCTCAAAAGGAAATCTCATCATTTCCTCGGAAAATGTTTGTGCGGAAATCAGCCGATTTCGAGCCGGAAAAGCATGATAAGAAGAAGTGCGTGTGCGTGGCGTGAAAAACAAATCGGTTGACGCACACGCGCACAAATCCGCCGATGAGAAACCGGATAAATCCGCGAGCGAAAATTGTGAAAAATAAAAAGATTAACATGAATGGGATGAGAGGATGAGAATGCCTTTCCGCTCACCTGGGCCGCCAGTTACGAATGTGTTCACCCTTCTTGTGGAGCCATCCTTCGATGACGACGTCTTCGGGGCGTCGCGACTTCGTCGACAAACTTGTCATCGACATCTTTCCGTCGGCGCCGTCGTAAACTCTTCGGGTGAATATACGTCTTCGGCTGAAATCAGTCAATTAAGCAGAAACGTTGGAAAATTCAACAAAACAAAAACTCAGTGTTTAATGCTCATGTTTTGCGATGAAACGAAGCGAGAAAACATGGCAATGTAAGCGGCGAACAAAGGAGAATCCGGAGACGTAGAGAGGGAAAGGAGAGGTGACCCTTTTTGGGCAGAAAGACGAAGAACGAAAACAATTTCAGACACTGCAGAGCGAAAAACATGTGCCGAACGGACCAAGTCGCTTTTCCGAAAGGATTGTTCGTTACGCTGATCCTTGGTAGCTCGCGCAGGAAGCAGACGGAGAAAAATATCGGTTTTCCGGAATCGGGCATCGAAAAACAAGATTATTTTGTTGGTGTCCAGACGAGAAGTTGGAGCTTTAGACGGATCATAACATGTTTTGTGTGGCCCGATTTTCCGAATAGATTACGGTGGGCTGGAGTACGCAATCACCATCACAATTGCGGACAACACACGAGTACGGTAGCGAAGAGTGAGCAACAACAGAAAGGGGACAGAAAACAGCGAGTGTTTACCAACGGTCATGATTCACGTGTACTTTTGTTGTGTGCGGCATTCTAGAAAAAGATATGGCGAAAGAGAAAAAGAGAACGCTGAGTGACAAACAAGTGAAGTTGTCGAATGATCGGATGGCAGTAAACGACCGAAAATGATAATAAAAAAATCAGACGACAAACGAATTGACGGTAGACCGAGGTGATAGACGCTTAAAACAAACAAGTTTCCAAAGACTGATTCTTGAGCATCAATGCTTATAATTCAGTTTCAGTTTCGATGACACGTCAGTCAAATGGAAAGCAACAATAGAGAAAAACGAGGAGTGAGTCTGAGATCGGTGACGAGAGAGCATCGGAGACGAAGAGGAATAGAAAACATAGATATCACGTTAACATTCGGGAGAGATAGACTTTCCGCAGGTGTCTTGCCGTCATCAAATCGTACGGAAGGCGCCGAGCCTGGGGGCTTTCCGAGCAAAACAGATTATGAGCGGCGCGGAGCACACACACACACAAAAAATGGGGACGCTAGAGGGAAAAGGGCGGGGCTTCAAGCATGGACACACGTGTCGAGACGCAGACGCTTCGAGATACGGCTGAAAAACAGCAAAGTGTACTTTGAACACATTGGGCAACATTTCGTTCAGCGTTAGTTTAAACTTTCGGATCAGACGGAAATTCGAAAATCAGAAGGAAACAGTTGTTTTGTGCTCAATCCAACTCACATGTTTTTCGTTTTGTTGTAGACCATGCTGTCTCTTTTTCGAGGAAAGAGTAGAAACGAAAAAAATGAATAAGGAAAGCGGGGCGAATCGGGCGCCGATAGGGTGGAAAGACCCGGTCTTGAACCGACCGTTTTTGAGACAAATACAAACAAATTTAGGGGGCGGAGTAAACGGAAAGCAAATCGAGAGCGTGAGTTGTTGAAACCGAGGTAGCAGAAATTGAGGAGGAGGAAGTGGAAGAAAAGTTGCAAACAAGCCAGGATCAAGTGAGGACGGAGGCGCAGGCGGACAGGCAAATTGATAGATTCCTCGCGGTGAGGTCGTTCCTTCCGCGCCCCACAGCCGACACATTTGCGTACGGGCGCCGGGGCGAGCGTGCGCGGTGCCAAGCCACTGGTATGTATTAGTTAGTACTACCCGGAATAGTGCACGCGATCAAAGGCCGCGCGCTTTGCTTCGCGGATGGATGATCGGGTGTGCAGACAGAAGAACAGGCGCAGTGTGGAGGCGCAGACGTCGTGAGATAGTACATACTAGAGTTGTTTACATCCGAAAACGAAAACGTCGCGCTTTGAAGCCCTCCTGCCGGACGGACGAACAAGGAGCTCCCGCTCGCGCGCGCGCGGGGCCTCGCTTTTCTGCGGCCGCGGGAGTGGAGCGGAGAGCTTGCGGGAGAAACTGGACACCTGCGGGCGGGCTTCTCGGAGAGATCCACGTGAGCCCCGAATGTGTTGGTCTCTTCTGCCACGTGTGACATAAATAATCTCTCCTTGTCTGCGTCACTCTCGCGCGTGCGCAGGCCTCGAGGACACAAAAACATTGGCGAAGTAAACAACTCTAGTGGCGGCTGCGGCGGCGAATGGACGGCATCAGAAAAAGAGGGAATTGACATTCCTCTCCAACTTTTTAGTGCTTAAAAATGAGGGAGAGAGTGAAAGCGTGATGTTGCATCGAGAACCACATGTGAAAATAACGAAAACAACAGGGGGAAAGAGCCCAAGAGTTCAGATTTCGAGAATGGCTTAGTGACAATAGAAGTGGTTTTTGGTGGTGAAATCGGCAGTCACAAGGAAAGCCTCGCAAAAAAAGGGGAGCACACTTCGTTTTGTCATCATTTTTCAGGCGGAATCGAATTAACCCGAGTTCCACGTCACAATTCGTTCAAGTGCGGTAAACAAGTTAGAAACCGAATTACTGCGTATTTCAAGGTTGAAGCCGTGTTTGTTTGTGACACCCGCATAGGCAGGACTCTGGAGATAATTAGTGAGGTTTCCTCGGTTTCACCATCTAGAAGTTACATACGGTTTGAGACACCGAAAGGCGCCACGCCACTTGTTGACGACCCGAAAGTACTCAATTTCATGAAGAAACATCAGAAAGAGGCTGTAAACCGGGCGCAGACTGAAATTGTCACGAAGAAGTCAGTCGAAGCACGCGTGACAGTGTTGTTGTGAAAGTGAAACAAAAAACGGGGCGAGTAAGTACTTATTTGATCTCATGACATTCAGTCAGTGGCTGTGAGTCAATACGATGGAGGTCCAGGTAAATACCGACGCGGGCAATTCCTGGGCAGCAGAAGATCGAACGGACATCCGTCACGGGCCAATTTTTAGATAAGTAAACGATCAAGGACCGTGGTAACGAGCGCGTAAACAGATTGATTGCATGGTTGGCTGAACAGAGCAGAACACGGAAATTAGGAGCGAAATGAGCGAGAGAGAGTGAGAGAAATGGAAAATGAGTGCGAATGATCAGATCAAATAAATCTGCGGCAAGAAGGTGCGCGAGAGAGAGAGGAGACGGTAAGCGGACACGCAGACGGCTCGACTGCCAGACAGATTGAATATCGGAAAATGGGTGTGGTGCCAGGCTGTCAGTCGACTATGCGTGCCCACGTTTGTTATCATTATTTAAAAGTGCGACAACGGAGTGTGGCAGACGGCAAGTGCAGACAGAGGGGGACGCGCGAATTGGCCGGCACACGCATGGTACAGGGGCCATTTGGCAGGCGGCGGGCGCGAAACGTGCACGAACCGAAAGAGCGGGGCGCAAATGGACGAACTTCAATCGAAAATGTGTGGAGCATTTGAGTGGGTGGGAATGTGAATGTGACAGCGATCACGTTTTCTGCCAGACCACTGCCTTCCGGGAGCTAATCAGAGGGACGGATCATCGAAAATAAGCGAGCGGTGTTTAGACAGTTGCGCGTACGGGCTTTCGCGACAAATACGGAATAAGTCAGAATTTAGTAAAATTGGGTCCACGACCTTCCGCAACTCGACGTTTCGAAACCGTGACGTCTCGATACTCACGTGAACTTTAACAGTTCAATTTATCGTTAAGAAGTTCACGTTAGTTGCGAAGCGTCGCGGTTTTGAAATTTCGGGTTCCGAAAAATCGGGGAGCAGTCCAATTTCTACGGAATTTTCGAAGAACACGTTTTCCGCACGTACGCGTTAGTAAGCTCGCTGGCATAGAATACGATCTGAAACTTTAGCGACAGAGCGCGCTTGTATCAAGCAAGGACAATCGAAAGAACGTGAGAAGTACACCGTAGAAATACCATTAAATATTCAATGAAGGTACCTATAGGTTCAAGTACCACAAAAAGAACGAAAACGTGTCGAACCGGAAGTGTGGGCGCGCATGCGATCCGAAAAGGGCAAGCTTTGTACTTGAAGTACTCATTGGTCATTGAGAATATCATCGGAATTGCAGATGACTCACGGGCGGAAAAAGAGAAGCCAGACAAAGAGGACGACGAAAACACGAAAACAGCCGTATTAGTCGCACAGGACTCGCTCGACGCGCTTTTTGATTCAATTCATGCAAAAGTTGAATAACACCTTCTCTAGACGAAGAAGAGGTGACGAAAAAAGAGCACATCGAGGGGTGTCAAACGTTTTTTACATTTTTTTGTATAAGTGTTTTTGTTTTCGGGTGTCGATCTCACCTCTTGGTTCACGAGTAAGGAGTGGGCAAATGAATTCAGAATGTTGACTCTCGAATATGAATATGCAGATTCATTCTGCAAAAACGTGGCGACCTTTCGCTCTCGTTATAAATAGTCACTTTGCGCATTTCATTGTCAGCATGAGCACTGCCGAAGAGCCAGATGATTTGAAGACGGCCATCGAGAACCCGGAGTTTTCGCGCAAAGATGACGGAATGCAACGGGCCGCCCAGATTCGCATAAAGCAGGTTGCGAACGTCTCGATCTGTTCTTCTGGACTTTGTCATTTCAGAGGTACAATTGTGCGGAGCAGGAGATCACCCAAATGCGGCCGCCGTTCCTCGGATTCTCGGTTTTCGTTCGGTTCCAGTCACGAGCCCGCGTTCACAAAATCAAGATAATCAGCGGCGAAGCGATCGAAGCGATTGTGAATGGAAGTCCGGTTCCCTACTCGTGAGCTGAGCGGAAGAAGAACTGATGAATGATAACAGGGAATACAATGATGATTTCGAAATGTGTTTCTGCCAATAAACACATTTTCTTTTATTCTTTTCAGTTTATACAAACAAAGCTGACAGTTTCGAAACGAGTTAGTTTCCAAAGAAAGCGGCAGATCTAACCGGGCAGGGACAATAAGAGGCATCTGGTCCCGGAATTCCCGGAGGTCCTGCGTTGCCCGGAGCTCCTGGAGCCCCGACATTTCCAGGGATGCCGTCCTGTCCCGCTGGTCCCTGACGGCCTTGCCATCCGTTCTGTCCTGGATACCCATCTTGTCCCGGCGCTCCGGCTGGTCCCGGTTTTCCAGGTGCTCCAGGAGCTCCTGGAGCTCCATAACCTCTCTTTCCGTCGGCTCCGTCTCTTCCTGGCTGTCCATCGAGTCCCGGAAATCCGGGCAGTCCTTGGTCTCCTGGAGCTCCGGGTGCTCCAGGAAATCCGTCATTTCCTCGTGGTCCCGGGTATCCTGGCCGACCATCTGGACCTGCTGGTCCTACAGATCCTGTTGGCCCCATCGGTCCGGCTGGGCCTGGAGGGCATTTGACGCAGTCCTGAGACACTGGTGGACACGTGAGCGGGGCATAAATGACGGTATTGTCTTTTCCGCGGAGTCCTGGAGCACCGGGCGGTCCCCGCACTCCTGGATTGCCTGGTGGACCGGGTGGGCCTGGAGGGCAGGTCGGCTTGATAGGTTCGCATTGGCACCAGACCGGCAGGCTCGAGAAGGACTGTCTCCTCTGGCGGAACACCGAGTTGAACGGATTGACACGTGGCATGGAAGGAGGCAAAACCATCACTTGGACGTCCATTATTTCCGTCCACGCAACATCGGTTTCAATGCGGAACGAGGAAACACCGGAGAGAACCTAAAGTACAGATCTCAACTGTGCTCACGACAAGAGAGATTACCTCAACATGAAGTTCCTGAATAGTAGTGTAGATGGACGGGACCACAAACAGACACGCGACAACGGCAATCACGGAGACGGTGGTGGACACTCCGACGAGAAGTTTCTCTTCGAACATTGCAGAAGGAAATTATGCTTCGTCGGGAAGATGCTTCCCTTTTCCCATTCATTCCCCCTTTTATACTCTTCCATAATCTATTATCACTACAATGAACTGGTGTAAAATGACATCGTTTTTGTGAGGACGTTATTCTGGAGGGAATAGCAGTGAACGCTGTGTAACACTGGCAGATGTAGGTGAGGTTGGCAGGCGAGAAAAGGAAAAGACACGATTGTGCGGACTTTTCAAAAGTTTACTGGACTTACCTCGAGACTGGCCGTCGTCCGCAAATCATCCAACGTTTCCATTGTTCTGACAAGAATTCATTAGAATTTGAACAAGAAGCAATCAAAATAAAAATGAAAATATTTCAGGTCATCTGACCGCTTTGACTACAAGTTTGAGTGTTTGTCTTATTAGAATTTATTGGGCGAAATTGAACGAGAGATCATCACAACAGAAGAAGAAGAATAAACTGAATAAACAAAGAGAAGTGGAGCAGCATCCTATCGACATTCTGATCTGAAAACGAGAAAGTGAGGATTGTGTACATCACTCGGTTATGGTTACCTTATCATCTATCTACTTGCATGAAACGAGGAGCGGGACAGTTGGACGCTTTGCCCCATTATCCCGTTTTCGGTTACTGAAATGAATAATTGGTTGAAGTGCTTTCAAGCTACGCTAATAGAAGGGCATCCTAATGCTAGTCATTCAAGACGGCATATCTCGGCTGCCGGTGGAGATATCAAAAAGAAGTCAACTGATAATATTATCAGCAAAATGTTGTGTACATTTTCGTTGTTGACAACTTTTTGATATGTTTGCTCGCTGCTGAGATACGTTAATTCGAATGACCAGTATTCGGGTGCCCGTCTATTACAATATTTACGGTACCGCCGACCCCAAAAGACAGTTGCTAAATACATTTCTGGAACCGGATTTCTAGAAAGCTAGATCAACTTTAGGAGCTTCTATACGTGCTGGGGGCACGTCAAAGTCTTGCAACAAACTCACTCTGACTGGGCGACACGACCGACTGCGGTACCATTTTCTCGAGTCGCCCCAGCGGCGAATCCTCCTCCGATCTTCTTCTCTTCGCCTTCGGCTGGGCCGCCGGATCGATCTTGCCGCTCAGATCGACGGGCATGGGCGGTCCCACCGGATGTTCAAACTTTTGTGCGCGTTTCCGACGGGGTGGTGATGTCGTTTTGGCCGGGATCGCCGATGGAATGGGCGGTATCCCAGGTTGATGGAAGTTGGTGGTGGTGGGGGTGCTGATGATGGATCCGAGTGATGAGAGAAAGCCAATATAGGGGTTTAAAGGGAAGATGGGAGCCGATTGCGGCCAAGAAGCCATTAAACTTGTTAGATTTAAAGGGGTTAACCCCGTGCTCAAAGGACCTCTTAACTGAGGTCCCATGAAGCTTTTACCATACAAATTTATTTTGTATCCATCATCAGTCTTACCATTACCTGAAAAAAAAACGTTTGAATGTTGTACAGAAGAGAAGAAAAGCTCACTTTTTAATGGCAAGACTGCTCCCTCACCACCACAATTCCCTTGTAAGGAAGCATGCTTAGGGCCCCCTTTAGGCATTGTAGGGTGCTCCAAAGCTGCGTGAAAGTTTCTGAAATACAAAAATTGAAAGCGAAAGTGAGAAATGTTCACTTTAACATGTTCTGATCGTTTTGTAATTTGACAAGTCTCTGCACGAAATCAGGCTCATATGCGTGTGTGGGAAGCGCTGCGAAATAGGGAAATAACATGATTTCCGTCCTTTTCTTCTGAAACAACTCAAAGACTACGTATCGGATGAGAAAGGAAAGCGAGAGCGAGAGTTAGAAAAGAAGATGGTCAGTTTCAGTTAGCGATACATTGATTCGAACAAAATGAAGTGAAGTGAAGTGAAGTCAGCTGAATGTTTGAGCGACAATCATTCAAAAGAAGTCCTGTTTTCTCATAAATTTCGTTAACGATCCATTGATTTGATTCTCTGCTTCTGATTCTTCAATAATAGCATAGAATTCGTTGGAAACTAGCGTCACGAAAACAGCTTCAAAATCACGGCCCTAAGACAAAGAGAAGCCCCGTGGGGACGGTGTGATCGCCTTCCTTCGATGATTTGTTTGATAATAGAATAGATATTCTCCCCCCTGCGCCAACCCATTTGCTTCTTTTTTCTTCGCCGACTGTCACTTCGCCACTCGCCCCTCTTCCATCAATCTCACACTATGACAGGGGTCTGTGATGATAAGCGCGCGCAGGTCTCCGACGGAAATGAAGTTTGTTTTCAGAGATGCCGTCACCTCTCCTTCCGTTGCTAACCTCATCCATTCTCATGATCGCCTTTGTTCTGGACTACGGTAGCTTCTGGCCAGGATCAGAACTGATCTTGTGACTCGTGAATGAATGTCCAAATGATAAATCTTCCATTGTTCTGACAACTCTCTCTCTCTCTCTCTCTCTCTCTTTCCTATGGAAAACAATGCGCGCGATGATCGTCCCGCTGTTTGTAGTAATGTGCAGAAATTTGGAGACTACCGTACCCTCATCAATCATTTTCGAATCGTTCCGAAAGATTTATGATCTGTCGCTCGTCCACAAGGAAAGAATCGCTCTTCTTTCTCTGTTTGCATTCCTCTTTATCATTTTCGATCCATCAACCAGAGACATGCTTCTCGGACATTCTGATTTATAATCTCCGCGGGCTCTGATAGGTGGCAGCGGATAAAGGGCGGGGCCTAAACGAGCGAGCTTGTACCTGGCTCGTGAGAGCAATGAAGCGTGAACTTTTAGGATTGTGAGGCTCGAGAGACCGCGCAATCTAGTAACCCTTCAAAGCCAATCACCGAAGCCCGGGCACATAGAAACGGTATCTGAGGAAGGATGGAAGAATTGGATGAGAATAGGAATAACTCAAAAAGGACGACAGCACCTCACGCCCACACCTACGGCTCCAAATTCCTAAGCACTGGCTAATGCGCTCGCCACATTAGTTCATTAAATTTAGGATTGTGATGGAGCCTGATGATCAGAATTCTGCTTCACCATCGTCATGCACTTAGCTAGTCAAGTAATTAGAAAGTGCTAAGCTGGCTTCCTGCTCAAGCAATTGGACATATCAAGAGCTGATTGAACTCTGGATTGAGCTCATCCCCCACCTACCTCCCAGCCTACAGTTCTTTTTAAATATCTCCCCTGAACTCACGTTTCTCCACTCCGCTCCCAACATAAGCGGAATAGTCATGTTGATCTGGCGGCACCAGCATCTCGTAGCCGAATATGTGAATAATGTGAAGCGCGCGGGGAGCTCGGCCCAGTCGAAATGGGCGGGGCTTTGTGTCATGCGGCACTTTGGCAAATAGAGAAGATTCGAGAGCCTCTGACGCGAGCGAAGAGCTCAACGAATCAGAAGGCATTCTGTCTACAGTAGTTAGTATCTTTGGCAGGAATGTGAAGAAAAACGGAAAGGAAAGGAAAGGAAAGTTAGTAATGCCGCGATAAATCAACGGCGACGACGAAATGGAAACGTTTCGGCCTGAAGAACGTCTGTTCTGATCAGTCGGCTTGTCGAAACCGCCCATCAATCATTCGAGAATCCGTAGTGCGATCTGACGTTTCGCACAACTACTCTTCCTCCCGCCTTTGATGATGGCAGTGACGTCTTCTACAGTACCCTTCCCCTTCCTTTCCGTATCCCTGTCACGATCGTCCATTAATCATTTTTGCTACGCTCTCCATCTCTCTCTCACTCTGTGTGTGGGTTAACTGTCCTTATCAGAAATTTACTGACACTTTGCGAAAACGAGGATCCAGTTTCTCATGAAAAGGGGTGAAAAAGATGAAAAAGATGATGAAGAAGGGGAATAAGCAGAAGAAGAGGCTGTTGATTTATCAATCAAAACGAAAAAGAAGAAGAAGTGACAAAGAGTACGGTAGGAAGGAAAAAGGGGGAACTGGTCACTGACACATCCTTCTCTAGTACCCTTCTGTCATATATTATGACAGATCGAGGCGTGTTCAACCTCTGTCGACAGGCTGATGTATCTAAAAGGCATCTAGCTAATTGTTTCCCAACCAAAGAAGAAGAAGAAGAAGAAGAAGAACCTTCCCAAACACATCCATCAATTTCTTCTCTCACTGTCAACCTTCCATTTATCATCAATCTCCACTCCGTCCCGCCGATCCCTTCCCTTCTATCCACACCAGCTTCCCTTTTCCGCCGCTTTCAGTCCGGGGTGATATCATATCCAAAGAGACCAAACCGCCAAAACTCTCGCATTCTCCCCGTTTACCTGATATTTTTGTTTATCGGGTTGGCTCCGCGAGCCCAGTCTCTCAGGAGTACGCACTCTATTCACTGCGGATTCAGAATTGTGCGCAGAGGCGGACTGGCAGGGCATACGATAGGTATAATCCCCAAATAATTGCATGCTCGCCCACGGAGCATCACGCGGGTTGGCATACGGTAGGAACTGGGCCTCGGCGGACAGATTGGGCTAGGCGAAAGCGGAAGGAGAGTGGACAGACCGATGCCATAATTGTCTTTGGAAGTGTTCTAGAGGGATTCTAGAAGCCCAAGGCAACTAGGTAACTTTCTATGCAGTCCTTAGATTGTCAAGCACTCTTCAGATAAAATATTCGGATGCCTACAGTCTATGATGCATCATCACGATGATATTTAATCACGTGCAAGTTTCGTGCTTCTCAAGCTTTGTCACCGAGCACTCTATCGATTGAAAGCGTGAGCTCACAAAAACATAACTTCTGACAAGAAACAAACATTCTGGAAGTAGCAAAATAAATGAGAAACATGCTACGAACCACATAGGAATGAGTTAAAAGAGGAGCGGGTCACAGCAGGTACCGCACGAGGTGGCGACCGTTTGACAGATCACTGTGGGGCGCGGATAAACGGTGAACGGTTTCTGTTTTGAAAACATGTTCGGTGAACCTCGTTCGATGTTATTCAGGCGGAAATGAAGTTTTCATCGGAGACGAGCCCTCCGGAATTCGGGTTCAAATAGCGACCGGAGTGGACCGATTTCAAGCATTTTTCTCAGATCGCCTGTATCAGATGGCCATTCTCTTTTTGTTGGAAATGAACGAATTTAGCTTGTGCTACGTGGCCACGAAAGTTTGAGATCTTCAAATAGCACAGACGTTCCGATCCTATCGATTAAAGTTAGAAGGGGTTCATACCTACGCATCCGTCCGATTTCTGGACAACACAGAATGGTACAGAGAAGAAGTAATTTGAAGTGTGATGCAGAAATGCGAAGACTGGCAAAGAATAGAAAAAAGCAATGAGGAATGAATGAGAAACTTGTTGGAGCTGTGAGAATTCTGAAACATGTGACCGCCTATGTGTGTGAAGTAACCAAGAGAGACAAGGGGAAGCTGATTTTCGAACAAACGGTTACAAACTTGAAGATGCTAGACGGAGAATGTCTTCTTCTTTCAAAGGACTTACATTGATCGCCAAAAGTGAGTGTAGAGACCCTTATTGACAGTCGGCGAGAATTGTCACCGGGTCAGGTTCAAGAATGTCACACCTGTCACAGAGATCAAGAGGTGTTCACGAGTGTTTTATTGACACGTCGTCACGCAAACATACCATTAACACACGTGTTCGTAGTTTGACGGTCCGTCCATTCGGAGGATCTGTTGGAAAGTGGGGGCGGGAAAACCTCTAAAACCTAGTAATGATGATGATATGTTCACTGAAATTGACAGAACATAATGTATTAGATAGCATGTATTAGATATTTCAAATGCGCTCAAAACTTCGAAAACGTCAAGGAACGAAATTTGAATCCGGAGCATTTGATAGAGAAAGTATTCGTTTATCATTCGCCGTTATCCGTTTTCTTTGGAAAAAGCTCGTTTGCTTATTAAAAATTAGATACTAAAAAGGATCTCAGGTAGCGGAGGGACGGAGAATGACCCTAAATGACCCGAAATAGACGGCCGGATGGGCGCTTCTACCGTATGCGTGACCTGCTCAATTAGCCAAGGGGGAGTGGACAGGAGAAAAGCTTTAAAAATAAAGTGTTCAAAGCAGTTGATAATGATCGAATGGACAGTAGACAGAGCGTTTTGAGTGGTGCATCAGAAGATATACGACGACGACAATCAGAAACTGTCATAACTTATGCATAGTTAGTTAGGTGATAACAGATAAAAACTGATAACCCTCTGAAAATGCCGTTAATGATGAATCCTGGCTATTTCGTGAGAAAATGACTACATAAGATTCAGGACCTGAAAGTAGCGTTTTGACATTCTCATTATTGATAGAAATGTAGACTATTAAGGCTCTCTTAATAGATGACAATTTTCAAGTGCACCTAAAACTTCGAAAATTTCACGATAGGATCAAAAGTTACACATCAGTGGACAGAGAAAGTCTTCCTCTTTCCAGTGAACCACATTGTTTGCCTTCAACTATTTCCCATTTCTTATTAAAAATCGATAAAGGAGATACTCTCGATTAGGTCCTAACCGGCAGAAGCCCCCCTGCTCTAGGTGTCCATTCGGGGCCCAAACGCCACGCGCATATCCGACCTGCCGTCCTTCCAATTATTACGTTTGCCAGTGTCAGCAGAATGGAGGACCTTCGAGGGGTATAATAGATGGGAAGGAACTGAGTTTTAGTTTGGAAAAGCACGTTACATATAGCTAAAGGTGCTGGTGCTTTGGGAGAGTTTTATCATATTCTTATTTGTACTTGTTTTTCAAATGCTGTCAAAACTTTGACAACTTCCACCAGTCATGAAGTGACGCATAGCATCCGTTAGAGAAAGTCTTCGTTTTCCAATTACCCTATTTCTATTCCTTTCCATTTTCTGTTCAATGTTTCTGCTCAAGAGTTGTCGGCTTCTGATTAGAAACCAAAGAACTAAAATGATTCGAAACTAGCGGAAAGTGAGACCGTTGTGATATGGCCGCGCGTACCCGACACACCAATTATGGTATTTTTGCGTTGCTATGCTGCTACAGAGGCGAAGAATACCTGCGTGAGTGTGAGATGTTTATGTATTATTTCAAAGAGTCTTAAAACTTCGAAAATCTCTCGTAATCCTAAAGCGGTCAGTACCATTTGATAGAGAAAGTCTTCTTCTATCCACCCGTACAATTTGTTTTTCTTGAAAACATCATGTGTTCTTATTAAAAATCGAGAAACAAAATGCTTCCTCAGAAATATGCTCCGGTCCCTTCAGATGCTCTCTTTCTGTCCGTGGACCACCTGACCATATTTTCTGTTCGTCCATCCATTCACTCCGCCTGCTAATAACCCATTAGCCCAGGTATCATAAGGTCTGGATCATGCTTTGAGTCGAGCTCCACATTCAAATTCATCTCGGTGTCCTCCGATTTCCCATCGTCCTCTCCAACCTCCTTGCACATCTGTCCCGTATCCGGTTGCAAAATAGGTACCATCCAGGTAATTACTCTTTTCTCTGTCCATTCTACCGCCCGACCTCCCGATCTCCTTCTCTTCCAAGACCCAAATCCGTATTATTATCAGGCGGTTTGAGGTTCTGTTTACGCAAACAACGCTCGGCAGATTTACAATTCAAACAAAATACTTGTACCACAGCCAGAAGAGGAGGAGCATGCCAGGCTTCCAATTGGAACTTACCAGTTGGTCCCCAATATGAGCTTCGTCTCAGCTCCTTTTCGTATTCAATTCACAATGAGGTTTAGTCAGAAGGTACAAAAGGTTGTATCCGTCTGGCGACCAATCATTAGTCTTACCGAACATAATACTTCTGATCATTCTCCTTCTGTCCCGCTATACTTTCTCTACAATCTTTGGTAAAATTGATTCCAGGAAATTGAGCTGATGAAAGCGGTTGTCGACCGGTGGGACCAGGAAGAAAAGGCAATTCGGGAAGCAATTGAGGAAAAGCTACGTGAGACGAATTGCTGAGCGACGATTCGACTTTTAGAAAGAGATTCGAGTGCCAAGAGGGAACGAACCGATTGTGAAACCAAAGTGATCTTTCTGTTTCCCTAGTTTCAATGTCATTGTCATACTCAAGTGAATCTTTATACAATTCTCAACTCTGATGGTCCTCGGACTCTCATTCCACTCGATCCTTGCGACATTGTCACGACGACAGTGAAGTTGGATCGGAACATCGGGTGGGTCAGATAGAAGATCCACGGAACTGCCACCAGACCGATGTCACTGCAGATTTGACGGGGCAGCAGGGTATAGACGGATTTGAGAGGATCCACAACTCCAGTGACCTGAGCATTCAGTTAGAAGTTTATTGGCACAGATCCAGAACGTACGGTCAATGCAGCATTGGAGAGAAATGGAATACTCATAGTGAGCGTCATGAGTGTCAGTGAGATTTCCGCCTTTAAACTTCTCGATGCCCGATTCCTAAATGTATGCACGTGCCTTCAGTTGAGTTCACAGTTGAGTTCACAATGTACTCACGCTTTTCGCTTCATCATCATTCTGACTTTTCTGAGAAGACCAACGTTGATTCCGATAATAGCGATAGTTGACAGAGAGTTAACCGACACATTAAACGGATCGTAGTAGATCTTAACTGACAAAAGTTCGGTGAATGTTTTGAGCAACTCACATCATGCCAAGCTCCGACATAATTGAAGTAAAGTGCTCCGAAACTGTACGGGTGGATCAGCTGCCGACAATAGACAGTGGCGGGCAAGAAGAATAGAGTGAGAAGGAATGGAAGAATGAAGGAGATCGGAATGTAGAAGGCGAACAGATGCGAGATTTTCTGAACGTTCTACTTCGTTTCAGCGTCACGTGGCACAACTCTCAACTCACCGTTGTGTGACTATCTGGAAAGTAGACAACAATGAAGCGGGTGAAGCAAAAAAGGAGAGAGAAACTGGTAGAGAGGTAGTTGGAAATGAGGAGAAAGTAGTAAGAAAGTTTGAGAAAATGGGCAGGCGAAGTGGCAGCTAGCCAGGAAGTGAGAAGACCGGATGGAGGGATACGGTAGACGACGTTGTCGAGTACGTAGAAGAGAAGATTCTGGAAGGAAGCAGTTAGAGTGTAGGAATCTCGAAAGACGTGATTATTACGGCTGATTGCATCCAAATGAACGTGAGAAACACACTTCGTTGCACATTTGTCGAATAGTTTAGGGCTCCCGGCTTCCGGAACTGTTTAATCATTTTAAAACTAATCAGAATAGTGGCGAAGACATAAAAGTAAGAGAGAAGAAGTAATGCAGTGAGAATATTAAAATGGTATTCAAAGTGAATGTAGTCGGGATTACCATGAATGGACTGAGAAAGAGTTGACAGTTCCATTCGGAGCAAGAGGGAAATATGAGTGACGGAGTGAGGAAGAGTCTTTTAATAATGAAAAAGAAAATGCGAAACGCTCTTTGGTGTGGTCGTTTGCGACAACGCACATGGTTCAGTGGAGAGGCGTCTGGGAACGGAAACGAACTCATTGGACTTGTGGACGTAGACGTTTGACGCATTACTATGAATTTATGAAGGCGAAACCACACAAAGATGAAGAGAGACTACAATGTTCTCGTGTTCGTAAAGTTCTGCGCGTACGTACATTTGAATGGAACAACAAAGAGATGACCAAAAAGGGCTTAGAAAAGTTAGACGTGGACTAGGAAAATACAAGATCACGGCCACCAGTTTGATGTCAGTACGAGCTGGAGTTAAGACACGTGGCAGAGTTTCCGCGTGGGAGTGCGATAGAGCGTATTCACAGACATATTTACAGACTGCAGTAGTTATTTTTTTAAGATTAGTCAGAGATCACATCGCCAACGTCATCTGACGAGTTTGCAGCAGTGATGACACATCAGTGTCTCCTTATCTTCCCCTTTCACGGGAGAGTAACCAGACGTTCCCTTTCCCCTTCTAAGCTACATTAATGTTTGAGCTCACCGCCTCAATTCATGGAAAAGAAGAGTATATGAACTTCAAAGTCACCTTCAGCTTCGTTCACTTTTTTGTATTATCCTCTTTTATTTATGCGGCTGCGACAGTCGGAATTGTACTTCGAATGCGCAGAATCTTTTCGAGTTCAAATAGGCTCTTCAACTCTTCTTCGATCGTACACACCTGTCTCTTTCGTTCGTTCATCTATATGCAAATCGCGGTTAGTTTCTGAGATGAGGTTTTTCATTTGAATAACTGCTTTCAGAATCTGGGCTTCTTCATCTTCGACAACTTGGTATTCCGCATTCCATCCACTGGCCTTTTAACCTCTTTCTGTGCCTCAATTTCTCTAAATCACTTCCTCAAGGTGCTCTACATGCTCCAACTGTTCTCCAACTACAGTTCTATCTTCTATTCTCTTCTCTTTTGTCTAACAAGACTTGTAATCGTATTCCATCCAAACAATCATCATAAGGTAAGCGCAAAACGTACATATGAACACTTACAGTAATCCATTCAGATCTGTGTTCGGCTGTTCTTCTTTTTCATTCCTTCCACTTTCATGTTTTCGCTCTGCGCAGACTTTTTTATGCTTCCTGCTCTCGGCTATTGTAGGCAGTACCCCTCGCCATACCCATTCGGGGCAATTTACATTTCTTTTGGACTAACATGGTTTGAAGTGAGTCCATCCGCTCTTTTCTCTCTTTCCCCTCCATCCCTTCCAGATCCGAACCGACATCTGCATGCTCTACCTCAGTTTCATCGCTCCCTTACTGATAATGCTCATGAACACTGCGCTCATCTACAAAGTTCGATCGTTTTTGTTCAATCAAAAGTGAGTCATTCAAATGAGGAATCAAACTGAAATCGGACTTTGAAAGGATGGTCAGAAGTCGGAAATCTCGACGCGCACAAATATCGCTCACAATGACGACGCTCGCAATTATCTTGCCGTTTCTGGCAAGCGGAGGAAAGACGGTGAGTGGTGGGCTTCCAATATGTTTGCGGGGTTAGGATGAGACTCACTTTCTGAGAATGGGGTGGGTTGCAAAAAATGTTCTTAGTGATTTGTCTGGATGGCCACAAAGAAACACGAGCAAAAACTACTAAACATTCAGGCGGTCGGTCTTCTGAGTGCTGAGCTTGGCACTTACGCGTTGATTATCCGTAACCCTCTCGTCGATCTCGGAATGATCCTTGTTCCCTGGATCTTCTACCTCTCCCATCCGATGTTCCACGAAAAGTCGGCACTCGCCTCGACCACCATATGAATTCTGACCACTGTTGCACAAGCCCGCAGGGAATTGTCGCCCTGGTTTCCTCCGTCTCCCCCTCCATCCTTCATCCTTCTGACCACTCCTCGTCTTCTCTTTCGCCCTCCTCGTCATCAGATTCGAGAAGCTTCCACTCCAGATGAATACCTCCTTCTTTCGGTCGATTCACGGAGTCGAGGGCCACACGAACTTCGCGTTCAGGCTTAACCTCTTCACCATCGTCGTCGTCTTGGGATGCATTCTGACGGCTTTGACCATCTACGCGGTTTCGATGATGTCCCGAACGTACTATTCACGGAAAATTGTTCATGGTTATCGGTATATCCATATTAACATCTTCACTTCTTTTATGTGGATGCAGACAGCCGTGAGTTTGTACAAATTTGAGCTCGAGCGGCGTTTACGTTTTCTATCTCTATTTTTATCTTTCTACTCTACAATTATCTTTGCCCACGTAGAACAATCTTTTCAGAACCTGTGCTTCTTCATCGTCGACACTCTCGTCTTCGTCCTTCCGGCCACTGGTCTCGTCACTTCCCTCTGCGCCTCCGTGGCCCCCAATCACTTTCTGAAGGCTGTCTACCTTCTTCAACTCTTCTTCAGTTATCAATCAATGTTTTACACGTTGCTCTTCTGTGTCGTCCGAGTCCTCGTTGTCAGCTTTCCGGAAAAACATCATGAGGTTAGTCGTCTGATCTTGACGTCATTCCAATTGTATCATAGATCTACTCTCGATTCATCAAGTGGTTCATCCTGTTCGCATCGACATTCCCGGTTCTTGTCGACTTCTTCCTGTTCCCAGCTCTCGGTTACTGTCGCCACTACATTGCTCCATTCGAATCCGCCGCTTTCTTCATTTCGTACTCGCAAACTCTGCTCAACATCCGTATAGACTACGTCCATCTGTCGCTCTCCTTCGCATTTCCAATTGTTATTCTGCTTCTCAACGGTTGTCTCGCGTGCCGAATTCAGAAAGCTAAGAAGAAATCGCAGTGAGTGGAGCACTAATTAGTCGACATGTATTCTAATCTCTCTCGTCACAATCCCATTTCAGATCACTACAGAATATTTTCACAACCAAGACCAAGTTCTCTCTGGCCTGCACAACGACGGCGATTGTTATTCCGTTCTTCTTGAACGGACTAGTCGATGTAAGTTCTTGACTGTCCATCGGTTCATGTTCCCCCTTTCCAGTTATGGTCTCTATTGCATCCTAACCACACGGGCATACTCATCATCGCTCGCTGGGGATTCTCAACTCTTCTCATGGCTGTCGTCCCTTGGACCTTTTTTGTCTCTCATCCGTTATTCAAAGAACGATCGAGTGTGAATACAATTTCGTGACATCATTAGCATAGGACCTTATATCGTTGTGGTTTATTGGTACTAAATGAAACATTGAATAAAGAAAACAAAAAAAGTTTCTGTGACCGGTCTCGCATTAATAAATAAAAGCCATAGTTCTCCGTGTCTCTATTAGGTGCTCATTCCTGCTCTTCCTCGCTGTCCTCTCCGTCCTCCTCCTTCGCCGGTCCCTTCATCTTCCCGTCCAAATAATCGCTCAACTCTCCAACTCTCTGCTTTCTCCAGTAGATATCAGTGGTTGCCGCTTCGATCTTCTGCTCGAGGCTCTCGATCGCGTTGGTGCTCTTGTGATGGTGCTCCAGGAACGTCTCCACCGTGCTCTTTTCTCTCTCGTTTTCCAACACGATTCCGGTGTTCGCGATGGCGTTCAGACTCTCCGGGTCGTCCTTGAACTTCTTCTTGAGGACAGTCGACCAGTTGTCAATGATCCAGTTGGTCGCGACTTCTCTTCCGACCGGACGGCTGTTCATTTTTTTCAGAAGCTGAGTGACTGCACTCGTGCTGTTCAGATTCTCCAGAATGAGACGACGGAGCACTCGTGGGTCTCTGAAGCAGGCCAGTGCGTTTTGAAGCACTTCTTTCTCGGCTTCATCCACCTGCAAATCATTTTCTTTTAAATTTTCTATGCGCGATCTGCACTCACTTCTTTATCTCCCAATCTCTTGACCGTCTCGAAGACAGTATCGTTTCCAAACTCCACTCCGTTACAGTAAACTTGGCCACGAAGATCACCAGCGACTCTGAAATCAAATGAAAAAGTTCAACGAAATATTGTCGGTCAGATGTGATCACATACGCGGAGCAGTCACTGCTGAAGTTTCCAGAATGTTGGCACGGCGCCAAGAACTCTTCCACAAACATCTCATTCAGTTTCTCATTCGATTTTGCCGGCTTCACATCGGCCATCAAATCAAGGAAATTCTTGCGGAGAACACTTTTCAGGTAGTTGTGATCTGTGGGCGTGGACGTGACTTCTTCGTACTTTTGGTGGATCTTATCGTAAATGTAGTTCTGAAATGTTGAAAGTTGAAGAGTAAGAAGGTTCAAGCCAACATTAAGTTTATCCTGAAGAGGTGATCCTTCCAATCTTTGCGTCAACTTCTTGAATATTCTGGTAGCGACTAGCCAAGGGACGGTGGCAGTTTCGGACGGAAGGTACGAAGTCACGTTGAGAGCCGTCTCGAATGGGATGGCTCCACTGTTGGCGAGAGCAAAAACGTCAGAGATCAGACGGGCTCGGGTTCTGTCCGACAGTTTTCCGTGCGACTTCTCCAGCTGTTTCGCAATGTCATTCCATCTTCTCTCCTCATAATTCACACGATAAACACCATTGGCATCGGTATTCAAGTAGATCGAATCGGAAGTGTTCAACGGAAGTCTAAAGGCCTCGTGGAGCCACGAAACATTTCCGACGTCGGCGGAGCTCTTGAGGAAGAGCGGAACTTCCCAGTTGAACCAGTACTTTGCATTTCGGAATTTAAACTGCTCCTTGGTTTTGTGATCGTTCTTGAAGCGGTCTTGAGACAATTCCACGTTTTCGCTGTCCAGTTTGTCGACGGAAACGAGTGGGAATCCGATCTGATCCACCCAAGTGTTCACGAACTTTCCGACGTCCAGAGGTTCGTTGTTCCATCCCTTCAACTTTCCACCGATGGCCTTCTCGAACGACTTCCAGAGTCCGTCATCGTATGGGTACGCGGAACGGTACGAAGAGACGAAGCTCTGAAAAGAAATAAAATGTTGTCATCAGAGTATCGAAATGGAAAAGTGATATTACTCTGATGGCCTTGTTGAACACATCCCTTCCGACCGACTTCTCAATCATTCGGAGGACGGCCGCTCCCTTTTTACCAATGAACTCGTGATCGATCGCTGCGATATCAGCCGCCGAATGGACATTCTTCACTCTCAACGGCTGGGACGTGGCAGTCGCGTCTTTTTCGAGAATCTTCTCCAACTCATAAGTCCACAAATCATCCTGAAAGCTACTCGGTTCTTCTGAAATCGAGTCGTCAAATGGAAACTCACCGCATTCACATCGAGTATCTTCTCAAGGGCCTCCACTTCAAGGTACTTTGGCAGCGCATCGTTGAGCCAGAAAGTACCGTACTCCTCTGGATTCGTGATTCCGCCGAACCATTGAGCGGCGATTCGGTTGGAGATGGTTCTGGCAATGCGAGCCTTTTGGGAAATATCATTCGAGTTCTCGTTGTAAAGAACGTCTTCTTCTGGGAGAACGATAAACGAATTGCTCACGCGGTTGCCGGCCTCGAATCCAGGAACGGCCACAATATCTGAAGATTAGCTAGCTCCTAAACATCATCTGATATTGTGCCTTTCTTACCTAAGCTCTTAGATTCCAGTCTGGACTGGAGGATGTGTTCCAGAGTGTCAATGGCTTGATCCGCGTAGTCCAGAACCTTTTCCGTGGACAACTTCACCTCTGGCCGTGTCCAAACTCGGATCGTCAGTCCGCTGGTTGTGTTCACCTCGCTGACAACAAGATCTCCGATCACAAAGTCTGGATCGAGAACCTTCTTCAAAGTGGAAGTCTGCACATCTCTAGAAACGAGCACTTCAATGTCTCCCCCCTTCGATTCAGGTTCTTACCCATCATCTTTAGTCGTCACTTCAGTGTTGGCCACCACCACGGATCCCTTCGAGTGCATCAGAGTCAGAGCGGCCGGGGCCTTGAACGACTCCTGGTCGAAGCTCGGGAAGACGTGTCTCAAGTAGGCGTAGCTCGGCTGCGTCGTGAATATGCTTCTCTCCTCTCCCGTCTCCGTCTTGTACTTGTACTCTTTCAGTCCGTTACTGTTCGTCACTTTGGAAACGAATGGAATCTGGAGAACGATCGTTATTTGCATTTTCATTACCGATGACTCACTTTCAAAACTACATCGCTTCCTTTCTTCAATTCTCCGTCCAAAGTCAACGTGACCTTCTCCAAGTCTTCGTCAAACTCGATTCCGGTGACTTTGATTCCCGTATCTTCGAGAGAAGAAGCGGGAGCTTCGGTCGTCGTGGTAACCTCTTCTTCTGGCGCGAATCCGGAACCCTCCGAGACTCCAGACGTCGTGTTGTTCGTGAGATCTTCCGTTGATTTCTGAATGCTTCTCGGTTTTTTTTTCTCAGCGTGTTACTTGTTTTACCTTTACTCTCTTGACGACTTCTCTTGCGATCTGAATCTTCTCCAAGTTCTTGGTGAACTCGATTCCCTTCGCATTCAGCACAATCTTGTTCGTCGGCTCTTCGATGTTCAACTTCACGAGAGCCAATCCCATCGTACCGTTGCCTCCTTCTTTCGGCGACAGACTCACATCGTACCAAACCGGTCGGACACTCTTCGGAAGTGCCAGCTCTTCCTTCGTAGGCTGCTTCACCACGTCATTCTCATCGGCGTCCTCTTCGTTCACAATTGGTTGGTGCGGTTTTTTGTGCGGGCGAGTACTGTATCAATATGTTTCCGTGTCACTCTTGTGATAACCTTCACTTACTAGTTCTTACACGCCACCAGTGTTTCGTTGGACTGATGGAACTGCATCAGATCGTATTCCCTTTTCGTGATATAATGTCCCAGGAACGCGGCGAATATGATGGCGGCGACTGCGAGCAGAAACAGAGCGATCGCGGAGCCGGAGGAGCACGCAACCTTCTTCGACGGTTTCGGCGGCGGCTTCTGCTTCTTGACTGCCGGAGCGGACTCTGACTGTTCCGTCAGTGGCTGCTTGACCACCTTCTCGGAGAGCGGAATGTTCGAGTCGTTGCCATTGTTCAGATTTGGAGCCGATCCGTTCTGATTCTGAAAACAGTGAAGTGACGTTGTGATGACGTGGGAAGTTCGACGATCTAAGTTTCGTCACTCATCCTTGAACCATGGACACCCGCTCAGTTTCTGGTCTCTTTGATTCTATGACAGCGGGAGAGAAGCGGAAGAGACGTCAGATCAATACTTTCTTACTGGGAACATAGGTTAAAGAGTGAAATTTAATAGAGAAAATGAAGGTTTGTGGATTTCATAGAACTCTATCAGATGCTTTCAAAGTTGTGGAAGTATGACTAACATCGAACGTGTTGGAGATTATTGATTTACTGTAACTTGTACAGATCTACAAAGAAGATCAAAATGAGCAGATTTTGACTTTCACCTGAAACTATTATACCATTTCGATGACTTGCAGAACTGTATTTTCCCGAACATCTTCTGCTACTACTTCTTTATAATCAAATGTACTAACCGCATAAACAAAGTCGATGAGCTGAGTCCGGTCCTTGCCCAAGTCGACGTCTTCCATGCCTGACGTCTTCTGAAACTGACGGGAAGATTGTGGGGTGAAGTGGGGAGAAGTGCGTGTTCCCCTTGGCTGGGAATCAGTCGAAGAACCAACGGTCAATCGACGGCCTCTGTTCGGTTTTTGATAAAAACCGCCTTCAGGGCAACAGCAGCAGCAGCAGTAGAGCGCGAAAATAAACCCCCGCGGTATCCCCCCTTCTTTCTTCTTCTTCTTCTTCTTCTCCATTTTCTTCTTCCTCCTACTCTTCTACCGTCACCGACTTTTGGGTGTGGCGGGAAAAAATAAAAGACCGAGAGAAAGAAGTGAAGTTGAGATGTCGAATCACACACAAAAATCAGCAAATCAGATATCAAATGTAGTATGAATTTTATATAGGTCAGCGTCTTTTTATCACCTCTAGTAACAGGGGGTACTTTAGGAAAGTGATGAGCTTGAAAAACTTGGCAAAACTGTTCCTAATAGGATGTGTGGAACTGTCAGTCTGATCAACGTTTGCAAGAGAACTTGATCAGACTTGTTTACCTGACAAACTCAAGTTCACTTTTGATGTTATGTTCTTGTCTGCGTGAGTCAGGTGAAGTCAAAAATAGATTCTTTTAAAGTTTCGGTAAAACACTAATCAATTGAAAATTATCAACTGTGAGGCTGTGTAGCAGAAACAGGAGAGATTCTAAAGCTTCAAAAACTAAGACTTCATTCCACTAGTTGCCAACTTTTATGTAAAATCACTGTCCAGACAATCGCCGCTTTTGCAAAATAGTCCTATCAAGTCCTCACTGGTAAGAGTTTGTTCAGTTTATTCAGAATAATATATCTCAGCTGCCAATAGGGATATCAAACATTTATCAACTAATAAATTGCTCAGAAAGACATTGTACACATTACATCAGTTTACTGCGTCTTAAAGGACCAGGGAACCCAAAAATTTTTTGATTTTTTTGTGAAATGTTTTTGTGACTGTTTGAATTGTCTCTTATTGCCTCATACACTGGTGAAATGCTGCCTCTCAAAAATGCCAATGAACGAAACGGCATGCAGTTGAAGTTGTGGCCGTGGCCTAGCGCCAATGGCCGAAAAATATATAAAAATAAATGCGCTTCTCGGCCATTTTATTTTTTCCGGTTTTTTACCGGTTTTTTTCCAAAAATTAACGGTTTCTCCCATTTTTCAGCTGATTGACATTTGTTCGGCACTTACTTATTTTTTCACTGCTAAAAAATTGTTTTCATTCAGTCGATATGAAGTGCCAAAATGGGAGAAACCGTGAATTTTTTTGGAAAAACCGGTAAAAACCGGAAAAAAATAAAATGGCCGAGAAGCGCATTTATTTTTTTATATTTTTTTCGGCCATTGGCGCTAGGCCACGGCCACAACTTCAACTGCATGCCGTTTCGTTCATTGGCATTTTTGAGAGGCAGCATTTCACCAGTGTATGAGGCAATAAGAGACAATTCAAACAGTCACAAAAACATTTCACAAAAAAATCAAAAAATTTTTGGGTTCCCTGGTCCTTTAATAACTCAGTAGTATAGGATGGAGGGATTATAATACCATTTTCGACATTTTGCTTTTCTGAACGTTTTTTCATTCTCTGATGTCGGAGAATCACCTCATTTACAACACTTTTTTGAAAAAAGTATGAAATGAGTGAACTTTTGGAGCACTAAAAAGTGCCTATTTTGAGAAGCAGGAATTGTGAATTTAGACTCGACTAGCTGATTCCGATCAGAGTTTAAAATTGTCACAAAATGATAATAAAAATATAGAAAAAAAAGTGAGAATAGTCAAACTACAATTAAAAGACCAAAAAACTTATAAAAATAAAAATAAATTAACTAATGAGAACCAAAAATTTCTAAGTGGAATAATTACTGGTTCTGGATTTAAAACTATTTCAAAGCAATAAATTCATAAAATAACAGAGTTCTTTTAGATAAGCTTTTGCTTATTATATCTCTTTTAAATGTAATTCTATAAAAAAATATTTATATTATCATATTTAATCAAATTATTTTTTTATCATCTACAAGTCTAATATAAACTTTTTTTAATTTCATCAATTACTTTATGATATATTAATTGTTTTGATAATAACTCATTTATTCGCTTCGACCACCAGAAAAAAAAATTTTTAAGCGAATAAATGAGTTATTATCAAGTTTCTCGCCGCCTCTCGATTCTCACAAACCAAAAAAATGGTCGATGAATGAGTGAAGAAGGGGGGAATCCTCTTAGAAACCATCTGAACCGTATCAACAAATCCCTTTTGTCGAATCGATCACAGAACATTTTCAGAGAGATGTTGGACGTCAAACAACAGAAAAAGAGACCGTAAATGGGTGATAAAATGACAAGAATCCGAGTGGTAAACGGTAAACGTCTGTGTGTGTGTGGGTGTGGCCTACGAAATTGGCGGAATTGGGGGAATTGGAATTGGAATTTCAAATAAGAATTGCAAACGAATTTCAGGTTTTGTGAAGGTAAATTGTTGTCAAAGAGGATACAAATAGAGAATGTTTATGTTTCCGTTTCTTGAAGATGACGTGGCAACAAGCTGTTCTCTGTCCTTTTAGATTGACTTCCTTGATAGTTTAAATGTCTAATCAAGCGTGGCAAAGTCGAAAGACAGGAAAAAAAACAGATAAAATGAAAAGGTAAGTCATTTTATTGCGATCAGATCAGAAATCGGTCAAAGAGAAGACTCTATCATCGAGCCAGAACAGTCTTCCTCTACTCGAACGAACCGATTCCGTTGTTGAGTGTTCGCATATCTGAATTTTCATTTAAAAGGCTACCAGTCTGGTTCCCAGTCTCGGGATCACCAACCGAATGTCAAAGTGCAGTCCGTCTTGTTCGCTCGTCTCGATCGGCAACATCCAGAGTCCCCATCCGAACACCGCGCGGAAGTTGTTCCATTTTCCCATGTTGTAATCCGCCGTGTTGTCAAATCGGAGCACGGCCGGCTTCGTCTGCTCCACCGTCGTTTCGTTCAGTGAAATCAGTTGATAGTGGAAGATGACGAGCTCGCCGAGCGGATAATAGCCGAAGATCGCGCCGGCAATGAAACTGACAATGTAGTAGATGAATTTCCCCAGATCCTCGCTCCACTTTTGGACGATAAAGTAGCGAACAACGCCTTCGAATGAGGTGAGAAGGTACCAGTAGACAAGGACGCTCGTGTAGATGATGTAGAGCAGGAAGTACTTGTAATTGGCGTGCGTGACACACATGTTGATCCATGGACAGTGATGATCGTACTTGATGCAGCATTTTCCGCAGGAACCGCAGTGCCGAGTGCGGTCCGGTTTGATGTGACCGCACTCGTAACAGTACTTGAGCCGGCCGACGTGGTCACATTCGGCGACGGCCACTTTGCAGAAGGTGCACATCTCCTCGAGTATTAAATTTTGTTGTTTTGTCTGAAAGTTGTATTACAAAAGTAAGTGGGAGAACGAAAGTTGCCTGCTCCGGAGTCGACTTCTCCACAACATATCGTTCCTTTTCCATCGGAGTGACTGCTTTCAGACGGTCCTCCAGCTCTTTACTGGGCCGATATTTCTCCGGAACTCTGCCGACCTTCGTGAACAGTGTCTTTCCGAGGCTCCACATCGACATTGTGAACAGGAAACTGCACACGATCAAGTAGATCGTGGCCTGCACCGATGACTGAACGTAGTAGCCGATTGTGACGTTCACGTACACGTACAGCCTGAATCAGAAGAACGTTGGGAAACGCGAAAATAGAAAATATAAAGAACGTACGTCATCCAAAGACATATCATCTGCATGATGATCAACGCATTGAGACACCTCGTGAGGATCCAACCGGTGAACCGGTGCTTTGCACGGTGCTCTCGGACTGCTATGTAGATTTTCGAATACCACGACATTGTTTTACACTCTTGAAATAATCTCAACCTGGAAAAATGAGAGGAAAGCGGTGAGAGAAACCAAAAAAGGACCCACCAATTTGCAGTGAAACGCAGAAATGACAGGAAATGAGGACGGACAGAGCGTGACCCGTTGGAGACGTTATCAGAGAGGAGGAGAAGATTTTGGCGTGATGTTCTTGTTTAAGAGACTCCTGCTCTAATAGTAAGAGCAACTTTTTGAACAAAAGTTAATCGAAAAATAAAACGTTTTCAATGAAATATTTATTGAGAAATTAAGCAGATGTACAGAAAACAGCTATCATCATCATATATACAGAGAATGAATAAATCACACTTCCCTCTGTCGCTTACTTTCTCTTGCAGCATTGTCCGTTTCCGCACGGCGAGTAGTTCTGCTGGCAAGTGCACGAGTTGGTCGACTGGCTCTGGCACGGCATCTGAGCAGGCTGAGCAGCGGAGCACGACTGGCTGCAGGACTGCGAGCACGCGGGGACGCACTGTTGAGCTGGCTGCTGCTGCTGAACACATTGTTGCTGGCACGACTGCTGGCATTGTGGAACACATTGGGCGGATTGGGCCATGGAAGCCTGGAGCACGATGGTGACGACTTGTGGGGCAGCGGTGGTGGTGATCGGCTGTTGGCAGGCAGTCTGGCACTGCTGGCACTGGGGAGCGGATTGTTGTTGGCATTGTGGAGCACACTGTTGCTGGCACTGTTGCTGGACAACTGGAGCAGTCTGTTGGCAGGTGGACTGGCACTGCTGGCACTGAGGAGCCGACTGCTGCTGCTGGCATTGCGGAGCACACTGTTGCTGGCATTGCTGAGTCTGTTGGACCGTCTGTTGGCAGGACGACTGGCACTGCTGGCTGCATTGCTGAGTGCACTGCTGGGTTGGTTGCTGCTGCTGGACGCACTGTTGTTGGCACGATTGCTGGCATTGTGGCACGCATTGAGCAGTAATCTCCAAGTTGATTTTGACGATCTGTGGAGCGGCCGTGGTAGTGGTGGTGATCACGTCGCACTGTTGAGAGCATTGCTGTTGGCATTGCGGCTGGCACTGCTGGATTGGCTGCTGCTGAACGCACTGTTGCTGGCACGACTGCTGGCATTGAGGCATGCATTGGGAAGCTGGAGCCTGAGTTTGAGCGACGCAGGACTGTTCACAAGCTGGCTGGCAGGCAGGTTGACAATACTGAGCTGGAGCAGAAGTCGTGGTGTAGACGACAGTCACGGTTGGAGTGTTGCACGAGGAAGTCTGGCAGGACTGTTGACAGTTCGACTGACATTGGTTGGTGGACGGAGCAGACTGGCATTGCTGCTGGCACGACTGTTGACAAGCCGGGGCACACTGGGAAGTCTGGACTTGGTAAGTCTGTTGCTGAGCTGGCTGAGCACAGGAGCAGGAGGAGGAGGTCTGTTGGACTGGAGCGGTGTTCTGGCAGGAACAGCTGAACTGGGGTTGCTGCGTGTAGGACGTCTGCTGGCAGGAACAGCTCGGCTGCACTTGCTGAGAACATCCACACGATGATTGGCGCTTCTCGCGGATCGCCGTGCCCTGCAAAAACCGCGTAAGTAAAACATACCCTAGACTTTAGTGTCCGATTTTCAGGCATTGCTACATTGGCCTTTCAGAATTCAAAAGATAGTTCGAACAAGACGTACCTCAACAAGAAGAAGGCTGGAAGCCAAAAGAGCGGCGATGGCGAAGAAGCGCATTCTACAGAAGTGAATTTGGGACGAAGAGCTGCTAGATGGCAACTGATGTCTTCCTCCGACACTTTTGTTCCTTTTATACCCCACCTCCTCCCACTCGTTTCCCATTAACCAACGAACATATACCGGAAAGTTGCTTCCCACTTATCAGACTCCATCAACCGGCTGCCGGCTCCATGACGAGGGCAAACACAGCTGGCGTGCCAATGGCAAACGATCCGATGAACACGTGTGGCGTCTCTCCGAGATGTGTGCTCCCTCGGCGGGCGAGACGCAAAGATGGAAAAAAGGTTGGGCGCGGGGAGGAATGTGCTGATACGGTGTATGTTTGACGAGTTCCTGCTTCTTCTAACTATACGCAATCCCCCGATCTCCTTCGGAATGTTGCCGTTTTATTATCAAACAGAGAGAGCCTCTCATTTGTTCAAGAGTTCTTTCGGAAGTCAAAATCATTAGATAGGACTAGTTATTCTTTTTGGCCATGTTCACTTTTGAGTGAGATCGCTTTCGGCAGCATATTAATTTCAGAATGTAGACGAAAATGTGGAGGATGACGATGAGCACGACAATCAAAAAGGCGAAGATATCCAGATTGAAGTAGACTATCGTGTTCAGTCGGGAGCCTTCCACGTGAAGCTCCTCTAGAACTCCATGATCAATCGCGAACTGAGTCCATTTGGTGAGTCTCTCCTCCGGGCTGAACGGTTTGTCCCTCATCATCTTCGTTATTCTCACTGCATTTTTTTTGTAGCTGAAAAAATGGAATGAACTTTCATTCACATACTCGTTTCCGATATTCTCTACCTCGGAGTATTCAAAACCGTGAGCACGATGTCCTTGAAGCTCTCGTATCCGATCTCCAGCTTCAGAAGAACCTTTCCGATTCCCCGCTTCTCCACCATTCGCCCGTTTCTGTGCTGGTCCGCAAAAACCGGGACAATGACTGTGGGCACTCCTCGCAGGGCCGTTTCTACGAGTCCGTTGATGCCTCCGTGCATCACGAAGAGCTTCAGTCTCGGGTGGGCGAGGATGTCGACTTGTGGCAGCCAATGCACCAAATCCACGTTGCTCATTCCTTGCACCAACTTTCCGGTGTCTTGGTCGTCTGAAAGAGTTTTCATAGATGGATTGTTAAAGCTTTTCTATGTACCTTTGGCAATTTTGATCAGGAAATGGTAATCTTTAATCTCTCGAATCGCTTTCAGAACTCCCTGCTTTGCATGATTCGGAAGGCTTCCAAAGGGAATGATCGAGCCGAGCGAAACGATGACAACTCCTTCTTTTCCCTTTGCCATTATCTTGGTGAACTTCTGAAACTTTTCTTACATTGTCGATATCATCTTCCGCTCACCTCATCTAACGGTTTACTGTCCTTGGAAACTCCCAATCCTCCCACAAAGATGGTTTTTGTGATGGTTGGCCTTGGAAGATCGAGAACTTCGTCCGAATTCACAAAGCACAGAGAAGAGTTGGCGGCGATTTCTCTCACATTCGGAAAGTCCGGTACATACTTCCGGAACACCTGCAGGAACATGAACTTTGTGTTATTGTAAGTTTTAACCAACCTCAGTAGTGGCATCAGTTCCATATCTGTGAATGATTATTGATCCGATGTACATGTAAATATTCAATGCTCTCTGCCAAAAGTCCATTTTGTCTCCATTGTCATTCTCCTCAACCGTCGGCACATAAGACGTTGGGGCCGGAATTCCGAGGTTATAAGAGACGGCGTCCATGATTGGCGTCGTGGAGATCCACAAATGATTCTGAATTCCCAGATATCGAATGACTCCGACGCCGCAGAGATCAATTTGCTCGGAGAATGCCACGTCGAAATTGTAGGCTCTCAGGGGCTCCAACTCTTCTCTTCTTTCCATCAAATCTGAAATTGTTTTGATATCTTGAAGCATGAGATAACGATGAATTATCTACCATTGCAAACGGCTGCACACATGTCTTCGAATGCGATGCGTTCCCTAAATCCGAGCCTCGTCGTCGACAGAATGTGCGTGTCGAACCCCTCCATATCCTCGACAAATCGAGTGCCTAAATTCGTTCAGATGATTCACTCTTTGAAATCAATCTCACTCAATCCTTTCATAGTGATAACTTTCGCCTTTTTCGTTCCGGTAAAGTCCGTCAACGGCTCGTACTCGAGTATCAACATGACTACATCGTGGCCTGCGTCGACCAGCGCGTCCGCGAACCGCCCGTTCGAGATGAGATGGCTCCGACTGATCGACGGACTGTACACAAGGATCTTGCCGGCGTCCGCCACGGCAATGACGAGTAGGAGCAGGAGGTGGAGGATGTGGGTCATTGCCAAGCAAGGGAGACCTAAATAAAAGGTCAAGAAGTAAGTTCAGTTGATTGAAAAATCGCTTGAAAAAGTAAGTCGTCAAACTGCCAAACACGCTTTTCTTCTCTGCGTTTCACACCTTATCAATCACCTAATCAAAAAAGGATAGAAACGAAGAAAGGCAACAGAATTGAGAAAGAGGCGAACTAGAACAATTTGAGTGAGGCAGACTAATCGAATCATATTGAAAAGGTAACAGAAATGAAATGAAAATGGGAACCGGTTGGACGACGGTAGCCGGAATGAATGAGAACAAAATAGCAAAAGAAAAAGAAGACGAGGCGAAGAACGGTGACGGAATGTGTAATGATTGAATGAAAAGAGCAGGAGGAGAGCAGGAGGAGAATCTAATCGGCGATGGGTGGAGGCGGACAAATGTTCAGATAAGATAGATTCGTATTCTGTGTGACCGTCTTCCGTGCGTCGGAAAGGAGAAATAGACGGAATGACAAAAATACACATTGACAAGTGATTGTTCAAGAGTTTTTGGGCAAACACAGAAAAGACCATTGATGATGATACGGGTGTGACGAGAATGGGAAACGACGTGTGTGTTTGGTTTTAGATGGAAATGAATGGGAAAATGGAAAAAATTGGGGGGAAGCGGCGAAAGTATTGCAATAATGCTCTCTCGTTGAACAGGTTGACGGACACGACAAACTTTGCGGACGGTACAGCAAGCACGAACAAAACAGAGTTCAAACGAGAAGGATTTTGAAGGAGAACCAGTACTAGCCACATTTAGACTCTTGACCAAGTTGCAAGACAAACGGACCACCTCCTATCCACATAAGTCCAGATTAGATAATACGGATCGATGTGAAATTTGAACTCATGAAACTTCCTGGGTCAAATGTTCCGTTGCAAGTTACAAGAACTATGTGAAAAACGATAGACATTTGGCCATTTTCCATAGTTCCCGACCCCTTCCTGCATTTTCCGACGCAATGTTCTCGTTCTACTTCTCCTCTCCCGCTGATCTCGTTGATCCGAGCACTACCACTGTGTTCTCTGTCCAAAATATGTCTGACTCGACGAAAATCATGCGGTCCGCCGACTCCAAATGCTTCTTCCCGTCAAACACGTCTTCTTGTAGTCTCATTTGGAATCGAATCGGAGCCCTTCCTGTTCACTCACATTTCACAAAAGTTCCGGAGTCAACAAAAGTCTGCGTGGACTTGACGGATCAACGGATATTCTGGAGCACAATTCGTGGAATTGTTATGACGTTCAAATAATTTTAGAAGAGAATTGAGCCGAATGATGATTGATCAAGCAGACGGCTCTGATTCCTTGGTTGACAAAAATAATTCAACCGCGTGGTTGAGCTTTTAGGTAATGGGCATGAAGAGATTTATTAAAACCAAACTGGAAACAGAGAAAAAGAATCATGGTGCAATGGTGACCGCGATGCTCCTTTCCGTTTGAATCCTCGATAAGTTGTTGCCGTCCGAAGAGCGCTGCACATTTGAAAAGTGGAAAGACCTGAAAAGAGAAACATCAGAAAACGCTGTCTTTCCCGCCGAGGACTTGCCGATTGGACCTCCACACCATCACGTAGCTCCTGTACGGCGGATAAGTGATGATCATAACGACGGCATTTCCGCTCGAGTGAAGAGTCAGAGCGACGAGGATCCAGTGGGTGGCCACTGAAATAATAATGGTCCGGGGGATCTGATGGGTTCGAACTCCCTACCCTGACAGTGTTCATATCGGGTAACCACCAGAATAGAGAACAACGTGGCAGGCCCGATGATCAGAAAACACGTGGAAAACTGAGCGAGGAGACTTCGCAACGTGGCACGATGCTTCGCGTAGTTTGCCGAACTGATGTGCTTCCGATTGTCTTCGAGAATTTGGAACATGTGATACGTGGTGGAAACGACGAGAACGACGGTGTAGGTGCAGCCGAAGAAGATGAAGGCGAACGTGACGATGGCCCAGAAGTTGGAGTCGAAGACGACGTAGTTGGGGAGAGCCGAGAAGCTCTTGACGAGATTCGGATAGACCTCGTGAATGAGCGCCACTTGATCCGTTTTGTTGAGCATGCTCAGGTAGAGGAACGCGGCGGCGATGATTGGGAAGAGGTTGAGCAGAATGAGAACGACGCCGAATTGGAAGTCATCGAGAAGCAGCTTCTGGCTGATCTTCGCAATCGCCTGATGTTTGCGCACGAAGCAACTGTTGAGGGCGCTGGCGACGAGACAGATGCAGAAGGCGGTGAACGTCTGGAATTGTTTCCGTCTACAACTCTTTTCGTTCAATGATCCCCGTCATTCCGGTCAAATGAACGACTGAGTCATACCGTCTGAAAAGAGTCATCAATTCCGAAAACAGTGGTGAGAACGCCGGTGCAGTAGCCGCCAAACACCGGGAAAAGTGGCACGAACTGCATGAGCGTCGACAGATGAAGATCCATTATCCATCCGGCGAACTGCAAAAGAAAACCTAGTACATCACTGTTCTAGTTGACCACGTTTTTGTATCACCACTTTTATACCAAGATTACTGTAGCTCTTGGAAGTTATGGCTCTCACAACAATAGCTATTGTGATCTTAGGAGTGCGGGCCACTAGGTTTCAGAAGCTCACCTGCATATAAAACAGATAAAACTTGAATCCATCCATTTTGCCGCTTTGGTACAGGATAATATACATTGAGAATCCGGAGAGAATCGTGGAAATGGCCGCAATGATGTGATAGTAGATCTTGAGCCACTCGGGCACTCCGAAGTCCACTTCGTACGCGAAGCTCATCAGTTCTTCTGCGGTGAACGACATCATTTTACGGACCAAACATGAAAGGGCGCATGCGTTTTATAGATCAGAAAGGGGGAGGAGCTAGAGAAGAATCCAGAGACGAGGAGAGAAAAAGAGGAATGAGGGGAGAGAGTTGGAGTTGGAGCAGAAGCCGCAAAAAAAAGGAGAAAAAGTTGATGACACATTTGTTTTTGGAATTCTAATGTGGCTTCATTTTAACAAGACAATATTACTGTAATAAAAGCTCATAAAAGTTCCAGTGCCGTTCATTCGAGACGATATATCTCAGCTGCCGATAGAGATATACTTTGACGAAAGGAAACGACGACTTTTCAATGTTTGAACTTTCAAATATCACTTGATACATCGCTTTCTCGATAGTCTGCCAATTGCGCTCTACTGCACTTTTCACGTGGAATTTTGGTAGAGCATGTAACCTGAGCATTTCAACAGTAAGCTGTTTTTTTTTTGCAAAAAAAAGGAAGTTTTCGTGAGAATGCTGTACCCGAGCACATTTATATCCCTCAAGAAGACGTCAACCTGCTTTCCGACTAATCTCGTTCGCATTCCTATTCATTTTCAGCTCGACTAGACACCTCTGCTCTTCGTCATTGCTACTAGTAGTTCGTTTGATCTTAACTTAAGATTCTTAAGACAGAAAACAGAAAAACGGAAGAATAGAGGGGCGATTATGAATCATTGTAGCTTGTTCGTTGATATCTTAAAGTTTCCGGAATGTCTGAATTTGTGTGAGAGTGGGATTACGGTTTCCCGTCATTTCCAGACGGGAATAAGTTGTCAAAATCAAAACAGCATCGAACTGAAAATCTTCCCATTGAATCGCGCGTCACCCAGCTTATCGCACATTTTCGGAATTCAGAACAAAAGCGCAATGAATAGGTTTTCTTAAAATAGCTTGAATGAATTTCGAAGGCTTATCACTGTTCATTCGCAGAAATGCCTCTCCGAAATGCACTAATCGAATGGCATTGAATTCATTGGTGCGCAAAAATATCCATCATTTTTAAATGGACCACTTCTTCCGAAGAAGGGCCAAGGACAACGAACGACAAGGGGGGAAGTGTGTGTAAGCAATGGGAAAGGGGAAAATTCTGGAATGGGGGCTGAAACTCACACTGCCAAATTCTTCTGAGAATCTGAAGACGTCGGCAGACGAGAAAGTTAAAATCTATGCACACAAGTCAAACGTTAAAAGAGAAAGGCGGGCTCATGGTACAGTTCGAACGATAGAATAAGTCGGCCAGAGAGATGTAGGAAAAGATTAAAGACAGAGATTAACGGTCAAATGAAGTAGACATTAAATGAGAACTTACTGTTTGAATATGGGTTACGACTGATTAAAACTAGACGGGTGGAAGGAGGAAAGAACACGAAAATCAGGGCGATGACGTAGGGAGAAGGGAAGAAAAGCGGGAACACGAGTCGCTTAGCAGAAATGAGTAAAATTAATTTCCGTAGTACTGGGTCATTGTTTTCGTTCCCAACTAATTTCCAAGACGTGTGGGGCTTCGAGAAGAACAAATAATCGAAGACGGCTCATTTCTGCCGAACACTTCCTCTTTAGACTATAAATTTTCAGATCTTAAGAATACAATGGACTACAACTGTTCGATTACGGCTAAAATGCGTATTTCAGAGATGAGCACTTCTCCTCCCTTCTTCTTTTTATCGCCTTCTCACTATTTACATGCTTGGCTGTTGTTTTTGAGGAATCTGAGCATGACTCTCGACTTTTGCTCCAACTTATAATCGGTATGAGGTATGAGAGAGAGAGAGAAATCGGGAGAATTGGGTACGCTTTGCATGGATATCTACAAAAAAATGGAGGGGGGTTAAAATTGTGGGGGATCTGGGGCACAAAGAATTAACCTAGTATAATTCAAAAATTGAAGAAGTGATCAAACTGGGCGGCGAAGAAAAGCGAGATGAGTGTGCGTTCTAGTTATTTCCCGACATGTAGACCTTGGCGAGTGCGTCTGCTCCGGCAGATCCGATGAGCGATCTCGATGGATGGAAAGCGACGGACGTCACCGCTGCCTCGTTCTTTTTTCGGTGAGCGGAGATTTCCTGAAAACGTGAAGTTCATAATTTGACTTTAAAAAATCACGTTACCTGAAGACACGATCGTTTCTCAACGTTCCACATCCTAATGCTTCCGTCGTGGCTTCCCGACAACAGGTACAGTCCGTTCGGATCGATCGCCAGCGACGAGACACCTTCCACGTGTGCCACCGACTCGCTCACAAGCGCTCCGGTCGTGTTATCAAAATAGCGGATTGTGCGATCTTCCCCAGCGACCACCGTCAACGGCATTGTCGGATGACTGACGATCTTGTTCATCGTTGGAGAGCCAACTACATTTCCAAAGTCGAAAACCATCACTGTGCTTCCAGTTTCAATGTCGATAATCTGGGCGTAGCAGTTAGTGTACGCAGCTAGCAGATGAGTTGTTTCCGTAGACACGAAGTCCACCGACGTCGGAATGAGATTCGGCCTCGGTGGCCCAATGGTACGTAGTTCCGGCTCGCCGTTTCCAGGTTCCCAATATCTGATAGTCGAGTCTGAACTGGCAGAAACGAGACGTCCATTTGAAGAGTGATACGCAATGGACCAGACGGGTTCTGTGTGGCCGACAAGAGTCTCAGAGAGAACTCGTGCATCTGAATAAGAAGGAAAGGGTTACCTGATAAATGAGCACTCAAAGCTTACCATACGGATCGAATGGATCCCCATTAGACCAAGGAATGTTGAAGCAGCAGATGTTTCCGTCGTAGCCACCAGTGTACAAATGATCCCCGGTGGCCGACAAAACCAAGCATAGGACTGGTCCTTTGTGCCCGCGGAACGTGTACACCGGTTCGATCTCGCCGCTTCCGGAGCTGCCGTGCTTGCCGTCTTCTTTTTTTTGGTCGATATTCCAGAGCTTCACGACGCCGTCTTCTGAAGCGGTGAAAAGCACTGGCTCAACAGGATGGAACTGCATTGCGTGAATGATATCGAGGTGAGAGCGAAGAGATGCCTTCATGGCCCACTTAACCTTTGGCAGGTTGTCGTCTTCATCCTGGAAAAAGTGAAATTGGTTGTCAATTGTCTGAGAACAGGCAATCTTACATCATTGGCGAACTCATCCTTGATGTCCATGTTTTCTTCGGTTTGCATTCCGAGAGCGGTGTCGATTTCGTTTCCGTTTCCATAAGCAAAATTGGCGCTGCGCCGTCCTGGCCTCCTTGTCGGCAGTTCCTCCTGTGCAGAAGCTTCGATGGCAGAACGGATTCCTGGCGGAACGTCAGTCTCCAGATTCTTGTGCACTTCGCTGCTCAACTTCTCGTCGGCAACATCCGTAGATGTTCGCGAGCGCCTCTTCACTTTCGGATCTTCTTTGTACTGTTTCACAAGCTTCTCGAATGAGCCTCCCTTTCCAGCCCAGCAGTCCACCTCAGAGCGATTGTCTCTGGCAGACTCAACACTGTTCAAGAAGTCGAACTCTTCGATGGCTCTCGAAGCATCCGCATCGAGCTGTCCGTCCTCGTGACCATCTTCAGAATCACTGAAACTACTAATTTTTGCGTAGATGAACTAGTTCTCTTCGTCAATTACCTGTCGCTTCTTTCCTTCTTTCCGTTTAGACGCTCACTAGACGGATCAGCCTGCGAATTCAGAACATGTCGGTTTTTGATAGAACGGACGTGAGTTGTTACCTGTGGTAGAAGTCCAAGCAAGTTCTTCACACGGAAAGACCGAACATCCATGATGTGCTCGCTGTATCCGATCTCCTCCAGATATCTCTTCAAAAGCAGACGGCCTTGTCTGAAGCTGCCGCCGGCCTCTCCCGCATCATTAATGTAAGCGTCGAGATCTGTCGACAAATGGCTGTTGTCTGAATAAAACATTTATTTCTGTCTCCGCGACTGTTTTGTTTTCGTCACTCACCATTTGGAGCCGAGTTCTCATTTGGAGACTCCTCGAATGATGGTGGCTCTTCACCGTTATGAGTTAGTCGATAGTTTTTGGACCGCTCTTGTTTCAGGCAAAACTCCAGCATTTTAATGCGCCGGACCAAATCGTTCTTCAAATTTTCCTGACCTTTGCGCTCGCCTTGAAGAAACACGATTCTGGCCTGAAAAGTGTTTTTGAGATGAATCCAAGAATAAATTCAAGAAATTACCTGCATTTCCGCCCTTTCTGCCTCCCACCTAGTCCGATCCAATTCATTTTTTGTCCATTCGTGTTGTATGTAATGCAAAATACCCGACATTGTGTAATGAGGACGAGTCTGAAGAACGTGGTTTATTGAAAAGTTAGGTAACGATTAAACTCACGCTATCCTCTTCTGTTTTTTCATTCTGTGCGTTTGGCAATTGACCAGCGTCCTCCATTGTAATTACTCGAATCCGATCTTATGTCGAGTAATTGGGGTTAATGATGCGAGTGCAATAGCTGAATGTAACAAAGTAATGAAATTTCTCAACGATTTCGACATTTGCAACTACTAAGAGAGCAGATCGGAAGAAGCAGGCAGAACAAGCGTTTCGCCAAAAACCCGAGTTTATCACGCTCAAATTGGTAATGTGCGCGTGATCAATAGTGAAGAGTCGATAAAAAAGAGCGCCGCGCCGTGCGGAGACGCAAAAATGATTCGATTAGAGCGATGGTGCCGGAGGCATTTCGGAAAAAAGGGAGAGCGGCCGGAGTTTGAGTGTCGTCAGGCGCGTTGCGTGCTCTGCGTCTGCGTGTCTCGTTCTCAGCAGAGCGCGTTTGCTGCGAAATCGCAGCCCGAAATCCTATGATTTTATCCGAGAAAAAAAATGTGAATTGAAACTCGGTAGCTGCCAGAAATATGCTATTTGATGCCGAAAAAACTGCTGACAAAGTATGTCAGTAAGAATTAATCAGTGTTGACAAAAATGCATCTTCTCATTTTCACGTGTGTTCTTCCTTTTCAAGTGCACTACTTAAGTGTCAAGAAACAGAAATAATTACTTTTCAAGCTTTATGTACACGTTTCAAACGACTAGTTGACTAAAAACAAGAAGAATCATAAAATCAGCACCAAGTGTAGTCCAAGTGACACTTCGTCCCGAGCCACAAAATCAGCAAGTGATCCTCTTTCGTCAGCGGCTGATGGTTCTCGTAATCAATTTCAATCCGCCGCATCTGCCTACGATTCAAGTGCTCCAGAAAAGTATCTTCCAGAATTTTCGAAGTTTCCTTGCTCATACAGTGTCCGCACAGCTGACATTCCGGTGCCTCTTCGCAAGATTGGCAGCGGTTTTCAACGCAAAACTTGAGCGGAAGGTTGATGTCTCGAGAACTGACGAGCGGATTCTGCTCTGAGGGGCGGGATCTGGATTGAGGTTATTCGGATTCAAAAATGTGTGGAGAAAAACTCACTCAAGGTGGCTGCGTGCTTTTTCCGTGAGAGGGCTCGAGATTCCGAGCAGAGAGAATATGCTCATGAGCACTTTCTCGTACATTATCTGATTTTGTTTGAAATGTCCGGAAGAGAGGTTCGGAGACATGTTCGCCTGAGAAAAGAAGTCTTGGTTGCGAAGTGTTCCGTTCCGAACGAACCTCCATGAGGAACACATTGAGCTCGTCGTCGACCACAAAATCGAATCGGCTCACTTCAAAATACTTGGGTTTCAGCTTCAGAGTGTGCAAGTTCACGAGCATTTTGGCTTGTTGTGTCCGGAAAACCTCTCCGATAATATTACGAATTTGCTGCCAAATCTTGTTCGAATCCTTTCCCAGTTTCCCCAAGTACGCGTCAATCGTACTTCTCGAGCTCATTTTCTGAACGTTGAAGTAGTTTTCCAGAGATTTTATCTGAAATTTTCGTTTTTCTGCTGTTCCCTTTTTACCACGAGTTGCGAACCTCCCAAATGGGTGTGTAGTCGTCGCCGACCACGTACTTGTCCACGTTTGCCACGTCGAACGGATGATAGTCTTCCGGGCAGAATCGGATGAGAACGTCTCCGTCGTAGATGTAGACGCGGAGCGGGAGCAGCGAGGTGACGACCGTGTAGATTCCGACGTCGAACTTTCGGTTGTCAATGAGCAGCGGGTTCTCTACGAACTTTTGCACGAACGAGTTGTTCTTGCTCAAATCCATCTCGTCGACACGTTTGATTTTTATGTTCCGGTGCGTGTTATCCTTCTGCACCCACAGCACATTCGGGTTCTTTTCCGCAAACGCGAGCAGTTGGTCCCTCTCGTCGGGCAGCTGAAATGCCTGGGGAACGCCCGTGGAGAGTCCCGAAGTGGCGAGTTGCACCTTGCTCGTGTAGTATCCCGAACCGGGCACATGATTGACAATCTGCCGCGGGGACGCGTTCGCGATCATCGTTTTGTAAGGTTCCTGGGTGAAACTGTACTCGTGATGCCACATCACGTCCCATTTCGAATCCACGTTCAGCAGCTCGTTCTTCGTGAGAATACGGTAGCCGGAGTACTCGAACATTTCACGGATATGGGTCATGTGAGTGGAATGCGCCTGAAAGACGGAATGATTCTTGAATCTATGGGTGAGGAGTACATTTTCAGAGCTTCCAGTGACAATTGCTACTGGACGTGTATCTTCTAAAGGTGTCTGGACGTCAAGTGTACGGGAAACTTTTGTGGAGTGTTCCAGGAAGTGAGACGTCCGTAATCTGAACAACAATACAGCTAACGGCCCAAAAAAGGTTCTAGAAAATACCTGAAATCCAAAAGCGTTCCCAATTTTCCTTCGATATTGAAGTCAACAGCCAGCAGAGCCACAATTCCGACCACAATCCACACGACCGAATCGCCCGGGCCCATTAGGCTGACGAGGATAAAAAACTGAAGAAGATGATTTTCAAAACAAAACAAGCTTCTTCTTCTTCTTCTTCTCTTTCTCTCTTTTTGCGGTCTTCCTCTAAATAGGTCGACAGTCGACTGCCTCATAAGCGATTTGCGGCCAATTCGCGCAGAGATTCAGATTTGCAAACGGAAAATGAACATATTGGGCCCAGCTTATATGGATTAAAAGGAGAAGTTAATGAAAGGAATGACGTCTTCTTGTTACTTACCTTTGTGTGATAAAGTGTGCGGCAATGAATCTGTCAAGTTGACCGAAGAGGCGGACGATATCAGTGTAACGAGGGGGTTCAGCTATCTGCCTCTGATTAATGATCAATTTGAAGACGTCACGCTTTTTCGTTTGGAACTTTACAAAAACGAAGTAATTGTCTATTAGCAATCAATTCCTGGCCATTGATTCGGCTCGGTTCTGCCACGTCTGAGCTCTCAAAATAAGCACCACCGAAAGAATGTCCAGTTGCGCCGAAAACAGATTTTCCAGTAGTAGCCAATGAAGAAGGTCCGCTCCGAGGGTTCCTGGTCCCATTTCCAACCGTGCCCTTTCTCATGCCAAATAAAACCTTTAGTCGACGGCGCCGACTACACTGTATCCGTCTGCGCCTCTTTTTCTCTTTCTCATGATAACTGATAACCTATTTGTTTCCTTTTTTCTCCTACTTCTTCTTTTTCTTCTTTTCTCCCTCTCCACAATGGCTATTTTTGCGGACTTGTTCAAAATAGTGTACGCCACGTGGCGCCAGTATCTCTACACCACTGGTGCGCTGTTTACAATCGCCTGGAAATGGGTGACCGAGGGAAAAGAGTACTTTGCGGAGGAAGTGTACGTGGAGCCAGAGTGTCTGAAGGACTGGAATCACAAGTTTGTGCAGTTGGAAGAGATTCGGATGCACTATGTGGAGGAAGGTCCCCAAGACGGCGAGGTTCTGCTCATGGTGCACGGATTTCCCGAGTTTTGGTATTCGTGGAGATTTCAGCTGGAATACTTCAAGAAGACACACAGGTAAATACTTGTATTTGATGCGGCCTTTGCGCGGTTATCAGTCTGGAGTATTGTTCAGATGCATCGCCATCGACATGCGCGGCTACAACCAGACGGACCGCCCGTCGGGCATCTCCAGCTACAACGTCGTCCGTCTCGTCGACGACATCCGTCAATTCATCGAGATTCTCGGGCTCGAAAGAGTGACTCTGGCTGCTCACGACTGGGGAGCCATCGTCTGCTGGCGCTTCTCCATGCTCCATCCGTCGCTCATCGATCGTCTCATCGTCTGCAATGTTCCCCATCCGATCGCGTTCTACGAAGTCTACAAAGTGAGCAAAGAGCAGAGAGACAAGAGTTGGTGAGGACAGTTCTAGAAACGTCTAAAAAAGGAACAATTTCAGGTACATTTACCTGTTCCAATCGCAAATGATTCCTGAAATTGCGATGAAATCGAACGGAATGAAAATGTTGGATTCCATGTTCCGAGGCCGGAAAGCGGGCATCCGGAACTCGCGCAACTTCACCGATCAGGACATGCTCGCGTGGAAGCACGTCTTCAGTCAGCCAGGTCAGACAGGCGGGAACGTTCCCATTCATCCCCGACTGTTCAGGTGCCATCACCGGACCGCTCAACTACTATCGGGATCTGTTCAACGCGCCGCCCATCCCCACAAAACAGCATATTGTACAGCCGAAAGTGCTTATAATCTGGGGAGACGAGGACGCATTTTTGGACAAAAAGGGCGCCGAGCTCTCCGTTCAATTCTGCCGCGACTGTCAAGTGCAAATGATCCGTGGAGCTTCCCATTGGGTACAGCAAGACCAGCCGGAACTGGTGAATGCGGTCATGGAGCACTTCATGAACGAGGCGCAATACTCGAATCGGGAAAGAGAGATAAAGTCGCATTTGTGAACAAGCACCGTGTTTATAATGTACAAAGTTAGAAACACCGTCGACATAAAAATAAATTAGTAATGAGATTCAGATAGGTGAGAACGGGTGAGGGTATTTGATTTACAGATTAATGTGGGCGATACGTTCATGCGTCGGCTTCTTCAGCAGCCGCATCCTCCTTTGCTTGCTCTTTCTGCTCTGCGTCGGTCTTGGCCTTCTTGATGTCATCGGCTGGCTCAATAGAAGCTGGACGCTTGATTTTGCGGCGAACCTGGAAAACAACTCTGATTCCCGGAACATTCTTCAATGAATTACCAAATTCTGAATATCGTTGACCTCGACATCGGCGCCGACCTTGGTCAGGGTCTCCGCTACATCCTCCAACTCCTTCTTGGCCGTTTCTTTCATCTTCTCCAGTTGAGCGAACGACTCTTTGGCGTCGATGAGAAGCTTCTCGATATCAGGAATGACCACATCAAGCTCCTTGATCTCCTCCTCGATATCTTTCTTTTCGTCTCCACTTGCTGCCTCTAGCTTGCTTTTCAACTCCTCCTGCTTCAGAGTCAAGATGTCTTTGGCAGTTGTGAAGTGATCTGCGGCCTTATCAAAGAGATAATCGGTGCTGAAAGCCTTTCCGATCAGATGGTTGGTGTTGGCGAGAAGACGCGATGTGTTCGGAAGATGGAGGGCCTGGAGCTCGAGGGCGGAGAAGAGATCCTTCTGAGCCTGCTCGCCCTTGTTGTCGGCGATTCCGTGCTCCCCGAGCGAGGAGAGGACCTCAGCCAAGCGCAGCTTCCATGTCTTCAATGAATCGACATTCGGCACCTCCTCGCCCTCGAACTTCTTGATCATGCGATTGCAAAGAACACGAACAGCCTGAAATAAATTCCGATTAGTTAATTGGGCGGGTGAAAAGTACCTCAAGAGACTCCCAAGCGAGCGTCATTGGCGATTCTTCCGCCTCTGCTCCCTCTTCTTCGCCTTCTTCTTTCTGCTCTTGCTCCTCGCCCTCCGATTCTTTCATCTCAACATCTCCGTTCTCATCGCTTTTCTCCTCCTGATCTCCGTCCTCTTCCTCAACAGCCTCCAGTTTTTCCGTGTTCGCGAGCACCTGATCCTCGGATCTCGCCAGGTCCAGAAGTATTTGGCCGTAGAGGTAGAGCGGCTCAAACATCTCTTCGCTGTCCTCTCCGAAAAGAGTTGAAGTGAGCTCAGAAGCACGGCTGAAAATATCAGCGGCAGCCTCGAGAGCGTTGAGCGCCATCTCGCGCTTGCCAGAGGCGATCATCTGTTTCAGATTCTCCTCCCTGAAAATGAAACGGTTTTCCTCCAATTTGACAGTCACTAGACTTACTGCTCTTCTTTTGTGAGCTGCTTCACCTCCTCCTCCGGCGGGGCCTTTCCAGAATCCGTCGTAGCCACCGGAGTCTCGGCTGAATTCTCGCTAGTCTCCGTTGAAGCCTCCGCAATCTGATGAGCATCTCTCGTCTGATCGGCAGCCTCATTCGGGGCGCCGGCACTCCCTACCGCCGAGTCCACTGGTGCATCGGTCGTCTCCTTCACAGCCTGCACTGAAGCATCGGACGTCTCCTTTCCAGCCTGCACTGAAGCATCGGACGTCTCCATCGCAGCCTCAACTGAAGCATCGGCCGTCTTCTTCGCAGCCTCGACAGGAGAATCAGCAGCCTTCTCCACGGCCTCTACCGAAGCAGTAACCAGCTCCTTAACGGCCTCCGCCGAAGCAACGGTCGTCTCATCCTTGTTCACAGAGCGCAGGTGCTCCAGCTCGGAATCCGCTGGTCCGACATTTTCCGCGTTAGCAGTCTCGATGTTGGCGATGTCGACTGGAGCACTCATTTTTTTTTTGTTAGTCTGAAAGAATCTGACTCAAGTGATGGGTCTGTGTGATTGGAAAATGAACGGCAGAAATCGCGAACACGAGAAAACTGAACACGAACAAAGATGACGAACAGAATGACATAATTCTCGTCTCGAAGGTTCTCAAAAACAATTTGGGATTTCGCGCCAAAAATTAAAACTTCCCGCCCACAAGAAATTCAAATTTTTATCTCGCCGTGAGACCCGTACGATTCAAAACTCGCTGCGCCTTGAACGGCCATGCAGAAACTAGTCCTTCAGAACTCGGCCAGGGCGTTGAATACCGGCCATTTTTCCATATTTTGGTGTCGTTTTGTGTAATTTTTATTATTCAAACCATGGTTTGTCTTCAAAATGATTTGAGAATTGTCATCTTAAGCTAATTTTCTTCAATTTAATTCGCTAAGTCAGCTCTTGCACATCTCACAATTTGCCTAGTCGATGGAGAGACGTTTTCGAAATGAGACACCTCGCCATCTATTGAATTTTCTGCTGCTTGACATAGATTGGTGTGTTTCGTCGGATATTCGCCGTAAATTTTTTATGTTTTCCTTATATGTCACTTAAAAACATGATTTCTTAACTTTTCAGGCTCCAAAATGGCGTCGTACAAACAAAATCTGCCGCCGTCGGCTCTCGTTCGAGAGCACGCGACTGTAGCGGACAAAAAGTCAAAAGCGGAAGTGCAGAGAGATCGGCAATTGGAGGTTGAACAATAATTGTGTCTGGAATCAAACCCTAATTGTAATAATTTTAGGAAGATCGAAAAGCAGGAACAGCGCCAGCTATGGTTGACGTTCAAACAGGCCGTGATATCAATCCGCATATTCCGATGTTCATCTCGCAAAATCCATGGTACGTGCCGAGTGAAGGACCAACTCTGAAGCATCAGCGGCCTCACGAAGAGCGCCAGAAAAAGATGGCGACGATTCACGATTGGTATCAAAAGGGAACAACTGGAAAGGCGGCGGTCAAGTTCCGAAAAGGAGCATGTGAGAACTGCGGAGCCATGGGGCATCAGAAGAGAGACTGCTTCGACAGGCCGAGGAAGTCGAACGCAAAGTGATCTGATTTTCTCGTTTTCACAAATTTATGACCTTGTTTCAGAGAGACGAACACGAACATTGCTGAGGACGATTACATTCAACCGAAGCTGGCTCTCGGATTCGATGCGAAACGAGATCGTTGGAACGGTTATGATCCTTCCACTCACAAACAGGTCATCGAGGACTACGAGCATCTGGAAGAAGCCCGGAAAGTTGTGAAGGAGCAGCAGATGAAGGAAGGAGAGATAGAGCCGACGATAGCAGCGGATGGAGAGGAGAAAGACGAGGACATGTACGCAGAGGACGCCGACATGGCCGGAGTCTCTGTCGACATGGACTCACGTACCAGAATCACTGTCAGAAACCTCAGAATTCGAGAGGACACTGCCAAATATCTGTATAATTTGGCTGAAAACTCACCGTATTACGACCCAAAATCTCGGTCGATGCGTGAAAATCCGTTCGCCGGAGTGGCAGGAAAAGAGCTGGAAGCAGCTCGATTCTCCGGCGACAATTTTGTGCGTTACTCGGGAGAAGTGACTCAGGCGAACGAGGCACAAGTGTTCGCGTGGCAGGCAACTCGTCGCGGTGTTTATGCTCATTCGATTGCCGAGCCGACGAAATTGGAAGCGCTGAAGAAAGAGTACGAAGAGCAGAAGACGAGCATCAAGAACGATACGCAGAAGGAGTTACTCGACAAGTACGGAGGAGGAGAGCACATGGAGCGACCGGTGGATGAGTTGCTTCTGGCGCAGACGGAGAGCTATGTGGAGTACAATCGGAAGGGAAAAGTTATAAAGGGAAAGGAACGAGCAGCCATCAGTTCCCGCTTCAAAGAAGACGTCTTCCCACAGAACCACACGGCTGTGTTCGGAAGTTTCTGGAGAGAAGGACGGTGGGGCTACAAGTGCTGTCATCAATTCGTGAAGAATTCGTATTGCACGGGAAAAGAGGGAATCGATGCGGAAGTCAGTGCGGCTAAGGGAGCGACGACGTCGAATGAAGAAGTCTTCAAAGTTCCGAAACTGTTAGAAAAGACGGAGATCAAGGAGGAAGAGGAAGAAAAAGTGAAGAAGGGGGGAGAGGAAAACAAGGACTCCTCCATCTCTTCGTCATCTTCCAGTGAATCGGAATCTGATGGAGACAAAGAAAAAGAAGAAGACAAGGAGCGACAAGTCGAGAAGGAGAGAAGAGAACGGGAGCAGCGTCGACGCGACAAGAACCGTGAGAAGCGTGGCAGAAAGAAGGCCAAGTTGGGCAAGAGAAAGAGGCGTCATCATGACTCAGACGAGGATCAGAAGTCGGCAAGCAGCGATTCTGACTCAGATTCCGACGAAGAGATGCGCAAAGCTATGAAGAAGGCGAAGCGAGAGAAGGCTGAAGGATTGAAAGCCGCTAAAGAAGTGAGACTTTTCCAAACGTTTTATATTCCAACTGCATCTCTTCAGGGTGACCGTAACCGGAAATACAATACGGATTACACAAACACGGCTCCGACTGAGAAGGAGATGGAGGCGTACCGCGTGACAAGCGTTCACTCTGCTGATCCCATGGCCGCCTACATGAACGCTAAATTCGAGAAGAAACACACAAAGTGAAACTTCCTTCGATTATTTTTCTTGTTTTCATCATTCTGTCTATTTATTCGAATAAATTTTATATTTACAGACAAGCATATTTTCATTCCAATGTGCGTTATGATCGTGCTCTTCATTGCTTACCTGTCTCTGTTCACTTCCTGTTCATTTCAATCGCCACATTTATGCTGTCCGAGAGAAGTACACACGTTTAAAGGCGCACGTATTGACGCGCGCGGGTCTCACCACGAAAAGGCGACCTCTCCGATCGACGACGGTCACTCTCAATTATTCGGCCTATTTTTGTGTATATATCGATCGACATGCACTTTTTCTTTTCTTTCACGTTGAAATTATGAAAAAGAATGCCATACTTTCCGTTTGAAAAATTACTTTCAAGGTTTCTTCCAATTTCGAGCCATTTTATCTTGTACCTTCAATTTTCCTGTTTGGTTTAGTTTATTTTTCCATTTATTCGATTTTTCAGGTTCTTACGCCATGTCCGAGGTGCCCCACTTCGTTCTCTACGAGCATGCTGCTGGGTATGCTCTCTTAAAAGTCAAGGAATTCGAAGACGCGGCTCTCATCGTCCAAGAGGTGATTGTTGTTCTCATTTTCAAGCTTGATTCCCTCGCTTGTAAGCCGGGGGACTAGCCTTTGCTAAGTTCACTAGTAAAACGCGAGGAAAACCGTAGAGACAGTCAGACACCGTGAATGTTTTGATGTTTTCGGTCATTGTGTGTCCCACAGTCAATTTAAAGTTTTCTGATCCTTTTTTCGTTCTTGTTTATTATCATTTTCAAGATTCGGTTTTCAGGTCGATGCCGCTCATGCCGATGGCTACAAGTTTTCTCAAATCATTGAGCTCGCGTCTTTCGACCCGTTTAAGAACACCGAAGCCGCTTTGGAAAACTGCAACTCGATCTCTGAAGGTAAACTGTGATCTCCAAGGTTTGATGTGGATAGTAGTTCTTAGGTCTCGCGCATCCTGATCTCACTAACTTCCTTCAAAAAGCGTTGCCAAAAAAGAAAAAGAACGTTGTTCTCGGAATCAATGACTCAAAACTCGCTGGTTCGCTTACTGAAGCGTTCCCGGACCTGAAGTTTGTCTTCGGAGGTGTGATTACTGAGGTAATATTAAGATTCACTATGAACTCTTCGGAGTTCTCTTGAGTCTGTTACCAATGACGAAAATCCATTTCTATGAGTTTAGATTCTTCGCGGTACTCGTGTTCATTTCGAACGCTTGGCTAAAAATCTCCCACATCATTCCTTGTCGAAAGCTCAGCTTTCTCTTGGTCATAGTTACTCTCGTTCAAAGGTTAGCATTTAGTTCACACGCAGGCGGCAAGTTTACCATTCTACAGGTCAAATTCGACGTTCATCGTGTCGACAACATGGTTATTCAATCGATTGCTCTGCTCGATCAATTGGATAAGGACATCAACTTGTTCGGAATGAGAATCCGTGAATGGTACTCGTACCATTATCCAGAGCTCTTCCGTCTGGCTCCTGACCAGTACAAGTACTCTCGTCTCGCTGTCGCTATTCTTGACAGAAACAAGATGGCCGAGAATGAGAACCTTGAGAACGAGATTCTTGGTGAGTAGAGTGAAACTTCAAAGATCACACAACATCGATTTATTTACCTCTCTTATAAGCCGGGGGACTAGCTTTTATGTTATGTTCACTAGTAAAACGTGAGGTAAAGCATAGAGACAACCAGACACCGTGAATGTTTTGACGTTTTCGGTCATAGTGTGTCCCACAATTTTGACAACAAGGGCTCAATTTTCAGAGATTCTGGACAACGATGCGGAAAAGACTGCCGAAGTCATTGAGGCAGCCAGAACCTCGATGGGGATGGACATCTCTGACCTTGACTTGGAGAACATCAAGAGATTCGCCGGACGTGTCGCTTCTCTCATGGAGTACAGACAACAACTTCACGAGTACATCAAGGACCGCATGGACCATTGTGCTCCGTCGTTGTGTGCTCTCATCGGAGAACAAGTCGGTGCTCGTCTCATTTCGCACGCGGGATCGCTCACAAACTTGGCCAAGTATCCGGCTTCGACCGTCCAGATCCTTGGAGCTGAGAAGGCTTTGTTCCGTGCCTTGAAGACTAGATGTTAGTTTCAGACGCCTATTTTGTCAATCAATTCTGATCCTTTTCTTTATAGCTAACACTCCAAAATACGGACTTCTTTTCCATTCGAGCTTCATTGGAAAGGCTGGAACCAAAAACAAGGGACGTGTCTCGAGATATCTTGCCAACAAGTGCTCGATTGCTGCTCGTGTCGACTGCTTCTCCGACACTCCAGTGTCGACCTACGGAGAGTTCCTCCGCCAACAGGTAGAAGATCGCCTCGAATACTTCACTTCTGGAACCATCCCGAAGAAGAACATCGACGTGATGAAGGAGGCCGAAGAGGCTGCTGTTGAAGTCAAGGAGAAGGTAACAGTAGTATTGTGTATACATTAGTAACGTCTCATCTCTGCTTCTAGGTCCTCAAGAAGAGAAAGAAGGCTGCTAAGAAGGCCAAGCGTCTTTCCGAGGCTGCTCCAGCAGCTACCGAGGCGGAAGCTGAGGTCGACGAGGAGGCTCCGAAGCCAAAGAAGAAGAAGAAGAGCAAGGCTGGAGACGAATAGTCGTCGTGCATACATAACCGATCTTTTGTTTTATGAATGTAACTCCCTCATGTTGAACTTTATTTTGTTGTTGTTGGCTGTTGGAAATTTTCATTGTTACACCTAATTTTTTGAAAAAATAAACTTTTATCATCCGACGAATCATCAACGGCTTCACTAGTCTCAAAAACTCTAAACTACACTTTCGAAGCCTTAGACATGCCCGAAAATAGCAGAACCACCCTCAGAAAGTGGGCGGAGCCATCGGGGAGCACAGCTAGAGCCGCTCACACCTCCGCCAGCAGTCTGTGGGCTCTCGCTCCTCTTCTCCGGCCGATTTCGTTTTCCATTCGTGCACCTGAACTCGTTGGTATTTTCCGTTCTTTTGCAATCCGAGAAGTGCGTCCCTGACGAAAAACACGCACATTCTGATTAAATGGCTGGCTCGGAGAGATGAAATTTTATCAAGTTCGTGCCTATTTGTTTTTTTACATTTTCAGCGTTCCTCGTCTTCGCCATGAACTTCCGATTGTACGTCGTTTTGTTCGTCGCTCTTTTCGCCGTCGCCCTTTCGCAGGTACGCCCACGCGTTTTTCTTTTTCGGTCAGAAAAAGTTCGACGTCTTACGGTAGAAATCCGCGTTAATCTATGGTCCGTTTCTCGCGTGAATGCTCGCCTAATCGGCGGTAATCCCCGCTCTTCCCATTTCTTTTCTCAAATCTCCCATTCCCTTTATTTGCCAATTTTCAATCGGAATCGGCACGTTTCAGCTGCTCACACGGGCGGCTGTTTCGCAGAAATTGGAAGGAGATTTGCATTCGGCACTCGAATATTCTATTTATTTTGAAACTGAAACGCGACGAAAGAGGGGACGTTTCGCAACCACATAATGCTCGGTTGTGAAACGAAATGTCCTTGACGTTACTAAACGGACTGTTATTAACCGCTTAGTCACTGCAAAAAAAATGGAAATGGAAATGACATGTGTCACAGCTGAAAAAACACGGTTCCTTCTTCTTCTTCTTCTTTTTTTCCGTTGCAAAGACACCTCGTGATTCCTTCGCCTGCTCCCACGTCATCAGAGGATGCTCGGAAGCATCCCGGAACATTCTCTGGGCAACAAGAAATCTTGACGCTCCGGATGTTTACATCTGGGCTCCACAAACAAAGGGTTCAATTAATTTTAATAACCGCCTTCCCTTTGCGCGCGCGCGCGATCTTTGGCGTGGGATCCGTGGGAGACAGTGAAGCCGTTTGTGATCTTGATGTCAGAAGAAAGGACAGAGGAAGAAGCCGTGAATTACGTGGGCGGAGACACTTCCGTTTGCTTGAATACTGAAATATTCAAAGACACTTCTTTTTTTACGTTAAATTTCCTTTGTCCCATTTACGACTCCTTCGGGGAAGCCAAAGAATGACGAAGTCTAAACAAAGAAGATTTCAGAACCAGTACTGGGAGGAGGAGGCCGCCGCCGCCCCGTTCGACGTGCAGGATCAGCGATTCTTCGTGCCGATTCTCTCCGATAAGGTTGGGAATTGATCGAGATCGATTTCAGCCGAATCAATGCTTTCAGAGATCGATCGACCAAAAGATCCGAAGCCTGAAGGAGCGCACGGCGAACGGTCAATTCAAAGGAATCCTGTTCGGCAGGAAGAAGTAGTTCACCCGCTGGACGTGCCTCCACCATCCCACGACGTCTTCTGAATCCACCCCATCAATCCGCTCCAAATTGTGATTCGTTTGTCTGTCAGCGAAATAAAGTGACTACTTGTTGGTGATTGGCTTGCGCAAGGAAACGAACGAATGCGCACTTCTAGTTGTGTAGTGGGGTACAGGTGGTTTTGGAGAATTGGCCACCATGCCAAATGTTATACGCCGAATGGATTAGGAAAGTTTAAGGGGTCTTAATAATGTCAACGGACTCGGATCCGGTTAATCTATCTGCGTGGTGGCCTTTGAAACGATCCGTTTGAGCTGAAAAGTTTGAAACAGGACTGGCCTTCGGGCTTTCGGACCACTTGGACCCAAACTTTGCAGGATTATCAGTCTTGGCTTGGATTATCTAATTTGAAAGTTTCAGACCGATTGGATTATCTCATCTGGGAATCTGATGCTCTAATCGGACTGAAACTTTCATGTTAGATACTCTAAAGAAATCAACACTGATAATCCTACAAAGTTTGGGTTCAATCGGAATACTGAAAAGTACTCCAAAAGTCCAAGTTTATAGACCAGAGCTCAAGGAACACTTTTCTCACGCTTCAGATCAACGGGACCACTTCGACTTGAGCCTAACTGATTATTTTCGTAAAGTCCCGTGTGTGTCGTAATAACAAAATTTCGCGTAACAATAGCCCGCATGTACTTCCGTTCTTTTCGGAGCCAATCTCCCTCCGCGAGCGCACTCTCTTTGCGTGATGTCAATTCTGTTATGCACAAACTCCAACGTGTTCATCGGAAGCTCGCTCGCTCAAAAGAATGTTCTCACGCAGAAATGTGTTCCCAGAAAACATCAATTATCCCGTCGTCATTTTCGCAAATCGTCGAAATTGTGTGTATATACCGACGGGCGCTGTATGTTTTCGGTGGATCTTCTGACGGCTTAGCGTGTATAGGCATGTGAAATGAGATTATGCGAGCAGAAGACACTACAACTTCGGAAATGACGGATTGGCGCGCGGGATGATCCGTTGTTTTGGTTTGCAGAGGGACCGGACCGTCTTGATCTTTGCGTCAACGGTTTGATGATGAACCGATCAATCTGCTTTATTTATCGTCATACACAAAATGTCTACAAACATCTCCAGGTCTGTCCGATTGGCGGGAACGATTTTCCCTTATCGAGAGCACGGAGCGAGGCCAGTTCCTCGTCGGTCAGCTGGATTTGGATCGTCTGAAATTTAGACGGAATGAGTCACACACCCCGGACACGGGCAAAGTTCTCACGGTGTGAAGGTTGTCATGAATACGAGACGGCGTCGCCGACTTTGGAATCATCGACGTGTCGCTGCGGTAGGCGAAGGCGTACAGAACCGCCTGCGCGGTCGTCTTGTACTTTTGGGCGAGCTGCAGGACCACGGGCTCCGCCAGGATCTCCTTGTCGCCCCAGCACAGCGAGGAGTACGATTGGACGACGATATTGTGGAGTTCGTTGAACTTTTTGAGCGTCGGACGGGTCAGGTACGGCTGGTATTCGTACTGATTGAGCACCGGACGGATCTTGGCGTACTCGAACATTTCGACGAGATGATACACTTCGTAGTTGGACACTCCGATCGAACGGACTTTGCCTTGTTCTGAAATTTAAATTCCGTCACTTTTTGATCGCATTGAGTTTTTTCTTTTTTGTCACGGCTCCTTATCAGATCAAATCAACGCACCCTTGGCCTTCTCGAGTGTTTGCCAGACCGTCTTCCTTCTGCTCTTGTTGACCTCGTAATCGTCGTCGTGTCCAGTGTCACGGTCACGTGGATAGTGCACAAGAAGCAGGTCGATGTAGCTGAAAATGGACTGAATGGATAGAGGAAAAGATAAAGAGCACTTACTCGGATTGCAGCAAAGCGAGCGAGTTGGCAATCTGTTTCTCAGTCTCCTCGACAGTGTTCTCGTTGAGAGTACGGACCTTTGTGGTGATGAAGACGTCCTCTCTCGTCAATCCGAAGACCGGGAGGTATTTCTGAACACGGAGAATTCGGATGAAGGAATATAATAAGAACTAGAATACCTTGAGAGAGTTTCCCAGGTAATGCTCGTTCATGTAAAGATTCGCAGTGTCGAAGAGACGATAGCCGGACTTGAGAGCGGCTTCGACAGAGACGTCGAGGTCCTCTTGCGTAGCAATGCGCGAGATTCCGAGGCCAACCTTCGGCATCTCGTGTCCATCAGAGAATTTGAACGCTCCGCCGACGACGTTGGTGAAACGGCTCATGGTTGACAATTCTGAAGAACGAATTGAATGATTGGGAATCGGAAAGGTATAAATATGCCCGCAAAAGGAAGAGAGGGTGGAGACAGTTCAACAAACATCACCAGTTCCAATGAACAATTTTTGAAAGTGTTTCGAGTGATGTTTGCTGCCGAAAATGTCTTGTAAAACAGAGGAAAGTGTGGAAATAAGAGTAGAGGTGTAACGAAACAAGGAACAAGAACGTCCTGGCCATTCGAATTTGCCAACTGATTCAAGCTTTCGACGAATGAATGCAGATTACTGTTTTGGCAGTGAAAAGTGACGAATCTTCTGTTCAAATATCATAAAGATCATAGAAATCACGGCGGGAATCATCATCGGAATCAATGCGACCAACTAATGAACTCGATTTTCAATGAAAGAGAACGTATTCGGCCTTCTGCCTCTCATTATCGAACCAAATTCCAGGAAAATAGTGAAGGTATTAGAAAACCTATGGATATATACAAATTACTTTTAAACCATCGTTTATTTATTTTCAGTTCTAAACAAAATGGGGCGGCCGGCCGCCTGACAGGCTTGCTATGACGTACCTATTTACGAGCGGAAGATATTATCAGAAAATGTTGTCAATTGACGAGTGAAAGTTATCAGAATATGGCCACATTCAAAGCCGTAGAAAAAAGATAACGGAAGACGAAACGAACTGACTTTTCGAAATTTTTTTTAGATAAGCGGTACAAACATATTCGGTACTCTCCATTACGGCAGCACCGCCTTCCCCCACTCTTTACTGTTTGCGATGCAAACGCGCTCCATTGCTAATCGCTTTGAACAATTGTCTGCGTCTCCCGAAATCACTGCGATTTCATACTTTCGATTCTGAATTTCATTCTTTTTAATACATTCAAAGCTCATAATTGTTCTCTCAGTTGAGGAAAAATAGAAGACGTTGCCTGCGTCCACAAACTTTTCCACGTTTCGATCGCTGTGAATTTCGCAACGTCCGACTGTTCCCCTCGCTTTTTGGAAGCTTGGTGAATTGGAATTGGAAGGCGTCTTCTCAAATTGCAGATTTTGCCAACTCTTTAAATCATTCACTTTAATGATTTTATGGAAGATACAGTTAATCGATACTTTCCCGAATTTGAATTAGTCATTGTTTACTCTGTTTCTCTCATCCCGCTGACTCATCCGAACTGCACATGATCGATTCGCTTTCTCATTCACTTTTGCAGACTGAATGGATTCACAAGGCCGGAAGGTTATTGTCGTCGACAACGGAACCGGCGTCAGTTTATAATTTGTCAATTCCTCCTCCTAGTATTCCCATGTTTTCAGTTCGTCAAATGCGGGTATGCAGGTACGAACTTCCCTGCGCACATATTTCCTTCAATGGTCGGACGTCCCATCGTGAGATCGACACAAAGAATCGGCAACATTGAAATAAAGGTTTGAATTTCGCGAAAAACAAATCGGCTCTTAAAATGCAATGTTCAGGATCTCATGGTCGGTGAGGAATGTTCGCAGCTCCGTCAAATGCTCGACATCAACTATCCGATGGACAACGGAATTGTTCGAAACTGGGATGATATGGGTCACGTGTGGGATCACACGTTCGGTCCAGAAAAGCTGGACATTGACCCGAAGGAGTGCAAACTATTGCTCACGGAGCCGCCGCTCAACCCGAACAGCAATCGCGAGAAGATGTTCCAAGTGATGTTCGAGCAGTACGGATTCAACTCGATCTACGTGGCAGTGCAGGCAGTGCTCACGCTCTACGCGCAGGGTCTTCTGACCGGAGTTGTTGTGGATTCTGGAGACGGCGTCACACACATCTGCCCGGTGTACGAAGGATACGCAATGCACCATTTGACTCGGCGCTTGGACATTGCGGGCAGAAACATAACAAAATATCTGATCAAATTGCTTTTGCAACGTGGCTACAACTTCAACCACTCGGCCGATTTCGAGACGGTCCGTCAGATGAAAGAGAAACTGTGCTACGTGGCGTACGACGTGGAGCAGGAGCAGCGGCTGGCTCTCGAGACGACTGTTCTCTCCCAACAATACACACTTCCGGACGGTCGTGTAATCCGACTCGGCGGAGAGCGCTTCGAGGCTCCCGAGATTCTGTTCCAGCCACATCTGATCAACGTGGAGAAGCCGGGCCTATCTGAACTGCTCTTCGGCTGCATTCAATCCAGTGATATCGGTATGGAGTTGTACATTTCTTTCGAAATTCTCAATTTCCATCAAATTTCAGACACTCGTCTCGATTTCTACAAACATATCGTGCTTTCCGGCGGTACCACAATGTATCCAGGTCTTCCGAGTCGTTTGGAGAGGGAACTGAAGCAACTGTACCTGGATCGGGTGTTGCACGGAAATACCGAAGCATTCCAGGTGAGTACGCTCGTCCCCCGTACACTCTAGTCGCCCGTTTTAACCACTCCCATTCCGAGAGTGGCGCCCTCCGTCGATGATGTGTTAACTAAATGCATTTCTTCGTGTGCGGCCGCTGAAAAGAACATCTTCCGCCCCATCACTTTCGTGTTTATTTACCCAAAACGGCCTTGGAAAGTCGAAATGAAACGACGAGTTTGCAGAAATTCAAAATCCGGATCGAAGCGCCGCCGAGTCGGAAGCATATGGTCTTCCTGGGAGGGGCCGTGCTCGCCAATCTCATGAAGGATCGCGATGAGGACTTTTGGGTGTCGAAGAAGGACTACGAAGAGGGCGGAATTGCGCGGTGCATGGCCAAACTCGGCATCAAGGCTTAAATCGTTCATCTGTTCCTTTCTCCTTTCGAAAAGAAGTGCTTTATGCTCATTTCCCCGTTCCGTAAATATCCCCCGAACTATGATATTCCTTAATTTATTCTCCACTATATAGGCATCCGTCTCCATCTCCTAAACCCATCTGTGTTGTAAATACAATTTCCCACTTTGAATTCAATCGTTTTACTTGGTTTAGGTTTAGGATTACGCTTTGCGAATGCGGAAAGTCGCGAAACCAAAAGGGCAGACGTGTTGGCGCGGGGTTGGGTCATTCGAAGGATGATGACCCGCATTTGGAAAAGACACCACCTGATAACAGATATATTCTATTATCCGCCGTGTCCTCCTCCGTCCCGCCTGTTGCGACATTGTATGTGTGTTTGTTTCCTCGCCCTTCGTCGTTTTGCAGACCTGTTTAGCACTATTGATCATGATTACAGTCTCTTGTAATCACACGGAGGTCTCCGGAAGCGTCCCTCTTCCAATCAGCCGCCCGTTTCCATTTACCATCCGAATGGGTTTGGCCTCCTCCATCTTCTTCCGAAGGGCCGCATAAATCAGTGAATGGGAGGCGGCGACGAGAGCGACGAGAAGCGGTACCCAAAAAAAACGGCATCGTTTTAGTGTCCTTTCGTCGCCTGACCGGCCTATCAAACGGACGGGAGGTCTCGTGTGTGTGTGTGTGTCGACGGCAAATTGGACACTTTTTATAGGTTTCCCCTGTTTTCCCACAAATAGATCCATTACGAAGCCTTGTTTTGAGATTGAGGTCAAAGTTCTGCGGGATTGAGAGCTGCGCCTTTAAAGTTGAGACTACGGTGGTTTCCAAAATCGCGGTTTTGCTCTGGTTTTTGCGGTTCGCGCTCATTTTTTCGCTTCCATCTAGTTTACTTTTTATTTTTATTTTTAGACGTGGTTTAAAAAATACTAGACTATTCGTCTTTTTTCATTCCTTTTTAGTCCGACTAGAACTCTGGGAGCCGTCGCCTGCCCCAGCTGAAAACATTCAAACAATTTAATGCAACTTTTCGATACCCCTTTCCCTTTCCATGTTAGTGTTCCATAAAGCAGCGCCCTTCCGTTTTCGCCCATTTCCGTTTCTATCCGACGACTACCGTGGAATGTCTGCTCCACGAGCACACAAACAGCTGACCCCCATATTTCACTGATAACCGAATGAGTCAAACATTCACTCCATGCCGCACATTTTTGCCTTGAAAGTGTCGAAGAGACAGAGCGACGCCAAAACACAATGTAATCAATCTTCTCGCCTTCACGCCAATCATGATCCGCTCGATCATCGACACCACCGACAGTTTCAAACGGCAAACTGCCTTCTTCGCTTTCTGCCAATGATGGGTGCGATAGCGGCCGAGCTGCAAAAAATATTCTGCTGAACGAGGCATGCTGTTCCACACTCGTTTCTCTGAAATTGAATTCCTGTTACACGTTTCCCCTAATAACAAAACACCTAGTTTCCCTTTTATCACACCGTTCCTTACCGGTTTCTCACACTCAAGACAGCATACGATTTTTGTAGACGCAGACGCGGTTTCTTCGACCTCCCCGTTATCTGTCGAGACATTTTTTACCCGCGGTCTAGCCGTATAATCATAATGGTTTCAATTTGTGTTTTTTCCGCTTTTTCTCGCCTTTTACCTTCGTTCACCTACTTGATAAGAACACGATAAAAACTTTACAATGGTCAAACCAGACACTTTTTAATGGCTCTCTCCTAGAGCTCGCATTTTTTACTTTCCGAACTTTGAGTTTTCCCCCCAAATGCTCTTCAACTTGTACTGTCAGCTGTTAGTTGTCTGAAATACGGTCGCGCACTTTCTAATCCAGCCGGCGCCAGAGGGGTATACTGCGAGCTCCCGCTACCGCCTCCTTCGTCTGCACCATCATCATTTTGTCTTTCGCCCAATGTCAACAGACCTTTTTTCCTGGCCTGCTTGCTCGTTTGTGTTCTTTCTTTGACAGTGCTGCTTCTTCACCGATCGGCGGATCACTTTCGTCGTCGCACTCCTCTCGGATTGTCGTGCTCCTTCGTCTACCCGTCAGGGATCTCGCGCAGTTCCCTTCCCGATTCGGGGGCGGAGTCGACACAGTTCAATTGTCAGAGGACGCCTGCGAGCTTGTCTTTTTCGTTCTCACCGACTTTCCCTCTACTTTTATGGTGTTGCTTATCCGTCTATACCGTATCCGTTTCAGAGCTCGAACCAAACACGGCCGCGGCTCCGGTGAGCGCAGAAGGCCGAGCGGTTATGCTGTATTGCTGAAATGTGGCCAAGAAGTGCTCTCGTGCTCTTCGCCCTCCTCGTCGTCTCCAGTGCCAAGGTTCCGAAGACGTCGTCGTCTTGCACCGCCTGTGATCGGGATGCATGTCCCGACGTCTCCGGATGTTCCCAACTGAAAAAGGATCAATGCGATTGCTGTCAGGTCAGTTGAACATTGACAGTAACCACATTCACTCGTACACCCCTACTTTCCCTTCTTTCGCCAGACTCTGAATTCAGACGACAGTCAATAGAAGCGTGAATCATGTCGCCATAAAAACTAGAGCTTTTCGCTGTTTATGTTCATACAATAAACAAAACTATTGCAGATTTGTGTGCGACAAGTTGGCGAAACGTGCGGAGAGCCGGCTCTTGTCTGCGACTCGCACCTCACTTGTCACCAGGATAACGACCTCGACGGACCAGCCCGTTGCGAAGGTGGGCTATCCTCATTAGCATAATTCACTTCGGAACCCATGAAATGCTTTACAAGGACTTCGTCTTCTTCTTCTTCTCCTTAATTAGAAAGCGAGTGAAAAAAGACAGATCTTCTGGGATAGGGTCATTTTATGGCTGAAATTCGATAGGCTTCTTCTTTTTCGTCACAAAAACGCCTGCTCGAAATGGTGGCGGTTTGTGCTGTGCTGTCTGTGTGTGCTCGCCGGACTCAATCCGCCTGCTCCGAATATACAATTTCTATTTACTTTACTCCGCTGCCGGAGTTTTTGGAAAGGAAAAGGAAAAGGTGCTGGACGACGTCCTTCTCTCCCCGCCCAACGTTTTCAATCAAAACTTGTTTATGCGAACTTCCACTGATCCTTGATCAAGAGAGAACACCACTACCAAAAAAGTCAGGGGGAAAATTCAAATGGAAAGCGGCGCGCGAGAGCGGCGGACACAAAAAGTGAGTAACCAGCGATTGCGCAAGAAAGGGAAAAGAAAGAGTTGAGAGAAGTCAGAAGTGCCGCCGACTGATTGGCCCCGCCCACTCGGAGGGCCACTGCCGCAGAGAGTCCGCCGCCATAAGCGACGTAAATCATTGGCAAAGTAGACAATTAGGAGGACGTGTCCCTTTCAAGAAGAGTTCAGTGCTGTTGCCTGGCTTCTTCTAAAAATGGCACGGCTTCTCCTCTCCAACCAAAAACCAAAACGACTAGTTCTCTTTCCGAACACATCTCCCTCTGATGCTCTCTGACCGCCTGAAACATCTCTCCGTGGCAACTTTCAACTGTCCGTTCCTGTCGTCAACTTGTCATTCATTCCGTTTTCCTCTCTGCTAACCTCCGATCAGATGTTCCTTGTTTTTGTCGCATGTGATGATGCTCTCTGCTCTCGCTCTAATCCTCTCTGTCCCACTCACTATTTACAGCTCGGGAATGCGTCTAACTGTCTGTGTTCTCCTCCCGCTTCTCGTCCCTCTTGGCTCGACGACTCATGACCGCACGGACCCTCCAGGTGATTCTCAGTTCTCATGAAGCTCTGCGGGAACAGTGCACGCTGGCGCCTGACGTCGAAGAATTGAAAACAACGAGAGCGGCATATTTAAGACAGACGGTGGCAGAAAAGGGAGGAAAAGAAAGTGAAACGCCGTTTTGTTGACAAACGGAACTGTGCGTGACGTCTTTCTTTGAGTGACATGAATCACGACGTTGCAATGTTTCCGACGTCTCCATTTTTGTATTCAGTGTTCTCTTTTACATATGCCGAGTGTCACCTCCTGCCATTCTCCCTCCGATTTCCTCTCGGAAATGCCTTCTTTCTTTAACTTCTTCTTCCACCATTTCCATCTATTCGAGGATGCGACACCCAAAAACAAAGAAGGCGTGAAATGAGTGGTCCGCCCCGTTTGTCATCGCGTAAACATCGGCTTCTCCGCTTTCCGGGCGGCCTCTGCCCACCCAATTGGCAACATGCTCAATTTCTCTTCCCGGTTCGAGTGTCCCTGTGTCAATCTCACCCGCTCATGTCTTTCCTATCATCTGGGGACATCCCAATGGGAAAAGGCGCCCCGCTTTCCCATCGAGTTCTTTCGAACACATGATCGAGCCGTGTGAGGGAAACGTTTTTTCACCGGGAGGTGGTGGTGGCGAGAAAAACAAACACGACAATATTCCGAATCGTCGCACATTGTTTCTTCATTCATTGGTGTTTGATGCTCTCACTCCGATCCTCCCCGCCAATTTATACCAGGGGCACTCGCACTCTTGTTATCATATGATCGCCCTCTCAGTTCTCTAAACTCGTACACAGCTCCGCTCCCACTACAGTATCTCTTTCGCTTTTCAAAAATAAGAGATTGTGCTCGTTAGAGTCTCCCATTAAACGCCATTTGTGTGATTTTAAAGTTCAGTCTAGTATTCCATAATGCATTCCCATTTCCCATTCGCACCTCTTTCGTACTCGCCGACGTACCGCCATCACATTTCCACTCACCTTTTTTGGAGACGAATATGCTTCGAATGCGTCCGCATTTGCATTTTTCGCGAACTTTGAGCAAGACAAATGGCTTGACAGCCGCCCTCCTGCTTCTTCTTTCAACGTGCCCTTCTTCTTCTTCTTCTTCTTCTTCTTCTTCTTCTTCTTCTTCTTCTTCCTTGCCCCGTTTTGAATTCCATTCTCATTCCCCCCTGAGTTTTCTCCTCTAATTGCCGCCTCGAACGGCCCATCAACTCATCCTCATCACATAGACATCTCTTCTTTTCTGTCCTACCCAAAAAGTCATCGAATTAATCAATCAAACGAATAAGAGGAAGACGTCGTCGGTCCGCCACATCTGCTGCTGCTGCTGCAACACTTCTTGTAAACGGGTGCAGCAAGACAATGCCAAATGACATCTGCATGTCGTTTTCGTTTTCTGCTTGGGCCCCCCTAATTAGTTGATGATGAGCGACGAGGAACGAATAATAGAGGAGGGGATACTGTAGGAAGGGGGAATTCTTGGAATATGTGGGAACAACAACAGCACAGACGGGGGAAAAGCTGATAAAATGGCAAACATTTCGGGAGGGGAAAAATAATTCGTTCTCGTCCTTCCCTCTTCCTCCCACTCGCCATCATTCTCTTGTGTGTATTTCCAGAAAGAATGCACGACGAATGCCTGAAAGCGGTGTGTCCACTGATGTTCCATCAAGGATGCCCGCCCGACTCTCAGCTGATCACCGAGACTCCGACTCCCGGCAACTGCTGCCCTCCGCCCGGAACGTGCCACTGCGACCAGAAGGTAAGTTCTCCGCCTTCCCAACTCCGCGTGCAGACCCGCAATTCGTCGAAATGTAACTGTTTTATTTGTCCTCGGCCAGAGATGAGTGCACAAACCGAACAGAGCCATCTCTCTGCTTCTCGGCCGGCCCGGCCCTCAGTCTTGTTTTACTTTTTGACGTATCGAGACCATTGTTTGGAGGGAAGCGCCGGGTATCAAAATCGAGAGACTCTTGAAAACGAAATCGAGATGAATGGGGGATCTTTGCAGAAATGTGTGCCGTTCGTACCAACTTGCACCAAAGAAGAGCGACTTGTGATGGTCGAGAAGGGGTCGGAGGTCCCCGGAAAGTGCTGCGCCTACTATGAATGCCACAAGAAAGGTTGGAAGAGCGTCCCGACGTCGACATCTTCATCCATTGTTCCCAATTTCAGAAAAGAAGTGTGAGAATGTGCACTGTCCTCCGGCCATCAACGATGAGGAGGAGTGCCCGGCGGACAGCATCCGTCCGCCCGACATGACGCCGAGTGAATCGTGCTGCCCCGTGAAACAGTCGTGCAAATGCCGCGGCTCCATCTGTCGCCCGGCTCAGTGCCCCGACGGAGAGTCCGTGTTCGTGACGAAGAAGGGAACCGGATTCCCAGGAAGGTGCTGTGACGAGTGGGAGTGCGTCGACGACGAGTTGTCCAAGGCCAAGTGCCTTCAGAATAACATCGAGAGACAACCGGGAGAAGTGTGGCACGTCAACAACTGCGAAACGTGCACTTGTCTCCGCGGAGTCTCGGTTTGCAGCAAAATGAGCTGCGCCAAAGTGAACCGTGAGTAGAACCGCATTCTCTTCTTCTAATCGTCATATATCTTCAGAAGAGTGCACTTGGATCGGAATCCCGCCCGGAGAGTGCTGTCCAGTCTGTCTCGGCTGTCAGACCGATAATCAAACCAAGCTGGATCGAGGTGACTCGTGGCACAAGGACGACTGCACTTTCTGCACTTGCTCGGAACTCGGAGCTCATATGTGCGAGAAACACATGTGCAAGACGGACTGCGAGAATCCGAGAAAGGTGGAGGGACAGTGCTGTCCGGTGTGCGACGAGCCGACCATCATCCGCCCGCCGGCCACTTGCCCTTCCCTCGAACACTGTTCTTTGAGGCGAGTCTTCTTTGTGAACTTGAAAAAACTGAACTGATAGTATTTCAGATGTGCGAACGGTCTGCGAAGAGATAACATTGGCTGCTACGTTTGCGAGTGTCTACCGGACGAAGTGCCCACCAACCCCAGATGCAGAGAGCTCAACGATGAAAACTGTGAAAAGTAGGCAGATTCCTGCTAAAAATCCCATCAGAACCTGAAATTTCCAGGCAATGCGCCCACGGATACCTGAAAGACGAGGACGGATGCACCGTGTGCAAGTGCTCAAAATGCCCTCCTTTGCACCAATGTCACAAGCACTGTCTATACGGATTCGAGACCAATTCGGCCGGCTGCTCGTTGTGCAAGTGTCGAGGTATTTCATTTCATGCAAAGTTTTACGAACTAACGTGGAGATTTCATTTCAGCTTCATCGAAATCGGATAAGAAGCCAAGCACAACGAAATCGACGAAACTTGGAAGCGGCGCCTCACATCTTAGTGAATATCACAGTGAAAAGTGAGCGGAGCAATGGGATGAATGTTGAATTTCGATCCGTTTCAGATGCATCTCCTTCGCAAGCGACGGTCACCAGATAGTGCGAGACGGAGGAGAGTGGTGGAGCGACGGGTGCCGTCACTGTTTCTGCGAGAACAAGCAAGAGTTCTGCTCGCTCATTTCGTGTCCGTCGAAACCGGCGGACTGTGCAGACGAGAGTTGGGTGCAGAAAGAAGGTTGGTGAAGGGAGAGAGCAATGAAATCAGAATTCCGGTCGTACAGATGACTGCTGTCCATCGTGCGTCGATCAGAAGAAAAAGAGCAAGTCGAGCAACTCTCTGGCCGGACAGAAGCACGAGCACACCGTCTGTCAGTCGCCGGGAACCGGAAGACTCTTCACCGACGGCGAGACGTGGCAACTGGCTCCGTGCGTCTCGTGCACTTGCCGCGTAGGCCACGTGCTGTGCAGAACCACGGAATGCCCGCCGATCGCGTGCCCGAATCCCGAGTATCAGAATGAGGACGACTGCTGCCCCACGTGCCCCGAGAAAAAGGTGACGAGCACAAAAAACGAGAAGGGAGACACGATCGTGTGCCAGGACGAGTCGGGAACCGCGCACATCGTCGGTAAGTGCTCGACAAGAGCGGGCGGTTCCTAACGAATCCAAGATTAATGCAGGATCCTCGTGGCGCCAAGATGACTGCACCTCCTGCGTGTGCTCGAACGACGGCTCTTCCGACTGCTACAAAGAAGCGTGCGACGAGAACCTCGAGTGTCGAGGCAATCCGCTCGTCATCAAGGGAAAGTGCTGTCCGGTGTGCTCCGACGCGCTTTCCACATCCGCCGTCTGCTCCTATCAATCGTCAGTGTACGCCATCGGAGAGCAGTGGCAGGACGGAAGATGCTCGAATTGTTCGTGCGTGGCCGGCGGTCAGACAGTCTGTCGTCAGATGGTCTGTCCGCACTGCGACGATCCGGTTCCCATTGAAGGACACTGCTGCCCTCTCTGCAAAGGTATTCTTAAGCATTTGAACAGGTCTTCAATAATGAGACGAAAGTTTTCAGATGCGAAATGGGGTCCGTACGGATACGGAAACGGATCGGCGGCGTTTCCGACGTCTTTCGGTCCGCGCATCGATAACGCGGATGGCAGCTCGGCCACCTCTCTGATCGTCGTCTCGCTCATGTCCCTTTGCGTCGTCGTACTCGTCATTGTGCTGATGTTTCTCTACAAAAGGAATAGAAAAAGCAACAAGGTATCCAGTATTACTCAGTTATTCGTTGAGAAGAGATTATCAATTTGCAGCTGCACAAGTTCAACGAAGTCGGACAAATCGCATCGGGCGGCGCGTCGAGCGTCAGATTGTCGGCATCGAAAACAATCGGATCAATGCCGAGATTGGTTGACTGGAAGGACACGAGAGACGAGTGAGCGACTGCCATTAGAGGGAACAGAACAGAAAGTAACATGCAATTTCAGAAGCGGAGAAGAGTTTCTGAAGGCGACCGCCAACCACATTCGACACGATTCGCAGAACTCGGACGACCAATCGGACAGTCTACTCTCCACAATGTACTCCTCAATCACTCCGCTTCTTACGATCCAATCGATTCTGTTTCAGGAGTGACACCTCGACGGCTCCTTCGACCATCTCCTCTTCCGGCCACGTGCCGATCTCCGACACTCAGCCACTGACTCCAAAGCGCCGGTATCCGGTGTAAGGCGTCGTTTTCCCCGCCGTTTTGTCATCTCTCTTGTTCTTTTCCTCATTGTCTTGCGGGTATTTGAAACCCGCGCATACCCCTTTCCAGTAGAGTTGTCTGTCACACTTTCTCTTCCTTTTCCCTGTTCATTTTTATCTTTTCACCCTCTCACTAAACTTTTAACACTCGATGCGGGTCGTCGCTGTCCCTTTTTACTGAAAGCTTTTCGTCTCGCTCTCATCCGTTTTTGTACAGTTATGATTATTTTGAACACAATCACTCGCAACTCGCAACCATTCTGCATTTTCTGGAAACCAAATAAATAAAGTGAATTTAAATATGATGTTGCATGTCGATGGGAAAGAACGATTGGGATTTCGAAACGTTATAGCACCATGCCAAGTGGATTCGGAAAAAGAGCAATAAGGAATTAAAGGATTTCCGATTTCGAATGCAAGCATTCAACACAGAGTCGATAGTCCGATCGGTCTGTAACTTGGACCCAATATACAGGGAGCGCCAAAAGTATGGTAACACATTCTGCTTGCGTAGATTCCGTACTTCGAGACGAGCATCATTCATTCGTCGCACTAACTTCCTCACTGTTTACAGTGCGATCATAGTTTTGGAAAGGACAAAGTTAAGCGGTTCGGATGAACAGCAATCTTCGGAATTGACCAACGACTAAGAAGGAGTGTGATGACCGACGGATCGGCGGCGAGGAGTGTGCAGAAATGTTTTGAGAAGATATAATATAATTTGTGAGTTACATTCCGGGGCTACCCCAAATCAGAATTTTCTCCAAACGGTCAGTTCTTATTCGTTCTGACATAAATTTTTTCAGCTATCTCGATGACTCCGGAGATGACAAAAAGAACCGTGTTTGATTTGTGGTGGAAACGATATTTTGAGCGTAAACAACGTTTTGGCTACATTTGAACAAACTCAAAGGCCGAATAATACAGACCAAAACAGTTGGGCCTTCTGTGTATGGCCTGTCCCTTTGATTTTTCTGAATAAATGATTGTTTTAAACATGAGTCAATGTTTTTTTTTGTCTTCTCGCAACCATTCTGTATTTTCTGCAAAACCAATAAATAACGTGAATTTATGATTTTCGTATGACAAGAATCTAGCAGCGCGAGTAGAAATTTCTTTACAGAACGTAGGGAATGAGGGCTTTTCGAGCCGGCGGGTACTTGGGAAACGTCTTGTGGTACCAGGCATGTGTTATCAGAGCAGCGAATGTTTGATTGACGCAAACGAACAGGACTACAAACTGAAAACGACGGAAAGGAGATGCTGGAACATGAGTGATATGAGAACTGACCTTGTACACGTAGGCAGATGGGATGATGAAGTACAGGGACACGTAAATGCAGATCTCGAAGAAGAAGTGAGGGCAGGAGACGAGGTTGAACCAGCCGCCGAAGCAGATTCCGTACGCGTAGTTGCGGATGAGTCCGTGCGGACCTTTGCGCGTATTCGCAATCTGCTCCGCGAGCTGATGTTGTTTCCAGTTGCACGCCCAGAAGATAACCGCCGCCAGCCACTGGGACAGCTCGATTTCCGTCGTGGAGATTTGGAAACGGGCGGCTGAAACATTGAAGATGTAAGTCGGAAAGGATTGAATTCTAGTGGAAATAGATACTTTCGCTCTATGGTGTTTAGACGAAAACCTTGTTTGAATTCGATTCGATCGAAACATAAACAAACATATTCTCAAAATTTGTTAGCATTTCCTACAAGTTGACACGTTACCTTTAGTGGCAAATCCTTGCGTTTCACAAAGAATCGAGAAGGGCAAGACGACGTAGTGGACGATGCCGACAACATAATGAAACAGATTCATGCGACTATCCGAGTAGACGCTCACAAACAGCGTCTCATAGAGACGACGTGCCACGTGGAAAGTGATGAGCACCAGAGCCAAAAGGGCTGTGGATGGAGAGACTGAAGACGTGATTTGAGATGAGAAGGAAAGTATTAGAACTCACTCGGTGGTATACTGTAGGAACGAGTAAGAGTGGCCAGAAGTTGATAAACCACGGGCGGTAGGTAGTTAGGATTGTGTAGCAACGAGTAAAAAGAGTGGAGACACACAGAAAGCGTGAGCAAACCCAGCGCGTAAAAGTGTTTGAACCATCTGAAGAGAAAGACGTCGAAATTTGAAAACTTCACTCAAAAACGCTCACTTTTTCGGGACGGATATCTTCGCGACGAGCGTATTCTCTTCAAGTTGATCAGCCGCTTTTCCGTACGTCGTCAGCGCAGGTATCAATCGGCACACATGCGGGCATAGAAGAGTGAAACTGCAGGTGACGGCAAGTCCGAATGTGACGGTTAGAAGGTAGATTGGAAGTGCTTGTCGCAACTCCCACAATGTGTCGAGCATTCTGGAAATGTGTATAGTTGGAAGGAAAAAAAGAATAGAAGCAAAAGGAAAAGATGACGCTGACGACGACAAGGACAACGGCGGCGGCAGTGAGTAATGGAAACATTTTTGGGCGGAGGAGGGAGGAGCCGGCCCGAGGTTTTCGAGGCACAAAACGCGAGGGCAGCTGCAAGTGTGCGAGTGCGCGATGAGAAAGTAAACAGATGGCGGAGAGGGCAGATGGATGCTGGGCAGCTGAAGCATACACCGAAAAGAGCAGGTTCATCGGATTTCACAACTTTTTCTGTCTAAAAATGTTTGTCCGAGTGAAGTACGCGAGCGGCGGACTGGCGGACATGGCCGAGGTTTCGCCCTTTTGAAAAATCTTGTTGTCTTCTTTTTCGAAGACTTCTACGACTGTTTTTGAATACATTTCCGCTTTTTTCCAGATAGAAATACAAAGTTGCAGATTTATTTTCAAATAATTGTTTAATTTTGTACCTACCTGCTCTTAGAAGCTCTATTTCGTCCTAAACAAAGCCTGTCGGCGATTTGTCATCATTTTCTTCAGAATTAAAATGCCATTCGTTTTCGACGAGTCTCTCCTAGTTAGCCACGTTCCGACGGATGTTCCGGCTGACCTGAAAGTTCGTCCGTTGGCAATTGACGACTTCTCGAAGGGCTACCTCGAGCTTCTTGCTCAGCTCACTTCCGTCGGAAATCTCGACAAGGAAGCATTCGAAAAGCAATTTGAGGCTATGAAAAAATCGGTTCCGAACTATCACATCGTCGTCATCGAAGACAGAGCCACTGAGAAAGTGGTCGGATCGGCGACTCTTGTGATCGAAATGAAGTTCATTCACGAGGCCGGAAGCCGCGGAAGAGTCGAAGACGTCGTAGTGGACAAAGAGAAGCGCGGGCAGAAGTTGGGAGCAGTGCTTCTGAAGACTCTTGTCTCACTGGGAAAATCTCTCGGAGTGTACAAACTGTCTCTCGAGTGCAAGCCGGAGCTGCTGCCGTTCTATTCGCAGTTCGGATTCGAGGACGACTGCAACTTCATGACTCAGCGCTTTTGATTTCTAACGCTTTGATTAACTAGTTTCGCTTCTGTTCTATCGGTCTGTCGCATAATTATTCTGTTCTATGTCATTCTGTGATGTCATTCCAAATCGTATAAAGTTCCAGATGGAAACTGACTTCGGATTGACAGAGTATGCCAGCGCGCACGCCCTCACTCCCGTCCCCTGTTTGCTCAAGGAAATGTACAGCGACTTTATCGTCCAGGAGATTCTTGGTAATTTTACTGCGAAATTCGTAAAAAAAAGCATCTAAAACTAATTGCAGCCGATGGAACTGTTCTGCACATTCCTTCTCCGGATGCGATCCTAGAAGCCACGGAGAAAGTCACTGCCAAGATCGACGAAAGTGTCGTCAAGCCGGAATGCATTTCCGACGAAACTCTGGCAACCCTTGACGAGCGATTCGAAACGAAAGGACCGGCAGTTCTGATCACAGTGACCGATTTGAGTAAGGAGGAGAGAAAAAGCATCCATGTGTTCGTACGAGAGCGATATGGACAGAAACTGATGACGGAAACGAAGGAGGCGGGGATCTTGGTTTCGCACGGACACACGCAGAGTACTAGGAAGCGCCGCCACTGGGATGAGAACACTCCGAAAGAATGCCATTTTACGATGTGCAAGGAGAACAAGGACACGAGCTATGCCTGTCAAATAATCGCGAGATTTCTGAAGTGAGTGGGAAGTCATCGACGATCACAAAAAAAAAAACGAAAAGAAAGCAATTTCACGTAATTCACGCTGCCGGCGTCCACTTCACGATGCCGATTTCGGGCATAGCGACTTTTAATTGCCGGTGGTTTCACGTGAGAAAAAGATTTAGTGAAACTTTGAGTAAATACAAAATAATCAATGGACGGTTTTCAGTATTGGCCAGAACAACATCCGAACTCACGGAATCAAGGACAAAAGAGGAGTGACAGCGCAAAGAGTGAGTGTGACTCACGTGCTGGAGAGCACCATTCTCCAGCTGAACTCGAAGCTCCGTGGAATCAAGGTATTCGACTGTGAGCATAAAGACACTCCAGTCAAAATGGGAGCTCACTGGGGGAACCGATTCAGCATCGTGCTCCGCAACATTCCACCAGAGTCGGAGACAATGTTGCACGAAAGACTGGAGACCTTCAAAAACACCGGATTCATCAACTACTTTGGTAGGTTTTGGATGGTTGAACCAGCAGACAACATATTGATTTCAGGGACTCAAAGATTCGGATCACGATGCTCCACGACTGCTGACATCGGCTTGGCAATTGTGAAAAGGGATTGGGAAGGGGCGGTGCGGAAGATTCTGTCGAATGGACTGCCCGAACATTTGGAGAAGTCGTCGGTCGGAAACGCAGTGCAGCACTTTCTGAACACTGGAAATGCTCACGAAGCGAAGCGCGAGCTGAAGGGAGCACAGGCGTTCGCCACAGTCGAAGCGAACATTCTGAAGTGTCTGGCGAAGGGTGGCACGTGGCAGGAGTCGATCACCACCGCCGTTCCCGTTCAGACGCGCAGTCTCTACGTGCATGCCTATCAAAGTCTTATTTGGAACAAGGTCGCTTCGCGGCGAGTCAAGGAATACGACATCCGAGTGCACGAAAACGATGTCGGAGCAGACGGGAAACCGTTGGGAGAGCACGCCACGCACTACGACATCCACATTCCGCTGGCCGGAGAGAATCAGGCGTTCGAGAACAGCTATGCGAGTCAGTGGACGAAAGAGTTACTCGAGGTGGACGGACTGACTGCGGCCAGCTTCACTTCGCTCAAAGAGTTAGTCTGATTTATTTCTAGATGACTGATAACTAATCATTCTCATTCCAGCAAATTCTCCCTCGGCGAATCGTCCCGCCGTCTGTTCGTCGAGGCAAAGGATCTCAAGTGGGAGATTATCAAGTATTCCAACCCACGAGACTTGCTCCAGGATGGCCTTGACACCCGCGCAATTCCCGAATCCGAGCGCATCGGAGACCTTCGTGCTCTAGAGATTCAGTTCAGTCTGATCTCTGGCTCGTACGCAACTGTCGCTCTCCGCGAAGTGACCGGAAGCGATATGGGAAAGCAAGCGCAGAGAGCAGCCTCGTGTAAAGCAAGAGAAGGTGCGAAACAAGAGGAAGATGAGGAAGAAGTAGGAGAAGGAGAAGGAGAAGGCATCCAAGTGGATCTTAAAGAAGAAATTGCTGAGGAATGATATTATTCTTTTGCAGTTAACTGTTGAATTATTTATTTTGTTATTGATAAACTGTTACTATTCGGACCAAATCGAATTTCCTTGAGTTGGGTTTTCATCCAATCATATTCTTTGAATTCATTCTTTCCGCGCTTCGATCGAAACATTTCTAAGACCATTCCCGTACTATTCTGCTTAAACCCAGTCTCTTTTCAGATGAGTAACCTCACAATAATATGCCCGAATGCGAAACGAGTGCAAGTGAAGACGACTCCGATGATGCTGATGCGGCAGGTGCTCGAGGAGGCGTGCCTCAAGAGCGGCTTCGAAGTGAACAGCCATCGACTGCAGACGCAATCCCGCAAGCCGATCGACGCTTCGCTCCCATTCCGACTGAGTGGACTGGCTAACAATGCGACCCTCGAGATGACGCAGAAAGAGGCAGCTTCCGAGAACGCCGTCATCGATTTGGCTATCCAATCCGGGTCGGGAGCTCGTCATCAGAAGAAAGTGGGCGTGAACGTCCCTCTTTTAGAAGCACTCAAACAATTTACCGAATTCGGAGAGGATTTGACGGCGACCGTGGACGGGACGGTTCCGTGCGTGGTCTACATGAACAAACGGTACACGGGAGCGGCTGAGCTGACTGCCAACTCCCTGTCGAGCCTAGGAGTTTCAGCGGGAAAGTGTCTGATACGTCATATGAGAATCAAGTTGAACGCAGAAGAATTGGCGGCGGTGGAGGCGAAGCAGAAGGAGGAAACCGAACGGAAAAAGGCTTTGGACGCCAATTTTGCCAAATTGAAGGAGGAAAATGCGGAAAGGGAGAGGCTTGAGAATCAGAGACAGGAGGCGTTTGAAAAGGAGAAGGAAGAGCGAGAGAGAAGAGAGCAGGAGCAGCTGAGAGCCATTCTGCCTGAGAACCCGGAGCTAAAAGCAACGTCGGAGCTTCAGTGAGTTCGTCGTTTCTCTAGGAAATATAATAATTATTTCAGTCAGCGCCGTGACGTGCTTCAGGAGGTTCCTCAGCAGAATCCCAACTCGTGGTCGTTCGACGGCCCAGCATTCTCCCGTCCAGCTCCCGGCAACACGATGCGAATCGAGGAATTGAACCGTTTGCTCGAGCGAGTCGACAGCTCTCTGAATCCCAGCGGAGCAGAGGAGTCGAGAATGGACGCGATGGTGAACGCGTTGGCCGACGGAGGACGCATCTCATTGGCCCAAGTTCAAGCCAGAGCCGACGTTGTCATGGAGCAGGAAGTAGAAGAGAAAGAGCCGGCGATTGTGTTCGCCGATCCGTGTGACCGAAAAACGGTCGTGTTCCAGAAAAAAGCGAGAATGCAGACGGAGGAGCCGATGGAGACCGAAGAGTTTTACGAAGTGAACATGGAAGACGTGCGCAACATGCAGAAGGATCTCCGCAAAACTGTGTATGTTTACCAATCACATCCTGGGTTAAATCAAAACCAAACTATTCTTTCCAGACGTGAACAGACTCAGGCGAGCTTTGTGTCGAAGGCCTATTTGATCCAAAAGAATCGTCAGCTGAAAATGGAAGCGTACAAGCACACGGTCATCCGAATAAAAGTCGGAGAACACGTGCTCCAGGCGTGCTTCGACTCTTCTGAACGAAGCTCCAATCTCGACGTCTTCTTGAAGACAGTGTTCAAGCAGTCGGGATACAAACTGCTGTTCACTAATATGAAAGTGGAAACGAGCGAATCGAAGAACTTTGTCGATCTGGAACTCGCTCCGAAGTCCACTTTGATCGCAAGCTTCGGAGGGCACTCTGTAAATGCGGCCGATGTGCTGCACAACGTGTCGGAGGTGAATCAAGAAGAGGCCGACTCGATTTCGACAGATTGGCTGGCCGCCAACAAGCAGTTCATCCCGTTCAACTCGACGACGAACGAGGATCGCAAGCAGAAAAGAACCAACTTCAGCTCGGTTTCGTCGCCATCATCTGGCGGTCCACCAGCGAAGTCTGCCATGCCGAAATGGCTGCAAACCGGAAAGAAATGATAATCTTCTGATCCCTTTTTGTGTACATCTGTGTACAGATTCAGATTATTTGGTGATTGACTGATCCGTTTCAATATTAATTTATTTGTGATTTCTAATGAACGAACTCGTTTCGTGAAACATTGGCAACGGTATTTGAAGATTAGGCGGCGATGATATCCTCGATGAAGTCGTCCAACTGTTCATCGTTGAGCACTCCCGAGAATCCGCTGATCTTTTCTCCATCTTTGAAACCAAACACCGTCGGCACCGCACTGATTCCGTAGTCCATCGCCAGTTCTCCCGCGTTATCCACGTTGATTTTCGCGAGCAAAACAGTTCCGTTTCGTCCGTTTATCTGCCAATTCATTTACATTCCGTGAAATCCACGTTTTTTGAACCCACTTTTTCCTCAAGCCGTGGTCCGAGCGCCTGGCACGGTCCGCACCATTCTGCGTGGAAATCGACAATAACTGGCACTGTTGACTGGATTACCTGAGTTATTGATTAGTAATAGAATGGAAATTGATAAGAAGAACACTCACTTTCTCTTGGAAATCGTCCGGCGTGTCGACATCAAAAACGAATGCTCCGTGCGAGAATTGGCGCGTTTGCGGGAGTCGGGAAGCCATGAAAGTCGGTTTGGCTGTGGAACGGGCAATCGAAGAGCCGAGACGAAGCAGAGCTTGCATTGATAGTCTACAGAAACACGGATTTTAGTGATAAAACTGATTTTTAACGCGGAAATTGCATCAAAAATGTGATAAGAAAAAGCGCGGCCGCGGAGGGAAAAGCTAGGCCAGCAAGTGGGGAATGAATGAAATTGAGCGCGAAATGCAATATTTCTCTCGAGTTGTCAACAGTAACTTACAGCTGTAGCTTAGAAAATCACGCTCCACTACTGTTTCGCGTAAAAACACGGCTGACTAGTGAGGTCAGTGCAGTGCGGTAGAGCGCAAACTCTAGGTTGTCGTGGAAACAGAGGAATCAGCGAAACACTATGACTTGTGCCCGTTGAGCTTCTAACTGATCATTATAACATGGAAGCCTTTCAATCGTCTGCATATGACCATCATTATTGCACCACAGAAGATACGCTTTCATTGACAAAAGATCATGGAAATCTTTCGGAGACTTTATTTATTTAGAATTCGTGTCTTCGAACTGGGAATGTACAGGAATAAAGAAATAGTTTGAATGCCGTAAGCATCGAGAATCATTCATTGTAATCAGACGGGACTGGAGCAGACGTCGCAAGTCAACGGACACGCGTACTCGATCCGCAGTTTATCGTCCGATTCGCACAGTCCCGACGACTTGTACTCGGCGCAGTTGGACAGTCGATCCACGCAACTTCCGACTTTGGTCCCGCAGAATCCGCACGTCTGCGCACAGTTGTACTTCATGATCGGCTCCTGAGCAGCATTCGAAGAGCACAACTCGAGAGTTTTGAAGAGTTCGCAATAGGGATGGAGGTCACGGCATTGGGAGGAAACGAACGGAACGATCAGGGAGTAGAAGAGGAGAAGGAGACGGACTGTCTGGTGGGAACACATTGGGAACGAATGGATGGGGACGCTGTTTGCATGCTTCTGATGTACACGGGAAAGTGGTGATTCCGGGGTATTGCTTGGGAAAGTATGGCGACTACAGCAATATTTTCAGTGGATCGCACCTGCATTGCCTACCGTGTTGGTCCTGAGATACGTGAGACAGCGGGTCCCTCAGTCGGACGAATCGATGATGGCGAACGAAGAACTAAAACCTCCGTATTCCCTCTCGCTCACTATCTCTGTATATCCCGTAATACAAGGCACGCATCCCCCAAATCCCTGTAACATTCAGGGAGTAGAGTCCGAATGTACAGAGTATCTTGAATATTCCAACGGTCGAGGTGCGATCGAAGGAAAAAGGGTTCCATCAGGCCAAGGAGACGACTCACGATTAGGAGGCAGTCCCTTTGCGGTACTATACTTTGATGATGTCTTGGACGGTCTGCGAACAGTTGTACGCCATCTGAGCGACCTGTTAAACATTCGGGTGGAACTCGTTATAATACACCCCCGAAAATTTACCAGCTGCTATTCGTTGAATCTGAGTATCGACTTCTTCGAGAACCTTGGTTATAAGCCTAGACAGTGCCGAGTAATTGGAGAAGAAGTAAGCAATGAAGAGGCGAAACTCCTGCTGAGCCGCTTCCAGCCGTTGGATAACTTTGCAATTCTTGCGAAGACCAATTTTTAGATACTGTTTGTGATAACTTTGATTATTTTGATTACATTACTGAATGAATAAAATGAGGCTGATTAAAAAAAAGTCGTCAAGAAATGGACACGTGGCAGTGGACCCTTGTTGCATTATAGAAAAACACTTGAGCTCTCCCACGGATCATTTTGTAACTGATCATTATGACATTGAAGCCCTTCAGCCGCCTGCCGGATTAGTCACCCGCCTGGAAAATAACTAAAACTAATGAAAAAGAAGAACGGAGATTTGTGAGCTCCCTCCATCGTACGGCAGAATCCCCCTATGCTCATTCATTCATTCTCTAATACTTTCGAGTGAATGTCTACAAATATATTTATAATACTCTTCACTATTCTGATTACGGTAGGCCCAGTACTGTAGATGCTTGTATACTTGGATGAATGGCATATTTAGGGTGACTGTCAGCCGCCGAACAATATATTCCATCTCGGATTTCTGCATTGCGATGTACTCCCAAAAGTGGAAAACCACTGTTGAAAAATGCAGTTAGTTGGTTTCAGAACGTCGAAGGAAGCAGCACTTACATCAGCTACCGTACTTCGGCCAGTGCTGCCAGCATTGCGATCGACAGGATCAAGAGAGAAGGCCTCCTGACCGGATACGATTTCAAGTACTCACACGCATGATGATTAGTTTTTAAATTATGTCTCTTTCAGCGAGATTCGCGTTTCTAACACGCTTGGCAAAATCCGCATAATAGTCCTTATCTTCAGAATCACAATACTCTACGACCAATGCGATGAGTTGCTGGCGGCTGGAAATGCGAAAGCGCTTCTTGGCGACTACAACGTCGACGTTCTGATCGGACCCACCACAAACATTCGTATGCCTCTGTAGTCAAAGTTGTTGCCTATTCTTTCTTTTCCAGCAGCTGTCCAGGTGTTCATCCTCGCCACGTACTACAACATCCCTCTGGTCACTTGGGGAATGACTTCTTCGGCAGCTCTGGATGACAGCGCCCGTTTCCCCACTGCCGGAATTCTCTCGATCGGATCGAAAAGGTATTCCCCCGGTTTAACCCAACTTTTTTCCAATTTGTTTTAGTCTGGCTGTGGCCTTCCGCGAAGTGATGCTCCAGTACGGATGGGATCAGTTTGTGTACGCCTACTCTTTGGAAGGCGACGATGAAAAGTGCGAGACGATGCGTGACGACTTCCAGAATATGATCGCCTACTACGGGGACATTGTGCTCTCCTACACCGTCCAAATAATGGATTTGAGCGAGGAGGGAATGCTGAGCGTGCTGGAAGACGTTTCAACGAGAGGCAGAAGTGAGTGGATGATATCGATCCTTGTTGATCCGTTCCTTTTCAGTCATTGTTCCGTGTTTTCACGAGGGAAACACGAGAGGCCTTCATAGAAGATGGATGTTGCAGGCAAGTAGACACGGCTACGCGACTGATGAATACGTTTACATATTCCCATCTCTTCGTTCCAAAGGATACGGTAGCCAGCACAATTATTTGTTCTATGCATATTTCCTCGTTTAGCTATTCTCCAACCCGACGGCAGTTATCGGTATCCGTGGACGGACAGCACCGGGATCCAATCCAGCGACGCGGAGGCCATTCCAGCATTTCAGAGATCTATGTTTATTGTGGATGTGAGGGAGAGCGAAGCCTTAACGCGTAGATGTTTGATTTTTCATTTTTAATGATTTAGATGCAAGGCCAGGGCAAGATCAGCTCGAACTACACGGTGTTCGAAGCGGAAGTGATACGAAGAATGGCCGATGCCCCATACAACTGCTCGTCGACATGCTCGGCTACTGAATATCATACGGTCCCTCGAACTTTCCCCGTTTTCATTATTATTGGTTTTGCAGGCGGCAGCATACGCGGCACAGCTTCATGACTCTGTTTATTTGTACGGAATGGCGATGGACAAAATAATGAAGGCGTCTCCGAGTCAGTACAGGAATGGAACTGCGTTTCAGCCCTATTTGGTTGGAACATTTGAAGGTTTGAATCTGGAATTTAGATTATTTCAATAAACTCTCACGAACTATTTAGGTGTCGCTGGCCCTGTCTCCATGAATGAGGACGGTGTCCGTAACCCTACAATCTACGTGCTCACCCTTGATTCCAGTAACGTTTCCAACACGATAATGAGCATAGAAGTGACATCGTACACTGCCGTGACCACAAAGTGGTACACAAACGAGGCGACCGAAGTGTGGTCGCATCGGAAAGGAATCCGTCCGTTGGACGAGCCGGCGTGCGGGTACACCGGCTCGAAGTGCCCCGCGAATGTCTTCTTCCAATACCTCGGATGGTTCATCTCCGCCATCATTGTCATCATTTTCACAATCTGTGGAGCCATCTTAGCATTTGTCTACCTTTTCCAGTTCCGTTTTCGTTTCTAATTCGTTGCGAACCTCAGTTTTCAGTTCGAAACGGCAAGAAGTGGAACGGCAGAACGCTCTCTGGCAGATTCCGTTCAATTCGATGCGCGTCATCACGAAGAAAGGCAAAGGGGAGCATAGTATGAGGAGCATCAGCAGTGTGCCCAGCACCATTTCGTCCACAAAGTCGACCATGTCATCCGACTTTGGAGAGACCCGCAACTACCAGTACTTCACTCTTCAGAACGACGTGGAAGCGGAGACGGTCGCCGCGCGGAAGCACACCCTCCGCACGCTTTTCGACAGCAAAATGTGCGCCTCGATGCGCCAGATGAGACTGATTGATCAGGCGAATCTGAATAAGTTCATCGGAATGTCACTAGACGCTCCCCAGTTATTGTCGATCTGGAAGTTCTGCTCACGCGGCTCTCTGGCCGACGTCATCCGGAAGGCGAGCATTCAGATGGACGGGTTTTTCATTTACTCGCTGATGAAAGACATCGTGAATGGTTTGACATGGCTCCACGAGTCAAACATTGAATTCCACGGAATGCTCACTTCCAAAAACTGCTTGCTGAACGACAGGTGGCAGTTGAAAATCACAGATTTCGGATTGAGAGGCTTTCGTACGGCAGATCAGTTCAACAAGATGGGTAAGAAGTTGGAAGTTGAAGTTGGATTACTGTAGATGTGGTGCTCAGATCGTCTGTGGACTGCGCCGGAACTTCTGCGAACAGATGATATCAACGGAAGCCGAGAAGGAGACATCTACAGTCTGGGGATCATCAGTGCGGAACTGATTACACGGAGCTCAGTATTCGATATGGAAAACCGGAAGGAAGACGCTGAAGAGATAATTTACATGCTGAAAAAAGGAGGAATGCAGTCTCCTCGACCGAGTCTCGATCACGACGAATCACTGGAAATCAACCCCGCTTTGGTTCGTTTGTGATGTTCTATTTTAATCTATGAACCTGTATTTTAGTTGCATTTGGTGCGAGACTGTTGGACCGAGCGGCCCTCGGAACGGCCTGAAATCAAACAAGTGATTTCGCAGTTGAGAAGTATGAACACAAACCGAAATGACAATCTGATGGATCACGTCTTCAATGTCCTCGAATCGTACGCATCCACACTGGAAGACGAGGTGGCGGAGCGGATGAAAGAGCTCGTGGAGGAGAAGAAAAAGAGCGATTTGCTGCTATACCGAATGCTTCCGAAGCAGGTGGCCGACAAGTTGAAGCTCGGCCAAACTGTGGAGCCGGAGACTTTTGACGTCGTCACCCTCTTCTTCTCCGACGTCGTCAGCTTCACCACACTGGCCGGCAAGTGCACTCCTCTGCAAGTGGTCAACCTGCTCAACGGTCTCTACACGATCTTCGACGGAATAATTGAGCGGCACGATGTGTACAAGGTCGAGACGATCGGAGACGGATACTTTGTCGCTTCCGGGGTGCCACGTCGGAACGGCAACGAGCACACGAGACACATTGCGAGCATGTCCGTCTGCTTTGTCAACTCGCTAGCGGACTTTACCATTCCTCACCTTCCCGGGGAAAGGATCAAGATTCGAGTCGGATTTCATTGTGGATCCGTGGTGGCCGGAGTCGTCGGACTCACAATGCCCCGATATTGTCTATTCGGAGACGCGGTGAACACTGCGAGCAGGATGGAGAGCAATTCGAAACGTGAGAACTCATCCGATTGCAAGTAAAGTAGTTCCTAAAATTGCAGCCGGTCAAATCCATCTTTCCGAGGAAGCCAATCAAATGCTCACTTCTCTCGGAGGATTTATAACCGAGCCACGCGGCGAAGTGATCATCAAGGTGAGACATGACATATGCTTTGTACTTGTATTCAATTCAATAATATCAGGGCAAAGGAGTGATGACGACGTTCTGGCTGCTCAAGATGGAAGAGTCGGCAGCTCCACAGATGTACAAGAATAGGCACGACTAGCCGATTCATTTTGTGTTGTCGTCTCTGTAATAAACGTTTCCCTTTTTCGCCGTCCAAATTGCCCGTGGTCATCGCATACCTGAGCACCCGGCTCCGTTTCTTTCTTTCCCCTCCGCCCCAACAAGTATAAAGTCTGCTCGGTTGCCCAGACAACCGCCCGTCTCGCCATCCCCACCTGCTCTGTGCTATTGCGCGCGTTCCCCCCTCCCGTCTCGCCGCCTCCCTCTTCGGCTTGTGATATCTTTCGTCGTTTCCAGTCCTTTCTATTCCGTTGAGAATAGGAATATAACATTAATATTGTGTCATGACGTCACTTTTTGATTCGCTATCTCGAAATAACGACCGTCTTCCGTCGCCCAACTTCTTGCCCGATGACTTTTTGGAACTACTCAAAAGCCAGGATTTTGATACGAAGCTCACGGTTTGTTCAAAAATCCAGAGATCATTTTGAATTCGAGTAAACTTTTAGACGCTCATTAGAGCTGCTACGATTGCGAAAAGAGAAGAGGATTGGTTCCAGAAGTTTCAGAAGAAGGGGGAACTTTTCAAGTGTATCGACAAGATAATCAGCGATGATCGATGGGAACTTCAGCATCAATGCATCAAGTTTCTGGTCGAGGCCATGCCCACATTCGGAAATGTTCGTTTATATTCGTTTTAAGTATTCAAATCTTCTTTCCAGGCGACCGAATACTGTCTGTGTTTCGTGATGCCTAATCTGATTCCGAAGTTGGTCAGCAACAAAGTGACCGTTCGGAAGATTACCGTCCAGGCGATTGTCACTTTTCTCCGCCTGAAACCAGAAGCACTTTCTTCGTTCCTGGTAATCTGATGTCATTTTTGTTGTTGTGACTTTATTCATTCTCAGAAAATACTCTCCCACTATTTACCCAACTGCAATTCAAAGCCAGAACTGATTGGAGAACTCCAGCAGGTTCTGATTCCAGAGGTAACTTTGATGATAACTTCAGAGAATGAGCATTCCACTTTTTTCATTTAGTTGGCGAAATCCAATTGGACAAGTCTAGTCGAGAACTTGACAATAGACACCAACATTTATGGATGCGAAGAGCAAACTGGCATTCTGATGAAGAAGTTGCACTGTGAGTGAAACCTCAAAAAAGTTTTCAAGAGTTAGTTTTCAGTCCTCATCGGAAACGAAGCATGGCAGCAGATGATCAACAATTTGGTACCGGAAAAACAGGAAATTGTGGAGCGAGTCACGGAAAATGTGCACGTGGAGCAGGGCGACGTGAAAGCCGGCAGCGGAGTGCTCCGATCGGCCAAGCCACAGTCCGGAGGGGAACGACGTCTCCGATACGGCATCGTTCCGAGTCTCGTGTGCGCGTTGATCGCAGAAGAGAACGATGCGAATCAGAGAATAGCCGGTCTCGAGAAGCTGAAGCAAGTCATCGATCAGATAAGCGGTGAGGAGATCGCCCGACTGGTTCCCCATTTGCACTCGTACCTTTTGATGCTCTCCAATGTGCTTGAGGACTTGAACTTCAAGGTTGTCGTACTGGCGCTGGACATTGTTCGCGCGACGGCTCACCACTTGAAAGGGCACATGGAAGCGCACATCCAGCAGTTTGTGAATCTTGCCTCCAAACACTTTGGAAACCAGAAATCAGTCATCAAGCAGATCATTATGATGACCTTTATGGAACTTTTCCAGGTTTGAAAAGTGTTCCTTCATACCTTCTCTCAGTCTGTAATGTTCAGAATATCAATCCGAAAACAGTCGGAGGATGTCTCCGCGTCTTCTTGGAAAACAAAAACTCAAGAGTCCGCGAGGAAGTTCTCAACATTTACACGGCCTCTCTGATGACAATCAGTCCCTCTAAATTCAATTTGGCACCGCTCGTTAACATTTTGGTGCCTATGTTGCGCGATCCGAAGAAGAGAGTCAGGTGAGATTAGGGAGTGCGACGATACGAATGCATTAATCTGTCATTCTTCAGATTAGCAGCTTTTGAGCAGTTGTCAGTGCTTGCCTACCTGCTGAATGGAAAGACGGACGTGATCATGAAGGCGGTTAGGGACTTTGAGATGGAACAAAACACGAGAGGATTGGCAGAGGCAGTCAATGTGAGTTCTATGGAAGGCTATGTTGAACTGGATTATGTTGAACACTTTTCAAAGTGATCCCCTCATTTTTAGCTGTCAGAAGTGTATCTCTAATTTGACAGGCACGAATCCGTCGCCAAGTGCTCCCTCGCATCCGCTACGACGGTCTCATCGAGTACTCGACACCGCCCGTCATGGACTCTTTCGACTTGGCCGAATCGGAAATGAGCCTGCCGACCAACGCGGATCTCGCGTGGATTGTGAGCAATGGAGGCGTCGAGCCAGATCCGTTCGAAAGGACAATGTCTCCGATCAGTCTGGCCGGTAACCTGGCCACCATTCGCAGGAATCGAGTAGTTCAGCACGTAGAGAAGACATCCGCACCGCCCATTCCGCCACAGCAACCGGCACATCGGCAACAGGAGAAGGTCCAGGAGAAGGTCGGGAGCAGCAGTCCGGAAATCGGTCAGAAGATGATGATGACGAGGATGAAGAGCGATGATTCGTTCGTGAGAAGACAGGGATCGGGTGAGTGCTTCTTCCTACACAGCCTAGGTTCATTCGTAGTTCTCAAATTAGATTCCGAGCAGAAAGTCAGAAGTCAATCCTCCCACTCTGTTTATCACAACTTGCACGTGGGAGTGAGTGTGGGAAAAGGGTCAGTATTGCTCACAGCACACAACAAAACCGAGCCTATACGATTTCTTTGAATTTCGATTTCGACGAAAGAATACAAAAAGTGAATGAATGAAAACGAGTTGAATAGAGTAAGCTGCTCTCTCTCTCTCTCGCCTTTCTCCGGCTCCTTCCGTCCGTCCGTCGCAACCAATTACGAGCCCCTCGATGCAACAAACGTTGGGGCGGGGGGCAGGTGTTTAGGCTGTGTGTGACATAACAAAGTGACCACCACTGGGCGAGCACTCGTTGCCCCTGGCACCCCTCTCTCCCCTTTTATTCTTTTTCCGTCCTCGCTTTTGTCTCTTTTTGACCGAAAAACGTACTCGAATGTACTAATGCGCGAATGACGTGACACTACTAGATGGGTACGACTGTCAGCCGAGCCGCTTCTGCTCCCATTCGAACGCATTCGTCTGCGGTGGCTCCGATGTCGACGTCGACGCAGAATAACATGTTTATGGTGGTGAACGGCAGAATGAGACGTATGACTTGTAGTTCCCAACATTTGCAAAGAAAAGTCGACACGTTTGTAATCTGTAATTTCAGCGACATCCAATCCGAACTCGAGCACAAGTTCGTGGGAAGCGCCGAAACGACCGACACTCTCTCCGCCCGAAAAGTCGGTTGCAAAGGCTCCGAGGAAAGAAAAAGAGGTCAACAATAACCACATTGACAAGAAACAAAATTTGAGAGCTATGGTATGACATTCTTGTCAAAAAAGGATTCATCACTTCACTTTCAGAGAGCCAGAAGTGACACAAACCTCTCGGATGACCGAGAAACGGACGAAATGGAGAACGCGCCGCCCAGAAGCTTCGATGATCGTCCGGCGAAAGCGAGTGGACAATATGCTTTTCAAGGTGGGGATTAAAAGATGTCTTGCTCTTCAAGTGTTCAATGAGCAAGAAGCTAGAAGCTAGAAGCCATATTAATCAATTGATCGGGTAATTCCATTCATTCATCCCCTTTCATTCCTTCTCGTTTTTAAAGCATCAGAATACAAAAAGAGCGCGCTCGCAAACGGACACAAGCGTAACCATGTGAGCGGGGAGGAAAGAAGAGAGCATCCATTCGCTTTGCTCCGTCATTCTTTCGCGAAAAATGTACTCGAAGAGTGTCCCTTCTCCCATTCCCACTTCCCATCTTCCACCCATTTACGCGCACAAAACCCAGTCATGGCTTAAATCCGATGGAAGAGAATATCTGTGGAGTAGTCCTAGTAATCAAGAGCGCATTTTTGATTTGAATAATTGATAACTTCAGACTTTGATTCTTCGCCAGCGTCCGTTTCGAACATGGGCAAGAAGAGCATCAGCCATCACAGCCTTCCGATCACTTCCCATCCACCGTTGAAACATGCAGTTAGTTCAGTACTCCCCCTTCTTCTATTTCATAATCCTCATTTAGACTTCTCAACCCCAAAAGCGAGCCAATGGAACATTCCTCCGTTCGGGGCAAGGACAACGGACAAAGTCTGTGTCGAAGGTAAGAGAAATACAGGAAAGAGCAGCATTCATTGTTGTTTTTAGCCGCAAAGAGAGCCGTCGGCGTTGTCGAAGAGTTTCTCGTCACTGGACTCGTCAAACATGTCGGTGAGCGTGGCGCTGAAGAAGATGGCGAGTGACGATTGGGCCGATAAAATTGACGGATTGAACATGATATCGGCAATGTCGGAGAGCCAGCCGAGACAAGTGGCCGACAATCTGAAAGAGGTTTTTAGTTTCAGATAAAGACGTGAGAAGAGAAAGAGAATTCAGGTGATAATAGCGATTCTGAATGAGTGCAAGAACCTTCGGTCGTCGGTGTCTCGCGTGGCGATTGTTACGATCGGAACTGTGGCACAGAACTTGAACTCGAAGATTGATACCGAAATGGAAAAGGTATTGAAATTAGAATTAGATATTTTGAAGGCTCAAATTCAGATATGTGCTGTGCTCGTGACCAAATCCGGAGATGTCTCGAACGCCTTCATCCGTGACGACGCCAACGATTCGCTGAACAAGTTGGTGAAAGCGGCGACTGCCGGAAAGGCTCTGCAAGGCATCATTCAAGCGGGAGCCAAGTAATTGATCCTCTAATCTTCCCCCCATTCTGAAATCTTACTCTCAGATCGAAAAACAGCACAATCCGTGCTTCCTGTGCCAACTTTGTGTACGATATTATCACGATCCAAGGAAGTTCCACCATTCTCAACAATTCGAATGCACTCTCCGCCGTTCTTCCGGTTCTTTTACACTTTTCGAAGGATCAGACGCCGAACGTCAGAAAGGCCGGAAAGCAGGCACTTTACTTTTTGTCAAAAGATCCCAATTTCGATAGACTTCTTCGCAAAAATGGCAACGAGTCCGAGATAAAAGCTATCAAGGAAATACTGGCGACTGTTGAAAAGAGGGTGAGATAGAATTCAATCTTACACACAATACATATTGGATTGTTCAGGGAGGCGCCGATTCCTTGGATTCCACTTCGAATCTCTCCGGTTCCCTCTCTCGGATCGGCAGTACTCGGCGAGTGCAGAAAAAGTTGCCGGACAGTCTGCAGCTGGATCTCGACGAGATTCGGACGGAGCTGTTGGCCTCCGGGTGGGAGAGAAGACTGACCGGACTGCAGAGATTCGAGGAAATGTGCTCGCACGCGGCGAAGGTGGTGGCGAGTGACACGCGGCTCATTGAAGCATTCATCGCCCGGCTGGGAGACACGAACGGAAAGGTGGCCTCGTATGCGATGGAAACCTATATATCGACTATGGGCAGCATGGCGAAGTGAGCATAATACATCGGTGACAAGAGCTCCAATTGATTTTCAGACTTTACTCGACGGAATCGAACCTGAAAGCCGTCTTGAATCAGTTGGCGTTTGCTCTGACCGCCCATCTTTCGAGCAAGTCAGAAGAGCACAAACACTTGGCAATGACGTGCATTACGCACACAATCAAGTCGATCGATCCGGTCTGTCTCCTTCCGGCGATGACGTCGGCGACGAAGAAATCGAATGTGAAGCAGAGGCCATTCATAACGACACAATACTGTGGTGAGCTCGGAACGATCCTCCCATCTGATATTCGTTTTCTTCCAGAACTGTGCAAATTGGCATACAAGAACAAGCCGAAGCAAGTGGAAGTGATGGCACTTCCGTTGCTTTGGGAATTTGTGAAAAGTACGGCAACAGATGTGGACAACAGGAAAGCGACGGAGAAATTCGCGAAGACACTCGCCAAACTGGTAACTTTTAAGCATTTCGTGGACCCTCAGAATAACGCCCTCTTTTGCAGATTGGCGAAAAACAGCTTCTCGATTTGGCGACATCTGAACTGGATCCGAATCGTAAGAAGCAGTTGGAAGCGTTGATTCGGTGATAATTGCTGTTGTTTCCGCCACTTTTACATCAGCGGGTTACTTGCTCTAGTGATGATATTATTTTAGCTTTCGTGAACCCGATTCTCTCTGTTGTTAGCTTATATTGTATTTAATAAAGATGGTTTCATGGGCCGAACGAATAACAGGCCTTGGGGGGTATTGAAAGTATCAACATCATCATCAAATTGCTTATCAAAGTGTCATTATGAAATATTCAAATGGCCAGTAAATGAAACCCATAGTATTGCAGATCAAATGTTTTCAAGAAAGAGTTCACAGCAGTCTCGCTCCAATCACGGGGACCAGAAGAGAAGTGAAGAAGGTGGTAAAAGCTGTGGACTTGGTCGTGGTCTCAAAGGGACCGGCAGTGGTCTGACCAATCACTTGTGCGTCTTCTGTAAACAAACTGATCAAAAATTCTGTCCTGAAATCAGAGTGACTCACGAATGACGAAATACTGAACGAAAAACTCTCCAGCAGTGGCTCCGTTCGATTCAATCGTGAAGTTCTGTCCGATGGCGGACGTGCTGAACCCTCTGATCTGGTCGGCCGGGTTCAGTTTGATCCCCGAGTGCTGATCGCCGTCGTTCTCCGAAAGGGATACTGTAGCAGTCACGGGCACACTTCCAACGACATTCGCTCCGGTCGTTCCGTTGTATTGAGGATCACGGGCGGTGAGCACAGTGATCTTCTTGTCGGCCTGATTGAACGGCTTCATGTAGAGACCGGTCGTGGTGAACGCACTCGTCTGGGATCCGTCAATTTCGGCTGCAAAACTGTGTTGAGGAATGCGATAGTATTCATTTTCTTACTGTATGCTGGCTCGATCACAATCTCGACTCCTTTGTAAACTTTAAGATAGAAGGCGCCCAGGCTCACCGAGAACTTTTCGACGTTTGTGAAATACCTAGAAGTCTTCAGAATGGATTGACCTTCAGTTTAGGAAAGACTTACACTGTGTCTCCATTTGGCAGAACAGCGGGATTTGAGAAGAACTGCGAGTTGGCTTTCTCATCAGAGTCTGTCGGAATTCCTTCGTAGATCGAAACAGAGGCAGCAGCGTCGGCGGATTGAGACCACGAGCTGATGGTAGTGGACATCCAGGGAAGTGTGTCAAAGTTGGAGTTCAGAAGAACGACGGTACAGTTGTCAGACGTCTGAACGCCTCCGATGTTGACCGTCTCGGCCGTCACCACGTCGTACACAAAGAATCCGTTAGAATCTGAAGATATTTTCTAAGAAAACCAGTATAATTGTTTAATGTCAACTCACTTGCAAGCTGTTGGGCAGTTGTGACATACAAGAATCCCTTGAGAGCACTCAAATCCTGATCACTGAGCACAGTTGACACGTACGCCTCCTTGTCCACTTGGAACGGTTGGAGGAATCCCGAGTCTTGGAGATATTTGTTGTTCTTCAGATCGTACAGAGACTTGATCTGATTGTCGGACGTCTTCACATAGACTTGCTTCAAAGTTTCAGCGGCATCAGAAGACGCTGAAACGTAGATGGAATACGGTCCCGTCGCGTCGATCTTCGTGTCGCCGCCGCCTTTGAACGACTTCAGATCGAGCAGTTGTTGAGCATTGGAAGGCGCGAAAAGAGCAAGGAGGAAGAGGAAAATCATGGTGATAATGGAATGCTGAAAATACCTATCAAGACAGGTTTAAAAAGGGCTGAAAAGCAAACATTGTGAAAAGTGTGATGATACTCATACTGATAAGAGGAATCAGAAAAGGATGATCGTGATTCAGAAGGATGATTCATATTATGTGGGAAACTATCATGACGCCAGCTTTGTGAAAGAGTGGAACAAAGCACAGAACGGGTATTTCTGTTGTCCCGAGAATAGTTTTCAAGACAAACCAGGGCGGTTGTAAATTGGGACATGAACCGAATGTGCAACGGAAATTAGCACTGTGCTCTCTCCACCACAACTCGCCAATGCTCATTCATGAAAACCTGCAATGTCGTTTACGCAATGGGTCGATCTCGGAAGGCGTATTGTCGATTTCGGATTCATCTCCACAGCCATTTCTGCACTCTTCTTCATCCTTCTCACTGTGTATTTCGTGAAGGAGAAGGTCGGCAGCTACCGTTACCTCCTCTTGCTTCTCCCGATCACCGGATTCTTCTTCGTCTCTTTCGAATTTCTACTAGATCCAGTAAGTATCAGAATCCCATCTTGAGGATTCGATTTCTTGCAGTTCTTCCACTCCTACAACACGGGAATCACCCTGCTGAGCATGTCGACCTCCCATTCTGTGTCCATTGAGCTCATGACCGCTCTGCTCGGCGTATACACGTGTCTCTACGCAATGACCATTTCAACTCTGGCTCTCCAGTTCATCTATCGCTATTGGGCAGTTTTCCGACCGAGATATATCAAAACGTTTTTCAATGGTGCTCGGTTTTCGTTTTCAATTGTTTATCTCCTCGTTTTCGGTGTTTTCTACGGAGGATCCATTTACACGTTCACTAGAATGGACGAATACGCGACAATGTACTTGAAAGACGATGTGTTCGAAAAGTACGGAGTATTTCTGTCCGAGCAACCGTGCCTGACCACTGTCGCTTTCGATGAGAACGGTTCACTTCGCAGGTCCAACTTTCTGGCAATGTTCGCAATCACTCTCACCATGGTATTGTCATCTTTCGAGTCTTTAATCTATCCTTATTCAGGTGTTACAATATGGTATAATCATCTACTGTGCAGTTGTGATGGCCGTCAAAATGCAAAGTAGACTGTCGATGCTCTCAGCGAAAATCCAACGAATGCACAAACAATTCTACCACGCACTTCTTCTTCAGGTTCGTCAATTCTAGATTCTTCTAGATTCTTTCCTCATTTCCAGATAGCCACCCCCACAGTGACTCTCTTCTGTCCCGTTTTCTTTCTCATCTACGCACCATACTTCAATCCGCAAATCAGTTTCCCAACCGGAATCTTTATGAGCCCTTTCGCATTTTATCCTGCTTTAGACTGTGTTATCGTCATTTATATCGCTTCATACTACAGAAACGCATTGAAGAGTTGGTGTTGTTTAAAACGAGTTTACCGTGAAACTTGCAGATCTGCTGCGGAGAATTTCGAGAAATCGTGCGAAGCCCTCTATATCTTCAGAAATAGTAGTGTACACCGGAGTTCTTCCTAGTTAACGCCCTTATTGTTTTTGTGTCTTCGACGGGAAATTGAAAGAAAGTTGGAGCAAATGCGTGTTTTTCGATGTCCATGAACTGTTCTCAGAACTGCTCAGCCACAAATGACGTACACGCGTTTTGTTGATAAAATACTTTGAACATTTTTCGCGGAGACAAAGTTCCGAGGCTATTGTAAGCTCTATTGACCAAAAGTTGAACTGAGCATCATATCTGTATTTAAAATAACACAACGATACGAATTTAGACAATTCTGAGTGTACACTCTTCTTCATGGATCGGATACGACTTGCCGCCGTATTCGACAATGGGAATTGACATGTTTCACGCAAAGCCATTTTTAACACGTTTTATTCAGACCTTATTCTGCAGATTTTTTCTTCATTCTTCCCGCAATACGTTTCAAATAACAAATCGGTTTACCGCCGTGACTAATTCCGGCAGCAACGACACTCGGGCAGCAACACCTCCACAGGGCTCCGGCGATGAAGAATGCGGAGGACGTGGTCATGTCGCAGATGTTGTCGATTCCATCGGAGCCGTTAAATCGGCGGATGGAAAACCCAAAGTGATCGTTTGATCTATAATTTGATCTCTAATTGAACTTTCTATGTACAAAGAAATGTCGTTTACTTTTTGTTTATTAATATTAATAGCGTTCAAATGATTTCAAAGTACAAGCAAGCACTTTATTCCTTGTTAGTGTCCAATCGACTGATGGTTCCCTTTACCGAGTCCAGCTCGACGAGATCGCCTGTCTTGAAGTGATGCGTGGCATTGCCGACTGCGATGAGACTGGGCAGTCCGTACTCGCGCGCGACGACCGCTCCGTGGCTAAGCAGTCCTCCGATCTCCGTGACGATTCCACTGATGATTGGGAAGAACGGCGACCAGCAAATGTCCGTGTACTTTGTGATCAGCACCTCTCCCGGCTTCGTCTCCTTCGCCTCCTCGAGCGTTTTCGCCACTCTTGCTCTCGCCCTGACCTTGCCCTCACAGACAGTTGTTCCTCGAAGGGACAGTCCGACACTTGCGTCAATTTCCTGCACTTCCACCCTAATCGGGTTCATGTATCCGTGGGCGACCAGTGGGAACTGGAGACCCTCGAACTTCGGAGAGATCTGACGTCTTCTGACAGCCCGTGACACCAGTTTCGCACTTCTTGTCTCATTCAGCTCTCTGAGTTCATTCATTGAAAAGTGCATCCAGAGGGTCGGATCAGGAAGGTAGCCCTGAAATGAAATGGTTGGCCTTTGACTATCATCCAAATGTGATATACCTTCAAATAAAGCTTTCGTCCCAAAATCCGGCAAGTCTTTCTGACAGAGTTGACGGTGGAGACCAAATGATTCTTCGCAGTCTCCCGGAACGCCACTCCTCGATGTGTTTGCCCGATGAAGTATTTGAGAAGTCTCCGTCTGATTCCGGTCGGTTTGCACTTCAGGTTGTCAATAATATCGTCCTCTTTCTCAATTGTCTTCTGAGCACTTTCCGGGCACGCCAGCATGCTTTTGATCGTGTGCACGAGCAGATCGGTGTCTTCTTCCCACGTGGCGGCGTCCAAGTACAGTTCCTTCGGTCCGCGATGTCCGTGCATCTTCAGGAATCGATTCAGTTCTTCCGCACTATTCTTTCCCTTTCGGATCACTTTCAGCGCGTCTTCGCCTTCAGAAGCGCAGAATTCGGCGTCCAATCCATCTCCACGAATCGATTTGGCCAACTTCTTCAGAGAGTTTGGCACGTCTGCACTGACGACGTCTCCGCGGGAATTGTTGGAGAACACGTTAGCAAAGTCGGAAATGTCATCTTCGGAGAGAAGACCATCTGTAAGGAATATATGCAAGTAATGTCGAGTCAAAAATAATAAACATACGATCACTGCCACGAATGAGCATTCCACAGAGCACATAAGTGAAGGTGGAGAACATGGAGAGTTCGGCGTGGCATCTGGTTGCGTCGCACCACAATTTCTCCAACTCGTTGTACCTCTCGAACACCGTCTCCAAAAACATGTTCTCATTTGGTACAAGTCTCTTCGCCTCCTCGTCTATCTTGGCGATTCTTGTCTTGATACTGTTCGAAGTGAAATAGATCAATTTGATCATAGTTCCCATCCTCTTGAAGGGAAAGAGAGCCGGAGCATTTCCATACTGATGCGCCGCTTGATTGAACATTTCCTCGTTGAAAAGGGTCTCGCCTGCGATGACAATGTCTGTGATTCGGTCCTTTTGGACGAGTTCCCAAACACGAAGGACCACTTCGCCCAGATTGAAGAAGATCTTGCGGTGTTGAACGGAAAAGCCGATGGTTGTGTGGGTGGGGATGACGTCGTTGATCTCTTGAAATGTCATGCACTGAAATGAGAATGTGCACGTACAGATTCGATTCGTGTACCCACCGAAACAACTTTATCGAACATGCTCGTCAGATTGTACGCTTCCATCGCATTCAGCGGCGCCGGCAGTACCTCTCCGACGTTTGCGTTCGTCAGAATCTCTTTGTCGTGAACGGTCGGAGAATCGTACTCGGTGTACATTTCGAACGGACTCTCCTTGTCCAATCCGGTGATGTCTCTGCTTTGCACCACATTAACCCACTGCGCTCTGGCAACGAATTCAATGTCTTGCGGCTTTCCGAATATTCTCTCCAAGTACTCTCCCACTCTTGTGAGCTTCTCAATTTGAGCATCTGTCAGACAACACTCATCAGCAGTCTTCTGAAAAAAAAATCGGTTCCCTCCAAACAGCGTGAAGCCTACATGAACGGTGACTGATCGGTTCATGCGATTGACGTGGATCTCATCTGGAGTGGCCGCGCCGCTCACAATCTGTTCTCCGCTTCCGCGCAGAGCATTAATCACAATCTCGCCTCGGTCCAACTTGACCGGATTCGCAGTGAACATGACTCCGGCCGTCCCGTTTCTGTTCATTTCCTGGATGACCACTGCCATCGAGGGGTTCAGATGCTGACCGTAATTCCTGCAAAATCATTATTAGAGACGCTTTCTTTTTTTAACCAACTTTCTATAATTCAACACTTCAGTTCTGAAGTTGGAAGCCCAGCAGAGCTTGAGTTTGTCGCTGATCTCGTTCTTCTTCACATCCAAATAGCTTTCCAGTTGTCCCGCCGACGACAGGTCGGCTCCGTCTTCTCCGACGGCCGAAGATCGGACTGCGTAGTACTCGGAACTCGGAAGCCATTCACTGATTCGTACGAGCAGATCCTCCGACACATCACTCTCGATTAACAGCTTCTCAACTCTGAAAATATTGAATTACTTCGAAGAGTATCAGGTGTGCTTCTAACCTCTTTCCGACTTCCTCGTAGTACTCTCTACTTTTATCGTAGACCTCCAGCAGCTTGATCTCCTCGCCGATCTCTCTGTTCATCCGAATGTGTTCATCGAAAGCGGCAGTGGTGACCACGAGTCCAGGGGGTACACGGAACTGAAAACAGAAGGTTTCTTCCTTGCTTCTACGTCAATTTCACCTCGTCAGTGATCGCCTGAAGTCTCGCCAGGTTTGCTCCCTTTCCTCCGGTCAATGCCTTATCCTGACTGGCCCGATGACTAAACGGAAGCACTTTTGCCAACTTCTCAGCCGTCGTTGCATGATATTCGGGGAACGAGTCAAGAGACTTCGGCGGCGAGTCACTGACAGTTTCCCGGGTTCGAACAACGAAAGCGACGCCTGTGAAGACGGCCGAGTTCACTTTGAAAGCAGTCACGTCGACGATTTTGCTGTCCTCTCGGATGAAAGTGAAATGCGAGAGCTTGTGTCCTTTTCGAATCTGAACCGGAAGGAAGGCTCCGGAAGAGACTTGGAACTCGATTGGCAGCAGGTTATCCGTCTCCAGGGAGTGCGCGTTGTCGAGACTGATCGGACGGACACAGTGATCCGCACGGAACACGATTCCATGTTGAATCGACTTCTTTTCATCGACCGAACTGACTTTGTGAGAGAGTGAGTTTCCGTCCTGGAATTAGATCAATGAGGAATTCAAAGATATATTTACTAACACTGAAGTAAGTGTGGAAGTGGGTCGACGTGGATTCAAATTCCAACGGTGTCCTATGACGTAATCCTCGGTAGCGATGTTCCACAAGTTCACCATCTCCGACCTTCACTTCCGCGTGGTATTCTCCCATCTGATGCAGAATGTTAGACCTTCGATACTTCTCGATCGTTTTCAAGTTCTCAATCAGAGCTGTCGGTTTATCGGCATAAACGTCTGCGAACGCCTTCAACGGAGCATTCGAATAGAAGAATCTGGCATTCGTGACGCACCTCCACCATCCGGAAAGTGTCACAAAATGCGCGTTCCCTTCGTTATCATTCAGATATCCACGAAAGTTGATCCTCCATTTACGGAATGGAACTCTCAGTTCCAGAATGAGCGGACCACAACTGATTGTGTTGAGATCGGAAAGAGAGGCGTCAAAGGATCCGGAGTAAAGGATTCCATTTTCGAATAATTGAAAGTGCGCCGTGTGAATTCCGTTGTTCGTGATTATTTGAATGTAGTAGAAGCTGTCATCCTCTCCGGACCCGCTGATTGTGAGCAGTTCTTTGTCTTTGACGTACTCCAGCGCACATTCCTCTTTATCCGGATTTATGATATCTCGAATTTTAGCCGATGGAACTGTGAACTTTCTGCAACATCGAACGATTGGGGCTCTTTTCTGAACTCTGGCCTAAGATTTCAGTAAAAAAGAGGCTACAATATAAACACATATTCATTTTCTGCCGGTCAAAGTACGAACAGAGCGGTCTCTCCTTTTTCCTTATCATCTCATAGTTTCTGCTCATCTACGGAAACAGAGTGTCGCCAAACAACAGAATAATTAACCCCAATCGGTTTCACGTGATTCGCAGTCTCCCAACTCACCTGACGGGCCGTTTCCATTTGAGAATAAAATAGACCAGCGGATACAAAATGTATGTGCAGAAGGGCGAGGCCAGCAGCATGAGCACGAAGAGGATCAGCATTTCTGGCTGAAAAGAAGTAAGAGGTTGATAATACTTATAAACGAGGGACGTCGTGGATTAAGCAAATACGCTTGCATTATCATTAATGATTCATTATTCTTAGATCTAGCTTGGTTGCATTTGATAGCTGAGCATTATCAGCAGTTTGAAAACACTAAAATGAAAGACCGGCCAGACATTTCATAGATATATAAGAAATAAAATTTCTCCAGAAGGAATTATGAAGCACATCTGCTTAAAAGGGAGTCCAAGTGTGCCGTCTCAACGAGAAAACGGGAAGACAGATAAACCACTTTCTGATAAGGACACAAGACAAACCACACTTTCTCGGGAAAATTATCAGAAATCAATCGATAAACTCTTACCTCTTCGAATGGTGATATCCTGAAAATACTCGCATCAAACGGAGACTGGTCTAATTGGCCGTCGGCTGCGGCTAATTCGCATAATAGTCGTGTTTTCTGGGTTATATGATACACAAAATTGACTTTATACGGTCATTACAAATACACTAAAAAATCGGAGGTTGTGATTCTCTCTTCCTAGACGATAAGAAGACGTTCGGATGCGGCGGGCCTAGTGATGGGCATCGTCGTGGCCGTGATGGCCGTGATGGCGGTACTTGTATTGCAGTCGCTTCTCCTCGGGCACGGCGAAATCGTATACTACTGTTCCAGCCTGCAGTCGTTTGGATTAAAAAACGTATTTTGCTACAAGTTTACCTTGATAATTCCGAAAAGAAGTGCAAGTCTCCACACAACTTTCAGGTACTGTCCGTACGGGGATTGACGGAAGAAGTCTGGGTTCTTGTTCTGAAATTTATTGTTCATGGCTCACAAAAATTGTACTACTTAAAAAAAAACTCACAATGGCACGGTAAGCAGCGGTGGCCTCCTGCTTGGCTTCTCCGAAAAGGAACATTTTCGGCATGTTGTTCACATTATCCCATTTTCCTTCGCTGCCGAGTCTGTTGATCTCCTTCCAAACGGCTTGCGATTCGCTGAAAACTTTGTGATTTATAGACGAAATCAAGTCGACAAGTGTGGAAACGTACTGAGAATGTGTGGAGGCTTGACGTGCGGCAATACGAGCCACTTGGCGACCAGCTTGAGACAAGCCTGACATGGCGATATCACCTGGAAGTTTAAAAAAATCATTGACCAGCAGCAAAAGGAGGAGAAAATCAATAGAAGATTGAATAACAGGTAATTGGAGCTTAACGCTTTAGATATTTACAATTTCTGAAGCATGCCAACGTGTTCTGAACTCGAAAACCTAATTTCCGTGGGGGAACGGTGGAACAACAGCGGTAAAAAATTTTGCCCGGGCACGGAGAGCGCGTCAAACGAGCTGGTGGCGCGCAATCTGCAGCGTTGACGTGTTTCTCGATTTTTTCGACTGCTAAATTTGAGTTGTGACGCAGCAAATTTTGTGTTTTGTGCTTCATTTTTCAGTCAAAAAGTTTAAAATATGCAGAAATGAGTCACACGATTCTCCTGCTCCAGCCAACAGACAACATCGAGTCAAGATCCTGGTCGGATTACGAGACGACTAACGACTGCCTCGACGGTATGCATTTCTCTACTCTTTCATCGTTTATATTCGACTGCTTCAGGGATCTGCAAAGTGTACGAAGAGTATCTGAAGAAGAAGACGCCCGCGAAATCGACCATCACCTACGACATCACCAATCTGTTTGAGTTTGTCGACGATCTCAAAGATCTTTCGATGCTCGTCTTCGACACTGTGAGATACTTAACTGAATTTTTCTTTTCTAATGCAGCATGTTGTTTTTTTTAAGAACACGTTCACGTACGTGCCCCGTAACAAGCAGTTCGTCAAGGAAAGTATTTTCAAGTTGATGCAAGGGCGTCTCAACGAACAACAGTGATCTCCGTCTTCCGTTCAAGGGTCTCTTTCCTTTTGCTCTCTCCGTCTACGGATCATTCCTTAGTTTTAAAATGGACTTAAAAAAGATTTTTCCACAATTCAATCCAAACATTTCGCATGAACATCACTATTCTCTTCTACTAATGCAATGAATGCTTTATGTAAATTTTATGCTTTGCTCTACGCTTCGTTTTTGAACAGAAACAGTTGGATCTGATGTATATTGTTATTTAAATCCCTATTCTTCTTTTTGGTTTCAAAAACAAACGTTTCAGAATGATGGTGTCGCCTTCTCCACAAGAGAATGCCGTGTTCACCGCCGATACGGAGCCCGTCTACGAACGTAAGTGATCGGATCGCTCAGGGATTCGAGAGTCGGTGAGGTTCTTCAGATCAAGCCGCTCTCGTCTCTTCTCCATTCTTTGCTGATGAAGCATCTTTCGATATTTCTTTCGCTGCAGAAGCCACCGACGAAATGACGTTCAACGACTCCACGACGAGCAAGAGAGGCGAAGAAGTTCCGGCGGAAGCGTTGCAAATGGTCGAGATTGAAAAGACGGCGAATGGTATTTCTCTAACGTTGTGAACTTTTTTTTATTATTTCAATTTCCAGGCTTCGGATTCAATATAGTTGGCGGAATAGACAATCCTCATTTCACCGGAGACATTGGAATATACGTGTCTTCAGTGAACCATCAATCAAAATCGTTTGGAGTCATTCAGACTGGAGACAAGATTTTATCGGTTTTATAAATGCACCGAAACAATCAATTTATCTTAAAACGTTCAGTTCGACGGTATTGACATGACATACAAGACGCACGATGAAGCTGTCGACGTGTTTCGAAGTATGAAAGTCGGCCACGTGGCGAAAATGCTCATCGACCGCGAGTACGTTCTGCTCCAAGAGGACCGTACTCAGTCTTCCGCGACGCCTACGCGAAGCGTCTCTGAGAACGTTTCGGGTCCTGTCACTCCACAAACGGAAAGCACTCAAAATCAGACGCCCAAATCGATTCCGCTTTCCGAATCGAAAAGTCGACTGACTGCTCATGGATTCTCAGCTGTCATTGAAAGGTACAGGAGGAAGAAGTCAAAAAGGAAAAACAACAAATTGATTTGACAGAATCCGCGGAAAAGTGTATGAGGAGGAGGATGCGCAGAGTGTGACGTCATACGCGCCATCCACACACTCGATCATTGACGACGTTCCGAGAACGCCGCGGAAGCCGCTCAGCCTTCTCGACCCCAGAAAGTGCGTTTCCTGAGGGATACGCTCTGATATTTTTCTGATTTTCAGTAACTCTTGGATAACGGAAGCTCTCTACGTCTCAATCGGATTGGGCGCTCTCACCCTTTCGGGCTTCCTCGTCTACAGATTCATCAAAGGACGCAAGTGATGCGCTATCCCTCTCAACCCCACAATACTTGTATCATACCCCCTCTGTGTGTTCCTTTTTCTTCTTCTCCTGTTTCACTTCATGACAATATTATTATGGTGCTAAAAATCTAATGTGAGACGTAGCTGAATAGAGAGGCGTAGCAAAACGAGAGGTATCCGATAGAACCCAGTTTCAGTAATAATATTTCTATTCCTTTCTCCATCCTTTTTTGACCGCTTTTATCGACTAGCGGTGGGAATTTCCACATCGTTCTCTCCCTGCATCTCCACTTTTTCGTCGTTCTATCAATCGCACAAAGTGCTGCTCAAGTACCATTTGCATTTCGCTCTTTTTGGTGCCCATAATGAATTCGATGCATTCGTTTCGCTCTCTTCTTCTCCGTTTTCAACTGTTTCGTTCAGTACCCTTTATCTTTTTGCGAAGAACTTTCTACAGATGTTTTCAGAGATAAATTTCCAGAAATGACTCGAAAATGAAAAAGACGGAAGAGCGGAAAGTGAGCGGTGCGGGGCTGCTGTCCGCCAGCTCATCGAGGACGTCACTCAAGTTCCCGACGGAAGCCGGCTACCCGAGGACATGCGATCACTGCCACGGCGACCTGACGCTCGAGTTCCAAACGTCTTCCGAGTTTGCACGACACATTCGGCAGGACCACACGACGCAGGAAGGCGGCAGTTTCCTGTGCAGGTACTGCGAAATCTCCAGAATATTACAGAACAACCCAACTTCTATTCTCAGATACGGAGAGCACGGGGTGTGTCAGAAGTTGCCGTTAGAAGGAGTGTGCGACGAAGACTTTGAAGCACACATCCGCCGATGTCACACATCTTCGCAACCCGGCCGACAGCCTAGTCCGACGTCGTCAGGAATCGCGAGCTGGGCGGAGGAGAGCGACGCGGCCAGCCTGAGGAGTGTCCGATTGACGAGCGAAACGCCGACGAGAGAGAAGAAAAAATTCACATTGCACAGGTAATATTCAAATTTAGATTCATTCGGAAACAGGTAAACAGCATCACAGGTTTCGAGTATAACACGGGAATGAGAGAGGGACAAGTGAGAGAGGAACCTGAGTAAAATAGCTAATTAAGTATTCGATGGGGAGACGGAGGAAACCCGGTAATTGTGCTGATTTGTCTAGACGACTAGAAGAGTTAGTGGCTGCCTTTCGGGTTGGTGTTGTATCCCGGTGGATGGGATCCTTCCTGAAAATAATCAATTTGTAGTTGAGAATCATATTTTGAAAGGTCAGAAAAAGAAAAGTGGTGGGTGAAGTCTCTCAGCGTGTGATGCTTGCCTTATCGAGTGAAGCCTGACGCGAGTTCGGTTTCGAGCCCCTCTTTTGCTGTTCGGGTGATCCGCCTTGGAATAAGTCGGCGAACGGATTCTCGGCCAACGACATTTTCTTTCTTTCCTGTCCGTTGTCGATGGTGAAGTCATCATGCTCGTCCTGTGCGGTGAATAGAAATGGTGGAAGTTATCAAAGTTTGTGTTCAAATCAGAAAAGTGACCTAGTTGAGAAAATGTGTGTTTTGTGGACAGGATAGAGTGGGATAGGAAAGAAGTGACGAGATCAAACTCACTTTCAACTCGGGTTTTAACGTTTTCGTTCTCATTTCTTAGCCGTCTACAATATTCATAACATCCTGATTGTGTGTCTCAACCAACCCCGCCCACTCACTCACCTTCTTATCAAACGTGTTTCCTTTTTTCAAAATCTTTTCGTTCACGATCTTCTTTGTGAAGTAGGTGTATGAATACGTTACGAGCTGAAACATTAGATTGCAACATGAGCGGATAAGATAGTTCTCACCTGGATGAGGGAAAGAATCGAAAGTCCCAGCCACATTCCGATGGATCCTCCAAGAGCGGCAATGAACGTGGGCGTAGTATACTTCCATTGCTGTTCCATTGTCAAATACTCGAATGGTCCCCATGACAGTTCAACAAGAGAGAGGTCGGGGCGGAGCATTCTACCCTTGACAGAATGATCCACTTCGAATCGGATTTGGCGGCAGTCCGGGAAGCACTTGCTGGCACAATCGGTATCCGAATAGTTACCCTTTTGAACACTAAAAAAGAGCTGTTTTGAAAGTGTGATTATGAGATGACTAACTCGACGGTGCATTGAGTGTAATCGCAAAGAGGGAAGATGTCCAAGTCTTCCTTCTTGGCCAAGTAACTCAACGAGAGTGGCGTACAGTGGCAAGTGTCACGAATCATCTCCATACGGCATCTGGAGCGGCAGTTAAACTCGGTATCCTCTCCTTCTTCCACATCTCGGCATCTCGTTCCTTCGTCGTCGTTCTCCAACATCTGATAAAGTGCAGTCACGTGCACAGTAACTTCGTGGCGTTGTCCCAAGCAAAGCTGAAATAAACTATTCCTCTAGTTTTTCCCTTTCTGAATAACCTCATCAATGAATCCGTCTCTAGAGCGTCCCTTTCCTTCCATAAATCTGTTCAAAGATGACGGTCTTCCGTGCAAATCGACCGACATACAGTCAATCTTCTGGTCCTCGGTGTTCTCCGCGTTGTGCGAGAGAAGCATGTCGAAGAACACACCCTGATCATCGATAGTTTTGAAGTTTTCCTCATCGAACTCCGGCTGGTAGCAGATTTGCATCTGGGATATCCACGAAATTCGAAGTTTCGTCTTGACGACCGTCTCATCCTCGTCGAATGTGCGTCTTCTGAATCTCTGCATTGAACGACGAAGAACCTCGATACCAGTTTTCTGGGTGAACTCTTCGAAGGTCACTTTACGCGAATCAAGAATATCTCGCCACTTCTTGAACGTCTTTCGCTTCGCTGCCAACCTCGGAGCGTTCTTGAAGACGTGAATGGAACGAGCAGAACCGTGAGCGGTCGTCTCTCGCTCCAAACTACTGTACGTGGCTATCATATCGTACGCTTCCATCACAAGTCGATAGTCCCAAGGGCTCTTCATGAACGCGTCGTGATCAGTCATGTTGGCGAGGCTCTCGTCCACGACCGCATCCCACTCGTCGGCCGGAGCAGTCAGGTTCAGCTTGAAGTGAGACCAGGCTTGCTGACGAGACATGCAGAAAGTGACATTCGGCATGGTCATGGATTCGTTGAAAACGATGTTAATGTCAGATTCTTTCGGCCACTCGAAGTACTCCTCGAACTGTAAATAGAAAACTGGAGTTTCGCGAAAGAACGGAAGAGAGATACTGCCGAAGGTTAATGTGATAATGAGAAGTAATTAAAGAAAGAATTCACCAGATCGAAGACGTCTTTGACGGTGAGAACGGCCAGGAAAGCGACGATGAAGATGAACGCGTACTTTCTGGCACGTCTTCCGAAGATAGCATCCTTCCACGTGCTCGGCTTGTCCTCCTCCACACGCGGATGAGGATCATTCACGTCGTGCATCTCGACTGACGTCGAGTCTTTTACTTTGGCACCCATCCTGAAGAAAAAAAACTTGATGTGAAGTCAGTAAATGGGGACGTAAATGAAGGGCGATGTGAATGGGAACGACTCTAAACATCTGCCTAATTTGGGAACTTTCAAGTGTTTACTGGGTTGAAACAGACGGGAAGGCGGGCAGTTCCAGTCTAGCAACTCGACTGATTAGATGGAGTCGAAAAGAGACGTCGTCAAACGGACAGGAATGACGGTCAAAACAGTAATTCGAATTATTGGTTTTGTGAGCGTCGAAGTAGGAAAAGACGAAGAAGAAGAAGGAGGGCTGACGCTGATGGTCACGCCTTCTTCTCCATCTTCTTCTCCTTCTCGACGATTCATCGAAATAGAGCGAGAATTGAGGGTCATCACTGGCTAGATAAAGAACGAAAGTAGAGGAATCCGATCTTGTTCTAACTGCTAAACTTGAAACCAGGATTTTAAAAAGTTGCGAATTCGAAAATGATAAGTAGGAAGTAAAGGAAGCGAGACGAACGGTACCCCCGCTGGGAGGAGGGAACCTGATTTTGATAGACGGAAGAAAAGGAATGCGAAAAGAGACCTGATATCAACAAAAACCCGCATTTCTACAGTGTACAAGGAAGACAGTTTTTGACGTTTGGAATCAGTTCTGGCGACAAGATTAATGGATTGGAAAAACGAATTGCAAGTTTGGTGTACCCTATGACCTGTTATCTGAAGGAACGCCGTGTACAACTATCAGGAAGTTATGAATTTCAAGTTAACTGATCACGACGCAACAAGTCCACCATTTCCGTCATTTGAATTAGTGTTATTGTTCCGAGAGGTCTCTGATCCACTTGTGCCACGTCATAATGAGTTGCCCTAATGAGTCGGAATTGACGATGATCAGAAAGAAGTGAAAGTTGTGTTTGGACCTCTGTCGAACAGTAAATGGGTGCTGACGTCTCGTGATTTCCAAGTACTCTTAGATTGAATGAGTCATTTGACCTGCTTCAACCGGATACGGTAGGCTTGATGCCCCTGAGAATTCGATAGTTTGAAACGTTAACCTGGTCTTCAAAGTGAAATCAGCTGCATTTCCAACCGATTAGGTTTTTTTCAAAGTTCACTTTTCTGCTTGATTTCCGAGAATCGCCGCCCGATAGAGTGTAACCTCTTCTCCCTCTTTCGCCTCATTTTCTGTTGATTTCCATTGGTTTTGCAATGACCAGTGGCAAAGACGGCGTCGTCGTCCCGCAAAATCAGTCGTTATCAGTTGACAGAAGAGACAAAAGTTATGGTGATGCGTGAGGAAGACGATAGTTGGGCAAGAAAAAAACGGAGAGACAGATTCGGATGACCTTTGGTTTGAATTTGATACCGAAAATGGGAAAGAAAGAGGGAGTGAGAGAGAGAGAGACTCTGTCAAGAACAGCGAACCGAACGGAATTCAATGTCATCGTCGAATTTAAAGTGAATACAGTTAGAACGAAAACATAGAAAGTTATGATGAATCCCTCTTAAAATTGTATGTTTTTCATTTCAGTTTCACCCAAAACCTGTCAGCCGTGCTTGCCGATCCGACTCGCTCCAGAAATGACATGACGACGTTCTTCACGCGTCACTGGGGAGACACTTTTGTGCCGACGCAGCCGGTGCCCCATTCACGGAGACTCGCGAGGATGGTCGACGCGAGCAATGATAGCTACTGTCAGGCGGTGTCTGAAGTGGGCGAAAAGAGCAGATCGGACAAGCAGGGAGCAAATTGGATTCTTTGCAGGCCTTCACGAGATATCACGCGGCGAAACGGTTATTGCGGCAGAGCCACGGAGAGGAAGGACTCGGAATGGGCGACGGAAGATATGATGCCGAGGATCTGCCAACGGTAAGCGAAACAAAAAATGAGTCGCAGTGTTTTCTGCTTTCTGCCCTCATTCAATTTCTCGAAGTCTACAAGGCGTGAAGAAATTTCAAGCACTATTAGTCTATTACCACCTTGAAACTGGTTGTCAGAAGGCAGAACGTACCTGATTAGTCGCCTTTTCCGCTGCTCCTCGTGATACGCCTTCTCATCCTCATAGATCGTCTGGCCTATTGCCATAATCATGGCGGCTGCTTCTTCAGATTTCTTCGTTTCAACAGAAATGTCGTGTGAACAGTTTGTAGTTTTCTTTTTGCAGTTCTCGGCCGTCTTCTCGCATAATTGAATATGTAGAAACAGTAGGAAGTGAGTAATTAGAAAAAGAATAGCTTGAATGTTGACATTCAATAATTGAAAACGGCAAAACAGGTTACAGAGGAATTTGTGAAGTGTGATTGAGCTGAAGTCGCAGTTGTTTCTGTGATACTCTTTCGTTCCTTCTTCTTCTTCTTCTTCTTCTTCTTCTCCTGTTGCTGCCGCTGTCGCTTTACGGCGGATAACGAACAGCCGGACGAGGAGTGTGATCAGAGTGAGACGGAGAGAAGAGAGCGGAGCAGACGGGAGGCCGGGTATCTGAGTCACGGGAACAGGCAGCACAAGCACATCCGTTTCGTGTTTTGTTGTGGTCACACTGACAAATTGGAGAATACCTTTTGGCACAGGTGGGCTGACTGATTCGAAAATATTTTGGAGAGGAACCCGGGGCTTTCTGGCTGCTCTGCTGCCGAAATTTATGAATACGGCTGTGGAACTGTATCATGCCTAGTGATGTGTACTACAAAAACCAAAAATGTAGCGAATCCATCAGAACTGTGCAGGATATGAACCAAAAGATCTATTCATAGCAGCCTTGAAATCTCTCGTTTCACATTTCGGCATTCCGCTCATTTTCCTTTGAAATCGAGTACTCATGAATCGGCGATCATCTGTATCCACTTTCCGCCCAATAACCATTAGCATGAACGAGGAGCCACTGGAAAAAAGTACGAAATTCGAGACGAACGCATTTCGGTCAGCTGTTCTTTCGCTATTATCAGCTAGTTTGTTCGTTGCTTTGCCATCCCTTCCGCCTCGTTTTTCACAGTGAGTGAGGGTGGAAGAAACGGACAGCTGACGTCTCATAAACGACTCAAAGCTCATCGAGCTCAGCTCATGGAACGGCGACTTTCCGATTGAACAGGGAGCCATCAATAATAATCTTTCATCAATAATCTTTCAAAGTTTTCAGATATTCATCGATCCTCGTTTCTCTCTGAATGACTCCTCCACGTTCTCGGATGTTTTTACGATCCCGCCAAATGAGAATCTGGATGCGCTGAAGCAGACGTTGTCGGGAAAGAATGTGATTCCAGCGACTCCTTATCAAGTTACCACTGACAAAGTGAGAATAAACATTCGCACGTTCATAATCTTTTTGCTTTTTTAAGGAACCAGGTGCATTCCGAGACTATGAAGGTCTCCAGAAAAGGCTGGAAATGATGCACGACGTTGTCGATCAGAGACTCGCTCGGAAGCTCGTAACGAAGAAAGACGACTTCTGGGAGGTTGTCAACTCGTACAGCGGACTCCAGGAGCAGTTGGCAAAGGCGTTGGAGTGTGTAGTGGTGGTCCGGAAGAATCTGAAGCACGTCGACGAGCTCGTCTGCGATCAATCGAAGCAGATTGTGGCGGTGCATGAGAAGTACGAGCAGAAGAAGAATCTGTTAGCCAAGCTGCACGACATCGCGTGTCTTCGGGAAGCACAGTCCACTGTTCAGATGATGTTATCGCAAGGAGACTATCCGAAAGCCATCGAGTGCATCGAGACAAGTTTGGACGTACTTTCGAAGGAGCTGAATGGAGTCACGTGCTTCCGACACCTCGCTTCACAACTCCGCGAGCTCTACAGTGTCATAGGACGGATGATGAACGAGGACTTTGCGTCGTTGATACAAAAAGAGCTCGGAGTGAAGCCAGAAGCGGGAACGATGATTCAGGCAGAAGGAGAACTCTCGGCCGTCCTGCTCGGGCTCATGAGAATGCGAAAGTACACGTTCATTTCAGTGCTACGAGAGGAGATTGTGGAAGGAGTGAAGAGTGTAATGAGACACGTAATCAAGAGCCAAATACTGAACAGCGGCGTTGATCTGACCGGGTTCGATCCGAGTTTGACACAACTTGGAGAGCCGGTGCGACGAATGAAGCACGTGGATTTTCTGAAAACAGTACGAGCTGTCATGGACGAGGAGTTTTTTTTCTGCAAAAGACTCGAAGCTCTGCAAGATATCCTTCTGGAAACCGCCGAAAGAGCACAGCCACTGAAGCGAGGAGGATCGGAAGACGTCATCATTGAAAGGCTTGAAGAGGCGAACGTCTATCATTCTGACTCGGACGATGATGCGGATAATGCAATGAACCGATCCGGAGGGTTCGCAGTCGGATCGGCAAACGCGTCTACTGCCTCGGCCACCACTCTTCTCTCGATCGAAGTCAGATCAGAAGCATTCCTGCGCCGAGTCCTCCCACTCATCGCAGAGTTCGGACACCAATGTGCTCAACAGAGAATCTCCCGTCTTCTGATGGCTCGAGCCAAGAACACAGCAGTGACGGAAGCGACGACGCCCACGGAACTGTCAGAATGCATCGCTCTGGTCAAGGAGTATCAAACGAAGTGCGACGCGGAAGGATGGTACTCGACTCAAAACCAACGAGTCGGAGGGCTCGGTCGTGCAATCAACAAGCTCTCGATGGACTACATTGAGAAGTTCCACGCGGCACGCAAGACTCGGATTGGATGCATGCTTGACACGGAACTGTGGAAGGCGGTGGAAGTGTCGATTGTGGATCAGAACATGATTGATGTGGCATTGGAGACGGGAGAATTGAGGAACACGAGAAGACGCATCGACGACAGCGGACAGAGGAAGATTATGAAACGGACGGAGAGCAGTGCGACGATCGATTCAGGCACCGCCATGTCGAGCATCATACAGGGAGCCATTGTGGACGAAGAGAGCTACGTGGTGGTCGGATCGTCGATCACAATGCTCCAAGTGCTGGCCGACTACTGCGAAGCCATCTCTGAAATGCCGCTGTTTGCACAAGACTGGAACTCTCGCGTCATCGAGCTGCTCAAGAACTTCAACAGTCGGTGCTGTCAACTAATTCTCGGCGCCGGGGCGCTACAACTCGTCGGTCTCAAGACTATTTCTGTTCGCAACCTAGGTAATCTTTCTTCTTTTAATCCGATTGATTCTCTAAATTCCATCTTTCAGCCCTGGCCGGTCGTTCTCTCGAACTGGTGTGTCGGTTCATTCCTCTCGTGCACGACGAAATGAATCGAGTGCTTTCGGCGGACCGGAAGTCGCTTCTCCGTCATTATAAACAGGTCGAGAACGAGTACCGAGAGCACGTGAACGAGATTGTCGCCAAGCTGATCAGTGTGATCGACCATTACACGAACAACTGCCTTGAAGGCTGGACCGTCAAAGGAGTCATTCCGTCGCCCGAATTCCAACAAATCTGCCGACACATTCTGAAGTTCCACAACGGATTGACGGGAATAATGCCGAGAGAGCAGATCGAGTTGCTCTTCCGACGAGTGCACGACAACTTCAAAGTCAATTTGCGAGACCAGGTCAACAAGCTAGGCGTCACGCCCCACGACCCATTAAAATACGGGTAAGTCTTTAGAAGGTTGACGCCAGAAAAAATAATTGTTTCAGATATGTAACCAAGGACTACATGTACTATCAACAGAACATGCAGAGTATGGAAAACTGCCGAAATCTGGAGCTCGAATCCCTCAACGATATAATGTTCGATTAGATTTTTTTGTAATCTATTTTTTTCTCATTTCATTTCATAATTTTGGTTCACGCTGGGCTTTCTTCTACGACATATAGACTGTGATAGATTACGGTGATTACCCCTCTCGTTTGTCCTTTGTACCCATTGACGATGTACCCCTCCGACTGGTTCTCTTTCTTTTTTAAATTTCCCTCTTAGCCATTCCTTTTACTGCTGGGCGAGCTTTATTTTTTCCTCGTTTGTGTAATTCATTTTGTGATAGTGGTAATTGGTTTGCATGTACAAAGAAACGGTTTATAGAGTAAATAAAAGCAGGAGAAAAGCAGTGTTAGTAGAGCATTGGGGGGAAAAGTTAGTAAGAAAGTAGAGGAAATGTGAGTGCTTATCGCTTGTTGATAAGGTTAAGGAACTCCTCGCGGGTCTTCGGGTCGTCACGGAACACTCCGAGCATACAGGAGGTTGTCGTCGACGCGTTGATCTTCTGAACTCCGCGCATCACCATGCACATATGGCTCGCCTCGATGACGACGGCCACTCCCGAAGGCTGCACCGCCTGGACCATCGCGGTGGCGATCTGCTTCGTCAGCCGTTCTTGCACTGAAATGAGCCGAGGTGTACTTCCTCGAGAAACGGATTGGATTACCTTGAAGACGACGAGAGAACATCTCGACAATTCTAGCAAGTTTTGAGAGTCCGAGCACTTTCTTGTTGGGAATGTAGCCGATGTGCACCTTTCCCATGAATGGAACCAGGTGGTGCTCGCAAAGAGAGAACATCTCAATGTCGCGCACGATCACCATCTCGTCGTGGTCCTCGTCGAACACCGCCTCGTTCAGCAGCTCTGCAAGAAAAGCGGATCTAGATGAGCAGCTCCGAGCACCGCCTACCGTCGAGCTGCTCGTCGTATCCTTTGGTGAAGGCCATCATGGCCTTGGCGGCACGTTCCGGAGTCTTCAAAAGTCCCTGACGGTTGATATCCTCGCCTGAAAAGCAAAGAGTGTGGGAAAGTTCCCGCCGCGTGATTCATGGTCCTCATTCTGATTCTGATTCTCATCATGGGAATGTGTGTGTGTGTCACTAGTCTGGATCGTATTCTCATAATCAACCCGGAAAACCATAGCGCAAAGATCACCCTAACCAACTAATCTTGTTCGTCACTTTTGTGATAAGAAATTGACGAAAAAAGAGAGGAAGACCGAAGGTTATCAGTTCCAGTTGACTATAATCGGCGACCGATTAATCCGCAAACCAACAGACAAAGAGCAAGAAACTTACCGACGTGCTGGATGATGCTCTGGTAGGCGTTGCACATCGACTTCAGATGATCCTCCTTCGGAACGTCTCCGTTTCTCTTCTTCGAATCGAGCACCTTGTCATCCTCGGAACGATCGCTGGCTGCGTCGGAGGAAAGGAATCCGCTCTCGTTCTCGACACGCGACATGCTTGGGAAATAGGAATAGGACAAGTCTGGAAGGATTGAGCAGTCAGAGTATGGAAAGGGAAGAGGTGTAGGCGGGTACGGCCATAATTGCCGGATGAAACCGAATCCCCTCCAGGTGAATAGGGAAGAAGGGAAAAGAGACCACGTCATAAAATAGAGGGAGAAAAAGAATAAGAAGAAGAAGAAGAAGAAGAAGGAAGAAGAAGGAAATCAATCTTAGCGATAGACTCCATTCTTTCCCACTTATGGGAAAAGAAAATGAACGATGACGAAAAAAAGAGCGAATAGAAAGAAACCCGGGGAAACGGAAGACGTCGCCACATACATCAATCGTTTCGGCCGTCGTCATTTCCTAACGTCTTCTAGCTTCAGGCCCCATGAATAAATGCAAACAAAAGGAACGCGTAACAAAAAGGAATTGATTAGGAATTGACGAGGGACAAGAGGAGGAAGAAGAAGAAGAAGGAGAAAGAGGCGCGGACTGGTCTGATCGTCGTCTTCTTCTTCTTCTTCTTCTTCGCCGTCGTAAATCACTGACAATGATCGAGGCGTCGCTCACGTGCACTTGGGCACCTCTTCAGATGACTACTATCAGTGTATCAAAAAATTGAGAAAAGAAAGTGAGAGAGAGAGAGAAGGAATTGACGTCGTTGAAACAGTTAGGAGAGAAGTTTGTCGAGATCAAACCGACATCATCTGATTTTTCTGTTTTGATGATGTCGATGATGACATTAGAGAACGGTTCCAAATGGGCGAAAAAGAATATGTTCTTATAGGGAAGGACGGTTCAAACTGCTGAATTTCCAGTTCTCCACCATCAGATTGTGTCCCGGTTTGGGCACAAGTTGGGGGGAACGAGCGCGAAAACAAGTGCGCGGAGACCGAAACTTGTACCGACGGGACCAATTCGGATAGATATTGTACAGTTCTAGAAATGACGAGGGCATGTGAATCGCATGTCGACTGGAAAACGAAATGATCACGAACTTTGAGATGGCACACGGCCCATTTTATAGCGAGTTCATTGTCATCGCATGATAAAGTGGTTCAGGAACTCTGCATTGTCACCCAGTTGATAAGCGAGCGTTTTTCGGGATTAATTAGATGACGACAGAGTGAGTTTGCGGCAAAGATTGCGTCAGAAACGGAGAGAAGAAGAAGAAGAAGAAGAAGAAATAAGCGAGCTAGAAAAAGAAGGTACAGTGGAGCAGGCTGCTCATGATGATTTTGAGAACGGTGCACGAAGGATTAGGCGGCCCTTTTGATTGAAACGATGATTTTAACTCTCTCGGAGAGTACTGTAGAAGTGCACACTTTGCCGATTGTTTGAGATTTCCTGAAACTTGAGCCCAATGTACTTCCATCCAAGTCCGTGAAGCTTGCAAAGTTTTGGTCCGATCGGATAATTGCAAGTGGGCCAGAAGTCCAGGCCTTTTGGTCCGCCCTGCGAATTCCCATTATTTACTTTCTTTCCGTTTGTGCTCATTGACTTGTTGAAAGTTCAAAGACGTCACATGTCTCCAACAGTTAAGACCCTTTTTATCAGAGTTCAATACCCAAATTTTTGTTTCGATACTCATTTTTTCTTCCAAAAATGTGGGAAAAGGCACGTTTCAAAAATGATCGGAAACATTTTGAAATCAATCCGATTTGGAACATAATCCGCGTATTTCAGACAAATAAAAACAGAAAGTGCCAATCAATCAGCAAGATACTTTCTGTTGTTGAAGTATGGGGCTCCTCGCAGAATTTCGATTCCAAAAAAATGTTACAGGCACCCACAAATTCTGAAAATAAAAGGAACAATCTAGAGAAAATGTGAAAAATATCGCAAAAAACTATAATAGAAGAGAACCCCAATACCGTTTTTTTCAGTCCGTTATATCTCAGCTGCCTGTTAAGATATCAAAAAAGTGTTAACTAACGAATTGCTCACTAAAATATTGTGTACATTTTTTCAGTTGACCTCTTTTTGATATCTCTACAGACAACGTTTCTGTCGACTACGTAAACTGTTCGTCTCCTGGTATCTACTATGAGTAATTCAGTGATCCGTCGATTCCATTTCCTGGAACACAGAATTCAGTCGCCAACACAATTGGTGCTGAGAAAAAGGCGAGTCTCTGACTTCGCTCTATCATTATCCAGTTACTGGGAATTGCATTTTTTTCGTGTTTTCATTCTCGCCTTTCCTGCAGACATTCGTCTGATTCCCGATGAGCGACGCCCCCGGCTACCTTTATTTAATTTTGATTTCCATCCCATTGTTCAATATTCTCGGTCATTTCGGGAACGCTAACATGGTCGCATTATACTTGAGACAGAATAAGTGCAGAACAAATTACGGTTGAAGAGCAACTTTGGAAGTTTTCAACGGAAACGCTTTTCAGGTTCTCTTCTGACGTTACTGTGCATTTGTCAAAGTATTTGCCTTGTGTTCGAGTTTGCGAACATTGCGTTCGCTGTGAATGGTGAGCATTCTGAAGAGGCGTGCATTCTGATGATCACATTCATTTCAGCCTACTTCTTCGATCATCCAATCTACCGCTCCACCTGTTTCCTAGTCATTTTCCCGTACGTCTTCTTCAACGTCTTCCAAGCGGACGTCGTCGCCGCCATCTCCGTCGACTTCTTCCTCTGCGTTTTCTTTCCGCTACAGTAAGTTTAATAATAGAGTGCTTGTCAGTCGATGATGAAATTCAGATACTCTCACTTCAACAGGAAGCTCTACATTCCGCTACTTTTGTTTTTTCCATTCGCTCACGGTGTCTACGTTGTTCTTTGCGGCTTTATTTACATGGACGATCTGCAAATCAGAGTGACCTTCTTGTCATTCACTCATTTGCACTTTCTATTTCATTTTCCAGTTCTGCAACCCACCGTCTGCACTGAATCTTCGCGTGAACTCTATCAATTATACCATTCTGCTCGCAGTCGCCTCTGTTACACTCCTTGCCTACACCGCATCTTTCACCAGTTTATATTTCAAAGGTAAATGGAACTATCGTAAAAACTGTATACTGTGTCCATTCTAGGCATCGTTTCTCGGCTGCCTGTCAAGCTGTCAAAAAGTTATTAACTAAGAAATTGCTCATTAACACTTTGTGCAAATTTCGCCAGTTGACAACTTTTTGATTTCTCCAGAAATAGTCTTGTTCTCTCCATGAAAATAGGATCCAATTTCAGCTCAAGCCAGAAGAAGCGTTAAAATTGAGAGGAAAGCGATGAAAAGTGTGAAAGTGCTCGTGTTCGTCTACCTCCTCAACCGGTTCACTGTCATTCTCTTCGCCAATCTCATCAATATTCTCGGCGTTTCGGACGAAGGAAAATCTGTCATTTATGACGTCATTCTCGTTTTCGCCCTGATCTGTTACTCTCAAAACTTTTATATCAGCTATTATCGGTCTCCAGAATACAGAAAGATGCTCAACGCACAATTGGGTCTATACCGAGCGTCCGGGAGTGCTGTGTTCGATCTAAAATTGAAAACTGTTGGATGAGAAGAGTGAGCAACTTTATGTACAAATATTAGAATTGAAACAAAGAAAGTGAATTGAACATTGAAATAAATAAATATCTTTGACTTCAAATGGCTCCTTCTTCGTACTGTCGAGCCGGTGGCGAAGGCTCTACTCTGTTAGTTCTGGCCGGGCACGAACAGTATCCCGCATCGGTCCCTGGAGATCCGGCCACTCCGTCCTGTCCGGGCGGTCCGATCGGTCCGGTCTCTCCGTCTTTCCCTGGAGCACCTGCTTCTCCCTGGGTTCCTGGCTGTCCTGCCACTCCATCAGCGCCATTCTCTCCGTTCTTTCCATGTTCTCCAACTTCTCCCGGGGCTCCAGTCGTTCCTGGAAGTCCAGCACCTTTCTGTCCGTTCTTTCCAGCGGCTCCTGGTGCTCCGGCTGCTCCCGGTTCTCCAGCAGCTCCTTGCTCTCCTTGCTTTCCGACGTTTCCAGGCGCTCCTGGCTTTCCATCAGCGCCGTTCTCTCCCAGCTGACCGTGTGCGCCAACTGGACCTGGGGCTCCTGGTGCGCCAGGAGGGCCAGGCGTTCCTTGTGGACACTGAACACAAGCCGGGGCGGGTGCGTACGGGTCCGCGGAAGCAACGTATATAATAAAGACTCCATCGTTCCCATTCTTGCCTTTAAGCCCGGCAGTTCCGTCTTCTCCGTTTGTTCCGGCGGCTCCTGGAGAGCCAGGAGGTCCCGGCGGGCAACTGTTCGCCTGATCGCAGTTGCATTTCTTCGCAGCGGATCTGGCAGTTCGGAGGATTGGGAATGGGGTTCCGCCAGTTTCGGAAGTCATCATTAACCATGCGTCTCTCGCATAATGCTGAAATTCGAGTTCTATTTTCTCCGCAAAATACAAAACTCACATCGAAAGCTTTCAATCCATGATTCACTTCAACAGTGATTTCGTTGATTTCCACGAGAAGACTAGTCACACAAAGAACACTGGCAAACAGAGCGATCGAAGTGAGAATGAAAACAGCACTGAGTGCGTGGGCGGAAGTGGAAGTCATGATGATGATGGAGATGACGTCCGAGGAAACTCCATTTATACCCTATTTCCCCTGCTGCATCCCCCCGCTTTTTCGCGCCTTAAACTCTGAGATCTTATCGAAAAGGTGTGAAACACATTCGTGTTCGAACGTAATTCTCTTGATTTATTCGACAGACTCTGCGATGAAAACCATATTACAACCAACAAAAATTATTACGAACTTTGGCAAAAAGATGAGAGAAAAATGGGAAAAGCGGCTGAAGTTCTCGAGTTCACGCTCGGAAATGTCATTCCTCGTCATTCTCGTTAATTGTGGCGTTCGTGCGACTTCTGAAATTAGTTTTCTTTACCTCCCGGACCTACAATATTCTCACTTCTTCTCAATGGCTCTGACCAGAGTTCCGAGTCTCTGGCGGTTCGTCACTTTCGTCTCCTCGAGAAGACGTTCGTGCTCTTGCAGATCTTCCGGTTTAATCAGTTTCATCTCATGTTCGGAAAGTTTGAAACCGGCCAAATGAGATTTCGGAATGACGTCCTGGATCTTGAACGAAGCTCTCGTGTGCGGAATGGCCGGCAGCATCGGAGCTCCGATCGAGGGCAGCTGATCGGCGAGCTCCGTGGCCATCATGTGAGCAATTGCCGTGTTCCTGTCGAGCACGTAGTTCAGCTCTGAAACCAGAAATCTCGAGTCTCCCTTCAAAGCTCACAGTGGCCTTACCGAAATCATCGTCGTCTTCTCCGAACGGATTCATAAGATATTGTCCGACTTTGAGCCAACCAAGGTAGAACAGCATTTGAAAGGTGGTGAAGATCGGGAACAGAATCGTAATCTCCTTCTCCATACTCTTCTGGTCGAGTTTAGGTTGTCTTCCGATCAGACAAATGAAGAAGTAGCCGTAGGTGGCGATGGCGACGACTTGCGTGTACACCAACGGAATCTTGATCCAGTCGTACACGAAGAGCATCGCGAAACCGTCACGATAACTGTAGACCTGCTTGAGAAGCATGTCCATCTGGATCGAGTCGATGACCCCCTTCTGCTTCTGCTTCTTGATCAGGTTCACAATCCACATGATCGGAATGAACCACTTCCCGTGCGGAGCCTCGGTGTTCATGAACATGTCGTACTCCTCCTCGGTCATCAGTTTTGCCGCCACCATATGTCTTTCGGTCGGAAACCGTTTCAGCGTGCGAACTGAAACTCCGGACCACGCGATGGCCGCTTGCAGACTGCTCCAACGAGCGATCGTCTGGCGGACGGCGATGTTTTCGTTGCCGGGAAGACACGCGGACACCATGATCATCATCTTGTCGGGCCACGAGATCCAATTGAACTGCTCCCACCTACAATGGGAGCACGTGAAGGTATCTAAGTATCGGAAGGGGACCTACCATCTGGCGACGATGACAGAGACGAAGAAACCAAGTAAGAAGGAAAGAGGAATGTACTGCGCTCCGATTTCACACCACATAATCCATCCGGTGAAGTACTCTTTGCCCTTTTCATCCAGAAGATACCACTGAAACGTTTATGTAAGCCAAAATGTTTTTGTTGTTTTGGTACCTGGAAAGCGAGAACAATGTAGTAGGCAATGTAGAATCCGATGAGATCCTTGAGCACCGCCTTCCAGATGGATCCTCTCCATCGGAGCATCAACGAGGAGAACTCTTCGTCGTAGGATATTGTCATCTTCTCTTCCGGTTCTCAATCTGAAAGAAGAGAAGGAATTCTTTCGATTAACTTGAAGGAAAAGTAAGAAGTAACAAGAAGAAGAAGAATAAGAAGAAGACAGAATTTGTGTTGGGGAGATTGAGAGAACGGCGCCTAATCGAATCGTCGGTGGGTAACGGAAGAGATGGCTGAGAGAAGGGGGCAACGAGACATTGATAAGTGATAAACAAGGAAAATAGGATAGGCGCGGAGACGATCGGAATGGGGTAGAAGTTGGTAAGCAAATAATTGGGTGTTGGACGGAGAAAACGACTGGGGGAAGGTGAGGTTTCCGAAGGTTTCAGAACTGGTTCACTTCCATAATCATCACTTTCGCGCCTCAAACTGACTTCTAATGAACTTTTCGATTCGGAAATGGCCATCCACAATCCATTCTGACGTGGAATCGAGGAGTGAGACCTCAATCGTCCGAGATGATTGTCCGAGATGATTGGCGGGAATTTGTCTCTCTCGGTCATTTCTTTTCTTTTTCTGCAAATTCGTTGTTTGTTTCTCTCGCCCTCCACTCGCTTGAATCAATTGAATTCATTCTGATTCTGATTCGGTATTGACCTTGGAAGGAAGCGCCGAAAGAGAGAAAGAGAGAGAGAGAGAGGAAGAAGAAGAAGGAGATGGAGATGGAGATCATTTGAACGGTGTCGCCGAGTGTTTATCACTTTACTTTGTTGGTGACAAGTGGAAGATCGAAGAATGGAATGAGTGGATCTTCACTCAACCGGACTCAGTTTCCTCGTTTCTTTGTTTCTGCTTCTCTTTCCACTTTCACAACATCATCTTCCACTGCTCCAACGTCTTGTTGACCTCTCCCAGAAGTCATAGCCACTTGTTTGTTATTGTCACGTTGGATTGAGTTGAAATTGAAAAGAGACAAAACCTGTTTGTCAAATTACTAGCAAGAGGTAATTGGAATGCATTTGACGAAAAGAGTCTCCCAGAACAAGACACCAACTATAGAAGAAGTGTGCCCGGCACGGGTGACGTCATCAAGGATGATCGGAAAAGGACAAATTGTGTGGACCACGGTCAACAATTTAGGATATTCTTAAGGAAAAGGGGATTCTGGAGGATACTGTATTGTAACTTGAAATCTGGTAGAATGGATGATTTCACGATCTTTGTTCTGTGTGTTGATTAATGACTACGGAAAGTTAAAGAATTTCTGGTCAGAAGACAGAGTCCTTGCACTTTGCCTTCATGATTCTCAATGATATCAAAGTCTCACTTGAGAACACTGAAAACCGAAGGAATCCAACATTCACTGGACGATTGGATTGGTCCTTAGGACAGCAGAATGATTGAACGAAATGAAGATATTCTTTGGAATGCTCAACACTTTATTTCAAGTTCAAGTCGGTCAGTTCCTGGCGGATCCGATGATGATTCCTCCGCCACGGCCTCCACGGCACTTGTGGCCAGAAGCGGCGGTGATGGTGAAAACGGCGAAAGTGAGAAGAGAGTAGACGTTCATTCTGGAAGTGTTGGGTAAGGAACCAAAATTAGGAAAAGGAGGAACTTACCTAAGAGTTGGATGTGAAGGAAGGCTTCAGATGACTTGCTCTTGCATTTATTCGCGTTTATATACAAGGTTTCTTGCAATAAAACGCGCTTGGAATTATCCATAAAAAGTGCACGATTCATCCCCTGAACTCCCGCTAAAACTTTATGTTCGAAGATGCGTTTTCGGAGTTTCGACGCGATGACATCACGGATAGTAGTCTCGAGGTTCTGTTCTGTGTGAAGAAGAAGACGTCCGGCAAATTGAGTCAGAGGTCTCTTCGGCCGATTCATTACACTTTATTTTGATTCCCATTTTTGTTCGGCCGATCGATCCACTCGACACCTGAATATTACACTGCCCAACAGGTTGGACGGGGCCGGACAAAAATTGAATTTTGATTCTGATTCGCCTATAAAACAAAGTCATCGACAGACAGTCCCTCCGTATTCTTCTCTCACAATCCGATATGAATACGACAACTCTTTTCATTCTGTTCTTCCTGGTTTCTCTTGTTTCTGCGGGTTTGGTTCAGGTTTGTCGTGCACTAATTTCCATTCTGAAATTGCTGTTTTTCAGAATCTTCGAGTGAAAAGACAGTGGGGTGGATGGGAAGGACCTGGCGGCGGCTGGCAGCAGAACAACTTCAACAACTTCCGAAACAAGAACAACATTGCTGCACAGCAGAATCAGTACAATGTAAGTTGCTTTCATCTTGCGCGAGAGCACATTTTGAATCTGTCCAACACATTCTCCTCTAGTGCCAAACATCGGGAATCAACTTGATCGGTCTGCCGATCAGCAGCTACAACTGCCAGAATTCTGGAATGTCGGCACAAGTTAAGACTCTTCAGAGCGGACAACAGAGCCAGGGAGTGATGCAGGGACCGCTCGGAGGCATTCTGAACAACTTTATGGGATAACAAGAGGATAGACACACTTTGGTATTTATTTGAGATACTGATTATGACTCCTTTATTTCGTTGATCTCTCGACATGAACGTCCCCGTCTCTGATGTTCCCGATTCGTCTTCCGTTATATAAAGCATAGGCTGAGAAAATATATGAATTACAATTGAAAATGAAGCGTGTCACCTGTCAATTCCAACGTTCACCCCATAGTTTATGATGACTCGGGCGGTGTCGAAACTTCGGAACGACTTGAACATCGGCTCGAACACGAACGTCTTCTTGACGGGCACATTCCTCTGAAACGCACAAACTGTGTTAAGAAGGGCTTTCACTTTTCGATTGGAACCTTTCCCAATGTTCCGTTCGTAATCACTTGCGCGGAAAGTTCCACAACACGCACGTCTCCTTTTCTGAATACATTTTTTGAATGACAATAATTGAAAGTCAAACTAACGTGGTGCTTAAGTACTTATAGAATATTGGCTCATTGTTCAATTTAGCGGAAATCAAACAAGTGGAATTCCTGATTTCTTTCAGAAACCTTCCCCTCACTTCTGTCAAAAACTCCTCTTCGGCTGCGCTTGGATACTCGGAGGCATTGTTCTGAAACCAAGAGATTTACTTGTTTTATTCCTTTGTTTTACATACCGATGTCATACAGGGACACAAACTTTCGGGAATTTGAAACGTTTGACACGAGCTCAAAGTGGGCTGAACACGCGAAAGCGGAGAGAGAAGTGCGGTGGCATTCGGATCGAGAAGGTTGAGAATCAGGTCGGAGACGTGGGGAGATGTCATTAGTCTGGGGAGGGGAAACGTTATGTACGGAGAGGTTATGTGCGTGCTTGCCTGTTGAAGTTCATGTTGAGAATACCTTCGCTTCTCGGGTAGAGGCTCACAAACGCTTCGGAGAGCTTGACGGCGAACAAAGGGTTCTTCTCGTCCTCTTTCGAAAGTTCCCTGAATCCATTCAGTCATCACATCAGTCGTATTTCCCAGTTCTCTCACTTTTCCGATAAATCGTAGGACGTTATGATGAGTGTGGTGTTCTTGAATACTCCTTCACGTTCCAGAGAACGAATCACTTCACTAAAATCTCATATTGTACCTTTTCACTCAGGTAAATCGTTTGTAATCTAGCTAGTTAATTCGCGTTTCTAACCGGACCTAATTAGATTGCTAATTTACTGCGATTAGATTGCAAATTCTTCTAACTGGACTGATAAATTTTCTAATTAGATTGGCGAAGCTAATTAGATTGCAAAAACACTAATATTAGAACATTTATCTAATTAGATTAAAATTTCGGGCAAACCTAGCTAGATTATGTTTAGATTGCAAAATCAGCTAGCTAGTACGGCTGTGAACTTTTCCATCCCTCATCGACATCCCTCTCCAACAAATTAGAGTCTCCCCTTACTATAGTTAGATTTTTCAGTAGAAGAGTCTTCCAAAGATGTAACATGCGGTTCTCCTCCTATAGCGACCGTCTCAGTCAATCTAATTCAAAATCGATACTCCACAGAAGGGTTCTTCTTATTCTCAGAACATTCCACAACATAATCTCGCACAAGTACCATTTCCCCTCCCTAAGCATGTTCCTCAAACCCGGCGTCTCCCCCCGTCACCCGTACCTTCTATCCTCCCTTGGCCTACCCCATGACTCTTTCTTACATACCCATCTTGCCCTTTGGAACCGAGTGGCCAAGTTGTTTCCCGAAAGACTGTCCTCTGAGGCCTTCGCGGCGCGCATCGAGAAGATCCCCCCTAGCTTTTTGTATTCTAACTGACCTCTGGCTACTGCCGGCCAATGGTCATGTCAAGCCATTGTTCCTTCCCCCACCCACATTCCCCCTCTTTTTTTCTCTTCTTTCTTTTTTGTTGTAATTTTATTCCTAGGTGGCTGAAGAGAATAAATGTGTTATTATTATTAGATTTAGAAATCGGTAGCAATCTAACTAGGTCCGGTTAGAAACGAGAATTAGCTAGTTAGATTAGAAACGATTTACCTAAGCACTTGCGCTTTTATTTCTCCCACCTCAAATCATAGTCAATCGCTCGTTTTCGTTGTCCGTAATCGTCCAAAAACATAGTGGAGAAGAACTTGGAACCGTTCGTTGTCGACAGAAAATGTTGAACTCTTTCAAGCTGATCATCCACGAATTTCTGGAAGATTCAAAGTTTTCAAAATTCAAAGATTTCAAACTTACTCGTCCGTCCTCCAAACACTGATTGTCGTCGATCAGAAACTGGAAAATGAAGTTGCGGTGATCCATCGTATCGTAATCCGTCTCGATCAGATCTCTAATTTGCCGCGGACCCGAGAAGAAGGTCGTGAAATTCATTTGCTTCGCTTTTTGAAATACACTCTCCTCTTTGGGGATTCCGAGTTGGAGAAGCAGGTCTTGGAATGGTTTTGTATCTTTCTAGAAGGGAATTGGGATTAGAAGAGCCCCCGTAACTGCAGTTACCATTGTCATCATCTTGGCGAATAAGAAGCGGTTATCCAGCAACGCCTTCTTACTCTTCACCATTGATTTCATGAAAAACTTGTGATTCATAGACGGCAGGAATAGAATAGCAACCGAATCGCCCGGAAATTCCTGAAGATAAGAACGATTTCATTGCGAACTACTTTCGACGAACCTTCGGAATAACGGCGAAATTGACGAGTGGCTTCAGATACTCGACGATGCCGTCCTTTTTACAAGTGACAGCAAAGTTGTAAAACGGAACTTTGAGTGGCTTTCCGTCCTCGATCTACAATTATTATTGGTCTGTTTCGTTCCGATTCTCTCCAGTACCTCGAAAGAAATATTGGAAACGCCGCTGTGTTTGTAGTACGAGCACCCAAAAACAATCTTACGTTGTCTGGCACACACTTTTTCTGAGAACTGACCCGATTGAATCAAACCCTGACTCCATTGCCCCCATTTTCTGCTTCAATTTCAATGTCAACACGCCGTTCGACGAGAAATTGATGTATTTGCTCAGCGATTTTGGCATACAATCATTTCTGAACTTTTCATTGAAGTTTTTGTGGTTCACCTGAAGTACCTGAAGTCATCCCGCCCATCTGCCACGTCATCATTCGAAAGAAAGATGTAGGGAAGCTTACAAGCGTTTGTTAACAGTTCTCGAGTATCTGAAAGTAAATCACCCGAAACTAGAAGGCGGTCGGAGCACTTACCTTGTACAGAATACGCAAACTCTGGTTTATAAACAGCGTGCTCAAGCGGGTTAAACTTTGCAAAATGGCTCATGACGATGGTGAAGGCGATGATGAGCAGGGCAAGGACCATGAAGATGATAGTAGTCGGCCACATTGTTCGGATGCGGGGGGAATAGTAAGAAAAAGTTTGAAAGGATATATGGAGGCATCGTCCATTCGCGCCCTGAACCAGTTCCGTTCGTGTAATAAGGGCGAGTAAATGCCACCAGATCTGCAGATCGGATTGGGGGAAAACAGGACGGGAAAACGACTGAAAGCAGGGCGAAATCCCTCCTTATTCGTGTTTTGAATCAAATCGACCGTGAGAGCACACATTTCGGTCCAGTTTGACTTGGCAGATGGGTCTCGACACGATCTGGCCTATCGTTCCATTCGAGATTCGCTTCAGAACGCAGATAAGGAAAGTAATAGCGAAAAGTATCGAAGAGTGGTGACGAAACTGGATGCCTCGCTCGGGAATAGAACAATCCTGTTGTTTGGTGATAAAAGTCTACTCTTTACTCTACATAGACGATTCCTCATGTTCCGAGCAAACTAACAACACGGAAAGGCCACACGTGTCAAGGTGATATTTGTGTTTGTATCAGGCAAAACCCATTCGGTTCCTTTTTCATTCCCTATTTTATCTTTTGTTTTCAGCTTTCGGCACGTTCGAATCATGATCTCTTGTCGGTTTCTCCTTTCACTGCGACGGAGTGCGTCCTCTGGCAGAAACTCATTCATTAAGGTTCCCAGAAACGATAAAGAACCCTCGAGAGAAATTGATGATGTGAAATGGGCGGAAGGCTCATGATCTTTGCTTTTAGAAAAACAGTATTGTCCAACTATAACGTAGAAGACATCGCAACTTCACAACTGACGAATTCCGTGCACACTTTTTATTCTTCATGTTCAGTTTTTCTTTCAAATTCTAGGTAACCGCTCGTTAAACAAAAGACGGTCACACGACTTGTTTCAGAAGAAAGAGTAAGTGCTTTGCAAAGTGAAATGTATGTCCTTTGGCACAAAAATGTATGTCCTTTGGCACGTTGTTTTTCCGTTTTCGTGGTTCAATATGATTACTTCTATTCCGATTCCGAGTCCGATCTGACTCCCAGTAATTCCAATAAACTCTGTCTGTTTTCCTTGTTCAGCTTTTCCCCATAGCAAAAACGTCATTCAATTCTCTCGTGACCCTCAATATTTCAGGTGTGCCAGCTGATGGATAGCAACTCATCGAACAGAGATTCAATAGTAAGTAGCCAATCTTTCCCTTTCATAACTTTTTTGCTTTGCAGACGTTCAACGACAATATCCTTTACCCGATTTACTTCGGATCCTACTTCTTGCTGACCTTGTTCAGTCACTCCTCAGTCCTTCTCCTCGTCATCTTGAAAACTCCGCTCTTCTTCCGAGATTTCCGTATTTTCCTTATCAATTCTTCCCTTCTTCAAGTACTCATGTGTTCACTTATTTGTTTCACTCAAGTCAGGTAATGTTCCCAAATGAATTTGTCTCAAAAGTTAATCTCTCTTTCAGACCTGTTCTAAATCCCAACTCCACAGCTTATCTGTTTAGTGGATACTGTAAAAGCTTCCAGAAGAACGTCTGCTTCTTTGCATTCGACTTTTTTCAAGTGGGCCCCATTTCCCTTCGCTTTCCAGGCAAAAGTGGCTTTCAGTTAGTCTTCGACGCCTCCGCATTCGCAATTCCGGTCACTTTGTACTATAAGTACAGCAAAGTGACAAATCTAAACGGAAGAGAACTTTCGAGAACCAGAGTCCGTCTGATCCTTTTCGGTTCCTTCCTGCTCTCAATAGTAGTCGGTGTCAGTTTCTGTGTGTCTCTTCCATTCCCAAATACTTTGTTTCAGATGATATACGTGGTAACGTACCGCCCAGAAGAGTCCTTAATGGTTGAATCGGAGACCAAACAGCAGTTCCCCAACAATTATGACTATTCGCAGTACGCTCAAATCACAGGTTATCAGATCCATTTTTGGAGTTCGTTGACTAACGATCTCAATATGCTCAGCATTTACACCCCACCAATCATCAGTCTCGTCTTTATAAGGTTATTTTGAGATCAGTGCGGACCAGGAAGAGCAACCAGATTTGCAGATTGATTCAAAATAAACTGAATAGTCTCAAGCACATGTTCACCGACAAAACGATAGCTCAAGCTCGGAAGTTTGACCTGGCTCTAAGCATTCAGACACTCGTTCCCGCCGTCTGTGTCATTCCCGTCTACACAATCCATTTAATAATCGGTAGATTAGATCTGTTTCTAAAGTTTAAAAAATCAGCAATGAAAAACTGTTCCAGAAATACGTGAACTACTGGAATTGGAAAAGATTCTCTACATAATGCTGGCCCTCCCAACTGCCATCGACGCCTTCATCGTCATCTTCACAATCACTCCGTATCACAATGCATTCATTTCGTTTTTTCGACCGTTTTTCTGCTGTAAAAAAGTGGATGTATTGCGGAAAAAAACAATCAACGTATCGAAAGTTACGTCGATATTCTGAAGATCTGAAGAGAGAAATGCACGCATCCACGGACCTAATTACAGGTGTTCAACATAAAATTTCTCTTGATTTTTGTACTTTTGTACTTGAATGTTCGTTTTCATAGTAATGTGAAAGCAGTTCTAGGATGCCTATGAACCGAGCACGTGGGCGCACTTGTAGGAGTGAACTCCAGCTGCGAACGTGGAAGAGAGTCCGAATGACATTTTTCCGTACAAAAATTACCTAAAAACTCTTTTTTTTATAATTTCTATCGAAAAAAATTCAAAAGTCGAAAAATTACTTTCTCGTCATTCTTATCTAAATTGTAAATTTGACCTACTCTTGGAATGAGAAGTAAGTTTGAAAAAACAAGCCAATTACAAGTACGAGGACTGGAGTTTTCGGCAATCGACAAATAGAAGCCGTTTTCTATTCAGTTTCTGGTCAGAACATTTTTATATCGCCCAATTTTGCTCAGTATTCAACGATTTTGGAAAGCTAGTTGCCGCCAAAATCGGCAAGTTGCCGTCGTAAACGGGATGGATGCTGTGCGACCGGGGCACCCCTGCCGTTTTTTGGGGCAACTTGCCGCAAAGGGCACGGCAAGATGCCCCTTCCCCCGTGCTTCTACCCTTTTTCTTGTCGCTCCTTCTACCCTGCTTCTTTGCTTCTCAAAAGAAAACAATGTATTAATCAACGAAAACAACAAAGGGAACAATTGAATGGAAAAGGGGAAAAAATGGACGATGAAAACAAACTTGCAAGATCTACTCAAATGTTTCGACGAGTTCGGCGAATATTTGCTCTTTTCGCTGGAGCAGCTTGCCCGTCGGTCTCTTCCTCCTCCCTGTCCTTTTGCGAGTTGTGACGGCGGCGTCCGGAATTCTTTCCAGTATTTTTCTTCGGCAAAGAGGCTTCTTTTGAAATGATCGTCTCGCCGAGTTGGTTCAAATCGTCGACACTCGTTGGAGCTTCAGTGAGAACGGCGACATTGGTGTCGTGAACCTCTTGTCTCTCGGTTTCCTCCGTTCCTTGAGCCGTCAATTGATACGGCATCAACTGATGCGAAAAAGATGTTGACGTAGTCGTCGTGTGACGCTGCAAAAGGAGAAAAGATAACAGTGTTAGAAAACAGTAATATTACCTTGCGGTATACGAATCGACCGTACATTTGACCAATGACAGGTGGCAGAAATGTGCCGTGGCGTAGTTCAATTCTGAAAAGAAATCTTATTTTCAGAATGAAATAGAAAGATTGACTCACAAAGCCTGTTTGAGAGCAGTTCTGAAAGTGGTTGTGAGGTAACTGTATCGTGTATGAGCAAGAAATTCGAAATATTTTTTCTTGCTGTTGTCGTCTTCGTATGACTGTAGGCATTTCAGTGTGCTGAATTCGTCTCGGTAAGGAGCATCCAACTCCCTGTAGTCGAGTCCGAAAAATTGTAAGAAGAGGTCTTAAAAGAAACGTGGTGAAATCGATAAACTTCTGAGAATCGGAAGATAACTAACCCCTAAGCGTGACATACAAGTCATCCGGGAAGTCGCGTCGGTTAGGCCCCTTCGAGTTTTTCTCATTCGGCAGAATCCATGTGACAGACTGAATGTCGCACTGCTGAGTGCAACTCTAAAAATAGTTTCAATTTGATATTTGATAACACTTAAAGTGTGACATACTCTTGAAAGCACGTGGAATAACATCGACTTGAGACGAATATGAGCAGACTGATTTGATGGGGTAATTCCGAGGAGGCTGATTTGCTCGCCCTAAAAACGAAGTTCTGCATTCGTATAAATACGGATCCAGCTCACGGAGAATGGTGGCTCTCGTGGGTAATGGAAAATCCCGGTAACATTGTAGACAGCGCCACCTACGTCTCTGAACTCTTCACAGTTCTTCGCTGAGAGGTTGATCACCTTCTGCTGTTGCGCACAGATCAAATGGTGCTGAAATTGTTATTTTATTTGGTTTAGATGGGTTAGTAACCAGTAGTTGTTGTCCACAGATCATAATCTGTTGCCAATCGGGGTTCATCAAATCGGGCTCGCCGATAATCATTGGACCAGTGAACTTGTACGCATTCTTCGCGAGAAATGACTCGATTTCCTCTTTAACTTTTGGAGTTCTCGTTCGGTACGCTTCATGAACTATTCGGCCTGCCTTCTCCACGTTAAACAAGCCGTTTTCCAAGCAGGAGGATAGCATTACTGCAAAGTAACTGTGTATTGTGTACAGTGGAATGATTATGGCTCACCAGAAATCGGTGTCTTCTCATTCCACGAAATATCCATTTGGTCCGAAATAGTGCGCTCAACGGTTTCTGCAAGGAACACAATGGATTTATTCATGCGAGTTCATATTCAAACCTGGAAACTCATCGGTGTTTTCGCCGTCCGAGCTTGATAAAATCGAAGAATCCGTTCGGCAGTTCACATCAATGCCTAGAATTTCCTCATGGCCACCTTCGGATTCAGAAGAATCGTCGGACTCAGTTTTTTCTCCCGATAGACGAAAAAATGTTGAAAAGTCTGAAAACAATGGTTCTACAGAAGAAAAACTTTTAAACACTTACTGTCCCCACGTCTTCTTCTCTTACGCCCTTCCATTGTTTCGTATTTACACTAGAAAATAGGGAATTTTTGAAATTGAACGTTTGAAAATTTAAATGCACAATTAGTGCGCCAGCACATCATCAGGTGCCAGCAGAGAACGCTTGCTTCTTTCTGGATACCCCAATCCCGGCCCCACCCATGCCCACCCATGCCGCGTTGCCCCATCCCCGCCCCGCTTGCTGCTCTCGTTCGTCCGTTCCCCTTTCTGGCTGCTGATTTCTGTCGCACGCCGGAGGCATGCTGAATCCATGCCCTATTTGTGCGCCACACTTGCCGCACCCATGCCCCACGGCAAGCTTGCCGTTTTTGGCGGCAACGTGCCTCTTCCCAGCCCTATCCGTGCCCTACCCTTGCCGAAATTTTCCTGAGAAAGAAGCAGAGCATTTCGATGGGAATGAGAGCAAATGGAATCGGACAGGGACACATGAACGAGCACAAATACCTTTGTTTTCAGACTTTTTCAGCCCAGTCAGCTTCATTCTGACGAATGTTCACCTTCAGCATCATGACATTTATCCATGTACCTTTCAAAAAATTCTCCCTCTCACTCTTCCTTTCAATTATCAATGATTTCGATGATTTATCACACGATAATAGTTACAGAATTGAAAAAATGTACATTATTGTGCAAATGTGAATACGGCCTTTCCGCTGCTGATAACGTACTGTAGGACCCAGCTGCTATCGAAGATCAGAGGAAGAAGGCCTTGGATTTCAGAGCCCCTGAAATCATTTCAATTGCTTTCACGAAGTCAACTCTCAATGACTGACATATAGGATTTGTAGAAGAAGAAGGGGGATATCGATCCATAGTAGATGGACAGATTGGCAGACTGCAACACATTGTAACTTTATTATTATCCGATTACTTTTTGGCTCACCTTCTCCATCTGAATGTCAGTCAGTGTCAAGTTGCCACCATTCACGGCGACCAGGGCCGATGGTCCCTTTCGTCCGTTAATTGTGAATGTGCACGTCGTGTTCGTTCCGCACACCAATTCCTCGTAATCGTTGAGCTGTTTGGTATCTGAAGACGGTTGAAGATCATCAATGAAACCTGGAGGGATGCTCCTACGTACCGAGGTAACTTTGTACGAGCATTTGGTCCTTGTCGGCCAACGGGTTATCCTCGAGGTTCACAACGTAGATACCCCCAGTGGACACCCATTGCTGACGGCGATTGTAGAAGGCGTGAAGACTAAAAATGGTGGAATCGGTTCTAACGTTCGGAAAGCGCTAACTCACTTGTTAATATATGTTCCATCAGAATCTGTGCCTTGGAAAACGAGAGAACATCTGAGATGGTACATGTTCTTCGGATCGTTCGGGAAGATGAGAAGGGAAAGGATTCCACTGTACGCGGTGGCTCCGATGTCGGAAACGTTCACAAGATGCGGAGTGTCACCGATTCCAGCAATCAATTTAGGACCGGCTGGAACTGGAAAAAGACGGATTTGAAAGGAACTAGGGGAGAGAAAACTAACGAGGAGCCCAGATGATTTTGAAAGCGAACGTGGCGACGGCCTCGTTGGAAACGGCGAGAGTAAGTTTGGACGGAGGGAAGTAGTACGGCTGCATTCCTTCGTGCGTTGTTCTGAATCCGAATTCATTTCTTTCCTATTGAAGAGAGGCACTTACTGAACAAGGTTTCCAGCAGAATCGATCATCTGGAAGCGGGAATCCTTATCCGTCGTCTTTCCGTTGATAATCAGTTTGGCGTAGTATCCTTTCGGGATGGTCACTGTCCAACTGCACGACTGTTCCTTTCCCAACTGAGGCGCCGTCTGATTCTCTCGCCAAGTGGAAGGCCAGTAGTACGGCACGGAGCCCATGTTCACGATGTTTCCTTGTTTACAGACTGAAAACAGTTACTGTATGATCAACACAAAAAAGAGACGAACTTACCATTTCCAGCTGCGGATACTGCTGAAAAGAAGAGCGAAGCACCCAGAAGGAAAACGAGTTTATTCATTTTCAAGTGAATACGGGTTTCGTTAGGTTCGCAAAACTTTATATACTTGGAAGATGATGATATTGGTTTTATGAGCTCTGAAAAGTGTGAGAAGGGCGGGAGACTCTGTTATCAGCCGACGCCGAGTCGTTCTTTGCCCAAGTGCGTGATGATAAGCGAAGATCAGAAGGTTGAAACTGCACTTGGACAATGAAAGTGCTTCTTGCGTAGAAATTCGACGTTTGTTGGGCTCAAAGGAGGAGTTACAGCTCTAGAAACACATTAATTGGCCATCACTTTATCTTTCGAACATCGCTTTCAAACTCTTCGAACCTTCTCTCTGATATGCCTCGAATTGTCATCGTCTCTCTCGCCAAGGCGTGGCTCTTCGCCAGTTCGTAACGACATCACTTTTCCATCATTTTTCGATAAGAAAATCAAGAAACCATGCTTACAAACATGGCCAATATAAATGGGAACACTCGGCTCAATTCCCCATGCCACAATGCTCCGTGCAGTTCTTCTCTTCTTGGCCTTCTCGGCTGTCTCCGCGTATCAATGCAATGGAACGACTACAATCGAAACACCTTCCGATCTATCCCAACCGACCTTCTATCCGCTCGGGTGGAATGAGAATCAGCCGGTCCCGCAGATTGATCCAGATCAAGCATGTGCGCTCTACGTGAACATTACTCAGGGCGTCTATGCCACTGTCACATTCTACAGACAGTTCGGAAGAACTGGTGGAATGTATGTGCTGTATTCGAACAATAAAATTGAACTGTAAGTTGGAAATATTGCACTTTACATCTGTTTTTCTACATTTCCAGGCTGGAAGACAACGATCCGAATCCGTTCATCTTCGTCGCTCCGAATTTCAAGCTGAACTTCGGATCTTACAAAGAATTGGGTTACAACTCGAACGGTTTCGCCTTCAAGATCGTCTGGGCTCAGTATCCGGCCATCAAGCAGAACGTTGTGAACATCTACAAGGGAGCCGCTCCCGTGGCCGTCTCCGCCAACAACGCCCTGACTTCTTTCATCGGAGCCACCAACTCTCTGATCTCCCTCGTCGCATTCTCTCTTGCCGATCCTTCCACAAACGCCCTCCTCCGACAATCCGCCGTTTACGCCGGCGATTCTGTTAATGGAGAATTCGTCGGAACTCTCGGACAAGTCGTTTCCTCGCAGACGAAACTGACGACCTACAAGAACAAAATGTCTGTGTACACTTTCGGACTGAGTCAGACAATCGACTCGCCACTTTTCATGGCTCAAGACTGGAACGACGGGAAGGGACCGTGGATTTACAAAGGGGCCAATTGTCCGTCGGCGGGAAGGTGCAATGTGACGCTCAATGGAAATGCGGACAAAGCGATGACGGTGACTGACTTTGACGGCGTCGAGACGATCCAGGATTTCAATGCGTTCCCTCCACAGACTGTGATCAATGTGTACGAGAATAACTACTCGAACACCACTTGCATCGCTACCTTGACGTAAGGAAGACTTGAATACTTTGAATACTTTGAAAAGCTCAATCCTAATGTCTTTCAGTTCCGTCGCTTTCCGCCAACAACTTCCGATTCGAGTGAAAGGAACTCTGAAGTACTACGAGATGATCGGAATGGGCCACTGTGAGATGGTCGTTACTCGGGAGACTTCCAGAGCTTCGCGACTTTGAGCAACAACATTTTTCGTGTGTTCTTTCAATATAAACATATCAAGTTTTCATAAAATGTACGGTTATTGTAATAAACTAACAGTGGGATGGTTTTCTTTAGGGAATAGGAAGAGAACCTGAAGGTGCCATGTTATGCTCCAATAAGGGTAAAGAGAATAGTTAAGAAAACGTTTTATTTTAAAAATGTACCAATGAAAAGTTCATAAAGTGTGTTTCCACAACTCTAATTTGTTTCTCTCGCGAGAGAAACACACTTCTCGAGACGCAGACGGATGAACAGTCACAGAACCGTTTCTCATTCTAAGTCTCGCAACTCCGAACACATTGAGAGACAGTCTCTCGCCTTCAGATTGTTGGGCACGTTTGTCACATTGGCTATAAACCGACGGATTCCCCTACTCGTAGTCATCATTTCATCCAAAGTATATAAAGGAAGATGTTCACCCTCTACCACAGCTCCATTATCCAGCTATTTGTATTCTTTAACTTTCTTCCTCATTCAACATGTCCCGTTTCTCTGGAAAAGCCGTGATCATCACCGGATCCTCGAATGGAATCGGTAGATCCGCGGCCGTTCTGTTCGCCCAGGACGGTGCCCAAGTGACTATTACTGGCAGAAACGCGGAAAGATTGGAAGAGACGAGACAGCAGATTCTGAAAGCGGGAGTGCCGGCTGGAAATGTGAATGCAGTGGTGGCGGATCTGACCGAGACAGCCGGGCAGGATCTGGTTGTGAGCACGACTCTCGTCAAGTTCGGCAAGATTGATGTCTTGGTGAACAATGCGGGGGCCAACCTGACGGACGGAACCGCCAACACCGATCAGTCCATTGATTTGTACCACAAAACGCTGAAATTGAACCTTCAAGTCGTCATCGAATTGACTCAAAAGACCAAGGAACATTTGATCAAAACGAAGGGAGAGATCGTGAATGTTTCGAGTATTGTCGCAGGACCACAAGCGGTGGGTGAAGAGAAAATGGGCAACGTCTAAAAATCATGTTCAAATCTTCAGCAACCCGGATTCCCGTACTATGCGATCGCAAAAGCAGCCCTTGATCAGTACACCCGATGCACTGCCATCGATCTCATTCAGTACGGTGTCCGAGTGAATTCGGTCAGTCCGGGAGCCGTTGCGACTGGATTTTTGAATGCAATGGGAATGCCAGATCCTCTCACCGAAAAGGTAAGTTCAAACACTATCTAAACTCGCTTACATTTTCATTCGTTTTCATTTCAGGTGCTCAGTTTCTTGGAGTCGAAGAAGGAATGTATCCCGGTGGGACATTGTGGACGTCCGGAGGAAATCGCCCACATCATCCTGTTCCTTGCCGACAGAAGACTCTCGTCCTACATTATCGGACAATCGATCGTGGCCGACGGAGGAACCACCTTGGTTTCCGGAATGAGCGCACACGACATTCTGTCCATTCTCAGCCAGTAAAATAGTATCTCTTTTTTCATTCACAATACCCCAAACGATAATTGAAAAAGTTTTGATCGAATAAATACATGTGTGAAACCGGCTTCTTCCACCACGACCCTTTTAAACACGTCTCGGTCTCCGCTTGATCGCATATTTTGTAGTTGTCCACTTCCATGTGGCTCGGGTAGAACACTTCGAAGGCGTTGTGATGCGGAGTCTCGAGGGTGTGTGATATTCGGAGCGGGAAGTCTGGAATGAAGTCTCCGTCACGGACAACTCGAAACATCTCGTGCACCTGCAACAGCAACGATCATTGAACCGGTTGATCTCACTACAAATTACATGTTCTCTGAGCAGTTGCACAAAAGTCTCGTCTCCACTTCGAGGCCCTGACCACGCGTATAACCGGGTCTTCTTCTCGGGGTACTTGATTGCCACGTGGAGCGAGAATATTGTGGACATGGCGCCGCCGAGAGAGTGTCCGGTTAGGAATAAAGTGTACGTGGGGTACCTGGCGATCGACTTCTCGAGGGCTGAATCGAATCCAAAGTTGAGGATATCCTTATAGATTTGCACATAAATGGCGACCATCCTTCCGCCCAACGGGAAATCCTCCATCCATCCCATCATGTAGCAAAAGTATTGGGCGAGCAGCTGAAGGAGGTTGTTTGTGGAGCGAAAGCCGATGAAAATGTGCTGCAAGTCGTGGTTGACTCCAATCAAAACTCCGATTGTACTCTGCAAATGTACATTTCTGCTCGCGGCTCTCAGGATGATTCATACTCCTTCCATAGTCGTCGGTACATTCATCTCTTCTAGCACTTCAATTTTATCCGTGATCTTCAGGAGACAAGACATCGGAGCGCCGACTGGGGAGTATTCGCTCACTCGGTTCGCCGCTTGGATGTACGCAGACACTTCTCTCCTAAATGTTCATTAAACTTTCGACATTTCGGTTTGAATACCTATTAAAAGTGTCGTTGTAAGTTGTGGGCAGGATGGAGTACGGGCAATTGACCTCGTGCATGACGGTCCTCCACGGATGGCACATGTACTTGGAGGGCACGCATGTCGAAGTCTCCATGCACCATCTGAATGAACTCAGAAGATCATCTGAACCGAATCCATGACGCCCACGCACCTACAACTGACTCCATTGTCCTCAATACCCGCGCATTTGTCACAACTCGAAAACTGGGCGCATTGGCACTCGACGGCTAATCTGCGCACCGAAACGACGGCCAAGCACACGAAAACGGCGCGCATATAATAATAGAAGCTAATGCGTGTTATCAGAAAACGAGAGCCAGCGTCTAAAATGTGTACAATTAGGTTGAGCCACCAGCAGCTGTCTCGCATTGATTTGTGGTGAACAAGAAGAAGAAGAAGAAGACGAAAACAGGTGAAGTTTATGACATTTTCAAACGAATTGTGGCTTCAAAAATATGTTACTCTTCTTGCGCTCGCAAAGGAATACGAGTGTCTCGGCGACGGTGAGAAGGGTTGCGCCGACGTACAATCCGATGGTTCCTCCGATTTCGGCTGTAAAAATAGCATGAAGATGCAGAAGTAAACGGGAAAGAGTACCGAGCAATAGGAAAAGGTTGTAGGACCTCTCCTGCAGGATGGTCTCCTGCTTGAAATGAGCAAAGTAGAACTTTATGTGGAGGAGATTAACGCTGAAAGGGAAAATATAAGTACTGGTTTATTCTAGGAGCACTTACACATCGTATTGTGGCGTGGGAGAATAGGATTGTGCCATGAGCACTTGGTTCCGGAGCCTTGACAACCATTCTCCTCGGATGAACCTACTTTTCTGAAAGTTTTCATTTGGAATTCACTCCTTCTTTTTGCGAACTTTTAAGATAGGAGCCCTCTCATGAAGATCAGCCAGACACTTGGAGAAGTTTGAAAACTTCTCATTGAACCCCTCATCGGCTGCGAATCCCGTGAGCACTGCGAACTTTCTCCGACTCTCCGTCACCGCCGAGAACGTCTCCGATAGCTGATGGGCCAACGCGGCAATGTCGGTGACCATAGTCTTCCTCAGTTTCAGCATGTCCTCAATCTCCAAGTGATCTTTCGCAGTTTCTCGGTACAACGATTCGAACTCTTTCAGGTCGATGTTGAAGTCTTTCCATTCGTTCATCCGAACTCTTGTCTTCATCACTTGCAGTCTGCCGAGCACTTTCCGCACTGATTCCGTGTACGTTTTGACCGATTCCGACGACGGATTCGTTTTTGTGTACACGTCGGATGCTTCCAAAAGAGGCAAGTATCGCTTTTTGAATATCTGGAACGCGCTATAAGATCAGTGATGTTCAGAGGTTGAACTCACAATTCTGCAGTCTTCAGCAATCTCCTCAACTCTCTCCAAATTGTCGTACATCTTGGTGACACAATCTTTCACTTCTGCTATCAGTGGATGTGCTGAAACATCCTCACGCTCACCTATATCCTCATTTCCATCATCCCCACCCAATTCCAGGACCACTTTCCTCGTGGTCTCGTGCATCATTGTTAGTCCGTAGTTGAAGTTGGCTCTTCCAAGCGAGTTCTCTATTTGGCCCAGTGCCAACAATGAAATGGATGCCAGTGTCATGTTCACTTCTGGATTCACAGAATCGTCAATTTCTCCCTTATCATTCAAAGAGAGTCCGAGGCAGAGAGCAGTGCTGTTCAGCTCCCGAGCCAGCGAATGTTGGAGATACCTGAATAGGAGGTTACGGTATTTATGGTAGGGACAGTTTGTATTCAGATACGGACGTGGTGATTCTCTCCCATGTCGGTTCATAAGAGTTGAACTGATTGATGAAGCTTTCATATGTCCGACCGTCGACAGAAAGGCACTTGACTTCGTTGGACTTATCCGAAACGCCGAATATCTAGACAAACAGTACTATGAACTAAAGCAGGACACGGTCTTACTTCAGAAGCTTCCCTGACAAACGCCTGTAGCTCATCTGCGAGTTGTTGCACATTCCTGACCACTGGAATCATCTTATTCGGAATCACTTCTAACGCCTTCTGGACGGCAGTCACTCTCTTCTCCTTAGTGTCTTCCCAATCACTCGGAAGAAGTGAAACTATCTCCGATGCGCTCTGAGATTGCCATTTCATCATATTTTAACTGATTGCGGAAGTCTGCTTACAAGTTTCCCGCCGAACACGATCGAAGAGAAGGAGATGTCGTCGCAGTCGTCCGGACAGACATTGTCGTCAATGTGCGGCCGGATGTTCAGCTTCTCCTGCACACATTCGATCTCTTGCCGCAGTGTGCACCTCGGAATCTTCCGTTTCTTCCACTTTTTCAAAGTCTTCTTTGTCGTCGTCGATGAGTTGTCGAATGACTCGTTCTTGTTGGCGAAGATGGCTCGATAGATTGGGTTGCGAACGGGAATGCATCCGCACTCCTTCTCAATCTGTTTCACACTCACAGACCATTCGCATGCTGATTTTGAGTACTCTTTCTCCGAGAACGACTCCATCTTCGTCGATCCACAGCTGCTCTCATGAAGACGAAGTTTGCGTACCTCATTCACCGGGATCGTGACCACTTTTCCCGCTTCCAAGTGGATGCCTTCCGAGTAATGGGAAAGGGAACTGGCGCCGTCGTAGATCGAAAGAATCACGCCGGGCTCCACGACGGTTCCTAAACCAGAGAATCCGAAAGAAAAGCTTAAATTGAAGGTACCTGGAATAATTTCATGAACTTCTAGGTTCAGAACCAGTGAAAGCGTAGTTTCGGGTCCCGGTCGCAGAATGGTTTTATTTGGAGAAACGGAGTAGCACAGGCCGTAGGGGGTGTACATCGGACGGATCTCGTCCTGACAAGAGCCACTCTTTCCGAATTCACAGCTAACGAATAAATCATCGGCAGATTGGAACGAGTTGCGGTACACATCGAGAATGTCCACTTCGTCGAACCTGTCGAGCTCTTCGAATCTTGTAGAGTTTGAAGAGTTTTCATCGAGCATACTGCACATTGCCTTCAGCAAATCTGGATTCTTGGATGCGACCGACGAGGCTCTGAATTTTGATGTTGCTGGTCCGGAACTATTACTTTCATTACTTTATCTGCATCTTATTGCACACTCCAATGGTCGGAAAGTACATCTTGGGCAGAGTCTCGTAGCTCCTCCTCGTCGTCAACGGATTCATGATAAAATAGTAGGTGACCCGTTCGAACACTTGATAAAATGTCAGTCCGATGAAGAAGATGACGACGAATCCCCAGAGCACTCTTAAAATAGAATCGGTTTGATTTGTGTTTTGTGCTCCAGACATTCCGTGATGCATTTATGAAATTTAAGAAGGCAATGGGGACGAGGGTGGCAATCGCAATTCGGATTCAATTCCATTTGACTTCTGAACTTACCGGAACCACGTCTTGTAGCGAGTGTGCAAGTATCTGAACCCGAGCATCGAAGTGTCCTCGGCGAAGCGATCGAGCGTCGGAATGTCCACGTCCATACTTGTCGTCTCTTCGATGAACTGCTCAACTTTTATCTGAACTTGTATTCATAATCAATTGGATCTACAGTATACCTGAATGAAAGCAAAGAAATTAACTTACTTTTATCGGTGACGTGGCAAGAACAAGAGTATCAACGTCTTCGGACCTCCGTTTTCGGGGCATTTCAGAGAAGACGTGGCCGTCGTCGGAAAGAGTGGCAACGTCGTCGCCGCCCAAATGGCTTCTTTGTAATCGAGACGGCGTCCGTCGGCCAACGGAAGTATTTCGGTTACACCGATTTTTCATCACATCTCCTCTGCCCTCTCTCGATCTGTGGTGTAGTGCAAAAAGGATTGTCTTTCAAATGGTCGCACGGAGACACGTTTTTGCAGTCATCGTTGCAGACGAATATTGACTGCTCAATGAAGATCACATTCTGATGAATTAGAGGAAAAATTCGAGAAGGGACAGATGAAACTAAGACCAATTTTACACGTTGATGGCCAATAAAGGACAAATGGACAGATGTTGTCGTCGCAATCGCGCTCTATCGCACTTCGCGTGAAGTTTCTACACTGCAATTTAAATTAATTACGATGACAAATTCTCTTTTTCAGTTTTCACGTTAAAATTTTGACACGCCGCCTGTTCTTTTCCTCAATTATCCAGTGATATTTGTAACGCCGAATTGTCTTGATGTTTGTGTCCAGGTGAAAAACACAAAATTGCAAAACTTTTCGGATTCCCATTTCCCACATTTTGCATTTTGTGCGCGCGGTTCTGAACTTTACACAAGTGCTGTCTCAAATTAGCATGAAAATCCCCGAGAGGAAGAACGTTTTGGTTTTGTTTTCCTTCTCGAAAATAGCAGTCGGACGTCATCATTTTTCATCTTCTTCTTCATCGTCCCATTCGTACGCTACCCTCTAATAAATCGCCGAAATTCCCAACAAACTGGCGTCCAATTTACTCGGGAAATGTCGGTCGCTCCGATCGAAGCTCTTTCTCCACTTTTTCATGTAGGCGCGCACCATTATCAATCATTTCTCTTCGTGTTTGATATGGAAAAGGTGTGCATTATCAGAGTGTTGGCCGACTGTCCAAAGTGTGCTAATCCGTTCAATGTGTACATGCGAAAAGAGACCATCAGAGACTGTAAGCATTGTTTGGCCAAGGAGCGGCCACAGCCCTCTCCGGACCGACTGTTCCTCATTTTATGCATCATCCGAATGTTTTGTGTGTTCGACTGTATGCATCGTACGCCGTGTTTGGCTGTACTTGTATTCATGACGCATCCACCAGGTGACGCATGCCCTTAGCCCGCCTCCCGTCCATCGCTTCTTCTTCCCTTCTTCCATTCTATTCATTCTGCTGCTTCTGTTGATGCTGTCGCTGTGAACTGGTACATTTCTGTCACTGGCCCGAGTAAATCTCATCCTAATCTGGTCGCAACGATTCTAGAATTGCTACCGATTTGGCTTGAGATTTCCTCGTGTTTCAGATGATATGCTTTAATGGGAAAGGATTTTTTAATTGAGCTACAATAGTTATCTACTACACAGATGAGAGAAATCCGCATTTCTTTCTGAACCACTCTGTGATGGGCCTGAAAGAGATCGATTTGAAACTTAGCGGAATCAGTGAAAACCCTCTTCCGGCGGTAAATAGAATCCAGTATCGAAAAAACAATATCCACCACACTTTTCAGTTCATAAATGCAATGAATGCCTCTACTGTGGCACGGAGGTATTCTGGAGAGAGCATGGCTCATTCTGCCTCCAAACTTTTCTTCAATGACTCCAAATTGGGATGTGGATGTGCTTGAACCATCGACTGAAGAACTCCCCATACAGAATAGTTCAAATCCGGTGACGACGCTGGCCATTCAGAACTGCTGATGAAACGAGGAAAGTTGGCTGAGCACCAGGCTTGGACGACTTTTGCCTTGTGAGCGTTTTCATAGATATAAATTAATCCATCTTCAGAAAAAAACGCATTTTCAAATGCGTCGTTTACAAACAGTTTCAATGTCATTTGACACCTTCTTTCTGTTTTCAAAAGTTCTATTCAAGAGTTTTCGTTGTATTTCCCTTGTTTTGAAGGCAAAATGTAAATCTAGTTGAAAAAGAACGCTTCATTGGATCTTCCGCGAAATCTGACTAAAAACGGGTCAAATGCTCCGGCCCCACGATAGATACGATGTTCAATCGCCTTTTCGCACAATTCTACACAAACTACTTGTGGTCCTCCAAAGAAAGCCTATAATTGTATAGGCTATAAATGGTTGAAAACGTTTCCTAAAAGAAAAGTTTGCGCTCATCGCTCGTTTTTCGGCGAAATGGTCGTGAAAGTTAGACACTTCGAGTCGAAAGAGTATTTATTGGATTCGGATAATACTTTATTCACATACTTCCGATCATGCAATATGTTAATGTGTTGGTTATTTACAAAATAGGAACTTATAAACATTTCGGGATTGTTTAATCCCAATCGGTCCTCTGGACTCCATATTGTTTCGCCTTGCGGATCACTTGTCGACGTCCGGACATTCAAAATCCGCAGAGCGAGCTTCGCCGTGTCAAAATGTGGCTTCGCAAACACTTTCGATCCCTCAATGGATTCCGTTGTTACGTCCTCCTTCATGGCAATGACTGCTCTCGTCGTAAACGACACCTTCTTCTCCGGCAGTTTTCTCTGAGGATGCCTGCAAAAATCGTACATTTTTCCGTTTCGAAATTTATAATTAGACCACCCGTGACACTTCCCAGCGTTATTACTTATGACAAACATTCACATTTAAAAAGTGCATGGAAAAATAGAAATTTTTCGTAAAAAAATTTTCGAGAACACACACTGACGACGATGAAAATCCGGATTTGGAAGATTCTGAAGAGGAAACTGCTTTCACTTCTGACAGCGACGATGACTCCTGAATGTGATCAATTTCTGCTCGCGCACCCTTTTTCTGCACATACGCTCCCCGAAGTGCTCATAGAATTCATTCATCAGCTGATTGAATTTGAATTTGAATTTATTTATTTACAACTTAGGAAGTGTTAACAAGCGATTCGAATTTTAACGGAGAGAGGGAAAGACTGAGCAATTGACACAGTTCCAGATAGGGACTGGGTTAGCGAAAAAATCGTTTAGAAGAGGGTTTCCATAGTTTTTACTGTAAATTTACATGTAAAGCACCTGAATATTTATAATTTACTATATTGTTTGTGCTATTGCTGAATCAAACGTCTCGCAATTGCACTCTACTGGTCACCGCTTAAAAATTCTAATTGAAATCAGTGCACTAGTCAATAATTGCGGTATCATTAATGGTGCAGCACTGAAGTTCTATTTTCGAAGCCTTTGTGGCGAGACCCGTCGGCGCCAACCGTATTGAATTTGAAAAAACAATTTATTGTTTACCAAATTTGACCAAAAACACGGCTTTTGTTGTCGAAACGTTGTTCTTTTCATATTTTCTTTTCAATTTTCAGTTTATTAGCCATTCATCTCATTTTCTTTCAGAACGACGCATCTATTTCAGTGTTTTCTAGAAAAAATGTGCGAAAATCAAATTCTTGAGTACTAAATATAAATTACGTAGCCACTCCTTCTGATCTCTAATTTTTTGTGAATATTTTTTTTTCTGTGATGAGAATTTTACAGAAATAAATATCGTGTCATTATGTCTGGAAACTGCTCCGTCGAAAAACTCAAACTCAAACTTCCGCGTAAAATGTTCGTGGCGCAAGCGACCTCTGCTGACCCACATGTCGCAGCAGTTGGCGCATTTTCCCTCTCTCTGCACTCGTTCCTTCTTCCCGTTTGTGTGTGCCCTCGATTCGACCGCATCTTTCGATTGTTTTCCCCCCCGTTTGCCTCTTTCCCGCCGGCTGGCCGCGGACGAAGAAGAAGAGGAAAAGAGAAGAAGAAGGAGCCGTCACTCGAAACACTCTTCTTCTCCGTCGACCGGCGAGAAGGCACCACAAATCTGATTTCGTCATACCTCTTTCCCTTTTTGCGTTTTTGTGCTTCTTCTCTTCCGCCTGTTGTTCTCATCCGAGTAGTACGTGAGTGCTGCGAAGTTTACTGAGAGAGCAGACATGCCGATCGGTAAGCAGGGCGCGAATTCGGAACGAAAACAGTTGTTTTCTTCACGATTTTATTCGCATATGTCTGCAAATTCTGGAAGTGAGTTGTTTTTCAAAACATTCTGATGAAAGAGTTGAGAACAAAAAAAGAACATTAGCTAATGCTAAATTGAGCGCCGCTTTAAAACGGAGTGTCAATGAAAACAAAAGCAGGTCTGAAATTTGTGGAGTTTTTTCCGAAAACCCGAAATTTCATCCGAAAATGAGAAAAATGAAGTAAAACAGAGAATTTCAGGATTTTTAATGACAGCTGTGACCTTAAATTACCGTTTTGCCCACAAGAAAGCGCGCATTATTACACTTTTCTGTGAATTTCAGTCCCGATCCTCAAAAACTGGAAGTTCTCAGTCATTTTTGCATTTTATGGGCCGTCTCTGTGCTCAAAATGACCGCCTTTGTCTGCTGAACAATCGTGAGGCGTTTTTTGATTCTGTCAACTGTTTTCTCAAATCTCCCGAAAGTTCGTTTTTTCAAGCAAAATTTAAAAAACGAAATTACTCTTCGAATTTTCACTTTTACATGAGCACTCTGTGATCATTTTGTAGCTATCGGTCATATGAACAAACGTGAAGCAAAATTTTTGAAGGAAAACTGCATAATCCCAAAAACTCGGGATAACATCACTTTCAGTTGAAAAACCGTATCCCGTAAATCGACACTGAGAGCCGCACGCAAAAAAGCGCGCGAATAATTTTTAAAACCGATGGGGAAACAGTGAGTATGTTGGAGTCACACTACATGAATGCAACAACATTTGCGCTGATAAGAGAAAATTATCATCATTCGGCTCCGGAATGTGTATGGCTTCTCCGATTCGCCCCCTTTCGCTTTTTTCGTTCTTAAAATAGCGCAAAAGACACAATTTTGAAGCGGAAAAACCGTTGCGTTCACGTGATTTGCTACATCCCCGCCCGAAACGTGTCCGGTTTTCTCAACTCTTTCGTTTCGGTGATTTCCGTACGTGACAGAAATGATTTGGCATGTCTGCAGTCTCTTTTATCAGCGCTCACTCTTGCCGGAATGCACTGGTTTCGTGGCCTTTTCCAAAATTATTTATCACTGACCAGTGTATTCTTCGCACAAAAATTGACTTCCATGTCTATCAAAAATATAAATGAGTTGTGTACATCCAAAAGACGACAAAGTCGAACTCCAAAAAACCAAGCGGTCTTTGTCTCCGCCCACCTCGTGAGATCGCGAGGAACAGTAGTAGATTCATCAGCGGCGTCGTCGTCGTCTTCGTCGTTCGCATGTCCCCCGTTCATCCACAAATTTCAACGAGATGATGGTTTCACGTGCAGATTTGCCCACGTCTTCTTCCTCTTCTTCGGAACAGAGGACGACTCACGGACCCCTCGAATCATTTGCACCGGAGTTTACTCACAAAGCAGGCACGATTGCTTCTCTATCTATTTTCGGGACTCCTTTGGACCAAGGTAACAGTTTTTCGGTAGTTTAGGTAGCTGGAATATACATGGGTTCACCTTTTGTTTGTTTTTCTTAATTGCATTTTTTTTAACCGTTCGTGCTGCAATCGTTAACATTACAATAGACAAGTGTACTTTATTCTATTTTTGCGGTGATTTTCATGTGTCTCGTGGTTGTGTGTTTGCCATCGATCGATTTGTATTATGAAAAACGTATTGAAAAGTGATGTCACCCGTCCCTCGGGGGGTAAGTCGACTCAAAATTTCACGTGTGTTCTGTCGGCGATAATTGCTAGTTTCTCTGCTTTTCTCGCTCACTCTCGATTTTCAGTGCTTTTCCTCTCTTGACCCATGTATATTCCCTCCAATTCCATTAATTCGTTACGAGTAATCAACGCATGAGTTGTTTTTGTTTCTTGCAAAAGCGGCAGTTGCTGGCGCGCGCTCGCGTTTTCTACGTTCCCGACGTCCAATTGTCCAGTTGTTCGAACAACTGGACGGCGCTGCTTCGTTTGTTCGAAACTTAGTTCAAAAACGAATTGTTGCAGAGTGCCAGCCCATCCCGGTGGTGCCACGGAGTAGTAGCAGCGACGAGCTTCGTGTTTGGCGAGTGACCAGTTCGGGTTTGGTAGAAGTCGACGCAAATACAATGGGTGCATTCCTCGACAAACCGAAGACCGAGAAGACGAACATCTGCGGAGAGGGAAATGTGAGAATTGGGAGTGGGCGTGTGCTGAAAGTCATCACTTGTTTTCAGGGCGTCAGTTACGGAATGTCGTCGATGCAAGGCTGGAGGAAATGCATGGAGGATGCTCACATCGCCGAGACCGTAATGTCACACGCCGCCCCCTACAAGGACTGGTCATTCTTTGCCGTTTTCGACGGTCATGCCGGTCCAAACATTGCCACACGAGCTTCGCTGCAGCTGCTCGAGCACCTCATCTCGGGCGAAGAATTCCGTGAGATGACAAAGTCGCTGGAGGAAAACAACGGAGTGCTCACTGATGCCACGCTCAAGCTGCTCGAAACGGGCATCAAGAAGGGCTTCCTCAGCTTCGATGAGACGAGCAAGACCAGTCCGGACGGCGTGAGTTTCCCCGCAAGTTCTTTTAGGAATTTATGAAATCTTTGTGATTACAGAACAAAGGCGGATGCACCGCTGTGTGTGCCATCATCACTCCAACGCACATCATCATCGGAAACCTCGGTCAGACTATTCTAAAGCGACAATTTTAAATGCTTTGTTTACAGGTGACTCGCGTGCTGTCATCTGCGGAAAGGGCAACCAAGTGTTCGGCACAGAAGATCACAAACCTTACCTGGAAAAGGAGAGAAAGCGCATCGAAGATGCCGGCGGCTCCGTGATGATTCAGAGAATAAACGGAGCTCTGGCAGTGAGCAGAGCGTTCGGAGACTACGATTACAAAGAGCATCCGTTGCTCTCAGCTGACCAGCAGCTCGTGTCCCCGGAGCCAGACGTCTACATTCGCAAGAGAGACAAGGAGAACGACGAGTTCATGGTCGTCGCCTGCGACGGAATATATGATGTGATGACGAACGAAGAGCTCGCCTCATTCGTCGGAGACCGCCTGCTCGTGCAGTCTGATTTGAGACAGGTACATTTTTGACAAAATCAATGCAAATTAAACTTCTTTCCAGGTTTGCGACGATGTCCTCGACGAGTGTCTGATGAAAGGAAGTCGGGACAACATGACGATGGTAATGGTGTGCTTCCCGGCTGCACCGACCGTCAATGCTCATCGCAAGGAAGCCGAGGAGGCATGGGTCGCCAGAGTGAAAGCGAACATCAATCAGACGATCGAAGAAGCCGTCGCATCGCCTGACTTCCAGAAAGAAGACGACGTGATCAGTCTGAAGAGCATTCTGGACAAAGTGTCAGCGGCCGGACTCTTCCCGACCGATCTTCGTGTTCCGGCACACACTGTCACCACATTGGCGCAGAAAATTCTCGCTGAACGCGATATCAAGCACGTGTAATCTCCCTTACTTCTCGCTTCATTATATATAAAGTACAGTTTCTCATTCTGCTCCTCATCCTCCTCCCGTTGCGTTTATTCCTCCAATTTCCCCTCTTTTGAATCATCCATTTTATCCAAATCATTGTTTTATTTCCAAAAACAGAACCTGTGCCAATAACCCTTTTTCCTCCATCGTTTCTCTTAAAATTCACCCTTTCTACAGCTAAGCATGCCCCCTGAGTTATAATGTTTTATCCCTCAACACTCGCGGTTTCAAAACCACTACCCCACAATTGCGAATCGTTCGTATTTTACCCAGCAATCAACCACCAAACCAACAAATTTCTGTTATTTATGTCAATTCGAACCAAAATATTATTTACGGATTCATCATTTTCATTTGTATGATTTACTAGTTAATTGAATAGAATGAAAAAGAAAAATGATGTGTCTGTCATATGCAGCGCCGTCCCCCTTCTTCTGCTCCCCTTCGCCTCATTCGTGCCCAACATGCGCCTTGCCCTCGTCCTCTCCCTCGTCTCTTCCCTTCAGATATTCCAACAGTCCAGCGTCGATCCGCGACAGTTCGACAGCATTTGGCAAGTGTCCCTGATCACTGCCGCTTTCCCTACCGGAAAGTTCATTGCCACGTGTTTCCTATCGTTTCACGATGTGAAATTGCACGCGGAGCTGGACAGATGTGCCCGGCTGCTGGTGCTTGGCGCCATCATTTCCGTGCTTCCCTTTTTCCGAACAGTTTTCTCGTTCTTCGGCCGCTTCATAATGGGCTTCTCGGCGGGCAGTGGCTTCGTGTGTGCTCCGGCGGTGCTCCGTCTGGCGGTTCCGGAGAGCATGCGTCCGGCGAATTTCCTCTTCCTCGCCGCCGCCTTCTCGATGGGAACGTTGCTGGCCAACTCGATGTTCCTGCTCTCCGCCCTTCTTTCGCCCACTTTCTTCGCCGCCGGACTGACCTGTGCGGCCGGGGGACTGTATCTTGTGCTCCGTCCGGACTATTATCCAGTCGAAGAGTGCACGGAGCCCGTTTCGATCGACGGAGAAGGCGTCGAGCCGACGAAGAGCTCGCATCCGGTGCTCTTCGTTTTCGTGCTCATGGTCATCAATGTGGTCAGTTTCTGATATCAACCATCCTAGTAACTGGGTTCAGTCCAGTCCCTTCTCTTTTTCAGTCAATCGGCGTTCCCCTGATGCAAACCTACAGTACTCTCATCTTCACCCACTATGGAATGTCCGCCACGGCCGCTCTTCTTCTCTCCATTTCCTACCCGATCCTTCAGTTTATTCCAGTCATAATATCGACTCGAATCAACATATCTCGGAAGGTTCTGGTGCTCGGTGGCTATTTGGTGGCCATCGAAGTGCAGTTCTTCCTGCTCATCACCTCGTCGTATCCATTCATTCCAGAAAAGGTTCTCTCTCATTTCTTGTACCCACCGCAGTCCTTTCCAGCACCAGATGATCGCCATGACGGTCCTTCTACTCGTCCTTTCCGTCTCGTTCATTATCCCGTGCAACACTGCTCTCTGCATTCTCTTCGAGCAGTTCGACGGAGCGAATGTGAAGACGGCGAGCAAATCGAGATGCGTCATGTGGTTTCTCGCTTCGATCAGGTAGGATCCTCACTTTTTTTAAAATCTCTTCCACGGTCCATTTCAGCACTCTGACCTTCTCGGAAAGCCTGAATTCCTACGGCTTCACCGTCGCCTTTTTCCCCTATTTCTTGGTTTCCGTCGTCTCCTACGTCATCATACTTTTCATTTTCCCATCGAAACGCCCATTTTCAATTCAATTGTGACAATTTGTTTATAAATAAAGTTGATAACAACCCGAACTGATAGTTGGAAAGACTCGGAATCGAATGGGATACCCGTAGGAACGAGAAAGCAGGAAAGAAAGACAATATGGAATGGAATAGGATTGAATTGAAAAAGGCTAGAAAGAGGATTAGACGGCAATCGATCGATCGGCCGACAGGTTGGCGAGACGGGCTGCTCGCTGAGTTCGGGGAAGGACAGAATGACATCCGACGGTGATCAGTTCGGTGGAGCGCGTGTAGTTCCAGTAGCCGGTGGCACGATCGCAGGAAACGCGACGGAGAATCGGCACTTTGCGGACGATGGGCATGCAGAAGGCGCCGGTGGAGCCACGGCTTCTCCGGCAAAGACACACCGACTCGGCGATCAGCTTCGGCTCACGACTCTCTTGGTAATTGACTCTGAAACATGAGCACAATTAGGTGTTTCCATCAATCTTCGTGTATTCGTACCTGCTCTCCCACGGACAGAGCGCCCTTTCCATGATCGAAGTGCTTCCCTCGACCCTCGGGGACTTCTCACAAATCGCCGGCTCCTCTCCGTTTGTGCTCCATTCCTCGAGAGCCGTATCGTCGAATTGGCCACTCATTGAAAGCTGCATCCACGACGCCAGATCGTCTTTCTGAAATGTTTGATTGCTAGTTGATTATTGATGCCAGTTATCGTTTCTCTCTCGTTTTCTTGACCCCTTGCGAACACTGTAGACAATTGCTTGCGCAACAGATATTCTCGGGAAAGTGCGACGGGAAAGCGGGTCAGTGTCAAGCCACGACGATCGCCATTTCTACCTAGTGCAAGACGGAGAAGGGCACACGGGAAGTGCTAATCGGAAGGGCGATCGAGACAAAAACTAGAAGGTTGAGGGAACGGTTGTTGCAACTAAAGTGTACTTTGGTTGTAAGTACGCCTAGATGAATTGAAATTCCAAATAATGCTGAATTACGGACCTACAGAAAGAACGTGAACATTCTCTCCAAGCACACTACTCTATTTACCTACAGTACGTCAGGCGTACTCCGTCTGATAGCGATAAACCGAACAGTAACCTACCAGCGTCGGCGGCTCCTCGCACTTTCTATCCGTCCATTTCGGGCCGGCATGCCTCCGGACAGTGTGTCGTTTTGCCATCACAACGGAGAGAATCAAAAGCGAAATGATAGAGATGCGGAAGGAAAGCATCGTGGTGGCGCAATCGGCGGAATCAATGAAGACGCGGGCCGCGCGAGGGGTCAACGCGAGATGATGACCTAGTGACATGCAAACGAAGTGAGAAGAAGGGGGCGGCGCCGAGCGCATTGCTTAGAGTTTATTGTCGCAAAGTACATTGGAATGGATGAAAGAGAAAGAGAGAGAGAGATACGGTCAGCAGAGATTGATCAGTTTCTTTTCATTGAGATTCTCGATCGACTTGGCGATGAGCAACGCGTTGCTCTTCTGGTATCCACCGCTTGTTAGCATGCAGATGGGGATGCCTCTCGACTTGGCCATCTCGAAAACCACCTCGTCACGAGAGATTATGCACTGAAAGAAGTCAAAATGGTACTTAAAGTATTCGTTTCACTTTACCTGTGGGCTCAAGTTCATTGCACCCAGTGGATCTCCGTAAAGACAGTCCGTTCCGGCGTTGTACAGAATGAAGTCGAATCCAGGAGGTGTTCGCGTCTCGCGGTCAGTCAGACACTTCTTCAGTTGTTTACGCAATTCGCTGAAAAGATCTGGGTCAGTGAGATGAAGCTGGCGCGGCGGCACGTACGAGAGGTAGGAGGTGTCGGTCGTGTGACGATCCACGTGCACCGCCTTGTTGATGAACTGGCGAGCCTCGCGATCGTGCGGATACACGTACGGATTGAAGACGTCAAACACGAAGACGTGCTCGTCGTCGGCGAAGTCGCGCGCGTGGCCGTTCCCCTGATGCGCGTCCAAGTCGACAACAATCGCGTTCTTCACCGCTCTTCTTTCGAACAAATCGCGGATTGCCATGGTGATGTCGGCGTAAAAACAGAATCCGCCGCCGTCCGCGTCTGAAAGCAACGATAATTGCTGGCTGTATTAATACAATCCCTCGACGGCGACTAGTGGCAAAACATACGTGACGCGTGATGGAATCCGCCGCCCACGTTGATCGCCCAGCCGTGCTTCAAAGCCAAATTGGCAGCCAGGACCGAACCGCCGGCTTGAAGTCTGAACACGAAATCGTTTGAAACGGGCAGGAGGGTGGATGGGGAGTACCGGAGAGGATGAAGAAGTTTGCTCTCGATCACGCACGGCGGCAGACACGTCACGAATCCCACTTCAACTATTTGGGCCGCCTTCAGAGGATTTCGCACGCTTTTCAGATATCTACAATCGGTTAGTTATTGCGCTCTACCGCACTGGCTAGAACTCTTTGTAAACAATATAATTACTTTCTGTCGTGAACTCTGGTGAGCTCTTCAAACGTCGGAAGAGTCGGTTCGACGATCGTGGCATCAGTGATGAGCTCCCATTCCTTCAGATAATCGATGACTCTTTTCCACTTCCACGAGTCGAACGGATGGAAATGTTCGATTCCAAACGCAGATACATTGTAATCGGCATGATAAACGATGGGACGCTGGCGATCTTCTAGACTATGTTGCTCGTCGTCCTTACTAAATGTTGAAATTATCACGGCACATGGTAACGGGGGACTAAATATCAACTACTCTCAAGTTTAACTCACCGTTCTGTCATAAATCAGATGAGAAGACTGAGAAGCGAGCGAGCTCACTTTATTTTTCCGTTCTGTTATTATCAGCTATCAGAAGTCAGAAGACGCCCCTGGAAAGCAGGCGAGCGTGTGCGACAGTGACGAGAGAGTGTGTGGAGATGAGAGAGTGCAAAGAGACGCTGGCCGAAGTTTGGTCGCCGGGGAATTTTAGGCCGGTGGCGGTGTACTACACGAGGAGAACAGAATCCGTTTCGAAGACGACCGACGGCGGACGTCGTCATCATCATTTGCTCGGTTTTTCAAAGTTTTCGCGAGTTCTTATAATTTCTGTAAAAGTCGATAAACATTATTCTTCGTCCCGCTCCTAAAATTCGTTTCCGTTCCTGTTAAACTACTTTTTTTAGGGAAAAGAAGCAATCATCAGAAACTGCTCTCAACATACGGTTGAAATGGACGAACTACCGGTCAGATATTGGCTTTTAATTGGCCGAAGTTTACTTTAAATTGTTTTTAGGTGTTAAACAGTCTGTGCAAAAACCTCTATGAGAGCGTCGATCCGCAAGTCCGTCATCAAGCAGAGCTTAACCTGGCGGAGCTCTCGGAATCTCCAGAATGCCTGCAAAGATGCATGCTTCTGTTGGCCAGAGGAGATGTGAGTAAGATAACAAAGCTCAAAATTAGCCTGCGCTTTTCAGTATCCGTACGGACCAATGGTGGCCAGCACGACGCTCATGAAGCTCCTAGGCGGCAAGACTAGCATCACCTCATCACAAAAGCTGGAGTTGGCAAAGTATGTCTTGGAGATGCTCGGCCAGGGAGCACCGCGGTTCCCGCCGTATCTCGTCACTTCTCTTTGCCAACTTTTCGCGCGACTCACTAAACAAGAATGGACATACACAACGACACCGGAGAACAGCCCAGAAGACACGAAAGCAGAATATCCGTTCCGCGAGCCTGTCGGCAGTCTCATCAAAACTATCAACATTGAGAATCTGGAGGAGAGCATGCTGGCTGTGCAGTTGCTCACATTGCTTGTCGCAGATATGAACTCGGCCGCCGGAATGGAGTCGGTTAACAAGCACCGCAAGAATCTTTCGCAGTTCAGAGACGACTTCCTCTACGAAATTTTCTCGGTGTCTCTCAATTTCCTGAACGAAAATGTCGAGAAGAATTTGGATGATCGAAAAATCCAACTTTTGCACGCGGTTCTCAACTTGAATCTGCAGTGTCTTCTCTTTGATTACATAGGAAGTCTGACTGACGAGACGAGCGAAGACAACTGCAATGTGCAGATTCCGACTGCCTGGAGAGCCAGCTTCACGGACGGAAAGATCGTGCAGCTCATGTTCAAACTGCTCAGCAAGTTACCCCAGGAGTCTAGCGAGAAAGTGATGACTATAATAGCGCAGTTGGCCAGCATCAGACGAACTCTGTTTAATGGAACAGAGCGACAGGCGTATGTGCAGAAACTCGTCGAAGGAGTTGTCAGCGTCATCATGAATCCGGACAAGCTCAGCGATCAGGCCGCTTTCCACGAGTTCTGCCGTCTCATTGCTCGCCTCAAGACCAACTACCAGTTATGCGAACTAATTGCCGTACCTTGCTACGGTCACATGCTCCGTCTACTCGCCGAGTTTACAGTTCAAAGTCTCCGAATGATGGAGTTCTCCGCCAATAGCACGTACTTCCTGATGACGTTCTGGCAGCGAATGGTGACTTCCGTTCCGTACGTTCGCAACAACGACGAGCACCTTCTGAACGTGTACTGCCCGGAAATCATGACGGCGTTTGTGGAGAGTCGCCTGCAACACGTGGAGAACGTCGTGAGAGAAGGCGCCGAGAACCCGTTGGACGATCAGGGATCCACGCTACAGGTCATGGAGCATCTGGCAATTATCTGCAGATGCGAGTATGAGAAGACGTGCAAACTGCTCACGCAGCACTTCGATCAGAACGCCAACATTTGGATGAACGGAGCCGGGAATGTAAGTCATACGTCGAGGGAAAATTATAAAGAAACTGTGTGCTTTCAGGATGTGAACACTGTCATTGCCGAAGGTCGTTTGGTGTGGTTGGTCACTCTGATCGGAACGGCCGTGTTCGGAAAGACGACGGCTACCAGCAGTGACTCGCACGACAAAATGGACGGCGAACTGATTGCCCGCTGCGTGACTGTAATGCGGTTCAACGACAGTCGCCTGCAGATGTCGAACACTCAGATTCCGTTGAAGGGAAATCTGCGGCTGGAAGTCTCTTTCATCCACATGCTCGAACAGTTCCGTCGAGCTTACATAATGGATCAGATCACCCGAGCGAGCCCCGTTTACGACACCCTCGAGGCAGAGTTAAGGATTTCGGAAGAGTCCGACATGCTCGGAGTCATTGTCCAGAAAATCTTAACGAATCTCAAGTTCTGGCCGTCGAACTCGGAGCTTCTGGATCTTTCTCTCTCCCTCCTCAAAGACCTGTCCCTGGGATACACTGCAGTCCGCAAGCTGTTCCGTCTTCCAGAAGTACAACTTTTGCTCAATAATCACACAGCCGAGCACTTTATTTTCCTCGGGCCTACGATCGATTACCAGACGATGAAGCAGAGAACGACGTTCTACGAAGCACTGACGCGTCTTCTGACCACCGATTACACCGAAGACGACGAAATGCTTCAGAGCTTCCTCCGACCTCTCGGCGGTAAGAATATGCGTGCAAAAAATGTAATTAACTTTTTTGTTGAATTTTAGACACCGTTGAAGGAATCTGCAACGTCATTCAGAACAATTGTCAGGGAATTGAGGAAGAGCATCTCAAGGTTTGTTAGAAATTCAAAAATGAATGAAACTGAACAATTTGTCATTTCCAGAAAATCATCACCGGATTGTGCCGAGATTTGCGAGGAGTTGCCATCGCTTGCACTGTCAAGAACATCTTCCAGGTGCTTTTCGAATGGATGTAAGTGTTTCAAATCTATTTCCGTTCAAATCCATCGTTATTAGGTACCCGGAGGTGTTCAACATCTTGCAATTCTCCGTCGAGAAGTGGCCGGAATGCGCCGAAGTCGTCTGTCCGATCCTTCGACTTCTCTCCGAAATGGTTCAGAACCGGCAGCAACGTCTCAAATTCGAGATGAGCTCGTGCTCGGCTGTGCTGCTCTTCAAGGAGACTTCGAAGATCGTGACCATCTACGGAGAACGTCTTCTGCAGCTTCCCGAGGTGTCCAAGGACAGAGTGTACAAGGAGAGATACAAGAACATCGGAGTCATCTTCCTCATACTCAAAAACGCGCTGATAGGTGCCTACGTGCCGTTCGGCGTCTTCCGTCTCTACGGAGATTCCTGTCTTCAAGACGCGCTCACCACATTCATCAAACTGTTTATGAGCATTCCGGAGGCCGACTTCCACGTAAGAATCCCAACCACGTAGTTTTCTTTCATTTTCTTTTTCCAGAGCTACACTAAGATCGCCCAAAATTACTACAATCTTCTCGAACACGTCGTTCAGGACAACATGTCATTTGTCACCAACCTCTCCGTCGACGTCTTCTGCAGTCTTCTCCGATCCATTCATTCGGGTCTCAGCTCCGTCGACGCCATTGTCATCACGTCGGCTTGCTCCTCACTTGATACCATTCTCAACTACCTGTACCGACGATTAACGAGATCGACGCCGCCAACGAACAAAGTGGGAATGGATCCAGAAGGAGATAACATTCTGGTGGCTGTCAAACAACATCCAGACATTCTGGCAAAGGTAAGAACTCACTCGTTTCTAAGCTTCCCGCTAAAAGTGCTCTGTTCAGATGCTGCAAGCCGTCATAACGTTGATGATGTTCGGAGAAGTCAAGTGTCAGTGGAGTCTGTCGCGCCCGTTGCTCGGTCTCATTCTCATACAAGAGGACGTCTACACTGACATGAAGCGAGAGCTGACTTCTCAGCAGACGTACGACCGTCAGGCGGACTTTGACATGCTCTTCACGCAATTAATGGCGAACGTGGAAATGAATTTGTCGGTGAAGAACAAGGACACTTTCACGCAGAACCTGACCCGCTTCCGTCGTGACATTGCCAATGTGCTGAAGGGACAGTCGTTGGCGCCGAATACTGTTAGCCAAGAAATGCAATAGAGACATTTTCTAAACCTTCTAAATAGCTACTCCAACTATATCATGTTTTCCTTCCATTCACATCATTCATCATTCTGATTTCGCTTTACACGGTCACTCTTTTCTTCCCATTCTCTCCCGATTTTCAGCACATCTTCTTGTGCCGATCTCCCATTTCATCTGTAATCCGTTCTTTGTTTTCGTATTCCTTGCTAGTTCCTCCGCATTCGTATTTTTGTGCGTATTGGTTTATCTTGTTAGTATTATTTATTCAGTTTTATCACATTTTTCCTCCCCCTCTTTGTCTTCCGGATACCAAACCTTAACTGTGCTCTATTTAAAAACGCGTAGCCGATTCTATTCCGCACGTTCCGCACGCTCCCCAATTTCCCTATATACCAAAACTCGTGTTCTCGTAAGCAATCCCACTTACAAGTTGATGAATTCTTGTATCGAATTCCCTCATAACACTTGTTGCAGATATCGCATTTCAACCGCAGTTAGTTCGCCGCCACGTTTCTGTGGCTCTGCTTTTGCCCGGGCTCACTCTGATTGACAAGCCGTTCTTTTGTCTCCTCAACTATGACATTCCCTGCCGCCTCTCTTTTTACCCAATCGAACTGATGTCTCTTCTCTCGTCTCTGGAAGAGCCACAGCTCGCAACTCTCCAGAGAATTGAACGGCAGCCGAAAAATTCTAATTTGAGAGTGGGGGGAGGAGGCGCGGCTGAAAGAGAAGACAAAAAACACATGGCTCATCGGATTCATTGCAGCGCCGAAATGATAGGTTGCTCGGCTCGCGGGCGACCAGAACCGACTGGAATTCCGCCGCGTTTCGTCTCAACTCAAAAGTGCGCGTAAATTTCGGAAAAAATGTCCTCCCCCTCGTCCCGCTCGCCTCGCTTTTCACACTCCATAAATTGTGCACAAGTATATATAGAGGCAGAGCGTTGACTTTTCCCCAACTTAAGTCGAAGAAGTAGGAGGAGGAGCAGAACCCTTTGTGGAAATGAATCCAATTGAGTTTCTTGTTTCACTCGACTCCGAATCATCCGAATCCCTCTCAAGGTTCAAACATTTCGACGCCCCGGCTGCTGTAGTTTTCTTTCCATTTTCTCGAGTTTTCTGTTTTCGTACTATCCCCCTCTACGGCTTTTTGAGCAAATTCAGTTCCAAAAAGGAATAACAGCCAAGTATTTGATCTCTAGAATGTCTAATTCTGCGAGTCGAAATCGTAGCTTCAATTTACTTCAATTTAGTAGAGCGCGACTGTTAGAAAACTCTGCGGCTACAGTAATTGATCCGCTGCGGTTTTTTCGTCCGTAATTCCAGCACTTCTAATTTATGTGTTTTCGACGGTGTCCCCCTTCGTTTTCGTGATTTTCGAGTCTTCGATAACGGTGAGCCCTCTCTGCCCGAATTGCGTTAAAGAGGCACACGTCGGCGATTCGCCCCCGGGCGCTTTTGTCTTTTCGTCGCTTCTCCCGCGCTCCCCCGTGAGCCTAATCAGCTTTTTGAGTCGCCCCTTTTCCTGTATTCGTCATCGTTTTCTCTCTCTCTCTTCTTCATGGGTACAGATGGTGGTCCCGCCACGAATGGAACGGATCTTTGAGATGCTCGCTCTCGCTCTCTCTCTTTCTCGCTTTTCCACCCACTTCCCCGTTCCAACGATTGACAATCAGATGTCGGAATGAGTTGAGCTCAGCGAGTTCCGGAGAGCATTTACCTGAAAAGTAGGCTGTTTTCGTTGGTCTCATTCTTCTTTGCGCGAACACGTCGATTCAAAGAAAGTCTTGGCACCTTTTCGAAAAGGGAAAAACGAATGAAAACACCTCCGTCTAAATTCCTCGTCATCATCCTCTGAAATTCTATTCCATTCGGCAGCTCAAAGTTCTGTCGGGAGGTGGAATAGGCCAGATGGGGCCGTGGAATGGAATGAAATGGATGTGCAGGCGGCTTCCGTCCGACGAATGAGTTTGACCAATCGAGAGCCGCTTCCGACATCGCGAGCAGAGAAGAGAAGTCAATCAAGTCAAAACGGCAGCCAAAACAAGTCCTCCTCCTCCTCCTCTTTTCCTTCTTCCTCTTTCTCTTTCAACGTCTTCTTCTTCTTCTTCTTCTTCTTCTGATGCTTCTGACTGACTGACTGTTCTCTGAAACCCCATGAACCGCCGCCCGTGCTGTTTGGTCCGTTTGAGTTATTTGACTGCTTGCGAGGTGTCTGATAGGTCACTTTTGAAAAAGACGGAAAACTAATTAGAACCTTTTCGCCACTTCGTGCCGCGCCTCTTTTCCATTTTCACATTTCCCCCATGTTCTACTGCTAATGCACTTTTATTTTGATACAACATTCACAATAAGCTATTTTGAAAATTTTGGTGTGCCAGTGTGCTCTACCGGATAAACTGGATGGATTTGAATTTTATTCTAGAAAACATAATTTCGATGCTATGGGGAAGTTTGCATGTGCACTCTTGGCGGGAAATTTAAATTTCGAGGCAAAACAACAACATGTTTTTGCCGCGAAATAAACCATTTTAAAACTACTTTCGTTGCTCGAACTTTGGAAATTCTCGTAACCTCTTCTTCTCATGCCATTTTCCGCGAGAGCATAACTCAGAAACGTGGCTGATCCGTCTCTAATCTCTGAACTTTGGCACATCACGTCTCCGTTCACCTTGTCAGCTCCGCCCGCTCCTTGAGAAGAAGATTATTATCCGTGTCCATGTCTCGTCAACCAATTGACACTCCTCAACCAATCACAACTCTTGACTCCGTTCGGCCACTCGAGTACATCCCTTTTCCTCATATTCTTCTTCTTCTTCTTCTTCTCCGGACGCTTCGTTTCTCTCCTTATTGAATCTCATCATCGGGGACCACCGAATAAAAACACAGCACAACAACTCGTCACGTACTTTCAGGCACATTTTCAGATTTCGGCGCCCGAGGCGTTTCTCGGAACGTAATCGGACCCCCGGATCCGTTTCTCCCCTTAAAATATCACTCGCATTTCCGAGTAATCGTCCTCCTCATTCTTCTTCTCCGCCCCAAAACTGCTCATATTTATGATCATTTAGCCGTGTCCATTATTCAAAGTGCTCTTCGCACACACAAATTTTATGATCTCTTTTTGAAGAAGGCAGAAGCGGCAGTGGAAAAGCGATAAAATCCGATTGGGGCGGCCAGCGCAGACTTTATTTTTTCTATTTTCCGTTCCGGACAATTCTATGAAAGTTTCACACTGAGAATGTTTATCCGATTATGTATGATGCTGGTTTCTCTTTTTTCGTGGGGCCATCTGGTAAACCGTTTCATTTTTGGGTATTCCGTAACTGTTCCTACAAAATTCTAAACTGTCGCCAAGAGTTCGATGGAGCGCCCTTTTCGATCTAGCTATAGCTGATCGCTATTCCCACGATCATCATTCGTACGTCTGTCTGCTCGCCCCCCTTCTGATCAGCGGGCCTCAATCAATCAACAGTGTTTACCCAGATATCATCGAGCGAAAGGCGGAAGACGCATGTGTTCCCCCTCCCTCGCACACTCTCATTAGACGCCCCGCGCCTCAAATTCGTACCCATTTCTTCATAATTATTCGGGTGTCATTAGAGCATTTTTCGCTTCTCTTTTCGTGGCCGTCATCATTATTGTTGTGCGCACGAAACATTATAATGAAAGGACCTGCCACTGACAAGCCTGTTCTTCTCCTTCTTTTTCTCGTTTTTCGGTCATCGTCACAGGACTCAGATGGTCGCATTTCGACTCATTTCGTTTCGTTTTCGAAAAGCTCTCACTCTTTTTTCGTTTTGCCCTCCTCGTTTTTGTTTTTTCCGAGCTCTCCAATCAGGTAAGATCGGGGCGTCCGATAGGGTGAGAGGCGAGAGATCAGGGCGGAAAAAAAACGGAACAGGCCGAAATAATTCATCGACACGCTCCTTCCGCCACAAGTACTCTTTTCCTTTCCTTTTCATCTGAATATCATATTCTTTTGGGAGCAGAAAGCTTTTGAAATCATTTCAATTTCAACGTGGCAACCATTGTCGTTCGTTCCGTTTTTCTTTTTCTTCTCCTCAAATCAACCCAATCAGGCGATCCGTCTCCGTCCAAATCAAGCCACTCTCGCCTCCCTCGCCGTCCATTCTCCGTCTTACTCATCATTCGCTTTTTTGCCCCCTTTTGTCCGGATATTCTCACGTTTAGCCTCTTTTCTCCGATATATCTACGTCATTGACCTCTTCCTCGTGCACTTTTTCTGCCCGGTGGCCGGTTTATAACCTCTCTGTTTTCAGAAGAAGAGGAAGACGTGAAATGGCATCAGGAGTGCGCGGCGGAACGAGATAAACGCGCGTTTTAGCTCACTCTCATTCACGGTAAGCGTCCTTCCATCGAAAACCTTTTCGAGGCTCTTTTCAGATGGGCTGCGACATGGGCTCGGTGAACTTCACCGGCGCCGAGTGGCTCGAGATGGCGGTGACGAATCTGAACACGGCGTACGCGCACATCCATCCCTACGTTTCGGTGGTTCTCTGTCTTGCAGGTAAGGAAGTAGACGTCTTCTGACACGGTTTGTTGTTGTTGATGGAAAGAAGAAGCAGAAGAAGGAGAAAAGGAAGAGGAAGAGGAAGAAGGGATGGAAATGGAGTAAAGAGTCTGATTGGAAAGTGGCGAGCCAGAGAGTTAGAGTGAGAGAGAAGGACGACAAACTGACAAACAAAGTTGGTGTAGTACAAAATATGGACAACATTAGCAAGTTTTCCGGAAGTATGCGAAAGAGAAGAAGCTCATGTCCGTTCTAAAACAGATTGTGGGAATTCTGAACTGTTCAAGACGCTACTGTACAATACCTTTCCAGAGAGTTACGCTTCTGAAAAAGACACAATTTTAAGCACTATTGTTATGGTTTCTATATAAACTAATATATCCGATTGCAGGGACCGCCATGAACATCGTGACTGTGATCGTGCTGACGCGTCCGTCGATGCGTTCGGCGGTCAACTCGCTGCTCTGCGCGATCGCACTCTGCGACATTCTCGTCATGACGAGCGTTCTCGTCTTCGTCACCCACTTTCTTCTCTTTGCCGGGTACAGGTTTGTCGGTTTTGCATGCTAGTTTCTCTTTTCATTTCCGTGCCTCCCCCACTCACACAACTCACCCTGTTCTTTCTGTGTTTCTCGGTAATAAGGTAGGTACCAGTTGCGGCAAGACGTCTTCTTCTTCTTCTTCTTCTTCTTCTTCGAGTCAAAGGCATTGGTATTCTTTTACTTACACTTTCCTTCTAGAGGAAATCTGTTCGGTAGATACTTTCTTTCTGTGCACTTTTTTCTTTTCATGGTGATCGTTGAATATGACCGAATGAAGAATGCATCCAATAGGGAAATGCTGATCAGTCCACCCACACACGCTATATTCTCGACAAGTTATCTGTTTCCAGATGTGACCCCTCGGACTACAACATCTACTGGGCCTACTTTCTGTACTATCACTCGCAAGCGACAGTGATATTCCACGCGACAAGCATCTGGCTGACAGTGAGCAATCTTTCAAATTACTGAATTGACTGGCTCTTAACTAGGTTCTCCTTGCTCAAATCCGAGTCTTCTCGATCCGGAGGGCCACTTCTGTAGCGGGAGAGTCCGTCACGAATCAGATGACAATCCTCATCGCAGTCACCACATTCATCGTCGTTTGTCTTCTGAACGTGCCGAATCTGATGACGTTCGAGGTTGTCTAAAGTGACTATTCGAACCCATCCATCTAATAGTCATTTTCAGATAATCGAAGCGCCCGCCTCTTTGTGGCTTCAATGCAAAGCAAACGAGACGGCAGATGATGAGATGCTCGTGTACCTTGTGGCTCCTTCGGATCATTGCGGGCTCCTGAACGTGAGCACTTCGATCACATATCTAATAGTTATTGTGTGAATTGTAGATAGCCTTCTGGACGAACGGAGTGCTCTTCAAAGTGGTCCCTTGTCTCTTGCTCACCTTCTCCATCGTCGCGCTCGTCAGCATCATCCGCGACGTGGGAAAGCGACGGAAGCAACTGGCGCAGGTGATGAACAAGAAGCGAATGCCGCGAGATCACACCACGCCGATGCTCGTCGCCGTTCTTTCTATCTTCTTATTCGCCGAACTGCCGCAGGGCGTGCTCCACGTCTTCAACGCCATTTTCACGAAGGAGACGTTCTACGAGAAGGTCTACATCCATCTCGGCGACGTCATGGATGTGCTCTCTTTGCTCAATTCGGCAGTCAATTTCATCATTTATTGTGCGATGAGTCGGAAGTTCCGCGCAGTGTTCATCCAGATATTCCTCACTTGTTTGCCTCAAAAGATTATACGGTTAGAGAGAAAGAGGAGGAACTAGCGAAAAGATTGTTTGTTTTTCAGAAAATATGCGATGGAGGCGTTCCTGGAAGGAGAAGTGTCGAGAATGCGACCAACGGACATGACGAAGAGCGAGCAGCTGGCACTCACTTCGCACCGCGTTTCCGCTTCTTCCGTCCTTCTGCCCGTCTCCAGGCAGGATCCTCCGAGGATGTACTCTGGAAATCTTCTGACTGCAGGTCAGTTAACTAGTTTAATGGATATCATAGCCAGAAGACGTCATATTGTTTTGAAAACGTTTCAGTGTAATCTACATACCTAGAACTTCATTTTTCCAGTTGACAGTTGTTTGTACATGCATCTCAGAACTACTGTAACTCGCCGAAGTGACGAGTTACAGTGGTTACAGTAGTCAACTAAAAAAATGAAGTTTCTTGAGAAATGTGACATTTCTGAACTCTTCTATGATCATTTAAAGTTGTATGACCACTTCTGTAGCTCGCCGAATACCATCACTTTTCAGAGGATCCGACGTAAACTAAGAAAGGTGATTTTCTAGGTGATTGCTCTTGCCTGTCCTCTTTCTCACGATTTCATCTCGATTCTAACTTGATCTGAAACCTACTGACTGCATTTTCTAACTTTCTCGTGCTCCCTCTCTCACTCTCCAAGCCCGCTCTTCTCATCCATTTCCAACTCATTTCAATTTCAGACATCAACGGAGGCTACTCTGCATCTCCACGGGTCTCCTTTGACATTGTTCGAAAAGAATCGCAGATCAGCAGTGTCGTCGATTTCCAGCTCGTCGTTCCGTCTCTCCAGGTGACATTTTAATCTCCCTTCAAATCCCCCAGTATCATCCATATTGCAGCAGGAGTCTCCGAGTCTGCTCCAGAAGATTCTCCGCTTCTTCCGTCCCACCGATGAGCTCTCCGACAGTCCGCAACGGCGGATAAAGTTGATGCAATGCGAAACGAGTACCGCCCTCTACTAATTGGATACCTGATAGCTCTTGCCGCCTGTTCTTAGAATTCCGAATATAGACGGGTTCGCCGAATGACATATCACCAAAGTTCACAAGATTAATAAACTTTTACTTGAACTCTTCAAAGATCGGAAGCACAGGAACTCGATTTGAAATTAGTTCCGACTTGAATGAACGCGTGAAATTGGAGCACGGAGCCAGCAGAGCTCTTCCGATTTCCTCGTAGAAGGGCGCCGACGCAGTGGCGTTGTACAAAATGATTTCTGAATTCGTTGATTTTTGACAGATTGTGAAAACGATGTGAAAACCTTTAATGAAATCTCCGGTGCTCAATCGGAAGTCTCCAGTTCTGTTGGACATAATCTGAAGGAGATCCTCGTGTTTTCGATCGTCCAACTCCACAATATCCATTCTCGGATGGAAGATCTCGTGCTCATCAACAGATGGGATCTTTGTGCCGTTTAGAAGAGTATAAATCTTTTCTGAAACAAGCACTGAAAGTTCACAAATCAAGGGAAAAACAAACGATGAACGGAAGCGATGACAGTGCTCGACATCGCGTTCATTTTGCCGTAGAGAGTGGTGTTCGAACGGATTGCCGTGCCTTCGAACAGTGCTGGAATCGAATAAGAAACGTTGCACATTGCCTTTGGAAGATCTTTCAGAAATTGTTGGATTCTGGAACTTGTTCTGATTGTCATTTACACTTCATCTCATGATATTACACTGGGAGGTTTGTCTCATTCAACTGTACGGTATTCAGTCTGACGTGGAGATAAGAGATGTTGTGTACAAACTTGACGAATTGCGGGTTGGTCGCTGTGAGATTGTCTTCAATCTGTTTCACTTGATTCACCACCTGAACTGTCTTATACTGAAACTAAACAGAGTGGAAATGAAATACCGTGGGATTTGTGACCATAAGCGAGAAGAAGGCATTGTAGTTGGCTTGAATGGAGCCGAAAAGAAAAGCCAATGGGAGTAGAAAATGTCTCATTTGATGAAGAGATTGAAAAGAAACAACAGACATACCAACGAACGAAAGTGGACCAGCTGTTGGCGGGTCGAGAGGGAGGACGGGTGATAAATTACATCACGGGGCCTCATGATGCAAAATGAATGAGAAGCTGATGATGTACTTGGGCGAGGAGAAAGAACACTCAATATTTATTATTACTCGGAGGTTGGGCAACAACCAATAAATACTCAAATGAGATGATGACAGTGAGAGAGAAAAGAAAAGAGAAGGGAAATGGAACAGAAACGATGAGCACTCAAAATAAGTTATTGAAGGAGGAAGAACTTGTTGTCGTAGCACAAGTCGCCCACTCCGCACGTGAATCCGTCGATGCACTTTCCGTTGATGCACGGCTCCAACTGCGTGCCCGCCGCGATCGAGGAGGGGCAGCAGTAGCCGGTGGCCGAGCACGTGTACCCGGCCCCACAGTCCGACTCCTGACGGCAGATACCGGCGCTCGATCCGACAGGGCAGCGGCAGCACACGTTTCCGGCGACGCAGCTGTGTCCGGACGGGCAGATTCCGTTGTCGCGGCACACGCCTCCGGACGGCTCCGTGGCGCCGCACATGAACACTAAAAGAGATTTATTGGGGTAGGACGGGGAAGAAATTGCAAAACTGACCTCCATTCTGATAGGTTCCGGTGAAGGACTGGGCTCCGTATGGCATGTACCGGCTGTTTCCATTGGTGCTAGTTCCGTATGGGTTGTAGCCTTGGTTGATGTTCGTGTTGGTCCCGTACGGATTATAGCCTGGATTGAGGTTGTTCGTGTTGGTCCCGTATGGATTATATCCTGGATTGAGGTTGTTGGTGTTGGTCCCGTATGGATTGTAGCCTTGATTGTTGTTGGTGGTTGATCCATACGGGTTGTATATTTGATTGTTGCCGTTCGAGCTGTATGTGTACGGATTGTACAAGTTGTTGCTGGAGCAGCAAGAGCTGGCACACGGCGAATAGGCGTTGGAGCCGAGGTTGTAGGCGACGTACTGACTGAAAAGTTGACAGGATATACAAAAGACACAACATTAGTTATGTTACCCATTGATGAAACTTCCACTGTACTGATTGCAGTTGAAACTGTTGCAGTTTGAGTTGCAATTGAGTCCTGGATTGTAGAAGGACGTGGGAAGGATCACCTGATTGCCATAGCTGTTGTAGTTGCAGTTGTTGTTGTTGTTGCAATTGTTGTTCGAGGAGCAAGCTGAAAAAGTACAAATGGAACTATGGACTCGCCAACATCTAACTTACGGTACTGAGAAACGCCTCCATTGCACATATAGTACACCTGCAACTGCCGTTTCGATCGTTTCAGTTCTTTGGCGGACGCGGAAGAAGCGAGGAGAACGAGCAGAGTGCACAACAACTTTGCCATCTGGGAGTGGTGCGAATGTTGGGAATGGATCCCTGCCGCGCGCCTTTTATACTTCCAGGGAGTGCTCCGAAGACGGACAGTGACGTCAGCCTCTGCCGTGGCATGGGTGTGTGCAAGAGCACTCAGACGGACGGTACCAACGCGGACACACTTCTGACCAGATCTGCGTGGGAGTCTCGACAATGTTGCGGTGTTTCAGGAAATGCAGAGAGATAGGACTGTTTGTCCGAATCGTGGGAGACCTTTTTGATCTTGAGATCATCATTTTGACAGCAGATATTAGATGCAACTCTCAGTGGGAGGAAACTCAGACCCTTCCAATGTGATATGATATTATGACTTTCAGTTTCACCTCATTCTTCGTGCTTCTTCCAAATCACTGAACTCATGACTAATGATGTCAAACCTGTCAGATGGTTCGGTTTCTCCCCTCTTTTCACCATGATTTCACTGTTCATACACGTGTCACACACACGAACGTTCTGCAAACAGTCACACAAAAGTGTGTGAAAACCATCAATATTCGATGCGCAGATCGGATTATCAGTCGAGTGTTTGCACTTTTGACTCACCCGTCTCCATAAACAAGCGTCGTCCACGTATTTCCGGTCCTCTTCTGACCATAACCGGCTCCTCAAAACAAGACGCTGTCTCTATCGTCTCGGCCTTTGACACTTTCACTTTTCGCTTCTGGAAACGTGCCCCACATCTCGAGATCCGATTGGTCAGATATTATGCAAATGAGAATGGATATAAATGCGAATCTCATAACTTTTAATGTCTTTCTCGACAATGGGACGACTCGTTTTCATCGCGCTTCTCGTGGTTACTGCCGCCGCCGAGTCTGTTCATTGGCGTGAGTTTTCGAAACGGAATATGAGTGTAATGAGCCAACAATACTCGTTTAGAATGGAGAGAAATCCGTTGTAAGGAAGGTGTGACCAACGAGAACGGCCAGGCATCGGCTTGCGAGCTGCAGCTCAAGGAGCACGAGAACGATGAGACTCCACGAGTTGTGCCGTTCAACACTTGCGTCGATGTGAGTTCGAACCAGAGCCTATGCTCATCTAGATCTTTCTTTAGGAGACTATCAACGGGGAAGTGAAGACCTACTGTGACCTTCTGTGCCCCGGAGCCGACACCGCCTACAGGTTTGCATAACTCTCAAGACATGTTCTTCTTCATTCTTCGTTCAGAATCACCCGATACCCGCAACAACACAAATCCTGCTTCACCCACCAGACGTATCGTTTGGAGAAAAGAGAGGACAACTTTTATCTCTGGAGATCTGGAGCGTAAGTTTGCGTTCATTTTCAAACTTTTCACACTCTGCTGTTGTTGCAAACGTTTGATTGGTCACGACTTATCAACGACCGTTCGGTCCCGATCATTTCCATTTCAGTTGCCGCACCTCTACGATCGGATTCACAATTCGTTGCGAGTTCAAATCGGCGCGCGAGGAGTTCCTCTCCGATCAGGAGCTGTTCCGTGTTGCCAGAAGACTCACCTAATTATCTGTCTGTCCATTTATTTTATATATATTCATCCTCATCATAAACAGTTCTGTGATATATGGCGTTACTCGTGAAGGGAAGGGATAATAATGATGATAATGGACAATATTACATCAGGCAGCTATCAAAGAACATTAAGAATCGATTCAGATTATCATATGGGCAGAAATAAGTGATCCAGCCTGATCTTAATGCTGCTTTGTCCATTTTTACTAACCTTGAGTTCATTAGCATGATGAATTCTATCCTCGGGCCTTTTTCTCAGAATATTATGGCACTCACTCAAAATCTTTTTTAAAAGTCCACTGAATGTTAGACCCTGACTCCACTGATCACACATCCCCCATCTCTGCTTCCATTTGCAACTTCTTATCATCTTTTTCTCCTACTCTTTCGCTCCAATTTTCGCCCATCAATCATCATCTACAATACCATTTCTTCGCCCTTTTGTAAATTGCTCTACCTTTTCTTCTTTCCCATTTTCTCCATTTCCAGCATGTCGTGCTATGGAAACTACTATCGGTACATCGTACTGTTCGTTGGTTTCTTTTGTCTTTCCTCAGTATGCTCCAACTATATCATCATCAATTTTACTTTCATTTGTATGAAAGAGGATATGTCAGAGACACGTTTCATCAATAATGTGAGTTCTGAGCTGTCCTCAGGAGATTTTCGGCAAGCTGCCGCGAGAAATAGCAAAATACCATCGTTATCTGTCGCACGCCGGAGCCGTGCTGCTGCCTTGCCGGATTCGTGCCCACCCCATGCTCCCAAATGAGGCGGTCGCAACTTGCCGTTTTCGGCGGCATCTTGCTCATTGTGCGGAGAATTTCCTGAGTCAGTCACATGTCTAATGGTAAATGTTAATTTCAGACTGTAAAAAGCGTGTATGACTATAGTTCCGCCGAGAAAAAGTACATAATGTGGTCGGTGGGCGCCGGCACAATTGTTGGCACCATTCCCACAAATTGGTTGGTGGTGAGATACGGCGCCAAGTGGCCTTTCCTGGTAGCCGGGTTGGTATCACTGATTGCGACTGCTCTCATTCCGTTCGCATCGAAAACAAGTCTGATTTTTCTGCTGGTTCTCCGATTTTTTCAGGTACACCAAAACCATACAATCAAAATCACAATAACTTTTAACAGGGTCTCGCCTATTCAACCGACTTCGCAGCCATCGGAATAATGACAGTCCGATGGGCTCCGCTGCGAGAGACCGCCTTTTTCATCGCAACACTCACCTGCTTCACCGGAGTAGCTTCAATGATCACCAACTCGGCCACGGGACTCATCTGCCAGAGCTCTCTGGGATGGCAGTACGCCTATTATTTCCATTCGTTCGCCGGCATCATTCTGTTCGCATTGTGGTCGTGGGTCTACATTGACGATCCACAGGAAACGAAGAGAATATCCGGAAAGGAGCTGTCTCGAATTCACAAGAACAAGTCGGCGGCTCATTTGGAGAAGAACGCGAGCATTCCTTATTTGGTACGTAATTGACTTGATACGCACTGATCATAAAGGCGACAATTTCAGAAGATCTTCACGAGTCCAGTGATCCTGGTGGTCTGGCTCAACGCCTTCTTCGAAATGTCCGCAGTGATCCTCTTCGCCACCTACATGCCCATTTACTTCCATCAAGTTCTCGGCTTCTCCGTTCCCGAGACCGGCTTCTACGTGGCCGTTATTTTGGGATTCAACATTCCGCTGAGACTTGTGGCGGCTACTTTTAGCGATCGGATCACGTGAGTAGAACCATGAAATAAAAACACGTGAATGTTTAGAGTTATCCCTGAGAAATGGAAACTGATAGTATTCAACACACTCTCGGTCGGAGTCTCTGGACTTGTGCTCTGTTTGGTCGGGTAAGACCGCTTCAAACAAGTTCCTTTCAAATTGTCACTGTTGTAGATTCGTGCCGGCCGAGGAGAAGGTCAAAAGCTTCGTGCTCATTCTCTCCGTGATGATGTTCGTGGCTCTCAACTGCGGAGGCTTCTACAAGTGCGCGGCTCTCCACGCCAGACAGCACGCTCACATTGTCATCGCCGCGATTCAGTTCACAAAGTGTTTGGCTCTCTTCTCGGCTCCGGCTCTCGTCGCTTTCTTCGTCACTACCGAATCAAACAGAGTCGAATGGATTCCAGTGTTCATTACTTTGGGAGCATCCATGTTTGTGGTCAGTTGAGAGTCTTACGGATTCTAATTCTAAATAACACGAGCTCTTGTTTCAGGCGAACTTGATCTCTGTGTTCGTGTTCACTGATGAGCCGGCGGAATGGACAGATCCGGACAAGAAGTCGTACGTGGAGGTGCCGGGAGAGGAGACAAAGTGCTAGAGGACGCTGCCGTATAAAAATTGTACAGATTCATGTAAAAACCGGTTTATTTCCATTGCTTCAAGCAGAAATATGAACTTTTCTCTTTCTCTTCCAATCGATCGGCGCGCGAGTCGTTGCCGATTTCGGCTTGTAATTGGCGAACTCGTCGCTTTTCCCTCTTCGTGGACACTGACAATAGCCAGAATCGGGTCCAGGGCCGCCATGAGATCCAGACTTAAATCAACCTCGTAATTAACATTCAATTTCACCCGAAAGTGCTCACCTGTCCGGGATGCCCGTCCACTCCAGATCCTCCCGGTTGTCCCTCTCTTCCTGGTGGTCCTGGAGTACCAGGAGCGCCGGGAACCGGATACCCTCCATCGAATCCGGGTGGTCCTGTTGAGCCAGGTCTCCCAGGAGAACCGGATGGTCCTGGTAACCCGAATGAACTGGTCCCCGGTCGACCTGCCTGCCCGGAAGATCCAGCATGTCCCGGTGCCCCTTCCAATCCAGGATCTCCCATTGCTCCAGGAAATCCTGGTTGACCTCGTGACGCTGGAATTCCGTCTATTCCCTGCTGACCACTGTCTCCCGGATGGCCTATTGGTCCAGGCCGACCTGGCTCTCCGAGAGGTCCCGTCGGACAACGAATGCATCCGTTGTAGGGAAGTTTCATTGCGAGGGACAGTCCGTGTCCTCCAGCACTTCCAGGTTCTCCTGCCAATCCATCATCACCCTGGTGACCCGGATGGCCCGGACGGCCTCGAGGACCAGGTGGACACAATTGAGGAATGGGGGGTGACACTGAAAATGGAGGATTTTGTGTAGAAAGTTAAAATTGTAACTGACTCCCGCCGACTTCTGGTGCCGCATAGCTGTTGAATGGGGGCAAATGGACATATCTCGGCCCGTACTCGTTCCAAGGCGGCAGTTTGACTCTGTACACTGCTCGTTTTTCCCTCGTCGAATTCATAATCAGTTGCCACGCATCGTCCGAGTATTTCTGAATACAACCATCTTCCCGCCTTCATTAACTGATTTCATACCTGAAAAACTTTCAAATCCGTCCAGGCAACATCTTCGAATTCGCCGATTTCATAGAATAAAAGTGCGAGAGAGGTGAGTATTGCCAACGTGGCAAGCAAGATGAGAAGGACGGCAGAAAGAAGGAATCTCGAGTGCTTCATTCGATTCAGACATGGTTTCACTGAGAATTCGGTGAAATTTATAGCAGTGTTCGGACAAAGAGATGTTTTTGCGCGAGGAGAGTGAAAACTAATGATAAATGAGAAGCCGGGTGAAGTGACAAATTGAATTTCTCCAGTTTTGCTTTGCTTTCCATGACGATGTTCATCATTGACTAAGCCTCCCCACGGCGATGAGCGGAAGCAGGAGCTCCCTCTGCATGGCTGGATACGCTGGCCTTGGACACGGAAAGAGTTCAACAAGGCTCGGGCTGCTTTGGCTTTTTTTTGAAGGACAGCGCGCTGCAGCGGATAGTTTTTATTGCCAAATTTTCCCCAAAAATGCGAGAATCTAAACGTAGCACACTTCTTGACACTTCTTTGATACTTCGTTTCCATTCCGCCGACAGCTCCTCGATACTTGCAATCAGCTCGGCGATCTTCTCCTCTGAATTCTAATCGATCGAAAACTCAATCTCGGGCGGAACTAACCTGAATTCTCGGGTTTTACTATTATCTCGAATTTCGGTTTGCTTGAAATGTTTTCTAAATTTTCTCTCCGAGCCCGCCGTGGATCACTGAAGCTCTTGAAAGTTAGCTTACGCCTTTCTTCGATTGTCAACTTTCTTGAGCTACACAGTCCAATTAGTTCTGAAACTACACTCTTTTCCTTCGAACCCAATGATATAATGACACAGCGACAACTCTAAAAGTCTAACATGAACACAAAAACGCACAGTCGTTTTGTTCTCTCTCGCTCTCTTATCTCTCAATGCACACCTCTGATTCTCTGCGCCGAAGAATCAGGCAATAACAGTAGTCACATTGACTATTTAAAGATGCGATAAGAAGTAGAATGCGTTGTTTTCCCGTCATTCGTGAACATGAAAGCACTGCTTGTATTCCTGGTCTCCCTTGTGGATGTTACTAATGCTCACAACTTCTTGGTCATCTCTCCGATCTTCGGATTCAGTCACATGAAGTTCATGAGCAAAGTGGCTGATATTCTGGCCAACGGAGAACACAATGTGGTAGGTGAACAGATGTTTGAGATGAAATGAATTGAGAACCTGTTCAGACAATCCTGCAAGTGTACAACTACGAGCACTTTGGAACGATTCGGATGACTAAAAACAAGAATGTTGAGGTAAACAAACTAATAACTTTGTCTTCGTAATGATCAAAAGTCATATAGATAGTGGATTATCACGACAAGGAGACGGCTCCGAGCAATGAGGCATCGGCGAGTGCGTTCAATTACCTTTGGAACACTGAGGTTGTGAACGACCCGCTAAGCGGAGCCATTTCGGTATAAAATATAATCAAAATTGTTCCAGTATATAATATTGGTACTTTTAGACGTCGTCAGTTTTGTTTAGAGAGATGAAAGCAATGTGTGAAAGTAAGCAATACTTCCCAGTAAATCATCATTTTGCCCTTTTTTTCCAGAAGTGCTTCTCGACAAAGAGCTCCATCAATGGATTCTCTCGAAGAATTTCGACGGCTTCATTTCGGAAACGTTCGACTTTTGCGGACTTTGTAAGTGGATTTTAGAATTCCGTCTGCTCACAGTCGAACGATTTCAGATCTCGGAGATCATCTCAAACTGAACCTCATCCCGATGCATTCTGCCACCAAGAATCTCCCGTCCGTTTATGCAATCGGAGAACCTTCCGTGCTCAACTTCTTGCCGTGTAAGTACAATGACACTCCCCCCTGTTATCTTATCACCAATTTCAGCGATGCGTACCAACTACGGAGCCGACCAAACAGTGGCTGACCGAGTCAGAGACATCGTCTCGCTGCAGTGCCTTGAAGTGGCATTTGCGAGACTGTTCGAGAAGCAGTACGACCAAGCACACGCCCTTCTGAATGGGGACGTCCGTCACTGGAAACACATTCTGCAGACCGCCACCTTCTATTTCTCGAATGCGAACGATTACGTGGCATTCCCGACGCCATCGCTTCCGAAGCATATTCATGTGGGAGGATTCACGATTGAACCGCCGAAGAATCTGAAACTGGATGAGGATTATGAAAAGATTCTGGCCTTGAGAGAATCGACAGTACTCATTTCATTCGGAACGGTCGTTCAATCGGCTGATATGCCGCCCGTTTTTAAGTGAGTCGAATGAGTTTGAATGCACGTCACGTGGATAATTTCAGAAACGGAATCATCGATATGTTCCACAGGCTACCGGATATTACTTTCATTTGGAAGTACGAGGTGGATGACGAGAGCATTTCGAAGAGACTCCCGAAGAATGTGATCCTCAAGAAATGGGTTCCTCAGCCGGCACTTTTAGCTGACAAGCGTCTGAAATTATTCATCACTCACGGAGGACTGGGGAGCACTCTCGAAGTGGCGTACTCTGGAAAACCATCGCTCATGGTCCCAGTGTTCGGAGATCAGTTGTTGAATGCGAAGATGTTGAGCAGACACGGCGGAGCAAAAGTGTACGACAAGTATGAATTGGAGGACGCGGATAAGCTCACTGACGCCATTCGGAAAGTCATTTCGAACGAGGAGTTCAACACAAACGCCCTCCTAGTTGCCGATCTACTCAACAATCAACCGATTGATCCGAAAGCTAGCCTTTTGAGGCATTTGGAGTTTTCTGCGAAGTAAGTTGAGATTATATGTTGCTGGGAATCAAGCGATTCATTCAGATTCGGAAGAGTGCGTGCTCTGGAGCCGTACAATGTGCAATACAACTTCATTCAGTACTACATGCTCGACGCCTACGCCATCCTTCTTCTCTTCGCCCTTTTCACATTGTATCTCATACATTTACTTATCAGTTTCCTGTACCGACGGGTGTTCAAATCGAAATCAAAGACCGAGTAAAGTGAATGTTGTTTTTACTTTTCTTTTGAATGCTTGCCAACTTTGGCTACTTTGGCTAGAGTTTACCCAGTTGACATGTTTCCGCGAAGTGACCTCGACTAGACTCTATCCAAATAGAATGATCATTTGTTTCACAGAGCACAAACCTTTTTCTTCAATAACGTGAAATCGTGAGCACAGATATGTTAAAATTAAGCACAACTTCACGCTTAAACTGACTCTATCCAACTATCTCCACACTTCTCTTTTCTATACAACTTTGGCAAAACAATTGTAAATAACCCTATGTTTTTCCTCTATGTCTCCCCTCTTTCACTCTACGTCTCTTCCAGACCGTACTCGCTCATTTCTCCCGTGAGATCAAAGAATTGAAAGTATTTCAAAAACAGACAAAACTCGAGAGAACCGTCTGTTTTAGTGCTGATTCCAATGCGTCTCCTTCTGCTTCTTTTTGCTCTGCTCCATCATGCAACCGCCTTCAATTACCTGGTAGTTTCCCCTGTGTTCGCGTACAGTCATATAAAGTTCATGAACAAAGTGGCAGACACACTTGCTGATGGGGGTCATAATGTGGTACTCCACACTTGTTTGTACCTTTTTTTCAATAAATAATTACAGACATTACTTCAACCCTACGTCTATGAACATTTCGGAACAATTCGAGTTGTTAAGAACAAGAGCATCGAGGTAAACAGACCATTCTTATCCCCATTATGACGTTTTTAATGATTTCAGATTGTGGACTACCACAACACTGAAAACGCCCCGACAAACGAGCAGTCAGCAAGCACTTTCAAGTTCATGTGGGACAGCGAGATTGTGAATAATCCGGTGACTGGAGCGATAGCGGTAGACGAATACTTTTCGACGTTTCAGTTCTTTAATATACACATTTCAGCCAATGTTCCTTCTTTACAATGAGTTCAAACCAATGTGTGATAGTGAGTTTGACAGAGAACAAGAGAGTAAACAAACATGAAAAAGTTTAGAACTGCTCTCCGATAAAGAGCTCCACAGCTGGATTCTTTCGAAAAAGTTCGATGGATTCGTGGCTGAAACTTTCGATTTCTGCGCACTTTGTAAGTTTTCTTCTTTCCTAATGAGTTCTTGGCTTCATAAAATGGAAGTTAAGATCTCGGTGACCACCTAAAGTTGAATCTCCTTCCCATGTTCTCCACAGTCAAGAACATCCCCGGGTCTCGTGCAATAGGAGAGCCATCTCTGCTGACGTTCACCCCTTGTAAGTTGCACCAATCTTTCATTCTCACATCCTTCTCACTCAGCTTTGCACACAAAGTATGGAGCAGAACAGACGACTTCTGACCGTCTGCAGGACATTCTCGCATTCAATTCCTTCTACTACGCGTTCGGGAAGCTGTTCGATCGACAGTACAACCAGGCCCATTCGATTCTGAATGGAGACGTCCGTCACTGGAAAGACATATTCCAAACTTCCACTTTCTATTTTTACAATAACAATCCGTACATTGGGTTTGCAATGCCAACTCTTGCCAAGTCTGTGGAGATTGGCGGATTCACTGTGGATCCGCCGAAGAGTGTTCAACTCGACGAAGAGTTTGATCGCATTCTCAAACTGAGAACGTTTAACGTTCTTGTTTCGTTCGGTACAGTTGTTCAATCAGCTGATATGCCAGAGAAATCAAAGTAACTATTTGAACTTGATATTTTTATTTCAAGTTGAAGCTTAGAACTGGGCTGATCGAGATGTTCAAGAACCTGCCGGACACTACATTCATCTGGAAGTACGAGGTGGATGACGAGAGTATTCTGAACAGGTTACCGGAGAATGTGATTCTGAAGAAGTGGGTTCCACAGCCTGATCTTCTCGGTTAGTTCAACTTCTACTCCTATTCAAAAACAATAAATTCCAGCTGACAAACGACTGAATCTCTTCATAACTCACGGAGGTCTGGGGAGCACAATTGAGGTTGCCTACTCTGGGAAACCATCTCTAATGGTATCCCTCCAATCTTTTCTTTCAACTCCCAACTCACTTTTCCAGATTCCAATATTCGGTGACCAACTTTTGAACGCCAAGATGTTGAGCCGTCACGGTGGAGCTAAATTCTTCGAAAAATACGATCTGGAGCATCCGGAGAAGCTCACAGAAGCAGTTCGAGAAGTGATTTCAAACGAGTCTTTCAATGCAAACGCCCTTCTTTTGGCCGATATTCTCCGAAATCAACCGATTGATCCGAAACAGAACCTACTGAAACATGCCGAGTTCGCAGCAAAGTGAGTCAGATTCTGAGACTGTCAGGGGAAGATATTGTTGCAGATTTGGGAGAGTGTGTGCTCTGGAGCCGTACAATGTGCACTACAACTTCATTCAGTACTACATGCTCGACGCCTACGCCATCCTTCTTCTCTTCGCCCTTTTCACATTATATCTCATACATTTACTCATCAAATTCGTGTACCGACGGGTGTTCAAATCGAAATCAAAGACCGAGTGATAAATTATTCCAAATACTTCCTCGTGCACTCCGGGTCGACATAATTAACGAAAAATGCGGTTGCTCCACCGTCCTTGGTCGTTTTGGGTCTCATGAAAATGAAATTGGAGTTCCTCTCGAGTGGCGATATCATTTGAACCCATTGTTCGCCCATCTCGTTCGGCACTTCAATCATCATCTGACAAACGACGATTCCCATCTTTCTGAGCTCTCCATCGGCTCTCAAATAGTTCCAAAATGGGAAGTTTCCGTAGTTCCGGTTGATCCATAACATGTCTATTTTCTGAAATCAAACAGTACAGAGCAGAGGAGCAGCTGGGATTCACCTTCGATTTAACATCTTCCAGAAGGAACTCACGAATTCCTTTGCTCACAACTGTTCTGTTCACTCTCTCTACCTCCATTTCAATCTCCTTTTGTCCTTCACTCAATGCAAAACGGTAAAAGTGCTTGAAGGCCGTGCTCTTTTCCTCGAACGGATCAGTTCCGTGACTCATCAGATTCCCAATCTTCCTGCTCAACTGCTCTTCCGCCCTCGTCTGTCTCGATGCTCCAAGCACTACGAGTACGCTATCTTCTTGCTGTAAACAGAAACTGCATAAAACCAAACAATTACAGACTTACACAAGACGGAAAGACCGCCCATTTGTCTGCTCCGATCTTTCTCAGCTCAATGTCTTCCACCGAGTTCTCGTGGTCACAAATGGACATGACAGTCTGCCAATTGAACATGAGTCCTTCTGGATTCGAAAAGAAACGGGGGAACAGCGGAAATGCGCACTGTTTCAATTTGACGCCCACGTCCGTCAGATTCACTCTTGGATTGCGCACTTCTCGGTCCAAGTTGCAGGCCGACAGACTATTGTAGTTGTAAACAGGCAATGTTTTCTAGGATGTTCTTTTTAGTCAAATGAAACTTGAAAGTACATACTTTGACTGGTTCTGAATCAGTGATAACTTCTCTGAACAGTTCTTTCGACGGAAGTTTATCATCCGTATATCGAATGAAATGAATGATCAAGAAAGTGAGCACAAACAAAGAGCTCACATAGAACAGTGAGAAGCGGAAGCGAGAAGGATACGCTGAAATTAAATTGAACGAAGTTAGCAAGGAAACTGTTCACCAACCGTGTTCCATCGTCCGAATCTGAATGAATGAGAGTTTAGAAAGAATATGTAGTCGTCCGAATCCGTTTGAATACCTGATAGATTCGATCTCTCTGTCTCCTTCCACATCTTTACTCGAAATTTCGCTGAAAAAAGTTGTTCCGAAGATCCGAAGAAAATTTGATCCGAGAGTGGAATCTAGATCGTCTAGATCTTATCTATTGTTTGAAAAAGAACAGAAAGAGAATGCATTACGTGTTCACATTTCTTGTTTTTCTTGCCGACTATTTCTATTCCTACAAATATTTTTGAAAATGGTAAACAAGTACATTTCCAACTTTGGTTCTATCAAAAATTTCGAATTCAGATTGGATCGTAGGCGGTAAACTTGCAGATCAAGTCATTAATGAATGAAAACCTTTATTTTATTAAAAAAGACAGTAAATACTACAAAACAGTTCAATATGTACACACAGACACACACACAAAGTTATCCTATCTACTGCAGGTACTTTCTGACGCACTCGCGATCCTTGGCATTCAGGAAGAAAGTCCTCGTCACGTTGCCTCCTTGCGTCGCCATCGGACGCATGAAGACGTACCTCCGCTCCCTCACCAACGGCATTATGAACTTCTCCCAGTGTTTCGCGTCGCTTTTTGTGATTTCAATGTTCAGTTGACACACTATTATGCCGAGTTTATCAAACTCTCCGTCGAGGTTCAAATACTTCCAGTACTGGAAATTGCCGGCGTTAGGGTTGATCCACAGCATGTCGATCTTCTGAAGAGATAAAGTTTTTAGAAAGAATCTGATCACTTCCATCCCATACCTTCGCGGCGACAGTTTCATTGAAGAACACTGCCTGATCGGTGGCCGTCACGTTGTAGAGTGTCGCTTCGTTGTTCATTTGCAACTTGGTCTCATTGTTGGAGATGGCCGTCTGGTAGAAGTGGTCGTACCTCTTGTTCTCATTCAAAAAAGGATCCGTTCCGAACGAAGTTATGTTCTGCACGATGGCTCTCAAGTCGTCTTCGGCTTTTGAGTTATTTCCAGTGCCCAATGTTATGAATGTCGATTTCTCTTGCTGAAAATCAGAAAACCATCAAAAGTTGTACCCGAAATGAGAGGCACAAACACATCTTGGCAGCACCGCCCAGTACTGTTTCTCTCCGTTATCAAACGATTGCAACGGGATCTTCATGATCTCGTCCTCCTCGTCGCAAACGTATATCGTGTAGGGCCAGTTGAAGAGCAGTCCTTCTGGATTCCGCGCGAACCTCATCAGAATCATCGAAGCGCATCGGAAGAACTGCAGTGTGGCCTCTTTCGCGTTGATCAGAGGCGTTTCAGCGTCCTTCGAAAGATCACATTTCGGTAGATTCCCGTATTTGTACGGAACTGACGGGGACTGAAATAGCACAGATTACAAAGGCAGAATCAGCAGAAGAATCTACGGAAGGAGTGGTTGTCACTGGCAGTTCCTGACCAGATTTTTGAGAAGTAATAAAGTTTCTATCTGGCTGGAAGTTGACTCCTGCGGAAGGAACCGCTTCACCGTCAGGGTTGTAGTTCAGAAAGTTGGCGACGAGGAAAATGACGATGACGAGTACGGTTAAATAGTAAAAGGCGTTGAGTCTGTACCTGTAGAACTCTGAAAATAGAGTGTTTAGTGGACCAACCACTACGAAAAGCCATACCTTTGTACTTGTCCTCTTTGCTGAGAAGCAGTTCGTAGTCGGTCATTGTTCCGAAACACTAGTGACGAATCGAAAGGCTTTTACCCGTTTTCCCGGATCGATGAAGATATGAATCTCTTTCTCTCTCTCTTTCTCCCTCCACTTTCCCTTTTTCTTCGTTTCAGAGATGAGAAAGTAGGTAGATTTCCCGTTTATTTCAAATATTTTCTAACACAAATTTCATCCTTAATGTTCAAGAAAAAAGCTCGAGTGATTTGGTCGGTCGGCGTGAAAGTAGGCCTCAGAAATATGAAATGTCTCCGAGTGTAGATGTCGATGAGAAACTTCTCAAAGTGGATTCCGTCGTCTTTGTTGATTTCAATGTTGAACTGGCAAATGATGATGCCGAGTCGGTCGAAAACTCCTCTTTCCGAGAAGTACCTCCAGTATTCCGTTTCGCCGCCTTCCACATTTATCCATAACATGTCGATGAGCTTCAAAATTATTACAAATGTTTCTAAAGTTTCCTAGAAGAATATGGGCAAACCTTCAAACCGAGCACATTCTTGAAAAAGGAGCGTACCGGTCTGCTCTTCCGCTTTTTAATGTATCCATCTTTACCGTACACTGCTTCAACGCCAGTCCCATTCGCTCCGATTGTGTAGTTGTAAAAGTGATCGTAGTCCTTACTGCTTGATCCAAAAGCGCCGGTCCCATAAACCACCAAATTATTCCACGTCTCTTTCATCTTCCGCACAGCCAACGAGTCCTCCGACTGTATTCCGAGAGTGACAAGTGTGTGCGTGACATTGCACTGCGGCACGACTCCCCAGTACACTTTGTTCCTGGTCGGGTACGGATATAAGGGAATGGCGGCTAACTCGTCCTCCTCATCGCAGACGTACGCCATGAACGGCCAGTTGAGAAGCATTTGGTGGGGGAGTCCTTGGAATCGGGACCACAACGGATAGGAGCATTGGAAGAATATCTCGGAGAGTGTGGCCGGCCAGGAGGGACCAGGTTCTGATGGTACTGCTTCAGAGCAAGCGGGGCCGGGTTGTTCTGCCACATTCGATGAGATTATGTCATTCTGAAACTCGATCCGAAAGTCTGTTCAAACTGAGACTCATAGCTGATGTTTCAGACAATCCTACCTTTTTTCTTCCATACCCAAGAGCTGGCACCAGAATGACAAAGTTGTAGAAAATAACAAAGAAAACAACTAGAACGAACGAGAAAAATATAAAAGTGTGCTTGGAGCGGACAGTCATTTTTCACTTGAAACTTGCGGAAACTTCTTGTAAACCAAACTGCGAGATATTCATCTGAACACGAGAAAAAACGCAACAATTGCAGTGCTTCATTATGATCTTCATAGTTAGATACCCGTGATCGATTCGGCAGAGAAAAAGAAAAGGAAAGAACAAAAGAGTAAGAGGTCATCATCATAGAATTGCAGTAACTGGGTCCGTTTTGCGTGAGATGCAGTGGCAAATCTTTTTGAGAATCCGATCGTTTACGCAGAATGAAGTGTTCCCGTATCTAGAAAACAAGAAAGATCAATCGAATCCCGACAAATGATCGACAACGTACTTGTTATTCCTCTCAATTTCTCCCAATGATGACCATGAATCCGTCTTCAGATTGTGCTCCAGCGTCGATTCAATGAGGGCGGAGCTCGGAGGTTTCGCACGGATCACCACGTGATATCTGAACGAATGAATGAAAAATAATGATGAGAGCGTTGGGATCTCACTGTAAAGAGAACGATTGCAACGGAGTGTCGACTGATTTCACGTCGTTCACCACACTCATCATGGGCAGACGAACCGAAGAGTACTCGATCTTGTCCACCTCGATCGGAGTGCACATGTACTCCTTGAGTTCTTTCGAGTCTACCTGGTACTCTTCCGTCTGTTCCGTGTTCTCCAGCAGCCCGTTCACAATGCCGAGAAGGTGCCCGGCCGCTTCTTTTGCTTCTTCGGACGGGATCTCAATCTCCGAGAAGCATGGACAGAAATCCGAGGGAATCTGAAGGAAATGTTCCGATCTGATCGGAGATAGCAGACACTTACGCCCGCTTCCAAGCAGCTTGTCCGCTTTGGGAAGGGATCGAAGTACGAGTAACTGCGCTTTCGGTCCGTCTGAGTCCATTTCTGGCCGATCTGACCTTTCGCCACTTTCCGGAGGGAATCGTTCACGTCGAATTGGGTGGTCATCAGTTTCGAGTTGGCTTCCAGATTCTCGACAATCTGAAAGTACATGTAATACACAGATTTCAGCGGTATCACCAACCCAAGGATACTTCTTTCTCACGCCGTCCGGGATTCTGATTGCGTGGAACGGCATCCGGGACTCGATTCTTCCGATCACAGTCTCTCTTATTTTATCGTATCTGTGTCCGTGATCGGAGAGCACAACAACAATCGAGTCGGCCAATCGCTTCTCATTTCTCTTGAAGAACTCTTCAAAGTCATCGTCAGTCCTCCCAATCAAGTTCAGAAAGCCATGACTCATGTCTTGCGACCACCAGAACGCGAATTTCCGTTTATTCTCGTACTTCTCCAGGAACCTGAAGCAGAGAGCACACTTTTTGAGTTATGAAATGATAAGCAACACGTACTTGTCGAGGTACTCCAATTGTAGCCTATGTTGCGGTTTTGCGTCGTAGCACGAGGCGGCGGAGCGTCTGGAGACGAGCGACCAGAAGGAGGAGATCCAGAACGGGCGGAGGTAGTGGTCCGTGGGCTGGCTCAGAAATCCGAGCAGCAGGTTCTTGTAGGTGAACGTTCCGATATCCGGGCGGTCCTCCGCAAACATGGTCGCGTAGCCATTCTCATTGAAGTCCTTCCAGACGAACGGAAATTCGTCGAATGCCATGTGCCAGCTCTCGTTGATTTCCGCCTTGAACTCTTGCACACTGACTCCCCGCAAGCCCGTCAGAATGGCCAGAATGTTTCCGTACGTGTTGTCGTGGATCTTCATGTGTCCTTTCATATCGATGAATCCACTGTCCATCAAGTGCTTGTACGTCTTCGGCATCTGACGGATGAAGTTGCTCCGAGACATTGAGTCCAATCCGATCATTATTACAGATGGAAAATCAGCAGAAGACGGCTCAATCGTTCTAAAATTCAACAGACCATTTGAAATAAAAAGGTTTCTCACTTGTCCCTGATGTTTTTCCCGTCTTTTCTGGGCACAATTTGTGCGTAGTGATACTTGAATATTGGAGTCGACAGCAGATTATTCGTCTCGCACGTCACTTCGAACATCTCGTCGTCCACGTGGACAGAAGAAGTTCCCGTCAGATTGAGAAGGACTGGTTCTCCGTACTTTACATCCAAATCAGTCACATTTTCGTCATGACTCACAGAGATTTTGTAGCATTTTGCGTTTTTGATAATTTCTGGATCAAACTGAATAAGCAGAAGTTTATAGGAATGATCAGGTGCTCTTACCGTCAAAATTCCGCTCTCAAAGCTTTTAACGGCTTGGGATTGGATCGGAGAGCACTCGAGAGGAGACGCTTTCGAATAATAGGTGAGGATGGAAGGATCCCACGGGTCGACCAGCGGGATCACGCACTCGGAGCTCTTCTGGCTGGCTCGCAGTTGCTGGAAGTTATGATAATTAAGCAAAACCAGATAAAACGTACCTGAAGGTACACAAAGTGCGGATGCTTCGAGAAATCCGTAGCTGTCCTGAGAAACCCGTAATAAACGCCGATGAGGATTAGAGCGAGAAGGAAAATTCTCGAATAGTAGGTGAAATAGTGCGAATAGCTGTGGAAGAATCTCGGGAAACGCATCATATCGGTCGGAATAGCCGAGAACTTGGCTCGAGGTCCCATTGTCTTCACTTGAACTTCCACGGACACTTTGCTCCCATTCCTTTGACAGGGTTACTGGGTTCAGCCTGCAAACTTCATATTTACATTGAAAAAAGACTGAAAAAGACAAAGTTCGAATGTTCAAACGAGCGGGTCTCCTAGGAAATCGGTCTTCTCGCCAGCCGCCAACAATATAGATCATTCTGAGCAGAAAGCGAGAAGAGCGGGAAAAAATAAAAAGAAAAGGAAAAAGAGGGAGTTGTTGTGAATGGAAAATGAAGAAGAGTCCAGTGGTTTTCCTCTGGAAGCCAGCCTAAAGATTCTCGAGTGAGAGAGACTCTGGGCGGAGAACAGTTTGCACTGTATATCGTAAAAACTGTATCTTTTGTGCCCCGGTGATAAAAGACGACCGAAATGAAACACGGAATGGGAGGAGGACAGAAAGTGCGGCACAAACTCCGGACGACTTGGCGGCAATGATTGAGGGCAATTTGTATGCACGCAAGAAATGTGTATGTTCGGAAGCGTTTCTGTTTGTTTTATTCTAACTGTAAAATGATGAATAAATGTTATGCCGCGCCCAAAGTAAAAAAAAAAACGCCGGAAATCCCGCAGATTTTGATGTCCAAAGTCGGCCGAAATATCCTTGAAAAACGGGATTCTCAGAGCTGAGCGAATGTGACCGTACACCATAAAACTACGGTATTTTTTGAAAATTTACCCAAGAAATTTGAATATTTTCAAATAGTCCCAAGCACGGTGATTTTTCTGGGGGCGCAGTGGAGAGAGGAAGAAAGTTCGGCCCTCGTCCCGTGAACTGTCGGCTGCTAATTTCGCCGGCCGGCGGCACGCTCTCCAAGCCTTTTTCCGCGCGCCAAAACTTCTGATGCGTGCTGTTCGAAGAATACGGAGTCATTTTTCCTAATTTTTTGGGAATGAGTTCATTATGATTGAAACTCGCAAGCAGCAACTAGAAACTTGCAGAAATGTCTAGGGGTGACTGCCAAAACAATTTATTTCGAAATATGACTGCTCGTGCGTGCTTTTTGTGTCTCTTTGTTAGTTTACATCATAATGAACGCATTCCCAAAAAATCAAGTGAAATGAATCAGTATTCTTCCGACGGCACGCATCTGAAGTCTCGGAACAGCCCGAGAGCGCGCGTGCGGCGCGTTCTCCAAGCCTTCTTCTGTGCGCCAAAACTAAAAAAAATCACCGTGAGACGAGAGGAAAGACGGATAGATAGTTCTCCGCCGGCGGATCCCCTCTTCTCTCTTCCGCTTGACTCATATTTTTATTGATCAAAAGCGACAAATTGATTGTGAAATTCCCCCCGACGAGAAATGGATTGCGCTCAGGGTCTGATTAAAAAAAGTGAGTGGATAATACTCTAGACGACAATTGTTGTCAAGAACTGGGCAGAGCTAGGTAATTGGCCGGGGACACTGATGCATCTGAAGAAAGTGTTCTGGATTGCGAAGAACTCGTGGGGCACCACGTTCGGAGAGAAGGGATACTTCCGATTCGCGCGAGGATCAGATTTGTGCTGTATGAAAACGGACGATGTCTGGTTTGCGGATGCATGAATTCAACGTTATTAATGTGTGTATCAGAGTTGAGCGGAAATGGAATTTTGAAATCCGGAAGACGGCAGACGGCAGACGGAAGAAAAATTTTGTACGGAAGGCGGCAGACGGAAGACGGAAGAAAACCTTTTTTCCGGAAGACGGCAGGCGGAAGACGGAACAAAAAAAACCACGGAAGACGGAAGTCGGAAGACGGCAGACGGAATTCCGCTCAACACTGGTGTGTATATTTCAAATAAAACGAAATCCTTCTGGACATGAAGTATTGGAATTTTTGAAACTGAAAAAGTAGAGTCCGGGATCGATCGTGTACTCGACTGGATTGCCAACCATCCCCGTCTTCTGCAAAAAGGCACCTGCTCACAAGTATGACTAGACCTTTTCAAACCCTAAATGATCCGAATAGCACTATCCCGTCGGAGAGGGAACGAACGTGGGCGTTGGGGGAATCATAAAGCTTCTTAACTTTCCGTTCGCATTTCTCCAAATTGTTGAACGAACATTCGGCTTCTAGAAATGCATCTGGTGGGCAAAACACTTTTCCGCACAGGCCGGCAAAGCATACGGAGGAGTGGAAATTGTGAAGCTGTAACTTCTCTCAAAAACCTTATATTTACCTCTGACCTGGCTCATTTTGAAGAACCCAGTAAAATTGAACTCTTGTCAAAAAATCAGAGGTCCCTATGTTCGATTTCTGGAGATATATTGAAAAAAACCGAAAGTCCTATGTATGAAAAGCCGGGCCGTGTTCCGTTCTCTCCCTGAGAAATTATTTGTTATCTGAAATGAAGGAGCCGAATTATGACTAACCTGTTTGCAAAGAGTCTTATCAATCCTGAAAGTTGTGCCGGAAGGGTTCGTGAGCATGAAATCGGAAGGGAGCTCGTAGTAGGAATAGGTTCCATCGACAAATTCCCCGATATCCTCACATTTCGACACTTGTTTCGACTTGTTCAAAACTTACTCTATTTCATGTACAAAACACGATTTTCGGTGATCTGGGAGCTTTTCAAAACATGCGGGTAGAAAATGAAGAGTAATAAAGACAAACGCAACAAAAGTTCTCATTAGAAGGAGTAAGTATTTCAACAGAGATCGATGAAAAGTATTCGAGCATTTATTGGCTGCTTATCAGTGAAATGAGTGACCGCGATGGGAAGAGCATGTTTACTATTAAAAAGTTATGACGTCGAAATAAATGAGCTCTGATTCAAACGCTCAATCATTGAAACTGACATAATAGAGACCGTATTTGAGTCCAATTGAGCATGTCTTGTTCCGATTTTCCTTGTGTTCAACTCTACTCTACAATTTTATACTTCATATGTTGATGCATTATATGTGCCTGCCTGGAAAGTGCCGAATATCGCCAGTCCCGCTGGAAGTGTTCTCTGGAACGAACTCGAGTCCGTCGAGTTCTTGGTTACTGTAGTTTTGGAGCAATGTTCGATAGCACTCACAGTGCAGTTCACCTCGAGAAGAGCCTTTTCCGGACAGAAATCATCCTGCAAAAGTATATCTTTCCTTTCCGTCAATAAACCTGTTTTACCGAGTAACACGCGGTCTCTCTGATGTACTGGAACCGATCCTTGATTTTCAGCATCCAGAGGGAAGGAATTTCGTAATATTCATAAATTTCGTTCTGCACGGTTCCGATATCTTCACATCTCCACGCGTGCCCTTTGATCAAACTCCGAGTACGTGCTTTCAGCTCAATCGAATACGACTTGTCCCCGTTCTGTACACATTTCACATCAATTGAAGTGTCTTCACTCTTCCACCGGATAGCTTTTCGAACGTTTTCAGGCACTTCCTTCAACTTCATATAATACTTTTTCAACTCTTCATCCGACTCATCGACGTGTAAAAGTTCGCGGATGACTCGCAACATTTGTAGCCAGTCATTTAGTTTTAATGGATTATCATTGAACATCTTGAGCCATTCATTTCCAACATTCGCAAATATGGCATTTTCTTCTTCTAAACATTTGGAATCATTGATATGATAGTTTTGGAAAAACAAACCGCATTTTATTGTGATCACTCTTTGCCAGTCTTCATCCGAAAGTCCTGGGTTGCGAAGGCGAATGGGATCGGTCCACACGTAGTTTTGTGTTAAAATACTAAACCAACTAGAGGGTTTGATATCCAAGAAACTAGTTTAACTTACTCTAAACTTTTATATTGACAAGATTGTCTCAACTTTTCCAGTTGCTTGGCAGAAAATGATGTTAGAATGGGAAGGAGGAAGGGGAAGATGACCCTCATAGACAACAAAATCGCCGCCAATAGTAAGAGTCTTTATCAACGGTTTTTCAAAAGTGGTTATCAAGAACAAACAAGGAGTGCGACGAATCGGGAATGGAAGTGACCACTGACTGAAAATGAAGACTTTGATTGCTTTATGAGGCCAAACTTGCCATCACATCATTCAAAAGTGCAAAAGGAATTGCTCATTGTAAAATGAAGAGTTAAAAGTTTTGTTTTTCAATGTTTTTCTTCGATAGTTAAAATCATTTCAGTAAGAACTAAAACAGTGTTCAATCTCAAATACGACGACCATCTGGACACGAAGTATTTCCCGTTTTAAAGCTGAAAAAATAGAGCCCCGGATCGATCATGAACTCTTTTGACATGTCGAGCATTGCCATTCGCTGTAAATCAACAAATAGAACAAACAAGTGTAGTTCGTATCTTCAAACCCGGAAAGCTCCGTAAATAGCAATTCCTTCCGTTAGATTTCGAATGATCGGGCTGTGATCCATCGACTTCACAACTTCTGTGCACTTTTCCACATTGTTCTTTGAGCAATCGGCTCTTCGGAAAGCTTTCGGTTGACAGAAGAGTCTGTTTCGTTTTGCCTGCAAACGGGGAACTGGAGGAGGTCTTTCCTGATGTCCAACGAACCGCCAAGCACGCAGTCTTGTCCACTTTGAAAGTGATCTCATTGAGAGCGTCGAACATGAACTCTGTTGGCATTTCATAGTACCTGTAGGTGTTATTGACTGCTCTTCCGATGTCCTCACACCTCCAAACTTGCAAAACATCCGGCTGCATCACTTGCACCGTCGCTTTGATTAACAAGTGTTTTGTGAAACCTTGGTGACTCGCAAAGCATTTGGCAAATTTAACTTTCCCTCCAAGACGAATTATGGGCTCTAGGTTCAGTTTCCGAGATTCCCTCACTATCTGAAAACAAACACAATGAATGTCTCCGTTCTGTAAGTAATCACTGGATTGATGGCGTCCAAAAGAGTGGGATGAACGATGTGATCCTTGAGAAGACTGCGGATGTGCTTCCTTGCCGTGGTAACATTATTCACTGCTTCCCGTTTCGGAACGTCATCTATTGAAAATCCACGATAGAACTGTCGAGAGGGAAGTTCGGACAGTATGGATCGCTTGTTTCTGTCTGATAACAACTCTCATCTCGAAGGAATTCAAGCAGAATCATTTACTCTTGCACTCCTCGTCGATAGCCTCTTGCCACGTATTGCCGACGGGAAAATCGATATCAATCCTAGTTTTCCAGTCGAAATTTGAGGATTCAATACTAAAAAATATGTGCATTCTTGATAATAGTTCCCTAGAACTCACAGTATCCAGTCGTTCTTGCACGATTCTCGGTGCTTTGGCAGTTTGAGCAAGTGGGAAGGTAAAACAGAAACGGAGAACAATAACAGTACAAGACGCATTTGCAAAAGGAATTACGAGTTCATAGGGGAGAGGATTCTATCTGTTAGTGGCCGCTTATCAGTTGAAATGACGAATGCGAGCGGAGCAGCAGTATAGTAGTTGTTTGGAAGAGTTGTACACATGTACAGTCCGTGATTGCAGGTGTTTATTCCTCATTTTCGATAGGTGGACAACATTCATTTATTATTTTCACCAAAGTTTATCGAATGAATGTTTCTCGGCCAATGCGAAGCACCTCTCCTTCTTCCAGCAGAAAGTACAGTAAGTTGAATGGAGGGACAGTGTAGTTTCGTTCCGTTTCTCCGATCAGTGCCCATTTCTAAACATGAAAACTGGAAGGTACACTATTTGCATAAAACTCACCTCTTCGGGACCGTAATATACAACTGCGGTGGGAAGATTTCTACTCAAATGTCTGAGGAACGTCAAAATTTCCGTCGTTGATCTGCACTTTTCGACGTTGTTCACAGAGCATTCTTCCTCTTTCAGCGAGGACTCGGGGCAATAATTCGGTTCCTGAATTGATTTTTCTTCCCTTCCCTTTGCTTTTCAAAGTCTGTCCAACCGTCCCAGAGCACTTTATCCCGTCGACAGAGTAGATTTTTTCATTTCTCTGCACCAAATACTCGTTCGGCAAGTGATAGTACTCGTAAGTGTTGTTGCTGAACACTCCGAAATCACTACACATCTCGGCTTTCACTTCCATTTCTTCTTCGACATTTACTCTGAATCGGATAGAGTACATCCAAGTGAAGTCGTCCTTGACGCATTGGACATCTGAAGAAGTCAACTCTTCCCAGGAAGTCAACTCGTCTGGATGAATTCCGAGCACCTGAAACAGTGACTGAAAACTTAAAGGAATCAGTTTAATAAACCTTCCAAACAGAATATGTGCTCCAAATATCAGCTCCCAGCTTTCCGTACTTCAACAGAGAACTGATGTTCCCTCTGAAACTTTCCAGACTGCTTTTTAAAGTCAGTTCTGCGTTCTCTTCTTTTCCTTCTGGCTCATGCGGTTCTCTTATTGAGTTGACTGCCTCCATAACATCTCTGAAAGCACAATGGTTCAATGAGTTTTAATAAAACTTTAATCCGTTACGGTATAGATTCAATCGCAGTCTCCGCAATGTCACCAATGTTGTTTCTGACGCCAAACGAAACCGTTTTCTTTCCGTATTTCAGAGGCAATTTTGCGTACTTTGTAAACGTTTTCCCTTTGCCCTTCAATCCCTTCATTATCGGTTTGGCAACCGCTCCTATCCTCTTTGCGGAGAAGAATGAGAACAACTTCCGGACAGACCTTCTCGGTCTCACTTCCATTTGATCTTTTTCGGAAAGGCCTGAAAGAACTGTAATATGGGCATACTATTAGACGCTCCTACTCACTTTTGCACTCTTCGTCAATAATCTGTCGGAAAATGTCTCGCTCGTACTGAAGATGTATAACATCACTTTTGGTTGTATGTCCAGATGGAATCCTTTAAAGTAATGTCGAACTAACTTCTCATTCGAAAACTTCACTTACAGAAGCTTTTTGTACTTGCAGGACCGTCTTTTTTCATCGAGTTGTGTTGCGTTGGCGTATTGGTATTGCAGAGCAAGAAGGAGCAGAAAGTAGTTGAGAGAGCTCATGACGACTGATCGGACACCCCTCCCAGTACATTTTTATAGTAATGCAATATTGACTAACGTGTTCTTATCTCGGACTGAAACTAGTACAAACAAGTAACGTATTAATAATCGGCAAATAGAAATTCAAAAAGAAAGACTATTATGAGTCAAGCGAAGAGTTGAACATAAACAGAATTGGGACGGCGCTGGACAAGTGACGGGTGAGCTTCCGGAGGTCGTCTGTGTCATCTCAACGGAATATTGCTTGATCGGAAGTGAGTAAGCAAGCCTCACAAGCCGACAAAGAGCACAACAATATCTTACGGATTGTTTTCGAGCTACATGGAAAGATGCTTGAAGCCTTTTATTGCTAAATTGGACAACATGACTGAAAGAAAAAAGGCGCCGAAAAAACGCCCAAATCAGAAGTGATGTGGTGTTGTTTTTTTTCGAATAAATACAAATAGATAAGAGTTATTCGGTGAAAGAAGCTATCATCATCATTCTCATCAATAAACGTATTCACACGGGGCCAGAAGAAGGCCTCAGAAGTATTGTCGATTATGAGGAAGATTCGAGGAGTCGTCTTGTTTTCAAATTTTGCGCATGCCAAATGAATCCACTTGCGTCTCCTGCTTCAGAACTTGATTTCCGATGAAGACGGTCTCGTTGGACGTCGGAACCACGTGATAGAGGACGTTCGGATCAACTTTCCATTGATCTGAGAACTCTCCTTTTGACACGATGACTTGCTGAGAATGAAAAGCTAAAAATGAAAAAACAAGGAGGAATGTCTCACTCTAAAGTCGCCATAAACAGCAAAACCGACGGAGAGCTCCCGGAAGAAGTTCTTCTCCAATTTCTCCTTCTTCGGAAGTCCACAGAACTCCACAGAATCCTTTGTACACTTGGTAGGAAGCATCGACGTTATGGGGCAGAATAGAAAACTCTGAATTTGATATTGGGTTCTGTTCATTGCAATTCAGCGCTTCTAACCTCCATCGTGCACTTTTTGAGGTTCACTTTATAATGTCCATTGTGTGAAAACGTAAATGTTGGCAAGCTGTAGTATTGATAAGTCGACTCGGAGACCTGTCCGATATCATCGCACTGTAAACAGCAAGGAATGAGGAATAAACAATTGGGATGACTCACCATCTCTCCGGAAACTCTTTTTACTTTGGGAATCTTCAATTTGAGGAAGATGGTCACTTGAGAGTCCCGATGTCCTTGATGACACTCGACATTCGAGGCCTCGACCATTGAGAGCAAGTCCTGGTTCTCAATCGGCATTCGTCTCTTGATCTTGGACAAAACACTCGGATGATTCAGAAGCATTTCGGTCAGATGTCCCTGGTTTCTGAGCATTTGAATGCTTCCGCGAAGAACATTTTCGAGCATTTCGTCAAAGTGCGCAGTGTCCACTTCTGCTCGGAATGCGCTGGGATCCATCCAAATGTTATACCAGAATGAGAAGATTCCAGTGATTCCACTGCTCTTCAGAACATCCTTCGGATGCTTCACTTTGGCCAGAACTTTTGTGATTTCTCTGACGAGCTCTGGCCTGAACAGCCGCTTTCCGTTATTGTACAGATGATGAAGCATTTTGACGAGGTGACGGACTCCTTTTTTGACAATCGATCTTTTCTGACGGTCGCCCCACACAAAGATCTCTGAAAAATTGAAGTTATTTGGAACTGACAAGTCTGGAATTCTTCTAGACTCACCCTTGTCTCGGAAGTCGCATTCTTCTTCGATGATTCGGGTGATTGGCTTGCTGTTGAAGCTGAAACTGGAGTCGAACGAGAGTTCCATTGGCTCCAGAAAGTAGTCGAAAGCGTCGGGAATCACACTGAAAACCACGAATAATCAGTTATCACGTACGTACTGATACTTACACAACGTCTTGCTGTTTGCAGGCGAGTCTGTTCTCCGGTATGGAGGCAGCAATGGCGCTGGTCAGAAGGCAAATGGGAATAAAAAAGTTCATTAGAACCGCTGATAAACTGAGTTCCATGAGACGAATATCTGTAGATTTATAGTTTTTGTTATGTCTCTTCCTTAGATGCACCTGTGCAAAGACGTTCCTCAAGGCGAATGATAACAAAAATGGGCAACCAGCCAGTGAGGAAAGCGGGTGAGAAATAGACAGACGCAGAAAGAATTCCTGCGAAAACGACTAAGGTGTCATTTTGGAAACGTTGAGATGAGCAAGAAATACCAAATTAATGAACAGACGTTTATTTACTTTTCTACAATGACGATGTAAAGCAAACTGCAAGAAAGACAGAAGATATGAGAATGACACATTTAGTATCCTGGGGCGGTGCGTGGTGGTGGGCAGTGGTCGCAAGCTCCCTCGGCTCCGGAAGCTCCGTCCTCTCCTGGGTGTCCAGCCTGTCCTGGGGCTCCTGGGGCTCCTGGTGCTCCAGCATCTCCCTGTGGTCCCGGGCCTCCTGGCTGCGAGCTTCCGGCTTGTCCTGGGGTTCCTGGGGCTCCAGCTGGTCCGGCTGGTCCTGGTGGTCCGGCTGGTCCTGGGGTTCCTGGCACATCGACGACTTGTCCTGGGGCTCCTGGGGCTCCGGCATTTCCGTTGGATCCTGGCTGTCCTGGTGGTCCTGGTGGTCCAGCTGGTCCTGGTGGTCCTGGAAGAGCAGCTCCTCCGGATTGTCCTGGGGCTCCTGGGGCTCCCGATGGTCCCTTTTGTCCTGGGGCTCCGGATGGTCCTGGTGGTCCTGCTGGGCAATCGAAGCAGAAGCTGTCTGGTCCGGCGACGTCGTCCTCGGCGGCATCCTGTCCTGGGTTTCCTGGGGCTCCAGCAGCTCCGTCGTTTCCTGGGGCTCCGTCAGTTCCTGGGGCTCCTGGTGGTCCAGCAACTCCGACTCCGCACGAGCAGCACGATCCTCCGGCAGAACCTCCGAATCCTCCGACGGCGGCATCAGCTCCGTAAGACTGACGGCGGGATTTGCGGGTGGCTCCCGAAACTCCGAGGCGACGGTGGTAGGCCTCTCTCTTGATGCGTCCCTCGACTCCAGACACTCCTTGGAACTGAAACACAAATATTCAGATGACATAATCTTCTCGATAGTGTAACTCACTCTCTTGTACTCGTCCCAGAGTCCGTTGGATCTGTGCTGGCAGAACTCGACCTCGGTCTGGAGGGAGGACTGCACGTGCTGCATGTAGTTGTAGAGCATCGGGACGGCGATGATCGCGGTCAGGGTGGCGATCGTCGAGACGGCGATTCCAAAGAATGCCACCTTGCGGAGAGACTCGGTCTCATGCGCGATCTGCTTTGGATCCTCCGACATCTGGAAATGAGCGTTTGATGAAGAAGAAGCGGAAGTGATTGATTCAAATCGAGAGAAGAAATGGAAGTGAACTGCTAATCTGCTGCCGTTCTTCTCCTTTTATACACCGGCGCGCGCGCCAGCAGCTTCAATATTACAATGGCAGGCGGAGACAGGGGCACGATACAACTTCTGTGTGCGTTGTGGGTTTACAACTGTGAGAACACTTATCCGCAGTGATAAGTGTGATACTGCTGTGATAGTGAGACAAGGAAATGCATTTGGAAATGAGTACCCAAAGAGAAACATTGCATAAAAAGTGATTTTCTGGATTGAAATAAAACGATTACAATGGATGGAGTTTAGCGATTGACACTGCTGAGCTGTGAAGGTTTTCGGAGAGAAACAGAAGAGGGATTTCCCAAACATCCACGGCGAACATTTGTGAACATGGTTTGCTTTTCCCGCCGGTATTTTCCCGTTGCGTAGCGACTCATTTGCGCGATAAAGGGGTACGGTTTGCGATGCGGAGCGATAACAACGGACCCGAGCATGCTCACAAATGTTCGCCGTGACATCCCAAGAAGTAATATATCGTTTCGCTAATCAAAATAGGAATGCACAGACTTGTCTAAACACGCCCTCATTTGCTATGAAGATGAGCAAGTGCTTCTCCTTTGCCGCTTACTTTCAGATTCGGATGGACGCAACCTAAAATGCTCTTTTCCAGTATCCCTGACGTCACTTTCCGCACTTCCTGTCAATCTCCAATCTTCTTTGTTCATCAGAATCAGTTCAGTGCCAGCCTTTGTTCTTGGCCATTCAAAGACCACTCGTCAAGGTCCTTTTGCCTTCGTGAAGCTTCCCTTTTTGCCACCCGACTGACCCGTTGTCTCTTCTTCTCGACCTTGGAATTCTTTGCCTTTGTTCCCACACATTTCCGTGTTCAAACACCCAATTCATCGACCCGTTTTTACTGCGAACCCATGCTGTAACACCTCTTCTCTTCATCTCCTTCCGCATTACGATCCGTCGGCGGTTTTGTGTGTTTGGTAACTGTAAACGGGAATGGAAAGACAGTGTACTTACAGAGAGACGAAGAGAAACAACATTTTTGGAGGGAGAAGCCATTTCAGAATAATGGCCGATATTTGAATTCTTCTCGCTTCTGACCTTCTCCTCGCTCTGTCTTTTCCCATTCTGCCAACGGTTTCCTATTTCCTATTTTCTTTTTCTATTTCCGTTTCCGAATTTCAATTACCGAAGCGACCTTGTCCTTTCTCTCATCTCTTCATTAGCTTTTTGCTTTCAAAGAAGCCATCAAAGCAATCAACTTCCGTGCTTTCCTCCCCTTTTGCAGTCTTCCAACATCAATTTGTAATGAAAATGTTTATTCATTTCTACGTGATCAAGTCGACTAACGCTTTTCAAAACAAAAGATACAAAGATAAAGCAGAAAGAAAAAGAGGTCATTGTGGCGTCTAATATCCTGGGGCGGTGCGTGGTGGTGGGCAGTGGTCGCAAGCTCCCTCGGCTCCGGAAGCTCCGTCCTCTCCTGGGTGTCCAGCCTGTCCTGGGGCTCCTGGGGCTCCTGGTGCTCCAGCATCTCCCTGTGGTCCCGGGCCTCCTGGCTGCGAGCTTCCGGCCTGTCCTGGGGTTCCTGGGGCTCCAGCTGGTCCGGCTGGTCCTGGTGGTCCGGCTGGTCCTGGGGTTCCTGGCACATCGACGACTTGTCCTGCAGCTCCTGGGGCTCCGGCGTTTCCGTTGGATCCTGGCTGTCCTGGTGGTCCTGGTGGTCCAGCTGGTCCTGGTGGTCCTGGAAGAGCAGCTCCTCCGGATTGTCCTGGAGCTCCTGGGGCTCCCGATGGTCCCTTTTGTCCTGGGGCTCCGGATGGTCCTGGTGGTCCTGCTGGGCAATCGAAGCAGAAGCTGTCTGGTCCGGCGACGTCGTCCTCGGCGGCATCCTGTCCTGGGTTTCCTGGGGCTCCAGCAGCTCCGTCGTTTCCTGGGGCTCCGTCAGTTCCTGGGGCGCCTGGTGGTCCAGCAACTCCGACTCCGCACGAGCAGCACGATCCTCCGGCAGATCCTCCGAATCCTCCGACGGCGGCATCAGCTCCGTAAGACTGACGGCGGGATTTGCGGGTGGCTCCCGAGACTCCGAGGCGACGGTGGTAGGCCTCTCTCTTGATGCGTCCCTCGACTCCAGACACTCCTTGGAACTGAAACACAAATATTCAGATGACATAATCTTCTCGATAGTGTAACTCACTCTCTTGTACTCGTCCCAGAGTCCGTTGGATCTGTGCTGGCAGAACTCGACCTCGGTCTGGAGGGAGGACTGCACGTGCTGCATGTAGTTGTAGAGCATCGGGACGGCGATGATCGCGGTCAGGGTGGCGATCGTCGAGACGGCGATTCCAAAGAATGCCACCTTGCGGAGAGACTCGGTCTCCTGCGCGATCTGCTTTGGATTCTCAGACATGACTCTGAATTGCAGCTACGTTTCAGTGAGAAAAGCGAAGTGGAAGCCTTACCTGTCACTGGACTTCAGAAGCCAAGTGAATTCAAGGCTTCCACCTCGACTTTTATACCGATTGCCCACTCGTCCGCGTCTCTCACTCTTTCCGCCTATTTTCCAAAAACTGACTAAATATTACAGCGTTGCGGGGCGCGCGTTGTGAATGAAAACAGAAAAAAGAGAGAAAGAACAGAAAAGAGATAATGAGTAAGAATAAAGGGTTTCTTTGAGTGAACTAATCAGGAACAATTACAGCCGTCGGTCGGAGAGTGTAAACGAGAAGGGGGTAAAACGGGTGTCAAAGTGGTTCATTTTTGTTTACTTCAGGTAAGACGACAATATTGCGCTGAAATTGTGAAGCAGCTTCCGCCTTCCGATTTCTGATCAAAATGTTCATGCTATTATGCTTTATTAGTGGAGCTCGTTGTCTCAATCTTCGTGGTTTCTACGGTCGACTGCAAGTTCCCATTGGACCCATCGAATCCCGATTTCTTCGATGTCACAGTTTGTTCACCTGAAAACCACAATAGTACTAATAGTAAGTTGCAGATTCCATACTGATCGCATTCTCGAAATCGTCTTGATTCTCTTCCAACTTGAGCATCGCGTCCTGTCGCTCTTTTCGCGCTTCGTTCAGAAGTGTTGCATAGGGTCCGATCCTAACAAAGTTTCTGTTTCTGTGTCAGAAAAAGAAGCTTACTTGAAAAGGCGTCCCATCCATCTCATCAGACAAAGCAGTGAACTAACGCGATCACCGGAAAGCCCACACGGAATGCTGCGAATCACGACAAATCCGAGATAGAAAACGATGAGTGCGAGTCCGGAAATAATCGATCCGATCGCCAGAGGGATGCTCGCAACGATTCCGATCAGAATCCCAATGATGACTCGAACTGCGATCGTGGCAATGTCAACTGGCACCAGAAAGTCACGGCTCTCCTTCTCTTTCTGATACGTCCCATAGGCCAAACTGATGGGCACGAGGAAGAGGATGAGAACTGGGATGTAGATGAGAGCGATGAGGTAGACGAAGGGGAAGAAGAGCCAGAGGGTGACAAAGTTGACGTCGAGGACGAGTTGGACGGAACGGAGAAGGCGCTCGTAGTCCGTGTATCCGAGGCGGCATTTTGAGGCTGGAAGGGGGAACAATCAGTCAAGCAGGAAGAGTAGATTCCAAATAACTTGCCCGTGGTGAAGTGAGTGCAGGGTCTTCCGATAGGCTTCTCACACTGCCAACAGAACGCCGTATCGCAAGCCGAGTTAGCACAAATCACGTAGTTGCAGCCCTGCTCGTGAACGTACAATGCCCGGCACAACGGACATCTCTTGACGTCGCCGGACGGCAGAGCCGCCATCACCGAGTGCTTGCTCTGCTTGTACTGCAGATATCTTCGGTGGGCGATTGGCATGTACTGCTCGAGAGCCGGCTCTTTCTCGTCGAGCAACGCGTTTATGTCGTTCTCATGGATCACTTCGTTGCACGTCGCCAGTTGGCACTTGAATCTCGGGTGTCCGTCGATTATTATCCGGTTCTGAAGGTTGAAAATGATCCATGAGGGATGGGTTTGATCTCACTTTGATGTGCTCCAGAACGCACGGAAGACAGATGACATGGCCGCATTGACGAAGCACGATTCGCACCTGCAAATGACATTTCAGAGGCTATCAGCGCATTTTGCAGTTTTTCTACTTAAACACGTGTTTGCCGGGTGATTATCAGAGTTACGAATGCCCGAGCGCAGGCTACAAACACTCACATCTTGGCTATCAGCGCACACTTCGCACGGCGTAATCGGCCCGATCTCCGGCTCTTCCACCGGCGCCAGCTCATTCGCATTCTCTTCTTGTTCTCCTTTGGACTCTGTTTTCTGAAAGCTTAAGTACAGACCGCTTAAATTGTCCAGCTGAAACTCTTTTCCGCTTACACTTTCCGACATTTTCGTTTGAATTTTTGTTATAAAAGTGAGAAATGGAAAGATTTTAATCGTGAAACGAATAGTTTGTTCTTTGTTGACAAACGGAGAAAAAGGTCGCGCGCGGCGAGCGAACTTTCAAGGCGCAGCTACTCTTAGGACGGGCGGGTCCCAAAGCGAACTGAGAGAATGGCTGAGATGGGCGGAATTTGAGTTCGAAACGCCATTCTACAGACGAGTCTGCCTAACTAATCCGAAAAACCTAATCTTATCGAATGAATAGTGTATGATGAAAACTTTTTCGAAATGAGGAAGCAGAAAAACATATTCTCTTGAAGCGCAGAGAAAAGAGAATGGACAACAATTCGGTTTAACCGCATTTTTACTGGGGCACAACTGACTAGAAATGAGGGGGAAGGGATCTATACATGTAAACGTGTTGGTTACAAATAAAAGAAGCATCAAATTTTGTACAGAGACACTTAGAATGAAGAGGCTTCTTTTGGAATGAAGCCCAAGATCCGTGTAAAGTAAAGCTATTTAGTTTAGAGATAGAATTTGAGATTCGCGGTACTGCATTTGGAGACGTCGTGGAAGATGGAAATGTTCTGGAACGGCCCGCAGCAATTCGTCTGCGCTGCCGAAGCATTGTGATTCTTCTGGAACCAGAAAGTTGAGGGAAAAGAGTGGAGAGACAATATCTTACGTGTTGGAAGGCGGACACGTAGCAGGGCATCTGGAAGTTTGTAGTTGTGAGCTCCACAATTGCAGAGAAGGTAGCACATCCTCCTCCAATCAGTCCGATCACTGAAAGTTTTCTCCATGCACAACCACAAGTCACTTCGATAAACTTACCAATGATCGTAATGCAAACGTAAAGGGTCGGTTTGTTGTTGTACTTGAGCACATCCCTCCAGGTCGCCGGTTCCGTCCCTGGCTTTCCAGTCACTTCCTCCTTTTTCTTGTAAGCGGCAAGATAGAGGTAGAAGAGGCAGGGCAGAATGACAGAAGTGAGAGTGAGAGTGGAACCACCGACCAGATCGAGAAGCGGTCCGAAGGTGGGCACCGATTCGGCGACAAACACGACGGCGATCATGATTCCGGTGCGGACGAGCACACGTTGGACTCCGAACTTTTGCGGCACCTTGAACAGATCCTCGACTTCTTGCATCAACGGATTGAAGACGATGGTGAGGGTGAGAATGCAGTGGACGGTAATGAGAATGTTGATGGCCTGCTGGATCCAGACGGTCTGGATGGACGGGATGATGGAGTCGCGGAGGGAGTCACCGTAGACAATGTATCCCATGATACAGACGGGGATGTACATGAAGGCCATGACTGGAAAAGTAGAAGTTACTCTACAGACGGGAGCTCTCTGATTCCTATTCTTACTGGTGAAGGCGAGCATGACCGACTTGGTGAACTCCTTCGGCTGTTTCATGTCGTGCTGGATTGTGGGGAACGCAGAGTGACCGCCGACGGAGAAGAGAAGAGTTCCCATGGACAGGAAGAGGTTGGTAATCCGGAACGGGGGCATCTGTTTGATGTTGGAGCACGTGGGCCAGTCGATGATGGATCCGGTGATGATGAGGATCACGGCTGCGGAGGTCGTCATCATGGCGATCACGACGGCCCACCTGAAAGTTCATTTCGAAACGTCCCTTCTCGGAAATCAGTGTCTAATTATTGGTTTACCAATGTTTCACATCACCATTCCAACTTTATGACCCATCATTAAAGTCGCCGCAAACTCCTATCCGGTGCACTTTTTGTCTGTCTCTCTGCTCTCTTTCTTTCTCTATCTCACCAATTTCAATCCTACTAAAGAAATTATCTTATTAGGCCCAGTTTAATAAGTGACGGAACAATATGATGAAACTTTAAAATGTGTCTAATCCGCTTAGACTTACCAGAAATCCTGAGGCGATTTGAGGAAGCAGAGCGGAAGAAGGCATGCGGCGACGATGAGAACGAGCACACAGAAGGAGAGGTTGCCCCCGGAGAAAGCCTGCAAAGCGATCGGTCACAGACTGTTTCGGTGATCGGAGAGAGACCAACTCACAATGATCATGTTCTGAATGTTCTTCGAGGCTAGAAGCAGGTAGACGACCGAGATTCCGAACTGAGTGACGTCGATGCAAAGAGAGACTAGCAATCTGAACACAATAGAATGGATGAATGGAGGGGAAGAAGAAGACGTACTTGCAAGTAGGTCCCATGGCTCTTCCTCCGATCTCTGGGTACGGTTTCCGGCAGTGATGTCTGTATTCGGGCCATGTGCTCAAAAGGATGTTCCAACTGAGTCCCAGGACGTAGGCGGTGTAAGTGACGACGGCGATGAGAATCACACATACGATGAGCCCCGTCCAGAATTCTGAAATCGAACTTTGTCCATTTTGTGCCTGACGTGTGGAGCACAAAAGTCGCCACTTGTTTCCCTTATCGCATTTTCATATTCGCCGAGAAGATATGTGTCGGGACACGCCGATAAGACGCGCAACGTGACGACTAGGGAGCCGGAACCGTTATTGACGGCCGCTATCATTTATGCTCCGATGGCGCATTTTTTGCGTCGAGCAGAGAGAAAGAAAGGATTACACTTGTTTCACATCTATTTGCCAAGTGGAAAATGACGAACTGACCGGCTTGAATGATCGCCGTCGGCAACGCCACAATACCACCACCGGCGAGATCTCCGACCACGAAAAGACCCGTCACGAACCAGTTGAGACCTGGAAAAGAGAAAAGGGTTCAGATGGAACAGGTCCAATAAAAAACTGACCGGCAGGATTGAAGAACGGCTTTGACATATCCACGTCGCTCTCCGAAGACGGGCTTTTGGTGTCATCGCCCGAGCTGGACGAAGTTCTCGTTGACTTTCTACAAGGATCGTCGAACGCGTAATTGTCGCGGGAGTAGGTCATCTTGGTCAAATTAATCTGAAATTGGTTGAAGTGTTAAACTATTGAGTTTAAAGTAAAAACGCAGAGTAAAGTGAGTATTCTATTTTTGAGCTCAAAACAAAAAGCATGTGTATGTTCGAAGTGTGCCAATGATGATACCATTCAAAAGCGAATGGCTTTCCTTCTCTCTCTCTCTCTCTCTCTCTCTCTCTCTCTCTTTCTCTCTCTTTCTTTTATATCGAAAACGAGTGAAAGTGGGGACAAAAAATTTTGCAACCGAAAGTGATAAAATTGGTTCGTCAATCAGGTTTTTATTCCGATTTCTTATCAGTTAAGAAGAGCTCTCGTTGGACGGGGCGACAAATTCTTGTCTTGTCTTTCTTGGTTTCATTCTCATTCTCCCCCCGATTCTCACCAGAGTCGGCGACGGCATGAGTCGAGGAGCGAAAGGGACTCGTTTCACGTGAATAAGATGTCTTGGATGAACCTTGGGGGGCACGCAGAAGAGCACAGAAACCAATCACGTCCGCTTTTCCGCTACCGCTCAAGCGTCTCTTCTCGATCCGTTGCCACGTCATTCACATTCACATTTACTTTCACCTTTTCAGATCCGCACTATCTTTATCTAAGCAACGAGACTTCCGTTTGATTAGCGTACACGAGAATGTCATCAAAAAGGTCGAGGAGGGCAGTGATTACAATTCGTTTAGGGCGTTAGTTAATGAATAAAGAACTTTGGCACTTGGAAGATTGGATGATAAAATAAAATAATTCTGAAGTGTGACGCCTGCTCTGCCGTGTAGTAGCAGCGCCGCAACTCTCCAGGGAGAGGCACCAAAAAGAACGAAGATGATGGATGAGGTGTGGGGGGGCTGAAGTACGAAAGGTTCGGATAACAACGAGTTGGCCGAACGACAATACTGTGGGAAGATGACGAATGCGAAACGAAAACATCGTGATTAACATGATCTCTGATGATACTCAAAAACCGTTTCAAGCGATGTTTTGAGCGAGAAATCAAAGAACAGTACTTTCCGGTCGAGCTATTTTGGCGTGGAAATTGTTTGAATGCACCGAAAATGCACCCCAATTGCAATTGCGATCTGTTTTTCTAGTGCTGGCCTTGAATTGGGTCAGGATGGAAGAGCGTCTGTGATTTGAGAATTCAGCGATATAGTGCCGTAGTCGTTGACGAGACCATCATCAAACCAGTTGTTCGCTCACAAAAATGAACACAAAATTTTGAAAAAGTTTTGATGTGAAAGAATTCGACCGAACCAGTTTTTTTGTGAAAAGTTTGAGAGGACGGGCGATGCCATCCAAATCGCCGTTCTACAATTATCCTTATGAATAAATTATTGTTGTGTCTGGGTGAGAGTTCCCCAGAGAATAATGAAATCAGCGGAGTAGGCGGTCTTCGAACGACGTCGGAACTGGAAAAGTGCGTGCCGATGGTTAGTCTTTCTCCTTTCGAAGTCATCCTTCGGTCTAGAACTGTTATCTGAAAAAGTGAGCGAGTCGTAAATTGTCCAAGTCATGCGACTCCGTCCTCCTCAGTTTGCATGTGTACCTTCCACTGATTGCCGACTGATTTTGCGGACGGAGAACAACAATACAAAGTGTACATAGTGTACTGGTTTTACCGTGTTTTGAATGGGTGAGAATGACAAAAAGTTATCATCAATCATCATCGACGAAATGTACTGGAAACTTCTGACACGGGGGGCGAGAAAAGCACGCTTTCGTTTTCTGAAAGAGAGAATGTGGGTTACGGTAGATTTTTAAGTATGCAGTTTTGCGCGGCTGTGTTCACACCATGCTGAGAATTTCAAAAGGGAAACCACGCGCTAGATTTTTTCTCTCGTTTTTCCAGCACAAAAATCGGTCGTTTCCTGCTGAAAGTGCGTTTCGATGTCTGCAGAAAATCAATTGCCGCTTCTAAATCACTCAGAAACCGAAAGTTCTCCGGCCGTACTAGAGCCGCTCAACAATAATCTGTCGGAAGAAGATCGGCAAGTTAGGCAAAGAGAAGCGGCGGCGCCAGACACTTCTGAAGAAAGTGAATTCCCTTTTTTGGTCGTTTAGAAAATTCCTGTTTTGCAGGCAATTCTGACGAATTAAACTTCGTGTACTTGCTCACCGACGATGATTTCAGCGAAACAGCTTTCCGCGACATTTTCGTGAATAATGTAAGAAACGGTCTCCATTGTAGTCTAAAATTCTTCGTTGACAGGCTGAAATCAAGAAATTGCGAGCGACCAGAATGTCTCACAACATTAGAAAGCGTCTGCGGTCATTTGGGGATTCTGCGTTTGCCAAAGAAGTTTCGTCAGATTTATCATTAGGCGGAATTTGTGATTGTTTTCCAGATCATCACGCTCGCCAACAAAGTGTGCAAAGAGAACCCGTGCACTCAAATGCTCCCTCTTCCACCGCTAGTTCAGTGTTTTCCGAGCACTTCCAGACTCGGTTTGTACTCCCTTTCCGGCCTACTCATGCTCTTCGCACTTTGCAGGTCTCTTCGCTACTCGTCGGATCCGCCGAGGCGAGTTCGTTATCGCTCCGTGTCCAGTTCTGCTAACTACTTTCGAGGAGTGCAGACGAACTGAGCTGGGCCTGCTGCTCCCGAATATCATAGTTTACAACGGCCTTCACAGGGATTTCGGGTACTATGAAGTTGTCGGTATCGTTCGATTATGATAATGTTAATCTCGTCTCGTCACTCATTTCAGCGCCGCCGCCGTCCCTTCGCAAACCTAGAAATTCTAAATCATTCCTTCAGCGGAGAAAGCAACGTCGCGTGAAATTGGTGACAAAACCTGCCGACAAGTGAGTTGAACTCAATGTTAAAATAATTGGTACTGATTATAGGCCGTCAACAAAGTACTACTCCGATGACGAGGATTCGAGTCCGCGCGTTTTCTACGATAAATATGATATGTGCATTGACGTGAGCATCTCGACGAATGAGATTAGAGCGATTCGCAGAAACTGTCGACCAAATTGCATCATCCGATACGTCATGCTCGATCAACGGATGGAAGTGTTCATTACTGCGAATAAACCCATTAAAGCTGGAGAAGAGGTATCTTCCTCCGGAAGCCGCTTTCAAGAATTTTATCCGTTCATTTCAGCTGACACTTCCGCATGATTTCGATTCAAATTTTTCCACAAAAGTAATGCAGTGTGCCCATCCGTACGAGCCTGGCGATCTGTGTATGCATGAGGTATGAATGAGCCTTTATCACAGAAAAAGCAATTAAAGAGTTGGTCAGTAGCGCACTCGGAGTTTCCTTTCGAATTTGAGCGCTTTCCGTCGGTCCTCTCCATTCATAGGGCCCCAGTCTCCAGTTGCACGCAGCATCACCTACAATTGTTCCCGTTCGGAGACATATTTTGCTATTCCGCTCACTCCAAACGGCTCCATGTTTCTTCTCCGGTCGTAATCTTCTCTGATGAAATAGAACAGGACAAAAATGACGGGCATAAGAAGAAGAGACCATCCCATGGCCTCGGTGACGTAAGAGTCATGTGTGAACGCCTTCCGATTACCGAATGTCGCGACGACGCATCCGAAAACAATTAGTAGAAGCAAAGGGCTGACAACGAGCCAATTGAGCCACCAGAAGACGTTCGGAGGGCCGCGTCCGCCGATCATTGCACGGATGTTTCTGAAATTCACTGTCATTTCAAGCATCTCTGTATTTTCGACGTACACAGAGAAACGTTTGAATCCGTACACGTAGGAAACAGTGATGATTTCCACAAAAGCAATGAAGAGGGTTCCATAGGATGAGAAGTTTTCGAAACTGCTCATTACGTTGATTCCACCTGCATTTTCCGTCAGTTTCATTTCTAACTAGTCATTAATCCGACCGTTTCCCATGAATGGCAAACTTGAGACTAATCCGGTGAGGCACATGATTCCGAGTACTCTTGCCCTTTTGTGCCAGCTCGCCAGCGACTCTCCGTATTTCCGCCGACTTCCGTTTATTCTTTCAACGATCATAGAACTTATGACCTGAAAACATAATAGAATTCATCCAACTGTGAACGTATGTTTTTACCCAAATGTAGCAGGAAACTCCTTGAATTGAGCTGATCAATAAAGTGATCCAAAAGAGAAAGACCCAAAATGAACCGAGACGGACATTCGTCAGAATCTGAAATCTTCAATGTCTTTTTAAGTTTAATTAAACCCACTTCCGAAATGACAACTTCTATGAGCACTGGCGATGTATACAATTGAATTCTCTCCCTTGCTGCCAAGTCCGGATAGTAAAATCTTCCAATTTCTGCCATAAACATAAAGGAAAAAAGTCCTCCGCAAATGTAAAGAATGTACGAAATTATGCTGATAGCGAGCACGTCTCTGTGGATCTTATTATGGAATTTATTGAGCGACGCGAATTTCTGAATGCCTCCACATCCAACGCTGTAATTCACGATGATTTTTTATACTTGGAAACTCCTCACTTCAATGATCGGAGTGCGTGGGCGGCAGCATCAGCCCAGGACCATACCCACATCCATTTGTCCGGATGGGCTTCTGGTTCGTAGAAGAACGTCTTCAGGACATCGATAGTATCGTCGAATGAAATTCCATACGAAAGGAGCGATATGCTGCCGATGAGCAGAAGCGAAAGAGCCACAATTCCAGTTCTCCCGAGAACTTTTGAACCGCCGATAGAGACCACTCCGACAATTGTCCAGAGAACGATGGAGCATGCAGCTGCCATGTAACTCGGTGGCGCCCAGTCAGAAGAAATTATACTTCTCTGAAAAGTGGCGAATCATAACCTTGTTCCTGTCTTGACTCACTTTGTACATAAGTCCTTGGATGAACGTCATAAACGGTGACTTTCTCTGTGTGATTCCACGAGTGGAAATCAGAACCTCCTGATAATGATCGCACTTTTGACTGGTTCCTGGCCGAGCCCATGTGCAATTCTCAGCGAGCTTGTAGTCGATGCAATAGCGGTCGTTCTGCGGGCATTCGTGCCACGGAGGCGTGGTCCATGCAGATTGAGTAGAATACGCGGTGATTGTGAAATCGTAAATGCCCCAAACCGAAAGACTGATAGTTCTGAATGAGAAGGAGATGCATTCTAACTTTGTTGTGACTTTTTTACTAACCGGAAAACCAGAATGAAGCACATTCCAGCTGATAGTCCGGCCATGGCGGGTGCCATTCTTGAGAAGACAGAGAGAGGGGAAGCGGAAGCATACTGTCCGAGAGCCATTTCCATGTAAAGTAACGGAACAGCGATGAATATAAAACAAAGAGTGAACTGATAGGGAAACCAGCCACCGTAGTAGCCACACAAAAACGGGAAGAACCAAAAGTTATTGGAGCAGATGACGAACGAGAGAGTCGCCGCGATAGCCTCCCATTTGGATGTCCACGTAGGTCCCTCCATTTCCGTGTCAAGACCAATGTTCTCCAGTGCTAGACTGGTCACACTGGCCATCCGATTTCGAAGATCGAGATTCATTGTTGTCGCATTTGAAGTTTTCTTAATCAACTGATGTTTTATGATTGCGTATGATCATTCAACGTTCACCGGAACAAGCGGTTCCGAAGTGGTCTCGTTCGACGCATCTTTCGCTCCTCCTTTCGACGTCGATAACACAACGACGTCCGATACCGTTCTAGTTTCTTTCGATTGATACTCTTCCGATGACGACGCCATTAAAATTATTAAAATTTTTCAAACTGACTTATTTGAATCCACTACACATTATATTCCCAAAGTTCACGTTAATAATTTCAGGAAGAGCGGCGGGAAACGGTCGGTGAACTTGTGAATTTGTTCGAAAGGCGCAGGATGAATCAACCTGAGGCGAGAGCCTAAATCTTCCAGCCGGAACCATCCACTTCCAAATAGATCAATCGCCACTTCTCCTGTAACTACTTTCTCTCCTTCTTGTGCTCTTTCATTATATTCAAAATATGTGTCGAATATTTCTTGAAAAGAAAGTAAATAAAAATCTTATTGAGCTGTAAAAATGTAAAAATTCGTCCTCTCGTGTCTTCCGTTCAAAGCGGACATTTATCTTGTCAACCCTCTTTTTTCGTTTGCCTCCTCGTTTCCTGCTGACGCGCACTCTCTCTGCGCACACACCGTCTCCTGGAGAACAAATGACGCCCCCTTTTCTATGGGCCTCCTTTTCGGAGAGGATGGGCAGTTTAAGGCTTGCTTCAGCGAAATTGCAACGCATTCTGATAGTGACTCGAGCAATGTCAATAGAAACTGACGTAATTCAGGTGATTCATTTCTCTCAAATCATCAACAGCCGGAGTCTCCATACGAACACGTTGAAATCGATCAGTTCCCACAGTTTAGAGCGCCACATCGCTTGTTCGTTTATTTTCCGATCGTTGGAGAGAGAGAGAGACGCACATCAGAAAACCGACTGATTTCCCTTTTGTTTTGTTTTCAAAAACTGACCTGACTACATTGTGTTTTCTCCTTCAAAATAGTTCACGTTGCTAATTAATGTTTGTCTGTGAACACTTGAGAATTACAGAGCAACGGCCGCGGTACCGCGCGGTCGAATATTCACTTGGATAGCGCTAGTTCGCCAGAGGTGGCGATGTGTTCGTGTTTACTTCAGCGAGGACTTCATTCGCACGTGATGCAATTCTCTCGTACTTTGCGCGCACTCGTCCACAGACGTACACCGCCAGCTGTTTTCTGTTCGCCCCCCCCCGCTAATCAATTCCCTTTCGCTTCTTCCACCCCCAATCCACGAGACGCCGTCCCCTGTGCCCGCTGTGAAGACCAAAACGGACGAGCGTTGCATTGCATTGCATCGATCGGAGAGACCTTCTCCGTCCGTCTCGTTCTCTCTTGCCTCCCCCACCGTCTGCCGTCTCTCGCCCAGCTGTAGTCTCTCCGCCTCCAGCATCCATCTGTTTCTCGTAGTCTTGCCCTCTTTCCTCTAGTGGGCACCTTTTAGTATATGGTGATAGAGGTGTGATAAACCACGTTGCTCTCCTTCGATTCGTTTCTGTTTTTCTCACTTTCTGACTTTTTGACTTTCTTCTTCTCCTTTTAACGAGCGATCGCCGCGCTCGCTTTGTTCGTTTTATTCGTCGTTTCTTCTTCGATTTTCGCATTTCCATTCAGAAACCTCTCCGTTTTTCAGCGCGATTTCATCGTGTTCAAACTGAAAGTGACGAGAGAAAGGAGGGAATCCGTACGGGATTCATACAATTGCATGACTTGGTACACCATTTCAGCATTCAAACCTTTTTCTATAATCGATTTTTTTCAGAATAACAGCCATGTCAACGCCGGAATCGGATGACACTCCACTTCTGGGCGTCTCTCAACCCATCTCGCTGGCCCGTCCCGATGCCAAAGATCTGGCTCAGACGGCGTTGCTAGAGGAGACGCTCAGAGAGTTCAATGCGTACGAGCCGAGAGAGGAGACGGAACAGCGTTTGGAGGTGCTTCGCAGTCTGAACAAACTCGTCAAGGAATGGGTGAAAAAGGTCACTGCCATCAAGGTTAGCTAAAATTTCTGAACTCTGAACCATAAAAGCACTTTCAGATTCCGAGCGGTGAAGGGGCGAACGCCGGAGGAAAGCTGTTCACGTTCGGGTCGTACAGACTGGGAGTGCACTGCTCGGGCGCCGATATCGATACGCTTGCGGTGGTGCCACGTCACATCGACCGTGTGGACTTCTTCACCTCGTTCAAAGAGATGCTCAGCCAGGATCCGAACGTCACCGAGCTGCACGCGGTCGAGGAAGCCTTCGTGCCAGTGATGAAGCTGAAGTACTCGGGCGTCGAACTCGATATTCTGTTCGCTCGTCTCGCTTTGAAAGAAGTGCCCGACACGCAGGAATTGTCCGATGACATGCTCCTCAAGAACCTCGACCAGGAGAGCATCCGATCGTTGAACGGATGCCGAGTCGCCGAACAGCTTCTGAAGTTGGTGCCACGTCAGAAGGAGTTCTGCGTCACTCTGCGCGCCATCAAGCTGTGGGCCAAGAACCACGGAATCTACTCGAATTCGATGGGATTCTTTGGAGGAATCACCTGGGCCATTCTTGTCGCTCGCACGTGCCAGCTCTATCCGAACTCCAGCCCATCGAAGCTCGTCCAGAGAATGTTCTTCATCTTTTCCACGTGGACGTGGCCGCATCCGGTTCTGCTCAGCGAGCTCAACACGGATCGCACCGACATGCCGACGCTCTGCGATCTCGTCTGGGATCCACGGCGCAAGAATTCCGACCGTTTCCACGTCATGCCTATCATCACGCCGGCGTTCCCGGAGCAGAATTCCACCCATAATGTGACTCGATCCACGTCTGCAGTCATTCAGGCCGAAATAAAGGAGGCGTTGGACATCTGCAGAGATATAACCGACGGAAAGGGACAGTGGAAGGACTTGTTCGAGGAAGTTAACTTCTTCAGTCGCTACAAGCACTTCATTGCTCTGATCATGGCGGCGCCGAACGAGGAAGAAGAACTGAACTACGGTGGATTCCTTGAGTCTCGCATTCGTCTGCTCGTTCAGAGCCTCGAGAGAAACTCGGATATTCTCATAGCGCACAACGATCCGAACAAGCACAAGCCGTCCGAAAAAGCGAAATTCGATGTGGAGCCGGAGAACACTCGCATAACCGTCTGGTTCATCGGACTTGAGTTCGCCGAGCACGCGAAGAATCTGGATTTGACAAACGAAATCGCTCGTTTCAAGTTGAGTGTGGAGAGTCAGGCGGGCGCTGTTCGCGGAATCGGTCCGAACTCTCATGTGCAGGTTGGCATTATTTTGTGAAGAGAGAAAGCCGTAATCACTGTTTTCAGATTGACATGTTCTACGTGAAGCGCAATCATCTGATCCAGGTCATATCCTCGAAAGATCTGAAAGCTGGACGTCGCTGGAAGAAGCCGGCGAACGGAGTCACCGCTGCCTCGGTCAGTTCTGCGCAGAAGAACGCCGTCGTCCGCACCGCTAGCTCGAGCTCCGTTCCGACGACGCCGACCTCGATTGTCGCTCCGAGCACGCCGCTGAACACCACGATGGAGGCCGATTCGACGACGACGGCGAGGTCGAGCGAAACTTCAGTTCGTCGCAAGAGAGAATCCGATTCCGAAACGGCTGATCTGGCGACTGCAGGCACTTCCGAAGGACCGTCGGAGAAGAGACCGCGCGAGGAGACACTGGAGCCGGTGGTCGAAATGATGCTCGAGGTCGCGGACGGTGAGCAGGAGGGACCGAGAAGCGACAGGACTCCGGAGCTGGCCGAACTCGAATCGGAGAGCGAGCGATTGAATGCGACGAACGGACTGGAAGCCAGCGAGCACAAGATGGAGGAGGTGCCGCAGACCGTCTAAGTTACGGTCAGTTTTCAAGCTTTCCTTTCCTTGACTGACTGACTTTTGAAAATTTCAGACGATTGCCCAGAATTCGAAAGTACAGGTCACACACACAGACATACAATCCCGGAAGCCTCGTTTTCACATTTTGTAACATAATAATGGAAAATTTCCGTGCGTCGTCACTTCTAATCCCCCGCATAACATGCATTTGTGACAGGTGATACCTGTCGGTTCCCCGCTTTTATCCCATTTCGTTGGTTTCAAAAAGCTTCCTTCCTTTGTACTACTTTTCATTCATACTATCGTTTTCCTCTCTCTTAACTTATATTTATGATGATGATGATGATTTGAGCCAAGTGCACTTCTCCGTATTCACATTTCCTCCGCGTCGCTCTCTTTCTCTCTGCTTATTATCAGAAACTTGTATTTATTTTTGCTTTTCCCCGCCCAATTCCTTCCTCGCTTCTATCGTTTTCCCGTCCGTAATAACTTGTTTTGTACACAAAAAGACAAAAAAAAACTGGATTAAAATAATGAAAAATATATCAGAAAACCCTCTCAAATTTCCCCTCCCCCAAAAAAAAGGTACGCATTCCACTGTTGGCCCTCCCTTCTACTCGCCTACTCCATTTTTCTGCTTTCTTTCCCTACTCAATTCCCTCCATCTTTTGCGAAGCGAATCGTTCCTTTTCCCATCCACATCAACTCCTCATGTTTTTTCCAATCATCCCTGATGTCTTCTCACCCCGTCTATTTTATCTTTTCATCCATTTTTATTCATTTCTCAATTGTTTCCTTTCGGTTCTAATCGGCTAATAAATGAGAAGACGTCAAAAACTTCTTTACTTGAACAGTAAAAGTTGAAAGGGTTTTTCAATGCAAATCAGGGGAATGCAAATCCGTCTGAAGGACTGCAGTAAAACATTCATGTTGGGGATAAGAGACGGGGGCGCAAGTGTACGATAAAACAATTAGACGAAAAAAAAAGAAAAGGGAACAGGGTACAAGGGGGAAGACGAGTGAGAAGCGAGCCGGCGGCAGTCCTCGCTATGCACGTTTCGATTTTCTCTTTTTGGCCATGGCCTCCTGAATGATTACCAGTTGGTCGACTTAACACCGCGCAACTCACAATGTGTGAATGTTTCCGAGAGAAATGATTTTGGAGCAACTCCTGGTTGCTGAGGTCAGTCTTGCACTCGACACATCGGTACTTATTGGCCAATCTCGTGTTCTGAAACAACACTCGATTACTTCGCTTCTGAATGGAACCAACTAACCGTGCTATGAACGGTGACAACGTGGCCGACCACAATACCGTCCTTCTTGATCTCTTTGCCCCTACAAAGAATTTTCAGGATTTTATTTATTTTTAGGCTACTCACAAGGGCGAATGAGATCTCTTGCGAGACAAAGACGATGAAGGACCAGAAGATGGCGGATAGCCATCGTCGTCTTCGTCGTCGTCGTCAGAATAATCGTGAGCTCGAGGTGGAGAATTAATCGGAGGTCGAGCGGTCGCAGCCGACGATTGGACTTTAGAGCTGATTAATGGGAGCCGATCCAAGATCTTCTCGAATCGCTCGTTGCTCTGCTCGAGCATCATCTTCATGAAGTTCTTATTATCTTCATTCATTTTTTTGATTTCAACGCATTTCTCTTCTTCTTTTTGCAGAAGCTCAAATTTGTGATCCGACATCTTCTTTATTATATCTTCTCGGCGATCCATCTCTCTTTTCAACAGTTCGGTATTGTATTCCAAATTCATATTTTCCATTTTCACCTCTTTTTCCATAATCATCTTTGTGTACTTGTCAGTGGCGTCGCTGAACAACCTTTCCATATTCTCAGCAGCTCTCATTTCATATCGCGCCCTTTCAGCGCAATTCAATTCCTGCTGTCTCGTCAGAGCGTCCACGCACATTTTGAACTGTAAAATAATATGTGAATTTCAATGAATGTGATACCAATTTTTACCAAATCCACATTATACGGCATTTGCGACGAAACGGGACGCAATGGCCACATATAATTGGAAGGGATATTCGGTTGATTCGATAATGTCATCGAAAGATTAGGAATTCCCGCAAGCGCCTGCATTGGAGGAGCGGTACTGCTAACTGGAAGTCGCGGAGCAGCGTTCATCGATGGCGCGGCCGTTGTAGTTCTCGGTGGAAAACTGGACGTGTTCGCAGAAGACTGCTGCTGCTGCCTTTGGAGTACCGAGTAGCGTGCTTGTTGCAAAGTCATATAATTCTGAAACTTTAAACAAGGAATCGGACGTTTGCGATTGAGTGGGGATAACCAACGTTTTGCTGGAGTCGCGGATCAATATTCGCTGTTGTTTGCGGAATCTGTGGCAGTCCTCTTGATATTGGCGTCGTTGTCGATTTATCATTATCCATTTCTAAAAACGGCGCGAAAATTATAAAGGAAAGAAACGCATTTAAATGTGCGGGCAAATTCGAAAAAAAAAACGTTTGAATTCGTGTGGGGGCCTGCGCACATCTAAGTGAACCGTCACTGCAGAGTTTGAATGCTACAGTAATCTTTATTTTAAAAAAGTTTTTAAAAAATCCTGGAAAATCAAAATTAAAATACCAATTCTAGGAAAACGATTTATTTATAAATAATTACAAATACATTGTAGAATTAGGAGTTGTATTGTTGAACTACAGCCTTGAGCATGTAGACCGCAGATTCAGGCGTGTCGTAAGCCACCTGAAACAATTTCTTACTTTTGGAATGTTTTTCGATAATTTACCATATGTCCTGCTCTGAGAATCCACCAAAACTGCAGGTTTTTGTACGTCTTGTAATATCCGGCCAACGGGAAGGACGCAGTTTTGAACGAGTGTCTGGTGGTGGAGTTGAACGCGCTGGCGCCGTCCCACGTGAGCCTGTTCACCCAGGCGGCCGTGCCCATCGTGTTGCAAATCAGATCTTCGTTGCCGTTGTACACGACCACATTGTAGCCGTCCTTGAGCAGCTGGTCGACAGTCTCCCAGATGGGTGTCATGAAGTCTCCCTCTTGGTAGCTGAACACATTTCCCGCCTGCGCTCCGAACTTGACATTGTCCGGAATGATGCCCAACTTCTTGCGAACGACGGTATCCATGTAATCGGAGAGCGAGACGTCGTTCTGCGGGGCCACGAATCTATTAAAAAGGCGGAGGGTGGGCGTCATGACGCGGTTGGATCGGAGCGCCGCAGAGCTCCAGTCGTCCGAGTCGCCCTTCTTCAGAATGTTATACCAGGAGACATCGTTCGTCTCGATGCTGATCAGATTCTCCATGTTCCCCCAGCAGTTGGTGGCCTGCTGCCACTTCTGCTGGTCCACCAGTGCCTGACATTTCGCCGCTTCCGCATTCACCAGTTTCAATTGATGGTCATCGAGGAATGACTGAAAGTGAATTCGGAAATAAGAAATAAGCCGCTTATCAGTTTAAGAGTTGGCAAGCTGACGAATTGTCAGCCCGAGAACTGGTCATAGTCATTCGAACTTTTGAAAGTGTGCAAAACGCAACCTACATTCGCATAGAGATACGGTCCCCAGGTGTTTACATAGTCCATCGCGGAAATCCACGAGTCTCCGAGTGCGACGGCCCGGAAGTTCAGCTGCAGACTGCTCGCTTTGACGGCCTGTAACATTAGATAGTCAAAAAGAGGATAGTAGTGGGACGACGTACATCAGTGATGACCTTTGCGAACTGTGCGCTCATCTTTCCTCCATAACTCTCGCAGAAGATGTAGAACGGACGGGTACGGTACTCGGGGTGAAGTGCCAGGAAGCGACGGAGCCACGCGAGCAGGTCCTGGCCGATTTGAGTGATGTCCTTGGTGTAGGCGGAAATTTCGTCGACGTAGGAGAATCCGGCACCGACCGGGTTGTCCACGTACACGAGATCAGCTACTTGCAGCTGAAAGTCGATTAGTCTTCCTTCCTATTGTAACATTTGTACAGTCTTACCCAAGTGGCCGGGTTGTCAGATCCATTCAACGTCTTCGGTCCGGTCTCCTCAAAGTTTCCGAAGCCAGAGCTCGAAGATCCGGGACCTCCTTGCAGCCAGACGAATAGAGGACGTTGCGAATCGGCCGGTTTGACCGCGTACAGCCACCAGAATGTGTGGGCGTTGGCGCGGATGTCCACGTATCCCCAGTCTTCGTCGTACTGCAGAACACCTCCCCAGGTGTTCACAGTGTTGTGCTCGCCGGCAGACACGAGAGCCGTCAGTGAGAGTAGCGTCGTCAACAGCAAGTTCATCTTGAAAACAGAAAATATAACGAAGAACGAAGAACACGGCAAATAACGAAGAGTTCGGGGAGAAGGAGAAGGAGCGGATGAAAGAATGCTCTCGCGTGACCGCTGGACGACCGGAGAGCCAATAAATCAGAGCTGTAATGTGGTCGGGAGGCGGCCGTGTCTGCTGCAGCAGCAGCGACAGCGACCACTGTTATCAGGAATCGCAAGCAGCCAAAACACACAGACAGACAATTTATTAGAAACACTTCTTTGAGAAATTTTAACGTGCCATCGCGGCACCATGTATTCATCGTCCGATCTGGCGAATGGTCTGGTCAACAGAGCGCACATACACGTAACGAAAGAATATATTTGAAATTAGATTATGCTTCTCCGCTCTCCATTCACATGGTAAAGTCGACGTACGGATCGAAGTCAATGTCCTGGGTGTACTCTTCACTGGAAATGGGCGAGAACAGGCGGGATTTCTCTGAAAACAGACTCTGTTTACGGAAGAATCAAAGTGACTTACTTCCGCTGTTCGGAGGCAGCACAATCGGGGACATTCCTCCGGCAAATGGCGCTTTCGGACGAGGAGTCGCCGGTTTGGCAACTGGCGGAGGTCTTTCCGGAACTCTCGTCGTCAGTGGCGGCGCTTCGGTGTCTGGGAAGTCCATCGGAACGTCGTACTCATCTTCGTAGTCTGATCTCTGATTATCCATTGCTATGATGTCCTCCAAACTCAACGGGGCCGGAGTGACATTCTCGATGATCGGTCGGAAGTGCTCCACTGGCTCGGCAATCGATTTCGAAGTGGGAACGGGGCGTCTCACGTCTGCCTCATGAACGATGTCTCTTATCGGAACTGTTGGGTACGGTATCTCTTCCGTTGTCGTCTCGATGGTGGTGGTCGGCGTCGGGGTGCTGGTCATTCGGAACCGGGCCTTGTACTCCTGATCCCTCTGCCTCTTCTCGTTCTCGTACTGAATCCGTCTGTCGTTCTCCATCTTCTCCCTCTCTGCCATCATCTTCTCCCGTTCTCTTTGCTGCTGCAACTTCATCTCTTGCATCTTCTTCCGATGCTCTTCCTGTTGTTTCTTCAGCTCGTCTTGTCGTTTTTTCAATTCCTCTTCATATTTTTTCTGCATTTCCTCATGCTTCAATCTTGCAATTTCATGCGGAGACATTGTTGTGGACGTCGGCTCTTCTGGTTCAACTGGAGCCTCTGTTCCGTATGATTCTGGAGTGATCGGAGCCAATTGAACATCAGGAACGATTGGAACGACGGGAACCGGAGCAGGGATCACGGCTCCTTTCGGATGGGCGGTCCACTGGATTCTCTGCCTGACGACGTTCCTTCCATCCGGATGTCTGATCGTTTCGATGTGAGGGATCAGAGTGATGACGTGGTCCGGGAACTGAGCCTCCAGCTTCTTCCGCAGCGCCTTCTCGTGCTCATCTAGATGCGATCTGAACTGATTCACCAGCTCCGGATGGTAGTTCTCGCGGGCTGCGGGGGCCTGCGTGGGCGGATTGAGTGCCATCTGAACTGGTGGCCTTTGATATCTTGCCTGCTCATAGTAATTGCGTCGCATTGTCTCTTGGATCCGTCTCTGCGTCTCCTCTGCCTCGTTCTGCAGCGCCTGCGATATCTGATGATGCTGTTGAACATGTGCATCTGCAATCCGATCCATGAATACCTAAAAGCGAAAAAAGCGCAAACCCTGCTCCCTGACAACTTGATAAGTGACCGGTCGGTTCGTCTCCGAAGTATCCCCGTCCAATTGAATGCGATACGAATTCGTTTGACTCGGTCTCGCGCCTAAGTGGATCATTCTCGGAGGAATCTTCTTCTTCTGAACCTTGAACCGTCTCTTCTGATACCCATTCTGATTGACTGGTGTTTGTTCCTGAATCTGCCAGTTTTGATCAATCTCCTGAAGTTGTCTAGGCTCAGAATCGAAACGATGGATAGTCAGTCCATCGGCTCGGCTGAAGAGCGGCACGGTGGCCACCGGAGCCGCATGGAAATAGCTCTGCAAATGGCAATTAGGCTCGGATGGGTAAATAAGAAGAAATTAGTGCTCACCGGTCCATCGTCGCTGTGGCTGATGTTAATGGTCACGAGCCGGCTGTTCCAGTCTTCAGCTCGACCCAACGGTTTCGGATGATTGAAAAAGTACGAGTTGTCCATGGGAACTTGGACCGGATAAGGCTCTTCCGAGAATCGGTTGTAGTTCCCAGTGGGATTGTTGAAAACGTTCACAGACTCGACGGACATAGAACGGTTCTGAAGCAAGGAAACAATGATTCATTCTAGTTACTCCAAGACTGACCATTTGTCGTCCCCAGTACTTTTCATCGATTCCCGGTCCATGTTCGGCGTAGTCTCCGCAGATGAGCATGCAGTGATTGTACGAATAGTAGATGTTCGAGTTGCCGCCGCACCCAGACCACCACGAGCACACGCACTGCTTCTTGTCCTGATCGAAGAACCACCGTTCGATGTCCGCATTGCAGTGTCCTGGATCGTGTGGTTGGAAACAACGATCTCGGTTCGTGGGCTCTTGATAATGACACTGTGACGAGCATTCTGAATGGACATTGTCCGAGGCCTGTTGAGAATCGAATGAATACCTTCAAGAGTGTCGAAACGGTTCTCATTTCCCTCGCATCCTCCGTAAAAGAAGCGACGACACCGATGATCGTACCGATCATAGTACCATTTGACGTGGAATTCCTGTTCGCACGTGCCACGATCCGGCCAATGATTGCATCTCGGATTGGAGAGCAGTTGCTGCGAACTGACCGCAGTACAACCAAAGAGTAAGAGTGAGAGTAGATGGAGCATGACGCTCTTGTCTGATCTGCAAAATGATGTTCGGTAGGCGCCGGAAAGGGTGGAGCCGAGAGAATGATTCATTGGGAGGGCGGGAGGGAGCGAGAAGTGACGGATAGGAGTGGAGCAGCAAAAAGAAGTCCGACACTACACAAAACAGATTTCATTCCGTCGCTTTTATTGGGTAATTCCAGAGTTATGAGTCGTAGGTTTCGGCTTGTTTCGATTACTCACCGAAATTCTTGATTAGACCCGACGGAGACGTGTGCTCAGACGAAAAAGCATGTGAAAGGTGAGAAAGGTTAAAAGAGTGGAAAAGAGTGTCCTCATCGCTTCGTCCCAGGACATTGCAGGTGGGATGGGGAGGCGAAGGGAGGCGGGCGGGAGCGGAGGGGCCGAGAAGACAGACAAGGGGCCTGCTCCCTCCCCGGCAGGAGAGCAGCCGAGCTATTTGGCACAAGATGTCAACTGATAGAGATAGATGAGTTGGGGGGCACCTCGCGAGCGAATCCGCCGCCAACATTTTTTGGCGGTCGGGAAAGAGCTGGAAGTATGTCTGGAGAGTGTTCGTATTGTAGATGAAGATCCAACCTTTTGCCAGATGCTCCATCAACCAGCAAGGTTCAGCAAGGGCGCTCCAAGATATTCAAAAAAGCCTTTGGCTCACTTTTCAATATGCAAACACTCGGAAACGGCTTCAGAAACAGAAACGTCGTCTCAAATTGCGAGTGCGTCCGAATCGTACACTTCAGGAATGTGCGTCTCTACTTCTCTGCATCGTTTTGTGTTCTGCTGCCCTCATCCGTCTTGTCAGTGTCAAAAAGTTGCTGACCTTTCATTCTAAATTCAAAATGTGCGAACATGTGGCCGCTGTTTTTTTGTGCCAGGCTCCCGGCGTCTCCTGCTAAAGTGATTGATCGAATTGAAGTTTGAGTATCTCTATAGAAATCTTCATTCCATCCATCGTACTTGGATGTATGCCCCTTGACTAGGGTGAGAAAATAACAATAAAAATGAGGTATTCAAGCACTAATTTTCTTGTCGTGATCCCTGCCAAACGCCCAGTACAGATGTGTTCCGTTCACGATCGGAATGGCCTTGTTGGTGTCGGAGCACAGCGCCGGAGCGTTCTTCATCGAATACAACTCGTCGTTACAGTAACCGCACGAGTGACGGCACACTCTGACTGCGAACTCCGGGTCCGAACAGCTGTACTTGCCCATTCCGGAAGCCTTGAATCTCCGGCAGAAGCTGATCGAATGCTTATCTCTGCACACTGTAGGAGCCTTCTGAAGGGATCGAGAGTTCTCCGAGCTGATCTTGTCTGCAATTTTGAAACGTTTTGTGAATTGGTTGCATCAAAATGAATGAATACTTCGTTCGATGTACTTCCTACACTCTCCACAGCAGTCGATGGCGCTGAAGTCGTGGTCACTGAGGCATCTGAAAAGAGAACTTTAGAGAGAGAGAGAGGATTCGCGCCCACACATAAAAGCGACGCGAGAGGAAGGATAAGGACAAACAGTTGCGGCGCGCACTTGAGCAGAGATCCGCAGAGAAGAATTAGAACGGGAGAACGACTGGCTCTCCCGCTCGCGCTCAATTTTATCGTCTTTTTGACAGGTGATGATACTCGCCTCTTTTCGAACAGCGCCGGCTGTGCTTTCCGCAGAGATTGGCACGCTTGTTCCCCGAAACGATCACGGCAGCACGGCAGTTGGGCGGTGTCTGAAACTGATTTTTTCCTATTATTTCTTTCGAAAATTCCATCTCAAAAATCTAATCAACTTGTAAAAGGGAACAAGTTCCCGGCCGCCCCGCCCTTCTCCTTTTTCATCACCTCGTAAATTTGAATTAAAATTCACTCATTTCTGATTGTTGAACCAGAAACATGCGAGAGACCGGTTCTCGGAAATTCCCGACAGTCAAAATTCATCTTCGTCCCGTTATCAGCGAGAGGAGGACGGATTCCTCCTCCACCTCTTCTTCGCGCCGTTGATTTCTTCATTGGCCGTATATCTTTTTGATTGCCTCCTACCTCCCCCGGCGCTCTCAATGTTTATTCTGACAAGGTCGCATACTTTTTGTCTCGTATCTATACAATATATCCGTTTTACTTCATCTTCCCCCTACTCGGAATGTATGGATGGATGGATGATCAGAGACCCATCTACCCGCGATTGTTTTTCTCGATGTCAAAAGTTTCTTTATTGTCAAAGACCTCCTCAAGATCCTGGACGCTTACTAGGAAGCGATCAGGTTTCTGCCTCCCGTCGTCACCAATTATCAAGCATTATCCGCGTCCATTAATCGACGCAATTATCGATTCGATTCGCGGACGACGACGGATTTGGTCATTTCTCTCTTTCTTCACACGTTCGCTATGAAAACAGTTCAAGCACGATCACGCTGTAACCAATCATTCGGGACCTGTTCTCCTTCTTCTCCCTCACTCTCTCTCTCTCTCTTTCACCTTCTCAGTTCACTTGACATCTCACATTTTACGTTATTGTTATTACTATTAGTAATATCAAAGAGGTCACTTCTTCGTGTGGGTCTGTTTCCCGAGAACCAATAAAAGTTAGCAGCGTATCTCCTGAGATGAATCACGAAAACCGTTTGTTTTTGGGCATGCAAAAGACGTCGCCACGCAATTATCTTCTTCTTCTTCTTCTTCTTCGTTTTTCTTCCCGGGTAATGGATCCCATTCGCTCGTCAGTTATGTAGATCACTTACCCGTTTCTTAGCCAGTCCCCTTTTTCTTCCTCTTCATCTTCTTCTTTTTCTTCTTTCACCCCTCTCTCACACCTCATTCTCATTGCATTTTCAGATGGCAAAAGAGGAGGATGAGAAGTGTCTCAAGTGCGTTTTCGTCGGCAACGCCACCGTCGGAAAAACGTCGATGATAAAGAGCTACACGAGGAATGAGTACCCGCAAAAGTACGAGCCGACCGCGTTCGACAACTATTCGGTCGTGGTCCTGGTGGACAAGAAGCCGATCCGATTGCAACTTCATGACACCGCCGGACAGGTAATTCTCAATTTACTCACTTATGTTCTGCGTTATTCTTGCCACCGGGCCCACTGCTTTCATTGGCGCGATTGAGGTTTCCATGAGCAGTTGGCGGATAGACGTTATGTTTCCTGAAAGGTACTGTTGCTACACGCCAAACTTAGTATTAGACCGGAAAAGCTTACCAAGTTTTTGAAAGTTATAAGGAAGAGACTGAACGGTAGTGGTTCTGAGCGGAGCAACACTCGAAGTCGCCTTAATTCTTTGGACGTGAGGAGGCATTTTACGAGCTGTTGGCTGATTGAAACGTCGTACAGGCCATCTGAAGACATTTCACGTTAGCTATACCTATAACCCTTTTCGATAAGCTAACCTTTGATAAGTGGCAGATCCTAACTGGAAAAAAGTGAGAGAGTATAAGAGTACTGTAGCTGGAAGCATCATGGAGTGCGAATCTTGGTTCTGATTCGGAAATGAGAAGCCGGCTCGGATCGGATAGAATATAACGGCCTCGTTTTATGGTAGAAATTGGACAAGAAATTGGAACGCAAACATTGTCTTCGCGAGGTGACAGGGTCGGATGTCAAATCGAAAATAGAGACGGACAAGCACAATGGCGGACGCAGATCCGATCCCTCCGAGATGCCGGATGCGTTTGCGCCGAACCGGACGGAAAGAAAGACAAACCGGAACAGAGATTTGGCACCTGAGAGAAGGAGTCTGTCGGCTGCTGGGGTCTGTACGGCTGAAACTTGTCTATGCTTAAAGAACCAGGAATCCCATCAAGTTTATGCTTCTGTCTGACTCAAATTTTATGGTTCAATTAAACTTTTAGTCTTGCCACAGAAGATTTTTTAAAGCTGCTCTTTTTGAAGATGTTTGAAATGCGTGTGCATTGCGAAAGGTTTGCTAGTTCCACAATTTTCTTTATTTAGTCTCAAAACCTAAAAAACAAATTTTAATTTTCAGTCCTCTCTCGACTCGCTCCGTCCGTTGTGTTACGCGGAAGCGGACGTCTTCGTCATTGTGTATTCCGTCGTCGATTTGCGCTCATTCGAAGATGCGACACATCGTTGGTATCCGGAAATCACCAAGAAGAACCAAGGAACCAAACGTCAGTTTCTTGCAAATCCCCCTCTTTCCCCCATTCGTCGTCATCTTTCAGTGATTCTCGTTGGAACTCAAGTCGACCGGCGATGGCAAGTCCGCGGGGGTACGGTGACGACGCTACGTGGCAAGGCGTTGGCGGAACGCATCGGAGCAGAGTTCTTCGAATGTTCCGCCCTCACGCAACACAATTTGAAGCAGGTCTGAAAACAAACGGAGGGCCGAGAGAAACGAATGAGTTCCAGATGTTTGATGCGGCGATATTGGCGGGTCTTGAGAGCAAAAAGAATAGAGAGAAGCGGTCGAATTTCTACACAAAGTCTTCGAAAATCAAGGAGCGAGTGCAGAGATTCATCTCGCGAACCCGCAACTTCATCTGAACCCTCTCCTCCGCCGTTCCCACTTCTTCGTACGGGTCCCCTCTCTTCGTTACGAAACGACGACATTTGTCCCACATACTCAGTATTCGCGATTGTTCCGAACGCTCTTCGAATAAAACACTTTCCCTTGTCTAGACACGATTCGTTCGGGTTGCCAACAGCATCAAACAGCACAACATACAGAGATGTGCTATTTATATTGTTGGGAAACTCTCACATGAAAAAAGAAAGTTCCTTGTTGGAAAGACCAACGATGACTGGCTTTCAGGGAAAGATAAAAGGAGGTGAGTGGGAGTGTCACGCAACACACACTTCTCGCCGGCTCATTTGCTATGTGCAGTCTAATTTTTTGGTTTTTTGTTGTTTTTCGACCGACTAAGATCTATTGGAATGGCCAACTGATCAAACAAGACGAGTGTGTCAGGTTATGTGGAAATGTTAAGTATGAGCAAGACAGATTTTTCTAGAACTTTTGGACTTTTGCTTCGACTTTTGCAATATTCAAACTTTGCGCAATCTCGAAAGAAAAATAATTGATCAGTCTGAAATTTTGACCCAGGACTTCAAACGAAGACCGAAAATAGTGCAACTTTTGGTTCCTGTATTGAAATTAGATCAGAAGTCCAGCCCTGGGCATAGAAATAGGGAGAGTCCAGCTGGTTTTCTCGCTGTTGCAAACGAATCTTGACTCGGAATCTTGAGATGACGATTCCATTTTCGGACTGAGACTCTAGTTCATTTTCCATGTGATTGCTGCGAGTCTAGTGGAGCGCGTTTGCTTTCGTGTCTGAATTATTTAAAGCCCTATCAAATACAATATTTTCCACACCCGGGCACATAAACTCTAGTGTGGTTTGTGCTGCCTCCGCCCAGAATGGGCTCCTCCGGCTTTTTCAACTTAATTAATGTTTTCCGTCGCGCTCCACACTCTCCGACCGCATGATACTCTCTATTTCTCTCTCTCGTTCCATTCTTTTCCACTTTGATGTTCATCGAACGTTCCTCGTGAGGGCAGTGTTTTCGAGTCCGGCCACAGGAGAGCGTTCTGTGATTCGTCCGCCACAAAACGAACAAAATACCCAAAAATCTCTGTATTTCGTTACGAATCGCCGCGACGAGCAATACGGAGGCACACAGGAAAAAGAGAGTTATCACGATGTCGATGATGATAAAAATTTGCATCGTCCGGGAGAACTCAAAGACCATGCCGCGTCGCCGACTCTCACACCTTTCGCCCCTTCGTCTTTCGAGTGGAAATAGTGGGGCGAGGGGCGGAGGGGCAGAGAGACCGCGCCTGCGAGCGTGCGCTTTTCACGTTCCACTGGACGCTGCGTCTCCGCCCTCTGCCCACGCCGTTTCTCTGCGTCTGCCGCTCTCTCGCCCGTTTTTCGTTTGCGCACGTAGACAGTTTGTGTGTCTCTCTCTCTGTGACCAGGAAAGTGGAAGGAGAGAGAGAGAGAAAGGATGTCAACCTCATTTTGCTCCAAACTAATTATTATCATGCTACTCGTTTCGCTCATCTGTCTTTTAACTTTGTTTCCAATCTCCCGCGATTCTTCTTTTGCCACGTCGTCCGGCCGCCTTTCTCGTAAGCGAGCGATCTCTGGTTTAAAAGATGAGGCGTCCGTCTGAGCGTGCACCCGTCTGCCCGCATTCTCATCCAATTTTTGTCTCCGCCTCAACATATCCCTCTTCTTTCCGTGTCGCGAGGTGTAAAAAGGAGTGCATCGTGGCTGACGCAACACGTTCCTCTCAATCAAACAGTCTCACTTTCGAATTTGCAAAACTCTTCGCTCATCTCTCATCTCTCATTTTGTTTTGACATCAAAAACCTCCGGGATTCTCTCTCATTCTTCCGCTCTCCAAACACACACTGTGCCATGTGATCAAGTTCACCCAAACTCGATTGGAAGACGCCGTTCGTACAGACACGTCGCATGACACCTCGTGTGTTTTTGTTTTGCTTGCCCGGCCGAAGTAATTTTCAAACTCAAACTCAAACATTTCGTTTTCGGCCCGCCGGTCACGATCAGCAGCGCATCGCTTACTTATCTCCCCCACTGGCACGTACTCGCATTTCAAGTGAAAAAGGTCATTGTATTGATCGATTAGTTGGTCGGAGGTTCTAGACATGGTCTGTTTTTGTGATGACTGACCGACTGGTAGCCCAGTACGATCCACCCGACGCCTAAACATAATCCCTCTTGTTTTGTGCATCGCCGCTCGCTGTTCGTGTCCAGAAGATCGTTGTATCTTTGATCAAACAGCGAACGCGCGCTGCTGCTTTTTAAAACTCGTGCAACACAACATATTTGTCATCATCCGAAGTTTCGTAATTCGTCGACTTTTGTACCCGCTTCGACGTCATCCTCTTATTTAGTCTGCCTCTGTTTTCTCTCATCAACAACTAGATTCTTTCCGTCCTTCTGAAGATGCGTCGATGGAAACGTGCGAATCGATGACTCGCACTAAGATGGAGATAATGCCGGGGGTGATAAGGGACGAGCACACAGTGCCCAGAGACACCCGCAAACAACCGTTTTCCTCCCGCCGTCTGCCACGTCGTTCATTTTGTCACGTCGATCGTTCTCGCCTCGTTTACACTCGAAAGTTTCAGCACATGACATGAGCGTCGCCACAATTGATGACTCTGGCGGCAATCAACTCAACGAGGGACCTTCGACCGCTTCGCTATTCACCGCCCTCGTAAGTCTTTTTCTTCTTTTCCGTCGTTATCTTTTCCTCTATACAAACGCGCGCGAATACGGTATCTCCTTCGCAAGAGTCACGTACACAATCGATGAGAAGCCAACCGTTCTATACTTCCAGATGCTCAGCCAACAGCCGTCCACCTCGTCTGCCGCTTCGCTGAAATGCGGATACTGTGGCCAATTGCCGGTGCAACTCCATCCGTGTCTCTTCTGCGGAACCGTCACATATTGCTCCGCCGAGCATCAGGTTGGTATCATCGAGCCGTCAGATGATGCCGATAAACAAGTGAAGGCGCTTTCTCATTAGACAAACAAGTGTTCGCACGTAAGCTCTCCATTCGCATGCTTCTCCAGCGCTCTTCTGACTTTTGTACGTTGGCTTCTGGTGTCGTCGGCGTGACACTAATCCCTTCCTCAACTTCGTCGTCTGGCTGAGATGTCGTCAAATTCAAAGTCAGATGATGATGGCCACAGTTTCAGTCAAATGTGTTTTTTGACCTTATCACTTATTCGTGACCGGTTTCTTCGCACCGTCACCTCATAAATGTCACGTGACTGTGAGCGGGTCGGCGAGCAAACCTGCGGATAGCGCGAGAACGTGTCGATTCGAACATTTTGCGGACGAGCGCGGCAGAGGAGACCTTCTTGTGTTTGAAGCGCGCAGACGAGAGAGAGAGAGAGTTAGAGAGAAACACTCTATGTTTATTTGGAAGGGCACAATGCGAAAGACCAGAAACTTCATGGAAATGCGACTGATCACGACTGACCGATTACAAATCCTCCCGTTTTTGGCTCGTGCTCCGCTGCACAAATCATAGCGTTTCGCACGTCTTCTTCAACTTCAAAAGCAGCTGGAAAGGTTTTCAGTCGGAGACCAGAGAAACGGGAAAAGGGAAAGCATTTCGATTTGTGCTCGCCGATTTAGCTGGAATCATCTAACTAGGGCACGCCTTTGCACTTTGCTTCTGATGAAAAAACACATCGCCAGAGTCACGTAGGCAAAAGTAGAAGATAAAGGAACAGGCACGCCGGGAGACTATTTGTGTACGTGTTCACCACGTGGACGTGTCTAATTCCGTCGTCCGCGTGTTTTCCAAAAACAGCCGCGCCTCTTACGAAGTTGTGTTTATTCCTCATTCCCACTCAATTTTCAGAAGTTTCACTGGAACACTCACAAGATGCTGTGCAACTCTCTGACGGCAAGCGGCCTCGTCTCGAGTAACCTGATGCCCGCGACGACGGCACCTCGGACCGTCTCATTCGACGATCCGACGCTGGCGGCCACCTCGCTGCTCCTGTCGCTCCAGAGCAATCCGCTGCTGACACACGCCGTCAGCAGCTTCCAGCCAACATTCTCTATCGTCCCCCAAACAGAATCGGAGCCAATTCCTCAGCGGAATCCATTGGGGGCGACGGCGTTCGGCAGCGAAAAGAGCGCTTTCAAACCATACAGAAGCACGCACGTCTTCAACTCGCTCTCCTCCGAATCCATCGCTTCTCTGGGCTTTGCTTCGCAAGCCTCGCTGGACCACATGTCCTCTGCTTCGTTGGCAATGTTTCCGTCGAGCAGTACCGCTCAGAGTGATATCAGCAACCTAGGTAACACAAATTTTGTACGTATCTCTGACTAAACTATTGCTTTGCAGCTACCATATCCGCCCAAGTGCTGAGTCTCGCCAAGGATTCGTCGGCACCAATTGGTCTCGGAGTTCCATCGACGTTATCGACGCTTTCGATGAAAAAGGAGCCGATCGTCGTGGGAAAAGAGAAGTTCATTCCGACCGACGATCCGGATATTCAGGTAGGTCTTCTGAAATCCCGTAAAGATCACAACCACAACCGCCTTTCGGCTCGCTTCTGGGCGGACGTGCCGTTTTGCGAGCCCGCCCGGGATTTACGTGATTTGTGAGAAAAGTGGAGTTTGTGAAAGGAAGAAATGCTCCACTGCCTTTGGCTCTCCACACACATACACATAATTATGAGGAACAGAAGAGAGCTGTTCAAAGGGCTCCGAATGGCTACCGTAATCCGTCTACCCCCCACGTGTCTGCTCTTTGCTCATTCGCTTCGCTGCTTGTCTTCTCATTATCATTATTCTCTCTATGTGAGCAATCCTGACGACCCGAGGACCAGCACAAACTTATTTATTTCCCTCTCTCTCTCTCTCTCTTTCTCTATCGACTTGTGCCACAAAAAGTGACAAAGTACACGTAGTAGGCGCTTCTTCCGGTTCCACCACTTCATCCCGAGAAAATGTTTTCTCCGAGTAGACGAGGAACGTCGTCTCGCCGAAAATAATATGCGCGAATGTCACGTAGTCAGAAAGCCGGAAATTCACATCAACACTTGGTTCGGAATCTGAAAAAGAAAAGGGGAAAGAGAAGAAAGAAGCGCACGTGAGTTGTGCGAGTCTGGGGTACGGTAGTACGTAGACCTTTCTCGTTTACGTGCAGATTTGTGCAGCCGACGCTTATCGTTTCGTTATCAGCTTCAAAATGAGCGCCGCCTCTCTCTCTCTCTCCCTCTCTATCCTTTCCATTCTCGAATTCATTTCGGCACGTTTTTCCGTATTCACTCGCTTTTCCGCATCACGCACGCTCCCTTTCCCTCTCGCCGCCGTTGTTTTTAGTTTTCCTGAATCGTTCCTCGCATTCCGCACGTGTGCCTAATTCTCTTCCTCGATTCCAAACCGTATACCAGCACGTCTCACTAAACGTGCAAAACGAAACGATTCGTGCGCACATCGTCACGGTGTCTCCTCCCTTCTCTGCAGCCCCCGACGACCGCCCTGTCTTCATCTTCTTCTTCTTCTTCTTCTGCTTCCTTCCCTTCCGACTGCTTCTGTCTTTTCTGTTCTGTTCTTTTCATTCGCAACTTTTCATGCAAATCAGAACGTTCCTCCTCGTCCGCTTCTCAAACTCGTCTCATCCGTTTCTCTCATCGCCAATCGCACAGATATGCCATTGCGCGCAATCGCGACACCGCCATCCTACTGTAGTCACACGCCGACGATGTCTGCCGCCCAGAACCGCTGGTTGCCCTACCCGAAGAGATCGGTATGCGCGTGAACAGATCAGACAGATCAAAAAGTGTGTTGTGAGCCCAAAGAACGCACGCTTACTCAAACATCCGCCACGATTGCACATTTTGTGCGAGACAGGTGTTGTTGCAATTGCCACTGAAGACTGGGGTGTGTTGTGATCCTTGCAAAAACGCCGGGAGGGATCTATGACATCTCATTACTTCTTTCCAGATCATCGAAACAGAGGGAAGCTCTTCGAAGGGCATCTCGCGACCTCGCAAAAGGCCAACGCCCTCGAACTCGGCTGATCCGAAGATCAAGTACAAGGATCACAGCAAGAACTGTGTCTATTCGGTAAGTGAGAGGATAACCGAAAAAATTTCGACCGAGGCAGGACTCGAACCTGCAGTCTTCGGTTTAGGAGACCGACGCCTTATCCATTAGGCCACACGGCCACGGCCGAGAGCGCCGCGAGACGGCAGTTATATAGCGATGAAGAATCAGACGAGCAGAGAGAAAGAGAGAGAGAGAGAAAGAGAAAGGGAGGGTGACCCTTCTTGCTTTGCAGACAACGCTCCAGGAACACCAGCGACATATACAGAGTCGAGGAATGGCGTTCAACCAGCACCATGCGATGATTTTGAGATTGAAAGTAGGTTACCGTAATCTTGCACTTCTACAGTAATCCGATACGTTACAGTATATTGCCGAACACGTGATCAGAAGCCTCAACGAATTCGGATGGGCCGTCGTGGACAACTTTATGGGCAAAGAGAAGTTCAAGTATACAGCGAAGTAGGTGTGATTCATTGGGGCATGATGGTGGTTAGTCAACAAGAGACCAGATGTTGAATTCTCACGTAAATTCTCCTTTCTCATGGTCCATCGCAACTGGAGAATAGAGAATAGCAGCGTTTCTCCGATCAGAAAACAATGCTCGACCGCTTTCAGAGAGATCGAAATGCTGCACTCGAGGGGACTGTTCAGCCCGGGCCAACTGATGGAGGGCAAGAATAAGGACGAGGTGCACATCAAGGACATCCGTTCCGACCACATCTACTGGTTCGACGGATGCGACGAGCGAGCCAAGGACGCCGCCAGCACTCGTTTCCTGATCTCGATGATCGACTCTGTTATCAAACATTTCAATAAGCGCATCGATCATAATATCGGAGGGCGATCCCGTGCAATGCTTGCCATCTACCCCGGAGATGGAACCCGTTATGTGAAGCATGTGGACAATCCGGTGAAGGACGGAAGATGCATTACCACCATCTACTACTGTAACGACAACTGGGATATGACCAAAGACGGCGGTGCTCTCAGACTGTACCCGGAGACCTCGAAGACCCCGATGGACATTGATCCTCGGGCCGACCGGCTCGTCTTCTTCTGGTCGGACCGTCGCAATCCGCACGAAGTGATGCCTGTCTACCGTCATCGCTACGCAATCACCATCTGGTACATGGACAGAAGCGAGCGGGACCGGGCGATGGCTCGTGGAAAAGAGGCGGATGCCGCCAGCGCCGCGAAAAAAGAGAACGATCCAACGCTTCCACGCAAGAATCCCAGCTCGCACGATCTTTCGCCCATCGACTTCGGCTCCTTCCCGACGACTTCTTCCGATCCGGGGCTCGCATCCAGAGAAGACAGAGGTGAGCCTTCCGAGCATCCACTACTGTCCCCGATACCCCCTGCTTGGTGTGCTGATGCTTGTGACATGTCTGTGGTGTTTTCAGTTGAAGTCGTCTCCGAGTTCACATCCTCTTCAAGTCTGACGGCTCCGGAATCCACTGATTCGGGTAAGATGATCGATATTGTCAGTAGACGGCGCTAAACTCTTTTTTGTTGATTGAAAATTGGAAATTAGAGATTAGAAAAAATGGTAGAGCATGGTTTGATTGGTAGTGACCATAGAATGCAAATAGGAAAACAGTATCCTCATAATCATTTGTATTCCTATTCCAGGAGTGTCCCTCTCCGCCCTCCACGACGGTCCGTATCATCCGATGGACCGCGCCGGCAGTCTGCAATCCATCTCGGACCACTTCCGTTCGGGCGAACGCCGCAGCTCGACGAGCAGCGACCAGGAACTCGACGAGGGTCTTCCGCCGCCGCCGTCCGCCGATCCGGAATTCATGATCTGACTTTTCGATTCCCCACTTACCTCCTCCGTTCCGCCCATCTCTGACGGGTATTCCTCTCTCTTCTTCTTCTTCTTCTTCCTCTTCTTCTTCTTCTTCCTTCAATTTTCTTCCTCAATTCCTGTCCCGACCCTCTCCTCTTTTCCACTTTTTCCTTCCAAATTCCGCTTGTGATAGCCAGGTTCAAATGTGCACATCCCCTTGAAATATATCGTCTTCCCCACAGTTCACACGGTGCCCCACTTTTCTGTAAATACACATTCTTGGTGATTCTCCCAATGGTTTGCGAATGAATCAATTTTTTCAACTCAACTCAACTACATCACTTTTTTCCCGGCAATCGAATAGAGAAACAGCGTCCGAAATTGTTTGTCGAGTGGATTTGGGGGACAATGACTCCACTGCAGTTCACAACTTTCCGAAACTTTCGGTGTCATATTTCCTCTCTATTTACAGAGCGTTTCGTGTGTTTTGACTGATACTATCGGTCACTTGATCATCGCCATTTCAGTACGTTTCACAATACTTTCAAATAATTAGGTCAGCCTTCATTTCGAACGGTTTTTCTCCGTTTTTTTTGGAAAACCGGTTGTCCGGCGCCATAAAATCCGTTGTTTGTGTTGTGTTTTATTTTCAAAAACGGAATTTATTTCCATTTGTTTCGCCGCATCCTTTATCATCATTTTATCAGTGCTCGAGTCAAAGTTCGACCACTAAACACGACACAATCGGGCTCTATCGCACAGGTTACGGTCGCTCTTCCATTTTTTGCCATTTCTAGGCTATGTGCCCAGACAAGTCTTAAAAATCGTATTTCGTAACAAGTTTTCGAAAAAATTTGAATGTCGCGGCTCTTGCTGACCTAGAATTTCAGAAACTGGATGAGAAACTGCAAAATGAGTCATGGAAATGTTCTCAGTCTAAAATCAAAACAATTGTACGGTTTCCGTATCAATGTCCGTACTACTCATTTCAGTTTTCAATTATCAATGTTTTGACAACCGCTGTCCCTTTCGTTCTCTCTCTCTCTCTCTCTCTCTCTCTCTCCTTCTTTCCTCGCAGTTGTTCGCGCTCGTAAACCAATTCGTCTCCTCCCCTAATTACTGAAAGAACACTTCAAAACCTCTTTGCTTTCCAATCAGCTGCACCTTTTCCGTTTCAATCTTTCCGTCTCTGTCTCTAAGGCGGTTCCCGTGTTCTGGGTCTCGCCACGCGCGTGTTTCTTGACTATTGTACAAATAAATATTTGCGCCTGCGCACTATGCTTTCAAACGGCCGCTGCTGCTGCTTCGCCTATACGTTCGTTCGCTCCTTCCGCCACTTTGTTTCTTTCTCTCCGCCCTCTCTCTCTCTCTCTCTCTCTCTCTCTCTCTCTCTCTCTCTCTCTCTCTCTTTCTGTCTCTGTCTACCGGTTGAGCGCGAGAAACAAAACAAGTCCCGACCCTTCGCCTCTCCCCATTCGCCCTCTGAAAATTTCCATAACGCGCCCGCCGCCTCTCCGAATTCCACCGCTCGCCTCGATGATAATATGCGACGACAGAGCGACGAAACTCCGATAACCAAACCGTCGTCACCTCTTTTTTTGTGCACTTCGAACAAGGCGAAGGAGAAGAAGCAGATTCGCTTGGAGGCATGGAGAACAAACTGAAACTGGTGGTCGTCGGAGACACTTTTACTGGCAAGACTAGGTGAGTCTCTTGAGTTTCATTCGATAACTGACAGGGCCGGGCACACAGCTCTTAAATGCTTCAAGAACTAGTAGCTATTATAAATTAGGACACTAACTTTACACTATCACCAGGGTTCGTATGACCCTCAATAAACGTTTCAGTTCCTTTGGATCATCTGGGAATGGAAGACTAACTGAGCGGTCTCTAACATTCAATTACGATGCGCCATTGCTAAACGTTAGGTTAGGATACTTGGAAAGTGACCGCCAGGGCCCATTTTGGTTGCAAAACTAGGTGAGATCCTAAAAGTCCCGACCAAACAGCCCAGATGAAACTAGAATCTCTCCAATGTAAAATCGTAGACAACTTATCTTTCTCCGCCGAAACAGTTATGCCGGATTTCCGAGTAATTGCCTAATCCTGCCATTAATTCGATTCACGTCCTCTTCGCCAAGCGCACTTTCGCCATTGCCTCTCGAGAAACCTGCTTGTTGTATTGCAGCCTTCTGTTCGCCTACACGAAGAAGCAGTTTCTGGACAGCTACACGACGACCGTCTTCGACAATTGGGCCGTCTCCGTGCAAATCGATCAGAAGAGCTACTCGGTGAACCTGTTCGATACGGCCGGTCAGGTATGCTGACCCACTTTTTTCATCGTTAGCGGATTCTGATTTGATGAGCAAACATGGGGCACAAAACAATTCAGGGCGATTCAATTCTATTCTTGTTTGCTTTCAATTAACCGCTCTACACCTTTTCCCATTTTCTCTCCGTATACTTTTGGGATCAGAAATTGAGAAAAAGGACTTGTGATCGTTGCAACTTCCTCTTTTGCAGGGAAGCTACGAGAAGATCCGATGTCTGAGCTACCCGCACGCCAACGTCTTCTTAGTCTGCTTCTCGCTCGTCGACAAAAAGACGCTCGACTCGTGCAGATCCACGTGGCTGCCCGAGATCCGGAAGTACGCGGGCGAGAATGTTCCTGTGATGTTGGTCGGCACCAAGAATGATCTTCGGGAAAGCGCCGACCCGCAGAGCATTGTGACAGACGACTACGCGAGGAAAGTGGCCAGTGAAGTGGGTTACAGTTTGTACAGTAACGACAGGAAAGCATTTCAGATTGGCTGTCACAAGTATTTCTCGTGCTCGGCGCTCACCCACAAAGGTCTGAAACGTGTGTTCGACGAGAGTTTTCTCGCCGCCGTCGGATTGAAAATCGAAGAAGAAGCGCCGAATCCGTGTTGTACAATACTCTGATCTGACCGTATTCTACTTATTATGTGTACATTGCTCACTCACTCACTTCCTAGTCCAAATCGATTCCGTTCTGATTCCAGCTTTATCCACTTTTTCTCTCTTTTTTCTCTTTCCTCTGTGATCGATTGCACAATTCGAGAATGAAATCGTTGTTCAGACTAGTTGATGCACCCGCTACTGACAACAGAGTTAGTGAGAAAAGGGGAGATGAGCAATTCGGAATGGGATCACACATAACAAGGCACAAATGGGAGAGAAGGAAGATAAAAATGATAGACAGATAAATAAGTTAACTAAGAGCCCCGTTGCTCGATGAGCTGGTCCAACTCATAGGCGGTCTTCTCGACCTTTTCAGCGGCGTCTCGGATGCTTTCCTTGCGGTTGCGAGCCTTTGTTTCCCCGTTTGCTCCAGCTTCTTCCTCCTTCGGCGTCTCCTCTTCTATCAGCTTCAGACCCTTTGCCCAGTACCAAACCCAGATGTCCGAAACCAGGGAGAAGATTCGCAAGCATCCGTAGATCAGATGGAGTCTGCAAGTGTCCGATGTTCAAGAGAATCGTCTCGTTTCGCTTAAGTACCTGACTCTTAACTCGTCGGTGTCGTAAACAGAGCAGGAACCCGATGACTCGCACGTCTTCTGCCAGAGCAGGCACGACATGTCAATGACCTTTCCCCAAATGATCGGAGAAGGCAAAGTGGCGAGGAGACTGACAAGGAAGCCGTTGAATCCGAGCGAAACACTTCGGTGCTCCGGAGGCACTGCTCTCAGCACAATGAGCATTCCTGGCACGACACCGAGTCCTCCGAACACTGCGCCCAATGCTTGATGCATGAAGAAACGTCCGAATCTTTCCTCGCATTCTTCTGAATTGTTCAAGTGATGAAGCTAGTTGTAAACTACCAAGAACTAACCAGTCTTACAGTAAGATCTACTAACTTCCTTGACTCTGTTGTCCACGCACTCGCAGTTCTCGAAGACCAAAGTCTCGACGCTCGCCTTGGAATTGTCGAAGATGCTGTAGTTCTTCCAGCCCATTGCGCATCCCGCGTGACATGGAGAATAGTAAGCGTTGCCACTGAAAACTCGAATGTGAATTGAGTATAAAGTAGTGACAAGCACGAACTTCACATCACAAACTGGATACAACGGAGTGGCATCGCACATACAATCATCTCTGCATCCGTCGAACACCGGTCCGTTCACTTTGATCTGATCTCCGATCTGGCCAATCACTGATTTACAACCGACTGTTCCGTTCGCAAAAGAGATGAGGGCTGCGACGAGACTGCACACTAAACGAATCTAGATTAGCCGAGTTGTCAAAGTTGAAAAGGAGTACCTGCAACCCAGGCAGCAGCTTTTCTTCCTTGCAACTTCAAAAACTTCATAGAAAGACTTCCCAACATTACTCCGCACGCGAAACCGACAATTCCGGTGGTGGCGATGTACCTCTGGATCCTGAACTGCGGGACTCCGAACTGAACTTCTAGGTACTTGGCTTGGAACACAAAATAGCCCTTGAATGCGAGAACGTCAATGATTCTTCCGAACATTGCGCCCAAGAAGATCTTGTTCTTCAGCAAATTCGCGATTGTTTTCGTGAAATCTTTGATTTTGTCCGACGCTGTCTCAGGCATAAACGCATTTCCCTGCTCATCCTTCTGGATGTGACGGTCGACGAGATTGAGACGCTTCCGAGGCTTCACTTTTCCCCTGAACTTTTTCGGTATATTCATGGATGAGAGAAAAGAAAAAGAAGACTCACTCGTCGTCGTACTCGTCTGGAGCATTGATATCCAGATCGTCGGAAGGGAAACAATAAAGAATGAGGGATGGCCCGAAGAGAAGAGTTCCGAAGATCAAGAATCCGAGCCACCAGCATCCAATCCACATCGGATCCAGAGGGGTCAGTCCTTGTGGCGCTGCAATTATCTTTCTCCAAACATGAAAATGATACCGCAACTTACGATTAAAGTCCACATAAAGTTTGTTCAACTGTCCTCCAACTAACAACCCGACTACAGGTCCCAGAATTTTGACAAAGAACATGAATGCTGAAAAAAAAAACGCATAAAGATAGACTAGTGCAATATGACCTACAGAAATAAAGCGGAAGATTCTGTTTTTTGACGTTGTCGTCCATGAGCGGAAGTCCCAGAGAGAAGGGCATGGTCCTGCCGACTCCGAGCACCAAAAGCCCTCCGAAGATCATCATGAACGGGCCGAGCGTCGAGTGATCTCCCTTGCAGGAGTAGTGCTCCGCGCGAACCAAATTGAGCATCGAGTGGCAGAAACCGTAGGGAAGGGCCACCATTGCACGCACGTTCGACATCTTTGCATCCGTCATCGGGAACTTTTCCGAAATGTACTTTTCCAGATTCTTGCACACTTGAGCGCTTTTGTGATGATGACAGTATTCGACGTACTTTTGAAGAAGATCCGTTCGCTCGTCACCCGCCTGAAGATGGAAGATTTATACAGATTCTGAAGGCACGAGGTCTTACGTAATTCATGACGACTTCATTCTTCGGATCGATCAACGGATGAATCTGCTCGAGCCAGTGGTGATCCGAACTATTGCCCACTCCATTCACAATATCTCGGTCGATCTGATGAGCCAGGGTACTTGAAATGTGCGTGGTCACATTTGCTTGTTCCACCGGGAACAAGAAGTTGCTGCTCGCAATCATAAAATTGGCAATTGCAATCAGAATGCATCCGGCTCCGATCCACCGTGCCCGGTTTCCCTGAAACATTCTCCTTCTTGCCACCTCATCCGTTCCCCCATCTGCTCACTTTTCCTCCGAAGTAACTCGTGAAAATGACGACTGGAATGTAGGCAAAGTCGCCCGCGGAGACCATGGTCCCACTGAGTCGCGACGGGATTTGGAACTGCTTCTCGATGAACACGACCGCACTGAAACAAACTCCGCCGCATTTCTTTCGAAAGATCCAGTGGAGCAGTCACAAATAATCGTGTTTTGTGACTGTTATCGGAATGTGTTTCGTCTGTCACACGGTCAAAATCAAAAGAAGATAATCACGGTTTATGCGCCTATTATTATTGTCGCTTCACAGAGATTTTTGATGATGACGGAAATGGAGTCTGTTGAGTCCAAAAAACACACTTTCACTTACCTGGTCATGTAGAATCCTCCGATGGATTCCAAAAAGTAGACTGTTCCGAATACGATGAAAAACCATGTTATTTTGGAACAAGCCATGGTTATTCCAGACTTTTTTGGCTTCTGGAGAGCCAATCGAGCAGTGGGGCGCTGAAAAAGAAATGTATGGAGAGAAAGGCAAACAGAAGAGAGAGGGAGAGAAAGAGAGACGAAGAGGAAGTGTTCCGAATGAATGTACTGGTGGAAGCCGAGTTGACAAAGTACGGAGGGCGGAAATAGTAGACAGAAAGAGAAAGATTGGGCAAACAATAGCCGGTGTAGATGTACTTGAGGACAATTTTCGATGATGCGAAAGCGACTTTTTCCATGAGTTAGTGTGCCTTCGGAATTGGCCGACTCAGGCTTTTTGTAAGCCTGCCGAGGCCTGTACTTTTGACCCACTTGCAATAATCCAATTGGTCCCAAACTTTGTAGGATTCTTGGACTTGAATAGAAGTATATTGGGTGCGAGGGTTTTTGTGAAAATTGCGGCCGCTTCGGCCTCAAACCAGTATATCTCGGGACCAGAAACTCGGACCCAAGATGCTTCAATCAAAGTCCAAGAAGCCTGAAAAATTTGGGCTCAATCGGATCATTGCAAGTGGGCCAGAAGTCCAGGCCGCAAAAAGCTTTTGAAAAAGCCTCTGCCAAAATTTTCCCAGCCCTGATGCAAAGGCATCCAAAACAAAAACGCTGAGTTTCTCGGACAGTGACGAGAGACTCTGTGCTGCCTCAATAAAAGTATGAAGGCCGTAAATATTTAGTGTATACCACTCTCGTTGCCAATAAAAGGAGTGGGCAGTTGCTTATGTTTCGCCAAACGATAAGTTGATAAGAGCGCGGGGGGAGGCGGAGAGTGGCTGTAAAAGTGCCGAGACGCAGATGGTGAATCGGATGGCTCCGAGCTCTGTGGGCTCCAGAATACGTACATACAGACACACAAAGTGCGTTTGAGAAGAGAATGGAAAGAACAGTGATAATACCTGCCAATTGTGGCAGAGAACTAATGTATGATGGTATCACAAGTGATAAGAGAGAGAGAGAGAGAGATTCCACCGCACTCCGCACATTGAAGTATAAATAAGCTGGACATCAGCGTCACTAGACGGGTTTGAAAGAGTTTCGGGGTTCGAATTACACCTCAAAACGGACAAAAAAAGAGCAGTGACCGAGTGGGGGACGGCGAAAGGTATGCTGCTCTCCCACGCCTAACACATTCCGCAAGTCTGCTTCTCCAACGCCATTTCCAATCACTCGTCGACTATCGAAATGAATGTGTTTCGTGTTCTCTTTTTCATCTTTTCCTGTCCAAAATGTTCACTATTGCACTTTCTTCTTCTTTTTCCGGAGAACAAAGAGTATCATAATATTTATTCAGCGGTTGGAGGGGGACAGACACACTCACACATGTTTTGGCAATCTTCGGACTATTTTCAATCATTATGTCAAAGTTGAATTGAAATTGATAGGCATAGGTTTGGTAGATAGAGCGGAATCCAATAAGGGGAATCAAAGTCAAAGAGATCAGAAATAAGAGAAGGGCAAGGTAGCAAGATCAGCAACTATTTCTGAGTGGACATTTGAGGTGTCCAGTTTCGAGTAGAATACAAAGCATGCAGAAGGCGCAGTAGGAGAATATCATGAGAAGTCCGAAGAATTTGTCCATTTTCCACCTGGAGATGGCGACGCACGCCAGCAGAACGATCAGCATCGCGAAGAGGAGACCGAGCGAACAAACGAGACCGTTCGAAGTGACCGAAACTGAAGAGAGAAGGAGTTGGAATTGAGAAGAACCACTTGAATTGCTCACTGTTTTCTGTTGGATCAGATTTGAAGAGTCCGATGAAAAAGTGAATGAGCCAGGGAATCGGAAGACCGACGCACACATCGAAGAGGTTCGATCCGATGGAGGAAGAGACGGCCATGTCCCCGAGACCTTTTCGAGCCACAATCACACTGAAACCACTCGTTTTTCTAACCCAGAATTGAAGGAAAAAGCACCTGGTGATGAGGTCAGGAATACTGGTCCCCGCGGCCAATATGGTCAATCCCATGATTTCAGTGGGGATTCCGAACGTCTCTCCGATAGTGCTCGCCCACCAAACCATCAGATACGAGTAGGCAGCAATCCACAGAATCGCGCCGATGAATGTGATCACGAAGAACTTGCGCAGATTCTGAACAAATTGTTATAAATTGTTTCAACCACTTTCAATCCTGACCGGTTTTCTGACGTCTGGAAGTGTGTAGGCCAACGGAAAAGTGATTGGAGCGAGGAAAAGATACAAAAGTTTCTTGTGATTGGCTTCCGGCCACGATAAATCCAACGGCTTTTCGACAGTCGAAGACGCAATTGAGAGCTGAAAAAGAAAAGTTAACTGAATTGAACAACTGCCCAAATATAGAAGAATTCTCACATTATCAAGCGCAATTGGAGGGACCGGGTTTCCGTTTGACTGAGCAACTTCCAAGTGGCCGTTTGACGATGGATTTATAGTTTCCACAGGTGTGAGGTACATTCCGTTATTCCCATTTTTCCGCTTTTGGTTAATGTTTTTACCGTATTCAATGGGAGGCGTCACAGTGGTGATGCTGTCTGAAAGTTGGCATTGTCTGATACACCATTAGGGAATATTTGCACTTTGTTTGATGAAAATCGCATCTGGATCGCTCCTCGGTTTCACCATTATGGTCCTCCCATTCTGCTGAATCTCAGGGGCAGATTCTTTGAGAGACCGTTCGGATTCAGAAGAAGACGACGTCGTCTCGTCTTCATCTCCAATCACCAGCTGAGCAATGCTCTTTCTCACTTCTTGCCCTCCATGAATCATCGGAAAACTCCTCCTCGGTCCCTGAGCACCCAAACTGTGCGGGCTCCGCGGGGTTCCGCCAACGGTGGCGACTGTTGTAATTGGTACAACATCACTTCCGATTCCCACTTTTCGGAACAGAAACTGTTTAGTTTTCAACTCCAACAACCCATTGTATTTCATAAAAATTCCGTAAGCAATGTAGATGATGAACATGATCAGGGCCTGGAAGGTGGTTAGGATTAGGATCAAATGAACTTCTGGATCCTTCTGGGAGTCATACCTCGTGCCATTCGATCAATTCATCTTCGAAAAATAAGAGAAGTAGGAATAAAGAGAGAGTGTAAAAGGACATGTCACGGAACAAGGGCCACCAGGTCAAATGAAGCACTTGTCTGGAGAAGAGTGTGCAGAATGCAAGCACGCAGAGAATGTTGAAAGTGGCAGAACCTGTTGGACTTTGAGCTAAGCACTGTGAGCACGGGAACCCTTACCAACAATAGTTCCCACTCCGACGTTGTCTTGTGCTATGAAAACTCCGAAGAGCGAAGTGAAAAACTCGGGCGCCGAACCACCGGCAGCCATGAATGTGGCCCCTGCCACGTCATCTGATATTGAGAGCTGAAATGTTTGAGTGCAAAAAATACCGATACTTTATCCGCAACCAACCGCTTCAGTAATAACTGAGAGCGACGGAACGAAGAACTCGTCGCAAACTATGGCAAGTGCCACGAACATGTAGATCAGAAGACCAATGTGCACAATGACGCCGCCACGTCGACGGGTGTGCATCGAGAAGAAGTCGGCCGGAAACTGGGAGGAATTGCCGGAAGCAGCTGGAAACGGTATGAAATGTCCGTCTGGATCTTCTGGCTTTCTGGCTTTCTGGCAATCCGCACGTAGCGAATACTTGATTACTTTGGAGCTAAGAGTGTGTACTCTCTTGGATGCGACCGCTCATAAAATTGATGTATACACAGACTGATAAAGTATTCCGGATGAAGCGAAATTTGTTTTGACGCAAGGGAACTGCTCTCGAAATGAGCATTCACGCGATGATTTCAGAGTCTTATCGGATCAACTTGTGATGTCGAAGAGCCCACACACACACTTTCAGAGAATCTTCGCAGAAGTGAAAAAGAGTTGAATAATTCATTTCTGCGCGCATTGCTCATCAATTTCCACCTGCCCGAACTTCCTGGTACTTACAGCCCGGCTGGATGCGTGGTCGGCAGTCATCGAACTCATATTCGACGGATCGCCGCTTCCTGAGCACTCGGACGTCTTCGACGACGGCGCCGATATCTGGAACACAGACCCGTATGTATTCGGCGAATCACGACGAGTCATGTGTGTCAAGAACTCGCTTCCGGTGAGGGATTGCCCCGCACATACGCATTAGCAGTATTCGATTTGATGTTTGGGAGGCGAATTCGGGAGGCGGTAGTTCAAAGATTTCTCTCACCTGTTCTTATGTAGGGCAGAAGCGCGACGGCGAAAAACAGTGCTCCGGAGAGCAAAACGACGGAGATCTGGGTGCGGAGCTTCCGATTGTCTGCGGAGAGCAGCAGTCGACGACGATAGCGAATCATCTTGTGTGCCCAACTCGACTTCTCCACTCACATGCCGGAGGAGAAGCGGATCCTGCAGAGAACGATAACTCTAGAGGAGGCGAAGAACGGAGAATTTATTGATTCGAGTGATGGATTGGCGGCGTGGGTGACGGAGCAAATTGGGGAGCGGAAGAAAGAGGAGCAAGATAAATGACGTGGCAAGCGGGAGCACCCTATCTCGCCGTGAAATCGAAGTGAAGAAGGGAAAAGTGGAAGAGAAGTGTAAGGCTACTGACACCTCGGAATGTTTCCAGACGACTTCATCATCCAAGTGTGGTGAAATATGTGTGCAACCTTGATGGCATTTAACGGAAAGCTCGAAGTTAGTTGAAGGAGAAGAAGAAGAAGAAGAAGAAGAAAAAGAAGGAGAAGAAGAAGAAGCGGGACACGATTGATATGATATGAATATTGCATTTGAAAATGTGGCCACGACAGGATGTGAGTGAGCCCGTCGAGGAGGCCGCAGAGACGCGCCACCGGATGACTTCTCGTCTCTCAACTGATATCTTTTTTTCGGCTTCCCATCTTTTCCAAGCCCCTTTAAACCGGAAAGGAAACGAGACACGGAATGGAAAAATCCGGGATGGGACGGAACTGGGAACAATAGAGCGTGTTCTCAAGGTGACCTCTCAATCAATACCAATAAAACATTTTAGGGCACAGTCGTTTCATTCCCAAGAATTCATTAACAGACTCGAAGACGGTGTTTCCAATGAATCCGTTATGCCTGGTTAACGTGTTCCACGTCATCATCTTCTTCTCGATTACTGCCATCATCAACTGCTTGAAGAACACTAAAATAAAGAAAGAACAAGAGACGAAAGTGTTGCAAACGACGCCGATCACCTACGAAACGGACCCGGAAGTTGTAGAGAAGGAGCGGAAGAGAAGAATAGCCGAGAACCGGGCGAGAATGAAAAAGAAGCGGGAGAAGGTGAACATTCAGCTGGAGAAGCAGCAGAAGGCCAAGGAGCTGCTCCAGGAACAGCCGATCGCCGAGGACTCGACACAGTTGACGTATTCTTTCGAGTTGAACGATACGACGAACACTGCTCTTGAGAATCACGCTGTAAGTTGAGAAATTCGTACGATTCAATAAGGTTTATACAGGAAACTCGACAGGAGGAGAGCCAAACCATAAACAGCATGATCTTAGAAACCGTCGAAGATCTGGGCGAAGTTCAGCTGGTGGACCACGATCCGAACGCCGGAGAGCGGAAGCACCTTATCAACAGACAGGCCCGTGAACTTGCCAAGAAGAAGAAGACGGAGGAGGCGGTGATGAAGCAACTTCACGCTTCCGACGTGAGTTTCATCCGAACCTTCTCGAACTATTGCAAACTTTCAGACGTTGCGGAGCCCCGATGACACGCTCAAAAACGTCTCTTCCATACAATTCGAATCTCAATTGTCCGTCATCCAGAAGGTTCTCCCAATCTCCTCCCAATCAAGCTTCGTATTTCCATTTACAGAAAAGGCTGCAGGAGCCGAAAACACTTCTAGAATCCGGATCTTCTGAATCGCAGACTAAGACCGCGGAGATCATTGTAATGAATAAACGGAAAAATGTTTCGAATGACGAACAGCTTCATGAGCGTAAATCCACCGATTTGTGCGGAGGAGGAGAACATTGAGAGGGAAGGGAACTTTTGAATAAATGTTTTGTATATTTACTGTTTTTGTGAGACGAAACCACACTTCCCTTGATCAACTAGTTTTTCTTCTGTTTCTGTTCCTTCTCAAAGTATCGTTTTTCTTGCACATTTCCGGTTTTTGAACCTCCGCTCCATCTTTGGCGTTACTTTACATTTATTTCAAAAAATGAGAAAGCAAAACCTACAATTCTCAAGTTACCGGAAGCCGACCGGTAACCCAACACTCGGGGAACCACAAGCAGTCGATGACTTTGCATTTACTTTCATATTCTTGATTCCTTCATGACTATTCCTCCTCAAAATAATGATGTTCCAGTTGGAGTGAGTCGCTTTTCGTTTTGAAAACCATTCATTGAGTTGCTTAGCATCGAAGAAAGAGCTTCATCAGTTCGGTGCAAAGTGCGATGAGCCAGAACAGTCAGAAAGTGGAGGGCGGGAAGCGGTACTCTCTGATCACCCGCTGCTACGCAGAGTTCCTCGGGACTTTTATATTCATCTTTTGTGGTGAGGACGATGCGTGTTATCATCCACTCTAGTGCGGTAGAATTTAGGAACAATGCAAGCGAACGTATATGACATCCACCAGCCGGACGGACTCACTCACGCCGCGCTCACCCACGGTCTCGCCACGATCGTGGTCATCGCGACGTTCGGTCCAATCAGCGGGGGGCATTTCAACCCGGTGGTCTCCTGGGCGGCCGTCCTCGTCCGCAAACTCCCCTTGTTCGCCTTCCCGTTCTATGTGATCTCCCAATTCTTTGCCGGCTTCTCAGCCAATCTCCTGTCCGCGTGTCTCCAAAGAAATCGCGATTTTATTGTTTGGAAGTCAGTCGGAAGCATCAAGTATCCGGTGATGAACGATAGCATCGAGTTCGGCTACGATCGGGTCCACAACTCAACGTGGGAGAAGACCATCATGCTGACGACTCAGTTGGCTGCCACGTCATCCGGAGCCACTCACTTGGGAGATCAGAATGTTTGGTGGGAGGGGCTGATGAGCGAGACTATCACCACTTATTTTTTCGTCACTATCATTCTCATGAATGCCATGGACACTGGACCGGTAAGTATACAATGACCGAATAGCCAGCTCTAGCGATGAACTATTCCAGACTGCTGCAAGTCCAATGATTATTGGAATGATGGTGATCGCTAACATCTTTGCCACGTAATCCGCACGCTTTCTTCTCATTTCAATACCCATTTTGCAGGGCCTCAATAACCGGAACGGCCATGAACCCAGTACGTGCTCTTTCTCCGAACGTTGTCGCCGAAATCGTGCTCTCGTCGGCCTCGATCCCTGCCAAGTTCTGGACGTACCACTACATCTACTGGGGCGGTCCGTTCCTTGGATCCACAATTGCAGTGATCGGCTACAAATTGCTTCTCGCCAAGAATGATCGTTTGGTTCCCTAGGACAGAACACATTTTGGTCTTAATCATAAACTTGTTCCGATTTCTATCTCCTATCACAGTACGATCACTACATTCTTACTAGACTGTGCACTAGACAGTGACAATAACACCCATCAGTCTCAATGATCGTCATCATGGCAGACCCTAAAAACAGTATAGGCAAGGAGTTATCAGTTATTAGTTATCAGTTCGATTGGATGGAGCAGAGGGTTGGAATGAGAGCTTGATATAGAATAGTAGTGATAAGAGGTTGGGAGTATTCATAATGAAGAGCACGTTTCTGTTTTTCTCTGTTCTCCTGGCCTCATTTGAACGGGCCACTTCGTACAATTATTTGGTTTTCTGCCCACTCTACGCTCACAGTCACCACAAATTCCTCGCCAAAATCGCGGACACTCTCACGGATGCCGGCCACAATGTCACCTTCCTCGCACCGATAATTCTGCGAAAGTACGAGAACGTCAAGTATCTGGACTCCACGAAAGAATTGATTTACGTGCAGCCGGACAAAGATCTCGAGGCGCTCGGGGTCTCGGCCGACTATTCCATGTTCTGGACGGAAGACGCCAGCATTTTCGCCATGGTGCCAGCAATCAAAGGGTTCATGAGCATGTTCCACAAGATTTACGAAAACTTCAAGAACGACTTATCCTTGTTGGACGAGCTCAAAGAGCGGAAGTACGACGCGATGGTGTTTGAGATGTTGTGTCCGACTGCTATTCGTAAGTTCTCAACTTGAACGCACTACTTGAACATGCAATAGTATTACAGCAATCGCAGAATACCTCGGAATAAGGACCCTTCTGCCCACGCTCTCAATGACTCACCATCCGATGATGAGCCGATGGATCGGAGAGCCAGCTTCTCCCGCAGTTCTACCGAGTATGATCTCACCGTTTGGAGATGACATGAATTTTGGAGAACGATTATCAAACACATTGGGAGATGTGTTTTTCAATATTTTCATGAATCCGCAGCCCATGTATTCTTACAAGTATCCTTACGGAGAAGTTGATCTCAAGGTCAGTACATTCATTTTGTTATCATATCAATCGCGAATCCAGGCGGCGTCAATTCGTGCTCCGTTTTTGTTCATGAACGCCAATCCTTATCTCGATTACCCGCGTCCTTTGCTCACAAAGACGGTCTTGATTGGTGGAATTTCGGTGAACACGACGCATATCAGGGAGGAGAAGCTGCCGGAGAAGTATAATGAGATTCTGAATGAGCGGAAGAAGACCGTGCTCATTTCATTTGGCTCTATGATCTTTTCAAAGGATATGCCGGACACTTACAAGTATGACATGCTTCTGAATTCCAACACTCTGCTAATATGAAGTTACTTCAGGAAGACAATAGTGCGAGTGGTTGAGTCGTTTCCGGATGTCACATTCATTTGGAAGTATGAATCGGAGGATGTGAGATTCGCGAAGAACTTGAACAACTTGTACTTTTCCAAATGGGTTCCGCAGACTGCACTTCTCGGTAAGAATCTTCAGATGAACACATTAGAAAACGTTCAGTGCGTACGTTTTCAGCCGACAAACGACTGTCCGCATTCGTGACACACGCAGGTCTGGGAAGTGTTACCGAATTGAGTTACATGGGAAAACCAGCAATTCTCATTCCGATCTTTGCCGATCAGCTCAGAAATGCAAAAACATTATCTAGACACAAAGGATCGATTACGTTGGATAAGAGGGACTTGAATGAGTTTGAGAAGTTGAGGGGAGCAGTTGATAGTATTCTGAATGTTCAAAGGTTAGCCCACTATTCGAAGCTCAAACCTTTATACAATTTTTCTCAAATTTCAGTTACAAAGACCACGCTGAAACATTGGGCCACCAGCTGGAGAGTCAGCCGATCTCTCCCCACGACCTTCTCGTGAAACATGCAGAATTCGGAGCCCAATTCGGAGAGCTCCCCAATTTGGATCCGTATTCGAGGCAAATGTCCTTTGTCACCTTTTACATGATTGACATCATCATCTTTCTAACTTTAATTTTTGCCATTTTCGTGTACCTACTTGCCTCAATCCTTCGCCGGGTTCTTCGAACTTTTGTGAGGTCAAAAGTAAAGACTCAATAAGTTTAACGGACAGGTTTGATTGTGAACGGGTTCTATAAAGTAATTTAGTATACTTCTTCGTCACTACAAAACGGCCACACACACAGTGATTCGCCTAACATGTGACTTTTTTCTTTTAATTTAATGTCATCCTCTTTTGCGATCAAAAAAGCCCATTAGGTTGATCGGTGGGAGTGTATAAAACCAAAATGTTCTACTGCTGAAACGAAAAATGAAACTTCGACTCGTTCTTCTGCTTACCCTCCCTTACATCTCGTTCGCCTACAACTTTCTAGTATTCTGTCCGTTGTTCGCCCACAGTCACCACAAATACCTCGCCAAAATTGCGGATACCTTATCGGAAGCAGGCCACAATGTCACCTTCCTAGCCCCTATAATCGTGAGAGAGTACGAAAAGGTCAAGTATTTGGAGAAGACGACGGATATCATCTACATCCAGCCGGACGAGGAACTCGAAAAACTTGGAGAATCTGCGGACTACTCGAGGTTCTGGCATGAAGAGTTCGGTGTGTTCTCCATGATTCCGGCCGTTCAAAAGTTCTACAAGATGTTCTTCAAAGTGTACGAGAATATCAAGAACGATCTGTCGGTTCTGGATGAGTTGAAAGGACGGCAGTACGACGCGATGATATTCGAGTCGTTGTCTTTTTGTGCTCATCGTTAGTTCAAGATTTTCGAGATCAACTGATTTCCCGTGGTTTTCAGCGATCGGAGAGTATTTGGGTATCAAAGCGATGTTCCCTTCCTTCTCAATGACTCACTTTTCTGATTTGCTCAAAGCCATCGGGGAACCATCTTCCACCAGTTTCCTGCCAAGTAACCATAAGATCCTTCGAACCGTTTTAAAGTTTGATACCTTTAGGCACGGTCTCTCCGTTCGGGGACCGAATGACTTTCAATGAGCGTCTGATGAATACCATCGGCGACTTCACATTTTCTAACATTATTCGACCACCGACCATGACATCTTTCACGGACCATAACAGTATTATTGACACAGATGTGAGACTTAATAAAACACAAACTCAAAGTTAATCATGTTCAGGAACGGGAATCTCGGGCTCCTTTCGTCTTTGTCAATTCCAATCCATTTCTCGATTTCCCCCGCCCGACTCTCACCAAAACAGTTCCGATCGGAGGGATATCCGTGAATGTGACGGCGATGAGGGAAGAAGTGCTTCCGGCGGAATACGATGAGGTTCTGGACAGAAGAGCCAAGAATGCGCTTATTTCTTTCGGCTCAATGATGCAATCCAAGGATATGCCAGCGGATTACAAGTAAGTCAATGAAACAGAAAAAGACGAGGAAACAGAAACATTTTCAGGAAAAACATTGTGGAAGTTATGCGATCATTTCCAGATGTGACCTTCATTTGGAAGTATGAGTCTAAAGATGTTAGTTTTGCTGACGGTCTCAACAATGTGTACTTTGCAAAATGGGTACCCCAAACAGCGCTTCTTGGTATAAATGCGAGTTCGATCTTTGATTTAACAGTTCTTTCAGCGGATCCACGACTCTCGGCTTTCATAACTCATGCTGGATTGGGAAGTGTAAACGAGTTGAGCTACATGGGGAAACCCGCGATTCTCATTCCGATCTTTGCCGATCAGCCGAGAAATGCAAAGATGTTGGCAAGGCATAACGGGTCTATAGCACTGAACAAAAAAGATTTGGCAGACTTTGACAAGCTAAGAGGAGCCGTTGACAGTATTCTGAATGTGGACAGGTATAAGGCATGTGTTCCATTCCCTCCAACTTTCATTCTTTCAGCTATCGGGAAAATGCCAGAGCTCTTGGGCAGCAACTGGAGAATCCGCCCATTTCGCCTCGAGACCTTCTTGTGAAGCACGCAGAGTTCGGAGCCCAATTCGGAGAGCTGCCTTCGCTGGATCCCTACTACCGGAAGATGTCATTCTTCACTTTCTTCCTCATTGATATCATCGCTTTCTTGTTTTTCTGTCTCATCGCTGTAATCGCCTCATTTGTGTACTCGATCCATGTCGTCCGCCGGTTGTTACGCAGGTTTCTGTTTACGAAACAAAAAGAGCAATGAATACAGTAGCATGATGTCTTTATCTGTGTTGGATGTTACATCAGAAAAGGGTGCAGGTAATAGGTTTGTGTTAAAATAGGTTCTATTGTTATTTTCTCGTCGCGATGCTCGTCTACACTCTTTTGGATCCGAGTACTTAGCTCTCGTTGTACTGAAAACCAAATAATCTGACGTCAACGAGCGATGACGGCGAACAATTACCATCATCTTCCGAGTGAGCTGATGCATTGCATCCGTCCTTCCTCAAAAGCATCTGTTTAACAGTTGGAATCGTAAATAATGGAACAAGAAAGAGAGTTACCTTGAATATTCTTATAAACTTTCATCCAATTTCACTGTTCGCGCATGCTCACCTGTAAAAAGTGGACTGAGGAGAAACTGAAAGTGAGACTGTTGGAAACTTGCCGGAAATAAAACCAGAAGCTTTCGATCGTCCCAGCACGCCGCCGTTTGTTCCGTACCGCAACCGCAACCATCCGCAAATCGCGCCGCCGAGGACGTTCTCGAACTCTTTCGGTTCTCGCGCTGACTCGCGGTCTCGGTCACGGTCAATCGTTCGGCGAAGCTCAAATGACGTCACCTGGAATCTTCCGCGCATCGCCCCGTAGCTCTTCGTTGCCAACGAAGCCGTCGCCGATGCTGAGTGATGATGAAATTCGCCAACAGCTCTGGATTCCAAACAATTCTGACCGATCGGTATCTGAGGGAACTGGTAAGCCTGGAAATTATTATACATGTTGTCTCCTGAAAATCGTTCCAATGACTTCGTCAATCGTCACTAGTAGAATTCCTGCTTCAGATTCTGAATTAAGCGAAAGAATTGCCCTCAAATCTGGCAATCTGCCCTGGGACTGTGCGATTGCGCTCCACTGAATGCCCGCAAAAAACGAAGCGCTTTTAAAGCTTGAAAATCGAGATTTTGCAGCTATCTGCTTCTGGAAAACACTGAAAAGGAACATATATTCGAAATTGAAAGATTTAAAGTACAACAAGTTCTGAGTTCTGAATGATTGACGTCTAGACGTATGTTTCCCCCTGTTCTCTACATTTATTTACATAAACTTTATTATTCCGGTATATTATTGTGCTCGACGAATATTATTATCGGTTATTAAAATGGTTGGCTGACAGGCAAATTGTGTTGAACGGGAACTCAGGCAAGGACGCGGTAGTCGCGGGCGAAGAACACTCTGAAAACACTCGAAAAGTGCGGGTCACTTGACCTTCCGATCACCTGTAAACGCCGGCAGCAATGAACGCTCCGATGATGGGTCCGATGTAATAAATCCAATGGTAATTCCAGAACATGTACTGGGCGTCGAGATGCTCCGACTTCAGGAAGAGCTGTCCCATGATGTTGGGCCCGAACGAACGGGCCGGGTTCATCGAGGCGCCGGAGATGGCGCCGCCTGCGAAGATGTCAATGATCAGGGCGAATCCGATGGCCAACGGAGCCAGTTTGTTCTTCTCAGTGTCCACGGCGCACAGGAGAACAGTTTGAACGAGGATGTAAGTGGTCACGATCTCGGCAGTCAGTCCCTGAAACACACAACCTGTTTTCTTTCTTCATTTCCAGACACTCTACCTCTTGCCAACCGATTCCTTTTCCACAGAGGGTGGCGCCAGCGGCGATCGCACTGTAACTTTTATATGAGAGCGAAATCTGAAATTAGAAATTGAACAAGTACTCGAACCAAAGTTCATAGAACTGACACGGACGAGAAGGGCGCCGAAGACGCTGCCGAGTAGTTGGGAGACGACGTAGCAGACGGCGTGGATCGGGCTGAGACGGCCGACGAGGGCGATGCCGAAGGTGACCGCCGGGTTCACGTGGGCTCCGCTCACTCCGGCGAACGTGGCGGCGAGCACGAAGATGGCGATTCCGTGGGCGAACGCGGCATGGAGCACTCCGTCGTGAATGAACACTCCGCTTGCTTGCATGGATCCTGAGATGAGTTAATGGGGCAGATGGGTGCTGGGGAGGAGTTACCGATGTAAACGAAGATGAGCACGGCGATGAACTCGGCGGCGCACTTCGAGTAGATCGAGTGCTCCTTTTCGTCCTCGATCATTTTGTTCGATCCGTCCGAACTGTTCTTCTGCAAGCGACCGCTATATGGACAGAAAGGGAAAGAGAGTGAGTGGCAAGTCAGGGCCTCCAATTATCATGCACTTTTTTGATGGAAAACTGACAGTCGAGAGTAGATGGATGGATATTATGTTTTTTTTTAGTTGTTGAAGTGGTCGTTCTATTTCGATATTCGAAAACACGGGAGTGGCTCAAAGCTCGGCACCCCACCCCATTTCTGCGAGCAATTCGCCGTGAAATCGTCGTTTCCGGTAATTTTTCTTTGCCTGGCGCAGAAAAGAATAAAAAACGACGACAAGGAGGACGAAAAACAAGTCTCGAGTTGAAAAGATATTTGGCGAGGGGGGAGAGAAAGAGTTTACGTGAAAACTCATAAATAATGGAGTCGTAAACGGTGCGAACGTACGGAATAGGTCGAGGCGAAGGACGGCGACGAACGACGGCCACCACCACCACCATCGCCGCCTACTATTCCATACCGGTTCGTCGAGGTTGTGCTGGTCATTTTTCGAGTAGGAAGAAGAAGAGGAAGAAATCAGAAGTGAATGAATGAAGGAGCGAGGCGGCGAAATGAACAACGAACGGAAGATCTCGCTTGACAAGAACTGGGTTAGGTTCCTAATTAGTTACCAGCGGATTCTCTAATTAGGTAACTTATGCGAGAAGGAAAAGAAAACGGATTTGTGCGGTCAGATCGACCGAAAGAGAAAGAGTAGACATCCGATTGACGGGTTGCTAAGCTAACGGGACGGGCGAGGAGCGTTCGTTTTGCGGTGGCGAAGAGCATTTTGATGAGTTTGTTTAGTGGTTCTTCCTGCAAAAGAGAGGCAAGCGAGCAGAGGTTTTATGGGCAGGGGACCGGCGGGCAAATGGGGCGCATGATGTTTTATGCATCACGGAGAAGGGTCAGAGGTGAGCGGTGGAAGGAAACGCGTGATTCGCATGACTCACGTAGGTTGGCTGACTTTATGGATGCCGATTCTGGGGAAACTAGGGTGCAAAGTTTAGGTCAGATAGGAATATTGCAAGGGGGTCAAATGTACAGGCCTTAAAAACGTTCGGCCCCGGCTACAGTAGTCTTCGGAACGGCCGAACAACAAAGTTGTCAACCGGATAAATGAAGTAAAGTGCAGTGTTATTCACACTCGAAGTTTGTCATCGTTGTCGTTTTGTCATCCCCTTGTGATTCTTGCAAAACGTACCAGTTTGACAGTAGTCGAGTCGAACGGATCGCTGTTCAAAATAACGTCAGAAGCACTGCGGACCATCGGAGAAGCCATTCTCTCCGGATCCGGATACACCGGGCAAGTCTCCATTTCTGCTCACAAGTTCCGAATAAGACAATGCTGTTCTCTGATGACTGTCCGCCCCTCCCCTTGCTTTGTTTTCGAGGAAAGTGACAAATTAGGGACATGTTTTGTTTTGGCCGTCACCTGACTAACTTGTCGATGGAAAGAGGACGTACCTGCTCCAGATCGAGTTGTCTGACCATCTCGCCTCGATGTTTCCCAAACGTTTTCATCTCGAAATGTTCGGAAGCGAAAAGCCCTCCGTTGTTGACTTTAATGCCCATTCCTGCACTCGCTGGAACAGAAGCCACAATAGAAATGGATGATATAATGTTTGCGGAGAAGAAAGGAGAGAACGATGATGAGATTCGCATACAGATTCGTGAGAAAATATGATGTGAGAGGGTAAGAAGCTTGCAAATTCTCGGTCGGAAGGCCAGGCCCAGCGAGAAGCGAGAAGGTTTCTGAATGAATATTGTGCGGTCGAGAAAACGGTTTTATTTGATCAATATAGGAAGTTATGGAATCGGACAACATTCAACAAACACAAATAAATAAGCACTCGTTGTCCGAATCTTCTGGAATGGAGGCGCACCTGTAAATCAACAGATTACGTCGACGTCTGGAGAAAGACTACAAAGCTGCAACGTTTTGGTTATCTTGGTTTTAAAATATAATTTCACAATATTGTGCACATGTACTTACATTTGTCCAATACCATTTGTCTCTGTCGTCAAAGGATCTTCCATTGACTACCGTAACTGCTCACCTTCCATTCTTTTTAGCAAATGATAGGTGCATTCGAGGGAGGAACAGGTGCGGCAGGCGGCCATTATCACCTTCTTAGTCAGCGTTCCAGCGGTCTTTTTTGTAACCGACTCGCCAATTAAACTACCGTATTCTCACTTTCCCTTCAAAGAAAAATTGCCGCCGACGCCGACGACGTAAGGCGGACCGTTTCATTTCTCCCGCCGCCACTCAAATGCGTCTCATACAAAATCATCGTTTTCGCACAGATTTTGATATTAAACGCATTGAGTGGCTTGAGTTGAGAGTGAGTGAGTTGAGAGAGTAGCAGTAGTTAGAAATTAGTGAAGAATGAGATGAGAATGAGATGGACCCTTCCTTTATACTTCTCGGGTTACGGTAGTGGGCGGAAGCCCTAGGGAGCACCTGCTGGAGGAGCACGGAAAAGGGATTATGCGCAGCTCCCAAAACATTTCAGGGTTACGGTATCCACGTAAACTTGTTCGAACCCGAGGTTGATCACTATTCCTTTCATCTCTCAATGTCGAGCATTTCTCATTTTTCAACAAACGTGGAAAAATGTTCAGAGATGTTTGTTTTCTCGTTCTGATCATGTCGTTCACTTCACTACAATCACACGAAACCACACCGTTTCCCACTTTTTCGCAGGTTTCGTTCTTCTTCTTTGTTCTAATTTCGAATCGTTTACTTTCAGAATGCTCTGGATCCATGCAGTGCGTTTCCGAAGAGCCGTGCCAATTTGTCCCACGTGGCAGTCCTATTCGCCAGCTTCGAACCCGAACCGCCCGTGATTCACTTGAATGTCACACAAAAGAATCGGACTGTAATCAAAAACAAATCGAAAAGTTTAGGGACGAAGATAACCGCCGAAGAAATTCGGACTGTTTTAGTGAAGATTAAAACTGCTGAGGAAATTCGAAAAGATCTCGTGAGTTGTCCATTCATCATTCATCGCACTGCAAAGTTTTCAGGTTACGGAGCAGTTTGACGGAGTGATGGAACGGTTCTTCAAGTGTTATGGAGGTGCCGGCGGGCTTCACGTCGAACATTTCAGTTTTAAGAGGAAGAAGAACGAGACGAACGTCAATGAGACGTGCAGTTTGAGTCGCAATCATAGATGTGAGCATTATTCTTTCTACTCTGAGCGATCGAGAATACGTTTTTTCAGATACTTACATTCAGAAGAAGACAGTCAGGATCGTCGTGTCGCTGGAACTACGCAGTTACTGTCGTCTGGCGGATGTGAAGGCAGCGATTGTCGACCGTGCAGCCTTAGGTTTGAGGTGTTTCAGTTCAAACGTAAACTCCAGTAGTGTCTAATGATCAGTTAGGACTCCATAAAAGTAACCAAACCAGAAATCCAGACTCTACTCCCAACTCCGATCATCCACGAACCCTTTCAGATCCAACGAGTGTAATAATGAACGGAGCCTTCCTTTGCCGTCCCTCCCGATGCCAACTCGTTAAGAATATGTATCCAGTATTCGAAACCATCAATGTATCATCTGAAACACTTTTATACGGTAATCAATTCTCTTTTTCTTGTCCACTTCGAATTTTAGAGAGATTCGAGCAACGCGTCGATCGTCTCGCCAACAGCTCCTGGTCCTTCTCATTCCCGTCCGATCCAAATGATATCCGTCAGAAGTACGTCTACTTCTCCTCGGTTCCTGCATTCGATTCTGCAATATGGCCGTCCATCGCCGCCGTTTTCCTCGTCATCTTTCTTTTCCTGACCGGTCTCCTCGTTTGCTGCTGCGGCCTGCTCTTCTATTCGATGGTTGAGGAAGGTGAGAGTGGGCGGGGCGTCGGCTACCGTAATCCGAGTAGATTTCCGGAGACGAAATGATGAGCGCGAATGGATTGATGCTCAGCTGAGAAGACGGGAGCCGCCGGATTTTGGATTTGCTCCACGCACTCCGATTCAAGTTCATCTGCCTTCCAATCACAATCCAGCTTCCGAGGTCAGTTATCAAATGTCTCCTAATCAGAATTTATTCAATTTCAGCCGTCGACTGCTTTGGAAGCCGACGGGAGATCTCGAAATTCGAGTACCAGTGAGGACGTGCGAACGGACATGACGCAAGCATCGGAGACTGTAAGAATCCTCCCAGAATTCTCGGATTCGATTGTCAGTAGAGAATTTCAGATTTCAGGAACCCCTCATACGTGTGAAACCCAACTAGAAAGTGAGAACGAAGTGAGCGTGAATGTGACATTCAAATGAACTTTTTATTTGTATGTAATGCACAAAAAGAATGGCCCGTGTTGAAGTTGCCCCTCAAATGTTGTTGTTGCTCACCGAGACGGTTGTGTTCCTCCGCACCTTTCTTCGAGTTGGAAAACGGCGAAGAAGAACATTGTTGGCCACTTGTGCCATTTGTGCTGAAAGTGTGGAAAGATACAATTTGACTGAAGATTGGAGGAGGTATATAAGCGGTAGGGAAGATCCGAGTGAGTATTGTGGGAATGGAAGCGGAGGGGGCTAATAATAAGAGACACACTTCTAAAAGTTACCTTTTTCAAAGCATCACGTCTGAAACTTCTGAAATCTAGCTAACCGGAAAAAAAAGACAAATGACACGTACCTTGCTGAATTTGCTGATCCTCAATCGCTCTCTGCTGAGCCGTCGCAAACTTTTCCACGATCATCGAAATCGGGAACGCCAACACGATGATTCCGCATATCGAGGTGGATGTAGCCACCAGTTTTCCAACTGAAAGTTGTCCAATACGAAACGAAATGACCAAACTATCCGGGCTTACGGGTGGTAACCGGCTTCGCGTCTCCGTATCCTACAGTAGCCATTGTGACCCTGCAATTGGACAGAGATTGTGCATGCCCCTTGGGTTCCGTGTCCGGAGTAATTATCACTTACACACACCACCAGCAGCCGGCCGGGATACTGTAGAAATCGGTGTGCGGCTCGTCCTTCTCCAGGTAATACATGATTGTCGAGAAGAAGACGATGCCGGTGATGAGGAACATGCTCAGCATGCTCAGCTCGGTGATCGACGACTGCAGAGTGTGACCGAATGTCTGCAAGTTTTAGGTGAGTCCGCTTTTTTTTCTTTTAAGTAAGGATACCTGGAGACTGGTGCTGTATCTGGCCAGCTTGAACACTCGAGCCATTCGGAGCACACGGAGCACACGAACCACGAGCATTGCTCCTGAAATAAAAAATATCTTCCATCGCTCAACTCTTTCCCCTTTTCCGTTTAGACTTTCTCATGCGATCATTCTGTTAGTGATCTCAATTAGTAATAAATGCATAAACATGTTATGGAATCATTGTTCGAGGACTCTTACCCAGAAAAGGCCATCCTGAGGTAACGCCTGGAATGGTTCACATGCTTTTTGTGGCCACCAACATTACAGTCTGTGGATAACCGTACCTACCTGTAAACTCTTTGAGTCTCGATTCCACACCGAACAGCGGAAGACAGATTTCGAGATAGAACGGGAGGATTGTCGAGAGATCAATGATGTTGAGGGTCTTCTTGACGAATTGCCGTTTTCGGGGGTAGATGACGAATCTGAATTCGAGAGAAAACGATGAAAACAAGTGACTGCCACGTGTTACCTGACTAAATATTCAAAAGTGAACCATCCAATGCAAATGTACTCGAGAATAGTGAGCGGAAGATTCGGAGAGTCGGTGGCTTTGTACACAAAATCTTTGAGCAGCTCGTTCGGAGCCACCTCGTCATTGTTGCCAAACTTGTTTCCTAGATCGTTGGGCCGGCTCCGGACGTGCATAACGTGATAGGCGGCCGCATTGGACGAGTCTGCCTGGAACTCGGGCATCGAGCCGAGAATGAGTCCGACGACGGAGGCGAAGACGAAAAAGACGGAGATGAGGGCGAAGGCGGCAGCGAACACGGACGATTGGGGGTCCTCCAGGAAGCGCCACATGGCCAGACGAGGTCCCGCAAAACAGGCTCCGTCAAAGTCCGCCACGTAGTCATCTTCATTGAAAGAAGTGCCACGGGACAACTGACGGCAGTGTTCGTTTGGGATTTGGCAGCAAGTGGACAACTGAACAGGGGTGAATCAGATATTGAGCTACGAGCAGTTTGTTTGAGCTACCTGATCCGTCTTAATCCTCCAGTACTCCAACTCTTCTTTGAACCTCTCCACACAAATATTCTGCGGTTTATGCAGACTTCCGGTCACAAAGAAGTCCATTACATGATCGGTCAACTTGGTGTTTCTCTCCAGATAATATTCGCCAGTCCTCTCGTCGAAACCATCGACCATTTTGAGTCTGAATCGGCCGATCATAACAACTATTGTACTTTAGACTGACTACAACCGACCTGTCCTCGTGTGACGAATCCAACAACTCATGCATTCGGGTCCATTCGGCAGTGTAGAGTTCGGCGCGAACAAAATAGGATTTTCCGCCAACGTTGAGCCGCATGTAAGCGTCCGCGTTGGTGCCTGGAAGAAGGAGAGAATGAGAAAAGAAAGTTCCCACGGGTTCATCGGACCGGACTCGTGCGTGATTGTCGTGTTCCGAGATTCTCCGATGGGCGGTGGGCGGAATGCCACGCGGCGATCCATGTTCGCCGCTTGTGCCGCCGCGTTTTCTTCGGCTTGGAGGCGCTGAAAACAATGGATTTAAAAGAAGCAATATAATGAGAATCTCGTCAAAATTTGACCAATTTTCCCCCAAACCTCTACATGCTGCTTCCTAGAACTCTCCGCATTGTTTGCCTGGACCTTCAATTCGTTCAGTTTTCCTCACATCTCTAAACCCAACAAAACTGACCTTGGCCGCTTTAGAAACACTTGAAAACATGAGAAAAAGAGGGGAATTATCAGTTTATCTTATCGAAAACACCGAGCAGCAGACGACGTTACGAGTGAATTCTAGATGAGGAAGAATCGCTAACTCGGGGGGTGTCATCCGATATTTCCGCTCACGCGCGCGAGTTTTGAGCCCAAATAACTCGAGAGCCATCACATTTTCACATTAAACGAACAGATTCTCGGGGAAAAAGTTGCTCGGGCTCTAGCTCTCAAAGACCAAAAAAACCACTCTTTATTGTCTCTAATTCTATTGGCATATCAAATATTTCTGTTTCTTCTAAGGATTCAAGTCTTCGCCCATCATCACATTAGGATCGAGTTACAACGCTTAGAAACCTAGAAAAACGTCCAAAAATAGAAAAAAAAGAGCAATGGAAGGTGTTTTGGCCGTGAGGCGGCCCTTCCAAATTTGATTTCTCGCTCATCCTCCCCTTATTCCAATTGACGTCATCTAGTTTTTTTTGTGGTGGTGGGTCTTACCTTCAGTCTCACCATTTCAGCACAAAGCGAAAGAAAGAATAGCGAGTGATGGGATGGGAATGGAAAGTCAAAAGCTCTTCTCGGATTGATTCAATAATGCCATCCTTCCCTCTCTCTCTCTCTCTCTCTCTCTCTCTTTCTCACCGCGAACCAAACTCAATTGTGTTGGGTGTCACGGGTGGAGTTTCGTGTGAAAGGACTCTAATCCCGGAGCAGAGCCGGAGGAGCACCAGCAAAAAATGAGTGAGCATAAAGCTGGATCAGAAATAGAAAAGGGAGAGAGAGAGATGAAGAGTCGGCGAGTCTTCGGTCAGAATCCGTCCGGAAATTAGTGATTTTTGAGAAAGGGACGAGCGGATTGAGTTACGGACACTTCTTCAGTGGAACGAGGGACTTTTTGCAACTTTTACAACAGCCCAGAACTGTGCACTGTCAAATTCACAAAGTCTTCACAGTTTGGTCTGTATCAGCTTCGAATAATTCCTTTTCTATTGGGTATACATCAACTTCCAAATTAGTCTGAATTCTGATTTCTGCAAGCTCTCCGAATTTCACGGCTCCGGTCCCAAAAGTTGAAAAATGCATCAGATCCTAGATAAATCGGACATCTAAATAGCTCTGATCAAAGCACAAAGCTTCCGCTCCCAAAGATACGAAAACAGGAAGAGCTTCCATACGGTTAGAAATACCTTCGCATAATGTGGTTCTTGAACGCCGCACTCGGCCAAATAATCAAGATCAAGAGTGGAAATATAGGAAACGGGCGCCTCGCCAGGCAGGTGGAAGCTCTCCGGAGCGGACAGCGAGTGGCGGTAGTAGTTGTGGTAGCGAGATCTCACCTGTGAGGCGCACGTCCTTTTCAGACGGTACGACAACATGTTGCCGACTGGAAAGAAAGGAGGCGGCAGTGAGGTGAGGTGTTGCCGTGGGAGAAGCCGTCGCCGGGTGAGACAAAAGGAGACGCAGACGACGGAAGGCCAGGTGATAAGTCGGACGGGGATCTGCGCGATTAAAATCAGAGGGTAGGCGACGCGGCAAGACGCAGGCCGTATTGTTGTGATATGCTCAGAGTAAGGAAGAAGCACATCGAAAACGTGTGTGTGTGTGTGTGTTTTTCGGGCAAAACGAAGGCGAAGAACGAGACGAATGTGGAAAATACCTTGAAGCGAAGAGTAATTGACGGATGGAAAACACATTATTCTTCGTCAGAATCGACTAGTCTTCCCGGAAACTGTTTGTTGTCTTCGTTTTCTTTTTCGCCCGGAAATAAACGAGGGATCAGTGGGGAATTATGACACACCGATTATCAAAGTGCAGGACAGAACAGGCGATGATCTCTTTGCGGCTACAACATTCATTTCCAATCAAACTACACAAAAAATAGAGTGTCTCCTGATGCCACGTCATCAGGAAATGAGACCCTGAGGTGTTGAATTATTCAGTTGAGGAAATCGGATTCGGAAAGAGCATCTGGCCTTTCCTGCCACGTCACCAAACGGGCCACTAGGTCTTCCTACGCACAATCTTTCGAGGAATGTTATCATGAGATTGAATTTGTAAAAAAAAATCAGAAAAGTTCGAGTTATTCGAGAGAGTCCTTATATTGCACGAAAAAATCAGGTGGCTTCGAAAAGCCGCATGCTCGGCCAGCTAATTGAAAAGTCAGAAGGTAGTGTGAGGAAGAAGGAAGTACAAATGAATCATTTCTGGCCTCGAAAGGGTTAAAGGATAGAAAAAAGAGAAAAAGGAGGAGGAGATAGGTGTTCAGAGATGACATGGAAAGCAAAACACGAGCAATTTGGCCGACAGCGACGTCCCCTAATTGTACCGACATACAAACCGGAGACGGGCGGAAAGGGACGCCTTCTTTCGCTTATTCATCTGTTTGCTCAGTGATCAGAAAGGAAGACGACTAAAATAATGAATGATAACAACGAAGCGGAGAAGTCTGACTAGCATGAGATTTCACAGACCAAGTTTCTATTTTAGTTGCAATCACAAATGATTTGCAAGCTCTTATAGTCAGCAGTTTCCCATGTTTCCAGATGATATCCACGGAAGAGCGCATAATCCGGAAGTGAATCGGGTCGGTAGTGAAACATAAACATCGAAATGAGCAAAACTGCACGGAGGGAATGCTAATACGGAGTATCCGCCCGAGGGCAGAAAGGTGCAGACACGTTTTAATCTGAAAAAAGGGGAAACTTACCCCCCACTGAACGATCTTTCTGATCTGACGGAACGAATTCTGACGGCGGGTCGAACGACGGCTTCTCGCGTGCATTCTGAAACGATTCGAGTCTATTCTCATCGGATTCTAGGCCACAAAAGCCCACGACACTTGAATTTTTTACGGTTATTGATAAAAATGGAAGAGCGGAGGTGAAATAGAAGAAGAACAAGAGTTCTGAACTGAGCAGAATAGAGTGTTAACGAAAAACGATTGAAGAAAAGGAGGAGGAGGCGTGAAGTGGTTTCAAGTAGGTAATCCTATTAATTTCACACTCTCTCCCGCTCACGACCTCGCCTCTTTCTCATTTTTACGTCAAGAAAGTCATCTTCATAGAAGTGCCAAGTCAAAAATTGGAAATTCATGAAAGAAGAACGTCTTCGGAATAATAAATAAACGTCCTTCTGGCCCTTCTTCCTCTTTTTCTTCTCCCCGGTTTCAGTCATTCCGTTTCGTTTCGCTTCGCACCGGATGTGCTCACCGAGCAAAAAAAATTCTTTTTGAGCATGAATTTCACATATATTTTATTGCGGAAAGTGAGAGAGAGAGCTTGTAGGAAGAATGAAAAATGAGAGTTGAAGCTCCGGAAGATCAACGTCATAATGACTAGAGAAGTGACGTGGCAGAGTCGCCGACGGCGAGCATTTCGGCCGAATGGAAGATGCTGCTCATTTTCTCCTTTTTGATCGTCTCAATTGCATCGTTCAAACTTCTGGGGAAAGATCGTTTGAGGGGGTTGTGGAGGGGTGGATCGTCGCGACGAAGGAGCTGAACGCAGCAAGGAAACGTTTGAAGAGGAAGAACGGTTGGAGACTTACTTTTAGTTCCTTTTTCGTTATTGTTGCAGGCAGTTGTACAGTGAAAGCCATGTTGTTTGAGATACTGTAAAACAAGGAAAATTTGCTAGACCAAGAAAGGTTACGGTGAAGCATGTGTCCTTCAGAAATGTCTTGAAAGTGCTACAAAAACAAGTCACTTCTGAGTGGAGTACACATATTCTCTCCTCACCATTCTTCATTTGGAGGTAGAAAAAAGAGGTGACCAATGGAATACTTTAGGTTACTTCGAGAGTTTGTTTCGAAGTGAATACAGATGTTTGTTTATGATCACGACAATATCTGTGCTCGAGGGCCGCTCACCTATTTCTGAAAGTGTCCTTTCCAGCCGTCGGAACGCTCGGTGCTGATTTGGCAGTCGTGGGCGACATCTGACATTCTGAAACCTCTTCTTCATTCACTTTTCTCTCTTCTCCATCTGTCGGATCCCTCCGCCTACAGTACTCCCTCCCTGCCAGTTTCCTCGTCATCCATGTGTTGTATCCGCGTGAAAAATTGACTGTGCGAGCGATAAGCATGGGAAGAACACGAATCGGATGCGCCCAATTTCAAAAGAAGAACGAGTCGTCGCCGGTGCTGATCGGATGAAACTTTGTCTCGTACATACAACCTCTGCCTCGTCTCAAAAGTGCCGAGAGATGGATGGCCGCGGCGAGAAAGAGAGGACTCATATCAATTGGTAGCGCCCGCCAATAAACACCCGACAAATTTATGGTCCGTAACGACGCGTTTTTTACTTGCGGCCACACGCTCAGCCACCTTGCTGCTGCTGAGGCTGCTGCCCTACACTTTTATTTGATTGTGGATTGAGTGTGTCGAGAAAGAACAAGCAAGGTGGCGAGGAGATAGGTGAACTCGTGGAGGGGTTGGCATCCTTTGACTCCCGGACGTCTCGAAACCATGATTTGGACACACTTGTTCCTCAGCAACTAGTATCGTAATGTCTGGTGATGAGACGTCCGGAAGTAGATCTTTTCGGATTCTGTCAATGACATCCCCACAACCCGGTAAGCCCTCGCTTACCGGGTTGTGGGGATGTCATTGACGTGGCAGTCTGTGCAATCATCGGTTCATTTGTGTGCTTCAGTTGTCGTTCGATCTGATCAAGGGCTCGTCTTTTTGTATTCAGAGCACATAGGGAACAGCTGAAAGCAAATGATTGAGGATCCTAATGACTTGATATCAAAACAGCCTATCTAAAACTAAAAATGATTACTGTAGGTAAGTCCGCCGTCTTTAGAGAATTCTATGATCATCTACACAATCCGTGTTAGAAAAGTTCTTGAGCCTAACATCTTTGGTTGGAGAATTACACAAAGCAAGAATCACTCACGGACACGTCCTGTATGGGCACTTTTGTTTGTGTCCCTTCTTCGGCTGATTGAATATTCCGTGGTTGGCGCACAATTGGCACATGTACTGCTCCTTGGGCATCTTGATTTGCGGAAGAATCGGAACGAGAAGGGACCAAAGTGCTGGTGCACTTGGCACAAAAAGGGGCGGCGCCGGGAAACAGTGCGTGGACCAATCGACGGGCGGCTTCGAGGAGGAAGCGGAGGAGGAGGAGCTTGCATGATGGATTGGCGCCATTTTCGAAATTGAATTGGGAGCGAATGGGTTTTGCGAAGTGCCCGACATCCTCCGATTTCACTTCTGGAGCTGTGCAAAGCGAAGAAGAACGAATGAAACATGGTTTTTACGGATGTGCCAATAAGAGCAGGGTGTCCGCGGAAGGATTTATGAGCTGGGCGACGGGAGCATCCATCACTTCCTTCTGCAAAATCCTCGGTTTTTGAAATCGAGATAGCAAGATGAGTCATTGACATTTCTATCTCTTTCTTCATCATTCCGGTCCCGAGTGTTCTGATTCTTTCACTTGTGATTCACTTGTGATTCAACTTTTCATTCAACATTTCGTTTCGTTTGTCTTCCCTGCTGACGTGGCGCCTAGATGCTATCATCCATATTCTGCGCTCCCAACCACCTTGCAATCCGAACAAAGTACCATAAATACATCGGACGTCAGGCGTGACCCACACAGTTCCATTTGCACATAAATTATCAGGCGTCTTCGTATTCATCCCCAAAATGTTCATATTTCACCTCTCCTGGTCGTGTGCAGCATGTCGACAACCCCCGAACTAATTAATATCACTTTTTTGAGGAGCAATTTGCCAACTGGCATGGGGAAAGAGAGATACGTGCTCGGTGACAGATTGAAAGTGATTCTCTCAGGGGACGAAATATGTGAGTGTGTGTGTGTTCAGCGAGATATGGATGGAGCCATTCCATTTGGAATCGCAAAAAATGTGCATAGATTGGTGCTCGAGATTAGTGGGCGACTACTGTATGACATGTCCGATTTGCCGATCACATCGAGACATTCCTCCTCCGTCTCTCATTTTCACATCGACACACAATTAACAAAAGGTGACGAGAAGCACGCTCGTTCAACTCAAGGGCGGCCTTCCTTCCGGGAGAGAAAAGGAAAGAGTGCGGCGCCCGAAGAGACGCAGACGTGTCACCGCGAATCGAAACGTCAACTCTGTTCTGTTCGTTTCTTCGCGAACACCACACCAAAATGGTCAATTTCCGCATAAATATATTTGAATGGATGGGAGGCGACGAATCGCCGAATAGTTTATATACGTTTTGACCGAGTCTTTAGTGGAATAGGAAAACATTTCCAAAGAAATGTGATTGAAAAGTGAAGTGAAGGAGGAAACGTTTTTCCTTTTTGGAATAGGGACTGGACGTTTTGCAACTGACATCTTCTGAGATTGAGCAGCAGGAGAGCTACTAAGGGTCGGTGCAAATCAAATTTTGATTTCCGATGTAAACTGGTAAGCTCGGCAGGTGCCAAGTTTCTCAAATTTGTGAACTTTTTGTTAAGTTCAGACAAACTCCTAAATGGATTCCCTAATTTTACAAATACAATATTAACCTATGCTTCCCACACTTTTCCGAGATTATAGTCGGAAAGGAGTTCTGAAAAGAAGTGCCGATGCATGGGATCATGGAAGGGCTCAAAGACCATTATATATATATCAAGATGTTAAGAGTTGGAAGTGGTCATTGAGCTTCCTGAAAATCTCGAAAACATGCAAAAGCAGCAAGCGGATAACTGGGACAAGTCATAATAAGAATAATAGGCGGAAGCCTTGAACGTTTTCGACGGGGTTTCTAGCACGACTTCGATGCATTTGAAGAAAAAGAGGAAAATTGGCAAAGTGCCAGCCTGAGAAAAAACAGTGAAACTCCGTATCGCAACGAAAATTGGCTACGGAGCTGGACCGCCCGACTATACAGCATGCGGCTGTATTTCGAGTCAGAATCACTCTAAGGCTTCGTTCTCTACTCAACGTCAGTCATTCCGATCTCCGTTCTAGCATTTTCAGCCACCGCAAACTCTTCCTCTTCCCATTCACGCCTAGAAGTTGTTGTGCCGAAAGAAGTGCATCAATCCCTTCGAGTTTCCCACAATATGACATGCTCTCTCTCTCTCTCTCTCTCTTTCTCTCTTTTCCTTTTTGACACGTAATCCTTCCGTTTTCTACTCGATGTTCTGCAGAGGGTGAGCCCATTCCGATTCTAGTACCCATAAATTTCGATGGTGTTCGACTTTTTCCCGCCGCCGCACGACATCGTTCCCCACTCCACAATCTCGCATATAATATCCGCTCTATATTCTGTTCGATGCTCACTTCTATTATGATTTGTGTCTTTTTCTCTTTAGTTTTGGATGCCACGTCACATCATCTCTGCTTCTACATCCCAGTCACGCATACATTATTCCTCATTGAAATTCGAGCCAGACCCCCCCCCCGTTCCTCATCTGACGGAAGGAAAAGGCGAAAAAGAAGAAGAAGAAGAAGAGGAAGAAGTAGGGAAAACATCTGGAGAGATCAGCCATTAGCTTTTCGAGAAGTCGCCGCTTCCTGCTTTTCGCGGCATCTGGTACAGAAAGATCATGTTAATTAGAGAGGGAGTCGGGGAAATGAACGACGCTGTCGTTATTGCGAATAGTTTTGTGGCAGATGGACGAGTTGTTCTCGACGATGCTCTCCGTGTTTTTGTACATGTAACCCGTTTTGTTTTCATTTTCAAAAAGTTGGAAGAAGAAAGGATCTATTTGACCAACTCAACGACCAAAAGTTACCTCCATTAGTACTGGAATAGCCAACGGATTCGGTTGAAGCCCACTTTCTGGAAACGAAGCCAAGCATCTGTCGATCACTTTTTATGCAAACTTACTCGCTATGTTTTTCTGAGTACTACAAGAGCATATCAAAGTGAGTGCGCTCTGTTGAAATTGCGAGACTTTAAAGACTGAGAAAGAGGATAGGCCCCCCAGAAATCACAATGAACACCGACAATTGTAGATTGACGGAAATTGGGTGAAAAAGCAATTGTGTACTGACCGTAGAGATGTCCGATTAGTGGTCAAATATAGGCTCTTCAAAGTTCTGCTCTCCGTACAATTCTCTGAAAAATGTCAATGTCAACAGCCCGCTTGAGAAGGAGGCTGTTCATAGAATTCATTTTGCCTCGTTTCCGACCCCTCTGAACTTTTCCATTAGTTTCCAGTCGTTATTCCAATTATCAAATGCTGAATCAACCTAATCGGAGAGCTGTTGTTTTTTTGGCCTTTTCAAACCCGCCCATTATTTTTCTTCCCCTTTTCATATGTACTTTTCTCTTTTGAACAAATGACGTGGGGCCCGCCATGAGCTTTCAAAAGGAACCTTTCGTTCAACGAGCTCACACCTCTAATCCGGTTTTCTTTTGACGTGGCAAAGTACGAAACTGCGGACGGCCGCTCGAAATTAACATTCTGACATTGTTTTCACTTCCTTCTCCTCGTGACACACACTTTTCAAGCAACTTTTGCAGAATGAAATGGAGTTTGAATGGTGGCACTACAGGAACTGATCATTTATTCATTTACTTTCAGAGTGATATCTTCTTTCTATGTTCATCTCGAATTCATGTGTTTATATTGCACTTCATTTTGAGCCCCACCTCCCCGGTTTACATCAGTTTTGCGGTGCCCAACAACAGAGATTACCGTCGGATGATCTCCGTGTAATCTGTGAAACATTCGAGTATTTATTCGCTCATCTCTCTTCAAATGCATCAATCTGCATTAATCAAACGCTAAATTATGTTGTCTATTCTGAGTTTTTTTCGGGTGACGTCTTCTGGTGGCAATCTGCTTTCGGTTCTTCACAGCGCCAGGGGGGAATGCCTACTAATGAGTACGGTTCAGTTTCCTTCCCGAGAGTCATCGAAAAGTGCGCACTTCTTCATTTCACTTGCAACCAACCCAATTACGCTTCGTTTGCACCGACCTCCCCTCATTTCGTGCTCTTTCAACTCTCGCAACCGCTTTCCTCCTTTTAGTATATCCTTTTGGTCTTTAAAATGGAATTTTCAAGCCCACAAGAGGGAAGTACGGTAGGCGGAAGAAAATTGAAATATTCAGAGCTCTAGTTTCCGGAGTGCTCCATTACTTTTGTTCCTTATTTGAAGGGCTCGCCTTTTCTTTCAAATATTTCGGAGGCTCGCTTCCTTCCATAAAAAGGAGCTGCGTCGCACCCGCCCGGATTCCATTCCAATTGCTCATCGACGCGCGGACTCCGTTTCTCTTTTATACATGACTGGAAAAAGGCCTAGACTTGGAACATAGTACAAATGAACGTCACACGCGCCACATGTTATTGTTGGTTCAAATATGATTTACCCAACCCAAAAAAAGTGAAAGAAAGTGGAGTCCCCCCATTGTCTCATTCTTTTCCGTCAATTGTTGATTCGTGAACGCGTTCTCCTCCGTCATTTTTTATTTTCCATTCGTCACGGGAGTCCCAGAGGCTGACAGAAAGTAAATGTTTCGCCTTGAAATCTCGAATGCACTTACTCACTCAACTTCCTTGTTCTCTTTGTTGAAAAAACCCAAATCTCCGTATAATTGTGGGTTTTTCCTGGCGGGGGGGGGGGCTCTCTTTTCAAGGTGCAAGCCCTTTCCAAACAGATGTAGTCGGCTGCCGAAACGAAGGCAATCTGCTGCTTTGGGACGTGTCTATGACGTCTTCAGGGGCGAGGCCTCACATGTTTTCTTTTTTGGAAATTTGACCTCGAGTTGCCTATTTATCCGGAATGTGTGGGGAAGATGCAATGCAAAACACACGCGCACGAAAACAAAACAAACTACAGGTGGGGCGGGCTCCCCATTTTTTTGCATTTCGGAAAGTAATTGAAGTTAATTTATTTTGCTCCTCGTGTTCGCCTAATGCCTCTTCATTCTCCTTATACCTCGACCCCCCCCCCCCCCTCAATAAATGGCGAGTGACTGGCTGGTCCACGAGCTCTTTGGACTTTTGTTTTCAACTTTCCATTTCTAACGATGAATAGAACGTGGGTATTTCTTCCCTCTAGGTCAACATAAATTAGGGTAATCGGAAAAAGTTTTCTGTGGCGGAAAAACAACAATCAATCTCATTTCCCTTCTAGACTATTCTTCCTGGTTCTAATCTTTGCTCAGGTGGCTTCCGGACCCAAGTTAACATGGTTCCTACCTTCCCATTATCTTACCAAGTCGTGTACTTGTGCTCCAGAGGTACGTTGTCCATCGCTGTGCCCACTCCATTTTAAAAGTTGTCCGAAATGGCACAACCCACTCGTTTTCGTGATCTCCGTTTTCCCGGAATGTTCGGGTATTTAGCCGCGCATCCGTCAAAGTCGAAATTCGACTCGACTCGTTCCGCCGTAACTTTGTTAGACATCTCAAGGATCACAACAAGTGTCGGTGCGGGTGGCAACCTTTTTCAGGCAAAAACAGTAGAGTTCCCGGAATTTATGGCAGGCGCCCCTCTCAGCTAATTTCGCCTCGAAAACCTCGCGCTTATTGGCCATCTTTTCGCCTCGAGTCGCCGCGTGATTAGACGAAGAAAGGAGCCGCCTGCTCGTTCGTTCTGTGCGCATTGTGCTCTCATTTCCGAACTTCTTCTCCTGTACCGTCACTATCCGAATCCAAATTCGTCCTCGGCCGTGGGGCGCTAGAAAGCTCCAGAAGACAAGGGCATCAAAACATACTTCTTGAGTATTCTTGTTGCAAACAAAAAGAAAGCATTCGCTTTCGTCGTTTGTTTATGAGAACGTTTATAAGCAGGACGGGGGGATCTCGTAGAAATGGAACTGAGTCGCTGACTCAGTTTGCACCACTCACACCTTCCCGCTGTCAGAATCAGGCACAAAGAAAGAAATGAGGCTCGGGCTCAGAAAAGAAATTACATTTCTATTCAATCTTTTAACATCCATACACCTTATCCGCCTTATCATCCTCACACTCCCCTAATCTCTCGTCAGTTTCTCCTCGCCTTCCGTTGACGTCGCCAAGGAGCACTTGGATGAGCAGAACAGAACGAGGAGGCATGTCTGATTCCCACCCCATTTCTGTTCTCGTTTCGAGACCTATTTGACGTAGAGGACCAAAGAGGTCTTTCCTCTCTCTCTCTCTCTCTCTGTCTCTCTCTCTCTCTCTTCAGACAAAGACCGATGTGAACCAGTGGACCTGAAACCGAGCCACGAGAGCAGATAACAAGAAAAGTCGAATATAAATTAGCGGGACCGCTCGCTCTACGTGACTCCATTTGCATTGAAGCGCACTTCCTGGGAGACTCGCGTGGTCCCAGTCGCCCAAAAAATTTTGATTCAATTATAAACTGCTCTCATCGTTTGCCAATTTTCCCATTCTTCTCTGCCCTTCTCCTACTAGATGTTTCTTCCTCCGCCGCGACCAATTTTTTATGGTTTCTTCTTCTCCCTTCTCTTTTTCATCGCTCCTCCGTGCATACAAGAAACCATCATCCCCCTATGACTCAGTTTTTTGACATTTCACTTCTAAAATCATCCAACTCCTTCGGACCCCCTTCATCGCTTGTTTGTTTTTGTCATTCTTCCTGTCATTCTTATTTAAAAACCAATTACTTTGTCGGCTGCTGCTTCAATGAGAGAATATTCGGGAAGGAAACGGAAGGTCTCTTTGAACGGAAGGTCTCTTCGAATTCTTCTCCATATTTTTCCAGACCAATAGTATCGTAGACCTGGAGATTTGTGTGCACGTCAGAATACATTAATTTCTTGCTCCTCCCCCGAATTTCGATCCTTTCGATTGCGGATCATTATTAGTGGAACACAAACTCTTTTCCTTCTCTTTTTCTCTCTCCGAGAACTTTTTCATAAGGAAGTCATTCGAACGGAATGATTCAGTGAACGCTTCCTGTCTGTCAACACCTTCCCACCTGCCCCCCAACCTATTTTTCCTCTTCCAATTCCTCCAACAGCTAAAAATGTCTTTGATCATTACACCTGAACCCGAAGTTTTCCGAGTATGAACTCAGTAATCTCAAAATTTTTTAAATTTTTGCTATTTCGGTTGTTTGCCGCAAATTTAGAGTCTGCCAGGCAATATTCGCACAATTTGAGGTCGCTTTTCCCTCTTAGCGAGTTCTGGACCACCAAAAATTCTATTTGCAAGTGAGTCACGCAAAAACGTTTCTGCCACATCAGAATCGGCATGGGTGCCGACTGGAAGCGGCATCCGTGCCGTTTTCTGCGGCAAATTGCTGTAAGGGCGCCGATTCCGTGTTTGCTACTCGCTGAACCCTTGCTACTTCCTTGCTTCAACCCCCTGCTACCATTGCTGCTCCCGTGCCGCTCACGCGCCCCACCCTTGCCGACAATTACCTGAGTAGCTGAGGGGGGGACAAAAATGCACAGTTATTGTTAAGCGAGCTGACAAAAGTGTAAAAGTTCGATAATGGCGACCAATCCAGAAAAGAAATAACTTTTGTTCACTTTTCTACCAAAACGCGAGTATCCATTCCGTGAATTCGACTCATCATTCACTTCCCCGATCCGATCCGATTTTTGATTTGATTAGGAAATGATAACGCCCTCTTCTCCTTCTGTTGAGCTGTCTAATCTTCGAAGCTCGAGCTCATCTTTCTGCTCTTTCCAGCTTATTTCCCCTGCTCCATCTTTTTATGGCAGCTCTTTTTTTTAGTATTATGGAGCGCTCGCTAAAAAACCCAATTAGTGAGTATGTGTGTGTGTGTGTATTCACGGAGAAATAAGAATTTAACGAGAGACTGCTTCGTTGTCCGTCGTGATCCGAGCACGGGACAATAAACAGCGCGGGTGGGCGCGAGGGGAACGTTCCCGTTATGACGTGGCACCATTTGGATCCGTCCGACTACTCCCTCGGGTAATTAATCCTCATCTCTGATCGCCTGTGGAAATTGGATATCCGCCCCAAGATACACCAATTCCCATTCTGTCCTCATGAATTTGATGCAGCACAAAAAGTTTCTTACTTGTTTGGTTCGCCCTTTTCTTTTTATGACCAGAGTCTGGAGTACGGTACTCAGAAATGCTCACGGGTCGGCAATGTCTACGGGGAAATTGTGAAGTTGTAACTTCCCACCGAAACCTTGCATTTACCTCCAACCTGGTTCATTGTGAAGGGCAGAATACAATAGAACCTTTATCAAGCAATGTTTATGTTAGATTTCTGAAGAAACATTGAATAAACCGCTAGTCTTCTGTATGAAACACCAGACCGTGCTTTTACATGGTCGTGATCACTCTTGAGGGTGGTTTCCTGAAACATTTGGATCTCAAAAACCAGAAAAGGTTTGAGGCCTTCCAAGAAATGATAATTTGCCATATTTTCATAGGTGTGGTCACTTTTTGAACCCAAATCGACACGTTTCCGATGAAAGCCAATGGTCTGTCTTCTCTTTTTTCGTCATTTTCGTCGCCGCCAAAACAGACGGCCCGTTCCTTCTTCCGCCTCCCGCCCTACCCGTCATATTCGTCTTTTTTTCGTGCCAATTATGAATTCAAAACCTGCAAATAGAACCCGAAAGGCAACAGCCATTCATTCATTGCGCTCCCGCCTTCGAATACGAAAACAAGCCCAATTTTTCGCGGCGTGCAGGCATGAGTAATACGGGCGGAACGCACGGCTATTCCTCAGCCTGACCAGAAGCTTTCGTTCATTTTTCAAACTGTACCCAACGTGTTCTTTCTTCTTCTTCTTCTTCTTCCTCTTCCTTCCTTTTCGCTTCCGTTCACTTTTTCAGGTCACATTTTGGGCCATTTCAAGTGAATCGTTATGCAGATAGCTGCACTTTTTGCACAGTTATATGGCAGCTCGTAACGCTTTATGCGCCCTCCCCACTTCCGTTCCCCTCACATCACATCACATTCCCTTACTTTCTCGTGTCGCCTGTCATCCAGAAAATCAGTTTCCCAGGCCATGTATTCCTTAAAGTTATTCGGAAACGCACATTCCCGGAAACATGCCGTCAAAATGTATCCGCAGAGTGTGTCACACTCTACGCATTTTTTTTTGTGTTGCTCTCCTTGTACCTACCTTCTGTTTTGCATAATTATTCCATTCAGATGACGTCCGCAGTGCCCACTGCCACGTCACTAACAACAACGCCCACGACAGAAGATGATGCGGCCTTCAATTTCGACGTCTACATGTATCTCCTGCCGCTCATCGTCATCTTCGGACTGTCCGGCAACGTCATCTCACTGGTCACCATCTTCCACTCAAGACTCCGAAGGGTAAACGTTTTTTGGGCCAGCCTTCTGATAATCGGGGAGCTTCCAGGTGAACGCGAACATCTACCTCATCGTGCTGACCCTCGCCGACAGTGTATTCCTGACCGGCATTCTGCTCATCTGCTTCAAAGTCGACTGGATCGCCTACGAGTACTGTGTGGGCCTCGAGTACGTGCTCATGACCGCCTCCTACATCTCGAGTTGGTCGACAGCCGCGCTCACTATCGAACGGTACCTGGCCATCGCCCATCCGTTATCTCACATGAAGGTGAGTGCTTCTCGTGGGATCGGATCTAATGATTACTTTCCAGTACGGCCATGTGGATAGAGCAAAAGTGATGATGTACTGGGTTCCCATCCCATTCATCCTCCAGCTATTCCAGTTCTTCTCTTTGGAACCGGCGACCGAGGAGAGAAAGTGTGCACTAAAGGAGGCCAACTATCAGATCATCGCGCAGGCAGTGGATACCGTTCTCTGCTACGTCGTCCCTTGCGGAATCATCGTCGTTCTCAATATTCTGGTGGCTGTTCAAGTCCAGAAATCGCAGGAGCACTTTAATGAAGAGACGAAGAAGAGCAACTCGCGAAGGACGGGCGGCTCGTCCTCCTCTTCCGGTACTTGGACCCGAATCCTCTGGGTGATGCCTTTAGTGTTCGTCGTGCTGAACACGCCGTTCTACGTCATCATGATGATCGAGATCGTCTTTCAAATCATTTACCAATCGCCGCCCTCCTTCGACACCCGAACCGAGCTGTTTGTGGTGAGTTCTGTTCCAACCGCAACGTCTCCTGATCTAGAATATTATTGTTGCAGACAATCTACAACACTGCTCATTATATGTATTACATGAACACGGCCATCGACGTGCTCGTCTACGCGTTTTCGAGGTAAGAGATCAGAGAACAGAAGAAGGAAACGAGGGGGTCCAGACGACTTCCGGGCGTCTAATCGTTTCCAATTTCAGTGCAAACTTCCGGAAGACGGCCGTGATCGCGTGGAAAAGGATCCTCTGTCCCGGATACGCGGAACGTCAAAAGGGCAAGGTTGGTTTGGGGCTCTCCCTCCGAAACTATTTCCGTTGGCGATTAACGATCTCTTCCCACACCTATTCTCCTGATTTACTATAACTTATTTTGTCTTTTCCTTACTGACATCTCATCTCTTTTAACAGCGCTTTCTGCTCGCCGTCTCCGCCTCGATCCGACAATGTGTGCAGCAAACGGTCGACTGGCTGCCACGTCACCAACCATCGCATAGAGTAAGACGGAATGGCGACTCTGTCATCCTCTACATCTATATTCTCACATTCTCAATCCGCTTGCCTTCAGATGCATGCTCTTCTGAACCCCTCTTTCTCTTCTTTTTCACGCACGTGACTCAAATCGCAATCCTTTCATCGTTGTTTATGTGGGAATCTTGAACGAAAACAAAATAAGACAAAAAACAATACTTAGAAAAGAGTTCGGAATGCTAATTTCTGAATGATCGTGACGCATTCGATGTTTTTGGTATGAAACCGTCGGAGTTTCTTGTTGTAACGCACACCTCCGCATTCTCATCCAAATTTTGATCGTTCCTCGTTTACAGGTAATCGTCACCGATCAAACGTCCCGCTTCTCGTACCGAATGACCTCGGAACGAAGTACGATCCGGATGACGACGCCTTCGCGAACGCTTTCCACCACGAAGAAACCCGCTACGGCAGCCGTTTCCGTCCCGCTCCTCGGCACTGAAATCCATGTGCAAACGATCGAATCTACGGCCATTTGATTAATTATTTCTAACTCTTCACTGTTCTTTCTTCTCCCGCTCTTTGCCATAATCTCTTCTCTCAGGTACTTCTTTTTGTTGCCAACTGCGCATCATTCTGTCTCGCGGGTTTCTCTAGTCGCACAATTCGTTTCTTCCATGCGTTCCTCGACGAGTGTTGTTTCTCCCGAGTATATTTCATTTCGTATCACAAATAAATCATCTCGAAATCTATAGAAGTCTGTCTTATTATATACAGAAAAACTAAAAAAGGAGTGAAGAGGAGCCCGTAGAAAGAGTTACTGATGGATGAAACAAAGCGGAATGGAAAAGCGGAAGCAAAGGAGGAATTAGGCTGGCGCGATTCCGAGATACTTGGCGACGAACACACGGATCACGGCGGTCATGTGATTGATTGTGGGGTAATGGAGAGCATTCGCATTATCGGAAGCACGGTGCCAGACGGACGGGAACGGGACGGTGATCAGATGGAGGATGGGCACTCCTGAAACGGTCGTGGTTCGGACCAAATGGGCTTGTGACAACGCTTACCTCGTTTCAGGAACGGAATGTGATCATCTTCGACTTGGTTCAGCGAGAGTTGCTTGTTGAACACGTTCCTGCTGATGGATCGGAGACATCCAGTCGATCGGAGATTCGATTCAACATCCGCGAGTTGGCTGAACAGATCGGTGGCGCCCATTCCTATTGTGTTTCCGATCGATGGATTCGCAGCTCCCAACAGATCGAGCAGCATCATGACATCCTGAAAAAAACGAACTCCTTTCGAAAATCTGATGAAAAACTTACAATTCTGTCGATTTCCTTGCTGAGTTCGAAGTTATTGAGACTGCTCGACGACGGGTACCATTTCTGTTCCCACTTTTGGGCTAGGTGTCTAAAAGCTACTTGCTTTTAGTACGAATCATTCCACAGACTCCTCTCACCTGGACCCATACAGCGAATCGGTCGCAGTCCAGTCGCGGAACGCCTCTTCTCCGTCGAAGAAAATGAGCTGAAGTCCGATGTTCTGGGCGACGCGTTTGTACATGTACGAAGCGAGAGTCTCGGCAATGTCGAGCATCATGGCACACGGAACAGCGGAATCCGTCGCTGCGATCATGACCTGTCCGGGAAGAATCTTTGAATCGTAGTGGCATGCGAGCACGAGGCGACGGGGTGCGGAGTCGTCGAAAGTGGCGATGAGGTTGCGGAAGTTTCGAGAGCCGAACGGAGTTGTGTCCGTGAACGAGTCCCATTCGGTGGCAAAGCCCAAGTTGGACAGGAATTTTTGCAAATACTGAAAAAGAAACGAATTAGAGTTCAAGAAGGTCGAGTGCGCGTAATTACATCTCCGACTTGCCGGTGCTGAGCAGTATCCACTATCCGCGGCACCATAATCGGCGCGAGAATCTCTTTGAATCGCGTCTCGTTCGTAAAATCACGACAGAGACGGAGGGTCGACGATTCGGGAAGGAGCGAGAGTTGATGGGACCGTTGGGGCGTCCGCCACTGACCCCACGCTGAAGTCGTGCAGATGAGGATGCCGAGCACGATCATCACAGTCATCAGGATGAAGATGAGCTTCCAATTGTAGCGGACGACCTGCAAGTGACAAATTGATTGAAGTATATGGCTTTGACAGTTTTTGGGAAGTGGGAAACCACACAGGGCAAACCGCTGATGGAAAGTGAACCTCTTTATGTGAAAAGAAAGATGTATGACAATCGATATGGAGAGCAAAGTTCCCGAAAGGTGTGTCAATAGAAGCGCGGAATCGGAAATATGGGCGAGGAATCGAACAAAACGAAAAGGGCGAGAAGAGCGCTCTGAGCGGACAGGCTTTTGCATTTACAATGAGCGGGCGATCAGGACGATAAACACGGAAATATTCTCACCGAAAAGCAACACGGCACAGGACGGGAGCGCTCGGGGAAGGACATTTCGTGGATTGGAGTCACGCTTTTTAAAAACTAGCGTGTCAATTTTTGAGCAATTTTATCAAAAGAGAACCATTTCTTTTGAACGCGGACGATCTACATTGTTGCAGTTGACACAATGCATTAAAAATGAATGGAAAAAATATGTGGGCGACGACTCTCGATCATAAAAATAAAAACCAGCCAACTGTGGACATACATGACGAGAAAGCGAAGAGAAATGAGAGTGAAAAACGGACTGTATCTTCCGTTTTTCAGTGTGGCGACGTCATGGTCATTCGCATTTCAGGAGAACGGAAAAAGAGATATGAGAAGAGGATAAAAATGGAAAGTCTATGAGGGAAATTTTTAAGAGGAAAGATTATTGAAAGCGGAGGGATGATCCGTCTTCTTCTCACTCTTTTCAGCCACGTTGCATTGAAGCGGACGGCTATCATTGAAAAGACACGAAACTTTCACTCTCCTCGGGAAACTCCTGCAGACGTCGTCGCTAATCACCCTCCTACGCCCCGCCCATTTTCCCTCCTCTCCTCCGTCTCCAATTCCATCTAATCTCTCTTTTTCGTCCACTTTCAGAATAAACACTGTCGTAGCCACTTCTACTTACTTACCTTCATAATCGCCGTCCGTCGGTCCGTCCGTCGTTGATGACGTCACTCGCTCTCTCCAGAAACCCGTCGACACGTCTAGAACAAATGAGGATTACTGCGGCGTCCAAACGACAGCCAAACAATTGCACGCTGATCTGTTTTTATCCCCAAGAGACTGTTTGATCTGGCCGAGAGAGAAACGGAATGAGAAGCAGACATTTCCAACTGTGGAACGATCAGTCTCTGCGTCTCTCTCTGATTCTCAATGCCCTTTTCTTGGCAACATCGACCCAGATACAAATCGAGAAGAAAGGGAAGTGAATGAATGTGATAAAGCTTCGCGATTTTTCAACGCTCAATTATCGAAAGGGGAAGCGGCGAAAGTACGTTTTCGGAAAAAAATTTATGGTTTTGTGGGTGGGTATGGGAGCGGAATAGATGGAACGAAGAGTCGATACGTTTTTACGATAAGGCGGAAGGAACGAAAATCGAGACGAGAAAAAAAAAACAATAAAAATCAACAAAAACGGAGATGGGAGGAGAGATGAAGAGAAACGGAGGGATTTAACTGTCATATACCGGCTCTGGGCAACTCTAATGCAAACGAGAACTACTGAACAATAAGAGAAAACCTACATTCCTAATTTGAAAATGAGCAAAAGTAAGAGAGATTTGGCTTCTTCCTTTGGGAAGGCACAATGGAAGAGTGAGAAGGCGCAGAGAAATAGACAGAGTATCATCAAATGAAGGAAAGAAACGAGTTAGACTGTTGCGTGTCTTCTGAATCCGAACAGCTTTCCAGAGTATCGTTTGAGCATCGAACTCTCGTCCGGCTGGTTCTTCTTCTGCTCCTCCTGCTGAGCCAGGTAGACCGCTCGCCGACGGAACTCCTTCGCCGGATCGTCGTACTGCGAGTAGTACTGCAACATCGGGCGGACGTCTTCAGTGTCTGACAAGTGGATTGCTGAAATGATGGGAAAATGTAGATTAAAATGTGTTTCATGTTCTTTGTACTCTTCAGAAGTTCTGCCAGATCGACAAGACTGGTATCATCCATGTTTCCTCGCCATTCCGGTACTAACAGCAAGTTCTCCGGGTTGAGCTGGCCAGACTTGACGTCGAAATCGATGAAGATCACCTTCGACAAATCACGATTCAATTTTGATAAGTCCTGTAAAAATTATGATTTCAAAATGGCAACTTATTTTAACTGAACCTTCACGTGGTGTCCATTCATGTATTTGGTGCAATCTCTGAACAACTTGTACATAATTCTCTGTTTCGGATCGAAGCTGTCGACGACCGGCGCCGCCGTCATCATCGACTCGGACGAGTAGATGACCACTTCAAAGTTCGGGTATCCAATCACGTCGAGGAAGTAATCGAGCGCCGGGCGCTTCAGGAATCGATATCCGGTCTTGTAAGTCCATTCCGGATGCACCATAATATTCTTCAGCTCGATGACAATCGTGTATTTCGGCTGGAGATACGGCGCTGGAAGTGGATCCGGCAGAAGCTGCTCACGAGCTGGCTCCACGACGTACTGAAAAAGTTTCCATTCGAATATTCCTAGCTTTTCTGATTTCGAACACGTACATCTCTCCAAAGTTTGAAACTGTTGGCGATGCGATAAAACGGAGCGAGGAATCCACTGAATCCGTCTTCGATCACTTTTCCAGCTTCATCTCGTTGAGCGCGACCGTAGTAGAGACAGAAGGAGATGAAACCAACGATAGATCCACCGAGAATAACGTATCCTCCGATCCGTGTGTTCCGTTCCATTCGCTTCCGACGGGCCTCCACTTCTTCAGAGTTTCCAGGTTGCTGTAAACAGGTCAAAGTGAGAAGAACCGTTATACGGACGAGGTATTCCTCACATCGTTATTATCGTTCGAGTCTCCGGAAGAAGTCGTTTTCGCGGCGGCAGCTTCGAGTTTCTCGAGAGATTCCTTCAACGAGTTCAACTCGTCGATGGCCGATGGTGTCGTCGCCGGCGTTGGAGAGCTCGCCACTCTATCTGCCTCCACTCTCGGTACCTCCTAGAGTATTTCAGCATAAGGACATTTCCTCAACATGCTTTTCATCACCTTCTCAATCTTCACAACTTGTGGTGCTTCCTCAACTTCTGGCTTGAAGGCCACGGCTTCTGGGGTATCGTTGATCGGGATTTTGACCGAAGCGAACACATTTCCGTGCTGAAAACTTGGAAATCTTGTTTTTATTTCTTTTCTCATGTTGGTACAGCAATAGGAACGATCGGAGGAAGTCTCATCCGTCCATTGTCGGCAAACGGGTTGGCGACTGCCGGTGGGCCCAAGAGGGATTTGAAGTCTGAACGGGACACATTGATGGCGTTCAAAACTTTTGAATTTTACCTGAACTAGACAATCTGATGAATGTTCTAGCATGGTGTCGACTAAAACATGTCTGACTGAGCTTGCTCAGTGACATTTTTACCCTGCAATATCGTTTCTCTAGCTCGAATGATGCAAATGCGCAGTTTCACAAACATGTACTGATAAATCGATAAAATCTGATAGATTAAAAGTTATTGTATTAAATAAATAAGTGTAAAAAAGAGTGTACGTGCAGATTTGAAGTGAAATGCATCTAAATTCGCTTTTTGACAAGAGTCGTACGATTTACGATAAACCTCGAGTGACGGAATTTCGGAGTGTCGTTTCAAAAACTTTAAATATACATTTTTTTAACTGTGAATATTCGTGCTCAAACTAGTCATTATTAGAAAAAAATCATCGAATTTATTAGAATACAAATAAATTTGTTAATAGATCATCTACAACTCGTATAATTATTCTTACGGGAACTTAGGGAAAGGATAGATCGGGCGATTTGAAATCACAATAGGAATAGGGTTATTTAGGAATCGAAAAATGATAGTACATGAAGCAATAGATTCGGGTATACAGGATAAAATTAAACAAGATTATCAACAGAGAGTTTAGTGCTGTCAGACGCGAATCGACTCGAATGGATTGACGAGTACGCATTCGGTATTGTCGTTTCGTGGCGGAATATCGGAACGGAGACGGGATGGCACTCGACGAGCTTCAGATGCATCGCGTAGAAGTAGACGATGTCATGAAGCACGGCGGAGAACAACAGAAGACCGAGCATATTCAACGAGATGTCCACTGAAAGACAAAGAAATGCATGAGGAACAGAAGAGGGAAGGAGAACACACTGATTGTGATGCGTTCGTCGACCAGCTCCTTCACTTTCAGCACGAAAAGCACCAGTGTTCCGTTGGTGGCCAGGATGGCGAGATAGATGTAGATGGGCATGAAGAGTCGGCGGTACAGGAAGACTCCGGTGACGAGGATGGCGAGCAGCACCAGCCATTGCACAATCACCACGCGCGTCAGGAATGGCTCATCTGAAATGGTTGATTGAGCTGAGGAACTTTTTTGTAACTAACCGAAAATGCTGACCCTGAATCTCGGAGCGTAGTTTCCGTACTGAAAAAGAAAGGAATTGGCGTAATATCCGATGGTGAGCAGAGCGGTGAGCACGTAGAAGACGGTGGCGGCCGACGAGTGCCGCACCCATTCCATCTCCAGACCGTCCGTCGCTCCGTTCTCCATGTACACTGTCAAAGGCTGGAAAAGAATAGAATCTCTCGCCAGAAAACGCAATTTTTACCTTTTCCGAGTGAACAACCGATTTGCACGGCGGAATGTAGAAGTAGCTGTTCTCGGCGTCGGCTATCGAATACTTTTTCGAAGAAGGCGTCGCGTAAGTCAGAGTAGTCGAGCAAGGAGAAGTAGAATACATGTCTACACAAGCGATCGAAGACCGACTGAAAACGAAAACGACGGAGAGCGAAGTGGACGGACCACCGGGTAGAGTGCGCGCGCGCGCGTGTAGAGCAGGTGCGGCGAAGATGGCGGGTCTGAAATGGGGCGAACAAACGAGCGGTCACACAACTGTGATGAACGAGTGCATCGTGAAAGAGAATGGGTTCTCTTTCATTCCACAGATCGGTTCTCCCTCACTCCATTCCCATAATTATTTACCTCTGTGTGTCGCCGTTGTCCTTTTCAGAACGCGTGCCTGCCGACCAATTAAAAAGAGGCAATTCGAGTCGCCCTACCACCGCCAACTCTTTTTGCTCATCGCCGTTTGTCGCGTTCCCATGGAGCCGCCGGCTGACGTATCCTGTTATTTCTTTTTCATTTGTATAGCGATTCCCTTCTCGCCCATCACTTGCTGTTGACGTGGCTGAAGCGATTCTCCGGAAATTGGCCGAGTGGCGCCTGATTTATAGGCTGCTTTCTTTCGCTTTTCCATTTCATCGAGAGAGAGAGAGAGAGAGCTCTCACTCCCCAAATTGGAGGAATAACGAGGAAGTGTGGCGCTGTGACGTGGCGCTCGATTCGGAAAGAGATTTAGAGAAGCGAAAGTTCATTGCTCATAAATTTCGAGTTCCCTCACCACATTCGATTCCGTCCATTTCGTCCCAATCCTTTCTTTCCTACAACATTCCGCTTTTCAGAACATGCCAGCCATCCAATTCAAAACAGCGTCTCGAACGATGGACGACGGATCCAAGGTACACATTTGCACGTCTTCTTCTTGTCTTTCTGATTATAGGGTGTTGTCTTCCCCCTTCCCCCGTTCCGCCAGCTCCTTTTCTCTTTCAGTTCCTCGTACCGATAGTCACGATGACGTCACGCCGTCGTCACAGTAACCATCGCCGCGTCCGAATCGAGTGGGTCCGCCACTCGGCCTGCATTTGCATCGTCTACGTCCTCGCCGCCGTGATAACCACTTCCTACTACTCGGCGTGCTTTCTCACTCAGTACGGAGCCGTCTACGCGTTCGTCGATCGAAGCGTCAAGCCCATGCCGATCCTCAACGAGCCGACGCTCACCCGCGTCATCATGATCCAGTGGCTGATGCTGGCGGCGGTGCTCATCTCCGGCCTCTCCCTGTTCCGTCGCATCTTCATGCCGCTCTACATCTTCCTCGCTGTCATGGCCACCAACGGAACGCTCACTCTGTTCGTTGTCAAGATGAAGCAGTTTGCTGACGGAAAGATTCCCCGCGGTAAGGGAAGTTTGTGTTGTTCCACAAAATTCATTTTGCTCTCAGATGACCTCTCGCTGAATCTCGTCGGAATCCTTCTGTTCACCGCCACTGCTCACAATCTCGTCTATTTGTATGCTATCCATCTGTACCTCAACCGCTCGCGCTCCCGAGTCTACCGCGCCACTGCTTCGCCGCCAGCCTACGAAGCCGATTCGACCGCCGAGCAGAAAATGCCCGTCGACAACTTTGTCTAATAACTCCACTCTGCTCTGATTCTCTGTCTAGTTAGCTAAAAGAGCCGTCAAATTCTGAGAATGCCGTTCGAGCTCTAATTTGCACACCTTGTAATATAGAATTCTGAAGCAACTTCTCTTCACATTTTGGAGCACGATACAAATAAATATCACACTTTTGCAGAACAACAACTGATTTCATTCCGCACTTGTGTAAGTATGCCCATACGCTTTCGAAATGAACTTGAAGTTTAGAAAGAAAGCGTTTTTTCGGTCGACAGAGGGAAACATAAGCAACACGTTCCTCTCGCAATCACTTTCGCCCGCATGCAAAGCGAATTTTATTTTCGAATCAAAACCAGATCATCAAGCGGTTGAAGGGGAAGGGGATGAGGAAGAGGAAAAAGCAAATTGCGTAAGGAAAAGAGTCTCTACGTCATGTTGCGAACAGATGACGTCCCAAATACGCGCGTGGACACACTTCCTCGATGACCACACGTTCCCCCGTAATTGCCATCGTCGCCACGTCGTCGTTGCCTGAATCCGCTCCCGCCTACTCCTACTGGTTCGTGGTCATTAGCTGCCAACCCAACGCACACCTCTCGGTTTTACTTTTCAATCTCTTCTCGCTTTCTCAATTTTCTCCACAGAAAAAGAGACAAAAAACGCGTCTTTGTTTCATTAGCTTCTCTATACGCCGAACTTTGTCTTTGTAACTTTACACCCTCCACAATCCCACAGATGCTTCTTCTCCTTCTCAAAATTATCACAACACAGGCGGTAGGCTAACGGACTGTAATCTTAAGCGAGGCGGGTAAAGAGGAAGTACTCGCATTTATTTTTGTTTCGCTCCACCTCACCCGTGTCCCATATCATATCATTTCATATCAGTCCTCCGTTCCTGACGCCTCCAAACTTTCAGGCGATGCATTTCTCGTCGGCTGTGCTGGCAGCCCTGCTCTCCACGCTCACGAATGCCTGCTTCTGCCCGTTTGTTCCAAAATTGTTACTCTTTTGACAAAAAAGGTTATCCAGATCGCTAATAAGCAGTTCGTGTGGCTGCGGTGGAGGTGGAGGTGGTTATAATGCCTACGCGGGTGGCGGATACGGCGGCGGAGGCTACGCTCAGAACACTGGGAGCTACGCGGTCTTCTACAGAGATCTGACGCCGTTCAGACAGCCGTACTATCAGGCCCCACAGGTGCCAGAGATCAGCATCAACACGCGCATAACTTGTTCTAATTACAGTACTACCCGAGAGCACCGGCTCCACAACTTCCACCGATGTACCAGCTGCCGAACCCGAGATACATTCAGCCACAAGCTCCTCCTCAACCCCAACCTCAGTACATTGCTCCGGCTCCGGTCATCCAGCCATCCCACCCAACTCTTATTCAATCAAAACAAGTCTACATTCAACCAGCAGCCACAGTTGCTCCGATCGTCGACGTTCCAAGAACAACCCTTCATGACAATGGATACGGAGAAGAGGAGGTGATTGTGACGACTGCCGCTCCGCCTACCGCTGCTCCAGTCGAGGATGCTCCAGACTTTGTCGATGAGGCGCCAGTGAAAACGGCGAACGGAGAAAAGGATGAGTTCTATTACGTTTACTACGACGACAAGGGCAACAAGGTCGGAGACTCGCGCTCGGGTTCCACGTTCGCGCCGGAGAACGTGATTGAGGAAGTGACGAGTGTCGCCCCAGCTTCAGTCCATTTGGAGGTCACGGTAAGAGCGTCGTGATAAACTGGTGTAATCATGTGATAACTCACTTATTGTTAAGACGCAATTGGTTCAAGAAGAGGCCAACGAGAACTACGACGACGTCGTCGAAGAGACGCAAGTGCCGGTGAGAACCTCATTGGCCCCCAGCTACACCCCAGAAGTCGTCACGAGCACCACCATTCTCTTCATCGAGCCAGGAACTCAGGCGACCGCCGCACCAGTCGGAACTGACGTGGTGTACGAGGACGAGACCGTCGAGTACGAGGACGAAGTAACCGAAACGACTGCCGGTCCGATCGTCACGAAGAAGCCGACGTCTTCCGGAAACTACAAACGCACCGTCCAGGACAATCAGATCCTAGTCGATGCCGCCGAGAACCCGGGAGAGGGCTACCGTAGTCGAATTTCCGCAAACGGAGTGAAGATTGTGAAGAGATACAGACACGATAAGAGGAAGATTCACGAGAACTAGACGGAAGGAGAGAACTTTTTCCGACTTTAACTCAATCACAATTCAGGTCCGCTCGTATATTTGTACATTTTTAGACACGTTCACTTACAACAGCTAATAAAAGTATCGTTCGCTGTTCCCTTTGTTATTTCCGGGCATCTTGTATCTTGTTATCTGCGAGTCGGGTTCAGATCGACGTCAGTCTGAAATGTACGTAAACCTGCCCCACTATTACATTCCGAAACTGTGCGGGTTCCTCTCCTTCGTCTTCAATCTCATCTTCATTTATCTTCTAATCAGCGACAGGAAACTTAAGCTCGGAAGTTATCGGCATCTGCTCGTCAGCTTCTCCTTCTTCAACATTCTTTACTCACTCTACGACGGGTTGGTTCCAATGGTTCGGTTCGGCTCTCCTGTTTTCAATTCCACGAAGCTCCTGTTTGCAGTGTATTCATTCCTACCGCTACGCCTTCGTCGTCTTTATCTCTGAAGGCCTTTTCTTCGATTTCTCTCCGCTCGGCCAGTTTGCTCTTTCCGTCCGCTGCGGTGTCATTTCAGTCACCTATGCCATTCTGCACGCTCACTTCGTCTACAGATATCTCGCCTTGTACAAGAGGAATTTGATCGATGACTACTTCATGCCCTACGGACTCGTCTCCACGTTCCTCTACTGTTTCTGCCACTTGAGCTCATGGGCGGCAGTTTGTGAGCTGTTCTTCTATGGCGACGAGGAGCGAAAAGAGTATGTTCATGACTCGTTCAAAACGAGTTATGACATTGAATCCCATGAGATCAACATGGTGATTGCCCTTTATTGGGAGGGAAGCGATGGAATTGTGATGGACTCGTGGATCGGAGTGATTATTGTCACTATCAGCTCCACTTATTCCATGGGATTGTACTTTTTGCTCGGTTATAAAGTGAGTTCCCGCCTGAACACAGTTTTTCCATTGAAATTCACAGATACTGGACAAGTTGAAAAATCAAATAACGATCAGCGCAAACACATTGAATATGCAGAGACAATTGTTCAAAGCGCTGACAGTCCAGACGGTAATCCCACTTTGTGTGAGCCTTCTTCCGTGCCTCGCTGTCTGGTTCGGCCCCGTCTTCCTGCTCGACTTCAGAGGGGTCTACCTGACTTCGGTCATCGCCGTCTCCATCTTCCCCTGCATCGACCCTCTCGCTATCATCATCTTCCTGCCGAGTCTCCGTGGAAGATTCCGATTACGAATCACCTCCGTCACTTCCGTATTCCTTTCCACCAGACATCCAGTATTCTGACGCCCGACTTTATTGGCTCATTTCGGGTGTTTTCATAGAAACTGTCATAACATCATAAACATGCCTTCTTACGTTTTAGTTTCCTTTTTTGCGTGGATTCTTCTTCAACTTGTGCTTTTCCTATTTCAGATACATTACTTTTATTCGTTGCAGTTGATCTATAAGAAATCAGACAGTTTGTGTTATCTTTATCAATTCGGAAAGAGGGAGGAAGAGAGGAAGAGCTGACTTCTTAAGGTGGACGTGTCCTCAAGAAGTGCATTTGAGTTCGTGGTGCATTTGAGTTCGGTGTTAGGTGTGAACAATATATTGTGTGACTGTCTATCATTCAGATTTTCTACAGTACAGGTTATATCAGTCAGGCAACAGCACGAAATTGGTGCTCGACTGGATCATTCTCGACGGGCGGAGTTTTGAGTGGGATTCAGAGTGAAGCGGAATATCAGTTTAGTTAACAAAACAAATGCATTTTTAGGTATATTTGCAGAAAGTGTAAAGACTGCATCACATTCGAAAATGTATGATTCGACAAACTTTCTGAGCACATCAATTTTCCATTTCTCAGGCATTCACGATGACAGATCCTACGTTTTCCTACCCTGGCTGCTACCCTAGGCCATCTGGAGAACCGTCCGGAGTGAATAAAAATGTGACCACTGCGAACTGTATCGAGATGAAAGTGTCCAAAAGTGCACAATCTTTGAATGATGTCTCGTCAGTACATTCTTTCCGTGTTTGAGAGTTGAACATTCAAATTTCAGATGCGGTACAACGGCCACAAGTAGCAGGTGTCAATGGGGATATTCTTGTGGAAGATCCCCTTCTTGATCGTGAATCTCTGCCGTGAATTGTAGTCTATTTTGTGCTCAAAAAGTCCAATGAAACACGGAAATGTTTTTATTCAGCGGGAATATGATTTTCTATTTTTCTAAACACGACAAAACATTGAGCCCTTTTCTCCCGTCATTATTCCGTTTTCTGTTCCGCTCGTTTCCATAGACTCCATTCACTTCCATGAGATTTCTTCATTCATCCATTCATCATCTCAACATGCGCTTTTTCATTCTCATATCTATTATTCTTCTCATGGGAGATTCTGTAAGTTGTTCTGAAGGCAAACTGATTGAACGAGTCTTCTAGACGTCTCCGAGTTACTACAAGATGATCGTGACGTGGGGCCAACCGAAGGCGTACACAACCTACTCGACACTCACTCTTTCCTGGGATGACTGCCTCAATTCTTGCCTCAACACTACCGCTTGTGTTGTACGAATTCATACATTCAAGTAGACTCACAGTATTGTATTTGCAGTTGGTTTCCAATCAAACTGCTGGGAAATGTCTCATGTTCACGCTTCAACAAATAACAACTGTATCCCAGCTGAACAGTTCCAGTGCGGTCGTGGTGGGATTCAAAATCCGTTCGAATGAAACCACCTGCTCAACCACTGAAAACGCTTCAATTGTGAACGGAAACTCGGCAACAGTAAGTATTTTCCCGATGATTGAACAAAAAGTTGAATCTGAAGGGCGGAGTCATTGACAGAAGTGTTACTACAAATCAGACCTATCAGCCGTACACAATCAGTTCATCTGGCGGTGTGTGGACGTTCACTCTGAATGAAAAGTTGTACTGCGGAATAGCTGGTTATATATTCGACCGACCACGAGGTCCATGGTGTATTTGGGTTTGTTTCGAGAGGAGATCATTTCTTTAGTTGGAATTTTAGTCAATGTACAGCATAGGCTGCGTCCCTCAAGTAAATGCTTCTGGCTTCTGCTACACTTCGAGGTATTTTCCAAAAGCAGTGCTCAGTGGTATTGATAGTTTCGATGAGTACACGTACATAACCAGTTCGTTTATTCCACTAGAATTGAGAAATAAACAGACATTCAGACAAATCATCGTCTCACGTTAGTAGTCAAACAATGCTGAAATCATACAGCTCTATTGGTTTCTGGATTGGTGGGACCCGAAGAACGGAATGTATGGCACCGAATAACAAAAGCGCAAGTTGTAATGGAAGCAATGTGAGAAACGGATCAACGATTGTATTGTCATTCAAAGATTTTAAGGAGTTCTCTTTCGTCGATCCGACGTTTACTTCGCCTGGATACTATGGATGGCTGAGTGGTCAACCATCGGGAATGGCAACCAATCCAACGACGGAAAACTGTCTCGAGTTGAAATTCACGTCTTCACGAACTGGAGTCGACGATGTTGCGTAAGTTGAATACTTTAAGGATAGTTTGATAACAAACTGGAATGTTTCAGATGTAGTACTTCAAAATCATCGACGAACTGCCAATGGGGAGTAATCTGCGGGAAACAACCTTCTGCTTTGTGACTCTGACTTTTCAAAAAGTCTCGTTTTGCCTCGTTAATCTTATCCATCATTCCTCGTCGCGCTCCATCTTTCATGAAAGGTCTAGTGACCGAAAAGATTCCCTCGTTGCTCTATTCATCATCTCATAAAGCCATTTTTATTCAATAATGACTAATTTCATAGCTTGGATACTCTTAGCTTTCATAATAGATTGTGTTGTAAGTTTGACTTTTCACCGGATAACTTCTCTGTTTACTTCAAGATTTGTATGAGTATTCATTACAAAATGATAGTCGTTTGGGGTCAACCTGCCGAGTTCTCCACTTTCAGTACTTTGTCCCTAGATTGGGAAGGTTGTCTACAGTTCTGCATGAATTCGGTGACTTGCGTGGTGAACAAATTCAGAAGTTTGAGCAACTGTCAACGATTTCATTCAGCTCGCTTCCAACAACTCATCGTCTAATTGCACAGTGTTCCAGTTGGGAGAAATAAGTTCAGTTGAAAGACTAGACAGACAATATCAGGCGATTGTGGCATTCAAAATAGTCTCCAACGAGACCACGTGCTCTCTAGAAATAGACACTCCCATTGCGAACGGTGAAGCGGCTACGGTACTTTGGTGATGTACAGTATCCTTTCAAACGTTGAACAAGATCAGGGTGATGTATTCATTGATGAGGAACTGAACCAAACGTACTCAATATACACGGTCAGCTCAGATGGCTCTTTTTGGACGTTCTCAACTAACGTGACGTATGTCTGTCCCGTCGGACTCAAGCTCTTTTTCAGGCCATTGGATGCCTGGTGTCTTGGTGTAAGTTCTCAAAGTTCTGTGACTTTAAAAAAAAGTTGAAGGTATTTGACAACAGAAGTGGATTGAAAAGAGCGGACGGACTGACCAATTGCCAGAACAATCCAGCGTTCCTTGGAGGCGTTCTGAGCGGTATTCAGACTGTGGAGGAGTTCAACTTCATTTCTGGTTGGTCATTTGAAGGAAAGAGTTCCCGAAACGTCGTTTTGAGTTCAGAAGAGGCGAAGACAATAGCATCCGGGCAGACGGGCAACACTGGTTTCTGGATTGACGGAATCCGAAAGGACGAGTGCAAAGCGTCAAGCGAACAGATCCCCTCCGAATGTGACGGAATATATGTAAGTGTAGCTTCTCAATTTTTCAAGCAGCCAGTTTCCAGGAGTTCAATTTCACTGACGCCACACTCGAAATGCCCGGATACTTTCCATTCGATGTCGGCCAACCATCAGGAATTCTATCCAATTCGACCAAAGAAAACTGTCTCTATTTGAGAATTTTGAATGATTCCGTTACAATTGATGATTGGGAGTGAGTTGCGGAAAAAGAGTTATTGAATGATGAGTAAAACAAACCAAGGTGCACGGCGAGTGTGATTCAAAAAGCCAATTTGACGATGCGAGGCCAAGTTTGTGGGATTGAACCAACGATTACCTTATGAATCAGCAGTCACTTAACAATAAACAGTTCATACTACCCGATCTGTGACGCATTCGAGCAAAGAAACAGTGGCTCTGCCAACTGACATCACCCCTCTTTCTGATGTTTGTACTCGTTTCGCAGTCTCTTTTCATGTTCAGTAGTTCCCTTTCCGACTATTTGCAGATCAAACTGTTGAGGTTCGAGAGTAAATACAGGGAGGAAAGTGTGCTTCACCTGATGCTCAGACAGTATAAATATAGGTCAGAGCTCCGGAGCAACCAAAACCCAAAATGTTCAGCTATTCCATTCATTTTCTCGTCGCTCTTCTCACTTCCTCCGATGCCCTTTTCAATTGGATCGGCAACGATCAGTCGGTTACCGTGACGGGAAGACTCATTTGTGATGGACAGCCGGCTTCTGACGTGCTCGTGAAGCTATACGAAGACGGAACAAGTGAAATATCAATGCTAACTTTAAGTTATATCTACTTTTGCAGTCTACGACACGAAACTCGATTCGATGAGAACGGACAGCGACGGAACGTTCCGAGTCTCCGGGAAATACACGAAAATCTTTGACATGGACCCGAAAGTGAACATTTATCACTCGTGCAACTACCACGGAGTCAGATTCCTCTCAGATTCTCAGAACATGTCCTTCATTTCAGTTGTGCGACAAAAAATTGACGATTGACATTCCGCACTATGCCATCACTTCCGGAGCCGCTTTCGAAGGCAACGGCTACGACATCGGCACTTTGAACTTGGCGGATCAGTTCAGCGGCGAATCCACTGACTGCATTCATTAACCTTTCAAAATGTTTCTGCACTCTGTGATCTCATTTCGACTGCTCAATGAACTTGCACTTTGAAGAAGCCCGACACGATTCGATTACTCGTTTTGTTAATATAACGGATTCAGCACAAATGAATCTGCATCTGAGCAGCAGTTATTGTGTGAGCTCGTCCAAACTTCCGGGTTGCTGTGCGAGTAATAGACGCAGAAAACAATGCTGTTTTTCAAAAGAGCACTCCAGAATCAGGCACGTAGGTTCCCATGACAGACGATGAATTGTGAGCCAGACAGCGACTAATGACCCGAGGGACGGTCGGAGAGCAAGCCGACGGCTCATTCGTTGATTGTGTGCCATGCTCACCGGCCGCTTCTTCCTCACCTCTACCTATGGATTCGCGTCTTTCTACGTCTACACGAAGATCGTGTGGATGATGCACAAGAACTGGAGGGACTACAAGTCGACGTTCTTCAAACTCTACACCGCCGATTACTTTTTTGTTAGTTTCAGTTTGAGTTTGAGTTTGAAAACAAAACGTTTTTCACCAGAATCTGCTGACATTCCTCAACTCGTTCTTCACTCTCCGCGCACCTCAGAACACTTGTGACGACTGCTTCTTCTCTTTCCTCTTCAACTCCCAAACTGCCGAATCGAATTCGTGGTTTCCGTTGAACTTTTTCTTCACTCTCCACTATTGCATGGCCTTCATTCAGTACTCCATGATCTTCCTTTTTGCTCTCAACCGTTGCTCTATGGTTTTTCTGTTTAGCAGCTATGAAAAAGTGAGTTTTGTGCTGGAGCCATCCGGGAATTGACTCATTGGACCCCTTTAGTGGTGGCGTCCTGCTCTCCCGTGGCTTCTTCTGCTCGTCGCTGTTTTTCCCCTCACAATAACGTGGCCCATAATGACGAATCATGCCTACTACATCTACATACCGAAATTGGAGGGATATGCAACAAAGTCATCGGCTGTGGGTCACATGAAAGTTAAGAAAATATAATTGGAAGGTTTCAGGACGTGTCCGATATTCTGAACGTGCTTCTCGCCTTCATGGCGGTCGTCACCGTGCTCACTGCACTCGCCAACTTGCTCTCGATCGTCCGCTTGATTTGTCTGGCCGATAGAATCACTGGAGCCGAGAGAAATCTGTTCTTCGTCAGTTTAGTCGCGTGTGTCATCCAACTGCTTGCAGCCGGAAATACGGTACTCCCTCGTTCTAAGTTCCCTTTCGAATCATTCGCAATTTCAGTTGATTCTCTTTTACGCCGTCAACGACTCCAACCGTTCGAGTATTGGTGCTCAGACTGCTACGGTGCTGATGCCTTTCGTCAGTGACCTTCTCACTCTGAGTCATCCGTGGACTCTGCTTTATTTCAGCCAAAAGGTCAGTTTCATTGGGATCATATTCCATTTCATTCGTTCTAATTTAGGTACGCACATCATTGCTCACTTACTATTACCCTCATCTCATGACTAAAGTATTCACAGTCAGCAACACTTCCAACTACTAATTGTTTCATCTTTTGTTCGAACTAATAAAGATTTCCAGTTTCAGACTCAAGAAATTTAATAAGTAGTATCAATTAACTTCTCAAACTCAAAAACAGTCTTTGTTTTCATCCGTCAACTCCAGCTCGGCAGCTCCGGAAGACGGCCCTCCCGTCGTTTCTTTCACTTTGAGTTCTTCGTCGATCGGTCTTCTCTGGTCTCCGTCACGGCTTCTCCAGCACTGCCGGCTGGCTGTACATTTTCCGGAACAGGAGTGAACAGAGACGAGTCTGTCACCATTTCCCTTTCCCGCTGTGCCATCTCTTCTGGCTGACTACTGCAAGCGTATTGATAATGTTCATGCTCAGTGTATCAAATTCATTATTCTTGGAGTCCACAAAGAAAAAACTCTTTTCACCCGGAATTGTCTCTTTACACCGAGTTCAAGTAAACGTTCTTTGGCGATGTATTCTGACACAATCTTCGTGTTTTTCAGATGAATAATGAGTAAATTCGAGCCAAAACAGCCAGCAGACACGATGTGAACTCTCATCACCTAGTGCACCTTCGTCACTCACGAGATTCGAAATCATTTGAGCGGAAAGAATACAATTACTGTTAGCATGCGAATCCAGACGCTACACTCCAAACCAGTAGAACGACGCCCCGTTCAACGAGCCATCAGCTAATCAGAATCCTCGTGAGAATGTTCGTGAATTGGGCTCACTACTACATCCCCAAATGCGCGATCGTTCTCTCCTACGTCTTCAATCCTACGTTCATCTATTTGGTTATGAGCGACAGAAAGTCCCAAATGGGCAACTATCGGTACCTTCTGATCACGTTCGCCTTCTTCAACATGGCCTGCTCCCTGTGCGACGTCTTCGTGCCAATGTGTGTTCACGATCACCGCTACATGTTCATGGTCTACATATCGGACGGTCCGTTCGTATCGAAGTCATTCGCCGGTCAGTGGGCGATCGCCATCCGATGCGGATTCATTTCGTGTACCTACGGCATTTTGAACGTTCATTTCGTCTTCAGATATCTCGTTCTCAAAAGGTAACATTTTTATTGTAATGTGCATAAAGTGTACAAAATAAAGTGTTCAGAGGCGAGCTTCTCCGCCGCTATTTCCTGCCGTATGGACTAATTCTTTCAATTCTCTTTTGTGTTTTTCATCTCCTGTTATGGGCAGTTGTGAGTTGTAGTCCAAACTAAAGACTAGGAAAATCATTATATTTATTAGATTTGTCAAATCTACCTGTTCCCAGTCACAGAGAAAAGAGTTTACATTGAACAATCCCTACGAGATCTCTACGATGGCGACTCTATGGATTTGAACTTTCTTGCTGCTCTGTACGGGGTAACAATTAGTCGAACGAAAAAATAACTAAACTAGAAATTGTATTCATTTCAGGATACAACTAATGAAATTCGTCGTGACTCCTGGACTGGGATCCTTCTGATCACTGCCATTTCGACCTACTCAGTCTGTTTATACTTCATAGTTGGCTACAAGGTTTTTGAACTCTTTCATTATCACTCTGAAGTTATTTTATCCAGATTGTGACTGGTTTGAATGAGAATGTACAAATGAGCAGGAGAACGAATGAAATGCAACGGCAACTGTTCAAAGCGCTCACAGTCCAGACGGTCATCCCGATCTGCGTCAGTTTTGCTCCGTGCGTGGCCTCATTCTACGGAGCTGCTTTTCTGATTCCTTTCCCAAAGTGAGAATAGTCTCCTAACTCTTTCACATCCCTTCTCTTCAGTTTCATCTACTGGATGTCCCCAGTCGCCGTGGCGCTGTTCCCTTTCCTCGATCCCCTCGCCATCATCTTCTTCCTCCCTTCGCTCCGTCGCCGTCTCAATTTCCACGTCAAAATCAGCGTGTATGCTCGATCAAGCAGCTCGTCGGACCCATCGAACACGCGGAGCAGCAGACCAGGCGCCAATTTCTGAATCGTATAATCGAACCAATAAAAGAATCGGTGAACCGAAATTATTTTGCTAACCGAACCCATGTGCCACAAGAATTGCTCATTGAGTTCACGAAACCTAAATACTCTGTTTGTGAATTCATCTCCGGCCGTTATTATTCTCTTCCATTCGGTTTCCTTCCGTCTGAATCATCATTCATCTCCTTCCGATCAACTTCCATTTCAGACATCATTTTTGCTATTACTTTCTGAAGACTGTCTTAAACTTGTCACGGTGGCCGGCCTACCGAAACAGGACGCGGCGGCCCTGTTTTTGACAGCCTTGTCCTTAAGTCTAGTAAGTGAAATACTGCTTTTTTGAAGACGTTTTGAAAGTGCTCTATGAAGTAGGAACGAAATAACCTAAAAATAGACAATATTTGTATCTAATAACGTATTCTTGAAAAAGAATGAAAACAAGAGGACACAGTCAGTTCGGGTGACCATGAAAAGTTACCTACGGTTATCTTTTTCATTCAGGTAACTGAGCTTGATCGATCACAGAAAAAAACAACAGGAAATTGGACAGTAATATTGGACTGAACATGATCAATTATACACTAAAATTCTCAAATCTCAGGGCTAGACAAAAGGTTGGCTCAGGTTTTTCAAAGTTCAGACCTCAAAAATCTTTTTTCAGTCGTCAAGGTATTGACTTACTTTCATTTTCAAAGAAAGATGTACACCAACTGGGCTCACCATTTCCTTCCAAAATGCTTCGCCGCTCTTTCCTTCATTCTCAATCCCATATTCATTTATCTGTTATTTTCTGTAAACCAGACGAGTATCGGGAGTTATCGGTGTCTTCTGCTGCTGTTCGCCATCTTCAACATGAGCTTCTCCCTTTGCGACACGTTAATTCCGATGGGAGTTCACATTCATCGCTACGCGTTCGCCGTCTTCATCACTGACGGACCGTTCTTTGAGGTTTGTCATAGAGTTGTCCGATCCGCTCATTTTAAAGTTCTCCTTCAGGACTCTCCGCTCTCCCATTTGATGCGGGGCTCCTTTAGCCAATCGCTACTTCCTTCCCTACGGTCTCATCGTCTCCATCTTCTACTGTTTTATGCACATGCTCGTCTGGTCGGCAGTCTCCGAAATGATGGTGGACGTGGATCGAGAAGTCCGTTACTACATCCGCGACTCGTTCGAGAAGGATTACGGAGTCTCGGTGTTCCAGGTAACGATGTCAGTCGGATTGTACCGGGTACGAGGATTACATCCTGATTTCCTAATATTACCCGTTGTTCTAGGAAGGCAGTTATTCGGCGATTCTGAAGACGTGGCTCGGAGTGACTGTCGACTCGATCATCTCCTTTTACTCAATCGTCCTTTACTTCGTACTCGGCTACCGAATTATGAAGAAACTAAACAGTCAAGACCATTCCTCGACTAGTGAACGGACGATTCAGATGCAAAGGCAGCTGTTCAAAGCGCTCACAGTGCAGACGATCATTCCGATTTTAGTGAACTACATTCCCTGCTTCATCTCCTGGACGACCCCTATCTTGAGCATCAGTTTTGGGAGGTCAGTTTCGAAGAGAATCAAGTTGCGCTCATCAGAAGACCCTTCCAGATCAGTGTACCTCTCGGCGGCGATCGCAGTCTCCACCTTCCCTGTGCTGGATCCGCTCGCCATCATCCTTTGCGTTCCCTTCCTCCGTCACCGAATCACCGCCCGCAAACCTGCCCCGGAGTCTTCCAGTTGCCCTCCATTCGGCTGCTACACAATTATCTGAGACATTCCGATTCTTTTGTGTCTTTCCTCGCTTCTTTCATTCGATTGATAAACTATTAAGTGGCCATGGCTAGGCGAGCAAAATCTATCGGACGGGGGGAAAAGTGTGTAACAGAAAACAAAACGGTTCGTCTTTCCATCACTTTTCATGCCTCGAAATCGGAATCGCCAAGCCTGTCGGTTCTGTCGGTTTTCTGTAAGTTTTCATAATTTATCATTTTCCAGAACAAATGGACCTCCCCACCGTCCAACTGCCAACTCTCAATCTCCCTCCGGAAGTTCGTACATTATATTCTTTCACGTATTTCACATTTTTTTCAGCTTTTAAAGTATATTCTGGACGCTCTCGGACCAGCTCCACCTGAACCTCTTCAAAAAGAAGTTTTCTCTCCGAAAAAACAAGCTCTCCTAATTTCGTAATCTCTTTCAGCCGTTTAAGCACTTCCCAGTCGACAAGAACTTTATTGAAATGCTGGAATCGCTGAAGCCAGTGGAAGTTCCGTACACGAAGAAGCCGGACAATCCGATGACGGAAGAGCAGCACAGGGAGTACCACGCCGGGCGGATGCGCGAGTATCGGAGGAAGACGAACGAAACACTCGAGAAGACGAGGGAGCTGCTGAACGGGATCAAGGCGAAGTTGGCGGTGAATGTGATCACGCTCCGGAATCGTCTGAACAGCACGGACGTCGAGGAGGAAGTGAAGACGAATGCGGCGCAGTTTCTGGGAATCGAGAAGGAGAAAGTGCTCGATATTCCGGAACTTCTTCACTTTTTTCAGAGTGAGTCCTGTTTCATGAGTTTTCAAATTCATCTCTTGTTTCAGAATACTGGCAGCGAAAGAAAATTGTGTCAGAGTTGAATGTGGAGCATAAATCGTTCGTATACATGGAAAGAGCTCTCCAGTTGCAGAAACAGTACAGCGATCACAAAATGGTGAGTTGTCCTGCCACGATCGTTCACCGCTTTTTGACTCAGAGAGGAAAAGGTGCTCGATGTCCTGCTCAGCTCAGCAACAAACTCAAAGACGCGTCAATGAAGGCGGACGCGTACGAAAAGTTCATGGTGAATATGATGATTTGGAGCTTCCATGAAACATGAAAGAATTTCAGGACGATAAAAGAGTGCGAAAAGTGCTCAAAGAGCTGCAGATGAATGAGACGAAACTGAAGGAAAATGTTGGGCAATGGATTCTAAATCGTGTTTTCGCGCCGACAATTCCCGCTTTCACGACATCCGTTTAATTCTACATAAATTCGTTTGATGGCATTTGAACCGATATACAGTGAGAGATTAGTGAGGTAGACATAGAAATATGAAGAGATTATTGTACAATAGTTATGTGACAGATTTCCAGATTCTGAGTTTGTGATCGGGCTCGAGGCTTGCGGTGGCGAGCAGTTTTCGAGTAGGATTGCAGCTCACTGCTATAACTGAAGTCGCATGCCTTCCGAGCACTTGCAGCACTTTTCTGCTTTGAATATCCCAAACATAGACTTTTCCGTCTTCCGAGCCGCAGACAAGATGCTAAAAAAACTGTGTTAGCCGCTGAAGTGATATCCAGAACTTACATGCTTTCCAACCACCGACAAATCAGCGAATATGGCGTCCTGTCTGCTGATATGACCTTTATATACCTTTACTTGTTTTCTCAGAACAATGCTATACAATCGCAACGTGCTGAAAACGAAAATTGCGAGTTCGAACTGATAAGAAATGCTTCTTACTCGTCCAGACTGGCAGTCAGGAGGTACCTTCCATTTGGTGTGTACTTGACGAATACAATTGGATATTCTTCCGCAAAACCATCGATGGGAGCTCCGCTTTCACAATCCCAAATACGGATGCGTCGGTCGTAACAAGTGGTAGCTAGGGTGTCTCCTTTGTAACTGAATGCCACGCAACTGACGGCGTCCATGTGCTGCAGAACTCTCAAGCAGGCGCCCGTTTTCACGTCCCAAGTGCGGGCAGTCCCATCGTAGCTTCCGGACGCCAGCATCGTGGACGACCGGTTGTAAGAGCAGGTGAGCACGTAGTTCGTGTGCCCTCGGAGTATTGTGACACGATTTTCTTCTTTGACATTCGTTATTCTGACAGTTTTGTCGTCGGAAGCGGAAGCGATGAAACGGCTGCATCCGCACCAGGCAAGATCGTTTATGCCAGTGTTGTGAACAGCAATCTGAGAAAAAGACGAGATGTTTCGAAGGGACGGAGGAACAGCTTACTCTCTTGATTGGATAAGTTGTACTTTGGTCCAAATCCCATATTTTGATGAGTTTGTCTGCTGACGCGGTTGCCAGATAGACTCCGCAAGGCGAGAATTTAATCGATGAAATAGATTTGAAATGAGCATTTATTTCGGTTTGAAGAACGTATTCGGGGTTCTCTTCGCTGGCATCTACCTCACTTGTTACTGAAATGTCTGGAGACGGGTTCGGTGTCCAATTCGGTGCCAGACACGGCAGAGGAGGATGCAAGGCGTGGGTCTTCCTGTCTGAAATCTTTTTTCGTGTTTAGTCTCAGCCGGACACGGCTCTTTTCTTACATTCTGGATTGATGTAAGGGGTTGCTGTTGTCGCCACGGTGATAGTGGTTTGCTCGTTTCGACATTTTGTGAATTGTTGCTCATTACTGCGGATTATAGCTGAAATTATTACGTTAAATTTTGAGAAAAAAAGCTAAAAATATACAAGATACAGAAAAAGTGTGAGAAAGCTGCAATTTAGGTTTCAGGAAGCGCGCTATTCAGAGAACGTCATTTTGCCGCCTTGTTTTCTCTTTATCCGAGGGAACTATAGCGTGCAAAACTTCGGCCGTCCACGGCTAGAACTCTTCCATTTCGCGAGACAATTTTTTTTTCAAACGCGTGTTTCATTTTTCAGCATATTCCAACGGCAAATGGATAGCGAAAACGACAGTTTCGACGAATATGTGGCAGAAAGTCCCCAAGCGGCACGCTCTCAGTTCTCGGGACCAAAGGTATAACAAATCAGATGGTTAAGCTTTCTGAAACATGCGCTCAAAGTTTCAGGACGAACCGGTTGTTGTTGACAGTGTTGTTCAAGACTCACAACGACCAGATGCTCAGCACGACACAATGGCTGAGAAGTGAGTCCCCATGCAACAAGTTGCTCCTTTCGATCCCTGAACATTTTTAGTTTGGACGAAGACATGAATTTGCCGAGCGGAGACGATGACGTCATCAAGATTCTCGTGGCAACAGACATCCACTGCGGTTACGGAGAGAACAAGCCGATTATGTGAGCGATGAACATTCGGAAATCTCACAAAACATGACATTTTAGCCATATGGACGCCGTCAACACATTTGAAGAGGTTCTTCAAATTGCCACGGAACAGAAAGTGGACATGGTGTTGCTCGGGGGCGATTTGTTCCACGAGAACAATCCGTCTCGAGAAGTGCAACATCGAGTGACCCAACTGCTCCGTCAGTACTGTTTGAACGAGAATCCGATCGCTCTGGAGTTTCTCTCCGATGCCTCGGTCAATTTCAATCAGAGTGTGTTCGGACACGTCAACTACTACGATCAAAATCTGAATGTCGGCCTGCCGATCTTCACAATTCATGGAAACCACGACGATTTATCTGGCAAAGGCCTCACTGCCCTGGACCTTCTTCACGAGGCGGGTCTTATCAATTTGTTCGGAAAGCACAGCAGCATCCAAGAGTTCACCGTTTCTCCCATTCTACTTCGGAAAGGAGAAACTCTTCTCGCGCTGTACGGCCTCGGAAGTCAGCGAGATGATCGTCTTGTTCGTGCTTTCAAAGATCAGAACATCACATTTTTCCGTCCGAGTGCGGGCGCCGAAGATTGGTTCAATCTGTTTGTGCTCCATCAGAACAGGCCCCGTCGAGCGATGCATCGATCCACCGGAAACTTTCTGCCAGAGTCTCTGATTCCTCAATTCTTCGATCTGCTTGTTTGGGGCCACGAGCACGAATGCAAACCGGATCCGCAATACGTGGCATCATCTGAAGCCATGGGCGATGGCTTTTATATTCTGCAGCCCGGATCGACAGTCGCCACGTCACTCACTCCAGATGAGGCCATTCAGAAAAACGTATTTCTGATTAAGGTTCGTTGGCCCTAGAAGTTTTGTATTAATTGAATTAATTAATTCGATGTTCAGATCAGAAAGAGAAAGTTCAAATCGAAGCCAATTCCATTGCAAACAGTCCGTCAGATGGTCGTCGATGAACTCGTTCTCAATAAAATTCCCCAGGGATGTAAGCCTCCGACGAAAAATGAAAGACCAAAAAGCCGCGACGGACGGTACATTGATGAGATGGCGATTGAGGCGAAACTGAACGAAATGATCGCGTCGGCGAAGAAGACACGGAAGCCGAGCCAGCCGGATCGGCCGCTCATCCGCCTGAAAGTAATCTATGACGAAGAATGGATTAACATCACTCCGGCGAATGCGAAGCGCATCGGAATGCGATACGAAGAAGTTGTTGCCAACGCCGTCGATATGGTGGTCATCAAAAAAAATACGGAAAAGGAGAGCAAGGCGAAAGAACGAGCGGGTACGACCGGAGAGGACTTCATGGACGATGTGGGACAGTTCTCGGCCGCTAACTTGCAAACTATTGTGAGATTCATAACAGGAACAAATAAAAGGCATACTCTCTTGCAGATCACCGATTACTTCTCTCATCAACCGATAGATAATCGAATGACAGTCCTCAAGCCGTCAGGAATCGGAAAAGCGCTTGACCAGTATTCAGAGATTGAGGAAGGAGGAACTGCCGCGTCGGCGAATCGCAATTTTGACCAGTGTCTGATGGTACGGAAGCATAGATTGACCACCGAGACTAACATGCTTTCAGAATCAAATCGACGTCGTTCGAAGTGCGCTCAAAAGGATGCCGTTGCCGAGGTTGGAAAATTTGGCTGATATGGAACGCTTCCGCGATGACATTTTAAAAGACTTGAACAATTTGAAGAAAGCTGACTATGAGGTGGTTTAGTTCAAAAGTTATTACATACATTTTTATAATCATTTCAGAAAACGGACGGAGCAGTCTCCACAACGTTGCCCGGGAGAGATGATGAAGATGACGACGACGACAGTCAGTACTATCAGCTGCCTGCCAACCAAACTGCTGCGAGAGCTGCATCCGACGAGGAGGATGAAGTCGTGTTAGATTCGGATGAAGACTCAACGATCAGTACTGTAAAGACGACAACGACACGTGGCAGAGGAAGAGGATCTCGAGGTGGAGCCGCCCGTGGAACCCGTGGAGGAGCTCGTGGAAAGGCGGCTGCTGCGAAAGTCAGCCAGAGACCACCAGTGGATTCTGACGATGGATTCGAAGTGGTGAACGACTCGCCGTCTCCGCCGCCACCGTCTCGTTCTACAAGAGGCAGAGGAAGAGGAAAAGCGACGGCTGCTCCGAAGAAAAAGGATATTAGTTTCTTCTAGAATTGCATGCCTTACATTTTAATAATTAACCCCACCCCCGCATAATCAGATCAATTCTGTTTTGTTGTTTCTTCACTTTTTCCAGTTGTTCATATTTAATCACCGTTCTGAAACTAGAGCATGACGTTAAAAATGCAAAGTTCTGTGACGCGATACCGCGTTGAATGGGTGAATGAAATCATTTTTATTTAATTTCGGTGGCCATGCTCACTATTATCTTTGAGGTTTGTTCCAAACCTGCGAAATACGTTCTAAATGTGCACTTTCAGCTTCTTTAATTATTTATTGATTCGGACCCACACGCATCAGTTCGATCCCTATCCAGCAGCGAGCGAAGACTAGCCAATCAAGTGAGTTTTTCGTATTTTGTGCTTCCGAGTCCGAGCAAACATCACTACCAGACGATTCCCGTATTGTAGCAGACCCCAATTAGTGTCTAAAATTATGAAAAAAAAATAACATGAGCTGTTCGTAACTGATACCGTCGTGAGCCTGCACAAACTACACCGGCGGTCAGAATGATGAAATGTAGGCGTTGAACAAAAATCGGAAATCACACACTTTTAAAATCGGGAATTTGGAATCGATGTGCGCACCTGACGCATTACGACGTTGATACTGTTTCCGCGAAATTCAAATTCGGTAGACTTGCGCTCGTGCCGGAGGGATTTGAATGCAAATCGACAGTCTCCGGAGAATGATCAAAAAATCGGACTCCGCCCTCCGAAATTCTGGAGTCATGAATTCGTCATTGTGAATGGTATAACTCTTTTGTCATCATCAATTCTGTGCCGCATTCCGATGACGAGTTACACGTTGCTTGCTGAAAAAGTATTCAAAACAGAAAAAGTGAAGGTTCCATCGCTTCTGACCAATCCACCGGAACCTTTCACAACTCGTTCCTTCCCAGTCCCTCTTCTATTCTTCCGTCATTTTCTTCTCAATCACTTCCATTTCTTCCGTCTTGCCATCTCTTGCGTCGAGGACAAAACAATGTGCGAGCTGCCGAATTAGTGTAACAGTGTGTTCTTTTGACCTCCATTTTTTCCCTATTCCTTCGTCAATCGGTGGGGCTCCACGAGCAGGTGCTCTCTGGGGAAGACTAATTGACTGCTCCGCTGGCATCCAGACGTTTCGCTTTCGCACGTCTCTCGGAATCGTCGGAACAGGAGCAAGGATGCTTCTCGGAAGTGTGAAAGATCCAAACAAACTTGTTTTGCGACGATGAGCCGAGCAGGAGAGCCCCTTGGATAAAAAAGTGGAAGACTTCAAAAATCACTTGCGTCACATTACGATCGGATACCCCATTCTATTATTCACTTAACAGTTTGGGCGATAAAAACGATTTCGTTGAAAACCGATAGGTCGTAAATCAGAAGACGGCGAAAGATTCGATCGCAAGGAAATGCACGGAAATGCCACGCATTCCTGTTCTTCTCTCAACTGATTCCTGATCCGAATGTTGATCCGACTGATTTGACACGTCCTAAATCTTAAAGCATTGCGAATACGTCGGGTTCTTGCTCATGTCTTCTTACCAAATGAATTGAATGCTGTCTTTTCAAATCCGTAAAGACTGTAGGGACTCTGGATCGTTGGCAGTCAGTTCACTCGACAAACCTCTGTAACTTTTGCGCATAGCTTACGCAAAATTAGCTGGCAAGTACGTGCCGCAAATTGCGCAAAAGCTGCGGAGAATTTTCGTAAAGGCTTCTTTAAGTCTGCGCAAAAGTTGCGATTTCGAGAAAAATTTTGCGCAACTTGCCAGCTAAAGTTGCGTAAGCTTTGCGCAAAAGTTACAGCGGTTTGCCGAGAAGCCAGTGGAATCGATTCGAGAAATTCATTATTTCCTTCCCCGATTTCCAAACCCGACATGCCGAGTTTCAGCTTCTCATTGTGAATAATCCCCGAATCACTTCCGTGTGTCGAACATCCTCTGCTTGTCCTTTCTGTTCCTCATTCCATTGACCTATCGACCAGCCTTTGAATTCTCGAAACAGTAATTGGAATGTCGGATGTACTACGACTCCGTTGTCCTTCTTCTTGTCAACGTCTTCTCCCTTCTCCCTCCCTCGCTCGTTTCATACCCTATCAAAACAGTTTTACTTCCTGTTTGTACAACGAACTACTTCCTCGTCGTCGTAGAAGGGAAACCCCCGATCGTCTCGCACTCACATCACGGCTTCAAGACCAGAGTGTGAAACATGGACTTTCACCCGCAAAAGGGTTTTTCCCTCTCTCACTTATTATCATTCCGATGCCGGATGGCCAACAATGCACGTGACTGTCGTGCCGTTTCTGTCTCCGCTATCATCTGATGATGTGGTTTATTCCCTCTCTCGCTCTCTCGCAGTTTACAATCAGACTACAAAACGATATCATCTGCATACATATATATATATATGTGATACACTGTTTTACCCCATAACACGCACTGTTTGTGCCTTCTCTCGGCCGTTTTTCGAAGGTTGCCGCCGAAGAATTTCTGATAGGAGAGGAGGAGAAGAGAAACGGAAGAAGATTGCAAATTGGACACATCACGAATGGTCATACATCTGAATTTGTTCCTTGAATTTGAACGATGATACCAGAGTGACGTGAATTTTCCGGAATTCGATGGTCTAGTGACGCAGCGCAGTCGGGAATTGTCGCATTACACTGAAAACGATTTCAGCGAGATCAGCATCTCTTTGACAATGCCGCCGGGGCGCCAAGCGCACAAACTTTGTTATCAGAATGCAAAGAAACCGTTCGTTCTTCGCAATCTTTCGGACGGGGGAGTTTGTTGAAGAATTTCGCTATTTTTAAACTACAGCAGACACAGACTGGTCTGCGAAGAAAACCTTACTGTCTAAACGAGACGATATGTGAACATTCTGCCACTTTAGAACTTCCTTCTCTCCCTATCCCATTTTGTTCATCAAGTAGTGCACGTTTGTAAAAGGACAAAAGTGTGTTCCGTACGTTTGTGAGCGGAACGAGGCTCATTTACATTGGTAATTAGATGCGCTTTGTGCATTAGACCACCCCGTCTCCGTTTTTATGACGAACATGCAGTGGGTGTATTCAATTCAAGGGCCCAAATGGGTCGGAAGCACAGAGCGGATTATGGTAATCAAGTGGCACGATCGTTCTTTCCGTTTCGAACCCGATGATCGACAATTGATCTGTGTGGGCCACGTGTTTGATAGTATTCTGTGGCGAGTGGAATTTGAAGTTGTCACTTCGTTCGACGAACTCCGAGGACTACAACCCAGACTACGGTGGACTTGAACATGTTCTAGAATCTAGATTTGGCAGATCCCTCACCCTCAACACAGAGTTCGCCCAATTCCTGAATTGTTTACCGAGATTCCTCCCAGATTCGAAACGGTGATGTCCCTGGAAACCTGGCACTCACTCGGCCGATTAATTATCCCATCCCATCCGACTAGTAACCATGCGAAATTCGTAGTAGCGATAAGATCCGAGGTCACACTGCACCCTCACTCACTTTTTTTTCAAAATTTGACGGATGTGTAACGCGAAAGGGTGGGGACTCTCTTCTCATCCCGATGATCTCCGATGTCCTCCAGGATACACTAGGAGATCAGTGATGAGCGGCAGCGTGTACTCGCTCAGTGACACCTCGCACTCATTTCCAATCAAATCACCTGTCTCCCTCTCCAAGTCCCTCTCGCTCTCTCTTTCTTTCATGTAGTCGCGTAGGATTTTAGTTCCGCTCATTAATCATCGTCATGTTCTTCTCGCCACTGCTGTGATTACCCCCCTATCTCTTTCTCTCTCTCTTTCTCATCAGCTTCGCTCTTTTCTTTCCGGCTGGCAACGAGCCAACGTTTGTGACATCTATCAGTGCTATTGATAAAAGAGAATACGAAAGAGGAGAGAGACGCTGAAATCTGTTTGTTTGTACAGGTTGTTAATTATGAATTGGCAGACGAACTAGACGTGCGGAAACTTGTGACTGATGTGGAATAACTTCGATTTCCAGTAGGAAGTCGCTGTAGTCTGACGTGGACTATAGTGGTCTTTGCTTTTGAGTACTGTAGAAGAGAGCTCAAGCGTGAGCTCAATGACTTTTGGCCAAACCATACGTAGACGATACGTCCCGGACAGAGATCAAAGGCTTTACTGTCGTTTATCTTTGAACATTCCCACGTATTGTTGCCGATTGTTGCCGTCGCGAATAGAGCGCCTGGCGCCCCATTGTCGTCACGATTCAAGACGTTCTTGGTGTTGCTCTCGCTCGCGTCAATTGGGAGCAGCGGCTCCTCCGCGCACACCTACCCAAATATAGATCGCGGAAAAAAGAGTGGCGAAATGTTTGCGCCTCGCGGACTCTGTACCAGCTTTTGCAGTTCCATTTCGGGATATCTCTCCCTTTCGGTGCTCCCACGCGCCGGCAGCTCCGCCACCGCTCGGACGTCATTCCTCCTCCCGGCTTCCGACGACTGCGCACACACAAACACAAATACCGTATGAACTGTGTTTGCACTGCTGTTAAATATTCGCCTCGCAACATTTTTTGCAACTTTTCCCCTCCGTTTCGTTCGCTATCTCTGTCACCAGGCCACAATTATCAGCACAATTGCACCCGTCCGACCTCCGCTAACTCTCTTATCACCTTCCATTGTCTTTTCCTCTCTTCTCCATCACTCTGTTTCGTTTTTTTTCTACGCAAGTGTGTGCGTAGTACTATCTTGTACTCGGATGTCGTTTTCCCGTCAAAAGTCACGCCGCCGCCTCACACGAAAAGCGTGACGTCTTTGCAAACTTTGTCTCTTTCGCTCGTTTTGAAAGAAAGCACGAAAAAGAGCACCGTTTGTAGTGATTATATCAATGACAAAAGGGGAGCAACGGCGCCAGACAGGCGATAATGCCAGCTGGCTGGCTGAGTGTTGCCATCTTTGAACTGATAATAGACATGTCTCGCCATGACAAGCGTGAAAGTGTTAAACTGATTGACAGCTGACTGAAAAGATGAGTTTCATAGGTTGAGA